GACACCTAAGAAAACCCAGACACCTAAGAAAACCCAGACACCTAAGAAAACCCAGACACCTAAGAAAACCCAGACACCTAAGAAAACCCAGACACCTAAGAAAACCCAGACACCTAAGAAAACCCAGACACCTAAGAAAACCCAGACACCTAAGAAAACCCAGACACCTAAGAAAAACCCAGACACCTAAGAAAACCCAGACACCTAAGAAAACCCAGACACCTAAGAAAACCCAGACACCTAAGAAAACCCAGACACCTAAGAAAACCCAGACACCTAAGAAAACCCAGACACCTAAGAAAACCCAGACACCTAAGAAAACCCAGACACCTAAGAAAACCCAGACACCTAAGAAAACCCAGACACCTAAGAAAACCCAGACACCTAAGAAAACCCAGACACCTAAGAAAACCCAGACACCTAAGAAAACCCAGACACCTAAGAAAACCCAGACACCTAAGAAAACCCAGACACCTAAGAAAACCCAGACACCTAAGAAAACCCAGACACCTAAGAAAAACCCAGACACCTAAGAAAACCCAGACACCTAAGAAAACCCAGACACCTAAGAAAAACCCAGACACCTAAGAAAACCCAGACACCTAAGAAAACCCAGACACCTAAGAAAACCCAGACACCTAAGAAAACCCAGACACCAGACACCTAAGAAAAACCCAGACACCTAAGAAAACCCAGACACCTAAGAAAACCCAGACACCTAAGCAATCTCCAAAAAATGTGAGCCGCGCACGAATATTGCTACCCGTGGAAGCTGCCATAGATTGACGAATATGGGGAAGCAGTGTTAATTGGGATGTCTTAAGAGAAATTGATGCCGAAAGTGGGTCTGAAAAGTTCATTGGTGGTGTTGGATTATTCGTGGGAGAATTGGTTTTCTGGTTAAGTGGTAAAATACGTCAGGACGGATACGCGCATATGAAATTCGTCCCCATATACTGAAGAATTGATCGTATTGATTGCATTATCTCTTTCTCTCTGTAATATTAGACTTATCTGAATAATCTCAGTATTCATGGGCCGATTGGCTATGTTGCTCGTTGCAAGCGCTACTTTTTTGGTTCTCTCGGGCCCAGTGGTACCTTGTGAGCTACTAACATAATTTACATTTAATTCTCTTGAAGAAGATAGCCCTCTTTTTCTAGCTTCGACTCTAGGACTTTTGACAGCCGTTTAAAACCGTTCTAACCTCTTTATGTCCATATATATCGCCGTTTCTATAATCTTGCAATCCGCTAGGTACCCTAGACGAGATAAAGCCAATGGTCACCAAAAACTTGATATCAATCTCCTTAGGTTAAAGAAATATCTGGATATATTTGTAAATAAATCTAGAGTGGTTTGTATTAGTTTGGTAATTTTTGAAAGCTTTTTGATTAGTGTTGGGTGGTAAAGTCACTAGCTTGGCCTTTTTTATACTATCTCAATAATATTCCTGATGAAGGGCAAGACCGCTAAATCTTGAGCCAGAAATGGGCTAACAGAGCTCTGATTAATCTTATGCATCTATTCTTCACAATTTTATGGTTTTATTGGAGGTTTAGCTTGCCCGTTTCTTCTGGGCCATGAGCGAATTAAATCAACACCAAAGTATGAAAAAAATAAGTATTCCAGAGCTCCAAAACCAATCATCATGCTTTTATTAAGCCTATAAATGCGTCATCTAAGTTTCACGATTTTTCGACCCCCTCAAGTGCTTTTTGGACTGGAAGTACCCCGGCTTCTCGTGGGTTCCCAAGTGTTAAACTGACGCGTCATGAAGAGCATTATAGCAAGTGAATATCCCTAGGAATAGTGATAGGTGGGACTTTTCATTTCACAATTCACGGTATATATATTTAGCAATATCCTAATAGTCATACTTCATAAATCTTGGGTATTTCTGAAAATGCGAGTTGTCGTTTTGCTTATGTGCTGCGATTCTGGAGGGCTAACATAAATGCAAAGTTTAAAACAGTCACCAAAAATCGAAATCTGCTTCAAAATTAAACAGAGTGTAGGGTATAGCTTCTTAAGTCGTGAAATATACGTGGTAAAGTTTTGAGGAGCTTTTGACAGCTCTAAGTGGTACTTTCATATCGTCGGTCAAAATGAAATTTTTGCACATACAAATATACAACAGGGGTTGAACCACTTAAGAGAAAAAGCAAGAATAGTTAGAAATTTTGTTAGGGCTAAAACACATACTACTTAAAGGCCCACGGCCTTTTTTAGGATACAGTAGGTGGCTGCTTCACGTATTCGCTCTATCCGCTCTGTTTTTCAGTTGAAGCGGCTAATTATCTTCTTGAACAACAAACCAGGTGGCTACAGCAGAAAGGAAGTCACTTAAAAGGAGGAAATTATAATTTCCACGTTAAATGATTTTCTAGAGTGTTGAAACACTATTACTTACATTTGGTCTGTCCTTTTCTTTTGAGATGAGCTCCAGCTTACGCGTTGTTATAATGTTTAGATCAACAATTCTAAACCTGCCACAAACTGTCATGTTGGAAAAGCATATTTAGGTAGGATGTTTGCTAGAATAGAGCTTAATTTTTGATAGTTTGGCTTTAAATTAATAAAGATAAATGAGAAACAGATTTTTACTTCCTCTCACTCTGGGATGGATGGTACCAAAAGCCAAATGTGCATCAGCACTAAATACACACAAATCCATGAAATAAAAGTCAATGATGTATTAAATATTATGTAAAGCCCGAATTTAATCAATTGCCTTATCGATTTTTCTCTGATGGGGCGAGCTCTTCTGAGTCGGTCCATTGTGCCATGTCCACGTACCCCATTGGACTAAGAGGAAACCTGCTACATGAAGAATCATAAGATGGTATTGTGGGATAGCATTGGCTACTTTAAGTTTGCCCGATCTCTTATCTAATTTTTAGCAAGCTTTTGAAACCATTGAAACGCCCAAAAAGGCAAGTCGATCAAACATAAGAATCCAATTGATAAACCGGAAACGGAAAACGTATGAGACCGCCCAGTAAAGACGATAGAGAATATTATTCCGCCGATGAATATATAAACCTGCCTTCTTCCCTAGGTTCTTTCAACATCATCAAACAACAATGGCCGCTCAAACTACTCAGAACAAGAACAACACTCCAAAGGACAACAACTTGAACAAGCACGCTGGACGTGGTGCCGTTCCTTTCATGTGTACTATCGTTTAGATTAATACATACGATTTGCTTTTAATTTTTAAACTTGTAAGCTAAAGGATGAATGAGTTTCATTATTTCGATACATCAATCCACGGTAAGAACTGGACGGAATCAGTAAAACTACAAATTAGGGACAGTAAAATTACCTCAAGAAAGAGAGTCTTGAGTGGAATTCTACAAAAATAGATATACTTGGGCTTGGAGTCATGTTGAATCAATTCGGCAAACAACGAAGCTGGTAACTTTGACAAATGACCCCTAACGTTCGTGTTTGAAAGTTGGCGGGGTTAAGGGCTCGTAGTTTTCATTGTACAAATTGTCGTTAGGCGGTAGCCTGGAGTGGATGCTTCTCAAGTCCAAGTGTTGCGGGCCGAGATCTGATATTTTTTTAACACCTAAGAGTTTCATGTCCAAAATCATTTCTGACTTCAACAACTCTATGGCTTTTCTAACACCTTCTTCACCGTAGCAGGAGTTGGCATAAAGAAAGATTCTACCCAAACCAACACCCTTGGCACCCAAGGCCAAACATTTGATGATATCAGACCCACGCCTGACTCCTCCATCCACATAAATATCAATCTTGCCGTCCAAACCCTTTTCCTTGAGAACAGGCATGGCGTCTGCCAAAACCTCAACTGGAGCACGGGAGTAGTCCAACTGGCGACCACCGTGGTTAGAAATCACCACCGTCTTAAATCCTTTTTCAGCTGCCAAGACAACATCATCAACGCTCTGTACGCCCTTAATAGCCACTGGAATGCGAGTCCCCGAAGAAATGTTCTCAACGTCCTTCCATGTCACAGAGGTATCTTTACCATAACTCACGGCAGAATTTAGGTCTTGAGCTCCGGAGGAGTCATCCAGGATATCAGAGTTTGCCTCGATCTGAGCTCGAAGTCTCATATCTTTTTCTCTGCGACCAAGCTCTGGAGTATCAACGGTGACGAAAATTCCCTTGAGGCCAAGCTCCTCGCACTCTGAAACCAACAGTTTCGTATTAGACTCATTTTCATGATATAATTGAAACCACTGATGCTGGTCCTTTTCTGCGGCGCCAATAATATCTGCCAAAGGATAAGACGAGTAGTTTGAGATCATTTGTATGACACCTTCCTTCCCACAACCCCTTGCAATTGAACATTCCCCATCAGGATGCCCCAATTTACCTTGTGCAGTGGCCGAGGAGTAGAAGGGCACGGTGACAGGCAGACCCATCAAAGTGGTTGATAAGTCAACATTACTGACATCAACAAGCACGCGAGGTTTGAAATATATCCTCGAAAATGCATTGTGGTTCTCTCTGAGCGTAACTTCGTCATCAGCGCCACTTGAGTAGTAGTACCATGCTGAAGGCGGAAGGATTTTCCTAGCGATATATTCAAAGTCGCTAACACGGAAGATTTCTGAGATTGGCGGCATGTTATCAATGTACTCTTGTCTCAATTCGCTGCTACCCACCTCGGTGATATCTATTTCCGGCTCCAACTCGCCTATCAAAGGACCCAAGCACTCGTCAGGCGTCAAATACTTGTCCACGAAGTTAGGAGCATGAAACTTGTTGAAAATGGTAGATGCATTTTTACCTGCGTATTTTAGTATGATACCCGCTCCTCCCGGGTGTCTTGTCAAGAATCCTGTCAAGTCATAGACCTTACCGTTTATAGCGACCCAGACGCTTTCTGCAGACGTATGTTTTTGCAACTCTTCGACCGTGACGCCCTGACGGGTAGATTCCTCTAAGGCCAATGCAACAGGGATCGAGTTCCAAGTTACTGCAGCAGCAGATAGCAAAAGTGCCGAGATAAGTGGAAGTTTCCAGTTCGTGGGCTTCACTCTGGTAGCACCCACTCGACCAGAAACAAGTCTTCGAGCATTGCTGCCCTTCACCACTTTTCGGGAACAACGAGCAAACGGTAGTCTTCTAAACATGGATCTCTTTTCTCCCTTTCCCACAACAGCGTCTCAACAAACACTTTCGAGCTTTTTATGCTGCCAGTGCCAATTCTTCAAATATATCAGTATCCACAGCATCACGGCAGCGGGGCCGAATCAGCGCGCTCTTATATCTAATGGTGGGGCATGGCGCGTAAATATGACACCCTGAAGCCCCTCTCTTCGGCAAACCATATACCCGTGGCTAACAACTATTTGGTTGATATAATGGAAATAGGAATGTGTAGGTAGGAGACACGTTTTCCGTGCTTGATATAAAAATCATACTTCTTCTTTGGGGTGGCTGGTATTGGATTGGCGTCGGCGACTTATCAAAAAACCCGAGCTTTCCTATTTGCTGCCTCTGCAGGGTCGGTTAAAGTTTGTTGCGGTGGGGGTGGCTGCGAAAAATACAAGGTCGGCGGCACTCGTGTGATAGTTTGAGGAACCTGTGGAGGGATCCTCAAAGGTTGAAGTAATCTGCCAATCCTTGAATTTTGTGCAATGTAAGACCGTACTTTAGTGGGAGGAACAAGTCAGGGTTTCGGAAGAAGTTCAATAGTGCTTTTAGTATGAACCAAACCGCCTGTAGAGGGGTGGTGATACCCCACAATCCAACAGCGGAACATCTTTGTTGCGACCTAGAGGTATAAGAAGTTCTGGAAATGAAATATATGGTCAACATCATTAAATATGTCTTCCTTTCCTAAAATCAAGTCCGTGAAAACCTTCCTCTTAGAAGGAAAGGGAATCGGCGGCGACTACCACAATGTCGAAAATGGACACTGGCTCATCGATAGCGATATCTCCAACCCCATGTCCAAGTACCCGGAATACCGTAAGTCCAGGGTTTCTTGGGGTATCAACGTTTTGGGTTCGTTTTGTGTTGAGATAGAGGCTACAGATGGCACCAAAGGTTTTGCCACCGGTTTCGGAGGCCCACCTGCTTGTTGGTTGGTTAAAGAACATTTCTTGAGATTCTTGCAAGACGCAGACCCCAGAGATTACAACTTACTTTGGGACAAGATGTTCCGTGCCTCCATGTTTTATGGGCGTAAAGGCTTGCCAATCGCTGTGATTTCCGTGATCGACTTGGCGATTTGGGATCTTTTGGGTAAGATTCGTAACGAGCCTGTCTACAAAATGATTGGAGGAGCCACAAGAGAGAGACTTGATTTCTACTGCACCGGTTGTAACCCTGTTGCAGCTAAAGAGATGGGATTTTGGGGTGGAAAGGTTGCCCTTCCTTTTGGTCCAGATGAGGGACACGCGGGCTTGAAGAAGAATGTCGAGTTTTTGAGGAAGCACAGGGAGGCTGTCGGACCAGACTTTCCTCTTATGGTCGACTGTTACATGTCTTTGACGGTTCCTTATGCCATTGAGTTAGCCACTGCCACCGAGGACTTGAACATCAACTGGTTTGAGGAGGTTTTGCACCCTGATGATTTTGATGGCTTTGAATTGTTGAAGAGAGCCCACCCTAGAGTCAAGTGGACTACTGGGGAGCACGAATATACCCGTTATGGTTTCCGTAAGTTGATCGAAGGAAGAAACCTCGATATCTTGCAACCAGATGTTATGTGGGTTGGCGGTATGACCGAGTTATTGAAGGTGGCTGCCCAAGCTGCTGCTTACGATATTCCTGTGGTGCCCCATGCATCTGGTCCGTACTCCTATCACTTTGTTGTCTCTCAGCAGAATACTCCATTCCAGGAATACCTTGCCAACTCTCCAGACTCTAAGAGTGTGTTGCCTGTCTTTGGAAACTTGTTTATCGATGAGCCTGTTCCGACAAAGGGCTTCTTGAATGTTTCTGACTTTGATAAGCCTGGTTTTGGTTTGACCTTGAACCCACAAGTTCAGTTGGTCGATGCGGAGTACATTTTGCTGCCATCGCCGGAGAGACCGTTGAAGATTGAGGCCAACGGACACAAGATAGTCAATGGACATAAGTAAGCTTTTATCGTGACGAATGTGACGTACCAGCTGTGATATTCATCACTTGTCCAAATAGAAATTCTATCTGTTACATTTTTAGGGTTGATAGTCAATATATCAAACCAATTAAGATAGAGAAACATTGTAGCTGTGAATCTTGCGTATGTCTATGACTGGTAAAGGTCTGTGAACGGATTGGCCGATACACCATGGAGCTCACTAATTGGAATTTGGAACCATTGGAAGAAGTTCGAAAAGTCTGTTTGGTTGTGTGGAGAAATTGAAATCCCGTCCTTCTTGTTCTGCTCGATCTTTTTGGATAAAATTACGTCAAGACTATAGGCATTGAAACGCATGTCAGAAAGAAGGCGGGAGCTCTCTGGGTGGAGAGAAAGTAGAGACCCTCCATCTTTTTCATCCAGAGCCAAAGAGGGATAAATTGTGAATACACTTTCGCCATTGGCTCTGTACTCTGACTCTTCCTTCTTGAGCAAATCTATAATCTCCTTATACTTTGCTGAGCTCCTCCATAGCGAGCCTATGTGAGAAAGTGCCAGAAGAAGTTCTTCCAATTCTGTGCAAAACTCTTCCTCCGACCGAATAGCATTGACAAGTAGTAGCCGGGCGGCCACCCAAATCGTGAAGCCATAGTAAGGTCCACATATGGCCAATGGATCTATCTTAGTGTAGGCAGACGAAACAGGAATTTTCATGGAGTAGGCTGCTATATTATGAGCCGACTCTAGACACTTGGATCTGGACATACTAGAAAAAAGAATATAGTCCGAGTCGAAGTTCTGGTAGCCGATAGAGGAGTGAAGTCTTATGATTGTCATGTGGTAGATGGAGAACAACAAGCTGTCCTTCACTGTAAGCTCCTTTTCAAAGGCAAATTGTCGTGTGTCGAAGAACTTCTGGTAAGTATCAGGCAACTGGCTTTTCCAGAGCAGAATCTCAGCATTTAATTCAGAAAACTTCATCTGCCAAGCTAAGACCTGCTTGACGTCGCTGATGTCAAATGGTTTCCGGAGAAATGTGTGGATTTTGCCCAACTTGGCGACAATCTCCACCAAATAGGCAGCTGAGTCATGTATTTCATTGAGTTGCGGCGTTGTTGCATTCGGTTCGTTTAACTTGCGACCATTCTCCCATTTCATCAGTCTGGTCCACAAGTCGTCGCGTAGAGGAAGCTGTCGGTCGATTTCTGTCTCATCGATTTTGCAAGGAAACGAATTTGAGACGCTTGAGAGCCTGTCCAAGAGGAAAATCTCCCAGAACAAATTTCGCTCACATTCTCTCTCAAAAGGGGTCACTGTTTTCCTTAGTGAAGTGATGCTTTGTGGGGTAATTATCCTTGGTTTTTTTGAGGGAGGACCGTCAGGCAGGGTCTCTTGAGGAACTTCACTTTTGTCGCTATCAACGTGCTCTTTCGTAAGGCCTAAATGGATGACTGCGGCGGATATTAGTGCAATGTAACTCCAAGTGAGTGGATCGTTGGACCTTCCAAACAGATCGAACGTTAAAAGGGCCATGGCCTGGAGATGTTCAATCAGCGTGATGGAAATGCATTTCGTTAGGATGGTAGAGCGGCAATGGGACTGATAATGGTCGATTTCGTGCTGCGCGAGACGGTTTTTCATGAACGGAACTGCAACCAATACAATTCCGAGTAGATGAGGCGGTATTACCGCGCCATAGGGGTCATTGGAGAGCAGAATGGTGTAGTCCTCAATGAGCTGAGGCCTTAGCGATGGGTGAATTACCCGGAACCCAGGGTATATGTTCATGTGGAAAATATCAACCAATTCTATGAACACAGACACAGACGGCACCACTGCAGCCGGAGCTGGTGCTGAGGAGGAAGTCTTTGAGCTACTTGCCCCGTTTAGTGGAGCCTCAGACACTAATCCGTTTGAAGCCCCGGAAGTGCCATTCCCACCGTTCTGTTTCAGGTGATCGTTGTTGCCATTCTGTAGCGAAGAAGGCAGTTTGGTGGCATCTCCGTTTACTTCGTCAACAAAACCAGGCCAAGAGTTCTGTGTGTGTGACTCGAGCTCGTGGCAATTGGACGGTAGACGATCCAACGTATTGGGATGGTTCTCCAACACCTGCAGCACCTTAGACTCCAAGGACCGAACGGTCGTATAGATAGCTTGCAAGTCCAGGATTACCAAGTCACTTTTCAGAACAAGTAGATCATCGATATTGCTAATCTTCTCCAACATGGATGCTCCATACCCGCTGGGAAGCCCTGGTTTCTGGAGAGTTTGATACTCACAGACAAGGTCTTTCTTCGTGCAATAGCCACACTTAGGGACTCCCCGATCACATTTCTTCTTTTGTGTTTTGCATTCCGTACATGCTTTAGACGTACGGCTCGTGGTTGGGTCTTCTTGAACCATGAACGCTGAGTAGTAGGAAATTGTTGAGAATGCGGGGGTGCTCGGTAGAACATGAGTTGGGGAAGTCAACTACATGCTGGAGAGACGATCAGCTTGAGTTTCTTATTGGCTAGATTTATTTATAATTGATGGGCCTTGTAGTCTTTGGCTGAATTAAGTATAGGTGCCAGGGCTAAAGTAGAAGGAGAGCGTGCAATTGCTTTCTGATCTTCGGCTTTTCAAGAACCAATAAGACTTGTTGAATACCCAACAAAAAGCGGCTGGATGTCAACATGTAATCTTTAAATACACCGTAAATTCAACATTTTTTATATTGCATTCTTTTTTTACTTATTCCGTAATTTCAGTGTGACCGAGCAGATTACAGGTTGTGGGTAAGATTGACGAAAATGTGAAAAAACTAAAAACGTTCACAAAAATCGAATTTCAAGAAAATCCCAATGGAAGTTGTATCTACGTGTTCAAAAGGGCTTCCTCTACCTCCCTGAGGCGTTTCAACTCGAGTAGAGGTCTGACGCTGTCAATTGATCATGACCTATCACAGACCTTTAAAACCCCTTTAGTCCTATACTCAACATCCATTGCTTTATTACCTAACCTCAGAATTTGCAAGTAAAAGTGTACTTTCCGGATCCATGCTCCTCGGAGTGCCCATTGGGCAACTCAATGACTGCCTTGGTGTTAGGTGGAATCGTCACGTCCAATATAAACTCGTCACCACAAATCTTCCACCGCGAGGAAACAACCCCATATGGAGACTCGTGTTCAACATGACATCTCTTCAAGTTTCCGCCAGGGTGTGGGCAGATCTTGAATCTTTTATACCCTGGCTCAAGAATGGAAACACCACCAATGATTTCGTGCATTGTACTGGCCACAGCACCCAAAGCATAATGGTTGAAGGAGGTCATTTCCCCAGGGTTGATGGTTCCATCAGGCATCATCGAATTCCATCTTTCCCAGATCGTTGTGGCGCCCATGGTCACTGGATAAAGCCACGATGGGCACTCTTTGGCGAGAAGCATCGAGAAGGCTTCTTCATAGTGTCCCGTAGCAAACAAGGCTGGTAAAATGTGTGGTGTTCCAGCAAAACCAGTACCAATGGTATAGTTGGCCTTTTTCACAAGTTCTGAAAGACGGTTACCGGCAAATTCGACTTGTTTCTTGCTATTATATAGGCCCAAGCTAATGGCAAGAGAATAGGCAGTTTCTGAGTCGCTCATCAATTCACCGCTTTCCTTGCAATACTCTTCAAGCCAATCTGTTTTGCATTGGGCGGCCATTTTTGGTACTTAGAAACATTCTCTGGGTACACTAGCTCGCTGATGGTTACCATACTGGTCAAGACGTGGTAGAAAAACGCATTAGCAACGAGGTACTTGTCAGTTTTTCCGTTTGCAGGTCTGTCAGGAGGGGCAGCGGGATCTAACCAGTCTCCCAATTGCAAGAAAACATTAGTTCTGTCCCACAACATCTGATGCTCCAATTTGGGAAGACACTCAATCCATGTCTCCATGCTCTCATACTGCTGCTTCAACAAATTAATGTTTTCAGTAGCTCTGAACAACGAAAAAGGCAAAATAACTGCACAGTCTTGCCATATGGCACTAATCTGGTTATCCCAAAAGTGCTTCAAGTGCTTTACAACGTCCGGAACAACCACAGCAGGCGCATGGGGCCAAGGTCCCGAGGTTCTCATTCGCTGCTCACTCCACAAATCCTTCAAAAAGTTGTCCAACATCGAGGAACAGTCTAACAAGAAAGCAGCAGTTTTTCCAAACACAGCAATGTCTCCAGTCCACCCCATTCTCTCATCACGCTGAGGACAGTCGGTAGGAAGGGTGATGAAGTTTCCTCTGGTGCTTCTAATGACGTTGCTGTGTAATTGGTTTAACAAAGCGTTATCACACTCAAAATGACCGATCTGCCTGGCATTGGTTGAAATCACCACTGCTTCGAGTTTCGCCAAGTCAAGAACATTCTCAGGGTCATCCACCTCGCAGTATCTAAAGCCATGGAAAGTGAAACGTGGCTGGTACAGCTCTCCATTAGCGTCACCTTTAAAAGTGTATTCATCAGTACATTTAGCGCTTCTCAAAGGTCTGGTTCCCAATTCACCGTGCTCCATGACTTCTGCAAATCTCAAGGTCACTTTATATCCTCTTCTGGCCTTGATATTGGTGAAGCGGGGCACTCCAACAATGTTTTCTCCAAAATCAAGCACGGTCTTTCCTTTAGGAGTGGGTGGAAGAAGCCTAGCTGTGATTGTCCTTTGAACTGTAACATGAGGATACGATTGGGGCTCGATCCTGGAAATATCAAAATCAATTACTTCCACACGGGCCCAATCTTTACCAACAAGTGCATCAGAAGACCAGCCTTGAATTTCTCTAGTGGCATCGTACGTTTCTCCATCGTACAAACCTGCTGCCACGATAGGCCCGTAAGAAGCACTCCAAGAGTCGTCTGAGCAAACCAATTCCGTAGAATTGTCTTCGTAGGTGGTCTCAATGAACAAACTGATGGCTCTTTTGTCACCATAGATATTCACAAGTCCTCCGTCGAAACCAAACTTGCCCAGGTACCATCCTGCGCCGACTCTGGCGCCAATGACATTAGAGCCTGACTTGACCAAATGGGTCACGTCGTAACACTGATGCAACAAGCGTTTCTCGTAGGTCGTCCACCCTGGGTTGAGAAAATCCTCGGCTACCTTAGTCCCGTTGAGCTCAAGGTTATAAATCCCCAAAGCTGTGCTGAAAACCTTAGCTGACTTGACCTTCTTTGAAAGTGGGAAGCATTTACGGAACAACGTCTCCGGGGCGGTTTCTCCGTCCTCCCGAGGCTGATTCTCCATGGCTATAAACCTAGCCGGCCATTGCTCCTGATCTGACAACAAACCAACTTGGCCATGAACAGGCTCACTCCATTCTGAAAAATTTCCATCGTCACCTTGGACTCTGACACTGAGATCGAAAGATGCTCTAGACTTCAACGGTTCGCCTGGCCACTCAACAAAGAGGTTCTTGTTTGAACTAACCACTGGAAATTCTTTCCATTGAAGGTCGTTACCTAAACGTACTTTGATCTGGTACGCTGCCTGTTGCCAGGACTGCTCTGACCCGAAAAACTTCCAGGAGATAGAGGGTGTGGCATTGTTGATGGTACCCTCGAGAGGACCTGGTTTTGTGGAATTGAACGAGATATGCTCGACCTTCATTGTCAATCTATTTGAGTCATATTGAAGCCGGATCTATGTGGGTATTTATTACGTGAAGTGAAAAATGTCGGCACAACATCGTTCCGCTGAGGAGGGGCACGCATTTCCTGTTTTGTGACAATATGCGAGGTTCTCCCCAGGGATCTCGGAGATTCAGCCCCAAGAGCTGGATCTAGAGCTCTTCAGGGCCGATATCATTGCGATTGGTAAAGATTCTGCCTTCTTTCAATTCCATAGTATCAGTGATTCAAGGCAATTGGAATATAGAGTTACAAAGCTTGCGATGCATAAAGTGCATGGGAAGAAGTGGGGTACATATCTCGTACATCAAAGGCATAAATTTTCATTAATTACAGTATCAAACTATAACTTGTTTGTCGTTAGTCAAAACCTCATTCTTCTTTACCTCTTCAACGTGTTCAGTTTCTTCCTTGCATTGTTCCAAAATGACCTGTTTGCTTTCAACGGAAACTGAGGTGACGTAAGACGACCATTTTCTGTATGGCACCTTGGCCATGAACATCTCGTCAATCTCTTCATAGGACCTTCCAGAGGCCTCTGGCATGAAGAAGAAGAAAACAAACACCGAAACAAAGCAGCAGCCAGCGAAGATGAAGTTGATGGCAGATCCCATGTTCGCTTGATCGACGTTGAACATGTATGGAAGAACAAAAGCCCACATTGTGTTGAGAGAATTAGAGGAAGCAATACCAACGGCAACGGTCTTGGCACGCAATCTGGAGGTGGGAATCTCGGTGTTGTAGACGTAAGCAATTGGACCAATTCCTGAATTGTAGAAGAAATTGTACATTGTCAAAAACGCCGAGGAAGCAAGGAGGAGCGGTTGACTGCTTCTGTTTAGACCCAAGGCAGCAATCAAAAGGTTCAATACTGCGAGAGACAGCATCCCGTAAAGGAGAATGAATCTTCTTCCAAAACGATCAACCATGAAAAGCGACAAGAGCGTTCCAACGACAGAAAGAGCCTGGGCGCCACAACTGATTTTGAAGGATTCACGGGTCGTTATTCCAGCAATCTGGAAGTAATAGGTTTGGTAAGACATCACGTATGCCAAACCACTAAGAGGTTGCATCAAGAACGGAGCAATTGCAATCAATGTTCTCTTGATGTTCTTTTTGTTGAAGACCTCGAACCACGAACCAGACTTGGACAACACCTTGGCTTCGTCGACAGTAGCACGAATAACAGCAAGCTGAGACTCAGCAGAACCGTCAGGATGAATCTTTCTCAAGGAACCAAGAGCTTTGTCGTCATTACCTTTCAATACGTGGTGGTATGGCGATTCTGGGATAAAAAACAAGAAAACCGAGGCAGTCACAGCGAAGAACCACTGTGAGCAGAAAATGGCCCTATATGACCAGCGGTCGTCCCTGGTAGAAGTGAAATAAGCCACAATTGTGCAAATAAAAGGGCCAACGCAGAACGAAAGATTCACTGTCATTGTACAGATACCTCTCAAAGCCAAAGGAGTCAATTCAGCGACATAGGAAGCACCAACGGTCTGAATGACACCTAAAAGGATAGCGTTAAGAAACTTGCCAATAAAAAATACCTGGATATTTGTTGCAGCAAACTCAACACCAACAAACGCAATAGTACCCACAACACAAGTAGTCATGATCCATTTTCTCCCCACGTAGTCAACAATAGTAGTGCCCATAAAAGAACCAAAAACCAAAGCAGCACTAGCACCTCCAGTAATGGCAGACTGCCACTGCGGGTCCAAAGTATACTGCGTTTCGCCATCACTAACAACAGCATAACCAAAGTCTCTTCTGAAAGTAGGTACCGAAAGAACAATACCCGAGGCCTGGTTCTCATAGCCCACAGTGATAAGCGACCACACCAAGATCAAGATATATATGCAAGCTTGCGGGTATGCTTTCACCGCCTGCCATTTGGTAAGGCGATGGTCCAAGTCCTGTTGAGCAAGAGCTACTTGTTTTTGGTCACTGAGTATGTTCCCATCACTCATATCGATGCTTTCGTCTTCAGTGATAGTCTTAGTATTCGAGTCTGATACCATTCTTGTTGATCTTCAGAAAGCCAGTTATGCACAGATTTATACTTGAGGCTCGACTTGATGCCTCATCGCTGACGGTTTCCTGAACTGGGGTTCGGAGAATCATACTTGCGCCGCTTTGGGGTAATGAGTGGGGCTCGATGGGAATGGACGCCTGCCCTATATGTTCGTCTGCATGAGGCCTGCAGTTCATACGAGGACAAGTACGAGGAATGGAGAATATGGTGATGTATTGGTACTCAAGGGTTGAGGGCGGGGGAGGCTCAAGGATGGAGGTTTGGTTGAATTTCTTACTGATCATCCGATTACATGCTGGTTCAGTGAAGTATGGTGGGGATGTTTCACAAAAGGTGCGAAGATCTTTGACGCGTCAGCTTATGCATGGCTATATTGTGTTCTCATATTTTCTCGAGGCGAGTTTTTCGTTTTGAAGCTTATTAGATTAGTATGTTTTGTATAAGTCGAGAGCATTAAAGAAGCTCAAGGCCCAATCAGCTCTTTTGGTGCCTCATCGCATCAAATGCCATGCAAGACATAGATCAAACAAGGGCTCAGTAAATGTGGGGTGCATGGCATTGCACAGGGAGCGGAACAATGATGTTCCGACTACGAGAATGCTTATAAACTTGCAACCATGTCTCTCTCTCATCCAGTAATTTCTCCACCATCTTCTGCCCGCCATGATCAAAAGAGGAATCTACACCCCCGTTCCCACGTTCTTCAAAAAAGACCTCAAAACCATCGACTTCGAGACCCAGGTGAAACATGCCCAGTTTTTGAAGAACAATGGCATAGCAGGCCTTATCGTTATGGGCTCAACTGGCGAAATGGGCCATTTGACCAGAAAAGAAAGAGCCCAGGTGGTCTCCCATATCCACAAAAGCGTACCTGATTTCCCTATCATGGGAGGTGTCAGCCAGCACTGTACTGAGGAAGCACTTGCAGAAATTCTGTCTTTGAAGCAAGCTGGCGCATCTCATGCTTTAGTGTTACCCAGTTCCTACTTTGGACCGTCCATAAAGCAGCAGGGTATAATTGACTGGTACACCGAGGTAGCTGACAATTCAGAGTTACCTATTCTCATTTACATTTATCCAGGAGTTACTAACAATGTCGTGGTGGAGCCAAGCACTGTGGTGACTCTTTCAAGGCACCCTAACATTGTAGGCACCAAGATCTCCCACGGCGATGTTGCCCATCATACCGCAATCGGGTTGAATCCGTCGATCAAAGTCGGCAAATTCACCTGTCTCACCGGTTTGGGCCAGATCTTGCTTCCTGCTCTCTCTGTTGGGTTTGACGGTACAGTGGACGCCTTGAGTGGAGCGTTTCCAAAGCTCTACGTGAACATATTGAAAGCGTACGACCTGGGCGACCTTGCCACTGCAGAGAGTTTGCAGTGGATTGCCACTCTTGGCGAAGAACTTGTGGTTCGCTTTGGAGTAATTGGAATCAAAAAAGCTATTCAAAAAGCCACTGGTTTTGGCGAGACGTACTTGGGCAGAGCCCCACTCAACCAGGATGTGCTGGGCTGGGAAGACTACGAGGATTGCTTCACGGAATGCGCCGACGCCGAAAGAACCCTCTAAGGATTATAGTATATGGATGACTTTTTCATTGGTTTCTGGTAGGGCCCATCGGGTTTATAATGTTCCGCTGTGGTAGTGCCCCTCACTACTGCCCCACCAATGCGTATAGGTTGCATATTTGTGCGTATCTCTATGATCCATCACCATAAAAAATAGCAAAAAAGAATTGAACTCTCACCACTTTCTTCTTCTCCATGTACAACATCGTCGATTCCCATATCCACCTCATAGATGACTCATTAAAACATATATGGCTCCGGGAGCAGCCGGACGTGCTTGCTGGGAACCATCGCCTCGAAGAGTACACTAGCTCCAAAGACCCAAGATACACAGTTACTGGCGTCATCTGGATCGAAGCTATTTGCGCTCATACGCTAGATAATGGAATGGAAGGCATGAGGAATGCAATTGAAGAGTGCAAGTTCGTTCTGCGATACAACACGGGAAGGCAAGGTGAAGTGACCAAAGAGACTGGTTATGTGAAAGCTTTGATTCCATTGATTCCCCTTCCATGGGGCACTGGAATTACTGAATTCGTGGATGTGTTGCAGAAAGAGCTCGGTGAACAGTACAAGCTCGTCAAGGGGTACCGGTATCTCTTCCAGGATAAACTGCCCGAAACCATGCTAGATCCAAACGTCATTGAGGGTTTGAAGTGGCTAGATGCAAACAACTACGTTTTTGACTATGGAATAGATGTTCATAACGGCGGAATATGGCAATTTGAAGAGTCCGTCGAGCTCTTTCGCCAGGTGCCCAACGTGAAGTATATCATTAACCACTTGACCAAACCACACCTCGAGCTTGATGTTGAGGGAATCGAGCAAAATGAGCTTTTTACCAAATGGAGGGCCTTGATTACTGAAATGTATAAGCTCACTCCAAACTCGTACATGAAGCTTTCTGGGTGCTTCTCGGAACTCCCTAGTGACACCCCCAAAGATCTCAAAAGGATTGCAGACTTGATTTTCCCATGGTTTAAAGTCACTTATGATCTTTGGGGACCAAAAAGGACAATGTGGGCCAGCAATTGGCCCGTGACGAATATTTTTAGTGCTGATGAGTTGAGCTCTTGGTGGTTCACGGTGACAGAAGACCTCTTGGATCGAGTTAATGCCTCTGAGGAGGATAAGAGGAGAATCTACGAGACCAACTACATTGAAGGGTATAATCTCTAATAGTTTCACATAAATGAATTAATTCCTTGGTAACGTATCTATGTATTTGAAGTTAATTGCAACCACCTCCATTATATCCTATATTCACGGTTATTGAAAGTTGACAAATGCACCACCGTCCACGAGGAGCTGAGCACCGTTCATGTATCTAGACATGTCGCTTGCCAAAAACACAGCAGGACCAGCAATGTCTTGCGTCACTCCCAATCTTCCAAGCGGGATTCTTCCCTCCATGTATTTTCTCTTGTCCTGGTCCTTCAAATCCTCCTCGTTAAGAACAGTCTGGATTGTGCCTGGAAGGATGGCATTGCATCTGATACCGTATGGGCCCAAAGCACAAGCTGTAGACTGAATGAGAGAGACAATTCCAGCTTTCGTTGGAGTGTAATGGGCTTGCATGGAGCCTCCAACAAGAGCAGATATCGACAGAATAGCGATGATACTTCCGCCCTTACCCTGAACCTTCATTTGCCTGGCAGCAGCCTGAATGGCGAAAAAAGATCCGTTCAAGTTCACATCGACAGTTTTGTAGTAGATTTCTGGATCCATCTCGAGGAAATCAGCAAATTGACAGATTCCAGCGTTGGAAACAAAGACATTGATTTCTGAAAAACGTTCAATCGTCCTTGAAATCAATAGTTTACTGGTTTCCGGTTTGGAAATGTCACCGGGTACAGCCAAAAAGTCTTTAGATCCGATTTCGTCGCCAAGCTCTAAGGCAAGTTGGGCCTGTTCTACACTGTCCAAGTGATTGACCACAACCTTGGCTCCTTGAGCAGCCATTTCAACCGCAATGGCTCTACCGATCCCTGTGACTCCGCCAGTAATGACAACCACTTTTCCTTTCAAGAGCATGATACTATAAAGAGTTTACGAGGAGAAGATGGTTTTAAATGTAGATTGTGTAGTGCGAAGTAGGAGAGGGGTTTCGGGGGAATGATGTTCCGACGAAGCAGAAGCAGAGGGCCCCTTCAATTGCTTGAAAAAAGACCATCAATGAAAGTTGATGGGTTACTCCAAGAAACCGAATCTCCCCTATTATCGTAGCTCCCGCTGGTTTGTCAAGACTGACTAAAAAGTGCATGCTTCGAACCCATAGCCAAGTCTATTGGGCGCACATATTTTTTAGCGATACATAGCCGAGACACTCCACAGAGAAGTTTTCCAAGGAACGTTCAGCCAACAAATCCAAGGCAACCTCCGTATCCGCTTCGATTCACCGAATACGGAGAAAAAGCTTCGTTTCCATCCTCCAACAATGCACTTGCTGGCGCTTTTGCTTGCCGAGTTCACAACCCATTTCGAGTTGGAAGCGGTAAAAGTTGCATTCCTGCCGAGCACCTGCGTTTCGGAACCATGTTGATGCGATCTGGGGTATACGAGGTGAATTTGGCCTCTCTGAGTCTTAAAAAAACCAAACAGTATTATTTGTTTTTCTAATTAAACTTCTTCAACTGGGACGTTCAGATTCGTCTTTTTCGCTTCGAAATACCATGTTTCTAAGACTTCCAGCGCACGGTATTGTCTCTTTCAAGCGAAAAATTCACTCACCGATGCGGGGCTCGCAGAGTGCATTGTTTAGTTCCATTTAGTTTTCCATCGTAACAACTCCGAAAGTATATAAATGGGGGTTTTCTCTTCTGGTTTTGTTGTTCAAAAAGAACACATTCCATAATGGAGGTTAAACAGATCGATATCGAAGACGTCATTTCCAAGTTGACGGTGGAAGAAAAGGCCTACCTTATCAGTGGTAGAGACTTCTGGCACACTTATCCAGTTCACCGCCTTGGTATTCCCTCTTTGAGGTTTTCAGATGGGCCTTACGGTGTGAGAGGAACGAAGTTTACTGATGCTGTACCTACGGCGTCCATTCCAAGTGGAACGGTTTTGGCGTGTTCTTGGAACACAGACTTGATGTATGAGCTTGGTAAGATGATGGGAGACCAGGCCCGTGCCAAAGGAGCCCATCTTGTTTTGGGCCCTACTATTAACATGGCAAGAAGTCCTTTGGGCGGTAGAAGTTTCGAGTCTTTTGGCGAGGATCCCGTTTTGACTGGTCTCTTGGCTTCAGCATTGTCTCTGGGTATCAAGGACAGAAAGATGATGATTTGTCCTAAGCACTTGGCTTGCAATGATAAGGAAGACGACCGTACGGCCATGAACGTGGAGCTTTCTGAGCGTGCTCTTAGAGAAATTTACATGCTCCCATTTATGATTGTGCAGAAGAAGAACGACCCAGAGTCGTATATGACTGCTTACAATAAGATCAGGGGTAAACACGGTTCTGAAAATGAGTACTTGATGAGGGAGATTGTCGAGAAGGAATGGGGCTTCAAGGGATGTTTTATGTCCGACTGGTTCGGCACGGTTTCAACTGCTGACAGTATCAATGCCGGGTTGCACCTTGAGATGCCCGGTCCTCCAATCTGGAGAGGAAAGCTTGTGGAAAACTGCGTTCAACATAGAACTGTCACTGAGGAGTCTTTGAATGAAGCAGTCAGAGGTGTGTTGACCTTGGTGAATGGTGCTGCCAAGTCTGGTATTCCAGAAGACGCTTACGAGGGCCAGCTTCACAACAAAGAGGTTATTGCGCTTAACCGCCAGGCTGCTAGAGAGGCGCTTGTGTTGTTGAGAAATGAGAACATTCTTCCATTGCAAAAAAAGAAGGTGTTGGTTATTGGCGAGTCTGCAAAGAAGGCCAACTACTGCGCTGGTGGTGCTTGTACTGTGAACGCATACCACCCTGTTTCCATGTATGACGCTTTGGTTGAGAATCTTGGTGAGTCCAACGTCGACTGGGTCATTGGTGCTCCAAACAGAAAAATCCTTCCATCATTGGGTCTGTACGCTAAGGAACAGTCGAAGAAACCTATTAAATACTGTACCTACGATGAACCAAGATCCGTCAAGGACAGGAAGGTTATTAGCGAGTTGACAATTCCAGAGGTCAGTGTCATGATGTTTGAGTACGACCCTGCCACTATCAGACCGGGCCACCACTTGCACGCAACTTTCCTGGTTACTATTAATGTTCCCGAATCTGCAAAATACAGATTCAACTTGAAGGTAGGTGGTTCTGCCTGGGTTTTAATTGACGGTGAGGTAAAAGCTACTCATATTAACAATTACAAGTCGGGAAGTGACATGGGTATGAACGCTCCGGTAATTTTCTCAGAGGTTTATTTGGAAGCTGGTAAGGACTACTTGTTTGAAGTTGATTTTGAAAGCACTTCTGGCAAGGGAGGAATGCTGGCGGGCTGCTTATACTGTGGTCTCGAGAAGGCTGTTGCTCCAGAGGAATATATCAAGGAGGCTGTTGAGCTTGCCAAGAAGTACGAACAGGTAATTGTCATCACTGGTCTTAACAAGGACTTTGAGACTGAGGGTATTGACCGTTCCACCATGGGCATGCCACCTTACCAAGACTTGCTTGTTGAGTCTGTCTTGGACAGCAACCCCAACTCTGTGATCATTGTCGAGAGTGGAACAGCAGTCACTCTTCCTTGGGAGAAGAAGGCAAAGGCTCTTTTGCACTCTGGATACCTCGGTGAAGAGCTCGGAAATGCCATTTATGATGTTGTCTTCGGCGACTACAACCCAAGCGGTAAGCTCACATACACTTGGCCAAAGAGGTACGAGGACAATTCCTCTGCTACCAGTTTCGAACTTGATAAGAGCTACTCCTTGACCTACCTCGACGATATCTACATGGGCTACCGCCACAACGACATTAGCAAGATTGAGCCATTGTTCGCTTTTGGTCACGGTCTTTCCTATACATCCTTTGCGTTTGACAACCTCAAGGTTGATGTTGGCGAAGAAAGCATTCAATTGTCTGTTGATGTGAAGAACACAGGTGCGATTGATGGCTCTGCTGTGGTCCAGGCTTACGTCTTGCCTAAGAATTCATCTGTTCCTGTCGCTGTCAAGAGCTTGAAGGGTTTCACCAAGGTTTTCTGTAAGGCAGGTACTTCTATCACCGCTAATATTAGCTTGGACAAGAAGTTGGCTTGTTCATTCTACAACACCAATATCAAGCAATGGACTTTAGAGGCCGGTGATTACGAAGTTGCAGTTGGCTCTTCGAGCGACAAGCTTGAGGCTACCAAGACCTTCAAAATTGAAAAGAGCACTAACTGGACTATGCTTTAGTTTAGTTTCATCCTGCTATTTTAATCGATAATACGGCACAACAGCTACTTCTGAACTCGTAAGTCTCTTTGTAATTGAAGAAAGCATAGAAGGAGCACCTCATACCTCGAAGTTCATATCGCACGGTATATATTAAACTTATACACTATAAATGGGTATCAAAGGCTTACTCGTCGCCACCCAAGGCATCGAAAATGTTCGATGCCATGAAACCTGTTCCTTGGTCCTCTTTCTTGGAGGCAAGCGGGATGCACCAGAGTCTGGGGTACGTCTGTTAGACTTGGGCATGGTTTGGAAATCTCTTGATTCCCTGGCAGGCGCTCTCAACTTCTTCACTGGAGCACCACCTCTGGTGTAATTGGATCCACCATAACTGCTGCCTCTCTTCTTCTCGGCAGCCTTGCTCTTCTCCATCTTCTTCAATTCAGCCTCATCATGAATCTCCTTGATGGTCTTTGGACCAGCCTCTTGCTTGAGAGACTTCCAGCTACTCTTCTTCAAGTCCTGCAAGTCCATCAACATGAACTTGATTCTCGACGAAAGCTTGCACTTGTCCAAAATACTCTGGATATTGTCGAAAACCACGTTCAACGCAGCCTTGTTTCTCTGGCATGCTTCAAATCTTGGGCCCACAGTCTTGATCAACTGGGCCAAGTTCTCCAATGAGTCTTCTGATGGGTCGGTGACATTCTTGGACTGGTCTCTCAAGCAATGCAAAATGACCTTGTCGTTCAACAAGTTAGAAATGTACAAGTTACCAATAAACTTGAGCAAACCAAGACCTCTTCTCTTGGCAGCAGCCATGGCATAGTACTCGTCAGACATCATCTCTGGCTCCAAAGCTGAACCATCTGGGTTGGTAGGGAGTTTGTCAACCCAGCCCTTTTCGTACTCAGTCTGACAAGTACGCAACAAGAATCTTCTGGCGAGAGCACCACCAACAGTAGGCTCACCAGTCTTGGTAGGCATACCAACATCCTTGATGTCATCAGAGATATCCTTCACCATCTTTGCACAAAACTTGGAGTAGACAGTCGACCAGTGTGGCTCGTCACAGGCCTTGGCAAATGTCAAAGAGATAACCTGCTTGAGGGTAGCAGCATCCTCTTCGTGACAAGACTGCTTGGCAATGTCCAACATCTGGTTGGAAACTGGCTCGAACATCTCCAATGTCAACTTGTTCAATGCAGACTTGACCTTTCTCTCCACGTCCTCCTTGTCAAGAAGGACAGTGCCATCAGGAGCAGTCTTGACCTGAGTGGTCTTCTGTCTAGATCTAGGAACCCATCTGTTGGCAGAAGGAACCAATGGCTTGACATCTTCAACAGGCTTAGCGGGAGTCTCCTCCTTATCCTCTGGGACCTTCAAAGAGCTTTCCTTAGCGCTCTCCTCCTTAGGACTTCTTCTCTCAAACTTGTAGGTCTTTCTGACTTGAGTGTTGTCATGGCGAGGGCCACTTGGGATGGGCTCCTTGGTAGCCACCATGCCCAAGCCCTCGAGCTTCTCCTTCCAAGAATCGTCAGCTGGGTATGCAACTGCCTCCTGGAACTGAAGCAAGAACTTTGTGTCGTATCTATGCTTCTTCTCGCCAGCCTTCAATCTAGCATCGACGCCAGCCTGTGGGTATGGGTAAGGGAAAGTGAAAGGATCCTCAATGGTCTTACACTTGGACAATCTGTCGAAGAAAGAAGAAATGTCAATTGCCTTCTCCATAGACTCATCTTCACCAGTAGTCTCTTCAACCTTTTCTTCGACGATGTCAATCTGCTCAGCAGGAGCAGCATTGGAGACAGCCTCGGTTGGACAAGTCTCAGTGGTGTCTGGGACACCAGTAGTCTCCATAATTGGAGCCTCAACTGGAGCCTCAACTGGAGAAGCTTCAGCTACTGGCTCAACAACTGCTGGCTCAGTAACTGGGGCCTTCTCCTCTGGCACCACCTTGGGGGCTTCAGTCTTTGCAGGCCCTCAGGAGCTGCAGTAACAGCAATAGCAGCTTCGACTGCCTCGATAACCTTGGCAACCTTTGCTGGCTTGACTGCTTTGACTGCCTTGGCAGACAGCGCCTTTTTTACTTTAGCCTCCTGTTCCTTCTTCTTCTTATACTCTCTAGCCTTTTCGTGAATCTTCCTCTTGAATTCCTCGACCGCTGGAGTCTTCTTCGCAGCCAAAGCAGCTGGAACAAAGGAAATCTTCGTTTTCTGCTCAGTAACTGGAAATTTCTCAGAAGAAGAATGACTGTAGTAGTACTTCTGGTCAGAAGAGTAGTAGGTGGTGCCTGGGGTAAGGGCGTCAGCAGACGGGTTGTACAGCTGGTAGAAGTTGTACATGTTTGCTGGGCCTTGGTAAGTATCGAACTGAATCAGCTCGGTCATTGTTATCTAGTAGTCGTTTTACTTAGTAGAGCTCGTTGGTCGATTGTAATCGAGTAGTAGTCAAGCGGTGGTTGACTGGTGGTACAAGCTCAGGTAGGTTCTCTCTCTTTCAGTTGCTGAAGGATAAAGAACAAGAAAAAAGTGGTAGGGAAGAAAACAGGATAGAGGGAAAAAGGCCAGGTATTTATATTCAAAAAGTGGGAAAACTGGCCAGCTCTGGGGAAAGTGGTAAATTGGTATAAGTTGGGAAGCTTCAAAAGAGTAAGTCCAGTGTGCGCATATATTATGGTGGAGGAGAACCTCCGGTAAAGAAGCGTATACTCACTCAATTGCAGTAGAAATTGACTTTTTGGATACGGCGAGAAAAGAGAATTTTACTACGGTCATTTTGAGACCCATAAGTGTGGGTTTTCGGGTGTTCTTAATGGCTGCAAAATAGACGTTTCTGTCCCTGCGTTTTTGTGTCGCAGAAACAGCTTACATAAGCAGAGTATCAAAAAAGGAAACTATAGAGATATCGGCACTAAAAAGTAGAAAGTACAAAGGGACATGAATTACGAGCGGAGGTCATTGTCCGACAGAAGTTGCAAAACCTTCTATATTTCGAAAGATTATGGCAGACGTAGTCATTTCTTCGAAGAGAGGGTCATCAATGGCTCTCAGATACAGTGACAAGTAGCAGTTATGGCAGGTAGAGCTTCGCCTTAATTCTTCCACATTATTTTACGTTTTGAACGCCCTACAGGGGCTCATAAAATTTATCCTGGTTTGCCGTTTGGGCAAGATTCTTACGCCTCAGTAGGAGATTTGCCGTTTTACTTCATTGAATTCGTTCAATTGGTCTTCGTCTTTTGAAATGACATTAGCTGTTGAGAAACACCGTTATTTGTAGACATACAGTTGATCGTTAGTGCAATAAAGAATAAAAAAGTGGTAACCATTATATCTCGCTCATTATTAATCCGGGATAAGAAAGCACCTCTTCCCTCTCCAATACTTACTAAGTTCTCATCTACTACTGTAAGCTAGTAAACTACGCCACATGTCGTTCAATCTAACAATTTGAAATAAATATTAAGGAAAGTCACCGTAACGAGGACCAATGTAACCATCTGGCGCTTCTGATATAGGTTTCAAAGCCTGCTGGCCATCTCCACCCTCAATGCCCTGGTAAGATACTGTGTTACCCCACCAGTCAAGAGGTTTATCGTTATACTGAACAGCAAAGAAAATGATGATACTGCTGAAAGCAACGCCAGCATCCAAAGCTCCTGACAACACGTAGTTATACTTCTCCCACCAGGCCTGGTAACGCTTTCTAATGTAGTACATGAACGCAAAAGAAGCGTAAAGACCGCCAGTGTAGTAGGACAAGTTATAAGGAGCGTAGACCAAGAAACCTCCTATAATCAATGTAGGCTGGAAGTATTTTGTGTACTTCTTTGGACCAAATTTCTTGAAAATAATACAGGGAATTGTAGCAACAGCCCCCATTAGGAAACACCATTCTAATAATGGGTAAAGGCCACCAAAGACTTTCTTTGGGCCGATTGTACCCCACAAAACAGAAGCTGAAAAGAAAATGTTTGAGTTTGGACAGTAGAATTTTTGATTGCTTTGAGGCGTACAATAGTCTTCGACATTGTCAATCATAAAATTCATCACCGCCAACGAGACAAAACACGAAATAAAAACCGAAAGCATCTGACAGCGGAAGAGTGCTCTTGGGGGAACCTTGATATAATGGCCCATCTTCTGATCGGTGATATAATTCTGAGCCTGGCCGTTGATATTATAGCCCAATGCCTTGATGAAGTTCAAGGCTAATGCGTTACCTGGCAAGGCATATCCAACGATTAATTCAACTAAGACATTAAGACCAAAGCCCCAGCCTGTTGTAGCTTGAATAGCAGTAAGGGGAATCAAAAAGATGACATTCATTCCAAGGGCGAAGAAAATACCCCATACGGGTGTTTCAGCTGGATATACTTCAACGCAGATGATGGCTAATACAATGGATATCACCAACACAACAAGAAAAACCCAGTCTGCGACCTCCTTATACTGTTTCATCATGGTTGTATGAGGGTCATCAAAACCTTCAAAATTAGACCTTCTGAAGTTCTTAAAAGAACTGCCTATGTTTTTGATTGCAAACCACATAGGTCTCCAGTTCATTAAGACTTCGTAGATAAAGGCGAATGGGTAAATAGCAAAGAATGTACCGTAGACAAGCAAATTAGCGGCCGAATAGAATGGTGGGCCAATCTCTTGGTACTTTGCCTCGTCAAACAACGATCTATCGTTAACAACCTCTTCAATCTGATATCTTTCGCCTCTGTTGTTAAACAAAGTGGAGGTATTAATAGGAAGATAAGCTGTTCCATAGAAGTTGGTGTAGTAGAGCCCAAGGATGCAGAAGAAACCGAGAACAATACCAATATATTGGTTGACCTGAGAATAGAACGGGATAACCAAAGGAGAATTCCAACTTATAATGTTCCAATCAAATGTCGGGATAGGATTCAAACCCAAGCCATAAAGATGGCCTGTTACGACGTTCAAGTCGAAGTTGTAAGGCGCAATCCAAGTGATCCAATTGAAGTAAGACATGGCTTCAAAGAGATACGTTGGCACCCAGAAGTAAAGGAACGAACCAGAAAAAGCGGTAAAAAAGAACGAGTATCTCGAAATAGTCCATCCGTTGATATTCGCCTTCTTCTCCTTCTGCATTAAAGCTCTATTCAACGCAAGCGTTGGCAAAAGAGTAGGCCACATTGCTCTAACAGGGTAAACTGCAAACTTTCTGATAATACCAGCAATTCCAAAACCCATAAACTGGGTGGAAAGCATTAGCAAGATTTGATAGCCCCAATCAGCCCACTGATTATTGAAATAATGAGGAAGCCTCTGAACATGAATATTAAATGAAACATATGGTGTACCGGCAGAAACAGAGTAGAAAATTGTTGCCAACATTTGTTCCTTATAGTTCCATGGGCCAGGGTTCAAATCGATGGTCCACCTCCAGATCGTGAATTTCTTGTGAGGGAGAATTGCAGCCAACAACTCACCAGATGGGTAAAGCAAAAGCTGGACCACAGGTGTACCTAAGTAAATACCAGGCTGTCTTTCAGCAAAAAACTGGTTTACAAAAGAGCCAACGGCAGTCCAGATGATTCCTAAAATGTACACTCTCAAGGTTTCAACTGGAATACTGGTATCATCATAAGGACTAGTGACCGATCTGACTTCGGGGTATGGGGAGAAATAGGCAATCATGACAGCTTCAGTACGAATCTGGAAATCCCAGTCAAAAATGCTGAACTGGTTGCCCTCGACATCGGATTCCTGAACCGCGTCGGGCACTTCCTTCTTCTCCTCGATAATTGTATTTTTTTCGTCGCCATAAACCCTCTTTTCATCCAGTGAAGTATCCTTTTCTCCAGACTGAGATTGACCAAAGTGCTCTGGTGCTTCTTCAAAAAGCCTTGTAGTAAAATCATATTCAGAAGTGGGAATATTGACATCGTCCAGATGATCTTTTAAGTACTTGCCTAGAATTTCTAAGGACTGTGGCACTGTCATGTGAGCGACTCTTTCCAATAAGAAGGTTGCTGATACTGGCAAATCATCCAAATCGTCTAACATTTGGAAGTTGAGACGCTTCAAAACATAAAACTTCTGCTCAGCAGTGAGTTCTGGCGCAACATCATCAAGGGCAACGTCTTGCGAGCTGAGAACATCAATATCAACTCCATAAGTTGTGGCTTCTGTGGGAGGACCGTTACTGGTGATACTTGTAAGAGCCTGTACAGCAGGTAAATCCCTGTTTGCCTTGATCTGTTCCATGACTATACTGGCCAGCTGGATTCACCCCCAGCAGATGGCAGGCCATTTATGTTTCATCCATGCTAGATAGCACAAGAACCATCGAGCCACAAATGACAACATTGTGTCACAGAAAGTGCCCAGCTGTAGCGAAGAATTTCTTAGCTTCATTAACAACCACCACCTTGCAGCATTTGCGCCTATAGTAGCTGATGAAGTTGCTATAAGGACTCTTTGGCTCGGTGTAGCAATAATCATATTTCACCACTTATCATTGAGTCCCTATATGAGTCCACCGTCTTGGTAGCTTTCGTTTCCAACACTACTTTCATGTCATATCCTCCGTTCACTTAAACAAATAGTACGCACTGCCAGCCGTCCAGAGGTGCTGCCGTACGTTGTTTCGTGTAACACTATTACCTCATGAAGTCTATTTATATGAAAGCTTCAAATCCACAAAAAACCTTATCGTTCTTAAAAGGACACAAAAATACATTTCTCTGCTTCTTATCAGCAGCTCATCTTGGCGTTTCGGGACGAAGTGGCACGCACGGCATGGGTCCAGTGGGTATTTGCGGCCATTTCGGCATCTATTGATCGTTGCCCCACATAAATTATGATCAAAAAATGGTTTAGTGTCGTTTTTAATATTTTTGGTAAGGTTTAAGAGAAGGGATATTCTCGCTGATGCACCCACGCTTTTCTTTGGATTTTGTGAGTTGTCGTGAGGGATCTATGGCTGGGGAAGCCTTTTGTCCTTGACTATACCAAATATCCAGACAGCTTCCGTTCTATCAGTTACACTTTATAGAGGCCGGTACCGGTCCGTTATTCTCTGAGCGATCTAACATGCGAGCCGGCATTTGAGAAGCTTCGCTGTGTTTGCTTCTTACATTAAGGCAGGGATGGCTAAAACAGCTTTGTATGATTTCTTTCAAAAACTTGGCAGTGTGGCACCAGTTAGTTTGCTGGATGTCTCCGACTTCGATGTTAATAAGCTCTGAGATTCAGTCAATATGGTTTTTGTGAGAACCTTATCTGGGACTTAGAACTGTTTTTTTCAGTTTTGTAACCCTGTAAACCTAAATTTCAAGCTTTACACTTCCGAGAAATTGAAGTAATGTGTGGCTTTTTGATTGAAAGGACGTGTGGCTGAACTCCATACTGGAGATCAAATAACATCAGTTTGTTGTGTGGCTGATTTCAAGTAGGAGATTCGGGCTCGTTATGGACCACTACAAAGTATGAATGAAAGATAAAATAAAGTCGTTAAGTACCGATACCGAAAAATAAAAAAGAAAATGCAGAAAAGAAATAGTCAATGTTCCCAAGAATTAAAAGAAGTTAAAACCTCATCAGGCAATCTAGAGGACTGCAAACAAAACGAAAGGAAGCACCCAATTGTTGCAGAAGTCACGGACTGAACCAGATCCTTCGAGGACGCTTGGTTCAGCTGACTTGGCAGCAGATGGAGAAGCAGAATGTGCAACCGATGGAGCGCCAGAGGAAACACCTTGTCCTGAAGTGTAAACGGACTCAAGAGTTGTCACAGCGCCAGCCTTCTCTGTAGAAACACCAGCTTGTTGACCAGCACCTGGAGTCACTGCTTGGCCTGCAACAGTCTTTGATTGCGGCTTACCAGCAGGGTTTGTTTCAACGACAATGACATCCAGTACAGTGTCTACCTTTCCATTGCCCTTAGTTGTTTCGTGGACAGCGGTAAATGTTCTTTCGTTGGATGGAGAGCGAATCGAAGTAATGGAGGTAACTTCACCACCTATAGTCGTTTCAATGATGTCTGCAACAGCAGTTGTCTTGGTACCATGCTCAGTAAGAGTTACCAAGGTTGACTCTGGGCATTCACTGGTGTATGTGGTCAAATGTCCGTCAGGAGCAGTTGTCTCACAAACAACCACAGTCTTAGTAGATTCCTTTCCATCATGACCTGTGGAACAGATTGTCGTGGTAAACGTAGAGAGGTCATGAGTAGTAACGCAGGTATCGCAAGTTGTCAAAGTCTCAGTGTCACAGCTTGTAGTAGTTTCTGTCTCGCAGACTGTCGAAGTCTCAGTGGTCAAACTGCCATTCGAATCTGTGGTTTCGCAAACTATAACAGTTTCTGTCGTAGGCTTTCCATCTGCGGCCGTTGTTTCACAAACAATAATGGTTTTTGTGACAGTGCAGCCGTCGCTGTCGGTCTCACAAACAGTCGTCGTGGAAGTATGACATTCAGTACATTCAGCTGGCGACGAAGTGATTGATGATTCCTCAGGACACAGAGTAATTGTACTGCAGTGGTTCAGAGAGTCACACAGAGTAACCGTTTTGCACTCAGTAGAGGTTTCACACAGAGTGACTGTGTCGGTGAAAGTATCACACAGAGTGACTGTGTCGGTGAAAGTATCACACAGAGTAACTGTGGTGCAATCGTTGGAACTGTCACACAGAGTAACTGTGGTACAAGCTGTAGAAGTGATACACAGTGTCAGGTCGAAACTGCTAGAAGGCACACCACCGGATGGAACTGAATGGATTGATGAAGTCTCTTCGCAAGAGGTTTCTGGAAGTGAAGTATCAGGCTTTGAAGTCTCGTTAACTGAGCTGCTTGGATACCAAGATGGTGCTGGCTCAGAAGAGCTTTCTGGCTTTGAAGACTGCCACACAGACGAAGACTTTGAAGATGAGTATGAATCAGATGGACCTTCTGAGACGGATGGATGGCCCAGAATCGAGGAATGCTCTCCATGGGAAGAATGGTCAGTTACCGACGAAGAATCGTAGGTAGACGTACATTCACTTTCAGAAGAGTGCTCGGGCTTGGAGGAGTGCTCTGGCTTAGAGGAGTGCTCTGGCTTGGAAGAATGTTCTGGCTTGGAAGAGTGTTCAGGTTTGGAGGAGTGCTCTGGTTTTGAAGAGTGTTCAGGTTTTGAAGAATGCTCTGGCCTGGAAGAATATTCGGGTTTCGAAGAATACTCTGGCTTAGAAGAATGTTCTGGTTTCGAAGAGTATTCAGGCTTTGACGAATGCTCTGGCTTAGAGGAGTATTCTGGTTTCGATGAGTACTCTGGCTTGGAAGAGTGCTCTGGTTTCGACGAGTGCTCCGGTTTTGAAGAATGCTCTGGTTTCGAAGAGTGCTCTGGTATCTCAGACTCAGAACATAACTCTGATTCTGTTGAAGAAGCAGGCCCTTCGCTGGTGACATGGGCCTCGCTAGAAGTGGAAGGAGAGTCTGATACCGTTTCTTTCGACGTAGTTGGTGGGGAATGAGGTACGTTAGGGAAATCCTGGCACGTACAAAAGGCTGGTGAAGAACCTGGACAGGTGTCGACGTAAGTAATGATGCTTCCAGTGCCAGAGTCACCATTGGTATGGAAACCCTTCTTCGAGTAGCCTTTTCCAATAAAGAATTGCACGGTTTGTTTCTCAGCCAAAAACTCAACCTTTAAAATTCCAGTCCCTTCCAGGTACTCGAACCCTGAAAACTCTGTATCGAAATAGATCTCGTTGCTGCCTCCAAATCCAGCCACCTTGAAAGTTGGGGCCGTCTTGTCACCAAGTGCTAAACCAACAATAGACAATTTCGAAGATGGGGAAGAGAGAAAGATAGTCTGCTCGGCACCTACTTCGTTCCGCTTGGGGTGAAGTTGAAGGTCTGCATTATCCATGATGTTGATACATCCAGAACCTTGGATGCCTGTGACTTGCAGCCATACCAAACGCTGAAGACAGATACTACCAACATTCTTGATCGTTCCGGCCTCCAGAGAAATCTTTACTTCAGAAGAGGCCCCTGAAGCCTGCTTAAGAAATAACTTTCCGCTGTTGACCCAAGCATGGGCACCTCCAATTTCAATAGGGGAATCTCCAGAGTGGGAGCTGATACCAAGCCACATCTGGCCATCGTTAGTAAAGCTCTCGATAGATCCCATAGAGTACTTGCTCACTCCGTTGGCATCTAAAGAGTCAAAAGCTACCATACCAGAATTATGGACTGACCCAGACTCAACCGATACCGAGGCTATCGAACCTTTCGTTGATGAAACATAGAAGCTACCTTTGTTTTCCAAGCCTCCACGAACCGTAGTAAGTGGGGCGTTGATAATGGAGTAGAAAACATTCAGAATGATATTAAGACCGTCGATGTCCAATTTCTCTGATGAATCAGCAACGGTATCCTCACTAATTATCAAAGACAGTACAGCAGATATGTAGGCAGCCGTAGCAAGCCAATTACGGCAGTTCAGGAACTTCATCCGTGTTAGTGTGATGTATGGAAAAAGAAGTCATTTGGTCTCTTTTATATCTTAGAAAAAAGGAGCTTCTCGTCCCTTGCTTTGTGGTATACGAATAGAATGGTGGAACTCTGGTGCCTAGAACGTCCGTGCCTTAAGTATATGGCTTTTGAAACATTACGCATTAATCTCAGGCAATGGTTGGAGGTAGCACCACCACTTAATAGTATCAGATTGCTGATTTGAGAAGTTCATGTTTCTTCAGCAGTACTTGTTGGACCTTACATAATACTTGTTTAAATTCTGTTACGTTTTACAGCGGGGCTTCTTGAGAACAAGAAGAATATACGTACCCATGGGTAGAATGAAGTAGCCCCATTTAATATAGGTAATTATCGACCCACCTGTAAGGGGTATCGTGCTCTTATGGTATTGACAGGATTTTTGTTCGTATATACTATACATGGTCTCTCTTACGATGGAGAGAAAAAATATATACATAATTTCTTATGAACTCCTTAGAACAGCAGCCCAAGTTCTTCTTGACGCCAGCATCTCGTACAATATTGCAAATCTTGATGGAGGTGATGAATTTTCGCAACGTTTCAGGGCATATAAAGCGAGAGAATCTCCTCAATTTAATGGCTCTTCTGATTAAACAATCTTTCTTTCTTTTTCTTTTCCTTGTTTTTTTTTTTTTTTTTGGGATCTCGTAACACGATTCTTATTGACTTGTAGCTCCCCTGCAATCACCTCATGGAGAAACGTCGCCGTTACTGGAGGCCACAGAGATGTCCATAGGAGGATGCTCAGATACAGCATTCACCCCACATAACGGAGATCATAGGCTGGTAAGGCCATCTATAGTATATGTTTCTGACTTCATGGAAAGGTACATGGTTCCACTTTCAATACAAAGCACTCTGTTGAAGTGGTCACGATGAGTAAGACCACGAAAGCCTTCTGATTTGCATTTCTCAACCAGCTTTTTAAGTATATCCACGACCACAAACTCTCCTGCGGCTTCTTCAACGACCAACATTCCATTATGAATGAAGGTAAAAGATTGTAGATATCCGTTGCACGTATTCTTCACGCTCTCGCCCATCCATTGCCGAGTTGATTGCAGGTATTCCCTGATTTCTATCGCTTGTTCGGTAACTGCAATAAAATATACAATATCATCTACCAAAAGACGTAAAAGACGGTATACGGTGTCGTCTACTTCCCAGATGGTCTCCTTTCCGTTGTCGATGATAAAGATATTCTTGTCCCCAGCATACGATACCAAGTCCCCTTTCACATCTAAGTCCTCAAAATAGTTGCATTCGGCGATTTTCTCGTAAGCAGGCTTGCCAGCAACGAGGTCTTGAAGCGGAGACCTGAATAATGGCCCAAAATAACCCGTGCCTAGGTAAATATAGTTTTCTGAAAGCTCGATATATTCAATCAAACTTTCGTAATCTATTTCGTAGCCATATGGTGATTCTTTCTTAGCCGTCTCAAGTATAATCTTGAATGGTTCTAATGGGAGTTCGATTGTCTCTCCCAGGAAAGTAACCACTCTCAAGGGCTCTTCGTCAGTGCATAAGATCTCGCACATCGAATTTCTTATAGCCGCCATGCAATAGCGGCGGTTCTTGGTAACAGGTTTGAGCTTCTCGTCTACTATAGGAATTTCTGTGATACCAAGCTCGTTTGTAGTCGGCTTGAAGTAAATACACTCATTTGGTGATTCCAGGTCGCCTGACATGGGCAAGAGCTCTATATCAGGAACAAACTCTGGCTTAGCGCTCTCTAGAAAGCTGGTCATTTTGAAAATTCGTGCCTGTGATTGCGATGGTATTTCGGGTACTACACCAGTGTCTTTGAGGCTTTCATTACTTTCTTCTTGAGTTTCAGTTACGCCATGTGCTTTTTCTCCCGCCAGGTCGTTCCTCTCGGTCAATGAGCCCAATGTCACTTTTTCCGTAGTTCCAGTACCACTTGTGTCATCCTTTTTGTACAGCATTGGCATCAATGGGCGCCAAGGGCTTTTTTCAAGGTTGCTTCGAAACGATAAAACCTGGGTTGATAACACCAGACCAAATATGGCCATGCAGTCTGATTGACTCATAACCAGTCTAAATACGACTGAATGGAGCATTTAACGCCATTTTGTTCACGGTTTCTTCTCTTTTTGGATAAGTAAAGGTTACTTTTGTATAGCTCTGTCTCTGTATTTTCCAGTTTAATATCGGTAATACATTTTCAATTTGAGCACGAAAAGACTTATCATTATGCATATTCAGTGCGGTTCTTGATACGAACCATAAATGGAAAAATTAAAACCGCCATCAAAAATCGAAAACTGGGTATTTTTCTTTGAAAGTGACAGGGAAAAGTATAGCAGGGTATCGATGAATACATATCACATTTATAGTGGTTGAAGATAGTTCCTCGGCACGCCATGGATGATCTTCTGATTCACTGTTTTCACCCATATATAACGTCGCACTGATTAAAAATTCCAGCTGTTTAGCAAGAAAAAGATAATTACCGAAAGTGAATGTTTATGTCATTCAGCAGTGAATACCATGCCACCTCATACGTTTTGATATATCCCAGTGATGCCCGTCAATAAGACAGTCATAGTTAACAAAAAAAAAAAAAATAAGAGGAAGAGCTTTCAAAATGACTCCTTTCGGTCTGAATCGCAGCCCATAGGCCCAGAGGGCTGCGAGCACTTTGGGATCTTTCAGAAGTGAGCTATTTTTTCTGGATGGGTAAATGAAAGATGTTTTGTATGTTTGTCTTTACCCGTGGTGAAGGTGCCATTCTTGGCTGTAAGGGATGGTGGAGGGGAACAATGGCATATGCATGGTGACTTAAGTCTTGATTGCGGCAGTATTATCATCACCTTACATTTGTTGTGTGGAACCCAAGCCAATCTTGTTCTATCTGTTCTGCGTAGGATAACATGTTTATCCAAGCAAGTATTGCTTCCAATATTCAAAGAGAATGACCTACCAGAGCACCACTGAGGAAACATGCAGCTTTTCTTCATCCCGGTAAGCTGAATGTCGTTGACGAAGTGGTAGCACCGAGAGCGGGCCAAGATTTTGGATGCAATGCCCGAGGAAGAGCAGACATGTATATCCGAAACAAACGATAGGGGTAGCAAGAGTCTCGACTCCAGGTTTGACCATAGCCAACGTTTTTTTTTGCTCTTTTGGTCTTGTTTCCGCCCGGAGATAATACTTGAACCTTCAACACACTGTAGGATAGTGAACCGTGGCTGAATGACGGCTATACTAGTAACTCCATAACACCCGTCTTGAGATTTAAATGCCAGAATTCAAAGCTAAGACTTACTCTACTTTTCCTCCGAAGCATCTGTGACACCTGAAGCTTTACCATCTGGCCTATTGCCATACCTGCAACCACACAGCCCAATATCGTTCCTACCAGAACCCAGCTTCCCGACTTCGATTAATATAAAGTCGCAGGTATGGTAAACCATGCAGAATATACATAATTGACTCTTTTGAGGAACTATCCTTCGGTCAGACCAATTTGATCGAGTGGTCACATACTTCAGAACAGGTTCTCGAAGAAGCTCTTATTGTGCAAAAAACTGAGGAGTTCAATGACTATTGCTGCAATTAACAAGCCAACTATCGCGAATACTCTTGAACCAAGTATCAAGTATCACAATGACCACATTGATAATAACCAACTTGGCTTCTATAAGCATGTGTCGTCCCACAAAGATTTGCAACATGCTAGTGCTAAAGCTGCAAGGTTTACCAAAATACCAACGGGGAAAATGCCATTAAGCTGACTGCCTTCCAAATGTAATGAGGCTCAATTATGCTGATCAATAGGGCCCCGTGGACTACATCGTATCAGTGCGGCTCAGAGGGGATACGATACGTCAGTCATTGGCGATTGAGCGCCCCATAAAATTTGATCAAGACCTTCTACGCTTTGTAGTTCCTCTGAATTTGATCAAGATTTAGAGTAATCTTCCAAAGGACAAATCGTTCCATATATTTTTTGCTATATATAACTCCATTGTCGACTTACGTTTCATAAGTTTTGTTGGCATTTATTGATTGCTGCAGTAACACCCCAGAGATGATGGAAAAACACTCAATAACAAGTGATAAGTTCTCATCGCCTACCGTCGCTCTCTGAAATACTCAATTCATGACTGATACGAGAATTCAAAAACTTTTCCCAACTTGAATCCCTTATGCCTAGCATTATAACAATTCAATCTATCTTCTTCATACTCCTTTTGAGCAGCCTGAAACAGTTCCATGTCGGACAGGCCTCCTTTCGTGAAACTAAGCGAAGCAAGATTGAGGAGTTTTATAGCAAAGCCCATCCTAAAAAACCATATCAATTAATGTAACGTGAGGAATATTAGCCCTTATTTATATTCCCGTGCAATCATGCGCACAGCTGAAATGATAACACAAATGCAGTACCTTGCTGTGGTGGAGTTATCTGTGGGTGGGGCAGGTGAGGCCTCCAAAAGGAGAATTGCTAAACACACAACAACTTTTTACTTAATACACAATGTACAGGTAATGCCTGTACTTGACACATCAAATTATCAGAAAGATGATAAAAACGAAGTAATGAAGAAGAGATAAGCTAAAATAGACCGTAGATGAAAGTCGATTCTGCTGCAGCATCTGCGGGTTTCGCGATAATTCTGCGCTTCGACTGTGGCTTAGTGAAACGCCCTTTGGTTGAATTTCCGGTTCACACTATCGGCAGCGTGATGCATAAGATGGAAAGACCCTTAAGCATAGGTTTCTTTTTGGGTCCTTGCATGCTACGACGGCATCGATTTGCTTTTGCCTAACTTTGTAATGCTTTCTTGCTCTTCCTGCCGTAGAGGGGTTGCGCCACATGCAAAACGTGAAATCGCTTATCATTTCGGCGGACCCGGATGCCACACGAACGAAATTTATGAATCCGTGTAAGCGAGTGGCTCCACTGTGGCTAAGAAGAAGATTGGCGCGGGGCAGCGCAATTTTCTAATAATGTAGAACTGAAACGCTGCTATAAGTACGAGCTCTTTTGTTCCCGGCAATATTTTTTTTTTCTTGTTTTTAACACACACATTCGAATCAAGGATGAAGTTTATGTTTTTTTTTGCTCTCTGCGGTGGCTATTGGAGCTGCTGTGCCCGACTCTGAGAAAAGAAGTAGCCACACACATCTGGCTGAGCAGTCCGCGTTAATCTCGGCTTGGAAATTGGAGAACTACGACCCTCACATTTATGATACTGCAGTTCTTCACCAGAATTACTGGGAATATCACAATGGAACCTATGGTGGCGCCATTGTAGGTGTCGACGATATCTCCAAGGAGATAGATGATGTGGGGTACATCGCCAATATGAACGACGAGCAACCTGTTGGAGTTTTTAATTCGGTGAATGTGGAGGATGCAATTGCAGCGGGTGTTCGAGTATGGCCCATTGATACCCGCCAATTGCCGCGTAATAGAGCCTCAAGGAAGGATGCATGCGACATACTGATCGCTGGTCCTCTTTTATATTTCTAGTACTTGATAGCTATCTTCACCACTTCTACTTCAAATAGTACCTAACAACAGCCTGTCGCCGTTAGAAAGTCAAATTGTAGGTAAATTGCCCTTTTGTGCTGCTTCTTGGAGACGAAGCTGTACGACGTCGCACCTGATGCGACATTCTGGCTGCAAAACACCACTCGGCATGCGCATAATAGGAGCATCTTGGAAACAGTATTGGCAATAAGGAGGGAGAGCAAATATGAAAGCTTATTCTTTCCCTATCTCTGGATAGCAAAAGTTAGATGTTGTATTTCGACCCTCGGCGACGAGATTTCGGGCGCTTGGCCGGGAATCAGCAAATCCTGGCCGGTGAAGCTTTTGATGGTTTTTCTTAACTAGGACATGTAGTCTTGGCATATCTACAAATAATGGTTTTTGAAGATTGTGGCAGAAACATCATATACTCGATGAAGATTTTGTGGAAGCAAAGATGGGAGACTGAAATGGCGTGTTAGAGTAATACTGATGCTGGAGATCACTGCGTTTGTGATGCTCACCATGATGATACAACCACTTTGCACAAATTACTTACACGTGCTTCTTCTGTTGCAACTGTGGTTCCAAACTGACGCAATTCAGTAGAATTAACAATACTACAAGAAACTTTCATGGCAAATTTTCATCAGGGTGGCAGCTTCAGGCGGTATAAGAAGAGCTACTGGCCCTCTAGAGTTTACCGCATCAAAGAAATGGTGTCCAAAGAGCATAAAGAGAAAGAAAACCACCAAGCTTCAAACTCCAGCTTAGCTAGTCTGAGTGTAGAGGATAAGAAAGATGGTGCAAAGACTATTGAGGTGAAGGAATTGGAGGATTCAGAAGATTCGAGTGAGCTCGAATTGCAACAGAGGTCGAAGCAAGAAAACCCTTTCCTTGACCCCTTCTTAGCTGAATACTATGCTCGTATATATGAAGAGAGCAAATATGAGTGCCGTTCTGCGTTTGATCCTCATTTCGAGTGGACAGAAGCTGAAGACAAGAAGTTGATGCGCAAGATTGACAGAAGAGTCATTTTAAGTGCTTGTATCATGTTTGCTGCTTTACAAGTAAACCGAGGAAACTTACACGAAGCTGTTGCAGATAACCTCTTGGAAGACTTGAACATGGACACGAACGATTATAACATGGGTAACACGATCAACTTACTTTGTTTCTTAGCCGCTGAACTCCCTTCGCAGGTCATATCGAAAGCCTTGGGACCTGATATCTTCATTCCCATCCAGATCTGCTCATGGTGTATTGTCTCTACCTGTCAAGGAGCCATGCACAATAAGACAGGCTTTTTAATCTGTAGAGCCTTGATAGGGCTCTTCCAGGGAGGGTTTATCCCGGACATGGTACTTTGGCTCTCGTACTTCTATAAGTCAGGGGAGTTACCTCTTCGGTTATCATACTTCTGGACAGCCTTGGCAATTACCCAAGTGGTGACGTCTTTGCTTGCTTATGCAATACTCAGAATGAGAGGAGTGGGAGGTTTAGCTGGTTGGCAATGGCTTTTCATCCTTGAGGGAGCAGGGTCCTTGCTTATTGGAATCTGGTCATTTTACCTAATGGTACCCTCTGCTGTTCAAACTAGAAACAAGTTGCACCCCAAGGGCTGGTTTACTGAGAGGGAGGAGAAAATTACTGTGAACAGAATTCTTAGAGATGACCCTTCCAAGGGCGGAATGCACAACAGGCAAAGCTTGTCGTTAAAGATGATCTTGGGCTCCCTCTGTGACTATAACTTGTGGCCCCTCTTTGTAATTGGTCTATTTGCATACATGCCCATGAGGACGGTTCTGCCTTACATGGTGTTGGCAATGAAGAACCTTGGCTTTAGCACCTTTGATGTGAACTTGTTAACAATCCCTCTGCATGTCCTTCAGATTATTTTTATGCTTGGAGTGACCTGGTTTTCTGAGTGGGTGAATGAAAGAGGTTTTGTATGTTTGTCTTTACCCGTGGTGACGGTGCCATTCTTAGCTGCAATGAGGTGGTGGAGCGGAACAATGGAAGATGCATGGGTGACTTGGTTCTTGGTCACGATGGTACTTTCAGCACCGTACGTTCATACCATTTGTGTGGCATGGGTTTCCAGAAACTCCAACTCAATCCAGTCTCGTTCTATCTGTTCTGCGTTGTATAACATGTTTGTTCAAGCAGGAAGTATCATTGCTTCTAATATTTATCGGGAGGATGACCTACCAAAGTACCGCCGGGGAAATATGCAGCTTTTCTTCATCATGGTGAGCTTAATTCCTATAATCTTGTTGACAAAGCTTTTCTATGTTAGGAAGAACCGAGAGCGGGCCAAGATATGGGACGCAATGTCGGAGGAAGAGCAACAGACATACATATCTGAAACGAAAGACAGGGGCAACATGAGGCTTGATTTCAGGTTTGACCATTGAAGAGCTTTCTTGCGGTCTTGCGGTCTTGTTTCCGCCCGGAGATAATACCGTAACCTTCAACACTTTGTAGGATAGCCAACGGTAGTTCAATGGCGGCTATACTAGTAACTCCATATTATCTGTCTCGGAATTTGAAAAATCACCAGAATCCAAAACTACAAGAAGATCTTATTCATTGTAGAAGTCTACTTTTCCTCCGAAGCATCTGAGATTATACCCGAAGCTGTAACACCTGGCTTATTCCAAGCCTACATCTCCAAACAACCAATTTCACCTTCAAAAACCATCACCCTAAATTACACCACCCACATTGCTCCGGCTATACATACCACAAACCCACCTCCAATGTTCTCTGGTGTTGCTAGACACAGCCGCACCGAGAGATTGACGCATGGAAATAGACATTGATCCAACAAATGAGAAGAAGAGCATAAGATAAAGAACAAGGGCCCAAAACGCAAACAATCCTGCTCAAGGCTCCGTTTAAGCACTTCTTACTCGGCCGGAGTTTACCTTGTTGTCTTCCTCCATAAAAGCCTCTTGAGATTTCACTTCCTCATATGATAAGGTCCATTAACTCCCACCCTCCCCCGCAATCAATGGCTGCAAACACAAAAAAGACATTGACAGAACTGGTCCGCAAGCGATAATAGAACATTTTTGACAGGTCAATATCTACAAAATAAATACCCCCGTATCGTCGGAAGAACTCCCGGACTTACCTTGCTAATCACCGCCCCTGAACAACCCCACATTCCTCTCCTCTTCTCGGTTCGCAAGTCTATCCTGTGAACAATGCGGAGGCTTATGTAGCGAATGTGGTGGGAATCAATATATTAACCTCTAGGGAGGGTTAAATTTGTAAGTCACAGTTTTTTTGACGTTATGTTGCTGACTGGTTTTGAAGCTATCCCCTGGTGGGCATGGGTTCCGCTAGTGTATGTGATCTACAGAATTACCTCTTATGTGAGTTACACTATCAAGTACTATAAGCTGGGAGCGTCTGCTCCACCACACTATAATGACGGTGTTTTTGGATTTTGGTTTACTAAGGAGACTTTGAGAAGAAGGAAGACGGGAGAGATTCCTCAGTTGTTTATTGAGTTGTACGACAAGATAAAGAGGGATACGTTTACGTTCCGTGCTACTGGTACTTGGAGGTTTTGTACTCGTGATCCAGAGAACATCAAGGCTATCTTGGGTACTCAATTCAATGATTTTTCGTTGGGCCTTCGCCATAAGCAATTCCGTGTTGTTCTTGGCGATGGCATCTTCACCTTGGATGGTGCTGGCTGGAAACACTCTAGGGCTATGCTTAGGCCTCAGTTTGCAAGAGAGCAGGTTTCCCATGTCACCATGTTGGAGCCTCATGTCAAGCAAGTCATTCGCAGAGTGAAGGCTACCAATGGCTCGAAGTTTGACCTCCAGCCGCTTTTCTTCAAGTTGACAATTGACTCAGGCACGCAGTTCTTGTTTGGCGAATCTTGTGCTTCTCTTCAGGATGATATTGCTGATTATGCGGACCTCCCAGGCCCAGAAGAGATGGAACACTTCCCAAAGGCTTTCAATACTTCTCAGACGTATCTTCTCATGAGAATGGGTCTTCAGAACCTTTATTTCTTGCTCAACACTAAGGAATTCAAGGAATGTAACAAGATTGTACACCATTTTGCTGATTACTACGTGAACAAGGCTCTTGAAGCCACTTCTGAAGAAGTCGAGAAGCATGCTGATTCCGGTTATGTGTTTTTGTATGAGTTGGTGAAGCAAACAAGAGATCCTAAGGTATTGAGAGACCAATGCTTGAACATTCTTGTTGCTGCCAGAGATACCACCGCTGGACTTATGTCCTTCTTGTTCTTTGAGCTTTCGAGAAATCCTGCTGTATTCCAAAAGTTACGTGCCGAGATTGTTGAAGCTTTTGGTGAAGGTGAAGATGCCGACCTCAGCAAGATGACTTTTGAGTCTCTCAAGAAGCTCGAATATCTTAAGTGGGTCCTCAATGAAACTCTCAGGTTGTACCCTTCTGTGCCGCAAAACTCTAGATTGGCAACTCGTGATACCACCTTACCGAGAGGTGGAGGCAAGGAGGGTAACGATCCTGTCTTTGTTCCAAAAGGTTCAGTGGTGGTTTACACAATCTATGCAACCCACAGAAACCCCGAGATCTATGGTAAGGACGCAGGTGTTTGGCGTCCTGAAAGATGGGGCGAGCCTGATCTTAAGAAGGTTGGTTGGGGATTCTTGCCTTTCAATGGTGGCCCACGTATCTGTTTGGGCCAACAGTTTGCCTTAACTGAGGCCTCATACGTCACCGTCAGACTTTTGCAGAACTTCAGCAACATTGGGTCTTTTGCTGAGCCTGGTGATCCAAAGAAGAATACGCATTTGACTATGTCTTTACATGGCGGTACTAACATCAAGTTATATTGAAACGTATATGGTCATTAAGATTTTGTTATTTTTTTATTAGATTTCCCATTTTTTGATTAGATTATGGGAATTCACCGATACGAGGACCGAAGTAGCCATCTGGAGCATGCTCTGTAGCGTTTAACAAGCTCATCTGTCCATCACGGCCTTCAATTCCCTGGTATGAAACCGTGTTACCCCACCATACAAGTGGCTTTTCATTATACTGGACAGCAAAGAAAATGATGACACTGCTAAAAGCGACACCAGCGTCCAAAGCTCCGGACAAAACGTAGTTATACTTCTCCCACCAAGCCTGGTAACGCTTTCTAAGGAAGAACATGAAAGCGAAGGAAGCGTAAAGGCCACAAGTGTAGTAAGACAAGTTGTATGGAGCATAAGTGAGCATACCACCAATAATCAAAGTTGGCTGGAAGTATTTGGAGTACTTCTTTGGAGCATACTTCTTGAAAGCAATGCAAGGAATTGCAAGAAGAGCACCAATCAAGAAGCACCATTGCAAGATTGGGTAAAGACCACCAAAGACTCTCTTTGGTCCAATGACACCCCACAAGACCGAGGCAGAGAAGAAAATGTTGGAATTAGGGCAGTAAAATTTCTGCTTACTGTTGGGGGTACAGTAATCCTCGACATTATCAATCATGAAGTTCATCACAGCCAATGAAACAAAGGAGGAGATAAACACTGAGAGCATCTGACAACGGAAAAGCGATCTTGGAGGAATCTTGACGTAATGAGCCAACTTTTGATCAGTGATATAGTTTTGAGCCTGACCGTTAATGTTGTAACCCAAGGCCTTGATGAACATCAAGGCAAGACCGTTACCTGGAATGGCGTAACCGACGATAATTTGCACCAAGACGTTAAGACCGAACTGGAAACCAGTAGTGGAGTAGATAGCAGTAAGTGGAATCAAGAAGACGAAGTTAATACCAAGGGCGAAGAAAATACCCCAAACTGGGGTTTCAGCTGGATACACTTGAACACAAATGATGGCGAAGACAACAGCAATTACCAAAACAAGAATGAAAACCCAGTCAGCGACTTCATCGTACTTTCTCATCATAGTTGTGTGTGGGTCGTGGAAACCTTCGAAGGTAGACTTTCTGAAGTTCTTGAATGAGCCACCTAAATGCTTCAATGAGTGCCACATAGCCTTTCTGTTCAAGGTAACCTCGTAAATGAATGCAAAAGGATACAAGGCAATGAAAGCACCGTAAACAAGCAAGTTAGCAGCAGTATAGAATGGTGGACCAACTTCCTGATACTTTTGTTCGTCGAACAAGGATCTTTCATTGACAACATCGCTCACTTCATATCTGAAGCCCTTGTTGTTGTACAAGGTAGAAGTATTGATTGGAAGATAGGAAGTCCAGGAGTAGTTGGTGTAGTAAAGGCCGATGATGATGCAAAATCCGAGAAGAGATCCAATGTACTGGTTCAACTGGGAATAGAAAGGAATGGTCAAGGCCATGTTCCAGTTAATGACATTCCAATCGAAAGTTGGAAGTGGGTTCATTCCGAGACCGGTAAGGTAACCAGTCACTAAAGTCAAGGTAAAGTTTTGAGGGTCAATCCATGTAAGCCAGTTGAAGTAAGACAAAGCTTCAAACAAGTAAGTTGGGAACCAGAAATAAAGGAACGAGCAGGTGAATGCAATGAAAAAAAAGCTGTACCTTGAAATCGTCCAACCATGAATGTTTTCTTTCTTTTCTTGCATCAACAAAGCCTTGTTCAAGGCGAGTGTTGGCAAAATGGTAGGCCACATGGCTCTGACAGGATAGACAGCAAACTTTCTGATGATACCGGCAAAACCAAAACCCATAAATTGAGTGGAAAGAATAAGCAAGATCTGGTAACCCCAGTCGGCCCATTGGTTGTTGTAGTAGTGAGAAAGTCTTTGGACGTGAATGTTGGAAGAGACGTATGGTGTACCAGCGGAGACAGAGTAGAAAATCGTAGCCAACATCTGTTCCTTATAGTTCCATGGACCAGGGTTCAAATCAATGGTCCACTTCCAAACCTTGAATTTCTTTGCTGGAAGAATAGCAGCCAACAACATACCAGATGGGTAAAGCAAAAGCTGCACGACAGCAGCAGTAATAGTGATAGAAGGCTGTCTTTCGTGGAAGAATTGGTTAACGAAGGCACCAACAGCGGTCCAAACTATACCCAAGATGTAAACTCTAAGAGTCTCCACTGGAAGGTTGTAGTCATCGTAAGGGTTGGTCACAGATCTAACTTCTGGGTATGGAGAGTGGTAAGCGATCATGACAGCCTCAGTACGAATTTGCAAGTCCCAGTCGTGGATTTCAAAATTGTTGGACTCAACATCAGAAGGAGCATCGTCAAAGTCAGAAGTAGAACCCTTTTCGTTGGTGACAACATTGATTTTCTTCTTTTCCCCGAGATCCAGCGAGGATTCTTTTTCATCAAAGTGGGCAGCCAGAGTTCCAGCAATCTGCTCTGGTGCCATGTCGCAAAGCTTCTGGATGAAGTCGTACTCGTCCGTAGGAATATTAACGTCTTCATCGTGATCCTTCAAATATTCTCTCAAGATCTCCAAAGCTTCTTCGATCAGCATGGTTCCGATCTTTTCCAACATGAAAGTTGCATCAACAGGCAACTCTTCAAGAGTCTCCAAACCTTCATGGTGAAGACGCTTCAAGCAGTAGAATTTTTGTTCAGATGTAAGGCCAGAAGCAACATCGTCAATAGCAACATCATGAGAGTTGAGAGCATCAAGGTCAACCTCATGAGCAGCAATCTCGGTACGACTACCAGTACTGGCAATGTTGGACAATACCTCGTTTATTTTCTTGTCGTCTTGTCCAGGTACTGCCAACGACATATTGTAATGAAGGTGAAAAGCAAAGAAAAAATTACATTTTCTGGGACAAACAAAGGGCTATTTATGCCCAGGGCACTTTTCCCCATGATTCATTATCTGCGTCCATAGAAACGCTTGCAAATACAGAATACCAAGACTTCTTCTCCGCGTCAACACTGTAGAGAAGGTCTGTGGCTCGCTGTAGAGCCGTACGATTTAATGACTCGGGCCGGTTCAGGGCTTGAAGTTTTTCTTGGGCGTTTCCAAGCAAGTCGTCTGACAAGGCGGGACGCCCCGGCAAGAAACCTGACAATGCATGGATGGGTCCCATCACCGACGTGGCCCAAGAAAACCCCCCAAGACCCCACATTATCTAGCCACAATGACGACAGAGTGAAGCAAATTCCATACAGACAATACCACGGTGAAGCATCCGTTTGTTCGTGAGTAGTTGGTCGCAAGGGTCCCGTCTTCCAAACCATGTTCACCAGGAACTAGCAACACAAAAGGTCAGTAGACTTAGCGCTACGCTTTTTGGAACACAATCTCTATTTTGTGATAAAACGCCATTTATTTTTCTTGTGGAAACACAACCTTATCACGACACAAGCGGCCCCACCGTACGGCTCCAAAAGTCACTTGTTTTTTGCTGCTTATCAGTGGTTTCCATGTCTGGCATGTCCAAATAGAATAGGCGCTTATTTCAAGCGCATTCGCTGGTGTTTCTTTCCAGTTAACAGCCTAAGAAGAACCAGATTTAAGTCCAGGGGCCTCGAGATCCCGTTTTAGTCTTTACATGTCGTTTTCCACCAAAAAAAAACCAAAGTTTACCCATCCTTCTATGATTTGCAACCAAACTGTGTGGCCCTCAGCGCCGCGTTGACTCATGCAGCCAAGCCAGCAGAAGACATTACCGAAGTGCAAATCAATACCAAAGACGTCCTGTCCCGCAAAAATACAATGAAACAGAAATTACCTTCTTCATTCGAAACGAACAAATCTCCCCTCCTGGTATGACGGGCCGAACAAAGCCAGTCAGTGGAAGGGCTGTCTTGGAGAGAAGGGCTGTCTTTTTGCTGTGGAAGCAGTAGGTGTCGCGATTTACGAGTCTGACTACACCCACAGGTGAAACGGAACCTGTAGTTTCATTAACATTATGTTCTTCATGGTTGGTCAGTTTTTTTTTTTTTTTGGGGTGAAACCGGAACCACGCTCGCGATCATGTCTACTTTTGGCGAAACACCTATAAATGGGTTTTTACGAAGCGGACTCCCGGTTGTGGAAGGCCCACCTTTGAAGAGATAGACCCCAGTACGAAGTCGAACAAACGCATATCCCAGTACGAAATCGACAAACGCATATCGCTTACATTCCATAGCTATCTTATCTCTCAGTAAAAGCCTCGTTGCGATGGATTTCTTGGAATGCCTTGTACTATTCTAGCGTGAGCTGTTCTAGCGTGAACTGTTAGCGGTGCTCTTCAAATGGCATTTCCCCATGTCAACACTAAGGTTCAGATCACAAAAGTCAAACGCTTCGGGATTCAGAATGCGCTTTATCAGTGATAGGCCCGATTTTGCTCTTGGACCATGCAAAGCCGCAAAATGCCTTGGTACCGCCAGGCGAGGAAACTCTTCGCTGGAGGCCGCTTGGGGCGAGTAAGTAGTACAAAAACACTTGGTGAGCAAAACGCCGTGCCAACACCTTCAGGCCTCCGGACCCTAGAGTATGGGTGATGCCGGGAGATTAAGGTTTTTTATTTTTGGTATCTCCGGTTTTTTGAATGCCGAAGATAAAACGAAGGTGTCATTACTGTGGATGATTTCGTGCCTGGTGATCCATCACTTGGTGCCTTGGAACCTCGGCTGCGCGGAATACCGGTTGGAGGGTAACAAGTGGAGGTGTTGGGAGAAGTAGGGAGTTGGAGTTTACTTTGACTTTTTATGAGTTTTGAAGAATCATGGTTTTGAGTTTCAGAAATGGGAGGGTTGTCATTCGAGTGGAACCACTCTAGCTGACGGTTTTGTGGAACCAAAGTCGTTTCGCAGCCAACGCTGGGAAGAGCAGACAACCAGTGGAGTACTGAAAAAGCCCTAAGTATCATCAACGGTTGCTAGTTGTTGCTTTCTAAATGGCGTTGCAATTTGTGAACTTTGACAGCCCCATAACCTCATCCCTCGATGCCTTTGGTCGGACAAATGCAACCTGAAGCATGCCAGATGCTACAGATGTAACACTTCAACACACAAAAAAAAAAAAGACACTGGCTGCCTTGGTCCTGGGATTAGAAAAGCCTTACAGGAACTGAGACCTCCCTAGTTTGCCAGTACCATTGTGGTTGCCAGACATGCTTGGAAACCTGAACCAATCTAAGAAAACTGGGCCTATCCCTTGGAAACTTTAAGAGACCAACCCAAGAAAGGGCTGAATAATTTGCCCGAAAGTGTTCCCGCGATGATGAACAATTGCATCAAAGCCCTCTTTCAGCCCAGCTTTCCATTGTCTTTCATCTCGCACTTCAGACACATACGTTACCGTTGAGCTTTGCGTTTATCTGATGCCATCAGTAAAAGAAAAAAGCCCAGTTTCGGATTAAGGGGTTTTGGGAGGGATAGCTTTGGCCAGAATATTTCCAGATTTCTTTGGTCTTAAGTACCTATTGCGATTCAAGTCAGAATGTGTCGCTATAAGTGAAAGGCTTATTCGGGCTCAAGACTTGGCAGTGTACAACTTATGCACGTCATGTACTTGTCATCCAGTAATCCTTGTGTCAAAAATGTCCCCTTCATGTGGAAAGGGCGGCCATCAGGCCCGCTTTTCTTACTTGCATTCACGAGTGGTTACAATTGGCTGCAAACATGGCTGGATACGCTTCCCAACTGCCGTAACTCGGCTTAGGGATCAGATTTTTCAAACTATTTAATGGGTTGATGCCACAGGCAATGGATGAGTTGAAAAATCGTCAAAATGGCTGCTGAAAACGACAACAAACATGGAAGGCATGAAGACCTTCTGGGTTCCGAAGGCGAATCTTTGGATAGGACCAGCGAGAAACGCATCGAGTCGGATATTGAATTGCAAGAGACCAATTCTTCGCCAGTCCAAAGAGAAACAGAAGGAACTGCTCGTGTGGATGTCGATGCAGAGGTTATTAGGGATAGAGGTGTCTATCGTGTGGAGGCGCTCAAGGAAGTCTTATACTCACACACCAAGGGTCTTCAAATGAGAATAACGCTAGGTGTCTCTGTTCTTTTGTGTGCCTGGGCGTCCTCGTTGGATTGGTCTGTCACTACCAGCTTGGAGCCATGGGCTACCTCTGCCTTCAACCAACACTCTATGGGACTTGGAACTCTTGCCATTGCTGTCAAAATCATTGGTGCTATCTCTAAACCTGTTTGGGCAAGGATAGCCAACATTGTGTCACGTCCAGCTACCTACATGATCTCCATGGTGTTCTACATTCTAGGCTATGTCATAGTTGCTTCTAGTAACACTATTTCAGCGTACATTGCTGGATCTGCTTTGGCAGCTGCTGGAGATTCTGGTGTCGTATTTCTTAACAGGATTATTGTAGCTGACATGACATCATTGAAGTGGAGAGCCCTTGCAACTTCCTCCTTGAGCACGCCATACATCATCAACACTTGGTATGCCGGGTATATTGTTCAGGATCTAGGACCTACCGGCTGGAGATGGGGTTACGGTATGTTTTGTATCATCATGCCAGTCGTTTTGTCTCCAGCTACTATAATCATGTTTTGGTTCGAGAACAAGGCCCATAAGCATCTTGGTGATGACAGGAACTTGAACTATAAAACCGAAATGGGCTTCAGAAAGAATTGGAAGCTGCTCATTTGGAGAGTGATTCTTGAAGTCGATGCGCTTGGATTACTTGTTTTGGGATTCTCCTTTTCTCTTCTTTTGTTGCCGTTCTCCTTGTACAATAATGCTGACGACCATTGGAGGAACCCAAGCTTGATCGCTATGTTCGTTGTTGGTGGTATTCTTCTTATCTTCTTCATCATCTATGAGTTCTACTTGGCGCCGTTCCCTATCCTCCCTAAAAGATGCTTGAACAGGACTCTTATTGCTTCAATCGTTATTGACTTCATTTATCAGCTTGCGGGAATGATTCCTTCGGTTTATACATCTTCGTTTGCATGGATCGTCAAAAACTGGAGCAACAAGGAGTGGACGTACTTCAATAACACCTTGACTATGGCTCTTTGTGTATTTGGCGTTGTGTCTGGTATTTGTATGAGGTTCACTCATAGCTTCAAGATTTACCAGTACTTCGGCATAGTCTTAGCCATAGTTGGTGCTGGAATTATGATTGACGGTAGGACAGCCAGCGATAGTACCGTTCGGTTGGTTTGGTCTCGTCTTCTTTCTGGTATTGGGGGAGGTTTCAGTGTACCAGCATCGAGTGTTGCGTTACAAGCTTCCATCCCTCACAGAGACATGGCAGTTTCCATTTCAATTTTGAGTTTGACTTCTTCTATCGGTGCTTCAATAGGTTCAGCAATTTCCACAGCAATTTGGCAGGGAAAAATGGAAGCAGCCTTACGAAAGCATATGCCTTCGAGCGTTTCCAACGAGCAGGTGAAAAGCTTCTTCGCCAATATCAGCAATCTCAGAGACTACGACTACGATAGCGATATAAGACAAGGCGGTATAAGAGCCTACAGGGAAGTGAATTTCTACTTCTATCCAATTGCCCTTAGCTTGCAAGCCATTCGCCTTGTAGCTGTTTACTTCCAAAGAAACTACTACCTTGGTGATACTAATAATGCTGTTGAAGATGAAGACGGTAACTTGATCCCTGTCGAAAAGCAACAAATGAAAGGGCAAGACGGAGAAAAGGGAGGAAAGAGGAATTGGAAGAAGATCTTGCTCAATGTAGATGGTTGAGGTCACTAGGCAAGCTTGATTAATTTTCATTTAGAGTTTGGAAGTATCCACAAATGTAGAAAGACTAATTCTTAAAAAAGCGCATGATAGTAGTCGTCAGCGTAGAAGTCTCACAAGCAGGTTTGTTCAATTTCTTGTCTGTGAAGTAGTAGCAAACAAGAAGTTGAGTTTAATTGTGTATGGTCAAGCCATGTAAGATGATGAATTGCAGCTTTATCTTTCTGAAAATTGGAGCACTGAGCAAACCATGCTTGCAGACTTCACCTCTGACATTTTGAAACGTCATTTTTCCCAAAAAAAAAAAAAAAAAAAAAATTACATCAGGGTCCTAACATGGGAAACTATTTAGTTTTGTGATTTTTATGATGCAATACCGTGCGGCTATCATAATACACGAATCAAGAAACGTCATGAAAAATCGAATATCCCACCAAAATGAGAATTAAGAAAAGAAAAAGTCAAGGATGGCTTATACCTCGCTTGATATAAATTTTCCCTGGTAAGCATCCATTCACTACCTTTCAACCATGAAACATTCGTTTCACTGGTCCCTCGAAGGTGCGTCTGCAAGAATCGATCAAATCAGGCTATACTTGTAGTCATTCAGAGATAGTAGCCCTGTAGGATAAATTAGATAGATGAAGTTTAAGGCACATGCTGAGCTGAGTTAATGGGTCAAAAGAGTTTCTGTGATATTATTGAGCTCTTGCTGGATACAAAAGGGTGTATTCACAGAGCAAACAAGTGGACATAGCCTTACAGCTTGAAAAAAAAGAAGACAAAAAAAAAAAAATCAACTTAGTGCAAAGTATTTTGTACTGTACTACGTCACAGGCATTCACAAAATGAGTAACGGAGCTTTGCTTCATATGATAGCTAGTTGTTCTTGGTCCTCGAAGCATGGCTAATCGCCTTGTTCGCTAGTTCCGCTTCTCTATTGTCAACTACCACGTATCATTTTAGTGCTCAATAGATGGGCCTTTCAACCAAGGAGGTTTACTTCATTCATTGTTTCTTCAGATTGTCTGAGACCGTGAAAAACCTTGTAGAGCAATTAGTGGGCAGTTTCGTTATTGTGATCATTTTCTTATGCCAGCAATCCCCAGAAAGGCGATTTAGCTTAGAATAGAAAACGAATGGCCATGGAATATAAAAAGGGGAAAAGAAAGAAAAAGTGAAGAGAAGGAAAAAGGAAAGTTTGCATCACATCAACAAAGATCATCCAATTGGAAATAAGGTGAATGGCTTACAGCAAGAAGAAGCTTCTCACATCCCCTCCAGTGCCTTCGCTTCTACCCAAAAGAAGTCTGGTATAATGACTAGGCTTTGCCTGAGCTAATTACACAAAAGAAGAAGCGGCATGGGCAAAAAACAAAGAACTTGCATTATTCACCATGGGCTATTGTTTTGCATGATGCCTGTATAACCATGTAATCACTTCACATAGCTACAAACAGGGACGGGGTATTACGTACGGCTTCGGAAGGGTGAATAGAGGTGATCGTAAATTGCAATTGGAGAGGTGAAGTTGGCAGAATGGAAATCACGAAAAAAAGGAGGACATCTTGAAAATTTGAAAAATGTAGGTACCTAAAAAACGCCAAGTATCATGTCGGATACAAGCATTAAGGTAGGCGTCTAAACCGTTGCATGATACTACCAACCCGGATTTATTAAATTTAGTAACGTTGCAGCCGTTTAGGTCATCTCGTTGGAATTTTTTTTTTTTTTTCAACACCAGCATTCCATCTCATCTAACTCTGAAGTGTTCATCGGTCAATTGATTTCTTCAATTGATGAAAAAATTTTTTTATCTACATTTTTGCGATTAAATGAAGTGAATTAAACTATCTCTGAATTAATTGATGTTCTAAAATTATGAAGTAGCCGTAAGCTAAATTATGCCCAGTTACCAAGGAAACTCATCAAGACCATACCGGCGACCAAACCGAACATACCAACACCGACCTTGAGCCAGCCAGCGTTGAGGAGGTTACCGTGAAGCCAGTCGTGGCACAACATCTCAATGAGACCGACCCACAAAAGAACACCAGCAGACAAAGAGTCCAAAGTTCCCAATGCGATAATGGTGCTTGGGTCGTTACCGTTAAACTGGTTCAACACACCAGTACCAATGGCCATACCGACTGGAGTAGTGACGGCGAAACCAGCACCCATGGCAAGCTTGGTCCAGATAGAAACCATTCTCAATTCAGCAATTCTGGAACCCAATGCAACACCCTCGAAGATCTGGTGGAACAAAATGACAATGAACAAAGTCATGAAAGTACCATCCTGGTCAGGAGTGATAACCAATGTGATACCAATAAGCACAGAGTGGAAAATAATACCAGCCTCCAAAAGGGCAACAGCGACCTTGTCTTGCTTAGCAGTAGCGTCAAGGTGGTGGTGGTGGTGGCTCTCATTAGCGTGGCTCTCATGAGCGTGGCCATCTTCGCTTTCACCGTTGCTGTTAGTTCTGGCCTTCTCATCCTCAGAAGATCTGCCCTCCTCCTCAGAGGAGGCTGGCAAACCGCTGGCAGTCTTAAGCTTGTCAACTCTGCTCTGCAACCACTTGGACATCAAGAACTCAATGATGAATGCAATGAAAATACCAGCCATAGCGATGGAGGTAGCGGTAGACTCGTAGTGCAAGGTAATACAGTTGTTCTCGAACATCAACTGAGCGTGAGTCAATAAGTGGACAAGAGCAGTGGAAAGAATGACACCGGTACCGAATTGTCTGAACAAAGTGACAATAACACCGTCCATGTGGTCAGAGAACCATTTCTTGACAATCAATGGGGCGTAGACACCAATGAAGTCACCAGCGAGAATGGCGAAGATAAGACCAATTCTCAATGGAATGTCGTAGTCAAACTCAATACGGTCACAGCTGTCGGACTCGTGAGCAGCACCACCGTTCTTAGGCACACAGTGAGGAACACCAGCGTGGAAGTGACAGTCCATGTCGTCGTCGTCGAGAAGGTCAGCGTCACCTTCACCCTCACCACCAGCTTCAGCAACGAATTGGTACTCCTCTCCGTCTGGAGCAACACAGAAAGTCTCAGTAGCGTGAGCGTGACAGTCAGTCAAGCTTTCTGGAGCAGATCCAGAAGGAGCTGGGGTGATCATACCCTCGTTACCAGCACCATCGAGACAGAAAAGGTCGTCACCGTGAGCGTGGCAGCCAGTGACAGCAGTAGTCTGAGCATCCACAGAGCTAGCGTCTGCTGAGCTAGCGCCTTCAGCAGCGAACATCACCTCGTTGCTGCCGTCCATACACCAGGTCTCAGCGCCATGAGCGTGACAAGATGTGTAAGACTTTGGAGCATTGGTACCAGTTGGAGCTGGAGAAATCTGACCCTCCACACCGTCAGTGTTAACACAAAAGTGGTCAGAACCATGGGCATGGCAGTTGGTAATGGAGGTGGCACGTGCGGCAACCACCAAAGATGCCAAAGTATACAAGCTCTTCCAGTGCATGGTGTTAATTGAGTAGGAGAGATTGATAGATGGATACAAAAAAGGAGAAAGAAAAGAGCATTTGCAACCGTTTGCGGTTAATATAAACCGCTGGACAGTGATGAGTTTGCCAAGAAATTCATACAACCACCGGGGTAGTATTTGTGGAAGAATAAAGGCATGCCAAGCTTTGGCATATTATGTCCACTGCCAATCATTGACGCTAGGCGCCGCATGGCTCCTCACCCAAAAAAAAAAGCGCTTAGGAGACAAGTTGCAGAAGCAAATATAATATCGTTCACAAAAAAGTATATTTGTGAGCAATCTGATGTGCGGTTTGCTGGGGAGACCACCAGTTGCACAAAAAGGTCATCTCAAGCACTAGATCTCATAGATCTTTCTCTCATTTTAGCCGCGCCTATCGTGCATTTTTTTTCGATTACTACTAGGCGCTTTTTTTTTTTTTTTTTTTTTTTTTTTTGCTCATTAATTAATTGCGCGGCGTTCTGCATTGCATAAGCATACGGTGAGGCCCCAACACCAGCCACCGGCATACAGACTACAGCCCACAGGCCTCTTGCAGGTCAGTGCATCGAAGCTCTTCTCGCCTAGGCATGAAAAATTAACTATATGCTTGTCCAAGCATCCACCAGCAAGGTCTGCTGGAGCAATTAGAAATTGATTTTAGAGCCTAGCTTAACCCAGGTCACTGCGACCGTGGTGGTTACCTTTAGTTAGTGTGGGGGGTATACTTTTGTGGTTACAGTAGTCTCCAGATTTCTTTCTAAACCCGAGTTGAACTTCTTGGAAACGGACTATTTAACTTGGGGCTAACCCCCCACAAATCTTCTTCTTTTTTCTTCTATCCACTAACAATTCTCCAAATTATGTTGTTCAAATCTGTGCTTTTGTTCACCGGTCTTACCGTTGCTGACTCCATCACTGGCTGCCATTACCATGGTGCGACCTACTTCTGCCAGGACACTGACGGTAGTGAGGGCTTTGTGACTCCAGGTCCTACTGCCAGTACTGATGCTCCAGATTCTTACACTGATTGCCACCTTCATGGTGCTCAGACCTTCTGCATTGGAGATGACGACGAGCACCGTTTCATTCTTGGTTCTCTGACTCCTGCTTTGTCTACTAGCTCTGGCGAGTTCCACCCAGATGCTCAATCTGGCGCTGGCGCTACTGCTTCTGATGCTATTGAGAACTGTCACTTCCACGGCGAGGACTTCTTCTGTGAGGACCACCTTGGTAACCACGGTGAGGTCAGCCCAGCTCCTACTGCTTCTTCTGAGGCTGAAAAGTCCTACACTGGCTGCCACGCTCATGGCACTGGTACCTTCTGTTTCGACTCTGAGAGCTCTGAGGTGGAGTTCTTCCCTGATGGACGTCCAGCCCACTCTGACGAATGGCTCGATGAGAACACTAACCTCGATGACGACGATGACTCTAGCAGCTCTAGTGCTGCTGCCTCCAGCTCTGGTGGTTCTGGCGGCAGTTCTTCTACCGACTCTGACGACGCTGGCTCCAAGGCCGGTTTCTACGGTGCCGCTGGTTTTGCTCTTCTTGTCGCTGGTTTGTTCTAAGTCTAGAATCTAAGGGTATATCTTAGTGAATTACAATAATCTATATTTCTTGTAGGTGCATTCATTGATCACATTTTTGCACCCATTTTTTGGTGCACTGAAGATGGCGATTTTGGTGGCTTAACCGTAAATTCCAAGAGAAATTGATCGTACACACCTCGGCAAACACCGTTTTCAACGTTTTTTCGGCAATTGGCCTTAGTTTCTTCTCTACTCGACCATCTCTACTAAATCTGAACCTCGTCTATACTTTCAGATTTGCGCTTTGATGTACGATTACCCAGCTTGAGCAAGACCCGCATGAAGGATTTTCATTGTCCAGGGCAAGCCGTGTGCCCGCCGCAGGGGAGCCGCATGACCACGCGTTTATCATTTCCATTGTCTTCGTCCCTCCTCATAGTTACTTGGAGAATGTGATTCCAAGTAAATCAAAGTAGATACCGAGGAACCGTCCAAACCACCCCGGAAAGGTACCATCTAAGATCCATCTGAGCAGCACCAAAGGCTAAGCGCAATCGCCCAAAAGAAACGGGCGATTTCTTGCGCCTCGTGGCAGTGAAGTCATCACTCAAGTATGATTCCTTATTAGTGGGACAAAGTAGGGCCCAGATATAGTCACCTCATAGAAAGTACGAGGCGCTCCAAACCAAAAGAGAAAAAAGCCATTTAGGCGACAAAGCCAAGCACAAGACACTCTCGTGTTTCTTTCTTTTTTTCTTTTTCTTATTTTCTTTCTTTGGACCCTTTGAAAAGAACTTTTGCATGGACCCCAGAAATCTGAGTCCCTTTTCTTTTTCAGCCTAGAAATGATTTTTGTGTAACCAAACACCGATGAGCTGAGATGAGGTCCCATTGGCAAAACGCCTTAAACCTATACGGCTTCGGATATCCAACAAAGAAAAAAAAAAAAGAACCGAAACACATTAATCTATAACCGTAGTAGTTAATGCCCAGAAAATATCCAACTCTCAGAGCTCAGAGCTCAGAACATCATACTGCGAATGCACGTCAGTGCCAACAGATTGCAGACACTATGGGTGAAAAAAAAAAAAAAAAAAGGTGTAAATCCGAGGTGATCTACTGTATACCAGTGGTTGCAAAAGGTGATCTATCGATCCAGCTTGCTTTCCCAGACCATAGTATTTGTCCCTTTTCCAATGAAAACTCTTTATAGTAATCTTCCTCTTTTGTCTCTTCCTAGTCCCTCTCTATTGTCAGACATACGTAGAATAAAGGACGCCTCCGCTTTGACCTCCACTTCCCTGGCAGCCTCCACTCTCTGCCCACCCAACACCCATTTCCATAGCTAGAGGTCTAAAAGCCTTAGGGATCCAAAAGAACCAGAGCTTCCTCTACCATATTCCAATGAATCCACTGGTGGCTCCCTCCAAAGCCTACAAGGCAGAAGTGAATGTAGAAGCAGATCAGGATCAGAGACAGAGGCCCTTCTTCTCTTCTTCCCTCCAAAGCCACAAACTGATCCGTCTGCTCTAACCAAAGACGTAGTTCCACTTCTCTAGTCCCACACTTCGACCACAAAACCTACCCCAAAAACGTTCATCGCGTTTGACACCTTTCTTCCATGACCAGTTACCCCTTACCCAACTCTGCCCTTCACCTTCTACTTCTTCCTTTTGCACCCATTCGGTCTCCCACCCGACCTGCACACTAGTCCACACACGCCCCTACATACAACCCGCAGCGCTCTTGCATATCGGTGCATCGAAACTCTTCTCGCCTAGGCATGAAATATTGTCCTCATGCTTGTCCAAGCATGTATCCGCACGTCCCACTAAGGCAATATTCACCATTTCAGGAATGCCCTGTCCAAGAAAAATGAAAAATAGCCTCCACCATGGTGGTTACGCTCTTGTTGGGAGGGGCGGATCGTGCTTTTGTGACCAGCTTCTAATTTCCCGTTTCTCCCAGGCACCCGCCTTGGCCCCGTAGAATGTGTCCCTTTTAAGTAACGTCCATCCGCCGCTGCTCTCTTGTCGAGATTTTTCATCCAACTTTACTTATCTTTCGTTATGTTGTTCAGACCTGTTGTTTTGTTCGCCGGCCTTTCTGCTGCCAACTCCATCACTGGATGCCACTACCACGGTGCCACCTACTTCTGCCAGGACACCGCTGGTAACGAGGGCTACGTTTCTCCAGCTCCTACTGCTTCTGACGATGCTCCAGACTCTTACACTAACTGCCACCCTCACGGTAAGGAGACCTTCTGTGTTAACGGTAACGCTGAGGCTCAATTCGTTGTTGAGGCTACTGGTTCTGACAGTGCTGCTGCTTCTTCTGTTTCTGGTTCTGCCGCTGCTTCTGGTTCTGCTGCTGCCCACGACCACGACCACGACCACGATGACCACGACCACGACCATGCTCACGGTGGTGCTGGCTCTTCTGGCTCTGGCGCTAGCGGTGTGATCTCCAACTGTCACTTCCACGGTTCTGATTACTTCTGTGAGGACTCTGACGGTAACCACGGTGAGATTACTCCAGCTCCTAGTGCTACTGCTGATGCTGAGTCTTCTTACACTGGCTGCCACGCCCACGGCACTGGCACTTTCTGCTTCGACTCTGCCAGCTCTGAGGTGCAATTCGTCGCTGACGGAGGCTCTGGCCACTCCCACGGTGGTGCCGGCTCTGCTGGTAACGTTACCAACGGTACTAGCGGTGGTTCTGGTTCCGGTTCTGGTTCTTCTGGTTCTGGCTCTTCTGGCTCTGGCTCTTCTGGCTCCGGCTCTTCTGGTTCCGGCTCCTCTGGCTCCGGTTCCTCTGGTTCCGGCTCCTCTGGCTCTGGCTCTGGCTCTTCTACTACTGCCGACAACGCTGCCGCTAAGGCTGGTGTTTTCGGTGCTGCTGGTGCCGCCCTCCTCCTTGCTGGTTTGTTCTAAACTTAGACTATAAAAACATGTTAATATCAGCTTTATGTTAATATCAGATTTTCTTTATTCAATTGTAAGCGCATACTTTGCCCAAAACCTTGATTTTTTCACATTCTCGCGTTTTTGCACCCGTTTCTTTCTCGCCGCTAGTTGGCGCTATAATTGGCCAAACCTTAAAAGCGAATGCTTGCCCCTCAAAACAGCCGCCCGTACGCCGAACTTCTATTTTTTCCAGGTGTTCTACATCGACTGTCCGTGTTTCTTCTCTGCTCGACTCTGTTCCATAGTAAAGGTTCCAAATTTTTCACTCGTTGAAATTGCGCTTTGATGTACGATTGGCCAGCATGAATGGGTTCGATTGTTCAACGCAGCCGTGTGTGCGCCGCAAGTAGCCGCATGGCCACACGTTTATCATTTCCATTGTCTTCTTTTCTGACTACTACCTACTTAGACTGTATTAGCTAATAACCTTCAGTCACTACAACCTAAAGAAGTAGGCTTCCAACCTCCTGAAACCATGCAACAGTCCTAAAAATATAGCGCGATTTCACAAAGAAACGGCTTGTGGCCTGCGTCCTGTGGCAGTGAAGTCATCGTTCACGTAGCGTTCCTTATTGCCCAGGGCAACGATCAAAAATAGTAACTCCACAAAAGTTACGAGAACCCCAGGACCCCAGGAACCCAGAACCACAGAACCACAGAACCACCGAAGGAAAAGCCTTTTGTGCCACAAAGCCGTGCACGGTTCTTTTTGCTCTTTTTTCCTTTTGCTAGACCCTTGAGGTGGGCTTTTGCATGAATAAAAAGCCTACTACAAATGTCCAGGTTCTTGTTTGAAAACTTCTGGAGCTTTTGTGTAACCAACAAGCGATGACCTGCGATGAGGTCCAACCGGTGATATAAGGCCAATGCCATAGAGAAGTCGTCAATCATAGTCAGTGCAATAGAAGCACCAAACGTCACCGCGAATGCACGTCAGTGCAAGTAATAAAGCCCAAAGTGTATATCCAACCAGTCCCTGAAGCCTCTAACTCTAGACCTTAGAACCTCCACCCTCTAGACTCTGGAAACCCTGTCCAACGGAATTCTCCACCAATAGAACTTCCCTTCCAGTAACCCTCTCCTCACCAATTCCACCTCTATTGTCAGACACATACCCCTGAACTAAGAGGACCCCTCCACCTCCACCTCCACTTCCAGAATCGTCCCCTCACTGAAGCTTCTTTTAAAAGCCAAGATTATCAACACATACACAAGGTCAATCACCAACAGCATGTTCTTGTCGCCTATCTTTGTTGCACTTCTCGGCACGCCAGCACTTGCTGATGACATTACCACCTATGTGTACTCAGACGACCGTCAGTTCACAGTGACGTTTTCTGGGTCCAACATCCAGCACATAGCTACTACTAAGACGACCATCACTGGTGATAGGTCTACGAGAGAACGGACGTTCCTTACGTACACTGGAGAGGGGCCTCGTCCTACTGGAGAGGCTTCGTTGAACGATACGGATGAAAGTGACCCAGAATCAGATGCTGAGGATTTGTACTCGTCTGACGATGATGGTGTTTTTATAGGTATGGACGATGAGGAGGATGACGATGCCGAGGCCACCGGTAACCAGGGCGTTGGAGGCCAGAATGCAGCGGGAACGATGGCCAATTCGGTTTCTGAATCTGGAGCTGGAGCTGGAGCTTCAGGGTCAATGACCAGTGGAGGTGGTTCAGAGATGTCGCAGTCAAGTCCAGCTTCTTCTGGGTCAGAGTCACAATCTGCTTCTTCTGGTGGAGGTGGCAGCGGTTCTCAGAGTTCCAGTGGCTCGGGATCTCAAAGCTCCAGCGGTTCAGGCTCTCAGTCAGCCTCTAAATCAGGCTCTGAATCAGGTTCAGGTAGTTCTGCCTCGGGATCTGGAGGTTCTGGAGGTTCTGGAGGTTCTGGAGGCTCTGAGTCTACTGGAAACGAGGGCTACATGGCCAATTATGGACTTGGGGCGCTTTTGGCTGGCGCTGCCATGGCTCTTTTGTAAGTACTGACGTTTAATTGAAAATTTTCACCAATATTGTACACTTTTGACTTGACGGTTTTTTGCAACCATTAGCTATACCACATGTACTGCACACTACCCACCCACTAAGAGTCCCTGGTTGGATTTTTTTACCCCAGAAACCTTGGGAAACCTCGACAGCACTACCTGCAGTACACTTGCTTCGTCAAAGGACCTCCTCTTCCCTTCTTCCCACTAATCCACCATCAATCATGTCTGAACTCGATAAAAGTGCCATTTCCATAGACCAGGCGTACCAGGACGGCCTCAGCGAAGTCCAGCCAAAGCTCATTGGCACTGAGAACTTCTCGTTATGGAAAAACAACCTTTTCATGGAGATCCACTACCAGTACCCATATGTGTGGAAATTGATCAACGACGGTGACGAAGCGGTGAAAAGTCAGGTTGAGGACTTTGAAAAGGTGAAAAAGGAGGCAAATGAGGTCCTTGATGCCAGAGTGAAGAGCGGCATTGACGACTCTCTCAAGGACCAGGAACCGTTCAAGAGCACTACTATCACTACAGATAACTTCTCGAAGGAGATTGACGATAGGTTCAGTGATGCCACGCCTGAAAACAGAGCCAAGGCGTTGATCTACTGGTTTTCTGCTATGACAGGCAAAACCAGAAAGGTTGAATCGCCTGCTCAGGATATGATGCTGAAGTTCGTCTTGCTCGTGGACGATTTCGAGGAGCTTCTCTTGGAGGTGTATTTCCACTATGAGATTCCTTTTGATGATTTTGTTAAGATGTTGACGGAAGGCCTGAAACTCCATGCTAAGCAGAAAGATGCCTCGTACATTTCACAAGAAATGGTGATTGAGTTCGAGAAAACACACACTTTAAAGAAACGGTCCACGCCAATCAAGGCAGCTCGCTGGGTCGCTCCATCTACAGCCTACGGCAACCCGGGCGATCCAATCAACTACATGTCCCACAGCAGAATCCTTTTTGAAGAAAACGCTGTGGATAACTTGGGCGACTACGAGCCAAAGCCAGACAGAAAATACAGACTCAACTTCAATGACGAAGGCGTCGAAAAATAAGCCTACTATGAAGGTCTGGCCTCGACTGGCGTTTGTCATGAAGATGTGTGTAGGAGACAATACAACTTATTGTCCTGGGCCTCGGTTGCTAAGGTGACATCTGAGTTTCTCCAAAACTTGCCTTCCTTCTGAGCCACCAGCCAGCAAGCTGTGGAAGGAGGGAATCTAAAAAAAGACGGTTGTGGATCCGAGGTTAATCGCTCCAAGCCTTGAAAGCCATGAAAACGATTTTCACTCTACAGCACCTGGACACATATGGCCTGTTTTTAGATAGGCTAACCTACGAAGCTAATCTGGCTATCCATTTTAGTGCTTTCTAGCAGATGTGCCTTGTCATGGCTTCCATATCGGGTAATACCACTATGGCTGGTAATTGACAAAGTTGTGCATAACTAAATCAAGAAACAAGCACAATGTAGGAGAGGCTGATCCTTAAAGGATAATCACGGTCGCTACTTTGGACTAACAACCAGGAGTCATTCGAAGAGCCCTATTGTGATAAAAGGAGATATGTATGACATTCTACAACACAATGTTAACAATTGATCATTACAGTCTTTGTCAAGTAGATATAAAATTCACACTCAGATACCATCTTGGTAGATCTTATTCATACACCCATCGAAGCGAGAGAGGCTCGCCAATACAAGAGGCGGATCGCCCGTTCTAGAGCTATTGCTGCCCTCTGACGTCTTACCAAAGACGCCACATTCTAGTAATACAACTGCTGTTGAGTTTTCCGGCCAGCGGAGATAAAAAAGAAAAATGATAGCTTCCCAAACCAGCAGGAGAAACAAATAGGTTGGAATTGTCCTTAGTAGCTTATGCTGAGAATCTCACCGTTTCTGTCGTGAGGTCCTCTCATTCTGAGATAGGGGTCCAAAAAGACATAGTTTTGTGCTCTGGCTTTTGAAAGTCTAACCTTTTCATCGAGATAGCCCTTGGATTCTTCTGGGGTAGCAGCCTCGATCCATTTGATAGTGTTCTCGATGAACTTGATGGTCAAATCGTCTCTTTGTCGTAAAAGGTTCCCTAGTAAAGCGTCAGCGTCCTTCTTCTTGGAGTTGAACTCGGTGGGCTCGATATACGTAGGAATGTGCTTATCCTTACCGCCCAAGGATTTTGGAATGTACTTCGACTCGATATACTTTCTCAACTCGTCGTACGTGTGGGTGAAAATAAGCTTTTCACGTAAATGGGGTCTCATCCATTTCACAATAATATTCCACATCACACTGAAGATCTTTGGCGCCTTATGGATGTACACCTTTTCCACGCAGTCAGGGTAGATCCTCTGGAAAAGCTTAACAGCCATTTTCACGGCATGGAAATCGGCATTCTTCAAAGTAAAGCCAGTTAAATCGAAAAGAACATGTGCTTGGTCAACACCTTTCTTGAACTCTTGCATGGCAAGAGCCTGCCATTCAAAGTGCATGATGATGAGCTTTTCGTAGTCGGCGTCAGGACAGTTCAGCCTGAAATGTTCCTTGGCTCTCACCACCACAAGCGGACAGCCGCTTCTGGAGTTTCCACGCACGTAAACCTCGTTTCTTCTGAAAGCCTCGATGAGCTGAGGCGACTTCCCTTCAAAGTAAGGCACCGCGTCACCGTCAAACGTAATATCCGTGATGTTATACTTGTTCACTCTGTAGTCCAAAACCTCAGCGATCCATTTAAGAGCCGCCTTCCGGTCGCCGTTGGAAAGTCTTATAAACCGTAACAAGTAGTTATCGGCACTGCCATTCTTCACAGCACTCCACAAACTGCGATGGAGGTCTTCTGGAATGTACCGAGACAACGCCGGGTGTTCTTCCTGGTGGTACAAAGAAAAAGCGCCACTGCTGGCGTCGTCGATTCCGCCAGTTTCAAGCAGATAGTACACGCTCTTGATATTGGTATTGGAAGACTGAAACGCAAACGACGAACCGCCAGAACTAAGCAGAAGCGAATCCTTAGACACAGACGACACGGACTCGGCCCGCCGACCTCCCGGAATGCCAGGGGCCGAATTCACCAAGGACTTGCCCAGTTCAAGCTCGTCTAGCTTAAGCGAAAGCTCATACCCAAAAAACTTCAACAAAATGCCCCACGCCTGTTTAAGCACAATCTCCTGAGTCGGGTCCATCGACCACACACGGCCTTGCTGGATACGAGTGGTCATGGCGAAAAGTGGAAAATACTCCTTGGGGTCTGACTTGGACCAGGATTACTGGATCTTATAAGGATCTTGACCGCCTGCGAGGGTGGCTGCAGGCAGGCATATATGAAAGGGCAGCCCTGCGGGTGCGACGCGAGTCATCAAACTACCCACATGAGAATACGCCGTAGCACCAGCCAGACAGGCAGGAGGAAGCCAGGGTAGAAGGCAGAAACCAAAGAACAGAAACAGGGCAAAAGGATGGTCTACTATAAAAGGAGAGGATTTCCGGGTGGTTTTTGGAGGGTGGTTTTTTTCTGGACCTCCTGGCGCTGGACTCGACAGGGTGCATGTGCCGCTGTGCCGTTCATTTACAGAGGGAGGAAGTGAGGAAGGCAGGAAGGCAGGCAGGGAGTGAGGAAGGCAGCTGGGTGGGTAGTTTGGGTGGATGTGGGTTTTTTTCGCCAGAGTCCCCGCAGAACATGGAATACTGCCGCACTTTTTTCACTTCTGGTTTTGACTTTGGGCGCCTCCACTGGGCACTTCCTCTTGGGGCCTCCTCTTGGGCTGGTCACCATTTTCGTCTCGCTTACTTTATTCGCTTATCCTTCCAGCCATTCACAGTGAATGCCCTTTGTATTATGAAAAGCCTAACCCTCGGTCTTGGTTTTTTTGGGGGTGGCTTTCTTCCTCTGGCTGGCTGCCTGTTTGGGTAATGGAGGGTTTGCCTTGTTTGGCTGCGGCATGTGAACTCCAGTGCCAGGACGACCTGACCAGGCCAACCAGGCCAACCAGGCCAAGCGATTCACTGACCAGACCAAAAGGTCTGGTCTCTGGTCGCCTGGTCCTTTAGTACGATCTTATTGTAGTTCTGTCGGATCGTTTTTGGTCACAACATTCTGTGGTGGCACACGATGAATGGACGTACTGCCTGGGGCTGGCGCTGGCGGCTGGATCGGACGGCATTTTCTGACCTCTGAGCCTCATAATTAGTCTGGAAAAAAGTATCGAATCTGATCTGGCTACGGTTTGGAGAAGCTGCTGGCCAGGGGCAGGGGCAGGGGAAAGCAGGGTCTGACGTTGATGTACCCATCGACGTCTTCTTTCCCCATTGGGCAACCCCCAGAAGTGTGTTTTTCGCAGCCATTTCATGAGGTTACCTACTTACTACAAACGACACTTCTTTGCAGACACTTCCTTTGAAGTATCTCTTCTGTAGAGATACCGTCGATCTCTCGCCTGAGTAAGCTTTGCCATGGGCCCATGCAAAGAATAAAGAGAGGGGCGGCTGCAAAAGTATCGTAGATCACTATACCCCTTGATCTGCCCAATACCACTTTAGATAGACGTGTTTCGGTTGTTATGGGGAGGCTTCGGGGGGTCTCTCCAGATCGGGAAACTTACCTTAACTCGGCTCAACGCACAAGAGCCTCCTGGGATCGGCCTCTGGCTTAGTATGCTTGCTGGTGCTGCTCACTGCCTAAGCATAGACTCAGCGTATGCCCTTGGAAGCACATGAACTTTGACAGGGATCACGACTTAGCTGATTGCTTGTGGTCCTGTGAAACTTCAGTTCGGCTGAAAACTGCCGAAACGCAGAATGGCTTCTTTTTTTTTAGTGGGCCATACATCAACAATTCGCTAATTAGTATGTGCTGCGTCTATTTGTTGCCAATATTCTACAAGTCGTAATTTTCTTGATTTTGCTTGTGTTTTTGTCCAAGTCTAGACTAATGCTTTCGTCTTGGGCCATGCCTGCCGGTCATTACCAGCCGAACGATTCAGTATGGAGACACACTTCTTCAATGTACGGCTGCGTTCTGTCGGTGGTAAGAACTGCCGTCTGGTATTCAGCACACTTTTGGCTGACCGTACGCTTCATGAGGTCACTGCCAGAGCTGATGATAAGGTTGCGGCGTAGCATCTTCAAGTGGTACTCGGCCATGATATTGTGAACGTCTGGACGGCCATAGTGGATCTGTAACCCGCTAGGCACGCTTATTTCTTCTGAGCTTTGTGAAAGCTGTTTTTCCTTGCTGCTCCATGAATCCTTGTCGGCTGTAACGACTTCCGAGGCTTCCTCGCCTGCAACGTAGACGTGAACTTCAAGCTTCTGGCCAGCCTGCTCCATGGCCTCGTTCAACTCATGCCTGATCCAGCCGATATCGCGTTCACGACGAACAATCCATCTGAAATCGATCGCTCTCACAACCAGCTTCGTCTCCTTAACTAACGATAGAAGATATGGTAAGGCAACTGTGACACCCGAGCCTGTGGCCATAAGAAGAACAGAATCGAAAGCATGGTGGTTTCTGAAAGTACCACCGTATGGTCCATCCAAAAGCACCTTCTTCTTGACGGAAACAGCATTCTCCAATCCATCATAGAGTTTCCTTGTGAGTCCTTTCTTTGGAACGATAATAAATCTCAATTTGTCATCCTCCTTAATAGTGGCAATAGAGAACGGATGGTTATCCACGATTCTTTTACCAACAAACCTCAAGAAGCAGTGCTGACCAGGGCGCCATGAAAATCCCTTAATTCTATCAATTGCAACTTCAAACGTGTTTCCATCCAACTTTCTGATTTCAGCTTCTCTGAACTTCAAGAAACCAGAGCCTGGTCTACAGAAAGTCTTCAAGATAATTCTGCAAATCCATTGAGCTCCCCAGAATGCAGCAGTAGCCCAAATCCAGTTTTGCTGATCCAACTGATCGTAAACATGGACACCAAGCGAGGCAACGTACCCGAGACCCAAAAGCCAATGAAGGTGGAAGGAAAGCTCGTACATCTTTTCACGTACTTGCTTCTTAAAAAGAGCACACAACAAGATGATAAAGATAGTGGGAGGCCAGCCAGTAACATAAAGGTAATCCTTGTTGACCTTGGCAAGGTTTTCAACACCTCCCTCTTGCAAAGGCTGGTAAATGAATGGAATGGTATGGACAAGCGCCAAAACCAAAGCGGCAACGCCAACAAATTGGTGAATCCAGTTCAATTTCTCGTAACTGATGCCCGTGAGGATGGTGATTGCATTGACTTTACCAGCAAGAATCATAATGAATGGAGTCAAGGCAGTGCTCATTATACCAGCTCTCACAGCCAACGGCGGCGAGCCAAAACCTCGGCAACCACGATACCAGAAGTGAGGGATAAAGCAAAAGCATAGAAGGTATCCTGATGCAATAAACAGGTAAATCACCGAGCCTAGCGAGGAAGGTAAACTGAGGTACCGAACGAAGACTTCTGGAACCTGCTGATAACCAACGAGACGACAGTAAGCAGTGAAGACATTAGTGAAGGTGGAGACGATCGAAGGCATCTTTCTCCCGCTGGAGATGTACCGGTAGTCTTTCCACATGTACCAGAAGCATTTCACCATTCCCACAAAAATGGTAGCCACGCCAAAGTATAGCGTAACCAACCCATACCACGGCTGGTCGGTCCATGGCACCTGCTCTTGCGAGACAGTATGGTAGTGTTGGTACATGGGATCCTGCTTATCATTAAGGCAGTCAAGGCCCTTGTAAGAAGCTCTCATGTTGAAACGACCGTTGAAAAAGAAAAAGAGAGCAAAGTAGCTGTCTTATCAATGCCACAGCAGGTTACATTTATCAGCATTTTCCACTTTCTCTATGTGGAGAAAGGGATTGACGAATGAACGCCCTTGTGTTGCCCATCACTACTGTGAGCATTTTGGTGAGCATTTTTCGTTACTCGATTAGACCGTTATCTGCCTCTCCATAATGTGTCAATTTTTTCTTACGAGCAAAGGCCATTCTTGAACAATACGGCGGCAACGGCGGATAAGACGGCGCTTTTAAAACAGTGATTTAGGTTATCCTCATTCTAGTCTTCTTTTTTGCTGATTTGCCGTAGCTGTACAGCTTTAGTTGCACCTCTTTGCAGCCAATTTGACGGGTCTCGGAAACCTGCGTCAACGCTGAAAAATTTTTGCTCGGCAGGGGTACGACATGATATCGAGTCGTTATCTCTAAAGATAGATGAGTTTTTGGGGGTATGCAATTAAGTATGCCTTGGCAAGGTATGCATCATCTAAAGCTCCTCTGCAGAGAGGTCTTGCTTGATTCTAAAGGGGCGCCCACGCCAGTTTACCTCGTGTCCAACCATAGCGGTGATCCAAATTGGGAGAGCAAATATTTCTCTCATTACCCAAAAGCGGCACCATTGCCACACGGACCTCCGTTTACTATCCATGTTGGCAAACCAATAAGGGGGCCTAACCACCAGGTCTAGATGCCGCATCCAGATGTTGTATTGAGTGTAGTCACAAATGAGCCAGCAGAGCATGTGGAACGCAAAGAACTTCCAGCTGAAGAGGCGGTCCCAGTAGAGCACAGAAAGGCCAAACGTACCCATGACTCCACACACTATCAGCTCCGTAGTAGGTTCAACGAGCGTGGCAGCGAGCACCATGTACTTACGAACGCGTAGCCAGCGGACTCTTCGGCTGAAGTATTCTTGGATAGAATCAGTCAGAGAGATGAGTGGTTGCAAAACCACATCGCCAGTAAGAGCCGTACGCCCAAAGCAGTATTCCCACAAGGCTATTCCAATCATATTATCCTCGCCAATGTACTTTGCAAAGAAACTGATTGAGTGCCCTGGGCCTCTGGACGCTACGCGTGCAGCGTCAGTCACCACGGACTCTTCATGAAAGAATTCAGACCGTTTAGTAGATATCAGAGCCACCGCACGGTCCAAATCTGACCGTCTGTACATGTTAGACTTGCCATTCACACACGGAGCGATCGAAAGGTTATTGAGACTGACGTAGAACTTCGAATGAGACGTGAACAAGAACATCTCGTCTAGCGAAGAGCCCGTTCCAGATATGTCTAGAGAAGCCGCCAACGGCACATGATGAACAAGACGAACAGCACGGCCTCTATGGTTGATGCTGGTGCCGCAGTTGGTGTTGTTCATCATAGCAGCGACCGAGTTGGCCACGATATTGGGCAGTGCCCACACATTCGAGTCCAAAATCCACACTATATCGTACTTGGCCTGTCTAAACCCCTTTGCCAAGTTGTTCACCTTAGGATTGGGCCCGTAGTAGTCCTCCCCTGGTTCTGAGACAAGTATACTCGCGTCTATATGAGGGTACTTCGCTATGAGCAGTTGCAAAATGGGCATGGCTGGGTCAGAAGACTCGTATAAGCAAAACAAGATCTGGAGTTTCTCCTGAGGGTAGTTCTGTAAGAAGGAAGACTCCAAGCACAGCGCAAGCTCGGGATCAATGCCCTTGATGGGTCTGATGATCGTCACTGGCTCGAGGATCTGGAGGTTATGGGACGGCGGCAGGGGCCGTCTAAACACAATGGCAATACACGTAAAGCCAGCAATGGCCACGATCAATATCACAATGTACCATATTAGCACAAAGGCCGCTAGTGCCAGGAGAAGGCCCATTTTGGGTGGTTACAGTAGATCTGGTTGGTGAAAAAAAGCTCATTCAACGCGCAGTAGGCAGTGTAGGCGTAGGCGTAGCAGCTGGGGAGGACAAGTAGTAGTGGGTGAAAAGGAAAGGGAAAATGGGAAACGGGAGTATTAGGTGGAGAGGATGTTTTGAGGGATTTAGTGATGTTATGGTATTGGTGGGTTTTGGGAGGCTGGGGTGGTTACTGCTGGTACAGTTAGTGGTTGCAAAATGCGAGTAGCCAATGTATGCTTAGAGGCAGTGGAAGACTGGGGATTATAGAATCTACTTTTTTTTTTTTTTTTCTTTTTATTGAAAGCCTTTGGTGATTTAGCTTTTTAAGTGGTTTGGGATCTATATTGTTGGGAAATATAGGGTTAGTGGGAATGGTTCTCTGGAGAGCCGTTCTACAGTGGTAGGCAGTGACTGGACTTGAAGAAGGTAGGGCTAGACCTTTCATCTTTGACAAGTTTTGGAAAAGTGATTCAGTTTGAAGTCATCCAAAAGATGCTTTAGCTTTATTGACTCGAAGCGCTGAAGTGTAGTAAGTGGACCATGCTTCTTTAAAGGTTTCGCTTGGATGTTCACACACAGCTCTTTAAGCATTGAAATTCTTCTTCAACCAAAATTTGGCACCATTTATTATACTTTTACTAATTCAAAAGCAATCAAGTTCTCTACTTCTTTTGAATCTCCATAGGTATTGGTCCATTCATTTGATTACAGCCAGACAATTAATCAAAGCAAAAAACAGGAAACCAGCGAACCAAAGAGACCCTAAAAACCCCTATTACACTGAATCAGTGTATTTCACTTCCCCTTCCGTGGCTACCTGGTTCGTTGCAAACGAATGTGAAAGAAGAACCTTTCCTCAGCCATTCCACTGACCTACCTTCTTCAATCTATACCGAGGCCTTATACGTCATTTTGTGGGGCTTCATAATAGAAATCCGGGGTTTACGAGATTCCAAGCATTGCAGGAATGTAACTCCGTTCCGTGGATCCAGAAAACCTGGCAATATTCATCGGCTGAAGATGCAGTTACGGTTAATTCACGGTAGAGGTAGGAACATCCAATAAACAGGCTTCTTATTGGGCCTTGGGAATTACAAAAGCGGCAAGAAGACTAAGAATTCCCTTGGTTTCGGACCTACGGGGCGCTTTGCTGGCCATTATCGGCTCAATTGGAATGGTGTTTTCTTGCCCATTTTCTTGTCTTGAAGCTGCCGAGTTATCTGATTGGTCCATGGTGAAGCCACTGAGCAAAATACGTCATAAGCTCGTAAGTTGACGATAAACCTGAAGCTTCCAAACCAGGAACGTGACAAATGAAAGCCCAAGCCTGGAGACGGGATACACAAAGACCGTCCAAGAAAGACAAGCAGAGAAGGCTCAAGACTGTGGCTCCCCAACACCAACAAAACAAACAACACTACCTAAATGAAGACAAATTTTGTAGGCTGATTCCCTTCACCTTATTCATCTCTCTGGCTTCCATAGTCTATGTCTGTTCATGATGAGCCCCACAAACGTCAACCGGAGTCGCTCCGAGGATAAACACCGCATACCAGGGCAGAAGCAAGAATCCCATGGTAAGGGCCAATGAAAGCCCGCCATGCGCCTCGTAAATCGGTTCCTTTGTGGCTCCTAATGTGTTATTGTTTAATTTGCGCAGCCAGGCACCAATGGTTGCAAATTTGCACGAGGCTAAGAGCATGAAATGGGCAGCTGGCGAGTGGTACCGAGGGAGAAAACAAGTGGAAGTGGTAGAGGAAATTTGATTTGGTTTGTTTTTGGTTTATGCGTGGTTTCTAATGACGTAACGGTCGTGGAACGGGTACTGTTGAGTCCGAGGTCTAATCTGGGGAACCCACAAACAATAGAAAGGCGATGCCATTGATGAGACGAAGGGAGAGAAAGTGGTCGAGAAGGTGGTAGGTACTTGAAAAGAGGTTTTTTTAATGGTATTGGTTTTGTCTGCAAAAAACAAGAAATAGTAGACATCTGAACCTTACATGGGTTTACTGGCTCTAGGTGAAAAATACCGTAGCCACAGAGCCTAAGCAGTCCCAGAAAAGCCATACCCAATAGCCCAATTGGCCAATTCAACGCCACCCAAAGCCATATTCCAACCCCTTCCTCCTTCCCACCACCAACCCTCATCTCTTTGTACTACTTCCCGTCAACCTACGGTTTCTGCCTTTTTCATGCTCTGGTGTGGCATGCCCAAGCGGACTCGGCATGTCGGCAGTTTTTCAGTGCCATCAAACACACCTTGCCTGGTTGACCACCCAAAACGCCCAAAAGACAAAGAACACTACTTCAATTCCTTGGGGACCCAAAAACCCGTTATTCCTTGAATTTCCCATGTTTCCCCTTTTTTTTGTAACCGGTATTTTTTATTTATTTTTTTGCTATCTGTAATTTTTTTTTTTTTTTTCCGAATTTTTCGCATCCACTTAGTCGTTTTTTGGCCTTCGCGCAGGATGCCAATGTGAATTTTACTTTCCGAGGTCGCTTCCAGGCGACACACTCTGGATGGGAAGTGCCTTTTTTATGGGGATTTGAAATCAGAGTCAGAGAAGTCAGGCTACTCACGTGATGTGAATGACTTCTACACCCACTGGCACCCCCTTGCTGACTCTGATCATCCCCAGTCCCCAGTCCCGCAGCCACCACCGGCCCTGCCGTAGTAGTGCACGCTTCCTCGGTCCGCGGCCACCCCCACAATTCACAACCTGTCCCGACATATAAAGAAGCTTGGAAACCCCCAGGCAGATTCGGAATTTTCAGAAAGTCGCCTACCCAAACTTTCCTTTCTTCATCTTTTTAAAGCTCTATTTTTCCCGGCTTTTCCCCCCTTTTAGAAACAAATGCTAAGATCCGCCGCTAAAATGACCAGAAAGTTCTCTTCCTCGGTGCCTAAAGGCGATTTGTTCAAGTACCAATCGCAGCTTCCCAAATTGCCTGTGCCCACTTTGCAAGAGACTTGTACCAAGTACTTGCGTACCGTGGAGCCATTTTTGACTGAGTCCCAGTTGAAGTCCACCACCGCCATCGTGGAGGAATTCTCCCGTCCTGGTGGCCAGGGTGAGGTTCTCCAGCAGAGATTGGAGGAGTTTGCTCAGGGCAAGGACAACTGGTTGGCTGAGTACTGGGATGACTACGCTTACATGTCTTACAGAGACCCAGTTGTTCCTTACGTTTCGTACTTTTTCAACCACAAGGACGTGAACAATGCCATTGGCAAGAACCAGTTGTACAAGGCCTCTTTGATTGCCTACTACACCACCCAGTTTGCTGGCAGCGTCGAGAACGAAACCTTGGAGCCTGAGATCATCAAGGGTAACCCTTACTGTATGAACGCTTTCAAGTACATGTTCAACAACTCCAGAGTTCCAGCTGCTGGCAGCGACGTCACCAAGTTGTACGACCCTGCTGAGCACAGATACTTCATTGTTGCTTTGAACAACAACTTCTACAAGGTCTACCACCACGACAAGAACGGCCAGCCTTTGTCCAAGGTTGCCATCTTCAAGCAGTTGGACTACTTGGTCAATGTTGTCAACCCTAAGGTCCCACGTGGTCTTGGTGTTGGTGCTCTTACTTCTTTGAACAGAGACGAGTACTTGAACACTTACGAGCACTTGGTTGGCGCCTCTACCGTCAACGACGCCTCTTTCGAGACCATCTTTGCTTCCTCTTTCGTTCTTTGTCTTGACGACAACACCCCAATCACCATTGAGGAGAAGTCCAAGAACAACTGGCACGGTGACGGCCAGAACAGATTCTTCGACAAGCCATTGGAGTTCTTCGTTTCTAAGAACGGTAACTCTGGTTTCTTGGGTGAGCACTCTAGAATGGATGCTACCCCAACCGTCCAGATGAACAACTTTGTCTTGCTGGAGATTGCCAAGGAGGACCCAGCTGCTTTCATCAAGGAGATCGCCAACGACACTTCTATTGCTTCTGAGGTTGTTCCAGAGGTTCCATCTGCTTTGCCATTTGACATTACCCCTAAGGCTAGAGCTGACATTGAGGCTGCTAAGGTTAAGTTTGACGAGACCATTGCTGCTCACGACGAGGAGGTCTTCCAGTACTACGGTTACGGTAAGAACTTGATCAAGCAGTTCAAGGTTTCCCCAGACGCTTACGTCCAGATGTTGATCCAGTTGGCTTACTACAAGTTGACCGGTAAGGTTCGTCCAACCTACGAGTCTGCTGCTACCCGTAAGTACTTGAAGGGTAGAACTGAGACTGGTAGATCTGCTTCCGTTGAGGCCAAGAAGTTCGTCGAGACCTTCTCTGACTTCAACGCTTCCAACGAGGCCAAGATTGCCGCTTTCAACGACGCTTGCAAGCAGCACGTCAAGTACCTTGTTGAGGCTGCTGACGGTAAGGGTGTTGACCGTCACTTGTTCGGTTTGCTGCAGATGCTTAAGGACGGTGAAGAGCTTCCAGGTCTCTTCAAGGACCCAGTGTACAAGTACTCTTCTACTTGGTACCTTTCCTCCTCTCAGGTTCCTTCTGAGTACTTCCAGAGTTGGGGTTGGTCCCAGGTCATTGACCAGGGATTCGGTTTGGCCTACTTGGTTAACAACGACTGGTTGCATGTCCACATCTCTTGTAAGAGAGGTTTCGGCTTGAGATCTGACTATATGAGATACTACTTGACCGAGGCTGCCAACGAGATGAAGCAGGTCTTGTCCACCCAGTTGCCTTCCAAGTCCAAGCTCTAAGCGAAGATGTGGCTTGTTTATATGATAGAGCTCGACGCAAAAGTATTTATGTGTGATATTTGCCCAAATGTAGAAATCCTCCAGTGTGGTGGTTCCCCAGTCTATGTGTGGTGGTTCCCCAGCCTCTATGTATGGTGAGCATTTGCAACCGCTAGGCCGCATTCGGACATCCACCACACCAACCAAAACACCCCCATTTCCGCCCATTTTGTTCATTTTTACAATCCAATCCACAACCACATTCACCAATACAGACCTGCTTCACCTTGCATTCTCTATTCCTTCCCTTTTCCCTTATCACTCCTCCACACATTTACCCTAGTGTGCATACTACCCTCCCACCCTATCAGTAGAGGTCAGAGGCAAACCACACATCCTTAGCTACTATTGCATTCCACCCTGCCAAATAAGCAGAATGGCTGACCATCTTACCATATATAACGCACATAATGGCGAATCCATAGTGCTTGCCAAACCGGTGCGTTATCATACCCTCCAGAGCTTTAAGGACTTCCTCCTAGAGTCCTTTACTAAGTATACGATAACCTCCCATGAGAATATCTTTCTCCTTACGTCGTTTGGCATGAAACTCAATTATGCCATGGTGAATGAAATGACGGATATTTACGTTTTTGATAAGCGTCTTTTCAATTCTTCCAGAGATACAGCTTTGGTGCTGCGGTACCTACTGAATAGTGAGGATGATAACTATATGCTCCTTAAACCGACCACTTTCAGCGTGCCAGAGGCTCCTTCAAATGTCAAGGCTTACTCTTCGGCATTGAGGAACTACGAATCGTGGGTGAATGCCCGTCTTGTGGGAGCGTCTCGCGTGGAGGAGCTGATAGAGCATGTTATACGCCATATCAATACGATATTCAAGTCGCTAAGTGTGGTGTTTCAGTTTGCGGCGAATTTCATAAGTGGCATGGAAAAGAGCTTTGATGGTTATTTTGCATATGTGAAAGCATTAAACATGAAATCTTTGCATAAGGCATGGGAGGTCCACTACTCCCAGTTGAAGGAGTTTCCGCTTCTCTCCTTTAAGCAAGACGGGTCGAAATCATTGGCGCTCGTGGACTTTCTCGATCAGGAATCGTTGAAAGATGCTGCTGCGTTTATTGACCAGAACTTGCCTCGTGTGGTAGACTCTTTTAATCAGTTCTCGTCTACTGTGAACAAGATCAATTCGGAAAAGCTAGAGGTTGATACCACCATCGAAGACCTACGGAAAGAGTCTATTACCAGTTTCAAGACATGTGAGTCTTCTCGAGCTTCTCATTCTAACGAATTGGCGTCCATCGGGAAGAGGGTTCGCTCGGAATTGGAAACTGCCACTAGCTCCAATACCCTGGACCTTCAGCAGGTCTACTCCAAGCAGATGGCTGTAGCATCGGATATCTACTCCCGTTCACTCTCATTGTTTGAGCTTTTGGAGTCCCTTTATCTGTTCAAGACGAAACTCGTTCATCAAAGTTTATCCATTTTTGAGAACATTGCATCTTTGCAAATGAGAACGGTTACATTAAAGACCGATATGAAAAAGATGTTGTCTCCTTCTGAAAAGGAGAAGGATATTCCAAATGGCCATGAACTGCCCGACAATGAGACTATCGAGAAGATACGAGAGGCTGGTGATCTACTTTCTTTAACAGTTGACCTACCACTTCTTTTCGGATTCCTTCTCATAGAAAAGCGTCGTCAATTTGAATGGCATGATTTCTACTCAAAGGGTATCGTGAGTAACATCTCTGAACAGCTCACCGTTCTTATTGAACATGAAAAGGCGTTTCAAAAGTTGTGGTTGAAGAAATTTGGCGGGTTCCTAAAGTTTCTTGCGCCTGAGAAGAACTTTCGAATTCAGCTTCCTACAATAGATGTCACGTTGGTCAATGGGGATTTCTCGAAGCGAAATGATGCTGCCATTGAGATCATTGAGGATGTTTTGGTGGAGCGGGAAGATATCACGAATTTCATTGGCGTCGTTAAGGGACATCTGCCAAGTAATGGCCAGAACTTTGCAAGACTCCTTGAAAAGAACTTTAAAGACTTAGTTACTTCGACTGATAGTTTGAAGAGAGTGACACGGGTTGTCAGCTCGCTAGGATCTTTATCTCCTGAACAACTGCAAATTATTACTAGGTCTCAAGTCCTCAACGGCAACGCTCAAAAGCCAGGTAACGTTACTGATGATTTTGATTTAAATCTCATTCGTGGATTGAGATCGAGAATCTCCAAGCTTGAGGGGCTCCTTCATCAGCAGCAGTACAAAAACATATCAAACTGGCCTGTTGTAAAGTCTTCAGATAAAAAGACTCCTCAAGTGAAGGACAGTCTTTTAGTCGAGGATCAACCTCGAGCTGTCAGGAACCCGTCATCTGGCGACCCCACAAGTCTCTTATTGAAAGCTCCAAGTAGTCGAAGAACGTCGAGCAGCAATGCCAGCGTGAAGGCAATGGACGCTTCTACTACAATCGATAAGCATGTGGATAATATAAGGTTGCGAAAAGAAGTTAATGAATTAAGAGCCTCACATCAGTTGGTCTATCAAGACAACGAATCTCTTCGGAAAGCCCTAGATGAAAGCAAGAGAGAAGCGCAGGAGAAGGATTTCCAATTAAGACAGATGCAGCAAGATTATGAGGAAAAGCTTGGTATCTCTGAGGCTGTCATAAAGGACTTGGGTAACAAACATGCAGAAGAAATGAGGGCATTGGCTGACAGAAACCACTCTGAATTGGAACAGATTGAGCGGGAGCACAAGAACTTTGACCAGCAGAGAACATACCACGAATCTGTTTTGGATGAAAACAAATCTTTGAAGTCGAAGTTGAGTGATTTGGAGAAGAAGTTGGAAGAGAAAACTAGCCAGGCAGAAGAAAGCCAGGAATACAGGGCCCGGTTCGAGAGTTTGAAGGGCGAGTTCAATGATCTTCAAGAGATCAAGCAGGAGCTTCTTTCGAACATGCATGCGAAGGAAGCTGAATACGCTACTGAAAGAAGTCATCTTGAAACCGAAATCAAGAACTTAACCCAAAAGTTCGAAGAGAAATCAGAGGACTATGAAGATTTAATGGAAGTCACCCAGACAAAGCATCATAAACTGGAGGAAATTATCAATCAGCTTAACAATGTGGTTGAGGGATTATTCTCTGTGATCCTTGAACTCTCTCAGAAGAACTTTGAGGACTTTAAAGAATTCTGCTACGTTTTGGAGTCTATGGGTTTGTTGCTTGTCAAGGAATCAGACTCAAGTTCTAAGAAGGACGAATATAAAGTCCGGAGAGTTAAGGGTTTAAGATCAAGAAAAGGTCTGGAGGACGAAACTGGTGACTCGATTGTCATGTCTGACCCAAAGTTGCACTCCAGCGTGGTCTCAGAGGTCGAGAATGGTATGGATTGGAGAGAAAGCTTACGCAGAGTTACATCGGGCCAGATAGAGAGCATCGAGGAACTCAAAAGCAATGGTGAAGCGGAGAAAGAGGAAATGCAAGCAGGTAAACTCATTGAGGTTTACTACAAGCTATTTGAAGATTCGCAGGATGGGTCTAAATCCCAATTTGCTCAGTTCCTAAAGCTCATTTCTTTCAATGAAGATATACAACTTCAATTACAAGATGAAGGAAATACGATGGTGAACCAGAAGTTCTTCCTTAACGGTATATTTAAGCGCTTTAAAGACGTTGAGGGATTTGCTAAGAAGTTATCCAAGGAAAACAAGACTAAACAGCAAGAAATTGCCAAACTTCTGAGGCTCCTGGCAGGCAAGATTACAGTCAACAACTTCCAAGCGGGTGACTTGGTGTTATTCCTTCCTACCCACGTTGATAGAGTGGATGGGAACAACAGCTCCAAAACACCTTGGACTGCCTTTAACATCGAGGCGCCAAACTATTTCCTTGACACCACCAAAGCTGAACAAAATAGCAACCGCGATTGGATCGTCAGTCGGATTGGATCTATTACACAACATGAGGTGACTAAATCTAATGTTAATGATGCCGCAGAAAATCCATTTCTGCTTAACGTGGGCATTGTATGGTATATGATAAAGGCTGAATAGGCAAATGCATGAGTATCTACTCTGGAACGTGATTAAACAAGTAGGACACGCTCTCACCGTTATGCAACCTTCTAATGGCTTCAGCCAAAGTAGGACTGATGTCCAAAATTTCAATTCTAGGACATCTTTCCAACTTGTCTTCTAAAGGCAAGGAGTTAGTGCAAATGATCTTGTCTAGTTTGGAATTGTTCAATTTTTCAATAGCGTTCTTGGAGAAAATACCGTGGGTCACCATTGCAATGACTTTAAGGGCGCCATTCTCTAGAAGCACCTCAGCAGCCTTACAAAGCGTTCCACAAGTGTCTGCAATGTCATCAATAAGAATGCATGTTTTATCAGCGACATCACCAACGAGAACCATTTTGGAGACCTCGTTAGCTTTCTGTCTTTCCTTATGGATCAAAGCAAATGGAGTATCTAGTTTGTCAGCAATAGAAGCAACTCTCTTGGCTCCACCGGCGTCTGGCGACACGATCGTCAAGTCTTCAGTATTATAATTTTCCTTGATGAAACGCAATGTAGATGGTTCAGCGTACAAGTTATCCACTGGAGCTCTAAAAAAACCCTGGATCTGAGAAGCGTGCAAATCAAGCGTTATAACATGATGGCAGCCTGCTGTTTGCAACAAGTTGGCAATCAACTTGGCAGTGATTGGAGCTCTAGACTTATCCTTCTTATCCTGTCTAGAATAGAAGAAGTTAGGAATAACAGCAGTAATCCTCCTAGCTCCACCCACTCTGCATGCATTTATAAGAAAAAAAAGCTCCATCAAGTAATCATTAATCTTCGTTTCACCATACCCCGTCTGAATCACATACACATCCTCGTCTCTCATGGACTCACCCACGGCCACAGCGGTCTCTTTATTGGAGAACTGAAAAGGGCCCACTTTCGACACCTTCATGCCGAGCTTGGCGGCAACCTTTTCCGCAAGGTCACGGTGGGAATTGCCCGTGACAATTTTAATAGAGTTGGGTGTTGAAGGCATACTTGATGTAACACTTCTTATTGGGAAACCAGAGATGAGAGGAAAGCATCAAATTGGATCACGTGGAGAAATGGCCCACTTCCGCTCAGAGGTGGTTTTTTTTTGTTACTCTTTTCGCAGCCATTTTGCAGCCATTTCCTACAAAGCGTAAAGAATGCAAATCCGTTCATTAGGATAGTGTGATGCGAATAATTTATGTAGAAATGAAGCGAGAGCGAGTCTGTTCAAAGACATTTGCTCTCAGGAATGATCATTATTTTTTGTTTGTGTGGTAATTGTAATTGGAAATTACAAGTCGGTGACACAACCCTTGGAAGCGTCGCTCACCAAAAGAGAGTACTTACGCAAAGTACCTCTCTTGTATCTTGGCTCTGGAGCCACCCACTTCTTTCTTCTCTCGGCCAAAACTTCCTCGTCAACCAACAAGTCGATTCTGTTGTTTTCAGCGTCAATGACGATCTCGTCACCGTCATAGACCAAGGCAATAGGACCACCAACAGCTGCCTCTGGCACAATGTGACCAATCAAGAAACCGTGGGAACCACCAGAAAATCTACCGTCTGTCAAAAGAGCCACATCCTGGCCCAAACCGTAACCCATCAAAGCAGAAGAAGGCTTCAACATCTCTGGCATACCTGGACCACCCTTTGGACCTTCGTATCTGATCACACAGACAGTCTTTTCGCCCTTCTTGATTTCACCAGCTTGCAAGGCAGTAATGAAAAGGTCCTCAGCATCGAAAACTCTAGCCTTACCCTTGAAATAGGTACCTTCCTTACCAGTAATCTTACCCACAGCAGAACCTGGGGCCAAAGTACCCTTGAGAATCTGCAAGTGACCGCTTGGCTTCAATGGGTTCGACAATGGTCTGACAATATCTTGGCCTTCAGGCAAACCTGGCAAGTCCTTCAAGTTCTCCTTAAGAGTCTTACCAGTAACAGTCATCTGGTCACCATCAAGCAAACCTTCCTCCAACAACATCTTGGCCACAGCCGGGGTCCCGCCTCTGGCTTGCAAGTCAGCCATGACATACTTACCAGAAGGTCTAAAGTCAGCCAACAATGGAGTGCTGTCGGAAAGTTTCTGGAAGTCGTCCACAGTGATCTCCACGCCCACAGAGGAAGCAATGGCGATAAGATGCAAGACGGCGTTGGTGGAACCACCGGTAGCGATAATGTAAGTGATAGCGTTTTCGAAAGATTTCTTAGTCATGATTTCACGAGGCTTCAAGTCGATCTCCATCAAGTGTTTAATGGCTTGACCGATGTTATCACACTCTGCAGCCTTCTCCTTGGAAACAGCTGGGGCAGAAGAAGAGTATGGCAAGGACATACCCAAGATTTCAGCAGCCGAAGCCATGGTGTTGGCAGTGTACATACCACCACAAGCACCAGGACCAGGACAAGCGTGACGAACCACGTCTTTTCTTTGTTCGTCAGTGATCAAGTCAGACAAGTACTGACCATAAGACTGGAAAGCAGAAATGATATCGATCTTTTCACCAACCTGAGGAGAAGAGCATGAAGGCTGACCTGGCATGATTGTACCACCGTAAACCATAATGGAAGGTCTGTTGTGTCTACCCATGGCCATAAGCACACCAGGCATGTTCTTATCACAAGAAGGAATGGCAATGTTACCGTCGTACAACTGGGCCATCATCATGGTCTCAAACGAGTCAGCAATGATTTCACGCGATTGCAACGAGTACTTCATACCTTCGGTACCGTTGGTGATACCGTCAGAAACACCAATGGAGTTGAATTGCATACCTTTAAGACCAGCCTTGTTCACCGACTCGGTACACTGGTGATTAAGGTCCATCAAGTGCATGTTACATGGGTTACCGCCCCACCACACAGATCCAACACCAACCTGGCCCTTGTGGAAATCCTCATCTTCGAAACCAGTAGCATACAACATGGCCTGGGAAGCACCTTGAGAAACATCTTCAGTAACGATGGAGGAGTATTTGTTCAACTTGTTCGCATAAGCAGCGGCCGAGCGAGAAAAACACCTCAGCTGGAGCATATGAGTTCTGCTAACAAAAGACATGATTCTTCTTGGACGTGTTAGCAGAAAAGATGTGTTTTCAGTCTCGAGCTTGTGGTTTGCAGAATTTTCAATGAGTCAGTTCCGGTACCGGGGCGGTTTGGCACAGCGGCCGGAAGTGCGAAACCTACCCCCGGAACTCTAAACCGCGACCAATGATAGTGGGGATAGATGTAAGACGAAGATGGATATGAGGGGAAGGCAGACGAGGCCACTGGGAGGTGAAGAAGTAGATGATTCGGTTTGAGGTGGGTTCACTTTGGGTTAGGAATAGGAGGTTGAAGAGAAAATAGAAAAGTAGAAAAAAAAAGTGATGTAGGTGGGGGAGTTCAATGGAGGTAGGTAGATGGCAGGTGCATGATAAGCATTGCGATTTTGCAACCAGTCAGTGTTGGAGACACTAGGGTTGTATACGGTTGTGTCAAGTGGTGGTTTAAGGCGATTGGTCCTTCTATGATGGTTTATGACACTTTTCGATTGGTTCGTTTGGTTAAAAAATTTTTCATCGCTTAGTTGGCGGTGACGTCAACCCTCTGACAGCCGCTGGAGAAGATAGGTTTTCGCAGCCATTGACAGAAGTAGGCGGATATTGAAGTTTGGTAAAGTCCATAAGGGAAGAACTGGATTGTGTGTGTTGTTCCTTGGTTTTGTGGCTAATTTATGCTTTAAGGTGTAGGGTTCGTAAAAGTTGAAATATGGACTGAAGAGGACAACCATGGGGTAATTAAGTGGGAAGAAGTGACGCTAGTCCAAGTTCATGATATATGTGATCACAGTAGAAAGTAGCTCCACTTCTTACTATTCTAAAGTACAAAGATTAGCCTTTCAAGCGACTCTACAGACGAAACCTAGGCTTCCTCCCAATGTTCACTATAACCCATCTCCCAAATCTATACCATCCCATCCCATCCCATTTCGTCAATTGATCCCCCAGTAACAGTCATCCACTTCTGGCTCTTCTGGCTCACTCCACTTCCTAAATCCAATCTAAAGGCTTCCCCTTTCGTTGGAAGTAATACACGATCCAAGCACTCTCCAGCACACCAATGGGACCACCAAACCAAACAAAAGCAAATCTTTAAACGTTTCTGGCAGTCAGGTTCCCCAATCCAATGATTTGCACATCCTTTTGGCAGCCCAATTCATCAACCACCAACCATCAATCCCACCTTACATTTCTTCAACAAAAGCAGGGTCCATTGGTCCCATGTTCTAGATCACCATCTACTCAGTCAACCTACTCTCCAAGCCCTCACTCCACTAAACTCCTAAACTTCCACTCCACTAAACACACCTCCATCACCATCTTCATTGCGCTCTTGCATCATCCAAGTCTACCCCAGACAATGGCCATTTGGTCTCGTATTGCACCGATCACAAAATCGGTATACCTGTAGGACCGCAAATCGCCGCAGGAGTCGAGAAAGAGTGCCTTCAGTCGCGGCTCATGCTTTAGCGAACCTTCAACCGGAAGAACCGGACGAAACAGAGAAACCACGGCAGAAGGCAAATAAATGACACTTTCATGGTAATACTTGCTAGCGAAGAACCCACCTGGCGAAATTTCAGATCATTCGGTGAAGGTTCTGATTTTTAAAAGCCACTTTGTGTTTTGCATCACAAGACCCATTCGCAGCCAAATTATGCAAACTGAGTAACGCTTGCTGGTCTGTGGAGCACCCACGGCTGACTACCAGAAGCCACTACCAGCCCCAAAAAGCCTAGCCAGCAAGTAAAAAAAAAAATAAAAGGAAACCAGTAGAAAGGCAAGGCCTGACCGTGGAATCTATTGTCACCTGTCGTTTGCCTCGTAACACTGGCCACTCAGAGCGTTCTGGTGACTGGGACGGGCCTGAAGGAATGCGCCTGGCGTGAATACACGATCAGACAGCTGAGGAGAAACCCTCACGTGAGAACACACGGAAGGGAGAGATGAAACCGTAGGATAAGATCTTTAGGGTATAGAAATGAAAGACAAGGGGCATTTATTGTTGCCGGTCTGGTGGTTGCTTCGTTGGACCACAGTGGCCCACATGAGGCAGCTGAAGCAAGAGTGTCTCACGGTGCTGCTAGACGGTAGTTCCTGCAGGGCCGGATTGTTTTCCGAATACGGGAGGGTTATTATACTCCCATTGATTGCCAAAAATACAGACGTGAAAAAAGAACTTCTTTCTCTCACCAGACCTAAGAGGACATTCTTTTCAATTTTTTTTTTCTTGAGAGGTACTCACTATGGTGCTTTTGTGGAAGAAACTAGCTGGCTCTTCAGAAGGCGAGTCCAGTTTCGAGTACAGTGAAAGTGATTCTCAGGACGAGAGCAGACCTTTAAAATCCACCAAGCGGCAACTGCCTCCTATTTCGCCTGAAATGGATTCGGTTGGAGCCAAGAGTCCTTCGACATCCCCTGAAATATACCAGAGTGAAAAAATGGACCACTCGAATATAGGCAAAAGACTGGCTCGGTACGCCAACGACCCTGTTATCGTGAATTGGTCTGAGCTTCTTCAGCAACGAGCACAGAACGTGTTTGATCCGGACTTCGGCCGGGTCGAGTTCCATGGCTTTGAAGGAAGCAGTGCCACTAGAAATATCCAGTTGAAAATGCTACATTCAGCTGCCCAGGAGGAAAATGCCTCGAGCCAGCCAGCTGGACTGAACCCTGGTAAACAGGGTCTGGCCGAGAAGCAACCCACACAACACACGTCAGCCGAGCAGGATTCAGCTGATATGGATCCTGTAGAGGCTGAAGCTAGAGCAGTTAGACAGCTCGAGCTTCAACGGCAGAACCAGGAGCTCAACAGACGCCGCAGTCTCGAACGTCACCAGGAAAGAAAGGCAAAGAAAAAGAACCAAGAACCCAGCGCTGAAATGGAAGAGGCGTTAAAGGAAATACGGCACGCTGAACGTCGTCATCGTAAGCTTGAAAGGAGGAAGAAGAAGGAGGAATCCAGGGAGCGTCAGGCCAAGGAGCAGTGGTACATTGAGGAACAGGAATTTCTCAAGTCTGAACGAGAAAAGGAAGCTGCTCGAGAGAAAGCCCGGGAGGTTGCCAGAGAAGAGAAGCGCCAGCGTAAAGAAGCCAAGCGTCTTGAAAAGGAGAAGAAACGTGAAGAAGAGAGAGAACGTGAACGTGAAAGAGAACGTGAGCGTGAAAGAAAGAGACGCGAGGAAGAGAAGCAAAGAGAACGCAGAGAAAGGCAGCGTCAGAGAGAAGAAGCTGAGCGTGAACGTATTCGTCAAGAGGAAGAAGCCGAACGTGAACGTGTACGCCAAGAAGAAGAGGCTGAACGCGAAAGACAACGCCAGGAGGAAGAGGCAGAGCGTGCTAGGAAGGAGGAAAGAAGAGAGAGGCGGCGTGAAAGGCGTAACAGAAGCAGAGGCCGTGAACTCGAAGGAAGCGAAGGCGAGGCCAGGGACAACAGCCGTGGACGCCGTCGCCGTGACCCAGAGGCAAGAGCTGCAAGAGCCAGACAGCGTGAAGAAAGAGCTACCGAGCGAGCCATAAGACAGGTTCAGGCCGCCGAGAGGGCTGCTGAAAGACGGGCAGAACGGCGCCGGCGCCGTGCTGCAGAAGCTCAAGCTACCGCCGAGATGGGTCCGCCTCCACGGGACGAGTACAGCACCATTGATGAAGATATCCCTCCATACCGTGAGAGTTTGCATAAGTACCTTGACTTGGTGGCTTACGACGAGCGGTTTGCCCCTATACTTCGGGTGAACCGGTACTTGGTCAGCGGACAGGAGGACTTGATGGAGGCGATCAACCAGCTTTCACAAACAAACCTCTTGCCCAAGACAACGGACCTTTGGAATATTTCTCATGTGGACGACTCCGAATACGAAAACATGATCCCGGTGTTGATTCCTGAAAATGCTTACTACGAAAATGAGCTTGTTGGCCTTGTCACGCCAGACACCCGCAGCCTAGTGAGTTAGACAGGGACTGCTCATGGCGGATGCTGTATTATAGATTTACGCCTAAGTGCTTTGTAATTTCCACCACTAATCATACGTGTTGTACATGTTCTGTAGCGTAAGGCAATTCCGTGCGCTTAGAAGTAAGTCAATGGATCATGTATCCTCCCAAGCCTGATAGCAACCAATAAATAATACCAACTGTAATATCTAGAACACCGCAACCTATTTCTTAAAATTTATAAAATTTTCTATAAAATATTATTCTGGGGTACCTAGCTTAATAAACCTCGTTAGGTTATTGGCTGCGAAAACGTCACTTGCGATAAGGACCCGTCTTATCAACCAATACCAACGTACGTAAAGTAAGAAGAGTAGCCATATTACCTACTAAAACGTTTTGTAGACATTGAAAGGCGTGTTTTCCTCCATAAGTCCCAGCCACCTCCCCTTTCGTATCTTCGGAGTTCTGACTGCTCCCTTGACACACCCGTACAATCGAAACATTACACAAAAAAATTCCACTGCGGTATTGGTAAATTCCTCATCGCTTACTGATAACACCCTAGAACTCCCAGAAAATGCCTGCCCCAGAGGGATTTACCAAGGTGACTGAAGACTCCCATAGGTCTTCCGAGGCCATCATGCAAAATCCATACGGCCCTAACCCTGCAGACTTCCTTTCGAACGTGTCTAGCTTTGAGTTGATTGAATCCACCCTTAGAGAAGGTGAGCAGTTCGCTAACGCTTTCTTCTCTACCGAGAAGAAGATCGAGATTGCAAAGGCTCTTGACGAGTTCGGTGTGGATTACATTGAGTTGACTTCGCCTGTGGCTTCCGAGCAATCTAGAAGGGACTGTGAGGCCATTTGTAAGTTGGGCTTGAAGTCTAAGATCTTGACGCATATTCGTTGTCATATGGATGACGCTAAGGTGGCTGTTGAGACTGGCGTTGACGGTGTTGATGTTGTTATTGGCACTTCCCAGTTCTTGAGACAGTACTCCCACGGAAAGGATATGTCTTATATTGCCCAGTCTGCAGTTGAGGTTATTGAGTTTGTCAAGTCCAAGGGCATCGAGATTCGTTTTTCCTCTGAAGATTCATTCAGATCTGATTTGGTGGATTTGTTGAATATTTACAAGACCGTGGACAAGATTGGTGTTAACAGAGTCGGTATTGCTGATACTGTGGGTTGTGCTAACCCCAGACAGGTGTACGAGTTGGTTAGAACCTTAAAGTCTGTTGTGTCGTGCGATATCGAGTGCCATTTCCATAACGATACTGGATGTGCTATTGCTAACGCTTACACTGCTTTGGAAGGTGGTGCCAAGTTGATTGATGTTTCCGTTTTGGGTCTTGGTGAGAGAAACGGTATCACTCCTCTTGGAGGTCTCATGTCGAGAATGATCGCTGCCGACAGAGACTATGTTCTTTCAAAGTACAAGTTGCACAAGTTGAGAGATCTTGAGAACCTTGTTGCCGAGGCCGTCCAGGTGAACATTCCTTTCAACAACCCTATCACGGGCTTCTGTGCGTTCACACACAAGGCGGGTATCCACGCCAAGGCAATCTTAGCCAACCCTTCCACATACGAAATCTTAAGCCCCTCAGATTTCGGTCTCACCAGATACATTCACTTTGCTAATAGATTGACCGGCTGGAACGCCATCAAGTCGAGAGTTGACCAATTGAACTTGCACTTGACCGATGAGCAATGTAAGGAAGTGACCGACAAAATTAAGAAATTGGGTGACGTCAGACAGTTGAACATCGACGATGTGGACTCCATCATCAAGGATTTCCACGCCGACCTCTCGGTACCCGGTTCGCCCGTACCAGAGACAAAGAAACAGAAGATCTAATTTATAAAATAACCGCCTACTATACTGGATATACACTCAATGGTTCACCACGTAATGTAGATTAAAATATTACTAAGACTATGCTATGGAATAAGCTACCAACTGTGGGTAGCTATATCATACATCATCAACAGCACAGCGATGCCGCCAAAGACGAGACACATTGTAGTGCATGCCATGATGGCTTTTCTTCTAGAAGCTGTCTTGATGGTGATTCCTTCCTTGTACTCCAGGGAATACAAGATTACGCCAGTGATTATGTTCAAGCTGGCAATGAGCGAACACACGAGCTCGGTGACTCCGTGTTTGAGCATCCTGAAAAACTTAGCACTTGTATGAATAAACTCTCCTCATTTAGCTCATAAGTGAAACTCCATAGAAACCTTTTCGACGCAATATGTTGGCAGCTTGATGAAACTGGAGGGCCGGACCGGAAAAGGGAGGAGAGCTAGGGATTGTTCGGGAAAAGGATGATGGTGGCCTAATTCTTGACTGATGATGGTTCGGAGTGCACAGATTCTTCCGAAACTTTGTCTTAGCTCACGTGACCGCATTATGGCTGCTTACTGTTGCCGCCTCGCGAAAAAGCGGTTGCGCTTCGCTAGAGGGACTCCTTCTGCTTAAGCGCCATGAGCCACTTCACCGCCTCAATCAAGGCGTTGGGTGTTGTGCTTTAGAAGGCCCCGCCTTCTTTGCTCCGCCTTCATCGTCGTCATCTTCTTCTTCGTCACTCTCGTCCATTGGCACAGAATAAGTCTTTCTCTGGAAATCCTTAATATGGGCCTTGTTCAAGGCATTCAGGATGGCATTAATGGTAGAGCGTCTGCGTAAGACTTCACCAATTGGCGCATGGCCTTTATGGTCGGACTTTTGATGAGAGTCAATACTGGCTTCTTCATCGAAAAGATGGTCAGTCTTGGCCAGTTTCCTGCTGTAGGCCGTGCTTTTTGCAGCCGACGTCTTGCCCAAGGATGGATCGCCAGGAACAGAACTGAAGCTTGCTTCGGAATCAGGCGACGATTCGTCCTCTGAAGATCTGTAGATGTCATACTTCATGTCCACCAAACGCTTGATGGCAGCTTCAACCTTAGACAGAACCATGTAGGGCAAGGGCGAGTCTCTGGAAGCACGGAAAAGAATCACATTGGTACAGTGTTCATTCTCCATACGGAAGAACATCCAAACGAAACGCCTGAATAGCTCTGCAAGCGCAATGCAGAAACTGGTCACTGCCAGCTGTTGGATCTGACTCGAGAAAAATGCATAGAAGATCCATTGGAACCTAAGAATCACATCCATTACTGAAGCCACATAGTAGTACTCCTTCTTTTTGTAGAATAAGTGATCTCTGAGAAGGAAGTTCTTTGACGTTGTCAGTCCCAACGACCAGTCCATAACAATGTCCCATGCTGAGGTGTAGATAGAGTTGATACATGCAAAAGTGATGAATGCTGCTCTATTCAGACTCGTCCGGTCAATTCTCCAAACACTAAGCAAGCAGTAGTAAATAGCACCAATCAAATACTTGACCATGTTAGCCAAATGGGGAAATGCATCACCAGTGTCCATAAAACGACGAAGACACTGTAAGAAACGAAAGATTGAAGGAAGCGATTGAAGGAAACCCATTGGACGTGAATAAGCCGAACCACATCTGACGGACGAGGAAGGCACTTGTCCACCTCCAAGGACATTCTTCCATTTATCAGCATAAAGACAAATGAAGAAGGAGATGTTACCCATCGGGTAAGTCAACGAACATAAGATATCGCCCAAGTAGAAATCTCTGAATTCAACAGGATAAAGGCCCGACCATACGATTCTCCAAAGTGCTATTTGAAGCCATTGCCGACTTGCCCCATAAAGCTGGGAGCCCGGCCAAAGGAAAACGATGAGCATGATAGCCAAATAAATAAGTGGAAAAGTTCTACCTGGGAAAGTTTCAGGCCAGAAGTCCTTAAACGAAAACCATCCTAAAAGCCCTAGGAACGAGAAACTCACCGACGGTAGTAACCAAAATTGCTTGAAATCCAATGCGTTTGCCAAATTGAACTCAAAAATAAATTTGTAACTGATCTTGTAGTAATCATAAACGAGTAAGTTGATGCCCACAAAGAAGAAAGCCAAGTTGATGAGTAAAAAACCACCCCAAATCTGCAAAAGGAACCTACCTTCTGCCATTTGGCTGCTGAGGGTTTTATCCAACGCAACAACCAAGCCAATAATAAATAATGGTAAACCTATACCTAGGAATACTCCTGAAAAGAAAGTACTGCGATAATGCTGAGGCTGTCTAATCTCGGCATTGCTATAAGCATAGGTCGTACTTTTGAGCTTTTCCAAGCCATGCTTCTTATCCTGATGCTCATTGTCAAAGTATGTCATGAACAAATCCTCAACACGACTCATGATCTTGTCCAAGACAGGACTAGTAAGGAAGTACGACTGCTTGTCAATTCTCTTCAAAAAGTCGTTACATGTGCTTGTTCCGATAACCTTGTCGAACTTTTTGGTGATCTTACGGAACGCCGTTCTATTCATCACCCTGTACGACTTGAGTAGGGCGATGAGTCTATAATGTTCCACCAAAGCACCCTTCAATTGTCTCTTGGCATAGAGGTAAGGCACTCCAAAGCTCTTTTTCTTGGTGTAATCACTCTTCTTCTGCTGCTTCGCCTGAGCAGGAGTCGGTTCTTGAGGTTGAGGAGCTCTTTCGTCTTCAGATGGGGCAATCAGTTCATCGTCATAGTCAGACTCGAGAAACTCTAGATTTCCGTTTCTAATCTGATTCTCGATATAATTAGGATCGTACTCGTCTTTCTTGTCCTGGTCTTTAAGACGAAGGCTTGGGTCTTTCAGCTTCTTCTTCCTCCATTTGTCAAGAAAGGCAGTAGAAGGAAGAGAGGGAAACTCGTACTTCTGGAGACGCAGGGTCCATGCTCTAAACTTAATGGCAAGCCCATCGACAGCTGCGTTGACAGGTACTTTGGACGAGGTCACTGACAAAACACGTCTTTGCATATGACCTCTATGGTCCTTCAAGTGGAAAAACTGGTCTTCTAGGATAAGGAATCTTTCATATACTTCTTTCTCTTTCTGCTTATAAAAGGTATCTACTTTTTCCAACTCTAGGTCGAGCCACTTGTAGAACTCTGTCTTGTCCTCATTGTATTGCTCTCTCTTGTCCTTGTTGGACTTGCTCGAGAAGTTGAAGATGGATGCTTTTCTTCGGGACGAATCATCTTGGCCCTGAGTTGCAGGAGGAGGAAGTAGTGGCACCTGAGGAACATAATGCTGCCCATCTCTCGCTTGAAGCAAAGGAGTAGTATCATTAGTCTTCATATCCTCCACAGCCTGACGACTGGCAGAGGCCTTATGGATAACTTTCTTCCCCGACTTATAGTCCACATACTGCTCCTTCCACTCGGGCACCAACCCCTGACTGAGCGCTTCGCCAAATTTCATCTTGGCCAGTGACTAGTAAGAAGTCTGTGATGAGTGGTATGCTTATCTCGAATAATATATGGCTTGATAGTGCCGCGCCATACACAGGTGTGTCCCACCTCATCCTTGCCTGCCGTACAGGACCACCTGGGTTTTTGCAACCTTTTTTTTTGCGTTCGCCTAACGCTCATAGCGCACATAGAGAGCATCCACGAAGTGCGGGTGCTTAATGCCTGGAGGTTTGGCAGCCTTGTAACCTTCAACAGCTTCTCTTACAGACCAACCACAACGTTCAATTAAGTAGCAGCAAATGAAGAAACCCGTACGGTTGAAACCATAATGGCAATGTACAGCAACGAGCGGCTCGGGCTCGTTTGTGGAGCCAAGGATATCGTCAATGAGCTGTATGAATCGCCTGATAGCCACGTGGTCAGGCACAACTTTTGAAACCGTTGCACACTTGTAGTAGTGTATTTTTTCAAACGTTTTCGGGCTGTACGGAGGGATATCTGCGGATATGTCAACGATTGCAATAAGCTTTCCCTTGATGCCTGTTGAAGCCTTGGCGTCGCCATAGAACTTGCTTTCCACCACCAGCGGCGAGTGGTTCTCGTCTCCTTCTCTCAATGTCTTCATCCCTAGCAACTGGGCATAGTCACTGCCATTCTTGCGAACAATATTGTGTGAGATTGCTTGTGTACGCAGCCATTTAATCTCATTCTTCAACCCCCACTTGTCACCAGATATCTCTGCTTTAAGCTTAAGCACCCACGCAGGCAGCAAATGTAGACGTTCTGGGAACCGCAGCTCGAAATGGTTAAGCACGAGTCCACTGATGAATTCCGGTTTAGATAGGAGCAAAGAATGACCGGCATTCTTAACCTCGACCACGTTACAAACCTTCTTTTGCCAGTACTCAAAAAGGAAGTCACTTATATCGTGAATAATCTTTATCGACGTGACCTGGTCATCAATGCCTCCCACAAGTAGTGTCTTCTCATATGTCTTTGGATCCGCGACGTTATTGTTGAGTCTGGAGATGGCGTTGATCAACTCCAGGTAAGTGGCACGCTTGAATCCGCTGATGTAACGAAGAAGGATTCTAGTATCGATATCAAGGTTCCATCTAAATTGGCGTGCTCGTTGATGTAGACTGCTCAGGCGGGTCAATTGTCTGTAGACACTGGTACTGATCAAGCCAGGGAGTCTGTCCCATACTCTGAATAGATTAAAGACCCACGCAAACTTCATTAAATAGCTCACGAAGCTAAAAGAATGCTTTGGCTCGGTCTTTTTGTTGACGTCATCGAGTAACGGTGGAGGAGATAACAACACCAAACCCTCAACCTTGCCTTTTTCAAGCACATTGGCGGTCTTGGTGATCAAGTGGGTACCCATGGAGTGTCCCACAAGGATTATCTTCTTATGTGGAGCAACAGTCTGTCCAATGAACTGTTTGATGATGCTCACAAGGTTATCTGTGGAGTAGTCGCCCCACAGCAAAGCCTTCACGCTCGAGGAAATGTTCTTCTTCTCTTGAGGAGAGATTTCACTGATAATCTTGCAATTGTCCTTGAATTCGAGTTTGGAATTGCCGAAGCCCGGCAAGTCGAGAGCCACTATCTCCAGGCACTGGGAGAGCAAAGCCATCAATGGCTCAAACTGGGACATTTGGCCACCCAAGCCATGAATAAATACAATAACCGGCGATTCGTTCACTTCTCGCGAGATATTAGGCGCTAACGGTTCATCCTTAGCGAAGTTGTTCAATGGATGAGGAGCATGGATGCTGTGAAGGAACAATGTATCAACAGACAACTTCGAGTACAGCGACAAGTCCAACGAAACAGTCTTGCCGTACTTTGAAACGAATGCACAGTCACTAGGCTCATTTTCAAGCACAAACTTCTCCAAAACATTGGGTTGGCGGAAGATAACTAAACGGATAAAGGCCCATGTCCGTTTCCAGAACGAGTCGGTGAGAGCAGCCTGCTGACTAGACAATCTGCTAAGCAGCACTTCAGAGGCCTCACTTGACCTTTGTAGTAAAACGTCGCTTTCTTCATCGCCCGACAGCATTTTGCAAGGCGAGAAAGAGATGTAGTAGAGGTAGCGATAATTGAGATAAGTAGTCACTGATTATACAGGTCCCTGCGGTGGTTGCAAAATGTAAGGGAATGGGAGGGATAGGGGTGGAGGGATGAGGGTTGAAAGGGTAAGTGTTGTTAAGTTTTGTTGGATTGGGTGAATTTGAAGTTGGAAGTGTGCTTTCTTGGGTATCACAAAGATTGGTGGTAATGTGTAGATGCACTTTATGATAAGGGCTACTGAGGGAAGGGAGAGGTATGAGTAGTACTTGGGCTGTTCTTTCAAGCCAATTCTATTGGATTTATCACAATAGAGGGTTTAGGAGAGAAAGGTGTGTTTGCCTTCTTTTTGTTTTTTCTTCTTCTGATGAACTTTTGTGGAGGTATATCATACCGTAGACTAGTATACTTGATGAGCGCTGTGACTCACCAATAGAGATACCCTGAAGTCAAGTTTTATTTTTACACTTCGAAGAAAATAAAAGAGAAGCAAAACCAACCTTCAACAAAATCTTCGTTTCCTCTTTCCCTTGCCGGTTGAGATCCATCATGGTACTCCCAACCACTGGTGGTTGCAAAATGCGAGCATACTAATACCTACCATCACACAAATCACACAAAACAAAAAAAGAGGGGACCAACGAAAATCAGACGCTGTCTTTTAAAACGTACATACACATAAACAACTGAGTTTTCACTCCCACTTTCCCTCTTCCCTTCTTCCCGGAGTAACCTTACCAGTACCGCCCCTCCGTTACATAAACCGCGAATCAACACATTGGAAACTCATTCTTTATTACCTACTCATTCAAGACAAAATAACACCAAAGCCACCATGAGCGATAACACATGGCGAAATTCAGGCCGCCTCGGGTCGCCGAGTCTACACGACTCGATGGACGACTTTGAAAGCTCTTTGGATAGAGCACTCAATTCTGCTTCAAATAACTTCTTCAGTGCTCGTTCTCCCTCCAGGCACGGTTCCCAGGGCTCCATAGCTATTCCAATGTCTACACTTAATCCACAAGGGTCGGTTGAACATGATGGTGATACTGACTCTCTTCCACTTATGGCTGGTCACGATACTACCATGTCGGGTCCTCCTTCACCGACTGCAATGGGTGGAGCTGGATTGTCTAGAGGCCAACGATTTTTCCGTCGTACGCTAGGTCTCTTCCGGACCATCAAGGAAGAAGTGTCTAGAGAAATGTCAGACCGTTCGCTTCTAAGTAACCCTGATCCAGATTCCGATTTGGGCTCGGAACGTTACGTCTCGCCTAGAAATACATCCAAGAAGTTTCCTTCCAACGCCATCTCCAACGCCAAATATAACCCCATCACATTTATTCCACTTATCCTATACGAGCAGTTTAAGTTTTTCTTTAACTTGTACTTCTTGCTTGTCGCATTATCCCAGATCATTCCCCAGCTACGGATCGGGTACTTGTCATCTTATATCGTGCCGCTTGCATTTGTTCTTACGGTTACTATGATGAAAGAGGCTGGTGACGATATAGCTAGACGTAAAAGAGACTCAGAGCAGAATAATGAGCGCTACGAGGTGCTTAATCGTCAGTCACCTATTGCTCATGACGTCTCCATGGTCCAATCCAAGAACTTAAAGGTTGGCGATTTGGTTAGACTTCATAAAGATCGTCGAATCCCAGCGGATATGGTGCTTCTCCAGTCTTCAGACGCCAACGGCGAAGCGTTCATCAAAACTGACCAGTTGGATGGTGAAACCGACTGGAAACTTAGAGTCGCCTGTAATTTGACAGACTCTATCACCGATGTCAGCATGCTTGTCAATAACATTTCCCTAATTGTCGACAAGCCAACAAAATCTATTCATAAATTCGACGGAAAACTTATTTATCATCAAAGCTCTGCTAACAACAAGACTATTCCACTTACCGTTGACCAAACCTTGTGGGCGAATACTGTCCTAGCATCCGGTACTGCCATTGGTATCGTGGTTTATACTGGTGTCGAGACACGCCAACTGATGAATACTACCATGTCTGGTGTTAAGACAGGCCTTTTGGAGTTGGAAATCAACAGCCTCTCCAAGATTCTTTGTGTTACAGTTTTTCTTTTGTCCGTGGTGTTGGTGCTAGCTCATGGATTTCCCTTGAAGAAGACATGGTACATTGATATCCTCAGATTCTTGATTCTTTTCTCAACCATCATTCCAGTGTCTCTTCGTGTGAACCTTGACTTGGCCAAGTCAGTTTATGCATCTCACATTCAAAAGGATAGAGAGATCCCGAACACCATTGTTAGAACTTCTACTATTCCTGAGGATTTGGGAAGAATTGAGTATCTCTTGAGTGATAAGACGGGTACATTGACCCAGAATGATATGGAAATGAAGAAACTCCATCTCGGAGCCATTTGCTATGCCGGCGATACCTTTGACATTGTGGCAGATTACGTTAGCAAGCTCCTATTTAATGAAGGATCGGGTAGTTTTGCTTCAAAGAGGAAGGACATGACAACAAAAGTGTGTGAGCTTGCGTTAGTTCTTGCCTTGTGCCACAACGTCACCCCTACGGAGGAGGATGGAGAAGTCACATACCAGGCCGCCTCTCCAGATGAAGTAGCCATTGTGAGGTTCTGTGAACAGGTCGGTCTCCGTCTTTTCAAACGTGATAGGAACAACATCTCCTTGTTGCATTTAGCTACAGGCCAGGAGTTAAAGTTCGAGATCTTGTACAACTTCCCTTTCAATTCTGATACGAAGAGAATGGGTATCATTGTCAAAGACTTGGAACGTGATGAAATAACCTTTATGGAAAAGGGGGCTGACACGGTCATGGCCAATATTGTCAATGCTACTGATTGGCTCGACGAAGAGATCTCTAATATGGCCCGTGAAGGCTTGCGTACACTTGTGATTGGTCGCAAGAGGTTGAATGCCGGTCTTTATCAGCTCTTCAGTAGTGACTACGAACAAGCCTCCTTGTCTATGAGCTCGAGGGATGCTCAGATGCAACGTGTGGTGAGCAAATATCTTGAGACGGATGTGGAACTACTCGGAGTTACCGGTGTTGAAGATAAGCTTCAAAAGGATGTTAAGACCTCAATTGAACTTTTGAGGAATGCGGGCATCAAAATCTGGATGTTAACTGGTGATAAGGTGGAAACGGCTAAATGCGTAGCCATCAGTGCCAAATTGATCGCCAGGGGGCAATATGTGCATCAAATCACAAGAGTTCATATTGCAGACACTGCCATGAGCCAGCTTGACTATCTCACCAATAATTTTAACTCCTGTCTCCTCATTGATGGAGAGTCAATTGCCTTCTACATGAAGCATTTCCGTCGTGAGTTTATGGAGATTGCATTGAGGCTCCCCGCAGTGATAGCATGCCGTTGTACGCCACAGCAAAAGGCAGACATCGCATTGGCTATCAAAGAACTTACCGGAAAGAGAGTGTGCTGTATTGGCGATGGAGGAAATGACGTAAGCATGATCCAGTGTGCCGATGTAGGAGTCGGAATTGTTGGTAAGGAAGGAAAACAGGCTTCGCTCTCAGCCGACTTTAGCATTGACCAATTCCACTTTTTACTGAAGTTACTCCTTTGGCACGGCCGGAATTCCTACAAGAGGTCGGCTAAACTTGGCCAATTCATTATCCACAGAGGACTTATCATATCGGTTGCGCAGGCAATTTACTCAATGTCATCTAAGTTTGAACCCCTTGCATTGTACAAAGGGTGGCTTATGGTGGGATATAGTACATTGTACACCATGGCACCCGTATTCTCCCTTACGTTGGATCGAGACATTGATGAGAGGTTGACGAAAATGTACCCCGAATTGTACAAGGAGCTCACGTTGGGTAAATCGTTATCGTACAAGACCTTTTTCATGTGGGTGGCTATTTCATTGTACCAGGGCAGCGTCATTCAGCTTTTATCGCAAATGTTCCAATCACTTGCAGCCGATAAGTTCCTTGCCATGGTTGCGCTTTCGTTTGGCGCATTAATCTACAACGAACTAATTATGGTAGGTATGACCATCAATACGTGGAACAAGACCATGGTGACTACCATTGTGGTGACGCTTATGATCTACATCGGTCTGGTTCCATTTTTACCCGAGTACCTTGATCTCGACTACATCACGGACCTATCCTACTACTGGCAAACATTGTTGGTTTTGGCAGTCAGCTTGTTCCCAGTTTGGCTCACCCAGGCTGTAAACCGCAAGCTCAGGCCACCTACGTACGCCAAGGTCCAGCAAGACTGATCCAAAGTTACCTAAAACTTGCGAGGGGAACGAATATGCTATTGTGTGCGCAGAAGGTTTGTTCAGGGTTCGAATTGTGTTCAGGTTGTTATGATGAGATAACGAATGGGCATTCGAGCAAGGTATAGATGAAAGCGATAACCCGGAGTCTGGCATAGGAAAGTGAGGCAAAAATAGACAGGGCGCATGGGCGCGCATGAACGAGGTACGACAGAGTACACAAGGCGTCTAGGGAGGCTAAACGAGGCAGAGCTTGGAAAAGAGAGAAGTGAGTGGAATTAGGAATGCCTTTACGAAGGGCTGAAAGTTTTGAGTTGAAGGTTGCTTTTGGGTTTTTTGGGTCTGCAGTGTCACCTGACATCAGGCTAGTTTATGTTGGTCAATGCCGGTCAGGCATTCTCCATGGAATGGTGGGGAGTAAAAGAGGGCTTTCTATGCTGGATCATCATCAGACCGAAACTGGCAGTGAGCAAACAACAACATTTGGTAGCACAGGTGAGGCCGATTGCAGAGAAGACGTTCCCAGAAGAAGGAATAAACAAACAGGGCTAGCATGGAGCGCGTGTGTGCCGCGTGTGTTTTTTGAAAAGTTGCCAACAAAAAACCAAAAAAACACCGCGTACCGCGTAGCAATGAAGCCCAACTAGGGAATCCAAGACCAGAGACAGATACCGATAAACGGTGATGTTGCGAAACAGAATGGTATACGAGAAGATGCACAGCCATAACAACATAAACAAACCCTCAGGCAGCAGACAGGCAAGCAAGTGCCTAGCACTTATGTTGGGCAAAAAGGAGGGGTGGAAACTACCAACCCTTATCTCAACCATAGTCATCTGGACATTCCAACGCTCATCTATTTGGCCCTTTCCATGGTGGGGTGTTGCCTTTCTCGGGAGGTATTCCCCTTTGGTTGCTAACTGTGGCTGCGAAAAACACTCACAAATGACTGAAGGAAGGCTGCGAAAAATAATAAAAAAAGCTAGCGCCAAACCTTGCAACGTACATGAAGCGTCCTGCAGTGAAGGCACAAAAGTGGCCCAATTCTGCCATTTTCCGATCGCACCACCTTTGCAATTCTGATGCGCTTTCACAAACGCATGCACAGTATGGGCTCTCCACCAGCCCTGCTCCTGGTATAAATACTGGCTGGTTTTCCCCTGTTTGAGAATATTCATCAGCTACTTTTACCAAGCTTTCTTATTTTCAACAAATCTTTGCACGTCGCCAGCTTCTCAACAGCTTGTCTCCCTTCCACTACCAGAACTACCAGAACCACATTTTAGCAGCCACAATGCACACACTCAAAGCCGGAACTTCCCTCTTCACCTTGGGCTACTTGGCCGTTTCCACAACCTTACCTTTCATGTTGTCTTACAAGGAAACAAGAGGCAGTTCATTGAATACCAAGGGCCACATCAACGCCAGAACGTTGTTTAACAAGATTTAATTCTACCGGTAATAGCGCATAGCGAACACCCAACGGGATGGGTTTAATTAATAAATGAGTTACGAGATTTCTTTGTAGAAACAAGGCCCAGCCTTGGATGGTGCCAGGCTTTTCTGGTGCCTGGTTTGTGGGATTTGGGCTTGTCTTGATCAGGTAATGCAGCTCTCACTTGCATAACCACCATTGAAGCAACGAATTACGCCTTTCCAAATTGTCACCACAGCGGTGTCAAAATGGGCAGATTCTTACTCCAGAATAATATTAGACGAAATGTGGGATCGAAAAATTACGAATAGCCAGGATGTTGGGTGATGATTCCACCATGTGACTCCATCTACACTTCCATCACTTAGTGTTTAAATATCCTTTTTCTATGTACATGTCCTATTTCACCCAGTGGGCGTTCTGAAGCAATTGCTTGGGCGAGGTGATGCCGCTGGCAACGTCCAACATTATCTTCTTATCAGCAACCGAGTAGGTACCGTTCTTCATCAACACCTGAGCTGCATCTTCGATAACAGGCAACACGTCCTTGGGCGTAGCCTTGTCTGGAGTCACCTGTTGCACCTCTCCCTTGAACACCTCTCTCATTCTGCTCTTAAATTCCTCTGGGTTGACGCCCAACTTCCAGTCCTTCTGTAAAAGGAATCTGTTACCGACAATACCAGGTTGCACACTGTCGATGATCAGTTTAGGCAACTTGTATGGGTAACGAGACTTGATAAGGAATTCCTTGGCCACAGCAGAGACTCTAGCGGAATCGCCTGCCAATGCACTGGTAGCTTTACCGTAGAAGAATGTGTCACCGTTGATGGATGGCTTATAAGCAACAGATTCGATCTTCTTTGTTGCAATGGCAGTGCTGGCGTCCTTGTCACCATCCCTGTTGCCGTATCTGCCAGTGTTTCTATCTCTTCTTGGTCTATTCGTCTGTCTGTCCTTGGTAAAGCTTCTTGGCGAGCCTGCCTTACGTGGGGTCTGGTTACCATCCTCCTGGCTTCTGGTAGCGTTACGTCTAGGTTTGTCTCTGTTGTTGAAAGGTTTTCTGTCTTGGGTCTCGGCAGATCCACTGGCCTCTCTTCTTTCTCTAAAGTTCTTCTTCTGTCCTTCAAAATTAAGGCTACCTTCAGTCTTCTTCTCCTGGAAATTCTGACCCTCAGTGTTTCTGTTCTGGAAACTACGGCCTTCTCTATTCTGGAAGTTACGGCCTTCTCTATTTCTGTTCTGGAAGGTCTTACGTTCACCGTTCTTGTTCTGACCGTTGTTGTTCAGTCTCTCACGGAACCTGTTACCCAGGTTGAAGGTGCTATCACCCAAAGGATGGTCTGCCACTTTAAGTTGCTGATTTCTGGCAGCATTATTGTTGGATGGCTTTCTTTGAGTCTTGTGCTTGTTTCCTTGGGATTTTCCACCGTCTGCTTTCTTTGTATCCAAAGTACTTTCTCCTCTAGCCTTCTTGGCTTCATCTTCACGAGCCTTAATCTGCTGAGATTTAGCTGAAATGGCATCAACTCTCTTCATCAAATCCGACAAAAAGAGAGCCAGGCCCTTTGAGTCTCCGGAAGTGGAGTACAAACGGGCGCCACGTAAGATGCCCCTGGAGATCATAGCTGGACTTGGATGGCTTCTTTGAAGGTTGGATTGGAATTTTCAGTATTTTTTTGAGGTCCCATGGTGCACGGGTGTATAGGTACTGTCTGCCAGTTACCAGTAGGTCTATTCCAGGAACAAGTGGTAGTAAAATGGATGGAAACGGTGAAAAATGGATAAATAAGGTACTGGGTGGTTTATTTGGGGTGGTAGAAAAATGAATGTATCTATATATGTGAATTTTTCAGAGGGGATCAGGGAAATACTGTGGGCCATGGAACGTCTAGGGCAATGCGAATGAAGAGATGGTGCTAGTGGACAGTTACAAAGACATACGAAGAGTTTTCTAAAACGATTGAATATCATTATGTTGATTGAGTTTAAAGGGAAAAGGAAATGTTGTAACTTTTGACTTTACGGTGTGGAAAGGTGAATTTTTCAAAAGGTGCTTCTGTCCAGTTGCAGCCATTTGATGGAGCTAACATGGGATAAAACAGCAAAAACCAAGGGTGTACTTGAACTTCAGCCACTACAGATCGACTTTTATTTACGTTAAAAATACCCCGACTTGTTAAATGAACTAAAATTGCTCCCTTAAACAAAGAGTCAGGTGGTTCCTTCTCTCCAACGATGTATCCTTATAATACAAGGTGGTCTATGTCAAACAGCTGAAAAATAGACATTCAAGGGCTCCTTAGAAGCCTCAACAAGCATTAGAGACCATTTCAACACCCCCCAATAGCTTAATCCTCAACAATGGTCCACCTTAATCACCACCTCTAACTACTCGGGCCCTTTCGCAGCCAATCCGAGACGCCCCGGGACGCCAACTGTTACTGGTCTTCTCAAGCTAACACTAATAGAGACAATATATTCTGTCAGGGATTTCACTAGGAAGTTCCTTTCCATTAATTTCAACAAAAAGCCCTCTTTTTGTAGTCAACCTGACCATCTGCCTGTGAAGCCCTACTTCAACTAGAACACCAGCAATGAAGATCCAGAGCTCAATTGAGCTCCCAAAGGATACTATCAAACAGCTTAGAAGTACCTCAATCCCAAACCTACATCCTTTCCAAACTCTTTCCATCACCGATTCCCGTTCTCTCCATCCTCTGCCTACTCCCATTGGACGTGGTCCTGAACACTGCAATTGGGTGCAAAATGGCACTTACCAGCCAGCACCCGATGCCAGCTGACTCTTCACAGACAAACAACTATAAATATGGTAAATTAGCATCCCCAAAATTGCCTCACCACCTTTGCAGAACCCTCCCTGCTCTCTCTTCCCACTTCCCATACTACTTACTCTCATTGCTGGTTCACATGGCCTCTACGAGCACATCCCCATACATTGAGCCATCCGCCCAACCTGATTGGTCAATGGCCACACCAAACACTTCAACGCCCTCATGTAATCCACCCACCCAGCCAAAAACCTCTTCCCACCAAAACTCCCCCACTAATTACCTCCCTTACTTCTTCCTTCTACTGCTACTCCAGATGCCACCTGCATACAACCCGCCCTCGCTGTTCCCAATCCCAGGTCGTGCCCGGCCCCCAAACTTGCCCACTGAGGGCCAATCAAAACGGTCCCTCGCAAGGCTCCGGCCGAATGTGGTTGAGAATTTCGCGGTGCGATTTTCTGCCAATATATACTGGCACAAATTTCCTCACCATAGTCTTTTTTCTTTCTTCCACTACCAGACTTTTCCCCCCCTTTTCATCTGGAATCAAAAAGTCGCCATGTTGTCAGCTCGTTCTGCTTTGCGTACCGCTGCCCGTGCAGCCTCTGTTTCTAGAATGCGTGTCGTATGTACCAATTGAGTGTTTCTGCTTGGGTTCTTGGGAAAGGGCCAGGTGGGTTTGCGATTGGATCGTGGATGTTTGGATGGCAAGCACAGATTTGTGTTTGCTGGAGGTAATTCAATTCGTTGGTCCCCATAGACGGGGCTATACTGAATTGGGCTTCCAATTGGCGTTTGTGGGTTTGGTGGCTCCCGTCACCGGTGTTTGGTTTGACTCGATTCTCAATTTTCATTGGCCCGCACTCGCAATTTTTCGACCACGTAGAATCCCTCCCGCCATGTCCATCCACCAACCAATGCAACAAGCAATCAAATGAAAAATTTATTTTATACTAACTATTCTAGGCCCGTCCTGCTGCTTCTGCTGCTGTGCGTTACGCTTCCGCTAAGGCTGCCCCAACTGAAGTCTCCTCTATCTTGGAGGAGAGAATCAAGGGTGTCTCTGACGAGGCCAACTTGAACGAAACCGGTAGAGTCTTGTCTGTTGGTGACGGTATTGCCCGTGTTTTCGGTTTGAACAATGTCCAGGCTGGTGAATTGGTCGAGTTCTCCTCTGGTGTCAAGGGTTTGGCCTTGAACTTGGAGGCTGGCCAGGTCGGTATTGTCTTGTTCGGTTCCGATGCTTTGGTCAAGGAGTCCGAGCCAGTTAAGAGAACCGGTAAGATTATTGACGTCCCAGTCGGTCCTGAATTGTTGGGCCGTGTTGTCGACGGTTTGGGTAACCCAATCGACGGTAAGGGTCCTTTGAACAACAAGGAGACCAGAAAGGCCGAGGTCAAGGCCCCAGGTATCTTGCCAAGAAGATCTGTCCACGAGCCAATGCAGACTGGTATGAAGTCTGTTGACGCTTTGGTCCCAATTGGTAGAGGCCAGAGAGAATTGATCATTGGTGACCGTCAAACCGGTAAGACCGCTGTCGCCGTTGACACCATCTTGAACCAGAAGAAGTGGAACTCTGGTAACGACGAGAAGAAGAAGTTGTACTGTGTCTACGTCGCCGTTGGTCAGAAGAGATCCACCGTCGCTCAGTTGGTCAAGACCTTGGAGGAGAGAGACGCTTTGAAATACTCCATCATTGTTGCTGCCACTGCTTCTGAGGCCGCTCCATTGCAATACATTGCTCCTTTCACTGGTTGTACCATCGGTGAATGGTTCAGAGACAACGGCAGACACGCTTTGATGATCTACGATGACTTGTCCAAGCAGGCTGTTGCTTACCGTCAATTGTCTTTGTTGTTGAGACGTCCACCAGGAAGAGAGGCTTACCCCGGTGATGTTTTCTACTTGCACTCCCGTTTGTTGGAGAGAGCCGCTAAGATGTCCGAGGCCAACGGTGCTGGTTCTTTGACCGCTTTGCCAATCATTGAGACCCAGGGTGGTGATGTCTCTGCTTACATTCCAACCAACGTCATTTCCATTACTGATGGTCAGATTTTCTTGGAGGCTGAATTGTTCTACAAGGGTATCAGACCAGCTATTAACGTCGGTTTGTCCGTCTCCCGTGTCGGTTCTGCTGCTCAGGTCAAGGCCATGAAACAAGTTGCTGGTTCTTTGAAATTGTTCTTGGCTCAGTACAGAGAAGTCGCTGCCTTCGCTCAGTTCGGTTCCGACTTGGACGCTTCCACCAAGCAGACCTTGTCTAGAGGTGAGAGATTGACCCAGATCTTGAAGCAGAAGCAATACAGCCCAATGGCTGCTGAGGAGCAGGTTCCTATCATTTACGCTGGTGTCAACGGTTTCTTGGATAACGTTGAGATCTCCAAGGTCGGTGAGTTCGAGGAGGGTTTCTTGTCCTCTTTGAAGAGCAACAACCCTGAGATTCTTGACGCTATCAGAGAAAAGGGTGAGTTGTCTAAGGAGGACTTGGAGTCTTTGAAGAAGGCCACCGAGAGCTTCGCTGCTTCTTTCTAAGCAACACCCCTTTTCCCTGGTTAGACATGAAATGTGGTGACGTGAAAAAAGATACATTTTTATAAATCTCACAAATGAAAAGCTTTACGATGATATATATTCAATCACAAAGTATTCGAAATATTTAATGAGTTGGCGGTTGTTTCCCACCGACTCGAGTACTTCTGGATGCTGTAACTTGAATCACGTGTATTTTCTTCCCATTATTATAGATCTGTCCTGTGCACTTTTACAGCTTTCATAGAATAGACCCCATGGTTTCCAAGAAAAAGCCCAAGAAGGCTTTAGATTTGAGTGACGAATTGGGATGTGGTGAACGTACCGCCGACTTTACCGTCAAACTGTATGATTACGCCGAGCTTCAAAGCGGAATTCTGGAAGCTGACATCCAGTTCGAGACAGATCTCAAATACCTTCTAACATCGTCAGAAGCCAACAAAGTCAAGTTGAACAAACTGGCAAAAAAGAAAGCAGCAAACGCAATCCACGATAAAGAACCAAAAAGCCGTATAAAAAGAAGAACTCTTCGTACAAAGTTGGAAGAGATCACTCAAGACATGAAGGAGATTGTGCTTTCCAGTGATGAAGAGGAGGAAGTTGTTGATACTCCAAGTAAACCCAAGTCTAAGCGGGGGAAACTGAAATCCAAGGAACTGACGCCGAATGAAGCCACTGTAAAGACAGCAGATACGGTATCTTTAGACCCAGAAGACGCGACTGAGTCTTCCAAGGCTTCACCTTTCGGAAAAGGCCACGAAGCTGTATCGACTGGTGATTCGGAAGTCACTGACGAACAGAAACCACAGAAGAAAGCAAAGAAAAAGAAGCTGAAGAAGCAGAAATCAATTGAGCCAGAAGATTCAGGCGAAGCGGGAGAAGCAGGCCAACAAGAGAAACCCAAAGATCACCTGGAAACTCCCCCACCAGTGAGACAACGCCAGCAAACGGCACCAAAGAAGATCTCGCCAGCTCAGATTTCATCCACGATTCTCCCAGAGAAGGAGCCTGTAAGTACTATCATTGGTCTCACGCCAGAGCATATTTTAAAGATGAGAACCAACGACGTCAAGTTCAAAACCATCTTGACCGTTCCTGGTATGCTGAAAATGTGCCGTAATGTCCTCAACTTTGTCATCAAAGAAAGCGAAGGCATTTTGGAGGATGCATCTACACGAAGCATGTTTGTTGAGCTCTGTGTCTCGGTAGCGATGCGTGAAGCCAATGGGTTCCACGACACGAGCAGAAAGTACCCTGAACTTTTACAGAAGCTTTCCCAGGCCAAGGAGCTCACGCTTGAACATACCAAAACCACATACACGGAGTCCAACAGGCAGGCACACAAGAATGACTTCGATTATTCCGTCTTTTCATATATCGGCCACCTTGTCATCTGGGCGTCGCATCTTCAGTGGAAAGCTGGAAAGTCTGGAATAGTGGAAGAGTACGGATATACCAAAAACGATGTCGTTGCATCTATGGGAGGATGGCATTTATGGGATAGAATCAGGCGTGATCCCAAGACCATCAACATGAAGCGGTGGAAGCATATTCAAAAGTTCCGTCAGAACTACGCTTTTGAGGAGCACCAATTTATCGTGATTCTTCGGTTCATGCATCTTGGCACGGGTCTTTATTAGATCTAGAAAGAATGGCTGCAAATGAGTCAAACCCGTCAATCCGGCACGCAGCCGTCTCGCTTATCATATTTGATCCACACATTTAATCAGCATATAGCATTCAATAGCATATCATCTCAAATGGGCTACGATTTGGTGGTGCTCCCCAAAGACTGGTTCTTTGAAGACCTCCATCCAGGAAAGTTCGATTTCCTTACCAATATCATCAACACCGCTTATGATAAGCCAAAGGAGAAGTATGGCATTATCAAGACGCATAGAATCAAGAAGGCCCAGAACTTGCCCCAAGAACTACAGTACTCCAAGGAGAAAGACGTGTTTTTAGCTTTACTCCTTGGCCTGAAAGATGGCTTTTCTGGGTTTGATACGCCTAGAGACTTTTCTAAAACGCCATTTCTTTCAAAGGATTATACAAGCCATTTTGGTGAAATTTCCACAGACAACGTTAATGTGATTCATGTTGATTCCACATTCCCAGTTACCAAAGATATAGAGGATAGAGTTTTGGCGACTGTGGGATTCAAAACATATAATGGTTCTTCCAAGACTGCTTCTACTGTGGAGTTTGAAATGACAGCCTTCACTTCTTTTCTTCTGGGAATTGCACCCAAGCTTCTTGAGTTTGTGATTGAAAATACGTTTAAGGATCCCAAAACGTCGCTTTTCGACGCAGACGAAGTATCCACTGTTCACTTACACGCTGTGGTGATTCGGGATCATGAATTGGTTCCCTACTATGCCAAATACTGCGGCTTTCATAGGTTTGACCAGCCTGATGTGGTAATCACCAGCAGCTCTACGGATTCGCCATTAGAAGATGGCATCCAGGCGTCTAGAGACTTTTATCTTGCATTTTTACGTAGAACGATTCAGCTAAGTACTAATTAATTAAGCAACCCCACTACTCAAAGCTTGGAAGAGTAGTCGTTCTTCTTGAGCCATTGGGCAATCACATCGCCATCACGAGTGGCCCAGTTGGACTTGGCAGTGATGATGTCGAGGGATTGAGCCAAACTCTGGTCGAAACCCTTGGTGTTCTTGTCCTGGAAGAACTGCTCCACCTGTTTCTTTTGTTCCTGTTTGGTGAAGCCGGAAGAGGTAATGGTGACAACAGATCCCAACATGGAAAGGCCTGGAGGCAACAACTTGTAGATCTCTTCCCAGTTGTCAGCGAACCATTTCCACAAACGCTCAATACCCTTTCTGTGGGCTCTCATACCCTGCATTGGGATGTAGATATCCTGGGCCTTGATGATGTCAGTCTTCAACAACAAACCGGTAACCTTGTCGAGGATAGCATCGTCTTCGAATCTACCAAAAGCTCTCAAAGCAGCAATCTTCTCCTCAACAGACAGAGGGTTGGTGTAGATGGTGTAGAGCTGGTCGAAAGTCTTTTCGTCACCAAGCTTAGCGTTGATGTTGAAGATGGAGCTTCTCAAGTTAGGGTTGATAGCCTTCTTGTCACCAGCGACGAACTTCTTGAAAGCATCGACAGAGTAATCGACAACCTCCTTGTGGCCAGTAACAGCAGCGGCACCGAACAAGGAAGACTTCAATTGCTGGTCAGCAAAGGAGTCAGACTCAGAGAACTGGTAGCCAACTTCCTTAAGTTTCTGGGAGATCAAGTCAGCGACGAAAAGGTTAAGAGCCTCCTTGACAGACTCATCTTCAAAGATCATGGCACCTCTAACCTGAGCAGTGGAGGTCAAGATCTGGTCCCAAACAACGTAGTTGTTCTCGTTAGACCAAGACTTAACCAAGTCCAAAAGAGCAGTAGTGCTGATGAAACCAGAAGAAGCCAAGGAAGAAGCGTCAGCGACCAAACCAATACGGTCCTCAACGGTCAACTTACCGGCAACACCGGCCTCACCCAACTTGGTCCAACGCTCTGGAGTGTAAGCAGTACGGTAGATACCAGACTGGTCACCGTTAACCTTGTAGAAGTCGTCGGAGGTGTCGAGAGTGATGGACTTGGATCTGGTCTCCAAGACAGCAGCCTCGTCTGTACCGTTGGAGGTCTTCAAACCCAAGAAAACTGGGTACAAGACCTTATCTTCCTCAGGCTTGACATCAGCAGTAGCAAGGAATCTGTTCTGGGTAAGAGACAATTCGCCCTTACCGGTCTCTTCGACGTGAACAATTGGGAAACCGACGTTCTTGGTCCAGATGTCCATGACCTTCACGACATCCTTACCACTGACATCAGCCAAAGCTTCCCACAAGTCGGAAGTCTTTGTGTTGCCCCACTTGTGCTTCTTCAAGTAGTTAGACACACCCTTGACGAAGACGTCCTCGCCCAACCAACGGGAAATCATCTTCAACAAAGAAGAACCCTTGGAGTAGGAAATAGCATCGAAAATCTGGTTAATCTCGTCAGCTCTTCTAACAGGCACCTCAATTGGGTGAGAAGATCTCAACGCATCCAAGGTCAAAGCGTGCTGAAGAGAGTCAGCAACATAAGACTCCCAAACCTTCCAGTCTGGATACAAGGAGTCACAGGCGTACCAGGACATCCAAGTAGCGAAACCTTCGTTAAGCCACAAACCGTCCCAGAAGTCCATGGTGACCAAGTTACCGAACCACTGGTGAGCCAATTCGTGCATGACAACCTCGGTGACTCTTTGCATGGTGTTAACGTTGGTGTTCTTAGGATCCAAGAGCAAATCAACAGTTCTGTAAGTGATAAGACCAAAGTTCTCCATGGCACCAGCACTGAAATCGTGAATGGCCACCATATCCAACTTTGGCAATGGGTAAGGGATATCGAACTTCTTATCGAAGAAAGCCAAGGTCTTAGCGGCAATATCAGCCGAGTACTGACCCAAGTGCTCCAGGCCTGGAGTAGCCCAAACCTTAATTGGTCTATCGTAGTCGTTGTTCTCAACGTGCTTCAAGTCACCAACAATGAAAGCCACCAAGTAGGTAGACATCAATGGGGTGGTGTTGAACACGGTCTTCTTCTTCTTGTCATCCACGTCAACAACCTCCTTGACGTCCATGTTAGACAAGTGCACCAACTCCTTAGCCGAGATCAAGGAGATATCGAACTGGGCCTTCAACGCTGGCTCGTCAAACGATGGGAATGCTCTTCTACAGTCGGTAGGCTCCATCTGGGTCGTGGCCAAGTACTTTGTCTGGCCATTCTCGTCGGTATAAGAAGATCTGTAGAAACCAGCCATCTTGTCGTTCAAGATACCCGTGAACTTAATATTCAAAGCAGCCTTGGAGCCAGCTTCCAAAGGCGAAGCCAAGTCGAACGTGACAGTCTGCTTGTCCTCATCAAACTTGACCTCCTTAACCTTTTCGCCATTCACATCAGCGTGCTGAACCTCAATCTCCAACGAGTTCACCGTCACGGACTCGGACTTGTCGTTAACTTGCAAGTCAATGGTCAAGTCACCATTAAACGTAAACGAGTCGAAAAGCGGCTCGAGCGTCAAATCGTAGCGCAATGGCTTCACATTCGTAGGCAAAACCTCCCTCTGGGGCGTGGTGGTACACATGCTTTGTCTGTTTCGTGAAGAACAAGAACGACGAAAGCTGAGTATTTGTGGGGCCCGAGCCAGGCCCTGGTGCTGCCACCACGAGCTGTGCCGTACCGTGCGAGAGCCATCTGGTCCAGTGGCAGATGGGGCGTTTAGTGACGGGAGGGACTTGGGGAGGTGGGAGGAAGTGGCGGTGGCGAAAAGACGACGGGTGGACAATTGGTGGATCCAGCGAGCCGTTCGACCAGCGAAGGTGGGCGGGAGAGCCATGGGGAGGGAAGTGGGTGGGGGGTTGGTTGGGTTGGTTAGTGCTGGAGAATGGTGCTTTTTTTCACTGCGCACTGAAAAATGGAAAATGGGACAGTCAGGGAACGAGGGAGGAGGGAGGGAGGGATGGGATTGTAGGTTTTGATGGTTGGGTATTTTATGGGGATTTCAATAAAGGTGGATTTTAATGTAAATGTCAATTCTTCATGGCCTCTATTCGTTTCCTTTCTTTGTCTCTGTCTCTGTCTCTGCTGCCTCGGCTGGTGCCCAGAGTAGAGCCGTTTTGTGTCGCTGCGAACGGCTCCAAGCGGCACTGCCAAAGCGTCGACGTCAAGTTTAAAATATACCCGAGGCAGCGAAGGTTATGCGGCGTTGAAGGATGATGGAATAGAGGAATTAAGCGAGGTTGCGGTTAAGAGTAGGCGAAAGCGAGGCGTTTGGGCTGGGTTGGGCTGGGTTGGCGTCGGCTAATACCGGTTGGTTAATGGCTGCGAAAAGTGGTTACCACGCCTTGGGAGGGAGATGGGGACTGGGAGGGACTGGAAAGGAGATGGGAACTATGGAAGACACGGAATGTTGAAGAGTCAATGCTAGGTTGTAGGTGTCAGGGTTTGACTTCGTTGGACGGAGTGGAGGGAATGGAATTGGCGGTGCCGTGGCGCCATGTATGAGTGTGGTGGTTGACTAAAGCAGGCATGAGTAGCTGTGATTGCCTGGAACAGGTATTGAGCGTTGAATAAAACTAGGTATTTTAACAGATTGATAGTTCTTTGGCGGTTTGGGTATTTGGTGGATTTGTTTCTTCAGACTATCGGTCAGATCAATGAGTGGTTCTTCTCAACATGCTGATAGGTTATTACATCAAGGGAAGGAGCCAAAGTAGGCTAGGATGCTCCCTAGGAATGGTAAAGTCAGGGTCCAATGATCCTAATAGAATTTTTAACCGCCTGGTCTTAGATAATGTGGACTCTTTCATGAACTAGACAGACTTACAGACATTTCAATACCTCAACCCAAAGTAGCCCATGTCAATTGCCATTGAGTAGACTGGGTAGTATAATATGAACCAGGTGTTCCTAGAAAAGTAAGCATTGCCCTTCGAACGTAGGCTGTATGCTTTGGATCTCTATTAACAGGTCCTCTTAACCCATTCATGTCATTCCCTCATTCAGTCATTTATAAAATGGCCAGGCTCTAAATATTCAAGAAACAATAAACCTCTTCAGTTTACAAATTCACTCAATATTGCACATTCAGCTTCATTTCCTGTTCACTTAAACCCTGTAAAGAAGCAGTAGTAATAGATAACTATCTGTAACAGTGGTGGTTACGCACCTTATCAATAGAGCCCTACCAACAATGCCAACTGCAAGTTCGCCAAAGCCACCCATTCCATACTTGATCAGCTGCTTTGTGCCTTCATTTCTTACACTACCCTACTCTCTATTAAGCATTTCTTTCTCTTTTCATTACTACACAGTAGACTTACACCTTCACGACAACACTGTCGAAAGGTTCACCAGCAGCAAGCCAGCCTTTGATTCCCTCGTGCAAAATAGTTACCTTGACGTTGGTATTGTGTTCTTTCGAGTAATCCTCGAGCCAACCACCGACTTTACTGGCTCTTCTGCCTGAACTGTTGCAGTGGACCACAATGAGTCTGGTCTTGGGGAACTGCTGGGCAATTGGCAACAACACTTTTTCTTTGATTTCCTCGTATCCGCCAATATCAGTGGCTGGAATATGGATCGACTTGTTGATGTAACCTGGCTCTCTTTCGTTTCTCAAGTCAAGCACCAAGGTTTCTTCACCTTCCTGGAGAAGTTTCAAGACATCCTCTCTGGAGGTACGAGAAGGTTCGGTTTGTGGATCTGGGTACTTTTCAAGCCATTCAGGCACGGATGCTGACATTTTGATGTTGTTTCTTACAAGTTGTTTACGAGAGCGGGATTATATTTCTGTACTTATGTGTGGCGACCTTCATGCATTACTCCCACAAATCTGGGGTCCTCATCACCGACATTCACGTGCCCAATTGGCTCCAAGACAGAGACTGTGGGAAGCGGTTAAATGAAGAGTATGGCATGCCAGGGCCTTTTATAGAGTGTTTTGCATTGTTGACGTTGTTTTGAGCCAAGAGCTCTACCTATGGTGGTGGCAGTAGTGGCGGGCAGTTTGACCTCCATCTGCCAATCTTCCCTTAATTAAGCGGTTCTTTGAAGAATGTGAATACCACTGTCGGTTTCGATAATGTCACTGAATTCACCAACATTGAGGCCAAAAGCAGCCTGTTCGAAAGCTGGTTGCATTTGACCCTTACCGAAAAATCCAAGGTCACCGCCGTTGGCATGGGAAGAACAGTCACTTTCAGATTGAGCTAAGTCAGATAACTTGATTTCGCCATTGAGGATTCTCTTCTGGTGTCCCTTGATTATGGCAATGGCCTGGTCCCTGGAGAGATCAATACCGTCTGGACTCTTCCAGGATTTTGGTTTTCTAGATGTGACATTCTTCACAAGTAAATGGGAGGCTCTAATTTTACCGTCATCGTTGACAAGAGGCTTGTTGCCGTTGGCTTTGAACTTATTAATGTAAGTTTCGAGTTTGCTGGTATCAGTGCCATATGGAGGTTCCCAGGTAGATTCCTGGGTTGCCTGGTTAAGGTAGTAAGGCTCGTTGTGCTTCTTGGACACTTTAATGGACCAGCTGGGAGGTAATCCTGTTTCCATGTTGATATAGAGGTTGTCTAGGGAAAAGAGATGTGTTGACGGCGGCGAGTTTATGATATATTGGGATGGCTTCTATACACCGGACATACCGAAATAGCCCCTGGGCCATTTGAATGACCAGAAAGAGTAAAGGGGAAAAGAAGGTGGAATTAATGGAGAGAGTCGAAGGCCAGGAGTTTCTTACTGTTTACTAATTTTCCTCACCGTTTTGGTGTCTTTTGGGATACCTTTGGTTATGCGATTTCGCACCCATAAGTAACATACTACAAATCAAACATACTGTCTAACTTTTATTTTTATTCTTAACTGTAGGGTGGCATATTTCCCTATTTCTAATTATGCTAGTTAATGCCTCTATTCACAAGAGCCTCCTTGACTTTACCGAACACAACGTCCACAGGCTGGTCGCAGCTGAGCTTCACAACCTTACCTTGCTTGTCGAAATAGTCAACCACAGGCATGGAGGTTTCGATGAAAGTTCTGAATCTCTTCTTGATACTCTCAATGTTGTCGTCAGCTCTGCCACTGGTCTTACCACGCTCCAAAAGTCTGTCGAGCATAACCTGTTCCTTACACTCAAAGAAAAGAGTGAAGGCAGACTTGACGATCTCGTCCTCAAAGGTCAATGCCTGGTCCATCTTTCTAGGGAATCCATCGACCAAGAACTTATTGTTACCTTGAGCAACGTTGTCGCTCACAGCGTTTCTAAGCAACCTAACGGTCACTTCCTGAGGCACAATGGTACCTTCCCTGATACATTTAGCGATCAAGGCTCCATCCAGGGAGCCTTCCCTAACCTGCTCAGCTCTCAAAAGGTCACCAGCAGACAAGTGGACAAAGCCTTTCTCCTCAACAAGCTTTCCACACTGAGTACCCTTTCCTGAACCAGGACCGCCCAAGACGAAAATAACAGAAACGTCTTTATCACTGAAAGCAGGAGCAGCAGCTTTCTTTTCATCCTTCGACTTGGTCTCCTCTGGAGCCTGGGCAGGAAGCGTAGGCTCTGGAGCCAGTCTTGGATCATGGGTAGTGTAAACAGAAGCACCAATGGTAGAAGCAATAACCAACAAAGCCAAGGCACCAAGCATATAGCCCTTTGCGGATTTCACAGCATCAGTCTTCTTTGGCTTTTCTTCTGAAGACTCCTCAGAGCTCTGCTTCGCCTTCTTAGACGCTTTTCTACGCTCAGGTGAAAACTTGGAGTAGTGTCTGAGAGGAGTCACAAGGCTCACTCTGGCAGGGAGTAGGCGAGCTGGGGCCTTTAGGCTGGCGGTTCTGAGCGATCTGACGAACATGGAATGGTTGCAAGAGAAGCCAAGTGTTTTTCTTCTGGAGAAGATGGGTTTCTTTGGGCGCGTGATAGTCGTGTATTACCGACGTGCTTTAGTTTGGAGAGTATGAAAAATTGGCTGCGAAAAAGTGTTGCAAGAAGTTGGAGATGGAGGTTGGGGATTTTTTTTGGGGGTTTTGGAGAAAAGTAGTGGGAAGGAAGTGAAAACAATGTGGTTGGGAATGGAGTTTGGTTATGGAGTTTGAACGGTATTTTTTGGGGAATTGGTGATGCAATGGGTCATTGCTAGATCTGGAAGAGGGGAGATCGAGGAATGAGGTTAATGGGATCACTATCAAGAATGTTTTATATTTTTCTTCTTAATTATACTTTGAAATAAACTCTAATAGATTGTAGATTCAGTTTGGCTAATGAAGAGGGTAAATTTTGGTTTATTGTACTTATATGTGGAGGGTTGGGCAGTAGAGGCTAGTGAAGATGGTGTATCCAAGATCCTATCATTCCATACCATTCCATATTTTAGAATGGAAAGGTGATATTGTTAATAATAAGTTATTGCCAGAAAAATTCCAAAGTCAAACAAGCAAGCTCTAGATCAGTAGAAACTCCACATCTTCAGCTTCGTCATATCTGTTCAACGGTCTTCATCTACGTTAGAGTATATCATTCCTCTTCGCTTGTGTTAGATTGTTGTTTTATTTACTAGCAGCTATCGTATGTACCACTATCAACATCTCACTACTTACAGAAACTCCTTGAGAGCATCCTCACCGATTCTATAGTATCCTCCGTTGAGAGACGAACCCCAACCCTTGGTTGCCAAGTTCACAAGCAAGTTTGCGGGCACTTCAGCAGGCAACAAACCCTTGTTCTCGTGCAAATCGACAAACTTCTTCAAACTCTCTGGAGTCATGTTAGCACCAAACTTGTTTCTAATATCTTCTTGCATGCTGGTATCAACAACACCAGGAGCAATAGAAATTGCATTCACTTCCTTATCTTCAGCAACCAATGTCTGTACAAGATGGTTGACAGCAGCCTTGGAAGCGCCATAAGCTCCCCAACCGTAGTATGAGTTTGTCAGAGCTCCAGACAGAACAGCAACAAAACGGCCATTGGACTTCTTAAGGTGAGGCAATGCCTTGGTAATAAGACCAACCACAGAAAAGAAGTTAATATCAAACAACTGCTTCCACTTAGCAATGTCTGCCTTGGCCACAGTATCAACTGGATCAAGCACACCAGCATTAGCAACAACAGAGTCAATTGAGCCAAACTCGAGGGCTTTCTCAACAGCTTCAGTGGCAACCTTCTCGTCGCTCACATCTCCAGCCACCGTCTTAACTCTATCACCGTACTTCTCCTTCAAAGAGTTCAAAGCCAGCTCTGATCTGGCGATTGCTACAAGGTTATTGGATTGGGACTTGGAAAGGTAAATTTCGGCCACAGCCGCACCAATGCCTAATGTTAGTCGAGGATAGAAAAGATATAGAAAAGGGCAAACTTACCTCTAGAGGCACCGGTCAAGATCATGGTGTGGGACATAGCTGGTGGGTCAGAGCAAGTCCACTCGAGGCCTATACTAAGTGCCAGTGTGGGCACGTGATGTCAGCTAAAAGTCCAGTTATTCCAGCCCCCCAAGAAGATATTCAAATAAAAAGCAAATAATAGTAAGCTGTATAGTGTTTATTTTGTCATTTTGGTGTCATTTTTTGTCTTAGGTTCTTGCTGGCGTTCCTGGCTCACCCTTTCCAGACACCTAATATCAACAAAATACTTACCGCACCCACAGCGACTCTGAAAACACAAGGCACAATAAAAACGTCCTAAAGGCTTCTCTCCACATCAGAACCCAACCCGGAATATCCACCATCAGGCCACAGTGGTATCACATAGAGTGCCCTGTTTTAGACGTTAGAGAGCCAAGAACCTCAACGCATCACGGGCCCGTGGTCTAGCATGAACATAAACCCCGAAGCAGCCAAAGACACTCCTTGCAAGAACGTGACTATCTACGGTTTCTGCAAATACGAAACGAAAGGTTGTGTATTTAGCCACGACAACGAAAGCTTGCAGCTGAAGCAAGCATCGCCACAGACTTTGACGTCGAAACCGTCGCCCTCCAACCTCAACAACACAGATATCCAAATAATGAAGGGAACCAACGGCGCCTCGAGTGCTGAAGGCGCTGCTCCAAAGAAAAGGTTTAACGCCAGCACGCCTTCTTTCCAGCCTTCAGTGCAAACGCTTACCAATAAGTTTCTGTCGTTATCACCAAAACTCAAGGACCTTCCCCTGTTCGTTCCTGCTAGTCTTGAACAGAAGGAGGAAGCTGCCACTCCACCACCACAGCCAAAGAAGTTTAATGCCTCGACTCCATCTTTCACGCCCTCGTTCGAAGGCTCTAATCGGTATGCAAACTCTGGCCTTAATAATGAACCACAACAACAGGTGTTCACACCCCTGATGCATACACCCCTGTCTTTGATGGGAGCCACGAGCATGTCGAACCAGCAGCCGCTGCAAACCCAGCAGAACCCGTATCTTGCTGGCCCTACACCGCCGCCACTTGCCGGTATGGGTAACATGGGCTCTAATCAGGGATCTGACTACATGTTTCCTGGAAACCTGTCAACCCCAACCTATGCCCTTAATCACCACTTGTATGCGCCTGCTCCTCCTCCAAGGTTGGCCTCAAGTTTGAGCGAACATCAAACTAATGTTAATGACATGTTCATCCCTAATAACTTGCGTCAGGAATTGGTCAAGAAGAACGAGGCTACTTTGCAGACAGTCGCCCTGCTGACTCTTCCTGATCATGTGGGTGAATATCATTCTTTGGTGCCAATAGATGTCACTTTCGTACAGCCTTCGAAAGTATACGAGATTCCAAGTTACGTCTACAAGGTGATGTCTAATGTCACCGGAGTTCCATACGCCGTTCGTCGTATCGACTTCAACAGCAAAGCTCACTTCTCGCAAGATGTTAAACTTCAATCGATCAAGAAATGGAAGAAGATTAGAAATCCAAACGTGGCCAAAGTGCATGATGCGTTCACAACTGTTGCGTTTGGTACGTATGCTGAGCCCGTGTTATGTTTGGTGTACGACTACTACCCTCTTGCCAACACATTACAGGAACAACATACGACGAGGAAGTTGGGAGGAAAGTTGGAACCCATCTACGAGGATTTGCTTTGGTCTTATCTTATACAGATAACCAATGCGCTCATTCACATCCACAACCATAGGCTCCACGCTGGATCTTCCTTGGATTTGTCTAAGATATTAGTTACAAATAAGGGAAGATTGAGATTAGGAGCTGTTGGCGTGGATGATATATTTGAACTAGATGCTGATACAGATTTCGAAGAATTGCAAGCCAAGGATTACAAGCTTTTCGGAAAAGTGATACTCGAGTTGGTAAGGGTTACGGTGCCGCATAGTCTTCGTGATGGAGACTATGATACTATACTCCCACGTCTTTCGAGCTTGTCAACTGTGACATACAGCGAGGAGCTCATTGAAGCTCTTACCGGGCTTTCCAAGCTCGGCGAAGAATCAACCTTGCCAGAGTTCTTTAGCAAGCATCTTGCCCTTCGGTCACTCAAGGTTCTAAGCGGTCTAGAAGATCTGTCGGACTATATGGAAAGCCAGCTCACTTCTGAGATTGAGAACGGAAGACTTTTTAGGTTAATGGCGAAGATCGACTTGTTGGTGAACTTGCCGGAGAAGGATAAAGCAGATAACGGCAGCTTCTACGTGATTAAGCTCTTCCACCAATTCGTGTTTAATTCCTATGACGAGTTTGGCAAGCCGGTCGTGGATCTCTCCCGAATCCTTGTCAACTTGAACAAGCTAGATGCGGGCGTGGAAGAAAAGATCTTGCTTATATCAGCCGAAGAGGATAGCTGTATCATTGTGAGCTACAAGGAAGTGAAGAACATAATAGAACTGACGTTCAGAGGGGTCTTCCGCTAGCCAAACCGCCAGAAGTTAAAAAACCAAAAAAGAAAAAAAAAAAGCAAAAAAAATCGGAAAATAAAAACTAAGAAAATCAACGAATACACAAGCAACTGCAAACCGCTGTAGACATAGAGCTTACACTTAGAGAAGGGCCTACTATGGCTCGTGGAGCCACTGGTACCTTCGTTTCAGGTATTCCTTATCAGAGATGCACCTTTAACCACCAAGATGTCGTCTGGAGCCACAGCGACACACACACACATACACACAGCAGCAACACGAACCATGACAAGTTTCCACGAGTTTCACCCTTTCCTGCCAAAAACCCGAATCCAAAACCATGGCTCCTGATCCCCTAGAAAATCACTCAGTTCCACCTTATCCAGCCACCAGTGGTGCCACAGCAGGTGATCCATCGATGCACGCCATATTCCATTTTCGCAATCAGTCATCACCAAGAAGAAGTCACCCCAGAGGGCACGCCATGGGAAGTAGAAACAGAATAAAAAAAATCCCAAAACGGTAACCTAATTTGAAGACCCATAGATAACAAAAAATCCACTTCCTCCAAGACTTCCCCCCAAAACAGACCCTTTCCCGGTCTGACTCACACCGGAACCGGGCCGTATCAGTCACCAAAACCGACGCACGGAACACCTCACAGAAGCGCCATTTGCCCTGATAAGCGATGGAAAAATGCAACCTGCGACTCAGTCATAGTGCAAAAAAAAATGTCGCAGCGCTGACTTCGCCGCACGTGACCATGACTAACCTTCTTTTTCCACCCAGTGAGTAATCCTGGAGTGGCAGCGAAGCGCGGGGGAAAAAAAGTATATATACCGAGCGAGATGCCACACTTTTTTGGAGTTGGTTTCTTTACGGGTTTCACTCTCCAGCTCTAAGGCTAAAACAAAACAACTCACCAAAAAACAAAAACCAAGCTTCAGCTTACACTTACGAATTACGCATTACGGTTTTTTTTTATACTATCATCTTTTTATCATCGGTTCATCGGTTTAGGTTCAGTCTGCTGGTCAACTGAAGAGGTTATACACAACGGTTACGGATACCACGGATTTTTTTTAACAAGATTTGCTATATGGCAAATACCAGGCATTTTATTTGATTTATTGGATTTGATTTAACAGTTTACACTTTTTAACGCTTTTTTTTTATTTTTTATTTTTTAATTTTTTGTTTCAAGATGGTTCAGATTTTTATTTCCTTGCAATAGACTCACTCGTCGTTGTCAGGAAAAGAAATGAAACATGTTATCGTCGAGAGCTTCCCCTTGGGAGACGTCGGTCTCCCCCTATGCAAAGCGTGAAACCCCATCAACCCCTCCTTCCGAGAGCTTTGCTCCAAACAATTCAAAATACTACAATGATCACCTTAACAAGTCGCAGTTCAACCTTATTCTTACCAACTGCGCTGTCAACTTGATGAAGATGCTTTACCCATCCACTGTTGTCCAAGTTGACGATGTGAAGTTGCGTTTTTTCATCATCGAGATCTTGAGAAGATCTAAAGCGCTGACTCAAACTTTACAGATCTGCTGCTTCTACATGTACAAACTCATCAACAAAAAGCCCGAGGAGTTGCCCAACTGTCCTAAAAAGTTGTTTTTGGCACTCATCATTTTGTCATCCAAGTTCAACCAAGACCACAACTATTCATTTAAGCTGTGGCTTAAAATTTGCGGTTGCAAAGGTACTGACGATTCCAGTTTGAACCTCCAAAAATTAAGACAAACGGAAACGCAGTGCCTCCAGCTTCTCAATTACGACCTTTACATTAACGGGTCCAAGTATGAGAACTGGTGCAACGTGCTTTTGATCTTTGGATATGACTTCATTTCGTTGCACCATGTCAACCTGGGCATTCTCAGTTGGTGTAGCGAGTCGGACGGCCAGAAGAAACTCTTCCGTTGGACGCTGTTTTTACACAAGATGGATGAAAAGCGTCTTGGCAAGGTTTGTGTCAATTTCAAACACTATTACGCCGGCCAAGTGGGCACCAAAGTGGTGACCAGCGCCCCAGTCAAGCCGGCATCCCTCTTTGGCAAGCGTACTTTGGAAGAAAGCGAGTCCGTCACCAGCAAAAAGGTGTGTAAATAGTGATAGACGCCTACTTCAAGAAAAGTGTAGATGTTTCACATGTAGTGAAGAGGGATGGAATCACAAGCAAATGTGTCAAAAAAGCGTCAGCGATCGCTGCACACGCAAATAGATAAGGTATGCAAATAAGCCTTTAGTTACACAAAAACCACCCATCCACGCTACAATTGAAAAAGCGGAACGAAAAAGTTGGCTGAGCACAGACCCTGGATTTGCAGCCACTGACGTGTAAATACCCACGTCAAACAAAGCAAACTTACATCATTCCCGTACGCAAGGTCTACTGTGTTATCGGATCCGAAGAATGTCATCAAGTGTCTGTGGCTCGGCAATACTATGGAGCAAGCAAGCGCAGGGAAGGAAGGAAAACAAAGAAGATACGCAAGGAAGAGAAAAAAAAAAGTGAAATCCAAGGCAAGGTCACAAGTTACGAGGGAAAAAGGAAAAGTAGCAAGTAATCAAAAAAAAAGCATAAACTATAAAAACAAAAAAAAAACCATAGGCAATATGACTTAACCCAGTGACTCAAACACAAACCACCAATTGCACAGTCACTGGTCGTTTTTTTCTTTTGTTCCCTCTAAAACGTGCTTCTCTTGGCCCAGCAGACCCTGCCACGATAACCGCCCAGATGGCCCGCGGCAAGAAAGCAACGCAGCAAAGGGAGGTAGGAGAGAGGTAGGGGAGAAGAAGATATAGAAGAAAGGGAGAAGAAAGAAAAGGCAGAAAAGCAGAAAAAGTACTTCTCTCTTTTTTATTCACCCTACCTTTTGTACCGTGGAGGTGGTTGTTTTTGAGTCGCTTGTGTGGCGCCAAGCAGTGGAAGTAGGGTGTTTTTTTCGACCCACCAGGTTGTTTTTAGCCGCGGCAGCAAACGAAAACACAGAAACGGAAACAGAAGGATATGGACGAAAAGGGACGATGGAAGATGGACGGAGCCCGGAGGACAGCGGCAGGGTTAGAAACGGCTTAACGGTGGATGTTGTAAGGATGGGTTTTTTTAGAGTTTGGAAACGGGAGAGGTAAGGAATGGGAGGGATGGTCTAGCCGTGAAGGCTTAAGTTTTGTCTAGTTCGGTTCGGCAGGCTGGCAGGCAAGGCAGGCAGGGCAGGGGAGAGACAATCAAGAGGCTCATGGGACCCTCACCCTTCATGGCCAGGACAAGACAGGACAAGACAAGGCAAGGCTAGGCGGGGGTCTACAAGTTCTTTCTTCAGTGTACTGATTTTATTATTCAACCAAACTACCAATACATCGTAAACAATACCGAATGAGCCGGCCACCGGCGGGATTCAGGGAATAAAAAATAAAAAGGCAAATCAAAGGGGAGGGAGGAATTATGTGGGAGAGGCGGCTGGGCTGCTTCAATAAATTTTTTTTTTCTGGTTCTTTTCTGGTTCTTTTTTTTTTTTTTTTTTTTTTTTTTATGTTACTTTCCTTAAGCGACTCCCACATACACAAACAAAACCGCCCACACTTTTAAGCAAATATAGGTGCTCATGCTGGTGGGACAAAACAATTTAAGCTTGCCTCAATGGCAAAACTGTAATGGGCTTAGGCAGAGGTGGGCACAGCAATGTTGGTCTGCTCAGCGGCACCGTTGATAGTCTTCTTAACCTCAGCAACGCCGTTGCTCACCACATCATCAGCCTTGCGCTGGGTCTGCTGGGCAACGTCAGTGACGTAACTCTGTGTGGTACTCTTCAATGGCTGGATGTAGTCAGAATTGACGCTCTTCAACAACTTGACACCAGTGTTGACAGATGCAGAGGCCACCTTGACGTAGTAGTTCTTCTCCTTGGAGGAGTCAAACTCCTTGTTGTATGTGTTAAGGACAGTGTTGGAGATATCCTGAGACTTGGTGGTGACCAAGTCCTTGGAGCGCGAGTAAGTGTCATTGACAATCTCAATGGACTTGGAGATTTCGTTTTCGGCCTGCTTCTCCTTCTTCTCGACCTTCTTAGCTGCGTTTTGCACCTTTCTCCTTCTTCTCGACCTTCTTAGCTGCGTTTTGCACCTTTGGCAAAACCTTATCAACTGTGCTGGAGGCGTAGTCATTGACAGGCTTCAAGTAGACACCCACGGCATCCTCACCTTTCTTCTTGTAAGCATTGAGAGTGTCCTGGCCCTTCTTCTTGTAAGAAAGAGCAAGGTCTTCGCCCTGCTTGGCCTTCTGGGTGACCAAAGCCAAACCCTTATCGAAGTTGCCCAAGAGCAAGCCATCAAAGTACTCGTCAAGAGTGCTCAATTGCTTCACGACAAATGGGAAACGGGAAAGAACCTGGTCATTGAAGTAGTTGGATAAAGCCACAACGTACGTGGAGATGGCACTGAAAAGTGAAAAGCTCAAGATGTAGCTTTGCAAGCGTTTAACCACAGAGTAGGACTCAAAGTGGGCCTTTGCCTTGGAAGTGAAGGGTTTAGACATGCTGAATAAATAATAGATAACGCTTGAAAGGGTTGATAAAGAAGGAAAGAAAGAAAGAAAAAAAAAATCACAGTCTGGTGGGAAATGACACCACTTTATATAGTGAGGACTTGGCCCGGGTTCCACCTTTTTTATTTTTTTTTTTTTAATTCTCCCCTGGAGAGTCTATCTGTACCCTTGCCAAAAAGGACATGCAGCGACCATGCGACCCCCGAGACGTCTGCCTGCAGTACACACATCTACCTATTTGCAGCCTCTAATGGCAGAGATGGCGCGCCCTTGCGATGGCGAGCATGTGAAAGTTGCTTTCCCTGACGTGGAACGTGTAGAAGTGAGAGATGGAGACGACGTCACATCTGAAGCAGACTAACCAGAAACCCTCGAAAGCACATGATTGGCACTTATCCCAACCATAAGATACAGAAACTGGTGCTTGTTTCTTTTTGACTTTGATGAGCCTCCTTTTTTCCCTTGCAACCTGTTCTTGCCCTTTTTTAAGCTTTAGGTATATTATTTACTAGAGGGCTGTTTTTTGCTCTGGTACCGAGCCCTGCCGAGGGATAACTACCATCTTTTCGGCAACAATTGTTCCACTGTCATGGTGCGTTTTGTTACCAGACAATAACTCGGGCAGGCGCGGCGTAATGGTTGCAAAATACCTCTCCCGAGAAGCTCCGCAAAGTAGAAGATGAAGAAAAGAGACGAATGTGGATAAAAGTTGAGAGGGCTCTTCTTGTCTAATGTATGGCCAAGCCCAAGAATAGACAAGCGTCTGAGCATACACAGAGGGAGAAGAGGGCCCTGTTAGTGATAGTCCCGTAGATGATACAAAAATAAGCTTTCCACAACAAACACAACCTAGCGTCCCTTTTCTCTAGCCAGTTTCGAAAACATAACACAATGAAGAAGACCTTGCAAAAGAAACAAAAATTATTGAAAGGAAGATCGACTCGGCCAGAGGGAGGATGGAACTAAACACACAAGGAAAAAAAATTATCATGTGGCCAGTGTGCTTTTTGTATGAAATAACCTTCACAGGCCGAAGGCCGAAAATGAGTATGCTTGGTCTGCTTTTGACTGGTATGTGGCTGTTTCAACCTCGTGCGCCACACGCCTCACCTGATGGGGGATTTGCTGCCGAGGGCCATTCGGTAAGATCGTCCCTTTTCCTTTCAGATCCATTCTCCAAGGGTCCCTCGACTGTTGGGAAGCGTAAAGTTTGTTTGTGTTCATGCTAAGCATTTAATTTTTTTTTTTTTGGATTTGAATTTTTTCACACCACGAGCTCTTTTTTTCTTGTTTCATTCGCATAATTGCATTCATAGAGGCGAATGTGAAAAATTCAACCTACATCGATTTTTTTCGTAAACATGCATTGTCCATGTACTCAAAGTCGCTGCACCGATCCTAGTCCGCCTCGGGCTCTGCATTCGGTGTCGGAACTCTCTCTTCCTTGTTAGATAGACGAGATGGTGGATCCACCTATTCAACTTTTATAATATATCTGTTGCAATCAACTTACTGCTGCTTGCACTCTGGTGGGTTTTCCTTAGGACCAGTCTCATCGATACCTTCCTCCTCGTCATCTTCCTCGCTGTCTTCATCACTATCGAATTCCTCATCCTCCTCTTCGTCACCTTCAAGGTCTTCTGGGAATCCATAGTCCACAGCATCGCCAGTGAACCAGTCCACGGCACGTGGAATCAAACGGTCCTTGATCTCCTCACCCAACTGGTAGTCCAACTCCAATCTGGCCTCCAAGTCAGCTTCCTGTTCCTCGTCCTCATCGGCTTCTTCATCCTCCAGCTCCCCAGCCTTTGGTGGCTTAGGTGGGTCAAAGAAGTTAAAGAAAGACTCTGTGGGCGTCAACTTCTCAATAGTTCTCGTTTGCTTGGTGTTCTTGTTTCTTTGCTTTCTTCTTTCAATGTTGATGGTCACATTGTTCTCCTTGGACTTCCAGTTGATTTCGCATCCATCGGCATGGTCATACACAAAGTCTCCAGAGTATCCCAACTCGGCCTGGTAGTGGTACGTCTTCGTCAACACCTGGTTGCTGAAGAATGCGTTCTCGTTGAACTCAAAAATCAACTCAAAGCCCGGCGTCTCCAAGTACTCCATGCGAATATCCTTCAAGTTCTCCAATACATCGCTGTCTCTTTCAGTGATGGTCTCGCTGACAGTGGTCAAGTTCTCAAGAGCGGTCAACCAGAAGTTAGGAATACCCTTGGATTCGTCATCGTCTTCCTCGTCTTCTTCCTCTTCTTCTTCCTCATCTTCATCCTTCTCCTCAAGGGATTCACCAACCTCGACCTCATCGGCAGTTGGTTCCTGGACACCATTGATGATATCCTTTCTTCTCTCATACAATGGCTCGTACTTCTTGAAATACTTCTTTTCCAACTCCAACAAGTCTCTCTGAAACTCGGCTTCCAACTTCATTTGCTGCAGCTGGACTGCCTTCAAGCCCATCACACGCTTCTTAACCGCAGCAGGCAATGCATCAATGTACCCGCTTTGCTGGCCCACAAGAGAGCCCAATTTGCCCTGGATCATCGACAAAAGCGCTGGGTTGTTGGCCAACTGCTTGCTCAAGTTGTTTTCATCCTCTTCGCTAATAGTAGACACGGAAGGGGGCTGTTGTTTCAAGTATGAGTTTGCCACGCTGGAAGGCGTGTTTTGGGGCGTAGGTGCCTTTGATATGTCACCTTGTTTTCTAATACGATCCGACATTCCTGAGTAGGGTGTAGATTAACCTTTGACTTTAGGAAGAGCTTCGGTGTTGGTAGGATGTCGCCAAATCCAAAGAAGAAAATGGTGGATGGCGCACGTGTCACGTGCGCGCCTTTTCCCTATAGTATAGGCAGGTTTCTACAATTTGACTTTTTTTCTTTCTTTTTTAGGCTTTTTTCGTTTCCTTTCAAACGCGTTAAATTACCTTTCCCCATTGCGAACTACGCAACGGCTATATTCCCTAACTTTATTTCGTTGTCATCGTGCTTTAGATCTCAAATGAGGCTGAGGAGGCCATTGCGGTATGTTGGGGCGCTTCTTCGATATCGTCGTAATTTCCATCCAAATACTTTTCAATATCGGTCTTTCTTTGCTCCCACTCTTCAACCTGAGCCAATTTGGACTCGATCTCTTTAATCTCATTATCGATAGTCTTCAAGTTCTCTTCAGATGTCAAGTCGTGGAAGATCCACTTGTCTGGCTCACCCTTCTCGTTCTTGATCTCCAAGATGAAGTCGTGGTACTTCATCAAAAGTGGTCTGTGCGAGAGAGTGATGAAAGTGATCTTCTTTCTCTGCAACAACTCGAACAAATAGTCCTCGACATCTGTAGACACGGCGTTGGTAGACTCGTCCAAAACCACAAACTTAGGGTTCTTGAACAACACACGGGCAATGCTCATTCTCTGCTTCTCTCCTCCACTGAAGACATCCTTCCAGTCCTTCTTGACATTGAAGTTACCTTCTCTGGTCAACAAGTAGTCCAATTTAACCTCCCGCAAAATGTGGTACAAGTGGTCGTCGTTGTATCCCATCTCTAACATGTCGTCGTAAGACGATGGATAAATAATTTGATCTCTCAAGTTACCGTTAGTGAAGTAGGTCTTCTGTGGCAAGTAGAAGATCTCGTCATCGCTTGGCTTAGACATCAATCCGTAGTACAATGGCCACAAACCAGCCATGATACGAGCGATAGAAGTCTTACCGCAACCGTTGGATCCCAAAACCAAAAGGTTCTTGTTACCCAGAAGATGGATGTTCAAGTTGTCAATGAGCTTGGTGCCCTCGCTACCTTCCAGACCAGGAATAATCACTGGGAGGTGCTCAAAACGAATACCACCGCTGTAGTTGTGCTGAACAGTACCGTGAATATCAGCAATACCGTATCTGGAGCCAAAGGCAAACTTAGGCGAGTGAGCCTTGTGCAATTCGGTAAGCAATGAGAAGACTCTATCAGTGTAACCGGTAAGCTCGGAAATATCCTTGATGGAATACATCAATCTAGAACCAGCATCAGCCAACGACAACATCAATCTCTTGTTGATGATAAACTGTCTCATGTTCAGCTTGTCGTCAACCTTAGCCTTCTTTTCAGGAGCTGGAGCAGACTCACCTTCATCAATGTGCTGGGTAGCCTTTGGCCACAAGTCCTCCAAGAAGACTGGCAAACCGGCAAAGACATAACCCCAAGCAGACCAGGTGTACTTCAAGATGTAATCTTCAAGGATGGAATACCAGAAAGAAATGTTGATTTCCTTGGAGACGTGACCCATCAAGCCTTCAAAGGTTTCCTTCAACTTGGCCTTCTCAATAATGGAACCCTTGTAGAAACCAATCTCCTCAGAGTTCGTGATAAGGTTCAAGTGCTCGTTGTAGTAACGACCCTCCAACTGAGTTCTTTGGGCAGACAACTTACCAAACGAAGGGGTATATTGTTTCAAGAGGAAAGCTGTGGCAAAGTAGTTGGCAAAGATACCAACGATGGCACCAGTACCCAAGTTGTCTCTCAAGTAAACCGAGAAGAAGACCAAATCAATAAGCGGCTTACCCATACTGGAGAATAAGCCACAGATGGAGTCACAGAACTTGGTGATATCATTTGTGATGTATTGATCGATGTTCTCGATCTCAGCGTGGCTGAGAGACATCTTGTAGTAGGTCATGACCTTATCCAAGTACATGTCGTGGACGTATCTGATCAAGTTTGTTCTGAAACTCAAAGACAATCTGTTTGTCAAGTATTTGATGGCAGCATTAGTGTAAGAGGCCGGGAAGGCAATCAAGATCCAGTAGATCAAGTCACGGACAAACTTCTTGCCGTTGGCGCCAATCAAGTTCTTGACGATCTGACCGTCCAACTTGGTGATGATCAAAGACAACCACGTACGCAAAATCAAGAAGAAACACTGGGAAAGTAATAAATAGGTGTTCTTGGAATAGAATCTGGGGATAAGAATACGCCAGATGATGACGATCTGGTTCAAGAACTTCAGATTGAAAATGTTCTTCTGTTGCTTCAACCGCTGATCAATGTAGAAATTCTTGTAAGTGTACTTGTCGGCAGCATATCTATCCAAATTTGGCTTAGGAATGATGATTCTCGTGGACGAGTTCTTACCCTTGGGCACGAAAATCTCCCTGGCACCATTTTTCAAGATTGTCGACAGCTGGCGAATCAAACGGGGCCTATTCTGGGACCTCTTATACATGTACTCATTGTACTTGACAATCAACGACTTGATGGTGAAAAAAGCACCCACTCCGAACGTGGCAATGATGGTGCCAAAGAAAAGAACAACCGGTCTGCTCTGGTAATTGATGGTGACCTTGTTGTCCTTATAGACGAGCACAAACTCCCGAAGGATAAGAAGGAGTTTGCGCACGTCCTCCCGACTGTAACTTGTAAGACGAGATATGTGGACCATGTCAAAAAATACCTAGATAGAAAGAAGACGGTGTAGGTGTATCTGGAGTTGTTTGATGGTGAGTCCAAGCAAATGAGCTCTCCCCACAGTACCGTATGCCGAGGGTAGGTGGGGTGGTGTGTGCAAGTCTGGGCACGACCTGGGGTATGTATGGGGGTCACGTGGTGCCCTTATAACAAGCACAGACGAAGACTGAAGGAGGTAAGCGAAGAAAGGAGAGTTTCTTAGTGGAATTTGACTTCATAGGTTATTTTTGGCTGACTTTTGGTGGTTTTCCTGGTCTTACGCATGGACAGTGACTGCTTGTTGTTTACGAAAAATGGCTGCGAAAAACTGAAACAGGGTCCCTTGCGGCTGGCCAACCACAGCCTTCTATCCGATCCGTATTGCCCTCGATGTGAAGGAGGTGGTTTTGGTGGCTGGGATAGTTTAATTAGACTTTTAGTGGTAGTGTGGTGACGTAGAATGGGTATTTGGATGGGTGGATTAGGTAATGGAGGGGTGGAGGGACAGTAGGACTACAGTGGTGGGGCAAGTAATGGGCCGAAGACAATAAGGTGGTGAGTAGATAAAGGGAGACATATTGATGGAGGGAAGAAGGGAAGAAGGAGGGAGGAGGGAGGAGGAAATAGGGATGATAAAGATGAGGTAAACTAGGGAAGGTATCGGTGTTGGTTCGAAGGTATGGGAAAGACAAGGGTAGAAAGAACTGGTATGGTAAACTGGTCACTGTAAAAACAAACGTCGTACAAGCAATGAACAGCTTGTAAGTAGTTGGTCAATTTGCTAGAAATTGAAAAGCTCCTTATCAGCTTCCTCAAGTTTCAAACAACATGATACCATCGGATCTTCCTTGAGTATATCATAAGAAGCCACATACGTCTGCAGCGTTGCTACCTTCTTCAACAAACAAACTAAAGCGTCCTTATCGGAAAGATCGTAAAGAAAGCCTAAACCAACCTCCATTCATCACCGTCCTTCACTGATCACCATTGATGCTTGTGGTTATGGACCTCTGGCGTGGTAATGGCTGCAAACCTTGTATCGTAAAGCCTAAAATGAATGCATTATTGGAGATTAACCACTAAAGCAGCCAAACCAAAGCATTTCCTAAGCTTTATAAAATCTCTTCCATCAAAACCAAAAAACAAGGAAATCAACACTTATTTCGGTCGTTGGTTGGCACGGAAAATGGAGGACGGAAAAGGGTGGAATTTCCTGAGCAACATTCTTGACTCAACAGCACACCTCCTTCCCCCCAGCAACCATATCCAACACAAACACGTATACTCTGTTTTCCAAGAACCTAAGCGGTGTTTCCAAAATTTGTTTTGACGCTTAGAAGTTAAATTTTTTTTTGACTTTTGCCATAGGGCTTTTCTCACCAGATAAGCGATAGTGCTTGAAATTTTTATTGGCGCCGAGGGCCGTCAAAGCGCCGTTTCTTACAAGCGCCGTTTACTTAAACCATACGTTTAACGATAAATAGACCAGGCAAGAAGCCAGAAATATAACATACGTAGTATCTAAAAAAACAGAGGATATCTCGACCTTATCTGAAAATAATGGCCACACTCTCGGGCTTATTCGTCTAGGTATGACCAAGTCCGATAAAGGTCTGCGACACATTTCTTGTACTAAGCAGATCTCTGCCCGCCCGGTCATTAGACTATCCTTGGAAAGTTAGCCTAATTGCCAAATCCCAAATCCCAAATCTCCATCTCCAAATCCACCCAACAGTGGCCCATGAGAGTCAACTCCAATTCCTTCTCGTTCCCTGCTGCCTGCTTGGGTCTCTCGACGTGCGAACCTCCCCAAACGTCAAACTGCCACTTGTGGCTAATCTCTGACATGGTAGGCCCGATAACACATTTGCATAACCTGGCCGGCTTCTTTTTCCCTTTTTTTCTTGTCGTCTGTGGAACTTTATTTCCGCAAGAAATAACATATACGACTACCCAGTGCCCTCTGTCTAGGTGAAGATCCTTCACTCACAGCCTGCGAACAATGTCTTCGCTTAGCACGGAAAAGTCAACTTACCAGAACCTTGCTTATCCAACAAAGACACCCCGGAGGCGGCGGCAAATACCTGCTTCTCCCCTCTCTTCAGATAAGAGTCTGAGTCGAAAACCAGTCAATCTGAGGACCAGTCAGAGGGAAGGTCAGGGTAGAATATTATTATTATTTTTTTCGCAGCCATTCTTCTGCCTCTACCCCACGAAGTTCCGCGTACCGGAACACACACGCACTCCCTCAGAAGGCCGTTTAGTCAAATCACCTCGCCGTGCGAAAATGGCTCGCCGTGGGAATTCCGCCTTTTTCCATTTCCATCTCGAAAACATCGTCCCACCTCTCTTTTAATACAGGTATGCTTGGTTTTTTATTTTTCACAAGGATCACGGAGCTAACACGGACCGAGTATCAGAATCCTTGGAATTGTAATTCCTTATACGAAATAGACTTTGCGTTTGTCTAGGTTGTTTCACGCCTGGTCCATGCCTTGTAGGACGGGTTTCCGTATGCGGATGAGTTTTTCGCAGCCAAAGAACAATACCAAAGTCTAACTGTCCCCCTCCATTCCTCCCTCCATCAATGTCTCAATGTCCCTATGTAGCTGTCACTGTCAAACATAGATAGACGTTTAGTGGCTACGACATACATTGGCTGTGTCGTTGATCGTTATCACCACGGCAAAATGACACTTTCGCACTGTGATAAGAGATAATACCGAGTAGCATATGGACTTCTGAAACCAACCAAGTAATACTCTTCCTTCCTTTCTCTTTCCTTGGTTCCTTGGTTCCTTGGTTCCTTTCCTCCAGGGCTGAGTGGCGTACTTTTTTCGAATTCCACACATCCTGCCTGTTTTGGTCCTCTCCGCAAATCGGGGTACGGTGGGCTTTTTCCACTGGACTATTTTGAAAAATATCTGCGAGCCTGCCCCACTAAAATTTCTGACTCTACCGTCACAGCGGCTATTTCGCCAATCTCTTCCTGTCTCTCGGTTCCACATTGCATCATCATCGTCCTCTTATCAGCTGCTCCAGTTCCATCTATAAAATGATTCCTCTTCGCCCTTGGTCTCTGGTGGTTTTAATTTTTTTCTTTCCATATCTCCTCCACCAAATAAATCATGGGTAGTGACGAGAAACTGAAGACCTCTGTGTCTATCGCTCCTGCTGCTGATGTCGAAAGCCAGAAGAACGAAATCACCACCATCGTTTCTCCAAACACTGGCAAGCCTATCCATTTGACCGCCACTGGTGACGATGCTATGGATTATGTCATGTCTCACGATGGTGAAAAGGTGGAGATCGACCCGGAAACTGACAAGAAGTTGGTCCGCAAAATCGACTTGTACCTCTTGCCGCTCATTTGTCTTTTGTACTCGGTCCAGTTTATGGATAAAATGTCCAACTCTTATGCTGCCGTCATGGGCTTGAGAGAGGATTTAAATATGGTCGGTGACATGTACGCGTGGACTGGTTCTGCGTTTTACATTGGTTACTTGGCTTTCGAATTCCCTTGTGCATACACTTTGCAGAGGTTCCCTGTCATCACCACCGTGTCGGTTTATATTGTCGTCTGGGGTGTTATGTTGATGTTGCATGCTGTTCCCAACTACGCCGGTTTCGTGGCTTTGAGAACGCTTCTCGGTGCTTTTGAATCTTCTGTCACTCCTGCTTTCGTCATTGTCACTTCTCAGTGGTACAGAAAAGATGAGGTCTTCTTGAGAACCGCCTTGTGGTTCTCCTTTAACGGTCTTGGTCTTATCATTGGTTCGGGTGCTATCGCTTACAACCTTCACGCCAACATGGACAGTTATGCTATGGATGCATGGAAGTTGATTTTCATTATTACCGGTGCCATCACCATCGCCTTGGGTATTGTTATTTTCTTCCACATTCCAAACAAGCCAACTGAAGCTTGGTTCCTTACTGACAAGGAGAAGAGTCTTGTGGTTGAAAGAATCAGAGTTAACCAACAAGGTTTCGGTAACAAGCACTTCAAGAAGTACCAGCTCATCGAGGCTCTTACTGATGTCAAGACGTGGCTTTACTTCTTCCTTGCCATGGCTAACAACATTCCTAACGGTGGTCTTACCAACTTCGGTTCTATCTTGCTTAATGAAGATTTCGGTTACGATGTCGGTAAAACACTTCAGATGCAAATGATTCCGGGCGCCGTTGAAATCGTTGGCTGTATTGGCTTTGCATACTTGTACAAATACTACCCTAACAGATTGTTCTGGGCCACAACTACATCTGTCATTGTCATTATGGCTCTTTGTTTGTTGGCATTCGTGGAAAACAAGCAGGCCCAATTGGCAGGCTACTGTTTATTCTATTTGTGTCCCCTTGTGATGATTTGCGGTTTGTCGTCCTGTGCTTCCAACGTGGCTGGCCACACTAAAAAGGTTACCGTCAACGCTATCTTCTTGATCGGATACTGTGTTGGTAACTTGATCGGTCCACAGACTTTCATCGACAGCCAAGCTCCAGGCTATAGTGGTGCCAAGATCGCCATGGTGGTTTCTGGTTGCGCCGCCACAGTCATTATGATCATCATCTGGATCCTCATGGCTCGTGAAAACAAGAGAAGAGATGCTCGTGCCGATGACTACCTAGAGTTCGAGCACATTGAGAACCACGAGTTTGCCGACTTGACCGATATGGAGAACCCATTGTTCAGGTACACCATTTAAAAAGTATATATGTATAGGAGTTTTAACGCAAATTATGATATTCTCATCGATTCAATTTGAAATTGTAGCTTTTACTTGCGCTTCATGTTGGCTGTAACACAGCTTCTGAAGGCTTCAAATTCCTTCTTGCAAGTATCCTTGTTCATATTGTTGTACGTTGCGAGAACGCAGTTTCCATAAGCTGTTCCAAGCTCAGCACATTGAGCGCTTGCTTTCATAAGTCTGGCAGCTGGACGAGTTTTGGTCATGGTGTGGAAAAGAAAGTAGTTGAAGATGGAATAGATCCACTTGCTTCATCGCGTTTCGTGCACACCACTTAGGTTAGGGAAGGTAGAAGTCAGAATGACAAGAAGGGAAATAATAGTGGTTTTTATTATTCGGTTAAACTTTTAGGTAATAATATTATTGAGCTAAAATGCCCTTATTTTGTTATGTCTTTTTCGGTTTGTGGAGAGTTACTACTGATGACTTTGTTGTTTTTCGCAGCCATTACAGAATACATGGTACTAACCCTGTCAACACAGTTCTAGCCTGTATTTCTCTAAAATGTCTAATAAATATTATGTGAACTTTCTCTCGACAGCGTACACGAGCTTCATGGACTGTTCCATGAACATCAATGTCAAGATAGAGTGAGGACCCACTCTGAAAAGCTGAGCCCAGAACCCTTTGTATAACGCTGTGATGCCTTCTATCTTGATAGTCTTTGCAAAACAGTCAATAGGGCCCTTATAAAGATCACCCTTCTGGTTATATAGTCTAGTCAACACCACATCCCATGGGTTCATCACTATAGCTACACCCAAACCGGCCATAGAGGATGCAACAAAGTGCAAACCAATCGTACCGTCCGCCAAAATGTTATGACTCAAAAGGTAATTCTTTGTCAAGTTGTATACTGGCAACTGGGCAGCCGAGCCAGCACCAGTACGCAAAACTGCAGCGTCAGTTCCTCTGAAAAGACCTTTAACACCTTCGTTACTGAAAATCTGCTTGAGACCGTCAGCAAGGCCTTTATAGTGAGTCTGTTCGCCAACACTGACCTTAAGAGAAGCGCTGGCTTTATTGAAAGACTGCATTCTTGTCTTGATAAGGAAGAACGGGTTGGCAAGCACAGCACCAGCGGAACCAGAAATGAAACCAGCGAAAACGTTCACCAAAAGGTTCTGTGGAACATCACTATACTGGTCCCCCTTCAATGCGCTAGGGTTGAAGAACTTGGTCAAGTAAAACCTACTTGGTTCATAGAGTCCAATACGACATCCATTAAGCCCAAGTTGGTAGACGTAACCACACAAGAGTCCCTGCTGCAAGCCACGCAACCCCTCATTCTTGTAAATAACAACCAGTGCCTGTAAAGGGTTCTTGTATACTTTTGGAGCGTTCAGCTTGCTGGTAAGCTCACCTTGGAGCTGCATTCTTGTTTTGATCAACTCGATAGGATTAGTGAACGTAACGGCACCGCAAGCAGCGATGCCGCCGGCGATGAAGCCTCCTAGCGTCGAGACTTCCTGAGCTATGGACTTTTTTGGCGGCTGCCTTTGGCTCATGAAGCTGGTTGGTTGATAAAGAGAAGCTAGTATGAGTCGTCGCGGATGTGAAAAATTTCAGAGGCCGAGTCACAACCGACATTACATGGTCGACACAACAACATGATGTTTACGGTGGCTACTTGGAGAATACGGGGTAGCTGGGTACTAAAAGACCAGTTTTGGGGTTTTTTTAATTAAGCTTTTCTGTGGAAGTTTATAAGGGTCTGGCCCATGTTAGAGCATACTGCGACTGATAAGGTGGATAAGAGAGAGTAGTCATTGAAGATAATAAGTAAGGGAAGCCAGAAGATACCCACAAGCATGGATGTTTGATCTGTTTCTATTGATTTGTTGACTTTACAATCTATGTTTGTAGTGGTGGATCTGATTTGAATGGTGGTGACGGGCCGGTATCGGTCTGCCTAATCGCACGTGAGAACACCACGAAGAAGCCGGTACTAATTTGACCCAAGGGTATACAACTGCAAACAAAAGGGTATGATTTAATGACTCAGTCTTCTGTTGTTGATTTATGGGGTTCATTTGAAAATACCTTTCGTTAGGTTTTGTTCTCCAGAGGCTCGACCTAGGTAATTGGGGAGTGAGCACCTTGGGGATAGTACATTCCAATCAACCCGCCTCAACCATACTATCCAGAAGTTTGTTAATTTTCGCCTTTTTAGCCCATTTTGAAAGCTAAATATGTCCCCAGCTGGGGTAAGCTAGTTAGGCAACAGAACATAGGCCATACGGCTGTGTGCATAATATGTGTTCCTTAGAAATATGAATTTCGAGGTGCTTCCCCTTTCATTCAATTAAACGTTTCCCACCTCCTTGATAACCCATATCAGGCATATTTGTACCTATTTATGGGTTTCTTCTCGGTAACGTTAAGAGCACCAAAGCTGGAGTGGCTGCAAAACGGCTGCACGAGGGGCAGATTCTGTGTGGTTCCTGCAGGAGCACATGAGTGTCAACCAGGATTCCAACACCAATTGCCAAAGTGAAACAAGGTTTCCGAGGGTTAAATAGGCCAGAATGAACGGCAGAGCCATACTTGTTCATTTGGTGTTCCTTAAAAATTATTTCTCTCCGTTTAAACTCCGATTCGCCACCGTTTTCTCGGCTACTACCCTGACAGCGACATACATGGCGTCAACGAGAAGCGTCTATTCATAACCTCGTACACATGGACAAAAAGAACAAGATTTGCTGGAAAGAAGATCGAATCTCTTGTCTTTCGAACAATAACGTCCGGTTTATATATGATTGCTCTAGAATCCGGGGAAGGCCCCACTACGGCTACCTGCACAACTAAGCCAGCTCGAGTAAACCCCGAATGGCAAACCCAGGGGTGCGATATAAAAGTAGCCAAGTCTGCTCTTTTTATTAACTTATCTGTTCAATTGACTACCTAACGACTATGGGATATCCAAAAGAAATCAAACCTTCCATCAAGAAGGTGGCGCACAATGTGGTTACCTTGGCCTCGCCATTCAGCATGGTGAACGTCGCTAACATTGGTGCCAGGATGGCTATATTCAAATATGGTAACGAGCTTATTTTCTGGTCGCCAATTCCATATGGTCCTTACATTGAGGATGCCATTGACCTCTTGACTCGGAGAAGAGACAATCTTTCTGTGACCCACCTTTTTGTTGTCAACAGGGAGCACAATGTGGTTGCAAAATCTTACTTGGAGAGGTACCCAGACATTAAGATTGTTGGTGGAGAGGGCGCCTTGGGTAAGGACTGCCCAGTTCATTATGAATTCAAGGCTGAAGATGGCAATAAGGTGATCAAAGGTGAAGAAGCCAGGGCTAAGTTCCATGCTTCAGGCGAATTCTGGAGTAACCTCGAATTCGTCTACATGTCAAAACATGTGAACAAAGAATTGGTGATCTATGAGAAGAATCTCCACATGCTTTTTGAAGGTGATCTTCTTATGGATATCGGGCGCCCCGACAATGAGGGAAACTACGAAAGCTACTCACCATCAACGGGCTATGCACACCAGTTCAACCCATTCACTGGCGTCTCTTGGATGATTGGACAGATCAAGGCTGGTGGCTGGTTCGGATGGATTGCTCATTTCGTCTTTTCCAGAACGTGGAGCGCTGAAGGTGCAGCAACAGTTAAGCTCATCTACGAGGCATGGGACTTTGACACCATTGTCCAGTGTCATGGAAACCTTATCACTGGCATTGCCAAGGATACCTACGCCGAAATTTACCCTTGGTTGAAGAAGCAGCAGTAATTGGGAAGTCCAAGCAGCTTGTCTACATCAAGGAACAGGAAAGAAACAACGGTTTAGGAACAAAAGGCCGAGAACAAGTTGAGGGAGAAAAAGGTTAGGAGTAGTAGTTTATTTTTTTATTGGGAGTTAGGAGTGGTGGTTTTTCTTTTTATTGGGAGTTAGGAGTAAGCGGTTTATGATTTTATATGACAAATTAGTATGCCCCATCAGATCTAGAAGCTGTGCCATCTATATGCGCGAACATTGCGATACATCGAAGTAGATCTTGCCTCTACCTTTTGTAACTACTACTACTTCCTCCTACTACCCTTCATATTCACCATGTTGCGGAGTAATATCAGCTCTGTGCTTCGCCGCTCGGTGAAACACCGTTGCTTGGCTACTTCAGCAGCTTCTCAGGCTGAAGTGCTCGGCAAGTACCCAATCGGACTTCAAGTGCATGGCTTCAGCATCAAAGAAGTCCAGCCAGTGCCTGAATTCTCCCTTGTGGCTGTTAGATTGCAGCACGAGAGAACCGGACTGGAGCATTTGCATTTAGATTCTCCATCTGATAGAAACAATGTGTTCTCTGTGGCTTTGAAGACGAATCCTCCAGACGCCACTGGTGTCCCTCACATCTTGGAACACACAACGCTATGTGGCTCATACAAGTATCCTGTTAGGGATCCATTCTTCAAGATGTTGAATAGATCCTTAAGTAACTTTATGAACGCTATGACCGGCCATGACTATACGTTTTACCCGTTCGCAACCACGAACAATACCGACTTCTATAACTTGATGGATGTTTACTTGTCTTCGGTGTTCGAGCCACTCTTGAAGTATGAAGACTTCATGCAAGAAGGTTGGAGATTGGAGCAGCTGGACATGACTGACCCTAAGAGTGATATTGAGTTCAAAGGTGTGGTCTACAATGAGATGAAGGGCCAGTACTCCAACTCGAGCTACTTATACTATATCAAGTTCCAAGAGGCCATTTATGCCAGCTTGAACAACTCTGGCGGTGATCCTAAGAAGATGATTGACCTTCATTATGAAGATCTCGTTGACTTCCACTCCTTTAATTACCATCCATCAAATGCGAAGACCTTTACGTATGGTAACTTCCCCTTGACAAGTCACTTGGAAAAGCTTGACAAATTCTACAATGCTTTCGGCAAGCGCTCAAACAAAAGAGATGTTAAGAGGTCGATTTTCGACTTGGACAATTCAACCAAGCAACATGACGTTGAGGTGAAAGGCCCAGTTGATACCATGACCACTAAGCCTATTGAAGAGCAGCTTAAGTCTTCGATTACCTGGTATTTGGGTAATCCATTGGATGAATCAAAGCAATATGACCTTTTCAAATGGAAGGCTTTGAGCACTCTTTTGCTTGACGGCCATAATGCCCCATTCTACCAAGAGTTGATTGAAACTGGCTATGGTGAGGATTTCTCCGCAAATGCCGGTCTTGATACTACCACTTCGTTGTTGAGCTTTACTATTGGACTCAACAATCTTTCTCGTGAAAAGGTAGACAACCTCGGCGCCAAGATCCAGAGTATCTTGTCAGAAAAGGTTATCCCAGAGCTTGCTAAAGGCGAAGAGAGCTCGTTCCACGAAAGAGTAGAGGCTATTCTTCACCAACTTGAGTTGGGCTTCAAAAAGCATAAGCCAGATTTTGGTTTAGGACTTTTGTCTTCCATCATCCCACTGTGGGTTAATGGCGTTAACCCTATTAACATTTTGAAGATCGAGCAGATCCTCAATAGATTCAAGGAAGATTACAAAGAGAACGGATTGAAGATGTTCTCTGAGATGCTCGAAAATACCATGTTAAAGAAGGATGCCCCTCAATTCAGGTTCACTATGGTACCTGATGAGAACTTCAATACCAACTTGGCGAAGGAGGAAGAGGAGAGACTTGCTGAGAGAGTCCAGAAACTTGATGAAGGTGACAAAGAAACTCTCTATAAGAGAGGTACGAATCTCCTCGAGAAACAGCAAGAACAGGAGGATGTTTCTATCTTACCAACCTTAAATGTGTATGATATTCCTCGCCAGGGTGACTTCCATGCGTTGAGCTTCTCTGATCTTGCCGGCAGTGGTGGTAAAATTCAAAAGAGAGCCACAAACACTAACGATCTCGTCTACGTGAGTGCCACCAAAGATTTGGGCTTCCTTCCTGTGGAGTTCTACAAGTACTTGCCGCTCTTCAACCTGTGCTTGACTAACTTGGCTGGTACGTCGAAGACATCCATTTTGGATTTGGAAAACAAGATACAAAAGTATACTGGAGGTGTAACGTTCACTACCTTTGCCAAGTCAGACCCTTACGACATCAATAAGACCAACTTTAAGTATCTGATGACCGGTATGTCACTTAAAGACAACACAAGTCATTTGTATGACATTTGGGCTGATGTCTTGGCTAATACAAAGTTTGATGCGAAAGACGAGGCCGTTGTGGAGAAGTTGCACGTTTTGATCAAGAATCTTGGACAGAATCAACTCAATAATATTGCTGATAGAGGCCATGTCTACTCAAACGCCTACAGCAATGCACAGTTGACTCCAACGAAGTACATTAATGATTTGCTTGGAGGTATTGAGCAGGTAAAGTTTATCCTGGAGCTCAATCAAAAGATTGATGCTGAAGGTAAGGACTATCTTGTTAGAGAAATCTTGCCTGTCCTTCAGAAGATTCAAAAGGCGCTTTTGTCGAACTACACTGAGGGTCAAATTCCAGGTTTCAACTACAACATTGTCTCCGACAAGGCTTCCATAGCTGAGAACGAGAAGTTGATTGAACAGTTCGACTTAAAGCTCACGGATAGTCAGCTGGCCGCTCAGAACAATGCCTTGCAGGGCCTCATTACTGATTTCAAGCCAGCTCTTCAGCAAAAGACCGTCCTTGACCTACCATTCCAAGTCGGGTACGGCTCTCTTGCTAACTTGGGTGCTGCTTATACCTCCAAAGATGGAGCAGCTTTGCAGGCTCTCGCACAGATTCTCACCTTTAAGCATTTACATTCGGTCATTAGAGAGTCGAACGGTGCATACGGCGGTGGCCTTAGCTACGACGGCTTGGGTGGTACTTTGAATTTTTACTCTTACAGAGATCCAAATGCTGTCAAGTCAATAGAGTCATTTACGAAGGCACCAGGTATTGCCCAAAAGAATCTTGTGGACGGCAAGTGGGGTGACAAGGACTTGCAGGAAGCTAAGCTTGCCATCTTCCAAAGCGTTGACGCTCCAAGCCACATCTCTAGCGAAGGCTCTGGATTCTTCTTGGAAGGTATCAGTGACGAGATGAGACAGGAGAGGAGAGAAAGATTCTTAGATGTCAGTCTCAAGGACTTGCAGGATGTCAACGAGAAGTATCTCGTCAACCCTGATAGATCTGTCAAGACGATCATCGGCGATGTGAAGAACCTTGGCGAGCTTGGGGACGGTTGGGATGTTAAGCTGTTTTAAGCATTAGATTGTACATAGAACTCAAAGGATAAACCATTATATTAGCGGATGCAGCTATTTACATGACGACGTGAGGAGTGGGGACTTAAAAGGGATTAACGATGTTTTCCGGTGAAGTCTCTCTCTGGAGGGGTAGCGATCTTTCTCTTCTTCACTTCGGTGAAGAGGCAATGTCTCTTGGCTCTTGGATCATATAGGATGAGATTGAGTTTCTGTGCGTTTTTGCGTATTTTGAAGAACTTCTCGTAGCCGGTTTTGGCGGCAGAGACAAGCTTCACCACCGAATAGTTCACGTTCTTGGCCATCGTAACTTGGAGGTGTAAGTCGTGAAAGAGAACTGGTAGATTTTTCGCATAATGTATAGTTGACACCCGTACCTCCATCAAAAGAGTTGGATTCATCCACCAACGGAAGGCAGTGCCAAGGGGAACTATTTTACGGTTAAAAGGGTAAGCTTTGTTCATCTGGCTCAATCGTTGTGATTTCATTCATTTCTGTGTTTCGTAGTATATTTTTGAATTTTTCAACTCACTGTGAAGTTTCGCAGAGAGTGTACTATTCTTGGTGGGAACCTAGAATATGGAAACATAGATTGAATTACCATGAAAGACAAATTCTTCTTCTAAATTAAAATGGAAAATATCAATACAAAATGATATAACCGCAAAGAGAAATAGATTCTCGTGATATTATTTCTACCTTAGTAAATGGCGTATGCTTACTAGCCTTTCCCCTGGGTTTGCAGCCAACCGCACCTCATAGGTACCTGTTGAACCAACCAACCTACAAAGAACATCCAAGTTAAGTGCCAAAAATGATATCACAATTTTAAACTACTTGTCTTAACAGTTACACCTTATTGTACTGCCCCTAATTTAATCAAACACATGGGTATGTCGTTGGCTTAGCGTGAGTACTAAGTACAGACATTTATTTAGCATTTTTTTCAGTCGCCATTTTTTTTTTTTTTTTTTTTTTTTTTTTGTGTGTGGTTTCCACCTGGGCGCGCGTACTGATCTTGACACGGTTTTTCAATCTCTGTTGTTCAGAATAATACCACCAAGCTTAACCGGTTACTTAAAGATGTTGCCCAATTTCTGGCTCGCAGTTACGTTCCTCGTGTCCCTTGCACTGGCGTTGCAGGTGGAGTTGCCTGCAATGGAAAACCCAACCCCAACATGTATTCGTGATTTCGTCGGAAGGGATCAGATGGTGGTGATCAACCTCAAAACCACTGGTTACCGTGGTGACGGCCAGAGATTGCTGTTGACTGTCCACGACACTCTTGGCAACAATTTCTACAGAAAGGAAGATATCAGCGGTGAGGTTAGAGCCGTGTTCACCACCCAGGATGCTGGTGCCATTGACATTTGTCTTACCAACCGCATTGAGCCTGGCCGTAACAGAGTTTACTTGACCAGAGAGGTCGAAATTGACGTGGAGAGCGGTGCTGCAGCAAGAGACTGGAACGCTGTCCAGGCCGCTGAGAAGTTGCAGCCTGCTGAGGTTGAGTTGAAGAGAATTGCTGAAATGACCAGCGAAATCGCATACCACTTGCTGTACTTGAAGGCAAGAGAGGAGAGAATGAGAGATACTAACGAGAGTACCAACTCTAGAGTTAAGTGGTTTTCTATCCTCATTGTCCTTGCTTTGCTCGGCTTGGGTGGCTGGCAAATCCAATACTTGAGGCATTACTTCAAGGTCAAGCATATCATTTAGATTTACTAAAAGATCTAAACATCGACACCCACGCAACATACTTGTCATGATTACTTTCTTTGTAAAACTGGGCCTGGTGGGACTCTATCTCCTCAGGTTCAAGAATAAAATTAATATCGTCGCCATCGGCTACGACGTCTGAAGATTTTGATCGTAGAAATTCCTTATACCGCCATTCGCTATGATCATTTAGTGTGTTTAAAGTCTCAATGGTCTTGTTTAGTAGTTCCTCTGATAGCTCGGATGCTTGTGATACTTCACTTCTAACAGTGAAGGCAACCATCTCATAACATAGTCCCATGGCCATATCCCACACTTTTTGAAACTCGCTCATACTCTTGTACGTCGAATCATTGACAAGACCATTGTATAAGTCGGTGGATTGAAAGAGCTGATCTAGCTTCTCTATCTTATCCATAGTCAGGTCCAGGTATCCCATTAAATGGTAAGCCACGTCCTCAGACCCGACGATATTAATAATTAATTTGTTGTAAATCATCAAGACAAACTTATGAAGTATGGATTCAGCAACAAACTGTACGTTGCTGAGCAGATGAAGAAATGCAAAGACAATGTCTGGCTCAAACTGAATGAGCTTATCAGACAATTGCGTGACGAACTCAAGCTTATTGAACCTGTTCGTTTCATGGAGAAGAAAGGTGGCAGTAATTTGTGCCCTTAGCTTCATGGATTGGATATTATCACTGCGTTCTGCTTTGGTTCGTATGCCCTGCGAGCTACTCGTACACAAGTCATTCTTTATTAGACTTGTTTCTCTAGGAAAACAAGGGAATGGCTTCTCCCGAGTCCGTAGACCTAATCCTGTGAAGACCACTTCCACTAGACGTTCGTAGCAGTCTTGACTTCGGCCAAGCTGTGTAAGTAGTGTTCCCAAGAAGGATCTCTTCGATTCCTTAACACAATAGTCAAGCTGTTCTTTGAGAAATCTAAACATAAACAGGAGAGCCAGGTTATACGTTTCCCAGATACCATGCAATGCGGTATTATTTGAATTGAATAGAAACTGTTGGTATTGGCTAGAGTCGTCACAACAGGTAAATACCCATCGTAGAAGATCCCATATGTTATATCCTTTCAGATGCATCAATCTATTAGTAATGAGATGATCATCGAAAAGTTTAAGATACTCCAAGGGACTCCTCTCCACCTTTAGTTTCTTTGCTTTTGGACCTGGAGAATGCTCCTCTGGTTCAGGTGTGGCTTGAGCCAGAAGATGTGGCATATTTTGAAACAAGGACGTTGCTTCTCCCAACCCAGTAGTTTTGCTGCCAATGTCAGATAGAGATATAACGTTCTTTGTAGGTAGGCTGAGATGGCGGTATTTGGAAGTAAGGTCAGTTTCAGTTTCAGCCACAAACTCGATATTTTCTTCGTCGCTTTCAGAATCTTGGATTGTTTCAATAACAGGACTTTCGTCTCTGGAGCTGTACTGTCTCGAGCGAGGCCTGGAAAAGTGGATAGAAGCCTCACAGATGGGTTGAATCGCTATCTGAAGGTTCTTGAAAAGCTGATGTGTATTTTTGTTCTTGTTTGACAGTATAATATCGACATACCTGTTCAAGATATTGACACTCCGTTGTTGCAACAGGTCCTTTGCTAATGCATTATCGTACTTATCGTTGATCTCTTTCATATACAGAGACAGAACCTCAATCCCATCATCGCTGCTGACTTTGCTATGAGTCCATGAAGACTGAGGACATCTGCAAGCCAATGTTAGAATGATGTGGAGTACGTTCACCGAAGGAACCAGACAGAAGTTGTGTACATCTGCATTCTCGAGGTATGTGAGTAGGGCGTCCAATTGACTGGTATTGTTGAAGTTTATCGGAACATCAGTACTCTTAAGTTGCTCAAGTTCAGCAAGGAACAGATCTATTAGCTTTGTTTGTACATCAGCGAGTCCCATAAAGCTTGTTGATGGGGTTGAAGTATTCGCGGTTCTATAGTCAAGGGCTTATAGTGCGGCTGGAGCTCATCAGTTTTCACGAGGGGCATCAATGAGTTCTACAAAAGAATCCACCTTAAGTATAACATAAAAAAAAAGTGGCTTCATTTCTTGTGCATTTACCTCTGTGTCTCAGACTGGAGGTGAAAATGTTTAAGCATTATACCTTGGCTTGCTTGAGACTGGTGCTGCTTCTGAGCCTCGTGAAGTAACTTCTCGTTTCTTTCAACAGCCATTCCCATGGGAGACTCCAATACTTTAAGATATAAACCTAGATCGTCATTATCATTCCAATTGTCCTATTTGACCAAGAATTTCTGCAAAATCCTTGATTCCGACCGCTAGGCCCGAGGCATTGGCATCGTAGTTAAGCACTTGTCCATCTAATGTAGTGGTTCCACAGCCAAGCATATCGATCAAAATCGAATCACTCACGTCGTCTAACCCCAAGACTCCTTTGACTCTCTGTAGGTCTTTAAGCGTGAGAACAGCATCTAGTAGTTCAGAGTCATTCGACTTCTTTCCTTCTCCAGATGCTTCAATAAACAAGCGCCAGGCTTTCTTGATTTCAGGAAAGTGATCCCTAAACTTCACCAACCGATTGCCGAAGATGATTAGCTTATCGATGTCGACCACGTCCGAGACCTCTAGTTCGCCCTTATGCGTTCTCGACAAGGTCAATTGCTGCAACAACAGTTTGGACGCCCTAGCCTTATTGCTATCACCAGTAGTGCCGTAGAATTGAGTATCGTAAAACCACTGGACACAATTGTCAATATCTCGAGTGAAGCAATGTGGGATGTGCAACTTCTGGAAGATGATCGGTAGGTGCTTGAGGTAGATATCTTCCACATTGGCGTCATCTAGCGTCTCAGCATAAGCGTCAAGGATCTCTGCTTCGGCATTGGGATCAATCTTAAGGTACTCTTCTGATTTGGAGAACTTAAGTGGAGGCATATGTGAACAGTGTTGGAGGTGTCTGAGGTGACTAATACAGTGCGATACAGATCGCTTATCTACTACTACTGGGTCTATCTCAACATGGTTCTTCCAAGCATCAAAACCAACTTAGTGGATGTCAGTCAACAAATCAAAGGATCCTGTCGGTTTCTATTCAAGAATGAGTTGGAACAGCCATCTGGAAGTTTCAAGCTTAGAGGTATGAGTCAACTTATAGCTACCTCTATTGAGAAAGCCAAGGCCGACGGTCAAGTACCTCATATCTTTTCATCTTCAGGTGGAAACGCTGGGTTAGCATCTGCTTACGCTAGTAGGTACCATAACGTACCATGTACTGTGGTTTTACCTGTAACTTCTCAGCAGGTGTCCATAGATAAGTTAGAAAGCTATGGAGCCAAGGTTGTGGTTCATGGAGCACACTGGGGCGAAGCAGATGCATACCTTAGAGAAACGGTCATCAAAGAAGCTCCATCAGATATATATCCAGTTTACTGTCACCCATTTGACAACCCAGTGCTTTGGGATGGCCATGGACAGTTGGTGGACGAGATCTCTGAGCAGCTCACTGAGCAGAAGATCGATCCAGAGAAGGTGAAAGGCATAGTGTTGAGTGTTGGAGGCGGTGGGCTATACAATGGAGTCTGCGAGGGACTCAGAAGGAATCCTAGTCTTAGCAAAGTACCCATATTGGCCATGGAAACGTACCAAACACCAGCATTTGGCGAGGCACTCAAAGCAGGTAAGGTTGTAACCCTTGCAAAGTTAGAGACAATTGTACACTGTCTTGCAGCTCCAGCCATATCGAAAACAGCTTTAGACAATCACAAAGCACAAAAGACCTTTGCCAGACAGATAGACGATTTAGAGGCAGTTGGAGGTGCCATCGACTACTATGACAAGATAGGTGGATTGGTAGAGCCTGCTTGTGGAGCGGCTATAGCCACAGCAACCAGAAGACAAGATTTGTTGAGTGTATTTGGAGACTTGACAGAAGACGATGTTGTTATCTTTGTCATCTGTGGAGGTTCTGGAATATCAGAAGCAGCCATCCAGCAGTATAGAGAGCTTTTGGCTGCGAAAAACTAAATTGGGATGGAGACGGGCCGAAACCGGGTGAGGCCAAAACCGGCAGAAGCTATTATTTTCAGGATATCCATAAAGCCTTCTGGAACGCAGATCTTGCATCCGTCTGGATATGTTGGTTTCTACTCCAGTTCACATGAATCTGACCTCGCATGGCGGGTACTCCAGAAAAGCAATACTCAGCCAAACGCAAAATTGACCGATGGGTGGCCAAAAATAAAGAAAAGAACAAAAGAATCAGTTCAAGGAAACACAATAAAAAGCAATTCCCAGCACAATCGATCCCATCGATCCTTTCTCTAATTATTTCTCTCTTTCCGTCCATCCATATGTTTCATCTCCTGCACTTCCTCAGGCCGCTGCACATGACATTTGCATAATCTCTAGGGACATGTGGAGGACCAAAAAGAACCAACTTTGATCACTTCTCACCAATTTCCACCACCAACAAACGCCAAATCATAGTATGAGCAGCTCGTGGCTCCCAAGTGGAACAGCTCAGCGGCCAGTCTCCCGGCCGAAGCCGAGGAACACCAAAATAGCAACACCACATTGGATCCCATGAATTCCTCTGAGCCTCTGCTTGCTAAACCCAGCCCTGCTAGTGAAGTGCACACTTCAGCTTCTACTGGTGACCTTGAGGGTAAGGGTAAAATTAAGAGCACCAGTCCGAGGAAAAGGTCTGCTCTTTCCAAGCCTTTGACCCTGAAAGCTTCCACAACCTCTTTGGTGTCTATGAGTAAGGGCAACTGGCTCAGCTGGGGACCCAAGGGAAGATTGGACTCCGATGATGATAATAAAGACGAAAAGAAGGATGAGAATGACGAGAACGATGATAATGAGGGAGATCTGGGTGACAGTAATGAAGATAATGATAGCAATAATGACGAGATAGACGATCATGTTTCAAACTCCAATGCAAACCGCAAGAAACTGTGGAGTTTCTGGAACGGGGGGTCAACTGCTTCCAATGGATCTAACGGATCGGATTCTAACGATTCAAAGGGACGCAAAGAACCCGAGAAACCACTGTCTGCTACGAATGCTATTGTCAGTTCCACGCCTTCTATCCCATCTAAGGATGATCTTTTTGGAGGAACCAACGAAAGTACTAAAGAGCAAGCAGCCGAGTCCCAAGATGGGGGAGACGCCACTGTAACGTCTCAACCAGATCAATCTAAGCCAGAAGATGACGCTGTTTTGTATAAACCTCACGACTCAGCAAAACAGTTCCAGAAGATCAACACACATAAGAACGAGAATCTTAAGGAAAACATCATTGTTCCAGATTGGCGTTCTTGCTTGCATCACCAGAGTTCTCATAGACCTCGTTCGACGCCAGATAATTTATCCAGTGTACCACAATCGTTTGATATCAAGAATTGGAAGGGCTTCTTATCTCATTTATCATCTCGCTTTGGGTTCGGAAACCAAGCACAAGGTGACGAACAGGAAGAGACTGCCGAAGGTGAAACTCCACAGTCAACGAAAGAGAGAGAATTTGTCTCCATCAGCGAGAGGAGTTATAAACTTTACGGAAGATCGCTTTCGAAGCTTTCTCACCATAAATCTGCTTCCTTACCATCTTATAGCCAGCAATACGATGCTGGACAAGAGCAATCATCTAAGAGACACAAAAGACTGTCCGAAGAGGATGATGAGAATGAACCTATTTCAATCACCAACGATGCACTGGGAAATCTTTTGATCAACAATCGGTCTCCGCAACCATCCAAATCGTCCAGTCAACAGGATTTCAATTCGAAGGCCGGACCTTCAAGAAAGATCAAAAAGATCCTTATTATTGGTGTCCATGGCTTTTTCCCCACTAGAATGATCAGACCACTTATTGGTTCACCAACAGGGACATCTTTGAAGTTTGCAAATGAAGCAGAGAAGGCAGTCATTCGTTTCTGCGTTGAAAATGACTTGATTGACAGCGTGAGTATTCAGAAAATTGCACTTGAAAAGGAAGGAAAGATCTTCGACAGAGTCGAATTCTTTTTTGAGATTTTGAAGAAATGGGAAAGAGAACTTAACGAAGCCGATTTTATTTATATTGCATCGCATTCACAGGGTTGTGTCGTTTCTATCATTCTCTTTGCCAAGCTCATAAAGCTGGGAGTTCTCAAGAATCCTAATTACAAGAGAATTGGTCTTTTGGGTATGGCTGGAATCAATAATGGACCATTTTATGGTAGTGACAAGACCTTTTTCATGAAGGCATACTCGGCAATCGAACACAACTCTTTGAATGAACTTTTCGAGTTGACAAAATTTGACAGCAAGCAGTCGGTAACTTACAAAGAATCGATGCAAACCATAATTGATGCCAACGTCAAGATTTGTTTCATTGGATCGATCAACGATCAGTTGGTTCCGTTGTACTCGGCACTTGCATCTCACATTTTCCATCCCAACATTTACAGAGCATGCTACATTGACCATTCTTCCAAAACTCCTGCCTTTATCCAGAAGCTCGTTTCGCTCTGCTGCCAATTACAGAACCTTGGATACTTCGACAATAATGTTATCAAAGAGGTTAGTACTGTATTGGCAGGCCCTCTTACTGGAGGTGGACACTCAAAGATCTACAATGACGGTAAAGTTTATGACTTGGCAATAAAGTTTGCTTTGTGCACTGACGATTTGGTGGTGCCTTCAAACACGCCCATCCTGACACTGCCGGAAAATTCCAATACGGGAGCCCTCATCAAAGCACCCATCAGTAACCAGATCTACGTGAAAGAGTACAATATCAGCAAGATAGGTACGAACCCCTATTTATTACCTTGGTGCTTGCGCGGATTCATCTTCAATATAGAGAAGAATTGGCCTGTGTCTGATGGCGCCATTACGGTTGGGCATGCGCTGGAGCTAAGAAAAAGTGGAGTCGAGGAAATAGACGAGCTTTACGATCTGTTCGACCGCTGGAAGCCTGACAGCAAGGTTTTGAAAGACCTCAAGTTCAGACTTAACGGTATACGCGCTAGTAAGCTCTAGAGCCACTTCTTTACATATTTAATGCGAACATCGCTGAGACCACAATAATATAGAACGTAGGTGCGTGAGCGCGTCTTTACAAAAGTTGATCCGCTAATCCCCACTACAAAATTAGAAGTTCGACAACAACTTATTTTGCCTGAAAATCAATCTTTCAACAGGCATGGATTTCTCTGTAAGGATTAGTCCGCTGCAAGGAAAACAAGAAAACGGAACTGAAGATGAAAAATCCATAAACGAGAGACCGCCTTTGGAAGTTTCCGTTCACGATGGAAGAAACTTACCCTTGAAGCTTGCACAGCTCTTGAACTCAGAAAGCGAAGAGCCTGAACTGAGATTAATGACCAGAGCAAACTCTGTCGGCGAAGATTCACAAGGTTCAAGTGAAGTAATAAAAACACAAGATCAAACGTCGTTGGTAAACAAGGCTCCAGGGAAAAGTATCATGAAAATCAACTATAATGGATCCCTTCAAGAACACCATGGCCTTATGACGCCAGAGAGTCTGGAAAATTTATCTCCATCAGGAGCTACTGCTACTACGGAAGAAAACGAGTTTGTTCAGTGTTTGGAAGTTGATGCCCGAAAATCCACTCTTCTTTCGAAACACCTACATCTTTCGTGGACCGAGATCAGAGAAGCCGTTATATCTCGCCTGGGTGAAAATTCTTTTACCAAAGGAGAGACTGACCTCATAGTGCTTGAATGGCATAGTCCAGGTCCTATTGATTTTGGCATGTTGGAAGAGGAATGTTTTTCACGCAGCAGGGAGGCTATCCAAAACTTGGTTTCCAACTTATCTGATTATTACAGTGATATTCCAAGCCCAAACCTACTGGTTATATCAACTCTTGAAACGTGTTTGGCTCGTAGGGAGTACTTGAAGAGTGACGTGCTAAAATACCTCCCCGAAGATCTACTCCCGAGCTTGCGTAATTTGCTCCCAAAACGTCTGCGTATGAGGCCGAGATGGCTGCAACGTGAAATGGACTTTGTTACGCATTGTATCAGAAACAAACTTTCAGAAGAACATCTCGGTGAAGAGTTGGTGTTCCGTACTCCATCCCAGATAAGGTATAAATTCACAGCCTTGACTAAGAAGCTCGAGAAGGTTGAACCAGCGCTTCAGTCGGAGACGAAGACTTACGACCCAAAACATATGGAGCTCATTCGTCATGCTCTTAAAAATGATCTTACCCATTCTGGTATACTACGGTTTTGTGGGCGGGCATTGGGCAAAAAGATCATCGAGTTTGTGAGCGATTTGATTGAAGAAAAAGGTGGAAGTCAAACTGTTGCTTTCACCAAAGGTGAAGTTGACTATTTGAGAAGTGTCATTAATTCTGATTACCTGGTAAGCGCCATTCAAGGAGAGCTAATTTTCAGATCAGAGGAGGAAATTTCTGACAAGTTGAAATCGTTACAGATTATCTGCGTCAGACAAAAGAAGTTCGCTAGCAGTGTCGACAGGCTTATGTACGAAGCTCAGTGGTATGCTTCGATAGCAGATTCTGCAAGAGGAAGAAAAAGACGGGGACGTGATGACGGACAAGAGCTGGCAGACGGTTCGAATGAACCATCCAAGAGACGTGTAAAGCCAGACATGGATGAAGAAGCAACGCAAAAGCGTCGTGACATGATCGAAAGAGCTGCCACTAAAAGGAGGGAGACTTTACGTTTGAAAAGGGAAGCCAAAGAACGTCGTTTGATAGCTCAGCAGGCAAGATTGAAAACTCGATCCGAACTGGCGAAGAATAAGCGCCGCTTGCGCCACCAGGATAGACCAAGGACGCCGGTAGACTCGCTATTAGCCGATGCTGACTGGTTTCAGAGCATCACAGGTGATGGAAATTCTGTTCAAGAAGGCCAGAAAAGAATCAGGAAACGAACATTCCATTTTGTTCCTGAGTTCGAGACCAGACATAAAATGAAGTTAGTCAAGAAGAAGATGGAAGAGAAAAAGATCGAACAGAAAAGGCTTTTGAGAAAAAGAAAGGTGGAGAAGAAGCGAAAGTTGAAGCTCCGTCCCGGAAGAAGAGGTCGTGGTCGTCCTAGGGCAGAAGATTATACTGATGATTCGGAGTATGAGTCTGAGATCGAGTCCGAGTCTGAAGAGGAGGTGGAAGCAACCCCTGACATTGATGTGGATGATGTTTCAGATGACGAGGAAGATGAACCTAGTCCTTTTGATCCAGTCAACATCCTTAAAGACACACCAGTACCACTTAAAGGCAGGCAGTTCTTCAACGATTCGATTGCTAAGTTGTCGCCAGCTCCTTTGACAGTTCCATTTGAGTCAGAGGCTCTGATGTTGAAACCTTCATCAGGTATCCCGTTCATGGATAGCACCGCAGTTGACGTGGTCGGTACACATTTCCGCAATTACAAATCCTTGCCTAAGAGCTTCCCACCTTTCATGATTCTGCGTGATGGTAACAGCATAATTAATCCACGAAACATCGTGAGGGTGAGATATCTCATGTATCCCGAGCATACGGATGCATTCATACTTGCTCTGCCAAAAAGTAATGAGCTCAATCCCATCCTCGAAATTCAAAAGATGATACAAGTTCATTGTGCGCTTTACTTTTCACATTCTCAGGAGCTTCAGGAACATATTTATGAAGAATATTGTCAGAAGCTTAAAGCAGCTGTGGAGAACGACAAGTTCAATCAATTCATGATTATTATTGACAGATGGAACTTACTCATGCTAGAGCTTACTCCTTATGCACTTAAGGTGGATCCATCCGAGGATATCAACAGCGCAATCAGGTATTATCTTCCCTTCAATTATCGCAAGAACCACTCGGTGGTTGATCTCAACTTGAACAAGTTTTTCTTTGATGTGGTTAATAATGGTCGCCCCAAGAAACCACGCGGCAGAAAGCCTGGCAAGAGAGGTCGTCCGAAACTCTCCAAGAACTTACCAGAACCTAAGGAAGAAGAGCTCGAGAAGGCTGAAAATGGCCATGCCGAGGTTGATAAATCAAGCGCCACAGAAGATATTCCAGAGTCCACTTACACATCGAGGTATCATAACGTTCGTCCAGCTGAGTATCCAGAGAGTTTCTTGCGTATTTTAACCACGCAAAACAAGGTTTCCAGGTTCGCTATTCAACAGATTCTTACTGCTGCTTATGCTAGAATAGTTGGGCCCAACTCGCGTAAGTTGCGTTCATATAAAGCTTTCACTGCCGAGGTCTATGGTGAATTGCTTCCTTCATTTATTTCTGAAGTTCTCACTAAAGTCGGTCTCGAACCAAAGCATCTGTTTTATGACTTGGGCTCAGGTGTTGGAAACACGACATTCCAAGCAGCGTTAGAGTTTGGTGTCAAGGAGAGTGGCGGATGTGAAGTCATGTCACACGCCTCCAATTTGACGAGTCTTCAGGCCACATTTTTAGACAAGAAGATTCAAGTTTTGGGGCTCCATCCTTTGAATGTTTCTTTCGCTTTATCTCAATCATTCGTCAGCAATGAGGAGGTCAAGAAGAAATGCATTGATTGCAACGTTGTTCTCGTGAATAACTATCTTTTTGAATTCCCATTGAATGTTGAAGTCGGCAAGCTCTTATACGGTCTCAAGCCAGGCTCCAAAATCATCAGTCTTAAGAACTTCATACCGCCTAGGTACAAAGCAGGGGCTGATGACACTATTCTAGACTACCTTAAGGTCGAAAAGTTTGAAATGAGCGATTTCTTCTCTGTGAGTTGGACAGCTAATAAGGTGCCATACTACATATCCACTGTTCAGAAGGAGATTCGTCCTGACTATCTATAAGATGCTGGTAACTAAAAATACATAATTGGATTGGACGTCAAGTTCTTCATGTAGCAACCTCGGTTTTTATTTTCTTAGCGCCGTCGTCCTCCGTCGCCTCATCCACTGTCTTTCTTTTAGATGCTGTTCCGTTCCCATTGGCAGTAGCGGCTTCTTCATGCAGTTGAGGGTCTTCAGAACCTTGCTTGACTATTCCGTTTGGAGTGCTGCTGGCCTGTTTTCCTCTCTTTTTGCCCTGTCCACCATCATTCTCTCTGGCGAGGGCAAGCATCAAAGTATTGACTCTCCTGCTTATTTCTTGTGGAGTTCTGGAAAGCATGTAGAAGTCGAACCTAAATAGGTCACTTGCGTGTATCTCTTCTTTAATTTTCTCTCCCAACCTGTCTGAAAATATGCCATGTTTGTTGACGCAGAACAAAATAAAACGATCTTCAAGTTTGGAATAGATACGTTTTGAGTTGTTTGGAGGGTACTGTATCTTCAACTCTTCAAGAGGATCTTCGGCTTCTTCGATCTTACTAGCGAGTATTCTCTGCTGATTAAGCATCTTAGATGCTTTTCTTTCACTAGCTTCCACCTGAGACACGTACTTCTCATGTCCTTCGATTTCCTTGTAGTTCTCCCAGAACTTCTTGGCATATCTTTCGATTTCATCCAAGTCTCGAGACAAAGCTTTGGCGATTTGCTTACAGTTTTGTCTACCATACTTTGCAGACGCATGGATGAAATTTGTGAAATCTCTCCTTGACCATGAATGGAAACTTTCCGCTAGCAACTTTTCCTTCAATTCTAGTTCTTCTTCAGTGAGCGGTTCGGCATCGGCAATACGCTTCTGTTCAAGAGCCAATCTTTCTTCACGTTCAAGTCCTTCATTATCATCTTCGTTCAAGAATTCTTCGTCACTATCACCAAAATCATCTAGGGAATATTGGTAGTTGGTAGCTTTCTTGTATGCGAGTTGCTCCCTTTCCAAAAGCTTACGAAGCTCACGAGGGAAGAATTGATGATCCTGGTAATGATACACCTTGGGCTGCCTCATTTTGACTGGAGCGCCCTGCTTGTTAACCCCACCAGGGGCCTTGAGCATGTCTTTGTAATAACTGTCAACAGAGTATGTTTGCTCTTTCCGCTCACGCTTGGATGGGTTGATCCATGAGAGGCCTAGACCTTCGTTGGCACGCTTTGCAAAATTCTCACCATTCCACTCATACACAGATGCATCTGAAGTAAAGTTTTGAAGATCGTCAAGACCGAGTTTGTTGAACTTGGCATTAAGAGTTGCTGTCTTCTCGCGTCCTCTGGCTAAGATTGCATCCACATCATCATCAAGCATTGCTGAGCCCTTGGATTCGAAAACCTCCTTAGCACCGTGTTGAATCATGCCAAGCAAATCATCCGTAGTGTTACCAATGCTACTGCCTGTAGATTGTCTGCCCTGCTGAATGACCAACTGATCAAGTCTAAGCTTCTGGGCTGCTCTATCAAGAACCTTCTCTTCGATGGCGTTCTCAGTGACGAACCTAAACACCTGGACTTGCTTCTTCTGGCCAATTCTGTGTGCTCTGTCCATGGCCTGCAAATCAGCCTGAGGGTTCCAATCCGAATCATAAAGGATGACAATGTCAGCCGATGTCAAATTGATACCTAAACCACCGGCTCTTGTCGTCAACAAGAAGATGAACTTCTCCAGATCGGTTGCATTATAGTCATCGATAGCTTCGATTCTGTCTTCATGAGAAGTGGAACCATCAATACGGCAATATTCGTAGTCTCTGAAGAAGCAGTAGTCCTCCAAAATATCCAATAAACGGGACATCTGAGAGAAGATCAATACTCTTGATCCTGCGGCCTTGAACTTCTTAAGCATCTTGTCAAGAATGATCATCTTACCGGCATTGAAGACCAAATGTTCATCGGTCGTGTAGGGAGGACCAGGTTCAGCGCCATCAAACAAGTATGGATGATTGCAACACTTTCTCAATTGCATGACAATATTAAGCAATCTAGTTTTTCCTTCTCTTTTGCCAACCACACCGTTGACAGCATCAATGTCTTTTTCAAGAAGTTTCTTGTACCATTGAACTTGCATATTGGTCATACCGATGTAAACGTTCGTCTCAATCTTCGGTAACAAGGACTTTTCAACATCAGCTTTAACACGTCTAAGGAGGAACGGGCTCAACACCTTATGAAGTTGCTGAACGACCTTATCCTGGTCATTTTCGTCTGAATCTTCTTGGTTAGTGTTAAACCATTCGTCAAAGACATTCGAATCACCGAAGACATCGGGTAAAAGGAAGTTTAGAAGGGCCCAAAGCTCGTGCAAATTGTTCTGTAAGGGGGTACCCGTTATTAGAAGACGGTTTTTGGAATAGAATAGACGAATGATCTGGGAAAGCGAACTGGATTCGTTTTTGATTCTGTGTGCTTCATCCACCACAACGTATTGCCAGCGGAATTTCTTGAGTTGCGCTTTCTCTCTGATGACCATTTCAAAAGAAGTGATTAAGACGTCGAACTTTGCTGTAAGAAGCCTCTCCTTGATGATCTTCTGACGGTCCTCCTTGTTACCCTGTAGGACCAATACGTTCACGTCTGGGGTCCATCTTTGGAACTCTCTTCTCCAGTTATCAAGTGTAGATTTGGGCACAATAACAATGAAAGGCCCGTCAATGTTCTTTATGTATCGAAGGTAGCCCAAGAACGAAATAGTTTGCAATGTCTTACCAAGACCCATTTCGTCAGCCAAGATACCACTGAGTCTATTCTCATAAAGCGATATAAGCCAGTTGAGACCTTGAATCTGGTATTCCCTCAACGTACCGCCCTTGATGTAATTAGGCGACGTAGTAAGGACTGTTCTTTGTTCGGCATCGTCGCCCATATGTTCTTCATCTTCAAGAAGCTCAGCGTCCTCCTCCTTCTCGGTCTTTCTGCGGCCCTTCTTCTGTTTCTTTGCAGGCTGCTTGAAGTTTATCTGTCCGTCGATCAGTTTGATCAACTTCTTAAACTTGGGGTCCTTCGACATGTTGATATCGATAAAGTAGCGGAATAGATCAGTAAGACCTAACAAGTATTTGAACCGCTTGGTCGAGTCGTCCACGTCATTTTCTTTGGCAACCTTAGGATCACAATTTAACAAGTATCTGTTACGCCTTTCTAGCTCGGCTTTATTTAGCTTCGAAACGTCAACGGTCTCTTCGATCTGAGGCTGCTGCTCGTCTTCGCTGTCACTGGACTCCGCGTAGTTGACGGCGTTTTTCTTCTTATCAGCCATGGAGCTTCTGGGTACGCGACGGCAAGTGGAATAAAAATATAGAAAAAGAAAAGTCTATTAGTAAAAAATCACCTTTTGTCTCTTTTTGTTGAGGTGGATTTCAACCTTGAAAGGGTGTACGGGCTTTGGGGTTATTACCTGCGCTCATCTGTGTTTTTGCGGCTTGCGCAGGTATGCTTAACGCGGTAAGAGAGCACAAATGGGTGCGAAAAAAAAAAAAAAAAAGACCGTATTGCAGGAGGGCCAGTAAGGATGCTTTTTGGCAGAAGAGCAAGAAAGGGAGAATTTTTAGAAAAGCGGGAAAAATGGAGGGTATGTTCATTGAAGTTCAGGGAATTTCGTGCGGATATTGTTTTTCGTCAGATATTTTGTTTTTTTCTTGTTTTCTTGATTGGCGTTGGAAGCACTGATGTCTCATCCATTGTGGGGGACCATCGGTGGGACGTCACCAGTAAGGAGCACCTAGACTTGTGAAGGAGTCTCGGCAAAAAAAAAAAATCAGATTTATTGTGTAACCGAATTGCCGTCGAGTAGACCCCAGTCAATAGGATTGAGCAGGTTTTCCAGAAGCCATTCGTTACATTTCTTGAATACTTTCAGGTCGAAGAAGCCTCTGGAGGCTGATAATGGCGACGGGTGTACTGTTTTAAGCACCAAGAATGGCACTTCTGGAGAATTCAAGAGCGTGCCGAAATTGGCAACTCTCTTTTGTGCTGGCGATCCCCACGCCATGATCACAAATCCCTTGGCCCGGTCTTTCTTAGCATAGTTGATAGCTACTCTGATGACCTCTTCTGTAAACTGTTCCCAGCCTCGGTTAGCATGGCTGTTAGCTTTATGGGCTTCCACTGTCAAACACGCATTGAGCATCAATACACCTCTTTTGGCCCATTTCGTCAAGTCTCCACCGCCTGGTCTTCCCTGTTTACTCAATTCCTTATAGTCGGGAATTTGGAAAGATGGGAAGTCGATTTTAAGTGTTTTATAGATATTCAAAAGCGATGGTGGTGGTCTCGTAGGCTCCAAGACCAGGAATGCAAGGCCATGCGCCTGGTTAAAGTTATGGTATGGATCTTGTCCCAAAACGAGACACTTGACGTCAGGCAATGGTGTCAAATGGGACCATGAGTAAATGCTCTTTGGTGGTGGGAACACCGTCTTGCTGCCCATCTGCACTTGCAAGTACTGCTTGAGCTTAACGAAGTATGGCTTTGTGAGTTCTTTATGGAGGTACGCAAGCCAAGTGATATGTAATGTCCTAATCTCAAGGTCAAGTAGTTGTTTTTGTTCTTCAGTAAGCGAACTGACCCATTCTTCCTTGTTGAATCCTACTTCTTCAAGGAACTCGGCATACTCCGACTGCGATCCGTCTACCTTCTCATCCACAGGTACGCCATTCGAAGAAGGTTCTTGTTTAAGTTCTTCAGATAGATCCTTAACGTCTTTGGAGTCAATGACAGTTTCCGTAACCACTTCTTTGGTCTCAGTTACTGCTGTATCTGACAGCTTCACGGTTGGCTTCAGAGCTGATTTCACCATTGGCTTCGCTTTCACCGGTTTCTTGGTGGCTTGAGCAAAAAATTCAGTGATGAATTTTGGCTTCTTTACAGCTCCATTGGCGTCTTCAAGCACCCTTTTTCTGTGGGCATGGGTTGATCTGTTCTATGGATGGAGTATCTATGCGCATCTACTACTACGCGTCGCGCTGTGGGTACAGTAGTGTGTTGCAATCTATTTGGGCCTGGCAGGCATTATCTAAAAAAGCTTGTGGAAATGGTAAGGATATCCCGGGTCTTTCCTCAAGAACATGCTTGTAAGGGAACTGTAAAGTAAGTACAAGGCGGTGGCGCTCACGACAGTGAGAACCAACCTTGCTTGTTCAGATGCAATCACTTTGCCTGGACCAACCTGGTACTTGCCCAAATAAAGCATATAAACGAGTGTAGCGCCCAAGAAGAAGTAGTGTGTGGCCACAAGGACAATTTCGTCACCAAATTGGTAGTGGAGACTTCCACTGATGTACATGACTTTACCGTGAGCATCCTTGGCCAAAAAGGCAATGCCCTGGATGGTGGTGAATGAGTAGCCTCCCAAGATGGCAAGAAGCGTGGTAATTGTAAGCACTTTGTAGATTAATCCTTTGTTTATCGAGCCTGTCACGATAGCAGGTCCACGCTTCTTGATGTAAAGAATACCACTAAAAGTGATAGCGAACGTAGCAGCAAACTTCAACTTTGGATTATCCTGCCTGAGGAAGATCTTTTTCTGAATAGCACGAGCAAGCCAATCAGCAAGTTGAAACGTCTGTGTTTTGATGTCTGCGTCTGGGATATCAAACGAAGCGTGTGGCTCAAGAAGCATGTCATACTTGCCAAAGATAGGATTTCCATCCTCATCCAATTCCCTTTCTTTTGTGCTATGAGCAGCCACCACAGAAGAAGGAGGCACTAACCATACCTGTGGTACTGTCTTCAACTTAAGAAAGTCAAACACTGGTTTGTTGGACTTATCTGCGAGATCTATCGTTGCAAAGTAAAGGTAGTGGGACCACATGTAATCATGAAACCATGCTTTCGAAACGCTACCAAACATCTTCTTAAGATCCCTACACGAGTCACAATCGTGCTTTGGGTCTGTGGAAGTGATTGCAATCAATGTGTAGTGCTCTCTGTATGCCTCTGAAATTGGTGAAAGATCAGCGTTGGATATGGCGATCACTCCATCAGGCAGTGTCATTGCAAGTTCTGTCAATCGAAGAGATTGCTCTGTCTCTGCGGCAACATATGCCACCCATGACAATAGGAAGTATGTGAATAGGAGCATATAGGGCTGGTTGTTGATGAGTTCCTGTTCGCACTGTTGATATGATGGCCCAGTATGAGGAATGGTCTGAGGCAAGGTGAAAAATGCACTTAAACTGATACGTCCAAAATAGATATTTAATGGTTGGAAAAAAATAAATATATAGTTCGTGAGTCGCTTGCATATCTTTCTATTCTATATTTCATGCAAGTTAGGTGGTGGTCTCTTCTGGTTCTTCAACCACAAACTCTTCCTTCTCGTCTCTATTTATCACCATGAACCCGGCAGTGACCACTGTGGCACCGAAAATGTACCATAGATTCACATGGAATCCTTTGATGAACCAGTCACCTACCATTGCCAATGGGATTGTTAGCGAAAGGCCCACTGTGACAGTCAATGGACTGGTGAGAAGGACGGCTTTGCACCAACAAAAGTCCGATATGAACGTAATGAATGCATTGGCACCTAGAAGTGCCAAGACGTGCAGACTGCTGGGTAACTCGAACTCTTCGAGGCCAGTGAAATGAAGAATAATGATCAATGGCCAAAGGAAAGCGAGACAGTATATTCCAACAAAACCGAAGAAGAGATGAGTGTTCAACACTCGTTCTTTTCTCTTGTTAGGAACAGTGACCTTGTTCTTAAGTAGAATGGTGTAGACTCCGTAGATGAGAGCTCCAGCAAGGGCCAAGAAGTTGCCCCATAGTATAAGAACTGGAGAAGATGTTGAAGGCGTTTGGTTTGACTCTGAAGAATCAATCTTTGTCACTATGAGCACCCCTGTAAAAGAAAGCAAAATACCGATAATCTTGTTCGTGTTGATTGTTTCCACCAGGTAGAAATGTCCCACAATAAGCGTGAAAAATGACGAAGTCGATGACAAAATCGTCTGCGACGCCACTGAAGTGTATGATAACGAAGAGTTGGTCACAAGATTTGCCAGGAACCAAAGCACAATGAATTGAAGCGAAAGCTTGATTGTTTCTATCATTGGCACTTCTTCATCTGCTGGTTTGACAATCTCAGGTGGAGGTCCCTCCGTAGCAAGCTGCTCCATCAGCGACCCATATTCGTTGGGTGTTTCAGGCAGCAGTTCCTCATCCCGAAGACGAGTATACTTTTCCAGGTTCCATGCCTTCCTTATCACACTGGCAAAATCCCGGATCGAGATGTGCTCATATTTCATATAAGGTATGAGGTACAACGCAAAGCAACTGGTGTTTATCCAAGTGATGAAAAACGGTTTGCGGTAAATCTTGGTTTCAAATAAGTCGTTTATAAGGAACGAAGACAGCACCCAGAAGAGTACCACGGCTGCTAGATTAACCAAACCTAGTACCCATTTTTGAGCTGATGATAGCTGGTGTTCTTGAAGAAAGAAGGACTGGAAGAACGTGACTGTCGCTGTCAGTAGCCGCCTGAACATTCCTTTCAGTCAAATTTAGTTGGTGACTTTTGGTGATTCAGAGATCTGGTTGGAGTGTTATCGACAAGATTGGCAGACTTATCGATATGGGTGCGTGCACTCCTTCACACACTATGACGGGATGTTTATGCTACAATGGTAAGACATTGTCTGGAAGGAAAGTGTGGATCGGCCAATCGTGTCAACGTGGACTACGTGCCTTTCAAATGCTTACAGAAAGTGTATGAAAAAATGTATTCCTTTGTAAATTTAACATTACTGTACCTAAAAAATATGACAATATAACCATGAAATTAATCGAGCCATCTTCTCTTCTTCTGAGCGCTAAGAGTAGCAGGTTTCACTCTGGAAGATGCAGGGTAGAAGTAAGTTGGGTAACCAGCGATAGAAGCTGTGTTGACCTTGGAGGTCACCTTATAGTTCCAACCGGGAGTGATCGTGGACAACGCGTTTGGCGAGGGACTGATCGACTTGTATGGGGTGTATGCTGAGGTTGGATGTCTTCTGGTGATGGTAGTAGCAGTGATGGTGGTGTCAGGCTGAGTCTGCATTGGAGCGTACTTGGTCTTACCACTCTGCAAAGTGTAGGTGATGGAGAAGGATTTGGAGTTCACTTCACCACCACCTCCAGCAGCCATCTCCTGTGGCGATGGCTGAGCACCGGTTTCAGAAAACAAATCAGCTGGGAAAGTAAATGTCTTGGCTTCTCCTGACATACCCGTTAACTTGAATCTGGGTGTGTAGTGAATACTGTAGCCATCATCTGGGAAAACAGCATAAACCTGAATAAAGTATTGACCATTTGGAGCAGCAGTGTCTTTAATTTGAGCATCATAAGAGGTAGCATCTGATGACAACAGCTTGGTAAGTGTAGTAACTGTGCCGATATTGCTGTTACTACCAGTACACAAGACGATAGCATAAGACTTGACTTTCTTAAGGGAGTCAGCATCGTCAGAGTCGTCACTGCTATCCTTCCATTTAATACTGACCTTGGCCAGACCACCTGAGGCACTGAAGGATTGGCCGCTGGTAGGAGCGGTGATGTCAACATCAGCAAGGGCCAACTTTAGGAAAGCACAAAGGGTAGCAAAGTATGTGAGAAGTTGCATGTTCAGTAGCGATCAGATTATGATAAGACAAATGTCTTTTGTACTTTTTGTTTTATGGGGATTCACGGAAAACGAGTGTGGTGACGATGGATTTAAAAAGGTTGCTTAAAACCAAAATACAGGCTGGAAAAGTTCACCACTATGCAATCTGGATAGACTAGTCTTCTTGGAAAGAAACGGTAAACGGAGCTAAAAACCTCAAAGTGTTCACTCTGTTGAATAAACTGTCAAACAGTAGAAAGACAAGAATCTGCTTTGGAGTTGACAGGGCAAGAAATTAAAGAAGCCACGAAAAAAAGGCTGTGTCAGGCAGGCCTTCTCAGGCATATTACTATGGGACTCGCGAGCCCTGTGTTATTTTTTTTTTTTTTTTTTTTTTTTAGAAGCTCAGTTGACCTTTTTTTTTCACGCCTGTTTTTGTTAGCCAGGAGGGAAAAAAGCGCGGGTTGTTCCACCCCCAGGCAAAACCTCCCACGCTGCTTGGGTTAAATGGATGGACATTTAGATGAAATGAAATGGATGTTTTGACGAAACAATGGGAAGTGGAAGGTCAAAGGAGGGGAGCAACGGAATAATAGCTTTTTTTACGGAATTTCAGCTTTTCAAATTGTAGAGTGCACTTTCCCCGTGGCGCCCATAATGTATCTCTCCCAATGTCTGTTGCTGGGAGGCACAAAGCCAAGGAATGTTTTTTTCCTCCAGACGTGGTTGCTTCCAGGGGGCCCAGTTGCTGCGAAAACTTGCCCAGGCGCCAGCGAGCACCAGTGAATGTTCATGAAGAAGTCCCTTTAAAAAGAAAGAATAGATATTTCTTCTTCACCGTTTACTTCACTACCCCTTACAACCACCTCTTCTTCTTAGCATCAGATAAAGTGGCCAGACTTACTCGCGACGAGGGAGGGTACCAGTACGTAGGATAAGAGTTCACTGGAGCGGTGTTTTCTCTGGAGTTGATGGAGTATGTTCTTTCAGCAGTGGTGGTTGTCCAGGCATCTGGGAAATGGCTGATGGTCGTGTAAGCTGTGTAGTCGGAGGTTTCGTGACGATGGGAGTAATTTGTTCCTGTTACTGGGAACGTAGGGTTGGGCTGCATTGGGGCGTATCTGACCCAGCCAGACTGTGCAGTGTAGGTAAGAGAGAAGGACTCTGTTTCCACCTTTAGGGCAGTACCGCCGGCGTTCCATTGAGGTGAAGGCTGGTCGCCGGAATGTGAGAAAAGGCCATCGTTAAAGGTAAACGTTGAAGTGCCTCCACTCATACCTGTGAGTCTGAACCGGTTGGTGTAGTGAATGGTGTACCCATCGTTAGGAAACAGGGTGTAGATCTGGAAGAAGTAGTACCCGTTGGGACCGAGATCGTTATCGATTTCTGCTGTGAAAGAACGTTCTTCGTTATCGATATTACTTCCAAGCTGCTTGACGGTTTCGATGTCGTCGTTGGTACCTGTCATCAACACAATGTCGTAGTTTCTAGCGTTGTCGAGATCTGAGAAGTCAAACCCTTCTGTATCATCTTCCCACTCGATTTCAACTTCAACCAGACCACTAGAAGCATCAAAGGATTGACCAGATTCTGGTTTTTTGATATCCACATCGGCCATGGCCAAATGTGCTGCCAGAAGTATGGCTAGTAAGTAACGAGCGAATCTCATAAGAATGGTTGCAAAAAAAAGCCAGTTGAGCTTGAAACCGAACCACGAGCGAGCGTGTTGCTTTTAAATTAGAGATTGCCAAGCTACCGTAGAAGGAGTGCCTTGAGCACCTACCTTGGTCTTTTCAAAATAGGAATGTCTTGTCCAATGTTCCAAAAAGCTTGGTTTCTTGGTGACAATGTTAGTATGGTACGCAACGCAGTAGTATATGTGGATTTTTTTTCTTTGGCTGCGAAACTTGGCCTCTGCATATTTTCTTGCCTCTGGCTTGGCTAACTGTGCCTCATACACGACGACTGTGGTTGGTAGGTGGATATACGGAATGAAGAGGTGATGCAAAGACTGAAGGTGATGTCATTGATGGTGTTGTAGTCGGTGGAGGTTGTTGAATCTGACCTCCCTGGCTGAGGTTGCCTGGTTGTGGTGTAGATTGAGGATTGCTAGCCAAAAAGGTCGCTTGTATTTATAGAAAAACACGATACCTATCTTGACGTATTGAACAAGGAAATTGAGCTTCAGCAACGTTTCTTGCTTCCCTGGTTTCTTAGTGTAGGCTCGTTGTGTGTTGCCATGCTCGCGACGCTGCAATGTATGTATGTCCCAAGAATTTTGCAACACCATCGCATTTTGTGTTAATGACAAGGCACCCAGCTACTTTGCTGGTACCAATGAAACCTTAAAGAAGGTATGCTCTGGTTATTTTTCTCTATATTGATTTCTCTTCAATGTTTTTCGAGATCTGAGTTCTAGATATATCATGGCTTCTGAGGGTGCAATAGTGCGCAAAATGCACCGCAATCACCGAAAAACATCACGAAAAGCATCCATAATGTCCACCGCTAACATCAAACCATCTCAAGACAGTATTCAGCCTTCTGGGAGACTTTTGGCCTTTCAATCTACCGTCTTATTATTACATCTGAAAGCACCTGACATACGCGTGATGGAATTTCCTGTGTATACGCGTACCGTGATATCAGTAGAGGTTACCCTTATACCAACACCAGTTGCCACTAACTAGCCTTCATGTTTCCAACTACGCACAGATACGTCGTTCGTAGCCTTAGGCTTCCCCTGTTTCAGGTGAGACAGTTTAATATGGTGCGCAAAGTTTCACCGGTGAAGAAAGCAGCCTCCACCACTGCTCAACAAAATGGTACCCCAAACAGTGCAGCAGACGAGTCAAATGGCCTGGTATCAACGCCTAGCTCTCCTCCTTCAAGCGGCTTTACTTTCCATGACTCTCCTCTCGGTGGCGTTCCTACAAACAAAGATGGTCATATCGACTGGTCAGACTCTTTCCATGGCTTGGGCCAGGCCTCTTTTCCTAAGGAGGTGAACGATACATTGCTTGCCCCTCTTGAGGATGATGACATTGAAATTAAACCAGATGGTCTTTTATACTTGCCTGAAATCAAGTACAGAAGAATCTTAAACAAGGCTTTTGGCCCTGGTGGATGGGGTCTTGCTCCTAGAACAGAAACATACATTACGCCTAAACAGGTGAGTAGAGAGTATGCCTTGATTTGCCAAGGCAGATTGGTTTCGGTTGCAAGAGGTGAACAGGACTATTTCGGAGGTGAAGAGAAGCTCACTACCGCGCTTGAAGGTTGCAAGAGTAATGCCTTGATGAGATGCTGTAAGGACTTGGGCATTGCCAGTGAATTGTGGGACCCTTCTTTTATTCGTAAGTGGAAAAAGCAATACTGTGACGAAGCTTTTGCTGAACATGTTGTCACTAAGAAGAAGAAGAAGTTGTGGAAGCTCAAGACCAACAACTTTGAATACCCATACAAGGCATGCTAAACGAAGACGCTCGCTAAACTACTGTAAATATCTATGTTCCTTAATGTATATTACGGCCCCTAGAAAGATTTGTCTTTTCCTTTCCGGTACCTTGATGCTAACCTCTCTACTGCTTGAAAATACCTCTACCTTCACCCAAAGCCTCAACGGTTTGCGACAAAGGTCTCCTCTTCCACACGTCCCAGAACTGTTGCTGAGGAAGCTCATCACCTGTGTTAGCCTCAGCGTATCTGGTGTCTCTGCCTGCAAAACTTGGCGACTGAGACCAAGAAACGTGGTCCACAGCAGCAGTAATAGCAGCACCGGCAATACCAGCCATAACCTTGTGCTTAGCTGGCATATTCTTGAAACCAACAGTCAAACAGGCCAAGTTACCGGCACCAACGGCCCAGAAAGTGTTCCAGCCATCGTTCTTTTGTCTCAAGTTGGTCACAATACCCTTGGTAGCAGTGGCAACAGTGGCAAAACCAGTAACAGCCAAAGGCAATCCAAGCTTGAAAGTGGTTCTCTTCCACAAGTACAACCAGGCGTAGGCACCGACGGTGGTGTAGAAGGATAATCTAAACACCTGAAGAGTCTCTTTTCTGGTGTCAACAGGCTCCCACTTTGGGTATGCTGAAGCGTTGGTGAAATTGACAAGGCCCGATGGCAACTTGAATCTGGAGTCTGGGAAGACTCTCTTTTCTTCTTCAGACATTCTGCAGTGGAAAGGGAGTATTCTGGTAACAGGCCAATCAATTTGATGGGAAAAAAAGCGAGCGTAAGTTGTAGCTTTGTATGCACGCTTCAAGAGGTGTAGCCATAGAAGCAGACGATCAATGGAGTCAAAATTGGAAGAGAACAAAAAAAATTGTGAAGAATTCTATTTATTAGTTATTTTGTGAAGCCTTGGATTCAGAGAAGTTTCTCATTTTCCATGATACTAGGCTCATTGGGTACTTGTTGGGTCAGTACCGTTGGCATCTCGTCGATGGGATGCTCCCTAGGGGGGGCACAACTACAGCTTAATTATAAAGAATCGAGAATCGAATCACGGCTTTTCAAAGGTGAAGTTAATTCAATTACATATTGTAGTTCTTTGGTCTGTAGCTTGAATCTTGGTGGATCTTGACATATACATTCAGGCTTGACCGTTCTTAAAGGCCCTTTTTTGCATAAAAGAGATATGTAGAGAAAGCAAGAAGTTTCTAACTCAATTAATTCTTTAGGACTTAATTCCATGATTTTTATTACTCTTGACGTAAAAGTCTAATTTATAGATGTCACAGGAATGGCTGCGAAAAGTCACAAACCACTAGTACTACCAGGACATGTGTGTACCTTTTCAAGAGTTCCCCACAAATATGCTTGGAAAATAAAATAAAAAAACTTCAACTAAGATAACTGCTCTAGGCAACGTTTTTGAATCGTTCAACAGTCGTCCAACAGTGACATATACTTGTATGACTGCAGGTGCTGACTCTACCGGATATATCTAGAGCACCTCAAATGCCACACGTACTTTGAAAGTATTCAAAAAGCACTGTCCATCTCTTCCAACCTCTAATACTATCCCCAAATCCATATTCTTTCCAATGACAAACACAAGCCTTAACTGTATCAATGACGTAATGACAGAAAGGGTAGTTCCAGCTTCCTTGAAATTCGATATTCCATTTGTCAAGAAACTACGAAAACTCTAAAACTCAAGACATTCCGATTCCTCCTCGTCCCTTTACTTCCCCTTCCTCCTCTGTATCTCCAGATTCTCCCAAAAGGCTCTGCTGATCCACCTACCGGCCGTTGCTGCCTGGTGCGCACACACTAAAAAGTGCTACCTCAAAAAATTTTCGAAATCGTTGAATAGTGAGTTTCTCCCACCATAGCCTAAATCTAGATATAATGAACAAGCCTTTGACGTTCATCTCCGTGGCCGCTGCTGGACTTGCCGCTTACGCTGTCTACTTTGACTACACCCGCAGAAATGATCCTGCCTTCAGAAAATCTTTGAAAAAGAGAGCCTCCCAAATGGAGAAGGAGGACGCTAAGGCTAAGGCCCACGCTAAGCACGAGAAGAGAACTTCAATCAAGAAGGCTCTTTTCGCTGAGGTGATTGCTAACCCACCTCCAGTGGATGCTGCCCTGAAGGAGAACTACTTCTTGGAGCAAATCTCTACTGGTGAGCGTCTTTCGCCAGCTCCAGGCAAGCAGCTCCAAGCTGCCTTGAGTTTCTACAAGGCTTTGGCTGTCTACCCTAACCCTACTGATGTCCTTAACGTTTACCAGAACTCTGTCCCAGCGGACGTTTTCGAGATTGTCAAGGAGATGATTGCCATCCAAGACCCAGCCAAGATCCACGAAATCATCATAGAGGCTACGAAGGAGGCCTCTCAAAGTGCCAAGCAACCAACCCAAGCTGATTTGGATTAAGCTGGTTCGAGCATTTTTTGTTGTATATATTGATAAAGACTTTAATGAGGTACCGAGGTGTAGATGGCTCAAAAGGCTACTTATAACGCGAGTCGCACATTGCGTCTTTCTTGCAACATCACCAGATCCATGTTTGGTCTACTTCTTTCGTTAATTGTAATTCCATTCCTTTCATATGGAGTCAAGGCTAGTGATCCTGACCTTACTAGAGCGTCTAATGTCCTGGATGTTTCTTATCTGAATCACACTAACGCGACCTACTATAATTATACCAACACAATATCGTCAAATGACTTTCTATACCGAGGTGTGGCATTGGGAGGCTGGCTCGTGTTGGAGCCATATATAACGCCTTCGCTCTTCCTCACATTCAACGAGTCTTCCCATAACTCATCTGATATCCCGAAAGACGAGTACCACTTCTGCAAAGAGCTAGGCCGTGAGAAAGCTTCGGAAAGGCTACAAGACCACTGGGACACCTTCTATAATGAGCTGGACTTTGCCGATATCAAGCTGTACGGCCTTAATATGGTCAGGATACCTATTGGTTACTGGGCTTTCCAGACCCTTGATGATGATCCATATGTGCCTGGCGCACAGAAGTACTTAGATAAGGCTATCGAATGGGCGTATAATAACGACCTCAAGGTCTGGATTGATCTTCATGGAGCTCCAAACTCTCAGAATGGCTTTGACAACTCGGGTTTATTTAGAGCTAACGAGCCTGGCTGGCAGGATAAGCAAGAGTATGTGGACTTGACAAGGCTGGTCTTACGAGACATATATGCTAAATATGGCAGTGCCGAGTTTAGCAAGAAGTATAACGATACGATCCTAGGCATTGAAGTGCTTAACGAACCCATGGGGCCTAAATTGTCCATGTCAAAGCTCAAGCACTTCTACGATGGAGCATACACTGATGCTAGAGAGATTCAAGATACTAACAATACCATCGTTTTCCATGATGCATTCCAGGAAGCGGGCTACTGGAATCATTACAGACAAAATAATTCTAATTCTTCTTCAATCACGCGGAACTACAACATTCTCATTGACCACCATCACTATGAGGTTTTTGGTGTGGGTCAACTCAATTCATCTATCGCTGAGCATATCAATAATATCAAGAACTTTGCATCAGGCATTGAAAAAGAGTTAAAATACCACCCTGCCATTGTTGGAGAATGGTCGGCTGCCCTTACTGACTGTACTCCTTGGCTTAACAGCGTCAATTGGGGAACGAGATGGGAAGGAACCTCTCCATACGATAATGATCCCATAGAACTGAAGAGCCTAGGTAAATGCTACAACATCAATAATTGGGACTCCTGGAGCAAAAAGCATAAAAGAGATACACGCAAATTCATAGAAATCCAGCTTGACCAGTACGAAAACAAAGCAGATGGGTGGATCTTCTGGTGCTACAAAACAGAGACTTCCATAGAATGGGACTTTAAGCGGCTCACACAGTATGGACTTTTTCCGCAGCCATTATCCAACCGTCAGTACATCATCAATGGCACCGACACCAAGCCAGACAAAAGCGAAGCAGTCTCAAAGAACCACTCCTCCGCTCTTTTGGCTGTTCTAGTCTCATTGGCTTTTTCGATATTTATTTAGCTGCAATGGTCTCCCTTTTGTACTAGCTTACGGTACCTGGCTCACGTGCGCAGACACAATATTTTCCAGCCGAGCTCTGGCTTGGGAGTCACAGTTAGACAAGGTACCTTATCATGACTAAATCTGTTAACGTTGCTATCATCGGCGCCGGTGTCGTTGGTTCTGCTTTCATCAACCAATTGGCCAACTTGAAGGCCCCTGTGGCTTTCAATGTGGTCTACTTGGCCAGATCATCCAAGGAAGCAGTCTTCTCTAAAGACTACCAGTCTGTTGACTTGAAATCCTACAAGAGCTCTCCAGCACAGCCAGTCTTGCCATTGGATGAATTGACCTCTTTCTTGGTTGGCGCCAAGAAGCCTACTATCTTGGTGGACAACACCTCTAACACCACAATTGCTGACTACTACCCAAAGTTCGTCGAGGCTGGTATTTCCATCGCTACTCCAAACAAGAAGGCATTCTCCTCCGATTTGGCTACTTGGAACGATATCTTCAACAAGTCTGCTGCTCCTAACGGTGGCTTGGTCTACCACGAGGCTACTGTCGGTGCTGGTTTGCCAATTATTGGCCCATTGAGAGATCTCGTCCTCACGGGCGACAAGGTTGAGAAGATCGAAGGTATCTTGTCTGGATCCTTGTCTTACGTTTTCAACACTCTTTCCACTAGCGAGAAGTCCGACAAGAAGTTCTCTGACGTTGTTAAGGTCGCCAAAGACTTGGGCTACCTTGAACCAGATCCAAGAGACGACTTGAACGGTATGGACTTTGCTAGAAAGGTCACCATCTTGGCTCGTATTGCTGGATTCGAGGTCGAATCCCCTTCTTCTTTCGCTGTTGACTCTTTGGTGCCTCAGCCATTGGAGTCCTTGTCTACTGGTACTGAGTTCTTGGAAAAGTTGCCTGAGTACGACGGTGACTTCCAGAAGCGTAAGGACGATGCTTTGAGCGAGAACAAGGTCTTGAGATACGTTGGTCAGGTTGACTTCAAGGCTAACAAGGTTTCTGTCGGTATTGCCAAGTACGACTTTGACCATCCATTCGCTTCTTTGAAGGGCTCTGACAATGTTGTCTCTATCAAGACCGAAAGATACCCTAACCCATTGATTATCCAGGGTGCTGGTGCCGGTGCTGAGGTGACTGCTCACGGTGTTTTGGCTGATGCTGTTAAGATTGCTGAGAGAATTGCTAACTAAGCGCTACAAATAAATTCAATGGTTTCGTGATTTCATTATTCGTCAACTATCCTATCATGTAATCGTAGTCTTCTCTATCACCTTTCTTCGCCTCCCTGAAAATGTTGCGTAAGTACTCTTCATTCTTACACAGCTCTCGGAAGTCCATCATGACTTTCTGTGAGTCGAAAACATAATTCTTCAAGTTGCTGTTTTGTTCTGGGATTGCACTGATAAGCGTGTTCACTCTAAGAATATGAACGTTATTTGGGGCCATGAAGAAATCCCCAGAATCTCGCAACTCAACAATATAAGCTCCAGTTTTGTGAATGAATTGGGCATACTTAAATGCTGGCAAACCCCAACTGTATTGGATCTCAATATTCTCCTTCTGGAAGAAATTCGAACCTCTGTTATCAAGTAAGAAACCAGCCTTCCTCAAAAGGTGGAGATGGTAGTAGAACTTATTCTCGTGGAACTCAGGCGTCTCGTTGAATTCAGGATCTTGGACAGGATTCACAACTAGTTTTAAATCGACGAAGGAGTGGTATGGGTTAAGCCTTGGGAGAGTACAGAGTTCTCGCCATGGCGTCTCGACTAATTTCAATCCATACCTCTCACATAGTCTTGACCAGCTGATGATGGCTTCGTCGATAAATTTGTTGGTGGTATTCAACCACTGGAGTCGAATATGATAACAGTGTTCTGGATTATGGACTCTGTCGTAGTGAACATCCAACAACTCTGTTCTAAACGACTTCTTTAAAGGGTCGCAGTCGTATCTGACGTGCTTGCTAATAATGAACTTCTTCAGCTTTCTAACCTTCTGCGAATCTGTCAAGGATGAACTCTCGCTATCGTAGTTCGTGAACTGCGGGATCATCTTTCTGACTGCTGAAAGATTCTCAATTCCTGATAATGAAGACATGGTATCTGAATTATTCCGAGTGTGACCTGACGTATTGGAAACTTGTGTGGTGAGACGTGGACTCTGTTGTGTAACATCCTCTTGTTTGTCTGTCTCGTTATTACCCTTCTTCCTGAACCAACCGCTAGAACCTTTAGTTGAGCTGGCTGATGGCTTAGCAAAGCCCTCGGTCAACTCATAAAAGTAGTGCCCATCGAGGAAGCCATGTCTATTCTCCACGTGGGTGAATAATCCTTCATCCATAAGGCTCTGGCCGTAAGTGGTGGCTTCTTCTCGGTTATCTATGTCATCGAAATACTCGATCAACCAAGAAACCAATTCCTGGCCTACAAAACACAGTGGATGAATTTTGAAGTGCCAAGTACGGTCAACCAACCTGAGCCCACCAGGAGCCTGAAGTCTCTCAGCGAGAGTACTGAGCTTGATGTTCGTATTGAACTTGGAATCAGACACCATCAAAGAATTCGTAGGCTGGGTTCCACTCATCGCAAACATCTCTGCTTGCTCGTTAAGAAAGTCAAACAAGTTCCCCGTGTAGAAGCTGATTTCTGGCAAAATTTCTTCTTTCTTCTTTGTTTTTTTCTCGTCCAGACGAACATACCTTCCACGCTCTATGAGAGAGATTAATTTTCTCAATCCTTCGACCCTGATCTCTTCATCTGACAAGTTGTCATTCGTAACGTGATAAGCGTTCTGAGGCATATCACCAGGTATCACAACGAACTTCATTTTATGAAATTCCCTTGATTCACCGACTGCATCGTCATATCCGGCTAAGAGCTGATCAAACTGGTTCCAATTGTACATATGGGGCTTCGTGTCCAGGGCGGTTATCAAAGAAGGTGCATAATCGTCAGCATATCGAGTTCTGATAAGCGGAGTATGTGTCTCATCTTTTCTTTGACGACCAAATGTATTCTTTGGAGCTTCACTTGCCTTTGTCCTTCGGTACAACTGTACATTGAGAGTACCGTTATAGTCGCAGAATATTCTGTGGATCTCGTCATTGAGCGACAAATATATTCTAGCACCGGTACAGTCACCCTTTGGCATATACTTTATCAAGCTTTCGGGGCTTCCACTTGGTTTGCGTTCGCCTTCGGCATTTCTGACTCTCTCTCCTTCGCAAATTTGAAACCCGGTTGCAAGTCTTAAACGGATCATTTCACGCATAAGCTGGTGTGTCGTTCTTAGCTCTAACTTGTTCTCGTAGTTAAGCGATACAACATAGATCTGAAAGGTGTATTCAGTCTCGAGTTCTTTAAACGTGGGGAAGAGAGTAGTGGCTATCGGCAAAGCTGCAGGCGCCTTCAACGATCTCCACTTGACAAGTCTCCTTTTGATTTTAGGCGGAAAGACGTCTGACCAACGACTGCAACGAATACTCTCCGACGCCGTCTCTTTGGAAGGATTCATGATCTTCATCCAATAGGGATTATTCTTAAGTCTATCTTCGAGATCTTTTTCTTCTGGTGATACCTTCTTCGATTTGCCCAGCTTCCTAATACTTCCGCTGTCATTAGACCTCCGTTTGCTCTTCTTCTTTATATCTGCGGGTTTAAGTATTTGAGGCCTCATTATTCTTTCGATCTTCCTTGGAGGTTGATATCTTGAAGTCAGTGATATGCTAGCGTTTGACTTTGCTATTTGGTTTGAGCGCTTCGCAGGGGGTGCGGCAGTCTGTCTTGGTTCGTCACTCGTCTTGTTCAAAGTGTATAAAGTAGACAAGGCTGAAGTATTCGAAGGTATGTTCAGAACTGTGCCATGAACGGCAGAAGTCGTCGTTGAAACGTTTGATTTGGCATTGTCGGGTGCAAGCTGTGGTGTATTAATCGTTGATAAGGGGAACTTGCCCATTAAAGATAACGTAGCAGTACTCTTTTTGCCCAAAAGTATTTTACCCGAGTGTGTCTTTTTCACCGGTATCGTTCTTGAGTTTGTTTCCACTGGTTTAAACTGTTCGTCGTCGTAATTGTCCATTGCTTCCACAACGGGAATGTCATTTTTCAATTGCAAGCGATCAATGAGAACTTCGTTGACTTCATTCTCCATAACACCCATCATTTGTAGCTCGTAAATTTTACAGCGGGGAATCCACTGTGAAGCCCACTCGTCCGTGTCTGTGTAGAATGAAATGTCACACCATTTAGGAACACAGTGACCAACCAATCCGGTAGTATCTCTGTATCTTAACAATGGCACGGTATGTAGCGGAGGTTGGCTCAAGGATACGATGTCCAAAGCACAGTCCAAGCTGAACATCTTCTTTGAAATCTCAAGCATTAAATCATAGTCAACGTCGTAAAGTCCCGTTCCAGCTGTAATGACTATCATGTGGTTGACGGTATGCCTTAGGTCAGTATTTCTGAATCTGTCACAAACCAAACTGATAGTCAAATTAACCGCCTCTAGGACGTTACCTTTAACTGCGGGGCATGGCTCACCAGACACCTTGTAGTAGCCGTCGACTAGGTGGATCAAGACATCACGCTTAAAGTTGGCAAACTCTAATCTCAAACTTGCCATGATTCGATCCCAGCTGAAGACACTTACTTGGTCGACAACCACTCTATAGTATTCCTGATATTTCGAAGGACGTTCACCTGGGCCCAATGAAATCCATGGGATTTGCGTGAGATCCACGCTAGTAAATAGAACAATTGTTATAGAATGATGTGAGCTTGCTGTTAGCCACTTCTTGAAAATCTTTGGGAAGAGGGTATTGACAAGCTTATGGAACATGATCTCTCCGTTCTCCTCAAAGTTCCACATTTCTCTGGACATTTGCACGAGGAACACCATTTTGGAGCTTTCTGAGCGGAAGATGATATTTGTCTTCTGGCTGACGTAACCACTGTACAATTTCTTCCCATCTTTGAATGTCAGTCTTATCTGACCCACTCGACTTCCTAGATAGAGAACCCGTTGATCCAAATAACAGCATTTGCCAACAAATGATGAAGCTAACCCCCATTGTGAGTCTCTTGGAAAGTTCACATCCTTGAGATATATTTCAACTGTATCGAGCTCAACTTCAGAAGGATCTCTAATGCGCTGTAGTTGAACTGGAGATCTTGGAGGAACGTCTAGTAGCTTTTGAAGAGGGTTTGATAGAAGGGATATTTGAAGATTTGTCTTTGCTTTTGTGTTGGATTCCCTTATAAAGCTTTGCTTGGATGCAATAAATATGAGTCGTCTCAGCTTTCCCTTCCGAACTTCATCTTTGATGATAGGCTCCAAACTATAGATGCAGCCTTCTTTCATCCCAGGAACTGCATTTGCGTCAATGACAACATCCTCAGTGTAAGAACGAGGCTCGTGAAACCAGACGGTAAGTTGAACTGGATCATCCAGGCTGGTGTCTTCTGCCAGAGGAGTCACGCTTGTTTGTCCAGAATGAATGTGTCTCGGGGTACTTTTATTCAAGTTGTAAGCAATTGGATCTGTAAAGCTTCGAAACGTCGTAGCATTTCTGATACCAGTAGATGTGGTGACCTTGTTCTTACCAACAGTGAGCGTGCTGCCTGGAGTGTTTAACGACATGTTACCAACAGTGAGTGTTGATGATTTCGGTTGAACTCTACCCATTGGAGCAGACGCTTCAGGCGACTTTCGTAGATATGCAGTTAGATCATCATTTTCGGCTAACGAGGCCTTTGCCTTGTTGCCAGTGGTCCATCGGGCGTGCTGCATGGGGAAGCAGGCTGTAGATGGAGTTGTTAGATCTTACAGTGAGTAGGGGCACGGATGTAGTAGGAGAGGTGGAAAACATCACCAAAATAGTGGAATCAAAAAAAATGAAAAGTAAAATAAAATAGGGTGATTTAATATCGAAAAACGTCGTATACTGATTGTTAATGTCTATTTATAAGGGCGGTCTAATTGTAAAGGTGGATAAGTAGGTGTCACCTAATGAATGTGCTCACTGAGCGTAGTGGTTCACCACAAACTCTTCCAAGAACCAGGCATGGAACAGGGCATCATTGGCAAGTTCAGGGTGGAAAGAGGTACCCAAGTGCTTGCCTTGACGAACGGCCACGACTAAACCATTCTCCAATTCATGCAAGATCTCAACTGGAGCATCGTTGGTGCATTTAGCATCAACAACGACAGCAGCTTCCAAGTTGGCCTTATGGTCGAGTTCAGGGCCAACTTCCTTCCATTGGCCTTTAGATGTCTCCACAGCTGAAACCACAGGAGCACGAATGAAGACTGTGTTGAATGATTTAAGGTCAGGAGCGAAAGCACTGAAATCGCTAGGACACAGAAACGAGTCGAGTTGTCTGCCAAAAGCGTTACGAGCAACCTGGACTGCAAGGCCACCCAAAGCATGCTGGTGTGGTTTAGCATTGGTGATGGAAGAAGCCATGAAGATGAGTCCAGCACAAGTACCCCAAACAGGCTTAGAAGCAGCAAACTGCCGAAGTGGCTCGAGCATCTGCGTACGTTCAGCGATCAAAGACATGGCAGTAGACTCTCCACCTGGGATCACCAAAGAGTCACACTTGGAAAGCTCCTCGACGGTTCTAACCGGAACAAACGTGAAGTTGTGTTTCTGGAGGGTTGTAGATTCAGCAGCAGCACGAGCCAAGTGGGCCAAATGCTCAGCAAAGGCCCCCTGAAGGGCCAAAACGCCCACAGTGAAAGAAACAGTCATGTTGGCAATGGCTTTTGTAGTTACTCTTCTTACACTTCTTATCAGCGCGAAGTGAAAAATACTCAGTCACAGTTGCAGAGAGGCTTCCCCTAGTGAGTCAACAAACACAGCGCAAAACCACAAAAAGTAGTAACCCTGAGTCAATCAAGCCAGCCTAGAAGCATTTAAACTTCACCTTGATGAACTCCCCCCACCATACATTGATGCTTCTCCAACCGGTGCCCCGTTTTTCGGAATTCGGTGTCCTACACTGAGACCCTGGAGGCAGGGAAGAGCGAGCATCTAGCGGCCATTTTAACGCTGAATGCGCTTCCAACGCCTACCGCTAGGACCATCGCCCCACACAACGGCTGCGAAAGTGAAAAGCTGCCAAGGCAAAGAAACGGCGATTCCGATGGTCACAGAAAAGACATCAAGGAGAGGTCTTTGAGAAATGATCACTTTCGTCTTTGGTGACAAAAATGTAGTTTTTTATTTCCCTTGGTTTCTCTCCGTTTGGTTGGTTTCCCCGGATTGTCTTTCTTTCCGTCTCCACGTTTACGCTTATCGCCATGTATGCGCATAACTAGTGAAAAAAGCCTGTTGTGCCGCGTTGACTCTGACCCGGTGAAAAAAAAAAAAAAAAAAAAAATGGGTTACTCACTCCCCACTATATATATAATTTCTCACCAACTCCAGTCGCATAACTCTAACTCAATTAATTTGCAATGTCTGATCCAGTTTTGAAGGGCGGTTTGGCCCAGATGCTTAAGGGAGGTGTCATTATGGACGTCGTCACGCCTGAACAGGCCAAGATCGCTGAAAAGGCTGGTGCCTGTGCTGTCATGGCTTTGGAGAGAATCCCAGCTGATATGAGAAACTCCGGCCAGGTTTGCCGTATGAGTGACCCAAAGATGATCAAGTCTATCATTGAGTCTGTTTCCATCCCAGTGATGGCCAAGTGCCGTATTGGCCACATTGTTGAGGCCCAGGTTCTCGAGGCTTTGGAGGTTGACTACATTGACGAGTCTGAGGTCTTGACCCCAGCTGACTGGTCTCACCACATTCCAAAGAACGACTACAAGGTTCCATTTGTCTGTGGTGCTAAGGATCTCGGTGAGGCCTTGAGAAGAGTCAATGAGGGTGCTGCCATGTTGAGAACTAAGGGTGAAGCCGGTACTGGTGACATTTCTGAGGCCATCAAGCACATCCGTATTGTCACTGGCCAGATCAAGCACGTTTTGTCCTTGGCTGGCGACCACGACGCTTTGCAGAAGTTGGCTGATGAATACAGAGTGCCAAAGAAGCTGTTGGATCAGCTCATTGACTCTGAGGGTAAGTTGCCAGTGGTGAACTTTGCCGCTGGTGGTGTTGCCACCCCAAGTGACGCTGCCTTGTGTATGCAATTGGGATGTGACGGTGTGTTCGTGGGCTCTGGTATCTTCAAGTCCAAGAACCCAGAGAAGTTGGCCAAGGCCGTTGTGGATGCTGTTACCCACTACAACGACCCAGCCAAATTGTTGGAAGTTTCCACCGACTTGGGTGAGTTGATGTTCGGTGTTTCTATCGACCAGATTGCCAACAAGGACAGATTGGCCGGCCGTTAAGGACTACATTAAATATAACAAATATAAGTATTCTGTTACGAACCCCATGTTTTTTATTCTTCTTTCTGTCCTAACGTAAGAACACCTTGGTCAAGATCGATGATACCCGCTCTTTGTTCTGGTCCAAGGTGACCACCTCTTTCACGAACCGAGGCAAGTCCTTAGGCATCTTGTCATGAATGCCCAAATCGTCCGCACACACAATCAACGTATCAGGTTTGAGGTTTTTGAGCATATGGAAATACCCATCAATGTTGGAGCACCGGAGGAGCTTATAGTTATTGAGAAGTGTCTGCGACAATCCAGTCTGTGATGTATCAATGTTCCCGGCCAAGTCGTCGACCGAAAGATGTGGGGGAAGAATGAAAGTGACGTTCTGTGAATTCATGATTATCTCTTCTAGCGGCAAGTCGGAGCTGAGCACCGAATGCAGCAACGTTAATGCAATGGACTTGTTGGTAAACTTGGATGCACTGATGGTTTGTTCATCGTCCTTGGTAAGGTACTTGTAGAACTCATAGCCAGCTGCTGCAATTGAGGTAGCAACGACGGCTGAGATCCAAATAGCGGGTGACTTCTTTCTGCCCATGGTTTGTGGATTATATAGATGGATAAAGAAAGTGTTGGTTATGGAAAAGAAGGGTGGATCTCGAGGCCTAGATAAAGGTGTTGCCTATATAGAGCGTGGGGAAAGGTTTGTTGGTCTATGGGGAGACTGAATGCTCTCCACCCTCGGAATAAGTGTGGTGTACGGGTGCGCTTTGGAGTCCCTCTGGGGGTCCTGTTCCGCTGCCAGGGACCTCAGGGTAGCGCCGCTTCGGAAGCGCAAGGTGGGCCCTCGGTACTACCCTTTGTACCCTCGGCGCTGCCCCCGGTGCGACCCTCGGCTCCCTCGGTGAGCGCCATCCCCAACATAAATGTATATACATGCTCTACGTCCCCTCCTCTATCTTCACCTGCATTGTCCCTATTCAACTGATAACAGAAGGTCGGTTCCTTCATGATGAGGTCATCCCGTTCTGCGTCTTTACGCAAAAGTTCATCTCCTCTTCGTCAAGTGACTTGATGTAAAGGCACTTACGAAGCAACTCTTCGTCCACTGGGAAATCGTAGTTCATAGACCACTCGATGCTCTGTGAAAGTGACTTCACTATATGCACTGATGTTCTGAAGCGTGAAAAGTTGATAAGCCTTTCTGATTCCGGATCAGCATCCAGCCCTGTTGTAGAATCTCCAATTGTGACACTCTTGTCCGAAGCGCTTGCTGCTGCTGCTGCTCCTCCTTTTTCAAGTGGCTTCTTTTGCTGGCGTTTTACAAACTTAGGTCTCTCGGCATTAAACACCAAGTCCGAAAGGTAGAGTCCAACAAAGGGAATGCATCCAAGCGATGGTCTCACCTGGTTGGTACAGAGCCTGATATTGATGAAATTTTTGAATGGCGAAGTCAATTCTTCGAGGTTCTTCAATGTCAAGAGATCCCCTGGCGGAAGTTTCTTCCATGTCTCCTTCAACTTGCTTATCTTCTCACTTGTCAAAGCCAAGATAATTTGCATTAAGGTGGAGAAATTCTGGAGGATTTGCGAGTGATGAGCCACATGGATGAATCTAGACATGATTGCAATCCGCTCACTCTCGGCCGTCGTAAGCAAGATCTCTGAGATGATCCAGTTCACCATCAAGTTGAACCTGGCAATCACCAAGTTAACTCCCTTATTCTGCGTGTAGTAATTGTCATTGACAATAATCTCTAACCAACTGTTCACAGGCGTGAGCTCCTTGTTCCAATTCAACTCAATTAGTTCCTTCCAGTCGATATCCTGAAGCATATCCTTCTCAATCATTGTGAAATGCTCAGCCAAAGACTTTGAGTCGTAACTCAAGACAAACGACACATGCGACGACTGTTCCATAACCTTGCTGATAGTTAAATGCTCTGATCCCAAGCAGTAACGATCCAACACCGCCTTCGGCGTCAACACAGAGAATGGACTGGTATTCTCGCTGTTTGGTGCACTCATCAAGAATGCATTCATATTAGGCGTCGTCGATGGCATGTTGAGCGCAGATCTAACCCTCGTCTTGATAGGCGTAAGTGGTCTGTCCTTGAATTCCTTCTCAACATCCGAAGAGTAGTCAATGGCATCTTCGGTAACGGCATTATTGATTTCAGCCAAGATATCCTCCGTGTTATTGTTGTAGTCGCTTACATCGCCGGGCGTTTCATCCGCCTCTCGATTGGAGGTTTCCTCTTCATCATCGTACACTTCAATCCGGGTTCCTTCATCTGCCGGTCTGTTACTTTCCATACTGAAATGCTTAGTGGCATCCCTGCTTTGGATAGTGTAACCTGACTTGGATTTGACTAGCTTGACTTTACCCTCCAACTTGGAAAGCGCCCGCTGTATTGGATTGGTGGTAGAACTGAAAGACTCATCGGGAATGGCAGCAAGTTCCTTCAACACATAACTGCTGATACCAGGAATAGCCACCGAGTTTGAAGAAGAACGATCACTCATACTCTTGTGTTCGACCTTCGAGGTGCGGTCAGGTCTATCCTTACCGGTCAGAGAGAACACAGAACTGTCATCAAGACCCGACAGCTTACCTGAATGGCTGTTTCTGTCAAATGGGAAGGCGGAATTATAGCTGTCACGATAGTGGTTAAATGGCAATTCAGTCAAGGCACAGAGAGTGCTGAATCTGACGCTCTTTCTAATAGACGAACCCGATGAGAAGCGACTAGATCTTGTCGTACGTGTGTTCCAAGGCAGGGCGGCAGAAAGATGCTGCTCACCAAATTCCATGGCATCCTCATCTTGATGATCGATATTATCCTGATGAGCAAACTTCCTCAAGTCCTGGATCGCATGTTTCTTCTTCAAGTTACCTCCAAGTGAAGGCTTTGCTTCAGTAGCCGCAATGGAAAAGGCTGAGTCGTAGCTTAGATAAGACTTTATTGAATCTCTCTTCAACATTGAACCACTAGAGTTCCTCAGGATCATTGATAAACGCTTGTTGATTGAAACACTCAGGGAATCACATCTATTAACGCGTTGCATGGTAACTTGTCTCTTCATGGATTGAGGACTCATAGCAACATTCAAGTCAACTACCTCTTCTTTATAGTTTGCGATATCACTTGGAGTAGAAATGGAAGAGTGTGACTTAGAATTGCTCTCCACATCGCTTCCAACGTCGAAATATTGAGTACCCGACTTTATCATACGCTCTGCTCTAAGTGCATCCTCTTTGAATACCTCATCGTTTGTAAGGGACTCGTCAAGTTGTTCCGAATGCTCCAAGTTAAGGTTTCCTTCATCATTCCAATTGAGGCTTGCAACCCTACCAAAAGATGAGCTTCCAGACACGTTCTGATTGGCCATTGCGTAGAATGAATGGGTTCTCGACCTTTCATTATTCTGCTCTGACAACTTATCGCCATGACTTATGCTGCTTTTGAAGAAGTTATCGATCCTGTCGATACTCAAGTCAGGCAAGTCTTGCATTGACATACCATCGTTCGTTGCCTCATCCTGGACGTCGGGTTTGGTAGGCGACCTATTACTCTTATCGTCTTCTAGGTTGACATTGACGTCAACGAACGACTCCTTATCGGGGCTTTCGAACTTTATCTCTGATCGACTAATATCATCTTTATCCTCCGTCTCGGTTATAGCATCACGCTGCTCTCCAATATAATAGTGTATAAGATACTCAAGTTCGTCGACAATTCTTGCACTGAGAATATCCACACGGTTTCCAACCTGCAAAGGCTCGGGTGCTGTTTGGACACTGCTCTTGAATGTTGAAGTGCTCGATAGTTTAGGGCTCAAGAAAGGTGATTCGTTCTTTCCATCATTAAAGGACTTCTTCCATCCATCCACAATCTTTTTGATTGACGTTTTTCTATCCATTTCCGAGTTTGAAGAAGCATCCAGAAAAGCATTAGGTTTCCTCCGAGAGTCTGATCGAGTCATTGTATCCTTCAATGTCACATCCATTTTCTTCACAGGAGTGGAAGGAAGAATATTGGCAACTCTAGAAGAAGGGAGCTTCACGTGGCCATTCGTAGAAAAGCCGGAAGATGTGAAGGGAGTCTGATGCGTTTCTGAGTCATTTGAAGGATTGGAAGTTTTCTTCAATGCCAAGGAGGAGTCCTTTAAACTCTTATAATTATGCTTAGGATTATTCTGATGCTGGAGAGGGGCCAAAGGCTTACGAACAGCTTTACGGCAGTTCCTGCCTTGGAATTCGGAGAGCTTATCGTTCAACGATGATCTCGACGATTTATGCTGGGACAAAAGGTTATTAATGGAAAGTTGAGGATTCTCGTCATTAGTTGTGGAGTCGTCATGGATTAGACATTTATAATGGGCACGTTGGTCATAAAGTGAAAGCATGGCTGAACGTCTAAACGAAGGGTTGGTACGGATAGACGTTTGCGTACTCAGCTTGGGCAACTTCCTGAAGTTAGCCAAATCTGATAACATGGGGAGCGATACGGAAAAGATATTTTGGTCAGAAACTCCTGCGTTGTAGAATTCAGACACCTGGGAGAGCCAATGGGTCTTCAAGTCGGTGATAATTTTGCGTTCAAAGACCATATTGTCACGAACAAACGACGACTCGTTTGTTATTTGGTTCATGAAAAAGACAAACGTATCGCCGAGCTTCAGGTCCGAATCAAAATCGTCAACAAAGTAGTTCAACACCCAATGTCTCAACACCACAAATGTCCGTAGCAACACAAGTTGGCCAATGTGTTGTGTATCCTCCGTCTTGGAGTTGATGTATTGAAGAGCCCATATAAGTCTGGTAAGCAAAAGATTAAGCACGGTATTGCTATCTGAAAACGTCCTATACGTCAAGAAGAAATCACAAATGAGGTTGTAATCAATAACTTCAGGAGAAGTAAGCTGAACGATCAATGCTTTCAAAGTGGCGTGGTTAATGAAGTCGTCGTTATTGGCGTCAAACTTCACCACGGACTCATGGTCCTTCTTCAAACCAGGGAAGTAACGGTAATCGTCGAATATGCTTTCATTGTGGTTGTTGTAGGCGAAAAGGTCAGACCTCAGGGGTTCCAGCAGCATGTTGGTGGACTCGTCCAAGTTAAAGCCTAGATCACCAAAGTCCCATTCAAGGAGAGCTTCACCCATGGCAAAAAGTAGTTGATGACTGGGGTTCCCAGGGATAGCAAAAGGATAGAAGGGGAAAAAATAGAGTTTTGCCTCACAAATGCTAATGTTTTTTTGCAAGCAATTGTAGCTGTGTTGTTTATGTTTACGCACAGACGGCTTTTTTTTTCTATATCGCAGGCTTTGTTTTGCAATTCGCCAGTGTGTTTATACTTCACTGCAGAAAGCACTCGATCTCGCAGTGGTGGGGCGCGCTTTTTTTCGCCCTGGCCCTCCATGAAAAGCCCACCCTACACTGGGCACAATAACCGACCAAAGGCTTGCGGAATTGGCCCACCGCGCCAGAGCCCACAAAGGAGAACAAGGAGGGAGGGTCCAACAAAGGCATAATTGATGATTATTTTTTTAAAGATAAGGCTTTTCTTCGGGGTCTCTTCACGACACTTTTAAATTTAGGTTTTCGTGGTAACCTTATTGCGTTGTTGTGGTGGGGCCAATTGCTGTGTCCCAGTGAGTGTCCCATTTGGGTTGCAAGGTAGCCGCCTGGAATGTGCGGCCACCCTTAAGAGTCCAGAGCATATCCGCGGGTTGGTCTGAGGCATAGGCAAATATGGCTTAGACGAGATTCTTCCGTTGTCATTGTCCTTCGCTAGACGATCTTCAATTTTCCATCTTGGATGTTAGATTATGGGATGGCACTGAGATCGATCGGGCACAAAGGTAAAACGTAGGAAAGCGCTACCTGACGGCATCTCATCACTCGGGAAGCTTCTTCGTCATTTCCAGCCATTTTCGTTTAATGCGTCCGATTTTGAGCAGAATTGCTAGAAGTGTCGTCAAGGTACCGCCTCTCGTCTTCAACCGTCTAGGCATAGCCGCTTATGGCTCCTTCCAAATTCCAACTTATCTCTGAAGATTCTGCTGAATGGCTGATTTCAATGCATCAAATGGAGACGCCTTGAACTGCTTATCCGTAAGAACCTTGTTAAATTGCTTGTTCTCTCTCTCCAACAACTTTGCATGTCCACCCTGCTTCTGTGGGTTGGGCTTGTTGGTATCCTTCTTCTTGGCCTGGATGAAACCTTGGCTCTCCTTAACATCTACAAGGTTGAGTGTCTCTGTTGGAAGACTCAGAAGCAAATCATCCATCTTTGGCTTGAGGTTCTCCTTAGCCTTTCTCTTTCTTCTCCGGGTAGAAGACTTAGAGATACCACCAGAAAGGTTGAATGAAACCTTGGATAAAATCTTTTCATTGAAGTCACTAGACTTGGTCTTTTGTTTCTCCTTCTTTGTAGTCTGCAGCAATCTAAGAAGGGGGTTCTCGTGATGATCCTCCCTAGGTTCCTGTTCCAGCTTGAACTCTGCGATCTTACTAGCGATCGAGGCCTTCTTTGCTGATTTGGATCTAAGTCCGCTCTTCTTCTTTATAGACTGAAAATGTTAGCAAATGATCATATGTGGCTTGGAAATCGGGTTACATACCATTCTTACCGATGAGTAGTAATAGGTCTGCTCATCTTCTATATCTTGCATTTGTATGCCGTCTAGATGGACTGGTAAGGGAGATGCCCATCGCCTACGATGATCCAACCAAAGAAACTGTAGAAATATGCTGGTAATAAGATATTGGATCAGTTTGACTTCCTGGGAGAAAAGGTAGCCACCTTTGGTGTTATGTACTTGCTCTTATTGGCAAGTGACAGTCTCATCGTGAGGTCCAACGAGGCTGCAATGGATGTTTAGAGGTCAGTGAAAGAAGAAAAACTCGTTAGTCATACCATTCATTCAGGTATTCAGATACTTGGGGATACGTAGTATATTTAAAAGTAAGACTCTTGTGGTGTTGCACTTGCTTGTTGATTTTGCACCCAATTCACGCCCAATTTGCACCCAATCATAAGACACCTTAGAAGTGATAACTAACACAATGAACCTTTTCTATAGTTTAGTCTAACGCGGTTACCTTAAAGCTTTAATTTGGTTAGTTAGGTTATTATTGTCACTTTTTCATTTTTCACTACGCTTAGGTTGCATTCCGTTGGATGTCTCACATACCTATTTCACAAAATTGATTCCTATAAACAATAATTCAGACCTCTGCATTTTTTTTTTTTTTTTTGCATAACTTTCTCGTCCTCTTTTACAATCATCTACCATTTCTATCTTTTTTCATTTTCTTATCTTTTTTCCATCTGGATACCCTCTTATCAGCTTCCTATAGATATTCGCATTCTTCACTCACAAGACCTCATCTCAAGCAAAATGTAAACCAAAAATCGACAACTTCAAAATAATTACTGATTTTGGAAAACTTCAAACACTAAAGCTGACGAAAACCATTTTTCACCAGAATTTTTTTGATCTCCCTTGCATACCCTCTTAAAACTCCTTCCCTGACTGGATCCATCTTGACTGGTTCTCCTGTACGAACCTTGAGATGAGCGAGAAAACATACATACATCTTGTACCACGTTCCATCGATACCAGTTAACCTGACTTACAAAAGCATCTAAAGCTCATCTGAAACTCGGTATTATACCTGTCATTATAACTTATTACATAAAACTTCAAAATGAGCACGTGGCAAGCTCATAGCGATCACACTGCCACGAGCCCGCGGTCTACGCTTCCTCCAACTAAGCTGCTAGACACCGATGCCACTCCACGAATGTCTCATCTGCCCACGCCACTGGCTGAATTCAAGCTGCTTGTCTCCAACGATCTCCTACGAAAGAATTCAAACATAGTCACGTCCGAAGCTGCGCTTAGTCCTTCTATCGAGCAGCTGGATGCTGAGACCCTGAAGATATCTGCTTACGCCAGACTTGATTTCGAGAATTATACGTTTTTTGTCCAGACGCTTCAGGTGGTGCTAGGGAGAAAAGCCGTCGAGGATGCAACTCCATCTCATCATGCTGTGGATGTGCATTTGTCATCGAAGAAAGCAATTTCCAGGCGGCACGCTAAGATCTTTTACAATTTCGGTACGCAGAGGTTTGAAATTTCGATTTTGGGCCGTAATGGTGCCTTCGTTGATGATCAGTTCGTGGAAACAGGCATCACTGTGCCTTTAGTTGACAACACAAAAATACAAATTGGTGATATTCCGTTCACGTTTGTCCTTCCATCGCTCGAACCACTTGAGACTGGAGAAAAGAAATCCACGCCTGCGAAGCCTTTCAACCCAAGTGATGCCATTAATCTACGGTCTAATTTGTACCTGAACCCAGCATCGCCAAATAGGAAGAAGTCGCTCACCGAGGAGCAGAAGAAGGCCCGCAGAGACCTGAGAGCAGACATCGTAAGACGACTTTCTACCGCTAGACGTAAGTCGCTCGCATCATCCACTAATGACGAAATCAGTGCTCTCCTTAAAGAGCTCGAAGATATAGGCGATGAAGATGAGAATGATAGTCTCGATAAGGAAGTCAACGAGCTCCTCCGGCAGGGCAACCTTGACAAAGAAGAAGACGAAATTGACGAGTTGGTCAAACAGCACAATTTGCTGCAAGGTATTGGCATCGATGATAAAGATAAGAAGGATGTTGATGTCGATATGAGTGTCCTAGATCAGGAGATCGCATCGTTGGCTCCACTTATAGACGGTCAACAATCCGACAAGGATGTAAATGCCTTTGATGGCAAACCTGGTGTTTACGGCAGGCACGGAACAACACTTCACACAGCAGACACAGCAGACCACAGAAATGGTCCTCTCATGGGTCGTGCTGTTGGTCCACGTATGGGCAAACCTGCTCAGATTCAACCTCCTGCTAACAGAGCATATGGAAGACAGCCCGTGGGACCTATGTATGGATACACAGCAACAGGTACTTATCCAACAGGGTATAATCCTCCATATGGTGCCACAACTGGCTATGCTCCTGGGGCAAGGAATTCCATGTATCATCCTATGATGATGCCTACCCGTCCACCACCACCAAAGTTAGAGGTTGAAGTCCAGGAGATTACTACAGTTCCAGTCAAACCACTGGTGGTTCCATTCAAGGCAATTTCCATGGGAGTGGGCAACATACAACGTCCACCAATTTGTGTGTTTAAGACTCTTGATCCGCCGCTGAACAAACCGAAAATTCCTCTTAGGCGTAAGGACGCTCCAAGCATCAAGAAACCAAAGTCCCAGGGTAACAAGGATGTTCCTGAACAGTATAAGTCGAAGCCAACCGTCAGTGTCACTGCAATGATATCAAGCGTTCTTAGGGGTCCAAATCCACGGAAATCAGGTTTCACTGCAAACGAAATTTGCGAGGGTATCAAAGAGTTCTATCCTTACTATCAGTATTGTCCTGATGGATGGCAGTCAATGGTGACCCATAATTTAAAGACACATAAGATGTTCAAGCGTGAGTTTAAAGCTGGTCTCGAATCCGAACATTTGTGGATAATAGACGAGGAGTTCTTGGCTGAAAAGGAGAGAGTACGGAAGAAGCAGCAAGAAGTTGCCATGGCAAAGGCTAAAGAAGCAGCATTGAAGGCAGTGGAGCTCCGTCTGAAACAGCTGACTCCTCAGTATGGATCAGTGGGCAGGCCTTTTATGACGCCCTACGCTTCTTCTTTCGGCCAACCCCGGTATCCTACTTCTCGTGATCTGTCACCAAATGGAGTTGCTGGACAGAAACCGAAGTCTATTGCGGAACTTGCTAGTGAAATAAAGAGGGACTCGCCTGGTGCATTGACCCAGCCATCTTATTTGCAACGTCTGAGCCTTTCGCCTCCACTGGCCGGAGGTACAGAGCAGGGCAATAACATCAAAAACCAGCTCGCAGCTAACAGGTCTAATAGTTCTTCAAATGTTTCTAATGCGGATGTTAAAACTGAAAGAGGATCTCCCACACCTCAACCAGTGGCTGCTGCCGCCGCTGCAGTGTCCGCTACGACCACATCAGGTCCTGTTTCGAAGCTGTTGCCAATGAACGCTGACACTAAAAAATCGCTTGCATATCTTCAGAAGGAGCTTTTCACGTTGTACAAAGCAAGAAAACTTTCCTACAATACAGCCACCACTACCAACATTATCACCAAGGCATTGGCTACCACAATCGCACAGGTGAACACCATTGGAGCAAAGGCTGGATGTGGTGATAATGCATTGAGCTTTTTGGTGGAGAAGGCTCCTCAACAAGTGAGCAAGATTTTGGATATTGCATTGACTAAATCAATCAAAGAACTCGAAGGTAAACTGTCCAATCCTGCCAGCAAGGAGTCTACACCGGTTCCAGCTACAGCATCGCCTACTCCTCTGGCTGCTGGTGCCTCACAGAAAAGTTCAATCAATGTTGAAGCTAGCAACGACAAACCGGCCTCCAGACCAAATACTCCAAGTTCGCCTGCCGGAGGCACCCCTAAACCAAGCTATTCAGGTGGGTTGAGCCGGCCACACTTCAGTGGAATGGCAAGACAGCAGAATCTCAGTAAGCCTGGTGCGTTGCTGAAGGGTCCTCTGTTCTTGTCTAACAAGCCAAGACAAGAGAAGAGACCTGCCGAGGAGACTGGCGAGGACCCTCTGAAGTCGATCAAATTAGAATAGATATTTTGCAGCCATCGCAAAAGAGGCGAATTTGAAGCAAAATGGTATTATAGATAACACCAGGGAGACATTCTCATTGTAAAATAAAGGTTATTAATTAAAATAAAATAGAAAATTATTCTAGTCTCTGATTTTTGGTACTTCTATAGCTTATCAGGTTGTATCGGTATAGCTGACCTGCAGAGAAGCATCCAGACCTCACCTCAATAAAGTGGCAACAACTTCAATAAGACCCCAGATCTACTCACATTTATCACATACACCCCTTCTCATATCCACCTGAAGGTCTCAAAGAAAGCATGAACTCAATCGCAAAGCAGTTCACGAATGCTAACGCCAATGCGCTCCACAATGAGTGTCATGGTGCCACTGATGGTTTGGCCAAACAGGAACAGTTCAACTTAGCCCCAGAGATGCAATTGCCTCCAATTACAAAGCCAACAGAGTTTTTAAGAGCACACACTGACGATGCTTCTAATCCAGACTGTAAAATAAAAATCGCACACGGTACCACCACGTTGGCGTTCAGATTCCAGGGCGGTATTGTTGTTGCAGTTGATTCCAGAGCTACTGCTGGTAACTGGGTTGCCTCGCAGACAGTGAACAAGGTTATCAGAATTAACCCATTTTTGTTGGGTACAATGGCCGGTGGTGCTGCCGACTGTCAATACTGGGAGACCTGGTTGGGTACGCAATGTAGACTACATGAATTGCGTGAAAAGGAACGTATATCCGTTGCCGCTGCTTCCAAGATCTTGGGTAACTTGGTTTACCAGTATAAGGGCATGGGATTGTCCATGGGTACGATGGTTTGTGGTTACACGAAGAAGGAGGGTCCTACGATCTTCTACGTCGACTCTGATGGTACCAGATTGAAGGGAGACTTGTTCTGTGTCGGATCCGGTCAAACTTTCGCCTACGGTGTGTTAGACTCCGAGTATAAGTGGGACTTGAGTGTCGAGGATGCATTGTACTTGGGTAAGAGAAGTATTTTGGCTGCTACTCACAGAGATGCTTACTCTGGTGGTTCGATCAACTTGTACCACGTTACCGAAGCCGGATGGGTCTACCACGGTAACCACAATGTTGGTGATATCTTTTATGACATCAAGGAGAAGGAGAAGTCGTTCAACAACGTCGACGGATAAATCTAGAGTTTGCACGCCTCTCCTTGAATTCCAGAGGGAGAGACTTGGAGAGCTTAAGGAGCTAGTTTCCTAAGTCGATGCACGAGTAGATGCAATAGCCCGCCTGAGGCCAAGACACGAAGTACACAACGAAATATAATATAAAACAGCATAAATGTCGTTCTGTTTACTCTAATACAAAGTCAATGACCTCAAGTGATGGTAATCATTATCAAAAATTGACTCATAGATAGAGAAAGCTTTTCCAGCTTATCTACGTAAAGAACGTCACAGTGCTTCTCTTGATATATGCTTACTGTCAACCGTCCATAGTGATATTAGGGCTCGCACCCTAGAGTTTCAGTTTCCACGTGACCCTATCAACGCTGACGTGCACATCTCAATTCGCACCTTCGGTCTGGTGCCTGGTCTGAAAATTTTAGTAGGAGAAAAAAAAGCTCAACTCCAGAACTACAAACTACAGCTAAAATGGTATGTGAAAAGGCCATCAAAGTCGACGTTGTCCAGTGAAAGAGTACATCATGGCGATCCATTCATGTCAATTTAAATACCCAAATTCCTTTTTCATCTGAACAACCAGACTTCCATCGTCGATCAAATGAATACTAACAATCAGTCTGCTCAGAACCCTATGCGTGAGTTGCGTATCGAGAAATTGGTCTTGAACATCTGTGTCGGTGAGTCCGGTGACAGATTGACCAGAGCCTCCAAGGTCTTGGAGCAGTTGTCCGGTCAGACCCCAGTCCAGTCCAAGGCTAGATACACTGTCAGAACCTTCGGTATCAGAAGAAACGAAAAGATCTCTGTCCACGTTACCGTCAGAGGTCCAAAGGCTGAGGAGATCTTGGAGAGAGGTTTGAGAGTCAAGGAGTTCCAGTTGAAGAAGAGAAACTTCTCTGCCACCGGTAACTTCGGTTTCGGTATCGATGAGCACATTGACTTGGGTATCAAGTACGACCCAGGTATCGGTATTTACGGTATGGACTTCTACGTTGTCATGGGTAGACACGGTGCCAGAGTTGCCAGAAGAAAGAGATGCAGAGCTGCCATTGGTAACTCCCACAAGACCAACCAGGAGGAGTCCATCGTTTGGTTCAAGCAGAAGTACGACGCTGACGTTTTGGAGAAATAAGCGCTTCAAGCTTCATGTATAAAATATTATAATCGGCGAAATCATGTCTTTAAGAGACTTTGTAGATTTTACTAGTGGATGCTCTGATAGGTTTCTACCTAGGGATGTACATCCTAAGGGAAGAAATGAAGATTCAAGAAATGAAGCGATCAAAAGAGCTTTTAAGACTTATATGTTCATTGGTGTCTATGGTGATGGCGTTGCAGCTCATCTCCATGCATTATACCTCATTGCCTAGCATAGATCGATCTGAGATCTGTCAATCGCTTTTATCAATCCTCTCCATTTTTCCAAAAGCTTCTACTAAAATAGTAGACTAAAGAAAGCCCTTTCTTCAATTAAAGAGTTGAGAGTTACATTTGATCACTCTAGTAGCCATACAACTCATTGTGACACGGCTGATGGAACCTACAAAGCCCCAAATGCAAATAATTTCTTACTTTTAAACCAACCTACTACCAAAAACAATCAAATTCAGAAGACAAATGCTTTCTTGACTTCTCCTCTTTACCTCTAGTTGCCATCTCTAGCCTCCCTCTGCTCACTGCCCTAATATAACAGCGATGAGTCAACCCACGAGTTCGAGCAGTACATACATGAAAAAAGCGCCATAAACTACGAGAAAAAGCAAATGAAACAAAATAAAGGTGCCTGGATCCAAGACCATATTGTCTAATGACACTAGCTCGGTGCTGACGGCGATAGCTCGGTGATTCCGTTTACGAGGCCGTATCTGCCTGGGCCCCTCATCTAGAGAAGCCGCGCCGACATAAATATCTAGTGATTTCTAAACCTTAACTAACTACAACTCCAACAGATCCTTGACCCTACAAGCACATATCTTAATTTTCACACATATATTCAAAAAGAGACATACTAAACCGTTCTATTCCGTTTAATCCATTATCGTCATGCTTACACATTTCGATACCATAGACAGCTTGCCTTGTACGTATCCTTGGTCCATCGCCTACTTCATTGATAACATACTAACATTTTCTAGATATCGACTACGGTATTACTCCACAGGAAAGAAGACGAGTGGACGAACTTGTCCAGCAAGAAGTTGCTCAACTAAATACAGATGATATGCATCCGGCCGTGGGTCCCATGCTTCCCCTTTCATCTAACATGGAGAGATTCCGCCGGAGGCCGCAAGCGGCAGAGCCTACTAGCGGGTATGAAAGAGATGATGAGGATAATATTGCTCCCCAACTGTCTTTACCACAAGGTATAGATATGTCAAGATACACAGACTTCCACGATGAGGAGGATAATGATGCCGATAGCGATAATGCCGAGAACATCAACCACGAACGCATGTACACTTCGCTTGCATATTCCATGCTACGGGAAAGAAACGCTTCTCTTGCGCTTCAGAACGATGAGAGCGTCAATAGCATTCGAAACACTCATCTCGATTCGCTACTGAAGACAGAACTGCTGTATCAGAACGAGTTGGAAAGGAAACGTCAGCGAGTTGAAGAAATCAACGAGGCTCGTAAAAAGCGTCAAATCGATTTCCAACCCGTCAACGAGTATCTCGAAGAGAAGTGGCATGATGGAATCAACTCCATGATCGATATGGGTATCCATAAACGCTCTGGCAACTAGCCAGCCACTCCACTCCACGCACCAAATTATTTCATTTTTCATTGCATTTAGCTCATCATGTAATGAGCCCTTGGCCCTTACGCTTGTTAAATACCATGTCTGCCTTGGAACTACCTACATTGGTGATCCTAGGGCATCCTTCCCTGTGCTTTTCCTGAACAACACATTCGTAGCAGTAGTAAGCAGGCGTTCCTGACTCGGCGTCTTCACCTAGATGTGAACTGCAAAGAATACATCTCTTACTCAAGTGGCCCGAATGACATCCATCGCAGATTCTAACCTTGGCTTGGGGCTTCACCATCGAGTCGCAGATAGGGCATCTTCCATCACACAGTAGACATAGAAGACCAATATGCGTCCCTGGTTGCTTCATGCATTGCACGAGATCAAACTGGTGGCGGGACATGGTTGTTGAAGGAAGAAGAGTAAGTTTGGTTCAGTTCGTTTGACCTCACGTGCGCGATGGGCCAGTTTCTGGGGTATACATCAAAGAGCAGCAAAGTGGGTCAGGTAACCAAAGCTTGATAATCACTTTTCCACTTGTAATCACTTCGTATAAGCCTTATTATGATCTTCGGAGAACCTCATCTTCGGGCCAGTGAGAAATGGTTGCAAAATCACTGCAGCTGCCTATCCCTATGCCCAGCAGGTCCCACCAAACAAGACCATAAAAATTAAAATATTTATTCTTCTTCTATAAATTCCCAACCTCTTATTTCCAATTTTTCACTGTCCCTACCTTTAAGTGCTGTCTTGTGCATCACTTTCAATGTACGGCCCCGTGGTAGCCACTGGCTGCGATACGAAGCTCCATACTACTGATTACTGCACTCATCACCAGGAGACAGTCGCCACTACATCCTGTTTTATCCACATATACTTGACCATTTTGAAGTTTTGCCGTCATGGCTCCCGATGTCGAATGCCCCATTTGTCTTGAGGGGATCAAATCTTCAGACATCATAGGCATCGTTTACCCTTGCTCCCATCACTACCATGAACAGTGTCTCCTACAATGGAGCACCCAGTCCAACTCGTGTCCTACGTGTCGAAAACCGTTCCACAAGGTGAACATAGCAGTGAAAAGTAACCCACAGGTGGTATTGCGGTCCTATAATGTTCAAGATAAGCTTATGCCCAATGAAGCTATTAACAATATCCCTCCTGAGTTTGTGATTCCACCTAGTGTGGTGCCCCAGCGAGAGAGGGTCGAGCAAGAGAGAGATATTCAGCCTGGTGGAGTTTGCCAGGTATGCTCTAGCGCTAGCTATGCGCTTCGACAGCGTGCTATGGTGAGCTGTGTGGCGTGTAATGCTTCATTCCACGTATCGTGTCTCGGTGCTGCTTCCCATGAACCTGGATCTTCTGAGTGGTTTTGCCCCGTATGTGATTGCTTCCAGGAGTTATATACTTCTGGTCTGAGCCGATCTAGAACCAGACGGCCAGCTCGTGCGGTAGTGGGTTCGAGAAACAGTTCGCTTATCACGACAGATAGTGATTTAGCTGAAGCTGTCTTTGAAGATAGCCTTGATTCACTAGAAGCAGTAGCCCCTCCTTTGGAGCGCCGTTCCAGGTCCAATGTACTTAATGGGGGCGTTCTACTACGGAGAGAAGAAAGAGCTTTACGAAACCTTACACCTGAAGAAGCTCATCTGTGGGATATGTTCGAGCAGGCTCGTACTGGCAATCTGGATCTTGCACCTACCACTACTGTTGAAGAGAAACCCAGAAGAAAAAGAAGAAGGCGAACCACCGAGGCTGTTCCTCTAGAGTCTCTGTCGTCACAGGCTGCAAGCGGTCAAGGGACCTCAGAGAGTGGTTCGTCTCGCATTGGCTCACTAATGAATCAAATCAAACTGAGACCACAGAGGGGTGGAACCGTACCAGAGGAACGCTCTTCAACTTCTTTACCCTTACCACTGGTGGCGCCGCCGATTACTCGTTTATCTCCTATGATCAGCCCAGTGACGAGCGACAGTGAATCCGAATCTCGAAGACCACTCTTCGATCGTACTGGAAGAGAATTGACTCTAGAACAAAAACGAATGGTCCAAAAGTATGTGCGTGATAATCTTCGACCATTGTATACCCCGAACGAGACCTCTAGAAGAGGTACAATTACCACAGAGGAAGAATACATCCGCATAAACAAGAGCATATCTCGCAAGATCTACTCGGCCATTTTATCACTGGAAGAAGAGGAAGGTCCCCTGATCTATGAAGACTACTTTGGTAGCCATAGCTCGAAACTTAGAGACCTCGTTGATTGTTGCGTGCAACGTGAATTAGCAGGAGTAAGATATGGATGATGTGATAACGTTAATGAATTAATGAAACCTTTTTTTAATTAATTGTAGTCTACCTTCTTCTAGGGCCCTTTGGTCTGGAGAACCTCAAATTGTTGGCACTTTGTTGTGTTCCTTTGGAACCTTCTTTTTCTAACTTGGAGATATCGATCTCATCCAAGTCTCCAACCTCTAGCACCACGTCAAGCTGATTGGCTTCAAAATGGTCAGCTTTAAGGTGTGAGAGGAATCCTTGCTTGTTAGCAGCGTATAACATTCTATCCTTAACCTTCGAACCGGATGGACACAGGTAGATGAAAGCAACCTTCTTATCATCGTACCCAAACAAAGCGTACACTGGGGAAGCATCAGAACCACCAACAGCCAGCTCTAAGCTACTTATAAGATTCTCAGTAGAGATATCTTGAGAAGCCTTAACCAAGTCGAGAGTTTCAACCTCTTTATCAATTCTGATAACCACCAATTTACCTGTCAAGTCACCCAGAAGCTCCTTTTCAAGATCATCATTGACCTTGAAAAGCAAATTCGAGCCAGAGGTCGATGACAGTTTATCGGAATGCATCGAAGGCAATTCCCTCTTGAAAGACTGCCCACTGGACTGTCCCAAGTTAAGGTTCTGGACGGAGTTGATCTGAGCAAGGATCTTTTCATCAGATGTCAAAAGAGCATCGTTATCCCTCAGAGTCAAATGCTCATAGTGTGAAAGAGACAACTCGTCGAGTTCAGTAAGGGCCAAGATGTTCTTAGCGCCGAAGTTGCTGGAGCCCAACTGCTGAAGCACAGTGTTCTTAGTAGAAGCGAACAACATCTTCTGTCTGATTGGAGCCGAGTCTGGAATAAAACTTATAAAGATAAAGTCACCTTCGTCTTTGTGAACAACAGCATAGCCTGGAGTTGGGTACCTTTCCTCAAAGTACTCATTCAAGCTCTTGAACAACAGCTCAAGGTCAGCCGAGGAAGGCAGCGAGAAGGAAGAGTCTGGGACCAATTGAGTAGAGTCATCGTTCAACGTGATGACAAGAGCCCCCTTCAGTAATGACTTGAAGTCATCGAGAAGTTCTGTCGATGCAGTAATGCCAGATTGGGTGGCCATGTTTAATGTGCTTCTAGATTAAGTATGTATGGAGTGATTTGGCGATAACGTTACGTGTGCGACTATCGGAGGGTGCACCATACTAGAAGTAGAGAAGGTGAAAAGTACGACAATAAAGCTTTGGTTATATGGTGAGAATATGATTTTGTATTTGAAGTAGTTAGTGGTTATTAAGATTTCATTGAGAGCAATTTTCATTGGGTTTGATTGAAATGGTACACTCTCCAGCTCCACTCCCGCCCAAAGGTACTATCAGCACCATAGCACTTCAAACCAATCCTTGACTAAATAGGACATAAAAGTAAACTACATCCTAACTTAACTCTTTGATTTAAAACCACTTTCAGAGAGTTTGGATGAGCCATCAATTTCATGCCCCCTGGTCTACTGCCTTCCTAGGTGGGCTTTTCGCAGCCATTCATTATCCAGTCAACTGCCACTCCAGACGACCCAAAACATATAATTATTTAACAACTAGTCAAAAATCTGTAGCATAAATCCGAATACCATTATCTCCCTATACTATTCCTACCTTTACTTCTGGCCTCTCCTTGGCTCTTCCCAGACCAATTGGTACCTTCTCGGGTACATACATTTCTCATGCCGGAAGATGTAAACACTGATCCATACCATGGGCCTTTTCAGCTTCAGTGGGCCTAAACAGGGCGCCAAGGTCCCCACCTTCGAATTGGCTCCTCAACCAGACTCCACGGACTTGCAGATTCGTTCACTACTTTATTTATTCAAGAGACTTCGAATCAACAAGCTAGCGCCTTTCCTTAATAGTGACGGTTCCTTGAGGTATACAGACGTTTCTGCTCCTGTGGAAGATCCATCCGTGTCTGCTAAACTAGACGGCTTGTACAACTTGCTGAAGTTTTCCCAGTTGCTTGTTTCGGATTACCAGCGAGTTCTCATTGATTATCCCAAGAATAAGTTTAGAGCATATTGCATACTTTCAGAACTACCCAGTGCCAACTTCTCGAGACCGCTGTCGCCAGTGAAGTCAACACGGTCAGAAAATGGATCTGCTGATTTCGAGGACGGCTTCCCTGTGTTCTTCGATGCAAAGGGCAAAAGAGCTCTGAACTTTGCATTCTCGCTTCTTCCCTCTGGTCGACAAGTTAGCATTAGAGAGTTGGCTGCCTCCCTCGCCAATTCGCTCATATACGTGGAACATCATTCGTATGTTCCCTTTTCGGCACGACTCTCTGCTGCCAGAAGCTCCATCCAAAAGATTTCTACTTTGGATCTTACAGACGACTCGGTGTGTCGATTAACCGAGGAATTCAAGCATGCCATTGTCTTTGAGTACTTGAAAGAATTGGCTTTCTTGGTGCAGTTACTACGGATCTACGACGAGTATATGAAAAAGACATCTTCGCCATCAATCCAAATGTCTGAAACACCGTCTTCACTGCCGCTGACGTCTCCTGTTAAAAGAGCCCCTCCAGCATTATCACCTAAAAAATCTACTGCAAATCTAAAGGGAGAGCGCACGCTTAAACCTCGCCCTTCTATTTCCAACTTTAGATCCAATGAAATTTATAGTCCAGTGACATCTCCCACCAAAAAGAAGTCTATGAAGGCTTCATCCTCGACTGGTTACGGGGACGTTTATGGCAGGGAGATTGTCCAGGACTTGTGGGACAAGTGCAAGACTTCGATCCGGGCCAAGCTTCAACACGAGAAATCTCGTATTGAACAATCCGGACAGAAGGACATTTAGAGACACTCAATGACATTTGAATGTTATTTTTTACCCTAACCACTTTTTTTCCCGGTGTTTCTGGTCGTTGGTCCAATTGCAGAAGTGGTAGGTGGTGCACACAAGGTTTTAGTGCTGCTGCAATAATATCATCACTTTGCAACTTCACCTCCACCTTCACTGACCATGATCCGTCTGCCTCGTTTCTCATTGCGTTGCTTCTCTAGCAGTCGCCTTTCTCAGAATCTATTTGGTGGTGGCAAGTCCGCACGAGGAATGCCACAGATGGCTCCTTCTGGAAAGTCAGAAACCACAAGCAATCCGGTTGATCTCTTCAAGAAGAACGATATACTCATGTTTTCACAGAAGCCCATCAACTACATCGAGTCTGTCAAGAAGGATGGGTATCATCTTGCAAACAGTGTGTTGATTACATCTCCAAACAAACAAGGCCAAGAGGTTGGAACGCTTCTTCTAGATACCGAGAGTTTCGAGGTTGATCTCTCTAGCGGCGGCTACAAGCTTATAAATGGATTCATTGTGCATTTCGACGAGAAGTCACTTCTACTGATCTTCGAAAAAGTCCACCCAAAACCCGAGATTGTGGTTTTTGGACTCGGCAAGAAGTCGAGGGTTCTTTCAGAAGAGAATAAACGTTTCATGAGTAATCAGGGTATTCAGTTGGAAATCGGTGATTCCAAGAATGCTGCAAAGATCTACGACTTGTTGGCAACTGAGAGACCTGGTGTGATCGGTGCCCTTCTCCTACCACCTAATGTTTAGTTATAATGAAGCATATGTGCATAAATTAAATCAATATAATATTTACCATTACTTTCCCATTATCGTCTGTTGTTTATACCGTCTTTAACAGTCCTTCATTGGACTTCCAATCGGAGATCACTTGTGGCCATGACCGGGCTCATTCGGTTGCATCGCTTGTTCATACTGGTGAAGATGCTGATATAGAAGGGCCATAGGCTCTCTATTACTAGGAGAATCTTCAGCCATGAAGGCGTTGTTGTTGATGCTCGAATGCTGTGGAGTGCTCATCATCATGTTCATGCCCATTTGTGGTGGATGCGATTGGTCTGGGTTTCTCAAAGCCTGTTGAGCAGCGTGTTGAAGAGTCAAGTGTTTCGGTGGAGGCATCCCTTCTTGGTGATGCTCTTCCATCTGTCGAACTTGAACTTGGTGAAAGGACGATGTCATTTGGTTGATCGCCTGAGGAGATGCTTTATCAAACGAATTATCTAAAAGATACTTCCTGTTAGGCGTCGAAGCCATACCCGCGTTATTGAGCTCGAACGAGGTGTGCTCTGTTGCAGAAAAGTTGAGGTTAGCCCCCGTAGTGTTTTGTGAGGAGTTCACTCCTAACATGCTAAATTCTCTTGAAGAGTTCATGGTTGAGTTGTAGTCTTGGGATGCAGAGAGCGAAGACGACGTGTGCTGAAACGCAAAGGTCGGCGGAGGCTGCTGTTGTAGGTTCTGTTGATGCAAATGCGGCAGATCCTGCTTGAGCTGTTGGTGATGCTGATGTGGTGCCTGCTCCTGTTGATGACGCATGGGCCTTTGGTTTCTTTGACTTGGTCTTTGGGAGTTGTTTCTGTTCTTCATTTGGCTGCTTTTGTCCTGCCCTCTTTTGCTTTTCGAGTCCTTCAACTCTGGCTCCTTCTTCTTCTTACTGTTCATTAGCGTGTGGACATCTGTGAAGACGATCTGGAATTTACTGGTACCATTCAGGTTCTTCTTGTTGTTCTTCTTTGCAGGTTTAGGAGGTTCAGCTGCCATTGGCTTCAACTTTCTCTCGGAGAAAATGCCCATCACAGGCTCTGAATTGATAGCCGTAGTACCTTCGCCTCTCTCCTTGTTTGGCGTAGGGCTTGGAGGTACAATGTTCGCCTTACTACTCAGCTCCTCAGGCAGTTTGTTGACGCTCGACATAATCACCGTTGAAGGCGAAGACATTTGAGTTGGCTTTGCTGGAGTTTGGTAAACATTCTTGTTCTTCTTCGATGCAAGAGGGGTCTGGTTCAATGGAGTTTTGTTCAACAAATTCCCACTGGTTTCCTTCAAAACGTTCTTCTTGGAAGGGGTGACAAAGTTATCCTCATATGGCTTGTCATCCTTGTTTTCATCGTCCTCATTGTCCGTCTCCGAATCATCGTCTACCTGCGAGTCATACTTCTTGAATGGATGTCTTGCTGGAGTGTCAATTTGGCCAATAGAACGTTTGGTGGATGTTGTTGCATCCAAAGTGTGGCTCAAAGACTTTCTTTCCGAGCTCATGGCAAACCTTGAAGGAGTGATTGTCTCTACGGCCTTCAGTGGAGATGGACGTAACGGTGAATCGATGAAAAAGTCAGTAAGATGCATGGACTTATCGTAGAAAGGAGTGAAGTTGACATTACTCGAAGGGTTCCCAGCCGAGTTCTGGTTATTCAAGAAGTTCAAGTTGTGCGTAAGGAAAGGAGTCAAGTTCAATACTGGGAAGTCCATATCGTTTGTTCCTGCTGTAGGCATGCTGCCACTAGCGGTTGTTTGTCTGTAGAAACCCGGAAGAACCTTGGTGTTTGGCGTGGAGTTGTGGGAGATCATTTCGGCCGAAAGCGTTTTCGATACCATAGGAGTCCATCCAGTTGTAGGAGGAGCCGTGGATTGGGCGTTCAGAATGAGTTTCGATGCTGGAGGTAGCGAATCGCCTTTCTTCTTTTCAGATCCCGAACCGCTGGAGCTGGAGCTGGAGGAACCATTATCAGGGTACGAGTAGATCAAAGGGTCGATCACCAGCCGTGAAGGTGAAGACATGGCTGTATGAAAAATCAAATAGAACCACTAGATAAGCGAATGTAAAGAAAAGGAAAAGACTGGTGTTGGCAGTGGACGATTCTGTGGTGTTGTTTGTTTGAGAAAGAGATTGTTATGATTTGAGAAACGGTGCGGGCGGGCCCGCAGGAACGTAGCGTGAATAGGCCAGGGCCCAATGATCAGCGGGTGGGGGGAACAACCAAAAGGGAAGGGTAAATAAAAGGGAGGGTAAAAAAGAAAAAAAAAAATCGTATAAATACAGAAGGGGTTTCCCTTACAATTATTCTTAATCAACCACTTCTTCTTCCTCTTTTTTCCCCTTCGTATCGTTTGTTCTGTCCTTTTAGTGGCTGTTTGGCGCCTGGCGCAGTGAATGTTTTGCCAGGCGCGACCAAGCCAGGACCCATCAAAGAGACACAGAAGGGGACCAGGAGTCACAGAGTGGCCACAAAAGGGTGAAGAAGAAAAGGTCAAGATGAGTTCTAGAGGGATCTTTAAGGGTTGAGAGATGATAAGAGATGTTCTTTTTCTTTTCTTTATTGGTTGTTTACATGGAACGTGGGCTTGTGGCTGGTGATGGAAACATAGGCAGATTGCGAATGGTTGCAAAATGGCTGTTCTGGTAGTAGACCACAGTTGGGCAACGCCACAAACAACAACAAAACAAGTCTTGCCAAATACCGTTCGGCTAGTAGAAGATAGGCTTGTTTGTATTGTTTGGGTCGATCGAAAACGACATTTTGTTCGTCAATATGGGGCTCCGAGTCGCAGATTGTTGCTTCATACCCGCCTAAGCCCTGAACGTGGAATACTTTGAAGACACGCCGAGAGAAGTTTAGTTATGGGTTTGACTCCTTCCTTGTTTTGACTTCCACCGCTCTGGTTGCTCTTTAGCAGGTGAAATTGCTTTTATCGTTTGCTGTCCCAACTGTTATCTTGGTATATGCGTGGTGGATTGCTCGGTTGCGCCGAACTGTTGCGCGGCTGTTCTCGCAGCTTAGCAATGCTCATCTACAAACGAAGCTTGTGGGCTCCAGGGGTACACACTACGCCAAAATTAGATTAGACAATTCTACATTCATTGAACAATGATACACAACATAGTATTAATACAGGCGGGCCAGGGCAAAGGGGAGGTTGCCGGCTCCAGGTCCTGATGTCTTAGCGACGGGCGGGGAGTCAAACACGCACAAGTGTGTCAAACAATTAGGCGTGAGCCTTCTGCTCCTCCTCCCACTCGTTTTCGGTAACCTTCAAGTTCTCGGTCTCCTCAGCCAACTCATCGGCATCGTAGTCCTCCTCCTCCTCGTGGGCAGCGAAAGACAAGGTTGGCTTGACGACAGCAGAGTCGAAAGTCCAGGAAGCCAAAGCGTTCTCAGCGTCAACAATGATCTGCTTAGAAGCCTCGTAGCCATCGTAAGCTGGTCTAGTCTCACCTGGGGTGACTGGAGACTCGTCCAACAATTCCAAAAGAGCCTTACCGTAACCAGCAATCAAGGCAATCTTCTCAGCGTGCTCTCTAGTAGAGTCAAACTGGTAGTTGAAAGCAGTCTTCAACTTCTCTCTGGTGATGTTGGACAACTGGGCCTCAGCAACAAGAGACTCGGCCTCAGCTCTGACCAACTCCTGCTCCAAAACGTTAATCTTTGGAGACTGAGGGTCCTTGTACTTCAAGTAAGCAATGTTGTCAGTGATCTTTTGCTTTCTGTCTCTGGAAGGCTGGACAGAGCCCTCAATGTCTCTGATGGACTTCAAGGTGATTCTGTACTGGTCGTATCTGTCAATGAACTGGTCCTCCAACTCACCAATCTCGTAAATCAAAACACCCAACTTGTCGGTGATGTCAGAGATATCGTCATCGTTAGACTCACCCCAAAGCGACAACTGCTTGGCAGTCTCCTTTCTCTCGTTGGAAGTAATCTCAATGGCTCTCATCAAGTTCTTCTCCATCTTGACCAACTGGGCCAACTTTCTCAGCAACTCTGGGCCCCAGGCACCAGCAGTCTGTCTTCTGAAAGAAGAGGAAAGCGAACCCTTACCAAAGAACTTGGACTTGGTCGACGATGGTGGAGGAGGTGGAGCTTGCAATTGAGCAGCAGTAGGAGCTCTCAGGGATCTCAAGGAGTAGGTTCTGTGCATCGTTAAAGGGGTTTTTTAATTTTGTAGCAAAAGAAAAAAAGGTAGTAGTTGGAAGAAAGGTGTGGTGAGAAAAAGTGTAAATGAGGGAGGAAAAAATGTGATGGTCCGAAATTGTGATATGACCAGGCGGGATACCCAAATGTAGGGGGACAAAAACACGGCAGGCCCAGCACCCAGCCGGATCTGGGAAAACCTTGGGATCTGATTTTTACTGATGAGTGGTTATGAGGGACAACTATCTTCTAATTTCTGGAATTTTTTCACTACGTTTTACCCACTTTTTACCCTTTGGTTCCCTCAAAACCATGCTCTTTTCATGGATTGAGCAAACTTTGGCGCTACGTGAATTGCCAATTTTCCTTGCCATTTCGCCTGATTGCACCCCAGGAACTCCTGCCTGGGGCCGCCTGAGAGGCCCTTGTGCTGGTCCATTGTGCAGGACAGCCAGCCACCTTTGTTGCCTTTGAAACAAACCGACAAGCGGGAGTTTCTAGAAGACGATAAAAATAGGTGGTTTTTTATGGGGCTAGTGATGAAGTAGAGATGTTTTTGCATCGGTTTGGCTTGTTTTTCGTTGGCGCTGCTTTTGTTTGGGGTGTCTTTTTCAAGGCTTCTATCAGCGTGACCGCAGCCGTCAAACGTATCTGGTAATGTTTTCGCCCAAATAGGAAGGTCGCCTGTCATGGAATGTTTCCAGCGTCAAGCAACCAGAGAGTGATTGAGAGCAGGGGTTTGTTTCTGGGCCTGTGATTGGTCAGCCTTGGCTGCAATTTGTACCAGAGCAAAAATAATAGAGTTTTTTTCAGCACCGTTGCCTCGCTTCTTCTTTGCTGCTATCGCTGTTTCCTTGTTCTTCTGTTTCTTCGCTGCGCCAGCAAACTGCAGCAAGCCGCGCCTGTCTTAGAATTGTGGTTGGTGAACCGTGAAGATCCGCAAGGCGTTGGTTATGAAGGTGTTTTTTGCGTGTTTTTATTTATTTTACTTGGTAGGGAACAACGTTGTGGTTTTGTTTTTTTGATTTTTTGGTTTTCTGGAACTTGTACTCAGTGCCGTGACGTCATTGCTTGTGGCGAGTGTGGCTGCGAAAAGCTTCTCTTATGTAGACACTATTGTATGTTGTCCAGGCAACAGTGGTAGAACACAAGTGGGTGCCAGGCGACCAAGAGATGAGAGCTTGGTTTGGGAAGAGGATTGCTAGAGGTGTTTCAAATGCCTTCGCTTTCCACTTTTTCGGAACCAAAGTCTTCTACTGCCATGGGCTTCCGCTGCATGGTTCAATGGACGTTTAAGGTTTAGCGACGTTGGTTAAAGTCTCGTGGTGGGTCAGTGAAAGGTAAAGAAGAATGACCATTGTGATTTATGTGCTGCCACTAATAAAGTTCGGTTTTGATGTTTTTGGTGGGTTAGACGTGGTTGGACCAGGCGGTTCAGAGTCACGGGACGCTTTCCACAGTGAAGGCATCGCTAGCTTTTTTTTCGTTTCTTTTTGTGTAATCCAGGGCTGTCAAAACAAACCCTTAGTGATGAGGTGGAGTCTTTCCAAGCGATATTCACGAAATAAAGCCATCAAAAAGAACACCTATTCTTCTCTTTCCTTCCCTTTTCTCTACAGTAAACATTCCACGCTGTACTTCCCCTAATGTGCGTCTGCTTCGAGCCGCTGTTCTCTGCGTTTCTTATCTGCGCATCATAAGAGTATGATCAGACCATCACCAGACTCCACAGGTATGCATTTATAAGTCATTCTCGAGGAACCTATGGTTTTTCTAATCCACCCTACGTTCATTTCTTCAACACTTCTTATCTACCTGCGTTATCGGGATTTGTGGTCCGCTTGTCTCCTGTCTCTAGATACTAGTCATAATGCAGAATTTTTCACCACCGAGATCGCTCCGACTACTACTCTTCCGTACCCTGGATGTCCTTCTTTCGCCTATACAACAACCTCCTTAAAGTGCACCCCTATAAGACCAACATGGTCTCTACAGGGGTGTTCTTTGGCTTTGGAGACTGTTTGGCACAACTCATGTTTCCTCATCACATAGATGACGACGTGAACAAGGGAACAGAGTTCCACATCGAGAGAACCGTGAGAGCAAGTATCTACGGCTCGCTCATTTTTGCCCCGCTAAGCGTGAAATGGCACCGCATGACGCTTCCATACCTCAGAAGTCCGTTCATGCTGGTGGCTAGAAGAGCCCGTTTGACCCCAACACACGTCGAGGTCCATGATAACTTATTCAGACTCAGTCTAGACGCTCTTCTTATGCCTGGTCTTGTATGGATCCCGTTGTACAACACAGCCATGTCAGCATTAGCGTTGCACGACGACCCTTTCCAGGTCGCCACAGAGAAGCTCCGTAACAACTGGTGGAACGTGCTTCGGGCCAGTTGGATGGTTTGGACGCCATTACAGCTTGTGAATTTGTTTTTCGTGCCTGTCCATCTTCGAATCATTTTGGCTAACGTCTGGTCGATCGGATGGAATTGCTTCTTGAGCTTTGTCCACAACACCAAGGGCCACGGTAAGGGTAGCGGAAAGTTGATCGAGGAAGTATTGGATATTGAGACTGCTGACGAAGAGCAGACTATGGTTTATGCATAAACTAAATGGGATTGGAGTATATTATGGGCAAAAGACGCCCTCAAGGTTCTTTTAGTATGGTCACAACGGGTAGCTAAGGCTCCTGGCGCGTCTCAGAACGAAGAAAGGATTAGACTTTTTAGAAGGCTTCAAAAGAAGCCATTACAGCATCTGTCGAACGGAATAGAACTAATAGAATACGTTTGCAGCCACAACGTCTTGTGCGCCCCCAGTGCAGGTGGTAATGTAGTAACGAGATGGCTCGATCTCATGGGTTCCACTTCCCACCACTCATCCACTTCCCATGTTCTTTCAATTCTACAATCGCATGTTGGCCACAAGGCCTTATGCTACAAATGCCATAACCACTGCTTTCCTCTTTGGTACAGGTGACGTGTTGGCGCAGAACGTTGAATCGTCCAAGAATTTTGACTTTTCCAGAACGGGACGAGCCGTAATCTATGGTGGTGTCGTGTTTGCGCCTTTGGGAGACCAATGGTATAAGTTTCTAGCTCGAGTGGTGGTGGGAAAGACCAATGTGACTCAAACAGCAGCACGAGTGGCCGTGGATCAAGGAGTGTTTGCACCATTCATAGGTATTCCGCTTTACTACCTGGCGATCAGCTTGATGGAAGGTAAGAGCCCGGAGGAGGCCAAACAGAAATTGGAGAACAAATGGTGGCCCACGTTGTACTCTAATTGGACGGTTTGGCCTGTTTTCCAGGCGGTGAACTTTGCATTTGTTCCTGTCAACTACCGGCTCATGGCGGTTAATGTGGTGAGCATAGGCTGGAACTGCTATTTACTGATGAAAAATGCGGCATCTTAAGAGCATACAAAGTTTAAACGATCAAACACTGTCGTTTGGTGCTACAGTAGCCAAGAGGGCTCACCCACGGCCTTGGGAAGCTCATGACCGTTGGACAATGCTAATTAGAACTCTACAATGGGCCATGAAGAATGGGGGCCTCGAGAGAATGGATCTAAGCGGAATGGGACCCAAAAATAAAGTTACATCGAAGTGGGAAACGCCTCTCAAACTCTAAACTGCTGAAGATACCCACTTCTAGTTCTCCCAACACCGTTCTTTTTTTTTTTTTGTCCCATTTTTCACACATACATTACCCCCGCAATTTTCGGCCTCGTTCCCCCAATCTTATCCCTATCCATATTCAGTGGCTTAATAGTAAGCTAGGGGTTCTTTCTCGTTGAGGGTCCTGGCGGCAGTCCCTCGGCACCGTTTCCAAGGGAGTCCTGGCCAAGGCTTATTTTTCTCACTCAGGGACCGCTCAAGCACTCAGGGTTTTCCCCCAGCACTGCCTGTCGCTCGTCACATTTTGTTTGTGTCGCGCCTTGTTGCTGAACCGTCCATCCCGGTAATCCCCATGTCAGGGAACACTTAAAAATAAACAATACAGAAAGCTAGAAAAAAAAAAAAAGAAGGGAAACTCCAGAAAAAGTATAAACTTCGAACCTTCATGGCCTGTTGTGCCTCTCACTTCTGTAGACTTCTTGTTTTCCTTCTTCCTTCACTTTGTGGCCTGTCTCACTCACGTTCCGTTCGCTTGTCAACACTCCCGCAAATTATCTCACTCCAACCTCCAACTTTCTCACCATTTCTCGACTTCCTCCACGCTGGCTGTTCCTTTCTAGTACACACAGAAACGTACATTGCCAGATCCACGCTTTTGCTATCGAAGATTGCTCCAGCTAAATCTGCTGTGTCCAATTAGTTGCCGTTTCCCGTTTCGCCTCGTCCCGTCTCGTCAACCCCGGAAACGCCCCTCCCCAGTGCTCGACTCGGGTCGTTGTTTTTTTTATTTAACTCCACACTTCCCTTCTGAACGTCTTCCTTTGAGCCCATCATGATGAAGGGCTTCAAGAATCGTCTCACGAGGAGCAAGAACCAGTCCTCGTCGAGAAAAACAGATAAGAAGGAAAAGGACAAGGAGACCTCCCTCTCCTCCAAGGACCTCTCCCGCAAGTCACTGCTGTCCTCGCTATCTGCCAGCGCAAATAACCACAAGCCTACGAGCTCTTCGTCTTCCATCAACTCGACTGGCTCTTCTAGCCCCAAGAAAGACGCTCTGCCGGCTCCTGACGCTGGACACCTGCCTCCGCCTCAAGCTACTGCTTCTTCGTCATCCAGGGTGAATCCAACTGCTGTTGAACAGTTTGGCGTTGCTGGTGCTGCTGCTGGTGCTTCTACGGCACTTGGTGGTGCAAACTCTCCTTCTGGAGTCGCCCTGCCGCTGACTCCTCCGCCAGCCACGAATCTGGGTGCTGAGTCTCCTAAGATCGTGATCAACGAGCCTATGCAAACGAGCCTCTCAAATACCACTCCTATAACGCCGACTCCAAGCTCTCCAATAGCTGGCAACTCGTATGGCTCGGCAAGCGGGATCCCTCACGACAACAGGTTGGCAAGTCATTCTCAGCTGTCACATCCAACAGCCTTGAACCCAAACATCTCATCTCCTAACAGGGACTCGTTCGATATAGATCTCATTGTTACTCCAAAGAGACACAGCTCCTCTCGTTTCGAGCCTACAACTAGTGATAACCGCGAGATCGTCAAGCTTCCTAACTTCGACGAGGTTCCTCCAGAGGAGCAAATCTCTTTGTTCATTCAAAAGGTTGACCAGTGCAATATAATCTTTGACTTTGGTGACCCAACCCACGACATCAGAGGCAAGGAAATCAAACGTATCACCTTGCAGGAGTTGATCCAGTTCATTGTCGGTAATCGTTTTAACTACACCGATGAAATGTATAAACATGTTATCGACATGTTCAAGAAGAACTTGTTCAGACCTATCCCTCCTCCTGTCAACCCAGTGGGCGAAATCTATGATCCTGATGAGGATGAGCCTGTGAGTGAATTGGCCTGGCCCCATATGCAACTGGTGTACGAGTTCTTCTTACGCTTTGTCGAAAGTCCTGACTTCCATCATCAGGTTGCCAAGCAATATATTGATCATGACTTCATCTTAAGAATCTTGGAATTGTTTGACAGTGAGGACCCAAGAGAGCGTGACTGCTTGAAAACTACTTTGCACAGAATCTACGGTAAGTTCTTGAGTTTACGTTCTTTCATAAGAAAGTCTATCAACAACGTATTCTTGCAATTTGTTTACGAGACAGAGAGATTCAACGGTATTGGAGAGCTCTTAGAGATCTTGGGTTCTATCATTAACGGTTTCGCTCTACCCTTGAAAGAGGAGCACAAAATTTTCTTGATACGAGTCTTGATGCCACTTCACAAAGTCAAGTCATTATCCTTATACCACCCCCAGTTAGCATACTGCATTGTCCAATTTTTAGAGAAGGATCCTACCCTCACCGAGGATGTGATTATGGGCTTGTTGAAGTTCTGGCCTAAGATCAACTCACCAAAGGAAGTCATGTTCTTGAATGAGATTGAAGACATCTTTGAGGTTATGGAACCTACCGAGTTCACCAAGATACAGATTCCACTTTTTGCACAGTTGCTGAAGTGTATTTCATCCTCCCATTTCCAAGTCAGCGAGAAGGTATTGAGTTTCTGGCAAAACGATTACTTCTTAACTCTTGTTTCAGAGAACGCTGAGGTGGTCCTTCCGATCATTTTCTCCTCATTGTATGAATTGACGAACGCTACCCAGCCGGGCAGTGCTAATGGTCAGCTTCAACAAAAGCTTCTAGAGAATCCAAACTCACTTACGGATGCCAATGGCAACCTTGTTGATACTGGATTGATGCTAAATGAAAACTACGAAAACAATGGCCATGGTCATGGCCCAGGGCATGAAGGAGGAAATATGGAAGAGTCCCAAATGATAAATGATATGACGGATGAAGAATACTACGATTCATTCTCCACCCCACAACAGAATATGGATATGGACGAATACGGAACGATTCCTCCACACAACCTGGCCACGTCGAACTGGAACAAAACTATCCACCTGCTAGTTTTCAGTGCATTGAAGGTGTTCATGGACCACAATCCTATCTTGTACGACCACTGCACCATGTTATACCACCAGTCTCTTGAAGAACTGAGAGCACGCGAGGAGTCAAGGAAAGAGGGATGGAGAAGAATTGAAGAATACGTGAAGATGTGCAAGCAAAGTGACCAGCAGACGGGCCACTCCAAAGACTCGCAGGTGAACGCTCATTGACTAGGTGAGATGACAGCATAATCGTGCAACGCACACTAAACATTGCAAGGCGAACGACGAGGAAAAAAAAAATTGATGTCAGAGTTCCTTTACTTTTTCTTTTTCTTATTTGATGTTGAATTAAGCAAGCAAGAAAAAAAAATACCAAAAGAAAGTATGTTGGCCATAGTTTGTAGAATAAAAGATGATTCTAGCTTAGCTGTCTGTCTGTCGGTCTCTGACTGGCAGGCTGGCAGTCTCGAAAACTATTGAAGACAATACATAGAACCGCTACACTGATCTTCTGCTATACAAAGGACACAAACTAACCAAGCAGAAACCACCACCATAACAAAACTCCCAGTAGGCTGCAAAAACATGGTGTTACCTTGACACTTTAAAGGCATCTTGCATAGTTAGCGCTCCATACAAACTCCATTGTTCCCTAGCTCTTGCGCCCAAGCCAACCTATGTTTCCCCGACAGGAGGCTGAAATTTACAGTTCAGGGATTACATGTCCTTAATGAAGGACATGGACAATTCTCCTTTTCTTTTAAGTACTCTTTCTAGACTCTTCTTCAGTGGTTGAGACATTCTCTTCCACCGCGGTATGAGCGCGGTAACCTCATCGAGTTCCTTTTCTTTTTTTTTTTTTTTTTTTTTTTTTTTTTCAAATACTGCAGTACTACTGCACTACTGCCTCCCTATAAATAAGCAGGCTCATCCTCATCGAATCAATTTTTCTTTTTTTTTTGGCAACGCTCTGCCCATCGATCAACATAATGGTTTTGGATTGCAAAAACGCCACCGCTCATTTGGCTTCTTACTCTAAAAAGGACGGTTTGGACGTCCAGACCTTGATCGACTCCGCCAACTTTGGTGGTTTGACCTACAATGACTTCTTGGTCTTGCCTGGTTTGATCAACTTCCCAGCTTCCGAGGTGAAGTTGGAATCCAAGTTGACCAAGAAGATCACCATGAAGAGCCCATTCTTGTCTTCTCCTATGGACACTGTCACCGAGGAGAACATGGCCATCCACATGGCTCTCTTGGGTGGCATTGGTATCATCCACCACAACTGTTCTGCTGATGAGCAGGCCGAGATGGTGAGAAAGGTTAAGAAGTTCGAGAATGGTTTCATTAACGACCCTATCGTTATTTCCCCAAATGTCACCGTCCGTGATATCAGAAGATTGAAGGAGACCATTGGTTTCTCTTCTTTCCCTGTTACTGGTATGTTTGATTCTTTTTATTCGTGTGTTTCATGATGAACAAAAATACTGTATAACTTTCGTTCTACCGATTTACATCAAACGATGTTGGGGACAACCTTTATCTTTCCCCTGAGAAACACAAGATCATTGAAAAATTTTTGATTACTAACAATTCTAGAAAACGGTAAGCCAGGCGCTAAGCTTTTGGGTATCATCACTTCCCGTGATGTTCAATTCTTGGACGATGACTCCATCAAGGCTGGTGACGTTATGACCAAGGATCTCGTCACTGCTAAGAAGGGTATCACTTTGACCGAGGGTAACAACATCTTGAGAACTTCCAAGAAGGGTAAGTTGCCAATTATCGACTCCGAGGGCAACTTGGTCGCTTTGATCTCTTTGACTGACTTGCAGAAGAACCAGGACTACCCTGATGCTTCTAAGTCTTTCGACTCCAAGCAGTTGTTGTGTGGTGCCGCTATTGGTACCATTCCAGCTGACAGAGAGAGATTGGACAAATTGGTTGACGCTGGTTTGGATGTTGTTGTCTTGGACTCTTCCAACGGTTCTTCCGTTTTCCAGTTGGACATGCTTAAGTGGATTAAGGAGAAGCACTCACACTTGCAGGTTATTGCCGGTAACGTCGTCACCAGAGACCAAGCTGCTTTGTTGATCGAGGCCGGTGCTGACGGTTTGAGAATTGGTATGGGTTCTGGTTCCATCTGTATCACCCAGGAGGTCATGGCTTGTGGTAGACCTCAGGGTACCGCTGTCTACAATGTCTGCGAGTTTGCTCACCAGTTCGGTGTTCCATGTATCGCTGACGGTGGTATCGGTAACATTGGCCACATCACCAAGGCCCTCGCTTTGGGTGCTGACTGTGTTATGATGGGTGGTTTGTTGGCTGGTACTTCTGAGACTCCAGGTGACTACTTCTACCGTGACGGTAAGAGATTGAAGACCTACAGAGGTATGGGCTCTATCGATGCTATGCAGCTGACTGAGACCAACGCCAACGCTTCTACCTCCCGTTACTTCTCTGAGGCCGACAAGGTCTTGGTTGCCCAGGGTGTGTCTGGTTCTGTCGTTGACAAGGGTTCTATCACCAAGTTTATCCCATACTTGTTCAACGGTTTGCAGCACTCCTTGCAGGACATTGGTGTCACTTCTGTCACCGACTTGAAGGAGAGAGTTTACGGTGGTGATGTGAGATTCGAGTTCAGAACTGCTTCTGCCCAGTTGGAAGGTGGTGTTCACGGCTTGCACTCTTACGAGAAAAAGTTGCACAACTAAAGATGAAATAGTGTTTCCATAGCCTAAGTCGTCAAAATCATAGTATTTATATGGACTAATTAAAACGATTCTACGATATAAAACACAGCCAGTAGAGAGGGAGAGCGCGAACTTTAGGGTGAGGTGTTGATACTCCAATGAGTTACTACACTAGGAAAGAACCTACAGCGTCAGGCCAGAATGCTTCGACCAATTTAGACCAGGATTTGCATCTCTCCAGAGACGCAAAGTACAAGAAATCTGAGGCCGAAGTGAAGGAGTGGATCTTCAGTACGCTCAATGTACCGCAGCAGAAGGTGCAAGAGTTTGAACATCATCAACAAGACCTTATAGATATTCTAAAAGACGGAGAGTTCTTGTGTAAGCTTGGAGATTTGGCTCTTCCTGGCGGTCCAACCAAAAAGTATAAAAACCTGAGGATGCCCTTTGTACAAATGGAGAATATTCTGTTTTTCCTTCAAACCTGTGAACACTTGGAAGTACCACACGACGAGATCTTCCAGACAATTGACTTGTTCGAGAGGAGCGACCCATATCAGGTTATTATCACATTAATATCTTTTTCAAGAAGGGCCAATGAAAAGACCGCCAAGATCCCCGTGATGGGGCCTAAGGTGGTGAAGGTGAAACCCCAGGTACCCAAGAAACCTCTTAGCCTAAGAAATTAGTGTGATCGTGAATGACCAATTGTACAACGTCGATCCACTACAAGCCCTGAAACCAAGCGTCTCCAGTTGGTAGATTGTTGGAGACATGTTGGATCGGTGCCCTTGATTTCGCCTACATGTCTCATATACTCGCGAATCAAGAGTCCGTTTACGACGACCTTTAGAGAGATCAGAACAATCTATAACAATATCATTGATGGACTATACCTTCCTGAATTACAATAGAAAAATAATCATGACTACCCCGTTTCCTCGTAGTCTGGAGTTCTGTACCTAACCACTGTTGCATCCTGTTGCAGCCATATTGGAGTCGCATCGCAAGCCCTAGTGTTTAATTCTAACGGACCAACGGAAAACTGTTTATAGTGGTCTGATCGAGAATATTCTTTGTCTCTTGTCTTTTCTATCTGAATTTTCTACTCATTTCATTTTTTACCGTATGTCCACCTTATGGCTCCTTGTCTGGTGATGGGGGGGTTACTAGTATATTGTGCAGGCTCATCTCAGGATCTATCTTTTTTTTTTTTTTTCTTTTGGGCTACCTCTTCGCATTATTTTAACATTATCACCTATTGGTTCCACACCTCATCTCCTCGAAAAAGAACCACTACACTAAACCTGAGGTTTTTAAGAAATCCATAATACGTTTTTCTGGCTGCATTTTACATATACCGCATTTCATTTCACCTATTAGCATCCTATCATGTCGTCAGACGAACTCATCTGGGACGTGATCAATAACCAATTCTGTGCCTTTAAGATCAAAACAGGCAAAGGTCAGGACTTTTGCAGAAACGAATATAATGTCACTGGTTTGTGTGAACGAGCCTCGTGTCCGTTGGCCAACTCCAGATACGCTACAGTCAAGAACGTGGAGGGTAAGTTGTACCTCTACATGAAGACAGCTGAGAGAGCACACATGCCTAAGAACCTTTGGGAAAGAGTCAGATTGCTGAAGAACTTTGCCAAAGCCATGGAACAGATTGACGAGAACCTTCTTTACTGGAACAAGTTTTTGATCAACAAGTGCAAACAGAGGTTGACTAGGTTGACCCAAGTCGCCATGACAGAAAGAAGATTAGCATTGCGTGAAGAGGAGAGACACTATGTCGGTATTAAACCTAAGATTAAGAGAAGAGAGGAGAACAGGGAAAGAAAAGCTTTGGCTGCTGCCAAGATTGAAAAGAGCATCGAGAAGGAGTTATTGGAGAGATTGAAGAGTGGTGCTTATGGAGACAAACCATTGAATGTGGACGAGAAGATCTGGAAGAAGGTGCTCGGGAAAGTCGACGAGGTCGAGGAAGAAGAGGAATTCGACGAAGACGACGATGTTGTGTTGGAGAGTGGAGATGAAGACGATGGTGGAGAGGTTGAATATGTGGAAGACGATGGAGAAGATGAGTTGGTCGACATGGAAGACCTCGAGAGATGGCTCGGCGATGGCTCTGCCAGTGAGTCTGAGGAGGAGGATGACGATGATGATGATGACGAAGAGGAGTCCTCCAAGAAGGACGCCAGCAGTAAGCGTGCTGCTCCTCAAGACAAAGCCTCCAAGAGAAGAAGACCTAAGGTTGAGATCGAATACGAACAGGAAGACAATCTCCAAACCAACATCGCCGCCTAAGCGCCCAGCATACAAGTCACCTAATAGCATATTAATCCAATGTACCATAGACATTACCCCTGTACTATTTTTGTAAGTCCATCAGATCTATGCAGCTCTTGGGTCGGTTGCAAAAAGGAAAACGGCGGCTACGGATGCCAGTGCGGGACGGAACCCGAACGGCGCTAGCCACGGAAAATAGATGGCTTTCCCCAGTACTCTATTACCATTCACGAGCCTATTTTTCTGCAGATTCTCCGATTTTGTGTTTCTCGGCGCCCGTAAATTATGTATTTCAGATGGTATTCACACTTGCATGAGCACGTCACTTTTAGTACTTTAGTCTTGCCTGTAGCCACCAGCCACCATTTCGGTAAATTTTTTTTCTTCCATCCATTATTTAACAAATCATAGATGAACCTAGAAAGTCTTAGTTCCCGGCTTCACTGGACGCCCTCAAGTGGTTATCCGGATTCAACAACCACTACCAAGTCGATTGCAACAGAGCATGTACCAGATTTAGCCCTCCTGCTTTCCAATGCAGTTGCCAGCTTAGCCACCCAAACTTACCGACTCGACCTCATATCACTTTCCCAGGCAGCCAGAGGTGCTCAGGCTTCGTTGACTGCCATCAGTGCTCAACAGGTTTTGGCTACAGCTACAGATCTGCTGGTGTTGGCGGACGCTACAGAAGCATTGTTCCATGCCTCATGGAATTTGAAAGTCTTGAAGGACGATAGGAACAACTACCATTATGAACTCAATCGGGGAGGCAATATATTCTTCTTCATTGTTTTTTGCATTATTTTTGTTTACACGACGGGCATGTTGGTGTGGTCAAGGTACCACTGGTATAACATTACCTTCTTCTGTGGGTTTGCTTTGCAAGTGTGCGGTTTCTTGGGTAGAATTCTTGCCTTTAGTGATACTGCTAATCTAGATTTCTACTTGTTGCAATTCGTTTCACTTACCTTATCGCCGGCCTTTATCATGGCAGGAGTGTACTTTTTGTTTGCACAGGCGGTCATTTTGTACGGCAGGTCCTATTCGGTTTTAAAGCCAATGTGGTACTCTTACTTTTTTATCACCACTGACTTCTTGTCGCTTGTTGTGCAAGGTGCTGGTGGAGGTGCTGCTTCCATAGCTACCAAGGAGCAGCGTGATCCTTCTCCTGGTACATGGACCATGTTCGGTGGTGTTCTTTTCCAAGTCATAGCCATGTCCATCTTCCTAATCTTCTGGTTTGAATTTCTTAATCGCTTATATTACAAAGATGCCTCTCGGATAGAGGAAGATCATCCTATGAAGAAATGGAGTATAATGAACAGCTTAAAGCTTTTGTTCCATACCAAATCTGCTCGGATTTATAAGGAAAAGTACTTGGAGCCTTTCTACAATCCTAGATACAAAGAGATTCGTTCTCGCTCCTTGGTGCCTTATCTCCCATTAGCTCTCACCACAGCTGTTATTACAATCTACATCAGATGTATATATAGAGTCGTGGAATTGAAACAGGGCTTCAATGGCTACTTGATACGGCATGAAGTTTTCCTCATGACACTCGATGCATCTATGGTCGCAATAGCTGGGTTGATCTTCATACCTTTCCACCCTGTACTTGTATTTGGCAAGAAAAACGTCCTCAGATTGGCTACAATTAAGCGGAATAGAGATGAAGATAACGAAGAAAAAGGTGACTTGACAAAGAACGAAAGCCTGGAGAATGAGAGAAAGCTGCTGGATAGTCCTTCGTGAAACATCATCTGATATTCAAGAAACCTAACAGTAATGTTTGATCAAGAAATATCTTACATCAATATTTATAATTTAAGAAATGTTCATACAATGTCTTTGAAAACTCTCTGTATCATCCATATAATGTGGTGATTCTCACTGGTAGAAGAATTGTAATTTTATACAGTGTAATATTCACCTCTCACGCCCAAAACGATCAGCAATGAGTGGACAGTAAGGTGGGTCTAGAACTATAAAAGGATTTCAACTGAAGAAGGATATTTGATTTTTTATTGATATTCTTGATTACTCGGCAGTTTACTCACTTCGCACAATAATTGTAAAATCGGCTGTACTACCAGACTTTATGGAAGAAAACTAAAGTCGAGCTAAGAGAAGAAAAAAAAAGAAATTAAACAAAAGAAAGTGAATAAGTGATCAAAGGTTTTAAAAAAGCGTAAAAGTCGGTATAGGGCTCTATATACGTGAGAAGATTTTTAATGGTCGGAGCTTATGCTCTCATCATCCAGTCCTTCACGAAGCCCTTGTCCCTTTTCCTTGTAAAAGCTACGAATGTCATCCACGAACAAAGGGTATAAGAGGTCCTTAATCCCTTCGTTTCGAGCTATTTCTAGAGCTCTGTCGTATGGAATCCAAACGCCCTTGAGATTCATAGATCCATTCCTGATCACTTTTCTTCCTTTCTCAACTTTCAAGATTCCATCTCGCCGGCCTCTTGACATTCCTGTCACGTTAAGCAACTTAGTACCGTTCACAAAATTATCATTCTCTCTCCGAGATACCACAATTCCGTTTGCTTTGACCTGATAGCACATGGAGTCTTCCTCTTCCCAATAGACTGTAGCAACAAGCGGCTTGACGATCTTCCGATTCATCCGAGAACTGTTAGAACTGACCTTGCTCAATGAGTTTGCCGATCTGAGTGAAGAAACACTGTCAATATAGCTCTGGGACAGGTTCTCGAAGCTTGAGCAGGGCGTCTCTGGCAACGGTTCAATGCTTGGCCTTTTGGCGAAGGGCGTACCAAGATATGATGTCTTATCGTCTGAACTCCAGGGACTTTCCTGTTTGACCATCAGACTATGGTGATTTGAGAAGTAGCTTTCATCGTATTGGGTGTTAACAACACCGCTGATCTCAAAATTATCGGGTTGGAAAGGTGACCCAAGTTCTTCGTTCGTTGAGGGTGCAAGAGTGTTTCCGAAATGATAATGTCTGGGGTCTGGGAAATGGCTCATCAGTCTATGAAACAAACTATCAAATGACATAACGATTAAACAACTCTTCTTTTTTTGTATTAATGTTTTATCTTAGGAACGAAAAACCAACAAATGAAATATGGGTAAGTACAAAGAAAACGGCGATGGTCCGCTTTTAAATCTCAAGCGGCAATGATTTAGGATCGAAGAGGAGATGCCTCGAATGATTTTCTCGATTTTCTTGGTGGGGGCCAAAAATGGGTTAGCGAAAGATAAATCAAAGGCCAGGATATTAGATTCAGGTGAAATTCGGGGTACAAGTGTGTGTTGGAGTTTCCTTGGAGCTCAAGGGTAACTTTCGCCTTGCATCTGGACAATGATTCTAGGCACGGTACTTATGATCTACAAATATTTACTTTGTAACTAACGAGATCAATGGGAGAGGCTATGATCGAATGACAAGAACATGCGGGATGTGCGTTATTGACTACAGAGAGCGGGCCATGACAGAATGACGGCGAGAAAGGCCTACAATGAACAGTGATCCATGCAAAGAAATAACGGGCCTGATAAACTACATCTACCAATGGCCATTGAATGAGGTGAAAATATAAGATCGACATCCCGTTGAGAGACTGAACGATTATCATTATCCAAGGAAAAGCAAACCATCTAACTCCTGTGAAGAAGCTGATAAAAAAAAAGAAAAGGAACAAATAATTTTGAAAGGCTAGAATTCGAGTTGCACTTAAGCCAGGAAAGGGTCGGAGAAGCGCCCGAGTATCATATGCGGCAGAAAACTGCAAAAGAAGTGTGGCTAGCTACGGCATAAACATGCTTTACATATAATAATAGAGTTTCTGACAATGGGTTGTCATGTAGTGAATTTTATCTCCATGAAGTGCAGTTATCGAGGGCGTTAAGAGGATGACTGCTTTGACGAGAAAACCTCAAGTTGTCGGATTTGTAACAAAGATCAAATTATAGCCCTATCGAAGCTTTTGAATAGCTTCTAGAATATTCATTAAACTACGGCATCGAGCCGCTGGTGCCATGCAAATGGTCGCTTCATGGTTTGGCAAAGTCTGTCGGAGAGAGACACAAAAAAAAAAAAAAAAAAAAAAAAAAAAACAGCATCCGAAAAGAAAAGGGACCAGCCAAATTATGGAACCAACGCAAGGGAAAGGGGAAGAAACAAATTAATAATGGAATAAATAATTACAAGAAAAAGAAATATAAAAGGAACAAAGAAAGAGAAAGAATAACGACGAGAAGGGACGAAGACCGAAGAGACGACCAAATGAGAATTATTCAGCTTGATTGGTCGTCAAATATTTACTAGGTTTCGTTGTAGATAGCAATTTAATGTGTGAAACAAGAATATAACTCCAAGTGTAAGAAGAACAAACAAGGCACATCAGGTATGACATTGGCAACGCTTGCTATACTGTCATGTCCACGGGCAAGGCTATCATCCCAAATAGACGCTGAGGTTAAGAAAGAAGTTACCAATATTATGGACAATACGGAGTGGACAATGGGAAGAGGCGAGGTCTTTCATCAAATTCCCAACAGCAAGCTTTGGTGGGTGAATGGAGCCAAAGCCAGGTTAAATATCCACGGATGATGATTGTCAATCCAGAAACGAGTAACACTAAAAAACTTTAAGCTCAAGTGAGTACAAAAGGAGTTAAGGAGCGGCGTTTATTTGTAATTAAGCCAGTGAGAGAGGTGGAGTAACAAATTGTCAACTCGGGAAACTATAGCAAGTCATATCCTGCGTTATACCCCAGTCCAGAATAAATCTTGCGCCAGAAGTAGGTAAAGCCATTCTAGTATTGGTCAACGTGGGAAGAGGGGTGGTGGAAGAAGATTAGTATCAAACAGAGCGTAATTTACTCAAAATCAGGTTTACTTACGATTGAAGCCACCATGATCCTAGGTACATCGCATTTGATGTTCCCCCATATGATGATTTTCAGCGCGACATACTGATTAGTGCGTCCTTTTTCTCACCAGCGCACGGAGAGATATCCGAACCAGCCTGCTTTACCCAAAAAGATCATTTTCTCCCGAGGGAATTGTTACCACTTTCTATAATATCTCCGAAGTATTAAAGTTTCGTTTGCGGGTGCTCTGCATTACCTTAGCGCTATCTGCCTTTTTCGTTATCGCCCAATTCATTGTTGAAGTAACCATACACCGCAATGTCATCGCCTGCTCCCATTCAGAAACCACGAAGGCGGTCGTTTCTAGACCACGGAGGAGCAAACTCCATCAACAACTTTGCATCCTCGTACACAAGAGCTCAGTCATATGTCGGCCTGTCATTATTCGAGGATGCAGAGGGCCAAGACGATATCTCCCCGTGTCTGTCTCCAGTACCTCCCTTGAATCGCTCAGAATCAACTGTGAGTGACTACTTCGCTGGCCAGAGTCGATCGCCTCGTACTAGCCAGGGCTATGACCATATTGACACTTTTGACTTTCCTCATGCACAACGGTCCGATGAAACGACTCCCTTGAACGGACATCAGGAATCCAGCGTTCGGAGTAGTACTTCAGGCAGCATATTTTCTCTTCCACATGCTGGAAATTCCACTGCTGCTCAAACAGTATTCAATTCCCTCAATACCCTTATGGGAATTGCTGTTTTCTCCTTATCATTCGGCTTTCGACTTTCTGGCTGGGTCCTCGGGCTGATAATCCTCATTTCATGTGCAGCCACAACCAACATGACAGCTAAGGTACTTGGCGCTGTCTTGAGTAAGAATCCTCAACTCCAGACCTATGGCGATATTGCACATTTGTATGGCGGAAGCCGCATGCAGCTTTTTGCAACCATAACGTTCACGTTAGATTTGACCGGAGCAGCTCTTTCACTCATTTTACTTTTTGCGGACTCATTTCATCTTCTTTTACCGACCGTCGATGTGAGATTGTTTAAAATATTAATTGTTGTCATTACCTTCTTCATGAGCTTCATGCCCCTTACCGTCTTATCCATGGTTAGTCTCACAGGAATAATGAGCACGGTTAGCATTTTGATCCTCGCAATAACGAGTGGCTTCCTTGTGAAAAAGGGCGAAGATGGCTCCCTTTTGGGACCATCAAGCACGAGCCTTTGGCCCAGCTCTTTATTGGAAGTTCTTCTTAGCATAGGCATTTTTATGGCTCCATGGGGTGGTCACCCGGTATTTCCAGAGCTCTACAAGGACATGAGACACCCAAACAAGTACAACAACTGCTGCAACGTGACTTTCCTATCATGTTTAAAGTTAGACTTTCTAGTGGCTGTTGTTGGCTACCTTATGTTTGGAAACAATGTCAAGGACTCTTTGACAAAAAGCTTAATGGGTAACACGAGCTTACCATCATTTATCAACCCACTTCTTTGTGTGTTCTTGGGATTACTTCCAATTTCCAAGTTATCTCTCGTTGTCCGCCCAATAATTTCCGTTTACGAGAAACACTTCAGAATGAACGAGTCAAGCGTCTTGACGTACAAGGACGGCAAAAGATACCGCCCAATCACACCCAAAAAGATCGTTTCCCGGATAATTTTCTTGGGGATCCTATTCATTCTTTCGTTGGTTTTCACATCATTCGGGAAAGTTGTGGCATTTTTGGGTAGCGCAATCTGTTGCACAATTTGCATAAGCTTACCGTTGATGTTTTACCTAAAGTTCTTTGCCGACGAGTTATCTGCGTTGCAAAAGATCTTCACTCGCATAGGCATTTTTGTAGGATTTGCCGGAGCGATCCTCGGAACTTATGCTTCGTTTGTGTATGAAACGGCATAACTCTCATGAAAATATGCCTTTGAGAGGACTGTTTAATTTTACCTTACAGACAATGTTTTTCCCATGAATTAGTGAACGGTCTGGCCTTATTCACTTCAAATATTTATTATAGTTATTTTGCACACTTGTTTTAATCGTCAACGTCTTTATTCTCATTTTCGCTGCTTTTCTTTGGACCTTTTTTATGCGTTCTCTTTGACAGATACTCTCTCATCTCTTCTGGGGTTACATCATTCGCCAAGATGCTTGTTGCGTAGATGAAGTTATCATGCTGAGACTTGGCCAAATACTGCGCCATGACTTGCGAGCCTGAGAATGAGGAATGGCTTCTTGTTGCTTGCGGCATCGACGACCCAGAAAAGGAATTATGATGCACAAGCTGAGGCATTGAACCATTCATCGAGTTTCCGTAGAAACTATTGGATCTAGAAGAGCCCTGCATCAGTGGTGGATGCTGGGGAGCCATATACATAGGCTGTGGCATAGGGCTGAATGCATGCTGGTGATAGTTCAGGTACTTTCTGTGATTGGAGTTCAAAGACAAGGAGGAAGAATTCTTAGATGCATACCAATGCTGCGAATAGGCATCAGCTGGGTCACGAAGATGATAGCCTGATTTGCTATGACGCCTCTGCTTAGGAGGTGTGGTATTTCTATTAGTAGATGTCGTAATGTCAGATCCAATGATGATAGAAATGTCATCGTCATCTTCATCGTCATCCTCATCATTATTTTCAGCCTCCCCATTACACTGGCCAACAGCATTCTTGAGCTTACTGTCAGTCTCCTTCGCAATGTCCTTTTCGCAGCCAGTGGAGTTCTTCTTTGCCTGGCCATTCTTCAGAGTTGGTTCAGGCAGTGATGTCACAGCTTTTCCTTCAAGGGGCTCGCTATCAGACTCCAGAGAGACTATCGCTTTATCATTTCTTGCAGGCGAAGTGCTGATTCCAAAAACCATAGCTGCTTCTTCTGTGATCAAGGAATCATCCTCTGGATGTTCGACAACGTGTGGTCCTTGTCCATTTTCATTATGACCACTGGCATCCTGTCCGGTGTCTGCTCTAGAGAGATCAATTTCACTCAGATTGAAGTACTCGAAGCTAGCGTTCTTCTTCTTAAAGCTGAATTTTGGAGGATTTCCACATCTATCTTTGCCGAAGCTGATCTTAAAGTCCTTATACTTTTCATAGAATTCACCATTATCACCCACAATAGCATTGATTTTGGAAACATTTTGTGTATCCATGAGCTCCACGAGCCTAATAGCATTTGAAATGTTCATGAAGTTGATAAAGCCACAATCCTTGTTATGATAGAAGTTGATTTGTTCCAAATCACCAAATTTCGAAAAGTCTTCACGTAACGTCTGTTCGCCTGGTAATTGAAGCTGCTTATCGGCATTCAGCTTGCCTCCTTTCACTCCAATGTAGACATTTCTAGAGGCGCCTGCAGTCACAGCCAAAGCAATATCTCTGCTCAAAGGACCGGAGTGATTCTTTCCCCAGCTAACCTTCACATCATTACCATGAATGATTAATTGATGTAGGACCTGATGATTAAGATAAAATTTCAAAGCAACAGCAGGATCAACGAAAGTGATGAAGCACATACGTCTCGCCTTGATGAAATTAATGCTTTCAACGAGCCCTCCGGCCCTCACATTGTTAGCAATCTCCTCAACCTGGGTATATGGATGCAAGTTGCCCAAGAAGATTGTTCTATTTCCAACGTTGAAAGGGTCAGGGTTGTATTGATAAGGATGCATCTGGTTGACTGGAAGTGAGTTAGCAGCTATCTGAGGAGCAAACATTGGATGAGCCTGTTGCATTTGAGTTCCAGGCATTTCAGAACCGTAGGAGTAGAAATGCGAGTCGTCTGGATGGCTTGCCAGTATTGGCGCAGCAGGCGAAGATGCATGGCTATCAACAACACTTACACTCTCCAAAGAAGCGCTTAACTCTGAGTCAGCCACAGGCACGTTACCATTGGAAGCATTAACCTTGACATCCGCCTTTGGCGAGATCTTACCAAGTTCACTGTCGTTGGCTAATGCGGGAATCATATTGTCTGAGGAATGCTGTGGACTTGATAAAGGACTAACCACTGCGGGGTTGTCAACATCAGTAAATCCACCAGCGGGCGATTCATCATGCTCCGGAATGTTTTGAATCATACTATTAAGCGGCCGCTTTGAGATCTTAGGAGAAGAAGATAATGAAGCTTGTGATCCGTTCGTTGGGGGCTTTTGGAAATGCGAGGTCAGCGAGTGACGAGACGTTTGTAGTTCAGTACGATCGCAACGATCACGATGGAACTTGACAAGCAAGCATTTGGAAGACATCTTCTCAGAGCCACTAAGATCAAGCTGACGGGCGTGGTCACGTTGAACCTGCTTAGAATAGTACTCATATACCTTGATTGCAGCATCAATGGAAGTAAAATGAACGAGAAGCTTCAATGTAAGGTTCAGTTCATTGACTGAAGATTTGAAGTCTTCGATAGAGCCAAACTTGGAGCACTGAGCACGAAATTTATCTTTCGTTGGCGCAAAGAGCTCGGGAGAGGCTAACTCAAACTTTATGGTAATACAACGCGTGGCATTGTATTCCAAGATATAGTTGAGAGTTTTGAGCTTAATAAAGTCCTGCTTAGAAAGGTTATTCGAACCCACCGGGGGCTGAGCGTTGAGTGACATGGACGAGCATGGCTCGTTGAGGGAAAGCTTCAAATACTTGGAACCCTTGAGCTTATCCTTAAGCGTACGCAAATTATGAGAGCTTTTCGTGTACTTGTGGAAGAAAGCCACAGATATCTTCGTGTTGACGAAAGAAATGTAGCACGTTTTGACCTCCGACACGTCTTTAATATGAGAAGGCGGAGTGGAGGTAAACATCTTGCAGTACTCGATAGGACCATGGTCGATCTCAGACAAGAGCTCATTAAGCGAAAGTTCAGAGCTCAAATGCTTGAGAATCACTGTTCTGGAAAGGTTGAGGTGATCCAAGCCGGATTTGGCATGAGGGTGGGTCAAATAAGGCACAATCGGCAGCAGCAGCAGCAGCAGCATGGCACGCTGGTGGTACATTTGCTGAGCCAGAGGCAGCTGAGGCTGGGGAGGATAGTAAGAAGGCCGGGACACGTAAGGGTTCGGCGTGGAGAGCAAATTGGCCGGGAGCATGGACAGGTAGTATGGACTGTCAGGAGGATACAGTGGGGGTAGCGGGAGCCCTTGCTGTAGATGAGCAGGCAGCAGCATATAACCTTGGAAAGGCGAATTCTGTATGTTTGGATCCGCGTAGAGATAACCTGAGTACATGGTGGGAAAGTAGTTCTTTAAAAGCGAACGGCGGAAGTAAACGAGTAGCGAGGGATGAAAAAAATCAAGACGTGGATTCAGTCGATTTTCACAGCGACTAATAGGAAACGGGCGACGCCGGTTTGAAAAGCTGTATTCCTGGTGTTGGAAATTGGGATAGCAGGCGGTGTATGGGAAAAGTGGACGTGGTTGCTTTTTTTAGTAGTTGTTAGGGAGATATGTTTTTTCGAGGTTGGCGTTCTCAGAAAAAGTGGTGAGAACGGGCCAATGTGGAGAACCAGACAAAAAAAAAAAAAAAAAAAAAGGGCGGGACGGGAAAAACAGTAGAAGCAACAGAAACAGAACAGGAGGAAGAAACAAATAAAAAAAAGGAAATCCTACAATGGCAGTGGAAGAATCTCCAGACGCGAGTTTTGGGGGGATAAAAAAAGCTTATACTACTAAAAAAGAAGGGTGCTTAGTAGACGCCGCCTTGGTTGTGAAGCCGTGTGTGTCTGAAAAAAAAAAAAAAAAAATAACACTCCTCCAAAGACGGCAGAGGCGTGGGCAGGTGGCCTCAGACAAGAGAGAATAATAATCTATTAAAAAACCACGAGAGCGAAAAAGAAAGCAAAAAAAGGACACCAACAAGGGAAAAAAAACACATCCACACGGCGGCAGAAAGCTAAGAACAGCGCACCAAAGAGCGCCGGGTCCGTACGGATAGAGGGAATGTAAAGTAAGGAGGAAAAAACAACCGATTCAAGCGTTGGCGCAGAAAAGGAGGTTGGCAGTGGTCCTAGGGCGAGAGAGAGCTAGGGAGAGCCAGGGCCAGGGGACAGGGACAGGGCCAGGGCGAGGGCCAGAGAGAGGCAGAAAAAAAAAAAAGCCTGAGAAACCAGGCTTTAGGTGGAATGGCAGGGCCAAAACCTGTGCGCGCTCGCGCCGTGGCGCCAGAGCCTCGAGGCACCGCATATAAACCGTGTTTGGTTGCTATGGAAGGAAGAAAAGGAAGGGCCCAAAGGAGAAGTGTAGGGTAGAAAAGGTGTCTGGGTTACTGGATATGGAAGGCGGGTAGAAAGGACGTTGTGTGGGTTATGGTGACAGGGTACTCTGGCAGCAAAGGTTAGAGTTGTATTAAGGGGTAACTCTCACTGGAATAGGTAAAAAGAAGAAGACGAGGCATTGGGAGAAGCGCACCCAGGGTAATTTTTTTTTGTGGTTTTTGCCATTACCGAGCGTTCGCACGGTTGCCTTGGCCTGGCCTGGCCTGGTTGTTTGTATGGGATGGGTGGCTGCCTGGGTGGTGCCTGAAGGGACTCATGTAACCCAATTTCGGCTTATTGCTTAGAATTGCTAAGGTAAACCAATGCATCAGGCACGGCTGGAGGATCAGGCGGTGGTTGTGGTGGTGGCCAGACGGCAGAAACGGGGGACGATCGTTCACGCGTATAACAGGAGTTTCCTGGTACAGAGTGGCTGCGAAAGTCCAGACGAACAAGACAAGGCACCAGAGGCAGTGGAGGCAGATTGAGGGCAGCAGAGGCTTCGAGGAACAATAACAGGTGGATTTCGAAAAGTGGAATTTGTGCTAAGGCACGGAACGAAGCTTGGAAACGGTAGGCACGAATTTGGTATGGCGTGGTTGGGCAACGACCGCAATGGTTGCAAAAGAAGGCCTGTGCTTGTCTTTTTTCTTAGACCAATAGGGAAAGAAGCCCTGCGAAACACCAATAACCATAGACACCAGGGGGGCAGGTGGGGGGCCGCCCATTTGTGAAACTTTAGCCGACGGTTAAAGCCGATCGCCGGATAAACCTATAGCCTACTTGTAACGTTCAGGGGGAACCATGTGTGCCTGGGGCTACCACATGGAGGCGGTAGTGTGGTATTGGGCTGGGATCAGCATTGGCTGCGAAAATACTCGAGCGCTCTCTGAAACCCCCATTGAGGCCACAAAGCCGCCAGGCCAGGCCACAAAATCACACTCGTCTGTGGCTCGAGTTATATATGGTAAGGCGAAGCTGTGCAATTGGCAAGGTTGACCGTGGCATGGGGAAATTTACGGAATTGGTATTATGAGACATACATGAAGGTTTATATATCTATGCTTTTTTTTTTGTCAGATCATTGAAGTTCAGTGGTTGTCTAGTCGAGGGATTAGGCTTTGTGCTACTGTATACGAAGCTTTGTGGTGGTATGGTGATCTCCTAGCTGGACCAGGCGTTGTGATTGGTCAGTATATTTTGGCTTCTGGGGGACGGTTCACATGCTTGTATAAATACCGCAATCGAAGTTTATGGTTATTTGAGATGTGAGATATTTCCTTGAAATGTTAAAAAGAAAGTCTTGTCATACATAAGCAACTACTGAAGAAATTCGGATCAGAAGAACGATAGTTGCGAAAAACGTGCGTGGAAAACAGGTGCCTAGAGCCGCACTCACTAAGCATTCCAAATCAGGTATTTAGAGTGATTAAGGTGTTGTGGTTGGTTTTACAAAGTGGTAGGAAGTTGGAGGTTGGAGGAGCACCATGGGAAGCCATTTTACAATTGGACTACCAATCAGGTCGCTGGGATCGGGTGGATCGCTAATAGGAGCAAAGTGTACCTTTGATTTCAATCACGTGTGACTTGGCACGTGACTGCATTTTGATGATTTCCCCTTCCCGTCAATGGTTTCGCCTCCATTAAGCGAACCATGAAATCACTCGATGCACCTTTCCGTCCCCATGGTATCCCGCTATAGTGTACTTACTTTCACCCTCGGTGGCCATCAACAATCCACCAACTCAAAACTCAGTTTGTGAGTGGAAGGCCTCCTACCTGCAGGTCATCGCACACAGGTTTTTTCGACCCTGTTCCCTTGTTTTCTTTCTCTTTTCCTCTTTTCTTCCCACTTGATTCTCTTCACGTTTTGGATCAATCCATCCTCGCACTTGTCTGAATCAAATTAGCATCCATTAAAAATGGCTACTCAAGAGGTCCCCACATTCAAGTTGGTGCTCGTCGGTGACGGTGGTACCGGTAAGACCACCTTTGTCAAGAGACACTTGACTGGTGAGTTTGAGAAAAAGTACATTGCTACCTTGGGTGTCGAAGTGCACCCATTGGGCTTCCACACCAACTACGGTGAGTTGAAGTTCGATGTCTGGGACACTGCCGGCCAGGAGAAGTTTGGTGGTTTGAGAGACGGTTACTACATCAACGGTCAGTGTGGTATCATCATGTTCGATGTCACCTCCAGAATCACCTACAAGAACGTTCCAAACTGGCACAGAGACTTGGTCAGAGTGTGTGAGAACATTCCAATTGTCTTGTGTGGTAACAAGGTTGATGTCAAGGAGCGTAAGGTGAAGGCTAGAACCATCACCTTCCACAGAAAGAAGAACTTGCAGTACTACGATATCTCCGCCAAGTCCAACTACAACTTCGAGAAGCCTTTCCTTTGGTTGGCCAGAAAGTTGGTCGGTAACCCTCAATTGGAGTTCGTTGCTTCCCCAGCCTTGGCTCCACCAGAGGTCCAGGTCGACGCCGACTTGATGCAGAAATACCAGCAGGAGATGGAACAGGCCACTGCCTTGCCATTGCCTGATGAGGATGATGCCGACTTGTAAGTATAGCCCCAGCCTTAATAAATGTCGGTCTAGTTAATTGTTACATTATGTTTCTGTGTATTGAAAAGTTTGGGCCCTAGAGCCATGTGTGTAAGTTTTATGACCAATAGACGTAATCTATATATTTGGAGCATCTCTAGCCATGTGAACGGCAATAGCATTTTGATCTTCTTCAGCAAATCGGAGGACTGATGGAGGTGCTGGTACTCCAGCAGGCATCGGTGGAGGAGGTAGACAGAGTGGTTCTTCTTTGATCTCCTCTTTACGGCCCAGTTTCTCTTGCTCTGCTTTTAGGAGCTGATCCCTAGCAAACTTCTGTGGAGACGGTCTTTTGCTGTATACATAATCAAGGTCAATATCGAATTGGTTCTCACTGAGATCCCAGATGCCTAGTTGTCTTGCCTTCTCTTCATAGTATGCACAGTATTTCTTGATATGGTTTCTTCCTTGTAGATGAGATTTTCTGACACTCAAGGTGTCATGTGTGAGGTATGACTTACAGTAGTCACAATAATATTTAGGCATGATGAGCAGATATAAATGCTTATTGATAAGTTGGTGCAGCCTGGGATGAAGCGCTACTAGTAGGTGGTAAATGCAGGTATATCAAAATGGGTGCAAATGTTCAATATATGGTTTATAGTAAGCCCGACAAGATCTCGCCATAGAAATAAGGGAGACGAGAAAATGATAAAAAAACTAGATATAAAATATTCAAGACTGATGTTTATAATTATTTCCCTTAGAGTTACCTTGTACGCGGATGAAGAGACCCAGTTGAAGTGCGCTTGAGACAATCACTTTCGAACACAACCTTGTATACAACATCTCTTTACTTGATATTTTGAACTACTTAATAAGTCAGTTTAATGACATTTATGGTTTCATCGTCTGAAGGCCGTTGGTAAAAGATACTGAAGTTGGAGTCACGTGCACATATTTACTCAGACTCGACCAATAAAATTCACGGCACCTCCAATGAGGCCTTTCGGTACGCACACGTACCCGAGACTCGGTGAAGATTGAGTAGAGCTTTCAAGACAAACGCACTTAAAACTCGTATCCAACCAGCATATATCACCATGTTCAAGCAATCGATTGTATGTTCTTTTTGAATTCAAAGCATTAGGATACCGTGCTGGATTGAGCCTATCGGTCGAAGCGGTCAATTCAATGATTTTTTCCAATTGTCAACATGTAAAATTTCCGCTTAGCTGGCCATCCGTCAATTCACCCAAAATCCATTGAATAATTGAAAATTAAAGCTTTAAGTGACACAGGTCAAAGGATGTTATACCCAATTGAAGTTTTTCCATTTATTTACTCCAACTTTTGTTTGACTTTCCACCTAGAATCAACCAGTTACACCTTCTGCATGACAAAAACAACGAACCATTCATACTAACAAACAGCGTGCTTTGTCTTCTAGAAGATTGTTGTCTGTGACCCCAAGAACTCACAACGCTGTGAGCGACTTGTACATCCAGCAGATCAAGCAGTTCAAGCCATCTCCAGTGAGCGCTGACGCTGAGGGTATCAAGCACTTCAAGTTGCCATCTAAGCCAGCTATCCCATCCGATGAGGTCTCTGCTGACGCTGTGAGCGCTTACGAGTCATCTGAGGTCGAGACCGAGTCTGCTCCAGCTGCTGGCTCTGGTCAGGCTGCTGAGGAGGACTGGTTCGTGTTCCCAGAGGAGGAAGAACAACAACACTAAGCATTACAAGGCGAGCCCTATGTAGGGCCAGCATTGTGACAATATGTTCTTACGAATAAAACTAGTTTCATGAATAGAGTTCTTTCACTAGCTTGCTCAGGCGATGCCAGATGGAGCGAGTTTTTGTCTCGGCATCAAATAAACGAAAAGAAGATATAAATGTAGAGGAAGGGATGATCGTAGAAGTTAAAGAGAGAAGTTTACCCTCTAGAGGTCTCTTAATATCAACTGTGCAACTTCTATAGAACGGTTGCAAATCGCATCGAAAAAATACCACTATAAGTGAGCATCAAAACAATAACACAGTTATCACCACCAACCAAGAAAGCCTTATAATCCTCAATTTGATGTCTGAGCCTCGGAACGTTGAGCCCATTGAGAGCGCTTCAGAGCTTCTTAATTCCACCCTTCGATCAAAAGGATACATTAAGGATACCCTCAGGTTCCCCAGTATTGATTGGAATGATCTCACCAAAGACCAACCCGACCGCAAGTCACTTCGTAACTTCGAAGTGACAAACACAATTTTCGACAATGATAAGAACGTTATCAACATATTATACTCGCTACTTAGAGCAATTGACAGGCACAATGACCAACAGAAGGCGCTTTACCACAGTTTGAGCCTGAAGAACAAAAGGATAGAAGTGCTTGAGAAGAAAGTTGAAAGCTTACTGTTGATTAATGAGAAGCGAGAACAGAAGCTCGAGAGAGTGGTACAGGTTGACCAGACCCTCTTGGAGAAACGGAACGCAGACTTGTTGAGAACGATCAAGAAGCAGAGTAATGAGTTGGCGCGTCTCAAAAGCTGGACTGGAGAGATTCAAACCAAATATGACATTGAGGTTCGGAAAAAGAACATTGAAATATCTCAGCTCAAGGATAAGGTCCTAGATTCCAGAGACTTATCGTACCGGTTGTCGTATGGTCGTGCTGATGCTTCAGCAGCACGTTCCCAGGTTGAGATTAACCCTAGTGTTATTCATAACAATATCCACACGATTGATAATGATATACTACCGAATCAGGATACCACAGAGATGGGCCTGAGTCAAGCCGAAGCGCTCAAGTTAGAGTATGACGGAATTGCCAACCAACTTTCCGAACTTAGTGAAAACTTGATTAAGGAAAACTCCAAGTATGCCCATTTTGTGGAAGAACTCAATACCTATTTTGATAAGCTCAACACACAGCTCTCGAGTCTGAATTATAAGAATCTTTCAGACGAACATCTTGTTAATCCGTCAGATGAGATCGACTTGGCTCGTATATTAGAAGCTACCAACACTGAGGTTGACCCATTTGATCATGTGTCGAGTCCTCTACTATCCAACGTCTACAAGAACAACCACTATGTTACTGCATTGGTGGATTTGGCTATTTCAGGTGGTAAGCTGTCAAAGAAAAGCGACGAGGATGAAATTGAAAGACTAAGGACGGAGAATGCTCAATTATATGAGAACCTAGATGAGGCGGTACAGGCCCTTGAAAGATGGCAAAAATATGCTCCCGGCAATCCAAACAGGAAGTAAAGATTACTCAATGGAGGCTGTTGACGGGTCAGATGACATCTTACCTTCGTGGCTCTCTCCAGACAGATCCGCCACTGTATCCTCGCTAGATGCCATCTTCTGGTCGAACAAGTGGAGTGAAGAAGGCGGTTGCACATTATAAGCGTCCTCAAAGGTATCCTTCCCTACGCTTGACTCGTGCTTAGGGATAATGCTCTTCAGTGAGACGCACCAAAGTGGGAAATCTCTCACCACCTCATATCTTACCGAAACTTCGGCTCTATGTTTGAGGGAAACATCTCCAGTCAAGGTATCGTGATGCAAATAAGTCCGCAAGAGGACGCCTGAACACCAAATATGGCTAAAGTTTGGATCACTACCTTCCAAAACTTCGGGCTCCATTGTAGGACAGGGCGAGATAAGACCAGCCTCTTTCAAGTCTTTCTCCGTCTTGATTTGTTTATCCAAAGCAGCTCTATAAGATGTGTCACTGTCTTCTTCATGAGGATTTTGATCTATGCTTGACCCATCATCGTCAAAGTTGTCCAAGACTTGATTTTTGATGAAGAATTTGACAATTCTCAACATTTCACCAGGTTCTAAAGTTTCAATCTCGAGGTTCCTTTTTGTTCCGGTAAAGGGTTTCTTCACCACAACAATGCCTCCAACACGGATATTCTCCGAAGAGTGTTGGTCTTTGATTTCCTTGACAGCTTTGGGCCCATTCAAGACATCTTGGGCCATGCTTTGTACAATAAGGGACCGGTCGAATAAGGAGTAGTAATGCGCCAAGATGCTTCTGGCTTTCTTCTCTACTCGATGCAGCGTGGAAATGCTGCATCCGGAGTAATCGACAAGCTTTATGGCAGAAAGTCTATCGACCCGGCGTCCAGTAAGATTCATCCTTTCATAACGTGATTCATCGTCACCAAGCCCATTAGTTTGGTTATCGAAGCTTTCGACTTCTGAAGGAAATGCCCTTGGACTCAGCAACTCGTTGCTTTTAGATTCGAGTTCTGTTGGACAAGAATCTTCATCACCTGTGGTTTTTGGTAGCTTTTCATCTTTGGAGAATGCCAATTCAAGGTCTTTTAAACGGTATGCAGATTGATCTGATCTGAGACGGATGATGCAGCATTTAGCTATGACAAAGATCCCTGTCAAGACGACCAAAGCAAAAACCACCACTGTGATAGCCACAGAGAGTCCAATTGCTTGTGGGACCTTCATTTTTCCCGTTAATGCTTTCTATGGGTGCCATTTAAGACCATATATGACCATGATAAGTGGTTATATATGATGGCTGCGAAATTTGGCTCTGTTCCGCCAGGAGGCGTATATGAAACCGATTGAGACATGCGGCATGAATTTCATCCGGAAGGAGTTGTTTTTGAAACAACAACCCCTTAATTAATCTTGGATTGTGACTCTCACATGTACTATCCTAATCTTTTTCATTCATGCCTTCCGTATTAGTGTTGTCATGCTGCCCCGCGAGTGTCACTGTGACTTGGATGGAACAGCATCTTGCGGCGCCAACATACTAAAAGGTAACTCAAACAGATGCCCAGAGATCAAAAGGTGGCTCTATTGGACAAATCACACGGACTTTGTAATGCAAAGAGGAGTTTGAGTGGTATCTCCACAAGTTGAGACATGCGGAATGGCCCTAATTTGAGTCTTCTGATGCTGTGAGGGACAAAGAGGAGGTATAATATACTACGACGGGAAATTTGGGGCTAATTATTACTGATCAGTTCCCCAATTACCTTCGGGATCTCGTATTACCCTGAATAAGTTTTACCCTGGAGATGCTCCACTGTGCAACGGATACAAACTATGTTTTCATAAAACCGTGAATACGAAGAAAAGAAAGCTTAAGAAGAGAATAGAATCACACAGATGTTCAACCCGAACAAGGCTTACTGAATTTTGTGAGTATGAGCAGAGTGAAATCACTTCAGATGAATAGGCTACCTAACGGTAATTCGCACCCAATCGGGACCACTAATTAGGTAGTTGCATCAAGTACGTATCCACCATATTTCACTTGACCGAGAGAACAAGAAACGTTAAAAAATGACTCAGTTATTTATTATGTTACAGAGAAGTTCTTATTTTTTTTTTCTTCTTTTCAGATTCTTCGTTCTTTATGACTTCTGTGCTGGATGTCCTTTTGTTAGGGCACTTTTTTTTTTTTTTTTTTTTTTTTTTGCAATTTACGCGTCTCATTAATTATCCTTTTTCGGGCGCGCCCCATCCTCATACTTCCTTTGATTCTATTTTTCTTTTCCAACACTCAACCCATACCATTCGTTCTTTTCATCAATGTCGTACCTGAAGGCAGAAGTCTACTCCGCTCAGGTCTTACCGGGTGAAGAACCCAAGGATGACTCCTTCAATGAAATCACAAAGGCTTTCCGTGCGTTCATCATGGAGTTTCGTCTCAACAACTCTTTCATCTACAGAGACCAGTTGAGAGAGAACTTGCTTATCAAGAACTTCTACCTCAAAGTTAATTCTGAACACTTGATTGGTTTTAATGAAGAACTTAACAAAAAGCTTTCGGATGAGCCAGGTGAGATGGTGCCGCTTTTCGAGAATGCCATCACAGATATCGCCAAGAGGATCGCTTTCCTTTCAGACGATGAGGTTCCTCGTGACTTTCCTCAATGCCAATTGATCTTGTACTCCAACTCGTCTACTGTTTCCATCAGAGACTTGGATTCGGACCATATCTCCAAGATTGTCAGAGTGAGCGGAATCATCATCTCGGCTTCTGTGCTTTCTTCGAGAGCCACAAATGTCCAGTTGGTGTGCCGTAACTGTAAGCACACAATGAAGATGAAAGTGGCTTCTGGGTTTGGTCCATTGCATCTTCCATCGAAATGTCTTGCTACTCACAACCAGGAAAGTGGAAGAAACCAACAGAAGTGTCCCCTAGACCCATATGTGGTTGTCCATGATAAGTCTACCTTTATTGACCAGCAGGTTTTGAAGTTGCAAGAGACTCCAGATGCTGTCCCAGTTGGTGAAATGCCTCGTCACATCTTGGTCCAGGTGGACAGATATTTGGCCAACCAGGTTGTTCCAGGAACCCGTGTCACTTTGGTCGGTACCTACTCGATCTACCAGTCTAAGCAGAGATCTTCTGGAACCTCCAACACTGTTGCCATCAGAAACCCTTACTTGAAGGTTTTGGGTATTCAGACTGATGTTGACACTGCCGCTCAAGGTCTCTCTTTCACTGAAGAAGAGGAAGAGGAGTTTCTCCGTATTTCTCGTTTGCCAAACTTGTACGAGGTGTTCTCTCGCTCGATTGCGCCATCTATTTATGGTAATGACGATATCAAGAAAGCTATTACCTGTTTATTGATGGGCGGATCCAAGAAAATCTTGCCAGACGGCATGAGATTGCGTGGTGATATCAACGTTTTGCTTTTGGGTGATCCTGGTACCGCCAAGTCCCAGTTGTTGAAGTTTGTGGAAAAAATCTCTCCGATCGCCGTGTACACTTCCGGTAAGGGTTCTTCTGCGGCCGGTTTGACTGCTTCGGTGCAGAGAGATAGTCAGACCAGAGACTTCTACTTGGAAGGCGGTGCCATGGTGTTGGCAGATGGAGGTGTCGTCTGTATTGATGAGTTCGACAAGATGAGAGATGAAGATAGAGTGGCTATTCACGAAGCCATGGAACAGCAAACCATTTCCATCGCCAAGGCTGGTATCACCACTGTTCTTAACTCCAGAACATCTGTGTTGGCTGCTGCTAACCCCATCTTTGGTCGTTACGACGACTTGAAGAGTCCTGGTGAGAACATTGATTTCCAAACCACCATTCTTTCTCGTTTCGATATGATTTTCATTGTTAAGGATGACCATAACGAGGCCAGAGATAAACTGATTGCTCAGCACGTTATGAATATTCATACCGGTAACAGCAACAACAACAATGAGAACCAGGAGGGCGAGATTCCTATCGACACGATGAAGCGTTACATTCAATACGTGAAAACTAAGTGTGCCCCTAGACTTAGTCCTGAAGCGCTGGAGAAGTTGCTGTCTCATTTCGTCGCCATTAGACGTCGTCTTCAAGTGAACGAAGCCGACATGAATGAAAGATCTTCCATTCCTATTACAGTACGTCAATTGGAAGCTATCATTCGTATCACCGAATCCTTGGCCAAGTTGACATTGCTGCCAGTTGCTTCCCTGGACCACGTCGACGAAGCTATCAGGTTATTCACTGCCTCTACCATGAATGCTGTGGACCAAGGTATCCAGAGCGGTAACATGATGGCCTCCGGCAAGTTCGCTGGTGAAATCAAGCTTGTTGAAGACGAATTGAGAAGGAGATTGCCTATTGGCTGGTCCACGGCTTACAGAACTCTTCGAAGAGAGATTGTTGACGCAGGCAGAGCCACACCAGAGGCTTTGGATAAAGCGCTACATATCATGGAGAGACATGAAGTTATCAGATTCCGTCACCAGAGACAGAATATTTTGCGTGTGGGTGTTTAAAGGTTATATTGTATTGTACGTTTAATGGAAATTAATAAATGATCAAAAGAGAAAGTGATAGTAGTAGGTGTTTTGCAGCCAAATGACAGCGAGGATAACCATACAAAAATACCAGAATAACCGGATAAAATAATTTCCAAACCTACATAACTCGCTTTCATCCATTTTAAAGCAAAAGACAAGTTTTTATATCTTCTTTTTATCTCATTGCCTTGGGGATTCCTTGATATCACTTACTTCTTCAACCAGTAGTGCACCTATGGGCATACCTTACCTGAGCGAACTTGAGATCTCCAAATAGCGCACCTCAATCACTCTCTGAAATATACTCAAATGACTGATTTTCTAAAGTATGTTTGCTGTTGAACTGATAAATTAAACCTTTACTAACTGGTAGACCCAAGGAAACGAATCCTCGTGGAATTCCAAAGGCACCTTTCATTGAGAAGGTCGAATCGGTTGTCACTGATCCTTCCAACTATGAAACAATCTTTAGTGCCTTCTCGGACAGATTACAGCAATACAAGTATATGGAGCTCTCCAAGAAGCAGCAGCTTGCTGATTTGAACATAAAGATCCCTGATGCTGAGAAGAACCTAGAAGTTATTGAGCTCCTCAAGCAAAAGAAGGAGAACGAAGACGATGAAGAAGACAAGTCTATTGAGACGAACTACGAATTGGACAGCACTTTGTATACGAAGGCTACTATTGATGCTGAGAACCTCAACTCTGTTTACTTATGGCTCGGAGCCGAGGTCATGTTGGAGTATCCCTTGGACGAGGCCGTGGAGCTCTTGAACTCCAGACTAGACAGCCATAAGAAACAGTTACAGTCAGTGGAGGAGGACCTTGAGTTCTTGAGAGAAAGCATCACCACCATGGAGGTCAACACATCCAGATTGTACAATTGGGACGTGAAAAGAAGAAGAGAGGAAAAGAAGTAAAAAATGGTTATAGAGAAAGGACATGTAATGTATAATCGAATCCTGAATGTGTTCGTAAAATTTGAATGCAATTATGTACGGAAGGTTTCAAGAAACTGCCTGCCAAGAGGTCTCACGGGAGTTTCTGATCTATTTGGAGGCTCCTCTGTATTTCTGATATCATCGATAGTTTCATCCTGCTCCTCCTCTCTTTCTGGAGTGGGCTCGGCCTCAGGCTGAGGAGCCTGGGGCAATGGCTGGAACCCGCGGATTCGCTGTCTGACCAGCTGAAACGCAGAAACGTTTAGCTTGCGTGGATTGATGAAGAGCCTAAATACCACATTAGGGAGATAACAATTCTTGGAACCAGCCAAGAGATCGTTGGTATAAAGACGACCCACAATCACACCAATAAGACAGGGTAGAAGCGACCCTATGCCGTTGTTGAACATGAGCAATGTGAATAGTATGTGGATCTGGAAATGGTCGTTAAGTGTGAGCAGTTTTGGCGCAAACCCTTCATTACTGGAAGCATCATCTGCTTCGTTGTTCAGTGCCTCTGAATTCTCGGATGGCACATTGGCTTTCCTGAAGAGGATCTTAAACTGGTAAGACACGGGTATATACGATCCATAACACATGTATAATGACGCGAGGATCCCGAAAGGCCCAGATGCCACAGAGTTAAAGAAAGTATCTCTGTAGATGAACCTATAAGGCGTATGCGTTCTCAACATAGTAATGAGACTCAACACAGCGTTGAGCAGAAGCTGCCCCACAGAAAGCACAAGGAATGTAAGCACGGCATTGTAGAAGGCAAACACCGCAATCAAAGACAAGTACTTTCGAGGACCAAAGAACCGTTCTAGAGTTTTGAAATGAAACCAAAGTATCGTACTTAGCAAGAAGTCGCTTTCATTTATGACAGATAACTGGAAGGTGGCAATCCTCCAATACTGGGAGTACTGGACTATAAGTGGATCGATGGCAAGTTTAACATAATGCTTGATTTGGAGGGTCAGAAGACCTAAAGCCAAAAGAGTACCGATAACAATTACCGACTTGGTGACGGGAGTGTTTGTAAAACCTCGTATCGGTGTTAGTTGGGTCATTATTGGTAGATATGGCTCCTGTGGAAACAGACTATGTATCATGATAGTGAGAGCGTGGTGTATGTGTGACGTGCAGGAAAGATCGAGATTGGCTGCAAAAGTATACAGATAGGGTAGATAACACGAGGAATTTTTTGGTTTGTGGGAGAAAAAAAGGCATGGGTGGTTTAGGTGTGGTTAGGATTTTGGAGATCGGCATCTTTGTTTTGTTTTGGTGGACGTTTGACTTCAACTATGGACTGTGGGGAAGTACCGAGGGGCCACACCGAGTTGATAGATTCAAAATGTTATTCAAACAAAGGACAGATGATTAAAAAATACCATAGTCTTGATCTTCAATTTAAATTAATGGGATTTGGCGTCTCGTGGTGATGAATTAATGGACAGTAGGGTCCATGCAATACATGCGACTTACTCGCTGTTTCAAGTATATCCAAAAGAGTTTTTACATGAAAAGAGAATGGGAAACAATATCTTAAGCAACATTCTAATAGATATGAAATTACCAAGAAATAGGGTCCACTATCTTGGTTATTTATCGCCATAAGCTGGGCTTGTTAGACAGCGTTCGAGTGCCCTCCATGCGAGGCATAAAATATCGACAAAATATAAAACTAGAGCCACTCTCTGAACTCCTAGCGTAATGACAAAGCTACTTTGGCTTACACTTTCTGGCCTGGTAGTGGAGTATGGAGATCTGGGGCACCGTTCGTGACTCTTAATCACGTGATAGGGTTAAGCCCTAACCATTCACCTTGAGGAAATGGTCTGCTCTCATGCAGGTCATCGAAGTCTCGCACCACCTAAAGAAAAAAAAAATTTCCACTAACTTCTCACCATCGGCTACTTCCTCAAACACAGAAATGGGTAAAGATCACGTCACCAAGCAGCACGTCAAGAGATCCCAGAGATCCGCTCCAAAGTCTGACAACGCCTACTTGAAGGTTTTGGTCAAGTTGTACACTTACCTTGCTCGTATGTAACTTCTTTGATGAAAACTGCCTTTAGAGGCCAATAACACATAGCTAGTTGTGGAGATTCCTTTGAAGAGAATCAGCGATGAAATATTACTGCTTCAATGACGGAATAGAACCGTTTGAATCTTGTTTCTTTGTGTTCCATGAAGATATGGAAGAATCACATCGAAACACCCATCAACATGTTTCCCCATCTGGTGATTCAGATAAGGCCTAGTCGGCCGAACCATGCCCAAGCTTTTCAGCTTGCTGAGCACGGGAAACCTTCTGCGAGTGCATTCCATTCTGCTGTTACTGTGAAGGCCACGATGAGAAAGCAAAGTTTTTTCACCATGGCAATCACAGTAGCATATATGTCTGGAAGTTTTATTGTGCGTCTAATGAGCAGAAACCAAAAGCTTTTATACTAACATTTCAGGTCGTACCGACGCTCCATTCAACAAGGTTGTCTTGAGATCTTTGTTCTTGTCTAAGATCAACAGACCACCAGTGTCTCTTTCCAGAGTCAACAACACCTTGAAGCAGAAGGGTGCTGCTGACAAGACCGTTGTCGTTGTTGGTACCGTCACCGATGACGTCAGATTGTTGGAGGTTCCAAAGGCCACCGTTGCCGCTTTGAGATTCACCGCCTCTGCCAAGGCTAGAATCGTCAAGGCTGGTGGTGAGGCTATCACCTTGGACCAGTTGGCTGTCAGAGCTCCAAAGGGCCAGAACACCGTCCTCCTCAGAGGTCCAAGAAACGCCAGAGAGGCCGTCAGACACTTCGGTTTCGGTCCTCACAAGAACAAGGCTCCAAGAATCCAGTCTAAGGGTAGAAAGTTCGAGAGAGCCAGAGGTAGAAGAAGATCTAGAGGTTTCAAGGTCTAATCTAGCCTTGAACTTCTTGAGCTCTTTTGTCATGGTTTTCTCTTCATTGTATTTAATGTAATAATAACGGAAATATAAGATGAGGAACTAGTATGTTAGTAGGTGGTCAGTCAACCTCAGGACTACCTGGACTGACTTAGCACTGTCCCACCAAGTGTAGAGTTCAATATGTGATATGATGGTACTTGAAATTTCACTGCTTAAATTATAGTAGCTGCGAGCTTATCTTATCTATGTACCCACAATAGAAGAGGCTTGGGGTCCACTGTGAAGCCACGCAACATTGAAAATCTCCAGAACGCCATTCCAAAAGTCTCTTTTCCTTCGATGGTATTGTCGTAAATAATCCTTCCAAACCCTGGTGAAACACTTTGTCTTTCTCTAGAGTCATCTGAGTCAGGCGACTCACTATCTCACTATGTGTAGTCATACACTCTTGATCAAACAACAGTGACTTTCAAGAACCAGATTTACATATCGTTCAAACTGCCACAGAATACTGCCCTTCTGAAAATACTCCTATGGATTCCTTTCCCGAAGCAATTGTCAACAGAATTGTGTTCTGGCTAACTGATGGTCTGTTGAACTTAGACCTGGCAGCCGATAAGGAGAAGTTCCCCAGAGATGATAAGCCAGCCCTTCTGTTTTCAGCGAACTCGTTTAAGTTCGATAACTATAACGATGTTCTACTGCTATCATCTACATGCAAGCGGCTACGTCAGCTCTGTGGCCCAGGGCTCTTCAGTTTCTTGAGTTTGGTCCGGATCTCAGAAATGGACTCCATTCTTAACTATCCGAAACGAATGGACAAATTCAGTGACCCTATGGGCCTCCGACGGGCTTACATGAAAGAAGTGTTAGAAACAAGCTTTACATTCTGTGGTTATGCCGAGGAGGCTCGACGTAGCTTCCTGTCTCCACAAAAGCTAGACTCTTCTCTCTATGAGCATGATTTGAGCATCAATAACTACGTGACACATCTTGAAGCATCAAATGACGTTCTAAAATGTGGCGAGTTAGCAAAATTTCCGAGACTTAAGCACCTCAAGCTTCTTGATCAGGCGCTTGAAGTAGACGATACTAAGACCAGCATTGCTGTTTGCCCAAGCTTGAATTCACTTTCCATTCATTTCAGCTCTTTGCTTCATTCCAATGGGCTCATGCAATTGGTTCCTCAATTAACGAGATTGGATATAATATGTGACTTTAATTCCCTTGATCCATCAAACAGCTTTGGGAAAGTCATCGATACCCTCCAAGCGACTCAATTGCATTTAAAGCAACTCAATTTGTTCGTAAATGAACCCAGAGTTCTTCTATATGAGGACTTTCTCGCCTTTTTGGACTTTATCCTCTCTGATTCTCCTTTGGAATCGCTATCTATACGCTTGACCAGAAGACAGACGTCTGGAACACGATATTGGACCATTGTATCATCTTTTAGTGGACCTTTGCTCCTTGATATCCTATCTAAGGGCACCTTCCTCGCCGATGTCATCACTGATTTCAACATCATTCAGCCGCTTGAATTCCCTGAGGAATATGAGGTTAGTAAGCGGGCCGGGAAACTTCCAGCAAGAGTAGGCTTCACGCTTGTTGACTACAGTCTTAATGTCCCAAAGCTTTTGTTCAACCCTCGGAAAATTGTGGCTAACATCGTCGGTTGCATAAATGCTACTCAAGTCAGTTTCGTTTACGGGGAAGTGATTGACAACGCCCATCTACATGCAATTGGCCTAATGAGTAACCTTTTGATATACATCGGAACTGGAAGTAGTGCCGAAGACCCTTATTGTGGTGTCAAAGTCGTTACTTTAGAGAAAGCCTGGTCAATGGCTGACGATACTCTAGTGAGGAGCCATTGCGAAAGGATGGTTGATGACTGGGACGCAGCTCCAGCTGGAAGCGCCACCAGAAGCGACATGAAACGGCAGATTACTGCTATATCAAGAGCCCAACAATACGAATTCAGTTCACCTCGCTACCGGCGTCGTGAAAACTACGTTGTCATTCCACAGCCATGTGTCTTGTCTAGAGGTGGAGGAGTACCCATCATGCTCCCTATACAAAAAGGAAGAGTACCACCTGATACATTTTCCACAGTTGAAAGCTCTTTAAGAGATATGGAGCATTACTGTTTTCACGATAAGGCGCTCAGTAGCATTTGGGATTAGGCAGCATTCGAGGGTGATAGCTTCCAGAGGATATTTTGCAGCCATTCCTCTAGTTCTTCAGTGATAACGTGACTTTTGTGACTGCGAGAATATACCTTCAACCTCCTGTACGCATTCACGCTTCCCTCACAAAAATCACATAGTTAACGATCCTCACCGTGAGAGGGAAGCTTATGGTGTAAGGGTCTTCTGCCCTCTCATACTAACTGAACTATATGCCTGCCTGCAGTTCTGAAAACTTTCTCACCCACCAAAAAAAAAAGAAAATTTCTCCAAGTTTCGCCCATCACAGTCCTTGAATATCATCAACATGCCAGGTGTTTCCGTTAGGTATGTCCCTTCGTCAATGAAAGAAGCTTGAAGCTCAAGAATATGATCCAACCATTTTGCTTTATCCAGATACCACAATGTCCGATTGAATCCACGATCCCAAACTCACGAGAGATGAACCGTACCATTTTCCACCAACAACTTAAGTCAGATCCCACGAATTAAAATATCACCTATAGCAAAATTGGCTTGTGCTTCTTCCCCCATCAGTTTTACTAACAAATCAGAGACGTTCCAGCTCAAGACTTTATCAACGCCTACGCTCAGTTCTTGCAGCGTCAAGGTAAGTTGGAGGTTCCAGGTTACGTTGAACTTGTCAAGACCTCCGCCGGTAACGAGTTGCCACCCCAGGAATCCGAGACCTGGTTCTACAAGAGAGCTGCTTCTGCTGCCAGACACATTTACTTGAGAAAGCACGTTGGTGTCGGTAAGTTGAACAAGTTGTACGGTGGTGCTATCAACAGAGGTTTCAGACCACACAAGCACGCTGACGCTTCCGGCTCTGTCAACAGAAAGGTTGTTCAGGCCTTGGAGAAGATTGGCGTTGTTGAGATTTCTCCAAAGGGTGGCAGAAAGATCTCTGAAAACGGTCAGAGAGACTTGGACCGTATTGCTGCTCAGACTTTGGAAGAAGATGACGAGTAAGCCGAGGGCTCGTTCGTTTGGCTACCAACATAATGTTTCCTCCTTTGTACTCTAATAAAGAAATCGCATCGTAATTTTTTTTTTCGTATTCACTACTTAAGTAATGCAACCGTTCTCTGGCAGGTCTTAGTAGCCTTGTCTTCTTGGGATTGTACCAATGCTTCTTCACTTAGACCGAACCAACTAAGTGGTAAGTGGTCTGGCAACTCTTCAATCCAGCGCTTGTAACTTTCGAGGTCACCATCATGAGGAATTGTCAAGTGGCCAGTCTTTGGAAGGACAAAATCCTCATCACAAGCCTTCTCTTGGAAAAGCTCTTCTGCAAGTTCTTGACAGAATTTGTTATCTTCAACAACAGACACTTTTCCTCCGTATATCACTGTTCCAAGAATCGACAGGATTTCACGCCAAGGGACCTCCTCAATACGCACCGTAGTTCTATCCCCAAATGATTGAAAGAGACTGTTCAAATAAGCGGCCGTAGACGTAAGATCTGCCTCACTGAAATCATACTTCTTTGCAAATGATATTGGAACAAATTTTAGTTGCTCCTGGAGTATAGCGTGAAGCCAACTTACCAAGAGTACTATTGTTTTAGCGATATTCAACTGGCTGATTTGCTGTGTCCAGAGATACTCCAAGCTGTTGAGTAAGACTCTCTTAAAAGATGGCGTCTCCTCGTAGGTTAAAACAACAGACTTCGTAATCAACGCCAGTGGGATATTCTTTGCAGTCAACAGACAAGTTAAAAAGAGAGCAAAATTCTCGTGGATATTCTGTTTCTCAAGTAATTGTTCAACATCGTTCAACCATGGTCCACTTAATTGCACGTTTTGGAGAACCACCCATGAGCCAACTCTTATCGCTGCTTCTAATTCCTTGTAGGCGGCCTGTGATCCATCTGCGGTACCCATTGCGAGAACCTTCAACCTCTGGTTCGAAGCATTAGCTAAACGTTCAATTTGCGGCGTGATATCGATATGATCTGATTCCGCAATCAAGAATAAAGATTTTCCTAGTTTCACCCAGTCAGCCATATCAAGAACTTCCAACTGGTCTGGGGATGCGCCGAAAACTGAAGTAACATACTGGTCAAAGACATCCAGCCAACCTAAACTTGATCCAAGTAGCTTCTGTATGAATGGGCCAATGACAGGAACCATCTCCAAACCGAAATCTTCTTTAACAAGTTCTTCCCAGTTGCTGAGGTTGGGATCGTCAGACGAATTCACAAAAAAGAGTTCCTTCAACGATTGGTCTAAATCCCCGCCGACCCCCATGGCACCAATGACCCGCCTTATTCCTTCATTAATAACCGTTCTCTCATCATTCTCAATGTAGCAGGTAGCCAATGCTATCGCCAAACTAACACGATCTGACTTTCGCAAGGATGGCGATACTTTTGCAAACAAAGCACAGTAAAGACCACGAGCCAATTCCAGTGGAGTCGTGTTCTCATGCCTCTCTCCAAGGATATTTTGAAGGACTTCGATGAGGGTTTTGAATGGGAAATTGTAGAATGACGACATCGACGATAATCTACCGAGAATCCCATAGACGCTGCTCAAGTGTTTGGCAATTTCCCGGTACGAACTCCTAACATCGTCAATTTCCTTCATTGTTTCATTGGCATTGCTGAAGTCTTCATCAAGAATAGTTGAGTCGGATTTGATGCATTGAAGTTTGTCCACCGCCTCATCCTTATCTAAAATAGTACCATCAACACCACTGAGAGTGTCAAGGAGCAGCTGGCGGAGGATATGGCTCTTTATTTGATAGTCACTCTGTAACAGGTTAATCTCCCTCTGTTTGTCAGATAACTGTGGCTCAAGACGTTCTAGGCATAAATTCTGAGCTTGATTTTCAACATTGCCACTAGTCACCGTGAAATTAAGAACATTGACACGAGAAGCAAGTGAAGGAGGAATTTCCACAGACGAATCTTTTGTGAAGAATAAGACTTTAAAGTTGGGCAGGATATCAACTGCTTTGTCTGCCAATTGGACCAATCTTCTACCACCGGTGTGGCTAAAGTCTTTTCTCAAAATTGGATCCATGATGGGATCATAGAGCTCAGCGTGCGATACAAGAATAGTTCCTCCAAACCTCATGGCGTTTTCGATATGTCTCATGAAAGACTTTTCAAGAAAACTGGTCTGCGCAATACCTCCTTGAGGCGCCAGACAAGTAAGGACTCTTTTAACCTCCTCTGTGGGATCAATAATAAAGCAAAATTCAGACCAAAGCTTCATGGCAAAGTTTTGTTTGTAAAGATCGTCATTTGGTAAACCATTCTTTGTCCATTGAGCAACCTGATCTGCAGAAGCCAAAGACGATAAGGGCGACTTAAACTCATCGAATGGTATATTAAGATTCTTCAATATCATCTGCCATCTGTGGAGGAGATCATTTCTGGACGATTGATCTAATCGTCCACAATAAACCGCAAATGCAGATGAAAGTAAGGCATTACCAGCAATCCGCAGCCTCTCTTCGTCGCATGATTTCACGTTCGTTTCCCATCTAAGTCTTTCACTGGTCAAATTTTCTATAAGGCTTTCACTTCTCCGAACCTTTCCCTCTATAGTCTCCATCTCCACCTTAACTCTTTCTGCCTCTCTTATAAGTTCACTGTATCTCTTCTTGTACTCGTCGATACTTTGTTCAAGCTCATCAATCATCTCAGCAATGGCAATTAATTGAGCTCTCGACTTCTTTGCTGCTGACTGCAACTGGACCATCTCTTTCTTAAGAGGCATAACCTTCTCCAATATTGAATAGTATCTTAATTGGGCTATCACCCACTGTAATAGAGGTCCACACGCTTTACTCGCACGGTTGACAGTTTCGTAGTTAAAGTCAGGTCGGCTCAAATACGTCTCCTCCATGTAATCACTTAATTCTTGCTCGAGCTGTGTTTCGCTGTCAAATGAAACGATACTTGCAATAAAGTCATCTTTCCTGATCACGAGTTGGACATCTCTCCATGTTTTAACATCGTAGCCTAGGAGAATACAAACAGACTCCATTGCTAATTTCACGGCCGCTGGAGGGTTTGACATGCTTCTCATTTCGGTCAAATGCTGTTTCTTGATATTTTGGACACCCCTCTGGGCTTCAAGCACAGCAGGTTCGGCGAGCTCAAGTTCACCCATAACGACCTCACGTCTCTTATTGATCTGTGCCTCGTGTTTTTCGAGCTCTTCCTGGGTTACTACCGAAAACTCCCTCTTTCTTTCAGCTTCATTCTGGTTCAGAATCATCTTGTCTAGCATTATCTTGGCGTCAGCCTCCTTTGCCAATAAGTCTTCCCGTTTCTCAGACAACACTTTTCTCATAGCTGTCACCTCAAGCACAGTTTCTTTAAGTTTGTCTAAGCCGCTCATTATGTGTCTCTGACTTCCATTAAGCTCATCTTCCTTCCTATGGAAAAGGTCCGAGAAAAGCTGCAAGAACTGCAAGTATCGATTAGGATATGACGAAGCGGATTCATGAATAGATATGCAAACGTTGACGACGGCATCTCTGAAATGACGGTTCGGTAAACCGTAATGCGTGTTCTCGATCTGAACTGGTGGCTCGTAATCAGAACGGTCTAATGCAATATCTTGAGTCCTTTTAGTTGCCACTTCGACTAGCGAGTTTGTGGACCAATCTCCCATCCAACTTAGCACACATCTATTAAAAAGGGCAGGCGAAGAAGTGACCTGAACCCTGTTACCAGTTCCAACATCGCTGAGGGTGAAGACAACGTGAAGGTTAGAACTTACTTGTTGGGTAAACCAAGCATAGAGCTCTTGGTCACTGTCCAACAAATGACCTTGGGCAGATGATTCCGCCGCACATTGTTTCATTAGAGAAGCATACTCGTCCTCTTCAAACAAGCCTGGTATTTCGGAATTTGCAAGTAACGTATTCATTCTCTCGATAAAAGATGTCTCGAGAAGACTAGACTCGTCAATGAGGAAGCATATCTTCTCTCCATTCACACAAGCAATAAGGATCTCCCGAAGCTTCCGTTGAAAGTCCTCTATCGTGTAGCCTTTGTGAACGTTCAACTGTATAACCTTGATACCGTTCATCCAAGCCACAAACTTCGTAAGCGTAGATTTACCGCTTGTACAAGGGCCAACAAGAATCATGTGGCCCTGATGTTGTTTGAGAACCCTATCTACCCTCAAGGTGTGATCAAGCATGTCCTCGAAAAGAATTAAGTCGACATCAAGTTCCTCTTCGCTAAAGACTCGTAACCTTTCACGTACAAAGATGGCCAACTCATCCATCGAAACGGGTTCATACTCCAGTGTGATCCAGTCAGAATACAATATTGGCTCTTTGAAGGATTTTTCTAGATCCGTGTGAGGAAAGCTATCCCTGGCAGCATCCTTGAGCAACTGTTTGGTCCATTGTTTCTCTTTCTCCATGCTTAATCTGTCATAGAAAAGTCTGAGACCTTCGTGGTACCATAAACGAAGTAGGGCCGAAAGTTCGTTATACGTGTTTGGAAGCACCGTCTCCAATATTCCCCTACACCATCTAGTGAGTTCTCGAGGTGAGTAGATGTAGTGACTTTGGATTGCTGTCGTAAGATGGCTCTTACTGGCGAAATACACCTCCAACATCGCCGATGTTAACGGCTTTGCAAAACCTCGAAGGTCCGGAGCGCATTTAAGTATTGCATGGTTGAAGCTTTCATAGATTTGAGTCATAGAAGTCCTTCCAGGATAGTCAACCATAATCACAGAGACATGACGCAAGAAACGGTCAGCCAATTGATGTCTTCCTGGGTCACTTGGATCATTACAGGCACCCACAAATTGTACGTTCTCCAAGGTTACCCATTCCCTTAGACGAGAGTTCCAAAATCCCTGGCGTTCCACCATAAGCCGCATAAGAGCGATAACGTTTTGCGAGCCGTACTTGTCGGTGGAGGGCAAATTGATCTCATCACAAAACACCACGGCCCACTTCCCGTTGCTTTTGGGTGAAAGCGTCAAGCCTTTATTTGACCGCCTATAACAACAATGCTGCTCAAGCAGAGACAATAAGGTATTAGGAGATGTATCCTTCGAGAAGTTAAGGGATATCAACTCTAGCCGAGACAGCTTTCTGAGGGCTTTCAAAAGAGTCATTGTCTTTCCCGAGCCCGGAGGGCCACATAATAGGAGTGGAGAGCGTTTGTTGACAAGAGAGTAAATAAGGTGCTCATGGACAACGGTATCAACTGTTGGTACGATCGTGCTAGGATCCATTACCTGGTGTGGATCAAGGTCCAAGGTAGTGACTTGCAGCAGCCAAGGGGACCAGCAGAAATCGGTATAAGAGATTTGATACTCCGTCACATTCTCAGGGATTTCCATGCCTGTAAACTCAGTCAAGGACGCTAGCTTTGCAGTAAACATGACTCGTTGTTCTATTGGGCAGTCACCTGAATAACCCCAAACCAAAGATATAAATATGGCCTTGGTGACAAAGTCTTCTAAGGATTCCCAGACAATAGTCGAATTTTGTAGTTTGAAACTAAGCAAACCTGTAATTTCTGAAATAAAGAACCGGAAAAATGAGTTAAGCGACCTTTGTGGGCAGTGCTTCATAATGTGATCATACTCCTTTGAAATAAGGAAAACTTTTTCGAAAAACCCATCTTGGAATGCTCCAGCGGCGTCAGTAATCAGGCGTTGGATTTGCAACTTTTCATAATCAAAATGATCTGCGTTTATTGAGTCTGCTAGCTCAATACCTTCTGACCGCAACGTGAAAAGAAACTTATACCATAGCAGTTTCTCTGTGATTAATGATCGATCGAACCACACCATACCGCAACGTGAAATAGTGGCAAGTGTCGCATGTTCCAAATTATCCACTTCGAAAGCTATTCTCATATTCGAAGGGAGCTCGAGTCGCTCACCATTGGGAAGAGTTAAAACTTTGTTATCATCAAGTACACTGTTCAAGTTCTCCGCCCATTCCGGATCAATATCACCATCAAATACCACCCACACACGCAGAGCCTGCTCTCCTTTCATGTTATCAATAATGGTTCTCATGAAGCCCGTGAACAAGCCATCTGACCATTCCCGAGTGATTGGGTCCAAAGATCCAAAGATCTGATTCTTGGTGAGGACCTTACAATCCAATACGAAAGTCTTGTGGGCGACATTCTCAAGCTCTGACAAAGCATCTAAAACTAGCCTCATGATCGTCGACTTTCCACTACCTGCTTCTCCAACCAACATAAAGCCGTGGTGTGAGTTCAGAATTTGGAGCACTTGTGAGCATTTTGTCAAAAGATCCTCCGATAGGGTCAAGCCTTTAGCAACTGCAGCTTTCCTAATCCTATCATAAAAGGCCTCAAACTCAGAAGAAGAAATATGGCGATCACCGAAAACCTGCCTTGTCAATTCATGAAATTTGGTGACATCTTCGGGGACTAACTTTGGTAAAACCGAGTCTATTATACACCGGGAAACAAGGTCTTCTTCTTCCTGAAGCCCAGCTCTTTGGGAATTGGCAATGTTCCCCTCGCATCGCCTTGTGCCACACATGCGAAGAATACTTTTGATCGCCCTCAAACCAAAATCATAGTGACGCTGGAATGAGGTAGTTTTCTCGAGTTTCTCATAGAAGCGAACTAATCGAGAGGAGAGCTCTTCAGTATGAGTTAACTTTTGGGAAGTAAGAATAACGTCGATGATCATTTCCAAATCAGGCCTCTCCATGGAAAAACTCCGAAAGAGTCGCTTCAAATTTTCGGGAAGTTCATTTCTACCAACATAGCCTGGGTTCATTGTGACGAATAGACCAGTTTTGGGATGCACTGAGATAGAGTGGCCCGCTATTTCGACTTGATGATTCTCGCCATTGATACCAGTTTGTATAGCCTCAATTTGTGACGCAAGAGCACTAAGATTGGAGGAATCAAGCCTGTTAAACTCATCAAAACATCCCCAGCAACCAACCTTGCCGAGGCCTAGAAGAATTCTTTCAATCGACTTGAAATCAAAGGAGTCATCGCAATTGAACACTTTCACCATCCGACCGAGGGAATGGCCTAGGGCTTTTACGCTCTCTGTTTTACCAGTACCAGCAGGACCAAAAGGGGAGCCTCCCAATCCTTGAGCTATAGCCTGAGTCATCGCCAAGTAGCATTTTTCGACAAGAGGTGTGATTGCAAGGCTCTCAAGGACGCCATGATATTCGAAACCATATGGTAATTTGAAACGGCCATGCGATACCACAACACTCTCAAGCGGTGAAGCTTCCGGTTTGAAATCAAAGAGCTGCCGTTGTTGTAATTCGGAAGCACGATGATGGGGTGCAATGTTGTCAAGGAAGCGGCATACATTTCTGTGATGAATGAGTTGGATTACCAACGATTCAATCTTTCGGGTTCGGTATAAATACTCCGAGGAAGTAGATAACGAAGCAATATCCTTGACGAGCTTTTCATAGAACACAGTCAACTGGGCAAATTCGGTGTCTTTCTTCAGCTCTAAAGATTTTCTCGAGAAATAAATATTTAACGCAACAATGACCGCTTGAGTCGGAAAGGAATCAATAGTCTCACTTATTTGAGAAGCCTCATAAGCATTAGAAAACAAACTATCAAATGCTTGAAAAGCAGCTCTGATGTATCCCGCAAGCGACATCTTCATTTGATGTTCTAATTCACTGAGCCATTGATGTAATTCTCGGGACTTGATCAAAGAGACAGGGTTCGTGAGAAGCATTGATTCTCCCTCTGGACTTTTAACGGCCACGATTGAGTGCGTGTCTCTGTTTATCACCAAAGATTCAACACCAAAGAACATCAGCTTCACATGCCTGTTTACTCGACTAACATCCTGCGACCCACCGATTAATTCAAGTAAATCTTCATTTCCCAAGAAATAGAATCGAGGGAAAAGCTCGCGTTGCTTCTCAAGGTAGTCGGTAAGCCCCTTCTTTGTTCGTTCCAAGCTTTCGTTCATCTTTGTGAAGCTGTCCTTCAATCCTTTCATTGACGCGACATCAATGACTAAAGAAAAGCGGCTCACTCTTTTCAAGAGCTCAAGAAAGTCGAATGAGATATTATTGAATCTCGCCGCTTCGGTTGGCAAAGAAGATACAATCTCAGGGTTGTTGCCAAATACCCCCTCGAGATACGACCACTGTTTCTGTACCTCGATCCAAATATTGAAAGTTGATACGAGATCAATAATCTTGCCCTCAAGAGCGGACCTTCTTTCTTCGAATTCACCATGTGACACCAGATTTTTCATACTTGATAGTGTACCTAAATGAGCATGACAAGTATCAAAAAGCTTATCCCAATTACGAATGAGGCGGCATTTACCATTGAAGTCAAAGGTTTCGAACACAATTGATGACCATTCATCTTCAATGCTGTTCAAGGACTCTTCCACGATCTGCTCGTCGTTCGCTTGCTTAAGAATCGTTCGAATAGAGCCTTGGTGCAATTTGAGCCCCATGTCAAGCACTTGCAGTAGCTTCATAGAATCGTAAGAAACGTTAAGTGATGGATCGACTAAAGCGAAAATGCTATTCCAGTGCCTTGATTTAAGGGAACCTGCCTTTAGTTCCTGGAGAAAAACAAGTTCATCAGAAAAAGAAGAGAGCGTATTCTTTAAGACACCAAAAGCTGAATAATGGCGGACCAAGGCAGGAAGCTTTTTCATGGAGCTAAGAAGACCATCAAGTTGCTGCTTGACTTTTCTGGGCTGTGTATCTGACCACTGACATCTCTTAATCTCTTCTAGAGAATTCCACACATCTTGAAGGGAGCTCCAGACTAGACCTAGGTCGTCGATGTCATCTTGAAGTGTCAGAAACAGGATCGCACTAGGAATAGCCACTTTGAGTTCTTCAGCAACCTCAATTACTCGCTTGCGAGAGGCGTCGAGAGCATTCAACCTTTTCTGTAATTTTGCCAAGATTGATAGAGCAAGCCCTGGTTCGGTTGATTCTGTGATAGACCGCTCTTTAAACCATTCATTCGTGATACGCTCAAGATCTTGATTGCAGCGATTCATTTCTTGAGCTAGACGAGTTTGAAAGAAATCAAGATTTTCAGTGACGAACGACATTCTTTTCGAAATGAGCAGCTCCAAGTTGGAAACTCTATTCTCGAGCTGATCAGGGTAAATCCAATCACCAGGAAGTTGGATTTTGCTCCGATGTAAAAGTCTTTGGCATTCTCCAATCAAGACTTGAAACTCTTTCCAGCCACGAATATTTTTCTTGGACTGTAGAACATGAACAACAAAGTTCAAGATAGTCTGAAAATCGTACAGTAGATTTGGCTCGTTTGAAAGCCGCTTTTCGGAGTCCCTCATGGCATTGAGCAGGCCTAGGCCAGCTTGAGTAACCTTGATTATAAAATCGGCGAGCAACTTCGACTTAGATTTCTCATACATCCCACTGACCTGGTTCCGAACCATGGAGAACAGAACATCTATCACCCCGCTGAGTTTCGAGATACCTCTTGGATCATTCAAAAGCTTTCCCAATGCAAGAAAATTCGAAGCTTTTTTCAACAGATCCGCAACATCGAGATCATTGAAAGAACTTTCCGGCTCTAAATGAATTTGAAGCGCTTCCCCAAGGCTCCTCCATTCTTCCATGGCGGCATTCAGCATCTCGAAAACGAGATCGATATCATGAAGAGCTTCGTTAACGGTTTCCATAAGTATTTCCGAGTAATCATGACACACGGGGTAACGAATACCATCAAAACCTTCAACCGTGATACTAGAGATTGCCTTCACTTTTTCGTCAATGACAGAAACCCAGCATGCTCTTGTAGATGACAAAGGAGGCTCGATAAGAAAATTGCCATTCTCATAATGAAGAACATGATACATGTTTTGAAGATCTGAAGACGCAGCAATTTCACCTTTTACTTCAGCTCTAAAATTGGCGACCGCAGTGGTACATTTGTTCAAAAGAGCTTGCCTAAGTTGAGCGTGAAGGGCCTCCTGAAATCCAGCAGCATTAGACGACTTCAGTACAATTGGCAATGAGGCATTTCGGGCAATATCAATCGTTCGTTGAATGGTAGCGACTTCAAACTTGGATGTCATAATATTGGGTATCAAATCATCGATTAGCGTTTTTCCAAAATTGGCCATCGTTCTTTGCATATCAAGCAAACTATATGTCGCCTCTTGAAAAAGATGAACTTGCCTCAAGGACTTAGCTTCAAAGTTAGAAAAATCGGAATCTTCTCTGTTCTGGCTAACATCCAACTGGATATCCACCCAAGAAAAGCTGGTCAATGCGAGTAAGTTTTGTAAAGCATCACGCTTGAGAGGATCGAGAATGGTTTTGAATCCATTCTCTGATTGTTCCTTGTTTAATATCTGAGAAAACACCTCAATATGCTCGTCCAATGTGAATATAATGGGCTTCATAATCTTAATTTTGTTCGCTTGGAGAATTATATCGGAAGAGGCACGAAGTCCCATGAAGCTGTAGTAAGATAGGCTTGATGGGACATCCATCAACTGGTAAGGGTAATTTAGACTCATTCCCTTAAAAAGAGGGTCCGACTCTTCCTGAATTCTAAAGAGGCCGCTAAGATTCTTCAAGTCATGTAATGAAGACTGTACAAGGCATGTCCATTGGTCGAAGAGAGTAGACACCTCGAGTCTTTCAGCCAAATAAGACGTCAAATCACGAATTTGCGACCCCATTGCGAATAGAGTCCAATTATCACCTAAAGTTCTGTTGAGCGAATTGATGATATTTTCAAGCCTGGCTTTTCGAGATAATCGGGATTTAATGATTTTAAATAATGCAGCAGGATCCTCGATATTTCTGTCATTATCAGCTGCGTTTTGTGTGTTGGCATCGCAAGATGATAAATCCTGAATCATGCTATGGGCAAGCAGAAGGAAACGCACAATGTGACTGTCGTCAATAAGCGGAAGAAGCGTAGACATACTTGAATTATTGCCCTGGATTTGCTGAAAGAAGCTAACAAAGTTATCAAAAGAAAGGCAGCAAGTTATGCCGTTATTTAGGGACGTGGACAACATCTTCAGCACTTGATTGTGAATCTCGAGATAACTGTCCTCCTCTGCCGCCCATATAAGAGCTCCATGACTTGTGAAATCAAAATGCTCTGTACCGACTATATGCTTGTTAAAAGCTTTAGTCAAGTAATCATTGATTGAATCATCGACGACCGAGGTTGTGAGGCTCTGAGATAATTCATGATGCTTTGACTTGAGCTTTGCCAAATGTTGTACTCTCAGCTCTATCTGATCAATATCCTCGCGATCAATCTTTATAATCATGAACTTTTCCAGTCGCTTCCTCATTAGCTCTCTGAGAACATTCATCATATGCTTGATCGAATTATCCAATGTCAGAAAAATTCCCCGAACCTTGCCATTCACAGCATTCTCAAAGGCATCTTGTGGTAAGGCCATAATGGATAAAGACGATAGAATCTCCTTTAGATGCTGTGAGATATCACGAAGAACGAGTTCTATCAGCTCAATTATGCGAAGAAGGGGAAATGTCGTCAGGGATTTCCATCGTTTCAAATGACTGAAGATAGCTGTTATAGAGGCCTCGATGTCAGAAAGCTTATTCGATGACTGAACTGCATCTCGAAGGCCATCGATTGGTAAATCTTTCAAGAAGGCATTGTAATGTTTAACTTCTTCTAGCTTCTCTGCTATTCTCAAGTTATTCTGGAATATAAGAGTTGTTTGGAATCGCTTTGCCGCGGCTAGTATATCGATAAGTCTCTGCACTTCAGGCTGCTGTACTTGTTGTTGGACACCCTCCAAGGCTGTTTCCATTGATGCCCAAAACTTCTTCTCATCTGCCATTGACCAGACACCAGAAGGATTCTTAGACGTTCTAGTAATAGATAGTATAGTTCTAATCCAGGTGTTGGCGATTTGAGTGAGCTCATTGAGAACTGTCGTATCCTGCAAAGTGGAATCGTTGACCTCAGGAGCACGAAGGATATCCAAAATGGTCGGCAGAACATAATTGAGCAAATCAGGAACGTCTATCTGCAGATGTACGTAGTTTAGTGAAGCATTGAGCTCGTAGAGCTTCTTCCTAGCTGTCTCAAGGGTATTCGACGCGTTCTTGTCTGTATCTAATGTTAGGCGGTCGAAGTATGGAGTAACGACATGATTAAGAAGATCCCGAACAAAGGCGGGAGAACTCTCGTTTTTAGTGTTATATGCTTCGTCGATGGGAAAACAGAAAACGTTTAGTTGTGAATGCAAAGAAACATCTGATCGAAGGGGATCAGAATGCTTTAATATGGTAGACATCTGCACTGTGTCATTCGGGATCTGCTCGGGCATTTCCGTAAGTATAGAAAATCCACCATCTATAAGTAGGACCACATAAAGGGCCTGAGGAGATTCAGTGGCTATGAAGGTACTCAATACATGCTCTGTCTGGCTCTCTTGATCGATGCAGCTGGCACGGCTATCTTGTGAGCTTATAAGGACAGTAATGAAGTTTTGTAGAACATGAACCTTCAAAAGCTCAGAACCTTCATCTGATTTGAGGGCCTGTGCACACATGCGGTTTTGAGGATTTTAAGTAGTACTGCCTTTGTATGTTAGATCAGTAAATGGGATCAATGGTGTTTGTTGATGTTTACTCACGTGTTTTATCACGTGTAGAGATCTGGCGTCTGGCCCACAGTGGTTGCAAAAGAATGTCAGCCACGAGGCATTATTGGTGTCAGAATAACAGTTACTTAGTTACGTATTATTGAAAGCTATCCTTTGCTTTGTTTTGATCTAAATTGTTAATTATATGAGGAACTGGATCCAAAAAGACGACGTTAGAGACCCATCAACAAAGGGAAAAAAAAACGTTGACAGGCCTTTCTTGTCTTGTTCTAGACATCATCTTTGACATTCTTATGCTATCTCTTCCTGGTCGCTATTTAATTGCGGGTTTTTACTTTTCTTCAATAGTCGACATACTTCATAAGTTTGTAGATGAAGTGACTTTCGCAGCCAATCCACATTTTGCACCCATTTCTGTAATTTCGCAGTCAAATCGACTATTGTAAGACATCGATCATTTGATGCTAAATAATCCAATTTTGCATCAAGACAGCTCAAAACTATATATTACAATTTAATAGTGTACTACAACCCACTTATAGAATCATTTATTGTAAATTCAACAAAAAAAAAAAAATGTAAAGAGCTTTCGAAAAGTACCTCACCTGTAATATCTCTTTCTGCACCAGCTACATGGACCACACAAGCTCGAAGTCAGTTTTCACAAATTAATAATATCAAGTTCTTTTTTTTGCTGACTTACTCTTTACAAGAAGTTATCCAGAAGAACCATCAGAATTGTCTTCCAAGTAATTTTCTTTTTCTTGCTACTATGAAACAAACCCCACACGTTTCGGAAGGTCGCCCAGACCGAGAACCGCTGGAAGAAGCGCGCTTCTTTCCAGGTTGGCATCACGTGACCTCTTTCCACAACAAATAGTCTGCCTCAAAAAGTCGATTACAAGCATCGACCTTTCTTGCTATAAACAGCTATACACATTTTTTGCATTTGCATTTACATTTTTGAACTCGGAGTAAAAACTCTTTGACCGTTTCATCCTCATAATCAGCATCCATGGACAAACCTCGAAAAACACCCGATGATTACCAGACCCTCTTTGACAAACTAGATATTGACAAGAAGGGCCAGATCACATTTCTGGATTTCAAAAATGCCGTCAAGACGTTGAACCACCCGGTTGGCGAGAATCCAGACTTACTAGAGCAAGTTTTCCAATCTTTTGATTCCAACAAAGACAACATTATCGACTTTAATGACTTTAAGCTTTACTTAACGACTACTGATGACCAGATTTTGAAAGGATTCAATAAAATAGACCTGGATAGCGATGGTAAGTTGACTAGGGCCGATTTCATCAACTACCTTAAGAAAACTCTCAATCTTAGCCCGTCTGACCAAATTATCGACGAAGTGTTCAGCAAGTTTGACCACAATTGCCAAGGCTACATCACATACGATGAGTTTAGAGATTTCTTATTATTGATGCCTCGTTTACATGGCTCGAGAATTAGAACTGCCTACAATTACTTGGCCGAAGAACTCGATTTGTCCGCCGATGGTGATGTCACTTTGATCAATTCGTTCATTAGCGGTTTCGGCTTCTTTTTGGCAGGCGGCCTCTCCGGAGTTGTTTCCAGAACATGTACTGCTCCATTTGATAGAATTAAAGTGTTCCTTATCGCCAGAACTGACCTTTCGTCCACAATCATGCATAATAAAAAAGAGCTTGCCAAGCAAGTGGAGACTGGAGCTTCCAGACAAGCTATCGAAAAGGCTAGAAATAAGCTCATCCAATCCGAACGTGAAGCTCGTCACCAGGCCGGAAAGCCCCAGCATAAAACTATAAGATCCCCATGATACAAGCAATCAGAACCCTTTGGAAACAAGGCGGATTCAGAGCATTCTATGTCGGAAATGGTTTGAACGTCATAAAGGTGTTCCCGGAATCGGCCATGAAGTTTGGCTCCTTCGAGGCAGCCAAAAGATTGTTTGCTAGAATAGAAGGCGTTGACGATACTTCAAAGTTGTCAAAGCTCTCCACCTACTTGGCAGGTGGTATGGGTGGTGTGGCTGCCCAGTTTACAGTCTACCCTATAGATACATTGAAGTTCCGTGTTCAATGTTCCAATTTGGACTCCCTGTTGAAGGGTAACAAGCTTCTCATACAGCAAGCTAAAGACATGTTTAAAGAAGGTGGATTGAGGATTTTTTATAGAGGCATTTTTGTCGGGTTGAGTGGTATGTTTCCTTACGCAGCTCTTGATTTGGGAACTTTTTCAACGATCAAAACCTTGCTTGTCAAGAGAGAAGCAAAGAAACTTGGAATCTCAGAGGAGAACGTTCGTTTGCCAAACTACATGGTTCTTTCTTTGGGTGCTATTTCAGGTACTTTTGGCGCAACTGTCGTCTATCCTATTAACTTGTTGAGAACAAGATTGCAAGCACAGGGCACCTATGCTCATCCTCACAGATATAAAGGCTTCAAAGACGTCTTCCAGAGAACCGTTGCGAGGGAAGGTGTTCCGGGCCTTTTCAAGGGTCTTGTGCCTAACTTGGCCAAGGTTGCACCAGCGGTGTCTATCAGTTACTTCATGTATGAGAATTTGAAGAACTTGATGGGTCTTGATAACAAGCTCGATTAATCGTTAACATATTCATTATGAATATCAAAACACATGAACCCCACGCTCATTTCACCTAAAGGCACGAAAACAGTGTTTCGTGTGTCCTGCTCTGAAGTGAGTCTAATCCAAGGTGACGGGTCCGAGGACACTCTATTGAGATCAGTCTCACTGTCAGCGTTAAGCAATAGCTTGAAGAAGTAATCATTAGAAACTGGCGCTTCATTTCGCTTAAGCTCCTCAATGTGGAAGAAAATGAGACTTCGCAAGTGGACATACATATTGTCTCGCGTGAAGTTGGGAACGTTTATCTTTGCTGACTGCGTATCTTTGACGGCAGCAGGATTCAGGAGAAAGTCAAGCGAAGACAATTGGCCCTTGAGACCTGAGAACTGGTTGAAGTTAGCAATGTATCTTTGTCGCACATGGAGACTTGACTCGTCATAGAGTAAAACCACGATATCATGGACTTTGCCTCCTCCATCCTTTTCAACCAAGATAGAGATCATGTCAATGGCAAATCTCTCTAAATATTCATTCAAAGCGGGAGCTCGACATTGATAAACCGTCACATCGAGGTACAGTTTCTTGCTAAATGCATCATCTGGGTAAATATGGTTATAGTAGATGATCTGGGAAATCCAGACGGCAAGGAAATCTCGCAATGCCAAGAGAACATCGGGCACTGTTAATGCAGACATTCATAGGATACTAAGTAGAAGAGCATAGTAGTACTGAGAGGTAAGGTTGCCTTCCATTCTGTAAGGCAGCGATGATTTTCGCACGTGACGATACTACTAGTACGAAACGGAACCAGAGAATCCATCAACAGCTAAAGAAGCATCCAACGTTGAAAGTCTTAATACTGAAGGCATTCTTTGAAATAATATCCCCAAAGGTTTCCTAAACAAGTGCCATTTTCCCTTGAAAGCTATTTCCATACCATTATTACCATGCCCATCACGTCTATTGACGCGTCTGACGTGAATAAGCTCACGTCTGGCCAAGTGATAATAGAACTTCAGTCTGTTGTCAAGGAGCTAATAGACAATTCCTTAGATGCTGGGAGTCAACTGATTGAGGTTGTGTTTAACAATTACGGCATTAAGGGCATCGATGTTACAGATACTGGTAGGGGAATTGAGAAGGCTGATTTCGGGGCTCTTTGTTTGAAGCATCATACATCAAAATTGTCAAGTTTCGAAGAACTTGAGTCTGTATCTACTTTGGGCTTCAGGGGTGAGGCATTAGCTTCCTTGTGTGCTGTTGCCAAAGTGAAAATCACCACATGCACCGACTCCACATATCCTAAAGCATCACAGCTAGACTATGATAGCATGGGCCGATTGACTTCCGAGAAGACGCTAGTAACAGGTAAGAAGGGAACAGCTGTATCAGTTCAGGACCTATTTCATGGCTTGCCAGTGAGGCAAAAATACTTTGCTAAGAACGCCAAAAGAGAATACTCGAAGGCATTGTCACTATTGGTTGGGTATCTTCTAGTCTATACAAATGTTCGTTTTGCAATCTACCAAATAAGTGGTAACACGGGAAAGAAGTCAATGGTCATGGGTACCCAGGGACAAGGTGCCTCCATATTCGATACACTTGTAAGCGTATATGGCAGCAACGGTGCACATGGCTTGGTACCCATAGACATTGCCACCGATAATATCGAAGCAAGATTTAAACTTGGCATGAAAAGTGTACCTGTGGCGCTAAAATTTCGTATCAATGGTTTGATTCTGGACTATTCATTTGGAATGGGTAGGGGAGCACTGGATAGACAATTCTTGTACGTCAACAAGAGACCTATTATACATAAAAGGTTTGCTAAAATTATTAACGAGGTCTACAAAGCTTTCAATCATACACAGCTGGCTGTGTTTGTGCTTAACATAGAGATTGACCAGACTTTTGTTGATGTCAACGTGACTCCAGATAAGAGAAGCGTCATGGTGCAAAATGAAGATCTCTTGGGTGAAGTTCTCCGGGAAGAGATTACAAAGTTTTACGATAGTATGCATAACGTTGTTCCCAAGAGTGATCTCGGTGTTGTGAGATTAGGTTCGAGTCAAAGCTTGGACTCCTTTCAGAAACGAAAAGCGTCGAATGAATCTGCTTCTGATCTCACAGGAAAGAGGCGTCAAAGTTCACAAGTGTCGAAAATATCTTTAACGGAGGCTTTCCTGAGTGGTGGCACGGAAAAAGATCCTCAGGAGAGCAATGATAAGCAGCGACGGGATCTCGAGACGGTCATGTCGGAAAGTGATGGTGCCGAAGAAGAGGAAGAATTTACAAATATCTCACAGAATGTCAGCAAAATGACCCCAGAGGAGTCTTTTGAAGATCTGGAACGCATGCATATTGATGACGAGACGGAACATGGCGAAGACAAAGACGAGGAAGAGAACGAAGAAAACGAAGAAGAAGAACAACAAGACCAAGAGGAAGAGAGAATTGTCGGAGAAGAGGAAGAGGATGAAGAAGAGGTGACCGAAAGCATGGGGTTCGAAGTTGAGGACCCAGTCGACATAGAAAGACTTGAAGGGGAAACACTTGATGAGCAAAGCGAGAATACTAATCCATCCCAGGATAATATCCCGATTGAGCCGCTTTCAGTGCAGCCAAACAATGACTTTGGCGATGAAAGTGATATCGATCAGTCGGATGACGCTGCCGATAACAGCTTCCTATTAACGGAGGAGGCACAGCTCTTTGTTCAACAAGATGAAACCATTGACGACGGCGATACGGAGACAGCTAATGTTACTGAAGTTGACGATACTTTATTGAAACCACACTCTCACGGTCATAAGGGCGGTCATGGATGTTGCCATTCGTCACACGATGAGACATTTGAATTAGATGAAGGCGATCAAACGCTGGTGGCACCGATCGGATCGGCTTTAGGACCAGCAGACCGACAGCTTACAAAGCCGGTTTCGAAATCAAGTGCCATAGAGCCCGTGGCAGGTATTAATAGAATACTTAAGCTAGCAGACTATGATTTTGAAAACGAGCTTATTCCCGCTGCTTACCCCATCAAAACGGAGAAAACTCAACAAGACAAAGCCACCTTGGTGAATGTGCATGATGTGAGGGAAAAGCTTATTATCCAGAAACTGGATTTCCCCAGTATGGAAGTGGTTGGGCAATTTAACCTCGGGTTTATCGTGGTAAGACACGATGACAGGCTCTTCATAGTTGATCAGCATGCTTCGGATGAGATTTTCAACTACGAGAGACTCCACCGACTGCTTCTGCTTCGTGCTCAACCGTTGGTGATACCACGAGTGTTAGAACTCTCGCCAATCGACGAAATGTTAGTTCTTGATCAGCAGGACCAATTGCGCAAGAATGGGTTCGTGATCCGAGAAGCCGAGGAGCCACAACCGGGTAAAAGAGTGGAGCTTATTGCGCTTCCTGTGCTGAAAAACGTCGTTTTTGACGATAGCGATCTACACGAGTTGGTGCAGCGTCTCCACGAGGCTGGACCAGCGCAGGGTTCTATTGTTCGGTGCAAGAAGGTGGATCTGATGATCGCTCTGCGGGCTTGCCGACTGAGCATTATGGTAGGGCAAACGCTCAACCGAGGCACCATGAGTACTGTTGTAGGGCATTTGGCTGAGCTCGACAGACCATGGAACTGCCCTCATGGGAGGCCCACGATGAGGCACTTGGCAGATCTCGAAGGCCAAGGGTTTACCGACGACTACAAGTTATAAAAAAGAAGCCGCCCCTGGAAGTATCTGACACAGAAAGACGCACCGAAGAGATCGGCAGTAATGTGAAAGAGTGAGAATGAAGCAAAAGAATGGCCAGCCGCGGTATACAAGAAAGACGGGCCGAGTGGGACAAAAGCCGAAAAAAGAAGCTAACACAAAGCGAGTTTCAGCACCGCCTTTTGTTGGCGGCCGAGGGCGAAAACGCAAATAAACATGAATCCATCTAATTAAGCCTTCCCTAACCCAAGTTTCATATTCATTTGCAGCCGTAGACCCTGGGATGCATTGAGTGATGCACACGAATCACTGCGGCCGCAGTAAGGCTTTTCTAACAAAGCCAGCGTCTCGTAGATAAGGCATGAGGCTGTCTCGACCCCAAGTGACACATGCACCGACAAAGAAACAGCCAAGCACATGATATTTCATTATTTCTTCTACTTCCACAAACACATAGTCTCCATACATTCTAAAACCTCATTTGCATCGCTCCGCCCTAGTGAAAATGCACTGTGACCTTCCTTGATCTCCTCGCTCCTACATACGGCTGAAGACCTTGCTTTTTTTTCCTGGTGCCCCAAGGACTAAACTGCTTTCGCTTCCCTTTTTTGATAATGCGCTAGGGAAGAAAAAAACAAGAGCCAATACATCTCAGGCATTGCGTCATTCGAAATGATAAATTTTTTTTTCTTAGTTCCCAAATCTCCCTTTTCTCAGTCGTCCCTCACCTTCCATAGAGCACTTTTAGTCTCCAGGTCTGCCCTGTATCTTCGCATAAAGCTTCTATTTTGGCCGAAGCATTTTTGTTTTTTTCTCTCTTTTGTAGAGCCCATCGGCCGCATGCAGCACAATAAATAGGGTACAAAAAAAAAAAAAAAAAAAAAAAGGTGCCATTGGCAAGTAAACAGCCAGAAAACCTGTCCACCGCACCCACGCTAACATCAGACCCAGTGAGCGAGGCACCGCACTCACACACACGCACACTAAATAACTCGAAAACTTCACCCTCCAGTCCACTTTGCAGAACCCGTTCTTTTTTGTTGCATTTGTATTTATTCGGCTAGTGTCCGTTGAGTTCGTTGCATAAAAAAACTCTATTATTGATATTGCCGTTTTTTTTTATTATTTTATTTTTACTTTATTTTGGTATTTTATTCGTTCCCCAAGCAACCCCAGAATATTCAACCTGCTGTTTGTCCTAGAAGCAAATGCCGAGATCTCCAGGCCTGGCCAAGTCAGAGAGAAAGACTCGTCGAACGCATAAGAACTCCAGAGATGGGTGCCCGAACTGTAGGGCCAAAAGGATAAAATGCACGGAAGAACTCCCCAGCTGTGCCAACTGTGTGAAGAGACAATACAGATGTGGATATCTCGACTTTCCCCCAGACAGACTCGAACACATCAAAAAGAAGAATGAACAGAAACGACTGCTGCATATGCATGTTGTTCCAGAGAAAGTCTCTTCTCCTGATACAAAGACAGAAAGGCAGTCTTCGTCTAAGAGTCTGCTGTCTTCGACGCAAGAGACCACGCTACGACAAAGAAAAACAAATAACGGCACCAAGCAGAAACCTCAGTCGGTCTTCACCAACCGTTCAGAGAACTTCAGGTCTCAGGTTTACTCGACTGTCTTTAGTGAACTTAACAATCATGATATCAGTGTTATCCGTGACATGCAAAGTGCAGAGTTGAAACCGTGGCAGGACTTGCTGAATATGCTTGAAACATCGGTGACTGACGATGTTCCTGATATAACACCGGATAACGTTTTCTGGCCAACGAATTTCGAGCTTCCAAGTGATTCCAGCTTCCCAGAGCCGCACTTTGATATGAAAACAGAATCCCCAGATTTTGATACCGCCTCACGGATCAATGATAACAATCTACCGGGAGCGGCGACTCCTAACTTTAATGCCTCGAGAAGCCAGTCTCCAAACGTCCATGATGAGTTCAGAAGTGGTCACCACAGACCCAGACGTTCTCAGGTTAGGCGCGTCGGTTCACCTTTGCCCAATGCTATCCATAGGAAGACCAAGTTTACACGTTTCATTCTTCCTCCTCAGTTAGAGAATCACTTCCTTCAAGATGTTTTACAAGTTATAGGCGATGGCCCTGTCGATCTTCGCAATGTAACGTACAACAGATTCACGACGATTATCCAGCCGGTCTGGACAGACGAAGCAATACGGACATTTTGGCTTGCTATTTTTCACCAAGCCACTATGCTCAATTTGTATTTTATTTATTTCATCGATAAGGCCGTCAATATTTCTAAAAGAACGGCCCAGATCGTTGTGAATCGTGAGTTTGAGAATTTCAGCAATCAGTCTTCTGCAAGTCTGACTTCCAATAATTCTTCGCCTTTGAGCAACCAAAGTCTAAGTCCGAACAGTACTAGTCAAAGATTCTCCGATTTCTTTTACAATCCAGATGACTTGAAGAGGCTAAACCGGTTGCTGTACGTTACTTACGGAAGAATGCTTCGTGCTTTGCGCCAATCTGTTTTTAATTATCATCAGGAATATCCAATCAAGATGTCTATGTTTTCAGCATGGGCATGTTTTTGGAATACTTCATCGGATATTTCAACGCTATGCATGATGTTCATCGGAGCGCTCTCATTAGCTACCAAGATTCTTTCTGAAGCTCAGTCAATCAATGATGTAACTATTGCTATCCGACAAGAAATCATGATTCTTAACATTCATTCCACGGCATCGATTTTCCCAGATTTCCTGATGAACGCGATTGGCGAGCTTTCTAACTCATTCCATGGTTATAAAAGGATTCTTAGCGACATTTTCTATAACCATGAAAATGGGCTTGTCAATTATGATCGTTCGACAGTATCGGCTTTGCAAAACCCTATTCTCAAGCATAGCATCCATGAAATGGGTGCATTCTTAAAGAAACTTCAATTCGAGTACATCCCTCAAATGCGGACAATTGATAGCCATTTCAAGAACTTACATGGCTTTGATCCTAGTATCACGGACTTTAAATTTGTTTCTCCAACCCTAATCTACAATTTGACATACGATTGGTTCCGTATCTTCAGAGGTGACAAATTCTCGATGGGGTCCAAAACAAGCATTGTGCACAGAATCCTTTCCCTATATTTCCATGCTTTAGGCAGATGTTTGGGACAATGCATCACGCCTATACGATGTGTTATGCTATTGGACCCTTGTACTGTGATTGCTCCCAAGATCGGATTTGAAATGCCTCAGCCTTACTACGAAAACATTGCTGAGTTTGACACTCTTTACCACATTGACCTGGGACTCGTACGGATGATCAAATATTTCGAATACCGCCAGGCTTTCTTAGGTTACCATATGGCACAAAGGTTAGTATCCGACTACATTCAGTACGAGGCGAACCCTGCACCAGCAGAAATTGAATACAAAGACATTGTTGGGCTCGGACTCGACAAGCTACGTGTCGGCGAAGTGCAACCTAACAGTCTTACCAGCGGCACGTTTGATGTTCACAGTTTTCCAATGTTCGATGACATGTCGCAAGATCCACAGTGCTGTCATATGCTAAGGCGAGAGCTTGACCGGCAGGCAATTGCAATCAGAAATGAGCCCTGGACGTTTGATTACAGTAAAGGGCTTCTGAACCACGATTTCCAGCCCGAGGAACTTTTGCAGGCGTACATAAGGAAACGGCAGCAGCTGATGACGGAGATATCCCCAGGGCTCGAGGAGTTGCGGGTGTTTGGTGAGCTTTTTTCAAAGAGCGGTAATGAACTTATCAATGCGATCAACAGAAACAAGACCTTTGCATGATAGCTATTGAGGCTTATTTAACCACAAGAACCGTTCGCCTAACCTTCATTAGCACCTAACGCAGACGGGAACGGAAGCGGACGGCGCGGACGCAGCATTGGGCCCGAGGCAGAATGAAAGGCAACCAAAACAAAAAAAAAAAAAAAGAATGCAAAAGAAAAAGAGGCAAAATAATAAAATAGTTGCAGATGAAGAACGAAAAGGATGCAAAAATAATAAAGAGAATGCAACCTTGCGGTTGTCTTAAAAAAGACCCAGTTTAGGCAACAAGAAACATTTCCAGTGCCACCGAAAACAAAAAACAAGTGGTTTATTGTGTAGAGGGAAAGTCCCCCAATCTTCTTGTTTTTCCGGAATCATGAGCTTCTTTGTTCCATTCTTTTTTCTTAGTTCTACCGACTAATTTTTTTTCTTCTTCATTTACGGCTGCATCCACTGCGGTTCGGTTGTACGTCAAACCAACGGCGCCCCCACGGGAGTCCCCCAAACCAGCACGATGGCTCATGGCTGCGAAATCTGGAAACATGATGCCACCACGCCAGATGCGTGAAAGCTAGAAGCACCCAAAATACGCCCATGTCGGCCAGCAGGTGCCCAGACTTAATGACTTGACTTTTTGCGACTTGGCGTCCTCACTCACAGCGGCCTGGCGGGAAAGTCCCATCGCAGGAACCAGGGCAGGCAGGAAGGAAGTGCGAGACTCCCTCTGGAAGACCCCAAGCGAAGAGGTAAAGAAAAGGCAATAAGCATTTGTTTAAAATGTAAAAAAGAGTCAAGCCATGTTCTCAGGCACAAAGAGTTAAGTCAATGTCCTGGCACTTAAAGCATGCAGCATGTGTTGGGAGAGGACACTCCTGGTCAATAAAGTTCCTAGATCTTGTGCATTATTGTGCGCCTGGGCTTCGGCTTCAGTGACAGAAGGGCCAAAAAAAAAAAAAAAAGAGGACGGGCTCTCTTCCTTATATAGCCGTGAGCCCGCACAGAAGTGCGCGATTGCCGCCAGTCTCCACATTTCAACCCAGGCATCGAGTGCTAAAGCAGTGTTTTGCAACTCAATGGTGGAGGAGCGGAAAGGACCTTCGAGGAAGAAACATAAGAACAGTAGGCTCGGCTGCGCCACATGTAAGCGTCGCCGAGTCAAGTGTGCTGAGAACTTGCCGGCGTGCACGAATTGTCTTAAGCACGGGGTACGCTGTGAGTACTTGGACTATAATGAGGAGCAGCTTGAGGATTTCCACAAGGCCAAGTTGGCTCGGTTGAAGGATCGTGATAAGCTTGGGGAGAAGAAAAAGGGTGAAAGACATAGTGGCGGGCTGGAATCGCTACGGCGGAAGAAGGCGCCTCCAGTTGAAGTGAAGAAGGAGAAGGAGAAGGAACTAGGGTCGTCTTCATCGAGGGAGGCGCTGGTCGAGGCAGAAGAAACAGATAGGGCTGGTCTTGCTAGTCTTCGTATTGACGACGGGGACCAACTGAGTCGGCGGAAACCTCTTCCTCTGACGTTCCATGATGACCTGCTAATGGCATTGGACTCTGATATGATGCCTTTGGAACTGCAAACCTTCTTGCACCAACACCTATCGGATAATGTATTTTTTGAAGTTTCACAGGACGGCCCTAATGCAAGCTCCCTTCCTGGCGGAGTTCTGGATGTGCTTAATTTTCAACATAACGCCATCACCCAGAATTTCGATAATTTATTATCCACTGGCGACGCTACTCAGATTATCTACCCGGTTTATTCGATTCACAATAGCAGCTCTGTCACTCCTGGCAATTTTGAATGGGATAGTGAATATGCTGGTTCCGGTGCTGATCACGTATCGTACTTACAGGCTCAACGGTCTCAAGGCCCCACGGGGCCTTTTGCAGCTGCAAGAGACGTGTTCCGTTCACCTGAAGTAGTTCGTCGGTCTATATCCCAAATATCTTCAGACGCTAAGCCGACTCCGGTATCGGCCCCTCCACCAGGACCAGCGCTCCCAGGCGCTAGAATCGTTCCAAGTCGCTTCAAAATCCCTGCCAGACAAACCACCAACTACGAACAGCTTCTCTACCAAACAACTGGTGCTTTGGCTCCACGTATATCTAAAGGCATTGCCACATTGCCTGAGATCAGAAGCTTGTACCATGTGTGGATCGGCTACTTTATTTATAAAGCGTTCAAGTCGAGCGTTATGTTTCTGTGTTTAATCAACCTCACAACGAACTATTTAATTACGAACGTCTTTTCAGCGGAACTGGACACTCGCTTTGACGCCCTTGTTCTGCTCACGAAAACAAGAAATATGCTTTTAGTGCATCTGATTCAGCATTATGCCACGGTGATCAAGGGTTTACGTTCATTGCTTAATCATCATGGTGATCCTGAAATGGCTGCTTCTGTGTCTTACATCTTGTCGTTAATGTCTATCTACGATCCGGGAGCAACAGCTCATTCAACTACATGTTTCCGTGATGGTATGTTCCTGGTGCTCAGCTATACGTTGCATCAGGCTTCCAGACAAGGTGTGGAACCTCCTCGTCTCATTCCTATTCATCTTCAGCTCATGACGAACGTTGCCAGAACAGTGTATTTGCCAGGATATGGCACACTGTTCTTGTATGAGTTTGAAAGTATGTTTGCACGCTTTGGAGCTGTCCTCGAGCGTGCCGAAAGAGCGCTGGATGGTAAGCAAGAGAACTTGATATTCTTGAGAAGAAAGTATAATGATTTGCTGCTGTTTTCAAAGGATTCCATTCGGCACCATCTTCCAGCGTTGGACTCTCATATGGACGATATAGAGTACCAAGAAGACGTGCTCTTTACTATGTTCAACCGCTGGTCAAAGCTTCAGCCACCCAGGTTCCTAGCCGCCAATAGCTGTGCTGAGGGACTTGAAAAAGTGCTCAATTTGTTCTACCGGGTATTCCGGAAAGCGATCTTTGCCGTCGTTCCGCAAGTCCGGTTCTTGTTTCTCAGAGACTTTGACTCCCCCTTAATGTTGGATGTATTTGCAAACTACAATACGACTACGATTTTGGAGGAGCTTAAAGATCCAAGTACCGCGTCGGTGCCTCCCAAAGTATATCGTGAGCTCGTTCCGGAGCTCCAGTATTTGGCATCATACTGTGTTCGTTTGATCACCTTCCTTACGTTAAGGACAGCTATCTTGTATCGAAACTTGGTTTATGAAGAGAAGGTACGACAATTGATTCCAATTTATAATGTGGTGGAATGGCGTAAGTCCATCACCAACATCGAAGTGACACGACAAGACTTCCACGAACTCATTGGACTTCTGGAGTATCCAATTTCTTCTTTCAAAGACACTTACATCACACGGTCACACTATCCACAGATTGTGGACCCGCTGAGTCCTGGTGCCAAATTGGCTACACCAAGACCCCCAGAAAACGATGGTGCCGATGGAGAAGTTGACATGCTGTCTCTCCAACCAAATGGGCTTCTCAAGCACGACATGTTCCCGGAACTTTGAGACACTGGGCCTTATAGGCCACTTATTTATTATGATTCATGGGTTTGGAAAACCACTACGTAGGCCACCGCGAGGTGCGCATCTGTACTACTATCAACTACTCTCATGGACGAGGAGTACAAGGCTCTTACGCTGACGCTCCATGCGTTCTATACTTTTGACCGTTGGCTGTACCAGCAAGTTTATAAGCCGAAGCTGATCAAGTATAAATCACTTTCCACCGAGGAGCAAGAGATCCTCGATTTTTACCCTCAGCTACTTTCTGACCTTGAACAATGCTTGGGTATCAACGACTCCTTCACCAAGCAATTGGCTCTTGTAGCTGCTGAAGATTGGGGTGTTCCAACCTCTCCTGACGAATGGGCCAAAGGGACCCAACAGGAGTACGATAAAGTCAGACTGACGCTTCTTCAGTTATCGCGTGAATGGAGCAGTGATGGTGTGGCCGAGAGAGAAGCCACATATGGACGAATTGTGGAAGCTGTAGAAAAAAGATTGAAAAATGGTCGTGTTCTTGTACCTGGCTGTGGGCTCGGTAGACTTGTCTACGAGTTTGTTCGTAAAGGTTACTGGACCCAGGGTAACGAGGTGAGTTACCACATGCTTCTAGCACTGGGGTACGTGCTTAACAGGATGCCCATGGCACACTCACATACGGTGTTCCCGTACATTTTCAAGCTGTCACATGTATCAAGAAGGCTACTCCAAGTAAGACCAGTGACAGTGCCGGATGAAAGCCCCATGGGAATATTCGAAGGACGTGAAGATGCTGGTGAATTGATGTCTATGGCTGCGGGTTCATTTGTAGACCTCTATGGGCCTCGTGGTCTAGCTGTCAGCGACGCCTATACTGAAGATGCGGCAGCCAGCGAATTCAGAGGAGAGAACGCTGGAGCTTTTGATGTGGTGGCTACGTGTTTCTTCTTGGACACTGCCCATAATGTTCTTGACTATATCAAGACGATCCACCACTGCCTTCGCGAGGGAGGAATATGGGTTAATTTGGGACCATTACTTTGGCACTACGAAGGTGACCTGAACACAATTGAAGTCAAAAGGGACGGTGAAACCGTGAATCTGATCATGGAAGGATTAGAGTTGACAAGAGACGAGTTGGTGGCAGTGATTGAGAAGTTGGGCTTTGAGTTTGAGGAAAGAGAACTGGGCATCAAGACAACCTACAGCAGCGACCCCAAAGCTTTGGGGAATTTTGTATATGATACAGAGTTCTGGGTCGCCAAGAAGGTCAGTGGAAAGGACGACAAGAAGCCTCTGGATCAAGCTCTCGGATAAAGTTGCTGTGCCCTAAAGCCTTTGTTCAATGGCTGCAAACCGAGCCTGCCTGTGTGGCTGCGAAAAGTATCATAGGGGTTGACCCATGAAGTGAATTCAGGCGATATACTGAGGATGGTTGTTACTTTGAAGTTTGACTTGCTTGGGTAACGGGATCCTTACAAAGGGTCCCTATACTACCATAGTGGTATTGATACCTTCTTGGGTATGAGGTCCATGGGCATTGGAAGGAGCAACAAGAGAAAAAGCTTGACTGACTTCTACTATATTCTTCTCCTCATCATCATACTAATACCCTCTGCCAATCTCGTACACGCTGCAGTATGTGGTGATACTGTGGATCTATATACCCTGTCTTTGGCTAGCCTCACCATACTAGCATGTGCTTCTCTCTGAGACGTCCGATCCACACCATCACGAAAAAACAAACTAACTACAATATAGACAAATCAAAACAAACAAAACCTCCAATTCTCATGCTCGGTTTTCTCCTCGTTCCCTCGATAAGCACAGTCTCCTTTCTTCTGCAATTCTGGCAATCTTATCACTGGTGGTAGTGCACACAAACCGCCCCAAATGTACTTGTCAAGTACCGCCCTGTTAACTCCTGACCCATACCTCGATTTTAGATCAACTTCCCCCAAAGGCATCCGTACCACCTTTTGCCGAACACAACCCGCTTTACCCTAAAAGTTCATTTGTACCTTTCGCATAATACCTATCCACAAGCACATTTAACCATATCCACAATATGAGCTCGGCAACCACTTCGGTTAAGTTAGTGCTCTTGGGAGAGGCAGCCGTAGGCAAATCTTCCCTTGTGATGAGATTTGTCTCCAACGACTTTCAGGAGAGCAAGGAGCCTACTATTGGAGCAGCTTTCCTAACCCAAAAGTGTACTATTGGTGAGAGAACGATCAAGTATGAGATTTGGGATACCGCAGGCCAGGAGAGGTTTGCCTCTTTGGCACCAATGTACTACAGAAATGCACAGGCCGCTTTGGTGGTTTACGATATCACAAAGCCTGCTTCTTTCATCAAAGCAAGACACTGGGTGAAGGAGTTGCATGAGCAGGCCTCCAAAGATATCACTATTGCTTTGGTGGGCAACAAGTACGACTTGGTTGCAGACGAGAATGACGACGATGATGATTCGTTGAGAAAGGTGAGCGCAGAAGAGGGTAAGCTGTTGGCTGATGAAGAAGGCTTGTTGTTCTTTGAAACTTCTGCAAAAACGTCGCACAATGTGAATGATGTATTTGTCGCCATTGGCTCCAAGATTCCAGAGGCCAAGCCAGCAGCCCCTGAAGCTTCCAGACCTCAAGAAGGAGGTAGAATCGACTTGAGTGGTAACGCTGGTCAAAGAAATGCCAACTCGAGCTGCTGTTAGATTCTCCATAAGGGTTCGGGGTTCTCCCACGCACCCTTCGCCACTGCCCTACTTTGCTCAGCGGATTCGCTGGCTAGGGCTTAATTTCTTCTTTTAACAATGGGGTTCCTGGGTATATATAAATGCTACGGCTGTAGAGCACGTTGGATCCAGATTTGTAGCATTGTCACGTGCATTCATTGGCAATTCAGAGGCTTGATCTGGGGATAGAGATGTTTCCAGTGAGGGTTTGGCTTATCACCATCAACTACCATGTCATTGACTGTCGCATACATTCCAGAACATTTCCTGACTCCTCTCTTTTTTGCCCAAGATAACGGATACTACGCCGATGCTGGCATCGAAGTCAAGTTCGTGCCTGTCATTGAGGGCAGTGGAAGACTCATTAAGCTCTTGAATGAGGGTGAAGTGGATGTGGCTATTGGTCTCACCGAAGCCTTTGTGAGTGACATTGGCAAAGGAAACGATAAAATTAACGTTATTGGTACCTATGTGGAAAGTCCCTTGTGCTGGGCCATCTCTTCTGGTATAGATAGAGAGGATGTGACGAAACCAGAGGACTTGGCTGGTAAGAGAATCGGTGTTTCTAGAATCGGATCGGGCTCATACGTTATGCTGTTTGTACTTGGATTGCAATTGAACTTCCCTACTCCATATTTCAGCGATTTCCCTATCTTGTCCAACTTCAAGAACTTGAGAGATGCTGTCAACCAGAAGTACAGTGAAGAAGGTACTCCCAAGCACGCCGAAGCATTCATGTGGGAACACTTCACATCCAAAAAGTACTACGACTCTGGAGAAATCAAAAGAATTGGAGAAATCTACACCCCATGGCCTTCTTGGGTTGTTACTGTGAGGAAAGAGACCAACACCGAGACGGTGAAGAAGTTCTTGGGCGCAGTGAACAAAGGAATTGCATACTTCTTGCAGAACCCAGACGAAGCAGTCAAGCACATTTCTACCAATCTCGATTACTCCGCCGAGGATGCCAAGGAATGGTTAAAGACAGTCAAGTTCAATGAACAGTTGGGAGAGAAGGAGATTGACTGGGAGAGAGTTGTTCTGAACACCACCAAGGTATTGAAGACCGCAGGAGTTCTTGAAGAAAAGCCTGAAGTGGACGAGAACATTAAAAATAACATCTATTCCCTCTTGAAGTAAGTACCAAAAGGGAAGTCTAAACAGCCGTATAGTACTGTAGGCAGAAAATTACACCACCCATATTAGAGCGACAAACAAAATCTCACCCAGGACTCTGCAAGACCCTGCTGTGTACTGCAGATTTGCAACGATTTAGGAACCCAGACATTTGGCAATCGTCATTAACCAACAGCAAAGGTGGCTTGTATTTAATAATTAAGTTGTCAATCGCCTATCTTCCTGCTCAAAGGCAACTTTCCACCACCGTTTTGTCCAAAATAAAAGACAAGATCAAGCGCCGCATGTCCTCGGGTCCAGCCTACTTCAAGCTAGCTCCAGCTGAGCAGAGGGCTAAGTTCCTTAAGATTTCCCAAGCCTGTGACGAACATCTAGATGATGCTTACGGAGAGGTTCTAGATTCTGAATGGTCGGTTCTGGAGGCGTTGAAGAAGAACAATGCTTTGAGGAACAGGTACTCCAATGTCTTCCCTTGGGATAAGACCAGGGTCCAGTTGCCAGTTCTCCCTGGAGCCCAATCGGACTATATCAATGCTTCAAAAATAAGTCTAGGAAAGGGGTTCGACTATATTGCTGCCCAAGGACCGTTGGTGAATACGATTCCTCATTTCTGGGCAATGGCTTTCCACCAGGCAGAGTTGCAGAAGACCGATACTATAGTTGTGGCAATGATGACGCCGTTGGTTGAAGCTGGAAGGGAGAAGTGCTCGAGGTATTGGCCCAAGGAAAAGAACGAAATGTGGGACTTCACTGAGGTGCTTCGAACGGATGGCATTTCACCTGGTGAGCTCAAGATCACATTGAAGAGCACTGAACGCATCCATAACGGTGACCTTATCTTCTCCCAGTTCACATTGGATTCTCCAACCACTTCAAAGACTGTTCTTCATTATTATTTTCAGAAGTGGGAGGATGCAAAGGTACCTGAGTCCATGGACCCTATCTTAGCTCTCTCATTGGAGATCAGGAAAGTCACCGAGAAAGACCCCCAGATTGCTCCAATCGTTCACTGCTCTGCTGGTGTAGGCAGAACAGGCACTTATATAGCTATAGACTACTTGCTCAATGGGCCTACCTTCTTTGCGCTGGACATCGAAGACCCTGTTTACGATGTTGTCACCAGGCTCAGAAGTCAGCGAATGATGATGGTACAGACTGTCTACCAGTTCATGTTTCTCTATGGTGTGGCCAAGAGACTTTACGAGGAGAAGATCAAGTCAGGTTGAGCAAAGTGAGGCATCATTAATCTAAACCGTATTTAGACTAAAACAAGCAACATAATTAATCATTCTGGTGGTAGTGTAGTTTAATGTATGTTTCACCTCGGTTAGGCTGTTTCGGCTAATGTATGTGCGGGTTGGCTGCAAAAAAGTAGCGTCCACGGCCAATTCCATAAATTATATAACCTATAAGCGCCACGATACTCATCAGTTATTCCAATATTACGTTTTCCAAACCACCATAATGATTTACATTCCGACTCCCAGCAGTCTAGATTTCGAATATATGGTATATGCCTTGGCTGAAATTTCTGTCGCCTTGGATCTGCCGATGTATGAAATGGAAGTCGTAAACTATATCAGATCTACTTTCACTACAGCCGAGGTTATCAAAGCACTTGAACTTTTAGAACCCAAGGCTTCTGAAATCACAGGACCTAAGGTAATGGAAGCTCCATATGTGAAAATAAAGAAAGTGGCTCCAAACTCATGGGAAGTAACATTAGCAGGAAACCAGCATATCCTCCTTGACATCTTGACTATGCTTCATAAACTTGACCAAAACGCTCCCGAATCGTTCCAGAAAGTTACCAAAGGAGTTCCACTAAAGGATTGGGTTCCCTGTGATTCACTGCCTTACACTTCCCTTCTACAGCTGACTCCTCCTGAATCATTGAGAGATATACTACCAGAGCCAGAACCTGGGTGGGGGAGACCACAGACATCAAATGAGATTATAGAAGGAATTCAATTGCCCAAAAACAAAGTTACTTATATCATTGGAACTGCCGGGAACCGGATCGCTCAAATAAGGTTTCAGTCGGGCTGCGATATCAGTATCCCGCCTATTCCCCTGGCGAAACTCATGCAGATGAGAGGCTTACCAGGAAACGAAGTTTATCAACAGGTTATTTTCAGAGGCACGCTTTCACAAGTTACTGAAGCTAAGTCGTTGATAAGAAGGCTACTAATGGATTACAACTGACTGGGACCTAGTATGTCACGGCGCGCCGTTTGTCTGCATTTTGCAACCATCAATGCAAGTAATTAGACCAGCAGGCAATTTGACTCCATGAGGAAGGTTCTTGAAAAATCAAGAAGAAGGGTAAAAATGGGTAAAGTTTTTGTTAGAATTGACTTGGTCATCAGTGAAGGGTCTTTAACTGGTCTGAATAGAGGTCCACCAAGGCAACTTTGGAGAATGTGCGAGGCTAATCAAGCTGGAATTGTCCTCTAAGACACCAAGGTAATACTTACAAGCATTAACTACATCGAATTGAAGCTTCAAAAAAGTTTCTGTTGTATTGGCTGGTCTCTCATGGAGCTCTGCCCCACAATCAAGACATGGTCCATAGGCCTCAGTGAGGCAGACAGGCCAATGGCCGGGTAACTCCATCAGTTTGAAAGATGGGATGTACGGGTGCGCACAACGGTTCCTAGATGCCCACTGGATGCAAAATTTTCAGGACTCGCACCAAAAATTTTTCACCTCCATCACCACTTCTTCTTTAATTAACATAATCTAAAATGGCTGACGGTGTTTTCCAGGGTGCTATTGGTATTGACTTGGGTACCACTTACTCGTGTGTTGCTACTTACGACTCCGCTGTCGAGATTATCGCCAACGAGCAGGGTAACAGAGTTACTCCATCTTTCGTCGCATTCACCCCTGAGGAGAGATTGATTGGTGACGCTGCTAAGAACCAGGCCGCTTTGAACCCAAAGAACACTGTTTTCGATGCTAAGCGTTTGATTGGTCGTGCCTTCGATGACGAGAACGTCCAGAAGGACATCAAGGCTTGGCCTTTCAAGGTTGTCGAGTCCAACGGCAACCCTCTTGTTGAGGTTGACTACTTGGAGGAGACCAAGACTTTCTCCCCACAGGAAATCTCTTCTATGGTCTTGACCAAGATGAAGGAGATTGCTGAGGCTAAGATTGGTAAGAAGGTTGAGAAGGCTGTTGTCACCGTCCCAGCTTACTTTAACGATGCCCAGAGACAGGCCACCAAGGATGCTGGTGCCATTGCTGGTTTGAACGTTTTGCGTATCATTAACGAGCCAACCGCTGCTGCCATTGCTTACGGTTTGGGTGCCGGTAAGTCCGAGAAGGAGAGACACGTTTTGATCTTCGACTTGGGTGGTGGTACTTTCGATGTTTCTCTTTTGAACATCACTGGTGGTGTTTTCACCGTCAAGTCCACTGCTGGTGACACTCACTTGGGTGGTCAGGATTTCGACACCAACTTGTTGGACTTCTTCAAGGCTGACTTCAAGAAGAAGACCGGTCACGACATCTCTGGTGACTCCAGAGCTTTGAGAAGATTGAGAACTGCTTGCGAGCGTGCTAAGAGAACTTTGTCTTCTGTCACCTCCACCACCGTTGAGGTTGACTCCTTGTTCGAGGGTGAGGACTTCTCTGCTCCTCTCTCTAGAGCTAGATTCGAGGACATCAACGCTGCTCTCTTCAAGTCTACCTTGGAGCCAGTTGAGCAGGTCATGAAGGACGCTAAGCTTTCTAAGTCCGCCGTTGACGAGATTGTCTTGGTTGGTGGTTCTACCAGAATCCCAAAGATCCAGAAGTTGTTGTCTGACTTCTTTGACGGTAAGTCTTTGGAGAAGTCCATCAACCCTGATGAGGCTGTTGCTTACGGTGCCGCTGTCCAGGGTGCTATCTTGACCGGTCAGTCCACTTCCGAGGACACCAAGGACTTGTTGTTGTTGGATGTCATCCCATTGTCTTTGGGTGTTGCCATGCAAGGTAACGTTTTCGCTCCAGTCGTCCCAAGAAACTCCACTGTCCCAACCATCAAGAGAAGAACTTTCACCACTGTTGCTGACCACCAGACCACCGTCCAGTTCCCAGTTTACCAGGGTGAGCGTGTCAACTGTTCCGAGAACACCTTGTTGGGTGAGTTCGACTTGAAGAACATCCCACCAATGCCAGCTGGAGAGCCAGTCTTGGAGTCTATCTTCGAGGTTGACGCTAACGGTATCTTGAAGGTTACCGCCGTTGAGAAGTCTACCGGCAGATCCGCTAACATCACCATCTCTAACTCTATCGGTAGATTGTCTACTGACGAGATCGAGAAGATGATCAACGACGCCGAGAAGTTCAAGAACGCCGACGACGCTTTCGCCAAGAGACACGAGCAGAAGCAGAAGTTGGAGGCTTACGTTGCATCCGTCGAGTCCACTGTCACCGACCCAGTCTTGTCTGCCAAGATGAAGAAGTCTGCTAAGGACAAGATCGAGTCCGCTCTTTCTGACGCCATGCAGACCTTGGAGATTGAGGAGTCTTCCGGTGAGGACTACAGAAAGGCTGAGTTGGCTTTGAAGAGAGCCGTCACCAAGGGTATGGCCACTCGTTAAACATAGCATCGTGGAAAACTATAAGAAGGATGTGATAATTCGTGTATAAAAACCTTTCCATCTGTTTATTAAGGGCAATAAAGATCAAGTCAAGAAAACTATTTGTAAGTCTATTCGTCTAGTATGTAATTTCCCAACTTATCCATTTTGAGGTTTGCGTTACCTTCGGAAATGGCTTTGATGATTTTTTCGTTATCTTCGTTGGTTTCTTCCTCTTCTTCTTCCTCTTCGTCTTCTTCAAGCTCGTCCTCGTCGTAGAGCTCATCATCTTCATCGTCGTCGTCTTCTTCTTCTTCAACTTCGGATGCTTCGTTTTGGTCATCTTCCAAATCTAATCCTCTCATTCCCAGAACAGCATCTTCTAGATCTGTGCTCTCTTTAGATTTGCTTGAGGTCCATCCTGATGCCTTTACCTGCTCATCAAGATTAGATTCCCTCTTCACATCTCTTATGAAGTTGGGGTAGCCGTATTTGTAGCCTTCACCATATCCTTCAGTATCAAACATGGTAGCATCATGTCCTGGAGCATAGTTGAACTTTCTTTCAAAGAATGCTCGTATACCCTCAACATCTCTATCAAAGTAGAATTTGGCATCTGGGTGTTCAATGGAGACACACTGGGGGAAATCAATAACGACAAAGTCGTATCCATTCTTTGGTTCGTTTCTGATGATGATATTAAACTCGTTGAAATCACAATGAATCAATCCACTGTTAGCCAACTTGACAATGAATTGCATCAACTCAGAATACAACTTCTTGTATGTGGCATATTTCTTCATGTGCTTCATTGGGTATCCTTGGATCCACTCCATCAACACGCAGTGACGCAGGTAATCGTATGGAATTGGAACAATGAAACCGTTATTATAAAGAATATTCATAAACTCATATTCCTTTTCAGCAGCGAGCCTACTCAAGTACATCCAATTGGATGTGTTTCTGTTCTTCAAGTAGTCACGATTGTTCTTAACTGTCTTAAACGAGGTTCTACCCAAACGATGGATTTTCAAAACTTTTTGGGTTCCGTCTGGGTCACTCACGGAATAAATATCAGATTCTTTACCAACACCGATGGTAGTTCCCACAGAATAAAGAGTGTTTCTGTTCAACATAGACTTAAGAGCCAAATAGTCGAACCCTGTGTGCATAAGTCTCCAACCATCGTATTTAGCATTTCTTAAACGAGCGACAAGTTTCAACTTTGCGAGATCTCCTAGAGATCTATTCGTAGCAGAAGGAGACTTGAGGCCTCCCACAGAGTGAATGATCTGAGTGGGAACAAGCTCGTGATTTCTCGACCCAAGCTCCACAGCTTGAAGGACACGGAAATCGTCAGCGGTAAGGTACCGCATATGCGAAGTATCAAGCTTCATAACGCTATTTGCAGTATTTCCTTGACTATCAGAGTTGTATCAACTTTCCAGTTGGTGATGAGCATCGACACTTCGCACCCGTACATTTCAAGATAGTGTGGGAGGTAGTATGGGGAATCATAAACAGACCAGTGTACCCTGGTAGCTGGCTCCAAATGTTCAATCGCCGAAGGTACAACCGTAAACCTGGAAGACGTAAAGCGTTTAGGCCGCGGATTCGTAGGAAAGGGGTAATTCTTCGGCCCACTGATGAGCCACCTCCACCCAAAATCGAGTTTGATGCCTCTGGAGCTGTACCTTATCTATGGCAGTACTGGCCCCAGGCTGAACCTGAAAAAGCTGTTCAGGAATATAAAAAGCTTCCTTCTTTGAGGTATATTTGTTCACGAGTATTGGCAGAAAATGCAGATGCTTTGGAACCTTCTTACTTGACAACTTGTTCGTGGACTTCGTGCTGGAAACATGTGTGGAGGGTGATCTGCCAGCTTAACCTAGATCTGCCACATGTGTTTCGAATGTTTGCTAAACATTTCGGCTCAAACTATGATTTTAAGTGCCACCATGTTGATCTTCGGGAAGAAGAGCGTTCAAAGGCTATCATGTCATTACTACTATCTACCCGCAGACATAGGATCGATAATGTGTTTTCCAATATTTCCTACAACGAGTTTGTGTGCTTTGTCTCGGGAGTTGATGCACATGTCATATTGGATTGTTCTTCAATGAAGCCTATGAGGAAAGAGCAGGTCTTGAACCTCTGCAAAGCACCGAACCTAGCTGGCTTGGATATCTCGTCCAACGAATGGGTTGACGACCAATTTCTTTACACTTTGGGTCGGGCAATCTCATCCAAAAATTCTTCCAAGATGAAGCTACTACGAATTGTCAATTGCCTGAATATTACTCAGGATGGGCTTCGTCGTTTTTTACAGGATACGCTGACTTCACTTACCTTCCTTTCAACTGATATTATGGCTTCCAAGGAATCCAACTTCGCAGATAGACTAAATGGCGCCACAGAAACACCCATAGGAGGTACTCAGTGGCGGCTTTTACATAGTGGTTATTACAATTTCGATCGTCTTGTCAGGTACAAGTTGATCGCGATGGCTCTATATCTTCTGAGGAACAGTGACCTTGTCAATATTCCTTCCAATTCGCTTATTTGGGATATTAGACTTTTCCCAGACATGATTGATTCACGAAACCCCATGGAGTTATATCGTAAACTTAAGGGATCTTGGGCTAAGCGTGAGTCGTCTTCTGTTGGGCGAAACCCGTATCTTTATATTAGGTCCGAAACATCTGCAAAAGCCCCAATCGAAAAGGTCGAAGAGACCAGAGTCAAGGAAGAGCCTAAAGAAAGTGATTCGCTACTCACTGAACGGGTACCAAAAAGGAAACCCAAAATTAAGATGAAGAATGCAGATGCATTATTTGGAATCAAATAGACCAATATAGACAGTTCCAACCAACTTTATCTATTCGTATTACTAACTAGGTGGTCCGCGTCTGAGGAGGTTTAATAACTCGTTTCGGCCAGAAGAGGACAGCGGCTCGGATGGTTGAGGAGCTGCCGAAGATGCTGGTTTAGCTGGTGCTTTCTTTCCTAATAATGCAAGTAGGTTAGCGCCATGGTCCGTTGGATTCTGTCTAGGAGCAGTATGACTTGGTAAAGTAATAGTCTCGTTACTTGCTCCGTAGATGTCCTGAAAATTATCAGATCTATGGAAAGCGGGTGACAGCGTCGTGTGCTCCTGTAAGTCGGTTTGTGCCGGTTGTTGAGGAGCTGGATGGGCAGCTTGGGCGTCTTCGAAATCATCATCATCAGTACTGTCGACATATGGTCTAATTTGGGATTCCGCCACACCACCATTTTCTTCAAGATTGTCAAAGTCCTCAAAATCTTCAAAATCTTCAAAGTTGTCGGCTGGCGCCTGCTCTGGCTGTGGGGTAATTCTGACCGCATCTGGAGTAGCAGACTTTCTGTTAAGAAGGTCGAGTATATCATTACCAGCGGAATTTGTCGTTTTCAGTTTGGAAGGAGGGTTGAAAGCAGGTGTTTGCTCTTGGGAGCTTTCGGGACCAGCAGCATTTCTTGTCAAAATATCCTTGAGATCAATGGGTGTTCCAGCACTCTTTTTTGCAATTCTGATTGGTCTCTCAGATGGCTGTGGCGATTGTTCTTGCTGACTTTTGTTTGTGGTGTTTCCCTTCTTCAAAATTCCAAGAAGATCGGCAGATGCAGTCAGTGATACTGGTTGTGGGGATGATACCTGGTTCTTGTCACCAGAGTCTGGCAGCTTGCCGCCATTGAGTATGTCCAACAAGGACGCAGATGGGTTCGAAGATTCAGCTTCCGTCAGTTCCTCTCTTCCAGCATCTTCTGCGACCGGCACTTCAGTGCTTTCATCCTTTGGTGGACGCTTTCCTAAAAGTCCAAGCAAAGTAGCTGATGCATCTTTGTCTTTTTCTCTCTTTAATAGCGTGATCTTCTTTGGGGTGTTTGATCGACTCACTGAATCTGCACTGCTTTCTTCGGCATCTTCTTGATGAACGATAGACGCATCAGGAGTGGCTGGAAGGCCAACCTTATCAATAGACTTGGCCAGATGTAACGAAGTTTCAGAACCAGTATCTTTCTTCTTGAACAACAGAAGTAACTCATCCGCTCTTGATCTATTACGTTGCTTTGCTTCCGCGGAAGCTTCAGAAGAATGATCGTGGGTTGAACTTTTTGGAGCCTTCTGAAGCAATGACAAAAACTCTTTCGAGTTCTTTGAGGTTGAAATTCTTTTTGGTAGAGAAAGACTTTGGGCTGAAGGCTCTAAAGGCTGCGTCTGATATTGCAGAAGATGCTGAGCTTCCTTAGGAAGTTCATGGGGCGCATTCAAAACTTCTTTCTCCTTATTGAGTTTCTCTTGAGGCGTTTGCTGGACTGGAGGAGTCTGAATAGGAGGCTGCACAGCTTGAGGAACACTGACATCTTGAGGAACACTGACATCTTGCTGGGGTCTCATGTGAGTATTCGTAGGTGCAAATGGTTGTTGGGGTGGTGGAAGGAGATGTGCTGGTGGAAGCATTGGATAATATGCTTGGGGAAGAGGTTGGGACGGAGGAAGGAAGCCAGGATGTTGAAAGTTGGAAGGTAGCTGTGGATTGAAGTTTTGCATCTGAGCTTGTGGGGGAATTGAGAAAGTTTGAGGAGGAGCTTGTTGGTCTTGAACACCAGCATGAGGTGCTCCTTGTAAAATATTGAGCAATTCTCTACCTGCGTCGTCATTCTCATTCGAGGCGCCAATACCCATCAATGCCTTCAACTTAGCCTCCGCTTCTCTTATTAATTCTTCTTCATTCACCAAACCCTTGTTCTTGTTAACCCATGCCAACAATGCCTTGAGAATTGGGTCAACAGCAAAGAACTTTTGCGGATTTGACTTCACTTTCTTTTGTAACGACTTAAGATCAAACCATTTGATCAGAGAGATTTCGTGTCTAGACAATGGAGCAAAATCAGTCTCTTCAGGAACTCCACGAGCCAAGAAGATCTTCATGTTCTTTCCAAAAATTGTTCTTTCGACGAAGTCCTTTTCACTGACATAGCCCTTGGCGTCAAACCCTGTCTCTTCTTTCACTTCTCTAATAGCGCATTCCAAGTCAGTTTCGTCCTTCGAGATCTTACCTCGAGGGAAAGACCAAGTTCCAGAATCCATTCCTTGGACCAAAATCATTTTAGTCAAATCTTTGTTCATTAATGCAATTCCTCTGACGGGGATAGTGGATTTATACTTGCCAAACCGCGAGATTGCGTCTCTAGGGTCACCCCAACGCCAAAGGAGAGGGCATTTGGACAAAAGTGCAGGTGCAAATGACTTCATCTTCATGACTGGCAAGAGTGGGTTGAGTTGTCTGATGAAATCCAAGTAAAACCATTGTGCCTCCTCCACTTGGAAGAAGATACGCTCGATAGATGATAAATCTTCATCAGGTGCATTGACAAGAAACCTCACTAATAGGTCTTCGAGCACTTTATCTACCGGTTGCCCTGATAGGCCGTCCTGGAGTTGTATGCTCATGATTCGTACGATTGGAGGTGGTAATTGGGTTGATTCGATACTCGGTTTTTCTTTGACCGTTGGTAGTGTATATAGGGCTTCAACAAGCATTGTGGTAGACCTACGGTTTCAAAGCTTGAGCGAGGTAATAAGCGATTTTCTTGTGGGATATTGTAAAGGTGAATCAAAAGATTTTGTTTGGGCTTTCAAAGTATCTTTTATCTTTGTTTAGTGCTGGTTTCGGTATACTTCTTAATGTCACACCCGTACATCTCAAGTCCAGTCTCGTATTGGATCGGATTGATAAGTGGAAAACCTACAAAGTAACTACTGAATGATACAATTCCGTTCTTTTACGAGTTGTGCAAAGCAGCTTCAGAAATCTAAGGTACCGCAGGCTAGATTTGCCAAAACATTTGAGGAATCCACCAAGCCTGCTCTTAAGAAATCACAGCCGATCACGAAGCCATTTGGTTTCGAAAATCCAGTCCTTTTGAATGATTACATCCAAACTCCTATCCTAGACACATTTTCATCTGGAGCTAGAGAGAAGAGGAGAAAGGAAATTGACTATGATTTGCAGCACACTCCTTTCTATGACTCAAAGTCGTTTCATAACACCAAAGGTAAGATCTTCCTGCCTCCGGTGTCCTTCTTTAAGCAAAGTAAAGCTCTCTACTTCCCCAATTTCGAAGGCTACACCTTGCTCAAAAACAAAAGAAAGCTTTATGATATTTTGAAAGGCAAGGTGACGATCCTCAGTATGTCCTCGACGATCTCTGGCGATAAATGCACGAAGAGTTACCTTGACGAATACTTGAGTGGGCCAGGCTATCAGACATTCCAAGAAAAGTATCCGCAATCACAAATTGTCGATATTAATTTACCTCAATCGTGGGTCAAGGGCTTATTCGTCTCGTTGGCCAAGAGTAATATCAGAAAGATGACTGCACCTGCAAGACATGATCTTTACTTTGTTCTTCCCACTAAGCTTTTCCCAGGAGCCGTAAAGAGAACTCTCAAGTGTGACAATGGTTGTTCTGGATACTTGTATATAATAGATGAGACAGGGAAGATAAGATGGGCTACTAGTGGTACAGCTGATGAGGAGGAGACTAGCCTCTTATGGCGCATAATGGGTGCTTTGGAGAAAGAATTGACAGCTTCGAACGCTGATAAAGTTTAAAAAAAAAATACATGTATATATATACCCCAATTTACCCAATACAAATCACTTTAGTCGGAGCCTTTTAATGGTTGCAAAAGACGCTTGCTTGTCACCCGCACTCTGTGGTACTTAAAAATGCAGGGATCTGTCATCAATTCTTATCTCTATGACCAATGATGAACTTTTCAATTGGGAATCTCTCTGACAATCCAAAAATAATCACTGGAGAAAACCATTAATAATTGATTTCTGACGGTCATGAGCCCTGTATCATTTTGATGATACGACTTCTCTGATGGAGAAGGTGAAAGATAGTACCATGGAGGTTACGGTGAATATGACGCTTGTTTGAACAACTACAAATCTTCTTCGCTGGACGTTTCAAAAGGGGCATTTCTTCTTCTTAGACCCCTATGAGCCACTAAATGTCTATGGAAAGTTTCCCTTGAAGTTCCATGGCTTATCTACTCTGGCCGAGCACCCACCATTAATGTTCGCCCTAACACTTCGCATTTATTTTATTACTCCGTCACCCGTAGCTGTAGTTCTAAAAATTTCGATTACACTGCAACTTCTTGAAAGTTTCAATGTGGTTGAAAACTAGTAGTGGTTTCCTGTTTCTCTTAGGGCTTCAGCCCTAATCTATCTACATGCATCGCAGACCAACTTTGTCCTGCACGTGATGCTCCCTGCGAGACCTACAATTTTTTCAGGCTTCACCAAAAAGTTTTCCCTTCTCTAACAACGTCTATTAATAATGTCTGCCCCAATCAACAAGGAGAAGGTCCAGGAACAAGCTGAGGAGATCCACAAGATCAGAATCACTTTGACTTCCACCAAGGTCAAGCAGTTGGAGAAGGTGTGTTCTAACATCGTCACCAACGCTGCCCAGAACGAGATCGTCAAGAAGGGTCCTGTTAGATTGCCAACCAAGGTGTTGAAGATCACCACCAGAAAGGCTCCTAACGGTGAGGGTTCTAAGACTTGGGATGCTTACGAGATGAGAATCCACAAGAGAGTCATTGACTTGCAGGCTCCAGCCCAGATTGTCAAGAAGATCACTCAGATCACTATTGAGCCTGGTGTGGATGTCGAGGTCACCATTGCTGCTTAAGCGGTTTTGGTAACTTTTTCATGGGGTTAATCTCGCAACTATGCTGTTCAGCTTCACGCATCATCGAGTGGTGTTTCATGTATTGTAAGTGACGCTGTGTCCAAGTGCTCTAGGCGTGCCGTGTAACGAGAGTTACACTGACGTTGTGGTGTTGCTATCAGGATTTGGTACGGCAATCGATGATGGGTCGAGTTAGTATGGTTGTTTAATAAAACTTTTTTAACAAAATCAAATGTAGGCATGAGTATGAAGACATCGAAGAGATGAAAGTATAGAAAATGCTTAAACGCCAGTTAGTATACCAGCGATGAAGGTAGCATAAATTCAAGACCAGACCATCATGTAATGGTATGAGACAGACTATGGTTTGTACTCCTACCTGGTGAATGGTCCGTAGATGACGTACCCAGAAATAAGTGTCCTCTATGAAGATCAGCTCCTGGGGCCCTATACAATCGATATCTTCAACGTTCTCTCGAATAACTAGCTTGACCGTTTATTGACAAACCAGAGGCCTTCATCACATTCAGAAGAGTACCAGCCGTGCCTCAAGACATTAAGCATAGTGATTTGCTCAGCTTGTAGCTGTTCATTTTTTCTTGCAGCCAAGGAAAACATCAGTACTTGCAAAAATCATAAATCTACGTCACCGTATAGATTTCCATCCACTGAAAGGTGTAAAGAGCATATCGTCTCGATACTCACTTATCCAATCAGCATACTCACTATCTGTGGGGTAAGCCCAGTTGCTACGACCAACACCATTCCATCCACTTCCAATACTTCCATCAAAATTCATCAATTGCAACAAAAATCTCTGCCCAATTTAATCCCCATATAAAATTATTTCATTCCCTAATTCCTTCTCTACTCGACCCTTATCTAGTGCCTATCATCTGCCTATTTGCCTGTGCACTCCTCTTGTCTCCGGCACATACAAACCGAGTGAACGCTATTCCTGGCCTACTTGTGGCACTCCTACTTATCTAATCATTCCAATATATTGATTGTTTAAAACAACATCTCTGGGCAGAAAGTCACCTCTTACCAAGTGTTGTTCCCGTTAAGCATTCTCCATTTCGTTTCCCATCGCAGCCCTCTACGAGCAACTTCCACATTGACCCCTCAGGCCCCGCTTTAACCACTTCACCATGTATGTCCTAGCCTCGAAACCCAGGCTATTTTACGTTGCCGGTCGCCAACTACAAACTGGAAGACGTTTATTGAATAACCTGGCATCTACTGCTGCCAGAAAGGCGCAGAACAAATTGTTGCGTAGACGGAATGTGGCTCTCGTTTCCGGCGTCATCATTGTGGGCTCCTATGTAACGTTCAACCAATCAAACTACTACAAATTGGATACTGTTCCTCCGGGCTCCAATCCCAGACTCACGGGTAACCCTTCCAAGTCTGTGACCAGCATTGTTGATAACAAAGCTTTTTCGTCCACAACATCCTCGATGGTTCGCAAAAACAGTGTGGGTGCTCAGCAGCATAAGGAAGGTGTGTTTCTTCTCAACGACGAGCAAGTGAGCACTAAGCTCAGACAGTTTGAAGAGTCCTACTATGTTAACCGTGGAAAGGGTGTTACTAGGTATGACATTTGCCAGCTTCCTTCAAACTCTCCTATAGAAGACGACAGAGCTGAAGAAATTGTCCAGGTTCCCATCCTACAAGACAACAACGTGAGGACGTCGACAGATTGGATGTTTTTCGGTGTTTACGATGGTCACGGAGGATGGACTACCTCGTCAAAGTTGAGAGATCAATTGATTCTGTATGTTATTCACGAGTTGGGAACCATCTTTAAGCCATCGAAGGAAGAGAACTTGCGTTACGTGCCCAACCTGGCTACAATTGACCAGGCCATTAAGAACGGATTCTTGAAGTTGGATCACGAGATCGTCAACAAGAACATCGAGAAGCTTTTGAATGATAACAATAAAGCAAAGGCTGCAGAATTGTTGATGCCTGCCTTGTCTGGTTCTTGTGCTCTTCTTTCTTTCTACGATACAAACTCGAAAATGTTAAAGGTTGCAGTTACTGGAGACTCGAGAGCTCTTTTGGGTTCCTTCAAGAATAACCAGTGGACTGTGAGACAATTGAGTATTGATCAGACCGGCTCGAACCCAACTGAAGTTGCTAGAATTATATCGGAACATCCCGATGAACCAAACGTCGTAAGAAACGGTCGTGTCCTTGGGTCCCTTGAACCAAGTAGAGCGTTTGGTGATTGCAGGTATAAATTGCCAGCGTCTATCCAGGAAAGACTTTATAGACAGTTTTTCGGAAAGAAGCTTCCAAGCAATTTGAACTCTCCACCATATGTTACAGCTGAACCGGTTGTTACTACCACGAAGGTGAGTCCTGAAAATAACGATTTCCTTGTGATGGCCAGTGATGGTCTTTATGAGATGCTTTCTAACGAAGAAATCGTTGGACTTGTTGTCAAATGGATGGAAAAGGAGAAGCTCGTTAAGCCAAACAAGTCTTTCTGGAACTACTTCGGCTCATCTGAGAAGGGTTTGCCACAAGTGTCTGATATTACTAACGATAAGACATCCAAACCGCCATTCCGCAAGAATAGACTCACAACTGGTAATGGATACCTTCTTGAAGACAAGAATGTTTCTACGCATTTGATCAGAAACGCCCTCTCCAATGGCGGCTCTAAAGAGCAAACTTCTATGCTTATTTCTATTCCAAGTCCAGTTTCTCGCCGCTATAGAGATGATTTGACGGTTACGGTGGTCTTCTTCGGTAAAGAGCTTGATGAGAACAATGCAGGCAAGTTGGAAGCCAACCCACAAGCAACAGCTGGTGGTATTGATGCCTCCAAGCCCAAGCTCTAAGATGACTCGAGTTTTAGAGGCAAATTGTCAATGCGAATAGATTTCGCAACCAAGTATTCACACGGTCCCAGTACACTACATATTAGATACAGGTTTTTCGCTACTTAACACTGATAGTACCCATCCTAGACAACGTATACACGTCACTAATGGCATTGAACAAGGTTTTGGATCCGTCTGAAATCCTCGACGTTCCTCCACTGGACAAGTCGTCCACAGACTTACTCTCTGCCCAGCTCTTGGAGCCATCTAACCATTTGACCTGGGATGTTCAAGATCTCATTCAGTCAAAGCCCTCCATTGACAAGCAGCGGATCTTTGAGTCATTGTTGGTCCAGCCAGAACCAATCAAGAGAAGCTCGTTTCGTTTCAAAAGAAGTGGCCTCAAAGGTGAAATCGTGGGATACAAGGAGGAGATAAAGATCTCTGAAGTGGACAATGCAACGTCTGCCAATTCGCTTTCGATCAATAGAAAATACGGTCTGAAGCAGGATGCAACTAGTGGAAAATCAAACTATCTTCCCTTCCAGCCAGGTGGGTTGTTCAGCGGTACTCTGACGAACCAGGCACTTAATACCAAGCAGCATCTTTCCGAGTTTCAATTTTTGCATAAGAACAATCTCGGGTTGTTCGATGTTCCACCAGGGTTCTCGCGTGGTCTTAACATTTCAGGAGCGGCAGAGAACTCTGAAGGCGTTCATGAGTTGGATAGTGAAGGAGAGGATGTCGAAGAATCTCCAAAGGAAGACGGAGAGCCTGGATCTACTGACCTAATGGGAAACGTAGGACAGGACGAATCCAATGGCGAAACTGGCATTTCAGAGATTGATGACTTGATTCCTCTAGATTACATGAAAATGAAGGCTAAGATGGAGTCTGAACAGCGTGTGAAAAGAAATTGGGCACACGTTGTTGATCTCGATCACAAGATTGAAAACTTCCAAGATGTTGTTCCCAATATGGCAAGAGAATGGCCATTCGAGCTTGATACTTTCCAGAAAGAAGCCGTTTACCATTTGGAACAAGGTGATTCTGTTTTTGTTGCTGCCCACACGTCAGCAGGTAAAACAGTTGTCGCCGAATACGCTATTGCAATGGCCGCCAGAAACATGACGAAAACTATCTATACCTCCCCCATTAAGGCATTGTCAAATCAAAAGTTTAGAGATTTTAAAGAGACCTTTAAAGATATGGAGATTGGATTAATTACAGGTGACGTTCAAATCAATCCAGAAGCGAACTGTCTTATCATGACAACAGAAATTTTGAGATCGATGTTGTATCGTGGTGCTGACTTGATCCGTGATGTTGAGTTTGTTATCTTTGATGAAGTGCATTACGTTAACGATATTGATCGTGGTGTCGTGTGGGAAGAAGTCATCATCATGCTTCCCGACCACGTCAAGTATATTCTCTTATCGGCCACTGTTCCTAACACATTTGAGTTTGCTAACTGGGTGGGTAGGACGAAACAGAAAGACATGTACGTGATCTCAACGCCCAAAAGACCGGTTCCTTTGGAAATTTTCATCTGGGGTAAAAAGAACCTTTACAAGGCTATCAACGCCCAGGGTGTCTTCAACGAAGGAGAGTTCAAGAAGTATAAGGAAGCGTTAGCACCAAGTCAGAAGCAGCAGCCTCCAAATGTAACTGTCAGTTACGGACTGAGGAAAGGCCCTGGCGGAACCGCTAGAGGAGGCAATAGAGGTGGTGGCCAAGGTGGAAGAGGTGGTGGCCCTCCAGGAAGAGGCGGTGGTCCATCAGGAAGAGGCGGTCCGGCTGCTAGAGGCAGAGGTAATCTTCAGCCAAGAGGTGGTTTCGCTCGTGATGGTCCTAACAAAGGAACCTGGACTGACTTAGTGCAATACTTGAATCTGAATAAGCTCCTTCCGGCTGTGATTTTCGTGTTTTCTAAGAAAAGGTGTGAGGATTATGCAGCAACACTCAGCGGTGTTCAATTCTGTAACGCAAAGGAAAGATCTGAAATCCATATGTTCATCGACAAAGCTGTTTCACGATTGAAGAAAGAGGACCGTGAGTTGCCACAGATTTTGAGTGTGAGAGACATGCTCAGCAGAGGTATCGCTGTCCATCATGGTGGTTTACTTCCTATTGTCAAGGAGTGTATCGAGATTCTCTTTGCCAAATCTTTGGTCAAGGTTTTATTTGCCACAGAAACTTTTGCTATGGGGTTGAACTTGCCAACTAGGACTGTTGTCTTCTCTGAGTTAAGGAAGCACGATGGTAGAGGCTTCAGAAACTTGTTGCCGGGTGAATTTACCCAAATGGCCGGTAGAGCGGGTAGAAGAGGATTGGATTCCACTGGTACCGTCATAGTCATGTCCTATAACGATCCTTTGTCTCCGACTGATTTCAAAGAAGTAACAATGGGAACACCCACAAAGCTTCTGTCTCAGTTCAGATTGACTTATAACATGATCTTGAATCTTTTGCGTATCGAAGCGTTGAGAGTGGAAGAAATGATCAAGCATTCTTTCAGTGAAAATTCGTCCCAAACTTTGCTTCCCGAACATCAAAAGAAAGTGGAGGCACTCAAGCAAGAACTTAGCTCGACCCAGGTTGAAGAGAGCTCGCAAATCAGTGAGTATAAGGAGGCCTTCTCGATCATCTCTCAGTATCGTGAAGTTTATGGCAAGATCGTGACGGAAGTTTCTAAGCTGACATTGACAAGAACAGCTCTCTTGCATCCCGGCAAACTTATGTGCTTTCTTGATGAGGACGGTGTTGTAAGGGCTGGTTTCCTTGTTAAATGTGATTTGAATGCTGATAAAATGATCTTCCTTACCTTTGACCATGGCAGAACTTATGAGGAGCAAGGTGAGCACTTGCCTTATGTTCCTGTCCCACAGTTCATCAAGAGCACAAGACAAGAGATTCGTTACTCTGGGGATTTGAGGACTACCAGTGTTCCATTCGAAAACGTTCAATTTGCAAGTTCTTACTGCCTTCGTACGAACATGAAAAAAATCTTGTCCAACGATGCCCAAGCTGTGAAGGAAGCCGAGTCTTCTATCAATAATATTCTTCGTGTGCAGTTATTCTGGTTTGAAATTGAATTCCAAAAGGCAGTCCAGCTCTCGTTGCATGAGTTAGTCAATGAAAAAACCCAGCTTGTGACCAAGTTGCGGGACATGACTGTTTACAAGAAACCTGAGTTTAAGAAGATATATTCGCAATTGGCAAAGCGTGATGGCCTCGAAAAGAATATAGAGTCATTGAACTTATTGATCTCAGATGAGAATTTGGAGTTACTTCCAGATTATGAACAAAGACTTAAGGTTTTGCAAGCATTGGCTTTCATCGATGATCAACAACGTGTTGTGCTCAAGGGCCGTGTTGCCTGTGAAATCAACTCTGGATGGGAATTGGTCTTGACTGAACTTATCCTCGACAACTTCTTGGGCGATTTCCAACCTGAAGAGATTGTCGCTCTTCTATCTTGTTTCGTTTACGAAGGACGTACTAATGAAGAGGAAGAGCCACCAATGACACCCCGCTTGGAAAAGGGAAAGGTTGAGATTCTTAAGATCACTGAAAGGCTTCTTAAGGTCTACAATGAACATCAAGTTTCTCTTACTTCTGAAGAGGAGGAGTTCCTTGAACGTAAGAGATTTGCGTTGGTTAATGTTGTCTATGAATGGGCTAGAGGCTTGACCTTTAGTGAGATTATGCAGATTTCCGTTGAGTCAGAGGGAACTATTGTTCGTGTGATCACTAGACTAGACGAAATCTGTCGTCAAGTAAAGAACGCAGCATTGATTGTTGGTGATTCTACTTTACATTCTAAGATGAACGAAGCTCAGGAGAAAATCAAGAGAGACATCGTCTTTTGTGCGTCATTATATCTATAAATTTATGTCATCCAGTCGTTTTACGACCTTGCAATGCTATATATACCATTGGTACCGCCCAATATTTTGTCCTGCAAAAGGTTCGTTGCAATGTCCTCGTTGCCGTAGCGAAATAGTAGAATTCCAAGCATCGAATAAAAGCTCCCGATCGCAGTATTGTCTCGAATCTTTTGCCTCAACAAATTAGCCTTGTCTCGAGAAAGTGTTCCGTCAACTTGCGCACCCCTATGAGGAACAAGGCAATCATAAAGAAGTTGACGTTTCATGAAATTTATAATTAATTGGTTCTGGTTCCCAAAAAATGCTAGGTTATGCTGTACCTCAGAATGAGAGGTTGAAAGGTAGGTATTGTCTTGGAAAATCGTAGAGCTGAGCAAGGTCGATCTGAAGTACCGCTTGCCAGATTCACGAAGAACGTCTTGATGGATCAAGCCTCTGTCAAATACCGAGCCTGTCGGGTTTGACACTTGCTTTAGCTTTAAATTAGCGAGACCACAAAGTATTAGTAGCATATCATCGAACAGTAGTGAATAGCTTGGTCCAAGGAAACGCTGTATATGGACCGTCCTGCTTTCTAAAAGCTTTTGGAGTTGAGAGTCCCGGTCTAGCTGCTCCACAAGATTAGAGTTTCTGTGAGCTCCAGAACCGTCTATGTACATTGACTCGAAGTTTGTGGTTGACCTAGGATAAAAATGGAAGTCATGGTCTTTGAGCCTAGCTCTGGCAGGAAGCCCAAGGTTTTGATTCTCTAGAAAGAGATCACTGCTCAGAACCATGGACGAGTGGTTTAGTCGGCATATGTTTAGAAGGTTTGACCTGGGGCGTAGCTTCATGTTGAGAGGAAGTCTCGGATGCTGGCAGAGCATGCGAAAACTAACTGTGAGATGTTGTGGAGTCTCATCGCGTTATCTCATCTCGAGTATTTCACTACAAGCGTGAGACAACATGTCGTCCAAAACAAAGAAGAAGGCAGCTGGAGCTGACCTGAAAAGTCAAACAGATAATGGAGCCTCTGCCGCTCCAAAAAAGGTCAAGATTCCGAAAGCATTCATTGCAAGACCATCTGAGACTAAGAAGCAGACGACGGTGTATTTGCAACCGCAGATTGCAGATGCTATGGAGCTTACAAAGGGCCAGTTTGTCGTCGTTTCAAAGGAAAGTGGACCTGGAGTTGTTGCACTTTTAGATATTGATGACTCTGAAGATTCCAATGTGTTGAGAATCCCTCAAGCCCTTAGGCACCTTGGTGGGATACTCTTAGGAGACCGGTTGCAAATCTCTGGCAAAGGCAAACAGCCCACATATGCTAAAGAGGTGGAAGTCAAAATAGAAAATCTCGAGGACTGGGAAGGTCTTAATACTCGTGCCAAAAAGGCTTTCACGGATGCTGGCGTTCTTCAACCAGGGTTGGAATTGTCAGTACAGGGTACCCCTGTCACTATTACAAGGATTACTGATGCAAGCCTGTCCTTGGAATCAGTAACAGCTAAACTCTCCGAGATATCTTTGGAGTCTTCGGCAGACTTGGCATTGGTGTCGCCTGCCTTCCTTTTCCATACCAGCACAACCGTGAAGGCCTCCACGCAAGATGTCGATTTTGCTTCATACCCAAGAATACCTCGCCCAAGTTCACTTGAACATGTTGGTGGATTGGATAAGCCAATTTCCCTCCTTCGCTCGACTGTCAACTTGCCTCTCCATCATCCTACGCTTTTCTCGGACTTTGGCATATCACCTCCAAGAGGCATTCTTCTACATGGTCCACCTGGAACAGGTAAAACAATGCTATTACGTTGTGTGGCTCATGAATCGGGTGCTCATGTTCTTATGATCAATGGTCCTTCTGTTGTCTCTAAGTATTTGGGAGAAACTGAGAATGCCATTCGGGACCTTTTTGCTGAAGCAGTGAAGTACCAGCCTTCGATCATCATTATGGATGAGATAGACTCGCTTGCGCCTAAGAGAGGTTCAGACGATGCCGGTGAGACAGAATCAAGGGTTGTTGCTACGTTGCTTACTATGATGGATGGCATGGGTGATTCGGGAAGAGTCGTGGTTGTTGGTGCGACGAACAGGCCAAATCTGATTGATCCGGCTCTTCGAAGACCGGGACGTTTTGATCAAGAAGTTGAAATTGGCATTCCTGACGTAGAGGCTAGAGCTGACATACTTGCTAAACAGCTCACGCGAATGAAGAGTGAAAAGTGCAACCTTCTGAATGACGATATCAAAGAGGTGGCACTGAAGACCCACGGATATGTGGGAGCAGATTTGGCAGCCTTGTGTCGTGAAGGTGTAATGAAGACTATTGCAAGAGGGCTTTCTGGGAAGTCTTCTCCTGTTCATATCGGCACTATTGCTTCTCTCGACCTATCGAATATTGATCACATCGATCCAGACGTCAAAGTGGAAAAGGCTGATCTAGAAGCGGCTTTATTGGACGTCAGGCCTTCAGCTATGCGAGAAATCTTCTTAGAAATGCCAAAGGTATCTTGGGACGATATTGGAGGTCAACATGAACTTAAACAAAAGCTCACTGAGGTTGTACAACTTCCTCTTGAAGCAAGCGAAACGTTTGCCAGTTTGGGTATTTCGGCACCTAAGGGAGTTCTTCTTTACGGTCCGCCAGGCTGTTCCAAAACCCTTACTGCTAAAGCTTTGGCTTCAGAGTCCGGTCTTAATTTTTTGGCTGTTAAGGGACCCGAGATCTTCAACAAATATGTCGGTGAGAGTGAAAGGACGATAAGAGAGATTTTTAGGAAAGCTCGTGCAGCTGCGCCATCTATCATCTTCTTTGATGAAATCGATGCACTTGCTTCATCCAGAGAAGAAGCTCTGACACTGGCTGCTCAGCATGTTCTTACCTCTTTACTTAATGAGATCGACGGTGTTGAAGAACTCAACGGAGTGGTCATTGTGGCTGCCACTAACAGGCCTACAGAAATAGATGCTGCTCTTTTGAGACCAGGCCGTTTGGATAGACATATTTACGTTGCCCCTCCAGATCATGAAGCTAGACTTCATATATTGAACCGCAAATGCAGCAGATTTGATGTTGAAAATGCATCTGAGCTTTTTGAGAGGTTATCTCAGGCAACCGAGGGATGCTCTGGTGCTGAAGTTGCTCTCCTTTGTCAGGAGGCTGGCCTCGCTGCTATTATGGAAGATAAAACTACAAGGAAAGTCGAGGAACGTCACTTTGATCATGCTTTAAAATCTATTTCAAAGGGCATCACTCCTGATATGCTTGAATATTATAGAGAGTTCTCCCACCGCAGTGGACTTACTATGTGAAATATAAGATCACTTTATTTACATCATGTTCATCTTATTTCGTTAATTACTGCTGCTTGCAGCCCTCCTCTAGCTCTTTCTCCAAATCCTTTGGTAAGTCCTTAGAATCAAAATCAAGCCCATCGGCGCCGTTACCACCGCCGCCCAAAGCACCCAAGTCTCCAAGACCAGGGAAGTCCTTAACATCACCAACTAATTCTGTTGGTGGGTTGCCAAGTTCTTGCAAGCCTTCAAGCAATTTATTAACCTCCTCTCTCTTTTCTGTGTTCTCATTATCGAACTCTGAGCTTTCGAAGAGAGCCATGATATCGTTTGTAACCTCGTATTGTTTTGTGTAACGAGCGTGTTCATCGTCAGGGATCTTGCCCTTTTGTTCCTTCAAGAATTCTGGGAACTTTGTGTTAAGGTCCTTGATTGGCTCGTAAAGAACATCCTTGGAAGACAACTGCTCCAACATATCAGTCAAGAGCTTGGACATGTCGAAATCGCCGTCACCTGCACCGCCACCCAAGCCGGCCAAGAGTTGTGTGAGCATATCTTCTGGGTTGGAACTAGATGGATCATTCTTCAACTGTTCATCGATGTTCTCGCCAGACTTCTTCAATCTTTCCATAGTGTCCTTCATCACACTGTCAAAGTTCTGAGGATCCATGGCTTTCTTTGCATCAGCTCTGTGTGTAGTTTCGAATTGCTTCACCAAGTGCTCGAACTCGTCCTTAGCCTTAGGGTCTTCAATGTTAAGGTCCTTAATGAGGTCCTCCATGTTGATCTGGAAGTCGTCCTCCTGAGGAGCCTCAGATGGCTTCTTTGTGGTACTTGTCGTTTGACTGTTACCAGAAGGACCCTGGTTCTGGGACGATGCTGCTCCAGGAGGCTTACTCAAAACCTGTTCGTCGAATTCGTCCAACAAGTCGTCCAAATCATCCTCTTCGTCGTCTTGAACAGGATTTTTCTCGACCTTTGCTTCGACTGTTGGCTCAACAGTGGTTTCAACCTTCTTTTCTTCGTTTTGGCTCATGATTGGTAAAAGAAGTGACAAGAATGGTGGTTTTTCTTCACATTATCATAGCATGTGGGGGACGATTGGACACAAAGTATATGCAGGCCATTCACGAGTTGTCCAGCTTATGAAATTATTTTCTTGCAATATTATCCCGTAAAAACAGGCAATTTCTCGACCATATTCTTTCTCCAAGCAGATGCCGTGGTTTTAAACCTACTTAACCGTTTGGAGATAATCTACGTTAAAACCGTGTTTGATATGTGGGGTAGTGCGGGCCGAGGTTGGGTGCAAAATTCAACCAAGGTGGGGCACGAATCATGGAAATAAGACAGTCCATTCATCAAAAAGTATTCATTTAAAGGTGAAGCATAGCGGACTCTTTTTAAAAAGCCTCGGATCTGCTCGCAATTTAAAAATGTTGTAAACTGACATTTTTGATGGCTAGCAAATTGAGATACGTAGGAACCCCAGAGGCAATTGGACTCTACGTCTGAGATGCAGCCGAGACCCTAGGCGTCGCCAAGTGCCACCTCTGTGGCCATTGTAGCATATTTGATGAACAGTAACTGCCAAAATAAACTTGGACATTTTTTGATAAAAAGTGTTCATTTTCTTTCCATTTCCTAGACAATGGATATAATTTTATTTATTCAACAGACTGCCTGAGTGAATTTGTCGGCCTCGAGTTTTCTGGACCAAATGGCTTGAAGGGTTGCGGACTTTGGCTGCGAAACGAGTGGCTTCAGGTGATGGAAAGCCCTGAAGACAAATGATATCAAATGAGATGTATCTCTTCTAAGCCAATGCATTGCTTTCATTTCGGTTAAATAGCAATGAGAAGTCTTTTTTCCTGGTTTAAATTTCAAGCAGTCATTTAAGTGTATGTATGTGTTTTTCAAGGTCGGTAGGATAATGAGAAGGTATTGTGGATTTGGAGTGATTTCCTGAACTTCTCATCTTCCTCGCATGAACGAAAACACGCCCCAAAAATCCAATACAACAGATTTTGAAAGTGACAACATCATTTGAAGCCCTAAATCAACCCTTAATGTACCTAAAGATCTTACAGATCCTTTATCCTCTTCTTTGACTGATTGGTTACCATTTTGGGGACTAGTTGTAAGGGCTTTCTGCAGGTCGGCCTCAACTGGTATGAAAAAATTAAGAGCCTCAAACATTTTGCTACACACCCCCAAATAACCCCCACATCAACATAGATTCGCCAGCATGTCTCTTTGCAAGACCCGATTACAAGAAGAAAGAAAACAGTGGAGAAGAGATCATCCTTTTGGTTTCTACGCACGCCCCAAGAAAACTGCAGATGGCTCGCTAGACTTGACACACTGGGATGCTGGTATTCCAGGTAAGGCTAATACCCTTTGGGCTGACGCCACATTCCCTGTCACAATCTTCTTCTCGGAGGAGTATCCATCCAAACCACCTAAGGTGATGTTCCCTCCCGCATTTTATCATCCCAACGTCTACCCTAGTGGTACTGTGTGCTTATCTATTTTGAATGAGTCGCAGGATTGGAGACCCGCCATTACATTGAAACAAATACTTTTGGGTATCCAGGAACTTTTAACCAACCCTAACCCTGACTCGCCTGCTCAGGAACCTGCCTGGAAAGCTTTCAGTAAGGATAGGGCAACCTACGAGAAGAAAGTCAAGGAACAGGCAAAGAAGTACGCCAACGCCTCGTAGACCTTGAAGAATGAAAGAATGAATCAGCCAAACCGGTGTTTACCCACCAGCTGTATATAATTGTATTGTATAGGAGTCTAGCTCGCACGGAATATAGGATTAGATTAAAATAACACTTTCACTAAGTGGCCGAATTCGATATCAAATCACGACTCTTTACCGCCCCTTCATTTCCTGAACCTTCTCCAAGTTGCGAAGTACCCTTCTCCTTATATGTACTGACAGCTGGAATGTCCGCCTTGATTCGCAGCACAAGAGTCAGATAGGCACGAGGCTCCAACTTGATAAGCGTATGCAAAGGAATCAGCATCCATGGACTCTCTTCTTGAGGCACATTCATGAAGTAAGCATATAGACAACGCAACACAGCTTGATGGGTAATAATGAGAATATTTTCTTGACGTTCTAATTCCATGATGATTGGCTCTAAGCGGATGACAATATCTCTGTACAGCTCACCTCCACGGTAACGGTACTCATATTTGTTATCATCACGGGCCTTGAAGTCATCGGGAAACTCTGTTTCAATCTCTTCGTAAGTCATACCATCACATTCACCAGCATCTAATTCATCCAAAGCTTTCCACTCTAGCTTTTTCTTGTAAGGCAAGAATGATGCAGTTTGTTGGGTTCTCTTCAATGTCGATGTCCAGACAGTGAGGTTTGTATGCTTGTGTTCTTCCCCAAGTGACTTAAGTACAAGCTCGGGAAGCTTCTTGGCGTATCTCCAACCGCGTTCGGAAAGGTCCAGGTCACCTCCGATTTGGCCAGTCAAGTTGTACTGGGATTCACCGTGTCTTGACAACCAGATACTACGAGGCTTGATGTGCAAATTCATCACGTAGTAGACGATTCTCAGTTCCAAGTAACTTTCGATTCTGTTGACAATGATTTGTGACGTGACGTTGACAAGCTTAATGAAAGTTAAGTCGGCATCAGCGGCCAGATCCATCGTCTCGTAATACTTTTCGTACTGTTTGATTCTGCCCAAGAAGTCACTTGTGGCATATTCCGAGTCAAGATCAACATAGTCTGGCGATGTTGTTTTCACATCAGCGATATTCTGCAAAATTAATTCCTTATCGTCACACCACAGCTCCAAGAAGATTGGCTCAATCAAGTTCTCTCTGCACAATTTAAGGAGTTGAGATCTTCTCTCTCTTGTGGAGTTGGTAGCATCGAGGATACCCACGACACCATTCTCTTCAGCAAACCATTTCATCATATCATTCACAGCCTGATTAACTGCCTCAGCTCTGATTTTAAGACCTTCCTCATTCTTTGGGTCGAAGAAGTCATAAGTCGTATCCTCTCTCAGCGTTAAAAGACGCCTATAAGAACCAACATTGAAACATTTGCTTTTAATAGATAGCCACAGAAGATACCTCACAATCTTCTGCGCAATCAACGATTTCCCTCGAGCGGGTAAACCGACCATGATGACACAGATACGGACATTTTCAATGTGTGAAACAGAATAGACTGGCATGTTGGGTTGGTTGTGGCTGCTTCGTTTGAAAGGCCGGAGAAAAGGGTTGGTCAGATAAAGTTGGCACAAGGAAACACGAAACGGTGCGATTCCCCAGATTTTTTTTTTTTTTTTTCTTGACGCTTTCTTGCTCGAACTTTGTCTCGTGCACCGAGGACAAGAGTCACTTGTGAACAATTAAGGCTGTATAAAAGGAATCAAAAGACGTTTATCTTGTACTAGAACAAGATAAGTTATCCAAAAAATGGTCGTAGTTGCCCTAATTTTTTTCACCCTTCTCGTATTTCCTAAAACTCTAGATGCCGTGTGCGTCTTGTGGGGCAGAGGGTAACGGGGATGCAGACTAACAAAGAGGCTTTAGGGCTGCCTCGATTTTCCGAAGCACACTACTGATAGGGGTTAAGAAGGGTTGCTAAAGGCGGTCACAGCTGTGTCTTTGGTTGTGTAAGCTTTTTTCCCTAGGTGATCTTGAAACACCAGTATATGGGCGCAGTCAAATGGCTGCGAATTGAGTACATCCAAGGGGTTGCCTAACAACAAACACAATAGAAAGGGGATATTTATGAGAAGGGTTGCGAGACGAATAGAAGTAGACGACTGATTTAGCTTAGCTCTCAGCCAACCGTTGTGCTTGTCACCTTCCATTTTTGAATAGCCAATCTGTGGGTCTGCCTTGGCAAAAGACCGCATTTTGCCGAGCTCAAACGACAAGGAGAGAGAACAGAAGTTAAAGCCGAAAGACGTCTATAAATCTATTAATTATAAACACAATGATGTATTAATATAGCCATTTATATGCTTCTAAGCTGCTCTAAAGCATTACGGCGTAGGAGCGCACGTGACCTCACAGGTATCTCCTCTCCCTTTCTTCTGCCAAGATACAACATCTACAACATCTCCACAAGTAAAAATGAAGAGATTTCTTCCGAAGCAGAAGAAGGAAGGCCAAAGGGATGCCGCGGAGCCACAAGCTGCGTCTGGAAATGCTTCAACTTGCTCCGAAAATGATTCTCTTCACGATCTTCGACCCATGTTCCAACATGAGACTTCTGCGTTAACCAACGACTTACTGCTCAATACGAATCCAAGCATTTATGCGCCTTCTTCACGCACCGACGATTCGGAAGGTGCATCGAAGTCGCTTTTTTCAAGCAGACAGTCATATTCTACGAGACAGTCGTCTTACATGTCTTCCAGATCAAAGAAGAATACGTCAGCCAACGAGATGGGACCAGCTCTTCAGGTCTTCGATATACCAGAGGATAAAGATAGCGAGGGCTCACCCCAAGAGGCCCTTTCCGAGTTACTCCACGTTCTTTGGCAAGATATTTCGTACATTCAGACACAGTACCTCAACTCCCTGCTAACTTTGTCCACTTGCGTTGTCCATATCATTGACTGTCTTAAGGACTTCGTTGCTTTCACCGACAAGTTTGAAAGCGATCAAGAATGGAACTTCACTGCTTATGATAACAGTGACGTGAGAAGAGTGCTCAAGACCTATCTTCACTTGTATGACAATTTATTGAAAGACGAGGCTTACGTGAGACTTAGACTACTCTTGTGCAAGAACTTTAATGATTTTACTGCTTCATTGAAGAGTTCATCGAGGAGGACTGTCTCGGGGCAGAATATCGCCAAACCACAGAATTTTGCTATTGGTGCAAATGATGGTCGTCCTCTTCCTCGTCAAGAGGCTATATCTCGAATCATTGGGAGAATTGCAAGCAGCTCAACATATATCCAGGAACAGAATGGTTCGTTCATTGCTCCTATAGCTCGAGGCACGTCTAAGGATATGAACGTGTTATGCTTATACTTTGGATATCCTAACCCATCAGAGAATCATAATAGTGTGATCTCCAACATTAACGAGCTTTACGATGATGTGCATGTTTTAATAGCAAAGAACAAGATAGAATTTGCGTCTACTGCTGCATCGTCATCTTCAGCGCAACTACCCGAAAGCCTGGTCCCTGCGTCTTTTGCCCCCAATGTTCCCCGGTTCAAGTTACCCTTCAGAGTTCCAAGTGACTCCACTAGTCCCCCATTGTCTCTCTCAGTTTCGACTGAGAGCGCGAGGAGGGTGTCCGGAACGATAGGTGGTTTCATATACCCTAAAATCGACATTCAAAAGCAACCACATCTTTCCTCATATGCAAAATCAAAGTTTGCGATATCATGTGGGCACGTCTGCTTAGACAAGAGAGAAGAGATCGTCGATTATCCATATGTATCGTCGCCATCGTCTGTGCTTATTGGTCTTTATAAACAGGCTTTACAAGATCAGTATCAGAAATGTGTCCGAAACGAGGGTGATCAGTCAATGCTCGATTCTAAGGTAGCATATTCTTCTGTTTTGAATCAACTTGATGAAATGTTCCCGGTTGGAAAAGTGAAAACGCTTGATCCAAAAACTAAACAAGAAAAAGTCGAAACGAGAAACTTCCCAAAACACAGATTCGGTCAAATCATATGGGGTGAAAGAACTTTGATCCAAGCTAAGAGAACAAAAGATGGTCGCCAATTAAAAGAAAAAAGACTTAGTGATTTGGCTATTATTAAGGTCAACAAATTACTCAAATGCGACCAGAATTATCTCGGAGATGATATCGCGTTTAACGAATATGATCCTTCGTTGATATTTGAGAACCTTTATGTCCGTAAAATTATTCTGCTCGGTCGCCTGGCGCGGGATATTTCTGAGAATCTTAATGAGGTCGATTCCATGGCGTCAACACAGTCAATGGATTCTGATGGCAATGTGACACACAGAGGATTACCGGTGTTCAAATATGGATCGACAACAAAGTTTACGAAAGGTTTCTTAAATGGAATTAAGCTTGTCTACTGGTTGGATGGAGCTATTCACTCGTCCGAATTTGTTGTGAACTCTTGTGAAAACACAACTGCTTTCGCTGCTGGCGGCGATAGCGGCTCGTGGATCTTGACTAAGCTAGAAAACGTGAAAGGTCTGGCAAAGAAGGAAGGTTTAGGTGTTGTGGGAATGCTTCATTCGTACGATGGTGAATTTAGACAGTTCGGTCTTTTCACCCCAATGACTGAAATATTAGACCGTTTGGCTGAAGTAACGAAAATCCAATGGGGAGTCGTCGGTGTTCAAGAAAAAGGAGGCGAAATCATTTCTAATGACTCAGATAGCGGATCAGAACTCTCAAGCGACTCCGAAGATGATAGCGAATACGAAGATGGACTCGAAGAGCAAACGAAAGCACTTCAGATTGATTGAGACTACAAATTCAAACAAAGCAAGTCATAATCATAACGAAATAAAAATAAAGTGGGAGAAAGAACTGAATTTCCAAAGGCAAACGGTGTTTTTTTTTTTCTTTTTTTCTTTTCTTTTGGTTTAGCCGACTACAGGGCGATAAGAAAGGCTATCTCAATGCCTAAGCAAGTAAGGCAGCGAAACCCAAGAATGCCGCAAGTACTGGGACAGGATTAGTACCAGCACCATCCCAAGAAGTCACCGTTGGCTCGGGTGGTGATACAGTTGGTTCAGGGCCAGTTGGCTGAGGACCAGTTGGCTGAGGACCAGTTGGTTCAGGACCGGTTGGCGCAGGAGGAATACACGAGGAAACGGTCACTGTGGTTGGCTCAGTGACTGTAATTGTGGTTGGATGACAGTGACGAGGTCCACAGGTGGTCAATGTAATCGTGGTCTCTGTTGGGCAATACGTGGTGTAGTCGGTGAGAGTTGTTGTTGTTGTGGTGTGGTTCCATCCGCCGGTTGGAAGTGAAGGTGTTGGAGTGTGGTGATCATCATCATCATCATCGTCGTCACCGTCACCATCACCATCACCATCACCGTCACCGTCACCGTCACCGTCACCATCGCCATCGCCATCGCCATCGCCATCGCCATCGCCATCGCCATCGCCGTCTCCATCACCATCACCATCACCATCACCTTCCTTCTCAGCACGGAACCTGACTTCGGCACAGTCCTCATATGGCTGAGTCTCGTTTACATAAACCAAGTTACTTCTGTCATAGCCGTTAGGGTCTTGGGTTGCTTTACAAGCCCAAGTCTTGGCACTCAATTGAAGGTAATTGTCTGCAATAGCGACGTTACTGTCACCGTCGCCCCGAGACGCCATTACCAAGTATTGGCCTAGAACGGCCATCTTCAGGTCCCAACCTTCGAGCTCATGATCCTCCTCGTCATATTCCAAACCAATTGGGTTATCATTGAGGAAGACATAGTCGAGACCAGACCGGGCCTCCTTGTTAGCGTAGAGGCCCTTTCCGTTGTATTCTTCGTTATCGGTCTCTGCGTAAAGTTTGTAACGGTCTGCAGCGACTGTCGAAGCGATTAAAGCGAGAGCAAGGTATTTCATGTTAAAGTAGGTGGAGAGCTAAAAAGAAAACGGATTATACGGGTATTTATAGAGCAACCGGGGATTCCCTAGACCATTTGAAGAATGTCTATATTTGGTATCCCATTCTACTTATGGTTGGCTTTGCCAGGACAGATCTGCCCAAAGTGGATCCCTTGGGGTAACTTACGACGCAAAAATACACAAGTCCATTTTTAGACCGCAACTAGTATCAAATTTAGTAACGGTGGTGACGGTTTGCATTGGTTCCTGAATGAAACAATACCGCTGTTGGCCGACCCCAGGTTAACAGATGCGGCTGGTACCACTTGAGACAGGGGTATGCGTAGATTACGAGGTATTTGCTTACGCCGCGCAGGACCCTTTTGCAACCATTAGGCTGATCATTAGCGGGAAGCAAAACGGGCACCGAAAGTATTAGGGCCATGGTGTGATTTGGGTGAAAAAGGTTTCGGCAATCAACACATGGGCGGTCTATTTGGTTCTGGTGATTTACCTTTTCACGTTCATGGGCATTCCCGGCTTTCTTTTTAAGGTTGCGTTGGGGAAGGTTAGTGGGCCAGGCCGTTTACGAGCGGGGAGCTATTTTTGGGGGGATTGGGTGCTACAGTTCTTTTATAAAAAAATTGATGACTTGAATTGGACGAAGTATTTAAAGTATCCCTCAAAATCAAAACAGAAAGAATAAAAGAAAATTGAAAATAGAACTCTTCCCAACAAGTAGTGTTTTTGTTTGTTGTTTTTATCTAAGCGAGCGTAGATTAGATCAACAAGGCTGCGAAACCGGCAAGACCAGCAGCCATACCAGCAGCGTTCTGGGCAGCACCGCCCTCGAAGGAGGAAACAGATGGAGACACAGAAGGTCCAGCAACGGAAGATGGTTTAGTCTCCTTTGGTGGTGGGGTCTCCTTTGGTCCAGTCTCCTTTGGTCCAGTCTCCTTTGGAGGTGTCTCCTTTGGAGCGGTTTCCTCAGGGTGAGTCTCCTTTGGAGGTGTCTCCTTAGGGTGGGTCTCCTCAGGCTTGGTTGGGGTTGGCTTAGGGTGTGGGGTGGTGGTCTTTGGAATGATACATTCCTCAGTCACAGTCACAGTCTTTGGCTCAGTCACAGTGATTGGCTTTGGACCGCAGACATGCTCCACACAGGTGGTGACAGTGAAGGTAGTTGGCTCAGGGCAGTAGGTAGTGTAGCCAGTCACGGTGACGTGCTTGGTAGTGGTATGGTTCCAGCCATCGTGAGAAGATGGTGGTGGCTGTTCCTTGCCGTCTCTCTTAAGAGAGATCTTGTGGCAGGTGTCGTTTGGAGCTTCAGAGGCAGCAGCGACACCATAGTCGTCCTTAAAGTACTTGTATGGGTCGTCGAGGTCCTTACAAGCCCAGAGCTGCTCCTTGATCTGAAGAATACCCTCTTCGTTGAAGGTAATCTCAGATGGAGTCACAGCAGGGCCAACCTGGAGGAAACCAGCATCGGCACCAACATTGCCCTTGTAGTCACCCTCATAGTTGAAAAGGTGTTTCTCCTCTGGGTTGTAGTGGAATTCAGGGCTTCTCTCCCCCTCAACAAGGAAGTAGTTAATGCCCGCACCTTCGTGGACAGGGGCAACACCCTTATTGTTAACGTCTGAGTGGTCAGAGACGATTCTGAGCTTGAGGGTCTCCTCGGCAGCGATAACGGCTGAAGCGAAAAAAGCGAGAGTAGTGTATTTCATTATCGAGTTAGTGTGATAGCTTCTGAAGACTTATTCCAAACAGCGGGACATAGGACTTCTTATATAGTACAGAAAAAAGCGCTGGCAACCACTAGCATATAGGCACCAGCTTGGGTATTGCAGCCATTCTCCAAGAAAGCGTACTAAAAATAGGCTTCCAACAAGCACAACCTGCGTCAGGGTCTCACGCACCTTTTCTAGCTCTGCAGCCCAATCCAGCAGGTAAATTGACGTATTTGTGCACGCACCCTACATAGTCAAATCTTATACCAAACCAGCACCTACTTCTTTTAGCTTGTCCCCTCTACACGCTTACCATTGTGGTAGCACTTGGCAGCGCTTGGAGCGCGATGTAGCGATGCCAAATGTTGCCATGACTTTTATGTGGCCAAGGCTGGCGGTGCAGTGGCTGAGCGGCTTAGATCTCGCTTCGGTTAGATCTTGGTGATCCCGCACTCCGTTGGAACTGAAAGTATAGGGAACGAGTGGGCGGTTTTTAGAAAAAGTAGTCTCTGGTTTCATTCTGTAATTCAATATATTCTGCTTTCATCTTTTGTTAGTTCCCCTTCTCGCGTCTTCTTGCTCTTTCCCAAATGGTAAGAAGACTTACTACTTTAAAGCTTGCTCGAGGAACTCGCGGTGTCTTATTGTTTGACTCGGACCATATGCCCTCCAGAGTTTCTTATTCTCATGTTATCTATTTTCAAAAGTGTCCAAAGCAAAAGCGCAAAAGGCCATTATTTAGGGTGGGATGTTTGAGACATCCTTACGATCTCTCATGACGCTTGTAGTCGATGAAGCGGTTCAAATTATTCCACGCCTCTTCTGCACGGGCCCGAAGCTCCGGTTCCCGATGTTTATCTGTACGTTTATAGCAACTGTGCACAGCAGGTTCCAACTTCTCCAAACGGGTTAAGAACCCGCCTTCGACAAACACGGGCAAGTCATATTCGAATTCCGCATCTCCAAATATATCGAAAATAAGATTCAAAGTTTCAACCACAATCTCAACACCCTGTTTTTGACCAGCCCCTGTGAAAAGTGTTCAATTGCCCCAAGAAGAAACTCTCCAATACGCCTAGTAACATCCACGTTGCCAATAGTTTGTGCCAATGTTCCCACAAACCCAACACTAGACAATACAAAGTCTAATTCCAATGCAGGATCTTCTTGCTGGGAAGCGTTCCCAATCACCTCTTGGCACTTGTTTAGCAAACTTTCAACCATTTCGGGATTCACCTTTCTCTGTACCTCCGGCCCGAGGCACTTGCTTAATGCCCATAACACATTGAGACAAAGTCTTTGCGTATCAATATCAGCCTTGCCCGAAACTGACTCAATGGCGTCCCAAAGTTCGGGAATGCAGCTATACCACGCAACAGGAATTGCGCTGCTTGAGACGAAGAGCCAACTCAAATTGTTAAGTGCTACCAACACCTTCTCTGTTAAGGCCAAGCCAGCGCCGTGTTCTTGGTCAAACCTTAACAAATGTAAACATGAAGGAAGCGCGGTTTCTAGAAGCAACAGAACCACGCTATCACTCAAGTCAACTGGTGCACCTTCAGAAGCTTCTTCGAGTGCAAGGAACTCACATATGCTGGTGAAAAGGTCAATAGTCACGTCGATGGCTTGGAGATCGGCGGCTGCTTGAACCTTCTCTGGACTGTCACCTCCAAAAGGTACGTCAATGTCTTTAGGCTTTTCCCCATCGTTCTCTTCTTCTGGCTGTTTTTTCTGAACGGGATCTGTGCTGGTCGTGTTCAACTGTTTGTGTATCTCTTCAAGGTTCGTGCCAGAGATTGTCTGGAAGATATTTCCAAGTATAGAAAGGGACGCGGTTTCTTTGCCCGTCTCTTGTCTGGCTTGGGGATCCACTTCGTAAATGTGGAACCTGATGCCTTCAACTAAGATTTTGCCCAAATGGTTCTTTTCGTGACTTGGATCTTTAATTGCCTCTTCTATTGAGCCGAGAGAGAATTTTGTGTTGTTCACCAATTGCTCAACAAAATCAGAGCTTTCAGAAGCAAACTCGTAAATAAGGTCCAAGAGCGCATTGAAGAGCTTGAGCGATGTCTTGAGCTTTGGTGTATTGAATGCAAGTAATGGGATGACAAGCAGAAGCACTTTGTCAATCTTCCCATAGATGAGATTGTAAAGCTCTTCTGAGCTTGATGCTATTGCTACCACTAGCGATAAAAGGTTCTCGGTGAAGTCATAGAGCATAAGAACTCTCTTCTTTTCCATCTTCTTCTCCAGGTTGTTCGTGATAAAGTCGAACGAAGATTCAATCTTTTCCAAGCCTTTCTCAATAGCAGCCCAGATGTCAGATCTCCATAAATGCTTAGCCACCTCATGCCCTTCTTCAATAGTCAAGTTTCTCAAAAGACCAAACAGCTCCACAACGATCTCATCGTTCAGATCATTGAGTGTCTGCTCCATAATGGTGGTAACAAGGCGCTCCTTAAGTAACAATCTTCTCATTCTGGCATCCTCAGCAAGTACCATAATAGCACTAAGGGCAACCGATCTGTCATTAGGAGCTGAGGAAGACAACTTGGAGATCAAGGGAGAGATCTTGTTCTGTCTCGTAGTCTCATCCTTAATGTCTTGTTTTGATGAGCCGTCTTTACGAGCAGCAGGATTCTTCCTTGCCTTTTGGGATCTTCTACCTCTTTTCAATTTTCCCATATCTATGTGTTTTTGATATGTAACTGAAAATGCACCGATGAGATGGGATTAGGTGTAGTACCATATACAGGCGGGGCCATTTGAAGAAGTGATATAGACATCAAAAGTAGCAATAATATGACCGTAATACAAATAAGAAAATCTAGAATTAATAGTTTTTGTTATTATTGTGCTATACTGGGTCAGTTTTATGTTTTTATTGTATCTACGTTGCATTAACTTGGTATTTTTCTCGGGATCAACCCATTCTATGGCATCAAGGTTTCAAATTAGTTGAATTTGAAAACCACAGGGATTTTTAAACATCACTTGACATCCACTCGCTATTGCTTACACTAGCAAGAAAGTGTAATGTTCCGAATAGTGATATTTCACTCATTGGTCTTCCGCTACCCACCACAAGAAACATGTCTCCGCATCTAAATCGGATCAAAAATATGTTCAGTCCGCTCTTGAAGTACACTAATTTGGCTTTCCCGTGCTCTCGACCGAATCGGTTCTGATTTCAGCATGTTGAAGATCTTTCTCTAGTTCTTCTCTAGGAACATCCTTGAGAGCAGGGTTCAATGTCTCCTTAACTGTGTTCCTGACATCCTGCCACGACTTAGGCTGATCGTCGAAATCACGAACGTAGACGTCATCACGGAGGTTTCCATCCTTCTTTAGTTGTTCACTGCGGTTAGTTGAGACTCGAAAATTGGAAAATTGATGCAACACTTACACTATTAACGGCTGCCAGAACTTTACACCAGTATACCATCCAATGGCACCAACGGCAACTACTGTGATGGCTTTACCGGCTCTTCCAGACATGGCTTCGATACTTCCTATCAGCAACTGAGAAGCGCCTTTAATGCCAGTGAAGTCACGTGCAAGGAGACGAATTTTGCAACCATTGAATACCACCAAAATTAGGCCTGTTATTTGTGTTAATGGTGTATACTTGAGAATAAAGGTGATATAGATACCATGATATCCTAGTTTCCCTTTTTATAATTGGCAGTACTCGAAATACCCATAAATCTTGGAGGTCGTCAATGCCATACACAAGACCCAATAGTAGGCAGTTACAAATAAATACGTCAATTAAGAAAATTGCTTGTTCATTGATTTTGACAAATTTTCATAAATTTAAGCCCTAGGAGTATTTTTATTGAAGCTTCGTTTTTTGGCAGGAAGGCGGCTTGATGGCATCGGTCGTGCGGTGCCCAGCCCACTATATAAATGCTCTCACATTTCCCATCGTTAAATCTTTTCTTCTCTAATCAAAAAGTAAACGGGAATATTTGCCACGACGAGATAATGTAAATTGTCAAGTTATCATCGTTGCCATATTATCATAATATCTCATTCCCCAGAGTAGCTACAACCCACTAGGAAGTTTGTTATCCGATGGGTCTCTTAAGTGAGGCGATGGATTCTGAATGTCGATTTGATGGGTTACATCTTTCTAAACCTCTCTAATACTTAGGCTATTTGTTCTCCATGATCAAACCACTTCTACAGATCCTTTCTCTCGTTCTCTTGGAAAGAGACGTAAAGAAAGGGAAGGTAACTTGAAGAGCTTCAGTGGCACAACCCAGCTGATGTCTGATCTTGCTAAAACAAGGTACGCGTCGTGTAGGCGTATCAAGCAAGTGATTGAAAACCAGTGATTCTTTAGCATGCTCCTTTTCATTGTTGTTGCTCTTCTTGTCTACTTGAAGGAAGCTCCTCTTTGGTGAAGCTCCATAGGTCTACATCGTAAGTTACGTATCGAATGATGATGTATTTATACAGTTAAACCGCAATGGCCCTAGGGCCTATGACAAGATTAGCGTAGCATGGGTCTTAACGGTACTTGTTGAAACCAATGTCCTTAGCCTTCTCTCTGAAGCACTGACGGCAGACGTCCAAACCGTACTTTCTGATCAAACCAGAGTGGGTACCGCAAACTCTGCACTTTCTAGAACCCTTACCGTAGTGTCTTGGGTGGGAGAACCAAACGTTTTCGTGAGCCATGTTCTGTCTGTTAGTAAAAGCTTCAAGGATAGTGTATGGATATGATATAGTGGGGACACAACGAGTTTAAGATATCTGGGATACAGCCACTTGCACGAGGAATGTAGCAAGTTTGTTATAAGGTTGGAAGTGGACTATTTCAAAACGATAAGTTTCATTTTGTTGGGCATGGGATGGACGGTTGAAGATGGAGTCTCCAATACATCAACATGGAAATGTCTTAGATGGACGAGGACAGATTATTTGGGATCGGGAGATTTTAAATATCGATTATATTATCACGGCACTGTATCATTTATCCATTTCATTGTAAGTTTTTAACATACATTTTAGTTGGACTTTCGGTGTATCGTTTGAAGTAGATATTGAAAATTTCCTTGATATCGAGCGTCAGTCCGGTAGATTGAGAAAAATTTGCTACGTGTGGGTACCAGAAAATAGACTGAGGGAACGCACCCGTGCACCCACCCAGTAGGGTGGAAGCCGCAGCTAGGGCTGGAGCCCTAAGACCATCGCGATTCATGCGATGAGCTCCTACAACATAGCATTATCTCATCGCTGTCAACCAAAAGATATCAAATAAGGCATTGCAGTCATGGGGAGAAGCGGTCACTCACATAGGAGTACGCTCAAGAAAGATCATAAACCCTTCAAATCAAGACATGCATCAAAGGGCCTGTTGAAGAACCAGTACAAGGGAAAGGTTGAGAAGACCGGTCCAGGTTCAGGCAAGACACAGAAGGTTGTTTCTAAGTTGCAAAGAAAGAACCAAAGCAAACAGCTTAAGGAACATAAGATCCAGGAGACGAAACTTGCAAGACGTCTATTTGAGGGAGCCTCTGGTGCTGAGAAGGTCATCACTGTCATTGCACTTACACCAGATATCTCTCCAGCAGGCATAGCATCTCAATTAGTGAACAGCATCAAGGCAAGCCCAGAAGACCCAGATGTTGAGTTCTCTGGTCCTTCTGTGGTATCACTTCGTTTGCCACGTTTCAAGTCGAACGTGAAGTTTATCATGCCAGATCAGAATAACTTGATCTCGATTCTAGATGCTACCAAGGTGTCTGATTTCGTCATTTTCGGTCTTTCTGCCGAACAAGAAGTCGAAAAGGAGTATGGTGAACAAATCTTGAGAGCCATTGTTGCCCAAGGTGTGGCTTCTGTCGTTGGTGTGTTGCCTAACGTCATTTCTGCATACCCTAAGAAGAACCTCCAACAAGACATTCGCCAGTCATTGCAATCTTTCTTTGCTCATTTCTTCCCTACCGAAGAGAAGCTTTATGCACTTGAGTCCGACTCTGAGTGCCTTAATTGTATTCGTTTCATTGCACAAAAATTGCCAAAGTCTATCAGCTGGAGAGACTCGAGGGCTTACCTTCTCGCAGACAGCTTAACTTGGGTGGCTGACGCTGACCAAGGCGGCTTCGCTATTGTTGAAGGTACCGTTAGAGGTGTCGGTTTCAATGTGAACAGACTTGTGCATATTCCTGGTCATGGTGACTTCCAAGTGCAGCGTATAGAAAAGGTTGCAAAGCATAAGAACGTTATGGAGGACGAGGAGCTGCATGCATTTAATGCTGACTCTAACCAAGAGTCTCTCGAAGAACTCAATCCCGTAGAAGCTGAAATGGAAGACTTTGACGACGATTATGAGTACGATGACTATGGTGTGAAGATGGAGGGTAAGAATTACTTCGATGGGGGATCCAATGAAGTCAAGAGAAAGTGGAAGGTTCCTGAAGGTACCTCCGAATATCAGAGCAAATGGTTACTAGATGATGTGCTTGAGGCTGCGTCTGATGTTGAAAGTGCTGACGAAATGGAAGAAGTTGGTGAAGACGATGAAGTCGCAGAAGAACTTACCGAAAATGGAATGGATGATGACGATGACATGAAGTCACAGTTTGGTGACAACCAGCTGGAAATGTTTGTTGAATTGTCTCCGGAAGAGGAGGAGGAACAGCTTAAGCAATACAGAGCTATGGAGAAAGAAGACAGAGAATTCCCTGATGAGATTGAGTTGGCTCCTGAGGAGTCTGCCAAGGAGAAGTTGGGCCATTACAGGGGTATCAAGTCTCTTGGAAATTGCGATTGGGATTGGGACGAGCAGGACTCAGAAAGACCACTGGTATACAGCAGATTGCTTAGAATCAACCATTTCAAGGCAACGAGAAACAAGTTGCAAAAGGACGCTGCCAAGGAAGCTCAGGCACTCACCGGTCAAAAATACCGTCTTTATATCCGTGCTCCTCCATCTGTTGCTGAGAACGTGGACGTTAGTGTTGCTCCATTCACAGTTTACCTGTTGCTTCAACACGAACATAAATTGGCCGTCACCAACTTTTCTTTCACTTCATGGGAAGACTACGAAAAGCCAGTTCCATCGGGAGAACAGCTTATTGTGCAATACGGTTTCAGAAGACAGGTTATCAGTCCAATGTTCAACCAGGCTTCTAACACCTCTAACAATGTTCACAAGAGCGAGAGATTCGCTCACCAAGGCGATCTTAGCATTGCAACTGCGATTGCTCCTCCAATTTTCCACAACGCTCCTGCTATTTACTTTAGACCTACTCCAGAAGGCGGCTTAGAGCTTGTGGGTCAAGGTACATTCTTGAACTGTGACCACACGAGAGTGATGGCCGAGAGAACTGTCTTGACCGGCCACCCAGTCAAGATTCACAGACGTCTTGTCACCGTCAGATTCATGTTCTTTAACACTGAAGATATCAACTGGTTCAAGGCTGTGCCATTGTTCACCAAGTCAGGCAGAACTGGTTTCATCAAGGAGAGTTTGGGTACTCATGGTTACTTCAAGAGTACTTTCGACGGGCGTCTTTCTGCCCAGGACGTGGTTGCCATGGCACTCTACAAACGTGTTTGGCCCTCAGTTTCCCATCTGTGGGTTGCTTAGTGTATATTAATGGGATAACGGCATTAGAGATTACCAGTAGAGTATATATGGAGAAGCTGTGCGAAAGAATGGCTGCAAAACTCAGCTAGAGGCACGAATTACAGATTTACTTTAATAGGTAATGACGATTAGTCAGGCTATTTTCGTTAGAGTCTGAACTATAAATTAAGTGGTTACTTTTTTTTTTTTTTTTTTTTTTTTACAAGAACTAGGTTTGGTCTGGTCTGGTAGCCTCAGACATGGCCCTCCATAGACTCAAACCATACAGCACTGGCAGATCCGTCAGATGACTTAAACCATATCCTTTCCATAACATTCCCTCAATTCCAATCTTAACTGGACAATTCCACGTTGTGTATACCGCCACCAGAATGTCCTATATGGTGACAAAGAAGTCTTGGATTTCCATAAAGCATGACCGCCGAAGTCCGAGCCATGTTGCGAAGACACTAAGGAGTTCAAAGAACAATAGCTAATGAAGCCACTTCAAGCCACTATTAAATGGAATTATTTGATTGAAAATCTTCGGCAAACCATAGACCATTTTTTTCATTTTTTTTCATGTACACTATAACTATGGCCTGAGTATTGGTCTAGATGAAAGCTTATCTTTCTGTCTATATCTTCGCACACTTTCCTACATGCCTCTTGGGCTCCAGTATTAACCATTTGCTCATCTTAAGTATTTTCATTACTACACCATCATGAGTACAACATCATTACCAACAGGCTACACTCCAGCCACTGCTGGATTCACCTGTAATTCCTGCTCGGTCAGGTTTGTCAGTGCTGATTTACAAAGACAGCATATGAAGACTGAGTGGCACAGATATAATCTTAAGAGAAGAGTGTCTGGACTACAGCTGATTTCTTCAGATGTGTTTGCCGAGAAGGTATTGGCTTCTCAGAGCAGAAGCGGAGAGGATGAGGAAGAAGACGAATATGGCTTCCATGTCAACCACAGAAGAAGATCTGGCAAGGGCCAGAGACAGATAACCAAGAAGGACTTGAAGCAGATGGCAAGGGCAGAAAGAGGAAGAGAACTCGACATTCCAGAGGTTCCTTTGCCTAGAGGAGTCAGTCCTGCTGGGTCACTTGCATCTACATTCTCCTTGGGAGACTCTGAGCATTTCTTATCCGAAGGAGACTTTGACACTGGATCTGAATTCAACTACTCTGAACCTGAGGGCTACTACTCTGGCAGAGATTCTGATACTGAAGAGCTGTACGTTAGCGGATCCGAGTCTGAAACCGAGGATCAGCTCGAAGAAATCCCTAACCATTACTGTTTCTACTGTGGCAAGAACAATGTTCTGGTTGAAACTAACTTAAGACATATGCTGAACACTCATGGCCTCTACATTCCTGAAAGAACATACTTGAAAGATCTCGACGGTTTGCTCACTTTCCTTAACGAAGTTATTTACATTGACCACGAGTGCCTTACTTGTGGCTTCGAAGGTAAATCTTTGGAGAGTATCAGACAGCATGCCGTGTCTAAAGGACACTGCCGTATGCCTTACGAAACCAAGGGCGAAAGAGCCGTATTTGACGATTTTTATGACTTCTCATTAGCATCCTCGCTGCCTACCACAGCCACCACTTCCAAGAGAGTTACCTTCTCGGATGGTACCGACGACCACAACGCTGTGGAGATAGAAGATTTGCCAAACTACACTGTGGACTCTCGCGAACTCACGCTTCCCTCAGGATCTAGAGTGTTACACAGAGACGTTAGACAGCCACGCCTGTCGAGCACCAGTCTTATCGCTCGCGATACCCCAGAACTGACGAAGACTGTCGCTCTTGTGGATAGAAGATTTGCCCCAGGCATCACGCTGCACGAAGTTTCGAAGCAAGAGAAGGCTGTTAGACGTATGGAGCAGAAGAGCAGAAACGTGCATCTGAGAAGATGGAAGACCAAGAAGGTGAACTACCAGGCACACTTCAGAGACGAGCTTCTCCAGTAATTGATCATAGAGCAGGACAATAAGTATCAGGAAATACAGGGAACAAAACCAGCCATACCCGTAGGCACAATTTCGATTTTAAAGGGCTGGGCCAACCCTAGTTGCTCACTCCAGACCATATGCTAAGCAGACCGCGCTTTGATTTCGCAGCCATAGATAACGCCTTACCAAAGCATGAGCCACACCCACATCACCTAAAAACCCTTACCGGCTTTGAACGCCCAAAATATGTAAAATGAAAATACCACCTTCCCACCCCACTTTCCGTGACACTCTTTATTTTTTACTCCCTCTTCACATCTCTTCCCCTAATTGATGTACAGCGGATGATTCTGCCCTGGAGCTTCCTACAACGGTGCTGTAGGATGACGCTTGTGTACACTCCACGCGCCTCACAGAAGCCGATCGAACTTCCAGAATTACCTTACATTTAACTGTCTAGAGAAGACCAAATACCTTTTTATAATTACTACTCATCCTATAAAGAGTTTCTCTCTTACCCCCTTTTATGCTTTATGGTGTACGAGACGTATCTATATGATTTGCTAGCTGTGGCTCCCGAGGCCTCGGGAGACGAGATAGGCAAGGCTTACAAGAAGCTAGCCTTAAAGTACCATCCAGACAAAACCAACCATAACCCTGAGCTTACAGAGAAATTTAAAGAGGCCACGCGAGCTTACGAGATCCTTAAAGAGCCTCATACAAGAAACGTATATGATGCCTATGGCCCTGATGGTCTAGACGGCACGGCTGCTGCTAAAGAGGAACAGCAGGCGAGACAGAATCAGCGCAGAAGAGGACCTACCACACGGTTCCCATTCCAACAAGACCTATTTACACAGATGTTCAATGACATGAATTCTGTTTTCTCGGGTTCTCCGTTTGACCAGCACTTTGGGTTCTTTGGAGGACCTGGACCATCCATGGGGAATGCTGCAGGCAGCAATATGAACATGGGATTCAATATGAATATGAACATGGGCATGGGTACCGGTGCTGGTGCCGGTGCTGGTGCCGGTGGCAAGCGTGTGGTACGTCCTGCTCCAGCAGACCCTCAGGCCAATCGAGTCCAGCAGGGTCCAGACATTCAGCATACTTTCAAGGTGTCGTTAGCAGATATGTACTACGGCCGCTTGGCCAAGTTCCAGCTCGCGAGACGTGCCAAGTGTACTACCTGTGGTGGTGTTGGGGGCCTCAATCCTCGTACATGCCGTCAATGTAATGGCCTGGGTAGAATTATTGTCCAGATCACAGACCGTTTTACCAGAGTCCAAGAAATTGGTACATGCCAGCCATGTCGTGGTACAGGTATCTATACTTCTGCTGCAGACAAATGTCCCGACTGTGACGGCGGCTTTAAAATGGAGAAGACGATTCTCAGTGTTCAGATTCTCCCTGGTCTGAAGAATGGCGACAAATGTATACTTCGAGGCATGGCAGATGAGGGAAGAAACATTGTTCCTGGTGACGTTGTTATCCATCTTCAGGAGATCCCTCATCCTTTTCTCGTGAGAAGAAACAATGACCTATATCTCGAGAAGGATATCGACTTGAAGACGGCCCTTCTCGGTGGTAGTGTCATGGTGCATGACTTCATCAATACTGGTGAAGATCTCAAGATCTTAGTCAATGTCCACGGCAATGACTCTATGAACGACTCTTTAGATTCTGAAATCAAACATGGAGAAGTTGTTGGCTCAATCAATCTGAATGCGCCAAAGATAGTCAAGGGCATGGGCATGCCTATCAATCTGAGTATCCGTCAAGGTAGATACTTCCAGAACGACAATTTAGAAACAAACCATTCCAGCATAAAGCGCGGCGACTTATTTATTAGATTCAATGTCCAAATTCCATCATTGGATCAATTCTCCAGCATCCAAGACATCGCTATGCTTTCCAAGATCTTGCCGGATAAGCCAGCAGAGCAACCCGGCAGATCCACCACACACGAACAGCATCTTTCAAACTTGCCTGAGGCACCTATAGTAACGGGTTCAAAGGTTCATTCACCTGAGGAGTATGATTATGACCGCATTGAAGTTGACAGCCAGGACCTGAAGGAAGAAGAACAAGACGACATTTTCTACATGGGTGAATGGTCAAAAGAAGCAGACGAAGGAAAGAAGAGGCGGAAGTGTAACAGCAGACAGTCGGCTAAGACAGGCGCAAAAGGATCTGATCCCGCGACGTTTGGCAAGACTAGTGTTCGCTGTTGATTCATCGCCACACCTTCCCATCGACAACTCATGAGACCACAGAAACACATAACAAACACCAATGGTGCTTCTCGAGTTTGTAACATTTAATAGGGTAATTGGCTCAAGATAAACCGTCCTTGTATAACATTTTCTCTCCTATGGCGCTCGAAATTAGCAGCCATTCCTGCACTCACTGCCACTATCAACATATGGATCGATCTTCCTCTACGTTACGATAAGTCTGACATTCCACTACCACCATGGCTGAACCACGCGTTTTGGAACCAGCCATAATAAAGGATCTTTCCAATCACATATATGAAAGAAGAAAAGCTACCGCTTTCCAAATTGAGGGCTTCACAAAGCAAGCATTGGCCAGGAACGACTCGCCCACGATCTCCAAAATTATAGCTGAATTAACCGAACTTCTCGATGGTGTCTCCACCTCAGCAACTATGGGAGCCATCACCGCCCTAGGAAGTGTCTCTGTGGCATTGGGCTCGTTCGCTATCGCATACTTTTTAGATGATATCGTTAGACCAATCTTCCGTACCTTTAAAGATACCGACGCCAGGGTGCGCTACTATGCATGTGAGTCCTTATACAATATCTCCAAGATCGCCAGGGGTGAGATTCTCTTGTATTTCAATGAGTTGTTTGACATATTGTGTATTTTGGTGACAGATACTGAGTCGTCAGTGAAGAATGCTGCTGATATCTTGGACAGATTGATTAAGGATATCGTGAGTGCCAAGTCTACCAACTATGTATCAATTTTGCAACAAAAACCGGAAGAGACGACAGATATTGAATCGAATGTTCCTGGACCTGACGGATTAAGGATCCAGGTGAACAATCCTCAAGATGCACTGAAGGCTTTCTCGTTGCCCAAGTTCATCCCCACACTATTAGAACGGATGTACACAATTGACCCCTTTGCCAAAAAGTTTTTACTAAGCTGGTTGGAGCTTTTTGATGATATCCCTTCATTGGAGCTCCTCACATTCCTTCCAAACTTTTTGGAGCCACTTGTCAGGTTCTTGATGAACAATTGTCCCTCTGATGTCAGAGTGGAAACACACAATCTTCTCAATATTTTCTTGAAGGAGATCAGAAGCATTTACAAGGTCAAATATGATTTGAAAAAGAAGCAGCTTGCAGCTGACGTTACAGAGAAGCAAAAGAGTCAACAAAATAAGGAACAAGAAGTGGAGGAGAATATGAATGGCCTCAACATAGAAAATGAGCAACTGGCCACAGCAGATGATACTGCTTCCATCAAGTCAAGCTCGACGACAGTCATAAGAAGGCCAGCGAAGAAGAATGATGGTGAACGAGAGGGAGGTACCGGAGAGAACGATATTTCCCAAGGAGACGACTCTCTCTTTATTGATGGACAAGATATTTTCATTGATTGTCCACGTATTATTGACATTTTGCTCTCATTCCTCAGATCAACCAAGACCAATATATCACAAGACGTTAAATTGAACGACTTGTCTGGTGAATCGCATGAGATATATTTGGAGATTCAGTCTACAGTTCTCAAATGGCTTCAGGAGCTTGTGTCCATTACCCCAACAAGCTTCTCCAAGTTTCTTCCTGATTGTATCGCCATTAATATGCATAATATTGCGTTGGCTGATGATAATAAAGACTACGAGCTTAGGTCACAATTCTTGAAGTTCAACCAATCCCTTCAATCTTATTTGGTCAGGCTTAACCAAAGCGCTTCGGACGCTAATGTTGAGCATGCCGCCGAAAGCAAGACTCTGCCAACCGAGCTAAATATCAGTGAGAATGACATCGAGGGGCTCAACAAGGACGTCTTAGAAGAGTTCACTGAATTATACCTCAACAAGTCATTGAGAATGGTGATGAATGAATGTCTCCATAACGTTAACGAGCTTGCTCGTTTAACACTGTTGGATTGGCTTACTTTCCTTTATTCCAGCTATCCGGAGAGCTTTTTTGAGCTTGGCGAGAATGAGGAAAATCACGATAAGACCGACCGCTATCTTTTCGACTTGACAGCACTTTTAAGATCATCAACCGACTCGAGTAATGATGTGATCTCTAAGGTATTGCTGTTAGCTTCCAAAATTTCGGAAGACAACCAAGAGTTCTTTAAGGAATTCATGGTTAAATTGATTTCCTTCTTTGAAAATGATGGCGTGGAGAATACTGGTAGAATAGGCCAGTCAGATGAATCACCATCAGGCCAGAACACGATATCAAGAGACAAGGTAGAATTTATCATAAGGAGACTTTGTGTTTCTATCAGTGCCGAAAAGATCTTCCAGACTTTATCCGAAGTCTTGGTATCATTAGAAGGGTTGAATTTGGAGTTTATTGGCAACATCGTTGTCACCCTTAACAATATTTTGTTGACAGCCCACGAACTTCTGGGTCTCCGCCAGAAATTGAAGAATCTTGATTTTCAGAGAAATGAAGATTGGACCTTCTTTTCCGCCTTATTCCAGAGCTGGTGTCACAGCCCTGCTAGTGCATTATCGATATGTTTGCTTACATCTAATCACGAACTTGCATTCCTCATCATCAAATGCCTCGGTGAGCTGGAAGTAACGTTTCAGCTTCTCACGCAACTTGATATTCTTATCCAGTTACTTGAAACTCCTATCTTTTTGAAGCTAAGGTTACAACTTTTGGAACCAGATAAGCATCCTCACCTTTACAAGACACTTTATGGTATCCTTATGATAATGCCTCAGTCAAGCACATTCACCACCTTGAAAAATAGACTTTCAACAGTGGCTCCATTCCACGGTCAAAACAGCCCCGCTGGATTGTCGTTGAATACTCCATCTTCTACCCCAGGTGCTATCCCCACGTCAAACAGTGCTCAACTTTCTGCTAGACGGAAGAAAATCCATGAGTTGGCTGACAAGTTTAGCAAGGTTAATGACATACATCAAGCAAACAGATCAAGACGCCGTTTGCAAGATTATGTCAAGGTGGAGGATCCTGTAAGGGAACATTCAAAGCACCAGCCTGAGCCTTCTATTGCGAGCACAGACCAAAAGGGTATTGGAAGTTACTCTGGAAAGGACAACAAGCAAAGAACATATAAGAGATAATGGGATACAAGGATTGCTATAAGTAGCCAAATATAAATGAAACATAGGTTGTGAAATGTAGTTAAAATGCTATATGATGTGATAAATTATGCTAAAAGAGATAAATCTGCGATGCTTCTTCATCAAGAAGAACCATTCATAAATACCTGTGGGGTGCACTGGGTGTGCTGTCTTTCAAATCTCTTTGGAGAATCAAAATGACCAGAGAAGCGTTTCGGAGCTTCATTAGAAATGTGGGGAGATCCATACAACGAGTCAGGATCAGCATCCAGAGGGACATCGAGGGAGTACCTGTGGTGAACCATAGCGCCTTCTGACCGCAAATAATTGAACACGGAGTCAGAGAGATCTTCCAAACTTTGAATAACAGATGTGTTTGTTGTGGATTCGGATTGCCTCTTTCCTCTTTCTTCGCCATGACCAGACGAGGAAGATTCGTGGGAGTTTGATTTCGATTCAGTGGTTGAATGTGAAACTCTATGGTCGTTGAAATTGGCAAGATTCTGAACAGGTGAGTCCTCTTCTGATGATGTGAATGTAGCAACCGACCTGTTTACTGGTTGCATTGAATAAAGGGCAACGTTGGATAGATTTGGTGTAGACCGTTCTTTCTTGGAAACCAAATCCACCTTGTCAAAGTTGTGGACATACACTTGAGCTTGTGCTTTGCGATTTGATTGGGCTTCTGTTGAAGATGAAACAGACACATTCGACGTCTTTCCAGGTGAACCATCGATCTTGGCCAATTTGTACCTCTGTTTCCAGTCACCAATGCTAACCGGCGAGTCATTATAGACGGGATCAAACATGTTAGCATTGAAGCTTATCTGAGGCGAAGGGAGTGGGTCAGAAAGAAGTGAAGCGTTCTGGTTACCAGATTCTTTAGCAGGTTTGGTTCCCTTTGGAGTCTTTGGATCCAGACGGTATTTCCTCCTTAGATGCTTATCTGGCCTGTCAGAGGGCCCTGAAGATGATGACGATGAAAAATTCTGACTAGGCTTCTCCTTTGGCTTCTTCTCGTTGTTCTTCTTGAAACCTTGCTGTTTGAGCCTGAAATCAACCTTAGCAGCGATTGTTCTTCTTAAGAGCAATTCAAAGAGAAGCCTTGTTTCGAGTTGTTCTTTTTCTTTGCCGGTAACGTACTGAGATTCAAGTGGAAGGATCTCATGGAGCTTTGGTGGGATAGCGTATTTGCCTGCAAATGCCGCCTGTCTGTAGCTTTTGAAGATCCTCTCCTTGTATTGAACATTGTCACTATAAGTGAGTTGTTCTGGTCTCTGAATTCTTGGAGGTGCTAGTGATCTACCCTTGGGAGAAGGTACTCTCTCCAGCAAGGGTAATTCAGCTTCTGGTTGTCTCTCTTCTGGAACCAATGGGGCTGGAGGATGTCCTTGGATCACTTGAGGGTAGATATTGATTGTAGGAATGAGGCTGATGATGTTGGTAAATTGGTATGCTGCCATTGTTGGAGGAAGAAGCTCCCGAATCATCTGACTGCCATTATTCTTTTGAAAGAAGTTTTCAAACTCATCCTCAGACGAGAACTTTGGAGCCGCTTTGATGGGATAGTAATTGAATGATCTTCTTCTTCTCACAGGAAACAAAAACGACAATCTCGGAGGTTTCTTCGCCTTTTTCTTCCCCTTTGATTCTGTTCCTGAAGTAGTCAGCTCGTCAAGTAGAAGCCCATCAGGCAAGTCTTCTCTTCTCACCATCTTAGTACGCTTCCTGATACCGTTCCTATGCCTCAACGAGGCCAGTCTCGAGATCGTCGAGTTACCTCTTCTTATTTCTGAATCGTCAATTAAAGTAACAGTTGGATGTCTGTTATGCGAAGTAGTAAATCCATGTGCTGGGGAATGTCCATTATGGATATCATTCTCGATATCTATATAAGTAGCACTCTTAGTAGGGCTCAGACGTTGTTGAAGCTGGGCTGAATTGGGATCGTACAACACATCGAACGGGTTGCTTTGCTGCCTCCTGTGAACATTTCGTTTCGGTTCTTGCAATAAGGTGGTATTGGGCTGTGTGCTGATATGTGAAGCAGAACTACCATATGAGAACTGCCTAGATAACTCTGAGGCCCTGGACCGAATGGAATGGATGGCTTCCGGATCCGGCCACTGAGGGGAGGTTATTATCATGAAGACAGAGGACTTATTGGAGGAAGAAACGAGTAGTTTGAATGAATCAGAATATTAAGGGATGAGACATTTCAGGAACCATGGCAGCTGTGCAAAATTAGATCAGTATGGCTGGCTGCGAAAACCTCATTAGGAAACGTCTCCTGTGGGTACTGCATGAAGTGTACACGATTTGAGACGATGCAATGAAGCATAACCTTAGACGAGCCGCAACTAGGAGCGAAGGAGAATGACAAAAATGTGGAAAAGAGGGAATTCGGAAAAATATGAGTCAGTTAAAAATATTAAGTGGAAGGGGAGGCAAAAAGAATGCGCAAGCCCGGAATCGAACCGGGGGCCCAACGATGGCAACGTTGGATTTTACCACTAAACCACTTGCGCAAGTGAGAAAATGCTCCGAGACGGGGAATTGAACCCCGGTCTACCACGCGACAAGCGGTAATTCTAGCCACTAAACTATCTCGGACTGATCTGTATGAACGAAGCAGCCAACCATATAAATCAGATAGGTACATAATTGATCTTGAAAGTTTCTTACCTTAAAATCAAAATTCTAAAAGTATTTTATGTTTATTAGATAAAAAATACTCTAAATATTGTTGTGGCCGATTTTCAGCCCAGTTTGACAACTTTTTAATGCCATTTGACGTTGGAGAGCTTCTGTGGTAGTTATATGATACTGCCGGTGCCTTAGTACAACCTTATACTACTTGGTGGTTCCAACACAACACAGTCGAAAACACATGTTCAATATGAATTCTGACATTACGGTAAATAAATAGATAAACGGTTGCACCCTCCCTGGTCTTTGAATCGTTGGCAATCACATACTTGGATCGTTTCCTGGTAGAACTGGTCGCAACCCACATATTTACCCATAGATTCACACAACGCCAGCTGTTTCACTTTCAAAACACCAACTGAACTCATACAGCTTCATTTTCATCCCTCCAATAACTCCTTCGTTATAAATTACCCCCCTCTAATTCACCTGGCCTTCTCTGGCGCCTCCAACTCTAATGGGTGCAAAATGCGCGATTCTATCAGCTGAGAAGTACCCACTGAGACCAGAGGCAAGTCATCTTCCACCCACCACCATGTTCTTGTACGCAAGGTTAAGTCTACTGATACCCAAAAGGGGGATCAGGAACTTTAGCGTCTCGAGCACGCTCAATCAATTCCGTGTGGCCGTTGTTGGAACTGGACCTGCTGGGTTCTACACTGCTCACCACTTGCTCAACAAGTCTAATGGACTTCCGATCAAGATCGACTTCTTTGATAGATTGCCAACTCCTCATGGCTTGAGTCGATATGGTGTGGCTCCAGATCATCCTGAGGTGAAGAATTGCGAGGAATACATGGATAATATCATGGCCGATCATCCCGATAAGGTGCGTTTCTTTGGTAACGTTAACATTGGTACTGACATTCCGCTTAAAGACCTTCAGGATGTTTACCATTCCATTGTGTTATCATATGGCTGCACTAGCTCGGATAACCGTCTAAATATACCTGGGGCTGATTCACCGGCGGTGATTCTGGCTCGTCAGTTCGTGAACTGGTACAATAGCCATCCAGACAGTGAATTTAGCGACGCTAAGATCCCTCCTCCACTTGAAAAGATCAAGAATGTTACCATCATTGGTAATGGTAATGTGGCAATTGATGTGGCTAGAATTTTGCTAGCCGATCCTGAGAAGCACTGGTCCCCTACCGATATAAGTGTTGAGGCTACTGAACTACTCAAGAAAAGTGCTGTCGAACGAGTAAATATCGTTGCAAGGAGGGGTTTACTTGAATCTGCTTTCACCAACAAGGAAATCAGAGAATTGGCTGATCTCAAGAAGCATCTGAAAGTGCAATTCGTACCAATTGATACGGAAATCATGGATAAAATTAGGCCCAACTCTAAGAAATTGCCACGAATTGACAAGAGAAAGTTCTCTATTCTTGAAAAGGCCTCTGATGAAGCATCTGCTGCAGCTGATCAACCTGGGTATAAGAAATGGGCGCTAGAGTTCCAAAAGGCCCCCAAAGAGTTTGTGGCTGATCCAAACGATCCAACATTGCTTAAAGAAACTGTCTTCGAAATTAACGAACTAGTTGAAGACAACCTCACCAAGAAAGTTAGTGTCAAGGGTACGGGAAAGACGGTAACCATCCCTAATGAATTGGTGATTTTATCCATAGGCTACAAGGGAGCCCCTCTTGATGGATTTGATGAAGTTGGATTGGCATTTGATAAATCCAAGAACTCTCTAGTGCATAAAGAAGGTAGACTTATGCTAGGAGATAAACTTGGAAAGGATTTGGACTATAATTACAGTTACGATAAAGGCTGGTACACGGCCGGTTGGATTAAAAACGGACCTAAGGGCGTCATTGCAACCACAATGATGGAGTCTTTTGATACAGCAAACAATGTATTAGAGGACCTTAACAATGGCATATATAATAAGCCTACTAAAGATGGAGGGGAGGTGGCCATTCCTGACCATGCCGTTACATGGGAAGGATGGACCAAGTTAAACCAGCATGAACTAGAAGACGGGGAAAAGCTCCACAAGGCTAGGAACAAGGTACCTACCGTGAGCGAAATGCTTCGCATAGCTAAATAGACGGCTATAGATCAACACATCCTGTGATCTTAAAGAAGTAGTTGACATGGTCTCCACGACTAAATGAGCTGGGCAACATTGACTGATAGTCAAGCAACTGGTCGTCCTCAACATAATCTGTACCTCTTCTGATCATAGTCCCTGGCGACTGTTGAGGACCTTTGGCGCTAAGGTAGTACTGGTACCCACATTGTTTATAGTGGGACGTTGGCGGTAACATGGGAATAAGATCATGAATATGAGTCGCTCTGATAAGACCACTCAGAAGCGTATCGAAAGAATGGTACTTTCTGATGTGCCTTTCTGCGTACTCAGTGTCGAAAAGAGTATCGACAAAGTCCACAAAGTTACTGTTTCCAACCTTAGGACCACCCAAAGTGACCACCAAAGTGTCATAGCCCAACAATCTAAATTCAACTCCAGTGAGTGTTGCGAGAGCAGCACCCAAAGAGTGGCCAGTGACGACGACTGAGTAGTGGGGAAGTTTCTCCTTCAACTTGACCACCTCATTCACGATTTCTTCAGCATTTGATCTGATAAAGGTGTTGAAACCTTTATGAATAGTACAGCCTTCACAGTACTCCTCCGATTCAACATCAAAGTCGTCCTCTTGAGCATGAACCAAGGGTTCATACTTGGAATGGATAAACTCAAAGTTACTGATCCAGTCTTGGGTAGATGAAGTTCCCCGGAAAACAACATAAATTCTCTCTGACTCTGGCTCTAAAGCAATAAAACCGGAGCCCACCACTAACCAGTCAGTGAAATTAAACACCTTATAGATTTTCATGTGTTTGATACTGGGGTAACTGCATGAATGGGAAGGACAAGCTTCCTTCTGTTCACCCAAAACACCAGGATGAACTCCCTTTTTGAGACAATAAGCCACAGCCGAAAGATGGGCATACTTGTGAAGCTCTTGATAATCTCTATCGCCTTGTTTGCCATAAGAAAGAGCCGAAACGGGTTGAGTGATGTTCACCGGGCTCGCTAGAGCACCAGTCAATAGCATCCAAAGAGTGGTAAGCTTCATAGTTGGAATAATCACCTTTGCTACAAAAATTCCCGGAAAGTTCCCCTTTTTATTAAATTTTCATGCCCCCGTATTCCAGTAGAGCATGTCGTGCAACGGAGCAGTACTTGCCCCAAACAGATCTATTTACAAGCCTTATTTGTCCTTTTTCAGCAAGTCCTCGCCAAAAGGCTGATCCTCACGAGCCTTGTCCAACATGGGCTTTATCTTGTGCTGGGCCAAAGCCGTATTCACACAAGTGATGTAGTCATCCCAAAGTTCAGTACACTCATTGTGAAGCGATTTGCCCTGCAAAAACTTTTCCGTGTACCATTTGTTGAAGCAGTCATCATACTGCGTTTTAGCATCGGTACATTCGGGGGCAAAGGATACTGACATGATATTGCCCATTCCTAAGAGTCTATGGGGATGATGATGGATACGGTAGTAGCTGGAGAAAGGCAGTATCAGAGAAGTGTGCGAGTTGGAGGTCTGGGTGCAGAGAGACTGTGATAATCCGGGAGGAATAAGCTGGGGCAGAGCCGGGGGAAACACCACTTTCTAAAATATGCTTGGAAATGGAAAGTGTAGAAGTCACATCTTCGAAAAGGGTAGGTAATTTCGATAAATTTTGAGAGGCGTTTCGACATCTTTCTGGTCAGAGAGTGGGGAAGATATGTTAGTATCTGGGGAATGGCTGCGAAAAATCTGTAACTGATAGAGTGTGCCCTGGGGAAGAAGGTCACTTATCGTCCAAGAGTGGTTGCCATAGTGAGGTCTTAAGTATCTTAGGAAGCATGGGGATCACATTAGGGGCTACTTTTTTCCTGATTTCTTGGTATGACTCCGGGTCGGCGATGTAGTCCACCACCACCAACCTGATTGGTGGGATTTAGATGAAAAACTAGAAATCATTTCTTCTTAGCACTATTTCTGTTCCCTTCATCAATCTCCTTCTAGCTACTTTTCTCCCTCGACTACCCATAGACGAATCTCTGTCTCATCCAATCTCGGCTATCTCTGCTACTACCACCGCGGGAGTCTCATTATACACCAGACGCGCCTTGAGATTATCACTATATCAAAACAACCGAGCCATCAAACAATACAACACCTCTAATGGAGTCTAGAAGAAAATCAACTGTTCATGTCAGCAGTGCAAAGAGAGAGAAATCAAGTGACTTGTCTGCTCATATCGAATTAGAACGTTTAGAACAGGAAACCACCTTGGTTCTACAAGAGATCGACAGGAACCTCTCCCAAGCAAATGCTGTTATATCTGATAAAATCCTTCCTGTGTTGACAAGGTACCATTCAGCACTGAGCAATGTGTGGAATAATGTATCGTTTTGGAAGCGGTTCGTTGAGGAAGCATCGGAAACCAAAGTGTGTCCAGAGGAGTCTAACGTTGAGGGAGACACTGGTTATGGTGGAGGTCAGACGGGTAAACTTCAACTTTCAGAGAGTGCCACGGATAAACAGAATGTTTTGAATGACCTAGAACATCAGCAAGATTCAACATTGACCTCTGATTTCCAGATGGAAGCGTCTACTCCACAACTTAAGTCAAGGCACCTGCTTCAACCAAGCACATCCCCTCAGAAATCTGCTACTAGAAATTATGGTAGGGTGCTGATATCACCAAGGAAACGTGGGTCCGGCAAATTCGATAATAATGACCCTAGAAGGCTGTCGATGCTTCAAAATTTCCTTAATTCCTCCCCCACACTCCCTGAACCTCCTAAACTTACGAGCGAAGTCAATTACAATCCTGTTTCTAGCTCAAGTGCCAAAGCTGGTCATTCTGACCCTGACCATAATGCTGCTGCCATCAAACTCTCCTCCGTCCTTATGCTGCCTGCAGAAGTGACCCCTAAAGGTCGCCAAAGGTTTCCTCGTACACCAACATTTGGCTCGGAATCTAAGCGTCAAGGACAATCCCCATTGAAGAATATTCCGCTTTTGCAAAGAAGCAATGAGGATCTGGATCAGGTCTTGCCCGTACCGAGGTTGTCTTCACTCAATCGTGGGGATGACAGCGACCAGGTGCCCCTTCCGCAGCTACAAACAATACTGGTGGGTGCTTCAAAAGATACGACGCCTCGTGCAAGTGGGGAAGGTTCGTCCAAACGTAGAAGAACCGAGGGGGACGAATCAGAAAATGTCTTTCTTGATGCCAATTATAAGGATGATACCAACAACAACAGCAGGAGTCATTCCATTGTTTACAACACAATTAAGGGGCAGAATGAGCAGCCGACTAATGAAGATAAGGAAGAACACAATGAAAGTGGTGAGCAGAAGTCTAAATCAGTATCCCAAATATTTGAGGATGTTTTGCAGCCTTCGCCAAGGCGGCAACAAGAAGAGAATGTGAATGAGCCCGAACCCCAGGCTCCTAATACGGCTAATCTCACGCATAATCTACTGAAGAGTTTGGATCAAACATACGATAGTACAGTGAACAGCTCCGAACTTGGAGCAGAGCTTGTTGAACGTTGGAAGGCGCTTAGTCGTACTCTTCGGAAATCAAACTAAATCACGAAGTGCGACGTCAAATTCGGACACTGATAAGCTTCTTAACGTACGATTGTTGACCAAAAATTCAAAAGTAGACTACACATTGGAAGCTTCTCCATATCCCTTCTGCAACGTCACATCATGCCTTTTTAAAAAGGAGAGAGAATTTGGGCTAATGAAGGGGCTCTTACTCCCTCTAGACAATGGCTGTTACGAAAGAACAAGATAAGCATACGGGAAATTGCGGAATGACAAGTATTTTGGTTTCCAGATTAGCTATCAAAGCCGCTCTGAAGTTTAGTTTTCGATAGAAAACAGGATATGTAAACAGCGAATCGCAAGCCAGATGTTTGTCATCTTCCTAATCAGAATGCTGCAAAGATAAGCAAGGCTGTCATAGAGACGAAGGTGCGTAATGGTCCCGTAATGCTGACAATACCATTGACTGTGATTGGCTCGTTTAACGTCACCCACGTGACCAAAAGCTGTCTTCCTGCTTGATTTATCAGGTCACCCTGGCTATATGCACACCAGGAGGAGATGGGTGCAAATTCGAAAAACTACATAAAGCGGTGCATTTATCCCTCAGGTTCATCTTTCTTTACCAATTTACAAAAAAGAACTTTTTTATTAATTAATAATGGCTTGTGCTGCTGCTGAATGTGTTTGTGCTAAGAGATCCACCTGCTCTTGTGGAAAGCAGGCTGCTCTTCACTGTAACTGTGAAAAGTCTGCCGTCGAGAACGCTGTTCCCCCAAGCGATTCTTCTTGTGCCTGTGGCAAGAGATTGAAGAACTTGTGCAACTGTGGTGTTGCTGACAATGCTTGTCAAAGAGAGGGTGAAACCGACTTCACCGGTACTATGTAAAGACGTTGGGTAATAGGTTAATCAAAGAAACGGTTGGGAAATCAAATTACTGTAGAAGTAGTCTCTCTCAGGGTCTTCGGCTAGAAAGTCCGAGCCTAGGAGATTGTGGAAAGAATGATCACGTGTAGATATAGTCAAAAATATGCATTTCTATTGTTTTACATTTCCTTCTTTGCGCGGAGTGCTTATCTCTTCAAGCCATTTCCCCAGTTACCATGAATGAATGCGTCAACCTCAAATGACTATAAACAAAGTCCTTGAAACAATTGACTAATTCACTCAAAGGACTAAAATGGATTATTTTTAATTTTTTTTCTTCTTTTCTTATTCTTCAAGACCCTACTGTAAACCCAGTTGATCCAGTTTCGCAGCCACTAAGCAACACGACCTACGAAGACTTAAATGCTATTGGAGAGAGGCAATATTATGGCAACCATATTTTCTTACCTGTCTTTTCCCTTAAAATCCTCTTTGAACTCTCTAAAGTGTTTTTAATGGCCATCGTTCTGACTGGTTGGCATCACATGACTCATATCACGCTTTAAATAAGCACTTTCTTTAGCGGGTACCACTCTCTCTTCAGTACTACCCTCATTCCTTAATACCATCCAATGGCTAGACTATCAGGACTACAGCGAGAGGTCCTTAAACTATATAGGTCTTGCATGAGAGCCGTCAAGACCAAACCCATAGAAAACCAAGAGCATTGGCGGGCATACGTTCGTGAAGAATTTGGAAAGCACCGCAAACTCCCCAAGAAGTCCTTCTCTGTCATAGAACACTTGATTCGAGTAGGCCACCGTCGCTACGAGATGTACTCCAATCCTAATATCAAGGATATTCATTAAATTTATTTGTATATAAACCGAAGATCGAACAGGTCTTCTATAATGCGTGCATGATCATCTTGAATCTAACCATCGTAGTTGGCAAAGATCTTTGAAAAGTTCAGCAAAAGCAATTCCGTTGTATCGTTTCGAGGACCCATGTCCACCATTTCTCTCTCTCCTGTTGCATCCCTAGCAATGGTTGGTGCAAGCACCACCGAAAGGTTCTTCATGGTCATTCTGTTCACATTGTTATAGTAACCGACCAAGTCCAAATGCTTGGAAAGTAAGTACAATGTGTGTCTGTTAGCTGCCGGAAGCTTGTTCACAACCTTCTCAACGAGGTCGTCACATTTAGCTTGCGTATCCTTATCGTTCCGGCAAATCTTCACAAAGTCGTCATAGCATGAGAAGGGTATCAATGGCTCTGGTAACTTTCTCAAGTATCTCTTCAATGCACTCGTCACGGCATGAATATCACCTTCCATGACTTCAGCAAGCTTAGTCATTTGCTTTCTATCCGACTGTGGGTTAGCAGGGAGCGACAGAAAAGCATTGAGAATAGCAGTAATAGCAGAGTTACCTCCAGATATACGGTAAATTCCTTCCATATCAAGACCTCTTTTTTCCACCTCCTCGATACACTTAGTAATTATCAAAGGAACGCGTTCGTTCTCATACGTTGCACGCTTTTGGATGGTGGAAGTAAGCAACGATTCTCCACTGTCCTCGGGCTTCTGTTGTGGCTGGCCGACAAATGAGTCAAGCAAATTAGTAGACCTTGAGCGGCTCATGAATGAGTTGAATGCCTTCCGTGGACCAGACTCCGGTTGTGCGTTATCAGGATTGAGGAATTGACTTGGATGCTGTATAGCATTAGAGGAGTAAGATTGACTCAATTTATAATGACTCAGGTTCAGGTCATTGCCATTGCTTTGTTGAGATTGTGGGACAGAACTGCCTGGTGTACCCTTCAGCAGTTGAGCAGTAGATTGTGTCTGTGGCAGGTTCACATTGCCTTGCGTATTTGTTGCAGCAACACTAACCTTGGGCCTACGCCAGAAACGAAGTCTTGTGGCTTTTTGTGTTTCCCCAGGCTCTTCAACTTGAGGCTCGTAAGCGATATTGACAGAAGACGACGATCCCTCCATCTGATCAGTAGAGAGCTGAGTAGGAGTTGCGTTGGATTCTGGAGATTCATTGAAACGTCTTGATTCATTCTTTAAGCGAGCATTAGCATCTTTGAGTTGCTGGTTTTCCTCAGTCAATCTCCTCTTCTCTGCAACAAGATCATGAATGTCTTGTAATATCTGTTCATGGGAATCCGACTCGGCGGCGACCTTCTGTTTCAATATGGCGAGTGCATCATTAACCTTGTTCTTCTCTGAGCCTAGCTTGACTATCTCAGATAAAACTGTTTGTTTCCGGCCCTCAAGCAGATTGATCTCCATGCGTAACTGGCGCATCTCGGTGTCTAGTCTCTGACGTTCGCCTTGAAGATCACCTGCCATAACATAATGTGTGTCTGAAGTTGAACGATTGTGGCCATTGCCAAACACACCGTGTTTCATTGGCGAGCTAAGCGGAAGAGGGGGCGTAGTGAAGGCCAGATGATGGTTGATAGATCCATCGGAGACGTGACGGGAATGGCCTGGGGTTTGCTCATCCTTGCTCCTAAACAAGTTTCCAAACTTTCCGCTTCCCAGTCCGCTGGACGTGGAACGCTTATGCTTCAAGAAATTCTTGGGTCCTTTGAATGTATTACGACGGCCTAACGATTGTGGAGTGCCTTCAGTGTCAGCCTTTTCATCAATAGTCTCTTCCAAATTAGTGACAGCCGGAGTTGCAGGTTGGACGACCCTGTTTGGTTTCTGAAGTTCGACGTTCTCGAGACCTAATCCACGAGGTTCAAAAGGATCTGTTGGTGGCCCTTGGCGCTTTGGAGTGGCAGGCACATTTGGTAAAGCCGAGCGTGGGGGAGGAGAAGCCATTGCCTTGTTCAGAATATTGGTCGTTGACTTCTTGGGCGTTGTGTTGATCGAGTTCTCAAAAGCGTTGTACAGCAGGCCAATATCCGCCGCCACTATATCATCATTAGTCTCAACCACTCTCGCTTGCCTATTCACTCTTGCCATTGGAGAGGATGCTGCTGACCGTCTGGTCACTTCGTCAGTGGTAACACCAAGACTGTCCAGCGAAGGAGCGGTTGTATTGTGAAACCTGTTATCATGGTATTGAGATGGCGATAGCAAAAGCAATTCCTTCTGTGGGGACTTTTGGGATGGCTCAAGGCGTGGAGCTGAGCCAAGGCTGAGTTGGGAGGATGGGAGAACGTCCGTCCTTGGTGTTGCATAATTGGACAGTTCGTCGTCCTGTTTGCGAGGCAGAGCATGTGGCTTTAGATTGGTTGATTCGTCTGGAGTGTTGACCTGGCTTCCCTGGTTATACTGTTTGGAATCTGGAAGAGGTGCCAGTTTTGGAAGTTCAATGTCCTCGGTCAAAGGCGTGTTGGGTCCACTGAAGGATTCGATAAGGTCAAGAATATTATCTTGCGAGGAATGGAATGCCTTTTTTGAATCTGGCTCTTGGTGTCTGGCGGCTCGTCTTATGTTGAGCTCATCATCGGAATCATTCACCTCCTCGATTCCGTCTTTGCTACCCGCTTGGTCTAATGGTTTCGACTGGTGGGGCGTAGACAGAGAGGATGCATGAGAGGTCCGGGAAGACAATTTGTGAACTTGTGGAGAGTCATTCTGAACATTTTGGGTACTGTTGGGAGTGGCTGTTGGATCGGGTAGAGCCTTATCTTTGAAAACCGACGCCAGCGAAGAATTATGGTAGTTGAGGTAAATGTCAGAAAAGTTGCCCTGACTGTTCTGGAGCAAAGGACTCTCCGTGCTGCCCGGCAGCCCCGGTAGTGGCCTCAGCAGCAGCTCCAAGTGGGCCATCTGCTTCCGCTTCATGTCGTACTTTCTCTTCTTAGCTATCAACTTTTCATGACACGACATGCAAAAAAGCCCCTTCGAGGTTCTGGCATAACGCAAGTCTTCGATTTTCAGCTTGCAAACTCGGCATTTGAAGCAAGAGGAGCAGTAGGCTTGATCGCCCGTTAAAATGGCCAAATCATCTATTTTCTTGCCACATTGTTTGCAGTTGTACGAGCAGGAGGAGCAGATCAAATTGCCGTCGCCCAATATAAGGAAGTTGGAGTTGCAGCCTAAAGAATTATCACATTTGGAACATTTAAAACAGTGGATATGCCAACGGTCGTCGCCCAACTCGTACGCGTGTCCCTCAGATATATAGAGATTACACTTTTTGCACACCTGGGTGTCGGGATAAGTGGATAGGTCGGGCATGCCTAGAAACGTATTATTATAAATACTTGCGTTGTAAATGAAAGAATTGGGTGAGTAGTAGTAGTTTAGTTAAGTGCAAGTGAATGAGGAAAATTCATGAGTGGTCGGAGTAACGAGGGCCTTTTTTGAGATAATTCCTAATCGAGAAGGCTTTTCTCGCTCAAGCACTCCTCAGGATCCCACCTGGCAGCTCGTTTGCCTTGTATGCACGACACTAGGCGCTAGACCTTGCAACATTGCAACCTCAAACCGACCTAAGTGTGCACTGGTGCATCGATCTGCGATCTAGATCAGGTACGGGTTGCATGAACACCTTGTTGCTAGTAGGGAACCAGTTGTTCCGACCTCCTGTTAGTTCTGCGAAGCAGGCCATACCTGTTGGGATCTTGTGTCCCTTTCTGTCGCACCCACAGTTTGCAGGCGGCTCAACAGAAAGGTCAACAATGTCGCGATACAATAGAGATCGATCACCGCTTACGCGTGCGACTTTTAACATGTCGTTGCTTGATTAAGCAGTGGGTTCTTCCGTTCGGATTTCATGGGCTTATGGGTGGAAATCAGCGAGCTTCTTGCCGTCAGCCTTCTCAATGAACATATCATCGACTCCCGACCAATCAACATGGATCTTCCTGTTGACGTCAGTGTTTTTAAGTATATCGTTCTTCTCCTTCTCCCACTCCAGCTGCATGTCGGAGAAGCCTTCGCCCCACACCTTGTCGTAAACCTTCTGGATCTTAGCCTGCTCCTGTTGTCTCATTTCTTCAAGCGCCATCCACTCCATGTGTTTCAAGTCATCCAGCGATGGCTCGTAAATATGCCAAATAACGTAATGTGGCAATCCGACCACAGAAAAGCCCATTCTCTTACATAACTTGCCAAAGGCTTCCGTCTCGGCGTGCTTTTGAAATGAGAAGGCAGGGAAATGGGCACCCTGGCGGAACACTTTGGCTTTGGTCAAGATGGAAACTCCTCCAATACCGTCTAGCTCCATCTCTACCTCAGGGTCTCCGTAAGGGTCTCTCAAATATGCCAAATGTGGTCTCCATGTTTGATACTCCGGGTACCCTTCAACAATGCATGAATCCTCATCTAATGTGTCTGCGAGTTGCAAACCTCCTTCGGATTCTTGCCACGAGTTAAGATCGTAGGGCTGTTGGTTTCCAAGCCAATCTGGCAAAGGTCTCCACACGTTAGGCACAATGACGTCCTTATCGTGATGCATCAAATCTTCTAAAATTGTACGTGGAACTGTTTCAACATCTGCATCCCTCCAGTACACGTGCGAATGATACGGCTTCAAGGCCACTGATAGAAGCCAATTTCTGGCACGAGCCATCAACTTTCTTCTTGGCCCTTGGGCAGCAAACCCGTGTCTATCACTAAAAGACTGACCGATAATCTGGCCAAAGTCCTTTTCAAAAATTTCAATCTCTCCAAATCTCATTTTCTCGTTCGGATCCCTTTGGATTTCTAGCAAGTGTCTCTTTAACTCTCCCATCGTGTCATCTTTCGAGTCACTCACCAAGAATGCTAAGTCGATTAGGTTATGGTCGTATGTGAGGTTTTTCATATGGCTGAAGAACATGGGCAAATGGGCTGCTGCATCCCTTAAGGGGACGCAGAAGAGCACCCTTTCGTCGCGTTGCCAACCGTCAGGAGAGCCTTTATAGTTTGCCAAATCAAAATACTGCGCTCCAGGCGTACTGTTGAAATCTGGAGAGTATAAGGAGCCCGTGGAATTTGCTAACACGTTGATCAAGGCGATTAGGAATAGGACAACGGCCAAAAGGGCGACTTTGATTTTGTGCTTCATGAACGCCCCAACCAAGTCTAGTCGCAGAGCCTTTGTTGGCATGATGCTGGGTAATCCTGACAGCTTGTCGTAGAAGGATCCTCTAGCAGAATCTGACGGCGACATGTGGATGATCTGGGCCATTAATAGCGAATGTCAATGTATGAAACCTGAGCAATGTCTATGGTTCGTGGAATTTGGGTAGTATGGCTGGCAGTCTGCAAAAGCAACTGCAAATGGTATACGAGTACGGTCGCCGTCCTTATCGTTATTGGCTCCAGAGCTGCAAGTCCAGACTTGGATCAAGAGAATATTGTCTAAGCGATGTGAGGTTTGGTATTTTTTTAGCTTGTCGAGTGAGCTGGTGCAGTACTAATATAAACAAAAGGGCCCACTGTGATCCACAGCTTGAAAAACTACATATTTGGTGGAAATTTAGTCTCGTCTTGTTCTCTTTCACGCCGTTTAATTTATTCCACACCTTCGATTTCTTTTAAACTCTCGTTAGTGGTGCTTTATCTTGCATTCTCGGTTGGCCTGTCTGTTATGAGCCAAGCTGGTATGAACAATACCACATTCCCAAATACCACATACATGGCGTGCCAACTGTCTCTTAAGCCACTGGTTATTTCAAATAAAATAAAACCTCATACAACTTTAGAGTTCTCTCAATGACTTCCAGGAGGCTTGTCATGCGGACCACAAGACTCTCGCAAGACCCACTTCCCAATACGGGTAGCCAACGAGCAGTAAATTCCTCTTGCAAGACTTTGAAGCCTCTTATGTATTTAAGAAGATTCATAGTGTGGTAGTTCAACTAGCAATCATTGAATATATACAGCTGAAGGTAAGGGTGGCATAGAACGTCCTAGACTAGCAGTACAACGCCAAAGACATTCTATGACATAACGTAACAAAACTCCCTAACGAGAAAAAACGGTGCTTTGAATCAATTTCCTTGCTTTCTTTCATTTCCTTGTTTTTCATTTTTGCAACTTGTAGAAACATCCTCCATGGGTTGAAATTTCTGATATTTTGCTCGTTTTGCAACCATTCCATGAAAAGGCGAATATCTATGAACACTTAAAAAATCAGTCCTTTGCGTAATTTCAAAAAAATATTACCAAAAGTGAACCATGCAACGAAATACTTCATAGAAACCACAAAATTTTGATTTTTATGGGTTTCTGCTTTTTTCTTGTACCCTTATAACCGTTATCGCTACAGACATCACTCGCGTTGTTTGTTTGTATTTCTGCAGGCCACCATCAACAAGATCAATACTCCACCCAACTCTCGCCATCCATCTAATTCTCCCCACGCCCAATGAAAGTCGAGGAGTTGATCATAGATGGTTTCAAGTCCTATGCAACTCGTACAGTGATCAGCAACTGGGACCCTCAGTTTAATGCCATTACTGGTCTCAACGGTTCGGGAAAGTCAAACATCCTTGACGCGATATGTTTTGTTCTAGGCATCGCCAGTATGTCGACTGTGAGAGCGTCCAACCTACAAGATTTGATCTATAAAAGAGGCCAGGCTGGTGTTACGAAAGCCAGTGTTACTATTGTCTTTGATAACTCAGAGACCGAGAAGTCTCCCATTGGATTCGAAGGGTATTCAAAGATCAGTGTTACTAGACAAATTATACTAGGGGAACATCGAAGTATTTGGTTAACGGTCACAAGGCACAGCAACAAAATGTTCTTAATCTTTTTCAGTCCGTGCAACTTAATATCAACAATCCTAACTTCTTGATCATGCAAGGTAAGATTACCAAGGTTCTCAATATGAAGCCATCAGAGATATTATCGCTTATAGAGGAAGCCGCAGGTACGAAAACATTCGAGGACAGGAAGGAAAAGGCCCAAAAAACCATGACGAAGAAGGATGTGAGACTCAACGAAATCAAGAGCCTTCTATCTGAAGAAGTTGAACCCAAACTAGAGAAATTCCGCAAGGACAAGAGAACCTTTTTGGAATTTCAACAAGTACAAACTGACTTAGAAAGACTATCACGATTTGTCAGCTGCTGTCGATACAAGGATAGTTCACAGAAGTTTGATCGGTACTCCACCTTGCGTTCGGAACATGAAAACATCAAGGCCGACCATAATGCACAGATAGAAAGGCTTACCATCGAGCTAGAGAATTTAAACCGTGATCTTGAAGAGGTCAAGAAACAGAGGCTGTCAGAACTTAGTAAAGGAGGGACCATTGAACAGCTTGAAGGCGAAGAAACGGAATTATCTGATAAACTTACAAGGCTAACCACGTCGCGTGATTTACTTTCTGAGAACATAAAAGAGGAAAGAGCTAAGTTGACAAGGCTCCAACAACAGTCGACTTTAATCGAGGAACTGATAGCCAACAGCAAGGATAATTATCAGACTTCACAGAACGAATATGATAGGTCAAAAGAGAAGCTTAATAGCTTAAAAGAGGAGCACTCCAAGAAAGAGGAGCTTCTCACTGCGCTCTCAACTGGTGTTTCAGCAAAAGGTACTGATAGTGGTTATATGGCCCAACTTCGAAAGGCGAAAGAGGATTTGAGTGAAAGCCAAGGTCTCATAAAGCAAGCAGAACTTAAAATTGGTCATCTCAGTGAGAAGAGCCGAGGAGATAAAGCAAGGTTAGAAACTGCTCGACAGGAATACGAGACTTTACTGCAAGAGACTAAGGGATACGAGAATGAGATATTAGCTAAAGAGAAGAAGCTTGCAAGCTTTGGCTTTGATGTAAAAGCCTACGAAGATTTGCGTCAACAAGAAAGGGAGCTACGTCAGACTGTGGCTGATTATCAAAACCAACTCAGCTATCTTAGACGTGAAGTGGGTAACATAGATTTCCAGTATTCCCGTCCTTATCCTGACTTTGATGCTGAATCAGTAAAGGGAGTCGCGGTACAGTTGTTCAAGTTGGACGAGGAGCATCACGATAAAGCACTAGCCCTTCAAGTTTGTGCTGGTGGACGACTTTACAATGTCGTGGTCGATAATGCAAACATTGCATCAGCTCTTCTAGAAAAGGGCCAATTGAAAAGGAGAGTAACCATTATTCCTTTAGACAAAATTTCCGCCAGCTCGATTCCTGATCTGACAGTTCAGTACGCAAAGCAACAATGTCCTGGAAAGGTCGAGCTTTCCCTTAATCTTATCGATTTTGAAAAGGAATTATACAAGGCAATGGCGTACATATTCGGCAAGACCTTTATCTGCCAAGATCCGCAAACAGCCAAAACCATTACTTTCGATCCCAAAATCCGTGCTCGTTCTATCACTTTCGAGGGCGACGTCTATGACCCAGAAGGAAACCTTTCTGGTGGCTCCAGGAAGAACAATTCGTCAACATTGCTTCTTATGCAGAAGTACAACGCTGTTGCGCAAAAGCTCAAACAAGCGGAGACTGAACACGCCCGTGTGAGGCATGAACTTGCTCGTCTTGACAAGTTGGGGGAACAAACGAAGACTTTGCAAAATGAACTTATGTTAAGTCGTCACGAGTTTACATTGGTACAGAAGAAGCTCGAAAACAATCCGGCTTCTAGAATGATCAAAGAGAATGAACAAAACGAGATACAAGCTGAGGAGTTCAAGGCCCAGATAGAATCCGAGAAAGAGAACTCGAAAGCTCTCCAAGAGAAGATCAATTCTATTCAAAAGGATATTGATGACTTTAACAATGACAAAGGGTCGAAACTTAAAGAGCTTGACCAGGTTGTCAAGAAGATTTTTGCTGACATTAATAAACAAAATCAAGAGGTCAAGAAATCGTCTGAGAAGTTTCAAAAGCTTGAAGTTGAAATGGAGCAACAAGTTCAGGAATTGGATGCCATCAAGGAATCGAGCACAGCTTCGCAAAAGGTCTTAGAAGAAAGCGAATTGGAGCTAAAAGAAATGACGGAAACTATGACAAAATTATCAGATGTCCTAGATGCTAAACGCGCCCAGCTCGAAGATGAAAGGGCCAAGCTTCTAGGCTTTAACGACGAAATCAGAGAACTCACCGAGACACTTACATCGAAGAACGAAGAGCTTAACCAAGCTAAGCTATCCATCCAGAAATTAAATCATGATTTGGAGAATGCGGTTGGCATCACTACTCGTTTGAAGGAGGAACTTGACAATTTGCTTCAAGAAAATGAGTGGTTGGTAGACGAGTCTGTCGTCAACAATATACTTCACCAGCATCAAGGCGAAAATGTGAAGGATTGCATCCAAAGACTAGGGACTTTGAAAGAGAGGTTTGACAGCATGAAGAAGAAGGTAAACGCAAACATCATGAGTCAAATTGACAATGTTGAAAAGAAGGAGGCGGCTCTTAGGAATATGATTCGAACGATCACAAGAGATAAATCGAAGATTGAAAACACGATTGAAAAGTTGAACGGATACAAGAGAGATACATTGAATACGACTTATCAGAAGGTCTCAGACGACTTTGGTAACATCTTCGCAGATCTTCTACCCGGCTCTTTTGCCAAATTGGTTCCCGTCAATATGTTTGATGTTACAAAGGGTTTGGAAGTTAAAGTCAAGCTTGGTCAAGTGTGGAAAGAAAGTTTAACAGAATTATCAGGTGGTCAGAGATCTTTGATCGCTCTTTCCCTTATCATGGCTCTTTTACAATTCAAGCCTGCTCCAATGTATATTTTGGATGAAGTCGATGCTGCTCTTGACATGTCACATACCCAAAACATTGGTCACTTAATCAAAACGAGATTCAAAGGATCACAGTTTATCATTGTGTCTTTGAAGGAAGGTATGTTTACCAATGCTAATAGAGTCTTCAGGACACGGTTCCAAGACGGTACCTCTATGGTTTATACAATGTGAGTAATATTAGGTACTTGTTATATAAATATATATGGAAGGAATCCAGTCATCATTCATCTTTCTTGTCTGGTGCGTCTTCTGAGATGACAGCTTCGACAGTAGCATCTGACAAAGGTTCAGGGTCCTCAGCGAAACGCAAGCTTTTTCTGTTTTTGGAACTTGAGTCCTCAGTGGAGATGTCCTCAACGCCCAGGGCGAAAGAAGTCAGATTATTGCTGACGTCAGTAGAGTTGTTAAAGACCAACTCAGCAGTTCTCACCCAACGACGTCTACGAGTATATTTGGAATAAGAATCTTCCGTAGAAGGCTTCTTCCAAACATTGTCGAAATAAAGGTAGCCCTCATCAGCAGTTGGGTTCGCTGTGGTCTTCGACCTCTTGCCTGATGCAAGAGTAATGGCACCATCGTTGGTCAAATCGAGCCTCCATGCTTTGTCAACCCATCTCCAATGGGCACCTTCGATATTTGGATGCTGAACGTAAGTTGGCTGTGTGACTGAAGAAGCGGCCTCTGAGTTAGGCAACTCAAACGATTCAACCGAGGACGACTCATTCAAGAACTCATCGGTCCATGGAGCACGCTCGTACGAGAGCAAATTGGAAGTCCAGCCAATTCCTAACCAACGACGCTGGTTCTCGTAGATAACGTAAGTGAAGCGCACAGGCTTTGATGGATCAGCACCAACAGTCGAGGATGAAGAAGCTGTTTTTTGAACTTTAGCAAACGCAGCAGCAAACAAGGAGCTGTTACGAGCTTGAGAAAAGTCGAGACCTGTCAAATAGAAACATACAACTCTCGTGATCTTAAGCTTCCAGACCAACCTCCTTGTAACGCGCGAGTACCCCAGGTGATACGATAGAAGGAAAAGACCAGCATGCAACAAGATGGTACGAGGCTTTATGAGCAAAAATGTAGCCACCAAGTACAATGGAGTTAAAAACACCGTTGTGAACAAAAGACGCTTGATATCGTACGGGGTCAAGGCCAAGGCGGTAATTGGACTCAAAAGAATGTCGGCCTTGATACAAGTAGTGGTCAAAGCTTGCACAACATCATCCAACGTAGGCCTAAGGTTCGTTTCTTCCACAATTCTGTTATTGAGCACAGCGTACATGATCACAGCTCCCACCAAGATCAAATGGCCCAGCCATGTTACTAGAGTCTCAAAGTATAAAACCGCAAAGCCATAGACGCACATCAAGATGATGTTAATCCAGTAGTCATCATTGGTCCATGTTGCCACGGCCAACAACTTATTCACAATCAACAAGTACGGGTATGCTTTCACCAAGGCCTTCGCCACAGTCGGTGGAGTTGAAGAAAGAAGGGGAGACGACTGAGGCTTCACCGAGCTGGCCGTGCTGGCAAATTGGGCTCGTATTTCGTGCTCTCCTTGTTTATTACGTGAGGTATTTGAATCCTCCAGCCGGGGAGTTTCCGAATTCGCCATCACGATAGTAGGATGAAAGTAAGACCGACGTGCGTAAAGATATAGTTGAGGGTCAAATGTATGGATTTTGGGGTGTCCTTTTTTCCCTCGAGCGTAATGTGATTTTTAGGGTCCTGTGCAATGCAAGAGTCTGGGGTGACAGGGTAGAGAACAAAAGAAGAAGATGCCCAATTTTTCTCTATGTCAAAAATTAATTAGATTTGGATGAATCGGTCAATTTATACACTTTTCATTTGCCATGTTTGAAATTACATATGTATGGAGGGCGCTTCAGGTGGGTTTTGAAGAGGACGGAATAGGCGTCGTGAGACAAGGGCAGTCTAATGAGGCAACATACAAACAATACATTGATTGGCAAAGCTTAACTTTCAGGGCGACCATATGCTTGGCCTTTTTACAAGGGTACTTCTAAGAAAGGTCAATTGTGCCAGCAACCGATATACGGAGAGGAAAGGTACATGATGACTGGTTGAGCAAGCAAGACGCTTAAGCCCAGGGCTTGAAAATTTCCAGTGTTAGTGAGTACGGTGCTGGCGCAGCTTTAGCAAGCATGCCTTCGATTTTCTCGGAATAGCATTTGGTACTTTTAGGGAGGCTGAAGAAGATAGAGCAAATTTACTGGAAATTAGGGGAATCGGTAATTCGGTTTAAGTTGGGCCGGTAAGGGTTTCGGACCTATCTAAGACACCGGGTGTACTGGTGTGCCTAATGCCTCGAGTATGTTTCCCCAGATTATAGAGCATCTACAGCATCATAACTATGGGCTTATCGGGACTTCTATCCGCCGAAATAGCAAAGAAGCGGAAAGCAGCCAAGGAAAAGTCAAACATCAAGAAACCAAAAGTCGAAACCCTGACAAGCGAAGATTCCAAGAAAGACGATGGGCCTGATGAGCCTCACACGGTAACCGATGAACAGAAGCTTTTGGATAGCGTTTCTGAAGATCGCCTCGAGAAATCGCTCAAAGCGTTCGAAGGAGATGACTCTACTTTAAGTAAAGAGGACCAACTACGAAAGCTTGATTTGTTGGTGAAGACCGAACAACGGAACGACGCATACAAGGCATACTTAGATGAGGAGAATGCCGTGTCTCCTACCATCACACTAGAAGATATCGGTGCAATTGAAACAAAGAAACGTCAACTAGAGCTACAAATAAGACGGTCATTGAAAGGTATCATCCTGTTATGGGAAGCGTTACCTCAAGAGCCGCCCGAACCATACACAATTGGCATGCTCAAGGAGGTCAAAAGAGACATTATCAAGCTACTTTACAGACTAAGAACTGGGAAGCTTGACGAGAGTATAATCTTATCGCTTGCTACAATCATCTACTACATCCAACTTCAAGATTTCGTTAAAGCGAATGAAAGTTACATGAAGCTCAGTATAGGCAATGTTGCGTACCCAATTGGTATTCGAGACGTCGGAATACATGCCAGAGCTGCTCTTCTGAAGATTACAGGAGAAGACAAATCTACTATTGCCAATGTTATGAAGGACGAAACAACTCGGAAATGGATCCTAAGCGTGAAGCGTCTAATTTCCTACAGCGAAGCTAGGAGGAACCAAGCTGAAGCCGAGCTGTGAGACAGGAACTACTAAGGAAGGCTAAAACAATGATAAAGATTGTTTAGTCTTTTGTTGGTAGTACTGCTATTCGAATCACGTGCGCGCAATGAGGGCTGTGCCCTGAACCGCCGCATACATTTGATGTACGGATGTCTTATCTTCACGATGCGAAATTTTCCTACTTCGAAAATCGTTTTACATTTTCACTTCCACAACCTTTGCATTATCAACCATGGCTGTATGTAATAATACTGAAAGATCCAGAATGACGTGCTTTTGAACCGCTGTTCAGAGAGAAGATATTTAAAACCTTTGCTCCAGAGCTGTCATTCTGAGACCAGGCGTTCATCGCTGGAAGTTTCGCATCCCATCACCGTACTAACAAGTTCAGAAAGAGATCAAGGACATCAAGGAGTTCGTTGAATTGGCTAGAAGAGCTGACATCAAGTCTGCCGTCGTCAAGGTCAACAAGAAGACCAAGTCTAACGGTAAGCCTTTCAAGCAGACCAAGTTCAAGGTCAGAGGTAAGAGATACCAGTACACCTTGGTCGTTGACGACGTTTCCAAGGCCAAGAAGTTGCAGCAGTCTTTGCCACCTTCTTTGAAGATCCAGTCTTTGTAAGTTACGCTCCTAATAAAACGACTTAAGTGAAAATGCTGCTCGAGAGGCATAAGCCAGCAGCCTTGTAGAACCATGACATCTGGACGATGAATTATACTAGATACATTTGATTTACCTTTTCCTACTTTGTAAACATCGTTACAAAATACCCGACTATGTGAACCAGAATGATGCAGCATCTACGTAAGTGCCATGATGAGTGTATGGTTTATAAAGACATACCTTCCTAAATAACGTCCTCCATATCTTCGTCGTCGTCATCGTCCTTCTTCTCATCTTCATTCCCTTCAATTTTGGCAGCTCTCTCTGCATCCCTCAATCTTCTATATTCTGGTTTCAAGTGGTACTTGGATGTGTAAGGACCCTTTTTGATGAGGCTGGCAATGGACTCCAAGGATTCTTTAAGGTATGTTTCGGGCTGCTTAGTTCTTTCCTTGAGACCTTTAATGGACCAATATTCGTACTCTTCGAATAAACGGAAAAGCAAATCCAATAAATCTTTTTTGGGCATTCTGATGGCACGACCCTCGTTCTTCGACTTCTGTGGGTTGGACTTTAAGAACATTGAAGTAGACTTGCCCGCAAGCGAAGGACCAGCCAGAGATTGCACGACACCAGGAATTTCGTTGAGGAATGTAACCTTTGGCCTTTCCTTGGTCAAAGGCATATTCTGTCTCTTCATCAACATTTGAGCATACTTGGAATCGGACTTCAGAGGAACAATCTGACAATCATGCACAATCTTACCCACCAAATTGGTTTTCTTAGGAATAGTCTTAACAAATGGAACCGCCTGCTTTTGGGATTCACCATCAGGGCCGTTCTTCTCGACTCGGTAGTATTTTGCAGGTCTTTGGGTATTATCTGGATCGAGATCTTTGAGCTGTGGCTGATCGGGCATGTCACCCATCTCTGTGACTTCTTGTTTAAATCTCTTTAAGTTCTCCTCGCTGAACACATAGGAGTTGTGTACCTGAGTGTTCAAGATGGATAAATCGTACTCCTGTGGGATATCTTGATTATCTTCCAGGTCGTTGAGGACAAGCTTCACCTCTAGTTTCTTCTTCTGGTCATTTCCACCACTTGGAGTGTTACTTGAGCTCTCTCCTCCACCATTGTTCTGTCTAATCTTGACATGTCCCAACTGTTGACCATTAAGGGATTCTCTCTTCGTCCATCTCTCTGCCAAATACCTAGGTAGCTTCACAAGCCAGACCTTTTGACCTCCTTGTGAAAGATTCATATCTAGCGATTCATTCTCTTCCAAGTAGTCCTCAGGGTCCGAGAGAAGAGTGTGGTCAGGCTCCTCGGAGGGTTGTTCCTGTTTTATGTTCATGTTGCCATTCGTCAGTTGGCTCGGGGTGGACCTCTTTTCTGAAGCAGCCTGCTCATCTTTGACGATTTTCTTGATTGGGCTTTTAGTGCTCATACTAGGAGTCTATGTATAAGTGTATGAGGAAGAATAAGGCCGGAGGCAAGGAAAGGATATATGATAATGAGGTGAAATGTACTATGTGTCTGAGGTGTACGGGTCCTAGGCTCCAGAAGCCTTAGACTACCACCAACTCCAGGCCATAGAAATATGTAGAAAAAAGAAAAGAAAGTTGTTTCCAAATAGAATTGAAATAACGTGGTTCAAGTGGAATTTTTGTTTCCGCCTTCTTTCGTAGCTCGTTGTGTCTTCTTCATCTTGTATCTGTATACTGATACAGCTTCCCCAGAGTACGCTCGCATAATGAATCACACCTGCTAATGGCCTCTTCCCTGCCAGATCCCACCAAAGCACTAATTGCGTCAAGGCTTCATTATTTGGATAGCTCTTCATGTGGATACTGTGATTGTAAGAAAGAAAGAAGCGGCGGCCTTAAGTCTTTCCCTGAGAATGCAGATGCACCAGATGAATCAACTCACATCACGATTGGATGCCAGGTGGAACAGATGACATGCCAGCAATACGATGATTTCATTAATAGAGGATTTAGAAGGTCGGGTACTTTCATGTATACTGGAGATATGCTTCGAGGATGCTGCCGAGCATACACTATCAGGACAGACATGGATCACTTGAAGATCACGAAGGAACATAGACAAGTTGTGAATCGGTTCAAAAGGGCCATTGGATGTGAATCAAAGACGAAGTCAAAGTTTGAGTTATCTTCTCTTATTGAAGCCGAGAAGAAATCCACTCGCTTTCACACCCGCTTTGAGCCATCTGGGTATTCGAAGGAGAAGTACGAGCTCTATAAGAAGTATCAGATCGAAGTACACAATGATAATCCTGCTGAGGTGACCCCCAAGCAGTTCAAGCGCTTTTTATGTGAAACTCCTTTCCCAGAAGTGGAAGTAGCAGGCAAACCAGCAGACTGGGACAGGTTAAATAACTGGATCGCCAATTGGGGTAAGGATTCTACTCCTCATAAAAAGAGAATCGGCCCTACCCATGAATGCTATTACCTCGATGATAAGCTTATTGCTATCTCTATATTGGATTTCCTTCCGACGGGTTTATCCTCGATTTACTTCATTTGGGATCCAGACTATGCACATATGTCTTTGGGAACCCTCTCAGGCATCCGAGAAATCCAGATGTGCAAGGAATTGGGTCTTGGGTACTACTACTTGGGTTACTACATTGATGATTGCCCAAAGATGAGATACAAGGCTAAGTTTGGTGGGGAGGTGCTAGACTTGCTGAATGGGGCGTGGATAGATCTCGAAAAGGCAAGACCACTCATGGCAGAAGACACCTACTTCACTCTTGGTGAAAGCGCTACCACCAACGAGGAGCCTTCGTTGTCACTTGAGAAGGACAGACAGCGTTGGCAGGGTTCTGTGACAGATATCAGCCAGGAGCTTTACGGAAAGGACGAAGTTTACGACAAAGCAGATCAGATACTGCGATCTATAAAGACTACCCACGATGTGGATGACTTCGAGCTCCCACATGTATTGCCGGGTGCATTACCAATGCCGATTCTCCAAAAGACTATCGATTCTGTTCCAGATCTCGAGGTGACTCTTTTCGTAATGACTATGGGACGGTGGGGCTCATTCGAATTCAGCGATCTCACTCCAACGATTAAGAGCTATGTGGTAGACTTTATCAGGCTATTCGGTCTCCAAAGACTCAAGGAAACAATTCTCATCGTGTGAGCCCTTGAGCATACAGAAGCATAAGAGAGCCGAAAGAGCAACCCCTGGAGTAAGTTAGACCCAAATAACTACAGTTAAGTACAACTCCATAGAATAAATCAGCGCGTCACAATTTGCAGCCATTAAGAATAAGTAGATACTAGAGTCTATACTACATTAAAAAGAATAAACAAAAAGAATTAAGGAATCCAAAGCAAGAAATAGAAGACTACTTCTATCTAATAGCAATTCTTTGAGAACTTATGTTTTGCTCCAGGGCCCTACCCATCTTTGCCAGACGCTAGTTCTGCATCTCGACGCCGTTATTCTTCCCTAAGCGATGTGTTACCCGGCAAAGGCATCGCGGAGCGCACTATATAAGCATCTCGATTCCCACACCTTTGGAAGTTTTTTTTTTTTTTTCTCTGTCGACGTACTTCATAGGATCATTTCTATAGGTCACGTCCCACAATGACTCTTCTAAAGAGCCACTGAATCCAACTTGGTTGATGAGGTAGATACCCTCGTGCCCTCAAAGTGAGAACTCATTTAGCTTGTCCACGATCCTTTGCGGTCTGGTCATCTACATTTTGTTTGCCTTTCATTCGCCACTAGCGACCTAGTCAACAGTGCTGAAAGGAGCGATGATCTTGACCCTTTGCCACACGCTTCTTCGGGAGACGTGGCTTAGGGTGGGTGCGAGTGGCTGTCTGACAAGTTACTCACTTCGTGTTTTTACGAAGTAGTGACACTTAGAACCTGTTGGTATGTCGACCATTTGTAGGTTTACGCGACACACCTGTCTCTGACACATTACATTTCTTCATTCACTCGTGTGACACAATGTGGGTACCCTTCTTAGGTACCCACGCTTTTGTGCGATGGGCTTAGGTGATTGTGAACGCTGCTCGTTACAAGTGCAGTGTTACACAGCCTTGTTCCCCCCAAAAGACTATCCAAGGTGCACACGAAACACCGGAGCCTCGTTGGGCCTCGAGGAGAAAAAGGCTATATATGCCGTTCTTCTTTGTTCAAAAAGGCTCCCCCTGGTCGTACCTGGATTTCTGCACCGTCTATAATGGGAAAATCTCACGCGCGCGCTATGTTTTCTCTCGGCTTGACAGGTCTCTCTGCCGGCCAGTTCGGCAGAGAATAGATAACCGTCCGTCTCAGCCTAACACTTTTCTCGGCCACAGCCTCTGTGCCTTTTTTTATTTAAAACACGGTGATCCGGAAAATTCGATCCACATATTATATCACACGATCATTCCACGTTTCACCACAATAATGATCCGCAGGCGCCGCTGCCAATACCTAGCCATAGCTGTTATTGCGCTACATCTTGTGGTATTTTCACTACTAAGCGCTAAGGGCTCAGAGAAACTCTTACCGTTGCAAAGTATCACAAACAGCCTTTATGATTATGCGTTACTTTTCAAAGAGGGCGATTCTTTTCCCTTTGATGCATGGGCAGATAAGGTGTTTGGTGACTACTTGAGGGATCAAGGTGAGAGTGGTAGCCAGGAGGCTCGGCTTGCTGCGTTTTCCACCAACAGCTCAGCATTTGGAGCGGATAATATGGAAGTGAAGTTGCCTGAATTTCTTAAAGGAGACTCGGAGAACCCTCTTTTGATGCCCTTCGAGCCTCGCTTGACGTTAGGGATGATCCTTAATGAGTATAACCACCTTCTAAAAGAAACAGAAGGAAGGACACCAGCATCTTTTGAATATAACATTCCAGTGTTTCATTGGGCTGATTGGACGGATTTATCACTGTTGTACCCTCATTTTATGTCTTTTGGGGAGAACAGACAGTCGTGTAAGATGTTCGGTAAGACGCCACGTAAAACCAGGAAAAACCCTAATCCAGAAAAAACGTCTCCACATTGGTGCCTTGATGATTCCGAAATTGCATTTCTTTACCACGAGAATATCATTCACAATGCTCAGAAAAAGGCGGGGTTCAGGGAGATTTTGCAGTCGCCTCTAAGGACTGGTTTTCATGTTGACAAGTACGGAGGCAGAACGCCTCATACGCTGAAGAAGTTCGAGGCAGCATCTTATCTTAATGATTTTATGGATAAACCTTTATCTGTCATTCTTCTATTACCCCATCCATCAGGCCGTCTGAGATCTCTTAGGCTAGGGGTCAATCGAGAGGTTGGTAGTCGCGTGCGGTTACTGCAATCTGATTTGGCTAAATCAGTTGCTAATAGAGTCGATACTGTCAACCTTCGGGACGAGCTTCGCCAGCTCGAATCCTATTATACCAACGAAGGCAGCGACATGTACGCTCCCAACATAGAGCTTCATCATGAAGACTTCATTGAAGATTCGAGAGTCAAACTAAAAGAGCTTCAATCGAGAAACAACCTCACCACACACGAGCATAACTACTTCCTCAGTTTAAACTTATCTTTGAGTGAGACTGAACCAACGAAGTATCTATACGAAGCTGAGCTTCACAAGTCGTCCACCAATTGGGCTTGGGGCAGCCACTACGACTGGAGGTTCTACAAAGAGATCATCAACTTCACCGAACTACAGGCCCCTTCATTGCATAGCCTCACACTGGCCTGGCTTCGGTTTATTAATGCTCAGCACTTAAATAGCTGGGTTGCACATGGTACTTTACTTTCATGGTACTGGAACGGTATTAACTTCCCATGGGATGCTGATGTGGACGTCCAAATGCCGATTAAAGACCTCCATAGACTCGCCCGTGATTTCAACCAATCCGTTATTGTGGATTTTGGCACTGACGTTAACGGAGAGATCAAGACTGGGCGGTACTTCATTGATATTGGAACGTGGATCTCACTGCGGGAGTATGGTAATGGTCGTAATAATATCGATGGCAGGTTCATTGATATGGATACGGGACTTTACATTGACATAACAGGTCTTTCTATATCAAACACTATTGCACCAAAAGAGTATGATAGAGATTTACCAAAGGGTCTCAAAAGGGTAAATCCGGATCGGTCCATGGATGAGCTTGAGGTGCTCAGAAACAACTACCTTCAAGTATACAATTGTCGGAATAAGCATTTTGCATGGCTTCACGACTTATCACCAATGAAGCTTACATACGTGGAGGGCGTTCCAGCATACGTGCCGAATGACTTTATGCTAATGTTACAGCGTGAGTATAACGCAGGTGGGCTATTCGAACAAAGGTACAAGCGATACGTATTTCTCCCACGGTTGAGGGTCTGGTATCCTCTGGACAAGGTCAATGATTTTGTCACTGGGAAGGGAAAAGACTTTGAGCCTATCCTTGAGCTTGGAACGGATAAGTCGAAGGCTGTGAGTAGCATTGATAAAATGGCCGTGTATTCTATGTCTGATGAAGACTACTTGGAGTTCATGGCTCGTGAGAAACCCCTTTTGGTAGAATACTTGGCTACCAGAGATGTCACTTCCCTCCATGAAAAAGAGATGAAGCAGCTTCTCAAGAACAAACCTACTGATCAATTGTTACTCGAGAACGAGCAATTAGTACACCAGTTCTCGTCATTCAGGAGGGACTACACTAAATTCAGGAGAGTCAAGGAGAATTTTTCTTTTGATGAGAAAGTAAATGAGTTAGCCCAAGAGATGTTTTCCTTCAGAAAGGGTGTTTCGTTAAGCGCCGAAGAGGTGGACTATGACCCAGAGCCAGAACCGGTTAACCAAGATGACGGGAGTCCCGCCCCTGCCGTAAAGTTCCAACCTGTTGGTTCAGCACCTGAAAGACCAAGAAACATGGATGCATAGAATATTTAATGGCCTCATGAATACGGATTTGACAAAGCATGGATAGCAGAATGGATTTCGCAGCCATTTTTCGCAGCCATTTTTCGCAGCCATTTTCGCAGCCATTTATGGTCATGGCAATCAACATAGCCAGACCACAAAAAAGGGTACGGATCAGTTGGAAGAACCAATTGATCAAAACACACTCATTTTATTTATAAACATACAAAAGTCTGAAAATTTTTTGCATTACCATTTTGTCAGTGGGAGGTTTCTGCTCGTCCAAAGGCTCGACAGTGACTTACTCACTTGACCAACACCAAAACAAACATACTTTCATTTACAAATCAAGTAGTCTCTCCACAATCTCATCAAGGAACTACCTCCTTCATGCTTATCTTTATTGCCCCAGTTTTTCATTTTACCATTGCTGCTTATTGAATGGCCTGATATTCGAATGTCTGCACGTGACCGCTGGACTGATTTCCCACCAATCACACTGTGCGCGAACGCTCCAAAATTCTCAGTTTTAAATATCAAAGCTTCCTATCGTTACAACACATATTCAACAATGTTCAAGAGATTGGCTAACCTTAACTCCAAGAGATTTAACTCCCACGGCCACGGTCACGGCCACGTGTCCAAGTTCATCAAGGAGAACGCTTACACCCCAAACAAGGCTGCTGGCGATGCCTTCAAGAAGGAATACGCTGAGAAGGTTCACCACTCTGAGAGTGTCACCAAGTTGTGGACCAAGATCACCTACTTCGTTGCTCTTCCAGCTATTCTTTTGACTGCTATTCCAGTTACCCGTATTGAATTGAAGCACAGCGAACACAGAGACCACTTGAGACACATGTCTGACGAGGAATGGCCTACTCAGTACGAGTACCAGAACTTGAGAGCCAAGAAGTTCTTCTGGGGTGACGGTGACAAGACCTTGTTCTGGAACTCGGACGTCAACAGACACATTGAGGAGTGATTCTTCCTTCGCTATCAACCTTCTGCATGCATGTTATCGTGTTCTACTCTCTAGATAATAGCTACTTTAAATGTACATCAAAATAGTCATCATGTTCATGTCGTAACTTCTCTTCGACCTCTGCATCACAATGTCGAGAAAATGTAAAGATTATTCGTGGCTGCAATGGCAACCAGGTTTTCCTGTGGATGCCACGACAAATGTAAAATGCTCTTTTTGAAGTCAATGTAGTCGTTATCCACTCCTCCACTACCGACTCCGCTCATCATGCGACGACGTGTAGTTCCTTCTTGGCCTGACTTCTTTGACTTGAACGCAGACTTGTCGGCCTGCAAGATAATCTCCTCCTGCTCATCATCGCCAGGTTTTGGCGACTGTGGGAAGCCCTGGCCAGGAGGAGCAAAGAGTTTGGCATCTTCTTCGGAATCATCATCGTCATCGTCATCATTGTTTTGCGCTCCATTCTTGTCCTCGTCGTCGCTTCCTCTTTGGCCTCCCTTCTTGAGCGAGAACAGCGACAAATCCAATCCTTGCTTATTGGAATTGAGTGTAGAGTTACTAGAATTGACAGCATTAGGATATATCATGAAGTTGTTGTTGTAGGAGCCTGTCATGACGGAACGGTTGTCTCCGCCGAACTGAACCTCAAACTTATCAAAGATGGCATCATTTTCATAGGTATCACATAAACGGTCTCTCAAGTGTTCGTGAACATTAATCGTGGCCACGGGCTTTCTTTCCATGGCCAAATCCCAGAGCTTCACAGTCATGTAATCTCTGGAGACAATGTAACGACCGTCCTGGGAGAATTTAACGTCCAGGATAGATGAAGTGATCTCGGTGAAGAAATTATGCGACGCCGGGTCCAAGTATTCCTCAAAGATCTTTGCGTGAGTGTCACACAAGGAATTGGATCTCATATCCAGCAACTTGATGGTGCCTTTGGACAGGGAATACATGAATAAGTTGCAATGCTGAGGATGAAACTCCGCAGAGGTGATCACCTCAGTGAGCTCCTCCATATTAGTGGGCTTGATATCGACAATGTTAAAGGATTGATCAGAGATATCCAAGTTCCACAAGTTGATGCGCAAGTCGTCCAGCGATAGGTATGTCTCTTGGTCGGAGTTGACGGAGATGGAGTTGATATGGTAAGCATGAGCGTTGGAGTAGATTTTTTTCGGCTGGGCCAGGATTAACTTATCGTGGAAAGTCATCTTGGGCAACTTCAAGTCACCCACGTTGGTCTTACCCGAAGGCAAATGGTCCATTCCGTTCAAGTTGTTCTCGCTGACAAGTCTCACTTGCCTCTCCATAATCTTCCACAACTTGATGGTCTTGTCGTTTGTCGACAAGAGATACAACAGGTTATTCAGCGAACGTAACCACTGAATCTTATTGATCTTCTCTTCCACCTCCAACGACTTGAGGTAGTCGAACTCGGCATCGTGACTCTGGAACTCGGTAAAGAACTTGTACTCACAGCTATTCTTCTTATTGCCGTTTCTCTCAAACAACACCACACGGCCACCTTTGTCACCAGTGGCCAAAAAAGTGCCCGTGCTGTCGAACTCAACTGTCGAGATGATGTCAGCTTCCGTGATGTTCTCAATATCTCCCTTATCGCCGAAGCATTGGGAAAACTTCCAATTGTGGTCCATCGCTACAGAATCCTCGTTTATGCTGCTCTAACTGTAAGGATATGTGGGCACCTAGTGCTTCTTGCTTTCGCTTCGCTTTCCCTCTATAGCTTGTGTAGGATTTTGGGGGAGATTGCGCCAGATCAGACAAGCTCTGGAACCGTATGTGAGATGTCAGGGGCAATGCGATTGGACAGCTTTTCTGGTAGGGACGTGCTTTGATCAAACTGTTGGTCAAGAGGAATCGATGTTGGCACGTTTTTCTGGTGGGCTGCTAATTGCAATTGGTTAAGTGTGTGGGGGGTACAAGGAAAAAAAGGGTGGTGTTCGCAAACGAAACTGATGCCGCTATATTAGCAGAGAGTGAGGGCAGGACAGAAAAATAAAATAAAAAAAAAAAAAAAAAAAATTGCAACACTTTCGCTTTGTTCTCTGGGAAAAGACCCGTACACCAGCTTACGTCAGGCCGTTCAGCCCGTCGTCAAAATGGGTAAAACGGGATGATTTTGGTAATTTAGGTAGTTCATGTGAATGCTGAAAGTTCAGTGATGTTGGCAGTGGTTTTAGATTTTTCACTACGTGTTTTGCGGGATTTTAGCGTGGAATGGATCGGCACCACTCCATGTGCTACTGTGCATGTCCAATAAGCTGTAGATGAGCCTGAGAGGCTAGTAGTATTGAAGAACATTCACTTTTGAAACATGGAGGGATGGTTTGAGTAATGGGGTTGTTTTGTATTGGTATAATACTTTCTCTGGATTGTTTGTTCGGAAGTGTCGGTTATGACATCATGGCTTGTTCGGTTTGACGTGACGTGAAAGGGCATCACTTCCGAACAAACTTTTACCGAAACCACCAGTCACGACAGTTGTTCACTAGGATGGACTGGTTGAGGATCTCTAGGGTTTGAATTGTAGCAATGTCCAGTAGGTTAGCTGGTGGTCGTAGATCTGGTTCCAGATCTGGTACTGTTCAACAGGTGTTACCTGGCCTGGCTCAGGCTCTTCATCTACGCCTACAATAAATCTTCGGTTAATATTTATGTATGATTACTGCTATTCATGATGTTTAGGCGGCCTTCTTGGCAGCGTCGGCAGGAGAGACCTTTCTGTCGGCGGAGAATCTCTTTCTCTGTGGAGGAGTTCTGATTCTTCTGTCGGATCTAGATCTGACTCTGACGATTCTGGCGTGAATGGCACAGGAGACACAGTAGTGCAACTTGTTGTACAACTTTGGCAAGGCGTACTCCTGGTAGACGGAGGCCTCAGACAAGTCTCTCACGGCAGCAGCCTCAACCATGTTTCTGATGGTGACTCTCTTGATGGCCTTGTCCTTTGGCACACATCTAGCACAGTTCAAACATCTGACTGGCTTGACGTGACCTCTGCCCTTCTTGTTTCTACCGTTGGAAGCTCTCTTCTTTGGCATCTTGGGTTGTTAGTAATGTGTTTGAAGATATGGATTCCTAAAGGAAAAGGGAAAAAAAGAAGCACTTTGATGCAAATTCTGGACATTTATATATCGGGGTGGAGCATGACTAGGGAGATGTGTCGGGGTTCGGATTTCAGCGTTCTTTCGACGCATGGCCATGTCGGTCATTCATCTTAATTAGGGGGTATTATGCAACGATGGTAGCAAGCATTTCTAAGCTTCTTCAACTCGATTCCTTTGGGCTTTTTTAGTCGGTCTGAACATACCTTGTGTGTTGGTAAGGAAAATAGGAATAATAGGTTTGGAAAATTTTTAGAGACTCTGTGCGAGCAACGGAGTGCAGGCCCACACAAGACTGGGGGTACGGGGTTTTTGGCGGCTTGTATGGGCGCGACGGGGTGCGCTGAGAAGGTGCGTCACGTGTAGAGGGCTTAAGCCCTAGAAACATGGTCCAGGGATTGGCTTCTCTTCCAGGGATAGACTCAAGCTGTGCAAGCTGTGGCGCCCTTGTGTTACAGCTTGAGCTTATTATGTTGGTAGTGGTTTTGGATATCTGGTTTTGATATGATAGATGGTTTTCAAGTTTCATAAAAGCAGATTATTGGTTCCACCATTTCTTCAAAATGTACCACTGTGGTTTACAGTTGACGTGAAATATTGCACAAGCATGAAAATATAGTCGTCTACAACTTGACAATATATTCTACTTTTATTTTTTCTAACAAGCCACAGAAATCTTCTATTTCCCCAGTATGGCCTGTTTTTGACCTCCTCTTCTTCTTAGTATTGTGTTACTTCTGAAGAGAGTGTCATTGGCTGTACTGACAGTAGTAGGTGCGAAGGGATGGTCTTTCGCAGCCATAGGCTATTCACATAACCACATTATCTCTAGTTCAAGCCATCAAATTATGAAGAGTAAGACATTTTAAAGAGACTTTGAGAGATTCTCTTTCTTTCTTGATGCCATTTTCATGTTGTTTCTGGACAGACACTCCCTGTGTTTCAGCCTTATCTCGATCATCAATCGCGCCAATGAGAGACACCAACTGTACTTCCATTGATTGTGCTGTTTTCTAAAAATTCTTTAATACACCCTCTTTAAACAGCTGGTTAGCCCACCTTTGGCCTATCATTACCTCTGCTTGATAACTGTGGGGCTGGGAAACCGTCTGATTCTGTAGGTGCACGTGCTTCTTTTGCACGTGACCAGGAGCCAATGAAGCGTCTTCCTTTCTATGCCTCGCCAGTTAGCTGATTTTTTCGAAAACATCACCACCTCATTTGGGTTTAAACGCTAGAGAAACCCTCCTCCTTACCTCAATATTCCCACCAAAATGTATGTTCAACCAATTCACGCCCTATTAGTGTTCCCTGAGTTCAGAATCATCGCCGTCATTGCCCCTCCTTCGCCAATCTTATCTCATCTGAGACAATGAGCAAAATACTTAACTGAATTGATAAGTACATGGAATTCTCCCATTTGACGAGCAATCCACAATGTTAGGGCCAACTAAGGAACTTATATCACTTCCAGGGACGTTCCCGACTCTTTCGATGTATACTAACAACCAGGCTTTCCCGCACATTTGCTCGTTCACTCGCCCAGCCAAACAGAATGATGGTTAGAGGCTTGACCACTTCTAGAATACTCTTCCAGACCCCTAAGGTCCAGGAGAACCAGAAGCAGGTTACTGCTAAGACTATCTACGATGTTACCGGTCCAGACGCTTCCTTGATTGGTCCAGGTGCCAAGCCAGGTACCATCCCAACTGACATTGACCAGGCCACCGGTTTGGAGAGATATGAAATCTTGGGTAAGGAAGAAGGTATTGACGTTTTCGACATGGAGAAGCCAATTAAGGAAGGTAAGGGTACTTTGGCCGACCCCTTCTTGGTGCCAACCTACATTGGCTACCGTTACGTCGGCTGCAGAGGTAAGAACGGCGAGGACCACAAGGCCTACTGGATGAAGGTCGAAGGTGAAGAGCCAGCCAGATGCTGGCACTGTGGTACGGTGTACGCTGCCAAGTACTTGGGTGAGCCCGGCCACTCCCACCACTAAACTATCTGCTTTTCACAGACTGCTAGACAGACGACATGGCATTTATATTCTAGGCTCTGCCATTGGTAATTAGGCATACACAACCGGGGAGAAGCGTAAGCTCTCCTTGGTGTTTCATACACGACAAAAGACGATTAGAGATATGGCGGCGCTTTCTGCCATGTAATGTAGGATATTGAAATGGCTCCACGGGCCAAGGGAAGAGACAATAGTAAGAGAAGGACTTTCATTGGGTAGTTAGCTCGTACTGATTAAACACTGCAATTATCTGTTGGAATTATCAACAATTCATACAAACTACCATGAGTACGCCTTTTTGTCAAACCACCATACAAGTGAAGAACTACCGAACAATAGTAGAAATTACTAAGAGTATCCGGTTATTGTCAAATGGTAATAGCTGGCAATGGTAATGGTTGACCACACCAGGACTATAAAAAATTGACCCTAAGTAACCACAGAATTAATTGCAAAACTTCTCAAGTTTAATTAGGTTTGACATTGTATGATCCATAGAGCCAGTCAATTCAACTACCATGTCCCATTCTGACCACCATCTACGGCCCTTAGCCAGAAACACCCCAAAAAGTCATACCTCTACATAATACATTGAGTTAGAGTATTCTTGAAATACGAAACATCCTGGCCCTTCCTGGTGCTACCTGTAGCTGCCTGGTCCTACTTGGTCTTCAGTGCGGTCTATATGCTGAAACCACTATCGGTGTGAAACTGTCACAAAAATGAACCGTTCGTCACTATCAACCTGTTTCTCCGGATCACCAGTAAACCTAAATCATAAAATATACCATAAAAATAAAAGCAACCTCTAAAACTCCACCTTAATAATAATCCCCAGTTAGTCAACTAATATTAATAGGCATCTTACTGAAAAAGTCTCGCGTAGCAGTCCTTATCTAGGCAGATCTCTACAAGCTTTTGTGAGAAGTCCCACACTTTTTTGCAACCACTCACACCCAAATGGCCCATTTGATCCCTTTTCAGGTCCAAAATTTGCTCACAAAGCGTGGCTCCCCAGTTTCATCTCCACAGCGGCTATCCCATTCGAGAAAGTCTACTGACGCCGATCCGTCGCCTCCTCCTTCAGCTTTTAGGAACAACCATGGTGGCCATGGATGTGCGGCATTTTATATAGTGTCGATGTGCGGCATCTCCAGATTAACGAAAGACATCTAGAGATCACAAGAAGGGATGACGGTGAGAAGGAGGAAGGAAGGGTTGGAACTCGAAAGACGTGAACGGCTTTTGTTGTGGTTTTGAAATTGTCCAAAATGCTGGGGTCCTTTTCTGGATGGCTGTTTGGTGTAATTCCACTATGGCGAGGCAAAGTGCCGCATCGCAGTGTACCGCTTCCTATATAGATTAACCGAATTCCATTTTCCAGTGGATTGGAAATTTTTTTAAAACATCTGAAACAACCTAGTCATGACCAAACCAAAGGTGCTTTTCATTGGTGACTTGAATAAGGATTTGCCCGAGTACGCTCAGTTTGTCAAGAAGGTGGAGCCTGTGTTCTATGAGTTACCAGATAACAAGGAACAGTTGATCAAGGACTTTAGAAATAAGTTCAACGATGTCCAGGCTATCTATGGTGCATGGTTGGGCTTTGTGCCTCTTGGTGGGTTCACTGGCGACATCTTGGAAGGTGCTCCTAAGTCGTTGCGTGTGGTGTCCATCTGTTCTGTTGGTTTCGAACCATACAACGGCGCCAGAATGGCCGAAAAGGGTATCATCTTGACCAACGTGCCCTCTGACGGTGCTTCCAAGCCGGTTGCTGAATTGGTCTTGTACAATGCATTGTGTGCTTTTAGAAACTTCCCGGCTTTCACTACATCCTTCACTTCTGATATCAACCATACTGTGAAGTTGAGAAAGCTTCTTGACTCCAACAAGTTCGATTCGGTCAAGGGTAAGTGCCACCTTGATGCTGTTCATGGCTACTCTTTCGGTCATTATGCTGGTGGAAGACCATGTTTGAGTCCAAACGGTCACAATGCTGTGATTGTTGGTTTCGGTAACATTGGCCAGACAATTGCACAGTACTTGGCTAATGTCGGTATGAACATCCATTACGTCAAGAGAAACCCTCTTCCAAAGGAGGAGGAAGAGAAGCTTGGTTTCCCTGTTCATTACCACAAAACTCTTCTTGACGCTAGAGACCACGCTGATCTTGTGGTCATTGCATGTCCCGGTACTCCAGAGACCTTCCACATGATTAACGCTGAAGTCATTGATGCCATTTCCAAGCCATTCCGTATCATCAACATCGGAAGAGGCCCAGTCATTGATGAACAGGCTTTGGTTGATGGTCTTAAGCAAGGTAAGGTGTTGTTTGCTGGCCTTGATGTGTTCGAAAACGAGCCTCTGGTGAATCCAGAGCTCTACAACCGTCATGACGTCGTCTTGACTCCACACATTGGTGCTTCTACCAAGGAGAACTACGACTACACAGCAGTCATGGCCATGAAGAACATTGAAAATGTATTGTTGGAAGGAGGTGAGGGAATCAGCAAGGTGAACTAGAGGAGGATTTTGGAGTAAGGAAACCGGGAAGGTAATTTAGGGGTGTATTTTTAAAGGGGCTTTCATATTGAGAAGACGTGAATCGGTGATTAATGGCTGCAAAATAATGAGCGCAAGTATGTATAGATAATTCCAAAGCCCTGGTATTCTGGCATGTAGCGTTTCTAGAATGCAAACAACCTTTGTCTATATTGTTGACTGGTTTCATGTCATAGGCTGGCCTTCCAGCTATCTTTACTCGCCATACATATGATAGAGGCTTCGAAGGTAGAACATTGGAACGAACAAGCTTATCGGAAAAGCTGTTTGATCAATTCCCCCAATCAAATCAAATATTCTTCAAACACCTTGGTAGGTCGCCAAAGCTTATCTTTCTGAGCCCTTTGCATCCCCTTGCTAGTGCCTTACTACTGAGCGAATAGGAGCCGAAAAAAGGTTACAAGTCACCTTGGCAACCGAGCCTTCTTCGCATAGTATCAGCAAAGTTGTGAACATACAAAGGGAAGTAAGTGTAGTAGGTTTATTTAAATTTTTCCAAAAAGCAAAATTACACCAGTAAAGTAACCCTTTTTTCTTTTCCACAATTCTCCACATCTGCAACCCCGGTTCTTCGGCGCAACGTAACGTGCGCAACTCAACCTACAAATCTCAACCTCAACGTTGATAGTTATCTCTAAGGAACTTACTCACACCGAAAGCCACCAAAAAACACATAGAGCATAACTCCATTAACTACAGCATGGCCTCGCTCTACATCGGTGTGTACAAGGCCTTGTACGACTACCCAGCGCAGGCCGAAGAGGAGCTTACGATCCAGCAGGATGATTTGCTCTATTTGCTTGAAAAACTGGACATTGACGACTGGTGGAAGGCTAAAAAGAGGGTGCTTCCTGTGGGAGACGAGGAGGTCGAGGAGCCCTTGGGTCTTGTGCCTGCCAATTACATCGAGGAAGCTCCTGTGGTAAAGCAATGCAGAGGTCTTTACGATTACGACAAACAGACGGAAGAGGAGCTTAGTTTCAAGGAAGGTGAGATCTTCAGTGTCTATGATTTGAATGATCCCGATTGGCTTCTTGTCGGTGACTCTTCTGGCAACGGTTTTGGTTTTATTCCATCCAACTATATCGAGTTTACTGATCAGGCTGCTCCACTTCAACCTACCGCCCAACCTGCTGCTCAGGCTGCTCCTGCTAGACAACAACTTCCGTTGGCATCTTTTGCACCTCCCCCAGTACACAAGGACAGAGCTCCATCTCGTCTGGCTGAGCCAGAACCACTTGAACCTGTGGAAAGGCCTATAGAGACTAGACAGCCTGAACCGCAAGAGGATAGACAACCAGCTAGACTGAACAGATACCAGGCACCATTGGATGATGAGGACGATGAGGACGATGACTTTGAAGATGCTCTTCCGCCACCAATGCCTTCTCGTCCTACTGGCGGTGCTGGCATTGACACTAGCGCGAGAGGTTCTCGTCCTCCACTGGAACCAACTACTCCTTCTCGTGGTAGAGAAACTGAGGATGTACCACAGACTCCGCCTAAGGAACACAATTTCGATGGTGAATACTTCAGATGGTACATTGACGAGGTAGATGGGCGTAAGAAGCGTCCTGTGGTGGTGTCTGTCGGTAACGGATTGATCATTCTTAAACCTAACACTCAAAACCCTAAAAAGTTGAGACTTCGGTCTGCCCTGAGTCTCGATAATAACTGGAGAATCCGTGATTTGGAGCTGTTTTCGCATGAGAAGAAGCACGTCTTCTTGAAGTTCCAAAACCCTGATGCTGAAATCGAGTTGCATGCTGGTAGCAAGGATGTGGCTGAAGCGATCATGGCTGTTTTGGGTGACCTTAAGGGCGCTGAGAACCAAAAGGGTTTGCGTGAAGTTGCCAGAGCTGCTCTGACAAAGACATCTTCTAGCAACAAGAAGGTCGGTCGTCTCATGTACGACTTCGAATCCCAGGGCAGCGATGAGTTGGCTTGTCAAGAAGGTGACGAGGTCCACATTTTGGATGACACGAAATCGAGAGAATGGTGGATGTGTGAACGTCTTTCTGATGGTAGAAGAGGTGTTATTCCATCTACCTATATCGAAATTATCGGCACCACGAACTTAGACAAGTTAACTGACGGACCATCGAGGCGTAAGTCTCAGAAATCTTCTAGCAAGGGCCGTGTGGTTGATAAGAAGCAGAGATACCACAGTCGTGATGAAAGAGACAGAATTAGAGAGAGTGACAGAGCTCGCAGAGACAAGAGATCTAGCTCTGGAGGCGAGGACAAAAACATGCCAAACTTCCACCGTGTCAGAACGTGGATTGATAGCACCGGCTCATTTAAGGTGGAGGCTGAATTTTTGGGTTGTATGGAAGGAAAGATTCACTTGCATAAGACAAACGGTGTCAAAATCGCTGTTGCCGCTACCAAGTTATCGATCGAGGATTTGGAATATGTTGAAAAGATTACTGGTACTTCTCTTCAGCATTACAAGGATGAAGTGGCTAAGCATATGGCCAAGAGAAACAGATCTTCTGGAAGCGGTGCTCATTCTTCTGGAGTGTCGCCTGCTAAGACATCCTCCGTTGCAGCCATCAATGATGTTGCTCCACCACAGCCATCGAGGCCAAAAGCTACAACTGCTACCTCGCTGGGTGAGCCAGACTACGACTGGTTCGACTTTTTCCTCTCTTGCGGTGTTGACATTGGCAATTGCCAACGTTATTCTATCAACTTTGCTCGTGAGCAAATGGATGAGTCTATCCTCGAGGACATTACGCCTTCCTTGTTACGTTCTCTCGGATTGAGAGAAGGTGATATTCTTAGAGTCATGAAGCACTTGGACAACAAGTTTGGAAGGCAGAAGACAGGTGATGCGCCAGCAACCTCCGGTGGTCTTTTCACGGAAGCGACCGGTGCTTTGAAGAATAATAGCTCGACCGAGGTTTCTAAAGTCGATGCTAGTGCCTTACCAGCCCCATCCCCACAAAAGGAGAAGGACGACCCTATCGGTAATAAGGCAGGTAATAAGTTTGAGGATGATGCATGGGCTGTCAAGCCAGCTGCTCGCTCTAACGAGGACTTCACTCAAAACCAGACTCCTTCAAAGCCACAGTATACTGGATCATTGCAGGACCTCGTCGACATCAAGCCTTTGGAAGCCAACAAGCCTCCTCAGACGCCATCCAAGGACACTCCTCTGGGTCTTCCATCTGCCCCTGCGTTGACTCCTTCCAAGACTGCCGCCAGTCCAGCTCCAGCCCAGCAGCCTCAACAGACACTGAGCCAGCAAAGCCAGAACCCAGCGTTGGTTCCACTTCAGAAGACTGGTGGTCAAGCTCCTCTTGTTCTTGTGAGAACTGGTGGACCTTTCGTGCCAATGCAAACGGGAGGTTACATGGCCGCCCAGCCAACAGGTTTCATGCCAATCACTGCTCAGCCAACGGGCTTCATGCCAATCCAACCAACGGGTTTGGGCCAGCAACAGACATCTGGTATGCTTCCTCTCAAGACTGGTCAAATGGAGCAACTCCGGCCGGCACCTCCACCACCTACCTCGTTTGGACAAATGCCTTTGCAACCAACAAGCTCATTTGTTCCCTTGCAACCTGGTAACGTCACCATGCCACAAACTACTTTCGGTCAGCAACCAACTGGTCAACCTACTGGTGGATTTGGCCAACAGCCTACCGGTGGATTCGGTCAGCAGCCACAGACCACCTTCGGTCAACAACCTACAGGAGGCTTCTCTCAGCAACCACCAACTACGTTTGGTCAGCAACCCACTGGAGGTCAATTTGGTCAACAGCCACCAACCTCTTTTGGTCAACAGCCAACAGGTGGCTTCGGTCAACAGCCTCAAACATCGTTCGGTCAGCAACCTCAAACATCCTTTGGTCAACAGCCACAAACCACCTTTGGTCAACAACGCACTGGTGGTACATTGGCTACGCAGGTTACTGGTGGTTTGAATAAGTTTGTTCCACAGTCTTCTTTCGGCAGGCAAATTACTGGTGGTGTCATGCCCCAGACTTCATTTGGCAACCAGCCTACTGGCGGTATGCCCAACACATCATTTGGTGGGCAGGCTACTGGTGGTTTCCCACAAACGTCATTCGGCAACCAACCTACGGGAGGTTTCCCACAGACTTCCTTTGGAGGTCAGCCTTCTGGTGGAATGCCACCAACGCTGTTTGGAGCACCTCAACCCCAGGGACAACCATTCACCTCGTTTGGTCAACAACAGCAGCCTCAACAGGGTTTCAATAACAACATGAATCAAATGACTAACATGTTCCAAAACACTTCCATTGGAGGACCTTTCCAGCAGCAACAGCAGCAACAACCTCCAACCAGCTTTGGACAAAATTTCGGCCAGGGCCAGAACCAGTTTGAAGGTTTTGGTGACCAACCTTTGCAGTCGCAGCCAACTGGACTCGGTTTCGGTAATGCACCATTGCAGTCACAACAGACTGGCAGAAGAGCCAACTTGCAAGCTGCCACTGCTGAGAATCCTTTTGGATTTTAAGCCCCTCGGCAATCAATCTAAATACATCGAGTAAAAGTTACTAATCGGATCGTTCTTTCCCTATTGGCTTCCAAAGGTTCCCCCCTTGGTTAGCCGGGATGTGTAGAATATGCGGCCCCTGCTGCGTTTCACCTGTGTGCCAGTTGGCTGCAAAAAAGTCCCTTTTCCTATAAAGTCGGGTCAATTCCCACTTTTTATGCTGTATCCCTTAGCTCATTATGTTTTCCAGATATGCTGATCTTGCTGATTTTTTTCTTATTTATGGAGACGGCCTTGTTGAATCACCGTGGCTGGGCAAAATAGATACCATAAACTTTATCTATTCGTCTGTCTGTAAGAAGCGAAACCTTGAGTGGAAAGAGACATCCGAGAAGTTTCAGGAGGTTTTGAAGAAATTCAATGACCTTAGTAATGGAGCTTTAGAGTTCCGTAAAACATACGTCAAACCAGGTATTGAACTTGTCTACGTGAATAAGTTGAAGGTGGAGATGTTGAAGAAACATATTGCTGGAGATGGCGTGAAACACGTCTACGTGAAGCCAGTCAACGGGACTTCCAATAGCATGGAGGACGTTGTGAAGAAGATACTTGAGCCTCCGGCTAGTTCTATTCCTAATGGACTGGCGTTGCTGCTTATCGACTGTAACGGCGAAGAAATCAAACGCCTTCTTGAGAAACCCACCGCGGCTGAGGTGCTAGCAACTGAAAGAGCTAGGCTTTTGACCCCAAGAAAGGCTTTTTATCTTGCTTGTGATGACGATTCTCATAATCAAGCGCTTGCTAAGTTGTGTTTCAATCCCAAAACATTCGGCCAAAGTGTTCTGGATTTACCTTCGAATGCCAAAATTCGTAAGATTATCAATAACAACAAGACTCAGTTATCGAAAGCAGTGTTCAATTGTTCAAAGCTGAAAGTTCATTACTTACCTTTGCTTACCAACTCTACGGATGTCACCTTAGGCAATTGCTCATACTTGGATACATGTCATAAGCTCAAGAGCTGTCGGTATCTTCACTTCTATACGTTGAATCCACAGCAACAAGAGGAGGACGTGTTGCCGAGCAAGAATGCTGAGCTTCTCATGGAATACACAATTGGAGAGCCTGGAGTGATCTTACCAGAAACACCTCCACAATGGATCAATTGTGATGTCCGCCAACTTCCCTTCTCGGTCTTGGGTAAGTTCGCTGCCATCATCTCTGATCCTGCTTGGGACATTCATATGTCACTTCCATATGGTACCTGTAAGGATGCTGAGCTCTTGTCTTTACCAATGCATGAACTCCAGGATGAAGGTATCTTATTCTTGTGGGTAACTGGCCGATCTATTGAAATAGGCCGCAAAGCTCTTGCTCAATGGGGTTATACTGTCACCGACGAAATGATTTGGGTCAAGCTCAACCAATTGAGAAGAACTATTGTCACTGGGCGGACTGGTCATTGGTTGAATCATTCAAAAGAGAACCTTATTGTTGGTGTTAAAGGAAACCCAATTTGGCTCAACCGTAAGATCGACCTTGACTACATTGTCAGTGGTACTAGGGAAACATCTAGAAAGCCCGATGAGCTTTATGATATCGTTGACAGGCTTGTCGGAAAGCATGCCAGGAAATTGGAGATCTTTGGTCGTGACCACAACATCCGCAAAGGATGGTTCAGTACGTGTTTCGAAATTTATTCATATAAGAACATACTAACATACAGCAATTGGGAACCAGTTAACAGGAACCTCAATCCATGAAAGGGAAGTCTCGGAGAAGTATAAGGAGCACTTGAATCGCGTGAAGTCTTCGCTGTCGTGATTCGTTAGGCGGCTTTCTTCTCCTTCTCTCTGTTCTGCTCCTTTTCCTTCTCTCTCATTTCCATCACCAACTTACCAGCTTTGTTATCCATGGTTTTCTTGATATCCAACTTGTAGCCCAAGGCGAAAGCAACTTCAAAGACCACGAAGAATGGCGCAAGGACCAAAGCTTGAAGCAAATTGTCCATCAAAGCAGGAGCTCTTTTCTCGTGCACGGCATGTCCATAGAACTGAGCCAACCAGCAAACGACATGAACACCCAAAGCAATCTGAGTGAATTGAGTCTGGCTGATTATCGCATCAGGTCCTTCCAAACTAAGGTAAAATGACCTGATAAGGTATGCAAAGGAAATTAGAAAGCCAAAACTGGGGATTCCAAGTTGCCAGTCCAAGGCAGCATAGTAAAGGCCATAACTCCAGGCCACAATTGAACCAGTGGAGATATATGGATGGTCTTTCCCGAGGATTGTTGTCCTGGTAGCCAAGGCAATGGCAGACAATAGAATCAATGGGATGCAACCCAAATGGATCGCCACGTTTTTGTGGTTAAAGTGGTACTTTCTGTAAAATACTAATTGACTCTCAAGGTCAAGGGGTCCGCCGGCCATTTTGTCGTTTAGTTCTTGAGTTGTGGGATGGTCTCCTTAAGTACTCGGAAAGAGTGGGGTAACATGTGCCAAAATGCGTGAATGTGGAGGAGCATAATCTCCGACTGTGCGACTCCGAGCTTATCCACTAAGATATTGTTTAAAGCTAATTACTCTTTGTGTCAATTTCCTTTCTTTTTCTTTTTTTCGAATTTTTATTTACTAGGTTCTATAGTCTCAGCCTCAAACCCTCAAGTCCAAAGCAGGCTTCTTGACTGCTCTCACCCTCTTGTTCGATCCGGCACTGCCTCTCTCGAACTCGGCTGCTGCCTTGGGCTCCCTACCGAGGTTATCAAGATCCTTCACCTTATAGATTCTGACAATCCAGTTTTGCGAGGTAAATGCCTCTTCAACGGTGTCAAGCGTGATAGGATCCGAAGGAATGTTCTGGCCACGGGCTCTATCTTGAGCGTCTCTGCCGCCAAACAATTCAGCAAATCTGTAGTAGGACATCTTGTACAACATACAGTTTTTCATTGTAGGCGAGGCGTCGCCGTCAACCTTGTACTCACCCTTGGCACTGAAATAGTCTCTTTCGTGAATGTCATCGGGCCATATACCTTCAGAGATTCTCACCATCCACAAGAACTTGTTCATATCGTCACCAGAGTAGCCCAAGACACCACCAAAGATAACAAGCACATAGTCGACATCATGCTTCTTCAAGATATCGTATGCTGCCTCTTCGTTGGATGCCATGGCCTTACCGACAGTGGCAATATGAGTGTTGTTCCATGTGTTGTTGTCAACCAATGTGGTTCTGTCGGCCATACCACCAATCTGGTAGCCGTAATCCCACCAGGCCATGACCTTGGCATCTTCTGGAGTGTTCATTCTCAACCAGTAGTAAGCTTCTCTGTAGTCATCAATGATGTTTTGGGATCCGTCAGGGTTACGGGAAGCCAACACCACAGAAGGAGACGAGTAAGCATTGGAAGTGACCCAGGTACAGTGCAAAACAAAGAAGACAAGGTAGTAGACAAAAGAGGCCAAAACCACACCCTTACTGAGCAATTTGAATAATGGGAACGGCTTGCTCTTCTGGGCGCTGACCTTCTTCTTCTTGTCTGTGACTTCTTCCTCCACGGATTCTGAGCTGAAGATATCAGTAAAGTCCATATAGACATCGAACAACTTGGACAAAGCAATAGCAGCGGAAACACAAACGACAGGAGTCAAGGTCAACATCAATCTAACCATGACACCGGCGAAGTAGGAACCAAGGACACCGTAAATGATAATGAAAAGGTGCTCATCACGCAACTCCTGGAAGCAGAAGAAAACACCGGCTGGGAACAACCAGATCAACATGTTGGTATCGAAGAAGAAAGCAGGCCAAGCAGTAGGCTGGTGCTCCGAGACAGATGCAATGATAGGAATGTGAATCTTAGCGTAGTTGGTGTCCCACAAGGAGTAGAATCTACCAGTCCAAGGAGCGATCCAGCCAGCAGCAGTCAAGGCGGTCAAACCAGCGATACCCAAGACCGTGGTAAGGAAAAGGGAGACGGTCAAGAAAACCTTGAACTGGGCGGTTGGAACGTTAGAACGCACGTAGGCACCAAAAGCCACCAACTGCAACAAACCGAAAACACCCAAAGCAGCCATATGATCGTTGGAACGGATTGGCAAAAATCCAACGAATGGAATTTGCATGGATGCTATAGTTCCCAACGCGTACCATGTGGTGTAAGCGGTGTACAAGCGGTGGTTGTAACGGCCCATCAAGATCAAGACAAACACGTGCAATGGGATCAAATTGGTGATGAAAACGTAACCACCCCATGCTGACACCATGTAAAAGTAAGATAAAGCGGTCAAAGTACCGTAGAAGATGGAGCCCACCTTCATGGCCTTGATCCACAAGTAAAAAGTGGCCATAAGCAACGTGATTGCAATGGCTTCATTATCATAGGAACCAGCCACGGAACGGGAAATGTAACCAGGAGCAATGCCCATGAAAATGGCAGCCAAAAGACCCGCGTTCGAGTCCTTCATCTCCTTGGTGAAATAATACGTGAAAATGGCAGTGATGCCCGAGAAAGCTGGTGCAAGCATGACACAGATGTTTCTAATGTCCACAGGCAATCCAAACCAGTCTCTCAATGCGTGCCAGATAATGCCAGAGGTTACCATCAACCCAGGGTACAAAGTGCCACCAGTGACTCTGCCCAAGGGGTACCAGGTTCTGTCATCAAACCAGTTCAAAAAGTCGTAAAAGGAATGAGACACCAAGTACTTGGTAGCCCTAAAGTTGAACCATGGATCGAACTCGTGGATGATGGACTCGAAACGAATAACTGAAAATAGACGCGAGGAGATAGCGGCACCCGCAATTGAAATGAAAATCACCGTACGGAGAAGCAACCGCACCGTGTCAATTTTGACACCTAGGACCGTCGAGGGTTTGGTCATAATGTGTCTGTGATTGAGAAGGAGGGGGGAGGGTGGGTTGATAAAGGGGAACTTTGTTGAACACTTGTTAATGCGACGGTAGGAAAATTGGTAAGGTGGGCTCGAAGAAGCGTGTGCAGTCCGTAGCGACGTGGAGTTTTGACAGGCTGCGAAATGCACTACAAACTGTAGGTACCAGATTTGGGGGGGTTCCTAATATATTAAATACCTATTCCTAAAATGATGACCAGCTCCAGTTTGCTGGAACACTGCCTGCAATTTGTTCGTTGGATTGTTCGTCACGAGCGAGGCCCTTTGCGATTTGCACTTGCTGAGGAATCTGGTTCCTCTGGCGCGTGGGTGGGTTCTTATGCTTGAGGAGCTCCTTGCGAGGGCTGGCGACTGGTTTATTCGTGGGAGGTGGTGCCTCTCTTTCTCTTTCTTCAATGGCAGGCGTGGCATTCACATCGATTGAGCTTCTTGGTCTATGACAACTCACACCGAATTCTTGTTTCATAAAGTCGTTATACTCTTCGATACAGTTGTCACAGACCCTAGAAAGGGTTCCACGTCCACCCGTAGTGAATTGAGCCAAATGATTAATGTATAAGTAATGCAGCGTATGTTCCTTGCAAAAGATTCCGCCACAACGACGACAATGATGTCTGCGTTCAAAAAAGTTGAAATGCTTGCGGCACGAGCTAATTCCACATTGTGAGACTGCTTCATCTTTAAGCCAATGCTTTCTTGTTGGCGCTGCTCTCAAAATATGTTCGTATTGTTTCTTGTTAAGCGTGTATGGCCCTGTGTAAGCGATACTTGGTGAGGTGATGCTATTGTCCGCCAGATCAACCGAGCGAACCGAGTTTGAACTTGACCCAAGCTCCCTGCTAGGCAGCCCTACCCGTGAAAGGCCTTCAAAATATGACTCTCTTCCGCTTTCACCTACCAGACCACTAGATAATGGTCCGAGGTCTGCATCCTGGTCAAGTGTCTTTCGAAGAACTGCGGGAATGTACATTGGGTTTCTGAAGCCTTTAATCTGCTGGATTCTCTTGTCTGTTAAACTGATGTGTTTCAGTGGGGTATCATCTGCTTGGCTGGTCTTTCTGTTGCGCACATTCATGTCCAAGGGTGGAAGAACAGGATTCAATTCAGTCTCACTCTTCTCTCTCTGTATTTGACCATGGGACTGGCTATGAGCAAGCTGCTGACCATGAGGAGCATTCGTGAGCACCTGGGATTGTGATTGTTGAAGCTTCTGGCTACGCAATCCCTGGTTTAATGATCCAAATGCGCTTTGAGACTGTTGAGTGTTCTCTTTAATAGAGTTATCGTTAATAGAGCCAAAAGCAGGTTTGATAAGTGAAGCCTGTCCCAAAAGTTTTTGTGCTGGTTCATTGCCGACTGCCTGACTTTGCATATTGAGCATCTGTCGTTGCATGTCCATATGATAATCACGCTCGGAAGGATTAGGGGCGGCAGGCTGTTGCTGCTGATCGCTTGTTTGTTTAGGCTGGAGTTGCAAGTTCTTTGCATCGGGAAGATGCTTGTTTTGTCTTGTAAGGCTGGCGAACAGACTCAAGTCTACCTGAGCTGGTTGGTAAGGCTTTGCTTTATTCTCAGCCTGAGTCACCTTATCCTTACTCTCTTCCTTTCTTTGCTCTAACTTGGACTCCGGCCGGAGCAGGCCGTTAAGCAGTTTAGTTGTAAGTTGCCTCGATTCTGGTCCGGTCTCCTCGTCTGACCGGATGATAGGAGCCAAAGATAATGATAACTTCTTTAAAGCATTCAAGGTGAGTTTCTGTTGTTGCAAGATTGTTTCTTCTCTGTATTCATCATCGTCGTCGCGTTCGTCCTTCACGGGTGGTTGGGAAGTGGTCTGGGTGACATTACTATTATGTCTCAGTCTATTCAGCTCACTTTCTGCTGGCGCGTCTTTATGATCAAAGGGGAGCTGCTGGCCAATGACAATGTTATCCAAGGCACGGAGATTACTGACTGACAGAAGAACCGGTGCCTGGATGAAAGACTGGAAGTTCTTATGGTTCCCTGTTCCCGTTTGCGTCAGGTTACCAAGATTACTTGAGTTTCTCTGTAAAGGAGGAGGGTTATTAACGTCAGCCTGTCTCAAAGATTTAAGGGATGCAGTAGAAAGCACCAGCTGGAAGGACTGGGTTCTAGGTTTCTTGAGATCTTTCTTCTTGAATTGTAGGTCATTAGTGTACTCTTGCTTGGCGTCATCGTCGCCGTCATTTGGCTCCACAGGAGTAGTCGAGCCAGTATTCGATTCAGCCGGGCTCTGGTTATCGTGTGAGCTTTGTTTCCCTTCATCCTCGGCCTTGTCCATATGGTGGCCGTTGTCGGTGGTGATGTCATGCTGTTCGTGGTTCTTCCGCGTGTCACTCACATAATCTTGTTTGTAGTCGTCGTATGTATCACTCCCATTCCTCGGAAGCGGTTTCGGTTCGCTGGAATCCGTATCTATCTCTGTTAGCGGAGGCTCTTCTGTGGTGGCCACTGTGCTGGCTCCCATAGCTTTATTCGGAATACTGGGGGAGGCGAATATAATTCGAGGGGGGGTGGCAGGTGACGAGATGGAAAGTTCTATCAGGCAGTGAATATAAGGTAAAGGTTGAATTCCAAATACACCCGATATACGGAAAAGAAGCTGGTGCTTTATTTAAGGGTCCTTATTGTAGTCGGATAAGCTGAGTTACAAAATTGGGGTTTCGCGAGGATGCAAGGATGCACTTTCCTGATACCGTTGACGCCTGTACACGAGCACTGTCAAACCCAGTTCTGGCAAAAGGTCAAAAGAGAAAAGACGGTTGGTGTTTGAAGAGACGTGTTCTACAAGATTGGCGCTAGTTTGCAAGCTTTGGTTAAAAGCCACAGCAACTTTACCGATAAAAGCGGACGGGTACACGTGATGTATCCCGAACACGGACCGTAATTGGCAAAACGAGAACTATAGTAGCACAAGTAATGTAAGCGGTAAATTCCCAGGCTTACTTAATACCCCAAAGAAGAAAACGTGTTACAAGTGTGAATCTATGGTAGGATCTTTAAGAGGCATTGTTTGCACGTGCGCGTGTGCGCGTGATCATTACCCCGGCCAGGCCTAATTCCTGTGTGTCCTATTGGCTCCCAGATCCCGGGGGTAAAAAAAAATGAGAAAAGCTACCTTTAACTAAAACACCAACTACTACTCACAGTTAACATACAAGATGCTTTGCCGTGTTGGTTTGAGACGTATGTTATAGCTTTGATGTTTGCAAGCTGTCCAGTGAAGAATTTGAAGATCCATATTTTTAAGACTTTTCATGTGTATTGCCATGACATTTGAGAGATTGTCAAGACAACACACGTCAACTCCAGAAGCCCTTTTTTCCAGATAATATCATTCCATTGACGTCTTCCAAATTTAGATCCCTTTGAGTTCCATTTATTTCCACCTCGCCAGTTGCCTATATAACATCTTCAAATGGCTTGCTAGCAGAATCTTCCATCCCATATACTAACATCCAGCCCTCGCAAGAGCCTCTATTGCTAGAGCTCCAGTCATGTCCTCAGCTATGCTCAGGAACATCAGATTCAACTCGACTGAAACCATGAAGGTCAGCCATGAGCAGGAGCAGGAACTTCTTGTTCAGCAGAGAAAGAACCGTCCAGTGTCTCCTCACTTGCAGATTTACCAGCCTCAGCTTACATGGTACTTGTCTGGTTTGCACAGAGTTACCGGTGTTGCCATGTCCGGTGCTTTCTACGCCTTGACTGTCACCTACGCTGCCTCTGCTATCTTGGGTTTCCCCTTCGAGGCCTCTACCCTTGTCTCTGCATTCGCTGGCTTGCCATTTGCTGTCAAGCTTGGCGCTAAGGCCGCCATGGCCTTCCCATTCACTTTCCACTCTTTCAACGGTCTCAGACACTTGGTTTGGGATTTCGGTAAGGAGTTGACTATCCCTGGTGTCTACAGAACCGGTTACGTTGTGTTGGCTTGTACTGCTGTTTTCGGTACTTACTTGACCTTCTTCTGATGCATTTAGATGTTTAATTTATTATACGAACTACTTGGATATCGCGACCGTATTTGCAACCATTTCTCGTCCGAACAGATACTGCTCCTCTTCTTGAAAATGACCGTCTCTCTTTTGAATGCTATCACTGGCGCCGATAATGAGCCTCTGCGTGATTCCAGGCCTCTGTACTGGCAACAGATGAAGTCCACTGTCTCCAACAGCTATCATAGAACAAGCGCATGGTTTTGGAGCTTTCCGTGGCAGGAGATTCTTCAGTTTTCTTTGTTGACGACGCTTGGCCTATCGTATGGAGTATTCTTCCTTTCCGTTTTCGGTGTGATAGGCTTCCCCTGGTGGGCTGCCACTTATCTTGTCTTATGGCTGGGCTTCTTGTGTGTCTTGAGCTTCTACTAGGTATAGAGCACATATAACACACCTGTCACTGGCCATGGACTATCAGTATAAGTAGGTATATAGTAATGAGTCTTCTTACGTATAGCCACTGTAGACTTGGCAGAGTAGAACTAGTCGAAATCTATGATCGTCAGTGTGGTTCCTTATCTTTTGCAGCCATTTCGCCTGGTACCCATGAACAATGAAGAAGGTTCACAAAACTCAAGGAAAAGCCACTATAATTGCTTGGCCCTGTGAAATTTACCCAATTAATCCCCCTTCATAAAATACATCGTCCTAATCACCTCTTCTCTGCTATCAGTGACAGCCGCATCGGTTCGCTTACTAAGTACTTATGTGCGACTTCATTCCAAATTTCTATCAACTACAATGGATCCCATAGATATAGACCCAAACCTATTCTTGGACCTACCGTGGCTCGTGGTCCGTGAAATTCTATCTTATGTTCCCAAGGAATACATAAGTGAGGCCTTTTTGAAAGTTCCTGGGCTTCGAGAACGCTTAATTGAAGAGTACTACAGTGAGCTACACTTCGTTCTTACGCCGTTGAAGAGACCGCATTCATGTTACTACGACAAGTCTGAGCTTATTGATATCACTAGTTATGGAGAGATTTCGTCTTTCTTGGACGAGAATCCTGACATTGTCCCACAGACAGCGCACATCATGACTTCCATGGATTTCATATCGATGCGGTCCCTCTTGACTGAGTATAGAGAAAGGTTCCTTGAAATTCCCACCTTACATTTTCATATCGAATCTCATCATTTTACAGATGATTGCTTTGAGTTTATCCAGTCATTTCCTAACCTAAAGAAACTTCAGTTATCTGGTCCTATATTGGATGAGGTTAGTGATCTCGCTACAACGTTCGCTCAATTGAAGTCGCTAGAGACTCTTGTTCTCTTAGGCCATGGAATAAAGGACTGGACAGGCATCAAATTGCCCCACAGTTTAAAGCATATTGACATTTCCTGGACAAGTAAATGTAATGTGACAACGATTGACATTCCGCCAAAGGTGGAAGAACTTTACTGGAATGATGCGGGTGTGACACCAGGCAGACTTTCGAGGGTGACATTTCCAACCTCGCTTTCTACGTTCGTCATCACGGAATGTAAGATGGAATCGTTGAAACTATCCGACTTGCCCGCTAGTTTGGAATGCCTTGAGATCTCGCGTGCCCAATTGAAGGAGTTTGTATGGGATGACAAAGCGAACCATTGGCCTCCGGCAATGGAAACTTTGATCTTGAGCCGTAACGGAATCGATGATTCTTCTCTTGATCAACTCAGTCAAACAGCTCTACCACCAGGTTTGAGAATTTTGAAGCTCGATGGAAATCATTTTACCAACTTGTACCGTCTCAAACATTTGCCAGATACCCTCAAGCTGCTCGACATATCTAAAAACCCACTCAAAAGCTTAGAAGATCCTACTAACGATGATGGCTACTTGTTCTATCACTTTCCTCATAGTTTGGAAACTCTTAACATCTCAGAATGCATCCATGTTGGGCCAAGCCGTGCAGACAACGCTTTAATCTTACCCTCGGATAGAATACGATTACCAACGTCACTTATTGAGCTAGATCTCAGTGGGAACTATCTTTATCGATTTGACAATTTTCTTTTCCCGCCATCTTTAAGGAGGCTTTCGTTGATCTGCTCAGGAATACTTAATTTGAGCAAGTATGACTACACTGCTCAGAATGGCCTTCCAAGCTCAGAGCTTCCGGTCGCATGGACAGATCTTAAGAACCTTGTTTCGCTTGATCTTTCAGCAAATCTCATTGGGTCACTCGATGGATGGACTCCTCCGCCCAGACTTGTCCTGCTTGATCTTGCGTCTAACAGAATAAAGCACATATCATCAAGCTCGGCGCTCTTCAACAAAAGCAAGAACAAATCTCTCCAGCATCTCCAGCATCTTAATATTTCCAACAACAGGATAGATTTCATAGACGAGGAGGCACACTTTCCTCCAAACTTGGTTTTCGTCAACTTCGAAAGAAACAACCTTCCCCAATTTACTTTTACTGACGGCACTTTGAACAGCAAAATGCTATGCTCATTAAACTTGGCAGGAAACGATATCCAGCAAATTGAAGTTGCTACTACGAAAAAGGCTTCAATAAAGGAACTTGATTTATCTCTCGCAGGGCGGGAGAGACCTGCTCGTCTGATTCATCCAGATAGCCTTTATGATGTTTTTGAAAAGTTAGGTCTCCACGTCTCCCGAAGAAAAAGAAACACAAGAACATTGCATCAATTCATATAGTTATAGAAATTATGATATTATAGATCATCTGAAAAGTATGCCTATAAAGTAGCGCACTTGAGATATTCCTCTGGGGAATCTTCGAATGTACACATGGCAACCCAAAATGCAATAAAATTTTGTAGGAAGAAGGCTGTAAGGTAACTAATTGCGATTACTTTATTTCTATCGGACTTTTGGTCTGATACAATATATTTGTGATTTAAGACTTGCGTTTAACTTTTTATGGTTTCGCAGTGTCTAAGGAAACTGACAATCTATATGCGAAACATAAGTAAGTTTTCTGAAATACCCCAAAAATATAGTAACCGATGTAATTAGTTTTTCTTCGCTAAAAAGTCCATTGACGGGCATGAATAACTTCTATATAAGAAAAAAAATTATAAAAGCCATTGGCCACAAATAGCGAACAGTAGTGCTGCTACTACGTCTTCATATCTCAATAATAAATATCCTATCATTATATTCGTTACTATATCGTCTAAGTTGTCATTTAGAAATTTTCGGCATCAAAACAAACGCATGGAGTATCATTGGTGCAAAACCCGCAACCCATCTTTCTGGGCTTCTTTTCAGGAACGGGCTTCACATCGTCATGTAAAAGATTCATGAGATCAACAGGCAGATCTGGAATAGTCTCCTCTAATCGACCACGCTCTCCACCTAAAGCATCGTTATTGCTAACTATGTCCACCACAAGGTTGTCTTCAGGATCTAAAGTGTCCATTCGTAAAGGCTGTAAGAGACTTGGGGTGAAATTTTCGGATGCTTCAGGAGTACTTAAACTAGAAGTCTCGGGAGATAAACTGCTTTGAGAACGGCGATCGAGGTAATTGCGGACCTGCCGCAGAACCAGTCCCGATGGCTGGTCGGCCCTACCGACGCCTATGCCATTGATATTGTTGATTCTTTTGGTCACTGAATGAATGACATTCAGTTGAGTGGTCAAGTAGGCAAGGTACTTATCCAAATCGTGAATATTGTTAATATGATCAAACAGTTCAAATGACAGAGGACTCAGCTGCTTTTTGGTCCGCACGTTGTTCTCACTGGTATCGTTGAGCACATCGAACGTGATAACTCCACTTTGAACAAACCTTAATTGCTTGATTTGGTTTGTAAGTACATCAATGTAATTCTTTATGAGTTCCTGCTCCTTCAATCTAGCAAGATAGCTCCTTTGGAGCTCATTCACTTGCATGCCAGGATTTGTGGTAGATGTATTAGGCGCCTGACATTTAGGAGAGCTTGAAGCTGTTACTGAACCCGAAGAGGCCATAGCAGGGGTAACAGCCACTGGGGTACTGCTAGGACTCTTGCTTAACATAGCATGTGGGGAACCACCGCTTACACCGGTGACAGTAGCAGAAGCACCGGAAGCCGATCCAACGCGCCGTTTTGGAAGCGTTGAAGGAGCTTCTGCTGACTTTTCGAGAGGAGCAGGAGCACCATTGGAAGTATCCTCACGTTTCACCTTTGGTTTCTTCTTTGGAGCAGTCTTTTCAGGTCCAGGCGAGCCACCAGCGGTAGGCTTACGACCAGGGCGAGGTCTTGGAGGAAGAACCCACTTTCTGGAGGTGTTGATCAAACTATCATTCTGGAGGAAAGACGCTGGTTTCGTCGATTTTTGGTTATATGTGGGATTAAAGGTGGATTTGGGAGTACCAGCAGGTTTTGGCTTTATAGCGATGGCAGGTTGAATCTTAGCATATTTCGTTGATGCCTGAGCTTGAGGAAGATTAGACAGAACGCCATTATAACCTTGCCCTCGCGGGTTCGGCGAGTCTTCACTATTTATGCTTGTTTGGACAGCCATACTCGTGGAAGCTCGAAGACTCGTGCTAGATTGCATGGGTGTATCCGGCATTTCAGGTGGTATAACTCACACAGATTGATCAGGGGCAAAATGAAGAAACTTGGCTTAGAGACCACTCTGGGTCTAGTATTTTCCGGTTTTATAACGCTTTCTTTGTTCCCCTTATTTACAGGGTATGGTTCTTTGCTGAAGGCAATCCAGTCAGAAAATCCGGGGAGATGGATTTTCAAGAGCCCAGATTCCCACGGTAAACGAAGACGCCAGAGACGCAGAAACTGGCGGCCAAAAGTTCAGTCTTCTACCGGAACCGATTGAAGACTCAAATAAAGCAGGAATATCCTATTGGAAAAGGAAATATGGTGGATCTTGGTTTCAAGAAGAATTTATCAAGCGTTAAACCTCGGAAAGAAGCCGGACACTCTAGGAAGGAGCCGGGACGATTCCCATTGTGCGGTCACGTGCAAAGGATCAGGTCAGTGAGACGGTGGACAAACAAGGGCATTAACCAGATGGCTCGCGTAAGGGTGTTGATGCAGGAACCTAAAACAAAACATACTTGGAACACTGTTGTTGTGGGGCTAAGATAGCTAGAAGAGATATCTGGGTATTACGAGAATAGATCAAGTTGATTAAGTTGCTCCATTAGTTGCTGTTACGTTTCTCTAGTTTCGTTCGTTGCAGCAGACCATTCTCAATCATGTCCAAGGAGGAACAGTTAGCAGAGCTCAATGAACAAGCAGCATTGCTTCATTCAAATTTGACCGAGTTCGATAAGTTGTTGAAAGAGACGGCAAGACAGTACGAGTCCATTCAGAGTTTGGGCGTGATGCATGGTGCTTTCTTTATGGCCAGTCACACTGTGTTTGGAAGCCACTACTATGATACCAAAGAGAAGTCCTAATGGGAGGAAGGAGTAATACCAACTATTGATTCGCTGGTGCTTCGCCTTGTAAGGCTGCTGACTTATTGGTACGCTTCTGAGAAGCTCAAACAGACTACCATCGACTACGCGTTCATGTATCGGTGTCCATGTATCACTGATCTATTTACAAATAATGCCTAGAGCCACTCTACTTTTGAGCTTCCTTATCCCGAAGCTCCTTGGCTTCTTGCAAGCGCTGCCTATACAACTTTTGCTTGACTCGTTTTTCTGCTATAAGTATATCTCTTTCTTCGTCGAGATACTCCATCTTTTGATAACTGCCGACGCAGTCTAACGAACGTTTGTTGGCTGCTTCACAGTTTTTCATGGCGTCCATGGGGTTTTCGTAACTGTTGGAGCATTCCACGTATGCCTTGATCAAATCATCGCATCTGGCAAAAGCCTTCTTTCTCCATCTCTCAAAAATGACCTGCTCCTCCTTTGGGGTTAAAATCCAAGCAGGCATATTTGGGTTGGTGGGGAGGTCCACCCCGTCATATGGCTTTTTACTCATGTGTGCTTTGGTTACTTTGAGAGAACATTATCAAGGGACATCAGAAGTGGGAAAAGAGAGCCAAGTATGCAGGAGATACTCCATTGGCCCGCCAAAACCGGGACAACAAAGGCGTATACTGCCAACAAGAGGGTGAAAGGGAGGAAACAAAAGCAAAGCACTGTATTTATTATTTATGACTAACTTCCATAGCGCCTGTTGCATCTTATTTTGACATATTAGAGGCGGTACGAGCCACGAAGTGCATTAAGCGAGGCATTCTGAATGACTTAAACACATAAAATGAAGAAACGAAAAACTCTCCAAAAATGCAATCGATAATAAAGCATCATTATTCATGTAGAAGTACTGGTCTTCTCTTCCTTAGCTGGTGGTGCTCTAGTTGTGGGGCAAGGGTATACCATAGTGAGCGCGAAATCAAAACAAACCACTACCAGAACTATCATCACCTACATTTACATACTGTAATCATTAATCCAAGATGCTAGGAAGCCAACCTCAAGAGCTTATTTATTCCACGATAGAAAACTTCGAAACTGAGCCTGATATTACCAGTTTATCAAGGATATCTGAGACAATCGTCAAGACCGAGGAGAAACGCAATGCCAAACTTGATCGTCTACAAAAGGGCATCACAGCACTCGAAGAACAATTGGCAGAAGCAAAAAGCAAACTTGAAAGTCTAAATCAGCCAAGCGATGCATTCAAAGAGCAAGTCAGCGGGTTGGGAAAGAGTCCTCTAGATCCAAACGAAAACACCTTCCAACTAATAAACACCAAATCTGGAGAACTCGACTCCATGAAGGTGACATTGGCTAAGCAACTTACAGATATTGAATCACAAATCAATCAATTACACATGACGAAGATGAACCTTACGAAGCAAAAGGACGAATTTCTCCAGCAGAAGGAACAGGCACTTGCCGTGTCAGTGGCAGAAAACCATAACTCATCAAGCATGAAAATAAGCCTATTTAGAAGCCTAGGGGTACATGTTGACTCAGCAGAGAAAAGTGACAAGATAGTGATCTTTGACGAGAAGAAGAACCAGACTTCGGTGCTAGATGTGGATGAGAAGTATTCTGATTACTTCATCTCCAACTACATTTGGGAACGACTCGGAACGTAAACGTTTAATGCTATATACATAATGGAAATGACAAAAGGGGCATGAATCTAGAAGTATTTGGGGTGGTCTCTGAAAGACTTCTTTGTCCATTTTGGAACAAAGTGAACGGACTTTCTGTAGCCACGGACCTTCTTGTCAAATGCCGTGTACTTGTCCTTGGTGAGCATCTCATTCTCCTTAGGGAAGTCAAATTTCAAGGCGTCGATCTTCTTGTAGCCAGTGGATGCAGAGTTCTCTTGTTTCAAGGATTGGTAGAGAACCTCGATGTTACGGTCCACAAGCTGCATACGTCTTCTGAGTCTCTGCTTCTGGGGCTGTGAAAGTCTAGGGGCTTTCTTCCACAAGTAGCCACCGTAGGCGACAAGCGTGGATCTGAAGGCACCGAACATTGGATGGTTGTATTAAGGTGAAGGTTGCAATGAATTTTTCTATAGCGCGGTCGTGCATCGACAGGATTTTGATTGAGTAGTAGAGGACCTAGTAAAGACGATGAAGAGTGCCAAAAAGATGAAAAAGTGAATAAAAGAAAGAGAAATAGAAAGTCAAGAAAAGCCCTAAAAGAGATGTTTATCTTATAAATATAACTTTTAGGTTTTTGGCTGAGTGTTTCTTACATGTTCTGTCAAGAGTACATAGTACAGACAATGCTGCGAAAATGGGTGCAAAATTGTTCCAAACGTAAAGAACCTACCACGGAAGAAGTACAAGATACCGTATTTATCGAAGTTTGACGATCTAAAGATGTCCTTTAGTTGGGAATCAAATCCTTCAAGAACTTTGGGGATGTGAAACTCTTTTTCTTAACAGACTTCTTTGGAGATCTCAGGTTATACTCTTCCCAGATCTTGTAACACCAAGAGGATTTGAATGGCTTAACGAAGAATCCTTGAAACTCTGCTCTCGTAAGGGCTCCGAAGAAATCAGTCCATATAGGACGCCTTGAACGCCCATTAGCCGTGCACGCCAGGGTCAACCTCGTATTTGAACGGAGCCTCACCCGCCCAAGGAATATCGATGCATCTATTCGTATGCATCTACATAACTTTAAAAAGAGTTGTCTATTTAACTATATACGAAAATACGTTGAAACGTTCGTTTTTCTTACCTGTGTTCTCGGTTCGACCGAGACCTCTATTAACCTATACCGTAACCCAATAATAATGCTATATAAATGTTTTTGAGTTTTTTTTTTTGTCATTAACATTTTTCATTTTTTTTTGATTGAAAATATTCATTTTTTTATGATTTTTTTCTTTGATATTTTTCGTCATTGCAGATATTTTTTTGCTTCGTGAATTTTCCATAATGAGCTTGCTCATTACAAAACGCCCAACCACAAACGATAGTTGTGAGACGTAGAGGCCAAAGGTCCCAACAGAGGAGCCTGGCTGACCGAATAATTTAGGTTAAAGTCTCTCACATCTGAATCCTTAACATCCAGAGCCAATAGTAAAGGCGAGTTATTAAGCTCTTGCGTAGTTAGAGTGCTGCCCACATCCAGGCCAGAGTCAGACAGTGGCTGATACAAGGACGGCGTGAGCAAAGGAGAAACAATGTCCGCCAGGTTCAAAGAAGAGGCTTGTGGATGTTCATCTCTTTCACGACAAGATTCGGAGCAGTAGACCGAGTGTGGTGAACACAACTGGTCACAGGCAATGCAATAGTTGTTGAAGGCGTCAGACATGGTGAAAAATGCAAGTATAAAATAGGGTTGCTAAAAAAAGAGCTTAGTCTCTTAGCGATGATTCTTTAGGAGGCGGTGGAAGGTGCCTTGCAAGGATAAAAGTAGTAGAAATGTAAAAAAATCCTCTTGGAAGAAGAAGTTTTCCTTTTTTCTTTTCTCTGGTTGATTTTTTTTAGATGAGTGAAAATGTGGCAGGTGTGGATCGTTTTATATGAATAGCAAATATTACAGCGGGGTCTGTTCTAGATGGGAAAATTGCGCCTACAGTGACACACTGCGCATGTTCGAGGGGACGCCGAGGGTGCATGGGGATGCGTGGGAGGGCACGATCCGGGGGCAGGTGTTTCGGGCTTTCCGAGGGTGAGGAAAAAATATAAAAAAAATAAAAAAAAAAAAAAAAAAGAAAGAAAGATCAGTACCGGGGGCACCAAGACCAGCAATCCAGCGCAAAATAAACACAAACCACAGTTTTGAAAGGGTTCCCGGTCCAGCGGGATACTATGTGGGGAGGCTTTTTTTAACTATACGGTTCCCATTCTTCAGCCGGCAAAGGTGTGTTCTCCGCATGATGGCTGCTCGCGTGGAACGCTGAGTTCCGGTCTATTGTGGGCCCAGTGGGCCTGTCTCCAGCCCTCGGTTTTGGGGCTTGCTCGGAGTGACTCAGGCCCGAATTAACATGCCCCGACTTTCGGGGGTCGAGAAAGATTGGCCTCTAATTGTACCCTGGCACGTGCCCCATAGTTACCATCCCAAACCCACCAACCTCTGACTAACAACCCTAGTTTTAACCTACATCTATCTCTCTTTAGCGACATTACATGCTTTTTGCCCTTGGTTTTGCCACTGAGACTGTGGGCTGTTCATGTAATTAGAGCCGCACGTGATCCGCTTCGAGCTCCCCCCCCAAAAAAAATATGGCCAGATGGTCCAGGCTCAGCAATGCTAAGCGACATCCTTTTGCAGCCATTGACATGCTGCCGCCTGAAACCCTAAATGTTTCGAAATAGGTACCACTTTCACCCCAACCATGCTGGCCATCTAGCCTTCTTGGCTTCTCCTTTTCCATCTCTCCCATCTTATGTGTACCACTAGCCACTCCTTTGGGATAATCTTGTCTCAGCTTTAGCCGCCATATCATTACCTGTTGTGCAGCCCACGAGGTTGCTACCACGTTCGTGAAGAAAGTTTCCCAAAGAGATACAAAACACGGTACACTATTTTAATACTAGTATCTAGATTTCTGACTTTTTTGTGTTTTTTTGCTACTTCTTCTATCATCAACACGTTGACTGCCATGTGGTGCGAGTCAAAGTGAAAAAGTACGCCTTTGGACTCCCGCTCGCCAAGCTACCCACAGTGGATTTGCTTGAGCACACAAAAACTCGAGCCCAAGATAGAAAAAAAGAGAGCCTCTGGGGCTCGAGCCCCACAAAGCACCAGGCGTCCAGACCCTTTCCTTAAACCCCTTATGTCTGTTTGCCGACTTTTATACTTCTCCTTTTCCTTCACCTACTTCTCTACTATCTAGAACCAGTCGGGTAGTATTAGGTTCTGGGTATTTAGGACCCACAAGGGCCCCTCGGAAATCGTTGGCCTCGTCCGGTACAAAGCATTCACCCACGAGGTTTCATAGTGGAGGTGGTGTGTGTGTGTCCCTTTGTCTAGTCTGATGTTGGGCGCACCAGCAGCACCTACCCCCCGGTAATACCCTCGGTAGGCCTGTCGAAACACCCTCGGGACTGCATCCCCCTGCCCGCCACCCCCAACCCTCGAAACACTCACCAACCCCCGGATATCTTTCACAGCCTGTCGATTCTTCGAGAAAATTTTCCACTCATCTCCTCCCACGATTGCTCCTGTGTGCATGCCCACACTCCACATTTTCTCTTCACCACTCTCCCTAATACGGAAATCATATCAAACTAAGCCCTACCTTGGATATATGGGCCCCTATTGATTTAACCTTTCTGTCAACCGTAACCAGGGAGGTTCAGGAGACGGAGAAAACCCAAAGCCTGCTTGTGACTGCTTTTCGTCTTGATCTTTTTAGCTGCTTCTTTTTCGTATCATTCATCGCTTTCAAGACTACCGCTATGCTTAAAGTTGCGAATTTCTCGTGATTATGTCTTTGTTTGTATTTCGACTGTGGTTTTTTTTTTTTTTTTTTTTTTTTTTTTTTTTCTCTTGCAGAACGCGTAGCAGATCAAAGAGATAAAAGTCTCCAGTTCTCTCCACTCCTCTACTCTCCTCATATATAAGCCTCCAAACCTGTACACCCACACTATCCACCCCACAGTCAACCACAAATCATTCCCATCTCTTCTCCAGGTCACTCTCACCTCTCATGCTCTCAACCAGGCGTCACTTGTCCTGCAAAGCAAGGGTAAACTGGTGTTTGGTGCTTTTGCGGCGGAAGTAGCGGCATCGGCACCGCAACACCACCATTTCTCAAAGTTTGCTGATCCGTCCTGTAAACAACTGTTTCAAAGTAGGGTCCCCTGGACCGAGGAAGGGAACCGGTCGCTTGACACATAAACATACGACATACAAATGGCTTTGCTGTAGCAACACAGGGTTTTCAGGCACGTTTCAGAATATGTGCCCTCGGGTCTGGATTAGGGCAATCCAAGACTCAAGGTCGGTATAGTGGTGGTTGACTGTGTTTCGTCACCTGTGGCGCATTACAGCACCTATTGTCGAGGTGGGCTACTCTAATTCTTGACTCGTTTACGTCACCGCAATGCCGTACATGTGAAGAACCGCCCTTCACCAGCCACAAGCCCCAAGGCCCAAGGCACAAAAACATAAATGGACACTTGTTGATTTGGAGACTTTGTGGGGCGGGCAGTGGATGTTTACACTCGGGGTGGTCCAATTCTTAGGTACTTAACTTTCACAAGGCCATTTCGCAGCCATCGGGAAGCGAGGATTTTCTTGGATTTGCCAGAGAAGCTTTTTTGGCAGATCAATGGATTTACTGACGTTCCCTCGGATATCAGTTTTTGACAGTGAAAAGCTTTTTAGATGGGTTTTGTGAATAGGAGACCGGTACCGGGTCCCCGTTAACGGACTCTTTTGGTCTGATCTTTGCAACCTAGGCAGTGCTTCGTTTGACTGCTTCCAGAAGCACGAGCAACAAAGAAGAGATTTTCTTGTACGGCTAAGTGATTCTTTTGACGAGTAGAAGGGTTGGGAGGTCAAAGTGTAACTACGGGGTTTAGCGGACGAAAACATCGTATTCGGCCAACGCTGGGGAAAGAAGATGACGTAACAGAAGCTTCTTCACTCTGGCCCTGCTTTACCTTTTGACCCGGTGTGGTTTGCGCTAAGACGATTCAAACTCTATACATTGTACATTACCATCAAGCACAGCCTTGTGTTTATGAGATAAAACCTTATCCAGAGCTTGTACTTACTGCTTTGGTCCCTTTATTATCATAACAGAGGGCCTGCAACTCCTTCGGAAGGCTTGCAACTCCTTTGGTAGACTTGCGACTCCTTTGGTCGTCACTTGGCACTACCTACCCTTGTAAGGCACTAGGCACCTCTCGCTTACTCTCAATCCACAAAATCCTATAATACATTATACCCCCTTGTAGTCATACTTGAGACCATCCAATTCCTTGACATTACCCTTGATGTCTGTGTGCCATTTCCTCAACAAGAACACCATGATCAAATTACCCACTGGAACAATGCAATACATATTCTTGAAACCCAGCTGTCGAGCAGCATTACCGAGTTGAAGCAATAGAAGAGCATTCAACACGTTCACCCCATGATAAGAAAGCACATAGCGTGCCACTTGTGCAACATTACGGTTCCAGTCTCTCAGTATGAGCCTTCGCAGAACATGGTCCCCAATAGCACTAACATCATATAGTAGGTTGAGCAAGGAAAGAATTGAACTCAACACTATAAGTATCGTAAAGAGTGTCTTGTCTCTTTTCAGGTCTGCTGTCTTGGTCAACCATAGTAGAATGGGAAGTTCAACGACCACAGACAACGCAAGTACTCTGGTATAAAGAGTAAGGTTCTCGTCATTTTTTTGCCTCAATTGAGATATCAATAGCTCTTGGTCTTCTGTATCGATGGGCTCATTCTGTTCTAGAATGGCTCGGTCCACCTTTCTTAATCGTGACATAAAGAGATGATGGAGGTGTTATACGTTTAGAGGTGGTGCACGGGTGGGATCAGTAAAGGGTTGGAGTATTGGATCTACAACTCGAAGGAACTGGATCTTCTGGTCATTCGAGAATATTTTTTATATAGAGAGTTTAAAGATTGACAAAAAGAAAGGTTATATCATTTGGGGGCATTTCCTCGACCAGTGTAGAAATCGGTATGTTGGTACCTTGAAGGGGCTCCAATGGGTAGCGAGTGGCATGTCTGGGAGAGATGACTCTTCATTCCATGAACAGTTGGATTCTTTTAGGCTTCTCAAAGGATATCTGGTTCAATTTGGTGACTGGAGCTCTAAAAATCTGTCACAGGGTGAAGGTTCACCTGGTGATTGAAAACCGGGTGGAGCTCCGCAAGACTTGGTAACAGTTGATTGATAACTGCGGGGCAATTGACAACAGAAATTGAAGCAAATGAGATCAATTGGTTGATGGAAGTCATAGAGGAAGGGCCAATAGGGTATGAGAATTCGAAGGGGGTTGGAATTTGCCTTACCAAAGGTCCCATTCCAATATGCTCAAAGGACTATTCTTACAAGACCCTCGCTAACAGTAACCCGATCTGGTCGATTCAGCCCCCGTTGAAACTGTTATCTTTGTTGCTGAGGGGTTGTAGGGGCACATTCCTGATCTAATTGGTCCATTTTGGGTTGATTTATTCATCAACCACAATAAAATTTTACAAGGGAAGGTAAAAGCCAACCAATGAAATTTCTTCTTGCTCCAACAATACCCTAAAATGAATAATTGGAGTTTAATTCAATAAAGAAGCCCACTTCGAAGGGTATTCGAATGGCGCCGTTGCAATAGTTGCCGACATGTGATGAGTATTTGACAAATCGAGTCAGAACATTCCACTGGTGAGTTTTTCACGAAAGCTAATCAAGAAAAGCCATCCTCAATTGTGGAACGTTTTCATCGATTGAGTTTGACGTTGATTGGATCGTCAACATTACCCACAAGTCGTCTTTACCAAGCGGCTCTGCTCTCAAAATCGGAATTTTACCGTAATCAACGGGCGATTGCGGCAAAGCGCCCACATCTATCGTAAATCCCCGCTGTATAGACTAAAAATGTGATTGTCCTTTTGTGTAACAGTAAAGATCAACCTCCCCGAGACTTATCGGAGGAAGATCCTTAAACAGAATGTATCAATGAAAAGACAAGATCGCAAATGGCTCTCATTGGTGGCATTCCACTACTGACGAAGGCATTGAATGGCATGATTCAAGCAGAGCATCAATTAAACCGACAATTTATTCTTGTTGGGCAAAGTGAAGGCATAACCGAGAGTAATGGAATGTGGAGTGACAAAGACGAAAAAAAAAGAGAAGCCCCACAACCGCCCACATGCTACCAAGACGAAGCCCAAACTACCAAAAACTACCGAAAAGAAACCGAGACCGACCAGGCCAAAAATAAGGTTTTGGTATTGACTAAATCGAGCCAGCATCGTTATCTGTTTGGAAGCCGCCAGCGGCAGTGACGGGTCTAGAATTTTTTTCGTCTTTTTAGGCTCTGCAAGAGAGACTAACAGGGCTAAACAGGTCCAGACGGGGCCAGAACAAGCACAAAAACCGGCACCAGTAACCCAAAATGAAAGATGCACTAATCAAGCAAACATATTACACGAGGAATTCACCGAATGAACAGGGGAAAAGGCAATACAAGACGAAGAGAATGGGTAGTGCCGTTCAATTAGCCTTAGCCTTGTTTAAACAAGTATGTGAAAAAAAAGGGAAAAAATGAGAGATTCGCCTTATTGTGATGCTTTGTCCGCGTTGTTCCGCCCAGGGCTTATAAGCTTAGCATTCTCCAATGGTTAGCCTTGGTTTAAGATCCATAGAGAAGAGAAGGCGTAAAAGCAGGCTTAGCCGTGGTGTGAATTTTTCAGTTCTGGTTTTCACCTTTCACTCTTCGGCACTAGCCGGTAAGTAGCCGCTAAGTCAAGAGAGGAAAATAGCATGCTTTCAAAAAAGTCGGTACAAAAAGCTAGATCATGTCAGACTGCGGCTGCCTACGAAAAGGGAAGATGTGTTGACGAATTGGGCGCTGTGCGGTTTTTCGGCTGCTTCTAAAATAGACGGTGATAAGTAGCCGGCGGCACTACTTCCCATCCACAAGAGCTCTTTCAAAGAATAAAGATGGAAATAGAGATTCTCTTGGATAATGAAAGAGGGTTTCCACTTACCCCTATTGAAACTCTCTCTCCAACTTTTTTCCAAGAGAGAGGGGGTCTTTCGTGTTGTTTAGCGAAAAAAGTAGTATTGTACCTGCATGCGCCACAGCTGTTTTTCTGTATTCTATATCTCGAAGTCTATCTCCTCTGCGTTCTCCTGCACGTACTGCCGTGCCTTTCCCATTCTAGAGCCAAGGTGTTTATGAGATCCCCAGTTTGGGCGTAGGGGAAATTTCTTCAAAATGTCAAGCCTAACCTGCCATATGGGAATGCCCCTTGTCAATCCAATTCTGCATCGCTTGCCCCGGCTCTAAGCGAAACTTACATACTGTTGCCATTCCCCTGTGATACTCTTCAAATACCAATAGACTGCATACAAGCACTGCACCTTTGGATGCGATACGCGTTTTTCCTAGCGTCTCGCCGCCGCTCCTTCTCTCTTTTTCACCTGCATAGCCTGCGATTTGCCCTTTCGCACCACAGTACTCTTGTCTTTTTTCGCCAGTGACATTCTCCTTGTACTGAAAAAAACCCTTACGAGGTCGGGAATGTGCAGTACCGCGACCTTATATGCCGTATTTTATAGACAAAACGAAGGTTTTTTAATATTTTTTTTGGTCTCTGAATAGTGAAAACAGACGGTGCAGACGAACAAAAAAAAAAAAAAAGGCCCTTACTTCTCACTTCCGTGCCGTCTCCTCTCCTTCTTTTTTAAGGCCCGTGTTCCCCCCAAACAGAAAAAAGCGAAGTCACCTAAATTCGAGGACAAACCCCCATTACTACTTTTTTTTGTCTTCTTAACTACAACAACAACCCAGGTCAAGGTTATTTTTTTCAATAATAATAGAAAAAAAGAAAAGAAGGGGACCTGAAGTTTAAAAGCGAAGAATTAGCCGTCTTTCGTTAGAAACTTATTTTTACTACTTCGCCCTTTTTTTGTTGTTGATAAGTCCATTGGAATCCTACTGGAATAAGAAAACGACTTTTACCGTCGGCTAAAAATATTTTAAAAAGAAGAAGAACCCCATCCACTCGCTCAGGCCGTCCCAGGTCTTGAACTTTACTTCTTGCACAAGTTTTGCTTGTTTGACTTTTATTCCCTTTTTTATTTTTGATATCCATTTTCCAATTATTTGATCTAACCCAAGTCCTTCTTTAAACGAAATGAAATCTGCTTTTATCCTTCCCATCTTCCTTGCCTTGGCTTCTGCTGCCGAGGATAGACATGATGGTGACAGAAACGGTGGTGCCAGAGGTGGTAACAGTTATTTTAACAACTACTGGAACTCCATAGTAAACGGCGCCCAGAGAGGTAACAATAGGGATGTTGTACCTGGCCAAGCTTCGCTGAGCTCTTCACTGAGTTCTTCGCTGGCTTCCCCTACTCCATCCGTGGCTCCTACGCCCTCTTCTCCAGGCAACCCATTCATGGACTGGACGTCTTTCGTCCCAGATCCTTCTACGTGGTTCAGCCCGGATGCAGAGAGTCAGCCTGAGCCTTCGTCTCAGCCGCCTCCTGACTCGAGACCAACTTCTAGCTCCAGCTCTAGTCCAAGCCCAAGCCCAAGTCCCAGACCAAGCCCAAGCTCCAGCTCCAGCTCTAGTTCGTCTCCAGCTCCAGGTCCAACACCCTCTACTTCCACTCCATCAACTTCCAGTTCTGCTGCTCCAACTCCTTCCACTCCTTCTCAAGCAGAACCTGAACCCAAGGCATCTTCCAGCTCCAGCTCTAGCGTTACTCCTACGCCTAGCCCAGAACCAACTCCAACCACTAGTTCCAGCTCTAGTTCTGTTCCTAGCTCCAGCTCCAGCTCCAACAGCCCTTCACCACCAACATCGTCATCGTCATCTACTTTCAGTACGGTGGCTCCAAGTCAGGCACAGTTGGACAGCGAGTCGCTGTCGACACCTCCTCCAGCTTCATCAGCTCCAGCATCCTCGTCATCGCAGTCCTCTCTGTCGGCTCCAAAAGAGCAGCCTCCACTGAGTCAATCCTCCTCATCACTGGTGGCACCTCTGTCATCCGCTGTGCCAACCTCTGAGACTTCCACTTTAACTCCATCAGAGGCTGCTCCTCAACCATCTTCTCAACAGAGCCCTCTGGCATCGGTGCAACCATCATCGGAGTCTTCCTCCTCGGAAAGCTCTTCGTCGTTATCACCAACACCAGTGACGTCGACTGCGTCACCAACGCCAGATACGTCGACACCTTCGTCTACTCAGTTATCTTCTCCAACACAGGAAAAAATTTCGGAGAATCCAGAGACTTCTAGTGAGCATGTTTCGGAGTTACCTCCACCAGAGTCATCTTCAATTGAAGAAGTTACTACTTCCTCTTCCCCTACTCCTTCTCCAGAGCCAAGCACGTCTGAACTTTTTGGAAACCCACTGACTGAATCGTCAGAAGTTCCCGAACCGGATACTACTCCAACTACTAGCCTGTTCTCGGAGATCGAGAGCCTGACAGTCGAGGAAAGTCAGACTTCGCTGGATAGTATTCCACCACCACCACCCACGGAAAGTAGCTCTGATGCGTATCGTCCGCTTCCAGCATCTACTGAGTCGGAACCTGAAGAGAGCACGGTCCAGCCAACATCCGACTACCCTGACGAATCTACGTTGTCTCCATCGCCTAACCCGGAACCAACAACCAGCAGCATTGACGCCGCTACCCAGACTACCTCAACTGAGGAGCCAAGTGTCCCAGAGTCGCTGACATATGTTCCAAGCCCCAGTGCGTACGAGACATCGTCATCTCCAGTCCAGGGTCCAATTGAATCAGAGTTCCCTCCTCTGCTGCCTGTTCTGGAGATCTCGACATCTTCTACGGAAACCAGTTCGCCTGTCATCATTAGTCCTTCGAGCTCTGATGAGCAGTCGACCTTCTCCGAGCCCCCTGTGGTTACTTCGTCATCTCCTGTCAGTACTGAACCCGAAACCACAGCACTCCCAGAGTCCAGCTGGTCTGAACCGATTGCTAGTGAGCCACTCACGAGTCTGACGCCTGTCGTTCCTGAAACCACCACCTCATCGGAGTGGCCTTTGGAAGAGTCTTCCACTATCCTGCTGGCTACTCCAGCTATTGTTACCACATCCAGTGTTGAATCGCTGCCGGAAGTTGTCCCTACTCTGTCTCCAGAGCAGTCAACTTTCGAAGAGGTAACACTGGTTGTTTCTGAATCGTCAAGCGCAGCTCAAGCATATTTGACCACTACGCCTTCAAGTTCTCCTGTTCCTGTTTCATCATTGACGTCGGAGGAATCTCCAATTGCCACACAGCCGCTGGAGGTGACGGAGGCACTGACTGTTTGGAGTCTGGCTCCATCTGAGGAATCGTCTTTCGTTCCGGTGGCATCAAGTCCCGTCTCTCAGTCGCCAGTCTCTCAGTCGCCAGTCTCGCAATCACCAACATTCCAGACCGAGTCGTCGCAAGTGGTACCTACCACTGCTTCCGCACCATCCTCCGGTGTTGTGCAACAGTCAGCTGTACCAGAACCATCGACCGAGTCTGCTATAAGTGCTGTCGAGCCTACTCCTGCGCCTTCTTCTCCGGCGGAAACTGAACCTGCTGCAACAGAGGAACCTGCTCCATCATCAACCAAGAATTGGTTGCCAACGCAGATCGTAGCAGAATCGACTTCCACCAGTGGAGAAAGCATAGCTGCTGCAACTACTGCCGCAACTAAGACATCTGGCTTACCAAAGGCTATCACTCCAGCCCAGACTGCATCTCCAGGTAAAGAGTACTCTCTTATCTACATTGGTTTCAAGGAGAGCTTGAACTATCCTTTCGTTGTTGAGAATTCTTTATCATCGGCGCAGATTTTTGAGTATCTTCCAAGGGTATTGCAATTCCCATTCGGGGACAAAAAGGAGTACAAGGACACCATTGTCAGTAGTTTGGTGCCTTACCATGCTGACGGTATTGAGTATGCAATTACTGTTGCGGAGGTCTACTTCCCAGCTAATGCTGTTGATGCTTTGTCCCAACTTGTATTGGATGATAACTCGAAGTTGTACAGAAATCCTGATGACACCGAGGCCAAGTTGGCCTCATTGATCGACAAGAGAATCCCAATCGTTGGTTTGAACACTGGTGACGGGTCCTCTCTGAGCAGCAGTGACCTGAACAATGGCTCATACGATTCATCGAATAATCCCGTGAAGAATAAGGGCACAATTGCTGGTGTTGCCACTGGTGCCGCATTGGGATCCATTATTTACATGTCATTAATGGTTCTCTTATTCAAGAAGTACAAGAAGAAGAGAGCTCTTCAGCTTCCTCCATCTGATAATGAAAGCTCCTTGGACTGGAGTTCTCAGGAAGATTCTGGTGTCCCATCGAATTCCAATGGCACTAATTCAACCAGGCCTGAGATCTCTGAACCTGTGAATGCGTTCAACTCTCTAGGTTGGTCAACAAACTAGATGTCCGCATACACCAATGTACTGCGTTCTGAACTTTACTAGAAGCTGCGCAGGTCTTCATTCGTTACCTTTTAAAGATATCCACTTTCGTTATACACTTTGACTGTGTTCAAAAACATATTATACACTTGTACGAACTTATGTTATATACCACATTTTTGAAATGAAACAATTTCTGAAAAGATTTCAAGTAGTGCTAAATAAGAAGAAATTTATGGATTTCTTCCACAACAACGAGCGAATCGTCATCAAGAGTCTCCTGTAACTCGGCTATCAAGCTTTCCTTCTCAGAAAGATTGTTTTCAACGAGAAAGTCATAAATGAAGTCAATCAAAATCTCCTCCTTAACTCCCAAATATTCCTCGATAAGATCACTAATTTTTTTCTTCAAAGAAGAAAGCTTATCTGACAGAAGCTCCAGAACCACAAGACTAGACCCGTTTGACTCAGTAGCAACAGTTTCAGTAACCTTCTTAGTAGATGGAGCTGGTGTTTGAACCTCCTTCTCTTCTTCCTGAGCATCCTCTTTATCGAGTTGTTCTTCCTTGGTTCTTTCGAAATTTCTAACTCGTAGATACTCCGCGTGATCATTATAGTATAGTTGAACCTTGGATGAGAGAATTGGATTGATCTTTGGCATGTCAAGATCCAGAAACAGCTTGAACTCCTCCATGTACGAGAACTTGTTGTCCACCAAATTGTCTTCGTACTCTTGGACAGCTTTAAGCTGTTGTAACAAGTTTGACATTTCATGTTCCTCAAGGTATTTCATCCTGTCCTGTTTCTTCAGATATGCCGCATCCTCTTGTCTGGATTGCTCGTCTTGAATATACTTGGCGTAATCCTCCTCGGTCATCTTGTCAGTTTCCAGCTCTTCTTCATCGGCTTGCTCGTCTGTCTCATGTTCCCCAGATGGGGTCTCTGCAAGAGAGCCAGATTCTTTGATACCTTGGAAAATGCTCGTAAGTTTTGCTTTAGCTTTACGTCTTTCGACCTCGAGCTCCTTCTTTCTGGCCTCTTTTTCAATTGTAAGCACCCTAGAGCGGAACCTAACAATATCTCCCACGATCTTGTCTCTCATTTCCTTTGGAATATCCACCAAGTCAGCATTGTCAACTTTATATGTGCTGTAATGTTGCATGACCTTGTCAAGATCCTCAGTGCCCGTTTTGTTGACATTTTTACCATAATTCTTCCTGTTCGCTATGATATTGGAAACCTCAGATAATGCTGTCTCGATCTTGGTCTCATCAAAACCAGTGCCTGAAGCCTGCTCAACCTGGCTAGAGACATCAACTTTGAAAACTTCGTTAAACCTGGGAAGAACTTCAATAAAAATTGTGGCTAGCTGGATATTTGAAAAGCGTACGAATACATTGTTTGACCCAGCCAAGTCGCCCTCTGCTAGTTCTGTCCATAGAAACAGGCCCTTAGCTGGAGCCACAGATACAATTATCTCTAGAACCTTTTCCATGGCATTCTTTCGTAGTGTAGGACAGTTGTGGAGAGCAACAGTAGCTTTCTGCTGCTGTTTGTTCTGGGGTAGAAGTTTATCAAGACTCACGTAGAGCTTCAGTGGTTGCTCGACTGCCTCGTTGACCTTGACACTCGCCTTGGAAGAATCAGTGGCTTCATTTGTACCGTTTGCAGTAGCAGGTGGCTTTCGTAGTTTTTGTTCTTCGAGGATCGCCTCGACATCGACATCTCCAAAGACTGGAATTCTTATTAGAGGCTCCACATTCGTGTACTCTGGTCTTTTATAGCCTTTAAGCTTGCTTATTATATGATCATTTTGATATACATCGACCGGATACGGTTCGACAATGCGGAATTTCATATGGCTTAGCTGCTAGATGGGAATGGGATTAGTAGTAACTCAGGAAGAGTAGTTGATGGTGATGCCCATATGCACGCGCCAGCCAAGTTACCTATCAATTCCATGCAACATGAAGCTAAACTGTCTAAAAATTTTAATCTTATAATATTACACTTATTAAGATGATTTAATAAAATATTAATAGTAAATAATATTAGCCATAATTGCCCTATACATGCCCTTTATGGCGCCTGGAATGGTTGCAAAATGTACTGGTGCGAACAAACATCATACTCCAGAAACACACTTCTACTGAATATTCCACATAACTTTATGGCTGATGTACCAGAAATTCCTGCTGATTTAGGCAGCTTGGGAGCAGAGTCTAATGGATTTGGAGCTCTCCCAGGCGTCAATCTGCTGAAACTGTCTAAAGCGAAAGACCTGTGGAAGAAGACATCAAGCCATCCACGGGAATCCAACAGCATAACAGAGTGGAATGAAATAATACGAAAGGCTGAAGAGAAATGGGATACATTTGAAGGTCCAGAAGATCAACGTGCTAAGCTTGCAGCTTCTGCTACGAGTATTCATAGACAACTACTTTCGAGGTTTCCTTTCCTCACAGAGCAATGGAAACAGTTCCTGATATTCACATACAAGGTCAGTGGCCTCAAAGATTCTCTTGCTGTGCTTGAACTTGCAAGTAAGAAGTTTCCTCAGAGTGTGTCTCTTTGGGTGGAGTATCTCACGGCCCTTATAAGTGCTGGTGATGAGTTCTCGGACAGCCATAACATCGATAGAGAATTCGCCAGGGCCAAGGGCCATATTGGCTATCACTTTAACTCAGATCCATTCTGGGACATGTACATTGCACATACATCGAAGAAAGATGATCCCAAAGATCTTTTGGAACTATATCTTTACCTTATACATGTTCCGTTGTACCAATATGCCCGTTATCATAATCAGTTCGTGGATATCAACAAGACTTTCGATGTGAGTGAAATAATACGTGACGAAAGTCGTTTATCAGAACTTCTCAAGTCATTTGACAAGGCTTCAGTTGACGAGTTGTCTGCTCTAGAGAAGCAGCAGTTGATTGATGACTACACGAATAGCATTTTTGCTGAAACTCAAGCGCAAGTTAACGAAAAGTGGACTTTTGAATCTGCGTTGGTGGTTCAAGATTTTCTGCCTAATGCTGCCACTGATCCAAAACCTTGGCTCGACTACTTGAAGCACGAACTTGAAGCCTTAAAATCTGCATCTGATGAAAGCCAGAAAAAGCGTCAGGTTGTTAGCATTACAAACCTTTTTGAACGTTCTGTGGTCCCAAATTGCTTTACCAGTGCGATTTGGCTTGAGTATGGCAAATTTGCACAAGAATTTCTAGCCTTTGAAGACGCAAAGGCCGTATTTGATAGAGCTGTGTTCAATTTTGTTCCACTCAATGAGCCAGAGATAAGGATCATGTACAAGGACTTCTTGATGAAAAATGAACAATTCGACGTATGCAACGAGTATTTGTTGGACCTCATCAAGTTGTTCTCTGGCTCTACTGGCAGTAATATCTATACAAAGGCTCCTTACATTCATTCCATTCAACAGCTATTATCACTTTGGCAAGAGCACGTCTCACCGGAAAAGTTACAGAGCATACTAGACTCCCTTGTGACGGGGTACTTCGACAGGGTAGACAGGTACAAGAAAGAAACTCCATCGAATACTACCTCTGGGGATACAAAATCAAAGTACGAGCTCAAGCCAGCTTTCATTACGATTCTTTCCAAGCTTCTAAACGACGATGGTATTTCTGTTGTCGCTGTTGCGTATTTGAAGGTGCTTGAAACTGCGAAGGAAGTTGTGAAAATCAGAACTTTCTATAATAAGTACTATCAAGAACCATCATTTTCGTGGTCTGTCCAATTCTGGAAGTTCTTTGTGGAGTTCGAGGGTTACAACCAGGTCAATTTAGTCAATTTGAGAAGCGTGTTGAACTACATTAATGAAGAATCAGCTCTTCCTCAAAGAGCAGTCGATGCATTTGCAGAAATCTACCATGAAATTATTTTGAAAAACTTGAAACTAGCAATGCTTTTAAAAGGGCCTAATGGAGAAGACTTGCATGACACATTAACTAATTTTGATTTAGGCAAGTCGCATAGCTTGTGGGATACTCCCGAAGCAAAAAGGATGGCTAAAAACAATGCTCATATCAGGGACATGGAAGAGCAAAGACTGTCGAAAAACACATCCAACCACTATTCGCCATCGCTGTTTGACCGACAGAAGGAGTTCCAGAAGTTTATCAAGAACTATTCATTTAACCCAGGTATTTTTCAAGAGCTACCGGAACAGAATCATCCGGAAAAAGAATTTGAGTTCGTATCTCTCGTTGATGATGACATTAAGCTTCCAGAACTTCCCACATACAAAAATTTGGATAAGTTGAACGGGCCTATTCAATATCCAGACGAGTAAACTGATCTATGCCAAATCGCCTTGACGTCCGATCAACAATAAATCAGGTCTAGTTTTGGCCTTCACAGTACATTTGTTGTTGCCAAACACTTCAAGAATTGTGAGCTTGGAAAACGAATCACTGAACTTGTTGGCAACCTCATCATCAAAACTTCTCACGAACCCAATATCTAGTCTCGTCAATAAAGGAAAACTAATCTGATTGAAATAACGTTGTATTTCCTCTTCATTATCGACGTTGTCGTTGGCACCGTCTTCAATTGCCTGCTTGATAAGGCGCTTTGTCTTAGAATCGTCGTTAGTCGTTATCTGTATCAAAAAGTCCTTCGATAATAGGTTGAGAGAGTTTACCGAAAGATCCACCAATGTCAGGGAGGAATGATTGAAAAGGCTGTACATAGCATCATCGCCTAGCCCTTTACATTTGGTCAAGTCAACTGTAACTAACCCACCACTGTTAATTATGGCGAACTCGTTGAATCCCTCCACGAACCCTTCATCAGTAAGCTGATCGAGATGACGCATAGAGAGATGTTCAAGTCTAGGACAGAATTTAGCAACGCCCTCCTTGAAAAATTCATCTGTAAGGGCACTGCAACCATCAACATTAAGAAAAGTAAGAGTCTCACCAGTAATTGCAAGGATATGAATCATGAGTTCGTCAGTAATAAGGTCTGGTTTATGAGGGTAAGAAATCTCAAGTTCGTTCAATTGCGACGCTCCAATATAATGTGGGATGAGCTCATAGATGGCTGTACTGTCGAGTCCATCAAGTCTCAGTAGCTTGAGCAGATTGAGATGAGGACCTCTTCTCTCCATGAGCGTCAAAAAAGCGTCGCTTCCAAAACGATGAGTGTTTCTGATTTCAAATTGATTGATCTCACATTCGGCCTGTTCAAAGAAGTCCTGCCACATTGGATTACTTATCAAGAAAGGACCGTCCAAGCTCAACTTTGTTAAGTTGTGTAACTTATCCTTGAAGTAAATAAGGTTATCATTGTGAAACTGACCACACATGAAGAGCGTGAGAGACTCTAGCTGGGAACAGAATGCGGCGATCTGGTTAAACGAATGAGATCCCACATTGGAGCAGTCCCAAAATTCTAACTCTTTCAAGCCAGGATTCAAAAAGAGAGACACGGTAGAGTCATCCAAGGAACGGTTTTTCGAAAGAATCCTCAGAATCTTGTTCATATTAGCCTGGCCAATGTCACCTAATGCTTCGACATCGTTAATGTTCTGTGTAATGACCTTGATGCAAACATCCTGTAATTTAGGGATTCTTATGACCTTTTTATCAAGAAGGGCAGAGGCAAGCAACTTTCTCTTCTTACGAGCATTGAGCTCGTTCCTTCTCGCGTTCTTTTCACGCTTCTTGAGTTCTTCGTTACAGTCTTCACACAAATATCCCTTCAAATCATCAACAAAACGAGAATATACGGACAACGTAAAAGGATTGCCGCATTCTGCGCACATATCCTCTTCACCGTACTTCTTATGGTCATCTTCCAAGTCGTCCTCAAGATCGAACTCACCGTCTTCATCAGACATGTAGTCATCGTCGGAACTACTGCCACTGCCTCCATCAGGATCACCACGGGCACTTCCATTTCTTATTCTTTTGGAGGCACGTCTTTTCTGTCTGCCCGCCTCGCGTATCTGTCTCTCTTCCTCGTCTACGGTAGCGCCTCTCGTACTTCGCTGAGGTGTAACCGAAGTTCTGCGACTAGAAGAAACCGGAGAAGAGGTTGGAGACTCTGTTTGGTCATCAGTTCCTGATTCACCTTCTTGATCTCGACGATTTTGGCGCTGCCTGAAGGCGTCAGTAATACCCTCTACTCTAAGAAACTCAGTAAGAGCCGAGTTTGGGCCGCGTACACCTGAAGATCTGGGTTTGCGTGGCATGACAAGTATATGGGCACGAGTAGTCTTCTGGAAAACTGAAGTTTATTTTAATTTTTCAGTACCAGATCGTGTATTGCTTCGATGGCGATGTCTTCATGCACTGATAAAGTACATGCATAAGGTGCACGGGTGCTATACCGATGACCCATTTGCAACAGTTTCGTAGTTAACCAAGGGCAGTAAAAAAAAAAAAAAAGATTACCAAATGCCAAGTCAAGTTAACTGAAATGCTCCCATTAAGTTAAACGACAGCATCTACCTTTTGCCTAAACTTCATTCATTCTTGTCCAACTCTACCCTCGATCGGAATACCGGTTGGTTATGCAGAATAGTCATAAAGTAGAACCACAAAAGTAGAACAACGGAAGGTTCAAGGAAGCCTTGTCGATCCCAAAATTACTCCAATAGCCATGGACGCTCTTCCCAGAACTTATCTTTGATTATGTCAACATGGAGCACCTCAATTTGGGCCTTTTTGCGAGCTTTACTGATCCTTTGCTTCTGTCTCTCGGATAGCTCCTCAGTTGGGACAGCTTCCTTATACTCTCTGACAATCACTGTACCTTTCTTGAACATTTCTGGCTCGTTGTTATAGTTGATACCGCACTTTGAGAATAAGATCTCGTTTTTATCACTAGAAACCGTCCCCAGAAGGAAGTTTTCTGCCTCCTGGCCAGTCATGCCGCACTTCTCTATCAAGCTCCAGAAGGATGTATTGTACAAGTTATTGATATGACAGTCGACTTGTCTCCACGAGAAATAATCACGTACAGTTTGTGCATTGGGATAAACCACAGCACGAGCGTCGAACGTCGGTAGCCTTTCTGGAACTAGAGGCTTTTCAGGGAACTCTTTATTCCATTCCATGACATAGAAGACCAGCATAAACAGTGCAAAAGTCGAAACAAGTTTCATTTCCCTGCGCTCAAAGAGCTCACACGTTCGTCTTAGCAAGAACAGGTACTCGTCTGAATCTCCATATGCCATCTGTATATCGGGAAATGGGATACAATTGTCTTAGCTGCTCTGTTCATGACATTGAGGGCTCTGATATCGTTGGGCTTGTCGAACTCGTAATGAGAACTGAACTTGTGGAAACCTTTGCCATCTACCCGTATGACAATGTGGGTCTGCGGGAGGAGGAAGTTTTCCCGCTCGAATTGCTTCACGTATTCAAATCTGGAGTTGGCCATAACTATGGATGTAGTAGAAGCACTGGAGGTTTATAGCGATGGAGGTCACGTGCCAGAATTTGGAATATACGGAAGGATTCAGATATGGAGACAGTAATGCCCAATTGGATTATTACAAACTACAGGTATTTTTCTTTCACGTATGCATTTATAAAAAGGTATAAGATCTAATAATAATGAGGAGATGTAAAATTAATCAATGCTTCTTCGACTTGGAAGACTTTGGCACTCTCGCGAGCCAGTAGAAGAAAATGGTAGCGATCATGTTGATGGCGATGAAACTGATGAAGATACCAAAGTTTCTCCATCTCTCTGAGTACTTGGCCTCGACGGAGTTCAAGAAAGTGTTGGTAGAATCCATGACACAGAAACCACACTCTTGAGTGGCACTCTCATCAACCAAGTAACCACCAGCGTTTTCAATAAAGGTTTGCATGTACTGGCCACATGTTTGACCACTTGGTGGAGCAAATCTAACAAGTTCTCTGTCAGCACATCTAATATCGTTGTTGGCAAGACCAGCACTCAACATACCCTGAATCATGTAGGTGAATGGGTTACATCTGTACATGAAAATCCAGAAACCTGGCAAGGCATCTGGACCAGCAAGCACACCACAGAAGTTCAAACACATGATAAACATCAAGTTAGCCAAGTTAGCAGCGTTGTCAGCAAGCTCCTGGAAAGAAATGACGAACTGACCCAAGGTGGAACAGTAAACGTAGAAACTTGTAACTAACAACCACATCAAAGCACCACGTTCGTTAACGGTATCAGTAGGCTCAGCATTGGCGTACATACCAGTAGGGTAGTACCAACAGAAGAAAGCAACGGTACCAAGAACAGCCTGGAAAGGTACCTCGGCAGTGATCTGGGATGCAATGAAAGCGAACCAACTGAAAGTTCTTGAAGGAGCTTCTCTGACTTCGTAAATTTCTCTCTGCATGACAAAGTATGGCAACATCTGCTGAATCAAAGTCTGCAATGGAATGAAGGACATAAACATCGAGAACATCTGGTTCTGCAAACCTTGCTGAGAGTTATCATTCTTGAAAAAGGAGAAACCGTTGAACAATGCTGAAGTGATGACCAAGAAGAACTTCGAGTAAATGTAACCAGGAGTTCTCCAGTATTGCTGGAAGGTTCTCCAAGTAACAATGAAGTACTGGTATGGAACGGGAGAAGCGTACTTCTTCTTCGACTCTGGGTCGTCGTCCCGAGGCAACTTGCTCAATTCGGTTTCCATGTAGGTCAACTCCTGCTGGACAGCTTGGTACTCGTCAGAGTTTCTCCAGACATCAAAGTAGTTTTGAGCGGCCTTTGAACCAGGAGCGGCACCAACAACTTCCAACATCCATTCGGCTGGGTTAGCCTCCTTAGGACATGGATGAGCACCATACTTCTCAAAGTAGTTAATCAATCCCTGACAATTTTCACCCAAGTCACCAAAGAACACAGTCTGACCACCCTTTTGCAAGAACAACAAACGGTCAAACTCCTGCAACAAGATAGCTGATGGCTGATGGATAGTACACAAAATAGCCTGGCCATGGTCAGCCAACTTTCTCATCAACTTACAAATAGACCAAGCAGTCTGAGAGTCCAAACCAGAAGTAGGTTCATCCAAGAAAAGCAACAACTTAGGCTTAGCAACCAATTCAACACCAATAGTCAATCTCTTACGTTGTTCGACGTTCAAACCTTCACCGGCAACACCGACCAAAGCATCAGAGTAAGCAGCCATTTCCAACAAGTCAATCACATAGTCAACGTAGGCATCCTTGTCCTCCTTGGAAACGTGAGAAGGTTGTCTCAAGTAAGCGGAGAAAGTCAAAGCCTCACGAACAGTAGAAGTTGCCAAGTGAATGTCTTGTTGTTGCACGTAACCAATAGATCTCTGGAAAGAGGAGTCCAAACCATGACCGTTCACCATTCTTGTACCATCAGAGACAGTACCAGTAGTAACACGCTCAGACAAACAGTTCAACAAAGTGGTTTTACCAGCACCAGATGCACCCATCAAAGCGGTAATCTGACCAGGCTTAACCCAACCGTCGACGTGGTTCAAAATAACACGGTTCTCAGACTTAATCTTAACCTCGTAAGTCAAATCCTTCCAGTGGAAAATTTGCTTTTGAGTAGGAATCTTGTCATCGTAAGCAGAAGAGTCACCAGATCCATCCTTCTCCATGGCATCGGAGTAGGAAATCTTTTCGTTAGGAATGTTGTTCTCAATATCGGCGGACTTAGCCTTCTGCTGATCCTTCTGTTGCTTGACCTTCTTCAAGGATCCTTTCAAGAAAAGAATGATTTCACCCTTCTGCATGGCACCCTTATTAAACTCAGTCAAAGCAATGTAAACGAACAAGAAAACAACGATGTAAGCAATGACAATACCCATATTTCTCCACTTGTGGCTGTTGAAATATTCGAAAGAGGTGGCCAAGTAGTCAGTACCGTTAACAACTGAACTACCAGGTTGAGCACCTGCAGTAGCACAAACACGGTTGATAGCATCCACAGAATCATATGGACCACCACTTGGGACAAAACTAGCACAGTCGAACTCAAAATTATGGAACTCGTTAACCATCAAAGACTCGAAGACATATGAGACCGGGTTAATGTATTGAATCCATCTACACCAGCCCAACATATTAGGAATTGGAATAACGAAACCAGTGAAAATAACCATAGCCAACAAAACGGAGGTAGCTGGAGTCATAGCACCTGCAAGGGAGGTAGAAACGGCACCCAAAGATCTGAACATGTGGGACATACACAAGGTACAGAGACCACAGAACATCCAGTAGAAGAAAAACCTGCCGGGATCACGTCTGAAATGGACCATGAAGTAATAGGAAAAGTTAAAGAAAATGGACATGCAAAGTTTGACTGGAAGTTCGGAAATGATGGATGCTAAAGCATCAGCGGAAGGTCTGTACAAAGCGTACTTCTTATGCTTTTCGACAATTGGACGGGCTTCGAACAAAGACATAATTTCCAACAAGGAAGCAAAGGCATTAAACAACACAGCAAAGAACATAGCGGCACCACGGTAGTAGAAAGAACCCGTGTTGGGCTGCAAGTTATAGAAAACGGACGATAGAATCAAACCCATGACACCCTGGCCAAAGACCGAGAAAATGACGATAGAAGGATCACCCTTCATTCGAAGGAAATTCCTTCCTATGATGTACCTCGTCTGCATGAAGAAAGACACAGTGTATGGAGACCTTGGCGAAATGTGCTTGGACTGTCTAGCAGCGTGAGCCTCACGGTAGACCTCTCTCTGGCCACCGTCAGCAGTCTCAGCAAAGTAACGGTCAATCTTGCCCGTCAAGGCGTGGTATTGTGGAGAAGCACGCCAGTACTCAGAGAATTCCTGGGCAGTACGTGGAACCTTGTTCTCGTAACCAGGTCTGACGATACGTTCTTCAGGGTTGGTCAAGGAGGTCAAGTAATCGGCGGTGGTTTGACGCTGAGGACAGTCGTAACCCATGTTCAAGAAGAACTGCTTGGCATCAGCAGCCTTACCGAAGAAAATCTGGTAACCCTCGTACAAGACAATGACGTTGTCGAACAAGTCGTAAGCATCCTGAGAACACTGGTAAATAGCAATCAATGGAGTAGCATCCAAGATAGCGGCAGAAGTCTTCAAAGCACGGATAAATTCCAAAGCGGTGGCAGCATCCAAACCTCTAGTGGCGTTATCCCAACATTGGATGTTAGCACCGGACAAGGAAACCTCAGCAATGGAAACACGCTTACGCTCACCACCGGAGACACCACGGACGAAATCAGAACCGACAGCGGTGTTTCTGGTATGGGACAAACCATAGGTGGCCATCATGACAGAAGCCATGTGCTTGGCATGGTCCAATCTAGAAACCTCACCTCTGTTTTGAGGAGTTCTCAACTTGGCAGCGAACTCCAAGGTGTCACCCACACTCAAGTGAGGGAAATGGACATCGGTTTCAGCAGAGTAGACGACATCACCACGGTGGTGCTTTTCAATCTCCTCAGGAGCCATACCGTCGTAGGAGATTTTCAGCTCCAGGCCAATCTCAAAACCGTAGGTGTTACAAGCAATTGTCTTAAGCAAAGTAGAACAACCGGAACCTGGACGACCCAAAACGACCGTGACTTCACCAGGGTGGAAGTAACCATCCATAGTTTTCAAGATATCAAAACAACGGCTCTCATCGATTTTACGAGCGCCGTGGTAGTAGTCAGTGGCCATCTTCCAGAGACCGTTGGTGACGGTAGGCTGGTAGTCCGAGTCAGCAGCCACACCGTAAGCACGCAAGTTTCTGTAGGCAAGACCCAATTTCGAAGGTTTATAGTATTCTGGGTCGTTGTCAAACAATTTACGCATATTTTTCACCCAGAACTTAGCATTGAAATTTTCGCTTTCTGGGTTCAACAGTTCATTAATTCTGTCAGCATCAAATGGCTCTACACCTGGCACTTCAGACATGTGTGAAAGGTACTTAAGCAAATCTGCCGAAGTGGTGGTTTTGGCAAGATCGCCACCACTTCCCTGAGAAATGTTGGTCAAGGTCCTGGCCAACTCACGGATTTCACCCTCCTGGTTCTGACCAAACCCAGTATACTCATTCACCGAGTCAGTAGTAGAAGCGTCATCGGGCAGAGGGAGCTGTTCCCGGACAGGCGGCGGCGCGATGGCCGAATCCGCCGGGGGAGCATCATGGAACAGAGCTTTCTCGTCGAAGTTAGACATTGACGAAAACGTTTGAAAAACCAGAAAAACAGAAACCCTAATACCGGGCGTTCCTGGGCGTTTTATACTGATGAAAAGAAAATACAGCAAATGCCGCAGGCCAGAGTGAAGAAGGGAAAGCGTGCAGGCGCAGCGCATGAGATAGGCAGATTCGGCGGCATGGGGGCGCACCGTGGGACGGCTGGAACGGAAGCCAAAATGTTCCGTAGTGTGTGGAAGTGTACACAAAACCAGACAGCGCCAGCAAAGAGGTGAGTATAGCAAGCGCCAGGTGAAATTGATCCGGGAAGAGAAAAAGAAAACACTACCCAAGTATCCGGCAGGCGAAGACTTACCGAAGAACCCATCAAGCGTATGCATCAGAGGGTGTGAGATGAAAGATGAAATCGTCAAGTATACTTGCTTTCGCTCTTTTCTTTTTTGAAGCTTTTTCTTATCGTCAGATTTTGTTTTGTAGTGTCGTCATGGCTTTTACTATAAACTGGTAAGTTAATGGCTTCAATGGCTCACGATTACTCATCGCGCAAAAAACAGAAGCTGGGCAGGAAAAAAAAAAAAACTGCCCCCAGCGGCTTCGTATTTCTCCTCTTCCTGCTCTGCTGTAGCCCAGCTTGTTCTGCTCCCCTTAACCCAAACTCACTTTGCTCACTTCCCTTACCTTTTGTTCTTTTTCCCTCTTTGTACCCCGACCCATGACTTGTTGAGGAAATTCTTGTCATGCCATTCTTTTTTACCTTTCCTTTTTACTTCTTGGCCCAGCCCTTTTTTCCGCTTCTCCAACGGTCCTGTCAATTCTCTCTGTCTCCCTCGTTTTGTCCACTTTTTTTTCAACTCGGGGCCTCAGTCCTTCCGAAAATCCGTCCCAGCCAGGTCATTTTTACCCTTTCGCGCAGAACACACTCTCCCTTGACCTGGCCAGGCTCGCTCTCCTGGGTCCTTCTACAGTTCGGGTCCAAACGGGAGAACCAGGAAGACGTTTCTCGGTGGCAACAAGGCTGGCGCCTATTGTTTAAAATGGCGTTTGTTATTTTTTCTGGTGGCGCAAAAACGTAATTAATAATCGTCCTGTCGGCTCCGTCGGGACCGCCGTGCCCCAAGCCTCTGGGTGAAAGGTGCTGTGGCTTCGTTTCGGAATTGGCATGCTATTTGCAACCGTTCCGAGAGACAGAACAATCGGTGGGTCGTATACTGGGGGCGCTTTTTTGGTTTCGCAGCCAGACAACGGTGCTGGTCGATCGCTCGTTTAGCACGGCTGACCACACCAAGTCACCAAGTGCCTTGGAACAAGGTACTTGGTGCTTGGTAAAATAGTATAAACAGTATAAACAGTATAAATGTAAATTGAAAATAGCTGGTCTACGTCAGCTAGTTCACTGCTTTACGTCGTTGACGTGGTTGCCAAGGCATGTGGTGACGCCTTTGCCTCGACATCTCTCTCTTTTTTTTTTTTGTTTGTCGCTTCGGCCCGTGGAACCTCCGGGCTCTACAAGTTGTTTTGGTCTGTAGATGTGTGGATCCAGGAAGGGCTGTGCTTGGCTTTTATACGACTACATTCCTGGTGTTTCGTTTAAAGTGTAGTTTAATATTTAAGGTTCCCGACAGATCTTCCGAGGGGTCAAGGAGGGGCCGGTCTACGACGGTATATATGCTGTAGACCGTTTAGATACGGGGGCTCTCGAGGAAGAGGAGGAGGATGAGGAGGGGCTCAAGACGTGGGAGCCATGCGGAACAAACTGTCCCCGGCTCGTTCCGGTGGTCTCTGAGCCTTTGTTGACAAACCAGTCGTATCTGCCAGGTTTTATGGTTAGAGGAAATGGAGGTTTGCAGCCAAAGGCTGTGTAGACAATAGCGTGGGTTTCCTTGATTTGCCACCATCTAGCAGAGTGGAGGTGTCTGTTGGTTTGTGGTGGACCCTTTGATGTATTAGAGAATTGACTACTTCAACGGCTCTGTCATATTTCTTGGTACTGTCTTCTGTGTTATTATGCCTGCTAAGCTTTTTAAGTGAAAAGCATGGCCACGGATTGGCTAGAAAAGAGAGTGGTATGACCACGGTTTTGTGGTTCATTGAATTGCTTCTGAAGAGTTGAAGCAGGTTGTGCTGACCGTGGTTGGTCCTGAGTCTACCAGATATAGCAGCGGTGGGTATTGACTTGCGCACACAATGAATAGAACCCACCGAACTCAACCAAGCATGAGCCAATAATCCTTATTCAACTGTTTCTTTGGACAAAATAAAATATAGGAAATAATTTTCTGCTCCAAAGTGATTCCACATTGACTTCATCAACCTCCAGTGGGTGGTTGGAGGGCTTGCAAAATATGTGCGTGTCCTGCATTGTTAAGCAAAGATTCCCACTACTTCACACTTCACCTACCACCAACACAGTAATTCTCGATGCAAGTAAAAGTCAAGACTTTGACTGGTAGAGACATCCCAGTGGATGTGGAGGCTAGCGACAAGGTGATTCGTATCAAGGAAATGATGGAGGAGAAGGAAGGTATCCCTCCTGCGCAACAGCGATTGATCTTCAACGGTTCTCAATTGAACGACGAGATCACTATCGAGCAGTCTGGTATTCAAGCAGGCGCCTCATTGCATTTGGTGTTGACCCTTAGAGGCGGTTACTAAAAGTCATAGGGTTTATCCGCCGGCCGGTTATATAGGCCTCACATAGCGAATGGAAATGATTAATGATATGGATTGTTTGTTATGCCTCTTGTGATGCGCTCTGTGATGCCCATTTCTTTGCATTAGCAAGGAACTTGTTGATGTTAGGGGCTTCTTGTGGGAAGATGTACTCGGTGAAGACTTCCTCGCCTTGTTCTGTGGCTCTTCTCTTGGTCACAGGTGTTGGGAAACGCTTTGCGACCTTTTCCACAGACTCTGCATCACCATGAGCTTCTTCGTAACTCTTCCATGCCTCAAGTACTGTGATGCAACTCTTAGCATCGTCGTTATCTTTAAAGTGCTTGACTGCTTCGGTGAACACCTCGCGGGTTTTGCCCTTCTGGTGATCTTCAAGCTTGAACTCGACATCGTCTTCGGCGTTTTCGAGACTTTCAACTTGGCTAGGAGAAAGAATGCTCAGCTCAAAGTTTGCAAACTCTATCCAAAGTTCTGCTTTTGGTGTATCTGTGAGCTCACGTCTAAAGACATCCCTCGCACGTTCGTACATAAGTTCATCCTTGAGAAAGTTAATGAAAGTATTGAAAAGCTCCTCACGAGGCTTGAAAGAAAGATGGGCATTAACAGCGCTAGTCGCTTTGTTCTGAGTATCCAATGCCATTTCAAATAGGGCAATACATCTGTCAGATTCTCCGAACTCTAACTCTTTGTTGATAAAGTCTTTCAAAACGTCAAGTGCCCTATGGCTCTCCTCATTCTCAAGGTCGAAAAGCAAAGCAACCTCAATCCACTTAGTATAGAGTGAACGCACCCTACTCCATTCGTTGAGCTTCGTCTCCAAGTCGATGTAGAACCTGAAGAGCTTACTCTTCAATGTCGTAGTGCAGGTCAAGCCGATAGCCTTGCCAAGAAGTTTCCTGGCAGCTACCAAGCCAGCTTCGTTATTGTACCGTAGTTCAAACAGGGCCGCCATCACCCAAATCTTAGCGAATGTAAACTTCTTGTGGGGTATTGTTGCGATAGCGTCAGCCCAACATTTGCGGGCATTCTCAATGTTTCTGTTGTTGAACTCCTCCCACAAAGCAAACTTTATCCAGAGGAACACATAGCGTCTCCAGCTTACCAGCTTGTATTGTTCCTCTGGTGGAACTGATACACTCCTCCTGAACAAGCTACGGAGAGACTCCGTAGATGATTCTTCCTCTAGCTTAAGATAGTCCCACCAGGCGTTGTAATCTCTTGGATTCTTATAAATTGTCAGTTCAAGTTGGGCTTTTTCTTTAGTGCTGACAGCTGAATCTATCAGATCTGTACCGCCATGTCTGCTTTCGAACTCAACGATGATGGCAGATAATCGGTTCTTTTGTTCTTCCAGCGCCACGTCTAGCACCGTCTGGAATATCGTACGAGCTCTTTCAAGCTCTCCTTGGAGGGCTTCCCACGTACACCAGCGCAGCACGAGCTCTGGAACACTGTCATCAGTTTGCAATGAGCCATTCTCAGCCATGGAATCAAGCGCAGATTCAAAAACGCCACGAATTCGAGATACCAGTTGATCATTCAAAGGAACTCCCACACGCTCGAAGTCTGCCCATGCTAGCCAAATCTCACCTTCGGGATATTCAGCCAAGAACCTCGGAAACAAAGCCCTGACATTATCGTACTCGTCGTATCGCTGTTCAAAGCCAATATAAGCTTGCCATACGGTTTTTGCCGGCTTCCAAGAAACCCATCTCTCAAATATTGAACGCACAGAAGTATAGTTCCCCAATGCCTCTTCGGTCTGGACATACATGTACCATAGCTTGTCAGTGTACGGTAGAGTAGTAACAGCACGGTCAAGTAAATTTCTAGCATGATTAACATTCCGATGCATTGATTCCATTTCAATGTAGCGAACCCAGAAAGGAACATGCTGGACGTTCACTTCCAAAGCACGTTCCATAATAGATCTGGCTCTTCTAAAGTCATGGTTATGCTCTAGTTCCCATTTGGCGTATCGTATCCATTGGCCATAGTTAAGACGGTTCTTATTAAGATGCTGTTCATATTCTTTCCGTTTTGTTTGCTGGAACAGACGTAGCTCTTCTAGATCTTGGATGCTCTGCTTCGCTGCTTTATATGGAGCTTGTTTTAGCTGATGAGCTTCCAGAAGAATGTCTGCAGACGAGACTTGAACGTCCGCTCGTTTTCCTTCAAGCTGTTGTGGAGCCTCAGTAGCCAAGTTTGGCGGTAGTTGTAGATCCATAAGAATTGAGGATGATAGTTATAATGTTAGTTATGTGTGTGATGACATTGTGAGGTTCAGACGATAAGCGAGAGGAAAAAAAATATGGGTACGGTATACTGCCTTCAGCCAGATTCGAACTGACGATCTCCTCATTACTAGTGAGGTGCCTTACCAACTTGGCCATAAAGGCGTGGTACAGAAGGCTTTAAAAACTGCTTAAACTTGACAGAACATACGGTGAAATCCTATTTTTCGTAATTTTTGAGTTTTTCTAATACTTTTTTCATATCTATACTTTCGCACTGTAGTTTTCAAATTAGCAATTTCTGCCATTTTTGGCACTTTTTTGCCCATTTACGCCGGACGGCAATGAGGAAGTCCTTGTAAACCCGATGATTAAGGGGTTGTGTTTTCTATAGTGATATAGTTTTCGTGCCATAAGGCGTCCTCTTAATACACAGTTAACAAAAAAAAAAAAAGACTTAGCCTTGTATGGCAAAGTGTTGTTTGTCTACAACCAAGTGGCCTTTAACCTTCAAATATCGTCTACATTATCATAAATCGTCTATCATATGCTTTCATAATAAATAACTCCCAAACCTGTTATGACCAAACCTGTAACTGCTCATAATAATCTACCCTAACCTTTTCGCTATCAATAACTTGCACCACTTCATGGCGAAGATCGTCAACCATGATGGGATGGCCGCAAGTGACAAAGCAGCAACTACCCAGACTGCATTCCACATTCTCCTGAACAATTTTCGGCACATTAGGTCTGCCTTCGTGGAATCGAATATGCTTCAAATCTTCCTTAAGCTTGCCAATTGGGTCTTTAAACTGATGAACGGCACTGAAATGTGCATAAGTGTTCAGTAGTAGTGGCAGCTTATCGTGTGGACTCGTCAACATGGCCAGTGGCCTTGTGACATAAATTTCGGTTTCGATAGGGAACTGCTTTAAGGAAGCAAGTTCATCGAAAAACCAAAGAATAGATTGGTACTCCCTCACAACCCATATGAGCTTCACTGTACGTTTACTGAAAGTATCTTGTCTCTCGATAACTTCCACTGCTTCAGCAAGAATGCCAGGAATACCATTACCACCAGCCAAAAACACACTGGTGTCGTGCTTATATGCTGGCGTTGCCTCTCCGTAGGATCCCTCCACGGCAACTCTGATCTTTGCGGACTTGTCTGGATTATTCTCGAGGTAAGTTGCCAAATCACGAGTCACTCCCTTCTTCACCTTGGCATAGAAAATAATGTTATTACCCACTAAGGTATAAGTGAAAGGGTGAGACTGCCAGAAACAATATGGACGGAGGAAATGGACAAAGCAGTGACCACCGCCTTCAGCTTTAAAGTTCTTTGGAAGTGGAACAGTAACCTTCAAAGTCTCGTCCTCGTAAAGTTTCACGTCAGCAAGAGGGAATCCGAAATAGGCGAGACGCTGGATCCTAATAATTCTGTCAGTTGCCCAAAGCCAAGCAGAAAAGTAATAGTACCAAAGGAAATAAAGATCATCGACATGGAACCAAGCGCCTATCGCAAAGACCAACGCAAGCACAATGTGAAGAAGAAGGAACGTTTCGTACCACTTCCGTCTTAATACTAAAAGACCTTGCACTAAGATCACAATACCACTCGTGTAAGCTGCGGCACCCCAGATCAAGTAGGCAGTGAGATGGAAGTCAGGTTTATCCCTGATAATGTATGCGTAGCCATTGGCATGGATGATCAAAAGAACCATCATGATACGAGAAATCCATCTGTGGAGGGTCACGAATGCCGCATACTCCCATCTGGTAAGCCACTGCAAGATGTTGTTACGCCCAGCGAACAAGATGGAAAAGGGGAATAAATAACTGGCAAGAACGCCAGAGCGTACCGCGTAGTAACGAGCAAGTGCACGATCTTTAGTCTTGAAGATTGGGTCACCCTCGACGTACTTGATGTTGGCCAAGAAGAAATAAACTGTCATGGCTGTGAAAGCAACAAGTGTCACAGTTTCCAACCGAGTGGGTGAAAGGAAATCAAGTACTTTGAGGAATCTCTTCTCGTTCGTCTTATAACGACCAAAGGTAGCCGGGAGGGTGATCTTCTTACGTATCCAATTGATCGTAGGTGTGTTTGCCCTTTCGTTGAGCCTTGGGAACCAGATCTTCAGCCAGTTGGCAAGGCCGACCAATGTAAAGACGACAGCCCAGAATGCGACCAAGTAGAAACCGTAACCGATTGATCTGTTGTAATTGCCCAAGAATTGATCGTATGAGTCTCTATATCTGAAGATCAACGCATCATCAAGCTTTACTGGATGGTTAAGGGTCGCTTGAGTGGATGTCTCCTTATCAATGGTACTCTCGTTTTGTGCTTCTTCCTCATACAAGAGGTGAGCGTTATCAAACTGCTCTCTGGTGAGTGGCACATTCATCTTCTCATTGCATCTCTGAATATAAGTATCGACAAGATGAGGATATGCCGTGAGGTAGCAGTGGGACACAGTCGCCAAAGCGTTGATATTCTCACACAAGCATAACTCGTTCTCTGGAGTAAACACATCCTCAAGATCACAGAAGTTCAATGTTCTGACGTGGATACTGCAACTCAGGTATGCAATGTCGGCAACAGAGTAGCGGTGGAAAGGAGCACTCTGAAGAGCCTTCTCTGGGGTCATGGTAACGAAGAGGGCTATAAGACATGTTAGTAGGAGACTCATGGCCGTCTTGGTATATACGGGAGACTTCCCGCGAGGCCAGAGAAAGAATGCCGCTGCCACGAACAACAGGACGTTGACCCAAAACATGGGGAAGATGTGGAAAAGATTTTGCAAGGGGTTTAGATAGTGGATCTGGCGGGAATTGGTAGGATTATATGAGGGAAAAAAATTATCTTTTCCATCAATGAGATCCGAGGGTGGCCTAGAGTTTGGGTCGGTCGAGATCCGGGTGTAACGGTGCACGTAACCGAGGGTGCCAAGTACCCCCACCGGGGGCTTCACCGAGCTCGGTCAGATTATCTAGATAATCAGGGGGTTAAGGAGAGGGGCGTTGTGAATGGGCAACCTTAAAAAAGAAATTAGACGCCCACCCAAACCACATAGGAATGACATGTGCTGTCTAAGTCATGGTATTAGCATCAGCTCACACCACAACTGGTAAACTCTTACAGTAGCCCTGAAGCTGAATGGTAAGGAGGATCAAAACCATTTCCGAGGGCGCCAAGGCACATGAAGATGGTTAGCCGTTGACTCGTATGTCGACAGAGGGCCCCCGGAATGCGAATGTAGATTAGGTGCCCACGGAACGGAGAAACGGCCATATGTTAACTAGTGGCACGGAGAAATGCTAATGTACCTCCACAGCCGTACGAACGAGGCGTTCTGGCGGGTTTTTGGGCTTTGTGGGCCGATCTAAAAAAGCCTTTCTTTGTGACTGCTAAATAGTGGTTAGGTTGTGGATTGGCTGCAAACCAGGTAAAACTCCATGGGGTGATGTGAAAGAAGCCACTGTGAATGTGCAAGCAGGAGGCTTTTTCTGGGGGAGTTTGGTCGGTGTTGTTTTGCATTGACGGGAGCTTTTGAAAGTAGATGTTTTTGATATGTTCACTTTCTACCATTCCAGCGGTGTTTGGCAGGTTCTCAGGAAATGTGTGAAGTGAGAGGATATCTCTAAGAATGTAGACACCTCTTAAAAATAGAAAACGCTGTAAACACGTTGGAAGTTTGGAAAGTGGAGAATGGTCACTTTCAGTGTTGGTATTTTTTGGCATCAGATCACTACAAACCAGAAATGGTCACTTCTGGTGTTCTTATCAGTTGCGCGTTGCAGCCATGGAGACGTGAAGAATGTGGGGGAGATCAGACTCTTCCAGAGACAGATTGCAATCAGTAAAAAATACCAAAATATAAACAAACATGGAGCCTGATAGCCATAATGGATGTTGAATAATTGGGAGCAGTGTGTTTTGCAGCTTTTGTGGGGTATGATGAATCCTCATGAGGGCTAGTATAGTAAGTAGACAATACTACCTTCTTTAGCGTTTTTTAATTGTTGAATCGGCTACACTTCCACGTCAAGAGAAATCCTAAAGCTTATTGCTTCGTCTACATTGATCGGTAACAAGCGAAGGGTACCTGGTGGTTCATCTATGGCCTGGTTAACTACCATTTGCAGCCATTACCTCCAGAACCGTCCACCATTATTAAAACCTCTCACTCAACAACTCCCAGCTCATTTGTAATGACCACCACCTCTATTAACGCTTCCCACAGATCGCTTCCCACCAAACAGCTTAACCGCTGTAAACTTGCTCTTACCACTGATGCCTTCTACGCTTGCTCGGTCGCAAGTCCGAAGCGGCCCAGACAACAGCAAAAGTGGTTCTACGCCCTTCAGAGAAAATTCAAACCCATACACTCAGTACCAAAGGAAGTCCTGCTTATTTATCTACTTTTACTTTTTGCACATTTTACATCTTACACTCTTTTGCCTGGACCCTATCTCTTATTAATGTGCCTCGCTTGCGCTTAGTCAGACATATAGGGCCGTCAAATATGTCTTGATCATAGGTTCTGGAAACTCTACCCATATAAGAAGCCGGGTTCGCACTTCTCCAAGATGACTACAACCATCAATAATGTCCCTTCAATCGTCTAACCTTAAAGAAGAGTTTGTACCTCTCAATGAAATCAGAAGACCAATTCCTCCTGTGCTAGATCATGATAAGATCGATGCCATGGTCTCCACGCTTCAAGGCAACCCTATGGCTTCTGCTACTTGTGGTATTGAAGATATGACTGCTGGTGAGTTGCCTCCAATTGATGTGTTTTTGGTCCGTGAACAAGGCAAAAACTACTACTTTGCGTTTGGCGGATGCCATAGGTTCCAGGCCTACGATAAGTTATCTAAGGATGGTGAAAAAGTGCCTATGGTGAAGGCCAGAATCTTGCCTGCAACCAGAAAGACCCTTAAGGTTTACTTGGGTGGATCTGTGGATGAGATGTTCGACTAGATTTTAATGCTCTATACAAATTTTATAGAATTCATGATTAACGTTCCGATTATGCTTGTAATGGGGTGCTTGAGTTTACCAGCTCTTGACTCTGGCGATGCTGCTGCTGCTGAGGCAAGGTGAAGTAAAGTCTCTTTCTAATTCTCTTAGCCTGCCACTTGATAGGCACCAATGGCAATCTACCGTGCTTATCCTCGTAAAGCAAGCTCCAGAACATGGCGATCACGGCTACCCAGTACACATTGTAGCCAATTACACTGCCATAAGTGGCAGAGTTGGTCCAGCCAAAAATTGCCGTAAATAACATCCAAAGCACACCATCCTCGGGCATCTCACCATTGCAACAGTTGACGTGCCAGACACTGTTGGCGATATCGTAGGAGCCAGGACCATGGCCCGTCTCACTGACATCCATACCACCACACTTATCGATAAAGTTTTGGAGTTCAAATTGCCAAATACCTTTGGAGAACAAGCCAGCAGCAACAAGGTAAAGGAAACAGGTCGAGATGATCAAGAACCACTGAAGAGAAAGGGTGTTTCCCGATCTGTACAAGGCCACACCAACGATGGTACCGATAACCATAGCCAAAATGGCCGAGTTGACAATGGAAGCGACAGTAGTGTTTTCGTTAATACCAATGCCTCCCACAAACACGATAGCCTCTAAACCTTCACGCAAAGTGGTGACAAAAGGCAAGATGAACATGGCATTGCGCTCAGACCAAGATGCGGTGTTCTTTGCAGCCTCCATGAACTGGGTATTATTGTTAATGATGGAACCCAACTTGTGATGCCATTTCTGCTGCATTCTATTAACACGAAGAATCTGAACACCCATGGCTGAAATGATCATAGAAGCAATCACAGAAAAAGTGGCCTCCCAGTAATGCTCAGTGCCAGACCATAAATCAGCCCCTATGGTATAGAAAGCGACAAGAATAACTGCACCCACGATCAAACATCCAATAAAGCCACAAAGACCGCCGACCCAAATCTGCCATTTGAGACCAGAAATGAGTTTCTCGTTGGGTGGTGCAGCAGCTTCGTTCTGTTGAGAGCAATTTTCACTTTCCCCTTCGGTAGGATTGTCTTGCGTCTGGTCCTTAGAATCTTGCAGGAGACTCTTGTTGACGAACGCCAAAAGCACCGAGATGATGATCGCCAGCTCGATGGTCTCACGAAGCACAATGAAGAACGCTTGCACGGAGAAGTAGTCTTCTAACGCTAGAGCCATGATTAGTTGGAAGAAATGTGGACTGGAGTTTTTCTGGCGCCGGCACTGGAATATATAGGTCTCGCAGCCGGTCGGTGTGAGATCTGCGGGCCACGAGAACCGGGGCTCGGGTACGGCATGGGAACTCGCTCTTCGCGCTTGTAATAAAGAAATTACCCTCGAAAGTCGGTCAGGGATTCCTGCAGGTAGTGCGAGCGAACCGGTTTAGTTTTGATCCGCGTCTAAACTGTCGCACTGACTTTTCACTGGGGGTTATCTATTCTATCAGAGACTGTAGTATTCACGGGTTCTGGTCAGTTAGGCTTTGATTATGGTCATGCAAGTTTTTTATAGTGGATATGCAACTGAAGGTGCGTGTTTCTGTTTTTCCGATTTTCCGTCATGCCGCTCGGATCTCCGCTTCGGACTGGCGACTCGTTACCTTCACGGTGCCTGCCTGTCATACAATGAATGAGCTTGGGAGGCTCATGTCTCACTTCACATTTCTTCTTTCTCTGGTGGTAGCTCTGTTTCTTCTGTTTCTTCTATCACGCTTTTAGGCTTCCTTTTCATTTCTTTTTCGTCATTTTTCGTCTGTTTCCTGTCATCAGATGCTCCCCCTGTTTCATCCTTTGGGTGTGAATACACGGAATGTAGCCTCACTCCTCACTCCTGGAATGGAGGGGGCCTTACGCTACTGTAGAGGAGCGTCTCATCAGTCGTTCAAGAGACATTGGGTTTAACTTAAAGTGTCTTACCTTTAACTGTCTGTGCCTTTTGGTATCATCATCAAAAGCCACCTCTATGTATCTTCCTTCGAAGATCATCATATCTATAACCGCATCACTTAAGTAAGCCTCTTCAATATCTGGGCTTTACTGGCTTCGTTCTTATACCGGAAACCCCAGGCCTGTTCAGCCTGCTCACGTATGGTTCTGACCTGGGTTTCTTCTCCAGCTCAGGTTCTGGCCCCTCTGTCCTTTGTCTCTTAAACCTCTCCCTGTCAATCTCATGACTCTCTTCAAAAGCAGGCATGTCCTCTGGTGCCAAAGGCTTTGGATCAACTCTGAAGTATTCATGCTCCAACGCATCCTGAGCGTTCCAGCGCTTTGCAGGATCTAACGTTAGAAACTTATCCAAAAGCAGAACACCAACCTCGCCCATGAGAGGCACAAAGCGTTGCTCTAGCGTACGTTTGCATGTCAACCCAATATTAAGGTCCTGTTTGTTCGGGAGAAGCGACGCACTCGCCCAGTTCTCGCGAGATGGTGGTCCCACCATGTCAAAAATAAGTTGCGCTTGATTGGAGTCAGACGATCCGACCAAGATAGGTTTCTTCGTGAAAAGCTCGCCAAAGACACATCCAACGCCCCACATGTCAACAGCAGTGCCGTATTTTCGTTCACCTAGAAGCAACTCTGGAGACCTGTACCATCTCGTGACGACTAACGCTGTGTATGCTCTCTCTCCACCTCCAGAGCCCAAACCTTTTAGAGGCGTTTTGCCATGGTAGATTCTGGCAAGCCCAAAATCAGCAATTTTCACCACTCCATGTGGATCAATGAGGATATTAGCAGCCTTGATGTCTCTATGTAAGTAATGCTCTTGGTGAATATAATCCACACCTTGAAGAAGCTGCTTCATAATGCATTTGACCATCGCTTCAGTAAGCTTGATTTGTGGATTCTCTAATAGACCAACCAAGTCTAACGACATGTACGGTGATATCGTATAGAAACATCCTCTTTGGCGTACAGCGTCTTCAGGTGAATTGGCCTTAGCTTCCTCATATATCATGCCGGTGATCTTCAACACATTCTCATGGTTGAGACTCTTAAGAATAGTAATTTCTCTCATAGCTGTGATAGGAAAGCCTTCTTTGGCAGAATGGTTTATAAGTTGTTTCAATGCTACCAATTCCCTTGTCTTTCGGCTTTTCGCTTTCTGCACCACACCAAATGTACCTTGTCCAATCTTTTTAATCACATCAAACTCTGTTAGTTTAGACATAGTCTCAAACTTATTATACGGCTGTGGAGCACGTTTCTGACGTGCTGAAACCATAGTGATATGTTGATGATTGGTATAATGAGATGCGATGGTAATGTTAGATGTAAGTACTACGCGCGCCTAGTATCAAATGTCCGTCGATTAAATATGATTTACTCAGTGAGTGAAATGAATATATGCTATTAATTAATTTTCGTTATTTGGTTGAGTCTCTGGTCTCAGACCTCTATGCTATCCAGGTCTTGGACATGCTTTGCAAGCTTCTTTCTCTCCTTTGACAAATTTCTTGCTGCCTTCACATTGAATCCTCCTTCTAGAAGCTTGGTGGTCTCCTCCAACTTCAAGCCGGCAACTTCCGGAAGCAAGAAGTAAATGAAAAGGAAGGAAACGAAACACAATGCAGCAAAGAATGCGAAGGTTCCTGGTGGTGTGATGTTTTCAAGCATAGTCAAAAACGTAGATGCAATCACCAAGGAACCAGCCCAATTGGTAGCTGCAGCGTACATACCTCCAACGGATCTCACATTGACATCCGAGAAAAGCTCAACACCGGTCCATGCACTGTTACCAATACCAATGGCATATGACGCAACGTAGAACACCATACCCATGATGACGACAATGCCCCAGCCTGTGATACCTGTAGTCTCAACGACAACTTCTGCTCCATCACCGAACTTGACGCCCAAGAAGTGGAAAGCAATGGCACAAATAACAAGTGCTGCGCACATACCTGGAATAGCGAAAAGCAAGATACGACGACGTCCGACAAAGTCGATAATACACAATGCAACAAGGGTGAAGACGAAGTTTGTGGCAGCAACAATGATCGACACGGCAGTGGCGTTCTCGAAACCGATGGTCTCGAAAATCGTAGCACTGAAGTACATCAACGAGTTGAAACCAGTAAACTGTTGAATACCTTGCAAGCCACAAGCCAAAACGAGAGCACGGAAGTTGGCTGGTCTAGAGTGAATAAGCTTGATGGAGTTCCAGATCTGAGAAACTGGGCCACCTGGAACGGTCGAATTGGACTGAATCATGTCATCCAAAAGAGCATCAATGTGGTCCTCAGAGGAGTCACTATGAGTCTTCAGCAACACCTGCCTGGCTCTCTCAATGTTGCCATTGATAACGTAGTATCTAGGGGTGTCAGGTAAGAACAAGAACAAACCCAGTTGAATGACAGCAGGGACCATACACAAGCCCACAGACACTCTCCAGCCACCGTCCATGTTTGTCAAGCCCCAGTTGATGAAATAAGCGATCAACTGACCGCCTGTGATAAAAATACAATTGGTGACGATAAGACGTCCTCTATACTTTGAAGGAGCCAACTCACTCAACATGAGTGGGGCTATAAGGGATGCAATACCGACACCGAGACCCAAAACGAATCTTCCGGAAATCATTGTCCACACATGTTTGGCAACAAGCTGGATGATGGTGCCGACGACGAAAATAACATTGGAGCCCATGAGCACGCGTTTTCTACCAACCAAGTTGGCACCGACACCGCCGAAAATAGCACCAATCAAGGCACCCAACGAGGTGGCAGAAGTGATGAGTTCTTTTTCACTTGATGACAAGATCTTGTTGGACAAGTCTGTACCCACATTGACCAAAGCAGCAGAAATGTAACCAGTGTCGTAACCAAACATGAAACCCGAAATGGATGAAGCCAACGTCAAAAGAATGACAAGCTTCGTAGGGTGTTCACCTTCCAGAGAGTCACCCTTGGCCTGGGCAGCGGTGGTTCCAGAAACCATCGACGTCGACGTAGAGTCATCCTGAGAATGGAACTTGATCACATTGGCGCCATTTTTCCGCAGCGACGATTCTCGTAGTAAATTGTCCAGGGAGTTCTCCGTGGAGTTTGTATGGGATGTTTGATCCATTTAGGGTGAGACAAAACAACAAACGAAAGAAAGGGGGAGAAAAAATGTGTGGAGGAGCAAAAGTGTGAGGGAAAAAGCGATACTTATAAAGGACGATGGGAGAGAGCGCCGTGCATAATTTCGGCGAAAGACGCCAATCGGTTTGGTGAGAAGGCGCGAGAAAAATAGGAGAAAAAACACCGCTCGGCGAAATTTGAAGCAACCTCTCGGCGAGTTGACCCGCCCGTATGCAGACAGCCACCTTTAACAAGACAAGAAAGAAGCGCCTAGAAAGAGTTGGTGTGGAGGTTGGAAATGTGGATTTAGTCAGGAGGAATTTATAGAGAAATGGAGGTCATTTTTGTGGGAAAAGAGGTCCTTTTATAGTTGTTGCTTGCCCATTGGAGTGGGGGGTCAGTGGGGCTAACTGGTGGGGGTGGGGGCCTTCTCTGGATACTAGAGCACATGAATGGCTGCGAATTGACAAGAATTTAATGACAATACTGTTTATGGTAAGAGGTTGCTAGGGAGCAAGCTGGGCAATTGGGTGTCTTGGTTTGGGGTGTTTTGGGGTTAAGAGAAAGTAGAGGGATGGTGATTTGTTCAGAGTATAGTGGAGCAGGTGAAGCAGGTGAAAAGTCACTATCTGGTTGACTCGTGCGAGATGAGCATCAGATGAAGCAACTACATAAGAGAAAGGGAAAAAGTTGGAGTTTTTTCATCGCCTGAACGGTATTGTGCTGGAAGTTATTGTTTTATAAGATTCACTGGATCTCTTAGGGTATCCTAGATTTGGGTAACGTTGGGTTGGGCTAGGGCGTTTTGGCAAAGCGGCTCGACTAGCCTTATTATTATTTCGCAGCCATTACCGCCTCAGCAGATGTCAAGAAAGGCGTCAAAATGTAACAAGCTTTACGGTGGGAAACCTACAGCGAGCCGAACAGCAAAGGCATTGGATTGGTGGATCTATATGGCGCTTCTTCGCTTAAAAGAGTGTTGCATTGTGTCTACTTCAACTAGGCTTTGTTCCTGTCTACATCTCCCGATTGATTATCAAATGTATGTTAAGTCTACTTTTTACATGCTCAAGGACTTGCTTAAAGAGACACCCACGGTGTAAGCGAGAGTGTTTATCGTCAGCATCGTGCGTCGTTTTCTGTTCTAAAATTAACGCTTCTTTGGAGGGTTGAAGGTGATCTTTCTGTTCTTGATTGGCTGCCACTTGAACTTCTTCACCCAGACGGACAACAAGTAAAGAGAAGATGTGATGATAAGGGCTTTGAGACCCCATCTCTTTCTGTCGTCATGCTCTGGCTCGGAAGCCCAGTTCAAAAAGTGAGACACATCCTTGGCCATCTGAGAAGTGGTAGCTGGAGTACCGTCCTCGTATTCAACCAAGTCATCAAACAACACTCTACCCATGGCAATAGCACCACCTGGGAAGTATGGGTTGTAGTTGGATCCAGGAGGCAAGGTAACACCGGCTGGTGGCTCCTCGGGGTAACCAGTCAAAAGAGCGAAGATGTAGTCGGCACCACCGTGTCTAGCCTTGACAATCAAAGACAAGTCAGGAGGCAAAGCACCCTGGTTAGCGGCTCTGGCAGCTTGTTCGTTCTCGTATGGGCCTTGAAGGTAGTCGGCCAACTTACCGATTCTCTTTCTTGGCTTACCTTCATCATCTGGCTCATCGTCGTATTCGAGCTCCTCAGCCATAGCCTTGGCCTCAGAAGTAGCGTGGGAGACACCAACCAAGTTTCTCCAGGCAATTCTGTCCAAAGAATGACAAGCAGCACAGACTTCTCTGTACACCTGGAAACCTCTTCTGATGGAGGCGTGGTCGAATGTGGAGAACATACCGTTCAGGGGCCAGTCAAAAGCTGGAGCGTGGAGACCGTGCTCTGCAGCAGTCATGGCGTTGGCGGTCATGGAGTCCTGGTAAAGGATGTAAGAAGCACCAAGACCAGCGCCGGCGACAGTCAGCATCACCACCTTGTTGGATGCAATTCTGGATGCCGATCTGAACATGCTGAATATATATGTGTGCAATGGAATTAAAGGGTTTTTCGGTAGCAGGAGTGTGTTCTTTCGAGCTCAAGATCACCTAGCGTTTGTGATGATGCTTTGGGCTGAGTAGGACAAAGGGACCACACGAAAAGTTTAGAAATGAACTTCTGAAAGTCGGGGAGATGCGATAAAACGAGTCCACACGAAACCAAAAGAAGGTGAATTGGAAGGCAGAAGACCGTGCGTTTGGTGGTACCGTTAAGTTATATTTTTTTTTTTTCAACTATTGAGCACTGAGGAAATAGTGTAAAAGCACCTCCCGCGATTGGCCAGAGCAATTTGATGTATACACGACGAACCTAACTGGCTACGTGCGATATTGATACCATATGTAAGCGGGCTTGACAGGTGAAACGAAAGCGACTGGGTGTGTTGAACGACACATGACATACAAAATCGGGGTAATTAAAGCTCAATGTTTCGAATGGGGGGCTTTAGGGTTGATGGTTTTGGGAAAAGTTTTTCACCGGTCACGTGATAAATGGCGCCACGGCCCACGATCCAAATGCCCATAGTATGCTTACTTGGACTGACAGCTTTGAAGTAACTAGACCATGTTAGGGCTTTTTTGGACAATTCAGGGTAATGCTCAATCGTGGAAATTCAGATTGAGAAGTTTGTTTTTTCCTCAACTTACTCTGGCTTTTTTCCATTACTCCCTCTGTAACCACTCTTTCGCTTAAATAACCGCGGGTTATTTTGCAACCACTGAGGGCCATCTGTAGAAGTTGGAAGACTGCAATTTTGGCAAAGAGTATGTTTGAAAATGTATGTGGTTTAGGACACCCATCGTATATTTATCATCAGCCTTGTTGGACTTCGAATTTTGGAGGTTATAGTTTGGGAAGTGGCTTATGTACAGCCAATTAACTAAAGCAGGGCATTGACCAAGTAGGTTTCTAAGAATCTCCTCTGATTGACATTGAAAACCGTTTATTCCTTTATTTGGTTGCTAATCGTAGGTTAAGTTTGCTGCTATTTACTTTTAAACGTTGAATAAACATTGATGCTAGTAATGTATCAACTGCCAAAAGGCCCTATAGCACCACTTGTCACATACATAATGACCTTTGTTCTCCCCCACACCACTCTATCGAGGTATGTTGAAAGAATCATTTAGTATTTGGGGTCAATGCCAACGATGTACTAACAGAATCGTCTTGCTTTCATGCCTTGGAAACACCCGTCGAGTAGTATGTGAAGTGTAGAGCCACTGTGCTATGCTTGACAGTTCTTGTAAAGCATTTGTAACGTTTATTGATCCAAAACAAGTGTCTTAGCTTGAATGAACAGCTTTTCACACAGCATATCCTATAGCTTCCTTGCAAATAGTGCCTCCTACAGAACCAAGAATTATGTCTCATTTCGCAGCCAATTACTTAGGCTTGGAGTTTCCCTCTACTGTCTATCTAACTGGGCTAATAAAATAACACCTTAGCTATGAATAATATTTATCATGGAGATCTAGAATTTTTTGTTCGACTTTCCTTTCTTATTTCTAGCCCTAAGAAAAGGGCCCTATGCTAAAGTCGTCTAAAGTATAGTGTAGAAAGTTGAAAACGATGCTACGATCGCTTGTAACAAATTGTAGTTGTAGACACTTGGAAAGGCTCGTGTCAGACTGCAAACAAGTTGTGAAATTACTTTTCACTCTACATTTAATTGACTCGTACTTCGTATGTATTATTATTATAAGGGGCCAAAACAGCCCTTTTACCCGTATCAGCAGATATGTAGTCTATAAGCCGAAATTTAAGCCTTAATCTTAGCCAAGGCCTGTTCTATGTCAGCCAACAAGTCATCAGTCTCCTCAATACCAACAGAAACTCTGATCAAGTCATCGAAGACACCAGCCTTCTCCCTCTCGGCTTGTGGGATACCACCGTGGGTCATGATAGCAGGAACCTCGATCAAAGACTCAATACCACCAAGGGACTCAGCCAAGGTGAAGAGCTTGGTGGAAGAAGTGAAGACAGATGCAGCTTGGGCACCACCAGCAATTCTAAAAGAGATCATACCACCACCAAGGCCGTCACGGTGCTGCTTAGCAACAACAGAGTGTCTAGCGTGGGACTTGAGGCCTGGGTAGTTGACGGCAATGACGGACTCGTGTTGAGACAAGTACTCAGCGATCTTTTGAGCAGTGTAAGCGGCTTGTCTAACTCTCAAGTGCAAGGTCTTAAGACCTCTGTGAGCCAACCAGGAGTCGAAAGGAGATGGCACAGAACCAATGGCGTTCTGCAAGAAACGGTACTTGTCGTGCAATTCCTCGCTGTTGGTGGCCAAGACACCACCGACAACGTCAGAGTGACCGTTAATGTACTTGGTGATGGAGTGCACCACAACGTCAGCACCGTGGACCAATGGGTTGGACACGTATGGAGACAAGAAAGTGTTGTCAACAACCAAAATAGCGTTTTTGTTGTACTTCTTGTTGTGCTCCTTCACAAGGTCGGCCACAGCAGAAATGTCAGTGACAGACAAGGTTGGGTTGGATGGGGTCTCGAGCCACACAAGCTGAGTGTTCTCACGCAAGGAAGCCTCCAAGTCCTTCTGCAAATCGTGAACGAACTCAATGTCAAGACCGTGGGTGTTGGCAACCTTAGTGAAGTAACGGTGAGTACCACCATAGACATCACCACCAGAAACAACGTGGGAGCCAATAGGCAAAGACTGGAGGATCAAAGCGGTGGTGGCAGAACCAGAGGCAATGGCCACGGCGTGCTTAGCCTTCTCCAAAGAAGCAATAGCAGCCTCGAAGTTGTCTCTGTTTGGGTTTCCGGATCTCGAGTAGTCGTAGATACCAATTGGCTTGGATGGTTCCAGCTGAGCGAAGGTGGTACTGAGAGAGATAGGCTCAATGACAGCACCGGTGTGAGGGTCGATTGGAGCACCTGCGTGGATAGCTCTGGTTCCGAAGCCGTAGTTGGTGTTAGAGTCGACAGTCATAGTGAATGTGGAAGTTGTTGGGAAAGAAAAGATGGTTTTCTGGTAAACTGGATTTGTCAGAAACTATATAGCGCCACGGTTTTTTCGCAGGAAGTTTCTTTTTGCCTTGTGATCCTGCAGGGCAGTCCGATGCCCAGAGCGAGCCACATTTTTTTGGGATGTTCCAAGCGACGTCAATGATGACTTTGGAATCGGATGAGGAGGGTCGTCGTTAGAAGTAATAGTTGTAAAACGCCGGAGGCGATCTAAGCGAGATACAGACCGCTGGTGGGGAGCTGGAAGGTTTTGTCTTAAATTTGTCACGTGTATGGTCACGTGATGTCATCTTGCACCCAACGCGATGGATCATGCCACCCACTGCTAATCTTTGATTCTCTTGGTTAAATAAGACGTGTATGGCGTTTTGCCCGAGTTTATGACGTTTTTTTAGCTTCGTATGACTTGATTATCATCAGTATTGGCGTCATATTGGCTGTTCAAGTCGCCATTTCTCGAGCTACCAAGCCGCGCACTCGGACTTTTGCGGCCATTCCGAACCGGGGTGAAGATCCCGATTTCAGCCTTCAGGGTCCATGAACAGTGAATAAGGACCACAAGTAAAGTGCACAACAAAAAGGGCGTAGAATGCTTGGTCGTATAGAGGCTGAAGTTAAATAGTCTTTTTAGGTTTTTGGGGAAAAAAAAGTATGTTTTGGGTAAATCGACAGACAAGGCTCGGCAGTTAACCTCCAGCAACAGAAAGGATGGTGTTGGGACATGCCATTGGACCTTGATTGATCTAAAAAGTATGGCTGATGCTGGTAAATCATTGATCTTAAGGGACATCACGCTATTTGGCAGTATACCTTGAACTTGACCTGGACTTGTGTTTTGATCCACTTAGATCACTCTGAGGCTTCCATCATCCAACAAATGACTGTGGAGATATTAGTTATGGCCATTCAATGGCTTAGAGCACGAAGTATGATTGAATTGGGCGAACTGCGGTCGGTTGTCATCAACACAAGCCAAGATCACCAAGAAAGGGATTTATTCTCATTTTCACTCCATCATTTCCAGGCTGTGTTGAACATACGAATAATACCCAAAAGCTTCAATGTGGTTCTGGTGACCATTACACCCGACAGTAGAGTGATACACGAGGACGGTCAACCGAGACGAAAGTGGATGTGGAGGGCCGCCAAGACGAAAGAGAGTATTAAAGTGGAGACACAAAAGACAGATTGGGAGAATTGGGATACATGGCGGCTGTGGTAAGGGCAATACTGCAAACCAGAAAGACCGGAATGAAAGGTTTCACAGGCTGGTTATGCTACAGGTGAAGCCGTACGGTGGGAAGGTAGGTAGTAAATGTAGGTGTTGATGGAGGCTATAAGGGCAGTTTGACTCTGATGGTGATAGGCGTTGCGGTCAGACGAGAAGCTCCGCCTCTTGACAGACTGGAAAGACGGAGCCGTAGCAGCCGCTTGTAGGTGGCTTCACTGCAAGGATGGCCACTCCCTAAACAAGGCTAAGCTAAATGGGATGAGGGATGAACAGATGAACAAACGAGTAAATCAACAAATGAACAGCAAAAGAGCAAATTCAAGAAAAGTGAGTACTAGTCTATGTGGTGACCTCACCAAGTAGGCGAGATATCAAGGCGTCAGTAAACCACCTAGGGTATTCCAGGCTGCATCATGATTTCATGGGCTGTCATTGACACTGCGGCTAATAACGCACGATACGAGGCACCACAGGAACGCAAATGCCAACGCAAAATAACAAGGAAAGATGGACAGTAGCAAAAAAAAAAAAAAAAAAAAAAAAAAGTACCACAATAAAGAAGTACCCTGAAGAGCCATTCGAGCCGCAGACTTTCCACTACTATGGAGCCGTGGGAGCCGTAGGGGGCCGAGTAACAGGTGAATAGGATGAAAAGTGCGCCAGAGAAAGTGCGCCAGCTTTAAGTGCACCAACAGATAACGACGTGCTGCGCCTCCGCCAAGGTCAAACAGAGACTTTAAGGGAAAAAGGCAAGGGAAGTTGACGTCGATGATGGTGTCGAAAAAGAAAGGACCCAGGTCGAAAAAGAAAAAAGTCCTTAGTTTGTCCCCAGTGGACCTGCTGAATAAGCTTCTGTAGTGCCATGCATCAGTGATGGAACATCGGTCCATGGAAGAATGGACGAGCCGGCACTTCAGGTGCACTGGCACGCGCGGCGCATCCAATTCCACCTGCCAAAACGACCCTAGCACCCTAGCGAGGGTGCAAGCTGGGTGCGAAAAATATCTACCCTGTAGAGCCACCTACTTAGCTCGTAAACCCACACTAAGACTCTCTTCTCGTCTTCTGTCATTCTTTGCTAAGCACGCCTTGGTCCTGCCGGAACCTGCCAGGCTCAGGCGGCGCACCAATTGTTGGCTCGCAAATTCCCTTCATAAGACTGGTGCCAAGGCCTTCGTCTGTCCAGCACCAACTGCACCGCCCGGCTGCGAAAAAGAGGCTGTGCGAACGGCCCTTTTTGCTGCCACTCGCTCACACAAAACGCTATGTTTGCCAGAGCCTGACTGGGGGTGCACGAGGGCAACTTCACCCATAGGGAACCCGCTATGCTGGGGGATTACCAATTAATTTCACGTAGTTAGTGTCGTTGCCCTGACCTTTGCATTTGCGTAGGCTGCATCTTGTCCTGTGCGTTTCGCCTGTGGCATCTCACTAAGCGTAATCAGTGATTCCTTCGCTGCTGCTGCTGCTGCTGCTGCTGCCCCCACTGCCCTTTTCTGTTCATTTCTCGCATCTGCGCCGCCTTATCAGTTCCTTATATCTTATCCTCTTCCGCACTTTTCCAATTCCTCCGATTCATCCCTCACTACAACCATGTCCCTCCAGGTGCCGAGAGACGACAGAGACGACGTTTCTGTAACGTCCATCACCTCGGTTCACTCGGACGTTCCACTTCAAAGTCGCCTGTTCCAGCTTTCCGTGGGCGACCTTTCCCTGCTTCACGATCCAAAGTCTTTGGCTCAATTACGCACCCTAGGCGGTGTAGACGGTCTTGGTGCTTTGCTTCATACTGATCTTGCTCGTGGACTTGATACTCAGGATCACTCAGATAGAATCGAGATTTATGGTACTAATGTGCTACCGACCCGTGTTGCCAAGGGCTTTTTCCAGCTCTGTTTAGAGGCCATGAAGGATAAGGTGCTTATTCTTTTGACCGTGGCTGCCATAGTTTCCCTCGCCTTGGGTCTTTATGAGACTTTTGGCCAGGATACTATGTATGACGATGAAGGTATGCCTATGCCCAAGGTTGACTGGGTCGAAGGTGTGGCTATTATTGTCGCTGTGATCATCGTTGTGGTGGTTGGCGCTGCAAACGACTACTCCAAGGAGCGCCAGTTTGCTCGTCTTAACGCTAAGAAAGAAGACCGTGATGTCGTGGTTATCCGCGACGGCACCCAACGTATGATCTCCATCTATGACCTTCTTGTTGGTGACATTATCAGCTTGGCTACTGGTGATGTGGTGCCTGCTGACAGTGTGCTCGTCAATGGTGAAGTCGAATGCGACGAGTCTGCGCTCACTGGTGAGTCTGAAACTGTGGTTAAGAAGTCTGCCAACGAGGCCTTGGCCTTTTATGAACAGTCCTTGGCTGAGTTCCCTAACGAAGATATCGGATCCACCGCTCTTAAGCTTAAAGATCCTTTCTTGATCTCCGGCAGTAAGATCCTCTCTGGTGTGGGCTACTCTGTGGTCACCGCCGTCGGCAAGCACTCTATCCATGGCAGGACCATGGGCTCGCTTTCTCAGGATAACGGCGCCACGCCTTTGCAAGAAAGATTGGACAACTTGGCTACTGGTATCTCCAAATATGGTGTTTTGGCTGCAATCGTCCTTTTCATTGTCTTGTTCATCCGTTTCTGTATCAACATTACAGGTAGCGGTCGTTTCAGCGACCTTCCAGGTACTGAGAAGGGTAAGAAGTTTTTGGATATTCTTATTGTCGCCATTACTATTATTGTTGTGGCTGTTCCTGAAGGTCTTCCCTTGGCTGTTACTCTTGCTTTGGCTTTTGCTACCACTAGAATGGCTCAAAACGGTAACTTGGTTCGTGTCTTGCGTTCCTGTGAAACTATGGGTGGTGCCACTACTGTCTGCTCTGATAAGACGGGTACCTTGACGGAAAATAGAATGCGTATTGTTACCGGTTACATTGATGAGGAACACAACTTTGATGATACTCACAATGCTGAAATCCACGCCTCCAAGAAGTCTAGCGAGGTCTTTGCTAAAGTTCCTCAGGAAATTAAGGATGTCATTCTTCCTAATATTATCAGCAACTCCACTGCCTTTGACAATCCTGATTACGATGAAGAGAAAGCTATTAATGCTCGTACCAAGCCAAAGAAGAAGTCTTTGTTAGCTCACATATTCTCGAACCAAAACGAGAAGAGACAGAAAGAACATCAACAGTTGGGTATAATCTCTGAGCCTTACTTGGGTAACAAGACTGAGTCTGCGTTATTGATCATGGCTAAGGACAAGATAAATCAGTTTACTACCAGCAGCCTTGACCAGCAGCGTGATGTCAATTCAAGAGATATCGTCGACATAATTCCGTTTGAGAGTTCTAGAAAATGGTCTGGTATTGTTATGAAGACTGAGAACGGTTTCCGCCTCTATGCTAAAGGTGCTGCTGAGATCGTGTTCAAGAACTGTTCCCATCATTTAGATGCCGATGGTACATCTGTTCCTATGTCAAGAGCTGATAGAGATAACGTCCTCAATACTATTGACGGATATGCTAACGATGCTTTGCGTGCAATCATTCTTGCTCATCAAGACTTCGTTGGCTTAGAAAGCTGGCCTCCTAAGAGTATGGAGGATCCTACGAGAGCTGGACAAGCCATTCCAGAAATGCTTTTGGATATAGATGCTTCCCCACATGATTGCACTGACTCCCTCACTATGGACATCTTGGTTGGTATTCAAGATCCTCTCAAGGAGGGTGTCGCTGAGGCTGTCAAGCAGTGTAAGATGGCCGGTGTTAACGTGAAGATGGTCACTGGTGATAACTTGAACACCGCTAAAGCCATCTCGAGAGCTTGTAATATTCTCACGCCTGCTGATTCATCGAATCCTTACGCATACATGGAAGGCCCAGCATTCAGAGCCATGTCTATCGAAGAAAGAACCAGAATTGCTCCTCATTTACGTGTTTTGGCAAGATCCCAGCCTGAGGATAAGAGAATCCTTGTTGACACCTTGCGTAAAGCCGGCGAAGTTGTGGCTGTTACTGGTGATGGTACCAACGATGCTCCTGCTTTGAAGTTGGCTGATATCGGGTTTTCTATGGGTATCAATGGTACTGAAGTGGCAAGAGAAGCTTCAGATATTATCTTGATGACAGATGATTTCACCGATATCGTTCAAGCTATTAAATGGGGCCGTACTGTCGCAGAGTCCATCAAGAAGTTTATTCAGTTTCAATTGACGGTGAACATCACTGCTTGTGTCTTGACTTTTGTGTCTGCTGTCGCTTCTGCTAACGGTGATTCTGTGTTGACAGCCGTCCAATTGTTGTGGGTCAACTTGATCATGGATACCTTGGCTGCTTTAGCTTTGGCTACCGACAAGCCTGACGATGCTTTGTTGAACAGAAAGCCAGCTGGTAGAAGAATGCCATTGATCAGTGTCTCCATGTGGAAGATGATCATTGGTCAGTCCATTAACCAATTGGTTATCACGTTTATTTTGCATTTTGCTGGCCATCAACTTTTCTTCGGCAATAGGGAGCTCACTAACCATGAAGATAAGCAGTTGGATGCTATGACTTTCAACACATTCGTCTGGTTGCAGTTTTGGAAATTGTTCGTTACCAGAAAATTGGACGAGTGTGACTCGGTTAGAAACATCAAAGACCGTATCACGCTTGAGAATTTGAACTTCTTCCATCACTTATTCAGGAATTGGTACTTTATCGTCATTACGCTTTTGATCGGTGGTTGCCAGGTGCTTATTATGTTCGTCGGTGGTGCCGCTTTTAGCATTGCTAGACAAACCCCAGGAATGTGGGCAACTGCTATTTTATGTGGTCTTCTTTCTATTCCTGTCGGTGCTGTGATTCGTATCATTCCAAACTACTGGGTTGTCAAGATGTTCCCAACTAGAGCTGCAAAATGCTTCTTTTACTATGCTGGTTTTGAGTTCTTGAGCAAAGAAAACAGAAGAAAGCGTGCTGAAAGAGACTTGGAAAAGAATGAGATCGATCCTAATGATGATATCGAACTTTCTGGTGAAGAAATCAAGCACGAACCAATTAATGAAGATCCACAAGAAGGAGTCTCTGGAGCCCCTGCTACCACGACACTTGACCCAAAAAGCCCTAATGGAGCGTCCGAGTCGACGGTCCCTAAGTAATTCTCGCAAGTTGAGAATTACAGCCTTTCCTTTTATTTTTACAGTATTATTTTGCATGCCCACGAAGCCGCTTCGTTAGAGGGCAACGTCTTTTGTATTATAGTCATTTATACACGAATTTTTCACGATCACTTCCTTTGGGTTTCTGTATCAAGCCTTGCTATAAATCTGTTGTAAGCCGGACCGAATGCAGAAAATTGTTGGAACACGGTAGAGAGCTCCCGTAGTTGTTTAATGCTTGTTAAAGTGGCCTCGATTTCCTTTTCTGATTTAGAACGTAATTGGTTCTTAAGGGAGTCGAAAAGTAGATTAAGCAGATGTTGAAATTGGTCAATTGTGACCAGGGAAGGGTCATGTCCAAGCATATCACGAGCACTTTGAAGTACCTTTAAGACTTGTTGTATGTTCTGCTTGACCCGTTTGAGTAAGATTAACGATTCTACGGCTGCCAGCTGGCCACCCGAATCTTTCTTGAGCTGTTCATTAGCCTCGATTAGCTCTTCCTGTAACGTATCCACGGTGTTATGCAATGCTGACACGTAGTATTGTAGTCTAGTATTGTCGTTCGAAACTTCAACTGGTTCTGTCTCCAGCACTGGAGCCAAATTCAGGGAAAGGCTCTTGAGAGCTTCGAACTTGGCCTCCAAGTCTCGAGATATTTCATTTGTTTGGTAATCTAGGTGTGTTATAACATCCAGCAGTGTTGACGAGAGTCGAGTTAGCAGCTGTTTGGAAAACTTGTCCTCTGAGCCAGCTATTGACAGGAAAAGTGCATCGACATATGATGTGGGGTTGAATTTTTCGTCAAAGAACATTGCTAGTGGGTCATTATGGACTTCATTGTCCCCCTTGGTTGTCTTCGGTTCCAACTCGGATGCCATTCTTTCTATGGTTTATGTTCATAGATCAGAATACATAACTAGTGCGAAAGTAGTGAAACCGACAGAAGAGGCGTATCGGGAGCCATCAGTGTCTGGAAGGACTCGGGATTTGGAGAGTAATACTAAAGGATGTGCTATTTAACTTAAACGAATCAGTTTTGGTTTGTTAATCATTCTTGATTATTCAGTGCATATTTTGTCTTTATAGAAAACAGCGACAGTTAAATTCGCAGTTATATAAGAGAATAGCTTTGTAGTTACAGAAACATGAGAAGATACATTTTTGCAAAGAAAACAAAAAATAAAATAAAAAAGGGAAAGCAATCAAAGAACATCAAGAAGAAGAGAAACAACCCTATCAGCCCCTTTTACCAAGCCAGCAGCCATTCCGATAAAAGGCTAATCTGGGGTGTACTATCAGACATACTTCTCGCGCCTCCCCATATTTCAGATCTAACTATATTGCCTCCATTGATATCCAGTAACCATACCATGAAACTTGTGACGGCTCAAAAGGAGATCTTAACGATTATCCAAGAAGTCGAACTGGGAGAGTCTAAAGAAGATAAAATTTGGATCGCCGTCAGAGACTCGACGGATGAAGACCATCTGGACTACGGTGATGTGAAGGTAGAAGGTTCTGAGAGTGGAATGCAATTGTCGTGTGAAGGCTTTACCATCACGAGAAAGGGGCCACAAGCATTCCTCATAGAGCCTCCAGGGAGACTTTGCACTGCTCCTTCCCAAAGCATCGATATCCGTCTGGTTCTGGCGGTTGCATTGACCAAATCCACCAAGACTCTTCTAGTTGGCACGGAGCAAGGTTCGCTCAAGAGATTCGATACAACGACAAGAAAAGAAGTTGCCAAGATTGAAAATGCACATTACTCGAATGTTACCCTCTTACGAACATTCCCATCCGATAAGGTGCTTCTATCAGTGGGCAGTGACTTTCAAATCAAGATTTGGGACATTGAACTAGAAGAAGATAAATCAGCACGTACATTCCGCCACCAGAATAAGAGGATTACTGACGTTGCTCTCATTGGTGGTGGTAGAAACTTTATCCTGACATCCGAAGATGGGTCAGCAGTACTTTGGGAGTGTGGCTCTGGCAAAGTCGTGTCTACGTTCCTACGGATTGGCAACCACAAGGACCCAGCCCTATGTGTGGTTGTCTGTTCCACGGATAGCGCACTCTCTGCGTCCGACATTCTTGCCGGTGAATCCCAGTACGAATGTGAAGATAAGGTTATGTACGTCGGTTACGGATCAGGGATCATCCAGGAGTTCCGTATCGCGAGCCATAGCCAAACAAGCGTCAAGTTCAAGAGAAGTAAGGACTCTCCAGTCACTGCTCTAGTATCCCCGGATGAACACACCCTTGTGGCAGGATATGAGGATGGAACCATAGTCGTATGGGATAGAGATGCACAAAGGGCTAAGCACGAAGTGTCTTTTAACCCCTCCTTCCCTATTAGCAATATGACGATTCGAGCCAGTAATACACTAGTATTTGACAATGGGCCTGAGCTGCTACTCACAATGGATCTAAATAGCCTTGACGTGGGGCAATTGATAGGCTTCACCGAAGCCTTTACGGTGCAGCTGATAGCAGCAGTGAACAAGACCATAGTGGTGGCCACAGGGGACGAGATTGCAAACTACTAAATAGATTTAATCTAAGTTATCAAAACTTTATTCATATATAAAGTGGACAGTAAGAACACCAGGCTCGCTTACAACTTGGACTTTGGTCTTGGGTCAATCTGCTTGAAGACGGACTCAATGGCGGTAGCCTTCATCATGTTACCCTTGACCTTCAACTTACCGTTCATGAAAAGCTTCTGGCCGTTAGCCTTACCACCGGCCAACTTAACGAAGTCAGCGTCCTTCAACAACAACTGGACGTCAGACTTTGGAGCAGAGTCAGCCTTGGCAATGGTACCCTCCTTTTTGAGGTCCAAAACCCAGGACTGGTCCTTGCCCTCCTTGTTCTTCAAGGTGATGACAATGACAGCCTTGACACCGCCAATAGCCTTCTTCTTGAGCTCAGGGTCCTGCAAACCGTCGTACAATTCCTTAAGGAATGGGGAAGAGTTAAATCCATCAGCAGTAACGTCAGACATGATGCAATAAATATAATAAGTATTGGTTATAGAAAGAAAGTTACAAAGGTCGCGGGGGGTTGCCCACTATATATGCTTTTCCACCCACGCCTTTCACATGGTCCAGTGCCTCGGTTGCTATGTGCACTTTTCAAATGGGCTTCTCCACAAAAAAACCGTCGCTGCGCCAATACACCACGCTCATACTAGGCGAGCAAGGCAGATTACCCTATGCTTGTACCTAAAGGGGAAATCGGACCAGAGAAAAAAAAAAAAAAAAAAAAATTCCTTGCCTAAGCCGTTACTACCGAACCCTAGCGCCGGCGTCACCGTTTTTCTTCACCTCCTTGTGAAGTAACGCTAGTTGTCACATGACCTTCTTTTTCCCTGTGATAGCTGGTTTCGCAGAGAGTGGGTTTAGCCTGTGAGACGTTGCAGGCCACATGATATGGTGAATGGCTGCTAAAGAACCACTGGCTACAGGGAGATAGGATATAAGGTGGGGGCGACGGGAATTTGGCCGGGAAATTCAAACCCATATACTACTCAGAGAAAATTTTACTAGGGCCACTTTTTTTCTGCCTCTTTTTATGTCACTTTCCGCGAGTTTCTGCCGTTCAACTACCTATTTGCCGCCGTTTATTGGTTCTATGGGCCTATCTTAACTACTTCCCTCGCGAAAAACCGCGACCTCGGTGAAAAATAACTTCTCCACTTTTGGCCTCACCTTTCACGCACCCCTCCATTGCGAGCACTTTCACCCGCGGTCACCATGGTGGGATGTACGGGTTTGTTCACCGTCCCACTCACCACTTTGTTTCCCTCCACTGGTGCCACTAGCACTTGATTTTTCGGCTGCTCCTATGCACTACTCATCGCTCTACTACCATGTCCTTTAAGTCAGCCAGCTCCAGAGCCAAAGCCAAGGCCACGGTAAATAAGCTCTTTGACGATGTATTGCCTGGATCTACGCTTCTACCCCTGAAGAAGGTTTCTAGCTCCGCAGCTAGTGATTTTGCTCTGGAAGCCCGCAAAAATCGTCTCACCAAGGCTGAGGTCAGGAAGCAGAACAAGACTGAAAGAGCGAAGCAGAACAAGGAGATCAACAAAAGGCTAGAAAAGGATAAAAAATTCCAAAAGCTTGTCAAATACAATGTCATTAAAAGTCACAAGGGCGCTGCTGCAGCCATGACTCCAGAGGAGGAAAAGTACCTTAAGAAGCTTGTGAAGAAAAACTCCAATGCATTGAGGCGGTCCGCTGATGTCAACGATCCCGACATCCAAGAAGAGATCGCCGCTCTCCAGCAAGAAATTATTGCCATGAGAGATGAAAAGTACGATAAGTCCAGAGATCGTAAACTTGATGCTAAGTTGCTGGCATTCAATGACAAGATCAAGTCAGGAACGTTATCATACCCAGGCCTTACCCCTGGTTTGGCACCTGTGGGTTTGGATGACGAGTCTGACGAGGAGTAACGGTTATGTTTTGGTTTATAAGGTCTATAATAGAAATACTAATTACAGGTTGGCTAGCGGCCCGTCTCGTAGAGAATCTGGCACACATCGCACGCTTTCTTCCTCACGCTTCTCTTCTTATCGTCAAGACAAACTCTGAGTTTATCTCTCGTGGTTGCTTGGTACTTCACTATCTGTGGGATTTCCACACTGGTAAAGATACCTTCAAGGCATTCAAGTGCTAAGAACCTGATCTCTTCGTCATTCACAAGCTTTTTGCCAATCACAATCTTGCGTGTGCTCAAATCCACAAGCTTCACCACGAGGCTATCAATGTTCTCAGAAATAAGATCTGGGGACTCCGAGATGATGACCTTGAATGTGTCCAACGAAGCTTTTAGAATTGTGGCATTTTCAATACTCAAACCATTGAGTACCAATGGAAAGACTTCCTTCAAATGGGGCTTTAAAATCTTGGTGGAGATGTTCCCGATGATGATAGCCAAAGTTCCCAAGAGAACTTCCTTTCTGCCATCTGCTTCGACCGTATTGAACTTTTCAAGTACTCTTTGTAAAATATTTTCGAAGATCTGTTGCTTGTAGAGAAGCTTAACGTTCAAGTTCACCACACCCGAAATGATCTTCACCTTGCTGTTCTCTGGGTTCAGGAAGACATCCAAATCAGCCATTAAAATGCTGAAACAACGCGAGGTTTGCTTGCTGTATCCAAGGTTCTCAGAGCTGAAAACTTCATCCAATAGCTTATTCAAGTACTCTGCACCTACCAGGTCGCTTCTCATAATTAATCCCTTGAGAATCCATGTGGCAGTCTCCAATGAATTAACATCAGTTTGGAAGTCACCAAATAACCTCTCAAGCACTTCGCCATTGGTCTTATCATTCTGCGAGGTGAACTTGTTCACTAAGATGGCAATAACCTGCAAGTAGCCCATTCTGACGAACTCAGCATTTGCTTGAGATGCCAATTTGATAGACTGCTCAATCTTTTCATGAGCATCAGATGGGAAGCTGCAGCTCTTATCAACTTTCGCAAGAACGTGCTTGAGAATTGCAATTTTTGCTGAAGGGGAAGCAAATACATCGATCAGTTCGCCACCGGTTTCATCAAGTCCTGAAAACTTACCCACAATGTCTTGCAAAATGGCCGGTTGTTTGCTCTTTTCTGTGTAGCGAGTGATGAGACCAAGTAACTGGCCACTTAACTCAAGAATGGCCGCATCATCCCCTGACTTCTTGACAATTAGATCCAAGAATCTGGGGACAAAATTTTTGTACCACGTATTTGTCACGAATGGCTTCACCGATTGAGTTTGTTTAAACGAACTTATGAGACAATCAATGATACTTCCAAGCTGTTCATGGCTGCAATCCTCATAGTCGATTTTGTTGAGAAGTCTAATTGACAAAACTTCCAAAACTCGGTAATTGACGCATAACTTCTTAATAATATCCAAGATATTAGTGTCGGCAATATTATCCAATAAAGTAGGCAAGATCGTTTCAATCACACTGCTGACATGAACAGCAACTTGATCCTCAGGACCTTCGGTCATGATACGTACTATACCATTCACAATCTCGGCAAGGAAAATATCCTTTTCCCAGCCAGAATTTCCAGATTGCATAACGTTGATCAAGTTATCATTAAGCCAGCCAAGGATAAGCAGGACCTCTGTCGTTAAAAGGAAGTCTTTGAGCAATATTAATTTCACGAGCTGCTGGGTGATTTTGCATTTCAAGGTTTTGTCCAACTTTGAGGAAGTCTGCAAAAGCTGTCCTAAGAAGATTAACAAATGATCCTTGTACTCCAATAACCTTGTTGGCAGGCCAAGAACTAGGTTTGCGGAGAAGACGAAACCAAGGTTGTCAATAAGATCTCTTTGACGAGCGACTGTAAGTGAAACATCGATTTCCATGTCATCATCTGATTGTTTCTCTTCTTGAAGATCACTTCTTACGTACTTTCCCCATACGTCGAACGAGAACAAGAAATCCACAAAGCCATTGTAAACTGGGACCGAAACACTTCCAAGAGAGCAGATGAGAAGCGTAGACTGCTTCACAGTTTTACTGTCTTCTGACTCGAGGTTTGACTTGAGGTCGCCTTTGACTGTTTCTACCAATGATTTGACCAGTTCCTCGGAACCGGATAGCTTCTCAGCCACTCCACTTAAGGTCTTGAGGGTCAATATCAAGGTCTTGTTGTCATCAGTATCGTCAATGGCCTCAAAATCAGGTGGTATAATGTAGGATGCCTGAGGTTGGAATATCAGAACATCGTTATGCAATATTTCGAATTTGAGAGCTTCCCAAATGGTAACCCAATACTGTTCGATAGTCGATGCACTATAATTGGTAACACACAAATAAAGAGTTTGTAAAACATCGTTCCTCACAGAGGGATTAGTGGACGTAAGCTTCTCGAAAAGTGAAGGAAAAGTGTCTTGAGCAAATTGGGTCTGGGAAGCGATAGTCTTTCTCAACTCGAGCTTTAAATCTGAAGCAGTAATTTTATAAGGATCATTAGCAGGTGGGGAGAATGAAATAGGGAAGTAGCAAAAACAGACGTCGAACAACTCAGTGAGAAGCCCATCATGCACTGAATTTGTCGTCCTATCTTGGAATTGGAACTTTTCATTGATCGCCATATTGAGTCTGAAAGACATGAGCAAATTCCTTGGATCTTTTTCTCCAGATGCAACATGTATGAATGCTTTAATAAACGTTTCCAGGAATTCTGGGTTAGTGAAGATCGCCTCTTCATGCAGCTTCAACAAGGTCAGAAGAAGGTTGAAAGCTTCGTAACGAACCTTGGCCAAATGCTTACGGGGCTCGTAAACATCTGTCACCGCTTTCACCAAAGTTGTAAAATTATCATTGACATGCGGTAAGAATTTCTTGAACTGCACTAGCGAAGTCAAGGCGGCGAGTATATGGATGGTGAGTTTCTCATCTTCGAACTTTCTCACCAAGAACTGTACCAAGACGTTAACATCCTGGTTAGTCAAACGAACGGTGTTTATCAGTAGCTCAAGGGTAGAGCTCAAGCAGTTGACCGCATAACTTCTTGTAGTTGGGTCGTCAGATGTGAGAGAGGGCCCTAGCACTTGGATGAACTGGAGTAGAGTTAAAGATCCCAGCGCAAGTCTTTCTGAAAGTTTTTGGGGAGCTTCACTAGACAGCTCACCCGATGCAACTGACGCAATGAACTGGTTAACTAATGTAGGAGCGTCGTTAGAGGCAGACATGGCGTACTCTAGTATTTCATTGAAACGGCGGTTCTTAGGTATTGGTGATCTGGTGTGCGCACGTCCACGATAAGATACAGAGGCTTGATGGCTTATGTCAGACAGAGGGCCCAATGGAAAATACCAATTACACTTTGAATCTTCATTACCAATTCATTACATACCTAAGACGTTGTAGTAGGATCTTTCCAGTTCGCACGCCATTAGTAAAAGACTTACCACTAGGTAACCAGCACACAGAGCATGTACAATGTCACTACCAAATTAGCCCTCTAGGAGATACAGGGAATGTTCGTTGCCAATGGGAGATACTGGGGAATCATATGGGTATGGCTTGGAGACCTTCACTGCAGATCCCCTAGGCCATTGCCTTGCCAACGCATGCTATGAAAAATTTTTCATAAAGAGATCGGCATGCTAGAGTTTAAACATTACGAGCTACCCTGGTATGAACAGATCTAATTATGCTATCCAGACTAGAATGTTGATCACCAATGGCTGCGAAAAGGGCCATCCCAAGATACTCCAACAGCGAAATACAATGGCATGGCATTAACGGCTTAAAATTTAAGAAAGAAGGTTTACAATAAAGAATTCCCGCAATCCACGATAAAACTTCCACTTTTTCTGGAAACACAGCCTGAAAAGCTGTCCTTCTGTGTGGTTCCTCCTAGCTAACCGGTACCAGGTAGTAATGAGAATTCGCGTCAGACAACAATAGCTGAGTCGCCCCAACCTCCTGAAGGTACCCGAAGCTCCGCGACCCCTTCGTCAGTAAGTCTACGCGTGATGGCTGTTTTATCAGTAGGGTTACTATTTTTTTTCTTTGTAGACCAAGCGTTTCGAATTTCTTCAACCTTTTCTTTGTGCTACTTCTTAGACTCCCTCTGGTGGTGCGTCAAAACAACCTTTGCCTCGAGAGCCTCGCAGCGCGACTTAACACTAGTAGTTGGGAAACCGCTGATCTGAAGTTCAAACGTTTATCAAACGACCGTGGTACTGAAGCCACAACACCACCTTAACGCATCTATAGCCTGCTGAAGAGCCCAAAATAGTGATACAGACCACTCTTCCTTTGTTTTTGTCATGATTGAAATCCCCACTTTGGAAGAGCTGGGCCATTCGAGACAAGAGCTCAGGCAGCTAGAACAACAGTACGACCGCTTGTCGCTATCAGAGAGTTTGAAACTAGATAATGGGGTTCCTCCTCAAGACTCTATTCCTGAAGAAGGCGAGCTGCAAACTCCTGAACCTCCACAGACGAATGGGTTCCACGATGAGAGTACGCCGGACCTTGGTGTGCTACAAGAAGCACCAACTTTGAAAGAACGTTCAGAGAATGACTACTCCGAACCATCCAATCTGCATCAGAACTTTAACCCAGAGACTCCCATTCCTTTAGGGCCTGCTTTCGATTTTAACCTGCCCCAACTGGCCATAGTAACTGCTCCTCAACTTGTGAATAACCAGATGTCCCCGCTTCCCTCAGATCAATATTTTTCGAACCAGTACCAAAAACAAGTGGGCCAGATCCCTTCCGAACAGACGATTTACGAAAATACAGATGCATTCATGATCCACCCAAGCACTCAGCTGCCTCATGACGAAACAGATCCATCCAACGCTTCCTTAACGCTATCAGACTACGCGGCAGAGGTGGAGAGCCAACCTCAAATAATGGAGCGTACGGTATCTCAAATGACTCCTGTTCGTCCTGCTAGAGACCGTTCTGCCCTGGCACTGGGACCACATCCTCTACGAAAGATGGTCGCATCGTCTCCAGAGGACATCAACGCTGAGGCTCACATGGAGAGCGTCAGTGATTTTGAAGCACTCGATGATTTTGACACTTCCGGACAATTCAATCGCTTACCGTCATCTAATTCTATGGGGTTGTCCCATTCACAGCTGCAGACGTTGCAAACGCCTCAACCACCTCAAGGACATAATTACGTTGAACCTTCTCCTCAACTTCCTCCTCCACTTTCAGCCAAGTCGCTGAAACTTGCATTTTCCCATAGAGACGAATTTACTCAGATGCGCCGAATTATGGCAACTGAACAGAAGACACCCGCAGAATATACTCTCCACATAGTGTTTACACAGTTTGTTCGCCACGCCGAACGTAAGTTGAACCTATGTCTTGAATACCCACTACTGGAAGAACCACCCATCCTTGATTTATTGGCACAAGGGTCTGACCCTAATTTTGATAATATCGTGTCTGCGCTTGGTTACATTGCAAAGAGAAAGTCAAAACCAGTCATCGATTCCGTTATGTTTTGGCGCAAATCTAAAAGTGAGGTTGCCGCTATGGCTGCATCTGAAGTTGAAAAGATTTACTCTGTTGCTCAAGGTGATTTGGCAAGAATTGCTTCCTCAGCTAGTAGTGCAAGCAAGTACTCACAACAATCTGTGCTGCCCAAATCTGCCAAGCCTCAAAGCAGAGGCAAGAGAAGCTTATCTCTTATGCATACTAAAAGTCTATCAAAGCTAACTCACAAAAGAAATAATTCTGCTTCTGTGGTGCCTACGACTGCTGGTGATAGGAGACCTTCTCTTGAAGTACCAGGTACTGAATCCCTGGAATACGCTCGCCAGAGGAAATACTATGATGATCAAATATCCCAAGCTCGCGATACAGCTATCCAGGCCGAGCGGAAATCTCTTGCATCAATCTATATTCTATGCCGTGTTCTAATTGAGGTTGTCAAACAAGCATCATATGAGGCAGTCGGAGACGATTTGGGAGGAAAGCTTGAAGAGATTGTCTATACTCAGTTGAGAACTACCGATCCTGTAACTACCAGGGAGTCATTCGTGAGGCTGGCTAATTGGAATTTATTTGCCGAGCTTCTAGGATATATGTCTGAGAAGCGCTTCTTGAGTGTGAGTGATCGTTTTATTGCGGACTTGGAAAAGGTACCAGCATCTGTGAAACAGATCGATGAGCCCAATATCAGGTTACTTATTCATGGTATGAAGCATCTTCGACTCTCTATTTATCCGTTGGAGAAGTTTGAGGAGAGTGCTGAATTTCTTCAGTCCATCACTAAGTTTTTCTCCACATCCCAGAATCATAGTATCCTAATTGCATACGCCAAGGTTTTAAGCAATCTTATTTTACCATTAGCGACCCTGCTTACGGCTGAAGCGAATCATCCACTTTGGGTTGAGACGACTACTAAGATATTCAATAAGGCATCCATGGTGTCTAATTACTCGTCATTGAGAGCAAGTAATGGTGCTCCACCTGCGGTTTCTTCGACTACGTCCATGGATGACTCTATGACCATCGACAATGACTGGGGCGTCTCTGTTGAATTAATGACATCAGCATTAGTCGTTTCATCAAAAGAGCTTTTCTCGAATCACTGGTTTGAGATCCTTGAAGCTAACGCAGCAAAACTTAAGCCTAAAGGGGAAATCGCAGATAAAACGAAGCTCATGGTTTGCGCTTCAAGACTTCTATGGGTGTACATGAACCGACTTCCGGACACGCTTAACAATACAATCAAGCGTCTTGATAGCTTTTTTGAGTTCCTCTTTTTCGGTCCTCAAGTCTCAGGTAAGAAGCAGTGGATTGTGCTAGATACGGGGTTGATTAATGCCTTGTCTGAAGTTATTAGAATTGTCGGATTCCATCATTTCAACTACGTATTGGACAATGTCATTTTGAAGCTTTTAAGAAGCAGTTTCAATGGTCTGACCCTCGAGAACGCTTCACCCGAGAAGCTCATCTTGGTGATCGAATCATACATGCTATGCTTGAAAGATTCAAAACTGGGCGATAAACCAAAATTTCCTACGGATAAAGTCTTCCAGGAGGAATTTGCATTCCAGTTCTTCCCAACTGATAACCTCAGAAAGAGCAACAAAATTGGACTCTCACAGGAGCAGAGTACCGAACTTCGCAGATGGAATAAGTTCATGTTTGACTTCAAGAATATCAAGAATTTCGAATCACACGAGGATATCTGTCGCACGATCGCCGTTCTCTTTAAACTCCTTGACAACCGCTGTGGTATGTCTGGTTGGACAAGCTCAGAGGGTCCTGCAACTTTGGGAAACAGCGTCAAATCCTCCTTTTCGAATTTTCCATTTGGCTTGGACTTCTCTTACCAAAATTCTAGAGACGTTTACAAAGACTTGTTCGCTGCGACTATCAACGCCTGTCCTTGGTCTATCATTCCGCTTGCCAGCGAGAAGAGTGGTTCGGGTATCGGTATAACTTTCAAGGCCTGTGCTGAGATTCTCATAAGAAATAGCATTCACCATAATGTTCAGATTGCCAACGCATCTGTTAATGCTCTTTTCAAGTTAGCATCACGAAAGGGTGCAGGTGAACTTATAGCGACCTTCGGTAAAGTCGCTTTTCGACTCACGGAGAAGCCTGGGCCTCATTATGACTCTGACTATTTCAATTCGGAGGAGTTTTTGAGGTTGTTGAGAATTTACGTCGAATTACTTAAATGTTGGTCGATGCAATTTAGCCCAGAATCCGACGAGTTTACACCCGACAATGGTGACGGTAATGAGCTTATGAACAATGATGTTCTCAATGACTTGTATCAGATTAACCATAAGGCACCTGATTTGACTAATTTAGAGGCACCTGCTACCAAGTGGAAGCCTTCTGAGGAGCTCGAGTGGAAAAATATTGTGACGGTTATCGAAGAAGTCGAGGGCAATGGTCTCTTCTTCTTATGTTCCCAAGACAGCCAAGTTCGTGCACTCTCTCTTTCGATCTTAAGAGTTGTTGAACAGTTCGACCAGTCATTATACAATCTTACGGACAGAAAGAAGGAACCTACACCTGGATCGCACGGCTCTGGATCTATTAAGGGCCATTCAAGAAATTCTTCGAAATATGTGGCAGACGAAGGAACGAGATTGATCCATGTTCTCGAGGAAGTTGATCTAATGACATTGTTGAAGCCACTCAAGCGTGATTTGAGTGTTCCAGAACGAACCAGACTTTCCAAGATCAAAGCAAAGAAGGGATTGCTTGCTAAATTTGCATCTTCAGACCATGGTATTGACAGTACCATTTGGTTTAGAATCTATCCGAGGTTGTTGGACATATTCTTCGAAAGATGCCCCATGCCTGTGGCAATGTGTCGCTCTATTGTCTGTGTCAGGCTTGTGCAAATGCACGAATTGGTGTTAGAGTTCTCCGACAATTTCAAGAACTATACTTCTTCGCTCTTCACTCGCAGTTCCACCTCCACTCCGCCAGAGATCCTCATTAACCAATGGAAACTTTACTTGATATTTGCGTGCTGTTCCTTGACGAGTACGAACGATCAAAAGATATCATTCCCCTCTCAGCCAACACATGGTCATAAGAAGCTGATGACGATGTACATCCAGCATCAAAAGATCACAAGTGCTAAATCTGTTTTCCGAATGGTACTTCCTTTGCTCCAGTCTCTTCAACCTATGATCAGGGAAGCGGTGATTGCTGGCTTGAGCTCGATTAACATCAATATTTTCAAAACATTGGCAGAGAATTTACCGGAGTCTATGAATGATTGGAACCCTGATAGTCGCAAAAGAGATGCTGCCGAAGACCGCGTGAGGATAGAGATTGTTCATATTTTGAGCATTATCACAAGTCGATTCAAGTCCAACAACCTTCTTTATTATGATGAGAACACAGTTGCGAACTTAGTTTCCATCATTAAGAACGTTAAGGCATTCTTGTCAGTCACTTTTGTCCAGACTCTGCCTGACTTTCAGCGTTTGAGATGTTATTTTGCCGCTCTTTTGGAGAATGTTTTTGTCGGATTGAAGGAGAAGCTGGATCTCAACACCTGGCTTCCATTTGAAGCTCGAATCGGTTGTTTCAATTATTTGAAGGAGTGGTGTGGCTTTGGCGATTCCAAGGATGTTCTCGAAGAAAGAACTAACATGATGACACAGGCAGCACAGCTGTCCAAGGAACCAGCCACAGCTGTTGGGCTTCTTGAGATTGACATTAAAGCTCTTCATATCTCCGCCTTGAGCTGTATGGCTACTATATGTTCAGGTGCTTTGAAACAGTCCCTTATTGTTCCAGGAAAGACAGCAGTTCTTTCTTTCGATATCAAAAGTGTCATGTCATGGGTGCATGAAATCATTAATTCAGCCAACGAGAGAGTTCACGATATGGGTAAGACCGCTCTCATGAACATTATGGACGTCAACATTAATAGTGACGACATTTACGAGGAGGTATTGAGGCAGTGTTATAATCCCGAAAATTCCATTAAAGTCAGGGAGGTTTACTACACAAACTTGGTAACTGCATTCTTGAAGCATAGAGACATCGAGAAGATGCCATATGATTTATTCTGTCTTTCGACTTTCTTAGTTGGAACCGACAGCTATCAAACTCGTGTATCAGCCATTGAATGTCTTAAGTCCATTGAAAGCAGGTTTCTTAATACGACCACTGCAGACTACTTCACTGAAAGTGTCTGTTGCACCACCATGGTCGTTTACAAGAAGGTGCTTTTTGAAATTTCAGTTAAGCTTGCTTCACTTCATTCCAAGGATTCATTCACTTACATCAGTTTCTTGACCAAATACTTTAACCTTGTGGATAATCCGACTAGACGTGATATTTTGGCTTGCTTGCTTCCATGGGTTCAGACGGTCGAGTTGAAATATAGGAACAGAGAAGAAGGCTCTACCGAGGTATCGGAACCTCAATCATTGTCACAACCGTTCAACAACGAAATCGACGCTCCTTCTCTTATGGTGCTCAACAATCTTTTCGAAATTACAGTGAAATTTAGCAAAAAGATTTCCAATGAAGTTGAAGCTTTATGGGTGGCCTTGGGTACTAAGCAAAGCAATTTCGATATTATCGTTGAGTATATCATGAGAAACTGTCTTGAGCGGAGGAATTCTAGCTTCGTCTCCTACTCGAGACAAATTATTGCATACTTGGTGTATTCACAGCCTGATTCATCCGTCATTATCGGAAAGATGATTGGAAACTTACAGCCTAAAGCCATGGTTCCACATCCCTTATCCCAAGCGGCTTCCAAGACTGCTGATGTCGTCGAGGGTTTTCCTTATACTGCAAATTTAACTGAGTTGCTTTCCCACAATACAAAAGAATCGGCATTTTCCCTCGGTCAGTTATCGATGGTGTTCTTGGTGGATTTGTTTAGGTCGAACAACGAAATGATCATTCCGCATTTACCGTTGCTTTTACATGTTTGCTTTTCATTGCTTGACCATTACTTTTACGTGGTACAAGAACAAGCCGCATCCCTTCTTATACATTTGGTACACTCAATAGCACCAAGCAGCCCGAAGTCAGCTCAGACCATTGATATTTTGAGACAAAAGGATCATTTCAAGTATCTCTGGGTTTACGATGATCTTAACAATGATAAGAAGGGAGGCATAACCCCAAGGAACATGGATACACTTGTGAGAAAGATCCTTGAGATATTTGCCCCCTCTGTTCCTAACTTACAAGCTGATTGGAGCCGTGTATCCTTGAAATGGGCTACAACATGTGCTGTGCGTCACATAGCATGTAGATCATTCCAGATCTTTAGGTCACTTTTGTCCTTCCTTGACCAGACAATGCTCAAAGACATGTTACATCGTCTTTCGAACACAATTGCTGACGAGTCAGGCGATATCCAAGGTTTTGCCATGCAAATCTTAATGACATTAAATGCCATCACCGCGGAGCTAGATTCTGAGAACTTGATTGATTTCCCACAGCTCTTCTGGTCCAGTGTTGCATGCTTATCGACCATTCACGAGCATGAGTTTATCGAGACGATTTCCACGATGTCTAAGTTTGTTTCGAAGATTGACCTTGATGCTCCTGATACCATTTCATGTCTCATTTCGACGTTCCCACCGAAGTGGGAGGGTAAGTTTGAAGGTCTTCAGCAAATTGTCATGGTAGGTTTAAGGTCCTCAGTGGCTTGGGAACCAACAATCAAATTCTTGGATAAGCTCAACCATTTGAGTGATAGTGAGATCATTGGTTCAGGCGATCACCGTCTTTTCGTTGCAATCATTGCCAATTTGCCGAGGTTCCTTCATGCTCTTGAAGAACAAAATGTTACACCTGAAGTGGAGAAAGCTTGCGATCTTATTGGAGAAATGGCTGCGGTATGCAACAAGCCAGCATTGGCAAGAATTCTTAATTCGTTGGCCAAATCGAGATTCAGATCTAAAAAGGACTTTTTGGTGCAAACCATTTCGACCATAAGAACGAGTTTCTTCCCCGAATACGAAGCTCAAACCTTGGTACTTTTACTCAGTTTGCTTTCTAACGAGATTTCATGGGTCAAGCTTGAAACTTTGAACATTTTGAAGCACACATTCCCGCTTGTTGACTTACTGAAGGATGAATTTGTCGGAGTGGGAGCAGACCTTATTTCTCCATTATTGAGATTACTCTTGACAGAGTACGCAGAACCAGCACTTGAGGTACTCGACGAAGCTGTGGTTATCTCAGGTTCGCAGCTTGACAAGGATATCTTGAGAATGAGTTTAGGAAACTCATCTATGAAGAAAGAGTACGAGCAGACTGCAACATTGTTTGGTATACCAGATGAAAGTGGTTGGGCCGTCCCAATGCCGGCTGTCACTGCTGCTAGCACAAGGAACAATATTCACGCTGTTTTCGAAACATGCAATGAAAGCTCGACTGTCGAAGAGAAGCATAAAGATTTCGCCGATGAGGAGATTGAGTTTTTGATGGAGGACTACTACGAACCGGAACCTGACCAGACTGACGCAGCTTCAACTGCAAATGAAGTTCCCGGAGCTACTCTTAGTAATATGTGGGCAGCATTGGACGATTTTGATTCCTTCTTCACCAAGGATACAGAACAGAGGGCCCAGATTGTATCCAATTTGGCCACCAATGGACGGGGATTCCCAGGGAAGGCAGCAGCATACCACGCCCACTCTGCATCCATTGATACTAAGGAGAGCAACAACAGCGACTTGGCTTCACCAATCGATTCCGCTCCTCATGTCTACGACAAGAAGGCTCTTGTTATCTTGAATAGAAGTTTGGCAAGAACCCAATCCAACACTTCCTTTAAGAGCAGTTTGGCAGATAACTTTGGCAGCCCAGCCGCCTACGGTCCTCTGGAAAGTCCTGGAACAAGAAGATCATACATTCCTTTCCGGAGTACAAGAGTACCTAAGAAGCAAGACTCCTTTACTACACCTAAAATGAATCCAGGCACCCCATCGTTCGAACAGCCCGGCATGAACAGCGCAAAGACACTAAAGGGCAGCCCCTCATTGTCTCTTCATCATACAAAGACAGGAGGCTCTCAAGAATCTCCCGTGGACGCTTCCAAGCTTGAATCTTCTACGCGTCTAGACAATCTTCTCGGAGGAGGCCGCAAAAGGAACAAAAAGTAAGGCTCTATGTATCATAGAAGGCCTCATAAGGACATTATATACAGTAATTTGCACCCATTCTTGGATCCCGTGACTGAACTTTGTAGTTCCTGTGTCTAGCACTCCATGCGAAAAGCAATGGCGGAAAGCTTTATAGGACGAAAAAAAAAAAGAGAAGAGAGCGTAAATCTTCAGAAAGTCCGTTCTTCATTACAATATGCCCCAAAGAAGCAACAAGGTCCAGATAAGGCCAAACAGAAGGCCAAGCAAAAGGCCGCCGAAGAAAAAGGCTTCGGTATGAAGAACAAGAACAAATCCAAGAAGGTGCAGCAGCAGATTAGTATGATGAAGAGTGGTGTTGATGGTGGATTGGCAAAGAAGAAGGAAGCCGAAGCCAAGAGAAAAGCCGAGGAGAAGAAAGCTGCCGAACAGGCCAAGAAGGAGGCTGCTGCATTATTTGGTGTCCAACAACAGAAAGTTCCATTTGGAGTTGATCCAAAGTCCATCTTGTGTGAGTTTTTCAAGAATGGTGTGTGTTCGAAGGGTAACAAGTGTAAGTTCTCCCACGACGTCAATGTTGGCCGTAAGGATGTTAAGAAAGATTTGTACACGGATGCTAGAGCAGAGAAGGAGGCAGACACAATGGATAACTGGGATGAGGAGAAGTTACGAAAGGTCATCTTGTCGAAGCATGGTAATCCAAAGACAAGTACCGATAAAGTCTGCAAATATTTCATTGACGCTGTGGAAAACGACAAGTACGGTTGGTTCTGGGTTTGTCCAAACGGTGGTACGGAATGTATGTATAAGCATGCCTTGCCTCCAGGATTCGTCTTGAAGACCAAGGAACAGAAGAAGCTCGAGAAATTGGCTAAGGAGTCCGAGCCAGAGATCACATTGGAGGAATTTATTGATTTGGAGAGAGGAAAGATGGACAGATCTAAATTCACGCCTATCACTCTAGATTCATTCACCCAATGGAAGAAGAAGCAGCTTGAAAAGAAAGCAGAGAAGAATAAGGAACAGAACAAGAAGTTGCAGACAGGTAGAGAGATCTTACAGAAGAAGTTCGCCGATAAATACTACACTGAAGAAGGCGGCGACGAGAACGAAATGGATTTGTCTTCCTTCAAGCTGGCCTTGCCTGATGAGGAAAAGTTTAAAGATTATGGTGATGGTACTAGCACCGACTTCAGCTAGATCTGAAGTTGCGTGCTGACAGAGGGGTTTAGGGATGAGACGCTGGCTCAGTGCGAGTGACGTTGTCATCAACATATCATTACTGACTACGCATAGGGGGAGAGGTGTTGCTACCTTAACATTTACCCTCGACACATACATACATACATGGCTATTCCTTTCGGGATGGTCTCGGACGAGTATTTAATGGACGACATAAAATCTATCTTTTAATTAGTGTCTCTGTCTATCAAGGTAAGTCATTGTCTCTGCGAAGAACGTCTTTTCATGATCCTCAAAGAAGGCAATGTCGACCCCAGCACCATCGAGTAATTCAAGTGCTTTAGTGAGACGTTGAAGCCATATAGCGCCCTTCTTATCATAATCTTCAAGCTCGTAATAGCTTGAAATGTCGTGAATGCGGAGGAGATTAATTTGGTGATCGAGATTATCTGCGTGGTCTTCAAACGTAGCAGGCGACGTTGTTCTCCTTGGAAGTGGCGGTGGTGTCTCACCCCTTTGCTCTGCAATATGTTCATGCAAAACTTTAGTATCAGTCAGACTACCTTGGAGGTATCTTCTCTCAGGAAGTGGCGGTACTTTATTGACAGTTGAGCCTTTCAAAGCCAGCGGTTTCTTAGGAATTGCTGGTGGAGGTTTCTTAACCGGTGTCACTGTCTTCTCGGTAGCGTTACTTGCTGATGATGAGCCATCGGAAAGGTCAATTAAATCATCAAGCGGTGCCTTCGGCTTCTTCTCCGTAACTTTGGGGGATTGTTTTCTTTTCCACTCTCTCAAAAGTCGTTTCATTTCCTTTAAGATGTTCGAATCATCAACATCGGATAATGAATCTTCTACCGCACGGATATAAATTCCCCTGACTTGACTTGGATAAGAAACCGCAAGATCGACGTATGCCTCAAAATCATGTTCTCCTGAATCTCCCACACAAATGAAAAGTTTCTCCGGAAAATCATTCAAAATTTTAGAAAGCGATGTTTTCTTTCTTGAACTTGATGGCTCCATTAGAGAAGAAATGATATTGCCAGTGTATTGCTTCAAATGGAAGGAGCCTGGTGGAAGTTGAACCTGAGGCACATACTCTTGAATAACATTAAAAAATTGCCAAGGAGAATTAGAAACATAGAAAAACGTAGCATTGAAGCGGGCGTGGATGTTATTGAACCATGAAACAACCGCTTTGATCTCCCAAGACTCAATCTCACCTAAAAGTAAGCGCCTCATAAGCTCTCTCTTATCACCTATCACTCCTGTAAGCTTGACAGTGTCATCAATATCACTAATAACACCGTATCCATTGTATTCAACATGATGGATTTCTTGAAATGCACAGACCGCTTCGTCGATCTTACTCACAACTTGTACGACTGAGGGAGCGTACGACACATCGATTTCTGCTTTGAAATGACCATTAGGGTCGGTCACAACAGACACCAGCCGTAGTTCTGTAGCTTTCAGAGAATCAGCAGCACCAACAACGATAGCAAGTCCCGCGTTAGGTATAGACCTGGCCAAGAACGAAGAAAGACGACTTCGAAGTCTTGCATCAGAATCTCTCAGTTGAGATGATGCCGAAGTAGCTCCAGAGCCATTTGATGCAGATGTTGATATTGATGCACTGTCAGATTCATCTTCTGTGGCGATGTTCTGAGATAATGTTGGGTCATGTTCGAGACGATCTACGGCCACTTGGGCAGTATCGTCATTAGAACGAGTGACCTGTTTAGCCAAGGATAAGACCAATCTGTTTTTCCTGGACATATTTCCTGGACACCACATCCATCCTCGAACAGTGACAATGTACTTGCCATCTATCTTTCTTGTGTAAGATGGGTATAAGGTAAACTGGGTATTACTAGGCAACGAAGCCACCATACCATATTCATCATATTCAATCGCTCTAGAACCGATTCCAGAGGCAAACAGAGAAACTGAAGTTGTTATTTTGGGGATATACGTGTCACGAGTAGCTCTTGCAAAACCGAGAAGCCGTTGTCTTCTGCTTGTAGGAGTGGCTGGAATGGATGATGGCGAAGGGGACAGGGACGGAGGAGTACCCGAGGAACTAGCATAGCTATTTGGGTCTGACATTCTGGAAAATCTAAGGCTCCAAGGCCCACGGGTTTTCAATGCACGGTAGTCTGTGTAGAAGTTCTTGATAAAGCGAAACGAGGGACGGCTGGAGCGAGGACGGAAGAACCTATTGATAAAAGCAGATGGAGATCGAAGCCGAGAACCAAGGCCTGATCTTAAGTGTTTAATGTATTGAGGTCTCAATTTGACTCGACTGAATTTCCAAAAAAAGGGCAGGTTCAGAAAAAGGATGAGTGTTCGCTTAAGGTAACTGGAGCGTATGTTGCGACAAGTGTATGTAGAATGGACTATTATTGTCAGTTTGCAACTGTAGTGCGGATGAGACAGGATAGTACCAAACGAAGAAGGCATGATAAAAAAATGGAAAGTGGCTTTGAAGAAGTGAGGTTTCTTGGACAGGTTATTCATTAGAGGAGCTACAGAGAATTGGCACTTGTTAGCAAAAAATCCAAAGAACGAATATAAAATGGTTGGTGGCTTCTCAGTGAGCTCACACTATAGAGACAGCAGTTATACGACACTGGTCTACTTAAGGTTCATTGAAATAGAATTTGAAGGAACAAGAACTGAAGAACTCTTTTGTTAAGAAGGGGTATTTGGAATGACCTCTTCTTTAAAAGAAGTGAGGTCGTGGTGACTGTTGGTGCTGGTTAGTAATGGTGTATACTCACTATATAGTCCATTTCCTGTAAAGACAGAGTAACTTCACAAATAACGACTTTCTGTGAACCACATCACGTTTGAAAACCTTCCAGCCTCACCCAAAGTCTGCATTTTCTCCTAGATTAACCTGTCTATTCCCTACCAACTCTCTCCCGAGGTCGGGTATTTGGCTGCGAGAAACCGTAGAAACCAGTATTCCTGGTACATCTACAATACTAAACCAACCCGTTGATTAAACACTTCAATACGTTGCTTCTGCCTGTTTGGCCACCCAAAGCCAACCCTAACTTACCCCCCAGAAGTACATTCCAGCTCAGGTTGTATGATGTCATTGATAGGGGCTACCACGATAATTGCCTGCGTCGATCGTCTGCCCCACCAAACTCAGATAACAGCACCTGTAGAGCTGTTTCCGTTATTGATGATCTGATTGAAGTGGATTTTCAAACTTTCCATTTCTATCAGTTTAAGGAATCAGCTTTCCTTTTTTTTTTTTTTTTATTTTCTGTCTTTTTTCAAGAACTTGTGCTTATATCTATGGCAACTGGTATACCTTCTTGGCTGCACCATACACTACCGCTCCCCGGAGTAAATGCCAGAAAACAGGACACCATATCTATAGCCAACTACTTACAGATCGAGCATCACCATGTCGTTGCAAGAACTTTCGATAGGAAATGATCTTAAGGACCAGTTCAAACCTTCTTCTAAGTGGATCAACAATGGTGTAAGCTGGTTACTGGACATTGAGAGTTTCTACAAAGAACGAGCTACCATTGAACAAGAGTATTCCGCTAAGCTCAACGACCTTTGCAAGAGGCATTTTTCCAAGAAAGCTAAACAGTCGTCATCGTTGTCTGTTGGTGATGAACCTCAGATTACTCCTGGCTCTTTAGAGAGTGCTTCTGTGGTTATGTGGAACGAAGTTCTTACCCAAACCGAGAATATCGCTAAAGAAAGAGAGAATTTAGCTGGTGAATTTACAAACACGATTGCTTCAAATGTGATTCAATTACAAAGCAAGTGTCTGAACCTTTCCAAGCACATTGAGACTATTCATGAGTTCTTAGACTCCGAAAAGACAAAGGTGGAAGACGATGTTGCGAAGTCGAAGAAGCACTACGACTCATTATGTCAAAATACAGAGACTGCCAGACTTAAAACAGAGAAGTCACTGAACGAGAAGTATCAGGCTAGACTTAAGGAGAGGGAGATTGATATGAATATCGGAAAGAATGCCTATTTGATCTGTATCAGTCAGGCCAACCGTCTTAAAGATAAATATTATTTCCAGGATTTACCTGAAGTTCTTGATTATTATCAGGACCTTAACGAGACAAGAGTTACCATTTTGAATAAGATTCTTAAGAATGCCTCTATCATTGAACGTAATTCTAATGATAAGGTTAAGGACTTGCTTCATGACGTGGATGCTGTCATAGATCAAAATAACCCTAAATTGGACGTTGCTATGTTTATCAAGCATAACAATAGAGCTTGGAAAGAACCAAATGACTTTGTCTTTGAGCCATGCAGTTTCTGGCACGATGACGAATCTCTTGTTACTAAAGAGCCAGAGTTGACCGACTTGAAGAAACGTTTGAATCAGACGATCAACAAATACAACATAGGAAAAGAAAATACGCTCACAGCGAAGCAAAAGTTGGAAGAGGTTGCTCAAGATCGGTCAAGCTCCGAAGATAAAGAGTCACTTAGGTTTGACCTGAGATTAGACGATGTCTTGACTTTACTTCACAAATTTATGAAGGAAGACTCAGAAAGAGTCAAGCTCGAAGTCGAAATTGAAATTATTCAAAACTTTGCTGGTGACCAAGACATGTCTTACTACGAGGAAGCCAAGCCAAAGAAATCAAGGTTTGGTTTATTCAAAAACAAAAAACATCACAACACTGAACAACAAGGCAGTGAAACACACTCTCTTCACACTGTCACGAGTAACATTACGTCACATTCTGGTGGCCTCTTCAGTTTACGAAGAAACAAAACGGTCGCTTCCAACAATGAGGGCAGCGCTTTGTCACTCAAAGCTAGCGCTAACTATCCATACGATGCTGATGGAGACGACGAAATCTCTCTCCGGCCAGGAGAAAGCTACGATGTCTTGGAGGAGGACGATGGCTCTGGATGGACGACTCTTAGGGCTGGCACTGGCGCACAGGGTCTTGCGCCTACTTCTTACTTGACTATCACTACTGGTGGTAGCGCCGCTGGCGGAAATGATCTGGGCCTGACCCCAAAGAAGAAGGGTCCAGCTGTGGCACCTAAGCGTGGAGCCAAGAGAGTCGAATACGTTGAAGCACTTTACGATTACGTTGCAGACGAAGATAATGAATTGAGTATCAGAGCAGGTGACAAGATCGTGCTTGTACAGGCGGATACAGATGGTAGCGGATGGACCGAAGGAGAACTTGACGGACAGAAGGGACTTTTCCCTACTGCTTATGTCAAACGCATATAGACATATAGATATGCTACGAGATTTGCATCGGATGGTTTTATTTATTGCGATAAATACCACATTAGATTACAGTATTTGTCATTGATATTTGCTGGCATACACCAGCATGACGGGCACAATCTCAACATTTACCAAAACATAGTGCCAGGGGGATGAGGAGGAAAGTAGGAAGAAACAAGGTACAAAGGGAACAGTGGATACTGTACGCTTAGTAAACGTCACCTGGGATCTCGAAAACAACCTGCTTACCAGTCAACTTGTTGAACAACTGAGAGAAGGAGTCGAGCTTGTAGTCAACGGCAGAGGAGTCCTTAGAGTCCAACAAAACCTTCTGGATCTTAGAGCCACCGACCAAGTATCTGACTCTCTTACCGGTGATCTCAGTTGGGAAAACCAAGTCCTCCAAGACCTTGTCGTGGACAGCGGTCAAGGTTCTGGATCTTGGTCTCTTCTGGAGCTTCTTGGCCTTTCTGGCTGGCTTTGGCAAGATTCTTCTTTCAGCCAAGAACACAACGTGTCTGTCTGGGAACTTCTTCTCGAGCTCTCTGGTCAATCTAATCTGGACCTTTCTGTAGCCAGTCAAAGATGGGACTGGGACGAAGATGGCCAAAGCCTTCTTACCGCCGGAGACTTCGAACTCCTTGACGGACTTGAACTGCAAAGGTCTCAAGTCAGCCTTCAAGTCGGTCTGGGCTTCCAAGTCAATGAAGGCCTGGGCGACTTGCAACTCCAATTCAGTAGGGTTCTCGGACAAGATCTTGTTGGCAGCAGACATCTTGAATGGATTTGAGGTGTGTAATTGAAGAAAGATGGGGGAAAATTTTTACAACTGCGAAGTAGCTGAAAAAATTGGTAGCACGGTTGTGTATACAGGCCACTTTTCACTGTTTCCTCACAAAAATTGTCCACATAGTGAGCGGTCCTGCTCGCTGATAAAGCTGTGGTGCACTGGTGCACTTTTGGCAGTACCGCACTATGGCAACTGTTGAGGCGCCAAAGGGGGACGTTAGGAAACCTGCGTCACGTGTGTAATGTGACTGCGTGAGCCATCCACCAGACCACTTAGAAATAGAGGAACAAAACAGGAAGGTGATAAGGGGATGATCAAACTTGAACAGTAAAAGCAAATAAAGTAAGGCTATGTACTTTTGGTATGCTTAAAACCTCGTGGTGTTGTGTTTTATGGTCAGCTGGTGAAATGGTTGGAAGTACTATGGCTGCGAAAGACTGGATGAGAAGACAGCTTTAGATCACAATACCATGGATGAAACAGGCACTGGCATGACGGTGTAATAATATAGATACGCTTTTGAAAATGTAAGAAATCAACCTAACTTCTATGCAAAGTGGATGAACGTTAATATAAGCATTTGAATGGCTTCCTTTTTGGTAGTTTCGCCCAGAGAATCCAATTTTATCAAGGAATTTCGTTGAGAACAATTGGAGATGGTAGAAATGACTAACTGTAAGGGAGTGTTACTACAAGCGTGGCACCCAATCTAGTATATCCAGCCATATATGTGGATGCTGTAACTGACTCGAATGGCTGCGAAAAGGCCCATGCAAGAAGTGTCTCACTTTTGGACAACCTAATTCCCACACCTGACTATCCTTGTCATATATATGGCTTTGAACTAGTAAGGCTACTTCACTGTTATGAGTGTTCCAATGCCAAAAGGCATCATCCTGTCATGACCTTACAGCTCTATGGTAGATGTGTATCACCATCTGAGGCTGGCTTACGGTCACAAAATGTACCTACTAGAACTAACTACCATTTCTGTACCAAACCAATAACATTGCACTAAACCAATGGCCAATAGCATTGAATACACAATACCTCTTGGAGCCGAGAAATTCATAGTATGGAGAGAATGGGGTTTCGCAGCCAATAGTTTGACTCCAGCATGGTCTACTCAGAGACTTAGAAAGCGCCAGAAACGTAAGTTTCCTTCCACTAAACACGTCAGGAATACCATTTGTTGAAAACTGAAGGTAAAAATTTATAAAGAACCACCCCCTATGACTAACAACCGCCGTGACAGTATGGTTGCTGAACTCGTGCCAATAGCGCCTCCTGCATAATCTTACAAACCCAGACTGTTCCTCTTGACTAATGCTCCGGCCTCTTCGCTCTTTCCTAGTCCAATCCAGAAAGATGTCTAACCTCATTGAGTCTGCCAAAAAGGCGGCTGCTTACAAAGCTGTTGATGAGAATCTCCCCGAGAACGTGGGAGTGGTCGGAATTGGCTCGGGATCTACCGTGGTATACGCTGCGGAAAGATTGGGTCAATTGAGCAATAAGGGACTGTTCGTCTGTATCCCTACTGGATTCCAGTCTAAGCAATTGATTATTGATAACGGCCTTCAGATTGGTACAATTGAGCAATACCCAAGAATCGACATTGCCTTTGATGGTGCTGATGAGGTGGACCCCAAGCTCAATTTGATTAAAGGTGGAGGCGCCTGTTTGTTCCAGGAGAAGCTCGTGGCCCAAGCGGCCAAGACCTTCATCGTCGTTGCTGACTTCCGTAAGAAGTCTCCTGACTATTTGGGTGTGCTGTGGAGAAGAGGTGTACCCATTGAGATTGTGCCCAATTCATACGCCAAGGTCACTCTTGACTTGCAAGAGTTGGGTGCTGATACCGTTGTCCTCAGACAAGGAGGTGCAGCCAAGGCCGGTCCAGTGATCACAGACAACAACAATTTCATCATTGACGCCGACTTTGGTTCTATTGAGGACCCTGCTTCGTTGCATGCAAAGATCAAGGCTTTGGTTGGAGTAGTGGACACAGGTTTGTTCACAAATATGACTGCCAAAGCCTACTTCGGCGAAGAAGATGGAGAGGTTTTGACCTGGGAAGCTAACAAGTAGAAACAATGGTATATTACAAGACTATTAACGAACTAAAGGAGCGACAACATAGGATCTTTCTATGGTAGGTTTACTTGGAGTGATTGGATATCCAGCTTAAGGTTTCGGCCAAGCCGGTGCCATCAATGGCGATAGTTGGAATGACAGACCATACGTGGTCGCCACTCAAGCTGTTCATGTCAAACTGCTCGATAAGCTCCTTGGGCTTCACGGCATCAGGAACGTCCTGCTTGTTGGCCAACACGATCAACAAGCAGTTAGCCAATTCCTTATCATTAATGACACGCATCAACTCTTTCTTGGACTCCTCCAAACGATCTTTATCGGACGAGTCTACCACGTATATCAACGCGTTTGTTCCGGTGAAATAGTGTCTCCACAATGGCCTGATACGCTCCTGTCCACCGCAATCCCACACGGCAAAAGACACGTTCTTGTGCTTGACGGTCTCAACGTTAAATCCGACCGTGGGTGCTGTCTTGGACGTCTTTCCCAACTTCAACTTGTAGAGAATGGTGGTTTTCCCGGCATTGTCGAGACCCAACATGAGGATTCTCATCTCTCTGTTCTTAAATAGACGTGACTGTTTGTTAGCAACTACCAAAATTCAAATAAAAATCCCGTTTCTACATACCACTAGGATACCCATTTTTGAAGTGTCCACAAGGAAGAGGAAGTAGGTTTAGGTTGAAACACGGCTGTGGTATCTGAGAATATGGCGATACGGAATGTGCACTACGAGACGGTTGCAACAATGAATAGGAGACGATTCTTAGACCGCCAATCCCGGTACAATGCTACAGAAGGAGCCAGGAAAGACCTGAAAACGGGAAATGCATCAATTGATGCTCTTTTTGTATTTTACCGCTTGCCAGGCCTCAACGAACCGTGTTTCGTCTCTTCTCTGTCTCGTCTACACCCGACTGAACCCCAACAGCACGGAATAGGTGCACCAAAAAGGCGGCTTAAACTCGCAAAAGCCTCATTCTGACAGAAGACAAGCAGCCTTTCTTTTTTAGTCTTTGGACTAAAATACGCTACTGTGACTTGTCCATTTCGACGTCTACTAGTACTATGAAAATTGGTCCCACGGTTATTCTGTGTCGCGCGTATAAGGTGACAATAATCAGCCCCATTGAAAAAAATGGATGTGGCTCGAGACTTACGAGGTGGGAGCGTAGGATCTTCAACACGAGTGGACGATCCAGTTTTGGCCATTATGTCGATCCCCGGAAAAGTTGGCCAGAGAAAAACAAAGAAATGGAATTATTGATGTAAATATGTAGAGAAGAGAAACATTGGCACAATTGGTTCGCTTAGGTCTTCGTTTTGTGTACTGCAAGGGGACCTATCAAAATACGCTGCTGCGTCTGCAAGGTTGTTTGGGTGTGAGAGCTGGTGAATCTGGGCCTTAGGCATGTATTCTTTTTTAGCTCTATAAATATTGTTTACTGTTTGCCAATGATTCTTTCTAATGAAAGCTTCACATCGCCTCTGGAAAAATGGCTCAAGTTGTAGTACTTTGGAGCCAACTCCACCAACCACTCAGGGCGCACGTTTGTCACCGTACGAATGTAGTTTTTAGATGTAAGCACGAACTCGTTGTAGATAACCCATTCGTTTTCCTTAGCGAGGACCGTGCTTGGGTGGATCAAAACGTCCTGGTTATCCTTGACGGTGATGAAACCCTTGTTACCGCTCTTCTTCTTTGCAACTTGCATAAAGAAACCGGCAACGAGCGCCTTTCTGATATTGTCCCAGTAACTACGGTCTTCGAAAGGCGTCAGGTTGAGCTCGAGATCGTAACGTTCCATAAGACGACGCAACTGAGAACGCACATTGTTAGCAGACGTGAGTGAACGGTATGACAAGAAATTGTCTCTGCACCATTGGTGCAAACCGATTTCGTATGCTTCGTCAGAGTTGAATGCTTCGTAGACATTAAGCAAAGTCAAGTGGTCACCATCAGCATGGGCAAAGGACATCTTGATTTCGTCGGCTCTCTTTCTAGCAGATGCTGGACGCACAAACACATTTGGAACAGATAAGAGGGCAACAATCGAAAGAATCTCCTCTGAACATTTGAATGCTGGAGATCCAATCAACATGACAGCCAACATTGGGTCAAGAGGGAAGTTGGATGCAAGACGACCCAAGGCAGTCAAATCACCCTCGTCAGAAAGACATTGAAGGTAGTTGAGCTCTTCAAGAGCACGCATCATGGTTTCTGGTGCTGGTGGGTCCATGAAATCAAAATGAACCAAGTCATCAACACCCAATTTTTTAAGTTCAAGCACGGTGGATGCCAAGTTAGAACGCAAAATTTCAGGGTAAGACTGCTCAATCAATTCTTTCTTGAAAGCTTCTTCAGTATACAACCTGAAACACTTACCAGGCCGCGTACGACCAGCACGACCAGCTCTTTGCTGTGCAGAAGCTTTGGAAATTGGAGAGACAAGCAATGACTCAACTCTAATACGTGGGTTATAGACCTTTTGTTTCGAGAAACCTGGATCAACAACATAGACAATACCATCAATGGTAAGAGATGTTTCAGCAATGTTGGTAGAAATAATAATCTTTCTACCAGGTCTTCCACCCGGTCTATGATTTTCTGGAGCAGGCTCAAAGATCTTCTGTTGTTGATGAGGAGGCAAGGAACCGTACAATGGGTACACCTTCACGGGGCCACATCCCTGTTCACGAATTAATTCATCACTTTCAAGCTGGATCTTTCTGCATGCATCTTCAATCTCTTCTTCACCTGTCAAGAATAGAAGGACATCACCCTCATCCTCTGTAGCGTGAATTTGCAAGACGGTTCTTATAGCAGCGTCCAAGTAGTCCTTTTGGAACTCTGGTGTGTAGTAGATCTCGACGGGGTGGGTACGACCAGGCACAGCGAGAAGTGGAGCATTATGGAAGTATTGCTGGAACTTTTCAGCATCCAAAGTAGCAGACATAATAATAAGCTTGAGGTCAGGTCTACGGGCAGTGACCTGCTTCAAAAGACCCATCAAGATATCAGTAGCCAATGTACGCTCGTGAGCTTCGTCTAGCATGATACATGAATATTTCAGCAAGTCGTGATCTTCCATTGCTTCACGCAAAAGCATACCATCAGTCATATACTTAAGCATGGTCTTTGGAGAAGTCTTATTTTCAAATCTGATCAGGTAACCGACCTCGTCACCAAGCTGCACATCCATTTCATCTGCCACTCTCTTTGCCACAGACATAGCAGCAACTCTTCTAGGTTGAGTACAAGCGACCATCTTACCGTGGAGATGAGGCATATCATCATAAAGCACAAACTGAGGAATCTGAGTTGTTTTACCGGAACCGGTTTCACCAACAAACACCATGATCTGAGTGCTTTGAAAAGTCTTCAAGAACTCATCTCTCTGGGCATGCACAGGCAAATCTCTTCTGACCTTCAAAATATCAAAGTATTTCTGAGATAGTTCTTCACCAGTGAAGGGGTTTTTAGGGCCATCCTCGAGTTTCTCGGCCAGATGTGCTGAAGTGTTGTGTCTTTCAACGCCTTTGAACTCACCTCCATCATGGAATTCCATCTTCTGTGGCTGTTCAGGATGAGGGTGCTCTCTTAAGCTTTCCTCTGCAACCTCTGCCACTCGTTCAGCCTCTGAATCCATTAGTTTCTGTTTCTTGTACTTCTTCTTATCACCCATGATGCTAGAGAGATGAGATGAGGTTTTGATGTGAAGCATCTCATCTTTGAGGTACCTCTGTACACCACTATCATTTGCAGCCAGTAGTAGAGATAAGCAGGCGATGGGAAAGGGCCAGTTTTTGATGAAGCAGACTGAAGTTGATTTTAACTCATTTAAGTGAATTTAGAAAGTAGACGGAGAAAGAGGCAGAGAGCTACGAGGAGAATTTGTTTGAGGTTTCATTATAGATGGCGGTATCTGGTTCACTGAGTAGCATAGACAGCAAGAGGCAGTTATGAAATAACGTTTGGGAAATTCTTTACTTCCTTTTTCCTATGTACTTTTAATAACAAAGATTGAAGCTTGAAGGCTTTTCAATCATTTCATTAGAAACCAGGGTCCTGTTGCGCCGCATCACTACATCTAAATGGCTACACGCTTTTCGCAGCCAAACAAACAGAGTAGCTACTAGTATGGTTCACTTAGCTAAAAGATGCCAACTAACATAGTGATTTCCAAACTCAGGAAAACACCTCTTGTACTGTCACTTACCCCACGTTTCATTCTACAATCCAGCCGGATTTCAGTCACAACGTAGGCTTCCACTGACTGATTATCACGATCTACAGACCTAAACACGCTTTATATGGTACGCCCCAGCCAGAGACGAATACTACACTGTAACGAACAAGGCAAACTCAGCTCCTCCCTCGTTCAGCCGGTATCGTTATGGTAGTATGCTATCTTTTCTACAACGACCATCTGCCACTCCAACAAACTAATCTCTATCTGTCCCATGCCCATACTGGTTGGCTGGCCATTTGCAGCCATTTAGCGCACCTACGCTCTATCTTCCCTCCATCTCCATACCATTCTCCACAGTAACTCCACAGTATGATGTCATGCCGAGACTTCCCAAAACAAATAAACTATTGATAACCTTAAACCACGTCTTATATCCGTCTTGTCTCTTCCACAGCACGGCCTTGGCTGGACTGCACTGGCAAAGTGTCTATGTAGCGACGAGAAAAAAGGTAGATAGTGGCAGAGCGGAGGTAAGAGTTAGCGGGCTCCCGGCCCATAGATCGCAAGGGGTCCGAAGTGCGAAGCAAGCAAAGACAGTGTAGACAGCAAGAGACAAAGAGAAAACTGTGGATGAATGGAAGGACCATAAAAATGACTATACCATTCAGATTAATCAGATTTAAGCATTTTTCGATTTTTAACAGCAACTATTACATCCACCACATGGGTAGCTGGCTCGGATGGTTGCAATTTTCCCACGAATTCTCGGCTAATGTGAGTAATCGACCGTGCGTCTGGGGAACCAAACACAAAACCAACAGCAACAAAGCACTAGCGAGAGAAGAAGAGGTAGCGCAATGGAAAATAAAGTATATAGAAAAAGATGCTGCTTCAAGCGAAAAGGTGACGATTTTCGGACTCCAGAAGCCCGAATTTTCCGTACCCCTGGAAACCTGGTGGACCAAGGAACGGGTGCAAAATCGTTTACAAGCGGCATTTAACACAGTGTGCGTTTGGGCGGGGCAGGCCGCTTAGCAGGCAAAAAAAAAGAAGAGTAAATGGATGGCTGTAGCGGCCGCACACCCGAGAAGCTAGGGCTGGCTGCGAAAACTCAACCAGGAAAGAACACCAGAAGAAGAACACCATGTTAGGGAAAGAAGAAGAATATCAGAAGATGACCTTGTGGAAACACTATGCATGACTCACCTTAAATAAGGTAATTCTTTATCTTTCCAAGACACTTTTGTTCCTTTTTTTGGATACTATATTTGTCTCCACACCCAGACACCCTTGTTCACTCGTGGCCCCAGATCACAGGCTCAAAACGCGAACCGTGGCAGAAAAAAAAATTTAGCAAGCACACCGCTCTTGTTTCCTTGCAGCCGTTGAGACAGGCTTTATATACTATTTGTTTCTCGCAAGCTCACACCTTTTTTTTCTTTTCTTTCTTTTGCTACATTTACAACTCCTACACTCTTTTTTTGTCATGTCGAGAAAAGCTGTTTTTGACGTCTACGCCATATCAGGCACAGCGTCCAAAATCGCCCGTGATAGCGTGAAAATCGCTACCACCGATGCCTCCAGAGCATGGTCCAAGCTGTTTGTCGTGGCCCAAGCAAAGAAGCTCGACTCCAGCTCCCCAATGTGGTCCGACCTTCGAGGCAAGGTCCAGGCGGCCAGATCCCAGCATAGAAACTTTTCCACATGTGCTGCCCTCCATAACTCCCATCCTTTGCTGCATCTTCACAAGCAACCCCAGACACAGCCAGCCCAGCATTCCCCTAATGACCGCAACTACTCCACCAAATCCGTGAAGCTCTTCGTTGAAGAGCAAGAAGAAAAGGTCGCTGCGCCTCCCCAGAATATCAAGAAGGTTATTGGCGGCGCTAAGGTGAAGCCTTCCTTCGACATGTCTCAGCTGGAAGTCCCAAGCACCAGATTGGCCAGGATGTTCCACTACGGTTCTTTGGCCGCCGGTATGGGCTTTTCCGCTGCTTCCCATGGCTTGAGACAAGTTGCTCAAGGTAACGGTTCTACCCTCAGCATGAAGCAGCTCTTCTTGAGTCCTGCCAACATTGAAAGAATGGCTCGTAAATTTAGCAAGATGAGAGGTGCAGCCTTGAAGATTGGCCAAATGATGTCTTTCCAAGATGCTTCTATTTTGCCGGTTGAAATTCAGCAGATTCTTTTAAGAGTTCAGAACCTGGCCCACTACATGCCCTTGGCTCAGTTGGAACGTATCATGTCCGCTGAATTGGGCCGTGACTGGCGTAGGAACTTGTTTTCTTCATTTGATGATGTCCCATTCGCTGCTGCTTCCATTGGCCAGGTCCACAATGCTGTGACTGAAGACTTGACCCCGGTGGTTGTCAAGGTGCAATACCCTGGTGTTGTGGATTCTATCGACTCGGACTTGAACAACTTGCTCATGCTCCTTACTGCATCTTCTATCTTGCCTCGTGGATTGTTCTTGGACAAGACCATTGCCAATGCTCGTGTTGAGCTCAAGTGGGAATGTGACTATATCCGTGAAGCTCAGAACTTGGTTCGTTTCCGTGAGTTGCTCGAGAACGATCCCGTTTTCGAGGTTCCAAGAGTTCTCCACAAGATGTCCGGTGAACACATCTTGACCATGGAGAAGATGGGCGGTACTGAGATCGTCAAGGGCGACTGGGACCAAAAGACTAGAGATTGGATTGCTACCAACATTATGAGACTTTGTCTCAATGAGTTAAAGAACTTCCGTTTCATGCAAACCGATCCAAACTGGGCAAACTTTTTGTACAATGAAAAGACCCACAAAATCGAGTTGTTGGACTTTGGTGCAGCTCGTGAATTCGAAGATAGCTTCGTTGAAAACTACGTTGAAATCTTGCGTGCCGCTGTGCGTAAAGACCGTGAAGCTGTTGAAAAGTTCTCCCTTAAGGCTGGTTTCTTGACCGGCTTGGAGTCACAAGGCATGGTTAAGGCCCATGTTGATTCCGTCATGGTTTTGGGTGAAGCTTTCAGCCCTCAACCAAACAGAAAACCTTTCGACTTTTCCAACCAAACCATCACGGATAGAGTTAGAGATAACATCGGGTTGATGTTGAATGAGAGATTGACTCCTCCTCCAGAGGAGACATATTCCTTGCACAGAAAGATGAGCGGAGTGTTCTTGTTATGTGCTAAATTGAAGGCCACTGTGCCATGTGAACAGTTGTTCAAGGACATTGTCGGCTACTAATTGTTACGACTACGACGTTATGCTGTATATAGAAGTTTTAATACGGTCGGCCTGGTACTTCCAGACCAGGCTCATGATGGATGATTTGATTTTATAAAGTTAATTGATTTTATGTGATGAATTTGGAAATGTAGGCAACTAGAGACCAAGACGAGAAATGAAGAGTAATTGTGGTTTCTCTACTTCACTTACGCTTGTCAAAAAGGTGTCTGGGGAAGAGTAATGACTGCGGCATAGGAAATAAGGTTTTGCGACATTGGGATGTACGGGTCTATAATGTCACAATGTCGCGCAGTATACAACCTGTAGCGCGGGACCTACTTCTCATGTATAGTTTCCGATATAGTGTAACGGCTATCACGGTTCGCTTTCACCGAGCAGACCGGGGTTCGACTCCCCGTATCGGAGTTCATTTTTTTGTTTTTAATCAGCAAACGACTTCTTTCTAAAGCAGAAAGCTTCATTTTTTCTTATTCGAGCACAATATAGTGTTCCAGTACAAAGCCTAGTAACGAATCGCTTTCTTAGTAGATGATGTTTGCAACAAATCACGCTATATCCACGTGAAGTCTACTGGAATGAAATTCAAACATCCAAGTATCAGAAGAAGTCAATGGTAGCTTCTTTTCAAAACGTTCTTTATCTGCTCTGAAAGTGTCGTTTGCGTATCTAATCATCTCTTCACCAAGATATAGGCAATGCTACAGGCAAGCCGAATGTCTCAGAAATGCACTCTACCAAAATTCCATTTCGAGAAGAATCCAATGGATACCAATTAAAGTTCAACAAAGACAAAAATTCCACTTTCTGGACGTGTTTTGAATAAATGTCATTGTTCTCTAAACACCCCAAAGGCAATCAAGGTCGCACCATCAGTACTACATCACGGTGTATACATTACGTACGACTTGCCTTAACTTCTAGACGTTTTCCTTCAATTCAGCACCAAAATTTCAGTGACAGACAAAAACAATAAGAAGGTACCGCCTACCTTCGACAAGCATCAGTGGCCACCAACAGGGAGCCCTGGTACGCCCTTGAAATCACCACTGTCTCCGCTTGTAGGCAGAATATCAGCCCCGAGACTGGTCCCGAGAACTCCAAATGAACCAGACATTGATTTCAAACTGTACTTTCAAGGTACTTCCAAGAGCCTAAATAGGACACTCATGAAGTCTTCTTCGGTGATTCTACCCGAAAGTGGCCAGAAAGTGTATCGACTGAACCTGTTCTTTAACAATGAGTTCGAGTCTTTCAATGATGACTCCTTCCAGGATTCTGAATACTCGGAGAGTATGGCTTCTGGAGTTACAGGGCCACGTTCAACTCGTCGAAGATGGCTGTATCGGATCAGAAGGCTTCGGTCAAGAACCATTAAGTTGTACAGAAACGAGGTGTTCAGGAATGTGCTAAAATGTTCCATAGCATACCTTGTAGCTTCTATGGGAGTGTATTGGACACGGTTTGATAATTTCTTGGGTGTCACAGATTCAAAGCATGTTGTTGCAACCACAGCGGTATATTTCCATCCAGCGAGGACGAAAGGATCCATGCATCAACTGATTATGTTTGTCTTGATCTCTTTGCTGTTCAGTTTCCTCGTATCATTGACCTGTCGTGCTACGTCGACTTTCTTTTTCAACAACGGTGAGGACGAAATCAGTTTTGGCATTGACCTTATCATCAGCTCAATAGGTTTAGCTGTTATTGCATTCATGAAACAGAAAGTGAACAAACAGACATTCAATACGGCTTGCTCCTTGGCATCTATCTCACTCATCACATGTATTGTCAAGGAAGGTGCTTTAAACTCGTCAGTAATACCTATGCGAAGGCTTCTTTCGACCTCCCAGGTGGTCTTTGTGGGTTCTTGTGTCTCAGTTGCGTCATGTTACTTATTATGGCCTAGGAGTGCTGTATCACAACTAAGAAAATCACTCAATGACAACTTCAACATTATGTCGCTGTTGGTCTCGATCACTACTCATAGATTCCTTAGTGGTGAGAAGCTTACTCAGAAAGACACAGAAATCTTCGGTTTGCTCCTGAAAAAGTGTAGCGACTTAAGAGGAAGTTTGGAGGAAGCAGGCTACGAGCTACGCTTTGTGGGCAAGGAAGCTGAATATGCGAGCTACACTCAAATTGTCGATGCTACCATATCGCTCTCGAGGCATTTACAAGCATTGAGATCCTCGTTAGAAATGCAATGGCAACTTCTTCATGGCTCAGGCCGTAACTCACCAAAGCAAGCTGGTGCTGGTGGAGCGCAGCTTGATACTGTTTCAAGCCGAAGCCTTGACAGTTACCACACGGAGGACATTCGCCTTTCGCTGTCGGTGGAGAATCTTAGCTCCCTTAACGCATCCGAAAGAGCCGACCACCCGAATGATACAGATCAAAGTGCCATGTATTCTAATCAGCTTTTCGATCTTTTCGTGTACTATTTGGCACCATCAATCAAGCTGTTTGTTTTCACAGTGAAGGAAGTGTTAAGTGCTGTGCCTTTCGAACATAAGTATGTGGGGGATAAGGAGCAGGATGTCTTTGTCAAGTCTTCGAATTATCAGAACTCTTTAGTGAAAGCGTTAGAGTTGTTTCAAAGCAAACAGACTCACTCTTTTGGCAAGCTCTATTCACAGGAGATTTTCAAACCGGATAACATCATGTTCAAAACTGACCAGGAAGAAGTAACTGCTTGCTGTGGAAATTTCGCCTCATTGCTAGCATTATATGGAGAGGAGCTTATTCGTTTCTTACAACTCACAGAACACTTCGAAGTTGTTGCTAAGGCTCAACCTCGAAGCTGGTCTTATCTCAAATTTTGGAAGACTCGTCTGATTGATAAAAAGGCGAAACAGAATAACTATGAGACAGATTTTGTGGAAGCGTTGCGAGAGTTCAAGGCTCAATTCAGCCCTCTTACCTTGAGACAACCAACCGAAACCACTGGATTAATTACTAGAAAAGAAAAGGTGGAGTCTTTCAGAAGAAAGCTTTGGGAGTCACTTTATTTCTTCCGAAGAATTGATATTCAATTTGGTCTCAGAGTTGGCGTGGGTGCCTTTTGCATATCCCTTTTTGCATTTCTCCCACAGACAAAAGAGATTTTTGTAACATGGCGATTAGAGTGGACGCTTGTTATCTACTGTATCATGATGAGTAAGTCGTTGGGTGGCACGACTATGACAGCCAAATGGCGTTTCGTTGGAACCTTCCTAGGTGCTTTCATCGCATGGGTTGTATGGGAGTCGACAGGAGGTAATGTTTATGCGTTGGCTACAACCGGGTTTCTTCTTTCCATTCCATGCTTCTACATCATCATCTATTGGAAGAAGAATAACCCTTTCGGACGCTTTATTTTGTTAACATATAACTTGACGGCGCTATATTCTTATAGCATGACGCAGAATGATTCTGAGGATGGCAACGAAGGAGGAGAAGAGCCTATTGTGGGTGCCATCGCCTACCATAGGTTTGTGTCAGTTTCGATAGGTATCCTATGGGCCTTGTTCGTTGCTACATGCTTTCTTCCAAACAGTGCTCGGAAACGTCTTAAGTCGGGACTTACTGTCTTATGGCTTCGAATGGGTGTTATCTGGAATAGCGATCCATTGGAGTTTAAAAGTATCGATGATGAGCCTCCTAGACTTGTCGGTCTCAAGGATTATAAGGGAACGAGTACACTCTTTTTGGAATGTCAGACATTGCTAAAACAAGCACCACTTGAATTGCGCTTGAAAGGTAGCCTCCCAAAAGCGACATACGAAGAGCTACTTAAGAGTACATCGAATGTTTTGGACGCTTTCCAGAATATAAAGTTGATGGTTGAAGTTGATCCATGTTTGACTCCAAATGAAGTTTATGTCCTCAAATACATTGAAAATGAACGAGAGGAACTCGAACATCGGATCTTCTTGATATTTTACATGATTGCCAGTGCATTGGCTCTTGGATTCCCACTTCCATCGAAGCCGGCTTCCACTGAACATGCAAGGAACCGGATGTTGTTGAAGCTTAGCGAGGTCAGGTCGAAGTCGGTAAGTGAGAATCTAAAGCTTTCAAACGAAGATTACGTTTTGTTATATTCGTACCTCTTGGTGACATCTACTATCACAAAAGAACTTGACAGGATCATCGAGCTCATCAAACAATTACTTGGTGGATTCTCAGAGGAAATATTTTATTTGGTATAGGTAATCGGGTTTCAAAAATGAAGTCACACTAACAGAATGTTTAGTTGATTATTTACGTATTACGACGTTTTGCATTTTTAGCTATCACCTTGTAAAGTTATAACACATATCTACAACTCCGTTCTTCATTAATCTAATATCTATTTCCACAAATGTGAATTACTATGCAATTTACTGAGGTGCAACATTGTACCTCATCTTGATACCCATGGCAGCCAACTCCGAATCCAAATATTTCAAAACGAAAGGAATAGCAACGGTAGTGGTGTTGTCACCACCGACAAACTTGACTCCCAGACCGTCTTCCCAAATGTCAGCGTCACTGACTTGAACACCCTTCTTGGCGTACGAGTCGAACTTTTCAGCGCATCCACGACATCTTATCGTAGAGAATGTTCCAATACGTGGCACAGACATCTGGGTATTTAGCATCAGACCACATGAGCGACAGATAGGCGTTTGTGTGTAATCGGAACAGTTCAATAATCTGTCCTGAAGCAAGTAGGAAGTACCGTGACCAATCAAAGCATCTCTCTCCATCTCACCGACACGAATACCACCATTTCTCTTACGACCCTTCACAGGCTGCATTGTCAAGGAGTTGACAGGACCAGTAGATCTTACCTGGAACTTATCGTTAACCATATGTCTCAATCTTTGGTAGTAGACGACACCAATGTAGATGTCGCAACGAAGTTCTTCACCAGTGACACCGGAATACATTGGCTCGTTACCATGGTAGTTGTAACCGGCTTTCTTTAACTGTTCACCGAAAAAATCGGCTGGGGTATCACTCTCACTGAAAGTCCATGGGGTGGAGTCCTGAGAGATACCATGCATAGCACCGGCCTTACCGGCAAGCGATTCAACGAACATACCAATGGTCATACGAGATGGGAAAGCATGCGGGTTAATGATGACATCTGGCTGAATACCGGTTTCAGAGAAAGGCATGTCCACCTGGGGCCACTTTCTCGAGCAAACACCCTTCTGTCCGTGTCTCGAGGAGAACTTGTCACCGATCAATGGTGCTCTGGTAACTCTGTACTTAATGGTAAGCAGCTGGCACTCCGAGTCTCCATTCTCGTCAGCAAGAAGCTTCACTTCTTCGATGTATGCTGGCTCACTGGAGTGGTAAGTCTTAACCTTAGTCTTACCAATGGTGTCATCGAAGTAAGCACAGATTGGGTCACCTTCTTCAACATGAACACCAATGATTGGCAATCCATCCTCGTCCAACTTCTCTTTCCAGGCTTCAGGGTAGTCATCTTCTCCGAAACCCAAATGCTGAATGATAGGATCACCTCTCCTACGTGACATGGAAAGATCAACCTTCTCCACCTTGTAAACAGTACCGTAACCAAAACCTCTCTCATCTGCTGACTTGTTGATGATCATAGCGTCATCCATATCGTAACCAGTGTAAGAGATGACAGCGACGACAGCGTTCATACCGTTAGGGAAGTTGTCCATACCATATTCGTCGTACAAGTTGGCCTTAACAATAGGAGTTTGACCAGTCTGGAGTCTGTAAAGCTTGTTGTCAGATCTGTGAACCAATGCGGTACCTGGGGTACCCATAGTTTGCTTACCCATCTGACACTGGTACATATTTCTTGGAGACTGATTGAAATCGGAAAATGGAGTCAAGTTGGCCAAAATGGACAAGATGTTTGTAGGAGCCCATTCAACATGAGAATGGATCTTTGGCTCGATCTCTTGTGGAGTCACAGCGATGTTCATGTAGACTTGCTCGAATGGGCCAAGGATATCCTCTTTCTCGAGAGGCAAGTACTTAGTTGGTCTCATCATTCTGGAACGGCCACCAAAAAGGTACAAACCTGGGTATTGACCCTTGGAGGATGGTGGAACGTAACCAACTTCCAAGTCAAGAGGCAAGCCATGGCCGCCTTCAATCTTCCAATATCTCAAGGCATCAGCCACAAGCCTACCTTGGTCGTGACTAGTCCAACCAACGATTCTACCGTCCAATTGGACACAGCACAAGCCAGGACCAGCAGCGAAAGTATGTGCTGGAGAAACACCCAACTTGGCCAATGCGCTAGGCACTTGAGAAACGTCAGAATCTTCAGTGGAAATCTTACACTTGTGAGCCAAATGGTTCAACAAACCACATGGAGAACCATCCGGAGTATGGACTGGGCACAAGAAACCCCAAGATTCTGGTAACAACTTTCTGACTGTGGTTGTCTTCAATTCGGCGAAGAAAGAACCTCTATGAACCATTCTGAAATGGGAGATGAATCTGTGGAAGTTAATCTTTTCAGCGACAACTGTGTAACCAGAGACTTGCTGCAAATCCAAACCGGATTGGGATACAAGGTTACCGGTGGAGAGGAAATATTGCAACTTCTGACCAACGTTTTCGTTAACTCTCATGAACACACGAGACATGTACTTTCTGTCACTGAAGTTGACTCTGTTGCCTCTGTTAATATCGGAAGAGATTTGAACCTTGATGTTTTGCAAATACTCTTCGATCTTTTCTTTGATGATCATACCGTAAAGGAAACCACCCAATAACACTTCCTGGTGCTGAGTAGCATCTGGATTGTCAGGCGAACAGTCACCAGCCACAAGGGTGTATAACTTACGGATCATGAAAAGAAGCATACGGTACTTGTCGGCATTGTTTGGCAAGTGAACAAGAACAATCTTCTTAAGAAGTTCTTTACCAACCTCGATATCAGAAACATCAGGAGGAGCGTCAAAGACAACACGGAACTTGTCACCCAAGAATGCCAAAGTCTCCTTTTGGGAGTGGAGGTTGTAGGACTTGTAAGACCTAAGCAAAAGTTCAAGACGATCGGTCAAGAAAGAGTTGGAAGTGTCAGAAGCAACGATACCATCGAAGATCTCTCTATCGTTGGTCTCCATCAAGGCCTTCAAAATCATGACGACTGGAACCAAGTACTCGTTCTTACGCCACGAAAAACGGAAAGTGACGTTACCGTCTTTCAAATAATGCAAAACGTTGGTCTGGGAGGTCTGGTCAGGACGAACACATCTGATCTGACAACCAAACTTGGTGTATGAGTTACCTCTGTTACCGAAAGAAGGACGGATAAGAGCCATAGGGTGGTTTCTTCTCTGAACAATCAACATACGAATCAACTTTTCAATACCGTTGACAATGAAGTAACCTCCCAACTCATCACTCTCTTCTTTGGCAGCGACCAACTCGTTAGGAGACAACTTCTCCAAGTGACATCTGTTGGAGCTGACCATAATAGGAACTTGACCTGCGTCACGGATCTCAGACACTTCTGGACCCTCGTTCACAGACCAGGTCACCTTCAACATCAACTTGCCTCTGTATGTGGTCATTCTCTCTCTACACTCCGATGGGTGTGTCTTACGGTTGACAGAAAGCTTATCGGTTGGAGGAACCACTGGCTTGGCCAACTGAACGGATTCCACTCTGATTTGAAGCTTGTTACCAAGTCTGAGCTCATCAGAAGAATCAAAGATTGTCTTGGTGCCAATGTCCTTCACTCCCATATTGAGAAGACCTCCACCAGGGCCCTCAGTGAGGGCATTGAAGGAACCAATGTGAGGAGCCACCGCCTCTGCTAGGAGAGGGAATGCGGATTTATCCTTTGGAGGATTCTTAAACCTTTGTTCACGTTCTAGGGTCCTAAACTGGGCACCCATTTTTGGAGATCTAAGAATTGAAGATTGATAATGGCAGGACTTTTTTTTTCTCTGATGAGATGGAGCGATGCCAGTGCAGTCCACACTCAGGCTGCATATCGGCACATGACACGATGCACGTGCGCAATCACGTAAGCACAGAAAGCACCCCCAGAAGCTCTCATTGGGAAGTACTAGATGGATGAAGATAAGTTGAAAAGGTTTAGATGTGATAGTAGTTTTCAAAATCTGTAAATGTAGGCGTGTAGTGGAGATCGTTGGTGACATTGGTCCGCGATGAGGTGGAGGTGCAGCAAGCCGAACATCCCGTCCTCCTGAAAAGTAAACAGTGTAAACAATTAAAGATCAATTTGTTTGAAGAATGTGCTGAGGGTTATGCTTTTGAAAGTACAGATCAGATTGAAAGTAGAAGTGAAGTTCTTGTTGGGGTTCATTGGGTAGTCTAGTACTGGCTGCGAAAACATACGCGTAGGCTATGAAGCTACGCTAGCTTCATTTTGTATTTCTAGTATACATTATGGGAAAACATGAATCCAGAACAAGATCAAGAATAGCCATATTCAATCCCCCATCGTCATTATTCCTCTTATACCATGGCTTTACCGTTCTGATGAACCCCAGGTGTATGGGTGCGAGCTGCGATGAATCTGGGGAAGATAGTTTTTCAGTCTAGCCTATAGAAGCTAGGCAGCATCCCCAATGCTACCGACTCCAGAAGTTGCAGCAGATGACAGAGTTTATGAACCATCAGAGGACTCGTTCCTACTCCTAGACTGTTTTGAACAATCCCTTGAGCAGCTACAACAGACCTACAAGAACCCAGTTGTATGTGAGATAGGATCAGGTTCTGGAGTGGTGACAGCGTTCCTTAAAATGCATGTCTTTCCTAAAGCCCTTTTCCTTGCCACAGACTTGAATCCAACTGCTTGCTCGACTGTATTATCTACAATTAAGAAAAACGAGCCAGAAGTGCCGAAAGCAGGGGTTGTATCTGTTCTACAGATGAGCCTAGCAGAAGGTATACGGAAGAACTCCATCGACATTTTAGTATTCAACCCGCCTTACGTTCCCGCAGAGGAAGTGCCAGAAGTCCCCAAAACAGATGAAGATTATACGTGGCTCGACTTGGCACTTCTTGGAGGAAGTGATGGTATGGTGGTAACATGGCAGCTTCTAGACAGGCTAGACGAATACTTGACACCCAACGGTGTAGCGTACATTTTATTCTGTGCTAGAAATAAACCAGACGAAGTGGCGAAGGTCATGGAAAGTCGTGGTTGGACAGTTGAGACAGTCATACACAGAAAAGCCGGATGGGAGGTGCTCAGCGTTCTTCTGTTTCGCAAGGACAGTCAAGGAAGTATATAATGGGCGGAGGGGCCTAGCAGGATATTATAGAGCAAGACCAAAGATATAAAATGAGGTTGTAGAGGGTAGAAAAAAGCCAGAGGCCAAGTTAATAAGAGTGACTTGCTTACTGAATGTAAAGACAAAGTGGTACTATTGTAGGGACTGGAAAGACGATTTCGCAGCCAAAGCATCAGTTCTTAACAGCCCACCACAGCGTGATTGCCAAGTGAAAATGCCCAAGTAAGTCAAGCTAGGCTTCAATATAATCAAAGAGGAATCTTTTCTAGCAGCAAATAAAAAATAAAAATACAAATGTATCTGTCCAGATGCTGTTCATCATATCCATGGCCCATATCGAGGGGTGGGGCATCGCGGAAAATCACTATACATACATCTCACAGTAACCAAAGCACACTATCATCTCATACAACCATCAACACCAAATGTCTCGTCCAACAAAGTGGGGCGGCACGAAAAGCCGATCTGTGCTTTTTGGCAATGAAAAGCTAGATACCATCATCACCGGCCATCTCACGCAAGAACAAATCGATGCCTACCAAAGGTACTTTAGGGTTGAAGAGATTCTGCACTATTTACGTCGAGGAGGACGTGGTGGAAGCACATTCATTGAGTCACTTCCGCTGACAAAGATCAGTAACTTTAAGAGGGATCCATCTCCGCCACCACAGTACGATCTGAATGGTAACAGGACGAATACTAGAGAGAGACGCATCAGAGAGCAGATTGAGAAGGAAAGAGATACTCTTGTTGAAGTGGCAGCCACTACGATCAAAAACTACGATCCTCCAGTCGACTACCGTCGTCCTGAAAAGACCAGCGAAAAGCTTTATATACCTGTGAAGGATTATCCAGATATCAACTTCGTGGGACTTTTAATCGGTCCTAGAGGTAATACTCTTCGCCAGCTTGAAGAGAAGAGTGGCGCAAAATTAGCTATCAGAGGAAAGGGTTCCATCAAGGATGGTAAAAGTATAACTGATGCTCGAGGCGGTGCCCCAGCAGAGGATGATTTGCATGTGTTGATCCTGGCGGATAAAGGAGCCAAGATCCAAAAGGCTATCAAGTTAGCCAACGAAGTCATGGATAAAGCTATTCTGTCGCCAGCTGGACAGAATGACTTGAAGAGAGATCAGCTCCGTGAGTTGGCTGTTCTTAATGGTACTCTTCGAGAGACAAAGCCTTACGTGCCTCCAGAGGTGCTAAACCAGAGAAGAGCACCAGTGAAAGACATAACGCTGGTGGTATGTCGTGTTTGTGGACAAGTGGGTCATTATTCCCGAGACTGTAAGCTTCGAAACGGAGACTTTAATGACAGATACTCTGGTGACAACAGCTACAAGCCTTCCAATGGTACTACGGTTAATGGTCATAGTCGTGAATCGCCTCGTCCAGAAACTGACTCTTATAGTCCCAAGCCGTACAGCCCTAGACCCGAGAAAAGAGTCAATGATGACGATATACCGCCTTGGAAGCGTCACAGACCAGACACAGATTCTTACATTGGTGGTCAAAGCGTGCAAGCTCGTCCTCCAGCAGGAGCACCAGCAACACCTCAACCACCACCAGGTTTGCAACCCCCTCCACCCCCTCCTTCAACCGTTCAACAACCACCTCCACCACCTGGATTATCGAAGCCTCCACCACCACCATCTCATTCACCAGCACCTCCACCACCTACCGGTCAAACAGCACAAGGACCTCCTGCGCCACCACCACCACCAGCTTCAAAGGCAACACCACCTCCACCACCACCTACGTCATCTAACAACGGAGCAAACCAACCTCCCCTCCACCACCTCCTCCAAGCCTGTAATTCTCATTGGGCCCCTATTGCATACCATAGTGCATGTGTTTCGCAGCCATTTACATGCGGCGTGAGTGGAGGAATTGACATAGTAACACACACCAAAAGTTATCTCCATATAATTAATATAATTCCAAACTGCTCAACTCAGTGATACTAACAAACCACTACCAATTGAAATCACTTCAGTACACTCTTCTACTGCGACGGTGCCTACATTCCATGTTTCCCCAGATTTGGTATATGCGCGCAGCCTAGGGGTATTTCAGGTCCCCAACTGCGAAGATTATGTTCAGTTCTTTCAACATTCTTCCAACTACTACTTTGCTAGAACCAATTGATAGGATTTCCATACAGAATCACACACCATGGCTCCATCAATTTCACTTCTTTTCAAATTGGTGACCTTGCCGGTGAAGATGCTCTACTTAACCTTGCAGTTTTACACTGTGGGCACAGTCTTCACCAATGCAACTGCTAAGAAGTCTTTGATCAAAACGTTGCACAATGGTTTATGCCAACACATGGGAAGGTCGCTCCGAATCCAGGATGTAAGGCTTACTTGCATACCGGTGTCCAGGCTTTTGGGCTACATGTCCAAGTCGCTTGGCAGATTACCAGGCTTTAATGAGAAGTACACTGACAAGGACGAGTTTGCTTGCGAGAGTCGCTGGATCACCAAGAACATCACCTCAAGGTCTTCACCTATCGTGCTTTACTTCCATGGTGGTTGCTTTGCTATTCAAATGCTGGACAACCAGGCCCAAGGCATGGCCAACTTGTATGATGGATATAAGTTGAGATACGGAGAGGACCTTTCTATACTCGTGGCGGACTACTCCTTGACCGCCATGGGTTACACTTATCCTCGCCAATATAACGAGGCTATCAGTCTTTATGAAAATTGGTGGAAGATGGATACACGAACATTGCCATTATGGGAGATTCTGCTGGCGGTAATCTTGTTCTCAACCTTCTCAGTTATCTTCACAAGAAGAGTGAGACTAGCGAGGTTGTCTGGCCAGTTGCCTCCATTGGCATTTCGCCTTACCTCAACATCTCAAAACAAGAGTACAGCGGCAGTTTCAAGAAATTCAACAACTACGATTTCTTCAACTATGACATGACGAGCTACTTTGGCAATGCTTACATCGGTGGTAATGATTACCTTCATGACTCTGCGGTAGTGAATATTGAACGCAATTCCGATAAGGTTGATTGGGAGAACATTCCGCCCATAAAAAACGGCGATCTCCTCATTCAATTCGGTGACCATGAGGTCTTGACAGACGAGATTCTCAGATGGTGTGAAAAGGCTCAACTTACGACCCGCCATCCTGAGAATATAGCCATAGATATTGATGGCACGCATATCGGATTTTTCGTTACGGAGAGCGTTGCTTATGGCAATATCGAGAATTGGCTGAATCAGTATTGTGCCAACTCTGTATTGAACTTTTACACAGTAAGTTCACTGTCTAGTCGTACATTTTAAACATTTACACTCCAACTAAAGCATCAACACTGTCAGCATCTAGTTGTAGCCTTTCTTTTGCAGCTTCAATTAAACCGCCTTGTCTCAGCATATGGTGAAGCACATTCACCAAACTGTTATTCAACAGTAATTTCTTCATGTCATCGCTTAAGTCATTCGATTCATCAGCAGCTTGCTGTGCTCCTTTGAAAGATTCTAGCAAATAAGACAAGTTCTGCACTCTTTCTTGTAATGACTCACCTTCCTTTGTGCTCACAACTGTCTCTCTCAAGTCGTTTAACTCACGCATCCAGGAACGCTCTGCTTGAGAAAGTGGGAGAGACGTCGATTTCTTGGAACTCTCAAATCTATTAAGGATGTCTTTCTCAATATCATCTCCGCGCTTCAAAAGTCCCTTTTGACGCTCGAAAAGCTTATCTATGCGCTCTTTATACATCGAAGAACGTTCGTTAAACTCTTCTAGCTTCTGTCCACCGTGAACAAGATTGCCATTTAGCAAATTGCGTTTTTGTTGCACCTCAATCTTGCTATTGAGTGCTATTATGAACTTCGAGAGTTGATGGGAATGCGAGCGGATCAGATTGGTGATCTTTGTCAAAGCAACGAGATCTTCCGTATTCCTTGTTTTTGAGGTAAAACTGAATGTGGCACTAGGGCTCTGGCGCAACATGCTCCGCAAATCTGCTCCTGACAACCCAGTTTCATGCAAAAGTTTTGTGCTGATTGCTTTTGATGGATCAGGCTTATCGTTTGACGAAGGCTTTCCCTCGACACGGGGGCCAACAAGGACAGTCTCACCGCTGTTAGATCTGATAAAGACGTAAGGTGTTGGATCATCAGCATTATCAAAAAGAGCAAATGCAGCAATAGGCTTCTCAATAGCGAAATTAGTTTTCGTGGTGTAAAACTCTGTGAACCCAAGAGGGAAGTTATCCTGAAACTCTTCGAACCAATGCAGACAGTCTACCATTTGGATCTTCTTATTGATACCGAGCAATATCCGACCGTGTGGGTATGAGCCAATCATTAAAGGTCCCAGGGAGGACTTCTTGTACTTCTCGCAGGACAAGGTAGTGAGTTTCTGATGCAGATGGATGAACTCCATACATTTAATCTTGAGCTCATAAATTTCCCACAGTTTTGAATACTCATTATTCTGTGTGGCGATTTGGTTTTCTTCGACAGATTCTTCATCGTCGTCGTCATCTACGACAAAACCGAAGCCTTTCTTGGGTCTCGAGTACTCATGCTTCTCTCTACCACGTTTCTTCAAACCAGCATCATTAGGGGCATCTGGCCTTGGGATATCCCGCGCCCTGGACATCACTTGAGGGCAAAGATGGCCCAAGTATGCTAGTTCAACCAGTGTATCGGTGTCGTTGAAGGCCACGAGGCAAGAGGTCGTAGAGTTCGTATCAACCAGGAGTATCTTGGACCCTTTTGAGACTTGAGCGAACGATCCAGTAACTATTGGGACAACATACGTGGGAATCAAACGAACGACTTTCAAAGGGTCAGAACAATCTATCAAGGGACTTTCTATTTGGTTCTGGAGATGAAGGCCAAAATTCAACTGGTTCAACAAATCATTATTAGAGGGGTGTCCAGCTATAACTCTTGGGGGATACTTTTGCTCAACAGTGTCTAGAAGTTCCTGTGTTTCAGCAACGAATAAGTCAACAGCCCTCTTGGATGCACCAATATAGAAGTTGGGGTAAATGAATGGAAAAATTGAGTGCACTTCTCCAGAAGGTGAACACAAGTAAAGGGACAATGAGCCGGAAAGACTGAGCGGAGACCCAAATGCAATGGACGTTGGGTTTTCACGCATGCCTAGATTCGATAGCGTTGAACGGAATGTAGGTTTTGTTGTGGATATGATTAGATCGAAAGACTGCAACGCATTCTCTGTCAATACGACAAGTTCTGAGTTCGAACAACTAGCTGGGTGCCAGGCAACGGACACAATGTTGGTGTCAAACTCTCCCAAGACGAACTTGAGTGGTCTCCAGGGCTGGCCAGAGTCTCCAAATGGAATTCGTCTCAAAAACACTATGACGATGCTCTTCTTGCATACCAAAGCCAATAAATCTTGAGAATTGTTGATATGAATGCTTTCGATATTATAAGGATGTCCAAGATCAAAGACCTTATATGAGTGAGCAGCACTAGTCAAGTCCACGGCAAGAAGCGTTCTGCCTGATGCAAGGAACAATTGCTCATTTTCCTTAACCGCCAAGCTCGTGGAAGCCCCAGATACGGGAAGCTTGAAGGCACTGCTTTGTGCTAGCGATTCTGCCAAGGATGCCATGGGGAAGCAGGGTGAAATCTGTACTGTGTTTACTGATGCTCTGAAAAGTAGTACTAGAAAAGTGCAGGACAGGACCAGGAAGTAGAGGCTGGTTCGGTATAACCTAGGATAATCAAGATGGAAATTTAGTAAGAAGAATAAAAATGGGGTAATTTCAGGAACTAGTCTAGCTGGCTTGTTATTTTATTGATTTCTATAAGTATTGCCGTGCAACCAGTTCTCCCTAGTGTATTCATACACGCTGAGCAGTTAATGTATGGACCTCAGTAGTACTCAACCCAGGCCCATAATTAAAGGGCACCTTATAACAAGCATCTTTGTCTTCAATTGCAGCTTTGTCATTGCTTAATGGTGTTCTTATGACAGTGGCATCCCCTTCAGAGCCGTATGTCTCCTGAGGCCCAGAAGCCTGTTCTGGCTCACCAGACATGGATCCTTCGGTCAGGACTGCCAGCCTTCTCCACATAAAGATTGCCTTTAGCTTATCTCTCTTTCGACGATGCTCAGAATCTGTAGTTCGCTCAGAATCGTCTTCTACTGGCGATGGTGTTCGCAGCAGCTGTGCCATGGCGTATGTGTGGTTGGCTTTGGCGCCCATGATAGCCCACCAGCCTGTTTGGGAGCTAGGGCAGAAGGAGCGGACGATAATTGACATCTTATGGAGGAATTGGGGTGGTTTTGGTAGGTTGGACGGTAGAATTGGAGTTTCAGGTAAAAGGCGGTGTAGCAGGGCAGGAATTAGTTACATAAGGTATGTTTCGCAGGTTTTTGCAGCCATTTGGGTACTACTCATTTTCCAGGGACATACTATACCATGGTTAAAAGGACAATAAACAAAAAATCAACTATAAATCAAACAAATGAATCACGAAGGAGCTTCAGTTAACGCCTTCAGTTTCTCCACAGGTAAGCTTTTTATCCTGAGGGGCTGCGCTGTTGAGCTTTCAACCTTCGCTTCTGGCTTCTTTGGAGGAGCCATCTGAGCTGCTTCCTTTTGCCTTCGTCTTTGACCCTTCAAGCTCCTGATCACCTCTATAAGCTCCTTGTGTTGGCCCAAACTGATCGACTTCTCTCGGTTGAGATTATCATAAGTCTCAATGTAACGCTTGACCATTTGACGGTTAGACTCAACGAGTGCCGTAGTCAACCTGGTAAGAACAGCTTGGTTATCCTTGTTGAAGCTTGGAAGCAGCACAAGCTGATAGTAGAGACCGGTATAATCTGAGGCGGATTCAGGGAGGAAGAATGGAGCCATTGCCTCGTAGCTTTCTTTGAGGTGCCTCTTCAATGAATCCATGGCAAACTTATTAGACCAGCTAATCATCTGGTAGGCTTCAAAACACTTGTGGAAGTTCAGTCTCCTTTTGTTTACCTCCTCTTGCAACTTATTGATCAAGGCTTCTTTATGGGCTAAAAGTTCCTCTAACTCCTTCTTTGCTGCCTCTTGGTGCTCTAACTTGACGGTGTACTCAGAAGCCTGCTCCTGATCACGAAGGTATAAAGCTTTAAGCTGGTCCAGTGCCTCGGCATTTTTCTTCTCTGCATCTTCCAATTCTTTCGTACCTTCAGAGATTTTGCTTTGCATGGACTCGAGCTTAATGAGAATGGCATCTCTCTCTGAACGGAGCATCTCGTTCTTCTCCATGGCCTTGATGTTATCAGCCCTAAGGTCGTCAATGGTTTTCTTGAACTGAACTAAATCTTCATTAAGGCTCAGATTGGTTTTCTTCAATTGGATCATACTGCTTTCAATTGCATCCGAACGTTCCTCTTGCTCCAGGATCTTTGCATCTTTGACACAGATGATAGACTCCATTTCAGCCTTGGAAGTTTCAAACTCCTCGATCTTTTGTTTTAAAACCTGCAACTTATCTTCTTGATCATTGCTGATACTAGAGATAGACTTCACCTCCTCTACCTTGGCGGTAAGCAACTTCTCGAAGTCCTGCTTCTCGAGCTTCAATGCACTGATAACCTTATCCTTTGCCTTTATATCCTGGGTAACGGAGGACTCTATTTCGTTGATCCTTTGTTTTAAGGAATCTCTCTCATAAGAGGCATTGGTACAGCGTACGGCTGCCTTTTGGTTCTCTTTCGTGAGTAGTTTGATCTCATCTGTAATCTGCTGAAGAAGATTGTTCTGCTCCTCAATCTTCTTGTCTTTCTGTTTCAACTCGGATTTGCACAGCTCCAACTTTTCATTCAAGGAAGAAAGACTTGAAGACGACTCGAGCATAGCGGCCTTCAACTTCTTTTCGAGTTCAGCCTCTCTCTGAGAAGCTTCTTGCTTCAACTTCTCGTAGATGTTACTACTTTCCGTAAACTTCTCCTTCCAATCCTTTGTATCATTCTCTGCTTCATCTGCCCGCTTTTCTGCTGTAGAGAGGAGGGCTTTGCAAAACTTGGTCTCCTGAAGCGTGTCATTGATGCCAAAGTCAATACCCGAAATGACGTTATCAAGATCATCACCTTCAAGTTGCAAACTAGAGAAGTACTTTTGGTATAATGTAGAAAGTTTCTCAAGAGCTGGGATCTCGTCTTTGTCTTCGAAAATATCGTCAGAGTCATCCCACTCGTCTCCCTCCTCTCCATCTTCGACACACTTCAAGGCTTCAACAGGCTTCTCATCCATATAGGCGTCACCAAGTTCTGGCTCATGGGACACATCTCCTGAAACAAGCAAGTTATGACTCAGACACTTAACAGCTTTTTCCAACTGAGGCTCCTTAGGTTCTGGCGACTCGCTCTTGAAAAAGATACCCAGAAGACGGTTATGGATGCTCTGGTAGGGACTCTCCTTTTCTGCATCTCCAGAACTGTTAGTGTAAACCAGAGACTTGTCATCTGGCGTCGCTGGCTTCTTGCTCTTCACTGGTTTCCCCAATTGGTCAGCAAAGTGAACTGACTTACTTCTGGGTAACTTGAAACCTGGATCAGGCTTAGAAGAAGGCTGGAAGGAGAAGCTCTTGGAACGACGCATCCGATTTGGCTTAGCATAAGGATCGAGGTCCTCAATGGTGATGTTCAAGGGGTCAATGGTTGGTAATTCAGCCTGCTTTGGTTGTTCACTACACTTGTTGTCGCTCAACAGGACGGTTCCTTCAGGCGGCTCGTTCAGAGGAGATGGTTGGGTAGTAGAAGATTCATTTTCCTTCTCAGATAGAGATATCTTTTTGGGATCCTTCTTCTGGCCTTGAGTGACAGCCGAAGAAGGCGGCCGAAAGATCTTTTTGAACATTCAGAGAAGAAGAAAGATGTTGGGTAATGAGGATTTGCAACCTTTTCGCAGCCATTTTATAGTCCATTACTGTAGCAAGGCAAGGGCCAGTCTAGTAACCAAAACACGGCATACTTTTTCCCTTATGATAAAATGTCCATATTGGCTTCGAAGACGCTTGCTATTAATCCAAATTTTTGAGATCAATTCCGTATATTGTTATGGTGATAGGACGCTTTAGTATACTGGAGTCAAGGCAAGTGAGCAACCCTTCACTTACAACCTCCAACATGTAGTTCTTCAAAGCGTCTTAACATTACAAACTTAAAAAAATTGATCACACAAAGTACCATTTTATCCGTTTACGTCATCTAAGCTGGCCAATGTCGACCTTCTGGGGGCCTATCTGTTTGCCCTGCGTACACTATCACCAGTATACTATCGCGTACTACTGTCACCTACATCTTTCCAACAGCTAGCAATGGGTAAACAATACATTCTGACGGTGACTGCGTCCCATGCCCATGAACTGGATATCCTGGGTGTCGCAATGACCGACAAGTATACAATCTCTGTTTCCAGTGACGGATATGCTGCCTTTTGGGACAACAAGAAAGATGAGGTCCATAATCCATCTGATTCGGTTGTTAAGAAGTTCATCAACGAACTTGGTATCCATCATATTGCTGCTTATGAAAATATCCCACCTGAGCTGACGCAGAAAGTTGTTCTTTTGGCATTTGCATGTTTCGATGGCTCCATCAAGTTCTACTACTATACCAACGAGGACCTTGAAACTTTCCAAGAACTCGACACTGGTTCCACTTTCAAGTCCAGCTTTTGGACTCCAGGCTTCTACAAGGATCCAAAATCAAAACAAGATATGTTTATTTCCACTAAGGCTAACGGCCTGGCTGCTGTTTATGGGTTGAACATAAAAGACGTCGAGGGTACTATAGAGATTACCGTGAGTGATCTTCTAGGCGAACTCCACGTCACTGTCAACAATGCAGCTTTTCCAAACTCCTTAGGTGTTTCTAAGGCATCTGATGGGCTTGTTGCTGTTGGTTACACATCCGGTGATGTGGCAGTTTTCACTTTGCATGGTCTCAAGGCCTTGTTCACATTCCATTCCACAGATCTCCAAGTTGCTGAGAACATTGGATCAAGTTCGGTACCTCGTGTTCTTGAGTTCTCGCCAGGCGGCACGCTTTTGGCAGTTGCAAGAGATAACCAGTCTGCTGGCCTGATAACCCTTTATGATGTTGAATATGGTGAAAACGTTGGCTCGTTGACCACCCTGTCACATTCCACAAAGACCACTGTGGGAGGATTTGCTCATGACGGATGGATCATGGGTCTCGACTTCAACACAGATGGTCTGCTTCTAGCAAGTTGTGGTTTCGACAAGTGCATCAGAGTATGGAACCTCGAAACTCGTGAACGTGAAGCTACGCTACAAGTGAATGTGACTGACTTGGAGAATACAGAATATGATGGTGATATCGACAGCAGTGTTTGCAGCGGAGTAGCGTTCATTGATAGAGGTGTTAGAGCAGGTGCCGGTGGTGATTCTAATGAGGGTCTCTGTGTGGTGAGCTTCGACCGTGGCATTCGCTGGTATAGAGAAGCTGGAGGAATCTAGATACTAGTCTTGAATATAGAGTACGGATATTTCTTTCGTAGAACTCGTCCCGGTTGGCTAATGACTAGAAACTAGTTGGTTAGAGTGATTGGTTAAGTTTCCTAATGGAGCAATCGCGTTCGATGTTACATCGCACCTCGTCGACGTTACCTTATTGTTCGTCAGTATTACGTCGCTAATTGCATCTGTGACATTTGTCTTGACTGGTATTTTCCTCTCGACGTAATTTCCTAATCTTCTTGACTTGATCAAGATATCTCCTTGTTCGGATGACGTTCAAAAACGAAACCATCTTACGTGAAAAGCCAGAATGGGAGCACTCAACTGGTCATGAGTTACCCAAGAAGACCTACTACCCGAACTACGAAGCAGCTGTGCTCCGTACCCTTCTTATTCTTCGCCGGGAAAAGCAGAACCTTCAATCGTACCTCAACTCCTTCACCGAGTTGGCTCGAGAACTCCCTGCGGATGTTGCCAATGATACTACCCTTTCGGTCGCCCTTACTGAAGGTTGTGGCGAACCCTACGCCTCCGACATTAGACGCTTGGACCTTAACACGTTCACGGAGCAGTTCGAGTACCTCCAACGTCAAGCAAATATTTTGCATTCCCTTCCCGAATTTGCCATCGCTGCCGCAAGAGAGGCCGATCCCATCGCTGTTGCCTTAACTGCAAGGGAACCCAGCACCTTGACCGACACCGAAATCACTGCCATCAACAAGGCAATGAAAGCAAATATGGTCTGCTACTACTGCCGGAAGAAGGGCCATATTAAGCGTGATTGTCGCAAGAAAGCCGCCGATGCCAAACTCGCCCGATGAACTCAAACGGGCCCTACTGTTCAAATGCTCCACGCCCAACCAAAAGATTAGTAGGGTTGACTGGCTCTTGCCGTAATCGCGTCAATGCAACCCCGTTTGTCATCCCAATGAATGAATGATGCCAAACAGATCCACGGCTCATACCTGGTTTCTGGAGAATACTGATCAGTCTTTTAGTCTTGACAGCATCGACAGAATCTTTTCCAACTTGTGTTGACAATTACCATAATGGTTTGGAAAGTTCAAATATTACATACCTTGGTGTTGATGAAGTTTCGCCTTCGATAACGTGGGGCAATTGGATTGGACTGCTCCCAAAGTCATAGATCCTGAAGTGTCGTGATGGGATGATATCAACCGGACCCAAATTCTATGCGTTTTCTTTATTTTTTTTCTTTATCAGTTTGAACTTACTGAGTGAAAATCTATTTGTAGAACTACTAAAAGTAACCACCTTACCAGCTTCAGAGAAGGTGGATGTGTATGAAATTGACCCATCGAATCCGTCATTTGGCTTCTGGAGGCCGAGCACGAGAGATTAGTTCCGACTTTCACGAAATAATTCGGGGTATGTGCGCTATAGCACTTTGCAAATCAATTCAAACCCCCCAATGTTTCAAAGGAAAGGAACTAGCATTTTTTTTCCTATATTTCATTATCTTTCCCAGGATCACGTAGAAGCGTAAGTACCTACTCCATCGCCAACTTTTCGCACGTGATGTTTATTTACATAACACCAACTACTTCAGTCATTGACATCCTTAGAAATGCATCAACTGAGTGAGATATCGGAAAACCTACGAAAGCTTTTCGAAAGGGGTCAAGAATCTTCCGACGCCCTTGAAGAATTGACGCGAATTGCTGCTCTGGACGGCTTATCAGAGCCCGAGTTGAATATGGTGCTTGATATCATCTTTGACTATTCCTTAAGGAATTCCCTACGCCTGTCCTTGATAACCAAATGTCTTGTCCCTGATGGGGACTTCTTGATTCAACCAGAGGTCATTTCTCGGGTCTTGGGCGCTGTGGGTGTCTCAGAGGTCTACTTCCGGAATGGGAAGCAGTTCAAGCTGAAGCGACTCCCACCCACGTCCCAGAACCTTCTCCTAGAGTGGTTGATTTGTGCACTGCATTTCTTTGGTAAGGCATTGTTTGATGAGCTTCACAAGCTTCTTCCCATGCTTTTTGGCCTTCTATCGTTTGAGTATCTGCGGTCTAACATCACCGTACTTATCGTTATTGGTCTTTCCCAGCAAAGAAAGTCAAGGGATGCTTTGACTGGCCTGAAGAGATATGCCCTTAAACCATGGCACGTTAATATGGTCGTCAACTTGTCTTTAAAGTTCCCATTCGATCCATGTATCAAATCACTTATAGCATACATGAAGCGTTTGAACCCTACGTTAGATTTCAGGGGTGCGCCAGAAACAAGAAACTTGGACCTGCTGAAATCAGATGTCATCCAGTATCCAAACAAGGACCTAAAGAGCCTTTTAACGAGCAAGATCTCCAACTCAAGCTCTTGTTCCTGGGAAACGAACGAAGTAAGAGACAAAGTTCAAAGACTTTTTGACTCTTTCTCGGGTCTTTCCTTCAAGAAGAGAAAGATGGTAATAAGATCATTTAATGATTTAGACTTGCTTGACTCTCCTTCCAATGTTGAAAGCATATCTATTGGTACGGTCGAGTCTCTACGTACTTTGGTTGATGAGTTCGACAAGATCTCTATGGCAAATCCGGGCTCGCTCTTCACTTTGAATAACATCGCAAATGAAAGGCTAAGAAAGTACTTTCTTGCCTTCAACTTGTCTTTGTCTCACGATGACCTGCCGTTGGTAAAAAAGTTCATTCAAGCTGTGAAGTTTCATGCATTGTCTTCAGAGCTGTCAACATCTGCTTTCAGCCAGCTCGTGTCCATCGCTCTGACGGGAGATTTCCCACAGCTTTCACAACCTCTTGAAAGTGCCATCACCTCCACAGGCATCAGTACGGATAGGAAAGTGCGCCTCCTTCGCTTCCTTCATCCTGACATCGAGACATTTCGGGTTGTGATCGAGGAGGTGTCCAAACCCGACACTGACAGTCATTGGAATCTACTCTATCAGGTATTGTCCAAAACTTTTATCAAATGGTTCATCCTCCATAGCGAATATGGATTTTTCCAGGATGTATACCCCACGATACTCAATATTGTAAAGGACGTATTTTTGCATACTGAATCCAGGTGGCAGCGGTTCAACCTATTAACAAAGTTGAAGTTTATGGAATTTTTGAGATCGCTTAGGCAACTCGCTTTCAATGATGCAGTGGATGGTGAAGAACCTTCAGCTCTTGTTCCAGGTCCCACTTTATTCTACCAGATGATCCTTTCTTCCAATCCGTTCATTCTTTCGGAAGCACTTGGTTATATCTCTTTTCTTCGGACACTAAAGTTTGAAGAAGGGGGCACTGCGTTGAAGCTTAGGAACAGTCTTATCATGGATTCGATCAACTTTGTATGGCTTGACCAAGCTTTTAAGTTTGATGAAGGTACATTCAACAAGGGCATGTATCTTGACGCGGAGTACCTAAAGAAAGTAGCTGGTCTCAACTTCTTTACCTATTCGGACCTCATCGAACTTAAGAACATGGGTGGCCTTTCACATAGCCCTGGAACATCTTACCTTGTTGCCGAAATCATATGGAGCCTCGAGGATGAGGAAAATGAAATTTCTGTCAGACATCCCGGGCCTCTTTCTGAGGACTCAGTGGCCATGTTACAACAGAACAGCGATGTAAGATGGTTAAGGAAGAGCTATTTCGAGATAAAGGTCGACCTTCTCAACAGACTAGATAGTCTAGGATACACTGGGCTATGCGATCTTCTATTCTCTTCTTTAAGACCGCTTGCAGACCTTCGCCAGAAGAAAGTGACACTGACAACCGAAGCAGCATAAATGGTATAAATGGCTGCGAAATGCCATGCAAGAATTGATGTTGTCCTGCACTCCAAGCTACTATATGATTCACAATATTCATTGAACCATTTCGCGAAAGACATAGGCATTCACATCTCCTGGAGTGCTTACCCAAGGCATATGCTTAAAACTAAAACAGGTTTGGGCCTCTCACGGATAACTGTGCGCTTTGCTGCGTCTTCCGGTAGCCCGAACGAGCATTAAGATTGAATGAAATAGACAAGAAATGGATGCAAAAATGGAAAGAAGCTGCCATTGATGGAGTCGAGAGACCTAATAAGAACGGCAAACTGTTTTACTGTCTTTCGATGTTCCCATATCCTTCAGGAACTCTACATTTGGGCCATCAACGAGTGTATACCATCAGTGATGTGATTGCTCGCTTCAAGCGTCTACAAGGTTATGATGTGATTCATCCTATGGGATGGGACGCGTTCGGTTTGCCAGCTGAAAATGCTGCTGTTGAAAGAGGTATTAACCCGGCCGTATGGACAGAGACTAACATTGCGAAAATGAAAGACCAGATGGAGCTAATGCTCGCGAACTTTGACTGGGACAGGGAAGTGAATACATCTTCCCCAGACTACTACAAATGGACACAGAAGATTTTCACACTTCTTTTTGAGAACGGCTTGGCTTACAGAAAAGGTGCAGAGATCAATTGGGATCCTATTGACCAAACTGTTCTTGCCAATGAACAAGTTGACTCCGAAGGTAAATCCTGGAGATCAGGCGCTAAGGTCGAGAAAAGAACCCTTGAGCAATGGTTTATTGGAATAACAAAATATGCCAGTGCTCTTCAGAATGACCTTAAGCTATTAGACGAATGGCCTGATAAAGTCAAGGCGATGCAGAAGCACTGGATTGGCGAAAGTCATGGTGCTGAAATCGTTTTCCCCAGCCAAGGGAGCTCACAGGATAGTGTAACTGTGTTTACCTCTAGACCAGATACGCTTTTTAGCGTGCAGTTCATAGCACTTGCCTTGAACCACCCAATTGTGCAAGAAATTGCCCAGAACGATAAAGATTTGGCAGAATACATTGCGTTGGCCAAAAACGATGATGACCCTTTGTCGAAGCTGGGATACCTTATGGAGAATGTGAAAGTCACATTGCCTATTGATATTAACGGTGAACAAAAGAGAGATTTTGATGTACCTGTCTACGTTGCTCCCTACGTCCTAGGTTCATATGGTCATGGTGCCGTCATGGGTTGTCCTGCTCATGATGAGCGTGATTCTGCCTTTTGGGCGCTCCATATGCCTGGTGTTCCCGTCAGGCCCACAGTTGGGCCAAGCGATAAAAAGAAAGTAGCCGAACAGAAGGGGTTGTTTACCGCTAAGAATGGTAAGCTTTACGATGGCTCGATCTTGAAGAACGGTGTTCCTTCTTTGGGTAATCTATTTGACGTGAGTTCCAAGGAGGCCGGCAAAAAAATAATGACTCTTCTTGAGAAGAACCATACTGGTGGTAAGGCTACACAGTTCAAAATAAGAGACTGGCTTATTTCGAGACAACGTTACTGGGGTGCACCAATTCCGATCGTACATTGCGATTCTTGTGGTCCCGTCGCGGTTCCTGATAAGGACTTGCCTGTCTTATTACCCAAGATTGATGGGAAGAGCTTTGGCAGTGGTAATCCCTTGGACAAGCTTGAATCTTTCGTTCATACCACATGTCCTTCTTGCGGTGGCCCTGCGAAGCGTGATACTGACACTATGGATACTTTCATTGATTCTTCCTGGTACTTCTTCCGTTACCTTGACTCACAAAATCTCAACAAGGTCTTCGACCACGATAAAGCCACTCGTCATATGCCTGTCGACCTATATGTGGGAGGTGTGGAACATGCTATCTTACATCTTTTGTATTCTCGTTTCATTTCCAAATTCTTGGGTGATATCGGCATGTGGGATGGCAAAGATGTCAGGAATGAACCTATCAAGAAGTTGGTGACCCAAGGAATGGTACACGGCAAGACTTTCACTGACCCCGAAAGTGGTAGATTCCTCAAGCCAGAGGAAGTGGACTTGTCTGATGCTTCTAGACCAAAGATAAAGGCGACCGGGCTCGTTCCATCTGTCAGCTTTGAAAAGATGTCTAAATCGAAGTATAATGGTGTGGACCCCGCAAAATGTATCGAGACATATGGGGCTGATGCTGTTCGTGCTCACATTCTTTTCTCAGCACCAATCTCTGATCAGCTCAACTGGAATGAGGACCAGATTCAAGGGATTGAGAGATGGCTCAAGAAGGTCATCAACCTCAAAGATGATGTTATCAAGATGGTTTCATCTCTGCAGAGTATGTCAACAGAGGGTAATACCTTCAAGGATATTGAGCTCGCTGGAGAGGTTTATGACCAAATTGTTCTTTCAGAGAAAGAATTGAATTTGTACAATGACATTCGTTTCTACACAAACAAGATCCTGAAATCTGTTGAAGTTGATTTATCATTTAACACTATCATTTCGGACTTCATGAAAATGACTAACGCTTTACAGGCCGCCGTGAAAGATGGCAACTTTTATCCAGCGATAATTCTTGACGCATACGAGAGACTCTTAGTTGTCATGTCTCCTGCCACACCCTCAATTGCTGAGGAGTGTTGGGAAGGATTGGCAAAAGGCTTTGGAAAGCCATTCACATCGATCTTTAACGAAAGCTTTCCAACCTCAGAGCCAATTGCGTCTCCCTACACAAATTTTAACATTTTTATCAATGGAAAGGCTAGACATTCCATGCAAGCCCTTCGTTCGTTGGCTTCGGAATCTGAAGAAAAAGTTCTCAGCATTGCATTAGCAGAAGGCCCTGTCAAGAAGTTTGTTGGCGACAAAGCTATCAAGAAGCTAATTGTCAAAGAAGGGCTTATCAGCATCATTACATCCAAATAGTTTCTTCATGCATGTATATATACAAGTCGTAATTTTACACTATTTACTAATATCCGTTGTTCATCACGAATCTTTTGTAATCCTTTCTATGGATTTTGCCCTCGAACTTGATCTGTCCCCTCTTTGCTATCCCACGAAGCGTCAGTGTGATCTTATTATCACCAATCTCCACACCTCGTTTGTGAAGTTGGGAGAAATGATGCCATTTCCACTTGAACTGATATTCCGTGCTAACAACAACCGCAAGAGCGTCTTCAAGAAGCCCAAGCTGTGTAAGGCAATTGACCATAGAGATCGCAAAATCAAAGTCGAGCTTATCCTTGTCATGTCTTGAAAGCCTAGTCCAGCGAACAGACTTTCTATAGAGACCTCTTTCCGTCCACATCATCTGGGCTAGGACATAATTGTTATGCTTGGCTGCTGCCTTTAATGCAATGAGGTACGTAATCGTATCTCTGGGGACCTTAAAACGTCCGTCGGATGCTTGAAGGAACTGTTCGAGAACAGGTGAAGTAGAAAGCGAGGTTCCATTACTTGACCGCGAGACTTCTTTGGAGTCACTCGTTCCATTTTCTTCATCTAAGCAGCGATCAGGCTCGATGTAGCTTCTTGTGGCTGGAATGCCTTCCCTGTCTAGATATGTGAATTGTTCAAGTCTTTGCTTGAAGTCATCAAGGGTGCCGACATTGGCTGCCACGTTGAGAAAATTATTGATACTCTCAGAATTCACGAAATGATTATTAACCATGAGTGTGTGAGCCATGATTGCACTCGACTCTGCCAAGATCTCCAATGGTGATTCTAGCATTATGTTTGGCAAGAATGGAAGAGCAGTCTTGGGATCCTCCATACTTGATGCAAAGTCTGTCTGATTCATTATATTATAACGGAACAGACGACCAGATTCGCTGTACTCCACTGTTGGTACACTGCCATCGAGACTAGCCTTTGAGTAAGCAAGAAGAAGGAATGAGAACGAACGAGGTGAAGTATTTCCACCCAAGTTGAGCTGTTGGTAGAGCGAACGAGCCAACGACAAGTCACCGTCCTTCAGGGCCAAGTAAAGCATATACTCTGCACTTTGGGCTGTTGGTGTCCATCCTCTTCTATTAATCTCAAACATGAAGTCCCATGCTCTTATTTTCAATTCATCCCTCGAGAAGCAGCCCCTAGCAAGGGCAACTAGAATACTCTGATTCACTTCAATCTTCTCTGTACGCATTTCCTGGTATAAGTCCAAAGCTTTCTCGATATTGTCATTGTTCACGTAACTGACAATAATGTCCTGGTACTCGCGAGTGGAAGGTTGAGTCTTCTTCAGGAAAAACTTCATCGAATCAAAAAGTTCTACCGCCGAAGCGTGTGATTTAACCTTGTAGACACAAGTGGCGAGCACATTCGAGTAGACCGTCCTCAGAGGCTCCAACCCGAGCTGTTTCATCTCCTTGACGAGCTGATTAACCTTATCAATAGAAGCATTCTTTCCGTATGCTTCGATTAAGACCTCGTAGGTATCACGAGAAAGAGCGCCCTTCTTATGCATAGATTTGAGCTCATCAACACAGTTTTCGATGATTTGAATTTTCTCTGGGCCCACAGCGCTGCCATGAATGACACTCCTCATGTATGTATTTATCATCTTCGGGGACTCCTTCATCCCTGCAGCCTCCATGAGCTCCTTAACTTTAGGGTAGAGATCAACAAGCTGATGCTTTGGAATGGCGTAGACCATTTTGCGTACATCCTTGTCAGAGAAGCCCTTCAATCCACCGTCTTGTTCTAGTTGACTCAAAATCAAGGGCCAATCTTGATGTTCATCATTCACGAGATACCTCAATGTAAGTCCTAATCTTTCCTGAAGCGCCTCCGGTAGACTGGCTGTCAGAGGCGACACTGAAGTCTCCAGTGGCGCATTCAATGCAAGTGCACCAGAAGCGTCTTTTGATGGCCGTTCCTCCAGTGGTGACTTGTCCTTGATAGCCTCATAGAGCTCATCGGCCTTGTCAGCTTCATCAGTAAGCTGTGGCTGCGGTTGTGGTTCATCCAAAGCATCCTTTTGCTTCAAGTAGTCACCCACACGCCGAGTAAGATCTCTTAGTTCCTTCAAATGTTCATTATATTGGATATTCAGTAGTTCCTCTTCCCTGCTGGGTGGCCTCCTGCGTTCTGGTTCTTGGCTAGGTACTGGTTTTGGTTTTATGGGCCGTTTCTTCGTACGTTTCTTTTTTTCATGATTCATAACAAATATACATCTTCTTGCGCAGACGTCCTGCGAAGGAGAGCGTCTTATTACGCCCACTAAAGGTCGTAGATTAAGCATACACTGCTTTAGAAGTAAAAGTATGGAAAGTTAAGGCCATCGCCTGCAGAGGAAGAACCTTCTGAGAATACTCTGGGAGGTGCATCTTGAGATGCACGGTTGCGAAAAATGCAAAATGGCTGCGAAATCAGGCTACCCAAGTGATGGCGAAACCGAACTCTACACCATCGCTATCCCATACGTTGACGACTGGAACCCATTCTGCGGGGAGGCCTAATGCAACTAATTTGTGGATGTTGGAAAGCTTAGTCATCACTGTCACATGCGAGTTCCCAAGAGCAGGGCTGCGAAGGAAATCGATCACAAGGCCTATATCGTTAGCCATCATCTTGACAACGTTGAAGTTTTCATTGACACTCACGAGGTTTGTTTTGAAGCCTTGCGTAAGCTCGGTAGCAGAAGAAAGGAGGCGAGGCGCTTCGGTTTCACTTTCGTCGTCATACATGCCGATCACCTTTTCGAATGCAAGCCCGCCCCATTCGATTGTAGCTCCTTTAGGTAAGCCAGTAACTTGAACAATGATGAGGCGATTATCAAAATCTTGTCCATGCTCGACTTCTTGAACGTATTCCTTCCATACCTGCGACGCTACGCTAGGAGGTGTGGTTGTGACAAAGCAAACTGCAGCGGCCAATTGCTTCACGTTGACAAGGGATTTGACCTTGTAGAGATGCTGTAATGAGAGCACAGCAGACCGGACTAAATCTCCATCATCAAGTTCCATAGAAGAAGGTATCAAGGGAATTTGCCCTGAGAGCGTTGCTGTCTTAAATGTGTCCCTAACTTCAACGATGGCTTGTGAGTATGGTCCGATATTTTGTGGTGCCCAGTGGGAACGAGATCTAATATGGATACCTTGTCTCGTTTCGACTGGTGGCTTGAGAACTATGCATGAGATCTGGAGCCCATAAGGCTGTGGAAGCGTCGTTTGAACGCAGACACGGGATGGAGGAAGATAAGTATTGGCGAAAAAAGAAGCATAAACCGTGTTGATCTGTGCAAAGTCGGCCATATCACGGACAAGCACTGTTACATGCTGAATATCTGTGATTGACGTTTCATGATTTTTGAGGATGTTCAGCATCTGAGTCATAATATCATGAGCCTGGCTTTTGATGTCTGACGCTGTACTCACTATGTTGGATATGTAAAGCCTCAATGGCGTTGTGAGAACAGTAGGGCCCAAAGAGAATGATGCTTCTTTAACTTCGGGCAATTTAGTTGGTTCTTGCTTTTCAACTTTTTCGTAGATAGGAAAGAAATCGTCGTCTATGAAAGACTCAGATCTGCCTTGGTCACCAATGAGAGCCGAGGTATTTTCCTCGCCAGCAGCATCTTTCTCCTCGTCTTTATCGACAACTTTTACATTCAACTGGAGATAGCTGCAGTCAGAGGAGTGGGCAACTACCTTTTGGTCGACCACCTCGAGGCGCTTCTCGAAAAAGGGGAAATCAAACACTAAGGTTTCAAACTCTCCCCCCTCACCACAAATGTGAACATCGTACATCTGGTTCAACTTAGTAAGAATCGGAAGCATATCAGTAATCAGTCTCCCTAGGTGTTTTTCGTTGAGCCCAATGGCAGCACATTTGATCAAACGTGCATCGAGACCCAGTTCACACATCTCCAGCATCAATTCCGCCTGATCTCTCTGCCACAAGTACGCCAAGCACGTAAGACCTAGTCTATCGCACACATTTTCAACCCTAGTACGCTGGTAATGAGATAAGATAGCTCCACAACTCACACCTTCAATATCTGGCTTATCCTCCTTAACCCGAGCCAAGAGCGTATAGAGATCCTCAATTTCGTCATCGGCAGTTGGTGTGTATTCTAACTGGACATTTGCAGAACTTCCAGAGAGAGGCTGGCGATATAGAGGTATCTTTGGCAAACATTGGGCGTAAAGGCTCACTATATCATGGCCTACCGTTTGAAACATAAACGAATCAGTCTCATGATGAGACTCATTTTGTGGATGCAAGTTTGCCAATGCCACAAGTTCATGGCCTTGTTTGTGGCATTCCAAAATATTATAAAAGGAGTCCTTTCCTCCTGAAATTAAAGCGACAAATTTCATCGTAATGGAGATCCAAAAGATATGGTATGATGAGGCTCTGGTGATATCTACAGATGCGAATCGCGAAGATAGTGCGTAGGAGAAGGAAGCGATGGAGATGAGAGTAATACTCATTTATCCTAAAGTGTAGATAAAAAAATGGAAATATATACAGATTGGTTCTCTGTTGTTAATAGACGGTTTCTAAAAGTTTGGCGATGTTTGGGAAGATGTACACTTGCCTTAGATTAATGTCAGAAGACACGGGCGGAACTTGAAGTACCTTTAAAGGGAATTTGAAATGAACACTAATTCAAAGATGCTTGTACTATTACGCTTACGTTGACCGAAATTCAGTTATTACACTTCATGCTAAACTGTCCTTCGTTCTTTTAACTAAAGTAGAACAAAAGCAGCCTTCTATCACTGAGCAGCGGCTCGTTCTCGGGCAAATCTTCAGATATTAGCTTAAGAAACTTTTATTGATACTTTTGGCAATCATCAACGCTTGTTCGGTATTTCATCTGTTCCGAAGCGTAGGTGACATTTGCAGCCATTAGTGGGGATCCTAAGTATAAGTGGTCTGACACTAACGCTGTACACAGTTAATCCTAGTCTGCGACAAAGTGTCTGAGAGAAAAGGCGCATCGGGGTTTGGGTCTGTGCACGACTTTTCAATTTTTTTCAGACTTTTTTTTCGCACTATAAGTACTTAGCCCTCGCTTTTGAAAATTTCCTTTCCTTTTTTTCTTCTCTTCATCCAAGAACTAAGTCAACATGCCTCGTATGTTTAACAAAAGATGATTATAAAGATACTTCTTTATCGAATAGACAGCACGCGGTGCAGTCTATGAGGTTTCGGGCCCTCTGCAATCAAATTGGAGATTCGTCTCCCGTAACTGAACCCCCGACACTTCAGTTACACCAAGCATCACACAGATTCGATCTAACTGTGATTCTGGATTGGACTCACGTCTAAATTTATGAATTGCTAAGCAGTTTGAAAGAAGCTGTGCTCGGTTTTGATTGTCGTAGGCCCGGCGGAAGTACAACGCCATAAACTCTAACTAACACCCAGGTGCCCCAAGAACTTACTCCAAGGTTTACTCTGTGCCAAAGCAGCCATACGAGTCTGCTCGTTTGGACGCTGAATTGAAGTTGGCTGGTGAGTACGGTCTCAAGAACAAGAGAGAGATCTACAGAATCGGTTTCCAGTTGTCTAAGATTAGAAGAGCTGCCCGTGACTTGTTGACCAGAGATGACAAGGACGAGAAGAGATTGTTCGAAGGTAACGCTTTGATCAGAAGATTGGTGAGAGTCGGTGTCTTGCCAGAGGACAAGATGAAGTTGGATTACGTCTTGGCCTTGAGACCAGAGGACTTCTTGGAGAGAAGATTGCAAACCCAGGTTTTCAAGTTGGGTCTTGCCAGATCTATCCACCACGCCAGAGTCTTGATCACCCAGAGACACATTGCTGTTGGTAAGCAGATCGTCAACGTTCCATCCTTCATGGTTAGATTGGACTCCCAGAAGCACATTGACTTCGCTCCAAACTCTCCATACGGCGGTGGCAGACCAGGTAGAGTGAAGAGAAGAAACCAGAACAAGAACGCTGAAGGTGCCGAGGAGGACGAGGAGTAAGCGTTTAGCTCTCCTTAGTTTAGTGTAATTATAATTGGTTAAACTTTCCAAAAAAAAAGATCGGTTGGGTAGTGAAGGTCTAGAGACCACCAGTAGAAGTAGCTGATACTCTTATGGATGAACATTGGTACGTTCGTGTTAAAATGACTTGAGTCGTATGACTTTGTACTACTGTTCCTGGCCCAGAAGTTGAAGAATTGGTCCCTCTGCGAAACATATGATGGACTGATAGATGCCCAGTGAGCTCAACATACCAGGCCTAATTTCCATAAAATAAACATCATTCATCAGAAAACTAAATCAGTGCCCAGAACTCAATACTATTAACATGTCGAATTCTTAGTCAATTTATCCACCTTTTACGACTCTCCCACAGCAAGTTATCAGGGTGCTCCAAGTGCAGTCGGTCCACATAGATAACTCCAAGCGCGGCCAAACTAGTATCCACCTTTCAACTTATAGCGCTGTGATGTCTGAAACAGCCAATATCCAACAGAATGCATTCCAAAATGCTCTTCAGACGTGGAAAGAGATAGATTTGCCATCATTGCAGAAAAAGCTCGATGAGCAGGGAATTGAACTCAAATCAGAACAAAAGGCTTCGTTGACAAGTAGGAAGAACCTTGCGTCCAAGACCAAAGAGTTCAAGAAACTCGAGGATGCTGATAAACTTGGGGAGATCAAGCATCTTCTAAAGATGTACCAGAATGAAATTGATAACATGAATACAAAGCAAAAGAAGGTGGAGGCTTTCTTCTTTGGTTTCTATAGATTGATCGCTGAAGCTCCTGATCCCAAGCCACTTTTAGAACTTTGCTTGGATGCGGTGGTAAACCTGAATGAAGCTTCCGAGTTGAAACAGCAGCTCGCTCATCTTAACGAAGAGCTCGCGAAGAAAGCCGATTACGAAGTCTTGAAGCAACGTCTATTGCAGAATGAGCAAGAACTGGCAGCGCTTCTAAGTACCAAGCTTAAGGCAAAAGAAGATGAGCTTCAGTCTTTGATTCATGAGAAGGAATCAAACTGGGCCAATAAGGAAAAGCAGCATCAAGAACAGATTGCATCTTACAAGCTTACCATTGACGAGCTCAAAACTTCGATGGAGGTTACTGAGCTTCAATTGAACTCACACAACAAGCAATTCAACAATGGTGAAGATGGTGGTGCCTCGGGTCAAGACACAGCTTCTACTTTGGTTGAGTTAGATATGGCCAACCGTGATGCCGAAATGTGGAAGAAGAGAGTTTACGACTTGGAAAAAAGAAACGAGAACTTGCGTCAAGAGTTGAGCGTTGCATTGAATGATTCTGCTAGTACTGCTATTAAGTCAGAGTTCCAAAGGAAGGTCGCAGATTTAGAGAGCGAGAATGCCCTTTTGATGGCTGATTTGAATCAAGTAAAGACAAGAGTCAGTTCGATCTCTGAAGAAAACTCTACGAAGGTGCTGCTGTTAACAAGAGACTTACAACATGCATCTGATGAAATCAAGCATTTGAAAGAGAAACTAGAAAGAACGACTGATTACGACGAGATTAAGCATGAACTCCAATTATTGCGCCAAATTGAATTCGGTGACAATATCTTGGATGAAGATAGTGAAAGCACTGAGCAGCCCAAGCAGATAGATTCCTTGTTAATTGAGAGAAACAAGGCGATGACCACTGAACTTGCAGGCTTGAGGTCCCAACACGATGGACTTGTATCGCAGATCAACGACCTTCAAAGTCAATTACAGGATGGCCAGGGCGAAGTATCGAGACTCACAGAACTCAACGCTAAACTTGAAAATGATTTAGCTGATATGAGAGGTTCGGCAAGTCCTCAGCTCAATGATACCGCAAGCATGATCTCCGGAATTTCCAGGATGACAAAGAATACTACGAGACATGGATCTGCTGGCGGAGCACACCATCAAGGAGAAGATGGGTCTATCCTCCCCATTATCACCAAACAAAGAGATCGCTTTAGAGATAGAAACAAGGAACTTGAGGACGACCTTAAGCGCCAGATGAATTTGGTCAACGAATTGAAGAGACAGAATCGCTCTTTGAAGAGTGATAATGAGGATCTCTACGAAAAGTCCAGATACATGGCGCTGCTCAAGAAAGACGAGAACCAGGTGGCTGAAGGCGCCTCGGCAAATTCAAACCGTCGACTCTTTACGCCAAAGCCTAATGCTTCGCTAGATCTTGAACGAAACGCATACGAAAGCGAGTACGAATCAAAGTTACATCCAATTGAACGCTTTAGAATGAGAGAACAGGAGAGAATCAGCTCGAGATTGTCACCGTTTGAACGAATTTTCATCTCCATCACCAGATCAATCTTAGCTACGAGGACTACAAGGATGCTCTTCTTGGCCTACTGTGTCTTCCTTCACTTCTTAGTCATGTTCACCACCATTCACTCCATGTCAATCAGCACAAAAATGATTCCTGAGGTTGGTTTAAATCACAGCACTGGTGGATCAGCAGATAGCGGGGTGGAGGGAGTTTCCTTTGAAGGCTGAGGCTTTACTAAATAATATAAATACACCTATCTGGCCAAAAGTAAATTTTCAAACTTTTCAAACGGAAAAGACGTTTCTCTCCGCCATATCTATAGGAGTGTGGCTACACTCTAATATAAGTGCGCATTTAGTACTTAGTGCGCCGTGATTCGGATAACCTCAAGCACCACTACAACTTCAATGTCGTTTCCGGTCAATATTTTCCAGTACCAACCAAACTTACCTGCAATTGAGTATACCTCAAAAGGAAGCCCTCAAAGTTTCCTCATCTTCATTGGTGGATTAGGCGATGGTCTCCTCTGCACCAAATACATACCCCAGATTGCAGAACTGTTCGATAAGGAATTGGGTGGCAAATGGGCAGTCGTGGAAACTTTGATTACTTCATCGTATAGCGGCTGTGGAACAGGTAGCTTAAAGCGTGACGTTCGCCAATTGGCCCAGCTTGTGAAGTATCTCAGGACAAACAGGGGTACTACTGACTCTAAGGTGGTCCTCATGGGCCATTCTACAGGATGTCAAGATACATTGGAGTATCTCTCCAAATTCACTTATCAGGACGATTTTGAGGACATTTTCAGATTGGACGGTGGTATCTTACAAGCTCCGGTCTCGGACACGGAGGCATCCGAGTATTTCAACAAGGATTCCAACATCAAGGAAGTGCTTAAGCAGGCTAAGAAGCTCATTGATGAAGGCAGAGGAGAGGAATTGCTTTCTGAAGAAGCCAGGAGGTTGGCTGCCAATACTCCAGTGTCGGCTTACAGATTTTATTCGTTAAATGCTAGGAGAACTGATGATGACTATTTCTCTTCCTATCTTAATGAGGAGGACTATTCTCAAACGTTTGCGAAGGTTAAGCTGCCATTGCTTGTTTTGGTCGGTGAGAAGGATGAATTCATTCCTCCCTCGGTGGATCGTTCCGCCTTGTTAGAGGACTGGAAGAAGGTCACACCGAAAGACATCTGGAGCTCACACAGCAAGATAGTCAAGGGTGCTGACCATAAGGGAGGCGGACCATTGGCTGACGCTGGCGCTGCAGAGGACATCTCCAAGACGGTCATTGAGTTTATCGAAAGCAACTTTTAAAGGCCGTCTTCTATTCTTAAGGTCTGAGCACGCGACAAGACCTCTTCATAGTACTTTTCAGCACTAATATCATCCGTGGTGATTGTTTTTTCTCTCCGATCCAAAGTCCACCATTTCTTCTTTGTCTTGGCCCCATCCTCTATAATGTTATTTGGTGGCAGTAGGCGTGACAAAAGGAATCTTGACTGTGAATGTCCTGTTTGGGTCAAGATAAGCTTAGGGATGAATGTACGATCACATAGTAACTCAGAATGAATTATGTCAATGATGTTGTTGACCTCTTCAATCTTCCTCTCGTATACTATATCGTCGTTGTCTGAGCTGTGGAGGCGAAGCTTATCTTTTTGGGTATGCAAATAAATGGTAACGGTATGGAATGTATCCAATACAAAAAACCGACGATCTTTGATCAATTGGACAGTTGTAGTCTCTAATGGCCGCTTTTCTAATCTGTCATCCACGACTTCGTATAGATTTGGTTGGATCATAATGCAAGATTCGTCTGTCAGAAGACCCATGAAAATATGATGATAGTAAGCTGTTTCATCTGGAGAGCTGTTGAAAATTGAGATAAGCTGTGGGTTCTTTCTCAAGTAATAACCAAGAATGGGCAATTTTTTGAAATGGTCGTCGATTGAATAAAGGGTCTTAAGATTTTCAAACGGATTGCTACAGTTTGAGATTTGCTCCTTCATCACACCAAAAAACTTGGCAATCTTCATAAGTGTCACATCCAAAATATTGATCACCTCTTCGAACGATTCAAAACCTAATGTTGTGTCGATTTTGCTGATCAATAATCTAGTTAGTATTGTGATCCAGGCCTCTGGGTTAAAGTTTGTTAGAAGGGCCTTTTGTCTAGCGTTTTCATTAATTTTGCTGGATAGTTTCTTTTTGCTTTCCTCAGTACTGCCGAAAACGCTTCTTGTAGTGGGCTTCTTAAGAGTGGTACTCCTTATCACTCTCTGCTGAAGTTCAGAGTCCCAGAACTCTAGCTCAAATTGGATAAAGACATCTTTCAAAGTTGAACTTTTCAAACTTGATGGATCTATCTCAAAAAGAACGCACCCGACAGAATCTCTGACTTCCCCGAGGTACCATTTGTTAGTAAAATGTCTCTTTTTCAACAGTGACTCAAAGCCAGAAATATTATCGGAAATGCGATCGTGATGATAGCTAGTCTGATCTCCTGATTGATATGAGGACTGATATGGAGTACCATAAGAAAGTGTGTAAGACACCTTCAATCCTGGCGAAGTATGGACCGTTAAAATGCAATCTTGTGTAGAGGGGTCTTCAGAAACAGCCTGGAGCTTCTTTCCAAAAGAATGAGTAACAAACCCATCACTGAATATGACAGCTCCACCTGTTCCTGACGATAGGGAGCACATTTCATACAAGCCCACCTGATCAAGAGACCCGAAGAACAAGTCGAAGGAGAATCTTGAAGAAGTCTTACCAACATTGTAGTCTGTTAGTGAGCCACCGGCAGTAAATGCAGCACTGTAGGATTGATCAATTGTGTAACCACATCCAATGTATGAAAGGGCCTTATAGAATTTTGAGGCCCCCACAAAATGACTAGCTTTAAGGTTAGCGATGTCATCATGGGTCCTCATTGATTCCAGGGTATTAACAACGCTCCCTGGCCCAATTGTGCAAGGACCTGAAGAAAAATATTTCACTTTACCAAGAAGCAGTGCTGAGCTTGCAGCCAGGATAAGCAATGTAGCTATCAAAAGAGCAAAGCCTGAGGAACGCTCTGGTTTGAAAGATCTTGTTAGATTTGGGCGAAGTCTTTCCACCTGCTCTATTGCTTCTTTGGGCGAGCTAAAGTACCCTGACTGCAAAGCTTGCAGACCTTTCCAAATGTTGGTACTTGAGGATTCAGCGATCATCAGTAGTATTTTGGCAACAACAGGTTTATCGCCGAGAATACTGGCAAAGTTGTAGTTTGCCGGTACTAGTTTGTCTAATGAGAATAAAACCTCCTTCTGTCCATGAAGAGTGACTGTATTAGCAAAGGAAATGAGCCCCACCGACGTTTCTGTTGAGAGCTTGGAGATAGAGTCCGTCAAATGTTTCTTCAACGCTGTGAATTCTTCAGGACAGTCAACTTGCTGGTATAAGTCAACCACAAATAATACGACCGGGCCCCTCGAGCCAATTGGCTGTGCAATGTCGTTGGGTATGATGTAGTCCACAGTCTCGTTCTGAGGAACAACGTCCAGCCCAGTTGAAGATTCTGCCTTCTTCGGTAAAGGGGATCTTTTAAGGCAGAATGGACAACAAAATACATTGCCCGTTTGGTCAATCTCGGTGAAGATGCTCGTGGTGGCTCCACACAGAAGGCATTTCATGGGAAACGAGTTGAACGTTGGAACCTTCACTGATGACTTCTGGATAAGGCATCCTAAAGGCGTCAGCAAGCGAGACGCCTCAAGAGCCGTGGATGGGAACATGTCCCAATTGAAGCTATAGTTCATGGAGAAGAACTCTTATGTTGGTTGGTTTAATGCTAATGTTCTGGATTGTGGGGATGATCTAAGATAAGATAGACGATGCGACTGCGGAAATCACCGAATGGTTTCCAAAAGAATGCACGGTCTAGTGAAACGGTCCAGCCAAGGGGTACAAAAATAACAGTCAACCTTCCTTGTATATCATAAGTTTTATTGTATCGAGAAGTTTTTGGATTATTTCATTGTTTTTTATTTTTAAATGGATTTTTATATTATTCCTTATCCCATGAATATTCTTCACAAGTGATGCTTTTTTGCACCCATTCCGTGAAAGCCAGCGCGGAATTACTTCACAAATAAATCAAAAAACAAATGGATTACAAATCTTTTCACGTAAATACTACTTTTGGAAACCAGCTGATGGAGGATAATTCCTTTAGAAACGTCCTTTGATCATCTATTCGGAGATTTCTACCTTCATCGTCCAGATAAAGGTCTGACGGGCATTTACGATTAAAGATCGAGGGAAGTGATGCTCAAACTTCCAGTAAATTATCAAAAGTGCTTCATGGAACTCTTATGACTCATGTATATTGCCTACTGATCTACCAGAGGATAAAGAGGGGGTTATATAGTTTGACGTTGCGCACGTGATGAGCCACCTGATCACATACACGTGATTCTATCGCTGCTCGATGAGATGGCGCATCGGTTTTCCAAGCTTCAGTTGAATATACCATAGCCCAGAGATCAATAAATGGGAGCTAAACAGAAGGAAGCAGCCAAAAGAAGAAGCAAGGCCAATCTTTCGAGAACGGCCGAAAGTGAAGTCTTCTCTGATAAGCAGGCAAGAAATCTCCTAGCCGATCAGCCAAAGTTAACGCCCAAATCCAAAGTCAAGAAGCCTAGTAAACAGGCCGTCAAGAAGCGTGATGCTAAAATAAGGCTTTATGGAGCAAGAAATGGAAAAGAATACAGAGAAGAAGAATTGAACATTCCTAATCTTAACAGAGCTATTGTTCCAGGTGTCAAAGCTAAGAAGGGTAAGAAGGGAAAGAAGTTTGTGGATGACCATGACAGTCTAATGTTGAACCGTTTGGTTAAGTCCATCAATGACAAGCATGACCAAGTTAACGAATCCAAGTTGGAGAAAGCCAGAAGGTTAGAAGAAATCCGTGAATTGAAGAGAGCCGAAATAGAAAGAAAGGAACAGGAGAAGGCTAACAAGTTGAACGATAAGAAAGCTGAGATCAAGAATAAGGCTAATGTTGCTAGAGCAGCTAGGCGAAAAAGCGCCAGGGATGCCAAGCGGGCTGAGGATGGCGATGTATCTGAAGATGTGGGTGCAAGTCAATCGAAAAAGAAGAAGAAGTCAGTCTCTTTTGCATAAAATAACGTGTATACTATTTACAAAGATAATACACATCGGTAAGATGTGGATTAGGAATAAATCATACGGCGACGTCTCCTGTCCTTTGCGTCTTTTTTGGCTCTCCAACCGTAGTAAATACCTGCCAAACTTCCACCAACGTGAGCTGCAAAGTCAAAACGAGTCTTGGAGAACATACCAAATGCGTTGAATGCAATAGAGCCCAAGAAGATGAGCCAAGCTCCTCCTGGAATTGGAATGAAAAAGAGAGCTATACCAGCATTTGGAAATAAATAAGAAAACACACCGAGAAGTCCGAAAACACCACCTGAAGCACCCAAGGAACCACTCACTCCTTGCCTAGCAATAGTTCTGACGGCAAGGGAAACAAACGACGACACTACAATAGATCCAAGGTAGGCCAGCAAAAAGCCTGCTGGTCCAAGAGTAACAGCAAGCGTCGAGCCGAATGACTGAAAGCAGAACATGTTGAAGAACATATGAGTGAAGGTCATATGGGAGAAGCCCGAGCCAATTATTGACCACACGGAAGAGAACCTATCGTTGATAAGTAAAGCATATCTTCTTAAAAGGAGCGTGAAGCGAGGGGATTGCCATGCAAAGAAGACACCCACGTTCAAACCAATGATCGAATAAACTAATGCCTGTGGATTTCTTTTGAGCAAAGTGGCTCTATCAAGGACAAAGTGTATAGCTGGAGGAGCAACCAAAAGGAATGCCGCTGTGAAAATAGCAGGCTTTGCTAACACATTCCATTGAATTCTATTGAAATGGGAGACGAGACTCTGCCTTTGGAACTGACTGAATCTGGGTGGTGAACGGAAACCTCTCTTCTGAAACAAAGATGGCGAAAATAGCTTAAAGCTCCGCGACTGGCGAATTCCTACGCCAAGGTTCAGCGTGAATGCACCACGGTTTCCAATTCTAAATATGATTGGTGATAGCTTGAACATGGATGGAGGTGGTACTCTTTATCGTGGCGAGAGCTATCTATACTGGCAAGTGTGTTTTACACGACCACACAGATAATAGTTCCGTGTGGAGTAATGTTTCATATTATGAAGGGAAGATACATGAAGTGTGATGAATGTAGTTGTTGAAGCCGTAATGGCAGTTCAAAATGGTGACCCAAGTTCATCTTTTGACTTGAACCTAAGTAAGATGCCTCTTCGACAAGTCCCTCTGGTACAACGATCCACCGAAAACAGTACAATTCCAATTAAGTGACTCTGCTAGGCAAGAGAAGTCATCAAATATATGTTTTGGATGGTCTTATTGGCGATGGCTAGGATGGTGAATTTTGGCTGCGAAAAAATACCGTGAGATATGATAAGAAACCAAAAGACGATAACGACTACATGTAAGACAGAAACGCTTGGTGAACAAAAAAGACAAGCCAAAGAGCAATGTCACTTGGCTAGAGAAGTAAAAGATAGGCGGAACAAATTCCTTTCACATGGATAACTCTACTGGTCATAATCGGTGGACCGGTATCATACAAACAAAAAGGATGCGTCAGGAAGGTTGTTCAGTCCAAGCATCCTGAAAGACAAAGGTTGCAGATACGAAGACCAAGAAATAGCAATAGAGTATTGAACTCTTTGCATGCTCCTATCCATCCAACTACATCTACTAAGCAAGCCGTGTAAGGCTGTATAAGGCTGTGTGTCAAATGCAGCTTACTTATCAGCTTACAAATGATCCATACCCATCCGTTTTTGGAGAATCTCCGACGCAGGCCATATGCATGGCTTAGAGATTCAGCCGCGCCTATCAAACAGGATGCGCGGGCTAGAGCCCTAGAGGTCGACGGTTTCCACGTGACTAAAATTCGCACCACCTTCAACATTATCAATATGTTGAAAAAATTTAGCTACACCTTTAACTTTTAACGATAATAATGTCTGCTGAAGCTTCCGTTTCCTACGCCGCCCTTATCTTGGCCGACGCTGGTGTTGAGATCTCCGCCGACAACTTGACCGCTGTCACTCAGGCCGCTGGTGCTTCCGTCGACAATGTCTGGGCCGACATCTTCTCCAAGGCTTTGGAGGGTAAGGACTTGAAGGAGTTGCTCTTCTCTTTCGCTGCTTCTGCTCCAGCTGGTGGTGCCGCCGCTGCTGGTGGTGCTGCTGCCGCCGGTGGTGCTGCTGAGGCTGCCGCTGAGGAGAAGGAAGAAGAGGCTGCTGAGGAGTCTGATGATGACATGGGCTTCGGTTTGTTCGATTAAGCGAGCCACTCCAAATTCCATACTGTTAATACATCACGCATAGAAGAACATTGTAGACGATTTTTTGTAGGGTAAAAGAGCCACAGGAAGAGAGCTTGATATTGACTGAAGCTTCACTATGATGATCGTTTCATGAACGGTTGCGAAACTGGGGAGAAATCGTACGACACGTCGATTGGCCCTAGACCCATGGACCTAGAACCAATAGCCATTTCAGTTGGTTAACGATAAGATCTCAGCCGACGGTTCCGTAATAAGACCATACGGGATGATGCTCCAAGAAACGCCGGTGCTCAAGGAGCCTAGGCCCAAGAAATGCCAATACAACTGCAGTGGTCCACGTTTTAGAATAGGGGTTTTGTGAAAACTCAGCACAATCCCCACTTCGTAGGTGGCACAAGATGCTCTAGCACAAAAATTTTGTGTTCAAGATCTTGGACTAATGATATCCCTACCAAGGCAAAATTAAGTTCAGCCACAATCCCTCCAAGACGAGCAAGTAAGTAGATCAAACTTTACAGCAAAGAAAAAACCAAGGGTCCTCTAAGCCTACGGAAGAAATTAACCGTGGCTTTTACAGAATAAACCAGGGTACTTCGAAGACGAAAGACACGCTGTCAAGCAATAAAGGATCTGGAAAAAGAAAAAACCGAATATTAAACCCTTTCAGCAAGGGTCCCTTCATGAGACGCATGATTCTTGCTGAGGGACTATTTTTGGCTCTTTGGTTGCGTAGCTCGGAAGAATTTTTTTTTTTGACATCTGCCTGAAAGCCAAAAGAGCATTAAAGTTTGATGCGGGAGCCATGAGCTCATCAAGCAAAGACTTGAAATTAAGAATATGAAACAATTACGAAGAAAAAAAAAAGCGGATGTTGCAAATCCGAAGGTTGTAAAAATAGAAGAAATGTGAAACTGGTAAGTTAGATGATAAAAAATAAAATAGATGGGCTGATAGATAGGCTGAGATAAAGGTTATCTAAATAATTTCCATCTCTCATAGTGTTAGTCTTGCAGCCATTGTTATAGGCGAAGTCTGGAGTAGAGAAAAAAAAGAAAGCGTCTTGGATGTTTCAATTAGCCACAATTCTCCGAGGCGAGCAACGTCCCAGTCGACGTCATACAGAGATGCTTTTACCACAAAATCCGGCAACGCGGCTAAAGCCGTTGTGGCTAATGATCTAGATTGCACTAAACAAAAAGAAAACAGGTTTTCGTCTATGAATTTCAGTTTGCTGTAGAAACTCCTTATCAGGCGAGAACCAAGCACGGCTTAACCATCAGGCAATGGAAAAAGCCTTGGTTGCGAAAAAAAGACAAAACCACCCCAGAAAAAGAGAAGACAGTTACGAACAAGGTTGCGAACCAGCAAGAGATCGTGGCGGCCCGCAGAGCAGAGCATCGAGGAAGAAAAGAGTTAAAAGTTTATTTCTCCAACGGGGCCTAGAAAGGATGTCTGGCGGTTAAGGTGATGTTTTACAAGAGGGAAAGTTTGCGAAGTGTAGAGGTTATGGAGATTTTTTCACAGCGAGGCATCGGATTGCAGAAGCGAGACAGTATTTGCATCGGACGTAAGGCGGAGAGCTGCGGAAAAATGACACGAGATAGAGCTAAAGGCAGAAAGTAAGTCAAATGACAGAATCCAGCGGGCTGAGCAGATTCTGGAAGCGAATCCAGAAAAACTAAAGTATTTGTTATTTGCTGGGGTTGTTTTGGGTTTGGCTGACCTGGAGGGGCTACTGCCTGTGATTGTGGTTGCGAAAAACACAAAGCACAGTAACATAGTTGTAGTGGAGACAATAGGAAGAAGCAACAGAAGCAGCAAAAGAATCCACAGTATTCAGGGTTCCCGAAGCACCGCTGCAAAGTATAGCTGCAAAACCTGCTCTGGGCCGAGAATAGTGTAGAAGTCTTCGTAACGTAACCTCCATAGTTGCTTAGGTTTGCGCGGTAAATGTAAGTTTCTAGTGCCCAGCCGCGAAGAGCCCCTATAGCACCCAAAAAAAAAAAAAAAAAAAGTCTTCGCGCCGAGACACCCCAGGCTGGGCAGAGCCAAGGCTAAGAACTTGCCCAGAGGTAAAACTGTGAGATGAAGTCATGGTTGGGGAAACCGAGGGCCGCTTAGAGAAACCCCCATAACCACCATATCACTATAAACCAGCAAATACTCAATTGTCGGAGTGGAACGGTCGGCGTCGGCAGCTTGCTGGATGACTACCAGGCTCGCATTGTAGAGAAAAATACCTCCCGTTCTGTCCGGAGCCTAAGTTGGTGCTTGGGGCCGATGGGTGCAACGCTCCGGTTAAAGCTCCGCGCGCAGCCAACAACGCAGCCAACGCAGCCGGGCCGACCAAGAGCCGGGAAAAACTAGAACCCATAGAATAGGAGACTAGATGAGGAGAAAAAAGTGCCTTCATGTTCCTCTAATGACTTTCAATTCACATTTGTAAGCTTTCCTTATTGCACTTCCCATTGGGGACCCCCGCTTAGTTGCCTCCCTCTGTCTGACTCATATCCATCACTATGACAAATCCTACTGAGAGAAAAAAAAGAAAATCCTAACTTGTGCAGGTGTACTCCCGACGGCTTGTTCCACCGCGAGGCCCTACCGTGGTTTTTTTTTTTTTTTTAACGTTTTATCCGTCTGCGCATACAGACGCTGTGCGCCGCCATGCATTGTACTGTCGGAGCGGTTTGTCATCCGGGCCTAGCTCCAACATGTTTGCACCCAAGTATATAAAGAGCGGCAGTCCCGTGGTCAAGACAGGTTTTTTCATTACAGAATCCAAAACACACATATTTATCATGTCTTTTGCAGAACTGTACGTGCTTGCATCCAAAGTCAGATCCAAGCTTACGCGAGAGGCCTCCAACCCCAAAACCTCTCTTCGCTCGTTGGTGCTCCAGGCTAACATGTTGGACAACTTGATGGACCACATTGCCTCTGAGACTGAGAAGAAGAAGGCTGCCCAGGCTTCCCACACCGCTCCAAGAGTGTCGTTTTCTTTGCCAGAAAAGCCAAAGATGCCAGTTGTTGCTGGTCCCTCTGTTACTGAATATGAAATTGACTACGACTCGGCTTCAGACTCGGACGACGACTACGAGGACTATGCCATCTCCACCGATGCTTCCCACGCTGTTTACTATTCCGGCTCTGATTCTGAAGACGACTCCGAAGATGACTACTACTACCTGTCTGATGAAGAAGAGGAGGACGACGACTACCATCTCACTCCTTCCCTGTCCTACAGACAGTTGCCTGCCATCGACCTTTCGGACATGAACCTCCACAGAAGCCTCTCTGTTATTGAAGAGGAGAACGAGGAGATGCCAGAGTTGGCCAGATCCAGCCTGGTTTCTGACTCAGATTCCGAAATTGAAGATATCCCACCATCTACATCCGTTAACATGGCTGACGAGGACCACCTAGTCCACGAACACCCAGCCCCAAAGTCCCCCGCTACCGCCACCCCTGCGGACAATGTTTCTTTAGTGACTCATCCTCATATTGTACGCCACCTGAGACATAATGCTGTCTACCTGATGGAACACGTCTTTTAAACCATCAATTATACCCACCAATTACGACTATTTTGCATTATAACTCACGGCATGGCACGACGATACGACTAGCATGATTCACTTCTACTTATTTATTATTAGACTTATAAATTTACGACGCATATGGTAACGAAATAATTTCATACTCCACTGTAGAAGAGTAACTGTACCTTGTTTTTTTCGCCTCCCAAACCGAGGCTTATGAAAAGTGACTGCGAACCCCAGACTGAAATGCGAAGAGTCGGCTGCGAAATTCCTTCTTCGTCGTTTCACAACCTCCGATCGACATAATAAACACTCCATAGATTTACCCCTAAGTCTTGTCTTACCTTAATTCCACCTGCCAGATCCCCTTATTCGCGTTCCACCAAGAGCTTTTTTTCATTTATTTTTTGTTTCACTCCATCGAGTCTAGCGGCCCCTATCCGCCTTTGTGTCGTGCTTGCTTAGCTGGGGTTTCTCGTTTTGGCTATAACACCGCATCTGCACCGCGACCGCTGCAGTGTGTCAAAATGCTCTGGCGGCCACAGTTCTAGGTCAAGTCGGGCCGAAAAGAGGGTTTTAGAGAAGAAGGTTTTACAGGGGAAAAAAAGGAGAAACTAGTTCGGGTAGATGGGTCACTGAGCAGTGAATTTCATTAAGAGCACCTCATCAGTTCATGTTTATCGCCGAGTAGTACCGCCGAGTGGTACCGCCGAGGTGCCGACGGCTGCGAAAAGGAAAAAAAAGACTCGTTCTCATCCACACCTCCAGGGACTAAGGCACAACAGGTTAAACAGAAGGACAGGGAGTTATTTCGGTGGCGATCGATTACAATTCTGGATGTTGACGGAGTATGGGATGATGCGAAATGACTAATTCCTGGATGCTGGCGATGGAACTAGCAAGGGGAAGTTGTGGCATGGGGTGAGTCGATATAGGTGAGAGTGATGCATGAAGAATGGCTAGCCTCGCTGGGCCTCGCTGGGACTTGACAACTTAAACCGAGCCGACTGTGGAACCCGAATGAGGTGTCTGGCTGTTGGAATGGTGACGTGGAGAGCAAAGAACGCTCCGGTAAATGTTGTGGGTGGTTTCTACTGTGGGTTAGATAGGGACTGTTTTCTCGGGTCTAGCTTCGGATGCTTGCTCAGTGAAACTGGACTATAGATACCAAAGGCGCAAATTACTCGCAATTCGTGTTTCTGATAAACCCACGGGAAATAGCTCGTACTTGCCGAATCGGAAAACGTACTCTTTTGTGTTTTCTACGTTCGTCGGGTTGTTTCCGCCGAACGTTATCCTTCTTTCTCTTGGTACGCCGGATAACGTTGAAGACGTCAAAAAGACCGCAATACGAAAGAACACAAAATCGTTCTCTCCCTGGTTTTTTCCGAGACCCGAGGAAGAAAGAAGGTTTGGTTCGGAATAACTTTACGGTTGTTTCATTGGAAACGACAAATTTGAAATTTCTAGTAAAAAGAGAAGTCTAGCAGATTCGAGGCCCATTATAGTGAAATTGTGTAGGTATCGCGATTTAACCGGTGGGTTGCTTCAGTTGCTTATCAGATCTCGGAAAACTCATCCACACCTCAACCTCCACTGTTAACACCATAAAATGAGTCATTTAACTATGGAAGTCTACTTTGTGTGACATCCACGTGGCAGTTGCTGCTGATAAGCTTTGCAGAGGCTTGGATAAGAATCCTATCAGACCAAAGCACGCAGATACGGACAGCCTCACGTCAGGAAGCACCTACAACACCATTGGGCAATGTGCGGCTTGGAAATCTTGCAATTTGTAAACCGTAATAGAAGAAATATAGATATAGGATGACCAGGAATTCTTGGATAATGAAGCTGCGTCACTCAAGACACACTGCCAAGGCTCTGTCTCAGAAGTGGTAGTGAGGGATGGGTGGTTGCGAAAAATGAGAGAAGTTTGGAGTTATCGTAAGTTTCGCCAAAATTGCGCAAATTGAAGACATTCCACGTAAAAAGAGAGAACCCTGGGATTAAGGAGTCGAAGAAACAGGAACGATGACAGGGCTTATTTTTTTTTTTTTCCGCTGGATCCGGAGTGGATGCTTATCGGCTATCCCATCACTTCGTCGCGAGATAGCGATTGAGCAATAAGCAAACAGAAGCAGTAAACAAGGCCTTGGAACGTCATTGTTTGATGTTAGTGTAATGAAGACGTTCCTTTTGCCATGTCTTGGTAATGGGGCAGAAATTGTCAGCAATTTTTTGATACCCCATACCTCCATATCCCCTCATACCAAGTAGTATTGATCCCTAAGCCTCCTATGAGGTCATCGTTGGTTAGGGGAAAGAATAGTGAGGCGTAACACTACAGTCCATGTATCTACACCAAAATCCCTCTTACAACAAAACATAACCTAACCCAAATTTATGCCATTAACCGATAAATAATAAATAATACTAGCTCTTGCTGGCCCTCACTTTAATGGAGGGATCATACCACAGACAAGTAGCCATGCAAGGATAGCCCAAACGGCAACCTTGACGATGTTAAAAAGCTCTATCCACACTTCAGCCAAAGCTTGCTTATGGTAAACAGCTCTGTAGTCAGTGCAGTCAGGAACTATTCTAGTAACCTTGCGCAAGCGAACAAACTGTTCTGGCGGGCGCCGGCTCTTCTCTTGAAGCTCGTTGAACTGTGAACGATATAACAACTCACGGGGCCTGCCCTCTGTTGTTTTGGAAACCTCCACATCGGTCACCAGGACCTCAGGAGACTCCGTCTTCTCTTCATACGTTTGCTTCTCACCAACACACTCCGTGTACAGCGGTGGATCGACTTGGGGAGATGTCTCGGTTCGTAGATGACGTTCAGGAGCAACCTCCTTGATATCTGAAATGCCAGCTTCCTCGGCCTTCTCTAATGCCAGGGGAGTTGGCGAAACATGCTCAGAATGATGCCATTCAGCCTTTTCAGGCACTGCTAGCACTGGGGATCTCTTACGGGCAGCTTTTCTTCTGCGACGGGATGCGCCCAAGCGTCTAGCGTAGCTAAGGACGACTTTCATGGTTGAAAAACAAGAATGCTGAAATGGAAAAAAAAAGTGACAGATCTGGTAGAAAAAACTGGTGATGGGCAGGCGAGAAAGCTACATATATATAGAGGACAAGAAGTGAGCATTCTTCGCAGCGGGCTAAATGTAAGAGAAGCCGGGTTCCCAGCATTGCGTTTCCTGCAGCAATATGAGGCAGGACACCAGACAAAAAAAAAAAAAAAAAAAAAAAAAATACCGCTTTGCAAAAATAAGCGTAACCCCTATAAGCAAGGATCACTAAAAAGCAAACACAGCGAAAAACCAAATAATAGAAAAAAAATTGCGTGTGGTGAAGTTATCATGAATTTCTCTTATCTTTTTGTGACCCCGTGCTTTTCTTATTAAGATAAAGACATATATCATGTATTACCCTAGGGCTGCCCCGCGTTCTCGTACTGAGACCTTTTTTGCACAAGTGATCCTGCCAAGGCCCGCGGTGGCCGAGATGAGGACAATACGATAAGAGTGAAAAAAAAAAGGCCTGACATAAGTTTAAGAGACAGAGCGTTTCTGGGCACCCCTGAGTGATATAGATCATTCATTTGCTTCTTTTGCTTTTTATTAAGCTTTACCGTTTTCATGGCACCAAGAGTCTGTTCTTTCTCAAGGGTGCATCGTGGACGTCCACAATATCCAGTCGGCCGCCGGGAGCTGTGTGATGGGTTATCTGGAAGTGGTAGTTACAGTGGTTAGCCTTGTGTGGGGTACGTGCGGCCGGAAGACCGGACAAGCTTCGCGAAGCGAAACACAGGTGAATCATGAGTGGTTGAGGAAAAGTAGTGGGAAATCCCATCCAAATGAGGCTTCCTCGAGCTACAAAAAAAATCTGGCTCCGAAACCACCATTTCTGAAACACGTAGTTTTTGTGGATTTTCAATAGCCCTGCTATGGACTATCAAACCCGCTAGTACACAAAAACCACCAATGGGTGAAAAAAAAAAGTTTTCCCGCGGGCCCCTCCCCCCCATCCACTAACTCAGGGTTTCCTCTATGTAAGGGGGCTTTTTCGCCGGGCTGCCGACTTTTTCAGCCTGGTCCCAAAACAAGCGCAAATTAGACAGAGCCCCACAAGCCCAGAAAGGGTAATCTGCACCTGTTTGTGCTGCTGGCTGGCGTAACCATGGTGGTTTTTTAGTTTGGTCAGCTGGTTGCAAAAAAAAGAGACTGAGCCTCCCCCCACCCCTAGAAAATCTGTCAAAGCTGAGTACAGGCTGCCTCCCGATCCTTTGTCTCTGCAAGTCCCTCTGCAAACCACATGGACAGCACCTTGACGAGATCTTAGTATATACGGACGGTTTGAACCAAGATTTGGCCAGGTTAAGACCTAGGTGATTTCCTTCTCACACGCCGAATCTCTTCTGTTTCAGGTTTCTCTTTCTCATTTCCCTGTGGTTGTTCACTGCTCGGTCGTATGGGTAACCCCTCAAAAAGAAACTTGGCTCATGAGCATATGATGCGTAATTTAACCTTCATCGTGACAGATAGCTCGCATGGTACCGGCAACCCGTAACCACCCAGGCATGATTCATTTTGGCTTCAACGTTCCGATTTGTGCCTTGGGCTTACCGCTGTGAGGTATTATCGGGCAGCGGCTGTGCTCAGTGACATATGCGTGAAATACTATGAGGGCTTTCTTTTTTGAGGAGCCTCGAGTGATAGTTGATAGCTAAAGTGCCGATACTGCCGAAGGTAAATCTACTTGCTGGTCGTGGTTTCCAGGATCTTTTTAATTTTTTTCATTTTTTTTTTTTTTATTTTTTATTTGCTTGTAAGGATCGGTTAGGAGTCTGGCTGACGTAATGGGACCGAATGGTATCGAGTACCATCTGTTGATTGTGTAACTCATTAGCCTACAGCAATGCAGATTGGTATCTACTTGAGCAAGTGAGGCAAGCAAGAGATCAACAATGCTCAAGTCCTAACGAACATTCGAAGGGAAAGATTAGACAACTCAGAGCAACCCAGGGTTTGGTCCAGATCAGTCTATGCAAGTGGTTTCGTCATCGTCTGGTGCAGTGTTGGTTTGAGGCCATTGAATGGATAGTAGGGTGGGAGGATGGTCATGGACTGTCATGGAGATAAGCTGGAGGGTGATTCGGTTGTCCAGCGCAGGTCAACGATATATTTGACCGAGTTTGAGATGAGGAAGGAAAGAGAGGGGAAATATGACTGGCTAGTGAGGTTTAATAAGCTTCCTGGCGAGTTTACTGGAGAAATGTGTTCTTACTAGCTACATCCTGGCCAGAGCAGTGGAAAATTGAAACTCACCGTTTCATGAGCTTCAAACGAGATTTGATTGGCTTCAGAAGACCCTTGAGGGCCTAGCAATGATCCCTATTGACCAAAATTACAAAATCCTTAAAAATTTCATGTTTTACTTGAAAAACTTGGAGAATTTACAAAATTCCTGCATATACACTTATACACTTTCCATATTGTCGGTTGAACCACTCTTTAGCAATCTACCCTGCATTTTGCCTCCTTAGCTTAGTGGTAGAGCGTTGCACTTGTAATGCAAAGGTCGCTAGTTCAATTCTGGCAGGGGGCAAGAACCTTCTTTTTTTGACTTCAATGAACAATATTCGGATGTCCTTCACACCTTTAACACGTTTATATGCTGCTTTTTCCGATCTAAGTCGTTCTAGAGAGCATTACTTGCCATTTGGCTCGAAGGCAAGTCACGTGAACTCCCTATCAATTAACTCCATACTTCGCGGACCCTAAAAACATCAACCCATACAACTACCGATACCGAGAAATCGAAATATTTTCACACTTAATAGGATGTTTCGTGCTGGTCTAGCCCTGCGCCACCAGCTACGGTCCTTCAGGTCCTTACAGCCTAAAATGTTCTTCCACATCGTCAACAGATCGTCCTTTATACGCTCAGCACACACTCGCCATCTAGGACTCGCAAAGCCTACTAATGTCATCTTCAGGCGCAACATAGGCTTCATCAAAGTCATCGCCAGAGCCACCAAGATCCCAGCTTATATTGGTGGTACCATGGCCGCTGGCGGAACCTATGTAGCTTACAAGGTTGAACAAGCTCAGCAATATACCACAGACAGATTCACTGCATTCAAAGATTTCACCAGTGACCTTTTTGACAAGACTGGTGATGCCCTAAAAGGCCTTGGTGGAGATAAATCAGGAGCCGGCTCGGGAGGTGAAGGAGGCGGCGGTGGTGCCAATGGCTCAGATGCAGCTGCTGTAGGTGCAACTGCGGCAGCTGTGGGTCTATCATCAGATGAGGAAGAAACGGCTGCCGAAGAGGAGGAAGAGACGGAAGAGGATGAAGAAACTCTTATCGATCAAGATGATGATGAACCACTTGATCTTGAGAATGATGAGACGACTGATGACATGCTTAATTTGACGAGGCAAATGATAGAAATAAGAAACATTCTCACAGCCGTGGACCCACAATCAGAAACTCTCAAGCTCCCTCTGATTGTTGTTGTTGGATCACAATCCAGCGGTAAGTCTTCTGTGTTGGAGGCCATTGTGGGCCAGGAATTCTTGCCAAAGGGAAGTAACATGGTTACCAGGCGTCCTATTGAGCTCACCCTTGTCAACTCTCCAGACTCTGCCAGTGAGATTGCAGAGTTCCCTGCCTTGAAATTGTTTAATTTATCAGATTTCACTCAGGTGCAGAAGACGTTATTCGACTTGAACATGGCTGTTCCAGCAAGCGAATGCATCTCAAATGACCCCATTCAAATGACCATTAGATCTCCAAAGGTGCCGGATCTCTCGTTAGTTGACTTACCGGGCTATATCCAAGTTGAAGCAGCCGACCAACCCTTGGAGCTCAAACAAAAGATTCGGACTCTCTGTAACCGTTATCTTGAGGCCCCTAATATCATTCTTGCCATTTCCGCTGCGGATGTCGACTTGGCTAACTCATCAGCATTAAGAGCTGCTAAGGTAGCCGACCCGTTGGGCGAAAGAACGTTGGGTGTTATCACCAAGCTTGACTTAGTCGAGCCAGAGAAAGCTCGTGCTATTTTGCTTAACAGGAAGTATCCATTGAGAATGGGTTATGTTGGTGTGGTGACTCGTGCTCCAAATAGTGGTAAGTCAGGCTCTGGTGGATTATTTGGCAGAAAGGCACTTACAGGATTTCAAGCTTACGTTGCCCAGCAGAACTTCGAGTACCAATTCTTGAAGGACAACAAAGAAGCATTTATCGGCACAGTGACTGGATCAAGGAATCTCAAGAAGAAACTCATGAAAGTTCTCGAGAAGTCCATGTCAGCCTCATTAAGACCAACTCACCTTGCAATTCAGCTGGAGTTGGAGGAAACTGCCTACCAGTTTAAGGTTGAGTTTAACGATCGTTCCCTTACCCCTCAGATGTATCTCGCTAATAATATCGATCTTTTAAAGGTGGCCATTAAAGAACTCAGTCAAAAGTTCTCAAGAAATGAGTTGAAGGCTCTTCTTAAGAATGAACTTGATCAGAAAACATTGGACCTTCTTGCCGAGAGATATTGGAATAAGCCTTTTGAATTGAGAGGAGGAGATGGCTATGCATCTGCCGAGCCAGACTTGCGTGAACTCTCGCAACTTCTGACAGTAGATGAAGAAAGCTATTGGCACAAGAAGCTCGACCTTGCAAGCAGCTCGCTCACCAAACTTGGGGTTGGCAGGCTTTCCACAGCTATGTTGACAAATGCCATAGTGACGGAGATCAATAATCTCGTTGATAAAACCCAGTTGGCTAATCATCCAATGGCTAGAAAAGCTGTTGAGGATGCGGCAAAGGCTGTACTTAAGTCAAAATACTACTCGACAGCTGACCAAGTTGAGAACTGTATTAAGCCATACAAGTACGAAGTCGAAATCGAAGACAGAGAGTGGAACTCCAGTAAGGAGTCTGCCGTTAGCCTTTTGAAGGAAGAACTCAGGCAATGCGACAACGTCTATTCATCTCTCCGTAAGCTGGTGGGTGGACGTAAGTTGCAACAGATCGTCACATACTTGGAAAAGCTTAATGGAGAGAAGCGCACGGAAATCGACGACTCAAATGAGACCCTCGGATTCTCCAAGACTTTAATTGAGAGAGGAAAGTATGCAATTTTCCTCAAAGAACGCATGAAGCTCTTGAAGATGAGATACCTGTTTGTCAAGAACCTGAAGAAATGCAAGCTGAAGGATAATAAATACCAATGTCCAGAGATATTCATGGACGCCGTATCTTCGAAGTTGACATCAACTGCGATCTTATTCTTGAACGTGGAGCTTTTGAGTGATTTCTATTACAATTTCCCAAGAAAGCTTGACGAGGAGTTCTTCGGCAACTTGTCCAGAGAACAGATGGAGAGTTTCGCCAAAGAAGATCCAAAGATTAAGAAACACATCGAACTCCAAGAAAGAAAAGATCTCTTGGAGGAAGCCATGCAAAAGATCGAGAGCATTTTAGCATTTCAACGACAAAAGGTGGAAGACAGGCCTCAAGGCAAATGGTGGTGAGAGCGGTAATCCTTATAAATAGAAATAATGTACAATTTGATGCTGAGATATCTATAAACCTTAATCCAAGGCGCTTACTGTACTGCGCGTACAACACGTTCGAACAAGGTGTCTAATGCCATACCGTCCACATTTGCAAAGACAGGTTCGATAGTAGTGAGATCAACTAGACGATGAGAAGTCCACTTGTTCGAGTCGTCAATTTCGTCTGTATGAACAGCGTTAGCAGCATTGTCAACAGAGCGGGAATGTAATACATTGGCAGCGGCCTGAGCGCTAACCAACAAGTTATGCATTTGGTCAACAAGATCATCTGAAGCGCCCAAGTCACGAGTAACAGGACTGATGGTGATAGCACGCGTAGCAGAGTCAACAAGCACGAAGCCAGAGGACAGCGTCGAAAGAGAAACGATTAATTGTTTGTGAGTCTCTTCGTGAATTGGAGTAAGCGTCCCTGGCTGGAATACCAAGATCTTAGACTTGGACCCTTGACCCTCGTATGACAGGGCTTGATTCACTGCGACTGCAACCAAATTTCTCTGAACGTCTGTAGCGATTAAGTTTCTGGCACCGTAGTCGAGGAGCTTAGCACCCAAAGAAGATTCACAACCTCCAACAAGGTCAAACAGCAACAACAGTGTCGCCAGTGCAAGTATTAAATGCGTCTTCATAATAGCCAAGTACTCCACTGGAGCTGAAAGGCGAGGAAGTGGAAAATCAACGGGTTCAAGCAGCTGTGGATCGTATGCCTTGACTTGAGTATTGTGACTGACTATCAACAAAGACGAGTCTGGTGCCCATGCAGCAGCTACTGGAGCAGAAACCAGAGCAGATGCAGAAATAGCACGGCGAAGAGTCCAAACCGTTTGAGATTTCGTTGCTGCTGTTTGTTGCTTTCTGGAATTGGTGTGAACTGCAGCAGGACGAGGACGCCAGAGACGAATTCCGCCATTGGAGTCCACGGTGGCCACTGAATCACTGACTGGCAGCGCCACGAGGGCACCAACGGCAAGACCAGGTCCATGAGGATCAACGATTTTCAGAGCAAGGTGCCAACGAGAATCATCCTTAGACCACGACCAGAATTTGAGGGCAAAGGACGTGTCATTCTTAGAAAGAAGATTATCCAAGTCATATTTTGGCATCAGATCAAATGTACACATCCAGTTACCATCATGAGTAAAGACGACTTTCTCCACTTGTGGGTCAGCAATCTTAAGCTCGCTCTTAACTCTACCAATATCAAGCTGAGGAGCGACATGTTGGACAAATGCTTGTTCACCACGGACCAAGTCAAATGCTTGAATTGTCAGTCCGTTGGGGAGATAAAGTTGATTAGTTTGAGGATGCACAAGGGTAGAAGCAGTGATGTCAGGCTTGATGAGACTAAAATCTTCAAGATCCTTAGCCTTAGAGCGCTTGACAGGTTCCTCGTCTTCATTTCCACTATCCAGGTCACTATCATCTTCTTCGAGAGCCTCCTTCTTTTTCTTCAAATACTGTCTAACTTTCCGCCTATAGTTGGCAGTTGACAGGGCCATCTGTGGTCTGCAAGGTGCTACCGCAAGACGAGAAACAAGATCAACAGCAGAGACAACAAGAATATCACTTTGATCTTCATTGACGGCACCGTTGCCGGTCGAGATAGGGGAAAGCATAATGTTATACTGGTCTTGACGGTGTGGGTCAATCGAGATAGCTGTTATAGAGCCACTGAGACGAGGCAAGAATTGAGTCTTGCCCAGTTCAAGATTCCAGATCACCAAAACCTTCTCAGTACCTCCTGAAATTAAGTACCGCTGGTCAGCAGAAAATGTAAGTGCGCTAACACCATCGAAATGCCATTTGAATGCTCTCTGATTACTAGAGTCGTCCTTACTTTCCTTTCTGTCACGCTCCTGTGGGTATACGAGATAGATAGGACCATGAGACGAAGCAATAGCAACAAGTGCTTGATCACTAATTGCAATTATCAGTGCTGGAGGGCCGGAATACGTCATTGTAAGCTTACCTTGCTCCAAGACGTCCTGAATGGATGCAGATGTGGAACCGTTTTCAGTTTCAGTCCTTTTCATTAAACTCACTCCCACCTTCAAATCATAGACTGATACCTGGCCCTTTTGAAGGATTGCTAAGTAGTTAGAGCTTCTTGAGACTGCGTATCTGTAGACCCCATGCACCGTAAGTACGGGAGTGGACTTGGCGGTCTCTTTGTCAATTTGATAAAGACAAAGTGTTTTCGCTGAGTAGTCGGTTGTAAAAGCTTGTTCTCCCACAAGACCAACAGCGTAGTAGTTAGCTTCATCTATCATAAAAACGTCATGTAGCTTAGGGATGCTAGGTGTAATAAGCTGCTTGGCAACCACGGGATGTGCCACATTCTCCTTCCAGTTTACATAAAGGATTCTTTGCTTTGATGTAGCAACAATGATCTGCGAATCATTATCATTATCCATATGAGCTGCAATGGCGTCGTGAATATCCAAGTTCACCACCCTGACGCATTGCCTTGTAGCGTTATAGTAGACTCTTATTTGGTATGAAAGAAGGACAACGGTATGAGTGCCGTCCTTTGAGACGACAGCAGGGAAGGTCAGTCCCTGTTTAAATAAAACAGGAGCACCTCCGGAAGATACCGTAACACGCCAGGATCTAGGGAACTCCATTGGTGATGATGGATGATTTGGGACCTTGGAATTTTTATGAGATGCCTGAGAAGAGATGGCGGGTGACATCGCGCACGTGAGCTTTTTGAAATTTACCACCCAGCTACCACCATGGCATACTATTGGAGTATAAGAGTTGTGGGAGATCAAATTAATACTTTAATTAATGCACAAGTTGAAATTCTTATTTATCTGAGCCAGTATATCATAACTTTTGGTGGGTGTTGCTAGAGGCCTCTTGAACACCCGTGCACCATCTTTCACATCTCTGGATACATAGAAAAAAACTCTATCGACATCTCAAACTTACCTCATCAAAGAGTTCGTTTTCATTAACAACAGCGATGATCATTCCTATTCGCTGTTTCTCTTGCGGTAAAGTTGTCGGTGACAAGTGGGAGACCTATTTGAACTTGTTGCAAGACGAGACTTTGACTGAGGGCGATGCTCTTGATCAGCTTAAGTTGAAGAGATACTGCTGCAGAAGAATGGTCTTGACACACGTCGACTTGATCGAGAAGTTCTTGAGATACAATCCTTTGGAAAAGAAGGACTTGAACTAATCATAAGATTAGAAGCATCCGACCTGAGGTCGGCAGTTGAATCACTGCTCCACATGTACTATAGAAAACGGAAATAGCAATGGATACGAAACAAGTTTATGTGGCTTTGTAGAATGTGGCAAATTCGGAAACGTCGGTTCGTTATGGCATTGGCTGTTTAGAATAGTGGGTTATTCAAAATAATAGAGGAGTAATCGGCGATGTTGTGGAGGATTACAATACCATATAGGATGTCTGAGGGGATCAGGCTTTCTTGGTCACAAGGGATAGTCAATTTTTCCTTACATAGCTACCGGTATTAATACAAGCTAGTTTTATCACTATTAGATATACGTCTCTGAATATTTTTTATAAAGGCTGCTTAGGCATCACTATTGTGCTCCTGGATCAGCTGAATGAACTCGTAGAAGAAGGCAATCATGTGCAAGTGGTTGTCGTACAAGAGGTGCTCATCAACACTGTGAATCTTAGTGTCCTTGATGGGGTCTTCATAGTGCATAGGACTGTACCTGTAGATGTGGTCAGTCAAGTTCCAGTAATGTCTTGTGTCGGTATTACCGGTCATAATACTTGGAGCAACCACGATTGGGTCCTTCAAATCAGTGAAGACATAGTCTTCAAAGATATGCCTGGTAACACCACCAATAAAGTTCCAAAGCGTATCCTCCTTAGGGGTGACAGGAGCAGTGTTTGTGATCTTTCCGGACACCTTCAAAACGAACAGTCCCTTGGCTGTAGGCTCAAGTAATTCTTCACCAAATGCGATAAGGCCGATATCGTGTTTCTTAGCAACACGAATGACTCTGTCAGTAAACTGCTTGAGAACCTCATCGATTTCAGTCTCAATAGCGACTCTGTGGTTAACAAGCAATCTGACAGATTCGGGCAAAGCATTATTCTTCTCACCACCCTTGATAATGTCCATTGCTTGCGAGGTTTGGATCAAGTAACGAGATGCAATATGCTTAGCCAATGCCTTCACTACAATGGAGTTAGCGACCTTGTCGTATCCAGCACGCAAAATCAGCTTCTTGAGCAACTTTGGCAAGTTTCCTTGGTGGTCATGGGCAGCGGAGCATTGCAAGAGACCCAAAGTTGGGTTCTTCTCCGAAAGGAGCGGTTTGAAAGGGTCCTGTTCAATTGCATAAGCCAATTCGGAAACAATACCAATTGAAGTGTAGTCAGGTGGCATGGAAGAGTGACCACCAGGAGTGGTGAGGAAAACATCAACATCGACGTAACCCTTTTCACCTGTACCAATCATGGCAACGAGACCTCCAGTAAAGGGGCTTGTGGCAATACCAGCGCCCTCGTCAATGATACCGTAAATAGAGTTCTTGCCGAATCTCTTCTCCAAGTAGTGAGCGATGGATTCAGCACCGTGCCAGCCAGAAACTTCCTCGTCCATTCCGAATGCAGCAATAACACCTCTTTCTGGAGTGAAGTTCTTGCTCAACAAAAGCTCAAAGGTTTCCATGATCGAAACAAGCACGTTCTTGCAATCGACCGAACCACGACCGTACAAGTTTTCACCGTCAAAGTGGCCCGAGAAAGGTGGGTAAGTCCAGTCACCCACGGTATCTTCTTGCACTGGAACAACGTCCTGGTGAGCAGCCAACATCAATGGCTTAAGGTCTGGGTTAGTACCCTTCCAGTAGAAGACAAGACCATAGGTGTTGACCTTGGTGACTTCCAAGTTCTCGTAAACAGTAGGGAAAGTTTCTTCCAAGTACTCATGGAACTTGATGAACTTCTTCCAGTACTCAGGATCGTCGTCCACGGCTGGAGGATCGTCATAGATCTGAGTGTCCACCTGAACAGCCTTGGTCATCTTCTCGGCAGACTCCTTTCTGAACTTCTTACCAAAGATAATATCATGGACCGTGGAATTGTCCTTGTAGAACAGCTTTGGTCTGTAAATATCAATAATTGGACAGACATCAGACTCCGAGGAGGTAATTGCGATTCTAATATAAGAGAAGAGATTGGTACAGAACAAAAGAGCAACCACTAAAACAGCGGCAATGGCTCCAATGCCATACTTCTTGCTTCTCTTCTTGTTGTCGTCTGGAAGCCCAATCATGGTTGAGAGTTATAAAGCAACTATGGAGGGAACCCACGCTTCTTATATAGACGATTTCCGTAGCGGTAGCGGTTCCGCACCCAGTGAAGCCGCTTAATCAGTCCGCATTAACCAGCCTCGACCTCGGCGATAACGCGCCAAAGCTCGGTGAAAGTTCGGCAATAGTGCACCAAGCCTTCACCGAGCTCACTTTAAACCTGGGGATCTTGCGGATAAACATTTCCACCTTCGAGGTTATAGCACAAAGTCGTGAGTCCAATTTACATTGAAGAAACGTGAATGGTCGAGATATTGGAGTGGGCAAGTGATAAGCTCATGCGGGGGCTTTGAGTCTTTGAGTAACTACGATAATGGAATTATTTTATGCACGGGATGATAGGCGCAAGAAGGAGCGTGGAATGGGGTTGAACTTGTAGGCTTGGTATTATTATATTCCGTTAAGTATTATTTGCGAGTTACCGAAGTATTGTTGAAGTGAAAAATTCAGCCCCACCCACTCTTTTTCTCAATTACTACAGCGGTTGCGAAAAATCAAAGAATCCCCAATCTTCCGTTCGCCAAGCTAGACTTGACGTCTCGTCATTCACTCTTCTTCAAGCAATTCATTTATCCTTCCTTCTTCCTTTATTGGTCTATGTACATGGCAGATGTGCTCCACTTTACGTGAAGGCATCCTTAGTTCTTACCACCCTTCTTAAGGATCTCGTTGCTGGGTTGAATGTCTTCACCACAACAGCATCCTTAGGCAACTTCTGGCCCTTTGGAATATCAAGCACGGTACCTGGAACAGACTCAGGCAACACTGCTGGAATGTACTTGTGTCTGAACTCGACAATCTCATCCTGAGAGAAGATGCCTGGAGTGTTCAAAAGAGCATTGATAGCATCCTTTTCCTTTTGCTTGAGGATGATATTCGTGAACTTGCTGTCCAACTTACCAAGGATCTCTTCCCTCTTCAGTTTGACTTCATCTTCACTGTATGGCTTGTGGAGCTGGGTCTTGTGGTCCAAGGCCAATGCTGTGTCTAATTCAGAAGCAAACTTCTTGTATTCATCAACCTTTGTCTTGAGCTCTTCTTCCAGAATCTCATTACGTCTTAATGCCAATTGTTGCTCGTAAAACACAGTGAAAGTGACTTGATCTCTGGCTTCTTCCAAAGACTGGCCAGTCTTCATGAGGGCGCTGACCTGGTAAAGTCTTTCGGCGGCTTGTTCAGGTTGTGGGTGTTCTGGGAACTCCTTCTTGAGTTGAGAAAGAAATTGTTCTTTACGCTCGGACTCGACTCTCTGTCTCTCCTGTGCCATCTGCTTCAACTCATCTTGTGCAAGGTACTCTTTCCTGCTCATATGATCTTCTTCCTTCTTGGCTTCAGCCTCATCCAAGATCTCTTCGTAACCAAATCTTCTGATACGAGGATCAAAATGGTTTGGTGGTAGAGGATGGTCTCTTTTCAATGCAACACCAACGAATTTTCTCAATGGGTGGAAAGGATCCAAGTAGAACTTGACATAACCTGGCTCCATGGCAAATATAGTGTGATCACGACCAATAGCAACATTAGCTCCAGGGTGAATCTTGGTACCTCTTTGTCTCATGATGATTTCACCAGGATTCACGAAAGAGTTCTCAAATGCCTTTGGACCCAATCTACGACCAGCGGAGTCATTCTTGTTTGTCTTGGAACCACTGACTCTTTTTGTGGCGGTACGGATCTGGGTGAAGCCACCTAGCACAGAGCTCGACAGGGAAATTCCCACGCCGACGCCGGTAGTGGTTCTTAAAAGAGACATAGCCTGTTAGGTATTCTTCTTCTCTTATGTCAAAGAGTTTTCTCATTGAAAAAATGTAAAACCAGATTGGCCTGTATGCCGGATTTTTCAACCCTAACAGAGATCATTAGAATGAAGCAAAGGTAATAAATGGAATGATACTAACTAAACATGATTTCGTGATGACTTATCGAAAGTTCTTAAGTATTTAAAGTTAAAAGGTTCTGTTAATAGAAGGTGAATAGCTTATGGTGGAAAACAAGGCCTTCGCGGTTTGGTATCTTCTCAGGCCTAACTGTTACATGCGAACGAGCCAAAAACTACCAGACAACTAACCAACATAGATAAAAACGTAAAAAGGATAAGCAAAAGTTGGTCAATGAAAAAAAAAAAAAAAATGCGCAAGCCCGGAATCGAACCGGGGGCCCAACGATGGCAACGTTGGATTTTACCACTAAACCACTTGCGCTAGTGAAAATGCTCCGAGACGGGGAATTGAACCCCGGTCTACCACGCGACAAGCGGTAATTCTAGCCACTAAACTATCTCGGATGTTATATTATGGTGCAAAATTGGGGTTATCATGAACTTTGTTTTGATTAAACCAGCAAAAATGACTAATATGGTATCTTAAGCTTATTTAATTCGGTCTCATGGTAATGCTCGAGAGCGGAAATCAGACAAATCGGCCGCGTTTTTGAGATATTTGACTTTTTGTGTTTCAAGCGAAGAGGCCAATATCGGTCAGTTATTTATTCATGTTAAGCTCTCTTGAAGTTGTTTGTGTTCCATTGGCTGTAATAAAGTGCCTTCTCTGTCTATAATTGGTTTTCTAATTCAATCTCGCTATCTGGACTTCCACACCAACTTTTGGTACAACTATCGACTAACAAGAACTAGTATACCAAAATTCATGGATCAGAAGAAGCTTCAAAACAAAAGATTGTGATGGTCAGGTGTCCGTCTAAATTAAGAAATTTGGACTATTCTCCTCTCGAATTATTCATCATGCTGGCCTGGTGCCCTTGGATGATCAATCATAGTAGTTATCAGTGGCTGCGAAAACCCACTTTTAGAAGTCAACCCGAAAGCCCACCACAACACTTCCAAAGCCTACTTGACGTATTTTCCAGATCATTTCCTAGCGTATATATTTCCCGTAAACAGTGGTCTGGGCTATCAATGGAACGTGTGGCTATTGATTCAGCCACCTTCGTATGCAGAGGTAGGCTCTTTTACGGGGCCCTGGGGTCATTGACATGTGGGTGATATCCAAAAATACAACTGTGGGATGTAAACAGTCAATTTGAGTTTTTGCCCGCATCCGTCGGAGAAAAGGCCGTTAGATTTAGATTGTAATCGATTCTATATATAGTTTCAGTCAAGTATATAAGGTGGTGATGATCTTCTGTCAAAGTTGCGAAACAACCAAAATGCCTATCACCATTGCCACAATATTGTTCTTCGCCTTATCCGTGTTTGCAGCCAATCTTCCGAGGGATTTCGAACTCCGTGTGGAGGTTCCAGATAGCGACAACATTTTCTTCGTAAGGAACTACACCAACGCACCTATTCTCGTTTCCGACCTGTATTATGGTGACAACGGTGCACCCGTTCTGGGACCCCAGTTCTTCTATTTTGATGAGTATGAGACTTTGAGAAGCTCTCGCAATGACGAATACGTTTCAGTTCAGACATGGGATGCGTATGATGAACGTAAATTGACCTTACTTTTCAATGATACTGTCGCTTATCATGGTTTCCATAAGAAGGATGGGTATTTGGCGCATCATGGAAACACGACATTTTATTCATGCAATTCTTATCCATATGACAAGTATGTGGAGTACTTGAGTCTCGATGGCTCTTGTTTCCTTGCACATCCAGTGCAATTGCGGTTGACATACCCATTATAAGCTTGAATGCTATAGTTTTCACTTTGATCATAGTTTACCACCAAAGAATTTCAATGCTAAATGAACACCGTAGCTGATCTTTCTGTCCTCACCAATGGCGTAGACTTCAAGCGGAGTAACAGGGTTACCCTGGGCGTCAATGCGTTCTTCTTGTTTCTCCTTAGGCTGCTGAAGCTTAGGATCAAAATCATCGAGCTCTAAACGATGCGCATATGTCATCAAGTTATCGATTTCCGAACGCATGCGATGTTTCAAATCCTGATCTTTTGTAATAATGATTGCATTGCTCTCCAAGTCCAAAGAGTAAGCACGCTTGGTGAAGTTGGACGAGCCAACAACGGTAATGGAGGGCTCTTCTTCTTCTGGTACAGTTATCCATAAACCTTTGGCGTGATAAGACCAGCCACCTGGAGTGTTCACCACACCGTTTTGCCATTCATACAATTTGATAAGATTCTCCTTGCCTCTGCGCCTGAGTTCCTCCAAGAACTTCTTTGCGATCAACAAGTAAGCTTCAGGAATGTAGTAGGAAACACCAGGAGACTTGTAGAATGAATTGGCCTTGGCAGAAGCGGTGATGACAGTACCAGAAGCGGTACCATTGCACAATCTGTCTTGAATCTGGGGAAGCATATTGAAGTAGCCAGCAGTAAACCACCACTTGATCTTTGATGAATCTAAGTAGGACAAGAGGCGAAGAACAGCTGGTTTTTCCGTGGATGCATCATTGTGGGATGGGAATAAAGGAGTGAATTGCGAGACAGGATAGACAATTGTATCAAAGTCGTTAGTATCGGAATATTCTTCGAAAGAGCCAAGTTGATGCTGTTTTAACAATGGTTCAAGCAAATGCGAAGAGTCGGAAATGAAGCGCTGGAAGTTCATGTCAGGTTCACAGGATTTGTTCGATGTCGGCCATGATAAACGGAAAGTCTGGTGCTTATGAGGCTTTGCAGTGGTCAAAAGCTGGTATGAGAGGCTAGACACGGCTTTATGAATCTTAAAGTAGTAGTCGGTGATGGCGGCGTCTTTGAACAAGTAGTAACGGTCCTGGCGGTCAGTAAAGTAGTCTTGGGACAAGTTAGCGCCGGAAAGCATAATCTCGTCGTCGAAACCGTAAAGTTTCATATGCTGAAGGCCAAAACTCTCATTGACACGCTTAGGAGCCAAGTTCTTCTTAAAGCCGCTCAAATGCGGCGTGTGATACATCCTAATGTCAACTCTATGCTTTCCATACTTTTCAACAAGAGTCACAAGTAAAGAAGCCGAAGAAGGATGATTTGGAGCCTCTCTGGTACCACGGAGGGCGTCGGTTAAGATGTAAACTTTCAAGTTTTCATTTTTCGCCAACGCTTCGGAAAGTGTTTCCACGAGCTCAACCTGGCCCTTTCCCACGTACAAAGAGCTAAGGAAAACCTTGGAAGAAGCCGCCAATATTTTACTCTTCAAAGTATCATAAAAGTCCTGAGGAGAAGTCAAAATCTCGATGTTGGAGCCCTTTGTTGCAAACCTGGGCGCGATGGCATCCAATTGTTGGAAGATGGTATTCAAGCGAGGATGGAACAAGGCCGTAGCATCGGAAGGAAGCGCCACGTTGTTGGTGGCGTATTGGCGAGCTTTGGGCGAGGCAGCCTGTCTGGCGCCGAATAAGTAATTGTAGAATGACCCAAGCATACGATTTGGAGCAGTAGCGAGTCTAGTCACCATAAGGTGGGGAGGAGACGATGGAAGCAGCGATGAGCGGTGAAGATGGGAAGGCCTTGAATGGGGGAACGGTAAAACAAGGAGCCAGTAGGGATGGGTATTTAAAGGATGGTGGTGTGAAGCTTCAAGTAGACGAAAAAGCAGGAAAAAGAGTGTTGTGGAAGCGGGACCAGGAGGCAAGTTTGAGATAAGATATGCGAGATAGGTTGGTGGGGGAAAAAAAAAGCGAGGCAGCAGCCAGAGGCCAAAAAAAAAAAAAAAAAAAAAAAAAAAAAAAAAAACTAGGCCTCAGTCCAGTAATAATAACAGAAAAATACAGGCCATAACAGAAAAAAAAGCCCAAGGCAGGAAAAAGTCCCACACGCAGCAAAGTAACGGTTGGCGGTGTGAAGGAATGCGAAATTTTGCGAACAAGTCCCTCCCACACAAACTGTACTTCCATGCGGTGTAGCAGAGGGGAAGGTGGAGACGGTGAGGAGGATGCCGTAGAAAGCAAAAAAAAGAGGCAGGAGAGAGGCAGGAGAGGCAGGGAGGCAGAGGGGGGCTCCTCAGTAAGGGGAGACAAAAGGTTATCACAGGCTTCCATGGCAGATGCCTCCAGCCACCATTTCGCATTAGGCAAATTCTCCAGATTCTCTGGTAGACTAGAGTATGGACGTTTTAGTGCCAAGTGCATGAGCAAACGGTCTTGTGACGGTAAAGAGCATTGTTGGTGGCATCAATGGAGGGAAGGTAGTTGAAAGAAGGAGGATATAAAGAAGGGTGTAGGAAGTTCGGGACGTCACGGTTTTGCGTGGAAGGTGGGACGAGGGGGCCAGGGCGGTTGGCTCGGTGCGAGTGGAGCCGAGAGGGAAGTATAAGAGAGGCCTGGGGAGAAGGAGGGAGAGGGAACAGGAGAGGCCATGGAACAAAGACAATTGGGCAAGACGTAACAATGACACTGGGAGCCAATTGTGAATGGAAGAAATATGGTTTCGCTTTTGTTGCTTGGTAGTTCAATGGCTGATCGTTCCGGGGAAGGGAGACTCCATGACGTTTGCAGCCGTTATGAAGCTTAGCTGTGAGGCAGGAAAGTGCACTTCGGGGGTGATGCGAAAAGATGCCTTGGGAGGTGAGGTAATAGGCTTTGGGAGTGTATGGCTTAGCACACCGCAGTGACAAGGTAGAATGGGTTTTGGCAATCAGGGGCAGAGTATGTCTAAGGTTTGATGATGGCTTAAGTATTGTCATGGAGGCTATGCTGGGTGGTGGTCTCCTGGTCTTCTGGTATGAGTCTGAGAATGGGTATGGGTATTGTGCTCGCTGTGAGGTCTACTTTTTTGCCGCCTGGCTGCAAAACATCCTATCTTGGAGCGATGGCTGGGTGGAAGAATGCCGAATGGCCACTCTGGTATTTGCAATTGCTTAAGGTTTGATTTTTGTATTTCGTTACTTGGCATTGGCGATCTTTGCGCTCCTCTCTTCATCGCGACATATCTTTTCTACTTTCAGTAACCTCGCCTATTCCCCACCACCGTTCCTATGTACATGTACTTCCCTCTGGATACTTCTTTTTCTCTATCGGGACTTTCCACCTGCGGCCTTGATCAACAAAACATCGCCGTCCTCTATAATGTATGCTTTTCCTTGGCGATACTGTTTTCCTCTAGCTTTGAGGCCTGCCTCGTCTAATGGCGCCTTCTCTTCCTTGAGGTCTTCCCATCTGTACACTTGGGCAGAGATGAAGGTCTTCTGCAAATCGGTGTGGATGGTTCCTGCTGCCTCGGGTGCGGTTGAACCCTCTCTCACGGTCCATTGGTGTGCTTCTTTGGGTCCACAAGTGTAGAAAGACACAAGATGGAGCGCTTTCCGCATCTTGTCCACAATTCCAGCCATGGCGCTGGCTTTATTGTTGTGTTCCTGTTTATACTTTTCCAACTCCGCAGGATCTTCTCTCTTTTCGTTAAGCTTTGTCTCGAATGCAGCAGAGAAGAGCATCAACTCGTCTTGAGGACAGTTCTCGTCAATCCACGCCTGTACTGATTCTTTGAATTCGTTGGTATTGCTTTCATAGTCGGCTTCATTAACATTAAGCAAAACCACAGTAGGCTTGGCGGTAAGAAGATTCAAAGTGTTGATGATATCGATCTCTTCATTTGTCCACTCTTCCGTGCTGACTTTCCTACCCAGGTACAAAAGGTCCAGAAGTTTATCGAGCGTGTCAATTTCAAATTGAATCTTGCCTTTGTCAACTTGAGGCTTCTTCAACGCCTTTTGTGCCTGCTCAAGGGCAGTCTCAATATAGTCTAAGTCTTTTAAGATTAACTCGTCTGTGACGATCGTCATGTCTCTGACAGGATCAACATTGGTTTCAATGTGGGTGATCTCATCATCTCTAAACCCTCTAACAACGTGAAAGATACCATCTACCTGGCGGATATCAGCAAGAAACTTATTTCCAAGTCCCTCACCCAGTGCTGCATTCCTAGTGAGACCCGCGATGTCGTAGATGTTCATTGAGGTGGGCACCTTTTTAACAGAGCCATATAAACTTTGAAGGTGATCTAGCTTGGGACTCTCAACCACTATCAACGACATGGAAGGGTCAATAGTAGCGTATGGGTAGTTGGCTGGGTTACCCAAAGTTGATTTGGTGATGGCTTGAAAAAAAGTCGATTTTCCAACATTGGCGAGACCAACAACTCCCAGGGAGAGATTATTGCTAACTCTGCCCAAGTATTTGGGTTTTGTAACTGCTGCCAGTTTTTTGGCTAGGCATGTTGCAGTGGTTGCAAAAAACCTGATCTGGTTCATTGATGCCGGCTACTACCGCAAAATTTTGTACCGATATAGTATCAAGCCTGTGCAGGCTTTTCAGTATTGCAACATACTGGTTGCAAAACGCTGTTATTCGGGAAAACGGCGACATGGAAGATGGACAAATAAAAAGACCCAGTTAAAATTCCTTGAAATTATCTGGGAATGATTGGTTTTCCTCCTTTGTATATGTGCTGCTGGTATAGAAGTATACCTAGACATATCCAATTGAGTAACAACGATTCGGAAGATACCAAGTTCGTAGGAAGTTCATACCAATTAGTATTATGCCATTTATAAATGGCCAAACTATTGGTCATGAAGAACAAAGACACGATTTGTATGGGCAAAAAGTGCTTGTGAACATTGTAGAAACGGCAGAAGAACCAATTGGTAGAGCATTGGGATATGAGCCGAAATGAAAAGCTGGCATAGGACAAAAGCCAAAAGTAGTTCGCCAAATCAAGTTCATTGAGCGTGGCTTTCCCGCGAAGGTAGTTCCATAAAAGCCACACTAGACCAGACGTCATCAAAAACAACACATAATAAAAAAGAACGCTCAAAGCTTCGTTTCCTTGTCTGGATTTTTTATACTTATGGAACGTTTGGTAAATGAGAGCGCTCGTAACTAGCAGACCCACGCAGTCTAGAACAAATGTTAGCTTGGAAGTATAGAAACTTGGATGTTCAGGGTACCTATTGGCATACTGGAAGACCACGAATGTCGACATCAAGTAGGCTCCAGCATAATAAGCACATGAGACAAACCAAATCCATGAATACACCACAAAGTCGCAAGAGAGACCAAAGACTGACCCCTTTCTGGATACTCTGTCCATCGCTAGGATGTACGAGACTATCTGAAGTACATATCCAACGACATAAGAGGCCTCCAGGAGCATTGAGGAGTCTTTCCAAGGGATAACTCTAATCAATCAGGTGAAACCGGTAGGATCGGATAGTGTGGTCAATCGATACCCAGCGTTGTCCTTCGGGGTACGAGCAAAGCGATTGAATATGCAATTACCCAGATAGACTTTATTAAGCAATAAATGGCCCTTGATGAGTATGATAAAGCACGGTTGTAGTAGACCAGTTTAGCTTATCTATGGTAGTAGGTTGATGCGCGAAATATGTATGTAGTGAACCTGGTATACAACATCAACACTCGACTAAAAGAGCGAACCGAAGACAAATAGTCTGATAGAAGGGCATTAATCAAGCCCTGTTAATTACGTCAAATAAAAAGCAAAGTCTCCCGCGACTGTTTTGTCTACATAACCTTGGAATACTGAATATATCATAGCATGGCTGCCGAGGATACAGAAGGATACTGGGATATCATCATTTCCTCGCTTCAGGATATTTGCAACGCCAATGAGTCTTTATCTTTTGATGATATATTCTCCAATCATTCAGATGCAACTTTGGCAAAACTAAGCGAGTCTGAGTTGGAGACGCTCAGGGAAGAAATCAACGATCACAAGCTCAACATCGGTACTGCCACGAGACTCATTGCTACAGCCCAGCAAAACTTGCTGACGCTTACAAGCAAACTAGAGAAAGCTCAGCAGAAGCAGGAGATTACTACGCGATCAGGAAAGCTTCAATCGGCGTCGAAAGGTGGGAAGAGAGCCAATGGAAAGAAAGGTAACAAGAAGTATGGCCGTCAATACTGGGTATCGAAATATGATCCATCAGAACCTATTGTTATTGGCTCTGAAGTTGCATTCAAGCTCAAGAACCGTCACTTCGAAGAGTGGATCCAATGTGAGGTGACTAAAATTCTTAGTGATGGAACGAGGTATGAAATCAAAGACCCAGAACCAGATGAAAATAACAACCCAGGCCAGACATTTAAGGCCAACTATAAGGAAATCTTACTCATACCGTCAGTGCTGGAAGTTCCTAATCTTATATCGTATCCCCATGGGACAAAGGTTTTGGCGCGGTACCCAGAAACAACAACATTTTATCCAGCTGTTGTTGTTGGACAGAAGAAGGATGGTACTGTGAGACTTAAGTTTGACGGTGAAGAAGAAGTCAACAAGGAAACAGAAGTTGAAAGAAGAGTGGTTCTTCCTTTCCCTCAGAGGTAATTTGATGTCTAATATGGAGCCAAAGGAGAGCAATCAAAAGAATACAAGGAGGCTTAGGGGAACAGCCTGAACCCAATGATGATACACATACAAGATAAATTACATCAGCGGCTTTACTTGTTCTGGCGACTTCAACTCAGGTGTATTCCGATCTTATCTGCTCAAGTATCCAATTACGCACATTTTGTGATTTTGCAAAGCCAACCTATAACTTCACACAGAATTGCAATTGCTACGTGTGTTAATGTTGCTTTTGGAGGTGATTCTTTTCAAGAACGATACTCGTACCTGTCAAGTAATTGTCTCATGCAAAGGCTAATCTGTGTACTTGCGCATCTGAGGTACATTGAGCCGTCGCAAGGTTGTTACATATTATGACAATCCTCGTAATTCCTTCCAAGTAATAATAACAAAATATTCACACGTCTGAGTAAACCTTCACTTTTCAAATTAAAGGTTAATAGTTCCTTCGTTCCTTCGCCAGCCAGCTGTCTGACCTGCATGTATCACACGTGACTGATATGCGATGGCCGAAAAAGAAGAGATTGAGGAAGTGGACAAGAGGGAATACACTCATCAACTAATCATGGCTGAGGAGATTGATATTGACGACTATTCAAGAGTATGTTGGTAGTTTAAGCGAATTTGATTTCGTGCTGTGTTGTTTGACAGCGTGGTTTGCGGTTGCAGGCGAGAAACTACAACAAAAGGTGCTAGGGAAATAACTTTGGGGTGCTTTTATGTTGGAGCTTTGCTGTAAGTGTACCCAACATGCGGAGAACGATGCTTTGTTTTTTCATTCAATTAATTTGAGATGCTAATACATTAGGACAGGTCTAGATCGCCTGTGAGAGACAGAGATGCTTCGCCAGGTAGAAACTCTAGAAAGGACTACCATGCTCCTCGTGGACAGGACAGAAGAGGTGGTTACTCCAGAAGAGGCAGAGACCGTGGCGACCGTGGCGACCGTGGCGACCGTGGCGACCGTGCTGACCGTGCCTTCAGAGACAGAGTCTCTCGCCGCAACAATGACCGCCGTGGAGGTGAGCGTCGTGACAGAGGCGAGAGAGGCCCAAGAAGAGGTGCTATCTCTTCTGAGGATGCTCTGACTGTTCCAGGTGACGATGAGCAACGTAGCAAGGTGGAGCGTAACTACAACAACTCCATTTTCATCGGTAACATCCCATTTGAGTCCACCGCCCAGGAGGTCGAGGAAATCTTCAAGAATGATTTTGACGTGGTGAGAACTGATATTGTCACCAGACGTGGTCTTTCTCGTGGTATGGCCACTGTGGAATTCTCTTCTGTTGAAGATGTCGAGAAGGCTATTGCCAACTTTGACCGTACTCAGTACCAGAACAGAGAAATCTTTGTTAGACAGGACTACCCTCCTCCGGAGGACAGAAGAGAGAGAGAGTCCACCAGAACTGCCACCACTGCCATTGATGAAGACCGTGAGCCAAACCCTGAGGTTTTCGTTGGTAACTTGCCTTACACTACTTCGTGGCAAACTTTGAAGGACCAGTTCAAGTCAGTTGGTTCAATTGTACGTGCTGATGTGCTCGTCGACCGTCAAGGTAAGTCTCGTGGTTACGGTACTGTTGTTTTCAGAAGCACTGAAGATGCCCAGGCTGCTATCGACAGGTTCAACGGTACCTCTATAGAAGGCCGTAAGATCGACGTTCGTTTCGCTAGAGAATCGAAGAAGTCTGCTCAGAGCGGCAGCACCAAGAAGAACACTGCCTTGACTGAGGGTGTTATTGGCGATGGTGAAAGATCCAAGACCATCTATGTCAGCAACTTGCCTTACATCACCACCGAGACAGACTTGTATGATCTCTTTGAGACCGTTGGTCATGTTACCCGTGCTGGTATCCAATTGGAAGCGCGTGGAAGAGCATCCGGTAATGCCGTGGTTGAGTTTGAGATTGAGGACCTCGCCGACTTGGCTATTAAGAACTTGAACGGTTACAATTACGGTGGCCGTCCATTGCAAATCAGCTTCGCCCAATTCCCTACCGATGCTGATATGGCTGAAGAGTAAGCTATTTGCTCTAGGTAAACTAAAATAAACTTTAAATTAACGAAAAAGATTCTTTATTAGCGTAGCGCACACACACACCTGTATGATACCGGACTTATTCCAAGAAATTGATTCCATCCCTTACTACCAACTACATCAATATGTTCGATACTTTCATAAATTTCTTCAGTGGCTTTTATAATTACATTCGTCCCATCTTATGGCTCGTCATAATAGTGGTAATTGCATGTGTGCTTTACCTCAAACGCAGAGAATTGCCGACCGCTTTAGATCGGTTGAGAAATAGCCGGCTTTGGTACAACCGAATGGAACAAAGTTCCCTGTTCGAAGGAGACTTGGAGAGCGGTTTATCTAGCGGCAACTTCGATCTATCTGGCAACCTTGCAGGGGACTCGAGAAAGGGCCTTGATGAGAACGCTAAAGCCGAGATTCGGAACATCATGGATACACAGAACGTGTCATTTGACGAAGCCCGTCTTCGTTACTTCCAATCAAGCCTCTCCAATAACGGAGTAGGCAGTGACGGTGTTCCTACGGATCGTCGTACGGTTACTTTCGATCGTTTTCAGGGGAACTACTAAGGTAACTACTGAGACAAGTGTACCGCTATACATCCAGAATTGATGTGTTCCATTGGGCAGTCAAGTCGGAATCTTGGAAGTCGGTGGAATGAATTAAAGTAACTTGAATGAATTGAGCTCGTTAGGCTGTCCGTCCATGAATTGGTATCGGTTGTGGTGTGGAAGTCCGACGGGTATAGTGTCCGTTAGAGAAGGAGACAAAAGGTGTTCTTTCTTTTATATATTGTTTGCATGGTAAAGTGATATGATTGAGTGATCAATTACTCGTTTTGTATTTGAAGTCATGGTAGTTTTGATGTATACGTAGTTTATGATATCCATAGTGTATTCGAGGTTTGTAGAATGGCTGCGAAAAACTATGAAGATCTCAAAATGGAGAACAATTGTGGATCTCGATCCAATTGTCAACCTTCTAGCATAAATGCAAAACAAACTTTTTGCATACTTGAAATACCCTATTATAGCAGCCGAAAATCGACTCCTCCCTAAGGTAATACTAACAGCCCCCAAATCCCCTCCAATGCCTTCCTTTGCTTCCATTGACCTCTAGGTGGGGTGATTTCTAAGGTCCAAGCATTACGACTCAAAATTTCTGAATAACGGTTGGTGACATACGATATCAGTTCTATTGCCAAGACATCTTCGACGAAGAATATCATACTTTCGTCGACTTTCCAACTACTCCTACTCTACAAAGTCAGGTTGTGGTATCGCGATTGGTATGCAATGTAATGTTCTCTCGCGTAAGCGAATGTAAGTACCTGTCGTCTCCAGTCAGACACGGTATGCATCTTTGTTTATCAATAACTGGTTTGGGGTTTCCTTCATCGTGCCCAGGCTCGTCTTTATGGTCCGGATTGTCAGACACAATTCAGAGGTGGAGGCTTGAGCGGTTGTTTACTTTCACGCCTAATCGGGAAACGGTATCAAAAACATCAATTGTCTATACATGTACAACGATAAAACCACACTTCTTTAACAAAACTAATCTAGTTACAGTGCAATGGACATTTATAAGAGGTACGCCTCGGGCGAACACGACAAGCAATATTTCCAGAAGAAAGACCACGAGGAGTTCATCAAGCTACGACCTTTACTGGGACATTTTGACAATCTCGGTCCCACCACAACTGCAAAGCCTGTGCTGTACTGGCAAGAGCTATTCCCCAAAGCTGCATTTTTTGCTGGCTTCGATCCAGACCTTTTTGGCCATGTCGTAACGGTCGTCTATAAGAACGACGTAACCCTGAAGATAAGTGCTATTTCACTCACCAAGTTCGGTTGCAATGTTTATGAGAACCTCATCCTCGATGTTCGTCTGCGTTTCTGGCCAGCTTGCGAGAACTTAGATGAGCAACACAAAGATTCGAATGTCAGAAGAGCTCTTGCGATTGCCAATTTGAAGAACCATAACCAGCTTTATTTTAATACAGAAAGCTTCCAATCACGCTGGGATGAAACAAACGCAGGAGCTTTGGCTAGCTCTATGGATGTTCTTACTGGAAAAGTCCCTTCTGCACTTGGAGATCAGCTTCTTTCACTTGGAATGCTTCAAGAACACTGGATCCCATCTACGCTTATGGATGTGGTTTACGACTCGAAAACGCCTTTGAACGGTGAAAAGACAATTGAAGAAAACAACAAACTTGTATTTGCGCTAGGAAAGCAAATGGATCAGTTGTTTGACCCACTACTTGAATACTCCCCTCAGGCAATGGACTATCATTATACTGCTCCTCAGAATCCACAACCGACGTTGCTTCACGCAAATGCACAAGTCGAAAAAGTGTTGAATGAATTATATGACGTTCAGGCAAATTATGCAATGGATTTAATTGCTATATTGCAGGACTTGATAAACCCGTTGAGAGCTAAAGTTCTCTCAACCAACTCCTCTGTGGGCATACAGAAAGTCAACTTAATTTTCCCTCCTACGGTCGATGAGATCTGTCGTATCAATTGCATTCTCCATGACTCGCTCACTCGTGCAAAACAATACGGTTACGTGGAAATCTTTCAAGTCTTCGAAAACATCCTTCCGTACTTCTACAAAGCTTTTGTCAGACACGAGGCCAACCTACGGAACTTCCACTCGCGTTTGGCAAAGTTCTTAGAGAAAGAATCAAAACTCTTGGACTCACCAGATATCAACAGAGGAAAGTTCTCAGCAAGGACTATCGAGGCCATCGTATCAGGGTCTATATTAGAGCTTCCAAGAATCAAACTTATTCTCAAGAGACTTCAATCTACCATCGAATTGGAAAAGTCCAAGCTTCAGAACTTTGAAAATATCGAAGACCATGAGCAAACGCTAGTTACAAAGGCTTTTGAAACATGTGTACAAATTATCGACAGTTTTGGTTACAAGGAAGAGCAGGATGAGAAGCCTATCAGTAATCGAGTCTTCACTCCATCTGGAAAACTTCTTACGGAAATTGCTACTGAATGGCCCGTGGAGCTTCAATATGGCTGGATTAATAGAAAGGTCATTGGCGTTCATGAACTCAAAGAAGTGATTTCTACTCCAGCGCATTCGCAAATCCTCATCATCTTTTCAGACAGCATTCTTTTCCTTGATGTCTTTCACACTGGAGATAGCTCTTCTATCCTGGTACCTTCCGTATTGATGAATTCATTGGTAAATGAAAAGCCATTACCAAGGCTTTCTCAGTTCCCTCTGTTGAAAGTAAAATTCTGGTGCTCAATTTCAGATGTTCTCATAAAGGGATATCTGCACGATGAAGACAATTATGTTTCCTTCATGGCCTTCGGTGAATCAGGATTCAAGGATCGTAATGGTCTTCAGCTTAATTCGATGCAGAACTTTAAGGTCTTAGATGGAGGCGAAGAAACCTTGATGGCCTCGATCCAAAAGGCCAAGGTACTCCACAAGGTAACATCTTTTCATCTTTTCAACGATGTGGAAGGTAAGATTCTGCGCTTTTACTGTGCTCATGAAAGGCAAGCATACAAAACGGAAGTTTCTACTTCACCAGTGGTGATGCTACTTAACCTTAATCACGATGAAATTGAAAGGATCTTCGAGGACCATCGTCATGTCTTCTTAGTTCTTAATGCCTCATTTATCAATCACCACACTGTTCATATTTCTGGCCACGACAGAACGAAGGAATACAAGGTTGAAGAGATAGTGGGCATCAATGAGCTCAGAGCATCTTTGAGGGAGATACTTTCAAAAGCTCTTGATGTGTTCTACCATTCCACGTTCTTCTCAAAAGTTCTTATTGAAGGAAATGGGCGCTGTCTTGAATATTTTGTTGACCGCTTTGCTAAGGAACCTACCGAGAAAGAACTCCCCAAGGTGGAAGCTGCCCCGCTAGTACAGACGCCAGACCGCACAGACCAGAATCAGGTTAGCAATTCCGGCCTTGAAGATGAGAAGCTAGAGAAAGAACAGTTGTCTAAAACTAAAGAAGAATCGAGGACGTATCTGGTAGATACTACTTCGGAATCGGGTGTGAACTGTGGGCCTCGCCTGTTGTTCAGAGGGTTGATACAGAGATTCAAGAGCAAGAAGCTGAATAAGAAAGCTCTTAGTACCCGTCTTTCTCCTGAACAACGGGAACAAGAGAACAATAAGAAGATTCCAGAGACTGAGATCCCAAGGGGAAAAAGACAAGTTTACAATAGCATCTACAAACCAACGCCTGTCCTTCGCGAGAACTCAGTGTCTTCAACTCCAAAACAAGAGCAGGAGTCCAAGCAACGCAATGTTTCTACTAATACTGGATCCTCATCACACTACACAAATACCTCTTTGGACATCCAGTCGAATTTCCAATTTCCTTTGGGAACTGTTGATGAAAAGGCTGAGCCAGAGGATATTTCTTCAGTGAAGCACGCAAACAACCCCGTTGATACGATGAAGAATATCGATGAAGAGCCAATTGCAGCTCCTTCTGAAAAACAAACAGAAGAAAAACCTATGGTGAAGACAGAGGAGGAAGCAGCAGAAACCCAGGTCTTGCCTAAAGCGAACACAGCTCCAGAGCCTCCACAACATCGTGTGCAGAATGATAAGAAACTCTTCAACGACGGTAATATTCCAGCACCTCCAAAAAAGAGAATTTTTTCCAGCCAGGATATTGCCAACGCTTTAGAACACATTAATGCTGCGGGCATTTCGCCTCACACCTACGCAAAGTACAAGAAATACGAGGAGTTGCCAACTAACAACTTCTATAGCGATGGTGAGGCTAACTGGATTACTGTCACGAGAGAGGACTCTTCAAACCTACAGAGGGAAGTCAGAGCGATGAAAGAAGAAGTCAATATGGACACGCTTGATGTTATTGATGTGGGAAGTAATGGCTCGCCATTGCGCATGGTACCCCAGCAGATACGATATGATTCCAGTGAAGGTACTATTTCTACGAATGACGGAATCGACGCTGAGCTCAGTCAAGAAACAGTGAAGGCTAACGATGCTAATCAGCCTCTTGCCCCAGCAAAAGCGATTGCTCCTTTGCCTAGTGAGCAGTCCGAGGAATCACTTAACTCTCTTCAGTATATGAACGAGTTTGGTAAGAAGCTTGATGAGGGCTTTGATCTCGAAAATCTGTGGGACCAAAAGTCTTTGCCTTTCACGATGGATACTTTGGTTGTCCCAGAGAACAAAGCAGTGCCAGAGGAGACACCAGCTCAGGATCTTAGTTCACTTACTACATCATCAGAAGAATATTTTTCGCCTGATGAATACGACTACGTGACGGCACTTAGGGATGAGTATTTGGGCATTGACATGGCTAACACTGTGACCCTGTCCTCAAGCGAGAAAACTCTCATGAATGTTGCCAGGGAGGTTGAAAAAGAGGATGAAGATAAAGGTTTTCAGATCAAGTTTGACTCGGTCGCTTATCTTTCTGATATTCTCAACGGTACAGTGAAGATTTAATAGATTAATGATATGAAGTTTGGAATTGAAATAGATATATTTGTAACTTTTAACATTGCTATAATAAATAACAGGCATTTTTCTAATTTAAATATACAATCTAAGCCAGCAAGAGCTTCTTGACCTCAGTCACGATGGCATCACCCACTTCCTGAGTGGAGCTGGTGCCCTTCAAGTCTGCGGTTCTAATACCAGAGTCCAAGACGTTGCTAACAGCCTTCTCCAAAGCCTCAGCTTCCTTAACAGCGTCCAAAGATAAACGCAACATCATAGAGGCAGACAAAATGGTAGCGACAGGGTTAACCTTGTTCTCAGGCAAGTCAGGGGCAGAACCGTGACAAGGCTCGTACAAGCCGAAGGCCTTGTTAGTGTCTGGCAAGGATGCCAAAGATGCAGAAGGTAAAAGACCCAAAGAACCAGGAATCACAGAAGCCTCGTCAGAAATAATGTCACCGAACATGTTGGAAGTGATGACAACACCGTTCAATTTAGTAGGGTTCTGCACCAAGATCATAGCAGCGGAATCAATAAGCTGGTGGTTGATCGTCAATTGAGGGAATTCTTCGCTCATGACTTTGTCGACAGTTTTTCTCCACAATCTAGAAGATGCAAGCACATTGGCCTTGTCCAAAGACCAGATAGGCAAAGGTGGGTTGTGCTGCAAAGCCATGAAAGCAGCCATTCTTGTGATTCTCTCAACTTCAGAGACGCTGTACTTCTCAGTATCCCAGGCGCTAGTGCCGTCAGCAGATTCTTCCTGTTCTTGTCTTTCACCAAAGTAGATACCACCAACCAATTCACGAACGACAGTAAAATCGGTTCCCTTAACCACATTGGACTTCAAAGGAGAAAGCTCCAAAAGCGAGTCGGAAGCGAAGTTACATGGTCTCAAGTTGGCATACAAGGCCAATTCCTTACGAATCTTGAGGAGACCCTGTTCTGGTCTAACAGCACCAGTGCCCCACTTTGGACCTCCAACGGCACCCAACAAGACGGCATCAGACTTCTTAGCAGCTTCAAGAGCCTCATCAGGCAAAGGAGAGCCAGTCTTGTCAATAGCAGCACCACCGATCAAGTGTGTCGAGAAATTGAACTTGATTTGTTGGTGAGGAGTAGTTTCTTCAATAGCTTTCAAGACTTTGACAGCCTCGTTGACGACTTCGGTACCGACGTGGTCACCGGGAAGGAGAACAATGTTTTTTTCAACCATGATAAAGAGTAGTAGTTTTGAAGACTTTGGATGTCAATTTGCGCCGGGTATGAGGCTCATTTATAGGCCGTGGAAAAAGTGAGGCCGGCAACGGCGCCGGTACCGGGGCGCGCTACAATGAATTTTCAACACTGTTAAGTGTATCGTAACTATAGACAAATCAAATATAATATGTAAACTCCGCTGTCAAAGGGCGCAGCGACCCTATCTGTGTTCTGTAATTCGTCTCTTCGTTTCCACATTCGAATAACCATCGATTTAAAACCTTAATGTCCACTCCATTCAATAGTGTTCAAATCAATTCCCTCTTGCACCATCTCCCACAATGGAGACATCTTTCTCAAGAACTCCACTCTCTCATTGATGGCACGAACGACATAGTCGATTTCGGCCTCAGTGGTGAAACGGCCAATACCGAATCTGATGGATGAATGGGCCAAGGCGTCATCAGCGCCCAAGGCATGCAAGACGTAGGATGGCTCCAAGGAGGCGGAAGTACAAGCGGAACCGGAAGAAAGGGCAATATCCTTCAAGGCCATGAGCAATGACTCACCTTCGATGTAGGCGAAAGACACATTCACACAGCCAGCATACTGCTTGGTTGGGTCGGACAAAACACCGTTGAACTGAGTCTCAGGGATAGACAACAAGCCATCTCTCAACTTGGTGGAAAGTCTCTTGATGTAGGCCTGGTCGTAAGCCATGTCCTGCTTCATAAGTCTAGCGGCTTCACCGAATCCGCAGACCAATGGTGGAGCCAAAGTACCTGATCTCAAACCTCTCTCCTGACCACCACCAGTGATGATAGGATCCAATCTCACTCTTGGACGTCTTCTAACGTAACAGGCGCCAATACCCTTAGGACCATAAATCTTGTGAGAAGAAATGGACAACATGTCAATGTTCATCTCGTTGACATCGATAGGGATTTTACCATAGGCCTGGGCGGCATCAGTGTGGAAGAAGATCTTGTTCTCTCTGCAAATCTTACCGATCTCCTTAAGTGGCTGGATGACACCGATTTCGTTGTTGACAGCCATGATGGAGACAATAGCAGTATCCTTTCTGATGGCCTTTTTCAAGTCATCCAAGTTGATCAAACCCTCGTTGCTAACTGGCAAGTAGGTAACTTCAAAACCTTCGTCTTGCATGTGTCTAGCGGAGTCCAAAACACACTTGTGTTCGGTTTGGGTGGTGATGATATGTTTCTTGGTTTTCTTGTAGAATCTGGGGACACCCTTGATGCACATATTGTTGGATTCGGTAGCACCCGATGTGAAAATGATTTCTTTTGGATCAGCGTTAATCAACTCGGCAACATGGGAACGAGCCTTTTCGACTTCCTTTTCAGTTTCCCAGCCGTAGGCGTGGGTGGAAGAATGTGGGTTACCATACAAACCAGTGTAGAACTGCAACATCTTGTCCAACACACGAGGGTCTGTTGGAGTGGTAGCCTGGACATCCAAATAAATAGGTCTGGTACCAAACTTTGAGTCGTCTCTAGTAGCCAGCTTTAATGATATCAGCGAACCTTCAGGGGCAATAGCCACTTCAGGAGGTGGTGGAACAGCTGTGGCTAAAGAGCGTGCGTTGGAACGAACTGGCACAGTTGTGGAGAGCCGACGAGTGGCCCTTGATAAGGTGCCTGAGCCTCTCACTATTTTCGTAAACATTTTAAGTCTCAGATGAGTTGATGAAGAGAAAACAAGGAGAACTGAGATTCCGAAGAGTGACCCACCGTATTTTTTAATGCTCTTTTTTTTCTTTTCCTTTATACTAATTAGTAATGAGTGAGAGTCCGTTTTTCTATCCCGAGATCCGTTCGCGGTGCGGTCGTGTACTACTCACACTGTCAAAGGCGAGGCTTCACTATGGAGTGGAGACCATGACTTTTGCCAGTGCGCATCGAGCTGAGACCCTGTGGCAGCTTATTAAGACATTGTGGCAGGCCAGGTCTAGGTCAGATATTCCCTTCGTGACGTCATGTGACACCGGGTCATACCTTTCGCATTATCCTCCACCATTGTCTTCTCGACCTCATAACGTGCAGACTTTGCAGCCAAACCCTGGATACTCTATCACTCAAGGGCCTTCTGATCCTTGACATATTTGTCTAGAACGGAATGAGTCAATTCGTAGCATCCCAAGAAAATCGCTCCACCAGCACTGATCCAAGCAGTTCTGGGTCCAACACCGCTCAAAAACACCTTTGGACCTTCTTCTTTAATCATCTGCTTGACCAATACGGTAACAGCAACTCTTTCTTTGTTTAACATAATACGTGTCTTAATCACATCAAGCGGTGTTGTAGCAGCGGCAGCCACACCACCAGCGACAGATCCACAAAGGGCACCTTTCAAAAGGGAAATCGACTTGTTATCGTATGCGGACCAAAGCTGCTTAAGTTTCTCGTAAAGTGGGAATTGAATTATCGTAAAGGGGATTTCTCTCAAAATTGTAGAGTTCCATCCTCTATAGAGTCCACGAAGAGTTCCTTCTCCCAGCTTGTTCATAAGCAAGTACTTCAAGTTAGCCCACAGTGTTGCCTGGCCTCCCACACCTTTGTGACCTGCCTGAGTTCTCTGTTTCACAATCTCAGCTGGAACACGAACAAGGCAAGCAGCGATCTCTCCAGCAGAGGCAGCGAGCATGTGGCTTGCGGTTTGGGGCATTTTGTCTTTGGTGGTAGTCTTCAACGTATCGTAAGTAACGAAGAACAACGATGCCGAGGGGGCCAGCGCCACGACAGCAGAGCCTAAGCCCTTGTAGATTCCATGCCAGCCACCATTAGCGAAGAAACCACCTTTGGCTTGAAGTCTGGTCTTTAAAGTATCTATAGGAAAGAATGCGAGATCGGTACTAGTACCGGCACATCCACCACTCTGAGATTAGCAATTAGGTTTAAAATTAATGAAATGCAAAGAGACATACGATCAATGAGATCAAGAAGGAAGTGTTATCCATTGAGTTGTTCCCGGGCGAAGGGTAGTTCTGGTAAATGCAGCAAAAGAGTGTGGGTTGCAGTTATGCGGTCCTTGGGACACCGAGATTTCGAGATTTTTCACACCGCGACTACTAGTGTAAGAGTCGAAACGACAGTGAGCCGTACGGAGATAAACAAGCGGGTGTGGGCATGCTCCAGTTCTGAACTCCTCAAGTCTTTCATTTTATCTAGGGCAAACGATGAACTTGTTTTTGGAAATTCTCTTTTTCTTAGCATATTTCAAAATGATCGAGTCGGCTTTCTTTGTGGGAGGTATAAAGGCTTCGATAAATGCAAGAAACTCGTCGTAATCCCATTCTTTCAACATTTGAAACAACTCTTTGATTCGCGTGTGTAGGTCACTCGAAAGCATTTCTGAATTGAGATATCTGATTTTGCCTATTTCTGGGCGACAGAATCTGCCTCGAAGAAGCGATAAGTCCAAGGAAGCATTAAAGAATGGCGGGAGGCCCAGTTTCCACTTGAGCATGAACTCTTTCTCAGTAAGAAGAGCAGGCGACGCATTCTTCATCGTCTCTACTCCAAACCACCAGGCACACTTGGCGTGATTTAGCGTAAACTTACCTGGGGATGTTTCATCGCCAAATCTATGGGATATAGTGCAAACAAAGTCTTCCGTTAGCTTGGGATCCTGAACCAAACACCGCTTTGCCAACGTATCAAAATCAAACTCTTGGTCTGCTTTCTTCTCGGAGAGCAAGACTGATATAACTGTGTAAAGTGCTTCTGTAACAAAGCTTGGTTCAAGAATCACAGCACGGCCATCTACCTGGCTACCGCATAACCCGTACCATTGCAGGTAGAAATGTCCTTCATCTATAGGAGAATCATTTTCAAGCTGCTCCATAGTCTTGCTCTCTTCGGCATTGCCGCTTGGATACGTCGGTATATTGGCTGTATCAATGTAACCTTTCAGTTTCGTGAGTTCGTACATGTACGAAGACCGGTCAATCGCCACTAGGGCTGATTCAGGACCAGTGAATTTTGTACCAAGCTGATTAATGTTCATATCGTTCATGAGAAGCATTGTGTTGGAGTGGTTCATTTGACGCATGGTATAAGTTTCATCATCAGTGCAAAGCACCAAGTGGTTATCCACCAGCTCTGGTGATCTGATTGTCAATTTTCCCTTGTTTTCCTCTATGTACTCAACAAGCTCATCCAGAAGCTCCATGAGCTTATACTTGCGGTCATTCAGCCACTGGACTTGGCTGTACGCGTCAAAGGACATGGTGATGGTTGGAACCAAATCTGCGCGTTTCCAGATGTAGATGGAGTATTACAGAGCGTGATGATGGAACAACCAGTACACACAATATTCTCTATTTAACACCAAAAATTTTGTTAAAGAAATCGCCCGTCTTGATAAAAAGTATCTTTTTCATTCCATCGGCACCTACTTTTGTCTAATGACAGTGCCTACAAGATAGCTTCATGATAGATTTGTATTGAAAACCCTCTCAAAAGTAAATAATAATATGGATGATTACTGAAATGTCGATTATCCGAAAAGGATACTTTCAGTTCACGAATTGTAATGGTCTATGTGGATTTCGAGAACGAAGGCTGGCAACAGTGAACAAAGTGATTCTTGTACCAACCCTGGGCCCTCTGTTACCATGAAGAGATACCTTGACGCTAATGGTAGCTACGGGTAGCCCATAATGCACGTAGAAAACTAAGGATGCCGTTTAAGCATGCCAAATAAGCCATCTTCCTTAGTTAAGCTCACCGATGTGCTTGTCGATGTCAATTTCCTCCAAAGACACATGACCAGCCAAGGTGATTGGCTTCTTCATCTCACGCTCATACTGGATTCTCTCCAAACGAGCCTTTGGACTCCAGCCATTCACAGGGGCGACCAACTTGAAAGGAGCAATCCAGTTGTTGACAGTCTTGAAGTTCTCACCCAAACTGTAGATTTCATGAACCAAGTCTTCCACACAGATAAAGCCAAGGTCTTCGCCAAAAGTATCTTCGACGACCTGGTTGTTATCCAACTTTGAGAAGCCAGATTCACTTTCTGGGTTAGGGAAGGAAGCTCTCTTCTGGAAAAGCTCACGCACAGAGGCAAGCGATGGCTTACCCACGACAATGTATGGAGCGATGAGCTTCAAAACTGGAAGGACAGTAGGAGTGACGTTAACAAAAACGCCCATGTTCTCCTCGGTCAATCTCAACACTTGGAGAACAGCCTTGGCCTTCTCGGGGATGGTGAGATGCTTATTGATGTTTGGGATTCTGATGATAAACATGAGCTTTGGGTCTTCTTCCTTCTTCTGGCTAATTTGGCGCTGCTCGTGTTTCAAGATACTGTCCATACGCTTCTTTTCAATGAAAGCAGCTTTATTCTTCATGGCCAACTTCTCAGCTCGAAGAAACTTATCCTTTTGAACAAGACTCTGCTTCTTCTTTTTTTCAGCCTCGACTCTAAGCTGCTCCAGCTTTTCGATTCTCTTTCTGTCGGCATTCTTTCTCTTTTTCAAGAGAACTTCCGGGTTGTTATTAAGGACAGCCATGGTGAATGTGGTAGTTTAGTGGAGATGAGACTAGCGAAAATTATCTGCGATGCGACCGATGAGCCTGTGTAGGTGCACCATACTAGGGAACAGAGTCCACCACACATCCAGCGATGAAGAGAAAAAGTAACTATTTAAAGAGTACTTTTCTACCCAGTGATCAATAAGACGCCAGATTATGGCGACGTTCCGTGATATTATACCTCAGTCGAGTCTGCCTCTACGAGGCAGCCTCAAGGTATCCTCTAGGTAGCCTCTAGGTAGTCTACACTACATCCAAAAGAAACGGCCATGAGCCTCACCATAGAATGGAAACCGCTCCAGAAACATAGAACCCTCGGCAGATCCGCCGCATCATAGCCCAGTTGTCGTGGTTTCGTACCGACATGGGACCCTTGTCTCATCATGTATGGCTAACTGGTGGCTGCAAAACGCACCTCAGTCTTTTTTTCTTCCCCCAGAGGCTCAAAGTCATTCTCTCCTCCCACCGTAACCCCACACCCATTCATTTCTTTTTTTACTCTTCCAAGCCATACTGGCACCTTCCCAGCCTCTGCTCCTCTTTTTCCCTCTTTTTTTCGTGTCCAGCATTCTATTAATACCCCAGGGGGCCACGCAAACCTCACCGTGTATCTCGCTTATTCCCCCCAGTCTCATTTAGCTCTGGCAGATCCCTCACACCGATCAAACACGCTTCCGCCCCGAAACCGATAAATTACTACGGAATGCACCATTATTGTTCCATCCTTTTTTTCCTCCCTCGCCCAGGAATTACATCCCAGACCCTGACAACTTCGGTCACCGCAAGTGTTCCATTGTAGCCGGCCACTATTGTTAATTGTGGGTGAACAAAATGCATTATTGTTAAGCACGGCCTTTCCGCAACCGAAACTTTGCTTGGACAAGGGTCTCATTTGGTAGAAGTAGGAATTCCTGGGGGCTCCTGGGGAGTAGCTGAAGCAAAAAGAAAAAAACTGTGTAGATCGTTTGGGTGCAAAATTCATGTCTGTCGCCAAATAGCCTGCACTGCTTCGAGGCCACGGGCCTCAATATAGACTTCTTGTGAAACAGCCCAACGCTCGATGCAACATAGTTCATCGGCGCCTCCGTGCCGGGACTCCATTGATACTTGCTGGCCCAGATTCTTCTTCATGGCGTGGCATTGTCTGGTTCCATCATGTGCAGATGACTTGTAAAAAAAAAAAAAAAAAAAAAGTAAATTCATAATAAGCCCTAGCGGTATCTCGCGCAAGGCCTTCTTCCGTCACCTCTGCCCCCTGTACAGCCATATATGGCAGCGTGGTGATTCGCCCAGTACATCCAAGGGAGTTTTCGTGTCAGAGGAAGAAACTGCTCTTTCTTCAAAGGCGACAAGCTTTTTGCTAAGTCTAACTTTCAGCCTTTTCCTTTCTTTTTTGTGTCCTTCGTCTTTTGTGTACTTCTGCGTGCCCTGACAATTGGACCCTGTCTCATCCCGGAGCATTGCATTCTGGGACTGAACTCTCCGCAGAAAAGCCAAAACCATATCTCATAAACCGAAACAAGAGCCCAAACTTTATACCCCCAGTCCTTCTTTTGACTCCCACGCTCCTTTACCCCCTTACGACCCTTTCTTAGCGTCCCGCAAAACCTCCTTCGCATGGATAACCTGGGAAGACAGTTTCCGTTCGGGTTCAGTCCTGAAAGACCGAAGCTGGAGGAAAACTCTGACCAACAATATCGACAATACCAGCAGCCATACCAAGGTCCAAATCGTCCTCCTCAAGGCCCTCCGCCTGCTGGTTTCCAGTCTCAGATTCCGTCTTCGATCCTGCCATATCAACAACAACCAAGGCCCTATTATCAACAGTTTCAATACTACCCGCCACAACAAACACCTTCTGCCCCTGACAGCCAAAACTCAAGTAGGACAAATGTTCCTCATTTATCTGCTCCTTACCAGGCTCCTTCTGTTTTGAACCAGGGCCCGCCTGTGCCTCCTGTACCTCCAATGGCTCATGTGCCTCAAGGACCCCCAGTGCCCCAAATGCCTGTCTCCCTACCGCCTCATCAAGCTCTGTCAAAGAATATGGGTTACCCGGTATCTCAAGAGATGTTTCTGCTGTATCCATTACCTGACCAGCCCGGTATCCCACTCGATACACCACCATCGAGGTCTAGCGATATCGTACACAAGATAAGGGCCTCAGAGCCTACCCAAGAGGAGTTTGTTGACCATCTTAAGATGCTCACAACCAGAGCTGCCGGCATCCCTTTATCCCAATTGGCTCATAAGATTAAGATGCTAGAATCCGGTAATCCCAACATCGATACCGATCCCCTCTTTAAAACTTTGAATAATGCCAAAGACATAAAACAGGAAAGACATCATCAACTTTATGGAATGGCTTGGGTTCAGAGCATGTGTGAATCCTCACCCACAGCAGTAGTCCCTCGAAACAGAGTTTACGCCCGCTATGTGCTGCTGTGTGCTAACAATAATCTTAATCCATTAACCCCTGCCAGTTTTGGCAAAATAATTCGCATATTGCATCCTAATCTTAAGACTCGTCGTCTTGGAATGCGTGGGAAATCAAAGTATCATTATTGTGGTATCAAACTTTTAGATGACCACTCACTGGATAACTCTGGCCTGTCGGCCTCCTCGCCAGCAGGTTCAGAATCTCCACAATCAGGAAACCCACAAACTCCAACATATTCTAGATCGCCTTCGATTCCTAGCGGTAGAGGCACCCCTATCCATTCTGCCGCCGTTCGTGAGGCCTTCGTGGTAAATGGCTTTAAGTATATTCCCAACTTGTTCTCTTTAATTGATCAGTCGATGGGCCCGGAATGGATGGCACAACCCTTCACCTTACCACCTATTCATGACTATCTACCGAAGGACCTGGATGTGGATTACGATATTGCCGAAACTTTGCATTCGCTTTATCGCGTTCATTGCATGTCTATCTTTGAAACTTTAAGATACATGCAAGTGGAGAAAATGTTATCGCTCTTTGCTCCCTTTTTTGCTGTCTTAACTACTCCAGTCTTTAGACTTTTCACGGCTGAGTCTACTTTGGAATGGGTGAAGGCGTCGGATTTGGCCATGTATAGAGCGATGCTCAAAATGTTGACCAGATTACAACTAGAATCTGTTCCAGATGAAATCATGGCTCCTTTGAAACTTATTGTGAAAGAGTTTGTCAACAAGCTTTCAACTACCCTCCAATCCAAATTCCCGCAGAACTTCGTACAAATGAAGTTGACAACAGCACGGCAGTTTATATCCATGGTACGGAGGTTTGTCCGTTGTGTTGAAAACGGAACCTCTGCATCGAAGGTTCTCTCTAATCAAACAGAAAGATCCCTCATGCTTAATGATTGGCTACGAGTGGACACATTTGAGATCCTTCTCAGGGAAGTACCATGTGCCACGGAAAACATGGATTTGTTCAATGAGATTTTCAACGACAGAATTATCAAGCTTTTTGAAGAGGAGTCTCCACAGGCTAACTCGCTCAAGGCAAGCGGGCTCGCACCCTACGCCGCCTTTCTTCTGGAACTTCCTGCCAAGTTCCCAGATACCACACCATGGCTCTTTCAACTTGTATGTTCAAATTTACTAACCACATGTCTTCGTGAGATGAGTTTAGCCGGAGGGCAGAGTTTTGGTTCCTGGTGGGTGTTTCGATGCTGGGCTGATGAGTACGTCAATTGGTTCTTTGAGCTCGGTGGTTACCTTGCAGACGAACTTGAGTCCTCCATGCCTCAGAACCCTGAGGAAGAGGAGCTTCCAACACAAGATTTGGAATCTACAAGCGCCAGCTGGGCATTTGAACCAGTCGTGACTGAGAGTCTACGCTCGTCTAGTTTCGTCGATTTGCTAGACAGGCCAAATGGAGACAGCAAATCGTATTCTGAGACCGAGTGGTTTTAGAGGCAGACCAGCACCCAAAAGTTTTATGTGTATTCATATGGAAACGAAGTATACGTAACAAAAGTATTATGAGATCTTTTCTTTTAAGTTTCTGTAGTCCTTGTATCAGGGAAGCGACGCGAAACAGTTTTGCAGCCATTTTAACATCTCTTCTTCTTCACCCCAAAATGGCAGAATTTCAGACATTCAACAAAGTAGTGACCAAAGGCCCGGTTCTAAATCAAAGCGCCTCTGAACTCGTGTTAAAAAAGGCTGTTGGGAAAGGTGAACCTCTCATGACTTTTACACCCAAAGCTCGAGAGTACCACCCAACTATATCGGGGATGAAAAGATGCCAAAACTGTGGGACAGTTATACCCAAATTTGTCATAATAAACTGTCGAAAATGCTTAGCTATCTCTTACTGCTCTACAATGTGTCTTGTAAAGCATAGAAATGAAATACACCAATACGAGTGTGATGTACTTAGACAGCTCGTTGATTTGGAAGACTTAGAATGTACCCCAAGGGCGATCATCATAACAAGGCTTCTAATAGTTTCTCAGTCAAGCAAAGACTTTAGAGGCTTTATGAAGAATTTAAAAGTTAACGGTCACAATTCGTTGCTCAGCTACAGAGAACTGCAGTTTCTTGGTCTTCTCTATGATCCTCAGGATGTCAAGAACGCCCAAACAATGTACAATTGCCATAGCCGTCCATTACTTAATAGTAATTTTGAAACTGTCGGTTCCTACTTTGAGCCCTCGTTTGCCACAATACCGCATTCTTGTGACCCTTCAACAGTTGTCATGCCGTTGTCACCACAAAAGTTCGAGGTCGTCAGTGCAAGGAAACTACTAGATGGGGAGACTCTATCAGTGAGTTACATAGCTGTTGACCAACCCAAAGCTATACGTCAGTGTCAATTGCTTCTGTTATACAATATCAGATGCGTTTGTTCTTTGTGTGAAAGTAATACTCTTGATCCATTCGTATCCTTTAGTTGCCCGAGCTGCCAAACTTCAATTTATGAAATAGACATTGATAACATCTTGTCTTCCTTTAAATCAAATACAGCGATCGAGGACTCTAAAAGGACAATATGCCGTTCATGTGGAAGGGAACAGACTCGAAACCAGATAATGGAAGCAAAAGGTATCTACAAAGAAGTTCTTTTTGAGCTCCTTAGACATCATCGCATATCGCCAAAACGAGGGCATCAAAATCTTTCAATTAGCAAAATTGTGAAGGAGTTAATTGATGGACCAGCCAAAAAACCGTTGTCGGATAAGAGACAGGCGTGCTTCCTCAAATTGATACAGAAATCAAGCAAGACAAAAATGATGTCCCCATATTGCTTTCCTATTAACCTTTTATATAAATCTGTCGCGGAACGGTTCTTGCTGAATATTTCAGACTGCAACGGGGTAAAGGAAGGTAACCAAATGGTTAGACATTGCCTTTTTACACTCTTCCATGTCGAATTGGCAGCTCAGTTGACGGCTTACAAGCCCACGTTAGTGCACCTTTTGGAAAAGGCTGAACGCCTAATGTGGAGTTTCACACAGTTATCGAAAAATCGCTGTGAGGCCACAAGGATCAAAGCTAGCAAAGCTAGAACGTTCTTTAAGGCTCAGGCACTAGCTTTCAAGATTAGAACAAAACGAATGGATGCAGAAGCCCTTGGACTAGCAAGAAAATATCTGGAGAGTCCAGAATTATTGGACGACGATATACGACGGTGTGCTGAGCGTATGCTTCTAGCTAGCCAAGTTGCGTTAAAGGTCCTAGATGAAGGTTACTATCTTAGATTCGCAGATGGGAAGGAGGACGTAGTCTTATTTCCCTTGACGAAGTGCCTTCAATTGATGCAATCAGTCCGGCTTTCTTAAACATCATTCAATGCAACACAAACTGCTCCTTTATGGTGACCATTGTAATGTCTAACAGTTTCACTGTTGGAGAGGTCCCAAAGACGAACATAGTGATCAGAGCATGCGGTCACCAAGTAAGCACTGTCAGCACTAAACGCACAGTCCCACACCCACCTTTGATGTCCTTGTAATGTGGTTTCTAATGCAAAGTTCTGCTCTGTCAGCCAAATTCTAGCTGTGTGGTCCGCAGAGCAAGTAGCTAAATGCTTCATGTCCGTCAGGAGCACCACCCTAGTGATATACTTCAGATGAGACCTGAACTTAGTAGCTGGAGTTAACGATGTAATGTCCTTTTGGTTCTGCATTTTCCAAACGTAGCAATTGCCTTTATTATTTCCAGCCACAAGCATGCTTCCGTCACTGGCTACCGAAAGAGAATTGATAGGAACATCATCCTCTGGAATAAGATGATGCGTACACTGGTTCTCTCCCAAATCCCAGATTCGAATGTTACCATCATGGTCACAACTTATGAGTTCACCTTGGTTGGGATGGATGACGACCTCATTAACCGGACAGTAATGCTTATAGTTTCTTTGAACCGAAGGGGAACGAACATCCCAAACCTTCACTGTTCCATCTTCAGATGACAGGACCATCCATTTGTTTTCAATTTGGAAAGCTATCAGTGTGACATTGCCGTTGTGTCCTTCAAAAGTCATTACGGGATTTGAATTTGAGCTGCTCCCATTCCCGGTGCCTCCAGCTCCAGAAGCAGAAGGAGTACCCATTGTGTTACCTCCAGAAGAGCCTGCCTGTTTGATATCATATAAACGAACGTTAAGGTTTCCTGCAGCAGCTAAGAAGCGCTTATCAGAAGTGATTTCCAATCGGTTCACTTGGGAGTCTGTGTGCTGAATAGTCCTGGAACACACTCCTGTTAAGGCATCCCAAAACCGGATCGTGTGATCGTACCCAGCAGATGCTAGAATGACAGACATCGGAAAGGGTAGTAGTTATGAGTTGGGTTCACTAGTTGTATAGATACTTAGTGAGGTAAGTACTATGGCAGTTGATAGTGAAGATTATGTGTGCAGGCCACACTGTTTGAAGACCTTGAAAGTGACAAAAATGATAGCAGTGGAGTATTGAAATTTAGATAAATTTCTTTCTTTATATTAATTAAAGAGTGGCTCTACCGCATGTTTGTTTGGATTACGTGTTGCGACCGAATTGTTGGCCAATGAGCCCTCATCTCAGCCTGTCTACAAAGATTGGAACGCTATGATGCAATTATGTATAACGAATGATCTATTAATATGTGATACTTATGGTCCATGACTCTATGAACATTGGGAATAATGCTATTCTCAGGCCCAGCCTAAAATGCACTCTGAATGGCCTGTTTCTGGGCTGGCAGCAACGATGTAGGGAAATCTATCTTGTACTTGATGATAAGATCACCGTGTGCATTAGGGTCCTTGGAGTTTGGCATACCTTGGCCTGGATATCTGTTTGTGGAGGATGGCTGCACAGGAAGAGATCTGGAAACGTTGATCTTCTTACCGCTCAAGGTAGTGATGTCCTTTTCAAACCCGAGCAATGCTTCCTTAAATGACAATTTAACAGTAGCTGTCAAGTCGCTACCCTCTCTCTTGAAGACTGGATGTGGCTTTTCCTCAATGATGAATTGGACTGTCTGTCTGGCTTGACATTCACGCTGGTAATCACCTTCGTTGTTGAAGTTGATCTTGGTACCGATCTTCCAGCCAGGCTTGATCTTAATCTCCAAGATCTTGCTTTCTCTTGAACCGTCAGCGGATTTTCTGCTAAGCTTCATCTTCTTGACAGCTCCAGTGTACAACTCTTCTAGGGTACATGGCAATGAGATTGAAACGGTATCTGGTTCTGGACGACGAGAGCGGCCACCTCCGCCGCCTCCAAAGCTGCCTGGCATACCGCCGAAGCCACCACCGCCACCACCGAATCCAGAGTTACCACCAAATCCGGATCCACCGAAGCTGAATCCACCATCGTCCATACCGAAGCCACCCATCTGCGAGAAAATGTTGAAAGCATCGGACTGGGAGAACGGATGGCCTCCACCTCCACCACCGAAGGAGAAAGTAGTGCCTCCTCCGCCTGGAGCACCACCAGCAAATGGGTTTTCACCACCAGCTGGAGCATTACCTCTGGCAGCTTCTAAACCATAGTCGTCATAAACTTGTCTCTTGTCACCGTTGGACAAAATATCAAAGGCTTCGGAGATCTCCTTGAACTTTTCGGTGTCACCAGTAGGTTTATCTGGATGGTACTTGAGAGCCATTTTTCTGTAGGACTTTTTAATCTCGTTTTCGTTGGCCAGTGGGGCCACTCCCAACAAATCGTAAAGCTTTGTTTCCTTAACCATTATGTTGCGTCAATTGCAAAGAAAAGGTGTGTGCTAGAATTTAAGACAAGTCGTGTGGATGAGGAAGTCTTGATAAATGAGAAAACCGCAACACCTTGGAGAGTGCGAGATTGTTCTCGAAGGTTCTACACATGCCAGACAAAGTGTACTCGGGAATGTGAAAATTGTCTCTAAAATTCAGGGAAGACTTCTGGATGACAAGATGGTAAACGTAGCTTGATGGGCCCAGTTTCGTGTCTTCATTTGAATGATTTCCATGTCTAGCTTTCGTTGGCTGCGAAATCCTACGAACTTGCTCGCTCGATGTTGAAAATTTCGAGCGAAGATTATAACTCACCTATTTTCAATAATAGTCAAGATGCAAGTAGTTTAACCTATTTCAATGCAATTTGGCGAAGCGACTAGCACTTCACGTCGATACCTCTTCTCTTCTCTGCTTCTCTCATTTCGAACATGACTTGAACACCAACGAAAAGCGTTGCCAGGGCAAAGAAGAAGAAGCGCAAGCCTTGGGATGTACTGAACATCTCTTTTATAAGAGCAACTGTACCATCTTTACCAAGACAGAATCCGAACAAGTTGGCGATCATCATGAGCCAGATGTTGATAGATGCACCAAGGCCACACAAGTATCTGAACCAAGGTCTATCGGAATACTTTCTGAAGTACAAGGTAGCCAAAATCTCAGGCAATAAGAAAAGAACCACTAGCCACCCCCACACGAGCAATTTGAGCTCGATATCGTGCCACACAGCAACGAAACTGAACACGACCAAAGTGTTAGCTACTCTAGACTTGATCCCGCTAGATCCACCATTACCTTCGCCTCTACGTCCCCCGCCTCCAAGTGGAACATAGATGTAACGAATCACCCACTTATTGTAAGAACGGTGCCATGCTCTCCAGAAAGCAAGAGCCAGGTAATTGTTGTCCATGCATCTGATCATGTTCTCTGGTGGGTCAACACCGTCAAGCAATGACCAAAACCGGAAGAGCCTCCAAGGTATCAATAACTTAAGCCAGATCACGTTAAGATTAAACATACCCAACATAGATAATTGAAATGGAGTATCACCATCCCAGGCCTTGGTTTTGGAGACAGCAACCACATACATATAGTGAAGAATGAACTCCATCACCAAGACACAAAATAGTAAGCGCAAACCATAAATAACGATTCTTTTAGTGTCTGTAGTCGACTTCAACCTGAAATACTGGGTTTGATACAAGTAGTCGTTGAATGTGACAATAGGTCCGCCAATAAACAATGGAGCATAAGTAATGTAGGCGAGATAATTGAAGAAGTTGTATTCCAGAATTGGCAATGGAGCAGTGAGGCGTTCTCTGTCGTCCAAGTTGTCACTGACAGGCTTCAACCCCAACAGAGTCAGGTCCTTTTTCTCGAGGTAATCCAAGCTGAATGAGAGCATACGAAGTAGGGTGAAGTTGTAGAACACGTCCCAGCGCGTTATTATACCCTTGAAGCCATTATCGAGTATTCCAAAGTGGAATGATGCATCCCAATAGCGATCATTAACAAAAAGGGTTGCAATTCCATATACCCAAAGTAATATCTTGGCTTTTTTGCTATCATGTATACGCTTTGCAAAGGAATACATCACGACAAGATGGAAGAAAATCTTCAAGACGTTGACACCATGGAGAACAAAAAGATAGATAAATCCAAACGACACATCAAAAACCGTCCGTTTCACCTGGAAACCGAACAAGCTGGTTGATTTCCTAAGCAGGACATGTCCTGCAACGAGTCCCATGAGAAGCCAAAAGTTGTTCCTGAAGAAGCGATATTGTGTATCTGAATTATCAACCTTTCTTCCGAACATCCAACCTTGAGTTAAAAGAGGCTCATACTTGGGATAGTTTGGATTATGCTCATTGGAAGCATCCATAGCAGTCTTCCACATTAATGGCACCGCCAATGCAAACACCACCGCATAGATCTTGAATTCAAGCGTATGCCATTTTGATCTGGTAGAACGAGCGACAACCCTTTCCTTTTTCGCTGGATCAGAAGGTGGGTATAATCTTGTGTCTAAAGCCTCAAGCGAGAAGAACTGGAGCACAGGCTGTAGGTGTTCCATTGAGAAAATGCCCAGACGCTGAGGAGTTGTAGTGATACATCACTCTTGATTTGGAGAAGCGTGTACAATGCCTGTGCGACAGCGTGATGTTGGGGTAACGATGAAGGGTCTGATAACAGAGAAGAAGGTAGGATGTCTTTATTCCTTTCTTATTTTATTTTTATTGTTTTTTGGTAGCTGGGACAGCTTGGTGAAGATCGATAGACTTCATTTTAACTAGTAGGAGAAGTAGATGATTGATGTATCTATGGATGGGAAGGTGGAATGACTGCTACTTGCAATGAAAAACCAAATATACCAAGGACTATCTGAAATGAAGAAGCCTCAAGTTTATGGAATTTTGTTATTTAGTTCATTTTCCACTTTCAGTTCTTCTTGTGTTGTTGGCTTACTGTTCAGGGTCTTCGTCTGGGGTATCAGTATGGCTGCGAAAAATGGGTACATTTCCACTTTAGCACCTATTTGGTCTTAATGGCGCATAAATTGAATCACTTATCTCACCGAGCTTCTATCTCTATCATGTTCCCTACTTTAACTTCTTCAATGTGTCCAATCTGCTCACACAGCTCATCAAACTACATTCTACAACTCAATTAGCCAATCATACGAGCTGGAAAGAATCAAGGGCATCGAGTGTCCATCAAATCACCAGCTTATGCTCATCTCATCTCTGAATACCCAAATTCAGCACAACCAGTACTTCCCTAAACTCCGAAACTCTACCAACTCAATGCGAACCGAAGCACTCAACAAAGACACCATCATACCAGAAATAACCCAAAATAGCGTAAAATCAGACTAATTCTCTTCTTTAAGCTCCTACGCATAGTCTATCACCCTCATCTCGCCAATTCCGTTGAATCACACCGTCCCCTCTCCCCACTTTGGCGTGTACATATAAAGTGGTGCCTGGGCGCCCCAGAAATGAAAGAACCCGCGGAATCCTATCCCTTTTATACTTCTTCATAACCACCACAGTGTCATTTCGATCAATCAATAGAATGTCTGCTGCATCTAACGCCTCGTGCATCTTCTGCAAGATTATCAAGGGCGAGATTCCTTCTTTCAAGCTCATTGAGACCAAGCTCACTTACTCCTTCTTGGATATCCAGCCTACTGCTGAGGCCCACTGTCTTGTTATTCCAAAGTACCACGGGGCCAAGTTGCACAATCTTCCAGATGAGTATCTCGCTGACATTTTGCCAGTGGTGAAGAGATTGACTAAGGTCTTGAAACTTGACCAGAACGATACCCCAGAGGGAAGTGGCTACAATGTCTTGCAGAACAACGGAAGAATTGCCCACCAGGTTGTGGACCATGTCCATTTCCACTTGATTCCAAAGAAGAACGATGAAACTGGATTGGGCGTTGGTTGGCCTGCTCAGGAAACCGACTTTGGCAAGTTGGGTAAGCTTCACGAATCTTTGAAGGAAGCTTTGGCGGTTGAGGAGAAATTGTAAGTAGGGACGGTTGTTGTCGTAGTACAGGGAAGAGGAACAATATACGACAGGTTAACAATTCAGGTGAAACCTGTAGAGGTGGTATGGATGAGGTAGTACGTCTATGATGCATTTTGGGTGGTAGCAATTGATGAAGGGTAATCTAGTTGAACAGTCCAAGACGAGGGAAGAACTTTGTTAAAGCATTACTTAACCATATTTTCCACTTGAAGTCCCTTACAATTTAAGTTCTCTCACTTTGTGTTATACTCCAGTGAGCTTTCGCAGCCACTGCTAGACCCCCAACACCACCATTTCGCCACCAACCTGAAAAGCAATAACCAACGACACCGGTAGTTTATCAGCCTAAAGAAATCTCTATCGGTCACTGCTATTTAAAAATAGCAAACGCCCTCCACCATTTCATCTATCAGCATGTGTCAGTCATCTCTTCGATACCGCCTCACTCATACACTCCGTACGCATTATCAATAACAAGCTATCTCTATCAGCTCCACCTCCACCTTCTTTATCGCCACCCTCATGTCCCAGCCAGAGGCCGATTTCCGTGCCCAGTTTGGCAACTGGACATCGAGAAATAATGCCTCAAGATCAGCAGGTCCCCAATTATCCTCCTGGACAGATTATGTCAGATCAAGCGCCAACGACCTTTATGAGTCTCTCCCCACATATAACAACCCAGCGGTCGCTGCTCCTCAACAAGAGCCATCTTGGTTTAAGCTAAGCAGGTTTGAAAAGATTGTTGGCTTTGGATGTTGTTTAGCAGCTTCCATATTCTGCTTTGTTTTCAGTTTCTTTATGTTCCCCGTGCTTGCTCTCAATCCCAGAAAGTTTGCATTGCTCTGGACGATGGGATCGTTTTTGTTCGTTGTGTCTTTTGGTATCCTACAAGGCCCTTATGCTTATATCAGACACCTTACGAGCCGAGACAGAGTTGTCTTTTCGGGTATCTTCTTTGGATCCATTTTCCTCACCATGTATTGTGCCCTTGTTCTCAAGAGCACCATTTTGACCCTCTTTGCCAGTATTGTTGAGGTCATTGCAATTGCATACTACATTATCAGTTATTTCCCCTTTGGTGCTACGACTTTGACCTGGTTCACAAGCTACATGGTCGGCTACTTTGGTGGAATATTCTCAGCTATCTTTTGATATATCTACTTCATCTACTTTTGTCATTGTTTTCAATGCTACGTCTCAACGAATGTTTGGCCCATTGGTTCATAATGATTACCTAATTAATATACACTTGCAATTCGAAATCCTCTTCCAATTCTGTATCGGCTACCACGCCGTCAAGGTCTAGATCTTCGTCGTCAAACACTAGTCTTGCCTTCTTGACCAGTGTTTCATCGATATCTTTCGATTTCAAATAGTGCTGAAGCAATGCCCTAATCTTTGTTTGAGGTCCTACCTCTGCTTCTATGCGCTTATTGTCCTTACCCTTGAGCCCAATCACGAAATACTCATTTTTTGCGCCTTGAGACTCTTCGTTTTGAGGTTTGTCTTCTTGGACATTAACAATTGCCAAATCCTCCTCTCCGCTATCGTTTTCTTGCTCATCTGTAGTTTTCCAGAATTCCTCGAAAATCTTTTCGAAATTATGTCGACAGCTCTGAGGTATATACAAACATTGAATGACTGTATTTTTTTGAGAATCCTCAGGTCGAGGAATTCGTAGCGTGCTTGGCCTGAAGAATGGCTTGAGCTCCAGCCTACCTTCAATCCACACAAGGCAACCGCCTCTGAGGTTGAAAGGATAAAAATTCTGCGATGCTTGTAGCCTTATGTTATCCAAGATTTCCATGAATGTTTGGTTCCCTCTGCAAGTAATGCTATAGTCCTCGGGCGGCCCTAGCCTTGACGATACAGAGAGGTCGTACAACCTGTCAGACTCGTCGTCACTCTGCTTCAGACTCGAGTGTGCCTTAATATAAGCTCCGAACTCTTCGTCAGAATCGTCGTCGGATAAAACTTCCACAGGATCAGTGACAGTAGTCACACTTTTGACTTCCAAGATCTCTTCATGATCTGACGAATCTTGGGCAGTATGGAAAGACTCGAGGTGATCGTTAGAAGTAGGTATATCAGCTACTTGAGACGGAGCAGGGGGTGGAGGAGGAACAGCCTTTGGTGGCAGCGGTAGTTGAGCCAGTTCTGATGCTTCCACTTCGGTTTTGACATCTTCTGCGTCCGGTTGTTTGGCCTCCGTCTTGACTGGTTCAGTGTTGGAAACCGGAGTCTTGGATTTCTTCTTCTTCATCACAAAGAAATCGTCATCATCAAACAACTTCTTGCTTCTTTTTTTTGGTTTGTCTGAGGGTTCTGGCTTAACCATCATGTAGCATGGATATGGAGATGAAATGGATGCTTTCGCACATACCCCAGAGTCCGAGATATATGATGAAAGGTAGTACGTTTTATGCTACAAAAATAACATAAAACTTAATCAGAGTACATAAGAGAGAAAAATATCCACTTTGGATTTAAACAAGTTGGGATTCTTCAAAAATGTTCATGTTTGAACTTGCAGCCGTTTACTACCACTATTGTCAAATGTCATCTGGTAAACGCGAAATGATAAACACAAACAAAGCACAAGTCCACAGTCATGGCTACGGAAGCTGACGAGCTAATACTAAGTGCCAACCTCCCGAGAACACGAGACTTGAGTTTTGTTGGACGGTTCCACCATAATTATGGCTTTGAAGAGAAGCAATTCGAATATTTACTTCAGCAGAAGGACCTTTGGGGCGATAAGCTCTTCTACATCAATGAGGTTCCATTCAAGCAGGCTGTCGCTAATGGCCAACATCACGTCAGGCAGGTTCCTGAAGTGACGAGTGATGAATTGAGTTTTCCGAAATTCGAAGGCTCTGAGGTCCTGGAGAGTGATTATAAGGCTAGGTTTGGCTGTGACGATCCAATAGATATTAACTTCACCAGTTCCCAGAAAGAAAGTAAAAAGGCTCTTCGGTACGGCGAAGCATTGAACTTAAAGGAGCTATATAAAAGGAATGCAATTGCCTTGAATGTCGGTGGGATCGTAACGGCAATGAAATGGCTCCCATATGGTTCTCTTTTAGCTGTTGCGGTTGCTTACCATAAGGATGGCTTATCGAAGGCCATTACAAGTCCGTCGATGCTGATATTCCCTCATAATCAAGACAAATCTGATGTGTCATCTTGTATTCAATTTTGGAAGTACGATCTGGGGAAAAATTCATTATCCTTGCGTAAGGTGCTTCTTACGTCAAGTTTCGGTACCTCATCAACTATTAACTGGCTTCCATTGAAAGTCCGGGATGGCAATATGGGCGTTCTTTCTGCATTGTTCTCAGATGGTAAAGTCCACTTTTTCAGAATTGATCTACCTGCTACTGGCACGCAGTATATTGAAGTAGCCACTGCTTCATGGACAATTGCCATGACTGACGAAAGAGACAACAACAGCCACTTACCCATTACTACATATGACGTCTTTGATGAGACGAAGATAATTGTTGGCACTTTAGATGGTGCAATTGCTGAATTCGTCCTTCCTGGCTCTGACGAGCAACCAGAAGTGCCATCATTTGTGGAATATGTGGTCGATTCTGCTATCAGCACTGTTACTGTTGCCCCCGTATTTAACGGGCACGTTCTTTTGATTAACACTACTACAACAAGATCATTTGCAATACTTTATGAAAATATAAGGCAAAGCAGAGTCGAAACAGCATATACTATCCTGTCTTTGCAACCCCGATACCACAGAGGGTTACGCATCTTTGTTTATCCTGACTCTGCTGAAAGTATAGGGTACTCCTTTGCAAGACATCCTCATCAAAAGCATAGCTTGCTTCTCAGAACAGAATATATTTCTAGCTTTCACACAAGCGAGTACCTCGACCATCCCTTTGCGTTGGTTGGCAACGTTGCGGGAGATTTATATGTGATCAACATCGCTCGAAAGATCTTTGGTGTGCCAAAAGCACACAATAAGTTAATTGTTCCGTTGAAGGTATGGTCTGTTTCCCTAGAAGATGATAGACAAACACTAAGGCTTTCTGGAGACTACATGCCCACTACAGCAGATAAGTCTGACGTTGCATATTCCTTCACCCCCGCTGAAATTGGTATTTCAGCTTGCGCATGGATTGAAGATTTGGATGGCAGCTCAGCGTACGCTATGAGCACATACTCTGGTCTCATGATCTTGGAGAGATTAGATCCTCAGTTGACTTAATATTTGGGAATTTTCTTGTCAACTGTCTCACTCCATTTATTCAAACCACCTTTGATATCATGGACGTTCATAAAGCCAAATTCATCAATGAGTTTCTTGGTTGCAAGCTGCGAGTCGTTACCATAACGACAGATAACATACAAATTATCATTTGATTTGTCGAATGTCTCAGGTACAACTGAATCTGGCGAATCGAGCTTCGACAATCGCAGAACCCAGTCTAGATTAATAGCGCCGGCAATTTGAGCAATTTTAAATTGCTCGGGAGGGCGAACGTCAAGTAATAATGAGCTCTTTTCGTTCGCCAATCTCTGTGAAACATCAATGGCATCAAGCCTTTGTTTGGAAGTCAATACATTCGAGTTCACAGAACCACAAAAGACCTCGTAGTTTATCTCACCAGATTCTATTGCTTCCTTTGTTATCGTCGGTTGTGTTCCACAGACAGCGCAAGTGGCTTGCCTATTCCTCATCTTAAACTGTCGGAGCACTTGCTGTGGAAATGCTGTGTACATTGCAAGGAAAGGGGTAAACTTTTCTTCATAGAAGCCTGTCAAGACTTTCAAAGTCTCAGTAGCAAGCGAGATGCCTGTCATGCCGATAGCAGGTCCAAAGACTCCAGCGTCGCCACAACTCGAAACAGATTCTGGTTTGGGTGGCTGCGGATAGAAACACCTATAGCATGGTCCAGTATTGTTAAGATTAAGAATAGTAAACTGACCATCTGTTTTGACTCCAGAACCGCTAACAACAGTCTTCCCACTCAAAACAGCCACATCATTGATTAGATAGCGTATAGCTGGTGCATCAGTACAGTCGACTATTAGATCATACTGAGCAAAGATGCCAAACGCATTGCCATTATCGAGCCTCACAGGATGTGTAACAATATCAACATGGGGATTCAAACGATTCAAGTATGATTTAGCTGAGTCACACTTGAGTCTGCCAACGTAGTCAGAAGTATGGATCACCTGTCTGTGCAAGTTACTGATATCAACCGTATCGTTATCCACAATACCGATACGACCAACACCAGCAGCAGTCAAGTATAGCAAGGCGGGAGATCCAAGTCCTCCAGCACCAATGACAAGTATCTTGGCCTTTTTAAGCCTTCGCTGAGCCGGTAGGGAACCGAACTCAGGAACGATCATTTGACGACCATACCGTCTGAACTCTTCGAGCGAGAAGTCTGGATCGTTAGATGGTCCATCTTGGTCTGACAGTTGGTTGGTAGATGGAGAGGCTCTTTTTAAGTCGTTCCTTAACTTCTCATTCTCTGCTTCTAGTTGCTGAATACGGAGATGTAGGTCTTCCACAGAAGACATGATATGCTAAGGTAGTAACGAGATGCGCATACGCGCGATGTGATATCAGATGGAGATGGAGAACTTACACTGACACTTACTTTCCGAAAAAATTATATCTATTTGATAACGATGCAAGAACTATATGAACTTCCTCGTTACACGATCTTTTGCTTGACGAAGAAACTCTTCAAGTGACGCAATTGGTAGGCACAAGTACCAACCAACACAGCCAACTGGATTATACTCCACCAGACAACTCTGGAGTTTGTGCTCTCAGACTGGTCTCTGAAAATAGCTTCTCTCTCTCTGATCTGCTCCTGCTCGTAGTTGATGTCTCTCAACTTTTCGTTCAACTGCTTGATCTGCAAAGTCAAAGCATCCACCTTGTGGGATGACTTGGAGTCAGCGTAGTCCTCGGCAGCTCCAATGGCAACATCGAAGAAGATTCTGTGCCACTTACCCTTAGTTCCATCCTGGTACACTGGGGTCAAACAGAATCTGTGCTCTCCCTTGTCGAAGGAAGTGAAGGTGAAATCACCAGATGGGTTGGACTTCTGGTCCACGACTCTGTGGTTCGCGTCGAAAGTCTCATCAACAGTGATCTGCAATCTCAAGTTGTTTGTCTTGAAGTACTCGTTGGTGGTTTCAGAGTACTCGAATGCTTCAAGCTTGCCAACCACTAACGCGCGAGCTGGCAAGTCTTCAAAGAAGCATCTGGTGTTGCCAGTAGGAAGATAGAAATGCAAGGCACTGACTTGTGCCACCACGAACAACAAAGCTGTAAGAACCACGTTCATTGTGTATGGAATGTGGATAGTGGGTTAGTGACTTGTTCTTTGAGTGGAAAAAAATATAAAACCTGGCCTCACCGCGTCCATACGGTGTGTGTTTTGCGCAGGACAGGCTGATTTGCACCCAACGGCTAGAGGACCCTTAGCTGGGGAGAAGGCCATGTTGGTTGAAAAAGAGGAAGGAACTTATTTAAGGCTTCTCAATGGTCCTGGTTCCATGTGGTGTTGTTTGAGGGGAAATTGATGCTTTCAATGTCACGTTGTAAGCCCAAACACAGCTCGACCATAGAATTGAAGAAGACAAAGGGCGACTTTCATGTTTCCAAAGGATGTATTGACATCGTTTCCCCATCAGAAAGCTTGGTTTTACATGTGCTGGGTCATCTAACACTCTCTTGTGAAGATGGTAGACCTAAAACACCAAAAAACATGAACCCTATTGATCACTTGTTAAGATATCTTGCCGATCATAAATCTCCACTGTGGTGATAAATCATCGTCATTATAAACCTTTTAGTACATGCTTGTGAAGTTTTCCTTTGTTATCTGTAGTCTATTTGTTTGACCTGTGCTGGAATCTGGATGAAGGTTATCATATGAAAGACATGCTCAGTGGCACTACACTGCACTACACATTGAAAGATCTTCCCTCCAGATACTTGGTGCCGAAGCTTTGCTTATCAGTCAAGATGAAAACCTGCCCCTCCCCCTCCATACGTGATTCAGGGGCTACTAGGACGTGTTGGGCCTAGGATGGGGTCAAAAGTTGGCAACCGTTGCCACTGTAACCGTTAAGATATCCAGATTTGGCAATGATTCGAACTTCTTCCACAACCCAATATTCCATGCGGAGAACAGCAACACAATGAGTTTCTAGTTAAACCTGGTAACAATGAATACCTCAACTCCTGGTTAAGAGGGTTTCGGAGTACAGGTTATGAGTCCCACAAGTAGAAAATCCTCTGGCGACCATTCCTCGGTAAAAACCACAAAACCGAGGTCGAAATCACCACAAAACCTGTTTTATTTCACCAGTTGTACAAAAGCATCTCATACAAGTATAATATACCGTTTCTCACATCAGCCCAATCTAGACGTTATCAGTAAGTCCAAAATAAGGTTCTGTCTTGTGGCTGCGAAGTTTTGGCGCAGTCTCCAAACCCAACCAGCAGCTTCGCAGATAAGTCCAATTGCAGCTGTCCCTATACAGCTTACATTATTAGGGCCGTTTGAACCGACCCAAAACAATGCACCTCGGCTTCATATTTCGTTGGGTCCCCTCCCTCGCTCAACACCTGTACGGGCTACTCCACTCTTAGGGAGGCCGCAACTGAATAATCATGTGCGCCTTTGTGCTACTTATAAACCAGCGTCTCTTCGGAAAAAAAAAAAAAAATAGAGGAAGATAACCATATTTGCTACTTGGTTTACTATGGCTCCCAAGTTAGGCTACGAGCCTGTTGATCCTACTAACGTTCCCCCACCTAGAGAAATTGAGGTTTGGGTGCCTGGTGGAATACGTGCTACTATAGCCATCCCACATGGTGTGGACTCCGATGACCCAAAATGGGCCACACCTACTAAGCGAATGGCGCTCATTTTGCATGGCCAAATGGGTCATAGGGATTACTGTTACCAAAAAATATTGGCTCACAAATTGGCAGCATTCAGAGGTATTTACTCGTTGAGGATTGACTTTCGTGGTTGCGGCGCCCTGGAGGACTGTGCTGATACCAAGTTAGGACGCGTTATCAACTCTGACCTCGAGGATATAACGAGATGTATGGAGTTTATCACCGATCCATCGTTGAATCCACTTAAAACAGCTTTTGTTCCCCTGGCAATTATTGCCCACTCGAGAGGTGCAGTGGTGATGTACCTTTGGGCCGTGCAGCAAGCAGCTCTTCTCAGAGCTGGCGACCCAGAACGGAAGGCGTTCCAGGTGCCAAACTTGGTGAGTTGCTCTACAAGATACAATACGCCTACCAATTTTGAAAGAGATGATGTTATCGATGATGACTTTGTCTCAATGGAGATGACATGTCTTCGCCATGGCAAGTATCAGCTAGTGGTGGTGCCTCGCGAGGAATTGCTTACGTTAATTGCTGTCGACTTGACTTGTGTTAAGGATCTTCCAGATAGCTGGTCCGTTTTGAGTATCTACGGTATGGAAGATGATGTTGTTTCTCCAAACGATGGAGCCCAATTTTCAAACCTTCTCAGCAGATGCCGCCACTCTCATCACTTGGAGGTTATCAAGAATGCCGATCATACTTTCATGGGTGTCCACCACATCGAGTCTGAGGAAGACCAAGAGGATTTCAATCCTGAAGGTTTGCCTTTGGATAAGAACAAGCTAGTCAACTACAGACATCATGCTGTGGCGGCCATGTTGCATTGGCTCAAGCCAGAGAATGAGCTGCTCCGTTTCTTACATGCAAACACTACGATCGGAAACCAGTTTAGATGGAAGGATATCGATGGTCTTCTGAATTTCAGAGATGTTGGAGGTTGGCGTTTACTTAAGCCTACCTATTCCAAGAGCCTGAAGCTTGGCCTGACAATCTTTGTGAGGTCAAATTACATCTTCCGGTCAGCATGTATCAATTCAATCACACAAGAAGGCGCCCAAGCACTCAAGGCTTTGGGTGTCAAGACTATCTTTGACCTTAGATCTCCACAGGAGTCTGCCGGTGACATCGATCCAGGTTATTTGTCTCATGCTCGCATCAATCGTATCACAAGTCCTATCATAGACCTTGAGAGGGTTGCCCCTGAGGAGCTCGCTAAGAGACTTGTCGCCAGTGCTACATCGTCCAACAAGCTCGAGAAGGTTAACCAAGAGATCTTAAGGGAAGGCGTGCAGCCACTCCGTACTATCTTTACTTATATCAAGGAGCACCCTCATGAGCCATTCGTTATATCATGCTCAAACGGCAGAGAGCTCACGGGCATCGTCACCATGTTGATCTTGAGTTTGGCGGGCGTCGACAAGCATACTGTTGCTAATGAGCATGCCTTATCTGTCCATGGAGTTAGCGCACCTCAGCAAGTTGCACACAACAAGGCGGTTGAAAGGGTAGCAACTAATGGAACTGTAACGGACAATAGCGTATCCTTCGGCGAGGAAACACTAATCAGCATGTTCAGGACGCTCGATATTCTTGAAGAAGAATTTGGTGGCGTCAAGAGCTACATGACAAACCATCTTGGCTTCGTTGAATCAGAGGTCAAGGGCATTTATGACAATTTGGTGACCCACCAAGCAAAGGGACCAGTTACGTTCCCTGTTTGCAAAATCTAATGGTCTAATATTTATTAAATTTAATATAACTTTCGTTCTCTCGTTAACATGCTAATAGGTCTATTTCTGGTGCAGTTTGTTCTTCAACTTTGCAACTAATGAGTTCAAGTTCAGAGAGCCCTCATCCACAGAACTTTCAGATGACTTCTTCTTTTTATCTTTCTTCGCCTTCTTGCTCTTACGCTCGTCACCATCATCCCTTCTCAGTCTCTTGGATCTTTCATCCAATATACGCTTCATGGTGTCAGTCTTCTTGAACTCAGAGCTTGTAGGATCAATAGCATAATCATGGCTCTCAAAGATCTCCTTAAATCTGTCATCATTCAAATCAGGTGTGAAGCCATCTTGCACCATCTCTGTATCATACTTTTTGTTCTTCTTATTCTTCTTTTTCTTTTTGTCCTTCTCTGCCTTGAGGATATCTCTCATATCGAAATGTTCTGACTTATCCTGGCCTTGGTCCTTATCATCATCCATAAGAAGTAACTCAAGCTCTGCTTTGCTCTTTTCATCAACTGGTTCATGCTTCTTGTTCTTCTTCTTTTTATCTTTCTTGCCCTTGCTCTTCTCGGGCTTTTCTTCTTTCTCGGCTTCATTGTCCGCTTGCTTCTCCTTGAACTTTTCCAATCTACGAGCACGACGCTCCTTCTCTTTTCTCTTGTAAGCATCGATGGTGGATTCTTCCTTTGGTTCTTCGGCCTTTTCTTCAACCTTGTTTTCGTCGAGGCCAGGGTTGAATGTGATTTCCATATCAACGTCCTCTTCCAGCTCGTTACCCTTATCAAAAGAGAACTTACCACCCAAGAGGTTCTTGTACTTGTCTTTGAGCAGCTCGGCTCCTTCTGCTTCGGAGTCTTCGCTGTCGGAAGCCAAATATGCCTTGAAATCCATGTCATCGATCTCTTTCTGAGAAAACAGCCTAGATGAAAGTGTCGTTCTTTCCTTTGGCGTCTGATCCCATGTCAACTTTACCTTGGAATGCTGAAGAGCATCTGTGACAAAGGTAGAATCTGGTCTGTAAGACGCTGGGATCTTGTCACATTGGTCTTTGGCATCCTGATCGTCAAACTCCATATCTTCTGGAACATAACGCAAATCAAAGGTATTAGCTGTAGATTCGTACTCTGAGCCATCACAGTTATCGTAGATGTTCTTAGCGGTGGCGACACTGTCACAGTGAACAACAGCATAGTAATATCTCAACCTCTGGAGTTGGTACTTTCTCAAAGCTTTAGAATCGTAATCTTCCTCTCCATCGTCTTCTTCATAGATCTTTCTTGCTGCTTTCTCAAGGTCATCAGCGTTTCTCAAATCGAGATCTTCATCCGAATCTGAATCAGAGTCTGAATCGTCCTTCTTCTTCTTTTTAGCAAACAATTCTTTTGGTGGGCCCTCAACTTCTTCCTTCTGCATTTGCTCTTTGCCGTACTCGGATGGATAAATAGTTACAGACTTGATAGAGCCACCTTTAGGCACAAAAGAAACGAAAGTAGCCATCAAGTCCACAGCACGGATGTTGTCCCAGTCCATGTTGACGACCGCAAAGGATGGCGTGGGGTCACCTTCTTCTGGCTTTTCTTCTTCTAATTCAATATCAGATTCTTCTTCTTCAACCTCTTCTTCGGAGTCGGACTCGTCCGATGATGACGACAAACCTTCACCTCTAGCTCTGTCAACGAAAGCCTCTTCAACTGCAGTATCTGAATCACTGTCCAGCTCCAGTGCAGAGTCCTCAGGCTCAACTTTCTTGATTGAAGTCTTTTTCAGCACCTTGGCTGGAGCAGCTTCATCTTCGGTATCTGACTCTTCCTCTGATTCTGAGCTGCCTTCAGATCCACTCTCAGTGCCTTCTTCACCTTCACTGTCTTTCTCTTCTTCGAAATACTTGTCAAAGCCCTTGTTATCATCGTCCTTGATCTTACGACCGTATCTATCGATCTTGACCTTTTTACCAGTGGCGCTGACATTCAACTTTTGAAGTTCTTCTTTACTGAATCTGTCATCCACCTTGACCTTGTTCCTCTTCAAACTAGGAAGTTGAAATCTAGCGTCAGTTTGAGCTGCTGCAAATCTTGGGTCACTGAACCCTGATCCAGAGCCTTTGGAAGTCTTCTTTTTGGCCATAATTTGATTTTCAGTAAGCTACTTCAAACTGTTCCTATGAAATTTAACGCGATGATCATCTCCCACATATGTGGTGTTTGGATGTACATACGCGATACTGGCGATTTGCAACCATTCCCCGATATAAACTATATATCTTACACGGAGCCGCCTGCACCGTGATTTCCCACTAATCCCGCCATTTCGAGGAATGCACGTTCCTCTCCCGTATTCCTTATGTTAACACTTTGCCTGGCTTTTGCCTGTTTCTCTTCCCATTCCCATTGCTTCCTCTGCTCGTCCAATTCTTTATTGGAACCAACACCCCAGACCTCCAAATCAGTTATCATGAACCTGTCTTCGAAGTCTTCGTCCTCGATGCTTCTTTGTGAAGACTTTTCAAAGTAATTTGTTGTGTTTGGCCCAGCACTACGAATATGCCTGAACACGGCAAACTCGAGGTTGGCTTCTATGGTAAGCGAGACATTACCGGGTAGATATTTCCGAACGGTATTCTTGTTCACCGGTTGATCATTTCCAAAGCCAACGCCCATACCCAAATTACTGAAATAGATCAGCCGGCCTTGTAAAACAGGATCAGGCTTCGTCTTATGGAAATCAAACCGCGGCAGAAGACTAATGATCACTGATTCTTCATCACCAAAGTTCTTTTTGTTGGAACTTCTCCAAGGCAGATGCACAAACACGGCATATGTGAGTCTATCCAGGTCTTTCTGCCAGTCCCTTTGTGAGTTTTCATTACTAAGGAAATATCTTGGATACTCTTGGTCAAATTGCTGATACCTCCTATTCGTGCTGATGGTTTTCTGCTTGAGCCGTTTACCTGATACCAAGAATATGGTCGGTGCGTGCCACTTGAAGATCTTCAGCTCTAAAGACCTCACAGAAAACCCACTTTGCGATCCGTTATAAAGCTGAATAAGATTTGAAGTGCCGATTTTGACGTTACTTCCGGCATTTCGGAGAGCCAATGCTATCAATGATATTGAGGGCTCGTTGATAAGCCTGGTTTCCTCGAACTTATGCTTCTTCGCGGACTTCTTGGGTGACAGTTTGAGATACAGATATTCCTGGTGGGTCTCTTCTTCCTCTTCTTTCTCTTCCTTCTTTGTGATCTTGCCGTCTGACACAATTGGAGAAAGTATGCTGCGTTCGACTAGTTTAGCAAGCTTGTCAATGATAAAGCGGCCAATTCCCTCTTGGCAAGCAGAACTAAACTGCTCAAACGAGATTGATCTGCTTCTTACATTCAGCTTCTCGATTTCAATGTCAAAGTATCTCACTAGTGTGAGGGCACAGTCTTCAAACTCAATCCATTTCTCCTTTATGTTCTTCTGGATGTGCGCTTGCATCTCAATATGGGACTTTTTGGGGACAGAGCTGACTATCAACAAAAGTGTTAACAAATTCAAAAGGTCAGAGGCTTTCATGCTATGCTGCTTGACGTCTATCTCATCATAAGACTTGATATTGCCAAATGAGTCCCATTTGATTCTTCGAGACGTCTCAAAATCATCCTGGTCGTTCTCAAGGTGTGATGGTATCTTCACTGCTTCGACAACGAACTGGTCGTCACCATTGGCCACGTCACTTTTCTCAGGGTCGGACTCGTTCTTCTCTGACAGAGACGCACTCAGTGTTCCGGATGCCACGGAAAAGGCAAGAAAGAGTAGTTTCAAGTAGTTATACTTGGAGCCCAACATTCGCCGTATCCTCCCCAGCAACACTGTCGATGCTATCACCATCTTTCGTAGAGTCAAAGGCTCATCGGTCTCCCTAAGTGAATCCTGAAGAAAGGGTAAGGTCCCGAGAGCACCCAAAACCCTAGTCAAGAATTTCACAGCACTCACAAAACTTTCATGGACCTCCAGGATATCCTGCTCCTTATCGTTAGATAATTGAAGCACATATGCCACATCCGAGTACGAGATTGCTGTGTCTGGGTCGTTAGCTGAGGTGACATTGAGCCTCGAGGCTAACGAGGATAGTTCATCTTTGGAAAGAAGGTTAACACAACGCAATTGGAAGAATTTCAAGATTTGCTCTTTGGTAAACAGCTCAAGGACGAGCAGTTTAGAAGAATCGTTGTTTTCCTCGTTACTAGCAATCTGGCCCATGGTTCATGAGTTGAGATAAGGGGAGAAATGGTATGATACGATTGTGGGTGGGGTCAAGGTTGCGAAAAGTAGAATAAGCGTTCGGAAAGGGACCAGAAAAGTCGGCATATACGGCCCCCATGTATATTTCTAGAAATAGCCTTTTTTTCGATTTTTTAAGTTTGCTTTCAGGGAGAAGAAGGTTATTTCTATTTTGAGCTTACTGGGTGATATTTTCTGAAATCTACTAGGGTTATTCACTTTATTCATGCATTCGCAAGATAGATGCAAAACGAGAGACAGGATACAAAGGCTAAAAAAGATGAATTAACTATCGAGATGAAATGACAAATTTGTTGATGATTGAGTAGTTCAAGCTGTTTATAACAACTCTATTAATGAATGCCAATCGGGATAGAATCGTGGGGAAGGGGAGACTTAGTTCAAGAACTCAGTCATGAAATGTTTGGCTCTCATTTCAAGGTCGTAAACGAACTTCTTGATTCTTCCCACAAAACTGGTAGGATGCAAGACTTCTTCTCCCAAGGAATCAGCACCATAGTACTTTTGATTAAGGGCAGACTGTTTCAAAAGTTGCTTGGTGAATGAAAGGAAGACCAATGCAAAGTATAAGCGGAAGGCGTTGGTCACGATGATGCCGCTCACAGTCAAGAAAAGCTCTCTTTGAGGAGAAGCAGACTGTGACAAAGTGTCTTCTGTTGCATCAGCGGACCGACGAACGTATGCGCTATAGGAGTCAACTGCCGAGGCACCTGTGGCGGCAGCGTTACCACCGTAGCTCGTTGGGTTGTTGTCTTCTCTGCTAAACCAGAAATGAACAAAGTAGGCAGTGAAAATGAGACCAAAGAAAGTGTCAATCAAGTAAATCACACAAGCCAAACTTGTTTTTCTCACGTTGTTGGCTCTGTTGAGAATGTTAGACAAGCCTGAGATGTAGAACGGGAGCGTAAGGAACGACAACAAGTTGAAAAGCCACTGCCAAAAGTTCAAGTGATGACCTGTAAGTATAGACAACACACCATAAGCTCCACCAGCTTTGTTAAGGATGGCTACGGCGAGTATCACCTCCACCCCGATATATAGGGGTATAAACACGAAGAACTTCTGGTTTGTTAGTTGAGTTGAAACGGGTCAGCTATTCCATGTACATACCGCTGGTAATATTTGTTCAAGTAACTTAGGGGCCATTCTGATAAGCAAGGAGTGTCCACTATACGTGTTTCTGTTGAAAGATTGAAAGTAGGTGTAGTAGCTTGGTATGATACTCAGTTGCGCGGTGCATCGCTACTCTGCGCATCAGGTAGTTCTTGCAAAAAAAAGTACCACATCAGGTTGCAACCATAATTATGTCGGAGAGAGAAGTTGAAAGAAATATGGAAAACCTCCAGCTAAGTCTGTCTGATACTGACAGCAGTGATCTGGAGACTGAGGCTCCTTCCAATTCTAGAACTATCACGGATAGAGGTGAGATCGTGGAGAAGTATACCCTGGTGATCAACACTGAACCATTGAAGAAGGGACCCAAAACTACCAAGGATAGAGCCAACCGTGCCACGGTAGAGCAGGTTTTGGACCCGAGAACCATGCGTTTTTTGGGTAAGATCATAAACAAGAATGTCATCTCAAGAATTAACGGATGCATCTCCACAGGTAAGGAAGCCAATGTGTACCATGGTGATCATGAAGACACCTCAGTTACAGACAAGGAGTACGCTGTGAAGATTTATAAGACATCTATTTTAGTCTTCAAGGATAGAGAGCGGTATGTGGATGGAGAGTTCAGATTCCGTAATACCAAGAACCAGAGTAATCCAAGAAAGATGGTTAAAGTGTGGGCAGAGAAGGAGTTTAGAAATTTGAAAAGACTACACATGAACGGCATTCCATGTCCTGAGCCTATCGAGCTTCGATCCCACGTTTTGGTTATGGAATATTTAACAAAGGGTAATGCCCAACCATCCCCCAAACTCAAAGATCATCCTTTTAAAGACTTGGATGAAATCGTGTTTTACTACCAGCAAATGCTCATCTACATGAGAAGAATGTACCAGAAATGTCGTCTTGTTCATGCTGATTTGAGTGAATACAATTCTATCGTTCACAACGATAAGCTCTATATCATCGATGTCTCCCAGTCGGTGGAGCCAGAGCACCCCATGGCTCTTGACTTTTTGAGAATGGATATCAAGAACGTGAATGATTTCTTTTCTAGAAAAAAGATTCATGTCTTCCCTGAAAGACTTTTATTTAAATACATTGTCGAACCGAGCTTAGGTGTTGATGACGAGGACGACGCACAATTACGAGCATACCTTGACTCTTTGCCCTTGAAGAGTGAAATGGACAATTCCAATGTCGATGATGAAATCTTCCGTTCGCTTCATTTGGTGAGATCATTGAATAATCTTGATGAGCGTGACTTTGAAAAGTTCCAAGATGGTAGAGTTGACACGCTCACTGACCTTGTTCCTGAGGAAGCAGAGCAATCAGCATCAGAGGATGAAGAAGAAGACCTGTCTGACGAAAGCGACTCGGATGAAGATGACGAGGACGATGATGAAGATGATGAAGAAGGTGGCAGAAGAGAGAAGAAAGAGAAGGAGGCCAAGGGTAAGAAGTTTGAAGATAAGGATGATAAGAAGGCTAGAAAGCAGGCTGCCAAGGAAGCCAAGGCCGAGAAGAGGAAAACCAAGATGAAGAAACACGTGAAGAAGAAGTTGGTCAACAAGCGTAAGAACAACTAGTTTTCGGGAAACAACAACAATTATCATCTAAGACGGCTAGACCATAGACTAATAGAAAGTAACTCCAAAAACGGTATGTTGAACGATCGTGGTCATTTTTTGCAACGCCTCCATCAGTTGTAGGAATCGAGTATAAAGGCTCGACGGATGAATATCGGGAAGAAAAATACCGTAAACTTTAATCATGACTACTACGCCCGAAAAGACCAAAAAGCGAATTACATTTTCAAAGCCAAACTTTAGCAAGTTGACAGGAAGGCTCAAGCCAAAGAGCAAGGAGCAAAAGAAATCAGACGAAGAAGTTTCATCTGGTAATGAGGAACCAACTGCTTCCCAGAAAACTGAAGGGGAGGCGGAAGCTGATTCTGCTGATAAGAAGGAGGAGAAGGAAGTAAGTGAAGATACTGAGGCTTCCACAGAGCCTCTCAAAATAAAGAAAACAGGCGACGGAAAAGTCATTGAAGGAGAAGATGATATGGAGCAGAGTTTGATTTTGAGCAAGGAGGATGAAGAGATTCTCTCCCCAGCCTCGAAGGAGGTCGAGGAGTTTAAAGAACAGGTAGAGGAAAAGGTGAAGGAAGAGGTGGAGGAGGAGGAGGTGAACACAGAGGGTGACAAGGCCTCCGAGTCAAGCAGGTTCACGGGTACTACCGATGTTCCAGACAACCATTTTAAGGAATATGCTGAAAAGCTTGAGGAGAATGAGGAGAATGATAAGGATTCAGAAGTCTGGGGGTCTGGATATCAGATTAACATGGACTTTGATGCTGATACTAATAACGATAATCTTGACAATGAGCTGCAGCATAGTGTATCGCCATTCGGCAGCAATGAACATTTCAAGCCCACTGGTGTTGTGGACGATACTCAGGTTGAAGAAGAGGAAGTTTCAAAAATGGATGTTTCTTCTATGCTTCCAATCTCTGCCCAGAGGAAGCTTGCTGCAGAGAAGGCCTCGGAATTGACTTCATTTTCGTCCTTGGAGAGCCTGTCGTCGAACATCAAGAAGCAGACTAGCGCTGGTGACGAAAAAGAGGACAGAATTACGATGAAGGTGGTTGACGTTGGCGATAGAGTTAGAGTCACTAACCGTGGTCAGCACACGTTTGTGGTCATGGATAGCGAGGTTTATGATGATCGGGAAGAGGCATTGATGCGTCTCCTTGGAGATTCCAAATTCTCTCATTTTGACGAGTCTTACTCAAGAGGCAACTCGGACAAGGAAGGAAAGAGCAGCCTTTCTTCTACTCCTTCCCGTGTATCAGTTAAGGCGAAGGTTGAGAACAAGTCCAGACCATCTCTGGAAGCTACAACGGTGGAAGACAATGCGCTGGTCAAACTGGAAAAGAAGGTGGAAGAGAAGCCCCTCCAGAAGAGACTGAAACTGACGTGGCGTATTTGGAAGAAGAAGGAGAAGCCTGCCACAGAGAAGCCTGCCACGGAAGTTGAAGAGTAGTTTGTTTTAGATAATTAATTGTTCGTTCATCAAGCAAATGGATGTAGATTGTTTAGTTGACGAAGTTGTTATTTCAGGCAAACTTTCAAAAAATGGCCTGGTTCTTTTCCATCGTTATACTTACTGCCAGCGGAGCATGCCACGGTTGCTTATACCACCTACTCTTTTTTTGCAACCACTCCCAGGAAACTACTGCCGCGGTAAGACAACCAGCCACAAGAGGGTCATGTGACTCCCAACGGTATGTGGGTGGCTGTCAACAGAAAGGAAGCTACAGCAAGCAAGCAAGTCCAAAATATTCATGTACCCAAAAAAGGCGAATTCTCTTCTGTCAAGAGTCTTTACGAAGCTCTGGAAATTTCTCGAACACCCAAAAGTATACCTCTAATGTAGCTCGCAGTAGGTCTGTATGTGGCCGGGTAACCCCTCAATCCGGGGTCTGTTCTCGGTACCTACATCTTAGCCCCAGACCACAATTGTTTGGGTATACTCATTATATTGTAATTAACTAAATATAGGCTCTACCGCAAGTGGCAATTACTACCAGCTAAGAACAGTTTTATCCGTGCAATATCCATATACGCCATTGGCTAAATTAACGACGTTCTTTACTTCCACAGCCCCTCAATTCAATCTGTTATGGAAGATTACTTAAGAGACAGCCCATTCGAGGAGTCGACCCAGAACGACCCTTCCAAGTTCAAAGGCTACGAGTCTTACATGAACCCTTCGCTGGGACAAGAAGGAAACAGCCAGGATGATTTTTCTCGGTCCCAGCCACAGACTTCTGAATCCCAGCCACACAACCAGGACCAATTCAGCCTAGACTTGAACCAGCAATTTGGTGATGACTACTCGTCACCTGCTGTTACCTCTCCAACAAACTTTCAAAGTCCCAGCTATGGTGGCGGTGCCCCTCAGGGCCAACAGCAGAACCTAGCTCCCAACGACCCATACTTTAGTACCTTTGAATTCCTTTCCTCGCCAACGCAACAACCCGTATCCCCCAGATATCAACCACAAGGTGCTGGCAACAACAATACCAACAACGAATTTTCCGCTGGTTTTGGTCAACAGGTATCGGACCCATTGCAATTTAACATGAATGACAATTTTACCAATTTGGACCAGTTGGTATCACCAGAGAACAATATGAATAACTCGGGTATGAACATCTTTTCCTCTGCCCAGTATTTTTCCCCAAACACGAGAACCAATCATTATAACCATTTATCGGCTATCGCCGAGGACAGCTTGCCAAACCTGTATCAGAACACCTTCAGTCCGGAGCTTTCGAGGCATGGATCGGTTAGTATTCCACCCCTGGGGGATCCGTATGTCTCACCTCAAGCAAACGCCTTCTTATCACCACAGTCAAGGCCACATGATAACTTTGACTCGCTTAGGTCTCCCTATGGTGGTGCTTCTTATCCGAACTCTCCACCACCTCCACTCAACTTGAACATGAGTAAGAGCATACCTACTGCAGTGAATTTCAATCAGACATCTTTTAATGATTCTCAGAGACAGCAAAGGCAATCAATTGAGGATGCGTTGTCTCCTCCAAGTCTGCTGTACTTGGGTACATCAGCTCCAAGTAACTCGAAGAAGCCGGAACCTTATCCAAGTTCTTCCAAACAACTAACTCAGGAGGAGAAGGCGAAGAGAAGAAGAGAGTTCCATAACGCAGTTGAGCGTAGGCGACGTGATTTGATTAAGGAGAAGATTAAGGAACTCGGATTCCTCGTTCCTCCATCTCTTCTAAACCCCCACGTCTGCGCAGTGCAGAATCTACTGAAGCAACCGCATCAGAATCCTCCAGATATCAAGGAACTACTTCAAACAGTTAAAGTCAGAGAGACGAAGCCCAACAAGGCCACGATCCTTCTGACTTCTGTGGATTACATTGAGCATTTGCAGAAGGTCGCCGACCGCCAAAAGCAGCGTCGTGAAGAACTAGAACAGGAGATTGCAGAACTTGAAGGAGGTGTTGGTAACGTCAAGCTCACAGAAACAGACAATGCTAATTTGAACAATTCATCTGACCTTCAAGAACAGCTTCAGTCACCCAACCAGGACACTCAATTTAATCCAGACGACTTCTTTTCTGAAGTCATCAGTGATACTAATCAGTTCTAGTCTAAAAGCCGCCACAGATAAGCATCACAAAACTGGGGGAGCCTTCCGCGCGAACGGCTCTCTCCTGTGTGGAGAAATGATAGAGCTCTTCAAACTCAACACTGCGAAAGAAATGGTCCAATAGCCTAGTTCTTCTACAATGAGTGACCTTCAAGCTGCCCAACGTTTTGTTGACTACGTCAATGCTTCCCCATCCCCTTACCATGCTGTGCATAATGTCAAGTCTTTGCTTGTGAAGAAGGGATTCGAGGTTTTGAAGGAAAGGGACAGTTGGGATATCAAGCCTGACTCGAGCTATCTCGTGACTCGTAATGGCTCTTCCTTGATTGCCTTCTCGACAGGTACTGACTACAAGCCAGGAAGCCCTGTGGGTATCATTGGTGCTCACACCGATTCGCCATGTCTCAGAATCAAGCCTATCTCGAAGAAGTCCAACCAGGGCTTTATTGAAATCGGCGTTGAAACTTATGGTGGCCTCATTGCACACTCCTGGTTCGACAGAGATTTGTCTGTTGCCGGTAGAGTCTACATTCGTGACAAGGACGGCAACTACGTGCCTAAGTTGTTGCATTTGAATAAGCCTTTGATGAGAATCCCAACCTTGGCTATTCATTTGAACAGAGATGCCAATACTAAATTTGAATTCAACCGCGAGACAGAATTGCTTCCTATTGCCGGACAAGAAGAGTTTGGCCACTCTTGTAAAGATGACCCAGCTTTGCAATTCCCTGATGAAGCATTCCAAGCTGTCAAGCATGTTGTGCAACGTCATAACGAGTCCTTGGTGAAGTTGATTGCCAAAGAGTTGGATGTCGAGCCTAAACAGATTGAAGATTTCGAGTTGGTTCTCGGTGATTACCAGCCAGCTACACTTGGTGGTTTGCATGATGAGTTCATCTTCGGTCCTCGTCAAGATAACTTGACTTCTTGTTTTGCAGCTGCTGAAGCCCTTGCTGATGCTCATCCTGCCAATGACGGTGTTGCGATGATCTCTTTGTTCGACCATGAGGAAATTGGTTCGGTCTCTGCCCAGGGTGCTGACTCCTCATTCTTGCCTGATGTGCTTTCTCGTCTTGCTTCAAGCGAAAGCGGTGACTTCCCACGTATGTGCAGCAGGTCTTTCTTGTTGTCTTCTGACCAGGCTCACGGTGTTCATCCAAACTATGAAAGATTCTATGAAACGGCTAACAAGCCAGAGGTTAACCAAGGCCCAGTGATCAAAATTAATGCCAACCAGAGATACGCCACTAACTCGCGTGGTATTGTTCTTATCAAGGCTGTCGCTGATAAGGCACGCATTCCATTGCAGTTGTTCGTCGTGAGAAATGACTCTCCATGTGGTTCTACTATTGGACCTATGCTTTCTGCCAAGTTGGGTATCAGAACGCTTGATTTGGGTAACCCTCAATTGTCCATGCATTCTATCAGAGAAACAGGTGGGTCTCATGATATCGAGCGTTTGACCGCTTTGTTCAATGGCTTCCTTTCCAACTACGTCAAGGAAGATGTGAAGATTGAATGCGATTAAAAGAAAAGAAATAGGCGAGCAAAACATGAATTATGAAAGAATTTAGGAGATGGGTGGATTTATATAGAGTAGAATTTCATGAATGTTACTTTATTCTGGGCATAAATAGCTGTAGCACTGCCATGTTTCTGCATAGTCGCGACTTACTGGATCACCTTTAGATGGCCTCAACTTCCTATCTGTCTTCCTTACATCGCCCATAATGCTACCACAAGTCTTACCTTTTCTACTTTTGATCTCGTCAGTCTTGGGCTTTAGAGCTGTTCCAGTTCTTTATGGTTCTCATAGTGTTGTTCCTGGCCTCAGAGAGGAGGTCAAGCATCCATTCATTCAGAAACAGGACCCACAGAGCGTCACCAATATGCTTAAGAAAGCCATCACAGAGTGTTCTTCAGATGCTTACCTCATCATCAACATTCCAGGTCTCGAGAATATCGATATGATCGATAGAAAGCAGGAGCTCTGGCGTAACTTGGTCAAGTACATGCATATGCTGAGCACCTTGATTGGAATGCCATGGGTAGAAGGTACGCTTGACCTTCTGTTCTTAGAAGCATATATTACGAGGACGTGTTCTGCTGAAACTATCTCGATGGCCGAGGATGAAGATGTGTTTGCAGAGTATATTGACACCAGAAAGAGAATCATCAGGATTGAATTTAATCCTCTTCCTCCACCAGGACCTGAGCGTGACTTGGCTATTCGTGCTAACGATGAGTTGATCGACAAAGTGCTAAAGAGAATTCCTTCTCCACATTATTCCTTCTTGATCACTTCCAGTACCTCTAGTACATTGCATCCTATTCCAGAAGTGGCTCTTGAGAATAGTCCGCAGGGCTTCGAGCTCTTCTACCGCATCGTCAATGACCCACGCCGTGAAGAAGAGATTGAAAGACACGTCAGGTTGAAGGGATTGAGCAAGCCTACTTGGAACGAAGACAAGGATCCATTGTCGCTTTATTTGGAGAGAAGAAAGAAGGACCAGATCCATTTATTTGATTACGAGCTTTGGAGCAAAAATGAAAAGCTAGTGACTACCATAGCAGCGATGGTGATTTCTTTATTTGCTATCAAGACACTTGGAGTTGCCAAGAAGCTCTTTGGAAGAAGGAAAGCCAAGCTGAGTTAGTTGAGGCACTTTATATGATTTACACTGTCTTACTGAAGAACATTAGGTTGCTCTATCGATGAGATGCCAAGGATAGGAGACGTGTAAGATGAGACTCCTCGAATATCCCCAACTAGGAAGTCCCGTGCTGCATGTCTACTGGTGCTTGATGATGGTTCCTGAATAATGCTGTCAACAGCTCAGATTCAGAAAAGCATAAATCTCAACGGTTCTTGGCTTGGCCTCAGACCTTGTTGGAATTCCGCCAACAATGAGACGCTCGAGTATCGACTGATTTGAAAGAACCATGAATCCTCGGGTATTAGTGGCCCTGGCATCCGTGTCTCGTAAAATATCCATAAGATGATGCAGCTTGAAAGGGCTAATGGCGATTGTTCAAATAACTTTATTTTTATTGTCTATTTGTTTGGCTGTCTTCTTTGGGCCCTCCGTTCTCTATTAGCCTGACCAACATATGGGCTGCAACGGCTGCAAAAAACAGTTCATGGTCACTTTGCTCGCAAAGAATTACTTGCTGTACTCAAAAAGTCGCGTGGGAAGACCATCATCCGGCGAATTGCCCCATCTCGGCTGCCATCCCTTCAAACAATATGTGCCCACATCCATTGTACATTTGTCAGACGCTAGTGAACCAAAGCCCGCATAGCGCTTACATATGAGGCAGGAGAAATCAGCTGTTTTTTCCTATAACAAAAAAAAAAGTTACATCCTACCAAAAATCGCGCCTCCCCCAGAGAAACACCCCCTCTCGCAATTGATCCTTAGCCGAATTAACTTTCCCTTGACAACGGATAATTATCACACCATACTCTTGCTGAAGCACACCGGGTGGAGATTTTGCATCCACTGCAGGTGTGCAGCTTTATCTCGCTGGCACGTCTCTAATACTATTGCTGCTGGCCTGCAGAAACCATACATCTTTCTCGCTTTTGACTGCACTGCTCTTTTATAGCTTATAAACCCAAAACCTGTTCTTCAACTAATATCCCTTACACTTCTTCCGCCCGTGGAATCCATCAATGTCTGACTACTTGACTTTCTCCTCCGAGCCTTCGGGTCGCCATGAGGGCAAGAAGCATATCATCATTGTAGGAGCAGGTATTATTGGTGTCTGCACCGCTTATTACTTGGTGAAGCACCCCAAGTTTGATCCTGAGAAGTATCACATTTCTTTGGTTGAAAGCAAACGTGTTGCTGGTGGAGCCAGTGGTAAGGCGGGTGGCCTTTTGGCTCTCTGGGCTTTCCCACAGCAGTTGGTGCCTCTTTCGTTCCAATTGCATCAGGAGCTTTCGGATTTGTATGACGGTGAGAACGTTTGGGATTACAGACGTCTAACGACTGTTTCCATCGAAGGTGACATTTCAGGTTTTAATCCAGAGGACGAAGTTGATTCAGAATCGGAGCGCCAGGTCACCCAGTCGGCTCTGCCCGAGTCCGAGTTCCCTCCCAAAAAGACATCCAAGGTAACCAAGCAACGAGATTCCAAGAAGTTGCCTACAGACTTGAACTGGATAACGGAACAGTTTGTTAACCTGTGTTCTTCCTTAGGAGGAAAAGACACCACTGCTCAGGTCCATCCGTACAGATTCACGAACTTCATCTTGAAGAAAGCCGTGGAAGACTCCAACGGTGCTCTCGAACTTATTCTAGGCAAGGTCAACAAGATTCTATATCTGATGGACACTGGAGTTGCTACCGGCATCACTTACGAACCTACAAGCGCAAAGAAAGACGTTCACGAACCCGTGAGCTTGAAAGGTGACCAAATAGTTTTATCTGTTGGCCCTTGGACCTCAAAGATTCTTCCTGATTGTCCAATTTCTGGATTAAGAGCCCATTCTATTACTATTGCTCCTCATAATGACCAACGTGTGTCGCCATACGCTATTTTCACCGAATACAAGGTAGGCAATAAGTATGTGTCGCCAGAGATATACGCAAGAAAAGACGAGGTGTTCGTCTGTGGAGAAGGTGACTCTGCAGTTGATGTTCCAGAGACAACCGATGATGTTGAAGTGGTAAAGTCGAAATGTGATGATTTGTTCCTGCAAGTCGGGAAGATGTCATCTATGTTGCGTAAGGGACGTATATTGAAGAGGCAAGCGTGCTACTTGCCTGTGTTGGACGTGCCTTCTTCAAGCGGACCATTGATTGGTGAAACTAACGTTGACAATCTTTTCTTATGCTCGGGCCATTCGTGTTGGGGTATCAATAATGCACCAGGAAGTGGTAAAGTAATGAGTGAGCTCTTGTTGGAGGGCAAAGCAAAATCAGCCAACATTTCGACGCTAGATCCTTCTCTTTATTTCGATGCATCTGTTCTAGTCGACGAGGAGGACGATGTCGAGGAAAAGAAGGCGGAACCTAATGATATGTAACGGTCTACAGGCAATCAATATACAATACATTTATTATGATGAGTTAGACTGACCAGACAAACTGAAGCAGCATGCTTAGTTTCTCTTGGCGAATCTTCTTGGGCCTCTCTGGGAAGAGATGGCAACAGTCTGAAGAGGAATCTTGAAACCCAAGGTCTTGACCAAGTCAGCGGTCTCGGCGTCAACCTCCAACTGACCACCAGTGTGGGACAAGTCCAAGGCAGAGACCTCTGGGACGTACTGGTCCTTTCTCTCTCTCTCCTCTTCCTGCAACTTGAAGGAGATACCTCTAACTGGACCCTTCTGAATTCTCTTCATCAAGTGGGTGGTGTAACCAGCAATCTTGTTTCTGAGTCTCTTGGACTGGATCTCAGCGATCTCAGTGGTCAATCTCTTGTTGGTCTCGAAGTCCAAGGTCAACTTTGGGTAGTATCTCTCGATCAAAACCTTAGAGGCTCTCTTGACAGTCTTAGTTCTAACGCGACCCTAAATGGTTAGTATTTGATGGGGAAATGGACAAACCTGTGTCTTCATAAGAGGATGGATTGGACTAATTCTTTTATTCAAAGGGATGATGGTGTTTGGGAACATTTTGCTCATTGGGCATTTTACTTCGATATCTTGGACTCAAACAGCAGGGACACAAAGGGAGCTTTGCTTGACAAATTTATAAAGTGGATTCGTTATATTCGTTTGATTTGGACATCTCTTGGAAAACAGGTTCGGTTTGCAGTGTTTTGTGGTTGTCGAAACATACCATTTTGCTTAGTTAGTGGTATGGAGAAAGAAGCTGAACGTTAATATGGCTTCTCTAGAGGAAAATTTTCGGGCCCCAGTGCGGCAGGAAGCCAGTGAGGGATTGTGTGAGATGAAGTGTTCGTGTGCAGGTCAAGAATGCTTTGGTGCCATCACGTGTAGGGCTGTGACTGTTAAAATCGCACTCTGGAGGTAAGTATACATACGAGTAGAGGAAGCCCAGGAAGCACCATAGGATGTCCAAGTGGCTTATTTGAGGTGGTTTAGGGAAACTATAATGCCAGCTGAGCTTTCTTTTCATTCAGGTGGCATTTATGTCATCCAATACTTTTGGCATATACTAAGTAAGTGGGTGCTGGTCTATTAGTGGCAGGTATAATAATACAGCCAGGCACAGCAGAGGTAAGTAAGTGGGCAGGCGAAGCAAGCTTAAAATTGCCAAAAGTAATCGAGTACCTGTGATTTCTTCCTGATCAGAATGAGATGAATTTCACTCTGGTAAGCAGTAAATGTTGGCTCGTTGCTAGTAGAGGCAGCCCATTAGCTGTTGTTCCTTAATGCGCGAAGTTTGCAACCATTCTGTGACACGATACTGTGGGGTAGAGCTTTGCAACGACAACTGCACTTCAAGGATGCTTTGGCAGTGCAATTAAAAGGTTAATAATCTTCCAAGCGTGGCGGATGGAAGACCACTTTTTCATGATAATGCCTCTTGGTGATCCAAATGGACTCTTTCACAGTCCCTATTGTCTAAACTACGGTGATAATAGTACGAGCAAGGTATACCATAACGTATTTAGGATGTCTACTGCCTATTACCATCATAATGTAGACCTTTTTGTCAATGGAAAGCTGCTTGAAGCTTATCTTTGGCGATCTTCTGTTGAGTGTATGTCACGTGCTCCTACACTCGTGTCGCATTGAGCATTAACTATGTACTCTTGATAGATCTATCAACAGTCAGATACATCTGCATCGTGGAAAGGGGATCCATCATGGACAGGTCAAAGTTATTCCACTGCGACGTCTGTTCGCTGGATTGTACTCATAGAATTCGAATAAAGTGTGCCATTTGCACAGATTACGACCTCTGTGTCCCATGTTTTGCTTCTGGCTCCGCAACGCTAGACCATAAACCATGGCACGACTACCAAGTGATAGAACAGAACACTTATCCCGTTTTTGAAGAATCATGGGGTGCAGACGAAGAGTTGTTATTGATACAAGGATGTGAGACATTTGGTCTCGGAAATTGGCAAGATATTGCCGACCATATTGGTAATCGATCTAGAGAAGAGGTTGCACAACATTATCAGGAAATCTATCTAGATTCAAGTGAATATCCACTTCCAGAGATGAACAAAGACTTTTCACATATTCAACCTCAAGAATTCTTGCAGAAGAGGAAGAAGCGCATGGAGGAAAGGAAGAACATGCCTTTGCCTCCTCCAAAACTCAAACCGGCAGCTTCTGTACCATTATGTCACGAAATTCAAGGCTACATGCCTGGTAGACTCGAGTTTGATCATGAAGCCGAGAACGAGGCCGAAGTTCCTATCAAAGATATGGTGTTTGACCCTGATGATTCTGCTGGTGACATTGAGCTTAAGCTTACCGCCTTGGATATCTATAACTTCAGATTGACTACTAGAGCGGAACGGAAACGTGTCTTGATTGCTAACAATTTGCTCGAATACCGTAAGAATATTTCCAACGACAAGAAGAAGTCCAAGGAGGAAAAGGAATACTTGCGTAAGATCAACGCTTTTGTTCGTGTGATGACTCCAGAAGACTTTGAACAATTCTCTGAAGACATTCTCACTGAACTACGATGCCGTATTAGGATCCAGCAACTTCAAAGCTGGCGCAGGAACGGTATTACTACAATGGAAGACGGTAATAGGTTCGAGAAAGACAAACTTATTAGACTGGCTCATTATCAAAGAATGGGTAATGGTTCAGGATTAGCTGCAAGACATGCTGCTGCTGCACTGGCTGTGAGCAATGGCACCCGCAAGTTGAACACTCCACAACCCGAGTATAAGCCCAAGATCAACACGTCTAACCCCAGAGCCCCTCTCGACATATCGCACGCTACAGACTTCGAGCTACTTTCTCGTGAGGAAAAACAGCTCTGCTCTACGCTTCGCATTTTGCCGAAGCCATATCTTGCAATTAAGAATCAGCTAATGAAAGAGGCTATTAAGAATAACGGTACATTGAAGAAGAAAGACGCTAGACTGTTCCTTAAAATTGATGTCAACAAGGCCTCGAAGATCTACGAGTTCTTCGTACAGATGGGCTGGTGTTCTCAAGGCTAGGCGCAACCAGGGACCCTAGACGAGCATGACATCACCATAGTGCCTCAAACACGGTTCCTGGGGAAGGGGCGCGCGAAAGTGTGCGTGTTCAACAAAAAAATACTAACGATAAAGAGAGTCGTGATATCCTCTGTAACCAGCTGCAAAAATACTGGAAGCCTATCTGGCCGTTTAACCCTAATATGAAGTTAGTTGCACCATTATTGTTCGCTGCAGCTGTCCTTGCAGATATAGCCCCAGCAAGAGACCAGTTTTACCCTCTCGACAGAAAGGGTGAGATCCCCCAGATTCAGCCTTACACTTATGGCCAGGATGTCTTCATTGATTGCATAACCCGAAACATTGATAACGGTGAACACAAGTTCGACTCGAATGACAGAATTATTTATGGTGCCTTCCCCGTGTGCAAGGAGACTGGTCAGCCCTTGTCTTTCCATTACGGTGTTTCCGAGGATTTCAACTGCACCATCACCTTCACAGATGAGCTCTATCACTTGTTTCAATTGTATATCCACGAAGATGTTCCCTTCGGTTGCAGAATACCACTCAGCACAGAGGCTAATTCATTGGAAAAGGGCGGAGCCTCCATTCCTTTAACTTTTAACTTCAGAGGAGAGATCCACGATGCTCATCTTGACATTGACAATCATATGAACCTCCTTATTGTGAAGCCTCCAACCAACGCTCCTGAGAAGCAGACGGTTATTTCTGCGGTTGCATGGTCATCAGGCACTAATGCGACGCGAGTAGTCATTGGCGATGAGTTGACCTTACAAATGGGCGTACGTTGGATCGATAACATCAAGCCTTCTGGTGGTCAAGCAAAAGGTTCTGCTGCTTTGCCATTCGATGATGGCTTCTACAGATTCCCCATAAGCACGGTTCCTATTTCCATGAAGATATTGATTTTCCTCCTTCTGGTTGTGGCTCTTGTTTCGTTCAGTATTTCTTACGCTGGTACTTCCATGAAGTACAAAAAGCGTGGTTACAGATCGCTTGATACCGAAGCCGGTATTGCTAAGCAAGACTAGATGCAAATTTGTATTATAGTGTCTCATCTCATGAGAATAAAAAGTATTTACAATGCTAGCGACATTTCTGAATGATTGCCTTCAAAAGAGCCTCCGTTTTCTCTGACTTCGTTTCCTCAACATTCACGAACTTCTCTGTCAAGAATCCGACAAACTTATCAGAGAGTTCTTGCTTCTTTTTGTCGTCCTTGGCCTTCAGTTTATATGCGGTAAACTTGTTGACAGATAACTTCAAGGCATCCGCCAAGGAGGAGTCGAGCACTGAGACGTTGCGAAGAGGCAATGTGATGTCCATAAGCGACGTCCTGATATCGTCCTTGTAATTTGTTTGTAGGTAAGACAAGATATGATAATTTAAGTGATCTCTGTTGAGAGTTTCAAATTGGTCGAAAACAGAAAGGAATTCATCTGCAATTTCAAAGACTTTATCAATCTTAGATGCCTTTCCAACCTCTTTGAGAAGCTCTGGAAGAGCCAAATCAAATACTGTTAATGCAATATCACCCTTCAAAACAGGATTAGTCTCTGGAGAGCCCAACACATTCATATCAGCTTCAGGCAAGGATGCTAACTCCAGCTTCAAATCGTCTTCTTCCACATCGGCGAATGTGATGGTATCAGAGTTGGATTCAACGCCATCGGTAGGTGCTTCTTCAATTCTCTTGGCCAGCTCTTTAGCTTGAGCCTTCAAATCTTCCTCTTGCTTCTTTTCTGTTAACAAGCCCAAAACTTGGCGTCTAGCGAGAAGCTTAGACACATAGGTTAATTCGAATTGAGCATAACTTATCCAAAGCTTTCTCGACTCGGGGTTCAATCTCAATGCTTTCTGGTATAACTCTCTGGCCCCCTTGGCATTGGCATTTGTCTCGAACTCATATTTGGCAGCCGATAACCAAGCATCCACATTTCTCGGTTGCAACAGCAAAAGCTTAGCGTATACTCTGTAGACAACCTTAATGGCATCCTTATCTTTAACGAATTGAAGGTACTTTGCCCAGATATCTAGGTCTCCCGAGAATCTTCTGACTGCTCTATCGAAAATGAATATAATTTTTCTGAAGCCAGCCCAGTCGGAGATACTGGGGGCCGTATCAACATGGTCTGTTTCTCTGAGTCTGAAAAATCTCTTGACTCTGAGTTTCTCTAGATTTATTTCAAAGTCAGCGTATTTCAAAAAGTCTCTAGGCTTTGCTCCACGACCTTGTATTCTGTGCTCGAAGTCTGTTCTTCTTCTCATGATCATGGTGATTTCTTTCTGATCAAAAAGACCTTTACGTTTAAGATCTTCTAGCTCTGGAACTGACAGTTCCATATAAAACCTAATCTTCGAAGACATGGCTCAAATTATTGTGGGGGTTCTATTGTGTTTTTGTAGAATTCGAAAAGTCGATGCTGCGATGAGGCTCTTGATGCGCAGAGGTCTGGTTTTGAGCTGGTGAAGTCACGTGCCTTCAGTGGAAAAGTTGATTATAGATGAAGCTTTGGAGCTTGAAATAGCTGATAAAAGCGTTTAATTCTTAGGTATATCAGAGCCTCAAGGTATGCTTAGGTAGGTATAGGTAGATATATGTACACATCGTATTCGTGGTGGCTTAATAGTGAACTGACAGGGTAAACCACACCCATTGCCATATAAGATCATTTAAATGCCTTGGGTCAGTATTTTGGCTGTGAAATAAATATGTGTCTTCTTAACGCAATAAGTAATAGCAAGTTCTTGTATGTGAAGTGCTTTTTTAATATTTATGAAACTTAATCATTTGAGAGAATTGAGAGGAATGCGATTTTGCAGCCAAAAAGTCGTTTCGCAACCCTATTATGAATATAGAACAAATGAAGAAGTAGCAGGAATAAAATCGTTACATTAAAAAAATCTTTGTGAACTTAACTGGATTGTTTGAAGATTGATCAAAGTATTGGTTTGATAGCGTTGTTAGGCAAAAAGAGTAACTTTTTTTACTTTTTTGAACCAAACCTTGTGCAACCTACTTTGAAGCTAACCTGCGACATTAGGAAGAACAGGGACTCTGCCAGTACCAGACTGAAATAGAGCTAAGCAATGTTTGGAACAACTTCTACACCAATAGAAAGAAAAAGAGCGATACCGATTCATGTGAGTTCGCAAGAGCCAGGTTTATCCCTAGTATTTGAAAACTCACTACTGGCTGCGAAAGAGATCGCAGGCCCTACAAACGCATAACGAACAGAGTAAAACAAAAGAGGAAAAAGACTATCCAGCGAAACCAATGTATCCAATATCAATTGAGCAGTACTATGTTAACGGAGATATAAAAAAACCAAAAAAAAAAGGACAAATGCTCCAGGAGGGGTTTGAACCCACGACCGTCGCGTTCCTCACACGACCGTGACTTAGGTATAATCTATGTCGTAACACGGCTATAAGCACGAAGCGCTAACCACTGCGCCACTGGAGCACCTGCAACCAATAACCTGCCGAGACTAGAATAGATGCGCTCAAATCACAAACTATCAAAAATCAAAATTTTTGAGCAAATAATAGGGTGCGTTCATTCCCAATCAAATATAATTCAGTGCCCAAAATAACGAAATCGCCGCGAATTTAGAGAAAATGATAATTTTGTATTTCGACAAATTGAAAAGTCCCAATAAATCCATCATATTTGGAGCTCAGAAGCCTGAATACCTTCGATTGGTTAATTTTGACTCAAAAGGAGACTGCTGGTTTCAACCATGAGTGATATGCTGGTTTCCATGATAACAAACGAGGAAGAATCGGATTATGTCAGACATCAACGGCATTCTGAAAGTCAAGGGCAACATTTTTCTTGGACTCAAAAGAAGAAAGCCTCGAGTTATCAATGATAAAGACTCTTTATAGCTTAGGGAGCCATCCATATAATCTAGGCCTTGTTTATTGCTCCTCAACAATTTCATGATATTGAGCCTCGAAAACATAAGATTCAAGCACGCTAGACATGACCGTTCACACCTAGTAATTTGATGAATTAATTCATGAAAAATCAAAAAGGTCACAACCTTCCAAGAAAAGTCAATCCCTTAAAGAAGAAATAAGCCCTGACCAACAGAATCAGCATCCGAGATCGAGCCTCGGACCCGAAGCCTTTATTATCCATGTGCCAAACAACACAACCAAAAAAAAAACTGCAGGTTTCTTCAATAAACAATACCCATAGATTTGCCTAATGCATCGCTTCGTAAATTACCCCTCGGAGCCGTTTAGGCCGTCCGAAGTTCTTGACTCAACGGTGTTTGCGAGAAAATAATAGAAGTCATAGACGCTTCCGAACGCAATTATCAGACCACTTTTCTTCAATTGAAGTAACCGACTTGAAACGAAAGCAAATGTGATAGAAGCATAAGGGAAATTAATTTGATAGTATAGCTCTTGAAACTGATACCTTCAAGATAGTGCCTAAACTTTATCCAGTGGTCACAGAAGATACTGAATGGGCCATTTTTAAATCCAATTAAGGAACCCCCGATGCAGCTTACGTCATGAAATTTACATTGACTCAATGCCATTCATGTCGCAAGAACTGTATTCGGATATGGCTCGGTCCTTCAATGTGGATATATGCTTAGTCAGTTTTTCGCAGCCATTGCGGGCCAGCCCACCTGTCTAGCCTCATGTCCTCATGTCTTATGCTGGGCAAAGCCGTTGAATGATAGCTTTAAGGCGGAGAGCAATACACTGGCAATGGATAAGGCTGACGCCTTGCCCCGCTTGGGAAGGAAAAGTGTTGAAACTTCCGACTTTGCATCCGTGGTGGTCTACCATAATCGCAGTGAGTCGCATCCATGAGATACATGCTTAGAGGAGGTTGAATAGACGCTTACGAGATGTTTATAAACTACTTTGATACTATTTATATGAATTTAGGAAGCATTGCACACCTGGTGCTTTTGATAAAATTAGGAGACATCAAGTAAGAGGTTGCTAGGCTAACACTGAGTGTGATGCGGAGGAGTAGTGCCGCATGCATTGATATTCCGGTTGCAATTATTGTGGATATCGGTATTCCTGACCGCCGTGTTTCGTCTCCCTAGTGGTATTGTATTTTATTGGCTTCGTAAATTTTATAGTTATAAATATCCACTTGTTTTCTCTATTCTTTTTTTTCATTTTCTTTAACTTATCCTCCCATGTTTCTTCAGAAGTTCGTCCGAGAAAGCTTCTTCGGTAGAATCATTTACCATCTTTCCGGTAGAGCTGTCTTTAATTATGCTGAAGAGAAACCAGACTATGAAATCCCTGCCAAGTACCTTAAGGGCTCAGAATTTTTAATTGACGCCTGTCTTGAGGAGACTTCTGATCCGTCAGACAAAAGTGCTTCGGTCCCTTCGGTGCAAAAACCTGGTATAATTATTGTGAATTGGGATAGTGATGATGATCCAGAGAATCCATACAATTGGCCTTTTTTATATAAGGCAATCTTCATTGCGCAAATTATGATCCTCACTGCGTTCGTCTACATGGCATCAGCCATCTATACTCCTGGAATTGAAAAGATTAAAGAAGAAATGGGTGTCAGCCAAGTGGTGGCTACGCTTCCTTTGACATTATTTGTCTTCGGATATGGTGTCGGCCCAATGGTGTTCTCACCACTATCAGAGAACGCAAAATATGGTAGGACTTCCATTTACATTGTGACATTGTTCATATTCTTTATTCTTCAAATTCCTACAGCGCTAGTGAACAACATGGCTGGATTATGCGTTTTGAGGTTTATCGCAGGCTTCTTTGCTAGCCCTTGTTTAGCCACTGGTGGTGCCTCAATTGCTGATGTCGTCAGCCTAGATTACATCCCAGTGGGAATCTCGTTCTGGTCAATTTCATCCATCTGTGCTCCTTCAGCAGGCCCAATGTTTGGTGCTATTTTGACTGTTAAGGCTAACTATCATTGGACCTTTTGGTTCATATGCATCACCTCCGGTGTATCGTTTCTTATTCTTGGGTGGATGCTTCCTGAATCGTACTCCAAGACGATTCTATACAGAAAAGCAGAGAGGCTCAGAGCCATTACAGGCAATAGCAATATTATGAGTGAAGGACATCTAGAAAATGCTCTGCTTACGACAAAAGAAATGCTCGTTGAGACGCTTTGGCGCCCCATTGAGGTTATTATCTTTGAGCCAGTGGTACTACTCATTAACATATACATCGGCTTAGTATATTCGGTTATGTACCTCTGGTTTGAAGCTTTTCCAATCGTATTCTACGAGGTGAAAGGCTTCACGCTCATTGAAATGGGAGTATCTTACATGTGCATTTTGGTTGGTGTCTTGATTGCGGCTGCAATCTACGTCCCTCTTATTTATCGGCAGTTCACCAAAAGGAAACTTAGAAACGAAGAGGTACACCCGGAAGTATTCATTCCTATCGCCATTTTCGGTAGCTTCCTCATGCCGATCGGTATCTTTATCTTTGGATGGACAGCAGCCGAAGATCTTCACTGGATTGGGCCATTAATCGGAGCAGCCATATTTGCGGCAAGTGCCTTCTTGATCTTTCAGACTTTGTTTAATTATCTCAGCATGTCTTTCTGGAGATACTTGGCTTCAGTCTTTGCAGGCAACGACTTGTTCAGGAGTTTGATGGCAGGGGCCTTTCCATTATTTGGAAGGCCATTATACCTCAACTTGAAAACTAACAGATTTAGCATCGGTTGGGGCTCTTCAGTTTTGGGTTTTATTTCTATCGCCATGATCGCAATTCCCGTCTTGTTCTATCTCAATGGGCCTAAACTAAGAGCCAGATCGAAGTACGCTGGTGCCGGCTGATAGAAATCCAGAATAAGTTAGCATAATTTGTGCCTTTAATGGATGCATCTTCTTTCAATGACATATCAACGCTTTAGTCTCTGGGCTATCACAGGTCCAAAAGTAGTTACCTATACCGGCACCCACAACGACAGCTAGCATATACCAACCGACGTAGGTCATAAATACCAACATAAGCATAAATGAGTATCCAACTAAGAAGCCATACAATATGGCAGACTTAATCCGGAGTGCAGTGTCTCTGTTGTTGGTTGCCGTGGGCAGCGCTGGTCTATGTCTCTTATGCCATCCACTCGACCAAGCTCTACAGAATTCGTAGAACATCGCAAGGAGCCCAATGGCTAATAAAGTGCCCAAAAAGCCAGGTAATGTCTTTACATGCCACCACTTGTATACCACACATGTGTTCTGCCAGTCCCAAGTGAAGATCATCTAAAGGTTAGTAAAAGCTAAAAGAAGAAACAAAATATCACATACGTTCATGTTGCACATCTCTGGCATGTCATGGCCAGGCATGTCGTGTCCCATATCGTGAGTAGTATGAAGTGAATGATCCATGGTAGGCTAAGGAAGAGTATTTATCAGGAGAGGAGACGCACGATAATGTGTGCCTTATGCGCACATCCATAGATCGAGCTGACACTCAAGAAGCTGAGGAGGTAGAATGACAGTTTTGGAAGAACAAAAGTTTTTAGACCAGAAGAAGTAATACTGTTACTATTGAAGTATCATTCAACGGTTTGGAAACTCGAAAGACTTCAAATCATTCATTTGGAGTGTTGTCTAGTGTAACATTGGGAATGGCTGCGAAAAAGTGGTAGGGGCCTCGAATGCAGCCACAGAGACGAGAATGCCACCCATCCCTTTCTATTCACACATTGAAAAGTGGGTAAAATGACTGGCAAATTGCAGTCCAGTAACACTTGGGACTATGATATGCGGACCTTAGCCATAGCAGGTTTATGCTACGTCCCAGTGGTACCATGGAGCCACAACCCAAAGACACACAATAGGGCCACTGAATACTCTCTATAGCTTACTATTGTAAAGGGTCGGGGAGAACTACGAGTGGACCAAGTTAGCAAAAAAATGCCCGAGTATATAAAGAGAAGTACCGGTTCATGTGATCCTGACGAAGAGAATCACTCCTATATCCCTCTGTATTCTAATTTTCCAATGATCCCTTATCCTTGCCAGCAAAAGGAAAGAGAAAAAGAAGAAAAAGAAATTATAACGGCTTTTCCAGACTCCCCCTCCTCTGGTATATTCTTCCTTACAGGGTCCTCGGATTCGATTGTGTCTCAGCTTTGTCTGCATAGGATTAGGACCGAAACCGCACTAGTACTGAAAGCTGGAAAACTCGTGTTTCTTCTACAGCTACAATCCTATGAAGATCTTAAACAGAGAAGAGAGAGAAGCTCATGCTACTCATATTGCTTCTGAGGGCTTGAAGGGCCTTTTTGTTGGTGGTTTGCTTTCTTTGGGTGCGTTTGGGTACCTTAAGTTGAAACATCCAGTTAGATTTAAACAGTTCAACACCTCCATTAAAGCTTGTATCTTGATTATGCCTACGGTCAGTTGCTGTGCTTTTTATGCTGACCAGGGATCGGTTCAGTTTGATAAACTCATGCGTTCAAGCCCTAAGAACGAACAGATTCTCATGAATCGCTTCAGGGATTGGAAAAGCAAGTCCACACCTGAAAAGATCGTCAGTTCAGCTAGAGGAAACAAGATTAAAGTCACCGTGGGTGCTTGGCTAGCATCTGTGGGTGGCTACTACGCTTACCTTAAACAAGATAATAGATTGGCGGAAGCACAGAGAATGGCTAAGTTGAAGACGTTCACTCTGGCGGTTTCTGTTGTGCTACTAACGACAGCTTTGGCTGCTTTGTATGTGGATAATGCCAATAGAGTTAGTGCCAAAGAACCTGTGAAACAGAAGAACTAGATGCTTGTCTCCCGAAATGGCTGCGAAGAGTTCTTCCACTTCAGCCATCGCCCTTAGATATGAACAACAACTTAAAGAATATGTAAATAGAGATATTAAAGTATAATTAGACGGATATAATTACCATTTCATCCCAGCAGTAGTAATTTATTTGGTTCCTTGAAGTCCGTATTACTACACGTGACTCACCTCGAACTACGATGCCATACAAAAGTTTTGCGTATACTCTCAGTCATATAGAAAGCTTCAACTACCCTAATCAATGCCACCCAAAAACAAAAAGCAAAGGGAGATTGTGCTGGACGAAAGGTTCCAGGCCATTGTGCTCACGGACTCCTTTGAGACCCGTTTCATGCCTTTGACATCAGTGAAACCAAGATGTCTTCTTCCATTAGTGAGCGTCCCATTGATCGAGTACACTTTGGAATTCTTAGCCAGAGCTGGCGTCAATGAAGTTTACTTGATGTGTTCCTCCCATGCTGATCAGATCCAGAAGTATATTGAGGAGTCTAAATGGGCCACCAACTCTCCATTCAAGGTTACAACCATCATGAGTTTAGAATCTAGATCCGTGGGTGATGCCATGAGAGATTTGGACAACAGAGGCCTCATTACTGGTGACTTTCTTTTGGTCTCGGGTGATGTCGTAACTAACATTGATTTTGACAAGGTCATGGCTTTCCACAAGCAAAGGAAGGCCGTTGATAAGGAGCATATTGTTTCGATGGTGCTCACTTCAGCAAGTCCATTGCATAGAACAAGATCTCATGTTGATCCAGCTGTTTTCATATTGGATAAACAGTCCAATCGCTGTCATTACTATCAAGATATCCCTCCTGCTGGAGGCAAAAAGAGCAGTATTAACATTGATCCAGAATTATTGGAGGACATTGATAACGACTTTGTCATTCGCAATGACTTGATTGACTGCCATGTTGACATTTGCTCTCCACATGTTCCTCAAATCTTCCAAGAAAACTTTGATTATCAAACCCTTCGAAGCGATTTTGTCAAGGGTGTCTTGTCCTCTGATTTGTTGAAGAAAACAATCTATGCATACATCGCCGAGGGTGCTGAATACGCCTCTCGTGTCGAAAGTTGGGATACTTATGATGCCATCTCCCAAGACGTTTTGGCTCGTTGGTCTTACCCTCTTGTTCCTGACATGAACTTGATTGGACTGTCTTACAAGTATGAATTCAACCATGTTTACAAAGAAGATAAGGTTGTGTTAGCTCAGTCTTGCAAAGTCGGAAACAGTACTTCTATTGGTGCAAACACAAGTGTGGGTGCTAATACTGCCATTGAAAAATCGTCTATCGGTCGCAATTGTAAGATCGGTGCTAATGTGACCATCAAAAACTCCTACATTTGGGACAATGCAATTATTGAAGACGAAGCGGTACTTAATAACGCTATTATTGCTAGTGGTGCTGTCATAAAGCGTGGTGCTGATGTCCGTAAAGGTGCAGTCATTGGCTACAACGTTATAGTTGGTACCGGAAAAACAGTTTCTCCACATACCAGAATTGTCGATAAGCCCGTCCAAAAAGAGTTCAGCGACGGGGCGTTTGAGCTGGACGACGAGGATGAGTCAGGTAATGCTGAAGCAGGACAGACCAACGCCAATGATTTGGACATTGTTGGTGAGGACGGCGAAGGTGTCATGTACATGTCTGACAGAGAGTTTGATGATGAATCCGAACTGGAAAGCGCCTCTCTCAACAACAGCATTTACCAGTTGAGTAATCTTAACGTTTCAGATGACTCTATTGCATCGGTCACAAAGAAGAAGATAAAGAGACATGCTCGCCACAACTCCCGCAGCAGCAGAAGAATGTCGGCAACATCTATACTTTCCACTGACTATGAATTCGAGGAAGAAGAGCAAGAGGACTTCAATAAGGAAGCTGTTGCTACGGTTGAAAGAGCCATGGAGAACAACCATGACTTGGACACTGCCCTTCTTGAGCTTAATACATTGAGAATGTCCATGAATGTGACCTACCACGAGGTCCGTCAAGCCACTGTTCTGGCCATGGTGAAGAGAATTGTTCACTTTGTGTCTACTGATACTCTCAACGTGAAGGAGGCTGCAGCAAAGATCTTCAACGACTGGGGAGGACTCTTCAAGAGGCAAGTTTTCTCTCAGGAAGAACAACAGGACCTTGCACAGACCATCCAGGAGGCTTGTATCACTGTGGACCAAGAGTACAATCAGGTTGTGTTGTTTATTGCTCTTCGACAACTTTACGAGAAGGATATTATCGAAGAAGATAACATTTTGAAGTGGTGGGATTCCGAAGCCTCGTCTGAAAACGAAGGCTTGAGACAAGTGCGTGGTTTGACGGCGCAGTTTGTCGAATGGTTACAAGATGCCGAAGAAGAAAGTGAAGAGGAGAGCGATTAAACGAAGAAAACAGGCTGAGTTATCATCGTGTCATTGAAAGAAATCAAGAAGTTTGATGAAAAGGAGATACCGAGGATGCTCTCATCGCAGCGTGAAAAAGATACGAGAGGGTGTATTGTCTTGTGCAAGACGGGCAGATAAGGTGATGAAGCATACGCGAAGCAGCGATTAGGAACGGCTAAAGCACCACCAAGACTCTGCTTTGTTACCAGTGGAAAAACCAGTTTCCCAAAACAACGTATCCAGCAAAGACAACAAAGACTAAAGTTTAATCTCTGCTAGTCTCGTTGGATAAGATACTTCTTGCGCCCCATTCTGAACTGATGACATTGGCGCGCGCAGTGAAATATCGCTTATACGACGTGGTGCCATTTAAACAAACTACCCGCATCTCATCTCCATAGAATATATAAACCGACGCTGCCTCGGCAAGGATAGACTTTATTACCCAAGAAGCACTCTAGAAAACAAAACCCTCGTTTTAAACATGTCCTACGACGCTATTGTGATCGGTGCTGGTGTGGTTGGACCTTGTGTCGCTACAGCTTTGGCCAGACAAGGCAGAAAAGTGCTTATAGTCGAAAGAGACTGGAGTGAACCAGACAGAATCGTTGGTGAGTTGATGCAGCCTTCTGGACTCAAGGCTTTGAAAGAGCTTGGTATGATCCAGGCGGTCAACAACATCGATGCGGTGTATGTGGACGGTTACTACATAAAGTATCACGACAAGCGTATCCAGATTCTGTACCCTGACAGATCAGAGTGTGACAAGACCAACCCAGTGAAACCCGTTCCAGACTGTGTTTTTGGTGACAACGACAAGTACGCCTCGAACGACCCTTCCATCAACGCCGCAGAGTGGGACCAGACTGAGAATGTGCGTGGACTTGGCTTCAGTAACGGTAAGTTTTTGACTAACCTTCGAGCCATAGTCAGAGCCGAGAAGAATGTCGACTGGATCGAGGGCTCTGCTACAGAAGTGCTTAGAGATGAAGAAGACCCTGATAGAGTGATTGGTGTCAAGGTCAAGAGCCTCAAGGGTGACTTCACTACGTACCAGGCTAAGGTCACTTTTGCATGTGACGGTATCTACTCCAAATTCCGTAAGGAGCACTCTAAGAATAATGTTGCCGCTGTGGGCTCTTACTTTGTGGGTCTCCAGTTGGAAGACGCCAAACTTCCTGCCCCACACCATGGCCATGTCATTTTGGGTGATCATGCCCCTGTTCTTGTCTACCAGACGAACAAGAGAGAAACCAGAGTTTTATGTGCCTACCGTTCGACAAAGCCACCTTCGGCTGCAAACGACACTTTCTACAAGTACTTGGAGCAGGAGATTTTACCATCGTTACCCGAGGAGATCAAGCCTAGCTTTGAGCATGCCATGGCTGGCCGCAAGTTCAGACCTATGCCTAATCAGTACTTGAGTGCTCCTAAACAGGGTGGTCGCAACAAGGGATTTATTATGTTGGGCGACTCGTTGAATATGAGACATCCACTTACAGGAGGCGGCATGACGGTGGGATTGAACGATGCTGTGTTGCTTACCAAGCTTTTGCATCCTAAACAAGTGCCCGAGTTGGACGATTACGACTTGATTTCCAAGAAGTTGAAGCAATTCCACAGTAAGAGAAAGAGACTTGATGCTGTGATCAACACACTCTCAATTGCATTGTATTCCTTGTTTGCTGCCGACAGCAGGCCCCTTAAGATCTTACAAGAAGGATGCTTCAAGTACTTCTTGCTTGGCGGCGACTGTGTCAAGGGCCCCATTGGATTGCTCTCAGGTATGCTTCCATTTCCCATGTTGTTGTTCAACCACTTCTTCTCTGTTGCCTTTTACGCGATCTATTGCAACTACTGCGACAGAGGCTTTGCTGGGTTCCCGGTGGCCTTGTATGAGTCATTTGAAGTCATCTTCACTGCTGTGATGGTATTCACGCCATACTTGTGGAAGGAGCTCGTCAACTAGACCTACTCCTATCCAAATGCTGGAAAGAAGACTGGAAAAAAAGGAACCACAAAAAAAAAAAAAAGCACGCATTAATTTAGAACTCGCGTGAGGCTCAATCAAGGAGACGTTCATCCACGAAGAGCGTAGTCTATATAGCCAATCCACTGTTGTCATTCATTCTTCTATTATAGCTGCAGCTCGGTAGAACGTGCCTTGGTCGGTGCCTGGTTTTTCGCAGCCATTGACTTCACTGCAGATACATGCCAGAAGCAGATCTGTAAAATGAAGATCATAACCACTGGGGACGATTTAAACTCAACCCAAGACAAAAACCACCCCTCCATACCCAACGGCTACTCACACTGCTCTTCCCCTCTGGACTTACCTTTTCCCAATTCTTCATCAGCCTTTTTGTGATTCAAAACGGCCAAAATGTCTCTCGTCGACTGCACAGACAGCCAGGCATCAGCTCGTGGGGCAGATACGCTAAAAAAAAAAAGGCAGTGTATACGGCAAAAACCAGCTATATACAACACACGAGTTCGTCAATTGACAAAAACAGGCTCGTTTTTTGCTAAATTTATTCCCTTCCATCTTAGCCTGCCATGTCTGAAGCTCCCCTTCTAGGCAGACGTCCAGCCACGCGTACGAGCTTCAAGGATTCAGCTATCTTTACTTTGAAGCTGACCTTGCTTTCCTCGCCGGTCAATTACCTCCTTGTGTTCGTGCCCTTGGGGCTTGTTGCTGGAGGGTTGGATTGGGGCCTGAACGCTGTGTTCTGGCTCAATTTCTTTGCCATTGTGCCTTTGGCTTCTGTGCTTGCTTATGCTACGGAAGAGTTGGCTGAACATACGGGTGAGACCATTGGCGGTTTGTTGAATGCTACTTTTGGCAATGCTGTCGAATTGATTGTTTCAATCATTGCCTTGGCAAATGGCCAGGTTCGTATTGTCCAGGCTTCGATGCTTGGTTCGATCTTGTCCAACTCATTGCTCGTGTTGGGATGCTGCTTTATTGCTGGTGGTATTACTCGTGTGCAGCAAACGTTTAACCAAACGGTGGCCCAGACCATGTCCTCGTTGATGGCATTGGCTACGGCTGGCCTTTTGCTTCCTGCTGCTTTCCACGCGTCTGTGCCCTCAGAAGGAAAGTCCAAGTTCCCAGATCCAGACTCGGAGGCTGATTTGAAGATCTTGAGCCTCTCGCGTGGCGTAGCCATTATTTTGCTTGTGCTTTACATTTTATACTTGGTTTTCCAATTAAGAACTCACAAGGCTCTCTTTGAAGAGCAGTCGCAAGAGGACGATGGTATCATTACTTCGAGTCTTCCACCAGAGGGTACTGTTACCAAGGCTGATTCTGAACACTTGACCATTACCGGATCACTTGCAGTGCTTGTCATTGCTACAGTGCTTGTTTCCTTTTCAGCAGACCTCTTGGTGGGCTCGATTGATGACATTGTAGAGCTGCTGGGACTTTCCAAGACGTTTATTGGTTTGATCGTCATTCCTATTGTCGGTAACGCTGCTGAACATGCCACTGCGGTGATTGTTGCAATGAAGGATAAGATGGACTTGGCCATTGGTGTTGCCGTGGGCCTGTCGTTGCAAATTGCACTCTTCGTGACACCATTCATGGTGATCATTGGCTGGATCATCGACGTTCCAATGTCGTTATACTTTTCTACTTTTGAAACGGCAGTCATGTTCGTTTCTGTCTTCATCACCAACTTGGTGATTCTCGATGGCGAGTCCAACTGGTTGGAGGGAGCCATGCTTTTGAGCACGTACCTTGTGGTGGCGCTTTCTTTCTTCTACTATCCAGATCACCAGGCCACCTAGAATGTATGAATTTACTTGATTAGGAACTCACATTGTCATAGTAGTAACCTGAACGGTATCTGGACGCCGCAGGGCAGAATGAACACAAAGCGCACAAGACAAGAGCCTCACCGCCCACGGGGACATCCAACCGATCACTCCATTGTCTAAAGACACCAACCTACCTTTGCTGACGACCCATTTTCTGCTTTCATCGAAAATCAACCTTTCCTTCCTTGGGTCCCTTTACCACCTGCTCCCCCTTCTTCCCATTTCATTTGTGCTATTTAATATTCTCCTCCTGGCTAATTTGCGCACTATGGCGTTATTCGCGCCCAGTGATTTGCAGCCATTTAATTAAGTACTTTCACCACAAAAAAGAGTACCTCACTCCTCACAAAACCGCCCCAAAGACGCCTCTAAACCACAAGGCAGATCCCAATATTCTCTGACAGGAAACTATACCTAACCAAACATGCAAATCACCTGTATGTTCCAGAAAAACCCGTGCCTTTAAACTTTACAGTAACGCCCCGTTCCATCTAATAATGGCTCATCCCTGCCGCGTGCCTGTTTGAACCGCGTCTCTCCTGGACGCAGAAAACACGCTAAGAATGGCTGCGAAATCCTGTCGAGGAATATAACTCTTTCTGCGGCGGTGCCTAAACTGGGAAATAAAAAGTGACAATGCTCCCGTTCCTTGGAAATTATATATCTTTCGATTCCTTTCATACTTGTTCATAACTTGTTTTTTTTTCTTCCACAACAACCGTTCAACCAACTTCCAAACCCCAACACTGGCCTTAATCTTCCCCTTCCCCTTCCTTCATCAACATATAATTTTTCACTTTTTTTTCCACATGTCGGACTACGAAGCTCTTAAGGTCTTCTCCAGACAACCAGTGTCTCAAGAAATGGTTGAGTTTTTGGCTGCCACTACGTGTTCTGTCATCCAGGTGAAGCCTGTTGTCAATCCTAAAAGCCTTCAGGGCCTGATGGTTGTTACTCCTGTGACCAAAGAGGCGGTTCCTTTGACCCAGTTTATTTCCAAGTTGATTGAATATTCAAATGTGCAAACGCCCACTCTCATGGCTGCCTTGGTATACTTGAACAGACTCAGAAATGCTTTGCCAGGCAACGCTGTGGGTATTGAAACCACCCGCCACCGTATCTTTTTGGCTTCTCTCATCTTGAGTGCCAAATCCCTTAATGATTCCAGTCCGTTGAATAAGCACTGGACAAAGTACACTGACGGTCTCTTGTCCAATAAGGATGTCAACTCGGCTGAACGTGAACTTATTGGCATTTTAAAGTGGAACTTGAATGTCGATGAGCAGGAACTCGTGGCTGCTTTGCAACCTTTCCTTACCAGAATCAAAAAGGACCTCCAGAGAAAGCACGAACTCGAGTGCAACGCCAAATCAGAATACTACCGCATGTCGAGCTTCTACTCCAGCAACTCGCTTGCCTCGTCTCGTTCTTCCTCCAAGAGTTCCATCTTTTCTGCTTCCAACTATTCCCTTAGGAGTGCTGCTTCGAGCTCCCAAAACCTTGCTTCTGAAAACGATCCAGCTTACATGGCTCCTTCCAGCAGCAGAATGCCTTTAGCTGCAAGACTGTCAACTGCACTTAACCAGATGCACAAGAACAGTTTCTACAAGACCACAGACACATCAGTACGCTCAGGCGGACTTTTGCCTTCTGCTGTTGTCTAGATCGGCCCTAATCTTTTTGCATTTTTATCTTCACTTCTTGAACACTATTTATTTGGGACGCTTTTTTAAATACCCCGTTTAATTCCACCCTGGAGGGTCAATATACACATTGAAATGATCTCGTCGTAGCTGTTACTTGAAACCCGGCTTTCTATAAACATTATATTAGTGCTGGTGAGGGTCCTCTTTTGGTGGGTCTGGAGTCACCGTAATCATCGTGTCGATTCTCAAGATAGAGATGCATGCTTCCAAAGCTGATTTCAACGATCTGACCTTCGAAACTGTAGGCTCCAAGACGCCGTGTAGCGTCTCGTTGACGATCTTACCGTTGAGCAAGTCCAAACCGTAGTTCTTGTACTTCTTTCTCTTCACGTCTGTAGGCAACGCCGTTTGGGAAGCTGCGTGATATGTTCTCAATTTGGCAATCAAGTCGGATGAGTCCTTTGCGGCATTGACAGCCAATGTTTTTGGAATAACTAATAGAGCGTTAGCAAACTCTGCAATTGCAAGCTGCTCTCTTGAGCCAACAGTAGTAGCAAAGTTTTCCAAGTATATGTTCAAAGCTGCTTCGACTGCACCACCACCTGGGACAACGTTACCGCCCTCCAAGGTTCTCTTCACAACACACAAGGAATCGTGAATCGATCTCTCCATCTCATCCAAAGAGTACTCGTTAGGACCACGCAAGATGATAGAAGACGAAGAGTGCTGTTTCGTACCCTTGACCAAGATACATTCGTCGTCGCTAACTCTGGTCTGAACAACCTCGTCAGCGTAACCCAAGTAAGAGGATTCGAAAGTTTCTTCACCCTCCAAGTTGGACAAGTTGCTAACAAGGGTGGCACCAGTAGCACGAGCGATTCTACGCAAGTCCTCCTTCTTGCATCTTCTTACAGCAATAGCGCCAACCTCGACGAACTCCTTCAAACAGAGATCATCAATACCCTTAGTTGTAAGAACGACATTGGCACCTGCATTGATGATCTTCTTAATTCTTTCAATGATAATGCCGTACTCTCTCTTTCTGATTTCTTCCAACTGGTCTGGATCTTCAATGTTAATCTGGACACCCATAGCCATACGAGCCTTCTGCAAGTTAATGTCCAAACAAGCAATACGGGCGTTCTTGACAGACTTGTTCATAGCCTGAGAAGCGACAGTACAGTTAAGAGCGTAACCATCCACCAACATGGATTCGGTGGAAGACTTACCATGAGCCTTCAAGATGTTAACAGCCTTGACAGGGTATTTCGTCTCTCCCTTTGGAGAAGTGGTCTTAACAGCCAACATGGCATCCACGACCATGTTACCGAAGAATTCAGAGTCAGATCCAATGATCTTTGACGACATGGATGTTCTGGCGATGCTCACCAACGTGTCTTTAGTCAAGTCGCTGACGGACTGGGAAAGCACCTCGTTAACATAACGAATAGCTTCACGCAAAGCCAATCTGTAACCTGTGATAATAGTGGTTGGATGGACCTGGTTTCTGACCAACTCGTTGGCTCTCTTCAACAACTCAGAAGCGAAAATAACAACCGACGTAGTACCGTCACCGACCTCACGATCCTGCTGCTGGGCCAAGTCGACCAAAATCTTACCAGCCGGGTGCTGGACATCCAAAAGCGCCAAAATGGTGGCACCATCATTCGTAACAGTCACGTCACCAATGTCATCTACTAGCATTTTGTCTAAACCAACTGGTCCAAGGGAAGACTTGACCACATTGGCGACCGAAAGTGCAGCCATGACATTCTGGTTTCTGATATCATCACCGCTGACTTTTTCTCCGCCCAAGAAAAGGGTATCTGAGCGAGCAGCCGAGTACATGATTGATGGTTGGATTGGTTTGGTGAAGGTGGAGCGAAAAATACAGATTCAGTTGGAGTGATTTGGCGCGGGCACGACGTTCAAGGTCCATAGTGGGAGACAGACAGAGAAGGTGAAGAGAATGAAGCGTTAATATATGTTTATTTAATTTGATGGTGACGTGATCTGATTTGAAATTGTTCTATAGTTAATGCTCGAATTTGACGTGGAGATGTGGTAACTATGTATCAGACTTAGTCCATCACAGTTGAGAAGGTTATGGAACGAAGACCTGAGACCTACCATTTTTAGCTCCTGAAAGTACTTAATTATTTCTGAAACTTCATAAATTGTCTTTACTAAGTGCTTCTTCTTCCTTAATGACGTGTTTAACCAAAGCGTAGAGTGAATGCTCTTCTAATAGGATTGGCTGCGAGTCAATCAACATCAACACTATTCATCAGGAGTACAGAAGAGCAAGAAAGCCTGAAAAAACCTGGTTGGCAACGAGTTCTCGAGTGGAGGGCTTCCTTTGGCGCCCGAGGCTGTCAATGGTCTGCCACTTACTGCAAAGGGATGCTCTTATCCGCATTTGGAGGTATTTCGAGAACTCGGTTAAGCCTATATATCCTTATTCACTCCCGGTTTCTTTCCAATTGTTATAATGAATTTTGTGTCATACCACTTCATCCCGTTGACGAGAAAGGGGGCAGTTACACAAGAAGATAGAGAAGGCTTGACGACATGAGAATAGATCTTAGCCACTATTCCTTTGTCCATCGTTGCAAATTTACGCCGTAAAGCAATCCCTCAGAGTAAATTAGCAAAGAAACAGTCGGCTACTTCAATTGACGACCTGGCATATCTAGCCGAAAGGGCCACAGAAGATCATCAAAAGACTTACCAAAAGGGCTACCACTGGCTATGAAAGTGGAATATCGGGTTACCAGAACCGTTCTAAAGGATCTAGAATGGCCCAAAGACCAGAACCTGCTTGCGACGAACCGCCCAAGGGGAGCCCACGAGGAGTTCACAAAGACAGTAGCTCCCATGCTAATGCCGATGACAAGACTAACGTATCGAATCGAAAGGCTGACCGATCCGCAATGCCTGTAATTAACCACCCTTCGTCAAAAACTTCTTTGCATGGTCCATGCTTTGACGTAAATGAAACGACGTTTTACATGGGCTAGCCCAATCTGTCCAAGCGCTAGGCTATGCGTTCATACCCTCCAGTGCTGAAATTCTACAGAACAGTAGGAACAACTTATAAGATTCCGTCAGATATCAACATACCTTCTATAAAAAGGTAGAATACGCTTCCTGCTGTCACCTGCACTGGTCTGTTCCAAATCGATGGGATCGTCACCAACTCAGAGTGGCTGCGAAAATGTGGTAGACTCTCAACATACGTCATTCCAAACTTGGAACGCTTGACGAATTAGACTACTACATGTTCCTCCATAATTTTTCTTGGCCAAACTGTGCCCCTTTTTTTTACCCTGTGTCGCTTGCATGCGCTTTCGCTTGTTTATTTGGGTTCCTTACAACAAAGCCTACTTCCTTGACGCGGTATGTCCCTCATGCCAGTAGGTACCACTCCACAACCAATCAAACTAAGGTAGCGCAAAGAAAACAGCAGCTGTAGTCATGCACAAATCTGTTGCTGAATGTTAGTCGGCTCGTTTGGGGTAGATTACGTTTGGCAACAAGGACAAAAATCACGGACCATGGCTTAGAGGGTGAACCTTTGGTTACAGAGGCTTTGGCTGGATATATAAAGCCAGGGTTCTTCGTCACATTCTTTACTCATCAGATATGAAGCTCTCTATTCTTTACGCTACTACAGCAGCAGCAGCGCTGACTTTCCAGATCATGACTCTCAGGTCAGGTACTCCCTACCAGGGTGGTCGTCTTGGTCTGTCTTCAGGCCAGGTTGTATATGCTGGTGGGAGTGAAATCAAGTGGGTTCTTAACGACGATGGCTCTTTGGCAGACAAGAACTCCAAGAAGTACCTTACCGTTGAGGATGGTTGGTTTGTGTTTAGCGACACTGCTGAGAAGGCCTTCTCTTTGGATGCTGACCGTTTGGCCTACAACGACGAGCCATCGTTTGGAATCTGTCCTGACGACCACGGAAGGGTCCAGTTCAACGGTACTTGTTCTGACTACACTGGTGTTGCCCTTCAGGCTGTCGGTAAGAAGTTTTCGTTTGGATACCACCCAGACCGCTTCCACTGGCCAGGAGAAGAACCTGAATCCTCCTCTGCAAGTGAGAGTCCACATACCACCATCGCCAAAAGAGAACCTACTAACGCTGGAGGTGCCATCTACGATCCTCTGAACACCAACCCAGCCTCGATCCAAGAACCCAAGCCAAAAAACGGTGAGGAGTTCTCTCTTACTGTCAGTAAGAACCGCGGTTGGTTCTGGCACTGGACTAAGATCAAGAAGTTTGACTTGCACCCTCACGTGTACTCCCTTTCCAGAAAGTCTGGCAAGGAGGTGAAGTTCCTGTTCCAGGATGACGGCAAGTCCTTAACTGACTCTGATGGTCGTGACGTTATTGTTCGTGACAACGGAGAGATGGGAGAAGTGGCTCCTGATGGCCATGAGAAGGCCCTGCCATACTTTGACGTCAAGAACGGGTACCTCCTTTTCAACGGCGACTCTTGGTGGTGGGCATGTCCAAACGACGTGGATGATCTTTACGTTTCGAAAAAGGAATGTGAAAATGGTAAAGCTTTCAACTTTAGAGTAAGATGATGGCTGCAAACTGGTTGCAAAATCCCTGCATTCACGTCAAGCATGCAATCAAAACGCACCCCGCCAAAAAGCAACTAAAGGGCTGTGACGAGCAGATGTTGCTGGTACACAGTAAATATCTGCAATTTCTAGTTTTTCTAGTTTATGAACAAATGGTTGGTTTTCTTTTTTTATTGTATATTGGTAGCATTACATAGCCTGTTTCGTTTCTTTTGCTCTTACCGTGAGCCGCCCCTCCTGCCTATTATGGTATGCGTACGGAAAATGTATGCACCCTCTATTTAATGGGACCATCATCGTACCGATAAGGATGAAACTTCTTTTTACTACACCTTCTTTTGCAAAAAAACATGGGCCTTGGTAAACTACCGTTTCTGGCTGCTTGGTATGCCTCCTCATACCTCTTCAACGGTGACCTTTCAGGTTTTGGCAAGTATTCCAATAACCTTAAGGTGATTATGGAGATCGTTGCGATCAAGTCTGTCATGACTATGGATAAGAGACGCTTTCGCTTCCTCAACTTTAAGTCGGTTGCACATGTTCTTCGTAATGTGAAGTCCAGCTATCCGAAGGCTACAAGCCAGCTTCCAGGGTATAACACGCAGTTTGATGACAACTCGTATTGGCTCGTTAAGCAGCCTGACTTGAAGGAAGATGACACTGTCTTCATTTATTGCCATGGAGGTGGCTTCTTTTCTCAGCTTGGTCCTAACCAGGTCAGTGGATTGATAGAAAGCTACTTGCTCTTGCCTCCAGAGAAACGGGCAAAGTGTTCTATCTTGATCTTAGACTATGGCTTGACCTGTGATGGCCACACCATGCCAACGCAGATGACTCAGCTCTATGAGACTTACTACAAGGTGCTTGATTTGCATAGAAACGTCGGTCTTATAGGCGACTCCGCCGGCGGAAACTTGGCTATTTGCCTTACTCAGCATTTGAAGGAAAAGAACGCTCCCAAGGAGGATTACCCTTTGAAACTCATGGTTGTCTCACCTTGGTTGAATCTTTATCCAGACGAGGAGACTATCCCAGAGACCTCGTCGTTACGCACCTGTTCTAGTGAAGACATCATCCCTTTCCCGGCTTCCAGTGAGATTGAGAAGCAGATGCTATTTGGTGATATAGACCGCAAGAAGTTGCTGGTTTCTCCTATGTCGAAGTTACCAGCCCTTGAGAGTGACTGGTCGGATATCCCCACATTTAATGATCCCGAAAGGAAAATATTCATGATATGTGGTGAGAGCGAAACCTTAAGAGACGAATGTCTCTGGTGGGCAAAGTACGCCTTAGGTATAGACTGGTTTGGTCATACCTATAGCGACGAAGAGCTTGGGCCTGAGTTCTATTCCTACGAGACAGAGAATACCAGTGTATTCGTAGAGCCCCAGGGCTACCACATCAGTATTTTCTTGTTTGAGAAGAACTTGCTCAAGAAGATAGAAAACAACACTATTACAAGCGCAGAACAGCTTACCGATGAGAGAAATTACTGCCTCAAGAGGTTCACTCAATTCCTCCAACAGGCGCTTTAATAGGAAGACGTTAAAAGTGTCCGATTTTATACATTTACGATTGCAGCAGCGATCACCCACAATCCCACCCTGCCTTCTATAGGCTACATTGAATATACTTTGTTTATCTAGAAGATTTCCAGCATATCATCTGGTGCCGCATAATGTACCAAAAGAGTGTTAAGGAGCACATAGTAGATCGCGCCACTCCGGTCGTGTGCTTCCCAGTATCACCTCAAGAGACGCAACCAAAACAAACCGTGTTTATCTCCTGGTCTAGTCAATTGTTCAAGGATAATATTAATGTTGTCTTCAAGAATTGGTGCTTTGAGAACTTTGGCCGCCCCTCTTGGGGTCGCCTCGATGAGAACCTTTATGTACTCCGCTGTTGCTTTCGCCAAGTCAAGCTCGAGGGAAGTAGATGGTATCAGGAGTGAGAAGAGAAAGGTCCTGGACTTGACAGCTCAGCTCCGCAAAGAAAAGAAAGTCTTGAGAGACTTGGTCAAGGCTCACAAGGAAACTGTCAAGAACCACAAGAAGCTTAATAAGGAAAGAGCTGCCGAGGATAAGGCATACCGTCCTGTCAAACACATTAGCGGGTTGAACATTTTTGTCAAGGAGAACGCTGGTAATGGTGCCCGTGTGGACGAAATTGTGCCTCGCTGGACATCGCTCTCGGATAGCGAGAAGCAGCTGTACGCCAAGAAGGCCGAAGAACGTAACCAGCAGCGTATCAAGCTTTACACACCAAAGCCAAAGAGACCTGCAAACGCGTACTCCACTTTTGTGAGGGAGAACTGGTTCGATGGTGACAGTTTTATCTCTGTGCTGAAGACCTTGGCTAGTCAATGGAAACAGTTATCTAAGCAAGAGAAGGAATCGTATGGTATCAAGGATGACAGTATGGAGAAGTATAAGCAAGCCTTGAAGGCTTGGAGGGAACACAGACTTAAGGTCTTCCGCGAGCATGGCCCTCCATAAGCGAAAAGTCACGAATGTCTTTTTATCTAAAAGTGTATTCATTAATCTTGATAGTCTATATGATCATTGTAATGCTTTTTTTTGCATGCCTATCCTCGTAAGTACTCTTCTAAGCTCTTCCGGAAGAATAGGTTTTGAAATGAAGTCTGTCATTCCACAATTGAGGCACTTGTCACGGTCCTCACCTGCAACATTAGCCGTGAGTGCAACGATTTCAGGTAACGAATTGACATGTCCTCCGATAATAAAGGTCTCTTTAAGTTCAATCGTTGCTGTGATACCATCTTTCCTAGGCATTTGGATATCCATGAATATAACGTCATATTTTCCTCCAGATTCTAGCATGGCATCACACTTTTCGAGAACTTCAACACCATCCTTGGCATGGTCAGCGACATAACCCAACTTCTTCAAATGCTGCAGGGCAACACGCAAGTTAATAGCATTATCTTCAGCTAGTAATATTCTGAGGGGATACGTTTCTCCCAATATAGGCGTTGAACCAGTGCCCTGCTGCTTGGGCTTCACCTGGCCAGGCTCTTGATAACTCCCTCTCAAAATTTCTTCAACTCTCGATCTTCTCATAGGCGCAAAGAGAATAGAACTGATGCCTAGCTCTTGAAGGTTGAGATGAGACACCGGTGTCCCGAATTCAGTGATGAGATGAATGTGAGTAGCCGTTCCTTTGAGCTTTTCAATGGACTTGCTGAGTTGACTTAAGTAACTGTCATGGACAAAAACAATATCGTAGCCGAGTGGCAGCTCATTGAAATCTTCCGCCTTATTAAAACTCAGAAGGTCAGCGTTAAGATAAGTAAGCTGCTTAGAAAAGGCATCTCTGCGTAAGCAATCACCAGCGACAAGCGCAACCTTCTGACGTTTAATGTCAATATGTTCCTCGATTTTGCTAACTTCGAAAGGACAGGTAAAGTAAAATGTAGTTCCAGCACCTTCAACACTTTCAAAATGGATAGATCCATTCATGATATCGACTAACTTTTTGGAGATGGCAAGACCGAGACCAGAGCCACCATGGACACGACGCGATGAACCGTCCACTTGAGAGAAGGCACCAAAGACCTTCGACTTGGAATTGGCAGGAATTCCGATACCAGTGTCCTCGACTGTAAGCTTGAGATCATATCTGTTTTCACTGATATGCTTTGATTCTAAACTTATCTTGATGTAGCCTTCCATGGTAAACTTGACGGCATTACCCACCAAATTGATGATGATCTGACGAACCCTGGTACTGTCACCAAGTACTTCAACAATATTTGGACAATTATTGTAGAAGACAATCTCGAGATTTTCGTTGCTAGTCTGCTCACTAGTTACTTGAATTGCACTTTCCACACACGAGTTCAAATCAAATGGAGCACAATCCAAGTTGAAGGAGCCATGCTCGATCTTACTGAATGCAAGGATACCGTCAATGATACTGAGAGTGACGAGAGCAGAGCTCTTAATAGTTTCCACATATTCTCTCTGAGCATCGGTCAAGGAGGTGTCCAACAAGAAGAGCGAACATGCAAAAAGCGAATTGAACGGAGTCCTGATCTCGTGAGACATGTTGGCCAAGAAACTAGCTTTCTCTGCTGTTGCATCTTCAGCAGCTTTCTTAGCAAGTTCCATCTGAGAATAAACCAAAGACTTGCTGAAAGATACAGCTGCCTGGGAACAAAGCAAGTCAATCAAGTCAATCTTTCTGGAATGGAAATGAGGAGCGCTCTGCGGAACTTCATTTGGTAAAGCATGTCTTTCCAAATAGATTGCACCAAGTACAGTCGAACTCTTTATAGGAATGCAAAGTGCAGATGAACAAGGGTTGTGAAGGTAGTAATGGTCTGAACCGAACTTTGAATCGAAAAGCGCCGGATTCTCGTCCTTATTTATCGCTTCGCCCATAAGTAAAGAATGAACGATGACGGAATAAGGAACCAAGTCCGTTCTGAATCCTAGTGGCTCATCATCAAACTTGTACAAGTTGTTCAACGTTCCAATGGCTTTGATGATTGGCTCAGTCAGATTGAGGTTGAGAACAATGGCACCATAATCAACATTCGAGAAAAGAATGGCACTTTCAAGTAAGCTGGTAACAATAGAATCAATATCCGAAGATTCTGAAATCGTCAAGCAAAGCTTGATTGCTTTTGTAAGCTCAGATTGTGTAGGTAAGTCGTTCGTAGAACCTCTGAGCATCAAGTTGGGCTCCTGGTTACCATTCACACTAGCGTTACTTTCCTGCCTTGGAAGTGGTGGAGGGGCGTTGCCACGGTATTTACTTTCCGCAAAGATGTGCTGAAGCTGATCATTAAGCAGATGTGGCAATCTCTGGTTGGCTTGCGGGCCATCAGAGAAGACTGAAACTCCGGCCCAATTGAAGCTGTCAAAAGCCGAAGAGAATTCATTTTGCAACCGTGTAACTTGCCTATCGGCCTTAAGTGTTGCTGCGATAGAAAGGGCATTTTGGGCGTAATAAGTTATCCTTTTCTTACTTTCTGAGGTCTTGACTAGCCATCTAGCACATAAGTAATTTGCCAAACAGGCCTCTATCCAACGAGTAGCTTTATTTGCGGCATCTATAGCGACCTCAAAGTTATCAAGAATGGTCAAAGATGACCTATTCTTTTGGGTACAACTGTAACAAGCGGTGAGGATGGCCAATTTCGTTTCGAAGTTAGGAGGACAAACGTCGGACCATAGGTCAAACATCCTCAATATCTTTGCTGCCAATGCTAGGGATGCTGTACCAGGCATAGAATCAGCACCCAAGCATAATGAGACGCCAGCGTAAAAGTAAAACTCCAAGTGAAATATCGAAATAGGCAATCTCCTCAGGACATGATAACAACGGTCCAAAACAATTTCTGCCGCTTCTTTGTATCTTCCCTCTGAGGTAAGCCAAATAACTGCATTTGCCAAGTAGACAAATTCCAAATCTGGTCTCTGTTGAGCTGTGAGCTTGGTATACTTCTCTTTGTAGGATTTATAGCTGATATCCTCTGTCCACAAACCTAAAGCGCCCTGTGAAATCATGTTGTCATCGTCGTTTGCAAAAGTCATCAGTTGCTTGAATGTTGAAGGATGTGTTGAATTTGTCAAGAAAGACAAAAGGAAGTTTGAAGCTGTGACAAATACAGTCATGCAAGAGCCACTTGGTTTCATGAGTGAAGCATCTTGAGTGTTGAACCCTTCGGAAAACTTGACTAGCTCGGTTGTAGTATGTTTGAAGGAAGCCATCAATGTTACGAACGTCTCATAAATTTCGTTGGTAAGCTCAGTACTTGATCCCCAAAGTTGTTCACGAAGGACAAAGCCACGTCACATAATTCAATAGCTTTGGCTGTATTGTTCCTCACATTCGGCTGAACGAAGTAATTAGCAAGATGGATCAAAGGGATAGCACAGTTTGCAGTTACACCATGCGTATTCATAAGACGAATCAACTGAGACAACAACGCCATCCTTAAATGTGACATTCCTAAAATATATGTTGGCGTTATGGCGTCCAGAATCAAGTCAACAATAAATTTAAACCTTTGATTATTCGACGGCCGAAGATCCTTCATTGCTCTTATATCTGCAACTGAAAGAGGCGCTTGATTAATGAACTTATCCGCAATCTCTTCACACTTCTGAGGATCGCCAGATACTTCGACGCCAAGCGATTCAAGGCCTTTCAATATGGTTCTCATTCCCTTCCTGAAATGCTTCATATGAAACAAGCACTTAACTTTAAGGTACAAGAAGCTATTGCTATCAGAGCCATACTTCTCTTCTGCTTGCTGAATTAGGCTAGCGCATTCGGAGAAGTTTCCAATATGGAAATGCACTTGACAAATGGTAAGAAGGTTTCGAAGTTGACTTCTCCTGTCGTTGGGCGCAATAAATCTCGTCGAGTAAGAGAAAAATCTCAACGCAAGTGGAAGATTAGAAGTGGCAAGGGCATAACGGCCACCAGTGATAAAAGTTTCATAATAACTGTCCAGATCCTTGTCACTTGCATTCGGTTCCGAGAGAAGCAAATGGTAAGCGACAACCAAGTTGCTAGTGATATCAACATTAACATCGCTTGACAACTTCTTTTGATACCGTAAGCCACTCACTCTATGGTAATTATGCCATTTACCAGCAATTTCTAACTCGGTTAAAAGATGAACCTGGATAGCATCGTGATCAAAATGATACTTTGCCTTTGTTGCCATTTCCCAAATCATAGAATCACTGAAATCGAATGGAAAGTCTTCCTTACTTATGAGATGGAAAGGAATTTTATAAAAGATTCCAGATGGAACAAGAACTCTTGACTCAAGACATTCTGACAAGAGTGCACTGACTTCACTCATCGACTTGGCTGTAACAATCATTAAATCGGCAAAGCTAAAGAACCCGTTTGAGGCTATGATAGCTGCAAACTTTAAAAGTTCTCTCGAATCTTCCGTGATTGCAATATTGAGGTAATCATCTACTATATCTGCCATCGGAAGGGGGAACTGCTTTGTGTTCAAAACATCTTGCATGATGTCAAGGTTAATACCTGAGTCTGGAGCTCGCAAATGAAGGGTCCTCATGAGATAGTTATAGCGAAGAAAGATTCCATCGGTAGCCTTATACAATGTAGTCACAAAATTACCTTCCTCAGTTGGAAGTGAACGACCTGGCCCGAAATTGTTATCTCCGATAAACTCAGCATAATGAGCTTCAGACGGCGCTTCCAAAGCGAACTCGCTTAGCTTGCACAGTGGAAGGTCAAGCAGCTGTATCAAGTCATCGTAATGAATAATTGGCTCATCCCTCTGTGAAGAAGGTTCACCAGTGCGGTATCCACAAACCACCTTGATATTGAGAGGATCCTCATTCAAGGTACAGAAACTGGAAACCTCTTTTAAGAAAAACACTTCCTCTAGGTTAGCCCATTGAATATCATCAAGTATGAGAGTAACGCCGTTGGGTCCAACCAAAGACCAAACACGTTTGATGATATACTTGAGTTTCATCTCTATATTCAATGAGTGCTGATCAAAGCCAGGCAAATTTCCTAGCCTAGGGTTGCTATCATCCAGTACACGTTCACTTGTGTCAGTCTCGGTCCCAACGTCAAGCAAGCTGTCACTTTCCAGTTGGGCGGGACGATAGTTTCTGATACTCTGATATCTTGGTCCTAAGAGTATCTTCAACTCTGGAATGGCTGAATAAAGGATACTTAAGTCAGTATCAATTTCGGAAGTGAATTTGTGTCTCCATTCAGCAATATTCTCCTTCGAAGATGCTAAAATTTGTCTCACAATACTTTGAATAGCCGATATTCCTGATTTGTAAGGTGTCACGTTGATATCAGCGCAGTTATATGACCAAGAAATGCAGAAATTGTAATTCGAGACGGCAACGTTTTTGAGTTCTTGAAGTAAAGTAGACTTTCCAACACCAGTATCACCTTTCATGACGATAAAATGAATACCCTCATGTTTCTCCTTGAACGCTTTGAAAACTTGTTCACGCCAAGGCGTCTCTTTCAACTTAGCAATAGTGCTATGAAGTAAGGGAATAGCATTGCGATCCTTGTGTAACTCCACATTATCGTAAATGAGTGGTAGCTCCAGGTCATCCTCGCCACGCTCCATGTTATGCAACCTTAAGTAATCATTCCTGACTTCCTTCAAATCACTGATCAAGGCATGAGCATTGTTGTATCTATCCGCGGGGTCTTTCTCCAAGCATTTCATGATAATATCGTTCAAGTCTTCACTAATCCAACCCTGGCCCAAGATCAGAGGCGGGATAGCCCTTTGAGAAATATGCATTTTTCTGATCCTAACTGGGTTATCTGATTGAAACGGTTGGCATCCCACAATCAATTCGTAAAGCACAATACCTGCGGAGTAAAAATCAGTTCTATAGTCGACCAAACAAGTCGTCTCGCCAGAATTCTCTGGAGACATGTAAGGCAAAAAGTCTGGAATGTCAGCAATATTGCTTTTCCTATAACTAGAAGTCGAATCTTCGACGCAAATAGAGAAAGCAAAATCCCATCCTGTCAAAACAACTGTGTGTTCCTTGGGATCCAAATGACCCGGCAAGTTAGCAGCTCTCAAGATAGAGTTGCTTGTGATAGCATTATGGACGATACCCAACTCGTGACACACAGCCAACGTTGTAGCCACAGAGATCATATCAGTCAAGATACTGATGATGGAAATTCTATCCTTAGGTTGCTGGCTGACTCTGTTTGCCAAGTCGTCAAAGACACCGGTACCTAAGTTTCTCGTGATATTACGGTTCAGGGACTTCTCACCAATAGACATTTCCGAAATCATTGAACGTATGCTGCAGTTAAGGGAGCTATTATCGCTGTTAGTCTTCTCGATAGGTTTATCTGCGTGAAATTCCTTAATCGTTTTGTAGTCATAGTTAGGGTAGACAAACCCGATACGGCGCTGGTGCACATCATCGCTGTTCAGGTGGACGTTGAATACCTCTAGCGGGTATAAGACACCCGGTAGGCCTTTTGGTAGGGTAATTGGAGTACGTAAGTTCTCGCGAGATTCATCGCTTAGTAAGTTAAACCTTCCAAGAGGCACATATTTGTTGGCTGCAAGGTGGTTACACCAGGGTCTATGATGAAGTGGCGGGTTTGAGCATGAAGTAAGGTACCATTCGTTCAAAAAGCGAGCAACAGGAACCGATTCCACAAAATTAGGCGAAAGACGAATGATATACAGCGCATCGTTAGAATCATCAGTAGCATAAAAGAATAACAGTGTTGAGCTAGGCAGCGAAAGTTGGGAAGTCAAAGTATAGCCAGGGACGATATTTGGCGTTACCTGGAGATAATCAGCGGTTCTATCTTCCTGTGGCAGCCTCAGGCCTCTGTTGGTCAAATATTCGGACTGACCCTTCGTGTAGTTGATATCATTAACATAAGTTCTATAGGCAAGCATTTGCTCCTTGGTAACAAGGCGCTTTCTCTTGGGATGCTCTGAAGTAGGCAGCGGGAAGTAATCTTTAGCAGTGTTGGACGAGGTAACCGTGCCCAGGAAGTTTGTAGAAAGCTTCCCCATGGAGTCAGTCTGAGCAGAGCCACGAAAATCCCTAGACCACGAGTCCCTATGGACCGAGTTTGCCGTCGAAGAGTTCGAGGAAAGCCTGGAATGGGAGTATTCGCTAGGCGTTTGAACCACATCGTTCAGAGATGTATGGTAGCTCAGGCCGTAAGAGCCTTCCGAACGAACAGACATAGAGACGGTAGTGGGATCAAACTAGTAGGGAAAGGAAAGTAGTACGAATGGGAAAACGTTAATTTCCCGAAGCGATGCTGCATGATAAGAAAGGTCCCAGGCGGTTTTTGTTCCATGTAACAAGAATCCAGAAACCAAGATGCATGTCGGCTGGCTTGGGAGATTACCTGTGCAATATGGGGCGCTGCGAGACCGTTATGTCACAATGATTGCAGCAACCCAACGAAAAAGACAAGGGCTTCTAAACGTCAGTATGAAAATGAAAAAGAAAGCCTATCCCATGGACCTTTAACGCCAATTGTTGCCATCGAAACGTAGCCAAAAGAAACTTGGGTTTCTCCTCCAGTGTCTTGTCTGGGCTGGTGCGTATAACCATGCGGGACCAGTTTTGGCGCCTCGCCTCAGCAACCTAGCCATGGCGATGGTTTTTTTGTTTCCTGTAGACCCTAACATTACAGAGGGTGAAGCCTAAAATCCTTTATTTTCACTTTTTATGTTTATATATTTTAGGTTATCCTTCTTCCCTTGCATCCGCTTAAGCTATCCCCTGGGGCCTTATTTTTTGCACCCATTTCGCATACCCTGGTTGCTGCCAGGCCTCGGTGCGCCCCACGAGACCCTCTTTGGGCCTGGAGCCCATGCATTACCGCTAATGGCACCTTGGGTTGCTACTCGCCTTTTGCACTCTTTTTCTTCCCCTACCAGCCCCAGCAGTTGTAGCAGTAGCAAGTGTCCATGGAATCATGTCAAGATGTGTGTCTTTCTTTTTTGTCGCCTAGACCATACAGCTTAGGGACCCTGGGGGCCTGATAAGTGAACAATGAAAGGGGTTAAGATTCTGGTGGTGCTTCATGCTTAGGTTACGTTTTTTAGTGCTCTGTTCTGCTGCAAGGGTTAAACAGAGGGAAGGAAAAAAAAAATTGTGTAAAAAAATCTGAGACACTGAGGCTGATTATGGTAACCGGATTTCCGGTACGGTGTTTTGGAGAGGCGAGGGACGAAATTACTTGGATGCGCGAGGGAGCGTTTAGACGCTTCGCTTACTGGGCCACACAATAACTTGAATACATTGAGTACACATGGATACATATAAGGCGCTGGTGGCCAGTAGGTGGCTGCCAGTGAAGGATGAAGTGAATGCAAAAAAGTAACTACAACGCCAATACCAAATGAAAATTTTTGGTAGGTTTTTCTTTTTGGCTGCCTGGGGACCACCTAGTTTCACCATTTTTTTCCCATTTTTTCAATGTGTTGTCGATATCTTTGTACTCTTTATGATTCTGTTTCTTTTATATTTTTTCGTTTTATCTCTTTTTTTTTTTTTTTTTTTGGTCGTTTTTTCATATATTATCTCAATTCTCTCTTGCGGATCCAGTCCACGATGTACAACGTATTCTGTTCATTATAGAAGCGGGTCAGCAGCCCCAGCAAGCCCAACGCTGGCAATAGAAGAAAAGTGCCTATAAAATCGCACACTTCTTGGACTTCTTGATCACCGGAGGCTCCAATGCAGCGACAATAGCCTCGTCAAACACCGTCTTCAACCCCTTTTGCGTCAAGGCGGAACACTCAACATACTTGACAGCACGCAACTCCTTAGCCAACTTCTCACCCTGCTCAGGGGTGATGGGGCTCAACTTCTGTCTGTGCAAACGCTCTTTTATGACATTGTCATCTCTCAAATCCGTTTGTGTACCAACTATAAGGCATGGTACACCAGGACAGTGGTGGTGCACTTCTGGGAACCACTTCTCCTTCACGTTCTCAAACGATGGCGGTGTGATGACAGAGAAACACACCAAAAACACGTCTGTGGATGGGTAAGACAAGGGTCTCAATCTATCGTAATCCTCCTGACCGGCGGTATCGAAAAGACCCAAGGTGAATGGCTCGTCGCCAATCATAACCGTGACGGCGTAGTTGTCAAACACGGTGGGGATATAGTCAGCAGGGAACTTGGACGTCGTATACGAAATCAAAAGACATGTTTTACCGACGGCACCATCGCCGACAACGACACACTTTATGGTTTGCATTTTAACGGGAATATGTGGATCTGGCCTGGTGGTGGTTTGTTGTTTGAGGAAAGAAAAAAAAAAATTAAATCAACGAAGGTTGCACACAACGCACGGCTCTCGATTTGGGAAAGAAAGGAATGTGGTTTATTTTTTTAAAGTTAAGGTGAATGCGAAGTGCTGTGGCAGTAAGCGGCTCAACAGGTGATGATTGGTAAGTTTATTTGGAGATCAGGTAGCGTCGATTTCCTCGAGGAGATAAAACAGGACAGAAGAATAAAAGAAAAAAACTTTACCTCGTGAGGTGGTACTGCAGGAAATGCCCTTGGGGGGGTAGAGGGAGGCCGCCTTTTGGTCAAGAGAAAAAAAATAAAAAAAAAAAAAAAGGTTAACTATGAGCGTTTCGCGATTCGGTCCCCCCAGCGAAACAAGGAAACGGTGGATAGGGTTGGCAATTGGCAACAGCTGGGGTCACCTGGAGGGGAAGACATGAAATCCATAAGGGATCTGGCGTTTCCCTGGGCTCTTTTAGTGAGTTTTCTTTTCCATTTCTTTGGTGTTTATGGTGCTTGTTTACCATTGATTCTTGTAACCCTGGGCTTGTGGGAGCCTCTGAAAAAGGCGTGGCTTTCCGCGGCAAGGCCAGCTTTCCGTCTAATGGGGAGTGGAAAAGGAAGAAGCATTTGATAAGCAGATCTGTGAGTCCCTGTCCCCACCTTTGCACCCGATAAGCTCTGGCCTACAATTTTGCCCTGAATTACTATTAATTATTTTTTCCTTTATTATTCACGTAACTCGTAAACAGTTGCCATTACCTCTATTATAATTCGTTGGACCCGATGAATCCATTGTCCCCTTGCATAATCTCCAAATTGCTGGTGATGTCGCTCGGTAAGTTGTCGGTGTCAATGAGCTTGTTAGCAATGTGGCCCTCGGGGTCGATCATTGAGAGGTCCTTGTCAACCTCATGGTCATCAATGATCGAAGGCCCGCCACCCAAGAAATCAAGCATCATGTGCATACCTCCAGCTCCACCAGCATACTCCTCAACATCTACGGGCAAAACTTGCGACACGCCCTCCAAAAACCATACCTTATCCTTCATTTCTGTGGTAAAACACCTCAATAATTTATAGTATGACCTCATGATTCTCATGGCCTTGATATCTCCAGTCATTAATAGGCCAAGGAAATCTTTATCCAACAATGCTGGGAAGGCAAAGATTCGCAAGATAAAATCTGCCTTGTATCTCTCCTTGTGCAATTTATTCAAGTAAGCTAATGTTACCAAGTATGGTGAATCAATCAGCACAGGGTAGAGGTCAGCAATGTCGTTATCATGACACTCAAGGTCAGCAAAGGACTTCAGTTGAAGCGATGTAAGCTGACTCTTTTCATTTATGATATCACCAAGGTCTCCAAGATCCACACTGATAAATTTATAGAATCTTGACGCCTCCGTAAGCGGCCAAACTGCAGTTAAAATAGTAGCCGCTCCCTTAACGTGAAAGATCCATGCAGATGCCGGTAGAGATTTGGGCGATGTCAGCGATGGAACAGATGCGTTAGCCAACGAGTCCATGATTAATATAAGTGCACTTGCAACCAAAGCATCGGTGTTATTGGTGTTGATGTCAAGGATAGCTTCACGCAATAGCCTAAGAGCGTCTCCTCTGTGACTAGTGACGCAATGATCCAAGCCCTTTTCGGTTTTGGATAAATGTGTAGCACTGAAAGCTAAAATAGCATGCATCAAGAAAGGGTATTGAAATGCCAACATTGGCACGTCATGGTTCCAAATATCAGTATCCGAAATGCCAGCTCCGGTGATAGTATTAGAAACCTGACTGGTATAGTGGTACATTAGTCTCAAGTCGAGCATGTTGAGAGAGCCCATACCAGTCGCCATGCTCATTGGATTAGGTAATGGCGGAGTAGAAACATTAGGTGAGATGCTCGGCAGGGTTTGAGGAGCAGGTGGCTTCTCCTGAGGTGGGACTGACTGCTGCGATGGCATCGAGGCGCCTTGGGAATTACCTAGAGGGTTTCCCATCAGGCTAGAACCAGAAGCACCCATTGCAGCTTCGAATCCAGGGAATTGACTTCCGAGACCACTTAAATCGATAGGCAATTGAGCTAAAACAGCTAACGAGCTCAAGTTGGCGATATTGCCTAAACCGCTCAAGTCACCAAGATTACTCAAATTGTTCACTAGATGGCTTAGGTTGATATTATTGAGGTTACCAGCATTAAGTAACCCAGCTCCCAAAGCTGTCGCTGCCAAAGCAGGGACCCCATTGGCATTACTTGGGAAGTTTGGAGGTGGGGTCTTGTCAGGCGTAGCTTGTTGCGTCTCAGGCGATGAAAAGGTTTGGTCATGAGAAGAAGCAGTTGAACTCGATGACACCAGGTTTCTCTCCTCAGTCTTAACCTTAATCTTCTTAGCAGGAGGTTCAGAACCTTCATGTTCGTTGCATTCTGTGTATCCACACACTAGCTTCATCCTAACGCAGTTCTTGCAAGAGGGTCTAGTCTCATCACATTTGACTCTTCTTCGTTTACACGTCAGACAGCCCATCCTGGACTTGGAATGGAACTTCCTCTTAAAGGAGTTCTTCTTACTTTGTGAGTCTCCAGACATTATGGAATTTGAGCTCGGGAGAGTTGAATCTTCGAGGAATAAGTTGAAAGTGTTATATTATGGTTAGCACAAGGCTATGCTGTCGTATAGGGTAGGTATCTCACAGAACCTGATAAATTTGAGCTTGAGGTAACAAGGAAGAAATATTTGAGTTTCCTTGGATGGTACTTGCCACCGTGATTCACTGGGCTGTGCAAGTAAGGGGAAACAAGACTAATGTGTATGGCTCGTATAGCTCGTATACTTTCTTAGTATGTGAAAATAAGACTATTTGAAGTGCGTTGCTTGCACGTGCACACCAAAAAAAAAAAAAAGTTTGTTTGGTCCCGAACGCGATTGTGGGACTGCTTTATAGGAGAAGCTTTTCAGAACCTAGCACCGCGACTTTAACAGGCAAAGAATGAGCTGAGAACAGTCAATTGTTAAAAAATAATTCGTAATCCACGTAGCTTTATATCTGGAACATAGCCTCGGGTTCTGCACGATGCCGAAAGCTGTTAGATAATAACCTTGGGCTTCTTGCTCTAGAAGGACTGCATGCACCGCGGTTGCAAAATAGAGGGTTCTTCCCGGGTGGCCCGGTCCATCTTTCATTGCCCCTTACCCCTATAGAGAAAGAATTGCACTGGAAATAATTTAGGTCATGGGTTTTGCTTTTGTGCTGTGAAAGCCAAGGGGTCTGTAAACGGATGCATTGCACCGAAACGAATTTCAGGGATTTGTCCCAATTAGGCTAGATTGACGAGAGTTAGGGACGTCAGATGCTTATGCGGCACTAATCTGATGAAATCTGCCGGAAGAAGTCGCATCAGCCGATTCCGTCGAATCCCAAATCCCAAGGACTAACACATCCGTGCCTCATCTCGTTGCCGAGAGAAACACTGAGTGTCGCTCGAATCCTGCACCCAATGGAGCCTCATCAATCAATCACAGTGCTCATTATATAGATTACCACAAGCCTTGCAATGTCAAATCCTAGACCCGCCTGGAGAGCTTGGGCTCGTGTTTATGTCACCGGTGCCATTATTATAGGAACAGGTGTGCTCCTTTATAATTACACAGTTCCCACTGATGAGGAGCTCATTGCTCGTTTCTCGCCGGAAATCAGAGCAGACTATGAGCGCAACAAGAAGTTGAGACAGCAAGAACAACAAGAGTTAATGAAAATTGTCCAGCAAACATATAAATCAAACGATCCGGTTTGGAAAGCCGGCCCGATCAAGTCTCCGTTCGAAAAAGATGGCCGTGGCATTGATCCACATTTGGTCGACAAGACAGCTTTCTTTAAGAACGAAGAGGATGAAAAAAGAAAGCTCGAAGTCGAGAAGGCTAGCGCCGAGCTCGAGGAAACTAAGCATTTGATGGAACAGTCCAAGAAGAGCTGGTGGAAGTTCTGGTAATGGGATGGTACTTGCATAGGACAAATAGCATGGATGTAAATAGAAACAAGTCACGATTAACGTTAACATGCCCTTAACTATCGGTATGACTTTACCAATACTCTTTGGCATAACTTGTAGTGGTGCTTCCAAACTCAAGCCTGCTTTATGTTCATGGAGCAAGCCTAAGCACGTCTCCAACCAAAACCGTTCTCTAAGGATAGCCAACGCAGTCCCGAGCTTCCTCCATTCACGCCTGTAACCTTTTGGCTGTTGGCATCATCCACAGCAGCAACAATTCGCAGAATGTTGGTATCTATCACCATGCCTCCTTGAACGATCTCTTCAAGCACGGTCTGGAGAACTTGCCAGCCAAATACCAAGTCAAGTTCACAGACATTAGGAAAGCATTTATCTAAGCATTCAACAAACACCTGAATTAAATCGAGGATGCCTAGCTCTGATTCTTGATCGTCCACAATGAACACAAAGTACAAGGTAGCATAGTGTCTGTAGATGACTTTGATGTCATCCAAACCCTCAAGAAGTCTTGGAGGTGTAATAAATGAGCATTCCTGAGACGTTCTCTTCGATATTAGCAGGTGAACTTGCAGAAGTAAGGTTCTCTGGGTCTGGACGTCCACCGCAGTATAGAACTTTATGAGACGAGGAACACCGTCGTAATTGACTGTTATTAGTATATAGCTAAGGAGCCAAAAGATTATCTGGATACATACAAATAAGGACAGAATGGATCATGGTGGTGTGCTACCTTTCGTATCTGTTTGAGATCTGACAGTTGATATGTGCGAGGCACGGGTGTTTTGCACCAAGGTGGTATACGGAACATACGACCCCACGGATATTATGCTATGTAATTTGTAAAGTTATTGGGAATAAAGTTCTTTGGTCTCCTTTTAAGAAGTCTATGTTGCTGTTCTGAAATTGGCACGGCTTTTTGACACTTCGTTTCCGATCATCACACTTTGTACGACCATCACAGTAGGTAAAAGAACGGAATGGAAGAACGGAAAGCAACTTTTCAAAACTACACGTTATCTGAAATTACCTCTCATCATTAAAACTATCTTCAATTTAGTCCGTTTCGGCTTGGGAATTCGGATTTTTATGAATTTCCTGCATGTGTTGATCTACCCATATAACACCATCAGTAGTTTTCAGTAAAGTATACCAACTAATGACTGAAACCCACGAATTACCGACCTTTAGAGATGAATTCCAGATCCCTACATTCAAGAGTCTAGGTATTACTCCTCCTAATGGGTTTACTGAAGACTCTCTGTCTGTTTACTTGGCAGGGAACTCCCTTGGCCTTATGCCTAAGGCTACCAGAAAGGCATTGGCAGATGAGCTTGATGCCTGGGCTGAGCGTGGTGTTGAAAGCCACTTCAACCATCCTGGTGAAGGAAATGGAAAGACCTCTTGGGTTGACATTGATCTTCCACTCATTCCGGCGTTGGCTAACCTCGTTGGTGCTACTCAAAAGGAAGTGGCTGCCATGGGCACTCTTACATCCAATTTGAATGCCTTGCTTGTTTCATTCTATAAGCCACTGGGTAAAAAGACCAAGATTATGTTTGAGAAGAACGCTTTCCCATCTGATTACTATGCTTTCCTTAACATGGTTAAATTGCATGGCTACGACGAGAGCCATTTGATTCAGCTAGAAGTGAAGCCAGGGAAGAACCATTTGCAATTGGATGACATACTTGAAGCTATAGAGACATATAAGGATGAAATTGCCCTCATTTGTTTCCCTGGTATTCAATACTACACTGGCCAATTCTTCAACATACCTGAAATCACCAAGGCTGGTCAGAAACATGGTATCGTTGTCGGCTGGGATTTGGCTCACGCCGTTGGTAATGTCCCCTTACAGCTTCATGATTGGAATGTTGATTTTGCCGCATGGTGCTCCTATAAATATCTCAATTCAGGCCCTGGCGGTATTGCTGGAATATTTGTGCATGAACGTCATACAAAGGACAATTCAAAGGAGCACTACCCTCCAAGACTTGCAGGTTGGTGGGGCAATAATGCTAGTGACAGGTTTAAAATGCTTGAACTGTTTGACCCCATCAACTCTGCTTTATCCTATCGCCAGTCAAACCCGCTGGTCATTGATTGTGTCGCATTGAAGTCTTCTCTCGATGTATTCGAGAAAGCCGGCGGTTTACTGGCTCTTAGAAAAATCAGTCTTCTCTTGACTGGACAGTTAGAAAAAGCTTTAAAGAGCAGCAAGTATTTCATCACAGATGACACAAATTCTACTCAATTGGGCTTTAGAATTCTCACACCAAATAACGAGACCGAGAGAGGTTGTCAGTTATCATTATTGTTTCAGCCGCATGACGAAGAACCCACAAAGAATGTGATGCAAAGAGTACACAATTATCTTCACGACCGTGGAATAATTTGCGATGAGAGACGTCCTGACGTTATACGGATTGCCCCTACTCCATTGTACAACACAACACGAGACGTGGACGCCGTCACCACCAGAATACAAGAGGCATTAGATCTAATTAATCAAGGTTAGAGTGATGGAACTACCATGAGGAATTCTATTTCAATAAAATGTTTTATTCGGATCGTTATCTAGCACAATCATAGTTCTTAATTAGGAAGCACATACTTACAAGTTCTGGGCAGCCTTGAAGTTCTTACCAGCGTAGATGGCCTTGTCACCCAACTCCTCCTCGATTCTCAAGATCTGGTTAAGCTTAGCCAATCTCTCGGATCTGGCAGGAGCACCAGTCTTAATCTGGCCAGATCTCAAACCGACAGCCAAGTCAGCAATAGTGGTGTCCTCAGACTCACCAGATCTGTGGGAGACCATCACACCCCAGTCAGCGGAGTAAGAGTCCTTGGCAGCCTGGATAGACTCGGTCAAAGAACCGATCTGGTTGACCTTCAACAACAAAGCGTTGGCGGCCTTCTTCTCAATGGCGGTCTTGATTCTCAATGGGTTGGTAACAGTCAAGTCATCACCAACAATCTGGATCTTGTCAGCAACTCTTGGGAAGAAGAGAGACCAGGACTCCCAGTCATCCTCACCGAATGGGTCCTCAATGGAGACAATTGGGTACTTCTCGATCAAAGAAACGTACAAGTCAGCCAATTGCTCACCGGACAACCACTTGGAAGCGTCAGACTCTGGGTTCTTGAAGTCCAAGTCGTACTTACCGTCCTTGTAGAATTCGGAAGAAGCAACATCCAAAGCGATGCTGACCTCACCCTTGTAACCAGCCTTCTCAATGGCATCGACAATAAGGTCCAAGGCCTCCTCGGCGGTCTGGATGTTTGGAGCGACACCACCCTCGTCACCGACGTTACCAGCAGACAAACCGTACTTCTTCTTGGTCAAGGACTTCAAGGTGTGGTAAACCTCAGAACCAATTCTCATAGCCTCAGAGAAGCTTGGGGCACCAGTTGGGACAATCATGAACTCCTGGAAAGCCAAAGAGCCACCAGCGTGGGAACCACCGTTCAAGACGTTCTGGAAAGGAACTGGCAAAACGAACTTGTCCTGCTTGGAGCCAGCGAGGTCAGCCAAGTGCTTGTACAAGGAGACACCCTTCTCAGCGGCAGCAGCCTTGGCAGCAGCCAAAGAAACACCCAAGATGGCGTTGGCACCCAACTTAGACTTGTTTGGGGTACCGTCCAAGGAGTTCAAGAACTCGTCAACCTTGGCCTGGTTGGTGATGTCCAAGTTCTCCTTGACGAAAGCTGGGGCAATGACGTTGTTGACGTTGGCAACAGCCTTGGTGACACCCTTGCCCAACCACTTGGACTTGTCGCCGTCTCTCAATTCCAAGGCCTCGTGGACACCGGTGGAGGCACCAGATGGCACAATGGCTCTGAAAAGACCCTTGTCGGTGGTCAAGTCAACCTCGACGGTTGGGTTACCTCTGGAGTCGTAGACGGAACGAGCAAAAATTTTAGTGACAGCCATGATTAATTGTAAGTGTAATGGATGGGGAAAAAGAAGAAGGATCAATTGGAGAGCGCGAAAAGCTAGAGGTATTTATACGCATCCATTCTGTGAGTAACGGTGGACCACACCTGGCCGGGTTTGCACAGGATATCACTACCTCAGGAGACCTGTCCTCAGCAAGTGCGTCGTCCAGGTGACATTCTATGCTGATAGAGGGATGTTGAGTCATTTCCATGCATACTGGGCTAATATGGATGAAAATTAGTCCAATCGATTCCTGACAACCAATTGAAGAGCATGACGGTGACAGAAATTGAAATTTCACTTTCTACAACCAAAAGACCCCGGATCCTCTGGCCTCGGGCTCGGAGTTGAGTAATGCGCGTAGGCACTCGGGAGGCCCGGGCAATAGCGGCTCGCACCCTACGGGTCAATGGACGTTACCATGTGATCCCTGATTTTTCAGTGCCCTCGTCTGGTGAGGCAGGAGGAGTACAAGTGGAATTGGGGGAATATGGTGATGAGAGATATGAGGCTGTAGCTTGACCGTTATCAACCCATGGGCTTTTTTGTCGTTGTCGACTTAGGTCGTCGTCTCGCCGGCCCAGCGGAGCGCATTTTTTTTTTTCGTTGACTTTCCATATCCTTCGACCCAGCTTACCCTGGATATACAGGTAGCGGTAAGTTGCTAAGCACAAGCGCTAGACCTCGGCCACAAAACACTATGAAACATTGGGGTAAGAGCCTGGAATCTCCGGGGCAATTGTGGCTGGCGGTGAATCATCTATACCGTTGAAGAAGCGTTGGGAGTCACAGTAGGTGCTTTGACGAGAACGTATGACATGGCCAGCGTTTTGCGCTTGATCTTAGTTCCGTGGGTGTGGAAGGAGGCAGTGAAGTAGTCGGTGATTTTTGTTTTTTTTTTTTTCTTACACTCTATTGTTCTTACATCATCTTGCTTATCAAACAAGCTGCGTATAGAACAGAAGAAACCTTGTTATGTTCATTGGCCTAGCCGTGTCTGGGACCCTCTGGCGCATAGATCTACTGGTGAAGGGTGCGTTACTGGGAAGGGAAGGACATGAAAGGGCTGTATTGTTTCAATGGAGCGTGAGTGTGGTGTTCTTGCTGACTCATTTACTCTGATTGTAGACAATTTGATTTTTTTTATTTTTATTTTACTTTCTCTTGCATTTGTATGTTCCCTATGTTCTTAGTAAATCAGTGGAGTTACCAAGTTTTGTACAAATTTCGCAGCCATTTGAGAAACTGCCTTTTGACATGGCTTTACCAGAAAAACCAGAAAACTTAAATAACACCAATAAAAATGGCAGTAGCATAATAATCAAAAAGCACCAACAACTTCCATTCCCTCCTATTTAAATATCCCTCCGTATGGATGTATAATCCAGATCCAAACAGATGCACTAAGTATGGGCCTCATGAGGAGATAGAAGAAAAAGTACTTTTCTCAGAAAATGCAAGCACCATCTCCTTCTACAGACTATTTTACTGGCAAATCAAGATACTCTTTCCAACTTCAGTATCGTTCACCTCTTCCCATGGTTGATCCATTCAAGTTGGAGATGTAGCGGTCTCCTGCACCTCTCTGCTACGTACTCGCACAGTAACAGTCAAGAGTGGCAATACCTTGAGATCTTTTGCAATCAAGCATGTTTAGAAACAACTACGATAACGATTCCGTCACCTATTCACCTACGGGTCGTCTCTTCCAGGTTGAATATGCCTTGGAAGCAATTAAACAGGGAAGTGCCGCCGTGGGAATTGCCTCTTCCACTCACGTTGTTCTAGTGGCCTTGAAGAGAAACGTCGAGGAATTGGGCAGCTATCAAAAGAAAATCATCAAGGTTGACGACCACATGGGCATTGCCTTGGCTGGTTTGGCCCCAGATGCCCGTGTTTTGTCCAATTACTTGAGAAAGCTTGCGATGAACTCCAAACTCGTTTTCAACAGACCTTTGCCCACATCTAAAGCAGTTTTGCTGATTGCCGACAAGGCTCAGGAAAACACACAGCTGTACGGCTCCAGACCTTACGGTGTAGGTTTGCTTGTTGCCGGATGGGATGAGACTGGTGCTCACTTATATGAATTTCAGCCATCTGGGTCCGTGTTGGAGTACTTTGGCACAGCTATTGGTGCCCGCTCCCAGGCCGCCAGAACATATTTGGAACGTAACTTGGAGACTATACGCTCTTGCGATCAAATTGAAGACCTCATTGTCCATGGTTTGAGTGCCTTGAGAGATACTTTATCTCAGGATATGGAATTGACCATTCGCAACACCACTGTCAGTGTGGTTGGTAAAGATAAGTCTTTCACGGTTTATGACGACGAGGATGTTCAACAATGGTTGAGTAAACTCGATTCCACATCTAACACGAGGAATAACGAGGATGACGACAATGATGACAACGCCGAGGCTGGTGAAACAAATGAGGCTGCCACTGAGGGCGAGAGCGCTCCTGCTGCTGAAGGTGAAAACGAAGACGCACCTGCTGCTGAGGAAGATAGAATGGATACTGATTGAGTGCATCATATTTACAAGTAATATACAAACGGAAAGTAAACCTATCGATCAATCAATTGTCTTCTGACTTTGACTTTTCCTTCTGAAGCTGCTGTTGCCTGACTGCAACTTTCTGTACAGCTGCCATAGTCACTTGTTGCATTGTATTGACCTCTTCAGTCATCTTTGCAACATCATGCAAGATGCCCTTTTCTCTGACATCGTTAACCTTATCTTTCAATGAAGTTAAAATCTCGTTGATGGCCTTTGTATCCTCTTCGTCCATCAACTTACCGAACTGAGTTACGGCATTCTCAGCGTCAGTGCAGAGGATATCAACACGAGTAGCATTTTCAACATGTTGCTTGTATTCAGCATCCTTTTTGGCGTTATCCGCACTTTGCTTCAATACTTCCTTGATCTCTTCTTCTGACATGCTAGTTTGTCCGGTCACCTGGATACTTACCTTGTTAGGCTTGCCATAGTGGGGCGAGTCTTCTGGGTATGGTGTCTTATCTGCAGCAGAGACATTAATAATACCATCAGCATCAATCTCGAACGAGACGACAATCTGTGGAGTACCCTTCGGACCTGAAGGAATGTTGGCAAGTTTGAAATTACCAATTAATTTGTTGTCTTTCACCAAGGGTCTCTCACCTTGGAAGACTCTGACTTCCACTCCTGTCTGACCGTCAACTGCAGTGGAGAAGGCTTGCTCCTTCTTTAATGGCACAGCGGAATTTCTTGGAATGAGTGGACTGAAAATTCCTCCATATGTTTCAATACCTAACGTCAAAGGCGTCACATCCAATAATACAACATTCTTTATCTGACCAGAAAGAACAGCACCCTGAATGGCAGCGCCAAGAGCAACAGCCTCATCTGGATTAACTGCTGTGTTAGGGGCCTTCTTAAACAAATCCTCCACTACTTTTCGAATCTTAGGCATTCTTGTCATTCCGCCAACCAAGATAACTTCGTCAATGTCCTTTGCCGTCAACTCGGCATCACGGAGGCACCTTTTGACAGGATCAATGGTTTTATTAATAAATGGCATACTCATTTCATCAAGCTCATCTTCAGTCAACTTGAAATTGATGTGTTTGTCTTTTGTGATGAAAGGTATGTTGATTTCGGTCTCCTTTACGTGGGATAATTCAATCTTGCACTTCTCTGCCGCCTCCCTGATTCTCTGGACTGCCATTCGATCACTCAGAAGATCAATTCCGTGCTCCTTCTTGAACTCGTCCATGATATAGTTAAGAAGCATAAGATCGACGTCTTCTCCTCCTAAATGCGTGTTACCATTAGTGGCCCTTACCTCGAAAACCTTGTCCTCAATGTCTAAAATAGACACATCGAATGTTCCGCCACCAAAATCAAACACAGCAACAACGCCATCCGGCTTCTTTTGATCAATACCGTATGCTAAGGCTGCGGCAGTGGGTTCATTAATAACTCTCAAAACTTCAAGACCAGCCAATTGACCAGCACTTTTGGTAGCTTGTCTCTGTGAGTCATTAAAGTAGGCAGGAACAGTCACCACGGCATGTTTCACTTCATCTGGAAGATGCGACTCGGCAATATGTTTCATTTTCTGGAGCACAACAGAACCAATCTGTGATGGGGAGAATTGGCGACCATCGCTAGTCTCTAACCAAGCATCGCCGTTTTCATGCTTTGAAATCTTAAACAGCGTATTCTTGATATCCTTCTGTACTTCTTCGTCTTCAAACTTGCGGCCAATGAGTCTTTTGGTTGCGAAAAATGTGTTTCGAGGGTTCACCAAAGCTTGTCTTTTGGCAGGAAGACCAACCAAGGTTTCCTTGTCATTAAATGCCACAATTGAAGGTGTTGTTCTCCCTCCTTCTTCATTTTCAAGAATCCGTGCTTCTTTACCTTCAACTAGTGCTACCGCAGAATTGGTTGTTCCGAGATCGATTCCAATAACATTATGAGCTAGACGTGCTTGATTGAAGGATGATTTATATCCGTTTCTTAAACCGTGATGTAGTAGCTTGGAAACACCAAATCTTCTTGCAAACATGATGGTATAATCAGGGTATAATTGGATGTGAAAGAAGTGGTGGGTTGCCCCATATATATAATTGCGGCCTTTTATGGCAATGTTAGATGAAGGGTGCACGACTGTAGGTAAGAAAGACTATGTAACGGACATAGCTGGGTTTATAGTAAAGAGTGGTTCGTAGTGTATTGAGATAACTAGTTAAGGAAAGAAGGATGGGAGATGCCATCCTTATATAGTGAAGACATTGGATGGCAAGCAAGTAAGAGGGTCATCATCATAGCAACTATAGGAATCTGGGCAACAGGATATCATCATGCCTGCATATAGAGCATGTATTCCAACACCCGTTCTTAGCCTGTGGCCTAAGATTCATTTGAGTTCGGGTAGATATGGCCTGTATCAGTGGAGCGTCCTTATCAAAAGTAGTCTGTAAATGTTCGTATAGTTGTTGTTAAGGATTTGGGACATTCGAAGGACCACTTAAATGATTGTCCATGACACTGAATTTTGAGCCCAAAGCTTCGTGAAGGGCGTAACTGTCTGATGATGAATGACAGTTCTGATTCCTTTGATTCTTCGACGATTATTTAAGTCACATATTGATCGTTCGTTCGAAAATTGACTTCTTTCCTCTTGGAACCGTCTGTCCTCTTGGGACCGGTTGTCCTCTTACTTTCGCTTTTCCACTGGGATAGAGTTTGTTACTCTATATCCCACAGGCACATCAACGAGAACCTAGACATGTTTGTGAGTGTTGCAACCGTATGGTCGGGACGCTCATGGTGCTCAAGACATTACATCTGGGTAGAGACACCTCATGACAAACTGGTTGTTATCTCTCGTTGTAGTACCACAGCAGAGTATTTATTTTATCTTCTCTGCTTTGTCCAAGGTTGTCGCGGATTTATTGTAGCTCGGCGGTAGGGTGAATTCCCTTTATCTTTGTTGCGCAAGAGATGTAGCTAGGTTAACAAGTATCTGGCTTCTTCAGATAGTTCTTTGATGAAATCTTCCGTAGGACCCGTCCTTCTATATTTGCAATTGTCCCAGGTAACCTGCTGTTTTCTTCCTGACTTCTTGTCTCGCAACTTGCTCATGTTCCGTCATAGCCGCCTTTAACAAATAATCTCTGAGTACATTTCTATGTTGTGTCTTCAACGCGACTGGCCTTGTTCACTAGTAATCCACTCTTTAAGACAGGTCTCCTTCTTATGGGAGTAAAGCCTATTTGATCAGCCCAAGGTTGCATGCGTAGTCCATTTAGTGTGTCATTAGGGGAAGTCTCTGTTCAAGGTTTCGTGGTTTAGTTCCTTTGGGATTAGTGAAATCAGGTCCAGCTAACTTTATCAGTTCAAAGTTCGACATCGTTTTGTTTAAGCATCCATGTTAGTTGTTAAGGACCAACGTTTAATTTAGCTGTTTCGAACTGTATTGCTGGCTGTTGAGTTCCTTGGTTGAGAACCTGATTGACTGTTGTGCCTGCTCTCACTATCCCCTTTTTCTTTCTATGGCGAGTGTGCTTGTCCTGCTATCCGTTAGGTTTCATGCTCGAAGTATAACTGGGGGAACTTTGGTGACTCCCTAACTCTCCAGTTCAACCTATTAGATATTGCGGATGTGTTTGAAGTCTTTTGGTGAACTTAAACCCGTTCTTAACATGCTTTCCTTTCCTATGATCATCACTTCAAGTGTGCAATCCTTCTTTGGTTCTGATTAGTAGTGATATTCTTGTTATGTTGTTTTGGTTCCTCTTATTAGGGTTGACTTAAATAGCTGCATGGAAATCAATGGTAAATTGGCGACCTTCGGGGAGGTATCTCCCTCATATAGATCTGAAAGTGAGAACAACACATGAATTCCCCCTTTCGCCAATTTGGCACCATGCGCTTTGAATAGTAGTCTTCTTGTCTAAAACCGTTCTGAACTCACCGACGATGCATACGCTGTCCTGCTAGCCGGGACAGTACTCGGAGCTGTGTTGACTTCGTCTCTCGAGCCTGCCCTCTAGGCTTGTACTCTCCTAAACCGGCCAAGATTCATGGAGGTCCCCACTCTCACTACTTCAATGTCTTTTTGCATTGTGACTTCCCTGGTATCCATTCCACCCTGTCAGAGGAAGATTTAATACCAGCCGCCAGAGAAACATCCTCCTTAACTTTCCGGGGTAAGGAGGTCAAAAAAATTCTGGACGAAGTCAGTGGGATGGCTTGCTTAGGACTCTAAGAACGTCTTCCTAGAATTGTGCGTAGGCGTTGGTGATTCTGTCAACTGGAACTGGACTGTAAAGAGTCAAAATGTTGACTCCACTTGACGCAGTTTCTGCGTTCGCTGTTTCGCTGTTAGTAGCATTCTAACACATCTCCAAGATGTGGTTAGTGGTGGAACCTGGTATAATGTGCTTTGCTTAGCTTCATATACTTATTACTGACGGGCTTTAAGTGTCAATAATAATCCACCTATTATCTAAAGGGACGATCGACGGAGAGACCTGTTCTCCTTTGGTCATATTTTGCTTTCAAATCTTTCGCAAGTCAATTATTAAGATAACGAATAAATGGCTTACCTTTTAACGATAGTGGGTCTCTATTGTAGACTCTCTTCTATCGAGCGAGAATGATTGAGGAGTACCTGACCTGGTAGCCATATAGTCCAGCGGCGCTTATTAGAGTACGCTCTTTCTGGATAGGAAACACGAGCTTAAGCGGATTTTCTTTCTTCGCTTTTCTTATGATGTTGGCGAGTTAGAGCGAGGGTTGGTTTGTCAATAATGAGACATAATGGAGCGCCAATTATGGTCTGAGGTACCAAAGTAAGGTCACCTTACCATACATTCCTGGTTTCTAATGAGAATAACGAAGTGCCAGTCATTATCTACCTGTATCGTGGTACATTTGCCGGTCAATGATAATGTAATTTCTTTACCCTTGTCGCTTTAACCTTCAGTGAGCTCGTGTCTCATGGATGTCGAAAATGCAGCGATCCCCCTTTGGCATCAAGTGGGGTTTCTGTCCAAGCTGCTTGTGGAAACCTCAACTTCTAGCTCACATTTCAATGATGTTATTTCAATGATGTTCTTGCTCCAGAACTGGATGGCGCTTCAGAGCTGTTTAGTCTCGTTGCTTGGCATAAGTATACTCTTGTTCATTCATACGAGACGATGCGTCGATATATGATCAAATATTCCGGCCCTAAGTTTAGCCATGAACCCAGTTGGGGTTGTGAGGTGAAAAAACAGCTTCACACTCATGACGCTTCGAAATGCCAGTATTGTGGTAGAATTGCAACGGTGACTCAGTAACATAGCTCTGTTCATTGATTGTTGAGTTTCCTGAGGAGAATGTAGCATCTGTGGCCCAATTAACGATTTGATGATCTCATTCTTGGACGCGTTGGGCCATGTGCGTTCCTCGTATCCCAGCAAGTGTATCTTGCTTCTCCAAGTCTTTCTAATAACAGTGTCCATGTTAGTGAGCTTTACTGGCGATAGTCGTCCAGAACAATGCACAGGTTACACAGGTAAAAGTTAATAAGCATGGCACTTTGAGTTGCATAAGACTGGGAGTATTATCTCTTAGGCTGGAAGAAATGCGGAAAGACGGGGAAATTGGAGATTTGTCATCTTGGAAATGATACCAGTCTTGTAGTACAGCGTAGATGGTATGGACCTCGAGTCTGCATTATTATTGTAGACTATTCGGAAATCGGCCAACTGCTTTGTAATTAAGATAGATGTAAAGCAGATTTCTTAGGATGTATTTAAACTCTTGGTACCCTTTGGCCTTGGACTTTCCCGGTAAATGTCATAGTAGTCCTTGTATGTGGAAGTGCTAGACACCGATAAAGACATTGGAAACATCTATACTCTACCTTCTGTAATGATGGCTGGAGTAGTTGCATTGACTCAGTAATAACCAATCGATGTGTAGGCTGAGTTTGTGCAAATGTGTAGAAAAATGAGTTTTGCTTCTTTAATTTTCTATCACAATTAGATTGTTCGTCAAATTTGTGTCCATGTCCTCGACTTCTTAGAAGGGCGTTGCTTTGTCAACGTCTCTCCTTCTTGACCTTTAGGTTTAGGGTTAATGATGCATAGTCGATGATGCATAGTCGAAGGACTCCAACCGCTGAATGGTATAGGGCTCTTCCACCTGCAATGCAGAGATGACAGTTATAAAAGTTCTCGCCTCACAAGAGCTCCCGGGAAGTGAAAGATTCCTTACACAAAGACTGTTGTTCTATTGTGTTTTCCAAGATAGATGCCTTCCCTATTATCAGGGAACTTATCCCGTTTGCTCTTGTGTTTGTGGGTACCACTGAGTTATTGTGGTTCCTCTCTGTCTAATCTCTGTTATGTATGCATGGAGTTTGCCTTGAGCCTTACGTCTAGCGTGCTTTGTTTGAGACTTCCTGACTTTAAAAAAAGATTTGTAGTCTCGTAGATTCATATGTTGTTCTTGATGTCAGGGCCCATTGTTGTTTATTCCCAGCTAAGCACGCTAGTCTGTTTGGAACGTATTATTTAGTTGTTCTGCTGTAGTCATAAGTTTCCAGTCCGTCACTGATGAACACCTGAATTTCGTAAGCCTGAACTCTTCTCTGTAGTAGACAAACCGTATAGTCAATAGTCAATAGCTTATGTTTGATATGTTGTTCAGTGTTCAAGTTCTCAGCCACTGTTTGCTGAGGGTCCAACTGTTGGTCAACGAGCATGTTAGTAGACCATTGCTTTCCCAATCTATTCTTATCCGAGTATGGTCAATTGGGTTCATTAGTTATGATAGTCTTGATCTTCTTCGTTCTTCGGTAGAATGGTTCAATAGTCTGAGGACTCTTGCTTCCTTACGACGATTGTACACAGAAGACGTCATGGTAGTCTGAAGACCCTTCAAAGTTGATCAACTCTTGATGGCGCCGAAGCTAACTACCATCTTTATAAAGATGTTAGATGAAGGGTGCACGACTGTAGGTAAGAAAGACTATGTAACGGACATAGCTGGGTTTATAGTAAAGAGTGGTTCGTAGTGTATTGAGATAACTAGTTAAGGAAAGAAGGATGGGAGATGCCATCCTTATATAGTGAAGACATTGGATGGCAAGCAAGTAAGAGGGTCATCATCATAGCAACTATAGGAATCTGGGCAACAGGATATCATCATGCCTGCATATAGAGCATGTATTCCAACAAGAGTCCGAGATCACGTGTAGGTAAACACTGGGCGTCATATGGATACATGGGCTGAAAAGTTATCTAGATGGGTCTTTCTTTATTTTTTTTTTCTTAAAAAAACGTAATTTACAGCTTTATCTCGAGAAATTAGTAGCCGTTTACTGACCAGTCTTCTTCACTTGGGTGGCGGCCTCCAATACACCAGGCAAAGCGTCGCCGCCAATAGAGAAGAGAAGCTTGACACCTGCAGCGATAGATAAGATCAATCCCACGGTGGTCCACAACAAGAGATGAGCAGTGGCAGAAATGTCCTTCTTGCCACAGTCGAAACCACTCCAGTTGGTGGTCTTGCTCTTCTCCTTGTCGTAAGATGCCTTACAAGCACATTGCCAGCAATTCTTCTTGGTTTGTTTACAAGAGCCATGGGAAGAACAGTTGGAGGTGGCGCTGTTACAAGCTTCTTCATCCTTGAAGCAAGCACCGCCAGTAGCTCTCTTTTCGAATGTAGAGAACAACGATTCCAATTCAACACCACGCTTCTCCAATTCAGCCTGCTGGGTTTCGTGGAGAACGGCGTCAAGTCCAACAGCAACAATGATCACATCGAATTCCTTTTGCAATTCAATGAGAGCATCACCAAGGGCTTTCTTTGACAACTTGTATGTCTTTGAGTCGTAGCCAATCTTACGGCCAATGGAGAGAAGGGAAACTGACTTGGCGAACACAACAGTGCTTTCAACAGCCTCAGAAGCCTTCAAGTGGATCAAAGAAGCAAGGTCGTTGATGAAATGCTTGTCGTTGACGAGCTTCAAGCCAGACTCCTGAAGACCAAGGTCAAGAAGCTGTTGGTCACGCTTCTGATGGTCACCCTTTCCGGTGAAATGCTTCCAAGCAGTGACCATAGCATCGTCAAAATGACGGAAAGGCTCTTTAAGTTTCGAAACAACGTTCTTAGGACCCACGGCCTTGATCTCCTTGGTCAAGTGGGCAGCACCGAAGTCCTCGGAGCTCGAAGAGAGAATTGATGCAAATTTATGAAGAGAGTTGTCTGCAAACTCCTTGATGTGGCCCTTAACATTGAAGAGTGGGGACAATTCCTGGCTTTCAAAGAATTCGGCTGGGTGGTCGACTCCCTTCAATTCAATGAAAAGCTTTGGCTTGGAGGACTCAGATGGGGAATCCTGCTTGTGCAACTCGTTCAAAGTATCAATTTCAGCGTCATTAACGAAGAAGTAGTCGGAAAGACCGAGTTTGTCCGCCAAGTATAAACGACCTGCTGTGAACGAAGCGGTAATGGAATCGGCAGTGGACTTGTGGGAGAGCTCATAAACGGCAGCGGAAGCCGAGTCTCTGGCAGAAACAGGTGCCACGGCAGCGGCAAGTAACACCGAGCTCAATATGGAAGCTCTCATTATAAAGAATTGGTGATTTGCAACAGGGGACTGAATAGCAGGCAAGGTCTTGACAAGTTGATTATCGCAATTCGTGGAAGGTGGTGCAATGTGCAGGTTCTATGGATATTTCAAACGCTTGTATCTCAAGAACGGCGCGGATTTGGCTAATTTGGGGACCAGAAATAAACTCGTGAAACAATGGAGAATCGATTGGTGTAATAAAATTTGTATATTTGTAAGGTCCTGCCAAAATGACGAACAGGTCAAACCACAATCTAGAAGTACTGTAGATGATGCGGTGGCTCAATGGCAGAGCTTTTGATTCCAAATCAAAGGGTTGCAGGTTCGATTCCTGTCCGTGTCATACTTTTTGCCTCAGTTTTTGGTAAGAAGAGAAGTTAAAGAAAGATTGCCTTGCGTTTCAGATAGGGGTGAAAGACTAATTTCGATTATATTAATATCTCCAACATTTGTCAGTCATGGAAGTTATCATCATAAGCGCATAGGCGTATAGAGAAGAGGCCAACCAGCCCATGTTTACACATCCAAAGGCCTCTTTCGATGTCCAAACGCAGGCAGGTTGCCAAAGAAATACGTAAAGAAAAGAAAAGACAAAAATAAAGACTAATATTGATAAGGTGTCTTTTCCTTCCTTGTCTTCATCTAAAAAAAAAGATAGATATCGGTTGCGAAGCGAAGTGTCAGAAAATTTTCTAACCTCTTTTTTGCGGGTAATCCACCAGATCCTAACCTCCAGGGCAGGCAACGAAGCAGACCAGACAGATCCAGATCCAAACATCCAGTGGGGAAAGCAACAAAGGTAAGTAAAGAAAGAAGTGACAATGTAGAGGGGAAAAGGTAAAACAGGAGGAAGAAAAAGAAGAAGAAAACAAGCAGCAGAAGAATGCCATTGATGGAGAGGGGTGGATTCGTCGCGGTGACGTTTTCGGTCTTTTGTGAAAGGTATATGTTTTTTGGGGCAACTGGGGAAACTGCACTGTATTTATAGTGAGCAACAGAGGGTGCCTCTCTTTTGCAGCCGAGGTGGAACAGAAAGTGGGGAGAAGAAGTAGGGGAAGGGGAAAAGAAGAGGAAGATGATGTTTTGGCGTTTTGCTGTTTTGTTTGTTTGGAGGGGAGGGCGATCGGCGGTCAATGGGAGGCTAAAGGTGACCAAGCCATTGTCTAAGAGGAAGTGTAGAGATGAGAAGTTGGAGAGATGGGGCTGGTGAGGTATTGGGTTGGGTTAGGGATTTGACTCTTAGTTGGGCTTGGAGAGAGTGACTGGGAAAGGTAGGGAAGTTGGATTTTGGTGGATTGGTGGATTGGAGGATGGACTGGTTGTTGGGGACTGGCTGGTGACTGAGAAATGGGTAGTTAACTCAGTTGGTCTTTTTCTCTTTCTCTTTCTTTTTCTTCTATTTCCTACTCTTGTCTTCACCTTCATCTCATCAAACAAGCAAGGCCACCTCCATTGATCTGTTTGTTCGGCGTTCTGGGCATGGCATTGTGGTGCTGATCCACACTTCCAGAACACACCTTTTTCGCAGCCATTTCACAGCCGTGCCATGGTCCCAGCTATTCAACAAAAGAAGTCGAAAAAGGCTAAATCCCACTACATAGACCCCACGTGGATCTCCCTTGCTACGTAATTCTACGTCCCTGAATGTGTGGTTGCTCGGTGGAGTGGCTGGGGTGGACTATGCGTGGAACCTGCGCCACACGAGACGTCAAGAGACGTCAAGAGACATCCAATTGCTGTGGAAGGTGTCACAGCGAAGAATCTCCAACCCAAACGAAGCTTATTGGGTTTCTAGAAGTGCAAAGAAAAAGACAATACTGATGGTCTTTATGGGTACCGTTTGGGTGCAAAATGCGTAGATTGTAGTAGATCAAGCATCCACACAGCTAGGCCATTTCGGCGTTTGCAGCCATTTTAACTCGCTCCGTTCCACTTAAACGCATCTAAACTCCAAAATCCCTACTTCTCTACTTTTGGGCCAGCCGTCCCAACATGGGCATGCACATTTCACGTTAATGTGTCATACAGCACTGAAAAGTGTAAAGCAAGAACTGACTAGACAGTCAGTATGACCACACATCTCCACCAGCAAAGACATAAAAAGAGATCTTGTCATTTTGAAAAAGCATGAAGTGACCACCTGAGGACCCAAACTTGTTGCTTCTCTAATTCCATATCTTTTTGTCCCTGGCAGTTCCTGATAAGAGAGGTGCGGCCGTTGCACCGAAAATGACTCTTGCTGAAACAGACAAGGACGTTTGCTGTGGGCCTACGAAAAAATTCCCCAACGGAACGGAATAAACGCTTTTTTATTTCTCCCTCGTATACTCGTATAACCAAATTCTCTTAAACCTCTCTCACATTGTTGGGTCCCCTTTGCGCTGACCCGTATCGGCCTTGGTTGTCCGGAGCGACATCGGTCTTGACACCACCAGACTCGCTGGTGGCTCACCTTACATTCTGGAGGGAACCCGCGCGGTGAGTGCAGTACGCACCGATAAGGGATCACGGGAAATGTGCCTCTCTCTGTCTTTTTCTGTTTCCCTCTGAGGTCCATAAATACCACACCTTCTGCCGCCCCTTTTGCCAAAAAAGCATACCAACATTCCTTCACGATTTTTAAGGTTTTTTGACCACTTTGTTACCGTTATTTGTTTAGACTGGAAATATGGCGTTCAACCCGGCCTACGAAACTAGGCGCAGAGTATCAGTACGCCACACCGTGCCAGAAGAGACTGAGTCTGCTGTTCTTTCAGAGTCCCAGTCGCTGTGGGTGGTTTTTAACCCAGATAGAGTGGATAACGATGTGATACTGTTTTCTACGACCAACCCGCTTACCACTGAAGGGTCAGGTGAAGCTGTTTCTGATAACGAGAGCGAAGCAAGCCACGAGAGTGAAGAGACAGATAACGATGAGCTCATTGACGAAGTCCAGCCTTCACTTTCGTCTCGTATAGACCAGTGGCAGAATGCCACAGATGCCGCAGCGGTATCAGATAACATAGCATCTTGGGACTTGGATTCGGACTTGGTCACCAAGCTCTTGGACACGTCGATACTCCGGCGGGTGCCAGCGTACTATGGCGACACATATTTTGAAAACATGTCCAAGGCAGAGTATATGCGGTTCAAGAGAGCCAGCGCCATATTACGCAAGCTGCTTACCAAGAAAGGTGCTCCGGTTGATAAGGACTTGATCACGCGGTTGCTCCAGGTGCTACAGTGGCAGAACTTGCTCAGTACGCTGGGCACTTTGGTCAACGACTACATTATCAACACATTGGCGAGGACCCAGCCTTCGGTCGGTTTCCGTGATGTCGAGTATTCCGACACGGCCACCTCCAGCTCCATGGTGATGTGTGGCGGAGGCTCCTCGTGGAACGATATATAAACCGCAAGCCACCCGCCGGCGGGTGCAAGAGGAACAGATTTATGACTTCATAGGCTGAGCCTAGCAAAGGGCCCTAGGGCTTGCGGAAGATAAGCGCAATAGCAAGCTGCTACAACGGCTGGAGGGAAGCATTCTTCGGCGATACGGAGATGGTCCTCCCCCTGGACCAGCCGAGCCGCATACGTCTCTAACTCAACCCCCTTTCTTGCCAGTCCCCCTTACTCAAAGATACCGAAGCGTCTTTCCTTCATATCTTTGCTATACATATTTAAGCTTTAATTTAATTCACCACCACGGTCTGGCTCGCCAAATTAGGCGCGACATTAATCTCTTTTAGGCGTGTATTACCAGCCAGCGCGACTCACCAACTGGAAACCGTTAAAACAAACACCATCAACACTATAATACCAATTACCATGTTGAGATCCCAAGCTTCTTCCATTGCCCGTTCCTTCTCCACCTCGGCTGCTCGCTCCCACTTCGCCAAGATGCAATTGCTTGGTAACGTCGGCAGCATCAACACCAGAGAAACCAAGGATGGCGTTCCTTTCCTTACCTACTCGTTGGCTGTCAACAGATACAACCCTCAGGCTGAAAATGGCCAGGCTGACTGGTACAACTTGTCTGTGTTTGACGAGAAGCTGGTCAACTTTTTCCAGAACCACTTGAGAGCTGGTGCTAGTCTTTTCGTTGAGGCTGACGTGAGACAGAGAGAGATTGTCGACTCCAACGGTGAGGGCAAGATTGTTACTTCTTTGAGACAGACTTCTTTCCACGTTGTTCGTTTCCCTAAGAAGATCACCGAGGAGGAGGGCGAGAGTGCTTAAGGACACTGATGTCTGGCCTATATGAATATACCCACTAATTGATATACTGTAGAATAATACATTGATGGTTCTCTTTACGCTATCCATTGCCTATTCTCTCCTATAAACCCCCATTTACAACTTCTTGGCCAGGGCCAACTCGATTGCGTATCCAACAGTCAACTTGACGTGTTCTTTGATATGGTCAAAGTCCAAACGATCCATGGTATCCAAAGTCAGATGGATCTGCTTGGCGGTGTACTTGAACTCACTTTCAATCAAGAAACTGGCTGGATAGCCGTTCTCCAAAGCGGAGGCATGGTCTGAGCATGCGTAGCCACATTCAGTCTCATGGAAAGGAATGGCACAGTATTCCTTCACGATCAACTTGATGAAATCGTTAAGGTCAACTGATGTGTAGTCTGAAATCAACCCAAAGTGTGGCTCGACACCAGCATCAGTCGTACCAGCAGTGTAACCAGTCATATCCTGCTGAAGCATACCCACGACGGTGGCGTTCTCAGCAGAGTACTGGGAAAAGACGTCAATGGAGCCAAGCAATCCTCCCTCTTCAGCAGAATAGTAGTGGAACTCCAAAGTGTTGTAAGGAGTGAAATCACCGGCGGCAATTGCCTTACTTACCAAACGAAGAGCTTCGAGAGTAGTCACAGTTCCAGATCCATCGTCATCGGCACCTGGAGCTCTAAGCAAAGTAGGGAAAAGAAGGTTAATGGAATCCTGGTGGGCTCCAACCACAACCTTATCTTCGACCTGGCCCTTAATAGAAACCGCAATAGAGTACTGGTCCCAGCCGTTGTGCTTGAACTTTCTGATACTCACAGCATCTTCTGGAAGCACCTTAATGATACCTTGAATGGTTTCATGCAACCAGTTAGCACTCTCTAACCCAGTGTCTGACTTATAGTAACGAGTGTAGAAAGACGAGAACTTAGCCAAGTGGGCCTTGACGTCCTCAATATCAATCTTCTTCAAAAGCGGATCCACAATGGACTTTTGGGTGGCTTCAGTAGGGTAGTTGTACTTAGGGATAGGTCTCTTAAGCGACTCAAAGTTCTTTCCAAGCCACGAAAAAAGACCACCGCCACGTCCAGTCTGGGCAACCATCCCCTTGTTCACAGCCTCCTGAACAGGCAAACTGTCAGTAACATCAATAAACCGCTTTCCTTCTCTTCTGAGTCTAAGCTTATCAGCTTCAGAAGCAGCAATGTACGAGTCCTCGGCCACCTTCAAAATTCTGTCTGGCACGGACGAGTGGAAGAGGTTATCATACACATTGAAGCTTATGGCGTTGGCAGCCGCAAACGTAGCAACGAAAGTAGTGAGTTTCATGGAAGAAGTGGTAGTATGTGTGGGGATATAGTGAGGCAAGAATAGTGCGAGATAAGGTGGACCAGAGTCAGTGGGGAGACCCTGAAACAAGTTGGGGGATGGGGTTTTGTTGGTGGAAATAAAGGTTGGAGGGTGTTAAGGGGGTGGAATTGGGGAGGATTTGATGGTTTTTATTGGGATTTATGGTGGTCTGGTGGAAATAGCTGGCCCTTGTGGGTTCACAGAGAGTATTGGATTTCGCAGCCAATAGTAAGTGGAGGGATGAGAATAGGAGGGAGAGTAATGAGTAGTACAAAGAAGATGGAACTATGGAATTTGGTATGTGTTTTGGTGAAATGAAGGGATACAAGGATGCTTTTGAAAATCAGGTTTTAGCTGGATTTCAATGGAACTGTTTGGGTATCTCTCATTAGCTGCTAGTATGGAAGGCTGGCTATGGACTGGCAGTGGATGTCAATTCCAAAAAAAGTCAAACCGAGGTATATAACTAGGCTATTCAAAACCTCAAGAAAGCCACAAGTCCTCTCTTAAATACATATATATATTCCTTAAACTGAGTGCTTTCCACTGCCCATAGTTAGACCTACCAGTACCAGTTTTCGCAACCATTGCGATTGACCAATGTCCACCAATTCTGCCCCAGAAGCCTCCTAAAACCCAAAAAAAAAGCTATATCTACAATCCTCCACCCTTCAGTAACCACATAAAGCACTCTTTCTCCCCAAACTATCTCGGCCCACCAGGTTTATTGGTACCCTCTGGAGCTCTGGTCGTGCGCACTGCACAGAGCCCTAGTGCCAGTGATTTTTTTCTAACTAGATCCAAATAAACATCTCTCATCGAAAGCACTCCAAAGACGTCCAATCCCGGCTAACTTCTTTCACCAATGAGTCTTTTGGCCTCTGTGCTTCCGGGAAAACCATTCTCTCAGAATGGAAACGCTGCCAATGGCGGCCAATCAGGTCCTGGCCAGGCAAACTCAAAGTACATTACGCCTACCATTAAGCCAGCTGACGATTCTGTGGGCACGCTTCAGTTTCAGCAAAACCAAACGGGTTCCAATGCTAACGGTGATTCTCGTTCGGTCATGTCCCAGAGATTTTTGCTTCCTCAGGCTCTCGAGACTGCTGGTGAAGTGAGCTATAAGATCAGTGTACCTAACTTTGAAAACCTACCGCCTTTGAGACTCGGTTCCAAGTTTATCACTGACTTGATCAGAATCGACTCAATGACTCCTGGCGATTTGTACGGAGAACCATACTTGAATAAGGGCAACAACAATAACTTGGATAACTACTTTTTCGATAAAGAAAACGGCTTGGGCCATTTCTCCCGTTTTGAAAAGGTCTCCCAACTAGACCTCCCTGATAAATTCTTTGAAGAGACCAACTTGACCGAGTGTCTGATGAATATGGGCCTTATGCCTGAAATTAATAGATCCTGGATCGCCGTGGACAACAAGTTGGTGTTCTGGAACTATAAGTTGCCTCAATCGTCATTCAACAAGTCTTCCCAGTTTCTCACCATAGACCAGATTCGTCATTCGATTTTGACGGTTAAACTTGTTAAGCCTAAGCCTGGCGTGTTTGTGGCTGACGTTAACCACTTGCTTTTGATAGCAACGACCATGGACATCCATATCTACGTGGTCAAGTACGACCAGCTGCTTAATAACTTGGAAGTATTTAATCCTAACCTTTCAGTTAATGTCCAGGGTCTCATGATTAACAAGTTTGCATTCAATGAACTCACGCACGAGGTCTACTTTTCTGGTGAGAGTGATGGAGTTAATGTGTGGAAGTTGGAATACCATTCGAACGCATCTTTCATCAAGAACAGATGTGATAAAGTCTGCCTCACCAAGAGCGGCTTATCATCTGTCCTCCCGATTGGCAAAATGAGAGGCTTCGACCTATTTAATTCTGAGCATACCGACATACATCACAAGGCTGGTGCCCAGGACAATAGCAAGGCCAACCAAATCCCTGAAAGCATCGTGGAAATCTCCGTTGATGGTGACAGAAATGTATTATACACTCTTTCGAACAAATCCATTATCAGGATCTACAAGTTGGCTCCTAACCAGAAAGAGTTCTCCCAGCACAACCAGTTTACTCCAAACGAGTTCTTCAGAGCTGTTTCCACCATGTACACTAATCACGCAAACATCAAGTCGTTCCTGAAGTTCAGAATTGTCAGCATACAACCCGTCTCGCCAAAAGAATCCAATAATATTTCTCTTATTGCCACGACGAATTTTGGTTTCAGAATTCTTTTACGCCTTGGATCTTTGGGTTCTTATTCGTCATTCATGTCTAACGCATCGAGGTTCGCTTCTTCCATCAGATTGAATTTGGTCACAGTGAAGTTCCCACCATCAGACGAGGTTACCAAAATGAACCCTGAGCTAGACCATATCACCAGAATTCAGCTGTATGTTGCTACTATGGTCAAAAATCAACAAAACTCCGAGCTCTTAAAGAATACAAAATTCTCCAAAATAATAAGTCCAGGTGTCTTCTTGGCTGTTAAGAAAACTAAGGGCTCAGACAAGTTGTTCGTTAGTTCCACAAACTATGGCTACCTCAAACGTAACAACAAACTTGTTGAAGATGCCGAATTCGTCAAGGTTGCTGCTCAAGTTGAGACTAAGGACGGCTCTCCAATCTACATCCATGATATTGTTCAATTGACACCATCGATGAATGCGACCGATACACCAAATGGCTATGCAAATGTCCTTGCATCGCAGTATAGCAAGAAACCGCTCAAGTTCGCTGTATTGACTAACTACGGTATTCTTGTTTACCAGTTCAAGACATCGGACCAAATCATAAGTTCATTGAAGGACGAGGTACTCGAGAACTTTATTGAGGAAAATGGATACGAGGAAACGTGCTCCACATTGCTTTACTTGTCATGTTCCCAGGGATACTTTAGTGGAAAGGACTTGTTCCACAAGACAGCATCCATGTTGTTCTCGCACGCTGGTAACAATGCTAGGCTTTCTGAAAATGCATCAACCGTTTCTTCTGGTCCATCCCATTTGCCACTTCAGCCATCTGATTCGAAGCGTATGGTGGAACAAGTTGTGTTGAGTGATCGCTTTTATGGTACTTGTCTCTTGATCTCTAGACTTTTCAGAGATTTTTGGAACAAGAAGGTCTTCACGCCTCTTCCGCATATCAAGATGCTTAATGATGGTTCGGTGGAAGTGCTGTCCTTGAAGGAGGGCAACCTTATCGTGAAGGGTCTTTCTATGACTAAGGACCAGGTGGAGTTCTTTATTGGCTCAGTCTTCGTCTTGTTGGAGTTCTTCAATGATAATCTGAATGACATTCCTGGTCTTAATGCCCCAAGCTACAGCTCTGATCCTACGAAGTTGGAAAACGAAGTTTGCATGAGAGCAGAACATATTGCATTTACGTCGATTGTCAGATGTTTGAACTCAATGAAGGAGGCATTATCCTTCCTTATGGTTCTCATCGAGGAAACTCAGAGCGACCAGAAGAACTTCAACGACATTTTCCAGTTCTTGTCTCTTACTAACCAGGTTAATTTCTTGAGATTGACTTTCAGGGACTTGTTGCTTCCAACTCAAGAGGTGAAGGGCCTTATCAAGGATCTTTTGTCATCCATCATCAACAAGAACATACTCAAGGGCGGCTCGATTGATTCGATTGCTTCGTCTCTTCAGGGTAGATGTGCTTCGTTCTGTTCAAGTGATGATGTCTACATCTTTAAGGCTATCGAAAACTTGACGAAAGCAAAGAACATTGGAAACCGAGACAGTGAGTTGAAGGTGAAATGTTTGAACAACGCTATTAGCTTATTTGAACAGGCTGTTGACTCTCTCACGTTGGAGAACATCGAGAACGCACTTAACATTATGCTTACGTTGGAGTTCTACACTGGAGCTGTCCAGTTCGTATTGAAGCTTGCAAAGAAATGCTACACCGTTTCTAATGCTCAATCATCTGCCTTGATAACTAATGGTGACAACAAGGTTGATAGTTTCAAGAACCAGCTTGAAATAAACAATAAGAAACGGATGCAGCTTTACGACCTCGTTTTCAAGATCTTGACCCGCCTTGACGTCAATGCTTTGAAGATCGAGGAATCCAAGAACCAGCTTATGATGAGAGAGTTCATGGATGTCAGAGACGCCACTTATGAGACATGTTTTGCATCTACTGACCAAAAGTTCCACTACGAGTTCTACCAGTGGTTTATCAACCAGGGCTACAAGCAGAGACTTTTGGATGTGGAAACCCCATACATCTTGCCGTTCTTGGAAGAAGTTTCGCAAAAGGACCTTGAATTGACACAGCTTCTCTGGCTCTACCATGCTAGAAGAGAGAACTACTTTGCGGCTGCTAGAATCTTATACTCATTGGCGATCTCTGATTTCTCCATTCCACTTAACCAGAGAATTGAGTTTCTTTCCAGAGCCAATGGGTTCTGCAATTGTACTTGCCCACCAAACTTGAGACAAGAGATGATCCATCTTTCCAACTTGGTTCATGAACTTTTTGACGTTGCAAACGTCCAACTCAACCTTTTGACTATCATCCAGAGTGACAAGAGAATCAACGCAGAGAACAAGAAGCTTGCTTCGGATGCTTTAAACAATAAGATTCAGAGTGCCAGTGAATTGTTCAACGAATACGCTGACCCATTGGGATACTACGAAATTTGCTTTGCAATCTTCAAGGTTTCTGACTACAAGAATCCAGACGAAATCTTTAAGAGATGGGAATTCTTTTTCGAGAAGATCTTCCATACTTTCATGACTGAAAAGAGCAATAACGTCCCACTCTACCAGATGATCAGCGATAAGATTGTGCCTGTTGGTTTGAGTTTGGCTCCTAACGACCTCGTTTTCCCCGTTGACCGGTTGATCAAGATGGTTTGCAAGTATATCCAAAACGCAATCGAGGAAGATGCTTCCACGCAAACGCCTCCTCGCGGTGCTGTGATCGAGATGTTCTTTAAAGCTCAGATTCCTTATGAAAAGTTGTACATCTCGGTGAAGTCACTCATTGAACACAACTCATACGAAGTCTACAGCGGATTCACGCAATACCTCAAGACGTCTGAGATGGTCTACTTGATTCGCAAGTGGTACAACAACGACAAGAAGCTCAAGGACGCTGTTGACGGCGAGCAGATTGCCAGCTTGACGGAGTATCTGGTGGAGAATGATCCTATTGACAAGTGGGTCAGGTTACACAAGACCTTCATCTAGGGGATTTTGGTAAGTCATTAGCATTAATATAGAAGTAAAGCATCACGCCACATCGTAGTACTTCCGTTTCTGGGCGTCGAACTTTTCGTTCTTGAAGGAGTGGTCTGAAGGACGTAAGATGTTAGAGCTCGTAGGTTCAGGCATTCTTTCGTTTGCAAGAGGACCCAAGTAAGGAAGAAGACCATCCACAATCAACGCAATTGCGTTAGGTTCCGCTCCACGAGGCATAATAACGTCAGCCTGCTCTTTAGTAGGGAAAATGTAATCATTCATTTCCTGCTTTGCACCGTGCAAGTAGGCATTGATGATATTTTCCAACTGTGCCTTCTTGACCTCGCCAAGCACGTCTCTTCGTATCCAGCGAATAAGTCTAGCATCAGCATCACCACTAATAAATACCTTGATCTGAGAAAGGTCCCTAATGGCCTTTTCATACAAAGCATAGAGACCATGGACAATGATCACCTTAGTTAGACTCGACAGCGCAGCCGTAGCTTCCTCTATATGACGCTGTAGAGCAGCAAAATCAAACCTGGACGGTTTAAGCAGCTCCACGGCTCGATTGGCAGTCACAGTTATAGCCGAATTCTTATCGTGGTCCTGTCCCACCGAAAGGCTCTTCTGATTGCAATAATCATCCATATCTATCACCTCCACCTCCAAAGGCGAAGAAACAACCTTCCCAAGATCCTCTTTAATCCACCGAGCAGTAGTACGTTTTCCAGCAGCATGGCCTCCTCCAATGAGTACCACTACAGCGTTGGAGTTCATTGTATAGAGTGGTTAGTTGGTGGAGCAGTGAGGCATAGAGGTGCGATGGCATCGCGAGATATGGTGATGGAGAAGCATACTTGATCTTCTACAGAGTATACGAGAAAAAATGGATTTCGATAGGGCTGCAGACGATGAGCTTGAGTTTTCGGTAAAGTCGTCGAAGAATATCAAAGTACATAGTACTTTTGAGGGCATGAAGCTTAAGCCTGATCTACTTAAGGGCATATACTCATATGGCTTTGAGGCTCCATCTGCTATCCAGAGCAGAGCTATTATGCAAATTATATCTGGAAAAGATACCATTGCCCAGGCCCAGTCGGGTACTGGTAAGACGGCCACGTTTTCTATTGGCATGTTACAGGCGATCGAGCCGAAGATGAGACAGACCCAGGCGCTTGTGCTTTCTCCCACTAGAGAGTTGGCTACACAGATCAATAATGTTATTATGAACTTGGGCAATTATATGAATATCCATACTCATGCTTGCACTGGTGGTAAGCAGGTTGGCGAGGATACTAAGAAACTTGGCCAGGGCCAGCATATTGTGAGTGGTACGCCAGGACGTGTGCTTGATGTGATCAAAAGAAGACATTTGCAGACCAGAAGTGTTAAGATGCTTATTCTAGATGAAGCTGATGAGCTTATGACCAAGGGATTTAAAGAACAGATTTATGAGATTTACAGGCAACTACCGCTGACGGTACAAGTTGTGGTTGTCAGTGCTACGCTTACGAAAGAGGTTCTCGAGATGACATCGAAGTTTACCACTGATCCAGTTAGAATTCTTGTGAAAAGGGAGGATGTCACTCTTGAAGGTATCAAGCAATACTACATTCAGTGTGAGAAGGAAGAGTGGAAGTTTGACACTCTATGTGATCTCTACGACAACTTGACCATCACACAAGCAGTTATTTTCTGCAACACAAAGATGAAGGTGACATGGCTAGCAGAACAGCTTCGAAAGGCCAACTTTGCCGTGGTGGCCATGCATGGAGACATGAAACAAGACGAACGAGACCTGATCATGAACGATTTCCGTTCGGGAAACTCCCGTGTGCTTATATCCACCGATGTGTGGGCCCGTGGTATTGACGTCCAGCAAGTTTCGTTGGTGATCAACTACGATTTACCCTTGGATAAGGAGAACTACGTCCACAGAATTGGTCGTTCTGGCCGTTTTGGTAGAAAAGGTAAAGCCATCAATTTGTTGACCAAGGAGGATAGAGACGAGTTTAAGGATTTGCAGAGGTACTACAAGATCAAGATCCGTGAGATGCCCATGGACTTTGGCGGTTAAAGAGAGCGAAGGTGATGGTAATTGAGATAGAGCTTCCTTAGCTTCTTCGTTACTGGAGACTTCTGGCTGCATGAATGGCTGCGAAATTGCTAGACATCGAAGTCACATTGCACCAACCATAGACACTATTATAGACAGCCAAAGGCTGATTTGGAGAAAATCTAAGGCTCAAAATAAGTAATATAAACTTTCCAGTAATTTTTTCATTTCAAATGTACACTGTCCACTTGAACATGTTCATGTAGGCACGATCCCACGGATCTCATCTCATGCGATGCTTCCAGTGAACTATACTAAGCTATACCCACAACACCAACAAATAAACCAAAAAAAAAATAAAAAAAAGCCAAATACAACCAACACCAACCAGCCAATCACATTACTCGAAATCACCAAATCACCAAACCAGCACCACCAAACCCTCCCCATCTTCGTACCTCTTCTCTCGCTTCCTCAGGCCAGCTCTGCACACGAGGGCATCGCACTACAAATCGCGATACCGGTACATCATAATTTTTTTCCAGTCTACAATCCCATCTTCTCCAAGTATGGACACTCAATACCTCGCTGCCTTGGAGGAAACGCTCCAGCAGACGTTTGCGCCGGCTACTGTGAAGCTGGCGACCGCCAGATTGTCGAAGGACTTTTACCTGAACCCATTGGCGTTGCCTTCTCTCTTTCACATTTTGCAGAATGCTAGCCAGGATCAGATCAAGCAGTTGGCAGCTGTGGAGGCCCGTAAGCTTGTGCCCACCAAGTGGGAGGCTGTGGATGCTTCGTTGAAGCCACAGATCAAGAATGCTCTTTTGCAGAACACTTTCACCCAGCAGAACAAGTTGATCAGACACTCTTCTGCTAGAGTTGTTGCTGCTATTGGAGAGATCGAGTTGGAGAACAACTCGTGGCCTGACTTGTTGCCTACTTTGGTGAACGCTGTCAACGAGAACGACGCCCAGACCAAGGATATGGCCGTGTACACTTTGTTCACCTTGTTGGAGACCCAGATTCCTTCTCTTGGTCCTCACCTGGACGACTTTGTCACTCTTTTCGCCAACTTGTTGCAACAGCAGGGCTCTAGAGATATTAGAGTGAACGCTACCATGTCCTTGGAGGTGCTTTCCCAGTACATCGAGGAAGAGGTCGACATGAACCCTGCCACCGCCAACAAGTTCAAGAACTCTATTCCAGGAATGGTGCAGGTGCTTAAGGAAACCATCGAGGCTGACGACGCCGAACAGACCAAGTCTGTGTTTAACGTGTTCAACTCGTTGATTTTCTTGGACAACAAGTTGTTGGGCGATCAGATTGTCGGTTTGATCCAGTTTGTCGTTGAGATCGCTACCAACCAGTCCTTGGACGAGGACATTAGATGTATGGCCATGCAATTCTTGATTTCCGTTGTTTCCATGAGAAAGTCTAAGATTGTTTCCAACAACTTGGGTCCTTCCCTTACTCTTGTCGCTCTTAAGATCGCTTCTGAGGAGGTTGACGCTGACGATGAGTTGAACAACGAGGATGAGGAGAACGAGAATGAAGAAAACGTTCCTTCCACTTTGGCTTTGCGTTTGATGGCCATCTTGTCTGGTGAGTTGCCTCCTTCCCAGGTTATCAACCCATTCTTCGAGAACTTGGAGGCCCAGGTCTCCTCGAAGGACCAGTTCGCCAGAAGAGCTGCCCTTTTGTGTATTGGTGTTGCTTCCTCTGGTGCTCCAGACTTCTTGGGCACTCAGGTCAACAAGCTTGTTCCTATTATTATTAGAGGTTTGCAGGACCCAGAGATCATCGTTAGGGTCGCTGCCACCAGAGCTTTGGCTCAGTTGTCCTCTGAATTGCAAGACAACATTGCTGACTACCACAAGGAGTTCTTGCCTCTCCTCGTTGAGATCATCAACAACGCTGCTCACGTCATGACCTACAAGCACGCTTGTTACGCTTTGGACGGTGTCATTGAGTTCATGGGCCACGATGCTATTGCTGAGTACGTCTCGCCTTTGATGGAGAAGTTCTTTGCTATGTTGCAGCAGGCCAACTCTTCTTCTTTGAAGTCTGCCATTGTCTCTGCCATTGGTTCTACCGCCTTTGCTTCCGGTAAGGGTTTCACCCCATACTTCCACCAGTCTGTTAGAGCTTTGGAGCCATTCATCCAGAATGCTGGTGAAACCGAGGGTATGTCTGAAGAGGACATCGAGTTGAGAGCTCTTACCTTCGAGAACATCTCTACCATGGCCAGAGCTGTTGGTTCCGAGTCTTTCTCTACCTACGCCAAGCCATTGGTTGAGGCTGCCTATGTTGCTATCAACTCTGAGCATGCTAGAATCAGAGAGTCTGGTTTCGCTTTCATCTCCAACATGGCTAAGGTCTACGGTCCAGCTTTCGCTGACTTCTTGGACAACATTGTTCCTCAAATCTTGAAGTGCTTGAACCAGGAAGAGTTCTCCTTCAACCTTGACGAAGAGGATGCTGAGGGTCTTCTTGAAGAAGACGAGGAGAACCTTGGTGACAAGTTTAAGGTCAACACTGGTATCACCATCGAAAAGGAGATTGCCTCTGTTGCTCTTGCTGAATTGGCCATGGGTACTGGTAGTGCTTTCGGTAAGTACGTCCCAGATGCCATTGCTACCTTGTCTGAACAGATTGAGGTTTCCTACGGTATGAGAGAGGCTGCCATGAACGCTCTTTGGAAGATCGTCCGTGCTATGTTTAAGGCCACCTACGGCGAAAACTACAAGCCACCAATTGGTATCCCTCAACAACCATACGTTGACGGTCCAATCTTGGAGTTGATCAAGCTGGCTAGAGAACTTACTGTTAGCAACTTGGAGTCTGAGTTCGAGATCACCTTGGCTGGTTGCGACTTAGACAACATCTGTGAAGCTCTTAACCAGTTCGGTGCTATCGCTGTCACCAGTGGTCCATCTGACACTGGTTCTTTGGAGAAGTTGTGTGCTTCTTTGATGGACCTCTTGAAGAAGGAGCACCCATCTCAGATTGACGACGAGGAGCCAGTTGAGGAAGGTGAAGATGCTTCTGAGACCGAGGCTTTGATGTACGAATCTGCTTTGGAAGTGTTGATCGTCCTCTCCATGAAGTTGGGTCCTGACTTTGTCAAGGTCTTTGAAACCTTCAAGGGTCTTATCCTTTCTAATGTTACTTCCAAGTCCAAGGGTAAGAGAGTCAGCTCCATCGGTGCTTTGGCTGAAATCTCTGTTGGTTTGAAGGATGCCAACCCATATGCCCAAGAGTTGATGCAGGTGTTCAGCGACAGATTATCTAACGACAAGTCCTTGGAGGTCAAGGGTAACGCTGCCTACGGTGTTGGTGTTATCATTGAATTGTGCCAGGTTGACTTCTCTGCTCAGTACCAGCAAATCTTGCAGATGATGTTCCACTTGTTGAGCAGATCCGACAAGGAGGCCCAGGTTGACGACCAGGAGACCAAGGACGTTGTCAACAGAGCCAACGCCAACGCTTGTGGCTGTGTTGCCAGAATGGCCTTGAAGAACCAGGCTGCCATTCCTCTTGAGCACGTCTTGCCAGCTCTTCTCAGCCACTTGCCATTGCAGTCTGCTCCAGAGGAGAACGTTCCAATCTTGACCTGGATCATCAGTTTGTACGAGAGCGGTAACGAGATGATTGCCAGCCAGTCCGAGAGAGTGATCCAGGTTTTCGCCGAGATCTTCCAGAAGGAGGCCGAGAGACTTAAGTTGATCGAAGAATCTACTTTGGGCAGAGAGGAGTACCTTGACAGAATGAAGCAGTTCCAGACCGAGGAGATCAAGCGCAAGGTTGTTGATTTGTTGAAGTTCTTGAACCAGAAGTACGCTTCAGTGATTGCATCCCACGAGATCTTGAAGTCTGTCATTGCATAATTTATGAAAAAGAAAAGCCAAAAAAATTTCTAGGGGGTCTATACGATATATTATATTATTCAGAAGTAAGTTGCATAAAGCGTAGTTGGTAATTTTTCTTGGATCGTACTTTGCCTTGTTTGAAGATGTCCATTGAAGTCCCCTTTCGTCTGGCCGTTCCTGACCAAACCACTACGGAATTTCACCTCCATCTTTCCTTAGCCTCTAACCAGTCTGCATTTACTAGATATTTTTTCACTTCGTACTTATGGGCGTGGTTACCTTATTAGGCCCTCAATGGCACTTCTCATACACCCAGTGAAGATTTACGCCAAAGAGTCAGGAACACTTCTGCCGAACTAATGCAATGCAAGTAATATAAATACGTAACGAATTCAGCCTTGAGAGGCTTTTTAAGATACCCCCAATAAGTCAAAATAATCATGTCTCTCAACGCTGAAGGTCTGTCGATAGCTGCTTTTTCATTCATAGCGTTTGTGCTCTTGATCCCACCGTTCTTCTATCACCACAAACAAAGAAACATTCCAGCGTGCAGTTTGATATTTTGGCTTTGCTACGAAAACCTTGTTGCTTTTATAAACGCTCTTATTTGGAGTGGTGATAATTTCGATACGGTTACTACTGCTCCAGGCTACTGCGATGTCACGGTGAGACTTACCAGTGGAGCCTCTTCTGGAAAGTTGGCTTGTATTGCTACGGTGATGTTCAATTTGTTTATGATCATCAGAGCTGAAAACCATAGGTTCTTGGATGCCAAGTCGAAAAGACGCTTGTTCACGAATATTGCCATGTGCTGGGCCACACCAATCTTTGTCATGAGCACTTCTATCATAGTACAGGCTACTAGATATGTTATTTTCAGGTACCGTGGATGTCTTGCTGCTTATGCTTATTCGTACTTGACGCTTATTTTGGTGCAAATCTGGAACCTTGTGTGGTCTGTGGTGGCTCTTGTGTTTGCCTTGTTGACCTTGGTTACCTACCTTAAGAAGCGCAGAGACATTAAGGATATCTTGAGATGCACAGGCTCGGGTCTTAACCAAAGACGGTTTGCTCGGTTGGTGATTTTCAGCTTGCTTATTATCTTTGTGTTGGTGCCTTTTGCTATCTACAACTTTGTCAATGCTGCTGATACCTTTGGCGTGCTGACGTTCAGCTTGTCGGATATTCATAACGAATATTGGGGTACGATTTATGCTTTTGACTATGGAACGTCACAGCTTGCTTCGCCAATTATCAATATCTGTCTTGCCTTCTGTACGTTCCTTCTTTTTGGTTTGGGTACTGATGCTCTTGCCATGTACCGTCGTTTCCTTGTGTTTATTGGATTCAAGAGGTTCTCTAAATCACTTAACAGAGACGAGCCTGTCATTTCCACTGAGTACACCGAGAGTAAGCAGCTTACCAGGGAGACTGTCCAGACTGAAGCTACCTTGGCCACTATGCACGAGTTGGAGGACTACAAAGAGCTTGTATTTGGCGAGCCTGAAAGGCCACTCAACCTGCCAGATACCTTGGTAAAAGATAGTAGTATTGGTGTTACGTATGCGTTGAAGCCATCCGAAAGTCTGTCAACAGACATCGAAGACCAGATTAGTGGAGACACAGATATAAACTTTGAGTTCCATGTTGTGCCCAAATAGATAAATAGCCACTAATTGATAAGTTTTTTGAAAACTCTTTCAAACTCTTTCGAGTTGACCTTACCCAGGGTTTCCTTCATGGCGAGGCCAATAAGGTGGTTAAGGGAGTTAGTCTTGCCGCCCTTGATTTTCTCCACAACGTCACCATTATGGTCAACAATACTGCGGCAGATTTCATTGATGGCATCGTCTAGATCGTGAGTAGCCACGCCACTAGCAGAAGCCAAGTCGTACTTCTCAATCAAGTCTTTGATTGGAAGGCGTCTTTCCTCAGGAGAACTCTGCAAGAGCTGTACCAAAAGAAGCTTAGCCGATGAGAAGGTAATCTTGTCCTTGTTGACCATCACAATCAATTCAGTAAAGCTTCTTGGGGTAATGGCTGTACGGTCGAAAGGTAAGTCTAACTTGCGGAAAGCACCAATCAATTCATGGATGAGCCAGTTGTTAACGGTCTTCACTGGAAGCATAGCACCTATGCATCCATATTCGTACAAGTCTGAGTAGTAGTGGAGGACATCAATGTTGTCCACGAGGAAACGTGCATGCTTGATTTCAAGACCATAAGGTTCCTGAGTGAGCCTCTCCAAGATTTCATTTGGCAACTCAGGAAGAATGGCTTGAATCTCTTCTTTGATGTTTGGCGACAAGAACACACCGGGAATCTCAGTATCTGGCAAGTATCTGTAATCGTTTGCATCTTCCTTATCTCTTCTTCTGGAAGTAACTTTTCCGTCCCATGCTCTCGTCTCTTGAACGATTGGTTCTTCAGAAGTCTTCAAGTGTTCGACTTGTCTATTGTATTCATGAGTTGCTGCAGCAACCACTTCAGATGTGGAACCCAAGTTCTTAACCTCCACTCTCTTTCCACCGTTCACAGAGATGTTCACATCGCAACGCATAGCACCCTTCTCCATGTCACCAGAGCACACGCCCAAGTGAGACATCAACGTCAAATACTTTCTAACAAAGGCTTTCACCTGGTCTAAATGAGTAAAGTCTGGCTTAGTGACAAGCTCAATCAAAGGAACATTGGCCCTATTGAGGTCAACACTGATTGCCTCATCGTACTCATTATAATTAAGCTTTCCCGTATCCTGCTCAAGCTGGATCTGCTCAATTCGTATAACATGGTCTTCACTAACGTTATCGTACTTCTTGCTCAATTGCAATTCCCCATCCTTTGCCAATGGTCTGTGATGCTGGGTCAATTGGTACCCCATTGGCTGGTCGAGGTAGAAGTAATGCTTACGATCAAAATGGCACAATTCGCTGATATTCGAGTTCAAAGCAGCAGCAGCCTTCAAAGCTAGAAGCAAAGCTTCGGGATTGAGCTGGGGAAACGTTCCGGGAAGCCCGTAGTCAAAGTAACTGGTGTTGGCATTGGGAGGCGAGTCTGGGGAGTTTTTCGATAGCGAAAAAAGCTTGAAGTTCGTCTTGAGCTGGGTATGTATTTCAAGCCCACATTTGAAAGTATAACCTGGCTGGGGCGTCCAGGTCAGTAACCGTCTAAGAAGCATTGCTAGTCTATAAGTGAATACATCGATTTCCAGTGCAGGAATTTGCAACTATATAAGGTTGGACCGTTGAACGTGGGGCAGATTCCGGAATGCACATTATATAGAGAGGAAGTTTAAATAGGTGTTTGTGGTTTAGAGGAAGATTTGAGTAACATCTTGTTGGTTGGTTTTTGGTGAAAAGTGGTGTAAATGGTAGGGCACCAAGCAACCATTACAGTGAGACATACCCAGTAAGTAGCCCGATACTGGATAATCGAAACCCTCAGAAAATGAGTTTTGTATTCTTTTTTTTTTTTTTACGTTCTTCTTAAAATGAAGCAATAAGAGACCAGAAATTCACACTTCGCTTTAGAATTGAAAGTCGTTGGTGCCGTGCTTTATAGTTACCTTCCAGTACTGGCTGATGCGCCTTACCTAACACACTAGCCATATCCTATCAACATATACTTGCCTCTGGAAACTTAAAAAACGGCATTCCAAAATTATATTTTGCCTTACAGAGTGGCAAAAATAGTCCTCCCAGCTGGACCTGCTCGACCCTTATCCTTTCCCCTTTGGGCCACTTGAAACGTTTACCGCATCGTTTCACATTTAGGATATTTTGCAACCATTTCCACTACTGTACTTCTTCCTACTACACTGAAAAATCTTTCCAAAAACTTTCCCACACGATACACTATGTTATTTGACTTGGAGTCATATAATCTTGCCAAAGGATACAAAGGTTCTTTCGGTAAGCCCAGACCATCCAAAGAGAAAACAGAAAATGATGACGTACCCGACCATTTCTTGGATAACCACGAAGGATTCTGGAAGGATGAGTTTAAGCTTAAAGAGGAGATGGATAAGATGGAAAAACCTAAAACCTACAAAGAGTGGGAACAAAGATTGAGGTACCGCTCCACGGTCCGGTTAGAAAGGATACTTGCTAGGAAAAGGCAAAACCAGGAAGGAGTGACGCAGTATAAGAAGTTATTCCGGAAAGTAACATTTTCCGTAGAATTCATTTTATTGACGCTTGTTTGGTGCAGCGATATCAATTTAGTTGCTTTGATAATTGTGTTTTTCATAGTATGTCAAGGAATGAAAGTGATATTCATGCCAGCTAGGGTTCAAGTTGGCGAGGAAATGAAACTTCACAGGATTCTTCGTGAAATCGACGTGGCTGCCCTACACCAGCGGTCCAAGGGGGGTAGTGGCCATCTTGGACAGCAACTGACAGGCAAAGAACTGGGTTATCTGGGCAATAAGTAAGCTAAATACACGATATGGAAAAAGGGTCTGGTGATTTTCTGGTGACTAAAGTGAACAGCTATAGCTAAGCTTAATACTTCTTTCGATGATAAGCTCATCACTGAAGTGTTGTGGGTCTCCGATGATTATCTTTTAGTGAGAACTACCAACAGAGCCAGTGACAAGATGGAAGTCTTCTTGGTTTCCACTGATGATGGGGCCGAAGGCAAGTTGGTAAGAAAGCACCATGCGGAGCTGTAGCTATAAAATGGTAGTATTTTGCAAAACAAGATGTGTAGCATTAGATTTTATGACATCTGGCCTAACCAATGATTCTACAGAAGCATATCATGTAGCACTTTACAACTGTAGCTAAAACACTGGTTTCCATGAATACTAACAAACCAAAAGTGATCAATATAAGAGTCATTCAGCTAAATCAAAGCCAACGTCCCCTATAAAAGTCCCTTTAGACCAAATCTTCATTGCCCTCGGTTCCTTCTTTCCAGACATAATATGGCTGCAAAACACAGCAATAAGCTGCATGAACTACACTAACGAAGCAACCGCCATTCCCAGAAACGTCGCAAATACCCGAATATCCAGAGAAACCGAGGAAATTAACCAAATCTTCAAAAAATACAAAATATTCACCATTCTCGTGCCCTCATGACATACTCTCTAATTATGTGGAACATGCGCAAAAGCACATAAATCACGCTTTACCAGGTAAACAATCCCACATGGCCCCCCAAACAAGCAAACCACAAAACAAAAAAAAAAAAAAAAACAGAAAAAATACCAGACTTTTCTCTCTACTCTTAAACAACTCTCTACCCCCAAAACCCATCCAATTCCCTTTTCCTCTCCAGAGGGTGTGGCTGCCTGGACCCATTTCGCAACCACTAAACTCTACTCTGGGTGTATGGTCCACGCACGACCCACGCACCAGTTTCCTGTCTGTCATAGTTTGCCCCACAAGGGGTGACGATAAGATAAAAGGATTCCCTATCGCAGTAAACACAACCACTATAAGAAAAAAACACACACACATCCACCACACACGTCTTTTTTAGCAAGTTTAAAGTATTACAATGAGATCGCAGTTCAAAGACGAGAACTCGTTTGAAAAGAGAAAGTCGGAATCCACTAGAATCCTCCAACGGTTCAAGGATAGACTCCCAGTGATTTGTGAGAAGGTAGAGAACTCAGACATCCAGGAAATCGACAAGAGAAAGTACCTTGTGCCTGGGGACTTGACCGTGGGTCAGTTTGTTTACGTGATTAGAAAGAGAATTAAGTTGCCCTCGGAGAAGGCCATTTTTATCTTTGTCAATGACATCTTGCCACCGACTGCTGCGTTGATGAGCACGGTGTACGAGGAGCACAAGGACGAGGATGGCTTCTTGTACGTGTTATACTCGGGCGAAAACACCTTTGGATCCATTGAAGGTGTGGAGGAGGTTACCGAGGAGCTGCTTTAAGCAGTGTTTGATATCTATGGGCGCAGCGCAAGCACGCTGCGTGGGTATATATGTTCCATAGCCATTCAATTGACTGGTTTCAATGGGTGGGCTATGTGGCAATGCAAGTGAGTTCAATTTTTATTATACGCTTATAAACGGAAGAGAGGTGGCGATGCTGCTACCAATTGAGTGGCAGCAACGGCCCTAGAGTTGGAGAAAATAAGCTTAGTTGTTGATGTTGACCAACTTGTCCTTCTCCAACTTGATCTTGATGCCCAATCTCTTGAGATCGTCACCCTTCAACTTGTAGAAAAGCTCCTGGAGCTTGTCGGTCAAGAGAGTCTCGTGCTTGTTGGCCTTGCCAACAGCCTTCTTACCCAAAGCCTTCAAGAGCTGCTGAGTCTCCTCGATCTGAACGCTCAAACCGTGAGTAGCAGAGTCGTAGGTGTGCTTAACCTTCGAGCCCAAGTCCTTCTCCAAGTAGTTTCTGTAGTCCTCCACAGCCTGGTCCAAGTCGTTCTTGAGCTTCTCGGCCTCCTCGGTGCTCTTAGCCTTCTTGGTTGGCTCGAACGACAAGATATAGTTGTTGTTCCAAGCGTCCTGGACAGTGTCAGTGACAGAAGAGTAAGTGTCAACTGCCTTGTCCTTGGTGCCTGGGGTCTTGAAGACCACAAGGAGGATAGTGACAATAGCCACGATGATGATAATTGGGTTGATAGTTCTAGCCATTATTAGTCAATTGAGAGTTGGGTGATACAGAAACTTTTTTTTTTGTTTTTCAGGCTTTGGTCCACTCTTTATAACCTGTGGTATGGATCATGCACTTAACCGAGTTGCTCCCAGATGTTGCTACCCCAACAAAGACAGTTGTGGCAGAAAAGAAGCACAAGCAGGCCCCACTGTGGCGGATCTTCGGCAAGCGTCAATTCCACAATGGGTCAACCATTCCTGTTTAAATAAGCTGTCAATGCATTTTAAATAATATGGCTCACCGTATTTTGTTGTCAGAGTATACTCGAACCTTGAGGCTAATGAAGGTTATGCCTTTTTCGCAACCAATACTATAATTAACTGGGGCCGTGCGTGTTTCGCAACCATTGCTACACAGGGTCAGTCCTGACATAAGCGAATTGCTGTGAGCCTCTTTTCGCTTGCATGATCTTTTGGAATAGGTCGTTTAGCGTCAGATGAGCTGCCGTGGTGGAATTGTGGAGCCGCTACCAAAAAAAAATAGGGAAAATAGCAAAAATAATGACTCCGGCGTGATTCGAACACGCGCATCTTACGATAACAGAACTTGAGTCTGCCGCCTTAGACCGCTCGGCCACAGAGCCACTTTATATTTGGTATGATTTTGGGCTTTAACAGAAAGTATGGATTGGGAAGATGAAGGCAAAGTTCAATTTTGATATCGTTAGTACATACATTGAAACTTGGAAAATGTTTCTGTGCTTTTGAAATTTCGATATCGCGCGATTTGACGAAGTTAGAGCACTTTGAAGTTCTATTTCGACTCTCAAGATCAAATTTGAACCACCAAATGCCACTTAACCATTCCCCAAGCAATGTCATTTTCAATTCATTAATATTCCACCCGTGAATGATCTTCCAGACCTTGCGTTTTGTGCTGCATTTTTCGACTTTTGTAACCACAGTGCGGTCATTGCAGCAGTTCTTGTGTTCTCTGGCTTTAAAGAAGCAGTTAATTTTTGCCGTCAAAGCATGGATCTCAAAGTGACTATACAGATCTTGCTACTGCAATCTAAAACGTGAATTGCTGTCGTAAATGGGCATCAGACAGATTTAAGCGCTCGTATGGCTCGATGACCACCGTAGTGGTTTTCCTCTGGGAAGACCAGGTAAGTCAGGCAGCGCCAAAAGTATTGTTGGGAGGTAGCTTCCTTCACAAGTCTCTGTTTAGAATATCCTTTCTTAATGTTACATTTAATCTATGTCTATAAACCTCCCTTTACCTAAACACCTTCACAACACCTAAATCAAATCCTTAAACTTGGCATAAACTTCGTCTACCAAGCTTCTCAATTCCTCTTTTCTATCCTCCCCACACCAGGAACCGTTGATACCGTTAAGCACAATAGTACACCATTCCTTTGGAGAAAAGCCAAAACGGGTCTGCACCGCCACGTAGTTATCCAAAATGTATCCACCAAAATAAGCTGGATCGTCAGAATTGATCGAGAAGGAGATACCCTTGTCAAAGAATTCTCTGTATGGCAATTCTTCCACGTCTTTCACCACCTGCAACTTAACATTGGACAATGGGCACATGGTCAAAAGAGTGTCATTTGCAACCAACCGATCCAACAATTCTGGAGACTGTTTAGAATTGACACCATGATCAATACGAGAGACTTTAAGCAAGTCCAAAGAGTTAGTCACATACGTATGATCGCCTTCCTCTCCCGCATGAGCAGTCAAGTTCACACCAGGGAACTTCTCTTTCAAAGAACCATAGCATTCCTCGAACAATTCAGGAGGGAAAGGCTTTTCAGCAGAATCCAAACCCAAACCCTTGATTACTCCGCTTTCATAATACTTTTCCGTGGATGCAAGAGTCTCAAGGCCCAGCGACGCAGGTAAATGCCTCAAAAGACACATAATCAACATCGAAGTGGACCCAAACTTGGCAGCAGCATCCTTACAAGCTCTGTTAAGCCCATTGACAACCACATCTACACTAATGCCCCTTTCCACATGGCCCTGAGGGTCAAAGAAGACTTCGGAATGGACACAGCCGTCGCGATGAGCACGAGAAAAGTAGGCAAGTGCCAAGTCGTAGAAGTCTTGTTCGTGGATCAACACGCTCATGCCGACATAGTAGTGATTTAAGAAGTCTTGCAAGTCGGTAAACTCAGCGTATCTTTTATTACATGCTTCAACGGTTTGTGGGAACCAGGCAGGCAAGTCGATCTTGTTTCTTGCAGCCAAAGCGAAAAGCAAGTCAGGTTCCAAAGTTCCCTCGATATGAAGGTGGTGTTCACATTTAGGCAAAGCTTGGAGGAAGCTGTGAAAATGGGAAGAACAAGGGAACCGAGTCATAGTACAGAAGACAAAGAGTGGTGAGTAAAGCTAGGCATTAGACGATGCGGTAGGAGAGAAGAGCATCGCCTGAAAAAAGTGACACAAAGTCGGGTACAGAAGCGTGGGTGTCCACCGGGAATAAAAAAACGAGATAAATAAATCCACTCAATGATATTCACGTTTTTTAAAGCTTCTCATAACCCATTCTGCAACATGGCTTATTCGTTTTAGTGATGTCTGGGCTGTCACGGTAGCACTGTTCCAAGGCTATGTCAAAGCTCGGCATGCAACCAATGTAGGAGGTTTGTTTGGGCTAAAAATAGCGTGTCGAGGAGGAAAAAGGGAGGAGGGAGAAAGGAGGAAGAAGCAAATGGAGCTCCATGCTTTCTGTTAGAAATGCCAAAACCCACTTGAATAAATTAAGTACTCAAAATGCTCTGCCCCTGTCCTTCCCTTTTGCACCCATTCTTGACTTAGATTACGCGACAATTAACACCAAATCAGGAAACCACTAACGACGCAGCCGTACAGTGACCATAACCCCTTAACAAATACACTCTCCGTATAAAAATAGCATATAATAAAAACATAAAATAAAATATATCAATCCCCAAAAGATGCCCTGACCCTCCCTCAGCCTCGTCCAAACCCTTCCCTACATCCATATATATAAACTTGTATATCCATGTACCTAAGGCTCCTACACAGAAGCAGGCACACCCAGCCCTCTATTATTGTCTATTTTTGCAATTTCTCGCGATCCACCTCCATCTCTGAAACCACCACTTCCTTGACTGTCCCATGGCTTATAGGGATGACGATGAAGAACTGAGGTATCTCAGGTACCCACAGACTGGTGGGGTGTACAATTACTCGAACGATGCTGTGGATAGTATAAATTTCCAGCAGCCCCAGAGGGTGTACAGCAGCCAGATGCACCCATCCAACGATGACTTTATGGACTACTACGAAGACGAGAGGCCGCTGGCCATGTTCAACACACTGCATGTGCCGCCTCCTCCTCCTCCAAGACAACCGCTACCGGCTCATGATCCGTTTATGGATAACGAGTTTGAAATGGGCGCGTACCCGCAGACGAACTACCAGCCTACGGCGTATGATCCTAACGCTGCTGGGTTCAACTTTTCCCAGGCGTTTGTGCCTCATGTTTATGATGACGAGGAAGAACAGCAGTTTGACCGTGAGATTGAGTATAACCAGTTCCAGGGTGACAGTTTGGACCTTCAGACGGTGCATGTGGCAGATTCCGATTCTGAACAAGACGGGCAGACTATTTATGACCAGGAAATGCAACTGCCGTTTGCAGAAACGGGTGAAGAGTTCCCGGAACCTCCTGAACAGGAAGAGGTGAGAGAGAAACCTAAGCTTGGAATTGCTACAGGTCACAATGGTCATTTGGTCTTGGATTGTCCAGTGGCCACAGAACTTCTTACGAAATTTCCAGATTACAACTCAAGTTTGCCTGACGGTGGTCTAAGTAGAGAATTCTCGTATATGAGATATACTGCTGTGACCTGTGGCCCTTCGAATTTCTGGAGAGACGGCTATATCTTGCGTCCAATCCATTATCCCGTTAGACGTCAAACAGAGTTGATGGTGGTCATTACCATGTATAATGAGGACGATATTCTTCTCGCACGTACCCTTAAGGGTGTGTTCAAGAACATTAAGCATTTGGAGTCCAGATCTAGGTCTCCAGTGTGGGGCAGAGACTCTTGGAAGAAGGTTGTGGTCTGTGTCGTGAGTGACGGTCGTTCTAAGATTAACGAGCGTGCTCAGGCACTTTTGGCTGCTCTTGGTGTCTACCAGGAGGGATTGGCTAAATCCAGAATTGACGACAAGAAAGTGAAGGGTCATATTTACGAGTACACTACACGTGTGGGTATTTCATCTGTTGATGATACCGTCAAGTTGACTACCGAAAAGGTTGTCCCAGTGCAAATGCTTTTTTGCTTGAAGGAAAACAACGCAAAGAAAATTAACAGTCATCGTTGGTGTTTCGAAGCTCTCTCTCAAGTTCTCGATCCCAACATCGTTGTTTTGCTTGATTGCGGTACTCAGCCATCTGGTAAATCCTTGTACCACTTGTGGAAGGAATTCGACAAAGATCCCCGTGTTGCAGGTACTTGTGGTGAGATCAAGGCTTCTTTGAAGAAGAGGCAAATGCTCACCAACCCAATTGTCTACGGCCAAAACTTCGAGTATAAGATCTCCAACATCCTTGATAAACCTACTGAGTCTGTCTTCGGTTTCATTTCCGTTTTGCCTGGTGCTTTCTCCGCTTATAGATATGTCGCTTTGCAGAATGATATCAATGGCAAAGGACCATTGGAGAAATATTTCAAGGGTGAATTTTTGCATGGAAGTGGTGAAATTGATAAAAATGACGATGAATACGAGTTAAAGACAAAGATGTTGAAGGAAGAGGCTGGTATTTTTACCTCCAATATGTACCTTGCCGAGGACAGAATTCTTTGTTACGAGCTTGTCGCTAAACCAGGGTGCTCCTGGGTCTTGCGATACTGTAAGTCTGCAAGTGCAGAGACTGATGTTCCTGAAGGTCTAGCTGAGTTTATTTTGCAAAGAAGAAGATGGCTTAACGGGTCTTTCTTCGCTGCAATTTACTCGCTCGCTCACTTCTACAAGATTTGGCATTCGCTGCATAGTTTTGGTAAGAAGATCATGTTCCATGTGGAGTTCTTCTACCAGCTTATTAACCTTGTTGTTTCTTGGTTTTCCATTGGCTCATACTTCTTGGTGTTCCGTATTTTGACTACATCCCTTTCGGATGAAAGTCTAAATTTTGCGCCAGGTAATGTGCTTTCAGTCATCTTTCTATGGCTTTATCTTGCATCCATCGTCACTACTTTCGTTTTGAGTTTTGGTAACAAACCCAAAGGTACTGAGAAGTTCTATATCGTCATTGTGGTCTTCTTTGCTATTCTTATGGCATATATGATCTTTGCTGCAATTTTTATGGCCGTTAATGCTATTCTGCAAATCTACCAGGATAATAGCGGAGTGACGGTATCATTATTTTTCAAGAACTCACAGTTCAGAGACTTGGTCGTCGCCACGGCGTCCACATATGCATTATACTTCATCGCTTCATTCCTTTACTTCGAGCCATGGCACATGTTTACCTCGTTCGTTCAGTACATTTTGCTTTCGCCATCATACATCAATGTGTTGAACATCTATGCTTTCTGTAACATTGATGATATTTCATGGGGTACCAAAGGAGACACTGGCGCCACAGACTTGGGTGCTGCCAAAGTCAGAGAGGACGGTACTTTCGACGTTAACATTCCCGTTCTTAAGGAGGAAATCAACCAGTCATACCTCAATCAATTGGAGAAGATCAAGAAACCAATTGAAGACGACGGTAACCTGTACAAAGGTACTCATGAAGACTATTATGCCTTTGTGAGGTCTATGACAGTATTAATCTGGATGATTTCCAACTTTATCATTGTGGCCATTGTGCTCGAAACGGGTGGATTCAACCAGTTCAATTCTAACAGTGAATCTGATGAAATCAAGAATGACAGGTCTAAGATCTTCCTTACCGTCATCTTGTGGACAGTCGCCTTCATGGCATTATTCAGATTCATCGGTTGTGTAACATATTTGGTTTTCAGGTTTATGGACAAGTTCAGGCTGCGTGCCAGCAAATAGAAATATTGACACTTGCAGTACACTTACTCTAAAGTACTTTTTTTTGCACCCAAACGGTAGTTCCTGTCCACAGTGAAACACATAAAACAGTAAGCGCGAGGTATCAACAAAACAAACAAGCAGTATCCAACTCCAGTCATTCGTTTAAAGCCCTGCATTTCCAGTCATAATTGATGAGCAGAAAACATTCAAGAAATAGTGATCTTTTGGCACAGCTCGGTGAACCACTCCCGCTACCCTACAAGCCACAACAGACGCTGCTGCTGCTAAAAGATGAAGATTCCTCAGACACTATATTGAGACATGAGCCTGTAAGAAGTGTTTCAGAACAACCTATAAGGCGTAGGCTATTTTCCTCTGGATACCCTAATGACTCACGATTGAGTGAACCAGAAGCACTGCCGCCTGCGCCGCCTACGTTACCACTTTGGCGGAGGAAGTATAGCATTGACAAGACGCCTGTCGAGCCTAGTCCTTCCCAGGCTGCATTGGACACTATAGAGCAAAAGATAGAGGAGCTACGAAACAGTTGTGGAAGTAATGAGCAGATCGATAAGAAAATCGAAGGAAAACTTCGAACTATTGAATCTGACTTGGATAAACTAATAGAGGAATCGAGAGAGGCTAGTATACTAGAGGAGCTTGAAAAACTACAGCAGCTCTCTAAGCCTTTGCATGAGAGCCAAAAGCGTTCTCTTAATCCCAAACTAGTGGCAGCTGGCGTTGTATTATTAGTTCTATTTGGAACAGTGTCGTTCTGGCTAGGGCACATGTCTTATGAATACTGCTACTATTGGTGCTAACTTGCACATGTACATTATTGTCTAATTTACAAAAGGATATTTACAGGAAAACGAAAGTTAGTCGTCGTAGTCGTTGCTTGGAGGAGCGGCACTATCGGAGGCAAGATAGAGCTCGATGGCCGTGGAAAAGGCAGCAAAACCAGCGCAGCCAATGAATGCAGCCTGAGGACCAGCTTTTATGGAAAGACCAGCACCGGTGATGCAACCAGCAGCAACACCATTGTAGATATCGTGTTTGGCACGCAAACTCTCGATGGAACACTCGACACCACTATAGATCATACCAAGGTAACCAAAGTTCTTAGCACTGCTCCACGATCTCTTGGCCATATCACTAAACTGGATCTTCATCTGTTGTTTAAACGGCAAGTCGTTGATATGAACACCACCAGGCGTATCGTAAGCCATGGAGGCCATGAATAAACCAAAGAAACCACCAAGAGCGAAACCAGAACCACCGGCCATGATGGTCTTACCAGGGCACGATTGCATGAACTCGATCATCTTTCTGGCTCCCAACTCGGCCTGCTCTTCCTGAGTGAGCTGATCAAGCGGTTTGTCGGCACCGTTCAGGCCCGTGTAGACGCCAAACACCATGTGGAAGAAGTTACTCGTTGATGAGATGAATTTTTCGCACTGTGAAAGAAGGCTGGAGATAGATAAGGTGGAGGGGGACCAACTAGGTGATGCCGGGATATTGGTATTTCTCTGGTTTATTTTATTGACTTATTTGATTACATTGAATGCTAATTATATCATAGTATTAATTTCTCGGCTTTTTCTTTTCTTCGTGGTATTAGCATGGGTTAATGTTACAGTTAGGCCTGAATCAATGGCTGCGAAATCTGGAGTACAGCATGTGGAGAAAAGAAATGTTTGCAGGTGTTCTAAACGTCTTTTGCTGATTTTTGAATATATAAAGAGGTCTTAGACTTTCCAAAATGGCTTGGTTTACTCTGAAAGTATTCTGTACCTGTTGTCTTTCTAAGGGTGTAAACTGGCAGTAAACCATACACCTTATGATTGGTTCTATGGGTCCTTGAAGGTGCCAGTTTGTCCAAAGGGTCAAAATGGGACGACTTTGAGGCCCCTTCCCCGTTATTTGAATTACTTGTTATATTCCCGAGAGGAAGTGGCGACATTGTGCTAACCATCATTCAACTGAAGCCTTAAGTTGGTGGGATATCTGTAGATCTTATTGAAATGGATGTTCGTCATGATCACAATCATCCCCTGGAAGGATTCATCGAAGAGAAATTTCATTCTCTGAGGACAAATTTGAGGAGCTTTTGTCTCAGGGGTTCAATGAACATGTCCCAAGTGTAGCGTAACCCCTTCTTTGATCGATTTAGTTTAATTTTCTTTTAGGTCGCCTTGGGATGTTCAGCCCTATTAAAGAAAAGGACCATTTCAACTATTTGGAGAATGGGGTCTTAATTTGAAGTTTTCTAATAGCTTCATCCCATCGACAACAAGTGGAACTGAAGGTGGTAATTGAAGAAGTTCGAAAGGTCCAGCTGGCACTATTCAAGCTTCAAAGACCAAGAGAAGTTCTTTGCTTTCGCTGTATATTCTCTCTTTATCTACAAGGATCACATACTTCGAACCACCTCGGATAGCCTAGTTGTTTACCTCTTCAGAGCATCAAAAGACCTACCAACTGGGTCAAGGAGCACCGTCAATGGGGGTAACTGGAACCACCTCTAGTTATCACATCAACCAGTTATCACATCAACAATAATAATAGTGTCACAATCATCAATTAAGGACTCTCCATGCACTCCCTAGCCGAAACTACTCCATACTGTAGTGCCGCTAGTAGACACACATCTGAACCACCTACAACTTCCCCTATCCCCAGCGGCCCGTATCCCGCTAAGAACGCCGTTCTCCACCTTCCTTCCCTCACTTCCCTCACCTCCATATCTTCACTCCCCATAGACGTCTCTACCTTCTGCTGCCTCTCGCTTACCTTCACCACATACGCCAACCGTTTGCAGCCAGTCGATCCAGACGATCCCCCAACCACACACAATCACCTTCTACGCTTATCTTCCAATCAACGGTCAACCAAGCCTATTGTTCCCCAAACTCCCAGCCCAGCCTCTTGCACTGGGGAAAAGAAGCTTTCCACATTCAGAAACAAAGCGAATGCTCCCAGAGACAGGGCCAGGCCACCAACCCCAAGTCAAACCAAAGCCTGGCCTATCTTCTCCCCTTTTCTGTCTATCATAGGCAAGCCCCACACTCTTCCCACCCCATTCCCTGCCTCCCTTTCTTACCCCCTATTAACTGTCCCGCAACGGCCTCCCCTCGCTTCTCCACCACACCACTACCAACCTAAGCATCCAAGCAGCCACCCAAGCAGCCACCCACCCATCCACCCACAAACCCACCCACAAATCCCAGTCGTAACCAGACGACACCTGAAATCCACATAAATCCAAATCCAAATATCAGGTTACCTTTTCTTCGTCCACCAATCAAAAAAATGCCTCGTATTCCATGACCTTTCTGTTTTGCACCCAAACAGCAACCACCGCCTGCCCAGTAACTGCGCACCCTACGTTAGCCAGTCTGGGGGCTCCCCCAACCCCAGGATTCGGACTGCCTGGCTCCCCGGCTCAGGTTCCCCATTTTTTACCCCTGGCTCCACCAGTGCAGGTGCTTCTGGGGAAATGCGTGACTTAGTACAATCACGGAACACACAAGCAGAACACGAAGAGAAGGAAGGAAAAGAAAGGAAAAGGAAGATACAGAAAAGAAGGTTTCAACCGCTTGGGTGTTCCACTTTTGCAATTACCGTTGGACGGGTGGTTTATCACGGGAACTGGTGGAGGTGGATGGGATGCGACTTTGGGTGCAAAATGGATAGACTATGGGAGGCAGGCAGGCAGAGTGCTGGAGTAATGCGCTTCCGCACGCTACCACTGCACCATTTTCTGCAAGTGCTCACTAGACATGTTTTGGCTGCGAAACGTCAGTGAACGACATGGAGCGAAGTGGACCAGGGAGGGAGGGTAGAAACGTAGGAGACCTTAATTGATGAACATCGGTGATTTCTGGTGGTGGGTTAGAGGGGTCCTAGTTCAGGTGCTTCTGTGAATTTTTTTTCTTCCCCAGAGTTTCTTTTTCGTTGTTCGGCACCTGGAATGTGGAGTTATTGGGTGGAGTGACTTGTGGCCGAATTTCGCAATATGCTTGGTGGCCCATGGATGGCCCCACCGGTGCTTCACTTATGGAAGTAACCGGGTCTCGCTGCTTAATTTGGGTATTCCTGGGGGAAGCGGATGCTGTCCTTGGGGGAGGCAGGTGCCCTGAAAAGTATATAAGTAGGTGGTGCCGGCCTGCGACTTTTTGCAACCATTCTCTCCAGACCCTCTTATAAGTATATATCTAGTTGACTAGGTATATCTCTCTGTGCTCTGGACATTTACACTTTGATACGAAGAAACTCAATACCGAACTTACTTAACTCCCACGATCATGGTCAAATCTAAGAAGAACCAGGTTCTCGAATTGGACTTTGATAAGCTTGAAAAGCTTGAGAAACTTGGTCCCGTCCCCAAGTCCAGATCCTCATCCATCACTTCCATTGAAAGTGAAGATGGTTCCATGAAGGAGATTTTGAAACCTCCTCCAAGAAAAGATTTCGATGATATTATCGCTTTTGAGTCGTACATTCGTGACGAAACTTGGGATAATGATTTTGATTACTGCCACGCTCATTTATCCTACTACCCTCCTTTCATTATGAAGGAGATCAAGGGCAATTTGGAGAAGATTAAGCCCACCATGAATAAAAACTCCAGAAAGTTTAGACGCAATTTGCAGCACCACATTAAGCGCCATTTGATGTCTGAAATGGAAAGGTGTTCTGGCTTCCAGATGGACTTTGGTAAGGCTGTGATGCAAGAGTCGCCAAAGAACATTGTTTGGACATTCAAGGATGAAGGCCACCACGGCTTCACTGAAGAGGAAGAAGACTTGTATGATAGGCACTGGAAATTGGAGTTGGAGGTCAAGTGTAACAACGAGACCCCAATGGTTGAGGTTGACTATAAGGCCATCCCATTGTAAGCCATCTGCCGCTCCATTTCCTATATGCGATTCCTCTTTTTGTTTTGTTTGAGAGCCAGGTGCTCCTTTGATGTTACTACGAGATTATGTTTTATGTGCTGATGAATAAATGAAATTTTACGAGACTAATTGTAGACTCTTTTGTTTATGCTTCTGTTCATGCGCCTCTGGCTAGTCTATCATATGACGGGCTAGCGTTCATATATGTGCTGGCGTACTTTGTGATGTTTTCATCGATAAATATGCTTAACTCTCTCATTTGTGCCATAAGAGTGTTCAATGCAATGCTGTTCATGCTGGTTTGGGCGGTTTGGCCCGGCAACGTCACTAGAAGCCGAAGAAGGTGTTCCACTCCGTATAGGTCTGTTGCATCAAGGTTTGGGTCTTTCTCCAAATGTTGGCTGTACTGGAGCCTTTCAAACCTGTAAAGCAAATTAAAACGAAGCAGTTTGTCGAAATAAAGCGCAAGCCCATCGACAGCCTCTTTGACGGTACGTAATACGTCTTCACCGACCTTGGTTTTCTGGTCATCGTAGAAGTCTTCAAGAATGCGTCTTACCGGGATAGCAGTGTCCAAGTCTATAAGTTTGTGGTCTTTGGTCATGAATTCCCAGTCGTCAACAAGCAAGCATTTTAGGTTTGGCCTTAGAGGCATCATAATTTCGTAAGATGGGCCCTTAGGTTCGGTTTTGGGTTTCTTTCTTCCATTCCCATTACTTGTTTGCTTTGCTGTTTCGGCACCACCATTCGATGCCGCTGATCCTGGAGCAACCGAGGGCAGTTTCCTCTTCTTCTTCTCCTTAGGTTCTTCCTTCACGGTCTTTTTCTTCTCTTTCGAAGGATCCAATCTCTCTATAGCTCTCTTGCGAGCATTTCGTAGTTCTCTTGAAAGCCCCAAATTGTCATCGTTAAATTCCATGACACGTTCGTTCGAAACCCACTCGTCCCATTTCGGACTCCATCCCTTGTAGTGAAGAAAGTAGGCATCGCCATCTTGAAGAAACAATGGAATCTTGTTCTGTTCCAATGGTTCGCTCTGCCCTTCGCCAATCTCCACAAAGAGTTTTCCTCGTTCACGGAACTTCAATACCTTGGCTTCATATACAAGCGGCCCATGGTATGCTAGCACTTGGGACCCGGGCGGGAATCTCTCTTTCTCCGACATGCTCAGGTAAGAAGGGTATAGCCTGTTTGTTTCAGTTTTCAGTGAGCGCGATTATCAAGAGTGGAAGATGGACACGGGTGGTGAGCAAGGCGGTAAAGGAAGAGGTAGTGGTTTATATGAATATTGGTAAAATAGGGGATTTTTATGGATGAATATTGGGAATGATATTTGGGCTCTGGAGGGTGAAGAGCTCGTATGATTAATAGATCTTGGCATGGAAAACTTGTAAATGGGCCATTGGATTGCTTGATGATGGTGGAAGATATGTTTAATGGAATGGAAAGATGGCAGTAGATAGCCCTGATTTTTTTCTACGAAAGGATGTATCTTTTCTAGGTTGGATTCCATCGAAAGACCGTTAAATATAATATAAAAAAATAGAAGAAAAAACCACAACATGCCACTTTTCAGAGCTTAAATGAATGATGGAGATTTTGGTTGAGCTGTTTGGCGTATTAAAGTCATTTTTAGGTTCCCTGCTAGTTTTAAATGTGTCTGAATGTTTTAAGCCAGTTTCACTTGTATATCTTGCCGAAGCTTCCGGTACTGATCAGAAGAGATTAATTAAATCGTAAGCAGCATCGGAACTCATTGGAAGAAGCTATACTCACTAAGCTGCTTGGGAAACAGAAAATATTCGTCATCTTCCTGGTATTTCTCTGTGTATCTTTCTATCTCCTCGTCTTTTTTTTTTTTTTTTTTTTTTTTCTTAGCGTGTTTTGCTTCACGTAATTGAGATAAGGGCGAGCTAAAGACAGTAACAAATTAGCACGAGGCATAGTTATAAGACCAGCCCGTTCTTTATTTCAAAATCCGTCTTTTTCTCCATATAATTGTTTTTATGAATTTAAGTTTATTCCTCAACTGTTCATTTTAAACCTAGTAGACTTACAGAATCCGGAAAAGATGTGCGATCTGACCAAATGGCTGCAAAAGAGTAAACCGCAACCAAAAGTAAAAAAGAAAAAGAAAACATTTTTCAAAAAGATGTTTTTACTTAAAACTGATAATCATCAAATTTTTCACTCCACTTTATTCCAGCTTAAATACCGTGGTGGTCTTGCTACAAACACAGCCTAGCCTGCGATACACAACTGCGTTTCTCGAGAATTCTAATTATCACGACTCCCAAAACACCCGAAAATTTCCAATAAGATAAAAAAACACACCGCTCGAAATTGCCACTTCTTCCTCCCAAGCCAAAAATCATTTTGTGTCACCAAACACCACGCCAAGTGTCTGGCTAGATTGACGTGCCCAGCGGTTGCTCGTGGCACGGGGACAGTACACCAAAAGTGCACTTTTCATAGCCTTCGAGGCGAAATACACGAAAAGAAAAAACTAGTAGGCAAAGCCAATTGAATGGCAATTTTAACATATATAATTACCCTTCTGGGCCCATTTAATGTGGAAACTCCACTGGAGTCGGTGCTGGTAACAAGCGCGTTATGTGCCGGAGAATGTTTCAAAAAAAGCAGAAAAAACCAACACCAGTTGCGATATCATACGAAAAATCACCAGAGTAAACAGCATACCATTACCCCAGCACGGCAGTTTGCCTTCATTCTATTCACAAAGCACACCCCTATCTTAATCGCCCCTCCGAGCATATAATCCTGCTCGACTGAGCTGCTCGACCAGTATTCCTATCACAGTGTCCACTACACTCCTCGAGAACGGAAAACCCCATTCAAACACTCGTCTCGAGACTACTATCCTCCAACACACAAGACTGTCTTTCCACTGATGGCTCAATCTGGTAGCTCCAGCAGAGTGGGCGTCCACTATAAGGTTGGGAGCAAGATTGGCGAGGGCTCGTTTGGCATCATTTTCGAAGGTATCAACCTCCTCAACAACCAACAGGTGGCTATTAAGTTTGAACCACGTAAATGCGAGGCTCCGCAATTGAGGGACGAGTATAGATCGTACCGGATTCTTAACGACGTTGATGGCGTGCCCAAGGCCTACTTCTTTGGCCAGGAAGGTGTCCACAACATCTTGGTGATTGACCTCTTGGGCCCTTCGCTCGAGGACTTGTTCGACTGGTGCGGACGTAGGTTCTCGGTGAAGACCGTTGGCCAGGTTGCCAAGCAGATGATTCAAAGAGTGCAAGGAATCCACGAACACAACTTAATTTACCGTGATGTCAAGCCTGACAATTTCCTCATTGGCAAGCCAGACACTCCTGAAGCCAACATGGTCTACGTGGTGGATTTCGGTATGGCCAAACAGTACAGAGACCCAAAGACAAAGTCACATATTCCTTACCGTGAGAAGAAAGCTTTGAGCGGCACAGCTAGATACATGTCCATCAACACACACTTGGGTCGCGAGCAGCTGAGAAGAGACGACTTGGAATCTCTAGGGCACGTCTTCATGTATTTCCTCCGCGGGCTGTTGCCATGGCAGGGTCTCAAAGCTCCTACAAACAAGCAGAAGTACGAGCGTATTGGCATGAAGAAGCAGTCTACACTGGTGAATGATCTTTGCCAGGGCTTTCCTATTCAGTTTGCTCAATACTTGACTTATGTGAGAAACCTTAAGTTTGACGAAGAGCCTGATTACGACTACTTGGTAGGTCTCATGGACAAAGCACTTCTCCTGATTGACGCCGTTGAAGATGGTCACTACGACTGGATGGACCTCAATGGTGGCAGAGGCTGGGACGCAGCGTTAAACAAGAAAGCTAATTTACACGGCTACGGTAACCCACACCCTCCGCAGCAGAGAAGGAAAGCTAATAACACAAACGTCAACCTTGCGCTGAACAAACGCGGCCATGACAAACTTCCTGGTGGGTCACTTCCCAATAATTCGTCCCAACAACGTCTCACCAAGTCTCAATCCTTAAACCACCCCAATTATAATTCAATCACTGATGAACATAGCCGAAAGGCGTACAGACAGCACAACGCAAACGTTGGCCAGCCCCATCACACTACAGGCGACGGCCATTCAGATACATCAAGTTTTGAGGAAAGAAGAAAAAACCAATCCTGGCTCCGCCGGAACTGTTGTTGCTTCTGACTGCTGTCGACAGGACATTGCAAATGTCTGGTGTAATAAAGCTTTCAACCGGCTGTCCAGCCGGTGCCTACAAATTGTACAATAATTGTGATATCATCATTGTTTAAACATATACAAGATGGTGTGCTAGTCGTTCGTTAAGATAAGTGAATGGGGGAAGAACGTCGTCCAGGATGAACCAGTCATCAAGCTATGAGCAGCATCAAGCCACACTATTCTTACGGGATTGGTCTTCAGAGTCCCGCGACTCCATCGAGCCCACAGAGCCCATTCTCGCCTTGGTCTGGCTAAACTTCTGCCATTCCTGAGCATTCTTGCGGGACTCTTCCATCTCCTTGTCCGTCATCCAATACTTGTTATTGGTGCCGTTCATGTGGTAGCTATAGAAGGGACCGGTGTTCACTTGTGAAGAACCACCATAGAATGGAGTGGTCTTGCCGCCGTTCAACTTGGCAGACACTTTACCGAAGAAGTTGTCAAAGAGATCTGGCATTTTTATTTCGTCTGATTGGTAATCTTGTCTCTGTAAGTGGGTACAAGGGAATTTTCCACCGTTTTTATATTGGCACCAAACAATGTGGGGATGGTCACATTACTAATGCTTGTCCCTTATGCGGATATTACTAAGAAGCAACAGACCTACATACCTGGAGAAAAGCCAACGACATTTTTTTTTTTTTGGCTTTGTTCAGACCTGGGCCCCAGTGTTGGTCTCCCTACACACTATCTTCTCCACTTTGCAGGTCGGAACACTCCTGAGTGCGGCGCGATATCTTCTACACAGACTTATCAGTGATAGGTAATGTGTGCCACTGTGGCTAAGTTCTTTAGGGGAGACATGGGATGCAAATAAACATAAAAGGTGTGTATTAATTGTGACTATCAAGCGAAGAAAAATGTAGCTGGGTAGAAATGGTCTTTTATTTAAAAAAGACGCATCTGGATGGTAGATGTGGAGGGCAAAAATGCAGATAGAGATGCGGCTTCCTCTTTTTTTTTTTTTTTGTTTTTACCCCATTATCAATGAAATCTCATGACTTTGACTTTTATTTTTCCAAAAAATCTTTTTTTTCATCATTGTACCACACCTAAACGGGGGGCTTTCTTTCACCTCGTGTCTTAGGTTTCGCTTTCCCTTCATAGAACACGGAAAATAATGCAAAGTATTTTTTGTTTTCATCTTTCTTTTTCTTCCACTCCTTTGGAGCTTCAAATGACCATTGCACCCCGCTTATTCCTGACCAAATCCAACGGTCTCCTCCACTGCAAGCGTGAGTTTCTGTTTCATGCTATCGTAAGATGTGTATGGTGGAAAGTCCACTCTGTTGAAACAGGTATGAGATTTAGGCAATTGGTTAGGCTCACCGGCTTTTTCAATTGTGAATCTTCTTGGACCGTCAGAACCTTGCAAATCCTTGAAACCATTGACAGGAATTCTAGAAGTACCAGTAGTGAATTGCAACAATCTGGCCTTTTGTTCGGAGTCCCACTCCTTGATGCACTGCCAGAACCATTGAATAACCTGGTCAGTCTCTTGGTATCCTCTGTAATCAGTATGCTTCTTCCAGTCTTCAACATCAATCTCAGCCAAACCACCAATCAACAACTCCAATTCTCTCTCATCAAACACATTCACCAACTCTTGTGGAATCAATTCATTGAAACCGTCAATGAATGCTTGGAATTGCAACTCGATTCTTCTGTGGATCTTCCATTCACTGATCAACTCGACGTACTCGTGCTTGTTCTCCTCGGTAACTTCGATGTTTCTTCCGTCTTCCTTCAAGTCAACCTCAACAATCTGGCCAAACTTGTCATCCTCAGCACTGAATGTCAAGTCAAGAACATCAGTAATGTCATTGTCAAGAATCCATTGCAAAGATCTGTAGAATTCAGCGTCAACACCTTCCATATCTTGCAAGTTGACCTTCTTGCGCAACATCATCTTGTACAAGGCACCAACAAAGAAAGCATCCAAGAAACGTCTGTGGAAGACACCCAAGCCAACAACTCTACCGATGAACTTGAAGTAGTTCAAATGTTCAGGGTTAATGCCCGAGTTAGGGTTGATCTGTAATGTGTAATTGTCATGACTCGAGTACTCGAAAAGACAGTAGAATGGGTTGAACATATCGTGTGACAACAAGAAGAAGAATTCTCTGGAAACTCCACCGTAATCCAAACCTTCTTCTCCGTCGAACTTAATCATGAGTCTCTTCTTCAAGTCCTCAGGAGTTTGTCTCATAATCTCCTGGTAAGAGTCCTCAAAGATATGATCTCTTCTAACCTTGATGTGACATTGACCAGGCAAGATTCTCAATGCTGGCTGAGATCTAAAGTAGATAACCTTTCTTCTGAAGTCACGCTTGTATTGTGGAACGTTTTGGTCCAAGGAGGAAGGCAATCTAGGGTCGTCCCAGGTAGTAGTCTTAGTGTTATGATCAACAAAATAGACTCTGGCCGTGTTAGTCAATCTCATTTCCCAACCGGAGGGCAATGGACCCAATTGACTGACAGGCTGTTGCTGAATAGTGGTGTTAGGACCAAAGGTACGAATATATTGCTGCCTTCTAGGATCAACCCAGGTAGTCGTCCTTGTGTTGTGGTCGACAAAGTAAGGCCTGCCTTCATTAGTAAACCTTTGTTCCCATCCGGTAGGTAACTCACCCAAACCTCTAGTAGTGCCACCAGTTGCAGCCATGGACACAGCAGCAGCCGGACTGACAGGAGTGTTGGCACCGGTGGAGTTCACCGTGACATTACCGCTTGTAGATGATGTGTTTGAAGAGCCCAAGGTTGGAGATTGTGGAGTCTCACCAGGTAAGGTTCTTCCACGGTGTTGCCTTCTCTCAGCCTCAGTATGGTTCTCTCTTTGTTGGCCTCTTTCAGTCTCGGACTGGTCTAGGGTAGGTCTTTCCCAGGTGGTAGTTCTGGAGTTATGATCAACATAGTAGGTACGGCCGAAGTTATCGGTTCTTCTTTCCCAACCGGGCGGTAATCTTCCGAACTGGTCTTCGAACGAAGAATACTGTTTGGTGAATTGTTCATTTCCGGTAGCTCCATTTGGAGGAGCAGCAGAAGCGGCCGGTTCGGAAACACGAGGAGCAGGGTTAGCAGTTGAGTTACGAACGTTTGAAGCTGTTCTCTGGGCGGGAGCCGAGCCGTTAGTGGCAGGCGCAGTAGCATTTCCCGAGCTAAAACTCAACACAATAATGACACGGCCACTGACGGCCAAGTTTTCATTGGACTTCTTCAAGTCTCGGGTAATGGTCTCCTCGGCGCCAGCCATGGACAAATCAATGACATCGCCCACACGCACGTTAACCACACCCAAGAACCCCTGATCCTTCTTCTTGAACTTTCTTTGGTCAAACACCTGGATTGCCAAAATGGAGTCTTCGGAAGCATTGAGCAAGAACGATTCGTTCCAGTACGGGTTTAATGTTCTCTTGGCGGTCTTGGTAGTAATTGTCTGGTCACCATCGACGGTGATTACAGCAAACGGATCGGGCTGCCGGAAAACGTCACGTTTATACAACGACTCGGCAGCCACCACTTTAACATTGACTTTAGTCATAGATCTGGGAGTAGCTTGCAAAGCTTGGATCAATTAAGTTTGTCCTATGGGAAAACGTGGAAAAAAAAAAAAAACCGAAGAGCTGTATTAAAAAGCAGGAGTTTCAACGGATCTTGGTGGATATAATTTTCTGGAAGGCAAACAGAGAGAAAACCTGGATGATATGGGAGAAAAGAGCAGCAAAGTAAGAGCCAGGTGCTGTTTCAAGACCAGAGTTTTCGGGAGCCGCTTTGAAGACGTTAATTTATAGGAGATAGAAAAAGCAATAGATTTTATTCATTGAGGACGATTATGGCAGGTGGCTCATGGTGCACGGGTGTATGGGTTTCCCTCCCCCAGGGCTTTCCTTAGAGGGAACACGGAATGACCCGCAGAGCAGCCGAGGATATGGAAAGGGAACTCAAGGGAAAGTACACTGGCGAGGCAAAATGGCCATGTCAAAAAATTACAAATCAAACTAAACCTTCTAAAGATCAATCAAAGATGGTTTATTCTATAGATAACCATAAGTCACGTGAGCTTCCCGATTCTCGCGGTGCTGTGTCTTTTTCATCTTTTTTTACTCTTAGTCAGAGGATACAAATGCATAAACGATGACGGATCCTCCATTACGTGTATTTTAGAAACCAGGGTTCCGTAGAAAAAAAATTTGCATTTTTTCTCTACGTAAATCAGAAAACTCTTTCGCCTCCACACGACACTCTTCTTTTGTATCACTTCAGCCTTTTAAGTGGATTTTTCTTTTTCTCGCCTTGGCCTCTTGCTGTTGCTGGACTCCTTATCGGTGCACTTAGTATGAGGGAGGTGCGCAGCAGGTTAAAACGAGGGAAAGTGGTATGAGCATGGACAGAAAAGGTAGTGGTAGGTTTTTTGAAGGAAGGTCCAGTAATTGATATGGCTTAGGCTTGTAAGGTTTCTGTTATGGGTAATTTGGGTCGTAAATCGGTGGGGGCGGGCCAGGGCTTGGTGGTGGTTACGGAATGGCTGCAAATTACCGCATTGAGAAAGAACCAGATGGTGATAGAGTGGTGGGTGGGAAGAGGGAAAAGTGGATGAAATAATTTACAGGTAGTGTGGTGGGTGGAATTGAAATAAGAGGTAAGTAGCGTTTTTAAAGTAGGATGGATATGTGGCACCCTGGCCTCTGTCTCTGACTACAGATATCCACATATCACTACCGATGGGTACATGTAATTCCTTCATTTTCTTCTTTTTTTTTTTATTCCTTTTTATGCTATTTTCTGTAATTATTTAATCCTTTGCCGTAATATCCTATGTTGCCGTGGTAAACTGGTTCTGGTTGGAAAAGTCCAAACAGATCTTCTCGAGTCCGTCGTCCAAAAACGCCAACAGAGACTTCTTAGTATGTGAATGTGTCTGTGTTGGCGATCCAACTACCGTGGCAACAGTCGAAAGTGTGTAGTTGGAGTCGTTGTTGAGGACCGAGGAGTTTGGCGACGAGCTGCTGTGGGATTTGCTTGGTTCTGAGTCCACAGAGTGGAGGGAAATCACCTCATCCAAGTCGAAGCCGAAATTGAAATTGAAATCATCTGTACGAATAGAAACTTCCGTGTCTGCTCTGGAGTGGACTGTAGGCTTTCTCTGGATGTTCAATGGCTGAGTCAAACTGTCGTTGGAGTTGATAAGTGTGGCATTGGACAACTCTTCCTTCAGCATCAAGTCAATATCCTCAGCGGTGTAGAAGTACTTCTCGCTGCTGGTATTCTCCACAGCATCGTAAATCTTAGAGTGTAAGCCAAGGAACGAAGAACCATCAACCGTAACGATCTTACAGTCAGATTGGTCACTGTCTGTATCTCTCACACGGCACATGCCAATGATATTATTGTTCAGAGCTGGGAGCAAGGTTCCACATTGTCTTTCACTGACAGCATCAACCATTGTGTTTCTAACAGTATCAAAAGCAACACTGGAGATACCTTCCTTCATCGAGCACGTCTGAAGCTTGTCAGCGTTATTTGCAATATCATCTGTTGGTTCAAGGCCACTAGACAAGTCCCAGTGAACAATGTTACCATCACTAGCACCAGTAAAAATATCATTATCGTTCCATTCAAGGGCAGTCACCTTCTTGTTCATGTGTCCAGTCAAGCTTGCGAAAGTATCCTGCTTTCGAAGATCCCAGAGTCTGACCACACCATCTTCATGAGCTGCAGCCATAACATACTCGTTGGTTGGGCACCATCTAAGCATGTTAGCTGAGAGCTGGCTAGAAGAGCCCTTTGCATGAAGTGACGAGTTGGGAACATTGTGGCCCCGGCTTCTAAAGTCAAAAAGGGAAATGCCGAAAGAGCCACAGAGGCCCAAAGTGTATGGATCATTAACCTGTCTTGGAGTAGTGTCAAAACCCTTGATACCAGGAATCACCAGGATCCCTTCTGGACGAGGTTTAGCTGAAGCCTCACAGTCGTTCATGTTCCACACAAACAAGGTGTTATCGTAGATAGAAACCAAGTTATCGTTAGCAGTGAAACCAAGCTCTGAGATGCACGTAGTGGCATGGGTATGGGCAGCTGGGTCTTTGTTAACCGACTTGAGGTGTTTACGATGGTTAAAGCGCTTGACTATCTCAGCACAGTCCTCTTCGTCTCCAACGTCTCCCGTGTAAGTATGTGGAAGAGGCACAGACACAAGGTGGGCGTAGCCTTTGCTGTTTCCAGAAACAAGGTAGCGAGATTTCTGGTTTGGCACCCACGCAAGACTATGGATATTAGGCAAGGAAATGGTAGTATGGTGGGTCAAGTAGTGGTTGACAGCGTCAAGTTCATAGATGAAAAGGTTGTTTTCAGCCTGGGCACTAGAAATAGCCAAGAGTGGCGAGGCTGATTCCACGCTGCTCGTAGCAAGCGCAGTCAAGTCCATACTGTTATCAGGAATCTTCCAGTAGTTAGACTTGATGTTCACTCTATCCAAGGAGCATGCCTTGTTAAGAATCTGAGTATCTGAAGCATTCGAGTGGTTTAAGAGCCACAGAGTTCTCGATCTGTTTGAATGGTGTGAAGGAAGCGTGGCTGCCGAATCTGTGTCTGAGCCGTAATAGGAACTCAGCAGCAGCACCGAGTCTGGTCTCTTGATAGCGTTCTGTCTGAACAAAAGCGTAGGTTCGTAGAAATCCATCTTGTTAGAAAAAAAAGTACGTTAAAGACACAAGAAAAATTTTGTGGGAAATCTACCATATATGAGACGCTGGCTTGGTTTGCTGGAATGCTTCACTTTTGGGAACCCGAGCCAGGACCCGTCCCATACCAACTGGTATTACTCTTTTTCGCAGCCATTGCAGGGCATTACTGGATTAGTGCTGGCTGGAGGTGCGAAAAGATGTCAAAGTTGCATATTCTGCTGGTGGGTCCTTCCTAATATGGACGTCACGTGATAAGGTCTATACCACTTTTCTCCATTCTACATCTCTGGTGCCGCCTAGTTGGGAAATCGTGACCTGAAGATGGTCTAATTAAACCACGTTTAGATGTACAGACGCCCAGCTTGCGTATGGTGAGGTCATGGGATGGTTGTGGTCTATGTACTGATGGTCAGATACGCATTTGTGCTGGCTGCGAAATGTCCTACAGGCATAGCTATGGTTAGTGTCTCTTTGGTATATGCTGGGTTAAAGGTATGCAAAAATAGAAGTGGTGGGAGTTTAACGTCTTTTGTAGATACAAGGTTTCAATAACCATTGTCCCTCGGCTTTTCTTTCCTCCTCTGCTCGAGCTCTTCCTTTTTGGTTTCCTGCTCGATGAACTTCTTCTTCTTTTCAAGCTTGGCTTTTCTCTGCAATATAATTTCCTTGGAGGGTTTGAAGAATTCGAATCTTGTGAACATTTTGTTGTCGTTGTCGGTCTTTTATGGAAGAATCCAAGCAATTTGAGGGACTCCACGAACTCCGAACCAACGTCTTCAGCGTTTCTGGTTTTGGCATTGGTAGATTCAGTAAATCTAGACTTGATCTCGGCTATCCAGAGCTCTCCATTTGGCGCCAATATTCTGTAGGCCTCTTCAACAAAGTCCAAGAAATTCGTGCCCATAAGTGCAAGACAGAAGACAACAATGCTGCACGACTCGTCCTCCAATGGAACGTTCTTGATATCTGCAACGGTAATTCTGTCATTAGCTTTCTTAAGGTCAAAACTGTGCATTTTAACATTCAAAGCTCTTGAAGGACCATTACGGTCAGCAGGACCCTTACCCTTCTTCTTCTGACCTTTCTGGTTGTGCTGCTTAACAAAGTTCTGGATATCCAAGGCCAATTGAGCCTCTCCACATCCCATATCAGCAACCACAATACTCTTATCTGGCAAACCAGGCAAACCGCCTGGAGCGTTCACAGGTTTATTAGTCCTTGCTTTGAACTGGTCAACAAAGACATCTACTGGGTTTTCAGGCCACAGCTGGACCTGAGATCTGAATCCATCATGGTACTCATCAAACAACGCTGGTTGCTCCTTAACAAGCTTCAATGCGTTCTCCGACGTCGTAGTATAAAGTTGTTCGTTAATCCAACGGAATCTAGACCCAGAAAGCTTGGCCATCATTTTTTGTTGCAAAGGCGTAAGTTTTCTTTCAGAAGATGGTTCTTTGGTGATGAATTGAGACTGATCTTCAGTTGAATCTTGAGCTTCAGCAGCCTGAGGTTCCTTCTTCGCTTTCTTATTCAGACTCTGTGGCTTTTCCTGTTTCTTTGAAGCCTTTTCCGCTTTCTTGGAGGCTTCAGCCTGTTCTACCTCTTCGATCGCTTCCTGCTCTAATTTTCTCTTCTTCTCCTTCTTCTCCTTCTTTTTGGATTTCTTCTTTTCATTAGACTCGGTGCCTCCAACGGCAACCTTATTGGCTTTAAGGTTCCAGCCCTTTACTTCAAACAAAGACATTTATAATTGGAATCAGTTGGACTTTAGCACCTCATCTCATCATCCAGATACATAGTAGTATTCAATGCATGTATCTGCAGTACACTGGCCTGCAGGGTAGCACCTATACCAGTTACCCAGTCCCCAGATACCCACTGATTCTGGATGGATTTTAATGAAAATTGATATTAAACTGTACTTGTAATATCAGTGAGTTGTGGAAAAGTCATAGAGCTAGTTTTCGTTGAATCAGCTGTCCTCCATTGCCTGCCAATCGCGTTTTGCAGCCATTCTACCTAACCAGGCTAGCCCATCATGATATGCCACTTCCGCTTGAATTAAAAAGAAAAAAGTCAAAAGACATCTTTCATTTTCAAAACAGAAACAGCCAAAACGCTGGACGTTCCATTTGTACTCTTGCAAAAAGTAGCACCTCCATGGACGCCTCCTCCTCCTACTTCTTTCCACCCATCTTAGTGCGCACTATCAACAAACCACATCTTCTCCAGACCAACAGACCATGATATGGCGCTTCGACGAGATATAGCGCCGGGACAAAACCACATCACCCTACGAAAGTGGGGCCGCAGCTTCTATGCTCCACAGCTTTTCCACTTGGCTCCCACGGCAGACAGGGTGGTTCCTCTAGCGATAAGAGACGTTCTTCGAGCCAAAACAATGCTCGAGGTGTATGGCGTCCAGGGCCTCGAGGAGCATGCCAAGGGGTGTGTTTTGGTGAATAACTTTCCTGTGAGGACGGTGAAGGTGTTTGGACGCGTGATGTCATATATCCATAAGAACTACGATTCTGGGTGGAGCAACAACCCTAATAACTTCTATGTCATGACTTTGGATGACTGTTCTGGTGAAGTTTCTCATATCAACGTGAAGATTCCAGAGTCCTGCGTTTATGAACAGTTTGAGGAGGATAGTATCGTACAAGTAGTGGGGCATGTTCTGTTTTTTCAGGATTATCTGAGACAGATAGTGGGAGATAAGCTAGACGTGTTATCGCTTGGGCCTGACTTGAGCATTGAAATTGACTGCTGGAGAGAGATTCTAACTGCAAGAAGACACCTACGGCATCCCTGGACTTACAAGCCAGAAACAGTACTCTCCACTGGATCATCCAGAGAACCAAAGTTCTCCAAAAAAGACTACTTGCGACGCCTTGAAAAGCAAAACCTACGGATCTCCGATCCTTCAAGCCAGGCTCCACAGACCTTCCATGTCACAGACAGCTTCAATCATAACAACATAGAAGGGCTCGAAGTACTAGAAGTACATTCCGACTCTGATGCGGAACCTTCTTTTTCCAGTGAGCAGTGTATTCCTCAACTCCACACTTTCCACCAAGAAGAACCAGACCAGGAACACAGCAATGACACTGATATTGACGACGACGAAACGACTATCCCATTCCCAGCAGAATCCCATATCATAGTTCTTGACTAACCAAAGCATCCCATCTTCGGCCATCGCCGAGGCCTGCACACCACTGTACCTTATCGGCGCCTATTTATTAAGTGGTCCATCCCAGCTTTTCCATACCCCATAGCTCAATTTCAAATGTCTGTTGATCCAATTACTTGCCATATCTTGGATACGTCCTTGGGAAAGCCAGCCAAGGGTGTCACATGCTCCATCTTCTATGTTGGGCCTCTTGTATCAGATAAGTCCTCGGAGAGTGCCTATGAACTCCGTGCTCCAGAAGGCCCATTTGCCATGAGCAAGACCGATAACGATGGAAGAATCAAGAATTGGGTTGTTAATCCACAAATGGATAGCGTTAGTGCATCTGAACTTGGAATTTCACAGTCTAAGTGGCAGGACCTTAAGCCTGGCATCTATAAGATCAAGTTCTTGACAGGCAAATACTTCCACAACTTGAACGCTGCCAACAGGACATTCTTCCCGTTTGTGGAGATCATCTTCCAGGTGGAAAACCCTCCAGACCATCACTACCATGTGCCATTGCTCTTGAGCAATCACAGCTATTCTACGTACCGCGGCAGCTAGGCCTGAATGCATAATGAAGAAATGAATTAGGTGTAATTATGTATAAATGCATCTTCTCTAGTAGAAGAATTGGGTATTGTTCTGCGACTTCTCGTGCACTAGCATCTCGTAGCACTTGTACGCGTTCAATTCGTTCTTGATCTTGTTCACTTCGCCAGTCTCTGTAAGGTAGTACTGCGTGACAGACTTGTTGTATCTTCTGTAGACATAAGATGGATAAGTCTCGCTAATGGATACCTTACTTGAGAACTTCACAGCTTTGCCTGGCGTGCCATTGTTCAAACTGGCATCTCTCAAGATAGAGTTCATCTCTTTTGGCGATTCAGCGTTCTCTTCGACCTTCTCGTTTGGATTGAAAGCCTCAACAACAATCTCCACCAGATCCATGTCCCGCATTTGTCTGACGTGCTTTATAAAGTGGTTGCTGTGGGCTTTCTTCTCCAACATGTCCTGCAATTCGTTCTTGTCGAGCTTCAACGACTGTACTCTTTTAGGACCCTCATCGGTCTCTGGCGTAAACACACCAGATGCATATTCGTCATACCCTGGAGACCATGGTATTTCACGCTCAGGGACATCTTCGGGTTCTTCAGTTTGCTCAGCGCTATCATCCGTTGACTCTTCGAATTTTTCCGGAAGCGAATCGTCAGAATTGTGATTGTCATTTCTCTGCTGATCAGCAATTTGTGCTTTCGTTAACTCATCATCTCTCATAAAAAACGCGTTAGCTTTGGGCTTGTTTCTCGATTGTTCATCTTCGAGCTCTATTTCTTTTTCCACTTCATCAAACTTCAACAACAAATCCAGGAAGCCGTCCTCCTCCGTCTCAAAATCTGGAAGTCTATAAGGATTGAGGGCAGGAGATTCTTCTGGGAATGTGTCAAGAACTGGGGAAGGAACCTTGGCTCTAACACTGTAAACCGGAGACGTCACTTCTTCCTGTTTGGCACCAGGGATGAACTTGAGAGTCTTAAAGAACTTGCGCTTTCCCTTCTTTTGCGTAGTCAGAAGTGAAGTGCTAGACAGATTGGCCTCGGAGCCTAAAACGCCCTTGCCGCTATCAGCAGAAAATGAAGACTTCTTCTTAAGCAACTTGCTTCCAAACGACTCTTTCTTAGACAGTATCAGTTCGGAAGAGCTCTTCTCAGGAGCGTCATTCCCAAAGCGTCCAAAGACCTTCTTAAAGTTATTGATGGAGAAGGATTTGCTCATACTATTGTTCCTTTGTAATTGAGGCTTCTGAGGAGACAACAGCTTCTTCGATGCTGGAGAAACGCTATCAGGCATGGCAACAGTAAACTTCATGTTATCAGGCGTAGTAGGCAATGACTTATCAAAATCAACGTTAACGACATTAAGCATCGACAACCTATTGCGAATCAACGAATTGTTGTTCTCCAGTTCATCCTTGGCAACTAGATTCTTGACAGGAGACTGTTCCAAAGATAGAGGAGGTGGTCTTTTAGTCAATTCGGAAGCCATGGGGACGCCTTCACCATCAGGAGCGTCTTCAATGGAAGCAGTTTCCGTGCTACCTTCAGGAGTCGATTCAACACCCTTTGGTTCTGATGGAATCTCCACATCCGATTTGGGCGATTCATGCAAAGTGTCATCGTTAGATTTACCCAGCGAAGCCTCAGGAAGCGGTTTTTCGGGCGACGACTCAAACAGGTGTTCTTCCGTCAGAACAGAATGCTTGTCCGTGGTTTGGCGCGCCTCTGGGACATCAGGAAGGGATCCATCTGTAAGTTTCAGGGAATCAAGCGGCTTTTCAATTGGGCGTGTCTCATCGGTTTCCGCATTAGGAACATTCTCAGACTCTGTGTTTTCACTTTCAAGTGGTTCCTGAGGCTCGTACAGATGCTGCGAGTCCTGTGCATCGTGCGATTCCAATTTATGTACGGCAGAATCGCATCCTTGCACCGGCTCTTCCGAATAGGCGTCAAGAATGTTGCTTATGCTGGCATCAGTTTTTTCACGTTTAATAGGAGGAGCTTCATTTGTAGGAGCCTTTTCCTCATGCGTTTCGCTATCCAGCGGATCGTCCTTCAGCTTGCAGATAAGCTTTTCCTCGCCTGCGGCAAAACTGTACTCACTGCAGGGCGTGAATACCTCCTCGTCTAAATTTACTGCCCTGTTGGTGTCGATGGTGGCTGGCTTAGGGCGCGTTTTATTACCCAAAGTCTCGCTAGAATTGTTCATATTTTGGGATATTGTGACAGTTGAATCCTGAAGAGACGTTTGGATCGACAGGTGATGCTTTAGGTCCGCATCACCACTGTCACTGCCAGAGATTTCTGCGTCGGGTGTAATCGGTGCCTTGGACCCGCTGTCAGCGTCATCATCTAGTAGCATTGACTTGTAATGTTTGTTGGATTGCGTAGGGAAGGGGGCAGTGGCGGACGAGGAAGAGGAAATAGTAGGGGAGGATTCACCCTTTTCGTAATTCTGGGAGATACTCGTGGCAGCGGATTCAGTATTACCGCTGGTGGGTGTGGTAAACACGGTCCTGTCGCAGGAAGCAGAGTGGGTTGAATTGGACAACGACGCCGTGTCATTTTCCACTTGTGAAAGCTCGGCCTCTGTCGTGGACGAAGGCATCTTCAGGCCAGGTGGAGGAGAAGAAGTGATACTTTCACTCGCTGGAGGTGAGTTTGGGGCTGAGGACCCATTGCCAGAATGCGTCTCCTCATGCACACTCAATTGTCTTTTCTCAGGCAACACTTCACCCAGGGCGTCGCCATATTCAGCACTGGTAAATGAAGAGGGAGTAGAAGAACGTTCGATCTCTAGCGATGATTCTGAATCCAGTGTCTTGACGTTTGTAGTGTTGGCTTGTGGGTTTGGGCACGAGTCAGCAATGTAGTCGGACGCCTTGGCGGCACCTTCTCTAATAGATTCTAGCGACAGACATGTCGGAAGGACATGGTCAGGCTCGGGATCATTCTCTTTCAGGTCGGTTTCCTTCAGGTCGTGGTTTTCCGAAGTGGTAACGGATGTTTGTGGAGTGTTGGAACTTGAACGGTTGAGATTGTAGCTGGACAAACTGGAGTTCTTGGAGTCAGAAGAAGCGCTCTGGCGGCCCCTAGAGCTAGCGTCCGTAAACAGCAGTGATGTGTACAAAGACAGTTCTGACTTGACGATGTTGGTGGAATTTTCAGGATACTTGTTATTGGAAAGCGAGTGTGAACGAGCATGTAAAAAAGCTGGGCCTGAAGGAACAGCATTGTATGAGTGAGCTGCTGGGGGTTGGAAATGGGGTCTGGCTGCGACCTGGGGTGAAGGGACAGTTGACGATGGAGCTGAAAAGTTGGAAATGTTTATGTTGGTGTCGACCCTATTGTTGCGGAGTGACTGAGCCAAGTCCGAACGAGACTTTGCCTTTAAGTTATGAAAAGAATGCGAGCGAGTCATGTAAGGAGCAGCACTATTTGTTGTAGCTGTAGAAACCGTAGATCTTGCTGACGAGTTGGACGCCAACGAGTTAGATCTTGGAGCAGCTGAACGAGCGCCTTGGCCGGGAAAGCCGGGATTGAAGCCTCCTGGAACGGCATTGAATGTACCGCCAGTGTTATACGGCACACCAGGAATGGGGTTATACGAGCTCGAAGGACCAGCCACAGGTGAAACATGTTGGTGGTTAGGGTGGTTATGGTGGTTGTGGTGGTGGTGCGGTGAAGCAGGAGGAGCAGCAGCGTCAGGTGGGTGAATCTTAGAAGGTCTATGGCGTCTCAGGGGCGTGTTTCTAGGACGAAAAACTTCGCCATTGGGGAAATAAAACTGGCCGTGGTTATCTTGCTTTGGTTTTCGGGCCACCCGGTCTTCGACCGAAAAGAGGTCTTCAGTGGCAGCCAGGCGAGCTAGCGCCAGTCTAGGCGGATGGTGGGATTGTTGGGATGAAAAGGAGCCAGAGCGATGCATAACTAGCACATGTGAGCCAGGGAGGGCTTGCAAAGAAACAGGTTGTGGAAAAGGGGGAAAAGTCCTTGAAAAAGGTTGAAAGTTTATAGGGAGCGAGTGGAAGGCCCAAGGAGGCGGGTAGTGGGAGGAGCGTGTATGTTTTGGGTGAAAACGGGCCTGGATTAACAGCAAAAGGCCTATAAGTCAAACACGAACAGGTATAGTGAAAAATAACAGATTGTGGTAAAAAAGAAAGTGGTTGTGTGTAAATTAGAAAAAGCACTAAAAGCAGTTTAGAGAAGGCTGAGAAGGGAAGTGTATGGAGGCGTGGGGCCAAGGACGGGACAAGGCAGGTAGGCAGGCAAAGGTCGGGTGCGCAGGTTTTTGAGACAAAAGAGCCAGGGTTTTTGCAACCACCAGAGGGAGCTGGAGATTCCGCCAGGCACCGAGAAATCCATATTGGAATGGCACTATGGTTATGAGATTCAGGGGGAAGTGAAAAAACGACAAAAAGAGAGGAAAAGCAGAAAAATAGTTGTTTAAAGTGGATGGTAGTGGTCACTGGGATGCCTCGGGTGAGGTGGGATCTTTGTAGGTATTTTTTTTTTTTTTGCACGAGTTTTTTCGAAGCACGGCGGCCTAAGCAAGTTAGGTATATATTTTTTGGACTTTTTTTTTTTTTCTCATTATTTTTTTTGTATCTTTTGCTCGCACTTTGTGGGCAGACCAGGTGGTTTGGGTTTGCCAGTGTTTCTATTTTTTGCCTGTTTTGCTTACGCTCGGTGAATTGAAGGTTGCTGTTTTGGCGGTGGGCAGAAAAAAAAAAAAAAAAAAAAAAAAGTAGTCAAACAATCCACATCCTCAGAAGGTGAGTTTTCCACCGCCAAGAACCACAGCAATGGAAGATGGATGGAAATAAAGGAGGGGTGGTCTCTAACGGTGGGAAAGTGAAGTGTAGTGGAAAGGAAGTAAAGGGAAGGTAAAGGTTAATTGAGAAGGGGTGGTTGACCAAACCAGCCCTGTCGGTCTGGCTTGGTTCCGTCTGGTTCGGTTTGGTTCGGTTTGCCCGGGCGGCAGTAACATGCACTGCCGAAACAAAACATTGCTGGCGCACAGCCAGCAGGACCAGTGAAGCGAGAGTGAGAAAAACCACCACCCACTGAGCCAATGTCCTAGGGCCATCCGTGGGCCATGCCATGGCCATGAAGCCATTAAACAAACTGGCCATTCATTTTAATGCATTCATTTTAATGCATTCATTTTAATGAGTGGGAATATAAAGGGGGTAGGGGGTAGGGAAAAGTATGTTCTACCTCCTTCGACGCCTTTCCTATTAGAGTTCATATCTCTGGCATTGCCTCCTTGACGGTTGTGGTCCCCTTGGGCCCGGTGGAAATACTTAACCTAATTCCACCTGCGACCTGCGACGCTTGGGGGGCCCTCCGTTTTGGTGGATCCTCGCACCTTTCCTGTCAACCTTTTGGCCTTTTTGGCATGTCCTGTCGCCTGCCCTGCCTAAGCCCTGCCAGCCCCAGCCGCCCCAGCAGACTCAGCACCTACTTCCAGTCACCTACTTCCAGTCACCAACCAACTTCCCACACCTTTCATCTATAACATCTCTCCACCGTCGTTTCAGGTAAATCAAGTACATGCGGCAGGAATTGCTACTTTCAGCCTGGTTGCTGCCGAATACATCTACACTGGTTCTGCCGCTGGGCGATTCGGCTGAGTACCCTTACGTACCGCGTCTGCGAGTTAACCCTTTTTTTTCCCCTGCCTGTCTCAAAACAGACGCACTCCCTACTCAAGAGGTGCTTTTGTGTCTCGTTTTTTTGCACCCATTTCTTGTCTCACTTTTGTCCTCCTTTTCACCTTCCTTTATCCCAAAGACCTGCCATGCTACTCTTTACCTTGTTTCTGGCGTGTCTCGCTTCGTCTATCGGTATCGCCCGCCAGGCCCCTGACACCCGAATCAAAATCTCTTCTTCTGTTGTTTCTCTGAATGGCCTGCCTCCTCTGATGGTTCCAGTTTCTGCAACTGTAGCTTCCACTGCTTGGATCAAGGACTTTCTTCTGTTCTACTCCAAAGACGCTGAGCTTCTGGCGTTGTCGGTGCCGGTTGAAAAGAAACCCTTGCGAACAAAGATCACCAATTACGGGTCCGTGTTGGCTAATGAGGGAGACTTATCCTCGTTTACAAGACACTTGGTGGAACTGCTGAGGGAAGAGTATGCCGAAAAGAAGCCCAAGAATAATCGTGCAAAGCCGGCGGTTATCGAATTGGATATTGAACAATTCATTTCTTACTTGATTGAACATAAGGGCTTCACGGAGAAGCAACTTAATTTCCTTCGAAGACCTGAACTCGATTACGGCTATGAGTCCATAGAAAGAGAACTTACACAGATCAGGCGCCAACAGACCCCTCAGAAACACATATCCATCGGCGGCGAGATCTCAGCAGGCTCGTTGCCTAGCCGGCCTTCACTTTTTATATGGTCCTTGATTCTTCTTCTATCTTAATGAACTATCGATGATTTTCCAACACTTCCACATTCGTAGAGGCTAACCGCCACATAACAAGCATGAAGATCAGCTGGTAGGGCTCATACATAAGGCCCAAGAACTTGACGTACTCGTCGTGAAGAGGAACCCAGTCTCTTTTGGAACTGGGTGTCATAAACTTACCTTTCTTCCTCAATCCGGCCTTGAGCGCCTCCACAGCATGAACTCCGGTCTTAACTTCCTGTAGAAGCTTAGGTCTGTTGGCCAAGTACCTTGAAACGCCTCTTGCTACTCCAAGATCATCGTATGCAAAGATATCAAGCTCTTTAAGGGTGAACACCGAAAACATTCTGGCCAGCCATTCTCCGATGCCCTTGAGTTTTGTGAGTTCTTCTACTATCTCCTCATTGGAACCGTCCTTATAGAAATTCAAATCAGTGAGTCTCGTTCCTGGGGTATTGAAGACTTCACTGATATGAGTAATGTACTTTAACTTTTGACCCAGAAGCCCGACGCCTCTCAATTTCTCAGGATCAGCGTCAAGAACGCCCTGGGGTGTGCAATTGCCTTCAAGTAACGCCTTAAACCTCTCTTCTATGGCTTTTGCAGCTGATCCAGAGATCTGTTGCCCCAAAACAGAACTTATTAACGCGTACCAGTAGTTATGTATTGTTTCTTCATCCAGTATTTGAGGAAGCTCTTTCTTAGCGAACACTTTAAAGGGTGAATGAACAATCACTGGGTACAACGTTGGATCTTTGGAGATGATGTGCTTAACACCCTCAATAAACTTCTCGTCATGGTGATCTATGTAGCTCTGTGGAAGCAGAAGGTCTTCCGGCACGTCCACAACCTGAAAGAGCTCTTCAATGTTCTTTTTAGGTTTCTTTGGCGACGCAGGAACCGTTTCCTTCTTCACCTTAGTGACTTTTGTGGGGGAGGGTAGTATAGCCTCAGTTTTGACAGTACGTTTAGATCGGGTAAGAGCCATTAATGTTAGGCGTCCAAAGGCGGGTTTGAATATAGTTTTATGGAAAATCTCGAGCTAATGGAGTAGTAATTGTAGGATTACTCACCCACTGAGCAACTCAAGAGGCCCGTCTTGATATACGCTACATGCACTACTGAAGAGATGAATACCAATAAACGGTATCCAAAAGAGGGAAAGAAAGGAGAGAGGAGATGTAAGAGGGGTTGAAGGCATTGAGGAATGTAGGAGCTTGGTCGGTTTCTTCCCTGGGATGTAACTTTTAGTCGAATAGTGAGAAATCAAGCTCAACCCACCAGCTCATCTCAAGCAATTCACCGCCATCAAACATCCATTATCTTCTTCAAATCCCCCAAATATCCTCTCCTCTTTCCTCGTGCCCTCCTACGTATCATAGAGCTAACCTTAGTAGCCAGCCACGGTCATTCATCAACGTATGTAATCCTGGTATGTGTTAGTCAGATAATTCATTTTTGTTTATTCCTCGCCCGTAGGCATCAGATAATGTAGATAAGGTAAAATGTTATTCATCATTCACATACGTTATTGGTTATTCTTCTCTAGGTGTACACTGAAGAAAGCGAAATGTAGTAACAAATTTTCTATACATTTTGGATGCGGGTAACCGCGCGCAGAATGGTTGCAAAAAATCTGTATGGGGCAGGACAGTACCTGTTAATGCTGGATTAGGTCCACACTTGCAACTGCTCAAAGAAGTCGATTCTTTTGGAGGTGGTGTCGATTCTGGAGACGACGCCTGCTCTGACGTCATCGACCATGGCTGGGTGGCCGCACGTGATGAAGGCGGCACTTTCGGTGGCTTCTTCTATCTCTGTAGCGATAATGTCGTCAACCAGTGGCCTCTTCTCAACGAAGTTGATTTTTGGGAAGAATTCCTTGATTTTCAGGAAAAGGTTTTCTATATCAAGACTTTCTTTTTCTGATGACGAGGAGCACAGGAGTGACGTGACATGTGCCAGGGTTTCTTCCTTTTCGTCACAAGTCGACGAGTCGCAAGACTGCTGTAGTTTGAGGAAAGGAAGTTCTGCCTTGCCGCTGAGCTCTGGTCTGGTAACATAGACGGTGGTTTCGATTTTCGTGCCTTGCAAGTTCTTCAACTCTCTCCAGACCATCAGCAACGCACTGAAGTCTTTAATGATCCAGTTGAGCTTGATGTTTTGCTTCTCTGGAGACGTTTGTGCTTCGTGATATGCCTCTGAATAAATACCTGGGAAACCGTGGCCTCCTGCCATGTAGACAACATTGCTGTGTCTAGATACGGGTGACTTCTCTCCATAACATCCCTCAATGGCAACTCTCATTTGGCAAGTCTTCTCTGGTAATTTGAGAAGGTGGTCGGCAATCTTCTTGGTAAGACCTCTCTTGACTTTACAAAGGAAGACCATCTCATCTTTGAGCGGAGACTCGATGTAACAGAAAGGATGATTTTGCCAGAATGCCAAGCCAAAGCCAAAGTATACCCAGCAGTGCCCGCCAGGGACCATTTTCATGGTGGGTGACTTTGGAACTAGAACCCTAAGAGTGTCTCCCTCGATAAGCAGAATAGTTGCCTTAGGACAACCAAAGTAACCCATTCTAAGGAATCTAATGACTCTGTCTGCGATCCAAAGACATGCAGAAGCTATCATGAACGGCGTGTAACCGAACCATTCAACGTGAACCCAGCATCCCATAATCCAGAAGGCAGCCAAGATGATATGAATGATCAAGAAGATTTCGTAACTCTTTCTTCTCAAAACTAAAAGACCCTGGAAACACATGAGACAGCCAGCAATAGTGGCCATACTGCCGAAGATAAGGAAGTCCATGCGAATGGAGTTGTGGTACGTTCCTCTTCTGTGTTCGTTGTAAGTGAATGCAATGGAATGGGCAACAGCTAAAAGAACGACAATTCTTGCAATCCATCTGTGATACATGATGAAAGTAGAGAACTTCCATCCTGTGAGCCATTGCAAGATGTTACTTCTTCCTCCAAAGATAATAAGTAAGAGGGTCCAGATAAGACTGGGGATACCAGTTCTGTCACCGACAAAAAATCCAAGAGATCTGTTACCATCCCAGAAAGGATTATCATGAACATAGTAGATATGAACAATCTGGGTAATGAATGTGTAGGCCAAGAAAGATAAGTTAACGAGAGACTCAAACCTGGTTGGGACAAGGCCATCAAAGAGACCTAAGCACTTCTGTTCTTGGTTACGTTTTCTGTGGATCAAAGCAGGAAGTGTGATGTGCTTTCTCCATGCCCTGGAATAAACACCATCAAAGATATTTCTTGAACTGGGGATTAATCTCACCGTCCAGTTGGCAATGGTTGCAATCAAGCACAAGCCCATCCAGAAGGCAATGCCTCCAACGGAATATAGAAGCGACTTATCGTGGTTACCCATCTTTGCAGTATAGATCCTAAGAAACAAATCGGGAAAGTAAGATCCAAAATCGACAATCACCGATTCATCACCCATATTACTATGATCAGACATCTGGGCATGGGTCATATGGCCCAAATCGGTACGACCAGTGACATTGACGTAAACGCTATTAGAATGAAAGTCTTCTAATGACTTGTGAAGTGCTGATTTTGTCAAATCAGGGACATTGCATTCCTTGTGAACCAAATCAACTGCAGCATCAGCGTCCATGCCAATTCTATCGAAACAGCCCAAGAAACTAGAAAGTAACACTGGGTTAGTGCAGTAGCATCCAAACAGGCCTCCATGGCCATGACCTCCACAACCAGAGTAGTATGTCGTTAGCAAATTACCACAAGCAGAGTATTTATACTGATCCTCACCTTTATAAGTAATAGCAGGGTACGTCTCGGCAAAAAGCCCCACGAAGAAAAGAAACACGATAGCCAAAAAGAGTGGCACGGCTGTTATTAGAGCCTGGCGGAACATGACGATTGAATATAGTCTAAACCAAAGGAAGAGTGGTACATTAAGTATTTTCCAGCAAGTGGATGTGAAATGCCCATGCTACCTGAAGGTGAGCCATTTTGCACCCAAATGTGGTAAGTAATAACGCTCGTGCGAATGGTGAAGAAGAAAGACCTAAGATATAAGCGAGACGCCCAGTGGACAAACAATGAAGAAGGAAGAGCAAATAACCGTTATGATAAACGTAAAAAACAGCTATTTCCCCAAATATTTTGCTCATATCGAGAAACCAATTGCAAATACAGTTTAGTGGGTTCAAGGTTAAGCGAGTCAGTGCGGCTAGCGAGAGAAAAAAAAGCCCTCGCTACGCCCAGAAAGAGTATATATTGCTCATGGAGAGGAACCCAGAGGAGAGAAGTTTTCCGTCTACCAATGCCAAGCATCCACATACGAACGATGGAATATCATGAATGGAATGTGTAGACGGAAATGACGGGATGGAAAGAAAGAGATAGGATATATAGAAAAGCTAAATAGTGAAATAGTAGGGAAAGTGAGTTGTGAGTTGTGGTTTGTGGTTTCGCTGGAGGTGCGAAATGTAAGTGAAACTGAACTACAAAGGCTGCGAAGTTGGCGAAAAGAATGAAAAAAGTGAAAAACTCTCGAAAAACTGCGAACCTGCGACGCACTGAATAACCACTATATCATACAATGAGCAGTAACGGAACCAGCGACCAATCATAGCGTTGAATTTACAAGAGCACTTTTGAAAAGACTCAACTGAGCAAATTACAGTTATCCCAGGCCCTCCTTTGATCTCGATCGCTCGAGAAACATTACCTATTATGTAAATTCTCTCCTATCTTTTGTTGTTGACTTTTTCGCAGCCAGGGTCCCTAGTAAGCCACTCGGGCAGGACGACAATGTACGATCTACGATGAGCTCGAAGCATTATTTTCCCCGGAAATTTTTCACCTTCCGTAAATCAAGCACTTGTCTTTGTGATCGTAGAAGAAGAAGAAGATATTGAATGGAAGATCCACGTGAGATCTCTTTGACGTTTGACGAGGACGATACCGGGAGGAGAAGGGAGAACAAGAGCAGATCACATTCGGAGTCCACTGGAGTATCGTAGCCGAGGACGAAGGAGGTGGGTTTGGCCGAATCGGTGCCAATACTGTAGCTGCCGCTGCTACTGCCTGGCTGTTGATGTTCCGATCGTCCCAGTAGACTACTCACATTCGGTATGGCAGCAGGGCTCGTAGACGGCCGAGTCTGACAGATATAGGGGTAGTAGAGGTTAGTAAGATAGTGTGGCTGGGTTCAGCCCCTGGACTCCTGCCCAGAAACCTCCACACTGGCATGTCTCGTAAAGTACGTAGTATGAAATCATCCTCGGCTTGGGCACCTACGTATGCATTGCAGCCAAGGTCCGCATAACTACTCCTGAGCGTGTTTCAGGTGAGCTGTCAAGCCGAGGAGGTGATAATAATATTTCGGCTGCAACACCTCTGTAACGTGATAATGAGAAAGCATTAACACTACCAAAGGATACCATGAACAGACTAGTAGAGGCCCATTCCAGGACGGCTGCGAAAAACAGACTACTGAAATGGGCGATCCAAAAGGGATTCGCAGCCAGTGCCGCATTTAAACTACGAAGTACCGAGGAAGTAGCCTAGACGCATAGAATAATAATCCGGGATAACTAGGGCACATCGTGAGCAACTGGGCCGAAATACAAAGTAGCACAAATCAAGAAAGAATGTGTCAGGGCTAAATTGAACCCTAGAGGCCATCGCGAGCACCCGAGAAGTTCCGGTGCTCGGGAATGAGGAAGTGCCCATATCCAGGCGGCTGATGCTCAGACAGAGAAAAAAAAGTCTGCCCACGATGGAAAAGTGACCAGGACAATGGCATAAGAAAAAGCGAGATTTAATATATCAGCACAAAAGGTAAACCCAGTAGCACCAGAGGTCAGTCGTCAGGCCACACTGAGGAAAATATGTAGAAACAAGGAACTAAGAGGGATAGACTAAACGAGAAAGGTGTCCTTGGCCCTAGACCAGGCCACAGGCCAGGCCACTACCAACCTGTTTAGGTCCACCTTGGTAGTCTGAAGCCTCGTTTTCATGATTTATGTGGACTCTGATTTTTCTTAGCTCTCGCCAGTTCGGGCAACACCTTCAGACAAAAGTGCAGCATTTAGGGAGCTGGCGATGAGGCTCGCTCGCGCCGCAGTGGTGGCTGCAAAACACATTTCTCAGAACAAAGAGGCCAGAGGACTGGGTACGACCAGTGGCAGGCCAGTGGCAGACCAGAGACAGGTTGAGCTCGTGTCCAAGGAAAATCTACCCTTCTTTGCATCCCAATTAGGCCAACCAAACCATAAAGACTGCTTGGTAGCCTCCCACCCTGGCAGCCTAAACAAGGCATATGCCTCCTCGGGCCTTGAGCTGTACCAGACCCATCTCGATCAGCAAGCCGCACTGGCCTGGCCAGCGTCAGATCCTTCCAAGGGTGCCACTTAACATTTGGGTCAAGTTGTTTGTTTCACTTGGTGGAAGCAATCGAGGCGGCTGGGAAGGTTTAGTGGTTGACGCTCGAAGACCAAATGGAGCCCCGGGTGCGTCGTCGTGAGTAGGGTTACTTCTTTTTTCCTTTTTCTTTTTATGTTTTTTGTACTTACCTTGGCTGTCTGCAGCAAACACCAGTAGTTTAATTTTTCCTTTTGTTTGGTTTCGCACAAGGGCTTTTATTTTTTTTGCCCTTTTCCTGCCCTATTCTGCCTGTTATTTTTTTTTTTTTTTTTTTACTCGCTTCACCCCTGGAGATCCGGATGCACCGCCGCCTGAATGGGACTTGCATTGTGTGCGTTTCCTATCTCTGCCTGCCCGCAGCTCGGTCTATCCTTGTACCCGGCTTCGCCTTAAGTATATAACCAGGCGAGAATTCCCATGGTTTTTCACTTTCCATCGAAAATTGCATTTTCCGATTTCAAGGCTCCCTCTTCCAATGCATCCAAACACTGCCTTGTGCCTGGCCTTGTTGGGCCAGCAAAGCTGCCACTACGTTACCCGGGCTGAATACTTTGTCTCCCGGGCCTCTGCTAGCATTGCCCTTCTTATGGCTCTTCCCTTGGTTGCCATGTTTATCGTGGACTTGACCATCTTCTCCTTACAGTCGCTATATCTGTACATTGGCCGCCGCTGGCCTCTTGCCAAAGCTCCTCCTCTTGCAGACACTGGTTTCAAGTTCAAGTCGCCTAACCTCGTTCGCAAGATTATTCACGATTGGAACATCACAAAGGCAAGATGTCGTCTAATCGGCTACGCTTGGTTAGCAAGAACCCGCCGGAAACACTAACCAGTCCTATTTTTTTTTATTCAAGGCAGCTTCGTTTTTGCTGCCTTCCTAAGCTAGCCTCGCTGCTTTGCTTTTCATAGTCATTTTTTTGCATCTCGCCCAGGTTTATTGTGCACGTTGCCAGGGCTGGTCCCTACATAGGTAAATTGCATGGATACATCATCATACACTTTTGCTTTGCTTTGCAACAAGCTTTCTTTCTTTTGTGTTGCTTTTAATTTATTTGCCCTAATACATGTCACTTTTGTCCCGATTTCGCCGTGTGTAAGCCCTTTGTATGTCTCGTAATGGTTGCAAATTCACGCACCTGCTGGCTGTGTATGGAAAGTGTGGATTGTCCAGCGCCAGGATTTGTGTGTGGTGCAGGAGGATTAAACTTTATTGTAATCCAAGAAACTCCACCCGTTTGTCTATTCATTCAAGACTTTGTCTTTCGAGAGTAAAAAAGAAGTGAATTCCATTAAGGGGCACTTTTAGAATTTTCAGTTCAATTAGGCCTCCCGTCGGCCCAACCCGGCCCAACCGAGACCCTTCAAGCTGCACCTCAAGCCTCTTTGCGAGTCTAAAACAAGGGCTGGCCACGAGGCAACCCTTTGTGAGTTATCTCGAGTGAAATTGAAGTGGGCTTTTCAATGAGCGATTTACCTTATTCAGCCAGGTTATCAGGTTCCACGTTCTAGGGGGCTCTCCAGGGGGATCCTAGGGGGATCCTAGGGGGCTGTCGGGGAACAGGGGATACCTTTCATTCAAACTTCAAGGGGGAACCGAACAATCCAAACCTTGTATCTATATTAGCAAACTTTGGTCCCCTATTTGAGACTTTGTCGGGTGTAGATCCTCCGTAAGAAGTGGTTCGTCTAGTGGTTGCAAAATCCTGCAGAAGCATGGTTGCAAATGCCCACTTCGAATGAACACCTCCAGCATAGAATCTTCAGTATTTTGTGTACAGAAAAAAAAAAAAAAAGAAAGATTAAAAGGAGGTTCACTGATTGGCTTAGACAAGGCTATGTTTTACCTCCTACTATGAGTCCTTCGCGGACCAGATAAGCCAATACACATCCTTGCGCAATAGTAATCCAAGCATACCACTTAGCCGTCAAACACTAGTGACGCAACCAGGATTACGTCGATGATGGTGTAGAAAGACGTGATTTCTGGAAAGCCTCGTAGGTTTTGGAAACAGCGTGACTACGACACGTGTGTATGACGTTTACTCTTGAGTTTCGGAACACCGTAAAATAAGCCACAGATGTGTCTTTTTGACGTGCCTGTGGAAGGAAAAGATAATAGAAAGTGGTTAGTAACGAAGCCACATGTCGTTAAGTGTTGGAAGACATAGCCTTCGATCCCAGCAAGTTGCTGGTCCAGCAAATCCGAAGGGGCTGTTAAGGGACAGATAATGGTCCCCTATCCCGATGACTACTGATAGCTGTTCTTCCACTAACTATGAGACAACCAAGGTGTCTTCAAAGTTGACATTAAGGACAAGAAATGGCCATTTTTTTGTATCATGACTGTTTTTGGTATCCCCATGTCGTGAAATAAGCTGATGAGCATAAATTTGCCCAGAAACGGGTATGTTTAGTCGAGGACCATAGGGTGCTTCGCAAAGGGACACGTCGCAATACCAAGAACAATTTCTTGGAAGTGAAAAACTATTAAATCTGAAGATTCTTGGATCTCGAGACGTTGGCATGGTATTACCAGGTAGTGTTGGGACTGCTACCACTATCAGTACTTGCGGCTGAACACGCGTCGACAACAGCATGGAGCTGGAAACCAAACTTGTTCAAGGCGCTTACAACATGGAGAGATAGAGTCTGGTTGAAAAATAGAGCATTTCAAGGTTCTTATTCCTTAAGTACTCGACCAAGACGAAGGCCAGATAGGGTACTGGGCCATGTTTCCGCTCCCCCACCACCAGTATCATAACCATACTATTCCCAACACACCATCAATCAAAACCAAACATCACTTAAACAACTTCCATAACATATATCCCACCCTCGCCTTGCCATCCCTCATGGACCCTTATCACCACCACATATGCTTGATCTAATTTGCAGCCATATGCATGCACACAGCTTGACAGGTATTTAGATAAGTCGTGCACAAAGCGCCTTTCCTTGAAAGCCACAGGTGTTCCACAAAACCAAGTCCAAGTCTCAAACAGACATTGTCTATATAAAAGCCCGAGATTTCATATCCTTCATTAACAATGAAAAGGGCCCATACCGCCGGCTAATTCCTCTTCTATAGCCCCCGCACTGGCGCGGCAGTTCTAGCTCTGATTCCACACCTGCCTATTCCGGCAGGCGAAGCCGACCAGCCGCTATCGATATCGCGGTACTTATAAGGTACTAATTTCCAGGGACAATTGATTACAAATATCTACTACTTTTATCACCCATGGTCTCTTACACTGATTTCCTTACAACCGATCCCCTCGATAACTACGAGGACGAGGCGAAATATACTCGTGATTTCTTGCCCAAGTTGGAGAAGTACCGTGCTGATCTTGAAAAATCCATCAAGCCTGAGTATTCCGTTCAGTTACCCAAGCCTGTCGAGGAATTGGAGAAGGAACAGTTTGACGCATTGAAGTACCTTTATGATGAGAAGCTTTTAAGTGAGAAGGAGTTTGAAATCACCGATTCGTCTGCTTCCAGGATTATCAAGCAGATCGCCCTGGGCTCGTGGTCTTCTGTTGACGTCTTCAAGGCTTTTGCTAAGAGAGCCACCATTGCACACCAGTTGACTAACTGTGCTTTGGAGCTCTTTACTGATGAGGGATTGGAGCGTGCTAAGTACTTGGACGACTACTACGCGAAGAACGGCAAGACCATTGGCCCATTGCATGGATTGCCAATCTCTTTGAAGGAGCAGATTAACTATAAGGGTAAGATCACCCATGGTGGTTACGTCTCTCATGTTGTGAACATCCCCGAGAAACACGCTCCATCTGTGGAGATCTTGGAGAAGTTGGGTGCTGTTTACTTTGTCAGAACTAACCAGCCTCAGACATTGATGCACTTGTGTGGTAACAACAACTTCATTGGCTGGTCGAAATGTCCATACAACTTGTCATTGACTTCTGGTGGATCTTCTTCTGGTGAAGGTGCTATCACTGCCTTTGGAGGCTCGGCTATTGGTATTGGTTCTGACATTGGTGGTAGTATTAGAGCACCTGCTGCCTACGCTGGTTCTGTTGGTTTGCGTCCAACCACTAGCAGATTCTCCAAGGCTGGAGGTGTTTCCTCGGCTGGTGGCCAAGAGTCTGTTCCTGCCGTCCAAGGTCCGTTGGCCAGATCAATTGACGATATTGATTTGTTGATGGATGCTTATATTAACCAGGGTCAACCATGGAACATTGATTGCACTACCATTCCAATTCCTTGGAGAAAGGTGGAAAAGCCTAAGCCAGAGAGCTTAACAGTTGCCATTGCATACGATGATGGTATTGTGAGCCCAACTCCACCAATTGTGAGAGGATTGAAGCATGTTGCTGAGAAGCTCAAGGCTGCCGGCGTCAAGGTTATCGAACATAAACCTTTGAGAACCGATTTCGCATACAAACTCGTCAACAGAATGTACTCTGCTGACGGAAACTACAAACAAAGATTCCTTTTGGAAGGCTCAGGTGAGCCTTTGACTAAGATGTCCAAATGGAGTTTGAACTACGGTGATGGTGCCAAGGAGTACGGCGTTGCAGAGAACAGACAGATGAGCATTGACAGAGACCAATTGAAGCAGCAATACACTGATTACTTGAACGAGAACAACATTGACATGCTTATCTCACCAGTGTACGTTAACGTTGCACCTAAGCCAGAATCTGCTTACTGCTGGTCCTACACCACGTTATTCAACCTTCTTGATTTCCCAAGCTTGGCATTCCAGACAGGACTCTTCCAAGACCCTAAGCTCGATAAATGGGACTCCAAGCCAACACCAAGAAGTGAGTTGGAACAGCTTGAACACGACCAATACGATCCCGAGGAGTTCAAGAACGCTCCTATCGGTTTGCAGGTCACCGGTAGAAGATACTTCGACGAAGAAGTGTTGGCTGCCGGTAAGACCATCGAGGATATTTTGAAAGTAGACTTGCTTAAACATCATTAGAGTATATAAATAAGAAACCCAACAATTCATAATGACGTCAAAGTATCCAATAAGAACCGATCCCCAGTAGTCGTATTTTGCACCCACTCCATGAAGGACATGGGATGCGAGTATATATATATATATCTGGACTCAGGTCCCAGATCTTCTTGAAAGTACCACAAAAATGTCAAGTGACGAACCACCTGAGATAGTCATAGTGGGCGCTGGAGTCATTGGACTCTCGCTGGCTCTCGCAATTATCGAAAGCTCTACTAGGTGTTATCAAATTACCATTGTGGCAGAACACCTTCCAGACTCACAACCATACCTGAGTCAGTACACATCGCCATGGGCTGGTGCCCACTTCAGGCCATTTCCACTGAAAAATGAAGCTGAACTTAGAGAGTACCCATGGACAAGAGAGACTTGGAAACGTATGAAACGTTTTGCTGCCGAGGCTCCGGAAAGTTCGGTAAAAATCGTCCAGGGCATTGATTTGATCGAGGAGAATGAATTGTATGAGAAACTTGGAGAAGGATACTCGGAGGGTTTGGATAACTTTAAGGTTATTTCGAGAGAGAAGTTGCCGCCTGGGTTTAGCTTTGGAGCTCTGTACGATACGTTCGTGTTGAATGCCCCACATTATATTCAGTTTCTCCATCAGAAACTTAAAAATGAGTATGGCGTCACTTTCGTAAAGAAACGTCTTGAGAGACTTAAGGATGCTGCCTCGTTTACGACAAGACCTGATCCGGTCATCGTCAATTGCACTGGCAATGGCCTTCTTTGGGATGGTGGTACCGATCCCGCATGTTTCCCCATCCGAGGCCAGACTCTTCTTGTTAATTCACCTCAAGACAGTTCTCTTGCCAACAAGACGGTTACCATCCAACATAAACTGGGCGACTGGACATTTTGCATTAATAGACCTTTAAACGGAGGAACCATCATTGGCGGCACCAAACAAGTAAACGACTGGAGCAGTTCAATCAAGGAAGCAGACAGCGAAGCTATAAAAGCCAGAGCAGAGAAATATTTCCCACAACTCATGCAAAAGGGCGAAAATGGGAAACCCTACTTTGACGTCATCAGGACAAACGTTGGATTCCGGCCTGCCAGGATCGGGGGAGTCAATATCAGCGTGCACGAGAAAGACAAGTGCACTGTGATTAATGCATACGGAACGGCAGGATCAGGTTACGAGCTTTCCTACGGGATTGGCCTTCAAGTGTTTGACAGAGTTGCTGTGACTCACCTCTTTGGCAAGCTTTAACCACAAAAGTGAGTGAATACCGATAAGCATAAGCAGATGACTAAATGTTGAATACGAAAAGTATAGACCAAGGAAATGTAAGCCAATAGCCAGGCCATTGGATGTCTATAGAGCGTTTGTGTTACACTAACTGTGGCCTCACTGGTCCAGAACGAAAGCGCATACCCCAAAAATGACTCAGAACGGCCTTCTCGAACCGAAAGTAACCGAATCTATACACCCATTACCCCATCTACTTCATATACTATATTTCGGTGGCAATTATTTACTTGGGCCGTGAGTCAGTAATGGCTGCGAAAAGCCATTCCACAATTGAGACCACCCAAAGTCATCCCCCATCATTCAGCGTTTCCAGGTACAAAATCCCACCAAAATCCCAAATTCCAATTCCCACAACCCAAACTCCCCAGACCCAAAATTACCTCCAATGTTTATGTTTCACCTTCCCGTGGCGTCCCGACGTTGCTACCCACGTTTGTTTGATCCACGAGGGAGCAGTGTGCATTTTGGTCCCCACAATTCGCGCTTATCTGGTGCAACCTATTTACATCATGTATGACGATAAGCAGACCTGGGCCCATTCTTATAAAGTTAGACTATGACTGTTTTTCGGTGCATGTCTTTTCCCTTAAATAAGATGCGACCTGTGCCAACCAGGTTTGTCTTTCGTTCTATTCATACTACTCCTTCACTTTCAGATAATCAATCAATGGTTCGAATATCGGAGCCTACCGTTCCCGAGTCTATAGGTGGCTGGTACAAGCACCACTTGTTTTTACTTGGTCTTGATAAGATCAAGCTTTGCATTTACCAGAAGTTGTCTTCCCTTCACTCGCAGGTCGGTGGAGGTGCAATTAAGTCTGTGGTTAGTGACTTGGTGCTGTTTGCTAAGACGGAATGTGTTACCCATCCAAAGATCTTGGAGCACGTGGGGATGTCTTCGGAGGCTGTACCAAGGCACCAAAGTCGACACAAGCTGGATGTGAGGTCGTTCTACGTTCAGGTAGCGTATATGATGCTCACGGAGCCGGAATCCAAGTTGGAATCACTCGCTGACGCCTTGCTTGAGCTCTACCTAGAGCTGAGAGGCTACAAGCTTACAATGAATGAGCCAGTGAATGCTCAGGAGAAGCAAATCCTACGACTCGCTTCGAAATACTACAAGTCGTGTTCCATCAACTATAAGTTGTTGTACGACCATAAGTCGTATCCTCGTAGGATCGACATCGCGGACCAGTCGCTATCGATTAACCTCCCACCATTGCCTCAGCTTAAGTCAAAGCACTTGTTGGCAAAGGCATTGATGCATAAGGAATTGTACCGTGCTATTTTCCTGGAGAACCACGACTTCTACAAGTCTTTGGTTGCAAAGAACATATCTGTTGATAGACTGGCATTGAATGTGATTCGGTACGACTTATCATTTTTAGATGGTCTTGGTGATTTGTTTTTGGCAGGAGAATCCTCGGAGTTCTTGTGCAAATTCAGGCACCTGGAACCTTACTCTGCCGATGACTCTTTCGGCAAGAAGAGTTACAACTTGCTCAGAACCGTTTTGGCTACGAATACGTTGATGTCAAGGTTAGCAGTTGCATACAATCTTCATACGGCACTCGACGATCCAAACGTTCGTGAGTTGCTTGAGTCCGAGTATATCCCTTACATGGCAGGCCAAAGGGATTCGGAACCACCATCATGCCAGGCTCGTTACGAAGAAGAGTTCATTGCCGACTACTTTGAGCAGTACGTGGGAGCTCTTTACCTAGAACAACCAGTTGTGGCCAAGTCATGGATCAACTCCTTGTTCGAACAGATTTTGTTTTCAATTACGGATTCTTATCGAATCAAGCATCGCAAGCAAAAGCTAGTTCAATATGACTACCGTGCCTGGGGCGTGGATGTTATTGGGCGTTCTTTGAAATGATTTATATCTATAAAGTTGGCTGGTACCCTCGATGGCCAGCATGAATTAAACAAACAGGTTACTTTTTGTTGGAATCTCTCACCAAACTCGTGAACTGGAAACCCTTCTTTTTCTTTTTATTCTTCTTCTCTCCCTCACTATCTCCGGAGAGCTTCTTCACGCTTGCAAAGTTTGACTCCTCGTCATCTGAAGAAGATTCATCGCTCAGGTCTGAGTCCGAATCTGAGTCTGAGCCCAGTGAATCCAGTTCTGATTCGGATGACTCAGCTTCTTTTGGAGCCGGCTTCTTCGGTTCAGTATTATTCTTGTCCTTCGAATCACGCACGTCGGGAACTCCTCGCTTCTGCAAGTCGCTAAGAGATGTGAGTTTTGGTAATGCAACCCGAGGTGTAGGTTTCGGTGGTGAAGACGGCTTGGATTTCGTTTTGCCATCTTCATCTGACGACTTGGAAAATGGTGTTTCCACAGAAATCGTTCTCACGCCTTCACTCAGTCTAGGCGCTGGTGGAGAAACTGCTTTGATTGGTTTTGCAGTTGGCTTTGCAAGCGAACCAAACTTTTTGTTTACCATACGGGAACTGACAAGACTAGGCACTCTCTGCAAGGCCGTTTTAGCAAGAGCGGGCAGTTTCTTTTTGGTCTTTGGTTCATCTTCAGACTCGGACAGGGAATCGCTTTCGTCACTTGAGCTAGACCCCGAATCAGAACTGGAATCCGAATCCGAATCCGACTTAGAATCCGGCTTGGGTACGGGTTTAGAAGCGGGCTTTTCATCGGAAGCATTGTCTGAAGATGAACTTGAATCCAGGTCTGAAGAAAGTACTCTCTTGACACGTCTTGGCTTAGTGTCTATGCCAGAGTCATTATTGCTTCCAGGAGTATCGTTAGGTACCTTAGCGGGAGGAGCGACCTTGGAAACTTCAGCTTCGGCTTTGTCTTCGGCTTCGGACTCGGACTCAGAAGAAGAAGACGACGACGAGGAGCCCGAAGATGACTCAGACTCAGACTCAGACGACTCAGAAGATGATATGACAACCTCTGCTTTAGATTCTTTTTTCTCTTCAGGCATAAGCTCGAGCTTTGGCTTCTTGATTGCATTTTGAGAGCCCTTTCTCTCAGCCAGGTTTTTACGCTTAGCTGATAACTCGGTCGTTGATTCAGCTTCCTGAGAAGGCTTGAGAGGTGATTTAGCAGCAGTTTTGTCAGGAGAGACATTAACAGCAACAGAAGCAACATTATCTTTCTTCTCCTCGCCAGAAACTTCGACAGGCGTGACGCTCTTTGCAGAATCCTGAATTGGCGACTTCTCAGCCACTCCAGTAGAGGGACCTTCCTCTTCACTCTTCTCCTCTTCACTTGCACTGGATTCACTGGCGTCTGAAATAACGTCAGGTATCACCGAACCAGATTTCGACCTTATTTCGACAATATCTTCAGAAGCCTCGTGGTTGTTATCGACTTCAGCTTCCTCTTCTTGGCCAGCCCTTTTCTCGTCGCCAGCATTCTTCTCGCTTTCTGGAGCCAGAGTTGCAGCATCGGAATAATGCGAGTCTGAAGCTTGTGATTCATCCATGTCCTGGTCTTCGATCTCCTCAGCGTCGTCAGCAGTCTTGTTCGGCTCTTCGACAATTTTCTCCGACTTGTCTTCCTTGTTAGCAGCAGCATCTTCAGTAGCCTCTTCAGTAGCTTTCTCTTCAGGAGCATCCAGGGGTGATTTAGACTCGTTCTCATCATCTTCCTTATCAGATTCGGCAACGGCAACAGCATCATCCTCGTCATCGTCATCGACATCGACATCGTTTTCTTCACTGCCCGAACTATCACTTGATGAATCCAAGTCAATTACCTCAGGGCCTGCTGATCTTGTTCTTAAAGAGCCTCTTGCTTGTGTACCAGCTGGGGTACGAGCCACTTCCTTTCTTGGCCTTCCCCTGCGAGGCTTGCTGACATCACCAGTAGTAGCATCCACACTTGAAATGGCCCTTGACTTTTGCTTTCCATTAGCTTTGATTGGGGCACGGACCTCAGGAGTAGCACTTGCAACCTCGTCACTGTCACTAGATGATTCTTGTGCACCAGAAGCGTCATCTTCCGAGCTACTTGTGGCAGCTGCGGCGTCTCGCATCTCGACATCTGGCATTTCCTCTTCATCTTCCTCTTCCTCATCAGACTCCTCTTCCTCCTCCTCTTCCGATTCCTGTTCGGGAGAAGCATCTTGTTCAGAGGCCTCATTCGATTGGTTTTCATCAGACTCATCCTCAGCGGCAGCTTGCAACTTCTTTAAGGTACTCTGCTGTCCATTATGATCATCTGCGGTTTCCAGGACATCTTCTGTGCGTTGGAGTGTTGGCGTCGATGGTTCAGTTTTCACCTTCTTGGGAAGCAGTTCTTCATTCTGCTTGTCAAGCCTTGCATCCAACTTCTTCATTTTCACGTAAATAGAAGAAAGTTTGGATTTGCTAGCAAAGTCATTAAATGGGGCAGGCAAAGCGTTAGCACGTTTCTCTTTGACTTTTTCCTTCTCTTTCTCTCTTTCGTCCTCAAGGTTATCCAAGTTGGTATCGAAGTTTGGCACCCCTCCAATTGTAACACGAGACCTTAAGCTTCTTGTCGTTGGTTGAGGCACAGTTGTAGCACTCCGGCGCCTACTTTCAAGTTCAGCAGCATGGCGAGCAATGTTTTCTTCACGAATCCGACGCTTTTGCTCCTCTTCTTGGGCCATGAATGCATCGTTATTAGGCGGTGAAACTGCAAGCTTCTTATTGATCTTGTTAGGTACTCTCATGTTGTTTTTAAAGATAGACATGATTTCACCTTTGCTCAAAGAAGCACTGTCATGGTCGTCAGCTTGATTGGCATTACTTTGCGCTTCATCCCCAGCATCTTTATTTGTTGATGTCTCTTGGGCAGCAGTCGATCCATTAGTGTTATTTTCGAGATCATCCGGACGAGGCAGAACTGCAACTGTAGGGGTAAGCCCACGCAAACCACTAGCAGGTCTCATAGTTGCATTGCTGGGAACAGCCTTGGACACATCAAACAAATGGAGCGCAGGGCCACCTTCATTAGACTTCTTGTTTGCGTCTAAATTGGCACTATTATTCACCTTCTCCTGAAGAACCTTCGCAGTATGAGCTTGTTCACGAATAGCAGCTTCTTGCTCTCTCTCGACTCGCTTCTGCAATTCAGCTTGACGCCTAAGATCATCTTGCTTTCGTAAAATGGCCTCCTTCCTCTTCTCTTGCTGTCGAAGCTCTTCCTTCTTCTTGAGAAACTCTTCACGTTCTTTCAATTCTTTCTGCATCAGGATTTCCTTATCTCTCCATTGCTGTTCCTGCGCTAGAAGCTCGGCCTGTCTCTTTAACTCTTCAGCAGGCTTCAAAATACGGTTCTCCTCGGCCTTCTTCATTTCCTCTTGCATCCGTCTTTGCTCTTCTTGTCTCCTTCTTTCTTCAGCGGCTTTCCTCTCTTCCTCCTTACGTTCTTCCTCTCTTATCCTTCCAACACCCTGCTTCTTGAGGTACTCCTGGCGCTTCATTGCATCGTCCACCTTCTCATCTATCTTTCTTTTAATGCTAGCTTGCATCATTTGATCTTCAGCAGGGCTGGTGATAGGGAATTGACGAGTTGATGACGTTGATAAATCAGCCAGAGTCGAAGGTGATTGGACATGAATATGTTGATTTATAGCTGGTGCAACGCCCTGAGGAGAGGCAGTCAGAGCTTGGCTGGCACCTTGTGACTGGACGACTGCTGGGGATGGAACAGTTTGTGGAGGACTCTGTCCAGCAGGTGGACGAGATTGTCCATCCTGGCCAGGTTGACCAGGGGGAGGATTCGCTGGCGGTGTCCACCTATAGAACACAGGTGAATTTCTCGCCTGACTTGGAATTTGAGGTTGAGGGATATGAGGAGGAACGCCATACGGAATTTGACTCGGCGGGTAAGGGGAGTAGTATGTTCCATAAAACGGCGGCTGTCTAGTTTGTTGTAGATCCTGATTATTGTTAGGAAGTGGTTGTTGAGGGCCAGTATGCATCAACCGTGATTGAAGATTATTGAGATTAGAATCGGGCACCCCCGGTGGAAGTTGTGGTTGTGTATGAGCATATCTCGGATAGTTATTCGAAGGCGCCTTTGGTGGAGCTTGATTCATCATATGAGGTGGGGGAGCTTGCTGTGAAGGATGAGAAGGAGGGGGAGCTCCCAGCGCTGTAGGGTAGTTCGTCGATGGTGTTTGGGAAGCAGGCGCTGGAGGATGAGGAGGTTGTTGATTATTATGATAAGGAGTCAGAGTGTTAAGTGGTTCCTTTTTAGATGGCGTCTTGGTAGGTACAGATGGAGGGGGAGCCAATTTCGTAGCTGAAGACTGCTGTGTACCTTGATCGTTTTGGCCCTTTTCACCTCTTTTATGGAGCTTGAGCAGTCTATTGGATACCAGATCATCGCTGTCCGTGCCATCGTCTATTTCTTCGTGATCAGGGGATTGCCTCTGGTTCTCTGCTTGTGGAGTTTTGCTTTGGTCGTTCTCTTTGCTGGTGCTAGTTTCATCAGCTGAATCGGCAGGTAGCTTAAGCATACCAGATGTAATTCTTCTGCCAGAAGTAGATGTAGGAGAAGGTTTCTTCTGAGGTATTATCTTGGACCCAGGAGTTTGATGCTGTGTTGGAGGAGGCAATAACACTGGAGATTTGCTGGATGCTGACTCAGGGACAGAACCACCAGAAACCGATTTTTCAGCAGCCTCAGCAGGAGATTCCTGACGGATTCCCCAAATGGTTCGAGATTTCTTCAACAAACGAGAATCATTAAGTTCAGTCGAGTCCGCACGTCTTTTCGAAGCATTGCTTTCGTCCGCTCCCGTGGTGGTGATATCAGGAAGAATCATAGATGTCTCTCTCGAGTAAGTCGGTAGTAAGTTATCAACAAGCACACGAACCACGTCTCCAGACACAAACACGTCTTCAGCAGCAAAGTCAGGGTCCAAGTCACATCGGTCATTATCTTGGATCCCTTCGATCTGCAATTTATCAGCCTCTGGATAAAGCTTATTATATCTTTTTATAAGAGCATCGCACACTTGCCCCACAGAGCTCTCTGGATCGGTGAGATGTAGGAATTTTTTGAAACATGCTATGCTGGTCGTAGGCATTTCAGCCAGTGCCACTGGTATAAGCACCACCTGTAGTTTAAGCTTCATGGTAGCAAGGCGATGTAGTTTGTTATTTATTGTTAGAGAGCTTTTGAAATGTTCCTACTTCGCGATGTTGAACCAGTATGTTGCACCCGTACCGCAGTTAGGGTCAGAGGGCTAGGGAAGAGGTGGTTAAGGCAACCATTGAAGGAGAAGAAGTAGATGATGATTAAGTGAAGCTGATGATTATTGGTTCTTGTTTGGTGTGCTGAGGTTTGGGTGGAACTCAGGTTTTTTTGACAATACTGCAAGTCTCTATGTATACACCTTCACAGAGGTATCGAAGAGGTGTGGATGGGAGTTGACCATGGTGGTTCTTATCGTAGAAATAGAAAAGATCATTTTAACCTTTTTATGCAATTGAATATTTTTTGAATAAAGGTGTTTTTGAACTGTCTCAATGCCTATGGATGACCCAGGATGGTTCTCATTGCTTGATAGCAACACTATACTATTCCTTCTCGCTGCGACGAAAGTATGGATCATCGTAGAGCTTTTCACGAGCTGCTTTATTATCTTTCTTCGCAAACAACTTGGCTTCGAGCTCTTCATATTCACCTTCTGGTTCCTCAAATATTCTTTCGCCAATCCGGTGTCCACCTTTCCATACTAGAATTTCTCCATCCATGGTACCACAGAAGTACTTCACCGAATATGGACCAGCATATACCATTGATGCTGTACGAGTTGCATTGGCATGAGAACTTCTTTGGAGTCGTTTAACAAGCTTACCGTCTGCAGCCCGGAATACCAATACATCACCATTATCAGACGGGAATAATAGATGCTGGACTTCTGTTTCATTCCTTGGACTGAGCATTAAAGGAAGCGACTGGAGGTACTTATTTCTCGTCAATGGTCCATAGTTCACCAATTTGTTAAGAGGAGGTGCTCTGGTGGATACCATATCCCAGACGCGTACCTTATCGTCATTTCCAGCAGTGTATAAGGTTGTTCCAAGTTCGTCCCAAAGAACAGCGTTCACAGGACCAGCGTGAGCCTTGACTGCTTCAGATTTGAGATTGAGCCAGTCAGTTTGCAAATCCCTTTCGTTAGTTTTCGTCAGATCAAGGCGACATAGGCAACTATCGCTTCTTCGTATATCCCAGACTTTTGCCTCGCCGTCGTAACCACCCAGGGCAAGTAGGTATGGATAGTTCGGATGCCAATCTACAGCCAATGTCTTTCCCTTGTGGCCTGGTAATGTATGTGCACTAGAGCCTGCTCTTAGATCTAGTAGTCTGATGAACGGCTGATCACTCGCCACAGCAATCGTAGCCTGAGCTGAAAAGTCGTTCTGTTTACTTGCACTAATGGCAATTGAGTAAACTCGACTCGTCAAGTCGAACGTATGGGCCACTTCAAGGTTATTCGTATCCCATATCTTAACCGTATGGTCAAAAGAAGCCGTAGTGAAAAGGCCCGTATCAAACGGCCACCATTTTACTGCAGAGATACCATATTCATGGACGGCTTTCCTCGGTATCACGGCCAACGTCCTATACTCTCCAGCTACCTCTCCTTCCTCTTCATCCTCAGGACTAAGGTCCCAAAGCTTAAGTGAAGAGTCAGCACATCCACTTAGCAAGTACCTATAATCAGAATTTTCCAAAGCTAAACTGTTCACGGCAGCGCCTCCATGGCAGTTTGTAGGAAACGTCTTGTCTTCAGTATCTACCTGTCGTAGACTGCTGTATAACGCTTCAGTCACAGTGGTAAGGAACTCATGTGGAGTTATCCGACCACATTGGCGATCTAGAATGAGCGATTGCATTCAGCTAGAAATCAGCCAGTGGTTTTTTGTATGTACAAGTGCAATTGAAGGAACGACAGTGTGTACCTGAGTACTGGGGTAGAACAGTAAGTGTATCTGGTTGCTGCATCGCGAAAGTACAGTAGATTTCGCAGCCATATCGTAGTGGAGTGATGAGCTGATAGAGGTAGGTGGTTGTGGAGAAAAGGGGTAATTAGTGGATTGTCATTTACTGGATAAAGAATTGTATTCTATTTTTGAAATAATTGTATATCTTTGTTCTTTCTGATTTTGTTGGTTTTTGGTATGGACCTTATTGAGAGCATGGACTGATACTGAGACAACTAGGAACCAATTCAAGCCAAGAGTAATACTATTTTCTGGGCTGGAATTCTAGTATCCCACAGTTTGCTCTTCGACTTGACTACAAGATGTGTTTACCTAAATATTAGGCAAGATATTACTGTATCTCCATAGTATCGGTACCTTACCTGTGACTCCGAAACGTCAACTGAGTCATGTTGCAGCCAAATATCTAAAGATACACTGCAACTTCCACTCGGACATTTTAGTCCTTTCCATTTAATTTCAACTCCTTTCAATGAAAATCATCGTAATCATCATATTCTTTTGCTTAATCTGTACCTACTTCTCCATCATAACCACTACATTCTTAGGCGGACCACTTTTGTATGCGCATCGCATTTTGTAGCCATTCCATGGTAACCAACATTTCACCAATAAGGCCCCAAAAGACGATAAGAATATGAATTTAGTAGCCACTTCGAACCTTAAAAAGCCAAACTCTTTCTTTTCAGAAGCCTCCACGCCTGGTGACTAACCGTTGGAGGGCCCCTCCCGTATGTCGTGTCCTACCCGCGACATGGTTGAAAAAAAAAAGTCCAAGTTTCAAACTCCCTTATAGACTGACTCAACCATGTTGGATATTAACGCATTTTTGGCTGAAAAGGGCGGTGAACCAGAGAAGATCAAGGCTTCTCAGAAGAAGAGAGGTGCTTCTGTTGAACTCGTCGACGAGATCATCGCTGACTACAAGAACTGGACCAAAATCAGATTTGACTTGGATGCATTGAACAAGAAGTTGAACGCTTTGCAGAAACTGATTGGCCAGAAGTTCAAGGCTAAGGAAGACGCTTCTGAGCTCTTGGCCCAAAAGGACCAGTTGACCAACGAGAAGAAGGAACTTACTGAGACTGAGCAGAAGGCTGACGCGGACTTGAGATTCAAGGTCAACCAGGTTGGTAACATTGTCCACGACAGTGTTGTTGACTCTATGGATGAGGAGAACAACGAGATCGTCAGAACCTGGAAGCCAGAGGGTTTGTCTGAGATTGGCCAGGTTGCTGCTGCCACTAACGCTCCAGCTAACTTGTCCCATCACGAGATTCTCTTGAGATTGGACGGTTACGACCCAGAGAGAGGTGTCAAGATTGTTGGTCACCGTGGTTACTTCTTGAGACAGTGGGGTGTCTTCTTGAACCAGGCATTGATCAACTACGGTTTGTCTTTCCTTTACGGTAAGGGTTACCTCCCATTGCAGGCTCCAGTGATGATGAACAAGGAAGTCATGGCCAAGACCGCTCAGTTGTCTCAGTTCGACGAGGAATTGTACAAGGTCATGGACGGTGAGGACGAGAAGTACTTGATCGCCACTTCCGAACAGCCAATCTCTGCTTACCACTCTAACGAATGGTTCGAGAGTCCTGCTGAGCAGTTGCCAATTAGATACGCTGGTTACTCTTCTTGTTTCAGAAGAGAGGCTGGTTCTCACGGTAAGGATGCCTGGGGTATTTTCAGAGTGCATGCTTTCGAGAAGATCGAGCAGTTCGTTTTGACCGAGCCAGAGAAGTCCTGGGAGGAGTTTGACAGAATGATCGGTGCTTCTGAAGACTTCTACCAGTCGCTTGGCTTGCCATACAGAGTCGTTGGTATTGTGTCTGGTGAATTGAACAACGCCGCCGCCAAGAAGTTTGACTTGGAGGCCTGGTTCCCATTCCAGAAGGAGTACAAGGAGTTGGTGTCTTGTTCCAACTGTACCGACTACCAGTCTAGAAACTTGGAGATCAGATGTGGTATCAAGCAGCAGAACCAGAGTGAAAAGAAGTACGTGCACTGCTTGAACTCCACCTTGTCTGCTACGCAGAGAGCTTTGTGCTGTATTCTTGAAAACTACCAGAAGGAAGATGGATTGGTTGTGCCCGAGGTGTTGAGAAAGTACATCCCAGGCGAGCCAGACTTCATCCCATACTCCAAGGAGTTGCCTAAGAACAGCACATCTAAGAAGAGAAACTAAGCACATCGCATGCTACATGGACGTATATAGAGCATCACATCACGAACATGACCCGCTCTTGCAGTACAGTAGGACCTGACCTTTTCATAGAATCTATTGTTGGGGACAAGGGCGTAGCCCGCCTGACATAGGAATACAAACATTTGAAGTGGTATTTCAACTTTTCATCGTAAGCGTTTTTTTTTTCTTTTTCTTTCATAATACAATCTAGTAGATCAATGCTTAACCCAAGCATTGTTCAGCACAGCAGCAGCAAAGAATAGCAGCGAGACAACCGCAACAAGCAGCACAACATCCACCGCCACCGCCCTTCTGAGGAGGTTGCTGAACATACATTGGCTGCTGTTGCTGCTGGTAGTAGCCTCCACCACCTTGTGGAGGACCCTGGTTATAGTAACCACCACCGCCCTGTGGTGGACCTTGATTATAGTAGCCGCCGCCGCCTTGAGGAGGACCGTAAGACTAGCTGGTTAGTATATCAATTGACCAAATCATCCCAAAACTCACATACCATGTTGATGAGATACAGAAAAAAAGAGAGTGGTTGCCAGTTGTTTATATATCTCCAGCCAAGGAAGTAGTGCGGCAAGCAACGAATTCCGAGGGCACCTTTTTTCCTCAGCCCGTCTGATCACCAGTCAGGAAATGACATATGCATAGAAGAGTGAGCAAAAAGGCACCAATGGGTGCGAGACGAGGGGAACCCACCTTCTTCCTCCCCAAGCCCTCTTTGTCTTTTCACTAAACCTTCTTCCTCTTATTCACCTATCTTTCTACTTTTCCCAACGGCTCTTCCTGTATTGGCTCAGCCCCATGATCGCAGAATGTACATAGCGCAGCGGTTGTTTGAGATTGGACGCTTGCACTGCCGGCTATCGACAAGAGGCGCTTGATTCGATGACTGGTGCTGAAAATAGAAACGGCTGCGGAAAATGTGAGAATAATGGGGAGGCAGAGTGTGTTGTGTGTCATTGTGACGTGTTTGGCCGTTGCCGTGGGTCCAGTTATGGCTGGTTTGTAGAGGAACGGTTGATCTTTTGCTCTGGCTTGTGTCTCATATGGGCACTTAGTTTTGTGGGGGTAGTTACACAAATGGAGTAAGGCAGGTGGCTTGGGAGTTAAAGGTTTATGACCGTCGGGTTGGGAAGTATAAGTCCGGGAAGGCTGTTTTCTGGCATGTTTTGCATGGGTTGCACGTTGAACGTTGGATGGTTACGGTCCCTGGATGGTCATGTTGACCAAGCGTGTTTTCATGTGAGGCAGGGTTATGTAGGGTTGGGGCTTTGTGTGAGTGTCGCTTAACGAAAAAAGCCATCGCTTATGGAAGGAGTGGTCATGGAGGTAAATGTGGTGGAGGGAGGGAATTAGAGGTGGTTTGAGGGAGGAGGTAGTGATTTAGGGTTATATTTGGGCCTTGGTGGTGGAACTGGTGCTGGTGGGCTATGTCTTGGACAGGTGAGAGGTTGATAAAATGAACCAGAGAACAAAAAAAAAAAAAAAAAAAAAAAAAAAGAAAACCACAGATCCCCAAGCCAAGTCAACTCTTCACCCTAAATCACCTCCTTACCTTCATGGCATCTGTTTGTTGAACTATAGTGTCTGCCTTCCCTTGACTGGGGTACGACATTTTGCAGCAAGTGGGTTCGCATCTTATCTGCTCTTCTCACTAACTGCTTGATCCACCATGGACTTCAACTATGCCCCTCCACCACCAGGCAAACGAGCCAGGGCTGGTGAAAACCCTCTGAATGTAAAGAAACAAAAGTTCGCCTCGGCTTTGGCTGATCTCCCGACACATCTACCGAACCAGGTGAGTGCTCCATCGAGGCCATCGCCAAAGCTGCAAGAACCACAGGTGCAAGAAGAACCTTCAGATTCGGCCCCAGACCGTCCACATGTTCCTGGTGAACCAATATTTATTGAGGGAACAAGTATTGTTCTTCAAACTGACGAGGATATCGCTAAATGGATCGAGGAGAGGAAGAAGAACTGGCCTACCAGGAAGAACGTTGAAGCTAAGCTTAAGAACCAACAGGAGAAGAACGAAACTGCCAAACCTGAACAAAAGGGACCCAGGAAACTTAATGTCTGTAAGTTCTTTGCCAGGAACAGAAAGTGCAGATTTGGTAACAAGTGCAAGAATCTCCATGAAGCATCTAATCATCCACAATCGAACAATAACTCAAGGGTGAAAGTCATCAATGGCCTTGAAGTGGCTGTCCCTCAGCGTTATAAGAACGATCCAGCCTCCAATAACAAGTCTTTCTATAAGAAGCTTGTTCAAAGAGACCTTTACGAGCATGAGAACAATAAGGTTCTCGATTTCCTTCTATACTTGGATTCCCAAGGAAAAATCAACCACGACGTTAACGCCTAGCATACATGTATCATAATTCCATAGCCTGCATTGCCTAACCTATATATCCGTAGAACTTTTATCCTTAAATCATCTCCGTGACTGGAGTCTTTTCCTCTTGTAACTTCTTGGTGCAATCTAACATGATAGAGCATTGCTTGCCGATCTCTGCGAGCTTTCCAATGATGATTTCATTACCCTTTCCAAATCCATAGATAGAATATGGCAATCCGACCTCTTTGCAGAAATCAAGAACGTATGGCTGTGCCTTTCTAAGATTATGTCTAGGCAAACGTGGAAACAAGTGGTGAATCGCTTGGAACTGGAGGCCACCATGCAAAAAGTCGAGCCAAGCGGGACAGTCGACATCCATAGTCGTTCTCAATTGTCTGGAAGCAAAGGACTCGCTTACACCCAAATCAGCAGTGGACATGGCGAAATGGGAAAGCGTGATCTGGACATGAACAAGCATAGTACACATGTGAGATACCAACACGTACCAAGTCTTGTTCCATCCGCCTTCGACATGGTGACCGACCACAACATAGAAAAACCAGTAGAAAAAGAATGACAATCCAGCCAATTCAAACCACCTAAACCACGCAGCCGATCCACGACGTGGGCCCTCGCCCATCAAGACATGGGTCCACAGCAATCTGTACAAATTGAAGCGGCCGAAGGCCAAGATTGGATAATAAAGGTATTCTTGCAATGGGATGGTCTTGCGAGCGATAGCATCGAACCACAAGAACTTATCGTAGTACGTCGAGTAAACATTATCAAACAACCTAACACTGACGGCAAAGAAAGGTAAGTGCTGGATATCTGGGTCGTGAACTGGATCGTTGGTAATAAGGTGGTGGACATTATGGTTACGTTTCCACCACCCGAGACTGAGACCACCGAACCATGAGGCGATAAGCATACCAAAAGTATTGTCGAACTGGTAGTTATGAGTTATTGAGACGTGGCCAGCATCGTGTGCAATAAACGTCATTTGGTGCCATGCCATAGCGATAAGCACAGCACTGATAGTGTAGTAGCCCAAGTGAAGGAACGAGAATGAATATAAAGCAAGAGAACCGATCTTGACGAGTTCACGGATATAGTTGCCGTACTCACATTGATACAAGCCAGCCTTGATCACCTTGGCGTGCAAAGCGTTATACTTGTCTCTCAAGTTGGTCTGAGTACCATAATCCAATGCTGGAAGAGAGAGCATGTCACGACGTGAAAGTTCGTTATCATAGCTGTTTAAAGTTTCTTTTGGATCAACAATAATCAGTTTATGGTCCACCGGAAAAACTTTATCGACATTAGCTGGCGATACAACCTCGACATTCTGTGGGACAACTGGAGACACCTTCTGAGGAGGGTAACCGCTCTTATAGTAATTCTCAGATAAACCAGGGTCTTCAACGTCCATATCAGAAGAGCTAGCACTGGAAATCTCGGCACTTGACGAAGATTCCTCCTTTCCAGATGCGTCCAAGAGGTCTCCTAGCTTCCCATCACGGTGTACTTTAATACCCTCTTTATAAACAGCGCCCTGAATTGGCGGCAAGATATTTTTCCAAGGATAATTAATACGCCCTATTTTCCACTTGTGAAATACAGCGATCGCCTCGGGACCGTGGTATGCCAACATCTCGTCGGTAGCGTCTCTGCCTACCATATGGAAAACAGCCTTGTCTCCTCCAGGATGGTAAGGAAGCCAAGGCGTAAGATTAAGCACATAATCTTTATATATGACTATGGCTTTGCCTTGGGCGATGAGATTCTGGACCTGTTGAGGCAGAAGAATCTTATCTGGCATGGTGATATGGGAAGAACGTGGGAGTTGGTTTTTTGCAATTTGGACCCCTTCGCGATTTGTGGGTTGATGTTCTACATACGGTAAGGTTCCAATCAGAATGAGGCTGGATGTAAGGCACAGCCCTGATAACGGTTTACGGAAAAAAAAAATAAATAGATAGGGTTTTAAAAATATTAATTAATGCCAATATAGGCGGTTTGATTAAGATATGCTGGATGTGAGGTGGAACACAGGAGCCTCGGGTTTGTGTAGGCTCTGCAGAATGCTTATCGCTGGCCTTCCACGAACAGAAGGGCTTCAGATCTTTCGATTCCAGTGATGCTGCTGACCTTGTCTGCAAAAGAAACACCGTAAAAGTTACCGGCGGCTTGAAGCATTTCAGGTCTGAAAGTGGTACAGATGAATTGGGCATCTTGCGCTAACGACTTGATCATGTTGGCCACAGCAGTACGGTATTGTGTGTCCAAGTTGGCATCAATCTCGTCAAACAAGTAGAATGGAGCTGGATCGCATCTCTGGATAGCGAGGATGAGTGCTATGGCACAAAGAGACTTCTGGCCACCGGATAACTGCTCAATGTGTTGTTGTTCGTCGCTCTTGGAGTTGAACGAGACAGTAAGCGACACACCATTGTAGAGATCTGGAGATTGGTCGTCTGTAACACCCTCTTTCCGAAGTAATACCAATTCACCGGCACCATTAGGGACAAGTTTCTCGAAGATCTCGTGGAAACTCTTCGAGACTTGGCGGAAACAGTTCATGATGGCATGGTGCTTCTGCTGGCTCAAGGACTCAATAAGCTTCTCAATAGATTCCTTAGATCTCACCAACTCGTCTTTTCTGGTAACAAGATCTTCCTGTTCTCTCTTGAACGTATTGAACTGTTCCATCGCCTTCTTGTTGATATGAGCATACTTCTTAAGCTCGCCGTTCACCGACGTGAGCTCTGCGAGAAGGTCGTCCAGCGTACGTTCTTCAAACTTGTTAGCTTCGAATGCTTCTTCGGGCAAGACACCAAGGTTACCCACCTTAGCCTGAAGTTCCTTTCTTCTAGCGTCGAGAATGGATCTCTTCGATTGGATGTTCTCAGTCTTCTTGCTTAATTTCTCGAGGCGCTTTACCAGTGAAGCTTGCTCTTTGTTAGCGTCATCAAGTTTCTTCTGGTTATCCGTCATCTTAGTATTAAGTTTCTCCAACTCTTTATTTGTATTGTCGCAGTTACGCTTGACGGCGGAAACCTTTGAGCGCAATGAACCAAGCTCCTTTTGCAATGTAGTAAGCTCGATACTTCTTTCACGTTCGCTGAATTCATTAAATTCAACAGACAAGTGTGAGTTCCATTGAACACATTCTGCTTCCAACTTGGCAATCTCAGTTTCCTTCAAGGACACCTCGGAGACGATAGTATCAAGACGGCCTTCGCATTTCTCGAGCTCTTGATTGATATCAGCAAGCTTTTGCATTTCAGCTTCGCTCAATTGGACCGTGAAATCAGAGGCAAGCTCATCAGTAAATTGGACCTTTTTCGCTTCAATGGAACGCAACGTGTTAGCAACATTCGATGCATCTCTGTTAGCAGTCAAGAGCTTCTTCTCGATCATGAACTTGTTGTTGAGACGCTGACTCAACTCTGCCTTTCGTCTCTCGCGATCTAATTTCATGGTATTCAATTCGTTAAGTTGTTCATCGAGTTTGACATTCGTTTCTGATAGTTCCTTATCCACATCCAGTAAGTTTCCAGCACACACCTTAATAGCCTCCAGTAACCTCTTAAGTTCATTTCTCTTCTTTGTTTGAATTCTGAGCGCATCGAGTCTGGAGTTTTTATACTCTCTAAAACCACCAGTCATAACACCTTGGTTACTGGCACGATCACCATCTAATGTAATGGCAGTAAGCTTATGCATCCGTGCGAGCTCAGCACCACGGTGAAGATCTTTGCAAACAATTGCTCTACCGAAAACATGCTCAATAGCTTTTCCAACCAAGTCTTCATCATGTCTGATCTTCTTGATAAGCGGAATGAACTCCTGCTCTTCCTGGTCAGGGAATGAAATTGGTGGAGTGTAGATTCTGTTCAAAGGCATAAAAGTCACCCTTCCTTTCTTAAGTCTTTGCAACTCCTTCATGATGATCAGCGCTGTCTCATCGTTGTCAACGACTACATGGAACAAGGAGGTACCGGCGATGACTTCCACTGCAGTCTTATACTTGTCAGATACAACGAAAAGGTCTGAAAGTGGACCATAAACAGATCCCTGTAAGTTGAGACGTTCTGTGATGTTCTGCACTTCCTTTAAACCTTCCGCCTGAGAGCGTGCCATTGTCTGACTCACCTTATGGTTGGCATCGGAAAGTTCCAATTCGGTTGCCTCGTGAAGAGATCGAAGTTTGATATCTTCTCTCCAAAGCGCTTTCCTTTTCTCGGTAAGCTCGGCAACATGGCCCTTGGTTTTGCTGACTTCAGCATCTATGTTTTTGTCGGCCATCTGCGATGCTCCTTGATCTGACTTTACTCTGCTCTCTTTGACTAGCTTTTTGACGTCAGTAAACTGTGTTTCAAGTTCAGAGTATTCTTCTAACGCCTTCTCGTGTTCAGCACGTTTAGTCTCGAGCAAATCATTCAATCCCGTTAACTGCTCCTTGAGCCAATTATCTCTGCCATCTTTATCTGAGAAACTTTGGAATCTGCTTTGTTTAGAGTAGAGAGCCGATTGTTTGGCTCCAAGTTTGTTGATCTCTTCCTTGAGGCGAGTCTCTTCCTCGAGAAGCTTATTTAACTGCGGTCTGAGCTCGCTGTTGATCTTCTCTTCGTGAGCTTGGAGGAGAGCACTAAATTTCTCACGTTTCTGAGCGTGTTCTTGTGCTTCGCTTTGAGCATTTCCAAGACTAGCCTCGAGCTCTTTTTCATTGGCCTCCTTCACACCAATCTCCTGAAGAATGCGATAGTAGTCGGAATCAGCCTGCTGTTTCTCAAGGGTCGCTAAGGTAATGGAATGACGGATGCTCTTCATTTTGCCCAGAAGGTCCTCGCACAATTTCTCGCGTTTCTCGATATCCTCAAGGTCTTTCCTCGTCTGATGTAACAAGGCATCGTAGGATTCCTCGAGGGTTTCGTTTTGGGTATTAAGGTTGGTCAATTCACGATCGAACAAGTGGAACTCAAGCACTTTCCTGTTGCTTTCAAACGACTGGAAATCCTTCAAATCATTCAGCTCGATGGCCAAGTCAGCCAACTTATTATCAAGCCTCTCCATGGCCTCAATAATACGCTGCATTTTCAAATCTGAGTTGGACATCTCGCGTGAAGATTCCTTAAGCTTGGTCTCGAACACTTTAGCGCCACTGACATCCTTCAACAAGTTCAATCTCTCTGAATCCCTCGAATTCGTTATCGACGTGATTCTGCCCTGAGGAACAATATAGTACGGGTTCAGTCTGGAGAAGCCAGCACTCTCTAGCAAGTTCATAACATCAGACCTCGTGACAAGCTTTCCATCAAGCGAATAGTCATCTTTCTTCAACCCAATGGTTCTTCTGATTGCAACCTCATCATGAGGAAGAGGAAACCTCTTATCACTATTATCAAAAAGAATCTCCACAAATGCTGACATCACCGTTCCAGAGCCTTCATGAATGAGCCCCTGACGCTCCTCCCTCGTCATATGTGTATACGCATCAGAAAGCACGAACCTGATGGCAGCGAAGAAGTTGGATTTACCCGACCCGTTTCTGCCCACCACAACGTTGAATTCGGGCGACAAGTCGTCCACCACCGTGGTTGCCTTGAAGGTTTTGAAACCTTGCACTGTGATTTTTTTAATGTGCATGGAAGTGGTTCTTTGGTGGAGTAGTTCAAGTTTTGTTGGTGTTTGTTGACGCGAAAACACGTCTAGTTGATCCCGCGCATAACAGTCCTGGGATGATTTGTATGGGAGAGGTGGACATCGTTGGTGACAAGGAAGGGGAGGATAAGAAAAACCAAGGGGGTGACTCTGATGTCTCTTGATGTTCCTGGTTGTTATTTATGGGTTTTTGTAAAAATTATTGGGCGTTTTTTACTTCCTTCTTGTATGTTTACATGTCTTATGAGTCTACTGAAAAATAGCAAAATGGCTGCGAAACTGTAGTTTTACGTGTTTTTCATGAACAGTAAGTGATATTTCATTGACTTCAAATTTCAAGAGTATTGAAATTGTAAAATTTGTTTTAAAAATTTGAAAACAATTCATAAATTGGTTTCCAAGATTACGAATGTCATTTCACTAGTCAGATTATATTCATCAAATTACATAATATTACAATGAGAAGCCTCCCTGATGGACATTACCCCAGCGGTCCTTTTTGCTGCCTAAGTTTGAGCCTGGGCTCCATGGCTTGTCTGACAGGCTGTAAGACGTTGGAGGCAAGCTGAAGGGGAAACGCACTGGCTCCTTGCCGGCATTTTCCAAAGTATCTCTCTTGTAAGAAGCAACAAGAGGCTTCTCTTTTCGGGGTATTAAAATACTAAGCTCGTAGCTTCCAACCTCGTACGTTTCCCCGTTCGTACGTTGCACCGGCAGACCCCAGGCCTGTTTTGAAAGATTATGGCTCCCTATGAGGACCCACTTAAGTGATTTCCAGCCGTCTGCGTTATCCACAGCATAGTACTTGACATGAGGCGGAACTAACTCACGACCTGTTTTAGTTTCACCATAATTCCACTTCCGCAAGTAAGGGCGTAAGTTTTGCTCGTATTGTGCACGATGTGTTGCAGTATCTTCATACTTGAAGTGTAAAGCGGACCCACTCATATACCCAAAGTTACTGTGTCTCACGTCTTCAACAGTTGGGAAAAGTATATGCGGCCTATAGCTGTAGTCCTCTTGGTGCTCCTCGAAGGAGTAAGCACCCGGAGCAAGATCTTTCTTCCATTCTTTGAAGAAAAGTGGGCATAGTAAATGACTGAATACCGAAGCAGTCTGTCCTTTAGTACTTCTGAAAGGGTACGCCATCGAGGTAACCTGCGCCAAGACGTTATGCGTACCTTTATTCGAATCAATTAAAAGGTCGTTCCTTTCAAGTGCTTGTCTGAGTTTTCCAAAACCATAAACATCACCCCTTTCAATATCACTCATTTTGTATGTTCCTGGAGCGGAAGCAACAAGCGCCACTTTAATGTCACTGTAATCAAGATGATCAAGCTTTTTGAGCAAGGTGTTTGTCACCTCCTGTTTGTAAGAAGCCAAGTAGCGCATTAAATCCAATCTGAATTGCTTTCCAGTGAGGCCGGTGGTTTTTCCAGGATATAGCTTTCCCGATCTCCAACAAGCTTGCGTGAGCCCATTGAAGTCAAGTTGAGTGATGTTAGCAGTCATGATAACAATCTCAACGGCACCAGCATTAAAGAAGTTGATCATCATTTTAGTGTGATGGGAGGCAAAACGGTTGGGAAGATTGGCGATAATTTCCTCTATGTTACACTTTTTCTCAATATCCTTACGCCTGGGATGGGAAGATAAGAATGGGGTTCCTGTGACAAACGTAAGCTTCCGGCGTTTCTTGAGAAACTCAGGATGAAGGAAGTTAATGAAGTAGTCGATATCAACATTAAAATTAAACTGGACTGTTTCCGCCAAATCCTCAGCGCCAATGAGTTCGTGGAAACTCACGGTATCCACGTTAATACTATGGTCTGGCGTCAGCGAGGTAAGTTCATGACTGAAGTTAGAAAGAAGCTGAATTTGGGAACGAGGGCCTGCCGAGCTTGTGTGAGGAATATTTCTCACTTCTTCTTCGCCATCATTGTCGCTATCACTGCCGATTTCTATCACTGCAGGGCTCTCCATTATATCGTCCTCAGATTCACTAATATTAGATTCATCGACATTAATAGGGTCCTCCGGGTTTGAGTTTTCGGCCTTTATGCTTCTGGACAGACCACGGGTCTTGGTACGACCAGACCTGGGCTTATATTCTGGTTTGACATCATTTTCGTCTTCAAAACTCGACTCTGGGTCAGACTCAGGCTGCGCCGAGCCATCTTCAATCTTAGAAGCGTCAGATCCGGGGGGTTCCTGTGAATCTTGATGTTCCTCTTTCTTAATATCACCATTTTTGTCTTCTTTCGAGTCAGCTTCCTCCTTCTTCTTGGTTGCCCTACTCTTCTTCGGAGTTTTATTCACTAGACCGTTCAGGGAAGCACGACGTTTACGCAACTGGCGAGGCAGCAGTTCCTTTTCGTCCAAGAAAGTGATATCCTCCGAAGCCGAATCCGAAGCCACTGGCTCGTCTGCCGCAGCTTTCTCTTCATCTTCCTTCTCGGAGTCCACTTCGGGGGTTTCATTCTTCCCCGAAGCCTTCTTCGAAGGCTTCTTGTCCACATCGTCCAATTCCGGCTTTTTAATCTTCTTCCTTTCCAGCTTCTTAGCCTTCTTTCCAGAATCATTCTCCAGCTTCTCCGCCTTCTCCAGGCTCTCCAGGTTCTTCCCCTTAGCCCTATCACCTCTCGTACGACGTTCCATTTTAAGCATAGTCTCGACAAACCGTTCAACCTCAGGCGAACTCAGATCACGAACACTCGCTTTAACCTCCTCAATGTCGTCACCCACCTCTTCCACATCAGAAAGGTCAATCGCATCTGTGGGAGACCCACCAGGCTCCTTCCCCAGAACTGCACGAGTATAATGTTTTGCCATAATAGGAACAAACTAGCAATTGACACAAATACACCTTGAGTTATCCACACCTGCTTTACAACAAAAAAGGTCTTTTGTTCTTCTTCAAACTATAGCACCCAGGCAATGCTTGTTTGGTCTTGTTGTTTTTAATCTTACTCCACAAGCGCGGTTTCAGATCCCGCAAGCAGCCGCACCCTTCACTATCGCACTACATATTCTTCAGCTGCTGCTGCGACTGGTTCGGTTACTACTTCTACCGAGACTGGAGTACCATCCATTGACATACAAAGATACATTAAAAGTACATAAAAGAGGTTTAAAAAGTTACTAGAGTTTGATTTCACCATGACTGTCCTGCTCAATTACAATAGTGGCGAGATTGTGTCGCTGCCTTCGGTCATTGTCTCTGGAAGGACCACAGCCCACGTACAGAGTGGCCTTGTTCAGTTTGTGAATAACGCCAATAAGGTGTTTCCACCGCAGTTCTTTGAGGTGAATAATGGCCAGTTTAAGGCGTTTGTTCATGTTTCGCCTGGTGAAGAGAACAATTTCGAGATCCATATCCTTGATCGGGCCCATTTGGATGGCAGTGGGTTCCCTGTGAACCACCAGAATGTGGTTGATTCAGGGAAGTTGACCTTGTTTTTCAATCCTTTGCCCCAGAATAAGCCTGTGCACTTGTGTATTATTTTGGGAAGAGACTCAAATGGGACGTATGATATGCCCAAGTATAAGACAAACCAGGGCCAGTATGCTAACTTGGATACTGGCATTCAAAGACTTAAAGTTGCTGCTAGAATGATGCAGGCGTTTACTCAGGATGAGTTTCACCGGCTTGGACTCAGCAATAGATCGTTTCAGTTTGTGGAGGAGACGGTGCTGCACCAGGGGATCTTTGGCTACAACGTGGAATCGCCAACTCCACATCAAGAAGTGAAAGTTCACGTTTTACGGTCTCCAAAGACGGTTAGTGAACTCAGAAACCGTGACATTGCACAGCAGGTTTCAGATGCTAAGGATAAGGGCTGGTTGTTTAACCATGCCATCGATTTGATCAGGAACTCTCCAGATCTTATTGGTCCCTATAAGCAAAATAACACAGCTATTCAGTGTGCTGTTCTCTACATGGACTCTACATGGAACAAAAAGTTTGTTACTACACATGCTGCTTTAGGTGGCGGAACAGGAGACGTCAAGCTAGCAATCTTTGGTTCCCATGGACTTCATTCTTACCCTTTCACCTTCCCACAAATCTCAACCACGCTTACTGACGGCACAAAACTTTCCATTAACGAAGTCGCCAATGATGCGAACCAGTGTGGAACGACTTGGGAGTGCCATAACATTTGCTTGGGTGCTTTTATGCACGAGATTGGCCATCTGTTTGGCCTGCCTCATCAAACAGACGGTGTCATGCTTCGTGATTACATTTGGTGGAACCGTTGTTTTGTCACTCGTGAAGTGAGGTGTATTAGAGACGGATCGAATGGAAGAATCATCAACCCAGATGGTCTGTGGCCCAGAGAATGCCACTGGAACATTCGTGACCTCATTCGTTACTTCTACCACGATTCGTTTACAATCCCAATTGACGATTCTGACCCTTCGTTCCCAAAAAGTTACAACACCACCATGAAGCCAGATAACCTGTATCAGAATGGTGAAGTGCCATTGCTGTACCCGGTTGGAGAGGGAAAGGTTAGCGTCAAGTCGGACGCCGGCATTTTCATGGTTGAGCTTGTTGATCAGGACTTGGCCCGTTTCCACACGACATATTATCCAAAATCATATGGCGGTCCTGGTCTCCAGCACGAAATTAACCTTGACTACAATCAATGTTTGAGAGACATTAGAAACCAAAAGGGAGACGCAAGCGCCAATTTCTCTGTCAGAGTACTTTCAGTAGCAGGCGACTTGTGGATCCCAGACTTTAAAAAACATTGCCATCTGGCAAACACCATCAAGAGCGACTTTGGCCTTGGCCGGGGCAACATCACAGGTATCAAAAGTGCCTTGCTCGGATCTGAAAAGGGAGAAATGAAATACATTGGCTTCGATGCCAAGGGTATTTACAAGGTAAGAGTGTACCATGGTGGAGCGTTAGATGGCTTTACAATCTTTTATAACAGCACCTCAGGACAAGAGGATAAGCCACCGGTGCCAGCCAAAAGCTCGGGCGGCTTGAATCGTTTTATGAACAAATTGAACATTCTGGACCAGAGACAATCTGGATCAGGTGGAGGTGAGGTCACACTAGGCAACAAGAAGTCACATTACACCGACTTTAACCTCCAGCAAGGCGAAACCGTGGAGAGATTCAGTTTCAGAAATGGCCAATGGTTGGATGCTATGAGGATCCACACGAACCAAGGCCGTGCATCTCCTATGTTGGGTAACGCTAGTGGAGGCCACTTGTCGTCGTTGTCAACACCTGGGCCTGAGTACCAGATCGTGGGTATGTATGGCTACACGAGTAGATGGATGGACGGGTTAGGCATTATTTACGCCAGGCTTAGTTAGATTACGGGTCGGAAACACGGTCTAGGACCTTATCCTTGGCCCTATTATACTCAATTGGATATTTTTTAGCTACTCCAAGCTTGCCATTGCCAAACAAGACCGACTTCTTAGAACCGTTCTTCAATGTCTCTATACGAGAGGTGATATTATCTAGGTCCCGCTCAAGCACTCCCAAACGGTTCCTGGCAATGTGATACTCGTACTGCTGCTTAAGCGACTCCAACTTCGAACAAAGCTGCTCGTTCACCTCGATAAGCTGCTGGTTCTTGTTGTTGATCCGTCCACTCAATTGCGCCTGCGCAACTAGAGACTTATCCAACTGTAACGACTCCATGGCATTCGTGATTGACTTTTCAAAGTAATCTGTATGATCAGCCATTGTTGTTGCTTGTCCATAGTGCTGTCGCAGCTCGTCATTAGAGATCATACCACTTAAAAGCTCCTCGTCACTGGTGATAAACTCGTCCTCAGACTCTTCATTAGTATCGCTCATATCCGGCTCAACCGTAGGAAACAGAGGCGACTCGGGAGCCTGATCCATCAGGCCAATCAGGATATCCGACCCAGAACTCATTGAGGACAATTAATAAATATTCTTCTTCCTCCTTCTTGTAGTAGTCTGGTGAAGCCAAAAGCAGTTGGTACTAGGAAGGTAGGTGCCTTTGGTGCAGGAGATTTGATAGTGAACAAGCTCACGAGAATAAGTTAGACGTTCTCAAACTCTGGAGAAAGTGAGAAAAAACATCACCACCACTAGAAACCCCAAACCAACAAAACTACCTTGTGGCACCAAATGTCTTCGTTTCAGATGCAGAGCTCTGAGATGCTTGCACGCCTCAAGCCGTTTGGGATCTCGTTTGAGAAATCCTTGAACGATCTTATCAAGGGTATTCGGGCCCACTTCAAAGAGTCCCCCGAGAGTCTCCGTGACTTCTTGGACAATGCAATCGAAGAGTGCAAGAACGAGTTGACCACTACTGATCTTGAGGTGAAGGCTACGGCTGTTTTGAAGCTTGCTTACTTGGAAATGTATGGCTTTGATATGAGCTGGTGCAATTTCCAGATCTTGGAGATCATGAGTTCTTCGAGGTTCCAGCAAAAAAGAATTGGGTACCTTGCGGCGATGCAATCGTTTAAGAACGAAAAGGACTTGCTTATATTGGCTACCAATCAGTTTAAAAAAGACTTGAGCTCCCATAACCACATTGAGATTGGTCTCGCGTTGAGTGGTATAGCCACCATAGTTACGCCGAACTTGGCCCAGGACATTGTGGATGATGTGTTGGTGAAACTTACGCATTCGAAGCCTTACATTCGTAAGAAGGCCGTGTTGGCGCTTTTCAAGATCTTCTTGCAGTATCCAGAGAGTCTAAGGTCCAGCTTGCCCAGGGTGATTGAGAAACTAGATGATGAAGACATTGCCGTCGTCAGCGCCACCATCACCGTGGTCTGTGAGATCTCTAAAAAGAACCCCAACATATTCATTGCATACTTGCCAAAGTTCTTCTCCATCCTCGAGGAGACACAGAACAATTGGCTCATTATCCGTATTCTCAAGCTCTTTCAAAGCTTGCTGAAGGTGGAGCCTAGAATGAAAAAGAGAATCCTTCCATCTATACTATCGCTCATGTCTAAAACAGAGGCAACCTCGTTGGTCTACGAAAGTATAAGTTGTATTGTTAACGGTGGAATGCTTTCGCCTACTTCATCAAGAGACAAGGAGATCGCCAAAGAATGCATTACGCATCTTATATCATTCTTTGCTAAGGGTGACGCAAACTTACGCTTTGTTGGTCTCATTGCTTTGATCAGCATCTTAAAGGTTTACCCTGAATTCATGCATAAGGTCAATGGTGTTTCTGGTTACGTGATGCATAGTTTGGAAGTCAAGGATACCATTGTGATGAAGAAGGCCCTTGAAATCTGCCAATATCTCGTCACCGAGGACAACATTCTTGAGCTAATTAGAGTGTTGCTTCTTCAGCTAGTTCCTGATGAGTCAAGTACGCATATCCCAGAAAGCTTGAAGCTAGAAATTGCATCTAAGATCTTGCAAATCGCCTCGAAGGATAACTACGCAAACATTCCAAACTTCAACTGGTATGTCACTGTTCTTAAGGATGTCGTGAACATGACCCTTCTACCAGTCGTTACCAAAGGATCTCCAAATGCAGCTCCTGCGTTGTCGAAACGTACACTGGACATTATTGCACGTAAGTTAGGTGCTGAATTCAAGACTGTTGCTACTAAGGTACCTTCACTTCGTCCCTACTTAATGAAGAATGTCGTTTATGAGTTCGTCAAGGACGAACGCACATTACAATACAGTCCTTTGCTAATGAGAGACATCTATTGGCTTATGGGTGAGTATGTCGGTGAACTTGGCAATACAGATGATGATTCAGATGAGGAAGACGATGATAATCAAGACTTTGCACTTGGATACAAGATCCAGATGTTAAACACCATCATTAACAGTTATGTCGATAAGAAACTTTCTGGTCCTACCCGTTTCCCAATTTCCCAACTATTGATACAACTTCCCAACCCCGAAGTACAGACCACTTTAATTCCCGCATTGGTCAAGCTTTACAGTGATTTGGTGACCGATTATATTTCCTACTATGATCAACTGGGAAAGATGCCGCTGCAACAGTACGGTCAATTGGCATACTTCCTTCTCAAAAGCATAAAGTTTTTGGAGAACTGGGAACAAAATAGCGACTATGAAGTACAAGAAAGAGCATTATCCTGGTTGGAGTTTTTACGTCTCAGTTTGGATGCCATGGGAGGCGAAAACTCTCCTTTGTTGAAAAAGCTCGAGGATGATGAACTTGTATTCTACAAGAAGAATCAACCAACCTCTTCAAATGAACTGTCACAGGAAGAAGAAAGCGATGAAGAGGAAGAAGCATCGTCAGATTCAGATGACTCATCTGATGAAGAAGTCTCACAGGAGGAGACACCTCTTGACGAAGACCAGGAGCAGGCTAATGGTAATTCAAACAATACTGATTTCGATGTTAACGAGACACACGAGGTTCCACATCTTTTGACCTCAGTATTACCGTCATTCTTCAAAGGCTACACGCTCAATCCCGTCGCTGCTTCTGCACAAAAGATGGTGGGTTTGCCGGATGATCTCGAGCTTGATGTCCCTATTAACACTCCACCTAGTTATTGCTTGATTGAAGATCAACAAATTGATATCTTCTACAGCGATGAAGAGTCTGACGAAGAAACACCGATAGAGAAGGAGGAAAGAACAAAGGTGGATGAAGAGGTCACCAGGGAGCGTTTGGAAAGAATGAAGGATGATCCGTTCTATATCACGCCGAGCGAAAAGAAGGGACGCTCAAAGCTGAAACCTCAACTTTTGAACACTCCATCTGACAATGCCGCTTCAGAAACACCAAGCGAAAAGAATTCGTTTGTATCTCTTGATGAACTCGCAAAGAAGGAAGCGAAGAAGAGCAAGAAGATCAAGAAGCATAAGGTGACAGTGCTCAGTGAAGAAAGTCTTGGAGGGGACGTTCCAGGCCAAGTTTCAGAGTTAGGGGACCTGGATGCTAACAAAAAGAAGAAACTGAACAGAATTTTGATCAGTTCTTCAAACCTCGACAACTTCGATATTAACTCTTCCCTGCAGAAGCTGCTGACCCTAGAGCAGAGGAGTATGATGTGGACTTGGATGCGTTGAGACAACAGCTCGAGGAGAAGGAAAAGAAGAAGTTTGCTAAGGAAGCAAAGAAGAAGAAAAAGGCCGACAAGGAAAAGTCGAAGAGTAAGTCGAAGAAGACCAAATCGAAACCAACTGAAGAGACCAGCACTGTTGGGGAACCTAAGGCTGACAAGCCTGAGGCGGAGAACACAGGTGAAGAAGGCGAAGCCGAATCTAAGAAGCCAGTAGAGGCCGACGCAGAAACGGTTCCTGAAGTGAAGAGTGCAACTCCTGAAGTCATCACAGACCAACAGGCTATTGAAGTAAGCCTGAAACCAAAAACCAAAAAGAAGAAAAAGAAAGCAGTCATTTTGGATTAGAGTACCCTCTGATCAGATGAAGCATATAATCATATACACGATAACGTTAAAGTCGTACAAGTCTCTTAAGAAACCACAGCAAGAGACTTCTCAGCAGTCTTAGTAGCAGAGGCAGGGTTGACACCGCTAATCAAGTTACCATCAACAACCACAAAAGCTTCCCATGGAGCAGGTGGCTCGACATAGAGAGCATCATTACGCTCAGCAGCCTCTCTTGGAGTAGACAAGCCGTACTTCTTCATGGCCTCAACAACACCAAGCTGTTTCTCACCATCATCAGAGAAACCAGTGATCTTCTTTCCTCTGATGATGGTCTCACCAGAAGCAGACTTCCAGTTGTCAAAGATCAATGGACCATGGCAAACAGCAGCAACAGCCTTACCGTTAGCATAAAGCTCAGCAGCCAACTTGTGCAAACCTTCAGCCTTTGGGAAATCGAAAGCAGCGCCATGGCCACCAGCAGCAAGGAAGATGTCATAGTCAGAAGCCTTGACGTCAGAGGGCTTCTTCACGCCCTGAACAGCCTTGTTAAACGCAGAGTTCGAGTCGTCATAGACCTTCTTCTCCTCGCCTTGCAAAGCAGAATCGGCAATTGAGTGTTCGTCCCAGCCAAAAGTACCAGTTTCAGAAATAAACGTCACATCGACTCCCTGCTTGTGGAAGTACTCCCATGGGTGGTAAGCCTCCACGAAGTAGACACCGGTCTTGGAACCGTCATCGTAGAAAGCGCCGTCGTAAGAAGAAAGTGCAATTAAAGCTTTAACCATATTTGAAGTAATTGAGTTAATACCAGGTAATAAAGGTTTAGGGCATGGGGGCCCCACCTCTTTATATATGTATGGTTATATGCGCAACGCTTCTTGAGTTGCTTCTGTGCCTTTAGAGGTCAAACTGCGGCTTGGCTGACAAATAAAGTCAAGGGATTTAAGCACTTAGGGAGACCCGTGGTATAGAGGGATCTGCTACGCGGGAAGAGTCCCTTTGGCACCAAATTGTAAATGGCCATTGTGTTAAGGTTTGTTAGTGTCTCGAGGTACAATAGGCTTAGTAAGAAAGCGTAAATATGGTCTCCCGCACGGTCTTTAGGGATTTAACGGAGGTTTGAAGCATCCCGAAAAGCAATGGTTTCCGAATCAGATGCATGGAGATGGCTATGTCAAGTTTTTGGCGTCGTTGTCCGTTGAGCTTATGTAGTTGCCAGTGTTTAATGGCTGCGAAAAACCAGGTTTGATGGGCAATTGATGGTCTGTCTTGGGAGAGACAATATTAATGCCTTCCTTAACACTTAATCGTCAATTCTTCACCAATTCACTGCCAAAAATGACATAAAATGACGGGAAGATGCGGTGGGTGTCGTCATTGAAGTCCGGTTTTACCGCCTGTGCAGCTGCATGGGCCAGAAACATCGGGTTTAACAACCACTTGAAATATGACAGGCTTACACTGAGAAGGGAAACAAGCGGTGAACTTAAGAGATCGAAGAGATTCTCCTCGTGATGTCCAGAATTGCCCTTCTGGATCAACTGGTTAAAATGGTTGAGCTGAGTAACACTTTAAATAGAGGCAAAAAGTTAGCATACCGTGCTACCCTTTGCCAGCTAAAAAAAAACTTAGAAATAAAGTGACTTACAGTTATCTGATGCAAGCAAATGTGGTGATGTATCAATAGAGCATAAGCCTGATCTATGTTGTTTCGTAGTAAGAGGTAAGTTCTATGAGCCTGAGACTGATCTACGCGGAGGGAACACATATGAGTTTGACCTCAGCTGTTGACCGATTAGAATAGTGCCTTAAAATATTATTACCATATCTGAATGACTTAAGTGGACATTATCGTAGACTTAGTAATGCACTGTGGGTTTTGGAAGCCTTATTTTCAACATACCAACTGGACACGGCGGTTCCAGAGTGATGTGACTGATTTGCAATTACGAATGCTTCTCTATAGCCTTATCCCAATATCCAAGAAGGAAGAAATTACAAGTCAATAGTGCTTTGGTTATGGAAAGATAGGGAGATCAGGATGGCTGCAAAATACTGCAGATACTCTCGGGATAACCCAGTTACTCCAAGCCAAAGGGCACACAAGTTGGTTAAAAAAAGGGAAGAAAAACAAGGAACAGATTGTCAGTAGGATTCTTTTTAGCTCCTGGTAGATATAGAAATTTTTTCTCTCCGAAATCTTTGCGTGCTTCACGGCTCGACCAGACCCCTAAGAGATGAAGTCGTAAACCATACATGATGGTCAAGAAAAACACCTTACTAGCATTTTAGATGACGAGGAAGCAATCAGGTGGCTCACAGGGTGAGTAATATGCTATATCGACAGTGATATGTAGCGAAGGAAGGTCACAAGCCAAGGTCACATGGGTGTTTGGTCTAGTTTTGACAATATCTCGCTTTTCAGGCTTTCTAGAGCTATTTGAGGGCCACCTGCGTATTATTTGACTAAATAGAATTCAAATGATACAAATATCAAAAATATAGCTTTTCTGGGTCACGAGAGAGCTCAAAATGAAGGTATTTCTTTATTCTTCTTATCTAACCAGCTCCTTTGAACCTTCACAAGTGGCTCTGTGGCCGAGCGGTCTAAGGCGGCAGACTCAAGTTCTGTTATCGTAAGATGCGCGTGTTCGAATCACGCCGGAGTCATTATATTTTTTTTTTTCATTTTTCTTGGTTCGACTTCCCACCATCGCTTACACTGCACCCAGGCCCCAGTGGGTCTAATTAATTAAATTGACCACCTGCCCCACTTCTTTCCAAAACTTACCCACTACAAAGGCATGGCCAGAAGAAAGGAGGCTACAAAGGCTGAAAAGTCTGCTTCTGCCAGGACCACAGCATCTGTTTTCCAAAATTACGATGCCAATGCCGAGGAGACCTCTGCTAAGCAGGTGGAGGAACCTCAACCCCAAAGAATGGTGGAAAGCGACGACCCATCCCAGTACAACTTCCCATGGAATGTGATCTATGAGTTTCAGGATTTCCTTAATATTTACATGGATTTCTGTAAAGCTGCCCAGATCATGACGGTGCTTTACATTGGACAGATCTTCTATGTGTACTTGACCAACATCAAGGACAATAAGACAATTACATCTGTTGCATTTAATCTTGTTGGTGCTGTTTTGGCCATGTGGCTTAACCATCGTTCGATGTTGAAAAAGCATAAAGATGAGCCTGACCGGTTCAGGGCTCCAACGTTGCCTGATTTCAACACCTTGTATGCGTTTGTCATTCCTATTTTGCTGTATGTGCTTTTGGGCGACACAAACGCTCCATTTTTCCAGGTGAACTTGGCTTTGAACAACTTTGCAATCAGAGAGCTTCATATCGTTGCCAAGGTGCTTTCCTCGTTCGTGTTTTACTATATTTATAACGATTCACTGACGTTGGAGGTGACCTATTTCCTTCGTGTGGTGCTTTCCTACTTTTCCTTTGAGTATATCTTGGACGGATGGAATGAATTGGGTGAAGATGAAGAGACCAGTGTCAAGTTGGCTACCATGTTGCCATCTGAGATCCATATGATCAGTGTACTTCTCGTTAACTTGTTGTACAACTTTGACACAGAGACTCAACCATTCCCGTTGGTGCTTTTCCGTGAGCTCCTTATATCTCTCATCGTTGCCTCGTTCGCTGCTTACCAGCTCTACTGGGTGTACTTGAGAATGGCACAGAACTTTTTGAGGAAGACAGTGGCCGTCCTTATTGCTGTTGTCTTTGCCGGTGTGTTCTACTTTGCTATGAACTATTTATTCACAAAGGAATTGAGCGAGAAGGATCCTGTGTTGTGGTTGATTGATTACGTGTTGGAGTCTGAGTCTCGCTTGCACTTGATCATTTACTGGCTTACCTGTCTTTTAGGTGGTATCCCAGTTGTCTTTTGGTTAGCATACAACAACAAGATCAATCTCAACCTCCGCAGAAAGGTCTGGCACTTTATGTTGGTGATTTGCCTTGCATACCCTGCTTTTGTTCACCAACCTGAATTTACCGCTATTGCATTGTTGGGCTCTCTTGTCGTTTTCATTGTGATTGAAATGATTAGAAGTACCAGAATTACCTTCCTTGGTGAGTTCTTGTACACCGAGTTGAGGTTCTTCCAAGATGATAAAGATCTCAAAGGACCTCTCAACTTGTCTTACATTTTCCTACTTGCAGGTGTTGCGGCACCATTGGCATACGGTTACGCTCTTGGAGATGTTGTCAATTTGAGATCATACATGGGATTGGTGACACTCGGTTTGGGTGATTCATTAGCATCTATCGTTGGCAAGCGTTTTGGCAGAATCAAATGGAAAGGTGCAGAAAGAACCTTAGAAGGCACTATCACGTTTATGGTTGTCACATTTGCGTCATTTGTGGTGATTGACTTTTACCTCTTGCCAGAAGAGAACAGAGTGAAGAACTGGGAAAACACCTTCATCATTGCCATGGTTGCTGGTATCTTGGAAGGATCAGCTACGCTCAATGACAACATTTTGATTCCATGCGTTGTCACGTTGACATATGACTTGCTCAACCGCACGTTCTAGGTGACTGCAAAGGGACGCTATTGTTAACGATGGTCAACGGTTGAGTTGCATGGCCGCCGCCGCAATCACAAAGTGAACAAAGTGGGGGGCCAAAAAACAAAGCATAATCAGAGAAAGGCTACTACATAGGTAACCAATTAGAGATTCTAGGTTGAAGCGTAGGCTAAGCTTATCGTAATTGTAGCGCTCCGCGGTAATGTTCTTTGCTAGAGAAGTCCAGCAAAGGTGTTTATTCACGGTAAGTGTCTCAAGTAACCTGCGTCAAACGCCAGCAAACTTGCAAGGAATATCTAGGGACAGTTTTAAGGTTTTTGGAGGTTGTGCCTAAATGTCAGGGCCCTTTAGACTCAACGGTTTGCAAAGCACTTAACAGTGCGCTTAGTACTTTTTCCCATTCGCAGCCATTTACTCCCAAAAGTCTCCAGCATGCTTAACCGAGAAGAACCCGTAAACAGTGTAGCCATGCCACACGGAAAGAAAAGAAAAAAAAAACCTATCTGTCTCAAGTCAGCAAAAGAAATCCATCGAAGGACAAAGAAAGCAGCCGCCGATGGCACAGCTACACAAAATGCACACCCACAAGGAATCCCGAAGCTGGGTTGCTATTTCTGAGACATGACGAAAAAGTGTATAGGAAGCGCACCGTCTCCAGCCAGAGTTAAACGCCAGACATAGGCATGGAGCAACGGAGCAAAAGCAACTTCCCCAGGCCCAAGATGGGGTAGTGTTAGAGAACAAAGATTATAGAGAGATGGCGATGGAGGTGAAAACTTTTTTATTGACGGCCCGCCCGTCCCGGCTAGCCTTGGTAGTCAAACAAGCGATGTACATTCGCCACATGCTGGGCAAGTTTGCGCCACATACTGGGGGTATGAAATAAGTAAAAATTGTACAGTCTTACGCTGCACGGTGCATCGTTGCCTGCCAGACAGGCATGGAGTTGCGGCGAGAGGAATATGTAGATTTTGAGGCTGACCGAAGTACACTGAGAATATTCATTATTTTTTTAGTGCTTCTTCAACCCACCTGGCCGGTGTAACTTTGCCTTTCCTTCCCACGTCCTTTTTCTTAGTTGAAGAATATATCACTGGTTTCTCCCGTACTTTCCCAGTCCACTCCTTACGCCATGTCTGACTATCCTATATCGTGTATTTCATGCCGTCGAAAGAAGATCAAGTGTAATAAGAAGAAACCATGCAACCAGTGTGTGAAGAAGGGCGTGATTTGTGAGTTCCCAAGCAAGTTCCGTAACATCAACATATCAAATGAACACGATCACCACTCCCATATCCACGATATGAGCCCCGTGCGGTCTTCGTCCCAGCTGGACTCCAACTCTCCATCGGAGGTTCATCGCTTGCACGATGAGGTGGAGTTGCTTAGAAAGGAGAAGCTAGCGGTGCTTCATGAGAACTTTAAGTTGACCCAGAAGAACCACGAGTTGCGTTCGAAGCTCCAGACGCTCGATAGAACTCAGAATACTGAGCACGACGATGAGCACGGTATTGAAATCGCCGGTGAAACCACCGAACTTGGTGAAAAGTACTATGGACCTTCGTCTTCGAACTATATGATCGAAGCGCTCCGACTGAAGAACACTAACGGCCAGAACGGCGATTCTCCGCAAAAATCTGATTCCAGCAGCACGCCGTTCAACAATGAAAGTCATCCAGCAAAGAAGAAGCGCAACGGCTCTGATTCAGAAAGTATGGACGTTGAGGGCAACTCAGATATTGCTTTCTCCAAGAAACCTTTGCCATGGTTGATTGGAAAGGACGGCAAACAAGAAGAAAACCTCGATGTCATCAAGAGACTTATAGATCACTTCTTCGAGCATAGTGCTTACAGATCTTTCATTTCAAAACCTGTCTTGATAGAGTTTATTAATCTGTACGATAAGATCTCCGATAAAGAGTGGGAGAATGACGACGACTTGCTTCTATTGCATATGGTTTTAATATTGCTGGTTCTGCGTCTTACGCCGAAGAACTACAACGAAAGCGGTCTTACGGAAGAACCTATCGACTCTATGGTCACTTTGCATAAAAGATGCTCCAACTTGGTGAAAAACGTGCTTTACCGTGGATTCACCAAGTTACGTCATAACCTTTTGAACGAGTCCATCATGACTGTCCAGGCTTACATCTTGTGTACTGAGTGGTACTTTATTGACCAGCGTTACGAGGAATCTTGGTCCATGTTATTCCACTGCTGTGCAGTTGCATACGCCATCGGACTTCACGTCATGGTGAACATGAGAACAACGAACGACAGTCTAGAGGAAGCTCCTGTCAAGCTTGCTGAAATGTCCCAAAAGAAAGATTTGCGTGATGAACCTGCCGACGGTGGAGTCAAGGTTGAAGAAAAAGACGATGATGTGTCCGATGAGGATGAAGCTGATAGTGATGTGCCAAGATTCAAGGTCTGGTTTGCTTTGAAGTATATGTGTGGCCAGCTTTGCTCAGTTTTGGGTCGTCCAAACCCAATCTCTATCCAGGTCAATTCGGTTGTCTTGTTCACTTCCAATCAGCAGAATCTCGCCAAGCTTCGCTTGGACTCCGAGAAGACACAGGTGCAGTTAAAGATGGGCCTTAGTGAGTGTCTCCGTTTGTCTAACATGATGCTCATTGAAAGTTTCATGATGAACTTTACTATTTCTGATGTCATGCGTCTAGATGCTAGATTCAAGGAAGAATGTGAGAAACTCACATGGTTCGTCAGTCAAGAGTATCAGACTCAGCATCAAGGCCTGGCTGAGAAGGTTGATGAAACATGTCACATGCCTATGGCAGTTGAAAGAGAGCCAGCCGTGGTGGACTTGATTATTTTGCATATCAACAGGGCTAAGTTGCTTGAGCCATTCAGCAACCAGTTCTTGGGTCCAGAGGATAACAAGTATCTCCTTGAAGCAATGTGTGACTCGATTCTGAGATTCCTTGATTACACAGTTGAGTTTTCCAAGGACTTTTTACTGAGAATTACACCTCATTTCATCCACGAGAATGGTAAAGCTTTGAGCAGGACCAAGCTTGGTAAAGTCTTCCGTATTGACTACCCATTCCTCAACTCATTCATGTACCAAGGTATCATCGTTATATTCACACTTCTTAATTACAAGGCAAAGGAGTTCATCCAAGGTGATTCTGACACTTTCTTGAAGCATATTGAACAGAAGCTCAACGACCTTCTTCAGTTGTCCTCCCAGCTTACTGATCAGTTGGGCGAGGATGTGAGGTTGTGGTCGACCAACATCTTGTACTTGATCAACAAGGATCTCCAGCATATCAACACTCTTATTAAGAAGAGAGATTATCACCATCAAGATGATTCTAACAAGGCACCAAACCTCGAAACTGACGACTTGGATAAAATTTTGGGCTTCTCATTTAAGGATCCATTCTGGCTCAATGCTGAGAATATTCCATATTATCTCAGTAGTCCATCTGACGATGAAATGGGCCCACTGATGTTCGAGGATCCAAGCTACAACAAAAACTTGCAGCCAAATTCAATGAGTCAAGATGTGCTCAATCAGTATAACATGCAAGGTCAAGATCAGTTCCCGGCTGTATGGAACCAAAATCCTGATGTGGCCCAGCAAGCTCCCCAGCCACAACAGATGTCCCAAGGACCACACGTATCCCAAAGAGACCCACAACTTCTGTCTCAAGTTCCATCGCATGTTCAATTCGAAAACGTTCAACAACCCCTGCCCATGAGAAGCAGAGAGTCTTCGCAGTTCCTGGTTCCAAGACAGAATCAGTTCCCACAACAGCGCCAGATGAATCTGAAAATGCCTCAGCAGCAGCAGCACCCCATGTCTCAGAATCAGCATTCTATGCCTCAAAACCAGCATTCTATGCCTCAGCAGCACATGGGAGGCCAAAGCATGCCCCCTCGCAATAGCGACATGAATTCTAACAACAACATCCAAGGCCCTCCTCAAGGCCAGGACTTACAGCATATGAATGGTCAATTGGCAACAAACATGAACAACCAGGTTAATGGCGCAGGTCAAAAAGGCGGTGTTCCTTACAACAACATGATGGGTGGCCAACAAGGTGGAAGACCTTCCCAGCTTCAGCCTGAAGAGGATGAAGACAAAGAGGCTTCCGAGTTGGGTTACGCCCAGTCTGCCCAAATGCCCAACGTGCCGCAAGGATACTTCAATCCGCCACAACCTGGTTTTCAAGGACCAAACTAATTAACATTTATAGACTATGCAGAATGATCAACAGTTGATAGTAGATAGTTTTGCAGCCATTGTGGTGCGGAACCCATCAGCACGGAAATGCCACAAGAAGGTGTGCACTGCAGATAATGATGTCCTCACCAAAGCGGAGTTTTCTATACCGATAGCGAGTGAATACTCAATAGCAAGTCCTGACAAATCCCACATCTCCAGAGGCCATGTCGTTCAAGAACATATTTAACAAGCAGAACTTGAGGTACATCTTCACCACCCACTTCTGGGGCCCAGTGTCCAACTTTGGTATTCCTATTGCAGCAGTCATGGATTTGAAAAAAGACCCCGACCTTATTTCTGGACCAATGACAGGCTCGTTAATTTTATACTCCTTGGTCTTCATGAGATACTCTGTGGCCATTAGTCCTAAGAATTACTTGTTGTTTGGCTGTCATTTTGCCAACGAATGTGCTCAATTGGCACAAGGTTATAGATGGGTAGACCACCATTACTTTGGCAAGAAGAAAGTCGAAGCCGCATCCACTTAAAGCATTCCAAGGTAACTTGCTGAATTCCATTTTGTGAATAGACATCGAGGGTCATTCTCATGGCAATTTTTTAAACATCATAATACACAATCATCCAGAGACTAACGTTACTCAAACAAGGACGTAGGCTTGTTGTTCTGTTGGGTTGGGCCAAACTCCTGCTCTTCACCTTCCTCTTCTGACGTACTGTAGTCTGTATCACCGTCTAATGGCTTTGTCTTGGCTTTCTTGGCTGGGTTTTCGTTTGTAGGTGTGGATCCGCGTTTGCCGTAGGTTACGATTTCGCCCATGGAACTTGTGGGGAAAGAGTTGAACGACTCGGGTTCGATGCTAGGTGCCCTTTGGTCATGACGTTGGGCGGTGGTTTCAAGTCGACCTTTGGTAGCAAACTGTGGATTCCTGCTGGGCTTATCGATATGGCTCTCTGGAGCGCGTTGAATTGTGTGGCCTTGAAGAACATACTTATCACGATGTTCATCCTCCTTGGGTAGTTCTCCTGTGCCTGCTGTAAGTATAATAAGTCTGACAAGAACAGGTCCAGAAAAGTGTTCTAAAACCACCGGATCTCCATTGGTTTTGAAGTATGCTTCAAACAGTGGTTCTGGCAGTAGGTCATCATCTGTAGAAGCTAGATCTCTCATCGACATGCAACATGAAATAAAAGTTCGGAAATCTTTTAGTCTAAAATTAATGGAGTCCGTTACTCCCTCTAAATTCAGCTCAAGAAGCTCGCTAATAGCCATCAGAATAGTAATCAGCATTGGCTGTTTCAACAACTCTCTATCCTTGAGCACTTGCCTCGTATGTGCAACAAACAGAATCTTGGTCTGCTTGACATCTATCTTGAAATCTTCCGTCGATAGTGGAACCATATCTAGAAAAGATTTCATCGTGCTAGATTCCATCATCAAGTGTTTGCACTTGCCAGTGTCGAAATCCTTCTTGTATATGCGTGGAATAGACAGTTCCTGTGGAAGCACCGGCTGGTAATTGACCAGGTACTTCTTGACAATCATTTTTCTGGTAAGTATCTCAACGAATATCTTGTACTCCTTATTCCTCGGCACGCCGTCGTAACACTCAAGTCGAAGACATATATAACTTAGACTAGCCGCGTCTAGGTTCTTGAAGAGCACCACCATATGCTTAGATGATACAATGCACGAGTAAGACAGACTTTCATGGTCATTTTCGTCAATCCGAAACCCGGCAATAGATATGTTTTGAGTATCGAACGTGTACTCTCGGAAGTACAGTCTGTCAAACGAGACTTCACCGTTACCTGTTCTTGATGGGTTGACAGACAGAAGCGTCAATGTCGAGGCTGTAATATTGAACTTTATCTGGTCCAGAATCTGGGCCAAGGCATTTACTGCTCGAGACCAAACGCCTATATTCTTTGAACTGTCTATAGCGGCCACAAAAGACATTGCATGGTGGGATGTTGATGGATGGAAGAAGAGTAGTGATGGTTCTTATCTGCTTAAGACGTGCAGGAATGGGTGCAAAAAACGTCAACGAAGGGAAGCAGTGGTAGTAGACGTGTCGAAGGGGGTCATAATAAGGCTCTTTATTGTATAGAAAGAGCTTGAAAGGTTTCACTCGTTGTGATGATGTCTTGTTGTTGTCCAGGAAAGTTGGCAGAAGATGGCTAGTCATCGTTCGCTTAGGCTACAGAGAGGTAGATGCTTTGACTGGCCCCTAGTCAGACCCCGTTGGATACCATATAATTTGAAGGGGACTTTAAAGCTCCCTTACACGTTTTTATGTTCTTAAGAATATGCTGGGTAAGGTTTGTAAGTGGTCAAGTTGAATCAGCGCTGCAGATGTACCCATCCGAATTACCACTTAAACCCTACCCAATATATCCTTGACCTTTAAATACGTAATATAGGCTATTCTGTACAGTATGACCACGTCAGTCGCTTTTTGCAAACCAAAAAGTGGTTGCTTCCATAAAGAACCCATTGACGTCCTCTTACATAGAAACCTCGTCTCCACACCAGCCTATCCCCAGAACCAACAAGACAACCAACCAATCTCTATAAACATTAAACAGCCCCAAAATCATCCACTCACCAACTACCCTCCAAAACCTCGTTGGCCCTCCCCCTACACCTCCCCATCCGCCTCACCACCCACTATCAACAAGCCGCGCGGAATTCACGTCAACTGCAACACCCACCAACCACTAACCACCCACCAATCCACCTCCCCATCCATGACTTCCATTCTCGTGATCAATCCAAACTCCTCAGTTTCAGTTTCTGAAAACCTCCGTTCCACCGTGGCAGCCCCACCAGGCGTAACCCTCGAATACTACACTGCTCCACTGGACGCTCCTCCAGAGATCAGTGGTACCGAAACCCTGATCCAGTCAGAACAAGCATCACTTCCTGATATCCTACAAAAGAACCTTCTTGACAAGTATGATGGGTTCCTTGTCGCTTGCTACTCAGACCACCCATTAGTCTACTCTCTAGCAAAACACACCTCCAAACCAGTGCTAGGCATAATGCAAGCTACTCTCTTATATAGCTATGCCAATGCCAGAGCCAGGAAGCTGTTTGTGTTGACCAGTACCAGTGGGTGGTTACCACTTTTAGACGATGCAATTACCAAATTTGCCGGTGCTGGAACGTTTCCCTATGAAAAATTCCAGAAAACAAGAGCTCTAGACGTGCTGGTGTTGAACCTCAGTGACGCCTCGGAGTTTCTGAAAATTACCGATAGACTAGAGCTTTTTTTGCGCGAGTACGCTGAAGACCATATAGACTGCGTATTGCTTGGATGTGCTGGAATGGCCGGGTTGGACGAAAAGCTCAGGGCAAAATTTCCTTCCATTGTATTTATCGACAGTGTAAAAGCTGGCGTCGAGTTTCTTGTATCGCTTACCAGATTGGGCCAGTAAGGGTGGGTACATTCCATTACTGGTGGCCCAGACCGGGGCTCGGTGTGCATCTACTCCACTGAGTCTCACCCCACAGAATCCCTGTACCACCTTAACAGCAAGTCATCATCAATGAGTGTTGACGTTTCGGATACGAAACCTGAGAATAGGGGGCCTAAGAAGCAGCCTTCGTTGTTGGGCCGTCTTCTTGGCAACCAGCGTACTCCCACGCCTGAGCTGGACCTGACTCTGGTGTCTGTTGACTCCTTACCTCCATTAACAGATCTCACCCTTCTGGGGTATAATGCTGGCACGAAGCATCGGATCTTGGATCCTGAATTGGCGCTGAATATACGGAATTTGGTTCCGCCTCGGCTTCAGTTGTTCAATGAGTGGGAGCTTTTGTATTCTTTGGAACAGCATGGCATTTCCCTCAACTCGCTATATCGCAACTGCCATCCTGATACGCAAAGACGTAACCTTAAGATGAAGAAGGCTAGGGCTAATGACGAGTCTGGCGGCTATGCTGAGGGGTGGTTAACAATATGGTTACTTTTGGCGAAACGTCTCATTCCAAGGGCAACAGACCTCATGGCTACGTCATTGTCGTTCAGGATGAGCATAAGAACAAGTTTGGCTGCTACGTCAATGAGTATCCGCATCCACTGGAACACAAGCGTTACTATGGCAATGGAGAGTGCTTCTTGTGGAAAACAGAATGGTACTCGTCCCACCATGACCCGAAAAGGCGAAGAGAACGTCGTTTCAAGGCATACCCATACACTGGCCTCAATGATAACTTGATATACTCGAACGTGGACTTCATTGCCGTGGGCTCCTCGCAAGGCCAGAATGGTCTATATATAGATAAGTCTCTCTATTCGGGTGTATCATACCCATGCGAGACCTTCGGCAACGAGATCTTATGTGAGCACGACTCTGACACGGAATACGGATCTTTCAAGATCATGAATCTTGAGGTCTGGAGAGTAGGAGAGTTAGAATGAATAGTCTAATAGTATAATGAACAGATAGTGTAATAAACTTTTTATTTCCTAAGAACCATGCCGTTGAGGATGCTATATGGTAGATTTATAATAGCATAAATGCAGAGAAAAAACTTGTGGTGTAGAAAACACCGTATAATTGAGCTCCATCAAAATGAAGTGTGGCACTTGACAGAGGTTTTATCACCAAGTTGAATTAGATAAAAACCGGGCCCCTGGTATTGTTGAAAGCAGGGCCAATATCCGAGCAAATGTATATGTGTTGAAGAATTGAACGATGGAGATTGGGTAGCGAGACATCTAAAGGGAAGTCACTGGGAGATCCTGGAAAAGATCGAAGATGATGTTGTTGCCGCTGGTGAAGTCATTGTTGACAAAGTTGCACAAGACAAAGTTGTCACCAAAGCCAGTCAACAACTTGGAGAAAGAGTCAATCTTCTCATCCTCGACGACTTCCTTGACAGCCTTGGTGTGGAAGATCTTCACCCACTCGTCGAGCAAGCGGTAGACTTCGTCCTTCCAGGCCAAGAAAGAGACCTTTTCAACAATGGTTGGCTGCAAGATCTCTTCGCCAGGGAAGACACCCCAGGTGACGGCATTAATGTCATCATCGTGGGCATTAGTAGACAAAGTACCGTTCTTGTCGACAGCGTAGTAGGTGACAATGGAGTGAGCATCCTTAGCGTTGTGGGCTTCGACTCTGTGCAACAAGGCATCGACTGCATCCTTGTGGATGAAGAATTCTAAGTACTGTTTCTGGTAAACGAAACCATTCTTAGGACCCCAGCCAAACACCTCGTCATTGGACTTGACAGCGCTCAAAGCAGGTTGGGAATTCAATGTAAAAATGCCTTTCCTGTTCATTTCAACCAATGCAGGCTTCAACACCTCGGTATCGTCACCAATAGGACCGTCACTCCATGGCAACGATTTGATCTCTCCTTGCAAGTAAGAGATCAAAATGTTAGAAAGATCTTCCAAGGATTGAGGGCAGCCCCATAACTCGTAAGCACGCTTAGGAGACTGGCGCAACAACTCAGTAGCTGAAAGATCAATGTCACCAAAAGCAGGAGATCTAGAATCACCCCAACGACCGTTAGGGAACTCATCCCATCCAGAAGTACGAGAGATGTATGAGTACTTTCTGTTTTGCCAGAAAATTGGACGAATGGATTCCTTGGATCGCATTGGGTGCAACGATTTCCTCCAGGGCAATTCGTCACCCACAACAGCATTATCTTTGACGTGTTCGATCAAGTTGAGGTGCTCCAACACCATGATGGTGGATCTTTCAAGATTCATGGTGTAAAAGTGAAGATGGTTGACATAGCCTGAATCAATAAGCTTTTGGCACATTTCGCCAACCAACTCTGTACCCTTCTCTCTGACAGCATAATCGTCATCCTTGATTGGATCCAAAGCTTCCAAGAAGTGCTTTGGAATTATAACTTCAGACCATTTTGCTCTTCTGATAAATGCAGAGTATGTCGAGATAGGCATGATTCCAGGAATGATGGGGATATCTACACCAATCTTTCTGATCTTCAGACACCACTTGATGAAGTTGTCTGCGTCATAAAACATCTGTGTAATGATGAAGTCTGCTCCAGCATCAGCCTTCTCTTTCAAGTAGCCTAACAATTTCAAATCGTCTTCTTCCTCAGGATGGCCCTCGGGATATGCTGCTATACCAATGTTAAAGTGGTCACCGTAGTTCTTGCGGATGTAGCGGATCAAATCTTTAGCGTATTTAAAATCACCAGTAGACTCGGAACCGTCCAATGGTGGGTCACCTCTCAAGGCCAAGATGTTCTGACATCCAGAAGCGTGGGCTTTCTTCAATGCCTCGTCAATCAACTCCACCTTCATGTTGGTGCACGTCAAATGCATACACGTTTCCAAGCCAAGAGTCGACTGGGCAGTGTAAACCATTTCGTTAGTGAGTGTAGAAGACCTGCCACCAGCATTCCAGGTGATATCGATGAAGATCGGGTTCAACTCGTACATTCTGTCCATTCTGTCGTAGAGGTTTTGAACACCTTGGGACGTCTTGGGGACGAAGAACTCAAAGGAGAACGTTGCAGGAGGTGGATTGGAGCACGAATGTGCATCTTCCAACTTCTTCGAGATTTTCATGTTGGATGGTGAAGAAGATGTTGTTTCGTATGTGTCGTTCTTCCTTTTTTTTTTTTTTTTTCACTCCAGTACTAGTCACCTCTATTGGGTCCTCGTGTCCTGCAGGCTCATCCGTAGACTCACTTAATCTCACATGGTTAGCTTATCTAGGTGACCATTGTGATGTCGTGACATATCCATCGTCATTCATGAAATTTAATGTTTCATGGTTGCCAGACCACCTGATTTGGTAAACACCCTTCCCTGCAAATCCCCTCCATCTCAAACCACCTCTTTCTGTTCGTCGACCTCGACGGTTATATTGCATAAGTGATTCACAACCACACGTGACCTGAGGCCATGGTCGGCATTTACCTCGATCGGCCATTTTCCGCGCCCGTCAACCTGCCCAATGCAGCCTCTTCCTGTCTTCATAACCATCACATCCTGTCTATAACTCATCGTGCCCCACGTTCACTGGGCTCTTCCCATCCTCGTTATTTTGCAACCGTTGGATCTGCTTGTCGTAATCTTTCCACTCAGGAATCAGTCTTTGAACACGCTCCAATTTGCTTTCTTTTCTGAATGGGTCGCTGCACAAATCGATCATTTTGGCACGGCTTTTGCTTTCGTCTGAACACCACGTCTCGCACCAAAGCCAGTCCTGCTTCAATGTATGGATTGGAATCAGTCTTTGCATATTGTTGGGTAAATCCTGGTCAAGGTTGGAAAGCGACTCTTTGTCACTGGAAAGCTTTTGGTAGTGCGTTCTGAGTCTGTCGCCAGCGTAGTGCTTTCTGAACTCGTTGAGATCAACCACAAAAAGAGCACTGATATGGTACTTTAAGTCTTCCTGGAGGACCGTCTTCCAGTATCCCTGCTTCCAGAACCTGTAACCTTCGACTTCTTCTCTGGAATCACACATTGGTGGAAATCCGTAAACTCTTCCCTTGAGGTCTGTGTTGACCAATTCCTTAAGATCTGTTCTAGCAGTTTGGTCTGCATCCACGAAGATAACCTTGTCAAGTTGGTTGGGGAACAAAACATCCAAGAACAAGATCTTGTAACCCCAGACTTGGCGATGCTTTTCCTTTTGCTGACGGAGCCAGAGTGGCCATTTGTAGGTGACAAATTCATATTCGAAGCCGTGAGCGTTTGCCAATTTTGGAAGAGACTCCACGAACTCAGCACTCAAAAAGTTGCGGAGAAGCCAGAACTTCACAGTCGACTTAGTGTTCTTCTTGACCGACAACATCATGGTCGACATGAACCGTTCGTAGATCTTACCACTGGCAAGGGAGAAAACATTAATGTCAGCATTATTGGTCTTAGCGACGTCTTTCTTCGCCTTGGCTCTTTCCTTGTCGGATTTTTCCAAAAGCCTTGGGTGAATCACCTCGCCATGCAACGAGAGGACTGGTAAGTCAACTTCTTCAACGGTTTTATCGTTTGTGTCATATTTGTTCACGCTGGCTGACAATAAGTTATAGATCTGGCTTCCAGTAGACCCTTTCTGAATTCGCAAACTCCAGATATCTGGCTTAAGCTGCAACTGGACATATCCCAAAGTATGCATAACAATACCATCAATGATAGTATCCTTATTAGAAGCATCAAAAGTTAATGTGGCAACCGATTGAGCTGTTTTGACGTCCTTGGCGTAACCTTCAACGATCAAAGAGTCAAGTTTATAGTTTAACTCCTCGACATCCTTTGGATAGAATTCCTCGTGGTCAACGTTTGGAGTGGAATCCTTGACATGTAGCCAGCGTGAAGGCACATCCAACTCAGAAGAAAAGCCATACTTAGAAGGCAAGGCTTGGAAAGAAGCTGCATAGTTACCTCCCAAGAAGGATCCGTCTTTGCCAAACTCGGGTAACGAAGATACAAAGGCTGAACCATAGAACCTGCTCGTAGAGGCTGATTCACTAACTGCTTCAAGAGGCTGCAATAAAATTCTCACGTTGGCAAACGGCAAATCTTTCAAGGCACCAACCATGGAAATGATCTTTTGGGAGATATCCGACATTGGGTCAACAATAGCAAGAACATCGACTGGTGCATCCCTTCTTTGCTTTGTCAAATTGAGGGAATTCGAAAAGCTAAGCGCAGAGAAATCAAAACGATCAACATCGCCTTGCACTTGAGAGTCCTCTAGGAAGAAAGACTTGGCAACAATAGAACTCATGATGTCGAACCATTCGAAGTTGTCAAATCCACTCTTCTTAAAAAACATAATACCCCTCCAGGAGAACATATCGGGGTATGTATCAGTGAGGTCCTTAAAGATGCTGAGTCTTCTCCTCTGCTCAAAGTCCACTAACTCAGTTAACTCAGGAGTTTCATAGAGCTCATTCAATTTGAGATATCTCGAGTTGAACAACATGCCCGGCAGGTGAGCTTGGATCTGGTGCTTCTCAAGTAGTTTCGCTTTCGATGGCAGAATCTTGGTGTATGCCTTGCTTCTAGCCTTCAGTACCTCTGTTCTCAACTTGGCAATATCATCACCCGTTAAACTATCCTTAGCATACTTTTTAGAAAGCTTGTCGATCAAAGAACTATCCTCTGAGATATTCAATATGCGGATCTCCAAGGATCTCTCCAGGTACACCTCGAGGAGCTCTAGAAGCTTGGCAAATTGAGACAAAATGATTCTCGAATTGAAATCACCAATAAGCCAGAAAGTTGCGGGCGAATCATTTGGCTTCGTGACCTTCCTGAACGAGTAGGAGTTATCAATCAATTCTTTTGATACTTCCTTATATCTTATGTTACTAAGATCTCTAGGTGATACTCTCGAATTTCTCGAGTCTTTGGCATCATGGAAAAGCACAGACTTAAGGTCTTGGCCTCTGTCCTCACCATCCTTGATCTTCTTCTGCAAAAGACGCACGTCGCTACCCATCTGCTTGGTCATAGCGGCTTGCCAAGGGGATTTCATATCATGGATAACACCATTGATGATGACGGAAGGATGATCAAGAGAAAATTCACGAACAGTCCTCTCGTAATTCTTAAAAGTTCCCTTCTTTTCTTCTGGTACTTCGACTTTATCGAGAATTTCTTGCTTTTCCTCTTGAGTTGGTGCCTCGTAGTATTGATATAACAAGGCGAATGCCTCCTTCGCTTCACTAACTTCCATGATATGGTAAAACTTCTCAGCAACAAGCTCATCTTCGTCGCTATCAACAAGTGGAACAACAGCAACCTGTTGTGGAAGATTACGATCAAGGATGATCTTTGCAAACGTAAATAAGACCTTCACTTGAATGGAACTGGAAAAGTTGATGGCAAAGACTAACTCGTGTGAGTTTTCTCTAAGAGCTGGTACTTGGCCAAACTGAAGTCTTCTTGCATCAGCACCAAGGTATGCCTCTCTTCTGTTAACATCGAACAAGTCATAAGGATCATCTTTCTCGAGATTGTTAAAGTAAACCACACCACCAGAGGTCAGATCGGTTGGATCATAAGCATGCTTGTAAATTGCATACCTGTTTTCACGGTCACCCGTGCGGTATTGGACTTCCCTAAAAGCGCTCATGAGAGCGAATTTGGAGAAAATGAACTTACTCTGTTCGGTAGAGAACCCAAGTTTCTTCATCTCATCGACAAGCCTCAATTCGGTTTCAAGCTTGCGAATGACATGAGGAAGATCCATTTCGAGCTTATGAACCGAAGCACCATTCAAGTAGAGACCAACCGATTGATCAGAAGCACCTTTCTTTTCATTCAGCTCAGCCACAGTCTTCACAGACTCTAAACCAACTGGATCCTTAATAAGGTTGATATATGGTGCGTAAAGGGGAAGGTTGTTCAATATATCCTCGAGCACAGCATGTCTTGTAGATTCAGGTTGTTCAAGAACAAGAGCTGTAATTTTGACAGAAAGGTCATGGTACCTATCTTCTTCAAGAGCTCTCAATGGTTTATCTTGTTTCCTAACTTCGGCCAAAAACTTCGGAAGATCTCCAGTGTATCTAACTTTAGAAACTTTCGTGCCGTTCAAAGGAACCTTTGGTGTGACAACCACACCGTAACCAGGGACACTAGTAAGCTTTTCGGTCCCCAGTGGAACATACCTCCATGCAAATCTGAGCTTGTCTGACTCGGCAAACTGGTATAATGTCTCGAACATCTGACCAAATCTGGGGCTGCTAGAAGAACCATAAAGCACGAGAAGTGGTTTCTTATCAGCAGTACCCACAACTCTATCAAAAGCCTTAGCCTCCTCAGAAACTTTCGAAAGCTGTAACGCGTACAAATCAGCATCTGAACAGTAGATCCTGTCTCCATACTTAACCCAAGCACCTAATGGATCCTCCACAGCATTGCCAAACGAATCTTGAGCGCATTGCTTCAAAACTTTCGCCTCAAGTGCTGGTTCCACGTCATTCTTATAATGCTTATAATGTGTTTCGATCCGAGGCGTATTGATTTTATTCACCAAGTTGAGATCAGCCATACCTTTCTCCACAGGCAGCAAGTTTGCAGCCACAGCATTATAAAAATCCTTATCAGATTTAGGCAAAGCGTCACCTTCAGCGTCTCCAGCATCCTCGAATGCATCATCATCTTCGTCCCATTCCAACGCCTCCTCTTCTTCACCACTCTGGTACAACGCTCTCACTGCCAGCGCATATAAGGTATCGTCATATGAGCTCACAGCTTCTATAAGCTGGACAGCAAAAGGGGCCTCTGGCCAATCAGCATGGAGCTTTACCAGTACAGACTTTGCAGTCGCCGCCGTGGCCAATAGCCAAATTGGTGAAAGCAACATGTGTTCCTAGAATCTGGATGGTGGATCTATCGCCAAGTGAATGCTACTATAAAGTGAGCGCGCAGAGCATCGCCTATATGGACCAAAAGTGCATTTCAGACAAGACATTGGACAAGTGCAGCTGACAAGAAAAATAGAGGAATGCTTCGATTGGCTCGCTGGTGTTCGACAAGCCTGTTAAAGATAGTCAAGGATAAGCCAGATAACTACTTTTCGGCTTATACCAAGTATGGCTGGTTCTTGGTGCCCAAGCATGTCTTCTCAGATGGATGGACCCAGACCAAGATAAACCTGGTGCTTCGAAAGCTTCCTGAGCTGAAGGGTGTGAAGAGCGATACAATTCTGTTTGATGATCCACGGTATGAGAAACTCCAGGAAGCAGTGGATCAATGGGCTGAGTCTGTGGACCGCAAGGATGTTCCTGCTGCTCCTTTGGCCAAGCTGCCTAAGAAGCGGAAAGAAGAGGAGGACCAGATGGAGTATATTCGTCAGTCGCTTGGTTCACATAGAACTGTGGTGAAGAACGGTGAAACTGTTTACAGTTCGGAGAAACACGAAAGAGTGACGTTTACCCATGCATGGAACTACTTTAGGTCGTTGTATGCTCTTTCACCAGAGACAAAAAGATGACAATCACAGAGGTTGCTCAGAAATGGAAGGTAATGGACACTTTCGAAAAGGATAAATACAGGCTTAAGTATATTGAGCTACTCAAAAGCGGTAAGGATACTTACAGGGGAAAGATTATGGACAAGAGCGAGAAGGACGAAATCGTGCGGAGGAAGAAGGCCAACAAGGGAACCAAGTCGAAGCGTAAAATTGAGCTTTAACTCACCACCAAAGGCGCATCTTCGTCATCTGCATCGTGATCGTCTAGATTATATATCTCAAAGTTGTCTGCGTCAAACAGAGTTTCAAGGTTTCGAATGTGGATTCCAAATCGGCTCTGGCAAGTGGAATCCATGGCCTGCCATCTTTCGTTGCCTTTAAATATGGAGCTGAGCTTTTCTAGGACTTCAACAAACTGCTTCATGTCGACTACTCCTAGCTCAGTTGTGCCCATATACTCTTCGGGAATCTTCTGGAGCTGTGCTAAAAACAACTCAAGCAATGCATTAGCTGACTGTTTGTCCTTTTGAAGGAAATTTTCACTCAGCAGCACTAACCGTAGCAACAGAAGCCATTGAGTACATGAACATAGGTTTGCAATCACGCAAAAATAAATAAAGGATACTTGTAGCTCAGACATGACGTGTCTGGGCGAACAATAAAGTTTATCGAGCTGCCACGACCGATCTAGAGCGTTCCTGGTTACATCTTCATCGCTTTGACCGTCTCTTGCTCCTGTATCTCTGAACTGCACTATAGTATAACCTAGTTCTGACGACGACTGGTCCTCAAACTCTTGTTTGGGGTCTCTTTCCCTCAATGTTTGTGCAAGAACAATATTCTCCTCCTTCAGAGGCGTAGCTGTAGTAACAGGCTCAGGAAACTTTGGTCCTATCGTCTCAAGATCAGACATCTGTATATGTCTAGTGAGCCTAGTCCAGTTATCAATATCTTCAGGATACAGCACCATAAACTGGTATCCATTGGCAACCTTCTCCATATCAACTGCCTTCGTCATAAACCTTTCCAATTCACAGTCCCAATATATCGATACCACCTGGTGTTCGTGGATTTCAAACCACCATCCTGCTCTCATATCATCACCTTCAGAGTAGTGGAAAAGATGGAGTCCTGGAGGAATTGCCTTGAGTCCTTTGAAGACTTCATTCACGTTAAAGAAAGCAGTATCAATTCCAATGACATACTCAGGATTTGTCTGTGGTAGCAGTTCAATCCATAGAGTTCCAAGAGGAGGACCACTGCTCATGTAGTTGAAGATTGTGTTTTTCGCACCCATCTCCATAGTACTTACAAATCTGCAAACTATCACCGATATCCTATTTTATCTAACCGTTATCGTTACAATTAATTATGTGAGCAACTCAATGCTCTCTCTTTGTCTTCTGAAGTTGGCGTCGTCATCGCCGCTGTTCTCGTCGGCATCCACGATTTCAAACTCACTGGCCACACTCTCTACTAGACTCATCTCATGCTGCAACTCTGAGAATCTCAGTGTTACTAAACGTGAAAGAATAAATCTGTCAATGAATCCACACATCCGACTATTATCCTTGTGTTCTGTAAGGACAAGATGGTTCATGTGGAGTCTCTCAACAATTTCAATCACCTGCTTGAGTGGTGTATTGTCTTTGACGATGATGATAGGTTTTTCAACTTCGAGTGTTACCATATGAACATTCGCGTAGCTGTTAGTGAGGTTCTGTTCGTACTGCTGTTGCTCGTCTTGTACCTGTTGAGGTAAGCTAGTCTGGAAAGATACCACCGCAGATGTTGGCTGGTTGTTGCCTACAACGTTGGCAATTTCCCAGTATACATGCTTTTTCGTCACATAACCCAAACTGATTGGATATTCATCGCTGTAGATCACTGGGTAGCCTTCATGAGCATCTTCAGAAAGGTAGGCGTACAATGATGAAAGCGTGTAAGGCTCGCTGGGGTGGATGTATAACTTGCGGGTTCTGTGCAATGGCACCATGATTGCCTTGACAGTAACATCTGGAAGACGAGCTTTAAATGTCGCCGAAAGCTTTGCAAACGAGCATAATCCATGGCCCTTGTTACTGTTCACCTCTCCGGTTTCTCCAATGTGATTGAATTCAGTACTGAGCCAAGCATCGTAAACGTTCTCCACAGAAAGCTGGTCACTAATAAACTTTGAAGTTAACACAGCAATCATAATAGGTAAAACGTATGAGACAGCGCCTGTCAACTCAAACATAATAACAACCACACATAAGGTCAATTTGGTGATACCAGACATGAAAGCAGCAGCACCAACCACGGCATGCGATGAAGGAGAAACGAGACAAGACTTTGCAGTACATGTTGCTAGGTAATCGCCTTCAACAGCTTTTTGAATGGCCTGAGAAATTATACCAATGAAACGACCAACAGTACCACCCATCACCAATGAAGGCATCAAAATACCTCCTGGAAGCAGGAGACCGTATGAATATGCAGATAAGCAGAAGCCTTGAATGACAATGTAAACTAGCTTGAAAAGGGTGCTTACTGTCGAAGGCTGACACATGAAGTTTTCCGAGTTTGATTCCAATGTTGAGTCATCCTTAGGACAATCCTTGAAAAGAATCTTGAGGAAAGCAGCAAGTGGCATCCTTGTTAAAGGAATGGCAAACGTGAGTAAAGCGGTCAGCAAAGCAACGAGGAACAATTCCGCATATTTTCCATACTCTTCCTTGACGCGTCCAAGCATTGCCAAATGTCTCCAAAGTCTCTTTTTGAAGCTGGGATCAGAAAATCTGAGGTAGAATTTGGTATAGAAGTGTCCATAAAGACCTCCAAGAACTCCAAGAAGCAAGAAGGGGATGATCTCTAAGAAAAGCCAACTGAAGTTACCAAACAGGACCTCAAAAAGATCCTCTTCCTGGAAGTTCTCACCATCCGTAAATGACCTTACACCGTTGAGTGCCACGAGGGCCACTGTAGCGCAAACAAACGAATTCCACATAATCTTTGTGGGAACGAAGTAGGATGGAAGAAGCTCAACGACGAAAAGAACACCGCCAATTGGCGAATTGAAAGCAACAGCAATACCAGTTGCTGTAGCAGCACTCAAAAGTTCACGTCTAATACCCTCTGTAGCAGCATCACCAAAAATGGCATCGAAACATATGTACATTATGCAACAGGAAACGTGGACCAAAGGGCCCTCTATGCCTAGCCAGAAGCCTGAACTGACGACAAGCACCAAGCAAATAATCTTGTAAAAAAGCGTTCTAGCGCCCAAGTATGTTTTAAGGTAGTAGTTGAAACCAGAAATAATGAGCTTTAGCTCTGGGATACCTGACTGCTTGATCATAGGAGCTTTATTGATAGTAAGAACACCAGCAGCCATCGAGAACGTCAACACGAGTATCAAGTAGATAGGCAAGCCTAAAAGACCACTAACAACGATATTCCCAGAACCAGAAATAATCTGCAGCCAGTCGTACCAATGGTCAGCAGGACAGGTCAGGTATGGATTAAGCAAAGACCAAGTATCTAAACTGGAGAAGCAAAGACCCTTCTTAAAGTCATTGAGGAACACGGAAAACAAATCTATAATGACAGTAGCATATCCAACAAGCAAAGAGCTGCCAATCAACGTCACCCATTTTTTCAGTGACATGCTGCCTCCACTCTCTCTATTAGACTCTTTCATCCAGTCAATGTATGTATTGTTTTCGTAGTGACCCTGGAGCGGCCACTTCTCTCTGCCTGTTTGAGGCGTATATAGTGGATCATTGTACCGAACTGTCGGTATGTAATCGTCTAATTTGTCCATTGTGGGAGGTCTAGTGCTAGAGCATGAGGTGTTGCAAAAAGACCGAAGCCGATCTGGAGTAAGTAAAGCGAGGTGCACGGGTGCACAGCACAGAAGGGCCATACATTTTGATGAAAAGGATAAAAAATTGGATTTTAATGAAATATTTCATTTAGGAGGAACGTTAACTTTATTTTGAGTCTAATTTTTCACTCAACTATAGCGTTTCATTCAGCCTAGTTGGACCCTTTTGCAATCATCATATTGGGCACTTCGCGAGTACTTAAAAAAACAAGCTAAAAAACCATAAGGTGTGAAAGACAGGCTCCACACATCAGAGCATCTATAACTTGATCCTTATAAGCTAAGCTGTCTCTTCGTTCATTACCATGTCATTCCCCCTAAACTCGGCGTCGAGCCTCAATTCGTCCTCGAACCTCAGTCTGGCTAACCTGAACACCAGTGCTGCCACTGGACAAGAATTAGCAAACGATGTGCTTGTGCAAAATGGCCCAGAAGATAGTATAAGCGATATGGCATTTTCTCCTCAGCAGGAGCTTCTTGCTGTTGCCAGTTGGGATAAGAAGGTTAGGATTTACGAGGTGGATCCTAACTCTGGTCAGAATCAGGGTAAGGCCTTGTTTGAGCATGAAGGTCCTGTTCTCAGTGCCCGTTGGTCTACGGATGGCTCTAAGGTTTGCAGTGGTGCTGCTGATAAACAGGTGAAGCTTTTTGACTTGGCTTCTCAGCAATCCCAGCAGATCGGTGTTCACGATGCTCCAGTAAGAGCAGTCAGGTTTGTCCAGTGTGGCCCTACCAACACCGAAGTTGTGGTGAGTGGTTCTTGGGATAAAACATTGAAATACTGGGACACTCGTTCTCCACAGCCCATCTCTACAATTCAATTGCCTGAGCGTGTCTATTGCATGGATGCTTCTCAGAAGCTTTTGGTTGTGGGATGTGCTGATAGACACATTGCTGCTATCGACCTTAATAACCCCCAGCAGATTTTCAAATCGCTGCAGTCGGCTTTGAAGTACCAGACGAGAGTAGTTTCTTGCTACCCTCAGGGCAATGGTTATGCTATTGGATCTATTGAAGGAAGATGTGCTATTCAATATATCGATGAAGCCGAGCAGCAAAAGTCTGGTTTCTCCTTCAGATGTCATAGAACATTGCCCAACGGTGCCCCAGCCACTTCATCTGCTCGTACTGTGCCAAACCAGGAAGTTCACGTGTACCCTGTCAATGCTATTTCTTTCCACCCAATTTACGGTACTTTCTCCACCGCTGGTTCTGACGGTACCTTCTGTTTTTGGGACAAGGACGCTAGACAGCGTTTGAAGAACTTCCCCTCGGTTAAAGCCAGCATCACTGCCACGGCATTCAACAGAAACGGTACGATATTCGCCTATGCAAAGAGTTACGACTGGTCCCAAGGATACCAGGGCAACCGTCCAGACTACCCTAACGAGATCAAGTTGCATGCAACCAAGGACGATGAGATCAAGCAGAAGAAGAGGCGATAGATGGACAAGCTGGTAGGTACTCCGCTAGCTCCTGCAAACGCTGTTTCGCTATGTGGCCTGTTGATCAATACTCTACAGTGATAGGAATAGGCCCTACATGTCCCCTTCCAGTATCCTGATGTTGGTTGCACTTTGCATCTTTTCGCAGCCATTCCCAATGGACACTATATAGGACCCAGGAGAGAAGCCATATGGATAAGGTTAGCAATGAAGATGCCACAGAACCTACCGAAACAGCGAGTCTAGAGCCTTTTGCGGTGCCTTTAACTTCACCTGGGAATGTCGTCCCCTGCAATGTTTCACTCTTCACGGTTTGCGTTCATCAGTTCTGTCTAGCCAATCTGGCCCCTCTCATTAAACGCGCTAAGTCAAAGACGCAAGGGCTGCAAAGGCCAAAGAATAAAAAAAGAAGATGATGAAGGTACACCCGTGCACCACAGGTCCCAGATCTCTCTCAGCGAGTGGACAGGGCCGAAATTTCGCCCTGGTTTCTTTTTTCGTGCGTGCGGGTGGGTAGGTATCGTCTTACGTCGAATCATTCCGCGAAAAAAACCCAAGCATCCCAATCTCATAACTCCCAAAGTCAAATCCTCTCTTTGACAGGCGGGCTTTTTTCTCATCCTTCAAACTCTATCATAGAAAAAAACCAAAAATATTTATTATCATGAAACGCCAAATCATCCCTGAGGCGTTTGTAAATCAAAGAGAAACCATCGACAAAACTTTAATCGAGGCCCAGAACCAGCCTTCTTCCTACTACACCAGGCGTAACAACCGCAGAGGCCCTCAAACCGGCGGTTCAACAAATGGTGGTGCTTCCTTCCATGCTGGTTCTTTAAGTCACAGCAGTTCTGCTAACTCCACTAATAGCCAGCAGCTCAGATATGGCTGGAACCAGCCTCAGGCTCAAGCCCAGGCGGCTGTTCCTCTTGCTCCTTCTTCCTCAAACATGGGCATGATGGGCGTGGACGTGTACGGCTTCAGGAACAACGGCAACAAGTTTGGCGGCACTGGCGGTGCCGGTATGGTCCATGTACCACAGATTTTCGACGACCAGCCTGTCACGAAACCTCTGGTGTCGCTGGTGTCTCTGCAAGGTCTGGTGAGAAACACATCAGATGGTAGTCCTGTTGACCCTGCGCTTGGCTCTGCTACTAATGTCAGCCCTAGCCTTTTACCTGGCCAGGGTACTGGTATGTCTGGTGGAGCTGCTGGAGTCAGAAATGGGACCGCCAACGGGCTTGTTGGCGGTATGTCCACATTTGATCCTTTCAGCGAAAAGGACCACTTATGGCTGTTTAATTCATCAAACAATTTTTTGGGCGGCAACTTCGCTCCGCCCTCCACTAATATTTGGGGTGACAACAATAAGACTGACGCTGCTGTTTGGGGATAAGGGCCTGCTGGAGCGGGTCCCCTAAGTCCCTCTGTTGTGTACAGTTGATGTACAGTTGGAGGCCCCTGCAAGGGTACGGCCCAGTTAGGGCAGAGGATTGGATAAAAAAAGAGAGATATATTCGGAGAAAAAAAAAATATTAAGAAAAAAAAAAGAGAAGATTAAGACCAGTCTGGAGGCTGGATAGACGCGTGATGAGATGAGAGATGTTTTGTTTTAAAGGCTAAGCTGTGTGAAAAGTTTCTGCGAGCCCAACCCCCCATAATAACTATTTGGGCGCGCTGGATTGATAGTGATTTTTTGTTCTTTTGCAGTTTACAGTTGCAGTTTGCGTTTACGTTTTCGTTTGTTTGCGTTTGCGTTTGTGTTATTACGGTGAACGGTGTCTGGTTGGCCCGGTGTCGGTATAGGATTGTAAGTAGATGGATACATGTCTGCTTGGATATATGAATTGGGAGTGCGTAGATTGTTGGAGAGTGGTTGGTGGTTGCAAAAAATGGTGTACGGGTGTATGTGCCAAGGCCAAGAGATGATGACACTCCACACAACAAGACCCAATGACCTGGTCTTTGTGTCAAGGACCCTGAGCGTGATGGATAAAAAAAAACGGGCAACAGGACGTTACGTTGTTACATGTGTGGTCATGAGTTCGTTGCATGGAATTGATCCGGTTGAATATGAGCTGGTGCACGGGTTTCTTACATTATCAGCAAGAACCATCAAGCCACCCCACATACAAACCAGTAGTCCAAGCCTCAGGCAGAAATTCACGCAAATTTGGCTTTACGGGCATTTTTCCATAGGAGGCGTAGAGTTGACTCATATTCTGTTGAACTAGGCGACTTTTATTCAAGAATGTAGCCGCCCAAATGGATTTTTCCAAGGCCCTTTCAGACCAGAAAAAAAAAAAATAACCCACTCTTTTCCGCATTCGGCAATGTCACCAGTGGCCAGACAAAGAGGAGAATTACAATCCAACCAGGGTTTCCGCCAACCAGCGACCAACAAAAAAGAGAGAAAACGCCATGGTTGGGTGGAAAGTGGTGGGCACTAAAAATTCAGAAAAAAAAAACTTCAAAAACATGTATTCCTTGCACTTTCCATAAAAAATCGTGCAACTTGTTCGTTTGCAGCCACCAGCCACTTTGCTGTGAGGAAGGGAAAAAACGAGACAATTCAATAAAAAAAAAGACCCTGGCCAGGTTTTCCACACAGTTTTTGTTATACGCAGCATCAATTGAAAAAAAAGAATGGTAAGAGAGAGAAAAAAACGAAAACAGACAAAAGTTGAAAATGTAGTACAAAAAAAAAAAAAAACTAGCATAACAAGTAAACATGAAGAAGTAGAAAACATAAAAATTCTCTGGTTTTGTTCAACCTTCCCAGTCAATTTAAGTGGTCTACGTCGTTGGTGGATTTTTTTTTTTCCCTCGCTGCCCTCCTTATCTCCCCTCGACTCTATCCAGTCCCCTCATAATTAACTTTCTCAAAAGTTCCTCCATCCATCTTCACTAAACCTACCTCAACCACAGAACACCAAGCGTTTTTCCCACACCACCGATTTTTGCCTTCTTGTGCCTGAAAAAACTTGCAAATTCCCGTCTTCTATGAGTCATCATAGTACGCCGCAAATTCACCCCAAACGGACTCCGGGAACGATGGCCCTGGATACCCCGAGCCAGCTAGGCAACACAGGCGAAAACTCCATCAACACCACTGCCACGTCGGTGTCGCATGGGTTGATGGATCTGTCCCGATGTGTATCGGACGCCAACGTGGCGTCTCCAAAACAGCTTCTCAACGCTTACATATATGACTTTTTGATGAAGAATACTTTACCTCAAACTGCTCGTCTGTTTGTCTGTGAGGCCGAAATCCCTTCTGTACCATATGACCAGGCCCACTCGCCGTCCAAAGCGTCGCCTCTGCTTCTTGGCTCCACGGCTCGTCAGCAGGCAAACCAGCTTCTGGAAGAGCATCATTTGCCAAGGTTGTCGCTTTCTATGGATGCGCCACAGGGCTTTCTCTTTGAATGGTGGCAGGTCTTCTGGGACGTTCTTCAGGCTAAGAACGAACGTTCTCCTTCTTCAGTTGCATCCCAATATTACCAGATGCTGCTTATGAAGCAGAGACAACACCAAGAAGCTCTGGGTATGGAGTGGCTGCTGAACTTCGGTCCACAGTACCAACAGCATCAACAACAGCAGCAACAACAGCAACAACAGCAACAACATCCACTGGCTAACCCACAGATGGCTTCCCAACAGCAGTTCCCTCCACAACAGTTCTCTGGTCATCCACAACTGGGCGATCATCCACAAGGTCAAATGGGTATGATGCCCGGTCAACAGATGCCAATGCAAATGATGGGTCCACAGGGACCAGTGCAGAATCCACAAGCGGCCCAACGACAATTCTCGGCCGATGCAAGGCAGCAGCAACGACTCATGATGTCCATGATGATGAAGCAGCAGCAGCAACAACAACAGCAGCAGCAGCAACATCAGCAACAACAACATCAACAACAACATCAGCAGCATCAACAACAACAGCATCAACAGCAGCAACCTCAAGGTAGCCAGGATGGCCAGCCTCCAGCTCAAGCTCAGGTACTGCAGAATCCTAACTTCAATAATGGCATGAATAGAGCCTCCATGAACGTCACAAATGGTATGCAAATGCCAATGAATCAAGGAAATGGCTCTCAAATGCAAATGGGCATGGGCATGAATATGGGTGCACCCCAACAGATGTTTATGCCGCAACAACAGCAGCAACAACAACAGCAAGGTCTTCTACCTCAACATTTGCAGCATCCTCAGCTTCAACTGCAACAATCGCCTCAGCAAACTCCCCAGCAGGTCCAACAGGCTCAACAACAGCAGCATAATCGCATTCAGGAACAGGCTCAGACTCAAATGAATAATTTGAGACAACAAGCTGCCTCTGCACATCAACATCAGCAGCCCAAGCTGCTGACTCTGCAGACACCCCAACAACCTGGTCAATAACAGGCCGCTGCTGCTGCTGTTGCTGCAGCTGCCGCTGCCGCATCTCAACCGCCTTCGAACGAAGATTTAGGCAATGGCGCCAAAGGAAAGCAAACACGGCCTATCAGACCCGGTCTGCGACCACCTAGTGGCATGCCTCAGCAATATGGTCCACAAGGTATGGGTAACGGCGGTATGTCTCCCATGAACTACTCTGGTCAGATGCTTAGGCAAGGTCAAAATGGTAATGGTGTTGAGCAGCCTCAGAACAACCAAAACAGAAACACCAATGCTTTGCAAGACTACCAGATGCAGCTCATGCTCTTGGAAAAGCAAAATAAGAAACGCCTCGATATTGCTCGCAACAGCAGTGCTGGCGATCTCAATTCCATGCCTCAAATGCAGCAGGTACAGCAAGATGGCGGTATGATGCAACAAGGTCTTCAGAATGCACCTCCCAAGGCCTCCCCAGCACCTTCTCCTGTCCTCAATAACAAGAATCTGCCATCCACGAAGAGCAAGAAGGCTACAACGGCGAAGAAGGCCACCAAGGCTTCTGCTGCAGCTGCCGCAAGCGGCGCTAGCGCTAGAAGCAGCATGTCTGGAGGTGTCAAGAGAGAGAATATTACTCCACTTACACCAGCTGCAGATTCGGATTTCACCAACAAAAAGAGAAAGGGTTCGACGAGTGATTCACCTGCCAAGAAAGCTTCTAGTAAAGCTGGTGTGAAGAAAGAAGAAGAAAAGTCCAAGAAGAAGTCTGAGGAGAAGTCTGACTCGCAACTTATCGAAGGCATCGATCTTGATAAGAAGCCAGACGGACAAGACGAAGATAAGTTTCAACCTTCTTCTGCTTACTTCCACGCTTCCTTGGGCGGTAATGACAAGATGGTGTCCGTCGACATTTTAGGCGGCGCTACTAATGGCGATAATAATTTCTTCAATTCCGCAGTGACTTCAGGCATGGATGATGTCGACTTCGAGTTCAATAACTTCTTGGACTCAGCTGACGCTGGCCTCAATGATAGCATTACTGGGTTTAACTGGGGTAATCCAATCGAAGGTGGCGATTGAGGTTGCGAGATTCAATTATTTCGGAAGAGGATGGTTCCTTGTTTCATGTTATTCACAAAAAAAATTATGAGTGGCTTGGGTTTAGACGTTTCGACGCTTGGTTTAGAATCCTCTTTCGCTATTAAAAGTTAATTTTAGTTCTTGGAAAATTAGAGTATTTCATTTAATTTCTATGTTTTATTAGTATGAAAATGTTTTGTATGCATAGGTTAAATAAGCTGGTTAAATTTCCTTCTTCTCTTTGGACACTGTTCTAGGCTTGAACCAGATATCAGAGTTCATCCAAACCGCTCCAAGTGTGAGCGATAGGATACTCACAAGCAAAGCAGAGCTTGTTGGTGTGGCGGGGAACACGTTCCAGCACCATTCGTGGACAAGATATATACCTCCAGCAACAAAAGGGTTGAAGCCAGTGGCGTATAAAAGGAATGGGAGTTGCCAGCAATACCATGAGAGAAACTGGTAATGCAATGATCTTGCAAACAAAACTCCTGTAACGTTTGTTGTTGCAAATATCAAAAGGATCAATCTGGGTCCATCCTGTTGCGATAGAAGGAGATTCTTGTTGGACACGGTAGACTTGAAAGGCTTTAAGCCATCAATGATGAGTTGCTTGACAGATTTACCCGTAACTCGACTGGAAATAAATCTCGTGAAAAGGAAGAATGCAAGCACAGTAACATGGCCAACGAGAAGTGCAGTAGAAAAGGAATCCGAAAGGAACACTTCTTCGGAAACGAATTTCCAATTGACAGTCCATTTATAAAGGAACTTCCTTGAAAAATTGAATGCCTGGTTGATATAGGTCCATCTAATGTATGACGCTTCTTCGTCCCAGAATAAAGGCAAGAGGAAACGCCAGCCAACAAGCACTTGTACAGCTGGAATCACAAGAAGAACAGCAATGAACTTCACCAAGTTCTCACCCAAAAGGAAGTATGAAACAATTGCAAATGCTGGAAAGTATAAAATAGCGTTCATCTTCACTGAAATCGCCAATGAGAATAAATCAGCAGCCACTGCGTTAGCCAAGAACATCAAGGTACCTGTCAATGATTTGTGCCAGTAAGCAGCTTGCTGAAGAATAACCACAACACCTACCATTGCAGCTGTTGTGAAGCAATCATTGAACAAACGCAACACGTAGATGGATATAAGTCTTCTGCTTAGAAGTAGAAGGTACAACGGCCAAGGCAGAATACCTTCCACCATAGTATAGGCAATCGAAGACAACGCAACAGTGAACGTGAACAAGTAACTAAAGAAGAACTGAACTCTTCCAATGTTCACACCGCCATCAGCGACCCACTGCAAGAACTGGTAAACTTGAACAAACCCAGCAGGATACACTATTGGACCAGTGTCGCCCACAATGTTCGAGTAATCCAATTCACCAGTATTCACGATATCTATCTGCTGCATGTATGTTGAAAAGTCAATCTCGGTGTATTTGACCTTCAGGATCACTAACTTGCCAGCTATGGAAGCTAAGGCCACGACCATGGGTACTGCTAGACGGTTACACATTGGGTCATAGATAAGGGCCTTGATACCGTTGTAGACATCGCCGGCCAAATTGGCAACAGTTAACTTCGGTAATTCCTTCTGAGTCTCATTATGACCATTGTTCAGGCTTTGAGCGCTACCTGGTTCGGACCGTTCCTCACTCATAGTAGTTGGTGTTCGCGATGTTCAGACGCGGCCTAAGTAACTACTACTACTATTCATCAAATCCTGCCCAAACGTACTTTTCTATAAAATTATACAATTGCACGTACATGACGCTTCTTGAGCGTTCTCAAAACGTCCCTCTTTCTTCTTTTACACTCACGGCCTGCCTCTCCTCTCATCAGCCAGAACCATCTCTCATAGGCATCTTCCTCACCACGACCATCATCTCTCACTTCGTTTCCATGTTCTTCTCCTGGCAAGGTAACAGCTTCACTAGAGTTGCCAATCTTGCTAAGCTGTGTTTGCGTTTGCATAAAAGGAGATTCAAAGTGGGTCCAGAAAAGACCGAACTTTTTAGCTTTGACGGTTGACGCTTGTACATCCTCTTCCTGTTCTTGTTGTTTGAGAGAGATCTGCTGAGCCAACTTTTGTCTTTCTTCTTCATCAGCCTGTTTCCTTTCAATGTCGATATCTTCGTCGGATTCATCAAGTCCCAACTTGAAGCCACTGTCGGCTGCAAAAAGACTATTGGTGGGTTTGCTTGATTCGAACAAAGAACGGAGATTTTCCGTCTCGTTGGTTGTTGAATTGGTTGGTGCAGTTTCAGGCTGTTCTTCAGCATCTACCGAATCCTCTGGTGCATCTTCGGGTTGCTCTGGATCTCTATGCTCTTCGTCATATTGTTCCTTGATAGCCTCAGTAGCATATTGCTCACCCAAATGGTTAACGTCAATTTCATTACCTTCATCGTCTTCATCAAAGTAAACTTCTTCCTGAGGTCTTTCATTAGCCAGAAGAAACTTCTGAAGCGACTCGCCATTTTGTGTGCCGTGGTTTTCACTTGAATCATCGAATTCAACGAATCCTTTAGTCTCGAAATCATACAGTTCCACGTTTTTACGGCCTTTGCTGTCATAGGTGACTGCATTTTCATCGTCAGACTTATCATCGTCAAGGGCCACAGGTTTATCGAAATCGTAACTCTCGAAGAAGCTTGCAAGAACGTTACTGTTGACGTCCTTGTCTTTATCAACTTCCATGTCGTCCTCGACCTCATGATGAGCACCAGTCCCATACTCAGCAGCCTGTCCTCCATCAACAACGCATTTATCGGCTGGAATGCTTACTCTTTCGACAATATGGTCGTCGCCAGATCTCCAAGCTCCATTGGAGAACTTATAAGTGAGCTCACTGGCAGACTTCTTCTCCACGCCCCAAAGCTTGGTCTTGTAGCACTTAATCTGTTTAAGCTCTCCATTTATAAGAAGCCTCATGGTCTGCTGCTTTCTAACGAAATAAGCAGCAGGACGAGGAGTTGTCCTCATTCTTCCCTTAACCACTTCTGCGCGGCCACTTGTTCTAGAGTACTGTTGTGCTGATACCGCCTTTGGATTGAGTGTAGTTCCATAGGATTTGGGCCCCAGAAGGCTGTGAGATGGCGCCTTGTTCTTTGTATTAGCACTCATGTTATTTGTGGTGTGAGGTGAGCATGAGTAGCCGATGCTGGAATTATTAGGAGCTGGAATGCTAGTGGAATGCAGTGGTGCACCTGTAATGCTATTAGATGGGAAATTTGTAGATGCTTCACGAATTCTATTATTCCTAGCAGCAGCGATGTTGGCCAGCTTGGCTAGGGTAGCCTTAGAGATCTCTGGTCTGCCAGAGTCTTTCTGCCATCTCTCCATGTAGTCGTTCTTAGCAATAGATACAGTAAGTTTGCGTCCCATGAAAAGAATACCGTTTAAAGAGCTTTTGAGCTTTTCAAGCAGCTTATCTGAGATTTCCATATCGATAAATGCAAAAAGAAGTCATTGACAGGCTTCGTTCGAAGGTCTATAGCGCCCTTGACGGTTCCGAATTTTTCCAATCTAGTAACAAGAGAGTCCTTGCTCTCGGCAAGCTTACTTGAAATGTTACCGATGTGTATCCGTCGGCTCTGAGGGGTATCCATTGCGGTCAAATCAGTCTCTAATGTATGCAAAAATCGATGTGTAGTAGGCAGTGATGAGGTTGATGAGGTGCACGGGTGCAGGTCTGGCGATTTTCGCTTGACGAGGCTTCTTGATTTGCATACTCTGAATGGGACTGATAAAGGAAGGAAAAATTGGAATTCTTTAACCAAAAGAAGAAAAGCTGTGTTGTTCTTTTAACAATAAGAAGATCTTTTGAGTCTTTCAAGTATCCGTTTTTTCAAAAACCTGGACATCTTTCATCTCTGACTCTTGCCATAGTTAAGGCTCAAGTATGGCTTCAGTAAACATCAACCTTCTCTTTTATTAGTGTGGCATTGTAATTCTTCCTGATTCATTATTACTGTCCATTTTTGTTTTCACAAGCCACCGTTTTTGACAGTTACCAGAAGGTACCCCCTTTTTGCAAATAAGCCTCACTGCTGGCTGCCACAGTTTACGCTTTATCGGAATTATCGTTGCAAAAATGATCCATTCTCATAACAGCCTCTTTTCGGTTGTTTGGGCTTCCATGATGCCACTTTGGGTTCCCCTTTGCGTTTCCGTCATGCGAGGTATATACCTTTCCTCGGATGAAGGCTTATACCAGGTTTTACCCCGGCATGCCGTTGACAATTGATCAAATCGTAGAAATTCAAGCAAGACCTTATTCTCTTCTAAGATTTCTGGGCACTAGAGTTCTCTACAATCTTCAATATTCCACTTTTGGCATTGTGTCAGTGTTTACTTATCCGGCTTTCTTGACAGGTCCATGCAGCCAAAGTAACTTAAGCGAGACACTCCATGCACACGGCTGCCAAAAAGGTGCCATAGTCTCGAAAAAAGATAAGCACCAAGCCGTCCTGGCGTGTGGCCCTGTTTTACACATTTTCCAGAAAGCCCCCTTTTGGCCGGGTACAAAGATCAGTATAAAACCATGGTATCTGGGCTGTAGACTTTCCAAACCCATGAAGTTCGCTTACATTCTTCCAGTATTGGCTGGAGCAGTTCAAGCGACTGTTTCTCTTGACTTTAATGTCCTCAGAGGCAAGGACGCTCGTGAGTTTGCTCAAACTCACAAGACCAGTATCGGATTATCCAAGAGAGATAACACTTTGGATGTCCCTCTTGATAATGCTGCTACCTTCTACTTGACGACCTTGAAGGTTGGATCAGATAAGCAGGAAGTGCAAGTTTTGGTTGATACGGGTTCGTCTGATCTTTGGTTTGCAACTTCTCCATGTTCTGAATCTCAATTGTTCAGTTGGAAAAAGAGAGAAGATGAAGCCGAGGAGGAGAGTGACGAGGAGGATGAAGCTGATGAAACGCCTACTCCCACCACTGAATCTTTCTACACTGGCTTCATCACTGGTGCTGATTCATTGATTCCCAAGTTCTCGTCTTTTGTTTCCTATGAGCTGGCTAACAACCCTATTGTATCTTTGGGTGAGAACGCCTCCAACTATTATTATGCAACCGAAGCATGCACTGCTTATGGCTCTTTTGCAACCGGTTCCTCAGACAGCTTCAAGCCAAACAAGACAGAAGATCCATTCTATATCTCATACGGCGACTACTCCTATGCTCTTGGTTACTGGGCTAGCGATGATATTGAAATCGGTGGTCAGGTAGTTGACGGTCTTTCATTTGGAGTTGCTCCATACACTGACTCTTCCGTTGGTGTTTTGGGTATTGGCTTGCCAGGACTTGAGGGTACAGTGAGGGTTTTGCACCCAAATAGATCTTACGAGTATGAAAACTTGCCATTGCGTCTCAAGAATTTGGGTATCATCCAATCGAACTCTTATTCTGTATGGTTGGGTAAGAACAATGTCTCTCAAGGAAGTGTGCTTTTTGGAGGATTAGACACTTCGAGGTTCACTGGACCATTGACCAAGTTGCCTATTATCAATGAATACTCCAAGTTGGGTGTTGAGCATCCAATTAGAACTAATGTTCTTTTGAATGGTATCTCTGGTGACAACGTCGATGTCGATTATGACGTTGTTGCACTTCTTGATACTGGAACAACGTTGGCCTACTTGCCTCAAGTATACATTGATCCACTTGTGGAAAAGACTAATGGTGTTTATGATGAAGGTCAATATAATGTCTCTTGTGATGTGCTTTCTTCCAAGGAAGAAATTTCATTCAAATTTAGTGGTATTGATATCAAGGTGCCTTTAGGAGATTTGATTTTCCAGGTCAATGGCTACGACACAAGCGAAGGATGTGTTTTGGGTGTGTTGGACGGCGGAAATAAGAGTGCCATTTTAGGTGATGTCTTCCTTAAGAGTGCTTATGCTGTGTTTGACTTTGACAATTACGAAATCGCCTTGGCCCAAGCTGCTGGTGAGGAGAAACAGGAAAAGGAAGGGTCCAACATCGTTACTATCTCCAACGGTATCCCTAGTGCTTCTTCTGCTCCGTTCTATTCTGCTACTACATTGAGCGATGTCTTGTACTACAACACTTCAGACAGTCTGTACTTCTACTCCACTTCCACATTTGGAGAGCACACTACGGTGGCTGCTGAGTCTGTATCATCCAATTGGTCTTCCAATGGTACGGGCCACACGCCATGGTACCACAGCGACTCTGGTTCGGGTAAAAATACTCCAGCAGCCTTGTACGCTATTGTGGTTGGTGCCCTTGGAGGAGCACTTTCCTTCTTGTAGAGTCGTGGCTCAGAATAAATATATTGAAATTCTTAAACGTACACACTATACTTAGGTAGAAGCCCACAAGTCCTTCAAGCCCATGATGGAGGTGATGGTACCGGCGAAACCAACGTCACCCTCGGTGAAGTGCAAGTAGTTCAAGGAATTGAGGGCAATGAACATGTCCAAGAAGTCCCAAATCAACTTTCTCTTGGCCTGGTAGATCTTCAGCTTGATGGCCTCCTCATCAGCCTTCTCGTCGGCAGAGGACAACTTAGCAGAGTTGATCTTGATCAATCTGAGAGAGTTGATGACACCGGCGATAAGACCAATGAGCCAGAATCTGGAAGCCCACAATGGGAAGTTGGCGAATCTCTTCTTGTCAACGAGACCCAACATCTTGATGAAAATGAAACCGTCCAAGGTCAAGTAGCCGGCGTAGCCCAAGTTTCTGATGACGGTGGTGGCCAGCAACACATGGTCCATGAGCTTGTTGTCGTAGGCCTTGGAGGCAGCCTGCAAGTGGTTCAAAGGCTTCAAGAATCTCATACCTTTTCTAAGGAAAGTGGCATTCTGCTTCAAGTCCTTGAACGTCTGGACGGTCTCAGCAGAGAAGCCCTTTCTTTGCAAGTAGTAAGACAAGAATCTAGACAAGTAGGCCACCAATCTGAAGGATTTCTCCCTCTTTGGGGTGGTGTCTATGAATTTAATGAACTTGTTCAATGTTGGGTGGTATACAAGGGAATCGACGACCATGGTGATTATTCTGTGGGGGTATGTGAAAAAAGGAGGAGGTGAAGGTATGTTTTTCTCACTTATACTGGACGGAATATGGGGTATCCTGCTTATGATAATGTCTCGCCAACCGAGGGCACGGGCCTACGGAAGTTACCGGGAGATGAACCGCTGGAGGAGCAAGAGTGAGGGAAAAAACAGAGGAAAAAAAAAAATCCTTTTACCCAATCACAGGTTTTTCCAATCCCTCCCTTGGTAACTTAGCGCTTTTGCTTGTTTGTCCATTGGCACTGAGTGAGCGTTTTTCCACTTTTTCCACTCCTAAGCGGCACATGCCTAGATCCGAGGATGCGCGGGGCCTGAAACTACAACGGTCAGCGATGCCATGAAGACAGGGAGAAGAGAAGAAACCAACCGAAAAATATGTAGACTAAAAATGTAGATTAAAAGTGTAGTAACTGAGAGTGTCCTAAGCATCTAAGTAGACTCTGGTTAAAGAGTACTTCCATTGTTAAATGTCTGCAAATGGCAGTTCAGTGTGGAGCCTGGCACCACTACCCCAGCTAACTATGTATACCCAAGGGAGCCAACGGCAGTTTATGGGCCTTTCTTGTTGCCTGTCACTGGCTGACCAAGGCACGACATTTCTCCAGAAGACTAAAGTTTGGCTGCGAAACGACATTGCTGTGGCTCGTTCGGGCTTTAGTACTTGGGGAACAGTAGAAGCAACCAGAGAAGGAGAGGAAGCAATGATAGAAGGTCTAGGCTGGGACTATGTATGGCTGGGGAGAAGTATGGCTGGAGATGTACGCGGGGCTTTATGGGTCGGTTGGTGGGTTACGGGGGAGTATGGGCAAGCATCGTGTGAGGTGTAGTCGCCATGAACGGTGGGCCGGTTATGGGAGGTTGATGGTGGTGGTAGTTGGAGAGTTGTTTGATATTATGGAAAGGGAATGGCAGTTTGTGGGAGTTCAAATTGGACTAGTGCTGGTTGTGTTTTACCAATTTCTATGGGCTGAATTTTGCTGGGTGGAGATCATTGGGTTAAGCTTTTGTGGTACGATGGACCCTGCTTCTGGGACTGGACCAATTAGGTCGGTTACTGCTCGCTAGGGAAGAGGACGGGAATAGGTATATGGGAATTGGTAGTTTTTATGTATTTTATGGTTTTTGGTGAACTTCTACATTTGAGGTGGTTTTTCTTGGTTGTTGGAGTTTCTTTTTGTAGTAGGCTTATCAATAAAGGTAGATCTGTATTCTCACTATTTATCTAAATAATGCACGTTCTGACAAAATCGTGAATACACGCTGAATTTGTAAAAGCAGATATTTTTAGTTAAGTACTCTCTGAACGGGACTAAAAACATCCTGGAACGTGAATTACGGGAAAGAACGCCTTCTAGTGCCTCTAAGACGGTTCTTCGTTAACTATGGCTCGGAATACTCGCATCTCCACCGTTTGCAGCCACCACATAGTAACCGTGGCCACCAAATCAATCCTTGTAAAACACAAGAAAATACATGAACCACCTCCTTCTAAAACCTTACCATAAGCATAAATAAACTAAACCCGGTACTTTCTTCTCCACGTCTTCTTCACCACTGGATCCATACTACTGTTGGTGTACCCTGGTGCATGTCGCACTCGAGATTATCAAAACACAAACACTCTTCTTCACCACACCAAGATGAGTACGATCCCCAACCATCTCTACGAGGATGGCAATACGACAGGGTATGGAAGGAAGCAAACGAAGTCAATTCTCAAAAACAGGGAAAACATGACGATGCCTAATCCTTCAATGCCACAGAGGCACTTTGATACTGCCTCGAGACTTGCAAATCGCAGGGTCTCTTTTGCAAATAAGGTGAAGCTTCATAAGATCGACTTTGTTCCGATGAACGGGGCCAGTTCGGAGAGTGAGATGATGGAGGAGAAGCCCGATAGCAGCTCTGATGAAGAAGAAGAGGAAGGTGATGTCAGTTTATCGGCGTTGGAAAAAGACGCCTCAGCCTTCATGGATCAAATGAGAAGTATTCAAAACGACAACAATAGCAGTGATGATGATGATCTACCTCAAAACGAAAACGTTACAGAGAGGTCGAATGATGATCAAATAATGGACTTTACGGGCCTGATACGACACACTCAGGAACAAGATATGGACTTCACGGATCAGCTCAATTCACACCAAAAGATGACTTTGGCGTATCCATTATCAACTGACAACCACAACAGCCATGAACATCTTCATCAGAACTACCAGAACCATAATTCTAATTTGGAGATCACTATGGAGCTTACCAAGAACGTTTCTTCTTATGCCATGATATCCAATACCCACCCTGAACGTTTCGGCATCGAAAGCCCAAAGCCACATTTCTTGAATGGCCATCGCTTGGAGTTTGACGGGAACGGTAACGAAGAAGCGACAATGGACTTTACGAAGTTTTTCAACGACTCGTCTCGCCATGAAATCTTCAATCTTCACGAAGCCGCCAGACTTAGTCCAATTCCTCTTCCAGGATTAAACATGCCATCTGCTTCTCAGGATGGCGATGATATGGAACTCACCCAGCAATTCCACAAGGCAAATGTTGATGAACATGACAAACATCAACAGACGAACGGCGACCTCCAGCAAAACAAAGTCGAATTCAAAGCACCTTCAACTCCACCGATATTACACAGTCCCCTGGTAAGATCAGATGACGGTCACTCGGTCAATGGTGAAGAGGCTGACCACGAGCAAACTATGGAATTCACAGGGCAGATCAGAGCTGTTAACCTGGGTCAGACGGACAACGAGAACGAACAGAATGGTGCAGAATCTAATGTGGAAGAACCCGAAGTTCAGGATGATCAGGCCAATCTTGAGCAGCCTGCCTCGGAAGTTCAGCAGTTGTCTTCACCGGAAGCCGAAACAGACAATAACCAAGGCGAGCATGATGGGGAAGAAGAGAACGAACAAGAGCCAGAGAAAAGCCCTTCAGAGTATGGAACTCCAGCAGCGTCTCCAACTAAGACCCCGGCTCTACCAGAAGACGGGTCAAACGGTGTCTCCGCTGCAGAAAAGCTCGGCGGATCCGAGGTACCACTCGGTGTGCCTCAAGAGGAGGCATCCGAACCACATCAAGCACAAGCAAATATACTGAGTATTCCTGTTTCGTCTAACGAAGTACAGGAGGGAGAAGAGGCAAATTTGGAAGCCAACGTTTCTGAAGCAAAGGACACCGAAGAGCCTATTGACGAGGATGTCGAGGAACAGGAGAAGGATACTTCTTTGAATGAGGAAGATGGGCAACAACATGGCTTGAAGACACCAGAAGCTGAAGAAGATGTTCAAGAGAAAAGACCAGGACTTCCAGATGGCAATGACGCGAAGACACCCGATGCAGCTGTCGAGGAAGAGAACGTACAAGGTTTGTCTCAAGAAGCTGCTACTGCTTCCAACCCAATCGAGCTGTCCCAGCCAATGGAACTCACCCAGTCAAGAAGCGAAATTCAGAATGTTTCTAAGATTGAACTGCCCTTAAAAAGGTCTTCTGATGGGTTTGATGAATCCGTCCTGAAACAGCAGCGGTCCGAAACCCATGTATCCACTTTGGATATACCGTTGGCCGAAACCTCGACTTTATCGGTTGATGGAGTCGACGAAGACTATGACGATCCAAATTACGAACCCGTGTCACTTCCTACCTTTCTTAATGACATTGGCGTAAAGTTCTACGATGATCTCGAGATTGCCACTGATACGGCTAATCGGTACTCCCTTGCCCTTCATGACGACGCAACTACTGTCTCTGACGAGGAATACTACAAGGCTAACGTTCACTTGCCTCTTCTTGAAGTGCTTGAGATGAGTTGCAAAGAACTCACGCAAAAGATTCAGCAAGGTAAGACTCTCTTCCAGGAAGTCAGCCAACAGACTCTTGATGATAATCCTGTTTTATTTAAGCAGTATTATCTGTCCTCATACTATGACCAGATATCAATGAAGTCCCATTTCCATCAGTTGAAGGAGTTCACAAGGCATCAAGCTAAACAGGTATGGTATCAATGGCGGACACAACTAATGCAGAATGTTTTGGAGGTGCAACAGGGCAATCTTGAGATACTTCAAGCGGACAAGGCAATCCTTCTGGATAGCATCGAAGAACTAGAAGCAACGCAGGCCAATATTCGTGCAGAATTGCAGCAGCTTAAGAATGATATTTCGTCATTCAAGGAGATAAAGGCTTCGTTTCAAGACTTGGACGCTAACCAGCTCAAGAATATTAAGCTGCAGTTAATGGAACTTAATCAGAAGCTTCTTGACCACAGGGATGACATAACGAAGAAGGAAGAAAAGCTTTCTAAGGTCGAAGAGAAGATTAAAGCGGTGAACGCTGACATTCAAAAACAGCAGGACGAATTACGCAAAGCAGAGAGCCAACTCAGTCGCAGGAGACACTTCAGCAACAAGGAAATCGAAGAGCTCGAAAACGACGTCGAAGAGACCGAAAGGCGAGCTGCCCTCAAGTATGTTTCAGGCATTGGAACAGACGACATTGAGTTTGAATGTAATTCTAACGTGGCTGCCGTTATTACTTACCAGGATTCTGTCCCATCGAGCATCCGTTTTAAGGAAAGAGAAACTAATGCTAGCGATTTGATATTCAAGAGCCTAGCACCTTTGGCATTGAAAGAACTCCCAAAGGAAGGTCTTTCGCCAGAAAAGAACATTACTGAGTTCAAGCTGATCTGGCAAAAGGTCAAAGAGATTGACATGGATCTTTACAAACTTTCGCTTAAGTATCCTTTGCAACTCAATGTTAACGAGGATAAATTCCGTGTCGAAATCACAGTTTTCACCTTCGGCTCTGGCACAGAGACAATATTCGAGCTAGAGCTTCAGGCGAGAGATATTATGAGCTACCCCAACCAGCTCGCTGTCACTGCGAAAAAGGGCAGACGTCTGGTATCAACCGATTTGAAACCCCCAGCACTAAAGGGCGTTTCAAAAGAGCTTATGGCAAAATTCCAGGCTCAAATTTATGACTAATGACTAGATAACGTTTTTATGATACACTATTATATATAGCTAATGAAGGACGCTTTTCGCCTACTGTGGGTGTACGGGTGTAAACTGGAGAAATCTTTCACTGATAAATCTACTAGTAAATACACAAGAACAAGACCTCTTCCATCTATCTTTCGGTCTCTCCAAAGAAGAAAACTCTCTTGCGCCTGATAGTCATGGACGACACGCTAGACGCATCTTACTACTTGGGTGGTAAAACTGCTGATGCATCCAAAACATTGGATATTGTCATTGGCAGTGGTGATATCGTCACGATTGACGAATTGCCTGATGACCCGCAAGAACTTATTTCTTTCTTGGAAGGAGAGTCCTGTGACGTGAAATATTGGATTCTTGTTGCTCAGGCTTATGCACATGATAGAAAGCTTGATGAAGCTATCACCATTGCCGAGAAGGGTATCTCTGTTAAGCAGCAGAGCGACAAAGACCGTTTATTAGTGCTTCTAGCTTCTATTCATTTTGCCTTTGCTTCTGAAGGTGTCAACAGAGCAGACCATGTTTTGAAAGCTCAGGAAGCCCTTTCTCAGGTGGACGATTCTACTTCAGTGCCAGCTCTCGTATCGCAGGCTGTTCTCCATGTTCACAAGGATGAGGCTGAAAGTGCTTTACAAGTATTCGACCGTTTATTGAAACTCGATTCAACAAACTGTATTGCTTTGCTTGGAAAGGCCCAAATTACGCTCAGCAAAACGCAGAACTACACCAACGCTTTGAAGATTTACCAGCAGGTGTTGGTATTGAATCCATTAATGAAGCCAGACCCAAGAATCGGCATTGGTTTGTGCTTCTGGTTCCTCAAAGACCGCTCGATGGCCATCAACTCTTGGGATCGTGCTCTTGAGATAGATCCAAACAATTTCAAGGCTAAGCTACTCTTGACTTTGGCCAAGTTCGACAATGTGTTCACCAACTCGCTCTCTGATGAGAAATTCATAGAAGGATACAAGAGCGTCATAACAGAGACATCAGATCTTCACAGCAAGGTGCCTAATGATAAAGTGATTTTGATTGTTCTTGCTTCCTATTTCTACTCGAAGGGTGATTATGAGATGGTTGAAAAAATCGTCAACAAGGTTGTCACATCCTCCTCCGCTGACATTGCCGCAGCAAAGTCCTCGAAGTTGAGCCCCTTTACCTCAAAAATCCTCTCCCAGGGCTCGTTCTGGCTCGGTCGTGTTGCATACGCCAAAAACGACTTCACCCAAGCTCAGAAATATTTCCATGAAGCCATCAGATTAGATGACAACAACTTGCTTGCCAAGTTGGGTTTGGGTCAGGCCCAACTTAGCCGTGGATCTTCGGAAGAAGCCATCATCACTTTCGAATCCATTGTCAGATCGAACTCTAAGTGCTTGGAATTCAATTATGCATTGGGTCTCTTGTATGCCCAGCTGAAGTCCCGTAGCAAGAACGATCAGGCCGTTCAAATGTTGGAAAGATACATTAGATTGTCCAACAATCGTGGATTGGCTGTCGCTAATATGAAAGAGGATGAGGCTTATCTTAACAAAGAGCCAGTTGTGCTCAATGCCTACTTACAGTTGAGTCAGCTATACCAAGCCAAGGATATTTCCCAATCGTTGACATACTTGCATAAGGCCATCGAAAGCAGGAAACAAATCGGTCTGGATGCACCATTGGAAGTTTACAATAACATTGGTGTCTTCAATTTCATCAAGAATAATGAAACTGCAGCAGCAGAAAATTTTGCCTTGGCTCTTCAAAAGGCCGACGACTACCAAGTACCGGAAGATGCTATTGATGAGGCCGTTCTTGATTTGGGTAAGGATTTGCGTGCTCCTATCACTTACAACTTGGCTAGATCAAAGGAGACGTCCAATGAGTCAGAAGCTATCGACACCTATAACAAATTGCTTAAAGAATTTCCCCACTACTTTTCAGCTAAGCTCAGGCTTCTATTCTTGGACGCTGTCTCGACAGATAAAACGCCTAAGAAGGAACTTGAGGAAGAAATTCAGTCTCTCTTGCAAGACAATGCTTCCGATTTAGAGGTGAGATCGTTTTATGGCTGGTTCATCAAGACGTTTGGCAAAAAGATTGGTCTTAAGCCTGACGCCGACACCCAACATCAAAAGCAGACCTTGGTTGATTATGATTCGCATGACTGCTACGCATTGATTTCTTTGGCTAACATTTACTGTGTGATGGCCCGAGAGATTAAGTCATCGAAGGAAGAAGAGAAGAAGAAGAAGTACTTCTTGAGAGCTCTCGAGTTATTCACCAAGGTATTGTCAATTGACGCTAAGAATGTGTTCGCTGCTCAAGGTTTGGCCATTATTTATATCGAGAACAAGGAGCTTACCAAGGGTCTTGATATCTTGAGAAAGATCCGTGATTCCTTGAATGATATCTCGGTATACTTGAACCTTGGTCATGTATTGGTCGAGTTGAAACAATACTCAAAGGCTATTGAGAGCTACGAGATCGCTCTTGTCAGATTCACCAATAGCAGTGATCCTAAGATTCTTTCTTTCTTGGGTCGCTCTTGGTACTTGAGAGGTCTTGCTGAAAAGAACTTGGGCTACTTGAAGAAGGGTCTCGAGTATTCCGAGGATGCATTTGCCAAATCATCTACGAATAAGAGTGCCTTGCTCTTTAACCTTGCATATGTGAAATTCCAGATTGCCGATTTCCTCAGTAAGGCACCTACCGAACAAAGAACAGTCGATGACATCAATGAAGCAATCAGTAACTTGAATGATGCCATTTCAGACTTGAACGGTCTTGCATCCGACGATGAGAAGCATCCTCCATTCCCTAAGGCCGAATTGAAGGCAAGAGCCAACATGGGTACCACCACATTGCTCAATAGATTGCATACATGTCTCGAAGAGACCAAGGAGAATGTTAATCAGCTCAACAGTAAGCTTGAGGAAGCAAAGAAGTTGAGACAAGAGGAGGAGACCCGGAAAGCACAAGAGGAAGAAGAGAGAGTGGCTGCTCTCAAGGTCAAGCAAGAGGAATTGGCCAAGGAGCGTGCCGTTTTGCAAGAGCAGGCTCAACAATGGGCCGAAGAAGCCAGACTGAATGTTGTTGTTGATTCTGATGATGACAAGGCATTTGATGAAGAGAAAAAAGACGGTAAGAAGAAGAAGGGTGGTAAGAAGGCTCAAGCGAACGGTAAGAAGGGCGGTAAGAAGGGTGGCCGTAAAAAGAAGGATTTCATCAACGACAGTGATGGAGATGATGCTCCACCAAGCGATGACAACGAGCCCGAGGAGCCAGTGTTGCCATCTGGAGATGAAGAGGAAGACGCTCCAAAGGCAAAGAAGACACAACGCAAGAAGCGTAATGTCGTTGATGATGATGAAGATCAAGACGAAGTTATCAACAATGCACCATCTAAAAGAAGAAAACAGTTTAAGTCACAAGAGATTGTGGAGGATTCTTCAGACGATGATGATGATGCAGACGCGGATGGGCAAGATAACGACGGCCTCTTCTAGAGGTGCTGGTGTAACATTAAAAAGACTTGTAGAATTAAAAGAAAATAAAAAAAGTATCGGTATATTAATTGTAAATTCAATGGCCATGTCACGTCTGGTTTGACCAGTTCCTGGCTTGTCTTTTGCTCTCGGCAGTGGCCTTATATAGTTTCTTCTCGAACTCGTCCAACGAGAGCAAGAACGAGCTGTTGACGTGTTTAGTGGTGTTGCTGGCGAAATTGTCAATCTCCAAAGCTCTCTGTTTCAAGAGCTCCATGACGATTTCAGCGACTTGTTGATCACTGAAAATATGAATCCATTGCTCTGCAAGCTTATAGTAGTTTGCTTTAAGGGAATGTAGGTCAACAGACTTTGGTTCAGCACGTATAGCGTTGAGTACCTTAGCACTGACAAAGTCAGGCGTAAGCATCTCCACAAAAGAAAGATCAGACTCTGACAGCAATTCACTCGTGGCCAATAGCTTAGCTAGCCACATAGGTAGTTCAACCTTTGTATCTTTCATAAGCGGTCTCCCTGGACTACCTTCTAGAAACCCAAGACCAGGATATGTGGCGTTGAAAGCGCAAGGCACCTTTTCGCCCTCCGCTAGAATATCGTCAATGTCGTAGTACCCCATTTAGTAGGTGTTGTGGAAGACTGGTGATGTTTACCAGAGACGCGAATGTGTGTTGTATGAGAGACGTGAGAAATGAGACATAAGACATAATAGGACACTGAGTAGCAAGTGAACATCCAGCAAAAGCCAGAAGGCAGTAGAAGAGAGAAAGCTTTGCTACCAGGAACCTTCTTCCTTTCATCCTTTCTACTTTTCGTTTTATCTTTTATTTTTTTTTATTATACATATTTTTTCATGGTTTGTCTCTTACTTGGACCAGAAGACGCTGGACCATCATGGAACAATAGGGTGCGCAAACATGCAATGGTTGCAAATAACATACTCAGCGTGCAGAGATGAGATGGTACAAAACAAGAGTTTACCAATATTCTATAAGAAACATTTTGAAAAGCCTCTGCCTCTTATTTTCACTTTTCTAGGCTCTTCTAAGCCAATGCCCCACGGTGGACCTCCGAAAGGTAAAATAACACAAAGTACCTTGGTGTACTGGTCGAGCATACGAGGGATATGAGACACAGTTTTTTATCTCTTCTCTTCACGTTCGAGCATATTCATCATGCCAGTCAAACCACCTCCAGAATTGAACCACGAATTGATCCAGGACGAGGATCCAAATGCCATGATTAACTACACTGATGCTATTGACTACTGGCTGTCTGTTCCAGCATCTGTCAATGGTGTACTTGGTGGTTTTGGTGAGCAGACCTCGGTGCCAAAAGCAGACATTGTTGGTTCTGCCACATTTCTTCGAAAGCTTCAAACGAGAATGGAGTGCCAGCCTGGTTTTGAAAAGCTTACCATTGATATGGGAGCTGGCATTGGTCGTATCACAAGAGACTTTCTTTGGAAAGTAAGCGACAGATGTGATTTGTTGGAACCAGTCAAGCCATTCGTCGAGCAAATGAGAAAAGAGCTTGTGCCTGTTGCAGAGAAGGGTAAGCTCGGTGATATTTACGATATTGGAATGCAAGAATGGGAAGCATCTCCAGAGAAGAAGGGTCGCTACTGGCTTGTGTGGTGCCAGTGGTGTGTTGGCCAGTTGCCTGACGAGGAGCTTGTCAAGTTCTGGATTAGATGCAAGGAGGCACTTATGGAGAACGGAACTATTGTTGTGAAGGAGAACATTGCTCCTCAAGATGACATTTTTGATGCGACTGACTCGAGTGTTACTCGTACTGATGCCAAGTTTAGGCAGTTATTTGCATCTGCTGGCCTCAAGTTGATCGCCAGTGACATTCAGAAGGGCCTACCGAGGGAGTTGTACCCAGTTCGCATGTACTGTCTCAAAGCGATGTAAACTAGGACTGGGTATTCAAAGGACCAAAGAAGTATAAGCCTTCTTTAAATCATTCTTAAACTATTTGTTGTTCAAAAATCAAAGCCTGCTTTTTTATATTTTGCTTCATTGTTTGATATTGCCACTTTTCCGGGGTAAGTCTGCTCCATCTAAGACATTCCTTACAGACAGGAAAGATGAGCTCTGGCTGAAAAAGTTCACTCTTCAACACATCGTCACAAACCATCATGTCCTTGAGAACCGCCACCGTTGCAGTGACCGCAGCTGTTGTAGCTGCTGCCGCTGTGGAGGCTTACCATCGTTATTTTGACTCACCTGTGGATTGTTCATCACATTCTCTGTCATCCACTGTGGCCAAGAAAGAGCATTCCGAAGAACTCATCCGTGAACAATTGACGAGAAACTATGCCTTCCTCACAGAAGAGGGTATGGAGAAGGTCCGCAACCAGCGCATCGTCATCGTCGGTGCTGGCGGTGTTGGTTCGTGGGTCGCCACGATGTTGGTTCGTTCAGGTGTGGGAAAAGTCAGAATCATTGACTTTGACCAGGTTTCCCTTTCATCACTTAACAGACACGCTGTTGCTAACTTAAAAGATGTGGGTATTTCCAAGGTTGACTGTTTGAAGTCCCATTTGCATGAGATCGCCCCATGGGTTGAGATCGACGTTCACAACAAGTTGTGGAACAAAGACGTGGGAGAAGAGCTCATCTTGGGAGGTGACTTCGATCCTACTTTGGTGGTCGACTGTATCGACAACATAGACACCAAGGTTGATCTTTTAGCCTTCTGCCACGAGAAGAAGCTTAAAGTCATCTCCTCTGGTGGTGCAGCATGCAAGTCTGACCCTACCAGAATCAACATTGCTGATATTTCCAAAACTGAGGAAGATCCTCTTGCAAGATCCGTCAGAATCCGTTTGACCAAGAGAGGAATCATTAGTAACATTCCTGTTGTGTTCAGCGCAGAAAAGCCTGACCCACGTAAGGCTCGTCTTTTACCCTTGGATGAAGATGAAATTGCTAAAGGCGATGTGGAGGAGCTAGCTGCTCTCAAGAGTTTCCGTGTAAGAATCTTGCCTGTTCTTGGTACGATGCCTGGTATGTTCGGTTTGGCATTGGCCACACACATCATCACTACTGTGTCTGGCTACCCAGTTGAATACGTCGAGGGCAAGAACAGATACAAGATCTACGATGGAATCTTACAAAGTTTGGCTGGCCAAGAGGCAAGATTGGGCCATTTGGAACAAAGAACGCCTGTTTCTCTCAGGGACGTGCCCTACATCGTTGAAGAAGTCTTCCGCGGCAAGTCCGTGGTGTCCAACTACTCCACGAGGTTGACTCTTTCTAGGTGGGACCCAAGTAAGGAGTTGAGTTATCAGAATGTTGTTGTGATGACAAAGGACGAGCAGAAGAACCATGAAAACAGGGTGTTGAAGGGCGAGGAGAAATTGGAGGATGTATATAGTGAAGAGGTACTTCAAAGGGTCGCTCACAGATTTGCTCAGGAGAAGTACTATTCTACCTTTAGGTAGTTGTTAATGGCATAGAATAAGTAATTAAAGCTTTTCACATAATCGCCTTCATGTAGTTAATACTGCTCTAGCCTACACACCCTGTCTCCACGGCCTACGACATACCAACCATGAAAACCCCAAAAACCCCAAATCAGCTAAAAACCAGAAAAAGGAAAAACTTCTTACTTTTACCAATTGGTACTTTTTTCCCGGGGCCTCGGCCTTACTACTTCCCGGTGTCCTTCCCACTGTGCGAAATTGATCTGTATCTGGCATAGCATCAACCACTCAATATACGCCATCCCCATGTTTAGACCAATGCTCCAGCAGGGCCTTCGGTTCGGCAGGCCCGTTAAGCTTCTCAGTAGAAGCAGATTACAATTCCAGCAGATGTTGAGGTTTCAGTCTGCCAACGCTGTCAAGAAACCTGAACCCACGGGGATGAAGAAGTTGGTGAAAGATTACGGTTACTCTGCTTTGGGTGTTTACTTGACATTGAGTATGTTGGACTTGCCGCTTTGTTATTTGCTTGTTCACCTGATGGGTAAAGAAGAGATTCAGAAATATGAGAACAAGGCTAAGCAGTATTTTGGCTACGGTAAGAGTGATGAACAGTTGGCAAAGGAGCAGGAGATTGATAGAATCCAGGAGGAACATGAACCTGAGCCTGAAGGAGGCATGTTTCCTTGGTTTTCGTGGACAGAGTTTGCTATTGCGTACGGTCTTCACAAGTCTGTCCTCATATTCGTTAGAGTGCCATTGACTGCTGCCTTGACGCCTACTATCGTCAAGACATTGCAGAGATGGGGGTTCCGGATCGGCTCGGCTGCTGCCACTACGCCTAAGTTCGGAACTAAAGTCACTAAAAAGAACAAGTGGTTTTCTTGGTTCTTCTGATACATGTACATAATAGTCTGGATGGTCTGCATCCCGCAATTCAGTTCATATGAACTTCTAAATAAATAGTTGAGATTCATCAAATCCCTAGGAGTACCTTGCATCTCTCGTAAACGAAGAAGGAGCACGCCAGCATGGGTATCACCTTCATGTAACCTATAGACAAGCCGACAAAGAATCCTCTGACCCCGCTTTCAGCAAAGATCAATCTGACTGTTCTTTTAAATGTGAGGAATTTGCCAGAGTTCACAGCTCCACCCACCTGCATTCTTCTTCTGATCACTTCAAATGGGTAAGCAGCTGTCTGGGAGCACATACCAGCGATTCCACCAGCGAAAAGCTGAGCAGATGCACGAAGTGGTACTCTAGAATCTCTAGAGCTGACATTTTGTTTATCTTTCGACATCTTCACCACTTTGTGGCTTGACACATAGGTATAGGGCTGTGCCACCATGTATGGGGCCAAAAGCTTGGACCTGAAAATGTCATGGATGGAGTCATGGACGTAAAAGGAAACGCCAGCGTAAGGAATCATACCCAAAATCGTTGGACCGAATCCTCTGTAGAAATTGGAAAGCGGAACAAGACTTTTAGGTGTTTTGCGTCTCATGAATTTGATCCAGCCTGGGTCCGACTCGCGGTGTGGTGGATGCTCAAGGTAAACCAGTTTTAGAATAGAAAATAATCTGCCCTTATGATGAGCAATAAAGTCTTGATGGTTATGGCCAGCGATGGTGTGCTGGAGATTTCTAGTTTCAAAAGCCAATCTGACTCTAACCAAATCTAATGGGTAAGTGAAAAATACACTGGTCAACCCAGAAAGCGAGCCGGCCATGAATCTGCGAACAGCTGTTTCGTAAGAGTCATTAGGAATGAGCATTGATCTGATCTGCTCGTATGCAACAAATTTGATGGCAGCGTATGGGAAAATACGAAGCAAAGTGACCAGGTGACCTTGGAAGAGGCCATAGAGACCGTCGTTGGCCCAGATCTTGCGGCCAGCCTGGAAGAGACCACGGAACGAGCCTCTATATTTGAGAAACTCCGGATTAGACGTCTGAAACAAGATCTTGATTCGGTCCATGGGAGCAATGAGTGTTTTGGCGGCTGATCCCGAGATGCCTCCAGCAACCCCCAGCCGAACGATATACTCGGTGGAATGCTTATCTATTATCTTTTGCAGCTTCTTGGAGCTTTCATCTAGCGTCTTGGACTCTTGTACCTCATGCTTTGTCGGTATCCCATCACTGGGTTTGGAAAAAGATCGTCCCATGCGATGGCTTTCATCCATGGAAGGACTCTGATGCATATGAATGAGGAAGGATATAAAACAAAATCACAGTAACGTAATAAAGGCAGTCACCCTTGGAAAGTATAGGGTATTCTAATAACTTAACCACCGGTGGGGATCTATAGTACAAGTGGTGGGGCCAGTTTTTTTTGCTAATGCGGTACGCTGTAGTTGATGTTTGTCTGGGGAAAAAAGATGGCGAGCGTTAGCTACAGCATATGGGGAACCCCAGTCACAATGCATGATTAGAGGTGGAAAAAATAAGCAGAAAAAATAAATGAAGGCTTCTGAGAAGGAATGGGAGATTGATGAGGTCATCAAATAATGGTACGGTTACTTTGAGTAAGGAAAAGTCCCATTTCTGACTTTTCGTCGCTTGTGACTGCCCTTTTATGGTTGGTATTGAAAGGGCTGTGGTTGGTCCGCATTATCTGCGGAAAGGCAGATTGCACTTCTTGGACTGGAGAGGATCTGGGCAGAATAGGTCTCACAAGATCAATTTCAAACCAGGAGACAAAAGCAGGAAAAAAAGAAAAAGACAAAGTAGGGTCTTTTAAATGAGACTTTTAGTGTAAGATGGTTCTTTGGTTTTGAGTGATGTAATGCAGCGCAATGGGGAAAGCTAGGAGAAGGTATTGGAGAGGCTGGGGGAGGATAAGTTGTTGGGACACGGTTGCTGGATATCTTTAGTTGGCGATCTTAGGTTGTAGCTGAGCGGGTTAGATTTGTTTCTCTGGAGTTTACTGCTTAATTGAAGCATCCTGAGTTGGCCACAATGTAGTAGGATATTACACATGAATACTGAATGTCAGGGAAACAGAAGAGTCCCTACGCCAGCCTAAAGCAATTACTCTGTAGGAGCATTCCACTAAAGCAATCCCTGTTTTAGAAGCCCGGAAGTCCACCGTTCACCAAACAAACTTAACCTTTGGAACTATGCTACCTAACCTTCGCTCCTGTAAGTTGATCATGTAAACAGAGGTAAGATGTATTGTGCTTCACGGGTTAAGACGGCTATTTTAGTTGCCAAGCGGTGCTACAGACCCTAATTTTGTGGCATGCAAGCAAGTCGACTCTATATGGGTGTTATTGTGACCCGTTGCCATCTCGGTTACAAAGCTACCGGCTGCCAAAAGGACTATCTTACCTTTGCATCGAGTACAGAGCGTATGCGTTTAGCCAACCCTTCCGAATTGGACACTTCTCTCTCCTATCCACGTAAACAGCGGCAAGATTGCTTTCCGTGAATACGGAAAGGGAGGCCAATAGAGATGAAGCACTCATAACCCATAACCCCTGCTACTGATCCGAGGATAGGGTTCATTTCTCTTTATGTATGGAATATGTAGGGAACCACCTCGAGCTTAGAACATGGTTGACATGAAACTTTATTGGGTTTTGGTTCTGTCCCACGTTTACCCTCGAGAGTCAGTTTACTTTTGTATTTTTTGTTCACCGTGTTTTTGAACCACTTGTTTATCTTTTGGATTCGTTCCTTTATCTCTTGTTTTTGGGTTTTTGTTCTTGTTTATACCACTTTGTATCCCCTTCGACTAAGCCATTCCAAAAATTCATTACACGGGCGATTGCTGTGAGAAATGTCAAACTATCCAGATCCTCATTAACCACTTAATATTCCACATATCGGCAAAGTGACGAAATTGGAGAACGTGACAAGACGGGCACCAATAGGAGTCCACTTGCGACTCCACAGTGGCTTCTGGAGCCCCAGCATTGCGCTAATGCTCTACTTGCAATGTAAGATTACGCCTCGAATACCAGTTATGTCAACGGCAACATCAGAAATCAATGTGACCTCACCATTGGCACACGAGTGACTGCAAAAAAACCAGAAGCTGATCGGTTTGCTGTTTCCAAGAAATGATCAGCTTTTTACCTTGGTAGTTTGGGGTCCTTTACTGCCATGGAATACTTCTAGATCTTGTAATGTGCTGCACAGTATGTCAACTGCAAGGCGTACCATCTGGAGTGTCATAGCTGATGGAATGTTTGCTACCCCTGCATTATTCAAAACTACAAAAGATCAATTTTACCCAGTATTGAATAGGTCAACTACAACTCACAATGGGTGGCAGCTCTTACTTGAAACTCTCTGACGGAACCGACTTATTCTACAAAGACTGGGGTACTGGAGACCCAATTGTCTTCTCTCACGGATGGCCCTTATCGTCTGATGCTTTCGAGGATCAGATGTTCTACTTGGCCCTGAAGGGCTACAGAGTTATTGCTCATGACAGAAGAGGTCATGGTAGGTCTTCGCAGCCATGGGATGGTCACAATATGGACCAGTACGCTGATGACTTGGCTGAGCTTGTCAAGCACTTGGACTTGAAAGACGCTGTTCACGTTGGCCACTCCACTGGTGGAGGTGAGGTTGCAAGATACCTTGCACGCCATGGAACAAGCAGAGCTCTGAAGGCTGTGTTGATTGGAGCCGTTCCTCCTCTCTTGATCCAGACTGACTTCAACCCTCAGGGTGTGCCAAGGGAAGCTCTTGATGACATCAGAAACAATGTGTTGAAGGACAGATCTCAATTCTTCAAGGACTTACCTAATTTGTTCTACAGTTTCAACCACGATGACTCTAAGAAGTCGCAGGGCTTGATTGACGGTTTCTGGAGACAAGGTGTGCAAGCATCTATCAAGGCTCTTTACGACTGCGTCAAAGCCTTTTCTGAAACCGATCAGAGAGAGGATTTGAAGAACATTGATATCCCAACATTGGTGATTTATGGTGATGACGATCAGATTGTTCCACCAGTGACTTCTAGTCAAGCTGCATTGAAGTTGTTGCCTAAAGGCTCTGAGAAGGTCTACAAGGGTGGCTCCCATGGTATTTGCAGCACCCATAAGGACGAGGTTAGCAAGGACCTTTACGACTTCATCACCAAATAAGGGTATTTACTTTTTTAAGATTGTGGCTTGATTAAACCTGTAGAATAGGTACTTTCGTTTTCTTAGCATTACTTTATTAAGGTTTCGGTAAATGCATGCCCCACATAGCCCGGCTGGCTTTAAGGTTTCGGTAAATGTCAAACCATTCGGTTAGTACAACAACCACCCGGGTCCCTACAGTGAAAACATAACAACTGGCGTAACTTCGTAGATTATTACAGAAACTATTTACATACTATAGTTCTCGGAATCGCTAGGACCCCTGTATCCTGATGTCTTCTCGTTGTGGTACTTGGAAGGAGACCGGCCTCTCACAAGCAACCCTGGGGTCTTTGAAGAGGCCAAAACAACGTGTTGTTGATGTTGACCGTTTTCCACAACTCCCACAAGCTCAGCATGCAAAGTAAAGTACTTGTGTTGCATGGTGGTAACTTTAGTACGGATAGACTTAGTAAACTGGATTCTTTCAAAACGAGCAACCTTTGCAATCTTACTCTGAGGGTAATTGCCAAGGACTGATGGGTCGCTGTGTTGATTGAGACGCTGCAGTGTGTAATATTCATCTCTGTCGAAATTAAAGATTTTGTTCATCAGTTCAAGCTTGGTGTCATTTCTCTTGTTGCATGACTCTTTGACTGTTTGGTGATCTGGAAGACGCCCAGGAACTGCCGGGAAAATAGGAGGAGGGTTCTGAGGTCCCTTGTCCCTCTTGGGTGTATGTTGAACAAGACTGACTTGAGCTTCTGGCTCTGAACACTTGGCTTCAATATTAAGGGCGAAGTACTTGATAGGCAAGTTTTCAGTACCAACGGCAGAGCTTCTTGCAGTGTAAAACTTAGTGTTTGAGAAAGTAGAAAAGTCCAAACCAAGGTCAAAGGCAACAACCAAAGTGAAGTAGTTACGCTTGTAACCAATCCAATTTCCTGACCCGGCCAACTCGAATCCTCTATCGATACGAGCCTCAATATGAGGATTAAGACGCTCATGGGTATCAGCACGGAAGATTGGGCTGTGTTCCATGGTTTCAGAAAATGGAGGACCAACACGGAATAAATCCACCGATCTAGGGGCAACCTTTGGTTTCCCACCTTCAGCAAGATCGCCCTCGCTATTACGCTTATTAGTGTTGTGGTCAGCGTACGAGGACATCAGGCTTTGGTACCCTTGTTCATGAGCAGACTGCAACGGAGGCAGGTACTGCTGATGAGGATGGGAACCCATCTGAGGCAGCTGGTTAGCCTGTGACAATGGAACATTGCCAGAAAGAAGATGAGGATACTGCTGTTGACCAAGCTGCTGAGGATTTTGATGGGAAACCTGTTGTGGAATGTGCTGGGGGAATTGAGGGTGACCAGACATTTGTTGAGGGTACTGTTGAGGAATGTGAGAACCAAGATTCATCAACTGCAAATGTGGCTGGCCTTGTACCTGAACTGGGTGTTGTGGCATCTGAGGTGCAAGTTGGTACAGCAAAGGAGGTTGAATGTGTGGGACCAGAGCCAGCTTCGACTGCAAGCCAGGGACAGACATGCCATGCATGGGATGAGACTGTTGTTGTTGCTGTGGTTGGTTAGAAGAATTAAAGTCATGGGGCATGTTGTGATGGTCTTGATTAGTAGGTGGGTGCATCTGCTCTTGAGCGAGAGGAGAGTGAAGGGAATCGTCTTGTTGGCCCATGATCTCCTGGTTAGAACTCTGCTGTGGAGGAGGCACCATAGGAGCCAGCTGCTGGCCTTGTGGCTGGTACAAGGCTCTTGGAAGTCTCCTCAGAAGTTGAGGAGGGTACTTAGCCGTGTTGTAGGAACCGCCTCTAGCTGAATTCAAGTCTGACGACGAGGAATGGTGAGAAAGAATGGAAGAAGCCTGTCCCTCCAAGGACGACATGTCAGACTGAGGGTAGGATTGCATGTTCTGGTGAAGCCCATCGTCCTCGTCAAAGGGAACGTCATCATGGAGGTGGTCTTCGGTCGGGAGCCCCATGATGGAAGAATTCAGGTTCATGTCCAGAGATCGGTTGGTAGCGGCAGCAGCAGCAGCAGGAAGTTGCTGGGGGATAAGAACAGGGAAAGACACCGCGGATAGTAGTAACAGTTGATGGAGCGAGTCTTGGAAAAGTCAAACACCTGAGGAGATATTTGATAGCCAACTTGTTGAAGTTGTTGTTTTGTGGTAGTTGTATTTTCCAAATCCTCGAGAGGCCCGGAAAGGCAGCGAGTCACCCAAATATATAAGTCCCTGAAGGTAAACGATCAAGAAAAGAAGGACAAGAAAGACAGGAAAGAGAAGAAAAAAAAAAAATAATAAAAAAGACGCACAATCATAAAAACTGCGGAAAAACCGAAGTAATCACTGTAAATGCAGATGCGCTTGACAGCAACACAAGTAACCCTGCGTCTCTGGCCCAGCAGGTATGAGGGTACGTCAAGTAGTATGTATGCGCGTACTAAGAAAAATTCTGGGATGCATTGATTAGTAGGTAGGCATTTTGTGAGTGTCTGGGCGATTCAGCCTCGTTTTTGCGGTTTTTAATTTTTCTTTCACTTCTGTGTTCTACAATTTCGGGCTTCGAGACCCTATTATAACGGTATTTACGATGTGCGCGTGGCTGCATGGTATCCGCGGCTGTCTTCCAGGCTCAGACATATGAAGAAGCGCAATGTACACTGGAAACGATAAACCTACTGAAAACGGTGGTGGTTAGGATCCGTAAACGATTCCCAACATGGCACACCCTTCCAAAGCCTATGGCTATCGTCTTGCTGTTTCACAAAAGCCCTGGCGCCCCCCGCTACCTCCATGGAAGGTCTATTGAAAATCTGTCAAACAGCTGGGCGCGTGCAGGAACGACAGTGTAGAAAAGCTTCTTCTGCCGATATTATCAGTGCCGCTTCGTTAGCGGCTTGTTCAGACGTTACCCACTGTTCTTGACTGTGGGACTACCGGAACCGGAGCGCCAGGGTCTCTTGGCAACTTCGCCCACGTCAAGACCCGTCGGTTTCTCCCCTGTTTCCTTTTTTTTTTGAAAACAGCCCAGACATGGCCCAGAAGCAGCCAGTCGTAAGTCCCTCCCAGGCGAATTTCATCTTCCTCGGCATCTAACCACGTGTTGGGGGTAAAACCTCCCATTCTGTTTCGTCTAGCGATACGGATAAAAACGGTTGTAGAAGGGTCCTTCCTCTCGGCTACCGACATGAAGTCCTTCGATTTGTGCTGCAAAAGCATTTCGTCAGTGTTCTTGCGCTTCCCACCAGCACACCAGGGTCCTGACTACTACTCACACCTGTCTTCCTGCGCTAAGCAACACACACTGTTCGGAACACTGGTACTGCCGAGAACTTTTTTCCCGCTAGCCTACTAGCCTTGATGCCTATTGCTACATACCAAGCAGCTCGGTTATCCACCTGGCGCCCGTATGCAACTCAGTCTGGGGAAGGTCTCAGCGAGTTTCTCGGGAGCAATGACATGTATTGTGTAGCCTTGTAACGATTTCTTTGGCTTCTGTGCGACCTAATAGCGGGGTCCCAGTGCCTCAAACAGCTTCCACAAAAGCTTTCGAAAAGCTACCTGGCTTATTTTTACCATGGTAAACACAGAGTACCCTAAATTCCACCCAATTTCATTCATTTCACCAGGTGTGGCGCGTCTCGTCATTTTACCTTGGGAGTCTCGTGGGACTGACGCTGCCTGGGCTAAACGGACGAAGCTTAAGCAGTTTCTCCCAATCCGCGCTATTTATTCTATGGCCGCTGATTTGAGGCATGCTTTGCATCTCTGCACCCGCTAAGCAAGTTTCCTTATTGATAAAAGCATCATCGCTTAAATGTTGCTGCCCTCTTCTCCCTAAACATATTATTTTTATTTCTTTGTTGTTATTTTAGTGGCGCAGCGGTTAGTGGTCCTGGACATCGAATACTTTAATGCTGCTACTTCTGGTGCTTACTGCTGGTTACATAAAAGAACGGCGTTACTTTCCCGCATCCTTCTTTCACTAGTCTGCTGCAGCTTCCGATGCGGATACTCTTTCGTTAAGGCCCCAATCTGGTTGAGGTGTCCCTCAACTGGCCTCTCCATACTCTAATTCACTAAATATCGTTATCGCTATGATCATCCTTCTTTTTGACTTTTCTTGTCTGGAAGCAACTTTTTGCAGCGCTCTACATAAGGGTCTCGAAGACTCGGCTCCTAACGTTTCTCTTGGTCCTCTACTTAGTCTAATGCACCATTTTCTATTCGACTTCCATGACGAAGAATCTGGATCTCCCGCCAATTGACAACACTACAGCAACGTTAGCGGGCTTTCTATAGTGGGACGGATGCGTGAACCTCCGTGTTGTTCCTTTCCTCTCCGTATCCACAATTATTTTTTTTCTTTTACACTAGGTTTCTCTCCCAACCTTCCACGCCGTACCAAACCTTGCCGTGCATTTGTCTCAACTAGTAAACTCGACTATTTTTATGTGATACTTTGATTGTCTTTGTGTCTTACTCGCTAAATGCGTTGCACCTTGCTGGGAGGATCCCTTCCTGCGATGTCATTCGTTCAGCGCAATCTTCACGTCGGGTAAACCTGCTTTTGTAACGCACGCCGTGTCCCAATCCATCACTATGGACTAAATTGTGCGTCACTTTACATATAAGCGTATAAGTATGTGTATGTTGGGGATCACTGATCGGCTGCTATAACGGGCTCACTACGAGTCAGACATTTGCGATCACAAATTGACCATGAGCAAGTGTTTGTAACTTTCTTGGTTTTTTGTGGGATTCTCTTGCTTTACCCCTACTCACATAGCTTTTGTATCCTAGAACCCGCAGCTTCCGGAAGTCCTGAAACCCTGGTGAAAGCTAATTCATCTATCAAGGTTTGAATTAAATAGCAATGAGCGACGGACTCGGCGCCCTGGACTAAAACACTATTTTTTTTTTAGGTTTTGTTATACGTAACATCACGCCTTCGAAGAAATAGGTGCGTTCACCTAAAGCTACCTTACTGTTGTTCTAAATTAACCTTTGGAGATGAGGCCACAGAAGCGTCGGTGGGGAGGGCGTCATAGTATGCGCTTATAGACCTCGCATAAACCGCCGCTATGGCTTCAGTAAGAAACATAACAAGTAATGTATTACTCTACGAAAATGTCTCTTAAATACACTTATTACATTTACACCTAAATTAAGCTTTCTAAACTATCCATAAGCAATACCATCACCCTTTTTTGTATATTTTTCTAAAAAAACCTATGTGTATTTCAAAAAGCTGGGGACCTCCATTCTCGAATATTTAGAAGCACGCATCCTAACACTACTTTGTGTAATAAGCTCGGTTCTTAATGTTTGGAAGTTGCGTTGGCCCAACATCCTCCCCAGATTGCCTTCATTGCCTTTGCGATACTTCCCGTAACCCTTTGAGGGTTCACCATTTGCAAGTACATACTCACTGCAACTAAAATTAAGTGAAGCAACCAAAAAGTAGGATGTACAGTAACCTGATTCGGTATTTAGAAAAACGCAAGGCGATGGGGTACTTTCAAAAAACGTAGATGGTTCCAAATGGGGGTCTGTTTCTTCGGGGCCGCCTGGCAGTGTGGATGCATGTCGAACCTTATTCTTGGATTAATTTTCTTGGTTTCAACCGTAACAACCGAGCGGCAGCATTGACAGCTTGAAAGCCAACGAACTTTTATTGATTATTGATATAACCAACGCAATTCATTAACGTTTAGAAGCATCGAAACACAATAAAAATTATGGAAGAACCTTAAAATTGATCTTGAGCTTGTTGGACCCGTCGCTAAAGATAAAAATCATCTTGTGCTATTTCCCGAGATGGTAACTTTTTGGTACATTTTTCTTTTTTGCTTCTGTGCTATTTCTTTTGAAAACTAGCTTTGCCCTTCCCTTTCCCCGACCACCGATGCAAGTTGGTTGCCATTTTACAATTTGGAGAGTTTTAAACATCCTCGGCTCCAAGGCTGTGCTAGTAACTTGCTAAGTCTTATGAGGTAATTCGGGGAATCTCCAGATTCTCCGAAAAGCAGGCCAAGACTACCATTTTTCTGGAGCAGCCCTCCGCCTCCATTGTACATGTTTTTTCTTGTCTACATAGCCGAGACAGCTGTCTGAAACTGGAGCCGATAGTGTATGGCTACGTCTAGTCATAAGGGCCATGACGACATCCGTTAGGTAATTGTAACGCAATCAAGTAACTTGATTTACGGAGACGATGGATGGAGAATGGAAGTCCATGTACGGTTTTGTGTATTTTATTGGCGGGTTCTTTTTCCTTTTTCCTTTTTTTTTTTTTTTTTTTTTTTTTTTGCTTTTTTTATTTTTTTTTAGAAATACCGTTTTTCTATTTGATATTCAATGACTAATTTTCTAACCGTCTAATAGCCAGAAAGCTTTATTCAATCGACCAGCCGATTCCCTCAAGCGATTATAATAAAATGTTGTGTTTATGTTGTTGCACGACATGACTTTGCGCAACTCATTAAGTGCTCCAAAAGCATTCTACCAAAGACATCCCATTATCCAGCCTACAGACAATGGAGATTAATCTCCACTGTGGCGTCTTCAATTTTCTACTGTTCTACGAATGCGTGTAAAGCTGCCGTGCTATACCAGTAGCAATACCTCTACTCTCCACCGGAAGGTGGCTTATCGTAAAAATCGTTCGATTTGACCGAATTTTTTTCAGATAAGCCCACCTTCCGACTTATAAAGCTTAGGCATATCTACATCGTCGTACGAGACATTCCATGAATAACGCCATTCTCATGAAGGTGGAAATCCCGTGTATTTGCGAAAAGTCTATTAACCTCGGCGATTTCGGCGATTTCGGCGTTAACTCGGAATGCCTCAAAAACGCCGCTAACGGTCACGTGGGCATTACCACAGGTATTGTGCCTGTCAAATAAGCCATCCTAACCATGTAATTTTGACTAAATTAGCAGTTTCACCATTCTAGATCAACAGTTCCCCCATTTAACCAATGCGCAACAAGAAGCCTGGTTAGCTCAATCGGTAGAGCATTTGACTCTTAATCATCATAAGGTCAATCAAAAGGTTGCGGGTTCGAGCCCCGCATCGGGCTTACTTTTTTGCTTTAACCTTCTTCTTACCATCCCTCTTCGGTTTCTGTTCATTTTGGCGGCTTCCCTCGGCTCCGTTGACGCCGATAGGGATAGGTTCCAAGAATTTGCACCATCGGCTAAACCACCCATGCCTTCCTATAGCGCTGTGCGGTCTCCTGCAAGAGAAGCGTTGGGACGCGCGGTCGTACAGGCATGTAATGTCGAGTAAAGTTCCCCAAAAAGCCTCGCTGTCACAAGGCGCCAAACCGCATGTACAAAAAAAGACCCTGGGGGACGTAGTATGGCAATATTGACAGTGCCAAGTCTTGGGAAGGTTTGGCAGGGTTGCTGCGGAGCCTTGACGGGGCACAGCTTAGCGGGGAAACGAAATGAGGTTGTTTTGGGGTTTTCGCGGTGAATTTGTCGAATCTGACATCGGAATCATATTCCTCAGACTGCGGAGATTATGATGGATATCATAAAATTTCAAAAAAATGGCATTTGACTGTTCTGCTTTACTGTTAGCCTCCATTTCCCTTCCTACACCATCTTGCCTTTATGGCCAAGTTGGTAAGGCACCTCACTAGTAATGAGGAGATCGTCAGTTCGAATCTGGCTGAAGGCATTATTTTTTGCTCTCTCCCCTCTAATTTTTTTGCAGCCACCCCTAAACACCTCCTTCTTCTTTACCTTCTTTTCCCTACTCCCAATTGAAAGTATGAAGCACGATTTGCTGGATAAGGTGACCAGTCCAGAATCTCTACCGGCATCCGCCTCTATGGTTTCTCCTTACCCTTCATGGCACAAGAACAATGGTGCCCCGATGGATGTGGATTCAGTAAAGTCAGTGTTCGACGACCTCCAGGCAATGTTTGGGTTCCAGAAAGCCAGTTCGGTGAACATGTTCCAGTATTTAATGCTGCTCTTGGAATCTCGTTCTAGCAGGATGCCGTGCAACTTGGCCTTGGTTTCAATTCACGCTGATTATATCGGTGGCGATAATGCCAATTATAAGAAATGGTATTTTGCCGCTGCCTATGACTTGGACCATGGGTACACCGATAAGAAAAGTATTCGTGCCAAATGGAAAGAGCTTCCTCAGTACTTGCAAGGAAAACATGTACCCAACGGGCTGAAGACGGATGCCAATGGCTGGTGGGCAATGGAGACCAGCTGGCGGCAAAGGATGCGTGCCTATACTGAAGAAGATTATTTGAAGCAGTTGGCATTGTATCTTTTGATTTGGGGAGAAGCCAATAACGTGCGTTTCATGCCTGAGTGTTTGTGCTTTATCTACCGTTGTGCTCTGGATTACATGTACTCTTTTCAAGACGAAGCTCCTCCTGGGTTACCTGAATTCTATTTCCTTGACAACATCATCACTCCGATTTACAATTACATTAGGGATCAGCAATTTGACGCTATAGACGGCAAGTTTTTCAGAAAGCTCGGAAAAGACCACTCCCATACTGTTGGTTACGACGATGTCAACCTGTTCTTTTGGTTCGACCAGAACCTTAAAAAGATCTCTCTCGAAGACGGAACCAACCTTATCGACCATCCTTCTGAAACCCATTACACATTGCTCCATTCGGTTGACTGGAATAATGTATTCTTCAAATCCTACTACGAGACTCGCTCCTGGTTTCATCTAATTGTCAACTTTAGCAGAATCTGGATTATTCACCTCTCCATGTTTTGGTACTTCTTCACCATTAATACTCCCGTGCTCTACACCAAGAACTACATGCCTCATTTAGACAACCGGCCAGCTCCCCAAGTGCAACTCTGTGTAATTGGTCTCGGGGGCGCAGTTGCTTGTCTAGTGGTTCTCATTGCAACACTCTTTGAAGCCTTCTATGTTCCCATGAAATATCCTGGCCGCCGCCGATTATTTTGGCGAGCTGTGCTAACTACCCTCTTGTTAGGGTTCAACGTGGCTATCCCAACCTACGTATTCATTATGAAAGGTTGGGATAAATACTCGAAACTAGGGATAGGTTTAGGAGTTTTCCAAATCATCTGGTCCATTTTCACCACATTCTATCTTGGAATGACACCACCGTCTTGTTTGTTCTCTCCTCTCCTTCAGAAAAACACCAACAACTATAAGGCTACTTTATTTACTGCCAATTACGCTCAGCGAAGTACAGGGAGTCGCATAAGCTCTATGGTCTTATGGTCCAATGTTTATTTGTTCAAAACTGTCGAATCATATTTTTCTTGACATTATCTCTCAAGGATCCATTCAAAGCTTTATTCACAATGGATACTTCAAGATGCACAGGAGATGTATGGTTAGGCTCACTCGTTTGCAAGCACTTTCCCTTCTTTGCGGCTGGGTTACTTCTCGTCACAAACTTTGTTCTCTTCTGCCTTGACACCTACTTGTGGTACATCATATGCAACTCAGTCTTCTCGGCGGTGTTGTCCTACTCGTCTGGAACTAGCACCTTGAAACCATGGAAAACGACTTTCGACAGACTTCCAACACTCTTCCTATCGAAAGTCCATTTCCCTCTTTGTTCTCTGCAGAAGGACAATTTTGCAATCTCTAAGCTTTGGAATTGTATTGTGATCTCCCTTTACAGAGATCATCTTGTTTCTGTGGAACAAGCTAATCGTTTGGTCTATCAGCATGATCCTACCGAAACACCGTGGAGAGCGCCTACCATAGCGACGCCACCTAATTTCTTTGGCTCTCAGGACGATGGAGTGGCCAGTGATGCCGAATCTGTGTTCTCCCAAAGTAAAGAATCGGCACGAAGAATCTCTTTCTTTGCTCGCTCGTTGACTTGCCAATGGCCTGAATCATACCTGATAGAAGGCCTACCATCGTTCACAGTTTTAATTCCTCATTATTCTGAGACCATGGTTATTGGTCAAAAGGCTCTTCTTAAGGAACGTCCAGGCTGCAAGATATCGCTTCTTGACTACTTGAAGAAGATGCACAAGAAAGAGTGGAGGTCTTTCGTCAGAGAGGCAAAATTGATGGACGCTGTTCTTAGCTCTTCTATTCCTAACACTGCCGACTCAGCTCTTGGTAAAGATTTGGTATCTCCTGGTAGCCTTCCAGAATCAGCGGCTCTTGAAGGGAAGTTCGTGGATGAATGCATTGATGACATACCATACAACAGTGTGGGATATAAGAATTCATTTCCGGAATTTGCAAAGAGAACACGAATTTGGGCAAGCTTGAGGTGTCAAACACTTTACCGAACCATTACAGGCTTCATGAACTATCAAACAGCGTTAAAAGCCTTGTATTTTTCCGAGACATACAGTTTTGAATCGGAACACTTGGCTGACCAAGCTGAACTTGAGCTTGAACTTGACCGATTCGTATCACGGAAGTTTCGATTACTTGTCAGTATGCAAAGATATCTTGATTTTGATCTCGAAGAACAAGAACTGGTTGAGATGCTCAGAAGTTGCAACCCAAACTTGAAAATTTGTTATATCGAGAAGTCTGGTGAATTTTATTACTCTGTGCTCTTGGGTTCTCGAAATGGTTCTGAAGAAGGCACCCCTTTGCGTATTCGGCTCTCTGGAAACCCGATTATTGGAGATGGAAAATCAGATAACCAAAACCACGCAGTAATCTTCCAACGTGGTGAATATCTCCAAACGATTGATGCAAACCAAGATAACTACATTGAGGAGTGCTTGAAGATAAAGGCAGTCCTTGCAGAATTCGAGGAAATCCAGGTAGATCCTTCTTCCACGTATGAAGCTGACATTGTCAATGCAGTTAGACCAGCGCCTATTGCCTTCTTAGGCGCTAGGGAGTTCATATTTTCAGAAAAGACTGGCGTTCTAGGTGACATAGCTGCCGGTAAAGAGCAAACTTTTGGAACATTGTTCGCTAGAACCCTTTCAAAGGTAGATGCTAAGCTTCATTATGGGCATCCTGACTTTATCAACACGATATTTATGTTCACTCGTGGAGGAATTTCGAAAGCTCAAAAAGGTCTTCACTTGAATGAGGACATATACTCTGGTATGAATGCTATCAGCAGAGGTGGTCGTATAAAGCATTGCGACTACTATCAGTGTGGGAAAGGTCGTGATATGGGGTTTGGTTCGATTGTTAACTTCACGACTAAGATTGGTGCTGGTATGGGAGAGCAGAGCTTATCTCGAGAGTTATTCAACTTGGGTACAACACTTCCAATCGATAGGTTTCTTTCTTTCTATTATGCTCATGCTGGTTTCCATATCAATAACGTCTTCATCATTCTTTCCGTTGAGCTTTTCCTTCTCATATTCTTGACTATTGGAGCACTCAAATTCGAGACCATTTCATGCGAAGATATTCCAGGTTCTCTTCCAACTGATCCCAAAGTACCTTCTGGGTGTGCTGATCTATCACCAGTTCTCAAGTGGATTGCAAGATTCATTCGGTCTTTGTTCATTTGCTTTTTCATCTCTTTCTTGCCACTATGGATTCAAGAATTCACGGAGAAGAGTTTTTTTAAAGCGATCAGCAGATTAGCACTCCATTTCGTATCTATGGCGCCTCTTTTTGAGGTTCTTGTTTGCAAAGTCTATTCGAACTCTTTTAAGGAAAACCTTCGCATTGGTGGCGCCAAATACGTTGCAACAGGACGAGGTTTAGCAATTTCACGGTTTCACTTCCATGAGCTTTATACAAAGTATGCAGATGTTTCCATCTGTTCTGGTGGCTTTGGCTTTATGGCAGTCATATTTGGTACCATAACTATGTGGCATTCAAGCCATTTATGGTTCTATTTCACTTGTACTTCACTCGTTTTTGCTCCCTTCCTATTCAACCCCCACCAGTTTGCCTTGAGAGAGTTCATATTGGATTATAAGCATTTCTTGCACTGGATCTTCAGTGAACAGACCAAAGCGAACTCCTCATGGAGCCTCTTTAGAAAGAGACACAGATCAAGATTCACAGGAGTGAAGAAGAAGTTGTTGAATGTGCAAGGAAAGCATCTCGTGGAGCTAAACTCACCTTCAAGGTGGTCAAGGTTACATTTGGATGTCCTTTACCCTGCTGTTGAGTTTTGCCTTTATCTCGTTCCTTACCTTTTCATCACTGCCCAGAGTGGCGTCAAGAATCCCACTCCTGTGAACCCCATCATGCGCGTCTTGATCTTGTCATTATTGCCAGTGGTTCTTAACTTTATTTTCCTTATCGTCACATTCCCTGTCAACTTCGTATTGGGAAATACATTAGGTTTATGCTGTGGGAAGTACCCGAAGATGTCGAGAGGACTCACGTTCGTATGGAGCCTCGTTAATTTTGCTTTCCTGATTCAAGTCGTTATCCATTTGCATGAATACAGCATTGCACGAACACTCTGTGCTTTTGTTTGTATCACTAAGTTCCAAACATGGTTGCGAAACGTCATTTACACTCTTTGTCTTACCAAGGAACTAGATACATCCTCCGTCAGTTCCAGCTGGTGGCTGGGTAAATGGAGTCTCAAAACTTTAAGCTGGCTTGTCGTCACTCAGCCACTGCGAGAGTTGTTTGTCAAAACTACAGAACTCACCATGTTGGGTTTCGATTTTTTCTTGGGCACCTTGGTGTATTCGTGTATGGTCCCAATTGCACTTTTTCCATGGTCTGACAAGCTTCATTGCACCATTCTATTCTGGTTTGAGCCTTCCAGTCTCCTTCACCTCCCAATATTATCAAAAAAGCAAAAGCGGAAGCGAAACATAGCTGTTGCAAAATACATCTTTGTCTATCTCTTCATTGTTGGTGCATTTGTGGGCTCATTTGTCCTGATTATTTTCCTCAGACCAACCATTGAAGAGCAGCGTTCGAAACTACCAGCCATTGCCCAAACACTCTTCCAGCCTGGTCATCAGCAAAATAACGATACTGGGGATGTCGTCAACACGCTTGCAACTGTCAGATTAGAAGATGTTCGACTTCGTACAGTGGCTTGAGGGAGCCGCATTTGGCTGCAACTATTTCCATGCATGGTGTACAGATGCACCACATATGTTTATGTTCGATTTGAGGCGAGCGTCAAATCACCAACTGAATCAAAACATCCAAAACGTCGATTAAATGAGTCGGGAACGAATATCTCGTCAGAAGCTGGCCCGGCTAGCCAGTCTCCGAGAGCATAGTGGTGAGGAATTTGACTTCGAAACCGATGGTATCCCAACACTCCGGCCTTCCCAGAATGATGACCTCTTTGGTCTTGAAGAGGATTTCGGCACCCTACGGTTGTCACCTCAAAAGCAGTCCAGCAATAGGCCACCAGCAAGGCAGCTAAACCATAAACCATCGCTTTCTCCTGGCTTTATGATGCAATTTGTCGAATCTGAGGAAGATCACTTGTCGTTCGACAAGGACTTCAATGAGAATGATCTATTTAATCCTGGTGATGTTCTTCGGCAGAACGGCCTGCTTGTAACTCCAAAAGCTAAGTTTTCCCCTGGAACTGCCTCAAATCCGTCTCCATTGAGAAGAAGGTCTTTGAGCGACTATAGTGAAGGCACGGATACAGCAATGACATCTGAAATGGACGACGACGATTTTGAGGAAGAAATTGACGATATTTTCGGCAAAGAAGAAAGTGGAATTTACAGCAGTGGTGGACGCTCAAACTCAAATCCTAATGGTAGTAGGGCAGGCCAGATTTTGTCAAACAAGAAAGAGCAGCTTCAACGGCAGGCTGAAAAGGAGGAAGCAGAAATGTACGAGCGTTATAAGCAGCTGAGGCATAGTGAAGGAGCAATAAATACTCTCAAGTTGAAGGATCTCAACCAAGCTATGCTGAACAATCAGATTAACCAAGATCCCTTGGAAAATGAACGCACGGTGAATTATGAGTACACGCGTGATGATAACGAAGCATTTGAAGATGGGTTTGACTTGGAGCAGCCATTAGATCTAGAGATCTCCAAGTTCCATCGTCCAAGTCTCAAGAAAAAGAGTCTAGCACGAGAGATGTCGATGCCAAACTTCCCCAAGTCGTTGGAATCATCGAGGCCCACAAAATACAAATCATCCATGGATTTGGCAGCATTTACGCGTAAGGACCACCCGGTCTTTAACAGCAGCAATGAAATTATCAAGAGGCTCAATAGGATGCCATCTTTTCATAACCAAACAGGTCGTCTGGAACCTAAGAATGATGACGAGATCAATCGAGACATGGAGCTTCGCAAGAAGGAGCTACTTGAGAAGTATATGGAGATCACGGAGAAGCAAAAGAAGCTCAACACCAGCCCTCAGAGAAATAAGACAGCCTCACGCGAGCCAACGAACAAGAGGAAAGGTGTAGGGTTGGTAAAGTTTCTTAATAACCAGGATAATGCACCTGCGGTGAATCCTAACAATAAGATGAAATACAACCCTATGCATAAGCTTTGGGAAGGTAATGAGCATGACCTCATGAGGTTTGAGGAGCCAGAGAGTGATCACCCTGGAAGAAAGCCAGGTCTTATACGGAAGCAAGACTTCCAGCAAAGGACGGAAAAAATCCAGGGTAACATGAGGTATGATGCAGAGAATTTACGTTGGGTCAACACCGAAGACGACGATAAGGAAAACGAGAAGATTTTCGAAGACGTGCCGGACTTGGAGCCCAACGACATACCTCAGTACACGCGTCCAGACTTGAATTTTGATATACATGGAAGAGGCGTGAGTACATTTACCCAGCGTACGGTTCTGACGACATCGAGCGATCGAAGCTCTGCCTTGGGGCGTCAAAACGTCGGAAATGAATTCCAGCTTCTGACAAAGAATCTCAGCAGGTTTGAGAAAGAAGAAGCTAAAATCAAAAGAAAAACGCATAACTGGTTTGCGCCAAAGGAGCAATACCGTTTAAACAAGGAACGGACCTTCTCTGGTGATTACTTCTGGGAGATTCGCAAGATGGTGTGCGAAGAAAATTAAGCATGGATACCCCTACAATAAATGAATAGCATTAATGCAATTGAACACGTTCAATGTTAACTATATAAACACAAATCGTAACATCTAGGTTTTCTAAGCCATGGTCAAACCCACGGAGACGAAGAAGAAGGTGGCGATCATCACCAAGGCAGTGTTGCCAGAGGAACCACGCATGGCAACGTTACCGCTAGCACCAGAGTCGGAGCTTGATGTGCTGGAAGAGCTGGAGCCGGAAGAAGAACCAGAACGAGATCCAGATCCAGATCCAGAGCTCTTGCTACCGGAACCAGAAGTAGCGCTCTGAGCACCAGAAGCAGCGTTAAGAATGTTACCGGTCACAGTACCGTAACCAGAAACACCAGCCTCGGAGATCTCCTTAGCACAAGAGGAAGCGGTGGCGGCTGACTGGGTGGTGGCAGAACCGCTGAAATCACAAGCAGAAGCCTTGGAGCCATTCTCCTTGTAGTACAAGTCAAGGAGGAAGTTCAACTTCTGTTTAGATTTGCAAGCGGAGTAAGCACCGTACTTACCAGTGGTACCGTTACCACTGATACCGAAGCAGTTGACACCGTCAGAGCCACAAAGGAAGTCGAAAAGATCGGAGTAGTCGTCCTCGTCAACCTTGTCCTTGACAACACAAGACAAAGACTTGTCCATGCACTCACAGAGAGAAGCATCAGGAGTTGGAGGCAAGGCGGTAGCAGCTTGCCAGACCTCACCGACACCAGGGCAAGAGGTAACAGAAGCAGGGGAAGTAGAAGCAGCAGTGTCAAAAGAAGCGTAAGATGGAGAAATCTTGTTGATCTCAGACAGGTAGTTTTCGAAATCCTTCAAGGTAGACACCAGGCTTCCAGAGACGGTGACAAGACCGTATTTGTTCTCTTCCTCGAAATACATGTAGACGATACCACCGGACCAGATGTCAGTCATCTCAGAGGAGTAAAGAGTGCCAACTTCCTGGAACTTTCTAGGACGGATCTCGTTACAACCGTACTCGGAGAAGAAAATAGGGATGCCCAAGTCTTTGTAAGCGTTAGTGACGTTCTTGTAACCGGAATCCTTGAAAGTAGAAGTACCACACCATTCGTACATGTTGATACCGAAGAAGTCAGCTCTGTCTTCGTCGGAACCGCAAGCAAAGTAATCAGCAAGCTCGACTCTAATGGCCATGTCGTCGTTGGCAGAGTAACCAACAGGAATGTTTCTGTAGTTCTTTTCCTTGATGTAAGCCTTGGTGTCACGGACGGCAGCCTTGACGTAAGCAGAAGCATCAGTGTTGTTAGATTCGTTGGTGACCTCGTTACCGGCGAAGAAACCCAAAACGTTAGTGTAGTTGGAGAACTTGTCAACAACAGAGGTGTATCTGGCCAACAATTCGGTGTCCCAAGCTGGGTTGGATCTGTCGATGGAAAGGTTTGGTTCAGACAAATCAGCAACAATGTAGATACCAGCGTCGTCCAACAACTTCATACACTCGGTGTGGTCCTTTTCGGCGTCCAAAGCGTACACTCTAAGGATGTTGGTGTTCAACTGTCTCAAGTAAGGAATGTCTCTCTTACAAGTTTCAATGTCAGCCAAGGGATCAACGTACTTGGCGTCGGAGGAGGTGTTGGTAGGGTTCTGCTGGTAAGCAATACCTCTCATCAAGAACTGGGAACCATTGTTGGAGAAGTAGAATTTGTTACCAACAATCTCGATCGGAGGCAAAGTAGCAGAAGCCGAGCCGATCAAAGCCACGGCAGTGGTGAGCAACGAGTGGAAGAGCATTGAGGTTTGGGTTAGAGGAAGAAGAGAAAAAAGGGAAAAAAGCCGGAAAGAGCGAGGATCAAGTAATTTGTACCAGAAGGGAAAACACAGCCTGAACGGGGTGGGATGAAAAAAAAAGGGAAAAAAAAAAAGAAAGCAAAAAAAAATACCGCGGCGGCGTGTTCGGCAGGACCAAAACACAACCTGGAACATAATCTATAAAAAGAAGGCTACAAAGAAGAAGAGAAAGAAGCATCAGATGATAAATTTTATTTAGTTTGGGAAAGTATCGTGGAGCAGCCATTCCCTAGGCCCTTGGGGTTGGGTTGTTTTCGCAGCCTGGCTTAGCGTGTTGTGCCACCAATCTGACAGCTCCGATCAGGCTTAGAGGGTGATCTATGTTTACGATCCCGTAAAGTGGCTGCAAACCCACCACCAGCGTCGTGGTTTTTTCTTGTTGACACATTTGACAGGCTTGGCCTGACAGGCTTGGCTGGTGTCAAGATCGACTAACAAGAAAAATCAAGTCAAAGAAGAAAAGCTTAGGTTGAGTGCCAATGTTAGTAGGTTTCTGGGCGAACAGGCACTAGGGGGCAGGCAGGTTTTGTGTGAGCCCACGCCGCGAAAAAAAGAGCTTGATTCGGCAGAATCTAAACAGGCGCAGCCCAAGGCGAAGCGAGCAATGGAGGGGGAAGGCAGTAACTGTTGTAGAAAAGAAGGAGAAAAAGTGATAAAGAGAGACTTTTGGTGAAGAGGTGAGGTTAGTGGCTTTCTCTGTGTCTTCTTTGTTTTTTACTCTGGTTTTTTACTAAGTAGTCTGGGTGTCTCGTGGACGTCTCTCCTGAGGTGCCGGCCTGATAAGGTTACGGTTTGGAGACATGCGCAGACATGTAACGGTTGAGAGCTGGAGCAACCGAACGGTGAACGAGGCTGAGGGAAGATGGCTGGAGATGGGGGTTTGAAGATTGAGGAATGTAGGGTGATCCTGGGAGCTGGTGGAGGTGGGAAGTAGTGGAGTACTTGAAGTGGCGTGGAAAGTTGACTCGGGGTTGCCATGATTGCTTTAGGCAGAGTTTGGAGACATTTAGTGCTACCTCGTGTGGCCTAGTTATAGAGTGGCAACCGTCTAGCCATTGGTGTTGTCACCACGACTACTGATTCCCATTTAGCTGCCTCTCCCACATGTCCGTTTACGTCTTTTTTGTCGTATTTGTTGTCAAAGCATTGTTTTCGAGGCTTTTTCATTCGCATCGGTTATTCTTAGCTGCCATGCCACCGTATGTGAACCACTATCAGGAAACATAAGTGCTGCGGTCACCACAGCCATATCCTCTTGACACATGGGAAACCCCGTATTGGGAATTTCTCGAGACGGTGCCTTTTGCTTGCTTTTTGGCGTTTGGCAGGGCGGTTTTGATGCACAAGGAGTAGAATGGCTCCATGCGACATTTTTTGCAACCGCCCAGTATGCGTTTCTCACCCCCCTTCCCGGCCATCTAAAACGCAAAATGGAGTTGGTGAAATTGGTTTGATTTTCTTTCGGTTTGACGAATAAGCGATCTAGATTCTTTTGGGGCTTCCAAATATAGACTTTGAGAAGTTCGTCAATGCCATGCGTCTGACGCGTCTCGGTGTCTCGGGGTCTCGGTCCGGTAACTTTCCTTTTATAGTTTTATAGCCTGAATGTGGTGTATTTTTGCTATGACATAATACAGACGTTGAAGGCACCTTGTAGAGGATAATCCGGTGTGGGGCCGTCTAATGGTGCCGGTTTTACGGCCACTTTGAGCCGAGCTGACCGTTGATGGCTCGAAAAGTAAGTTTTGTCGCCTGGAAAATATCCAGAAGGGACAACTGGAAATATTCGGATTAATTCGAAGGGAAATCTGATTTATTTCGTAGTTTTAATGATTTTTTAATTTTTTGATCTTTTTGGGATTTTGTTTGCTTCTCACAGTTTGTCTACCTTTTCTTACATTTATGCGGTATCGATCGAGAAGTTGTAAATCTTGAAAGGAAGAAGGAAAATCATTACTTTGAAAAAAAAAACCACAAACTAGACGGGGCAAGTAAATGGCTCATGGAAAATAATGGAAAGACAACTGATTGTGTTAAAGATAATGATAGTTCACTAATGTCATTGTTTGCCTTCTCACCAGACCAACTTCTCTGAGCTAACGTCCATCGGCCATTTCCCAGAGGAGTTTGTATGATTTAACACATAAAATGGGGAAAGAGATTGTATTCTTGATGATTAATTTGTCCTATTAGAACAGACATCTGAAGCTTTTACGGTGGATGCTGAAGCCGTCAAACCAAAGAGCACAGACTACAGAGCATAGACAAAGGTCTGCAATGCTGGAAAGTAAGACCATGGTCAAAACTAAATGTCATCCAGAGCAACTGAAGAATCCTTCAGCAATGTAATACCCACAGAGCCACGTCGACGAAATGAACATCGCAAATCTGAGTTTCGGAAGGTGTTCTCATCGATGCCTTTGACAAAGCCAACCAAGCATAAACTCATTTGTGTGGAACATCGTTATGGCAGAACTTCAGCTATAAAAACTCCACGTTCAACGTTAGTCTACTGACATTCAATTCAGTGGATACAGTAGGCATTCTTGTCACCAGCTACTTCTGACCTATTTGAAGAAGATACTACCGGCATTTCAATTTACGTTTGAAAGAATACCATAGAAGCAACTTCCGTTCCGAGAAACTAAACGGCAACACAGCTACTCATACTTGGAACCAACTTTTCACCTTCGCCATCGTCAGGAGAGGCTCATCAGATAGCCAGTCCAACAACCAATAAGCTCATACACCCATCTACAACCATTCCATATAACTTAGGCCCTCCCATACACCCATATGCCACCACTCACCGTTACTACCTTCCATTGACATTCAACCACCCAGCTCAGCCCTTCTTCCCTCTAAGCGCTTAGCCTAGTACGGCGAGGACAAGGTGGCCTTGACGCTCACAAAGGCGCCATACAAATTCCAAAAAATTACGAACAAAGCAGCAAGAGCAGCTCATAAACAAGACAAGTAACCAAGTCCGAACGCCATTGACACGGTTTGCCTACTTTTACCAGCCCTATTCCTTCCTTCGTTCTTCGTGCCCCACATCCAAATTCTGCATCGTGGAGTCGCCCCACCCGCACACTTTTAGACATCCATCCATCACCTTTTCACCTTCCACCACCTTCTTAACACCATGTCTTCCAAAGAACAATCGGCCTTGGAGGTCTACATCAGATTTAATGACGACCTTGAGAAGGATTACTGTTTCCAAGTGTCCACTGAAACCAGATTCAGGGACTTGTACCGTATTTTCGACGGTTTGCCTATTTCGCTAAGACCCAACTTGTTCTATTCATTGAGACCTTTGACTTTCCAGGTTTCTACGGCTCCTGGCTACTTGACTGAGGATGGTGCTCTTCTCTTCTCGTATGAGACTTCCCAGCCAAGATTCCGCAAGAACATCAACTTGGAGGACCGTATTGCCCAGCACTGCTGGCCAGGTCAGTTGATCATTCCAGTGTGGGAGTTCCTTTCTTTCAGATTCTACCTTTTTGTGACCACTTTGATTGTCTGGCTTTACACTGACTTGCCTGACTTTATTTCCCCAACCCCAGGTATCTGTTTGACCAACCATGTGTCCAACATGATTGCCTACTTTGCTACTCGTTTCGGTTACGGCCACATTGCCGACATTGTGATTAAGGATGTCCAGGAGCCAGTTGCAATTGGTGGCCAATGTGTCTTTTTCGCTTTCCACCTTGTCAAGGTGCTTACCATTTTCTTTGTTGTGCACATCGGTCTTTTCAACCCTAGAAAATTCAGATACTCCAATGACACTGAGATCACCAAGGAGAAATTGCTTGACCTTGGCTGGACTGGTTCAAGACGTGCTACTGCTGACGAGTACGCTGAGTCCTACAGAGAGTACAAGATCAACGAGCACGGCGGTATGGTGCCTGCTCACCAAGCTGGTATCTTCAACAAGTTGAAGAAGTTGGGCGTCTGGCTTGGTGAAGGTGAGGGCTACGACACTCCTGTGTCCAAGGACAACAAGCTCTCTGATATCACTGAGGACAAGTTCGTGTTGAGTTACGACTTGTTCATTAAGCTCGGTGAGGTTTTCGAGAACCACATCACTGGTAAGGGTGCTGAGGAGTTGAACGCCAGCATCAAGCAGTTCCGTCGTTTCGGTTTAATGCACAGTGACGAGGAGCTCCAAGAATTAGTCGAGAAGAGAAAGAAGGGTGGCGACAAGCGTTTGGACTAGACTTATTAGCTCGTCCAGCAGCTTCTGATGCGCTTTGACTCGGCGTTTCGCAGCCAATAAGTATTATCGCGATTCTTTTATACGGCACCGATGAGCCTTGGGCCTACTAAGGCCCATGGTTGGTTCTGTGACATTTGTACACGTGACGACACTTTACATAAATGCAGCTTTTTAATAAACAATTACGCTTTTGTACGACCTGTACGACGTTATACGTTTTACGTTGTCAATTGATTATTCGTCAGAGTCAGATCAATCGGTCTACGCGTAGGCACGTGCCATTGCACGAAAGCGGCTTCCGCGAAAGCGGCTGGCGGCTATTTCAGTCACGTGAACCAGTCACATGACTAAATTCCATCACCAATAACCCGCCATTGAACCATCCCCTGGCAAAACCAAAGACATGTTCGTAATACTCACACATGGTTTATACGTCTCATTCCTTTCTTTTAACTCTCCCAAGGAATATGAGGCGTTTAGCGGTAGGGTAGAGAGAGGTGAATAAGGCGACCTGCATATAAACCCATCGACCCAAACCCACGCCCCAACCGTCGTTCAGGCTCGTTTTCCCAGGCATGGGCCCTTACATGCAGTGCGTGCCCCATGCACGAGCGCTATCTATCACAGTCATTTGCCGATTATTGAATTTTTCACCCCACGCTGTTGTATATAAAGCTCCACAGTTCGCCATATTTGAAGAATTTTTTCTCTTCTTTCACAAGTAATTTACTACTTATTTCTACATAAAAAATGGTTCAATCTTCCGTTTTGGGTTTCCCACGTATCGGTGCCAACAGAGAGTTGAAGAAGGTCACCGAGGCCTACTGGGGTAAGAAGGTGTCTGTGGAGGAGTTGTTGGCTAAGGGTAAGGAATTGAGAGCACACAACTGGAAGTTGCAGAAGGACGCTGGTGTTGACGTGATTCCATCCAACGATTTCTCTTTCTACGACCAGGTTTTGGACTTGTCTCTTTTGTTCAATGTCATTCCTGACAGATACACCAAGTACAACTTGGCTCCTATTGACGTTTTGTTCGCCATGGGTAGAGGTTTGCAAAGAAAGGCCACCGAGACTGAGGCTGCTGTCGATGTCACTGCCTTGGAGATGGTTAAGTGGTTCGACTCTAACTACCATTACGTCAGACCAACTTTCTCCCACTCTACTGAGTTCAAGTTGAACTCTGAGGCCGGCTTGAAGCCAGTCAACGAGTACTTGGAGGCCAAGGAGCAGGGTATCGAGACCAGACCAGTCGTTTTGGGTCCAATCTCTTACTTGTTCTTGGGTAAGGCCGACAAGGACTCCTTGGACTTGGACCCAGTTTCTCTCTTGGACAAGTTCTTGCCAGTTTACAAGTCTCTCTTGCAGGAGTTGTACAAGGCTGGTGCCAAGACCGTCCAGATTGATGAGCCAATCTTGGTTTTGGACTTGCCAGAGTCTGTTCAGAACCTTTACAAGGGTACTTACGAGCAGTTGGTTGGTGAAGGTGTCCCAGAGATCACCTTGACCACCTACTTCGGTGACGTCAGACCAAACTTGGCTGCCATCAAGTCCCTCCCAGTCGCTGGTTTCCACTTTGACTTTGTCAGAGCCCCAGCTCAGTTTGACGATGTCGTCGCTATCCTTAACGACAAGCAGACTTTGTCTGTCGGTGTCGTTGACGGTAGAAACATCTGGAAGACCGACTACTCCAAGGCTTCTGAGGTTGTCAACAAGGCCATCTCTGCCGTCGGTAAGGACAGAGTTTTCGTCGCTACTTCCTCTTCTTTGTTGCACACTCCAGTTGACTTGGCCAACGAGAGCAAGTTGGACCCTGTCATTGCTGACTGGTTCCAGTTCGCTGTCCAGAAGTTGGACGCTGTTGTGACCATTGCTAAGGATGTTTCCGGCGAGGATGTTTCCGAGTTGTACGCTGCTAACGCCAAGTCCATCAAGGCCAGAAAGGAGTCTCCTATCACCACCAACCCTAAGGTCCAGGAGAGAATGGCTTCTATCAACGAGTCCCTTTCCACCAGAAAGGTTCCTTTCGCCGACAGATTGGCTGCCCAGAAGGAGAAGTACAACTTGCCATTGTTCCCAACTACCACCATTGGTTCTTTCCCTCAGACCAAGGACATCAGAGTGAACAGAAACAAGTTCAACAAGGGTACTATTACCAAGGAGGAGTACGAACAATTCATCAACAAGGAGATTGAGACCGTTATCAGATTCCAGGAGGAAATTGGCTTGGATGTCTTGGTCCACGGTGAGCCAGAGAGAAACGATATGGTCCAATACTTCGGTGAACAGTTGGATGGTTACGCTTTCACCACCAACGGTTGGGTCCAGTCCTACGGTTCTAGATACGTCAGACCACCAATTATTGTCGGTGACGTTTCCAGACCAAAGGCTATGTCCGTCAAGGAGTCTGTCTACGCTCAGTCCTTGACCAAGGCTCCAGTCAAGGGTATGTTGACTGGTCCAGTTACCTGTCTCAGATGGTCTTTCCCAAGAGATGACGTTTCCCAGAAGGTCCAATCCTTGCAATTGGGTTTGGCTTTGAGAGACGAAGTCCAGGACTTGGAGGCCGCTGGTATTACTGTCATCCAGGTTGATGAGCCAGCTATCAGAGAAGGTTTGCCATTGAGAGCCGGTCAGGAGAGATCCGATTACTTGAACTGGGCTGCTCAGTCTTTCAGAGTTGCCACTTCTGGTGTCGAGAACGCTACCCAGATCCACTCTCACTTCTGTTACTCCGACTTGGACCCTAACCACATCAAGGCCTTGGACGCCGACGTTGTGTCTATTGAGTTCTCCAAGAAGGATGACGCCAACTACATCAGAGAGTTCTCCGAGTACCCTAACCACATTGGTTTGGGTTTGTTCGATATCCACTCCCCAAGAATCCCATCCAAGGAGGAGTTTGTCGCCAGAATCGAGGAGATCTTGAAGGTGTACCCAGCTGACAAGTTCTGGGTCAACCCAGACTGTGGTTTGAAGACCAGAGGTTGGGAAGAGACCAAGGCTTCCTTGACCAACATGGTTGAGGCTGCCAGAGATTTCAGAGCCAAGAACTAAGAGACCGGCCTAGCGCTGCTGTACTCTTGGACTTGACTCTATAAAGCCCCGTTTTGAAAAGAAATGCGGGATAGCATTGATTCAATTCATATTTTTGTTTGGATGCCTTATCCTTTCATGCCATGCCTGTTCAACATTAGTGTGTGGTTTACAGTCTAGTTTTTTAAAGACTATGAGTTGTACGAATTTTAATTTTTTTATATATTGTTTTTGCTTTACGTTTATGGGGTTTTAAAAGAGGGATTTCAACATCGGTGATAAATATAATACTATTTTATACAAAATATGGCTGTAGAAGTGAGCAAGTAGATGAGTGAGTGAGAATAGTGTATCAGTCAAGCTCCCATCCACTACGATATCTGAAGATATAGCAGACCACAAAACATGACAAGAAACAAGTCGTACAAACAAAAGCCACCCTTTCTATCTAGACTATAATATTCCAAGAGGATATCAGTATATGCTATGTCATTACTTGCCAGCTTCTTGGGTTGGCTGCGAAACCAGAGGCGCCAGTGTGCATCTTACACCTACACAACTCACCTCACTATGGGGTTATTGCTGATACTCGATTCATCCACACAATAATGTCAGAAAACGACCAACTCGTCCAGAGCTTTGTTGCTGTTACAAGTGCCCCTAAAGCGGTGGCCGAGCAGTTTTTACAGAAGAACGATTTCGACCTTACCACGGCAATTGAAGACTTCTATGCTTCTGCTGAGGAGTCCACTTATGAAGCACATGGAGGTGGCCAGGAAGAAGCACAGGAAAAGAGAACACTGGGCTCGAGAAGCAAATCGTCTCGTGGTGGCTTCAGAACCTTGAGAGACCTTAATGAAGATTCAGATGATCCAGAGGATACAAACACTAACTTCTTCACTGGTGGCGAGAAGTCAGCATTGCAGGTGGAGAACCCAGATAAGGATAAGAACGAAGGCCAGCAGCCATCACTCATTGAGAGAATCTTCCAGAGAGCCCAGGAACAGATGGATGAGCCTGATGACAGACCGTCTGCTCAGGCAGAACAACAAGAGCCATCTAACTTTACTGGTGCTGGTTTCAAGCTTGGAGACTCTGAACAGCCGCTGGAGGTGGTAGAGGATCCATTTGCACAATCCAGAAATAGACCTGCTAAGGTTAACAGAGAGATCATCTTTTGGCGTCAGGGTTTCACTGTCGGTGAGGGACCTTTGAGAAGATACGATGATCCAGAGAACCAGCTTGTCTTGCAAGAATTGAAACGTGGAAGAGTGCCAGTTTCGTTCTTGGGCGTTGAATTTGGCCAGGACGTTGACGTCTCTGTGTTGAAGAAGACTGATGAGGACTACGTTCCACCAAAGAGAAAGTTGGGTGGTTTCCAGGGCCTGGGCCAGCGTCTCGGTTCGCCAGTGCCAGGTGACAGTTCTGGTACCGCTACTCCAACTGCTGAGCCTAAGAAGCCAGAGGAGAAGACGGAGCCTGCAAAGCCACAGGACCAGGGTACGGGTGATTCATTGGTTCAAATCAGATTTGCCAGCGGCAAGAAGGTCGCTCACAAGTTCAACTCCACAGATCTGATTGGCACTGTTTACGATTTCGTTCGCAACCACGAATATAACAGTGACCATTCTAGATCTTTCATCTTATCGCATGCTTTCCCTGTGAAGCCTATAGAAGAGTCGCTGGGTGTGACTGTCGAGGAAGCCAAACTAAAGAATGCCGTCATTGTCCAAAGATGGGCTTAGAAGGTAGGCTATTGAGCTAAATTGTGTTAAGATGTCATTTACCATGGGTATCAGCACCTTTACTGTACCTATTCAGTACTGAAGATGCATTGAACGTATCCCATACCCCCATTCAACTCCTTCAAAGGCTAGGAGCTCACCAGCTTGTAGTATATAATAAACCAGCAACGAAATTTCATTGGTACCAACCCTCAACAGCTTGTATATGCTGGTCGTCCTTCTCTTCAAGTAAGACCTACTTATGTCTTCTGCGCACTCTGATAATCTCATTACTCCATCCACATATAACTCATCTCGAACAACATAACTCCACTTTCCATGGAAACATCTTAGCATGCTAAATCGGTCCCTTCTACGACATCTACGTAGAGCTCCCTCCATTCGATATAGCCCATTCCTACGATATAACTCGACTTCCACGCAAAATGGAGAGTTTTTCAACGCAAACCAGGACTCAAAGACCGTACCTGATACATTGTACCGAGATGAAAACCAACTTAAATTGCATAGATTTATGACTGGAAGGAAACAGTTTTCCGATCCAAACACTGCATTTATCGAAACACCCCTGTCAAATGTCCAACACGTTATCCTCGAGAACACTTATGAACCTACGCAGACTTGGGAAGAAATCACCTCCAATAGCCGAAATCTACCGCCATGCCCCGGATCAATTATCGAGTATCATGACTACGAAAAGGATAGAACAACATTTGCTATGGTGGTAAAGGAACTGCAGTCCAAGTTTAATGAAAACCACAATAAGCTAATCGTGCTTACACTGGAGAACGAGCTCACACGAGTTTACCCACAAGACATTAATTTTACTGCTTACCAAGTTTTCGATGCTGAGTGGATCTCTTCGCTAGATATCTTGTATCACCGATTTTCAGAGGAGTACAAGCCAAGGCTTGAATTGGTGGACATGCTCAACCTGTTCGTCCATTCAGCAAAAGATATACAGCCAATTGCCCATAAAGGCTTACGAAGGGTCTTTGCTACCATGGCGTCACAGAATAATACAAACAGCACAAGTTTACTTAGTTTGGTAAAGCAAATGCCTCCTTTGGACTTTCAGAGCTACTTTCATCAATGTGCGTACCTCATGGCCATTCACCTAGAGATGTGCCTGGACGTTACACGCTGGATGGTTCTGCTGTGTTTACCAAAGCAGAACACTAATTTGGCATCATTGCATTGTTCAAATGATATTCCAAGAGAAACAGTCTATTTTGCAAATTCCTTGAACAATTTCGACACAATCTTAGATTTCATGAGCTACGACGAGACAAAGCTCGAGGAGTTCAACTCCTATTTACTATCCCTTATAGAGAAACCCAAAGACTACGATGACCTTATGCTAGAACTCAACATCTGGCAGGGCAAACCGTTTTTGCATGCTTTTAGAGCCATGACATTTGCATTAGTTTATCCGCATTCCCGGCTCATGAGCCATTTTAACAAGATCCCGCTATTCCAGCATAAGAACAATGTCAGGTTGAACGACCTTGAACGTCTTCTTCACAAGGTTGGCGTCTTGAACAACCCCAAAAATGCATTGACTGACATTGTTCTTTCCGCCAATGTCTCTGGAAAACCATCCCAGGACCAGTTGGCGGTTGCATCGCCAAAAGATTTGAAACCGTCGAAGCTTGAACTTCGTTCTGCTCAAATGGCCTCCAACGGTCAGCTAGATGATAACTTTCACCACTTACGCAGCACAAAGTCCTATTATCTGGATCACGTCATCTATATGTTGCCTTCTGATAAGAAGTTTTCCACAATCGGTGTCTCATTGGAAAAGGTAAATGCTAGGAGATATCTCATTAACATTCATGTACCAGATGTGGCCGCAAGAGTACCACCGGCTAGTGCTTTCTTTGAAGAAGTCTCAAAACATACCCATTCTCTTCGGAGTCTCGAAGGTCTTCTTGACAACGAACTGATAGAGGTGATAGCAAAGAATGTTAGAAATGAGCTTCTTCTAAGGGCGCTGCTGACGGCTAGTAATTACTTCAGCGTTGGTGACTTTGACAAGAAGCTGAGACCACAAGATCTGAAAACATGCATGACAGTAACATTCGAATATAATACGTTTGCGCTGTCTCCTCTCAAAGATCTTGAAAGTGGTGTTTCTGTTAGCTTTGACAGAATCAGCGGCATCAAAGTGAAGGAACTACCTTGGAAAACACTTGACGACGTCCTTTGTGGTCGACTCGACAAAAGCCTTCTAAACCCTTTCAAGCTCTTCAATAGAAGGAGAGAATCAGAAAAGAAGGAGGAAGAAGTTTCTTTAGACGAGAATGACTTACTGAACCTTGGTTTTATCTCCAGCGTGATGAAAACTCATTTCAGCACGAGAAACTTCCGTTGTGCTTCAACTCCCCAGCCTGCCCTATTCCAAAGATCGATAAATAGATTTTTGAGCTACGAGCGTAAGGATGAAGAAGAGCTTATCAAGACCGACTTGGATTTTCCTACTGTTAGAGATGCAATGTCTACCGCCGAAGCTCTTTTCTTTACGAATGAGGTCAAGGTATTTCTCGAATCCCTTGTTTCCTCGTTTTGTTACAGAGAAGCTATACCAGCACTTGTGAGAAGCGACGACTTAATCGTTCCAAGCGATGATGGACCCAGTTACGAAAGCCCAGACCCAGAGATGGACGAAGTATTCGTGTCGCATGACAATAAGCTTTTGCCAAATTACTACTGCAGCTCCTACTATCAAGCAATTTTGGCAAGAGACAAGCGTGGTTTTGTTTCTTTACCGGCCTTCTTTATTGGTAACAATTACATCAATAAGCCCAATCTCACAACGACGAGCCGGAACCCGTATCTGTTAACCAAAGGCTTACAGAGAGGACGTGTCAATGTTTCAGACGCTTTGAGTAGTGTCGAGGCATACTTGAATCAATTGCAGATTCTCTCTTTTCTTCATCTTCAGAAAACAGGCGAGAGCCGCTACTTGCAACTGGTGACCCGCAAATCTCATTTCAAGACGTTAGGGTACCCAGTACATGGTCCATTGTCTGATAGAGTGTTGAACGACCAAATAGCTAAATTACGTGACGCTGAGCTAGGCAGTAATTATCTAGCCCAGAGACATGATCGGTACTGGAAGCTCAAGTACCTTGAACAACAGCTTGACAGCCAAGACTATGACGACGATACGCTCTTCTTATCGTGCATTATCACTAGCCTAGGACACGATATGGATTTAGAAACAAAACTAGCAAGAGGCTGGTGTGTGGAGTTGGCGATGGAAATCGATGTGATGGTGAACTCATACAATGACTTGACCATTGGTTCAACGGTGACAGCTGATAAAGTGATGTACTTGAATCCTGTTGAAGGTAACTGTATTATGCGGTGCAAACGAGACTACTAAAATGTACATAGTAACGAGGAATGACTAGACAAAGAGGTTGTAGTGGAAGTAAGAGATGGTGAGGCTGCCAGCTGCCAGTCATTGACAGGCTTCTGCATATCCTACAATGATAACTATAGTTCATCTAAAAAGGCTCTCAGTTCATAAGACCAAAAATTGTGAGTTTAAAAAACCGACATAAAATTGATAAAGCAGGCTTTTATTTTTCATATTTTTTCTCCATCTATTCTTGCTTTTCAATCACTTCATTTCATTACTGAGCCGACTGGGCCAGATTTGATGGGTGCGAAATTCATACAGATGAGTCGGTGACTCAACTCGCAAAGATTCTTCACCGATTCCAAAAAGCTCCCTGAACGCCAGCCCGATGTTCGTATGTATCTTGATGATTTGACAAAATTGGTTCAAAAATACTAACTACCAGAGCACACTCCAGCCTTCGTTGAAGGATTTCAAGAACGTGGTGGAAACTTCCAAAGAGAACCACGATGCTCCAAACTTGTACCCTATCTATAAATATGTTGCCAACGAGGACTTGACTGTCCACCTGGCGTACTTGAAGTTGGCTGATTTGAACAACCCAGATAGACCAGAGTCGTTTTTGTTTGAGTCTTCGGTCAATGGTGACTCTGTTGATAGATACTCTTTCATTGGTATCAAGCCTAGAAAGATCATCAGAACAGGTGATGATGTTGAAAGGTTTGCCAAAGAGTATAACAATGTGGACCCACTTGACATTTTGGAGAAAGAATTGGACCAACACAAGCAGGCTCAGTTGCCAGGCTTGCCTCCTTTTAAGGGTGGTGCTGTGGGATACATCTCATATGACTGTATCAAGTATTTCGAACCGAAAACAAGAAAACCTTTGAAAGACACTTTGCAGGTTCCTGAAGCTGTTTTGATGCTTTGTGATCTAATAGTCACTTTTGACCATGTGTACCAGAGATTCCAGATCATTAACAATGTGAGAATTGAAGCTGACACTGATGTGCAAGCAGCTTATGAAACTGCCGAAAAGGAGATTTTGGAAATCCAGTCCCGTTTACATGCCCACAAATCGTTGGAGGATCTCAACCCTATCCAGCCTCCAATCAAGCCTGACCAGACTTTCACTTCTAATATTGGTCAGGGCGGTTACGAACTGCACGTTTCTACGTTGAAGAAGCATATCAAATTGGGCGATGTCATTCAAGCAGTTCCATCGCAAAGAGTCGCTAGACCAACGTCTTTGCACCCATTCAACATCTACCGTCACTTGAGAACGGTCAACCCATCTCCATACTTGTTTTACATTGACTTGAAGGATTTCCAAATCATTGGTGCTTCTCCTGAATTGTTGGTGAAATCAGATGACAAAGACAGGATTGTTACTCATCCAATCGCCGGTACGATCCAGAGGGGTAAGACCAATGAAGAGGATGAACGTAACGCACAGATCTTGAGATCCAGTTTGAAGGACAGAGCCGAGCACATTATGTTGGTGGATTTGGCTAGAAACGATGTCAACCGTGTTTGTACGCCACAGAGTAACTCTGTGGACCGTCTTTTGACCATCCAGCGTTTCTCCCACGTTATGCATTTGGTTTCTGAGGTTAGCGGAACGTTGAGAGAAGGCCAGACCCGTTTTGATGCTTTCAGGTCGATTTTCCCTGCCGGTACCGTCAGTGGAGCTCCAAAAGTCAAAGCCATGGAGCTTATTGGTGAATTGGAGAAGGAAAAGAGAGGTGTTTACGCTGGTGCTGTTGGTAACTGGGGTTACGACGGAAAGACCATGGATACCTGTATTGCATTGAGAACGATGGTCTACAAAGATGGCGTTGCCTACTTGCAAGCAGGAGGAGGAATCGTTTTCGATAGTGACGAGACTGACGAGTATGAGGAGACGATGAACAAGATGAGAGCCAACAACAACACTATTGTGGAGGCAGAGAAGATCTGGCTCCAGAAGGTTGGCTGTGAATAGACAGACATTTCGAGTTAAACAAAAAATGACCAAAAAGATAAATTGACCTATGTTCAAGTAGAAATATATCTTCTCAGGCCATACCATTAACGGTCTAGTGATGTTTCAAGCGTGGTTGCGAAAACGCACACGCCCGTCAGAAACCCCACAGAAAATGACAATAACATAATTACATACAATCATAAAAATCACCAGAAAATTATACCATCCGATTATTCAGCCCTTTTAGACCACCCAGATTAATTTTATTTTCCAAAACCTCCAAAAACCACCCATATTCACTGCCCCCAGGGTCCATTTCTTTTGGCGTGTGCAGCATGTGGCTCCTCGACGAATGCAGGAGTCTGACTTAACCACCACCGAGGTTGAGCTGAATGTCCATCAATTCGGCCATAATTTGAGAGATATCCATGAGGGGACAATAAATTCTAGCAATTCAATTCCACCTAAACCATATTCTTTGGCAATTTTTCTTTCCAGAAGCTACCCGTTTCGTCTACCTTACCCCGACAGTGCCCCACTCCCAGTTGTCAAGTCACGTGCGGTTGTCGTCGATGATCATCACCGAGACAAGTCGACAAGTTCACCGCTAGGGACCTTACATAAGATCCAATACCCCAGTCAACCAAACTCGTCGAAATCTTCACCGCTACATATCTCCACTATGGCTTCTCCAGATAGCCCCCACCAGCAGCCAGCGCGTCACCGAACCTGGCCAAAAACTTCTCGAGAACCCCAACGTCATGGGACGCCCAGGACGACCTCCTCTTGATGCACTTGAAAGATACCCAGAAGCTCGGATGGAAGGAAATTGCGTCTCATTTCAATAACAGAACGCCCAACGCGTGCCAGTTCCGTTGGAGACGGTTGAAGAGTGGTAATTTGAAGAACCCTCCTAAATCCTCCCAGGCGCTAGGGGGCCTTGCGGCCGCTGCCATTGCAGCCGGTTCGGGCTCAGATAGCGGGAACTCGAGTCCGGCTGGTTCTGTATCGCTGGCGTCGAAGAAACCTCCGAAGAGACGCCAATCCGAGTCTCTGACGCCGAGAATTCCTTCTGTTTACTCTCCCCACGCCAACACGACGTTCACCGGCTACGATACCGTTTCTACTGCTTTGGCAGGTCTAAATGCCTTATCCAACCAGAATAGTGGCTCTCCTTCGGGTCCCATAAATACCACGTCACATCCTCAAACGTTCGACAATCTGCCTAAACTGGACGTGCCGTTAGACCCCCAGTCGGCTGCCGCCAGCGGCTCAAGCGGTGGATACTTCACCGAAATCTCCATCGACCCTACACTGAACTTGCCACATAACCAACCCCACCCAGTCCCCAGCCCACTGGGTATCACCCCTAGAAATTCTAACGTCGACCAGCATCCCCCACACATGCACAACAACTCGATTATTCAGATTGTGCGTGATGATAGAACCTCGGTGCTGTCGCTGCGTCACTCTGTCCTGAGTCTTCCGTCAAAGTCTATGAACATTCCCCACCATCAGCTGACGAATAGCGCTTTAGCTCACTTGCCTATCTTGTTCGGCGGCAACAGTATAAGTGGTCCTTCTACGGGTGCCTCCGTGCTGGGTCCTTCCGGGCTCCCGCATTTGGCTTCAACATTATCCAGTATCCGTAATGGTTCCATTGTTGGTACTTCCCAGCCTCTCCGAAGACTGTCCATGCTGGTGGTCCATACTGAAAGACGGAACTCCGCACCTAAACCTTTGAAGAGGAGCGAGTCGACCGAAAAGAGTACTAAGGAACTCAGAGACAGTGAAAAGGATAAAGGAAAGGATAAAGCAGGAGGACGCAGTTCAAGTCAACCAATTTTCAAGATTCCGTGGTCTATGGAGGAGGATGAACTATTGATCAACCGTCGTCGTAAGGAGCTTTCTTTTGCAGAGCTTCTGATCTTGCTTCCACAAAGAACCGAGGGAGAGATCTGGGCACGTATAGATGCTCTTGAACGTCTTCGGAACGGACACAGGGCTCTGGTTTCTCGTGACCATATCCGTCGTAGACAGTCCCTGATTGGCCTTGACGACGTCGATGACTTTTATGACGAGGTAGACTCTGTCATTGGCGGTATCGATTCAGATGATGACGATGATGATGATGTACTACTAGATGTGGACGACTCTATTCCGGGTCATATCCGCCGGCAACGGAAAAGAAGAGCTTCCTCAGCGGTCAATCCTCTCTCCGTGAGAGAAGGAATTCGCCGGAAGCTCCACTAGGCTCTCAGGGGCCTAGTTGACCCTTCAAAGAATCGCAAACGTAGACAAAGAGAAAACATAAAAAAAACGCCATGCGCTGCTGGACCAGTGTGGCATCCACAGGATAGATCTCCATCGCTTTATTTTCACTTTCAACAGATGCATTTCTATATACATGCTAATACAATTTTAAATCCAGAGTGATCTGGTCCATGACAAGCTTAGGTGCCGGGCCAAGTCCAAGGACAGTGGCACTTCCAGCTGCAATTTGCGTTCTTCCAGCATCGTGAACAATGTATGCGTTCACCCCAAGAGAAAGAGCCTGGGCAAACATGACATCCATGTCTTCTTGATTAGGAACTTGAAGAGTGATCTTTGCCTGTCCGTTGCCACGCTCCCATCTCTGGAGAAGTGTAGGGTTGTATGAACCTTTCAGCGCATCAGCCATCCTCTTATATAATGCCAAAGTAGCATGGGAACATTGAGCAGCAGCCTTACCCTTACCCATTTTAAGGTCCAGGCGAACGATCAATGTCATTCTCACCTCGCCTGGGATCTCGTTCAACGGCCTGGAGTCTATCTCTATGTCGTCTTCAGAGTCTGAGTCAGAGTATGATTCAGTGGAGGCATCGGAGTCCGAGGAAGGTGGTTTCAGGGGCCTAACCTTACGAACTTTGGCGGCAGGGCAAACCAGCCATGCACAACGTATCCAGTTAGAAAGCTGGCCGCACAGAGGGTAAGCAAGCCGACGGTTTGAGCCATGGTGGTAGTTGCAGAGAAGCTACAGTAGATCCATGTAGAGAAGGCGAGCAGTTGGAGGGTGGTCACGTGTAGGCAAACAGATTAAAAGGGACCCTGGAATTGCATTTCCGTGGGAGTCGGGAGGATTAGAGAGTTGTGTGGTTGTTCTTTCTTGACTGAATGATAGTTTGAAGTTTTCTTGTGTACGAAGAGACAAATAACGTCGTACGGCTGAATGAGCGCCAGCAGACGAGGCAACACCAGGAGGCCAAAGAAAGTTGGATTATTTATGGTAGATTGGAGGTGAATGATTCTTTCATGATAAGAAAAGTGTTGAAAATGTATTTAACGTTTCTGTTTAGGGTATTTTTGGTTGGCTTTGGTGTTGCTGGCTGGTTCTCACCGGTTTTGCAGCCACTGTTGACCTGCCCTAACGTAAGTCAACAAGAAAGCCAAAAAGTAGATTTAAACAAGAAGATAACATTAGTAATTTAGCAAAAAACTCTTAAAAGCATTCCACTGCCATCCCATCAACGTAAAAGCTAAAACCAACACAGCTTGTTGGCCCTCTAACGGTATGTGCTGCACACAGCAACCGTAACCGATCTTGTATCACCAAAAGTCACCTACATACCAGCCTCACTGATCATCAACACCATAGATATACAACATTAAATGCTACGCTGGTTACGTTTGAGTAAGACCAAAGTGTTTTACTTTTTTGTAGCCTACATTGCCTACTTGTTACTGTTTGGATGCAGGCAGGACTATTCTGGCTCGTGTGCTCCAACTCGTTACACTTGTGACGCCGCCAACTTGTTTGTCTACCCAGCATGGAACCACTACTTTCAACCCCACCTTGAATGGATCGACCAGCAAACAGGAGCTGTCGACAAATTGACCCCTGCTTGGCAGAAAACTCACGCGACTTGGGCCCAATTCGACGAAAACTACGCTGTATCGTATACTTTGGATAAGTATAGAGTCAAGCTGCAAGACTGGGCCGATATCTACGTTGGCCCAGCTTACACATTTGTGGCAACAAAGTTCGATTATGTATGGGCTAGGGCTTTGCTGTACTACAAGGGCAGTGCTGGTCCTATCTTGGAACATTATTTCAACACTTACAACCATCATTTGGTCGACTCTGTTGATAATACCGTCAATTACGTCAAAAGACACACTGGAGTTATTCTTGGTCATGCAAGTAGACACTCCAGCCGTTTCCTTGAATTGCAAGTCTTCCCAGCCTTGTCTGCTGCTTGGACTGCGGTCTCCACCAATGGTGTGGTGTTAAAAATTGCTGACGCCACTAAAGTTCTGTGGGTTGGAACGCAATTCAACCGTTTGTTGGATGCTCTTGTGGAAGAGAGCTCAAAGCTTAATGCGTCTTTCAGAAGCAAGTCTGAGTTCATCAAAGGCGAGTTTAAGAGCTTCACAGAGTCTGGCATTGGTAAGCAGAGAAGAAGCGACCACGCTACTAGCGAGGATGTTTTGGACGTAGTCAAGACAATTTTGGAAGATGTAACTTCTGTTGTGCCTATCCCTGAAAGTACCGATGTGGCAGTTGAAGAAACTGCCGGTCAGGAAGAGGAAACAGCACTCGAGAAGACCGATGACTATGGCGTGGCCTCCACAGTGGATTCGATTCTTAGTGAGGTAATCTCTGAGGTCGAGGGTGAGGTCGAGGGTGAGGAAGAAGAGGTGGAGGAAACTTCCACGGAGACTGAATCCACCTTAGTACCAACTGAATCTGAGAATGTTGACGAGTCCGAAGAAGAGACCGACTTTCAAACTGAGACAATTTGGTTGACTGCAACTGTCTACGAAGGCGATGCTTCAGATGCTCCTGAAAAGGACGAAGAGGTGGCCACAGTTGACCATGAGGACGTGCTGAAGTACGAGTACTCTCCACAAGCCGTGCTTGAGCAGGAGATTATTTATTGGAGGTCTAAGGTAGACCAGATGTTGAAGATGGCATACGGTAGTCTTGAGGACGATATGATTCCTGTTTTGAATGCTACACTTGATCCATTGAGGGATGAGATTTCCGCCAACTTCACCAAATTGCAACAGAGCAACTACGACAGATACAAGAGGATGAACATTCTTATTTCCAAGATCAACAAGGATTTTGAACACATGAAGGAGACAAACGAGCTCATTGAGAACCCAGTTGTGGACAGGCAGAAAATGAGAGATGAAATCAGCGAATGCAAGGAAGCAGTTGAGCAAACGATGAAGGATGCTGAAGATTCCCTTAATGCCGTGCATGCAGAGATTGTCACTCTGTACTTTGCAATCACTCAGGAAACTGTCGATGTCATCGAGTCCTATGCTGAAACCTTGTTAACCGGCTTCACTAATTCCCTTTCCGACATGATCGGCATGCTTGAGTCTGACCCAACATACGAGGACAAGTTTGGATGGGCTGCTTGGAAGGAGCACCACAAAATCAAGGAACTGATTTCCAGCTCAGAGATAAGATTTTGACGAGGCCAACAAGTATAAGGAGAACCACCGTGGGGCGTGAAGCCTCGTGGGTTGGCGCCATGGATCGAATACTTGGGCAGCATAAATTTCCACATTAATTTCCTCATCCGTGATAACGACGAATACCTACAGTTGGTTAGAGCGAAAGCCAACGTGGCCTACCAGATGAGAGAAGGAATTACTCGTCAGCTCGAGGACGCCAAGAAGGAGAAGGCAGAGGCAGCCAAAAAGGCCAAAAAGGCCGCTGAAGAAGCCCGTAAGGCCTCTGCAGAAGCAGCCAATGGTGAAGCGTCATTTGCTGCTGATGCTAATTCAGAAGCTCTTAACGAAGCCGTTGGAGAAGACGCCCCTCAGTCTGCACATGCCAAGGAGGGTGCAAATGCGAGAGAGGATATTGAATCTCGCGTTCCTGGAAGCAGCGAAGACGCCCAACAAGCGCCTGAGGCTAAAAGCGAGGAATTCGAAGCTGCTTTTATTGACGAATCGCCCGAGCAGATCGAAAGTGACGAATCTATCGAGGCAGAAGAAGATGCCCCTGAGCAATTGGAGGCAGACTTGAGCTCGTAGGGCTTTAGGAGATAAGCGCGGCCGCCGCAGCAGGCAGCATCAATGGCAGCTACCAGTACCAGCTACCAGTTGGTGGCGGCACTGGCTCGACGCCAGCATGTAAAAAAAATCTACAAATCAACAAGGCAATTGCCCGTTCATAGAAATAATAAACATAAGATAGCGGATATATACACCTAAGTCAAACAGGCAGAGGATCACTCGAAGTTTTCATGGACCTCATCCTTGACAGCCTCGGCCTGGTTAACGACAGCGTCCTTGAACTCCTCAGCCTTTGGCTGGATAGTCTTGTGGAAGTGCTGTTCAGCGTGACCGTAAGCCTTGTAGCCAAGGTCGAAAGCCTGAGCCTCGACGAACTCAACGCCTTCCCAGACCTTCACCACGTATGGGTGGACGTGGGTGTTGAACTTACCCTTGGCACACTGGATCTTGTCCTCAATCTTGTTGTCCTTGAAGAAAGCAGTCGAGTGGACGTGGTCATCCAAGAACTGGTGAACCTTACCAATGTAAGGAGTAGCAACCTGGTGGCCATGGTTCAAGTGGCCACACAAGTGTTTGTGTGTGGAGGCAAGAGGGCTGAAGATGGACTTTGCCGACAGCTCAATTGGATGGTCCACCACCTGGGGACACTTGTAGGTGAAAAGGTACAAGCCGTAGAAAAGAACGGTGAAGACGACCAAGTTTCTGAATTTCGCAAGGCAGGCCATGATGGGATGGATTGGATTGGAGAAAGAAGAAGAGTAGTGGGAAGCAACTGTGAAAGTGTAGCTTCGGTGCGGGTCAAGGTGAAGGAATGGTGGGGAGAACGAGAACGAGGGCGAGGAAAAAAAAAAAAAAAAAAAAAAAAGGATTACTGCCTTTGGCTTTTCGTCGATACTTGCACGTGAATTGGGTGCAAAAGAAGTGGCCGAAGTTAGACTGATTGGCAGTAAAGAAGTTTTAGTAAGCTTTAGTTGTATAATACGGCCTTTTATCACCAGTTGTCTTTGTTGTCTGTTGTCTGTTGTCGTTTGGTTGCCGTTGTTCTGGTGCCAGTGCAGCGTGTGTTGTGGTCTTGTCTTAATTAGGAATTATATGACCGAACGAGCGACAGAAGGCTTATGAAAAATGACATAGGAAAAATCACAGAGGGAAAAGAGAAGGAGAGGGAAGGTTGTGGAAACAGTGGGATGAAGAAGATTGGCGGGATATTTTGTTCTACACGTTGTTGCTGGTGGAAGTCGACTGGTGCCTTGCATCGTCTATTTTCTTGTCGTAGGTATCGTAAGTTGTTGTTTTTAGGTAGCCGAGAAGGTAGTTTTTGTTAGGGGTCGTGGAATGTGAGGCTTAACGAGATTTGTCGATTGTTGCTGGTTTATACCTCTCGAAAAGCTCGCCTATTTCGTCTTCTGGAGGTTTCCACTACGCATGGAAATGGTTGCAAAATCGCACTTTGACAGCTACTCGCATATAGGGTCTGGGCGAGACAAAGTGAGGGTAGTCAGTGGATTCAAGGGTTATGAGGAGGAATGGGACTGAAGATGATGAATTGGTAACGCATGAGAGCTCATTGATTTCGTTGCGTTGTAGATTGGAAGAAAGAGGGTGGTTATCGGAAGTAGTCGTTTTCACTACTGCCATTGCTGCCATTGCAGGAGCACTGGTAGTTTGACCAGGGAAAACGCAGTAAGGTCAGGATTGGGTTGGTGACGAAAATGAAGCTGTTTTAAGCTTTCGGGGATCTTTTTCAGGGACCTTAGATTCCTGGTGGGCGCTCATTTCAAGAATTGTAACTCCAATCGAAGGGATCGTTTGTCCTTGTGCTTCCTTTAATGGGTTTGCAGCCAAATGAATCGACCTCATCTGAAGCTTTTTACACCTTCTGACGCCTTCTGTCCACCAGACGAGATCAAAGTCATACATACTCAATCACTTTGTGGCCAATGCAATAAAATAAATGATTGAAACCAACGGTTCGCCTAGAAGCTACAATGTAATGATCAGTAGTAGCCGTTCACTTCCAGTGATCTCTAAGCCAACGTAGCTCTTCCCCCTTGAAGTTCAAAAAGTGATGAACATCGAGTAGTCAATTTTTGCGGTGAATTCATTCTACAAGTCAAAAAACCTCTCTGTTATTGCAAAGTCACCATTAAGTCACCATCAAATCTCCACTGGTCCTCCAGCAGCCGCTCCAAGTGCCCTGCCAAACGATCGACAGAAAAACTCACCGTTATATGGTGTTTCTACTTATACCTTTTTACTACAATGACTTTTTCAGTGCAAGCATAAAAAAAAAAAAAAAAAAAAAAAAAAGCAACACCCAACACAACACAACCGTAGAATCCCTCTCCAGCTCTCCCCATATCCCTGCCCTGGTCAAGAGCACCTCGGCCATGAGCCGGGTAACAGTCCACTATATAACCCATCGGTGCTCATCTTCTCAAACCTCATATTTGATTACCAACGCATACTGAGGCCCAGGAGCTGGGGCGGGCCCAACGGCTCGAGGTTCTTGAATCTCGGCCAGCTGCTACTGAATCGTGTCGTTCTGACACGTTTCTCCGGTGGTGGGTCTGCTGAATCTACGGATTTTCATTTTGTCCATCTCTGTGTGAGTATTTCACCAGGGAAGCCTCCCAAGTCCTAGGGGTAAAAGCCTACGGTTTGGAAGGTGGAAATCCCGTACTGAAAACCATGTTCCTTTTCTTCAACCTCTCCTGCGCCAGTATGCCAGAGTGAAGCTACCCGGTTTATCGTGTTTCATCTTTTCAATAGATCCAGCACTTCATGCCCGGGGCACATACAGTAGAGTAGCATTTTTTTTTTTACCTTCTTTCTCGCGCTCGCGTAATTAAGCGAAACGGTGAATTAGCAGCCAACACAGAAGGAACCAACCAGAGGGCTCTACAAGTGTTCCCATTACTTCAAACGCTCTAACACAATCAGACATTCCGACATTCAACGTCCTTTCTTTTTCTGCTCTTTTTTTCTTGTCTTGCTCGAGCGGTTTTGAGTCCTCGTTGTTTACCCAATTCGGGAGAGGTACGCGCTTTTTCCATCGCTCCCATACATTCTTGTGTTATTACCGATCACCGAGCCGCCAACCTAAACCCTTTCCACTTGGCACTGACTACCTTTTTCTCGTCTTGCTACATCCATGAAATTCACTGAGCGTGTCAAGGAGTTTGTATACTCCCTCTCAGCCACTGACAAGTACTCCGACTATGATTCCCGCAAATCTTTCAACAGGGTGAATAAGCCATCTGCGAAAACGAGCCTCTTGTCCCACCACGATAACAGCTCCACTGTTTCTTTTGCCAATGGGCCTACTGGAGACGTCACTGAAGGTGTTCACGAAGTGACTTTGGCATGGAGACATATTAAGAAATGGCTTCACAAACACCTGCCTGAGTTGAATACCTCCCTTCTGACTCCATGCACTGAGGCTGATCTCAATGAGTTCCAGAAGGACTTGAACTATACCTTGCCTGAATGTGTTGTGGAATTCTTCCGTTTGACGGATGGCCAGCTGAGTCTTAACGATGGCGGCTTCGGTGGCCTTGTGTTTGGCTTGAAACTTATGTCTATTGATGAGATCGCTGTTATGGCTGCTTCCTGGAAGAGTGTCCATCAAGAAATCCTTAAACAAATGCCAGTGCAAAGAGTCGCTGAGCCTAGAACTGCTCAAATTGAGGAATCAAACTTGGGCTCTGACTTGTCTGACGGCCACAGTGAAGCTTCTTACAGCTCCAATTCCAGACCTGAGAGTGCCCAGAGGACCAATTCCTTGTATAACAACCAGCGCTCCGTGCCTCCTGGAGCTATCCAACCCATCTACGCACATTCTAGATGGACTCCATTGATTACAGATGAGGTGGGTAATTGCATTGGCGTGGACCTTTCACATCTGCCTGAGGCATCTGGGGAATCAGCTAACCAGGGTAAATGGGGACAAGTAATCTTGTTCGGACGCGACTTCAATACAAAGTTTAAGATCGCTGATAACTTTGGTGATTTCCTTTTAATCTTCGCTAATGATTTGGAGATGGGCAACTGGGAACTAAAAGAAAACGCCGAAGTTGAAGATATTATGTGCGGTGTTGACACTGAGCTCGTGTACATCGACCCAGAGACAAAAAAAGAAACGCCTTACATGGATGCTTTGCGCAGAAGAGCGGTTAGCGAATGGATCTCTTCGTTACTGGAAGAAGAGCTCAAGAGTCAGGATAACCAAGACCTCCTTAAGCACCTTAAACAAGAGTTCTCCTACAAAGTGCCAGTCTTTGAAAACAAATCGTCTGATGATTTCCTTAATGATAATTTAAGAGGTATCGACCAGCTAAATACTCCTTTGCCTGACCAAACGATAACTGAAGGTGACATCACCCATGAGAACACTGTGGTTGATCTGGATGATGAGGATCACTAAATGGTCAGTTCTACCATATAATGCGTTGGACACCAGGCTCTGTTAACCACGAGAACTTGTATGTGAAGAAAACGACGAAGAACAACGCGTTTATCGTCAGATACCACACAAATTCGAGGGTATGACTTGCTGTACGCGATAATCTTTCATTCTGAGGAACCATAAATATCCTCAGGATGACCAAAGGTACAATATAGTACCTTGGCTCGAATAATGGAGAAGGTATCAAGGTAGCAGTGGCCGACAAAACCAATGCAATGATACTGAGCGGGTGCAAGGATAGCATGGATGAATGATACAGTTCCTGGAGTGAGTGTATTATGACCCATGACGAAAAGTGGTAAGCCGGAACAGTCACAAGGTTTGCCCAAGGCTTGCTGAGTATTTTGCGATAGATATAAAAGGTGTAATGGCGGTTGTCTGCGAGCAAGAATGGATGGACAACAGTGTAATGTTTAATGATGTGGTTGATTGCCACAAACGATGCGATAGTTAGTAATAGATTCAATCCTTTTCTACCAGTGACAGTAAACTGAACGTATTTCTTCAAAGTCTTAACTGATAACCATACCGGTAAAGTGAAGAAGGTGATGAATGCAGCACAATAGAAGACTTGGACAAGGTGAAGGGTGATCTGGTGATTCTCTTTGTCGCCAAAAGTAATGCCTCCATTGACGTAAACGAAGGCAACGAATAGAAAGGCATTCACTGCAAATGGGATGAGAATTACCCAATCACGGAAACATTGCACGACGAAATTGTGGATTTGCTGGTAGAAAGACGTAGCCTTTTGCTTTCTTTTATCTATAAGCACAACACCAACAAACAGAATCCATACGATATTAGTCTGCCTAAGCCATAGACTAGCAAAGCCAGCCAAGTTAGCATACACCGCACCCTTCAAGGAACGATGCTTGAGGACAGTAAGGAGCGGGAGCACCACCAATATAGTAGACCACACATCTGTATAGAAGAGGAAGTAATATGTGTATAACAAAGGCAATGAAATCACATTAACTTTCCAGAAATTGTTGGTTGGTACCAATGATAGTGCTAGAGGTAAAGCCACAACTCCACCCAATAAGTTCAATGATCGGAGCGCAGTGGCACCACAAGAGTCCTGGATACCTATTGCGCTTAAGAAGTGATGGTACCATGTTCCTAACAAGTACAACCCTGGAGGTGTGGTTATCTTGTTATCCCATTTGGAGAACTGATGAGCGCAGTAGGTAGCACACTGTCTAAGATGGAAGATCTCATCAATGAATGGCCATTTTAGTTCCTGGTGTGCTGTCTGAGCAATTAGCCATGTAAGACCAGCAAAAATTGGAAGCACGAGGTTTTCGAGAGCCATTGGAGCGTGTATCTCCTGGGGCCTTGATAGTATCGCTTAGTAGTATAAAGTTGATACTCAGCGCGATAGGAAATGGCTGCGAAAGACAGGTGAGAGGGAAAGTTCAGTGATAGTGGGTGCTGGGACCAAGTGGAGCATAGAAATGAATGTTTTTAAGGAACGACTGGGATGTGGTTTGAGCGGTGTTATTTAGTGTAGAGTGAGTGGTGTTAACTTTCGTTTTATTAAGGGTAATGCCTAGATGGGTATACAGAAGTAGCCAAGAGGTAGAGTAGGGGTTTGGGTTAAAGGAATAACATGACTCAGGTCAATTCATTTCGTGATTAGAGTCGACTCGGTGCCTTGAGTAATCATATATCTTTCAAGAGGCAAGAACTTGTAATCATCCAGGCGAAACGGTCACTTCGTTGATTCAATATATAGGTATGGTACATTCAGACAGCAAGATTATACCCCCTTGAATCCTTAAATTTGAAGGTTCTTCTCTTGGAGGTGTTTTTGGATTATTTACTGAGTATGTTCCTTAACCCATTTCCCCCCTTCCCTGTTATTTGTGTTCTGCGATACTATCGTTTTTGCAACCATTTCCTACCCCATGTCCCAACGACCAGCTCTGGCCAGAGACCTACCTCTGCCAGAAAATTGCTCTGTATTACGAGTTTACGACTATAAACAAGATGTTCGACCTATAACTGCTTCGATGGTTCCAGAGACGCCTTCCAGGCATTCACCTCGTTCAAATCACCAGTCCTCACTTGTCGAAATTCTTAATCTAGAGACCAAAGCGTTGGTTTATAGCAACAACAGTTCCAGTCGCTCAAATACGGCATCACCAATTCAAGCCGACCCGCGTCTGCCACCTTCTCTGAAGACTCAGAAGCCCAAGAAACCAGCAGAACTTGCTGAGATCCATTATCTCATTACGGCTGGCATCATGGACAACTTCTACGTTAATATCATTTCATGGTGTCCGCTTTCCCAAAAGCTTGCCATTGGAATAAATGAAGTGGCTTATTGGTGGAACGGGCAGTTGGAAGTTCAAGGATTTTGGACAAGCCCTGACGAAAGCAGCATTAGCTGCTTGAAATGTGGAGGCGGGTACGTCTTGGTAGCTACAGATGATGGTACGGTTACGATTATGGACTCATTAGGATGTCTCAAAGGCTCCTTGAGCTTTCCAAGCTCTGTTCTCTGTGCATCTTGGACGTCAGGTCAGTTCTTCGTAGGTGACAGAACTGGTGCTATCCACAGCATTTCGGTAAAAGGTAGAGTGGCAATAAAGCCTATTGTCCACGAGTTTTACCAGCAAGTAACAGGTAAGTTCTTCAACTTTCAAAATTGAAACACTATCTAACTTCAGGCATTACCATTAGCAAAGATGGTAATTATATGGCAGCAGGAGGAAACGAGAACCGTGCAGTTATATGGGACATTTCAAGACCAGATATGGCTCCAGAAAGAATTTGTGTTCTACCCCATACTGCTGCTGTCAAGGCACTTGATTTCTGTCCATGGTCGTCTCCTCCTTCCCTTCTAGTGACTGGTGGAGGCTCAAACGATAGATGTGTAAGAGTATGGCATGTTTCTCTGGGTACCTTGATCAAAACTTTACAGACAGCTGGCCAAGTTACATCTATTATGTGGCTGGAGAGAAGGCGAGAGATGGCAGTTACGTTTGGTCATTCTTACTGTATGTCTCTAGGTATCGCCGCCGTTTACAGTTACCCAAGCCTTGATCTTATAGCAAATGTGGCAGGAGAAGGGCTCCGAGCTTTCAGTGCAACTGTGTCTCCCGACCAAAGCAAGTTAGCAGTAGCTACACATGATGGAATGATACGGATGTTCTGGCTTTGGCCATCTCGAGAACAGAGTGAAGCACCTGAAGCACTGAGGCTTGCACTCAAAGGAGATGATATGTGGCCAACAGGTTCACCCAGACATGCAGCGAAGGATTATGGAAGTAGTCTTATTCTGCTTGCAGAAGGTATAGGTGGTGATATGGTTCTCAGGTAATAGCAAGTATAAGAGCATGAGTATATGTCTGGTAAGAAGTTCAATACAGCTGAACATCAATGTACACAAGCATAGAGTATTCAATTATTTACTTTTCCAGGACTCTAATACCATGGCATGTTCTTTCAAAGACTTTCGTAGTTCCACAAAGGCCTCCTCCCGCCGTTATCCGTCAACTGCTCACTCAATCCCCGGTTAATCAACAGCTCACCAACTTCCACAACAAAAAAAGACACACTAGCATCCCACTAACCAAATTAACGCCAACTTCAGTTTTCATAAAAAAATCCTCGGTACAGCCTATCGCCGTTGACTAAAACACATGGAATGGAATTTGGTGCCATTCCTGTGTGAGCGCACTCAAACCTTCTTATCGGTTGTAGGTTCTTCATCAACACCATCTTTCCCACAATGGACAATCAGGAAGCTACCAATGCCACGATCCTTCTTATGGGCCTCAGGAGAGGAGGCAAGTCGTCAATTTGCAAGGTTGTGTTTCATAACATGCAGCCGCTAGACACGCTTTATTTGGAGTCGACTTCTAAGCCAACACTGGAACAGTTTCTGTCGCTTATAGACCTTTCTGTGATGGAGTTACCGGGACAACTTAATTACTTTGAGCCTACGTACGACTCTGAACGTTTGTTTTCGCTGGTGGGTGCTTTGGTGTATGTCATTGATTCTCAAGATGAGTATCTTAATGCCTTGACGAATCTTTCCATGATCATCGAATACGCTTATAAAGTGAACCCAAAAATTCATATTGAAGTACTCATCCATAAAATAGACGGTTTGTCGGAGGACTACAGAATCGATGCACAGAGAGACATTATGCAGCGAACAGGAGACGAGTTGCTTGACTTGGGACTCGAGGGCGTCCAAGTGTCGTTCTACCTTACATCTATCTTTGACCATTCTATTTACGAAGCTTTTTCGAGAATTGTACAGAAGCTCATTCCTGAGTTACCGTCGCTAGAAAATATGCTTGACAACTTGGTGGTGCATTCTTCAATCGATAAGGTATTCCTTTTCGACGTGAACTCCAAGATCTACGTTGCAACGGATTCCTCTCCAGTCGACATTCAGACATACGAAGTCTGTGCAGAGTTTATCGACATAACCATTGACTTGGACGACTTGTACGTGGACAACGAAAGGAAAACGGCCAAAGACAATGGGGTGAAGTCAATTAGTTACTTGCTGAATGGACTGGTGTTATACCTCAAGCAAATGATCCGTGGATTGGCTCTCGTTGCGCTTATTAGAAACGACGATGCTCCCGAGGAGCAACAAGACATGGATGAAGTGCTCACTATCATTGACTACAACGTCAACTGTTTCAAGCAAGCGCTAGCAAAGATGTGGGAGGCAGCCAAGCTTGCACCTCCTTCGTTGGAGTAACTATCCCTTTAAGCTATTTCAGAGTCATGGGCGGAGGAGAGCGAAACCGGCGAACACCGGCTTGAAGTAGTTGGAGATGAACACTACCACTCTAGCTTTACTCTCGGCGGGCCGGTCCACCCAGAACACCGAAAAGCTTAATCGGAACCTACTGGCACCTGCCTCTGCCTCTATGCTCTTTCGCTTCTTTTGCAGCCGGTTGATACCGAGAGTAAGGCCGTGTACTTCTGTGGATGGCTCGGCACGGCCGGAGTGCCACCAATGGGCCACCACCAGCGACACCGACACGGACACCGCCTCGCCACAACTAATCGCCCAAAAACGCCCACGCCCCTTACAGTTTTACTTATACTACCTCAAGCTGGAATCCATAGAAGACTGTTGCAGCCGCGGCGGTTCGGACATGGCGGGGCAAAGAGTCAGAAACCAAAATAGCACCTGACGCACAGTGGATAGCCAGCAGTGACCATGTGGGGAGTAGAGAAGAAAAAAAGCATCGACATTGTTGAGTACCCAAGTCAGAGTCTAGAGAGATTGAATTTCCTTTAAGGAGACGATCCTGACTGCTATTTTGGTCTCGACAAGCTTTTTTCGTAATCTGGGGAATCTGGGGGAGGCCCGCCCAAAGCTGAACAAACAAGTTCGCCTGCTTGGGGTGCCGCGCAGGTTATGCTTTACACACTAAAAAACGTCTTTTGGGCGGGACGTCACTTTTTGTGCGACGTGGGGGAGAGACGGGGAAATAACAACATGCTACGGGGAGAACAAAAAACATATACCTAACCAGCGCTTTCTATTGTCTATAAACCATGATGGTGGTGGTGCTGGGTGTGAAAATCAGAGGCCTCGAATAAAATAACTGTGCATTAAAAAACGTAGACCGTAGGACATCAAAAAGAGTAAGTCATTAAACAACCGGTGAGGCAGGCACCCCACAAGACAGCGTCGTCAAACAAAAGGGAAAATGTAATTGTGAGCGAGTGAATTTAAGCCCTGTTGCAACGTGGAGCGACCCCAATTACCAGCATTCGTAGCCACCATCCACAACCAAATTGTGACCCGTCGTGTACGACGAGGCGGATTCAGATGCCAAGTAGAGGATAGAGCCAACAAACTCCTTTGGGTCGGCCATTCTGTGCAATGGGATCTTGCTCTCCCAAGCATCCTTCATCTCGGTGTTGCCCGCAATAACGTTTCTAGTCAATGGTGTGAGGATGTAGCCTGGAGACACCGTGTTGACACGGATGTTGTACTTGGCCCACTCACAAGCCAAAGATCTAACCAAGTGAATGACACCAGCCTTGGCCATGTTGTACATAGCCTGTGGCTGTGGGTCGTTGACAATGGTACCAGACATGGAGCCAATCATGACGATAGAACCACGCTTGTTGTTCTCAATCAATGGTTTGGCAAAAGCCTGAGCAACGTAGAAAGCACCCAAACCGTTAACACGCATGATGCCTTCAGCGTTAGAAGCTGGGTAGTCCTCAGCTGGGAAGTTCTCACAGTAGCCGGCAGTGTTCACCAAAACGTCAGCAACGTTGTTGTGGTGTTCGTTGATCTCAGCAAAAGTGGTGGTGACACTCTCAGCATCACCAATGTTACAAGACCAAGCGGAAACCTCACCAATAGGCAGCTCGTGCAGGCCCTTCAAAGTCTCCTGGCCCCAAGCCAAAACCTCCTTGGCAGCCTGCTTAGTTCTCTCCAAGTTAATGTCGACAAGAGCGACAGCAGCACCTTGGGCAAGGAAAGCTCTAGAGATAACAGAAGCCATACCACCAGAACCACCGGTGATGATGACCAACTTGCCATCAGCTCTGAAGTTTGGGACGACGTTCTCGTAAGCGTAGTTCATGGTGAAAGTAATTTAGTGTGTTTGCTGGATAAAGAGAAAAAAAAGTTGAATTGTGGGGGAAACAGCGGGATATATATAGTCGCCAGAGAGTCAGCGGTGAGGCCGATGTGCTCACGTCAAATCGCAGGGAAAAGAAACGTTCACTGCGCTGGCCACTATACAGCACATATGCATGGGCCATCAGCACCCAGACGCACCAGCCTCCAGCTGCAGGCGGCAGGTTGAGGGTTGGGAATCACTCTGGAAGGAAAACCGAAGGAGGGGGAGGCAACTCCAGCGACTCTGTCTAGGGAAAGTACTGATAAGGTTTGGCAGGTGAATGTGGAAGAAGGGTGAAATTAATAGAGGTGACACTGTGGCTGTTCGGCGTGGGGAAACTGGGGGAGTTTTGCATTTGGGCGGGAGGCCCAGAAATGGTAGAATAGGGAAACATCCAGGTCACCCACAAAATACCAGGGTGCCGGTGGGGGGGCCGGATTATTTACCGAGAGTGCCACCAGAGGAGGGACGAATAGGGAAGTTTTTCCATTATGGAAGATGGAAAGTTTTGAGGATACTGCGATGCATTCTGCGTGGACTCGACATGCCCATTTGATAATGGCATTTGTTATTCTGGTATTTGTCATTCGGCGTCATGGGAGGGCCCCGACTCGTGGGCCTCTGTCTGGTTGAGTTACGTTTGGAGTCCGTGCGCCGCGAAAAGAAAAGAGATGTGGATTACTGATAACCGGAGGAAGTGGAAGAAGCGGGAAAATGCGTGCAGAAAGAAAATGCAAAAAATCCACCTCCAAAATACCATCAATTGGAGAAGCTTTGGTGTTTAGTTTATTGAAAAGCCTTCGCTGTGCCTGGCTTTGCCCCCCTTTGGCTCCAGTACTACTTTCTTTACATATTGCACAAATGTGGCCAGCGCGCCAATTGAATGCGAACAATTGGGAGAAAAAAAAAAAAAAAAAAAAAAAAAGACCCCATTAGTAGTCACTTAGAAAACACAAACAGTGACCATCCATGACCTTCTCTGACCTTCGACTTACTAAACTCCAAAGTAACAACTGTACTTTCTATAGCTCCTCGTATCCACATGCCGTGGCTTCTGCCACCCTCCCACCTTTTTTTGCCTATCCACGGTGAATTTTTTTTTTTTTTTTTTTTCCCTAAATTCCAGGCTTTGGTCAGAAAAAGAAAACCTCACCTTAACCGTTGGTGTGCACTGCTTTTTCGCAGCCGACGCCGCCATACTAGGCTTTTTTTGCGTCTTTGAGTCTGTGTATTAGAAGAAAACCCTCGGGCATCCGAATTTTTCACATTCAGGAAAGGGGATAACTTGCATTTCGGAAGAATTCTTTTTTGGTCCAATTTTTCTTTTTATCTAAACGTGGCCGACGTACCTTGATATGCAAGTTTCCTCTTTTCTTTTCGAAAAACGTAGAAAAGAAAGAGCTCTTTTGGTCCAGAGGGTGAATTTTCCTCCACTGCGCCCGTGATGTCATTTGCAGGTATGATGATCTCACAGGAGGCATGAATTAAGCGAGCGAAGCATTGTAGGCGATGACTTGCCATGTTTGCTTTACTACGTTCCTTATTTTATTATTACGGCTTTTTTGCTTCTTTTCTTTTAATGCCCAAGGTGTCATTCTACAGTACGGGTTACTGCTTTTGATCGCCTCGAAGATCTAGCCCCGGTACGAAATGCATTCATCGATGAGTATCAACTGTAACCAAGCTGGCATGTATAGTGGACATTCCAGAAAAAGGTCTTTTTCTTCTTTTGATGAACTCGAGGGTCCTATTGTTCTTTCTCTATTTTTTTTTTTTTTTCTCGCTCTTTTCTTATGTCTGCTCGAGACTAGATGGTTGCAAAACCTGAATATTGATCCGATGTTGCATCCAAACCGGTAATATACATGCTACGGTTTCACCTGGCGATTCATGCATACCATTGTATCCATCAACGGTTATTTAAGGAAAGACGAAGCTGTACTTCCATGGGTATTCGGCTATGGTTGCATTTCATGGGTCTGTTGGGTAGGTATACGTCAGAGGCGCCTCGATCCTCGTAGACGGAACAACGTCATTGTTTTGGACCTTTACAAAAGAAAGCTTATTCTTTCTGTCGGTGATATTGAAGGTGAAGTTTGCCGTTCAGGCTTTGCAGACGTGGAGGGACCGTGTAGTTACCTCCATACAACATATTGGAATGCTAGTGTGATCAATAGTCGTATTCACTGATAAGAACTTTCCTTTTTGGTATTGGTGATTTCCATGGCTCATCTTTCTTGGTGACCTGTCATTCTTCGTGATGTTTTCCACTTGGTTCCTAGCCTTGATGTTCTAGGCCTCCGTAGATGGTATCTCCAGTAATGGAGAAGGCACCACGTTCAAAGGCATCAATGATCCCTCCATCAGCCTTCTTTCAGTAGTAAAGCTGAGTAACCTCTAGAGTATCTCCAGTATCTCCAGTATCTCCAGTATCTCCAGTATCTCCAGTACACGTATTATCTCCAGACGGCAGACTTGGCTTAAAGCCGTAGAAGGCCGTATCCATTCACAAGGCTCTAACAAAGCTATCCATAATCACATATCGTCATCCGCAGTTCTCTTAGAAGTCTCTAAGGAATCCTTAAGCCTTTAACGCTAGAATTCTTTGGAACGTGGACCAATTCCTTCTGCCAGCTTCTATCACTCCGCAGACTCAACCACTGACAAACGGCAGCCACAACTCTTCCCACGCAACTCGTCACCCATCCAAATTACACCTTCCTACGTATCCTACTCTCTACTTTTCTTTCCGTAAACTGTATTAAAATATATCGCTGTCCTTCGCATCGTCCGTAGCTATACCCGCGAGCAGGACCAGCACCGTCGAAATGAATGTTATTCGTAGTCAACCCATACTAATGGTTCTAATCGTACCTAGGAGTGCCAGGCTCCTCTGGGAAATCATCATCATCGTCAGAGTCATCCGGTATGAGGCTAGGGACAGCTTCTTCAGGAGGTACGGGCACGTTTTTCCACCTGCCCAAAACGTCATTAAACCTATTGATGGGTTCGTTATCCCCTCTAAATGGCCTGACAAAGTCGACGGCCACGGCCAGACCGAAAAAGTAAGCGACGACAAGGTATGTTAAAGGTCTCATGTTATGACAGAGTAGTATTAAGGGGTGAAGTTTCGCATGTGGCTTGATAAGAGTGCAGTAGAGTGAGGGTGATAAGCCAAGGACACATCTAGGCCGGTGAAGCACTACACTGTGGCAGAGTCAATAATGTGAAGGGATAAGAACCTTTTTAGGTGAATGTGGTTTCTGGTACTAAAATTCTACTGGAATCCAAGTGGAGGTTTTGACTCTACAGTTGTTCAATGCAAAATAAATTATCTCTATGCAGCGGAGTCCGTAGGAAACTCCGTAATGTCAGTGAATTAGTTCGTGGAGGAGTCTGAAGAGCTTTCCTTCTGGTGTCTCTTCTCGTTCTTGTTAGCTTCCATAGCTTGCAATCTTTCCAAGTTCTTTGCGTCTCTCTTGGCTTGCTGGCGATCAAACTTGGCATTGGCCCAGTCTCTCAAGCGCTCACCGTACTTCAAACAGAAGACAGGGAAGGGAACACCCAAAGCAAGCCCGATGAAGGCGAACATGGTGTTACCCCAACCATATCCCAAACTGTCATACATGAAGCTGGCGAAAAGAGGGAATGAAAAGCCAAAAAGGGAACGGAATACAGCGGCTGCGGCAACCGAAGATGCTGCGAAACGATTGTTCATGTCAATAAGGTAACTCTGAATGTTCTGGAAAACAGGCACTGTGAAAATTCCGAAGATCACAGAACCAATGGCTGGCATGATCCAATGTAATTCTTTTTCTGCCGACCATCCGTACCAGATAAGTGCAACTGGCATACCAAAGCCACTTCCAAGCAACATAGGAAGACGATGTTCAGGCTTTGCAACGCCATTGTTCTGGGCGATAAGCTTTCTATACATCCAGTTGTTAAGCGGTGTGAAGATGATAGTACCAAGGATGAAACCAATACCCAACGGAATGTACATGAGGCCGGAAATTTCAGTGCTGAAGCCGTAAGAGCCCTTGTAAACAGCTGGGTATGTAACGATAAGGAGATACATGAAACCGTAACAGAAGGCCATGAAGATACCTAAACCAAAGACCATTGGGTGTCCAACTAGAAGGGTGATTGGTCTCGAGACGGACACGAGAGCCTTACTGATCATGGGCTCACCATCAGCCACTTCAAAAATGGTATGCAAGTGTGTGTTTCCGGTTTCTTTCCGCAACTTAACTGCCTTCTTTCTCAACAAGGTTGGAGAGTAAGTTTCTTCAAAAAAGAACAAACCAACAACAGCAACGACAAAGTTGAAGATGGCCAAGTAGAAGAAACACCAATGCCAGTTGGCACGTTGCACAACAAAACCTGAAATCACAGGAGCAATAACAGGACCGAGAAGAGGACCCATGGAGTAGAATGCCATAGCCAAAAGACGTTGGTCATCATTCCACACATCAGCCAAACAACCAGCACCCACGTTCAAGGGAGCACAACCACCCAAGCCGCCCAAAAAGCGGAAGACACAGAGCTGAGCTGTTGTTTTCGCAAAACCACAGGCCAAGTTGAAGACAAAGGTAATCCAGATGGAGATGTTAAGAACAGGACGACGACCGACACGGTCAGATTCCGAGATGGGGGCAATGATCAAAGGACCAAGAGCCCATGCAAGTACCATGATGGATACAGAAAACGCTTGAAGAACAGTGGAATTCAAGTTGATGTCCTCTGAGATAGCCGGCATGGCCGGCGAAAGAACAGACGATGACATTGGAGAAATCAACGTATAAATAGACACCATAAAAGTCAGGAAGAACTTCCTAGACCATGACCAGTTTCTAGGGAAAGCCGGATCGTCAGGTCCATCCCATGCAACTAACTCAGGGTCAACGTCTGTGAACTCACCACCATAATCTCTGGCAGGCACGGCGGTATCAGGCAATTTTTCGTACGCCCTTTGTACATCGTCGTTTTTGTTCTGGTTCTCTTCGTCAGCAGGATCACGGAAGCCTTCTATCGACGCCACCCTCAGCATTCTTTTCGATAGCGTACGGAGGATTTCGTTTTGGTGAAGAGATCTTTCACGTTCGATCTCATCGCTATCCATATCACCGTAAATCTGGTTGACACTATAACTTGTCGATAGTCTTGACAATGCTGTACGTGGGCTCAGAGCGCTATTCATGGATGCTTGTAGGGAGTTAACGGAACCAGACCTCTGGGGTCTATATGGAACAGGTTCCACTGGAACGGGTTTTCCTGACGAATGCAGAGAACCATTTGACGAGAGGGACGGTCTTGAGCTCGAAATGCTATGAGGCGACATTTCAAATGTATGGTTTGTGGGTAATATGTGAAAAAAGTGAATGCAGCAAAAAAAAACGTTTTGGAAAAAAAAGGAGCGCTCCTGAGATGCTTTTTATATGGAAGCAACGGTGCGCTTGGTTCATGCAATGATCCGTACGGCGCCACTGTCGTGCAGGCTGATAGTGAGTACAAACGAACCACACCTCTGGCCAAGAGGACCAAGCCTGGGCCGATTTCGACGGGAATTGGATGAATAAAAAGGTGGAGAGAAGGACATTAAGGATGAATTAAAGACAATTGGAAGAAAGAGGTTAGATTCTGGTAGATCTGGAGAATCTGGCTGCTGAGTTTGACAGGTCGGAGAAGTCGCGTACACACCGACGCACCCTCAGCCTTCCGGCAGAACTAGCGCCTGGGCCGAGTTTATTAGCCGAGCCTGTAATAACCGAGCGCCGAACTCGCAAACTAGTGAAGGAGATATTATCGATTTGGCTGGCAATATTAAGTGACTAAGGAAAAATTTCAACATTGGTACCATAGTCGATCAAATTTGAAAACTATTTGGTTTCAAGCTGGTAAAGTTAAAACGAAAAGAAAAAGAAAGGTGGTCACTGCCAGAACACGGTTAACGTCGGTAAGTAAACAAGCGCTGTGCATTTAGCTGCCACATGAAAAGATAGGTATGAGCAAAGGGTGCTCGGAGAAATGGTGGGAAGGTCACCGTGGTGAAATTGGTCGTAAGTGGTGACATGTAGGGAGTTGGTTTGTAAGCTCGGTGTTAATAAGCGAGCACCGAAGAGAGATAGAACCACTGGCAGGATCACCAGATACTGGGGGGTGAAAGTGGTCGTTGCTTTTTTTGCCGCTACGTTTTTGTACCTTGCCCGGTCTAGGGAGGAGACGATGAAGGTGGTTGGTGATTGGCGGTACTGAAGGCTACACTAACTTACATTGTAGTGTTTCGTCTGTTTCCTCTTTCTACAGTGATTTTTTCGATGGAAAGAGTCAGGTACTGAAATGAGTTCAACTGAAGCATTCTTTGAACTACAGAGGCTTTTCAGTCGAAATACACTTCTTAGCAAGTCAATCCTATGAATTCTAAACATTTATTGCCATAGCTGTCATTTCAGGTAGTCGACTACTTCATGTATGCAAATGCAAGTAATTGGCTGCAAATCGCCCACGAGTAATAACAATAAGGAGCGTGCTTGCTAAAGCATTGATCAGCTTCTGCAAGACAATGTTGCCTCCCCCTTCCTCTTCTATTCATCTCATAAAGACCCCAAAGTGAAAAGATGCTATAGTAGTGCAACAGTCCTCTAAACAAAAGCAATTTCTCGAATGCTCTTTGACAGGTCGGTTCAGCTGCTCGCGTACCGATGCGCCCTCAGCCTCTCGCCGCAAGGAAGTGCGTTGACATATACGTACCGATTACCGAGATGTACAGAAGACGTTTGAAATAGAAATAACTTTAAATGGGCAGATGCATGTAAGTATTTGCCACTGGTTTCAAATGGCCCAATCATGAAACCTAGGAGGTGAAATACTTGACACACATTGCGCATCTTGTGAAATAGAGTATATGCGGCTTCGCTGATTGTAGCCAACCGCAGTTTCCAGAACTTGCTTTCAGTGGCCATTGAAGGACGCAAAACCGTATCTTCATGTTTCACTTAATGACGTCAATAGCCTTTGCTCCGTTAAAGCCAAGCATTATGGTATTTTTGGTCCATCTGCTACCTATTACCTAGTTCTGCAAGTCTAAATAGCTGTCAACGCACAGATCTACCGATCTCGATCCATATGAATTAAAACTATCTTTGGTCGATAGGCATAACGGGATCTGTTTCTTCAGTTCCGATATTGCATTCTTGGGTGATTTCCGGGCTGAAAAGTCGACCACCGAGATGTTCGGTGATACCTTGATCTCGGCGGTTTCGGGGCACTGATGCATGAAAACACCGAACCACCGAAGTTACTGGTATTGGCTGTACTGTGTTTATGAAATCTTCCATCTTATTATAAATAGGTTTGGAACTAGTTAAGGGATGGATTTGTGAGGTACAAGCCTAGTCATAGCCCATTACACCCGCAATTGAAGAGGGCGCTGGGTGGAAACAGTTCTATGTTACACTGCAGTAGGCTGCAATTGAATTGGGTGCAAATAAAGATATTCAAAAGATAGGCCCAATTGGATTTTGATCCACCAACTTTCAACTGCCAAATCATAAGCTCCGTTCTTCTATGGTACCACTCCTTCGTTTGTGTGCTCCCACGTTTTAAGAGCCCCCTGGTCAGTTTTGTGTAATTTAGAAAGTCCCATGTCATGCCTGTTGTTTGCGCTGAACCTTCAATAGCCGAACCCCTGAGGCACTGGGTCGGGTATATCTAGATTTGACTTAGAGTCTTTGTTTTTACCCACAGATAGCTACTCGCGTATCGGTATTGTCTCAGTTGCTATTAATCTGGTAGCGAGCTCCTCGTTTCCTAATGGACACTCAACCATTTACCCGAAAGTTTAAACTTTCGGTTAACGCTTTCTAAACCCCAATTAACCAGTAGTAAATCTAATAGGGCGCTATTCTTGATACAGACTCCTCCTGGATTGCGTGCTCCTTTAGATTACCAATACAGTTAGGACTGGCAAGTAGTTTCATGGCAGCACATTGTGAACTGCCTGTTCGAATGGTTAACTTATGTTGGTGACATACTATTAGAAGCGCTACCCTGAATCTTGTGAGATGCTACCTTTACAAAAACTCCCCAGCTTCCACTTGTAACAACGACTGTACAACCACTCAGTACACTTCCAATTCTCCATCAACTACTAACCAACCCTCTCCATCCAACCTTCACTTTTTTTTTTTTTTTTTTGTTGAATTCAATTAAATGGTAGGCCCTGCATTATCACACAGATCGTGCCACACTAACTCCCAATTCTATTGATGCAAGAGATATAGTCCATATCTGAAAAGCCTGTAATATATCTACCAAACAAGGAAACCATACAGATATGCATGGAAACCGAAGAAAACTAAAAAAGTTTAAAAAGCAGAAAAATTCAAAATATTCATAAAAAAAGCAATTTCTTGTTTGTCAGATAATTCCACCTAGAACGTCCTCCACAAACCCAAAAAATACCCATGGACTTCGGCCTTCTCATGAGCATCAGTCCACCATAAATAAGCGTAGCCATTGAGAATTCGCAGCCAAACCGAAGCGAGGAATTGAACGTGGTTGGAAAAAAATGCTGCGGGATGGGCCTTGTGTGCAGGGCGAGCGAACTAGTTTGTTAGTGGCCCCCCAAAAAAAAAAAAAATCGTATGATACTAGCAAACAAGGGCTTTGCGTAAACGAGGAAGCGGTATGGGGGCTGTATGGTTTTCTTTTTTAAAGAGGAGAATGCTAAACGAAGGGTAAGTTTTGCCACTGAAATCTGTGTTTCTGCCTTTTTGGGGTGAAGAATGGCTTTGGTTGAAGGAATGGGTACACTTGTGATTGGGGTCTATTGCAGGATGCAGCAGGACGGGTCCTACTGGTGGACGCGACAATGTCGTTGCTGCCTCAGAAGTCCCAAGTCAGCGAGGTCAAAGCTGGTCGAATTGAAAATTTAAGGTTGTAGTAGTTTTTATCTGCTCCTTCTGATCATTCTCGTATAAGTATCTTCTCTCTACAACGTCTGTGGCGGAAGTTGTGTGGACCCTGAACGCTGATCATGGCACGACATTTTTGCAACCCTCACAACCGTTAAACGCCAGTGGTACACCCTGACGTGGTACATCGAATGGTGTCAATGTAAGAAATCACAGTTTACTCAGACCATCCCCTAGATAACAGAATAAACGTTTTTATCGAATTAATCGTACCACTTTGGCTTATCGTGCTTACTATCTCCCTTCCTCAGCTCACGTCATCTCAATGGGCCCATTCCATACAGATAAGCAAAAACAACGACCTATATCTACCCCAGGTTCTATCCTAACCTTGTTCCCTTTCTTTTAATCCTCTTTTTACCGTCATTGCCTTGCCGTTTAAACCTAGAGCTAAACGGTCTGGGAACGCGCTCGTACCGTCGTATAGCCAATTCTACCTTATACGACGGTGCGTCCTGCGGTAGATGCGAAAGTTTCTTTTCTTTTTCTCGACTATATATCGCCTACACCAGCCCTTCTTTAGAAACCCAACCATGGTTAGGTATGTGAAAAAGACCCCTAAACTTCGTTCTATGGACACCTTACTAACAAACCAGCGCCGTTTATCACAGCTACGCGGGCTTCTCGAACGTCACCACTTTTGCTGATGCGTTCGAGAACTTCTCGAGAGTTACCGACTTGAACTATGTGGAAAAGCTCTGGGCTTCCTACTACTACTGGATCAACAACGATCTTTTCGCTACTGGTCTCTTCTTCTTCTTGATGCACGAGATTATGTACTTTGGTCGTTGTTTGCCATGGGCCATTATTGACCGTATTCCATACTTCAACAAGTACAAGATCCAGGAGACCAAGGTTCCAAGCAACAAGGAGCAGTGGGAGTGCCTCAAGTCTGTTTTGATTTCCCACTTCATGGTGGAGGCCTTCCCTATCTGGTTTTTCCATCCTTTGTGTGAGAAGATTGGCATTTCTTTCTCTGTGCCTTTCCCTCCATGGTGGAAGGTGGCCATGCACTTGTCCCTCTTCTTCGTCCTTGAGGACGCTTGGCACTACTGGTTCCACAGAGGCTTGCACCACGGTGTCTTCTACAAGTACATTCACAAGCAGCACCATCGTTACGCTGCTCCATTCGGCTTGGCTGCCGAATACGCTCATCCAGTCGAGGTCGCTCTTCTAGGCTTGGGTACTGTTGGCATTCCTATTGTCTGGTGCTACTTCACCAGAGACTTGCATTTGTTCACCATTTCTATCTGGATCTGCTTGAGGTTGTTCCAGGCTGTTGACGCCCACTCTGGTTACGAGTTCCCATGGTCTTTGCACCACTTCCTCCCATTCTGGGCCGGTGCTGACCACCACGACGAACACCACCACTTCTTCATTGGCTCTTACGCTTCCAGTTTCAGATGGTGGGACTTCGTCTTGGACACCGAGGCTGGTCCAAAGGGCAAGATGAACAGAGAGAAGAGAATGAAGAAGAACGCGGAGAAGAAGATCCAGTAAACATAAGGGTGCTACAAAATAGGAGAGGAGCACAGCCGGTACCGAACAGTGGAGTTATATGATTTGTTTGTTTGTTTTCCCCCATTCACATTCACTTTAACTATTCATCAAATATTCATAGATTTAATTTATTGTATTTTCTATCTAAGCCTCCTGCTTGGCCAACCATTCAGCATATTCCTTTCTCTTCTTCTTCACGTCAACGAAGTCTCTTCTAGTTTCCAACTCCTCATAGTCTGTGACACCCAACAGATTCACCACCGTCGAGGCTTCACTCAAGTCTATTGGCATGAGGAAGTTCAGTGGCGGCTGAACCACCTTATCGTGAGTGATCCCTAGTCTTGGTTTGGATTTAATCGAAAATAGAGCTCCAAAGTTGATAATCACTAGTCCTATTACCACTTCGAGGATGATCTCGGTAGGTACGAATGTGCCTTTTGTTTTCACGAAAGCATGGTATTCATATGACGAATAGCCAGCATGCAAAAGTATAAGAGCCCCTAGGACTAGAAGGGCGGCCATTGATGGAAGGAAACTGTAGATATATGTTGAAATTCTAAGTACTTGATGTGTGATTATGTAGATCCGTACACCAGAGCCACCCACCATTTTGCAACCACCCAACTTAGTACTACAAATGCCTAGATTCCATCAGAGAATACTCTTGATTATTTAATTATTGGAGCCTTTACGCGTTCAATTTCTTGTGCTGCCTTGATCCTCCATCTCACACAGTTGTGGAAAGCCAGGTAAGACCAAGTCAACTTCTCTGCTCCACGCATATACCCATTCTGCCTGTCAAATTGCTCCAGCATCGTTCCATCACCGGTATGTACGTGCTGTTTCACGACTTCAATGAAGGTATCAGCATACTTATACACGTTCTTGAGAATTTGCTGATACCTTTCGGATTTGTATGGGATGACGATTCTTGTGTCTCCAGCAGGAGCTTCACTGTTAAGCTCGGCATCGTGGGGTCTAAAGAATGCAATGTTCAGCTCGTTAATAACGAGATCGGCGTGGGTCTTGGAGTATTTGTAGATCCACTTGTAAAGAACCTCTCCCGCTGAGAGTGTAGCGATGAACCATGGGTTACCAATTGAAGTTCCCTGGCCATCATAGATATCCTCTGGGTACCTGCCCAAAGCCACTCCAATGTTGTTACGCCATCTGTATCTATGGTTGATGGGATATCTTTGTTTCATATCACCAACCATGGCGGTTATCGTGTTGAGGATATGGGAGTCGTCAACATCAAAGGGAATATTGTCGGTGCCGCCAAACTCCAAGTTATGAGCATGAAGTGCTGCAAGGAATGTAGCGGCGTCGAGCCCTGACCTGTCGCCCTGATCATACAACTCAGGAATGGCCACGATGTATGGAAGTGACAGCCTCGTGAATCCTCCAGACGAGGTAACAAACTCCTGCAACTCTTCAAAAGCGGCCTGAAGCTGCCTTGCAAAGATCATATCAACAGCATAGCTTCTGGCGAAACGCTGACCATCCTGAAGCGCCTTGAGTTGTGTTAATGCATTGAAAAAATGGTACGAGTCAACCTCCTCCCACAAATCAAACAGCTTCGACTTCCAATTGGCAATGATGTATTCAAGGTCGGGCTTTATTATGTTATAGTAAATGAAGGTCTCATTTCCCAAGAACTCGTTCTCGATCTGCAAATCATTCCTACTGAGGAAGAATAAGTACCCAAGTATCGTAGACACACGAAGCCCCGGGCCATCTGACTGGGGCCTGCCCCAGTTCTCGTCGAATGACTCGCCGGTCGTCAAAAACTTAGGCTCCCCAAGCCCCGATCTCGTTTTGTCGTCAAATCTGCCCGACTTGTTTGGGACCCTCTGAAGCCTATAGTTCGCCTCAATGTACTGTTCAACGACCCTCCGTAATCTCTCCACGGTATCCTCATCTTCCACATTATCATTCATATGGTATATTAGTGTCCTTATGGTCAAAGCAGAGTCTCTGATCCAATTGTAAAAGTAATCTGGGTTCGACCTCAGAGGAGAAGCAATAACAATGCCAGGCAACACCTCCTTCTCATTGAGCAACGGCGAGGCGCCGCCGACGTTATCGAGAATATAATCGAACGACCTCCTCGACTGTTCATCCACCCACCTCTCGAATTCATTGTGACCCTTGACTTTGCTCGTGTACTGCTCGTCAAAATCAACCACCACCACTTCCGACTGGTCTCTGACTTCAGGCCATGTCGAAGGGATATATAGCGCCTGTGTTATTACAAGAAAAAACAGGAAATAATACGGGAGCATCATCTCGTCTGGTGGGTATGGGAAAGGGGGAACAGTAGCAGGTTTGTAATTAGCAGTGAGTAAATCTGGGGTTGACTGATGTCTGATAATGCAAGGCAGCGCGAAATGTATAGTACTGGCTGTCAGTGGAGCCTAGGCTGCAAAATACACTGTCGAAGAAGACAAGAAAAGTGTAACTGATGGAAGAAAAAGATAGATCAATAGTTAAATATCAATAGGGGTATACACATTCTCCACATTTGCTTTTGTACCTCTGAGCTTGCTGGGGATGATATGTAATGTATGCTTAGAGTGGTTAGTGGGGGCTCCTATGTACAGCCGCTGAGCATGCCAGAGAGCTTGCGCTGAGCATGGGAGAGCTTGCGATTGATACTGGGGGTGAGAGCAAGTGGGAGGCTTTACCGGCGCCTAGTTCTTTTTCTTTACCTCTGGCTGCGTCTAAGCAAGCTTCAGTGCCTCAACGGTGTGGTGGTTCTTGTCATTTTTTCTGTTTTCTTTATTGTGTATTTTTTTTCTTGTCAACCGTTTTTGGTCCCAAGCCAAGTCTATTTTATTCGTCATTCACATTATTGGTAGCCTCAAATGGTACAACATTAGGAAATGAGGTTTCGAGTGGGTTTCGGCTGTAACACTCCAGGCTTCTATCCATGAGTTCCTCCATCTCAGCGTCAGTGAGTGGCTCTTGTAATGTGGGAGGAGCTAAAAGGAAATTGCTCGACTTTTCCATGATAAACTCCACCTCATGCGCTCCGTGGAGGTTCAAACGGTTGCCGATATCCACAATCGATGTCATGGATGTAAATTTTTCCAAATCGATGTTCTCTTCGGCTAATTTCTTAGCGACTTTGCCCAATTGGAATTCCCCCAGCTGTATGACCATCCTCTCTAGAAGCCTCTTACTGAAACTCTTCACAATCAATAACTCCTCGATAGTGTCTCTGACGACGAGTCTGAAAATCTTGATCGGTTTCGTCTGGCCAATTCTGTGAAGACGGTCAATGGCTTGAATATCCATCTGGGGATTCCAGTCACTATCGAAAAGAATGACAGTGTCGGCACTAACCAAGTTCAAGCCGAGTCCACCAGCCCTAGTGGAGAGCAAGAACACTTTGCTGGAATCCTCGCCCTTCTCTTTAAACTCATTCATTGCCTCTTCTCTTTCGTCCTGTGAAGTGCTTCCGTCAAGTCTATTAAAAGGAATATCTTTCTTGCTCAAGACAATCTCAAGAACGTCTAGCATCTTCTGGAACTGTGAGAACACTAATACTTTATGCCCGTCGTTTAACAAGCGATCCAAAAGCTGTTCAAACAACTTTATTTTCCCAGAATGTTTGACAATCTTCTCCAGGAAGGAATTGACCGCTATGTCGTCAATATCATCAAGATTAGTATGAATCACATAAGGTTCATAGAATGTGTAATGTGAACCACAAATCTTTCTCAACTGCATCGCTGTATTCTGAAGGTGAAGGCTTATGGCGTGCCTCTTGGCAACGGCATACGCATCCTCACAAAGAACCTTCCTCCTCTCGTCATCACTAAGGTCGGAATCATCCTGGATTTCAATAACTTCCACATCCGAATCAGAATCAGAGGACAGAACTTGGGTGACCTTTCTTGCTCGAGCAGTTGACCCCTTAGGCCATCCTCTTCCTCGCTTCTCGGGTCCGTCGGATTTACCATTCAGAAGAACATCACGAAGTGTTCTTTGAAGTTTTTTCTTCATTCCGCCGTTCCTCACATCGGCCTTTGTCAAAGCACCATTGCCTCTACCTGATGGGGCATAAGGTATCCACTCGCGAGATGTAGTGTTTACTTTAACCACTTCCTGGTCCTTCGGGTGGAACTCTAAAACAGCTCCATTCTCAGCAGCCGTTTCAGTAGCATCTTCACCTCCTTCTGCAGCCATACTCATCATTAAGGTTCTCTCGAGCTCTGCTGTCTGCTTTTCTACCTCTTTCTCAAGTGCTTCACCTTCGAGAGACTCGTGACTTTTCAAGCTTTGAGGAACCACGATATTCCCATTCTCTCCGCCATTTTCAAAAGTAGTTGCCAGAGTACTCAGATCTCCTCCGTTTTGGTTATCTTCGGTTGAAGATGTCTGCGTCGCTGGAACCTCCTCGGTCGGCTCCTGTGCCTGTCCATCTTCCTCGCCCTTCTCTTCTTTATTATCATTAGCATCGTAATAGTCCTCATCGCTTTCTTCTAAATCCCTCATCTTGTCATTTTCGAATTTCTTGAGGAGCTTGCTGGAGTATTTCTGCCTTCTATTTCTTCTTAACCGTCTTCCATCTGGCTCCTCCAGAGAATCAGAGTTGACGACGATTTCAGCTCCCCGGTCGGCTCCACGGACAATATCTAGATGTTCAGGTTTGGTAAAAAGCGACGGATAGCTCTTAAGAAGCAATTCCTTCGCATGGAGCTCGATCACGGAGGCCTTGACATCTCCCTGGACAGTGGCCGCATAGAAAGCTCTTTGAACAGGAGTCAAATCAGCATAAACAATGTATTCCTTCTTCGGAGGTAAGCTTCTAATCACGTTAGCCTTAAGTCTTCGAAGAAGGAATGGTTTTAAGATGGAGTGAAGACTCTGAACGAGCTTTCTTTTGACATCCTCTTTGAGCATTTTATCCGCTTCTCCATCCCCATTGCCTTCGGTAAACTCTTCAAAATTAAACCACAGCTGAAAGAGTTCAAGATCACCAAAAATGTCAGGTAAAATGAAATTAAGAAGTGACCAAAGCTCATTCAAGTTGTTCTGAAGCGGGGTTCCAGTAAGTAACAATCTGTTTGCAGCATCAATCCTCTTGAGCTTCTGGATAAGAAGGCACTCAAAATTCTTAAGTCTATGACCCTCATCGACAGTTAAGTAGCTCCACGAGACCCGCGAGAATCGGCTGAAGTCTTTGATGACGATCTCGTATGATGTGATGACGACTTTCCCTCTTAATTTCTTGCTGAATGTGACCTGTCTTCTATCATCCTTTGGACCTGTGTATTTTATGACATCCACTGAAGGCAGAAACCTCTCGAACTCCCTGCACCAATTGTTCACGGTTGAAAGAGGAGCAACAATCAAGAAGGGGCCTTTCACTTTGTGTTCAAGAAGGTAGCAGATTAAAGAAATGCATTGAAGAGTTTTACCAAGACCCATTTCATCAGCCAAGATGCCGTTAAGACCATTCTCATAAAGCGTAACAAGCCATTCTAGACCATCCAACTGATAGTCTTTCATAGTACACCCAGTGACAAGACTGGGTTGCAGCTGATTATGAGCTGTTTGGGCACTTTCAATTGCCTTTCTAGTGTCTCTAGTTTTCTTGGAGCTCTCTGCTACCGGCTTTGAGGGGCGCTCTGTATCGCTCTTCTTTTGTCTCTTGGTTCTCCTGCGGTCTGGCTTGGATCTTTTGCCGCTTCGTGATTTCCTTTTTACATCAATAACTTCCAAATCTGAGCCATCCTCCTCTTTTGGTTCTTCTTCTGGTTGTTCATCCTCGGGTTCCAGATCAGATTCGGACTCCGAGTCCAAGATCTCAGGCTGCTTTGGCGCTTCTTTGCCTGCTTTTTCAGCATTCTTCTTATCTTCTTCGTACTTTTCACGGGCTTGCTTTCTATCTGCGCGTCTTTTGAGTTTATCTTGTCTTTTCTGTAGTTTCTTCTTTTCAAGCGACTTTTCAAGCATATTATCAAGGATAATCTGAGAGTAGACCTCAGTCTGCTTTATCAAGCGATTCAAACGTTCAAGCTTCACATTGGCTGATAAGTCATTGAACTCTCTCTGCTCTGAAGAGACAGACTCCTCTCTGAGGAAACCATCAAGGTTTGCCTCCAGATTTTCGTTATCAGTCATCTATAAAGCAATCTTCGCGTATATGAGTGAAGTACGCGTTGATCTTGGGACTGAAAGCGGTAGTGTTCTTCTAGAGCCGAATAAGTTCAGGAATAGCAATCTCCAATGTGGTGTTCAGAAGAGCTTTGTGGTGGTTAGCTATCTATATCTTATAGACGTGCTTCGAATCTATGCAGTCGGTGATGCCATCAACGACTAGATATGTCATAAATAGAAACAAAGAGGAGGAAATTGGGGTTGATATTTGATAAGGTGCAAGTTCTAAAGCTTATGATTATTTCTACTAGGTTATTTTTTGGTTCATTGTTGTTTTGGTGTGGAAAATATAGCCTGAGTCAGAGACCCAAGTGGTTGCAAAAAAACGTATAATCAGCCGCACGGCTTTGACATCTGGAAAATGTTCCAAAAGTGGCACAACTAGGAATATTTGAAGATTTGATGATCTTGATTTGATAGCTACTTGCATCTTGGCTTTCTACCCAAACTCTACCTGCCGTTATTTTGGTTGCTAGTTAGAGAAGCAATGATGACCCACCACGGCATCCACTATGCTACACAAAGAAGAGAAACTTGAAGACTGGTTAGATTGGGTGTAACATGAAGATATAAAATCATTACAGTAAAATTTAGTGTAAGACATTTTCAACTAATTTCAAGTAAGACACGTTACTCCAATGCACTTAAGTAGAGCTCCAATATATAAGCAAGCTATCGAAAACCAATATCCAAAGCCGGTATCTAATTTGATTAAAACTTCAGCTCTTTAGATCAAGATTTATATTTCCTTCGGTGAAATGAAACAGAAAGTCATGATATCTCATTGTCTACGTCTTTAGTCTAACCTACTAATTCTAACCTGCTTCCCAACAAACCCTACCCCAAACGAATTAGCCGAACCAGGGCACACAAGACACTCTTCTAATCATCAATGGCCTTTAATTGTGCCCTGGAAAAATAGTCAATTGTTTGTTCTAGGTAAAGGAATTGAGAGTTCCATGCATATATGATGCCACAGTTACCAAAGGTGAGCCACAAGTCGTCTAACCATAAAACCCTGCGAGTGGGAAAAGAATGATCTACATTAAACCTTGCCCTATCTGTGTACCTTGTGGGTATGCCAGGGGAGAAGCAATTGTGGCTTGGGAGGAATCAGCGCTTCTGTACGATGGTGATCTTTACCGCCCGATCTCCAAGGTCACAAGGCAGCACGTAAGATGAGACCCAGTGCATGAGGATGCTTACAAGGAGGGTGCCAGGTGAGAAAGAGAAATCAACATTAAACGTACTTTGATGTAATTTAAGGTTAGTTCAGAGAATGTACTATGGAGAAGCCAGACACTTCAGGACACAATGCACATCATCAGAAACATAAGCCACCCACCCAATTTCTAAAAAAAGTACACAACCGTCACTAATGAAAGAAATGTCCTTCTTCCCTCCTCCTCCTCCTCCTTCTTCTTTGCCTCTTTTCATAACAAGTATATCAGTACAGTGGCAGTATTCATTGCACAATGCGGATCCACCAATACTCAGAGCCACCAAAAGGCAACAAAGCAGAACCAGCTATAAACACTACAACCACAGGTAAAGTCCCCATTTATCCCACTCCATCACTTTCTTTTCCCCAACTTCACCTCCTTTTTGGTTTCTCTTTATTCTCTCCCCTTTCCGTTCCTTTTTTTTTACCCCATTGAATGGACCCTTTTTCAATTTGCAACCATCTGTTTGGCTTTCCTCTACTTTTTTTTTTTTGTTCTGATGCACCACGGGTGATTAACTGCCGAGGCGAGAACCAACTTTTTTTGACTGGACAAAAAAATTCCTCTTTATCTTTTTTACCCAATTTTCCCGCGCCGACGATGCCAATTTAACGGCGCCATCGCGGCGCAAATTAGCTGGGTTGAAAAAGAAAAATTGTGAATGGTAGAGTCATGTCACGTGGACAGATAAGGAAAGACACCGTCAGTATAGACCCAGTTTTGCTGCCAGTTTTAAAAAGTAAGAAAAAAAAAATAGTAGAATCTTTACTTATGTCACCACCACCCTCCCCTAAGGCCAATTGTATGTCAAATTTAAAAGTCTAATCGTGGTTTGGGTGTTTCATCGCTCGTCCACATTTTAAGCTGTCCTGCGTGGATTATGCACCCACAACGACGTAATCACCATCTCCTTACGTAACCGTCCCAACCCAAGAATGTCTGTTTTCACTGCAGGCGATGTGGTTTGGTATTTATACGGACCATTTCCCTCTCCATCACCATGATGCGTGGCAGCACTTTGGTTTTCCCCCTTCCTCGAGTGACTTCACATTTCCGCTGTTTCGCTTCTACGTCTGCTAATATGGGAAGAGAGAACATCGTCCACTATCAGTTGGAGAGAGACAACGAGTCTGACTTGACCACGAGTCCGCCCAATGGCAGGATCCTGAATGGACACAGCAACGGTACTGGCAAGGTTTTGCCTGCTGAGAGGTTGAACCATCCATTTACCCTCTCCAAAGAGTCTACATTGTCGGACTTTCTTGATAATAACAGGTACTTTGTTGAATCCATCAAACACAACCACCTGAACCAGGTTTTTGAAATAAATGGCAAAGGTCAAAGTCCGCATACGTTATGGATCGGCTGTTCCGACTCTAGAGCTGGTGAACTGTGCCTTGCAACCTTGCCTGGTGAAATTTTCACTCACAGAAACATTGCCAATATCGTCAATGCCAATGATATTTCGTCTCAGGGTGTAATTCAATTCGCTGTTGATGTCTTGAAGGTCCGTAAAATCATTGTCTGTGGTCATACGGATTGTGGTGGTGTCTGGGCATCTTTATCAAAGAAGAGAATTGGCGGTGTGCTTGATTTATGGCTTAATCCTATCAGACATATTCGTGCTCAGAATAACAAATTACTAGATTCTATGAAGCATGAACCACGTGAAAGAGCAAAGAAATTGGCAGAACTTAACGTTGTTGCCTCCGTTTTGGCGCTTAAAAGACACCCATCTGCCCTGAAAGCCTTGAAGAATGGCGAGATTGAGGTCTGGGGCCTCATGTATGACGTGGGTTCGGGCTACCTCCTGGAAGTCGAGATCCCACAAGACGAATTCGAAGACTTGTTCCATGTCGACGACGAAGACGTCGAAGACGAATCCAACCCCCACTAATCATCATCTGTACATTATTGCATTCGGTGGTGTCCCGAGGCTGGTCCGGGATATCTACATTTCAGTCTATAACCGATCTATTTATAAACATCTAGCTTACTTTTTTGTATTTCTTTTCTTTTCTTGCATTGTTCACGTAGTCTCCCATTTTAAGTTGAATCTGCCGTCAGGAACCTCGTAGTGGTCGATGGCCTCCAAGACCTCCTCAGCAGTCTGGGCCACCTTTATGATCTCACCGTTCTTAGGGGAAACAAACTCAGCCTGGATTGCCTCCTCGATAAACTTCAAAAAGCTATCGTAAAACCCGTTCAAGTTATAAATAATAATAGGCTTGCTGTGAATGTTCAACTGGTGCCAAGTGACAACCTCCATCAACTCCTCCAACGTACCGTATCCACCTGGCAACGCAACAAAGGCGTCCGACTCCTCACCCATTAATCTCTTCCTCGTGTGCATATCCTTTACGAGTGTCGTCTTACCGTATAAGTCTGAGTCAGGAAGTGGAGTAGAGCCATCGTGATTGTTGATGCCTTCCTTCAACTTATCGTTAAATTCGTTATCGCTTGTTCTTTCTCTAGAAATCAAAGCTTCTGGAATGATACCATGAACGTAGCCACCGTTAGTAGCACTAGCACGAGCCACAGCTCCCATCAAACCGGTGGACCCGCCACCATAGACAAGACCCCAGTTTCTGGAGGCCAAAAGCTCACCGAGTTTAGCAGCACTTTCAGCAAAAGAAGCGTTCTTTCCAAAGGAAGATCCGCAAAACACGCAAATAGTTTTCACTGGCTTGGAAGTAGTCATTTTCGTAGTTCTTCCAGAGTATCTATCGAAAGAAAAATGTACCCCATGTGGGAGACCCTGGGTGTTTATATACTCTTTATCCCACAGTACATTGTCCGCGGCATCCCGCGGTATCTCTACTATATTGTGTTATCTAAGAGATATGGCAAGGGTGAGACAAATATATGGAACGGGGCGCAAATTAAAGAAGGTTCTTGCTAAGGGCCAAAAAGAAATCGTAGGCGTTAAAAGGGCTGGATCAAGGGGTGCTTTATCCACATGGGGGATGAAAAGGCTTTGGGGTACCTAGTGGTGATGCGCTTAGATTGTGTGTAGCCTACTAGAGTATGAATCATAGTGCATGATTGTCAAGAATTGTTCCTCAGGGTGTGTCCAGTACCGACTCAATCACGACTTTAGGTTTTTCTCCTCACCTCAAGGAGTCGAAAATCGGTCAGGAAGCAATTGTGGTAGGCCTACGGATGGGGGCTGGTGGAAATGGCTGCAAACCGCATCTTCGACTCCCACGCAACGGTATACCACATAAACAAGCTACGTTTACGATCGACTTTCGGTGCTGCTCTGAGCATTGTCTGTTAGGATTTTTGCGTTTTTTTCAGTGCTGGTGGTTGAACTGAACTATGCGTATTTTCTGTATAAAAGTGGTGAAGAAGTATCACAGCCTCTCCAGGTGGTACCCTTGGGGCTATACACCTTCGTTTCTATTCTTTCGCTGCTGAAATATGCTCTTTTCTTCTGTTTAAGCCAAAAGGATTATAATGAAAGAGTATGTGGGGAAAGAATAACCAGGGCACCGAATAGTAGCAAGTTGGTCCATTTGAGATTCGACCATGCCCAATAAGGCAAGGTAGACCTTGAAAGCCAGCTTTAAAGAGGCTGGGCTGTCACATTCGCTTAGCTGACTCCTGAGTCGGGCGTTGAGTCTTGATGTAGCTTGTGATTCTCTTATGGATAGTCAAGAGTGTCATTCTTCGAATGGCCTCGAATCTCTAATGTTCAGCATCGTGTGTGGTAACGACGAGGTATCCCTTGATGTCGGGATATCTTCAAAACTGAACCAGAATCTTCAAAAAATGATTTGGGTGGTAAATTTCAATGTTGTCGGTATCATAGATTCAAGAGTTACACGAGGTGAATGATCTGAGACATCTTGTCAGGGGGGACATCCCGCTCTATTCAAACCCAACATAAAACTGACATTGGCATTTTTCTATGTCTTGAAATACTCCCTGTGACTTCAACTTCTTCCCAATTGCGTTCCACAACAAACTCTCTCAGACCAACCACGGAGCTAGAAAAAGAACATGGTTAGAACAAAGGAATCCACGAAGTTCACGAAAAGGTTCCCCATTGTACTTCGAGTTTAGCCAAAGAAATCGAAGCGGATTTAACGTGGCTAGTTTGCCAAAAGCGAAAACTATTTGTCACAATGGGCTATGAGTTGACAGACATGTTCGGTATTTGCGTCCATAAAAAACAAACGTCCTGGAATCCACTGAATAAATGAACACATGAAACTATTGCAACCCCAATAAAGGAGCGGAATCTTTGTACTTGTAGTCTAGCCAAGGAATAGCTCCCATCAACAACCCACTGAGCTTAAACTACACCACAAACCACCAAACCTTATCATACGCGTATGTAAACAAACAGTCCATAAAACCCCATTCCATGGCCTTATCTAAAAACCTTCCGTATACCCATTCAGTCTCCGCCGTGACGGCCGTTACTCGTAAATCTACGACCATCCGCTGACAGGTGCATCCAGACGAGGCATACCCGTATGGTGAACTAGCACATGCGGCTCATAAACATCCATCGTCAAGTGAAGAAAAATGTCTATAAAGCTTATCTCCATCGATGTTTACCCATTCACGTCGGTCACAATAATAAATGGAAGCTTACAGTTCACCGTGTTTCACTTGCGAAGTCAGTACCATTCCATTCCTCAAGGTTTGCAGCCATCCAAGACACCTCCAATTACTCGTCACCACGAGTCCCGACACGTCCCGAAAAAAATAATGAAAGCCCAAAAAAAAAGCCAACACCCTGAAAAACACCATCCACACATCCATTCCACCGTTGCTCGGCTTGGCCCCGTCAAGCCCGTCTAGGCTTCTCTTTGACGTAGCGAGAAAGCGGTAATGCATTCGCCAGAATAGCGGCCGATCCGAGGCCAATCTATTGTGATTTGCCAGACCAAAGAACAAAAAACACAGGGTTCCTTCCCTGCAAAATTCCATCAAATGAACGACAAGAATTCTTATCCACCAGCATTTTTGCGTTTTCTTGATTCTATCTTGAGCCAGCACTCTGGGGTACAATGGAAAAGCCGAGGAATCCGGCTCATTTTCTTTTTTTTTCGCAGCCATTATGGGGCGAATGTCTCTCCTCTGTTTTTGTACGTGAATGGAGGCTTCTGGCGCAGCTGGCCCTAAAAGTATAATAAAACGCGACGCACCAGTGTCCCTCGTTTTAGACCCCTTTGGGCGGCTCTACAGCGTCTACTGGCTGGGCATCTTCTATACATATCTGGCACTTACCACTTTTTAGCAGAGCTCACCAGAAAAGCTTTTTTTCACTAGTTATTGCTTCTTCATGTCAAGTGCTTTGTTGGGAAAGCTTGACGACCTCCAGAACCTCTCGTGGGAAGCTTCCGAGTGGACTCACGGCGAAGAGTGGAAAGATCATAATGAAAGCTTCGAGTCGACAGAGCTGGACTCAGACGCTCAACTGCTGCTTTCAATGTCTTCCAAAGCTACTTCCGTGCAACTGACGCCGGGCACGCCGAAAAAGAAGGTCCAGAGTGCCGCTTCTAGTGTCAGTCTACGACCACTTCCTACGTCCAGAAGGGCTCTTTCTTCTGGCTTGGATAGTCTACAAACCATGCTCGAGTGTATTGAAGGCCTGGCTGAACAGGATATGCTAGCAATCCAGGCTTGCCTCGAGGATACTGTCAATACACTTAAGAACTCCCCTGCCTGGGGCACCACAGTTTTCAGGTCGAACGACTTGTTCCCATACTCAAACGATAGGCCACGACGCTCACAGGAGAAGAACCAAAGATAATCACTCTTTTTTCTTCACTTCTTCCTATGCTTTTAATGTTTGTATTTAATAGATTTCCGCTGGTCTCCTAACCTTGCTTCCTACATGTTTCTCGGAGTTTCGAGAGCCGCCCCTACAACGCAAACCTCTCCTCTAAGCACCACAACCAGTCCAAAGAGCTTCTCTAAGCACATCAAAAGCCTCTCTTAATCCATATACCCTTTTCTTTCTGGCGTTCTTGTTGTGGCTTAAATTTCTGACGGTCACCTTCACGTGACTCCAGGCGTTGTTCTTATCAACTCCCGCCTCACACTTATCCCACACATCATGACAATCACTCAGAAGGATATCCGGTCGCTGTTCACCAAGACCAGGTCCTTTGTCGACCAGTTACTGGCTACCATCGAAGAAAGACAACGTTTGACCGAGACCCTCAAGCTCACCCCGTCGCTGGACGACAACTTGGACTTGATCAACCTCCTCGCAAAGATCAAAAAAAGCTTACAGTATCTACATCTGGATATTTCTGCTGGTTACGTTGATACATTTGCCGGTCAATTTTCCACGTTGGTGGATTCCTATATTGCACAACTTGACATTCTAGCCAAGGATGCGTACGTGGATGCTCATGAATACGAGTACACTGAGAAGATTGCCAAACCTGATGTCCCTGACCTCACCACAAAGAAACTGGTACGTTTTAAAGATTATGACACCGATGAAGATAATATGAGATCTCAGCTTATGGGTACCTCGGGACAAATAAAGCCATATAGGGACGAGCCTGAGGAAAACCTGGATTCCCAGTCTTTACAGTCTGTGGATACCTCAAACAGAGAGATGTTTGCCCAGCATCAGCAGCAGCTCTTACAACAAGATCAAAACTTAGACGCCTTGCACGATTCTATTAGAGTGCAGCATTCCATGGGCCGCAACATCAACGACGAGTTGGATGACCATCTTATCTTACTTAATGATTTAGAAAGAGGCGTAGACGATTCAGGCAGCCGTCTCGGAAGGGCGTCTCTCCGCCTTAAAGATTTCCGTACCAAAGTCCGCGAGAACGGCAGCCTTGTCACCATCATTGTACTTTCGATCATCCTAATATTGTTGTTGGTGGTGCTTAGTTAATAATGTATAGTCCTCAAAAGTTGAAGTCGTCGTTTTCGTCTTCGTGCTCGGAAAAGAACCATATGAACACTATAATGTCACTGTAGACGATTATACCGCCAATAACACTCATGAATAAAGATCCCACTCCAATAAGGTGGGTGTGATAAAACGTCAAGGGCAAAGCAATGCCGCTAACAAGCAAGAAGCCAGTGATTAGTTTGGCCAGTTCTTGCAATGGCGAGGGAGTATTACCTCTATCGTTACTAAACGTCAAGAAATCGTCTCTGTTGTTTTCAATGGAAGACAGAATGATGTTAGGCAATGGAGCCACTAGGAAAATGGCAATGACCCAGAGTGGCTTCCAGTTGTTGTATAGGGCGCATGAAAGGAGAATTAGAAGGAAGCCAAAGGCCAAAAACGCCGAAAGGAAGATGATCTTGTTCAAGGGGTTCATGGCGAATTGATAAAGTGAGTGACTGGAATGTTTGGCTTTTTTTCGATCGTTTTGATGTTTCTTACTTTTCGACTTAGACGTATCGTTGAGGTATTTCTGTACGCCCCACAAACCTGTGCCTCCCATGAGATAACCCAGGGCTGACTACAGCGCCGCTTGACTTTGTTTCACTTTTTACATGTATTGAAACTCCGTTACGTATAAACATCCAAAAATGGAGCATTTCCTAAACTCCCTTATCCAAATCCCGTCCTTTTCCAGCTGAAGCTCTTTCTTATTTCGAGTTCCAGAACCATCCCAGTTTGTTGTCTTCCTCGGTCAGCTGTTCGGGAGTCAGCCATTCCGTGCTGCCAATTGGTCTGGTTCGTGTCAGCTTCTTGGTTACGGATCTACCGTCACCAAAGACTTCAGTTCTGGTCTCGTGCATAACCTCCTTGTCGTCCTCACTGTCGATCTTGGTATAAGTCTTCATGGAGTACGACACAACGCCGTTGTCGTCATTGCGGTCTTCAGTCTCACGAGAGAATGGGGTCAAGGTGGTGTTTGCTCTGATTGATTCTCGAAGGTTTCTTCTTGATTCTTCTCTTTGCCTTCTGACATCTTCGTACATGTGGTTCTTCCAGTTCAAGTAGCGATTGAACTCTCTAAAGAACATACCCTTTGGTCCCAAGTCAATCACACCGTTCTTATCGGCGTCTGGCTTCTCCTGGATGGCTTCGTCGAAGTCCTCCTTTGTCAAGATATGCCCAGCCAAGTGGCTCTTCTTGTAGTTCAACAACTTGTTAGGGATTTCACGATTGGGGAACAAGCAGCGCCAGTAACCCTCAGAATCCCACACAGATTCACCATCCTTACGCATACACTCGTTGTACTTGCGTGCTGATGGGCTTCTGTAAGAATAGAGGCCGAATGGAGTGTCTCCACTAGCACCTCCAAAGGCATTGAATGCGTCAAAGGCCACACCAAAAGGAATGATCCCACGATCTTGCTCCAAATCCTTGTCTCTGGTTTGGTAAGGCCTGTTCATGAACTTATCCAAAATGTTTTCATCGTCATGGTCCTTAAACATAGTTGGCAATTCGTTAGCCAAGTCGAACGTATGGCCCACTACCCGTTTCGTAAGAGAGGCTGCCTTGTCAAAGAACTTGGAAATCTCGTCGTCATATGGAGACACAGAGTCAGCGTCCGTCTTGGACAATGCAGTTGTAGAGTCGTCTTTTCTTCCGCACATGATGAAAGTTAAATGGTGAAGAGGGTGAGAGTAGAAATATGGGGGTCAGGGATGGGGCAAGGCGCGCATTATATAACCTCCTCATCAGACCAACCCATTTTGCCACTACTGGTCAAACACTTGACCAGACCATAAAAAGGTAAATTGAATTTTTAGATTTGAAGGTTGGAGGTATTTGGATGATTTGGACATCTCCTCTTTGTTTTTACGACATTTTAGTGGAAATTGGTTGATTGTGGATAGGTCGGTGTGGATCGGTTCGGAGTTCCTCAGAATTCTAAAGAACGCACAATTGTAGGACCATGTTAATTTGAGAAAAACAAGAATTCCATTGTGACTTAAATGGAGATCAAAGATTTTGAAATATACTTTGTTCGGTAATTGAATTTTATAAATTAGGTTGCCCGAGATCAGAGGGAGATGACATTTCTCGGCCAGAGTCCAACCAAACCAGCCAAACGACTACATTTACAATTGTAGAGAGAAAGAACGCTTCCTGTGTGTTGAGGGAATTCCAGAAGCTGAATTCAATTGGATCTCTCTATTTTAAAGTCTTCTACAGTAGCAAGTACCTTGAGGCGATTGGGTGCAAAAAATGGAACGAACTATGATGGCTGTCCGGGTTTCACAAAATCAAGAGGGTATGATCTTAAAGGAACAATTTCTCCCACATAGGTATTTAAATAGTGACGTTTGGGATGTCTCTTCTTCAGACAATGCTTCTTTTTGGGCCCTCTGTTCATCTTCTTCATGTCTAATAGCGTAACACAGCAGAATACACCCTATTAGGGCTCATAAATCGTATCAGGTATGTCCATTGCAACAATTGAACATAGTTTGCTGCATTTATGCCAAAAAGAAATAATATCGTTGATTTCATGATTATTACTGGTGGTGTGAACTTCACGTTTTGTGTAAGCGACGCGTAAATAAATGAAAAATACGAATATCTCTACCGAACTCAGAACTCTAATCATCATATAATATTAAACCTCTCTATATCTAACATGCCGAATCTATGTAATACTCCGTGTTCGTAACAATATATATAAAAGATGAGTCCAAGATCTAGGATACGGCCTTGAAACCCAAAATGCAAATGTCTAAACGTGAATTAATGGTTGCGGTACAGCGAGTAGTTGGTTCTCTTTCCGCCAAACAAGTGCTGATGCAAAAACTGGTTGCTGTGACGTCTCGAACGCTGAGCAGCCTGGTTGTACAAGGCCATGGCCTCTTGTCTATTCATGGCAGGGCTCATGCCAGGACTGATCCCGCCGTATTGAGCTTTCTGCATGGCCATGGTTTCTTGCATTTGAATAGCAGCTCCCACTGGGTCTTGTGGAATAAGTGGAAGATACTCGACGTCCAGCTCGAGATCAAACAGCTTGTGGAGGTAGAACTGCTGTAACTGTCTCTTCTGGTTGATGGTGTTCTGGACAGCCTGTTGAAGAGGAGGGGCAGGCAGGGCACCGTTTTGGCGGTTGAACTGGGACATTTTATCTGAAAATATGCTATTAATGACGTTCACTTGTGGGGGTTATTCTTATTATAGGGGTAACCACACAGAGGTTATCTGAAAAATTTGCGGCAATTCGAGAGGTGCATACGCTAAATCATCACCAACCTGTGCAGGGTAGACACATTTCTTCAAACCGTTGAGGTACCTAGTTTAGCTGATTTTGAGATTTGGTTGCTAAAAGAGGTCGAGTAGGTGTAGGTTTGATTTAGAGTTGAGTGGATAAACAGCTTTTGTAAGGGCTCTTATACGTCTTGCCAGGTATGTGTTTGACTTCGAAGGTGTCACTTTTGGGTTCCCCATCTTTTTCGCAGCCACTAACGGTTTCAGGTGAGTCAACAGGTACGCCTCCACAAAATCGTCAAATATTAAGTACAACATAGACTCTGTGATTGAAAGCAGTTCTTCCTTGAATGTATCAATACCTTCCATTAAACTACAAATCAAACGGTCAATCCAGTTCAATGGATGTTGAGAAACGCCAACTTCACTGGCTGACAAGCAAAGTCCCTATGTTGCCCTTTTACTTTTACCAATGAGTGTGAGATCTTATACTTTGGTCTAAAAGAAGGTATCTTCCAGGTTCCAAAACTTTAGCGTTGTCCAGCAAAGCCACGATGGTCTACATTTTGCAACCATTGATCGCTGCATCATTTCGCACTATACATACAAAATCCATCTACACCTTCACTTTTCACCTTGACTGTCCTATGCGAGGTGCTCTACGACTCCTACTGAAGCTCAGTTTGAAGGGTAAGCTTCAAGCTCCTTCTACAAGAGCCTCAGTGCAACCTCAAAGTCCTGCTCGTACCAGGTTTGCTCCTTCACCCACTGGGTTCCTTCACTTGGGCTCGTTGAGAACGGCCTTATACAACTACTTATTGGCAAAAAGTACTGGTGGACAATTCCTTCTAAGACTAGAAGATACAGATCAGAAACGGTTAGTCCAGGGTGCTGAAGCTAATATATATGAATCCTTGAATTGGACAGGGCTCGTGCCAGATGAGAGTCCAGAGAATGGTGGTCCATACGGCCCTTATAGACAATCAGAAAGAATGTCTATTTATAAAAAGTATGCCGACCAGCTTATTGAATCAGGTTACGCGTATAGGTGCTTCTGCCCTAAGGATAGACTTGTGCATCTTCGTGAATCAGCAATGGCTATGAAGCCGCCAACAACCGTTACCTACGATAGAAAGTGCTTGCATTCTCCAGAACCAAACGAGGTTGAATATACCGTTAGGTTCAGATCTCCTGACAGATATGAGCCATTTACCGACTTGCTTCATGGCAAGCTTGATCTTCAACCACAGATCAACCAGAGCGATAAGAGATATGATGACTTTGTCATTCTCAAGCTGGACGGTCTTCCAACTTACCATTTTGCGAACGTTGTCGACGATCATTTGATGAAAATCACTCACGTTATTAGAGGCGAAGAATGGCTAGCTTCAACACCTAAGCATGTTGCAATGTATAGAGCTTTCGGTTGGGAACCGCCTCAGTTCATTCACATCCCATTACTCACCTCGTTGTCCGACAAGAAGCTTTCAAAAAGACAGGGCGACATTGGTATACTCAGTATGAGGGACGAAGGAATTCTTCCAGAGGCACTTACCAATTTTGCTGCCTTGTTTGGCTGGGCTCCTCCACGTCCAGTAAAGGGCAAGACCACTAGTGAAGTAATGGCTCTCGATGAGCTAGTTAGCAAGTTCTCCTTAGACCATCTCACGAAGGGTAACGCCAAGGTTAATGATAACAAGCTTCACTTCTTTAACAAAAGTCATTTGTCTTTCAGGATCAATGATCCAGAGAGATTGGATCGTTTGGTCGAAGAAACCTTTCCAGCTTTTGAGGCTTCCACTGCAGGTCGTTTCTCGAAGGACTTTTACAAGCGTTTGGTTCACGATGTGGGTCCTAGCATGAACTCCATCAAGGAGTTACGAGATGTACATACTTACTTTTTCGAAGAAGTTGACCTTGCTAAAGCCACTTTGCCTGCTGAAAAGGTTCTTGTTTCCAACATCTTGAAGACACTTCAGGCTGAGCAAACCCCAGAAACACCTTTCCCCGTGGAAGCTGTGTTGAGTAAGTTTCCAGACTTGAAGAAGAAGAATATCTTTGAGGCTACGCGTTACGCTTTAGCGGGCGGAGTCTCGGGAATCACTATTCCTTCGCTCATTGATCTTCTAGGCTACGATACCTACTTAGGTCGCATTCAAAAAGCGATCACTTTCCTCGAATAAGTTTAATTATCTGTAAATAGCATGCATTAAATAATACACATTACGATGATACCAAACTGGTTCTTTGGAAGTCCAAAAGACCTGGTTTCCTCGAGCTTTGCTCATTACTTTTGAGGAATGGTCCTGTGAAAATGCAATGGACAGCCATATCTTCATGGTAATATAAGCCCGTTAGAAGTTTTGGCGTCACCAAGAAATGCTGAGAACGGCTCGTTTTGCAAGCGGTATGAACCAAATATTTGTGAGCCATCTTTTCGTTCTTTGGGTCCATACCTTGATTAATCTCATCCACTATTCTTATCGGAGCATTCGTCAAGCCTTGAAGTGACATAATGAAAAAGATTGTGGAAACCGCTCGCTCACCACCAGATTGAGACTGGTGATCAAGAACTTTTAGTTCGGAATTTTCCCTAAACTTAACAAGAATTTCTAGCTTCCAGTCTTGGAATCTCTCCAGTTTCACTAACCGCACTTGACCATCACTTGCGACGGTGATGAAATTCTTCTGGAAAACTTTCGACATTGTTTCAACCATGTTGCTGAGCTCTTCTTGCCATGGTATTGAAACATTGTCCATCCTTTGCTTAAGATCGTCCCTTTTACGCTTCAGTTCAGGAAGCTGTCTTTGAGATATCTCGAGATCCGCTCTCTTTGTCTTCAACAGTTCGATCGAACCTTTATCGGCATTAGATAACAAACTTAATTCGTCTTCTAGTTGATCGATCTTAATAAGAATGTAATGTTCCGACAATTGGGAATTATTAAGATACTGCTCTGCAAGTCCACGAACGATTTCACGTTCCTCATCTGTAAGCTGTTGCTCCTTGATTTCTTTGGCAGCATCACCCTTCTTGTACTGGTCGTAGCGCCTTTTAGCGTCCGCGTACCTCTCTTGCAAATCAACTTTTCGATGATCGAGTTCCTCAAGAAGCGATTGAACTGTGAGTATTTTACTCTTAGACTGTTGACTCAAAAGTTCAGCTTTCTTGAGTTCAGAGTTTTCAATGACCACGTTTTCGTTGGCTTCTGCTAGCTTATATAGCTCTCCAGAATGGTCAATGTACAACTGCATCAACTTGTCTTCAGCCTGTTTGATTTTAGCTGTATCATCCTGAGTCATACTTTGTTTAAGCTGTGCGATTCGAGTTTCCAAATGTTTAATGTTCTCTTGTGTCCGTAGAACTGTTTCTCTCTTCTTTCTGAGAGCACGAATCAGCAGATCTAGAGTAGTAAGCTCATCAGATATCTGGAGTAAAGCCTCTTGATGACGCAGTTTGCGCTTACTGACAGCGTCCTTCTTTTCCAAGGCCTCGTCCATCTTTTGTTTACAGGCCATCATTTTTCGCTTTATTTCCCGTTTCATTTCCTCGGTGAGGCCCTTAGCGCCCATTAGCTGTGCCTCACCTATATGTTCTGTACGGTAAAATACCTGCCTGCTTCCATACTTGGAGCGCCCAACGGAATAAATATTGTTCTCAACAATGAATCTCATAAAAGGAATCCTGCCAGAACTGTCAGGCTCTAATAGCCTTTTGATAACATCAGCATTAATTGGCTTTGTTGCAACAGGTATAGCATGAAGTTGAGAACGGTGCTTGAGAGCTTTCACGACCGTTTTAGGACCATCAACAAAATCAGAAAGGTAGCCATCAAATCCGTATTTATGAAGAACCGAAACAGGAAGAGGCGATGGAGGTGTATCTTCATTCGAAGCTACTCTCATAGGAACATTGAGCTCCCTAGGTAACACTTGCGACACTTTTTGATAGTCTTCTTCAGAATCAAAATACAAAGCGAATAGAGAATTGTTGTCCACAACTTTCTCGAAACATTTTGCAACTCGTGGATTAGTCACATGGCAAGATACAACCGGCGCTTCATAGAACTTGAGGCCATGGTTGCGGCGCTCTTTTCGGAGCAAGAGATGCGCTTTGTAGGTGTTCTCCAAAAGATCAACTCTATACCGCGACCCCTTCGTATTCAAAACCTCAAGCTTATCATCATTATCAAGCTTACGTTTTTCCTCCCTCATTCTAATCTCGTTCGATTCATGCTCACGCTTCAAAGCAGATACCTCAAAAACAATATTCTCCACTTCTTCATCCTTTCGGAGTTTTTCGTCATGTTTGTCCTGACGTTGAGAAGATAAAGCTGTTATGGCATCTTCATCGACATCTTCAAGAGTCATGAGCTTATTTTGAAGGTTATCCTTCTCTTCTCGTGCTCTTTGTAATTCTTTCTTTCGTTTTTCGGTAGAGTTTTGCAAAGCGTCGATATCTCCTTTAGTGTCCTCGATAGACTGTGCCAACTTCTCGATGTTTCTGCCAATACGTTTGATCGTGTCGTTTATCTCGACAACAGTCGCCCTGTGCTTAGCTACAATACTCTTGTGAGAGTCATATGCCTTCTCAGCGCCTTCCTTTTCACTTAGTAAAGGCTCAGTGGTGGAAGCAAACTGTTGCAACGCTTTCTTAGCTTCGTCACGGGTCTTTTTTAAACCTTTCATCTGCTCCTTAACGTCTTGTAGCTTGGCGAACGGTAGAAGCTTCTTATGATGATCGATTTGCTTTGCTTTCTCTTCAAATTCAGCGTAACGTTGCGCTTCCTGCTCGAATTTGGCAACATCGGCGATTAAACCCTCTATATTAGTTTCTAGTCTTTCAACATCAACATTCAAGTCAACCCATTGGTTGTCCAACTCTATAAGTAGTTCATGCTTGTCAAGTAATGTGTTATCACCGATTGTTCTTTCTGTCTCGAGAAGAAGCTTTTCAGGAGAAAGAGTGGCAAACTCTGCCACACGTTCTTGTGGAAGGAAATGACAAAGATTATCAAGCTGGATACCCAAGTCAACCACTATCTGTCTAACTTTAACCACATCACTGGAAGCGCCATTAACCAACCACTTGCTTTTATTGTTCTTCAAAAAGAATGTTCTTTTGATCTTCAAATCAGGTAAGTCGTCCTTATTCTTCAATGTGATCTCTATCAGTGCTTCCGTGGACCCCGACTTTATCATTGAGTCCATGTTCTTTCTTTTGATTAAGTCAACCTTTCCTCCAAGACCAAGACAGACAGCAGCAACAAACGTCGACTTACCCGTTCCGTTTGGTCCTATGATCATATTTAGCGTGGGTGAAAGGATGAACTCGCCATAGGAGTATGTGGTGAAGTTTCTGATTCGAAGTTTGAGGATGTTGCCCGGCTTGAATCTAGCCGAGGGCAGACCATGGCCATTTTCAAGCTTTCGTCTTTTATGGCTCCCTTCACCGTTTAGTAGGTCTCCGTTGCTCTCCATGGGGAACCAAGTAGTGAAGAAGGTTGATCTGATAATTCGCGTTCGTCTGAAAATGATAACAGTGGGTGCAAAAGACGCACAGGAAAGACCATATAGAGAAGATGGACAGACTATGGACGATTTTACGTGAAGAAAAAGAAAGTGCTTATACAGAGCAGACACTGATGAACATTTAATATTCATTTTATATTTTAAATATAATTCGCTTTTGTAAGTGAATATGTGGGAAAGTGGTTGGTAGTCGTTGAGGTGAGAAGATGTGGCGCGTATACCAGCACTCTTCAGACCAGGGCACTTGAAGTTAACTCTAGACTACTTCATCATACTAGAACTATTCTTGGATCCCTCAAAGAATTTAAAATCAATCTGGGAACGCCGGTGGAGGCGTGGTATGGCTTTTGAAGAATTTGCACGTGCCCAAGATCACGCGCGTTTTTGTTTACATTTCCTGGAAGAAAAGAACTCATACATCTTCATAGCCTCCAACTAACAGAAATGGTATGTGTCAAAATCTCCTAAAAGTGTCAATTTTATGAATCAACTATATACATCAACATGGATGGACTGCTCGGATACACTCTATCAAAGCCAATCTTCGTTTGTATACCCGGATCATAGATGTGGCACGCCCTCACACGTATGATTTACTAACACCAGTCCAACAACAAAACATACAAAGACGCCTTCGCCCTTTTCGACAAGAAGGGTACTGGAAAGATCCCTGTCGAGCACTTGGGTGACTTGTTGAGAGCCGTTGGCCAGAACCCTACTTTGGCCGAGATCTCTGAATTGCAAAGCACTATTGAACTGCCAGAGTTTGATTTCGAAACCTACGAGAAGATTATCAACAGACCAGACGGTTTCAAGCCACTTGGGCTTCCTGAGGACTACATCAAGGGTTTCCAGGTCTTCGACAAGGACCAGACTGGATACATTGGTGTTGGTGAGTTGAGATACATCTTGACGTCGATTGGCGAGAAGTTGACGGACGCTGAGGTTGACGAGTTGTTGAAGGGTGTGAATGTCACTGCTGAGGGCAACGTCGACTACGTCGAGTTTGTCAAGTCTATCTTGGACCAGTAAGTGGGGCTACCGAAACATACAATACATCACCGGATACCATATATGAGAAGCGAGCTACTATATGATTATGTAGATAACAGCAAGAGATATTAGTCGAAGATTTATTGTACAGAAAACTATAACCAGAGGTGTTGCATTCTGCACTGCTTTCCCTAGATGTTCACCTCCCACTTTATATATGGGTGCGAATTTTCTATACTATCCATCAACTCCATACCATGTCACAGGTAGAGACCATAGACGAATTTCGAAATGAACGGTTCCACCTACCTACCCAAGAAAGACTCACAGCTGTTGCAGCTGCCTCTGCTATAGTAGGAGCAGGAGCAGGCTTCTACGAAGGCATTAAGCTATCCTCATTGAGGTTCCTTACAGAGAATGGTCATAGACTTCCTACCACAGTGGGAGGCTGGTACTTCTATCATAAGAAAAAGAACTATGTTATGATTATTAGCGGCTGTAAAGAAGCAGCCAAGGTTGCATTTAGGTACTCTGCTGGAGTATCGTCTTTCTTTGGCCTAGAAGCAGGGCTAGACTATGCTAGAGGCACTAAGGACTTTCTTAGTAGTGCAGCAGCTGCTACTATCGTTGCATGGTCTTTTGGAGCATACAAGCACATGAGTCCCGTGCAGAGAATGAACTACGTGAAAAGAGGTGGTCTTATGGGGCTTGGCATTGGACTTATCCAAGACGCAATGATAAGAGGCCGTGGGGGTCACGTATGGTATTTGCATTTGTTCGATAAATATAGGACAGCAGACAATCAAAGTATATAGAAAGATCAGTCCTCATCCTCGTCCTCATCGTCTTCATCTTCATCTTCATCGAGGTCTAATGGGTATTTGAGCAACACAGCAGCACCGGTCAACTGATTCAACTGCTCTCCAGACTCATGCTGGGTCGAAAATATGTACACGTCTCCACCTTGGGCCTTCACTTCATCACTCAAAGCAATGTAGTGTTTTCTCACAGCAATGTCGTCACTACGGAAAAGTGCATCTGTAAGCAAGAGACTCTTGACAGCTCCCATTTCCACAGCCTTGGTGGCTTCCTGAGGACCGTACCACGCTCTTCCGTCGTCTAGATTAAGAACTCTTTGGAATTCATCAAAGATAGCAGCTTCCTTGGCAAACTTAGTGTCTGTGAGGTTCTTCTGAACACTTGGGTCCTTGAGGACCTCCTCGAGGCCTTGAAGGTAACCTGTAGATGAGTGTACAACCAAGAACTTGGACTTATTCTTAAGAATGGCTTTATTATCGTTCTTGACAGCAGTTTCAAAAATAGCCTGTTGAAGAGCAGAAGCAGTGAAGCCTGGAGAAGCAAGAATGATCACCTTAAGCTTCTCCAAGTCAAAGTTTCTTAAAAGCGTGGCTTGCACGGTATCAAGGAACTTGCTAATAGCTTTATCGTGAGAAGAGCCACCACCTTCGCCTCGACTCTTTCTAGGAATGGACTTTTCAACCTTATTTCTCAACACAGTCATATTATCAGTAACAAGACACAAGTGGGCCACGCCTTCCTCCAAAACAACAGCACCAACCTCAGCCTTCTTCTCAATCGAAGATGCCTCAATAACAATATTATAACTGATCTCGTCCCATTCTGGCTTGGTCAATTTAAGTGACTTGTTAAGCTGAACCTCTGCGGTATGGTAACTCTGATTAGGAACAAACTCGTTCTGTTCGGTGGTTTTACCACGAATTCTCATCACCTCGTCACTAGGCTCATATTCAACACCTTCTACTGCAAGGGTCAAGTGAAGATGTTTCCTCTCAGCTTTAGAGCCCTCAGTCTTCTTGACGTTTCTCACCGTCAGAAGGTCCACCTTATCACCCTTCTGGACCAAGTTATAAAGCTGCCATAAGTCCTCTTTATCCTGAGGCACCAAAGTAAGAGAGCCACTCTTGTCTTTTTCCAAAGCAATGGTTTTGTTGAGGAGTTTCATTGCTAGAAGGTGGTAAGGTGCTGGAGATGGTGCTGGAGGTGGTGATGAGATGAGAGGTCCACAATAGTGCGCAGTCTTATCAGATGGCAAGAATCAGTCAATGCGAGTTGGACCAGAAAGAGGCAAAAATAATGAGTCAATCGAGTGGAAGTGTATTTTGTTTGACAAATTTTTAAAGAAGTTATACCGAGTCGGCTTTCTGTGGCGCAATCCAATACACCTACGGCAATTCCTACTGGGTGCAAAATTTATGGAAACTGTGAGGTAGGTGCCCCACAGCCATAGAATATTTCTATAAGATGTTATCATTTTAGAAAACCCCGGTAATATCCTGCGTCCGGTCTAGCCCTCCGAAATGGCTAAACATGCTTAAAAGAGACAATTAATGTAAGACAGTACAGTAGTTACCTTTGACAGACGCAAACGATGATCGCCCCGGAGATATCTCGAGTCTGGCTTAGAACGATCACGTTGTTCCTGCTAATCAGTAGACCATGCAATAAGAATTGAAATGTTTGAAAATGGCTTTAGACATGCCAGTGTCACCGCACTTCCTTGCTTCCGCCAATCAGTAAACCTTTCATGCGGAGGAGTTGCGTAAAGGTGCCTTTGGGCATTCCAGCGTCATGATTATCGACCCGAGAACCCTTTGGAACGTCCACGTTCCAAGTGTCCCCGAAGACAACCAATAATGCAACTAGCCAGCCATTTTCGAATGTTTGAAATGTACGAGCCCGACCATTGGGGCCATAGAGCTCTTTCACCACCTCACGAATTTGGTCCAAATCCAGGTTCCTTGGGATGAACAAGAAGATGTTATCTGAAAACTTCTTCATGCTCGTCACAATCGCCCGAAGATTGAACGGTCTCATACTGTGGAGATCGAAAAACTTCTTCTTGTTCACAGCTGGGCCTCCCCATGGAGGAGAACTGAAGACCACATCGAACTTGCCGTTTTGAAGCTCAACAACATCTGGAACCCAGGAAGTCGAATCCTGAAGCTCGTTCCAGTTGCCCTTGATAAAATGAGTGTTCTTATGTGTGCCATAAATCCTAGCATTGTGTTCACAGCATGCCACATTCGTGCTACTAATGTCAACGCCCACCAGATGCTCAAAGTACCTTGCAAACTGAATCGTGTTACCACCGCCACCACAGCAGACATCCAAGGCTGCTTTAGCTCTTGGAGCCAACGTTTTAGCTAACTTAGCAGTAAACTTGGCTACTCTCTCTGGGGTGACTGAGTACCACAACTCTGGCGTGAACAAGACGCCTTGGTCGAACTTGGACCATAATTGGTATCGTTTTCGCCAATATCGCTTGCAATGCTCCGGTAGAGCTTCGTAGGAGTTTTCCAAAATATCCTCTTCCTTATTTATATGAAGGAGTTCGTCGGAGGACATTCTGGAAGAGTGTCTGATGTGAGTTGGGTTTTATGCATGTTCTCGCGATGTTTGCAACCCGAGGAATGGTATTCACACAGACAAAGATGGAGATCTCCGAATGTCAAGTGGTTCTATGACTTTTAAGACAACTCTAGTATTATCGTTTTAGTGTCACAATTAAGCTTAAGCCCACATTGGATGTTCATGGCTTGACAAGCTACAGACAATTACCTTTCTAAGAATTAGTACTATTCACAATTCTACCCATCTCACTTATTTCACCTCAGCCTTGGCAATGGTGCTGTTCTTACAGAGCTCGCCCTTCTCGTTGACCAACTTAGCTGGTTCCTTACCCTCAGCAGTGTAAGTAACCTCAAAGTTCTCGGTGGTGCTGAAACCAGGCTGGACAGTCTCCCAAACCTTCTTCTTAGGGTTCAATTGCTTCTCTGGGGTAGCATTGTAGCCCTCGAAGAAGATCTTGTCACCTGGCTTAGAGCCAGCTGGTGGGTTGACGAACTCCACGGTGGTGTCGTTAGAAGCACACAAGACCATGGCACAGGACTTGACACCTCTCATGCTGACTGGCTTCAAGTTGGCCACACAGACAACGTATCTCTCTTGCATGTCCTCCAAAGGAACGTACTTGACCAAACCAGAACACACAGTTCTTGGGCCTTCAGCGTCACCCATGTCAATAGTAGACATGTACAAGGAGTCAGCATCTGGGTGCTTGACAGCCTTCTGGATGAAACCAACTCTCAAGTCGATCATACCTGGGTTTGGAGGAACAGCAGCAGCGGCCTGCTTAGCTTGTTGTTCAGCCTTGGCCTTGGCCTTAGCAGCCTTCTTGGCCTTAGCAGCCTCAGCAGAAGCCTTCTTGTCCTCCTCAGAGATTGGCTTCTTCTCCTTCTTACCAGACTCAGCTGGGGAAGCAGCCTTCTCAGCCTTAGCTGGAGCAGCCTCCTTACCAGCAGCAGCAGCACCTTCCTTGGCTGGCTTCTTCTTCTCCTTAATCTCACGAGGAACCTCAGTGTCGAAGTTGACCTTCAACTGCTCCTCCTGTGGCACTTCCACAAGAGTGTTCTGAACCAAGTCAGCCCATCTAATAATGTGTCTGAACTGGGCGTACTCCTCAGCCAGCTTCCACTGCTGGGCAACAGGCAAGACCTTGGCGAAGACATCCAAGTCAACCTTAGCTGGAGTGTGGCCAACAATGAAAGTCTTGGTTCTCAAGTTGTTGTTCAAAGTGACCAAAGACTCTGGCTCGTTGAGTCTGTTAGACAAGGTGGTGAACTGGGAAGCCAAAGCCTTAGCTTCAGCGTTGAGCTCTGGGAAAAGAGAGTCAGCGGCTTTAGCAATGTCCTTAAGAGGAATTCTGGTAAACTTAGTCAAGAAAGTGGCCATTTTGGTTGGTTGCAAATGTGAGTAGTGATTTAAGAGTCAGATTTTTTCAAGGTGGATGAGGAAAAAAGAGACTATGCGAAGGCTCATAGTGGAGAGAAGAAGAACCATGGAATCGTGAACGAACAAGCAGAAATTTAGGAAAAATAAAAGGATAAATAATAAGGGACGAAGATTGGTGAATATTGTGGGTCAAAGTAAAGAAGATTGGTTGGGGTTGTGTGGCAATGGATTGTTCTTTGTAGTGGCTGCGAAATGCTACCATACATATCTACTCAAACAAGACGATTCACTTAGTTATGCCATAAAATTGAGTATACGGGACTATAATTCGATAGCTTTGTTGACAGTAGCTATTTGAAAAACATCAATTCGATTTCACCATCTACTAGCCTCTTAGCCAACGATCACTTTTCATGCCTTTTCGCCAGGGTAGTAGAAGTTATTCTCCCATCTGACCTTATCCATGAGATCCATCATGAGCAAAGTTTCTTCCCAAGGAATTGAGTCTGACTGGGTCTTACCTGCTTTGATAGCATCGGCAGCGGCATTAGCTTCATGGATGAAACCGGCAAAAGAGTCCTTATCAAGATGTTCCTTGATGAGTTTACCATCCTGGCTGAAGGCCTTGACATGCTTAGGAGCAGCTGGATTGCCGTACATCTCCAAGGAGCCCTTGGTACCTTCCAATCTCAAAAACTGCTCAGGACCGGCTGTGTAATTGGAACTCGTTGCAATTCCTTGTTTGCCATTCTCGTACTTGATGAGAATAGAACTGAGATGGTCAACTTTATCGGTATCGTCCAAGGTAAGGAAAGATTTCACGTCAAATGGGGTAGCTTCCTTACCCAACTTATCATCCAAGAGAATACGTGAATAGGTCAATGGGTAGATACCAACGTCTAAAGTAGCACCAGCAGCCAATTGAATGTCTCTACCACGAGAAGAAACAGGCAAATTGTCCAAATCAAGATCCATGGAGAAATCACCAATCAAACGCTTGACATCACCAATCAACTTATCCTTAAAAACCCATTCCTTAGCTTTGAGCACAGCAGGAATGAATCTCGTCCAAACGGCCTCCATAACGAAAACTCCAGCTTCAGAAGCAGCTTCAAACACTCTTCTTGACTGTTCAGCAGTCACGGTGAATGGTTTTTCACAAAGAACGTGTTTCTTATTCTTCAATGCCTCGAGAACCTGGCCCTCGTGGAAAACATGAGGCGATGCCACATAGACGATATCAACGTCAGGATTCTTTAGAAGGTCCAGTCTCAGCTGAAATTTAGGAACCACGCCATGATTCTTCTCAGCAGTAATGCCATTGGACTCCAGGAACTCCCGTGCCTTATCATCCAGAGAACTGCCAATTGCAACAATTGTATGGTTATAGTCCAGCTCATCGAGCAACAAGTCCTTAACAAACTTTCCGGCAATGTTACCGGCACCCAAAATACCCCACTTCATGTTCAAAAGTAAAAATTGTTTGAAGATCTGTGGAGGTCTGTGGAGATAAGTAGCAAGATATAAGCCTGTTCGGCACTTTTACAGTTTGTGCCTTTGCAACGTTACACCACAAGGGCGCACCCCGGAAAGGCTTGAAAAATGTAACATTGGGGATGTGCGGCACCAGAAACACACATATCCCATCTTTGGGGTACACAGGACCTGGCGGCTTTTTGACAAGGTCTCCGGGTATAAATAAAGTGGGGGATCCACTGAATTCCAGAAGAACAGACTATTGAACATGACGCTTCCTCACAAACACCATGACGAAATCGCTGATGTAGGCTTCACTATCGTGCGAGGCTTCCTTACACCTGAAGAGGTGGAGACTTATAAGAAGGCATCTCTAGTAGTTGTTGAATATGCTAGAGAAGGTAACTGGCCTCATGTTCGTACCAGAGGTAAACAGTTTCCACCATGGCCTAAGAACTTTAGTCCTGATATTTGGGGAGTAACTGGTCTTTTGCACCCAGACTTGAAGGAGATGTCGAAACCTTTCCAGACATTATACTCAGATAGCCGTTTGTTGAACGTGGCGCTGGACATTTTGCAGACTCCCACAGACAACTTGTGTATGGAATTGTTCAATATGTTGATCAATCCACTTACTGATTTTGGTCTTGACTGGCACCGTGACTATATCAAGCCAGAAGCTCTGCCTGAACAAGAAGCTGAAGACTTGCTCACTGCTCCTTATGCTGGCACGCAATTTAACTTGGCATTGACCAACGATCTGTGTCTTATTGTGGTTCCTGGTTCTCACAAGAGAGTTAGAACCGAAGAGGAGAGAGAAAAAACCACTAACGACGACAGAAAAGAGTTCATTACGGGCCAGATCTCTGTTGATCTTAAGCCAGGCGATGTTGTTTTTTACAATAGTAACATTTTGCATCGTGCTTCGTACCTGGCTAAAGAGCTTCGTTTGACTTTGCATGGATCTTATGGACACTGTGACGAAGGTCACTTCCGTGCTAAAGGTGTACTTCAGCATGGTGTTGCTGACTGGTTGCCACGTTTCGAGCCAGTCAACGACAACATGACAATGTTAAAGGGTAAATTGACCAAATTGGCTGAACAGTTTAAGGGTACTGACTTGGGCTACTCCTTGGATGGCTAAGTACCATGCCTTCTATATTCATTTCCACCGTACATAAAGCACCACAATATATCACAATATGCTTGTACCATATAGAGAAACAGATTTTTTAGGTTTAATTCTCGGAATCTATAGCGAATAAGAAGGCTGGTAATACAATGAAGCCGTTTACGAAGTCCTAGTCTGACAAATCAGGTACGTCGCTTTCCGGTCAGAAGCTTAGAAGCCCTGATAAAACCCAACTTTCTAGAATTTTGGTTTTTACCATCCACTCCTTAACAATTACTCATAAACCAATTAATATAGTGTAGTGTCTAAACCTGGAATGCTGTGTAGGAGCATGACTGAGAGCATGCCAGATACATGTTCGTTTAGCTCGCTGGATCGGCTGCAAAACACAATGGTTGACACCCGTGCCTCCCGTGGGTAGGCATAGACCGAATGCATGGGAACTGTATCTCTCAGAATCTAATGGGTAATGAGCACCGAAAGCGGTACGAAGCCGGTATGTTTGAGTGGTGATTCTTATTATGTGACTTGGTGACTGTATGATTTTCCTAGGCCGTCGTGGATGTTGTATGAAACCGAGAACTTTGTCTCGGATCAACACCACCGACCGTGATCAACCCGAGACATCCTGACTCGGGGGATAAACATATGGATTGGATACGAAGCTTCTTGGGTTTATTGATTCACAAAGTAGTGGATTTATTTGCCATATCGCAAGTCACAAGATTCTAGTGTGGATGTTTATACTAACATACAGAAACGAAAGAAGATATCAAGAGCATGCAATCACTGCCACAAGGCACACATGACCTGTGATACGTCCAGGCCATGTAAGCGTTGTATCCAGCGAAATCTACAAGACACTTGTGAAGACGCTCCACGGAAACGGAAGAAGTACTTGGCAGATGTCCCAGCATCCATGATTAAGGCGCTGTCTGTTGATGATAGTAACACCTCTGTTCCTTCAACCCAACAGACTCCTTTTCCACAGCATACAAACCAGCAGCAACCCCAGAACCATCAAGTTCATCAGGCTACCATGTTCCAACACTCAGCATCTGTTCCAAATTACGTTCACCATAGACCTACGTTACTTTATAAGAGCATGAGTCAACGAGAGCCAATAAAAGAGGAGTCCCCGAGCTCCCTATTTTCAGACCAGCCTTATACGATGGACCAAAACTATCCAAGAAGCCGGGTAGGCAGTACAGACGATCAATGGCAACAAAACGCCCAATCACAAGACAATCAAAAACAAAGGAAGCCCACGAACTTTCTTTCTTCTGCCGCTGATCTCGAGTATTCCCAGCTTTCCAACATCCTTCAAGACAATTTCATGGGTCTCAACCCAAACCATCTGGCAACTTCCACCGAGGGAACACCCAATTCTGTCAATATATCGCCGGTGCTTTCGCCTCATGGAATGCTTCAAAAAAGCGTCACTTCCCCTTCATCTTTGGGTGCAAGCACATACAATGCAACTACAGCAGACTCCTCCACGCGACAGCCTTCTTCTCCGCATAAAAGACTATATCAAGATAACGAGTTTCCTCGTTGTGATGGCCGCATCAACCAATACTTTTTGGATCCCTCTGATGAACGTTCGACATTTCCCGATGTCATACAAGCAATTGAGGCTATGAGAGACTCAGATCCTTCTGTGTACTATGAACGCAACCAGAAACTGATGCTATCATTCACCATTGGTACGAACCCTGAAGACCTGTCAGGTCACATAATGGACGACAATGGGTTGCAATACCTGGAGCCTGAGAGCATCTATGCGACAGTGTCAAAGCCATTTTCGTATACTCCCGGGTTCCATAAGCTTATTGCATACTTACGAAGCCGGTTTCCAAAAGAAATGTTGGTCAAGATGGCTGAATCTATGGCTTCCTATCGACCATCTTTCATTGCATGTACAAACTCGCTACGAGAGGCTGATCTTATCTTTATGGAGCAGTGTTTCCAGCGTACCCTTTTAACTTATGACAACTTTATCAAAGTAAGTGGAACGCCTACAATCGTATGGCGAAGAACAGGAGAGATTGCCTATGTTGGAAGAGAATTCAGCATCCTCACAGGCTGGACTAAAGACCAACTTATGGGCCAGAAAATCAACTTTATTGTCGAACTTCTAGATGATAAGTCCGTTGTTGAGTACTTCCAGCTTTTCCTGAGAATCGCGTTTGGTGATTTCTTAGGTGCTACCATGACAGAGTGCACGCTTCTTACACCCAAACACGATGTGAAAATTAGAACTGGGTGTATTTGGACATTAAAGCGTGATGTGTTTGGTATCCCAATGATGGTTATCGGCAATTTCCTTCCAATAGTCTAATTTGGCTGCAAATTCAATCATGTGACTGATAACACGAGGAACGTAACAAGTTGTGAATATAGATAGTCGTTCCTGCGGCCAAAGTCTCGGTCTCCTGTACTGCCCCACGAAATCCCTGGCATATCCGAGTACCACAAGCTAAACATTGAACCATGGTCGACAAAACATCAGATGCGCTTACTGCAAAGCTCGTCATAACCGTGGCAATCATTTGCCTTGGTTCGCTTCAATTCGGCTACCATATGTCTGAGCTCAATTCTCCAGAGGCGATTTTGTCTTGCAAAGAATCGATCCCCCTTCTTACACCATATGAAGACTCTTTCTTCGGTCAGCGTGGATTTGTACGCTGTATTCCATTACAGCCCGAGCAATTTGGGCTTGTCACTTCGATCTTCAGTATCGGTGGTTTGCTTGGATCCTTTTACGTGGGATCGGTTGCTGATAGTATTGGCAGACGGAAGACGGCTTTAGTCCACTGCTGTATTTATTTCATTGGGTCCGCTCTCAATGGACTCAGTAATTCATACCATGCTTTGTTAGCTGGAAGATTTGTGGCTGGTATTGGCGCTGGTTCCGCCCTTGTTGTCACATCACTTGTCATTAACGAAATCGCCCCACCTCTGTACAAGGGGTTTTTGGGTTCCATGAATCAAGTGTCTGTGAACGTCGGTATTCTTTTCACGCAAGTGCTTGCCCTCAAGTGGAACAATGATAATGACTGGAGGTTCATCTTGTTCATGGCCGCTGCAATTGCTTTGGTTAACTTCTTCCTTGTCTTGAGCTACATGGAAGAATCGCCAATGTGGCTCGTGAACAATGGTATGTCCGATCAGGCATTTACTGTTTTACACAAATTGCGAGGCGGTGAATATGCTCTTGCCCGGAACGAAGTGAATAGTTGGAAGCAGGCTTCCGGAATCGAGGAAGAAGACGCCAACTTGTTAGCCGGAGAAGAAGAGCAAAGACCAACAAGCAAGTCGGCTGTTTCTTTGCGTGAATATTTGAAACTGTCAGAGTATAAGAATTCAAAGACGGTGGCTACTGGCATCTTGGTACTTCAGCAGTTTTGCGGAATCAACTCCATCATCTTTTATGGTGTTTCTGTTTTGATTTCCATCTTCCCAACTAAAGCTGTTATGATCAATTGCTTGATCTCGACTGTGAATGTCATCGTGACGTTTGCGTCCGCCCCTCTTGTTGACAAGTTGGGCAGAAAGCCTCTCCTTAAGACTTCAGTTACCTTTATGGGTATTGCCGCTGCCCTTCTTGGCTTTGGCATTCAAACAACTAACTCTCTTTTCTCGGTGGTCGGAACCTTTGTCTACATTGCATTCTTTGCAATTGGATTAGGACCTATCCCATTTTTATTGGTCGGAGAAGTGACCCAACCAAAGGCAAAAGCGCTGGCACAAAGTTTTGGTGTTACTATGAATTGGGTGGCCACTTTTGCGGTTGGTTACTTATTCCCCGTTCTTAGAAACTCGTGGCTTGGAGGTGGCACCTACTACATTTTCACCGCTATGTGTGCGGTGACATACATCTTTGTCAAAACATGTGTTCCCGAGACTAAGGGTAAGAACACTTATGAAGAAGTTTGGGGTATCCGTAACCAGTTGGAGTGAAATTGTTCAAGTCGCTTCAGTTACGCTGCTCTGGGCTCTCATGAATGGTTGCAAAACCTGTCTATACTAATGAAGCAATGACTTAGGAAGTGATGTAGACCAAGAATGACGTATTAGGTTACCATGAAATGACATTGTTAAATCGCATTCCTCTAAGTAACTCACAAAGCATCTATTACTTAGTTTTTATATGTTTCTACCGACCATCCAGCCAGCTTGACCTTGAGTATGACTGGCTTTGGTTGTCTCTTAGTGCTCACGTGCTCCCACTTAGGGCTTTGACCTAAAAATTGAGTATTTCGCACTGTTAAGTATGAGAAGTCTTGCACATAGAGCTACCAACAGAGCTACATGCCTGGAGGTCTGGGTGTCGCGGTTCCCTGGCAGCTGCGGGAGAAAAAATTTCAAGCTACTACCTTCAAACGTTTCTCCCTTCATCTGAGTTCTAATCTATCAGCAATGCCAACCAGATTAACCAAGACCAGAAAGCACAGAGGTCACGTTTCCGCCGGTAAAGGTAGAATCGGAAAGCACAGAAAGAATCCAGGTGGTCGTGGTATGGCCGGTGGTCAGCACCACCACAGAACCAACTTGGACAAGTACCATCCAGGTTACTTCGGTAAGGTTGGTATGAGATACTTCCACAAGCAGAGAAACCACTTCTGGAAGCCACAGCTCAACTTGGAGAAGTTGTGGTCTTTGGTTGAGGAGGAGAAGAGAGAGGAATACCTCAAGTCTGCCTCCGCTTCCTCTGCCCCAGTCATCGACACCTTGGCCCACGGCTACGGTAAGGTCTTGGGTAAGGGTCAGTTGCCAAACGTTCCAGTCATTGTCAAGGCCAGATTCGTTTCTAAGTTGGCTGAGGAGAAGATCAGAGCTGCTGGTGGTGTCGTTGAGTTGATTGCTTAAGTCTAGGGACTTTTTGCATTCTGTAATAGTCAAATAAAACTTTTCATGAAGAGAGTGAGTGGAGAGCTCGTCGTTGAGCTTCATCAGTAGAGTGAAGGAAGATAGTGAAGGAAAGATACAAGGATGAGAGGTCTGTAGTGAAGTGGCCTCTTGGAGAACAGCATTGAAGGCAGAGGGCAGTCTTAGTGAAGATATGCTGTTGAAATATTGTTGGAAGATGGGAAGATTGAACATGCTAGTCTGAAGGGCACCATAGACTTCGAAAGAACGATTTTGGCAGCTTTGAAACGTACTCTTACGTTTAAAGGCGGTGGTGAAAAATTATTCCGAAAAACTTTACATTGACCGTACTCGGGGTGCTTCAATGGAAGTGTTGAATATTTTAACAATTCAGCCAGAAGACAGAAGTTGGCACTCGTAGCACCATGCTTTTTGAATTGCCATGCCTTTGGTCCTCAATAAGATGGTGCTCTGTCTTCAGCTGTCAATAGTGACTACCGCCTCATTATCTTACTTACCATACCCAATTTCGCAGCCATGTAAAGACCAGACACCTCTAACACAAGAACTAGTACATGAAAATGCTTAAAAAGACTGAAGATAAACCGAAGACCAACCCTTTAAATCTTTAGAAGGAAAACAGTTTATTTCTTTCTTCATCTCTCATGCCATCTCTCTCACTGAGGTGGCTCGCCTTATCGACTCCATGGGGTCCCACAAGTGCGCCCTTAAATCCACCAGCAAGCTCAAAAACTATCTTTATTCCAAAAGTCAAGAATTAATAGGCCCTTCTAGGACCCTTAAATACCCTAATTCCCCATTTCCACCTCTACCTATCTCTACCTGGAACTCATCGGTTATGGCATTATCGGAGCGCTACGTACACTCCCCATGTTTATGATTTGGGCAGAGAAAAACTTCACACAAATACTAACCTTCCCACTGGTTATCCGGCAGTCTTTCCACAAGTGGGCCAATATTCATCAAAACAAATAATTTTTACTCCATGCCCCAGATGACTGAGCCCTTGTGGACTCCCGAGGCAGCCGTGCCTGAAAAGCTCCACCATCTTTTGACTAGTAAATCTAGACTCAACAGCATGCTTGCATTCACCCAGATCGTCAGGCTCTTGAAGACACAACCCCGTACTGGCTGGGTTGACCGTGGTGTCCCAGTTGCCAAGACTGAGTCCATCGCTGACCACATGTATAGAATGTCCATCATCGCCATGACGATTCCAAACAAGGAAATCAATGTTGACCGTTGTGTAAAGATCGCTTTGGTCCATGACATTGCCGAGTCTTTGGTGGGAGACATTACGCCATTCGGCGGCGTCACCAAGCAGGAGAAGCACCGCAGGGAGCTGGATACCATCGACTACTTGGTGAAGGTCGTTTCACCTTACAACAGCGATTTCGCCAAAGAGATGAAAGAGTTGTGGCTTGAGTACGAGGAGATCCGTACTCCTGAGGCCGTTTACGTCAAGGATATCGATAAGTTTGAGATGATCCAGCAAGCTTGGGATTACGAACAGGACTATGGCTTGACATATGACTTGAACGAGTTCTACAACTCGAGATCAGCCATCAAAACCCCAGAGATCGGTGAGCTTTGTGATGAGTTGATTAGACAACGTACTGAATTTGTGGAACAGCAAAAGCAACTCCAACAAAAATAAGCATCTCCATTCATAGCATTTAGTGATTGTACTTTAATACAGCTTCCGTGACTGGTTGCAAAAATGGTGTGTACGGTGTAGTCTCTGCGCATATATATGTTGCACCATCTCTAATCTTGCCACTATAGACATATGACCCAAGAGGCAATAAGCAAGGGCCATGAAGAGGAAAAGCCTGTTTTTGGCTCCTCTGGAAGGAAGATCATCTACGACAAGGACGGTAAACCGTATGTATGAGAGTTACTCATCTGCTTAATAAGCCACTAACCTTTAGCTGTCGAAGCTGTAACAGTCTATTAGACTTTCAATTTGCTACCGGAGGAATGAAAGCACCTAAAGTTGCTGCTCCAGAGAAGCCGCAAGAGTCTGCTACAACCACAAGCACAGGTACAAGCTCGGGTTCCAAACCTGCTTACGCTAAAGTTGAGCCACCAGATGTGGAAGTATTAGGACGCTCTTCATGGACTCTTCTCCATTCAATCGCTGCTACGTACCCTGAAACGCCTTCCAATAAGCAACAAGCCGATATGAAACAGTTCCTTAAGTTGTTTGGCAACTTCTACCCATGCTGGTTCTGCGCTGATGACTTTGAGAAGTATATGGCCAAAAAGGAGCCTGTGACTGACACTCAGGACAATTTAGGCCGCTGGCTCTGTGATGCCCATAATGAAGTAAACGAGAAGCTCGGGAAGCCAAAGTTTGACTGTAATTTATGGAAGAAGAGGTGGAAAGATGGTTGGGAGTGATGTACATAGACCCTATATTTGTAAATAGTCGAGACGAATGAAAGTCTCTGAAAAGTATAATTGACTTCTAAGCACTTAGTAGACAGACTTGATCCACTCGGTCAATTCGGCTTCTGACTTGCCAACGTCTGCGGGAATGAATCTATCCGCCACCATCTGTTTTTTCAACAACACCACAGTCGGTATCTTTGAAACAGCATACGACTGTTGTAACTCTCTACCGCCTGGTCCGTCACAGGCAATGTTTGCAAGCGACACCAGCTTATCAACGCTCAATGGGTACTTTGACTTGTCACTGAGAACGTCAAACAAAGACTGCGTGAGCTTATTGCACTTTTCGTCACCTGGCATAGTGAAGTTGAGTAATAAAGGTTCTTTTGTCAAAATAACATTGCCCAATTCTGTTTGGTTTTCAATGTATGTGGGGAAGAGTCTATTCTTGGTGGTGATCTGGTCCGGGTTGGGAGGATATATGAGTTTCTTGTTAAACTGAGACAAGAAACCAAATAAGAAGGTCCTCACAGGAAGAACGAAAGCAGCCTTATTGGCGACTAAAGCTGGACGTAAAGCAGGCAGAAACATCGTCTGGAATAGAAGTAGTTGATATCGAAGGCGTGGGTGCAAAATGCGCGGCTCAATGTAGTTGCGGTTTGACAGGCTTGGGTCAGGCAAAGGCAGATATGATGCTTTTTTTTTTTTTTTTTTTTTGTTGAATTCAATTAAATGGAAAGCTCTATACATGTATATATCTGAAAGAGAAAAACCATCTATTATTCAGATCTTCCTCGTTTGACAAAGTCGTGTGAACCCTAATGGTCCCCCCGAAATGCCACTGGAGTAGGATCCGCCATCATAAAGATAGTATTGTAGCTGTCATCGTCCCATGGGTGGAATCCGCTTGAGGGCTGCTGTAAGCTCGGCTTGCAGAAGTGGCTCAAGCGCAGAGGCATCCCGACTCCGGTTGTACCGTTGTCGATAAGTGATGCGAACCACCTTAAAAAACCAATTTAATTGGCGAAGGTTATGGAATGACATATCTGTCGGTGCTAACATAGCTTCAAGGGCCATCGGCTTCGTGCCCTGTAATTCTTTCCACCAAAACTTGGCGGTTTCACATTGTGAATAAATATGAAATTGGTGTAACCTCTCTGGAAGTGATTGTAAGCAAAAGTGACATCTCATGGTTTTGTCACTGGAGCGAGGAAATTGTAAAGGAACATAGGATCCAAAGTTGAATAAGTGTACTGCGGAGAAGTCGTTGTGATGGAGCCATTCCTGTTTGTATAGCTTCCGCCAAAACTTCTTCCAACGAGTGTAATTCTGAGAGGCAAGACAAATGTCCGTAAGGTGATCCGGAATGATGGGGCCACCTTTTTGATGCTCCTGTCTGCTCAAAGACGTAAATTGGTTCTTGAGACAAGCGTTCTGCTCTCCTGTAGAAATCACCGGCTGTCGGCGAAGAGAGGCACGTAGGGAACCATCATGGTTAGGTTCGCTGGTGAATAGGCTGTTTCCTACGTAAGATCGGGTGCGTCGGACCACCTTCTGCCACGCCCGTAAGTACCCTATCTCACTGTCCGAAAATGTCCAATGTAAGTGTTGATAAAAGATATCCGATTGCTCGAATAAGAAGTCCGCTGGGTCTAGGGAGGTGACCAACAGAATATCAACATGCTCTTGTTGCAAAATGATTTTTGCCATATGATGCTTTAGCTTGAGTCGGAGATATTGCACATACCAAGTGTGTTTATCCTCGAGGATGGCAGCTAAGACTGCTGCTCTGTGGCCTTGAAGTTGTATCTTCATCTCAATGAGACCAAAACCTCCATTCTTCGGGTTGGCGTGCAATTTGGACGCCGAGATTCCCGGGAAAAAGTCTTCGATCGCTTTGTCCATTGAAGTAAGCTCAGACCGTGACATACAGTGTACTAGGTCCTTATAGACTGCTTTAGAACTGATAAATATGTTCGAACCGAGAGCCCTAGTGATGAGGTTAAGGCTCATGTATCCTTGGAGTCTGCTAGCATCTCGTAGCTTGCTTATGAGCGTTGACCACTGAGTGCCAGTGATCGCGAAGCCAAGATACTTAGTATCATTATGATACACTGAGGTCTTGGAAAATGGTAGGATGTTGGATTCGAGCTGGGGGTAATTTCTGTGGAATCCAATGAGTTTGGATTTGCTATGATTGAGGCGACTATTGCTGGCCGTCTCAAATTGCGCAATTATACCATGACATCTCCTATAATCTCTGAGCGAATTGAGATAAATGTTCACATCGTCGGCAAAAGCATGATAGTGGATGGTTTCCAAGTAACAGCCTTTGAAACTTAATTCAAGCCCTTCCAAAGTCTCAAGTTGACGTAGAAAGGGTTCAAGCGCAATGTTGAAAATTAAAGGCGAAAGAGGGTTGCCTTGGCGAGTTCCACAGCGAAGGGGGAACGGGCGTCCATCAATATTGTTTATGCGTACGTAGGCCTCCTGACCTTCAAGGATCAGCATGATAAAATTTATCATGTATTTGCCTAGCCGCATCTTCTGCAAAACAGTCCGAATGTAAACATGTGAGATCCTATCGAAAGCTTTTGTGAAATCAGCCATGAGGATCGCTTTCGGTGAAATTTCTCTCGTCAGAGGCAGCCTCTGTTGAATCAAAGGTATCATTGAGAAGAACTCCATAGTGTTGCTATGGATGTTCCTCAGCATGCTTAAAGTGTTCTGGTAGAGAAATTGACGCTGTTATCGTGAATATTCAAGTATATTTAAGGTATTATGAAACTTTTTTGTTATTAAAAGGATTTCTTGAATTTATGATTTCACTTTGTTTAATAGGAATGATTCTGTTTTGGCTGCGAAACGGTGAAGTACCGAGAGATTGTAAATACTTAGTAGACTAATGGAAATACTCAAATTCAAATAACTACAAAATAAAAGATCACATTCGAGAAGGCGAACTTTCGAATACTGGATAATATTGAGATCAATGCAAGTAATACAATGGTCTAGTAATGGTCACTATTCAGTGTGTTGATGGTGGTGGCAGAAGACGAGAAGATATCGCCTTTAAAACACATCTAATTACAGAAATCCAATCAGGCAAACAAACATATTACTAAACGATAGGATTATTCTATAAGTATCTAAGTGTTATTAAACGAGAATCACAGATTCTTGAATTTCGAGTATTGTTAGGTTGCAAAACCACGGAACCTGTCAACGATGGACACTATCCCACCACATCTCAACAGCCAATGCTCACCGTAACTTCAACTGAAGCCCATAAAACCTATCAAGGGCAATTTATAGCCCCTAGAAGGCTAATACACTGACTTCGTCAGATTTACCACATTTTGCAACCATTGCTAATGGCCCTACCAAGTCCACTGAAGACATCAAGTACCAGCCCTCAACCCAAAACTCTAAGGGCAGTTTCCACAGCTGCAAATGTACCTGCACTGCATGGCACAGCACGAACCAAACAAGGCCCAAGTCCCTTCCAGAACCCTCTAGCGCCCGCAGTGGCCCATATCTCCCGCGCAGCCTTCAACGCCAGACCCTGGAACCGAGACTCAGGACCAAACTTATCGCTCTGAACATTACTCTTAATCACATCCAATGGGTAACTCGATAACCATAACGCATTACCGGCAGCAGCACCACACGCCAAAAGCTCAGGCGTTGAAACGTCTTCTCTACCTTTATACCCTCTCAGCTGAATAACTGTCTGGAGAAGCCATTCGTAACTCATAAACCACACACCATAAGCCTGACACTCACGAACCACAGTTACGCCCAATCCACGGTAGAGGCCGCGTACGCCCTGGTTGCCCCAAATGGCGCGCACGGTTTCCTGGAGAGAGGTGGACTTGGTGGAAGCTTGACTGAGGATTCTGAGCTGCTCTACTGGCGCGGTGACTGGGGAATTGACTAGACCTGCTGCCGCACCAGCCAAGTATGTTTGAGGCCAGAGCAGGAGCTCCAGTTTGCCAGAGTACTTGAGCAACTGACGCTTTGACTCGAGGAAACCGTAGAATTGAAGGGATACACATGCTCCCACACCGAAAAGAGGGCCAAAGTGCCTTTGTAGAATGCCAATGGGCCTTCTTTTTGGATGACTTGCTTCACGATGCTGGTAGTGGTGGCTCCGCTGGGGCTCGTCTGAAGCCTGATCTTCACCAAGTCGAAGGGCTGCCCTATAAGGACCTGTGTGGCGCCACCCACAAAACCGGCAGCAATGTCCTTGACTTTTCTGCTAAGCGATTCGTCGACTGACATAAAGAGATGTGTGGTTTATAAGGTTTCTGGTTCCTTAGAGCAAACGGCTTTTGCAACTGTGATTGACTAAGCGCACGTGACGCTTGGCTCGCAAAATGGCTGCAAAATCCAATGAACAATAGGACCATGGCTGAGGAAGGTTTAGGTACTTACATTAGATCCGTTCCTAAATTTATCATACAAGTACGTATCTGCTTCAAAGAAGCTTTTATTTATCGTTCAAGAGACCGCCAATCGACATGGTGCGGCGACTGCGTTCGGCTGGTTCTTGGAATGCACTGGTGAAGTCCACCGCCAATGCTGGCTTCTTTGCTTCTTTCTTGACTTCTTTCTTCACTACAGGCTCCACAGGTAACGGCTTCTCAAGCACTGGAGGTGTGCGAGGAACGTTTTGTGGATTCTGTATGGAGGGTAAAGTGATATTCTCACGCTGACCATCGAATGATGCATAAGCAGATGGAAGCGATGCCCCAGGAAGTGGAACCAGACCATTGTATAGATGCCGAGAAACAGGTGGAATTGAAGGCTGCGATTGCCCTTGCAAGTAACCTGCTTGGCCTTGGTGGTGATTCGGAGATAACGGCTGCAGAGTGCCCGAAGGGTACGCTACAGAAGCTGGGGCTGGAGGAACAGGAGCAGGAGCCGAAATAGGTGGAGGTCCTTGGGCAGGGGGTCCCGCTTGAGGAAGCGAAACATGCGATTGCTGGGGGAGATGCTGAGAAGGTGGAGCCTGAACCATATGGGAGGCACCACCTGGAAATGCTGGGTAGTACATGGGCATCGCCTGAGCCGAGTGGTAGACGACTTGTGGAGGCGGAGGCCCAGGCATAGGTCCTGGTCCGTTCGGAATTCTGCCCTGACCAGAGTAAGGGAGGTAGTAGGAGGGCACGAACGGATGGACAGGAGTATTGGTACCGTTTGACGCTACTGGAGTATGCGAGGGTGTAACGGTGGTATTGGTGCCTTGAGCAGCTGGAGGCAGTGGGATCGGTAGCGGTGAAGAGTGATCTTTCGACTCAGTCTTGGCAGCCTTTTTATCAACTTTAGGGGTATTACCCTCAAAGTTACGTTTTCTGCGCTTGATGGTGCTGCGCTTCATTTTTATAGGTCTATGAGAACCGTGCAAACGGTAGTAGAGCCCGCAGGCGTTGCAAATAGTGTTTCCGGCATCGTCTCTTCTCCAGAGGGGAGTGATGGTTGAAGAACAGTTGAAGCAGGCAACAGCCAAGGAGTCCTCTTCCTCGGACAGTTTGCTCTTGGCGGCGAGTTCTTTCTCCTCTTCTTTTGCCTTGCGTTCTTCGTTCTGGCGAAGAACCACTCTATTATTGTAAGCTGGGCAGCCCTTGCACACGGCAGAGCCACCTGTTCCGTTACAAGAACCATCACCTTTACAGGACCCTTCGGTTTCCTTGACGGTAACAGTATTGGGTGGTCTTTTGAGATTCACCGGGCGATGATGCTTATTGGAACGTAGATAAAGGCCACAAGCGTTACATATGAGTGTGCCATTTGGAGCTCTTCTCCATAAAGGGGTCTTGGTGGTGCCACAGTTGGAACACAGCTGACCGGCGGACTTTTCGTCTTCCGATACGGTGGTTCTCGGGCAGACCTCGTCGATTTCAGTTTTGATGGCCGGCGGTTGCGGCGACGGTATAGCTGACATGGTATTTCAGCAAGGTAGGTCAGTGATGGAGGAAGCCAGCATGAAAAGAAGCAGGCGAGGTTAATGAATGGGAAGTAGCGAAGCGGATGATCTGAGATATGGACCGATGGGATGAAAGTCAGTGATGTGGAAGGTACTGATAGCTCTAGGGCGGTGATGTAAAAAAGGAAGTTTTTTCTAATAAGTTATAAGTCAAGGCCTGATGGAGGTCTTCGAGAAGTGGTAGGGGAAGAAAAAAAAAAAAAAAGCCGGTGAGGGTGGGGCAGACGAGGCAAGTATTATATTGGATGGGGAAAAAGCAGGCCGATACTGCGACCTGTTGCGAGACACTGGAGAGCGTTAGTAATGCGACAAGCACAAGACACAACAGAGACAGGAAGAGCAGGCGAAGGAACCAAGCAAAAAAAAAAAAAAAAAACAACAAAAACAACAATAAGATTAAAGAAAAGGCATAGGAATCCTCCAATAGAAGGAATGTAAAGACTACCAAAAAGTGTCCCCAGTGAAGTGTGGCCAACGAGGGGACACGTATAATAAGGTGTGCAAAAAAGTCACGGCAAGCGGGATAGAGGCCGATCGCACCCATCGGTAGTGGAAATACGGCGAGCACACAGGCAGGTAGGCAAGCAGGCAGGCAGGCAGGCAGCTTGTCTGCCCTCCCACGATAACGTAACGGCATTGACCCAGCACAGAAGGCGCCATTAGACGGTGCAGGGGAGGCAAAATAAGCATTGTTGCCGCGGCGTCAGCAGTTGACAGGCCCAGAGCCAATGAGCGCGCGGACGAATGTCAGCTTTTTGGGAGTCTGAGCAGGCAAAGCCAAAAAAAAAAAAGAAATGCATGGTGGGAAAAAAGAAGCAGCGAAGGTGATGTAGAGACAGAAGGAGAGACAAGGGTGGGAGAGGTGGAACAGGTAGGTCAGGTGAAGAAGATGACAATGGGGAATGTAAAATAATATATTGTGGAATGGGGAAAAAACGGAACGGGACTGGCTGGAGAAGACGGTTAAGAGGTCGGCACCGATTGGCCGGTGTAGGGCGTACTTGAGAATTGTCTCGAGGCCAGAAGAAAACGAAACAAAGCGGCGAGGCAGGACAGGAACTCGGCCAGAATTACGGCGAGACTTGCCCCAAAAAAAAAAGAAGAACAAGTCCAAACGTTAAAGGTTAATTTACATCGGGATAAGCTCGGAAGGGAGGCCTCGGAACACGGGATTGGCTGCGCAGGTTACATTGACTTGTACTATTGCTCCAGTGATAATGGGGGGACGGAGGAATTACTAGAGTGGGTAGTTGTTCCAGGGAGCCCCAGATTCGCGGGAAGGTATTTTTTTTTTGTATGCCATGTACCTACTGACAATTTTGGCGAGCCGACTCAAGTGAGGGTTTCTTGGTGCGGCTGCTCGGGACTCGGATCGGGCTGGCGCACACATGTCCGGAAGGATGGTTAGAGGAAGGGTTACGACCGAACGGTAGGTGGCAAGAAGATATAGGGGATGATGGTGGCCCACGAGGTAGGGTTTGGGCCGTCTTTTTTTTTTTTTGTGGGAAACAAGGGGCATCTCCTTTTTTTCCTTTTCCTTTTTTTGTGCTTTGTCTGGCCACTGGGCTCGACGAAATAGGCTCTGCGCAAATTTCTTGGTTTTCGCTTGGCTTATCTATTTCATCTGTTGGCCCTTTACCGCCAATGTCATTGGACCTTTAAGAAGGCTTCTGGGCTTTTGACCGGCACCCGGCATTGTCTGCAAGTCAACCTTAACCGGACGACCTTGCCAATGCCTGTGATGTGAGTGGTGCTTCAGAACACCTGTGGCCTTGGCATCTTTCTTTGTGAGATCGGATGCACCCGGCTTCATGTTTCAGTGGGAGTTTTTATTTTTTTTTCCTTTTTATCTTTTTCATCTGCCAAGCCGATGAGAAGTGTAGGATGCATCGAGGTAAAATCTGTAGATCGTTTGTTTGGTGGGGTCTTGAACGACGGCTCTCATATGACGACATCCCGGGAGCATGAGGCTGCCATTTGAGGGTAGCAGCGTATTTGAAATTTGCTATAAATGAAACAGCCCATTTCTGTTATTTGGTTGCTTCATGAAAGAACTGGCCAGTGTCGGCATTATCGCAAGAATCAAATTCCGCCTAGACGGTGTATTCCGTAAGGCATTTCGTTTAGAAGCGTACCTGATTGGCTCAGTAAAACCTAATTCGTTGCCCATTGGGGCTGTTTGGCAATTCCAATGAGCATGCTTTAACCTTTTCGGCCATTCCCGTCTTTGAAGTGAATCCACATGCTAAAGGCTAAACGAATGGAAGGGTAATGTGCTCGCTTGGCAGTATTCTGCTCTCCACTCTTCCAGAAGCTGATGGTACCCATTACCGATGTCAGCTTAGTGTTCTCAAAAGACAACGACTTCCTGGCTTTCTGGAGCTTCCAGAGCTCTCCAGGCATCCAGTAGAGCTAGTTTAGAAGGGTGGGCCTCTCATCATTCATGTAAAACCGTCGTCATGGAGAATGAGACGATTCAGTCCTCCACTTCTTGTAATGTACTCCCCCAACCAGTTCCGGAGATTTCCACTTCACTACCTACTCGAGCGATTCCTGCCAGCCTTTCTGGGCTTGATAAATAACTCGTTCACTTGGCTTGCATTAGAGGAACGGCTTTAAACGAGCAAATTTAGGGCTCTTCACGAAAAGCCTGAAGCTAGATACTGACTAAAAACGCTCAAACTGAGCATCGTAGAGCCGCCTCATACAAAGGAAAAAATTGGACCAGAACCTTGAGTTTAATATTTTTTAATTGATAACACCATCTGGAGCAATATTTGCTCAATGCGGTTGATGGATCAGTAGCTGTGCTAACACCGCACAACCTTTGGAATTTAGAACTTCGAAATCATTAAGAGATCTCACAAAGTCACACAATCCTCAATAAAATATCCTTTGACTACTTTTTTGACATCTTTGTTCCAATCGTATGTCTTCCCATTCAAGTCAAAATGCACGCTACAACCGATCCATCGTTATGCGGGTGAAGCCGTTTCTCTGCAGCATGGCGTTAAGAGCCTTGACTTTTATACTCTTCGATACATCAGATCTATAAAATGCTCAAAGGTGAAAGTAGACAAATGTGCTCAAGTGTCCCACTTTGGTTCAATAAAAGTGCTCAGACCGCCTTGGATCCTTTTCTGCTCGTTTGCACCAACCGTTTATTGAGCAGGATGGTTGGTATAAAGATGGTAGGATGCCCAAGCATCGAGGAATAGTCAAATTCCAATGACAAAGACAGAGCCAAGGGATACCAGTAGTACTGGATCAAGTAGCTCGAGGATTTCTCTTAATGAGAAGGCAGTTGAGTCCGAAACTGAGGTCAAACACGAGCTGAGTTCTGTTGTTCATGAGGAAACCAGTCCTGTTAAACGAGTGGATGCAAAAGCAGAGGTTATCAAGGATAGAGGTGTTTACCGAGTGGAAGCACTCAAAAAAGTGCTATACTCTCACGAAAAAGGTCTTCAAATGAGAATCATTCTTGGTGTTTCTCTTCTTCTTTGTGCTTGGGCATCGTCCTTGGATACTTCGGTCACCATGAGTTTGCAGCCATGGGCAACCTCTGCATTTCAACAACATTCAATGGGTATAGGAACGATAAGTATTGCCAGCCAGATTATTAGTGCTATATCAAAACCTGTGTGGGCAAGGACGGCTAATATCATTTCACGCCCTACAACGTATTTGTTCTCCATGGCCTTTTACGTTGTTGGCTATATCATTGTTGCTTCCAGTCACACCATATCTGCTTATATTGTTGGTTCAGCATTTTCTGCAGCCGGAAGCTCGGGAGTGAATTTCTTAACGCTGACCATTGTCGCTGATTTGACCACATTGAAGTGGAGAGCTTTAGCCGCTGGTATGTTGAATACACCTTTTATTATCAACACATGGTACGCTGGATATATTGTTCTGGACTTAGGACCTTCACGTTGGAGATGGGGCTACGGAATGTTCTGTATTATCATGCCAGTGGTTCTTTCTCCTGCTATTATCATTATGTTTGTCTTTGAGAGTAGAGCCCAAAAGTATCTCGAAGAAGAAACGGTTACCGAGTACAAGCAAGGTGTGGGTTTTAAGAAGAACTGGAAGAAGCTTATTTGGAGAGTGTTAGTTGAAGTGGATGCTCTTGGATTAATTCTTCTAGGATTTGCATTTGCGTTGCTTTTATTACCCTTCTCTTTGTACAGAGAAGCCGAAGGTCAATGGAGAAACCCTAGTATGATAGCGATGCTTTGTGTCGGAGGAGTCTTGATCATTCTTTTCATTATTTACGAAGTTGTCTTAGCTCCGTTCCCCATTGTACCCAGAAAGTGTCTTAACAAAACTCTTATTGCTGCCGTGGTGTCCAGCTTTATTTCCTTGGTCGGCGGAATGCTTCCTCTCATCTACTTAACGTCTTACCTGCTTATCGTTAAAGAATGGAGTCTCAAAGACTGGACATACTTTAACAATACTTTTACTTTGGCTTCGAGTATATTTGGTGTTGTGGCTGGTATTTGCATGAAGTTGACCCACAGACATAAGATCTACCAATACTTTTCTATGCTTGTTGCCACAATTGGCTATGGAATCATGATTGAAGGAAACTTGGCAACCACAGACACAGCAAAGTTGGTCATATCACAAATACTTAATGGTATGGCTGCAAGTTTTGGTCTAGCCGCATCGAGTGTTGCATTACAAGCATCCATTCCACATAGAGATTTGGCGATTTCGATGTCTATTTTGTCGCTTTTCTCCTCCATCGGATCTTCAGTGGGTGCTGCAATTTCGTCTGCAATTTGGCAGGGCAAGATGGTCGACGCTTTAAGGAAGAACATGCCGCCTTACATCTCTGACGAAGATGTTATGCTGTTCTTCAGCAATCTTGGGGCTTTGAAAATGTTTGAACCTTCTACTGAAATCAGACAGGGAGCCATTATGGCATACAGAGAGGTATTTTTCTACTTCTACCCCATAGCGCTTGGTCTCCAAGTGGTTAATTTCGTCGCTGTGACTCTCCAAAGAAACTACTACCTTGGAGACTCCCACAATGCCGTGGAAGACGAAGATGGAAATTCAATTCCTGCTGAAGAGCAGATTATCGACAAAACATCAACAAAGAGAAAAATCAACTGGAAACACATGTTGATGGGAATTGAAGACTGGCCGGAGGAGCCAAGCAGACCTTCGGGCAATAAATAAGAAATAGACTTTACCAGGAATTAGAACGTTTCCAATTCGGCGAGTGGCTGAAGTGTAGTTTGAAAGATTGGAATGTAAGATAAGCTTTTGGGTGTTCCATGGCTGGCCGACCGTAGGCCGTTTCCAGATGTCCATTGAAAATGTTCAGCCCTTAACGGTGAACCCGAACGGTGAACCCTTACTTCGCCTCTACTACATCTTACCTCTCCAAGCCTCCCCAACTCATGCCACTACACGGTATCTTCCGTAACGCTCCGTAGTGAGACACTGGCTGCGAAAAAAAAGTACCACAACAATGGCACCATCTACCCGAGACAACAACAACCGAACCGTCTGTATCCATCACTTCCCCTTAAAGTTTAAGCAAAAACCCACGTCGAAAACCCAAATCCGAAAGCCAAAATCAAAACAAACACACCTCCCCACCTTAACCTCCCAGGCCAGACCATTTGCATCCCAATTAGCCCGCCCTGAATATCTCCCTTTCGAGCCAGTTTCGCGATTCCCGCCATGTTTCCAGTGTCCCTATCTCCCCCAGACCAAACATGCCCTCGCCAGAGCACAAAACGCAGCGTCTAAAAAAGTGCTCAACTGCCTGTTTAGGCAAAACTCCAATCGTCAACCCAGATATACCCACGAAACAATCAGAATCTTCCTGACAATCATTCCTCCCACAGTACAAAGACGTTCTATTATTGATCAATTCGTTCTACTGTAAGTTCTAGTCCCTCCATCTGTTTACCTTCTCGCTGCCGAACGAGCCGCCGCGAAGTCTAATTTATGCAAATAGTCAGACAACTATGGCCTGTCTTTAGACTATCGTTTAAAACAGCAGGTAAAGGGCTGCAAAAGAGAACCTCGAAACTGCTTCAGCCTCGAATTTTCTTTCTTTTTCCCCGCCGCTGTTCCTTTTTTTTGCCTAATCCTGGTACTTTTTCTCCCTATACGTTTTCTTCTTTTATTTACTTTCTTCCTATTTATCCCACTTTCTGGCTCTATCTGTCTGGGCCCAGTAGGCCTTACTTTTTTTTTTTTGTTTTTTTCGCGCGGTGCACTAGCCCTCTCTCGTTCAGTCGTCATAGCTTTGCATCCCCCCAACAATCGAGGCACACTGGCCAAACTGGTAAAAGGGCAGTTCAAAACAACGAAAAAGGGGAAATCGGTGGATATGGAATTTTAGGAAAAAACGAAAACACTCGGCCTACCGTCTTTTTATATTTAATACCTTGCAAGAATATTTTCTGTTTCTTCCTCTTCCTCTTCGTCTTCTTCACTGTCCATCACTCCTTCGTCTGCGCGTTGTTTACGTCGCGTTCAAAACATTGCCGGCACCAAAACACACCTCCCCGTAATTAATTCCCCTGTCGCACATAACCGCCTGGTTCGCTCCTGCCTACACCTTGTTGTCATCTCAACTTTAGTCAAGCTCAAGCTCAAGCTCCCATCTTCCTATCAGTCCTTCGTCCTTCTAGCGCCTCCCCCATGAACCCGGCGCAAGGCACCCCCAAGCAAAAGCGCCGAGGGAAGCCTTCCCTTCGTCTGAACAGACACAGTCATGTCCAGCCTCCTGACCTTGATTACTTTTCCAATGACCATTTCTCCAGATCCTTTAATTCGTTGATATTGGACGATATCCATGACGACCTCAAACCAAAACGTCCAATCAACAAGTCTCCTCCGTTCAATGTCAAGCACGAGGTGGGCTCTGGCGAGGTTGACGATGACATTGGAAGCTTTACCGATGAAGATGAAGAAGATGAACAGGATGATGGCGAATTACATCAATCTCATGTTTCCGATTCCGATAGAACTGCTACGGTCACCATCGACGATGCTTCCACTGCAACTCCAAAATCTGGCAGCAAACCATTGTTGAAACGTTCCTCCAAGTACTTCAACTTATCGATCGACTCCAACTTTGATCCTCGCCTGTCACCAGCATTAGACAAGTCAACGCCTTTCAATAAGTTTAAACGTCCTCATAAACTCGTCAGCCAGTCTCCATCACCCCAACATACCAGCAAATTCCCACAGGAGGGTGATACGCCGTCAAGAACGGACTTGAAGTCCCACAAATTGTTCAAAAATGGAAACAAGATTCGTGTTCGTTCCCCATTAAAGTTTTCTGCAACCCCTTCTAGTGCCTCCCTTCTGCTCCATCATCTAGCAAGGATATTTATTTGAAAGCGCTTCTCAAGAGCCCGAATCCAAATTTCAAGTGTTCCTCGCCCATCTTTGGTGGATACGACCCATACAACGCTGAAGATGAATCGCCACTGAGGAACAAGAGATATCAGTCCAATGCTAGCGTACCTATCTACAATGACGACGTCAGAGAGATCTCAGCCAGCAGGAAGAAAACACAGAGCACACCGAATATTGCATCAAATGATAAGGAGAACCAACAGGGCTCCCTAAAATCGTCATACAAGTTCGTTAAACCTTTGCAAACAGCATTTAGATCTACGGGTCTCATGAAGAAAAACTCAATGCCAAGTTCCAATAGCAAACTACCGCCTGAAACGCCAATGAAGAGAAATCCGCTTACTTTATTGAACAAGGAAAACAATAGTACGAATGAAACGGTCGACTCCATTATGAGTCATGACCATTCAATTGAGGTAGGAAGGAATGCTGTTATGTCTACCGCCAACGACTCGTCGTCCTCGTTCTTCCACATTGCATCGTCTACAGAACCGAAAAAGTCCTTCAGTCTTGACGTTGACCTATACAACGACTTTGATTTGGATGATTCTGTCCCTGAGACCCCAACAAAATCAAGCAGCAGAAATAAAACGCTATGGGCCCTCCGGACGAAATCACCCAAGCACCAATCCGTTCAGCATGTTCAAAACAACGACCACAATGAGCCATGCACGCCAGTTCTGAACTTCCCTTCACATTCTGTTGCATCTTCGCAGGCTACGATCAATCTTCCAAGTGGATTGGTTGACAATTCACACCACGACCTGACGCTCACGATATTACCAAGTAACCGGGCAGGTGAAAGCGGTTTTGATGGAAATAGCACTGACCAGTTGGACGAGCATCTAATAGGAAAATTTGGCCTCAAGAACATCAATCATATTGGTACCGGACAGTTTTCTGTTGCGTTTAAATGCAAATTCCAGAACGAAAGGTTTGCAATTAAGCGTACCAAGAAGCCTGTGATGGGAAAACTTGAGAGGGATGCGATCCATAGAGAAGTTGATGCATTGAGATCTCTTACGGCAATTGATGACGAAACGGAGGTCGAAGAAGGAAAACAGCATTTGGTTTTATTTGTTGAAGCATGGAGCTTTAATAACTATTACTACATCATGACAGAATTTTGTGAAGGAGGCACGTTACAGGCTTTTCTCGATGAACACAAGAATTACAAAGTGGACGAATTCCGGGTGTGGAAGATATTGATAGAGATCATGTCGGGCCTCAAGTTCATTCACCTGAAGAATTTTTTGCATCTTGACTTGAAACCAGCCAATATTTTCATTACTTTCGAAGGATGTCTCAAGATTGGCGATTTTGGGCTTGCAACCAAGCTACCGATCTTGGAGAAAGATTTTGACCTTGAAGGTGACAGAAATTACATTGCTCCAGAACTCATCAACGATAAGATTTATACCCCATTTGCAGACATCTTCAGCGTTGGTCTCATAATCTTAGAGATTGCAACCAATATCATATTGCCAGGAAATGGAACGCCGTGGAGGAAACTAAGGAGTGGTGATTTAAGCGACGCTGGAAAGTTATCAAGCGATAACATAAGCGATTTCTTGAACCACAACAACTTCTCATCCCTAACATCATACACTTCGTCGCTGAATTCTCTACAAGTACCTCCATCAGGACATCATCCAACTTCCTATCCAATGGCAAATGAAATGAACCCAAACCTGTTGCAACCTCCAGCAACAGCCACGGGCGGCAAAGGCGGGTCTTCTGCTGTCCCACTGTTTGGGCAAACAACATCAGGAATGGTGGAGAATGTGAGAGACTTTATCCCTCGCAATGCACCCCAATTCCTTGTTGTTAACAAGCACAATCTCGATAGGCTTGTCGGTAGAATGTTGAAGCCAAGTCCTTTTGAAAGGCCAACGGCTTCACAAATTCTAGAGATGCCTGAATGTGAAGAGATCGAAAACAAGAGGAAAGCAGGTGCTACGATTTTCGAAGGTGAGTTCGGACCTAACGATGACGACTAGACATATAAGAACAACGTATTTTGCATTAATAACAAGTAAACACATATCATAACGTAGATGCTTTCGTTGCATGACTTTGATTTGTTTTCTTTTTTGGTTTATCCTGGTACAGATTGCTTCAACTGTTTCCACAATGAGATTGTTTATTATGCTAGACACTTTCTAGGAATGCAAAGAGAGCGATTTGGATCGAGAAATGAATAGATCGGCTTACTGGATCTGGGAGTAGCCAGTGAATGGGTTGGAGTTCTTGGACTTCAAGTACTCGTCGGACTTCTCTTGCCATGATCTGTCGAAAGTCTCTGGCCTCTCTGGAGCGAATGATCTAATGACAGCAAACAAGGCGACACCAGCGAACATACCACCAACGGTACCCCAGAAGATCTTGTTCTTCTCGCCTGGAAGGTACAATGGCTTTCTTGGACCCCATTCACCAAAGGAAATGTAGTAGGCAGCCTTCTTTTCGGCTGCGGTCAACTCTTGCCATGGCAACTCTTGTCTGGACTTCAATTCCTCTATCAAGGCAGTCTGGTCTTCTTTTGGCAACTTCTCCCATCTGGTCTCTAAGTTGTTAACATATGCGTTGGACAATGGTCTTGGAGCAGCCTTAGCAACAGTGGATTGAAAGCGAACAGCTCTGAGGGCGGTTTGGCGAAGCATGTCTCTGGGTAGTAATAATGAGTAAATTTGGTTCCCTGTTTAGTGAGAAGTTCAGGCTTTGTCTCTGATTTTTTTTCCTTTATTTCCAGTGAGTGAGTGGAACCACTTTATGGTGCGCTTTGATTGGAAGAAAAATTGTGCTGTGCACGTCTGTTCGCGAGTCGACTTTTCGATGCGTGGAGAAATCTCTAGCGCTTCCGATTGCCTGATTTTCAAATACAGAGCACTGATTGGGGATTTTTGAGTCAACAGTCTTCGCTTGCTGCACATTTGATAATAGCACTTGGCGATTTCTATGGCGCCATGTTATAATCAGACGATTATTAGACGGAAGCGAATAAGCGGCGGATCTCGGTTGTGGTGATATTAAATTCAAAGTCACGGTCAACCAGGCGAATTTCTCTGTCAAACTTCTGGAAGATGGTGATGAACTCGTACTCCATATCAGTCCATAACTTCTTCACCAATTCTTGCTCAAACATGTCTTCGTTGGTGATGAAATGCTTCTCTAACTTGCGATGAATATCGGAGACCTTCTGCTGTAATTCCTTAGATGTGTAGCTGGAGACAATGGATTTGATGAAGATCTTATCGTCTTTCTTATGCTTCGAAGTACCGTCCCTGTTTTCAACTGCATTATTGAAATCAATGATCTTACCAATATTCTTGTGAAGAAGGTAGTCGAAGTAATGCTTTTGGGTCTGACCAAATACAACATCCAATTCTTTCTTCATATGCTGAGTGTTCTGAGTTCTCAAATCGCTCAATTGCAGGGTAACCAGGAAAATGTTCTGAAGGATAGAAACGTTACGATGAGCTCTTTCCTTTTCGTCATGAGCGTTAGACTTGAGAAGTGGATCGTCCCTTTCGAATAACTCAACCGCAGCAGCTGTGAGCTCATTGTAAGACTCCTTGACCATATCTTCAACTTCGGTCAATGCAGCAGTATCCCTGTGACCACCAGCCTCTTGTAATGACAGTTCAGTTGTGAAGATGATCTCATTAAGGTTCTTGATAGCTGGCAAAACACCGACTCTGGCACGCACATCAGACTTATTCAACAAGTCAACTTGACCAGTAATGAATCTCTTCCACATGGTCTTATATCTGTCAGAAATTTTGGTTAAGAAACTGAAACAGACGAAGTCCTGATCCTTTTCGCCGCTGTTTTTAATCAACCTGGTTAATTCGACAAGTAACTGGGGCAAGATCATCTCCTTTGGAGTGAGCCTTTTAATGAGTCTTGAGATATAGTTTCCAAAAATAGTGGTCATGGAGCGGAGCAAGTCATTGGAGCTTGTCTTGTAGTTCACCAGCTCAAGGTCTGGGTTATCAAAGAGTTCAACTCTATCCTTGAAGGAGTTAGTCTTGATGAAATCAGTGAAGTCCTCAACAGAGCAATGATGGAAAATAGTACCAACGAAGAACTGGATGACTAGGATCAACTCTTGAGTCTCGTGAACCATACGCATGATTATCTTAGGATCACCAAGCGACTTCGAGTTCGACTGGATTGTTTGAGTCAACTCCTTCTTTTTCTCCTGTTCATCAGAATGGCCACCCAAACGATGGATCAACCGTTGAGAGCCAAATCTTGACAGCTTCGATTTACGGAGAGCAGAAACTGTCTCCACACCACCAGACACACGCTTGGAAACAGTCTCATTGGCAGCGGCCTGTAAGTGCTTCAATCGTTCACTCAAATATCTGTCCAAGAAGTTTGCAAGATATCCATTCGAGTTCTCGCTAATGAGACGCATCTCCTTCTCAGATACACATTTCACAAAACTCGTGATACCAGTGTAAGCCAAGAACACTTTAAAAGAAACAAGTAAATTCCTTGGGAATAGGTTGGTAATGTCTTTTGTCAAGCCATTAATAGTGACAACTAGTTCTTGCTCCAAGAATTCCTTAAAATGCTGCACAAATACCGCTGAAGTATTCTGGTATTTCTCTTGGAACTGCTTAAGTGCTTGCATTGAACTCAAGTCATCACCAGCATTGCTGCTTCCAATGGCTCCCAAGGCTTCATAAAGACCTGCCAACTTTCTTTCCAAAGTTGGAATGGAATGAAGGTTCTCGAAGTCATGGTAAGTCGATATAAGTTGTAAGTCCGCTGGATTAACCCTAACCTTGTTCAAGATCTCATTCAAGTCGTTAAATAAGATCTTTTTATTAATGGACTTAACCTGAAGACCTTGAGAGTTATTCTCCAAGAGATTGATACGCGGAGCAAGAAGATCGAAACCAACTTCCATCTTCTTGAAGATGCCAATTAGATTCTCCACCTCACCAGAAGCATTCTCAACCTCGTTAGAAAGACTGTCTTTGCCAAAATCAAGCGATGTTAATTCCTCAATATTCCTTCTCTTGATTTGGTTGAGCTCGGTGTTGAGTTTCTTCACAAATGTTTCAGAGTTATCAAGAACGTCATAACCAACTTCATCGAGCATGTCCTCAATCTCAGGATCCACTAAAACTTTCGAGTCTCCCTTGTGAGATTGGGTTTCTGTTAAAGGAGTGTCGAGGCCATCTAACATTGGACTCTTGAGCGAATCTATACCCAGTTGATCATCATATGACAATTCGCTCTCGTTATCGTCTCGGATAGGCTGGGGCTTTGGCACGGCGGAGGCCTTCCTGCTCGAGCTAGTCGTAAGTTGGCTTTCCATGAAGTCTTCAATCTCCTTGATGGAACTATTAATACCGTTATCTGGGACATTGGTGGACTCTGAAACCGCCCGGGAAGTCTCTATCTCATCTTCATGGGCCTCACGGGGTGCTTCTTCTGCTGGGAATCCACCAGGAATCGAAGGCATACGGTATTTCCGTGGCTGTTCCGGTGTGACCTCTTCGTACACTTCTTCAATACCATCATCAGCTGGAGGGGGAGTGACAACTCTCTGGGGTGCTTGTGATGTATCCGTAGGAACCTTGAACTGGAAGTTAAGAGATTCTTGAGTTTCGTTGCCTTCTAGTTGTTCCTTAAGCTCGTCACCAAACGCAGCGGATTGTTCAATTGGCTCAGTAGCGTCTCTTCTTCCTTGTGCGGCAGAATCAGGCTTGTAGTTTCTTAATGGAGATGAAGCACCACCATTCTTACGAGCATACTCAGATATGGATGGCATTTGTGCTTGCTCTTCCTGTAGTTTTGGCTTCTCTTCACTAGGACTAAAGACGAAGCTGTGAGAGTCTGCTGTCTCATTCGGATCGTTGGAAACATCACCCAGTTGCAGCTGAGAAAACTGAGAATATGGATGAGATGATCTGACACTTTTCTCTGTTCTTGCACCAGTCTCTCCTGTAACCATAGAGCTGGCATCCACCAAACTTGTCTTCAGTCCAGGTCTGTCCACGTCCATAACAACCATAGGCTTGCTAGGTAATTTCCCGTTTGCAGTGAAGTCAAGACCTTTGTAAAGCAGAGAAGGATCGTAACTCTGGGAGGACATGTCAGCTGTAGTATTGGCCAGTTGTGCGGTGGGCTGTTGCAGGAGACTTGGTTTCGATGTTGGTAGACTTGAAGAAGAGGCTTGCGATGGAGGCTGCCCAACTGCTGGAAGATTCAATTCCTGCAATGAGATACCGTTAAGCACTGGATATCTTCCAGTGAATTTCGTGTAGATCTGCGATAAATGGTGAACAAACTTCATCATGCGGTCAGGACCTTCACCCGATTTCCAGTAATAATTCTTGTTCAATTGCAAAACCAAAGAGTCAGGACCAGTTCTCGTAATGCCCTGGAGCTCGTCCAAATCCCAAGTACGTCCTATTTGATAAATGTGTTTCACATCGTTGTATTTACCCTTCTGGAGAAGCACTCTGCCGGAGCTCTTGGTGGCAACAACCAAAATACGATTCTTAATAGCACCAACCTGACTAGGCGGAATGTCCGAAGGAGGAGGCAGTTGTGGGTACAGTGAATACTCTCTAATGTTAAGGTGGGTATTATACCTGATTTCAGGAACATTACGGCCCTCACTGACAATAATCTTGGAGTAGCAATCTCTGATGATCTGGTCCACTATCATCTTACGTGGATCGACAGGCATTCTTGGAGGAGGAGCTTTCTGAGGCGCATTCATAGGCATCATGTTTCTTGGGTTCTTTTGGAGAGGTCTCCCTTGGGGAGGAGCCTGCTGTTGTTGTTGCTGCTGTTGCTGCTTTCTTCGCCGAGGCGAAAGACTGTGGAAATTCATTACTGAGATGTTAGAATATCACAAATATCTTGGTGTGAGTGGTGAATTGGATGGAGTTGTGGGTTAAGGTGTCAGTTGAGCTACAACCATAATCAGTAACAACGAACGTGTCTACATACAGGAAAATGTGGTGGCTGCCAAAATAAGGGAAAGACCAGGGATGAAGTAAGTAGTGGTGGCTGAAAATATTTGAGGATCATTATTACTTTACGATTTTCGTTAAAGGTGTGGTCTTTTTTTTTTTCAAGTTTTCATTATAGTATGTATGTTGGACTCCATCCACACTCTACATGTAGATTGAGGATGGTAGTTGCATGCTCTTAGACTCCGACAGCGTGATTTAGCGACGAAAGTAACCGATTCAGTTTCTCTGTAGACGCATGCTTTAGGTCTTCTTCTTTTTCTTCTTCTCTGGTGCTGGGGACACGTCCTTACTTTGAACCTCAGACTTGTCCACGTAGTAGTTCCACAACAAGGACAACTGTTCAGAACGCTCATCCATAGCATGGAGACGTCTTCTCAAAGCTTCATTGTAACAGATTTCCTGGACAACAGGGAAGAACAGCTGTGGCCACTCCTTGTGGAACAGTTGACACTCCTCAACGATATCCTTGAGCTCTAGCTGCTGGACTTTTTGCTGCAACTCGAATTGCTTAAAAACATCGTCACCAATTAAACCATCTTGGTAAAGCTTGGTGAAAACAGGCTCGTTTTCTTTGAGCTTAAGAGATCTTCTGATTGCCTCGACAGCTCTTCTCAAAAGAGCAGCCTTCACAACCTTCTCTGGGGGCCTCTTATCCTTGGCTAACAGCTTGTCTTGGTATTTCTCTCTGAGAATCTCGTAGAGCTCCAACAGGTGGTTCTTGCCAAAGATTGGCTCTACAGACACCAACTTATGGAGTCTGTGACGTCTGTATAATATGGAAAAGGCGGTGAAAGCGGAAAGCATCACGGCCACATAAATAAGCGGCGTCAATACCGACATTTTGACCACCGTCTGGGCGGCTTCTTCCTCTGCTTCGGCCATTTTGGGTAGTGGTGGTTGTAGGCGTTGAAAACGACTTTGAAGGAACACCACGTCGAGCGCTGTTGTGATGGTGCACGGGTGTATACATTAAGGAAGTATAGGTATACACTTGTTCAATGTAGATCTGACAGGGAAGCCAAAGAGCAGAAAGAGAGGAAAAAAAAAAAAAATAAAAGAAGTGTTTAATAGTACTTTCAGGAGACTGTTTATGAAAGGCGGAAGAAAGAAAACAAAGTTGAGAATATCTCGTTGATTTAGTGCTCCAACAAGGCGAAGTTCTCATAGTGAGGGTTTTTTGCACCCATTCTCTAAAGAGACGTACCGCCACAAGAACAAGACGGTAGCCCCTTGATATTTTATGAGGCACGCAGCCAGTGAAGGTGCCAGGAAGCGTTAAGCTTAGTATATTTTAACCCAGGGGAATTGCTTTTCCAGTATAACTCCCCTTGTCATTTCTCAAACTAATGAGAGAGGAACCAACTGTCAGCCTATAGTTAAACGAACTCAGAGGCCCAATCTCCACCTTCGAGCTCCGTAGCAAAGAAGCAAACCAGGATGTCTTTTTATAGAGGAGTCCTGCTTGACTCCTTCGGTTCCCCAAGTAACACAAAAATAACAATGGAAACCTCTCACGGGTCCTTTCCTCAGTGCTCGTTTACCAGAACAATAGTCTTTAAAAGAGTGAGAGAAAACAACCTTTATTCCATTCCGTCAGGGTTCCTATGCTCAATGACGACATACAAAAGGAGGGGCCATACTTATTTATCTGTAAGATCTATAAAGCAAAGGATATTTTTGCATGACTTCTAAAGCTTATGAGTGGCTGCAAAGCTGAACTTTGGTTACTGTAAAAGTAAAGAAAGTGGTACAAAATCAAAAAGAACACGCCCATTTCCCAACCCTAGGGGATAGGCGACTTTTTTCTGTGCGTCGCCAGTTATGGAAGTGTGATTAGGTGCCCACGCCAGGACACGAAAAGTGAATACTTTAAAGAATTTGAGAATTAGGAGTTTTCAGAATAGTATTGTTTTATATTGTAGATGCCTTGTTCATTCCCGGTATTTCTTGTGGACCAAAGACCCGAGCTCGGGCCCAAGTGGTCCTGTGTCGCTTAGCGCTAGTCTGCGTATGCTGGTCTAAGCGATATTACGTGTGGCACCTGACATACAAGAAAAATCATGGCACCTTTTTCTGGGCCACATTTCAGGTTATATATATATATATAGATGCATATTTCAGGGTTCTTTTCAGGGTCCGAATTTTAGTGAAGTGCAATGAAGGGTGGTGCCAGTTTGATCAGGGACTCGCCTGAATACTCAGGGTACCCTTGCAAGGAACACTTTGTTTCGCAGCCAACGTTAAGGTCTGATTTTACCCAGCTCAGCACCTACGTGTACCTCCAGTCAAAGCCGGACTTGGGCAGGAGGCTTCAGCAGGTCAGGCTGAGGGATTCGAGGGGTTCGAGGGATAGCGTGGATTTGGAAGGTTTTGAGGAATGGGACTTGGAGGATGAATAAGGCATGGCACAGGCTGTCTACTTGAATGGTAATACTAAAAATTAATAAATGATACCCGTGAAGCAAATGTAATTCGAGAGAGGTTTTACGTAAGGTTGAGGCAGGAGAATGGTGGAAAGTATTTTGAACGGGACTTCATGAGAAGGCCCAAGAGGAACTTCTAGTAGTCACCAAGACGGCTTCTTCGGAAGAGCCTGACAAGACCACCGAAGCATGAACCAGTCCTGGCAAATCTATTCATAAATCTCTTCTACTGCTTTATATCAAAGTTAGTGTATTAAAATAGTTAAACAGAATTATTATACTCAAGACGCCAATTAAACGTCAAATGAGCCTGGCATGGCAACCAGGCCCTGCTTCTCGGGGCAGCGGTAGCAGAACCTGAAGAGGCACCAACACCTGGGGCAGCAGTGGTGGAGGCGCCTTGGCCAGCAAGGCCACGTGAAGTAGCGTTGAGGTCGTCAGTTCGAAGATTACCAAGACGGTCAGACAAATTGGCAGCATCTTGACCGGAAGTTCCACTAGGGTTGACATTCGAATGACGTTCTTGGGTGTCCAATGGATCCCTTGGGGAATACGATTGGTTACCACCCAAAGTGCCGAGCTGGCTCGTACCACTAGTAGTACCAGTGCCACTAGATTGTGGAATCGTCAGGGACTGAGTCTTGAGGGGACTCTCCTTGTGAGTTGTGGTTCCATAACCAGCAGCAGAGCCAGCAAGGGCAGCAGCGGCGGCAGAAGGCACGTTCTGGCCACCAGAAGTAACTGGAGGGGTTACACCACCGCCGCGAGGCTGGGTGTCTTTCCCTTCAGAAAGCAGGCCACGGGGATGGCCAAGCTGGATCAAGAATTGACCATTCTCGTCAGTAACAGCACCAGAAGAGTCAACTCTCAATTCCTTGATACCATTCAACAAATCGGTACGTCCCTGAACAGCAGCGACGGCCTGCTTGGCCAAATCCTTGGCAGTTTCGGTATCCTTAACACCAATAACCTTAACATTCTGGTAGAAGTTAGGGTCGCTACCACCTTCGGTAGAAGTACTAGGGTAAGGCTCACGGTAACCAGAGTGACCACCAGTGCCAGCGGCAGCACCACTAACATTGCCTAAGTTACCTTCCTGAGCGAATCCTTCAAGTTCATCCTTGGCCTTCTCGTGCTCATTGTGGTATCTCTTAGGGTCAACATCTCCAGGGTTAGATTGATGGAAAGTAGCATCTGGTTGTTGGGAACCAGTAGAAGCACCGGCAGCGCCGGCACCAAGTCCAGCAGCACCGAGACCAGCAGCACCGGCAGAACCTGCTGGTTGAGGCTCAACGTTTCCAAGCTGGCCTTCTTCAGCAAATTCTTCGAGTTCATCTTTAACCTCCTCATGCTGGTTGTGGTACTTTTTAGGATCAACATCGCCAGGGCTTGGGTCATGGAAACTAGCATCAGGGTGCTTAGATTGAGCAGAGCCAGCAGCGGCGCCACCAGCTAAGCCAGCAGCACCAAGTCCAGCAGCGGCAGCACCAGCACCTGGGGCAGACAGCTTAGGTTCAACGTTACCAAGCTGGCCCTCTTCGGCGTATTCCTCAAGATCATCCCTAACTTGTTCGTGCTTTTGGTGGTACTTGCGAGGATCAACTTCCCTTGGGTTAGGCTCGTCGAAAGAAGCATCAGGTTGTTTGGAAGATCCAGCAAGACCAGCGGCACCGGCTGCTCCAGCAGCTCCAGCACCAGCAGCTCCAATAGCAGGGGCAGAACCTGAGAAAGCAGAGCCTTGAGGTTCAATGTTACCCAAACGGCCCTCCTCAGCAAACTCCTCAAGCTCGTCCTTCACCTTCTCGTGCTGGTTATGGTAGTTTCTAGGGTCAACATCTCTTGGGTTCTCCTGAGAGAAAGAGGCATCTGGCTTTTCATTAGAACTCTTAGAACCCTTTGATCCAGCATAGGCACCAGCGGCTCCGGCAGCGCCAACCAAACCAGCAGTACCAGCAGCGGCACCAACGCCAGGACCAGAGCCAGAGCCAGAACCAGAACCAGAACCAGTACCGAAGCTAGTGCCGGTAGGGGCACCAGTGGCAGGTGCAGTAGACTTGTTCTGTTCATTGACAAGGCCAGCTTGCTTAACCTGTCCATGGAAATCAGCAGGGTGAGGTTCCTTGTTAGAACCAGCAGCACCGGCAGCAGCACCAGTAGCACCGGCAGCACCGGCAGCACCAGCGGCGCCAGTGGAATCAGAACTCTTAGCAGCCTCGGCTTCTCTCTGGGCACGCTCAGCATCCTTGGTACGCTGAGCTTCAGAAGCATCCTTCTCAATGTAAATCTCTCTCTTGTTAGCATCAACGACAATCTTGCTGTTCAGCACATCTTCACCTTGCTTAGAAAGATCACGAGTAGCCTTGAGAGCAACCTTCTGAGCCTTCTCTCTGTCAGAAATACCAATCACTTCCACAACAGGTTCGCTGCTGTGGTCCTTCTTACTGCTGGTAGCATCAGAATGGGCGTTCTGTTGATGAGCAGGATGGTCAGGGCCGAGGCCTCTCTCCTCAGCCAACTTCTTCACACCAGCAGCATAAGCAGTCTCAATGAGAGTCTTCTCTTCTAATTCCTTGCTCAGGTAACCAGAGTCAGCAGCAGTATCAGCACCAGCTGTAGGACCAGCATTGGCACCAGCATTCTCAGAAGCCAACACTTCACGACGGTGTTGTTCCCTCTGGTCCTTGGAAACATAAGCCTGGCCAGAAACACGTGGAGCAGGGTGGTTTCCACCACGTTCAGGAGCGTAGTAGGGGGAGTCTTGATACTGTCCAGAGCTTGGAGCTGGAGGAGTATCAACGAAAACACTTGGCGAGCCAGCACCGGCACCAAGAGCTCTACCTAAAGCGTTAGAAGAGGACTTCTTCTGGTTCCTCTCAATATCTTCAGTAATCTTAGCAGCCTCGTCAGGGTTAACAGCTGCCAACGCAACAGGGGCGTCCTTATCTTTATTGGGGCGTGCGATGCCTCGGCGAACCGGTTGAGCTAGCAGCTTCAGAAGCCGAAACGCCGCCCAATTGACCAGACTTACCACCAGAGTTAATGAACTCACTCTTTGAGTGCAAAGCAACGTCAGGAATTGGCTGGATATCGTCAGCCTTGGAAGTAGCCTGCTCCTCACCATTGTCAAGCTCGTCAGCACCGTGCAAGCCCGTAGCATGCTTCAACTTAGCAATGGAAGGGTCTTCCTGCTCAGCAATGTCAAGCAAAGAACGACCGTCGTTCTTGATACCTTGCTTCTTGTTGTGCTCAGAAACGTCGGTCTCCAAGCTCTGACCCAGAGAAGCCAGCTTGGTGTCGGCATTAGTAGGACCAGAACCAGATTCACTTGCATTGCCAACCTGATTAGACTTAGTTCTCTGCTGAGCCTTCTCCTTAGCCTCCTTAGCGACGTCATCAGCACCACGTCTGTCTTCAGAACCAGAAGCGGCAGTGAGACCAGGACCTTCAGTTCTTGGGTGCTGGAAGCCTGGGTGCTTCAAAGATTGAGCACCGCCGGTTTCAACGGCGCTTGGAGCAGTAGCAGTAGAACCGTACTTAGCCAGGGCACTTGGTTGAGAAGTAGACTGCTTGGTCTGCTGCTCATTGTCCTTACTCTTGTTCTCGTATTCATTGTAACCAAGAGCGCCAGCAGCAGAAGCACCAGCAGAGCCAAGAGCGCCCTTGGCAGAGTCAAGGTAGCCGTGCTGGCCAGCAGGACCTTCCTGGGAAGTACCTCTAGCTTCTGGGGCACCCTGGGTGTGGACAGAAGCACCGTGAGAAGCACCACCAGCACCAGGAACAGCAGAAGCAGCGTTAGTGGCACCAGCAGGGCCAACGTCAGCCTCGTGGGACTCCGTAGTCTTGTTCAGGCCGCCAAATCCAAGAGCCTGAGAAGCAAGAACAGAAGCAGCACCAAAGGCACCAGCAGCACCGGCAACAATACCAGAGCCAGTACCAGAGGAAGAGCTAGAAGCAGCATCCTTAGCATCCTTAGAAGCAGCATCCTGGCCAGCACTGTAGGCCTTCTCCTCGACGCCCTGACCTCTACCAGCTTCGTAAGCGCCCTTTCTAACACCAGCATCGTAGTAGTCCTTGTAGTCAGTGCCAGAAGAGCTCTGCTGCTGCTGAGACCTGGAGGTAGTCTCTGGCTGCGAATGCTTCTGCTCGCTAGAGCCAGAGCCCGCAGCGTAACCTGCGCCAGAACCAAGAGCCGCGCCAGTACCTGCGCCAGCGAGAGCTCTGCCAGAGCCAGAAGAAGTACCAGCGTTAGAGCCAGTCACAGCAGACTTGGACTGGCCAGTTGGAATAGCACTAGAACCAGCATTGCCGCTAGCCTTAGGGTCCAAAGTGCTTCTGTTTGGCGAGTGGATAGCGTCAATCTCCTTCTGAGTAGTTTCAATGTTCTTATCCAAACGTTTGATTTCAGAGTCGTAGTCAAAGTCCTCAGAAGATGGAGGCTCGCCAGCCTTGACAACGTTGGAGTGAGCATCGCCCTTGTTGGCCAAGTGAGAAGCGCCTGCTCCAGCAGCACCACCAGCTGCGGCACCAGCTGCAGCATTACCCGCGCTGCTCTTGTCACTTGGACCATCCTGGCCAGAAACCTCCCTGTAGGCCAGCTTGACACCGCCACGGTTGTAGGCAGATCTGTTCTTGGAGTGTTCCTCGTCCTCGTCAACCTGGCTGCCAATCTTACCTTCGTCAGCGTCAGCCTTGGCCTTCTCCTGGCCTTGCTGGTGGATCTCGTGGGCCTGTCTCTGGCCCTTGGCATAAGCCTGCTCAGAAACGCGGTTGGCCTCGTCGTCAATCTTGTCCTGCTCAGCGTAGGCATCTGGCTTGGTCTTCAAGTTCTTGTTGTGAGGAGCCTGCTGCTTGGTGGCTTCGGTATACTTGGAGTCATCAGAATCACCGCCCTTAACGGCAGAAGCACCAAGAGCACCAGCGCCAGCGCCAGCAGCGCCAGCACCAGCATAAGTGGCGGCATTGCTCTCGTTAGCGTTGGAACCGTAAAGACCACCCTGGGTGTCCTTAGGGTCGTAGAATCTGCCGTGGCCTTGAACTGGGCTGGCGGCATTATCGTAACCAGGGTTGGTGTTGTCCACAATGGCATTGCTGGATTCAGGACCAGTGCCACCAGAAACCTCGGTAGGCTTCTTCTCATTGGCATAGTCACCGCCCCACTGCTTCTCCAAAGGCTCGCGCGAAACGTTTGGTGGCTGCGAAACCACTCTGCCCTTGTTGGTGGATCTAATCACATTAGGATCCTGCGAAGAAGAAGAAGAGCCCCCGGCGGCAGTGCCTGCTGCTGCACCACCTGCTCCTCCCAAAGCGGCACCGGCGGCGCCAGCTGCTGCTGGGTCAGACTTGCTGCCAAAAGTCTGGCCTGGGGCGGCGGTGCCGGTAGTGTTCTTACCTGCTGGGTGTCCCTCGTCGCTCAGCGAGCTGGAACTGGAACTGGTGCTGTTGTTACGCTTAACACCAGCCTCGGATTGGGCCTTCCGTTTACCAGCACGGTACAGCGCCCTTAGTATCTTTTCGTTTTGCTTCTCTTTCGAGCTAAAAGTCTGTTTGATCTTTCCGATGAAACCGTCAGTCATGATGTTGTTTGTTTTGTTTGTTGGATAAAAACTACAATGGGCCTACGGCGGGCTGCTGCTTGCTATATATACCAGCTGCTGTGGAGCAATTAACCCGTTTGCTAATCACTCGCCCCTACATGCAGCTGGGTCCTCCAGCGACCCCTGATGCCGTAGCCGCACTGCACTGGGGGAAGATTGCTGCTGAGACCAGACTTCGCCTTTTGCAACACTGGAGAATGAGGCGAACATATTGGATGGTTTTTCCTTTGAAAAAAGACAAAAAAGTTGTGTCTTGACCTCTCTTTTCTCCTGCTCATCACAATTAATTACTTCCTTTGGCGCCGTGCTGTTAATACTTTGCTGCCACTAGTGGCTCAGCTGTGGCGAGGTCGTTGCTCTCGCCTGCACAATGGCTGCTCTCCTCCAATGCATCGAAGCCTATGACGTTATTATGGCAATGGGGCCTAGCAGCGGTAATATCGCAACCTCGCAGCCACCGAAACCTGTCATGCCCATTGCGAACGACGTTGGAGAGCTAATCTCGCTTGGCTGTTTGCGCCACGATCGGTTTGCCAATGTAAATTATTCGCCGAGATATTTGCCCTTGTAAATTGTGACCGATTGGTCTTTGTGAGGTATTCGTGGAGGGGGAGGGGGAGCGAAGGCACTGGTGGTGGCTGCGAAAAAAATTCCTGGGGTACCAAATAAACAACGATCTACCTCGGTCAGATCCATCAATGGGTGGCCAATGGGTGCGTTTGGTAACTTTTGCCTCGACACATTCTTCTCAGTCGCCACCGTCAACGGTTTGGCTTGGTGGGTGGCTGCTGCTGTATGTTTCAGCAACTGCGGTGTCTGACACTAAGTGGATTCAGGCATGGTCGGCCATGCCATGCCATGCACTGGCTATTCTGTGTCTCAGCAACAAATGTCTGCGGAAGCGCCAGAGCCTATTTTATACTAGCGCTAGGCAACAAAATGTATGCATGATACATTTGCCGGTCAAACTGGTGGTCTATTTCATTTATGTCGTATTGAGTTTGGTTCTCTATGTGGTAGGTTGCAAAAACAGCGTCGCTATCACGATTCTAATGCTAAATGAGTGTTGGACAATGTCAATTGGGTCGTCTAACTCGGCTGTTCTCGCGGTGTGGGTATCTCGTCTTGGAGCTATCTCCGTATTATCGGTATTCTGGCTTCTTATTAGGCTTGTTGTAATTTAATCGGGTCACAAGCCACTCCAAACTCTCTTTCAACCCCTGGTTCTCCAAAACAGAAACGGGCAATAGTTTCGAGTCAGTAGCCTCCAACTGACTCACAACCTCTATAAATACACCGGTCTTCAACGATACCAAGTCCACCGCCTGCGGCAAGTCTTGCTTATTTGCTAACATGAGTATAGGGACATTCACGCTTTCACCACCTTCTACTTTCCACAGCGAGTCATTGGCAATTTCCATGAGAGTATCGTAGCACTCGCTGAATCTATCTGTATCTGTGGAATCAATGATAAATATGATACCGTGACATGAGCGGTAGTATCTGGACCACATGCTTCGAAGGGACCGCTGGCCTCCCAAGTCCCAAAACTTTAGATTTATATTCTTGAGGTTTGCTGCAGCACTGCTGGCAGTATCGCTAGGTTTGAACCGGACAGTGGTGGTGTTCTGTCCCACGGTAGGCAATATACGTTTGCCCTTGAGGATCTTGACCGAGTCTGAAGGCTCCTTACTGCCAGCACTCGAGGACTCCTCCTCTGTATCAAGATGTCTAGTTAAACTGGATCCAGCACTAGCATTGCGTTTGTTCTGCTGTGCCAGGCTCTCGTTGGGGGCTGGGTAGAGCAACTTAATATGCTCGAGAAACGTCGTTTTACCAGCATTGTCGAGCCCTAGAATAAGCACATTATACTGCTCCCGCCTGCTGTATTGCGTGTATAACGACAGTGCAAGGTGAAACATGGCACTGGTTAAAAGAGTGGTTTGATGATACTCTGAGGTGGTTCTTGTTTTTCGGCTATGAGACAAGCGCGCCTACCGAGGTGGCGATGGGCCAAGAGTTGTCAAGAAGGGATGATTGGTGTAAGGTTTTTAAAAAGAATATGTATATGGGGGTATTTAAAAGGTGAAAAAGGAATAGAAAGTGAGTTTTTTATTATGGTTTTGGGAGAGGAATGTTGGTGAATCCTGACGTTGGGGATATTTCGCAGCCATTACTTTCACAAGACGCTGTGTGACAAAATGGAGAAAAAATAAAATGCACAAAATAAAAATATAAAGTAGGTCAAGAAAATAGTTTTTACATGGCAGTTTCAAAGCAAATCACTTAAGCTTACTTTTAGTCCTTCCAAGTTGCTTCTTTCATTGACAAGGCATTCTATGTCCCATCTCTGTCTTATGCCCTAAGCGAGATCTCTGTACAAACACATCCGTACCGCCAGAAAAAAGTCTGCCATATAAAAAGCACCTCTTCTCGAAATTCTTCATCCCAGCACCTTCTTTTATTTTAACCAAAACGTATGTGTTTCCAATACTTCAGATGATGAATATACAGATAGGGACAACTGATTCAATATGAAGAGAGTTGTCAATTCGATAGTAGAACTTTATTCTGACCTAGTGTTCAACGAAAACAGTCCACTAACAACCAGTGAAAGCATATGTGATGTCTATGAAAATTGGGTAAGGAACATCCCGAGCAGGAGAAAGCTTAGCAGGAGTCAACCCAGGAATGGGATTCTTTGCTGCTAAGTACTTCTCTTGGTGATGCTCCCGACCATTTTGTCACGTTGTGTAAATACTCTGTACCTTGTCTTCTTTGCTTTTGGATGTTCCATCATTTAACAAAGCTACCACTGCCTACTAAGCAGTACAGGTAGCCCTTGAGATTCGTTCATTACGAGTCCAAAGTGCTTGAGTATGCATTTGGTGGACCTCTGTCCATCAGATCCATGCTACCAGCCTGATCATCATCAAAATCCGGTTATAAACCGTCTAGCACTCAGTTCTCGATTTTTCTTCGTGACAACGTGTCTTCTAAGTCAAGTTCAAGCCAGTCATTCCTTCCACTCATCTTTTTCATTTTAAGCAATGTGACATCATCGTCGACTAATAAAGCGTCTAGGTGGTCCAATTATGATACAAATTGGCTGCGAAACGTCTTTCTCACCGACTTCGGCTTCCCTAGTCCTACCCTCAGGCGGAAAGAAAGTAAAGTTTACCAAATTTCTTGATTCCTAATTTTCTACAATCCAACTAGCAGCCCTAAAAAAATCCATTTCCCTAATTCATCATACCACCTTTTCATGGTTCATGTCATTGTGGGATATTCTTGGTCTGTGTTGTCGCACCAGGTTGTGCAGTCCAACGCCCCTAGATAGTGGCAGATTCAACGTCCACAATTATCTCTAAACACCAACTGTTTATATTCAAATGTCGTTTTTTAAATCTATCCAAGAGTCGCTCCCTAAGGTCGATCTCGACAACATCACCAAGTCGTTCCAGAACAGCGGTAAGGCTGTCCTGGAGTACTCAGAACAGTTCAAAGAGTCAATTCAGCCCTTCACGGCCAAGACCCAGAACTTGATCTCTACCCAATTGCACCAGGTTCAGCTGTTGGCTCAGACCCACATTGGCTCTAACATTGAAGTCAGTGAGTTGCCAAATGACTACTTGGACTTGGAGAAGAGCTGCGACTTATTGTTGAAGTTGTACACCGACTTGATCCAGTACACCAACGAGACCTATGGCGTCATCAGCTACGATTATCCTCCTGGTAACACTGCTATCTCCAAGATCCGTGATGCCAACGTTGGTGGCATCTTCTCGAGCAAGTTCAACCAGTTGAAGAACGTGTCTACCCCACAAGAAATGGAGAAGGTGCTCTTGGGCGGTGACGACAAGAAGGCCGAGGAAGAAGAGGAAACCGTGGAGGTCCAGACCATTTCTGCTCAGTTGCCAAAGACTCTTTACGGTCAATTGGCTGCCATTGCCAGCAAGCACAGCGAGGAGTTCAGCGAATCATCGAACACCTTGTCCTTCGCTCTCTTGAAGATCTCTTCTATTTACACTGAGATTGCCACCTCTAGATTGGAGCAGGACAAGAAGGTCATTGCTGAGTTGAACCATGCTTTGGTGAAGATCTTGAACGAACAGTTCATCAAGGTGAACGAGTTGAGAAAGCGTGTCTACAGCGCCAGACTGGAGTTTGACTTGGCCAGATCCAAGAAATCTAACACCAGCCAGGATGAGGATGACGATGAGTTGATTGCCAAGGAGGATGAGTTGGTTAGCGCTACCGAGGTTGCCGTTTTGGAGATGAGAAAGCTCTTGAAGCCATCTAAGAACGTCGACCTCTTGAAGGTGTTCATTAAGATCCAGAAGGAGCACTTGGAAGTCAGTGCGAAGAAGTTGGGCTCTCTCTTGTCTGAGTTGGACAAGATTGAGTTCAAGGACGAGGATGACGAGTAGACGACTCATATATTTCTGTTTTCTAATAATGTATTGATAATTTGCAGCTGGAGCGCAATAGAAAGTCTGTAGAACTGTTATATCAGATTGCAAGCAAAAAAGAATTACCACCAAAACCCATCTATCAGTTTTGAATGAACACTTCGGATCATCCTCTGTTGCATCTCTAGAGTCTACTACTACTCAGTAACCGAGTGCGCATCTCACATAAAGCCTACTCATGGACAAGAGGGTAGTTGAGAACAAGGCACATCTAGTTGGCCCCATCGTTCGCCACAGAATACAAGACTCCCTTTTCTATAAGGAAAAGCTCTACTTGACCAATGAGCTGTCGATCGTGCCAGTAATAATCGATGAGGTACGGTTTGTTGGAGGAACAGACCAAACGGGTAGACCAAGTCCCTTCTTATGCTGCCTACTTCGGCTTCTCGAGCTTGAACCATCGCCATCGATAATAAGAATCCTCCTTAAACAGAACGGATACAATGAGTTTAAATACCTTACTGCTTTGGCGCTTCTATACTGCCGGTTGGTATATGATGCCAGAGAGATATATGCCTTGTATGACGAATACATTGGTGATTACAGAAAGCTCCGAACACAATTGAAAAGCCCAAAGTTCGAAAAGGATCTACCGGTGCATTATTCAATCATTCACATGGACGAATGGGTGGATCTGTTGGTGGAAGACGAGAGAGTGGTGGACCTCACGATGCCATACATTGGCCCAAGAAGATTGTACGTTGAGAGAGGAGAAGCTGACGTCAGGGTATATGGAGGTGAAGAAAGCGAAGAAAGTGATAGTTACGAGAGTGACTCTGATTAAGGATGAGATTGGTGTTGCTCTGGGTCTTTGACACTAGTCGTTCGCTCTGACCAGAGAAACTCAACACAGCATACTTCAATCAACAAAGCCCAACAGGACATAACTGGGTATTGAATTATAGATGAACATTTCCTCATTCATGGCAGACTTACCACATAGCAACCTGGACTGTCTCATACTCCATTTGCAGCCATGCCACGAAACATGAACACTTACTAATAAGTGAACCGAAATCCTTCAACGTACCCAAAAGCCCCAAGTAATTAATTAAAACCTTATAGATCTAAAAAGCTACTCCAACTATTCAGGTAACCGTAGACTTAAGTCTTCCATAGTAGTTAACGGCTACTGCCTACAACCCGCGAACAAAAAATCATCGCTTGTTTACTACACCAATCTACCACTACAGCGTTGGCATGGACGAAAGTACTATCTTTGCTGATCCGTTGCTGGAACCAGCAGAGACACAATTTGCTCGTGTCCTTAAGGACTTCAAGTTAGGCAATGGTCCTGAAGACCCCTTTGCGGTGGTGAAGAACTTCACTTCCATCTCAGCGAAGATTGCCTTGGCCCTCAGTCAAAAGCAAGATACAGACGAGTCTGCTAAACAAGAGTTTGAAAATTGGAATCTCGAGACAAAGTTATGGCACTTATTTGAATTGCTTTACTCGCTTAGGCTTTCTGATAGCAAGCCTTTTGAAGCACCTTCGTATGCATCTATGAAAGTCAAGAGAGACGCCCACTTATCCAAGAATCCTAAGCTCAAGGAGATGCTTCTTATTATACAATGGCTTCAGTATAACTCTCCAGGGTGTCAGTTTCCTCCACTTACGGATGCCCAGAAACTGAAGTGGTTGCAGACTACCATAAAGTCGAAAACGAAATCCTTGTCAGTCATGGCCAATTCCCAGAATGCCTCTTCACAGCTTGTGTCTACGATAGATTCGGACGCTCCTTTACGTGAGGGTAAGGAGATTGTAAAAGAGGATTTCGATGCCGATTCAGAAGTGTTCTTCCAAATTTACCTGATCTTGCTTACTGGAGACTATCAGGGAGCAATTGATCTTTCAAATGAAACAGGCAACTACACTGTGGCTCTAATCCTTTTGGGTGCCATTCAAGATTATCATGATCCACAAGTTGATGGGTCTGATGGCGCTGCCGACGACATGGATGTCGATTCTTCTGAGCCATCTGGTATTCGTCACAAGTATCTCTGGCACCAGACGGTCTACAAACTTTCCCAAGAAAAGAGTCTCAACAAATACGAACGTCTCATTTACACATTCCTTAGTGGCGGTGATCTCTCAGAGAACATAAAGCTTGCCGAGAACAACTGGGAGCAAAGCCTCTTAATGTACCTTTATCAGTTGCTTACTTTCCATGTGCGGTTGTTCGTCGAGAAACAACTTCCTGACAACGAAAAGCTTAATTCAGTGCTTTTGCCATCTCCGCAATTTGATTCTGTTGATGGCATTCTTAATACCCTTCTGCAGAAAGGTGACGAGAGCAAGAACCCTTTTCGTGTCATCATGGGTAGCGTCATGATTGATCAGCTTAACATATTTTTGCATAACGCTTTCAAGGCGGACCAGGAAGAAATAGCACAAGACTATCAAATTCTACGAATTTTAACGCACTTGGCCGTTTTAACCCTCATGCTTAATATTCACGATGGTTCCAAGACACCCACACGCATTATCACCCGCTATATTACCAGATTGTCAGACCTAGGGTTGGAGGATCTAGTGCCTGTCTACTTGTCTTTCATTCCTGATGAGAAGGACGGCCGTGAGTGCTATTCTATCTTTTTGTCCACAATTACCGACACTGAAAAGAGGGCTAGACAGCTCAGCATCTTGAACAGTCTCGAAATGAATCAGCTTACAGGTGATGAAACTCCAGGCAGTTCTGCTACAGAAGATATTCCTGACACAGACAATAAGGTATACAATGTACTTAAAAGAACCGTCGAAAGGGTTATGTTGGAGACAGAAGAACACTATTCTCAAGAGGGTAATGTCTTTGTGTCCAGGGATGTTATCGATCCGGTTGATGTGAAACTTTATAGATCTGTTGACTGGTTGTTTGACAAGAACATGTACGAGGAAGCAATTGCTGCGACTAAAGTTCTCATGCGTCGTTTCCTTTTAACGGGAAGAATCAAGTCTGTCCAAGCTTTCAGCCAGAATAAGAACTTCAAGTCTCTTTTGAAGGACTATGACTTCCATGTTCAAACAAAATCGCTTGACGGCAACAGCCCGCCTGCTAACATTTCTGAAGGTGACAGGCAGGAACTTCTACAGTATCAAGAACTTGTGGAAACACTTGACCTTCTAGATCAATGGAGAAGCTTTGTTGGTACAGATGTTAACACTAGTCAATTTTCTGAGGGATTCTGGAAATCCAAGGATTTGGAAAAGTCGATTGAGAAGACGATTTTCAACCTTCAAAGACTCATAAACACTTGGTTCAAGGATATCACGGAAGGATGTGGAGACGAGGAACTGATCAAGATTTACACCGAGTACAGAAACATCTATGTCCCATACTTCATAATCGAGCTTTTACAAGTTCTCCAACAATCTAGAAGAACGGACTGGAAGTATATGCGCAAGGCTTTCCACTTGATAAATGAGGTCGCTGACGATAAGGCCAATGATTTCTTGCAATGCTTCATCTCCTGTGGCAGATTAGACGAGTTTGTTGGTTTGGCAGGTGAGATATCTATTGTTGCCAGTGAAAGAGGTGTGAAAGGTATTTTTGCATGATTGATGTTCGTTCTATTAGTTCATTCAATTTAACTAGTTCAAGGAGGACGCCTTCTCGTACAACAAGTCCACGACGCCGGACAAATTCTTAACTAAGCTCAAAGCAGCTTCATATGAGGCGTCTTTACGGGGCTCATCATAGATAATCAACCAGCCATTACCCTGATCCAAAACACCGTAGAAGACCTTGTCTAGAATCATTTGAGACAATTTTCCTTCGACTTGCTGCAAGTTCAAGCCAATGCTTTTAGAAATATGAGACAACTCAACCACGCTGTAAGATTCGATGATCTTTAACAAGTTTTGTTCTAACAAGTTGTCGTACAATGCGTTGAAGTGGTTCTTAATGATAGGATCGGACTTCAACTCCAAGGAGTAAGTCAACAAAGCGTTCTCAAACTCCTTCAAGGACCTATTGGAGTAAGCTGTTGCAATTGCTTTCATGGCATCAATATCCTTCGACTGGTACTTGATCACATTCTTGTTATTCAAGATCGTCTTAACATCATCAATCAAGTTCAACATGATTTTCGTTAGTAACATGTATTTCAACACGACGATCGCTCTTTCATCACTCTGAGAGTTGAAACCTTCAAAGGATTCATAGAAGTAAGAGAAAGCAGTTTTATAATCCTTGTCTTCAGCATTCAAGATACCACTTTGGCAGTCAAGTTCGGCCTGCAAGATAGTTGGACAGTAGATGGAGTTGGCAGAAGTTCTCGCACTGGTCAAAGCTGCTCTGGACTTGGGTATATTTCTCAAGGCGTGATAGATTTGCGATTCAACCAACTGGACTTCAACCAAAGATGACTTATCATCCAATCTCTTGTATTCCCTCAACAAGTCAGTTATGATTCTCAAACCCTCCTGGTATGAGCCCTTCGTATAGAGTCTAGCAGACAACTTTAACTGTAATTGCTGTCTCAAGAAGGACAATTTGCTCTCTATGGCCCACTCAATGGACTCTTTGATAGCGGTTATCTGGGAGTCGAGGGCTCCTGGAATAGCGTCGAAGTCCTCAACCAAAGACTTGACTATTTTAGCGGTTTTGGATTTAGCAAATCCACCCAACACAGCACGAGAGTCGCTGATTAAAGTGTGCAACTTGACAGCATCCTGTAATTCCTGGTATACTTTACCAAGCTCGAGAATGGCGACTTCCTGGTCTTGCAACAACTTCGTTCTTCGGTTTTGGTCGTCGCCGTCTGTCTTAGCATTGATCACCGACCAGTACTTTGTTTCAGCTTCATCGTATTTCTTCTGTGAAGCAGCAGTTCTTGCCTGCTCTATGGCCTCAATGTGTTCGGACATGGCAGTGTAATGAAATACCGTAATGTGTGGAGTTGAGTGTACTGTCGATTTGCCTCTATCATTGGCAACTATTGTGCCGGACACACACACTTCAGCAACACCCAATTTGCAACCAGTAAACGGATTATATATACAATAAAGGAATAGATGATTCAATTGATGGTTTTAAGCTTTCTGGAACTAATCAATTGAATGTTTACTAAAAAGGAAGCAGTGGGTGGTGCTTGGCTCTTGTTGGCAACTGCTAATAGTGCAGGTGGTTAGGGCAGAATGATACTATTCAACGAAAATTAAAAATTAGCCCAAACGAGCTTCATTATTGTACTTAAATAGTCCTTTCATGGTCTTTTGATACTTTTCTAATAATCCTCCTTCATTGAAGAACATTTGTCACTGACATCACGTAACTTGAAGGATGCTACTACTGGTATAGTATTGGGTGCGAAAAATTCTATCTACTTCACCATGCTTAGAGTGGGTCTTCGAGCCAGCCGGGTGCCTCACCTTCGAGCTCCCTCTGCTGTTCCAAAAGCAGTGATTTCTTTAGCTATAGGAAGATGCTACTCTCAGTCTCCCTTCAAAGTCGACTATAAGAAGGTTCAGGAGGAAAGAGAGAAACAGAAGTTGCCTAAGTACAAGCAATGGGCCCTCTACTTTCAGACAAATGAGTTCAAAAGATCCATGACAAAGTACTATCTTGCTATGTTCGGTGTCATGCTTGTGGCCATGTATTACTACATGAGGGATAGATGGTACGAGGACCAGCAGATCAAGCATATCAGAGCCAAGTACATCGAAGACCCGGGATGTCTCAGCGAATATGAGTACTTGAAGCTCAAGAAGTTCACTGGTGACAAGTTGAAACCTCGTGAGGAGAAGAAGTTTAAGTTGTACCAGATGATGAGAAAGGAGTTCAGGAGAAAGAATATCTTCGATACTACTGTCATGTTCGAACCTACACCAGCTGATTTGGATGAATGGTATTCTAAACAGGCTAAGAGAACTACCAAGACAGCAGTTGCTGATGATGACGAAAGTTTGGAGGAAAGAACCAAAATCTCGAATGCATCTAACCCTGGTATCGTACCTCCACAAGACACCACTGACTTCTTCGACGAAAAAGCCGAAGAATACGACAGACAGATCAAGTGGGAAGAGCGTGGTGTCATGATGGGCAGACGTAGAAAGTGGTTGATGCAACAGATTGAAGGCGATGTTTTGGAAGTTTCATGTGGAACAGGAAGAAATATCCCATACCTTAACTTGGATGCCATCAAATCGATTACTTTCACTGACTCATCAAAGAAGATGGTAGAGGAAACTCAAAAGAAGTTCAACAATGCATTCCCAAATTTCAAGAAGGTTGCCTACGTCACTGGAAAGGCCGAGGACTTGGCTCACTTAGCTGAAAGCAACAACGTGAAGTACGATACCGTCGTGGAAGCCTTTGGTTTATGTGCTCACGAAGACCCAGTGACTGCCCTTAAGAACATGGCAAAACTTTTACGCCCAGGCGGCAGAATCGTTCTTTTGGAGCACGGCAGAGGTACCTGGGACATGGTTAACAACCATTTGGACTTCCGTGCCGAGAAAAGAATGAAGACATGGGGATGCAGATGGAATTTGGACATTGGTGAGCTCATAGACGACGCTGGCTTAGATATCACCTACGAGAAAAGGGTCCATCTCGGTTCCACCTGGATGTTAATATGCAAAAAGCCAGACGATAGGCTTCGTGTTGACGAGAAGCCTTTCATTAACAAATTGATGGGCACAGAGGCTCCAAAGATCAAGAAAGAATAGACAGACAAGTTGTACATAGTTAAACAAGGACAAGGGCACCCACATATGCCCATATGCATATTACAAGTAGATACCCTCCTCTTCCACCTTTGATTGCTGGCCCCTCTTTGCCAATTCTTGCTTAATAGCTGCCACACGTTCTAGCTGGCTCTTTATAACCTGTTCATTCTCGGCAATAGTCTCTTGATACAAGGTGTTACTGTCTGGATCAGCGTTACTCTTGATCTCATTATCCAAATACTCGTTCGTTTCCCTCAACTTGGAAAGTGAGTTCTCCAACTGCAGTAAGACAGATTCAATGTTTTCGTTTGTAAGGTCCTCGAGGGCGAGCTTGAAGTCCTCGATATGGATAGGCGTTGTTTCAGAAGACATGGAGGCGATAGTAGTAGTAGATCAATAGATAGTGCGCACTTACGAAATAGTGAAAAGTTGTATAGCACCTCTTCATGCTTCGAAGACTCCCACTACAATGGCTTCGTTTTGCCAGTCAAAGGGCTACAATTAATGCTATGAAGGCAGAGGACCTCATTGAACCTATTCACCCGCTTCTCTTAGCCAGAGCGCAGGCCATGACCAAAGAGTACGGTTCTCTTGAGAAGAAGATGGAAAATGGAGGCTTCGACCAAGACGTCAGCATTCGTTTCCTGACGGTATCCACGATATTGGAGAACTACCATAAGTACAAGAGTGATATGGAGAATGTCACTGCTCTTTTGGATATCATTAACGAAGAGTCCCCAGACCAAGAGCTTTTGGAAGAGGCACAGAAAGAACTCAAGGATATAATACCCAACATTCTGAGAACTTCCCAGAACCTTCAGAAACGGTTATTACCACCGTTGAGTCACGATGATAAGCCAGCTATGATGGAACTCCGTCCTGGTGTGGGAGGATCAGAGGCTGGCCTTTTTGCAGAGGACCTTCTCAACATGTACATAAACTATGCCAATCACAAAAAGTGGCCTCTCAAGATTATGAGCAAAACTATTGGATCTAATAACGGTCTTTCTGAAGCTATTATCACAATCGATGCTCCTGGTGCTTACAATACGCTTCGACACGAGAGTGGTGTCCATAGAGTGCAGCGTGTACCTGCAACAGAGACCAAAGGACGTACTCATACTTCCACTGCAGCGGTAGTGGTGTTACCGAAGATGTCTGAAGGTACTGAACAATCGTTACAAGAGGATGAACGTCAATTTGCTCCTGGTGAAGTTCGTATTGATACCATGAGAGCTGGAGGAAAAGGTGGCCAGCATGTGAACACAACGGATTCTGCTGTGCGTTTGGTACATATTCCAACCGGAATCATTGTGATGCAACAAGACGAACGGTCACAGCCGCGTAATAAGGCCAAAGCTTTTCAGATCTTGCGTTCTAGGTTGGCGCTCTTACAACGTGAAAAGGAAATCGCTGAACAGCGCAAAATGAGGACCGATCAAGTCTCTACAACTGATCGTTCTGATAAAATTCGAACCTACAATTACCCTCAGAACAGAGTTACAGACCACCGTTGTGGACATTCAGTGCACGATTTACCAGGCGTCATGACTGGGGTTAAGTTAGACGAGTTGATTGAAAAAGTCGATGAGCACGAGTTCGAGGAACGTCTCCAATTCCTTATAGACCTGGAGAAGTAAATATAATAACTTGTATATACATTTTACTAGACGAAGCCATTAGCTGCAAAAGCGTTTTGATGAACTTCCTGCATCTGTAAGCTACTATCATCAAGTATCAACCACCTTCTTTATGAGTGATAGGAAGCGTGCCAACGGCGGAGAGGCCTCTAGCACGAAAAGACTGCGACTGGAAGTCCAGCAAACGCTATACATTAAGAATCTTAATGATAAAATCCCAAAACATACCATAAAGCATACATTGTATCTTCTATTTTCAACATATGGAGATGTGCTTGAGATATCGATGCCCAAGAAAATGCGTGGACAAGCTCACGTGGTGCTTGATTGCAAACAACTGGCGAATAATGCTTTAAGAGGACTCCAGAAAACATCCGTGTTTGGAAAAGAACTACATATTGACTATGCCAAGTCCAAGACCAAGCTTGTTGAAAACATCGAGAGACAGATAGAGGAAGAGACGTGATCATATTCTAATCCGTGTATTATTATGACAAAAGGACAGCATCCTCAAAGGCGTTCATTACACAATCAGGTACTCCCAATTTGCCCAATGCCGTTCCGCCCATGGTGAAATGTCCATCGCTTTCCTTGGTAATGAGCGTTTTCATTTTGCTGACATTCTCAAGGAAACCGACATTGTACTGAGGAATGCAATTTTCATGCAAGTTATAAGATATGAGTAGATCTTCGTCGCCAACGTCGATTACCTTGCTAGTTTCATTCGCCTCGTCACGAATGATGATGTTCTTGAACTTTGTCAAGTCAACATGCAAAATATCAGAAAGCACTTTGCGGGCTGTTCCGACGTTAATTTTGTTAGATGGCACTCCTCTGCTGTTGAAGAAATGACCTCCCATCATTAAGGTGACTTTGTGGTACGGTTGCTTTGGCATCGTCGTCTCATCCACGAATCTGACGGCGTCCAGTTCACAATCAGAATCATAGATCACGCCAAGGAGAGACTCTGGGTTCTTATTCCTTATCGGCACCAAAAATCCAAACCCACTGCCATTCTCAGGTATCAAGCATCTCTTTTTGTATATATATTTGCCAAAAAGATGGTGGTGTGCTCGAAGGACGTTAAGACTTTTGAAAGCTCTGGATTTTTGATTAACTTAGCGAGTCCCAAAGTACTCAGTGTGTACCTCACATGGTCAAACTTTTGCAGTTTTCCATTAACTGTGAGGTTCCCCTGAAAGTCAGCCTCCTCAACGGCGGCATCATAGATTAATTCCACGTTCTTCTGCTTTTGAAGGTATTCACTCAACACTCGCGGAAACACTTGTAGTCCATCGTGTAACCTCATGATTGGAAATTTCTTTAGTTTTTCAGACAAGCTGGTCATGTCGCTTTCAGGAGCCACCAAGGACTGGTACTGAGTCAATTGTGACGATAATTGCTGCTTTGGTTTCTTGCCGGAAGTCATGCCTTTGAACACACCTCTGATAATTGATCCATGCTGTGCTTCTAACTCTAGAAGACGAGGAAGGGTAGCCTTAACACTAAGCTTACCAACGTCACCACTGTAGACTCCGTGCATGACAGCACTAAGGACATTATCAGCCAATGCTGGAGACCCAAACCTTCTTATGAAGAAATCTCTTATCGACTCGTCCTTGGTCAAGTCTTTTGCTGGTTTCTGGAACGGCTCGTTTAAGACACTCTTAAACGCCCCTTTGGTGATATCGCTAGTTAAGAACTTCACAAAAGAAGACAAGGAGTTTGGAGTCTGCACCAAACTGTTTGACGGATCAAGAAGCCATTTTCTGTTGGCGTCAGATGAAGATTTCATAACCTCAACCTGATCTCCATACCCCAATTGCTTGAGTATATCCACTATGAGTAATGTACCATCACTGACACCTCTGAGGGTTCTTGGGCCTTTCTCTAGAACGATATCTTTCCCATCGTGTTTGTTTTTAAGTACCTCTGTAGAGATCCAGCCTCCAGGACGCTTATTCTTCTCGAAGATAGATATCTGTACATCTGGCCGGAGCTTCTGTAGGAAGTATGAAAAAGTTAAACCGGAAACACCACTACCGACGACAGCCACTTTTCCATTCTTCGGTATAAGCGACATTAGCAGTATGTCAATTGGTGGAAAAGAGTAGGTGGTATCTACTACTACATCGTATGATAAGGTTGTCGCTATACGCGCACTGATTTCTTTCCGTATAATACAAGTACTCAGTATGCATGGCGCAAACCGAGCAGCTTAGGGTCTCCCAAGTCTGTGGACAGAATTTTCGCCAATTCGTCCGCAGCCCTACTGGAAGTAGTTCCAGTTCCATTTCCGTTTCCATTTCCACTATCCAGGGTCTCATTCTTGAAGAGAGATCCAGGCACGATATCATTCTCAAATTCGCAGCCACTTCCAGGTATGATAGCCCGTGGCGAAACTGAACCAACATCCTTTGCAGGAACCCGCTCGTTGTTAGAGTCATGACTGGTGGACAGCGAAACCATATCATTTGACAGTACGCCTTCGCTGGCCGAATCAGAACTAAGTAACGAGAGAGGATCTCCTTCGTCTGGACCGCAACTCACATTATCTCTGGAGTTGGTTGACAAAGTATTCGTATCCGAGCGATCATTACGATTAATTGCTGGAGCTGGGGCAAAAGAGTTGCCTAGCGAGGTCCTCAACGTTGATGGTTTTCTTGGTACCGATGCAGCGGAAGGGTCGATCACCAAGTCGTCGATACGAAGCGTAGGAATATATTCATCGTTAGCGGGACCAGGCATAGACTCTTCGTACAGCGGAGCGGGTCCAACGTTGGTTATCGAATTAGCCCTGCTCAATGGATCATCAGCAACCGAAAACGATCTCATAACTGGAGAAGCTGACGCTGAAATTGCTTCTTCAAAAGACGGCAAACGATCATCTCCTTCTGGATCAAGAGGTTTGATACTTACACCGTTATTATTGTAGGAAGGTGTCCTGAAAGTAATCTCTCTTCTCAATGGAGGAGCCGAAGGCACGACTTCGGGATCAATCTCATCATATCTAGGAAGTTGTGTCGAATTTTCATTGCATTTTGCACTCAACAAGATAAGAGGAGTGTCGACAACAACCTCGTAATGATGCATACGATTGTTGTCCTTTGGATCCGGCTTAGAGATTCTGAATGACACCTGAAGTCTGTGGGAAATCTGTATGTGGCGGAAATTAGAGTCTGGAGCCAATGCCTTTTGAACGCTTGTATGTCCCTGTTGGATATTCTCTTTGTTGGTCTTGTGGTCTTCCATGAGAGCAGATGAATCGAGCCTAAGGAAATTTTCATCCATGTCGTCTGGAGCACCCGTAACGTCATTGGGTAAATGGCTGATTTGAGTTTCCAAAGAGCCAATAACTGGCGAAGATGGACAGAATGGACCGCTCAGAATAGAATCATGGCGAGCACTTGGGCGTCTGGTGGCCGAAGAAGTGCTGCTGTCTTCAGCATTAGCAGTCATCATAACCTTATCGGTTTTGCTTGTCAAAAATGGAAGAGCGATGTTGATGTCAAGAGGCGAAGCAATCATGGTTGACTTCTCAGGCTTGGCTAATGGATCATCCAGAGCTGGGTCGTCCTTTGGTTCATAACATGAGTATAACAAATTATTATCGGGACATTTGATAACCTCCTCCTTGAATGGTTCCGCTGAGCCCGAATAAGAGCTTCTATACTTTGTCTTGAGCTCACAAAGATGGATAACTCTTTCCCGAGTCTTATCATCATTGTGATGCTTGATCAAGTGGGGATCTTCGCTATCGTATTCGTATTCTCTTTTGAGATCCTTCGAGACGTAAGTGATACGCTCAAGCACATTGAACTTAATTCTCTTAAGGATGACATCCTTCATCAAAGGAATCAACTTCACATTAATGGTATGCTCAGACCCTAATGGGACGTATTTTTTAGGAAAGGTGATTATGTAGTGCATGGCGTCGTTCCATACCCTGTTGACGTAGATAGGTTTATCTGCCACGGAGTTGGCAAGCGATGGAGGAGTTCTTACCATTGGTAAGTTATAGTATGAATAGACCTTTGTCTTTCTATTGAGTTTGTCGCTCATCTTGGTCATGTTCATGGTCAAACGATGAACAAGAGAGCCATTAACAGAAGTGACGGATGCGGGCATATGGGAAGGAAGAATGAGAGGCAAAAGGAAAACATAAAGACCTGCTTTGGCTGTTTCCGGAATGCCCGAGGATGATATAGACATGGCGTCTGAAAACGTTTGATGAGTGGTACTGAATTCCTGACCTAACTGACCAGCCTTCTTGGAATTATTGACTGGATCAGATTCATCGGCCAAATCACGAACATTAACCAAGCGGTAACGCTTAGTACGTTGGGCAAGCTCATTGGGATCGATTTTACGAATTTTAGCATCATTAGAGTTCTGCGTGTTGATGTAGTAATCAGCATCACTCAAAGACAGAAGCCATTCGAAAGAACCAATCTTGAACTTCTCCTTCTGATGGTAATGGTTATGAGGATCGCCTGTAGGCCATAGCGTCAGTACGCAAGACTGGAAATCAAACTTGACTTCACGAACAGACGTCTCCTTCGTGAGTTCCACAATAAAAGCGAAAACGTGAGGTATAGGTGCGTTGGAGTCGATTTTCGTGCACAAGTAGTTGGGAGAGTTAAACGGCTGAAGTTTCAGCTCCAAGTTCAGACGGCTTGGCGAAGAACTCAAACCAGATATGGATTCGTCAAACTCTTGACGAGGATCAGTTTCCAATTCTTCCTGAATGTCTGTAGCGTTTTGAGCAGGTACCTGGGCGCCGCCGTTCTCCACGTCGTCATACGTGAAACTGGCCAGCAGCGCTGGCGGCAAATAGATGCAGTCATTTGTGTTTGCAACGAAACAGCGAATCAGTTTAGACTGGGGTCCCAGCGTCAGACTATTGGTTGTAAGAAGCGGGAACGGTTGCTGAAGGCCCAAGTCTGCCAACAAGGACTGGAGCTTCTTCCCCACAACCTGAGAGGTTTCATGCTTGATAAGCTCCTTGGCCTGCTTTTTCAGCACAGAGCGCAGACGACGAGGCACTTCAGGTCCTCCTGAGCTCAGCACCGACAGGGCCCTGAGTCTGGAGGCCAGGGTGGAGTGTCTGGGGTGAGGTTCGTCACTGATCACCACTGTTCTGTTGGTAGAAGTCAGGGCGCGTCTGTTGGCGAAAGGCAGCGTAGGTAGATCGAATATCGCTGGCTCAGACAGTCGACGCGAGACCTTCTGTTTGAGTCGCTCGAACATGATATGGATATGGAGGAGGTTGGAGGTCGATTTCGAAGGTGGTGAGACGTGAAGTAGTTCGTACCGATGACCGAGGGTGCAGGAACTGGGAAGATAACAAGAAAAAAAAAAGGAAGAGGAGAGGCTGAAGACAAAAAAAAAAAAAAAAAAAAAAGAAGAGGTAAAAGAAAAGACAAATTTAAATGTGGGGATCTAAAACCCAAGATATCTCTCCAAAGTCTTGGTGCTCCACTTCCCCCTAACAGTGTGCGCCCTCTAGCGTTGTTCAGCCTTGCTGGCTGACGGGTCTGGCGGGTCGCAGTAACTCGGTCGCTCGCTCGCACGATAAGGCGTGCGCCCAGATTGCTGGGGGCCAAGTTGCCGAAACTGCCAGAGCACAAAACGGTCCAGAGCAAATCAGGACCAGAGATTAATGGGAAAGCGAGGCGTAAAGTAAACCCGAGACGTAGCAACACAAAACGAAAAAGAAAAAAGAAGAATAACAAGAACAAATTATACTTGGGTTGGCTTTTGATAAGGCGATGGAAGAAAATAAGGTTTGGTTGTGAGAATGCAAGTTTGCAATTTTTCAGCAAAAAGAGGCTCTGGCGGGCTCTAGCGGGCTGGGGGGTGGTGAGGAAATTCGAGATTTAAATCGTGGGGCAGGCAGGGCGAGAGTATAAAATTGTGTTAGGGCGCCCTGGTGCAGATAAAAAAAAAATGGTTAGGCAAAAAGCGCGATTAAGGATACATACTGGTTGCAAAAGTTTATGGGGATATTTGTGATTCTAGGTATATTTGCTGTTGTTTTGTTGGAAATTAGGTTTACGGCAAACTTGGAAGGGTAGTGTCTCATAGTTCAAGCCTCATGATGCTAATTTGCTTGGGACTTGTGGTGGAAGCGGTACCACTTTTATGGTGTCTTGGCATCTGCGACTATGCCTGACTACTGGACCTTCCTGGTTATGGTCGCCAGAATGCACTGTGTATTTCTATTACGTATTGTGTTGGGCAGATGTGGCTGCCGGGCATATACTGGGGGAACAAGGTTTGTTCGACTTCTGGAGGGGCCTTCTGGAGGGGCCTAGTATGGGTATGGGGTTGACTTGGCGCCTGATTCATGTCTCCAGGTTGGAAGGGGATTACCCCGGATTGACTGTCTATGGTTGTAGATCAGTGGGACCCTTTTCTGTAGCCATGGTAGACCTTCGTAGATCTCCTATCGGTCTGCTAATTGTCTCAAACAGTTTATTATGGCCTTTTATGTTCATGTCTCGTTATTTATTTTCATCCACCAGTATGGTCTAGTCCAGACCAGAATCCGTGAAACACGTATCAACGTAGGAACCTCCTTGAAGCAACACCGTCACCGCTCTTGGAACAACCTCGACCTGGATTGGCAGCAACGGGAAGTTTTCACCGTCAACTGAAATGTAATGCTTTCTGTCATCGTCCACTTTGGGCACCAACCTGTAACCGAGGACCTTGGCGTGGATCACTTCATTTGAATGAACGTGTGCACCACGATCAATCTTAGTAAACAAGCCTATCATATGAAGAAGAGGCGCTTTGGCGTTCGTCACCAACATATCCATCATACCATCCTGTGGTAATGCTGCTGGGAAGAACTGTGCCTGGTCAGACATGTAAGGCATTTTGCCAACATAGAAGATGTTAACGTTATCACTAATCTCTGGCTGCATCTTCTCCCATTCAGCTGGTGGCTCCTCTGTAAGCTTAGGATATATTTGCTTGGTGCTGCCTTCCGCAGTCATTTGTCCTTTTTGATGTCTCTCAAAGTGGCTCTTGACCTCGTGGCCCTCGCAACCATAATGAACCCACAAATCACAGGGATACTTAGCCTTGGTGATGAGTTTATGGGCTACACCGATTTCAAAACGGATTGGACCCATCCATCTTAAACTTTCAGTACCAATATCGGCATCAGCGATGGATCCGTAAGCCTGAGACACGAAACTGATTCGCGTCTGTTCAACATCGTTTTCCATCTGAGTGACAGCCATCACATCCATTTTAGTTCTTTCTGCCTTTAACATACGGAACGCTGCCATAGCAGCGTCGTTGGTGCCATGAGTACTCAAAGAAAGAGCGTTACCGGAACCACACGGGAGCTGGGTGATGGCGATCTTATCGAAAGCGGATTCACCGGAACCTTCCCTTTCAAACATACCGTTCATGATCTCATGGGGAACACCGTCACCAGAACAACACGCGATAACATCGTACTTAGATTCATCGATATCACGGCCGATTTCCACCGCATGGCCCTGGTGTGTGGTTTCTTGATACGTGACGTTGACATGAGCTGCCTGAAGAACAGGCAATATCAGCGACTTGTAAATCTCTCTGGCCTTGCCTTTTCCACCAAAACTATTAAGCACAATCAACACCAGCGGCGCGACTATACTGCCCTTGTAGGCTTTCTTCAAGATTAAACTGGCGATATCGTGGTTCTCGGCAGCATATGACACGTCCACAAGCATATTTTTCACCTCCAATGTCTTACCCACACGTTCGATGTAAAAAACCTTCACCACGGTATTATCGTTGGCCAGCTCGCACCAGATGATATCGGAATATTCAATCAAGTACTTTGTGGCCGGATCAGACGAGCCTGATCCCAGGCAACAGAGCTCTGAAGCCAGCGCTCCATTATTGGACAGCGACGGGCCCGTAAGCAGAATGCCATCTTCCCGGATGGTACCATGACGGACAAAAGATGAAAGGAGCATTTCTGATGACATCCACGGCGGAGCGAGTGATATAATTTATAAGGTGGGTTCTCTGGCGATGGGTGTTTTTGCCGTCTTTGTCTCGCTTTTTCAAACAATACCTGAGATGATCACGCTAACGAAGGAAAACAATGTGTAGTTAGTGTCACAAAAGCGAGCAGGCCGGGAGTGAAAAAAAAAAAGGACTAGTTGGAAAAAAAAGGTATATTCTGAAAAAAGGTTTTCAAACGAGATCTCGCTTTGAGATCTTACCTGGTATATAAAGTAGGTGTTCCACGACAGGGTCTACTCTTTTGGGAAACCCTGCACTCAAGTAAGGTATTTTGCTGAGATAGGCGTACCGTGTAAGATAAGAGGTTTTTTTTTTTTTTTTTATCAATCGTGGTCTGGAGAAATCTGTATGGGGCTGTGGGGTGCTGAATCTGGTTGATTGTTTTTAACTACTGTACGGCAAAACTCCGGGCTAGGGCCCACGAGTTTGGAATCCTTGTCCCATTTAAGCCCTGAGGCAATTTCGGGAAAAACGCCTTGTGGGCCGATCCGCATTTTCTTTTTGACGTATTATTCTTTATTTACTTCACTCGTCGTCTTCTAGGTCTTCTCCGCTCAACGTGAATGGCTCCGGAAGGGGTGCTTCCGTCATGTTCAATTGCCTCACGGTCTTGATAATTTCCACCTTTTCGTCAGGTTTCGTGTCTTGCAACACGATTATACCGCCAAAGCCACGGTGACGACGAATAGGCACGAAACGGTCGTCTTTGATGAACGACACGTAGTTGACTTGGGCGGGTAAAACACGGGACAAGTTGCTGATTTTGTATGGGGTCTTCAGGTATCTGATCACCACTTGCTCGTTGGCAATGGGCTGTTCTTCCTCCTTCTCGTCGCCCTCTTTCTTTTCATCTTTCTTGTCGGTCTTTTCGTCCTTCACGTCCTTCTTGTCGTCTTTCTTGTCTTCTTTCTTCTCAGCCTTCTTCAGTTCAACCTTTTCGGGCTTAGCCTCCTCCTTCTTGACAGTGACCTTCTCTTCATCGACATCCATGTCGTCAGTCTTTCCTTCTTCCTCTTCCTTCTTGGCCTGCTGTTTCTTAGCTCTGGCTTTAGCCTTTGCTGTCGTTGAAAGCACAGCCGTGGCGACCTTGTCAGGCTGCTTCTCCTTTGCCTCCTCGATCTTTGGTGGATATTGGAAGTAATCTGGAGAGCTGTGAACATTCAACTCAAATTGTGGAGCCTTCAAATCTTCCTTGACACCGATGATGGCCGTAGGGGCGAATGAAAGTGACAAGAAGTGTGCCAATGGGAACCAGTACCAAGACTGAACGAACACCGCGAGACCAACAATGGCCTTGACATTCAATGTGTTGGTGTTACCGTTTTCTAAGTTGATGGTGACATTTCTTCCACCAGCATCGATGATACCTTGAGCGGTGGCAGCACCAAACTTGGCCAAAGCATCTTCGTGCTTGTTCTTAACAGTATCAGCATACAAGTTAGTGAACTCCTTAACCTTTGGATAGAGGTTTTCGTTCTGTTGAATCAAGATCATAGCAGAGGCTTGCAATGCACCTTGTCTGACAAAGTCGACTGCATCTCTAGTCAATGGTTCCAAAACTTCGATGGCTGCTGGCAAAGCTCTACCGGCACAAGAAATACCCAAAGCCATGGCAGTACCGTAACGAACGTGTGGGTTATGGGACTGAGATAATAAGTCGACAATTTGAGGAGCAGCATGATAATCACGGACAAGCAAGAAGCCCAAACTCATAACAGAGGCTCTTCTGACATCATCAGATGGGTCAGAGACAGCAAAATGCAAAAGTTTCTTGATGGCACCGTTGTTACCAGTACCCGCGTATGCTAAGGCAATAGTGAAAGCACCTCCATATCTTAAGATTGGGCTCTCCTGATCGAGAAGCTTATCTATTATAGGTAATGCCTTATCTTCCTGGCCGTAGTTCAACAAAGCAATACCAATGGCCAATCCACGAATAATGTTTTCGTGTTGAGTTTCTTGAGCATAAGTGAACATGTCATTGATGGCTTCCTCATTGCCAGATCCCAACATAACCAATCCCATTGCGAGACCGGCAGCTTGGCCTGAAACTGCTGAGTCAGAATACAAAACGACCTTCAAAGCTTCATAAAGACTTTCACTGTTGGTTGCCATTCCAGCAACACCACTTCCGAGACAAGCACCGTGCAACATCACATCAGTATCATGGCTGCCTGCAGCATTGCCTTGTTCGTCGATGAACAGCTTCAAGTAGTCAATTGTTTCCCTACCATGGCCGGCAAAGATCAAACCCAAGGCGAACAAGGAACCACCCTTTGTGTGAGAAGCACCATTCGAGCCAGGCAAGTAAGGCTTCAAGATATTACGGCCTTGAGAAAGGTTACCCTTGTGGATAACACCGAGGGCAGCAGTGGCGGAGAACTTCGACCAGTTAGTGGCCTTACCAAGCCATTCCAAGTTTCTTCTAAAGAAAGAGTCATCAGTAGTACCCATGTGGAAGAAAGCATTGGCGAAAGTCACTGCGGAATGGAAGATAGAGTTTCTGCCTTCCAAAAGATTTTTGGTCTTGTTCAAGATAGTAAGGTCGATATTCTTGTTCTTGTACAAGAAGGTGATATCTAAGTCACATGTAGGGACTCCTGAAAGAACATGGAGTAATCTAGCTTGCACGGGCTTAGTAGCATCGAAAGATTCATCTGCAGATAATTCTTTTGCCACAGACTCCACCAATTCTTGAGATGCAGAACTGACCAAGTCAAAAGCTCCTTGGTATGCAATCAATTTCTCGTCCCTGGCAATAAGTTGTTTGAAAACCTGGACGGCCAAGTTGGCATCACCCAATTGGATGATAATCTTGAAAACAGTGAAGAAGTCTTGGTGGCCCTTCAATGACAATAACAAGTCGATCAAGGTGTTCAATAAGTCTACCCTGAAGATACCGTTGGAGACAACAGAATTGGCACAAACCAACACGTAGTTGATCAAAGCCAATCCGTATTCACCATCACGATTAGATTCATCCTTGATGATGTCGTTGATTATGTCTAAACGGAAACTCTCCAAAGCAATTCCCAAGGCGAGTTTCAAGTCGTTTGCTGCGACACACTTGGCCACCATTTTTTCGAAAATCAAAGTAAGCTGGGGGCTGATAGTAGCTTCCTCGCCCAAGTACTTCTTCTGGGACAATTTGGAGTATATGTTGATACATTGGGACACAATAGTTTCGATGTATTGAGACTTCTCTTCAAAGTCAAAGTCATTCTCGGCTCGGAGACCATACTTCACTGAAGCATCGTAATCACCCAAGTTATAGTAGACCTTGGAAATAACGAGAGCAGCCAAAGATCTCTTTTCAAACAGTGGGTCCTCGTAAAGGTCTTCCAATTCCTGGAGGTTGTTGGCGATCTCTGCCCAAAGCTGGTCAACAACTTCATTCAAAGACGATAAAGCATACAGCTTCAACGAAGGGTCCAGCTCTGAAAGCAAAGCCAAGTAAGGCGCAGCTGAGACCAACGCCATTGTATTTTGTATGAAGATGGTTTGGTTTGGTATGGATCGATCAAGTATGGAGATATGTGAGCACTTGAGACTCGGTGGATATCTATCGCCACATTATGCTGCGCACGACCGTCGAACCTTGAAGAACGGGTCAAAGGAGGCCCACCGGTGGCAACAACTGAAAAAAATAAAAATAGCAAATTTAAAGAGGAATAATGAGTTTATGAAAGGAATCGAAATCTTTTGAACTTTTGTTTTTCCGAATCTTAGCCATTAAGTGTCACCAGGGTGTGTTGGTTGACTATGCTAATGGTTGCGAAATGCTCGATGACAAATGTTCCTAGCATTTATCACCAGTTCATGGGCATAAAAGTAGCCAACGACAAATGAAACGGGAAATGATCACTCTTCAGTCTTCAGTCAATTTGCAGTTTTTTATATTGGACCCTATTGGCCATTGAAGTGGTCTTTCTTCACCTAAATCCCTCTTGATATACCAACTCCACCGATTTTCCAAGAATATGCCCTTTTCGACAACCCATAACGAACCAGTAGGCTACTTTTACCGCGAACCACTCCTCGTCCTCTTTTCTTTGCATTATGTCTGCATTTTGCTTGCGCTGCCTGACAATTTGCAACCGTTCCATGCAAAGCGACAATAGGCAATACAATCCATAACGTCTTCTAGTAAACAAGGAATGTCAATTGGCTCGATACGAGACGGAACTCCCTACTTCTCATGAACCAAGAGGTTGATATGATAAGAATGATAAGGCTTGGAAGCGGAGAAGCAATGCTATCCACCAATAGCATCCAAGATTTCAAAGTTACAAGAAATTGCATTTACCAAATTGAATGACCGTGATGGGGAAATCCACGTTCCCATTACTCCTTCTAGCTACTCCTTCTGTATACCTGGTTCCTTATCCGTTTCGGTACTATCAAACCTCAATCCCTATGTATCTCGGCAAAACACAACCCACTCACCATTAAGTCTGCCTAACATGGCATCATCGATACTTCGGAGTAATGCACCATGCTTTCCGTGTTGACTCGGGTATTCCAAATGCACAAGAGCTCACCTGACTCTTCTGCCTGTTGTGCATCTTTACACAAGGTGGAATGGCTGGTGTTACTATATTGAGAAAAAAATAGCTTATCATGTTACATTTGCGTCATCCACGCAAATCTTCCCGAACGGCTGCAAAACAGTGGTGAATATGAAAGTAGAATTTCAAGTTCACTACGTTTCCATGGCAAATCGAAGACTCATGGCAGCTTCACATTTTTGAGACACTTTTTTGGCACCTTTCAGGTAGTATAGTCGCGTCTCCAATCCTTATCAGCTGCCATGCCACAGAGCCACAGTTATCCGCGGCTTATTTAGATCATAAGGGTGATAACTGTGTAAGTTTGTTCTTTTCTTTCTTTCTCTTTTTCATCTTGATCTGTTTCTTTTGAGTAGGAACTGCCTCCATCGCCTCCAGAACTCGCCCAGAATAGCTGTATCTAAGCGTACTGCTACACCGCCATTGTCAATACCACTAACAGAAGCTCGGTTTAACTTGAACACTAGCACTTCTGACCTTAAACACGACTCCAAGCAAATTTGCCAAATTACCCCGACTTGGCCAACCGTTGTTTACTAAACCGGCGCAGTCTATTCTCGTTTACTGGTGGTACTCCTCCGGATAATCTTTACTAGATCCGGCCATACCAGCCTGCCACACTCAAACGCAAAATCTAGACCGACTTCGCCATGACAGTCGTATACTTCGTAACTCGTCAAGAGTACCACGAAATCATCTCCAAGCTGAAGGAAACACTCTCGTTTGTGGCCCATTCAGCCACCTGGTGCCCACCATGCCGTGCGGTCGCCCCATACTACGAGAAATACTCCGAGAATTATCCCAAGGCCCGCTTCTACAAGATCCAAGAAACTGACGAGGTGGATGAAGAGATAGATGCAGTAAACAAAGAAGCCAATATATACTCGTTCCCAACATTCATAGCCTTCAGAGGTGGCCATGAACGGAGCCGTCTTCCCACCGGAAACCCACACTACCTTGAGGAATTCATCAAACGCAACTACCAGCAGTTTGCGTGAATGACGTAATAACCTTTCCAGACCCTCCCGGCACGGTTTTCCGGTATTGTATAGTCTAAATATTGACAACAAACAAGGGATGATATTCCAGTCGCCAAAAATACCCAACTTTCTCTTGGGCTACGCACCCCAGTATTTTGCAACCATGCCCAGTGCGTTCGCCTAATTTCCTGCTTTCTCGCGGCTAAGGAACCACAAAAAGCAACTGGCATCACCGCAAAGCAAGCATAGAGAGAAAAAGTAGGATCAATTTGCCCCGCCTAATGGCCCATTTTCGTCCCTGCATCAGCTCCAGTTTCAGCAGCCAAGGCTGCCAAGACTGGGGGAAATGGCTTCAGCAACCGGAACATGGTTGGGACCTGTGTACGCGGCTGCGAATTTCCACTTTGCCTCAACCTGGAATAAGACAACAACATAACATAGCCCGTGGCGTGAGCCAGGGGGAAGTGGAAAAAGAACATAAATTTAAAGATGAACTTCTCTTTTTCGTATTTCTTAATCTATATGTATACTGGGCTAAATATAATCCTGGGGGCCCCGCGTCGCCCCACCCCCACTGTTTTTCTTGGACTCATTTTCGCAGCCATGAAAGAAAACCTTGTCTACGTCTTCTGGATGCAAACCCTCGCTCATAACTCTTACCTCTCGGAACTACACGTCGCCCCCCATTCTGGATTGTCTTTGTGGATCGGAATTTTTTCTTAGCATGGAGAAATGCATCATCGCTTCTTGTTTGTTCCCCAGCTGCCGTCGCCGTGGCACCTATGCTTTAAAGCGGAGCCATTCTCGGGTGCCGTCATGTTTTGCAGCCATTATAAATATGCCCTGTAGTCTCTCTTAACCTGGCTTTTCTGACTCTGCAATATCCCCAAAATGTCTGCTAACGAACCGACTCTAGAGATATTGGACGCTGAGAAGCCGACAGTAGAGATGCTGTCGTCCTCGCTCTCGCTGAAGAACTCCACCTCGGGCATGGCCTCCGATAGACCAGGTCAGCGTGGTAATGTTCTTGCTCATTTTACTGAAGCTGAAACCATGAAAATGGGAAAAGAGTACGCTGCTAAGTATAACTTGGACCAGGACCTTTTTGCTCGTGCCGCTGCTTTGGCAAGAAACCCTGCTGACTTCAACTCCATGGACTTTCTCACCGAGTATGAGAAGGAACAGTTGACTCTCGAGGTGACCAAAAAATGGCATATTCCACGTAAGTTGGTCCAGGTTATTGCATTGGGTTCTATGGCTGCTGCTGTTCAAGGTATGGACCAGTCTGTCATTAACGGTGCTACCTTGTTTTACCCTGATGCGTTTGGTATCACCGATATGGAGAATGCCGATTTGATGGAGGGTTTGATTAACGGTTCGCCTTACTTGTGTTGTGCTATTGCTTGTTGGACTTCCGACTGGTGGAACAGAGCCATGGGCCGTAAGTGGGTCATTTTCTGGACGTGTCTTATTTCTGCTGTCACTTGTGTTTGGCAAGGTTTTGTCAGTATGCACTGGTACCATTTGTTCATTGCTCGTTTCTGTATGGGTCTTGGTGTTGGTGTCAAATCTGCCACCGTCCCTGCTTACGCTGCTGAAACTACTCCTCACACCATCCGTGGTTCCTTGGTGATGCTTTGGCAGTTCTTCACTGCTGTGGGCATTATGTTTGGTTATGTTGCATCTTTGGCCTTTTACCACGTCCCAGATAAGGGAATTGCTGGTGGCTTGAACTGGAGATTGATGTTGGGCTCGGCTTCGATTCCAGCCTTCATTGTCTTGTTCCAGGTTCCAGGTGTGCCAGAGTCTCCTCGTTGGCTTATGGGTAAGGATAGACACCAAGAGGCTTTTGAAGCTCTTTCTATCTTGAGACGTGATGAGATCGCCGCTGCCAGAGATTGTTTCTACCAGTATGTTTTGTTAAAAGAGGAGGCTGCTTTTAGTGGTATTCCATACTTCAAAAGAATTTGGGAAATGTTCACTGTCAGAAGAAACAGAAACGGTGCCTTGGGTGCTTGGATTGTCATGTTCATGCAACAGTTCTGTGGTATTAACGTCATTGCTTACTACTCGTCTTCCATTTTCATTGAGTCTAACTTGTCTGAAGTCAAGGCTATGGTTGCATCCTGGGGTTTCGGTATGATCAATTTCCTTTTCGCTATCCCAGCTTTCTATACCATCGATACCTTTGGTCGACGTAACTTGTTGCTTTGCACATTCCCTCTAATGGCGATATTCTTGCTTGTGGCGGGTTTCAGTTTCTTGACTCCAGATGAAAATACAGACGGGAAGCTAGCGGGTGTGGCGACGGGTATTTACTTGTTCGCTGCTGTCTACTCTTCTGGTGAGGGCCCGGTGCCTTTCACTTATTCCGCTGAAGCGTTCCCATTGTATATCCGTGATTTGGGTATGGGTTTCGCTACTGCTACATGTTGGTTCTTCAACTTTATCTTAGCATTCACCTGGCCTCGTTTGAGAAACGCCTTCACGGTCACTGGTGCCTTTGGTTTCTACGCAGCATGGAACGTTGTTGGATGGTTCCTTGTGCTTCTTTTCTTGCCAGAAACCAAGGGTCTTACCTTGGAAGAATTAGATGCTGTTTTTGGAGTATCTTTAAGAAAGCACGCCATTTACCGTGCCAGACAGGCTATTTGGTACTTCAGAACCTACATTCTTAGACAAACCCTTGAGCCTTTGCCAGTCTTGTACGAGCACCAGAAGCGTTATTACCAGGAGAAGGGACTTGACCTTGACCCTGAGCTCAGCAAGCAGATCAGTAGAGAGCCCTTCTAAGCTCGCCGGAGTGTGTCTTGTTGTTTTTGTATCTGCCGACGAGTTACGACTATACCAATATTTTAATTCAACGTTTATTATTTCCATCTAAATGTAGTTTTTATTAATTAATGTGAGAAGCTAAGTTGAGTAGGTATTCTATGGTTCATATGATGCTGTTTAGTACAACAAACGAGTAGCAATCTTGTATGGGGTCTGCTCTAGCTGTTCGTACAAGGACTTGATATCCGTTTGGTCGACCTCGGAAATATCAGCCATCAAGTAAGCGACATCACCTCTGGAGTCAGTGAATTGCTTTTCGATATTGTGGTTGGACAAAATGTTGTTGACGGTCTTCAAAACACCTGGAACGTTCTGGTGAATGTACAAGACTCTGACACTGTTCTCCTGGTCCAAATCAAGGTCTCTCAAGGACACCTCTGGGAAGTTCACTGCACCAATGGAGTTACCTTCGTTAATGTACTTTGTCAAGGAAGTAGCAACCTCGACACCAATAGCAGACTGGGCCTCTTCGGTAGAGCCACCAATGTGAGGAGTCAAAATGACGTTTCTCAAGGAGCACAACTCTTCGGCGAAGTTGTTCAACTGGTTAGAGAACAATCCTTCACCATTCTTGGCTGGCTCGTGTGGGTAGACGTCCAAAGCGGCACCAGCGATCTTACCAGCCTTCATGGCCTCAATCAAAGCTGGAATGTCAATGACAGTACCTCTGGAAGCGTTGATGACGTAAGCGCCATCCTTCATTGCAGCGAACTGAGGAGTAGACAACAAGTTCTTGGTCTCAGCAGTTGCAGGAACATGCAAGGTCACGAAGTCAGCTCTCTGCAACAAGTCGTCCAAAGTTTCGACCTGCTTAGAGTTACCCAAGGCCATGATCATAGTGACATCGTAGTAGATAACGTTCATACCCATGGATTCAGCCAAAACAGACAATTGAGAACCAATGTGACCATAACCCACAATACCCAAAGTCTTACCTCTGATTTCCCAACACTTAGCAGAAACCTTGTTCCAAGTACCAGTGTGCATCTCGATCGAACGGTCACCCAATTGTCTGGCCAAGGTGATGATCTCAGCAATGACCAACTCAGCGACAGATCTGGAGTTGGAGAATGGAGAGTTGAAAACAGCAATACCAGCCTTACCAGCGTATTCCAAGTCAACCTGGTTGGTACCGATACAGAAACATCCGATAGTAACCAAGTTCTTGGCATGTTGAAGGATGTTGCTGGTCAACTTGGTCTTCGATCTGATACCAATGGCATGCACATCCTTAATCTTTTCGATCAACTCATCCTCTGGCAAGGAGGTCTTGTAGAACTCAACCTGGTAACCCTGGTTCTTGAAGATGTTGATGGCAGTAGAATTGACATTCTCCAACAACAAGATCTTGATGTCACCAGTGGAAAATGGTTTCAAGGCTTTGGTTGGCTTCAGGTAGATGCCTCCAACCTGACTCAAGTAGGACTGAGTGGGAGAGGTCGAAACGGCATGTGGAGAGCCAGATTCTGAAAGAGACATAGCTCTCTGGAATGAGCCAGCAATATCTTGTGGATTCGACATTTTGTGAAGATTGATTTCTTGGAAAAAAAAAAAGAAGCTTTTTGGAACCTTACTTTTCAAGTACCTTGGAGATTTTCAGAAATGAGTAACCGTTTTTTTTTCCTCTTCCACTACTGTGTCGCTGATTCCCACCACGCACGTGACTTTGCCTAAGTTTTCTCCCTGTCATTTTAACAGTATTAGATGAGTCATGGTCAAAAGCACTACCACTGGCCAGAGAGCCTATTCTTCGTTTCCTTTGAAGTAAATAAGACCTTCAAAATCCTCTTAGCCTTCCCCACCGATCTTGCAGCAGGTGCACATCTCTTATCGATAAGGAAGGGCACGTTGGCCAGAGTCATATTGACTCCGACCACAATACCACGTGTGTACAGGCACCTGCTTTATCAGGCGTCGCACATTTTCGGACTTGTTATTACCGAAACGTTAAACTGAAAAATTATGGGACAAGAGTTTGAAGGATGGTAGAAAATTTGTACAAAGGTGGCATAGGTATGGTTATATTAATTCTGAGAGGTAAAGTAGGCGTAATTGATGTCATGGGTCACTGGCAGAAAAACCCTTGTGAATGTGTTTATAGTGCAAGTTCGGAAGGAGAATGACGCCAATCCGTTCAATTCCATTCCAGTCGCTTAATTAAAGTATCAAAGCCTTCATTTTTGATCTACTTATTTTCTTCAAGTGCTTATCGTGTAAGGTTGTTTTGTATTTGAACAAAAAATTTACTCCACGATATGCACTTTAGACGATAGTGCATTTACAGTTACTCTGCATATTTGCCATTTTGCAACCAAAAAAAGTGTCAATTGGTCGAGTTTTGGTACTTTTGAAAAATCGTAAACATAAAATAAAAATTTTAAAAATGGAAAAGAGTACTCAATAATTAAGAAGAAAGAGACTGGTGATAGTCTGTTAATCACAAATTGAAGAAAATAAGATTTTGAGCTGGGCTTGGTTAAGAAAGTGAGGAATTCTTGTCTTCAGATATAAGGACCTACTTAATGGAATGCCGTCCTAACGTTTTTCTTGCCTCGAGGTAAATAAACGCCTACTATACAATAAGATGACTGGAAGTGTATTTTCTCCAATCTACGTAAAATAGAATTTGGAGGCATGTAACGAAAACCACTACTTGAGGACCTCTATTACGATGAACCCATCTCAGCACCGAAGAAGATTCTTCTTGGTCACAAAACAGCAAGCTAGTATAGTTTAACTGAAATTCTGGTTCCAACCACGAAGTTCCACCATAAGTTGTTCGGCTAACGACGGTTAGTGCTCTTCCGAAGAACCCGAAGCTTTCTTAGCGCACTTCTAAACACGATCAGACCATCCCCACCTTCAGAAGAGAAGAAGTACAAAACAGGCCGTATAAAAAAACCCCCTTATTAAAACACCAATATGGGTTTGCCCTCAAGACTCATCTCTATCTATCAAATCTTACCGGGTAATCCGCAATCCCGGTATCCAGATTAGCGAAACCAAGACCTACAAAATACCCCATACTCTCTTCCCCTCCAAAAACGTTTTCTTGTAAGCTTAAATTTGCCTTACCTAATCCAATCACTCTCTAATGCTTCCCCACAAGTACACCAGCTCATCTCGTCTCGCTAAACCACCCCTCCTCATCGTATCGATACAGGTGTTTGCCCATCGAGTTGAAGATCTTCCCCTCAGCGATAAGAACGAACGTTGACATACCCCCACTTCATCGAAGGAAGAGGATCTGGGTTTTACTTGGCAGAATGTAGTGTTCCAATGGCACCGATAACTAAGCCGTTGCTAATGTACATGTATTTCAGGTTGCAAAATGGAACTTGCCAAATGCGCTAGGCTGACTGTTACTAGAGTCCATCCAGGCACTGCCATTTAAGGTTCTCACCATATCAGCCTCTCATATAACTACACCACCAAAGGCAAACCTGAAACGTCTTGCCCTTTGCTTGCCTCCCCACATTTACAGCAGAAAACTGAAACGCCCAGGATGACGTTCTTAGCCAGCATTTAGCTAGACTTTGGATCCACTAGTCCGATATGAGGAGGTGGAGGAGTTTTTAGTTTGCGGCTCTGTAGAGTTTCGCCAGGGAGTTCCCGGGTCGGAACGTTTTAGGATACTTCTTTTGCCGCACCATGGAAAAACCTTCGCTATAGTCTCTAAAGTATAGTCAAAGGAACCCCAAAGTAACGCTGGAAGCGAGAGATCAAGACAAAAAAGGTAAACTATGCCTCAATAATGACATAGTCTTGGACCAAGGCATCACTAACTTTCGTCACCTTCTTTGCCCAAAGTTCTTCCTGAGGCATCCAAGCTTTCGTTTACGAACTTCCCCACCGGAGTTCTATGCCTCGCGGGTATTTTCTCAAGGGCAGCGTACTTACTTACAAAACTGGAATGAACTGAAAGCTATGCTTGGACGCGACTAAGCGATCGGCCAGACAATAGCATCTCTTCTCTTGAAGGCCCTACATTGCATGGCTACAATGGGCAATTCTCTAGTAAATGTGTGCCTTTTGTCTGGTATTCCTGTGTGGCTAGGTGCGTTTTTGCACCCACCAGTTCCACCACCCACCGGAAAATTGAGGAAATATCAACAGCGGGGGTGGGGCGGCTGCAAACTGGAAAAAAAAAAAAAAAAACCACTTTGCTTAATCCTTCTCCTCTTCGAGATCTCTGGGCAAGGCACTCAGCCTACGAGGATCCCCTCTTATGTTTTCGTAAAGCTAGCAACTCTAATGTATATAAAGTGGAAGGAACATCTGCTTCATTTCGCTCCTCATCATGTCTTTGAAAGATAAATCTGGTGTATTAGTCGAGGAAGCCTCTGCCGGCTCCGATAACGAAAGAAAAGACTATTCTAATGCTTCTTTGGCAAGCGTTGAAGATGACCCGGAAAAAGAGGATTTTTCCGATATTGACGAGAAGAAATTGCTCAGGAAGCTTGACTTTCGTCTTATCCCGCTTTTCACCGTCTTATACTTACTTAGTTTCTTGGATAGAGGCAACATCGGTAATGCTAAAATCGAAGGTCTCCCCGAGGACTTGAACCTTGTGGGCAACCAGTTCAACATGGCGTTATTGATTTTCTTTATCTTTTACGCCGTGTTGGAAATGCCTTCCAATATGATTTTGCATCGTACGAAGCCTCATATCTATATTCCCACCACCATGGTTATCTGGTCTATTGTCATGACCTTGATGGGAACAGTGCAAAACTACGACCAGCTCTTGGCTACCAGAGCGCTTTTGGGTATTTTTGAAGCTCCACTTTTCCCTGGTATTTCGTACCTTTTATCGATGTACTACCTGAAAAAAGAGATTCTTGTTAGACAAGCCGTTTTCTTCAGTGCAGCTACTTTGGCAGGTGCATTTTCTGGTCTTTTGGCTGCCGCTATCGCTCAAATGGACGGTGTCGGAGGATACGAAGGTTGGAGATGGATTTTTATTATCGAGGGTTTGCTTACTTTCGTGGTTGGTGTATTCTCGTACACTTGTTTCCCATCCTACCCTAAGGATTGCAAGTTCCTTACTCCAAAAGAGAGGAGATTTGTCATTCACAAGGTCAAATACTCAACTAACGCTGAGCCAAAGAAGACCGATGGCGAAGAAATGCCACAAGACATTAACAGGGCTGAAGACGATTCTCGTGACAGAAAATACCTCTGGGCAGTTTTGAAGGACTGGCAAGTTTGGCTTCAGCTTTTGGCTTTGTATGGTGTTAATGTGCCACTTTATGCTGTGTCTCTTTTCGGCCCTACTATCATTCATAGTTTGGGTTACAGCACAACTGAATCTCAGCTTTTGGGTGTCCCACCATATGTACTTGCTACCAGTATGTGTGTCTTGCAGTCATGGCTCTCAGCAAGATGGGGTGTTAGAGCACCTTTCTTGATCTTTAACATCCTTTGTATCTGTGTTGGATTTGCTATGTGTTTGGGTGCAGATGCAGTTTCTACTCCAGGAGTTGTCTACGGCGGTATGTATGCCATTTCTTCTGGATGTGCAGCTTACCCTCTTGTGGTTATTTGGCTTTCCAACAATTTATCCGGTTCTTACAAGAGAGCCTTGGGTATGGGTTTACAGATCGGACTTGGAAATCTCAGTGGTGTTTTCGCTTCCAACTTCTACAGAACCCAAGATGCTCCACAGTATAAGCTTGGTCATGGTTTGGGATGTGGTTTTGCCGGAATGGGACTTATCGTTACCGTTATTATTGCTGTCAGTTACCTCGGTATCAACAAGAAGAGAAAGCACGACATTGCCCAAGGAAAATACGATGATGTACCACCAGAGGACCTCATTAAAATGGGAGACAGAAATCCTTACTTTCTTTATCGGTTGTAGCTGGTCTCCGCCGTTAGAAAGTTTTTATACACGAATTAGACTTATTTATGACATTATCTTTGGGAGCTTGTAATACTTCTACTTATATCTATAGAGATAGAGACTGTTTTCTTGATTGATAAGACACTCTTATTAGTAACATTCTTGAAAAAAATCTACCAGCCTTCTGATACACAGCTAGGGGTAGAATACCTACTGAAGCAAGGAGATATTTCTTTAATTAGTAATAATAACTTAAGATCAATAACTTTAGTACTATTGTAATTTCAACATCATGGCACTTAATATAATTCTTGAGAGTTGTCGTACAGTCAGAGTAGACTTCTCGGAAAGACTGGCTAGAGGTCAAATCATCGTGCAAAGTGGCATGTCTTACTATACTAAAAATACAGCAATTGGATTGTTAGGGAATAACGATTTTCTGACAACGGCAATGAAACCAAAGAACACATTGTAACTCTTTCATCGCATGAATGTGGGCACTGGATATCAGGAGGATCTAGGGCATTACCTTGCCCATAGTTGCAGCCAGGGAAGAAACCAGAATCCCTTGGCCTAAGAGTGCGGAAAAACCCAATTTTAAGAGCCTTTTTTTGTTAAAATCCGGCTGAAATCGTTAATTTGGGCACCACAGTTGTCATTCTACAGATAAAAAAAATCCATTAAATCTTAAATTTGTGCCATTTTTATACATTTTGTCGTTCTATGTGATATAATAATACCGTGTTTTTATGGTTTTCAACAAGCCTGGTTAGCTCAATCGGTAGAGCATTTGACTCTTAATCTTCATAAGGTCAATCAAAAGGTTGCGGGTTCGAGCCCCGCATCGGGCTTTCTTTTTGCAAATACTATTAATTTTTCCACTCATTCTCCTTAAAGACGGTCTAATCTTTGATTTCCAAGCTTGTGGCTGCTTTGAGCTTCAAAGTCTGGTCCAAACACCTCTTCGTGGAATGCCATTGTGTGGCTGCGAAATCACAATAGTACCAGCGAAAGGAGGCCCCTCCAGGAGGGGGCACATACCGCAAAGCCACCAGCACCAGAATGAAGCTTGAAACACCAATCATGTCATTGCAATTACTCAGCTGAAACTACCTTTACGTTGTTCTAAGCCTTGAGATGGTTTCTTCTTTTGTGGGTTTTTCCGAGATTCGATGAGCTCGTCAACGTTCCATCACCTTATGAATATAACTGGCGAACAAAACCAAAAACCAATAAAACTAATACCCTCTTCCATAAAACCTCAACCATACCCATTCTAGGCGTTCATGCGCATTGCACTGAGTCCATAACCAGAGAACACCATTCTAGCGTACATACATTACGCTACGTTAAATTGCAAAAAAAAAACAATCCTAAAATAAACTCACCAAAACCAAACCTCTCAATATATCCTAGAAACCCAAAAGCTTAAATAGCATTCATCATTCTTTTCTGGCCCACCCGTAAATGCCTGCCTCTCTACTGAGGTATCGCGGTATGGTGTTATCCACACAGTGGATAGAGCCGCGCTGTAGCCATGGGTCCTTTTAAGGGCTCCTCTGCACTACTGGATCAATCCTGATCTGCCCTGTTAATCCTTACAGAAGCTCCTCTGGGACCATCACCACATACCACAAAAGGCTTCTGGGCCTTTTCACTATCATTTATTTTCCACTTCCATGTCTGTGTCCTCATATCCTCCCAGGACGCCCACGGGCCAGTCGTCAATTGGTATGACTCCTGTGGTTCGTACTTCACTGAGGGACGTTGAAAACCATGTCCAGGTGGTGTGCCGACTTCGGCCCTTTGACGACCACGAAACCCAGCGGTATGGCTCCAGCACTCCGCTTGAGGTCATTGACAACCACACTTTGTGTGTGAACCACAAGGAGGCTCTGAATGTCTTTACGTTTGATAAAGTCTGCGATGCAGCCACCACACAAGAGGAGTTCTACCAGTTGGTCGCCTCCAAAACGGTAGACGATATTTTGAAAGGTTTTAACGGTACCATCTTTGCATACGGCCAGACAGGCGCTGGCAAGTCATATACGATGTTTGGCAGACCAGGTCTTCCTGGCATCATACCTCGCATAAGTCATAACCTCTTTTCCCAGATCAATAAAGCCCCAGCAGAAATAGAGCATACAGTTGAAGTATCATGCATGGAAATTTATATGGAGCAGATAAGAGATTTGTTTAATCCTGAAGCATCTGAGTTCTCCGTTCACGAGGATAAAGATAACGGAGTCTACGTTAAGGGTCTCTCGCACGCCTTTGTATCCACAGAGAAAGAACTCGAGGATATGGTAAGCTTTGGTACTTATAATAGGACGACGTCCCCCACTCACATGAACTCCGATCTGTCCCGTTCGCATGTTATTGTGAGGATAGTCCTTTCACAGAAATCTGCAGATGGAGAACTAACTAAGTCAAATTTGTTTCTTGTTGATTTGGCAGGTTCTGAAAAGGTTGACCGAACAGGAACAACGGGTCAGGGACTAGAAGAAGCTAAGAAGATAAATCTTTCCCTTTCGTCTCTTGGCCAAGTGATCAATTCCCTCGCAGACCATACTGCCACTCACATTCCCTATCGTGACTCCAAGTTGACTCGTATTCTTCAAGAGTCTCTTGGAGGAAATTCAAGAACTACGCTTATTATTAATGTTTCTCCTACGTTGGCAAGTGTGAACGAGACAATATCAACACTTCGATTTGGCTCGCGTGCAAAGAAGATAAAGAACACGGCGCACGTTAATACGGAGCCATCAGTAGATTGGCTCAAGGCACGGGTAAAGATGCTCGAACAAATGAATCGAAGTTTAGAGCTGCAGCTTATCAGTAAGAAGAGTACACCCGCTATGAGCCCGAATGTTAGTCTTCTTAGTCCACGAGGCAGCACTACAATTTCAATGGCATCAGATCGACCAAGCACACTAACAGATGATCTTCAAAGAAAGAACAAAAAGATAGAGAGCTTAGAGAAGCAACTTTTGGATATGAAAATGAGCCAGGTGAAGCAACAACATGAGGAAGACCTGAAACTTTTCAAATTAGAAAATGCGCTTCATACACTAAACGACAAACTTAGTGACGTGGAGCTTATCAATGAAAATCTTCGCAAGCATCTCCTTATAAGCGAAAAGATTATAGAGTCTCGAGATGTGAAGATTGATAAACTACGGCTGCTTCTCGGTGAACAGCAGGCGCACGTTCAACTGGAAAGCCAACATTTCGACAGTAAGCTCAGGAAGCTTCAAGAAAAGCTCGAGGTTCAAAAGCTTCTGGAAGGGCGTGTCAATGATGAAACAGGCTGTGATGTGTTAGAGAGCTTGAACTCCGAAGCGGCCATCAACTCTACAGCTATCCACCACGACAATCTTTCATCCCCCAAAGAAAGGGGCCCCAACGAGCAGGACTCACCCAGATCGCTGAAATTTGGACTTAATCTAAGAATCGTGAAGCCAGTTCGTGGAGGAGGCCACTTCTCCACCTAAGAAAGCTTCTAAGACATTCCGCATTTCCTCGCCCTCTTTCGCAGCCATATAATTTGCTTCGAGAATAGAGAATACATCAGATAAAATCATTCTATCCAAAGTCAAAGTGCCTTATTCCTGCTCTGTATCAACGCCTTAATTGTAATTACCACACAGAGTGTCTTTCCTTCCTTTTCTGGGCCTAACTGGTGGCCTCTTGGTGACCTGTCTATTCCTGCCTTGCCACAGCTCGGACTCCTTATTTAAACGCACAAGATCGCACCCCACAAAATGCACACTCCACTAGCCACCAAAGGTCACCGATCCCTTTAAAAGAACCATCTTTGAGCTGCTGTGAATCTATCGCCTATGCATTTACTCTTGTCGCTGCAAAGCAGTGGCAGCCTTCAAGGTATGTGAGTATGAATATCTAGTTTTTTAAGTAAAGGTGCTAACAGCAGTGTTGCGAGTCAAGAAAGAACATGACAGGGTTAAAGTAACTCACAAGGGTACATTTGGCATAGGTGGCCGCTTATACTATGTCCAGAAGATACACGTGTTTCCAATTTTGAATAAGCAGTTTATTGGTGTTGCCAGGAACTCCGGTTTGGTTCAGTTGTACGAGAAAATGATGAAACCGTCGGGGTCTCTGGGATCCGGTGCTTGTACGTATAAGCTTGTCAAGGAATGGAAGAATTCTACAACGGGGCCTACCGACTCGATTATTGGAATAGGCGCTTTCAGAAATCAGTATATGTACACGTGTTCTGGAGAAGGAAAGTTGGTTATCCGGGATTTGATTAATGATGACGCTGACGATTCGGTGAAGCTGTTCGTTATAGATGGGCCTTTATCATGCATCAGTGTGGAAGCGGTACCTCAATCAACACACATTCTTGTGGCCGCTGGTGGTAAAGAGAACAGCTTGAAGTTGTATGATTTTGATTTTTCTACGAGCGATTTCGCTTCAACTCTTGCCGAGTATGCTAGTTTAGGTGGACACTTGGCGCAGATTGGTCTTGTACCAACGACACCGGATGGTCCTTCTCTTATTAGGAGAAGTTTGCAGATACGGAATTCATTTGTTGATGTTCGGAGACTAATTCCGGTCTTGGATTCATCAGTGAGTAAGGTTGATTGGGATAACGGGGAGCGAAACCCCTATTGGGTGCTGAGTGTTTGTTTCTGGAAACAGGGCTCTACTCGCAAAGTCTTTGTAGGCACCCAATTTGGCGAGTTGTTTGTCTATGATGTGACGAAGCCTTATCACTTTGAGCTCAAGCCGGAGAAAGTTTTACGTTTGTCTCACTTTGGTATCAACTTACTTCAGGTTTTCAATTGCGGGCAATACCTCATCTACACCGACTCAATGTCCAAGGCTGGTATTATCGATACTGAAACCTTTAATGTTGTCAACTTTTACGATTATCTTCGCATAGGACCTACCTTGTCTTCCCATGTCTACACATCCAACGATAACGCGTCAAAGGTACCTCAGCTGAGCCAGTTATCCAGATTTTTACCAATTTATTTGGTAGCAACTACCATCGATGGGTCTGTCATAATCTACAAGCTTTGTGATAGTAACGAGAAGAAACTTTGCTTCCGCTCGAACCATACTGGAATTATACCCAATTTCGATTTCCTAGAATCCGATCCCTATACAAGATTAGACGTTCTATTTGGTGACACCTGCTCCCAAGAAGGTTCAAGCCTGCGACAAGCAGACATCCCCTCGTCTAAACGACGCAAAGCAAACGATGCCCCGAATGATGCAAACTTTATGATGCATGCCTCGAGCCACCAGGGCCGAGGCCATAACGTACTAACGACATCTCACGAACAAAACGATGGTCTTGTGAATGACATCAAGACCATGAAGCTCGCAAACTAGATCGTTTAGTTGCTAGTGTCCTCACTGGCGGCAAATGAATAAAGCGAGGCGGACTCAATTTCATCATCATCGTTACCCTCACTAATTTCTTTCCAAGAAGCAATGGTGAGAATAACAAACCCGACAATGACTAAAGCGTCACCGATAAGCTGCATGACACTGAGGGCGTTGCCGAACAAAACCCATTCGACAACACCAATCAAAAAGATAGTGACCAAGGAACTCACAGATGACAATACTGGGGAAGTCAATGCCATTAAAGAAAGGAAAGCAGCGCTGAATAACAAGTTTGAAACGATAGATCCGGAAATGTAGACCCAGATAATGCCAGTTTTCTTACCGTAGTCGAAAAGATTGAAGTGATGAATGTGGAAGAGTTCGGTCAAAATGACTAATGTGAGCAAGAAGATCACAGTGAAGACACCCAAAAGGGACATAACGAAGTTAGAAAATGTCAGTTGACGTCTTGGTGTCACAACAACAGACAAGTGGGATGGGACACAGACGTACTTCTTGTACAAGACTTCGTAGTAACCGTACAAGACGGCACCGACAGAGATGATAACATTACCCCAGAATCTGTAAGGATACTGTTCTTGTGCATCTGGAGAAGAATCAGAGCCTGAATAAGCCACGACAAAAACACCAGCGACTGCGATTATCACCGAGGTAGCTTTAAGCCACGAAAATTTTTCATTCAACATTGGAATAGCAAAAGCGTAAGCAGTGAATGCAGAACAGTTGTAGATCGCAGTAACATCAGAAGCATATGTCATTGACATGGCACCGTACCAGGTAAAGCCCGCACAGTTAAGCACGAGAGAAATCAAGCCGACTTTAATGGCAACGTACTTGAACGATGGAGTTGCAACAAAAGTGCGGATACATGCGGTAACAGAGCTAGATGAAGAAATATGGGGGTTCTTCTCCACAAGAGCACCCAAATTGCTAGTACTTCTGTCTCCGTTAACATTAGGCTCATACACCAAAATGGAGGAATGATACACGTTGTGCACCTGCTTCACAATGCACCTCTTGAAGTAACCCCAAGGGTGAAACTTGGACACAACAGGATTGGCATCCTGGGGGATGCCGGCTTCGTTCTGTAAAAGAAAAGCATTCGAATTTAGTCTCTCATAGCGCACACCTCTGCTGTTTCTGGCCTTGCCGATGGTTCTAAACAACGACACGAAAAACGCCTGGAGCGGCCACAAAGTCCACCACGAGCCGTGGGTGACAAGCAAAAGGATGATGGGCTCTTCAAAACCGAGCTGGTACGCCTGGGAAGTAAACTCAGTTTGGCACAAGAAAGACAATAGGGAAAGAAGGAAAAGCAAGCCGACGTAGATGATTTTCGTCTTGGACGCCTTTTCTTGAGAAGCAACGCTCGCGTTGCTTGCACTGTTGAGTTCTGTGATGGCCATCGCAGAAACGTAGTATGCTTGGACGGTGAAAGGAAAGGTAACAGTCTTTAGACTCTGATGAAAAGACTGTCGGTACGGACGACGGCATTCGCGATCTACATACAAAAATAGTTGAGTGACGAGTCACGTGGAGAAAGAAGCCCCCCGAGTGCCGTTGGGCCATCCATTCGGTCTGGGGTTTCTGTGGGGTGATGGCTCTACAAAATATGGGAAAAATCCGGCTGGAAAAGCGTAGAGATACCGTGGCTGGTGGTAACGAAAAAGTTTAATAGGCGAGCTAAAAGGCCAGGACACTCGGCAGAAGAAGCTTGCTAAAGAGCCGAGCCGGTGATTAACAGGCGAAGAGGGAGATGGGACTCAAGGGGGTCGGAATGGCACGGAAAGAAAGAGAATGTTAATAGAATACCTGTTTTTCAGTCTGGTAGTAGTGTTGTTGGTGCCATTGCGTCATTTCCAAGTTGGCTGCGAAATGACGACAGCAGCGAAAAACGTCTTGCGTGAGAGAAGAATATGGAGTGAGGAAAGAATGTGAACGTTCAGAGTCAATGTTCTAGAAAGAGCATTGTGTGGAGATTTATATAGGAAGGTTGACGTTAGAGAGAGATAAGTTTCTATAAGAAGGAAAGAGGAAAAAAAAAAAAAAAATTAAGTAGCACCACGGAATTATTATGGACGTCAGTACAGAGGACTCCGCTTCACGTCCAGGAACACTTATGTTTTCACACCTTACCCATATAAATCATATTAAATGTATAATCCACAATTATTGACATCCACTTCGGTTTATCCCCTTTATGGATCCATTACGGCCTCGAAAGACGGGTCCCCGCTTGCCCCACATTAGATAGTACGACTTATTGAGAGTACCCAAATCCATGCAAACAAAAGCACACTTTCTACACCAAAATCGACACGTCTGATTGATCTATAACCAGGACTTACCCCACTGACTGGCCCATGCAAATTGCTGCAAAAAACACCTCGTCGTAGGCTCCAGCTACCTTATCGGGAGGACTATCAGGGGTGTACGGATCTCGGATGGCTCGTAGTGCACACCTAGAAAGGTTAACTACCACTTGACCATAATCTCGACCAGCGGCAAACCTTGGCAATAGGCATTGCCGATTACATTTACTACAGCAGTCCTTTGAAACATGTCTGAAAACAACAGAGGTTCATCCGTCTTTGGTGAAGAGGACAATAGCCCCTTCCCACACCAACTGGGGCTCGCCAGTCTTATCCAGTCCCAGGGGCCCGATAAGAAAGATTCCAAAAAGAACGGCAAGAAACCACTGAACTCGAGCTCTAAGGATTCTGATAACCCTACTGACGAAGCTGTCGATGATGATTTGGATGACGAGTCCATGTTGCTTTACAGAAGTGACAGAGAACAGTTTAATACTGTGCATATTGACTACGAGAGCAGGGTTACTAAGCTCCTCAGTCCAGAGAGTAACGCTAAGATCTTGATTAGCGAAGCAGGTAAATCTAACGAAGGAATGGCCAATTCCCTGAAGAAGTATGTTGTCTACACCATCAAACTTGTCAGTCAGGATAACCCCAAGGAAGAAATCCAAACCCGAAGACGGTACTCCGACTTTGAGAGCTTGCGTGACATTCTTACACGCGTATACCCGCTATTATTGATCCCCCCAATTCCTCCGAAGAACTACTTCTCGTTAAATGTATTCAATGGCCTCGTTGGCAATGGCAACGGTGGCGCTAACAACAATAACCACCAGGCTGTGGGGCCTTCCGACCCACCTAACGACTCAAGCAATACGACATCTTACACTTACATCAACTCCAAGCATTTGAACAAGAATAAACTCGTCGAACATCGCAAGCGTCTCCTTTCGAACTTTTTGAATAACTGCTTGTCTATTCCACAGGTTAGAAACCTAGAGTTTTTTGCTAAGTTTCTTGATCCTTCGGCGAATTGGACGGACGAAATAGAATTGATCTCAAGTCAACTACCGAAGTCTATTTACCAGCTGAATCCTGAGAATGGTTTGAAAACTGACGAGATCTATTCCAATTTACCTTTGCCATCTACGCAGCCTGGATTGAGTTTCCAATTCCTCAAGCCCTTGAAGAATAACAGGAAGTTTTTAACAAGTACTACCAGCCGATTTCTCGGTACTAATCAAGAGGCGAACCAGGATGCCCAGTCTAACGGTGCCGCCGAACAGGAATCGCAAGCTGAATCCGCTGACGCCCGTTCGATAAGATTCAAAACCTCGAGTTTGGACAATATCAACAAGAAGATAATGGAGAACTTTATCGGCATGTCGAACGATTATGTTGAACTTGGCAGTGCGCTCAATTCCTTTTCGTTGACGCTAGCAGATTCCCTGAAAGCACGAGACGGAAAGAATTCCGAAGAGGATGATGTGAAACTCGACTTGGTCGTTGACAAAATCGGTGTGGCATTTGATAGGTCCTACATTGCCATCAATGCGCTCGTAAGTGAACTGGAGACTAAGTTTTCTGAACCATTAGGTGAGGCGGTGCAATACGACAATATCCTAGGTTCAGTCAAGAAGTACCAATCACGCAAACTGAAGCAGAAGGAGCTTATAGACCAAGAAGTCCAAGAGAAGAAGAAAGAGCTTTCGCACCTTTCAAGGGCAAATCCAGCAAATGGGGAGAACGGCAACAATATTCCGAAACCCGTGAGTTCAAATGACGCTGCACAAGCCTCGAACGCAAGTGGCGCTTCTCCCCGGAATGAGAGACTGGGATACTTCCCGAGTATGGGATCACTCAAGAAGATAACCAAATACGTCACCGACATAATTGATCAGAATCCCGAAGAGACCAAAAGAAACAGAATCGACTATTTACAAAAGAAGATTGCGACGCTTGAAAAGTGCCAGACGATCATGCTTCAAGACATATCGTTCATAACTGATGAGTTGGAGACCAACACGAAAAGGTTCCAGAACAGAGAACTCAAGACGATCTTCCAGATATTGCTCAGCTACAATAGCATACTTATGTCATGGGCAAAGAAAACTATTGAAATCTGGGAGGAAATAAAGGAAGAAATTGAAGCTCTATAGGTATGCTATAAGCGATCAAGATACTTTTTGGCTGAGTCTCCCCACTTTTCTGCGCCTTTGTAATTGGCCATATCGGTTGGCAATCCACGGAGGGCACCAGCGAGCCGTCTCCCGTCTTCAGGATACTTTTCGGCGAATTTAGTGAATGGGTGGATATAAGTTCTGATGGTGAAAACAATTGCACCAGATTCAGGTAATTTGGTAAGAGCCTGGCGCTCACTGCGATAATGGATATCCTTTTCATCAAATGTAGGACCCTCCTGAGAGTAATCATTGTGATATCCCTTGTTGTCATTATCAACATAATATTTATCGTGGGTCTGAACGGAGAAGTTGGACCTAGTGACGAGCTCGTAAGGGTTGATGCGATCAAAGAATCGGTTCATTGACTTTTTTAATTTCTCCTCATATCCTGGAATAGGTCCGTGGATGCTTGTGAGGGGTTTGTCAAACTTGTCTTTTGGATCGAAACCAGCTGCAAAAGCAAAGACACCGCCCTTGAAGAAGTACTCATCGCCATACTTTTCGTCTCCACGACTTGGGTCTTTCAAAAGGATAATAAAATCTTCCTGAATAACCCTTGTCAAAGCCTCCAAAAGAGCTGTTCTGGAATGAGTTGCAGAGCTAAGCGGAATACGATCACCAGTGATCGTGTTAAGAATATCCTTCTCGCCTTTCTGAAAATACATGGGGTACTTGGTGCACATGTAGTTCATGGCAACATCATAGAATTCCCGAATGGCGTGGTCAGCCTCGGGAGACTCGAAGAAAGTACTTCCTCTCAAATCCTTACCCTCGGGATATTTTGGATTAGAGTTGGTGATGATCTTCCTCTTCTCTTCGAGTTCCTCAATGTACGAGTCCTCAATCAAGAGCCATTCTTGTACATCCAACTTCGAAATACCCATGGTCAAACGGTACTCTTTATCCTTATAAGGATAAGACTTCAAAGGCTCCTCCTTTTGCCAATCGAAATCTGGCGACACTGGTTTCACCAGGTAAGACTTTGGTGCCTGCTTGGGTGTCTTAGGCGCCGTAGGCTTAACCTTTGGACCCTTATTCTTTCTCCGAACATGCCAAAGTACAACTAAAGCAACAGCAACAGCGAGGTAGATGTGAAGAGAATAGTTAATCAGTTCCATAAAAGAACAAGACAAGATAATTTGTTTTTTTGAGCTGCCTTATCCATACCAGCCAGAGCAGCACCTTTATAGTGCGGAATCTCTGGTAGCGGCCTTCTTTATCAGGAGTGCGAAAGACGATAAGGAAATTTGTAGCGACCACAGACAATAGGAGCAAGAAGGCGTTTTTTAGTGAGTCACCTCAGGCACAGTAGGAGAACCGTTAGCTGCAAAAAGATACCAAGAAGCATACAGACACAGACAGGTACAGAGAACCAGGCAGACTGGGCAGACTGGGAAGTAGATGTCTCACCTTTACTACTCTTATCTACATCAATAAGACCAGATATATGGTTCTTTCAAATTGTTGCTACCGCCATTCCCGTGGTCTCCACTTCTTCAGACGTATATGGCAGTTGATGGCGTGGTCCGCCTTATAGTGGGCTGGAGGTGGTGTATTTTCGCAACCATATGAATACGAGACGGGCGCCCGGTCCCGAAACCAAGGCTGAGATAAGCAAAGGTACAGCACGAATTGCGGGAGAATACTGGTTATGATTTTCTTGTTATTCTTTTTAGGTGGGGCCACCTCAAATAGGCTTAAGAAGGTGGAACAAGGGGTCATTTTGTCCAGGACGTTTCATGCTGCCAGGCCCGCCTTATGCTAGATGTCCCGCATCTGGCCAGTACAGTTTGGCAGGGTTGGCCCAGATAGGGATTTGCGATAACGGAATTTGGTGGGTGCGGGAAGGTCGGGATAAGGCAAGATGTTTCCGACCAGGCATTGTTGGTGATAATTTGATTTCTATTGTAGTTTCTATTTTTTGTCATTGTGGGGGGCATTCGGGTATAACGGTGTTGATGGCTGCAAAATCCTGGTGATTATGGCACACCCGTACATCCCGACCAAGAGATGCCCCCACAGATGCATTATTCTTTGCACCCATTCCCAGAGATCAAAGAGTCTTAGATGTCCGCCTCGTTACAACTTGTGGCTAAGATTCTTCCTGCTTCCCAGAAAGCTACCATTGCTCTGGCGCTTGCGGATGATCTTGAAAATCCCACAAATTCGTCTGCTTTGGGAGAGCTCATCAGTGAAATTGATGATGAAACACTGAAAAGTATAATTCCGCAATTGAAAGCTTACTGTTTGGACGTGATCTGCAGTGGTGATGCCCAAAAAATTGAATGTGCCATCAAATTTGCAAACTTTTCGGAAGAAATTCGTTATGCAATTCTCGAACAAGTCTTGGTGCTCTTGAGGGCTTCTCTTGAAGGAATCTATGTTCTCAATACCACCAAAATGGCATCTTCTCAGGAAGCTTTGGAGAAGGACGAGATGTTGAATCTCATGACTTTCTTATCGTCTTTTTATGTCAATGTTGATCTCCTGGAATGCCCTTTGGCCGATAACGTGGACCTGATCTTCCTTCTTTTCTTGGGCCATGTAGAAGACGAAATCTCTAGCCAGTGCTCTAAAGTAGTTCGCTGGAGGATTGAATCGCTCGTTCAGCGTGCAATTCGTGATGAGTCATTTGCAAAGTACTTGTGGGGTACAATTTTCGATCTTTTAAAACCATTGGGTACCAAACAGCATGCCCACAATTCTTTTATTTTGTGGCTTCGGATCCTCAGTGCCAAAAATGCCCACTTCCGTGACAATACTTTCTTTCAACATTCCATAGTATGCCAAAACAGTTATTGGAAGACCCTTCAAGACGGTCTTGCTGGTGCCTCGCATGAAATCAGAAAATTCTGTTTATCAATCCTTCAACTTTCATTGAAATTTCTCAACCACTCGTTTGAAACAGAGGTGTTGCGCTGGAATGTCGATGAAGAAGAGGAGGGATTGGAAGAGTGGAGCACTTACACTACTCTTTTTGAGATTGTCGGTATCGATACGTCATTGCATCAAACTCAAGGTGCCGAAAACGAGATTCTTGAACTTTTCACTCCAGAGTCCCGTATCCATCCTTCTTGGGGATTCTGTCTTCTCTGCACTGGTTTCCAATCATCCATGGATTCTGTGAGAAAGTTTTCCGCTCAACTTCTTTTATCGATCAAGTCCGAAAACTTGTACCTTTTCAAATATGGCTTACCTTTCTTGAAGGGAACTTTCCTTCCTTATATGCTTCAATCGTCGCATTTTACTGTCAGACCTAAAGGCCCATTTACCAATGAATTGGCATGTCAGTATGGTGAGAAGGTGGCTGAATTTTTGGCCAATTTGTTCCGCAGTTTAACTTCTCCTGAAGAGTTTGAAACTGTTAGCTCATCGATTTTAGACGTGCTTGTCAGTTTGAGGGAAACTTTTGACGCTGTCAAGATTTATACTGCTTTGGGAATAGTAACGGGCCTTGCTGGTAAGAATGCCTTACGGTATGGTGTCCATGATGCTTCCGTGGTCAAACTATTTGACAACTTCTCTGAGGGAGAACTCTTCAAACGAACTTTGCAGTCACTTGTTTTGAAGATGATCATGTGCTTTAAGCTTGACCATCTTTCTCAGTTTTCCGATCTCCTCTCAAGGTTCGTGAGCTTCAATGGACATAAGTTAATGGTGGACAACGCTAGACTGCTCTGGGACTACTTGCAACTGTCAAAGTATCATGCACGCGATATTGTGGACTACCTTAAGTCATCGGGTGTGTCTTCTAACTCGCCACTCTTTTATCTTCTCCTCAAGATGTATGCTTCCAACGATAGTATCCTAACACTTTTGGAAAAGGCTGATAAGTCATGCATGCTTACATTGGCGCAATATGGGGTTGAAGTCTCTGAGTTTTCTGTACTCACTATCCAATTGCAACAGACCATTGAGAATGCGCTTCAAGGCGAGGAAGACTCTGACGTTTACAGGCTCTTGGCTGTTATTCAACCGCAAAATCTTCAATTACCTGAAAAGTTCAGTATAAAAGACCTCTGGGCTCTGATCTGTACTAACTTTCAAGCCGAGGAGTTTGAGGAGCTTCAGTTGGCTGTCAGTAAGGCCCGTTTTGTCAACAATATTGCATTAATTTCTTCGGACTACATTAATGTTGAAGATTTGTCTGGCTTATACGAAGTCATGTTCCTGAATTCTGATGGTTTAAAGTCACGTAATGATTACTATAAGTTGAAAGAGGATGCTTTTAGTCAGCTCCATGCTTACTTGAAGAATTTTGTACAGAGAGTACCAGAGGATGCCAATGCAATGGAACTTGTACCCTTGCTTCATTTGGGGACAACAAATGCTGATACTTTATTGGCAATTGTTGAAATAGCTACCCTTTTGCTCAAGGAGGATAAATGTGATGATGCTAGCCTTATCGCCATCATTTTTGGTCTTTGCGAATCATGGGAGGAGCTTTGCAACGAAAGACTCAAGTTATCCGACAAGGAGATGCATTGGGCTTTGATTGATATGATTTTCCATCCTAAGGTTCTTGATAAAGCACGCGAAGAGGAGTTTGTCAACGATGCACTTTCTGCCTTTGCTCAGTCCATCATTGAAAGCTCCTTTGGCAGACGTGGTCTAGTTCCTAGAATGATCAAACGAATTTCAGACTATCAAGTGTTACGTCCTGAGGCATTCGAAGAGATTGAGTTTATTCCTAGTATTCTTGTTCGTACAGCATGTCATCGCCAGGTCTCCTCTCATGCATTTAAGATGGAAGTGGTCATGGGTGATCTTTACGACAGCAAGATTTCGCCATTTAAGTCCAATATTTACGAAGAGCTTTATGGTCCAGAGGAGATCCTGGGCAAGGTTTGGCTTTTTGCTATACTCAACTCCATCAAGACTGAGAAGTTCGCTCTTTCGGTCATAAACGCCATCTTAGACGAGGAAGACACTTTCCGCATGGTCAACATTACGAAGCAAACGGATGGCGGCGAGGAGTATGTTAGATGTCAGTTGGCCAAGGTGATTCTTTCTGTTGTTGATAGGATATCTGTACAGAGTTTGGGTTTCGAGCTATTCGATCAGTTCAATTACTTCATCGAGAATGACCCAAGTCCACTTGTTAGAATTTACTTCGAGTGGATCATAGCACTTCAGCTACTCAGGGATCATAACAAGGCAGAAATCTACTTCCAGAAGGTGGCGGACTCATTAGAGTCACATGAAATCAAGCCAACTGTTGTGACAATTTACGAAAGAATCTTGTATTTGATGATACAATCACTTGATGAGAAACTTGAAGTGGAATTGTTGACTCGACTTTTGACAATAATCATTCCTGCTGCCTCCACGAACAAGGCTATTACTCGTCACTTTTCGATGTCATTGGCTACTTCTGTCCACGAAGAAATTGCTAGAAAGAAATTGCCTTTGAATGACAAGCTCGTTGCTTTAGTGGAAAACATGTACAAAAGTGCTGTCGCATCTAGTGCTTTTGGCCAATACAGAAGTGGAGATGCCTTGTTGTGGGACATCGTTCATGATTTAGATTTGGTCAGCATTTCTGGTGGCCTCTTATTAAGACTCAGTGACAGGGAAGTCGAGTTCATAACCAGTGAGCAGTTCAACAGACACTTGACGGAAGAGCAGAAGTCGATCTTGAACCATCCAGTTGGTGCAGACCGTGTTGAATTATGGGTTTCAAAGATCAAGGCTGACCAGCAACAAAAGAAGGATTTCCAGGAAGCCAGCTCTACTGCGCAAATGCCCTTACAAACAAAGAGTCATGCTTGGAGCACTGTAATGGATGTCAATGAAAATACGAATGGAAACGATGTGAAACGCAGTGATCTCATTGTTGTTGCGTCCCTAGTCACCAAAGCACCAAATCTTGGTGGTATTTGCAGACTTTGTGATGTCTTAGGTGCTGGACTCATGACTGTGTTTGACATGAAAATGACGAAGAATCCTACATTCAAGAACGTGGCTGTCACAGCTGATTTTTGGATGCCTATGAAGGAGGTTCTTCCATGGGATATTCGTGACTTCTTACGGGCTAAGAAAGTTGAAGGATACACATTGATTGGGCTTGAACAGACAGATAAATCGGTTGTCTTGAATGGCGACCTCCAATTCCCCAAGAAGTCGTTGATTCTTCTCGGTAGAGAAAAAGAAGGAATCCCTGGTGAGCTTTTAGCTGAGTTAGATCTTTGTGTGGAGATCAAGCAGGTTGGAGTGGTCAGGTCCATGAATATTCAAACGGCTACAGCAGTTATTTGCCACGCATACTCGCTGCAGCATTGTTAATGTACATAGTTATTTTTCTCTTAGAACATGGTTCCATCCTGATCTTGTAGATCCTGTTCGACTACCGCATCAAGAGCGGAAACAATTTCTGCACTATACTTTTTTGCCAAACCCACTGCTTGAAGAAGAATGGATGGCTGAATACCCTTCAAGTTCAGATTATTAGAGTTTGTTGCTAAGTTGATGTTTGAAATTGGAGAGATCACCTTGTTGTCGTACCAGCCCAAAATTATACCGCTCTCCAAGACTTGCTCTTCTTGAACGGAAGGCTCCATGATAACGTTTTTGCCAGCTACACCGAATGTAAGAAATAATGGTGGCTGGAATTTTTCAAACTTGAAGACATCCGATAAGAACTGAGAGTTCTCCCAGTCATCGGAGAAAGTAGGTTGCTCTTCGATTTCTGCATCGTCGGTTTCAGAAACCAATAAAGGCAATCTCGTAGAACTGAGTGCGAGGTATGAAGTCAAACTGATTAAAGTTAATGGATAACACTGATGCGACACAACAATGCAATCGATGAAAAGCTTGTAGCTGTATTTTGATGTAAGATGCAAGTTTTTGGTTGGAAAGTTCTTCTCGAAGAGGTTGGTCATATTGAACTTCAAGTTCAGAACAAAGTTCAGGTCATCACGGAATCCGGAGACATCTATGTCACATTCTATCAAATTTGGTTCCTTGGAAATCAAAACTACCTTGGATTTAACACTGACAATACATTCACTGCCGTCCACCATTCTAATTCTGGCAGAGCCGTTGGAGCTCGGTAGGAAAGCCGTTTTCGCTTCCAAAGGTCTAAACTGGAATGCTTTTCTTCCATCTGGACGGATAGGAGGCGTAAGTGCCAATGAATCAAAGAGATACGCCCTTTCAGCGGGCGATAACATCATTTTGTAGTTATTGTTTGTAGTTTGGCTTTGATCGACCGGATGTCTTGATGGAGATTCAAGATGAGCACCTCGATGATTGTGTATGTACTGCAGGATATGCACGATGGCTGCAAAATGGCACCACAAATGGAGACCAATCTGAACTTATATCGTCAATAGAGGCCTCAGAAGGAGTGAAAGTTGTGATTTACCTATCTGCTACTTGAATGATTGGAAATTTGCAAGTTATTTGCTTATTTGGCGCCATACAAGTTACATTCTCGTTAAGAAGAAGCGTAACAAGAATGTTACAACAAGATGAAAAGATGAATTGTAGAATGAAAAGATGTATAGAAATACTCGTGGTATTTTGTTCGACTTTGGCCTCCTTACTGCTTTAATTCCACGGCATGGAAATATATTCTGTGGGGTATACTTAGCCTATGGTCACCAACGAAGGAAACACTTAACTGAAAACCATACAATGAAGTGAAGAGATCGTGCTTATGTATACACAATGAAATTAGAAATTCATACTTTTTCTCTTACTCATGAATATAATAATAGTGTTGTGGTAATTGTACATATCCAGAGGGACTAGTAAAAGTGAGGTGCGCACGTCCATCTTGAAAACAGACGCAGTGCTAAACATCAACTTCTACATACATATATACAAGCCAACGATTGCCAACATATGTCTATCTTTTCCAACATCTCGAACTCAGGAACGGTGATGGGGCCCTCTGAGTCTCGTGAGTCCTCTTGGTACCAAAAATCCAACAAGAAGGTCATTCCAAACCACCTTGTGCCCAAGAAGAAAATTGGCTTTCAACTTTCAGCGGTCACCAACAACAAAAGAGACCAGCTGAGCGGCAAGAGAAGCACTGGAAAGGCTGACGAAGGATTCAAGTCAACTGACTTCAATGTTATCACCTTCGGTAACAAAACGCATAGAAACAGCAATGCCAGCTTCCAAGATTCATCTCTACTTGCTTTGAAGGATCAATCGTTCGATGGGCCCTCCGAAACTGATGACTTGCCATTGTACAATTATAATGAGGATCTTCCTCCACCCCGTTCCTTATATGACTTGAATGATGACGCTTCGATAGCTGTCAATAAACCTATACAACAAACCGAGTCTTTCATCACGAAAGACCCCCGCAGCTTCCTGAATGCTTTTGCTGGAGCAGTTGGAGCCTCTGATGAATTGAAGGCTGACGACAAAAAGATTTTAAAGAACCCTTTGCAACATAGCGAAGCAGCTGTTCTTGTTTTTGGCTATCCTGAAAGCATGGCTAACCAAGTGATTGCTCACTTCCTGGAGTTCGGATCAATTCTTGAAGATTTTGAAGCAGCGAAGTCAACCAGCTCATCCACTCCAGAAGATATCTTCCAAGGTCCTACGACTGGTGCCTTCTTCTCTACAAAAGCTGATGAAACAACACATGAACAACAGCCAAGCCCACCAATCTTCTGCGGAAAGTCTTGGGTCAAACTTACATATGACAATCCTTCATCCGCTGCTGATGCACTCCAAGAGTCTGGATCTGTTTTTAATGGGGCTCTCATAGGCGTTGTTCCTTACACCAAGAATGCTGTGGAAAAATTGCAGAATCGTAAATTGACAAACACAGAAGACATTGGCGGCGGCCTTCAAGGTCTACAACTTGGTGACCTTTCAAGCAAGGTTGATAAAGGAGTCATTGGCGATTCGAACGATATACAAGCATCATACATTAAAAGGCTAGATATCAAGGACGGCTCGGAAATGTTTTTAAAGGCCCTGAATGGCGACTCACTGAACCCAAGTGAGGTGAAGAAACCTGAACAAAAGCTAGGATTCGTTGGTACGATATCCAACTATCTATTTGGTTTCCACGATTTGTGATTAAAAACTATCTGCATTGTATATTAATAAAGGTCTCATATAGATGTCATTACTGCCATGGCCTTTTCGAAGGCGATGAACTCCTTTGCGGCGAGCTTGATCTCGATAAATGGGTGGGAGAAGGCGAACCGCGATGAGAAGGTGTGTAGTGGTTCCGTGTTGGTGACGTACGGGATGGGGAGAGTTGTGTTCTTTGGCTAAAGGAAAGCCGCGTGGGTGTTTTGAGTGGCGAATGTCTTGGTGACTGCGGTCTGATAAAGGAATCATGACCGGCACGGGTAAGAAACGGCGTGGACAGTGTTAGCCAGCTTTGATGTGCATCCTCCTCAATGCGGTCCCTAGTGGAAGCATATAAGTCTGCAAACGAGCTCTCCCTATGCCTGGAGTAATTATTAATTGGCATGCTAGGGCTGTGTCTTGCTGGAGAAGCTGATCTCGAAGCAAACTGATTGTCGGCACGAACACCTTTAATTCTATTGCCGTGGATGTCGTGAGTGTAGAAGGCATTTTCATTTTGCAAGTGACCCCGGCGGTCATCGTACGCCACCATTGATGATGCAGCCATTGGGCCATATGTAGCATCCACAATTGCATTTTTCTTGAGTATAGATGTCTTTGGAATAACATATTTCTTGTTATACTCGTTAAAAGTTTCTTGGTAGATGATCTGCTTGTCACCGATGAGCAGAAGGAACTTGGAGACCAACCCGAAAAGGGAGATTCCATATGCCAAAATTATTAAGAAAATCTTCCAGAGAGCAGTCCCAGAAACCAAGTATATCGTAAAGAGCGTAAGTGGACAGAATGTGGCCAGTAAGTGTACCTGGAATAGGGAAGGATCCCATACCTTCAAGACCCAAACATCCTTTTCCACAAAATCAACATCGTAAGTAGTTTCTCCATCTGACTCATCGTCCGAAAGGTATTTCAGATGGCCCTCGAAGTAAGAAAGAATCTTGCCGAAGATACCCTTGTCAGTGGAACTAGTAACGCTCAGTTTGGTAACGTTCGATCCCTTGGGCTTTGCCGAATTTGCAGATGAATTGAGCAATGTGTACTCTCTATTAGAAAGCCAAAAGACCATGATAGTGTTTATAACTGATGAAACTGCAAATATGATAAGCAATGCATTCACCAACCACATCCATCTGCTACCAGAAGATGCATCAGCGGCAACCTTAGGGTAATGGATGGGGTTCGAAGAGCCACTAATAGCTCGTTGCCTCACTTGCCTGTAAACACTAGCATCTGCTCGAAACAAGTCGTTAGACCGTCTCAGGCGAACGTTCTTATAATGATCAGCCACCTTACAGAGCAAGGCAAATACAGTTGTAAGCACCACACCCAAGGGTAAAGTGGAATGAACATAATCGTCCCAATCTATGGACACAGCCGCCTCATTAAGAGCCAAGATAAGGTCTAGCGGGTAGGCTTTGATCCGTTCCAGTAGCGGGACTCTTCGCACTAGCCGTTTTGCCATTGGAAAGCAGAGGATTGTATGGAGCGTGTTTGTTTTGATTTTTCCGCGCTGATATCAAGTAGTATCAGCATCTACTACTACCCAAGCATGGCGACAGAGGATACGCTAGCACAAGCCAGAAGTCGAAATGAGGCGTTGCATCAGTCTCTAAAGGCGTTAATGGAGAGTAATAAGGTTAACGAGCCTGACCCATTTGAGAAAAGTGACGGGAACGGGACTTTCTTTGAAGAGTTCAAGAGTAACATTGAAGCCATCAAGAAGAGCAGCTACGCTCCAAGAAAGACCAAAGAAAAGGATGAAGAAAGTCAAAAAGTCGCCAAAAGCATTCAAGATCCACCCAGGTTAGCTCCTCCCAGCGAAGAACCCACGCGTCGCCAAAACACCGTCAGACACCAGGATATGCTTCTATCGAAGCTTGAAAGACAAAGCATCACCATTGAAACGCTCGAAGCCGAGATTCGAAAACTACGTCTTCAAAACCAGCAATTGCGTGAAACCAACCACGGTCTACGAGCCAAAGCCGCCCAGCGGCCCGAACCTAAAACCGTAGCATTCCAAAGTGCCCCAGCACAAGCTGCCAATGTACTGCCCATACACAACAAGGAGAACGAGACCCTCAGGGCGCGGGCGGTGGAGGCAGAGAATAAGGTGCACCGCCAACAAAACACTATAGAAAAGCTTCGCACCGGCTTGGCCCTTGTTCACCACCGGTACATTGAAGCCAAGCGGAAATGGGACACCAGCCTAAGCATCAGCGCGTTCCAGGAAAGGGTCATTCTCGACCTCAAGGCGAAACTAGCATTTACGTCTACGGGCAACGAGGACCACCAGCGGACAGTGGACTCCACCGAACATCTTCTCAATGGCTGCGAAATTGGTCCTGAGCAAGCCTTTGAAAGCGACTACGCAGATACCACGCAGCTTATTCTTGGGTACCGCAGCGGTCCCAACGGCAGCACCAGCGGCGCCACAGACGCCTACGACCATTTGGCCCGGCAAGATCTGGGGCGGGAGCCGCGTGTGGCTAATAAAAGAATATTGAAAAAAGCTGCTCTAGCTGCTCTCTTTGTGGCCAGAGTGACCCGGGCCACCCAGGCGTCGAGAAGCATGACAGAGGGCCAAGTATGGCGGTAATTGCTGGGCTGGCCATCGGCAGCAGCGCAGTGACGTTGCGCAAACGATGGAAATGGAAGAGCCCTGGTAACTCTATTCTCTGCATGGGCCTGCCCCTAAAAAAAAAGTCAATTTCAGGCAAATCACTTGCTACCCGGAATCTTGCCCCCTTCCATTACCTGTCACGTTATGGCGCCAGGTCAAAAATAGCACACTGAATCAGCGCAGCCTTCCTTCCTTTTTTTTTTTTTTTTCTTCTTCTGCCTCCACCCTGCAGACAGCTCAGCCTAGGTGCTCACCTAGACCTTCGCAGGCCTCACCTAGACCTTCGAAGACCACCCTTCCTGCCGTTTTAGTCAACCTGCCGCAGACTTATTCTATCGCGCATAGCGAGTTTGCATTCTTTATAAGCTCCAGGTTTCCACCGTTGCTCCAACACACCTTTTCCTGAAAACCGTCCTCCCTTAATACTGGCTCCCGCCATGATGAAAAATGCGGTGCCCTCCATCGTCACTGACTCTGCTCCTCTTCGAGACGACGTTAAAGCTGTCAGCAGCCCCGGCATGTCTATAAATACCAAAACTGGGCCTCTTCCTTACTTGTATGTTAAGCTGCCACACCTGGCTGCCACTGCTGCCAGTCCTACTACAAAGTCACATTTCAAGGATCTACCTGGTGATGTGATGGCGGTTGATGCTCATGATCCACAAGCAATCTCCAACTTCGTTTCTGGTGATTCGCTTATTATTGACATCAGACCATTCAACAACTATTCAGCGTCTCGCCTTGAGAACGCCTTCAACATCTGCATTCCCACCACCCTTTTAAAACGTCCCAATTATGATTTATTGCATGTTACAAATAGTTCGGCATTACCCAAAGATGCCAAGGATAAACTTATAGCGAGTACCACTCCTACTAATGTGTTAATCTATGACGCCAACAGTGGTACCGGTCACATTTCTTTTGGCTTATACCAAACGATCATGAAGTTTTACAAACACGACCGTTTTACAGTAGCTTTCTTGGATGGTGGTTTCCAAGAGCTCCACACCCTGCTTAAGGACGACTCGTCGCTTCTGTCTGATCAGACGCCCATTTCTCCACAGACCCCGCTGCACCCCCAGTTGGACGCCATCAGGCCAGATTCTGGAACAGGAGACCATTTTGCACAATCACCAGCAGCGGATTCGAGCCGTGAGTCGTCGCCTTTCTTGTCGGGATTTACCTTGCCTTCCGCAACGGCCTCAAACCAAAAGATGCTAATGTCAATCAAGAAAACGCTACCGCGGATTGATACCTCTACTTCTTATAACTACAATCTCCGGTTTCCTGAAGGATTTGAAGAGAAGAAGGATAAACTTCCCAAGTGGTTGTCGTTTTTCGGTGATGGCTATGGAACCGAAGGTCATAATGAGAAAGTAGTAGGGGTCTTGAGTGAGAAGTTCAACAAGCTTGAGCGTTCTGAACAAGTTCGTTTAAGCATGGCCATTTCTAATACGAGTGAAGATAGCAAAGACAATCTTGCTCCTTCTAATACCAACCCAGCAAGGGCCCACTCAGGATTAAGCAGCGGGTACTGTTCGCCTCTGGCACCTTGTCCTCACTGTGACAAGATTCACTACACGATTCCAAAAGGTGTTGAATACGGTTATAAGAACCGCTACAATAACATCTGGCCATACGAGCATTCGAGAGTGAAGCTTGTATCGTCGCCATCATGCAATACGCCCAAGAAGGAGACCACTGATGATTACTTCAATGCCAATTATATCAAATGCAAGCAGCTTTCGCTTACAGAATATATTGCTACACAGAGTCCTTTGGAATCAACAAAAGAAGACTTTTGGAATACCGTTTGGTATAATGGCATCAAAGGAATTGTCTGTCTCAACAAGCCTTCCGTGTTTGCTCCACCTGCCTACTATGAGGTTGACCAATTCTTCGAAAAGAGCAAACTCTCAGTGAAGATCATCTCCTCAGAGGACGACTCGGGCTTCAGAATTCGCAAGATGGAAATGGAGAAACGTGGGAAGACCCGTTACGTCTACCACTTTGCTTACACGGAATGGCCAGACTTTGGTGTACCCGATAACTTCGATGCCGTCTCCAGGCTTTTAGAAAGTAAAAACGAAAAGCTTGAATTGTTGAGTGAACAAAAGCCTCCTACCTCGAAAGTGACCCGGCCTCTAGATTTGCTCGTACACTGTTCTGCGGGATGCGGTCGTACGGGATGCTTTATCACTCTCGACATGGTCAAAGATTGTTTCAAGGGCAAAAGTAATGGCAAGTACGATCCCTGGGGTACCAAGGATCTCGTCTACAAGGCGGTGCAACTTCAAAGGCAACAGCGTATTGCCATGGTGCAGACGGTGGATCAATTCATCTACTGTTATGAGAGCATTTTGCATGAGATATTTAAAAGCTATATGTGAGCTTAATGAGCCCCCAACGATATAATGAATGAACGCGAATATTATCAAACCTCATGAACCCTTTTCTTTTCTCCTTTCTTGTAGTCCTTTAGGTGGGTGTAATCATACGTCAAATAGACATGCGCGGCAAGCACGGTTACGTAACCCGGGCCGGGTGTCTCGGTTGCTAATTGCAAAAAAGAGGCTTTCAGAGACAAACATAAACAGTGTCACGAGGCAAGTATAAGCTACCGATACAAACAGAGCAAGCAGTGACTCTAGGGATTTAAAGTAGAAGCTTCAAACTTCCTATTCTTCCCCTCCTAACGAATTCTAGAACCTAAGGTTTGGAGCGGACGCAAATTCACCTACACCTTGTGGTTTGCGTTTCGCAGCCAAAAAGGCATCTGGTCACGATATATCACAAGAAACATGTACATTGTATAGGAATGAAACCTGGGGAACAATATGGCAATGTAACCCAAGAAACGGCAAAATGAAGAGATTCCTTAACCTAATCGGAATGCTTAGCTTTTATCTTCGTGGCTTGTATCTCCTATCCCGAGGCTATGTGCCGTTCTTGACTGGCCAGTGCCGTTGCACAACTCATGCAAAACGTATGGCATTTGATACCAGACGCAACGGGAAATTAGTTAATCCGGGGTGATAAGTAAATTTACGATTTTTCCTCATTGAATGTTGTGCTTTTCTTGGTTGTGTTTGTGTAAGTGGGAATTTCACCTTGGAGACGCATAGAAGGCTTGTAACTATTTTTGTAACACCAGTAATTTCACTGGATGCTAAGAACCGCAGCCAGGCGGTAAAGCATGGACTTCTGCAAGCGCCACCGCCTTCTAGAAGTGACCACGAAGCAGTGACTACGCCAGCTGGAAGCTCCCGCCTTGCATTATTTGTCTATCATGGGTTATATTTAGGTGAGGCTGTCTGGAGATCCGGTCTTCAACTGCAACATGGTTTTTGGAGTGGTAGGAGTGGCCCCAGGGAAGCAGTTTCCCAGATGTTTGCTACCGAGGTATGAAATGCCAAAACGGTACTTTCGGAAAGTGACTGTCTGGAACAGTCACTGTTTTGGAAAATCAATTATCGACTCAGTGATTGTCCATGGCTCTTAGTGCTTAACTATTCCTACGCTCATTAACCGTAGTAGGCCCCAGCATACCCATTCTTCCTGGTATACTCTACGCAAACTTTACGTTTCAGTTTCCTTAAAATTGAATATTTTTCGTAAAATAGTTATATCCAGCTAATTCCTCCACTCCCTCACCAGATCTCCTCTTTCCCTGTTCTAGGCTGGAAGCCTGGGGCCCCAGTTGGGGCGGTTTCGCAGCCATTACTTTGTGCGAATACATCCAGGACTGAACCCATTGCGATGGTCCTTTTAGGCAACTATCTGAAACATCTTCCATGAGCAGCGATGATACAAATATCAGACGAATCTCGTACCTTCTCAATATGATCAACAGAGGCAAGTCTGAACAATCGTCTGACTCCAGCTTTGAATCCCTATCGCATCCAAATATATCTGACAACTTGGAAACAATGCTAGCTGTACCACCAGTTGCGGAAGACGATTACTTATGTGAGACTACGGTTTCTGATAAACGTGTTGAGCTTATGATTCGCCTGATATATGAGTCTTTGGTTCTGCTGAGCTCGCCAGATGAGGTTTTCGATAAGCCAATTGATACTGACGTGCACTTGAAGTATGTGGAGAGGTACTTGGATGGACCGTTGCCAGAGCCATACTATAAGCTTGACTCGTCTCACCTGTGGATGATCTACTGGCTTTTGAACGCTCATGTGGTGTTAAGTGGGAACGACCCTCTGGCAGAATTGAAACTGCTTGTTTCAGAAAAGATCAATTCTTTGATTATCGATGACGGAAGAGGTGGTATTGCCGGTGGTCCTGGTGGCCAGATCGGCCATGCTGCTTCGACATATGCCAATGTTCTACTGCTTGTTCTTATAGAGGACTACGATACGCTTGAGAGAATAAAGCCCAACTTGGCGGAGTGGCTTTTCACCTTAAAACACGACAATGGCTCTTTTGCAATGCATAAGGATGGCGAGTGTGATACTCGATCCACCTACTGTGCTCTTGTCGTTAGCTCTCTCTTGAATATTCAAACTGAAGCGCTTTGGGCGGGAACTCGTGAATGGGTTACCTCGTGCCAGACGTTTGAAGGAGGTTTCGCTGGCGTTCCAGAAACTGAAGCTCATGGAGGCTACACGTTCTGTGCTGTCGCCAGTTTCTTTTTGCTAGGAAGAAAGAAACACGATTTTGATGAAGAGAGTCTTCTTCGATGGCTTGCAGCTAGGCAAGTAAGCTTGGCTGGTGGCTTTTCAGGCAGAACAAATAAGCTCGTTGATGCCTGCTACAGTTTCTGGGTGGGTGGTGCATTTGCCTTGATGGAGGCTGATGTTCAACAACCTGTTTTCAATAAAGCATCTCTTCTCACCTACATCGCCAATTGTTGCCAGGATCTTCAACATGGTGGCCTCAAAGATAAGCCAGATACCTCCCCTGACTTTTACCACACAAACTACGCACTTTGTGGCTTGAGCATGGCAGAGTACTACTACAAAAACGACAAAGGCGATGCCTTCTCTTTCCTGGTCGATGAAAGAGTTCAAGGTTCCTCTTACACTATACCTGTCAGTCCTGTGTTTGGGATTCCTCTCAGGCATGTCAAAAAAGCCAAAGACCATTTCGCATTATAGACTGTTTAATGACATTTACTATTACCTGAACCCCACTACTTTACCAGCCTACTATAATAAATGAAATACGTTCAAAAACAATTGTAAAGACAAAAAATACATGCGATTTCTGTGGATCGAACACAGGACCTCCAGATCTTCAGTCTGACGCTCTCCCAACTGAGCTAAAACCGCATAGAAAGAACCCACGCCGGGACTCGAACCCGGAATCTTTTGATTAGAAGTCAAATGCGCTAACCATTACGCCACGCAGGCGAGCTCTGAACACTGAAAATTGCTCCCTTAACCAGACATTGCAGACGGTATAAAGCTGTTATTCTGCACTTTTAACACTATTACAAAGCCGCTATGGCTTAAGCTAACGTCCATGAGAAATATGAGGCCCGTAGCCCCCGCGAAACGTGATTTATAAGGGTTTAAAGTTTTGTCACGTGCCCTAGCACTCATTCACGCAGTTCTCTACTGATATCTACTTTTCTATACAACCACACCATATATCCAATACATGACAAATTCATGGACGAGCTTCTTCAGAAGGCGGCAGTATGATCTGCTTCCGACCACTAACGACCCTCCGCAGAACATACCAGGTTCTTTTCCTGCTGCTGATGAAACGACCGTTGATGAACCTTCAAACACCCGTTCCATAGGCAACCGCATAGTCGAGTGGCTAATCTTTCTATTTGTTGAACCTATTACCATTGCGGCGGTCATAACACTTTCACTTCTATCGAAGTTCTTCTCCTTCCTATATTTTGAGGATAACGCAGCTCAAAGGCGCAGATCTGGATCTGAAACCGCCACCACCAGTTGCAATGCACTCATGAATGACCCCATCAGTAAAGTTGAAAGGTTTGTCAGAGCTCTTGAGGAGAATCTTCTGCCCGAACAGCTTTACTCGTCCCATACAGATAACCATGTTGCTTCATTGCCTCCGTTTTTCCAAGGCAGCTATACCCAAGCCCTTTACATGGCTATCAACAGGGGCAAGTTCTTGTACGTTTACTTGACTAATCCAAGCAACGAGAGCTCCAGCTCAATCTTTGACCATATCATTACAAATCCTAAGTTCATTTCCATCTTCACAACTGAGAACAGAAACAACCAGAACATAATATGGGGAGGTGATCTCACCAACCTGGAAGCATACCAATTAGCCAATAGCTTGAATGTCACGAAGTTTCCCTTCTTAGGCGTTCTCTGTCTTACACGGACGTCTACCATGACACCTCAAGGCCCATCGAAGACTCCGCCAAAGATTTCCCTTATTCTGAAAATCCAAGGAGGCATTGGTGACGTTGATCCTGCCAGGTTGATCCAAGGTAAGTTCATTAAGCGTTCACTCAAGTATGAGCCTGATTTGGCGCTCATACGTGCTGAACTTAAGGAAAAGTATATGTCCGAATTAGTCCGCAAACAGCAGAATGCTGATTATCAACAGTCATTGCTCAAGGATAGACAGAAGAAGGCGCAGAAGATACAAAAGAAGCTTGCAGCGGATTATCTTCGTTGGAAACAGGCCCATATATTGCATTTAAGGCTGACTCAGGGTCAAGACCGTCCAAATGTTGCCAGGATTGCAATCAAAATGGCGGGAGGCAACCGTGAAACATTCCTTTTCCCAGGAGATTTACCTATTGAGGATATCTTCGTGTTTGTTGAACTTCAACAGAAGAATCTTTTGGACGAGGAGACGAATTTCACGTTGACAGAAACAGAAGCACAAGAGAAGTTCAAGGATTTTGCATACCCCTACAAGTTCCGCCTAGTATCGCCTGTACCTCCATTGCCGCTGCTCAGTGACTACGACAGGAACACAATGATCAAGGATGTCAGCTTCATCTATCCTAGCGGTCTCCTTATGGTTGAGAGGCTCTGATAGGTTTATCTTTTTTAGCATATCATGAATTAAAGTTTATATCGTGAAAAGGGTGGCATTATGTCTATCTAAGGCTTGGAAACCTTACTCTTCTTTGCCTTCTTCTTCTCTTTCTTCTTCAAACCGACGAAGCCAGTCTTGAGCACCTGTGCGTACTCCAACCAGAACTCGTCTAAATTGGCTGCCTCCACAACAGTAGAAATCTTGGATTCCTTCTTTCCTGTCGTAAAACGAATGAGGACTGGATAGTTTTGGGTATTGGTGGCATATGCTGGAGGGTGGTCCACGACGTTGGACGAAAGGTCTTTGACCAGATCAATGGCCTCTTTCTCCAAAGGCGTCGACAATCTCTTTTGAGTGAAGTAGACAGAGCTCTTGCCCTCGTTAGACGTTAGAAGACTCTCCACCTTGGATATGAATTCTGTGTTGTTCAATCTGCCCATGCTTTGATAATGTCTATGTGGTTCACTCTTGTATCTTTTTTTCCACTACCCAAATGGTATACAGGTGATGCTCCACAAGCCATAAGGTCCACCCATCCCAGGCTACAAAGCTTTCTATGAGATAAGGCTTTATATTATACCTTATTAGCTAAACGGTAAAGATTGGGAATTCGGATGGAATCCACGTTTTTGAATGTGGTGGTTTTGAGAGAAGACTTGTAGCACGCTAGAGAAGAAGGCAGTTGAAGGTATGGACTCTATGGATTTACAAGCAAGCTTCTTATTAATGTCAAAAAGAACATCATCTCAAAGCTGTAGTTTTTCCCATATAACATTCTTTTTATGCCTTTCGTGTAGATATCTGTCTTGTAGGGCTTGGGAATTGAAAGACTTAATGGCTGCGAAAGCTTCACATAGTCTGAGACCAAGTTTTCAAGTACTCCAATAGTGCTAGAAAACAACTTAAGAACAACAATCGAAGGACTATCTCTGGTCCAATAACCGCTACACTTCAAGTTTGCTCTATGGCTGCCATTCTTATTCCCCACACTTATACCCTTCACTGCCTGTTTGGTTCACCCAGAGCTAGCCACACTTTACAACTGAGTTCCAACCGAAGACGTTTGGTTACATTCAGTGACATTCAAAAGCTTTATATTTCCAACACCCACCTTTTTTTTACCCACCCACATTATTTGCTTTGTTTCTGTGTCAGGGGTCTGGATGGATTGGTGTGGATAACAATGCATTACTAGGCAGACAATTGCGCAACCCGTTATCAATCTGACTCTCACCGATCCGGGCCTACCACCAGGTACACTTCTTTTCTTCCAAAACAAGCACTGAAAAATTACATTTTCGAAGACTTTTACAGAAAACTAAAAGTACAGGAATCCACTAAACTAAATGAACTAGCCAGAAAAGGTTGCACAAAGTCACCAGATCAACCATCTCCGACCACCTTCATCTATCCCATCCAAACATGGCTAAACACTTGTTTGCCAGGGTCACTGCCCTCATAGTCTCCGTCTTCGTTTCTTTGGTCGCTGGCACGCCCTACCTATATGGTATCTATGCTCCTCAATTGGTCAGAAGGGTGGGACTTTCCACTTCAAAAGCTGCTATGATCTCGTTAGCAGTGACGATTGGCACTGGCTGTGGTGGCTTGCCAGCGGGTCTTCTTATAGACAACTTTGGGCCTCATCTCCTGATACTTATTGGCTCTTCGTGTATCTTTTCAGGATACTTCGTGCTCAATCGCATATACTCGTTGCAGATTCCGAATCTTCTATTGATCTGTGCTGCAATGTGCCTTGTGGGCTTCGGATCAGGAACCACTTTCTTTTCATGCTTGAAGGCAGCACAAGCAAATTTTCCCAATCATAGAGGCTCGGCTAGTGCTTGGCCTATTGGCGCCTATGGTCTTGCAGCGACGGTGTTTCTGTTGATAGCTGCTGCGTTCTACGCGGATGATACTGGTAACTTACTTTTGTTTTTATCTCTTGTCTGCGGGTTAGTAGCTTTCAGTGGCTCTTGGTTTATTCATGTTTATGATCTTCATGATGAGCTGCCCTCAGATCAAGAGTCTTCCGGAGACCTGACACCAGGATTGCATCGCCTGTCTTCATTCTTAAACAAGCTTGCCTTTTGGGGCCTCAACAGATCAGATTCAAGTTTAAGTGTGGAACAGCGCCCGCTTCTACAAAACCAGCAAAGCCCTCGAAAGGTACCCACAAAATCAAAGTCTCAAAGCTCGTTCACCAATAGCACAGACAATTCCAAAACGAAGGATTCTGAACTAATTGTATCTTTGAGAAGTTTGGACTCCCCTAAAGATATCGTCCTTGCGTTGCTACGTAACAGGTTGTACCTTATTCACTATCTTATTTTGGCGTTGTGCAGTGGAATGGGTCAAATGTACATATACACTGTGGGCTTCATTGTCCGTGCTCAATTCTTCCACGAGCCAGGCCTGTTTGAGACATCGGCTTCTCTTCAAGCATTACAGGTCTCAGTCATCTCGATCGCTCAGTTCTTTGGACGGATAGCATCTGGTATGTTGTCTGACGTTGTCAAGAAGAAATTGCATGCTCAGCGGCAATGGCTTGTGTTGGTCTCCATCATGCTCATGATGGTTGCACAAATAATGCTCATATTCACCAACAGCGTTTATTTATTAACCTTGATTTCGACATTTATGGGGTGTTCCTATGGTATGTTGAATGGAAACTACCCATCTATATTTGCCGATACCTTTGGTACCAAACACTTCACGACAGCTTGGGGTTTATCATGTTCTGGTCCGATCATTATCTTATACCCACTACAGTTATACTTTGGCTGGATTTACGACTCTAACGCTGAAGCCAATGGTAAATGCTATCTTGGAAGAGAGTGCTACCTGGGGGCATTTCAGGCAAGTATAGTGCTCAGCTTGATAACTTTTGGTATCACGTCAGCGCTCATCTATAACCAAAGACAACGATGACTTATCATGACACATAAAATTTCTATTCACAAGATAATTAACGTTTGGATATACACAGTTTAGTCAACCGTGTGGATCTTTTCTAAATCAATATCGTAGACAAACTTGGTTTCCTTTTCGATTTTACCAAGCAAATCCTTGAAGTAGCCAGAGCTGATCTCGGCATTTCTAATTTCTTTTTCAAGTTTCTCCTTCTCTCCACTTCTTCTATCAATGCTGGTCTGGAAGTTGTTCATGACTTGCCTAGATGGGAAATTCAACACTTGGCGACATTCTTTGGCCACTCTATCAGCATTAACATGTGCATAGTCCAATTCTAGGACTTGTTTCTTGAGTTTCTTGGCCTGCTTTCTAGGGAAAGCGTTGGGGATATCATTGATAAGATAAAAGACAGTAAAGCCACCAACAAACAAAGTCAAAGGCAAGATCACCTTCTTAGCCACCGACGGTTTGAGTAAACCGGAAAGCTGATATGCCTTCCTGAGAAGGGCACCAGTGGTGAGCAACTTCGTAGATGAATACAAAGTCTGCAATGTGAGTTGAGTTGGCAACTGTCTCTTGAAAGACGTTACCGATGTGGGTATCGTAGTCAAGATATGCGTTGGAGAAAGGATCTCTACCTGCTGCTTGGTGGTTGAGATAATCTCGGTTGGGACTCCCATCCACATGAGGATGGAGTTTAGCGATGGATCAAAGAAGTCAGAAATCTCAATCTGGTCATTCAACTGCTTCTTGATGGTGTCACGTCTTCTTGTGAACATCAAGTCAGCCTTGAAGACCTTATCTGACAAGAACTCATCACCTAAAGCATTCTGGCCAATGGAAACGATCTCCCTGACACTCCTCTCTGTCAATTCTCTTGCCGTACCTTCACTTGCCTGAACAGAAGACACAATAGTGTCAATCATACGACGCTGCGTTTCCTTTGCATAATCATAAACAAATTGCAAGCCAGCATATTGGACAATCTGAGATGAGCCAAAGTTGTCGACAGTAGAAAGAATTTCACCCTTTGTGGAATTATAGACTGCAGTGCAAGTCTTTTCTATTAGCTTGGTGATCTTGTCATTCATCTGCACGGAGTTTTTGATCATTTGATCGTATTTTGGAGCGACGGTCGTACGCAATTCATTCTGCATTCTTTCGATCTCTTTGTAGTAGATATCGCCATTGATATCAGAAAGAGTCTTCAAATCAGAAAGAATGTTGAGCAAATAACTCTTGGCCGGAAGCAATTTGGAGATGGAACGTTTGTCGAGAAGGAACTTCCTGAGCGAATTCTCAAGATGATCAAAGTTAGGATCATCAAAATCTGGTCCACCATTATCACCTGGACCGTCATCTCCTCCGTCACCACCATCATCTGGAAGACTGCCCAATACATCTGAAGAACTCACGAAGTGCACAAAATCTTTGGCGTCCTTGTGTGTGTATGGAGAAAGGTTCTTCACCTGATCCAAGATACGAGCCATGCACTTATTCTTGTCTTTGATGTTATCGAAACGGTTTACCACAATGAAGACATAGCGCTTCTCTGCAGCTGCAGCTGCGATGAACTCCTTAGCTGAGAGTGTGAAATGGTTCTCCGAGTTGACAACGAAGACGACCAAATCGATTTCCTCTTGTCTGGAAAAGACCTGGGTAGTCTGGTAGGAGTCCATATTCAAACCAGGAGCATCTATGAGCTTCACGTCTATGACTCCGTTACCCAAAAGGCTTTCCTCTGCGGTTCTATAGTCGAGCACGTAGACCTTCAATAAACCGTACTGGTCGCACTCGTAGACGAGGTCTTCAAGCTTATGAATTGGATGTCTCTCATAAGTAGTCTCATCGTCTCTACTATAGTCCTTTCCAATTGGGACAGCATGCACTTCCTCAATACTTCTGTTCTCCTTTTCTGCGTCAATGACCTCACAGAACACCGACGTGCAAGGTTGTTGATCTTCAGGTAAAACTCTTCTTCTGAGAAGGGCGTTACAGAAAGTGGACTTACCCGCGTTCAAATCACCAGTAACAAACACCTTAGAAGATGTGTCATCCACACGATCCTTAAGATTAAGCAAATATTTGATTTGCTGAGCGAATTTTTGGTCGAGGAGCATCGATACAGACTTCTTGTCGAGGTTATCCATGAGCTGAGCGCCAGAATGGCCCATCTTTAAGTTTAATTTGAGAACCTTAAAGTCGGCCATCTTGACACCCTTGGTGTCTTCGTCATCATCACCCTCGAGATCAACGCCGTCCAAAGCACCCACCTTGGCTTTGCCCAACGTCTTGGCTTCCAAATCAGTTTTCCTCCGAACCAAGGCAAGATGGGCCCGAGGAGAATTAAGCAATGCGTTTTCCGAAGCGCTATCCTCAGCAGGGAAGAAGATCGGTCTCAGTCTGTTTTCAGCCGAAATTTCATGCAAAAGCTCGATGGTCAGGTTGATGGCCCGATCCAAAGCAACTCTGTTTTCGTTATAGTGAACCTGTTTCAACGATGCCGCCACAGCCAGTTCAGACATGCTGCTCTGGCGAGGCTTGTTTCTTGCTAGACTGCTAGATGAGCCCTCACCATCAAACAAGGTGCTTGATTCCTCAGCAAATGTGCCGTCTGAAGGCATGTACATCATCACGGAAGGTTCTTCGTCATCATGAAGAGTCCCGTCGTCAGATCCTTCCAGCTTCTGCTGAAGAAGATCCTTAAAGCTCTTAGACATGGCTAACTGTGATGTGTGATTAGAGAGAGGCAACTGTTTTTCGCACCCCAGAATCGCATGTTTTGGTGGTAAGCAGGGAGCTCACATCAGGATGCACGGGTGTGGCTCCCTAACATTACCAATGCCTGGAGACCAAGTGAAGACCCATGAAGAGGTGAAATACATGGCAGGCCACAGACACCACTAAAAGACCCAAAAGTGAAACCTCGCCATGGTTGGGTGAAAGAGGGGTCAGCGTAACTTCCCACATTCTTGCCTAATAAATATTTTTGCTTCGCTCGGAATATCCAGGGTGCTTTCGCATATTGGCCCGAGTCAAGTCAGAAATAGGTAAAACTCTGTGAAAAGTAGGTATTGGAATTGGTCCCCTCATTATAACTTGTCTGTCTTTTCGCAGCCATTAGTGTCAAGCGTCAATTGACATGGCTGCCTTTTGGGCCTCTGCAGGTGCGCGATAGCTGGGAGCCGGACTTCCCCGTTTAGATAGGACCAAGACAAATTCCGTCTTCAGCTCTATAAGAGGTGGAACACTGGCAGCGGTGGGAATAATTTTTCAAAATAAGTCGAAATCATGTATTTGCACACATTCGAAACATCTTCTGTTGGTCCAGTCAAGGCTGAGTTGCTCACTCCTGAGAACTTTCTGCCTTATGGTGGAGTGCTCAGCGCAGACGAACAAATCAAGAATGCTCAGGCTTCCAGTGCAAACTATGGCACTGCTGTGAAGTTGCATAAGGTGGCGCCTGTGACTAATAATTTCAAGAATTGCAAGAGTGGAAAGCCTGCTCAGGCAAACTGGAACATCTTCAGGTGCTCTGCTCCTAAGCACTTGATCTCTGGCTCAAAGACAAAGAGCTACAAGTCAACGGTTCTTGAAAGACACCCATACAGTTCTCAGACATTTGTGCCCATGGGCCAGGACTTGAGTAAAGTGTCGTATCTTGTCGTTGTGGCAGACACAGACGAGTCTCTGCCTGATAAACTTCCGAACCCAAAGCTGATCAAGGCCTTCTTGTGCAGAGGCAACCAGTCTGTCACTTACGGTGCTGGCACCTGGCATGCTCCTATGGTTGTGATTGACGAGAAGATCCCTCACATTGACTTTGGCGTGTTCATTCATGAAAACGGTGTCGCTGGTGAAGATTGCCAGGAATGCTCCTTCGACCCAGGCTACAGCATCGAGTACGCCGACCCATATGCCGCAAGACTTTAAGCTTTATAGATGCGTGTATCATAAAAGGTTCACTTTTGGTGCTCATCTCAGTTATATGTAATCTATAAGTTCTTCCATAACCTGTTTCACGTAACTCTCTTTTTCCTCTGGTGCCATTCCCTCAACCTTTGACCTTTCTAACCGTAGTTTATCCATGAGCTGGTCCAATGGCATACTTTCGTCACCTTCGGACTCGAGAAGTCCTCGCGTCATGTCATCTATTTTACTTTCCTTGTGTTTGACGTATTCCTCTGGCTCTGAAGAGGAAATGTTAGACCATTCGTGTGTTTCAAGAATTTCAAGCACCCTATCCTTTCCTAGCTTCTCCTTGAATTCATTGATTCCTGATTCACCTTCGTAGACAAACTCAATTCCATACTGGATACATTCGTCCTCGAATTGTTCAAGTTTCACCTCATCTTTCTTTTCTGCTTTTGCAGCCATTACCACTGCGAAGCAGCTGGTATCTAGACCATCACGGACTTGGGAATAGATATTTAAAAGCTCTGCCCACTCGTCAGTAGAAACGCATTCCGGATCTATGGTGAATATGATACCGTCTAGGGCCTCTCTGAGCTCTTGGTATTCGTCTGATTTGAAGGCTTCATTCCATTCGGTAAGGCTCTCAAGACACTCTTCACTTTTATGAGGCCTTTCTTCCGGAAATTCCTCTAATAGAAGGTTTAACTGTGTGGAGAAGTACTTCGTCTTGAGATCACAGTTGTATATTAGGCCCGAATGCGAGTTATCTGGAATTGTACTCGTATCCAAATCTTTTGTAATATGTTGAGCTAACCGAACCTTTCCTGTTTTTGGCGGCCCAAGAACGAGAACATTGTTAGGTATCATTATGGATCACCCACGAAACAAGCAGGTCCAGTTGAAAATACCGCTACTAGTTAACTCGAATGAGGTCACGTGAATTTCTTCCAAATTCAACCCAATTTCATCAAGAACAGCAAATATTAAAAGCTGTTTGAAACCTCGGCTACAATTTGACCTTCTTTTTGCACCTGCTGTTTCATATCCTTGTGCGGTCCATTTACACCTCTCGTCGTCTTATCCAAAGAGGTTAACTTCTGCGCGCACCTAAACTCGACAAGTATCGCCAAAACAGTACATACTAGATAAAGAGCAGCATGGCACCTTCCACTGTGCCTAAAGCAGGCGATGCTAATGGCAGTGCTACCAAGCCAAAGTTGGATATTGATAGTGTTCAGCTTGAGAAATTGTTTATTCGAGATGCCGACGTCTTCCAAACAACATTAGACTCGGAGGATTACTTGGACAGCTTGGCTCCCCTTATTAAGGATGCCTTGAAAGCCAATGCCTTGTCTGAATTCATTGGCAAGTTGAATGATATTGTCAAGCAAAAGGATGGTGAGCTTAATGAGATCTCGTTAGGATCAGCTCGTGATATCAACAAATGCATCAAGTCCATTGACGGTGTGTCCCATGAATCGGCCAATCTTAGTCAAACAATGCAGCATGTCAACAACTACTTGAACAAGTCAGCTTTTGAATTGGTTGCACGTAAGAAGGCCCTTATAAAGAGCAAGGAAACTGCTGGGAAGGTCAATGAGACCATGACTACGTTGAACCTATGTAACCAAGTGCTCGAGATCAACAACAAGATTCTAGAGTTGATTAAGCAGCAGAAATCCTTCAGTGCATTGAAGTTAATTGATGAGCTCCAGTCCATTCATTTGCCGAAAGTCAAAGACTTTTCTTTTTCCGTTAAGATCTACAATTCCATTCCTCACATGACAAGCATGATTAAAGAAGAATCTTTCGAGAGTCTTAAAATGTGGCTTACAACTCATTTGGAGCGTAAGATCGATAGAATTGGTGACCTGATATATGACAATTTGTACAAACTTGATGAACATTGGGAGTCTCTACGAAACGATTCTTCAAGCTCGTTCCTTCTACCCCACAGACTCAATTCTCCAATTGAGCTTTCTATGAGAGATCCATCCTTGACTTTCCAAGTTTTTGAGTCGGAAGAATTGGGAATTTCTTTGAATCCTATCTATGACTCCATCCTCGTCTATAACTCGTTGAAGGATTCTTCGACACTTTCGGGAATGTACCATAAGGAATGGATGGAAAAGTACAGAAAGATAATACATCCTATAACGCTTTCTGCCAGCAAATCATATGATAAATCATCCTCGAGTCAAGAACCAGCTGTCCTGTTTCCGGATTTAAACAGTTTGGAGAGTTACTTACGAAAGATATCAGCCTTCTTTGTCGCCGATAAAGAATTGAATACGAAAACCAAATTTGAGCTTCGTTCGAATACCACGTCTGATGATCTTTGGGAGTCTTATGTGCTCAAATTGAAGCCAGTGCTTTTAAACTTTTTAAACACCCGGAAATGGCGGCAAAATGATTTGGATCTACTCGCTAATTTCAAGGAATGTCTAGGACATTTCCTCCAAGTTATGGAGAATAGCCAGTACAAGATTACCGAACTCTACGAAATTATGATTATCATCTTCAGAGACTACTTTGGTCCGATCTTGATACAACATTTCAGACTAGAGTTTATGGACTCCATCCAATCTGATCATTACATGCCTCTTGGTGTATCCGATAGAGAAGATTATGACAATGTTATGAAGTTATGTTGGTATAGAAAGGATGCAAGCTTTGCTCCTAAGAATGTCAAATCGATGCCTATTTCATTCCCTTTCAGTGAGGATTATGTTCATTACTGTTTGGGGATCAGAGCCTTGATGCAAGACATCTTAGAGTTTATTTCTCGCCAGTACAACTATGATTTGAATGAGATAAATCGTATCATCGTCGAAGAGATTTTTGAAAGAGTCTTGGGCGACGAACCTGGTGTTGGTATCTGTAACGATATCAGGGAGTTCATCACCAAAAACTCGGGCAACAAAGAAATTGTGGTTCAGAGTTTCTCGAATCTTGAGTACTACGTCTACAGTTTGTACGAAATTGGAAAACTTCTTGATTCCAAATTGCGGAGATATAACGGTATCGGTATTATGAACATTGATACTAACTCTATCTTCAAATTAAGAGCAATTGAACTATTTACAAACGTCAGGAAGTTCTCTGAAGACACGATTTTCAGTATGGTTGACCAAAAATTGCGTGAACTTGTTGACCTGGTTGAGTATGACGATTGGTATCCAGCGACACCAAATAACGATCCCAACTTTTTCATCCTCGATTTCTCCCTCTTCTTGGAGAACATGTTTAATTCGATCTTCTCCAACTTGCCAAGTTCGTTCAAGACTTTGGGATTGTTCAGAAGTTATGATTTTATCTCGGAACATTTTCTCAACATTCTTTTGAACGCCAGAGGTTTCAACAAGATCGCTATCCAAAATTTTGACCTTGACGTTCAGCATCTTGAGCAATCTATGGCTAGACTCGCGGACTCAGGAAATACGGATGAGCAGGGTGGCTCGGTGGCCTTGCAATCTACTTTCGCAGAATTGAGACAAACGATTGATATGTTGCTTTTAGACGATTATGATGAGTTCCAGAAGAATGCTTCTTTCAGAATGAGAAGATTCGACAGACTTAAGTATGAGACTGCGATGAACTTGGTGAAGAAGATGCAAAGGGATGATATCGTGGACGAGGAAGAGCCATCTCTTGGTGGCAGCGAGACCGCAAGCAGTTCTGGAGCTGGACTTGATAGAGAGAACTCCGTTTTCGGTAATTCTGCAGCAAGATTCCAGCAATGGAGACTGATGAGAAGGAATGATAATCAGCAGGGGCAAAACTAAGATCTTCTCCAGAAGTATAGCCAGCTCTTCTTTGGCTGTTGCTGGATGAGCTCGTTCTTCGCTTCATTCAAAGCGGCGTTCATCTCCTCCTCGAGTTCGGCAGCCTGATGTTTAAGCTTTTTTTCAACATCTTTATACTCTAGCAAATACCAGCATGTATGAAGTGCCATGTAGGCCGACGAGGCGATCAAGAAGGTATGGATAAATGCATTTTTGAATTGAGAAAGCGTTGGCTTGGAAGGTGGATTAGGATTGTTGAAGTTTTCATTAAACTTGACCGTAGAATAGAAGCGTGGTCTATTGAGGTTTCTTGCACCAGCAGAACGTAAGGATGATCTTAGCATGGTTGAAGTAGTTGTAGTTGAAGATTGTTTCCCAGCGCGAAAATACATCTTTACTACAAGGCGTTGGGTGCAAATGTTATACAATAGAACAAAACCAACACGCTTTATTTGAAAATGGAGCACAAAATTTCCCTTGGTTTCGAACTTAGATGTAATTTGGCTCTTATGAATGTTTTTTTTTTTATTTTTGATTATTTTACTTCTTCTGACTTTTGCAACTTTTCAGTTTTCCTCGGCATTTTCATGAAACTGAATGGTTAATGTAAAGTCCAGAAAGCGTACCAATATGTGCAACACCAAAGAAAGAGAAAAGTTTTAAAATTTAAAACGAGCCAAATTAAGCAAAATTTCAGCTAAACTTCAAAGAATAATCGATGACAGCTACAATACTATCTTTATGATGGCGGATCCTACTCCAGTGGCATTTCGGGGGGACCATTAGGGTTCACACGACTTTGTCAAACGAGGAAGATCTGAGTAATAGATGGTTTTTCTCTTTCAGATATATACATGTATAGAGCTTTCCATTTAATTGAATTCAACAAAAAAAAAAAAAAATAATTTTTTCTTTGTCTTGATGTGAAATACTGTAACTGTCATTGTGGTAACACTGGCTGCTTTGGAATAGAGGTACGGGTGTACCATCTGAGGATATACACTAGGAGACTACAACATTGATAACATCGGATTGAAGTTCGAGAACTACAAGCATGTCGAAGCCCCAGAACTCTGTGGATCAGTATACGCAGCTAAAGAACCAACTTTCACAGCAAATAGTGAAAAAGCAGGAACTAGATTCCCAGCTTCAGGCGTTGGAAAACACCATCTACGAGAAAGAGAATGACTACTTCAATGAAAGCACATACGGCAACATCGTAAAGGGATTCGATAGTTTTGCTAAATCTTCTTCAGGTGGTTCCAGTAAGCGCAGAATGGTTTATACAGATGACGATCACATCTTCAGTCTTCTGTCAGCTACATTCGTGAGAACTCTCACGAAGAGACAAGGAACGGGCGCCCCAGATTACGATGACTTTGAGGATTCCGTCGAGCCTCCTGCTAACGGTACCAGTAATGGATCTAAGGAGCAGCCAGGTACTCCAGGAAGAAAGAGAAAGGGCCGCTTGGACGACTCAAAATGAATGTAGTAGCTGCCATCATTTGATAAATGAAGTCTAGGTACATTCAGACGGCCTCAAAAGAACAAGGGAAGAAAAGTATGTCAAGCGTTTCCTTTACTTTTATCTACGCGTCGTCGAAAGGTTGTTGTCTACGGCATTTCACGAGTCGTTGGTCGATGTATTATATTTACAGGCATGCAATCATCCGAAAACTTTATTTTTCGGTTTCGGGCTTGGAATAGTATGTTACCCATGGCTTGTTAGGAGGGTAATCCGTGGGTATCCTAAAGTCAACTGGGAATCTCACGGGCTCCTTCTTGTTCGCTATCTCGAACAACTCAGGGCTCACCTCTTTTAATTCGCTCATGGCGGTCTTTATGCTTTCATATTGCTTCGCAAGTTGCTGATGTCTCTTTTCGTTATTCTTGCGCTTGAATAATCTCCATGCGTTCGTGATTGTTTGATGCTTGACTAAATCTTCCTGACAAAGTTTGAGAACCTTGGGCTGCTTCTTGGAGGCAGATAACACCGAAAGTTGGTTGACAACCTTCTGGGTATCTGGCGAGACGGTAGTGACCTTGCTACGGACGAATGTCCTGCTAGCTACTCTGGCGTTTGACGAGAACATGCTTCTTTATGCGTGTATTGATGAAGAAGTTCTGAAAATTTTGTGAGGTAGTATCGCACCCGTACACCGCGAGCCCACCACCAGGTTTGCAACCAACTACGGCTCACTCTATCATCAACAGTCATTATCAGCTTAGTTGCCGTGGAAAAAGAGGTTGGTTCACAAGTTTCTTAGTTTGCTAAAAATGTGAAGCCCGATTTCTTATGCGATTCGTTTCCATGGGCGGACCTCGAAGCACTTATCAGCCTGTCCAGCCGGTATTTAAGCATACTACGTATGGCCTGAGGATGACCAACAATTCAGCTCACTTGAGTTAGATTGCAATGTGCTATTTGGTTGGTATTTTCATGGAGAAGGGGTATTGTGGTGCCCATTCTTGGCTCTCTAATCAAAGCCTTCGCACGTGATCTCACGGCTGTATAGGGGAGCAACTACATGATTTAAAGTCACTTCATCTAAGTCCTTATCAGATTATCATCAGCAATGGGACTCTTTAGCAAGAACGACAAAGAAAAGCAGGAGAATCGCCCACCTGCTCCTCTCCCTAACGATCAGGGTGGCCCAGGTGGTCCATCGGATGCCCCACCATCCTACGACCAGCTGCAACAGATCCATACTGGTAATGAGCAGACACCTCAGTACAATGACAATAGATACGGTGATAATGAATATCCTCCTGAGAAAGCCACCGGCCCCAATGGTTACCCTGAAGATAAAAAAGGTGGTTATGACGACTATCAACAGCCTCCTCAACAGCAACCACAGGGCCAATATTTCCAGGCACCTCCACCTCCACAGAACCAAGGCTCTGGATGGGAAGCACCTGGCTGGGGAGGTAACCAAGCACCACCACAACCCAACCAGCAGGGTAATGCTTCAATGCCTCCAAACGCTTACGTGATTCCACCAAGAACGGCTAACATTGCTATGGATGATGGAAAATACACCAGACCCGAATACCAGCAATACAAGGCAAGAGATCAGGAGAGAATGGCCCACGGTGACTTTCCAAAACCTAGAGAAGCCTTTAAACACGGTGCTCCATTGGAACCTAGCCAAAAGGCACAAGGAAAGGGAAAGTCCTCAGGAGGATTCCCAGGCAGCTCCGGTGCTTCTTACTACAATGCAGCTAATCGTTAACATTAATTATACTAGGTACTTTTCGACATTATATTTTTAAGGCAAGAAATTAGAACACCGTATCTCCGTTGTAAGTCCAACCACCAAACTGCTTCTGTACAGATTCACTCAAGAAGTCATCAACGACAGAGTCTTGAGGACGCTCATTGGTGAAACTGTGGTCAAAGTTGGACGTGTCTAATAAGCTCTCCACTTGTGGCTTGAATGGAGGCAAATAAGCCTTGTCTAATAACTTATTCCAGTCGATGTCTTGGAAGAAAGGATGATTTTTGATTTCCTGGGCGTCATCCATTCTGTTCGCTGGATCTTTCTGTAGAAGCCTTGTCAATAAATCCTTGGCTTCGGTCTCCTCAAGGAAGCTAGGGAATTTCAATTCGTTTTGCATAATCTTCTTGTACATGGTAGGCACATCATCATCGTAGAATGGTGGTAAGCCGGTCAACATCTCGTACAACAAGGTTCCAAGAGTCCACCAATCGACACTACGGGTGTATCCCTGGTTTAAAAGAAGCTCAGGAGCCAAGTATTCAGGGGTGCCGCAGAAAGTGTTTGTCTTGTCCTCATTGGACATGTTGAGTTTACACAATCCGAAATCACACAAGGCGATGTGGCCTTGGTAATCAAGTAAGATGTTCTCAGGCTTCAAATCTCTGTAAATAACATTGAGGTTGTGCAAACTTTCCAAAGCAGTAAGAAGCTCAGCGATGTAGAACCTAGATCTGTTCATAGAAAACTTTCCAGACTTCTGTAAGTGGTAGAACAACTCACCACCATTGATGAAAGATAACACAAGGTAAAGCTTCTCTGGAGACTGGAAGGAAAATTTAAGTGGTACAATGAAAGGATTGGTTATCCGGGCCAACACCGTCCTCTCTGCGAGGGTATGCGTCACTTCCATTCTAGAGATGATATGCTGCTTTCTGAGAGTTTTCAAAGCATAAATCTGTCTAGTATCTTTCTTCATAACTTGCATGACTTTACCAAAAGATCCCTTACCGATGACCTTGAGCAAGTCGAAATCTTCGATTGATAGATGGTTCTTGAGAAGTGGCTTGAAGTCAATGCTAACATTAATCTCACCAATTGCCAAGTCATCCGCAACCAGTTCGAAGCTCTTCTTGAATTTGAGGTTTTCGTGGTCAATCAAACGGATAGTTTTGTTATGACAGCGCAAGTTCAAGGGCAATTTGATTTGGCCGACAAGCAAGTCGCCAATGTTTGAGCCATCTTTGGCAAAAAACTGCTTTTTCGATCCCTTCTCTTGTTCTGGAATCAAGTTTCTAGGTAAACGAATAAATAAACTGATGTTGAGGAAGTTTGAACCCGTTGCGCCGCTACCCGCTGTTTTGGTTACATCGAAAGACACCACTCTATCCCATTGGGAACTGTCGACAGTACCACCTCTGGGTTCAATCATGAGCACGTTATTATCAAATTCCATTGTCATGTACAATAGAGCCTTGGTGACACGTTCACCGGTGGCATTAGGAATGTTGATGTTGGAAGGTAAGTATGACGCGGCAGCAGGGCCATCGATAAGGTCCGAGGTACTGGACCCAGCCTGCTCTTTCTGAATAAGATCATTGAGTCTCTTCGAGAGAGTAGATCCGGTGTTGGAGTCGTTTGTATTCGAAGCCAAGGCATGCAAAATCTGTTTGTTGTTGACAATTCTGATAGGAAGTTCAACGTTCTGAGACCGATAACATTTGACAGTAAGCAACCCCGGATTCGAAGCCACAGCCTGTCCCTGATGCAGAGAAGAGCTTGACACGGAGGGTTCGGTCAGAGGGTCTCTTGGCTTTCCTGAAACATGCAGCGATGGGGATGGAGTCTCTCTTGATGCGTCTGAAAGGGTCAATTTCAGCATGTCGGGGACAGACGAGTTTTGGACCAAAGTGGACCGAGACTCTGAGGAGTTGCGAGGCGAGGTGGAGGACTGCGGCGTGGTCTCCTTTTCGGAGGAGCCGAATCTGAACTTGTTTTTAAATCTAAGCATCTCTTAAAGAATGAGTAGTTGAGATGGAAGAAGAAGTGGCTGATGGGAGGCTGGGTATTGTGATAAAAGGCCCAGGCTTGTATACACAACCGGTCGGCAAGAGCAAGAGCAATAGGGGCCGAAAAAGACTGAATCTGGGGTAAAAATTCTTGACGAGTTCGGAAAGTAAAGGAAAAAGCAACTGAAAAGTGCGGTCTAAGGGCTTACTGTGACTGAAGGTGTGCTGGTTGAAACGTACATAAATGTGGAGACTGGTAGTTAGACCCTGCGAAGGAACCTCGGATGCGTAGGGAGGCAAGCGCAAGAGATAAGCAAGGGTGAAGAAAGGGGAAGGAAAAGAGAGGTAAAAGCCAAGATCCCATACTTTAATCAATTCCAATGTGATCATTGTATTGTGGAAAATCTTGACCAAGATCTAAGGGAGATCCTCTTCTGCGAGAATTGGCTGCGAAAGAATCAGTACGAGAGGTTATGAAGTAGGACAAAGACGAGTGATGAGGATGCTTATATAGGGTTACATCGAGAAACCAACACAGGTGGAGTCGAAACTGTAGCTTGGGGACTTTGACAGGAACTAAAGTAAAAAGAAACGGGAAAGAAAAACCAGCATGAAAAAAGAAACTAGTGGGGAACAAATTGGTGATCATAGTAGATGAAGGTTATTTGAGATCTGAGTACCTAGTCAGAGCAGTACCCCCAAGCAAGGCTGGGTTTAACCTTGATGCATTTTTCTGACTACTTACCCTCATATCTTAATAATATCCAGGCCAAGTCAGTAGAAGAACAGCACATGGACAGCCTAGGACAGTGTAACAGCTACGGTCTCACAGTACACCAACCAGGCAATGCCTCGCAACCTCCACCAAACCTTTTTTAACCTTGTTGAATCCAGACCAAAACAAGCCCATGTTACGTGTTGCCGTGCATCGTCCCAAATACAAAGCAAGGCGGGTACGGCTCAGCCTAATGCACTAGCACGAAAATCATCTGCTGGAGCAGTAGCGTAGTAGAGACAGCAGCACGAGCAGCCAGTGAAACACTCGAGGCGCGAAACACGAGGATACATTCCTCCTCAACCATCTCCAGCCACTGCCACTGGCCCCCTCCCCGTTTGCTGTCAACGTGGACAGGCGACCCAAAAGAAATACTATAGAAGGAAGTATTGAAGAGACGAGAAAAAGTAAAGTTCAAAAAGAAGATAAGGCCAAGGAGGGGAGCGAGGTAAAGGGACCCTAAGGGACCCAAGTGTGGAAGCCTAAGGCGGCTCCCTGCCTACTATTTTTCGCAACCACTGGCTCCCGCACTCTACCCTCCAGACTAGACCACTAAGCACTCTCGAAGCATCCACCAACCAGGGTTTAAAGTACTGGAATCAACCAGTACTAAAAAAATCGTAGAGCAAATGAGTGCTTTCACCACAAAACCAACTACCTCCTCGTCTCTGCTTGCTTGCTGGTACGCTTTCGTGCTACCCATTTGCAGCCACAGACCCTGTTTTTGGGTGTGCCCGCCTACATCAGCTCTGCCTCCTGAAGTCGCGGTGTTTCGTTCTTTTTTTTTTATTTGTCTCTTTTTTTGGTTACTTCCCGCCAGGAAATAGGGTAGGCCTTCCCCACTAAGTACCCGCGCCGCCTGCACGTTCGTACCGTGTCTGTTTGTTTATTAGTAAATCGTGAATTTTCCTGGCGCCAGATCGAATGCTAAGGCTTTTTTTTTTTTTTTTTGGACCTCTCTTTACCCTACCGATTCCCGCACCGTTCGTCTGGTTACCACTTCTCTATCATCCAAATACCACATCTGTTTACTTCCATCTTCCTCCACCACCACCCTGGTCTTATCATATTTGCCTTAGTGCCTACTTGCATCCCACCCTAGTCATTCTTTCCTGGTCAATGGCCTCCATCGTCCACAAGTCCATGGAGTTCTCCTCGCATCCTTCGTCTGCTAATGTCGACAAGGTGGTCGAGTCCGTGACGAACGCCACTAAGCGTTTGTCCCAGATCTCCACTACAACCAATAACTCCAGCAAGAAGAAGAAGACCCAGAACCGTATCGGTCCTTGGAAGCTAGGCAGAACGCTAGGCAGAGGCTCTACGGGAAGAGTCCGCCTTGCGAAGAACGTGGATACCGGTAAACTAGCTGCTGTGAAAATCGTGCCCAAGCTGAATTTCAAGAAGCTTGAAAACCCAAAGTACAAGAACTCGGATGCCACGAAGCTTCCTTATGGCATTGAGCGTGAAATCATCATCATGAAACTCATTTCTCACCCCAACATCATGGGTCTTTACGATGTCTGGGAAAACAAGAACGATTTGTACTTGATTCTTGAATACATTGAAGGCGGCGAGCTTTTTGACTACTTGATCAAACGTGGCAGGTTGCTGGAATACGAAGCCATCAATTACTTCAAACAAATCATTCATGGTATTGGATATTTGCATCAATTCAACATCTGCCATCGTGACTTGAAGCCAGAGAACTTGTTGCTTGATTTCAACAAGAACATCAAAATCGCCGACTTTGGTATGGCTGCTTTACAAGTCAATGAAAAGCTCCTAGAGACTTCTTGTGGGTCCCCTCACTATGCATCGCCAGAAATTGTTGCTGGTAAGAACTATCATGGAGCTCCTTCTGATATTTGGTCTTGTGGTATCATCCTCTTTGCTTTGTTGACTGGTCACTTACCTTTTGACGATGAAAACATCCGCAAGCTCCTTATGAAAGTTCAAAACGGTAAATTCATCATGCCTAGCGCCTTGTCCTGGGAAGCTAAAGATCTTATATCTAGAATGTTGAGAGTGAACCCAACCGAGAGAATTCTGATCGGATCGATTTTGAAGCATCCTCTCTTGACAAAATATCCAGATCCACTGTCCATCAGTTCAAAGTCAGACAATGATTTGATTCTCCACTCCAACATCAGACCTATCCAGCTGAGAGAGAAGATTGACAATGAGATATTGCGCAACTTGTGTATCTTGTTCCACAACTGCAAGGAAGAGCATATCATCAATTGTTTGTTGGCCCAAGAAAGATCACCCGAAAAGATGTTCTATTATCTCTTGATGAAGTACAGAAATGAGCATTTGCTGAATTCTCCGTCAAACTATGCTGCAGATGAAGATGAAGATGTTCCAAATAATGAGGAGCTTCCTCGCTCCAGCTCAACGGTGAAAACCACGATAACCGCTGCAGACGGTAGCTCTCGTACATCCACCAAGAAGATTCCTCGCTCTGCGTCCTCGGCTTCCTCAGCATCGAATAAAAGCCGTAAGCGTCCTTTGGCTAATGTGACCAACAAGACATACACTGCTTCAAACGCTCGCACTAAGCGTTCTAATAGCAGGCCAGCTTCACGAAATGCTTCTAGCAGATCACTTCAAAGCAAGCATAGGGTCCTTTCCACTCAGAATCAGAATATTTCGACATCGATCCGCACAGAGGAAGCTAAACCTATCTCGAGAACTGTCACTCCTCATGCCAATCAGTTGAATCAAATCGCCAAATCAGAGGAAGATAAAGAGAATGTCTGCGGGCTGGAACCACAAAAGGTAGAGAAAAAATCTACGAAAAAGCCAGACATTGTACCAAGAGATGGTACCATCTTTCAATTCCAGAAGATTTGTCAAGATATATTTGGGTCTGATGTTGATCACAAGTCGGTGTATGATATGACTCTTACTCTGGACAAGAGAAATCTCACAAGGGATACGATCCACAAACTTGAGGTCCTTAATAACCGTATGAGTAAGGCTTCTTTGGTCCTTCCAAAACTTCCCTTGACTCCTGAGGCATCCTCTCGTGACGTTAGAGTGCCGCCAAAGTCAGAGGAGGAACCAACAAAGCTGGCTGAGAAACACAAGAGGAACCTTTCGGGAATAGAGCAAAGAGAGAAGGAGTTGGCTGCACTGGTACAGAGAAAGAACGATGAGCGTGAGTTAAGATACAAGCAAAATGACGAACATCTTGCTCGCATGAATGAGGAACGTAAGAAGCAATCGCTACTCTTGAAGGCTAAACTGAAGGAAGCTTCCCGCTTGATCCATCGCAACACTTCTCAAAGAATAATGTCCGAGCCGTATCAACCCACGTCCTTAGATCCAAAGTCTTCCTTGCTTAGATCAAAAACACTTGCGTCAAGGACGCCTTCACTTTCAGCAAACCCCAAGCGTGACAGAAATGCCATCGTATTGCAAAGATTGGGTATTGAGTTCAAGCAGCCACAATCAATCAGCCGTGCATCGTCTTTCCTGAAAACTTCTACGTCGAAGGACTTGGTTCTCAAGGGAGAGAAGGAACCTAAGAGTCAGGATGAAGCAGACTACTCCATTGATCTCAACAAGACACTTCCAAGTATCAGGCTGCAAAAGTCAACCATTGAGGAAGTCAGCGAGCCTAGTTATTCTGACAAATCCGGAACGGATGCTGAATCTAGTGCTGTTTCATCACATTCGCAGGATAATCAGAAAAGCACTAAACGGAATAGTTTCAAACCTTTACTTGATGTTGCCGAAGAGAAGAAAGAGGCTACGACCAAGAAGCCAGAGACAAGTGGGCGGGATTCTGATCTTACCCGTATGAGCGTACGCACACATGCTGACTTGATTCCTAACCCAAGGTTCTCCCGCTTCTCGTTCAATGAAATCCTCAAGCCTAATACCGACCTAGCTGATGCTACAATTATTGAGGGTACCCGGAGTTCAGGAACTGTCAAGCGTTCGTCCAGACAAACGCTCAATACTAAGCAAGGTAACGGCCTCATCAAGAAGTCCCCTACTCGTGATCTTCAGGGATTGGGCATCATCATTGACAAGAGCCAATCTCTTCATTCTAGGAATGCTTCGAAGGCATCGGGAGAGCACAACTTTGTTTCGATTAACGCTTCTGATGATGAATGCAGCGCCAACTGTACTACTCTTCAGAAGGATGCTATCAGCATAATGGATGAATCTGAGCTGAGCGGGGCAGAGGATTACAACTTGTCCAACGAGATCGTTGATATGAATCGAACGGCAGAAGAGCAAAGGAGATTGCTGCTCAAGGCGTCCCAGAGGCGTACCTCTCATTTCACGCAAGATCACGGTAATGAACTGCTGGCTAAAGGATCGCATAAGAGTTCTAAAGAAACCTTGGTGGGTGATAATGAAGAGAGAAGCTGGTCTCATAAGTCTCATAACACATTACTTCCTGAGGAGCTCTCGTCGCATGGCAGGACCAGAAGTATCTCGGCCAAATCAACCTTCTCCAGAAGATCTGAGTTCAGAGATGACATTGTTCAAGACAACGTGTTGGATACTTCTTCGCTTGCAGAGAATACTCATGCGTCTTACGATGCTTTAGAAGGTGGTCTAATGTCCCAAGGTGATGAGTTCAAGCCTGCGCCTTTCACGACAGAGAAGGATACATTCACAGCACAAGATGAAATCCAGGATGACCATTGCAGCACTATTGCTCCAAAGGATTCAAACAATGATGAAGAGCTTGAGGTACCACAAAGATCGCCTAATCGTCCTAGGCGCCAGACTCTCGGATCTCTTCGTCGTTCAGCTGCCTCCACACAGATCTTTAGCACCATGCACATGAAAGAAGCTGCAACACAAGGAACGCCGCCAATGGATGGTGAAGCTGCGAATCAAGACATTCCTAAGCTGGAAATCAAGTCTGGTCTGACAACACCCGTCTTCGGACAATTGCCACTCGGCGTTTCTTCCAAGCCTTCAAGGAGTCTGAAAAAGTGGAGCTTGATGCCTAGAAGAAGGGCTCCACATGCTCCTGGTGACGATACAATCAAAGAAGAGTCAAAAACTAGAGGTCATAATAGATTCTCGGGTATCTCGCTTGTTTCCAACGCAAAGAGGTTCGTTGCACCCAAACCAGAGGACACACCAAAGTCCCCCGCGGGTGCTGGATGGTTCAAGCGCTTCTTCATGTCATTGTCTAAAGGAAATGGTAAAGATGAAAATGTGGAAGAGCAGCCTAAAACAACTAAGAATGTCCATATCATTGATACTAAGTTGGACTCCAGCGATCTCATGCGCATAATCAAAAACCAGTTAAAGGTGAAGGAGGTCGAGGGTTCCGTTACTAATGTCGAAATTGATGAAGAATTCGCGTTGATAAACGGTGTTGTTCCTTCAAGGTATGCCAGAGGAAGAAAGTTGGTATTCAAGAGTGAGGTGATTGACTTGGTGAATTCATCATCATTGCATCTTCAAAAGGTGAAGGGCTCTAAGAGAGCGTTCAAAAACCTCATCGATGTGGTCGATTTTGTGATCAAAAGAGAGGAAGAAGCTAATGCCAAAGCCGTAAAGCCAGCCCATTAGATTCCTTACAATTTTCAGTAATGCATAATATACATATAGAGTACATCTCTTGATAGCACATTAGGCGAAGTAGTATTGGGTGCGAAAAATCGCATCAACCATTATCAACTAGTAACAACTACTCCACGTCCATGAGCGGAAAGATCGTTCGTGCCCTTAATTGGGACATTGGTTACGAACAGCGTTTTCTAGCTATTAACCCTTTGGGTGACGAAGTGATCGTATACCAAACCGATAACGACGATCCATTACAAAACTCGGAAAACCTAGTCAAGGTTCACTCACACTCTGGAATAGAGCACATCCAATGTCTCGGGTATCTGAGAACACATCCTGGTTGGACCGGTGTGGGTACTATGGATGGTAATGTCCATATCTTTGACGTCATGAAGAACGAAGCCACAACGTTGAAGCTCCGATCGAAACAACATCGTCCATGTAACTCACTTTCGTTCAACAACAACGCTCTTGTGGCAGCCTCTTTCGATAAGAGTCGTCAAGACAATTCCCTTCAGGTTTGGGATATTGCTAAACACTCACAGGTCTTTGCAAACAGTGTGGATGATGATAGCCAGGTGATAAGGCCCCATTACTCCTACTTGGCCAATGAAGCGACCCTTTCAACGGCATTTATAGACCATGAGGGCTCTGGAATGAACCTTATGGCCGGTGGATACAAGCTTTTACGTGAGTTTGATTTGAGGGATTCAAGTACTTCCCCTGTTTACCAGGTGGCTACAAAACTGACCATGGATATCACCTTGGACCCATTCCAACTGCATATGTTTTCGTCATTAAGCGAAGACGGGTCTGTCTCCATCTGGGATAGAAGAAAGCTCATTGGTAAATCGAAGGGATCTGTCTCTTCTGAGACACCCGTTTTACAGTTTACCAAACTTTTGAGTGACCTGCTGCGCAGAAATAACACACAATGTTTCAGGTACTCCACTATTAGAAGGGGTGAATTTGCATCTGTATTCAACGGAAACCTTATTAGAAGATGGAATACTGGTGTCGTGCCGCCAGTCAAAGATCCCTTGAATATCCCAACATTTACTGGTGGTGATACTTTATCATCTCTCAAGTCACAATCGATGCAACTCTATGCGCCAAACGAAGAGTCTCTCTTTGTTGCTCTAGTGCTTGACCTGAAAACTGACTCTCCTCGAGTTGTCTCATTCGATTATTCTCCTGACTTTGAATCTTCGACGTCAACCTACTTCGTATGTATGAGAGAAAAGGGCCTGGTCTTTAGAATGCCTGTTGTGGAGAGTATCGAGTCACTAGACTTCAATTCTTTCAATGAGTTCTCGATGGCTGGTCCAGAAGGAACGGTGACGAAGTTTTGGGAGGACCGTGAGCAGCCCATTCACGGTGGTACTACTGCCTCTGACATGCAACGGTCAGACTCGAAATTCACCTCGAAAAATGATTACCTGGTAGAGGCAGCTTCGACTATTGATGATGAGGAAAGCACAGAGCCTGCCACTACGACAACCACTCCAGCGCCTAGTGCTCTGCCTTTGGACATTGTCAAATTCGAAGATGATGAAGTTATTCCTTTAAAGAAGATGCTAGATCTCTCCAGTGTTCTTGCAAATGATACATGTGGCTTGATCAGACAAAGAGCCTTACTTGGATATGGAGTGGATACAGAAAAAAATATTAAGGTCTTAGAGCAGGTTAAGGGATTACAGACACCACTTCTGATCATGAACACATGGAAATGGTTGAATTTAGCTAAGAAATCGCTTGACAAGGGTACAATGGTGAGCGAAGGAGTTGACTTGGGTTATCTTGGTGTATTGGGCGTGTGGAAGGGCATTGATGACATCTCAGGCCAAAAGCGTGCTACATTAAAGCAGCAAGTCACAGATCAACAGTTTAATAACTCCGTCAAGGCAATCGTGTCGAAGAAGGGAGAAAAGTCGTCTGGTATTAGTATCTTCAGCTCGAGTGATAGAAAAATCCAAAGAAAACTCTGTTTAATCGTCAGCGGATGGTACCTCACTGAGCATGAGTTTGACGAAAAGCTTAACTTTTTGATCGATTCTGGCGAAGTTGAAAAGGCTGCTGGTTGGGCTGTGTTCCATGGCAATGTTCCACGCGCCATTGAAATCTTAGCACTGTCAAAGAAAGAAAGACTTCAGTTGATGTCGACCGCAGTAGCTGGATACTTGGCATACAAAGATTCCAACGCCAACCTGCCGTGGAATGATCAGTGCCGAAAGCTAGCACTGGAACTAGACCACCCATACTTAAGAGCGATCTTTGCATTCATTGCTGATAACGACTGGTGGGATGTCCTAGATGAACACGCGCTACCATTGAGGGAAAGAATCGGTATTGCTTTGCGCTTTTTGTCTGACAAGGATTTGAATCTCTATTTGAATAGAGTTGCTGATACTGTTGTACTTCGAGGCGAGCTTGAAGGTTTGATCCTTACAGGTCTTACACCAAGAGGTATTGATCTTCTACAATCGTTTGTGGATCGGACCTCAGATGTCCAAACGGCATCATTAATTGCCCAGTTTGCTGTTCCACGATACTTCAGGGATCAACGTGTTGATCACTGGATAGACTGTTACAGAAACTTGCTCAATTCTTGGGGTATGTTCAAGGTGCGTGCACTTTTTGATGTTGCAAGAACGAAACTGTCAAAAACGTATAATGGCACTCCAACGATACGTCCCCCTCCACGCCAGGTCTATTTGCAGTGTCCTAGATGTAACAAGAATATGGGCACTCCCAGCTCCAAGACGATGAAAGGAAACACTCCATCTATGATGAAGCAGTTTAATCGTCTTTCGTTGAAGACGAACAACTCAGATACTAAACTGTGTCCTCATTGTGGCTCTCCACTCCCGCGTTGTGCCATTTGCTTGTTGAACTTGGCTACCCAGATCCCTGACCAGGCAGATTACGGCACTGGGGATGCAAACAAACAACAGATACATCAAAATTTCGACAACAAGCTCAGTTTCTGCTTGTCGTGTCATCATGGGTACCATGCCCACCATGCAGAAGAGTGGTTCCAAAAACATTACGTTTGTCCTGTTCCCGATTGCAACTGTCTATGTAACAGTAAATAGGTAGTCCAAACATAGACAGAGGGAGCATTACCCATGAATTTCCAGGACCATCTAAAGCTTCATATGATGAAGAAAACAAGAAAAAATGAACCACACATATATAAATATATACTGAACAGAAAGAGGAATTGTGGATGGCGTCTCTGATCTTTACATTGCTACAGATCTCACTTTAGACCAATTTTGCAACCATTACTGTCTACTACACACATACTGAGAACCCTACAACCAAACAAACCATATCATCATTTTCTCTTACCCCAAAAAAATAAAGTCACAGAGTCACGCCTCTAAACCCGTAACCACCCCCAAAACTTCCCTTTCCTCGAAGCAAATAGTCTATATTTGACATCTTTGACGCAATCCATGTTTCGCGGCTGGAGCCACATAGTTAACCAAAGGCGGAGTCCCTTTTTTTTTTAGGTACGAATGGGCAAGCGCATTTTTTTTTTTTTTTTTGTTCGCTGCCCTACTTGCAGGACTGGCCCCAGTGCATTTTTGTCTTTTTTGGAAACTAGTCAACACGTTGAGTTGAATCCAAAGATACATCTTCTGATCTCGTTGATCTACAAAATTACGCCACACCAAGCGCCAGAAAGGGGCCAAATCCGAAATCCAATTGCAGTCCTTTCCTTGGATCCCCGTGTTACTTAATTTTTTTTTCTTCCTTCACCCGTTTCCTGCCAAATCTGACATTCCTACAGTTCTATCCTTCCCCCATAATGTCTGAGCTGAAAGAAAAAATTATTTCTGACATCAAGGGGAAGATCGAAAGAGAGCATAAACTTATCCAAGGCTTCCAGGCCGTCAAGAGAAATACAGGCAATTCCGAAGTTATCCAGAGATGTAACAACCAGATCAGAGAGACCCAATCTAACATCCATTACCTTCAGGAGACCATGGAGAAGCTCCTGGTGCAACTGGAGCAAGAAGCATCGCCAGACTCGGGTAGGTCCGAGGAACAGAACAGAAGGCAGCGTGTTACTAGCTCCGTGCGTCCGCTTTACTCGAGATTCGATTTGATCAAGTACGATTGTCCTTCGCTCGGCCACAAGATCCAGCATATGCTTCAGCAACTCCAGTTTAAACTACAGGTGGAGAACCAGTATCGTGAAGCTAACGAAAAAATCTCCCATTTGTATTTGATGGATGGTGATAAACTGTCTTCAAGTGCAGCCGAGGGTGGTAAGATGGAGTCAGATCAAAGAATCCAGTTGTTGAACAAGGCTTTGAAAAAGTACCAGGGCATGCACGTTAATGTGGAACAGGTTAATAGGGACATGGAAATCATGAACTTACCCAAATATGCTAGAAAACCATTCTCGGGTCGTTTGACCATGGGTGTTACTTGCATCAGGGATATTGATCACATCGCGTCTCCCAAATTCAAAAGAAAACCCGAATCTTTCGTTTGCATTAAGATTGACGATGTTGAAAAAGCTCGTTCCAATTCCTCTCGTTCCGGAAAATTCAATGAAGATTTGATTGTCGACGTGGACAAGGCTAACGAAATGGAGATCGCCGTCTACGATAAGAACGGTTCTCAGAACGTGCCCGTGGCTCTTGCATGGATCCTCCTCTCTGACATCTCCGAGGAGATCCGTAAGAAGAAGGTTGCTGCCGAGTCGGGCAACGATGGGTGGATCCCAGCTTCTAGTCTACCTGGAAACAACAATGGTTCTTTCAGACCAAACATGGGTGGATCTGATCTGTTTGGTCCTACAACATCCGGTAACAATAGCCTGGGATCTAATTTTGATGGTGATACCGTCGTTGATAGCATGAGACCTTCTCTGGAAAGCTCTAAGAATGTTCTGATCTCTGCTTGGGTTAATCTCGAACCCGTCGGTCAAATTCTTGTTAACTTGTCTTTTGAAAAGTCCAAAGGAACAGCAAAACCCACCTTCATGGGTGCTTTGGGCCGTCACGGTGCTATTCGTCAAAAGAAAGAAGAAGTGTTTGAGCAACATGGCCATCAGTTCGTGCAGAAGCAGTTCTACAATATCATGTGTTGTGCATTATGTGGAGAATTTTTGCGTTACACAGGCTATCAATGTCAAGACTGTCGTTTCTTGTGTCACAAGAAGTGCTACCAAAAGGTAGTTACCAAGTGTATTTCCAAGAGTGACCACAATGATGATGTTGACAAATTGAACCACCGTATTCCACATCGTTTTGAACCTGTTTCTAACCGTGGTACCAAATGGTGTTGCCATTGTGGTCACATCTTGCCTTGGGGAAAGAAGAACGTTCGTAAGTGTTCTGAGTGTGGTGTTATGTGTCACACTCACTGCACTCATTTGGTTCCTGACTTCTGTGGTATGTCTATGGAGATGGCTAATCAGATTTTGACTACCATCAAATCTACAAAACCGACAAAGAGCCCCGCTAAGGTATCCCAAAGTGTCCAACAGCAATTGAAGAATGCACCTCCACAGCTTCCTCCAAAGGCATTTTCTGCCTCACCTCAGAAGTACGCTGTCGATGATCTGCCTGTTTCGTCACCAATGAATGCCCAACAAAAGCGTCAACAAGCACCTCTTCCACCTCCCCCACAACAGCCACAGTTTGAGCCTTCCCACGGTAGGACATTTGATCCAGGCCACCAAAGAATACAGGAAATCACTCCAGATGAGATTGACCCACCATACTCCTCGAGATTGCCTACTAATACCACTCTGCAGTTTCAACCTTCTGTCGAGCCTCCAAAGCATAGGCATGCACCACCTAGGCGTCCTCCTCCAGTGGAATCCACATATTCCTCATCTCTGGAAGTTCTGTCCCAGTTTAACACTCATGGAGATTATTATAACGAGCGTACTAATGACACTAATGGTGCTCCAGCACATAATCCTTTTGAGCACCCCGAAGAACACTCTGCTCAAAATAACGCTGCAGCGCTCTTTGACACATTCGACTACAACAATGCAAACTCGAACCTTCAGGAAGATGCCAATCGCTATGCTCCTCAAGAAGCAGAGCCAATGATGGTGGACCCTGTGCAACCTGAAGCTCGGGTTGAGCCTGTTCAAAAAGCACATAAGCCAAAGCGCAGAAGAAGAAAGGTCGGTCTTGATGACTTTCAGTTCCTCGCTGTGTTGGGTAAAGGTAATTTTGGTAAGGTCATGTTAGCAGAATCTAGGCATACTCAGAATTTATGTGCCATCAAGGTCTTGAAGAAAGATTTTATTGTGGAGAATGAAGAAGCAGAGAGTGTCAAGTCGGAGAAACAGGTTTTCTTAACGGCTAACAGGGAGAGACACCCCTTCTTGCTTAATTTGCACTGCTGCTTCCAAACCGAGAACAGAATATACTTCGTGATGGAGTACGTTTCGGGTGGTGACTTGATGTGGCATATTCAAAAGTCAAGATTTTCAGCTAAGAGAGCCAAGTTCTATGCTTGTGAAGTGTTATTGGCATTGAAGTATTTCCACGATAACGGTATCGTGTACCGTGACTTGAAGTTGGATAACATTTTGTTGACTACCCAGGGTCATATCAAGATTGGTGACTACGGTTTGTGTAAAGAGAACATGTGGCATAAGAATACTACTGGAACCTTCTGTGGTACACCTGAGTTCATGGCACCAGAAATTATTGCTGGTAAGCAATATGACCGTTCTGTTGATTGGTGGGCCTTTGGTGTGTTAATGTTCCAAATGTTGTTATGTCAAAGTCCTTTCAAGGGTGACGACGAGGATGATATTTTCAACGCCATAGAGCATGATGATGTGAGATATCCAATCAGTATGCCACGCCAAACTGTTCTTGTGTTGCAAGCCTTGTTGACAAAGGACTCAACTCAGAGACTCGGAAGCAGCGAAAGAGATGCATTGGAGATTATGGAACACCCATACTTCCAGGATGTCAACTTCGATGATGTCCTCAACATGAGGATCCAACCTCCATACTTGCCTGAGATTTCTAGTGAGCACGACTACTCCAATTTCGATCAAGAGTTTACTTCAGAGACTCCAAGATTGACGCCAGTTGAAACCGTCTTGACCTCTGAGATGCAAGAGCAGTTCCGTGGTTTCTCGCACATTGCTGACGATGCTCCCGTATAAAGTCTACAAAATTGAATACTAAGACGTTGATGCTATTTGTGAGATATGTATAGTTAAATATGCTAAGGGGTGTTAATGATATCATGAAAATTTCGTGACCATGCAAAGGATTAAACTTGTAAAAGTTTATGTAATAATGCAGCAGCTAGACTTCTCCTTCTTTGGCTTTTTAGCTTTCTCGTAAGCTCTTGGCTTTGAAGGGTAAGATCCAGTTGAAATAGATGATGATGAGTTTTCTTTCGTGGCTAGCCTCTCCTGAACAGCAGGGCTTTCTGCCGGTGTTGCTTCAGAGCTAGATTCGGGGACTTGTGGGAAATCACTCGAGAAAGATTCAACTCCAGGCAAGTTAGCGGAAGCCTGGTTATCTCTTCCTTGGTTAGAAGGAGCTGAGGTGGGTATCTTGGAAGGTCTGCGGAAGCTAAATGCCTTTTCCTGCTTCACTTCGTATAAAGAGCTTGCTGGAGATTCCAGAAGAGCCTCAGAAACTGAGAAAGCCTCTGAACGACTCGCCAAAGCTGTTCTATTGTTTCTTGCTTCGAGAGCAGCTTCCACCAAGGGAGCAAAAGTATCGTTAACGTGAATGTCTGAAAGAGCGGAAACCAGGAAAAAGCCAATAGCACCTAAACGGTTAGCCATAGCTTCACCGTCGTCGTACCAAACCTGGCAATATTCATACATGTCATGCTTAGCAGCAGCGACAACAAAAGGCGGGAGTTCGCCATCACAGAGGGTTTTCACTGTGCCAATCAAGTATTCTAAAGCCTCGAAAGACTCTCTATTGTCCATAGCATAGACAAACAATATCGTTGATGTGTTCTTAACTTGCTGTTTTCTGGAAGCACCATAGACATCTGCCAAAGGCGATGAGTCAAGGATTGAAATCTCCGTCAAAGATGAGTTATGGGAAGATGTAGATGCAATAGTTTCAGCCTTTTCATTATCAACAGCTTTTATATACAACTGTTCTGACTGATCGTGGGGACCCTCTGAAAAGGTGCCGTTCACATATCGTTGCACGAGGGAAGTTTTCCCGACGCCCGACTCACCCATGACAAGAATGTCATACTGGCTATTGAGGGAGCTAAGGCCATCAAGGACTCTGTTCATTAACTGTAGATGATGTATGGAAAGAAGGCTGGGATCAAAAAAAAACTAGATGAGATTCCACTGCAAATGTACAATCATGCAAGTATGACAGGGAAGGTTAGGAAGCGAAAAAAAGAAAGATATACCAAACAAGAAAGGGTAGAACAAAAGCTTTCAAATTGGATGTCAAAAACGAAACAAAATTCACCACGAGTGCTGCCTCGACCGTTTATAAAGTACAGCGTCAGCAGAATAGCAAGATTTAATGACAAGTAACGCCGGTGGGGCAAAAAGTGGAAAGCAGAGAAGAAAAAAAAAAAAAAAAAAAAAAAAAAAGAAAGAAAAAACGGTTGCGCAACTGTGCAAAAAAAACAAAAAAGAACGTTAGTTTGCTGCGACTATGGCGTTAACGAGGCTGCATGAATGGATCGATAGCCGGCCTTTAGATTCAAAAAAAGGAGCACTTCCACTTTTGTGGGACCGGAAGAGTCCGAGGGTTCAATGCTAAGCAAACATAGACACAGGGTTTTTTCGTTCCACAAAGCATAGACACAGCCAATGGGATCTCTTGGTGTGCAACTGAACCCACAGTTGAAGGTTGAGGTGAGGTGCATTTCAGGGCTTCCTTTTTTTTTTTTTTTTTGGTGCTAATTTGCTTCCATGTCTGTCTGTAGATTCGCGACCGTTCTTCGGCTCTTCCTATATCTCGTTTATACTTGCCAGACATGAAAGAGCGCTATAATGTGAAGAACCAGCGCTGGAAATAAAAGGGTGGGTTGGGCACATGGAGTGATGCTGTGGAAATAAGGTTTTCGTCGTTTTGCCAATGTCTCAGAATTGCCTAAAGAAGACCCTCTAGACTTTTAAAAAAACCGTTATATCCTGTAGATGTGGTTTTGTCTCACCTAGCCACATCTGACGCTGATGAAGTCAGTTTAAGCGACTTTGCGGTTCTCCCGCTAAGGAGGTGCTGAGCGGTTGTAGCAAGGTTCGATTTGGTTCGGGTTGGCCTCGCTAGCTTTTTCTTGGTCTCGGCTTTGGGAAAAATTCATTGGTTTGATATGTCGTCTCTTGCTTTGTGTCTTAAATTTTGACATCCGTCACCCATATCCTTGCAAACTGTCGCAATAGCAAGGTTTGCTAGCACACGTAAGTACCACTGCTTATCTCCTAATTCGTTGCCAGATCCGGCTTTTCCCCACGGATTCCCTCGGCCCATGAACAGAAAGTTTATTCTTTGATCTACACATCATCCTATCACCGCACTCAGGCCACTACAATGTTCTACACTGTCATCCCGAAACCTTAATCTGTCGATCAATGTTTATTTTAACTCCTCTCCTTTACTCTTCGTCAGACTCTAAATACTTGGCATAGTCACTTGCATCTGCAAATGTAGGCAAGCTCAGTAACTTGGGCTTCTTCAGCTTCTTTGCCGTGTCATCTCGGCTTCTCTTCTTGCTAGATTCTTCAGCAACAGCCTCATCACTATCATATTCATCTTCATCGTTAACGCCGAACACATCTTCATCTTCATCCTCATCGGCATCATCTTCAACAGCACTTTCGTCGCTGTTAAGATTTTCATCGTCTGATGCGTTATTGGTCTCGAACTCTGCCTCATCAAAAGCAGCTAACTCACCCTCCGAAATATCATCATCCTCGCCGAACGCCTCAGCAAGCGCTGCGGTATCGGCATCGGCATCTGCATCGTCGTCGTCGTCACTCATGTCACCAAAGTCTGCTTCATCAAAGTCAGAAAAGCCACCTTCATCTGATAAATCATCACCCTCGACGTCAGGTTGTGACTTGACCAACGCTTCCCAAACTTCGTCGTCATGCATAGCGAGTTTCTCCTCATCATCCTCTTCATCGTCACCCTCAAGCTTAGCTTGTGCTCTCTTGTTTCTGATCTTGGAAGTATCACCAGTGAAGTATTGATGGAAGAACCTTTCATCTGGTCTCACCTCTTCAGCCTTCTTGGCTAACCAGTTCACGGTGTTAACTGGCACTTCGTTGGACTTCATATTCGTAGCTTTCATTAAAAGGGAACCTGTGTGGCCACCACCCAAAGGCTGCATAATGGAAGAACCTTTTGTAGTACCCTTTGCTTTAGCATTCTTGTAGACAAATCTATCCAAGAAGTGGGCCAAAGTGTAAAGACCCAAGTCTGGCTTTGGTTGAGGCTTTCCAGTGAGGAAAGAGTCTGCGTAAATGGAGACTGTAGGATGATAGTGCAGCACAAAGTGGTTCATTTCCCAGAGACAAGAGTTCTCAGCGTTTGCGTAAGAAGGGTTTCTTTTCTTTGGATCGTACTCCTTCTCTTTCTCCACCTCGTTCTTCACTTCTTTCTCGGAATCATTTATCTCATCCGTTGGGAAATCTGGTCTGTCTTTGACAGCTTCCATAAGTTCGACAATTTGTGGATAAGTCTTGCTCAACTCCATAAGAAGGAACATCATACCGGTGATGACAGCGACATTAACCCAATGGGAAGACACTTGCAAGATTCTCTTGACAAAAGCAAGAATACGAGGCATGTTGTGGATATCGTGCTTCAAGGATTTGAAAAGCAAGTTCAAGTAGATACCTTGCTTCGATGAGTTGACCAATCTAGGATCCATTAAGGACTCGTAAAGGGTTCTGTAATATCTGTCAGACTCCAAATCTTGTTCGGAAATAATATGGTACACCAACACCAAAGCTTGGACGGAAGTATTAAAGTTGGTGGAATGGGTGATCTTGTAAAGCGTCTCCATGTGCTTCATGTAAATGTCAGACGGAAGATCAGAGTATGGTAAAGCACGGTTCAAACCAGTAAGGATTGCAGAGAACATCTTGGAAGACCTTTCTTCGATAACTTCTTCTTCAGTCTTTTCCTGAACCTTCTCAGATTTGCCTCCCTTCTTACCCTTCTTGAATTGTCTTCTGTTATTCTTTCTACCACGTTCACTTTGACCCATTGTCTTGTCCTCTTTCTTATCTTTGAGAGCAGGATCACTCTCAACCAAAAGTTTCTCAAACAACGAGAAGTAAGTCTTGACAAGAGAGTTGGCAAGGTCGATTTCATTCTTAGAGAGAATCGTTTGGTTGAGGGTTAAAATAGTGTAATACTGAGAATGATACTCACTCTGCTTTTGTAACACCATGTCAGTGACAGAATCCACGACAATTTTCTTCATGGCTGGATGGGCTTGCTCGAGCTGAAGGATCTGGTAGGAAGTCTTTGCGGCAACCTTATTATCAATATCACCGAGTTTGTTGACACCAAGTCTGAGCAAGTTCACTTCCTGCTCTGGTTTAGCAGTCAACAAGTCAAAAATATGCGAAAGAACGGTCATACGAACATGCAAAATTGGATCATGACTCAAGTATTCAAGCACTTGGATAAACTTGAAGTAGCTTTTCTTGAGGAAATCTTCGTAATAAGCAATAGCCAACTTCAGGTCACTTGCAGTTTGAGTAAGTGGCGCTTTGTTGAATGCGACAAGCTTTCTATCTGGAAGAAGACTGTTGATGAACAAATCTTTCATGGCGTTCACAGCTTGCAATGCAGCAGTTCTTGACTTCTTCTCACAGTAATTTAGAAGCGTTTCGAATGGTTTTATGTTATGCAATGGGGCTTCTTGAACCAACAAGGTCAATGCGGAGATTTTATCGTTCAATGTACCATCAGCAAGAATCTGAGACAAAAACTTTTTCTGGGAGTTGTCTGAGGAGAACTCTTGCAAATATGTCTTGTTCTCGTTGTCGATGATTTCCTTGGCCTTGTCGTTAAGTCTCTCAAGAGCGAAACGGTCAAGTTTTTCTGGTTCGGTCTGCTCAACTTCGATGTTAAACCAGTCGACTCTGTTCTCGATCTTAAGCTTAGCGCTCTTGACGGACCTGACATCGTCAATCTTATATGACTTTGGCTTGATAAGCTCTCCAACTTCTGCTTCTGCGGTAGGCAAAGCAGACTTAGCAGGGATAGCTGGTTGTTCTGCTTCTTGCTCTTCTTCTTCTTCATCCTCCTCTTCTTCATTCTCTTGGGAGGCTTCATCTTCAACTAAATCTGGAATGTCTTCCTCCAATTCAGAGACATCATCGTCTTCAACAACGTCTACCTCGCCAGAAAGACCAAGGCCTTTCATGAAACTGGCTAATTCTGAATTGAGGTTCTTGTCGGTTCCCGCATCAGCAAATTCCTCATCGCTCTGGTCCTCATTCAAGCCATTCACAAGGGCAAGATCTTCCTTGGTTGCACCAAGAGCTAATGCTTCACGTTCAAGGACTTTGTCTTCGTCCTCATTTTCATCTTCGGTAACCTCCCTGTTCTTTGGTGCCTTCTTATCGGTCTTCTTATCCTTCAGTTTCTTGTCTCTCTTGTCAGAGGACTTACTGGACTCTTGGGAGCCAGTTTTCTTAGAACCCGACTTTTTCTCCTTCTTCGCTGCACCCAGGGTGAGCTTCGAAGAGATCTTGTCTTTAAGAGAAGACAAGTTAAGCTTGGCGCTTTCCATTCTGCTCTATTGAAGTTATCTAAGATAGATCCTGGAAAAAGTAGAGACCGCGATGAGTACCAATTTTGGTCACGTGTGCGATGAGCTAGTGAACCAGTAGTACCCACCATAATTGATAAGTGGTATCAGTTGAAGAGGTACAAGTCTTCTTTGGGACAGAATTGAAGGGGACAATGATAATCAAATGTTTGCTCGTTGAGCTGAGATGGTTTGCGTAGGACATGTAGTGTCAATGTAGTGTCGAATGTGCCCTGGAGACAAGTCTAAGCAGCTTATTCCACCATTAATAAGAAAAAATAGTCAAGTGAAATCTAATTGTGGATTCATCCTTCTTCAAGAACACCCCTTTCGAAATCTTGTTCTCGTTGCCTCACTTTAGATGTGCTATGTCTCAGGCGTTTTGGAAGCCTGAAAATTTGCAACACGCTCGCACTCACACTGGGGAAACCATCATCAAACACCAGCGATCCAGAACAATTTTTTTTTATTCAATTAATAACTTGCATAATTAACGCTATTCTTGGGAAAGTGGAATGGCTCGACGTGGAGAAAATGCGTAGTCACGGAACCCCAGGTTGCACGATTGTTGGGCCTCGGCCGGCCCCACCTGCCCCGGAAAAATTCATGCATGGCAGGGTCTCACTTCGGAAGAATAGCAGCTACTGTCTTGACAGTACCAAGAAGAGGATTCTCCTTGAGGAATAGATATCAAATCGTGCTTTCCAAGTATATGTAAAATACTCCTTTCTTAATACATTCTAGACCACATGTGGTACCGTGTTCTGGTGTTGCCATGATTTCGGAACATCTCGTCACTAATCGCGCTGCAGGCGACGCATGTCAAGCCATGAAATGTTGCAACTGCAATTATGTTACTTGCTGTATAATTGTTCTTTCTTTCCTGTTTCCATGTTTTTTTCTTCATAGTTAGCTATGAGTAAGGAACCTTCAGTGTGGCCCCCAAACCAGTCGCCCAAAATCACAAAGACGTCTCTGGAAGACTGCCACCAAGCTTGTCCATATTTGCTTTCGAAGCATGTCTTAGGCGCTGGTTCCTTCTCCCATGTGTTCGAGTGCAAGAACAAAAATACCGGATCCCATTATGCTGCAAAACAGTATACAAAAAAGCTCGTCTATGGCATGGAATCACTGCTACAATCCGAGTTTCAGATCCTAAAACAGGTCTCTTTTGGCCACAAGAACATACTTTCGCTTGTTGATTATTTCGAGACGGAAGACCATTTCTACTTGGTGACAGATTTAGCACTTGGGAATGACCTCTTCGAAAGGATCACGACTTCTTCTGAAGGAAAATTATCTTCATGCGAAACAAGAGATATTTTGGGCCCGCTACTATCAGCATTAGCATACTTGCATTCAAATCAAATTATCCATAGGGACATCAAAGCCGAAAATGTATTGTTCACGTCACGTTCCTCGAAGCCTCTGCTGTTACTCCTTGCGGATTTTGGACTTGCCCTTCTTGTTAAAGATGGTGAGCACTCTCACCTGCAACAGGGCGGAACATTAAGTTACATGGCTCCAGAATGCCTTACGGGAAACTCTTACAGTTTCCCTATTGATATGTGGGCGGTTGGGGTCCTTACATACTTTATGCTCTGTGGGTACATGCCATTTGATTGCGATACAGATAAAGAAACAACCCAGCTAATTAAAAATGGTGATTTCATATTCGAACCGGCCGAATACTGGACAGATGTACCGGACTCAGCAAAGGATTTCATCAGTCAATGTTTCAAAGTAAATCCAGAAGACCGCATAACAGCTGCCCAAGCCTTATCGCATCTGTTCGTGCTTAACACTCCATTGAAAAGATCTCCTTCCAGTATCTCAATGTCGCAGCTTCAAGCAGCAGTATGGAAGCTACACAGCCTTCAATCTCTTTCTTCGTCGACAAGAATAGCGCATCTACTGAGCGGCGCAAGTGGGTATTCGTCATTCCTGTCAAGGCTTTCGTTAGACGAGTCTTGCGGATCTTCAGTTGCATCTACTAACATTCACCGTCTTTTGGGAGACAGATGCTATTCTCCTGATACAATATCACATTTCTGTACTCCCCTCATGTCTAGTCAGGTTTCTCCTGTTCTGTCGCAAACAAATCTCCATAAACCTTCCAAGGTTGAGATCTCTCGTTTATCGGCTGCGTCCCCGGAACTGGAAAAGGTAAGTTTCATCATATAGGTATAATATTTAATAAATCTTGGTTTGTGGGTCGCACTCGTGATAGCTTTTTGATAATATTGATTAAAAGGAAACAAATGATGCTCAACAGAGGTAATTTTTTGAGCATTGTAAGGCAATCTGTAAATTGACATTTAATATCACCAGAAGCATATACGAAGAACCTCGGGGACTTACCTAACATGGTAGTATATCACACTCGCATGATGCCTTATCGTGCTTGAAAGGAAAGGGTTGTTACGTTGAATGAGATCGCTTGTAATGCTTTCCTTGAAACCTGTCAATGACTATTATTTGCTATTCCTTCTAGTTTCTGTCTTGTAGAATGGTATAAATCTCTGGTGGTGCCCTAATCTTGAATTTACAACCTAAAATGACTCTCCCAAATAAAACAACCTTTGAACGTATCCATTATATCTATAGCAGAGATAACAAAACCTTCTTGACTTTGCGCAAGCAAAAGTTTGCAGATGCAACTGCTGAAGAGATTTGGGCTGCAATTTCCAAAAGCAAGACGTACGGATCTCTGGAGGTGAGTGTCAGGGATCTTGGCGATTGGCTCTCTTTTGAAACCACAAATGGCAAAACAATAGTTGGTGTCATCACCGAAAACTTTAGTCCATCTCATTTTGATTTATGGTTTATCCTGACCGTCTTGAAGAACAGTATCATCGCTCACCACGGCTCTACAGATCCAGACCAAGGGTTGATATATGCTGAGGCAATAACTGAGGTGTTTGAGCTGACTCTTAGAAATGTTGCCAGGACTGATAGATGGTCGGAGGGTAAAGACAATTTTATCAAGAATGTGCACTTCTTCACATCGAGAAATGCACCGATTTTATCTGTCCTTCCTGCTTTCCCTTGCAAGTCCCCAAACGAAGATAAAGTGGCTTCATGTCTTCCTGATAAAGGTGAGGAGCTTGCTCTTAGAAGAATTATTGACTTTGTGTCTACTATTCAAAAGATATATCCACCAGGTATGAAGTTCTATCTTGTCAGTGATGGGCATGTCTTTAGTGACTGTATTCACGTTGACGACGAGATGGTTGATTTATACTTCATGAAACTTGAAGCAATATACCAAGAGATTAAACCACCAGGATTCGATGGAATAGTCTTCAGAGGTCTCAATGACTGCTTTGAATCTGACCAAAGATCCATTGTGGCAGAATTGTTGAACACTGTGGAGGTGGATCACCACATTCCTACCCAGTTGGATGTGGAGACCGAATTGAACAGAAAGGTTTTGATGCTTGGATGTGACGACAATGCTGATCTTTTGAGAAAGCAGATTATGACACCAAACCACCCTCGTCTTTATTTGTATCGTGGTTTTAACAAGTTCATGTGTGAGGATCTTTCAAAGACCGCTTTTGCCAAGAGTATCTCCAGAAAGAAATACAAGAAGTTGGTTCTGCAAGTTGCTTTTGAAATGATCAGAAGAAACGACGCTTACTCTAACTTGGTGGAGCTTATTTTCCCCTTCCATTTGAGATTCTCCATCCATGCTCACCACAATGCGGGACCAAAATATGGTGTGCGTTTACTTGATCCCGAAATTTGCACCATGTCTGGCCATGACCAAAATGAAGAGGACAGATTGCTTCATATTCCCACCCCATGGCATAATAGCGTTTTCAAGATGGTTGAGTCTAACAAGTATATCATATCGCCATCAAAGTTGGCCAAAGAGCTAGAGGGAAATCCTAAAATCAAGGGTGGCTGGGATGCTGATGAAAAATTGTTTCTCTACCGCGAGGTTTAGTTCTATTATGTATTTGTTTTGATAAATGATGTGTTTCAGAGGCATAGTGTAGAGGGCCCACTTTTTTGCAGCCATTGTGGGCATACGCATCCGGACACCAGTTATAAGTGCAGTTTTCGCTCCAAGCTATATCAGACATGCATTTCGCAGTTCTAATCTTTGCTGTTGCTCTATCTCTATCAGTCTTATTCTCGAGAAATCACAATCAATTGACAATGTCTTGGGACCAAACTACATTTGCGCTTTCGCCCCGCTCCAAAGGATGCTACCTTGTCACTGACGAGGTCGTCAGAAATGTTCCTCAGATAAAGAACTATAAGGTGGGTCTCTTGAACCTTTTCCTTCAGCACACATCCGCTGGATTAACTCTTAACGAGAACTGTGATCCAGATGTCAGAGAAGATATGACAACGTCCCTCGACAGAATTGCTCCAGAGGGCGATTTTTACATTCACGCTGACGAGGGACCTGACGATATGCCTGGCCATGTTAAGAGCAGTACCGTTGGTGTCAGTCTTACCATCCCAATCCTGAACGGAAGATTAGCAACTGGAACTTGGCAGGGTGTTTGGCTCTGTGAGTTCAGAAGATACAAGCATAGCAGAAAGATTGTTGCCACGATCCAAGGCGAAAAAAAGTGATCAAGTTGGACCATTTATAGGAAATCAGCCGAATATTTATATCAGAACACCCATTTATGAGTCCTTTTCGTAAACTTGTATGCTGTAGTCTCTCACAGTGTCTTGTTTCTCATTCTCCAAGATAGCAAGTGACTCTTGGAGCTCTGTCAGACGTTTCCAAAGTTCATCAGCCATCAAATTCCACCAGCCATTGTGTCTTAAGCATTTCCTTCTATCCTGGAGGCAGACCAGTGTATCAACATCCTCCTCTTCTTGCTTGTTATAGATGTCAATGACGTTTTCAACGGTCTTCTTGACCGTTCCCTCAGAATCTTCCACACCAGAGACATAAAACTCGAGCAGCTTCTCATCATGAAGGGATGAATCAAAACAACAGAGGTCAAACTTGGCAACCTTCGACTTCTTTTTCTTCTTCTTGGACGCTGACTCATCCTCGGCCTCTTCCAGTGACTTCTTTTCAGCGCTCTCTTGAAGACTCTCATTTATGCGCTTGATGATATCCTTGCGTAACGAGAGATACTTCTGCTGGGCAGTAATGTACTCTATGTTCTTTTCAATGTTCTTCATTTTGCCTTCAATAGTTCGAAGTTGAAGCTGAATCTCCTCAGGTAGCTTCTCCACATTCTTGTCAGCGATTTCAGGCAACTCTGGGAACGTGGCGCCTAAACTGGCAAGCTCTTCCCGAGTCTTACAGTGTGTTAATGCAAACTTGATCCCCTCCTTGCTCAAGGATTCCAGCTCCTCGAGAAATCTCGTCATATACTTGAGACCACATTCTTCTGAACAGTACTTTGACCTCTGCTCTGATCTGATAGGATTCATGCACCCAGGTAGCCTGCAAACCTTGTTATAACGAGTAAGTCCCTTTCCCTGCCACTGACAGAACTTGCAGTAAAACTTATCGATCAACAGCTGGTAGCTCTGGCTCATCTTCATACACGTAAAGTGGAACCATTCCTCGCAGCCGTCACATCCTATCATAAGTTCTCCACCGTGATCTGGTCTTCTGCAAATACAGAAAAGCTCTTCTGAGTTGAGGTTAAATTTAGGAGCGTTCTGGTACTTCTTGTATTGTTTGGCGATGTCCTCTGAGGTCTCAACATCATCACTATGGCTGTCAAGCTTACTCCTCTTGACATCCATCAAAGCAGGGGACTTGGATTTTCTCTTGCGATCTATATCTAGATCATGGAGATGAGGAGCATCAAGAGCCTCATTTTTGACGACTATGTCTGCCATGTTGTAGTGGTTGTGGTAATCTTGAGTTGATGTTGGTGTGCAGAAAATGGTACATGGTTACGCGACTTCACTACTGGGTGCAAAATTGTTCGTAGTACTTTTTTCTGTATTTTAATTACAATTCCAATAAATGTACATATATCAGTCTTAGGCTGATTGTTGTTCCTTGTTGTCTCCACTCTCAGCTTCTTTGTTTTCTTCTTCCTCGTTGGGCTTTTCGTCCACATCCATCTCATTATCTTCCTCCTTCTTCTCTTCCTTGGATTCTGGTTCCTGCTCCTCTTCTTCTTCTTCAGCCTCTTCCAGCTCAGCCTCCTCTTCCTCTATTATCGTCTTTGGCTTGAAAATCTCAAGAAGAGTATCGTCGCCAACAGAAGCAAAAAGATTTGGAATAGTGGGGTGCACTGCAACCTCGTTCACGCGGTTAGTATGGCCGCCGTGAACGAATTTAAGGCAAGGATCCTCGGTAACCTTTGTTTTTCTTCTGGAGTCTGATTCCGTCGTAGGGTAAGTGAACTCCTCATTCAAGTTGCTAAGGTCCCACGTGAGAACCCTCTTATCAAGACCCCAAGAGTATAATTGGGAAGGATTAGCTTCGGGATCCCATCTAAGGCCCACTACCGAGTCGTTGTGGCCAAAAAGTTGTCTAACTGGTTCCTTTGTGTTTCTTAAGTCGTACACGTTCACCACGTTGTCTTTACCGCCGGTTGCCAAAAGCAGAGGAATCTGAGGATGCGCAGCAACGGCATTCTGGATGTGACCGTTTTCAATGGAGATAGCAGGTGAGTCTCCTGGATTACGAATGTCATGGATGTATGTGTAAAAGTCATCCGACACAGAAGCGAACAAGTGTTCCGCTGGTTTGCTGTAAGTGATATCGTTGATCACAGCGGAGTGTGTGTTGAACTGTTTCGTTGGCTCACCTGGGTTTGAAACATCCCAAAGAGCAATCTGGCCATCGTTAGCACCAGATAAAAACTCCTTGTTTGAAATCCATTCCAAAGCATAGCCTTCGCTTGTGTGAAACTTGTAGTCAACCAGGCTGTCGCTGTCCAACTTATACAAATGCACAATACCAGTATTGTCAAACGTCACCACACTTTGTCCGTCTGGAGAGACCTTAATCTTATTCACTTCACCTGGGTGGGGCCAAGATTTCACGATCTTGAAAGTGTTCTCTGTGCCATTAGGCAATTGAATGCTTTCGCTGGTGAAGTCGGGAGCCAAAGTAGCAGGTAACTCCAACGAGGCTAAATGCACAAAGTCTTGACCTTTGGTGAAGGAATTCGTTCCAATGACAAGCTGTACGGTGATCTTATTCTTGTCTTCACTCCATGTGTATGTTGGCAAAAACTCGACCGATAACAGGGCATGTTGCAATGCTTGGGTGTGGATTGTGTCATAAAGGAGGGGACAGTCTTTTTCCATATTTTGAACTCTTCATTGACAACCTGTTCACGAAGTTGGTGTTCGGCGAGAATCTGCCTTTCGGCAGCAACAACCGGGTCCATTGCAAATTCAGAGGGTAGTATGTAATGAAGCTTTTACATCGAAGCGAGATATACTGATACGCCACATCCGTACACCAGCTATATGCCCTAGACCAGAGACAGAGACAATACGAAGATGCCTACGGCTGACAATATTATGCAATGGATTTCTATCAATTTAATTACTTCTCTTTACCAGTATGGCTCAACTCCACTTGTGAGATTTAGCTTCGAAGCATGCCTTAGGAGTGAGATTTGAGCTCTCAGAAAGACTAATAGCACAAGGACCATATTTTAAAGCTCAACTTGGACCTTTCCGCCTATAATTTGATCAATTGCTTTCGCTGATGGCGTAGGAGTACCTCTTGAACTTTCGTTTTCAGAACGGGTTATATCACTCCGCCTCCGAGGTCGTCATTTTCTTCCTCGGGCTGGTCAAACGCCTGGCTGAAAGTGTACACTGTACCAAAAATCAATCCTCCGCCAATAATGGTCAACACCAGTGCTGTTTTCGTCAAGATCAATGAGTGATGTAAGAGAATTGGTAACGAGAACCCTGTAAGCACCAAGAACCCTGTGAGGAACTTGCCGGCCTCTTGAACCGCCAGCGTATGAGAAGACGTCTGGGGATCGAAATTGAAGTCATAGTCACTCTTATCAAAAGCTGCTCTGGTTATGACAGCAGGAAGGTAGGCGACAGCAAAGATAAGGCCATTGATGATAGGAAACCAGTTCCCGTAAATGCCTGCAAGAATGACAAGAAGAAAGCCCATCGATAGAACGACAGAAAGACCCACGATCTTGTTCAATGGGTTATTTCGAAACTCGGTCGTCAGGTTCATCTTATGTTGGATATGAAGTGGTTGGTGGAGTTGGAGGTGGACCTATGCCCCCCGCGATAAATGGGTGGTGAAATCGCCCTAGAGTCACGTGGAAAACTTTGCTACTAAACCCTAGGGTAGTTTTAGCCAAACGACAAGTTTTCGATCTAAGAGAAGATGGATGTTGCTCTAAAAGGGTGAATTATCTCGTGAAAAGGGTTGAAATCTGTATAAAAGTGGTGTGCAGCTGCCATCCTAAACACTGTTGGGAGTCTAGTATGGCTGCGAAAAGTAGCTTAGACTATATGCTTTGCCATGCACCAGAACTTTCGATAAAAGGAAGATATCTAAATTTATAGGAATTTTTTTTTTTAGAGACATTTCTTGTGTATACTAGGAAACCACCATTTTTTTAATTTGGACTATATTCATCCACTTTGGGCCACCTCTCCATTCATTCCTCCCTATTCCCGACCTGTCTATGAACCGCACTGAAAAGTATACTACAACTATCAACTCTACTGTGCTATATCATTCACCATGGCTTACGAAGAGCTACTTCAACCTGAGATCAAGGCTCGTGGTCACAGCAGTATAGCGCCACCTCCAGGATTCGGCCTGCAATTGTCTTCCAAGGCCAAACCCGTGGAACCTGTGAAGAAGCCTACCCCAGCTGAACTCGACAAGTTGAAGCTCAAGAAGGCTTGGGACATTGCCTCTGGCCCTGCCAAATCTGTCCCTATGAACTGTTTCATGAGTTACATGACGGGTAACTCTTTGCAGATGATTCCAATTATGATGACGGTTATGCTTCTTCTTAATCCTATCAAGGCTATTTTCTTAGAGACGAATAAGGCGTTTGCTTCCTTGGAGACAAGAAACGCCTCTGATTTGCTTCTTCCGAAAGCAGCATTTGTGGTTTTCCAGCTAGCTAACGCTGGAATTGGCTTGTTCAAGCTCTGGCGTATGGGTTTGATCCCCAACGGTGAAGCAGACTGGCTAGGGTGGAAAGAGGTTACTCAGGTCGTGGAGAAGTTGAGAACGTGATATATGTACTTAAATCCAGCAAATTATTAGATTATACGTCATGAAAATTGGTACAAAAGTCTATGTTATGCAATCTTAATTGGTCTCTTCCTTCACAGCATCCTCCTTCTTATCTTCTTCTTTGACCTCCGTTTTTGGTTCAGCCTTGTTTTCAACAGGGTTGACCCTCGATGTTTCATTAGACTTCATGTTTTTCTCAAAGATTTGTTGTAAGTTGAACTTCTCAAACTGAAGATAGTCGCTGACAACACTCATTCCGATATTGTTCTTGAAGCACTCAACCATGATAAGCTTGTCGTAATTCTTCAAGTCCACTTTATGACCGTGCTCTTTTCCAACAGCAGCTGCAATTGTCTGAATGATTTCATCCTTTTCTAGCGTATTGAAATTTCTTCTGGTAACTTGGATGGCAAACTTGACAGGTTCTTGGCCTTCCTCCTTGTGGAAGTGGGGCCCAAGAACGATAGTAGCAAGTTTCTTTAGTTCCTCAATGGAGGCAGACACCGATGTAGTGATAGGAGTGATCTTCTGAGTGAATCTTGTCTTCTTCTCCCTCAGCAGCAGGGCCTCTTGGCATATTCTATGGATAAATTCGGCGGGCTCAACTGGTTTCCTGATTTTAATGAAAACTAGACATTCGCAACTAAGGTCTATAGGCAGAAAGACAGTGGTCTTTGCAGATTTTTCTTTCTTCATCGAGGCCAATTCCTTCTGAACCTGTTCTTCCACGGAAAGCTCTTTCTCGTCTTCCTTGTCGTCTTCTTCCACTTTCTGCTCCCAGTCTGGGTACCATTGCTCACACTTCTCAGACAAGAGGTTCATCAACTCTTTGCGACAGCCCAATTCTCTGCCTCGGTTGCATGTTGCAAATATACCCGAAGTATTAGGGTCTATGAACCCACTCTGTTTGTATTTTTTGTTTCTGTTGCCTCCCTGCGATTCACCGCCTCTTTTTCCCATTTTTGTCGTTCTTGAACTGGTTGATGAAGCTTGGAAAATCCTACGAAGAGGCAGATTCTTTGTTGATGTTTCACGTGACTCTATCGCATACAATTCTGGGGTTCCTACTTTCCTTCAAGTTCAAGAACGATTCTTCGGATATGCCCGAACATGCCTTGACTTTCTTGGACCTCCCTTTCGAAATCTATTTGCAGATTCTAACGCATCTACATTTTGAGGACTATGTTGCCTTGACCATGGTGAACCACCAGTTGAGATCAATGCTCGATACACCGATGGTATTGGCCCATGTGTATGACCAGTTTTTCAAACCTGTTTCGACCAGTTATGGTTTTTATCCGATCAAGATATCAAAGAAGGTGACATATAGCGTGTTTCGCCTTTTCTCGGACTTTACTACTAGAAATCTAGACTTATCAGAGGAGTCATGCATGAATCTATTGAAAGATCCAGACGCCTATTCTACTTTAGCATACTTGTTGGTCTTGAATGATATGCATCTTAAATATCAGGTAAACCAATTTGATAAAACTCGGTCCTTGGACCTCTCCGGTTACGCCTTCTTGAAGAAAGCTTTCCAGGCGCAGAATTACGAGATAGCAAACGGATTCTTCCTCTGGGCAGGGAATGAGTTAAGTGAAGAGACCCTCTATCAGATTTCACGATATTCATCTGATTTCTTTGAGAATGCCCATTGGAGAGGAATAGTACATCGCCGTATAAACGCCAAGCTTGAGACAATGAATTTGCCGCCAGATTCTCTGCTGCTCACGTTTCATGATATCGAGGAATTCACAGGGTTCATTAAAGAATTTTGCTATGCCGTGCTACATCAGCTCCCCCGAAGGAGGATAGTTGTCGAGCGTGGATGGAGTACAATTGCTGCATTCTACGCTGGCTTGCCCTGCGGTGGCCCCAATGATGATCTTAGTAACACCTTTCGATTGTTCATTCTCAAAAAGTTTTTAATCGATCGGATATTTCGCCGTTTGAATATCGTTATTATGGGTGAGTCTTTTGAAATTAACGTCGCTGTGTCCTCGAAGGTACTTTTCGTGGGACCGATTTCACTCGTGGTGTCGGAGAGTGGCAGATCCATCGCAACTATGCTAGTTGAACACCTAAGGGCGTTCGGAATCTATAGGTTCTTGGGTTCTCCTGAGCGTTATCTTCTTGACTACCAATATGTTGCTAACGATATTCGGTTGAAAAGTATAGATAATGCCGTCAATTGGATCGCTGCCGTCCCCAGCACGTTTTCTTTCGAAATTGTCAAGTACATCTCCGCGGGCGAAGTTGTTAATACGGCCAAATTCTTAAAAAACTTCAGAATAGCCCCCAAGCAAACCAAGAAAGAGTTAGCTGGCTTTGAATTGCTTTTCAAACGAGGGCAATTGGTGCTGAGCAAATTCCATGGCATCATAGGCGTAATCATCTCAGATACTCCATCAGTGAGTAAATGGATAAAAATTGCTGGAATTAATTCTGGAATAACAGACCGCTTCAAGATTGGTGACTTTCAGAAGATACATCCACTGCTGATTGCCAAAAACAGCAAAGAACTTCGTCAATTTGTACACTGGCTAACCCGAAATGACCACTTCATTTACCAAATTGGTACCTCATTTACGCATTTAATACTAGACGAAGAATTTTGCTTTAGGCTTGTCAATCGTGAGCCTAGCCGACAAATTCTAACAAGAGTTGACACTCCAGGGTTAGATCGTGATATGGTTGCCGCATTCAAGCAACGTTGTGCGATGATGTGTCGCTCCGAAATAGTCAAGCCAAGGCAAACTTCCGACGACACTGCACCGCATGTCACCTAAAGTTATGTATAGAACTTTTCATTTTCATTTTCATCATGTTATGCTCCTACTGTGATGTTTATTCGCAGAGAGGTTAGCCTAAACGTCTGCGAAGGAAAGCTAAGCGAAAACTCTGCAACGAAAAGCGAAGATAAAAAATTGAAAATTGAACATGAAGAACAGTGAGGAATTACCGATAACAGGACGGTTTAAATATACAATCGGTCAATTCCGTAAGACTGGCGGTAGGGCCTGACCGGTTTGCAGCACGTGACCACATTTGCCTGTTGGAATACATGCTCTATATGCAGGCATGATGATATCCTGTTGCCCAGATTCCTATAGTTGCTATGATGATGACCCTCTTACTTGCTTGCCATCCAATGTCTTCACTATATAAGGATGGCATCTCCCATCCTTCTTTCCTTAACTAGTTATCTCAATACACTACGAACCACTCTTTACTATAAACCCAGCTATGTCCGTTACATAGTCTTTCTTACCTACAGTCGTGCACCCTTCATCTAACATCTTTATAAAGATGGTAGTTAGCTTCGGCGCCATCAAGAGTTGATCAACTTTGAAGGGTCTTCAGACTACCATGACGTCTTCTGTGTACAATCGTCGTAAGGAAGCAAGAGTCCTCAGACTATTGAACCATTCTACCGAAGAACGAAGAAGATCAAGACTATCATAACTAATGAACCCAATTGACCATACTCGGATAAGAATAGATTGGGAAAGCAATGGTCTACTAACATGCTCGTTGACCAACAGTTGGACCCTCAGCAAACAGTGGCTGAGAACTTGAACACTGAACAACATATCAAACATAAGCTATTGACTATTGACTATACGGTTTGTCTACTACAGAGAAGAGTTCAGGCTTACGAAATTCAGGTGTTCATCAGTGACGGACTGGAAACTTATGACTACAGCAGAACAACTAAATAATACGTTCCAAACAGACTAGCGTGCTTAGCTGGGAATAAACAACAATGGGCCCTGACATCAAGAACAACATATGAATCTACGAGACTACAAATCTTTTTTTAAAGTCAGGAAGTCTCAAACAAAGCACGCTAGACGTAAGGCTCAAGGCAAACTCCATGCATACATAACAGAGATTAGACAGAGAGGAACCACAATAACTCAGTGGTACCCACAAACACAAGAGCAAACGGGATAAGTTCCCTGATAATAGGGAAGGCATCTATCTTGGAAAACACAATAGAACAACAGTCTTTGTGTAAGGAATCTTTCACTTCCCGGGAGCTCTTGTGAGGCGAGAACTTTTATAACTGTCATCTCTGCATTGCAGGTGGAAGAGCCCTATACCATTCAGCGGTTGGAGTCCTTCGACTATGCATCATCGACTATGCATCATTAACCCTAAACCTAAAGGTCAAGAAGGAGAGACGTTGACAAAGCAACGCCCTTCTAAGAAGTCGAGGACATGGACACAAATTTGACGAACAATCTAATTGTGATAGAAAATTAAAGAAGCAAAACTCATTTTTCTACACATTTGCACAAACTCAGCCTACACATCGATTGGTTATTACTGAGTCAATGCAACTACTCCAGCCATCATTACAGAAGGTAGAGTATAGATGTTTCCAATGTCTTTATCGGTGTCTAGCACTTCCACATACAAGGACTACTATGACATTTACCGGGAAAGTCCAAGGCCAAAGGGTACCAAGAGTTTAAATACATCCTAAGAAATCTGCTTTACATCTATCTTAATTACAAAGCAGTTGGCCGATTTCCGAATAGTCTACAATAATAATGCAGACTCGAGGTCCATACCATCTACGCTGTACTACAAGACTGGTATCATTTCCAAGATGACAAATCTCCAATTTCCCCGTCTTTCCGCATTTCTTCCAGCCTAAGAGATAATACTCCCAGTCTTATGCAACTCAAAGTGCCATGCTTATTAACTTTTACCTGTGTAACCTGTGCATTGTTCTGGACGACTATCGCCAGTAAAGCTCACTAACATGGACACTGTTATTAGAAAGACTTGGAGAAGCAAGATACACTTGCTGGGATACGAGGAACGCACATGGCCCAACGCGTCCAAGAATGAGATCATCAAATCGTTAATTGGGCCACAGATGCTACATTCTCCTCAGGAAACTCAACAATCAATGAACAGAGCTATGTTACTGAGTCACCGTTGCAATTCTACCACAATACTGGCATTTCGAAGCGTCATGAGTGTGAAGCTGTTTTTTTTCACCTCACAACCCCAACTGGGTTCATGGCTAAACTTAGGGCCGGAATATTTGATCATATATCGACGCATCGTCTCGTATGAATGAACAAGAGTATACTTATGCCAAGCAACGAGACTAAACAGCTCTGAAGCGCCATCCAGTTCTGGAGCAAGAACATCATTGAAATAACATCATTGAAATGTGAGCTAGAAGTTGAGGTTTCCACAAGCAGCTTGGACAGAAACCCCACTTGATGCCAAAGGGGGATCGCTGCATTTTCGACATCCATGAGACACGAGCTCACTGAAGGTTAAAGCGACAAGGGTAAAGAAATTACATTATCATTGACCGGCAAATGTACCACGATACAGGTAGATAATGACTGGCACTTCGTTATTCTCATTAGAAACCAGGAATGTATGGTAAGGTGACCTTACTTTGGTACCTCAGACCATAATTGGCGCTCCATTATGTCTCATTATTGACAAACCAACCCTCGCTCTAACTCGCCAACATCATAAGAAAAGCGAAGAAAGAAAATCCGCTTAAGCTCGTGTTTCCTATCCAGAAAGAGCGTACTCTAATAAGCGCCGCTGGACTATATGGCTACCAGGTCAGGTACTCCTCAATCATTCTCGCTCGATAGAAGAGAGTCTACAATAGAGACCCACTATCGTTAAAAGGTAAGCCATTTATTCGTTATCTTAATAATTGACTTGCGAAAGATTTGAAAGCAAAATATGACCAAAGGAGAACAGGTCTCTCCGTCGATCGTCCCTTTAGATAATAGGTGGATTATTATTGACACTTAAAGCCCGTCAGTAATAAGTATATGAAGCTAAGCAAAGCACATTATACCAGGTTCCACCACTAACCACATCTTGGAGATGTGTTAGAATGCTACTAACAGCGAAACAGCGAACGCAGAAACTGCGTCAAGTGGAGTCAACATTTTGACTCTTTACAGTCCAGTTCCAGTTGACAGAATCACCAACGCCTACGCACAATTCTAGGAAGACGTTCTTAGAGTCCTAAGCAAGCCATCCCACTGACTTCGTCCAGAATTTTTTTGACCTCCTTACCCCGGAAAGTTAAGGAGGATGTTTCTCTGGCGGCTGGTATTAAATCTTCCTCTGACAGGGTGGAATGGATACCAGGGAAGTCACAATGCAAAAAGACATTGAAGTAGTGAGAGTGGGGACCTCCATGAATCTTGGCCGGTTTAGGAGAGTACAAGCCTAGAGGGCAGGCTCGAGAGACGAAGTCAACACAGCTCCGAGTACTGTCCCGGCTAGCAGGACAGCGTATGCATCGTCGGTGAGTTCAGAACGGTTTTAGACAAGAAGACTACTATTCAAAGCGCATGGTGCCAAATTGGCGAAAGGGGGAATTCATGTGTTGTTCTCACTTTCAGATCTATATGAGGGAGATACCTCCCCGAAGGTCGCCAATTTACCATTGATTTCCATGCAGCTATTTAAGTCAACCCTAATAAGAGGAACCAAAACAACATAACAAGAATATCACTACTAATCAGAACCAAAGAAGGATTGCACACTTGAAGTGATGATCATAGGAAAGGAAAGCATGTTAAGAACGGGTTTAAGTTCACCAAAAGACTTCAAACACATCCGCAATATCTAATAGGTTGAACTGGAGAGTTAGGGAGTCACCAAAGTTCCCCCAGTTATACTTCGAGCATGAAACCTAACGGATAGCAGGACAAGCACACTCGCCATAGAAAGAAAAAGGGGATAGTGAGAGCAGGCACAACAGTCAATCAGGTTCTCAACCAAGGAACTCAACAGCCAGCAATACAGTTCGAAACAGCTAAATTAAACGTTGGTCCTTAACAACTAACATGGATGCTTAAACAAAACGATGTCGAACTTTGAACTGATAAAGTTAGCTGGACCTGATTTCACTAATCCCAAAGGAACTAAACCACGAAACCTTGAACAGAGACTTCCCCTAATGACACACTAAATGGACTACGCATGCAACCTTGGGCTGATCAAATAGGCTTTACTCCCATAAGAAGGAGACCTGTCTTAAAGAGTGGATTACTAGTGAACAAGGCCAGTCGCGTTGAAGACACAACATAGAAATGTACTCAGAGATTATTTGTTAAAGGCGGCTATGACGGAACATGAGCAAGTTGCGAGACAAGAAGTCAGGAAGAAAACAGCAGGTTACCTGGGACAATTGCAAATATAGAAGGACGGGTCCTACGGAAGATTTCATCAAAGAACTATCTGAAGAAGCCAGATACTTGTTAACCTAGCTACATCTCTTGCGCAACAAAGATAAAGGGAATTCACCCTACCGCCGAGCTACAATAAATCCGCGACAACCTTGGACAAAGCAGAGAAGATAAAATAAATACTCTGCTGTGGTACTACAACGAGAGATAACAACCAGTTTGTCATGAGGTGTCTCTACCCAGATGTAATGTCTTGAGCACCATGAGCGTCCCGACCATACGGTTGCAACACTCACAAACATGTCTAGGTTCTCGTTGATGTGCCTGTGGGATATAGAGTAACAAACTCTATCCCAGTGGAAAAGCGAAAGTAAGAGGACAACCGGTCCCAAGAGGACAGACGGTTCCAAGAGGAAAGAAGTCAATTTTCGAACGAACGATCAATATGTGACTTAAATAATCGTCGAAGAATCAAAGGAATCAGAACTGTCATTCATCATCAGACAGTTACGCCCTTCACGAAGCTTTGGGCTCAAAATTCAGTGTCATGGACAATCATTTAAGTGGTCCTTCGAATGTCCCAAATCCTTAACAACAACTATACGAACATTTACAGACTACTTTTGATAAGGACGCTCCACTGATACAGGCCATATCTACCCGAACTCAAATGAATCTTAGGCCACAGGCTAAGAACGGGTGTTGGAATACATGCTCTATATGCAGGCATGATGATATCCTGTTGCCCAGATTCCTATAGTTGCTATGATGATGACCCTCTTACTTGCTTGCCATCCAATGTCTTCACTATATAAGGATGGCATCTCCCATCCTTCTTTCCTTAACTAGTTATCTCAATACACTACGAACCACTCTTTACTATAAACCCAGCTATGTCCGTTACATAGTCTTTCTTACCTACAGTCGTGCACCCTTCATCTAACAACTCTATACTATTTAGGAAATGGTCAGATTGGCCCGTCCCCCAACTACACTTTTTCCACCATGATTCATCCAAGGAAACCGTTTTTCGCCGTATGTCTTCTCATACTCGTTTCCTGTGCCATCTACTTCGTGGCCTCGGGTGATTCCACTTCTCTTGGGTCCTCGGGCCCAGTAAGCGCCAGAACCCCGGTGGTTGAAAAACTGGCTCCTCAGGATGATATCAAGCTTAGTGATGTTGAAAGCAAGAAGATCGAAGAACAGTCTGGAGAAAGCAAGGCATCTCAAAGCGTGGGCGAATTCACCGACGAGCCATTCATGCCAAAGATGGCCAACGAGACCTTGAAAGCCCAGCTTGGTAACTCAGCATGGCACCTTCTACACACCGTTTTGGCCAGATACCCAGAAAAGCCAAACGACCAACAAAAGACCACCTTGAGTCAATATGTTCAGCTTTTCGCCCAAGTATACCCATGTGGCGATTGCGCTAGACATTTCCAGAAGCTTTTAGCCAAGTACCCTCCTCAGGTGAGCAGCAGAAAGACAGCTGCTCTTTGGGGCTGTCATATCCACAACAAGGTGAACGAAAGATTGCAGAAACCAATGTATGACTGTCTGAATATCTTGGAGGATTATGACTGTGGATGCGGTTCTGACGAGAAGGAACAAGACTCCACTTTGGGAGGAGAGAGCATCGAGCACCTTCAACAAATACAGGTTGACGAGAAAGAAGGCAAGCAAAGGGGCGGATGAACAGAGCGTTTTAATGGGCTAGGTCCAGGGACTTTTATTTCTGAGTAAGTAATTGAAAGCTTGCAGCTTTAATGCAATGTATTAAACCATTTAGATTAAGCATGAGACCGGCCATCGGGCCTTCCTGGAAGACCATGATATCTTCTTTTGATACGTTGTCTTGCAACTCCTCCAGTATCTCCATCATCCAAAACACCACCTCAACTCCACTATACAATGGTGCAGCACAGACCTCCCGAGCTCTGTCTTCCCAGCTTCATGTTCTGGTGAGATCTAAACTTGTTCTGGTCTGCAGATTCCAGCCAGAGATATGGCACTAACGGGTCCTTCGTTTCCTCTGTATGCTCCACAATGAGAGCCGCAGCCTTGGAGGCAGGGATACGCTCTTTCTTGAGCTGCTGCTTGAGTCTCTCGTTCAACTGCTCAATACGACGTAGCCTTAAAAGGCCGATTCTATCGTTGAATTCCAGATCCATCGAGAAATTTGCTGTTAATTTGTGCTGACGGCCAACTTGTGGAAAGTGTCCGCCTTATATACGGCGCCCTGCGCACAGATCCGATATTTTTTGAAACCTGAAACAGCGGCTCCCGTAGTGTCGAGAATGCATTGACGGAACTATACGACTCGGGATTGGAGTTCCTTGGCCGAAGGTGGTGATTTGCTAAAATGTGTGGTTGCGTTATAGATCGGCCAGGTGTTTAGGTTTGGGTTCAGCCGTACCTAGGTGATCGCATCGAGGTGTTTTGCAGCCACCACCAACAACCTAAAGGGAAGCTCATTTTGGGGAAACGTTAGCTTCCATAGACTAGAAGCGTCATTTAGTCTTATATAGGCCCTTTAGAGCTCCACATCAGGCGTTACATCTCGACTCAGCTTCCTTCCTTCTGCAAACCGTGACTCTCTACCCTGTTTAGTCAACCAACCCATCTCTTTCACCCCCAACGGGACAATAAATAACACAAATCACCTTAGGCGAGGAAGAAAAGGCCAATAATACAAAATGCAATGACAAAGCCCATAATCAACGTATCTCTCTTTCTTCTAGTGTTGATCTTCGAAATCAACACATTGATGCCAGGAATATTCTGCAACGTTCCCAGAACTCTAGTGGCTGCATTCTGCAACTGCACACGTTGACTGTAAAGCTCGTCTCTTGTTTCATACGCTTGTTGGAGGAGTCTATCGGCAAAGGAGTTGGCGTTATCCACCCTGGCTCTCTCGTCTAATATATAGTTGTTCTCGCTATCTGGCCCCAGCGAAATCTCCCTCTGTTTATGGGCGGAAATGTCTGATCTGATGGTGAAAAGCAAATTGTTTCTGTTTCTTTCCTCCGTGATTCGGCCTTGGATCTTATTGAAGGAGCCCTTGTGGTCTGCCAACACCTCCTTGTGTCTCTGTAACTGCTGAAGCTTGGACGTGGAAATGTTCACGTCACTCTCCAGTAGACGATTGAGTCTTCCCACAACTTCATCTCTCTTATCAAGGATTTCAATGATTGATGTGGCCACAGTGGTTTCCTCCTCAGAAGGGTCCACTGAAACACCACCAGACTGGATCTTCGAAAAACGGCTTAGAAGCTGTTCTGTCTGCTTTTCAAGGTTCTGAGCAAACGTTCTCGTTTGTGTGAATGTTGCCGACGACATGGTATTCTTTGGAAGTTGCCTAGTTGATAGTGTTGATTTTGATAGTCACTACTTGTTGAGTTCGCGCCTCGTCCATGCACCATACTGGCTGGATCAGGTGAATGTCAGGATTCGTATTTTACTGGGTTTAGGGATTTTGGATACTTGGAGGAAGGGAAGTCCAATTTAAAAGAGAAATAGGCTAGAGGAAAATGGGCAGTACCGGGTTTGCAGGGCTGGTTTGGTGTTGGTTGGTGGCCTTTTCGCAGCCATTGGTGGTGGTTGATAAGGCATTGGCTGGTTGTCAATTGGAGCAGGGGATGTAGGGAAAGTGGTTCATATAGGTTCATTAAGTGGTTAGAGGTGGTCTGTAGTTTTATTTCTTTTGGTGCTTTTTGTAGGGATTGTTCAGTATGGTAGCGCTGGTTTAAGGGAGTCTCATGAGACAGGAGACATGAAACCACGAGATAATCTAGATTAGGTAAAGTAGCTGTTATGAGTTGAATTAAAGGCTTTACTTTGATAATTGTGGCCTGGAATTTTTGGCTATTGTTTGTTGAAAGCAATATATGTTTACTTATGAAGTAAATATATGGTTACTTATGAAGTACTTCTTTGGATGGTTGTCCTTAAGCTGCTGTATGAAGAAGTAGTACGAATGGTTCAGTTCCTATAGGTAACTAAAACGTAAATAAAATATAAAAAAGACTGATTTAGATTCTTAATCAAAGACAATCTTAAAGAAGATAACTAAGAGTAGCTTGCGTCTATTTCATATTACCTATGTAGCTGTACTACTTCCATTCTTACTACTTAGTATATGATAAAGCATATTTACCACATTAATTTCTTTCCTTCTTTCTTTATTTCTTACCTTATATCCCATCTCATTTCCTAAACAATCCAAGGACACTATAAATTGTAAAGCAAAGCATTTCCCTTGTTAGTTGATGCAACCAGTGTCTCAGCTAACCAGACACTAGAGAATATAGCAAACAACTCACATCTCACGGTTCCTTTACTCCCTCTCCGTCCTCCACCATTTTCATGTCCTTTCAAACTTCCCAAATCAAACAATTCTACCGTCAATCTCATTCTCCCAACTCCTTCTCACTTCCCAACTTCCTCGAAACCACTTGTTTGCAGCCATTTTGATACTACCCAGCACATTTCGCAGCCAACCATAAATACCCATAACCACCAGAACAAATCGAAAACACCCAATTAACAAATTCTAAGCCATTCCCGACATTCCTCCACCTTCCCAAGTAAAACCACACCTCCCCATCCTATAACTTCCTCTGGCGGACTCGGACTTTCACCACCTCTTCGCTGGTCCTCCACACAGCAAGCTTATCTTCAACCACTTCCCATTGGGCCATCATCAACCCACTGCTTTCTCCACATACACCCATCAATGTCTGTTGAAGATCTAAGGCAGGTTGTTCCTGATCCTCTAGACGAGATATATCCAGAGGATGAGCCACAGTATGTGCCTGAACCGCCCAAGAAGACTTGGGTCCATAAGGCATCATCCATACTACTAAATGTCCAGAAGTACCTGGCGTACGGCTTCTTGGGCTTCTATGGGCTCCACACAGCATCTACCGTGATAGTTCCGGGCCTAGGCATCAGCCAGGCAACGTGCCAGGATATCTTTGAGATGTGCAGAAACGTATACATGGCTCCTTTGCTAGAACCAGCTATGGTGAACTTGACTGCTGTGCTTCACATTGGAGCTGGGCTAGCGCTACGCTTGGTTCGAATGGTGGCTAGGCGGAAAAAGGCCCAGAAGAGAGAAAGAGACATTATTATAAAAGAGGAGGATAGAGACGATATTGGGCTTGGAGGTATAGGCACGATATTTGGCCTAGGGTTCAAGAAGCTGTGGATCTCGTCCAACTTCCCCAGTTTCACACCATTGACGTTTTCAGGTTACGTATTTACAGCAGCATTGGCCTACCATTACGCTAAAATGAAGCTAGGCCCGGTAGCCATCGATGGAGACTCTTCGTTGGTTACCTTATCATATGTCACTCACTACTTCCAGCAATCACACTTGGGACAAGTAGGCTGTTGGCTTAACTACGGAATGCTTGCTCTTGTGCTGTGGGTGTCGTTTTATCACGTTGTAAGTGGACTTTTCAAGTACAGAAGACAGTTCAGCTTGCGAGCTAAGAAGATCGCATACGGAGTAATTGCGTTTTTGACTGGCCTTAGTGTTGTTTCCATGACCAGAATGCGTCACTGGGAACTAGAGGTTGGTTTCCTAGGCAAGCAATTTGCTAAGTACCTTTTTGCTAACTACCTTTTTGTGGTGTGATCAACAACCTTTTATAGAAACATGGACATTACCGGAATAAGCGAATATGCAGCCATGTAAAAAGTCAGCCCACTTGGAGAGTTCGATCCAGGGGTACATAAAGATACAGAAGGAATCGTTGTTTTCATTTTTTTATTTTTTTATTTTGGTTACTATATTCTTTCGGTGTACAATAAATAAGACTATGACAAGCAACTTGCGCTTGAAACACCGAGTGTTTCTGAGCCAACTAAAAACATAGTGCTGCCAATGTCGACATCGACATCCACATCTTCCTGTCAACTGCTAACCAGCTCCGTCTCCACGGAGAATTCATCATCAAACATCAAACATAAAACGTGCTGGGGGCTAAATGCCCCGGGCACTGGAGGGGGGAAAAAATGTACAAGAACCACCTACCTAGGTGTATGCAATGATTCCAAACAAAAGTGTCGGCACTGTTTAAGCAGTGGCTGGGCCCAAGGTTGGCTCCTTGACGGCGCTGGTTCTCTTGGACTTGTAGTCCTTGACAGCCGACTTGATGGCATCCTCAGCCAACATGGAACAATGCAACTTGACTGGTGGCAAAGACAACTCCTTGGCAATAGCAGTGTTCTTGATAAGCATAGCCTCCTCGAGAGTCTTACCCTTGACGAGCTCGGTCACATAGGAAGATGAAGCAATGGCTGAACCACAGCCAAACGTCTTAAACTTGACATCCTGAATAACACCAGTATCTTCATCAACCTTGATCTGCAATCTCATAACATCACCACAGGCTGGAGCACCAACCAAACCAGTACCAACGTCGACATCGTTTTTGTTCAACACACCAACGTTTCTTGGGTTGGCATAGTGATCAAGCACTTTTTCATGGTACATTCTTCTGGAAGTCACAGGAACCATGGAAGGGATTCTCATGGCGGCTGGTCTAGTGGCAGCAAGGGCTGGTCTGGCGAGTCTGGCGCCAGTAAGCATAGGTCTTGCAAGTTGTCTCAACATGGTTATTTTGATTGATTCTGGAGAAATATACACTAGGATGAGGAAAAAGGTATATATATATAATAGAGTGCGGAGAGACTGATTTTTATGATAAGCGATGACTGGAAGGAGAGGATTGGATACAGGGCCGGTCATGTGGGCCCCGATGTCGGTTCCGGAACGACGAGGCCGGGGCGCGCGACATTTACTAAGCAGACGAACTAGGGGATTTGATTGGTTGAGGGGAGAAAGGATTTCGCGCGACATTGGGGAGGATGCTCCTAACAAAAGGAAAAGGAGGTTACGGAAGTACGGGATACGGAGTACGGAGAAGAGACAAGGATGTGAAAATGACCGGTTAAGAAGTAGCATGAAATTAGAAGCGAAAAAAAAAATTAGGTATTATTTAGCATGCGACATTTATGTATGTCGCTGTGGGTAGGGGCCCTAGTGCATGAGACACGGATCCGGTCCGAGTTACCAATGACGCGACAATGTCGTGGCTACCTCAGCAAAGGCCCAAGTGAATCCCACCCCTAATCATGATAGAGAAGTTCTAAGAACTTCATATTAAAGAGGCAAATCTGACGGTGCGCGCAATCTACTTTTTATGTCGGTACATGGTGTATTGGGGTGGATTGTGTGGACCCCTACTGATGACCATAAGACGACATTTTTGTTTCGCAGCCATTCCATAGAAGCCTATAACGTCACGTTACAGTCTATATTGGGCAGATTATACCATATTCGAAGTGTCTAGATGGAGTTTTGTCTCACTTCATGAAGCTATCTCCATGCAACTTGTAAGCAGACCATGCGTGTGGAAAGTGACTGACTTCCGTAGTGGGTTTGACGGCTTAGTGCGTTGAAGAACAAGCACAAACACGTCAAACCCTAAGTAGGATATAATTTAGAATCCAGTAGTTTCCTCTTGACTACCATGTCTTGGCTATTTGCCGCCGTGAATCTTCAAATTTAAGCTTTGCTGGTTGTATTTCTGTTCATGCGACATTGTGGGGTCAGGTCAGAGTCAGAATGGTCCCACAGAGTGGTTGCAAAGACAGTCCGAGCACGGCTAGTCCCGTTATTGGATTATAGAGAGTGTTGTTTAGAGCGGATTGGGTGGTGGTTTGATGGTGAGATTGGAATTCGGGGAGTCGTGGAATTGTGTGGATTGGCTGTTTGGAGATTATGGGGTACTGGCAAGAGTAGCAGTCAGAGGCTCAAGAACAGACCAACTCAATCCAGAGGAGGTCCAATGAAGAGGAGCTCTTTTTATTGTAAGGTTGACTTAATGATATATAACTATTTCTTACTGATATATGCTGATGGCTGGTAGTTCAGAAGACCAATACAAAGTCATATTGTATGTAAGTGTCTGTCCGTAGCCTTAGTGTCTTACCTTTGCAGCCATATACTCACCTCTCTACTTTCCACCTACAACATGTACAGTTAAAAATACCCAATAACAGCCATTCAAAGGTGATTTTTCACCTCTACTGATTGCTGCTGGATACTTTTCTTACCCTCCTTTACCTCCTACACCCTTCATGAAAGACTACCCATACATCTGCCTCTCTCCTACGCTTGGACAACTCAATACAAACAATGACAAGCCACCCAATCTCCCTCTTCAAAACAAATGCCTTCTCTCCACCCGTTCCTTTATTACCAGTTATGCCCTCCGGGTGCCACCACATTAACCAAAACACTATGATCTGCACTAGCCACAACACTTCACATGCTACGGCGCTACCAGGGAGGCTTCTCCATAGATAGGCAAAAAAAGGGGAAGATAACAGGCCAGAGCCTATCAACTAGAGAGACTCCCAGCCTATCAGAGGGCAAAGAATAGACGAATGTGTTTTTAGTCAATGGACTTAATTGACATCTTAGTGCTCACTGAACAGTACCCAGTAACAGAAGTAACACAACCATACACATCCACCTAAACACAAACGTACACAAACACGTTTTGAATGCTCTTTTCTATAGCCACTCTTCGTCTCAATTTACCTCCAATTCACTCTTTGTACTTTCCTATCTCCTGCTTCCTCCCTTCCTCTCCCACTTCCTACCAGAACAGGCATTTCGCAGCCATTATCACAATCCTAGACCAACAAAGACCCCACCAGACATCCCGTATCTCGTCTAAACCTTCCATTAGCCCCATACCTAATTAAATGGTGGCATTTCCAAATCCCTCTTTTGTCTCACCTGTCAACCCGTTATGTAGCCCAAAACCTTCCTTGACAGCTTGCCAAGGTAAGCCAAGCCAGGCAAGGCAGGCGCCAGGCAGACGCCAGAAAGTACCAGCCAATGCCAGATTGGTAAATGAAATAGGTAAGCATTCCATTTGATGAATATAAGTTTCTAGATGAATTTATGAGTAAATGTATGAACATATATAAACATATATATATATATATATATATATAACATATATGTAAATACATCATTTAATCATATGCTTTGTACTATATAGCCTGGTATCCTCTATCCTGCTGCCTTTCACGCAACCCACGCCAAAGGCATAAATTGACCATCACTGACCATCAATCTCTCCAAAAACTCAAACCCTCCGACCTCCCTCCCAATTGACCCTTTGCCCAATAAGAAAACCATCTGAGCGTGTCCAGCGGCTATTCTCACCTCGATTAGACCGAATCTGCTCACTGGTAATATATCGCACTGCACGGAGAGCAAACTAAGATCCACCACCAGAAGCTAAAGAACAGCTACCAACAGACCGTGCTTCACGTCCAGAAACAGAAAAAAAGCAGTTAGTTTTTTGTCTTTCTGAATGTCTATTCCGCCTTCGGATATCGAGACTGGCGTCTCCAACGGCGACGTCGACTGGCTCTTTCGAGGCAAGTCTAAGAAGCTCACCAAGAAGCTACACCTGGATAAACCTGGCGACGACGATAAGAAGGAGGATGGGAGCGATAAGGAGAAGGCTGTGGCTAGTGAGGTGAAGGAGGACGCCAAAGAGGTTCCTGCTAAGGCTGTGGCTCTGGAGAAGCCAGTGCCAGCTGAACCTGCTACGCCTAAACAACCGCCGCTGAAGCCGGTGCCTTCTAAATCGCCTTCTGCGTCGTCGGTGCTGCTAACGGCGTCTCAGGACCTGCCACTGCAGCCAAAGAGAAGATCTAGTATCAGTTTTATGAACTTGGGCAGCGGGAACGCTTCAAATGGTGCTTCTCTGGATACTGAGCTGGGGTCGTCGCAGCCTCCACTGAGATCTAACTCGGGAAGAGGCCGGTCGTTTTTTAGTTCGATCTCGCTGAAGTTTAAGTCGTCGAATAACGGGTCGAGTGCTAGTAACTCGCCTAGCCAGAGCCCTCATCCTGGCTCCAATAAGCTTAATCCTAATATGATCGGCTCAGGGTCGCTTCCTCCACCGGCTAACCAAGATTTGGCTTCTTTGGTTAATAGGCCACCGCCAGAGGCTGGAATTGCTATCCCACAGTCTAAGGGCAGACGTTCTTCGTTCTCGTCGAGTCCTAAACTGTCTGTGGATTCAGATCGTAGCGGTTTCTTTAAACGCAGAACACTGAATGTCGATCAAAACCCACCGCCTCCTCAAAGGAAAGTTCTCAACAAAAACCCAAACAAGGAGAAGGTTATGCGGGAGTTTGCCCAACCTAAGCTTAAACGTGTTGCTTTCTCTTTGGATAAGCTCAGTGACGATCCTCAACAGCAGATTCCTTCGAGGCGTCCTAAGAAAGGTAATGTTCTTATTCCTGAAGACTTGACTGCTCCTCTCCCTCGACTTTCACAGGGTATTTCTGTCAGTGACAGTAAAGGAAACAAGACGAATGTTGCTGAGACGAAGTACTCGGAGAAGGAGCTCCAAATGGCTGTTGATGCACAGAGAAAGGCGCTTGCTGAAGCAGAGAAACACGCCATGGATGCCCATCTCTCGGCTAAACGCTTGGCAGCTCAGATCTCTCTGTTTAAGACCTCCAACAAATGTCCATCGACTGTTGAAGAGGATGAAGTGGACATCCAGGCAGAAAAGATCGAGATCGATAAACCTTTGCATGTTCACGAGAACCATTTCGACGAGAAGGATGAACACACGGAAGTTCCAATCGAAGAGTTATCTCTTGAGGATATCTACAGCCGTTGTTGCCATCTTCGTGAGATCTTACCCATTCCAGCTACTCTTAAACAGTTGAAGAACAAGTCGAGCCCTCTTCAGACGCTCAAGCTTCTCAACCCAAAACCAACGTTGATAGATGTTCTTTCCTTTAGCGACTTCCTCGCCATCACCCCTATCAACACGGTTATTTTTGATAATGTCACGATGACAACCGAGATGCTCAAGCACTTGTTGGGCGCTTTGGTTCACAGCAAAACTTTGGAGAAGCTCTCACTTCGTAATGTGGCCATTGATGAAACCGGTTGGCTATACCTTTGTGAGTTTTTGGGAAGAAACCGTACCGTCAAGAAGCTTGATATCTCTCAACAAAGAGTTAAAACAGTCACTAAACAGACTTCTTTCCGTTCCGCCATGAACTGGAACTTATTCATTAAAACATTGATTGCAAGAAATGGTATTGAGGAACTCGTTATGGGCGGTTGCAAGCTCACTGACGACACGTTTGAGAAGCTTCTAGAGGAAGCTCTCACGCTTGCCACTTGCAGACTTGGCGTGGCTGCTACTGAAATCAACGTAAACAAGTGCAGATTGATTGCTGACTGGATCAGCAGACCCAACTCCAAGTGTGTGGGTATCGACATTGCCTATAATGATTTGAGTCAGGGACAGCTTCGTCCATTTATCGATGCTTTCAGCACCAAAGAAACTCGACTCATTTTCTTTTCGCTTAATTCAACAAACCTTCAGAATATGGAGGAAGTGGGTGAACTTTTAAGAGGACTTGCAAGGGTACAAACGCTCCGTTTCTTGGATTTGAGTTCTTTGCCACAGCTTTTCCCTGGTGTCATCTCAAAACTTAGCAAGACTTTGCCATATTTCCCCTCACTAAGGCGTGTTCATTTTGATTTGAACGAGCTCACATCCCAATCAATTGATGCCATCGCTGATATCTTGCCAAAGGTTAAGAACCTCGTGCATGTTTCGCTTCTTGGTAACCGTAATTTGGACCGTGGCTGTATTGGTTCGTTGTACACCGCGGTCAAGAACTCCAAGATCTTCAATCTTGATTTGGATTACGATTTAGTTCCCGATGAGCTCTCACAGAGACTTGCTCTTTACTTGATGAAGAACTTGGACAGACAAATCCGGCCCGACATTTCAAGCCGTGGCGATGCTGCTCAGGATGACGTCATGTTTGACGGCTCTCTACTTATGGAAACCGCCGAAAAGATGTTGATTGAAAGCGACAAGAACTCTGGAGAAGCGGATTTGAAGCTTCAGAAGATCATCACCAATGCATTGATTGAAAGAACAAATTCGATCAGAAAGGATATCCACAAGATCATCGATGGACTCTTCCAAAAGCGTGCAACTGGAGCTCTCAATTTCGAAGACAAGGAGAGTTTGTTGCGTTTCTGTCTCCTCGATGCTTCGCTTGAAAAGGTTGTTCACTTGTTCGAGCAGAAAGCAAAGAAGTTTATTAATACCCCATTGAGTCCATCCCCTTCGGCGCATGAAGACAAGCAGCTCTCCCTCGATCTGGCCATTTCTTTAGGACCTCGTTCTGAACCACAAAAACAGACCGATCACCAACAGCTTCACGAGGGATCCAAGGCTCTTATTGATGCTGGACCGATCTTGATGGCCAAGTCCAGGCCTCCAGCAGCGGCAACATGTGCTTCTAATGAACAAACGTTCGAACCGCACCAGGTTGTCGTGGAGTCTGGCTCTGACGGTCTGACAGTTCCAATTGATAACACAACCGGTCGCCCAGTGTTGTTTAGATCGATGTCACAGACTTCAGTACATGCCAAAGAACAAGAGAAGGAAGAAGGTGAATTCCATCGTTGGGGCTATTTCATGGAACACAGGAGGTCCCAAGAGGCAGCATCTGATGAGAAGAAGCAAGATAAGTTGGTCATTGGCGCCGTTCCATCCGGATCAGAGCTTCGTGAAGCCATCATTGACGCTAAAGGCGTTGACTCTGTTACAGACTTAATTACCAAAATCAATAGCCACAGAGTCAGTTTGGATGGTATCTACAATCCGGAAGACAAAGGTGCAACAGATCAACGTCCGCCTGCTCCTCAAACCGCCGAGCCTGCTTTTCAGGACGCACAGGAAACAGTCCAGGACGACGACACACATTCCATCGATTCCAACGAAGAACAAAACGTTCATCCCGTGGTCGATGAGGCTTACGATAAGCTATTGAACGAAGCCCAGAGGGTACGGTCCAACAAGGACGCCGGTTCATAAACACACACACAGAATAGGAATATATTCGCTTAGCATTTGCAACCTACTGTAAACTACAACAACATCCGTTGAGATAGAAGGTATTGAACTATGTAGATTAATTAGTGAGGTTACAAGCCAACCACTTAGTTCTCGGCCTTGAAGGCAGCGATCTTCTCGGCAATCTTGGCCTGTCTCTGCTCCTTGGTCAACTTCTTGGATCTGTACTTGTTAGACTCAGCAGCGTACTCCTCCTTGGTGTGCTTCTTCTCAGTTGGCTTGAAGGATGGGTCCTCTCTGATCTTCTCGTGAGCGTTCATGTAGATCTCCTCAACATCCTCTGGGTCAATCTCCTCCTCAATGTAGGACTTGAACACCTGTCTGTACTTCTCCTCATCGTCATCCATCAACTCCTCCATGTACTCAGCAATGTGACCACCCATGATGTACTTTCTCAAGAGCTCAGCGTCCAACTCCTCAGACTCAATGTCCCAACCTGGGAATCTGTTAGCGGAGTGAGGAACGTACAAACCACCGTCAGAAGCACCCTTCAAGACACCGAAAACTCTGGCACCGGTGGTGGTTCTCTGCAAACCAATGTCCAAGAAAACCTTGAATGGTCTTGGGCCATCCTCAACAGCCTCGGTCAACTCGTACTCACCCTCGACTTCCTCGACACCCTGGTAGGTCTCGTCCAAGCCGAGTTTCTGGAGAGCTCTTCTGGCAACCAACAAACCGGTAGCGTAGGCAGCAGACCAGTTAGTCAAACCGTGCTTGATACCGTATCTTGGCAACTCGTGGGCGTAAGCAGCGGTCAAGACAATGTCACCGACAATCTGGGAAGACACAATCTGGGCAATGATGTCCTTGTTGGTGAATCTAACGACCAATCTGTACTTTGGAGAGTTGTACTTGGCCTTGTGTTGAGCGACCAATCTCTTTCTCTGGTAGTAGTCGGTCTTACCCTCTCTTCTTCTACGGAATGGGGTCTGGAATCTAGACGAGTAGGCGGAAGTCTTGACTGGTTTTTCGAAAGCCATTTTTGATTTGGTTTTGGAGATGGGGTAGGAAGGGAGAGAGAAGAATTTTTCACTTTTTCTCGCACTGAGGCACTTCTGGAGATGATGGGCCGCGCACGACTTTTTGAAATGTTTCGCACCCAGGGACCATGATTTGCGCACCTCAGCGTATATTCCAGGCTGGACATAGGATAGACTGGAAGCTGATTTCCATGGGAGTTGTGCTTTCGGGAGAGGAAAAAGAGATATGATGCTACAGCTGGTTACGTTGCTGGATATGTAGCTGTGATGGTTCTTAGAGTTGTACTTTGTTTATATGAGTGATGAGGTACTGAGGTTTGTAGTTGTGGTGGATAAGTATATGGAAGAAGAGCTTAAAGTATTGGTAAGTTTGGGAATTGAGGGTTTAAATAAATTGGGCAAAACTGAATGGTAGTAGCATTCGAAATTTCCGGCCTTATTTGTGCAATTGAGTTGCAATTGGTGGTGCTTTTCAAGAGTAGCACTTTCACTAGATAAAGTGCTGTACTAGCTCACTGGACTTTTTTCGATTTATATTAAAGAAGTTAAATTATCTTCTTTATTCATACTCTCCGTTGTCTGCTTACTTTACATGATAAAATTACCGATCCTTGGCTAGTTGCATCTCCCTTTCGGCTACACATAAATGGCTGCGAAAAACCATCAACTACATCTACTACATGTCTACTACCACTCAAAATTTACACAAAAAAGGGTATTCTGGAATCAGAAATCACCAGGTACCGCTTAATTGAGCACACTACGTGTTTGTTTAATCCATTTAAACCTGTGAAGTGTCTGGGGTTACTTTCACCAACTCACCATACATTAACTAGCGAGAAGACAATAGATCAACCACACTCCCAAAAAATACCCCAAATACCCACTTCCATTCCATACCCTCCAAAACCATCCCACATATTCTTTCCCTAAAATCTACACCCACTATCACCACATCACCACATTCCTGATGGCATCGCCACTGCACTGGTACCTGAAACTACCGCCCTGCTACCTAACCGCATAAGCATACCCTCTTACAGGGAAGGGGCACCAAACCGGCCTCCAAAATCACCAAACATCCCCAAATTTCACCCCAACACACCTCCCGTTGTCCTCCTCTCTCTCCTCCCTTTCATATGTCCACTTCTCTCCACCTCGACTCACGCCCTGACCCTTCTTGTCTACCTCATCTGATCTGCTTCACTTGCGTCTTGACACACAACCGGCATAAGTGACAGGCAATTTTTCACTTTTTTCCACCCAACCAATAAACCAACACCAACTCACCAACCAACTCACCATCTTTCCACCATTTCCCCGTCTCTCTCTTCCCTCCATCCCAGCCTCTGCCTCTTATCCAGCCGACACTGGCCGCATCAGTGCACCAACGGCAACCCCAGCCTCCGTATCTGCCGAACCTCTTCTCTTTGCTACCACTCCAATGTCCACCGTCGAAGCCGAAAAGACCGTACCGGAGAACGAAGAAGGTAGCGTTAGATACGCTGCCTATGCCAACAGACTCAGAACCATCCTTCGTGCCTCCCACAGGTATGTCGCTTACACTTCGGATATCGGTGAATCCTTCAGACCAGTGGCCCATCCGTACTTGGTGACATTGGGGTACGGTGTGTCGTGGGCGTACTTGTTGTGTGACGTGAGTTATGCTTCGTGGAAGGTCAAGATGAAGACGGAGGGCCGTTACCAGCCGGGCCTTTTGCCATGGCATACTGTTGAAGCAGAAGGCGATAAGGCTGAGGCTGACAAGTACAAGCGTGAGGTGGGCAATTCCTTGTCTGAGACCGACTGGAGGGTCCAGTTTGCCAAGAGAGGTATTTTCCAGGGTTTGGCTTCCATGGGGTTGCCTGCGTTGACCATTCACTCTGCTGTTCGTTATTCGTCTGTTCTCTTTAAGAACGTCAAGACCAAGGCCCTCAAAACATACGGTCCCGTGTCCATTGGTTTAGGTATTGTTCCTCTTTTGCCATACATCTTTGATGAGCCTGTGGAACACGCCGTGGACTATGTCTTCGACAAGGGTGAGCACTTGTACAGACAAAAGTTGGAGTAGCTCTCGATTCATAGATCATTATACATACACAAACATTAGATATACAATATTTTTTTTTTTGTTCTTTCCTGTCCTTCCCCTCTGCTTTTCCTATACCTGTGGCTTCGAGTAGTTATACTCACCACACTTCTGACATGTCCTGGCATCGTCGTCTCCATCAAAAGACATGATGGCGTCCTTAACCTGTGTGCCCAAATCCGAGCAATAAAAGACGATTTCATGGCAGATTTCCTTGCAGTTCCGGCAGTACCACCGAATCTTATCCTTGACATCTTCAGGTCTATCTTGCTCCACCACCAAGCCTATCGTATTAGCAAACCTCACTGGATTATGAGGCACATTCCCAGGCAACAAAAACGAGTCGCCTTCCTCGATCACAATATCTCTAAACTGCCCCTCGTCCACCACTTTCAAGCACATCTTGCCCTTAAGCTGGTGGAAGTACTCTGGCGTCTGGTTCACATGATAGTCTGTTCTCTCGTTGGGTCCACCCACGATCATCACGGTGGCACCGCCTCGGTGGAGGCAGTAGTTGTTGACAGGAGGTTTCAACAAGTGGCCATTTTCGGTGATCCACTGTTTTATGTTGATTGGCGGTGTAAGCATAGTTGGTGGTGAGGTTCGTATAAGGTTTGGTGATGGTTGAATCGCAGGTGACTCAGACTGCACCGAGGGAACATATCTTACGAGAAGTAGTACAGGAAGAGGAAAGGTTCGGGGCCATGGGTTGCTCCGTTCGGACGTTTGGAGCGGCAGGGTCCAATAGAAGACGGAGATATATGGGGGTTGCTGGTGGGAAAAAAAGAAGCTTCCCCACCAGGAGTCGAACCTGGAATCTTCTGGTTCCAACAGAAGTGGTTACTTATCGTAGCCAGACGCCTTGACCATTGGGCCATGAGGAACGAAGCTTGACAGAACTAAAAACGGCTGCCAGTAGAGGCATAGATTGGTGAAATGTGAAAAAGTGGTATATTTGAAAATTTGATGTTGTAGATATAATATTGGGTCAAAAGGCTTGTATCCCAGAATTACGCTAGCGCTCCGGAATCGTGAGAAAATGAGGTTTTAGTTTTTAGAGTACCCAAAGAGAGGGTCATTTGGATCTATTATCGCTTCTTGTGGTCTCCAGGTGTAACTTGGAATTTATAAGGAGCCAAAACGTTTGTTTTTGACTAAGCTTGGTTCCAGAAAATATCGCTAGAGCCTTCAGTAAACTGTAAGCTACGCTTTTCAAGCTTGGAAGACTCTCGTTCTCTACATAAAACGGTCGTATACTGTCAAATAAGGCTTAAAAAAACTAATTTTTTTAAGGGGACAACACATTACCGTTAATTCCTACTTGGAAGGGTCAGGCAATCTGTACAACCAGCCTTAAATGGTCTGAAACTCTCCAGAAAGACCACAAATAGTTCTGCTTCTTCGTATTCCTTTCTATTCCAAAGCCCTGAAGCAATGTAGTGCCTCCCATCCTCGGTCTTTGTTTGAGGCAGTCTTCTAATGACAAGAAACTTATGCATCCACACAGTGTGCCTCCACTAAGCACCACACAATGCCTCTACCAGATTAACCCATTCCATTCCACCCAACAAATTTCTTTACCTTAGCAAACACAAGTCATTAAATCCCTTCCCATTCTCCCCATCTTTTCATCTTCACCCACCTTCACTATATTCAGCCTTCATCCACCCTCCCCAGCCTTCCACTAATGGCTGCGAAATGGACCACCAGCCCACACTTACCTACAATCCCCCTCCCTCCCTTCCAAACCAGTCAAATAAAAAAAAATCTTCCCATTGACGTAAATTAAGTAAACACACTTCATCTTTTTCTTTCAAACTCTCCCTCCGATTTTCACTCTCTTTTTCAACTCATCCACTCTTTCCTCTCACTACCTCCACCCCAGCTGGTGCGCCTCCCGCACTCATATCAACTCACTCCATACTCTTTCCATACTCCCACTTACCTCCACCCACTAAAGCCCCCAGCCATGAAAGTCGTCGTTGTAGTGCGTTTTACCGATGCTGACGGTGGCACCGAGCCGTTCCAGGACTTGGAGCTTCCGCTTACCATCAATTTCGATAAAGACGATGTCAATACGCTTGTTAGCAGTATGTGGCTCAAACAGCAGATTCGTGCCAACCGTAAAGGCACCGACAAACGCCGTATAAGGCTTATCTATAATGGACGGGTGTTGAATGAGCTTACAAACTTCCGTGACGATATCTTCACGCCCAAGTTGCGCCAGATGGAGCTTCTGGAGATGGACGAGCCGTTGAAGATCTATATCCATTGCCTTGTGGGAGAAACACTTACGAGTAACCAGCTTGCTGAGGAGCGGGAGCTTGACAGGAGACCCCAGCAGGTGTCTACGGCTCCGCAGGTTGTCGGTTTTGACCGTTTGCTCCAGCAAGGATTCAGTCAGGAAGACGTGAATGACCTTAGACGGCAGTTTCGGGACGTCTACTTGCCTGAGGCTCTCCAGCACATGAACGCAGGCGATGTCACAGATGTGGAAGAAGAAGAGGCCCGCCAGCAGCTTATACGACAGATCGAGGAGCGTTGGATCGAGTCTACCATCAATGGAAACAACACAGGTAGTATCACTACCAGCGCAGGCGCTGAAGACGATACTGGCGTGATTGCTCCCACAGTACGTGCTCTGGCTGAGCTTGAAGAGTCTAACCATAATGAGGATCTCGTTGTGGGAATGCTTATTGGAGCCTTTTTGGGCGTGGTGGCCGTGATCTTTGTTTTGCTCGACGACTCGTTTGTCAATAAGGACCGCCGGTGGGCCATTTACGCTGGCGTCATGGCTAACTTGATGTACGCCATTCTTCGAGGCCAGTGGTTATAGAGAAAACTACGTATTTCTTCGTCGGAATGTTTGATCTACCAGCCCTCACGAACTCCATGGCAATGATACATAAAGGCACCATCCCGGCAGCGAGACTCATGAAAGGGCGTTAAGATGATCGTTGGTCCATCACTGGATATTATTCTGGCCAGAACTTGACACTTGCCAACTCGTAGGGATATCGGAAACAGACAAGCAACACGGTATAAGTTCTGGTCGCCGCACGAAGAAGAAAAGAAAAAGGGTATGAAAAGTTTGAGATGGCCTGCTGCTTAAATAGGTGGCCTGCGTTACCCGGTGTGTGTTTGTGTGCAGGCCAGCTTAGGTCTTAGTGTCTCGAGACCTCATCGATTCGACAAAACCGGGTAGTATTGGTTATTAGAATGTACCTGGAGAAGTAACGGATGTGTTGGTTTGCTTATAGTTCTTTTTGTCGGTACTTTACGCTTCTTTGTGTTTTTTTGTGTCTTCTAGTTGTTTCTGTATTATGTGCTGAATATGCGAATGGGTGCAAATATATGAATTAGATAGTCAACTTTACCCAGCAAAATCAAATTAATTGAAAATTAATTTTACTTCAAATTAATGATAAACATTGTGTCTCTTCTGGTGTTTCCAGTTGCTTAGAATTGAAGTTTAGCTCAGCCCAGGCTTTAAACTACGAGATATCACCATTCCAATGTACATATTCTAGAGACATGCGTCAAGTTACCCCAATTGTGACACAACCATGGCTTTACCGAAGTCTTCGAGACCGTTCTGGGGCTCAAGATTTTCAAAACTCACCCCAATGACCTTGTTCCATATTGAAACCTTTAGCTTTTAAGGGGAGCTCTTGGGGCGTAAATGGCGTCCCTGTGTCACTTGTAATCATTCGACACGAACCTTAACTTCCTCTGGGTCAGTGGGTATATAAAAAATTACAATTTCAATATTATTTCAAACGACAATGGTGTAGCACCTGGAGTGACTTCTCTTCCAGGTTTTCAACGTGAACTAGATAAGAAAGAGAAGACTTATTTGACCCGAAGCCTATGAACCAATGGAACTCCCGCCATACTAACACTCCAAAAACGTCCATTCCCATAAATCTACAACAAAACCCCTAAAGCAACAAAACCTCGTAGTAGTCTTCCCAACCAATGATCCATCTCATTAACCTACCCATACTGGTTGTCGCGACTGAGTACCCAGTAGCTCCGAAGAGGTCTATAAACCATACCCCAAAAGCCCAAACCTCCATCCCAAACACCGCCAAAACCGAAACCACCCAAACCAGGCCAAATGGTCCCACCCAAACTAAACCAGAATTTTCCACCCCTCCTCCCGAGATTTCCCGGTCTCCACCAATTTTTCAATCCACCTTCGGGCTTTCTCGCTTGGACACTGACAGGCGCGAAAAACTCACACCATACTGCGGGTTTTAGTCTCCACACTGCGCGGCGAAACAGCGATAAGACAAGCAAAGGGAAGGTGGACTGGACAAGATTGGTGGCCATTGAAGCGGTGGGAATTGGTAGTGATAATTGACGTGGTGGCACCTCATCACGTGATGCCTTTCCATCCCCCACTAATTGTCTTTTTCCCCCAAATCTCCAATTCCACTTCCCACTTCCCACTTTTTAACTAAAATAGTAAAAATGCGCAGCGGTAGCGGTAACAGCGAGTTTGCCAGTATGGACTGAAAAATTCGGGGTCCCCAGACCCAGCAACCTCCAGGCACCGCCAACACCAATTGCAAAGTTTTAAAGAATAGAAAGGCAGGTCTTCCCCGCCTTTGGGTATAAATAGCCGTGGATTCCCAACAAATAATTGCCTTTTTTTTCTTCAAACCTTTCCTTTCTCTTCCCTTTGCTTAGTTCATTTGGCTGGGCTTAACAGTCTCCCCCCCTCACTTGCATATTTGTGGAACTTTTTTTTTTTTTTTGTCTGTCTCGTGGGAATTCGGTCCCGCTTTCCTGTCTCTGTAAAATCTCAATTTTCGCTTGATTCCAGTCCATCCAAAACTCACATTTTCCAACCTTCCCTACCCTTTTTCTTCCTCACAAATGTCTGAAAATCCATTGCCTTTTATCTACCAGTTCGCCTCGGGCGCCATTGCCGGTGTCTCCGAGATTTTGGTTATGTACCCTTTGGATGTGGTGAAAACTAGACAGCAGTTGGCCACTACTTCTGATTACAACGGTACCATTAGATGCTTGCGTAAGATTGTTGCTGAAGAAGGTTTCTCCAGATTGTACAAGGGTATCACCGCTCCGATCTTGATGGAGGCGCCCAAGAGAGCTACCAAGTTTGCTGCCAATGACGAGTGGGGTAAGTTCTACAGAAAGGCGTTTGACGTGAAGGAGATGAACCAGTCGTTGGCGGTGTTGACTGGTGCTACTGCCGGTGCTACCGAGTCGTTTGTCGTGGTGCCCTTTGAGTTGATCAAGATCAAGTTGCAAGACAAGACGTCCAAGTTCAATGGCATGGGCGACGTGTTCAAGCATGTGGTGAAGGAAAATGGACTTTTCGGAATGTACAAGGGTTTGGAGTCCACCATGTGGAGACACGTTGCGTGGAACGCCGGTTACTTTGGCTTGATCCACCAGGTTAGAACCATGATGCCAAAGCCAAAGACTTCCAGCGAGAAGACAATGATAGATTTGACCTGTGGTACCATCGGTGGTACTTTCGGTACCATTATGAACACTCCTTTCGATGTGGTGAAGTCCAGAATCCAGGCTGGTTCCTCCAAATACATCTGGACCATCCCATCGGTGCTTACTGTGGCCAAGGAAGAAGGTGTGGCTGCCTTGTACAAGGGTTTCATTCCAAAGGTTTTGAGATTGGGCCCTGGTGGTGGTATCCTTTTGGTGGTGTTCACTACGTGCATGGATTTCTTCAGAACAATCCACGAGAAGAAGTAATACCTTACAGACTGCCTCTACACACCATCGTCATACCAATTTCGCCTCGTGACGCCGGAACGAACAGGCATCTCGGCCGTCTAGAATATACCTGTAATAACAATTTCCTTGTATTTACTTTTTGCCTCTCCGACTAACCCATGTAAAATCATACAACACTGCAAACATGTCGAGGATTTCCACCTGCTTGTCGAAGTCAATGTAGTCTTGGTACCTGTCCAAGTACTTGAATGTATCGGCGTAATTGAAAGCTCCTAATGAAACCGTCGTCAACGGCGGTTTCTCCTTCTTGTGGTCTTCAGGGTTCGTTCCCAACTCCAGCATGATCTTGCTGAGCTTAGCGTTAACTTCGTATAAATCACGCTCTCTAGTTTCCAGAAGATCAAATTCTTCGGTGAGCCTGGTCAAGTAAAGCTCTGTCCGCTTTGTATTCTCCTTTTTGGGGAGAAAACGACCGTAGATGTTGACTAACGGTTGCAAGTGCTGAAGCATGGTGAGAAGTAAATCATACTTGACCAGCTTAACAGAATGTGAGCCCATGATCCAGGAATCTTCAGAGATCTCAAAGATTCCATCATAGCTGGGTCCAAGAATCAAATCAAAGATCAGGTAGACCTCTTCAACCACATACTTCAAATCTTCTTCGTTGAAGTTCTTAGCCACAAACTTCACAAAATGGATCAAGGTACGGTAAAGCTCTACCCATCTGTAGGCGCCAATGTTATCAACAGGAGTCTCTTCGAATTCAAGAAGGATGTGATACAAAATAGTCAATGCTATTTTGCAATTATCCAAGTCTAATTTTTTGTTTAAATTGAATCTCAACACGATTTGAATGACATCAACAATGTACAAAAGAATATTCTTCTCTCCCTTGCCGCCTAGATCATTAGGCACAACAGGCGATCTGTGATGACAAAGCTTCCATTTGAACTCGTTAATTGTCATGGTTTTGAGCTGCTCCATCGGTCCGGACTTTTTCAGGACAAGCTTAAGGAGTGTTAGGAGCACTAACCTCGCACTAAAGGTGTTTATCTTCAGCCTCACCTGGTGATGAAGAACATACGATGAAACACAAAGCCAGAGTCTCAAGATAGACACTGACTCGAGTTTCTCTTCATTTTGAGTGGTCAACACTTTTATGAAGGTAGGGTTCTGCAGCAATGAATATATGAGTAGAGTGACGTTCAAGAATCCTGGAGCTCTCAAGGCCCTTTCATCTTCTGCTTGGATCACTCCCACTGCGTTAAGTCTAGAAGTGCATTCGAAACGAAGTATCTCTTCAAGCAAAGGATCATGTTTCAACTTCTTCACCGAACTTAAGTTCTTGCAGTTCTTTTCCAAGCTCGTCACTTGTTCAGCCGTGTCAATAGACATGTAACCACTTCCACTGAGTTTGTGGCCCGTAATCCACGAAAAGAAGGACGAATGGTTTAATGTGTGTGATTGCATGTCATCCATGAGACCGTAGAAGTAATTGAAGTTGGCAGCCAACACCGGCACTATACGAGACGAGTAATGGCTGAGCACTTCAGGATCCTCAAAGTTTTTGTAGGAAAAGTAGTTGGTGTAGATATTAGGTGAGGTCGTTCTAATGGTGGTGATATCCAACGACAAAGAGACCTTATCTAGAAGGAGGATGTTCACCGGGCTGCTTGCCAAGGAGCCCTGGATCACATAAAGCTGCATCAAGGTCTCGTAGGATAGACGAATGTCGTTTTTGGAAGCACCAGCCTGCTCGATCTGTTCTGTGCTCTTCCACGTCTGAGCATTGATATTATCGAGTGTTTGGGAGAAATCCACTTTAAAGAAAGAATGAAGGACGCTCTTAACAATTAAAAAGCGCATGGAGCCAGGTTTATCTCTCTCCAACGCAATTGCCTTGTACAAGCCTCTAAGGATTTCGTGAATAAGCAAGATAAGCTCTTTAAACGACCCTAGGTACCCGATATGGGACTTTGGAAGGTTCAACACCGCATCCATGAACCATTTAACCCTAAGCAACAACTCAGCCAAGTGCTTTTCTGTAAGTCTGCCCTTGGAGCCAGGAACATCAAAAACGATCCCCACAGCGTCCAAATTATTCTTCTTCGATGCCTCCCAGAGGTTCCCGAACCAAAGCCGAAGCACCGACGCAATTCTTGTCACAAGCAAGTTCCGAGCAGCCACATCAAGCTCGCCCAACGGAGGCAGCTCCACGGTATCTTCAGAGATACTCACCACAGACTCACGTCTTTCCTTGGGACCATCTGAGCCCAGGCCCAAGGCCAGGCCCAAGCCTGAGTCCACTCCGTCACTTGTTCCTTCAGTTTCCCTTGCCAACGATTTCCGTGGCGCCGGCAATGCCGAAATATCATGAGCACTCCCGTTCTCGTCTCTTGCCAAAGACTGAGCAGTGATATCCTCCTCGTCCTCAGACGACTCCCTCGCCAGATCGTTCTCCACAATCTTCGGCGGCTGCAACCGTTCGGCCTCCTCAGGCTGGTAGTCCACGGCCTCGCCCAAAAGGTGTACTCCATATCGAAAGATCCTATCTATACCAGCCACTGGAGCCGGACTCGGTCTCCACAACGGCTCAGACGCCTTGGCCAAATTGGCCAGAAACTGCGCCGGGTCAATTGCCTCGGTGAAAAGGGCGTGGATCTCCTGTGTCACGTCCTTGCCGAGGAGCTTTGCGTAGTCCATGGAAAAGAAGATGTGGTTTGATCAGGCTAGATAAGTTGATGTGTCGCGAAGGGTAAAGGTGGGGAGGCCCCAAGACCCTGGCAGTGAAAAGTTGTTGGAAGTGAAGGGAGGGAAAGGGAAGGAAATGCCGATAATACAATTTACTTGGTTTTGTCTATTTCTGGTGGGTTTTGTTTATTTGTTGTTTCTGGCCAGCTGGGATCAGATCGGTACTGGTGGGGCCGAGTAAGAGGTAGTAGCGGCAGGGTACTTTGAGACTTCCGCACAGAGTGGACTGGACAATTGGGGAAGTCCAAGTCACTTTTAGTGGTTTTGGTGGTTTTAGGGATTTCAATGGTCTCATTGATGGTCGGTTGATCTTTTTCTTTGTTACTTATTTACATGCCTTTCTTTTCTGTTTTGGTTCGTCGACCTGCAATGGATGGATTATGAGGACTGGAGACTATGGGGAGGGTGCACAAGGTGGAGGCTTGGAGGGTTAAGCGAAGGAAGGATGGAATTGATTGTGGGCAGCAGTTGGCGATGGGAATGAGTGGATGGGGCGGTGGAATGGTGGGAAAAGTGGTGAAAGTGGGAATTGATGGGTTTTTGTTGGTTGGTTGGTTGGCTGGTTGGGGATGTGGTGAGTTGTAGGATAGGTAAGAAGGGTATGCTAAGGGTAGTGAAAATTGGCATTTTGGGTTATTTAAGAAGTTTTTGTGGTACTTTCGCTTATTATGGTCATTAGACGGTTCAATGTGTAATGTCTATTGGAGGTCTGTTAGGGAGCTGTCTTTGTTTGGTGTGTTGCTGGAAGGTTGTATGTCTACATGGTACGTCCACTAGCAACCAACACACCTACAAGTGATGATCCGTAGTAGCTTCAATTGGACTTAAAATACCTCTTAAAGTGTTACTCCAGCTTCAGATGCCATTTCTAATCCCATTGACTTGACTTGTTGCCTGTTCATCTGCCTTAACTACATCATTTAGACCTCTACATGCTTAGCCCACCATCTAAGCGTTCTGCCCCAAGGCAGACAAATAGGCATACCAGACACTTCATCATTACAATAACCGTGAAAGGATTCATAGCACAATAGAACAGAAGACCCAGGCCGACCCATATCTGCCTGGATACATACTACTATCTGGCCCTCCTTCAGTCCATGTACTACACTACTCATTGGCATACTTCCCTTTGCCAAAGAAACAACCAACCCTCGACAAGCAATTGTCAGCTAATAAAAGTCAACATTAAAGGACATAAATCTCTTCTCCAATCCAAATCCTCCCTTTCCACCACCAACCAACACCTCCACTGGGGCCAAATTTGCACCCATTACTGCACATACAACCATCCACCAGGACCCTCCAGAACCCCCAAAACTCCCCCAACCCCAAAAAAAAAACCCAATTTCCATTCACCCAAAAGAACCCTCCCCACCCATTGAACCTCCATATATTACCATTTTAATATAATCACCAAGTCCACCAGCCACTTACACCTTTTGTGACTCCATGGTGCGGTGCCCTGCAGCTTTATTACATGCACGGTTTCAGCCTGGCCATTGAAGACCCAATGGGGAAAGCTAATTGGAAGGAGCAGTATAAAAAAGGGACCAGAAAACTATAAAAGGAGCCGATTCCCACTTTTCACAAAGGGTACTTTTATTTTTGGTTTTGTCCATTTTCCATTCCCATACCGCCCTACACTGCCTGGCCACGCTCCCCTAGGTCTTATAACCATCGCGTATCTATCCACACAACAGCCAATAACACAGCCTACACTTTGTTTTTCCACCCTTTTTGCTGCCAATGTCGTATAAACGGTTGGACCAGGCGCCAGAGGAGATTCCGTTAGAGGACATCAAGGCAACTGGTGAAGATGACGAGGTCCTGGAGTTCTCTGACTCGTCTGAGATGTTTGATGAGATCGACCAGTATAATGTTAAACATCGGGTTTCTGAAGAAGGCGACGATTTCACCGAGAATCCTGGGTTTCAAAAGGAAAAAGATCGTTTCTTTGGCTCGGGTAGGGGCCTGAAGAAAGTGCTTGTGGCGAGTTGCGTGGCTGCCGTGGCTATATGGCTAATAGCTCTAATAGTGTACTCCAACGGTAAGGCCCCAAGGGTGGCTGCCAACATGTGGCACGGCGCCAATACGAATATTTTGGCATTAAGCGATAGAAATATTTCGATGAACGAGTACCTGCCGCAATTGGCCAGTGTCTCGTTGGCTGAGTACCGCAAGGGTAAGTACTTTGCTGATGAGAAGGTGGTTCGGTGGCTTCTGAAGACCCAGCAGCCACGTCTGGGCGATAAGAATAGCAATACGGCTGCTGGGTATTATCTCACGCGAGTACGTAAGTCGTTTGTTGTTCGCCAGGCAGAAACTGACTATTCCAAGACCATTCTAGATTCCGTGCAGATCGAGGCCTTCAACAACTTCTTCTACGTTCAAGACCTTCTTCTTAATCCAGGCGCTTCGGTGGATGATAAAGATACATGGCACTTGCTCCGATCAGACTCGACGCCTCAATGGAGACACCTGCTGTTTGCGTTGTACTGGCTCTGGCACCCATTGAGTGGGACCCATAAGCCTGTGATTCCTTTGAAAACAGATGGCTCTGAGAGGCATCTTGAAAAGATCCATTTTGCTACGTTCAACCCTTCGGGTGATTCTGTCATCTATGGCTACAACCACGACTTGTACCTTATAGACCTTAAGTCCATGGAAACGAAGAGAATCACTACGACAGGCTCTCCTGATGTGTTCAACGGGAAGCCTGATTGGGTGTATGAGGAAGAAGTGTACCCACACGCTACGATGTTCTGGTGGTCGCCAGATCTGAAAAAGCTTGTTTACGCAACCATCAACGATACAGATGTCAGAGGGTATGACATGGACTACTATGTCAAACCTTCTAATAAAATTGGAATGACATATCAAAGCCCACCAGACGAGAAGGTTGATGACGTTAACCAGTATCCTATCAGAACCAATATCAAGTATCCCAAACCAGGCACGCCAAATCCAATTATATCATTATCGCTTTATGATGTCAATTCAGGTGAAACCTCCTCAATTGGTCCTCTTTCTGATGAAGCTGTGGGCAAAGATTTCATCATCTACGATGCTCATTGGATTAATTCTAATGATTTATTGGTTAAAGTCACGGACCGTACCAGCACGATCCTCAGAAAGAAGGTTTATACCGTTGGAGATAAACATGTCACGACTGTTTCTACCACAAACAGTACCGATTACAATGGCTGGATTGAGAAGGCACAGCCGATTACCGTTCTTGAAAATGAAAAGGGAAACAAGTATATTGACCGGGTGGTGAACGACCTGTATGTCCACTTGGCTCTTTTTGACCTGGCTTTGGCTAGAGAACCTTCTAAGATTTTGGGCAAGGTTCGCTCGAAATCTCCTGTGACATACAATGCCGTCGATGAAGAGCTCTACTTTCTTACTGAGCACAAGATGGATGTACAGGTGAATTGCTACTCTTTGAAAGACGGTAGCACGAAGCTACTCCCCGCTGATATTGGAAAGTTTGATATTCTGTTCAACCAAGATGGTCAATTTGCCAACTTACGGTACCGTGGGCCCCGCGAGCCTTGGCAGAAGCTAATGAATCTTGCCGAGTGGTCAGAAAACCCTACAGTTATCAATGGTATCCAACCTATCAATGACGGCCAAGCTTTATCCAAGAGTCTCTCTCTTGTAAACGTGCCGACTAGGGTGCATAGCCAAGTGAAAGTTGGCCACAAATCGGAAGAGGTGGAGCTCAACATGATTGAAATCTTCCCTCCTCATTTTGATCCTAAGAAGAAGCATCCTTTGCTTGTGCACGTCTATGGTGGCCCTGGATCAACGACTGTCGAGAAAGACTTCTCTGTGGATTTCCAAGATATTGTGAGTGCTAAATTGGGTGCAGTGGTGTTGATAATTGACCCTCGTGGAACAGGAAGCGACGACTGGAAGCTAAAATCATGGGCACATGAGAAAATAGGGTACTGGGAACCCGAGGATATCATAGCTGTCACAAAAGACTACATCTCGAAGAACAGCTACATCAACGATAAGCGCACGGCGGTTTGGGGCTGGTCATATGGAGGATTTACTACACTCAAAACTTTAGAAAAGGACAAGGGAGAAGTGTTCAAATATGGTATGGCGGTGGCGCCTGTGACGAACTGGCTCTTCTATGACTCGATCTACACTGAACGGTACATGAAAGATCCAAAGAAGAACGAGAACTACAAGGTGACTTCAAAAATCAATGATTTCGAGAACTTCAAGAGTGTTTCCCGTTTCTTGGTGATGTCAGGAACCGCAGACGACAATGTTCATTTCCAAAACATCCTCTGGCTCATGGATAACTTAAATATGCATGGAGTCGAAAACTACGATATGCAAATCTTCCCCGATAGTGACCATTCCATCTTTTACCACAACGCAAATGTCATTATCTACGACAAGCTCATGAACTGGCTAGACATGGCTTACAGAGGTCTCTGGGATTAAGCTTGAAGGCACACTTCAAAGCACGACTAACGAAAACGGCAGGAAAACAAATTCAATTCTATTCGAGTACATGTACTATATAATTTGGAACTTAAAAGTGATATCTTAGGCTTTCCCTCAAACACCTGATTTCTCTTTGACCATTTACTAGGCGCACCCATAAGTAGTTAAAAAGAGGTCCACCAAAAACACCCAAAATGCCCAAAAATTGAGAAAAAAAAACCCCTAGATATCCCCACCCTCGCCTTCTCCGTAACTTCCAGAAATCATTTCTTTTACCCACTAAACAAGCATCCCTCTACGCCCTCCCTCTTCCCTGAACCCACCTTTTCGCAGCCAGTGAAGGTGTATTTCCTGCATATACGCACCTCATCGCAGACCACCATACTTCTCTAGTTTCGAAAATTATCCAGCTCCAGCTTAAACCTAGAAATCCAGCCATGGCCAAAACTTCCAAAGCCACGAAAAGGTTTCAAAGCAAACACTTGAAGCACACAATCGACCACCGTCGGAAAGTGCAAAAACACAATAAACTAAAAGGCCTGAGTAAGAAATCCACTGCTCCAGATGGCGATGAGGTAAAGCCAGAGAAGAAGTCCACCAAGCCTGTTTTCGATGATATGTCCATGGAAGACTTTTTTGAGCTGGATATGAAGCTTCCTACGCCTAAGAAGGGTACTAAGGTTAGTGCTGGTTCTGAGGACAAGGATGAAGACGAGGATGAGGAACAGTCTGAGGATATCGAATTGGATGATTCTGAAGAGGAGGCTGGTGCTGGTGCTGCTTCTGACGAGGAAGGAGAATCTTCTGAAGAGGAGGACGAGGAACAGCTTAAAGAGGAGATGGATAAGCTTGCCGAGAAGGATCCAGAGTTTTACAGTTACTTGCAGAAGAACGATAAGGCGCTTTTGGACTTTGAGGGTGTTAACCCAATGGACGCTATGAGCGATGATGAAGATGACGAGGAGGAAGAGGGAGAAGAGGATGAAGAGCCAGAGAAGAAGCAAAAGACCCAGAAGAAGAAAACTGATATCACCAAAGAGCTTCTTATTTCTTGGGACAAGAAGTTGAAGACTCCTACTACGAAGGTTGTCCAGAACGTTGTGGCTGCTTTCAAGGCTGGTGTCAATATCAATATTTCTGAGGAGGATAATGGCCGTTACACTGTTAGCGATCCATCTGTTTTCGCCGATTTGATGTTCATTGGCTTGAGAAGTGTGCCTGACGCTATCCAGAAGTTGGCTCCATACAAGGTCAACTCTAAGGGTATCAGAAGCTTGGACGAAAAGAACGAAAACACCAACCAAATTGCTAGAATCTTGAAGAGTCAGGCTGGCGCCTACATTACGCTTTTGGAGGATATCAGCAACACCGAAACTGCCGCTTTGGTCTTGAGTTCTCTCCAGGATGTCTTGCCATTCTACTTGTCTCACAGAAAGATCCTTAAGCAGATTTACACTGCTGTTGTGGACGTCTGGGCCACCACTCAGAACCTTGAAACCCAGATCGCTGCATACGCTTTCATGAACAACTCTGCCAGAGAGTTCCCCAAGGCCGTTTTGGAGATTATCTTAAAACAAACCTACTCCTCGTTCTTGAAGGCATGCAGAAAGACCAACATCCACACCATGGACTTGATCAACTTTGCCAAGAACTCTGCATCTGAGTTGTTCGGTATCAACGAGCAATTGTCGTACCAGGTTGGCTTCGAATACGTCCGTCAGTTGGCCATCCACTTGCGTACCACCATCACCAACACCAGTAAGCGCCTGGCCACCTCTGAAAACAAGGAGGCCTACAAAATCATCTACAACTGGCAATACTGCCATTCCTTGGATTTCTGGTCCAGAGTGTTGTCCCAGCAATGCAACCCTGAGATCGAAGAAACCAAGCACAAGAACAAGGAGTCCCCATTGAGATCCTTGATCTACCCATTGGTTCAGGTCACCTTGGGTACCATCAGATTGATCCCTACTCCCCAGTTCTACCCATTGAGATTCTACTTGATCCGTTCCTTGATTAGACTTTCTCAGAACACTGGTGTTTACATTCCTATTTACCCACTCATCCAGGAGATCTTGACCTCTAGTCTTTTCAAGAAGCCAGCCAAGAGCGTCAGCTTGCCTGCGTTTGACTTTGAGCACAACATTAAAGCTGGCCAGCAATACTTGGGTACGAGGGTTTACCAGGAAGGTGTTTGTGAACAGTTCATTGACTTGACAAGTGAATTCTTTGTGTTGTACTGTAAGAGCGCTGCTTTCCCTGAGCTTATCACTCCTCCAGTGATTGCCCTTAGGCGTTTCTTGAAGAAGTCGAGACTTATAAAGTTCAACAAACAGGTTCAGCAGCTTGTGGAAAAGTTGACCTCAAACGCTCATCTTATAACCTCCAAGAGATCCAAGATCCAGTATGGTCCTTCCAACAAGGCTGAAGTTCGTACTTTCATGAAGGACACTAAATGGGAAACCACTCCTTTGGGTCAGTATGTCACTGTCCACAGAAGAAGCAGAGAGGAGAAGTTGAGACTCTTGAAGGAAGCTGTGCTTGAAGAAGAGGAGGCCAAGAAGAAGTCCAAGTCTAAGGATGTCGAGATGGAAGATGCTTTGAACACGTCTGAAAGTGAAGGAGAGGACGACGAAGACGCTGAAGGTTCTGATGACGAGTAAACTGCTGAATATCAACAGTTGATTTTGCATACTAAATATACATGTACACTAGACCAGCGTTTTTTTTTTTATCATGGGTCAATTGGAATGAAGTTTCCCACAATGCAACTGGGGATATTGTACCGGTCCCTTCTGATTGTAAAACTAAAACAACAACTTTTTCTTTTGAAACCATCTTTTGTTCTCAAGTTGCAACTCGTGAGCACAGCTTTCTGTCCTTTATCAAAAGCAATAGCACCGTACTTTTCCCAGAAGTTCACGGCACTTTCTTCGCTCATGAGCTCGTAGATTGCAAGCTTACCATCCTTGAGGTCGTCTGTGGTTACACCAACCAAAGAAGCAAACTCCTTGTTTCCTCTATAGATCTCACCGGTACGTCTCCAAAGACAAGCAGGAATAGCCATGGACGTGAAAACACGATCGTAATCTAGAAGCATACGTTCGAAACTCTCTTCCACAAGCACCAAATCAACATCCTTTAATGTCCGGGCAATAGCACGGAAGGCTGGACGGAAAATGGAAAGCGGTTTTAGAATTCTCTGTCTGCTTGATTGATTCATGTAGTTATCCATGTAGCCTTGTAGACGGGCATAGCCCTTGGCGTAGTTATACGGTTGTAGAAGGCCAGCTTCCAATTTAGCTTTGATGACTTGTTTAAGTCTTTCTTCCGGTGAGATTTCTGTCGTTGGATCTGCTGCTGTCAAGAAGAACTTGTCTCTAGCCGAGTCTGAAATAACAGGCTGTTGGTTATCTGTTGGAGCAGGTTTGCCCCCGCTCTGTGCCTGTTCATAATGCTGGTTGCCTCCATTCGTTGGGGCTTGAGTCTGCTGTTGTTGTTGCTGTTGGAGCTGCTGGGGCTGTTGAGCCTGCTGAGTCTGTTGATGTTGGTGAGTGTGACCTAGCACAGGGCTTTCTGTGTTGGGATTCTGGTCAAACGTAGCTTGTTGTAAGTTATTTGGAGAAAACGAAAGTAGGTTGGTGTTGGAGCCGGTGTTCTGAGGCATCAGGAATGCCATCAAAGAATCAGTATTGTTACCGTTCGTCCCTAGCGAACCATTAACAAGTTCTGGGTCGTCAATCATCGATAGGAAATCATTCAAGGAACTGAATTCACTACCTGCGTGCTCCGAGTAAAAGAAAGGTTCCTCGTTAAATGGCAAGTTTTTCAGGAGCCCAGCTACCCCGCCAATACCACTCTGGCCTCCAAAGCCCGGACCGGTTGCATTACCGCCCCTGGCCTGCTGTTGAGCCAGAACATGGGGCGCTTGGGGCTGAACAAATAGTGAGCCCGGCTCAGCTCGGCTGGCTGACGCCAGGTACCCGGCCATATCCGGCTGAGACTGATCTGGGATGGTCTGGTTGGAGGAGGAAGTGTTGATGTCCGGAGTCGGGTTCGCCGACGTCGGCGGCGTAGGATTCGTGGACAGACCCGGAGCGCCAGCGTTGGGTTTCTTCCGGTTTCTGCCCTGGGTCGGCTCGTCATGGCATAAATGCCCAATACCTCTCTTGATACACCTCAGACACGGTCTGGAGTCATCGCAGATCATGTGAGAACGGCGGCAGTACACACATGCCATCTCGACCTTTTTCTTCTTCTTTTTCGTCTTTTTATCGTTGGTGGATCTCGTGGACGAAGACTTGGCCATGTCGTGGCCCAGCTGGTCTCCATGCTGGCTGCCCAGCGTGTTTTGGTCGTTTAACTCGTCGGACTTTTCTCGATATTCCATTTTCAAATAAGGGGCTAAAGCTTAGACGTGGATGATTCGGGTCTCATAAAGGGATCATCAAAGGGGCCAGGTTCTTTTGGTAAGGTTCTTAAAGATCCTGTGGCATACGTCCACTCAAGGGACAATAACAGGAAAAACCGTGAGCAGGTTTGATGTTGGAATACATGCTCTATATGCAGGCATGATGATATCCTGTTGCCCAGATTCCTATAGTTGCTATGATGATGACCCTCTTACTTGCTTGCCATCCAATGTCTTCACTATATAAGGATGGCATCTCCCATCCTTCTTTCCTTAACTAGTTATCTCAATACACTACGAACCACTCTTTACTATAAACCCAGCTATGTCCGTTACATAGTCTTTCTTACCTACAGTCGTGCACCCTTCATCTAACATTTGATGGGTGTCACGTGACGCTGAGGGTCCAGTAGTTTTGTGGGGATTTTGCGTCTTACCAGAGGGCCCGGCAGAAACCGGGACGGGTGGAACTAAAGGAAAGAGAGGTTGAAGGAATGGGAAGGGAAGGTAAGGAAAGGGAAATAGAGGGAATTTGGGGAACGTGATTGGTCAGTTCAGGTTGTTTTTTGGATTATTTTCTTTTTCTGAGTTTCTTGGAAGGATATATGGCACTGGGTGGCTTCCTCAGTTGGACACTCGCGCTGGGGTATATAAGGTTGACACATCCGACCGTTTTTGCTTCGTTTTCCTTTTTGTACCGTTTTTATTTAAATAGGATTTTCTTTTTTTGGAAACTGCCAGTTTACTGAGTTTTGTGTCTTGAGAAGCAATTGAGTTCAGGTTTTTTATTCGTCATTGTCAATGTTAGGTGGAGGTCTTCTATGGGATAAAGCTGTACATGTAACTGGCAGATGTAACAAGTGTAGTGGTATCTGCTGGGAGATTTTCTTTGGCTTTCTCTTTTACTATTTTTATCAATATTGTATTTCATGAAGACTATGTTTTTCTCTATGCCTTTGATTCAGTGCTTTCTGTCGTCTAAAACAGCTCTAGCTGCAAATGGCACTTTGAGCCAAACCAGATGAATTGAAACATCACATATCAATTACTGGAAACCGGTAAATCAGCAAGTAATTTCCTTCTTTTAAGTTGGTCGTTTCATCGTATTCTCTTGAATTCAGTTTCCATTTCAATCATCCAGTGCTTGCCATTCGTAGTGACTCGAGACTTTTTATTGAATGTTCTTTTTTTTTTTTTCTTTACTATTTGCATTTCCATTAAGTTCTCAATTGAGTCAGATCAAATGCTTTGGTGAATAACATTTCAGAAAACCATGACAGCAGTACAAGTCGTAAAGAGAACTGAATGACTCGTTAAAGCGTCCGAACCAAGGTATAAACTTGCATTTAATTGTCTTGGGAAGCTGGACAACGACTCTCAGCACTATGTGGCTGATCATAGAGCATATGATGTGGAGCTTCCATTATTGGGCCCAACGTTATTTTCAGAGACGATAAACCGGAATATGAGTTGTAGATTGATGTAGTTGGCGATGGTAAGTATTGGAACTCACTGATTGATGTTGCCACACGCGAGTACTCTAGGTCGTAATGTTAGTTATTGATAGTTATTTGAAGAGAAGAGCGTAGAGTAGAAATCAAGACAACTGCTACTATCTGCTTCCATGATTCATCATGTCGTGAAATTCTTTGGTCGTAAATGAAAAGACATAAAGTTCGGCAGTTCATGCTATTCCATGCGTATCGTGGATGCTGCCGAGGATGATGATGCTGCTGTAAACACTGTAGGCGTGCGAGAATGACTCAGTTGCAGTTCTTGTCTGTCCCTTCCATACCCATCGAATATCATAGTATCTTGGGTATTTTGTGTGTCTTCATATCTTGATTCAGCGGACAGGTTTGGCGTAAAGTATGCTGATGGTAAGGAAGATGCTGCTGACCCACGAACGGGAGTCTCTGGCTGCGAAAAGGACGTGACGAACGAGGAGTTTGAAGAAGAGTGCTGATCTGTATGTTCGTTGGAATGCCCTGGGTCCGAGGCAGCTGACTCAAGTTGAAAGCTACGAACAGCTGCTGTGGAAAGTACCTCGGGCAGTTGCCGGGCATAGTCTTGTGTCGCACGCGAACACTGTGCTCCATTGAAGCCAACGTCTCTCTCCAATGCACCTAGATCAAACGCTTGTTGCGTCATCATAGGTTCCAGCATGGAGTTGAGAAGAGGCAGTGTTTCTGTTGGCTTGATTATATCGTTGCACAATGGGCAGGTGCGGCGGAAGTTAATAAGCCAATTGGAAAGACATTTTTCATGGAAGATATGGTGACAATCCAATACAAGTACCCTCAGCTGGAGAGGAGTAAACTTATCCAAGCAAATAGAGCACTTGAAAGTGGGAAAGAAATCGTCGGGAGCGAAAAGGATCCCCAACAGTTTCCGTAATGAGTAAAGGTCCGTACCGTTGATGACGAAACTTTTCATAGAAGCAGGATTATCTGGTTCTGTAATCGATGAAATATCCTCTGAGGACGACGGAACCAGAGGTATGTCACCTGTCTGGTAAGTGGCCGTTAAATAAACGTAAAAATTGTGTGCTGGGATCAAATGGTTTCTGTGATAGATATAGACAGGTAGATTCTTGACAAGCCGCTGGTTTAAGGCACTCACGCGACGCTTACGGCACATTTGTAGCGTTCTGACCAAAAGATAGCATATTAGGATAAGTAGCGGCGGAGATACTGCCATGGAAAGGAGCAAGTTGATCCAATTATCAAAAGCAGCGGTTCTGATCAGGATCTTCAAGTGTTCCAGAGACATAACCCCAAGCTCTTTATAGTCCTCGTTCAGAATAAACAACACCGGAGTAGTAAGTTTCCCGTCCGCGTTGAACGACGCCAGGTACATGGTTATGAGGGCCCTATAGGGCTCATCGTTAGCCACGATGATAGCACGAGGCCGTAGGTCTGATTCAAGAAGATTCCGGATCTTCTTCACAAACGTACACTTTCCACGGAGCACAATCAAGATTTTATCTTCAAATTCCTCCTTATTTTCAGGTTCCCAGGGTCCCTCACACGCCTTTCCAGGCACTATAGCGTACTCCGACGTCAAGGACCGGCTGATGATGGGGCTGAACGATGCATAGCGAGCCAACATCTCGTGGGTCTCATTTGAAAAGTTATACGAAATAATCAGATCAATAGGAAACACCGAATTGACCACATTCGTGAATGGACTGTCCAAGTCAAGATCAAGACCTATAACCTGGCCAGGCTCACCTTCCCCCTTCACCTCCCTCTCCGAGTCACTCGTACAGCCAGCAAAATACCTGCTTCTGCAAATGGCCGAGAAATGGTACTCCTTGATCGAGTTCTTTGCTAGAAACAAAGCATCTCCTAGTTGTAGCTGCGAGGCGGTAATCAACTTCAACACCACCACCACCAATACCACTATGGAAAAACAGGCAGCAAGCCTACTGGCTCGAGGCATGCTGGGTACAAAAGGGTGAAAGCAAAAAACAAAAGGATGCCAGTAAAAAAGAAAGACCAGCTGGCGTGTGTTTTTCAAGAATAGCCTTTAGTGTTTCTTCAACTCTGGTGATGTAGGAGGGGGAATGTGTGGGAGGTGCACGGGTCTGGGGTGATCTCTCTCCTCCATATCCTGGCTTATGGGTATATCAGGGAGGAATGGGGATGATTTGTAGGGTGGGGCGATAAACGAGGCTTATGGCCAGGGTCCATTAATTGCTGTGTTTTGGAATCAGTGGTGGAGTGTTCTGGGATGGTAGGTTCTTCCTGAGACGCGTATCCGTAAGGCTAGTACTGGAGAAGGGCTAAGGTCATGAAAATACACTTTCTGTGTTTTTCAGATTTACCAAATCTTCAACTTTGAATTACAATAATTTCAGTTTATCCCTTAACTGACTACTTTGACAGGCTACTTTCTTACGTGGTGCATTTATCAGGTGGATGATTGGCTGGTGGAATGGCTGCGAAATCGTACCACTAGAGGGTGTAGATGGTGTGGATGCTGCGGGGTTACCAAGTGGACTGTTAGGTTATTCTTGGTAGGTGATGTTGGGAATGGTTGGAAGGTTCTGGGGGTTTGGTGGGTTCTGGTGACAATGGCTGGGGAGTCTCTGGACAATGGCACGCTCAGGCCGGTACTATATTTAGAGGGAGTTCGACAAGAGGGAGTATATGGTAAGGGAAGTTGTGGAGGTGGGTGGAGGTGGGTGGAGGTGGGTTTGGGAGTAGTTTGTGTGTGATCTGATGTTGTTCGGACGGATGTAATGGGAAGGTAGTTTCGGCTAAGTGTGTGACTTGTGGGAGGTGAAGAAGAGGCATACGCCTTCCAGAAATGGCTGATAATAACGCTACTTGAAGTCTCTAAATTGAATTAATACCCTAATTGGGTATATTTGATGGCGTCGGGATTTCGAAGAGCCCAGGAGAGACATTGGTTAGATACTTCTTTGGCCATTTACCTGTTGTGCTACTGGGCTAGTCAGCTGAAGGGCATGTACTTTCCGTGAAAATACGCAAACTTTTCACTTCAAAGCGCAGATTTGTACTCTCACGATTCCGCTTTACTTTCCTCACAGTGACCTCCATTTGAACTTAATCTCCCTTTCTAGACCACTACTAACAGCCCAGTAAGTACACATCTCTGGACAACTCTTCTTCTTCTTCTTCTTCACATTCCACATTCCACTCCCCTCAAACCCACCCTAAACAACCCTTCAAGCACATTTTAGCCATTTTAGACCCGCTTACCGATCAAACGTACGTTCTTATCCTTGACAGCTCCTTTAAACACCAGTTGTGAACTGTAACCATGCCCATTTCCTCAGATCAACGAAGCGCAAATAACCCCGAAATTCGGTCATCCAAATTCAACAACCACTCAATTTTGGTTGTTAAGATTAGTATGGCATTATTTTTCGAATATAACACAAACTTCACTTTCTTCCTGATATATCCCTTTTCGCAGCCATTTGCATCTTTCCATGTACATTTGCAGGTGTCACCGAAAAACGGAAACCCACGCCAAAAAACCATCTTGTACCTAAAAATTCCAGAAAAAACACCAAAACAGAGCTTACGCTTCACTCTACACGAATATGTAAAAATATTGTCTATTTTCTCTCGTTTAGTCTCCCAAAACTGACCCTTCCCTGACCCTGCCAATCACCTGCCATTGCTGTATGCAAGTGAAGCTGGACCTGCGTCCAGTACGCTGTCTCAGCCTCACCATAGCCACGTCCAAGGGTCCACCAAACCCAATGAAGGAGCAAACATTCGGCCCTAAAAACAGCTTCATTCTCTTCTCCATAGTGAATTGACCTGGAGTACCAATTTTCAGAACCAAATTCGACCAACTTCCGCCAAATCCCCGTACATACCCAAAACCGGTCCGCGCACGACCAAGCAACTCATACTACACAATAAATTCCCCTTCAAGAACCAACCCTTAAACACCATGCTGGCTCCAGTACACGCCACAGATGTATGTTTTGATTAAGAATTGTCAATTGGTCAATTACTAACCGTAAGCCCAACGAGGTGCTTAACCCGCCTGATCAGGTTTCGTTGAAAGATCAGGAACTTGATGATATTAGAGACGAGATCGACAAGGGAAAGGACGACACGGTCAACACTCAAACTACCGATTGGACCGTCAGTGAAGACTACAATTTTGATGAATGTGAACATGGGAAGCCTGAACCAAGGCAGCCTGTGCCTCCAGCTTACCGTGGCTGGAAGGAAGTGGGAGGATACGACCACACTGAAAAGTTGACTGTTGAGGACGAAATGACTGATTTGTTGTCGAAGAGTTCTTTCTTTGACAACTACTTGCCTTCGATGACTTTTGGCGACTGGTACCATAATGTTGCTTATATGATTTTGTCTGGTTTGCTTTCGTGGATTTTTGGATGGTTCCGTTTCTCGTTGGCCCCAGTGTTTTTCATCATGCTTTCGTTTGGTATCTTCTACCGAAGCTCGGTCAGAAAGTACAGACAAGCATTGCGTGAGGTGGCCCAGAGAGAGTTTTCCGTCAAGTCCATTGAGAACGACTACGAGACTATGGATTGGCTTAACGTGTTTTTGGAGAAGTTCTGGCACTTTTTGGAGCCATCCGTGGCTCAGATCGTTACTGACCAAGTTAACCCTATTTTGGCTTCTTCCCCTGCTCCAGGCTTTATCAAGGCCTTGTGGCTTGACAGTTTCACCGCCGGTACTAAACCACCCAGAATTGTTAAGGTGAAGACTTTGGCTGGTACTGCTGATGATGTTGTGGTGATGGATTGGGCTGTTGCCTTCACTCCAAACGCCTTGGCTGATTCCAGTAACAAGCAGCAGAAGAACAATGTTAACGAGAAGGTGGTCACCGTGGCCAAACTTTTCGGTATTGAGATCCCTGTCGCTGTTTCTGATGTGTCTTTCACATGTATCCTTAGGGTCAGATTGAGAATGATGACTGCTTTCCCCCATATTGAAACCATTGCTGCTACTTTGATGGAACCTCCTCATATTGATTTCAACTCCAGAGTTTTGGGAACCACTTCCTTTAACTGGGAAGTTTTGGCCGTTCCTGGTTTGTACCCTCTCATCAACGAGATGATCAAGAAGTATGCTGGTCCAATCGTCTTTGCTCCTCTTTCCTTCCAGTTGAACGTGCAGCAGTTAATGGCTGGAGCACCTTTGAACTCGGCAGTGGGTCTTTTGGTGATTGATGTGCAACAAGCTAAGGGCTTGAGAAACTTTGGTGGTATTAACAATACTGTTGATCCTTACGTCACTTTTGGCTACTCTAAGGAAGTTCTCGAGAAGACCTCTTTCAAGAAAGACACTAAGAACCCTGTTTGGAACGAAAGATTGTACGTTGTTGTTAACACTTTCGCTGAGCCATTGAACATTAATGTTATGGACAAGCGTAAGCATAGAAGTGACAACCAGATTGGTTCTATTCAGTACGACTTGGAGACATTCAGAGATAAAGAGAAGCAGGAAATTACTGCCCTATCATTCGTAACAGTAAGCCTGTTGGTGAACTCCTGTTGAAGATGCACTACATGCCAACTTTGGTCTCTCAGAGACAACCAGATGGTGCCACCATTCCTCCACCAGAACTTAACAGTGGTATTGCTAGAGTTGAGATTGCAGGTGCTAGACACCTCAAGTCCGAGACTGAGGAGCCATTGACCACCTACGCTGAGATTTGGATGAACGGTAAATGCGTTGTCAAGACTGGTGTTCAGAAGAAGACAAACAGTCCATCATGGTCTGGTGCTAAGGAACTGATTATCTTCAATCGTGCGAAAACTAGAGTTAAGATTCTCATTAAAGATGACAAGGGTAACACTATTAACGCTGTTATTAAGAGACTTAATGATTTGATCGATGCTGCTCAAGTTGATGATCCATGGTTCCAGTTGCCTAACGGTGGTGAAATTCAGATCAACTCTTTCTGGAAGCCTGTTATGTTGGAAGATGCCGAGGGTACCGCTGGTTACACTCCTCCTATTGGTGTTGTCAGAGTCAGTGTTCGTAATGCTGAAGACTTGCGTAACTTGGAGACTATTGGTAAGGTTGATCCATATGTTCGTCTTATGATTAACGGAAATGAGAGAGCCCGAACCACGCACTTTGATTCGACATTGGAGCCTTCTTGGAATGAAGTTCACTATGTTACTGTCTCGTCTCCGAACCAGAAATTGACAATGGAAGTAATGGACACTGAGAAGATGGGTCCTGATAGAACATTGGGTTCTTTTGATGTGAAATTGCAGCCTTTAATTCAAAAGGATAGCAAGGGTAACTATGTCGAGACTGTTGACCCAACCTTAAGAACATCTAAGTTGATTCACAAGAAGGGTCCTAAAGGTACTGTCACTTACTCTTTGTCGTTCTACCCGGTTCTTCCAGTGATGACAATGGAAGATATCAGAGAAGAAGAAGAAGAGCGTGAGAAGGATAGAAAGATCAAGGAGAAGAAAGACAGGCTTATTAAAGAGAAGGGTGAGAATGCTGCAGACAAGTTTATGGAAGACGAGACGAAGGCCCAAAAAGAAGAGAAGGAGGAGAAGGAACTACTCAGTTCCGGTAAGTTGCGGATGGAATTGGACGAGCTCGTTGAGTATAAGAGCGGTGTTTTCATTTATGAAATCTCTCAGATTGAATCTTCGAAGGAAGGTTTGTTCCTTCAGGCTTTCTTTGACAACCACGGTCTTCACGACTTCGTCACTCCAAAGTTGAAACAGAAGAAGACACAACTGACAACCACTGGTGACTATGTGGTGAAGGAATTGGACAAGTCCGAGGTGACTTTCAGACTCCAGAAGAAGGAGCACACCAACAGGGTAGAGAAGGCAGCTGCTGAGGTTACCGTGCCTGTGTTAGACTTGATGAAGGACTCCTTCAACAAGACCACTACTATTACTCTCGAGGGATCCGTCACTGCTAGGGTTACTTTGCAGTCTTCTTGGGTTCCAGTCATTTACGCGAGTGACATTCCACCTCAGGACCAGAGTGACAACTGTGGTGTCTTGAGTGTGACTGCCTTGAAGGCCACTGACCTTCCAGCTGGTGACAGTAACGGAAAGTCTGACCCATACGTCAAGTTGTTCTTGAACACTGAGCGTGACAACTTCTTCAAGAGTAAGAAGATCAAGAAGACATTGAATCCTACTTGGAACGAAACTACCGAAGTCGAGCTTACCAACAGATATGATACCGTCATCAAGGTCGTGGTGTTTGACTGGGATGTCGGTCCAGAGCAGGACGACTTGTTGGGTACAGGTTATCTTAAATTGTCTGAGATGAACTCTGAAGGTGAAACCGAGCTTTCTGTGCCGTTGTTTGACGAGGACGAGAAAGATGCTGGTATGGCTTATTTCAAACTCAGCTTTGAACCTAAGTTTATCCTTCGCTTCACTCCCGAGGGCAAGAACTTCGGTGGTGCTTTGGGTACCGGTGTTGGTGCCGTGGGCCACCTTGGTAAAGGCGTCGGTAAAGGTGTTGGAAAGGGTGTTGGAAAAGGTTTCGGCACTGTCGGAAAGGGTCTCCGTAAGGGTTTACACCTTGGCAGATCGTCAGATGACTAAGCTTTCTAATTGTTTCTATCTTCGTTTATTTTTTAATCTTGGGGGGATCTATTCGATCTCGCCATGCAAATAAGATCTATGATACACAGAGTCATGTAGGTTAAAACACGTCGCCCAACTTCAATCTAGGAGCAATGTTCATAGACAAAAGCTCCTGGAACAACAACTTGGCAGCATATGGGATGGTCATCTTGATGATGTACTCAGAGCTCTTACAGGTCTTACACCAAGAGCTGTAACCCATCAATCCACAGTTGTTGCAGACATCCACTTCAAAAGCGTCGGAAGAGACCATCAATCTTTCTAGTAAAAGCTGAGAAGCACCATAAGCGATCACACAGTCTCTTTCCATCTCACCCAATCTCAAACCACCATCTCTGGATCTACCCTCGGTAGGTTGTCTTGTCAAAACGGCTCTAGGACCTCTTGCTCTGGCGTGCATTTTATCCAAGACCATATGCTTCAATTTCTGGTAGTAGATAGGGCCAAAGAAAATGTACGCTTGAAGACACTCACCTGTAATACCAGAATACAACATGTCTTTACCAGAGTAATTGAAACCCTTATCGACCAAGATCTGGGACATTTCTTCCAATTTGGAACCGCCAAAACAGGTACCGTATTCTAGACTGCCGTTCAAAACACCAGCTTTACCTGAAATAAGTTCCATCATCTTACCGACCGTCATACGAGATGGGAAACCGTGTGGGTTCATAATAATATCTGGAGAAATACCGTCGTCGTTGAATGGCAAGTCTTCCTGCTGAACGATAATACCACAAACACCCTTCTGACCGTGTCTGGACGAGAACTTATCACCAAGTTCGGGTCTTCGCGTCTGTCTCATCAAAACCTTGATAAGTGCTTGATCGTTATCAGAGACAGACATCATGACCTGATCAACGTAAGAAGGCTCAGGACCCTTGTAGTAAGCTGGCGTTTCTCTATGAGATTCTCCACCAGGAGGTGGGTTAGCGTCACCCAAGACAGATTCACCAGCATTGACTGGAACTTGCTTGTTGGCGTAGACTTGACCATTTTCAATCTTCATGCCGACTTCACCCAAACCATCTGGACCCAAGGCTGAATGTGAGAAGATTGGTTCACCGTTTTCATCCACACGCATACCAGCAACAATATCCTTAGTATGGTTAGGGTACCTCTTAAGCTGAATGGTGTTCTTTCTAACAACCTGACATCTACCGAAACCACGGTCAATGGAGGCCTTGTTCAACACCAAAGCATCTTCAATATCGTAACCAGAATAAGACATGACAGCCACAGTAGCGTTCTGACCAGCCGGAAGCTTATCGTAGTCAATTAATTCAATGGTCTTGGTCTTCACCATAGGCTGTTGTGGGTAGACCATGAAGTATAGAAGAGTATCAATCCTTCTGAACTGATTATATGCAATGGCACCAATGGCTTGCTTACCCATAGCGCACTGGTAAGTGTTTCTTGGTGACTGGTTGTGGTGAGGGTAAGGAATCAATCCGGCCACAGCACCCAAGACAGTGAAAGGTTCAATTTCTAGATGTGTGTATGGAAGATGTGAACTTTCGACGAGATCCTTCTCGTACAATGCAATTAAAGAATCGTTCTCTTCGTTGACATCCAAGTACTCCACAAGTCCGTGGTGCAAGAAATCGTCAAAGACCCAATCACCCAGCATCAACTTCTTCAAGTGAGAAGCCTTCACCTTAGGAAGCTTGGTCTTATCGTCCACAATGATCAATGGACGACAAATACGACCACCATCTGTGGCAATATGAACGGCACTCTGATGAGTGTTTGTAAAGATAGATACAAACGCGGATATCTTACCTGTACGTCTCATGGCACGGAAGTCTCTGACGAACTTCACAGGGAAACGTGTAGTTCCGATCATTGTACCGTTCAAGAAGATGCCAAAGTTACCCTCAGAGTAGAGGGTGGCAGAGTCAACACTCATAATGTCCTCACAACCCAAAATGAAGCACAACTTCCTGATTGGAGGTTCTTCGTCATCTGTAGTGATATGTGTCATGAGGGCCAAGTTCTTAACCAAACCACAGGCCTCACCCTCTGGAGTATCAGAAGTACACAACATACCAAACTGCGAAGGCTGCAACGCTCTGGGACCAGAAACCTTTCTGGATTTTTCGAACTGGGAAGAAATACGAGTCATCATACCCAATGCGGAAATATAAGACAAACGAGACAAGACATGGGTGACACCGGCTCTTTCCATCTTAAAACGTTTAAGGGACCAGTTACCTGTTGAAATAGCACGGTTCATTCCCATGGTGATGTTGTTAGAATAAATGTTGATAGAAAGCAAAGCATCAAACTCGGAGGTTCGGCTTGGTTTCTTCATGACTTTATCGATGTTAGCTTTGAAATCAGAATTAAACTTTTTGAATAAATCCTCGAAAAGCAACGACAAAAGCTGGCCTGCAAGCTCTAGACGCTTGTTACCAACGTAGTCTCTATCATCGACCATAGCAGGTTGTGCATGGTCATTAACACTCTTCTGGCCATAATGGCAATGTAAAGAGCTTTTTCACGGAAGTTGAGGTCTGAAACTGTTAAATGGGCGATCACCGTAGTGGCAATAGCCTCAATACCTTCCTGGAGCTGCGATAGTCTTGGGGCACCAGCACGACGAATGGTTTTCACTCTTCTTCCGATATACAAAAGAGCCTGCTGTTGAGTGAAAACGCCGAGCTTGGCGGCCTCCTCGAAGTTGATAGCGAAAAGGTCTTGGTACTGTGGGTTTGAGCCACAAACAAGCTGTAACACCTCCATATCAGAGACGATACCGGCAGCCTTCAAAGCAATCACAATGGGCACATCTTCAGCGATGGAGTTATGCTTTAAGTAGATCTTATCGTTCTTGGAAATAACGTATGTTTTGGACTTTCTCTCGTGTGTAGACGACGTAACGGAGGCCTGGACAATGCCCTTCTTCTCGTCAGCCTCGACGATAATTCTGTTCTTCGAAAGCTGTTCCTGGACCAAAATAACCTTTTCCGTACCATTCACAATAAAGTATCCACCAGGATCAATAGGACACTCTTCAAACTTGGCCATCTGCTGCTCGTCAATACCATCCAAAACACACTTGTTGGACCTCAACATCACGGGCATTCTGCCGATTTCCAAGTCCTTATGCATAATGATCTTGCGGCCTCTCGTATACTCGACATCCACGTAAATCGGAGCCGAGTAGGTCAAGTCACGAAGTCTACATTCGTGAGGAGCCATAATCACCTCTTTGGTGCCTGGAGGCAGCGACAGTTTGTGTCCCACTCTGATATCCAAGTACTTAAGGTAGAACTGGGGGTCCACATCCGACAAAACAAGCTCGTTGGCCTTGATAATCTTCTTAAGATCCACATCCACAAAGTAATTGAAGGAGTCCAAATGCTGCTTCACCAAACCTTTCACTTTCAAGAAAGCAGGTAAAAGCTGCCATTTATCCTCGGCCGTGTTGATCGGGTCGTAGAGCTTTTTCCCCTTGTACTCCTCCTGAAGGAGCGGCAGGAAGGAGTCATCTACCTCCATGGTGCTTGTAGACTTGCGCTTCATGTGGAGACTTGTAGATGGAGAGTTTGAGAAGAGCTTAGTGATCTGAGATGGGGCCCATCGTGGTGCACGGGTGCGATGGACCCAGAGGAAGGTGGTTGGGAGACAGACATGGTGGAGGATGGGGAGGAGAAAAGAGTTGGTTAGGATGGAAAAGGGGGGTGATGCCATGGTGCCTGGCTTTTTTGATTTTTTGTTTTGATGGTTTTGGTGGCTTTTGGTGGGGGTTCTTAAACTGCTCTGTATGCGCTCTTGCTTATGTTTTGCAGCCAAACAGAGGAGGCAGATGGAAGGCAGGGATGGTAAAGAAAAGAAGAGAGTTGTTTGCATTGTAAGAATATTCCTTGGTTTGGACGGTATTATGGATTTTTTTTTTCAGTTTTGGTGGTTTTTGGGGAGGTGTTGGGATGATGATAGAATCGCAGCGAACCAATAGATGAGTCAGGAAGTGATATAGCTGGAGGGGAAGCACTACGAAGAAATAAAGGAAGATAGGGGAAGTATTGAAATGAGCTTTGCTGTAATTCGTACAGTTGAGTGTTTGAAAGCTCGAGGCAAGAAGGGAACAGCTGGAACTTGAAGGCCTCACTGGATCCTTGAAAACATCCATTCAATTATACCACAAATAAATACGAACCACTCTATTCATTACGACTCCAGGAGAAAACCCAGTCGTCTATATTCGTTGAATGCGATGGAATAGAAGGGTAAGAAGACTTTGGTTCAGCTCTGGAAGTTCCCCCATTATTTGAAATTCATGGGTATTCCACTTGCTACTAGTCCAGAATGGCTGCAAAGCTTATATCGTGATAATGAGTAGCAATCAGTAATTATTCTCCCTTTTTGAATAAGCAATGGCCCAATTTCTAGGTCTTTGCAACTACAATATCTGAGCACAGAATGAACCTTCAATTTCTCATTTATACCCATTCAAGACATTTATCTCGAATTACTTCATTCATGTTCTTTGCAAAAGATGCGCATGAGCGTACATCGACTGCCTGTACAGCCACATTCTACCTTTAAATATGCTGATTCCTTGTTTCGTACCTTCAACAAGTCCTGGCAGTTCATGGCCTCTACAGCCACAACCATGCCCTCCTGAAGTCTCCCTATTGCTGAAAAATCAGTGTCAGAACCCTTTGGGATGTTTCTGGTGAAAAATCTGAAAATTTCGACAATTTTTCATAATTCCTGCATATATTACCTAATTTTTCACGGCGTCGCACATTTTACACTGTAAACTATTTCTTCTCGTAAATGCTCGTGTGGCGCAGTGGTAGCGCAGCAGATTGCAAATCTGTTGGTCCTTAGTTCGAACCTGAGCGCGAGCTCTTTTTTTTGCTCTCCAACCATACCTTTGGCTACAAGAAGCCTAAAAGCTGGGAAGTGCTTCTTTTTGGAATATTAGGGTCCTGTTCGTCCCTTAGTCCCCTTTAAACCATATTCGACTCAGTACTTTTGTTGAAAAGTAGTTCTTCAGTACCATCTCATAGACCTTCGATTCAATACTTCTTCCAAAGACGATTCTACAAGACAAGACTAGCTAAGGGTTTTTGATACTCTTTATAGCTTTGATACTATTTACAGTTTTGATACTCTTTATAGTTTTGATAGTCTTGAACTCCTCCTCGTAGTCCTCGCTTTACTAGACTTATATCAAAGGTAGTCAATGATATAGCGGCTTGCACCAGCCACACTAAAATGCCACATCGTCCCATTCTCTTCGATCCAAACCAATTTACTCCATTCGCTTTCCAAACCCCAAACAAATGACTCCTATTCCAAAGAGCTCTACCAGAACCCTCCTGGTGTCTCTAAACCACAAACTTCCACAAAGTCAGCCCATCCACCTTCCACTCAGCAAACCGCAAACAGCAAAGAGCAAACGACCACCGAACCGCCTCTAACAGACCTCTTCTCTACCTTCAAATCACCTTCCCAGACGCCCTTCACCCACCCTAAACCACACTACCTCACCCCAACACCTCTTCCTCTCCCCTTTGCTCTCCTCGTAATGGCTGCGAAAAACCATACTTAGTAAGCCAATCCGTACCAACACAACCCCACTGTAACTCCACCAAAAAGCACCGAAAAACTTTCAAACTTCGCCATCCCATCCAAACAAACCCCCTCTTTCACCTCAACCAACTCTCCCTTCCCCTTGATCCCCTATCACTCTCCTCGTCACCCCCATCTCTCGTACTGGCTCGTCCCAAAAGGGTATACTAATGGCGCGCAGTTGCTGCACCTCTAAACGTCACAACGCCATCACTGTTTATCTTTTGCACCCACTCGCTTTCTTCCCTTTTTTGCCTTAAATGCCTTTGGTAACTTCACGTCGACATGGCCTGGAGTTCTCCAGACAGAGGCTACTGAAGCTTTTGACCCTCCTTTCGGCCGAACTCAGACTTCCTGAGGATGACATGGCTAAGTTGATAGACGCCATCGAAAGGGCACTTCCACAGATGCTTTCCAGTGACGAGTTGCTTCTGCTTGTGGCCGAGTCGGCTGCGTCAAGGGTGGTGTATTATCCAGACTATGCGCTTTTGGCTGGGCGTTTGGAGGCCACTAGAACACAGAAACTCGTGGACATTGACTTTGCTTCGAATATAAAGCGGTTGGCAGCGTACGTTCATCCGAAGACGGGCGAACCGTACCCTTTGGTGAATGAAAGTATTGTTGAGTTCGTGGAGTCTCATAGAGAGGTGCTTAACGGTCTTATACGAGCAAAGAGAGACTTTGACTTGGCGTATTTCGGCGTACGGACGCTTCAGAAGTCGTACTTGCTTAGATTGAATGGGGTGATAGCAGAAACGCCCCAGTATTTATTCCTTCGTGTTGCGCTTGGCATTCACGTTCCTACGGGTGGTTCAGATACTTTGGAAAGGGTTGCTGAAACATACAGACTCATGTCGAAACGGTATATGATCCACTCGTCACCTACGCTATTCAACGCCGGCACTATGAATAGCTTTCTTTCGCTGTGTTTTCTTGTGGCCATGGAGGATGACTCTATTGACGGCATTTATAAGACGCTTCATAAAACAGCGCTTATTCTGAAAGGGCTGGGCGGTATTGGCCTTCATGTGAACAACATTCGTGCTAGCGGTTCGCTTATACGGACTTCCAACGGCACTTCCAGTGGTTTGGTGCCTATGTTGCGTGTTTTCAATAACACAGCTCGGTACGTTGACCAGGGCGGGAACAAGCGTCCAGGTGCCATTGCGGTTTACATTGAACCATGGCATGCTGACATTGAAGATGTGCTTGATCTACGCAAGAACCACGGTAAGGAAGAAGCCCGTGCTCGAGACTTGTTCTATGCTCTTTGGATTCCTGACTTGTTTATGAGGAGGGTCAAGGAGAACGGAATGTGGCCTCTTTTCTCTCCAGACGAAGCTCCAGGCCTTTCTGACGTTCATGGCGAAGAGTTTGAAAAGCTCTTCTTAGAATATGAAGCTAAAGGACTTGCTTTTAGGACTATTGAGGCCCAGAAATTGTGGGCACAGATATTGGAATCCCAGACAGAAACTGGAATGCCATTCATGCTTTATAAGGACTCGTGCAACCGGAAACTGAACCAGAAGAACTTGGGAACGATTAAATCCTCCAACTTGTGCTGTGAAATTGTCGAATACTCGGCGCCAGACGAGACTGCCGTGTGCAATTTAGGTCTGTTGGCGCTTCCATCTTTTGTCAACCATAAAGATAACAAGACGCTTTCTTATAACTTCGAGAAGCTCCATAAAGTGGCTAAAATCTTGGCCAAGAACCTTGACGCTGTGATTGACGCAACAGAGTACCCAGTGAAGGAGTCGGAAACGTCTAACAAAAGACACAGACCTATTGCCATTGGAGTTCAGGGCCTTGCAGATGTCTTTTTAGAGCTTCGTATTCCATTTGACTCGCCTGAAGCTGCAAAGCTTAACAGACAGATCTTTGAAACCATCTACCATGCTGCGGTAGAGAGTTCTATGGAGCTAGCAAAGATCCATGGTCCATATGAGACGTTTTCTGGATCTCCAGCATCTCAAGGCATCTTACAGTTCGACCTTTGGAACCATAAACCTGAGTTTTTCAATGATTGGGACGAACTCAAGGCTCAAGTACAAAAACACGGGCTTCGTAATTCCTTACTTTGTGCTCCAATGCCTACAGCGTCCACTTCCCAGATCCTAGGGTTCACTGAGTGTTTCGAGCCTGTTACTTCCAATATATACCTGCGCCGAGTGCTTTCTGGTGAGTACCAAGTGGTGAACAAGTACTTGTTGCAAGATCTAATCGACTTGGGGATCTGGACGCCAGCGATGAAAGACAGAATTGTTATGGATAACGGGCTGGTTCAGAACATCAAAGAAATACCCTCTAGGCTTAAAAAGCTTTATAAGACAGTGTGGGAAATCAGCCAGAAGAAGATCGTGGATATGGCTGCTGACCGTGGATGTTTCATTGACCAGCTGCAGAGCATGAACATCTTCTTGCAGAATCCAACCTTTGGTAAACTCACTTCCTGTCACTTTTATGCTTGGGAGAAGGGACTCAAGACTGGCATGTACTACTTGAGAACACAAGGAGCAGCTCGTGCTATTCAGTTCACTGTGGACCATGCTGGAGCCCTTGAAGAGGCTTCCAGGGAAGCTACTCCACTTCCAAGGCAGTTAGAGAGGAAGTCGTATGTGGAGGTTGAAACGTTCACGAACAAGAGGACCTCTGATGATGATAGTTCTGACGAGCCACAGAGTGATAGCTATAGCGTCAAGAAGAGGAAGCATAGGGCCGAAGTTAGAACACATAAAAGCGACCCAGACACTCAGACTTCCAACGAACTCACACCCAACGAAAGACAGTTCGATTCTTATGATATTTATTCGGATACACCTCTCTCATGCAACATTAGTGAGCCTGAGAACTGTGAATCATGCTCAGGATGAATGACGACGACAACGACGACAACAATGTAAATAGACCAACTTAATGCATTTGTATATAGCAAGAAGATTTATGATAACGACGCCAATCAGCATCTAGCGTAGCTTTCTTCCTGCAAAATCAGCCACCTGGGCCATTCCGTCTTGCGTAACAAAGAACCGTAACTTTGCCTTTTCCGACCAGATCAAAACGCCAATCTCCAGGGCATAATTGCAAAGGATATCGTACTCGCTCTGGTTCTTGAAGTCCTTGAACAAGTACCCGTTGAACGTTTGAATTCTGTCCAATTCCAACTGCCAAAGCTTGATTTGATCAACGACATTAGGCGGAAGGATCTCAAGACGATGCTGAGCAACACCAGCATCGCCGGTTTTGGACTGCGGTGCTCCACCAGCAGTATTAATATTATGCGATGCGTCGAACTCGATCTTCTTATCGAGCTTCTCCTTGGCCATAGCACGCATCTGTGGATGGGCATGGGCTTCGAGGAAGTTGATGATTTGGGTAGCGGTGATACCGTTGGAAAGAGCATGTCTGATGGACTCTCTTGTGATCAGACCAATCACCATATTGGCAAATCTTGTCTTCATAGAAACGAAGAGATTCAAGATAGCAATTTCCAAGGGCGAATTGGTGTAAGCGTAGATACTGAAGTTGGTTTCGAGGATGATCTGGCCCAGCAGGGCGTCGTCTGTGTCGTTTTCTGTGCTCTGTAAATGCTGGTCCATGACCATAGATGGAGTCTTTAAACCTGTAGATTCAGCCGTCAACGTTGTGGCAAGACGAGTAGGGTAGAACCGTGACGAATTCTCCGACCTCTGGTAAACAAGCCCATAGTCACGCAAATCTGGGAGCATGGAGATCTGAGTATCGCTTAAGGAGGCCACCTGGTAAGCCTTACCGAGCTCCAAAGACCCCAAAATAAAAATAAAGTTAAGCACGTCAACTGGGTCCATATGAAGATCCTGGGTCAAGTTCAAGTACTCAAGTAAAAGCGCCCATAACTGTGCATTGACGTCTTGCAAGAGAAACTGGAACCCAGAGTTGGTAATCTTCAAGTTCCCAGCCGTCGTCCCTGGCCCCTCCATAAGCCCACCCAGTTTTAGCAACGAAAGCACCGATTTCGAAGGCACAGAAGGCAATTCCGTGCCGACCATGAAATGAAGAATGGTCTCCCACTTCTGTGAAGCAAACTTATCCAATAGTCTGATACTCACACGGTCGTCCAGCGGCTCTGTAGCCAAAATGCCAAAAGCGTTCGGCGCCTGCGTGCCTGTAAGGCAATCCCTGAAGTTGTTTCTGAACGTCTGGTGAAGACGTAAATGTGTACCGCCAGAATCCTCCTCGATGATGTGCAACGCCCTAAGACGCTTAAGAGCATCAAACTGTAGTCTCTTCGCCTGTGGCTGGGTCCATTTCTCTAGATCCTTCACCGCCACAGGTTTTTCATTGAAGAGCATGCTGATGACATAAAACTTGGCCAATGGCGGGAGAAGCCTAAAGATCGAAAGACATGTTGCTGGAGCGTCAAAGAGTTTCAGCTGAACGACTCGAGGAAGCCCCTCCAAGTGGCTGTTAACAGTGAGCTTAAAGGACATAAAGAAGCTTGTTTTGACGTTCTAGCTGTTCTTGCTGTTCTTGCTGTTCTGGGTACTCTGTCTTCTGAAGCTCTTCGTTCAGATGATCAATGGAAGGAAGCTCTTCTTAGTGGAAACCGCTTCTTGTAAAACCTGAAGCCCTGGAATCTGCCAATTCAAACAGTCCAAGTCGTCTAAGTCCAGTCGCTTCGTTCAACACCCGCTCACGTGCTTGCTTCCTGGAGTTGGGCAGAAACTACTGGTTGTAGGTGAGAGTTGATATTGCGCGACCCATACATAAGGGCTCATAGTAGGAGGAGCATTTGGTGATAATGGGAGGGAATCGACGTAGACCTTGTTTTTTTTCTGGACGAGGTGTTTTAAAGTTGCTACATCGTCCAAGGGGGGCGTTTCAGAAGGGGAATTCAGAAGGAGGGCCCAATTTCAGAATAGGGGTGCTACGGGACCACTATTGGCTCCAGGTGACATCATCTAGCGAACTCGCTTTCCTTGCCCCTGGACCAACCACAGCCAGGGATCCGGTCGTCGACCTCGACGCAAAAACGACTTTCTGGTTTGGGAAAGGAGTGGCCCTTTTCAGCTGTGGACCATGCTCCAGTTCCATGTAGACCATTCACGAATTTCACCTGGGGGATTTAACCGACTAGCCACAAGTGGAGAGCCGCAGTTTACACTTGCCACGAGAATAGTCAAAAGTGTTCAGGAGCTGCCGTTTTGTGCATTTTTACTTAAATGGCCGGCAACACTTCCTCAACCAGGCCCAGACCATGCTGGGCCATACAGCGGTCCAGATCGGATAGGGAAGCTTTTTTTTTGTGATAGAAGCGACAGTGCATTTGGGATTGGTCCATAGAGGGTGGGGGTTACTAAAGGGAGGTCCTACAGAGGATGCAAAGGAAAAAAACGAATACTAGAAGCCCTTTGGGAGATCAGTGGATTTAAAAAGTCGAAAAACCGCCCAACACAAGAAAAGCGTCGACGAGATGGCCCCGTGGACCACAAACGGACTTCGTCCGGACCAATGAAGCTGTTTATAGCAGTTTGCATGGACACCAAGCGGCACAAAAAAAAAAAAGAGAAGTTACGCTTCGCTTTGCTTTGCATAATCCATTTTGCAGCATGAATTTGGACCCAACCCACTTGGCCTCGACTGAAACGGACCACAACAAAAAAGAGTGTGTCAGAGGCAGCCACAAAACGATTTCGACAAAGGGCTTTTTCTCGGCCACGCTGGGTCCAAGGGTGGAAGAGCCTCAGACGATGTAGGAAGGGTTCAGGAGAGTAAGGGCAGATTAAGGCTGTTAAAGACGACCCAAAACTCGCTTTTTCTCGCCACACCATTCGCCACATGCCAGGGAAGGCATCCCTTATATCAAACCCGGCAGCATATCATCCCGTGAAACCCAACGAACGGAAAATACAGACCATGGGGGTTTTGGCGCTGGACGGTCTTGTGGCTGGTACGAGGCACCAAAAGCTAAAAAGGCGCGGGAGAAATACATACAAGTGGCACAAGTAACACAAAACAAGCGACAAGAGAAGAAAAAAACTAGCCACATCACAGCGGTCCGCATAGGGGTGAACACAAGGGAGGTTGTGGTGAAATGACGGAAAAGGGAGGTTATAGTGGTTGCTGGGAGTAGAAGGAACGGCGGTGTTTGATAAGCCGATCTATGAAGAGGCTATTAACCAGTAGATGATTCGTCATGGTCAGTGCATGTACACGGGCTCGAGACCAGGAAAGTTCGCTTACATTTTACTACGGATAAGAAGGAAGTGGTTTTGAGGCCAGTGGCTAATGGATAAGTTTGTGGCTAGTATACAATGAAGGTCTTGAGGCAGCTTATGCAGGGCTGCGGTAGGCGAATGGCTCGGGATTGGAGAGGCTCCATTGTGATACGCATGAGGAAATGCACGAGTGGACGAGTTGGGCCAAATGCGGCGCGCGACCGCAGGACGTACATTTTTCCGCTAAAAAATAAACCCACCGATTGCAAAAAAGAAAGATTACTAGCTTGTGGCGGATTAGTCGGGTTTATCCGGTCCCATGAAAGAAGGTATTATGGATAACCAGGTAGTGATAATTCAAACAATAGAATACTTCACCAGAAAAGCCTGGCAGGGGCGTCGACGCGCAGATCTCTTCTCGAAGCCTTCTCAGCCTTCTCAGGTCCCGCCCTGGATGACGCTCATTGTACTCCAGACCGCCCTGAGTCATGGAATGGAATAGTCGTAGTAAGTCATCTTCCTGGTCATAGTGAATAAGGCGGTTCCGTGCCTCGAGCCCGCTTGGCTTGCTTTAGGCGTCTTTACTGGGCAGAAAAATTTTTCCTTAGCCATGACTACTCGGCTGGACCGGGATTATCACCTCTCACCTCATCTCTGTATGGTCTGGTAAGGCTGAAGTGGCTGATACACATTACAATGGAACCCTGTTTATGTGGAGACAATGGAGAAAGGTAGCGTGTTTTTTGGGAGTTTTTCCAGATTCGGGATCGGCAGGGTTCGAGAAACCTTCTTTATTCGTTTATCTCCATTGTGTGTCAAAAGAAGCTTGTTTGTATGGTGACCAGGGCCTGAATGGAGGCTTTGGGAAAGCAAATGGCCTGAGTTAACCTTTTCAGTAGACTTTCGTTGGGTATCCACCGGAGATGGTATTTTGGGTATTAACTCGGCAGTGACACTCGCTTGGTGTTATCACATCTGGAATAAAGGCATATCCACGATAAGAGTACCTAGAAACACGGTCTGGCAGTACAAGATCTGCTGAAGATCCCACACGTCTTCTTTTTGTTCTCTTCTTCTCTGTTGGTGCTCTTTTTGGCCAGATTAGTCACTACATCTTACATTAGAGGCAGATCAGTCGTCAAAGCCAATGTCAGCTCCAACGTCAGGCTTTTCCCGTATCACAAGACTCACCTTTCACATCTCTTGTTGGGCCCGTAAACGGTAAGCCACCATTCTACCTGGTATTGTTTCTTTCCCATTGTTGGGTGCCGTAAGTGCTATGTATGTACTTAAGCTTTGTGGGCCCATTTGATTCTGAATTGGGAGAGCATCAAGAAAGTGTTACGGTCGGCCGGAAGACGAAGAGACGTCTACACTTGAATTACGTTGATTTCCGTGCCATTGGGACACCGTAACTGCTGGAAAACACCCTTCTTGATGCACCTACCACCAGAACCATCAAACAACCCACCCAGCCAGCCAAATCCAGCGTAGGATCAACAATCCACATACTACTCAATTCTTGGCCCTCTTCAAACCCAACCCTAATCTAAGACCACTTCATCTAAGACCCATTGTATGTCCATGCTCTCCAACGCCTCAGTTCCTGGCTTAGGGAAACTAAGTTACCGATAAGCTTCAAGGAACACTGGGTAAGCCTCGAACGCAAAATCCACAATCCACAGATAACGGCATGCCCCTATTGAGCGGCCTCCTTTCTCCTACGACCTCCCCAAAGCAGATATTTCCCATCTTGGCGAAAAACACCTCCTAGTACTCTTTTACCCCATTAGCCACGAGGTAGCCATGAATTCAGCCACAAGAAGAGCATCCCAGAGAAACAGAAAAAAAAAAATTACCGCTATCCATACGAACACAAAAACTGCACCCGTATGTGCCCCAAAACCCTTCCCCTACCCGTCTGGGCCCTGTGACAAGCGCTGCAAGCCGGCGCCAGCGGAAACAAATTCTTGGTAAGCGAGTACGACGCCCCATGCCAGGTCTCGCCCACATTTCAGGCCAAGGTTGTACAACGGTAGCAACACCTTAGGCACGGCGGGAAAAGGGTTCCCTAGCCACTTGTGAAATGGCCTCGGATGGGGCGAGTGATTATACTGGAGAGTATATGAGAAGATATGGATTTGAAGACGCTCAGAACCTTCAGCACCTTAGGAACAAAGACGGTGAATTGAAGCCCGCAGCAACAATCTCTTCGGTACCTTGGGGCCCCATGTGAGCCCTGGCGTCCCGCCTAGCTCTGGGCTCGCTTCGTGCTTAACTATGGAGCAACTAAAGGCCCAGGCCTACATACTACCATAACCACTGTTCCCTGGAGAGCTGTTTTGAGCCTGAAATACTGTAGGACGAGGGCCATGGATCTGGGGGCGGCCCCCGGGCTCCGTAGCAAACGGAGCTCTTACCGTTGGAGCGTGGTGGAACACACTTTTGAAGAGTTTGTCTCATTAGCCACAAGAGGTGGGAAGATGTTCCAGTGTACTCGCCACAAGTCGCAGCTAGAGAAGATCTGGGAAATACCATGACAGAATGCCATGTGCGTTTACTGGCGACTTTCTTCCTTCGCCACACGCCCGCCTCATTCACTAGCCTCCCGTTATAGCGCTTAACTATGGGAATTTCAACGGAACTCCACTGGTTTTTAGTGAGTTGCTACCGGAAAAACTCACGGGCCGGCCGCGGCTTCCCTTCTTGCACGTTGGCTGTTTCGCCTCATGCACGTCAGCATACGCTCCACAGGACGCGCTGCACACAACACCTGCAGGCGCCTGTCTTGCTGCATTATACGCCATGCACCATGTAGCCCCGCCTACGTCTGCAGATCTCTCTCTTTTTTTTTTTTTTTTTTTTTCTTCCTTTCCTTCCTTCCCTCTTCTACTATATAAACCTTGCAATCCCCAATTCCTTGATCCAACTCAACCAATTCTCCAGGACCAAATTCTCAAAAAGATCAAAGCATCTTTGCCAATACCCCACCTCAATTACTACATCGACTACGACTGCCTCACACCTATAACCTCTTGCCTAACCCAGACATGATGGCTACTCCAATCACTAAACAGAGCGTCAGTGCTTTCAAGTGCCGCTCTCCAATGGTGACTCCTTCCCCTACCACCACTCCAGAACCAGTCAAGGCGCTTCCGACATTTGCCAGAGCCAAACTCGAGCCTGTGCCTTTTGTCAGCTCGGATAAACCATACAACTTCTTGCTTGTGGATGATAACATCATTAACCTCCGCATCTTTGGACGTATTTTGCGTAAGCTCTTTCCCAAAGCCGCTGTGAAGTCTGTCCAAGACCTGCTGTTGCTTGAGCTCACCGAGGAGCTGTTTGAGAACTACGATTGTGTGTTCTTGGACATTGACATGCCAGTAGTGACAGGCATTGAAATCGCTACCAAACTCAGAGGCTTCCCTACACTCGACCATGTGGGACTCATTGCAGTGACCACCAGGGCTCTTCTTGCAGACATGGAGCTCTACGAGAACATTGGTTTCGACCACACCTTCCCTAAGCCTATGAATGTCAGCTACAGCGACATGATCAAGAAGATCGAGCAGGTGGTGAGTGTTAGAGGGGCCCTTAGAGCAGGTACTCAGGCCGAAAAGACACAGGAATAGACTAGCACACTGCTTATGGGATTCGAAACTGGGTTTCGACGGATACGGATAATTTATAGACTATACAACAACGAATTTACGGATACATTAAACAGATGTAGACTTAAAAGCCTTTGAAAATATCAGTGGTTTTTATTGTACAGTGTTCTAGAAGGTGACTTCATCTTGGGCGCTTCTTCGCATGGTTATGAGATTTGCAGCCAAAAGTCTATATACTCTCAACCGCCATATACTTCCTGAGCAAGTAATACCCAAGTGGAACTCCTTCGGCAAGCAAAAAACACTAGCCCCTTCAGACCCTCCGTGGAATTAACACCAGTGTGGATACAAGCCGTTCCTCCAGGATAGAGCAGCAACGGCTAATCCGGTGAAGCACAAAGGCCACAAGTAGTAGTAAGAGCCGCGTCTGCTGCTTTTGTTATAATGACTAAACCCTGTCGACTATCATAGCGCTTGTTCTGGTTTCTCATGGAGGGTCTATTTGAGATTTCTGACAGTTGGCCATTTCTTTAAATCACCAATATGTACCGTAGAAAGCCCAAAATGTGCTGGATCGATTCCCAACCAGATCTCACGAGATCCAGTAACGTCCATACTAAAAGCCAACCACTATTGAACCCTTAAACCCCCATATTGTGGCTAAGGGGTTCCTATCTCCTTTCAACGGCACGCGTCACCGCCACAAGCTCTGCCACAAGTTTTGCCTGAGTAGCACAATTTGCGTATGCATTTCCAGTGACCCTGAATACTGGTTTTGCACAAGTTGCTTATGGTGGCGATCGGCCCCTTGTCTTAGACTGAGACAACCGTGAAGCGTAAGCAACTGTAGGTTTCACCTGGGAACGTCCATCGGAGCTCCAGCTCAATTCCGAATCCTCACACTATACTTGCTTCCATCCCTCTTCTGCAAGAAACTCACTCCTCAAGATAAATCTAAGCACTCTATAGTAGTATGTTGCACGGCCTATCCTTGCTTTCGTACGAGTGGCTAGTGTTCGTGTTCCGTGCTTATAGCGCCGCGTACGGTCTTCTAAATTCTTCTTCTTCGGGTTGCTGGCCCGCCTTGGAGAAGGAACCGCAACTATAAAGAAGCTCCATGGGCACAAAAGAAAAAGAAAAACACTCTCCAGATCAGTAGCAACCGCTTGTTCAAAGCCACCCCATAACCGACGTCCCGAAAAATAAATCAGAAAAATTCCCAAAGAACAAACCTTAACCCTGATGCTCTCCTTCGCCTCGCATCTGAGACATCTTCCTTGTAACCATAATCACAAAACCACATAACCGCAGTGCGTCAGAACCCCGAACTGTAGCTCCTCACAAATTTGCCTATCGTTGCAATCCTCTTTAGTCGCTCGTGCCGTCTTTTTTTGCTAGCAGACTCATCATTTTGATTGCACCTTCAATGTTCTCTCCTTTAGGCGCACACACGGGGATGTAGTGCCAAGTGCTGTCGAGGTTCTTGATGAACTTAACAAGCTGTGCGTAGCTCTCCCCATTTTTTGTTTGATCTGCCTTGGTAGCAATGACCATGATTTTCTTATTCTTCATCCGCTTTTCGCCCACTTCGTCTATTAGCACTTGCAAGTCTTGCGAAGGGTCTTTGGATTCCAACGAAACCACAAACACTAGTCCTCCAGAACGTTCAATGTGCCTTAAGAAATCCATGCCCATGCCCTTGTTTTCAGAGGCGCCTTTGATAATCCCAGGAATGTCAGCCACAGTAAACGGATCCTGGTCGATTCTCGTAAATATCGTGCCAATCGTAGGCTGGAGCGTCGTGAACTCCCAGTGGCCCACCCGGGGCCGGGCTCTGGAAATGGCCCGAAGGAGCGTCAGCTTGCCGGCGTTGGGTAACCCCACAAGACCCAAATCGGCAAGAAGTTTAAGTTCCAACATGAAGTACTCGCAGAGTCCCTTGCGGCCTTTCTTGCTGAATCTGGGGTTCCTCACGTCGCCAGTTAAGAAATGCATATTTCCCATGCCTCCTTTGCCGCCTCTCATTATAAGCACAGGCTTTTCGGTGGGTTTATCGAAGTCTAGTCCTTTCATCGGGAACCTGTCATGGGTGAGCTCCTCGGCAATGATCTCACGGTCGTAGTCCTTCACCTGCTCGTTCAACTCCGTGAAGTACTCTCTTTCCTGGTGGTACTCTTCGCCTTTCTCCTTGAACGTCCATCCTTCGCCTGGAATGTAGTCGTTTCTGTATAACTGGAGGTCTTGGTCTGGCGTCACGTCTACGCCCATAGTAACATTAGCAATATCACCGCCAGCTTCAAACTTCAACTGCCTCTTCACATCAAGCGGATCAGGAATCCACCGCATTGTCGTTCCAACTGGAACCTCCAAAATGATATCTTCACCTCTTTTTCCATCTAGCTGGCTGGACGACCCTGGACTGCCTCCTTTGGCCTGGTAGCTTCGCTGGATCCCGTGCAACAGGCCCATGTTCTTCACAACCTGAACGTATATGTTTCCACCGTTGCCTCCGTCTCCTCCATCTGGAGGTCCAACTGGTCTATGGGCATCTCTATGGAAGGAAACACATCCATTTCCACCATCTCCCGATTTCAACCGTATAAGACGAAGGTCCAAAAACGTTCTCTGCTCGACCTTCTGGCCCTGCTTATAGTTGTTATGCTGTCCCACAAAGATCTTATGGCTCTGGTGGAGATCTCCAGCGAAGTAGTCTTTCATGGTGATTTTGGCCTTGTCGAGCCCGAACGAGTCCTGGTCCTCGACCCAGTACTTGATTTCTTTGTACTCTTTGGGCTCTGCATCTGGTGAAATGGACAGATCAAACGTGTAGCTTGCTTCTGGAAGGTTGGCATACGGATCTGACTTCTTGAGGACCTCATCTGGCGAGGATTCTTCGGTTTCTTGCGTTGAAAAGAGACGAGAACCTCTCCAAAACCGACATTGCAGCCTCAAAATCCCGCACCCTCTAAGCTTAAGCATCAGGAATTGGACTTTTCTGGATTTTTCATGGTAAGTGGACTCGCCTTTGGCGTTGGTTGGTGGTGATGGTGTACGGGTCTTTTTCAGTCTGGGGTCCCGATGAGCATCGCCTAAGACTACTACTTTTCATATCCAACAACAAATGTCCTTTTCTGACCTTGGCGTGTCCAAGTGGCTCTGTGAGTCGCTCCAGGCGATGCAGATTCACACCCCCACGGCGATTCAGGCCGCGTGTATTCCTGAAGTGCTCAAAGGAAAAGACTGTATTGGAGGTGCAAAGACAGGTTCAGGTAAAACCATAGCTTTCGCTGGACCTATGCTTTCAAAGTGGTCAGAAGATCCTATGGGTATTTTTGGCGTGGTTCTTACGCCTACGCGAGAGTTGGCCATGCAAATCGCCGAGCAGTTTGCTGCTTTGGGTGCAAATATGAACATTCGTCTAGCTGTGGTGGTTGGAGGAGAAGATATCGTGAAACAGGCGTTGGAGCTTCAAAGAAGACCTCACTTTGTGATTGCCACGCCGGGAAGGTTGGCTGACCATATTATCAATTCTGGCGAGGAGACCATCAAGGGTCTTCGTAGTGTGAAGTACTTGGTGCTAGATGAAGCAGATAGAGTACTTAGTAACTCCTTCAGTAAAGATCTCCTGCGATGCTTGGAGGTGATGCCAGACGCTTCAAAAAGACAGACGCTTCTTTTCACTGCTACAGTTACAGACGCCGTGAGAGCACTTAAAGAGAAGCCTCCAGCTAACGGTAAACCACCAGTGTTTATGCATGAGGTGGATGCTGTGGATAAAGTGGCTATTCCAGCAACTTTGCTGCTTTACTACGTTTTCACGCCTTCTTACGTTAAAGAGGCGTACTTGCACACCGTCTTGCTGCTTGAAAAGTATAAAGACCTGAACGTTATCATATTCGTGAACAGAACCCACGCAGCCGAGCTTCTAAGGCGTACGCTTCGTAAAATGGGTTTTCGTGTTGCCTCTTTACACTCGCAAATGCCCCAGCTGGAGAGAACAAGCTCCTTGCACAGGTTCAAGGCCCAGGCGGCAAAGATCCTTATAGCTACCGATGTTGCTTCCAGAGGTTTGGATATTCCTACTGTGGAGCTTGTGGTGAACTATGATATTCCTGCTGATCCAGACGATTTCATTCATAGAGTCGGTAGAACCGCCAGAGCAGGGCGTAAAGGTGATGCTGTTTCGATTGTGGGTGAAAGAGATGTGGAACGTATCATGGCTATTGAAGAAAGAGCTAAGGAGAAGCACGTTTTGTTGGAAGAAGCCAACGACGACGCTGTTATTGATAAGTCCTTGACGAAGATGAGTACTGCCAAGAGAGAGGCGCTTATGGATATGGAGCGTGAGAACTTTGGTGAAAAGAGAGAAATCAATAAGAGAAAGCATGAAGACTCCAAGGCCAAGAAGGGCAAGAAAAGAAGAAGTTAGGGGAAGTAGCATTAATAGAGCATAAACAAACGATCCAGGCATGAATGTAGGTGAACGTGTATCATTAATAAATATAAAGAACAGGTAGAATACAAACTTCTAGTTCCAGTGGTATAGTAAACAGTAAAAGCAAGACCGCCGCTAATGAGCAAGCTCATTAGCGATAACCATCTGGCGATAACCATCTGGCGATAACAATTCAACGATAACCATCTGGCGATAACAATTCAACGATTACCATCTGACGATGGTAATCTGCATGGTTATCTGTGATCAATAAACCGCTCAATGATCAACGCAATGTTGATCCCAATCAACGTCACAACCACAGCCGTCACACACAATATCATCGTGATGTTGTTAAACCCATACGTATGGATTCTATGCTGTGAGTACCGCCGCACGGTTCTAAAGTAATTGATCCCACTGATAATCAACGTAGAAAACGCCAAAACAATCAAAATCGCCGCCGTGATCTTATTAAACAAGTTATTATTGAAATTGGGCAAATGCTTATGCTCCTTCCCCGAAGTACGAAGGTGGAACCCCATAATCATGCCTGTGGCTGCAAAGTACAACGAAGTAGAGAACCGTACAAACGCTAGAAGCGTTCTTTCGCTCTGAAGCACATCTCGTGGCTCGCTCAGCGTCACGTCCAAAACCTTAGGTAGCCCAAACCACGTACGTCTTTTCAGTTCAGGCTCTTGCACTGTGGCTGGCTGGGAAGCACGCGATGTCTGTGAGGCCTGTGGAGCCACTGGCTGGTCTGGATGGAACAATGCCACGTCGTTGTCACTTTCACTGGCTATGCTTCCCGTACGAAATGGCGAGTTCTGTCGACTCGTGTAAGCACTGAAAGTGGAGTTTCTGGCTCTCAGAGGCGATCTCAGTTCTCTAGCAGTCATGGCTAACTGTGGATACCTGGGTGAATTTTGTGTGGGGGAGGGAATTATGGGTGAGTGGGTGGTCTAAATGGTTGGTCTATGGTGGAGGTGGCCACGTGGATGGCGGGAAACAGGTGGAAATAGACTTGGGTGGGTTTTAAGAAGTAGTAGGTAGAAGTTGATAATGGATATATTGGGTGCGAAATATGTATATATGTGAGGGTTATTAGATAAGCGAGAGGGAAGTGAGTTTTCGGCGAATTCCGGGTTTGGGGGCGATTGGAGAGTTGATTTGGGTTTCTAGTGCTGAGCTGATTATGGTGGTGCTTTTTTGAAAAAAATTGACCACTTTTGGGCGAATTGGGTGAACTGTGGTTACTGGTTTGCAGCAAGCACCAGAGAACCTTAATTTGATAAAGCCTATTTTTCTCTTTATAAAGGAAACGCTTCTCTTTTTGTTTTTGCTAGTTTTCGTTTTCGGTTCTTGCTTAGTTTGCCGTTCAGTCTGGGCTCAGGAAGACCGTATATCTTCCTTGGAGGCTCTTCAGTTCTCTCAATACTAGGCTTCAAAGGAACAACTTCTGGCTCTTTTTCGTCAAATATAGACTGCCCCAGCGGCAGAGCACTGCTACTGAATACCAGGCCTTCTTCTATACGGAAACAGAACCGAAATGGATCACTTTCAGCTGCTGCTTCTCTTTCTGCTGCTGCCTTATCCATAATCAGTTTCGGGTAGCCGTGACGATGCCGTGGCATCTTAAACTGCCTTATGTGCCTTGAAATAACCTTTTCGACTTCGTTGTACCGGTATTCGAACTCATCGAGCTTGGCTGCCCATGTATTCTGTGCAATTGAAGATGCAAGAGGGTTCGACCTGCCAACCATCATGATGGTATGGAAACGGATGAACTCGTCGATAGATTTCCAGGCAATTTCAACCGTGCTGGCGCCGTGGTTGACTTCAACACTGCCGTCCATGAAGAATCGAGCACTTATGGCGATTCTGGGGACTTCGATGATCCCGAACTTGCGGCAGTCCAAACACATGGGAGGGAATCAGGAGAGGTGGTTTTTAAGGGAGAAAAATTACGTTTTTGGCGGTTGGAAGACGTAGAGTTGGTATGGGTGCTGGAAAGAAGAAGTGGTGTAATGCGAAATGACGGTTTCCAGGAACGGCCTTTTATAGTGATTGTGGGAGGCAGAAACGGTGAATTGGGGCTCAGAAATAGGACACAATACTGAAATAAGAGAAGGAAAAATAAAGGTAGGTTGATTTCTAATGAAGGACTTGGGTTAATGTAGTGTCCTTGGGACTTATTACAGCCTATTTAGGTCCCATTAAAGGTCCATTAACGTTACACTGAAATGCCGGGAACTAAACAAAAAGGGCTGATCTTTTCTACTCTATCAGCGGCGGTCATTAATAGATTGTTTTCTATATTTTCATAAAAGCTGGAATAGAAGACATAGTCTATATCAGTCTATTCCAAGTATAACTAGGCCACTAGGGTCCACCATTGAACATCCACAGCACCCTCACATCCAAAGCACTCTACCAATCTATTAATAAAAGGTTGAGTAACTCCATACCCTTGTTCATTTTAAATTTTTTACCATCTTCCTTGGTCTGTCCATACCTTCACCATTCCCTCGCTCAGGGCTATCACCCATCCATAAATACCCCAATCATTTCCATACCCTTCCTATTTTTTTCCACCCAAAAACCACCTAATCCAAATCTTCCCATCAAAACACACCTGAAATACTTCCCCCCATATCATTTCCACCCCTGAACCCTCCCTTAACTGAACCCTGTTTTCTGGCTTTATCGCTTATCTATGGGGCACGCTTTTTCGCAGCCATAACGGTTTTCCATCCAGACCACCCCTCCTTTCCATTCAACCATAAACAAAAGTTCATAAAACCAACAAAACCCAATAACCAACTTCCACCACTCCTTCCCCTAAAATCCCCCACCCACTTCTCCACCTGCCTTTCTCTCCCCTTGGCTCATCCCAAAATCTGACTTTTTTCCTGCATGCACCCCACCTCTTCACATCAACATCAACAGTATCCTACTACTTCCTCCCCAAAACAAACAACCCCCTCTTCTTCACCATGGCAGCCGTACAGAGAGTCAAACGATGCCCTGGGTGTCACCATACAAAGTTTATCCAGGACATGCTGGCACTGTCCGGAGACCTTTCCTGTGAAAACTGTGGTATGGTCCAGGAAGAGAACCCCATCATTTCAGAAGTCCAGTTTGGTGAGTCTTCGAGTGGTGCTGCTATGGTGCAGGGTGCCATGGTTGGCGCCGACCAGGCGAGAGCAAACTTTTCCATGAGAAACGCTATGGAGTCTCGTGAACAGACGCTTCTAAGTGCTAAGCTGAAGATCAAGAAGTTGGGAAGTGCTATGAAGATCCCTGAGTATATTATGGAGTCTGCTAGTGGGTGGTTTAAGCTTGCGTTGGTGCAGAACTTCGTCCAGGGTCGTCGGTCCCAGAACGTTATTGCTGCTTGTTTGTATGTGGCATGTCGTCACGAAAAGACCCATCACTTGTTGATTGATTTCTCCTCGAGACTACAAATATCTGTGTATTCGCTTGGTGCTACGTATTTGAAGCTCGTGCGTGCTTTGCAGATCCAGAAACTTCCGCTTGCGGACCCTTCGCTATTTATTCAACACTTTGCAGAGAGACTAGGGTTTGGTGATCAAACTGCCAAAGTGTGCAGAGACGCTACGAAAATTGCGCTGCAAATGGCTTCAGACTGGATCTACGAAGGTAGAAGACCTGCTGGTATTGCAGGCGCTTGTCTTTTGCTTGCAGCCAGAATGAACAATTTCAGAAGATCACATGGAGAAATCGTGGCTATTGCACGTGTGGGTGAAGAGACGATCCAAAAGAGACTTAATGAGTTGAAAAAGACCGATTCCGCTACCTTGACGCTTACAAAGTTCCGTGAAGCCCAGACTATTGAATCTTCGCTCCCGCCTTCTTTCAAACAGAACCGTCACATTGAACTGAAGATTCTGAATGTGTTGAGCAATAGAGCACACATGCTCAAGCAGTATAAAAAGCTCGCCAGCAAAAACAAGTTGTTTGACGCTTTGTTTGAGTCTGAGACCACTTCTAGACCAGTGGCTAAGCTGGAAGCAAACTCAGAAGTTGCTAGTCAAAAATCAGATACTGAAAACGGTAACGGTACTGTTGAAAAGGATGCGTCTAAAAAGAAAAATGATGACGTGCAAGTAATAAGTGATGGTGATTCCAGTGATGAAGACGATATCTGGGAACTTATGCCTGCTGAGCCAAACTATCCTCCAGAAGTCAAAAACGACCGTGCCTACAAACCTACAACCAAGAGACTTTCAGGCCTCGGGTCTGGCTTTGAAGACCGTTCTCTCCGAACTCGTGTAACGAAACCCCACTATGAAGAGAACTTTGAAAGAGAGTATGATGCCACACCAGCAGTCACTGTGAGCCGAAAGAGAAGATCAACCACTGCAGCTATTGTCCAGGGAGATGGTTTGTTGAAGTCTGTTTTGGCAGGTGGAGATATTTCAGAAAGAGAATTTGAAGTTGCTCTAGATCACATTTGGAAGAACCAGCAAAAAGCACTCCAACAGGCACTTTACCAGATTCCCCTGGAAAGCCAAGCCAGAGAACTATTCGTGCCTGAAGATGACGAACGTGAGGCATCTCCATCTCAAGAAGATGGTGAAGAATCTTCAGACCTAAAAGCAGAGAGACTCGAGCAGCAGATTGAACTCAACAAACCAAGAAACTTGGTGCTGAACTTAGCCACCACTTCTTCCCTTCTAGCGAAAATTTCCGATGATCCCAACTTGGACGACGTGGAAGACGACGAAGTTATAGAAGAAATGATCCTCACGCCAAAGATGAGCTACGAAAAGGAAAAGATCTGGACCGCTCTCAACCACGAGTTCTTGATCGCCCAAGAAAAGAGAATCTTGAAACAAGCCGCAGATGAGATTGCTGGCAACACATCGGGCCAGCAGCGCAAGAGAAGAAGAATCAAGGATACCACCATGGACCCTGTTTTGAACGATGCTGCCGTCGCTAATGCCATCAGTCTGATAGGCGAAGACGGTAAGCCAGTTACGCCAGCAGAGAGTGCCAAACAGCTTTTGCAAAGCAAGAACTTCTCCAGAAAGATCAACTACAGCACCATTGGAGATCTTTTCAACAAATAGACTTTTTCTTTGAATTACAGAACATAGTTATGGGCTTATCTTGGATTATCTTGGATTACTGGGACCAACAGCACGTAGTGGTGGTGCACGGGTGTGTTTATCTACTGGCCCTCGATGAGCATCTCAACCTTTTTCACCCCATACTAAACATCAAAAAAACCACCAAAAAACCATGGGTAAAAAGAGAAGAGCCGCCATTCTCCCTACAAATATCATCCTCTTACAGAACGTCGTCCGCAGAGACCCCGGGTCCTACCATGAAGAGTTCCTCCAGCAGTACCATCACTATGAATCGCTAAGAGACATCTTCCTTATGAACCCCACTCCAGACCAGGGAACTGAGTTTGGAGAGCTTGTGGGTTTCGTTTCGGCTGTTTGCAACTGCTACCCCAAGGAAACGAAGGATTTCCCCGAGGAGCTCAAAAACATCCTTCTCAATAACCATAGAGAGTTGACGCCTGAGCTTCGAGAGAAGATCATCCAGTGTCTTACCATGCTTAGAAATAAAGGTATAATCACAGCAGAGACGTTGATTTCCACGCTTTTCCCGCTTCTTCGTGCCTACTCCAGTTTCACCCAGAATGCATCCACCAGCTCGCAGAACGCTAAGGCTGTCAGACGTCAGATCTATAGCACGCTTATTTCGCTTTTGAAGGCTGTCAACACTGGCGCTAAGAACCAGAAGATCAACAGAAGTACTCAGGCTTTGCTTTTTGAGTTGCTTGACCAGAGAGACTCCCAGGGCTTCTGGGCTACGAAACTTACTAGAGAGCTCTGGAGAAGAGGTATCTGGGACGACTCCAGAACCGTGGAGATCATGACCCAAGCTGCATTGCATCCAGACATTAAGGTGAGTACTTCTGGTGCTAAGTTCTTCCTTGGTGCTGATAAGGAGAGACAGGAGAACTTTGAAGAGAATCTGTCTGACGAGGAAGGGTTCGATATGGGTGCATTGAAGCATAAGATGCAAATCAATAAGAAGTCTTCCAAGAGAAACAAGAAGATGGAGCAGGCCATGAAGTCTATGAAGAAGAAGAACAACTCCAAGGGCTCTGCTACGTACTTGAACTTTTCTGCCATTCATTTGCTTCGAGACCCACAAGGATTTGCTGAATCGCTTTATAACACTCACATGAGTAATAAGGCTGCCAACAAGTACGATTTGGAGCATAAGATCTTGTTCATGAACCTTGTTTCCAGGCTTATCGGTACGCATAAGCTTACGGTTTTGGGTATTTATTCATTTTTCCTCAAGTACTTGACGCCAAAGCAAAGAAACGTCACTCAGATCATGGCTGCCTCTGCTCAGGCCTCCCACGACTTGGTTCCTCCAGAGAACATCAACTCTGTGGTTCGTAAAATTGCCGATGAGTTCGTCAGTGAAGGTGTGGCTACTGAAGTTGCAGCTGCTGGTATTAACACCATCAGAGAGATCTTGGCTCGTGCTCCTTTGGCCATTGAGGCTCCTCTTTTGCATGATTTGGTCGAGTACAAGGGCTCCAAGGCTAAGAACGTCATGATGGCTGCTAGGTCGTTGATCTCGTTGTATAGAGAGGTTGCGCCAGAGATGTTGCAAAGAAAGGACCGTGGTAAGACTGCTTCGATTGAGCTTCAGCATGGCGAGAAGAAAGGTATGCCTCAGTTCGGTATCGAGTCTACCACTACTTCTATTCCAGGTATTGAGCTTTTGGCCAAGTGGAGAAAGGAACAAGGTTTGGAAGATGATGAAGAGAATGACGAGAATTGGGAAGTCGACGATGAAGACAGTGATGAGGATATCGAAGGTGACTGGGTCAATGTTGAGTCTGATAAGGAGATTGATATTTCTGACTCTGAGGACGAAAAGGATAAGAAGGATGAAGAAGACAAGGACGATGAAGATTCTGACCTTGATCTTTCTGATGACGAAGAGGCTGAAGCTAAGGATGGTGAAGAAGCTTCTGCTCCTTTGAAGAAGAAGGCCAAGATCGCCAACGCCAAGGCTGAAGAAGCTCTTGCTGCTGAAAAGGCCATGACAGAGATGCTTTCCAGCAGAATCCTTACGCCAGCTGATTTCGCCAAGCTTGAAGAGTTGAAGGCCCAAGCTGGTGTTGAGAAGGTCCTCGGTAAGCAGCATAACGAAGAGGAAGTTGATCTGACTTCTTTGGTCGGTAAAGTCAAATACAAGCAGCTCAGAGAAGAGAGAATTGCCCATGCCAAGGAAGGAAAGGAAGACAGAGAGTTTGGTTCTAGAAGGGGTAAGAGAGACGCTCCTCATTCTACTACCAACAAGGAGAAGGCCAGAAAGAAGAACTTTATGATGATGATCCACAAGAAGTCTGTCCAGGGTAAGCAGAAGATGTCGCTTAGAGACAGACAGAAGGTGTTGAGGGCACATATCACCAAGCAGAAGAAGAAGGGACTTTAGATACGTTTTAGGGTTTACGGTACATCTTTAATTCAACAAGGAATAAGATTTTTTTTACTTTTTATTTAAACAAAGGTAGATTACATTCTGGCATTTACAATATATTACAAAATGACGCAAGCAAGCGAAGTCGAATCAACGGCAAGGGGGAAACAAAACAGATGGATCAAAACAAGGAAGAATTGAAAAAGAAGCTTCGTGGGGTGCGCTTCCATTAGTGGTTCTGAGATCCCTCGCTGGACTTCTTCTTCTTTTGCTTCTCGGTGCCCTCCTTACTCTTCTTCTTCTTTTTCTGCTGGCTGTTGGCCTGAGACGAAGGTGGGTTAGAAGACTTATCGGTCTGGTCAGCCTTGGCGGTCTCTTCGGCAACCTCAGCAGCAGCAGCAGCAATGGCACTGGCGACAGTTGGGTTTTCAGTCTGGGAAGCAGACTTGGCCTTCTTCTTCTTTTCCTTTGGAGTAGCTGGAACCTGAGCCTTCTTCTCCTCCTTGGCGGCTGGAGCTGGTTTAGGCTTCTCTTCCTTTTTCTCCTCGACCTTCTTGTCGTCCTTCACCTCCTCCTTCTTCTTGGAGCCTGGCTTTGGGCCTGGCTTAGCGCCAGTCTTCTTAGAAGCACCAGGAATTGGAATTGGCTGGCCACCTTCGGCAGTCTTGGTAGCATTGTAAGTCTCCAATGCCTTCTTGTAGTCCTCGAACTCGCTCTCGTAAGCCTTTTGCAAAGCCTCCTTATCTTTAGCGCTCAAGTTAGCCCAACGTTCAGCAATGATCTGGTTGAGTTCGGTGGCTGGGTAGGTAGGAAGGCCATTCTCAATGCGCTCTCTCTTCATCTGGTCTCTGATACTAAGGTTGAAGCGCAAGTAAGTGGTCAATGGCTTCTTTGGCGCATTGGGGTCTCTTTCGATCTTTCTCTTCTTTGGCTTCTCTGGTTTTTCAGCCTTTTCAGCAGGCTTTTCAGGTTCTGCCTCGGTGGTTGTGGTTGGAGCAGTAGACGACTCGGCAGCGGATTCGCTGGAATCAGACACAACAGGCTCCTTAACCTGTTCAGGCTCATCCTTAGGAGCAGGTCTCTTTCTCAGTTTCTTCTTTGGGTCAGCAATGCCATTGGCCTTGATTTCAGTAGGAAGGTCAGCCAAAGCAGCCTGAGTAGCGCCGGTAATGGAAGCACTCAAGGCCGCCAACGAGGAAGCGGTATCGGTGGAATCAACACCAGCGGCTTTATAGAAGTTGACAGTGGCGGTAGCAGCATCTTTAGCAGCGTTTGAAAGTTCAAAGAACGACGCCACAAGGGCGTTTTTTGCCTGTTCAAGAGACATTTGGGGGTGGAAAAGTGGGTTTTGGCGGTAAGTAGTGAAGAGGGTAAAAAAAAAAAATAAAGGTGGTGGGGCCGCCCTGGGGCCGAAAAAAAAAGGTGGGAGAAAAAAGTCACGGCAGGCCAGGGAGGCCAGGGTGGGACCGTGAGGGCCCTCACTGGGCCCCCACTAAAGGTCAGTAAAAGTCGTAGTAGGAGAAGAAAAAACATAATCTAAATAGCCTATATAGGGCAATTGGGGGCGGGGAGTGCAGTGGTGGACTCTGTTTCCCCAAATTCCGTCTCCTTCCTCCAATACCAGTATACCAATGATTGTTGTTGTCTGGCCAGGATAGACCCCCCGCGGGCGGTGCCAGTGCCACGGCACATAAACAACCGCAAAAAAAAAAAAAAAAAAAAAAAAAAAAACAACGATTTGTGCGCGAATTCGGGCCCAGCCAGGTCAATGTGGCGGGAAGTCTTGGATGAAAAACACGCCAGGGCGAGAGAGGCAGGGAGAGGGAAAGGAAGAAAAAGGGTCAGTGTTTTTTGGGTTCCACCAGGAATTGGCCTTTTTTAAGGTGGGCAATGAAAAGAGGTGGTTTTTTTGGGTTTACTATGATCCTTCTCTTTCTTCGTTTGGCTCGTTGTTACGTACTTTGGTGACCCTTCGTCTTCCAGTCTCGTTAAGTGCTTCCGCAATCCACCCTCAGCCAGTCACTCAGTGTCCAGTGTCCAGTCACTCTGGTCGCACTGTGTCTGGGTGTTGATTGGGCCGCGCGGCAGGCCAGGCAGACAAAAAGGCGGTAAGTGACAACAGACAGGGAGAAGGCCCAGTGGGAGGGCCAAGTAGAGGGAGGCCAAGTGGGAGAAGGGCCATTGGTAGCAAGACAACAAGAAGTAAGTGACCAGGAGGGTACACTTTAATTTTATTGGTATGACGTTTTTTGGTGCTCAGTGTTTTCTACGGGTTTTAGAAAGAGAAGTTCTGTACTGCTAGTCTTTTTCTTTACCGTAAGTGCTTGTTCTTTGTCTGTAAGCTTCTGTGAATTGACTGAGGGTTGACTGAGGATTGGTGATTCTGGAGCAAGTGAGAAGGTGGAGGACTGGGCGGGACTGGGCGTGCGAACGCAATTGGCAGGAATTATTTGGGGCCCGTGGGTGGAGACTTCTTGGGGAGCAGGTTTTGTGCGCGGTTGGGAAAGTCAGAGGATGTTAGAGGATGTTTGGGGATATCTGGCTGGGAGAGACTGAGGGAAGCTTGAGGGAGTAGTTGTCTGGAGTGGATGGAATGGATGTTCTTGGTTGCCAGTGACTGTGGAGTGGTTGGTTGTGTTGCTTCTTTTTTTTTTTTTAATTATTGGTTTTTCTTTATTCTCTTTTTTAGATACTTATCTTGGTTATGACTTCAATCGGTGATTGCTTTCATTTTAAACTTGGAAGTGCTGGTTGTATCTGTGTTTGTTGTTGGACTGGTGAGGGTAGTCAACTGTGGAGGTGGAAGTGGAGGAAAGAAGGAGGATTGGACCGCGGTGATGTTCACAATCGAGCTGTGAAGGAATGGACTCCAAAAGGACCAGACTGCCTCAACTAAATGTCTTTTATTCTTCCTTTTTGTTTCTTGCAAACCGCTAATTGGAATATCTAAAATCTCTTAAATTCTCTGCCTTTTCTTTTGGGTTTTCTTCTGTTTTCTTGGTTTGCTTTGACATGGGGTGTCTTGTCAGGACTGGATCAACCAAAATGGGTGCAAAATTCACGCACCTCACTGGCCCCAGAGTCCCCATAGCCATCCCATTACTTCAGTGGAATGTAAAGTAAAGTATACAATTAGTGGAATCTTCAAAACAGGCCACTTTGGGGAAATCAATCGTTTTTTGTATCTGAGTATACAAGGGAATTCAGTTTGTTCACGCCTTTTGCTGCCTCTTGCTGCCTTTGGTTGACTCTTACCATTGAGGCTGGAGCTGTGGCACCTTCCAGAGTCCCCTTCACCAGTTGCCTGCCGCAAGGGAACGCAAATCTCTAAGTAGTGACTATAGAATTTATAAATCGCTTACCTTTACTAAACACTTCATATCCTCCTTTTACTTCAACTACCGTTTACTGGTTCTTGTCTGCTCCTTGGTGCCTCCATTAGTAGCTTTTCGCAGCCATTGCAGTTCCGTCCCACTCAATAAAGCCTACCAACACATTCCACCAAACAACCATCTATTTCCAGAAAACGTAACTAATAAAGCGTAATCTTATCATCAGCTTTGTTTACTCCAAAACTCTTCTCCTTTATTATCATTCTTCTCTTTTCATTCTGTATCTCTCCATCTCCACCTTCTCCCTCACCGCGAATCCATCTCAAATCTGGGGTAACAACTCATCTATTGATGCTTCGAACCCAGATAGGCCGCCTTGCAACTTTTAGTGCTGGAAAAGTCGCAGTTGCTTGTCCGGGTCAGGGAATTGTACCCAAAGGATGCCTTTATGGGTTCCGAAAACACGAGAAACTCATAAAACCGTCACTACATCTTGTCGATGAGGTTTTGGGTGAAAACTTCTCGAAACACCTTTTGGAAGAACCGTCTCTGGACGCTGATGTTTGGAGTTTACGTACTTCAAACGCTCAGCCGGCTATTCTTACCGCTACGTTCATTACATACCTGTTGTTTCGGGACCTTTACGGTATAGACTTGGTCAAACACGAGAAGACTGGTTTCCTCTTGGGCCATTCGTTGGGCGAGTACTCGGCATTGACTCTTGGAGGGGTATTGGAGTTTGGTCAAGCTGTTAAAATTGTCCGTCAAAGAGGCCTTTTGATGGAGGAGTTGGTCAAGGATAGTGATTATTCAATGATGGTGCTTGTTTTCAGACCGAAAAGCTTTGATGTGGTTTCTGAAGTTGCCTCGAAACATAAAGTGCTAGCATGTGTGAATAACTCGTCGCAAGTCCTGATAAGTGGCTCGCCAAAGCAATTGGAAACTGCGTTGGCAGAGATGCCAAAGGGTGCAGTGTTGAAGCTGGTAAAGCTTCCTGTGAAGATTCCTTTCCATAATGAACTTCTAGGGTCGATAGAGCCGCAATTGGCTCAGCTATCGGATGGCAATGCCTCCCCATTGAAGCCTATAATATCCAATTTGACGGGTTCGGTCGGTACTGGTTCTAGCTTCTTAAACACTGTGAAAGACAATTCCAAACCTGTGCTTTGGAAACAGTCGCTAGAGTTCTTGAAAGAGAATGAGATCGAAGGTATAGTTAACTTGGGACCTGGTCTGGCTCTAGGAGATATGAACAAGCGTTCGGGCATGGAGAACTATCCTTTGGTTGGTTTAGAGGATATGGAGAAACTTGCCCAAACCTGGGACTCTCTTTGAGACTGGCAGGTGAAGGACTAGTTCTTCAGAAAGGTGCCAAATTATAGCCGTTCTAAGGGAACCACTATTCGTGGATTCCAAAACGCTAAACGAACTACGTTTTTGATGTACATACCAGCAGACTCAGGGCACTTCTACAGATGCCGTTGCCTTCAAAACACCACACATGGGATCTGGGACCAAGAGCTGACTCTTCTGCCGCCATTCAACCCAAAATCAAAATACATCTCGCTGATTCCCAATTTTATTTTTCACCTTTTGTGGTACTCTATAGCCGCCGTGCAACTCGTGGGCTAATACCGTTTCGCAGCCATGCATCTCCATACGATGAGTTGTTGAAGATACCAGTGAAAAGGGGTCAAAAGAACTCAGAAAAGGGAAATTATGCTTTTCTAAAAATAATAAACCATATACATGTCCTAAAACCCTAACTACATGCCCATTGCGGCCCAAATGCTGCCCCAGAAAGCTTATCTAGAGCACCTTTTTCGCTTATCTACTGAGTCATTTCCAGTCCCACTAAACCTCCACCAAACACCCACCAAGCACGTAAACCGCCCCCAGTAACCAACCAATCCTTCTCTACCTGCTCCCTCCAACCCAAACCATCCAAAACCCTAGCCAAATTGACCATCTGACGCCTTCACCACGACCACTCTATTACTGCTGACTCCTTCCGCCCGAGTCAGCGCGGTGAAAAATATAACGCTCGCCAGAACCACCATATTCCTTTTCTTCTCCATACTCCTTCCTTCTTTACCTACACTTCACCTTTTAAATGCCTGCCCAGTTGATTGACGGAAAGGCGATCGCCCAGCAGTTGCGGGAAAAGATCCACGCCGACATTGCTGAGTTTCAGAAGAAACACGCTGACTTCCAGCCCAACTTGACCATTATCCAGGTTGGCGACAGACCTGATTCTTCTACTTACGTTAGAATGAAGTTGAAGGCTGCTGAGGAGGCCAACATCATTTGCAACATTGAGAAGTTGCCAGAGAGCGTCACGCAGTTTGAGCTTTTGCTGAAGATTTCTGACTTGAACGCTGACATTTCCGTGGACGGCATTTTGGTCCAGCTTCCAATTCCAGGCCACTTGGACGAGACCCAGGTCACCAACGCTGTGGTTGCTTCTAAGGATGTTGACGGTTTTGGTCCTCACAACGTTGGCGAGTTGAGCAAGAAGGGCGGTTCTCCTACGTTCTTGCCTTGTACTCCTAAGGGAATCATGCAATTGCTTGAACAGTCCAAGGTGGACGTTTCTGGCAAGAACGCTGTTGTTTTGGGCAGATCCGACATTGTGGGCCGTCCAATTGCCAACTTGTTGATCAAGGCCAACGCCAATGTCACTGTTTTGCACTCCAAGACCAGCCCTGAGCTGTTGCAGGCCCATTTGGCTGCTGCTGACATTGTGGTTGTGGCCATTGGCGTGGCTAACTTTGTCCAGGGCGCTTGGCTCAAGGAAGGCTCTGTCGTTATTGACGTTGGAGCCAACTTTGTTCCTGACGACTCTAAGAAATCTGGTTCTAGAATGGTTGGCGATGTTGATTTCGCTTCTGCCTCTGAGAAGGCTGCTTTGATCACTCCAGTTCCAGGTGGAGTTGGTCCAATGACCGTTGCCAACTTGTTGGATAACGTTGTTATTGCCGCTAAGGAGCACTACCGTGTTAACAACCAGACTCCTCAGTTTACCAACCCACTTAAGTTGGACTTGCAGAAGCCAGTTCCTTCTGATTTCGAGATTTCCAGAGCTCAAAAGCCAAAGAGAATTAACCAGGTTGCTGACGAGGCCGGTATTTTGGACTCTGAATTGGAGCCATTCGGTTTCTACAAGGCTAAGGTCTCTTTGGATATCTTGAAGCGTTTGGAGAACAAGGTCAATGGTAAGTACGTCTTGGTTACCGGTATCACTCCAACCCCATTGGGTGAGGGTAAGTCTACTACTACTGTCGGTTTGGCCCAGGCTCTTGGTGCCCACTTGGGTAAGAACGTCTTTGCCAACGTCAGACAGCCATCTATGGGTCCTACTTTCGGTATCAAGGGTGGTGCCGCTGGTGGTGGTTACTCCCAGGTTATTCCTATGGACGAGTTCAACATGCATGTCACTGGTGATATCCACGCCATTTCCATGGCTAACAACTTGTTGGCTGCTGCCATCGACACTAGAATGTTCCACGAGAACACCCAGAAGGACACTGCTTTGTACAGAAGATTGGTTCCTGCCAAGAAGGGTGAGAGAAAGTTCCCTGTTGCTTTCTTGAACAGATTGAAGAAGTTGGGTATTGACAAGACCAACCCAGATGAGTTGACCGAGGAGGAAGTGTCCAGATTCGTTAGATTGGACATTGACCCAGACACTATCACCTGGAGAAGAGTGGTGGACTGTAACGATAGATTCGTGAGAGGCATCACCATCGGTGAGGCTCCTACCGAGAAGGGTATGACCAGAAAGACTGGTTTCGATATCTCTGTCGCTTCTGAGTGTATGGCCATCTTGGCTCTTTCCACCTCCTTGTCTGATATGAGAGAGAGATTGGGTAAGATGGTTGTTGCCGCTTCCAAGGCTGGTGAACCAATCACCTGTGAGGATATTGGCTGTGCCGGTGCCTTGACTGCCTTGTTGAAGGATGCTATCAAGCCTAACATCATGCAGACCTTGGAAGGTACTCCAGTGTTTGTCCACGCTGGTCCTTTCGCTAACATTTCTATTGGTGCATCCTCTGTTCTCGCCGATAAGATGGCCTTGAAGTTGGCTGGTACCTCTCCAGACTTGAACGACGAGGAAAGAGCTGCCCAGGAAGGTTACGTTGTCACTGAGGCTGGTTTCGACTTCACCATGGGTGGTGAGAGATTCATGAACATCAAGTGCAGAGCTTCTGGCTTGGCTCCTGATGTCATTGTCATTGTCGCTACTGTCAGAGCCCTTAAGGTCCACGGTGGTGGTCCAGAGGTCAAGGCTGGTGCTCCATTGGCTGCTGAGTACACTCAGGAGAACGTTGAGTTGTTGAGAGCCGGTTGCTCCAACTTGGGTAAGCACATTGAGAACGCCAAGCAGTACGGCTTGCCAGTTGTGGTTGCCATCAACAAGATGTCTTCTGATTCTGACAAGGAGCACGATGTTATCCGTGAGGAGGCCTCAAGGCTGGTGCTGCCGACGCTATCGTCTCCAACCACTGGGAAGAAGGTGGACAAGGTGCCGTCGACTTGGCCAGAGGTGTCATTGACGCTGCCAACTCTATCGACAAGGACTTCAAGTTCTTGTACGAGACCGAGCCATCTGTGGCTGAGAAGATTGACACCATTGCCAAGAAGATGTACGGTGCTGGCGAGGTTGAGTTCTTGCCAGAGGCCCAGAAGAAGATTGATCTCTACACCAAGCAAGGATTCGGCAACTTGCCAATCTGTATTGCCAAGACGCAGTACTCCTTGTCCCATGACGCAGCATTGAAGGGTGTGCCAACTGGTTTCAAGTTCCCTGTCAGAGACGTGAGAGCTTCTGTTGGTGCTGGCTACTTGTACGCGTTGGCTGCCGAGATCCAGACGATTCCTGGCTTGCCTACCCACTGTGGATTCATGAACGTGGAGGTGAACGACGACGGCGAGATTGATGGTTTGTTCTAAGCGGACAAAAAGTTCAACACTAACGAGACTACGAAAAATAGGTTCAACACTAATGAAGAGTAATACGATGGTGGTGTAGAATGAAAGCCTGAAGCGCAATATCGATTGCCGCAGCGAGCTTCTTATCTCTCCTATGAACGAAGCCCCGGTGGTGTCTCCACAATTGCAACTACCAAAACGCCCAAATGACGTTGGCGGTTGGAGTTTTCGGGTAAGTGTTCTTGTGCAGCCGCTTCCGAATGGCCCGGTGAATCTGGGAAACCGTTACAGGAACGGTAGACGAATCAGGAAGAGGGAAAGTAATAAAATGACAAGAAAAGTGAAAAACATAAAAATAGAGGCTTTCCTTGAGACATGGTTTCTACATATTTCTTCTTCAAATTGTCTCTTTACTTCCCCCTTCTCCTTGAAAACCTTCCTTCGGCAACCCCGTTTCGTCAAACGGCATTTTCCCAAAAGCTCCCTGAACCTTCAAATTCGCCGAATATGCATCGCAACCAGCGACCCGAAAAAAAAAAAAACTCCCCCATATAAACTACTAAGCATCTCGGATAGTAACGCCCCCTTTGGTGCCGATTTCGCAGCCATTCCTGCGCGTAAACCTGTCAATATGGCTGCCAAAACGGTGCTTGACAGAAAACGCCTTTAGATAAGCGGTCGGCGAAAAAGCACCATTTTTCCCGCCAAAGGAGGCTTTATCGGGTTTCTTTTCCGTTCTGCAGCTCCTTTTAAAGTTTGAGCGATCTCCTTTTTGTCATTTTTTTTCTTGGTATTCTCGTATTTTTCTGTCTATTCCTTTCGATGAACAAAGTGGACGAAAAAGCCGTTATTGGCGATGAACAGTCCGTGGAACAGTACGTGCTGGACCAGGGAAACTCTTCTTTTGAGGGAAATGAACCTACAGAAGAGGAAATGAAGAGCTTGCGCCGTGTGGCTCGAAGAATCCCTTTGGCTTGTTGGCTTGTGGCCGTGGTGGAGTTGGCTGAAAGGTTCTCTTACTATGGGTTATCCACACCGTTTCAGAATTACATGCAATATCCACGTCCCAAGGGTATTTTGAATTTGCAGCAGCATGGAGCTACGGCCTTGTCGTACTTTTGGCAGTTTTGGTGCTATGTGACGCCGATTTTTGGTGCTTGGGTGGCTGATACTTACCTTGGGAAGTATAATACTATCTGTATTTTCTGTGTGATTTATATTATTGGCATTTTCATTTTATTTATTACGTCGCTTCCTTCGATCGCTTCGGAAAGTGTTTCCTTGGGCGGTTTCATTACAGCTGTCATTATCATCGGTTTGGGTACGGGCGGTGTGAAATCCAACGTTTCCCCTTTGATCGCTGACCAGGTGCCCAAGGCAAAACCACTGATTAAGGTTTTGAAGTCTGGAGAAAGGGTCATTGAAGATCCTAACCTTACCATCCAGAACGTGTTCATGTTCTTCTACCTTATGATCAATGTGGGCTCGCTTTCTGTGATTGCAACTACTGAGTTGGAAAGAAACGTGGACTTCTGGGCCGCTTACCTTTTGCCACTTTGTTTCTTTGTCATTGCCCTTGCTGCTCTTTTCTTGGGTAAAAACGTTTACCATAAAGTGCCTGTGGGAGATAAAGTGATTGCCAAATCGTTCAAATGTTCGTTTATTGCATTGACCAAGTTGAACTACGATGCTGCTAGACCTTCGCTTCACCCAGAAAAGGAGTTTCCATGGAACGATAAGTTTGTGGATGAAGTCCAGAGAGCTTTATATGCTTGTAAGGTGTTCCTTATTTATCCAATCTACTGGTTAGTCTACGGCCAAATGACGAATAACTTTGTTTCTTCAGCTGGTCAAATGGAGCTCCATGGTCTTCCTAATGATATCTTACAAGCCATTGACTCCATTACTATCATTATCTTTATTCCAGTTTGTGAAAGCATCGTCTACCCATTCATTAGAAGATTCACTCCATTCAGAGCCATCACAAAGATCTTCTGGGGCTTTATGTTTGGTGCTGCTTCCATGGTCTATGCTGCTGTTTTGCAGCATTTTATTTACAAAGCTGGACCTTGTTATGACCATCCAATGAACTGTGGATCTGAGTATGCTGACGTACCTAACCATATCCATGTCGCTCTTCAAACGCCAGCGTACTTCTTAATGGGCATGTCAGAGATTTTGGCTTCCATTACAGGTCTAGAGTATGCTTATACCAAGGCTCCAGTGACAATGAAATCGTTCATTATGTCGCTTTTCCTTTTGCAAAACGCTTTTGGATCTGCTCTTGGTATTGCGCTTTCGCCAGTTTCTGAAGACCCAAAGATGGTCTGGACGTATACAGGGTTGGCTGTTTCTTGTTTCATTGCCGGATGGGTCTTCTGGTTCTTGTTCAAGCATTATAATGATAGAGAGGATGAGTGGAACGATTTGGACTACGAGGCTGAAGAGAATGCCGATTTGGAGCCAGTAGTATCGTTGACCAAGTCGTTCAAGTGATGATACAATATAGAAATGATAAATGGGATAATGTGTTTGAGAAGGAGAGTAGTAGGAAGTAATGGAGAGGAAGAAGTAATGGAATGAAAGAAGTAATGGAAGTAAGAAGTAATGGAGAGGAAGAAATGAAGGGTAGTAAGAAGTAAAGGTGGTAAGAAGTGAAAGGTAGTAAGTAATGGACAGTAGTATAGACAACTTGTCTCCAGGGAATCAGAACCATAGATATACCTTAGAGAGCTTCACCATCCTTTACCTTATCTCTTCATGGTGAGCCCGCAACCCATCCACCCTACCTAACCGAATTCACCAAAAACCACCCAAACCACCCGCTTCAAACTCAATGACCCTACTTCTTCCAATTGCTACCTCCCACTTTACCATCCTCTCCCCCAGCCAAAACGTCACAAAAGGAACGCTCTTTCTGACCACTCATGAGCGTCTGTGACCGTTCAGGAGAGACCACACTGGCTAAGCCATTGGCACATTCCCGAACAAAGAAAGCTTGTGTTCACGCTCTTTTCTGACTTTTCAGATCTCTTCTGCCAGAACAATGTGTTTTATATTTTTCGACCAACGGAAAAAGTCAGACTATGGAAACGGTATTTAAGCTTGAGCCCGAGCCCTAACTGAGGAAGAAGCCAGTCAACCAACCACCATAAATCCCCCAAACAACGTTCAAAAGAGAAAACCCCCAAACCTCCAAACCCTCCATTGTCTCCCAATCCCATATCTTCCCAATCCACTTACCTCTCTCCCACTTTCAAGGTTCAGTGGTTTTTCGTATCCGACTCGCTCATGGCACCGCAAAGCCAAATCAGGCCCATCTTCTGCAAGCCAAGACCCGTGACTCACCCAGAACCAAAAATAAAAAATAAAAAAAGCCCACGTGGGGCAAAAAAGAACAGTATTTCCCTAATAACTATGAATTTCCTCCCCTACCTCTACATTACCATCCTTTCACATCAACCTCTCCAGATCCTGGAAATGGTTGCGAAAAAGTCTGGGACGGTCACTGGTGGGTCTGACCTGCACACAGCACCCACCTGGCCTTCATTAAGTCGCACTTCGCAGTTCGCAGTCGCAGTCGGCAGGCAAATCAAAACCTACAGTTAAAGAATCACATTTCCCAGCAAACACCTACTTTGGCCTTCTTCTTCTTTTCCAACACTTTTTGCAATCTTCCCCATTTTTGCCATGGCTCACAGAATTCTTGCACGTGACGCGGCGTCGGTGGCCCGGAACTACGCCGCTTCCAGAAGTATATCTGGCGTTGCTTCTGCTGCTGCTGCTGCGTTAGCCAGAGCTCCTCGGACTCAGACTCGGTCTGTGGTTGGTGCTGGGCTTGGAGCCACTTGGGCTCGCCAGTACAGAGGAGGGTTCCGTTTTTACAGTGTGCTTTCGCTGCAGCCAGCGAAGGTGTTTAAGTATGACGATATGAAGAAAATCGTTGCCGAGGCTAACCCATCGACAGTGATTCTCGATGTGAGAGAGCCTGTGGAGTTCCAGGAGGGTCACATTCCTGGTGCCCACAATGTGCCGTTCAAGTCCTCGCCTGGCGCTTTAGACTTGTCTGAGGAGGACTTTGAAGACGCTTTTGGCTTCCAGAAGCCAGCCAAGGACCTGGAGCTTGTATTCTACTGTTTGGGCGGTGTCAGATCCACTGCTGCCGAGGAATTGGCCCACTCTTTTGGCTACAACAAGCGTGCCAACTACGTTGGCTCCTGGGAGGACTGGGTGGCCCACGAGAACCACCAGACTAAGTAAGCGACCTGTTTAGCCGAGCGGCTTTGTATATACTAATACACTAATACGAGGATCCGAACAAGGCCCCACAAGGGCCTTGTGAGTCAATTAGCTCTTTTGTCTATGCCTTCTAATAGATGTTCCTCTGAGAACCACAGCGGTACCACTTCGTGACCACACTTCTCTTTACCATCCAGGCAAGGCGCCACCAGCCAAAACCAATGAAACGTTCAATTCTGCACTTCTTTCCCCCCATCTCATCTGAACTCCATGGCCTTGAACTCCTTGCCCAACCGTCTCTTTCTCTTCCTCTCCATGACCTTTTCTCTTTGCGAAGACTTCAAGTTATCAAACTTCACCTTCTGGAGCATCTTTCTCTGCTCGGATTTCTTCAAGAAGTAAGGGTTGACCTGCTCGCCCTTTCTCATCTTGGCCATCTGGTCCTTCTTGTGGTCCTTGATGATCTTGTTACCCATATCACGGTTCTTTAACGTATCGAGCCTCGACTGGAGCGATTGGATCTTGAATTTCAAATCTTCAACCTCGTAATCTGAAAGTTTGGCCCTCTCCTTCTTATTGTTCAATATGCTCTGCATCTCTTTGATCTCCTTCTGTCTATACTCATCCAAGAACGCATAATCGTTTCTGACTCTATCCCAGTTAGCCTTACCGTAAGCAGCGTCAAAACGAACATCCGTATACAACGTCGTGTCCTTCTTCTGTTTCAACCCAGGAATCTCTCTTATTCTGCTTACTGGTCTTTTGGATGAGCTCTCTGAGGGAGCATGCTTGTTCTTTTTCTTAAGCTGGTTCTTCTTGTTCTTCTTGTCTTTCTTGTCCTTCAGAAAAAACTCGTCTTCACTGTCTGATTCACTCGACAGACTTTCCTCATCTCTGTTTCGTTCTTCTTGTTGAAGCTTCTTCTGAGCTGAACTTAATGCACCAAACGAAAGAGACAGGAAATCATCGTCACTTTCGTCTTTTCTGTTTTGTAAGACCGACCCGAGATCGTCGTCTTCAGATTCTGAGTCGTACTGTGGTCTGAATCGCTGGACCATGGCAGGAGATGCTGGATATGTGGAGGTTACTGGAAGATGAAAGTAGTACTGGCCCTGATGCTCATCTCGCACGTCTGTGTAGGACCCCATAGATAAGAGGAAGAGGAAGATTAGTTAGAGGGAAGAGAAGTGGAAGGGAAGTTTTGGTTAATGTAAATTATTAGATTATTTAGATTAGCACGGGTGGGAAAAATTGCCCTTGGGCTTTCTTTGGTGGTTTTGGTGGAAAGATTGGTTGAGGGTTGGTGGTTGGTGGTTATGGCTCTGGATGAGCAGCGCATAAACCAGAAGGTTATACAGAAATGAACCAAAGAAAGACATGGAGGGGAAAAGAAGGAATGATTGTGGGTCCTTTTAGCGTGCTTTTGATGATTCTTTGGGTTTGTAAGTACTGCAAAAGGTGTGGGCTTGGAATGTACAGCAGTAGCAGTTCCATTCACTTTTCGCAGCCATTACCAGGAACCGACCATGACTAGAAATACTCAACTTCAACCTGAAGAGCATTTAGATAGTGGTTTTCAGTCATTTAGCTTCCTTCTAGTAGAAGCTTTAACAAAAGATTTCACACAAACACATATCTGCTACCCTGACTAGCTGTAGGGCTGTTTAGACCAGAGTCAGGAGTAACCCATTACTTGAAGCCATTCACCAGAAAGCGTAAAAAGAGAGAGGACGAGCAGATCGTTCTTAAAGAAAGCTCAATTCCCCTCCTGAGGTGACGTGACTTGCTTGCAATCATGGAATGAAGGTAACAACAAGAGATCCACTTCTGACGACCCTGGTGGACCCGAAACGCATCCTTAGTACCCTTGGGATCAAACATTTAACAGTTTTAGACTCACCCCCTTTCTCTAAAGAGCACTCCCGTTACACGAGAATCCCGTGGTACTCGGCTCTCTTGTACTTTGCAGCCAACAGCTCCCATTGAACAATAAAACGATCACACACTGGCAACACAAGCCTTCCAGATAAACTCAACCCGCTCACACGAGCCAAAGACTCCACATATATTATCCTCGTTCGACACAAGCCAAAGAACTTCATCACAAAAAGCACATACGCTATAGGTACACACGTTCCTGGTCCATTGATAAGCAAAACGTCAGGGTACGAAGGCTGGCGTAGCAAGCTTTGGAAACTAGCCAAGATCGACTCCAACGTAGTAAACACAGACAGCAGCAAAGACTGGCCCACCTTGCGTGCTCTTTTCAATGTAATATACGTGGAACTGTGGGGCACACTATTGATAGATTCCTCGAGACGTTTAGCCTTCTCCAACGATGTGGTATCGCCAGACGACACTATCCACGTCTTTTTCACCTTCTCCAAGTTCACAGGCAGCAAAAGACGAATCATCTCGCCAGTGTGGCCTCCAGAGCCTAGTAGTATCATCACATGGCCCTCAAGCTGCTTTGTAGAACCAGTGGAACGACGCTGGAGCGCTGGAAGCACGTATATAAGGCGTAGAAGAACAAGAAAGACTGGTAGTAGCACTGCCACCGTGGCAACGCAAATGAAGGTTTCTGTAGCCATGAATTGGTGGAAAGTGGTGAGGTGATGAAGTGGTAGTTAGACTGGGGTTCACGATGAGATCTATGCGCATTTAACAACAGACCACAGCGGGGCTATTTTTGGTGGGGAGGGCCAGGAAGGGAGGTTGAGAGATCTGGGTGGGGAGGGCCAAAGAGGCGTTAGGGATGTACTAGAGGCTGTGAAGAGACCATGGAGAGGTGGTGGAGAGGAAGTGGTTGAGGTATGGGTGGAGTGATGAAGGTAGACCAATCAGGTTAGGTGAAGGGGGGTGGACGTGGACTATGCCGGGTTATTTAGGCGCTGAAGTGAGCCTTCTGGGCCTGCTAAGGCTGTTTAGGTGACTCATAGGTCAACCTGGAAGCAGAACAGCCACGGTCCATCAGTAGAGTACAACAGAGAGATGGGTAGGAAAGTCAAGGTAGAAGCTGGAAAGGAAGAAGTATAAGTAGGCGGACAGTTCATCATCGACATAACTGCCCTTCTGCTGCTGCCCCTACCATTCCCTGTTTTCTATTCCTCATCTTCGTTCTATAATGTTAGTCTATGATCAATCATTAGAAAAGTGTATGAATCAGGGTTAAAAAGCTCTGTAGTTTGTTATTCCACATGGTGTTTCAGCTGAAGAAATTCGTTAACGTTGCTCATCATCATACTGGGTTGTTCGGTGTAACATACGTTTTAATGGTACTAGTTGTAGTTGTAGTGAAAAATTTGGAACCTCTGCGCTTATCTATATATGCTCTGGGGTTACCCGGTCAAGGCATCTCCAGGGCACCCAAGAAGGATGGAAATGCCGTGGAAAAGAGGATGAAGAATTTGAATATGAAGTTCTTTAAAGGCTAAGAAGGTGTATATTGAAGTTGTTTTGGGCTTTTTTTGTTGGTTGGTGGTTGGCGGTGGGCGGTTGGTAATGTGGGTTCTGAGAGATGTGGATTTATATGAAAAAACATGTAGTCTGGAAAAATGCAAAGAATTCGTCGGAGGTTTGAAAAATGAAAATTAACTGAATTCTGTTCTTCTATAGCTTAAGAGGCTTTTTCAGTCTAACGATGGACGTCCTAACAATTGAGAAGTACATGAACCAGTACTTAATGCCTTCAGTTTGATACATAAATACTCTTCATAAATACTCTCCCGAAACCAAAGCAGCTAAATTTTGGATACAAATTGAGTTCTTTAATATCCTTTAGTAATTGTAGTTTTAGTTCTGCAAACAAAGACCGTGATCACAGACATTGATCAGCATGAACGTATTTCATTCTACTACAGATTATACCAATGAAATGTAGGGTTTATCATCAGAAATGACCTAAATACTTTTTAAAATTAGTACTGATCAAACTCTGCTCAGTGTGACTTATAGGTTGTCCCTTCTTCTTCCGTGATAGACTGAACTCTGTCAATCAACTCTGCTTCCTAATAAAACGCTTAGAATAATCTAAAAGGACATAATAGTTTCCACCACTACTTAATTCAACTCATAGCTCCCCAAAATTAACATGTCCACTACTTAGCAATTATACTTTCCATCAAAACAGGCCATTAGGTGTACTTATAGTACCACGACCAGTGGAGCCAAATCCAACATCCAACCCGTCTCCGAGTAACCAACTAAAGCCGCAAGGTAGTAGATATACTAAATAAAAGTAAAATCAACCGATTTAAGTTTACCTGCCAACCACACTGCCTACTGTACTACCACACCTTCCACAGCCTACAACCTACAACCTACAACCTACAACCTCCACTCTCTCCAACCTATCCACCGCCCTCTGCTCCCCAACTCTACAATTCCTGATCTCCCACCACCTAAACCTTATCCCTTTCCCTTTCCCCCTTCCCTTTCCCTTCCCTCTCCCCCTTCCCTGCCTCATACCGAGGAACTCCGAGACACCTACTTTACCCTCCACTGCCCATCCAATTCCATTTTCCGAGTCACCAAACACAACCCTTTACTTTGCCCACCCCCAACTTTCCATCCCCCAAAACCACCTTCCTTTCCCATATTTAACCTTCTGACTGCTCGTGACTTCTCCAGACTCTGTTCTGCCCAAGTGGAGTTCTCTGTACTTTTTTTTTTTTTTTTTCGCAGCCAAACCAACAAAAAATGGACCATACATTTCCACCAATAGAACGTCCATAACCCTCCGCCATTTCCACGAAAAACGCCCCAAAATTCCCCCGAAAAAAGCCCCCCTCATCCAAATCACCAGAACTTTCCCATAAACACAAAACAAATTCAAACTTCCAACTCCTTCCCTCCAAAACCTGCCCTCCCCTGGCCTCGGCCATTTGCAGCCATTTCGGTGCGTCTTTTTTTTTTTTTTTTTTTTTTTTTTTTTTTTTTTCGACTTTTCCACCTTAATTTTTCCGCGAACCCCAGTCGACACTGGCTCGTGGGCCCCGACTTGGGCCGGGAACCCCCACCAAAATCCGCCAAAACCGGGCATTCCTGGCCAGAAAAAGACCTACCAAACCAAACCAACCACGATAATTCATCGCCCACCCCCACCAGGTCATTTTTAGGCCCAGAAACGCCAAAAATGATTATCTCTGTCCTGCACATAACCCCTCTCCAGCCAAAACCTCGGACGTTGGCGATTTCGCGGAGTGCCCTTTGGGTATAGGAGGGAGAGAAAAAAACCCACCGAAAAAACACTTAGCACTTCCATTTCCAAAAAGCTTGCAACCCTTCTTTTTACTCGAAGTCGCTGTTCCCCAAGCTTTTTTGTTAATTTCCACTTCCAATTCTTTACTATGTTGTCTAGAGTTTTCCGTGCTTCGAAGGTATGTATCAATGTGAGTTTGCTCGTTGGCTGTGAGTAGCCTCGTCCAGAGGCTACTCAGGATCGTTTAAGGGCATTGAAGACAGTTAAAGGCTATAAAGGCCATTGGAGGTCCCTGGACGCTATTGGAGGCTATTGGCGTTCAAAGAGTGCCATTGGGAGGATCCTGGGAAGGAGACTGGGGCTGTTGGCTATGGTTGCGTACCTGGCCGTAACAACCCTATGAGTTATCCAACGAATGGACGTGCAATTGGGGCAGGTTGGGCACGAGAATTAAGGAACCCGTTTATGGCTCTCTGCTGTGTCTGGACGTGGTTTTCTGGCGGCAGACCGTGTTGTTTGCGGTTTTCCAAAGCGGAATATACCATGGCGCTGGAATTCACTGGATTGGAGTACATTCCAGTGAACCCAGTGAACCCAGTGAACTTTTACTGTTACTCCCTTCCGATATATTCCAATTGCCCATTATCCACTGTCTTTGAGTTGTCCCAACGCTTCGTCCCAACGCTTCGGCTGACGCCTCGGCTAGGGCCTCGGCTAGGGCCTCGGCGAGCAATATCTTGAACACTACTAACCCACAGATCCAAAAGAGATTCCTTTCTCTTCACGAATTCCGTTCTGCCGCCATCTTGGAGTCCTCCGGTGTCGGTGTTCCAAAGGGTTACGCTGCCACCACTCCTCAGGGCGCTTTCGACGCTGCCCAGAAGTTGGGCACCAACGAGTTGGTCATCAAGGCCCAGGCTTTGACCGGTGGTAGAGGTAAGGGTCACTTTGACAACGGCTTCCAGGGCGGTGTCAAGTTGATCTCTTCCCCAGAGGAGGCCAAGGACTTGGCCGAGAAGATGTTGAACCACAAGTTGATCACCAAGCAGACCGGTGCTGCCGGTAAGGAGGTCACTGCTGTCTACGTTGTCGAGAGAAGAGACGCCAAGACCGAGGCTTACTTGGCTATCTTGATGGACAGATCTACCCAGTTGCCAATGATTGTTGCTTCTTCCCAGGGTGGTATGGACATTGAGGGTGTCGCTGCTAAGGACCCAGATGCCATCAAGACTTTCCCAGTTGACTTGAACGAGGGTGTTACCGACAAGTTGGCCACCGAGGTTGCTTCCGTCTTGGGCTACTCCCAGGAGGCCATCCCAGAGGCTGCTGAGGCTGTCAAGAACTTGTACAAGGTCTTCACCGAAAAGGACTGTACTCAGGTTGAAATCAACCCATTGTCTGAGACCCCAGACCACAAGGTTTTGGCCATGGACGCCAAGTTGGGCTTTGACGACAATGCCGAGTTCAGACAGAAGGAGGTCTTCTCCTGGAGAGACCCAACCCAGGAGGACCCACAGGAGCGTGAGGCCGCTGAGTACGGCTTGAACTTCATCAAGTTGGATGGTAACATTGCTAACATTGTCAACGGTGCCGGTTTGGCCATGGCCACCATGGACATCATCAAGTTGTACGGTGGTGAGCCAGCTAACTTCTTGGACTGTGGTGGTACTGCTACTCCTCAGACCATCGAGAAGGCTTTCGAGTTGATCTTGTCTGACAAGAAGGTTAACGGTATTTTCGTCAACATCTTCGGTGGTATCGTCAGATGTGACTACGTCGCCGAGGGTTTGATTGCCGCCACCAAGAACTTCAAGTTGGACATCCCAGTTGTCGTCAGATTGCAAGGTACCAACATGCAGAAGGCCAAGGAGTTGATCAACAACTCTGGTCTTAAGTTGTACCCATTCGAAGACTTGGACCCAGCTGCCGAGAAGATTGTCTCTTTGGCCCCAAAGGCTTAAAGTGATTCACCCCTAGTCCATCGTAGCGACAAATTCATACATTAGAAAGACCAATCGTTGTAGAGTAGTCACTGAAAGGGAAATGAAGTATTGGACAAGTGCCTTTAGTTCGAGTCTCGAGCCACATACTGCTCAGGGTCCACAACATGGTACTGGTCTTGTCTATACTGGCAACCTTAGCCCAACAGATGTGTAACAGAAGGCAAATCTGTGTCAATTAGAAGCCTTCAAGTCAATTGATAGAAGAATTGGGTATCCTCGGAGAGAAAGTATTTCTGTCTCTGTGGACTATATAAGTAGCATTTTGCAGCCATTCTCAGTCTCACTCCTACTAACCACTTCAAGAAACATCCACCTCCAAGCAATGTCTCCTTATGAAAAGGTCCCCTCTAAACCTCAATCGCCCGTGGCATTCACCGCCGGCGACGAAGAAGCCTCTGTTGGCACCCAAGGCTGGTACCTGAAGTCTAAGGTCTACACTCTTCCAGAGCACACTTGGGATTCGATCTCAGAAAAGCGTCAAACTAGAAAAAGTGATTTGAAGAATTTGGCCATTGCAGGTTTTGTTGCTACGGCTTTAGCCCTCCTCTCAATATGGGGAGCCATGTTCTTCCATGGGCTAGTCAATCAGTATTATTCTAGGCTTGACACCGAGTTGGTGAATGTCTACAACGATGTGGAATTGGCCTCTCGCTGTTTCCAGTTTGGTTTTATCGGTATTCCATGTTCTGATGAGCCGGAGCAAGCCAGCGCCGTTGAAGATACCAGTGAATGTGTTGGTAGTTGTCGTGAATTCTGTTGCAGTATCCAAACTAAATGCCTCAGGTTTGGCTCTTTTGTTTTAGACGCCCTCAGAGCTTGTAAAGTGAATGGCTCTAGCTGTGAGTCTACAGAAGAGCTCTTAAACGTTTTAAAAACAGCAGAAACAGGTTATTGGGTGGAAAAAGTCAGCGAGGGACATCTATTCAACTTGCACAGTGTCATAGATTTCAGTGAATTCTTGCGGTTGATATTTTTCCTTCTTGCAGTATATTTTACCGTCTCCTGCTATATGGTCTTTGTCAATTACAAGGTTCAGCAAGCAAGGCACCAGTTGTTGTGCAAACAAGAAGACGAGGGAAGTGAAAAGTCCTTGGCTTATTGGCGCAAGTCTTGAATTGTTTAGTTTAGTAACATGTTTGGTTTTATGGTTTTGTATATGAAGCTGTTAGGAGTATTTTACAATGGTCTTTCCAGCTGATATGGACTTTTGGTTCGTCTGGATATCAGTCCTCTGGATCAGTCTTCCTGGAGAACAGTCCATTGGGAAGCCCATTAGGATCTTCAATACTCTACTTTCTTTACAGCTAGTGAAGCGGTTCAAAAGACCTGGAAATTAATATTATCAAAAGCAAAGTGTTAGAGAATTCTGCGTTTCCATGGAGTCTATATGTTCTGTATTACTCTTGAGTCCATGTATGGAGTCTATGTATACTGATAATAGGGAGAACCATGGGCCATACATTGACACCCACTCCAGCAAATATCAAACAGAAAGAACCTAAAACGCCAGGATACAGCCTAAGAGAGCCTCATATCAACCACAAAACCCCATTTACAGTCCATCCATCGAAATACACCAACCCTTCCCTCTCTCCATAGTATACATGCTACACTGAGCATGTACCAAAAGGTCCACGCAAAACAGGCAATTCCCCACCAATTGCAACCCAAAAACCACCAAAATGATCCCCAAGCTTTCCTTACTAAAATAAACAGCTTTCCTTCCCTCTATCACCCCTCCACCTCCCCCAATCCCTTGATTCCCCATCCCATACTGAGTCCCCAAGGCCGTGTCGTTTTCGCAACCTGAATGTCGCGATGTCGTGCTTGCCACTACAAAGTTATCAAATCCAGCCTACTCCAGTCCAGAAACACCATCCACCTCCACCCAATTCCCCCTATAAACAGAGCCTCATGTTTCTTACAAGATCCGAATACGACAGAGGCGTGTCGACGTTTTCCCCAGAGGGTCGTCTTTTCCAGGTGGAATACTCCCTCGAGGCAATCAAGCTAGGGTCTACTGCTATCGGAGTGCTGACGTCTGAAGGTGTTATTTTGGGAGTGGAGAAGCGTGTGACGTCGCCACTCTTGGAGAGTTCGTCCATTGAGAAGATTGTGGAGATTGATTCCCATATTGGCTGTGCCATGTCTGGATTGACTGCTGACGCTAGGTCTATGATTGACCATGCTCGAGTGGCCTCGTTGAGCCATAACTTGTATTACGACGAGGAGATGCAGGTGGAGAGCTTGACCCAGTCTGTGTGTGACTTGGCTTTGCGTTTTGGTGAAGGTGCTCTGGGCGAGAAGCGTTTGATGTCGAGACCTTTTGGTGTGGCCCTTTTGATTGCAGGCATTGACGAGAATGGGCCTCAGTTGTACCATGCTGAGCCTTCTGGAACGTTTTACAGATACGACGCCAAGGCTATTGGCTCGGGCTCCGAAGGTGCACAGACAGAGTTGCAGAATGAGTACCACAAGTCGTTGACTTTGAAGGAAGCTGAGCTTTTGACGCTTAAGATCTTGAAACAGGTGATGGAGGAGAAGTTGGACTGCAAGAACGCCCAGTTGGCCTCTGTGACCAAGGAAGGTGGCTTCCAGGTCTACGACGACGAAAATACCGACGAGCTTATCAAGGAGTTGAACGAAACCGTCACTGACGACACACAGATCTAATGAATATACACCCGTAACTAGAATATCACTTTTTGCCCACTGGCACACACGCCTCGAGCTGCGTAGCAAATGCCAGCAATTGCTGGTTCTCGCTGGCGTCTGTGTTGCGGAGCAAGAACAACATATCGTTTGCCGCCTGGTAGAATGTCTCTGTGTAAGCATCCACAATCTGTTTGAACGACGCCGCTCTGGATCCAATCAATTCCGGACTGATCTCCAGGTCAGCAAACCGTTCAGGCATGTCTCTTCTGAATGCAGCAAATTGTCTCTCGTCCATCAACACCAACGACTTTTTGAGCCTGCTCATGTAGTTGTTGATGTGGATGACAATGTTTAACACATTGTGTAGACTCAGAAGAAGCTGCTCGTCTGTCACCATAGCATCTCGCAACATGTTGTTGAGATATGTTCCCACATGGTTTTTTAATTCTTGTACATCGTCAAAGTTCTCGTCGATGTGCTTTTGGGTGGTAGAGCCTTGCTTCTGGTTCATGGCGTTGATTTTCTCTTCAAAAACATCGTTGCCGCTGAAGAACGACTTGATGAAGTTCTTGTCGTTGCTTAAATGCTGAGGCGCTATCTCTTTGGATGCATTGAGAGCGTATTTGTCAAGGGTAGTCAGCAACTTTTCAAAGTTCTCCTCAACAATTGAGAAGTTGAAGTAGCTTTGAAGAGTGTTGATGAAACCCTTGACATTGGCATTGAGCGCTCTGCACCTTCCCACGTTCGCTTGAACAGCTGGATGGAACCCTCTGTACCTCCACACCGTCGAGAAATTGATTTCTTTCCATGTTCTGTCAGTGGACATACTGGCAAATTTCAAAATCATTTGGAGTTTGAAAAGAAGCTGGTACTCAAAGACAAAGTTATCGCCAATGATAAGATTAATTGGGAATGGGAGGTTTAAATCAACATTGACACTGGCAACAGTATATTGGTCAATGGCATCTAGATCATGCAGCGAACGAGGCGGCCTCTCGGATTCCGACAGCGATGCTTGACGCCGAGATAAGGACTGGCTGACGATTCTCTTGATGGCGTTCGATACAGATTCCGAATCCTTCAATTCTTTGTCGGCATCAAACGACTCAATGGCTATGATTTCCTCGGCAAGTTCATAGAAGTTATTGGAATCGACGTTGAAACTTTCACAGAATGGAAGAATGTCTGAAATCGTCGTGTCGCCGTCCTTTGGTTTATCCAGAGGCTTACGAACAATCTGATCATAAAGCCTTTGGACCCTGGCGGTAGGCACTGAGTGTTTATCCCTGGAGAGGTCGTGGAATGCTGAGGTGAGAAACTTGTCGATATGGAATGAGCGATTCAAGAGGAAGGTCTCGTGAAGGTCTTCAACAAGATTATGGAAGTGATAACCTTCAAGTAAGAGTCTCAAGAAGAGCTTATTTGCCAATTTATAACTGTGAATGATCTTGAGATGAAGATCTGGTGAAAACAAACTCCCAATTGGATTCGTAGACACTTGCTCAAACTCAGGGAGGTTCATAAAGGTGACGATACCGCTGCATTGACGAAAGATGTTAAGGTACTTGCCTGTAGCCAAAACCTTCTGTTGAATATCCTTATTTGCAAGCTGATCCGGTACACCATCAAGCTTGATAACATATAGCTCGCTCCAGTACTTCTCCATGTTCGAATAGAAGATGTTCGTCGGTAGGTCGTTCTTCTTGATAAGAAATTCACCAAAAGGATCGTCAATCTGGCCCTCTGTGAGCCATTGGTTGAGTAGCGATACATAGTCCGTTGAAATAGCGTCAAATAGCTGTGTTAGAAGCTGAAAGGCCTCGGAATCTCCCTTGTATGTATTGATTCGTTCTGTCACAAGCTGTAACACAACGCCACCTTTACACATGTTAAACTTGTTGGTATCGGTGGAAGAATTGATGGAGCCGTTCATCTCGAGGTCTTGTTTCACGAAGTCGAGGAATGAGTTGAAGCTAGGAGACTCCGTACGCTCTTCCGTCTTCGTATGTATATTATTGGCGATTTCATAGAGATGAGCCATAGTGTTAGCACAGCGTTGCATTATCAAGTTATCCATCTCCGTAACAGAAAGCTGAGCTCTCCTCAGATGGTTTTCAAACTCAAGCACAAGCCTCTGGTACTGTTTCAAAAATTGCTTGATTTCAAAACACAATCGCTGGTTCACTCTGCCCAATTTCGGATGATCATATATCTGAACAAAGTTATCAAGTCCCGAGAACCATTTGCCGTAGGTCGCTAGTTTCTTGGTGATGCTCTTCAAGGCCACATTCAAGTGTTTAGCCGTCTTAAAGTCAGGACCACGAATTCGATCTTGTACTCGTGTAGCATCATACCTCTCGCTGTAACGGACGTAGTTCCCCTCGTACCCTAGCAAAACAAACAAGAGATCTTTCACAACAAGCGCTTCCTGTGTTCTTGTGTCTGAGATGTCCAGCAAGGAACGAGGCTTAAGCGCCAGCGAGTAGGACGGGAGCGCCACGTTTGAACTGAAATAATTTGCCGTCAGGAGTTTCACCGAAAGTCCCGGTGCCGACGCCGAACTCATTTCCTTAAGTGGTTCTTTGTGTTGTGGATGAGATCAATGTATGTGTTTTGATTTTATCGCGACCGCGACTTTTTGTTGAGGTAGTAGGAAAATGGCTGCGAAATGTGCCCTTACAAAAGGGTACATTCCAGTGATACTCCTTAAAAGTCGTCGTCATCAAAATCGGCATCCAAATCGAGATCTTCTAGTGCCTTCTCTGCTTCGGCTTGTACTTGGGCAAGTCCACTGACTTCTTCCAAGTATCCTTTGTTGTTTAAGCAGCGCTTGACAAACTGCCATTTTTCCTTCTTGTAGCCTTCGACCACAGCTGGAGAACAGGCACTGCAACAGCTATAGGCTGGCGCCCAGAGCTTGTTCTGCTGGAAGGTGTTGAGATATCCACGGATTTGGTGTGGGACTTGGCCAAACTTCGTGCCGTCGTCGGTACCGGGAGGTGCACGTTCCTTCTCTGGATGCTGTAATATGGATACTAGAAGCTCCACTGCTGTAGATGAAGCCATTAGGGCGCCACCAGGACGTGTAACTGTGCACATCTGGTCGAGCGTACGGTCCAGAAGGGAATCGCTAGGCGCAACAACATCGTTACAGTAGTAGCAGCCTAGACGGTTCTCCATATCCAAGGAACCGTGTCTCATCACAAGGTAAGAGTCGAATCCAAGGGCTGCATTGATCACAATCTTATTATGAGCCAATCCCATCACAGTAGGAAGCCATCGGGATTCTCTTGAGTCCATAAGCAAGAAAATCACATCATGGTCCTTGAACAAGTCCACTAGTTTATCGTAGTTCTCCTCCATGTTGGATCCTTCTGCAACAGGATGACCAATCATCGGAACCGTCATGTTATAGCCTCTGGACGTCACTGAAGGGAAAATTTCCTTGAGAGCAGTGCTGGCCCGTTCAGCCTTTGGGGCACCTTGTCTGTTGGTATCACTAAAACAATCTTTAAACCCAAAAAGCGGTTGTCTCACTGGATTGGAGTACGAAACCCGTCCGTTATCCACAAAAGTAATTTCTCTGATTCCCCAGCCGAGAAGCGCTCTTGCAACATAGCTTCCGAGTGTACCAGCACCCAAAAGAAGCACTTTCTGGTCCTTCAAGATATCAAGATCTAGCTCAGGAGCTACTCTCCACTTCATAAGACGCAAATTCAAGTCTACGGCCTGCTCTGCAAGCTGTTGAGGGTTGATAAGCGAGCCTAGATCAGCCAACTTCGGCCCAAGCTTACCCTGGACGGTTCTTTCCCATCCAGTCACCTTTGGCGGTTCAGCCGGGTCAAATCCCGAGTCCAAAGACAACTTGAGTGTTTGAGACAGGCCATTATTCCTGTAAACCAAAAGCTTGATCTTCTTGTGGCCCTTAATGGCAACGAAGTAGAGCCAGTTTCTGAGCTGGACCAGCGGCCAGTTATCCCTGTTAAGGCACGAGTCCACATACACGAACGTCGAATTGTCGCCAGAAGCGTCCAACGGCACTATCTCGTCACCCTTAACCAGAAGAAAAGCCGCATGTGGCTTCCTCTTAAGGTACTCTTCGATCTGAAGCTCATACTCGTTGTTATTACTCTGCTCGTCCAACAGCCACGGCGAGTGAAGCAACGGGAACGCAAGCCAATAGTAGTACTTATACTTTTTCAAGTCTGCAAACGCCAACAAGTAGAATTTCTCGGTGAAGCCAGCGTCGCCAGCGTCGCCAGTCTCCATCTCCTTCTTCAATGCCTCACCCCACATTTTAAGACTGCCCAACTTATCAAACAGCTTAAACTCCTCGATGGTATTCACATTAAGCAATTCCCCCGGCACCCCAACCGTAGTAGCATCCTCCTCGTACTCCTCAAAGCTCGAGTGGTCCAAGTTGATAATAGGCGTATCGTTGAACTTGTTAAGGTGGAGTGGCAGCGTCATGAAGCCATGAATAGGACGCAGGCCCAGGTCAAGCTTGTACTCGTTGAGTTTCCGGTCAGAGAGGTTCGTAAAGAACGAAGACTCTACAAAAGACTGGATAGGCGTATGTTTAAGTGCCATAGTGAAAGGTATGGAAGAAACGTGGATGTAGATGATAAGGTAGGATGTAGATGATAAGGTAGGATGTAGTTGATAAGGGCGCGGGCTTAACTATGGGAGGCGTGGAGGGCATAGTATGGAGAGGAAGAGTATGGGGTAAGTGGAAGGGAAGATGTGGAAACTAGAAGAAAAGGAGGTAGGAAATGAAATGGGTTTGGGAAGGTTTGTTGGTTTTACTGGGGAGGAAAATTGGCTTTTTGGGGTGTTTGGCTGGGTGGTTTTGGAGGTGCCACAGTGAATGGCTGCAAACGGGAGGGTATAGTGAGGGAGGGAACAAGATAAGGTGGAATTTGGGGGAGATGAGTAAAGGATTAGCTTTTTATTGTTTTATGGTTATTTGGGCTACTTTGATATGGTTATTGGCAAAAATGGCTTGAAATGGGTTTCCTTGGTTGATAGATATGTATGTGTTGCCTGTTACCAAGCATTAGTCCTGACAAATCAATATATACTCTTTTATGAACACTCTTGTTGCTGCCTAAAACATTATTATTGCAATTTATATGCTTCTCCTACGCCTACACCTGCTTTGTTGCCTTCGGCCTTGATTTGACCATAATTATTACCCGATGCTAAATAAATTACTCCAAAGTCATGCCGTCAATTTCGTCCAACAACTCGTCAATGCCAATCTCTGGAGCATCATGTTCATCGTCGTCCATGTCAGTTTCATCATCCTCTGGACGACGGACTGGCTCCTCACCAGCCTTGTACAAGTTGATGGTCTGTCTCAAGTCCTGGTCCTCTTCCAACTCCTGCAAGAACAATTCGTAGTCTCTCTCGGCACGCTCCTGCTCCTGTTTGGCCTGTCTGGAGTCGTCGTTTGCCACAATATCGTTGTGCTCGCGTGCCATTCTCTTCAACTTCCACTGTCTGTTCTTCATCTTCTTGTTCTTTCTTGTGTAGTGCTTTCTGATCAAAACAACCTCTGGCGTGTTGTCGGTATCCAATGTGTCCCACAAGTCAGAGTTGATGTTTGTGTTGGTAAGGTAGTAACCAAGGGCCAGGTCACCTGGGTGCAAAATACCACCAAGATGCGAACGGATGTAGAAAGAGTGGTCATTGACGCCCAAGTCGCTGGCTCTACAAACGGTAACGTCTGCTAAAACATGCTTGCCCTTGACGTCACCAGTGGGCTCGACGTCCAAGACGATAAACTCCACAAGCTGAGGAACATCCAAAAGCGAGGGGAATGGAGATCTCCAGAACACGTTAGCTGAGAGGTCAGCCGTCTGAAGCGTATTAGGGTCCAAGAACTGAAGGGAATTCGTGACCTTGGAGCAGATCACAAGTCGAGAGATGTTTCCAAGCGAGTGGGCCAATTTCTTCGGGAGAACGACCAAGTCATCACGACAGATTGGTGCAATATCGACGGAAAATGTGAACTTATAACTGGACAGACCAGATTGGGTATCGATACTGATAAGTTCCTCGGAACGTTTCGACTTGATAGGGGCCACGGCACTCAAGAAGTCCAACATTTTCATGGCGTGATTTCTCTGCGAGTAGAAGAAGTCTAAACCATCTTTCGTCTCCTGAATGGAAATGGTGTCAACGTGGGCGTTATGCTTCAAAATCAACTGTTCCAAGTACAAGAAAGTTCTCTTGTGGGAAACCTTCTGTCTGATCTGAACGGTGGCTCTCCAGGTGTTAGCAGTGAAAGACTTAGCACAGTCTGGACATTGCATGGCAATCACCACGTACTCCACCTCGAACGTCTGCTGCACAATAGTATTCTGTAAAGCCTCGCCTTGCACGGTCAACTTGATTCTGATTCTTCTCGAGTGGGGCTCTGTCCAGATAAACGACGCATCGATCAACCTCACCTTAGACAAACCCTTAAGTCTACGAAGACAAATGGCCAAAAGCTCACGAGACTCCAACTGGGCACGGATCCACTGGCCTGGAGGCTGCAAAAACCTCTCACAGTTTCTGCAAAATGAAATGTTAGCTTCTCTTGGAATGCCCTCGGTGATATCCACATTAAGCTTAATACAATCATAGCACATCACAAGTCCCAGTCGGCCGTCCATAGGCACACCACAGTTACAGCATAGCACGGTGGCGACGGGCCCGGAACCTGTGGTTTGAAGCGGGGCGTATTCGGACATGGTTGTGTTGGGGTGGATAGGAAAAGAAGGTGTAAAGCCTTTAAGGAGTATTACTAAGAGGAATGGGATGAGATGAGCAGCGGAAAAATTGGAGGCCAGGCTGATGTTGCACCCGTACACCAGCTTACCCCAGGTTGTCCACCCCTCCGCCAAATCCCCAAGGATGGAGTATTTTGGAAAGAATGGGAGTCTGGGGATGTAGATATTGGGATTTGGAGTACGGAGGTGGTTTTGGAATTTCAATTGGACCGTTATTGGTGGAGATACGGCGGATAGTGTGGTTTAAGTGGAAATCGACGACCAAGCGGAGAACATACCCCAAATACAAAACCAAAGAAGGCCAAAGAAGCACTGTTCCAATTCATTTTACTTAAAGCACCCTACTTTCCTCTTACCTCCACTGGGTGGGTCGTTGGTGGACCCTGGACAGAAATTTGCAACTTCCTGCATACATTCCACCTGGAGCTAATCGAAACGCTTCAACACTACAAACGTATCCAAATCCATATGGTGGACAGAAAACGTGGGGCGGCTTCAAGCGAGACGCCGACGAGAAAAATCCGTAAAGGGGCTCATGCCGAGCGGCTCAAGCGGGAAGAAGAGGCGGACAATTCGCTGGAACCCTCGCCAAGTCCCAAACCAGACGACGTGAAGGTCAAGACAGAAGACGAGGAGAATGAAGAGGAGGAGGAGGAAGATGATGAAAATGACGAGTCTTTTGGTGAAAAGGAGGAATCGGTGGCGAATGGGAAAGTCGAAAAAGATAATGACGATGATGATGACGACGAAGATGACGATGAAAACAATGAAAACGACAACGACAACGACAACGAAAACGAAAATGAGAATGGAGATGAAGACGAAGATGAAGATGAAAAGAGACGAATAACCACTTTCAATTTCGACGGCGTCGAATACTCCTTCAAAGAAAGACCGTCTGTGCTCGAAGAACGAGACGGTAAGATCGAGTTCCGTGTAGTCAACAACGACAACACCCGAGAAAACCTAATAGTGCTTACGGGACTCAAGAACATTTTCCAGAAACAGTTGCCCAAGATGCCTCGAGAGTACATTCTGCGATTGGTGTACGATAGATCACATTTGTCGATGGCTGTGGTTCGTAAACCACTTACGGTGGTTGGAGGAATCACGTATAGACCGTTTGACAAGCGAGGTTTTGCTGAAATTGTCTTCTGTGCTATTTCTTCTACAGAGCAGGTGCGTGGTTACGGTGCCCATTTGATGAATCATTTGAAAGATTACGTTCGTGCTACGTCTCCAGTGAAATATTTCCTCACGTACGCTGATAACTACGCCATTGGGTATTTCAAGAAGCAGGGCTTCACGAAAGAAATCACCCTAGATAAGCTGGTCTGGATGGGTTACATCAAGGATTATGAAGGCGGTACGCTAATGCAGTGTGCTATGCTACCCAGCAGATTACGATACTTGGATCTGGGTAAGATCCTTCTTCTTCAAAAAGCTGCTATAGAAAAGAAGATCAAAATGCGTTCAAAGTCACACGTTGTTCGTGCTGGTCTTCGCGTGTTCAAGAACGCTGGCCCAAACTTCAAACTTCAAGCCAAAGATATCCCAGGCCTTCTGGAGAGCGGATGGCTGGAGGAAATGGACAAACTAGCACAGAAACCAAAAAGAGGTCCACATTACAATTTCATGATGACGCTTCTACAAGAACTCACCAACCATCCTTCTGCCTGGCCATTTGCCGTGCCTGTTAATAAAGAAGAGGTCGGTGACTACTATGATGTAATCAAGGAACCCATGGATCTCAGTACTATGGAGCTGAAGTTGGAAAACGACAAGTACGAATCTTTCGAACAGTTCATCTACGACTGCCGTTTGATCTTCAACAACTGCAGATCTTACAATGCCGAAACAACCACCTACTATAAAAATGCCACCAAACTCGAAAAGTTCCTTAATAAGAAGATCAAGGAAAGCGCTGATTACTCGCACTACTTGGACTAGATGCAATAAACGTTGGGGAGTGCACACAGTGGCCACCATCGGCACTGGCGACTGAGTACCGTTGCACACCCACCACAGCTTTTATCAATTGTGCTTGATTGCTTCTTTTAATTAAACTCGAAATGGTTTCTTTATACTCCCACAGAGAGTCATCTGATGTCGCCAAAGCCGTTGGCGCTTACATTATCAAGATCCAGGATGAGGCTGTGAGCAAATCTGGAGTTTTCAAGGTTGCGGTCTCTGGCGGTTCTTTGGGTAAGGTTTTGAAGGCTTCGTTGATTGACGATGCACAGCTTTCCAAACAGGTCAAATGGGACAAGTGGGAAGTTTTTTTCAGTGACGAAAGAATCGTTCCTTTGGACCATGCTGAGTCTAACTACGGTCTTTTCAATGAGAAGGTGCTCCTGAGCTTGCCTGCTGGATCTCCAAAGCCTAAGGTCCATGCTATCAATGCTTCTTTGATCACTGGCCAGGATGGCCAGCTCGACGGTGCTGATAGCAGCAAAGACGAAGCTATTGCTGAAGAGTACGAGAAGCTCTTCGCCAAAGATGCCCACCTTGACTTGGTTCTTTTGGGTTGCGGTCCTGACGGACACACATGCTCCTTGTTCCCTGGCCATGCATTGCTCCAGGAGAAGAACAGTCTAGTGTCGTTGATCAGAGACTCTCCAAAGCCACCACCAAGAAGAATCACCATCACCTTCCCTGTGTTGGCCCAGGCCAGCAACATTGCTTTCGTCGCTGAAGGCGAGGGTAAGGCTCCAGTCATTGACGAGATCTTCACCAAGGCTGACTCCCAGTTGCCATGCAAGTACGTCAACGATCTCAGCGTCCCAGTGACCTGGTTTGTCAACGACGCTGCACTCAAGAACGCCAACGTGACCCCATCCAAGTATTAGAGGATACTCAACGTTGAAACATCGTTCAAACAAGCCAAAACGACCTTATCAAGGTTCGTCGTTTGGATGTGAGACAATGCCGGCGCCCAAGCCTGCTGCATGGCTCAGCGGCGCTAACTACACAATACACATATAAAGACATTTAGGTTCCACCGCACGTAGTCCACGAACCCCATTTCCTCTTTTTCACCACCTTGACCAATTTTTCACAGGCCATCACCATATCTTCCACAAAACTCACCGATGTCGGCTCTAACTGAGATTCGCACCAAGTAATCAATTATCAACTAGTGGAACTATGGGTATGTACCAACGTAACTGGCCCCTCCAAAACATATACTAATTCACAGCTTTAGGCGTTGCATTGTGGCTATGTCCTAAGAAAAACCTGGGTCTCCAGGATAAATTACAAACCGTAATGGGTTCTCTCAACACAGTGTTCCCAGGCCTGCCTCCTCGGTTCGAGCCTCACATCACCATCTCCACCAACTTGGCAGTGGACTTGGCCAATCCCAAAGACGATGTTAACAAGATCCTCTCTCTGTGTGCTGCAGCACTTTCGCTGCTTCCGAAAGCTGCCAATCATGAACACTGGATCCGCTTGGGCCGGGTGAACAGCCAGAGGAAGTACTTCCAGAAACTCTACTTCCAGGTACTTGACGAGCCAACGCTTTTCTCGTTTGCACGTATCGTGCAAGAGCTCTTTGTCTTGTTACCAGCAAAGACAGACGCTGAACATAAACAGAAGAACCCACACTTGTATCATAAAGACCACAGCGGGAACCTTGTGAGACGAAAACCTCTGACCAAGTCCAAGGAGCCAGCACGTGAAGTGGAAGTGGACGTGGGAAAGCTCCAGCGGGAACTGGCCCAGGAGGCTGCCGCTTGGGCTGTGGGTGAATACAACCCACACCTTTCTCTTGTCTACAGTGATCTTTACCCCATTGACAATGCCTTGTGGCATACTATTCGCCTGCGTGTGCTGGACTACTTGGGTATTGACAATTGTGACCTGGACTCATGGAATGAGGAGGGTAACGGTCTTTCCTGGGACGGTGGAGTGTTGAAGTTGGTGCTCTGTGAGGGCGACGTCAACGAGTGGGTTGTACTTGGTTCTGTGGATGTTTAAGGACGTTGGTGATTGCAAGCACTTTGTGCTTGGAGTATAAGCCTCTACTTGTGTGTTGCCATGCCGATGGTAGTACTTTTAATCGTGGTCTCGTCGTTCATTAATATTTCAGGAACGAAAGGCCTCTGAAAATGAAGTTTTCACCGTAATATATGTACAAGTAACAATAGATGTAATGTTTGAAATTAAATGAAAAGTGGTTTATGAAATGTAGGTGGTTGTGAAGGTATGTTGAATCTGCTCTACCACTCCCATTGCTGGTACACTAGAAGTATATAGTGCGTTTTGCAACCATAAACCACCCCCGGTGAAAAATAGCCTTTCCAGGAAGAAAATAACCAGAAAGTTGGTGAACATGATTCCAATGACTTTGAAGAATCTTCCGCTGCATTTTCATCAGTTTCTCATGAAAATTCGATTTTTGGTGACGTTCTTAAGTATCCTCTATTCTTCCTTCTCTTCTAAAGTACATACTTTTCCATAGATTATACTCACATATTGCGAAATACACAACTTCATAAAACTACAAAGTATCATTAAAAATCGAAATCTTCTTCAATTCCCCTATAAATCAAAATCCTTAAACTAACCATTCCAAATAACCTACCATCCAATTTTTACAAAATTCGAATCCCTCCATCAACACATCCTTGTTGCTGCTTCCTCACCGTTGATTCGCACTGTTTATCTTTCACCATCACCACCTCGCCATGACCGTGTCACCGTCCAAATTGGCCCTCAAGGGGTCCTCCAAAACCGTGGTGGACTTCTTTGAGTTCGCTGTGCATAGTATACTTTTCCAAAGAGGCATATATCCGCCTGAAGACTTTGTTACGGTGAGAAAGTACGACTTGCCTATCCTTATGAGTAGTGATAATGACGTGAAGGACTACATTGGCAACATCATGGAACAGCTCAGGAAGTGGATCTATGGCGGGAGGTTGCTGAAACTAGTGGTGGTCATCTTGAACAAGGCAACGACGGAACCCGTGGAGAGATGGGTGTTTTCAATTGATATACAGAAGGAAGGTGAAGAACCTGCTGAAAAGTCTAAACAACAGATCCAGAGAGAGATCCAGGCGATCTTTCGCCAGATCACGGCGTCTGTGTCGTACTTGCCGTTCTTGCAAGACGACGAGTACACGTTCAATGTCTTGGTGTATACGGATCCAAGCTACGATAGCAGAAGAATACCCACGGAATGGGCAGATACCCATGGAGACGGGAAGTTGATCAATGGAGAGGCAGACTCGGTGGACTTCTCGAAGTTTAGCACGAGTAACCACCTGGTCGGCACGTCTGTCAGTTACAAGCTTGGTTAGATAGAATTTGGGATTATATGTTACATAGGGTACATAGGAAGAAAAGTTACTTTGCTTATTGTGGGGGGTCGTTCTCGCCTTCCTTCAGTCTTTCATGGTTCGCTTTTCTAACCTCCTCGTTCTTGATCTCTTCCTTCTTGATCTCCTGTTCCTCTCCGTCCTTTTCGGTAGTGTCCTGGCACTCGTTAGAGAGTTCTTGATTTTTTAGCTTGGACTCGAGCATCTCTTCCTTCTTGGCTGGCTCCGGCTTCACATCACGTTCTTCCTCTAGATCCTTATTTTGCTCCTTTTGGTCCTTTTGTTGTTGCTGCTTCTGCTGTTTGTTTTGTGGACGCAAGACAGCAAACTCTGTATCGAAACGTCTTCTCTTATTACTGATGATGAAACGGGCGGCTCCTCTTGATGCCACAGAGTAGTCCCACTTCCTCAAGTACAGGTCCTGTTTAAGAAGATTGTTGGCAGAAACGCTTTGCTCACTGAGCACCTTCAAGTCGTTGAAACGCAGTTTCAATTCCATGAACTTGAAGATCTGCTCCTTGCCGCTATCTGGGTCAACAGGAGGAAGGTATTCATTAAGAATCAGAAAATTCATCTGGTGAACGTAGTAGTCCAAAATATAGACAATGCCTTCGTTCACCAAAGTTTCTGGACACCTGAACATGCCCATGGAGTCTATGTTCTCTAGTATTTCACTGATATCCTTTGGCTCTTCGTCAGTTGGGCCATACTTGGCTTTGATATCCTTAGGGGCCAAATTGAGCGATACTATGACAATGGCCAAGGCAATGCAATGAGGTGGAATGACAAGACACAATGGTGTAGACATGATATCAAAAGACACGAGCCAGCTGAAAAGCGTTAAACTATAATCAAGACCCAACTCTTTTGAAAACAGTGTCACCAAGTAATCCACAGAGGGCACATTGGCAGCACCATTCAAGAAATCAAACTTGAGAACCTGAAGAAGCTTGAATTCCAAGCTCATGATGATCTTTCTTTGCATCTCAATAAGCGGCAACAGAGTACCAGTGCTTTTATTCACCACCTTGACATCCTGGTCAACCTCTCGAAGCTTGTTAGCAACCAGCTGCATGTCTCTAAGTTTTTTAATACAATCTTCATGCTTGGTGGCCAAGAATAAACTGGTATATGCGACCAAGTAGGGATCTTTCTCGAGCTCTGTAAGAGAGTCACTCTCTGGATTCTGATCATTAGGTTCCTCAAACACATTAAAGAGGTAGTAACGGGAATAGTAGTTCATGGCAGTTGCAAGCACACGAAGTGGGAATTTCATGATCTTGACCACTTGGAATAAAAGCTGGAAGATCTGATGCTTTCTCTGGTTATATGCTAGTTTCTTGTTCTCTGGGATGGTGTTTGAATGAAGGTAGGAAAGTTCAGCAAGAGTGAAGAATGGCCTGGAGACTTGGAGGATGGTAGGAACGTCGTTTCCATTTTTCACATTTGGAGCGCCAGGCTCCTTTCTCTTGTCTACCATTGCTTGATGGGTTTACTAGTGGTAGGTTTTCAGATTTAGAGATGTGAGAGCGCGGTGTACGGGTGTACACGGAGGGATAGCGACTTGCAATGGATGCAAAAAGCCAATTGGCAGCCATTGAGCTACGGGAACGTATAGAGAGGTTTATTGAAAACATACTACGGTCGGGAAAGGTCCGGACGGAGAGGTACTCGCTTAAGCGGAGAAGGACAAGGAAACACCCAACTTGTGGACAGGCTCAGCCAACTTCAAAGCATCGAAGGAGGCACCCAAACCCAATCTAACGCCAGGTCTCAATTCCTGGGAGTAAGCCAAAGCGGTCAAACCAGAGTCGGCAACCTTAGCCTTGACGAAAGCGGTGGAGTCCAACTTGTACTTGGTGGCGAACTCGACGTTGACGTTGGAGGACTTGACAGAGTCCCAGGTAGCCTTGGCACCAGCCTCAACCAAAGGAGAGACCTTGTGGTAGTAAGCAGCGGTGAAGACAGACAAGTTAGAGGTGGAGGTGACAGCGACGGTGTACAATGGGTTGGCGTAACCGACACCAACAGAGTACTTGTTGAGCTTGGCAGAGGCAATGTCGTAGCCCAACTCAGCACCGGCGGTGAAGCCATCGTGAGCGACAGTCAAGTCAGCGGTGGCAACAGGACCCTTGAGCAAGTCAAAGAACAATCTGGCGTTGACAGCAGACTGCTGGTAGAAGAAGTTCAACTTGGCGTTCTTGGAGCCGTTTGGCACAACGGAAGTGTCCAATTCACCCTTGAGGCCTGGGGTCAACAACTCAGACAACTCAAACTTGGTGGACAAGGTGTTGGCGTTGTTCCAGCCCTGGGTCAAGGTCAAACCAGTGGCCTTGTCGGCGTACTTGGCCTCGACGGAAGCGGCAATGGCATTGTCCTTAGCGGTCTTACCCTTGACGGTGAAAGCGACACCGTTTGGAGCGGTGGACTTGACGTCAACGGCAGCGGAGTTCAAGTGGAAGAAGTCCTTGGAGAGCAAGTCGTTGGAGGACTTCTGGATGTCGGAGAAAGCAACAGGGGCCATTGTGAAAGATTTGAATTGGGAAGAAAACTAGATCTTTTAGAAAAAAGCGCTTGTTTAGGTGGGGTGCGAAAAACGTGGATCAGGAAATGGGCCTCAAATTTATATGTTGAGCGTGAGAGGCCCCACCGTTGGTTCCCAAAGGTTTAGAGGCAGAAAAAAAGGCGCACTCACTAATTGTGCGAACAAAAAAAAAAAAAAAAAAGATTGAATGAATGAATGAATGAACGCGCGCCCTGGCCCCGGGGTCCCCCAACCAACACACCGCCCACGAAGAAGAAGAAGTAGTAGGTTTAGTGAATTAATTAAAGAAGAAAAAAAAGGTGGGAATTGGCTGTTCATATAGTGGTTTGGACGGGCAAGGGGGCAACAGACCCGTGCCTCGGGGTTTGGAGTGCACGTGCTGTGGCACCAAAACAGGTTACGGCGTGACGGGCTCCACACGGTCAGTGTTTAGATATGGTGGGGGAAAAAAAGGACCCGGCTGGGGAGGTGCGAAAGGGAAAAAAAGGGTACAAGGTTGAGATCTGGGGAGTGCTAGGAGGCCCAGGAGGGGCAGACCAACCAGAGGCTAATGACCGAGGAGGATGGAAAGGAACAGAAATGAGTGGGTGACTGGAAGGGGGCACTTTTTGACCGAATGGGTGGCGTCTAAGCTTCTTTGTATTCTCTTTTTGTTTCTGGTTTTAGTTATATGTTCTTAGCTTCGTGGTGTAGATGGATGTTTTGTGGCTTTTCGCAGCCATTAACGGTGGGCTGATCTGGATGGATGGCTAATGTAGGAGGTACTAAATGGAAGAAGGTGGAACGCAGGGAAGAAAAGGATGAGAAGGGCCAAGTGGTGTTACCAGTGGGGCGAGGGCTTAATGGTTTGGACGAGATTTGGTGGGTTGATTTAGGCTGGATGGGATAGGCTGGGGTCGTTCCTGTGGCTGGAGTGAGTGTGTTTCTGACTCTGTTGGGGGAGATTGTAGGTGGACAAGGCGGTGGAGGGATAGACATGGCGTTTCCAAGAGTGATTGAAGATATGTATATATTGTTCATTTTGACTCTTTTGGGTCATTTTCATTGAGTATATCACCTTCTGTGCATTGGTTGTCTGGCTGGGACTGACTCCATGGTTTCGCAGCCATTCCTAAACGAACCACTAAAGAGCTATAGTCCATTGATCCCCAGCCATTGGCAACCCCAGAAGTCCAGTAAGTAATTGACAAATAAGGATAAGTGAAGCAGGTGCCTCAAGACAAGTATCAAGATCCACTTTCTTCAAAAACCAACCCTTCCATCCCCTCATCTATCCCACCATGAAAGTCTACTTCGTCAATTCCACGCCATTGCTCGTGGAATGCCTCCAGAAAGCCATTGCCGAAGTTTCTCCATTTCTTCCACCGTCGGTAAACTTATCAGTGGTACCAAAACCACTCCAGCTGTTTCTTTCAGCCAAGGAGAAAGAGCCAATGGCTATAGTTACCCCAGCCAACTCTTTCTCATTCATGGGAGGTGGCTTCGATAAGGCTGTTCTCTCTGGCATATCCTCAAGTCCTCACAAAGAGAGGGAAGTTGAACTGGCGATCCAAAACAACACGTTACTGCTCCACCATGGCTTTCTTACTCCTGGTCAGGCTCATACAGTCAACTTGGCTGATATCCCACACACCAACGACTCACTAGCCGTCAAACAAGGCGTCACTTCTTTAATCCAAGTCCCCACAATGGAAATCCCCGAAGTGATTTTGTTCGATAGAGTGTTCTACTCCACTTGGGCAGCTCTTGGTGCTCTTACTGCTACAGACGTAGAGGCAGCTATATTTCCCGGCTTTGGCGCTGGTTTTGGCGGTGTTCCTCCAGGAACGTGTGCTAGGCTTATGGTAGGTGCTATTGCACTTTGGTACATGCCAGCACCTTCGCCATTGGCCCGTTCAGCTGCTGTTCTCTTATACCTACGCAGAAAGTATGTGAAACTCGGGAAAGCCTCTGACATTGTCGCCCTTGAAGCTTACTATACGCCTTTTGGAAAGGAACTTAAGAACGAGAAGGGGAAAGAGTCTCAGCATTGGCCCCTTCCATGGCACAAACTCGTGAAAGGCCTAAATTGGATAGAAAGCCGAAATGACTAATTCTGGTGATAACTACTACTTGGGTGCGAAAACTGATAAGCATCAATACTACGCGTCTTTATGACTACCACTCGTTACAAATACACATTGGGCTTTGTTTATTGTCCAGAAACAAGCCAGGTGCTTTTTCTTAATAGACAAAAACTGCCCTGGATGGGCCGCTGGAACGGTGTGGGCGGGAAACTTGACCCAGAAGAGTCGCCTCTTGAATGTATAGTGAGAGAGACAGAAGAAGAAACTGGGCTTCAGGTGCCTCTGTACAAGGATAAGGGAGTTTTGAGATGGGTTAGAGATGGTGTTGATCTTGGAGGAGTCCATTTGTTTGTGGGAGAAGTATCTTCTCTGTTTGTCGCTGCTTATAAGACTCCAAAGTGCTTCTGCCATGAAGGTATACTAGATTGGAAGAAGTTAGATTGGTTGTTGAACAAGGAGAACACTGGAGTTGTTGATAATATCCAGATTATTCTAAAAACACTTATTGAGCTGGACGAGCGCCGTGTGTGGATTGCAGAGTACACAGATGGTCAACTCTCACGGTGTGAGTCTCTTGAGACATTGTGAACAATGGTGATTGATCCTTGACGTTATAGACGCGTCGTGAAGCCACAAAGAAGTCTAGATTTACGAAGCATTCCGAATAAACATTCTACTATAATTTTACCCATTTCTCTATTACTATGAAAGTAGGCAGTAACCTACGTCGTCCAGAGTCTGGCAGTACCATCGGCACCAGCACTGAACAACCATGCTTCTTTAGGATGCCATGCCAACTCCAACACACCTATGCTAGAAACGACCTTGTGGCCAGTCAACTTCTTCAATGGAACCAACAATGGATTCGTCATGTAGTCATCATATACTGTGGCGTGGAAAACATGGATGGAGCCATCGTCAGAGGCCGAGGCAAACAAGGGCAATTTACCCTTATGGAATTTGATCGAACGAACAGCCTTTTCGTGGTACCGTAACGTCTTGTACGGCGTGGCGGCCAAGTCCAAGTCATGCCACAAGACACGCTTGTCGTAGGACGATGCTAAAAGATGATCACCTCTAGGATGGATGTCAATGCCCGAAAGCATTCTGGCACCAGGCATCAATTTCTTGACAAGCTGTTGTTGTGCCAAATCGTAGATACGGATAGTACGCTGGGAACTGACGAAAAGCTGTGGTTTGAATGGATGGAAACGGGCGTCCATGATGATACCCTTGGATTTGCGGAATGGCGATTGGGACAAGTGCTTAGACAACTGGTGGATAAGCACGGCAGTGTGGTTGGATTCTGGTGCCACCGTGACGAAGTAGTCACCCTTTCTGTGCCAGGAGAGCTTCTTGACTGGCTTCTTGCACTCAATGATGGCAGCAACACCTTCCAGCGACTGGGTAGCGTTTGGCGTATACCATTTTGCAACCTCCTTCTTTGGCTCCAGGCCACCGCTCTTAGCATCTTCGTCGTCCAGGTTCACGTTGATATCTGTGTCCTTACGCTTGTTGCCGAATGTATCGTAACCCCAACCAGCTTCGATTCTGACCCTGGCGTTATTTTCGAAATCGAAACCGAAAACTGGAGGAACCAAAAGGTAGATTTTCTCAGCAGCAGCAACAGTCAAAATAGCAGTGCCTGGTTCTGGATGCCATTCCAAAGCATCGATTTTATCTTCTGGGTCTTGTTCAAGGTAAACAGCCTGGAACTTGTAAACCAGTCTACCTGTAAGGACTTCCCAAACTCTCACAGAACCGTCATCGGAACCTGTAGCCAACCAGAGACCTTGTGGGTCAACAGAAAGCGTTCTGATTCTGCCAGTGTGACCATTGTAGACAGTAGAACAACGAATAGGGAAAGGTCTCAAGTCCTTTGGAGAAGGCAATTCTGGAATCAAGGACTCAGGGTCAATGTTCAATTTGCTGTGACGCACACGAGGAGCCAAGTACAAGTCCAAACATCTATCGAAACGTTCACGAACAGATTCGGAGTAACCAGGCACTTTTCGTAAAGCAGCATATTTCTGGGGCATATAGTTTGTGTCTCTGGCAGCAGGTTCAGTCTCAAGCCACTTCTTCTTTTCTTCCTCGTCAAAGAGGTACTCCTCAGGTGGGTTATAAGATTCGTCATTAGTAGGAGGAGGCAATTTAGGAGCTCTCAAGTTCATCACATGGTTGTTTTCTGGGTCCTCGTGTTCCCACAAGTCGAAGTTGTTCTTGTCCTCGTCAGCCTTAGCCTTGGCTGCTTCTGGAGACAAAATCTTACCCAGACGAATAGCACGGACGATCTTCATCACACGCTTAGCTTCATGACGAGAAGGCTGGAAACGAGCCTTAGGCTCTGGAGCAGCACTAAGAGGCATAACTTCAGTCTTGGACGTGAACCACTCGATAGTAGGCTCGTATGGGTTGATAGCTTCATCTGTTTGTTCCTGGTTCTGGATCTTACGGATCAACTCCAATTCATCATCGGTCAACTTCAAGGACTGGCCAGTGTTCTGGTCCAAAAGACCAGTCCATCCTTCAGGCAAGTCAATCTGCTCCAAGAGCTGGTCCAAAGCAGAGCCTCTAGCTGGTCTCATGATACGCTTACCGTTGATATCGTAACCAATGTGAGGCATCTCTTCATAGGCAGAAATAGGAATGTTACCAATAGTGTTAAAATTCTCAGCATCCGAGTCGTCTGAATCGTAATCAGGGTTGATCTCAGGCTTGATGATACGAGTACGGCCGTCTGAGAACTTCGAAACAATCTCTCCGTTATCCTCGTCCTCTAGCGTCTGGAGCTGGACTCCACTGAGCTTGTCTGTAACAGCAGAAGAGGCAGAGTCAGAGGAAGCATCACTATCGTCGCCCTCATCATCTTCATCCTCCTCTTCGCTTTCGTCATCCTCCTCTTCATCGCCTTCCTCCTCAGCAAGAAGCTTATTAAGTTCAGCATCACTGTCCTCTTCATCTTCCTCATCCTCATCTTCCTCATCGGAACCGTCCATCGTCAAAATACCATCGACCTTGAGTTCAGGCTCGGAGGGCTGTTCCTCGGTATTTCTTCTCTTTCTGTTTCCTCCCGAAGCTGCCGCCTTTTCGCCAGGGCTGGCGTTTTTCGATTTGGCCATATCTGCTTCTGGATGTTCAGTGCTTGGATGTGGAAAAAATCCCAAATCCATCCCATCTCATCAGGGACTGCACGCACACCTCCAACCCCAGAACACTTATCAACACCAAGTGGGCAGCTTTGGGGTATTTTCTGTTTATCTGCAGTTGCGATGAATGCGATCCATCGAATCAATGCTATCAACCAGAAGGAGCTAGAAAATAACGTTTCTGATGAGGCTTCGTGGCATGCTGACTATGCGGATACATCATATATCTATATTGGAAACCTCCATGAATCGCTTAAGGAGAAGGACTTGGTGACGATTTTCTCCCAGTGGGGGAACCCTACGCATGTGAATTTGATCAAGGACCGGGAGTCTGGGAAGTCAAGAGGGTTTGCGTACTTGAAGTATGAGGACCATCGCTCTTGTGTACTTGCAGTGGATAACTTTAATGGCGTGCTTATATACGAGAAGCCTTTGAAAGTGGACCATACATACTACCAGCTTCGAGAGGGGCAGGAGGAAGATGACTTTATGGTGGATTACTCGGAAGCAAAGAGGGAACAGGCCAAGATAGAGGGTCCTAAGGAGAAGAAGGAGAAGGAGAAAGAGGCTAGACAAAGCATTGAGGCTGGGCCTATTGCGGATGTGGTTGATATGTCTGTTTCCAATGCTTTTGTTGCCGACGATGACGATTTTAACGATCCTATGGCCAATATGCTTAAGAGGCCACTGGAAGAGAAGAGCAGACATAAACATAAGAAGAGAAGGCATAGACGGGAGGATAAGAAGAAGGAGGAGGGGGATAAAGAGGACGAGAAGAACCAAGAAGACAGTTAAAGTATGGTCCTACGACTGATTCCCTGACTATCGTTTAATGTCCTTACTATTTACTGGTTTTTGGTCACTTGTGACAAGGCATAGCCCTTATAATATGAAAAGAACTTTGTCTTCTCCGCCAAGTTCAATTCGTCACCAACCAACGATAATCCGTTGTCGGGGAAGACCTCTCTTGCAGCCTTCAACGAGAATTTGGTCAGTTCAACATGTGGCACGATCTTTGCCTTGACAAACACTTTACCAACTGTGAGCAACTTACACACATACTGGAAGCGTGTTACGTTAGGCACTGGCAATGTAATGAGGTTAGGGTACACTCTGAGCACAATGGTCAGGAACGAGAAACCAGGCAATTGGAGCAATGCTGGGTCAATGGTTTTGTTGAAAGGAAGCACTGCCTTGTTATTGGAAGGCGTTTCCTCGGGGAATAAAATGACAAACTTATCCTTGAGCGAAACATAATCTTGGAGCACTTCTCCAGGCAATGGAGCGTGGGGTTCCAAGAAAGGCACCTGTGAAAACTGCCAGAAGTTCAATGCATACAATTTAGTTCCTCTTGGAATCACCACAACAACGGAATTAATCGACTTGACTGCAGAAATCACATACAAGATCAAAACGTCGATGGGCGACACATAGTTTGCAACCACCAAGTGATTAAGGCCAGGCCTCTTACGGTCAATTTCAGCTGTTTTTGCCTTCCTCACGCCTTCCACCAGTAGGTCAATGTCTGAAACACCGAAAATATGCTTTAGAATGATCAGAAAGACGGGTTTTGGTGCGATCAACGTAAACGCATACAAAATGTATAAAGCAGGTATCTTGAAAGCCACAACAAAGGGGTTTACGAGAAATTTCTTGATTGGTGGCTGTGGATTATCCACTGGCATAAAAGGAGAAATGCCAGTTCCCTTGTCTCTCCAGTTTGAAAACTTCTCCATGGTCCAATCCTGGTGAGTATCTGTGTGGAGTGGTGAAGTGGTGATGGTGATGAGCCAGGTGAGGCACGTGACACCAGACTGAATTGGCAGATACTACAACATCAAATCGTCATTCGAGGTAAGGGATGATGATTTCGGTATTTTCTAAGCAATTGCTACCGTTTGCTTCATTTTTTGTTGAACCGGTGGCTTGCGGCATGCCACCTGATGTTGCGCATACAAGTTGCCAGTGCCTACACTGAACCCAATGGAAGCATAGCAAAGAAGCCTAGGAGGGCCAATCAGGTCGTTTAGATGCTTATCTGTTTGTTGCCGTCTACGGCTCTTTCATGGGTTTGCCTTCCAGCCGAATGGTGGTTCGTGATTGGTTCACAGTAGAGACAAATGCACAGCATCAGAACGCAAAAAGCCGTGGGGCGGGGTTGCCGGAGGCAAAGGGTGGTAATTCACATACCAGGCAAGAATAGGGGTAGCCCGGTCTAGGCCTTTTGCCTTCGGAAGGGTGATTTCGAATGGGTGCAAAATTGAGATACTCAGAGCCACAGAAGAGGTAGATGGTGATAGTGTGGACGAAAGCTGGGAGGGATACTAATGGTGGCGAAAGAGCAACCAAGTTGATTAGACAAGGATTTTAGTCAGGTTGAATTGCTTGGGTGGATGACCTGAGGTGGTTACACTGGTGCACAGCAATATGCTTTCAGGATAGAGCCACAATAACAGGCAAGTCCACGGGGCATATCTAGGATAATTCATGGCGCTTAGAATTGCCTTTTAGAGTAAGGGATTGTAGTTTAAGGGTTCTGTGGGTGGGCGATTGAGGGATGGATGGTAATGTAATTGGTGGGTTCCGAGGAACGGTAGCACCTGTAGAACAATACGAATAGGATGAAAGGAATAAGAGACTCAGGAATTGGATGATCTCGAAGCGAAGCTTCTCGATCTATCTACATCGATCTCAGAGCTTCGCTCTTCGATCGCTGATTTCATGTAACATTATTGACCACATACTAATATACACAGCAAGGCAGCCCGTGCTGCTTGCAATATAATACTTTCACAAGAAAAATCAATTTTCCAGCAATTACAACTCCTGAGAAGCCTTGGAGGTAGCCTTCTTGGATGGCAACAAGGACTGGTGGATGTTTGGCAAGACACCACCCTGGGCAATGGTGACGTGACCCAACAACTTGTTCAACTCCTCATCGTTTCTGATGGCCAACTGCAAGTGTCTTGGGATGATTCTGGACTTCTTGTTGTCTCTGGCAGCGTTACCAGCCAACTCCAAAATTTCAGCAGCCAAGTACTCCAAGACAGAAGTCAAGTACACTGGAGCACCAGAACCAACTCTCTGGGCGTAGTTACCCTTTCTCAACAATCTGTGAACACGACCGACTGGGAAAGTCAAACCGGCCTTGGCCGATCTGGAAGTCGATGCTTTTTCAGAGGAACCTGCTTTACCTTTACCACCGGACATTATGAAATTTGTATTTGTTGTTTAGATAAGAAAGAATCCTGAAAAACAAGTGCGACCGCTTCTGCTTATATACGCAGATGCCTCCTGGACGCCCCTCCATGCGCGCCAGGATGGAAAGTGCACCAGGGGAGAGCAGGCGACTGTTTGGAGAGTGCGCGAGGAAGACTGAGGGTTACGGATCTGGGGTGTAAAAAGAGGCACCCACCTGAGCGCGAGCGAGGCAGCACTTCCTCCATCAACAACTGGCAGTATTGCAACGCTCTGCTGGGCTGGAGGGTCTAGTTGGTTCAGGACAAATTTAAGGTAGGGTAAATTGTAGAACATTTTAATTTAATTGAGAGAAGGAGGGGTGGATTTACATCCAGACACCATCAGAAATTTTATTAGTACTGGTTTTACTCGCCGCCACCGCCCCGTGGTTTGTTTGTTATGGGTTTGTTGGTGGTGGTTCGTGGAGACTTGTTTGTTTTGGCTGGAGGGTGTTGCAGCCGTTCCTGAGGAATTCTTCAGGATATCTCCCCGTAAGCCTGGCAAACAGTCGTGCTCTGGTTTACACCAGGAGGCGCGCTCTCCTCGCCCTTCTTCCCTCTCGTCACCTGCACTCTCCAGAATGGCGCTCTCCCTGCACCCCCGCGAACACACACTATATATGAGAGGGTGTTCGCAATCACCAAGTAGAGTTTTTCTCCTTTTATCATCAAACAAACACTCAGATACCATGGCACCAAAGGCAGAAAAGAAACCAGCTTCCAAGGCCCAGCCGAGAAGAAACCAGCCGCCAAGAAGACCGCTTCTTCCGGTGAGCCAAAGAGAAAGACCAAGACTAGAAAGGAAACTTACTCTTCTTACATCTACAAGGTCTTGAAGCAGACTCACCCAGACACTGGTATCTCCCAGAAGGCCATGTCTATCATGAACTCTTTCGTCAACGACATTTTCGAGAGAGTCGCCTCCGAGGCCTCCAAGTTGGCTGCTTACAACAAGAAGTCCACCATTTCTGCCAGAGAGATCCAGACCGCCGTCAGATTGATCTTGCCTGGTGAATTGGCTAAGCACGCCGTCTCCGAAGGTACCAGAGCTGTCACCAAGTACTCCTCTGCTGCCAACTAAGTTATGCCGCTGACTCTGCTTCACTGTGTGATAGCACTTTCCACATGACTGGCTGCTTTCAGTGTAATGTATTTGTATATTAGTAATGGAATTGTATTGGACTATCAATTGTAGCTTGCCACCCAATTACCCCAACTATCATCCAATCATATCGTGTTATTGTTTTGTCACGGTACTATGCGCCACAACAACAACAAACAACACAACCCAACATAAGTCACCCTGACATACCTCCTACACTTCAGGCCTCTATGGTCATAATCGTGAACTACTTACAATTCTAATTAATAGCAAATGCTAGTTTGCTTGCTGTTGCCTCGACGGCAATGGCGTGTTTCATATGTGGATGTTACCCCAGAAGGCATTCCTACGAAGGGTAAACATTTGCCACTGGCTGGGCCTGGCCCCGCCCCGTAATGGAGCCGCCTGGATCCGGCCAATCATCTTGCTTCCTGAGCAGCTCTCTCCTTCTCTAAACTCGGTCTGTCCGGTCTCTGAATTAGCAACAGCTACTCCGGTCACAAGACATGTTCTTTCGGACGTACTGCTAGTCATTTCCACAACACCTTCTCTCCATATCCTAGTAAAATCAATCCGCAGGTGAAGTTAAACAAGTGGTGGAGCCAGTAGGTGTGACGGACACCGTAGATCATGCAATAAAAGACGATGTATGCTAGAACAGACACCACCGCCTTGAAATAAGTGTTTCTGCCCTCTCCCTGTCTTGGGATAGGAACCCATTCGCTGTATTGGCTTTGAAGCTGAGCCAAGGCCACGATAGGCGCCACAGCTAGGAAGTTGTGATGGGACGAAAATGGGGTTGCCCAATTAATGCTGAAATTATGAACGAAAACAATCAAAACAGGAATGTTGATGGGTAAGACCCAAAGCATCAACATCATAATACTGATATTATAGTTGCATGCTGATTTGGCATTACGGTGTGCCATGAGTTTCACTACCGTCACGATTTGCATCAACAGCGAAACCAAATAAGCAAATTGGTAAGGCATGTAGAAGGTAACAAGGACAACTAAAACGATGGTTCCACCTATCTTGCTCTTGCGCCATCTCATAAAAGGTTTTTCCTTCTCTTCGAACGTTCTAGGGAACAACTTGGTCAATCTTCCCACGTAAACCAAGCCTAAGCCTGTGTAGACTAACAAATGGTAAATGAACCAGTTGATACCAATGGCCATAACGAAGAAGGCTGGGCCCAAGAACCAGAGGCAGTTCTCCTCTAAGCCGAGATAGAACGTATTGAGCGAATAGTTAGGATGCAAGCTTATGTTGATCTCGTTCTTGTGATGCAAGACGACAGGGTCAGCAAGATTAAGAAGTCTCTGGACAGTCTTGTTCTTCACAAGATAGGAAAGCGAACCAAGGAAGATTACCAATAATGCAAATAATTTTCTTTCACAGATGCATCCAAGTCCATAAACTTGATCAGGGAACTTCCCTGTGTGGTAGTAACGAACTGACTGGAAAAGAAAGACCAATAAGGATACAGCAAGACAGTGTGCAACAACTGCTAACCTGTAGCGAAGCACCAAGAGTCTAAGACTGCCCCAGACATCAACAGAAAAGACCATTTCAATGTCTGGTAAAGGATCGTCTGTTTGTGGATTCTCTGGATCCACCCAGAGCTCAAGATTAATGCCCTTGTTTTTCCGGGTTCTGTCGAACGGAGTAAATGGGGCAATAGCATGTACGCTGAGATGTGTTTCAGCGCCATTCTTCACGTTAATGTGCCATTTTGTCTCATAAGGTTCGTCTCTCCATTGACGAATAAATGGAATGAACTCCAGGTCCTTCTTCTCTAAGTTCTTGAATTGGACTTTGTATGCTAGCACACTAGACCAGGCGCCTGGAATGTAAATATTCGTAGACAATGGTCTGTCAGCTGGTAGCTTGGCATGAACATTAGACATCAAAAGGCTGTTCAAGTCAGACTTAAGGGTGACATTGGCCTTAGAAGCGGAGGCAAGGTGAGCGATGGAGAAATGTGACTTTGAGGTCTCTAGAGGTTCATGGATAATGACCATGTCGAAAGCGTCTAAAATCAGTGGCTCGATCTTCAAGCCATAGAAAGAGTCCTTTTCACCATCAAACGATGAATCCATCAACTTCTCAACGTCGCTGCTGGATCTAGGGATACGCCGAATATACGTAAACAAGTCCACACACTGAAGGCCAGCGAAGCTATTCTCAGGATCAGCATTAGGAGACTTGTCTTTCAGACATAAAAGCACACTGGCAGTCTGACTCTCGGCAATCATTGCATCTTCCCAGTATGTCAATGTATCCAGAGAGAGGAACTGGAAAGTAGAGCCAGGCTCAGTCATGATGACATTGACCTTGCGGGGGTTGTGACGACCGTTGTTGAATTTAAGTATCGAGTTAGGACCAAGGAAGTTCACCTTGTTTTTGTCCAAAGTAACTCCCACAGCGTCCTTGGTTTTGTCAAAGTCTTGTTCAGCATACTTTTCCAAACCAGTCATGAATATTTGACGCAGAAGCTCCATTCTGCGTTCTAATGGGTATGTTCTATGAGGAGAAGAAATGTCGGCAATGCTCAAAAGCCATCTGGCAATCAGTCTTCTAAGTTGACGGCACCAGACGATAGCCAAATGGTCAGACGGCGTCCACACATCTGGAATACCAGTCGTAAACATGGTGAAACCGTTTGAAGGTGGCACCAAGTAGCCTAGAGTAGTGTAATCAGCAGGCAAGATGGAATCGAGAAGACCACCAGTTAACGAAACCACAGATACATTGTGAAGACGCTGCTGGGCCAACGTAGGTTCCTGCAGCAGCGGATGGAATCCGTCGTACCAGAACCTATCAATAGCCGAGTAAACTCTCAAAAGGTCACCATCAAACGTAAGTGGAGGAGCCGAGTGTGGAGAAGAAAGCGTAAGGATGGTATTGACGGAGCCAGGGATATAATTAGGCAAAGTAAGCATTAATCTGGCGACAATTCCACCCATCGAGTGGCCCATCAAAATCAACGAAGTGGGCGGGTTCTCTGTATGAGCGTAAAGCAGTAGAATGAACCCCACGGCATCGTTCAAGTACTCTGCCTGGTCTAGAATGGTACGGCCATGGAAGGCCAGAAAGTCCTCGTTAAAGTCAGCAGCAAAAAAATCGTAATTCTTCTGTTTTGGATTATCTACCACATGTATATTTGGATCAAACCACAACACAGACGTTTCAGCAGCTATGGATCTCACCTGGCGGTAGGACCCAGCGTTCCCTGGAATAAACAAGATCGGTATACCATCTAGCGCCTGGAACCCTTCGCCCTCCTTCTTGGGCACCGTATCCTTGCCCAGCTCTCTATACAACCACAACGAGTACTTGGACGCAAACTTCGTATGGGACTCGTCAAAAGACCGTATTCGAGCATAAGACGGGTACATGGACACGGTTCGGCACTCGGCAGCATCAGCACCCGTGTTGGCACCATATAAGTACGACTGAGCAATGAGTGAAAACAAAAGAGCCCTAGTAGGGCCAAAAGAAGGACAGGCCGCCGTGCGTCCATGGGAGACTAGGAAGATGGAGAAGGAAGAAAAAGGTGGAGGTGAAAAAAGACGCTTGATAAACTTTCGCGCTGGAGGTTAGACAAGTGGAGGGGAAAGCAGAGAATGAAGAATGAGGGAACTAAAAGGGAATAAGGTGAAGGTAAATGGAGAAAAAGTGGGAAACAAGAAATGATTGGGAAATGTCGGCCTTTTATACTTTTTAGTGGAATTTTAGTGGATTGTTGGCTGGTGGATTGTTGGTTAGTGGATTGTGGAGAATGGGGAATGGATGGCTGCGAAAAAAAGAAGAAGGCATTCGGTTCGCCTAAGCACGGCGTATAAAGGGAACTCAGATTGATCTGTTTATACGAGAAGAAGGGAAGAAGAAGAAGAAGGAAGTGGAGAAATGATGAAAAGTAGAGAACAAAGAAGATGACTGGAAATTGGAGAGAGGGGGTTGGGCGGTTTGGGCGGGACGTGATTGTTAGTTTGGAAGATCTGGGAATTGTGGGAAGCTTTTGACGAGCGTAGACGGTACGGAGATCTGTAGGTTCCGTTTTCAGTGCAGCTTGTGGAATGTGTGATGGATTTTGGTAATGGGTGTTTTTTGATGGAAAGATTGAAAATGATGTTGAAATAGGATGAAGCAGTAGGGATGATGGGTTGGAAGTGGAGGTAGGGAACAGAAGTGGGAGATGTGGTATATCTATAGGCATGGGAGGAAGAGATGGAAGAAGGGAAATGGTAGTAGTTTCGCCATGAAGATAATTTACCTCAGTTTATACAGTGTATTGGAAGAAAGACAGTCGTTAGGATTTGATGCCAAGTATCACTGTGGCTGGTACTGGGTTAAGGTTCCAGTAACTCTTTTAATGAGGTACAAGTAAGACAGTGTTCTCCAGCTCAACCAGGTCAAGCTTAACTGGGAAAACAAGTTAATCGGCATTCGAGGAAGGATATAAGTAGATTGGGAAATCTCATAGGTAAGAGGAGTGAGTATAGGTCATGTATAGTTTCCAATAGTACCGTCTAACAGCCTCCATAAGCCTACTATCTATGTACTTATCACTCCACTATCAACCAAAATTACCAAAAAGAACAAATCATGTACTTCTAAAAAATGGCCTCCAGGCCTTAGACACCACTTTCGAAAACCACAAACTTCCCTCTTAACCTGCCTAGCTACAGTATATCATCCACTTACCACCCTATGGCCTCCCTTGACCACCAAACACCTTGTTGATCCCACCCAAACACCGTCTTCCCCTCCCCCAACACTTACCAACTACCACTCACTTAACACCGCCACAAGTCACGAACCCACCACTCCTGGTCATATTGGTGTTTGGAGGGACCCTGGACCTCGGTGCGAGTACTCAACATAGACACTATTTTGCACCCAAACGTGCCAGAGCTTCCAACCCTTGCCGCCTATTGGTCAATGTACGGTATATCTCGCATTGCGGTTGCGATTATCATGAAGAAGGTTCTTTAAGGGAATTTAAGTTTTTAGGGTGTGGAAATTGACCTTCACCAGCCACAGTAGTTCCATTTTCACATGAAAGCCACGTGGTGCAAAAACGCCCAAATTCAACCTGCCCATTCTTCTTGGCAGTAAGCAACGTTTTTATATCTATTTTCTTCTCTTGGAACCCTGCCTTTCCACATTTTTCCGCCAATGGTGACCCGGCCTTATCTATCTAAGACACGTTTCCTGCATGTGCCTCACCCCGGCTCGTCCAAATGCATATCCCCAGTTCCAGGTATGACATCATAAGCAACTTTATTTTTCTTCCAACTATACTTATTATTTAACAGCCTGGTCAAGCTATACCTTCGAAACAACCATGAGCAGAATCGAACTAGTCACCCAGCCCTCGAAGGAAAACCTCAAAGACGAGGCGCTCAGAGAGAGCACGTTGAACAAGCTACATACTTTGGTAAATGAAACATTGAATGAAGACGAGAAGGAGAAAGACGAGGATAAGAAGGCCAAGGAGGAAACAGTGGGCGGGAAGAAGTCTCTGTCTCCAATTTCGTCGCCTTCTCGTACGCCTTCGCCGGAACTTGACTATGACGGGTTCGAAGTTCCTTCAGGTAAGATCCCGTTGGATGGTAACTTTTCCACCAGTGAAGTTAAAGAGATAATAGATTTAGCTCAGGAAGGTGGAGTGTTGGCTTCAGATATTGACGTGAACGTTGTGGAGCACAATGCCTTGGGAAACCGTGTTGTGGTGAGTGAAAAGGAACAACAAGAAAGAGAAAGGAAAGAGAATGAACAGAAGGAAAAGGAGGAGAACGAGGAGAAGGAAGCAAATGGCGATGAAGAGGAGAAGAGCGATAACTAAGACTGTCAGCGTGTAGCTGCTCGACCCAGGCGTTGTTTGAACCAAGTCAAACTCATGTAATCTATATATTGATACTATTATCAGAAATGTATGCTTGTAGGATTTAGGGATAATTTAAACGCCCTTCTAACCTGTAGTTTCCCGTTGTAACCTACTCTCCTCTACATCTAATCATCCATAATACCATACATTAATTAACATTTTAAATCCACCTAATCCAGAAGTTCCTTATAGTCCAGTTCACTATCGTACTCCTTCTTCTTGCTGCCGAAGATCTGGTTGAAACCATTCACTCCAACCTTGATCATCCACACCCAAGAAATGAATAGCGTACCCACACTCAACCACATACAAACGAACATGGGCGTACCCAACAGCGCCAGAAAGCCAGCTTTCTTAAACGCATTTACACCCTTAACATGAGCAGCTGTTTGCAAAGAACATGCTATAACATCAAGCAAAAGGGCTCCACCAATGACAAAAGATGCAAAGAACCCTGTAAGGAACCCAGTACATGCACAGCACGAAATAGTCACCGGCAACAACGAAAGAATCGAACACAAAAGCGCAAGCAAGAACATCAGGTATGCTATTTTAGACAAGTAGAAATATGTCTTTTGGTTCTTATCAAACTCTTCTGGTACAAAGCTTGCACCCAAGTTCCGGCTAGGGTCGTATGGGTAAGCTGGCAGTTTTTTAGTACACTGAACCTTGCCGTCGCCCAAAGGCGTACACATGGCATACATGGTCCAGCGTCTTTCGTAGCCGACATCAGCCGTGGAGAAGTAGAACTTATTGAGGAAAGTCAGGTCGTTCAGTGCTCCACTGAGGTTGATGAAGAGAAGCATCACCGTTGACCCGGCGATGAGCACAAAAGGGATGATAGTAGCAAAACGGCGAAGCATGAGTAGATAATGGAGGAAGACATTTTTCTACGAGGATTTCTTGTCCTTTTATATTGTTTTCTGGGTGGATCCGAATCATGGACCTTTACTGGCTGCGAAAAGACCATGCATGGACTGGAATGGGGTGAGTCAAGTGGGTGAAATGTAAGGTTATGTATATGATATTGGTACCATTCGAACCGCCTAACTTCCAGCATTCCAATGGTGCTATTTATATTTTTAATTTCCTTCTACTACGTCAGATAGTATGGCCTTTCGTCCACCGTCTACATGTCCCAGAACATTGGCACTGCATGCACCGTCCCATCAGGCTTGCTCGCCTGCCTGATTTGGCACATACGGCTTGTTGGTGCAGACGAACATGATAAGGAGGTGTCAGACGAAGGTGGAATGTATTTTTAGCAGAAGTTGGGTAAATCATGGGGTAGTTCCGATTGGGAGCTTATTCAGCCGCCCAAATGATTTTGTGAAATGTGAACTAAAGGGAAGACGGTGGGGGAGGAAAGTGGTCCAGAGAGTAGAGGTAAACAATTCTGGAGTAAAAAAGGTCTTTCTGGAAGTTCCAATGGATTAACCTCCTGGAATTAGACTTTGGGGCTTGCTGGGGTCGTTGAAAGGGACATGGAATGGTCATTTTGCAGCCAATGGAAGACCAGCAAGGGCCCACAATGGACCTACAAAGCTTGGTGGAATACCTCCTTTGCAACACTAAAGCCACTTTTATTTAACTTTTTGACCTTTGCCAGCTCTTAAACTTTACTTAAGAGCACCCCACGTTGGGTCTCTCCTGGCTTATCTAGATTTTCCTGCAGACTGCTCCCACATATCAGAGCCAGCACTACTTGTATAATCAAACATACTAAAGCTTATCACTGAAAACAACAAAAAGATGTCGGTAGAAGAATTGGGCAAAAGAGTCGATGAGCTTACAGAGCTCGTGAGAAAGCAAAGTGAGGTGATTGCCAAAACTGGTAAACAAATGATGGAGTACCAGGTCAAGGACGTCAAGTCCAGAATGGCGGCTTTGAACACGGATCAGAACCAGCAGAAGATCGATACGGATGAGTTTGCCACGAATGACGATTTGGTTCAGTTGGTGACCGAGTTGCAAAGCCAGCTTGACTACTTGGAAGACCGTAATGTCAAGAGAGTGTACAATTCACATATTGCTGAGGATGCTGACGCTTCTACTAGAATTGCTCCATTGACCAGTAAGGATGGAGAGCATCCTCCTGATTTCTATCCAAAGACTATTGGAGAGTTTAAGAAGATCGATGCTGCTTCGCTCTTGCAATTGTGTGAGTTCTTTGAGCTTATTGTTGAAAACAACAACCCTGAAGACGTGGCCGAGCTTTTGAAGCTGGAAACGCTCAGCAAGGAAGAGGCCGAGAAGCTCTTTAACCCTCAGCCAAAGTCTCTCGAGGAGAAGTTGAAGGGCTTGAAGAAGGAAGACGAGGTCGAGTTGTTTGACGAGTTGGCCCGTTTCATCGGTGTTCGTACGAGAAGAGGCAGCGGCTGGTAAGTACGATGGCAAGAAAGGAAAGAAGGGCAAGGCGAGTGTAAAACATCTTGAAGTCTCTATTATTCACTCTGAAGGTTCTACGAAAGGAAGACGAGGGGTGGTTGAGTGTGGTAGTTGGAGATGATATAGCCCGCTCAGTGAAGTCAAGCGTTGGCTTGGTTGATTACTTTGGCTTGATTTAAGCAATCTACATCAACTCTAACCTTCCGGGTGGTTGTGGAGGGTACACCTGTCGTTGGCTGTGTTGTCTATGTGTCATCACGTGCTTATCGTATCTTCCTAGGGCTGAAGCCCTTCGCGGTGGTGATGGCCCACAGCATGCAGGCTGGTCTCAAGGAAAAAATCTTCTCACCTCCACCCAGTGAAAAATACTTTTGAAGGTTTTTAACCAGTTATCGCCAATCACTAACAATGGGTATGTGACTACAGTCGTCCAAATCTACGGAAATTCAAGGCCATATATCGAGAGAGCCACGCCGTATATGTTATCCCCTCCAAAGACACCATACTAACATGTCCAGGTAGAGTTATTCGTAACCAGAGAAAGGGTGCTGGCTCCATCTTCACCGCTCACACCAGATTGAGAAAGGGTGCAGCCAAGTTGAGAACCTTGGACTACGCCGAACGTCACGGTTACATTCGTGGTGTTGTCAAGCAGATCATCCACGACTCCGGTAGAGGTGCTCCTTTGGCCAAGGTCGTCTTCAGAGACCCATACAGATACAAGTTGAGAGAGGAGACTTTCGTCGCCAACGAGGGTCTTTACACTGGTCAGTTCGTCTACTGTGGTAAGAAGGCTTCCTTGAACGTCGGTAACGTCTTGCCTTTGGGCTCTTGTCCTGAGGGTACCATTGTCTCCAACGTCGAAGAGAAGGTTGGTGACAGAGGTGCTTTGGGTAGAACCTCTGGTAACTACGTTATCATTATCGGACACAACCACGACGAGGGTAAGACCAGAGTCAAGTTGCCATCCGGTGCCAAGAAGATCATCAACTCTGACGCCAGAGGTGTCATTGGTGTTGTTGCCGGTGGTGGTAGAATCGACAAGCCATTGTTGAAGGCCGGTAGAGCTTTCCACAAGTACAAGGCCAAGAGAAACTCCTGGCCAAGAACTAGAGGTGTGGCCATGAACCCAGTTGATCACCCTCACGGTGGTGGTAACCACCAGCATATTGGTAAGGCTTCTACCATCTCTAGAGGTGCTGTTCCAGGTCAGAAGGCTGGTTTGATTGCCGCCAGAAGAACTGGTTTGTTGAGAGGTACCCAGAAGACTCAGGACTAAGTGTGTTGCTCACTCTGATGTATAGTAATGAAGCACAAAACATAATCGAACAAACTTGAATGTAGTCTAGCTAGATATAAAATGTAGAATTCCGCCGCTAGGTCTTCACTTCAACCTCAACTGGTTTAGCTTCAGCCTCTGGCTTTGCTTCCTCAACTACTTTTGGTTCGACTTCCTCAGCTTCACTAGGCTTGGGCTCCTCCAGCTTTGGCTGTTTCACCTCTACCTTTGCCTCTGCTGATGGTGCACCATCAGCGGCTTCCTTACCATTTTCTTCATTAGTAGCCTTGGATGGAGCTTCAGTAGCCTTCGCCAGCGATGCATTTGAAGCAGCAGGTTCTTCCTCTGTCACCTCCTTATTGGCCTCAGGTGCTGGTGAAGAATCGCCCAAGGCTGGTGAAGGAGTCATGGCTGCCTTCCTAATAAATGCCTTACTCACTTCAAATGGATTACCGTCAAACAAGCAACTCTGACATTCTTCAACAACTTTATCGATGTTGTTACCATTCTTGAACTTGAACCTGACAAGGACATTGGAACGAGGGTTCCAGGCTTTCGCCAAACGGTGAGTCTTGGTGATCTTGACTTTCACGGGGTTATAAGCCTTGAAGTAATCGAACATTAAATCTTTAGTGACCTTTCCTTTCAAGCCCCTGATAAAGATCGTGTCATCGGAGTAGGTATTATCCTCTGGGTCCAGCATAGAAGCTCTAGCAGAGCCCTGTTCAGCATCAGAAGTAGTGTCACCCTTTGCCCTTCTATCCTTACCAGCATGATAAGTCGACAGCCTTCTTAATGATGACGAATTGCCAATTGGACGAGTTGGAACAGCGGGTGTAGCACTCTTGGGCGCTTCGACCACCTCCAGTTCCTGGGCGTCGTTAGCCTCTGCCTCTGCTTCCGCTTCTGGAACCTTAACCTCTTTGACATTTTTCGTGTCAAGAATAGTTGAGGTAACAGTTTTGGCGGCATCAGCTTTCGCTCTCAAACCATTGAAGATCTTAACCTGAACGCTGCTGCCAACAGAAGGCTTCCTTTCAGGCTGAGCTTCTTCAGTACTCAGGGCCTCATTGGGAATCAACAATGGTTGTTCTACGCCATCGTGCTTATTTTCCCTCGATTTGCCCAATCTAAACGAGCCAGTCCTCTCAACAGGGTTGTAAGGAGTATGGTAACGAACAGTCAAGTTCCTCGACTTGAACTCCATGGTATGCAAGCTATCAACAGCATTCCTTGCATCAGCAAACGTTTCGAAGAACGCGTAACCCAAGCCCAAGGGCTTGCATTTGGAGTGCCTCAAAGGGTATGGCGATAATGGAATCAACACATCCTTACTGATAGGCGTTAGTATTATGCTTATGACATCCATCTACGGGTGCCACTTACCAATTGTAAGGCGACATGAGGGCAGCCAATTCGTCCTCGGAAGTATAAAAGTTGAGGTTAAGGATTTGGACCTTGTGATACATGATTAATGGGACGTGTTTATAAAACAGGAAATGGCCAAAACAGGGCGGATTTCACGTCTACTTATACTCGGGGAAGCACTTTTTTGCAGCCAACCCAACCGTACAGGCCTACCCACCCCTGGCCAAATAACCATATAGACAAGCCAAAAAGAGGTGAATTTGGTGTTGGTTTTGATTAAATGGAGGTATTCGGAAGGGGGAAGGGCTGTTTCAGGATGGACTGGTTTGGGGAGGTAATTGGCGTTGTAGAAGAGGAAATGTAGTGGGATATGGGTACTTCCACGGAGGGGTTCCTCGGGCTAGGAGTCTCAAATAGTTATAGTTTCAGGGCCCAAGTGGGTTAGATAATGTCCCTAAGTGATAAATCTATGGGAGTTTCTGGTTGTTTCACATTTTATACGGATTTCTTGGAATGATAAGGTTTGTATGGCCTGGGGTGAACTACCTGAGGATAAGCGAGCTAGTGCCTTTAAACCCTGATATAATGAAGTCAAAACTTTATTCTTAACGGCAAAGAGGCCTTCAATGAATTCCACTTCATGTCGCCATTCTAGATTTCGCCAAGTAGATGTCAACTGAGATGTTGATGTCTCTTGAGATGGTTCTGATGGTACTACAGTTCTGTGGACCAGGTAAGACAGTGAAAGGTTTTAATAGAATATTAACGCTTTGAAAGTCATCAAATATCCAAGTAAGATGAGAAGAGACTTCAAGTTGGATTGGCCTTTCTCGTCTTTGGTGGTTGAATCATGTATCTTACTGACCAACAATAGACCTACAACAGCTGGGGACAACCATGACATAGTGCAACGTGCTTCTGTCTTAAAAGCTATCCTGAGGCTTGAAGAGTCTCCTTCTCTCTTCTGCTTCTGCCACATGTGTCCACGGGCCTACGCATATCTGACATTATTTTATATCATTGAGTACTTACAGAACACCACTTAGTTGCTCTCCTTCTCGGCAGCCAAAACCTTGGCGGTACCACGCAAAGCGTATCTGTGGTTTCTTCTGAACTTGGCGTCCACGTTCTTCAAAGATCTGTATCTGTGAGTCTTAGGCTTCTTGATACCGTTCTTGTGGGCCTTCTTGTTCTGGTTGTGGTTGGTATGGTTCTTAGACTTAGCCATTTTCTGACGGTTAGTATAGGTTCGGAAGGATCACGGCCTGAAGCGCTATGGGGGAATTTTTCATTTTAGGGGATGTAAACATTTGGACCTTCGTTGGTGGTGGAAGAACTTCGATGGAAGGTGGAGGACTCAAATGGACTGGAAATTCATCTCTGGAAATATCAAACTGGATAGCAGCTTCAACAGCGTTTCGTGGAATGGCCTGAACGACGTTTTGGCCCGGATATAGACATACCGATTTCTATGTGGTGGAAGAAAGGGAAACTTCTTGATGCGACAGGCTCTTTTTTGCTAGAGTGGGAGCGAAAAATTTGAGGTCGGTGTGCAGGGAAGAAACAGTCACCATGGTCACGTGGGACGGTCTACCTCTCACCACCATAACCAACCAAGTAGCTCCAGGAGGTCAGTACATGGAATTTTTGAAAAACTAAAGGGCAAGGTAATATTAACTAAGTGCTTGAGATGCATTGAAGTAGATAACGTTGTCTATCGACGTCGATTGCTTGTCTTTGTTGGACAGTGTTTGTTCTAGTAGTACAAATTAATGGCTGCGAAATTACCGTAGAGGACCATAGTTAGCCTAGTAAGCTTAGACATCCTCTGCAATGTCAAATCGGTGTAGAAAATGCCAGAGTTGAAGCTAAGGCCAATGCAAGTACCCAGGCAAAGGTTCTTGGGCTACTGAGAGTTTGGGCTACGCTGCTACGAGCTGGATGGGGCCTTCCCAGTCCCTTCATGGCACAATGGCCCACTGTTTCCTTAAAAGTCCGTGAAATTCCTGTAAAACTAAGTAAATCTTCCAAATTAAGCCTGGGTCTGGGTCTGGGTACCTTCCAAAGCCTTAGCCCTCTTGGCGGCCTTGTCGTTGTGCTTCTTACCCATGATACCACCTCCCCAGTGCTTTCTGTGCTCCTCGTACTTCTCAATGAAGTTGGCGTTGATGGTGGAAACCAACTTAGACAACTCGGCTTCGTCCTCAGAAGAGACCTCAGTCAAAGCAGCGACAGAGGAGGTCTTCTTGTGGACCAAAGTACCCAATCTAGCCTTGCCCTTGACAATGGCGTATGGAACACCCATCTTTCTACACAAGGCAGGCAAGAAGATAACCAATTCAATTGGGTCAACGTCGTTGGCAATCAACACCAACTTAGCCTTCTTGTTCTCAATAAGAGAAACAACGTGGTTCAAACCGTACTTGACGACAACTGGCTTTGGAGAAACATCGTGAGCGCTCTTACCCTCAGCAATGGCAGCAGCCTCCTTGGTCAATCTCTCCTTTTTGTCAGCGGCAGTCTCTGGTCTGTACTTGTTGAACAACTTGAAGGTCTGAGTAGCGGTGTTCTTATCCAAGACATTCTGGAACTGAGCAATGGCTGGAGGAACCTTCAATCTCATAGACAAGATCTTCTTCTGTCTTTGCAATCTGACGTACTGAGGCCATTTCACAAATCTAGACAAGTTTCTCTTTGGTTGAATGTCCTGGCCAATACCGTAGTTCTTGCGTTTAGGCTCAATAAGAGGGTTAGCGGTTGGGGCCTGAACGGCCTGGCTTTTAGCAGCCAATGGGAGTGGGGCAACTTTCTTGGCGGGCTGTGTCATTGAGATCAGTTAGTTTCTGAGCTTTGTTCTCCATAAACTTTCAACGAACAAGTCATTCCAACTATATCTCTACAGTATCAAAAGATACTCAGCCTTTGCACCAAGAAGTGGAAACACATTCTTGTTACAACTGTCACGGGTAAGGTGACAATGCCCGGGATGCTTTCAAAGTAGCATTTGGGCGACATTTCTGTCAGTGAGTTGGTTAAGGTCCAAGGTTAATTGATGTACCCGAAAACTCAATCTACAGTTTCCAAATATCATCAAAACCATGTCCAAAACCGAAAGAAGGGATCCACTTCCTGGTGCCGTAGAGGCATATAATTCGGAAGATCGTCTTAGTTTATTCAAGGAATGAAACGTACCATAATGTGTAAAGAAAAAGTGGTGGATATGGTCTGGAAAAAAATTTTCCACCGCACTTGTAAGTAGACCTGAATGTGCACTACCGGTTGCAAAAGACCCTAAGAAGGGACAAACATGTAAGGAAGCGGTCTTTGATGGAAAAAGTGACTTAAAGGTGTGAGAGCTCTTCTGGAAAGCTGTTTGGTGGACTGTTCAAATCTGTGTTTTCTAGGGTTGATATTAAACAGTCGAAGGCTATCTCTGTCAGTTGAGGGTTAGGGCTTCCAGAAGACTAAGCCCTGGGTGGTACTCTAGAAAGCAACAATAAAGCTAAGAATGGTTCTTCTTTGGCTGTAAATAAACGCCTTATAATTGTCATCCCTCATTGTTGGTAAATCATAGAAGTATCTTAGTACCATGTCAACTGTTAGTGCAGGCCAGAGACCCTCTACTTGTACTACTTAAACATCCAAAGAAAACATTCAAACACGTAGAAACCAGAAATTTAACCAGAAAACCAACAAAATGCTGCCCTCCTGATTTATCCTCTTCTTCGTATTTTTTTTTTTCTATTCCACTTCTTCCACCACTATGGCCTCATCACTACGGAATAGTCTCTATACAGTGCACCATGTTTCCTTATCATGACCTCTTCACCATTATCAAGAAAATCATCTTTGTAACCTCTTAACTCTCCAAAACCCACTCCTTTCAAACCTCCCTCTCCCTCCCGTCTTCCCAGTCTGCCTGTTTGGGAAGTTCTTTCCGTCCATCTATAAGGTTCCTTGGTATCGCGGAAAACAAATATCAGACATCACCTCCAACACCATGCTTCACTATCTTCAGTTGGCACCTCTTGCCGACACGGCCGCCTCGTGGCGGACCAATGTTTCTGGTATTATGGGCTCCACATCGTATGTATAAGGAATATCTGTCTTTTTATGGGCTTGTTCTAACTTCTAGTCTCGCATGTTGGATCGTCTTGCTTATGCCTCAGCTCATTGAGCAGTGGAGGATGAAGTCTGCTGAAGGTATCGCTATTGGCTTCATTACTATCTGGTTTTTGGGTGATTTGCTCAACTTGATTGGCGCCTTGTGGGCTGGCTTGCTTCCTGAGGTTATCTTCTTGGCCGTATGGTTCTGTATTGCCGACTTCTTGATGATCGCTTCTTACTTCTACTACACTACTGTTTACCCTAAACACCACAAGAGAGCTAGAAGCACTGCTAGTCGTGGTAGCCGTGGCAGCCGTGGCAGTCATGGATCTCAGGAAGGTGCTCCTTTGTTGAGAAGAAGATCTTCTACCTTGACTGACATCGCGATGGAACCTGAGTACCATAGTATTGTTACCAGGTACATTTTGCCAATCCTCTTTGTCGTTGCCGCTGGTGTGTTGGGCTTCTTGTTTTCTGATTCTGCCGCTGATGACAACAAGGGTTCTGATAAGATTGACGCTGGTCCTCAGATAGTCGGTTACTTGTCTGCTATCTTATACTTGGGAGCCAGAATCCCTCAGATCCTTCAAAACCACAGAAGACGCTCTGTGGAGGGCTTGAGTTTGCTCTTCTTCTTGTTCTCCACTTTGGGTAACCTCACCTATGCTGGCCAGATCTTGTTCTATAGATCGGACTCTCAATACATTGTATTGAACATGAGTTGGTTGTTGGGCTCCTTGGGAACCATCCTTGAAGATTGCGTTATTTTCTTGCAATTCTACTTATATAAGGGCCACCACCAGCATCAGGAGGCCATTGCTTCATAAACATTTTAATTCTACGTTTCATAATAAAACTTCGTTATAGTACAGATTTACCTATTTTCTTTTTTGGGGGTTTCTTTAAGTCATATCATTCGTAGTTTTGCAAGGGACAAAAGTCTTCAATCGTCCAGTCGGTACTGAAAAGATTGAAATCAAGCAATTCGTTTGGGGTAACGCCGTAGAGTGGCGCTTGTTGCTGCTGCTGTTGTTGTTGGTTAGGCGGGGCTTGCAGTGATTCCAAGGGTGAAGGCTGCACTAACGGTAATTTCTGATCGTTAGGGGTTTGTCCCGCAGTGTCGGCGAAAGATGTTGCCGAAGTATCTGACCTTGGAGTCACCGGTCTCGTGGCCTCTCTAGGCGCGTTCTTGAAAGGGAATGATTCCATCGGTAGTCTCTTTGGGAAAGCAGTTGAGTAAGGATCAACATCAATGAGGTAATTGAAATTAATCCACAAATTGTCAGTTTGAACTGTCTTTGCGAGGTCCATACCACGAAGGTCTGCATCGTCGATCGAGCGGTTGCTGTAGTAGCAGAGATGTCCAATATCACCAGCGTTTGAGAACGCAGGCGGAATATCAGTTGGAATAATGTTCTCTAACTCATACTGCTGACGCTCCGTCCATGTCACGTTAGCTTTCTTGAGCAAGTCAATGTCAGCATTGTACAACTTGTTCTGGTAGACCATGTTGTAGCCAAAACTGTTGGACTTGGTCGTCTTCCAAGCGTAAAAGTACCTTTCACCGAGCAACTTATTAAGTTTAAGTTTCCTTAAGACGAACAACTCATTCTTGGTTTCAAGACTTTTAAGTGAGCCCACCATAGAGGTATCAGTTTCACCGGAGCTCTCCAAGACAATCAAACTGCAATTGAGTCTGATTGCAAAACCCAAACACGAGACAGCGACAATATGGGTGTAAAAAAGGATAGTAGGAGACATAATCATTGTGAAAGTATCATCAAAAAACCTGTCGCAAATGAAAAATAGCTCAGAACAAAAATAGTTCATTTCACTGAAAACAATGAGAAGCATCTTTCGGAAGAAGAAAAAGTCATAACTGTGATCTCCTTTGTACTTGTAGAACATGTGCAAGAAATAATAAATAGTTGCGATGAAGAGTCTCAAGGTGACAAGCACACGAAGGTTGAGGATCTTAATCGAAGGATGGATGTTTGTAGTTTTCTCTGTGAAGTAGTCTGGTACCACGCCAAATGCTTGGCCAAGCTTGTATTCAAAATCATTCAAGCATTGTACCAAATCTGAGCTCTTGTGCACATTCTGTAAGTCCACGCAAATTTCAAGAAGTGAGAGACCCGTCAGTTGAGCGTGATAAATCTGTGCAAGCGATTCAATGGTTTGCTTTTCAAGCTGTTCGTCAGCAATATTGGAAGTACCACTCTTATATTCTGGAAGCTTGGTATCATACAGATGAGGTCTGATAGTAAGAGGGCAGAAGAATTGGTAAGCAGTGTTGAAGTCCAAGGTGACCAAGAAAAACCAAACCTTGCGTCGAAGGAGTTTTGTTCTCTCATCCATTGGGTCCCAAAGGGAATCTGGATCTCTATCGAGAGCGAGAGAAATGGCCATCTGGGTCAAGCTTCCGCAATTTTCAATCGTTGCCATGGTGTTACAGCCAGATTCACTTTCCAATGCAACGGAGCGATATGCGCACATAAAGATAGAAGCTTGAAGCACGACAAAAGATGTCTTGAGAGGCGAGCGAGCCTTCTGCAAAAAGCTGGATGCCAACTCAATTGCATCAATGGTAATAGGAAATTGCATGGAGAAGTGTTCCTCGTCAGCGAAAGTACCCATCATGCGAAGTTTGGCTTCGTTATGTTCCTTAACATTCGAGAACTGACTCATATACGAGAGTCTCAAAATAATAAGCACATACGCCAACACAGCGAGATCTTCCCTATTCTGTAGGTTCACATTATCAACCACTTGACCGTCTGGTGAGTATTGGATGATCCTATCGATCTGAGCGTAAGTCCAGCTCTCGTCAATGATAGGATAGTGAGCATAAAGCTTGCGGAAGAAGCGTCTCATAAGAGCAACCACCAGTAGTTTTGGCGGTAGAATCTTGCGTAGAGATACGGGAATCGGATCAGACTCGTGGAAATCTTTAGTGAATGTGATGGCCAAAGGGAAGCCATACTGGGAGATCAAGTTTCTGGTACGTTTCGTTAGAGAGCCGCCAGCGGCAGCGATTTCCTGGTAGTTGGGAATGTAACGGTCAGTAAACACCCGCTTAACTTCTTCGATGGTTTTCTCTTGGACATCTTTGGGGAACGCGCTGACGGTGATGAGCTTCATGGAGTTGCTTTCTTCATACTTCCAGAACAAACGAGCACCAGGCTCCTGCTGGGATAACACAATAAACATCAAAGGTCTGGCAGTTCTCTTCAACCCCGTAAACCGTTTTAGCGTATAGTTCATGCCCTGCAGTAGCACTGAAAAGTCCATATGGAAGTTGAGAAGGTCGCCAGTGCCCACAATGGGGTTGACGCCAATCAAGTACTCGTTCTCTTCCAACACCACATTCGGGAGCGGTGTAGGCGGCGAATTGTTCGAGATGGGGATCAGCCCCTGAGTGTGAGCCCGGCTCCTAGCACTAAGGTGTTTCTGGATATTCGTGTTGATGCCGCCAGGCGACTTATCAGTAGTAGAGTTATCGGACCCGTTGGAGGCCACCGAGGCAGCCGAGGCAACCGAAGACGGTGGTGCTTCCTTCTTCACAGCAGGAGGAGGCCCATACTCACAGAGCTCAGGGCACCCTCTTTTCACACACTGAGAACATGGGTGCTGGAGATCACACTTGGACTTCTTCGCCCTGCAACGACGACAGACCTTAGTCAGTCTGTTCCGCTTACGAGGACGTGGTTGGGACTCTGACATTGGCGAATACTGCCCTGGAGAAGAGACGTTTCTGGTGGTAGGCATAAAGTTGGACCCACCCCGATTATAATCGAGGCACGAAAGCAGGTGCAGAAAAGTGCGATGAACAATACAAGCGGGTGAAGTTTTGGAATGAATGTGAATCGCACCGGAGGGGTTATTTTGTATGTGGGGCGGTGGCAGGCGGCGATGGCGGGCCGAGGAAGCTGGTAGGCTTTAGTTTTTTTTGTCTTTTTTTTTTTCTTGCTTCTGACAGAAAACGACCTGACAAGAAAAGAACAAGGAGTGGTCAAAATTGATCTTTTTGTCGTAAACGCGGCACCAGTCGCTGGAGCAGGGAGAGACAGGCGGGACGGCAGCATGTAGTGGGTGGATTTTTGCCGCCGCGTTGGCAGGTGGGCGGTTGGATCTCGGCTGCGTTTTTCACTCTCATTGACAGGCCTGAGATGAGGTTGAGGCGATGAAGGCGTGAACGAGATGGTGGAATTAGTGAAAGGTGGGTTTGTGCCTTGTTTGGGATTGGTTGGTGGCGTAGGGTAATTTTTTTTATTTTTGTTTTGGTGGGGTTGCCCCAGATAGACGCTTGTTGTCGTAGCCATGCATGTGTGGAGCTAAGAAAGCAGGCTTGGCTGCAACGGTGGATTGGTTAGAGCCGAGACTTAAAGTTGCATTGAACGTTTTGACAACGGTGATCTTTTCACAAGTGAAAAACTCAAAAAAACGGGTCTATCACATGGCCCCCTGGTGTTAGAATGATCACTCACGTCGAACAAAGCCAACATAAACGACTGAGCGTGAAAACACTGAGCAATTCAAGCCTCTTTGGGTCGCCACCCTTTGTATCGGCATTCGGAGCTCGTTCTGCGGTGGTTCCGTTGCAGATGGGCTCGGTAGCATGAGAATATTGCCAATTTCACAATTCGGATTAGCCATTGGTTGGCAAAAGATGTTCTTGTGAAGATGAACGTTTTTTTCTTGAATGGCGGAGTTGGTGGTGAAAACAGAAGCGCAACCTCCATTCTATAATGGTGCATTGTGGTCCTGGCGTGGTTTCTAACGGTCGCTCGACATACTCCGAGATGTATCCCAGAAATCATCTTGAGTCACCCTCAGTTCAAACAACAACCATATAGATCCTTTCCTTGCACAATTCGTGCCCCTCAATTGTTCCGTGGACCCTGCGTCACCCAAATATCACCCCTCCATGGCCCAGTCTCCATAAACAGTGCCTAAAACTCAGCACCATAGTTTCGGAGTCGGATTGAAAATTCCCCAGTGCTATTAATCTCAATAAGGTTGTTACGGTGCATAAGTTGCACAACCTGCTCCTCGGGACTTCCAGAAGATACCGGCACCCATTTCTCTGGGTCTTGTACTAACCGCAGCACAAGCTGCTGAAGAAGTTGCATTGAGTGCTTAATCTTCATTTTGAACGTATCCTCATCAACCATTCCCGTATTCTCCCAATCAAGCATAGCATGAAGCTTCGTAACCACTCTAGCCATATGCTGCTGTAACTTATCCTCCACCTTCTTAATACTAGCAGTTGCTTCCCTAACATGTTCTGTTTTCTCTGAAAGCTCGTCGTCAACATGCTGAGCGTTGTGGAGCTTCTGTTCCATAGCCTTCACTCTTCCTGGGTGTCCAGCTATACGTTTCTCCAAAAGCATCAGCATAGTCTTATAATCTGCCAAAGTCGTCTTCAACACGTTCAATTCCTGCTGGAGCTCAACATTGCCCTTCTTGAGCTCCTCGGTAGCCTCCGTCTGTTGCACCACAGCCTTCCCTGTAATGTAAGCAGCCGTAGCAGTCCCCAACAGGTCGTTCTTCATCACAGTGTACGGAAGTTTCTGGTACATCTCGTAAAGGGCCAAAGTATGTGCTTTCCTTCGTGTTTCGTCTGTCCACAGTTCATGTTCATTGACTGGTTCTCCTTCAAGCTTCTCCAAGGCTTGTTTGGCTTGATGTAGGAACTTCAGTGTTCTGTCAATGTCTTTGCTGAGTTTCTTCTCATACGCTTCTTGTACTGGATTTGAGATTGCCACGTCTTTCTTCACGTGCTGCTGAAGGAGTTTCTTGACTCTCTCGCCTCGTTTGGGTACTTCTGTCTCCATGTTGATCAGTTGTTGGTGAGGCGCGATAAACACGGTGATATATGGCGATGAGATGTATCACAATAATGTGGAATGCAGTGGATGCTCTGACTTTTTTGATTTTAAAGAAATGGGTTTTGCCTAAGAGTTAAGAAGAGGTTTGAAGTTTTGCATCTTTTTATTTTTAATTTTTCATTCGTATGTTCATGAATGGTTTCACTGTGGTTACTCCACCGTGTCTAGCTATATTTACATATTTCGCAGCCAAAATGCAAAGTATTGTTTTTATAAACCGACACCAAAAATCGAATATCCTTGAAAATACACAAATTCATAGCATAGTATTCTTTCTGTATACCTCTATCAAACCGGAGTTGTCTCTCTCCGACTTTATATAATTTGGTCCCAGGATGGAAGAGACTCTGGATTACTCTCCAACGCGGCCTGGTAGTCCTCCTTTATCTCGTCCACACCGACAATCTCAGATAGTCCTTTGACGTTCCGTAGAAGTCTGTCTTTAGTGTTGGTTGTTCCAGCCTTAAACTTCATCACCCTCTTCAATAACACTATCCACGCAGCAAGAAGATCGTACTTGTGAGACGCAAAGAGCTCACGGCCCTCCTTGTCTTCCACAGCAATGAATGCCGTCAAGCATTTGTCATGTACGTTGAGAGCCATGTCTACCACCTCAGCCCCACCATCAGCATCTATAAGGAACGGGTTAGTGATGGTCTGACATAAAGTATAGTTGAGTCTCAGGAAGCAGCCAAGAACGGCAGCACCAAGATGATTGGCAATCAAAGAACATGCCTGTGATAGAAGAAATGATAGCACTTCATTGGTACCTCTATCACTGTTGCGTCCCTGAACATGAGAGATAGATCCCAAAACGTTCTTTTCGAGTACTTCAATATAAGAAGAGACCGGATCCTTGCGTAGGGCCTTCAACTTATACAAGAGCGGATAAGCAGCGCCTAAAACACATAGCGATACATTCGCTGGAGTGAGGTTCGGCAAGTAGTTCAAACAAGTCTCGGTAGATTCAAGGAATAGGTCCACATGTCCAGATTTCATCAAGACAGGACTATGGCCCAGTTCCAACGCGTTTTCCACGAGGTAACAGCCCTGAGCACGGAACAAGGGGTCTGAATCGTCAAGAACATTGAGTATGAACGTGATTGCCACAGGCCAATTTGCTTGGAACTCAGCGCTATCATCAGGAACAGCAAGAAACCCACATACCGTTGAAAGCGCCGTAATGTTCTCTGAGTGTTTCCATTCTTTCCGCTTATCATCTTCAAAAATACCACTTGCCACTCCCGAAAAGCCTAGAGAAGGCCTAAGCCCAGCAGCCTTGGAACCTGCCCTTTTGTAGCCGCTCAGCGAGACCTTAACGTTAGGAATAGATAGAAGCGAAGGTTTAATACGCTCAAGAAAACGACTCCCAGCCTGACCATACTCTTTTTGAAACTTCTGAGCCATCTGAGCCAATTCGTCATTGCTCCATGGCACTTTCGAGTTCAAGTACTGTGAAACAAGCACTAGCACATCTAGGCTATCTGTCTCTTTCAATTCCCCAAACACTCCCAACGCCAAACGCATCCATTGTACCTTTTCACCACTTTCACAGCTCCCCAAGAAATCGTACTCTTTCTTCTCCCACCGAAGGCCTTCCTGGATATCCTTCACCACCGTCCCATACTGTTCCTCAGTAAGCCCTTTGGCTTCAATATACGCAGCGAGAAAGCGTCCGCCATAAGTACGAAGCTTATCGTTGTAAACATCATCAAAAGAGAGATCCTCCCTCTTTACCACATCTGCAAGCAGCTCATCTGACTTGAGGCCGCCTAAGCTCATCGGTATCTGGTGATGAAGTTACGATTCGCGCTTTCTACCCCAGATCTTTACTACGGAATATACCGACTACCACTTGGAAAACCCTCAATGAAGGTACTTAATTTTGCTAGAAGGCTTCTGAAATCGGCAGTAACCGTCTCTGAGGAGATTCGCCTGGCACTTGCTGAAAAGTCAAAACCAGTGGTTTCTTTGGAATCCACAATTATCACCCATGGCTTTCCATACCCTGCCAATATCGAGATGGCTAAGAAGGTCGAAGAGGCTGTCCGTTCTTCGGGCGCTGTGCCTGCTACATGTGCATTTATTAAGGGTAAACCGTTTGTGGGGCTTACTGAAACTCAATTGGAGCAAATGGCTGAACTGAAGGCGGTTAATAAGGTCTCTAGACGAGACGTTGGCGTCACTATGGCCCAGGGCCTTGATGGTGGTACCACTATTGCGGGCACGATGATTTTGTCCCAATTGGCTGGCATCAAGGTATTTGCTACTGGCGGCTTGGGCGGTGTTCATAAGGATGGCCATGTTACTATGGACGTTAGTGCTGACTTGACGGAATTGGCTCGTACTCCAGTGAGTGTGGTATGCTCTGGACCAAAGCTGATTCTTGATATTGCTAGAACAATGGAATACTTGGAGACTCAGGGCGTGTTTGTGGCTACGCTTAACGATAACAACCGCAGCAATGTCGAGATTCCAGGCTTCTTTTGCAGAGACCTGGGCGTCTTGTCGCCATACCAGTTTTCGTCTTGGAAGGAAGCTGCAGCCATTGTGCATAACCTGAACAACGTCATGGGTCTTACCTCTTCGAACTTGTTCTGTGTTCCTCCTCCTGAAGATGTGGCTCTTCCTAGTGAGTTCATCGAGAAGGTTATTGTGGATGCTACCGCTAAGGCTGCTGAACAGAAGATCCTGGGTAAGCATTTGACTCCATTTTTGTTGAAGAGCGTTGCAGAAGCTTCAGATGGAAAGTCTGTTGAATGCAACAAGAACTTTGTTGTAAATAATGCCATTGCTGCAAGTCACTTGGCAAGAGAGCTTCTTGATATTGAAGCTCAGGGACCAAAAGTAAGTAAAGTGTAAAGTCTTGCAAGAAACTCATACTAATAATCAGGTAAACTTTGTTCCTTCTACAAGCATCAAAAAGGATACGCCCAAGGCTGTGTCTGTTGAAGAACCTACGAAGGATGTTGCTGACAAAGTCGATACCCTCATCATCGGCCTGATTGCTCTAGATACTATAAGTGTTTTCGATAAGGAGGCTACTATGGGAGACTCTAACCCTGGAAAACTGCGTTCTTCTGTTGGAGGCGTCGGCTACAATGTCTCGTTGGCACACAAGTATGCTCTGCGTGGGTCTACTTACAGATTTATTTCGGCTGTTGGCGACGACTTTGCCGGAAAGCTGCTTCTTAATGAATTGGATAAAACGCATGGTGATACCAGTGGAATAAAGGTCGTTCCTTCTTCTCAGACAGCACAGTACACTGCGATGCTTGATCCCCAAGGCGAGCTTGTTCTTGCTTGTGCTGATATGACCATTCTTGAACAACCAGATAATCAGGCTTTCTTGAAGGAGCAAATCGTAAGAGCTCAGCCGGGGACAATTGTGGTGGATTGCAATTTTTCTCCCGAAATGTTGAGCCTGTTATTGCAGGTGGTGAAGAGAGAATTGCAGTACGAGCCCAAGGTTATCGTTGAGCCCACTTCGGCCCCTAAGCTGAGCAGAATTGGACAAGTGAACACTAAAAACTTGGGAGTATTCCCAAATAATACTATCTCCATGATTACGCCTACAGTTGCTGAGCTTGCAAGTATTCATTCTACTTTCAGTCGCCGTGAATTGTTTGATGACTACGATGAATGGTTTCCAGCACTTGATTCACTTGGAATTAATTCTCAGTTCAGGGAAAAGATGGCTAGCCAGGCCAACAAGCATGAGGTGCTTAAATTTTTGCTTGAAAAAGGCGTCATTCAGCAATGTTTCCAGCTTATCCCATACATTCCAACCATTGCAGTGAAGCTAGGCAAAAAGGGAGTGGTACTTGTTAAATTGAGTACGGACGTTGAAGCATACAAGTCGATTCCAACCTCTTCTCCATATGCTCCATCGTTTATTTATACATCTGAAGGCCTGATGGTTGAGGAACAACGTGTTGGTGTTGTCATTGAATACTTCCCTATTCCAAAAGCGAACCACGACCTCAACGTGGTAAACGTTACTGGCGCTGGTGATACATTCCTCGGTGTTCTTTCCTCCCACGTTTCCAGTTATGACTGGCTCAGCTCTGAAGTCAAAACCATCGAGCAAGAGTGGGCCTTATGGGAAAGCATATACAACGCCCAGGTGGCCAGTGGACTAAGCATCCAGTCACACGAAGCCATCAGCCCCGAGATCAAGAAGCTCACAACGACACACTAATTTACTAGTCTACTCTACGGGTACTCTTCCTATTCTGTGTCGTATTACTACAACAATACTTTACGGTTTAGACGCTCCACTCCTGGGAGTCTCTTGAAGGAATGATCCTAACGTGTTCAAGATCGTCTGCAAACCTAACCAGTTTGGGCTGGTTGGCGTGGTCAGAGTTGTACACGTTTCCACGGTACTTCTCTGATGGGTAGCACTGGCCATTGAAATGCTGGACCGAAGCTGGGGAGGACTCCGGCGTTGGCAATCCACGAGGGACATGGGTGTAATTGCGAGGCGTGCTGGGCACTTCTGGAGCATGTGTGAGAAGATACTCCAGGTAGATGGGCTCAGAGAAAGGCAAGGATTGCCTGAGAAGCTGGCGCTTGAGTCTCTGAAGGCCCCGGTGCTTTGGGGTTGGGGGTGGTTTGTGGACCTGTGGCTTGGTAACCTCCGGAGAGGTGTTGGCCACAGAAGAGGTGTCCATAGTTGGCGGCACCAACGGCTCCAAGTCGATATCCATGTCGTCGCATGATGGTGGACAATCGAGCTCTGTTTGCACAGGCTCAGGTTCCAAGATGTACAGCTGGTCAAATGTCCTGGGAATGGAGGACCCGCCGTCCGGATGGAAATTCTCACCATTAACGGTGACGTTGATATCAGATTGTGTAGGTGCTGGCTGGTTGAAGTCGTAGCCTTCTTGAGTATACGCATTGGCTGCAAAATGAGCATGTAATGCCTCCAGCGAGGAAAGCGCTGCCAACGCTTCCACGCTGTCCCAAAGGTAAGCAGGGACGGTATCATCGTCGCTGTCGTAGACGTCGGCGACAGTCTCCAAGTCATCTTCTTCTTCCTCCTCCTCTTCCTCCTCCTCCTCTTCCGCTGCTAACTGTTCTAACTCTCTGCGTTGCGTCTCTTTGGCCAAGTCAAAGCAGTGCTCTAAGAGCTTTCTGGCTGGAACCTTACGAGTCACTTTCATACGGAACTTCTTGTCATGGTTGACCTTACTGGTATTCTTGCTGACTCGGATAGGACTGTAACGCCTAGGGTTAATCTGGGGGGTATTCGTAGCACCCGAATGCCCTAGTATCTTGGTACAAATACTTTTTGTGGGCTTGATACAGCTAATCGCTCTGTAAGCTGGTCTGATGTATGTTGGGAAAGTCATTGTAGATATTATAGATTGTTACTTATGAATTGAATGAATAAAATTTGAAAAAAAGACAAAAAAAGGTTTTGGTAGGGAAAAGAAGCTTGGGTGGTGAAAACAGGACTTCTTATACTGCGAGCGGTACCGCCTGGGGAAAGTCTGGGGAAAGTCTGGGGAAACACCGCAATAGGAAACTCGAGAGATTTGGAACGGCGATAGATAAAGCCAAAGAACCCCTATCTTTGTCAGCTTAAGGGTCGAAATGCTTCCACAGGGTTCTGTGGTGAAGAAAGTTGTTTTACGGGAAGTCGTAGAATGATTTATTCACAAAACATCAAGGTGGCCTCTTCTTCCTGGATTGGTAGTATGGAGATGTTAAGAGTAGGCTAAAACTAAGAAGAAAAAAATTAGAAAACGGCCCAAACGTAGAAAACGGTTGGAACGGAACTAGTTCCAAGACTGTTGATGTAAGGTTCAGTGGGCCATTGAGTAGGATAAGAGAGATGCACCGTAGGACGTAGAGACGTAGAAGAGAAGAAAAAACCAACATAGAGTATAGGAATTAAATAATTGAATATATGTATTAATTGAAATTGGCACTAAGAAACACTAGGGTTAGGCTTCGTATCATGGGGACCCTTCCATTTAAAAGAGCACATACTGTAGTATAAATACACCACCCAGCCCCACACCTATACAACATGTTCATAAACTTATCTAGCTTTATCTACAAGCTTACTAAGAGTCAATCTAAGTCTCCTAATTTACCGGCTTCTTCTATTGAATGCCATTATACCATTGGCGTCTTCTGACCGATACATCCGTATCCAAATCCAACCATGCTCCAACTACCCACAGATCCAAAAGTCAACCAAATCTACCACTAATTGAATGAAGCCAAACTATTCACTCTTCTTCTTTGACCCTCCTCGATAAGCTTTCGCTTGTTCATCACGTCAACCAGATATGGCTGCAAACGAGCATGCGATAAACCAGCCACTCACTGGCACCACATTTCAAACCACCACTTGCTTCACAAGTAAGAAAAAAAGAGAGTACAAAATAGAAAGAGTCTTCTTTTATTCATCTCAAAATCAATTTAAACTTCAAATCGTCACCTCCCTTGGTATCCTCTCCTCTCTTCCCTTACCCTCCTCTCATGCTCGTACCACTCTGCGCGATCGCCCCATACTTTTCAACCTCTTTAACTCCATCTCTCTTCAACTACACCTTCCTCGAGAACACCATAGTTTTACAATGTTTCGGTTTCTCAGATTTGCACGTCCTTTTGCCCGGATGCCCGCAAGATCCCTAGCGGTGGGATCTACACTTTCCATCTCGTTAGCGTTTGGCTCGGTTATCGCTAATGATGCTAGCAAGAAGGGCTTGGAAGGCGTTGATCTCGATAAAAGTATTGATCCTTTCCCTACAGAGCTTACGCGTGCCAATTGCTCAGTCGTTGATAAAGTACAACGGTTGGTGGCCTCGGGTATGAGGTCGGTGACGTTTATCAGCTTTAAGGTGTATGCTGTGGGCCTCTATGTTCCTACTAAGGATGAGCCCCAGATATCCACGACGGTGGCTCAGTATATGCGTCTGAACCCTGGCAAGACAGCCGAAGAGCTTTTGGGCGATAAGCAGCTTTCACAGGAGATTTTGGAGAACATGTCCCAGAGAATCAACTATACGATTAGAATCACTCCAGTGAGGAACACAGACTTTGGACACTTGAGGGACGGCTTTGTCAAGACGATTTTGGCTTGTCCTTTGGCAAAGACTAAGAGAGAAGAGGTGGCTACGGGAATTGAGCAGTTAAGAGCAGCTTTCCAGGGCTTCAAGGGCTCGGTGCCTAAGAACCACTCTCTTTACTTGGTAACTGAAAATAACCAGATCACAATGCACTACGTGGGCAACAAGGGTGAAGTTCGTACCTTGGGCAAGATCACCGAGCCTAGCATCGCTCAGGTACTCTTTGTGCTGTATTTCAGCAGCGCTAAGCCCATCAGTGAGCAGCTCCGTAAAGACTTTGTCAGCTACGTCACGTCTACGTTACCATAAGGCGACAGATTAGGGTATGTATTTGAAGAAATGTCATTGAAAGCGAGCGTTACTTACATAATGATGGCCTCGTGCTCCACGTTGTTGGAGATGGACTTGTGAGGCAAGACCTTGGCACCGTTAACGTAGATTTCGTTCTTGACCTCCACGTCGTCACCCAAGACAGTGACGCCCTCGGTTCTGGCCCACTTACCGATTCTGGAGTTCCAGCCCACAATGGTGGACTTGACCCATGCGTGGTCCTTGACCTCAGAGTTGGCCAAAAGGACGGATCTCTGGATTCTGGCACCCTCACCAATGACAACGTTAGGACCAATGACGACGTTAGGACCGATCAAAGCGGTTGGGTGGATCTTGGCAGTTGGGTCAACGAGCACGTTACCCTGGTGAACCCACTTTTCGCTAGACAACTTCTCTGGAGACTTCTTAGACAAGGAGGTCAAGTAGAGACAAGTACCAGACAAGAAATCCTTTGGCTGACCAACGTCCATCCAGTAGCCCTCCAAGTCGAAAGAGTACAATTGCTTCTTCTCGACCAATTGAGGGAAGGTCTCCTTCTCAATGGAGGTTGGCTTCATGTCGATCAAGTCAATCACGTCAGGGTTCAAGATGTACAAACCGGCGTTAATTCTGTTACCGACAAACTCGACAGGCTTCTCAACGAAACGGTCAATCAAGTTTGGAGTGTTTCTGTCGTGCACAATGACACCGTACTTAGATGGCTCGTCGACCTTGGTAGCGACAATGGTACCAGAGGCACCGTGGTTCTTGTGGAAATCAGCCAACTCCTTGAATGGGTAGTCACAGATGACATCGGAGTTCAACACGAAGAATGGAGAGTCGTCCTTCTTCAAGACCTTCTCGGCAAGCTTCAAAGGACCAGCAGTGCCCAAAGGCTCCTCCTCAACAGAGAAAGTGATGGACACGCCGTATTCAGCCTCGTACTTCTTCAACGTAGACACCATCACCTCAGGTCTGTAGTTGACAGCCAACACAATGTCGGTGACACCAGCAGCAGCCAAGGCCTCGATCTGGTGCAAGATCATAGGTCTGTTACCGAACTCAACCAAAGGCTTTGGCAAGGTCAAGGTCAAAGGTCTCAAACGAGTACCGTAACCACCAACAAGAATAAGGCCCTTCATTGTATCAAGATTTTAATGGAAAAAAGTGTATAACAGGGGGGATCAGATGAAAATACGCTTTGGCGTCAAAGAGAAAAGAAGAAGAAAAAGCGTTAGAAACTGGCCACGGTGGGTATATATATATATGGCGAGGCGCGCGAATGGGAGAGGAAAAAAAAAAAATATAAAAAAAAGATGCAAAATGCCCGAACAAAAATAGGACCGCGCCGACCCACAGTTAAGACGAGACGACGTGGATGTCCAGTTTAAGGGGCAGAGAGACACATTTAAATTAGAAAAGAGGGGGTGTTACCCGGACACGGGCAACTATATAAAGACATGAATTCCCAGGTACTTTTTCTTCCCCTTTTTTCCAAAACCAGGGGAAACCCACCGCCTGTCTCTTCCTCCTCTGGCGCACGTTGCAGCCAAAAAGACAACACGCTATCACTCCGAACGCCGTGTGCACACCACGTTGGTTGTTCGTGGTCTGAGCTCAAGAGCCCAGTGCTTGGAAGCGTGAAGGGTAGTGTAAAAAGGGAAACCAGCCAATCAGATAAAGGAGGGGAAGGGAAGTATCCTTCGTGAATTCTGCTTCTATTTCTTCTTTTTTTGTCGTTTTTCTTGCTTTATCTGTGGCGTTGAACTGCACGTTTTATTCTCGAGCGCTGTCAGCCGCGAGGCACCAAATCTGGAAAATCCAGGAAGCCAGGCAGAAAGACAGACAAGCGAAGTTGGCATTTGATCTTTGGTTTTTTGTTTTACTATGAAGATTTGAAACATGTCTTTTTCGTCTTCTTCCTATTCTACTTCTGCTTCTTGCTTTTCCCTTCAAAGTCGTTTGCAGCCAGCATTCTTCGCCCTGACGATGGAAAATTATTATACCGAAAAAACAGCGCCATGGCTCCAAGTACATACACACCGCCAGCCATCACCAGCCACCAAGCCTTCTAGCCAGCGCCAGCAGACAATGAAGAGAAGAAGAAGAAATAGCGTGGAAAGCTTAGAGAATCCAACACCTGCTCTGCTCTGGACGAATCTGAACAATACACGCTTAGCGTCGGTGATCTTCGACACTATGGAATGGCTGCGAAATGCCATTATGCTTCGGCCTGGTGCGTCCCATTGACCAGGCAATTCTTACGCTTTGGCCATGGTGGGGTGGTAGAGACCAGAATTGGTTTTTTATGGGTTTAGGGAGGGAAGTTTTGGTTCTTTTACTGGTAGAGGGTTCTTGGACTGACAGCTTCTGCGTGCTAGCGCCGTGCATTAGTGCTTCTTCAGGAACCACATCGCGGCAGTGAAGGATGGAATGGACTGGTGGGGCGTCGAGGGGGTTACTTGTGTGTCTGATGTAGTTTGAGTGTAGTTTGGGAGTTTTGGTGGGGTTTGGATTATGTCGCTTTGGTGGGTTATACGTGATGTCGGTGTCATTATATGTCTTGTAGGGTAAACTGGGTAGGTTTGTTTCTGGCAGTAATGGATACTCTGCTTTCTAGGTTACTAGATCTACTAAAAAGAGGGTTTGTCTGCTTTGTTTTAGGAGATCTGGTTATGTTTAAATGGAGAAAGAGGATTCCAGAGTATAAGCGTCTTCAATATCTACTGTTGGGCTGCAAGTTATAAGAATGCCATAGAGGATAAACATCCTCATTGGCTTGACGGTTTAATTTGGATCTTTCAAATACATAAATAATGTCAACTCTATGCTCTATGTGTCAATCAACGTGCCTTGTTCCTTTCTGGGGGGCTGATAGTCTGTTCACAAATCTAGATAACACTGGCGTCGAATACCCCGACCCTATTTGCTCTGTCGAGGAAAAGCCAATAAGAGAACAATCGGAGACCTGAAATCTACTGAAGAAGGCTAAATCATCATCGAAAAATCATATTAGTCGCATGACAGCACGGCCCGCCGTGGTCTGCAAATGCATTACTTTATCCTATTAACGCAACAAAGTCTCGACTGATGGACTCATTAAGGGCATTCAGAAGCACAATATTCTCTCTTCCAACTTTGAAAGCACCACCAGTGGCACCAGCAGCTGAAAAGACCCATAACTTCTCCCTTGGCTGCAACGGAGCCTAATCACCATTCCTGACTTCCACACCAGCCATTGAGCACCAACACTCCAAAAGAAACCCTCCAGATCTGCTAGACCACCTGCTGATTTCTGGTATCATAACGAGCAGCATCGTCATAAGCAGGCGGAGGCATGCTGGGGTACTCTTGCATTGTGTAAGCCAACGTTGGAGGACTATAAGCTGGTACTTCGCTGCTATCCCGAATAACGTATTCCATAGGCTTGTACTGAGTTTCAAAGTAGCCATTTTGGTACCTTTCTCTCTCTATCTTCTTTCGACGCCGATTGACGTAGACACTCAGGCTTATCACGATGCCTAGTACTGTGACACAGGCTATTGCTATGCCAATGTATGCTGAAAGGGCAACACTAGACGCTACCCCGTACTGAGAATCCATTGAGTAGCTCGAACAAGAAAAGGATAGAAAATTAAAAAAGAAGACAGATGAAATAAAAGTGGGTCGATTGCTCTTTATAGCCTTTATGGCAGTTTCACCACAAAAGCGTGGTGCAGGAGATAGATTAGGAATGGTTGAAGTGATAGGCGCTTTAAAAGATAAAAGGCTTATTATAAATGACAATGTACTTTTCTTGGGGATAATCTGGGTATTATGTTCCCTTTTAATTTCTCCCTTTGGCATTGGGTGGATAGAATGGGTGGTAGGTTTTTTGCAACCGCCTCGTAAGTGCTACGCCTGCATTGACGTATCAGCCGTGCAAATTGCTGGGGTATGAAACCTGGAGATTCTGCAATAAAAAGTCGCCAATTGAAGACTAAGCATAGGCGAAGATAAGATTGGCGATTGAAATATGCTATCCGAGTTCCCCAAAGGGTTTCTGGCCGAAATATACCCCAAATGATGGAGGTATCAAAAGTGAGACATGCGAACTATCAGAAGCACAAAACGCCTCATTATAGCAACGCAATTGACTTCATCAGTTGCGTAGGTTATGTGCCTCTGAAGCACTCTTTTTTGGATTTTAGTTTATCTTTCTTGGAGCATTGCTTATCATTAGGTACATCTATTGGACATTATAGTGCACCATCAACAGTCTCCAAGCCCTCTCTGAACCTCATATCACGATAGCCAATCACACCTCGAGGCCTTAAGCTGGTTGAAAGGTCCTAGACAGGCCCAATTCGTAAAATGCCCATGATTAGTCTTTGTGTGCTAAAAGCAATGCAAACGTGGATTTCACTTGGAGAGCCTAGAAGACCTTAAGGCCACGCTTCCACCAAAAAGCACGCCATGCAACCACCACGAACACCAAACTCACGAATAAACTCACAGCGGTTGTAATAAAGTAGTGCTCCAAGCAGCCATCGCTACCCTTCTCGTAGTTACCTCTATTCTTGCATGCATCCATCTGTTCACCGTGCAAAAGGGAGTACAGAATACTACCGATAGCTGGTGCTACCATGAAGGAGCCCCATGTAGAGCCCATAAGGTCCACGCCCCAGACAGAGGCAATGATTGTAGGGTAGATGGTGAAAAGACCACCATAACAGATACCGCTGAGTACGGATATAGTAGTAAAGCTGAACCCGTAAATCACAGCTATCTGTGCCACTATACCAATGACAATGAAACCAATCATTAACCAAACCTTACAGATTGGGAAACGTCTCTTGCTGCTGGATATGTAGTCAGCCACGACACCCACAATAAGACGAATGACAGTGGACAGAAGAGCAATGACAGACACTTGGTCAGCCAAAACACCTTCACCACCGGTAGTGGACTCGATGATGGAGCCCAAATTGTTCTGGAAGCTCTCCATGGGGCCAATGTTAAGCAAAAGAGAGATAAGCAAAGCCCATGCAGATTTATCCTTAAGGAAACGAATGTACCTTGCCTTATGGTCCACAGGTTCGATATTAGATCTCTGAGGCAAGAGTTCAGTTTCTTCATTGGCTTCACCGTTTTCGAGAATGCTGTCAGCGGGAGTACCAACTTCAGACTCTGGGATCACCGGTTCCTCGTCTCCGAAAATGATATCTGTTTCGATACTAACGATCGAGTTGGAAACAAAATTAAGGGCTCCCATGAACAAATATAAAACAGCGAAAAACATGAATACTCTTTCCAAATCAAGCTCCTTCCCTCCATGGACATGGAAGTAAGGTACCTTCATAAGCTGAGCGCCAATAAGCGACGACACACCGTAACACGACACCGGCAACGAAATAGCTAACGATTTGTGATCTGGATAAATTTTAGCACATGTAAGCAAACTCGAAAAGTACAATGACGACGTAGCGAGGCCAATAAAGCAGAAACTAAACGCCATAACCAAAACACCCATCTTATTCAACTCAGCAAACGGTTCCTCGAAGTGGATCGACCGAACCAGGTTCACAAGCAAAGCGTTCACAAAATAAGCCGGACAGAACGCCCAGATCGATATAAGCAGAAGCAACGCCGGCCCGTAGCAGTCAGCCAAGTACCCCAACACCGGAAGACATAAGTACATCCCGACAGCTGAAAGCAGCACTATAATGTTGATCTCGGTATAACTCAAGCCCACCGTGTTGTGAAGCGACAGCGCATAAAGCGAAAACAACATAATCAGCCCCAGCAGAAGACATGTAGCTAGGGCGATGCCAAAGGCTAGCTTTTTCAAGTGGTTAAGGTCATACCGCTTAGAGAGGCCTCTGCGGATCCGGCGGGTCCACCTTTGTAGCTGGGTTTTCATGAGGAGCTGTTTCTGAGATCTAAAGTAATGCAAAAGGTATGCTAAATGCTATAAGATGCTGGTGGTATGGTGGATATGGTCAAGTGTGGAAAGTGTTGATGAGTCGCAGTGAGGCATATGACTCTTACGATAAGGCACATTGATATGTAGAAGGTGCCACATTGATAGGAGGTGAAATCAAAAATAGAATTGAATTACGTTTGTCTATACTGGGATACATATCTTTCGTGCAATGTGTGGATGCTGCTGCGTATATACCTAGGGGCTGGCCTGACGTTTATGGAACGTAGGTCAAGAAACGGTCGACCTCGCCCTTAGAGCCCAACCAAATGCCAGATTTGTCATGGATGCCCTTTGGCAAGATGTCCAAAATCCTCTCACCTTTATCGTTGACAGCAGAACCACCGGCCTGCTCCATCAACATGGCCATTGGGAAACACTCGTACAAGACTCTCAACTTACCGTTCTTAGACTTGGAGTCGGCTGGGTACGAGAAAATACCACCGTACAAGAGTGTTCTGTGAATATCGGCCACCATGGAACCAATGTAACGTGCCGAGTATGGCTTACCCTTCAACTCTTCCTGTGGTTCCTTCAAGTCAGCAATGTACTTCTTCACGTATTCAGGCCAGTAGTATGAGTTACCTTCGTTGACAGAGTAGATGGCTCTGGTTGGAGGAATCTTCAAGTCTGGTTGCGTCAAGATGAACTCACCCAACTGGGTGTCCAAGGTGAAACCATGGACACCTCTGCCGTGGGTCAACATGAGGTGAGCAGAGGCACCGTACATGGTGTAACCAGCAGCAACCATCTCAGTACCCTTTCTCAAGACGTCCTTGATGGAGCCGGTGGAGTCGTCTCTCAAACGGTAAACACCGAAAATAGTACCGACGGAGACACCGGCGTCAATGTTGGAAGAACCATCAATTGGGTCAGTACACACGGCGTAACGGCCACCACCCTCGAAGACAATGAGATCTTCCTGTTCCTCAGAAACAAGAACCTTGACGTTACCACTAGATTTCATGGCATTGATGAAAATCTCGTCACCAATCACGTCCAATTTCTTCTGCACATCACCGGTGGTGTTGGCGGTACCCGAGATACCGATAAGGTTGACCAATTCGGCTCTTCTAATGTTGTGGGCAATAAACTTGAATGCAAACTGGAGCGAGTTCAAAAGGAGAGACAACTCGCCAGTAGCGTTTGGAGCGAATTTTTGCTGCTCCTCGAGAATAAAACGGGTCAAGGTGATGATGTCGGTTTCGACATTCATCTGCTGGGAGACGGTCAGGACCATTTTTGGACAGTTTTCAAATTAATCGTTAAAGAAGGGAGTAAACAACTGGCTGTGTTTTTGGGGATCAAAAGCGAAAGCACATGGGTTACCCCAGGTTCTTATAGAAAACCCGGAGGTGCGTACGAAAAGGTTGCGGGTCCTGCAGATAACCGGGTCTCGCGGCCGTGCTTCACCGGGGTGCTCGGCTTAAAGGGCCTCGCTTTGGCCCTGTCTCAGTCCTTGTCGCGTGGGATAAGGCGTCTGGCGATTAAAAAAAACTTGGAAACCTTAAAAAAGCGGGTGAAAGACCCGTACACCGCCCGGGAAATGCCCCCCCAATCCCTCGCTGGTATACCTCCGGCTCGTCCGCGGGCATAGTGTTTGCGCGTGCAGTGAAAAGTCCAGCCAACTTGATTAGTGAAAAAAGTGGGACGGTCGCAAGCGGCTGGCTGCAAACGGTAGCTTATTTTGGCAGGTGTTTTTTGGGGGGAGATGTAGCCGACGTTCTTTTACTGTTAAGGCATTTGATAAGATTTGGAGTGGTTTTTGGAATTCTCCTGTTTTCCTTAAATGTCGGTCCAAACATTCCCGGTCTGATTAGTAGGGGCTTGGTGGTGGGTAGCTTAGATAAGGTCATATGATGGTAGTTGCGGTCGGCAACCAACAGAGTCAGGTGCAACAAGATTCTGGCTTTGGTTTGCTTAGAAGACAAAGTTTATATGCGATTTTGCCTTGTTAAATGGACTCTGTAACACGTCCAGTGCAGCTGCACTTACCGAACGTTCGATGCAGCCGTAGTGACAGAATCGGCGACAAAGGCCAAGTACGTCAACGAAACGTGTGGAATGTGTCCAATTAGTGTTTCGGAGTATCACCGGCCCTTTGTTTTAGCGTTTTTTTTTCGGTCTGTAACTCCGCTTCCGGGAGTATTGTTTGTAAGACACCCAGTGGGTGCAACGCTACTGTTCGTGCGTCAACAAGCTTAGGCCAAAAGCAGCAAACTGATGAAGTCGCCGCATATCTTTAACTGTTTAAGCCCACCTTGTCCCGGCCGAAGATGATACTCACCAACTATCGTGGACAAATTTGGGGATATGGACTTGAAATTTGCAACCATATCCATTCCCCCCCCCCCCCCCAAAAAAAAAAACCCCACTGCTTCTGTCTCAACTCCTCTATCAACCCCTTAATTTCTCTCGATAATCTTTCCGCTTCCCGAAACCTACCGCTTTACCCTCTGTGCCTCGACGTTTGCAGGCCTTGCCTCGCCCACTTGCTATTGCTACCCGCACTGGCCCATAATCGTCGTTTCTGAAATCCGGAACCAGACGCCCAGGTAGATATATTGTAATCTTAAGATTTTTCATCGACGGCTCTTTTGGCCTGCTGCTACCTGTCGTGTCACTTCGGTCACGATACTGACATGACGGTCCTCCTTCTTGTTACCGTTTGCCTTGGTCCATCCAGAATGACTATCCAACGAACGGTATATCCTTGATTTCTCTCCAGCCTTGTCTTTCTTGGCTTCTTCTAAAGCTGTAGAGTACGACTTCTTAAGAAATGCTGCCAATTCGGTGCCATTGAAGTCACTGGCTTCGTTCTTGGTTACTGGCTTGGCCTTGTCTGTTTGAGCTGGGGCTGGAGCAGGCGGTGAGGCTGCATTCTCCTTTTGCGTTTCTTTAGGAGCTGTCTTGGGCTTCTCTTTAGGCCCTTCCTTGACACTATCCTTTCGCTGTAATTTGCTGGCCCAGTCAGACATGCTTTATGGATGGAGTTCGCTGGAGGTGTTTTAGTATGGGGCACCGAGCGACATTTCATTGGTCTCGCGACAATGTCGTGGCTACCCCAGGCAGAATCACCCAACACGAAACGCCATAAAAGTGATTCGATTTTGACGAAATTACTAACGATGCCTCTTGACGGCTTGACGTCACCAAAAGGCTAATTTTTGGTACCACTTGGCCACTATTAGGGCTGCATAGTGAAGGTAGTGCACGGGCCATAATACACCTCTCGACCGTGTATCCAAACAGCTGTATCCCACGTTTTGGCCTTGCCAATATCGCCACAACTCTCTTTCTCGGCAAGCAAAACATTTTCTCGTGTATCTCAATAGTACCACCTTTATTTTGTCCAAATCGCCTATTGTTACCCAGCTAAGGCCATTTTATCGAGTCGCGTCACGTGATTTGTCCAACGACACGTCAACGACCGCACATTTTTCAAAACTCCCAGACAACTACTCCACACATCAAAAGAAGAGAATGAGTTTCCGTGTTTTGGATCTCGTCAAGCCGTTCGAGCCCCTCGTTCCAGAGGTGATTGCTCCAGAGAGAAAAGTCTCCTTCAACCAGCGAGTCATGTGGACTGGTGTCACCTTGTTGATCTTCCTCGTCATGAGCGAAATCCCCCTCTATGGTATCAACTCCTCCGACGGTCTGGACCCGTTGATCTGGCTCAGAATGATGCTTGCGTCTAACCGTGGTACCTTGATGGAGTTGGGTGTCACGCCAATTGTCACTGCTTCCATGGTGTTCCAGTTGTTGCAGGGAACGAAAATGATCCAGGTGGACATGAACAACAAGCAGGACAGAGAGCAGTTCCAGAATGCTCAGAAGCTTTTGGCCATCATGTTGGCTGTTGGTCAGGCCACTGTGTATGTTTTGACCGGTATGTACGGTCCTCCTAAGATGTTGGGCTTGGGAATCATTTTGTTGTTGGTTTTGCAGTTGGTTTTCGCCGGTATCATTGTGATTTTGTTGGACGAGTTGTTGCAGAAGGGCTACGGTCTTGGTTCTGGTATCTCCTTGTTCACTGCCACCAACGTCTGTGAGAAGATCATGTGGAAGGCTTTTGCTCCAACCACTTCTTCCGCTGGTAAGGGTGCTGAATTTGATGGTGCTGTCATTGCCTTGTTCCACCTCTTGGGTTCCAGATCTGACAAGAAGAGAGCTATTTTGGAGGCTTTCTACAGACAGAACTTGCCTAACATGCTCCAGGTCTTGGCTACCGTCTTCATGTTCTTGTCTGTCGTCTACTTGCAAGGCTTCAGAGTCGAGTTGCCAATCAAGAGCACCAGACAGAGAGGCCCATACGCCTTGTACCCAATCAGATTGTTCTACACCTCTAACATGCCTATCATGTTGCAGTCTGCTTTGTCTTCTAACATCTTCATTGCTTCTCAGATCGTTTTCATGAGATGGCCAGACAACACTTTCGTCAAGCTCTTGGGTCAGTGGGGCCAGAAGGGTGGTTCTTCTCAGTTGTACGCCGTTAGCGGTTTGGCTTACTACATCCAGCCACCTCTTTCGGTTACTGAGGCCATGTTGGACCCAATCAAGACGGCCATCTACATCACCTACGTCTTGGGTGCCTGTGCCATCTTCTCCACCACCTGGATTGAGATCTCTGGTACTGCTCCAAGAAACATCGCCAAGCAGTTCAAGGACCAGGGCTTGGTCATTGCTGGCCACAGAGACACCAGTGCTTACAGAGAATTGAAGAAGATCATTCCAACTGCTGCTGCTTTCGGTGGTGCTGCCATTGGTGCTTTGTCCGTTGCAAGTGACTTGCTTGGTTGTTTGGAGAGTGGTACGTCCATCTTGATGAGTGTGACTACCATCTACGGCTACTATGAATTGGCCGTGAAGGAGGGTGGCTTCTCGAAGTCTGTTGTCAGCGGCTTCTCTGATGGTATTTAAACCACTCCTCTCACTGCCCTACAGGGTATACATTATTATTAAAAATGCATTATCCATTTGATGGATTTCACGTTATATTAGTACTGTTTGCAACAGTGTGTATTGAATATCGATGGAAAGAGGTAAAAGCACAAGAGTAGTTGAACTTGCCTGTTTACGCTCCAGAAGATCCAAATTGGGCAGCCCATTTCTCGTACTCGCCAAGACCCTCGCTAGAGACACTTGGTCTGATATATTTCAAACTTTCAACAAAGTCAGAAAGCTGAATTGGACGGATCTCTTCCGTAGGAGTACTCAATAATTTATCGCCCAACGAACGAAGCGGTCCCATGGCACTGTCTTTAGCCAATAATGTAATATCACTTCCACTGAAACTCTTTGTAAGTTCAACAAGCTTTTCGAAGTCTTCATCCAGCAACGTGTGTTTTTGATATTGCAAAAGCTTGGAAATCTGTAACTTTCTTGTCTCGTCTTCGGGAAGAGGAATGTAAACTCTTTTAGCGAATCTTCTTCTGGCAGCGTCATCAATACCCCATGGCAAGTTAGTTGCTCCCAAAATAAGCACACGACTTACATCTCCAGCGCTCGAGTCCCTGCCTGCGGCTGCAGATGAAAGTTCAGACCATTGGACCAAAAATTCGTTCTTAATTCTTCTCATACTCTCCACTTCGCCTTCTGTTCTTGTTCCAAGAAGGGAATCAATCTCGTCGATGAAAACAATCGAAGGACTCAATTTCTTCGCCAAAAGGAACAATGCTTTAACAAGCTTCTCACTCTCACCCAAATACTTCGAAGTCAATGAAGATGAACTAATGGAAAAGAAAGTGGACTTGGACTCCGTGGCCACAGCTCTTGCAAGCATAGTCTTACCAGTACCTGGAGGACCGAACAAAAGCATACCTCTCGTAGGCTCTCGAAGACCACGGAACAAATCAGGACGCAAAAATGGATACACAACAGCTTCTTTGAGAGAATTTTTGGCACTCTCAAGACCAACAATATCATCCCAATAAACCTCATCACCTCTAACCACAATATCATTCAAGATTTGAGTCGCAGCTAGCTCGTCAATACCACGAATAGATTTGATTAAGGCCTCTTGCTCTGATGGGTTCATGCCATCGGCGGCAGCCTGTTCAGGGTCTAGCTCGCCGTTAGCAAAAGTATCATCGTCATCGTAGCCCCTAGAATATCATCCATAGTAGGCGAGATAGGAACGTCATCAGGAATCCTTGGTTTCGCAGGGCGTTGCTTTGCGGCTGCGGGCTTAGCCGTGGCAGGCTTTGCTGCTGGTTTGTAGTTGTATGTGATATTTGAGCTCTTCTGACCAGGTCTTGTGACCTTTGGAGTGGCCTTTTGAGGAGGTGCTGATTTGGTTTTCTGCAATGGTCTGGTAGTAGCTGTAGCTTTTGAGGTGGTAGGCTTTGCTTGACTTTGTTTGGCTTTGCTGCTGCTTGCAGCCATCATTTTCTTAACGTCAATTCTTGCCGGTTGAGTGTAGACATACTTCTTTGGTTGCGGCGGTGTTGATACAACTGGAACGTCAGATGTGGACTTGGAGTTATGCGTGATGATGGGTTTGTCAAGTGTGGTGGCTTGGGTCTAGGTGGTGATTCTGTGGGCACTGGAGGTGCTTTTGAAGTGTTTGCGCTGTATTGTCTGGCTCTTGGAGGAGGCGGTGGTGGAGGCAGTTTTTTAATGCTGAGGTCGCCCATCAGTTTGGTGACGTTTTCGTCGAAGAAATTAAGCTCGTCTCCATTTTCGTCGTCCAAGTCGATTAGGTTGCTGGTATTAGAGTTGAACAGTCCGTTCGAAGTGGAGTTCAGATCATGGGAATTAAGACGCTCCCAGTTGCCATTGCCATTGCCAACGTATTCGTTCTGGTCAAAGTCGTCAAAAAGCACTTCTTCCAGCTTGGCAGGCGTAGGTTTTGCAGTGGGCTTGTTCCATGACTTGTTCACCGCAGCTTGCACGGTATCCCTGCTTTTCTGTGATAGCTTGTACGTAGCCGGCTGAGGTCTGAGAGACTTCATCATCAGTCTCTGGTTGTTGCTGTTGAAAGATCGACTCGCCGGATTGCTGCTTCTTAAAGAGGGTATAGTCATTTTATGAGCGGAAGAAGCCTGGGTTTGAGGCGCCTGTTCGGCAGAACGTTTGCGGCGCCTATTTTCTTCATCTAGACGAAGCTGGATACGGACCAAATGCTTGACGTTCTCGTCTCTGATGGCTCTGAGCTCGGTGAGTATGGTCTGCTCTTCCATGTTAATCTTGGAAGACTTTTCAAAAAGGTCGATTTTATAAAGCAACAGCGTGTGTAGCGATTTCCAGCCCTTCAAGGCTTCAGCAAAATTGCCTGTTTCCTCCATATGGAGGTTCTTGACGGACAGGTTACACACATCGTTGTAGGTTTGCTGAAGCTCCTCAAGAACCAGTAGCTGGGGCGGTTTCTTTCTCAGAAACATATGCAATTGATGTAATGAAATGGAACGTCGCAGATATTGCGGACAATGCTACAAGAACGGAATGGAATATGCCTGGATAAGGAAGTTGTCTGTGGTACAGAGATAACCAGCTATTTCTGGCGAGGAGTAGTAGTGAATGTATGGAAGGCGGCTGTGTGCCGGATCCTTGTTCCAACGGTAGACCAGTTGGTTGCTAACCGCCAGGAAAGGAGGGTTTGTGTAACAGGGCGACAATGCCAGAAAGGGGAGAGCCTGTGGGAGGGTTCTAAGATGTCTTGGGTAGCTTACAACACTTGTTAAGTATGGCTAGGTTATGGTGAGAACGAGCACTGTGGAGCCAAGCGAAAGAAGATGACGCAACGACAAGAAAAGTAGTGAAAAGTTTTAGAGTAAAGCTTGGAGAGATGACAAGGAATAAAGCCAAGTCGATATTTTTGTTCAGGTAAAGGGTCCCTTGACCTGTAAAGCCATCTTGTGTAGGCAGCTCCTCAGCTCCACACCCTATGACGTAATCAGTCAGACGACTGCTAAGATGTAGTGATATAACGGGATACACGACGGTTTCTAACCCATCGCATATTCTGTATAACCACGTTCTTCTGACCGAACAGTTTCAACTACAAGCACATTGCCCAAGACCTGGCAGCCCGCTTCCTCTCTGACAAGTGGGCCTATAATGTGCCTCCCTAAGTTAATAGGCGAGACACAGGCGTCACAAGCTTCCAGCCGAAACTGGGCGAGTGGAGGAAGACCACCAAGACTGGGCGTGCAACTAGCCGTAATTCTGCAAATGCCCGGTGTCAACTTTCTGAAGAGCAAGAATTTTCAGCGCGATGGACGGTTTATATAGGTAGAGCTTGTGAGTGCGGGTAACCGTTGGAGGAACGGCTGGAACAGGGTTAACCAGAAAAGGGTGGTTTTGGTTGAAGGATGGTAAGGTAGGGTGGAATGGGTGGTGGTGATTGTGTTGATGTGAAGATTTTTTGGTTTTTTGGAATTTCTGATTTTTGGTGGCTTTTTCATTTTGGCTCAGTTTGGCGTGAACAGTAGGAGAATGTAAATATAAGAAGTAGTAACCCAGAGTCTGGTAAAAGACAAAAAAATAAGAAGAAAAAAAAATTTATAGAAATACATAGCACGTCTATTTTATCATCCCTTCATTATCCTTGGGCCCGAGAAGTATCCATCAGCAGTCGTTAATTAGCTTCCTGACTAAACTGTTGTCTGTGAGGCTCTAATGGCTGCAAATGATGCCCCAACATGCCTATTTCTAGATTACAAGAAACAGCAAGCTACAGCAGAACCCAAAGGGTATAACGACAAGCTTAAACCTTTACTATACTGTTCTTCTTCTTTTTCTATTTTTCTTTTTTCTTTTTCTTTTTTTTTTTTTTTTATTTCATTTATTACCTATATACTTTACTTAGATACCTAAATGTGCTTGCACACATTGATGAAGCCCTGCTTCAACAAAAGAAGAAGCTCCTCCTTGTGGTCGTAAGCATCTTCCAACTGCTGAAGGTGACGCTTGAAAGCCTCATTCTTGATCTTCTTGTTCCATTCGGTGAAGAACAAGCTGGTATGGTTGTACTGGACTCTTCCCAAGACTCTGGAGAGTTCCTCACGACCTTCGTCGTCTAAGCTACGACAGTGCCTAGCAATGAACTTGTCATAGGCATTGGTGACTTTACCAGATAATCCCTTGATTTTCTGGATGTCATCATGGAGCACGTCAAGTCTGCATTCATGATCCCTGGCGAGAAGATCAAGCTGCTGTCTGACATTGGATTCGGCCTCGTCCAAACGCTTAAAGTTCTGACCAAAGTTAAAAAGCCTCTTTCTATCCTTCTCGGAAATCTGGCCACTCACGAACTCCTCTCTCATACAATCCAACTCTTGGGCCATACCAGTGCACTCCCCCACAGTGCTGCTGATATCGTCGCCAACGCAAATGAACTTGTGGATGTAGTCAAGGTAGTCGGTGATAACGGGCTCATTGAAAGTAGCGTTGATCAAGTTAAAGGCTTCTTTGAACTTGACAAGAGACTCTGCTACCTTGGCTTGGTAGGTCTCAGTCTTGACAGCTGCAAACTTCGTCTCCTTGACCAACTCATCCACCTTCTTTACAATCTCTGGATAAGTTGGGGCCAATTGAAGGCGAGGACTGAGACTGGACTCCTGGATGGGTGGGTCCTCCTTGCAAGTAAGGGACAAGATGCCTCTTGCTGGAGAGGTCTGCTTACTGGTAAAGAGGCCAACGGTTCTTGGACAGTCGGTGGTACGAAAAGTGACAACCTCCTCAATAAAATTACCACTTGGAAAGGAAACCAATGACAGTCTTTCTGTAATGAGAGCAGATGTGTGCTTATTGTATTCTGATGATCTCACCTTGATCTCAACAGCACGGATCCCCTTCATAGGTCTGAATCTCTGGTTAGCCAACTTCATCAATTCAGACAAATCTACGGCGAGGCCAGTGACCTCTTCTTCCTCAGACGTAGTTACATCTTTCAGATGTTTGTTACCGGCCCAAGGCACAAGCGCCGTGCTAGTAACAGGAGCCTTCTTATTAGATAAAGGCTCAGGGGCATTTGGAAGCACAGCAGGAAGTTCCGTAGATCCCTTTGAAAAATAAATAGGCTTGATGAGCCCGTAAGGCAGGATGTCCCTCTTGGAGGGCTTCCCAAGAGCATGGCTCTTTAAGACTTCATAGAATAAAAGCCATTTCTTGTGGGAATGGTACGGCGAGTCAGTAGGAACTGCTGCATGTCGACCAAAAACAACAGGGGCCTTCTTTGGGGTTTCCCCAAATGATTTGGCAAGCCTTTGCTTTTCCTGTGTTGCACTTTCCCAAGTGATCTTGTTGCACTTACTCGCAACATTATTCGAAGGCTGAATAAATGAGGTATTCGTGCTAGAGAACATGGAGCCCTCTGAGCTAGAGCCGGGGCTCTTATTACGGCCAAGAATGGCAAAACGGCGAAGAGAAAACGACTTTCTGGGAAAGCGTTGTGGGAGAACCTCAGACTCTTCGCAAGTCTTGATGAGGTTCACAGTCGGAGTATTTACCTTGAAGTCTCTAAATTCTCTTGAGCGCTTCAACTTAGCACTGGTTAATTTCAATGCATTTTTAACTCTTCTGTAGAAGGATAAATGTTCTTCCACTGGACTGAAGGTGGGGCCTAGTTCTCGAGCGAGGTGGGCCATTTGTAACTTATCGAAGAAAGTTGGAGAGCTAGCTTGGTAGCGGGATGATTTTCTGAAGAACAACATTTTTGAAAAGATAATTGTGGTGAGCTGAAATCCAGAGAAAGGCCCTTCTTTTATATTACATTTTGCTCTTTAGACTTACTTCTTTTTGGAATAAGGCCTTTCTTGCGAAAAGAACATTCTACGAGCTACGAAAAGGTATTTTGAGGAAGGTAAAGCAGGGATTGATATCAGAAGGGAATTATAGTAGTAGGGACCGAAGGGCATGTATCAATTTGCCCTGGCACTCAGTCCCTTGAACGCCGTTGAATACTAGACTTGCAGAAAACGATAGAGTCGATAAAAAATATCATCACATTCTTACCAATAAGGAAACCAAAAAGATGGATACGTCGCCATAGAACCCTTTCCTGCTTCCATGGTGTTCTACCCTGGACCTTCCTCTTTCAGTTCCTCAAGGGTTCCACCTACACTGAGAGTGCCACGCTCCACGAAACCCGCCAGCAAAGCATTTTCAATTAAATTTATACTACAAAGACACGTATTTCAATTTCACACCTGGACTTGCCTTTTTTTTTTAGTCTACTTCTGTTCAAGCGGTGGTTCAGTATCTGCTCACCACAACCAAACTTCACCAACACCAAACCGTTTGAACGGCACGCCAAAGGGTACCAAATTACCTCTCTTCTAAACCAACCGTATCCAATCACAGCCCCGTATTTCCCTTGGCTTCTTTCTTTCCTTGTCCGTAGCCCAGCCAAATCACATGACTTCCTCCAGTCCAGTTTGGTCTACCTGTCTCGCTTACCCAGAAAGACTTTCTCCACATTTCAACTACACCATCACCAATGGCATACACAGCTTACGACGTTGTTACCTACGCTGGGCTGCGACTTATAGACGTCGTTGCCATTCTCTTGAGCAATATAATTTTGGCTGTGGGCTACGCCTTTGTCCATTTCCCCAATGCTTCTACTTTGGTGGTGGCGCTCTTGGCTGTTTACATCATCTATAAGACGTTGAGAAGGATTGTCAGGTTCTGGCTAAACATGTTTATCACTATGGTTAAGCTAACGGTTTTCTCGGTGGTGATATTTGTCCTTTTGGCAGTTTACGTGCGTGGGTTCAACAGATTTTTCACCAAGGACATATACTTTATCAAGGAGCTTTTGGCCTCGAAGGCGGACGCTTCAGATGAGGCTTTCAAGCAATATGCTTACAAGATCATGAACGACGATAGATTTGAGTTCTTGCAGGGAGCCAGGGATTTCTTTGAGGGAAGCACTTTCCATATTGATGAGTCTTATGAGGGCCTGTTCGACAACATAAGGGAGAATCTCAACAGAGGGTTCCAGGATGTTTTGGGCCAGGACGGTCTTCAGAACCTCAATAACTTCTTGAACAATTTTAATAATTAGGTGGGTTGAGGTGAGAGGAGTAGTGTGGTTTGTTCTATATTTTATTGGATGCATTATTAGGAGGTTTGGCTATGTAGTGATACCCTGCTGTTTCGATAAGGTCTATTTCTCTTTCTCGTGTTCGCCAGGGACTTGGTTGATGGAAGCATGATCGCTCAGGTGGCCATCGGTCTCGGTCGACTCCTTGTCTTTCTTTTCTGGCTGCTGATCAAGACATTGGAGGCCTCTGTCTTTGACAAGGAACAGTAGAATAAGACAAATACCAAGCAAAGGAATCGTAAAGTAAAACACGTTTCGAATGGATTTCATGTACATCTTCCTAACGATGTCTTTTTGCAATTCTGTGAGGCCACTAAGGTCAGCTTTGGTATAAATGTTGGCCTTCAAGTTGATCAAGAACAGACGAGGAACAGCCAGGTCGCCAAGCTCTTTGTCAATCTCGTTGATCAAAGAGTTGGATACAATTAATGTGGCACATGCAACGCCCAAAGCACCACCAAAAGCTCTCAAGACGTTTCTTGTACCAATGACAACTGCTCTTTGCGCCATAGTAGCGTTTGCTTGGACGGCAACCATGGTAGGCTGGAAAATAAAACCAATGCCGACACCCATGACAAGAAGCGTACCGACAATCATACCAGTGCCAGTGTTTTCTTTCCATGCAATGGTCATTCCAGCACCGGTAATCCAGAACAGGTACCCGCTGATGACAACATGAATCCAGTGGCCAGTATATGAAATAATATTACCAGCAGTGATTGACATGATAGCTTGCATGAGCACCAAAGGAAGCAAATAGTAAGCAGAATGCAACGCGTCCTGGCCCTTTACCAACTGGAAGTAGTAGGAGATGATGAATAAAAATCCAAAGTAGGCAATGCCATATAAGAAGGTCGACAAGAGCAAAAAGCTCAAAGACATGTTCTTGAAAATGTAAACTGGAATCATAGGCAACTCAGGGATCTTCCATTCCACAATAAGGAAGATGATAGTGCAAACACCGCCAACGACGAACATAGCGATCACCAAATCACTATCCCAAGCGTAAGTAGAACCACCTCCACTGATAGGAATCAAAAGAAGGGTCAAGCCAGCCGTAGCGAAGAAAATACCCACATAATCTATCTTCTTCCATTTTTCTCTCATTGAAAGAACCAGTCCCAGCTGTTTCTTGTTATCCTCGATAACGAAATACACCACCACAATGACAGCAGCCATGATCGGTGGAAGTGTCCTATAGAAGTTCCTCCATGTAGAATTCTCCACATAAACAGCCATGATGATAGGACCCACAGCGTTACCCAAACCAACAGCACTTCCCAAGATTCCCTGGAACTTTCCTCTTTGCTTTAAAGTAACCACATCACTCAAGATGACCATTCCCATAGACTGAGTTCCCCCAACACCAATACCAGCAAATGCTCTAAACACATAGTACTGAGGACCAGTCTTTGCAAATCCACAAAGCATATTAGCGATAAGAAGCATTGCAAGCGAACCCATAAGCATATTCTTTCTGCCGAAAATATCAGCAAAGCGACCGAAAAGGACCTGGCACACACAGTTCGCCAAAAGCGACGACGTACCGGCCCAGTTAATAGAATTCTGTGCTCCTAGGTCCTCAGCTATAGCTGGAAGAGCCACTGTAGGACTGGTCTGGTCCAAAAAGCACACAAAAAGGCAAAACGCGTTCACAAGAAGACAAATGACGAGTTTCTTCTTGGGTAGTAGATTGACATGAGAATCGCCAAGTCTATTCTCAAGTTCATGTTTCAAAGGCATCTTTTCAGATACTTCTCTATCGTGCAAATCAGCCGAGGGCCTCTCATCTGGAGTGCCCTGTCTCTCATTGATCTGGCCAGACATTTTCGAGTTTAGCCAAAGCCAGGGGTATTAGTTAGTGAGAGTCTATGCAAGATGGGAAAATGCAAGGCTTTATATGCTGCCAGGTTGGAGAAGCAGAGGATGTATGAATTGATGGTGGGGTTCGGAGTTGAGCTCGGCGCTTCGCACACTATAGCCGAGCAGGAACTGGCGGAAGTGGTAGTGGTAGTATTTGGATAACAGAGGGAGAATTAGTGAGATTTAAGGATATAGGATTGATCAGGAGGGCAAGGGCTACACTATGGTGGTCTTGAAATTTGCCTTTTCTGTCTGGTTCTGGGATTGATGGACCCTTCAGTTTTTGACAGGCTATTGCGAGTGTCGGCCCCGAGCTTTTCGCAGCCATTGTGATGTGGGGCGGAAAACTGGTCCACGTCCCCGAGAACCAATAAACGCCGTGTCATATAAAAGCAAGCGTTGTTTAGGTCGGAATGATCGCCGTGGATGTACACATTGTGAGTGTTGTTGGTTTCTGGTAAGGGACGATGATCGAGGGTTTTAGGTGGCAGAAGGGCATCATTGGAGGATGGACTACGTTTGACAGGGTAGTTCAGGTCGTAGGAATGGAGAAGTAAAGGGAGTGAAGGTTTATCGAAAAGATCAGTATGGTCAAATGGTAGGAGAGTTCTAGACACTGAATTAGCCTAGATTAACCTGGTGGTGAGTGAATGTTGTAGGCCATAGAAAGACAGGAAACTCTAGGTAAAGGTAGTAGAAGGACAAGTATTTCACTAAAGAACTACACTTGCAATTCAGCAGGTAGTGAGTTTGAAAAACTGGATTTAAACCTCATTAGTGCTGGATAAGACAACCTGTTCCCATCTGTGAAAGTATAACCGATGGTAGTCATATATGAATCGTGATATCAATCACTTTCACAGCAAAACTCCAAGAACTTCAAAATACTCTACATCCAATGAGTTAGTCAAACGCATCTAAAGTCATCTTGAGCTTTGTAGACATGTCTTTAAAGTCTCACCTCAGAAAGTGATACTCTTACATGGCTGAAACACCTCCAATCGTGGACAAATGGTAGAGAGAAGCCAGCGAAACTACCGACTCAACATAACATCTATACTGCTTGAATTTCAGCTTACCAAAGCAGAATGACTTCCCCAAACTAAGAGCTTCGTAGACATAGCTGTCTTTAATTAACCCTTCCTACCACACCACCACTGGCCTTACTCTAATCAGCGTACATAACCGTTTCGCAGCCATTCGTAAATGGATCTAGCCGAGGTACCTCCAGTCCAGATCACCATGCAAGCAGAAACCACGTTGTTCTATGAACTTTAAGTCCCTTTTTGAGCCATATATAATTTGGTAAATAAGCTATTTATACCTTTCAGACTTCAATCTGGCTACTTGACGCCTGCGCAACCGTTGCTCTCACTACAACACCAACAGAGGCCCTTCCAACACCACGCCTGCAAAACCAACCAAAAAGCAACGTCACATCCGTAAACCTTAAACTCTCCACTCTATTTTCTGTTGCTATTTATCCACCGCCCCTTCTCTTGGCAAAAATAGTCAGCTCAGACCATGTTGTATCACGTGCATCCATCAGCACTACAACAAGAGCACTTCGAGCAACCAGCATACTCCTCCAGCAATGGTCAAAGATACAAAATACTACGAGATTTTGGGCGTCGAGGAGACGGCCACAGATGTGGAATTGAAGAAAGCTTACAGAAAACAAGCAATCAAACTTCACCCTGACAAAAACGGTAATGATCCCGAGGCCGCCGCCAAGTTCCAAGAGTTGGGCGAAGCTTATGGTATTCTCCAGAACCCAGAGCTGCGTAAGATCTACGATGAGTTGGGTGTTGAGGGAATGAAGGAGAATAATGTGGCTGCTGATGCTGCTGACATTGACCCAGCTGAGTTCTTCAAGATGATCTTTGGCGGTGACAGTTTCAAGGAATGGATCGGTGAGTTGTCTATGCTTAATGATATGACCAAGACGGCCGAGATCTTGGGTGACAGCGAGGAAGAGAGTGAAAAGGAGGGTGATAAGGCCACGGAAGAGGCCGCTTCGAAGACCCAGGACTTGTCGCTTAACGAGAAGACAGGCGACGAGGATACTACCGTGGGTAGCCACACTGGCGAAGGCAGATACACCGAGTTGAACCACGAGATCGAGAAGAAGAAGAAGGCCAAGCTTAAGAAGGAGCAGAGGGAGAAGCTCCATGAGTTCTACAAGGAATCCAAGGCTGCCGAGGAGAGAAGAGTGGGTGAGTTGGCAGACAACTTGTTGAGCAGAATCGAGAAGTACAGATCGGCTGCAACGAACGAAGATTCTTTGAAGCAGTACAACAGCAAGCTTCGAGAGGAGCTCGAGGATTTGAAGGTCGAGTCTTTTGGTATCCAGCTTTTGCACTTGATCGGTAAGACCTACCATACTCAGGCCAAGGCCACCATTCTGTCCTCCAAGACATTCGGTATCACCAAGATCTACACCTCCATGAAGACCAAGACCAACAGAATGAAGTCTGGTTTCCTGATCATCAAGACTGCCCTCGATGCTCAGATGTCTGCTGAAGAAATGGTCCAAGAGCAGGCCAAGTTAGAGCAAGCTGGTGTTGAGCTCACCGACGAGGACAAGTACAAGCGTATGGAGCAAGAGAGAATCATGACCGGTAAGTTCTTGAAGACAGCCTGGGCATCTACCAAGTTTGAGCTTACTGGTGTCTTGAACAAGGTCAGCCACAAGGTCTTGAACGATAAGAGCGTTTCTAAGAAGGAGAGAGTGGCCCGTGCTGAAGCCGTCATATACATTGCAAAGCAAATGTTGGAGACCGAGAGAACCCCAGAGGAAGACGAAGAAGCCCAGATCTTCGAAGAGATGATGGCCGATGCCAGTACCAAGAAGTCCAAGGGCAAGCACTCTAAAATGAGTGAGAGGGATTTCGAACAATACTTCCAGCACTATGATCCCGAAGACGCGGATGTCCAAAGCTCTGAGAAAAAGTGAGCTGTGAAGGTGAAGATAGATGCCCTGTGGCGACGATGACCAGTCCGAAATGGCTGCGAAATTTATAGAGGGCGCTTCCTAGCAAACCACCGAGCGGCCTGCACACAGGCGGCTTACCACGGAAGCTTCCCCAATCTAAAATTGAGAAAGCCAGACACTGTCGCTGACTAAATCGATCTTCTTCTTTTACTAGAAACAACCATGGCGCCAAACTCGAGACAAGTGCTTGGCTTGTACAAGAAGATGCTTGAAAGAGCTTACAAGTTTGACAACTACAACTTCAGAGAGCATGCGAAAAGGAGAATCCACGATGCCTTCAAGGAAAATAAGAACTTGACCAAGGAGGAGGAGATCACTTCTTTCTACAACGAGGCCATCAACGAGTTGGCCATGTTGGAGAGACAGTCGACCATCTCGCAGATGTTCACGTTGGACAAGCTTGTTGTCGAACCTTTGAAGAAGCATCACTAAGCAGAAACGGAGAGAAGAACCACTTCTTTTCTTCTGGAGACTTGTATAAAGATAATGGGACTATGATTCGCTATTTTCTAGCCACATCAGAGATGATCCTTTGCGGCAGAGATGGATGGAGTTAATAAACATTCGGTTAATGACTATTTGACACTTGTAGATCTATGAAGCTACCCGGGGCATGTCCCATGCCTCTCTTAACTTTGCGCCTGACTCGGCGTATTCCTTGACATCCTCTTCTGTCACTTCAGGGAACTCTCTGCCTACTGGATCCAGTCCTTTGAGAGTTCCTAGCTCTGTGAGTGTTCTCATATACTCAAGGGCATCAGTGGCTCCAATGGTGTGATACGCCCTGCGTTCACCTTTCTCTTGTAACCTGTTTTCGGCCCACTGAAGCTGTTCACTTCTGTTGGGCAAACTAACCCTGCTGGCCAAGTACCTGCCTGCCAAAACTGCCTGGTACTCAAAAGCACGGAACGAGATAGCGTCAGTTGGGACGCCCAAAATAACAAGCAATGGTTCGTTAATAAAGAACGTATGCTGGTAGAGAGAAGGCAAAATGACCCCGTTTCTGGCGATATCGCCGTACTCACGCCGAAGAAATGGGAACAGGAACTGGTACCCAGTAGCATATATGATATGGTCTGGGTTAGATACCACCGAACCGTCCAGGAAAACCACCGAAAAACCATCTTCTTTAACTTCGATTCCCTTAATGCCAGGTTTGATTTCCACATTCTCTCTTCTACTCTTACGCTGCTGGGACGTTACTTCACGGATCAGCTGGTACACCTTTGTAGCAGTATCAGCAGCATATTTCGTCAAATCGGCACCCAGAGCTCTAGCGCCAATCACCACAACCGTCTTGTCTTTATAAGGAGCAGAATTACGGTAGTACTTTGCGTGCTGGACCACACTTGGCCACTTTTCTTGTACTTCAGCAAGTCCTGGTGTAGCTGGAATAAAGGGAACATGGTAATGGCCTGTGGCAACTACAACAGCATCGAATTTCTCCTGGTACCATTCCTCAGTGCTATCTTGAAGCTGGTGACGTAAAGTCAAGGTAAAATCGTACGGAATTTCCTTGTCTGTGACGACATTCCTTTGTACATCCTCCACAGCAGTATTAGGCACAAGTCTTACGGAAGACTCGTTCTTGTGACGACCAATGTAACGATCAATGTAGTTCCTGACGTCTCCCCTGTCCACATACTTATTCTTGGATCCAGGCAACCAGGCCTTTTCATCACTATAGGTCATCATATTTTCAATAATGTTCGTAAGCATACCGTTATAACAAGGCGTATGAACAAACCGTTCCTGGTGTTCCTGGAACCTTCTGATCTTCGAAGCACCAGAAAGATCTCCATTGAAAGGGTTCTCCAAAGGCGGATCGAGATCAGCCGTCAGAGCTCCAGCCTTAATAAGTTCATGGGCAGCTTTAGGCGACTGGTCAAGCACCCAAATACCTCCATAAGTGTCTCTTCTCTCGAAAAGCACAATCTCGTCAAACTTCTTCTCTTTGACCAAAGTGTCCAAAGCTATCGCCCCTGAAGCACCTCCACCGATTATGGCGATTCTCTTGATCTGGCCCTCCGGAATGGCAACTGGGGTATTCAAGTCCTTAAGGAAATCAGGTACTACTGTAGAAGGCATGGTCAGAAGAGTACCGAGGAAAATGGGACCAAGAAAGAAAGTGACTACGATAAGCGAGAATATATCTGGATCAGTCTGCATCGCTTGCATTATGATAATTAGGTGATTTCTCTCCATAATGAAAGCACACAAAAACTGTGGTTCGCAGCCACACATATCTAATCTAAGCGCATATAATACGTCAAACCCCGAGGTGCAGCTGCGCATAAGCGTACATAAATAGGGAATGGCATGATTTGAACGTAGAGTTTTGTTATGTAAAAATGGCTTTGTAGGGGGATGCAAGGATCGCTTAGAGAAGCTTGTAGTAAGTGGTTATGTCACAGCTGTGCCTGAGCTTCTGCCCATATAGCTTGAGATAAAGCAACATGAGGCCGCACACAGATATGACTCCAGCTATGATGGAGAATAACACGCCTGATCCTAGAGCGTCTGTAAGTGGTACAGTGACGAAGGTAGCAACGGCAGCTAGAACCTGACGCACCAAGTTATTGAGTGCTACACCGGTTGCACCCTTTCCTGGAAGAACATCGACAACGTAAGTGAATGTCACTCCCACAAGGAGCATGTATGAGAACCCAAAAAGCGCCGTGCCGACTAGTGGAGTCACCCAGTGTTCTCCGTAATGAATGCACCAGCCGAAAATTAGGCACGAGATAGGATAGCCGATTACGCCGATCACACAGTTCCACGAGATCCGAGCTTCTGCAACCAATTCGCCATTATGGAGCCGTGCGTGCCGCTTGAGCCTCTTATCGTGCCATTTGCCGCCAAATATAGATGCAATAACGTATGTCACAGACATGGGGATATATGTAAGACCCACAACCACCAGGCTGTAGTTGTATGGGTCTCTGCTGTAGCCGTATGTAAGGGAAGCATTGAAGAAGTACATTCCACAAAAAAGAATGGATGAGTATGTGATGGATAGGAGGGCTGGAGGGTACCCTAGAAGCACCAAGGAATGAAGGGGTCTGATTAAGTAGTCGTAGAGTTGGGTGCTCCAGTTTGCACGGGCCTCAGCGAGGGATACCTTTTCTGCTATTTCCTTGAGTTTAGCAGAGCGTCCCGAATTGTTTGTTAAGTACCGTTCTGGCGGTATAGAACCTTCAGCACCAGTCATCAGGTGTACAGAACGTTCACGGCTCAAGACAGAGCCTATTTGGGTTTCGTCCTTTTCGTCTTTTTCGTCCTCTAGTTGCTGTTGAAGTCTCTGCATCACGAGCGTCATTGAATCTTCCTTTCGAAGCGTTTCGGGAAGCAAAAACACCACTAGCACCAATATCACACCACAAGTAATCACCATTACCCACATAGTAGCTCTCCAGCCCCAGGCTTCCGAAACGGCACCACCAATAACAGGCGCCAAAAAGATCGATAGAAGGTTGCCCAAGTAAAACAACCCTAAAGCGAACCCACGTTCTTCTTGAATGTACAAGTCAGCGACAGTCGCTGCTCCACACGCTTGAACAGAAGAGGCGCCAGCGCCCGAAAGAAACCTCAAAGCAATAAGCACGCCAATAGAAGGAGACAAGGCAGAGCCAATGCAAAAGGCCAAAAACCACGTAAACGAGATAATGTACACGGATCGACGGCCATGTTTCTCTGAAAAGTTCGACCACCACAACGGAAAGATACCAAGAGACAAAATGTATGTACCCACAGAAATATTCACCACACTTTCTGTAGTATCAAGGCTATCGGCAACATCCTGGGACGCCGGGTACAAAATAGACGTGCCCATGGGCCCGGAAAAGCATGCTAGAACAACAATAAATAAAAGAACGTACTTAGTCATACGACCATAGTTACGGGCATCTTCAATCTCAGCTATGAAAGTTATCTGGGCCAAAAGCCCTCGACGTTCACCCACAGGCACCTTCTGGCGCCCAGCCAGAGCCCCAGACGAGTCATCTTCAGTCTTACTGGCCTGTTCAAGATCCTCCAGGTCCCGGTGAATGGGTCTAGCCATGTGCTCCAGGCGAGACGACGCCAGGTCTAGCGATACCTCAGAGACAGAGTCCAGTATAGGCATCGTTCATGGAGAGCTGAATCTACGGCAGCGGGGGCCAGGGGTTCTTAAGAAGTGGGTTTGAGTCATCAAGTCACGATACCCATCAAGTTCGGAAAGTGAGGGTTCTGACCGATTTTTAGCGAGCAGCATATTTTCCGAGGCACAAGGAACCATAGGCAGAAAAGGTGAAAGGCACAATATTAATGGAGTAGAAGTTTATTTGTTGGTACAAGTAGACTTTAAGTATTGAGAGCTTTTTTGTTTTATGTGGTTTTTTGGTACACTGGAGTTTCTGGTAAGTGGAGCGCTGAAAAACCCGGGGAAACCAGGGTCCACTGGGGAGATCGAAGTGTATTCAGGTCTAGCGGTTCCTGGCAAGTGGGGATTTTGTAGAGAGTGTATTGGTGGGAAGCTAGCGGGAAAGGAGTAGTAGAGTAGCTTTTTGCTGGTTGGAGGGGGTTGTCAAGGAGAGTGTTATAGGGCTGGTGGAGGGTATTATATGGTAGAGGAAGCTTGAGAAGGAGGATAGGAAGAGTAGCCAGAAGGACAGAAATGATGAAAAATAGAATAAATGAAGCTAAAGGCATTCTAAAGGCTATGGCAATGCTTTAAAGCTTGAATTCTAGGATGCCCAATAATAACTGGGATAACTGAATGGATATTGGATAGAGTGGTACTGGCGGCTGTATGAGCATTAGACCCCATAATACTGCGTCATACTGTCCAGTTACCCACTTCGGCAAAAGAGAAGTCCAAGATGACAAATCCTACGTTCTAAATTCATCCAAGTACACATTTCTTTGGGATAAGTCTAATTCACATGAGCTTCCCGGTGAGTCTTGTTCATCCACTTCTGAGTCATTCACTCGCATGCGATTTGCAGCCATTACGAGATGAGTTAGAGTCATCCAGCTCTGGGCCAAACATGCATTTTCCAGTGAAAAACGACCCAAACGGATGAAGCCTATCGTTAAAGCCCATTAATATATTCCTCCCACTTTCAGATTTCACAGACCACCATTAGTTCCTCTTGAACCCCAAATGCGCTCATACGCCCAATTTCCACTCTAAGTGGTCCCCAGAACCCCCAAAACCCTCCAAACCACCCACTTTCATCTTTTAGCCACCTCAAACCATCTTCTCTCATCTTCCACCCTCCACCTGCCTCCCACCTCCAAAATCACTGGGTTTCCATATCCAGCAAGCCCCCACGTGCAGCTCATCAATACTTCCATAACGCCTCATGCATGCACTAACCTGTCATCTCTTCGCTTATACGAATTGTCCATCTTTCTTTCCAATCCACAGTACAATGGTTCATCAACCTGAATTGGATCTTCATACTCCTTTGAATAGGGAGATTCCGGCGACTATTCGCCGCACGAAGTTGACTCCTCGGTTGGCTCTTTCGGCACTTACTTTGCATGGTGACTTCTATAGACAGCTTCAGTCCAAGGCCAATTCCAGGATCTTCTGGCATCCGTTGACACAGTTGTTTATGATTTCTGTATTGGGGCTTACGGCTGTTTATCAGTATTCGGATTTGTGGAGGGCTTCGAACACATGGAGCGAGTTTGGGTCCTTGATGTTGAATAACAAGTACTTGGTGTCGTCTATCTTTCCTTCACTTATATTTGTTGCCGGTACGGTTGGACTTACCAGTTTTCTTTTGACTGACGAGATTAGGGTGATTAGTGATAAGTTGGGGGAGGATTCATACCAGCAGAAATTGTTTGGGTTCCCATTGAAGGTGTTTGCCAATGCTACTCTGGAGGAAGCAAAGAGAGAATCGTCAATTGAGTTTATGGAAAGTGCTGAGTTTTCTACTGAGCTTATAGAGTACCGTGAGTCTCCCGTGGCCGTGGTGACAGTGTTACCAGAACCAGAACTCTCCTCGAAGGATGTCTTCTACGCTAAGATTACTGGTTTCCATGTAAGGAAGTCCTACAAGACCGCAGGCTTGGAAAATGAGCTTTTGGACATTGCTGCAGAGAAAGCACAGGTCTTATCTTTGGAATATATCAAAAAGAGGAAGCTTAAAGCGGATGATGTCAAGGTTGTGCTCTTGGTGGATGCCTATGCTCTCGACCCCATCAACAGGCCAATCGTAGAGAAGAAGGGCTTCGAAATCAAGCTGTCTACTACTCAATTGGACCCATTTGCAGGTGACGACGTTGTGGATGAAAAACTTATGTTCCTAATTCCTCATAGCATGATCAAGAGGTTTTTTGGTGTATTTAGACATACTTACGAGCTCGAAGTCAGCAATGAGAGCTCTGCAACCGCAAGCGGCGCAACGCTGTCGAGTTCGAAGGTAACCTCGAGAAAAAGGAAGGCATAGACCTTAATCTAATAAACCTGTCGCCTTCGAGCGCCTTTGTTGCTTCTTTGTACGGTAGATAGTGTAGCCCACCCAGCCGACACCAGCAAGTAGGAGGTTAAAGGCGATGAATTTGAACAAGAAAGCCAACTTGCGCCCAAGTCTAACCATGAATGTGGCATCAGGATCACCATACTTTGCACTTCTTGCAGCACGCTCTTGCTCCTTAATTCTGCGCTCCGAAGCTCTGAGTCTTCTCAAAGACTTTCTCTCAGCCTTGGTAGCCTTTCTTCTCTTTCCTTTAGAGAAAGCAGCAGCCTCTTTCTCATCCTGCTGTCTTTCGACCATTCTCTGGAAGTCGTCAAGCGAAGACACCCAGTCGTCAGATTCTGGGTGGTACAAGGCATAAACCTTGTTTTCTATTATATCGACGGCATGGGATAACTCACCAGTCTCTGCACTGATTCCCAAGTACTTAATCACGGGAAGTCTCACACTAGACACCGTGAAACAGTTCCGCCACTTCTTATCATCCTCTGGCTCGTAGTTCAAGTCCACGGACAAATAACCACCCTTAAGGTAGACCACTCTCATACGGACACTGCCAGCATCTGGGTTAACAGCCTTGGTAGCACGGCAAGAGGCCAACATCGTATCAAAACCGTCAGCCTGCTTAGCATACTCTGTCTGGCCATCGCCAACCATCGCCACAACATGCGGAAACGAGCTCTGCTTGCCGTTTCTATAAGTATCCACGAAAATACCCAAACCCCTAAAGAAGTTCTTAGCGCCAAACACATCGCCAATAGGCGAAGGCTTATCAATAAACCACACAGCCATACCGTCAGCAAACAAGTTCCTGGAGTTCTTGCTGTGAATATGAAACGTAAGCTCCATCTCAAACGACTGAGCCTGAATTGGCAACTTGGAGAACATATTGGCAGCCTGATGCTGAGAATCCGAGACAAGTCTAACCGAGTCGTCTCTCACCATGTACGGCCCAGCCAAGTTCCAATTGGGCGACCTGAGCGTCGAAGCATCAATATACGGTCTAGCAAGACTCTGGTCACGAAGCTCAACCTTCCTGACAGCGCCCACCGAAGAGTCCTTACCTTGGAACATAGCATTGATCTCCTCTGGCGAATACGTCTCATTGGGCTTCTTGAAAACACGTAATACCAATATAACGAGCGTCAATCCAAGCACCGGCAACCAGAGCTTGGAGCGTAAGTTGAAGATGCCCATTGTAGGTGTTTTGGTGAGGAAGATGGAGGTACACTGACGGTTATGATAAGATGGTTGCGAAAACCTACAGGGTCCACTGAGGCTGGTGAGAGAAGGGAAGGGATAAAGAGACCAGGGAGAGATTTTGGTGGGCGAGAAAGGGAGACGTTAAAGAAGAGGTCAAGCTGACTTACACTTATTAATATGTGTATTTTTTTGGGAATTGGAGGGTTTGTGGACTATGGCTGGTTAGGATGGATGCGTCCATAGTGTGTGTAAGAGGGAAGGTCATGAGACACTAAGGAGAGAGAATGTTGTTATGTATAGGCGTGGGAGGATGAAAAGGTGGTTTTTGGGGGAGTTTGGAGGCATATTGGATGGGATTTCGTGGTAGGAGAGTCTCAGGTTTTGTTGTGTTGCTGGTATATTGAGTTGGGCATCTCCTGCCGTCTCTAGCTACCTGTAGCTACCTGTAACCTCCAGCTTACTGTTACAAACCAGTAAAGAAGACCAAGTCTTAGCATCGTACTGGTTCTTTTCTTTGGAATCATCCTTTAACGACCGCAAATGCCTTTCCTGCTACACATGGAAAGCTACCTCTCCACCGTCCTGCTGAATTCGTTCATTATGAAGCGTTTCTATTTACAATCGTTCTAAACCTCCAAACCTTCTTTTCTTCCCCAGTAGGCCCAGGAGCAAGCATAGACGGCCCCTACTTACCCTTGTAGACGGTTCTAATGGCATCAGCCCAGGTCTCCTTCTTCTCGCCCTTGATCTCCGAAAGAATACGGTCGTAGTACTGTGGGTTACCCTTAGGCTTCAAGAGCTTATCGTCAAGCTTATAGTAGTTCTTGTACTTGTCGTTGACCAAGTCTCTGAGGGAAATGTATTGCAACTTCAAGTCTTTTTCACTTATCTGGGCCACCTTGTCGGGGTTCAGGAAACGCTCAATCTGGACGTCTTTGAACGAAGCATAGTGGTTGATTCTGTCCTTGGGAAGGGTTTTTAGGAGCGAGAGGATCTTCTCGGTTATTTCACGTTTGGCCAGCATTTGATAAGTGGATTGGAGATGGAATCTGGGAAAGATGGCCATGAAAAGCCAGATGTGCACCAGTACACCACACAATAAGAAGGCTACTGGATTACGACTGAAGACTTATTCTGAAATTTGATGGAAATTGTATTAAAATATGAAGTTATCAGAGTAGGTTGGTTTCGGAAGATACCTACTGAAAGTTCTGTTTTCAGTGTTCAGTTCAGGTGCTGTTCAGCCATACCAGTGTATAGACAAGGTGATGTCATGGACCAGTCTCGAGTCATCTTTGTAAAATTATTTGAAAAGAATTAGAGCATACTAAAGGTCATCCATCATGAAGTTTATCCTAAAGTAATTTAGAAATTTAGAGTTATGGGGTTCCTTTAGGGTACTGTTGCTGATGTGGTTCACCAGTCTAAGATTTCGCAGCCATTTCTCAGACAGACGACAGTGAAGACAACCATTCATCATCTACTCCAATGAACCTCATTCCCTTAATAAAAGGCAAAAATACGTCTACTTGATTTCCCTTGATCACCAGCATCTCATGTAAAATCACCGTAATCGTGCACTGGATCACTTCACTATACCGTATGCCCATTGTCCTTCCACAACCCCATCACCCAAGAACACCAACACCAACTCTACCAACCTTTTATTTCCATGTGAAGCAAATAAAGAAGCTTTTTATCCATCAAAGTAAACCACAAACAATCCCAACTACTCCATCCAATGCTGCTTTCTCTTCGCCTGACGACCGTCTACACGTGCACTGCATGCTTCTTAAGCGCTAGAGCAGCATCTGACGAATCTACCGTCCATCTTTCTTTACCTCCCAATGAAAGCCCCAACGCCTAGAGTTATTTTCGTTCGTCACGGCCAGACAGAATGGTCGAAGTCAGGCCAGCACACTTCGGTCACAGACATTGATCTCACGCCGTTTGGTGTCAAGCAAATGGAAAGGACTGGCCACCAGTTGATTGGCCATGAACACTACCAGATGATCAAGCCAGGCAGCTTGAAGTTGGTCATTTCTTCGCCTAGAAAGAGAGCTCAGCATACGGTTCAGTTGTTGCTTGACAGCTTGACTGAGGAGGAGAGAAAGGCTATTCCAATTGACGTCGATAACAATATTAGAGAATGGGAGTATGGCGACTATGAGGGATTGCTCACCAAGGAGATTCACGCTTTGCGCCAGAAAAAAGGCCTTGATAAGGACTTGCAACCTGGCGATAAGTGGAACATCTGGCGTGATGGCTGTGAAAACGGTGAAGACTACCTCCAGGTCACAGAAAGAGTCGATAAGGTGATCCAGAAGATTAGGGATTTGCACAGAAAGGCTCTTGACTCCGAGGAACCTTGCGATGTTCTTGTTGTTGGTCACGGCCATATTTTGCGTTGTTTTGCTGCTCGTTGGGTGAACCAGCCTATCAACACCAACCCTAACTTCATGTTGGACGCTGGTGGAGTGGGTGTGTTGAGTTACCAGCACCACAACATCGACGAGCCTGCTTTGTTCTTGGCTGGCGCTTTCACTGTGCCAGTTGAAGAGGAGGGTGCTGACCTTTAGACTGCTCGACAGATAGACTATGCCTAGACAGATAGAAATGCCTAGACAGATAGACGATGCTAGATATAAGCAATACATTTTTAGACTAAAACTCATGTAGAGGCGATTAGAAGGTGAAATGAATGATTAGAAGTGAAGAACAAGGTAGATGTACGGCGTTCCTCAATGCCTAGTTACCAAATCACCTCATCACCCATAAGCGCCTTTGCCGCTTAATTGACGGAACTTTGCCGAATATTTTCTTCACCAGAACCCAAAAGTCTAAGCGAAGAAATATATAAAATTTCCTTGCATATTCCATAAATCAAGGGTCCTTTCGTCTAACGATGGAACGGCAATGAGTGGGGCAAATGTGCCAATTCCGTCGCGGTGGGGGACCCATTGTGACCTCCCCAAGGCAACTCCCTACAAATTACCTACCAATAAAGAAAGTGAAACATCTTCTCTCGTCAACCAACCCTTCAAGCTTGTATGTCTTGGGGGCTGCAAAGGAGGCTTTAAAGCATATTTTGCACCCAAAAGTGCCCCGCGTTGACACATTTCTCTACAGACCATGCGCTAAGGCGGCCGGCTGATCCTACGGAACGCAAAAGCCAGTTTCCATGGTACTACTACCTTCAGTATACTTGTAAATTCCATTTTATGGGCCTTCCAAACCACCACTCATTATTTCTTCTGCTTTATACTTTCCACGGAATTGGTCTGTACCCCGCGAATCGAAGCCTTATAAACGTCGATTTTCCACTGCGAAGAAGCACTTTCTTCCACTCTTTTCCAATCCCACCACCACCCTGTGAAAATGAACTATAAATCTGTGACTGGATCTGGAGATAAGGCTCCTACCGTGCCTGTGTGGCTTGACTGTGACCCTGGAAACGACGATGCGTTTGCCATTCTTCTCGCTGCTGTCCACCCAAACTTCCGTCTTTTAGGTATTTCCACTGTTCATGGAAATGCTCCTTTGGAGAGGACTACAGCTAATGCATTGGCATTGCTTGAGCTTATGGCGTTCAAGCAGGACGAGATTAAGGTTTATGCTGGTGCAGAGAAACCGCTTGTTTGTGAACCACAACATGCTCCAGAGGTCCATGGTGAGTCTGGTTTGGGTGGTGCCAACTTGCCTCCTCCTACGTTGAAGGCTTCCGAAGATAAGGGCTACTTGGAGGCTATGAGAGATGCTATTCTTGAAAATAAGAATGAGATCGTGCTTGTGGTGACAGGTGCCATGACGAACTACTACCAGCTCGTACAGAAGTACCCTGAAGTGAAACAACACATTCGTTATGTGTCTATCATGGGAGGTGCTGCTCACTGTGGTAATGTTACTGAACATGCAGAATTCAACATGTACTGTGACCCACATGCTGCTGCTGAGGTCTTGGAGGACACTGAGTTGGCTGATAAGACTGTCTTGAGTACATTGAACATTACCCACACTGTGTTGGCTACAGACAGAGTCAGAGAAGCGATCTATAACGAAAAGGGCGAGAACAACTCCAGAATCCGTAAGTGTTACTTTGACCTTATCAACTTCTACCATGCTTCTTATATCAGACGTTTTGGCAAGATCAAGGGTCCTGCCGTGCACGATCCTTTGGCCATGTTCATGGTGCTTATCATGGTATCCAGAGATCACGAAGAATATAGAGATTTCCACGATGCCTGTGATCTTAACTACTACAAGAGACAGACCAAGGTCGTTATAGATGGTGAACATAGAGGTGAAACAGTCATCCAGAACAAGGACATTGATCCTTTGAAGCAAGAAAAGGGCGGTGCATACTTTGGCCAGTCCATTAACATGCACTTGTTCTGGCACTACATGTTGCGTGCTTTGGAGCTTGCTGACGAGCAAATCACTGCTCGTTCGACTTAGAATAATTAGATTAATGATAATTAGACCCGTTCGTCAGTGACGGGCTGTTCTTCAGTTTCATTAGGCATAGGCGTCTTTTCATCAGATTCGTCTGATATTTTTGTTGGCTCGGCGGTTTGCTGCTCAGAGCTCACGAGCTTCTCCTCGACGGCTTTCGATGAAGTCTCCGTTAGTTCCTGGGGGGTTTCATTGGACTTAATCTGTTTGGTGACTTCGTGGCCAATTGAGCCAATACAGTCTTGCGCCCAAATAACGTCAAGATGGTTGTAAGTAGGCAAGTCAAAGACCTTCAAGTTTTTGCCCTCTTTGTAGAGTCTGCGTTCATAGTGTGTCATATGAGAAGCCAATCTTCTACCATCAACGAGATAATCCTCACCGCAGATAAAGAGGGAGATGGGTGTGACATCTTCAGGTTTTTTGTTGAAAGCAAACCACTCGAACTTGTAAGGGAAGAAGGTTTTCTCATCAGTGACAGGGATGTCCTGTTGCTCCTGGGTTCTCGTGAAAGTACGGTCAAGAGTTCCAGTTCTCAGAAGAGCAATTTGCTTCTCCTCATCATCTGCCTCGTTGGTAGAAACTGGTGTAAAAGCATAATTAGAGCCATCTGCGTAGGCTTCTTTGGATTGAAGCTGGTTCAGGAAGCCCTCTTCGACAGAATACGAGAGCCACCATGACATAAGTTTTGCTGAAATATATGAAACATTCATAACAAACTGAATATGTTGCACTTTTTTGTCCTTGTAGTTATTGCGGATGTTCCATCCGAACAAATACTTGAACATCTGGTAGGATATAATTGAATAGAGTCTGGTAGTACCGATATTTTTTCTAGCCCAGCCCAAAAAGCCAATGAACACACCTCTTCCAAAAATCAACTTATATGCTGTTGGAGAGCGATTATGGATGAACTTAATGAACGAACGATCATGGAACAACAGGCCAGGGAAAATGGCTGGGGCCAAAGCAAAGAAGTGAATGATTTTCTTGTGGTATTCCGCAAGTTCCGGGTTACGAAGCAAAAGCACCGACTGAGTACATCCCTGAGAGTGGCCCACAAGGTACAATTTGTCGTGGTTCGGTTTCCTGGAGAGCACATTGTCGATAATACACGGAAGGTCGTAGGCAGCGAAAACACGAATGTCCCAGTCCCAAAACTCTTCATTGTGCATGAGGTTACCCTTAAGTGTAGCATGTCTCGGTTTAAATTCACACCGGTTGTTACCTAACCACACATCGAAGCCCTGGTGAACAAAGTAGTACGGAAGCGAGTTAGCACCCGGTGCAAGCCACGCTCCTGAAGCCGACAAGAGCCCGTGCTGAAGCAAAATAGGCACCTTCCCGTTCCTATCCTCTTCCAGCTCCGAAGGGTCCACAAGACGGTGCAATGGCAAAATGTACCCGTCTTCCGTAGTAATATCATACTCCTGCAACTCAAGTCCGAGCTGTTTGGCATAGTACGACACGTCTCGCGTGATCTTGAGCTTCTTCATATCGGGATAAGGCTGTTTTGGCCTATACTTCTCAGTGCCGTCGTTATTCTTCGGCACGTTGTTCTTCTCCCTTCCCGAAAACACATCCCGAAGATGCCATATATTGGCTCCAGTAGTAAGCACCACAACAAAGATAAACGAAAGAAAGCCAGACGTGAGAATCACAACATACCGCATGAAGGTACCGTGAGAGGTCTTCTTTTCTGGCGGGTTAAGCATTTGCAAGGAACGGTGGAAGAAGTATGGGGTAGTTTAAGTGGATACTGTTGTGAAGAGCATTGAGAAAGTGACTATTTGGGGATGCAGAAATACACGCTCGCGCCTGCACTGGACCTAAAGGCAGTGGGCTTAAGTTAGGAAGGCTGAGGAAGTGTAAGGGTGGTAGAGATGGAGTGGGGGTAGGGGATTTTGTTTTGATGGTTGAGCGTCAGTTTGGTCGTTTTATGGTTTTCTTTTAGTTTCTGCCTATGTTGAGTTGGGAAATGGTGGGACGTTGGCTGTCTGAGGCTGGTTTCAGTTGGGTGCGAAAAGACGTCTTGGATGGATGGTCAAGTCGAACAGAAGAAATGGGGTGTTACGAGAGGGAGAAAGGGATTGATGTTTTTTATAAACTTGAAGGGGTTCAGATAAGTTTGTTTATAGCGATATAGTACGTTTCAGGTTTAGTTCTTGAGGGTCTACGTACTTCGTTGTCTACAGTGGTAGGTGGAGCAGTCACTTGCAGTCTGTTTAGGGTAACTACAGGGTCAGCTTTTGTAGACTTCTCTTAATGACAGCAAAGCAATTAAGGTTTTTTTATGGAGCCAAGAGAATGAGGACAAGTACTTGTGGTTCTCGTAAATACCTGTCACTGGTAACTCTAGGCATGAAACAATAGCGAGACAGAATGGAAGCGTTTGGGAGCCAATTGATTTCAAGGATTAACAGGGGTACAAAGAAGAAACAAATGATTACTTTCTTCACTGTAGTTGTGAAAGATTGTCAGCTGGATGATGTGAAAAGGCTCGAGTATTGCCCTCCATCAGAAATACGTAGATTATCTAGTACCGCCAGTTCGTCTCAGATATTCTTCCCGATGAAAAACATTTAGTTATTCTAAAGAAATTGAGCTATACATTGCTGTGAACATGTTGTCCTTTAGAAGGCTATTAGGTGAACTCGAGAGAGATTCATATGTCAACTCTATCGAGGGGTGATAGATTTAGCCGCCTCTTATACTCCCACTTCCACTTTCCTTAAATACCTGAAGTATAGCTGTACTGTTGATACTAATTTATCTATTTTGATCAAAGGGAAGCGACTTTTAGGTATGGTAGGGCGTATTAGACGGTGAGCCCTTGATAAACTTAAGGAGCAACAGGGCCAGCTTTAAGGAAGAGCTATCGAGGTAAGCCATAATCTGGTGTACCAAACCATGACAATAAGACATTTCCCATATCGCATATTTTTTTCTAATTCATCCGAAATCTACAAGATATACCTTGCTTCATGAAACCTTGTCTATTCCTCTACTGTAAGACATAACTATCATGTCTCTACTGGCTCACCCTTAGAGTCCTCCTCCACTTCAGGGAACAATGCAAACTCCTCTCTAGCCTGCTTGATAACATCGTCAACACACTCAAATATACCATCCAAACAGTCGTCAGATCGGTACGATAAGTACTTGGACTGAGGCAACGGTTCCAGGCGTACACTGGACTTCCTTTTGCCCCAAAATTTCTCAAATAGATATGAACTTTCGTCACTGAGACTTCCAGGTGAAGATGGTGGCTCAAGTGGAGTTGATAGGATGAAAGGGGACGATGTGGGACAACAAGACCCATCAAGCGGAAGGGGAGAATACGCGAAAGGCGTCCTCGAAGCTGAAACGCAGAACTTTCGCCCTTTTTGGCCCAAAATTTTATGCTTCAGCTTCTGAGTGCCTACGAAGTTGCTTTTGCGGGCGAAAAGACCCTTGAAACCCTCATTTTCAACCTCGATCTCGTTCTCACACTCTTTCGGCCTTTGCTTTCCTGCAACTCTGCTGTAGTTTGACGCATGGTCTCGATAGTTTACGCACCTAAACTTTTCCAGACGCATAGCGGCATTATCGACCGGCATATTATTCTTCGCAGCCAAAATGTCGCGGATCTGAGACATTCTGTTGAACTTGGTGCTAGTATGGGCATTGGGCTCTTGAATAAACAGAGTTTTGGTCTTGGAAGGAGACTCGTTGGAGGATGAATTGATACCATTTTTTGAGGCTTTCATCCGACATTTAGTAAATCTTGAAGCTGCCCGTTGGGCAGCATTCTGGGCAGCCTTAAGTTGCCTGGAACATGACCATGAAGGTTTCTTCCTTGAAGAATCAACAAGAGGAGTAGTTTTTGTAGCTGATGAAGATAAGAAAGCAAACCGCGCTGCTGCTTGAGCGTCTGGATGGCTATTAGAGTTCATTGTCTTCTTGTCCCGGTAGAGTCTGGCTGGTTTTGACGGATACTCAAGATGAGCCTTTGATGGCTTTGGTCCTGGCAAGACACGAGCAGAAGTCTTGTATGACTGAGGGTAGAAGGCGTCCGACGATGAGACATGTTTATCATTGTGGCGAGACCAATGAAGGATTTCTGCTTCCAGGATACTTGGTTTTGCTTGATGGAAGACAAGGTGGTCATTAACGAAGTATGGCTCAACTCTCACGATTGTAGTAATGAAATCCGATTTTTGGTCAAGAGGTATAGCCGCCGGACGCGTCGATCTCTTCTGGGTAATTGTTGTAAGTATCATTTAGTATTGGTGGTAGTTGGGAGGTTCGAGAAGTTGAGTTCTTCTATCTGTACCAGGAGCTCAGAAAAAGTGAATTACGTAAGTGATGACTAAGCAAGAATAAAAAAAGTCAGGTTTTAGAGCCCTTAGAACCGTTTAAAATAAATTCAACGTATTTTATAGTTCCTTAGATCTACGGAAAACAAAACTGCAAAAGAGTTGGTACCAAAAGTGTATTGTGGGCGAGAAGTAGAGTATTTGAAAAAAAGCACATACAACCAGGCGTATATCTTACACATCATCACTTAAAGGAGTTTTCCTGGGTTAGGGGCCCCTTCAATGTTTCCCCACATACTGTACAGCTTATAATAAATATATTACGTATATTAGAAGAAAAGGGGATGTCCAGGAGCTTTCGGAAGTACACTTCCACATACACAGAGAAAGAAAGAAGTCGTCTTCATATGAAGCTACTTCTGATGACCCAATGAATGTCAATCCATGAGAAATGAAACCAAATATGGAAAGCAGAACCACTCGGATGACCATGAATCTGAGGCTGTGACCGACTTTCCCAGCCAAACCTCGTATATGAGGCCAAGGGGAGGACACCCAGTTCACTCGTAACCCAAAACAAGAAGCTATAATTCACTGCTAGAATAATAATCTTGAATTCATACACAAATTACTGCACATTTTGAACCCTGAACGCAGGTCAAAGTCCGGGGTAAAATAATCTTGTGGAACTTGGCTGGGTAAGGAAAGTCCAAATGCAACTCGCAGTAGCATAGTCATTCAAAAGACACAGCCCCCAATCAGCCCAGAGTCCTCCTATGAATGAAAAGAGCAAAAATGGAAGGCAGAGAGATTCACTGTGTCAAAGTACGATGACATTGTCTGCAGCATTCTCTCCAAGGCTTGACAGAGGCATTCTGTAAGGGGAATCTTCGGTTGCCGAGCAAACGCAGTGCGAGATATAAACGGCCTAAGTAGGGGTCCAGGACCGTCTTTAACGGGTAAAACCGGCCTAAAAAACATTTTAAAGCTTCAAAAAACACCCAAAACTCTATAGCCCCAGTCAAGCTCTCTGACCACTCGAATTCTTCTCATCCCGAGAACCAGGACCAGAAAGACCACGTATCCCTCCAAAGCCAAAGAAGGAAGGTAGTCTGATTCACAGTGTTCACTCCTCTTCATTGTTCTCGTACTTCTGCTTTATTCTTTCTATATTTTAGGGCTTACTTCACTGGGCTTTCCTTACATGTTCTTATGCCCTGTCTGCGACATTCAGCCGCACAAACGAAAACTTCAATTTGCACCCATTAAGACTGGTCAAAACCTATCTTTTATGGGTCTATAAATGCTTCTAATGAACTCCTCAGTTCCTGGGGTTTCTAAAAAGTTAAATTTGAGCAAAATTGAGCGAGTATACATTTCCATAGCACCCTCTACTTCTGACGATATATACGCGCACACTCCACCTACTCTTTTGATTTCCCACCAACCTTTCCTTCTTTACCACTTTCCTCCAGAAAGTTTCAGTTGTCCCAATTTCGAACATAAATATCCGCCCATTTCGCCTGAGTTTCGTTTTTTCCTCCACAACCACTTCTTGTTCTTTATCCTTCACCAATTGAAAGAGAGAGAACCTACTTGAGCTTGTACCACCAGTCAATCACCACTTGACTACCCTTCGACCACCACCGTCGACTACTAAGCTCCAATGACTCCTATTAGCTTTACTACCGTACCTAAGAACCTTCTTGGGTACAACATTTTTGACGGAGGCTCTTCGGCCTCCCAGAGTGTTTCCTTGGATTTTGCTGGCTTTGTGTCACACGAAGCCAATGGACCTAAAGTTGACATTGAAATCGGCATCGACGAAGCCAGAGTGCCTCGCAGCCCTCCAGTTGACAGGCCTGTCATCTTTTTCAACCATCCAGGTAAGCTTGATTATTTCTTGCACACTTTCCGTCCTATGGCAGTTGGTCCCACTGTTCCAGTCTACGCAGTAGTTGTCAGAGCTACTCAATGGGGCACCCACCAGCTCCACAGTGGCCCTCATGCCATTAACGTGCCAGGGGAGTTTGCTAACTTCCTTTCGCCTTACCCAAAGGCCAATTTTTTTGACCCTTTGCTCCTGGGACCAGTTGTTGACCCGGTCTTGTTCCAGTACATGGCCAGGTATGGACCACCTCCACCACCACCTCAACAGCAGCCTCAGTACGCCCAGTACGCTCAGCCAGGCCCTCAGCCTCAGGGTCCCCATGGTCCTCAGATGCCTCAGGGTCCCCATGGTCCTCAGATGCCTCAAGGTCCTCATGGTCCTCAGATGCCTCAGGGTCCTCATGGCCCTCAGATGCCTCATGGTCCTCAGGGTCCTCATATGCCTCATATGCCTCAGGGTCCTCAGATGCATCAACAGCCTCAACCTCAACCTCAGCAGGCCGAGGTGCCTCAACAGCCTGAGGCTTCCCATGCTTATGGTCCTCCTCCAGGTCTTTCCAAGGCTCCACAGCCTGCCCAGCCTGCCGCTGCCCAGCCCGTGGCCACTCCTGTTGACCACCCTATGGCCAGCTCCACTCCCGAGCCTCAACCTCTTGCTCAGTCTACCGAGCCTCCAAAGCCCCAGGCGCCCGTTTGCCAGGAGCCCAAGGCAGAAGCTCCAGCGCCTGCTCCAGCTCCAGCGCCCGTTGTAGCTGAGTCAGACGAGAGTATCCCTACGCCTAACACGCTGAAGGGAGAGCTGGATGGTCCTTCGATGGAGGAGGCTTCTGACGAGCCTCTCCAGAAACCTTCTGCACCTTCTAAGAGAGCCCAGAAACAGGCCGCTAAGAGAAGAGCCAGGAAGGCAAGAAAGCAGTCCAAGAAGGCGTTCAGAGAAAGCAAGAGACTCTCTAGCGTCGCCGACACCAAGTCTAAGAGTGACGTCGCAGAGGCTGCAAAAATGACCAATGAGTGCAATCTTCCCACTTCTCCACTTCCTACTCCCAGTGTCCCAGACACTAAAGAAGTCGAAGAAGTAGTGGAAGCCACTCCCGAGCCGACCGACCAGGTGGGCCAGTTGTCTCATTACCACCACTTCATGAACCTCTTCAAGTTCTTCGAGTACCTTCCCATGTACTTGGAAAATGAGAATGAGAAGATGAAGGTGGATGACAAGAAGGAACACACCATCCCAGTGTCTATTCCTCCTATCATCAGACAACGTTACACTACCGTGGAACTCACTGGATGTGCCATTAAGTTCTGGAAGCCGTTGCCTAACGCTTCTGTTGTTCAAGAAACTACTCCCTCTGAGGCCCCCAACCTCCAGGTGAGTACCTTTTCTTACCATCACCACTTCCAGCGGTTCCACAAGTTCATCGGGTACCTCGAAAGCTACGTTAAGGAGCACGGCAGCTATCCCTGCGCTGCTCCCGTCGAGGTTCCAAAGTCTCCCGCTTCCACGCTTGTGCCTTCTCCAGTCTCTAAGTTGACTCAGAGACCCAAAGTTCTTAAGGTTTTCGTTTACGGACCTTCCAAAGCCAAGCTCAGAAGACAGAGAACTGCTCGTGCCAGAAGAAACAGAGAAATGCCCAACCCTAACTCTTGGTATATTAGGATTGAGCGGCCTTTTGCCACCTCTGCTGCCATGAGCCTTCCACAACCAGCTGCTGACTGGGTTTATTAGATCGAGAGACCCAAGGAATGAAGACTCTCAAATGCAACCAGCACCATTCCTTGACCCTAAATAAAAAAGAATAAAAAAAAAATATTTAATAAAACTGGCGATGTAGTAGTAGTTCATGGCGGAAAAGTATGCGCTGGAAGGCTTATACTTTGGGAGGTGACTTATGTCCCTAAGGTTCACTGGTACACGGAGAGAATTTAAGGAGGCTTTATATTATACAAATAGATAGCTACCTTGAGGACTTATTGATGTCTGACTTGGTGAACTGGGAAATGGCGCTTACGCTTGTTTGCCTTCGCCTCGTGGACATGAACCTCTCGTGATACTTTCTAGGAGGACCACAATGTAAAGGCTGGTTCCTGGTTACACGAAGCTAAACCTCTAACAGTTCCAAGAATTGAAGGATGAGGTTGAGTTCTGGAAACCTTTAAACCTTTCTCTATCACAAAACTCCCCCTTCTTTACAATCGTAGCTAAGTCTATGAGGGCCGTAACATTGAAAATCATCAGACTTACGAACAGGCCTTCTTAAAAAGAGACCACGCTGACACTTCCTCTTTTAAATTCTAGATAGATTACTGCAGTAGTTGAAATGAATCACTTCTTGCTTTCTATAGCTCCATTTGTGCATCACAAACAGCCTTCTACCTGTTCTCACTATATATTGTACATATTCTCAAAGCCTACAATAAGCAAATAGCTTTACTGGAACCCTAGAGCCATTTTTTATAACAATATACTCTGTATCCTCTTCCCAAAATCGAAGCGGCACTCTCACCTTGAGCCTTGATGAAAGTGGAGTTTCCGTATGGAGAAAGGCTGCGCTTGCCTTGGATGGAACCAAGGTCACACAGAGAATTCTGCTATGACTTGCCAGAAATCAAGTGAATTTTATGGGCTACACTTCTTCCTCTACTCTCATTAAAAATGGCCATCTCTAACAACCAACATAGCTCTCACCGTAAGCACGTTGGGAGACGCCATGAAAGAGTGCCAGCCACTTCTCACAGAGAAGCCACACCAAATTCTTTCCCAAGGTTTTCTGGGAAAGCACTCGAGAGAGCTTCCAAGAGGGAAAGAAGAGGAGTCCATCATAGAAGATATTGTCGAACCAAGGATTTGGTAAACAGTTGGGTAAGAAGCCAAGTTGAACAGAACTACGCTTCCGTGCCACTCGGAGAGAAATTCTTGGAACCAGAACACACATATCTTAATGAATACAGTCAGAACTCCCCAGAAAATCAGCCTCGCCAACCACCTCAATCAATACTGACGCTTTTCCAACCAAGACCACAGAACATCCCGCTCAACAGACTCACACATTTCAATTTAAGGATTTTCAGCTTACTGGAAACGGATCCTCAACCAGGACTGGTAGAGAGTGGTTTTGTCAGCCAACCAGAAGAACCAACGGAAATTGTACGTCCAAGTACCGATATATGTTTAGAGAGACTAACTATCTCTGCGCCTACCAGTCCAAATGCTTCAGAGATTGTCGGTCACCATTCAGCAGACGAGGAGATTAATGCAAGCTTTAGGTATGAACCAGTTTTACGCCCCGAGGATCCTGAGGTTGTTTTGGCAAACCGAATCAGTTCGTTAAAGCTCTGATATTGTCGGGACAGGTCTCACTGTCGAGTCTCGGTTTTTGTTTCCCACGTATAATCTCAATAGAAAAAAATAAAGCAACAGTAAAGGGATTATTTGTTTGTCCTTAATGTATACGCTATAGGTTGAAGTTCTTATTCTAGTAGAAGAATACAATGAAGTAGTTCATCACTGTTTTCTGTAAACGTTCACGATGTCTAATCAGTATGGCAATTGAGACAACGGGACATATAATATAGCATGGTGGCTTTTGTAGCACACTAGAGTTCCATGATTACTTTTCTGATTAATCAGATTTGGAGATGAAATGCTCATGGGTGATGGGGGTTGTAGAAGGATGGTTCAATACCTGGCCTACTTCACTTTTTTGATCGAAGAAGAGAGCTTACACCACCGCTACAAAACTTATATTTATAACCTTTTTGCTGCTTACTTTTTTTTTTTGAATTTTATTAGAGGAAAAGAAAACTAGATAGCTAAAGAAAACTCCTAAACAGCAGGTTGTGGGTATTTTTGAGACTCTGGTTATCTGAAGAGGGCTCGACTATAACAATGGGTCCATGAACTCAAATCCTGGAATGATATGACGGAAGGCACCACTTTTATTTTTTTTCTACTGTGGGCTATCTAAGATTAGATATTTCGCCTCTGGTGAAGAATAAAGCCCTCATTTCCCTTCTATCTCGAGATTAAAAATTTTAAACGCGCATAACTCGCTCAAATTTTGAGCTAGAGCTTTGAGATTTCTCAGAGGCTATTAAAATATTTGAAGTTGTATTTTTAAATAATAAAATTTTAACTTTATTCTAGCCCTACCAAAACACTCTTTATATCAATTCAAATTACATCACCCCATAAGTTATGACTTCGTGGCCAAGTTGGTTAAGGCGTAAGACTGTTAATCTTAAGATCGTGAGTTCGACCCTCACCGAGGTCGCATATCTTTTTTTTATTTACCTACCAGCTTTATTATGATAATTGTGCTCGAATAGTCGAAATTGTAACTTTTTACTGTTAGCCATAGCTTGGTGCTGTCTTAGTTGAGTGACGCGCTTCTCAATTTGCAACCATTCACGCTTAACAGGAAAAAGTCTACTCAGCCGGAAGTAACCAACTACAAGAGTTAGCTTAGAAATTTTCAGGCCTGAACATTCATTGTGTGCCCAAGAACCATTACTAGACCAATTGGATGCTTGATGCAACCGATTACACTGACGTATTGATTTCAATCTCTTGAATGATAACTGCATCTCATTGTTCATATACTTTTGATGTTTCTGAAGCCAGCATGACCGACAATAGCAAAATATGCCGCCGAATCATTAATGGAAAGTATGCTTATGCTTAGACACGGAGTAGCCATCGGATCCATTATCCTTGTGCTTCAGTTTTTTCGATTTATGACGAGACGAACTTTTGGAGGATCTCTTGAGTTCAATTAATTCAGCTCTAAGGTTCCTCACTTCATCGAGAAGGCCTTCTTTCTCGTGAACCTCTTGTATTTCCAGTACATCTGGAGTTCCTGAGGGAGCGTCCAAAAGAAGACGATTCGAGCCGGCCCCGGTAAGTTCTTGGTAACGCTTCTTACGATGCACTGCCATTATCTTAGATACATGGCGTAACATCTCAGTACGAAGCACGGGCACACTTTTAGTAAACTTAATAAAAATCTCCTCGTAGTACTTCACAAGTTCAGATTGATCATACTTTTCACATACCCTTTCCACTTCACCAAACAGGGTCATGTAAGGTACATCTTCGGTTGGGTCACGTTGAACCTTCTTCTTAATCCACTGACAAAACTCGTTGTCGAAATAAACCTTAGACAGCTTGTTTATGAGTTCCTCAAGGTTGATGACTTCACCTTGACAAAGCTTAAGATGTTGTTCTTGACGGTCTTTGGCCTGTTCCTCAGAAAGATTCTCTTCGTTCTGCGAGAAGTTTGACTGGTTATTTTCCTCCAGCTTCTGAGTATTACTAATTTCAATGTCAAGCTCTGCCTTATGAAGTAAAACAAGAGCTGTCTTGCATTTGGCAAAAAGCTGCTTAATGCTGGCCATTTTAGCCTCAAAGTGCTCGTCAACATCGTCATTTGTCAAAAGCGAAAGACGACCAGGAATACTGTTCAACGAAAACTCAACGGCTGGGATTAACTTCTCACGATTGCCCATTTCCAAAAACTGAAGCTCAGACTTTGAGTAGTTTGGGGAGCTCTTTTTCTCATGTGGATACATAGTAACAAAATATCAGCTCAATTGCAATCAGGTCTCGAAAAATAGGACAAGAACAAGTAGTTGCAAGTGTGGTAGACTTCCCCTGTCAGCTCCCGTTTTTTATGCTCAAAGGCTTATACAGGGCTCGCTGATGAGGCGTCGGGTTCTCGTGTAATAAATGCCAAGAAAAGAAGGCCATTGTGTTTTGATTTTATGTACGATTGTTTACTTTGATCTGGAAAATTGTTCTTTCAAGTTTTATACAGATTTTATTGGCTCCAGGATGTCAATTGATGTCTTGAAGTTGGTCTACTAAATTGTGGAAAATGCACCTTCTCCACAGAGTAAGGGCTCTTGACGTAGCGTCATTTGACCAACCAGAAATCAATTGAGTAAAGAGAAAAGGGTACGTTTTGTTCTAAAAGAATTGAATACTTCGTGTTTACTGATTTGGCTCAGTACTTGGTTTGATTTCTGCAAATCAGCCTTACAGCTTTGGGTAGTCGCATGAACGAGTCAAGAGCCCAACAAGCCAAAACACTACGCTTCATATCCTTGAAAACAGCCATTTTTTTTCTTTTTCCTCTTATTTAAACACACGGTGGTCAGGCGTAAATTCAAAGCCACCATCGAATCCATCCATCAAGAAAGGCTCGCTTGAGAGCTTCAGCTCAATCAACAGACAAATCTTTTCCCTGTCAAGTCTCTTCACCACCAGTGGGGAGAGACCAGCTTCAGAGGCAATTGGGTAAATCCTTTTGGACTTAACTCCAATGAAATGGGCTTTATTCTCAATGATTCGGATATTCGCTATGAAAAGGTTCGCCATTATTTCCAGCCCAAGCTCGACCGCTTTGGTAAGGCCTTTAATAGAAGCACCACGCTTATCCAATATTTTCTCTCCATTTTCTTCATTGAGCTTTATTGATCCCTCGTCCAATTGCTTCCAGAGCTGTTTCAGTTCTTTTGCAAGCCGTTCTGATCTCTCAATTGTCTTGCAATATTCTGGATAGAGATCTGCCTTGGTATAGAAAGCTCCAAGGCGTACATTTAACTCCATAGATTCAATTGGAATGTTGAAGGGGTTCCTTACATTCATTTTGAGGGTATGGTCATTGGCAGGTGACATATTCAACTTCCTTAGTAACGTTGAAGCTTTCTTCTCAGTTCGAATGATCCGATCTAGCGCCATCTCCTCATCATGGCTTTTGCAGTCAAAACAGAAGGTAGCCTCCTTGACCAAAAATTCAAGGTCATCTTCAAAGGTATGTTTGAACAGGCTATTATATTCGTCAATAAAGTGAGGTGTCGAGTGCCTCAATGGGTCATATCTCGGTTTTGGTTTCTTTTTCTTATACTTATCCAAAAGAAGAATAACAATTTCATCCTTTGCATTAGTTTTCGGCCTTGTTTGTTCCCATTTAGTCTGCCGTAACACTTCGGACATCAACAAGGGAGCGGCCAGTCCAGAAGCAGGAAGTTCATCAGATCTCCTCAATTCCACTCTTGCGGGGTTCAGGGGTAACGGGGGAGGATTCATATCAAATTTATAGCTCTTGCTTGGGCGTTTCACAGGTATGAAGATATCTTCAGAGGGTTTAACGTCTTTTGGGTTGTCCTCAAGTTCTATTCGAATAATCGGATAATGCTTCTGGCTTTCAGGAACCGTCTCCTCTGAACGAAGACGACCATAAGTATCAACTATCAAATTATCGCCAGTAACGCTGTCAGCATAGCGATAGGCCCACTGAATAGGTTTCCTGGGTATCCAGACAGCACCCGGAGGCAACGACTGGACTCCTGAGATACAAGTGCCCACCATTTTCAAAAAGCGTCTTTTTTCCGTAAAAAACGACGATTTTCTAGGTTTTGAAATTGCAGAACTTTTCCCCAACCCCATTTTAACCCCCTAGAAGTACCCATTCCACACCAAATCACCATTTTGCAGCCACTAGGCTCATATACTAACCTACGTTTAGTCACCTGACTTTTGCTCCTCTGGCGCAGCGGTCAAAAGCTTCCTCGCAGCAAGCCGCAAGTACCCGCACACGAAACAGGCTCGATTTCGACCCTGGGCCCAAAAAGCCACCGGCGGGTGGGAAATTCGGTGATTCTCCCCATCCCTCTTTCCCTCTTCCTCGTGGAGAAGGAAAGCGATTCCAATGCTCCTGAGAGCTTCCTGGGCGTAGAAAGTTACGCTGGGCGTCGCCATCAGAAACTGAGCTGGGGTTTCTTCCTCTGGAAGGGCTCTGGCATGGGAGGCGGCGCGGATGGTTGGTCTTCTGCTTTCGAGTGGAAAGGCTGTTGAGTGCAATTTGCGGCCTCTGGCACCCGATACCGATCAATGCTGCGAGTGGGCCTCTTCTTTTTGGAGGGGGAAGAGGTTGTTTTTTAGAGGGAGAGAGGGAGAGAGGGAGGGTGGGAGGTTGGATTTGGTAGAGGTGAAGTGGTCGTTTTGCAGCCATTCTGGGGGCCGGTCTGGGTGTCCAAGAGAAGGTGGTTTCTGTAGTGTCTGTCAACGACTTTTTGTTGGAGTTCGAAGTAGTGAATCACGAAAATTAGAGAACAAAGATACGGTTTTTATAGTGGGGGAGGCGCCGAGAACTCTGGACGATGCTTTGTGGATGCTTCTCTGGACTGGGATGGGTGCGAGGGCAGACAAGAACACACATAAAGCATTCAGTTATTCATGTTATATCTTATGTTTCGTTCTCTTTGCAAAGGTAACAAATAATTGAATATCTCTTAAGCGTTATTTCTAATTTTGAAACTATGGTAACTTTCAGTCATTGACTCATGGAGACTGAGTAAGATATACTCCAACCTTACCATGCCCCACTGTTTCCTTTCACTTCACTTATTACAACTGAATTCATATTACTCCATTATTTTTGGCGTTCTTAAGCTACATGACCAGAAATACCCGAATTAACATTCCCTTAAAGTGAAGAATGTGGCATAGTACATCTTTAGCAGGAGGCAGCACTACATCAGCACCAGCCATGGCACTGTAAAGTGAACATGAAATCAATTAAAAAATTGCTTCTCCCTTTCTGGGCATTCAAGTTTCCCAACCCCCAATCACAAACCAACCAATCAAAAATCCCCTTTTTGTTTGTTTATCTTATCCATCTGTACTTTTCACCCTTCCTGGGGTTTTGCAACCGGATGTGCAGAACTGCTTGTTGATGCGAACGATCAACTCTACCACTTACTGGCTCTTCTCCACCAATGATCATTGCCAGTATACGGCGGATCTTCGCCTCGTTTCGTACCGAGGAAGAGGAAAGGTCATATTCACGTTCTGCGTTTTTCAACCTTCTTGGGTTCCTCGGGCTGTGCGTGATGTTCTCCTTCGTGGCCCAAAAGCTCTCCAAACAAGCATAAACTACATGAAATATTTTTTTTTTTGGTGATTTCATCATCTACATTAGCATATGTACAGTAAGTCCTAATATACAAGTGGTCTGTGAAGCATTTTTTAGTCTGTAGCGGGATTAGTCTCTCAACAAGACCTCCTTGGCCATCTCGTAAGCTGTCCAGGAAATGGCAGTGGAGGGCACGTTGAAAATGATTCTGGGCTTAAGACCACGAGTAAAAGCACCGATTCCGCCTTGCTTGAACAAGGCCTTGGAGGCGGATACGAAACCATTGACGGATCTCAACAGCTCGTTCTGAGACACACCTCTGGTTTGCAAGGCAGTCTTGATACAGTCCAATGGGTTGGTCAAGGCAGCAGCAATACCACCGGCAATACCACCGGAGATACAGTGGTAGTATGGGTTGTATTTGTTGTCTGGGTTCAACACCTGCGACAGGTATTCGTAGAAACCAAAGTTCAAGGCAGCAAAGGGAATGTTGGTGAAAAGCGTCGTTGGGTATGAAATAAAGAACGCAGACAAACCTTCCTTACGATAAATCTGGCCGGCAGTCTTCATTAGTTTGGCGGAATTGGACTGGGAGGATTCCACAGCAGCGGTGGAGGTACCAAGCTGCATTCTCTGCTTCAACACATCGAACGGCGTCATCAAAGCATCAGAGGCCACAGTGGCAGCAATACCGGCACCCAGGGCAATCAAGGGGTGGGACTCGTCGGTGACAATCTTGGTGGTCTTGGAGTCAGTCAAACGGTTCACCAACATGGTCTTGGTAGCTTCGAAAACCGAAAAGTAGACGGCGTGAGCTGGACCAGCACCCAAGACAACCGAAGAAACACCTCGCCACAAAGCGTAGGCGCCCTCCAGGCTGGAAATCTTGGAGATGGAGCCAATGACCGACTTGCTCAACGGCTGGCCCGACGCTATCATCTGCATTCTGGTCTTGATCGAATCGATAGGGAACATCACCGTGTGCTCCATGATACCAGCGAAGGCACCAGCCAGGAGATGAGCTGCTATGCTAGCATCATCAGGCAAGGCCTCGTAGTCGATTTCGATGGGCTCGCTGAGCATGTGAGGGTTTTCAGCCATGGCAGCAAGAGCAAAGGAAATAGATTGGACGTGGGGAGATTAAATAAAATAAAAAAAAAGCAACTGAAAAGCGACTCTGGGCAACAGAATGAGCCAGGATGCTGGGAACGGGGAAATGAAGGCGTAGGCCAAGTGGTGTTTGTTCGAGAGAACGGTAGTGGTAGGAAAAGGTGGATGAGTTGAGAGTCGGTGGTTCGTCGGGTCCGAGAATTTTTCAGGCCCGAGCGCCTGGACAGAGGAGGAAAGAGCAGGTCAGGGAACCCCAGCTGACGGAGAAAAAGCAACCAATGGGGGAATAAAAGAAATTTGGCAGGGGTTTTAGTACCAGGAAATATTCTGCCTTTGCTTACGGTTTGAATTTATTTGGTTTGGAAATATTGGTTCAAGCTTAAACGAGCTCTTGCTGGACTGGAGTGAGGTAACTCAGCATTCGCAGCCAGCCAGGCAACGAACCAAGGTGGCTCAGTGGCTCAGTGCAACAAGTGAAAGTTCAGGCAATCCAACCAAAGAGAAAAACAAAGGAATCGCTGACTATGAAGATTGAGAGCTTTTAGTATACTTTCTTCCTCCTTTTCAGACTCTTCCAGGGACTCCTGGCTGCAGCGGATTTCGCAGCCAAGACTGAAAAGACCACAAAGAGCACAGAAGGAAGCGATGGGCAACACAAGGCAAAGGCGCCAAACTAGCGTTTCACGGAAAAACCCCAGGCATCGAAGAAGCCGACTTTTGAGGTAAATGACAATATGGGGGCTTCAATACATGGCGAAATAACACTACTTTTTGTAATCCCATGCTTTCCTTTATTTTTCACTTGCAGCCGTTTAGAGGATTTTGCGGGCCCGCCAGCTGGAGTTAGTCAGTGTATTCTGCCGCAGGGCGATTGTTGGCTATACAAAACGAGAAAAAGGAAAAATGCATTTTTCGTTGGTGTACAAGGAATTACGTTTTTTCCGTTTTCTCTTTATTTTTTGAAGAGAGAGGTGGTAGTTTTATGATTGGAGATTAAATAAAAAGGTAACTTCTTGTGGATTTTGGCAAAACGTTGGTGGTTTCTTTACCGTTTCGAGTTATACTTTTTCCTTGCAGAGCCGAGGCCGGAGAAGCTTGCGGTAGGATTTTTTTTTTTTTTTTTTTTTTTTTCAGCCAGTGGGCCCTCACATGGAAAATGCGGGGGGACAGTTTAACCAGCGAACCTTTTTTTTTTTTTTTCCTCATCCATTTAGTTTAAGCTTCAGCCGTGCTGGAGCCGTTTCTCCGGCGGATGTAAAGAATCTAAAACTGATAGACAAACAGGGGCTCTGAAGTTAAAAGAATGTCGTTTTTTGCCACAAAGAAATTGACCTGAGCTGACGTTGGTGACTTGCCGAAACTCGGCTGGCTCGTAAAGTAGAAATTGCTCGATTTGCGTTGGTTCATGGTAGATGGTTAATTAGACGTTTGTTGTTCTCGTACTTGGAAGAACATTGAACAATGGAGATTAATTAGCGGAATTTTGCTTTACGGTTACTAGTCTTCGTATTTTGAAGCGTAGAGGTAGGCGTCTAATGAGCTGTCTTACTAGAGTAGCACATTTGGTTGCAAACACTGCTTTGGCTATTTTGATGCTCTCTTCGTCATACGATAAATTAGTCGAACCACCAGCTATTCGTTTAAGACACTCATGATATCACAGTGTGGACAAACACTTTTGTTCTCCTACCAATAATACCCATTAGTCATTGTCTTGGTCTCTTGTTTCCTGTCATCTTCGATTCCAATTCTCTCAATTAATTGTTCCAACGAACTTCAGTTAGTCTTCCATTTTTATCTATCTATGTATTATCCTTCTATATTTCATTTCCCCATTTTTCTAGTCCACAGAGATGGTCAGTGGTATCCTTGAACAGTCGCTTAATGTGTTTTCTTTTTGACTCCCTTTGCTGCCTGGTTTTTTTGAACTGGAAGGCCCAATGGCTTGTAGTCTGACAGGAAACGTATTTCCTGGTAGTTCAGACATTGAGTCGAATTGGCTCACCATGTTTCTGATAAGCTTCCCAGGTATCTTCTTCTTCTGAGCAGATTTTAATAATGTGGAAGTAGAGAACTCCGGCGATGTAATAGGCGTATGTTGTTGCCTCTGGAGAGATCGATCATCCAGCAGTGACTCCACGAATAATGAAGAAAGGGCACTGGCAATGTCAGAGGGCGAACCTGAGGACGCTATTGAACCAGAGCTGATTACTTCAGGAGAAGTTGTAGATTCTTCAGGAGATGATTGTTTGTTCCCCTGGCCTTCACCCCCAGTAGCGCAGTTAAGCCCCTTGATCGTGCTATCCTCTGATGCTGAACCATCTGGCAGTTCAGAGGCTATGGATCTGGCATCATCAATAGAGGGAGTGTGTCGAGTCACAAGAGTCACAGGTACTTCTTCAGGGACAATTACCAGGGTAATTTCATCAGATGGTTTGTTCGAACCACCTTCACTTTCTTCGCTTTGGTTATCCTCGTTTGCTTCTGGTAAGTCAATGTAAGCAGGGTCCAATTGATAAATAGTAGGTTCAAGCCATGGGTTTTCCGAGTCCTCTCTTTCTGGTAAAAGCAGCTCACTCGAAGGATAATTAGATTTAGTAGCCTCTTCATTGACTTCTGCCTCTTCCAGTAGCTGTTCAATCCGTGGCTCCTGGAGTTCAATCTCATACCTCAAAACCCGTGCTGCCTCTTTAAGTGCTCTCTTATCTCTAATAGCATCAACCTTCTTTCGTCCTTCAACCATACAATCCCATAGAATAGCACCTAGAACATCATGACTTAGGTTGGCACAGAGTTCCAGAAACTCCCAGCCTTCCACAAGTGCAAAAAACTGTTCTTTCTTGATGCACATTTCCTTGACCAAATTAAAGGCAGTTTCTTCAAATGCCTCTGGCAGGGCATCGAGATGCCTGCTCAATAATGCAGCAAAAAGGCCTTTCAACGCAGGCTTCACAATTCTAGCGATATCCTCCTTGCTTTGGAAGTAGTCTGGGTTTTTAGTACTCTCCTGCTCACTTACACTAGACTCAAACTTCAAGGAGGAAGTAGAAAAAAGCGGTGGCGGTAGGACTCTTTTGAAGCCAAAAGTTTGGCCAGTGCTGTTCGTAAAGCCTCTTCTGAATCTCCCTCTGAGCCTGACGGAGAGTCTGTAGACTTTTGAAACAAAGCGGTGCCCTAGAAACCTCAACGAAGTAGAATGACCATTTGACGAGTAACCAGATGCTTTAACTCTGAATGTTCTATCTCTCATTCGTTCTGGAGGAGGAAGTGTCACTTCTTCGGGTTGGTCGTCTTCGTGACTAGCAAGACAGTGGCAGCGATCAAAAGCTGCCTTAAAAACGCAGGGACAGATATGGAATGAAGGCTCCTCGTCTTTGAAAAGTGCTTCGTTGGACTCAGATGGGCATTCCAGAACGTCATCTGTTGAAGAGGACTTCTTCCTCGACTTCTTCCTGAACAGACTAGGCTGTCCATGAGGCTTCACATACTGGGTGATATCTTCACAATCAAATATCCAGTAAGGAGCAAGTTTAGAGGGCTTTGGCTTTTGTTTATCCCCAATCTCATGATGGCTGGATGGTGGGGGTGCTTGGTGGCTCATAGGGCTTCTCAACCCATCGCAGTGTATGGAGAAGGGCAGACCATCAGCCATTCCATGCCTATCAAGCGATACTGGACTCCTTAAGGGCTCAAAATGACTAGTTTGTAAAGTCGTTTCCCTGAGATTTTCCTCTTCCTTCAAAGGCCTAGTAATTGGGACACTGGGACAGTTACATGTCTCATTTGCAGCCATTCTTTCGCAGCCAGTGGTACCACCACCACCACCATCTCCAATTCCACAAGAAACAAACGATACCGAAGGAAAAGAGACGACTCTAGGGTATCCAAATCTCTGTCGGCAAGCTTTCTCTGCCTCTTTATTTTCTCTGGATGAGTGGATGGGACACAATGGCTGGTGGTAGCTCACTGGACTTTGGCATGGATGAGAAGGTTCTGGTTGAATGGAGCCAGGGAGAAGTTCCCCTGAAGCGTTGAATGATTGCAATGAAATGAATGGCAGAGTTTGACCAGCTTTACTCCCTTTAGTTTCTTTATGGGACGTTTCTTGGACTTGGGACGGGTTTCGAAGACCAGAGTTGGTATTGTCACTCTGAACCTTCCGGTTCTGAGACATTGGATGGATCACCTGGCCCAATTCTTCTTTGGACATCTGGCAACGATGGATAACTGCCCAATACGGTTCTGACATTGGAGATATGAAGAAATGAAGTGGTTTGTGTAAATGCGCTGCTTCTCCACATTTCGTTCTTCGCAGTCTACAAGACGTATCCTTTAATGAGTATTTCTATAAATATGATTATGCCCTAGCGGGATGCTTGAAGTCAATATCTTTTTGTTCTGGAACGATCGTCAAAAGCTTACCGGTTTTGATCTGGTGTTCAACGTTGGCCACAGTGAACTCTTCCATGTTCTTGAGTGCTTGCTTAGTCCAAGTACCCATATGAGGCAAGGAAACAACATTAGGCATCTCGTACAACTCCTTAGGAACCTCTGGCTCGTGCTCGAAGACATCAGAACCGAAAGCGCCGACCTTGCCCAGCTTCAACTCTTCAATAAGCACCTTCTCGTCAATAATGGCGCCTCTAGCGGTATTGACGATAATAACTCCATCCTTCATCTTAGAAATGACCTCTTTGTTAACCAAGTGATGCGTCTTTGGGTTCAAAGGAACCGAAACGATCAAAACGTCACTCTGTGCCAACAACTCGTCAAATCCCACATACTGCGCTTCACCCTCCAAATCAGCATCAAGCCTGGAACGGTTATAGTAAAGGATCTTTTCGAATCCGAAAGGCACCAAACGGTCACGGATAGCACGGCCAATTCCGCCCATACCCAAGATACCAACAACCTGGCCCTCGGGGTCCTTACCTAACTTTGCACCTCTGCCAATGTCTGGGTTGGTCCACTTGCCCTGAACCAAAGCGTCATGTCCGATTTGATAGTTTCTCATGGTAGCAAGTGTCAAGTAGACAGCAGTGAGAGCAGTAGGAGCCTCCACAGGCACCGTAACATTCGAAAGCTGAATATTTCTATCAGTCAATGGCTGTGGATCGACCTGGTCATAACCAGCTCCATTGTGGGAAACTGACACAACAGAGTCAGGCAAAGCAGCGATGATTTCGGAGTCAAAACGCCCGGTCTGCTCCACACTTGGGAAAGTACGAACAATGTTGGTCACGTTCGTATACTTCGTTTTAAGATCCTTCAAAAACTCCTCTCTTGTCTGAGACTCACAGTCCACCACGGTAGCGATTTCCTTCAACTTATCCCACTTTTCAGTGGAGAAGGGCCACTTGCCTAATCTAAGCACAACGGGTTTTTCGGCAGTCATTGAGGAGAATAGTCTATAAGAAAGCTTTGAGAGATGACTTCTCATTCAGAAAAAGGGACTTAAGCAATTGGGAGCAGTCGGCAGGCCTTTTATACTTCCTCAGCTCGCGGGGTTGATGTCTATTCCCCCAAAGCGGTGTGCATTCACCGCGGAACTATGGCGCACATCGCAAGAGTTAGACAGAGATAAGCGTGCGCCCCCACGTTTAGTCTTGGGTGCCCCCACGCTGGACACTAGCCGTTTGGATAGTCAAGGACGAGTTTGTGGAGGGCCTTGTGGAGGGACTCGTGGGGGAGAAAATGTTTTTGGGGTACACGGCAATTGGCATTTATTCTAGACTATGTTTTGAATTTCTTCAAAAGATGAGCTTGGAGCCGCGGTATGGGAAGCTGTCACTGATCTTGCCCACAGATTCAACAGTGACATTGCCAGTTTCTCTCTCAGGGAAGCCCTCGAAACTCTTGGCGTAAGTAGCAACAGAGTGTGCAATCAACTTGGTGTTAACCAACCAGGCATCGTAGTCGGGGTTAGACAAGTCATCGCACAACTGGTGGTAGCATGGGTCGAACCATTTGCCGGCCTCACCGCCAAACTGTTCCTGACCCTTCTTAGTCTTGACCTTCTCGGCACCAGTAGCAATACCACCAGCTGGAATGCCAGCATCAATGAATCCAACGTAGTCACTTCTGCCATCAAACTCGATCAAGGTGTAGTTTAAGCCCTGCTCCTTGTACCATTTGATGTAAAGATCCTTCAAATCACCAGATCCGTTAGGGTGGTCCTTGTTGTTAGCATCGTAGACTTCGTATTCGTAGTTTGGAGAAGCCATCATGTCGTAGTCCATGAACAATCTGATCTTCTGGTTCTCCTCTGGGGTAAGAGCCTGAGCGTAAGCGTAGGAACCCAAAAGTCCTTCCTCTTCGGCAGCCCACCAAGCAAAACGAACAGCGTTGTTGACCTTGTACTTGGTCAATTGCTTAGCAACCTCAAGCAAAGAGATGGTACCAGAACCGTCATCGTTGATACCTGGACCTTCAGCAACAGAGTCAGAGTGAGCACCCAAAGAAACAACGTTCTCGTGGTCACCCTTGATAGTCTCAGCAACAACGTTAAGGGTCTTGATCTTCTTGACGTAAGAGTCGACATAGAGAGTGGTCTCAAACTTGTGCTTAGGGTTCTTCTTCAACTTGTCAATGTACTGCTGAGCATCCTTCTTGCTGATAGAAACAGTAGGAACCTCCTTACCGGTAGGCTCACCCAAAGTGCCGTGCAATGGGGTATCCTTATCGTAGATGATAAGACCAGCAGCACCAGCCTTACCAGCGTTGATGGACTTGTCACCAAATGCACACTCACCTCTCTCAACCAAGACAATGTTATCCTTGGTCAACTTCTTTGGGAAGTCAGAAACATCGCAACCGTAGTTCTCAGCCAAGACCAAGTTGGCGTTGATTGGAGCCTTACCTGGAGTTGGTGGAGTAAGCTGCAAAGCCAGCAAGGACTTTGGCTTGTCACCGTCAATCAAGAGCGAAACAGAGTTAACGCGGCCGTCAATGGCCTCGAACTTCTGAACATCAACAGTGTAGTAGTCGCTCAATTTGCCCAATTCGTGCTTGATGTAGGCAATTGTGGCCCAATGACCTGGAGAGCCAATTACACGAGTTGGATGGCCATACTTCTTCTCTGACTTTTGAGCAATTGAGTACAATTTTTCAGCTCTTTCTCTCAAAGCATCAGCAGAAATAGAAGCCTGCAACTTTTCAGTGTCAACTTCAGGCTTTCCCCATGGAGGCCATGGGAACTTCCAAGAAGAGGTGATAGGCGATTGGAGGTCAACGTCGCCAACGATGATTTCATTGAAAATGTCGATTGGGGAGGCAGCAGCTGCACCCAATATAGCGAGTGAGGTGGCAATGGAAAGCTTCATATTAACGTAAGCTCAAGGAATTGCCAATGATGAAGAAGAAGAAAATCTTTAGAAAGCGTTATTAGGCCATTCATATGGCAGCAAAACACCCGTGCACCTTAAGCCATGGCACCTGATAATGTATGGCTTTGAGCGGCTCACCGGTGAGATATTACAATAGCCGTGTGTCTGGTTATGACTCGATGTGTTATACGAGGACAATGGTTCTAGAATTTCTTATATACCCATTACTGTCTTCTCTTCTTTCTCTGCTTACCCTGCTGGAACCCATTGCCGCCAAATTTGAAGCCGCCGTTTCCAAAATTGAATCCTGAATTACCGAAATTGAAGTCAAAGCCAAAGTTAGGACCGCCTTGGAAATTGAATCCTCGGCTTCCTCCTCTATTTGGGCCCTGGGAATGGCCGCTACGGCCTTGGTCGTATTGTTCTCTCGATTCCTTATCAGAAAGAACTTCGTATGCCTCATTGATCTCTTGCATCTTCTGTTCCACTCCTTTCTCATCTAGATCTTCACCTTTATACTTGTCAGGATGGTACTTCAACGTCTGCGTTCTATAAGCCTTCTTTATGGTTTTGTCATCGGCGTCCCGCAGAATGTCAAGCACTTTGTAGTAGTCCTTCGAAGGGTCGCTTTGCATCCGTTGTTGCTGCTGCTGTTGCTGCTGCTGTTGACGGTACCAATGCTGTTGTTGTTGCTGCTGCCTCTGCTGCTCCTTATGGAACTTTGCTTGTTGTTGCCTCTGCTGCTTCTGCTGAATCTTCTCAATTATACTCCATCTTTTGCGGAACGCATCTGTCTTGCCCACATGTTTGCTGAACTGGGAAAGTAGCTTCTGAGCTTCCGCATAATTCTTCTTCTTGAGCTCCTCGTCAATACGAGCAGCATGCTTGGGGAAGAAAGGCAGACCAGCATCCTCCACTGCTCCATCACAGTACAACTTGCAATCTGTTGACTTCTCTGAGTAAAGTGCTGCTTCACACCGAAGACGGGTCAAGTCTCTGTAGAACTTTAGACTCATAAACAATTTTTCATTGCCAAGCTCTTCATCAGCAAAGCCATTGGCCATCCAAACAAGGTAGTCAAAGTTATTCTTCACAGAAGAAGGAACATTCTTGAGCTCACGCTTAGGCGCTTTGATTGGATCCTTATTCAAGAAGTCATGGATTTGCTTCCAGTCAAACAGAAACGTTTGGTACTTCTCATCGCTGAGATCACTGAACTCGTCAGAAACGGGGTATAAATAGCCATCAAGGATAGAGTACTCTTCGAGCAGTTTCAAGAAACCTTGAAGACGTGCAAATGCCTTGGAAAGTGAACCACATTGCTTGTTCTCATTGTCAATCCTCAAACAGTTCTTCACTGCATTCCATGCATCTTGGTAATTTGACTGAGTGAAAAAGAGGTATTTGGCAAACTCATTGTACCTTCCCAAATCCTTCTGTGGAGCCTTCTTAAGCAAATTCGAATAGTCGATTAACATGCCCGTGAACGCATCCTCAGCCAGTGCCTTATCCTTCTCCAAAGACTCTGCAGCCTTCTTCTTGCTACATATCAAATGAAGCTCAAAGACGGTGGGGTTCTCGGGCGTTAGAGGCTGAAGCGTCTCGTCCACAACTTTCAAGCACTCTTCAGCATCATACTTCTTCGTTTCGCCACCCAAGATGCCTTTAAGCTTATCAAAAGCTTTCTCCCACTTCTCCATCTGTGCCACCAATTCGCCGTCGCTCTTTCCATCTAAAACAGTTCTGGCAGCGGCAAAATCACCTCTTTTCACCATAATCTCCTTGTAAGTGTTCTTCGCAGGCTTCAAGTCTGGATCCAAGGCGAAAACCGCTTCTAGATCATCAATAGCAGAGTTCATCTTGTTCAAACTCATCTCGACAAGTGCTCTATTGTATAAAGCAGTGGCCAAAGTCTTTTCCAGAACCTTATCAGACAGACTTTGAAGGTCCAGGATCAACTTATCAAACTCATCTAGAACCTGGACTGTGGGACCTATGGATCTTAGAAGAGTCTGAGTTTCTCTGATTCTCGAGACAAAGTCCTCGGCAAATACCGTGGCTAGTAGCAGAACCAAGAACGTGACTAGCAAGATTCTAGCCATTATGTGAATAAATAGGGAGTTGTGGTTATGGGTATGTGGAATGCGAATGTAAATAGCTTGACACGTTAACGTTTTTCGCACCCATTTCCTACACTGGGGGGAGTAACTACAACATCTGGGGTTTTACATTAGATCATTTCTATTATGCCATTGCTGCCAGTGCTTACTTAAAGAGCTTGGCTAAGGAGACGGCACCTTCGTCGTTTCTCGACATCACCTTCGCCACCGCCAACTCAAAGTCCTCTTGCGTCACATGGATTCTTCTTTCTCTCAACGCGTACATGCCTGCTTCCGTACAGACACCCTTGACGTCAGCACCGGAACAACCGCCCATCTTTTCAGCGATTTTTCTCAAGTTGATACCTCTGGTCAAGTTCATTGATCTGGAGTGAATCTTCAAGATATCCGTTCTGGCGGTTACCGTAGGAGCAGGGAACTCAATCTTTCTGTCAATTCTACCTGGTCTCAACAAGGCAGGATCCAAAATATCCAATCTGTTGGTGGCCATAATGATTTTGATGTCCTTGGAGCTCTCGAAACCATCCAACTGGTTAAGCAATTCCAACATGGTTCTCTGCACCTCGGAGTCTCCTCCAGAGGAGCCCTCCACTCTCGATGACCCAATAGAATCAATTTCATCCATGAAGATGATAGAAGGAGCATGTTCTCTAGCCATAACGAAAAGCTCACGCACCATTCTGGAACCTTCACCAATGTACTTTTGCACCAACTCAGATCCAGACACTCTGATGAATCTACAGTCGGTGTGGTGAGCAACCGATCTGGCCAAAAGCGTCTTACCTGTTCCAGGAGGACCATACAAGATAACACCCTTGGGTTGTTCAATACCCAAACTCTCGAAAAGCTCAGGATGCTTCACTGGCAACTCAATCACTTCTTTAATTTCCTTGATTTGCTTGTCCAAACCACCCACCATATCGTAAGTAGAGTCTGGAACCTTCTCAAGCATCATCAAAGACACCAATGGGTCAACCTTGTTTGGTAAGATCTTGTGCAAGTCGTAAGAGTCAGCCTTTAGGCACACTCTTAAAGATGGTGTCAATTTCTTGATGTCGATATCTTTGGTCACATTGACGATATATTTGCCCTCAGGGTGGATCTTCACAAGCACTTTCTTCAAGCCCATAACTTTGACAACCTCACCAACGTAAGAGCCTGGTTCTTGGAGTAGTCTCAACTCGTCTTTCAACTGACGTACTTTACTGTTGAGCTTGTTTCTTTGAGCTTCCAATCTTCGTAAGTTCTGGGTGGTATTTTGGATTTTGATTTCCGTATCTTGTATCTGCTGCTCGAAGTAAGGCTTAATGCCTCCTTCATGGACATAGGGCGTATCAACTGTGGTCATTTGGGAGATTGATTGGAGTTGACTTTGGCTTACTACGAGGTTTGCCTTCTACGCTCACTTCCACACGACCAGTGTTTCAAAATGTACTGCAGGTAGTAGTCACCTAATCCACTGGCCCAGTCTTCACAAGACCTCTAATATAACTATTTAGAGAAATTAAGACGGAGATTTTAATTAGAAGATATCCATTGAAGAATGAATCGAAGTACACTTTGACTCCTTTGGGTGTTATAGAGTGGTTTTATAATAGTATCACGTGACCAATATCAATTTTAGACCAACGACGACACAATTATAAACTACAGTGTCAGAAACCATGCTATGGGTGAACGATGGTTCATGTAGTAGCTCCCTGGTACTGGAAGTGCCAGCTTGAGTATTTTATGAACCTTGTGTCCAAAAGTGTATGCTAACACATGAAACGTACACAGTAGTCACCCAAAGCAACGGCCATTTACACATCCTATTTTTCTTTTGGATATGACTAAGTTTATACTTTTATGCCGTTGATTTATTTTTTTGAATCTACCAACTATTATGATTTTTCAGAATTTAGAAGTTCGTCAACTTGTATCAGAGAATAGTAAGTTCACAGTTTTCGCAGCCATATACCGATTCTATCCAACCGGAGCAAACATGCATTCACTCAAATAAATCAAATAATCCAATTTTTATAAATATAATCCTTCCTTAAGAACCTTCATGGTCGAATTCATTACTCTATTGACAATTGGCCCAGTCAATTGAAGAATCCGTTTGACAGCTTGACATATCTTTCTTACGGTACTACACTAGCTCCAGAAAGAAGATACCACACCTCCATAAACCTCCACCCACCAACCAGAAATACCAATACTCTACAATTTCTACTATATCTCCAAATCACCTTCATATTTTCCGAACGATTGCCCAAACTGCCTACCAAAGGAGGGCAAGAAAAAAGCCCAGCCAAGCATTCTGATTCGCCCAGAACCACCAGAACTCGACAAAACACCGATCCACCGAAAACCAGCACTTTTGGTCAAAACAGCTCAAAACAGCCTTTTTTTCAAACAATATTTAACTTCTATCGCCACCCTTTCTTCACTTGCATGCCCCCACTGGCCATATGCTTATCAGGGTTTGCAGCCAGTTGCCAAGAGATCCTCAGCCTGGGGCATGCGGTGCCTGGATCCATGCAGAGGGCATAAATAGGGAACGCGAAGTACCATCTACCTTCTCTCGAGAAACCAACGATGAAAATCCAAGGAGTGGCCTTATTGGCGTTGGCAGCGTTAACTTCTGCTAATCAACAATACTGCAAATGTGTGTGTTCGGGGAATTCTGTGGTGGGGAAGATCGATAAGTGTGGGCTATGTAATAGCAGTTGGTGCTTGGAGCAGAACGATAAGCTTTGCCAGGAGAGCGACGAGGGCGAAGAGAATATCTTGATTACATGTTTTCAGATCGAGTCTTCTAAGGAGAAGTTCATCATTGTGGCATTTGTGTTCAGTGTGTTGGGCTTACTACTAGTGAGCTACTGGAAACAGGTGATGAGAGAACGAAACAGACGATAGTCACACGATGAGTGAGAGATGGTGTTTGATAGATTTTAGGAGGTTTTTGTGCCTGTTTGGATGATAAGAATTGGTCAGTGAAGGCTCTTTGGTGCCATGTTACGAGTTTCATACGTCGTTGGTTCTGAGACGTTGGACATGGTCCGGGCAAGAACCTAAAGGGATTGAGGGAACTCTAATAGCTCAGAATGTATTCAATGGAGTCCAAGATGCTTTAAAAAAGAGTCTATCATTGAACTTGGACGTTTGCGCTGGCATCAAGTGGAAATACAACAGTTGTGCCACGGACAGCGATAGCGATGGTTACAGCTAGGGCACCAAACTGGTCAGTGAGAATTGTGCTTACCATATGGAAGGCATGGTATGACAGAGGAGAAGAGCTCACTGAAATGCCAGTGACTAAGTCTCGGTGCGTGGTTAGCTTTGCCTGTTTCGCTACGACACTTGATAGCATTACCTGCAATAGACCGGGCATTGCTCGATAGATTACGGATTAAAGGGCCGCAAAAGTCATTAGCTGCTTCATACCAGGTACTGTTTAGTGCCTTGCATTTGGTAAAGCGGAATTTCAGGCCCTTTCAATTGTTTGCGAACGGCTGCAACGATGAGGTGATCATGACTACTAACACTATAGCGTCTGGTTCCCGTGGTATGTTACATGGCATCATGATAATGCCCACGGAAGCTGGGTGGTACACTGTTGATCACTTGGCGGGGCTTTCACAAGGTTATATCGATCTCGATATCGGCATCCCACCGCCGGGCATTTCCGACCAACCATGTTCGCCCGAGATATTACATCAGTCTTTTACAAGCGACGTCATGTCATTACATTCAACCAAAGACCGTTGAATTATTATCACTACCTTGTGTTGCATCACGGTCGAAGTGTGTCACCAGATCACTAATATCATCTCGGCAATTGGCCAAATGTTCGCCCAATGACCAAATAGTCGCCATTGGCTCAATTGAAGAGAAACCACAAACCTACACATTCTCCAGAGTTCTCTCCACAAGACCAATTACGACTTTTTTCATTCTCCTACTATCTTTGGTTGCGAAATTGGCAAGTCGAAGAAGCCGCTTTGCGGTTTTTTCGCTACAATTACTCGAATCAGGCAAGCTGGGTGCGAATCAACGGCCACTCCGAAGCCTCACGATGGGCCTGCCCAATTCCATTCCAGCAAGAAAATGAAAGTTTGACTGGGCAAAATCCACACTAAACTGACCAATAAGACCCCATTTACCACATAAACTACATTTTTGCGTTTTGCCATCGGGTGGGTGGCGGCAAGTCGTGGCTGCCTTGCGCTAGTTTAACTCGTGCCTGGCGCCTGGCTGCGACTGTACCGCAAGCCATCGACGACACTATCCACAGCAGATTGCAAGAAGAGACGGAGTCTTCTTGTTCCAAAAGATTCTCCTTAGACTACACTAAATTAGCATCAACCGTCTTGTGCCGTTTTCTATTACTCCAATTTCCCATTTTGCAACAAGTGAAAAGAAAACGCACCGTTGCTGGACTTTTCATATCACAGTGGTCTCGCTGTAAGCTGTGCGGATGTGCTAATACACAAGAGCAGTGCGAGAAATGAGAAGGTCCAACAGCCGAGGGAGGCCCACTTACCTTGTAAAGAAACAATGAATCCAATGGAAGGCTCCAAATTGTAGCTGTAATTACCTCCAACCAACTACTCTTTTCATCCATCCTCTAGCCTTATACTTTCCTTGGGATCAGAAATCCCAAACCCTTAAGTATTTGTACGCGCGAGACACTACTTTTTTTTTTTTTCAACCTTTTTTCTTCAGTTTTTTTGAACTACCTTCTTTCTTCAAGAAGTTTTCAGAACAACACAAGTATTCCGAAAACCATGTCTGGCAAACCTGACACTCAGGCAGACATTCCGCCTTCCCAGAAGGGGAACGCTCCAGCTTCTACGCCCAGCCAGGTGGCTCCATCGGCTGCTCCAGCTGCTCCTGGCGACAGCCAACCACATCCCCAAAACCATGGCTCCCAGGGTTTCCAAGGAGGCAAATTCCCTCAGCAGTCTCAACAGGGTAACTATGGCCAGAATTTTCAGGGAAAACCTTACAATAGACAGAACCAGGGTCAGGCTGGCGGTCAGGGTCCACAGGGCCAAGCTCCACAAGGCCAGGGCCAGGGTTCTGCTCCTGGAACTCCCCACCAGCTCCACCAGCAGCCACATCACCAACATCAGCAGGGTCACCGTAGTGGCAACTACCAGAATAAGAACTACTACAATAATAAGCGCAACTACAACAACCCTAAGATGAACAACCAGAACCAGTTCCAGAACTACCACTACCCAGCAAACATGTACAATTACTACCAGATGTACTACCAACCGGGTATGGTTCCTGGTGTTAACATGCCTGCTGGCTACTCTCCTCAGCTGCCACAGCTTTCCCAGTCGCCTGTTCAAAACTACCCACCCACTGCTTCTCCAGCGGGTCCTAATAAGGTGAAAATTACTGACAGGGAAGGCAAGCAGGTGAACTTGGAAGAGAAGAAGAAACTGTCTGCTAGCTCTTCTGCTCTGACCACCCCTGTGCCTTCTCAAGCACAGATTGTTCCTGGTGCCGCTGCTCCAGCTGCCAAGTCACAGACTCCGGAGGCTTCTGATGATCAACTGGCTTCCGCTGCCGCCGCTGCCGCCGCTAAGAAGAAGGAGGCCGCAGAGGAGTTCAGAAGAAAGATTCTCGAAAAGGCCAAGGCTGCTAAGGAGAAGAAAGAACAGGAGGCTAAAGCCAGTGCGGCCAAGTCTGCTGATGCTGCTCCAGCTGCCGTTCCAGCTGCCACCCCAGCCGCCTCTACTTCTGTTGCTGCTCCAGCTGCCGCTCCAACCCCAGAGGAATCTAAAAAGGCTGCTGAGACCACCAAGGAAGCTCCTGTCGAGGAGTCTAAGCCTGAGCCAGTCAAGGAAACTAAGCCTGAGCCAGTCCAGGAGACTAAACCTGAACCAGTTGAGGAGACCAAGCCTGAGCCAGTCGAGCAGGCCAAGGAGACCCCAGTCGAAGAACCAAAGGAAGCTCCAGTCGAGGAGAAGGCCGAACCAAAGGTCGAGGAACCAGTCGAAAAGGCTCCTGCTGCGGAACCTGCTGCCCCTGCTGCTCCAGTTGTTGATGCTCCTGCAACTGAAGTTAACGGTGACTCTCCAGAAACCAACGAGACTGTCTCCGAAACTGCCCCTACTGAACAGACCGATGATATCGAAGAAAAGGATGAGGAGGCCACCGATGACGACGAGTCAACCGAGAAGGTCTTTGATCTTTCTTCTTTCTTTGACAGATTGTCAACCTGTAGGGCTATTGAAGATCCTTTCACATACCCTTACCCATACCCATTGACTGGTGTTGACGCTAGATGGAAGGCCGGTCAGAAGAAATATAGATATGACCCACAATTCTTGTTCCAGTTCCGTGACTCGGTTGCATACCCTATTGACGACGCCTGGAAGGAGAAGCTTGAGGGCTTGGGCATTGTGCCTAACAGAAGATCTGGCCCAGGTGGTCCTCAACGTATGGGATCCTCTAGATTTGGTGGCCAGCCACAAGGAAGAATGGGTGGCAACATGCAAGGCAGACCAGGCCAGTTTGATGGCAGACAGAACTCTAGATCCGGTTCCAGAAGAAGAGGTGGTTCCAACATGGGCGGCAACCCAAGAGACCGCTCTTTGAGAAACAGAAACCAATCTAGAAGAGGTCCAAGAGAGAAGGAGGACGACACCCCAGCTAAGCCTGCTGAAGATGTTAAGCCATTGGTTCCTTCTGCTAACAGATGGGTCCCAAGATCTAGACAAAAGACCACTGAGGTCAAGACTGCTCCTGACGGTACCGTTCTTCTTGACAAGGAAGACGTTGAAAGAAAGGTTAAGTCCGCATTGAATAAGTTGACATTGGAGATGTTTGAACCTATTTCGGAACAAATGTTGGACATTGCCAAGCAATCCCGTCACGAAGAAGATGCTGCTACTATTAAGCAAGTTATCTCTTTGACATTCGCCAAGGCCTGTGATGAGCCATACTGGTCGAGTGTCTACGCTCAGTTCTGCGCAAAGATGGTGAAGGAGATTCCTGATGACATCAAGGATGTCAGTATTCTTACTAAGAGTGGTGAACCAGCCATTGGTGGTGACCTCGCTAGAAGAATCTTGTTGGCCACTTGTCAGTCTGAGTACGAAAAGGGTTGGGTTGACAAGCTCCCTACTAACCCAGATGGTTCTCCATTGGAGCCAGAGATGATGTCTGACGAGTACTACGCTATGGCCGCTGCCAAGAGAAGAGGTCTTGGTTTGGTCAAGTTTATTGGTAACTTGTACATCTTGAATATGTTGAACGATCAAGTTATCTTGCATTGCTTGAGAGATCAATCCAAGAATGTTACTGATCCATCTGAGGACTCTTTGGAGAACTTGGCCCAGTTGATCAAGACTGTTGGTCCAAGATTCGAAGCATCCGAAAGAAATAAGGCAGCATTGAACATGATTTTCGACAATGTCCAGCTTATTTTGGACAACTGCAAGCTTTCGTCGAGAATCAAGTTCATGTTGATGGACTTGCAGGATTTGAAGAAGAGCAACTGGAAGTCGCTTAAGCAGGAGTCCGGTCCTAAGACCATTAAGGAGATTCACAACGAAGCCGAGTTGAAGAAGCTCGAGGAGAGCAAGGCGCAGGCCGAAAAGAGAAGAAACAAGGGTTACGACCGTGGTGGATACGGCGGTGGTGACTCGAGATCCAACTCCACCAGAGGTGGTGCTTCCTGGGGCAACAAGAAGGAGTCCAGAGCACCTACTAAGGACTCTAGAGGTTTCCAGTCCGTGCCTAGATCACAGTCTAACAGACCTACGCCAGACTCTAGCTTCAGCGCATCCCACATGTCTCCTAGAGAGAACTCTAAGAGAACAGACTCTATGGCGTCCAACATTTTCGCTGCTTTGGACGGCGACAATGACGACAACGAGTCCGAAGGCGCCGGTCACTAATCCTTGCATGTTTCCCCTGCATTTCCTTGCATCCCTACTATATTCATAGTTTATATTGTAATATAGCACCTTGTCGCGATAATGAATTGACATCGATATATGATCTATACAACTGTAGCAAAGGCATCACGATCCCTTCTTTGGAAGTAGTGCTGGAGGGCGCTCAGGAACCGGTGCTTAGACGTGGCATTGATGCTGTCGCCTTCGTTCTCTGGACGGCCCAAGTTCTGTTCCTCCAAGTTCTTGAAGATATCTTCCAGGACCCCGGCAACTAAAGAACTGTATTTCTTGTGGAGTTCAGACTTTTGGTGTATTTCAGGCCCTTGGAGCTCTTCGATAACCAGAAGCATGAATGCTGCCAAGGTAAGTAACAAATCAATGAAGCTCTCAGCGATGGTCTCCATGAAACCACCCACTATAGCGATCGACCTCTTCAACTGCAAGAGGATGAGACAACAGGCAAAGATTCCCATTTTGGATACCCGCAAGAAGATGTCAGCAAAAATCAAACCGCCTACAAGAGCGTAAAGGCCAATTTTGTGGAGTTTGGACATGTTTGGAAGAAAGAAGAATGGCTGCAAAAAGCTATATACGTTGTTCGCGCTGTGTCGAGTACCTCAGTTCTCGTCAAGGAGACTCATACCGTCGTTACCAAGGGTATAAAAAGCTTCTTCAAAGTTGAAGTCTACGCTAGAAGCTTTTGGCGGCGTGATTTGGCTCATGGAAGGCGGCTCGGTCAATAGCTCGTCAACTAAAGAGTCGTCTTCCACGACGGTGAAGGCCACTTCCTTAGGCTCAGACGACACCTTTAGGGTCAGGGCAAAGAACGCCTTTAGGTCACCTAGCGTCTTTGAAATAAGCTCCCCATCGTGCTTGGGCGCTGTCGTCAACTCCTGGATGCAATTTGTCAAGGCAGCTGGGGTATCGATGGTGGCTTTCTGAAGAGACTTGTGTAAGGCCATGACATGGATAAGAAGCAGTGATCCCAAGTCCACGTAGGTGCTAACATAAAGAAGTAGGTACTTTGTAATCAATTGAACCAGTTCACCACGAGATAAGAGCTGTAACATCGTATGTGCAGCTGCTCTAACGAAGTATTTGCTTCTTGATAAACGATTAGTGATAAAGTGCTCCTCATCGTCGTCGTCCAGGTATATCGCCCCTTTTTGACTACTTTCATCGTCGGAGAAACGCTCGTCTATATCCTCATCATAGCAACTTTCCAAGTCAGATGCAGCAGCTGTTGCAGCCTTGACGTTGATAGTGACCAAGAGTCTAGCTGACGTCTCGTCGTGATCATAAGACACAAGCTTGGGAGCTTTAGAAGTCATCTCAACTTCTGACGGGGCCTTCTGATTCATGAAGTCGTAAAGTTGATCGAGAAGCCCGAGGCTCAGCTCATTCTGAAGACCAAAACGCACCTTTGTCAACTTACGTACAAAGTCTTCCGTTTGATCTTTCGTAAGATGACTCGCTTCTTCCAGAAAACGAGTATTAGAGCCAATAAGTTCCACGAAGTTGATCGCTGTACGGCTATCCCCGTGAGCATAAGACGCGATTACTTCACTGGCACCATCCTCAAAGACAATCGGCTGCAAACTCAGCAATATCCGCCTGCGGATATTCTGAAACACCATAGCCTTCTCAACCACGGTTCTAATTTCATCATCGTTCAATTTTTGAAGTTCAAAGAGCTGACATCGCGATATAATAGCCTTTCTGATCCTTTTTCCAGGACTCACCGTAGTGGCAGCTAGGAAGACAAATGCTCCACTTTCCACGAAGGGAAGCAAAAAGTCTTGTTGGATAACAGTAAAACGGTGAATTTCATCTATGAAAACAGCAACTCTTAACCGTTCTTGACCCAATCTGGACCGCAGTAGGTTTTCTGACTGTATAGCTTGCAGAAGGTCCCTGAGCTCAGCCACTGTGGCATCTGTAGCTGAGAGCTCCACAAACACGTAGTTTGTCTTTTCAGCTAAAAGTTTAGCTAGCGTAGTCTTCCCCACACCGGGTGGACCGTAGAGGATCATCGATGGAAGATACCCCAAGGTGATGAAGTTCGTAATGGCACCATTAGTGCTATTGATAAGATGTTTCTGGCCAATGACAGATTCAAGGCTAGTAGGCCTTATGAGTTCAGAAAGGGGCTGCCGTAGAGTCTCTTTGATGGTGGAGCTGTTGTGGGACATTTTGAAGACGAGTTAGTCAGACATCAACAGTCTCACTACAACTACTCCTACTACTACTGAGGCTAATAAATGCATAGAGCACACGTGACTTTGCAGCCAACGGAGCCATAACCATTAAGAATTATTATAGTACATATTGCGTTAGTTTCCGCGAGCGTCAGACATCATTGGGCTTGCAAATGATGACAGTAGACGTCTTTTTTTAAGCGCTTGCTTGGGATCCTCTTGCGAGACAGTGCGCGGGGATGGACTTGATACTGATCCATTGACGCCGCCCGCAGCAGAACCCATCCTCAGAAGACTAGCAGGGTTGGTGGTGAATTCCTCGATGGCCTTAAGTGGCGACGCTATATTATTGCTCGAGGAAAAAGCCATAAGTGGACTGAGAATGGTCATCAAATCGCCTGTTTGCAATGTCCTCATGGCACGGCCATGGAGGCCGCAATTAGCCATGGTTTTTGACGCCTGGCAATTATCCGTAAGATAATTGATGAAATCCTTTGGTCCCAATTTAGAGTTTCCTGCGTTGTTGCTATAGTTTTGCCAAAGATTCTCTAACGAGGCCGTTCCAACAGCACTGCGATACTGAAGCATGCGGCAGTCTACCCACTCTATCTTGAATTCTCTGTTCAAAAGCACACGACAGAAGCCATTAGCAGTTCCCATGGAGCCATCCAGATAGTAGTAGTTGATAGTAAGCTTGGAGCCTATGAATATCATACCGTTGTTCATGACCTGAAATTTCGTTCCTGAAAGAAACAATTGAAGTGTAGCCAAAGCCTGAGAGGCAATATTTGACAAAAAGAAACGAGGTGCACTAGTGACATCAAGCTCAAACATTCTCGGGCTGCTGGAATTGGACTCAAATGAAAAGCCATCTGTATTGGTGTTTGGCTGATTTGGCTTCCTTCCTGTACCAGCAGTTGTAAATCGGATTGAGCCAGAGGGGACGAAATATGCCAGCACTAGCCTCGTCCAGAACTCAATCGTACGCAAACTGTCCATTGGTTCATTCAGAACTAGATCTATAAGATCAATGAGACGCACAACTGCGGCATTACCCAAGTTACGGCGAAAAATCTTTGCATGAACTTCATTTTGAGCAGCTTGAGAGACTCCCATTTTCTGCATGGCCTGACCAGGCGGTAGGGATTGTCCTGACTTACCCTGATTAGGTTGGTTTTGAGATGCCTGACCTTGGCCTCCTGTCTGACCCTGTGCCAGCGCTGGGTTGACGGAATGGCCTTGAAGAGGTGTATGCTGAGCGGAATGAGGACGCGAGTGGTTAGGTTTATTTAAACCAGGACCCTGCAGCCCATTGCCCGGTGTCTGTCCCTGAGGTTGTGTCGATGATTGTTGCAGCGGTTGGGCCAGCGGATGAGGACGATTTTGGGTTTGAGGGGTTTGCAGAACAGCACCCTCACCTTGATTAGGAGGACCCTGGGGGCCCTGAGGTCCACGGTTTTGAAAACCCTGACGCTGAAATTGAGCCTGAGCTTGAGCCTGGGCTTGAGCTTGAGCCTGTGCCAGCATTGGCTGTTGCTGCTGCTGTTGCCCTGGCTGCATCATCCCAGGTCCCATTTTGTACTGGTTGACCATAGGTGGGCCTTGTTGCATCATATGTGGTCCACCTTCGATCAGGCCCTCTGGTTGTGGGCTATATCCGCCGAACTTAGGCTGCTGAGGATTCTGGGACTGGCCGTTTCCTTGCATGTACTGTTGCTGAGCCTGGTTAGGAGACATTTGACGACCCATATGAGGCAGACGCAGAGGACCACCAGCCATGGAAACACCTGGATTCATTTGTTGATTCATGCCCATCATCAGCAGATTGCCGTTGCCGTTCGAAACACTCATCAGACGTTGTTGTTGAGGTTGTTGCTGTTGTTGCTGCTGTTGTGGATACAGAACACCGTAGTTGGGAGACGCCTGGGGCATATTACGGCCGGAAGGATGCTGCTGGGGATGCATCATTGGCGAAGAATACTGGTTATGGAGCTGGGCCATAGAAGGGGAGGCATTCTGGAGGTTCATATTGAACGAACCGTTCGTATTGCCATTCATCGTGGAAGGCACGGTTTCTAGACGGACGAAGCGAAAGCAGGGATTTTATATAAAAAAGTTGTTTTCGAATCCAATCACTTATAAAAGAAAACACACAGTGTTGGCGATGTCGTAAGGTTAAAGAATGCCCTTAAAGCTGTTTTTCGGCGCTGCGCAAGGCACGGGGCCGGTTAATTAACACTGGAATGGGCAAGCGCACTCAGAGTTGGCGCAATATATAGCTGTTGGCCCGTAGAGCTTGGGTGGAGCTTTCAAAGATGAAGGAGGTGATTCAGGCGACTTCGTCAAGTAGCCATATATTAGCGTCCAGGGTCTTTCGGGAGTGCAGATAAACACCCTCAAGGCTCCCATACGCAAGGTCGAGGCGGGGCGCCATAAGACTGATTTGGTTGTCGCCCGCGCCAGATGCTAGGGCTCAAGACATGGGGGAAACTACAAAAGGGTTATTTTTGGCCCTTTGGGAAAGAGGTGTCAAGAAGTGGAGAGTTGGCAACTGCGTTTCTTTATATAGATAAGGCACTGATTTGTCGTCAAGGATGCTGGTGTGCCTTGGCTGCGAACATCTTAGTAGTGCGACACAATGTAGCATTGGAAGCTAGGGAAGTAGGCCTGAAGTAGAGGCAAGACGTCCAAGCAAACAAACCATCGGTGGAGATCACCAAGGGAGAAGGGAGTTGACGGTTATGTAGATCACAAGTTAAGTCAAGTCGGGGTCGGAGTTGGAGTCAGTGGGTTATTCAGACATATATGACTTCAGGAAGATCAATTCCCCTCTTGGTTTAATCACCGGTGGAGAACACCGAAGAGATTGTGGGAGCCAACCGGATGGAGTTCTGTAAGTCTTGCCGTGTAACAGTAGTCGGAGGAGTTTGCCGACCGGGTAACAAAGTAGGAAGCCTTGTAAGCATGCTGCTAACGAGCCTGACATTGTCTTTAAGCCACGAAAGATTCGCCTAACAAAAAGAGCCTGCGCCATCGTACATATGACATTGCGGCGGTGTCATTTTTTTCTTGTCTCTTTATTATGAGCAGCTAGACCAGGCTGGGCTATCCCTGGCGCATACACCGAACTGGACCCCTTGACCTAAGCTTCATTTTTCATGTTAATCAGATGCAACTTTAGTCTGGTCAGCTGTTGGAGCATGATGGCGGAGAAACGTAGCAACAGAAAATTTTGTGGCTTCTCTTGGTCTCTTGGATTCTAAGAAACTGGGCGATATTGCGGTAGGCGGTGCTCGTCGAGCGTTGCAAAGTGTAATACGTCATTCACATCACTCATTCAAGCCAAGAACCGAGCTTTCTGGTTTACAAACCCACCTGATTAATGCTGGATGGTTCAAGTTTGGCCTTCTTGGTTTCAATGTCGTCTGTTTCAGGTCCAAATCATCCTCATCCTTGTCTCGCGTCTTCACCGCTCTTCTCTTAAGAAGCTTGTTCAATGTATCTCTCTTTTCTTCTTCAAGCTGCTTGACCTTGTAATCTGCTCTACGCCTGGCGTTCTCGGCTTTCCTCACGGCAATCTCTTCGGCAGTCTCCTCCTTCTTTTGGGTCTTACGGTTAAGCGCAAGAAGCTGTTCATCCATCTCTTGGAACATTGTGTCATCAGACTTTTTACCATTCTCCTCTTCCGCCAAACGGGCTCTTTGTCTCTCTGTGAGCTTCAGAACATCCGGAGTAGCGTCTGGTGCATAGTCGAATTCTTCTTCGTATGGTGATTCAGAAACGTCTTCTCTTGCTGAGCCAGCACTTCTTCTTGGTATACGAAGCTTCACAGAAACCTTCTTCTTTGGTGGCTCATCCAAGTATTCATCCAGGGCCTCTTCTTCCTCCTCTTCTTCTTCCTCGTCGTCCACGTCGTCTTCCTCATACATGGTCAACTGCCTCTTACGAGTCTCCCGGGAACCATTATCACCTGAGACGACTCCACCGGCTGCACCTCTAGTCCTGCGTTCTTTAGCGTGAACCTTGGGAGTGTACCAGTCGTTTTGGAGTTCCTCCATCTCGTTGGAGTTTGATTCTTCATCCTCCTCGTCGCCTAGGCCAATGTCGTCAGAAACCTGGACATCGCTTAATTCTTCTGATCTGTCACCAATATCAGAAAGTTCAATAGAATCTTCATCGTCGCTCATGGCGATTTTAGGAGGCATGATTGGCTATAATCAATGTGGTCTGTCGTGAATCAATCGAGTGTGTTGGACCTGGTGATAACTTGCATCCGTACACCCATATGTAAGACATTTAGTAGTATCTACACTTACACTAATATCTGGTTTGTAATATGATATGCTAATTTATTGACCTTTAATACACCTGTCCACTCATAAAAAGACCCTTGATTCCACGAATTTCTCCTTTAGCCTCCTGGGCCAAGTTCTTCTCCCTAGACTTCCCGTCTGGTTGCAAAACGTCCCTGAAAAACATATCTCTATGGCTAAAGAAAGACTGGTCTGTTTTCTGTTGAAACTGCTTAACCGATGACTCCACCAGGCGATAGCTGGGGATCTCGCTGATCAGGTAACTCGTACATTGGCGTAAACCAGCTCCCAACACACCAAGCTTCTGGAAAAGCTTCTCCTGGCCCAAAGTGCGGATGTTATTAATCTCTGTATCATCTGAAGCTTGCGAGGACTCTGTTTGACAGACAGCCTCGGCGTAAAGCTTCTTCGTTCCTGGCTTATGGAGTGCCACTATAGGAATGTGCTCGACTCTTCCGATTGCATTAAGATATAAGTCACGTAGCTTGGTTCTGGTTAATTCAAGGATCTCAAGTCTTCTGAAAACACGAGTCTCCAATAACGGTTTGATGCCGAATATTCCGACAAGGTAGGCTAGAATCAAAACGACTGCCGATCCATTCGTGAGTCTGAAAAGATACAGCACGAGCCGTGATTTTCTGCGTGCTGCTACTCCAGCGAGTCCTGCTGCATCAAAAGCAGCTTCAGGAATAGTAACAATCGGAATCGACATGGCAACTTTGGCTTGTTGGTGTAATTTTCCGATGGTTTAGACTATGGAGTATAGTGTGGGGATACTGCTTGGGGACCTCGGTGGAAACGGTGCACGGGTGCGGTGATGCTGCCTACCTACTTACTTATGCTAGTATGGAAGATGTCGAAGATCACTAATGTCATCTCTAAATGCCTTGATTATGATTGCTAAAGGTTGAAGTCACGCAGAAGTTTAACTTTTTTCGAGAATGACTGCTCTAGGTTAAAAGCGTCAAAAGAAAAGGTATCCCTCTTGCACTGAGACAAGATAGCCAGTGCAGATATGTGTGAAACACCGTATGACAGAAGTTAACGCCCTGATTGACTTCCTATTCATCTCGCCCATTATTTATTAACTGCAGAAGCGCTTTCTTTCTCTACACTACCAAGTTCTTTATTGTATTCTTAATTATTTATGACTAAATGACGAGACGCGATGCTCGTAGGTAACGACAACCAACGGCAGACAGCAGAAGAGAACCAGGACATTCAGTCGGCATCATCGATTCAAGAGGCCCCCAACCCCTACCAATGTATACCTTCTTGCAGTCTTGATCCATCTCCCACTACCCAACCACCGGCAGCGCACTCAGGCTTTCCCAAGCTTCGAAAGCTTAAACATGCTGCTTTGGTCCAGCAAAGCAGACGAAATGGCCTTTTTGGCAGCTTTCTTGGCTTCCCTCTTCTCGTTGTTCTTCAGACGCTTCCCCTTGCCAATAACCTTGCGGGCCTTGGTGCCCTTTTCCTTCTCGGTGCCCTCATCAGACTTCGAGCTCCCCAACTCGTTATCCGATTTAAGCGCCAAGAGCTTGACTTTCGATGGCTTCGGCAGCTGCTCTGGTGTTGTCTCAGTGGTACTGGACTCCTGAGGTTTGTCCATATCACTATTGTCACTCTCCAACATGGAGTCGTCTTTGTCATCCTCCTTCTTCTCCATCTCATCGTCATCATCCTTCTTGTTGTCACCGTCGTCATCCTTCTCCTCGACGTCACCCCCTTCAGCATCTTGCTGCTCGTCGGCGGCCTTCGATGGTGCCTCGGCGCATTCCTTATCGTCGTCGATGCTGATAGTCTTGTCTGGGACCTGCTCAGGGCAGACCTCGGGTACCTCAACAGGCACCTGTACTTCCAACGACTCGTTGTCGTTAGCAAGGCGCTCGGCCTTAATATTCTTCACCTTCTCTCTGATGTTCTCTTTCCATTTGGTGACGAACTCACACCAGCGGGTCTTCTCCTCGAACTCTTCCCTCACCTTGTGCCAGTAAATCTGTTGAGCGATGTCTCTGGCTCTGGGATCCTCCTGGCCGTAATGCTGTTGGTGGGCGAAGTACTGGAACTCGCCGGGCGCCCACTTAAGCAAGATACGCCTGTAGTCGTGGCTGATGAGGTCTCCGTTAGGGAGCCACATAGTCTTTCTGACGTCGGCCTCGAGAACGCAGTCTGGACCGTACCAGTAGGGGTCCAATTCGAATGTCATTGTCTAAATAACTGTTCTGAAAAGAGTCTTTTTACTTCTTGTTCTTGAAGTGAAGTAAGTTTAAAACGAAGTGTTTAAAATGGTAGGCAAATTAGGTATTGCCTGGTTTGCTTGATAGAACGTTTGAGAACTTGATGAAAGAGTCTTTAATGAAATTCGGTGTAATTGAGCTTTATCTAATGAAATTCCAGTAAATAAAACTTGAAGAGAATAAAAAAAGTGGAAAAGACAGTAAGTGGGTGGTAAAGTAATTTGAGAATTCAGCTTTATACCCGTTGACACAAATAGAGCAGGAAAACAGCACAGCGTACGCAGCATTACTTTCCCCCAATGGACAAGTATGAATGTAAAGGGAAATCATAAAGAAAGGACAACAAATTCAAATGAAATGTTAAACATTTACGGCAGTTGCAAGTAGGTCAATCGGTATCCAACGCTGTCGCCAGAAATGTCCCAATTCAATCAAAGCCCGGGTATTCTTAGAGAAGAAAAAAACCAAGCGTAATAGACGGCAAGTAATCCACTTATGTAACTATCAAAAAGGTATTCAGAGGGCCTCTTTTCTATGTGGCCGCTGGTACTCATACTTCATGAACTAAGTGCAACGGTCAACACGTGCATTGAAACGTTTACTTGACGTTATGGAAACCGTTTCAAAAAAGGCGCCAGAAAAACTAGAATCTCTAGGAGTCCAGTTGTCAAATTTATGACCTGTTCTAACTCCTGTTTTCCTTCCCTTTTCATCTCTCATTAGCTATGTACAAGTTAATCTATAAGGTCGCCTACTGTGGGCGTGAAGTTTTTACGTCTAGAATCATCCCGTTTCTTACGGCCCTGACCTTGAGTCCTCTCCACTAAATGTTTCTGTTCTCTTTGTCTCTGGGCTATCAAACTCTTCACTTTGACAACCGTAGAACCTTTCGAGGCCTGATCCATTTCTGCTGCCTTCTTTTCACGGATCTTTGCCTTTCGCTTTTCCGCTCGACCTTCTAGTTCTTGAAACTCCTCTTCTGTGGGTGTCCATTTAGACTTGAGGATTCTTCGGATGTTCTCTGGGTTGATCAGAAAGAAATTAGCAATTTCAACTGTCTTGAGCGATGGCATACGTTGCTTAAGATCACGAATATCCAAGATCTGCTGACGGGTAAGCTTTCGAGTCGGATTCCAAGATCCATACCGTTTCTTCAACGACTGATCCCTTTTGACCCACAGAGGGGCGTTCTTAGCGTATTCTCTATCTGAGTCCTTGATTTTTCTTTCGAAAGCCTTCTCTTCAGGCGAAGGTTTTGAGTACATTCGAAGCGGCTGCCATAGACTCACATTTGGCCTTGGCACCAACAGGCGGCTGCATAGTCGGCACCACATCTCAGTATGGGTCAGTAGGTGTGGAGTCTTCAGAAGAGCTCTGATATAGTAGTATGTAGTCTGCGATGCGACGCAAGGGCTGTACTAAGGGAGCGACTAATAAATGTGGGATTCCCTAAACTGGTGTTCTCCATTGTTTAGAAATGACAAAACACGGTATTTCCAAAACTTCTCTCTTTATTAGCGTATTTCATTAGACGTGACTTCGCCATTGTTTCATATCTGTCACGGGTTTGTTATTCTTAAGTACTATGTTTTGCTTCTTTCGCAACCTTCACTGTTTCTGGCACCAATTCTGCGATAGCCGCTCCTCGTCTAAATTTCCCCCTCGCTACAAACCGAGTGTTTGGGATAAACAAGAGGAAAAAATATAAAGTAATACCAAAATTTGTACGAATTTCCTCATTAATACAGGCTAAACCCTTCTTTAGAAGCAAATCGATTCAAATCACGCCCTTTTCTGGCCTAATAATTGGTGCCTGAGACCACATTCCTGTACGCAACGTACAACCAGCCGAGATTCCCTTTATTCCCCGATATCAAAACTATCGATAACACAACGTTTCATCTCCTTCTAGCGAGAATTACTTGAGTCTGTTTTCAACTTCAGATGAACTTTCTTAAGAAGTTTATAGGAGCTACTCCTATAGATGAGGTGGCGCTGATACCATCAGGTAAATTGTTCCTTACCAGAGCGCCTTTCCTGCCCAAGGGAGCCCTAGAATGCTTATACAACGACGCTCTTATTAAGATAAAAAGACAACCAAAGAACATTATTATCAGATTTCAGTCATTAGGGCTTACCAGGAAGGTGAGCTCAATTTGGAGTCCGCAGATGACGAGGATGATGGCGGAGAGTCAGACGACAGTAATGAAGACAGCGGTAACAATGACGAGAAGGTGTTTTCGATTGACCCAGAGCTCAAATTCAGGCTGTACACGAGAAGCGATGGTGTGCAAGCTATTTCATGGAAAGACTTGAACGGAGACCTTGGTGATCGCTTTGAATTTGTCGTAGACGAAGACATCAAGTACACTGAGGTTGATAACTTTACTTTTAGCTTGTACAAGTGTTTGTACGAGCACAGATACCAGAAGTCTGCAGACGACATCACTGACATTAGCCAACTCTCCGAGTTTGTCTATGATCCAAATACAGATGACGAAGCAGCAGAGATGGACAAGTTTTCTCGTTTTGCAATGTCATGCGCATCTTCTCAGGATCTACGGTGATTGAAGGAAGAGTTTGGGCTGGTTTCGTCGCTCAGCTCTAATCTAGCATCATACGGGCTCTTCACTTTTGTGCTGTCGCATGTTTATTTGGGTGTCGAAGTAATTTTGTGGTTACTTCGAGTATTTAATCTGGTCACCTCATTGTGCTATTTAATTGTACTACTTGCTTCCTGGGTTTGAGTTCTTTTTGGAAAGAAGAATTTCCAAAGACTCGAATTACACGCTTCGTCCTTGAGACCAGCAAGGTCCGAGTGTGTTTGGCTCCAGCGATGGAAGCATCTCGCTATCATTAAAGTTAGCTGTAGCCATTCAATAGCTGTTATTAATTAGGATTTTTAAGAATTAGCTGGATCTTAAGCATGGTATGTTATTAGCACCAAGTAATTCCTTGTGAGACGATTACATTGATGGCCATCTGCTTGTTCGCCTCCAAAATTAGCTCCTGATTCTATCGCCTAAAAGTAAATGCTTTCTTGAGTTCGTCCCAGAATATGATTCTTACTGCATTTGCTCTGTGGAATGGCGTAGGCTTATAGTTTTCAAGAAATAGCTTCTTTCCATGTTCTAGAGGCCGTTCTTCCAACGGTATTCTGTTGATACGAGCATGTATTCTTCTAACCCACGCATGGAATGCAGGTGAACTCATTAGCTTCCTATAGAGGAGCTCCTCTAACGACATGGGCGCCATCTTGGGGATGAATTAGAGTAAGGATCAGTGCCAGAAGTAGTGGGAAGGCGTATGTATGACACCAGTACACCACGATGAATACTATATCGCGAGTGTTGAAAGTGTAAGACAACTCAACAACGGCAGGCTCGATAGTTCAGGATGATCAGTGACAACGAATTGAACACGGTTGTGTTGACCTTTGGATTTGTATCGGTAGCGCTTGTGCTCGTTTACCACGCCATCTCCACAAACACGAAACACCACCAGGAGTAAGTTACACGTGTATAGCATGAATGAACAGCATATGGAGATATACGTAGCGAAGAGACGGAGGGGAAGACCATGAAGGGAAAGAAGAAAAACGGAGGCCCCGTTTGTGTTGTTCCAAGAAACTGAGATCAACAAATGGTATCAGACCTTTCCTTGGATGGGTCAGTTCAGCGATGGACTCTGGTGGTCTAAACGCGGTCGCAGTTAAGAGAGCGAGGCATAATGGAAAAGAAAAGTAAAAAGGAACATTTGAGGACTCCTTCCAAGGCTAGGGCCCGGGTAAGCCCGGTATAGCGTCGAAGACTGGACGATTATACGATAACGCTAGTGAAGGAGAAGGCTCGCTTGAACATTGATCGAGGCGCCAGTGGACGGCCAAGAGCTTTCAAGCTACGAAGGTATTTTTCAGAAGACGATTTAACCGGGCTCAAAGGCACCCGTTGAGCACCTTATTTAGCCTTTGATCGTCACTGAAAGTTCTCCAGGAGTCGGTTATCCCTGGTCCACCTTTACGACATCCACATACTATCTCACACCACTTTCGTAACCGACGAACTTCAGCCAAGCAGATGTATGGCCGAGTACGGTGACAGGTCAGTCCACGGTGCAGCAAACAATAAGAAGAATGAAATGAACGGCTGGCAAGAAACATCGAATGATTTGTAGTCGTGTTGCGACTGGGAATGCGGCTAGCAGGTTTGTTGTTAGTGAGGCTACATCTGCAAGTCAAAAAGTATCAAAGGACAGGAAAAAAAACAACCAAGATGCTTAGCTCATTCCAAAGACCAGTATGTCCAACAGGGTCTCCGCATGGATCGCCTCCTCACGAAGAAGCAACCCCGTTTAGGGTTGGATCGGCTCCCAGGACGATCTGCAAAAATATGATTGGTAGACAGATGGTCAGGCATGGAGCGAGGCTCGAGCTAAAATTGAGTGTCAACGGCGCCGATCCTCGAGTACCCCTCGAGTTAGGGCGATCTGCGCTGGTTAGCTTTGTAGGCCTGTGGGTCTGTTTCACCTGCCGCTTGTCGTCATTTGCAGCCACAGAGTGTAGGAGACGTAAATCAGGGAGGTGAAAATAAGAGAAGAGGTTACAGGAGTTCAGGGGGCCTCACCCCACCAGCACACCTTCATGGTCAGGCCAGTTTTTCTGTGGGGACTCAGGGAGCTCGGGGTAGGCAGGCTTTGCACTACGTCATGGACCCTGGTCGTTCCCCCAGGCAGGTGTCAAACCGGTAAGGTGGCGCGCGGCAGAGCCGGCAACGCAAGGCCCCTCCAGGACCAAGCATTTGGAGCCAGGAGGACGGCAAGCACGCATCACAAAGGAACACAGTGAAAAGACAAAACAGCACAACCCACGAAAACAACAACAAATTGAAATTAACTTTATAAAAACAAAGGAGGTTTCCCAAGTTACTTTGGCGGGGTCGCCCCCCTCTCATCGCTTCACCAGCATTCCCATTACAAAGAAACAAAAAAAATAAAAAAGGCTAACGACTCCAGATAAGCCCCATCGTTTCGGCCTGCCACACTAGAGTCAATGTCCATGCCCGCGCCATCACACATCTGGCAGCAACACAAGGGGAATTGGCGCTGTATGTGATAAAAAACTTTTAACTTTACGCTGCTGCTGCTGCTGTCGTAGACGCCTCATCTGCTCTCACCTTTCATGCCACAATAAAGCCAAAAAGTCTCTCTGTAATCCACAATCCACAATCCTTCTACTTTGGCTTGGCCCGCAAGCTGGTGCAGTCCCCCACTGTCACGGTCAGATCCCCTCAGGCTTCGCTGCTGCCTATCTTGTTGCGAGTGCGAACGGTCACTCCAGGAGCCCCTAGCTCCAATTCAGTTCAATGTTCAATGTCCAATGTCCAATGCAACAATGGAACAAAACAGAGATGGTTTTTTACCCCAGCTGCTCATCTGCCGAGCCCAACGGTTCCTGTTCGAGAATGATTGTCAATGTACCTGTCCTGCCCATTTCCTAAGGTTTCATCCTAATTTGGCGGGTCTTGGCCCCCTGTGATTTTTCGTTTTGTTGGTCTACGGTGTGGTTTCCCTGACTTTGGTAAATTGGCCTCTCTAGTTACCTTGGCGGTTGGCGCCGTGACCATGTCTCTAAAACCCGTCTGCTTTTTTACCTATTTCAATTTTGTGTACGTTTTTTGTTGCCTGAGTCAGGCTCCGCAGTAGACCGTTGGCCTGCCGCGGAATTCACCTGTGGCTGCCGACTAAACGCTCCTCCACGCACTGCCTGCGTCGCCAGAGCCCCAGCATCGGCCGTGCATGGGTCCTGTCTGGTCCTTATAAACACCCTCCCCTCCGTGGGCCGGAATCCGGGGTTGTTTTTTCTTTCTGTTTCCTGTTGTGTTTTTTTCATTTTTCATTCCTTAACGTTTAAAAGAAACTCCATTTCTCCAAGGCTGCGAATTCTCTGAAACTGGCTTTCTCATGGATTTCGATTGCAGAGCCCGGTGCTCCATCCCTCCGCTAGATGAGATCGTGGCCCCCTTTTCCACTACTGCTAACTGCGGGCCTTACTCCAGAGCCAACTTCGTCGCCTACCTTGCATCATCACATTGCACTGAAAATTTGGAATTTATCGTCGAGCTCGACCGCTTCATCGTTGCCCTAGCTGACCTTAGTAGAGCCAATTTGACTGCCGCTGGCGATGCAGAAAAGAAGATCGCTCAACAAGACTCCCTCACTCATCAGTGGCTGGTACTATACAAGGTTTTCATCGCAAAGGACCTGATTAAAGAAGTCAATATCCCATGGACTCTCCGTCTGACGTTCTTGGAGTCAAACCTACCCCCGCTTTCCGACCTCAGACATACCCGTAGCGTGGTTTACGAGCTTTTGCTCGATAGCTACAACGAATTCATCTTATACACTCGCGAGTCAACTAATGACTCGACTACTCTCCGGCGTCGCCTGGAAATAGTCCCTCCGGACCAGCCACTGCCGCTGTGGTCTCAAACGTCCTGCTACTCCTCCGTCACTCACGACGTTGCCCCATGCCCTCCATACTGTCATTCTACTCCCGCTGCAGATAGAGAGAAGTCCAGTGCCGCGTGCTTGAAGGATCAATGGGAGAAAGCATTGCTTGATTTTGAGCTTGGCAAATCTGATAATCACGAAACGACTCATACCGAACAGCCTAGCTCCGATTCAAACTCAAACTACGGCCTGTCCCGTAGCCGCAACGGCTCCGACGGCACTATGAGTTCAGTGAGGACATCATCACGCGGTTCCTCTATTGGATCCATGGTTGATGGCATCAAGGGCTACTCAAATTTAAAGAAGGCAGTCAAAAAATTCAAACACCGTCGCTCCCTGGCAGAGGGTGTTGACCTCCAATGATTAATTACTTGATAGACGAATAGACATGAATCACGACTCGCTACAAAGTCGCTTTTTTTTTTTTTTTTTTTTTTTTTTTTTTTAATCTCCGAACGGCTCTTTTGGGCCGATTCTACCCATCGTACAGCCGGCAAAGCTATGACATCTTTCTTCTGATGATGTCATGTAGTTCCACCGTTTCCGTTAGTCAACCCCTCTTGTTGCTAAGCTACATTTTGCTCTCTTAAAGACCTTTTTTTACCTATGTAGAAGTGAATGATTTTAGCTCCGCTTTTCGACCTTTATCCTCTCCTTTAATAGAAGAAGCTCCTCGTCGGAATTGCGGTTTCCCTTTTCAATAATGAGATTTTTGAGAAGCCTGTTCTCCATCTCGAGTTCGCTCACCTTGACCTCAAATTTCCTGATATGATCATCTAACAGCAGAATCTTAGCCTCCATTTCTTTCTCCTTCATCTTCTTCTTGATTCTGAAACGAGCACTAGCAGCAGTATTTCTTTTTCTCTTATCCAAGTCATTAGTTCTGTCCATACCAAAATCACCGGTACTCAGCACACTGGGTGTGGCAAGAGCGGAGTTACTCCGAGAGCTCTCGGAGCTGAAAGCAGAGTTGACGGAACCTGGTGTGTCAACTGCGTTAGTCTGGTAGGCCAAAGTAGGAGCAATAGCGAATGTACTGGGATAGTCTATCCCGGATTGATTACGAGAATGTTGGTTTTGGAATGGGTCAGCATGTTCTTCAGTAAGGTTTCCCTGGTGCTGAGCGATCAATGCAGATAGCAAGTCGATTTGATACAGACTAAGACCAGCTTGCTCAAGGGAAGTTTTAGCTCCAGGTGGGACAGGGAACTTCGGAAGATTAGAAAGATCCCTCTGCGGTTCACTTAGAAGACTGTTGTTTTGAACATTCTCTTCGACATGAGTCTCGTTTGAAGGCTCAGGGTGCGCCTGGCTCGGAAGTGTCGGAGTCAGGGATTCGTTCGAGTTCTGGTTGTAATGATGAAGACGGTTAAGTTTAGCTAGTTTCGTCCGCTCGTTGACGCTAAGACCTTTGGGACCGTTGGAGTCCTTGTCTTTGAAGCTTTTCCTGTGTTGCCTGGCAGACTGGCTAAACCACGCGTCGTTACTATTACTGTTGTTGTTATTGTTTAAAGACGCCAGGTTCGAGCCAAGCTCGTGGTGGAATGGCGTATCGTCGTGGTCGTTCAGTTCGTCTTCGTGTTTAGGTTTCTCTTCGTCTGGAAACACGAACGAGTCGTCCGCAAAAGCTGCTAGGTCAAGCAGCAACTGGCTATCCACGTCAAGATTTGGCGTGTCTTCAGCAGCAGTATTAATGAAGTTGTCGATGTATACCAACTGGTCTATCAAGGCGTTGGATGTTTCTGGCATTAGGCTTGCTGAAATTACTGGGTGGACTGTTTGAGTGCTCTGCGAGATTGCATTTCCAGGCCGAGAAATCGAGGGGTTGAGAAGATTTCTTGGAGGGGACGATATGAAAGATCGGTAAAGAAGAAGAAGCGGTGATTTGGTCGTTTCCTTATAACTGGTCCACTGGCGATGCCTAATTTAGCAGTGTATTACTGTGGATAGGTCGCTTAACATCCACAGTTATGACTTACGCAAAAACGTGATACAAGTTGCGCTAGGGATAGGCTGTTTGTGAGCGCTGCAGGGGAGGCTACTGATTAGAATTCACTAAATGGGGCATATAATCCGACCCACTCGCGAGCATAATCCCTCAGCCCTGCGACAAGATGACTCTCCCAGTACTGCTTAACTATACAAAAATTATGTCATGTCACGTGCCTTGTGCTGGTACTCTCACTGCGCCTAAATAAATGTAAGTGCTTTTGAGTAAGTGGGTGCGCCATGTCATGTGCTCATAAGGGCCACGAGGTCAAAAGGCACTCAAGCAGAGGGTTCTTCTGATGTTTGGGGTACAGCTTTTGACGCGGGGTCTAGGTTTGTTGTTAGCCTAGTGCTTGATATGTTTTGCAACCGTAGCTACGCTCATCTTCAGGCAGATAAGCCTGTCAGAGATAGGCGAGGGAGGCCGCAGAGCTTGTAAGCTTAGCTAGGACTGATAAAAATATTCTGATCAGTTGAGCAATTATATATAATTTTATTTGCCTATGGTCCTCCTTTGGCGTCCTTGAATAATAACTGCTTGATCTAGTCGTATCCAATCGCTAAGATCTCTTTGGTGGGGTTGCACACGGACTTTCCGGATAAGAAGGCTGTTGATAGCTCAAACAAAGGAGATGATATCGTAATGAAGAGTGCCACTGAGGGGCAAACTATATGAAGAAGCAAGCAGATCGTTCTGTGGCTCCATTGTAAGATATTTACCATTGGAAGGTGTTAGAAGCGACAGTAAACCGAAAATTATAGGCAGATATCAAAGAGGCCCACAATGGTATCTGAATTATGAAGGCAATTCAATAAGTAATTGAATTCTAGACCCTGAACGTCATTCCCCTATAGATGTATATCCACTAATTGTATTACGGTAGGCTATGGTGCCCCTGAGACCGTCCGAAGCTTCTAACCCTAGTTCTGGAACCATCATACTGAACTTTGTTGCTTTTCTTCATGTGATGTTTAACCTTCATTAGGTCACTAGAAAGTGGCAGTAAGCTTTTTAAGTTTGAATATCGACCCTCTAAGTAACTGCATGGAATCTATTGATCATAGCTGATGCTAAGTAGGCTGTGGGGGCAAACTTGACAATGACATGACAACGAACACAGAAACATCCTTCAAAAGTTTGTTAGGCATTTCTTGGGTGCAAGAAGAAGCTTGGTGTCTTTTGCTCCATGTTCGGGTCTAGAAAGAGTATATAATCTAAGTATGAGTAAGGGTTTTCAAGGAGAGCACAGGCCTGGATATTTCTCACTTTAGGACCTTGTCCGCTTTCCATCCTTACCTACTTCTCGATATCCTATATGTTTCCATAAACGGTATCCCGCCCGTAGTGGCTGGCGAACATTAAAGCTGTTGCGCACATTACAGTAGTAGAGCACAGTAGGAAGAGCACATCAACAACGGTATAATGGCAAGAAATAGCCGCTTATACGGCCAAAACTATCAACTGGAGACATTTCAGTAACCCCAGAAAATATCAAAATGCCTTTTGTCAGCTGTTGTAACACCGCTATCAATTGCCTTTAACATGAGATTCACTTCGGTTTTGGAGGCCCGCCAGCTCCCCACCAAACCACCCCACCCATCTCTACCCTACAGTTTAGCCGTAACTTTCCATATTCCAAAAACAGTATCCCGTCCACAGTACGCTTCAAACAGCTAACTCCGTGACATTTAACATCCGACTTTTTCTTAACTTTCCGTATGCTTCCCAGCATCCCGTGTTCACCCGCTTGTGTCTACCTCGGTTGGTTCGGGTAATCCAGGAATGCTAGCGGGAAAGAAAAAATCCTCTTCACACTCTCGCACCTACAAGCCCGCGGTTGCGCTATCGCTGGCCTATCTCTTGCACACAAACTAGCGAGGTGTGCGGCTACATTAATATTTCACAGTGGGTTGAAAAAAATTTGTGTGAAAATTTCTAGCTATACAAGAAGTGAAAAACTTAACTGAGGTCCCCGTTGACCCAGTGGCCCATTTTTTAGATAATCCTTTATATCCTTTGTAAAATTTTTTATAGAAGGTCTCGAGACCAGCTCTAATCCTTCTTGGCCTTGGATCTGAGCTTCAAAGGCGACTGGTTGACGGCCTTCAATCTGTACTCAGCAAATGATCTGAAGGAGTTACCGTTAGTTGGCTGCCACTTCTTTGGTGGAGCAGCGGCACGAGCAACGTTGCTGAACTGAGTGACAGATTCCTTCTTGAAAGCAGCGGCGGCAGTGGTAGAAAATGCTCTAATCATGGGTATCAGAAGTTATAGGCGGTAGAGAAGAAAGAAAAAAAAAAAGTAGTAGCCGGATGCAGCCGCTGATTTATATATGATGAGGAGTGTCGCGGCGGCACGTTGGCTGTAGGGTGGGTTCGGATATTCCTGTGCGCTTTCGCTCGGCTTATAGAGATGGTTTCTAAGCAGAGGGGTGGTGCCACCGCGGAGAAGCAACAAAGGCCAAAGACACAAAAAAAAAAAAAAAAAAAAAAAAAAAAAAAAAAAGGGAAAAAAGTGGGAAAACTCGGCGATTCGGTTCTTATTTCTGCCTTGATGTGGCGCTCCCCAGAACCTCAATCTTATCAGTGCCTTTGTTTGGTAATTCTTTCTACGGCTAGTCGACCTTCCGGTTGTTTCCAAAACCCAGTAGCGCTTCTTTCCCTGCTTTTTCTCACTACATAGTGCGTATTTTTCAAAGTCTTCTCTGAGCCTTTTTCAGGGCACTCGCGGGTTTACTTCCTCTTTTTTCCTCCCTCCAGGCCCCTCAGTTGCTCTGTGCCCTGAGTCTGCCTGGCGTGATTCCTCACCAAAACGCCACAATTTGCACCCACATGTAACTCACTCGACTACGTAGCACCACCAAAAAAGCACCTGCTCTCCTGACCGCATGACAGCTGCAAACTATGCTCATTGAGCTTGTGATTGTGTGATGTTTGGAAGGCTCTTTGTCAGCCGATTTCTCTTCCTAACCGCCATGTCGTCATAGAGTTTTCTTGTTTCTGAGTCTCTCCTCGGGTCCGCTGGTGCGAAAAATGCCTGTCACATCGCTAGCCAATTCAATGCTTTCCCTGCACTGAAGCCGCTGATAAGACTGCCAGTGTTTACCGCGCCAGGCAATAGATTAGCCACAGGGGAGGTGGAGAATGGGAAAGGGGCGGCTAACTAAGGTTAGGAGATTGGAATGCTAGGGCAGAGGGGAATACATTGGTTACGTTGGCCACGAGGTGAGGCGGAGAACGTTATGTTTTGCGGTTGCGATTTGCGTTTGACGTTGGGCGGTGGTTTTGTTGGTTTTGTTGGTTTTTTCTGATTTTTTGCGTTTTTTTTCCTTCGTACGTTCTTTGTTTGCCGGCTTGGCTGCGAAAAACCGAACGCTAGGAACTTTTGAGGCTGGTGGAGTGTGGGATTAGTGAGCGAGCAAAATATGAGACAAACGGGGAAGTAAGCGAGACTTCGGAAGGGAGGAGCCGTTGGGGACCGGTTACTCATTTATGGGTTGTTGGAAAGGGCATTTCTTGGTGATGCCTTTATTTTTGGTACAATTTTCTCTTTTATTCTTTTTCGGTTTTACTTCATTTTATCTTCTTGTTTCTCGTTCTCTTCATCCTCAGTCTTAAAGTGCTGTTCATTGGTGTACTACGAAGGTCCTCAAAATATCAAGGCGATGTGGAAAATAAGGTTTTCGAAGCCTCTGTAACATGTACATAGATACCAGTGTAATGCTAATAGACTATCGAAGGCGGTTTGAACAGGACATTTGGATTGAAGTTACAGTGCCTACGTACAAGCGTTACCTAGGTTTCGTGAAGCCCCTAGTATGTACTTGGGGCTGAAGCCCTCTTTGCCGCTCATCAACTTTCACTAAATGGCTAGAGTATTTTGCCCCACAGGGTAGCACTCCAGCGTCGAATTGATTCTCAAGTGTCACCCACGAGAGCAGACACACCGACAGAGGATACTTCTGGTAAAGCAAGATCTAATAGAACTACTTTCCAGATTCTGTCCCATTCGAAGGTTTCTGGCCCACGAACTGAAACTGCAACGCCTTTCCCAAGTCCTCCACGAATCGTGGCGGCTCAATATCTACGATTTGGAAATTGCCAAAGTCACATTCATTTCTCACGAAACGGTCTTATCGAAACTTTAGCTTGTTCATTGGCCCAGCTCAGTCGTCGCCGCATGGGCATTTGCATCAACGACTCACCGCGGGCAGACTCCGAGACCATCTGTCTCAGCAAGATACGCACACAAAAAGCACCACGACCTCATGTAAGAGGAGAGATTGGGAGAAGTCAACTTGTAAGCATTTACCATACGGATCAATGGACTTTCAAAACGTTTGACTCTTTTCTCTTTGAAAAGACTTCCTTTTTTCCGCTATTTCCATCGACTACATCGCCGCACTGGCTGCGCAAGAACAGTCAGACCCGTCAGAGCCGCAAACCGATACCGGCGAGGAACTATACGATATAGAGCTCTAGTAAAATAGTATCCACTGTGATATATTCGATAAAAATACGAACGCTAACCTACAGGAGCAACGTTATTATTTTCAAACAACCCAATTGGCTCTGCCCCCTTATCACCCCTTGGATTAATTGTCTTGGTCGATTCGGAGCTCATGGGCGCGCCGAGCTCGTCGGACTTCAATCTCCTAGACGCCGTACAGGTCGAACCAATGCTTACCCTCGGACTATTATCCAAGTATAAAGCAGGGAGGCTGCGTCACTGAAGAACAAGCATTGAAGTTTTTGCCAACCGTTTTATTTATTTTATTTTTGGACTTCATTGATTCAAGGTAATTTAGCCTTGAGTGTTCTTTTCCAGAAATCGACCCACCAGCACTTCGGCTTTTTGCTCCGTGCTCTCTGCAGTTCCCTGGCAACGTTATCTTTAATCTATCGCTACTTCCCGTTTATCTAAACTACTACTTCTGTTCTTTCCAATGGCTTCGCTTGCTACGTCCACCTCGGACCGTGCCAAGATCAACCAGATGCGGAGGGATTCCACTGTGTTGGGTCCAATGAACAAGATTCTTGTTGCCAACAGAGGTGAGATTCCCATCAGAATCTTTAGAACCGCCCACGAGTTGTCAATGCAGACAGTGGCCATCTATGCCCATGAAGATAGATTGTCCATGCATAGATTGAAAGCTGATGAATCCTATGTCATTGGTAAGAAGGGCCAGTTCTCTCCTGTTCAGGCTTACTTGCAAATCGATGAGATCATCAGTATTGCCAAGAAGCACAATGTGAATATGATCCACCCAGGATATGGTTTTCTTTCTGAAAATTCAACTTTCGCCCGTAAGGTTGAGGAAGCTGGAATTGCATGGATTGGTCCCTCCTATAATACCATTGACTCTGTTGGTGACAAGGTTTCTGCCAGAACTCTCGCTTTGAAAAACGATGTCCCCGTTGTGCCCGGTACTCCTGGCCCTATCGACTCCACCGACGAAGCTAAAGAATTTGTTGAGAAATATGGCTTCCCAGTTATCATCAAAGCTGCTTTTGGTGGTGGTGGCCGTGGTATGAGAGTCGTCAGGGAGGGCGACTCTATTGAAGATGCTTTCAACAGAGCCAAGTCTGAGGCATTGACAGCCTTTGGTAATGGAACATGCTTCATTGAGAGATTTTTGGATAAACCAAAGCATATTGAAGTTCAATTGCTTGCTGACAACTACGGCAATGTCATTCACTTGTTCGAGAGAGATTGTTCTGTTCAAAGAAGACATCAGAAGGTGGTTGAGATTGCTCCGGCTAAGAATTTGCCAAAATCTGTGAGAGATGCCATTTTAACTGATGCTGTTAAGTTGGCTAAATCAGCGAATTACAGAAACGCCGGAACCGCTGAGTTCTTAGTGGATGAACAAAACAGACACTATTTTATTGAGATCAATCCAAGAATTCAGGTCGAGCATACCATCACCGAAGAAATCACAGGTGTTGATATAGTAGCAGCTCAAATTCAGATTGCTGCAGGTGCTTCTTTGCAACAGTTGGGCTTGCTCCAGGATAAGATTACTACCCGTGGATTCGCCATCCAGTGTAGAATCACAACAGAAGACCCTGCAAAGAATTTTCAACCAGATACTGGAAAGATCGAAGTATACCGTTCTGCAGGTGGTAATGGTGTAAGGTTAGACGGTGGTAATGGCTTTGCTGGTTCTGTAATTTCTCCTCACTATGATTCGATGTTGGTGAAATGTTCATGCTCTGGCTCAACATACGAAATATCAAGAAGAAAGATGTTGAGAGCTTTGATCGAATTCAGAATTAGAGGAGTTAAAACCAATATTCCTTTCTTGTTGGCATTGCTCACCAACGAAACCTTCATTCAGGGTAACTGTTGGACGACTTTTATTGACGACACGCCATCATTGTTCAGAATGATCTCCTCTCAAAACAGAGCTACAAAGTTGTTGAGCTATTTGGGCGACTTGGCTGTCAATGGTTCCTCTATCAAAGGCCAAATGGGTATGCCTAAGCTCCTTACCGAGGCTTTGATCCCGATTTTACATGACCCAAAGACTGGTATTGAAATCGATGTCGAATCTCCTGTGAAGCCAAGAGGCTGGAGGCAAGTGCTTCTTGAGCTTGGACCAGAGAAGTTTGCAAAACAAGTCAACGACTTCAAGGGTACTTTGATCACTGATACCACTTGGAGAGATGCTCATCAGTCCTTGTTGGCCACCCGTGTGAGAACTATTGACTTGGTCAATATTGCTCCAACCACAGCTCATGCCTTAAATGGTGCTTTCTCTTTGGAGTGTTGGGGTGGCGCAACGTTTGACGTGTCGATGAGATTCCTCCACGAAGATCCTTGGGCCCGTTTGAGAAAGTTGAGAGAATTGGTTCCTAACATTCCTTTCCAGATGTTGTTGAGAGGCGCAAATGGTGTGGCATATTCTTCGTTGCCAGACAATGCGATTGACCAGTTTGTCAAAGAAGCGAAGGAGAATGGTGTTGATATTTTCAGGGTCTTTGACGCTCTCAATGACTTGGATCAATTGAAGGTTGGTGTCGATGCAGTAAAGAAAGCAGGGGGAGTTGTTGAAGCTACTGTTTGTTTCTCCGGTGACATGTTGAACCCAGATAAGAAATACAGTTTGGATTACTACTTGAATGTCGTGGACAAGATTGTTGAGATGGGTACTCACTTCATTGGCATCAAGGACATGGCTGGTACAATGAAGCCAAAGGCTGCATCTCTTTTGATTGGATCTATCAAGAAGAAGTATCCCCACATTCCAATTCATGTTCACACTCATGACTCTGCGGGAACTGGTGTTGCAAGCATGGATGCTGCTGCTAAGGCTGGTGCCGACGTCGTTGATGCCGCTTCTAATTCAATGTCCGGTATGACTTCTCAACCATCCATCAGTGCTTTGCTTGCTTCGCTTGAAGGCGATGTCCAACACGGATTGGATGAAAGCTTGGTGAGAGAGCTTGACAACTACTGGGCTCAGATGAGATTGTTGTACTCTTGTTTCGAGGCCGATTTGAAGGGTCCTGATCCGGAGGTATATCAACACGAGATTCCAGGTGGTCAATTGACTAACTTGATCTTCCAGGCTCAGCAACTAGGCTTAGGCGAAAAATGGTTGTTGACTAAAGAAAAGTATAAGGTAGCCAACAAACTTTTGGGAGATGTTGTTAAAGTTACCCCAACTTCCAAGGTTGTTGGTGATTTGGCTCAATTTATGGTTTCCAACAACTTGACCGAAGAAGATGTTATCAAGCTAGCCCCAGAATTGGACTTCCCTGGCTCTGTTTTAGATTTCATGGAAGGATTAATGGGTACTCCATATGGTGGCTTCCCCGAGCCTCTCAGAACAAATATGTTGGGCAACAAGAGGCCTAAGTTGGATAAGAGACCCGGCTTGACCTTGGCGCCAATCGACTTCGTGAAAGTGAAACAAGAGTTGGTATCACGCTACGGCGAGAGCATTACCGAGAGCGACATCGCATCTTATGTTATGTATCCAAAGGTATACGAAGACTTCCGTGCTATCGTCGAGAAGTACGGTGACTTATCAGTGTTACCTACACGTTATTTCTTAAAACCATTGGACATCAACGAAGAGATTGTGGTCGATATTGAGCAAGGCAAGACTTTGATTATTAAGTTGTTGGCCATCGGCGAGATCTCCAAGAAGACTGGAACTCGTGAGGTTTTCTTTGAATTAAACGGTGAGATGCGTTCAGTCACTATCGATGATAAAACCATTTCAATTGAGACCAAAACACGTCCAAAGGCCGCTCAGCCAAATGATGTTGGGGCGCCAATGGCTGGTGTTGTTTTGGAGATCAGAGTCAAGAAAGACCAGGAAGTCAAGAAGGGAGACCCTATTGCTGTATTGAGTGCAATGAAGATGGAGATGGTTATTAGTGCACCAGTCAGTGGTAAAGTGGGCGAGGTTTTGATTAAGGAAGGCGACTCGGTTGATTCTGCTGATTTGATCACCAGTATCTTCAAGTAGACATCCTCATTAATCCTATCGCCCTTGCAATGTATATGAAACGAGCTTTGTCCATTAGTATTTTGGCCTTTTAGAAGCCCGATCCAGAGAATCTGGTCGTTTGTAGGAGTCTATTTGACTTTGTAGCTTCTTGTTTTGATCTTCCAAAGACTTGAGTTCGGCCTCTAGCTCGGTCGCCTGGGTCGTTGCCTCATCTGCACCTTCATCAGTTTCTTCGTTCAGACCCTTCCAACGTGTATCTTGTAAAGCATTTCTCACAAAAGCCGTCTGGTTTAGGATCCTGATCCAATCCTCTAGTAGGGCCCCTGCGCTATCTGTTGCACTTTTCGTTTCGGCTATATTGTTTTGTGCATTGCTAACAGTCTCTAGTAACGTATCTATCGTGTTGTTAAGACTTCTTACTTGCTGTAGCTCTTTTTCGAGAGCCAATTGTCGCGACATTTGTCTTCTTCAATGTGTGAGTTTGGTGTTTGTTATTGTTGATGAAGTAGTAGTGCACTGATGATAGAGGTATCGCATCAACGTAACTCTCGACTTGACATATTAAAATCCAGGAAGACTTCGGAGCTTTAGAGCTATTTACATCATTAAGCCCCATAGGTAAAATAATTAGAAGCTAATTATAATTGACAATGTCGGAACAGCCTGATGAACTTCCTACGAGATGGGAAGTTGAACTTGAATTCGTTCAATCACTTGCAAATATTCAATATGTGAATTTCCTAGCACAGAGCGATTATTTCAACGACCCAGCATTTATAAATTACCTTGATTACCTTAATTACTGGAGAGATCCCAAGTACGCAAAGCACTTGGTTTATCCTAACTGCCTTCACATCTTGACCCTACTACAGAACAAAGACTTCTGCAAAGAGATTACAAATCCCGAGCTTATGAATAGTCTTATGAATGATATGGTTAAGAAGTGGCAGGGCCTTGAAGAAGTGAACACTAAACCGAAGGAGCAAGCAGATGAAAAGGAGACAGAGAAGAATGCTGAGGAAGGAACTGAGGGCGCCGCTAGCAAAGAGGCAGATACAGGGGAAAACTCATCAGCAGAAACGAGGATACAAGAAAAGCAACAGGAGCATTCAGACGGACAGCAGACCCCGGAGCAGCAGGATGACCAGCTGAAGGCAACATCATAAGGTCAAGTCGTGTGCGTCAACTCTGGACTGAGCTTCCAGCTAAGAGTTTTGTGATGAGAAAAAAAATATCTACTTGTATAATATTTTACGACAATAAAGAACCCGAAACATGCCGTCAGAGGCAATTTCATATACGACCTTGTCATCTCGTAGTTTGTCTTGTCTTGTCTGAGACCTAAATTCGCACTCGCAATGATAGAGGACACATCTTTAATCACCAGTAAGCCTCAGTCCGTTCTTTACTTATGGCGGCGGATAGTACACGATATGACAAAGATTTCGAGAATCTTGAAAAGTTCTCTCGATATTTGAAACAGAGATGGAGAGTATCGCTCGCTGAAGTTGCATTTGTCCTTTCCTTTGCCCTCAATTTTGCTGTAGGCAAATTACTACATCTATACTCAGAGCAATCAGAGGTTTACAATTACTACAACGACAAAGGCAACGTATTCAACCAATTATTCGTTAAGAAGGGATGGGCCTGGACTACGCTTGTTGTCATTTTCTTCTACGCGGTGATATTCCTGAGAAGAAGGAAGGAACTTGGTCCAAAGACTGTAATACTGGCTATCGTCAGATACCTAGTGGCAACCTTCTGGTGGACATTGTTTACACAATGGTGCTTTGGGTTACCGATAATGGACAGAGTGTTTGTCTATACTGGAGGAAAATGTGTGGCACCTGATAGCAAGCACTGGGGCCATTTGTTTGAAGAGGTAGACGGCTTATTCCATTCTCAAAGAATCTCGTCGTTTGCTTGCCGAGCCATCCAAGGAAAATGGGAAGGTGGACATGATCCTCTGGGGCATGTGTTTTTGCTAGTCCATTCTTCTTTGTATCTCTTTTTCGAGATAAAGCCATACTGGAAAGGGTGGCAACAATTCACTAGAAATGTGGCGAGATTGAGAGGACCTAACTTACCTGCCAAGATTATTGACACCCTTAATACAACACCACAAATTCTAGCCATCGTGTTACTTGCACTCTGGTGGTTTATGTTGCTCATGACCAACATGTACTTCCATCTGATTGCAGAGAAGTTAGTTGGTCTCGCCTTTGGTTATATTGGTGTCATCGTAATGTACCTCATTCCAAGATGGCTCTGAATATGACGAGATACAACCTCGTCTAGAATAGAGGAGAAGTTATTATCCATTGTTCCTTACAATAGGAGTATTCCTAAAAACATATGTTGGTTATAGCTTCTGATTAACCAGTACCCGGTGCTGCGATCGGAATCTCGAGACTTTGACAAAAGGAGCCACAAAATGCACAAAACGGAAAGAAGCAGACTTGGTGTTCGGCGCTTGACTGGAAATTACTTGCAGACACGCTATATTATTTACAGAAAGGGCATATCTTGGTTCGTGTCTTGGAAGGGAACGGGTATATGCGTGCGACTTTCGCGTCGCGCGAACCAAAACATTAGCGAGAGTTGCCCCCGCGAGTGTTTCGTGGATGTTACTCATGGAAAACAGAAAGTAAAATAAAGAAAAAAAAAAAAAGAAAAAAGAAAAAGGAAGAAGGGAGTTCATCCGACTGTAAGTACACTTAAGCATACATTTCAAAGATTTTTTAATGTGAATATTCTCAGATGGTCAAATCGCCATGGCCTGTTCTCTCCTTAGTGGCTGCAAAACCAAGTGCCTGTCAAAACGCGACTTTTGGTATTTCCTGCGCTGTTTTCGCTACACGCTTTTCAAATCTCAATTTCGTCTCAAACTTGCAGGCATATTGGTTGTTTTTAGCTACTTTTCGCAGCCGTTCCTTTGAACCAAGGAAGGAGTGGTGCAAGCGGCTCTTGTCCCAATTCGTTCCACCTCCACATCGCCCAAAAGTTCTTCCTTCCTTCTCTTTCTTCTTTCTGTTCTTGATAAACTTTATCGCTTCCCACGTTTAATCTTACGGCCTGTCAATTCCTTAACGGCTCTTGCCCATGCTCCTCCGTCTCCTAATACTACTCCAGGCGGTGGTCTATGCCATCTACTTAGGATGGCCCATGGACGAACAACTCCCCAATGTCGCTCGTGTGGACCAGCCCTATGAATTTACAATTGCTTACTTGACCTATCGTTCCAACAACGGTGGGTCCATCGCTTACTCTGCCCATGGTTTGCCTGACTGGCTATCATTTGACGAGCTGAGCAGAACTTTCACTGGTACACCTTCTGAAGCTGATGCCGCGTCTTTCCTGGTGACATTGACGGGTAAAGATGACTCTGATGGTTCTGAAATGTCTAGAGAGTATACAATGCTCGTGTCGAATAGTACGGGCATTAAGTTGTCTTCCCAAGACGTGATGTTCACTACCATCGCCAAGCATGGAAACACCAATGGCAGAGGTGGTCTTGTGTTGTCTGAAGGTGAAGACTTTAATATCCAACTCTCTAAGGATATGTTTGAAGAGAAGGATGATGCCCTGCGACCTATCATCGCATATTACGGTCGCTCTGTCGACAGAACCTCCTTGCCTAGTTGGATACATTTCAACTCTGATGATTTAACATTCTCCGGCACTGTCCCATATGTCACGTCTAATATTGCCCCTTCTTCGGCATATGGCTTCAGTTTCCTCGCGTCGGATTATTACGGCTTTTCTGGTGCTGAGGCCACCTTCAGTATCTTGGTTGGCGCTCATTCATTGAGTACGTCCCTCAATGAGTCTATCAAGATAAACGGCACGTATGGATTGGATTTTGATTACGATGTCCCCATTTTGACTTCTGTGTATTTAGATGGTGAGGCAATTACGCGTTCAAATATCTCTTCCGTGAGTGCTAGTGATCTACCATCATACGTCCATTTCGACTCGTCGGAATTCACCTTGAGTGGAACCTTCCCTAATTCACTGAGAAGTGATAATTTCTCCATCACCGTGAGTGATTTCCATGGTAATACTGTGGATTTGCCTTACAGATTCGAATCAATTGGATCGGTCTTTACTCTTGACGATTTACCGGATATTAACGCTACACGAGGAGAGTTCTTTGAATTCCAGATTATGCACTCGCTATTCACGGATTTTAATGATACCCAGGTGAGTGTGTCTTTCGATAAAAACTCTGATGATTGGTTGTCCTACGAAGAGTCAAACATGACACTTGTAGGTAATGCGCCATCCAATTTAAAGCTGTTGGCTGTTAAAATCGATGCCGAATCATCCTTCGACTCTGAATCAAGGGAGTTTTCAATTATTGGGGTAGATGGAAAGTCTTCAACTAGCTCTTCATCAACTAGCTCGAGCTCTTCCGCCACTGCTACATCTTCGTCGAGTGCTTCTATGTCGCCCAGCACCACACCCGATACAGTGAACAGATCACTGGATAATGGTAACAATCGGAAGGCGTTGATTCTCGGACTTTCCATCGGTCTTCCATGTTTTTTCCTTGCTTTAGCACTTATATTGATTCTATTCTTGTGCTGCAGAAAGAAGAGACGGAATGATGATGAAGAGAACGAAAAGTCTGTGGAAGACACTATTATTGATGGACCTGGAATCGGTGTTACCCATGACATGGACGACCACACCGAGACACCTTATCAATTGGGCGCTTTGAACGCCTTAAAACTTGATGACGACTCTGCCTCTACGCTGTCTTCAGTAACTCATGTGGATAGTGATAATGACTCAAGGTATTTTGATGCATCAGAGAAGCCAATGAAGTCCTGGAGGGCCAAGGACGACTCGGACTTGATGGCTGTCAAAAATAAGCTTATGCAGCAAAGGCATGCATCAGAGATCTCCAATAGCACCGTGAACACTGAAGAGCTCTTCGCTGTTCGTCTTGTCGACGACGAGACGAGGAAATCTGCTTCCCAGTCACCTGGTATCACCCCTCTTTTCCTGAGAGATTCGCTAAACCAGATAATAGGGGAAAGCGGCTCGTCTGCAAATGTACAAAGACTTGACAGTGATGGCAATATCGTCCTAGATTCGAATTCCAACACGTCTTCGCCAAAGAAGCGGGCTGCTCAGAGTATGAATCTCAGAAATATAGCCGAGGAGGATAACCGAACACATAATACGGAGGCTTTCTACCGTAACAAAAACGATGAATCATCCAACTATAACTTGATGTCCAAGTATTTCAATGAGGCAGGTTCGAACATTGATGTGGATGACTTCAAAGCCGTTCAAACGCCAGTTGGTAACTACGAGTGGAGGAGATCCAAAGACGCTCTTGTCTCTCCCGACTCCGAGACTTTCCTTCTTAATAATCCGGAACACACTCCCGTGAATTCCAATCTTGCAGATTCTGGTAACTTTGCTAAGAATGTTTCCAAGACGTCGGTGTATTCTGACGATCTTCATAGCGACTTCCCCTTCGGTTCGAACAATGCTGATAGCAAAGCCAAACTAGTTGAATTCACTAGAAAGGGCAGTTTAAGGGACTCGTCGCACACCCCCACCATGGAATTTTCTGGTGAAACAGCTCAGTTTCATGATGGCGAAAGTGGTGAGAGTGACTAAGTATAGTTGGAGCAGTTTTGGTTTCATGGATTAGGGTTTACGGTTTTACTATTTGTTAGGAGTTAGATTCATTTTGATTGTTTTATTTTTATACTGACCCCATTTCATTCGCTCTTTACATCATATATAATAATGACAAAATGAAAAATACGATGGCATATCAATTAAAGCTTGGGCCTAGGCAAAGTAGAAACATATTGCGCAGTGTCTTGCGCTCTCCTTCTTGCTTCGAGGTACTCCATCATCTCGGAGTAGGTTTGGGGGATTACTGACGAGAACCCTGGTTCGTCCGCTTTGTAGCTCTTTACGGGAACAAAGAAAGAGTAAATGAAGCAGCCTGACTCAGTGAAATCTGGGGAGCTCAAGTCTCTGATTTTGGTGTCGACCTTCACCTGTATCAAAGTACCGGGTTCCGATAAGAATGCGTCGGGATTAGAAGAAATCTGGTTAGTGGCTGGCAAGTCAAGCGGAGAATGCTTACCTTTTTCAACCCTCCTTTTATGAAGGTGTTCGGTATAGACAACAGTTGAAGTCATCGAAAGAACCGAACCGACAGGCACTGGTGCCTTGAAGGTAGTCGAATCTAAGGAGACAAACCTCGCATTTGCGCTTGAGAAGGCCGTGGCGCCGCAGTATGCCAACTCAAACGATTGTCTCAACAAGTAACCGCCAAAAATCATGTAAGAGTGTCTGTTTCTATATTGTGGTTGCATGATCAAGGTAGACGTAATTGTACTATCTTTCATGAACAGTACATGCTTCGTGAACTCGGGTGTCAATTGCTTGGATGCATTCCACATATCATGAACAAGCCTATTCTCTTCATCAGTTGGCTGAATAACTCCTTGATTTTTAGCTGCCACTTTCTTTCTAGCATTAAAAGATTCGGCTCTTCTATAATCCAACCATTCTTTTTCAGTAATTGGAAGCAACCTGTTAATAGCAAAAGACTTGTGTGTCATTGGGTTTCTAGCCACGAATGTGAAATTTGCAGTCAAGAAAACGTTTTCGTCTGGCAAAGTGTTGGCATCAATATCCTTCGGAACCGAGCCATCGAAAGAATACCCTTTTACCGTTATCTCCATCGATGATCTGCCAGTCCATGTTACACTGCCGGCGAGAACGAAATTGTAATTTTGAATTTCATCAACTTTCTTCACCATGTAGATTCTGTCCACGGAGGCGGTGACATTGACTGGCTCAGCTGGCGAACAATGCCTGTAAGCGATTCGTCCTGCCAAAGCATCCAAATCCTGAAACAATTGACCCATTCGTAAGCGGCCGAAAGCATTAATGTATGTATCACAAAGCCATTTGTCATCCTTGAAAGGTAACACGAGAAAAGAGAAAGAGTCGGCTCTGGTCTTCTCTCCGACCTCAGTTGTCTTCGGGTCAATGTAAGAAAATGAATCTATCGTCTTGCCCTCAGCCAATTGCTTAGACCTTTCTCTCAACGCATCCATCCAAGTTGCAGTGTGGTACTGCTTGCTCAAATCTCTTGAGTCAGAGATAATGGTGGCGGAAGCATCAGCAGCCTCCGCAGGGATGGTCGAACCAGCTTCTGTGTGCCTTTTCATGGTAGTGCCTAAATGTTTCGCTTGCGTGAGTAAACGCGACGATGGTCTTAACTTGGAAGGTAGCCTTGTTATTCTAAACATCAAATTCAGTACCAGGTATATATGGAACCGAAGCTTAGGCGATGTGGTTTAAATATGAGATAGAATTGTGGATTACTGTTGGGCCAGCCGCGGTGTATAGGTGCGGGGCGATAAAGAGCCCGGCGGTGCTCGGTTGCATAGAACCGGTACCAACAACGTCGTATATGGGAGGGGCAGGAGGGGCAGTCCAAAAATCATTATTTTTGGGCTATAGAAAGCTCCGGGAGTAACTTAAACCTTTCTGCGCCTTGAAGATGAGCATCGAAGTCTCTGAGTCACCGGGTCCTATGATACGGTCTGATGGATAAAATGGAGTGGCTGCGAAAAGCCAATCGATTAGGAAACGGATGCGTGGTATTGGCGGAAAAAAGGTGAAGCAAAACTGAAGTACCAGAGACGACGAGCTAAAAAAAAATTCTTTAAAAAAAAAAAAAAAGAAACACAAAATAAAATAAAAATTATAAGCAGTATAAAAGCGCTCATTCTCTCGATAACCCCAGGACGATTTCCTGAGCGGTTATGTCGACGCCAAGTTGGTTAGAAGAGTCCTCGCTCTGTTTTTCCCAAAGTATGAATACTTTGACAGTTTTGGTGCGATGGCGCGAGAAAAAGTGCATTTTGAGTAAACAAGGTAGAAACTGACTGACACTGCGAAGTCAAGTCCTATAAGAAATAAGAAATGATCAAAATGAAGAGGGAATCTAATATAAAATCAGAAAAGAATATATCGAGGTTAGAAAAAAGCAATCCCGTAAAACCATCGCGTATATAGAAAAGCACAAAAATGTCTGTGTGAGGTGACTCACTGGGTAATGAGCTATAACGTATTTCAGTGTAGGGGTTCGCTGTCAGGGTGAAGCTAGAGAAGTCCGAAACCGAGGCGATAGGCTGACAGCAAATATGCGAAAAAAGCCGTAAAAGTGTTAGCCAGAAAAGTCGGAACTGCACCTCCGAGCGCGAGCTTCCGCTCCGGTCCTCATCGTTCCGTTCATAGTGCGGTTTCCAACCAAAAAAATCAAAAACCACCTTTGCAACTTCGGTGTCTGTTCCCTTCGTTGCAATTCCCTATAATAGAAGCTCAACAACTTAACCAAAATGTCCAAGTTGTCTAGTGTCGCAAAGACCTCCATGATGGCGGCAAGAGCAAGCGCAAAGAACTCCCTGAGATTGGCTTCCGCTGCCTCTGGCACCAAGACTATGACAGTTAGAGATGCCATCAACTCTGCTTTGGCAGAAGAATTGGACAGAGATGATGATGTTTTCTTAATGGGTGAAGAGGTTGCCCAATATAACGGTGCATACAAGGTTTCCCGAGGCTTGCTTGACAGGTTCGGTGAGAGAAGAGTGATTGACACCCCAATCACTGAAATGGGTTTCACCGGTTTGACCGTGGGTGCCTCTTTGGCTGGCTTGAAGCCAATTTGTGAATTCATGACTTTTAACTTCGCCATGCAATCCATTGACCACATCATTAACTCTGCTGCAAAGACCTTATACATGTCTGGTGGTAAACAGCCATGTAACATCACCTTCAGAGGCCCCAACGGTGCCGCCGCTGGTGTTGCTGCCCAGCACTCACAAGACTATGCTGCTTGGTACGGATCTATTCCAGGCTTGAAGGTCATTTCTCCATATTCTGCTGAGGACTACAGAGGTTTGTTGAAGGCTGCTATCCGGGACCCCAATCCTACTGTGTTTTTGGAGAACGAAATGCTCTATGGTGAGACTTTTGAAATTTCTGAGGAAGCTTTGTCTCCTGATTTTGTCCTTCCAATTGGAAAAGCCAAGATCGAGAGGGAGGGTTCTGATATCACCTTGGTGTCCCACACCAGAAACGTTGGCCACTGTCTCGAAACTGCAGAGATCTTGAAGGAGAAATACGGCGTAAACGCAGAAGTGTTGAACTTGAGATCCATCAAACCAATGGATGTCCCTGCTATCGTTAAGTCTGTCAAGAAGACTGGCCATTTGGTTACCGTCGAGGCAGGCTTCCCAGGTTTCGGTGTGGGTTCCGAAATCTGTGCTCAGATCATGGAATCGGAAGCTTTTGACTACTTGGACGCTCCAGTAGAGAGAGTCACTGGATGTGAAGTCCCAACTCCATACGCCAAAGAGTTGGAGGACTTTGCTTTCCCAGATGCCGAGATTGTCTTGAGAGCATCTAGAAAGGTCTTGGGTTTATAAGCTGACCTAAGATTGTGGCTACCTGAGATGTCATTCTATAGAACCCAAATCACGTAATTATCATGAACTACAAGTGACCAACGGATTGATATCTCTTGCTTTCTTTTTTTTTTTTTTTTTTTTTTTTTTTATATGGCATATTTGCAAAATCCACCGCACTGACGCGGATTAGTTGATACAGTGCGATTACTGGAAAACACGTTCAGGCACCAGATCAACCATCCGCCTCGTCTTTTCTTCTTCTAGGACCCGTTTGCTTCACATATCAGTGATATCATCTTTCTTTCTGTGTAATGGACGTCCATAAGAGGAGCCACCATCCTTCTAGAGGCGGCGATGAAGGAGACGAAAAAGTACTTATGGACGAGGCGACAAGTTTTCAACGAACTCGGCCAGGATTTCAAGAAGAAAACGGTGGACTCCTTCCAACAGCAACTCCCAATATTCCAGAAAAAAAGGCCACCCACTCTTTACCAAGAAAGGACTTAAAGGCTTTTATCATACTTGTCATATTGTATACCCTCCAGGGCGTGCCGGTAGGGTTGGCATTTGGTTCTGTCCCATTTATTTTGAAATCGAAACTCTCATACTCACAGGTTGGAGTTTTTTCGCTAGCTTCGTATCCATACTCGTTAAAGCTTCTTTGGTCTCCAATTGTGGACGCGATCTACAGCAGACGGGTAGGTCGAAGAAAATCATGGATCATACCTGTGCAGCTAGTGTCTGGGATAACTTTACTATATCTCGGATCCATTATAGACGCTTCAATGACAGACCCGGCGTTAAACTTGATAAGGATCACTATTTGCTTCTTCTTATTGGTATTATTCTGCGCTACTCAAGATATAGCAGTTGACGGATGGGCCCTTACCGTGTTATCTCCAGAGAGCTTATCATTTGCTTCGACAGCTCAAACAGTTGGAATGAATTGCGGGTACTTCCTGAGTTTCACCGTTTTTCTTGCTTTGAGCTCTCCGGAATTTTCCAATAAATACTTGAGAAGTGTCCCACAAGCTGAGGGTCTCTTCGGACTTGGTGATTACTTGTCATTCTGGGGATGGATGTACCTTCTTGTTACAGCTTTACTTGTCTTTATACCTGAAGATCCACCTCATTTGGCAAAGCTCAATCGTGAGAAACTTGCTGCTGAACATTACAAGCATGAAACGGCTTATAATAGGCCATTAGACCGGACAAAGCAATATTTAATTGACTTGATGCATGTTTATGACTCCATGTTTCAGGTCTTAAAACTTCCTAACGTGCAAACCTTCGTTGTGATTCTTTTGTTTGCGAAGCTTGGTTTTCAAGTGAATGAGGCTGCTACAAACTTGAAGCTTCTAGAGAAGGGACTTTCAAAAGAGGATCTATCAATTACCGTTCTTATCGATTTTCCTTTCGAAATGATATTTGGATACTATTCTGGCCGCTGGTCTTCAGGAAAAAGCCCGTTAAGGCCATGGCTATTTGGGTTCGCAGGTCGTCTCTTTGCTGCCATTTGCGCTCATGTTATCCTCCTTTATTTTCCTGATTTGAACGGAGGACCTGTCCCTTTTAAGCTTTTTATCCTTATTATATGTCAGCATTTACTCAATTCGTTCATGTCTACCATCCAATTTGTTTCGTTATGTGCTTTCCATACTAGAATAGCTGACCCTGCAATCGGTGGAACATACATGACAACTCTAAACACCTTATCCAATTATGGTGGCACTTGGCCTAGATTGATCATTCTTTACTTGATCGACAGACTTACACTTGCCAGATGCGAAGGAATAGCTGAACCATACGAAATATTAGCCGAGGATCAGAAGAAGGAGTGTTTGGGCGCTGGAGGGTATGTGTCTATTTTGAGGGATGGATATTTCTATACAAGCGCTCTTTGCATCTCTTTGGGTATTATCATATGGTTCTGGGTTAAGAGGAAGACCAGGTTTCTACAGTCTCTTCCACAAAGTGCTTGGAGGGTGAATCGAAACATCGAATGATGACCTCCACAGAGCCTACATCTACATTTACTGAAGGATTAGTCGCGTTTTTAAAAGCAAGATTTTGGGGTCAATGCAGCGGTGCTGGGCACCATGTTTTGTCAATATCTTGGAATGGTCTGGCGCATGTTCAACATGTACCTTTCGTACATTCGACAAACAAACGAACAAACAGCGCTGACGGACATCGCAAGCATATATTAGTAGTAACACAGATGTAAGCTTAACTTTCCTTCTTTTTTTTTTTTTTTTTTTTTTTTTTTTTTTTTTTTTTTCGTTTTGCTTGCTTTTTCTTACTATTCTGGTACATCATTTGGAGAGACTCTTGTTCATGGTACTGTCTGAGATTCGCACTCATGAAATTAAATGAGATTGACCTACCCATAATGATCGAGATAAATGCTAATGATAGATTAGGGAAGAAGATCAAAGTGAAATGTTTACCTGAAGATACGATTGGCGATTTGAAGAAGATTTTGTCCATGCAGCTCGGAACCTCCCACGAGAAGATCGTGTTAAAAAAGGGCCATCAAGTTTACAAGGATCACATCTCATTGGACGATTACGAAGTGCACAATGGTTTCAACTTTGAACTATATTATGGATGATTGGTTCATTTAATTTTGTTTAATCTATAAGTCATCAACATCTCGTCGTGGAGCGAGCCCTAATTACAGGCTCATGCAAATTATAACACAATTGAAGAATTGAAGCGGAAGAGCAGACATCTGTTCAAAGAAAGTATTCGACATGTTGAGTACGTGTACGACCATTGAAGTAGGCACTAAAGATGTCTTTGCCAGAGCTTATACTGTCAGGGTTAATGCCATTAACTCCTCTTCCTTGCACTGTGTCCTCGTCATTCTCTGGTGATGCTTCAAATACGTTGCAATACTGCCCCGGTAAGACACCCTGAGGTTGCTTAGCCTTGCTTTCATAGTTTGAATGAGATATTTCTAAGACGCTTGCACGGTTGCCACATCTATAACAATAGTTAGGAGCTGACCAGATGGTGAGACACATACCATGCCAGTAGCTGACAAAGCCCTCGTTACAAAGCTGGTGTGCTCTCACCAACTGTACGAGATCATTGTCATGATTGAACTTTTTCATCACATCATATCCAAATAGATAGCCGGCTCCTCTTGGGGACAACTTGAAATCTGTAGTCTCGGGATCTGGATCTGACCAAACCAAATCCGCCATTATCCCATCATGTGGAACTTCTTTGAATCTGTCTATAGCACGAATTTGGTCGAGAAGTTGGCAAGAAGGTGAAAGACCACCATGAGTAGCAAAAATCTTTGCATCTATGGTGGCTCCCAAAGGCAAGTAATCAAAGAGATCCGTGATGTACTGCCACACTTTCAACGAGCCGTTATATTTATTCAACACTTCCGTGTAGAACCCATAATTAGTTGTGATAGTTCTTGACTCGTGATTGCCACGGATAAGAAAAACTCTCTCGGGATATCTAAGTTTCAATGCAATTAGAAGCGAAATGGTCTCAACCGAGTAATATCCCCGATCGACGTAGTCTCCTAGAAATAGATAATTCGTGTCAGGTGGAGAGCCGCCGACCTTGAAAATCTCTAGCAAGTCGTGGAACTGTCCATGAATGTCACCGACCAATGTGCATGGAGAGGTCAATGACATGATGTTGGGGACGCCTAAAAGTTGTGTCTTAAGCTGATGACATAGTTGCAGGATGGTCTCTTCGGGAAGAATCTTCGGCGGCTTGTGCTCAAGGAGCTGCGAGAGGCAATAATCAAGCTCCAGCGTAGGAACTGTAAACGGTATTGTCATGGAATAGGAAACGACGAATGATTGATGAGACCAAAATCTAAGCACTGGAAGCGAAACCACGACTAAAATGCACGATCCCTTGTACCGGATCTTGAGCGCGCTACATGGCTGCAAAACTTCAATACTCTTACTATTGGCAGTTGCACTACTTACCGTTGATAGCTCCGCTTATAGCCTCAGTCAACAAGGCTAATCCTTCCTCTATCGTTTGTTCTGGAATGTTTAGCGCAGGTACGATTCTAATAACATTTCCGCCAGCGGTTATCACCAACAAGCCATGTTCACGGGCCTTGTTCACTACCTCACCACTGTCGAGTTTCGAGGTGAGCTGCAAGCCTAGTAACAACCCTCTCCCTTTGACAGAGTCGACATAGTCGGGAAACTTCTCCACAATGTCTTTCAAGCCATCCTCAAACTTTTGACTCTTTTGAGCGACTGATTCCAAGAAGTCTTTGTTGCTAACTGTTTCTACAACATGTAAACCAACAGCGGAGCCCAAGGGGTTACCTCCATAAGTTGTACCATGGTCACCGACGTCAAGAGCATTCTCAATCTTTTCGTTTGTCATGACTGCACCGATAGGAAATCCATTACCTAATGCTTTCGCCATGGTGACAATGTCGGGATGAGCCGAAGGCGGTAATTCACTATGGGCCCAAAGGCTCGAAGTTCTTCCTAACCCACACTGAATCTCGTCATATATGAGCACGACATCGTTCTCGTCACATAGCTTTCTCAATTCAATCAAGAAGTCTGGTTGGACTACGTTGACACCACCTTCACCTTGTATCGGCTCAATGATAACAGCAGCTGTCTTTTCTTTGCTGATCACACTTTTCACTGACTCAATATCATCAGTTTCCGCAATACGAACGCCAGGAACTAACGGAGCAAAGGGTGCTTGGTATTTTCATTTGCTGTGACCGATAAAGCGCCCATAGTACGTCCATGAAATCCATTCTTAAATGCAATGATTTCAGTCTTACCGGCATTTCTTTGCTTAGCATATTTCCTTGCAAATTTGAGGGCAGCCTCGTTGGCCTCAGTGCCAGAGTTGCATAAGAATACTCTTTGAGCGTCATGCATACCTTTCGAATCCAACGTTTTGGCCACAAGTTTATTTGCTAGTTCACCAGCAGGGAGGTTGTAGTATAGGTTTGAACAATGCATCAAGCTCAGTGCTTGTTTATTGATGATACTGCTAACTTCATCGTTAGCATGACCCAAACAAGTGACAGCGATTCCCGCAGTGAAGTCAACATAACGTCTGTTTTCGAGGTCAAAAGATAAGAGCCTTTCCCACGAGCAAGAACAACGTTAGGACGGGCATATGTCGTAACTGTGTAAGGTTTCGAAACGTCATCCACGAACCTTCCAGTGACCGAATGAGCGTCGGCATCGGCTCTCGGAATGGTGTAGAAACGGGAAAGGCGATTGATGGTGCCTATAGACGATAAGCCAACATATGACCTAAGAATTCCGTCAACCGCTGAAAAATTCTTCCTCCCAAACATTTAATAAGTGGTAGAATGGGTGAACAAAAGAGATAGCGTTTGAATCTAAACCCATGGTGATGAAAATTTTTTGTACCGCGCTAATGTGACTAATGTTACCCGATTGGGTGATAAGAACATCATGTACTATAAACTAAATTCTGTCAATGTCAATGGTGATTTCGACCTTGCTGTCCTTCTCAAATGCTTTCATAGCATTGTCAAATATACGACTAACCTCAAATAGCATTCTCGACTCATCGTCGGAGCTCCCTCCCTTCATGGTAATCTTCACGCCTGCAATGTATAGCTGATAATTCACTTTTGTAATAAAAAGATGGTTTAGACTGTAAGCTGGTTTGAATATATCAAGACCCATGATCTGTTCTGTAACTGAACTCTTAAGAACGCTGTAGTCATATTCTGTGTAAGGAAAGGAGATCAAAAGAATACCTCCCAAAGTTGTCACTAGTTTCCATCCAGCATAACAAAGTGTTGATGCCACAAATAACGTAGATGCCTCATCCACATCTACCTTGAGAGGCTCCTTTAAGTTATGGGGAGTAAAGGAATCACAAAGAGAAAGGTCGAGTAGACAAGCGTAATGAGCCGCATGGGTTTTTAAGGAAAGTAGTCACAATTTTGAATATCCTTTCATTCGTCAGCGATTCTCTTTCCTGTAAGTTGTTGAGGTAGCCTCCTAAACCATCCTGATTCTTCCTGCGCTTTTCGTCCTTGGTCGACAACATGTCTGAAATCGTGTTGCTATCATAAAAGAGCGTGGAAGTTATCCATGTCATTATAACCACAAGAGCGACAACTATTTCGTAAAGAAATGGCGACTTCAGTCCGTCAGAATGACCGTGTATATGGTGTGCACCGTGGTCAGTGCTATCGGCCGTCCCAGAAACGGCCAATGTGACTACTACCCTTCAACAAAGTGGATATGAGATCACAACCGACCATCACTAGCGACGTACTCAATGCAAAGCCTAATAATACTTCTAATCTACCGAGGCCAAACGGATATGCGACAGATGGTTTCTTCCAAGCATCAAAATTAGAAAGAATGTTGACGAAGGCTATCACAAAGGAACCAAGGGAGTCATAAAATACTAGGTGGGCAAGGTCGAGAAAGCAGACTCTCCCAAAATAGTTCCGGCAATAAAAACTACCACAGCCGTTAAAAATGAGCTAATGCCAATGTAAGCTTGACTCGCTGTGATGCATTAGCAGACGCCCAAGTCTCCAGCCAGTTAGGGATAGGATACAGGAGGGAATTAACTCTTGATACAATGAGCTATCTGCAATGGGAACTGGTTCCTGAAAAAGGTTCATGGATACCGAGGAATGCTTGTACCGGTGGCCTTTACGATGGGCAGGCTTTATGACAAGAGATGAGTTCGAGCTATTGGAATGCGTCATTGGCATGTCTTGAGATTTGAAGTTGAAGGGAGCTCGTGTAGGTGATACCCCACGACCATGTGCTACTCCCCGAACAGGGATTGGACCCTCTCCTCGGTGATCTGGAGCGTACTGGAGAATTTGATCGCGAACGAGATGTCTTTGCTTCACCCAGAAGTGGGTTACTCTGAGCAGGATAGCCACTTTTTGATGAATAGTGGAACGAGTGCCTCTTGAGACTAGCCTGGCCATTACGTCGTGTCTCGTCGGTCTGTATCGTCGCATTGAGATTACCAGTGAGAAAGACAGACTTCGGCCGAACAGCTGGAGATCTACCATTCATTTTATCTTGGTTAGAAAAGTACTGGTTCGAATTCTGAGCAAAATTGCCATCTGAAGCTATCCCAGCGTTGGACTCTCTTTTGTTTGGGCAGGTGAAAGCTGATGGGATTGATGCTCACCGCCCAATGGGAAAGTTCGATTAGCAGGCGATCTCGAGCTCGGTAGAGATGAATGAGATATTTCCAGGTGGGTCTTAGTTTCTGGTAAAGAGCTGGCATCAATAGAATCCGTGGAGAAGTTATTGCTAAGGAAAGATAGGTCTGGTACTTGAGAATGGGTCCAGCTTTCTCTTCTGGACGCTTCTTTGCTCATTCTATCAGAATTGCTTTCGAGTTCTTTCGGGTTATCCTCGCCATTTCCTCTCTTAAGCATGACACGATAATGGGTTCTTCAGGTAGGCCAGATGAGAAAATAAAGTTGTGCGTGTGTGTGCGATAGCGTGTGCGTGTCTGGTTTCAACTATACACGATTGTCTTCAAGGATCGTTTTCTCTCGTGGTGTAAGCTCTAAACAAAGCAAGATTTATACAGCCATCATTGACACCAGAACCCGTTTCTTCTACTAGCTGGATACTTGGAATTGAAAATGGTGCAGTGATGCTGTCACGTTGGATTTCTCCGAAAGGACTCTCGAATGCAGCCGACTCATGGTTGGAGGATAAAACTAAAGACTCCTGGTTGAGGATTCTAACATCTCCATCACTCCTGAGTTCCTTAGTATCCAAAGAGATGACACAATCTGTTGTCGCTTCTTGTCCCCGGAAGCGATTGATATGAGGACTGGGTTCGGGAAGATCAAGCAACGATTGAAGGGTTGCAATACTCTCTTTATGTGGTCTGTAAGATCTCTCATTATCGGCCGCTTGGTTGGATAAGTTCGTAACTGCAGTTGTCACTTCATCTGACATTTTGTTTTGCGGAGTAGGCGACGTAATTGCCGCGCTTTCGTCGTCCTCTGCTTTAAATGTAAGCCTTTGAGTCAACGAGTTCTTCAAAAGCTGAAGCAAATCATAAAGTAATATACTCAACCTTTCGTCATTCTCAGCCATAAATTTCGAATTGAGCAACTTCACAAGTTGTGATATGAACTCAAAATGTTGCAAGTCTGTTTGTACCATGGTATCAATCAAAGACGTATTCCTGACAATAAGTATTCTCAAGAAAGTCAGAATTATTTCCAGGACTATCACAACTCCAGGACCTTCGACATCACGAATAACTGGAATGAAGCCAACCAAGAAAGTCAAAAAGTTATTAAACTGGGAAGTAGAAGTTTCAATCTTATCAATAAACGAGTCATTGATCTTTCGGAAAAAATCTTGAAAAATGGCAATGTGGCATTTGTTAGCATCTTGTAGATTTGAAAGGTCAAGAGATGAAGCCAATTCTAAAAACAACAGCTCCATACGGTTGAACACCGATAGCTTCACTTTCGAATCACACAAGTTGAAAAGCTCGCCAAAATATGAGTTAGAAGAATCTAGAAAGAATTTCAGACTTTTTATCAAAGTGTCAAGGATTCCATCCACATCAGACGCGTCTGTCACAATGATCGAGAGTATCATTTGGACGACTGGTAAGTTGAATTCATTAATAATAGGAGCCAAGCGATCGATATCGCTTGGTTTGTAAATAGGTGTAACAATGCCCAACAAGCGACTAGTTAAATCCAAGATTTCGGATCCTGATAAATTTTCCGCAATATAGTGACCGGCCTTGGTCGGATCATCTATGATGGCTTTGAGAACTTCATTTTCGTCAATCCCCACCTGATAAGGTATAATAGATTTCACAAGCGTTTCAACAAATAAACCGTAGTTGTCCATCTTGTACTTTTCACGAACACTTTCAAACAATATCGACAAATAACCCGAAGATGGCTTTCTCGAGACACCCCCAAAAAATATATGATGAGTAAGAGCCTTCCGATCAATCTGCTTAAGTTCTCCCTTTTCGACGAGCTCTATGATGGAATTACAAGATAACAAATCGAATCCCAATGTAAAGCGCAAGATAGGTTCCAAGAGGCTTAGGCCTTCCGAAGAAGAAGATTGCTCCCTAAATATTTCAGCAAACGCTAGACCCAAAGGACTTGGCGTTGAATTAATTGCACCTCGCTGTAGATTGGAAAGTAACTTGAAAAGCTGTATCTCGTTTTTTTCTTCCATATGGGCATCAACCATGCCTAGCAAAAATCTAGCTTGAGACGACGTAGCTGAATAGTTGAGGACGTTCTTCATGGTAGGAAACTCTTCTTGAAGTTCATCAACTATTTCTGTGACTTCTTCCTTGGTAAGCATCTTTTGCTCTCTCGATTTTAAAAACTCGAGCTCTTCTAGCAATAGCTCTATATCGAGAGAATCATCGAGAAAATCTTTCAGACTCTTTGTATTGGATTCCACAAAGGAACTATCCATATTATGATAGATATCTTTGCCATTCATTGCTTCATTGTATGGGGAGAGATGATCATTCAATGGGCGGCGAACTTGACGGTATATGTGCTCCCATATTGGCCTAAAATGAAACATGTCACACTCTCTTGACATCAAATCCTTGTAGTCTTGGACTATGAGTTTGAAGATGTCGTGTGATACGGGCGTCGAGTCCGTAAAGCTTCCTGCAATGAAGTTGAGTAGCTCTGAATGCTTGAGGACAAGTCTTCCGATGAAGTAGAGAGAATCCATGTAGAATATCATGACCTTGTTCTCGTTCTTCAATATAAATCTAACAAATACCTTGAAAAACGCGGTGAGATTGCTTGCAAGAAGAAAAAGATCATACACTGCTGCAATAACATCAGGTGTTATATGAACCAACTTGGATGATTTTGATATCGACGATTTTAATTCAGATGTAAACCAGTTCATCACCAAGAATTGAAGACCAACACTGAGATCTTTGATGTGATCAAATACAGAGACATCGACATGACCTATTTCGTTGCTCATGATCTTATCTAAGAACCCTTCTCGAAGAAACTCTATCGCGTTGTTGAAAGTATTGATGAAATGAGCCTCTGTCCCTTTCCATTTCTTTAAAATATGGTCACATTGGCGATTATTGAGAACGGGGAGGTTCTGGAGCAACAGAAGGTGAAAGTGGCACTGAGAACCCAAGTCATCCACAATCTTGTCATTTTGCGACCCAGGAGAGAGAAAAAAAATCCCGCTGGCAATTAACTTCCTCAAGTACGCAGAGATTGTAATCACCTTGAGTTGGTAGAGCTCATTGAAAAGGACATAAAGATTCTTCATAGATATCTCGGTAGCAGGAACGTCCGCCAAACAGAAAATGCACTCGAGAATTTCATTTTCAAATTCATTCCTTAAATGTGCCCAGGTCTTACCTCTTATATGTAAAAGCCTGGACTTAATAGCATTGCAAGCGATAAGAAGAAATTCGCAAGAAGGTCCCATTTCTCTGTAAGACGAGACGCACCAAAAAATCACAGTCTTTAGTTTCACGCGTAAGGGTGAAATGCTCGTCACAGGCGATCGCCAAATTGACATATTGAAAGCTTGTCTAAACTTGTGGCGGTCTAACTGCTCTATGAGCCTGAGAATATCATCATATGATCTGTGGATTGCTGTATGTTGAAAACTGAGCTTTTGAGACTTCAGATCATCCGAGAGCCCGGTGGAAGATGAATCCTGGCAGTTAACCATTAAACTCTCATTCCTAAAATTCAATAAAGCTAGAACTTTCTCTAGAGCTTGTCTTTGGCTTTGGTTGTTAAACGACGCCGACGCTTTAATAATATTCTGGAGAGTATCTCCAAGGACGATCCATGACGAAGGTATGATGAAGCTGCTCGAACTCTTATGAAATATTTCTTCTATCATTCCAGATAGAATTGATAAACAGTCATCTTTTATGTGTCCAGACTTCGCGAGTTTGATTTCTGGATGCTTCCCTTCAATTGGCAATTTACTCACTATGAAATGGTTCAAAAGCAATGACTCACACAAATGCTTGCAAAGGAAGCTTTCCGCAATGAGATCATTCCAAAAAACTCGGATGATCGTTAGTGCCATAGAAAGCTGACCAAAATCAATTGAGCGCCCTCCCAAAATTCTATGAAGAACTCCAGACTCCTCTTCCATTTCTGCCCTTGCGAGTTCTGTGAGTTGTATAATACTAAGACTTCCCACAATATGATCCTCTCTCAATAGCCTTAGAATTAAGGAGAGAAAAAAAGATTTCTCGACAAGTTCTTCAATGTATAGCATCAGAACGTAAGATATGAGATAGTTCATCCTATCATAGTATCGCTTTTTTAGCTCCGAAGATGTCACACTCCTCATCTCTTTGGAAAATTTAAGAATATAATCTGCAACTTGTTGCGTCCATTCTTGCAACCAACGTCTCTCCAGCGCTTCGTGTACGGCATTGGATGATGCCCCTCCAGATTGTAACCCAGAGCTTTTCGCTTGACCTTTTTTTCTTATCAGCATTAATTCACTGAACAAGGAACACTTAGTAAACCAAATAGCTCTTGGCAAGGGGACATTACGGCTACACATAGCGTCAATAAGCACTTTGTTACGTAGCCCGTGCGGTATTCTCAAAGAAACCTTACTTAGAGGATATTCTGCATCCGCTAAGTCTCTTAACCAGGCATCCTTTTTCAGAGCCGTTAAAGTTACACGCAGTGGTATCCTGAAATTATATGAATTCGATTTGATCTTGTTGATTGCATCATCGCGTGTTTTGTAGGACTTCGTTAGGTGCTGGGATAATTCACGGAGAATTTGATTACAATTGTGTGACGAGGAGAACACTGTTTCCTGAACCAATGTACGAGCCGAATAGTATTCATTGGATACCTTCGAGCTCTCAAAATAGCCCTTGTTCAAGTAGTTCAGGTTGTCAAGTTTCTTGTTCATATCATTTTCTTCTTCCCAGGGTGAATAGTCGGGGTATGTCTTTCTAAGAAGCTTGTCATCGAAAGGATATACGACAGGCAGTGGTTTTGACATCAGATACTTCATTCCCACAATAGCATCCTTGACCGCTGCATGGTTGGATGTGCGTGGTCCACTAACTGCCAGTGCGTTTCTTGTCTTATTATCGGCCATTTAGTCATTAGAGTGGAAGAACAGTTGCCGAAGATACAAATGCAATGCTTTTAGAACTTGCTCGACTAAGCAGCTTTGGCGCTCCTTTTCCCACTGCATGAACTTGATTATTTACCCGCACTATGCGAAGTACACTCTACAATTTATTGCTAACAATTATTCAAAAATCTCTAGTATTAATATAGGAATTGCGTGCAATCCAGCCTCACCACTCATCATCATCATCGTCTTCTTCTTCATCGCTATCATTTCCGGTAGCTCCTTTACGTTTTTTTAAGGCATCCGCGAGAGATCCCGCTAACGTAACGTCACCACTTTTTTTGGCCAATATGGCATCTGCAAGACCATTACCGAGCCCATTACCAGATGACGTTGGAAGTATGGTGGGTCTTGATCCTTCGGATTGCACTTCCTGGGGTGCAACTGGCGTTCTCAGCGAGGAAATGTTAGCATCACCATTACCCGAGAACAATTCCTGAGGCGGTTCAACCTCTTTCATGTAGTCCATAGGAGACCATCCTTCGTAGGTCTCATCTAGGTCTTTGACAAGGCCCCATTTCCCATTCACATTTGCGACGTATACGATGCTGTCTTTTACCAAAGCGACAGATCCAGCAACAGAGCCATCATAGTCATACATAACCTTGTAAGTAGGAAACTTTGGCTTAAGAGCCCTCAGCGACGAGGGTGCTGATGGCGGTTGTGGTGGTGCCAGTGGCGTAGGCTTAGACGTAGGCGTGGCAGTGTTTTTGACAGGTGGCCGTGGTGGAGCAGTCGTTTTCTTAGCAGGCCGCGGTGGAGCAGGCTTCACTTGCGCTTGCTGAGAGGATGATGGAGTCAGAGGATTGGACTGGTGATAAGTAGCTTGGGCGATCCCGGGAGGAGCTGGTGGAGGCTTCTTCTGTTGCTTGACATTTGGCTGTGGAATGGTGCTTCTGTCACGGGGGTACAGCTCAGGGACTGTCCTTGGCTGAGCTTGATGGTATGCATGCGCAGCAGCCAGCGCCAGAAAAGCATGCGAGCCATTACGGCTAGCAGGAGCCAGCTTCATCTGTGCTCCTCTGTTGTAGTACTTGCTGTAATCAACAGCAGTTGCTCGAGGCCTTGGTCTCTTCGGATTACGGCTTGTAGGTGCTAAGCCTTGACCAACTGTTACACTGCCAGACTTGTAATTGTCTGCTTGTGCTGATGAAGCTCCAACGATAATTTTCACCACATGAAACTTGCCAGGTTTCTTTTGGTACTCAATGGTAGGACCGATCTTAACAGTTATGCCTCTGTTCAATTGCTTCATGTGAGTTACCAACTCTGTCTTGAAATCCAAGTTGATGAAAATATCAGGCGTACTGGCAGTAGCCGTATGTAACGAAACCGCCAACCAGTTATCCAGAAAAGAAGACAAACCCAAATAGTTGACTCCTGACAAAGGCAAAGTGAACTCCTTTTGCAACGCTAGGCGCTTTTCGACGACAACTTCAGCAACAACGTATAAATTGTTCTTCGTGAGAATGAATATTCTTGGAAAACGCTTTGAGGATCTGCCGAACTTAGACAAAAGTATTTCTCCTTTGGCTGAGAAAACAACATACTCGTTGATCCCTGCCAGTGTGACAATAAACCGGCCATATCCGCTCGATTGGTTGCAGCCTAAATAATCCCCCATATAGGCTCGGGAACCCAACAAAGACATCCTTCTGCGCTCTTTTCTTCCGCCCAAGATTTCACTCCCAGTGTCACGGAGTTGTTCGAACTTGTTGCCATGCTTCTTTGTTCTCCATGCAGTTTGAATAACCTTGGCGGCATCTTCTTTTCTTTTCATATACCGTCTCCATGCTCTTTGAATCCTTGCAGCCATGTTGTGCCAGTATTTATCTCTCATATCTTCTAAAGCGAATAATGTTTCAGGGGTCTTAATGAACACCTTTGTCGTGCCCATTTGGTACTCTGTAGGTGGAATATGACACGACTTGAGGATTTCTTTCACGGCAGTTATGTCGTCACCACTCCAAATGTAATCACCTGCGTAGCCAGTCTTTGAGGACAAAAGGTAGAACCTTTGTACAAATTTGTCAAACGTTGTCCTATACGCGAAACCAGCCCTTCTGATTCTCACGTTTTCCTTTAACCCCAAATACTTTATTTGATGTAACACCTGCTGATTTTCATAGTCCTTCGGCCTTTTTGTTTGGTTGGGTTTGATGGTTCTAATATAAGATGGTTGACATTGAGATAAAGTATCGACTAAAATATTCGCACTTTTCTTGATCTTGTCCGACGCAGTCTCTGGTCTCTTCTTACTGTCCGTAACAGCAGCTAGAAGATGAGATGGGAATAATTCCTTGTTCACAAAAGTATTATTCGAGGTTGATAAGACCTCCAATAAATCGCGCAACATGTTATCCTTATTCTTGTCAGTCATGCCAGATACCTCATAAGTAACATCACCGGCATAGTGTTTGATGATAAACTTGCCCCGTCTATCTTCAAAATGCTTGTTGCTGGCACCCACCATACTTAACCGTTGGGCAAATACCTGGTCTGCGGCATCAGAGTCTGCATGCGCAGTTTTGATGGAATCGTTCAAAGCGGCGAACAAGCCAGGTTGTGGTCTTGTGGCTTCTATTAAATCGCAGACAACTTTGTTGTTAAAATAATCAATGGGGGTCCATTGGATCTGCTCTTGCACATACTCTTCTTGTTCCGCCTTCAAAGTCAACTGAATAAAGATCTGCTGCAATTTTTCGTTGACGTAGTTGATGCAAATTTGCTCAAAAGAGTTTTGATCAAAGATTTCGAAACCATAAATATCCAAAATACCAACAGACTTTTTCTCGTAATTGTGAGATGGATCCTTAAGAGAACGATTGACTCTCTCGACAATCCATTCGAACAAATTATTGTAGATACCCTTGGCTAAAGCATCTCTCACGGCTATGGCTTGAACGATGTTCAATGGCACATGATATGTAGACCCCCTTCTCATTCCGTGTGAAGTTTCAATGATTCGCTCGACGATAGATTTCTTCAAAAGCTCAGGGTCAACCTCCAAAAGGTATGCAACAAAAGTTGTGACCCCTTCGTCTCTGACTGCGGCATTTCCTTCTTCGTTCTCAACGAAAGAAATGTTTCCAATCCACAAAATGGCAGCCAACATTCGGAAGATGCTGTCTTGTTCGCTCTGTTGCAATCCAATAACATTCATGGCATTGATAGTCTCAGAAAAATCCTTATTATCATCGATACCATCAGCGGTAGTACATTGAGCAGCAGAGGTGTAAATATAGGTCCCGGGACCCTGGATGCCGAACAGCTGTTGGTATTGCGGTGGGCAATGCTTCGTAAACTGATAGAAAATATGAAAATTCCTCTCATTCGTGATCTGCTGGACGACTCTTTGTTTCTCCAACAAGTAGTTCGTGATATGGGCAGCAATGGGTTGATAGTTCTCGGGATTGAAATATATCTCAAGGTATTTACCATGCCTTGAAGAATTGTTGTTTCGCAAGGTCTTCGCGCATCCAAAAGACTCTAACAAAGGGTTGGTAGCCAATACCATGTCCTTTATTTTGCCAATCCCGGATGAGGAGCTGGCCCCCCCGAGCTGGTCATCAACGGAGACATTTGCTATGTATTGCATGATCTGCTTAGCAGCTTCCGTCTTGCCTGCACCAGACTCTCCTGAAATGATGACACATTGACTATCACCGTATGATTTCAAATTGTAGTACATTGACTCAGCGATGGCATAGACGTGTGGTGGCACCTCCAATCTGTTCTTGCCTTTGTACATGTTCAACATTTCTTGGGTATATATGCCGAGATCCTGGAAAGGGTTGACAGATATCAAAACATGACCGATGTAGGTATAAATCGTACCATTCATAAATCGCTTGTGCAAGTTGTCGTTGATAGATTCATCCGAAATTTTGGATAAGAGAGTTAGATCGGAGACGCCAACTTCCTTCTTTTTATGCAAATCAAACTCGGCTTTTTTGATACCAGTTCTGGCGGGAGCCTCTTGTTGCTTCGCCTTGGTACGACCACCTCTCTTAACAATTGCCATTGCAAAGTATCAAAGATGGAACAGTAGGTAAGGTATGGAACTCGAGATGGGAAGTGCATTACCTGTCCGGTGCGCAAGACGATATAGTACAGCTTTGGTAGTGCACCAACCGTCATTGGTCAATTGCTTGGTATAAACTATTCCCGAAATCGAGCCGATAGTCACCGCCGGGGCGCATGCAGATCTTCGAGAGGTAACCACTACTGAGTCAAGGCCTCTGAATTTAAGTGAATTACGTAGAGTTTCCTTATTTTTGGTTTTTAACTTATCTTTTTGATTTATTCTTTGTTTGCTTAATTTCTTCCTTCTGAGTGATGCATTAACCAAAGATTTCATCATTTAGCTGGACCATATTCTCACCATCTTGTCTTTGCCCCCTGAGGACACCTTCCTTCCATCCATGCTCCAGTCGACGCAGTAAACCTCATCTGAATGTCCAGGAAGGTCTGTTAATAATTTCCGTGTCTTTACATCCCACACTTTCAAAGTTGTGTCTTTCGAACAACTAACTAAAAGCCTATTATCGGCCGACCAGGCAGTTTGATAAACCGATGCGACATGACCTCTAAATGTTCCCAAGAACTTGCCAGTTAGCCCATCCCAAAGTTTGATTGAATTGTCGAACGATGCAGAAACCACAAGTCTGCCATCAGGTGAAAACGAAACATGGTTTACGAGTTTCTGGTGTCCAGTCATTCTGCAAACTGGTTTGCTTGACTTGAGAGGTTCCCAGAAATACATCGTGAAATCGTCACTCGCTGTTACAAGGCGCTCATTAATCAGGCCGCCAATATGAGCAACAGCTTCGTAAGCATCTTTCGCCTTCTTCCGCATCTCCGCCTCGGTCATCTTTTTAGAAGTATGCTTAAGTGAGGCATGATCGAAGCAACCTTTACGAATCACGTAATCTGTAGATAAAGATAAGTGATTTACCCAATGTGCGTGGCTTTTGAGCGTCTGTAAGCATTTACCGTCAGCGGAAATGTCCCATGCTTTGATTGACTTGTCGTGGGATCCACTATACAAAATGTTGGAACCGGACCATTTGACGCAGGAGACTGAATTTGTATGTCCACTTAATGTAAAGAGGCATAGTCTTCTCGTCGTATCCCAAATCTTTAAGGAACCATCCTTTGATCCTGAACTGAGTCTTGGCTTTTCACCCTCCTTAACCAAGTGTAAGGGCTCCCACGCAATGCTTGAAATCCACTTCAGATGACCCAAAAGTGGGTTACCAAGAGGTTCACCTGTCTCTGAATCCCATAATCTGATCGTATTATCCATAGAACCCGTCGCAATCATCGATCCACATGGAGAATAACTCACGCAGAGAATCCAGCTCGTGTGGCCTCTTAATGTTCGGAAAGGGGTGAGTGTATTGCAATCCCAAATTCTTGCCGTGGAGTCACCAGCACCTGAACACATACGGCCTGAATTATTGGGTGCAAACAGGCAGCAGAGAACTGTTGACTCGTGGCCTGCTATGGCGGCGTTTGACCTTGTAATCGGTCTTACTTTGAATACTGCTTTGGGTGTGAAAATAACCGTCATAAAGTCTTCCGTTGTCTTAAGACCTGGCTTCAACACAGAGTGGTAAAGATTATCTTTTATGTCTATGAGCTCATTCTTCTCAGCAAGTAAAGAAAATGAATATGGAACAGGTTCATCAATCAGGCCGTTTAAGTTATTTAAGAGCTCTTCTAACTGGGATTCAGTTATTCCTCCAGGGACTCTAACCGATCCGCCAACGGTCTTTCCAGTATCTGCTGCTTGAAATTTTATGAGAACATTGGGGATATCGTCCGGGACAATTTTGGTTTCTTGTACCTCTTGTAACTGCTTCCTTTGACGCTTCGAAGGTGGCGGAATAAGAGTAGCCATGGTTAATTCTCGTTATCCACTACCTTACCTTCTTTTCAAGTCGCTCACCTCGATGCTCATCACGATATATATGCAGTATCTTACATGTTTTGGCGGTGACTCTAGTAGGTATGAGAAGCTGTCCCGCCAGTGAGCACATCCCATTCTTTCACCAAGTGACCAAAATACGGCTATTCAGCCCGTAGTCTTCGAATAACAGTTTATCTATCAAGTTTGAATGCCTTGAAGTGATCAACTCGGACAGGGTTTGGAGATTTATTTGAGTTTGCAAATCATCAAATGTACAAGCAACAGCTTAATTCAGGAAAAGTGTATAATTTTTTTTTTTTTTTTTTTTGTTTGTTTTTTAATTCGTATGTACTTTTCTCTCTCTCCTTTCCTGCTAGATCGTCAAGTAGCTTCACCTGAAGGATAACTTCGATTTCTCAGGACTGCACCGTCTGCCTGACATTTTGTGGGGGGGCTCGTTGCAACACATCTATTTTAATGGCTTATACACACAATGGAGATTAGAGATCTCCCCCTTAATATCATCAGTCTAATATTTGAATATATACCACTGGAAGAGATAGACAGAGTTCTTACCGCTGTTGGACCCAGACCTCATGATATCCTATATCGTGCTGCAGACACAGTGAAGCATTCCAAGCTACTTGTCACCAACGAGTGGCAACTGCTGCTAAAGTTGCTACCTAGAGCAGTCCAGATCTTACCAATTCGTTTACTAGAATACTTTTGGCATATATCGTTGAGTGACTTTAGAAACCTTGCATTTGAGCTCGAAAAGAAATGGGACGGAAGAATACCGGTTAAAAGAAACATATCCTTGGTCTTCAGATTTGATCTATCCAACTCCAGTGCAAGATATAAAACTTTCCGAGACTTGCAGTATTTACTTAAGACTATGCCTATTCCTGTTCAAAGGGCTACGAAACTTTTGTACTTAAGTGTACCGGACACTCAAGGATTCCTCCTAGGGGAAGGGATAGACCAACTAACGGGTTTGGTCCTTCAAAGGTTGGTCCACTCTCCAGCATTTCACAAATCGCTTGAATCCCTCAGATTTCAGAGTGCTACTCCATCATTCTCCTTGTTAGCCAGCTCCAATATTACCTTGCGGAAATTGTCGCATTTTGATCAGCTTTCGTCCTTAGACCTATGTAATCTCGGGTTGAGAGATTTACGAGAGATCTGTCTACCGGCATCACTAGTCCATCTCAATTTGTCGCAAAATAGTCTTCAAACTATCAAACAGGACCGACTTCCGCCAAAGCTTTTCCTGCTTGATCTTTCGTTTAACCTTTTAACTGAAGTGGATGGTTCATGTCTTCCGGCGAATTTGAAGAAGCTTAACATCAGAAGAAACATGGTCGAGCATCTTGAAGACTTGCCAACAACACTTGAGTACCTAGATATTTCATTCAACGAACTAACTAGCGCACCATTCGCCATTCCTCCAAATCTTTGCTACTTGCGTACTGACATTGCACAATTTTATTTGATGTCAGAGAGTACTCGACATGACCTCTTAAACCAGAAAGTCATCATTCAAAAGCATGATAACAGGGGCTTTGATTGAGCGATAGGAAACCCACGATCAAGAACCCTCAAAAATGGTACCTGTCAGTTCGACATCAGAACCTTCTATTACCAGTGCTTGCGTATCTTGTATGGGCAAGTTTCCAGCTCCAAGGCTATTTTCCGCGTGCGACTCCCATCTCACTGGTGAAGACGGCACTTGTTCGGCTAGCTTCAGTCGTTTTCGTGCTCTCTCGTATGGTGGCTTTAATTGTTCCTGAGTCGACAGAATCGACTCTTCTAAAAACGAACTTAGATCTTCGTCGGGCGCATCCAGTAAATCAATTAGCCAATCATTTTCTATAGACTCTTTGCCATACAATTTATGGTTAAAGTCGAAGTATATCGGATCTATTATATTCCCTGTTCCAGTATCTTTATCGGCCTTTGCAGCTGCAACTTTTCTTAAAGTTTGATGACTTGCTGAGTTTTCTGCCATCGAAAAGTGTTGACTTTTGTGGTACCAATCGTTGTAAAAAATAACCCTCTGTGTTATCCTGCTTTCGTTGAGGCCAGCTTGGATGGCTTGGCCTATCTTGTCGTACTTTATCGGATCAAAATGAAGAATTTTCTTTTGTTGCTGAGACGGAAAAATTTCGCTCTCCGACAGCAAAGCATCCGAATAATGGTTTATGGAGGGTTTGGGCCTGTTTTTGTACTTCACATCCATACAACCAACTATTAGGACTAGCAGATTATACGACACCAGATAACTATTGAGGTGTTGAAATAATGCATCGACATGAGTTTGAAATTTTGAGAAGGGACTTTCATTTGCTAATGACGATTGTCCGTCCAAAGTTGGCACACTTTGCTCATGATTGCCTCCATTCTCGTCTTTGCGAAAATTGTCGATAACGACAGAATTACGTTCAATTTGATGCTTGAGCAAAGCTTCTTCAAAAGACACCACAATTTGGTAGCGATAATACTCAACTACTTCGTGAAAGTTCACAATTATGACAAAAGCAGAATTTGCTAAAGATTTTAACGGATTCAACATGAAGAATGAAAGAACCTGAGCAAAAGTCGGAAGATAGAATCGTTTAATCCTGCTCATCCATGCTTCTTCGTACCGTGGATGCTGACTGAATAATTGCCATGGGAACTGGTTAAAAGTTTCGATCACTATCACTGTCTTGTTCACGTCCTCTTCAAGCTGTGACACCATCATATTGCATATCACAGCAAACATTGCATTATGAATCGGAGTAGATTGAAAATCCAAGATTGCGTGCGATCCAGCAACCCGAATCACTGAATCAAGACCCGAAATTCCAGTTGATATATGGGCCCATGTTGGTTTCTTCAGGAGGATGTCGAAGAGGGAAACCATCGGAAAAGGGCCGGCGGTTTAATTTAGATAAATACTTTCCGAGAGATGTTCTGATTTTCTAGAACTTTCAATGGTATTTTTAGACGGGCTTTCAGATCAGTATTGCAGTCGGGACATTTTGATTAGGTTGTTACCCTCTCAAGTTCATAAGTTGGCGAGTAAAAGTAGTATAAGGTTCGGTAGGTATGACGCCAACACCTTTGCACCATAGTATGAATCAAAGGAGGAGATTGGGGTACCGCAACCAGTTATCTTAATAGACCTTGAACCAAAAAAAAAAATAAAAAAAAAAAAAAAAAAAAAACGATGGATGTAAGAGAAGAGGAAGATAGAAATAATATACTAGTTTAAGCAAAGAATAAAAAAAAAAAAAAAAAAAGAAAAATTTGAACTAAGGAAGAGCCAGCAATACAGTTACTTTAATGTATCAATACTTCGCGATCGTGATAACATCCTTACATCTGGTGTATTGTGATCAGAGCCAGGGTTAGAAGTGTTGTCTTTACACTAACAATACTAAGATTCTTCAATTTCTGTCATAGTTGATAGGGCTACATATATTTTACAGATATCCTACCTTAGTTAGAAAGATTCTATATACTGGTCCATATCCATTTTTCCATACCTCAAGAAAATAGCTCCGAAGTTATAGACAAAATGCCCAACCAACTGCCTAGTTCACAGAAAGACCAATCTGCTTTTGCATCACGTCATGGCTTACCTCATAGGGCTAGCGGTTCAAGCAGACGCCCAGGTCTTTCGAGGAGTCAATCAAATTATGCGACAAATGCTCCTACGTCTACCACAGGAGGAAGCGTCACAAGCTCAAAGACAGTGAAACGGCCCAACAGAGAACGCTCGAGTAGTACTAGCTCGAACGGAAACAACTCATCAGCGGCTAATCCCTCAACGTCCAGCGAGCCGAGGAAGAACCGTGCCAAATCAATGAGCCAAACTCTCGCCAACAATTTGCATAATAGCAACCAGTACATCGCACAGGAAAGAGCATATTTGAGAAGGATACGAAATCAGTGGGATAATGATTACTACACCAAAGGCATAAAAGGTGCTGATGAGGAATCCAGCAAAGGAGATTCTAATAACAATGAAGACGAAGAGGAGGAGGATGACTTCCTGACGTACGGTAATACCGACCTCTTAATTGACATCGATGACGAAAAGTATCAGATCGACTATAGTTTGGCTTTCGACATCATGAAATCTGCGAATACCAACTTGAACTTTCAGAACTCAAAACTGCTTGGGGAAGACACGGTAGAGGACCCTGCCGTGGTAGAACGCCTTGATTGGCAGGCGATGTTGTCATCTGTTCTCACAGGGGATGTTGTAAGATCTGAGAAAACTAAAATAATTGATAACACTAGCGTCAACGATGGTCAAGAACCGTTTTTGCATACGAATTACAAAGAGAATCTTTGGTTTGGAATTCGTGCAAAACTATTTAACAGAACCGAAGATGACCAAAAGAAGATAATCTTCTATCGCAGAACGTTGACTGATCAATTGATAGAGGAAATCATGAACTTCGAACTTTGTTATGACGACAAGCATAAGTTAGCTCGTGATCAGGTAGTCGACATTTTGGAGAAATATGAAAGAGTCTGTGATCAATGGCGAAGTCTTGAGGATATGAAACATGACAAACCTGCTTGTCGCACTGAGGGTTTTCAGAATAGAATTGATGCTCTTAACGCTTGGCTCAGCATCACCGATGCAATCGAAAGAGAATCGCAGTCATTTAAACTCTGGGTTGGAAACGATGATCTAGATATTATGAAAGGTAAATGTGATTCCGTGGTCCCTAACGAAGCCGAGCTTGAAAGCAGTAGTCTCACAAGCTCCAAAAATAAAGTTGTGAAGAAAATTTTTGAAGAAGATAATAAATCTTTGGCTGAAAGGCTCATGAAAGAAAAGGATGTTCATACAATTTTTCGAAAACGTATCTTTATTCCGCTTGCTCCATGGATGGTAAAGTCAAGGGAGACATACATCAACCTTGGCCATATTTTCGAATTGCTAAAATTGCCTGATTATATTCATGACTTGATTCAACTTTGCCTCATCCCCATGCGTCTTATTAAGGAGATTATCAACATCAGAATGAAATACGCCTTGAAATTACAGAACCCGACCTTGATGATGATAGACCAGATGATTGAAGATTTCAAATCTTACATCACCATTGCATTGGAAGTGAAAAATGGAATTATGAGTTATTGCAAGGCAGATGAAAACCGAACTTGGCTCATCGCGGATCTTTTTGACAATGACATAGTAGACTTCGACCGGGTTGTTCTCCTGTGTGTGCGCTACTTCCTTGTTCTCTTGAACAGAAAACTCATCGATAGCTCTAAAACGCCTAATACATTTCGGACCAATAAAGAGCCGGAGGAACTTGAGGACACATGGAACTTTCTCAAGTCTTTGGGAGAATTCATTGATGGTGGGAGTACCGTGGTTGCAGAAAATATCACGCTAATCACGCTGCGATTGTGTCTGAAACTTTTGTCTTATCTTAATAACCAGATTAAGAACCCACCTAGCTCTAATATGAGTTCGAGTGAGCTCATAAGATGGTATAACTCCACTACCGAAAATTTCGGACAGCTCAGACGAAAGCTAGCCAGGTTCACTAGCGAGCTATCCCGCTCATTTACCAATTCGATCACCTTCGAGATCCCTACAAACAATGGAAGTCGCACTAAAGCTCTCTTGGAAGCTTTGAAGAGCACTGATCATTTCCTAGTATATACTGGGACAGTTGAAGCGCAGGGTATGTACTTCTTCGCAAGTCCCGAATTGAGGGACGATGAGTCAGAAATTTTGAGGATTATAAACGGCTCACGGATAGGAATTGATCAGTCGGATTCGTTTGATGAATTCGTAGGGCTCTTAAACATGGTTAATGTTTCAGGTGAGGATGACTTTGCGAATTCTGATGAGTACATTCTGAAGCTTGGCTATGTGCTTGCCCTTTGTCCTCCTAAACCAATCGTGTGGGAAGGTGATATGATCACGTTGAACATCAAGGAAGTGCCTATATCAGATGTGAAAGTGGGTCAAATGCTATTCGTCACCAGTGATCCTTTTTATAACCTCGTTGAAATACGATCCCGCTTTGTGGAAACTGTCACTGACGCAATGGAAGGGGGTAATACGCTTAAAGTCGTCGAACAGCGCTCTTCCTTGGCAAAAGTCCATCGAGAACTCACAAAGATCAACAAGATTTTTTTTAAAATGACGATGGCAATACTAGACTCCGTCAAGATTATTATAGAACGGTGCAAGATGCTCATTCCGAGTGGAGGATATCAAGAATTAGTGAACTCATATTTCATTTATGCAAGAGATTTTGGGAAAGGGTCCGTTAAATGGGCAGATCCTCTGAAGAAATCTACGGTCATAATGAAACTCATTCAGCTCTCTATTCAATGGGTCAGTTTCATATGTGATGATTGCATACCAACTGACCGCAAAACTTTTCGATGGTGTGTGCTTGCCCTTGAGTTCTCCATGGAGATGACCCGTGGATTTAATGTACTTGTTCTCAACGAAGACCAATTCAATAAGCTTCGACTCAAAGTGGCACGCTGTATGTCGCTTCTAATATCACATTTTGATATAATGGGTGCTCGGTCTAGCGAAGCCGAGAAGAAAAAACTACTCAAGTGGACCTCGCAAAGACACAAAATCGAGAACACTACGGACGATGAGTACATTCTTACCGCCTATCGGGAAGATGTCATGAAGGAAATCGAAGAAATTGAGAATTATAGGGCAGAAGTTCAAGAACAGTTGAATTCCATTGGAAGAGTGTTGGACGTTTCCGATCTGGAGTATCATTTTGTGAAACTTCTCGCCTCCTCCTTCTCTAGTGTTTCTATCAGGTGGCAAAAAGGGCGCTTCATAGGTGGTGGATCTTTTGGCCAAGTTTTTGCTGCCGTCAATCTAGACACTGGGGGCGTCATGGCTGTCAAGGAGATCCGGTTCCATGATAGTCAATCAATCAAGATTATCCCTTCGATCCGGGATGAGATGACAGTGTTGGAAATGCTTAATCATCCTAATGTTGTGCAGTATTTTGGTGTTGAAGTACACAGAGATAAAGTCTACATCTTCATGGAGTTTTGTGAAGGGGGATCACTCTCTGGCTTGTTGGCACATGGACGTATCGAGGATGAAATGGTTATACAGGTTTACACCTTGCAGATGTTAGAAGGTTTAGCTTATTTGCATCAATCCGGCGTTGTTCATCGTGATATCAAACCTGAAAATATCTTGTTAGATCATAATGGCGTAATTAAGTTCGTCGATTTCGGTGCAGCAAAAGTTATAGCTGCGACTGGCAAAACCAGAACTTCCACTATCCAGCCCTCACAAACAGGCAAGAATAACCCAGAGAACCTCAACTCGATGACGGGGACACCTATGTATATGTCCCGGAGGTGATCACAGGTCAATCGACAGCCAAAAATGGAGTGGTCGATATTTGGTCCCTTGGTTGTTGCGTTTTGGAGATGGCAACTGGAAGACGTCCATGGGCTAATTTGGATAACGAATGGGCCATCATGTACCATATTGCTGCTGGGCACAAGCCTCAGCTACCCTCTTCGGATCAACTTAGTGAACCTGGCCGTTTATTCCTCTCAAAATGCTTAGAACACGATCCTACCAAAAGACCAAGTGCTGTGGAGCTTTTGAGTGACCCTTGGATTGTTCAAATCCGTCAGGCTGCATTCGGCTCGAGTGATGGCTCGACGCCGTCTTCGGAATTTGGACCTGGTATCACGCCCACTGGAGAAATATCAGCGCCATTGACTTCCTTTCCTGAGAGTGGTCAAACAAGTGATGACAAACCTTTATAGACGAATATATTGTCGAAACATGTTTAATATTTAAGCTATTTACAGTATTTTTACCTCCATTACACCACCGACTTATTGAGATAGTGCTTTATCTCCTCGGAGAAATCGCCCTTGATAGTGACCTGTCCTGTTAAGTTACAGGTCTTGACTGCGTTCTTCTTAGAATCTATCTTACTCAACCCCGTTAGTAACTCTTTGGCGAATAGGCCCACATTACCTTCAATTCGCTTGATTTCTGTAGTCACCTTTGTATTTTGGATCTTTTTGTAGACTGGCCAATATCCGTTCGCCGTTTTCTTGATATAGTACTGACCCAACTTTTCAAAGGAAGAGTTGGGAAGGTCATGGATACTAATACCCGAAAGCACAGGGGCGGAGTAGGCGAAAGTCAACAGCTCTCCTGTCCGTGGCACACGGATGCTCTTTAGAAGGCTGGAGGTAGCTTTCATTTTAACGTTTTTCCCGATGTCGTGAAATCCTCTGGAACTTTTTTTTTTTTTTTCTCCTTGCCTTTCTCACGCATAAATGACAAGCTCTTTATTTCTTATGTCCTACATGTACACCAAACCACCACCGCACAAACTTTGTATGGACTTATACAGCTATAGAGTTGTTTATATGCTTAAGGGAATCCGAATTGACCATGGCTAACGTGATAACTGTATTTTGTTAGTATTCTTTTGCTGATGCTCCCGCCTATGCTTAGTGTATAGCTTCTTTTGGTCGAAAACCATCCCACAGTCTTCGCAGGCAAAACGTTTTTGGTGTACTCTTTTATGTTTTGCCAAGTTCGAACTCTCGCTAAAACTTTTCCCACAGCCTGGAAAGTGACATTTGAGGGGCTTTTCGCCAGAATGAACCCGGGTGTGAATTGCTAGAGCAGAGCTAGTGGTGAACTTTTTATCGCAATGCTTGCAAGTGAAAGGCTTTTCCCCTGAATGAATTCTCATATGTTGTTTCAAAGTAGCTGCAACTGCAAAGCTTGCTCCACAAATCTCACACTTGCAAGGTTTGTAGTTTGTATGTATATGGATATGTCTGTAAAGCTTTTGCCGTTGCATAAAGGGTTTTCCTCCATTTCTTTCGCAACCAACCCAGCAACACTCGTACTGAGGCTTACCCAGGCCAATATGATCCAGCTGCAAATGCGCTTGAAGGTCACCATCCGATGCATGCACTTTCCCACAAACAATTGGTTCATTGTTGATATCTGTACCGATCTGCCAGTTACAAGTGTAGAGAGGATCAACAGGCTGACAGCACAGTGACTTTTTTGGTTTTATTTCCATCTGCGTGATGCTGACGCCATTTGAAGGGCTTTGTTCTTCTTTCTTGACAAAAGTCTTCGGGGATCCAAGTGAGGAAACAATAGAGTTCGGTGTGAGTAAAGGAGACCCTCTGGGAGCAGAAGTGACAGTTTCTGACCGAGTGCTGGCGCAACTCTCCTCGTTAAGACCTTTATGAGTGCTCAAATGGCTGACAAAGGATTCATAGTTTTCGTTTGTGAATCCGCAGTTATACCACTCGCATTGGAAAGCTTGGTGCTGCAAATTCTCACGGTTATCCAAACTATATTCTTCGTTAACATGGTCAGCAATTAAGTGGTCCAATAAAGTGCTATCGTCAACTTTCTTGCAGCAGTTTTCCCACTTACAAGAATATGATGAGGGTGCGTTGGGTGACGGAGGAGGTATTGAGGAGCTATTATAATGAGAGTGAGACTCGAGCTTTCCTTGATCCTCTTCAAAAAGCAGATTGAAATTATTAAACTGGAGAAAAAAATCAAAATCGTTGGGTTCCGCTGTCGCAGACAATCCAGGGGGTGGGTATTCATGTTTCAATGACGGTACTCGAGCATGAAAACATGATTGATGGGTATTATGCGACGTCTTTGGCGGGATAGACCTATCAACTGGGCAATCTTTACACAACGTTGCAGGAGACGACTCTGGAGAGATTGTTGGCCTGGCTCGTCTATCATCTTCGAACTCCCGCACCAGGTGGCACCGGTGAGGAAAATGTATCTGTATATCATCGCTGTTGGGAAGAGCGATTCGTCTTTTTTCGTTGGCTGGTGCCCATCATCTTCCTTTGATTTTCTCAGCAGTTCAACACTCCTTTGCACATTTTCCAAAAGACTTCGGAAGATTGCCATCCTCTGCAGTTGTGTATCACAAAGGTTATTTTCATGACCTAAAACATCATGGCTTTCTAAGCATTTGGGGTCGTCGCAAATCGCATCAGTATCCTTTAAGCAGTCGGGATCTTCGCAGCATTCAATCTCAGAAATTTTGTCGGAGCAAAGTTCATCTTCACAAACGGATGATGTATCACTATCTTGATGCGCTTGATAGTTTGTACAACGGGTATTCACACAATCCTTCGAAAGGCAATCAACAGTGTCGCAAACCTTGGGGTTCTCGCAGTCACCAAAGTAACAGTCGTCAAGTTCACTGCAGAAGATATCATCGCAGTCTTTGTTGAGCTCAACGCATCCATGAGTTTCAAGAGGAGGAGTATCTGCCTCCCTGGCCCTATCAGCCTGATGATCATGATTATGGATATGTCCATGAATATGCATATGGTCTTCGTGCTGGTGAACATGACCATGAATATACCCATGTGTCATGACTTGCTGAACATCCTTGATAGCCTGTTGTTCATCCAACGATGAAAAGACGCTTCCTAAACCAAGGGATTGGTCCGGCGTCATGCCCTTTATTTTTCTCACTGATGACGTCTAGAAATGGGTGGAGACCCTGCTCCCCTAAATCAGAACTTACTCTTAGTTGTCCCAACTAAGCAAATATTCAATCAATCGATGAAGAAATGTGATTTTCACCTTAAGATTTAAGATATTTGACGACAAGCGACACCAGAATCAATAATCAGTTTTTACCCTGGTGGTTAGCGAAAAATGATGAAGTACTCTCGGATTTCCTATATAGAGGACATGGTGTACTGGTCTTGTGGACTCATGACATTCAACTATTTTAACTGCGATGAGATGAAGCTTTCGATATACCATCAATACTGTTTCAGAATATGATATGAATTAAATCAATTCGCCAAGCTAACCCAAGATCTTTCTCTCTTTTTTTTTTTTTTTTCTTTTTTTATTTTTTTCAGTGGCATTGTCTTGAACATTCCTCAAAACATTCTGGTGGTAAGGGAATTGAATAGTCTCTCGAGAGTTTGAACGATTAAATGATGCTAAAATGTAGATACAAATATGCAATATTATACTAAAAGATAGTGTAATATGGTTCTAGGTCGTTTCTGATCGATGATAGGACAACGGATAAGTTGTAGGACTGCGTGACTTAAGTAGTTTCCTCGTTTCCTCAAATTTCGGCGCTCCCCATCGATCGTGACATGCATATGACGTGCATAGCGATAATAACATGCCCCGCGACATATATCAACGCTTATACCTGTTGTGTACTTTTTTAGTCTTTAGCGCGACCGTGTACCAGGGAATTCTCCTGGTTATCGCGTCCCTCAGAGATCTATTCATGTCAAGAGTATTTCATTTTGCAACTTCTTCTATAGATGCAGCTCGTTCCAGGCACGACACCGTTGTTTTGCTCAAATTGTAGCGATAAAGTCCCCAGAGAAATACAAACCATAGATTTATACGAAAAGTTCAGCCTTTAAGATGTTGCGCAAGTTACTGTTGGTTATACGATCAGTCATATCGAAAATAAAAGTTAGCTTAGTGGGAGCTAAAGCGAAAGGTTGCTTTCATGAAGCAGTGAAGGCTGACCTCGATACATATCCGTGTCTGTCAGAAACTCTTCACGAAAATGTGACAAATGAGCCTGTTGCAAACGATACTTTGGATGACATATTCGAACATTATCTTGGCCTGGATACTATACGACGTGCTTTGCCACCTACTTTTGCCTCGAACCATTTTGACGACAGTGAAACAACTGCCTATGACCCTTTGGAGGGACGGACACGAGATTGCACAGGAGAAGATTATTGCTCACAATTAACTGCTCTAAGAATAGACAAGGAGCTACCGGATCTCCCCTACCCATGTGCCACTAACGTTGGTTCCATAGAAAGTCCTACAGCAACTTCGTCTGCCGCGTCACCAAAGAGATCACAACCAGTATCCACCTTGGAGTTGTCCACTATGGTGTTTGAATTAGAGGACACGAAAGACTTGGGTGATCTATTGAGCGCTGACGCTCATACTTTCAAATCCAGTAATGATCTACGTGTGGTAACTGGTGTAAATCTTGATTTTTCATAGCAGATAAACATTTGACTATTTAACTTTGCAACTCCAGAATCTCATTCTCGTTGGCAACCAAACCCATCACAACCAAGTACATATTTAAGTTATTCAACATGTTCTGCTTTTCATGCAACTTGGCCATGTCTGAATTGGAAATGGCTTTCGCCCTATTCATTACCCCAAAGATCTCGTCTCTCACTTCGTCGACAATGATACGTTGATGGCTTAACTTACCACCAAGAGATAAAGTTGCCAAGAACTGCCAAACATAATCATTTTGGGAGTCTTCGTGGCAAGGTGGGAAGATTGCTGCAATTCTTGACTCGAGAGCTGTGAATAGTTCATCGTAGCAAGAGGTCCATTCGGACAAATCCGTCGCTGAAATCGAACCCTCTCCTTTTATAAGTTCAGCCCTGGAGAGCAAACTTGTAAGAATAGACAATCCAATTTTCGTGGTTGAGACAAAAGAAACGACATTGTGCTGTATTAAAATGACAAGAAGTCCAATTATCTCATGGAATTTGAAATCTTGGACCGAGTTCATCAAAACCTTGCAAAATGTAAGCGAGTATAGGTCCACTAGCTTCAATATTCCTGCTGGGACAATCTTATCATGGTATGTTGTGTAAGACCCCTCTTTTATGACCGTCAAGTTCTCAAGATTTGACATAACTAACGTCACTATAGTTAATGTCTGATCCCTCGTCAAAAACTTGAATAAGCGAGGAAGAATCTTGAGCGTCTTCTCGTAGTTCAAGCACTGGATGAAAGGGTTCACAATCAGCTCCTCGTCTCCAGAGTACGAAGAGCTGTCCAAGATGCATAGAGCATTCCACAACGCAGTGTTATTCACATTGGGTTCCGAACGAGACAGGCTTTCCACCGCAATGAGGTTGTTGATAATGTCCTCCAAGATTGCCATAATATGTTTTTTGGTATATTTCTTGCTCGTCTTGTTTGTAGTAGCCGTAGCAGGTGAATCTTGTATGGGTTTGGGGGAGTCTCCTGATGAAGCTGCATTGTCCTTTGCTCTTTGAGCTGCTTTGCTTAATATCGTAAGTTGCTGTCGAGGCTTCTTTCCCGAACCAACGGAAACTTTCCCCAAAACTCCCTCTCGCTCATTATGAGGTAAGCTCTGCCGTTCCTTTGCAACACTCACTGCCTTCTGAACTTGTTGCTGCATACGCTGTAAAGCGACGTCTGCTCTCTTGAATCTTCCACCGAGCCTATGCCCGCTTTGGTCGAGGTAAGCTTGGGCAATCGAATTGGGTTCCGGTTGTCCACTGGAAGGTCCTAATGCACCAGGGGTTGACTTGGGGTGGATAACTCGGTATACCTGAGCATAAAAATCCTCATTATAAGGGTCGTCAGTGACAATCTGAGAAAGTTGGAACCTGGTGACGAAATCCTTGTCTTTGGGGTTCATAATGCCAGAATAGCGCATTATCCTCCCTACTTTATCTTGACGTTTGATCAAGGCAGAACGTTGCTCGGGCGTAAGATGAGCAAGGTCGGGCCCACGAGAATCGAAGAGTGCATCTTTGCTTCCTTGAATTGAGCCAGAGCTTTTCACAACCTGATCCTTCTTACTCGATAAGTTGCCAGTTCCTAACAAAGGAAACTCTGCCATCTGCTCCAGTTTCTCGTGTTCTTTAGGAGCGTCACCTAGAGTACTGTCTGGTGCGAAAGACCCTTCCGTATGAGCCTCGCTCACATTCAACTTAGGTCCTGAGGTAGGTCCGCTTAGCGCGGCGTCCACAGCTGAAGGGCCAGGTTGGCCGCCTACTGGCATGGTGTTGACTGACGTTGCAGCCGTACGTGGGTCTACCTTGTGATGCCACTCTTCACTTGGAAAAGGAGCATTCGGGATACCTGGACCAGGAGGCACCATGAAACCATTTGGGTGTTGCAACGCCATGAAAGGTGGCGCACCTGGCAATCCAAACTGTGCCAGTGGTGGAATGAACCCCAGTGGTGGAACTAGATAGTTTGGGTAAGGGGCCTGAGGAATTGAGCTCTGGCCTCCATAAAACTGAGAGGGTTGCGCAGCAAATCGATCATGACTGGTCGAGAAAGATCGATCGGTTAATTGGGCTTCGATTTCCTCCAAGCTTAAAAATTTCTTGTCCTGACCTTCAGTCTGGGAAACCTCCTCTCGCCTTTGAGCAGGCATACCCCATAAATCTTTCATGAAGTCGTCATCATTGGCTGCCACACGGGCATAGCTCACCTCAGGTCTTACTGTCAGCAGTCCAGGGCCTGAATGATACTGACCATTGTTTCCAAAATCAAAATCCTTGCCAACACTGCTGACCCCAAAAGTCTCACTGTTGAATGCATCGTCCTCCTCCAACTCACCGAGGCCCTCGTACGTCTCCTGGAACTCGTATGCTCTATCAACCTTTTTGCCCCCATGAGGCGTCTCGTGATTGGAGCCCGAAAGAGACATGGAAATGGCTTACAGTTGTAGATTTAGATTGGTAGTTACTTCAACCCGAAGCTTAGTCGCTGGTAAGAAAAATACAAATTTTTGGTTTACAACAATTGTCTGCGCTCGTCGACATTTCGGTCATACACGACCTAGAATTATGATCACCTAAAGATTTGAAGAGTGCTTAATAATTTCAACTTCATTTCGTCCCACTCGGCCTCTTCTTCACTGAGAACGGTAATTGCTCCTCCTGCTCCGATGCGCCAAATGTTATGTGTTGTTGAATTGTCCCTGTCGTTCTTGTAATGATACATTGAGCGGATGGTTACTGACCAATCTGCTTCGTCTGTAATGGACCAGTAGCCAGCAACTCCGCTATAAATTCCTCTTCTTCCATTATTTGAGGAGATTTGCAAACTCTCGATTTCTTCAAGTAATTGAATAGAGCGTTTTTTTGGTGCACCAGTCATTGAACCAGGAGGAAGTGATTGAGATAAAACATCTAGACCACTACTTTTCCGAATAGAACCACCGATGACACTTACTAGTTGGTATACTGTCTTATAACGCTCAACTGACATTAAAGAAGTAACATTTACATCTGACACAAAAGGATCCAAGTCATGTCTGATAAGATCCACAATCATAAGATTCTCTCCCATCTCCTTCGGTGTCTTAAGTAATGCTTCTGCCTCAGTCATAGTCACGACACCATCATTTCTAACAGTTCCCTTAATTGGTCGTAATTCGACATACTTCGAGTCTGATTCCGCGGTCTCATTCTTCCAACTCAAGAACCTTTCTGGAGAAGAAGACAAAAGCACGCAGTCGTCGAAACACATGAAAGAGGAGTATGGCGATGGATTCTTGTGCAAAGTCAAAATTTTGTACATATCCCATGGGTCAATATGAGAGGGTACCCTGACTTTCAGTTGTGTTGTGAGACAAAGCTCGTAAGAATCCCCCGAATGGAGATAATCCTGGCAAGCTTTGAATTGCTTTCCATAAATATTCCTATCTGGAAAATCGAAATCGAGCTTTGCTGCATCATGGTCACCACAGAAATCTTTGACGGACGCTGGAACATTGCTCTCGCTCAATTTGAGAATATCAAGCCCCTGAATAAGTGCTTCAAAGGAGCACACCCATGATTCGTCATTTGGTTTTATAGAAAGTAATGCCCATTCCAGTGTAGCATGGTCATAAAGCAAAAACCTCTCAATAAAAATAAGTTTAACGTCTGGTGTGGGACCTTCACAAAGAGAATCGTAGTCGGCATGCTTAACATACTGGCCCTCCTCATATGAAATGAGCCCAATAAATCCACCGTAAAATGGGCTGGGACGTTTCGTCAAATGAGAAAACTTCCTTTCTGCATCCACTCTCGAAATGATATGGCGTTGCATTCTTTGCTTTAAGTAGTCCCATACAGACGAAACCGCTATCTCACTAGAAGCCAGTTCACTATGCTTATTGATCCTCACTATATTTGGACAATCTAAAGAATGAGTTATAACCTCACTGTGTCCGGCAATGGGAAGGCCTATTATTGACCAATCTCCTGGGTCCGAAGCTGAATTCAAGAGAAAGATATCTTGGCCTACTTTCCTCAAAGAATCACTCAAATCCACTGGCGACACAGCACGATCGCCTAATTCTATCTGCAGCCCATAAACCAGTAAGCTAACCTTATCCTCTTCTTGTAAATCCTCACACACCTTCGATATATGAGGAATATCCAGTGAGAAGCCAGCTGACTTTTGACATAAAGGCCTGTTGTGGCTACGATTGAAAGTATGCGCGGCTTGATGAAATTGACGGACTAATTCGTCACCTTTTTCAGAGCAGATAGACTCAGGATGGTACTGGACACCATACAAAGGCAAATTTCTATGGCAGCCTGCCATCACGATCTGCATGGGTGGGTCTTGGCAAGTGGCAAGTGGGATAATCTCTCCATTCAAATCATCAACAGATATCCCTAAAGAATGATATCTCACGCTCTCAAATGGAACAGGGTTATCACCAAAAATGTTGCAGGCTTTAGGCACGATTGTAAACATTTGCCCATGGCGAACCTGATCCAATTCTTTGATATCGTTCCCAAAGGCGTAGCAAAGACTTTGGAACCCCAAGCAGACACCAAGAACAGGAATACATTCATCGGGATGACTTTTAAAATAATTAAATAACCAGCTAATTACACCCACATCTAGATTGTTCGCTGGATTTCCCGGTCCTGGTCCAATGACTATATAATCAAATTTTGATATCCAATCCTTGAAGCATGTCTCGTATTCCTGTGGGCCAATAAAGTCATTCTGTACGACAATAACTTGATCTTTAGTTTCCCTTTCAATAAGCCTTCGTAGGTTGTTGCTGAAGGAATCATAAGAGTCTATCAAGAGAATCATGCTGTCCCCCAGTTAATGCCGCCTGAAAGTTCTGTTTTCTTGAGCTCAGACTGCATAACGAAATACTGCGAAAATTAGTCGCGACATATTGATCTCTCCCCTATATACCGACGGCTGATGTATAAATGCGAAACCATTACCTAGCTAGTTTTCCTCATCACTAGAGACACTGATATCATGTTTCCTTAAGAGACTCTTGCATCTTGCTAGCTTCGAAACTTGGTCTTCCCACGATAATAAAAGCTCGTCAAACTCTTCCTTGCTGCATCCCCCATTGTCACACCCAGGGCTGCCAGTGTAATTCCACCGTCCTTCAACGTCGTGTTGGCCGATGTTCATTTTCAATTGTTCGTTCTCTTTTTGAAGTATCTTGAGAGATCGCTGCAAAGCTGATATTTCATTGATGCTGTCGTTTGACATTTGTGGTTCGTATCTGCTGGCCCGTTCAACTCTAATTATTTGCTCGTTATCGGTTGGTTCAAGTCTTGCACCTGTAACAGAAGCCAGTCGATCATTCCTTTCTTTCAATTTAGCTCGTAATTGATGAATTTCGACATCTTTTGAAGCGTTATGCTGTCTTAAACTCTGCACCACCAGTGCAGCTGATTTGAGCTTGTCCATTAACTTTTTTATCTCGGTTTCTCTCTCGGTTTTTTCGTTTGTTATCTTTCTGAGATTCCCTTCCAAATTGCAAATCATGGTTTGTCTTTCATTCCATTTTTCACTTTCAACGAAGATTTTTCCGTTGGTTTTCTGCTTGTATTCTCGAAGCTTATTGACCTCATCCTTGAGAAAAGAGATTGTAGAATTAGCCTCCATTAAATCTCTTGATTGGACTTCCTTAGTATCATTTAGCTCCTTTTTGATATCCTGAAGGGAGGCTGTCAAACTCCTAAGCTCTTTGTTCATTTTATTGATTCCACTTTCTGCGGCCTCTTTGCTCGAAATAGTCGCTTTAAGCTGCGCTTCTAATGCTTTCTTTTCCTTCATTAAACTCGAAGTGTTACCTTGGGCCTCTTTCCAATCACGTTCAGTAGTCTTTTGACGCACTCGTAAGTCTTCATATCGCGACTGAGTATCCTCGAGCTCAGATCGAGAATCGTTTACCGACTTCTTAAGATCGGCATTTAATCTTGAGATGTGCAATACGTTACCTTCGCTTGTGGTAAGTTTTTCTTCAGTTTCATTAAGAGACTGAGTTAACTTTCGGTTTTTTTCTTCGCTTGCAACTAACTGAGCCGCAAGCGCCGATTCTTTTTCAACGCTTGAGGCTTTCAAGGCTTCATACTGGAATTGGAGCGCTTCGTAAGCTTCAAATGTTATTCTAAGAGGCGGGTCTTGCTGAGGGTCATGTCTCAAAGCCAGCTTGATGCGATAATAATTCTCCTTCATGAGGTTTTGGTAAAGAGGTATGAAAAACACGTTTGGAAGCCCGGTGTTATCCATTTGAACAGATTCAGAAAACAAATCATGAGAAGGGGTGCTCCAATGGACCTGAAAAACTTTCTTCACCTTCAACGCATAGTTTTCGGCGCCCAAAGATTTGACAATCATGGCATGCAATGCAGCTCGAGGATACGGTGAGGAGTTTCTCGAGAACTCGTAGATGACGCCAAGTAGAATGAAGCAAGTCCCGTCAGCCAAGTCGGTTGACTCGGAAGCATTCCTCATAAGGCAAGACATTATTGCTTTGACTGTATCTATATCATTCAATAGATCATCTACCGCGTCAAAATCTTCGAAAAGCCAAAATGTTAATATAGAAATGTATGCCACGGGCACCCTCGGATCAGCTAATTCCATAGTTGTTACCAAAATCTGAGCTATCGCTTGAATCAACGACATAACGTCTTCTCCATTATTCTCGTTGCCGACTTTAACGTCTTGTGCGAGTTGGCGTGCTTCTTTGCAATCATTCACGAGACAAATCATGAAAAAAGACGCGAACCATGCTTTATAAGGATTAAGTTTTATTTCATCGTCATAGTGCAGTAAGACTGAAAGAAGATTGGTTTTATTGGTGTAATTCTTGTGTTTCGTGTGGTGTTCTGCAACGATGTCAGAATTACTTTCAATAGAAAATCGTTGCTTGAAATCCTCGATCTGGTCTTCCATAAAACCAACTTTTGCCTCCTCATTTCCCTCAACAAAGCATTGGAAACAATAGGATGCTGATAAGCGTACGTTAAAGCAATGGACCGAATTAAGAAGAAGCGCCCAGTTTAAAAGTGCAGCTGGCGCAGCTAAGCAATCTTTTGAAGACGTGGGTAATGGCAATGAAGGGTCGACGTAGGGTACATCAAGTTTTGAAAACTCTAGTTGAATACGCTTATTCCCCGCCATCAAGTCACCAGCTACCTCCAATGCTAATGAACGGAGAATTTTGTCAATATGCGAGGCAAAAACAAGCTTCAAGACATCAAAAAAAATACCAGAATCAAAAAAGCTATTTTGCTTTATCAAAGAATCCTCGTTATCCCTCTCAGCAAAAGCACGACAAATTTCTAATGCCGTGGTCATATTGTTTACCCTTTGTTCATTCCAAATCATATCTCCGGGTGATTCCTTGCCTTCGGTATCAGGTGCTATCAGATCTGCCAAAATTTCTGCCAATTTAGGGACGCATCCCGATTGCAAGAAATATTTCTGGTTTGAGTCATTATAAGCTAAGAGATTATGGACAAGAGTTAGACAATCTTGCACTATGATTGAGCCCCGCAACCCTCCCTCTTCTTGTAAAACTTGAAAAATGATTTCAAACGTATTCTCAAAAGCAACGACCTTTTGTATGTTGTAGTTGTCTTTGACCAATGTCATTAGTAGTAAGATCGCTTCACTCCTAATCTGATCAGATGCATCGTTCAAGACAGACACAACCATCGAGATTGCAGAGGGTATCTCAGTGAAAAGATCCTTCGTCTTAGAAGGTCTTGCGATAAGCAAAGCCTCTAAAAGTTGAATTGCGTAAGATCTCATCTGAAAATCTTCATTATTCTGTACCAACTCGATCAAGCAACTCAAATATTCAGCGCTCGATGTGCTCTCGTCAGCGAGCCAAAGTGAAAATTGATCGACCTCAATAGTACCTAATAGTCGGGGAGAGGGGTATTTACCGCTTTGACTTCGAGACCGTGAGTTGATCCAACCCCTAGTATCCTCTCCAGTTTCCGCACCTTTCATGAAAAGGATGAGTATGGTCTCAAGCACAGCTCTTAATGTAATTATGTCATCTTTCTCAAGTGCTAATGTTTTAAGGAGGGTCTTCGAGCCGTATTCAACGACAATCTCTCTGTACTGTCGGCTAAAACTTCTCAAGCCTAAGACCGCTGACCTCCGGTCAAGCGAAAGCTGCGAGTGTTGCAATCGGTTGCTCAAAATCAGTATTGCCTCTTCTGGTTGAACATCTGACGTGGAGCCTTTAATTATTGTGCCAATATAATCCATAGACGACCTGTCGATAATCCTTAGGATGGAGTAGTACACTGTTGATGTGCGAACCTTGGCTTGTATACAAATACTTGACTCGTCGTTCAATGCCTCGTCCAGCACTAATGGCCCTGACGGCCCACTGATGAAACCAGTTCAAATAAGAAGTTTCACAGTAGCGCAACCGTATTCAAGTGAAATATAATGATCAATGACATGGGCGCCATTGATATATGGGGTCTATCTACGTGCAGTATTAAACACCCTATTCCCATCACAGAGTTGCAATAATCGAGCGTAAAAAAGTGTTTACAATAGACTCAAATAGCATTCTAATCTTTATGTTATCGATCAAATAATACTTAGTAAGCTAATGCTTTAATGTCTGGGAAATAAAAAATCTTGGGCAAAGGAATTTCTGGAGCTAAGTATGTTTGGCCATTGTCATCAACTCGCTGACGGTCCCTTTCGGCTATCGTGTAGATCTCTACAACGTGGATGTCCAAAAAGCTAGTGATTTTCTTCCACAGGCTTTTAATCTGGTACGCTTCCTCCCACATATGCCTCCGAACTAATGCAAAGACTAAATTCTCTCCGTCTCTGAGACTTGAGTTTAAGCGTTCAATAAGTCTTCCAACAGAGCTGATGAGATACTCCTCCTCGTAAACTGTACCTTTTCTCCCTTTCGCACGCTTTCGTTCCTCGCGCTTTTTATTCTTCAGTGTCTTCCTTGAGGCCCCTGTCTTAGCAGTCTCATTGCTTTTGCCCGTATACCGCGTGAAAAATGAAGGCGTTGTGGAAGTATCAGACGCAGCTATCGAGACATCATCGGGAGTATCAAGATCTTGAGACGATGTACCGTAAAACATTACCGGATCGATCTCTTTCTTCCTTCGTATTTCACGAAGTCTGTTAAGCTGAGATATGAGCTGACCATTGCAATCCGCTAGAAGTTCTGACATTATGCCAAACGATTCACGAATCTCTGAATCAAAAACTTCTTGGGTGTCCTTTGATGATGTCGTTGCTGCTATGAGTAATGCTGAATCAAAGTCAAAGGCTTTGCAAAAAAGCTCAACAGCCTTAATATTATTTTGCAAATATGTCGACTCGATGGTGGCCGCGTCGCTATATCTGCGATCATCTTCCAACAGAATTGCCAAGCTTTTGGCGATAGACCTAAAGTCATCGTCTGATTTGATATTTCTGCCAATAGTGAGTGCCTCCTTCCAGGATTTAGCCAGCAAGTAGTTTTCTAATGCTAATTGAAATTCGTCAAGGAATTCAAAGATCCTTGCCGCTTCCAAAAATTCGGAGGTCTCGCTTAAAAAGCTGGCATAAAGAATCAATATTCTCCGAAAACGCTTGTTGTCATGTCTGTAGAGCGCCAATGCCTTAGTGTAAAGATTGTGAGACACAACATATGCATCAAACTCCTCGTTCCTGTCCTCCCCAAGTTCAAAGAGCCAACTCAATGCACTTTCAAATCTCTTCAAGTGGTCGTCGATTAAAAAACCTCTTCTGCCCTGTGACTCGCCATGTAAAGTCTGGAGGAAAGGAAGGTATTCCTTCGGATCCAACTGTGACCGTTGAGCAAAATTGAGAGCCAATTTAACATCGTAAAGGCATAATGCTTTATTATATAGCACGGAAGCATCCTGGAGGCAGCAAAGATGAGTAATAGCGCGATCCACAACTTCTGTGTTCGATTGTTTTGAGATAAGCTTTAAAGCTCCCTCGCTATCTGGGGGTTTTTGACAAGCATAAGCGGTCAACTGAACTTGTAAATACTCCGCTGGATATTTATTATCCGAAAGTTCTTTCAAAAATATGCCACACACTCGATTCACTTTATTCTCCCGACCGGATAAATCTGCTTGTCCATGGCTTCTCGTAGAGACATGATTGTCTTGCGCAGTTTCCAGGTATTTTTCCTTTGTGACATCATATTCATGCAAACAAGAGATTAGTAAATCAAGATGCTCAGTCTTCTTCACCTGATTTATGAAGCTTGAGATATTTTGTTCGAATGATTGTGGGTCATAATCATGTAGAATATCCAAATCTATTCTATGTGACCGACAAGCGAGAAAAGCTTCGAGATATCGGGACTCTTGAATGAATTTTCGCACAGCGGTCAATACCATAATACGAGGATAAATAGTTTCAAGGTTACCTCGAGGAGCTTGTAAAACCACTGAATACTTTGAGGGAGCAGTTGTAATCAAGACTGACCCACGCTCGATCTGCCGAGATCTTTCATCCTGTTCCTCGCCTTGAGCAATGTACGACATGTCAGCTGAATCCAAGTTACCAAGGTGAATGAAACATAATCGCGACTGTGCAGTTGTGATACACAAAAACTGATCGGACATCTTGATTGAGGTTATATTATTGGCAAGGTAGCGATCTCCGCAAAAAAGTTTTCCGCTATCAGTCAACCCTGCTACAACGAGCTTCGGATGAGTTCCAAGATCGTCTCCTTTGAGAACTGCTTCCACTTGGGTGCACATCTGTGGAAACTTGGACGCATTTTTCAAACCCTGGTCCTCATCGAAGTCAAGGATAGTTCCATCGTACAACTGAATGATTGCCCGATTCGAGTCCGCCAGAGCCTTGAGTAACACCGCTCTTGCCTCGAGATCCCCATGGAAATGTAATTTCTGGTTGGCAAGATTGAAAACATGGACAAAAGATGTTGACGGCCCGTCAGATAGCACAACAAGGTAAGTCAGCTTCAAGATACAAATTTGTTTGGGTCTGAGACATGAACTTTCGTTAAATTCTTTGATCTGAAACTTTTCTGTCTTGATAGAACTACCTCTCTTCAACTGAAGGTTCTCAGTAAGATAGAAGTTGGATGTACTTGTGAGAGCGACTAACCGAGTGTGACATATGCTGACTGCGACAGCTTTCACGGGCTCCGGGTGGACAACTTCAAGCATGCTTAGCGGGGGAGGGATGTTGGCAAGTGCAAGTGGCGTCAACAAAACTCGGCAACCATCGATGACACTAACAAGACCTCTGTCATATCCCGAACGGATGGTCCATCAGACGTAATGCTTCCAAAACTAATGACGTTTAAACCATCAGATTTTGATGTTAACATAGCCGTCATAGGTTTTTCTGGATGAAACTTTACAGACATAACACAGCGGTCTAAACCTGTAGATATCTCTTGTTTCAAATACCAATGATAATTCTTCGAGGTCCAAAATTGCACTTTGTCGTCGAAAAGAAGAGCTAAGATCTCTCCATTAGATGACCAGGAAAGATCTAGTACACCGGGCTGCTCCGTAGCAAATTCCCCGTGCCGAAGTCCATTCCTTTCGAAAAATAATACTTCGGTAATAACTTTCCCATCGTCGTGAGCTACGTCTCTGGTGGTGGCAAGCAAAGACCCCTGCAGTCTCCAGCTTAAACAGGTATTCAAGCCATCTACCGCCTCTGAGACGGCCTCTAGCTTTCCATCCCTACTGAAAACTCTGATAACACGTCTCCCCTTTGAGCAGTCGGGTAAGTAGTCTAACCTCAGCGACACTGCGAATACCTCGCAATCGTCCCGCCAGGAAATATGCACAGAATTATCATCTCTGGCTGATAGATGACCTCTTTCTTCTAATTTTACAGTGGGATCGTGCAAAGGCTGCAAATTTTCGAGATCCAATCCAGCGTGCTTGAGTGCGTCACGCTCCCTCTCAAGAGCTTTGAAACCTCTTCCCCGGAATTGAGTTTCCTCCTTGCCCCACCCCACGGATACGTTCGACTTCGAAGTATCCTTGATATCATGGGCATTGAGCTGCGTTTCCAGTATTGGTTCGAAAGATCTCGATAAAAGAATAAGCTTCAACGAACAAGTTACGAGAACAAGAATCTCTTCATCAGGAGACCACTGCGCTGCAGAAAGTTCGACATCCATCAGTCCCACAATCTCGAAGACAAATCCTTCCGTAGCTTCGCTATCGAGATGCGCAGCGATCACATCACCGTTGTTGAACACGAATATGAGCGACCCACTGTCATCGAATTGGTGAAATGACAACAACAACGAACCGGGGCAAGGACTTTCAAAAAAGCATAAAACTTCGATTCCTCCATCTTTAGTCATTTGTTGGACTTCGAAGGCATCTTTAGCAGGGTTGGACATCACGCATGTAACGGCGTCATTAAAAGTATTGAAGGAGCTCTCCAAGTTGCAAAGATCGGGGAAATATCGTGACTCAAAGTCAAGCTTTCCATCGTTAAAAATCACCAAGTTTCTCATGATACTTTCCTCTTTATTGAGCGATTTTGATTCTGCTTGATGGGTTATATGGTAGGGAAAAAGAGAAGTGTGGAAAAAATCGTTTTGAGGTTTAGGCTCATCTCATCATGCGCACCTTTTGAATGAACCAAGCAAATGAACTTCAACAAAGCTCAAACTACGCAGTAACAGGCTTCTTGTTAATCAAGAATGCCCAGATATCCTTTTCTGTTGTTTAACACTATTTGGTCAATGGGGACACCGGTGGCCTAAACTACAACATATAATGATGGTAGCATGAAGCAAATGTACAATACCTAACCTAATAACAAATGGAAGGAACGCCTTCATTCTCTGAAATGTTAATCACCGAAACCCGAAGTCTACACATCTGCCTTCATTACAAACAAACGCTCGAGGGCCCAAATGATTGTGGATAGAACACCTGGACACCATGATCCAACGGGAATTGGTGTGCGTGACACAGATTCTTGACAACCAATTGTGAAATCGCACTCAGAAGTTGCCCTAATAACCCTTCTGAAGTATCAACACAGCCATGGATATCAAGGAGGAGGCAATGTTTCGTATGTACATTTGACAAGAATCAATGATTGAACTAACATCAAGGCTCGGCGAAAATGTCTCTCGTTGAGGTCTACGTACCTTCTGAAGAAGCAAGACATATCCTTCATCAAATCGGAAATTTAGGTCTGATGCAATTTCGGGATCTAAACCAAGGTGTGAACGACTTTCAAAGGTCATTCGTTCAGGAATTGAGGGTTCTTGACAATATTGAGAGACAGTACTCATATCTTAAGGACCAAATTGACAAACGACAAATCAGCATTGCTACTTATCCTTATGACACAAGCGATATTCAAGTATCAGATATTGATGTTTATGCCGAGAACGCATCTCTTTTGGAAGCTCGTGTCTCTCAGATGACTGACGCAGCTGAAGCGCTCCAGGAGAAGGAAAGAGACTTACTTCAGTTCAAACACGCAGTCAAAACTGTTGAAAACTTCTTTGACGGGAACGATTATCGAGAAATTGTGTCAAGTCAGGAAGATGGTTCCGGCTTCAACACACAGTTTATCTGCGGTGTTATTAACAGAGAAAAGATTGGTGTTCTTCAACAAATTTTATGGAGGATTTTGAGGGGTAACATGTATTATTACAGTGAGGAGATATCAGAAAGTATTTACGACCCCAAAGCGGGCGATAACGTCCTCAAGAGTGCTTTTATCATCTTCTCGCATGGCTCACTCATCCACCAACGAATCTTGAGGATTGCCGAATCGTTAGATGCGAAGATATATGACGTGAATATGAGTTCAGGAGAAAGAGAGCATCAAGCATCTTACTTAGATGGTGAGCTTGGTGATTTGGCGGTAGTCTTACAAGAAACTGAAGGCGCTCTTTGCTCTGAACTCATTGCTGTTTCCCGTGATCTTGCAAAGTGGTGGGAAGTGGTTGCCAAAGAAAAACGGGTGTACCAAATCATGAATTTTTGTGACTTCGATATTCTGAGGAAAACTTTGGTTGCTGAAGGCTGGGTTCCGAATGATGAAATTGAGGAACTCAGCGTAAAGATCAAGTCGCTGAGCTCTTCGGATGCTGTCCCGACGATCGTAAACGTGTTGGAGACAAGCAAGAAACCACCCACCTTTCACCGTACCAACAAATTCACAGCGGCTTTCCAAAATATCTGCGATACTTACGGAATTGCTTCGTATGAGGAAATAAACCCTGGTTTGCCAACCATTGTGACATTCCCCTTCATGTTTGCCATCATGTTTGGTGACTTGGGGCATGGTTTCATAATGTTTCTTGCTGCTTTCGTGCTTGTTATCAAAGAAAATCGTATTTCTTCTCTTAAAAGGGATGAGATTTTCGACATGGCATTCTCTGGACGGTACATACTTCTTTTGATGGGTTTCTTTTCCATGTATACCGGATTGATGTACAATGATATCTTTTCAAAGTCGCTAACTTTGTTCAAATCCGGCTGGGAATACCCGAGAGAATGGGAGAATGGTCAGCTTATCATTGCGAAACAAAGAGGTGTTTATCCCTTTGGTTTGGATTGGGCTTGGCATGGTTCCGAAAACAATCTTCTTTTTTCAAACTCCTACAAAATGAAGCTATCTGTTTTGATGGGTTATTTACACATGACATACTCATATTTTTTTTCTTTGGGTAATGCTATTTACTTCAATAGCATGATCGATATCGTTGGCAACTTTATTCCTGGGTTGCTCTTTATGCAGAGCATTTTCGGCTACTTGTCTTTATGCATTGTTTACAAATGGTCTGTCAATTGGATTCAATTACAGCAACAGCCTCCTGGGTTGTTGAATATGTTGATCATGATGTTCCTTTCTCCTGGTACTGTTATTGAGCCATTATACGCGCACCAGAGTGTGGTACAGTTACTTCTTTTGCTGGTTGCATTGATCTGTGTTCCGTGGCTCGTGTTTGTCAAACCTTTGTATTTGAAGCACAAAATGTCCAAGAAGCATGCTGATGCGTCTTATGAGGCATTGATTGATCATGAAGCTGATCATACATCACAAGCCGAGAATGAGCTGTCAGACAATAATTCTCGTGCACTTGAAGTCAACGACATCAATGAGGAGAATGGCAAAGAAGAAGAAGGTTTTGGTGATATAATGATACATCAAGTGATTCATACAATTGAGTTCTGTTTGAACTGTGTGTCTCATACAGCCTCCTATCTAAGACTCTGGGCACTTTCGTTGGCTCACGCCCAGCTTTCGACAGTGTTGTGGACGATGACCCTCCAAAACGCGTTTGGGCCCTCAGGAGTTGTGGGAATCATAATGACCGTTTTTCTCTTCGGCATGTGGTTTTGTCTCACTGTCGTCATCTTGGTCGTAATGGAGGGTACATCCGCTATGTTACATTCATTGAGATTGCACTGGGTAGAATCCATGTCGAAGTTTTTCGAAGGCGAGGGTACATTGTATCTGCCTTTCGATTTCAGGAACGTGCTCAATGATCGCTTTTGATGCGAGGTAGTTATACACAGGAAAGTCATCGCGTATATCATTTTCGCCTGAAGTTTAGGTGTATCTCAATTATCCTTAGTTTAAATTAGTGAAGTATCGAACGCATGCTTGATTTCGAATCAGTTACTCTTCATTTAGAAGAACCAATACAACATGGATCTTTAGTAGCTGACTTTGTGTTTATTTCTGATCAATTGATGAGTCAGAATGTCACGAACACAGAAAGAACAAGACTTTTCAACTTGGCCAAGCACTTAACAAGATCTAATATCAACTATAATACTTGGTGTGGAATAAACTTAATTTACATCATGCTTCTTGATAAGAGCTTTTGCCATAAGTATGGTGCGGAAGTGTTGGATCTTCTTTATCAAATAATGGAAACCTCGATGATGAGCGATAAAAAGCTTCTTAAGTCATGCCTAAGAACAGCTGCTAAAGTATTCGATCTTCTTGTTCTGGATGCAGATTTCCTGAGGGAACAGTTGACCCCCAGGGTATCACGCTTCCTTGTCATTTGTTTGGATAATTTCTCAGCCAGTCCTATTTTGATATCGGATGTCATGCAAACGGTTCTCAAAAATCATCCAACCACCACTCGACCCTTTCTATCTAAAATTCGTGCAAAAGTTCTTGAAATCGTATGTCTTGACGATTTAGGTGTCGAGGATCCCCAATATTACAATTCAATTTTTGGTCTTCTTTGTACCGCATCTTTGACGGAAAGAGATAACCCTCAGAAATATTGGCTGGACGTCATATTCAGTATTTTCGGTGAACTAGTCGCAACATTTTCGCTAGTCGACAATTTTATTGACGTCTCTTCTGACAAAACCTTCCATTCCCTACTTGAGAGGTATAGAAGCAAGCAGTCGGGAACCTTCTTTCCGTCCATGAAAGTAGATGCAAATTCCCATTTGTCATTAATGCAGATTTCTCGCAGGGTCCAGCAGCTTTTCAGGATCCTTACTGCTTGCTTGTGTAGCTCGTCGGGATGTACTGTTCAAATGCCTGTTGGGAGTATTTGGGAGGTTGTCGACGCTATTTGCGCAATCCGTATTGGTGTTTACGATTTTCAACCTGCCATAAGGGATCCTATACTCAAAAGATCGGTAGAATCGGTTTTACTTAAAACTCAAGGTGCAGCTTTAGCTTTCTTTGGGAACATCATGGGGCAATTAAATGGCTTTTTCTTGTCTTACTCTAATCGCCAATTGGAATGTTTGAACCACCATGCTCGCTACGCTCAAAGGAAAGCCATATCGGAACTCTCGGATGAAGCAGATATGGGATGTACATTATCAGGTGCAAGCCAAGTCGTCCACTTGATAGGATTTGTTCCAGATCATAGTGAGATATCTTTTTTGGCTGGCATTGCGCTCAAAGAGCTAAACTACGAGAATTCTGGGCATCTGTTTGATGATTCTAAAGCTACCCACACAGGACTTGTCAACCCGACTGGAACGAGAATAAAGAGGAGTTTTCGTCCTCTAATCCCATCTTTGGCTTTTCTAAGGCTGTTATCTCGCCATTCTTACATACCCCAAAGTATCTTCGGCGCAATTCTGAGAGATTTCCTCAAGCAGACCCTATTGACGACAGACCGTTTCGACGCAAGGAACATCAAGGTATTCGAATGTTGGAGTCGGGTGTTAGCAGATAATGTATATTCCTTCCCCATTCCTCTCTCAGTGGTGTTGCGCTTTGTCGGCGAGAGTGACGCTCTAAATGCGCTAATTAATCCAAAGTTACCACGCACCGGTATTCGGGAGTCTACAAATGATACCATCTTATCTTCTCAGCAAGATCAGCTTCCAAAAGGAAGGAAAAGAGACTTCTCCGTTCTGGACGAGGAAGAAGCGGTTGTGTTGAAGCAGCCTAAGCTAGATCTCGTCGACTTCAACAATGCCGGCAGAATAGGAAGCATTGACATTTTCCTGAAGGAACCAGACGCGCCAATAGCCCAAGTGCACTCTGGTGACCCAGGAAGTGAAAGTGTCGGACAACATCCCACATCAGAAGAAGATGAACAATCACCAATACTGTTGTCAGTGGATCAAGAAATTGATATACCAACACTTGACGTCAACGCTGACACCGACGACGAGCAATAGAGAATTTTTCCCCTACTGGCCGTATGCCTCCTCTTTGTCTTCTCATCCTCTTCAAACGAGAATGGGGGATCATGTTATAATACTCCGAATGATAATTTGCTCCATTCTTAATCTCTCTCGTCTGTTTTTTTTTTTTTTTTTTTTTTTTTAGAGACCGGCGGCTATACAGATAATTGAAAGATTCCGTAATAAACATTTTCTAAATCAATTTTCTTCATCTATTCTTCTTAAAGCGATTTTTTAACCTCGACTAGAAACATGGCCTACATGATAGCTGCCTTAACTATAGTCAAGGTTTGTGGCCACAATATATGATTTGATGCATCCTCACTTTTTACCTGGAAAATCTGTCCAATACACTGCAGTACTGCATCATTAACCCATAACAAGTCTCTGGTACAGGTTTATCAGTTAGACATGAAGTGTTCTTGTGGTTTCACTAAATGAATTCCTTAGAACTGAGAACAAACAAGCCTACTCCCTCTAAGGTTTGTCTTACAATACTCATCAGCTTATATCTTGAGGGAAGCGTACATCGTTCTAGGGTTCTACTATCTTTCATCGCGAACCAAGCCGAAACAACATATTCAGAAAATGAACTGTTGTTTCGGGAGTCATCTTCGTTCGAAACTTTTTGTGCTTCAATAAATGAATATTTTTCACTTCATGGAAAGTCCAGATCAGGTTTAAATGAGGCGACAGAAATCACTCTGCTATTGAGAAAATGCACGTTGAGTATTCGGGGCCAGATGATCTATACCATTGGTCGAAGGAGGTGAGTGCTAGCATTGCACTGCGCTTAAGTACTGCTTCTGGCCCTTCTTGCTATTCCCTTTCGTCGAGAAGCGTCATCGGTCTCTTCATGCAAAATATGTGCGTCTCCCTCCAACTTTTGAGCTATACTGAGTACGATTGGCTTTATTCTTCCATTCAGATTTTTGTGAACAATTCCACTGCCTTCAAGAGTGATTTACCACCTAACAGTCACTGTAGCAGCTTAAAAAATTGTTCAGATGATAATGTTCTTACACGGACAGAAATTCTAGAGTTAACAGCTTCTCAAGTGAGTATGATAGAAATGACAGGAGTTTGTCTTTCAGATGAATGTAAACAGAGTTTCGAACGCTACGCCTCTTACGCGACGCTGATAAAAGGTATTTCCCATTGCGGAATGAAAGACCCGGCATCTTTAGCCTCGTACCATTATTTAAGATATCTCAGGTGCTTAAATGAAGGCGACTATCATGCTTCCTATGACGCGTTGCATCAGTATTTTGACTACATGGTTTCAAAAGGCTCAAAGATGTTCTACCATTTCGCTTTAATAGCTAAAGCAGCTCTACATATCGTGTTTGGTGAGAAACAAAATGCATTGGATACAATTGAAGAAGCTGGTAATGTTGCGAGGGATCAAAAAGACGAGATCGCCTTGACTTACGTGCTCACATGGCTCTTTAAAGTTATGACTAATCACCAAGACGAGAATTTCTCTGGAAGGGTACATAAAGTAAGAAACATGAGGCTTCTTGAGTTTTTGAGTCAGAAAGATTATCAGCGCAATAGTCTTTTCTCTGCAGCTGTCCTACAAGCCGAGTACGACTACATTGTCTCCGCAGGGGCAAGTCCAAGACGATGTTTTTTATCAATGAGCAAAACATTGTTTAGTTCCATGTGTGGTACTATGAAAACCACGAGAAACGTTGCTCATATCGCTTCTTCTCATTGGCTAACAGCGGGTTATCCATACTTAGCTGAAGCTTATGTTGATCTATCACTGATTTTTACGCTCAAATATGTACTGACACGCGAAGATCAGGATTATGCGAGAGCGCAATGCGATATTCTTTATTGGAAAGGTGAAGGAGAGATTTTGGCCCAAAAGTTAAGATCCTTGTCTGAACCGCCCTGTTGTCTTGTGGTACCAATTGACCCACTTCAAACTTGGTATGTTATTTTTATGGTAAAGATTTCCCTCAAAAGAGGTCATTTCCAGTATGCGAACGAGTTACTTTCCTTAATACGTTATTTACCGTCTGTTGATTCAACTACACAAGGAGAGATCTTGCGCCTTCAAGCTTCTTTGATGTCTCACACGGACAACTGCCGAGACGCCCTAGCAATACTAAATGCACAGGTTGGCGTCCATGACAGGTTGACAAAGGCTAAGAGCCCGCGCGAAGTTGTTTCTTGTCTGCTTATCAAATCAGATATTCTCGTTCAAGCTGACCGTTTAGGTTGCTCGTTTATTCTACTTCTTCAGCAAATTACACTGGCATCTAGCTTTGGTTTATTTGACCTAGTTGCTGAGGCAGCTGTAAGGTTGGTGAGTCTCCTTGTGAAAAGCAATGACATTGAGATGGTATCAGAGCTTTCAATGGTACTCGCCCCTATTCTTCACCGTTGCGATAATACTGATCTATGCTCTGATATCTATATTCAGCTTGCGAAGCCACTAATTATTTCACTTAGACGGCTCGGTGCTACCTCTTTGAGCGAGAACCAAGCAAAGCCACAAATCATAAGGTATATCACTCTGAGTTTATCAGGCTTCGCAAAATCTTTTAATATGACAAAGTTGTCAGAATGCATTTCGTTAAAAGAAGATATTCAGAGGCTTGACCTGTGTTTCAAAGAGTCCAAGCTTGGTAACATATGTGATTTGTTACCACAACTCGAGCTGGGTGTGAAGCTATTAGAGGGAAGACAAAACGGCAACCCTCAAGCCGGCCTAGTGACCTCACTCGCCTCCACTTAGTATTTCTGTTAGTCAGATTTATCCTTCGCGTCCTTCGTAGCAAGGATTAATGCGGCGTTCCTCATCTGTATGACGTTGGCAATCTGCTTAAAGAGCCAAACGGGCGCGCTGAGATACGCTAGGATCGTTCCCAACCAGAAGAACTCATAATAGTGTAAATATAATGCGACATAGAATAGCTCGTTAACCAAGCAAACCAAGAAAAGAACCTTCCGGTTATTGTAGTATAACGATAATAGCTTCGACTGCTTTTCATCAACATTCTTGTGGGACGTGGATCCTGAGGACAACATAGCATACATATGCATATAATGTGAAGCAAGGTCTAATGAAACAAGCATTTGCCAAAGAAGGCAAAAGTTGGGATAAATAACGCATAAGTAGCAAATAAGAGATGTTGTAGCGCACCTGTCTGTGACCATGTCTAAAACTGCTCCAAAGCTTGTCCCTTGGTTGAACTTTCTCGCCGCATAGCCGTCGAAAGCATCTAGGAAACCAGATATGCCATATAACACAAGAGTCCAAGTAGGAAATTGCCACATGGTGATAAATGAAAGGGTTGCTGTCAACACCCGAAAGTATCCAATCAAGTTAGGAACGAAGAGAAATACATCTCTGACGGTGACCTTGACCATTTTCTTTCTTTTGTTTTTTGCTTTTCTTCTTCTGGAGAAATGAGCCGTATCTTTGACGAAGTCTCAATTCAAGAGATATACCACTTCTAAGTTATTTGCAGACGGATTTAGATACCCCAAATCTTTCTAGCACAACCTATTTGTCGTGAGTCCGCTCAATGTACCCAGAAGAGTTTTGATTAAGCAAGAATGCGTATGGACGTGTGAAATTTTTTGGAACATCGGCCTCAAATTCGCGATTTGATTGCACGAGAGATTAGCCCCAGACACACAGAGTAATACTAAGAAGAGACGCTGTATTTATTTGGTCATCCCACCACAGTATAACTTGAACTTTTCATTCAGGAAATAGGCGATATACTAAAGATTTCCTTATTCTGGCACTAATTTGTTTGGCTTCCCATTGGCCAGCTCACATGTAGCAATTCACCGAGTTCTTATCTTGCAGTCATGAGACACAGATAATGTAGTTTTAGTATTCGGAATATAATATATCCTTCGAAAGTATCGCTAAAGTTTCCTAAAACTGCGTAGCTCGTCTATCTGGTACACGGATCACATAGGATAAGGAAGTGAAAGTATGTGCAGCATCCACTAAATTCTAATGCCACTCTCATTAATTGACTTAGGTGAAGACATTATCGTCTCAAACATATGCATTCATCTTGCTATAAAAGACATTGAAGGCCTCTCTGGGACTTGCAAGGCATTAAGAGAGATCCTTACTACAAATGCAGTTTATCACCTTATGTTCCTCAAAAGGTTTGGACAAGACGGGCCCGCAAGGATCGAGAGTTATGATTGGAGGTCTTTATTTTATTGCATTCCTCGAGAAAGGTAAGTCTCTATACCTGGGGCAGTGGGAACAATGGACGTTTAGGGTATTTAGTGAAAGACGTACCACCAAATGTTCGATCTCTCAGGACTCTAGGTGTGGCATATCCAATCAAGGTAAGTAATTTTGATGGCGCCATCATCCAGTCAGTCCTGGCGGGTGGATTCAGCTTTCAGGTACTCTCTGATGGGGTAGTGTATTGCACTGGGTCGTCCTACCCTATAGATGGTCCTCTGGCTCCCCCGGGGCCTTCGCAGAAGGATTTAGCAGATGGCGAAAAGTCATTCCTTTCCCTTAAGAATGATAACCAAGACAAAAATGAATCCAAGTTTGTCTTTAGATTAAAAACGCCCCCTGGTCGGACTATCGTATCGATCTCAAGCGGAAGAAAACATTTCAATGCCTTGGACGACCAAGGGCGGGTATTGACATGGGATACGGGCATGAAAACTTGGTCAGTCGGAATATATTTAAATTTCGGAAGCATGGTTAGTCGTGTCTCTAAAATATCAGCTGGTTGGACTTCTACTGTTTGCTATGCAGATTCCGTTGGTCTTCTAGTAGTCCATTCAAGAGAGAGATTCACAAATGAAGATTGTCGTGAAAACTGGCCAACCTGTGATGCATATTATACGGTAGTTCCTCGGCTGAAGAAAGCTGTCGATTTCGTTTCATTGGACAACTGTGTGGTATACATAGATAATCTGGGCTCTATCAAAATGCATCATGAACGTCATGCACTCGACTATCCCGGGGAGACTATAACATTAATTGAGTTCGATCGTTGGCTAACAAAACATTCACAGGCTAGAGATAATGCAACAAATTTCACGAAGGTGGTAGGCTGCTTCCGGACCTTCGCCGTATTTACAGATGACGGGCTGATTTTAATAGGTCGGATTGACGGAATCGATACCACAATGGTAATACTACCCGATCTTCAAGGGAAATTGATCAAGGACGTCGTTGTCGGTGATTACCACTTTCTTGCTATCACCGAGGCTGGTGAACTATTGAGTTGGGGACTTGAGCTGCAGTCTAACGGCTGTCTAGGTTTGGGAAGAATGGAAACACTTGATAATTATGGTGATAATATTCGTCGTGAAGGCTCTGGTTTAAGAGTGACGAATCCAGTTACGGTGTCAAAGCCAACTATAGGTGGCCAATGGTTAAGAGTTTGTGCAGCAGGTTGGCACTCAGGAGCTCTTTACGTAGAGCAATCGCATTAGTGCTATCAGTTTTATGTATGTTATTTAACGTCACTTCTGTTTTCCAACGATTCTTTTTCCTTTTCTATTTTATTTCATCAGGTATGCGCCAATCGTTATGACTTTGGGAAGCCACCTGACCAATTTCCTCTGCACTGGCTCTGATATCAGCAGTTATCACTGTGCTGTTATTGTTTTTGATTTTGAATTATCTTTGCTTTTTGTCCTTTTTTTTTTATATATTAATGAATTTTCTAAATTTTGTCACAATATTTGTATGAGACCTTTTGTCAGTTAAAGGGTTTCCAGTCCCCAGAACGCGAATTATCAAGAACAGCTGCTTCATCAACTGTAACAATTGAAAAAAGCAGAAAAAAAAGTACAATACCATACCCAAGTAACAACAAGAGAGAGTCGTATTAATTACACAGCAATGACTATTCGTTGTATTTAGTGGATCTAAACTGAACAAAGCTCTGACACACAATAAGTCACGTGATCAATCCGGGTAAGGATCATGATCACACAACGGTTAAACGAGGCGATCGGAAGCAACAAATAATTCGTTCACACTATCATAGTTTTCCGTTACTTCGAGCTCCTTTCTCCAGCCAGAACTAACCATTTTGGGAAGAAAGCAGAGGCTATTACCATCTTTTGAAGAGCCAATCGTCCTATTTTACGCATAATGGACCATAACCAGAAGGAGGGATTACTCACCCCATCCCCTTCTCACACTCAAACAGTGACACCAAGAAAAAGACGTTCCTCGTCCATAATTCAACACCTAGAGCCTGATACTTTGGATACCAAGATTGATCAGTCCCTAAACCCAAATCTTAATGCCGATTGGGTTCATTATAAGGGTGCATGGATTATACACATCGTGCTTATTATCTTTGTCAAACTTTTCTATGACTTCATCACTGTTCTCGACAATGATTGGAAATGGGCACTTACAAATGTGACGTATAACATCGGATCCTACATAATGTTTCATCAAGTGAAAGGGACCCCTTTCGAGTTCAATTCTGGCGCATACGATAATCTCACAATGTGGGAACAAATTGACAACGGGGACCAGTACACTCCTACCAAAAAGTTTTTGATGATGGTACCAATTTGCTTATTTCTCATAAGTACGCATTACTCAAATTATAACCTATATTCATTCTCAGTGGGTGGGTTAAGCTGCTTGTGTGTTGTTGTGCCAAAATTAGCAATTTCGCATCGATTGAGAGTAACTCTTTACTGATTTAAGGCTATTCGCCTGAGAGACACGGCTACTAAAAAGTCATATTGGTATTTTCCGATCTTTAATGAAGGGTAGCCTCGTGCATAGCTTTTGAAATAAATATAGCGTCGAGATTTGTGTAATAGCATTCGACCATTGAGGGGCAGATTTGTACTATAATCAGAGTAGTTTTTTTTATTTTTTTTTTTTTTTTTTTTTTTCACCTAGTAGAGCTGTTCAAGAACCGCTTCATTAATGGAAACTGACTCAGCCCAGAATCGGAGTCATACACGTGATATAGAGCATCGCTCATTTGTTGACCTTGTATATATAAACCCCACTTCCTTCAACTCTCAGTCGTCTTTTTACATCCCCAATCTAATACGGAAGGCCAAAGTTATCTATAGTACTGAGATGCCATACAATTTAAGTGACAAGCATAAGCAACTTGTTGAAGGCTCCTTGCCTGAAACAGACCCCGAGGTGAACGACATCATTAATGACGAGATCTCCAGGCAAAAACATTCTATCGTATTAATTGCTAGTGAGAATTTCACTACCAAGGCAGTTTTTGATGCTTTGGGAACTCCGATGTGTAACAAGTATTCCGAAGGCTACCCTGGAGCTCGTTACTATGGTGGAAATGAACACATCGATAGAATGGAAAGATTGTGCCAAAGCAGAGCATTAAAGGCATTTCATGTCTCTCCAGAGAAGTGGGGTGTCAATGTTCAAACTTTGTCAGGATCACCAGCAAACTTGCAAGTCTACCAAGCCATTATGAAGCCGCATGAGAGATTAATGGGATTGGATTTGCCACATGGGGGTCACTTGTCTCATGGCTATCAAACTGACTCAAGAAAGATTTCAGCAGTCTCGACCTATTTCGAAACAATGCCTTACAGAGTTGATTTGGAAACCGGCCTCATTGATTATGATATGTTAGAAAAGACCGCAGTCCTCTACCGTCCAAAAGTCTTAGTAGCCGGAACTTCTGCTTACTGCCGGTTGATAGACTATAAAAAGATGAGAGAGATAGCTGATAAGGTAGGTGCATATCTCGTTGTAGACATGGCCCATATCTCTGGTCTTGTTGCAGCGGGCGTTATTCCATCTCCTTTCGAGTATGCGGATATCGTCACAACTACCACACACAAATCTTTGAGAGGCCCTAGAGGCGCTATGATATTTTTCAGAAGAGGTGTTAGGTCGGTAAACCCTAAGACAGGCCAGGAAGTGCTTTATGATTTGGAAAATCCTATCAACTTTTCTGTGTTCCCTGGCCACCAGGGTGGTCCACACAACCACACCATTGCGGCATTAGCCACCGCATTGAAGCAAGCTGCAACTCCTGAATTCAAGCTCTATCAAGAGCAAGTCCTCAAGAACGCTAAAGTTTTGGAAACCGAATTTCTCTCGAAAGATTACCTGTTAGTCTCGAACGGGACTGATTCTCATATGGTCTTGGTTTCTTTAAGAGATAAGCAGATTGATGGCGCACGTGTGGAAGCTATTTGCGAGCTCATCAATATAGCTCTAAACAAGAACTCCATTCCCGGAGACAAGTCCGCCTTGGTTCCCGGTGGTGTGAGAATCGGTGCCCCGCCATGACGACGAGAGGAATGGGCGAAGATGATTTTAAAAAGATTGTTGAGTACATCGACTTCGCCGTGAATTATGCTAAGAAAGTACAGGCGTCATTGCCAAAGGAAGCCAATAGGCTTAAAGACTTCAAGGAAAAGATCTTGCAGCATGATGAAAAATTGGAGGCCATCAAGCTGGAAATTCACGAATGGGTCGGTACCTTCCCCTTATCAGTTTAAATGAGATTGAGTCTGATCCCTTTTTACATACAATATATGACTTTTGATTTCTTCTTTTGTTTGACAAGCACCTTGCTAGGGCCATGCTTCTTCTACGTCTTCAACATTGCCCACATTGCCCGACTTGCCTCTTGAATGAATAATATTACATGCCAAACCAAGGCAGCTCTAGGGGCAGTGACCGCCCATTTTCTTAAGGGAAGTTTAGCATCAGGCGACTCGATTACAGCATAGCCTGTCATGTTGTCCACGGCGACTGGTGACGAATGCGGCAAATGTTGGGGAAGTATAACCCTCAGGCCACCACCGCGCACACGTATATATAGCTTGATTTCAACCTACATCGCACAAAACATATATTTTATATCTGCTCTTCTCAACATGAATGATATCTTACTGAAAGCTGTCAACGAGATCACATCGGAATTCAAGATTGACAATGGCTTCCTTTGCAAAGCTACTAGCCACTTTCTCAGCTCCATGGATGCTGGGCTTTCTTTCGAAACGCCTGCTCGGGAGTACATGCCAATGATACCAACATACGTCACCTCAATTCCCAACGGAAAAGAAAGAGGGCTCTTTTTGGCCGCAGACTTGGGAGGTACTAATTTTAGGGTATGCTCAATTGAATTGAAGGGCGATCATACGTTCGATCTCAAGCAAGCCAAATCACCGATTCCCCTTGATTTAATGCTGGGTAGCACGTCAGATGCATTATTCTCTTTTCTTGCAGAGAAAATCAAGACTTTTTGGAGGAACATCATGGTGAGCAGAAGGAAACTGGAAACATCAAGCTCGGATTTACATTCCTGTTTCCGGTTGAACAAACGGCGCTCGATCGAGGCAAGTTAATCCGCTGGACGAAAGGTTTCGACTTGCCGGATTGCGTTGGAAGAGATGTAGTGGAGTTTTTGCAAAAGCACCTAGACATCTTGAAGACCCCAGTGACAGTGGTGGCCTTGGCCAACGACACAGTGGGTACATTGTTATCAAGAGCGTACTCGAACAATTCTGCCGAGTCTAAGGCAAATACTGTCATTGGCTGCATCTTCGGTACTGGTACTAATGGCGCATATTACGAGAAAGTCTCTAATATTCCAAAGTTAGCTTCTTCTGCTTTACCAAAAGGTACACAGGGTATGGTGGTGAATACAGAATGGGGCTCTTTTGACAATCTGTTAGACATATTACCCAAGACAAAGTTTGACGACCTTGTCGATGCAGAAACATCGAATAAAGGCTACCATTTGTTCGAAAAAAGGATTAGCGGAATGTTTTTAGGGGAACTTTTAAGAGTCACACTCATGGATCTTTTCTCGCAAGGCTTGGTCTTTCAGGATCTTTACAAGGATAGAGGAGGATCATTACCTCACCGCCTCACAGAGCCCTTCCTTTTATCTTCGGAAGTTTTGTCTTATTTGGAAATAGATGATTCTACTGAACTCAGGATGTCCGCTCTTATTCTTGAGAACCATCTCAGGCTCCCTACTACTTACGAGGAGCGTATTGCCATTCAGAAGCTCACGCAGGCAATCTCGAACAGGGCTGCAAGTCTCTCCGCTATCCCCTTGGCAGCCATCGTAATGAGAGTGAAAGATCAATATGCTGATGACGACAAAGACTTTGAGGTCGGATGCGATGGTTCGGTAGTTGAGTTTTACCCTGGCTTCCAAGATAAGATTCTCAGTGCCTTAAACCTCATTAACCCTTTAAAGGGAACGAACAAGAAGATTCATTTAAGGATTGCCAAGGACGGAAGTGGTGTTGGGGCCGCCCTTTGCGCATCAACAGTACAATAAGTAGGATAAAGTACAAGACACCGTTGTACCAACCTTTCTTATAGTTTTAAGCTAGATTTTCGTATATTAAGACTAAATTGTAAATTCTTACGGCGATGCCAAGTTACGAAGGAACGATCTACATTAATATTCAATGACTTTGTTGATCAAATCATGGGTTCTAAATCTAAACCACAAATACCTTAGAAACACAAATCATCCTCTCGCCATTTGTAGCACATCATTGCTAGCCACAAAGTAGCTCGACGGATTGAGACCCTCTCAAGAGAAAAAAAAAAAAAAAAAAAAAAAAAAAAAAAAAAAAAAAAACAGAACAAACATACATACGAAACATTCCAAGGTATGGAACCAAACCTAATATCTGGAATCAACAACACCAAAAAAAAAAAAAAAAATACATCTCTTAATCAAAACTTTTTAATTAAATACATGGACACTAACTGAAACATATTTTGAGGAGTGGTTTTGCCACATTGGCTAAGAGCTTCCCGATTCTCTAAAACTAGGCTTTGAACTTGATCGAATTGGAGCATATAGCTCACGATCAGAAAGAAAATCCAAATAATTGAAATCTTTTTCATCATTCACGCAGACCTAATTGTAGTCTGAAGCTAGGCCTGAAGGATAAATCCTTGGTAAGTTGAAATGAAAATTAGTTAGAAGCTAATCTCAGACTGTGAAACGTTGTTTTCTACCTCATGACCTGATTTCAGTGACATGGTAAAGGCCGTGCTTTATTATCAGAATGAGTTACATCGTAATCGTAGCTTTCAATACTGACATATTATTATTATAGGAATATTGAGTGAAGTATTGAACAGATCAGTCAGAATGTAGAAGGTGTCCTTAAAGAGATCCGCCTGATCTGGAAAGCAAAACTCGATAAAATTCCTAGGCCGTTCGGCGCCGGATACAATTTCATTCTTAAAGATCTAATGTCAGTTGGCCGATATAAGAGAGTGACAAATCCCAAATTGTAAAATCGCCCTCGGCGAAGTCAGACCGGAATACGCTCTACCTAACTGAAATAGTGTTAATTTAACGCCTAGGTACTCTAGTTCAAGCTACATGTTTAAGATCTATTTGCACTACTATACTCTTAGTATGCCGTTGTAGCACTCTTGATCTTACTCCATTGCAACAATTTTTTGTATTAATCCGAAATAGAATAATATGTAGTTAGTGTTTGATTGGGCGACTGGTCAGCTTGCGGTCATGTATGGGCTACTTATTCACATTTGATTTGACAACGCAAGTGTCACCAAATGCATCGCATTCATGCTAAAATGAAGTTCTTTAATTTTAGCTGGACTTTAGGGTATTTTGTTTTTAACTGTGCATTAAGAGGACTCGTTACGACTCGAAAATTACGCTTTTGCCTAGTCAATTTCTTCGATTGTATTCTTCGGGTATTGGATTGTAGTGTAATCAGAAATGTAAGTGAGGTAGTCGATCTTTAAGTCTTGGCGGATTATGATGTCAAGAAGAAAGAATAGGAAGTCTCATGAATAGGAAGTCTTATTAACAGTACAATATAACTTTTGGAGGGTAATGTTTTATGACGCTTGATGGCTTTGTCGGTACGTAGTATGCCTTAATATTTTTTGTTTTTTTATTCTACTGGGGGCACGGCCAATTATTTCGTTTCTGTAAATCTGTAGAGTAAAGTTCTTTTTTGTGTTTGTTTGCTGAGTGTATTCAATTCTATCGTTTGTGATAAGTCCTTGTGTTGTTTAATCGGGGCTTCTGATACAAAGTTCTTCAGGTGGCTCGAGATATGATCTTGTTATATATACTTGTGCGGTCGCCTGTCAGGCCTTTTCTAATTTTGATAGATTTGAAGTGATGGTATGAGTTATAGGTTGGTGTAGTTTTAATACAAGGCCATATCATCTTGAGGTTATTGCCTTCAGACTTCGTGGTATACTATCAGTGATGCAGAAGGTTCTGCCGATAGAAATATAATACCATACGAGCAGGCTACAACGCAAGGATAGATTGATAGAGACACTCAAGCTGAAGCTTAGACGGGGGTGTTTCGCGCCGGACGGCAATGAGGAAATACTTGTAAATCCGATGATTAAGGGGTTGTGTTTTCTACAGGGATATAGTTTTCGAGTTGTAAGGCGTCCTCTTAATACATTGTTAACTAAAAATGTGATCTGAATACATTGATATGGGATTTACCTGGCGACTTGCGTCATCTATAGAATATTTAAGAAAAAATTATGCAGATACTAAAGCGAATTTGATGATTAATCCTGGCACCCCTTTTTTAGCGCCATCTATCCCATGTTGCTTGAGGACCCAGTTAAAACTGTTTAAACTATCATTTGCGTAATGACCGACATCAATATCGAGTGAATGTTGTCCATAAGTGGGAATCAGTAGCTTGTATTGTGAGTCGCCTAACTTGATATAGTTCGTGTCAAATTGAAAGGTATAACTTTCCTCCTGATTGAAAGTAAATTCAGCGGCCTTTGTTTCAGTGGAATAATACTTTTTTCTTGCGCTGGCTGATTCTGGTATGCGGGTGTCCTTGTCCTTTAAATTCTCTTTATCGTCATTTATAGGCATGATAGTTTCATTGCTAATTTTGTCGTCGATACGGATCCTGCTAAAACTGTTAAGCGCCAAACCAAATAAATATGGCGTTTCGCTGTAGACGTCACCCTTTATTGAAGGGTTTAACCACCAGGAAAAGAATTTGAGACCAGTTGACAAGAGGGAGACTGGAACGTGGTCTTTGACAGGTGTTAAGCTCTCATTTCCAAACACAAGCTGGGAGCCTTGGATAGACCGGGAAGGCTGAAAATTAATCAAAATTCTAAAGTTTGGAAGTTCTGTTGAAAAATTCTCAGTTGGCGATGCTGCTTCCACATCGCTCAGGGATGAGACATTGTATTTGCTAGATGGGTAGTGATCCTTGCTTCCCGCGAAGTTCTTGATGAAAACCTGAAGTAGTATACGGCCGATCTCGGAATCGATGACCAATGGTTCTGCAGAATTCACAGGGACAATCTGAAGTGTTTCATCGTAATTCGAACCTGCCGTTATGAGGAGTTTACTGGTCATTGCACCAAAAAGAATTGTTGTAAACTTGAAGTACATTGCGCAAGCAATGAGTTGCATGCAATGTAGCTTAACACAAGCCTCAGCATGTCTAGCATCACATGAAAGATTTCTCAGAAAACGTTAAACGTATTAGATTATCTCAGGTGCTGGCAATGACAGCTGTGTGACGGTACCACCTGTTTATAAATATTCCACCAGCTAGTCACAACCTAATATACCTAATCTACATATACCCTACATACAGTTCAAGAGCAACACTTATGACGTTGCGGAATCTATGAGGCGAGAGAATGTCTCCTTGAAGAATGATTCAAGGTTAGTGGATCATTTATTACGGAAGCCATCAAGGTAACAGTATCACGAGTCCTACCTGTTCGCTTTATTGCAATCTAGATCATGACTGCTTAGTATTGCATATGCGCGGAAATGACAGCAATGCGAATGATTACCCGGTTCACTTGGGGGTGGGAGTATTTATATAGGAGCGCTCCCTGGTAGAATACTTCTCTCATAAACTTTTCGAAATACAAGAAGAATGTCTAACTCTTTGGAACAGCTCAAAGCAACCGGAACAGTTATTGTTACCGACACTGGTGAATTCGAGTCGATTGCCAAGTACACCCCTCAGGATGCTACCACTAATCCTTCCTTGATTTTGGCTGCCACTAAGAAGGAGGAGTATGCCAAGTTGGTGGACGTAGCAATTGATTACGCTAAAGATAAAGGCTCGACTCCAAAGGAGAAAGCATCGATTGCGTTAGACCGCTTGTTGGTAGAATTCGGAAAGGAAATCTTGAAGATAGTACCAGGCCGTGTCTCAACTGAAGTGGATGCAAGCTTGTCATTCAACAAAGATGCTACCGTTAAAAAAGCCCTTGAAATAATTGACTTATATGAGTCAATTGGAATCTCTAAGGACAGAGTCCTTATCAAGATAGCTTCCACGTGGGAGGGAATTCAGGCTGCCAAGGAATTGGAAGAGAAGCATGATATTCACTGCAACCTCACTTTGTTGTTCTCCTTCGTTCAAGCCGTCGCTTGTGCTGAGGCTAAAGTGACTTTGATCTCGCCATTCGTGGGTAGAATCTTGGATTGGTACAAGGCTTCGACAGGCAAGGAGTACGATGGTGAATCCGACCCTGGTGTTATCTCCGTCAGGAAAATTTACAACTACTACAAGAAGTTCGGTTACAAGACAATTGTAATGGGAGCTTCTTTCAGAAACACAGGTGAAATCAAGGCCTTAGCTGGTTGCGACTTCTTGACTGTAGCACCTAAGTTGCTCGAGGAATTGATGAACCTGAACGAGCCCGTTTCTAAAGTTTTGGATGAAGCTAAGGCCGGTAGTACCCAAGAAGACAAAGTTTCATTCATTAACGACGAGGCGTACTTTAGGTTTTTGTTCAATGAGGATGCTATGGCTACCGAGAAGTTAGCTCAAGGCATCAGAAGTTTCGCGAAGGACGCTCTGACATTGCTTACCCAATTGGAGGCAAAATTCCAGTAAAGCGCTTGTCCTGTATGTAACTCGAGTCTTACTATAGTTAGGAATATATGAAGATTACTTAGAGGTATCCCAAATAATGAGACCTATCATACCGACAGAAGTTAGGAGTCCTTATCCCCTTAATGTACTGGAGCAGGTCATTGCTGGGTATTCCAGAGGGTCTTCTGAACTCGGAATACCTACCGCAAATATTCGTGTAAACGAAATTTTAAGTTCCTTGAAAGAGGGTATCTACTTCGGATTTGCCAAGGTAGTCGGTCGACCTGATCAAGAATCACGCTGTGTGATGAGCGATATTGGAAACGAGATTCATTTCAACTATGGTAATAGCCTCCAACCCAAAGATACCCAAATCTTCCCAATGGTGATGTCGATTGGGTGGAATCCGTTTTATAATAATACAGAGAAAGCGGCTGAAGTTCACATTATCCATGAGTTTCAAGGCACTTTTTATGGTGCCTCTGTCAGACTTACAATCCTTGGTTATTTAAGACCGGAGCTCGATTACACAACGAAAGGTATGTCACTAAGAATGATTCTTTTACTCCTACTAACAACCCCAAGATGCATTAATAGAAGATATAAAGACGGACATAGACATTGCTACCCGCACACTTCTGTCAACTCCATATAAAGACATGGCTCGTGTCCTTGAAGAGACAGAATAATCTCGCCATTCTAGTGTGAGTGTGAACAGAAATTCATCACTTTGGCAACCAAATTTTACGGCGTTAGTTCGAGAGAAGTTATCAGAACAATCTTTCCACGATGAAAAGAAGCTCCCATAGTTCATGGGGAGCGTTTCTGTTGCAACTCAAATACTGAGCAATGTAATCTCGGGCCCGTAAAAAGTTACCATCGGAAAGTTCTAACTTAATTAATTGTGTTAGTATTCTGATTCGGTTGACTGTTTTACTGCTCGTTAATGCTCGTTTGAGCACTGTTCGTACCTTATTAGTTTTTCCTAGTCGTAAAAGATAATTTGAATAGTCGCAAACAAGATCGATATCATTCCCCGTTACAAGCAACGCTCGTTCGTATAGCTGTACCATAAATGTCACTGACATGATTCCTTTCGTTGCGTGAATATACCGGCGCCATAGACCTGTTGCTTGAAGCAGGGGAGATTCGAGAGCTATAACCTCTCTCTCGAACGGAAATATTCGGGCACAATAAGCTTGTTGAGCTAGAACATTTTGTTGTATAGCGTCACATCGTTGTTTGACGTGTTTTCGTTCGGGGATCTTCCTTAGCGATACTTGCGGATACAACAGTGCTTGGTCGTATAAGGGAATGCAAGAGAGCTGTCGAGCCAAGCCAGTCTTCTTCAAATTGCATAGATTACTCTGGCCTGAACACATCTGGAGAAAGGAGAAATAAAGTTCGTAGAATTCCGAGCAATAGAAATGCATTCCTATTCTCTGACGAGCCTCATCTATCACCTCAAGATTACTTGCAAAAGTATTTTCTGCGTTCGAAAGTTTTAACTGTAAATACGTTAACCAAAGATGAATGTCGTAACCGAGAAAACCAAGCGCCTCCTCCAAAACTAGCTCAGCTTTTTGTGGTCCATCAAGCCTGGCCACTTCACTTGACCGATCCTCCCAATATGCTGACTGAGAGGGAAATTGTTGAAGGTAAAGCTCCGAGAGGAGTACCATAGACGAAGGTTCCATCCGATTCAGCGAGCTTTTCAGTGATTGAATAAGTTCAGCGAATTTAAATAAAGCATTCTCCCACAGGAGACAAGTCAATGGCTGTTTAATTAGAGCGATCGATTCTAATTCCAATGGGAGGCTGCTCATTACGCAAGATAGACCCGTGGGTAGTTTGTCTTCATCAATTATGATACCCATCTTCAATGATTAGCAATATACAGTACGAGCCTGACAGTAGCGTTAAAACAGAGTGTGCCTGAAAGTGTACGATATTTAGACTAAAACTGCATTACTTGCCGATCTGTTTCTGGATTCATTACAGAGGTGCCTCGAAAAAGAAACATCGAGAAATGAAGTATTGACGGGTCGCACTTCATTATGCTAATCATTCCTAGCATACATAATCGCGGCCTCGACCCAATATGTTCCGAGGAAAGATGAACGTCAGAGAGGATTTGGCTTGAAACGAAGTGATTGAATAAAATTAGCAGAATGAACCGTTCAGTTTGACCGTTTCATGAGATCAAATAGAGAATCATTTGCAGTTTCAGATATTGTTGGCCAAACTATCTGGACCACTCGATGTTGATGGTTTATGTGTTTAGAAGGGAAATGGATACAGAACATGAATTCTATCTATTTGTGGTAGCCCTGTAGTGAGCCTATATGATGATTTACGTCGATGTATCGTTTCATTAATGTTGAATAATATTAGTACCTCCCATATGCTTCTAAGCCTGTGGATATTATCAAGTATTCTAGTCTACCCTGGGTTTCTTATCTGTTTCAACTCAAACTCCGAGATATCACATAGATCAGGGGAGAACATACTCGAATTGCTCGTGATAATGTGAGCAAACCATTTAACTTTAAACAGACCATTTCAACTACAACATAGAGGTTTAGAAAAAACTGAAGAGAAGATTTTGGAAACATGATTTATGATTATAGCCTATTCATTGTATTGACTGTGAGATCAAATACTCGACTTAGTAAAAAGTAGTTGGTGCTTTGAATTCGTACAACTTCTTGGACTTCTGGACTCTGTGAGGCAATGGGAACTTCAAATTCTTGGTCAAGTACTGCTTAACATACTGTCTCTTAACGTCTTCGGTCTTCTTCAACTCAACGACCTTCAAGATGTGGATGTTTCTAAATCTAGCTCTGTGTCTGGCAGCCAAGTCTTGGTACATAGTCTCAACAGCGCCAACTCTGGTGACATCTCTGTACTCTTTGTACATGTTGTGAATTCCGGATCTGGATTCGTATCTAATCCAGACACCGTAAGTCTTGACCTTGGTTGGAGTGGAATCGGAGATGATGTTGAGAGCCACAATTTCACCAGATGCCTTCTTCACCTTGTACAATCTCTGCAAGAAGTACCAGTAACGAGACTTAGCAACGACAGCATTTGGCGCAAAAATTCTCATTCTGAACAACTTTGGCTCTGGAACAGCTTCAGTTGGAAGACGACGTCCAATGATCTGGTATTCATTCAATCTCGACATCTTGATGGTTAGTATTACTTGGTTCTATTCAACTTAGTCAATTTTTCAAAAGCTGGATCTTGATGGAACATACGATGTTTGAATTCGGTCTTCTGGATTGATGAGAAGTAACTGAACCGGTTTTCAATTCTGCTTTCGATATGATGTGCACTACGAAAATTTTTATCAGCTGTATGCAGATAACTGAGGTGTCTGCTATATATACTGAGTATGTTCGCACGTGAGGCGATACTCTTAGGGCAATAACCCTAATGAACAGCTAAAAGTGCATCAAACACAAAAAGTTGGCCCATTTCAGATTTAGAAGACCATCCTATGTGACGTTTCTTCAGATAACATGACATTGATAATACCTATTTACGTTGGAGAATAATCGACTCAATGAAATCAGATAAGTTTCTTAATCTTATTCTCAGCTTGTTGGGCTGCCCTACGTTCTCTATGTTTTTTGGCTGCTGGACCTGCTTCAGTGTTCATGAAGAAGTCCAACCAGGTGAATGAGCTCGCGTAGTTTCCCACGAAGTAATGGTGGTGTAAATCATGATGTGCCGCACCGGCCCAGAATGGAACAAACTTATTAAGCGACCATGGAAAATCATACCCTGAATGCGAATCTACTGCCTGAAGCAACCGTAACACAATCCAGCATGTTATTGTGAAAAGATGTAACTCGGGAAGCCCATTCATCATGGATTTTGCAATGTAAGCATACAAAATTGGAAAGCCAACAGTTCCAACCCCAAGCGACATGACTTCCACTGGATGGGCGTACTCCGCTGTAAAGCCGAAGGGTGCTGCGTATTTATGGTGCTGCTTATGGATATTCTTGTAGAACCAACCATAATGGAAAAGCCTATGAGCGCAGTAATGCCAAAAGTCTTCACATATAAAAAAGAACACAATCTGTGACACCATTGTGTACTTAGAAGGGAATGGCACATCTATGGAAATCCTGAGGGATGAACATAAAGGATGAAAGAGCCAAATGGGCAAAGCTTCCACGAGAAAGTGTGATTTCAAGACAGCCTTAAAACACTCCCATTGTTCCTTTGCGGTAGGGATCTTCTCTGGTTGTATTTTCCATCGGTTGAAGTAAGGAATCAGGTCGATTACCATCCATGGCAAACAACGTCCGAAATATGCAACTTCATGAACAACAAAGAAGAGCAAGCCAGTAGCCAAAGTGTCGTTATTAATGAAGATATACCAAGTTGCCCATAATCTTTCAAAAATATTAAGGTTCGTGAACTTCGGGATAACAGGAGAGAGTGCTTCGCTCAGTATAGCTTGATAAACTTCGTTGAAGGAAGTGCCATTCAGGAAGCTTTTGATGACTTGTTCATATACTGATTTTGACATTACTTCTTTTATTTAAATTTTTAGGGGAAATAAGACTTTAAATACTGAACGAAAGATCAAGAGAAGAAGAAAACTGTAGCTCGTACACTCGTATCGCAATGGCATGATTCTGCATCAGATGAAGAAGATATGAGCTGATTCACTGCGATACCTGTATTTGTGTACGAACGTACGATAAGTGCGACGCCTGCAACCACTCTAGAAACAAATGAGGCAAAACCTATTTTATTATACGATACAGGGCTGTTCGTTTACTATCTACTTATCTCAATATCTATGATCAATCCCCTCGAGCTAATACACCCTTTGTGACGGCAAGATGTCCGCGATCAATGACTCATTAATGTTTCCTGGCATAGAATGACCACCGGCTTTATATTGGTCGATATGAGAGAAAAACTGATCAAACAAAAAGGATGTATCGAGTGGCCCGCCTTTTGCTTCAGGATGAAACTGTGTTGAAAAAATTGGTTTCGATTTGTGACGCATACCTTCATTAGATAGATCGTTCAAGTTGAGGAAGTATGGCTCCCAATCACTTGACAAGGTACTAGCATCAACGGCGTATCCATGATTTTGCGACGTGATGTGGCACTTCTTGGTGACAAGATCCAAAGCAGGAATATTGTGTGCCCTGTTACCGTATTTCAATTTCACGGTCTGTGCACCACTTGCAAGAGCAAGTAACTGATGGCCTAAACAGATTCCAAAAATCGGTAATTCTGTATTCTTTGCCATAGTCTGCTTCAAGTTATAAACAGTCTGCGAACAATGTGTTGGATCGCCCGGTCCATTCGAGATGAACAAACCATCAAACTTTTTTGAGATGGTGTGAATAGGATAATCGTACGGGAAAACTGTCAAGGATGCTCCTCGTTCGACTAGGCTCCGAAGAATGTTCTCCTTAGCCCCGCAATCCAATACTGCTATATGGTAGCCCTTATTAAACTGATCAGGGCAACGAACATGGAATGGAGATCGTGTCGTCACCTGCCTAACCAAGTTGATTGAGCCTGGGTCCTCAAAAGCTTCATCCTGATCAGCATCATACTCTTCCCCGATACTAATTTTTGCTAGCGAAGACCCTTTGCTCCTTAAGTAACTTACTAACTGGCGCGTATCCACGCCACTGATTGCAGCAACACCTGAGCGTTGGCACCATTGCTGGAGCGACTCAACCGCTGTCCAGTGTGAGTATTCTAAAGCAACATCTGCAACAACGATACCGATACATTGAACGCTTGGAGACTCCAAGTGCTTCAATAAATTGAATTGGTCCTTTGCAGTAGACGAAGGGACACCATAATTTCCAATCAAAGGCTGGGTGAAACACAAAATTTGGCCCTTGTATGAAGGGTCCGTCATGGATTCTGGATATCCAACGAGAGAGGTTGTGAACACCGCCTCGCCGCTGACATTTTTGTTAGCCCCAAAAGAATATCCATTAAAAACTGGACCGTTGCGGATTGTTAAAGTTGCCCTGTCTAACTGGTTTCCTTGAAAATTTAACCCAGATTGGGTTGCAAGCCTTCTGGATTGTCCCAAGAAGGCACCAAGGCGTACGGATCTCATCATGTTAATGCTATGACCTTCGTTGAATCGAAATGCCTTGTTCTGATACTTGTAAAGAAGGGAAAGACTGAAAAAAGGAAAAGGAAAGAAAGTCTGAAAGAGGGAAAAAAAAATGAGTCAAGATAACCCACCGCGGTAAACCATTCCTTTCCTAATTGGGCACGATATGCAGTCTATATCACGTGGTTTTCAAAGTGCTTGATTGGACTGTTTTGTCTGAGCAGAATTACCTTTTACTCTTCACCCTACCAAAACAGGTATGTCAATTTTAAGCTGATTGCTTCCTTCATCGCCGCCCTTGTACTTAACCACCATTTGAAGGGCGTACAAGCGGCCCACTAGACAATTTTGGAAGCTTGGAATAAGTGTGTAGTTGTTCTTATTCGCAATTTGAAGGGGGATGTCAAGCTCGCAAGACCACTCGATGTTTCCATTGATTAGCTCGCGAGCTTTCCAGGTGCAATTGAAGAGTTCGGGTTTTGATGCTGAGACAATTGGCGTAAAAAAATGTTGGATGGTGTCTTTCTTGACTCCCAACTTACTTAATCCCTTTAAATAGGAGAAAGTACCCTGCGAAACGAAGGTACCAGTGCTCCGCAAGTAGTCAATTTTATCATTTATGCTCTCTTTAAGCAATCTCAAGTTTTCATGGGTATTGGCATCATCTATTCCATCAAATGATATGTCGTTCGATCCAGGATCTGTATAGAAAAGATCGTGCTCTAACGTCAAAGGGATAGGGTATTCTGTGCGATATGTCCAAGCAATAATGTTAAAGTCTATCAGACCCAACTGGGGAGGCTTCATAGATTTTTCGTAGCTTTCAAAGTAAATTTTTGCTTTGACAGATTTTATGAGAATCTCATCATCACGGTTGTATAGTTCTTCCATATTACTGCTCACGGGTTGGAGTGAAACACCGCCCGTTGAAATATCGCATAGGGTCTGGCCAACATCGTTACTAGTCTGTGATGAACCTTTGTTATATTTTTGGAGTAGCCGAGGTGATGCGTACGGAATGAGCTTGTTAGGAATCGTAACAGCCATCCTCAGACTGCCAATCTTGACGGAAGAATTTAAAAGGCGCTTTCGTCTCTTCAAATAAATAGTCGTAGGGGAAGATATGATTGTATTGCTATTGGAGGACGGCACTGACAGTGGGACATCTTCCTTCATCCCACCCCTATTCAACGGCTTGTTATTGAAAAGAATATTCTTCCTTTTGACGTCGTCTCGCTTGGCCTCATTTTGATTAACGCTAGAGCGAATCTCCTCCTCAATACAGCGCCGCATTGCATTTATCTTCTTCCAGGTGAGCGTACTTGCTAATTGACTATGGAACATTCCATCGATTCCTAATTCATCAAAAGTGTCCTCTCGAAAATTCCTATAAGCCCGACTATAAGTCTCAATTTGCGACTTAACATTTGGGATGAATCTCAAAAAAAATTCGGTTTTTTTAGAGATAACGTATTTTGATTCATTGGAAGGATCAGGGTTGTTTATCTCGTTTGCATCGATTGGACAATCCTGGGTCTTTGCATGCTGTTTATCAATGAATTTAGCCTCAATAGCGTAGCTAACACTTAGGTTGTCGAAGGAGAAATCGCGTAAGCGTATCGGAGAGCCTCTATTATTAACGGTTCCATATCCTAGGGCCTTATTCACCTCTATGGTTTGTCCAGCGTGAAATCGATTCTCGATACCAAACGAGGGGGGAGGCATTGTATGTCTCATGACATCATGCGGACACGCGCTGTCTAAAAGCATTTCGGGAAATTTGAACGTAATAAACTTTTTGTAGCGTTCTCCCGCTTTGAGTATGCGATTATCGGGTAGACCAAGAATACAGCCATCATGGTGATCGCGGGTGTCAGGATCGTATTGTATACCAGCAGAGCTTGGTATAACGCCATAATTATAACTTGCATTAAGATCATACATCTTAAGAAACTTTTTAAGCATGATCTTTGCGGAGTACTTCTCCAGCAAGGCATCTTGCTTAGATGGCAAGGATATAGCCTTCACTGCCCCTTCGAGGCTTACTGTGAATAACCCAAAATCAACATCTCTATTAGATGTATTAGCAATAATAATGTAGCCATTGACTATATCTCCACAAGAGTATTCCTTTAATTTATTTTCTAGCTCATTCGCTTTATTTGGGACAGGAACATCTTTCGTAACAAATATTTGAACAGATAAGGGGGAGCTCCTGGCAACAGGGAGCTTGTCGATATTATCGAGAACGGAGCATCCGTAGCTCTCATGAGATAATACCCCGTCCCTGTCGTGGGTCTCGGACACGTTCGATGAATCCCTAGAATTGTCGACTTGATAGCCATCATTTGCTTCAACTTCTGAAAATAGGTAGCTCGCTTGATTAGAGTTCTCATCGTCAAGCTCGCCAAAGTTTTGAAAGTTGTTCGACCGATTGTCTGTAGTAATGCTAGTCCGGAATTGCCCATCCCTACTATCAATTTCCCCATAGACAGGAGGATTACCCAAGGCATTTTCATCAAACTCAAAGTCGTTTCTTTTGAGGATAGATTGATAAAGCTGAAAAGAAGGAAGAAGGTCGAAATACTCTGTTCTGGTACCTGAAGGGGAAGTCATCAAAGGCGTAGGCAGCATTAATCTATTGATCTGTTTTTGAAGATGCTTGTCAGGCCTATAAGGGATGTTTCTCTTCTCGGGAGAATTCTCCAGCACCAACTCATCCAGACCATTCGGATTCACTGATGGTTGATTACCATCGATTTCTATAGGTCCTTCTTCATACGGTGGTGGATTAGAAGGCGGTGTTCGCGTTTGGGTCCCTTCTCTCATGCGAATGAATGGGGTGTATTTGATTGGAAGTAGCTTTGAATTTACTCCACGCAGGCGCTCAAGATTAAAAAAGGATGGAACAGTTTACCGGAGGAATTACATGGATACCAAATTAGTTCTATGATGCTTTTATATAGCATTCACTCAGTTAATGGGAAGAAGCATCGGGCTTCATTTAATATTACTAATAAATAGGAGGACCCAGACAATGGCAGGGCAGGAAACAAGCTGGAGAAAATGAGAAAGGATATTCGCAAGAGAGAGGAGAAAAAAAAAAAAAAAAAGAAAAAAAAAAAAAAAAAAAAACGACGGAAAAAAGGACGATGTCGTCTTGGAAGGTATCCCAGCGAACAGGAGTGAGATGACTTTCTGACTCGAGGGGAATCTGTTGTTAGTGGTTGTCGTATTTTGCGCCGCGTCAGACTGACATGCAAATCGTAGATATGTTGTGCAATCACGTGGTTCATTAACTTCAGATCATCAATTAGCAGCTCAATAGTTACATACCATAAACTCACAGCTGCTAAAAAAAAAAAGGAATTTGCTGTCATATGGGCAAGATTTTAAGTCAGAAAGAGGCATCGCTTCAGGTACCACAGCCGGTCAAGGCTAAAGTGATCATCATGGCAGCTGATTACAAGTCAACTGCACAGTAGACCGTCGTGAAAAGCGGGTAATCATCATAACGTGCCACTTTCTCGAAATACAAGCATACCCATAAGCTAGATCATTCTCTCGTATATAGCTTCTACCATCTATGTTAAGCCCCATCAGGCAACTTAGACTCATCAATCGTCAGACATATGCTTGTCAATTGTTAAGTTCATCTTTTAGGGTCCGACACAGAAAGTAAAAGCTAAAGACCAAAAAATGGACTCTGTGAAGCTGTGGGGGATCTTCTATGGTTAGTATTATCATTGAGACTTAGCATCAGGAATGCATGAATGGTAAATTAAATGGTTTTGTCAACATCGAAGAAATCGAATCGGACTCGTCATCTTAGAATTCATCAGTAAAGCCAGTTCAATAAACATACATTGAGCTTTAAGTTAGTATGCGACTATTATAGCATTATAACAGTGTCAGTGTGACGGGTTTCTGACGCCCGAAAAATTTGCTTGTCACTCATAGATGTTCAGTGCCCAGTGCAATATTTCCTCCTTGGTGTTTGGTAAGACGAACATACCTATTGGTTAGTATTTTGTGAACCGAAATAAATAATGTCGTTCAGAATGATGCAAAACGTTTTCAAACTCATTCGTTTTCGGTTGGTAATTCCAGCTTAGTTTTGAAAATTCATCATGAAAAACTTCTATCTTATAGTAACATACTGTCAGGATCAAAGCTAATGAAGTTAGTTGGAGTTTTAAATATTTGGGAGAACTCAGTAACAGATAGTGATCATTCTAAAAAGTCACAAACTCTAGTTTGTAAGGTGTATCATCCTCATCTCATCTGCTTGCGAACATACTTTCTCGAGTTTAAAGATCATAATTCGATGATAAAATGATAAAAGGACAAAAAAGAAGAGATATAGAGGGCTTTCCAAAGAACAAGAAAAAAAAAAGTTGTATCGATGTGACGTATGCAGGAAATTATTTGGTGTGCGGGTAATACCCTGTAGAAACGGTTAGGGTGATGAAGAATACTGACCTATTTTGCTATTGAAGCTCGCTTAGGAGGTAAATCAGATATAGCCGCGGTATCTAATTTACGTTTACCTCCAGAACCATCTTCAAGACCACAATTTTCAATATATTTCTTGAGGTCGAGCTCTAATTCCTCGTTCTTTAAGAGCTTGTCGAGATAAATTTCGGCTGTGTTGCAGTTCGGGCAGTGAAAATCTCTCTCGATTAAGGCCTCTTCCAACTCATTCTGATTGTAGTTGAAGTTTTCAAGTTTTCTAAGAGATTCTTTTGTCACACAGCATGGCGTCATGACTATAGGTGGCGAGAGGACTCTCGAAGAACCATGTAATGGGTTCAAGAATTCAAACCTTTCGTCCAGGCGTATTTGATTTACCAAATTTTGCTCAAATTCTTTCCTTGCTTTACTCTCAGCACTTTGTTGCCGTTCTTGGTAAAGCGTCCATGTCTTAGAATCAGCAAGTGTCATAACATAGTCGCCAGCTTCAGTCACTTGGTAGGTGTTACCTTCCTCATCCACAAGGTCCCCATTCTCGTTGGTTCGTATGCTGTTTCCATTGTCCTCGGGGTTTGCAAGCCTGTATTCAACAGCTTCTTTCGAAAGACTCTTAACATAGCTTCGAGGAATACCAGTAGTTCGCTTGATTTTTTTCCCTTCGAATGTTGGATCAGTATTGGTAGGGCAATTCTTTATCCAGTGATCCTTCCCACCACATCTATAGCAGACATAACCAGGCGGCGGAAGATCTTCAGTACCAGGTTTCCCGTGCACGACTTTATGTGTAGAAAGCTCTTCTTGTGTTTTCGCCCAAGCATCATTTTGGCGCTCAAGCATTAACTTTATCTTATCCTCTTCACTTAAATTTTCATCAATAACTGTCTCTGGCTGTGATGACACCGTCGAAGTCGCCACCAACGGTGCTTTCAGTTTCACAATGCGTGGTCTGCCCGACACATATCGAGCAGCACTCTGATATCTCCCACCTTGAATTGTTAAAGGTGAACGCCGAGCTAGAACGAATGTTGATCTCGGGATGATATCCTGGTCATTCTCGTATTCTAGCTCAGGCTGTTCCAGATGAAAAAGCCTAAGAGAAAAGTCCTGGCCCTGACCGAGTTGATTTTGTATGATGATTTCATGCTTGAGATCAAAAACATTGATACTCGTCCCATCAAAGTGTATCGTTGATTGGCTCTTTTGGTGGAAAAATTTGTAAAATATAGAAGATGACATAGCGGTAAGTGACTTTTGATCATACTAAGATCACATTAAACCTTTGTATATGGTTTTATACACAGGTTCGTCTCAATTAGACAGACAGGAAAATTATCGAGAACTCTTCAAACAACACTCATCAAATGGGCTATACCTACATACCGGGACTAGCATCTCGTTATCCCACTAAGGAGGTATACTTACCGCTTCGATATCCAAACTCAATTAAGCCCGACGATGATGACGCCATCCGAACAAACTACGTTATGGGCGGCGTAATCGCCAATAAATCCAGTGTCGAGCAATTAATTGGTGGGATCCAATACGGCCTTCAATCCGATATGAAAACCATTGCTCTACTTCCCTTAGTGGATGCATGTATGATGTCAAATTTAAAATTTCAGAAACTAGAAATTCATCTACCAAGGGCTGTACTAAAAGCACCCACTCTTCATGTCTATGGTTGTTATAGTGGCCCCGAAGACGAATTATGCATAGTCATAGATATAATTGACCAAGACTTTTTGTTCATTACTCTTACAATTATCCTTGATGATTTTATTGTGGGTGATAGTAACGATAATCTTCATGTTGATAACTTCGAAAGATGGCTCCATATTTCAGTCCCATATTCATTTGAATTGCGTTCTGAACCGCTAGCTATAAAAGCTTTAAACCAAAACAATCTAATTGTATCTTTGCTGGATGGGGGGTTATTACATTTCAAAAGGAACCTGGTCCTAGCTGATGTTGAGATCTACAATTTTACCAAATTTACGCCAACGACTAAAGGTGTGATTGGCAGCATTTTTTCTGGAACGGAAAATAGAAGTCACAAAAAATCGGTTGGCCAAGTATGCTGCTTAGATATCGAAAGCATTGATGATCGAAAGTTTTTGGCTTTCTCATCGGATCAGTCTTTGAGCATGTACGACATTGAACTGCATCGGCCCTTAAAGCAAATTTATTTGTCCGAAAAATACAACGGGATTAATGAGCTGACGACACTACTCCATGGATACGTGAACTCGGTGGGAACTACTTCCACTACCCCTCGTCTTGTTTTCGTCCTTGCTTCTTTTCCTAGTCTGCAAGTCAAAGGCATTGGCCGGGATGCGCTTCTGATTATGGCGCTCGATTTTCCTGATGATAGCGATATCATTTACAACGAAAAGTACTCATTCGAAGCTTCAAGACCAACTTTCTTCACTGATACATTGCACACAAATGGTGTTCTGTACGTTCAGGATTATGCTGTCTCTCAAGAAGAAAAGTCATTCCTTCATAGGATTCTTTGGAGGTGTAACAACTCTACTGTTTTGTCCTGCTATCTTCAAGATGTGCACAGTGGCGTTATTACATCCGTTGCAGAATCCAAAGCGGAAATGGATAGCACAAGTCTTTTTACAAGAGTAACTGACCGGAACGATGCATCAATAATTCGAAGGATTTGGGATTCAGGCAGATATGACTCAAGCATGATACTATGCGCTATTCACCTCTTTTGCAAGAGCCTTAGCGTGGGCACTATCGATCTTCTGAGGCCCAACCTACGGAGTACATTTTGTAGTGCCATCGCTTCTGTCAGTATTTCAGCTGGAATCTCGAGTACATCTCTCTGGAATAAGTTTTTCCTCATTTGTGAGGAACTCCGCAAGAATAGCCAGGAGCCCCTCTCGTTCAATGTCATGCCCAGACGGGGTATCATGGTTCAAGCTAACGGTATTGGAATTTTTCGAGACCTGCACTTCTTGGAGGACATCTCCTTCCATCCTGCAAGCGGCAGCTTGACAGGTATTTTCAAAATTCTTAGAGTTAAAGTATCTTCCTCGGCTGCTAGCCTGCTCAAAAAGTTTATGGAAACGATCCAGTTTTTTGATGAGGACAGCATATCCAAGAAAGCGCAAGAGTTGCTTAATGGAAAATTTAATGATTATGAAGTTGGAATGCTTATCGAGAAACTTGATGATACTGTGCTTAATTTGATAAGGGACGTCACAAAAGTACCCGATATCAATCCCCCATCGTTCCTGATGTCAACGGTTCTCGAGTAGGTGTATTCTTGAGGCTCTTTGCCATGAACACCTTCCGAGCCATAATAGATTCACATCGCGCGGTACTTCTTGAGCTAGCGAGTCTATTCATGCTATGTGAGATGGACGAGAAAGTAATGCAAATTTTGGAATCTATTCGTCAGCATTTTTCATCGTACAAGTTTATTGAGCAAGTATTTGAGGTTTGTTTCACCGATACCAATTCAGTCGTTTTAGAAAAGGACACGCTTGGAAGACCTGAGATGTCAATATTTTGGAAGATTTTCAGCGATGAGGAAACCCTTATGTCGTACCTCCATGAATTTGATTTGAACGGAGCATTCGATGTCGTTCGCGGCGCAATTCTTTGTAACGACTACGGAATTTACACTTGTCGCTTGATTATTTCCCTTATCGATTGTGGGGAATACAACTTAGCGAAAGAGCAATTTAAAGTCTACTTGGATGTACGTGATCCATGTCAACGTTTAGTCAACGGGCTTCTTTGTCTCTTCACGGGAGACTTGGAAGAATTTCGTGAGATTTTGTCTAACTATACTCACGTCTCATCAGCTCAGACAAGTAATGCCTTTCGAAAAATTCACCCTGCATTAGTGCTGCTGCCCATTTTCAAGAATCTTTTCGATGATACTGATAGTCAAATATTGCAGTCGCTGTACTTCCACGAGCTCTCTCTCTTGTGTGAAAAGTGTTCATCCTTTAGCGAAAAGTGTAAAGAGAAGGTCACCCAGCTTCTCGGTGAAGCTATGTTTTTTGAGAAGGAAGCGATACGTGTGCATTGCTCAACGGGTCTCCTGGATAACGTGCCTTTGAAATACCATAGAAGAGTGGTAGACCTTTCTATCAAAATGAAGCATTTCGAAGAAGCATTTGAATCACTTCCCTCGATGTTGCCATATATTGATTCCTTTGAGTTGAAAGGAATTTTCGCCATTTTATTAAAAGCGTTGATTGAAAATGGAAATCAGCGTCTCTTGTTCGGGCGTCTCTCAGATCTCATTGCTGGACAACGTCATTTAATTGATGCGGTCTTAATGGAAAACGCGAACAATGATCTTGTGCTATGGAGGTCTCTTAAGACATACGAGCTTCTTTTCTCGTGGCGTCTTTTCGGAGAGTATGGTGCTATTGGAGATAGAAGAGGTGCTAGCGAGGCTCTTTATATCTTTATAACAAGATTCAGGTTAGAGAGCGAGAGATTGAAAGACACTCCCAAAGCAGATGAAGATTATAGACGCTTCAAACTTAAGATTCTTGAATTGTACATGATCATAATTAATTGCCTCAAGTCGTTCAAAAAGGACGATGATAGGTGGTTGAGGAAAAAGGAAAATGGAGCATTTCAGGTCATTGACATCCAATCATTGATGCTGGAATACCTTGATTGGTTACAGGAGTTGGAGAAGGATGCAAAGTAGGTATATTATCCGACATTGCTTTTCATATTGCCACTGCCTTTAGGATTATCATCCTTCCAGTCGTCCCAGATTCGAGCTTCCAATTCATTCTCACTATTCTCGCTGTCTTCGTTGTCCGTTGATGGCTGGTCGTTGCCTTTCAAGAGCTTGCCATGTTGGAGCTCATACTCAAGGTACTCCTCCACAGACATAGATGGTAACGTTTGGCCAGTCCCGTAAACTGACCTTTTTAAATCCGATCTATTTTTTGTAATAGTAAACGGCTGAAGTATTTTCCCTTTCGGACCAAGCACTTGATCAATTGGAGTCTTTTTTCCAGGAACCTGCTCCAATCGTAACTCCTTCTTTTCTTCATTTTTATTCTCCGGATGATAATGACGGTAATCAAAGTCTGAATCCGTAGTGGCAGCCTCAAGAACCAGCATTTCTAGATAAATCAGGTTCAAATGTTCAAGGGTTCGCAAAGCCAAGAGCCGCAATTCATCAACATAAAGCTCTCTTGTCTCTTCCTCGTGAGCGATATACCCGCCTTTTCCTAGATCAGTATACTCAACCCTTGTGCTGATCCTTTCCTCCAAATGCTTTCTCATCTTGAAAGCCTTAATCTTGGCAGCTCTTCGTCTTTGTGGGTCGTCGGGTAATACTCCACCATCAAATCCTTGGAGTTTTCTTGATAAAACGCTCTCCACGACTTCGGTTTCTTCCTTAGATAGAATCAATCCGAAAAGCAATAAAGACTCTAAAAACCTTTCGAATCGTTTCTCTGCGTCAGATAGACTTTTGCGTTTACCATGGAACTGATTGCTTTCATTGAGATTGATTATATCAGCGCTCAGCATCATCTCAAGACAAGCAATGTAATACTCAAGCCCTATATAAGGTATATAGGATGTGCTTATTTCATGTAGCAGCTCATTTTCACTGAATAGGTCGAGGCGAGACACCATGCTTTCTATTGTGAGAAATTCATCTTTTAGTTGCCTTTGCGTCTGATTTCCGGGCATTTGAAATCGTTCAAGATCTTGAAACTGATCTTTGGCATTCTTGAATCGTTGCTTAACATTAAGGGTCGAGCTCATCCCTACTGTATTGTCTGTCATGAGTGAGAAGATATGTATCAGTATCCCTCATGAACTGCATGGACGTTCAAGATGAAGGTTAAGCATTCAAAGGACGTAAAATCAAAAAGTTTATGGGTGTCTAAAAAATGACTCTTAGCGTTCGAACTCGATCTTTTTATATTCTGGGTGAGAAGTTATCTACCTTGTGTAAGTTTCGGCGGCTTGACACAGATTTCTATATACCACATCTGTACACCAACGTTTCATAGAGGCGAATATCGCACCAGCGGTATCAAGAAACCTGGATAACTATGAGTGCTCCAGCTTATTATGAGCTCTACAGGAGAAGCACTATTGGAACTGCTTTGCTTGATGCCCTAGATATTTTAGTAAGTGATGGAAAGATCGAGCCTCAGCTAGCTAACGGCATTTTGAACAACTTCGATAGGATCATATCCGAAAACTTGAAAGCCGAGAAAGGCTTCTGCAAATCCAAGCTTACATTCAAAGGCGATTTGCACACTTATCGATTTTGCGATGATGTCTGGACATTCATTATTAAAAATGTGCAGATCAAAATGACGGATGTTTCCAATAATGATGGCAATGACAGCGACATTTCAGTTGATAAATTCAAAATTGTTGCTTGCAACTCGAGGAAGGCAGGTGAACCGTAAGACACTTTGCCATGAACCCGCGTATAATTCGCCGATATTTCAAAGGACGTACGGTGGTCTCAGAGAAGATGGTGACAGTTGAGGCTTTTGAACGCTCAGCCGGTCGGTGGGTTGTATCGCTCCTGGATGTGATGCTGAAATGTAAATCTGGCCCTAGCCTTACAGTCTTGAGCGATGCGTGGTTTTTCGAACCTATACTCAACAAGAAGATTCTTTTATATACAAAAGCTGTGCTTTATCTATGAACACCTTTGGAATACATGCTGGTTACATTGGAGATCAATCAATAAAAGTTTTCTTTCATCATTTGCAATTCAAGCGAATCTTCTCCTAAGGTATCTTTGCAGAAAAATCCCGTCTACAGCTTCTCTCATCTGGTCATTCTGTCTCTCCTTAGCTATTACTGAGCCACGTACCACGTCTATCTCTTCATGGATGCATTCCGCGCATAGTAGTTCTTGACCCACTAGAGCATCCATATTGGTTTTGGAATACGATTTGGCTGGCTTTTAAGACATGGCAATGGGTGTCTCATGGGGTTGCTGGCGAAAGAAGAGGGATGTTGGGGTTACCTATATTGATAGTGCACTACTTATGTTGCAGGGTTGTACCTCAAAGTCTGCCAATATCATTCCCCATCAAAGTTCTTATCTTACGATGGAGTATATTCATGCTACGGCTAAAATGCTTTCTACATCATTATAGGGCGATGATCACTCAATTAGCTGCCACACCAGACAAATGTGGCCTTGCCTTGCCTTACCGAGCTGAATCATTTTCTTTTCTTTCTTTTCCCTTCTAACTCCACAATTATACTCCTGCACAAATCCTATCCAGCAAAACTACAATCGTACTAATTTAAAAAACAATCCATAAACAACATTTGAGAACTATAGAACTAATACGCTAGAGTCAATTAGCAAACAAAAAGTTATACAGTATGATACAAAATCGGTCTGAGATTCGGAAAATGTCCAGCTCTCTAGCATCTACTGCCTTTTGGCATACTCCGCCTTCTCTTTCTCATATCTCTTCTTGTCTGCAGCCGCCTTGCTTTCGTATGGTTCCTTATCGGTAGGAGTCATGGCCTTCCATTTGTCACCCAACATCTTGCCGACCTGTCCAAATGTGATGCCTGGATTCTCAGCCCTCACAATATCTCTGTTCTCATTGGCAAAGAACATATAAGCAGATAAGGATCTCTTTGGAGCATTTGGGTCCTTCTTCTTTCTAGAAGACTTCTTCTTCTCAGTCGACACTATCGGTTAGTATGTTCCTGTCAACCTGCACAATGTTTCCATTTTGATAGTGCTGTTTCATCAAGGCCGTCTCAATAAGATGAGGTTAGCGCCGCAAGTAATAACCGAGAGTAAGGATTCAACGGCTAATGTCGTCACTGTATGCCATCATTTAGGTGTTACTTTGACGTGCACCAGTAGATAGCCATGCATTGGTCTCAACTTCGAAGCGAAACCTTGAGCAACATCATCCTTAGCATTAGCTCACAACAACACTAAAAGTTCCTAAAACCTCTAAGTGTGATAATCACTTGCGTTCCGTGTCACCAGAAAAATGTGTTTTAACAATCAAGTCGCGCTGCGCGCCACCAGTATAGATAGATACATACTATTTGGCTATGTGTAGTTAATATGGGAAGAAATTTAGTAGGACTTTTTTTTATGTGGGAGCAATAGTAACCCCTATATATGGGTGCATTCTCAAGGCGCGGAGACTGTGACAGAAAGTGCGCAGTCTTTGCGTAAAACTGAGCGCGAGACTTTTACTGTTCACAGAGAGAAGTAAACATTCTATTTCGAAGGGGCCATGTTTGCTGAATGGGCTCTTTAATTTAGAGAGGCATTTTTTTTCAACTAACTGTAATCGAGCCTCTCGCTCTATCTTCAGGTTCTTTTTCTTTTCTTTTTCTCTTTCTTTCTCTCCGTTTTTTTTTCTTAATTTAAATTAGCATCCTCGCTGGGTCCTCGATAGCCGCTTGTCTGGGCGTGTGTCGCATGGGTTGGCCATAGTTTCCGCCTCTAGTTATCGCCTGCAGCATGCCATAAACAAACAATCCCTGAGAAATCTCTATACTTAACGTATGAACGCTATACCAAAATACACGAAGAGTAGCAAACTTATCTAATATAACGTATTACGCTATATAAGCGGCCCGAAAGATTAGTACCATGTGCGATACTGGCTGTTGTCTTGGAAACCTCCATATTGAGGATACTGCTGGTAGTTCGCATATTGAGGCATCTGTTGCGGAAAGCCTGGGATGGCATTAGGCAAAGGCCCAGACTGTGATTGAACACCTTGTGGAATCTGCTGCTGACCATGCTGCGGCTGTTGTTGTTGCTGCTGCTGCTGCTGAGGTTGGCCATGTTGCTGCTGTTGTTGTTGATGAGATGGTCCTGGTGCTTGAGTTTGCGACTGAGGCTGGTTCAGGGGTTGATGATGGTTCGTCTGCTGCTTGTCATTGGGGTCTCCTAGCTGAACGGCACTTTGTGGGAAAGGCTGGGAGTTAGGATAACCACTAAAGTGGAATCCGGCCCTATTACCATATTGTGTTGGAGTGGCATAGTACTGACCATAAAATTGATTTGCTGCATGGGTATTTGGGGCATCTTGAGCCAGGGCAGCCTCATTATCTCCACCGCTTGGATGTTGACTACCTGATGATCCCTCGCTCAATTGGGGCTGCATACCAAAAGCTCCAGCCGAGGCACCCATCCCAGCGCCATTCCCGTAGTATGGTGTATTGTAGTAGTAGCTGTAATAATTAGGAAACCCGAATGGAGCGGTGCCAGGCACCTGTTGATTCTGCTGGGAACTTTGCAAATGCTGCTGGGCGATGTTTGAACCTTGAACAAGGGGGGATTCTCCAATCTCCGCGTTTGCACTTCCAGTTTGAGAACCTCCTTTTACTTGGCCAGCGTTGCCGATAGTATTGTGAAAATACGCTGGAGACATTGAACCGATACCCGCTTGACCAAAAGCTGCCGTGTAATCATAACCGGGATAACCAAATTGTGCAGGAAGGGTGCCAGCTGCAGCCAGTTGTGGAAACAGTTGTTGGATCTGTTGAAATTGAGAATAGTAGTCTTGTCCTTGAGGAGGGCCATCATGCGCTTGATAACCATGCTTGGGCTGCTGGGACTGTGGAGGCTGTTCGGCTTGCTGAGATTGTTCCACTTGTTGACTAGGTTTGGAGTGTTGCAGCTGATCCCGATGCTGGTGTGACTGAGAAACACGTTGTGTTGACTGTGTTTCTTGAGACTGATTCTGGCTGTAGGTGTTGCCTGAGTCATTGCCTGAATCATGATAAGCCGCCTCATTCTGATGAGAAACTTCGGCAGCAGAAGATGGTGGAATCGCAGACGGGCGCTGTTGCTCACCACGCTGTTGCACTGCCTCCTTAGCTCCCAAAGATAACGAACCAAAAGATACTCCAATGTTACTGACTTCCTGTGGTAGAACGACCTCAGATTCCTTCACCAAGGAGGATATTTCTTGAGGAAGCTGTACATCTTCGGTCTGAGAAGCAGGCTTTTCCTGAACATCGGTCGACTCTACACTATCAGGCTTTTCATTGTTGAGAATGTTGTGATCAACATTGTGACTCGAAGATCTGGCTTCCAGGGACTCAAGGTTTCTGTTACTTGCCTGTGGCTTTGTCCTGGGCTTGATAGCAGTAGCCCAGGAAGTCAGGGATTCCTTGGACAAATCCTGAGAGCCTTCCTTTCCATGTTTTCCTTCTGAGGAGGTTTGATCTAAATCTGATTTCCGATGCTGATCGACAGGAGTGGGCTTTTCTTCGTCTTCCGTTTCCTGGGTTTTTATGTTATTGCGCAGTGCTTCTCTTTGTTTTGGCTTTGAATCTTTGCCTAGAGCTGCTGCCCATGAATTCAGAGGCAGCTTTTGAGCCTCCAAGCTAGAAATATCGGATTTGGCCCCAGGGCTTGCCGTATTTTTCGGTGCTATCTGGCCATGACCATGGCCGTGTTGAGCCAGCGCTGCTTCCTTCTTAAAAGGCTTTTTATCCCTCTTTTTATCCAACTTTATTCTGTCTTTGGTATGCTTGACAGATTTAGATGATGATTCTTGATGTGGCGTGGTGGTGACAGCCGAGGAGGCATACTCGTGAGAGTCATCTTTCCTCTTGGGCTTAGACTCTTTTTTGATGGGCTCCCATTTGGCGACCTTATTATTAACGATCAAATCAATCACTATTTCAACATCATTGTTGTGCTCGAATAAAAAAGTGGCCAAGTCATCCGATTCCCAGTCCGGAAACATTTCATTCAAAGTTTGCAATTGAGGTGATGCGGAGGGGCCATTCCCTGAAGTGCCGTTAGCTCTCCTTTGTGGGCCCTTCTGAGTTCTTCGTTGTGACATTGATCTAGACTTATTTCTGTGATGTAAAATTACTGGAGTCCAAGGCTCTCTTCAAAGCTTTCTTTAAGAACTCTCTTCGCTTATGCCTCGAAACTGGACCAGTGTGATCTTTTGAAAGGTAGGTAGTAATTTGATCGATGTCGCTTGAGAATGCTTAAATCTTGGGAACTGTCGATCGGTCAAGCAGTTGCTGTCAGTAATAGGTACACCTGTTGAATTTCTCCTCTCTTTTTTTTTTTTTTTTTTTTTTTTTTTCTGTGACCCTATGAACTTTTCGGGGTTGTCGACTTAGTGGTGTATGCACGACAGCCTCTGTGTTGCAATCATGTGACCAATGAGGGAAGAATCCCAGACAATGAGCCACGATAGGGTATCATACTGCTTTCCACGCTGCTTGCCGGCTTTCCATGTAGTGGCATTTGCAAATGGTATATGTTATCTTTGGAATATATCTACCAGTAGCTATCGGAATCAATTTGATCTCATTGAACACTACTTAGCGTTTACCCGAGGATTGTAGCAACTTAAAGTTTGATCTTCATATCTTTTATGATCCTTCATGATCTTTTTTTGATCTTTCATCCATAGCTTAATTCGGACATTAAGCATTGGACTCTAGAAAAAAAAATAAGTGTGATAGAATAAATTTGGGATAATACAAAGTCTACTTATCTTAAATTCCCCACGCTTTAAATTCGCAAAATAATCTCGTGAGGATAACGACGGCTGGAGTGCAAGACTGTTCTAATATTTCTAATAAAGAGTGCACTACTTCCTGACTTACCTGAAGTAGTCTTTAAAATAACGCATCTTTCTTTTTTTCCCCTTCCCGGACACTTTTAAGTAATAAATTCCCTTGGGAATGATTTTAAAGAATTTTCCACCCACGATGTTACTCGTGGTGTGTTGTCTTGAAGACTTGATGCATCCTAACCATTGAGGCTGGGAATGAAGTAAAGCCGAAAAATTTAGAAGCAACTAAGGAGGCTGTAGACTCCATGAGTTCACTTACTAGGTGCTTAAGATTTTCACCTGTTTGTTTGAAATCTGGATATGCGTTAACCTCCAAAAGCTTTACTGAATAGTCATCATTCACCAAGAAATCAAGGCCGTAAATCTCTAGACCATTGGATAACGGTTGAAAGTTGATCTTGTCGACACTTGTTGCCGCCTTGAATAAGTCTCCTGTTATCACTTTAATTTTTTCAAAAATGGTCGTTTTATCGGAGTGACTTATACCCTCAAGTGACCAGAAGGGAACTACCAATGGGTCCCTGCCTTCTTGTAAACAGGAATTTGTTAAGTGAACCCGTAAGTTATCTAATGCATTGCTTTTGCTGTTATCATCGGAAATCAGAATGTATCTGCTTTCAGCGAATAGAGCGAGTGCACCGTCGTAAACATATATCGCTATGTCACTCAATGCCACAACATATACCCTGAGATGGAACTTGCGGCAGTCGTATGTGCTTAGAAGAAGTGGTTGCTGCTGGTATTCTTGAACAAGAAAATGGCGAAGTTGAGATACTATCACGCCGCTTTCACTTGCATCTTCGTCTGAGTCTTCACCCTCTTCAAAAGAGTTGAAGATGTTTTGAAGCTCTTCAAGGTTCCGAAAGATTCTTATACCTTGGCCTTTATCTGCCATGCTGGGTTTCAAGATCCAAGTTCGATCGGAGTTTTCAATCTCTTGTCTTAGCTCGTAAGCATCATCTAATGCATCATCTAAAAACTCAGCGTAATCGACTTCAAGCAGATATGACTCCGGAAACGAGTCTTTAATTGGTGATGTAGGATTTTTGACCACATAATGGTGAATCGTGTTTGCCAAATAGTGTTTCCGAATAAGTGCCTTCCGGTAAATGAATGATGACACAAAATACTGGCTGGGATGAGATTGGAGCAAGTCAATATCAAGCTCCTCGTACTCTCCGTAATGAAATACCCTCATTGAGGGATCAAGTAAAAGTTCTTTTAAAATTCCATTAGAGGAGCATACCTTAAATCCCATGGACTTAAAAACCTGAATCAAGGGTTCGTAGACATAGTTGTTCGTGCCTATTGTAATTAAGAAAACATTCTTATGTTTGGCGGACGACCGCTCCACATGGTCATCAAAAAGATTAATTTCGCCTGACAAAGGCTCAACCACCTTAAACGCCGCTTTTAAAGGGGTAACACTTATCCCATCTTCTAAAAGAACCCTATTATCTGTATGCTCATGGTGTTCCAATCCCTTTTTCCACACATCGGTGAATTTTGGAGCCCAGCCGAATGCGCCTTTCCCCTTAGGAACATAGATTGAATCCCAAGTGTTGTTGAGAATGGGAGCATACATTATTTTGGTCGATTTACAATCAAGTGATTGAATTAATGGAACATTGACGCTAAAAAGGTCAACATCGGGGTTCGTTAGAAGGTCTTTCATGAGCCTTTCAACCAATTTCAATGAAATTTTAGCTGCTTCTCTTAATTGCAGAAAGTCATGAACGGGGTTTCTGAACTCATATGATAGCGCAATTGCTTTTTTCCCATGCGTTACTGCTTCCATAGCAGCGCCCACAGTTCCGCTTGCCAATATGTATAGATTTCCTGAATTCTTGCCAAAATTCGGTCCACTGATGACAAGATCAATAGGGTCTTTGTGAGATGACAAGTGATGGAGGCCAAGGTCTGCGCATGCCGCAGGTGTGCTGTCGACGAGGTGCCATTCCTGATGAGTTTCACGTAAATGAGGAATCAGTTGCCTAAATGGCCCTTCAAAACTATTGATGCTTTCATTCGGATCATCGGTACTTATCCTAGTGTAAATATATGACGTGTGTATAGTTTGCCCTGCGAGATGAGCTTTTCCAATCCAAGATCTTTGTCTGTCTGGAACGACGATGGTGACTTTCCAATTGGTGGATCTAAGAATTTCATCAACAAAATACTTCATGTAAGGGCAGGAAGTATCATCTGGTGGACCATCATCGTTGGTAAGAAGAACATGCATTATTTTGTATAGAATGATATCTGTTATACGGTGGTATGTTTTTTGTTTTTTTTTGTCTTTTTTCCCTTTTTGCGCCAAATTGATATTCCTCTGATGAACTTGGAAACTGCGCACAGAATTCAGATCAGAGGAAAAACCGAGATATTAAATATCATTCTTAAAAATCGAATACCAACTATATTCAACTTCTTTTGGTCCCATTGTCTATTAAATGATTTTAATTTAACAGAAAAGACATGAATGATCCTCTTTTTTCTCGCTTTCTCGAATGCTTTGTAAATCTTTAAACTTTGGCTCCTATTGGGCTCGATGTTTGATGCAGACGAAAGTCGCACCCCACTGATGATTGAAAAATGTGATTCCACCGTCTTCATCTCTCTCCAGACGAATACTGCTACCTTCACATTCACTAGTTCCAACAAAGGCTTCTAAATGTCATTCTTTCTTGGTGATACAGCACAGTTCTCCAATGTTGGAGTCAACCCAGAAAAGGTTAAGCTTGCAAAAATTCAGTTCGATGCCATGAGTACGACATTCAACAAGGTTCTACAATCATGTCACAAGAAATGCATAGCTCATGAGTACGGTGAGGGCGAACTTAACACAGGAGAAGCTTCTTGCCTTGATCGTTGCGTGGCGAAGTATGTTAAAGCCAACACGTTGGTAGGTCAAAGCATGAAATACAATTTGGTCCCAGAGAAAATGCCCGAATATCAGGAAGTTGCGGCGAGGCTCGTGGGCTCGGTCAACAACAATCAATAAGAAAAAAAAAGAAAACAAACAAAAAAGAACGAAGTTAATGAAGTCTTAATGACACTTGTATTACCTAACATTTACCTAGGAAGTTTACAATTGATTCTTAGTGTGGAAAATGTCGAGCGCTTCGGCAATTCTGGCGCTCATAGTCTTCTCACCCTCTCTGACCCAAACTCTTGGATCGAAGAATTTTTTGTTTGGCTTGTCTTCTCCATCAGGGTTACCGACAGGAGTAAGCAAGTAATCCTTCTTACTCAAGATATAGTCTCTAATACCTGTGAGGTATGCGTACTGGCAATCAGTGTCCAAGTTCACCTTGACGACGCCACTAGCGATAGCTGTATCGAATTCTTCTTGAGAAGAGCCAGAACCACCGTGGAACACCAAGTACAATGGCTTCTTGTTGTCCGTACCAATCTGTTCCTTAGCGTACTTCTGGTGCTCGCCCAAGATGGATGGCCTTAATACAACGTTACCAGGCTTATACACACCATGGACATTGCCGAAGGCAGCGGCGATAGAGAAGTTTGGCGAAATTGGAGCCAAAGCCTTGTATACAGCGAAGACAGTTTCTGGCTGAGTATACAAAGATTCCTTGTCAACATTCTCATTGTTGACACCATCTTCTTCGCCACCGGTAATACCAATTTCCATCTCGAGCCATTGGTTCATCTTAGTCATTCTCTCAAAATACTTGACACACGTGGCAATGTTTTCATCATCTGTCTCTTCAGACAAATCCAACATGTGGGAGGAGAACAAAGGTTGACCGGTTTTAGAGAAGAACTCTTCGTCAGCCTTCAACATTCCATCGAACCATGGCAACAACTTCTTGGCACAGTGGTCGGTGTGCAACACAACTGGGACACCGTAGACTGGCGACACAGCTCTGATGTAGTGAGCTGCAGCGATGGAGCCTTGAATTGAGGCAGTCTGATCGGAGTTTGATACACCCTTACCAGCGAAGTAAGCAGCACCACCCTGAGAGGTCTGCAAGATGATTGGTGATTTGTTGTCACGGGCAGCCTCTAAAGCTGAAACAACTGTTGAGGAGGAGGTAACGTTGATAGCTGGAATGGCAAAGCCTTTCTCTTGAGCATAGTCGAACAATTTTCTAACATCATCGCCATAGATGACACCGGACTTTTTCAAAATATCAGCCATTGTTGTATTATTTTAGGGATTGCAATTAAGTAAGGAATTGACTTATGGGAAAAGTTAAGCTGGCTGGCGATCAAGCGCATATTTATACTGGTGGGGGGACCACTCCGCTCCGGGACGCTCACCTGACCATTCATTTGCGACATCTGCGACATCTGCGACACTCAAAATCCCCAAGCTTTTCATCTTGGTTTATCCCTTTAAAGTAAGATTTTCCCTAAGCCCTCAACATCTCTTTCAAAAAGGCCCGTTCATTACTTTTGATTAGTGTCCCAATGGAACGCTTACCTTCTAAGGGAGGGTCGCTGAACCTGCATCAACACCTGACGTCTCCGTACTTCTGCGATATCGTGGCATTACGCAGAGGGCAAGTAATCAGGTGTAACCCGTGCGGTAAGACTCATGCACATACCATCATGCTATCGTAAGAGGTTGAATAAATGGTGCAGTTTGCCTGATCTGCTAACGAGAACATTTCGGCAAATGAAAATGAATATCTGTGATGGACATTTACATCGTTAGTTACATACGAGCGCATTACTAACTCGACATCAGTAATTGGCATAGGTCACGAGGTTGCTTTGACGCGAGCAAAAGCTTGTACTGCTGTTGATCCAAAGCTATTGCTGGCGACTCTCTGGAGTATGCGACATTTCTCTCTTTCTTTTGACAGCCACGATCGCTTTCGCTGCAAAGCTGTACACGACCGTCGAGATTGTTGCGGCCTATAGCTTTATTTGCGCAAGTAGGTTACCCGGGGTATGTCCAAAAGGTAATATTGAGCCTCGGAGCTTAACCAGAAGCACGTGACTTTGGACACCCGGGGTGATGCCACCCGTCTGTCGCCGGGCATCTTCCTTGCTATGTGATACTAGCAATCTTTCAAGGAAGATAATAATATCATCAAAGAATCACTATATAGAAACAGCCTAGACCGAAAATGTCATCTTAGAGTGCTACCGATGCATCTCGTCCTTTAACGTACCAAGCATGATCCGCTGGACCGCAATTGGTGTATGTTTTAAGGTGTGGGGTTATACTCACTCTGTAACACCAAGTCAAGCAAAACGGAGAAAGCCCGGGCATGAGACAATGACACGGTTAACACTCGCAGTGTGTCCCACTTCGTAACGGACTCACCTACCTGGGTGCTCCAAATAGAATTGAGCTTCTCATATTCAAGTAGAACAATGAAGAATAAGAAGACTTCGAAATATGCATACTCTTGCTCTGTCTTTACCGCATTATATGCCTACAAAAAACAAAAAAAAAATAAAACCTTATTAATGCTCTGAACTGAACTGGGATGTTCGGCTCACAATTAGTCGAAACAAATGTTATAGAAATCCGTGCATCCTCAAAAGGCTACAACAGTGCGTCTTCACCTGTTCTGTAAAACAGTACAGAGTTTATGCATATAATTGATTACCAGGAAAACGGGCTTCGATACCATACCTTGGATCCTAAATCTAAGCTGCAGTTCGACAGTGTCTCCCAAATAATTGATAGGCATCTTTCAGAACCCTATTCTATATACGTATATTGGTTCTTCTTCCATAAGTGGTCACAATATTGTTTCTTGGTCAGTGACGTACACAACGATGAAATAATAGGAGTCATTATCTCAAAGGTTGAGGCTCACAGGGAAGTTAGAATGAGAGGGTATATTGGTATGCTTGTTATTCTACCGGAGTATCGTGGTAGAAGGATAGCGACTAAACTTGTACAAATGACGATAAGTAAAATGATCGCATGGGACCTGATTGATGAAGTGATGCTAGAAACTGAGGTAATTAATTCTGCTGCTCTTAAGCTCTATGAGCTGCTTGGGTTTCTCAGGGCAAAGAGGTTGTACAGATACTACTTGAACACGCACGATGCCTATCGTTTACTTCTACCAATTCTGGAAAAGTCCGGCACCAGAATTGCATATTTGTCTACCATCTGATATCGTCATTCTTAAGACCGTTCACAATGCGTATCGATATTCCCTAAACATCCAACTGGAGGATAAAACTTGTTGGTGGTGGACTCGTCTAGTCTAAATATCATAGTATTCTCATGATGTACTTCGTGGTTCTTCAAGCAATATATACTGCATATACTCTCATGTTCTCACCTCTTTTGACCCCATCGTGGAAGCTAGCGTTAACTTATCAACTCAGAATGCTTGATGAACGTTCCCTTGACATAATCTCCAGGTTCAAAAGTGCGGTACTCACCAAGGTAAATGCGAATGAGAACACGCCAACAATCACATCTCTGAACCGAGGGAAGAAACTTCTGTCAAATAGGAGCAAGGGGGAAACCCTCACGTCCAAGATAGTTGAATACAACGGGTCAAACCGTCTAGTATTCACGAACGATATTATAGAACGTTCAAGCTATCGCAACAAACGCCGGTGGCTGGACTTTTATGGTTCTGAGGTTGGAAATGTCAGTTCGGATGACGCCTTCTCTGATTCGGACCATGAGTCGGGCTTTTCAGACGTTGAAGAGAACGAAGGGGATGACAACCCTTTCAAAAAATTGAAGCTAAGCGAGATATTAGCCCCATTGGCGCATCCTTCCGAAGTTGTCACACATCCTGCCGTCTCCAAAACCTACAAACTGACTTGCTTACCAGGAATCGCTTCCGATCTCATTGATCTCATCGAGCTGGAGCAAAATACTCTTAATCACTTCAATAAGCTTTTGAGGGTACTCAACGGCGAAGACTGGTTCTTTATTCTTGAAGACAGCCTTGGTCTACCGGATTATGACCATGGCCTCGACGAGCAAGCAGTTAGGAGTACACCGGATGCAGATGGCGACTTTATTGAAGGTGATACCACAAGGGAGCCGCTGGATCGGCAAGAAGAGATGGTCAAACAACGTATGGACAAGGCGCTAAAAGAGAATGGATATAAGGTGGAGGATCCGTTCTTTGCTCTTCCCAAGAGTTTGGCCAGATACGAAGCACACCAAAGGAAGCTCCTCGAAGAAGCACCCTTTGAAAGTAGCGACAAAGAAGAACAAATCCAGCAAGATCTCATAAATTATTTACAGTTGAGTATTCAGCGCCAGCAGGAGTACATCAAGAACCTTACCACTATCCGAAACGGTATTGTCAAGGCAGATAGATATCGCAACGATATACATAGATGGGGCAAGGAAATGGGTGAAAGGAAGAATTGATCGTCTAGATGAAAAGCCACCAAACTGTGTCACTTTCTCGATACCAGGCGCTCATACCTACCATAGCGCCTGGTAACCCTTCAAGACCTGCTGACTAGTCATGTCATATATAATTTTTTTTTTGGGGCATGACCAGAGGTGATACTCTCAAAACCCTTCGAAATTGACTAATGTTACATGTATGGCCAATATAAGTTACTCCATCGAAATTTTATACTCGTCACACATCCTCCTCATTGCGTCCCAAGTATCCATAAATACCTACCCATCATCTCCGATTCAGTTGTGCGCGGGAATAAATGTTAACTCATAGTGAATGACAACAAAGATAAGAAATGGGTTTACAGGCAATGTCCCAAATAACAATCTCGAAAAAATGTGAACTTTCCATGATGCCGAAGATTGAGGAAGTGGAGAAGGACCGAAGACAGCGCCTTCTTCATAGCTACGTAAAACGTGCTATCAATATCTGCATTTCAAAGAATTAGACAGCAGAGAGACGAATTTAGATCGTTAGATCAGCAGCAAATGAATCACAACAAATGAATCACGGCAAACTACCTATGCAAAAGGTCCTTGATAACACGGACTGCACAGCGTACTATTCTTGAATTCTAGGGTGAGTCGCGTTCCGTCTCTCGCGTCGCGCAACAACTCTGGAAAGTTTTCTCCATTTTCTTTTGGTTCTTTACAAAAATCAATCGATTTCGACAATGCTTGAAGGAAAGTTCGATGAGGCTAGCCTCCTTAAAAAGATCGTGGACTCGATCAAAGATTGTGTCAAGTTGTGCAACTTCAATTGTACCGAGCATGGCATGACGGTTCAGGCCGTAGACGATTCGAGAGTGTTGTTGGTATCTCTCTTGGTGGGTCTGTCCGCATTTTCTGAATACAGATGTGACCGCGATATTACCTTGGGTATTGACTTGGATTCTTTCTCAAAGATCATAAAATGTGGCAACAACGAGGACTACTTGACCTTGTTGGCTGAGGACTCACCCGACAGCGTGATGACCATTTTCGAGGACAAGAAGAAGGAGCGCGTCTCGGAATACTCCTTGAAGTTGATGGATATTGATTCCGAATTCTTGAGAATTGACGACATGCAATATGATTCTGTCATCAACATGTCAAGCAGTGATTTTGCCAAAATTGTGAGGGATTTGAAGAACCTTTCTGAATCCCTCAATATTACCGTGACAAAGGATTCAGTGAAGTTCAGCGCAGAAGGTGAATCTGGTTCGGGTTCGGTAGTCTTGAAGCCCTACACGGATATGGACCACCCGGAAGAATCCGTATCTGTGAACTTGGAGAATCCTGTTGATTTAACTTTTGGTTTGAAGTATTTGAATGACATCATAAAGGCAACTGCCCTTTCCGGAACGATCACCATCAAGTTAGCAGACAAGACCCCTGCATTATTTGAATACAAGTTAGATGCGGGAGGCTATTTAAGATTTTATTTGGCCCCTAAGTTTGACGAGGATGACTAGTATAGGAGACAAGATTGATACTTAATACACAGTAGTTTTTTTTTTTTTTATTTTTTTTTTTTTTTTTTTTCCTTTATGGCTTATTTAGCTTATTTTGCGAAGGTCATAAAGATACTCCTTTGTAAGGTTATGAAAATTATCCGTACCTCCGAGATGTGCACGCCAGCGGCGACCAGAGGACCGTGTAACGTTACGACTTACATCTCTTGAACTGCCGATGAGACAGTACGCAATAACCTGATATAGCGCAGTCGAGGAAAGTAGTCAGGTATTTACTTCAACACATGTGTTTTGCATTTGTTGATCATGCATCGGAACGATCATACTCGACATGTTCAAGGATATACATAACATAGAACTGGAGCAAACCAATCCAAATCGGTATGCTTCAGAACTTTAAACACACGACCTGTCTCGAGAGCCAATGTGGGGAGAAAATGTGTGATACACTCAATTCAACCCGCCTCGATCAAGCTATCAAGAGCTTTCGAAACGTTGAAGTCAAAAGCTAGCAAACTATGGAAAAGTCCTCGAGCGTAGCGTCCTCCTGGGTTATTGGATTGCACATCTCTTCCCATTGTCTCAAGAGATCGTAGATCAGGGTACAGCCATTTTTGTTGTGATCACTGAAAGCGCACTGCAAAAGCTTAATTATAAATAAAATAATAATAAAAACATCTTAGGAAATACAAAGTCAATTTGGAGGTAAATCCGGGATATTTTGTCGAGTCCTTTCATGACCAGGCTTTCAGCATTGTTAAAATGCTTGTAACAGACTTAGAAGGGCATAGCGCTGTATTACGGTTTCCCAAGAATGTTTCCAGGGAATCCCCGAGACATCGCTTTATGCGTTCGGATATGAGACATTCTTCGAGATCAATATGCAACTTGCTCCGCATTACGATCCCGCAGACATAAATAGATAGGAGGATCATTTTCTCCAGAGTTTTCTGCCACGTTTACCTGCTTCCTTGATAACTATATCCCATCTATTTCACCCGTTTCTAACAAAGAATGCCAGGAAACTAAACTTGTTACGACATCAAGCACTTATGACTAACAGCCACAAACGACACAAATCCTCACAGGATTCAAGCTCTATCTTTTGTTCCAGCCGCGATCACAGGTCCAGTGCTAGCCACATACAGAGTAATGCAGATCAAGGAGAATCCCATGAGTTGCCTCCGCTAGCACTATTTGCTCACGAGCCATTCCCTGTAACTTCAGGATATGCGCTGAGTTTGTTTCGATCCAACTCGATTGCGGGCCCTCTGTCCAGCAGACCCATTTCCTCAGTACTATCAGCGCGCTCCGCCTCTGTATCAGCTAAGAGGGACCATGGTTTCCTTTCCTCTAATAACGCGCTGCTCACGCGCCACGGCCCAATCCATCTCCCTCGTGCAGCTTCTTCACTAGGTAATGATATTTATGCACATGATTCCCTTTTTAAGCACACACAGAACAGGAATCTAACGACGCAGTCTTCCTTCCCATTACAAACCTCCTTGAGTCAACCAATATATCCTATATCAAATGTCCACAAGAAGCCTATGTTCCAGTCACCTCAGAATTTAACTCCCTCAGCTTCTCAGCCTTTCTCAACGTCGCTGACCCCCAGCTCACGGAAGAATACGCAGGCAACACAATCGTCATTCGTGCACAGAAATCAGATCTCAATTTCCAGTCACATGGATTTGTTCAGCTTGAACAGTTCGCTGGATGGAAAACTGGATTCCACACTTCTTCCATCCGCACAACAAGCCATGACACTGCTGCCGCAAAAGCTTAAACTGCGTCCATCAGATGCATCTCTTATCCCACCAGGACCTGTTGAGATACAATCGCATCAACAAACACAGCCGAATCCGGGACACAAGTCGGAGTTTCTACCTTATCACCCTCCCATGAAAACCTTCTTCATAACATTTTAGGGGAGATGCTCAAAGTCGATGCATTTAACCTCAATTCATTCCTTTTATCCTTACTACACAAAGTCAACCCCTCATTGCCCTTGGATGATTTCTATAATATCCTTTACAACCCCAAAACGTTTAATAACTTCAACCTACATACCGGGATGGAAAAGATCGACAAGACAGTACCCTCAGATGACATAACAGACTCTATCGAAATCATTCAAAGAGTGTTGGAGGTATTTCGCTCCCCAGAATCATTGTACAATCAATTCCCAGCATTGGAAGGCACAGAATTGAAACCGTCTAATGTAAATCTTCATGAACTACTTCGATCGTTCTTGGCAATCAAAATCTTGCGCCACTCGTTGATTGAAGACGATGGTGGAAACACAACCCCTGAGCGCTCACCCATTCCACGCCTCGATATTTACAAAGTTTACTACATACTATGCCAAAAGCTCATTCTCAAATATCCGTCCTCCTCAAATACTACAAGTTTACAACAGAAGTTAATATTTGGGCAATCGAAATTGGGAAAGCTCATAAAATTAGTATACCCTAACTTGGTATCAAAACGATTAGGGCGTCGTGGTGAGTCAAGATACAACTACCTCGGTATTCGATGGAATGAGAACATTGTCAGCGATGAGATCACGCAGATGTTCAACAGTGACTTGCCCCAATTAACGGAGCTCTTCAAAGTACTGAAGAAGCCACATGGGCTTTCTCATGGAAAACTGGCTTCACGCCGTCAGTCTTCACTTGGACGATTCTCAGGGAAGAAGCTGTCCAGTGCTCTGACCCAACCTGAAATGATATTTCGTATCAAAGCACAAGGCACCTTTGTTGAACCCAATCATTTCTACCCTGAAGGAGCTTTTACACTGAAGGCGTTCCTTGACGAACAATTGAACGATAATATCGAAAAGAATTGGTTTGCAGCAACATTGAAAACTTCAACCGATGCGTTGGCCACTGCTGGTGTATTGCCAGATGACATCAACCGGCTTTTATTCAGCGCGGATGGCAACTCGGAAGCGGGTGATGGAGATGACGACGAACTTCTACGTGGTATAGTGGATTTCATAATTCCGAAACTTCTCGTTTCCCCGGATCAACCAAAAATTTACCTTCATTTGTTCATGGTCATCTCACTTAAGGTGTTTCCGCATCTCCTACTGCTCAGGAAGCCTCTACACTCGGACAGCATTAAAAGCTTAACAGGCAAAGTAACGCATTTGATCAAAAAAATCGAGAGCGAGATGGGTCCTCTTGTCAATCAGAAAATGGAACAGCAAGATATTAGGAACTTTCTTGGAATCTTGTCTCGAATGATCCATTTGAACCAGCTCCTAGCTGCTTTCTTTAAAGCGGACTTACAGGACTATGTGCTCAAGGAAATGCAAGAAGATGTCACTAGAATTGTTACAGAAGGCGAGAAAGACGGACTTAATGAGACTTATCGCTTGATATCGGAGGCTTGCATCAGCGTGCTTCTTGCGTGTCGATACAAACCACTGTTTCGAGGGGTTCCAGTGACAGATAGCGTAAGGCAATTTCTTTTTGAGTCCTGTCATTCCATTGAACAGATGGTGAGTCAAGACTTGGCCCTGTTTGTAATGAACGTCATGGAGGGCTGGTTGCCACAAACAGAGGAAAGCTTCCACGGTGCCCTCAAATTTAGGCTACTTCTTGCCACACTTAAACTTGTTGATGAGGGAGTGCTTAACGAAGACATCAAAGCGAGGTTTCCAGCCCTGGTTATCCGAGGGCTTTACTCGAGGATAGCAATCCAGATACTTCAGTTCACATATAGGGCACATGCATCAATGCTCGGTGGTAAGACGATGACCCAGCGAATCCTACTTTTCGCTTGTGGTACGTGTTGGAAAGCTTCATCCAAGAGTACCTTGATGTATTGGCCGAGATTAACAGTCTTCATCTAAAGGCCGTTGAACAGCCTTGAGTTTAATTCTTTACTTCAATAAATAATGTAATGTTTTATACAGACGCCATAAGTAAGTTCTGGTTACACATACTGTTCTTTTCTTTTTCCTCTTCCCCTCCTAATATGCTAAGATCAATCTTCCCTCTCTCCGCGACTCACTCTCATGGCGTTCCTATATAGCTTCACTTTCGCGGGCTTACATTCGCTTCAAGATTCATACACCATTGTCAATGAAAGATATCACGGCAGTGGTTCACCATCAGATAAAGAATTACGAACTGACATCTAGGTCAAGAGAATTGTTCCGTTTGAGACCACAGAATGAGGCCAGGATTTCCAAGAGAATTCTTGATAAAAAACTAGACAAGCAATTGCTTGAACTACTTCTGAAAAGAGACCGCCTCAACAGGAAAATTAATGAAATGCTAGATAAAGCCGCGGAAATAAATGATCCGAAGAAAGTAACAGATTTTCAAGAGGCTGAGAGCTTCATTAAAAGATTTCTCTTGACGGAGACAGAGAAAGCTGATCAGATACATGCTTTGATAGAAAAACATAAGAACTATCAAAGCAGTATTGCGAAACAAAGGCAGGATATCATCGAAAAACATAGCAAAACACATATGCGACCTTTGGCAAGTCTATCCAAATTCAGCGCAGTGCAACAACACGAAGTGTCCCAAAAAGAGAGGGCGCTTCAATCTGAACTCCACGACTTTTACGTAGGTGTCGCAGATTCACAACGTACACTTGCTTTCGAATCGGAAAACATGCTTCGACATTTGGGAGTGCCATTTTTCGCTTTAGAGGACCCCCGCGATGCATCCATTCAACCAGAAAAGTTATCTGACTTGAAGGCAAAAGTTCTCGAGCTACTAAGCCAGTCATTCGATTGAATACAAGCATGCAATAATTACTTAGTTCTAACGGTATAGTCATCACCCGACTGCGTAATGTAACGTACCCAAGGGTAAGACTGGTATTGAAGCTTTGGCTCGTTGATTCGCAAGTAGCGGACTTGAATACCAGATGTAGTGAAGTATGGGATGGAGAATTTAACCTTAATTGGTTTCTTTGATACGATATCTTCTGGGTCACCAACAGCTGGTAAACCAAGCTCAGCCTTCATATGGAACTGCTTTCCTCCGGGGAACGTCTTGAGTTTCCATATCAAGCAAGATTTTTCAGGGATCCATTTAATGGTACCATATTCAGGTGTGAATTTAGGAGTATCGGCATCTTCAGGAATAGGAATAATGACTTCGACATTGTTTGCAGTCGATTTCTTCTTGATTTGTGCTTTCACAGAACACAAAATCTCGATTCGACTATGCCGATGGACGACGAACTTGCAATTGACAAGGATCAATGGTTTTACCAAAAACTGAGCCGACAGCAAGCGATATGACATGACAGTGAATTCACCATCAGGAGGAATAAAGGTGATAATCCTCTCATTTTCGAATTTGGATAAGCGGACACATTGATGAAATTTGATATCTTCCATCTCTATCTTTTTCGAGTTTGACGCTGATTCACTTGCAGTATCATCTTGCATGTTGGAAGAGAATATACCTTTGTCGTTGAGACCTAGACGAAGGTCAGGCATGCCACTTAGTTTAGATTTCATTTTCACCTCTCCTAGAATCTCGCTGTTGAGCACTTGACCATTGGCATTGATCAACATATTAATTGACTCCACAACATCTAAAAATGCTTCGTTCTTCTTGTAACTGATTCCCTCCTTCCTCCAACTGACAGCGTTAGTGACAGCGCTCGGAGGTTGAACGACCCTCGAAGGAGTCTTCTTGATCAACTTATAGTAGTCCTGAGTAATGTACTCCTTCAATATTTTCGTATCGGTTGTTTGAGGTACGCCATAATCCATCATCTCGTCTAAAAGCTCGTACGTTATGACAAAATTATCACGGATGGATTCCTCCTCCAAGCTCTTGAAATATTGCTGAAGTACCTCTATCATTTTCGATAAAAACACCACTATACCCATGACGTTTTCATTTTTGCGAGTTAAGGCACATATGTACAAGTTGTTGTGGTTGATGTAGACATAATTAATGCCCTTGCTATTGATGTATGGTTTGTAAAGTGAATCGTCGTCATTATTTTCAAGCTCTAGAAGTAAAAGAGGAAAACTCTCGATAGTATTTGAAGGTATATCCCCTTTGTAATCTCTAGATAGTAAAGGTTTGCCCTTTGCATCAAGGAAATGTATCTGAGAAGCCATGGTGCCAGTGAGAGAAGATCTGTGTATGTGTTGAATTGAAATGTCTGGTAAGGCATATAGACCCGTGCACCAAAATTTCAAATCCTGGCACGGTAGTGATCAGGATAAATTGATGGATAGCTGGGGCATAGTAAGAGGACTCGAACTATCCTCACGAACCGACAGTAGTTATTCTTTTTCTTTTCAGTAACAACGAAAAAAAAAAAAAATCACAAAGAATTATTATATGGAGACGACCTACAAGTCGTCCCCCTTTTCTTTAAGGTATTCCCGATTTTGAGATAAGAGTACACCGGTCTAGAAGCGAAAGGCCGAAGTATCGATTTCAAGAACCCACGAGATTTCTAACCAAGGGAAATTATAACTTTGTACTTGAAGAGACTGACTGCGTGAGGTAGGGAGAGGACGCGATTTAACACAAAGAAAAGAAGGGCGGACAACAAGCACGGGGCGTTGGAATCCCGAAGGGGCTAATTGGAGGCATGAAGTGCAAAACTGAACCAAGAAAGTGATTCGTTTTGGCGGCATATCCCACCGTTGGCTCTTTAGACAGGTCTTCGCAACAACAGGCTGGAGAAAAAGACTTCGATGGTCCAATACTGAGTGGCGGAATCACTCAATCACGGCTCGTTGAATTTCGGAACCCCAAAGAATTGCCTTTCCATCTTTCAATTCCATTGAAGACACAACCAGGGGTTAGTGCACTGCTGCGAAAAGGCGAAAGTCAAGCGGGCACAGTAGCTCGGCAATTTGCGTCGGTAGGTCTTTGGGGAACTTGAAGCAAGAGAAATGAGTAGTGGTTAAGCCTCAGCGAACGGCGTTGTCGGTCGCTTTGTCCCATCCGAATGTCAATAGAATGGAGCAACAGATGCCCCGTCCTCAGCTTCGCCTTGGGCGTGCCTGGCAACATAGCCCTCTCATGCTTGGCGTGACGAGACGAGCCAAGGTTCATCGGGAGTTCTTGGATCGTCCCATACAAAATTTTGTGTTCTGGTCTTGGCTCGGGTGCCATGAAACCCCCAAACCGTGGGAAAGAGGGCCCAGCCTGCAGACAGTGCCTGCGAAAATGAAACCAATCCGGCACAGAACAGCGGTTTTCTTCTTTGTTTACGCTTCCTCTTATCGATTCGACGTACCAAAACAGCAACTGTACATATCCTCGCTGTTTCAAGGTGTCCATGCTGCTATTTTTTTCCCGCGCTTTTGAGCGCTACTGCAGCATTTGCATGGGCCGCGTTCGCTTTTTCGTGGCTCAATGCTCTAGCCCAGTATTGTGCGTCTCTATTTTTGTTTCCCCATATATAGCCGATAGTGCCCAACCTCCGTGAAAACGTCTCTTTTGACACCTTTACTTCCTTCGTCTTTCGCTACTATCAAAAATGTTTTGGTCCTTCTTTTTGCTTCCACTACTCGCTGTAGCAGCCGACATCGTGCCTATCGTTACCAAAGGTAATGCCTTCTACAAAGATGGTACCGACGAGAGATTCTACATCAAGGGTGTTGCTTACCAGCCTGGTGGAGCATCCAATCTTTATGACCCACTCTCTGATCCAGATGTGTGCAAGAGAGATATCAAATACTTCAAGGAGCTTGGTGTAAACACCATTAGAGTTTACTCCATCGACAACACTGGCGACCACGACGAATGTATGGAAGCCCTCGCCGACGCAGGTATTTACTTGATCTTGGATACTAACATCCCCCACGCCTCCATCGCTAGAGATGATGGTGCCAACTGCTCCTACAATACCATGTACCTTAACGAGGTTTTCGCCACCGTTAAGTTGATGTCCAAGTATGATAATACTTTGGGGTTCTTCGCTGCTAACGAGGTTATCAATGACAAGGAGTCTACCCCTGCTGCACGCCAGGTGAAGGCCGTCGTTCGTGACATTAAAACTTTCCAGAGAGCCAACGGCCTCCGTACTATCCCTGTTGGTTACTCTGCCGCTGATGTCTCTGAGAACCGTTTCCAATCTGTTGAATACTTTAACTGTGGTGACGATGAGATGGCGCGTGTTGACATGTTCGGTTACAATGATTATTCTTGGTGTGGAAGTTCGTCTTTTACTCGTTCTGGTTATGACAAAAAAGTCAAGGAATACAGCAACTATTCTGTTCCCTTATTCCTTTCCGAGTTTGGCTGCAATGAAGTTACTCCTCGTAAATTCACTGAAGTTGGTGCTATTTTCTCTGACGATATGTCGCCTGTTTTCTCTGGTGGTATCGCTTATGAGTACACCGAAGAGGCTAACGAATATGGTTTAGTCGAAATTGGAGGCAGTGACAACCAGACTGTGACCAAGAAGGACGACTTTGACTACCTCAAGGAAGAATTTTCTTCTGCCACCTTCCCAAAGGGTGACGGCGGTGCTCAAACTGACTTGGAACATGCCTCTTGTCCTACTCTTGACAGCAAGTGGGAGGCCAGCAATGATATTCCTGACACTCCAAAGGGTGCTTTGAAGTACTTCCATGGTGCTCAACCTTCCGGAAACGGTTTCGATGCTAGCACTCAGTGGGCTTGTGTCGATGGTGATAACGACGTTGATGATTCTAGTGATTACAGCGGTGCTTCCGGCTCTTATACTCCAAGTGCTCGTTCTTCCTCCTCAGGCTCATCAAACTCCAACTCCAACTCCAATTCTGGTAGCTCTTCATCCAGCAGGGAGAATGACGGCAACAACATTGGAACTATCTCAGGATTTGCTTCCTTGAGTGCTTTCATCTTTGCCCTCATTGTTTAAATAACGATATATCTAAAACATTTCATTTCTATATGAACATCACGAACGCTGTTTAATACCGTACATCATTTCTTCCTTATTGATCAAATGACCGATACTATCAACCTCCTCTAAGAGCTTGTCCACATCATAAATCCAGTTATTCAACATGTCGTTGATATTTTCGCTGTTGCTCGTGATCTGAGCCGCACCTGCCGTGGAGCCATGCTTTAAGTTATCAAACTTGATGATTCCTTGTGGCCTGTTAATTTTGGCGCTGATCATACCCTTGTTTACCATGCCACTGACATGTGTTTCAGCATCTTGCGCATTGACTTGCAACAAGTGAGCCAAACGATCCAACTTTATGAACAGATAGTACATGTTGACGACTCGCAAATTGTGTTCAATGATACGGTTCTGCAAATTTGTATTATTGGCTTCATTCTCAGCAAAGACGGGAGATTTACTGAGATAAGTGCCACGGTAATCTCTTTCAATATTTTCTGAATGAATGAGCTCGTTTGTCGTGAAGATCTCTAAAAGATCAAAAATTTTTGGATCCACATTTTTGGCGAAAGCAGAGTTGGCCTTGATCTTGTGAATCAAGTCAGACTGCAAGTTGTCGTATGGTGATAATATGATGTAGTAGATGATCGAAACGAGCAAGTCTTTGTAGTCGGAAGAGTTCTTGATGAGAGGAATCTCTATCAAAAGAAGCGAGTTCTTCACGATCATAATATAATCGTTCTCATGCTTATTGATATCCAACAAATACTTCAAGTAAATAGATTTGTACTCGTCTGCTTTTTCGAAGTTTTTCAATGTTTTCAAAAGGATCTTCCTACTCAAGATCTTTGCTTGATCATAATCCTTTTTCTGCAAGGTCAATTTGATTTGTTCAAGAATGTACTCAATTTTCTCTTCAAATGGCATTAAAGAATAGGTCTCAACTTGTAAATCACATAGAATCTCTGTCGCTTTGTCCAAGTCGTCTTTCTTCTCCAAGTAGATTTCAGCGAGCATCTTTGACACGACAGCCCTTTCCACTTCGACAAAGATTTTCTTGTCAGTAATCGTACGAATGGTCTCAATAATTTTCATCTTCTTCTCCAAATGCACCGGCTTGTCGTTGTCCAATGACTTGAGGTTCTTGATGATTTCCTGAATCATCAGCTGGATTGACGTTTTCAACTGGCCATGCTTCTTGGATAAAGGAGTGATCAATTCATCTAAATAATCCCAGTCATCATGATGAACGAGTGTTTCAACAATCTTATTCAACACCTTCTTGCTCAGGGCCAAGTCTGACGATTGACGAATCTGTTTCTCCAACACCAAGTACTTCTCAATAGCTTGCTTATAATCGGGGGTTTTCTCAATCAAGGGAATCTGTTCCTCAAGAGTTTCAGAGAAATCTTTTTCAGGTTTAATGGGGTCTTCTCTTGACATATTGTGTGACGACTGACCTGATCTGAGAATGTGTACTTGCCTTCCTAGGTACTCGTTGCCACATGCGTGCGCGACCCAAACTACTACTGACTACCGTTTGCAATTGTGGTTATTAGTAGACTCTATACCCTACAATTATTTATGTCAAACACAAGAATGTCCGTGCCACCAAATTTTTTCAACTCATCCATGACATCACTAATTCTTGCTTTTTCAACCATGGAAGATATAGCTACCCATGGCTCATCGTTTGTTTCCTGAGTTTCTAAAGCAGAAATCGTAGCCGCTCTTCTGCCCGGAGTAATTTTTAACACTTCAGGAACAATAGACCTAGGTGCGTTGTAAGTACACAAGACAAACCTTTGGGCTGCTAAGATACCCTCGAATCTCTGTTGAATGATCTTTACCAAGTCAGGGAAACGAGGAGTCTTGGAGGCGATCAAGTGAGCCGAGGTGTCTAAAACCGTAGCAATGGGTTTCAATCCAGCAGCTTTCATAGTTTCACCAGACTCTACCAAGTCAACTATGGCATCACCAACACCTAATGCACAAGAAGCCTCTACAGAGCCTCCAACATAAGTGATTTTCGTGCTACCTTCAGGAAGACCTTGGACCTGCTCAATCTCTGCGAAGTAATTGCTGGCTAGCTTAGTGAATGATGTAACTATCTTTTTACCAAGTAGCTGCTCAGGTTCATCATATTCTCCCTTCTCGGGAACCTGGACTTGTAATTTGCATTTGCCAAACTGTAAATCCAACAAAAGCTCCACCGACTTCAACATGTCAGCTTCTTTTACCTGGTCCAAGCCAGTGATTCCCAAGTCACATTTACCTTCCCCCACGAAGGTAGGAATATCGGCAGCAGGCAAAAAGATAAGTGCAATAGGCAAGTTGGTGGAAAGGGCGATGTCCAATCTATTAGAGCGTCTGAAATGAATGTCTGCTCCTGAAAGGAAATTGCAACATTTTTCATATAGCCTTCCCTCTTAATCGTTAGTACAAGAAGAAAGCGGTAATTTCGAGTCATACATACTTTTGGGAACAGCAAACATCAAGCGGTCCGGGAGATGATTCACTAAATCCATTGTTAAATTCTAAGCGGTGAAAACAAGTTCTTGAAGGTTTCTAGTTACGGGGTCTGCGAGGTAAGTTTGCGAGCGTGGATAACGATTTTCATAGCTGCGCATACTAACTAATGAGTCAACTTACTATACACCTGCAGGAGTATTGGCGCCGAGACCACATGGAGAGGATCATACAGTGAATCAATAAATAGAATGAAACTGGTATTAGGCCTTGCGTTAAACGTCCAAGGAACCGTCCGTTCTCCTATATTCTGAGCTATGGGCGGAGATAATGATGCAAAAAAGTCTTGATGAATGGTGGATCGCTACTTGGCGACGTCTGATGTCATGGACAGGTTAGAGGTATTGTTCTCGGCATCAGACTTCACTAGCGAATCCAGATCGCTTTCTGTGGAGTTGTCTTGAAAACGTTCGTATGCGGTGGTAGATGAGGACAAGCCTGGCAGGGGAGAAAGCTCAATATCTGCTTTGATGGGTGTCTCAGGAACAGTTGATAGTTTCACTGAAGATGAATTGATATTGCCATTCCCATTGCCATACCAATACATGTTGAAACTCCAGTTAAGAAGTATCTTTATCATGTCCCATGCAGTGAAGTCTGGCCACAATTTGTTGCTGAACATGATTGCACATGACGAGGGAACTGACTGCCATAACAAGAAGTCTGATAGTCTGTAAGTTCCACTGGTACGCACCAATATATCAAGAGGTGGCGATTCTGATGTGTACAAGAAGTCATCGATGGTAGACTCATCGATATAGACAGACGAGTCCTTCTCCGATAAAGTGACAATTCTTTTGATAGAATTTGTCATCTCATCCCTAGAAGTATATGGAAAGCAAACGTTCAAAACAGCTCTGGTGTTGTCCTTCGTGATATTCTCTGTTTCGGCCAAGATCCTTTGGACGTCGCTAGGTAAGAGATCAGTATTACCAAGTATCTTTATCTTAATACCGTATTTTTCACAAAGCTCGCCTTGTTGACTGATTTGTTGGAACTTGGACCGAGCTAAGTCCATCAACCATTCGACCTCATAACGCAGCCTTTTAAAATTCTCAATGGAAAATGCATAGACGGTGGCACATTCAACACCAGATTCGTAAAGAAGCTCAAGTATGTTAGCCATAGAATCAAAGCCCAAATTATGCCCTTCCTTTAATTCGATTTTATGACTCTTGGCGTATCTCCTGTTACCATCCATAATGACACCTACATGACGGGGAGTAGGGCCAGTTCTGATGATGCTTCCAACGACTTTCTTGACACGAGAGACTACCAGGGTATAGCCTGGAAAGGTAGAGATCCATTCAGACATGGTTGAAGATACCTTGATGCTGTGTGGGATTCTGGATTTGGTTCTGAAACAGGAAAAAAACTGAACACTTGAAGGGTGACTTCAATTTGCGAAGCTGAGTAGCCTGCAGTGTATAAAAAGAAATGTAGGTGGTTCGAGCGAAGGTCTCTGATTGAAATGGCGAATCCTTAAAAAAAAAAAAAGAAGGAGAAAAAATATGCTGAAAAAATAAACAAAACCGGGCAATTCTGGTGAATAAATAGAGCTTCCATTCAGAGACCGAGGGGGAGGAGATATAGACTTTATGTCGCTTATGGCAAGAAGAGCCTTGACAGGAAAAAGGGCGCTCTGACCCACTTTGATACCAAACAGGCTAAGGCTGAGAAAGACTACCACATTCAGCAATGGCTGTAATGCACTTCCAAGATGAATCAGCCATACGGCAAATTAACAGGAGGATGTAGTTTTTGTAAAATAAGTGCAAATGACATCACAATATGACGGTAATGGGTAGATTGATTAGAGGTTTGCTGGTTCCTTTCCATCTCCAGGTGGAGGGCCAGCCTCATATCCAAGAACGAATTCCGCCAGGCGATAAGCCATCATTAATTGCTATACCGAATATGTTGTCACGTAAACTGAAACCAATGAGAGATAGAAAGGAAGAATAGGATGTATATGAACGGCCAGAGGCGGTGGCCTGAAATGTCTAGGAAGTTGCGAGACAACATGGCTATTTTTCGCAACCGATATGGCCTCGGATGAAGACGGCCAACATGAAGCACATCATACAAGTATGTCAGATGTGTACTTGTTTACAACGAATGAAAATCTCTTCTTTCTTTTAATGAGTTGTATGAGCCATTTTCCGACAAAGAGGCAAATTACTGAATCATAAGTTTTCTTCACTAAACCCAGTTTAGCTGGTGTATACTTCAAAGTGCTTCGGAAAGGCGTAAACAGCGCCACAATATAGTATGAGCCCCTTTCCTCTTACTTAGCGTGAGTGCTTCGTTTATCAGAGAAGTCATAGCCATCATGAAAGTCGCCAGACCCTCACAACGAAGGTGCTCATCCATAATCAGATCTTCAATTTAATTACAAGAAATCTGCCGCATTATTAGTGAGATTATGCGTTTTCGCTTCTGAAAAGTTGCGCCGCATAAAGGTTGTTTTAGGCCTTGCTGGTACTCTTTCTATGCATAGTAAGTTATGAGCGGTACTTGAAATAATTCTAGCGAATAGCAGCTCTAGAGAGTAGAGATAAATTCGGGTTTCGGCAGAAATACTTATCTCTCAACCGCCCCGACCCAATTCGGTATAGATTGGACGAATAGTCTCCCTCAAGACTAGTCGTCATGGCGCCAACAATATGAAAATTACGATATGACTGGCCTTTAACAACTAAATGTTAAATGTAACGTCGTGTTATATGTCAATCGTCCATCTTTATTGAAATCTTCTAAGATACCAACCTTTCATTTGTATAAACTACCGTTATGTGCTTCTAAGACGCGAAGCCTCTGTACAGCCAGTCCGGCCCCATATGGGCTGAATAAACCGGTTTTGATACTTCCCATGCAATTTCGCCAAAAGAAGAACTTATCAAGGGGTATGTGTCTCCTTTTTTTGCGATTGAATTTGTATTCTGTTACTTCTCTCTACGTATCACTCTGGTCAAAAGTTCCCCATGTATTCGGCTACGTCTTTCCCAGCTCCTCAATCAGCTTCATCACTTGTCTCATAAAGGAATGTTGGCATCTCAAAACCTGCCTTAGGCTCGGAGAGGCTGGAAGGATGCACCGCGTGCCTGTCGCCAACGGTAGACGCCTTCTTCAAGAGCCTAAACCGGTGCAGTAAGGCACTTTTTCGCTGCGATTTTTGCAACGCGTCGCGCTGACCTGGTGTCTGCTTCCCGATTGAGAAAATCTTTCGCTTTTTATTAAAACCCTGCTCTCCAGGCGTCGTTCATTTGCCAATCCTTATACCTACATATTCTTATTTCATCGTCAATTCCACAAGAAGCAAACTTTTTCCTACCTTCCCTGAACCTTCTTGTCATATAAGCTTCGCTCCCCACAACCAGGCTTTATACTTATTTTTTTTCCCTTTGATACTCAAACTCCACTGTCACTCGTTCCACTAGTCCCATTATGCCGCTCTCAAGACAGGCCTCTCTTTCGTCGGCCACGTCAAATTCTCATAGCCATCCCCAGACGATTGGTCCATGGAAGTTGGGAAAGACCCTCGGCAGAGGTGCCACAGGCCGTGTTCTTCTCGGTATCAATAGTTCAACGGGCCAGAAAGCCGCTGTGAAAGTCGTTTCAAAATCTGCTTTGAATGACGAATATGACAAACCCACAAAGGGCGGTCTTCCTTATGGAATTGAACGTGAAATTATTATCATGAAGTTGCTCACTCACCCCAATGTGTTACGTCTCTACGACGTTTGGGAGACATCAAAGGCTTTGTACTTAGTGTTGGAGTATGTCGAAGGCGGTGAATTGTTCGACTTATTGGTCGAGAGAGGTCCTTTACAGGAGCAGGAGGCAGTGAAATACTTCCGTCAAATTGTGTTGGGTACCGCTTATTGCCATGCCTTGGGTATCTGTCATAGAGATTTAAAACCAGAAAACCTTCTCCTCGACGCTTCCCTCAATGTCAAATTGGCAGATTTTGGAATGGCTGCCTTAGAAAGCAACGGTAAATTGCTTGAAACATCCTGTGGCTCCCCTCATTATGCTGCCCCGGAAATTGTCTCTGGCTTGAAGTACCATGGTGCTGCTTCAGATGTCTGGTCGTGTGGTGTTATCCTTTTTGCCTTGCTAACCGGAAGATTGCCTTTCGATGATGAAAATATCAGGAACCTATTATTGAAAGTACAGGCGGGCACTTTTGACATGCCCGAGGAATTGAGCACTGATGCTCAAGATTTGATTTGGCGTATGCTTACAGTTGACCCGATGAAGAGAATGACAACTCCAGAAGTCCTAAACCATCGTCTTTTGAACAAGTATCCCATTCCTAACGAAGATCTTATCAGTGTTAAGTCCTTACCTCATCCAGAAACCGCATATAGATCGTTGGGTTCTATTAAGAACATTGACAAGCAAATCTTGCTGAACCTTTCAATCTTATGGCATGATAGACTGGAAGACGAGATCATTAAATGTCTTCTTAAAGAGGGTCCAAACCCGGAAAAGACTTTCTACGCCCTACTTCTTAGATACAGACATAACCTGGACGAGGCGTCTACCCCATCTTTATCTGTGGGCGGCTCCCCTGACAAGCGTATTCCTCGCTCGGGCTCTTCATTATCTAACAGGGCGACTCCAAAGCGCAGAAGCAGCAAAATTAATGCTACTACAGCTAAAAATAGACCAGTTTCCTTCCAGAGACGCTATGGTGCCAACAGAAACTCTGTGATCAATACGGGCCGTCTTTCAGCTGCATCTAGTGTCCAGAACTCTCCTTTCAAGTCTCCTGGCAAGAATAACGGTAGAGGCTTCAGTCAATCGCCATCTAAGTCGCCACGCAGAAAGCCGACCTTTTCGAGGCTGTCAACCGCTAGCTTGCCTAGAAACCTCTACAACGATATTGTTAATGCTCAGGAGCAATCACAAGGCTCACTCCCACCGACGTTACCATCGAAGGATTCAATTTACGCACCTGGGGAACACGACCCTAACCAGCCTATCAAAGCGGGCCAAGACCAAGGTGACACCAATAGAAACGCAAATTTTGCTCTTGAGTCTGCTCCTACATTAGCACCCGGCCCGTTATCGAACTCTGCTAAAAGAACTTCCATGGCATCGAAGAGAATGTCCAGACGTAAGTCTATTAGACAGTCGCTCACGTCTGGCCTCAAAAGAAACTCGATCACTGTGAAGCTTTTATCCACGTATGCTAAATTATCGAGTGAGACTGATTGGGAGTACATGGACAAGCAAACGAAGCGTACTTCAGCCACTTTTGCTTCTTTATGTGACAAGATATTTAACCAAGAAGACTACAACGTTGATGACGAAAAGCTCGAAGATGAAGAAGAAAAAAGGGCCCGAGAATATGAGAAACTTATGGAGATTGAGAGAAAAAAACACGAAGCTGAGCTTAAGGCTAGGAAGGAGCTTGCGAAGCAAAAGAAACGCCTGAAGAGGCGCTCTTTGTTGGCTTCCTCCAAAAGGTTGTCGATTACCGTTACCGAGGACAACAAGAAAGATTCCGAGGTCATTCCTGATGGCGGTCATATCCTGCAACCAAAAAGGCAATCAAAAATTGTTGGTAATTTGCGGTCCATCTCTGAAGGTGCCAAGAACGACCAGGAAGACGATTTAACTCAGGCAGATGTCGAAACTCTTAAGAAGAGGTCAGTTACGCAACCAAACCCTCGTCGCCGTTTAACACCTATCTTGACCAGGCGCCCAGTTTCTCGATTAGACCCCTTGTGGACTGCTCAAGACATCGAGGACGCCGTTCAGGATTCCGGAAATAAAGGAACTGAGAAAGCACGAAAGAAGGTTAACAGAGAGTCAATGGTATCTGTTGGCAATGCCGATGACACTCGGAGACTTTCAAAGAACTTTGAATACGATAATCAGGATTTCCATCTTTCTGAAAATGAGAAGGAGGAAGTTGATTTGAGCGAGGACTATATGAATGAGATAAGAAAGTCCAAACTTCTCAATTCCCAATACAATCTAAAGGGAAATTTGGATAATGAACAACCGGAGACAGCCCCCAAGAGTCGTGGAAAGAAGACCAATTCCCAAAAGCTTGAAGACAGGAAGACCTTGATTGGTAGTGTCCATATTCCGAAGGTGACGAGAAAATCAACTCATTTCTCTGCTTCCAACAAGAGATTATCAATCCTTACTATGAGGTCTACCAAAGAGTCTTATAGAGATTTGAACAGTATACTTGATGCCCACAATGAAGATATCGATGAAAGCGAACTTGCAGAAGAAGAGAGACTTGACCAAGGTATGCCGCAACTCAGGACGAGTTTTGCGGACCGATTGGATCGTGCAGGTTTCAACAACGAAGATGATGATGAAGTTTCGGAAGGGGGTTCTGTTTTAGATTTCGACGAGCATCTTGCCAACAAGCGTTCTTCGTACTATGCTGGCCATGGACCCAAGAGATACCCAACGACAAAGAGACATTCAATCAAGCCCAAGAAGGGACCGCTAGATGACGAAGAAACATTGTTCGAAAATAAAAGCTCTCCAGAGAAGAATGCTGATTACACTTTTGCCGATGATATTGAAGCGAATGATGCTAATCATGGCGACATGGACGTGTTCGATAATATCAAGTTACCTAAAGACAAGAAGGAGTCTCACAGGCCAAAACGGGCATCTGGAAAGAATCCGGTCTCTACTATGTTAATTCCTGACATGGAGAAGGTTGAATCGGAAACGAAGCAGGAGAGCCAAAAACCTTATGGTAAGGTTCCAAATAACAGGACCACTACCAATGAACACCAAAAGCAGAGCAAGCCTTTGGTCGACAAGACGAACACTCCGTATCCTCCAACGCTGGACCAACCTCAAAAGCGCAACAGGTCAATCTTCCGTAAATTGTCCTGGGGCACAAAGAAGTCCTTGGATGACAGCGGTGCTCAACAGCTCCCCTCGCCGGCAGATTCTCGTGCAAACTCTGTCGAGGAGAAGAAAGGTGGTCTCTTTTCTAGATGGTTTTCTTCTTCGAATACTGCGCCAACAGCTGACGATATTAAGAGATTCAGAACCATACTTCCGAAGCATGAAATGATCACAGCTCTTTATGCTTTACTCAATTCGTGGTCAAACTTTGGATTGAAGCATTTGAAGAAGGACAATGTCGGGTTTAACATAACGGGTGCAATTTCCGGCAACAATTCTTTCAATTTGAAAAGCTGCAAGTTTAGGATTAAGATTAATTCTCGAGCAATGAACCAGAAATCAGAATTGATCTGTGCAAAGGTTAAAGGTTCCAGCGCCACTTCTGCAACGTTATTCAAGGAAATTCAAAAAGTGCTTGAAAAGAAGGAGTTTTGGAGAGATAGATATGTATATTAAATTTTTACCCTGAAAATAGAAAGTGATAGTATATTATGCCTTGGACGATACCCCAAGCCACTTCAGAAGTTCATCTAACTTATAGCTGGCTTTCGGCATAAAATGAAACTTACGTATTGGTTTCCCAAAATCAATGCTCTGCTCTGTAGTACATTATTCATCAACCAAAGGTAAAACACACAAAAAAAAAAAAAAAAAAAAAAAAAAAGAAAAAAAAATCCAATGCCTGGGTAACCATTTACCATTACCACCTTCCACAATATGCCATTTAATCACCGATTCATATCAGTTCAGGAAACTGGATCTTTCGTTAGTGATTTAACTTTCTTCTTGATGAGTTTTTCGGGTTTGAGAACGTAGACACACTTCTTGTCGATCAGGATACATTCCTCTCGACTTGTCTCGATTTCTGACTTAGCCACGGATATGCACTTTCGGATCGTCGCTATCAATTCTTCGTAAATCTTTGTCAGGTCCGACTTTTGTGATGTGTTACTTGCCTCCAACGAACCTCCATTCGTCTCAGCTTTTTCTTCCCCATTCTCTTCTTTTACTTCGTCTGACAATTCCTCTTTGATAGTCTCCATCTTTTCATTCAGCTTTTCTTTAATGAACTTTAGCTTGAGATATTTATTTGTCACGCGCTTGTTACAATCGAATAATGCTGCCAAGGCGATCTGAGGTGGTGTGAAGAGGAAGGACACATCTCCTATTAGGGCATGGTCATTAAGCCATCTCTTTGCTTCGTCATACAAACCGCCTATAGTATCTATGTTGACGTCATACATCACGGGTGTTGGGTGCAAAAGGACTTGCTGGATGTCGAGGAAGAATCCGTAAAGTGGCCTAAAGGGATGGTGGACCAAAAGTGTAAACTTAAGAGACTGTAACACATCAAATTCCAAATTCAATATGTCCAGCTTTTCAGTACTCGGAAGCAAGCTGCAAAAAGAATCGATAGATATGAAATAATTTTCCAGTTTAGCTGCGAGAAAAACGCATGTAAAGACGATGTTCTTTGGCTGGTAAGACATGGGCGAGTTGAGAAGATAAAACCTTTGAAAGAACGAAACCGCTGTAGCCCTTACTTGAGTAGGCATACCAAAATGCACACATGTTTGGATAATCTGTTGCGCAAAGTACTGAAGATACTTTTGTTGTTCATCGAAAGTTATGAGATCAAGAAGTTTGTCAGATGTGAACTCATCAGCGAATTGCTCATAAACTTCTTTCTTCTCTAAAGAAAACTTCTTTTTGGCCTCCTCGAACCTTGCAAGTGCAGCGACACGTCCGTCTTCATGAGTGGTTTTCCTCAAGTTATCAAGCTCTTCAATAGTGAAAGACCAAAGCTGAAATTGGGACGATCGACGGTATAAGTCATCGATAGACACTTCCTTTTTCTTGCTGGAAGTTTCTTGCTTCTCAGGGACATGGCTATCGCTTTCTGCCATGGAGTGTCTGTGTTATCTAGGCGATGGCTGGATGGATAGTTATTTTGTAGTGTGTTTCTGCGCTTCCTCTATGAAGTGCAACTCCACCGAAGGCAAGTGAGAATCTTCAACACTTCAAAATAAGAAAATTCGAAACATTTGAAAAAACAAGGTAAATACTTTTTTTTTTTTTTTTGAAAACTATCCCTTTCTCATGCTGGTGGCAAATCACTCCTATTGCCCATAGTTATTTTCCGTACATGCTGCTGAAGCTACCAAGAGAAAACTACTAATAACGATGACATTCTCAAATGATTATAATGACATGTACACCCAAGATCTTATTTTACAACCTCAAACAGCCTAACACAGCACCATCTTCTCTACATAATTCCCCAGACATCTTCACAACCGTGACAGAATTTGGAGCATGCAACAGATGCAGACAAAGGATAGTTAGAAAGACCGATTTTCTCGTCAACGTACTCGTCGGCGAAATTGTCCTGTCCCCTTGCCATGGCTCCCACAAACACACATATACTTTCATTCTCGTCCAAGGTCTCCACGTAATCTTGCACTCTTCTTATTTCCGCGTCAAAACTTAAGGTGATCTTGCGACACTTTATTGGTAGATGATCCGTAATAGGGTTCTTAATCACCTTAAGTAACTTCTCCTCGGAGTTCACCAGGCGAATACTGAGTTTGTGCAATAGTTGAACCATCAAACCTGAGAATCTCTTAAATGTTCTAGGGATTCTGACACTTGGGTTGACCTCGATCAAAACACCTCTGGCTGTATGAATGAAAACCTGCAATCTTCCTGCCTTGTTGATTGGAGAGTCTAATAAGGTCAAAAGACATTGATGTGTGATGTCTGGTCTGGCTTCAGCGATATCACGACCCATTTTCCTCAACAAGCCCTGGTGATCATCACAGTTTAAAAGAGCGTACTTATCGCCCGCAGAGGCACCTGTGCCAATCTTGTGAGTCTCCAAGCATGCTTGAGATAACACAACGACTAATCTTTTCGTATCCTTGTCCTTGGATGTGAGGACCTGGGGTCTAGAGGGAACGAAAGAAGCAGGAGGAGCGGAAGTCTTCTGGGAGGAGCCGCTACCGGAGTTCTCCTTAAACTTTTCGTCTTCTGTAGATACAGCTGCCTTCGGGGTCTTCTCGTCAGCCATTATGTGGTACCTTAGAAGGGCTATCGAAGATGGTTTAGCGATGGATGCGATGAAAAAAATCAGCGAGGAGCTGCACGATGCGTTAACTATGGGGAGATAGAGAGGACATCGAAGTCCAGAAATTTCAAACGCTGGATATAAATAAGCAAAGAAAGACAAAAGAAAAAGAGAAAAGAAGGCTTTTGGTGTTGCGCAATCAAGAGCAGAATCTAGAAAATAATTGGACTTAAATCTGGTGCCGTGAAAGATCTGTCGTGGGCCTCCTAGTGTCTTTATCTGAAGATGTGCAGGAAATCGGTATCAAGGACCAGGTACCAACACTTGCAGAGCCACCAAAGTTCTGGATTCTGGTGGGCCTGAGCGAAAATAGATCCACATAAGCGATCGCATATATTGCATTTCTCGAGCTGCCATGTCTGATGAAAGTTTTGACGACGATGATCACTTACTTATGGAGCTCGTACGAGCTACCCAAAGACCTCCAGCTGGAAGCAGTACTGCTTGGACGAATGGCACAAACCAGGATACAATCGTGAATCCACAATCAGAAACCGAAAAACGACTTTTCAGTGCTGATGGAGAGATTGCTATTCTTCGAGCGCAGATACAATCATTACAAAGTCAAAAGACGGAAGAGATAACGCGTCTCCAGAATCAACTTGTGGCAGCTAAGACGCTGGGAGAGGCACAAGTCCACGCGCTTAAACAGTCAGTTCAGAGACTTGAGGATGAAAAGAAGTTTCTTGGTAATGAAGTTAGGGCTCTATCGTCTTCCAAGAGAAGAAAACTCGACTCTCTTGAAGAAGAACAAGCGAAGACGAAGATAAGTGTTCTAGATGCTACAAGTAACGCCATGGAATCAAATGAGTTCCAGAGTCATCGTGCCCAAAGCGCATTCTCAATTCAGATCCAGGATGATTGGTCTCAATTTTGCACCCATGTGTGGAATTCTACTATCTTGGGCAGTCCAAGAACTAATGCTGGCTTCTTGGAGAAAATCTCGATTGAGGAACCAATCTCACTTAACGAAAAGCTTCTAGTACCACGTGAGGCACCCCTTATGCCATGTATTTGGGCATTCATTTTACGACACAGGGACTTGAGATTGGACAAGCTTGTCCACACATTTTGTGATCATCTCGTAGGCCTTATAAAAGAGCTTCTTGTACGAGACAAGCTGACACTACCAGTTCCGTTTCTTATCTCCATGATCAATTCTGCTATTAGCTTCAAAAGCAGTGCTGTCAGCGAAAGCTTAGTTCTACTATTGACCAAAGAGTTGGCAACCATACTGAAGCGCTTTTTACATTTGCTAGATTGGGCTTTCGAAGCAGAAGATCCACTCTTGGGTAATCATGGAAAAACATATCAAGAGCAAGTTCTTGATCGTTTCACTATAACGCTTCTTTTCGACGTGATAGAAAATGCAGTAATGCTAGCCACTCAATACGGATCTTCTTTTGTTAAGTCGCTTTGGAATTCTGACCTGATGGACGTAGAGCTTGTTTTAAAGCTCCTACCGGAGAATACTGAACGCTTCAAGTCGGCGGCTCAGCCAAATCTTCTATTCAATTTCGTTGAGATGTTTTCTTCATCGCTTATTGAAGATGGAATCGCATTATCTGATGAACGCCTCGAGAAGCAGCTTGTTACATCATTAATCAAAGTCTTTCTTATTGACGTGGAGATAAAGCATGATTCGATGTTTTTCGGTTTGAATCGTGCATTGGGAAATAACCTTGATCTCGTTAAAATCCTTCAGATGGTCCCCGACGATCCTATGCCCCTCACAGGCCAACCTTTCGTCTCAGTACCATGTCCAACAGACGAGAAGGGCCTAAGTAAGGTCGAACGCTTTAGAATGCTTGAAGCACATGAACATCATATATTAAGTCTAAGACTCCGCATTGCTATCTTTTTGGAGTCTCTTATCACGGCTCCCTCCGCAAAAACGATGGGGATCTTGACTTGCAAAGAAAGCATGAAATCCATTGTTCGGATTATTGCATTAGAACAAAACCAAATCATTCACCAGCCTCGCTCCAAACATATTCATATGAGAATATCTATAGTGGGAATCTTCCTCAAAGTGCTATACTTTATAGCTGGCGAAATCGAGAATATCAACACGATTATATACCCGGAAACGCTTTACGAATTATTTGTGGTGCTCATGCGAATAGCATTTGGTTCAGATACTCTAACACAAGAGGCCACGAAAATCCTTACAAGCATTCGATGCCTGGGTTATGTTCATGTCCCTGTGTTCAATAAATGGTGCGAGGGTCGAGCTAGGCAGGTTGCCCACTTCAACGCTTATGATGCCAGCCCAGAGAAGCTAGCGGAGTTGGCAGCTATCGAAAGTGACTTTGCAAATGGGCTTGAGGTACCCTACGAGCAAGATACTATTGAGATCGCTAGAGAGATATTGAGCCTCTGTGTCAATCATGATGAAGCTGACAATCTCTACTTTAATATGAACTACGAAGGAGAATAAGTTTTTTTTCTAATGATGTATTAGTTACAAAATGATAAATTTCGCATAAGACGCTTAAGCAGACTTGACAGAAGTCTGGAAGCCGTTGTTGAATCTTCTGCTGACGTGCTTCAAGTAAGCCATTCTACCGGTACCGGTAGTTCTTCTTCTCTTGGCCTTCTGGGCCCAGTTGTGAGATCTCATCTTAGAAGATGGGTAGCCACAAGAAGCACAAGTCTTCTTCTGGGCGTGCAAAGAACGACGACCGCATCTGTTGCAAATGATGTGAGACTTGTTGTGTCTCTTACCCATAGATGGAGTACCCTCTGAAAAAGTTAGTATACGGATTTGTGGAGTCCCGAACCTAGAAGAGATTTCATTTCGAATGATGCAAATGGATATTCATAAACAAATGGATTATTAAATTTCATGCGGTTGGTGGATTGGATGATCTATAACTGGAAAAAACTCCTCTGACGTGGGAGGATTGGTCGCCGGAAGGAATATATCACATTGGCTGGCTCTTCGTGTGATCAAAACTGGACGGACTGTAGGAGACATTGGAATTCTAGCATTCTCTTCGTATCTAGCGGGACGGACACATTTCAAGGCATTACATACTACCCATGTTGACTGATTATTGATGTAGATGTAAAAGAGGAAACCGAATATGGGCTTTTTTTTTTTCGCAAGTACGATGCCAGGCGGAGAGTGGATGCCGGAAAATTTTCTGTGAGGGGTGTGTGTATAGTGATGGAGAAATTGACATCATGTGCCCTAGGGCACCAGCCCTAGGTCGCGGGTAGACTCTCGAAGATGTATGTTGTTCGCTGAACGTGCTGTACTTTTCAACTAGCATACATTCTAAGATAAGAAAAAGGTCAAAAACCTGCATTGTAGATTCGTTAGAAACAAAAAAAAATATCGTGTGGATAATTAGCAAAAAGAAATGCGCAAGCCCGGAATCGAACCGGGGCCCAACGATGGCAACGTTGGATTTTACCACTAAACCACTTGCGCGTTAATGAAAAATATGGGCTGCTCACAAATTATCTCGTTGCATCTGAAGTGCTCAAAATAGAGCTTTTTCAGCTATTTTTGGGAGCGGATTGCTTTTCTAATTTTTTAGATATCTTAATGGTCAGATTTGCAAAAACCCTGGCGATCTATGCCATATTTAGATCTTTATAATATTCAGAAGACTAAGCTAAGCATGTAATTGACTTGATTCACCCAACTCATGAAAGGCATTCAACTATCACCAGTGGTAAAGACGAGACCTTCTTGGTGTCAGCGTTCGTATTGTTGCCGAAAATTCCTTGCAGTACCATACTTTTAGAAGTCGATATCGATTCAGAGTCTCAAACACGTTCGATGGATGGATCCAGAAATTGAATGACCGAATCGCTTAGTAGCCAACGGTCACAATGCATCTGTAACATCCAGGGCTCGTCCTTCGGTCGTAGTCACAATATCTTCACGTGTGGTACATGCGAGAGACTAAGCTATCGCGTTTGTTTGTTTTGGCGACACGCTGGGATACAGGTGACCCAGATACCTGAGGCGATAAACACCGAAAATACCATCGTCTCTTCCATCAACAGCGATTTACAGGGTCATGGATTATCAATTCCCACCATCGTCCCCTGTCACTCACGACAGTGAGTCTAGAGCAGATCCTTTCTCCAAGCCCAAAAGCCTTGGCTATGAGTTGCCTCAGAGGGGAAGATTTGATTACCCTACGCCCAATCCATCCTCAACTGTGGGCAGATCTTCCTCGCCAGCAAGAAATACTGATGAGAAGGATCTTTCATTTGAAATTAAGCCTAAGACAACCGTCTCAATCAATCGTGATTTCAATATTATCAACCCAGATTCACAGGTTTTAAGGGTGCCGCTAGTGCCATCTAAGCCAATTGTGTTTATTGGTAGGAGTCTGAAGTCTTGTGATTTCTTCTTTAAAACACTCGATAAGGCCGTCTCGCGGACACATATCAAAATCGAACACAACAAGGAGAAGATAACTCTCCAGTGTTTGGGATATAACGGCTTTGGTATGGTGTTGCCTCGCATGTGCGAGGTGCGTAAGGTTGATGGGAAGGATCACCATTATAGTCTACTGGAAGCCAAGAAACCTTTGAAGTTGCAGAATCTTTCGAAAACCATCCACTTGGACTATCAGCACACGGAATTTCATGTTAGCAGGGGCGAGACAGTCGAATTGCCTTCATTTTCTAATGTCCTCGTTCAGATACGGGATAAGATTGTGCTAGTAAACCCTGCTGATTTTGAGGAGGACTTAACTGACGAAGAGACCATTGAATTGGTTAAACCAGTGTCTAGTGAGAAGCAAAGCGAGGAAGTTGTTCAGAGTCGGCCACTCAAACTCAATGATGACCCCTCCCATAATCTAAGCTCCTCCTCCGCTGCTGCTGATTTGTTCACCCCGAATCATAGTACTAAGTTCGAACCACAGACACCTCAAAAATTCCCTTTCCGCATAACGTCTGAAGAACCTACTCCGATCAAGACAACTAAGCAAAAAACTCCTCAATTCACGATCCATGAAGATAAATTAGAGGAGCTGACAGCACTTGCAGAAGATCCTGATCAGCAGTCTGAATCAAGGCCAGAAAGAAAAGAGCCAGGCTCAGCTCAGGAAGGCTTTAAGAGAGCTACAACTCCCTTAACAGAGAAAACCAATCACATTACAAGAAGCCCGCTTATTAAGCGTAGAGCGGTGAGTGAAGAACCTGTTAGCATCAAAAAGCAAAGAAAGGAGCCCGCTAGAGACTCCGAGGGGAAACTCATCATCGACGGTGCTTGTATTAAAGGCTTGAAGAATGTTCGGGAAATCAACAATATTCTCATCAATCACTTGGCATTTTCGAGGCTTTCCTCTACTCCGGCATCATTCTTGAATACGATCCTGGCAGTAGTCTCAGAGCTCTCTCTAGAGCAGTTACGCACGGTGCTTCACAATGTTGAATGCATCGGTGTCATTTACCGACAAGGTAAGGATGCCGCTGGTAAACCTCTTGAAGAGGAATACTACTACATCCCAGAGAATGATCAAGATCCCGAGAGAACAAAATTGGTAGGTTCAATAAAGGGTCACGGTGGGTTGAGAGCATGCAGAAGAAAGCATAAGCAATACTATTGGAAAAAGCCTGCCCCCATCAAAAAATAGATTAGGTACTATTTAAAATAACTATGCTTCTGTCTTAATCTTTTTAGGATGTGACCCACGCGAAATTTTTTGCCTTTTTCTTGTGCTCTCCAGATCCAAAGCATGAGCCTGGACTATGATAGTGCTCTCCTTTTTGACAGAACGTTCGTCCAGTGTTTCCATTTTAATGACCTCGACTTCATGTTTGACTTTCGCTCCATCCTTCTGGTTAATGCCATTATTCAAATCTGAAAGATCGGCAGCAAACATCACCAGTTGTGCCCAGCCGGAGTATTTACCGAATAAATCTTGAAGATGTAAGCGTACTTGATGATACGACACTTTATTCATGGTTTTTGGTCCCTTGTACTTGTAGTCTCTGGTAGCGATTTGCAAGACATGGGTGTCCACCGGCACCACGTCATGCTTGTCCAATGCCATTAGGCAAATACAGTCAGCGACCTTTGGTCCCACTCCCGATAATTGTAAGAGAAACTCATGCGCTTCATCATATGATTTAGATCTCTGATCATGGAGCGTTGCCATGGTTATTTCGGGTGTGTCAGGACTCATGAACATTTTTGCAGTTTGATTGATGTATTTCGCCCGATAGCCAAAGCCGAGATCCCGAAGCTTACTTTCCACATCTGGTCCAGCAAGAACATCAGGCTGAGGAAATGTAAAATAGGCATGATCTTCAAAATCATTTATATAAGTACCAAACTCCTGGCAGAGGGCATCGCACATTTTGGAAATTCGTTTAACATTATTGTTTGAAGAACATATAAACAGTACAACAGTCTCCCATGGATCCTGTCTTAAGATACGGATACCAGGAAATGTAGCAAAAGAGTCAGCTTTACTCTTTGCCTTGTATTTGAGTTCAACCTCTGACCATTGCTTGTATAGTTCCTCTAATTTCACATCCAAGTTGAAGTAGTCATGAATAAAGGCATGGGTTCTTTCATAAGCCTTTGAGATGAGGCTTGAGGAGTGTTCGCCATCTGGGAGAATACAAGCGTAGTGAAGCAGATCAGAATCTTGTTTTAAAAGAATGATTTGATCGTTTGCAGTAAAGCTCCAAATGGAGTTTACGTTCTTCCATCGAAATGTCTGGCCACAACGTAGAACGCGAGCTAAAGAAAGCTCTATTTGAGGCAATGGAATCAGTTTCCAGATCAAGTTAACTGTCATACCACAGAAAGATGAGCTAAGATACGTGAAAGGCAGATGGGTCGAAGGGCGCGTCTTATCGCACTGGAGTTCCGGAAAGGGTAATGTAATTACCATCAAGCGATTAACGCATCATGGTCCAATAAACCACAAATTTCACGAAGATATCATGGGTTTTTCATGGGGAGTTAGTCCGATATTAAAAATTGTTCTTTTTCTAATTACTGGGACTAAATTATTGTTTGGGATTTATCCAGATTTATTTTTGAAACGTTCTTTTTGATTTTGCAAATAATCAAGAACACTGATACGAAAGTATAAACGCGCAACTTTTGGTTACTCGTAGCACCAAGTCTTATACGTATATTGACTATATATTCTATATAAACGACAACAATGAACTGGATCAGTTGCCTAAAAGTTGAAACCTTTTGCTTAATAAATAGTTGAGGCTATCACGCAATTCGCCTAGGCCGTCGTGTAACAAGGCATAGAGGTCTTTGTCGAACAAAAGCTCACAGGACCTGCGGTAATGGGTAATTCCATGAAAGTCATGGAAGAGCTCGCCCTCATTAGGCTTTAAATATAAGGAGCAATTCCAGTTAAAAAAGGCAAAATAAGCTCTGGTTGTTTGGTGGTACAACAGCTTACACCTTGCGTATGACTCCTCCAATTCGGGTGCTTCTTCAGCCCATTTGAGAGATAGCGATGCAAATTCGGCGATGATTTCATCGCTTGACAGGCTCAATGAATTCTTCGAACGATTGAGCTCTTTCATTGACAAGCTGGCAGCGTCCTTGAAGCTGATGGAGGAACTGATAAGGGAGTCCCTGAAATCACGCATTTTTGTACCCATTGTAAGGGTCTTAGACCTCAAAGACCCATTTATACAGACAGACAAGTGGCTGAACATGTATTGAAATTGTTGAAGTACGTCTTCGACTTTTTCGTCGTAAGAGGTACAGTTTGGAGAGAGCTTGGATGCTGCGACTAACTCGGCAACTTCTTGTTCCAACAGTTTCGCCATCTCATAGTAGACAGCTTGACCATCCTCATATAGGAGATGGTTATCGTTAATTGTGTGCAACTTTTTAAGTGCATAGGAGAGCTTTTGCAAATTTTCGAAAGAAGGACCAGCCTGCTCACTCTCAGTAGAAGAAGGCTCCGGAACTTCAAAAATTGCAGTTTTTGAGATTAAGTCTTGAGGAGGTTGAGACAATCCCTCTTGTGCTTTAGGAGACAGAATAGAGCTGTCATCACCAACAGCGTGGTTGTTATTCTTGCCATTTGTGTCCCTCCGGCGCACAAAGAATCTGTTGTAGAATCTGTTGCGCTTACTTGTCTTCTTTTTCTTTTCTTTCGGTAGTTGTTGTGTTTCCTTCTTTAATTGAAGGACACTCTTCTTGGTCTTTCTAGAGATATGGTTTTGTTCGTTGTTTAACTTCACAAATGCTTGGGAAGAATCATCAAGAAGTCGAGTCGCAGTGGTGCTGGTATCGCTATCAACGACTGAGAAGAGCGAAGTCCCCCGAAGGGAGTCTTTACAGGACTCCAATGAGCGGCGAACAGAGGACACCTTTTTAAGTTCATTTTTCCCCGTCGCTCTATTTTGTTCTTGTGAGCTTTCGAACACTTCATTACTCAAGCATGGCTTACATTCATGAACCTCTTCTGTTCTTGAGGGAACAATGTTGGTATCGTTTTCTCTCATTGTCAATTTTGTTTTTGATTTTTTATAAGTCAACTTTCTTGTAAGTTGGCTGATCGACTTCCGGAAGCGGCGAGTCGAAAGTTTATTTGTAGTGCAATTGGTGGTGTTACTGGCGGCGATCATGTTGCAATAAAATAGTGGTGGATAATTGAGAAAAAAAAAAAACTAAACCACCATCGTGGCTTTATAGTAAGACAGCTAGAGGAAAAGTTCTTTGAAGTTCTATTAGCTAAACCAAGCAACTCGTACACATTATCACTTGTAATGCTTTAAAGGAAAGTGGAATTCAGGAGTTGCCTCAATTGACATTTCGCAATTTGCAACGCCTTAATTGATGTTACAACTAAAGTAAGTGCACCGTTTACATCAATCGGGGAAAGAAAACGATCTGTTTCTTTTTTCTAAGTCACCGGTGCATTCTTCTGGAACGTTCAACAGTGAAAGATTTTATTCCTTCCGTTGGGAAACAATTCACCATCTAGGTTCTTACAGTCATTCTGAAAGCTCTACCACACTTGCCAAACTTTGAAACGTGAAACACTCTTTCCTTCACTCCTCTAGTCGTTTAGATTATCTGCAAGGTTGTATAAGTAGCTGACAGTATATTGTAGATGAGCATGATAATCTGTACCGCTGATGACTTCTTCTTCAAACCATGATCGAATAAAAGGTATAAGGGATCAGAAACTCTCTGATAATTTGTAGATCTTTAACGATTATAAATACGAACTCATTATCAACAAGATGATGTAACGTTTCAGTGCCCCAGACCAACATACTGCACCAGTCGCGTACGCTATGTTGATGTACTGAATCATTGTTCCTCTGACAAGTTGATGGAAGAGAAATGTCCTTTATGCTTCAAGCAGTTCCCACTAGCTTTCCTTGAACGCCATGTGAATACTTGCCTCGACACTTTGGAACTGCTGCTGCCAGATCCATCAGCTAATACAGCTGAAGCTGGCGATGGCGACTCCACCAAGCTTATCCAAGAAGACGCGAAACAGCATGACCCTTTTGCTGCGTTAGGATTAAAGGCCGACTCAAGAAAGAGCAATGATAAACAGAATAAGAAAGCTAAGGCGACATTGACTAGCATTCTAATAGCCGAAAGGAAGCTCAAGCGAAAGCAGGAGGATCTTGAAAGGGAGATCAAGAGACAGACATTAGATCAGGAACAGGACGTACAACGCGCTGTACCGCAAGTTGATCAGGGCCAAGCTGAGTCAAGCAGTCCAGCTGAGCATACAGTTGATGGCGGAATTATTAATTCCCAGCTGGTGACGAAATCTCAGCTTGAGAGTACGCAAACAATCCCAAGCAGTCCGGATCTAGAAGAAGAAGCTAGATACAAAGCCCGTAATCAAGAAATTTTACGGCTACGAAGAGAAGCCGAACTTCCTTTGGCACAAAGGTTACGGCCGAAAACCTTGGATGATTTCTTTGGACAAGAAAAGCTTGTTGGGCCTAATGGCATTCTCCGTAACATCATGAATGCGGATCAAATACCATCATTCATACTTTGGGGCGTACCTGGAGTGGGGAAAACCTCTTTGGCTCGAATAATCGCATCTTCTTCCAACTACAAGTTCGTTGAAATATCTGGAGCTGATAGTAACGCGAAGAAGTTAAAGGAAGCGTTTGCTAACGCTCAATCCGAGAAACAGCTCTCAGGACAGAAGACCATACTATTTCTCGACGAGATTCATCGATTCAACAAAGCAGTGCAAGATCTCCTTCTTCCTGTTCTCGAGAAGGGTACTATAACTGCCATAGGTGCTACAACGGAGAATCCTTCTTTCACACTAAACAATGCTCTTCTATCACGGATGCATACTTTCGTTATGGAACCCCTATCACTGGAAGCATTAGTCAAAATTTTGAATCGTGGACTTTTCTTGATCAACAAGACCAGAAAGCTAGTCCATAAACTCCATTTGATCGCTATAAGCAGAGATGCTATTGATCATATCGCACGCACGAGTACTGGTGATTCACGCGTTGCGCTCAATATCCTCGAGTCAATTAATGCATACTTATCAGGCTTGTCTTACAAGGCTATCAAAAAGAATGAGCCCGGCAAAGAGATTATCGAGCCACAACCTAAGGTGGGTGTTATCAAAATCGGTATGGATGAGCTTAAACCGCTTCTAGAGACACACAACTTCCATCAGATGTATGATAGAGTGGGAGAAAACCATTACGATACTATCAGTGCATTCCACAAGTCTGTTCGTGGATCCGATGCCGACGCAGCGATATTCTACTTGGTTCGCATGATTAGCGGTGGCGAAGATCCACTCTTCATTGCCCGACGGATGATAGTAATCGCAAGTGAAGATATTGGTCTTCGGGATTCTTCTTGTCTACCGTTTGCGATAGCCGCAATGGAAGCAATACAGTTTGTTGGGATGCCAGAAGGAGAGATTATCCTCGCACATTGTGCCGTAAAGCTCGCTAGGGCCCCTAAATCTACCAAGTCTTATCGGGCTCTCAGGGGCGCTCAAGCGTTACTCAAGGAAAACCCAGATGCTCTGAAACTTCCAATTCCATTGCACCTACGAAATGCCCCACAAAGCTAATGAAGGAGCTAGGTTATGGTGACACATACAAGTATAATCCCAGTTATAAACATGGGAAGGTTGTTCAAGAATTTCTACCTCCTGAACTCGAAGGCACGAGCTTTGTGGAGAAGGACCACTTCAAAGATGGAGAGGATGTCGATGTCTCCTCGGATGAGATGAAGAAATTCGAGGAGGAGCGTCAAGCTTACGAAATTTACAAATATGAAAAGCAAAAAGATGCTGAAAAGAAGGAAGAGGAGGTTCGTATGCGTTCCAAGCGACACACGACCCAACTCATTTCACTGGTGGAAAACGCTGCAGAAAGACTTAGCAGCTATGATGAGTTTTTGGATAAAAGCGATCAGCCTGAGTATTTCGATTGCAACGAAAACGATACCTATTCTGACGATCCTGAGGCTTCGCATAATTTTGAGTGCTCATACGATGAATTCACAAACGATCGCGGTTTAGAGCAGCATAACGCTTTTAATCACGATGAATCTACGGGCAACGATGATCTGTGCCAGCAAGAAAGATCATTGCAGTACGTAGAATGATTACTTAACATATATATCTGTGTATATACTTGAAGTCGCCCGAACAAACGGATCGCTGACAGGATATTCGTACTCGGTCATCGTCTTTCGGCTAAGCGGTTTTGGCATACTGATTACCTTCGGGAGCACTCTTTTGTCCACGAACTCCCGGAATACTAGAATTAGGAGCCCAATAATCAATAGTAGGAGCCATATACCAAGAAAGACACAAGATACAACTAGTTCGATGAATAGCGACTTTCGATAAGTTCTGATGAGTCGGTCCCCGGCACTCCTCAATGCTCCCCCAATCTTACTCTGGTCATTTGTAGCATCATTCAAGGTATCGGTCATTAAACTCCTCATCTTCTCCTCGGGAAGGGTAGGATATTCAATCTTTAAATTTCTATTGACCCACTGAAGGCCGTCTTCAACCTTTTCTAGTTTCCTCCCAATGGTGCAATAGACAATAGTGTGAAGAGGTGACGCGAATGGGGTCCCACCAAAGACCGAATTTATGGTATCATTTATTGATCTCTCTGCATCGATCAAATTGTCGTAGAGACTTTCAGATGTTCTGGCAATGGAGCCAAAAAGGGCGTCGTTTAGGCTTTCCAGCAGGTTGTCTAATGCAAATTGAGTTTCTGAAATGTACGCGTCAACGTTTCTTTGCATTGTACCGTTGTGTACTGGAGTACTTTCATGGTCGAACATTGCATTCAAACGGTTGGATGTTATCAATAGAAGCCAGTATTGTAAGCCGACAATCAAAAGACCTGCTAAGCCCAAAAGAAGGCAGTTGACTGCTGATGGTGATGAAAGATAGTTTAGAAGCCACTTGACTCGGTAGTTGATATCGAGGTTCATTAAAATCATACCAAAACGATTACGTTGAATTTCCAAAACGTTACCAATTCGGTCAGGGCTGTTTTCTAAGGTTAGTTCCTCGATGTACCTGACTCTCCGTCTGTGTGAACGATGAGCCAAAAAGACCAAGGCCATAATAACAAACAAAATTGATAAACCAAGCCCCAATATAATCCAAGAGCATGTAGACGCTACCAGTGACTTCATAGAAATAAACTCGTTATCAAGTTTATCACATGTGCTACTAGTTGTGCTTCTCTGATAGGCATCTATCTCGGCAAAATCTAGCGTTGCGTTATTAGAAGTTAAAGCGTCCACTTCTTTCCTGAGGATATCTATCGGGCGGGTTACGACTGCAGTCAAATTAGATAGTACTTCCTCATAGTCTGGAATCTTGTTGGATAAGTCTGATAAATCATCGATAAAAGATGTGGGAATCGTGATGTTTTTGATAGTGGAGGCTGTTAGATTAACCGTTTCAACAGCTGAAGACAAGTCACTTGTGTCTGCATCAGTGAAGAAGGATTTGATGCCTTTCAATGTAGTGACAAAGCCGTTTACGACCGTGGATAAGCCATCCAAAGCACTATTGAAACCTTTGAGGAACTCATTCACAACCTGCTCAACGCCTTCTGTTACTGTCCTTACAGCATCTGTCAATATCTCAATGGTTCCTTTCACGAACGCTGTACAAAGGCAAGTGAATGTTCCGAGATAAACCTCTATGACAAACCCTATGAGTGCTTTTAAGATCGCCAAAGCAAGGCGAAGAACCATCTGTAATTGACCTTTTAGGTTATTGATACATTGTTGAATAACATAATTGGTCATCTGCGATATAGCATGAGGAAGCAGACCAGCTTGTCTCAGCAATTCATCCATTGACTGGCATGCTTGGTCCGCTTGTAATTGGCAGTTAGTGATGCCAGCTATAAGGGCATTCTTGAAAAGGTAGACCTTAACAATCAAAAGAACAAGCACAATAACATATTTATCAAGCCAAATTTGACTTAATTGCTCAGAAAAATTCAAATAAAAACGCATTTCTGTCGAATTATCAGCAGCAGGGTCTACACTTATAGCGAAGAGGAGTTTGGAAGCTCAAACACGGCTGAAACAACGACGTGCATGTTGCATTATAATATGTTTAGAAAGAGCTCTATGGGTCATTCCGAATGCATTAAAGAAGAAACAACCCGTTGCACCTTCCTTTTATAGATTCAAAACCTGCTGGAATAGGTGAACATGTTCGGTGGATACTTTATTTGCAACCATTTTGATGTGCAGTTCGATGGCATCTCAACACTTATGCCCCTCAGATAAGCGTATGGATCTATTGTCAGAACATTAGCCCCATAACTGAGTACTGTAACTTCTTCTTCCTTGATAAAAATTAACCAGGTCTTTCGAAAGTGTTCAATACTCATCAAGGTCTATACTCCCTTGAGGCTATCTGCATCTATTAGGGCATCCACAGGACAACTGACGCACAAACCTGTCATTTTTTTACGAAGTATCACACTGCCCCTGCTTCTCCTGCCAGACAATTTAACCCGCTTGTCATTCGAATAATACCTTACAAAAGCTTAGGATCGAAGGAGACCAGAAAGAAGACTGAAACCAAGTTTTCGTTTGTGGTCACATGATGGTATTCACCTGAGGGCACTCATGTGATCTAACCAGGTAGCACACGACCATAGGAACCAATCAGAAACCGGTATTGAATCTATATGCAGTTCTAGTTTGGTTTGCCACGTTGGCGTGAAGCAAAAGCGAAGAAAAGAAAAGTGAAGTGTAGTAGAATTCACAATAACGATGCAAGTTTCCTGCATATAATCCCGGTGTTGGCAATGCCAGGCGATAAACAAAAAAGCTCACGAAAGATTCTCTTAGTACATACCACTACAGCAACTCATCATGTCTGAACAGCCAAAGGAAGAGAAGACGGACAGCACTCACATCAACTTGAAAGTGAGCGACGGTACCGCAGAGATCTTTTTCAAGATCAAGAAAACCACCCCTATGAAGAGATTGATGGAAGCCTTCTGTAAGAGACAAGGTAAGTCCATGGAGTCTTTGAGATTCTTGATTGACGGCACTCGTGTGTCGCCTGACAACACTCCAGAGGATCTTGACTTGGAAGATGGAGACGTCATCGAAGCTCACCGTGAGCAGGTTGGTGGTTCAAGGTAAGGTAAATACACCGTGTAAATGTACAAAGAGTTTTGGAAAGGATATTGTAAGCGAAAGCATCAAATACGAAGACGCCTAAGGAAAGCAAAGAAAGCAAAGAGGAGATGACTAGAGGAGAGAGCAGCTCAGGTCAAGGGGGAGCGGCCTTTAGATGTGGAGAGCGGTTTTGAGGACTATCCCGGTTTTCTCGTTTACATGAAGTGCCTGCTTTCATATCAAGGCTACTCTCATCCTAATGAATGATGACAAACTACGTGCCACCCGAAGTCCCATGTTGTTCTGATGCTTTCTGATAAAGCGTGGTTCGCAGCGCCGCACATATTTGCAACCATTAGGCGAACGACCAGAGTGGTGGGAGAAGAAAAGTAAAAGCATGTTTACGGCAGAAGAACCCTACAGAAGTCTAAATGAAATAAACCATGAGGGACACATTGAAACCACGAATTCTCCAATGTGGAGAGGCGTGGTCACAGCAAAGGCTTCCTCCCTAGACCCCCATAGATAAGCCATACATTCCCTCCAAACAAGGCAAAGCATAGCGAGGTGTCAAAAATCAGCAGCACGTAGATCAGCCAAAGTCAAAGAAGTGTCCACCCCCACAAACCGTCACAATGCCTGCCAGACAATCCCCATCCAGGGGGTTCCTGGTCCATCGCCTGACGCTGTGGAGAGAAGGGTAAAGTGGAGGTGCGACCCCAGGACGGGCACAAGTTTTCCCCTGAACACCACCATTCCTTAAAAGTCCCCTTCCCACCACTTCCACTGCTTTCCATGGTTGAACGAAAAGTGGTGTTTTTGTTAGCAAGCGGGGCCCTGGCACTCGGTGGCGTAGCCGTTTTAGCTTCTGCCCGGCAATTACCCTGGAGCTACTTCTTTGCTCTAGGGGTATTCTTTCTTTATTTCACCGTGGTGTTCGCTAGGGCCTACCGCGGGGCCAGGCAGAACGAGGCCGAGAGCCAGGGCGAGGGAGAAGAGGAGCGAGCGCTCCAGGGGCCGGAGCCAGATGACTACGTTTGAAAGAGCAAAAGAGAGATGTTGGGGAAAGTGAAAGTCTCTTTTTGGTAAAGAATGTACTGGAAAAACGCAAATGAGCAAATTACGAAGACTTGCCGTAAAGAAGGAAGTCATGGGCTTGTCTGGCGGTGGACTGGGGAAGTCACCCAGTGGGAGGCTTTCGCAGACCAAAGGGTCCAGGGAGGCTAAACAAACAATTAGTGGAAACGGCCCCGCAGGCCGGACGTTAAGGTCCGTTTCCGTGACGCTCTGGCCCCCCGGCAAGGCTCCCATACACTTCGGATACTTTTGTGCAAATCATGGTGCCATTTTGTAGAGTGCGGTGGAAGTCCACCAGGAACTGTTCCGAGGTCCAGCGAAGGCGCTTTCACGGCGGTTTCTACGCCATAGAATAAATTAAAAGTTCCAGAAAAGTAGAAGGTAACAGCCAGGGGTCATCATGGACCGTCTCATTAGCTGCACTGGCCCCATTCATGGGTGGTGGCACCGGAATTTCTGTTTTTCCTGGGGCGCTCTTTCCCCAGCTTTTCACGCTCGGAAGAACGGATGTACCTCGGTTCAACTTACGTCAGACGAGCTCTTGCACCCAAAACGCTCCGTCACTTCCCGGTCAGAGTATATAAGGCCGTCTGTGCCTGCTGCTTTTTTTCTTCTGCCTTCATCACCAACAACAATCATATAAAATGTGTTCTCCAGCTATCTGCGGTATTTGCCACCACAAGTCTTGGACCGGCTGCGGCTCCCACGTCTCCAACGTTATGGACTCTTCTTCAAGAGAAGACTGGTGCACTTGCGAGCCCATTGACGATGCCCAGGAGCACGGTTACCCACCAAGAGCAGGTACCGGGTTTGCCAAAGCTTCGCCACCAAAATAGGCGTTGCAGTATATGTTAGGTGATTGATTGATTGATTTAGGAGAGGGGGTGAACAATTTTGGGAGCGGCGAGGTGTGGGCCGCTGGTACATAGGTAATAACAGGAACTAGATAAGAAGGTGTAGAAACTGATAGGGATGAAAGTGGGATGGGGTGGGCCCACCCTGAATCTGGGGAACCTGGGGTACGGTATTGTAACAGGGAAAAGCCTATCTACTAGCATACGAGATGAGCTGAGTCTTGTTCATACAATCAGGTGATTTCCCAATCAGCAACTAAGGAATTGGTTTTGTGGCTCTGTGGTGGTGGTATTTTTTCCAGTTCCATCGGAATCTTCCCGACATTGCTGATCCAACGGTCGCCCAGGGCTGCCTTGCAGGCTTGTGATAGTCCGATAAGCCACAGCCTGCGGTTGGCTGCAAAAGAAGAGAGACTCGGGATACGACCGGTTTGACTCTTGGTCTTGTATTTTCCGAATTATTCCATTGTATTTGCGCTTGAAAGACTTGTTTCCGGTTTGTTTTAACTTCCTTCAGTGCCAGGCTTTCGCAGTAAGTTTCTCCGGGGTAACCAGGAAACATGATTCCGACTTGTGTGGTGTGACTTCCACTTGACTTCAGCAACAAGTGGAATACTCTATTTTCTTTCTTGTACTTTTCCTTTTTTTTACCTTTGTCTTGCCACTTCTTTTTGCCTTGCACTGTTTTCAAGGTTTCTGACGGGCTAACTCGGGTACTTAGCATTTAATGCATCTCTTCCTAATTCGGGAAGACCTCTAACACAGCCAGGACTCTTGTCTACATATCCTTGCCACCAGTACATGAATAACCAATCGTATTAGTTCTTTGTGCCGACGAAACCTCTTGTATTTTATTCAGTAGTGATTCAAAGCTTTTGCTCACAAGAAAAGTTCTTGGGTTCTAAGCTCTCGATCTCTGAGTGAATGACGTTTTACAACCTTATCAGAAGCGCAATCCGAAGCTGAAGTTCAAAGCGCTTGGATACTCAAGCCAATCGTATCAATTGGTGGAGGAAATTGGCCAATTCGCCGTAACAATGTTTGAGCTTCCACTGTTACCGGAAAATTCGGTTTAGAGGCGCCTCACTCACACTTAGCCCTCCACGAATTTCCACTGCCTCCTTGGAATGCCGTCTTTCTCATACCTGGCACTAAAAATCCAGCCACGAATTTAGACTTACCTGTAACTTTAACCCCTCATTCTTCTCCTTCTTTAAGTTCCAGTTTGTCATCATCTACGTCTCCATCTTCAGCTTAGTCGAAACTATTTCTGGTTCGAAATGGCTGCGAAAAAGGAACGAGGGCTCCTCAAGGAGACATTTGTCTACGACTCCACCGACCTTTTTGCCCGTTTTATACGGTTCCAGAGGTCATTCTTGCTTTGTTGCATGAAATATCCAGATTCGCTTTCCCTGTTGACTATATTATTTGTTAATTCTTTCCCTGCCTCCCATTGCCTACTCGCACAGCTAGCTGCAAAGAAGAGACCAAACCTAGACCAAAATTTTAAACCCAGTGTGGAAAAAAAAATCCCCTTGGTGTACTGATGCCCTCTACAATTCTCCCTCCCTGTAATGTTCCCGTATATCAGCCTCCCGTCTCCATTCTCCCCTCTGATGGCTTATATTTACCGCTTCAGGAACCCTTCCATGCCGCGGCTTCATATGAAGAATCCTTCCCCAGCTTTTTTTTTGTTGCGAGTGCTACAAAAAAATCGTTTCCTGCAGGGAGCCCGACGTCACTCGCATTGCTCGTCTTTTTTCTCACATTCACTCGTGCTCATTTAACGAGCTCTATGAATCTGCACTTATTCTGCCGCCAGATCCTCGCAAAGCACCCAACCAGATTGACTGGGAACAACTTGAAACAGAGCAAATTATGTAGAAAATGACTCTCTTGTAGAATCTCGTATTTCCTGTTAAACACCCGTGCACCCTTGGCCCTTTCTTGTTTTCTCCCGCAGCTCCTCTGACCGAGAAATGTGCCTCCTGGTTCCCGAGCATTGTTCGTGCCCTGTCCTGTGTCCCTCACTCGTGCTTGTTTTTAGCCCTCGCCACATCCTCCATCTTTCCTCAACATCACCACTTCAATTCCTCTACTGTTACTCACAGAGCGTACATAAACTTTGTTCCGAGCAATGAGTCTTAGGTTTCCGGACTTTCTCGGGCCTCTGAACCTCCAGCAGCCCAACGCTTCAGGCGAGGCTGACCTGCCTTCAAAACAGCAAAACCGTGCCCAACAGCACCAGCCCCAAAATGACCAAGATCCAGAGCAATTTCCTTCAAAACCTGCCACCGCTCCCCCTGTCCCCGATGCAGCTCTCGACTCGAATCTAGACTTTGACCTGCTTTTGAAATCCAAGTTATCGGCTTTAGGGAGCCACCATGACGTTCCCCAGCGAGACGACCTGCCTCAGGCCTCGTATGGCAACTCCTTTTCACCCTTGACCGGTGCCCACAACGGCTTTGGCATGGATAGCAGTCCTGCTTTTAGCGGACTTGCTGAGTTTGGACCTTTCCACAACCAAACAAACACTTTTCATTTGCCTTTAGAGTTACAAGGCGGTATTGGGAATATCTCTTCTAGAAGACCTAGTTATGCCGCTGAACTGTTCACCAGATCACAGCAACCGCTGCTGTCTCTGCCCGCCCAGCAATTTGCTGGTCCCGCCACTTCCACCTTCCATCCATCGACAACGTCTTCGAACAAGAACTCCTTGGCGTCTTTTGCAGCGGCGAACAACTTCTCGATGAATGCTCCACAGCTGCAACGTAGAGACCTGGCCCTGAACCAACAGTATCAGGGCAACATGGGTCAGGATGCGCTTGCTGACTCGCTCCTGAACTTTTCCCTCAATACGAACTTGTCGGATTTCCAGGCCAGACGACCTTCTCAATTGGCCGACTACCAGGCCGTGCCTCAGCAACAGTATTACCCATCCTTCCATTCGCTGCAACTGCAGTTCTACTCGTCTGGTCCCGCTTCGTTTTCTTCCTTCCACTCTGGCTCATTCCAGCCGGCTGGCTCGTCTGGTATGCCAATGGGTGGAGTCCCGTCAACAGCTCCTCAGGGTCATAATACCTACCCAGCCGCTCCTGGAGCGCTGGCTAGTGGCTCCGGTGTTGACATGTCGGCATTTGCTCAACCACTTCCCGGCCAAACCATGAAATTGGACAATGGCCTTTTGTTGAAGGATCAGTACATAATGGCTTCTCCAGAGCTCAAGCAGCAATTTCTCTCGGCCATACGATACTTCCAGGACGTTGATCTCAGCAACAATATCTTAAGCAAGTTGCATGAGTTGTTAGCCAATCCTGTGGTACAAAAGTTGATTACGTTTGTCAAGAACTTGAACAATCTCACCTTTAACCACAAGATGTTATGCCTTGTCGTTAACAAGAACGGAAAATTGGACTTGTTGTCGTACCCTAGCAGCTCGAACATTTTCCTTCAACGAGACAATTTGGTTATCGTTGACGGTGACAGAGGGAAAGACTTGGTGATGATTTTAGAGCCATTGGTAAACTTAGATTTTGCCATCCTATTCAACTTCCTCAAGAAGATCGAACATCTCAAGTCTTTGACCATCAATGACGCCAACGGTGGTACGTCCGTCAAGGGTAATCACAGTGGAGGCACACATTCTACGGCAATGAACGCATCCACAATCATCAATAAGCATTCCAACGAAGACAATGAATTTATTATTACCTTACCCACCAAGCAAGTGTTACGTTTCGCTACACCCAAGGAGATACAGAAATTAAGCGGGAAGTTCTTGGAAGAGAAAAAGGCGTTCATCACTTGCTTTAATAAAATAAAAGAGTTGGGACTCAACAACGACTTGACGCTCATAAATGTCGAGTATCAATGCGATTTCAAGAAGTTGATCTTCTATTACTATGCTGGTTTCAAACGGATTGATTTCAGAGGACTAATCAAAGAGTTGTTCAAGATTTACAAGACACGTATCTGGTTATGTGCTGTTTTGCCTTACGACAGACGGGAGCTATACACCAGTTTGTCCAAGGATGATGCTAGCGAGAAGTCGACGCTAGGCAGCATTCCTAAGGAGTACGAGTTGTCAAATGAGCAAATCTTGAACTTTTCCGTCAAAGAGTTTGGTAAATTGCCGAAGCCTACGTACTTCCATCTGCGCAATATGTACAATTTGGTACTTAACCTTGAAAACGACCTTCAAGGCAAGTTTTATGGGTTTACACAGATGAACGACGTCAGTGATGCAGAGACTGGTGCAGCTATGCCAGTGCCAGTGGGTAGAAACGAGGAAGCTCCCAACGCCAGCCCTGGCAACAAGAACGCCAAATCGTTTCGCAAAAACTCAAGCTACCAAATTCCTCCAAACTTCGATCCGTTTGGCGGACAGAAAAATGTATAATCTCACGGGTTTATAGAAAAGTATGATAGAGTTACTAGGCTTGGCCAAAGATTTTCGCGGCCAGTGCTACATAAAGCAGATACATTCCAAGTGATCTTGGACACACCTCTTTCTCCACCAAACATGAGCCTTACTACATATCTTCGGCTGAAAAGATTTCGAAACTACTTCGTTGACTGGGTTGTTACGTCCGTCGCAATGGCGTACTTCTTTATTGTGGCTGAGCACGCCAGGCCGTTCAATCGCCAGTTCAAGCTTAACGATCACACGATCCAACATCCATTCACTCACGAAGAAAGAGTCACTGGCCACATGTGTCTTTTCTTAGCAGCTTTCGTTCCATCTGTATCCATGACCGTGGGTAGTTTCATCAAGCACCGCAAGAACAAAGATCAGGCCTTGCATTTGTTGCAAGTATCGTTGCTTGGAGCGGCGTTAACAGTGAGCTTAGACGGCATTATCACTGATATTTTGAAGAACTGGGTTGGTAGACCAAGGCCAGACTTCTTGGAAAGATGTGGTGCTCCGTCCAACACGCCAACGGACGTGTTCGTGGATATTTCCGTATGTACAGCTCCATTGGGAGAGTTACGCTTGATCGATGGTATGAGACTGACACCGTCTGGTCACTCGCTGATTTCCTTTTCAGCGTTTTTGTTTTTGGCCATGTGGCTCTTTGGCCAGTTGCAGCTTTCTGTCAATGTTGCATCAAAACCAGTCTACTTATATATTCTTAGCATGCTGCCTCTCGTTTTGGCCGCTTACGTTGCCCTTTCTAGGGTTCAGGATTACAGACATCATTTTCTGGATATCGTGCTGGGCATGATTATTGGATGCTCCGTGGCCGTGGCTGTTTACAGAAAGTACTTCCACTCAGTATTTGCAGAGAACTCTCACGAGATCAACGGCGAGGAAGATAACAGCGGGGTTTTGCCATTATAAGAAACGCGTTGAGTGCCTTGGGGTTCTTTTTCAGTTGCAAAGTTTGAAAGAGATCTTGCTTGATCTCAAACATAAGTAAGCTGCATTCAGCGTAACAGCATTAAGGTTAGACCAACACATACAAGGCCATGTCGCCAATCATTTCCTCATTCGTACCATGTAATCTGTTTCGTCTTCACGATCACTTCCCAAGTCCAGACCATTTCCTGCTAATAGCTACTATGAATAGATTCATCCGCTTTATGACGTCTGCCTTGTGCACGAAATGCCCACCCTTCACAAGTCAGAAGCTTTCTAGAAACGCTTTCGAAACTGTTCTTGTTCATTCTCCTTTAAAATCTATCAAATTACGTAGTTATCTACCTTAGGAGTGGCTGATGGTGCATGTTTCAGTCTGCACCCAAGTGTCTCAGAAGCATACAGATGAAACCGTTTTGCAACCATTAGTGGCTTGCCAGCCATATAAACCCTCAGCCATTCCCAATCATGAAATCAATAACCTCCTTACTTCCCAATGACTACAGTTTACCAAGTCGTCTACGAAACGGTGTCTCTGGCTGCACCACTGGCGCTGGTGTTGGACACCACCATCACTTTACTTACTACTGTTAGTACAACGACTTATGAGCCTATATCCACCGCCTACCGGCCACTTACGACCAGGCTGTTAGCAAATATGGAACCTTCGATTATGACAAGCAGTATTTCTTCTTCGTCTGCATCGTCATTGAGCTCCTCGTCGCTGGAAAGCTCGACTTCCTCAATCAGGTTGGCTCAAGCATCTATGAGCTTGACAGAAACGGTAACCGAACCTGGCTCAAGTACTAGCGGGACTAAATTGGGCTTGGCAATTGGCATTCCTTTGGCTATCATTTCACTCTTTATACTTGTGGCATTGGGATGGGTCTTCTTACGGAAGAAGATCCAGTCCAAATCTACTGAATACTTGACCTATGACGCTGAACAAGCGGTAGGAGGAAAGGGGGGTTTTGAAAGAAAGAAGCAGCTTCTGCCATCACCTGAGTCTCCTGAAGAAAAACCTCCTCGCTTCTTGAGTCGTCTCTCTAGGATGGTTAATCCAGAATGGATCCTGTCATTGGATTTGAAGCTGCCTGCTTTTATGAAAAGCTTCAACTTGAAGAAAGAAGAACCCGAACCTGAATCTGACCCCGAACCAAAGGAGTCTGCTCCAGTTCCTTCTTACAAATCAAAACGGCCTCCTTCTCTAGATTTATCCAACAACAGTCTGGAAACAGTGTCTGCTCAAACAGCTCTTGTTGTCATCAAAGGGTATACTATGGAATCGGCTGGTGAATTGACGGTAGTGGTGGGCGACCTTGCAGTGTTGAACTTCCAAAAGGGAACGCAGGCTCATGTTTCCTTGGTCAATAGAGATGGCTATGGCTACGTTCCATTGAATTGTCTCCGTAGATACTAGGAAATTCCGTATGTTCCAAATAAATACACTAATACACAACTCTTAATAATACAGTCATACAGTCATTGCTCTAGTAGTGGCGCTGGTAAGCGTTTTGCTGGGGGTTTGGCTTGTACCTTTGGTAGTTGCCATATTGTCCTTCTGGCGCTTGTGGGGCAGGACGATGCTCGGGTTGAGCTTCGTACTGATACACCTGCTGAGCATCACCGTAGGAACGAACGCTTGGAGAGCTCATAGGTTGCATTGGCGCCTGTGGCTGGATACCATTGTTGTAATGGTGAGCCTGTCTTTGAAGAGGCGCCTGGTATGGTGCCCCTTGCTGTTGGGGTGGGGGTCCTTGGTAGTTTTGGTACGCTCTTTGTTGGTAAGGATGACCAGAGCGCTGCTGCTGGGGACGTGGGTGTTGTTGATGCTGATGATGCTGATGCTGCTGGTGCTGTTGATACTGCTGAGGCACTCCTTGTTGGGCTGGCGGAGGCAGTCTCACAGACTTTGGCTGGGAAACACTTGGTGGAATGCCCGAGTTTCCATGGCTTTGAGGAGGACGCTGCTGGTACTGCGGATGCTGCTGATATTGAGGATGTTGCTGATACATTTGTTGAGGACCGTGGCCTGGGTGCATCTGCTGAACAGGTTGTGGAGGAGGCACTCTGAATGCTGCAGTTGGTGCAACAGTGGGAGAAGATTCCTCGTTATTCCCATTTGGCTCCGTTACGACAGTAGATGGAACGGCCTGAGGCTGCTGAGCTTGCTGAGCCTGCTGAGGGGCTGGGCTTCTGGAGCTGGGAAGGGAATTCTGCGAGCTGTTGGGCGACATGATGTAACGAGGCCTGTTATGTTCAGGTGGTGACTGAAGCTCCAGAGTCAAGTTCTTAGATGGCCTTGACTTTTGAAGAGGGACCAGGCGAGGATCTTGCCTTTGCTGGCCTTGCTGACCATACTGGCCTTCACTTTGGGGTTGCTGTCCGTACACTTGTTGACCATAAACATGTTGGCCATGCGGTTGGCTTGCACCACGATGGCTATCAGCTGGAGCATCATCTTTAAGATTAAGGTGCTGAAGCTGGGGGAGCTGGTTGGCTCTGGGTATAGCACCTTGACTCTGTTGCGCATAAGCAGCTGATCTAGCATATTGATTGTCCTCTTCGTCGTCTTCTTCTTCTTCAGAGGACTCTTCCTCTTCCTCGCTGCTGCTTTCATATCTCTGATTGCGCAATGGGCCTTCAGTATCAACAGTCTTGGAGAACTGCTTATTGAATTCGTTGTACTGGGTAGTTGGGGATTGCACCAGTGACATACTGCTGTTCCTCTTGTCGTAACCTGGAACCTGCAAACTTGCAGATGGCAATTGAGGTTCCTTCAAACTTTCACTAGATTCTTCGTCTTCTTCCTCGATATCCTCCTCGCTCTCGCTCTCGCTACCTAACAAATCTTTGTCATTTGTAGGGTAAATACCACGCATCAAAGACTTCTTTCTCATAAGCGTAGGAAGTCTATCTTCTTCAATTTCCTCGGCACCACCCTTCAACATCTCATTCCTATCATGGAACCTGTCCGATGGACTCTCGATGGTTGAGTACTTCTGGTAAATATCGGCAAGCTGGACTGATTTGTGTGGATCAGCCATACCAGCGAATCCAGCACCAACAGCTGCACCGGCAGCTGCACCATATCCAGCACCAACAGCGTTAGGAGACAAGTTCTGTTGGCCCCTCTGTTGCGGAGTATTGACAGAGAGATTGTGCACGTTCTTGGACAGACTCAGTTGCTCTGGTCTTCTCATCACGGGATCTGGACCAGGTGGAGGTGGCCTATGGCGTTGAGGCAGACGTTGCTGAGGTTGGTTGGGCACAGGCTTTTGGTTCTGAGATCCCGTTTGAGGACCACTCAGCGAACGTGGCTGCTCACCAGGGCGACCAATTGGCTGAGAAAGAGGAGTGAGAGGACCAGAAGCATTCCTCGTCTGCTCGACTTTCTGTGGGTTAGGAGACTCATGGATGTTATTCGAGGGGACCCTGGAAGTAGTTGGACTATTCCTTGGACTCATCGAATTCAATGCCCCAACGAAGCCTCTAGAGCTTCCACATCCATTGTATCCCTGAGAAAGCTTCAGCTTTAAAATCCTTTTGATGTTTTCGGTCCATTTGCCATGATCCCAGCTCATGAACGCATCGTTACCGGCAAGAGGATGAAGGTCTCCAACCATAAGATAATGTACACGAGGCAAGGTAGGTAAGCCAAAAAGAAGCGAATCGGGATCAACACGATCAGCTTTAAGTCGCTTTGGACGACCATAAAGGCCAAATGCATCTAGTAACGGCATCAAGAAACGGATCAATGTATCGTAGCCGGCAACCGCAGAGTGCTGTTCTGGCATGAGGAAAAGCGAAGTCTCTTCAGATTGAGCAGTAGATTTCTTAGACTTTTTGGTCGAGGGCAGCGAGAAGTTAATGGCACCTTCAAGCTTCATAATTGTACTCTTATCAATGAAAAACGGCAGCTGTGGGTAAACAGCTGTGACCATTGATGCTGATGTAATAGTACCTAGCAAGCTCTGCTTTTTCATCTTCTCGTTATCATAAAGCAAAACACGGCCGGAAGTGAACTTATTTTTCTTGTTAACGGATGGTTCGATAACAGCGTAACAGCGTTTCCAAGCCATTCCTGATCCGTATCTAATCTTAACCCAGTCAGAGTGGTTATAACGTTTCTCAGCCAAGATGGTACGGATATCAGAGAGCCGAGAACCACGAGCAGAAAGCAATGCACCAGTGTAAGCTTCCTGCAAGGAGTTGTATTCATAAGAGGCCAAACGAAGGCCCATGTACCATTCCGTCAAAGTCTCGTAAGAGCGAAACTGAAGGATATATCTGTTTTTCAAAGTTGTGGATACAATGATGACGTTTTCAAGCTGCTGTTTCGCTGCAGGGAGAACACGCATGGCGTTGAATATAGCATCAGTGAAATTCAAGTATTTTGGCTTGGAGGATGTTTCGAAGAGTTGTTCGGGCAGGTCCTTGAAACGAGCCAAATTGGCAGCGTCCCAGTACGCCAACTGAGTACCAGTAAGAATACCGTACACCTCCTTCCATTCACGGTCTCCGGACTTGCCGTCACTATTAAGATCATAGTAAAGCATAAAGATACCTTCGTGGTACCTTCTGTGGGCCTGGGCGGATAACAAGGTGACTATCGGGACCAATTCTGGGGAAATGTCATCCTCAGTGGCCTGTCTTTTCTCAGGGGACGACAGCATGACCAGCGAAGCGGACTCCTCGCGGGAAACCAGCTTCTTCGGCGACATGTTGAGCTTCATGTTGGTGGGAACCAGAACGTTGGCGAGTGTGGGAAATAAGTGATGATCTGAGGCCCTGATGCGAGAGGGTACCAAAAAAAAAAAAAAAAACGCTAGACTAAGGGATCGTCGAACGGATGTATGGGTTTCGTATAGGAAATAAAGCCAAAAAAGCAAAAAGCAGGCGAATTATCAAGCTTTAATGTTTCGCTGGCTGGACAAGGGCAGAAAAAGGGAAAACCGACGTTTGGTGGTCAGAAACAGAAAAGCCGAAGTATATAGCTTATCACGGGGCAGGAAAGCGGTTTGGACGAAAACAGTGCAGCGCGAACCTAACCAGAAAAAAAAAAAAAAAAAAATTAGTCCCAAGACGCAGAAAGAGATGAAAACATAGACACGAACGGCCGCGGCTCCCGCGGACAGCTGCAAACAAAGCACCGTTCCCGGACGAACAGATCAGCTGGGGCGAAAGGGACATATAATTCAGAGAAAACAAAGTAGAAGTAATTGATGGACCTGGTGAAATCAAGGATTGTTTTCATTTTCAAGTTGCAAATGACAACCACCACATCATAAAAGTCACAAAGCGGGGGCCACTAGTCACTTTTCGCTGCGAAGGAAGTTTTCTGGCGTATATTTCGCTCTTTTTTTCTGCTTGTTCTGCCTCTGGGCGCCCACTCTGGTATCGCATTTGCCTGATTCAGCCTGCCCAGAGCCTCGCAAAGACAGGGCACAATCACAATACCTGCAATCGCCATAGAAAAAGTGGATAATTTCACAGGGGGTGAATGTTTTGGGGATCTTGTGTTACGTCTGGGGCAGCCTCGCGTGTGAGGTTATGTGAGTTTCTTGGGTTCACTTCTTGGTGGTCTTGGTGGTTCTTGGTCGTTCTTGGTCGTTCTTGGGTCCGTTTTGGCTATAACACTCGCAGCTTGGCTCTTATTGTATACGGTCTGATCAAGAGCTTAACACAATGTCTAACGTCATAGGACCGTTGGATTAAGGTTTAGCACAAGAGAATGAACCGCCACTGAACCGCCACTATGTGTCTGCCAATCAGCCTCCAACGAGACACCTGAGAAGCGAAGCCTCGAACTTGAGGCCTGTAATGTGAAGCCACTATGCGACTTACCAGAAGCCCTGAAAGTATACACTGCCCCATAGTTTGGACGAATTAAACGCCTAGGCAAATTTTCATCCCCCTGTTCTTCCACACTTCTGCTGTTTGGTCTGCCACAGTAGGCCACCCTCTCCTATTTCGCAGCCAACCCTCTTATGTTGGCGGCTATTTTGCATCAATACCGCACCTCGTTAATGCAAACCCTATACTTTGAAGCGACGATCCAGGCAGGCAGCTCGCCTTGGATACGGCTGCTCCTTTCGCTTAATCTGTCTCGGTTGTTGTTTTGTGCAACTACCGCCTTGACATGTCACAAATGTCAAATCCGTAAGGAGTAGCTTCCTGGCTGGTTCTTCACCTCCTTTTGTTCACCACCGTCTTACCGTTACACCAGACTTGGACGCAGTTCCGGTCATCGCCAGAGAAAACCCATTTGTAAAGCAAGTTGAGCACTTTCTCCTTGACAGCTTCGGGCTTGTCGTTGTCCTCTGGTCTCTGAAACCCAAACACGTCCACATTCGTAGTAGCAACGTCCAAGTCAATCAACTGGGCGTCGAACTTCTTACCTTTCTCTATTGTTCCCACTGAATTTTCAAGGTTACATGCTTTAGCACCGCCGACAGTGGCCATAAAAAGTGCTTCGGGAATTCCAATTTTGGTGTCTTCAGCTGAACCCATGGCCAAGTGATGGGAAACCATAACCAGTGCTCTGGCAACACCAAGAATCGATTGTTCGAAGCCTCCTGCAAGATCGGTGCCCAATGAGACATTGATCCCGTCTTCGTATAGATATTTCTTCACTGGAGCCTCTCCACTGGTGATAAAACTGTTCGAGCTGGGGCAGTGTGAAAGAGAAGTCTTCTTTGCCTTGACGAGTTTAAGCTCATCTTCGTCTAAATGAATGCCATGTGCTAGGATCGTCCTAGCGTTCAAGAGACCAAACTTATCGTAAACGGACGTGTAGTTTGGACAATCAGGAAATAAGGATTTCACCCAGGAGATTTCGTCCTTGTTTTCAGAGACGTGTGTCTGGATAGGCAAATCGTACTGCTTCACCATATCACCTAGTTCAGTGAGTAGGTCTCTCAGACAAACAGGAGCAAAACGAGGTGTGATAATTGGACACACCAATGATCTGTCATATCCATTCTCTTCCAAATGATGACAGTGGTCAACCAAGTTTTTCATGTTAGCGATGGTATCCTCGAGTGATTCTTGGTAGGACGGGAAAGAATCGTTGCAGTCCATGCAAACCTTACCCACAAATGCTCTTTGGCCCTTTTCAGCGGCAATGTCAGCAAAAATCTTGGTAGTCTCCGTATCAACCGTCGTAAAGTATGAAGCACATGTAGTACCATTAGACAAGGTACGGTCGATCACCTTGGTATAAATCTCCCGAGCCAAACGCTTACCTTCTAAAGAGCCGTCAAGCTTTGACTCAAGAGCGAATGTATGGTTGTTGAGCCAATCGAGCAAAGGAAGATCAGATCCAATGCCAATGTTAGGATACTGAGAAGCGTGGATGTGAGTATCGATAAATCCTGGCACCAAGAAAGACGCTGACTTGTGTGAGTTATCAACAAAAGCTATCTCTTCATCCCTCAAGTCATTACCTTCCCTGACAAGCTCCAATGCCAGTTCCTTACTGGCAGCTTCCTGGACGAACTCAATAGTACCCAGAGCATTGACACCCACATAATGGTTCAAGAGGATTTCAATTGCCCCAAGCTGCGGCGTATGGATCACGTTTCCGTAGTATAAAGTGTACATGCTGTACTTTCCCTTTCAGCAAGTGTTAAAGAAGTGGTAGTTTAGGAAGTGGTAGTCCAATAAGCCTTGAAGATAGTCTCCATTATAGTACATAGATAAGTGCGATGTTGCCGCGGAAGGGCCTCGGGGAACGGAATTTGAACTAATGAAGAGCCATAAGTAGTACTTCTGATGGATGTTTTGGATGTTTGGTGATGTTTGATTGATCATGGTATATTTCAGGGAGCTCTTGCTTAACAAAGCTAAGCTTTGTTCGGCCGTCCCTACAGCATCGTCGAAGGCTTCATAGTGGAAGAACCATCAACCGGAAAGCGCCGAAGTGGCTACTGGCTCGAAATACTGAAATATTCAAACAGTCTCATCATACACATTTATCAACACTTTAATTGGTGTTCTTTTCCTGGTATTGTCACGAAAATCGTTCTGGAATTGTTCTTGCGCTTCTCTGGTCCTCTTACAATGGCTGCGAAATGGCTGCAAACAAGCGCAATGGAAGAATGCACCAGAAGAATAAGGAATTGATTAGACATTGAGTAATTGAAAGTAGCTGATTTCTTGAGTATGTCTATTTAAGACTTCTGATTGAAACATATAGTTTCTCTCTGGACTTTCTGGACTTTATGGGCTTCCTGCCCTTGATGGAACAACCATCAGGTAATTTGATGAGAAAGGCCTCGTGGGTTCTGCTCTACAGCGATATTTTGAACTAGCAGGACATTGTTTGATAATTAAACTGGTTCATTTATAGATGGGAGTTGTGGTTGTGAGTGTGAGGAAAGATTCGAGATTCGTCAGAAATGGGGTTACTATCAACTGACGTACGACAAGCCTCATTCCAGCAACGGCTCTTCCCTAAAAGCCCCACACAATGATGTTTACTTATTTGAAAAATTGAGTGGCTTCTTCGTTAAAAGTCACTCAGATAAGGTTTCTGAGGGACGAAGCATGTCTCAATGATCCAGGACCATTTCTCACTTCGATGTATCTTGAACCGTAAAGACTTCTACACCCTACATCTACTACCGAACAAGTCATATCCGGGTATGCAAAATCAATTTGAAATATATCCTGGTATTTTAATCGTGAAAGTGCCATTGGCAGCCGCCCTGGCAAGCGAACTAAAAGACTTACAACAAAGCACCAACAACACCAGCAATGGCGACACCAAAAGAGGCAGCGTTCATCTTGGCGCCAGCCTCGAAAGAGCTGACGGCAGCTGGAGCAGAAGAGGTGGCCTCCTCAGCCTCAGTGGAAGAAGTAGCAAGTGTAGATGGAGCAGCAGAAGTAGTCTCGGCAGTGGTTGGCTCCTCAGCGGAGGTTGGTTCCTCGGAGCTGACAAACGATGGAGCAGCAACGGAAGAAGAAGCGGCGGAGGAGGAGGAAGCAGCAGCGGAAGAAGAAGCAGCCGAGGAAGAAGCAGACGAGGAAGACTCGAAAACGGAAGAAGAGCTGGAGTCCTTACCGGAAACATCGTGGCCCTGAGCCTTGCAAGAAGCCTCGAAAGCATCCTTAGCGGTGTCAGCGTCACCGTTAGGACATCTCTCCTCCAAACACTGCTCAACCTCCTCACCAATGGAAGTACAGATACATTCCAAGTCAGCCAAGCTGTCACACTTGGACTGCTTTTCAACCTCACCGACACAAGCCAACAAGCAAGCTGGAGGGGTGGCCATCACCAGGGAAACGGAAGCAGCAAAAGCAGCAATAGCGGTAAATTTCAAGCCGTGCATAGTTCTATAGGTAAGCGAAGGGAACCGAAAAAGGTGGTGTAGTGGTTGAGAAAAAAAACTCAAATATGTTTTGTAGGCTGAAAAGCTAGGCCAGAAAAGAGAAAGGTGATCGGTTATGTTTGGACAACAATGTGCAGTATTGGGCTCATAGTTAATGGGAAGAGCCTTCCAGACTTGGCTAATTATAGCTCAAAATCCTCGTAGATGCTCAGGTAAACAACCGACTCACGTGATCTTGTTTGGCTGAGTGCTCACCATATGATCTATGTTGACATTCGCAACTTTCCTCAAAGCGGTATCATCCGGCAGATAGTCGTCTCAGCTCCCTCTCGTTTGCGGTATTTGGACGCCTAGACTTTCTTTGCTGTAGCTGCCCAGGCACATTTTGTGCTATAACTTAAGTAGTAGTCTTTAGCTTTAGATTTCCTAATCGGCTGTGCTGAATGGAAATGGTTTGCTAATGCTCAATCGCTTAATATTTTGCAGCCATTTATTGCAGCCACTTTAAAGCCTTACCTTAGCTGTAACGCCTTTGATTTGCAACAACACTTGACCTGTAAAGTTATCAACTTGTACCATCATGTCAGACTTCACTATAACTTGCAATTCGCCGTTCAAGGTTCTCCGTAGAATATCGCCACCCATGCCAGAGCCCACCTTATATGGAATGCGCTTAGTATGGAAAATGCCTGGTGGTATCAGCATCACTCCTGCGTTATCAGCAAATGCTAGAACTTGCCCTTCATAAATGGCCTGACACAGCAAAAGATCCACTATAAGCTGTTGATTCGTCACGGGATTGAACACGAGTAGCTCGACTTCGGAAGTGAGAATATGGATGATAGCTTCAATAAGGAAAGGGCTACCATGCGCAAGCTCTTGATTACTCTTACTGGAGTCGTCTTCCGGATGAGCGAAAGTAAGCCTTGGTAATGCTATTTCGGGAATTTGGATTCGTTCCATCATTTTGCCAATACCAGAATGCCCATCAACTGATTTGCCGTGTGCACCAACAGTAATATTCGTAGCTCCCGAAAGCACTAGACTAACGAATTTCTCAGCAGCGTTTCTCTCTTCAAAATTGGAACAGCTGACTTTAATATGGGCTGGCACTCGAGTTCGTTTCAGAGTACGCGGTATACTTAACAGATCAAAAGTGACATTACCAATCTCAACGTCCTCGAACAAGAAGGCGAATGCCAATTGCTCTTCATTCAACTGTAAGTTCAAAGGAAGTGGGTTGCTTATTTCAGCTTCAATTCCAAAATGTACCCAACTCTTGCCCGATTGAATTAGCTGGATTGTCAGGATACTAATATTCATTTCCCTCAAAAGCCAGTCGAAGAATGCCTCGCCGGACGTCTCATGTGCCAACTCGAATTCCCTTCCAAATTTTATATTCTTGATTGAGAGGTTCTCTAGGGTTGTGTTGAGAAACCCCAGTTCGATTTTCACTTGCTCGATGTCAGCATCAAGGGACGGTAATCGTTTTGAATTCTGTTCATTTATCCATCCGCTGAACAAGTCGCCGAAATAGGCACCATCAGAAATTTTTGCCTCCCATCGCTTCAATACACCAATAATCGATGTGGTATTGCCGTGTTCACTTTTGATAGCAAGTCCGCTGCTTAAAACTGTTGACGCAGTTCCAACTGTGGCGTTTCCATCATGGATATCCACAGAGGAAGTCCACTCAGAGAGGTTAGCTTCAAAGTCATTCTTGAGTATTGGAAGAACCATGGAGGCATTAAACTCGCAGCTTGTATTCAAATGAAGCTCTCCCGAGGAAGCCTTGAGAAACTCAACATCCATGGATGTGATTTCTACCGATGTTAACATATTCCCCATCAGTAAACCACCCTGTGATTCAACTGGTATATCAATATTTACATCGACCAGCGTGAGAATATTGTAGAGCCAACGAGGAAGGTTCTGGGAATTTTGAAGAGTTTTTGCAGCCAGGATAAATACGTCCAAATGCCCTTCATTCGATATCTTAACCACGAACTTGTTAAATGGAGTCTGTCCATCCTTACAAGGCTCGAGGAGATGTTGAGGAACTCTAGGTATGGTTCCGCCCACGTTAACCACGGTAAGTTTGTTGGGGGCTATCGTGAAGGGGGCCGAGTTCCAAACTCCCAAATGAGATGGTTTCCCATCGCAGTCAGCAATAGCCACGTCCCAGTCTACCAGGTCTAATGCAAGTTTCATGGGTAAAGCCTCGAGAATCAATGTGCCATTGAGCGCTACGCCGTCGTTGTGTAAGTCGAGGTCAATCGTTTCCACCGTCAAAGGTGAAGCCATCCTCTCGGGACTGATGATGGTATCCTCATGAATGTTAACGAGACCAGTGCTGAAATGAAGCCACTTTGTTGTTATATCAGAAGTGAAATCTATTTCAACTGTAACCGGTAGTGGCGTAGAACGGTTGTGCTTCATGAGGTCCTCAACAATACCAGGTAGAGAATCCTGAATAAACAAGGCATCGCTTATGAAGTCATACTCCGTAAGACGGTGATCTATAAGATCTACCAGGATATCAGGTGGGTAAACGTTTAGGGCATGAGCTCTCTTGATTCCCTGGCCACTGACAAATACCCTTGAGGCATCATGGGGCACCACAGTAACCCCTCCAATAAAAAGGGCAATCACCTTAAGAGCCTTTCCGTAGAACCTGCTGGAGATATTTTCGTAATCAACGTATGTAGAGCCCACAACATGGACAGTCAAGCCCGAATCGTTGATATCCAAGACGGATACGCTGTGAAGCTGAGACACGAAAGCCTGATCTAAAAGCATGGGCAAATTTCGAGCCACCAAAAGAAGTATGAGAAGAATGATGACCATCAATGTTAGCACAAGCCATGACAACCAAGGAGTAGAACAGAAAGTACGCGTAAACCAGCCGTATACTCCTCTACTTCTCGAGGATGCCTGTAGTTGACGATGAAGACCTTCTTCCAATGCCACATATGATTCTGAACCTTCACTCTCTAGTAGAGGGGTCATTTCGTTCTGCAAGTCCTCATCCCGTAGAATAGAGTTCGCCCTCACATGTCTAGGGCTTCGCTTAGGGATGATTATCTCGCCTGCAATATCATCGCCTGGGACATCTCTATTGTCGTCTTTAGGCGTGGAACTTGCCCTGATCGACAGCGACTGGATATTCTGGACTGGGCTTGTTTGTGGTAGCCCATCATTCTCGATGCCCTTCGTCTTAGGCGGTTCGGAGTTTACGCCGGGACTTTTATCCGTCCCAGTCTCACCCACAGTGGGTGTTTCCTCTTGCACAGGCGAGCCAATTGGAGTTCTATGGGTTTCTGGCTGATCATTGGCAGGTTCCTGGCCATGGTCAGGGGATTGCTTCCCTCCCTGAGACTCTTCTGTCAGGGGCATCTCAAACTAACAAGGTGAACAAACGGACAAAAGGCTTGATTTTCTTGGGAAAGCCTAAAGTCGCCTATTTCTTAATGAACGATTGCAAACTCTCGACAACGAGATCTCTAGAAAAGGCGTGGTATGAGTGGACGCCCTTGTTCTACCTTACCCCAGGAATGATAGAATGCGCGGGTGATGTGCCTCTATAGACGAGAAGCCATCCCCACCTGGTACTATGACAAGGGATGAACGTAAAGATAAAAGAAGGAAAGAGGGCTTTGGAAAGTTTGATTTACTGTAAGCCCCTGGACTTCTTCTTTTCTATTTCTATTGTCTGTGCCTGGCGTGGTAGGCATTTCTTTGCTTCAGCACCTGGTGATGCTCTTCGCTTTGACATATGCCGCTGCACATATAAGCAGAAGGTTGAGCATGGAAAGTTAGCACAAAGAGATTTTAAGATTAGTCTTTGGGGGAACTTCCTCGGGAGATCAGGCTATTTCGATAGGGAAGAAACGTAAATCGGCATTTTTTGTACTTATGTTCTGCTACTATGGATTGTATTACATGCATGGGTTCTCCTAGGGTCCATTAGGGCTACCCGTAGCATCCAAGGCAAACTGTATTCCATTCAGCAAGGAAATCCAAGTCAACAAGAGAATCCACCATCAGGGCAACTCCAGAAGTTATCTATGTATATCTTACTCAATGGTGGCTATCTCTGGATTTTCGGATGTTTGGTCTATAGACTATATTAGATGCCTCTCAAACATGCTACTTCGTACCATGACAGTTCTTACCAAACTAGCTAGCGACAGACCTTTGATGACTTCCATTTGGACATCTGTATTGACTGAAAGATCTGAGTACTCTTGAATTCTCTGGCCACTTCTCCTTGGATTAGGCATCTGGCTGACAACTACCAGTCGTAGCAGTTACCTTACCTCAACTCTAGTATTGCTCCTTACTGTGGTCTTCTTTCATGCTACATAAAACTTCTTCTAGTTTCCCTACCGCCTTGTTCTTTCTACACCTAACGTGTCCCGATGGCCACCCGTGAGTTATGAACATTGTCGCTTGCTTGCCATACTCCATAGATCACTGCCTCGACTATCCACTCAACTCAGCAAATTTTTCAAGTGATGTCGGTCTCTTCCTCTGAACGGCAACCTGCAACCAGCTGTTGTCATAGGGTCTCATTCTTGGAATGTTGCTGGTTTCTTGTCTCCACCTGGCAACCTGGATACCTCATTGCAAATTTGTGCTTCTTTCTTGAATCCTCCATTTCTGAAAATCTGTACTTGAATTACGTGGCCTTTCACATAAACCTACTTAGACCACCTGCTTCACTACTACATCTTATCAGTTCACATCTCGACCTATTGTCCAAGCATAACCACTACGTCTGTCCTCTACATTGCTCAGGGGAACTCTGCCTTTCGTGCCTTATCGACTGTATGGAGCTGTCAACCTGTGCAATGGCTACATGCTTTTTTGCACCCAATTTCTGATATCCAGGACGCAGACGTGTCTTGGTACTGGTGATATATTATAGTCATACAAACAAAGAACAGTAAAAAAAGCAAGTGGTAAGTTGATATCATGTATCTATGCTCCTCGAAGGATGCAAGATGCAATTAGTGTAGAAAAAATGGATGGCAAACAATAACAGCAACAGGCCCGCTGCCACAGGCCATAACATTGTATGGTACAATAAGGTCTTGGTTGATTCTCTGTCTCGGCGCTGGCCATGCCAACGATGAAGGATACCATTATTTTTTTCTTATTTTATGGTTTTAGATTGTTCTTTTTTTTTTTTTTTTCCTTTTTTTTTTGGTTTCCGTTGATCTTTTATTCTAGGGATCCTTCATCATTTGACATGATAGACCTTCCCTTAGGGTCTAGTGTACATGGCCATGAGCATGGTCGTGTTGTTGTACACTAGGGTCCACATTAGGGTCAACGCTATCAATGTTAGGGTCCACAGGTGGGTTCAGTAAACTGTGGTTACCTGGAGCAGCTTCCATGGCAGCAATGACAGCGACATCCTGAACAGATGGATGGCTGCCGTCATCATGATGGTGCTGGCCATGGTGAGCATGATGTTGAAGCTGTTGGTGATGGAGTTGTTGTTGTTGCTGCTGCTGAAGGTAATGTTGTTGCTGAAGAAGCTGGTGGTCGTGGAGCAGAGCCTCAGGGTAGCCAGCGACAGCAGCAACAGCAGCGGCAGTGCCGTTGTTGCCACGGTTCAAAGGCTTCTCAACCAAAGTTCTTGTGTACTTAGCTCTCTTCTTCTTACCGCCGCCGCCAGAAGCGAAGTTAGGCTCAGGTGGGTGATTGTGAGCTGGGTGGATCATTCTCAAGATCCACATTTCCAGCTCCTTCTTATCGTCATCTGGGTAGCCGTCAAACTCGGTTTCCTTCTTCATCTTCTTAGCCTTATCCTTGTCTGGAGGGTACAAGTTTGCAACCAATCTGTAACCACACTTGGATCTCTTGGTGTAGGCAACTCTCTGTCTCTTAGTAGCATCCTTGACAGTCGTTCTGAAAGAACCAGAGCGCTCACACTGGAAGTAGACGGCCTTAGGCTTCGAAGAGTTGATAACAATCTTACACTGCTCCTCCTCGTTCAATACAGTCTTGACGTATTTCACAAGCTCCTGTTTGGAGGAGAAAGTCTTGATGATATCACCCTCGGCATGTCTAGAAACAAGGAAACCACCGTTTTCAAACTCCATAGGCGCCGTTTGGAACTGGTGCTGCTGAATGTGCTGCTGTTGTTGCAAATGGTGCTGAGGAATGTGGTGTTGTTGTTGCAAAGGATGGTGCATCTGCTGCTGGTGAAGCTGAGGATGGTGGTGGTGATGCAATTGGTGCTGGTGGTGCAACTGCTGCTGTTGCAACTGCTGTTGTTGCTGTTGTAACTGAGCAGCTGCAGCCGGGTTGAGACCCAAATAACGGGCCTCTTCATCCAGGTGAGCCATAACAGGATTGGGAATTTCATGACCCAACGCAATAGCAGCAGCAGTGGTATGGTCCAACTGGGACGCGTGGTGAAGGTGCTGCTGTTGCAAATGTTGTTGTTGGTGAGGATTCAAGCCCTGGCCGTGGCCGGTGGATCTCTCGTTAGACGTGGAGGGACCTGACATTGTTGACAAGGGTTGTTATTTTTTTATGGGTGTCGCGGTTTCACCTAAAACAATGAGCGGGAGGGATTTTTAAGTCCAAATATTTTGTTGAACACAAGTTTGGGATGGAGTAGACGAAGGTTTACTGGAGCACTGGGTGTGGATATAAACAAATTCCTGCACACCTACCTAACACTGTTTAGTAGATTTAGGTCCTGGACATAAAAGTAGTTGTGGGAAGGAGGAAAATGTGTTGATGTTGCGAGGGTGGGAGGAAAGGAGTTTTCGCAATTGTCGTGTCGCCACCGGGAAAATCTTTCTGGTGCACGGGTCTTCTAGTGAAATCTCATTGGCCCGCTCCTGCAGGTTTTCCGTACCCTCCTTGAAGAAACCCCCCAATATTGCCCAACTGGGCCATGTATGACTAATTTTGGATAGCCTAGTACCTTTAAATCCTCCCCTATTTGCTATCCTGCTGCTTGTGATTTCTCTACGAGGTCATTTGGTCACTCTATGGTCGTTTTCCCTCTGGTGTACAGGTCTTTCCTTTTGACTCTTTCTGCCGCTGCTTTGGGAAGCTACTATTCCCGGGTATGAGACGTACGGCTCTGGGGTGTATATGTGGTACTTGGGCAGAAATATGGTGATTTTAAGCTGTTTTAGGAAAGCCGAAGCTAGAGGGCCATCTCGGCTGGAAAACTGAAAAAGTGAACTACTTCAAATACGTTATCTGCCATATCGAGGGCTTGCCGGCGTGTAGGTATATGCTGGTCGCAGACAGGAAGAAATGCTCTTTAGATAACCCAAATGCCATATAGAGAGGAAAATCTATTGTATAAAGCCCTTTGCATAATAATAGTCAGGAGCACAAATCGACTAGGCGTATAATCGGCTAAATAAAAGGCTTATTTGGGTGTCTGTTGGGCAGGTAGGCTGCAGTGAATGGTTGCAAAAGAGTGTATGGTAGATGGGCCAAGAGACACTCCTATTGCTAGTATGGACGCCTAGTGTAGTAGGATGAAGTAGAGCTTAGGCAATGATGAGATACGAATTGGATGTTTTTTGCTAAGTCTGGTGTTCAAAGAATCATTCAGTTGATAGCGGTGTAAGCCAAATTGGAAAATATTGACGTATAATGTTGTTTCTTTTACCTGTGTTGGGTGTTGGTCACATAGAGCTGCAAAGGTCTTTACTCTTGTTTACCAGTAAACTCAATTCTCTTGGTAGCTATTCACTTTTGAAAACAAAGCTAATGGACGATCTTGCTTTGTTGTCGTGTTTGCACGGTCGTATTTTATGGCTCAGTGTATGTTCGATCAGTATATCGGGTTTCGTCGTCATAAGAAAGTAACACCTAAGTCTGGATATTCATCCATGGAATGTGTTGAAAGGTATTTAATGGGCGCTTCTTTTTAGAAGTAGGATATAAAATATTAGAAAAACACTTCAGATCAGAAACAGATATATGCAATTGTGGAAAACAAGAAAATAAAAATCAAAAGAATGGCGATCAATCTAGCATGAACAAGCTTTATGAGATACAGTTTAATCCTATTCTTTGCTTCATTACGGTTCCAATGGTTCTCAATCTCCCATTCGGTGTTCCTCTTTTCTCATCGCTGTCTACATCTCACTTGCTAAAACTTTTGACCTAGACATTGAAGAAACAAACACAACTTGACTTCATGTATGTCATTGTAGTTCAAGTGCCTCAAACTCATGTCATGGTATCTGTTCCTCTCTTTAATGTGCAAAACAACCGTAGGTATGTGTGTTTCTGCAACAAATGAAGTCTCTCCCACACACAGCCATTTTCAAGCGATTTCGTGAGCTTATGACATTCATCTGGTGAGACTCTAGGCTTTCCTACCTTTATTTTTGATTTTATTGATTTTTCGATTTTTGGTGGACATGTATAATTTATTCATTTTGCAGCCATTCTACAAGAACATAGCTAAATCAGTAACGCACCCAAGAATCCAGACAAACAGAAGAAAACAAATAAAAAAAAAAAAAAAAGAAAAACAACTTAAGAAATCAATGAACATCTTCAGTTACAATATTTCCAAATCACCATATTAGCCCTTCTCTTCTGTCCTTTTGTTTCCCAGTCAATCTGGTTTACGAATACCTTATTACTGCACCTGCCTGGGAACACCTCCACATATCAAGGACCGCAGAATCCACTCAATTCTCTAACCTTAAAGTCACAATGCTTTCGGTCACACCAGCACAAAGAGAACAAATAAAGCAAATAAAACAACAGAGCCGTGATAAAGAACTCCATTGGCTTGTGGAGCTGGTTGTCCAACCTGAACTTCCTCAACTTATCGAGGCCCTCCAGATCTGCTCCAACCTCATACTATATAACTCTCCCCAAAGCCCAGATGAATCAAAACATATCGAGAAAGGTCCTGCTGTTACGCTACCGGTATCTTCAGCAAAGCTGGAGGCTGTCAAGGGAATTTTAGTTAGAGACGGTGCTCATATCACGAAAATGAGTGTTGCAATCAAGGAGAAACATTTCAACAGGTCGGTGCATCACATCAAGCTTGCCAAACCTATCATACTTTCTCAGATAATGGCAGCAAAGAAGTCAATTGAGCAGTCTATGACGCTAATAGTCCAGGCTGAGTCCATCTTTGATGATAATCTGTTGGAACAGTGCCAGGAGACACACCGTGTCAAGCACGAGCTGCTCTTAGACTTGTTCAATAGTCTACTACAGGAGCTTCAAGTTGCTAAGAAATCTTTACAGCTTCCTACAGATCCGGATCTTGTTTTTCCACTGCACGTTACTCCCTCCAGTCATTTCGATCCTCCACTCAGTCCCAACATCGCCCTTGATCTCTACATCTCACAAGCAGAAGTGTGCCTTGATCTTAAAGACCTTTTTATCGTCACTGAGAAGCCGTGGTGTGAAATCGACCAAGAGACAGGTAAGTCTTACGTTGATAAGGTGAGAGATCGCATGTCTGAAGGAAAGAGTGATGAAACAGACCACCAGAAAAAAGACAAAGACAAGGAAGGTGTGTTTAGCAACGTTTTTGGACATTTACTGCTTCGTCCTAAATATGACGCCCAGGACTATATCACAAGATGTATAACGTACAACAACCAGGTGGTTGTCGTGGACAGGAAGCTAGAAGTGTCGTCAGCAGATCCAGTCTTGGTTAGTGCATTCACGAAGCTTGACTCAGTCGAGTACATTGTTTCAAGCTTCATGGATAACATCAAGAAATTGATGTAACATGCCCAAAACATGTGCTGTGGATTTTGCAACCGGTATATTGTACCCCGGATATTGTCGCATTCCCCCAAGGTGGTTTTTTTGAGTGGACAATTTGCGCCCATATATAGTAAGCGAGAGCTCCACAATTAATGCTCAGAAGGCTGTTTTCCACAACCACCAGGCCTTATTTCCGTTTCCCGACTTTCAGCTTTTTCAAGAAACATAAAATATTCGCCATGAGATCCGCCTACACTATTTTGGCTGACGACTCAGCCATCGAGAAACCGCTTTTGGACGACCGCAGTTATAGATTTATCAAGCTAGACTCTAATGACTTACATGTATTGTTAATCAGTGATCCATCTACAGATCGTTCTGCTGCCTCTTTGGATGTCCATGTTGGTTCTTTTGCCGATAAGGAATACAACGTGTCAGGGTTGGCACACTTCTGTGAACATCTCTTGTTCATGGGTACCTCGAAATACCCCGAGGAAAACGAGTACCTGAGCTATTTATCCAAACATTCCGGTCACTCAAACGCTTACACGGCTGCTGAACATACAAACTATTTCTTTGAAGTGAGCTCAGACTACCTAGAGGGAGCTTTGGATAGATTTGCCCAGTTTTTCATCGACCCGTTGTTCAGCAAAAGCTGCAAGGACAGAGAAATCAGAGCTGTCGACTCAGAGAACAAAAAGAATTTGCAAAATGACATGTGGAGATTTTATCAGCTTGATAAGCTGACCAGTAACCCTAAGCATCCTTATAACGGGTTCTCCACAGGTAACTACAAGACTTTACACGAAGAGCCGGTCAGCCGAGGCGTCAATGTCCGTGATGTCTTGCTTGACTTCTACAAGGACCATTACTCTTCCAACATTATGAGTTTGGTTGTGTTGGGCAAGGATTCTCTTGATGACCTCAACTATTGGGCCATCACCAAGTTCTCCGACGTTCCCAACGCCAACCTTTCTAGACCTTCATACCAAGGCCAACTAATTTATACCCCTGAAAATATGGGCAAGCTTTTGAAGGCAAAGCCCATTATGGATTCCAACAAATTAGAGCTCACATTCATGATCCCAGACGACCAGGAACACAACTGGGACAGAAGACCAGGAAGTTATTACTCTCATCTTATTGGCCATGAGAGTAAGGGATCCATCTTGTACTACTTACAAAAGAAGAACTGGGTGAACGAGCTTTCAGCCGGAAATATGAAAGTGTGCGACGGTTGTTCCTTGTTTTCCATGGAACTTGACTTGACTCCACTGGGTTTGGAAAACTGGCAAGAAATTGTTGTGCATGTCTTTGAATACTTGAAAATGATCCAATCACAAGACCCACCAGAGTGGTTATGGAAGGAGCTAAGCGATATGTCTAAGATCAACTTCAGATTCAAACAGAAAGAGAGAACTTCCAACACTGTGTCGAAGTTGAGTAGTTCTTTGTTCAAGTTTAAGGAAGACTATTACATTCCTCCTGAAAGGTTGTTGAACTGTACTGTTTTGAGAGACTTCGATGCCGAGGAAATCAAAAAGTACGGCCGTCATTTGAACCCTTCAAACTTGAGAATCTCGTTATCTTCTCAGCATTTGGATGACCTTCCAAACACAGAAAAATGGTATGGTACTGAGTATGCTTACGAAGACATTCCTTCAGAACTTATGGATGCTTTGAAGTCAGCTACTGTCAACCCAGAATTGCACCTTCCCGCACCAAACAAGTTTATTCCAGAAGACTTTACAGTTAAGGGCGAGAAGCTGGAGAAAGCATTGGCTCATCCTTGGTTAATAACCGACACTCCTAAATTCGAGGTTTGGTTCAAGCAAGATGATCGCTTCAGAATTCCAAAGGGCTCCATCAGTCTTGTCGTTCATGCACCTCCGTTAGGTGAGACGATAGAATCCTCGGTCTTGGGTTTGCTTTTGGGTGAATTGATGGAAGACGAATTCAATGAGATGAATTACTTTGCTGAACTCGTGGGCTTGAACTTCTCCCTTCTGCAGTTCAGAGATTCGTTCTCGATCAAGGCCAGCGGCTACAATGACAAGCTCCCTGCTTTCCTTGTTGAGGTGTTAAACAAGTTTGTTAACTTCGAGCCTAAACTGGACAGATTCGAGTCAATCAAGTATAAAATTACTCAGGATCTCAAGAACTCAGGATATGATATTCCATACGCTCAGATCGGTACACATTTCTTGCAGTTGTTGAACGAGAATACATACCCTGATCCTGAAAAGGTTAAGGTTCTCGAGAAGGTCACTTTCGACGACTTGCTCAAATTCACAAAAGAACAATTGTGGACTAAGGGAGTATTTGTCCAAGCTTTGATTCACGGTAACTTTGAATACTCAACTGCAAAGAAGGTGAGTCAAGATCTTGAAGATGCATTCAACAACAGAGAGCAAATCGCCGAGACAAAGGCAGCTGTGGACGACATCGTTAGATTCCAGAGTGTTAAACTTGATGTTGGTGAGAACGTCAGATACGAGTTGCCCTTACAGGACCCTTCAAATGTCAATTCATGTTTGGAATACTTTATTCAGGTGGGCAAGGTTGAGAAGGATAATGCCCGTTTGAGAGTCCTTACTGACTTGTTAGCGACGATGCTCCACGAGCCTTGTTTCAACCAGTTGCGTACTAAGGAGCAGCTCGGTTACGTCGTATTTTCTGGTTACAGACTGACAAGATCGTACTTTGGTCTCAGAGTACTTGTCCAGTCTGAAAGACCATGCGACTACCTTCAGTACAGAGTGGAAAGATTCTTGGAGATGTTCAAGGAACAGAAGCTTGGCTCTGCCCTTACCGATGAAGTCTTCACCAAATACAAGCAATCTTTGAAGAACATGAAATTGGCTAAGTTGAAGAATCTTGGAGAAGAGACTTCTCTTTACTGGAATGCCATCAACAACGGCTTCTACGATTTCCAACAGAAGACTAACGATGTGGAGATCTTGGAGACCATCACTCAGCAAGAGCTCGTCGACTTTTTCAACGATTACTTCGATGTTAGCGGAAGCAGCAAGTCTGCCCACTTAACAGTATGCTTGAACCTGAGAAAGACGCCAGTATTTGACGATAAGAAGAACTTCATTACTGCTGTTCACAACTTCATTTACGAAACCCGCCTGTCTGTTCCTACGGAGCTGATTGATAAGATCGTCGAGGAGAAGGGAATCGACATCAATGCTGTCGCTGAAGCCGTATGCGGAACGCAGGGTGACAAGAGCAAATTCGTTAAAGAGATCGAAGAAAGAACCAAGAACCCTACACCAACTTCGTATCCTAAGGGCAAGCTTGAGGAGGACACTTACCACTTCAAGGAATCTCATCCTCGTGGTGGTGCACCAACACCCGTTTTGCCTTTGAGCAAGTACTACTACCCACACGAAGAGGCTCACCTCTAGGACTCTAAAAGTAAAAAGGAAATAAGGAAAAATCAACGTATCTTCTCCTAAATGTAATCTGTAGTAACCAGATCTGGGGTTGAGGCACGGGTGCGACTAGTTACCTATGTTGTTAAAGTACACCGCTGTCGCAACCTAGTAACTATTGAAAGCGTCACAGCCCAATGACGACTCTCAGCCTAAATAAAGTTAACCAGACTTATTTTGATAAGCTCTTTGTGGCGAAGAACAACACCCAGTTGTCTGCCGCCATTCGGGCGAAAGTGCTACTTGTGGACCAACATACCATGCCTATCATTTCCATGAGCTTCACTCAGTCACAGCTTCTCCAACAAGATGTGGTTCTTATCGAGATGATTGATAATCTTTATAACTTGAGTACAATGAAGCATCTCAATTGTGTTGTCTATGTGAAACCTACTAGAGAACTGATCAGTAAAGTGTGTGAGGAGCTTCGGAACCCCCATTATAACCACTACCAGTTGTTCTTTAACAATTCTATCACTAAAAATGACATTGAGAAGATAGCTGAAGCAGATGAGCAGGAGCTTGTGAACCAAGTGATGGAGTTGTACCAAGACTACTCCATTGCCAATGATAACTTGTACACGTTAAGTGTACCAGAGGCTGCACAGGGCCCTAGACATAGCGTGACGATTCAAGAGGCTACCAGTCTTGTAAGTCTTGTTTTATCATTGAAAAAATGTCCATTGATCAAATATGAAACCTCCTCCTTGGACTCGAAACGTTTAGCATCAGAGCTCTTATATTACATCAACTCAAACCTGAATAACAACTTGTTTGATGACCTCAACAAAACGAGCGATGTTCCTCCCGTGTTGCTTATCTTAGACAGAAAGAATGATCCAATTACGCCTTTGGTGCTTCCCTGGACATATCAGTCAATGATTCACGAATTAATTGGTATTGATAGAAACGTCGTGGACCTCAAGGACGCCTCAGAGCAGCTCACACTTTCTGAAACACAAGACAAGTTCTTTCAGGAGACTATGTACTCAAACTATGGTGATCTTACTGATAGGTTCCAGAAGTATGTTGACGAGTACAAGAAACAAACGAAGCAATCGTCTATTGAAAACCTTAAAACGCAAGATCTTTCAGAATTCAAGAAGATCTTAACCAAGTTCCCTGAGTTCAAGAAGCTTTCAAACAACATTCTCAAGCATCTCAACATCATATCGGAAATTGATAAACAAATTTCGGGCCAAAACTTGTGGGCGGTTGGTGAGTTGCAGCAAACGATCGCATGTGGCCTAGAGAACCACCAGAATATTAAGACAAGACTCATCGATTTGATTGCAGACCATACCGTGTCAACTCAAAACAAAGTGAAATTGCTCTTGCTTTATGTTGCCAAGTTCCCAAACCAACAGTCAGATTTGGGTGCCATGTTGGCCAAGCTTAACGACCCTGTCACAACTAGTCCTCCACCAACAATTACACAGACTTCTTTGATCAAGCAGTTCAGCAGGTACTTTGGCAGCATCAAGAAAATGTCTTCACTGGAGAGCAATAATAATAATGGCAACATTGGACAAATCTTCAATAAGAATCGTATAAAGATCCAACAGCTTTTCAACCCTAACAATGACGACGATAAGCATAGCATGCCCAAGACTGATAACATTTTCATGCAATATATCCCCAAGCTCAACGATGTGTTGGCTCAGATCACAAACCCTACCCCACAAAACAAGCAGAACCAGCAGCAGAATCAGCAGGATAAAGTTGAACTAGCCACTATGACTCCTGATGTTGTTAGCAAACAATACGGGGACGCCTCTGGACAGGCAGCCCAGGAAGTGATCATCTACTTCAAGGGTGGAGCTACATACGAAGAAGCTCGCTTGGTACATGAGCTTAGCAAGGTAAACAGCCGTGTCAAGTATATTATTGGTGGCGATGGAATATTAAACAGCAGCCAATGGCTCGAGAAGATGAGTGATATTGTCAACGGATATAATGAGCCTGCTGGGGGATCAGCAGCGGCAACAGGCCAACAGGATCGGAGAAGCCAGCTTCGTGAGATCTTATAGGCTTTATAGATATTAATAAGATGAACAAAGGTGTTCAACTAGGGAGCGTACTTCCCGAACTTCTGTTCCCAGGAAAGGATCTTTTCTGTCAAGTTTTCCATAAGCTTTAGGTTCTCATCAAAGTGGGCAACTATGCGTGTTTCTCCTGCTGCCTCAGCCAATTGGCCATTCTTCAGGTCTCTTTCTTCCTCCAACTCCATCTGCGTACGCCCAAGCCATTCTAAGATGGCCCCGTGCGCTTCCTCAACTCATATATCGTACACTTGTCGTTCACAAAGCGAGGCTTGGACAGCTGGTTCAAAAGCTCCTCCTTGTTTATAGCGTTCTTGTCTGTCTTGGATGGGGCAGCGTTCTTAGGCTTTGCCGAGGCCGGCCTGCTCTTAGATTTCGGCCTCAGAGGTCTTGAACGTGCTTCTTTTTGAGTGGCTTCAGTATCTTCATCTGCATTTGACTCGTCCACCTCATCTGTCTCGGAATGAGATCTCTTCTCTCCACCAGTATGCTCCAGATCACTCTGTCTTTTCCTGTCGTTTCTGCCTGACGTCTTGGCACTTTCACGTAAAGCCTTCTGGAGCTGCTCATCAAAGTCGTTACCATGGCGACGGTCTTTTCTGGATTGTCTGTCTGTCTCTTTTGTTGCCTCTGGTGTGCTCTCGTTGGGGCTTCTTCTGCCTCGCAGCCGAGTAGCAGCCCTTTTCTCGTTTCGGCTGCTCTCTTCCTCCATCAATCGAGCTCTTCCATCATTTGCAGGTTTATAAAGTGTTCTGTTGGGCTGCTTCAGCGAAGCCAGCACGAATAAGTGAAGTTCTGGCTTACACTGCTCACACCAGTACTTATCAGGCACGTCTTCATTGACAAAGAGACCAACACAATAACCGTGTTGCCAAACCAGACACTTGTCACACTGGATAAAAAGCCCCAGATCGACCTTGATCCGGTACTCCTGCTGTAGAAGCAGCTGAACTTGAGAATCTATGGAGGTGAGCTCTTCATGGCCACATACACAGCGGGTGATCTCATCGGCGTCGTCGATGTCATTGTCAGGGTCTTCAGCATCTGACGCTTTGGATCTATCATCTGCGAGGGGCTTTGAGCGGCCAGATCGGCGGGACATGGTAAGTGGATGTTTTGGAGGAATTGGAGTTTCTGTGATGCTGCTGGATGAAATATGGAGCACCGATGTGCCGAGTCGCGCGAAGCTCATATTGGCTGTAATGGCCATGGCTGCGAAGCGCAGAACCAGCACCTACAAGCGTTCCTACAATAGGTAATTATACATACATCTCTTCATTATAAAATTAGGGCTAGTTCCTCACAACTAGAGTACCAAGCCTATCGTACATGCCTGGGTTCCGAATGTATGGGTCAAGCTCAATGTAGTTATCTGATAGCTGGTAATTGATCAAAATCTTATCTCTTAAGTACCTCGAACTCATGTCGGGGTCTGTACTCTCACACCATTTCCTAGTCACATCAATGAAACGCATGAAAAGTTCATCTCTTTGTTGTCGGAGACGCTTGTATCTGAGGTCTTTTCTCTTGGGTGGTCTCAAATCGGCAGCAGTGGGCACAGGGTATGGCACTTCATCTGTATCATCGCCTCCAAGGTATGACGGTATATGCTCTGGATCTATAAGGTTCACCAACTCATCGTAGCCCTTGGTGAAATGGATCTTGGACACAACTGCTGGGTCTAGCCAGTTCTTAATGACGTTCCACACCGTGGAGAAGATCCATGGAGCATTATGCACAATGATGAACCCAAGCGTCTCAGGGTAGTGGGCTTCAAACATGAAGGCCAAGAACTTAATAGGGGCGTTATCGGCGTTCTTCAAAGAGAAGCCCGTCAAGTCAAAGATCACTGTAAACGCATCGACGGAATCATGCACTTCTCTGGAGAAGAGACGGCACCACTCAATCAAAACCGTGGCAAACCGTTCAGTCTCGGGTAAGGGCGAGTCATGGGCGAAATGCTTGCGTGATTGAAAGACGAAAAGCGGATTTCCATACCTGTCATGGCCTCGAATAAAAGACTTGCCTGTGGTGAGGTTTTTGATGAACCCCTTATTCTCGCCACTAAAGTAAGATGGGCCGTCTGATTCACGTACCCATTTCTCAGCCGGATATTCGGTTTGCTTCCAAACAACAGACTTAACAAGCATTTGCACGGTATCATCATGGTTGAACTTACGTGCTCTGCAGAATCGAAGGATCATGTTATCTAGAAGACCATTCTTCACCATGCTAGCAATGCCAGCATGAACGACCTTTGGTTTGACTTTGCTGACGGCTGGATGGACATTGCAACTGGATTTGACTGATTTAAGCAGGAAACTCTTCTTTGGACGAACGTGATGATGGCGATGATGGTCAGGTGAGGAGTGGGCAGTATGGAAAGTCTCTAGCGAACTGAGGGATTCTTTTTCCAAGGTGGATTCATCGTCGTAGCCCTCTTCTTCAAGCGGATCTTTCTTCTCGTCATATGCTAGGTGGTGGTGGTTGCAGTAAACGTGTCTGGTGTGGTCCGATGGCTTGCTCACAAAGGAATACTTTTCCAAGTACCCGTTTTCCAACGCCAGTTTCCGACCAGGCAGCACTTGTTTGGGAGCCAGAGATTTGCTGCGAAAAAGACCCCATTTGCTCTTCTTCTTTTTCTTTTCACTCAGAGCTGTGGTGGTGGTTTGAAGCGTCAACGATCCTGATGGAGCAGAGCCCAAAGAGCCAGCTTCAGAGTACATGGTGGTCGATGCAGCCAAAGAAGGCTGATCTGCCTTCTCCACGATTGACAGCAGGACAAACAGATCAGGTAGGGAGATGTCATCGTTGGTCAATGAGATGTCGTAGCCCCACAGCTTCAACAAGGTGGCCCAGCACTGCTTGAGCGCTACCTCCTGGGTTGCATTAAGACTTTGAATCCGTCCAGGGCGATATTGGATTTCCGAAGGGTATACCAGCGGATACATCTGTGGCGTGGAAGGTAATAACAGGGTTCAAAAGCAGTTTTATGTCTCGATAGGCAGACGAAAATTACCACGCACTTGTACGCAGGAAACACACCTATCGTTCAACGGTCGGACTAAAGCAACAGGGAGGGGCGCAGCTCTAGGGGGATTGCCAAGCAGGAAAAGGCTCAAAAAATAATAATCCGAATAAGTGACCAGGTAAATGAAACTCGGCAGCAAAAGCTCGTCCATTTCATCTTTCTCTTGGTAGGTGTTCACATGCCAGTCGTTCGATAAGCAGCTCAGCTGACAATCCAGCCAAAGAAACAAGCCGCGGTGCCGATTCCTTTGCATTGCTGCCAGCGCGGCTTAGTTACGACAAGACCATGGACCGAGACAATAGCGCTGCACTGATTAGGGAATTTAGCTTGTGAATCTCGTGGGACAATCCACCTGATAGACTGTTCTGGAAGCCTTGGTTGGTATTGATGAGAAAAGAAAATGGAACATTTTCTCTGGAGCTGTCAAGGGCAGCTGGCAAAGCGCCTTGCTTAGTCTTTGGGGATGCGACCTCGCTTAAGTCTCTGTGACATATCACCGCAGCCTGGCAACGCCCGTGTAAAGATGGGACAAAACAGACAAGTACCCAAAAGCCAAAAGCCAAAAGCCATTCCGGCCAATACTCAACAAATTGCTCTTCGGAAAGCCTCCCCTCCGTATACAATTGCCATCACTCTTCTCTAGCAAAAAAAGCGTGCGCTAAAAATGGGGTTGCCACACATTGTAGGCAACTGTAGCCAGCTTCTAAGCCCACTCTCCGAGATTCCCGTTTCTTGGGTACATATGGGGTTTATCGACGACGAGGTCTCATGTGAGCGATACGGCGGCCTTGCATTGCCAACGGTGGCGTAAACAGCTGTCCTGGAGCTCCAAAGGCGCCAGGGGCACCAGGGGCACCAGGGGCGCCTGGAGCACTGGGAGCACCTGGAGTACCGGTTCCGGCTCCGAACACCGGAGGCGTATTCTCTCTACTACCCGCTCCGACACTACCAGGGGCACTATTGAACTGGTTTCCTGGGGCTGGGTTACCCATTCCGAAAGCTGTAGATGGCTGGTGGTTCTGAGCAGCACCACCAAACACAGATGCTGGGTTCGCCATTCCGGCTCCTGGTTGCCCAAAGCCAGCACTACCACCTGGACCAGCGCCCGGTGTGGATCCTCTTGAACCGAAAACACTTGATGTGTTCGCTGGGCCTGCAAAAGGGCTTTGTGTAGGCTGAGGTGCTGCAAGGTTGGCACCGGCTCCGAAGTTGAAACCCGAGGCATTCGGGTTCGGACCGCCAAAAGCACCGGAAGGTCCTCCAAAAGCAGGTGCCTGGTTGCCACCAAAGTTGAATGGCGACGCCGTATTCGAGGGAGCACCTGAAGGTCCACCAAAGGCAGAACCTGGCTGAGAAGCTTGTGCACCAGCGCTACCACCAGCGCCGAAAATCAGAGCCGGGTCAACAGTAGCCGCCTGGCCAAAGGAAAAGGCGGGTTTAGGTGCAGCAGCACCTCCAGCTTGACCTCCGATCAGAGGTGTTTCAGGCTTACCGAAGGAAAACGTAGATGTGCTCTTCGAATCCCCACCAAACCCAGGCGTTTGAGAGCTTCCAAAATTGAAGGCTGGCTTTGCGGCAGGTTGGCCAAACAGGAATGGCTTAGGTGTGGTTTCCTTAGAGGAGACAGAAAAAACAGGAGTGGTTTCTTTAGCAGTATCGGACTTCGTGTCTCCAAACGAGGTTTCAGCTGGTTTCGTTGCTCCGAAAGTAAACGAAGGAGAAACAGATTTCGTAGTACCAAAAGAGAACTTGGGAACTTCAGTGGCAGCCTTAGGCTCTTCAGATTTTGGCTTTTCGAACGAGAACTGCGGTGCTGAGCCAGATGGCTTGAAGTCAAACTTTGGAGCCTGTTTATCATCAGCAGGTTTCGCCTCCTCATCTTTCTTAGCACCAAAGGAGAATGAAGGAGTGGAGTCCTTTGTAGATGAACCTCCAAAGGAGAATTTTGGAGTCTCTTCCTTTTTTGCCTCTTCTTTCTCCTTAGGCTCTGTAGAGCTGGCTAAGCTGAATCCGGCCGATGTATCTGGCTTTGAAGTGGAAAAACTGAACTGAGGTGTAGTCTCTTTCTTTTCAGCAGATGATCCGAGACTGAAAGCGGGTTTCGAATCTTCTTTACTCGTAGAAGCTCCAAAGCTAAACAGAGGAGCGGCGTCCTTGCTTTTCGTGGACTCGTCAGCTTCTTTCTCCTTTTCTTGAGAAGCACCTCCAAAACTGAATGGCTTAGACTCCTTCTTTTCTGATGATCCACCGAAACTGAACAGTGGAGTAGCACTCTTCTCTTTAGAGCCACCGAAATTGAAAGATGGCGCATCTTCCTTTTTGTCTTCCTTGGTGCCAAAGTTGAAAGCTGGTAAAGAGGTCTTCTTCTCGGCAGGTTCTTCAGTTCCAACCTCGCTCTTTTTATCAGCAGCCTGACCAAACGAGAATTTTGGCGTTTCACCCTTCTCAGTCGAGCTTTTATCGCCAGAGGCAGCTCCGAAGGAAAACTTAGGAGCTTCAGAGGTTTCCTTAGATGGACCAAAAGAGAACTTAGGAGCCTCCTTCGTCTTATCTATCTTTGTTGTAGTCTTGTCCTCCAGAGGGTTAGTAGATCCAGGAAGGCCGCCAAAAAGTGGTTTTGATCCAGCTTTACCGAGAGATAATTCATCAGGTTCATTATCCTTCTTATCCGAACTTGGAAATAATGGTTTCGAAGTGGAGCCGCCAAAAGAGAAGCCTGTCTTGGGCTTTTCCTCGGTTTCATTTTCTTTAGCATCAGGCTTTGAGAAATTGAACAGTGGAGTCTTGGTAGAATCTTTCTTTGCACTTCCAAATAAAGGTGATGGCTTTGCTTCCTCAGCGTCTTCAATGCCCCTTTTACGCTTAGGTCCTGGCTCCCCAGAAGGCGCAGAAAGGCCAAAAAGAGCCCTCTTACCTTCATCTTCTGCCTTATTAGTTTCTGGAGCAGCACTGGCCTTCTCCACACGCTCATCATCATCTTTACGTGTCTGAAGAATAGAACCAAGGTTCTTTTTATCAATCTCGAAGTTGAAACCACTGCTTGGACCAACTGATGGTTTCTTCAAAGCCGGACCGGAAGTGGGCTCTTTGACCTTGATAAGCGACTCAGTTTTATCCAAATAATCCTTATCTAAACCCGGCTCATCCTTCTTACCAGCCTTGAGCATTGCACTTAGGTCAGTGCGACGATGCTTATCCAAACCCAATTTGGAAGGGGCCTCTTGGTCAGGGAATTGCTGTTTTGGCTTTTCCGATTTTGGCTGTGTAAATTTAGGTTTCTTAACCTCCCCAAGATAACCATTGAGATTCTCGCCGTTGGGCACGGGATCAGCCACTTTCTTTGGCGCCTGTGGCTCATAGTAAAATTCACCAGAGAAAAATCCTTTACCGTTTCTCTGTTCACGTTGTTTCCTAGCGCGAGATAACTTGGAACGTAAGTTGTTGAAATTCAATTTGCGTCCTAAGTCTTCAACACCATGCGTTTGTGTAGTCGAGTTAACCTTAGTACCAGTAACAGGCGTACTGCTTGTTTCATCGGGGTCCACCATATACTTAAGTCTGCTTTGTAGATACTCAGACATTTCAACAGACCGCTTGAGTTGTAACAAGTGGTACCTTTCATTTGGATCTAGATTGATGAAGGGAGGCCTGACAAGGTTGCCGTCTTCATCCTGGTACAATGGAGCAAGCTCATTATCTTGAACATGACGGTCTTGCTCTCCCTGCTCCATATCGTCAGAGTTGTTATACTCCATATCACGGTCCATTGTCGGTAGGAAGCTTTGCCTAGGCATGCTATTCAAATTAGGCGACAAGTCTCTAAGAAATGCTGACTCGTCATTGCCATTCATAGCGTAATCAGGAACGCTAGGCGGGAAGATAGACTGTCTTCTTTCATGTTCACTGGCCCCATTGAACGCATCCTGCTCAGTTTGAAGCGACTGGGCGATGCCTTGGTATCCTTTAAGATGAGGGAGGAAAGATGACATTCTAGGGACGGCGTCATTCACCAATCTGAGCGATTCGTGAACAGACAGTCTTCTTTTGCGAGAAATAAAGTCGTTCGGAAGCTCTTCAGGCGCAAGGTCGTTCTTATTGGCGAAAGGAGTGTCGTTATTGTTTGATGAGTCCTCCTTTGAAAACAAACGGTTAGCTAAAGACGAGATTAAGCCAAAAAACCTCCGTTTTTTCGGAACAGGACCATTTTCAGGCTCGGTAATTGTTTGTGGACTCACTGAACGCTTCATTGAGGTCCGTTTAGTGGAATATATGCCGTGATAGAGTTGAATTGAAGATTACCAGACGGTGAGAAATTGGTGATATGAGATGGATGCACCCGTACACCTACCAACTACTGAATTAATGGTTGCGAAATCGAAGGAAAGAATGCATTTTTCGTTACCGTTATGATTATATAAATAGAAATGCCTTTTTAATATTGAGAAATTCCAGATTCTGGTCTTGAACGAACGGAGGCTTGTGTGCTGAAAGATTGTCCAAAAGAAGCTTGGTTCATGGAACCCTGGTTAAGGGATGCTTGGTTCATGGAGCCTTGGTTGATGGAGCCCTGATTGATTGAGCCTTGGTTGATTGAGGTTTGGTAACCAGACTCCATATCACCTTCTCCATCTGTGTTTAAATTAAGCATGGTTCCAGTGCCCCCAAAAACATCATCATCAGCATTATCGTAGTATGACTGAGCTGGATTCTTGAGGCCAGTAATTGGGTCGTCTCTAGCTACCTCGTCAATTTCCTTGATAAGCTTGATCATGGAGTTTTCACCGAAATTAATTCCGTACAGCACCTTGATAGGAATGATGCCTTGCACCCACGCATCCACGATACGTGCTCTTTGCTTAGTAGCTAATCTTGAAATTGGGAATTCTCCCTTCTTGATGAATGCAACGATATCAATAATGACATGGTGCTTACTGAATACCGTGTTGACAATCAATGGCACCAAGGCAGCAAGATTCTTTGTCTTTCTGGCTTCACAGATAGCAATGGTAAAATCAGAAGCCTTGAACACACATGATCCATTATTATAGATATCAGCATGGCACGATTCAATCGTAGCTTCAATGTCAACAGGGAAGTGATGCAAACCCATCACTTCAAAGGTATCAGAAATCTTGCCCAAAACGAAAAGTGGTTGGAAGGATGCAGTCTCTTCCTTTCTTTCAGCTCCATTATGGGAATTCTTCGAAATCGAGATGTGATGGAGGAACCCTAGGTCACCAGTTCTAAGGTATGTCATATCGGGATTTCCATCAACGATCTTGCCCAAGAATTGACGAGAGCTAAAGTGATCCACTGGACCCTTAGGACCATTAGTAAAAGAAGTGACATTGGCTTCTGAACAAACCCAAATCTCACCGAATTCGCCCTCTTTACAGACTTTGCATGTCTCAGGATTGACGATTGCAATCTCTGTACAGACGGGCACCATACCTGAGTCTTGGATTCTGAGAGCGTTGGGGAATTCAAGCTGGTTCACGATAGATACGTAACCTTGCCTCAAAGCGACAGGATCTAGATAAAGATCAACTGGAGCAACAGTCATGTAACATCTCGTTGAAATGATTGGATTGAAGCAGTGTGTGTAGACAGCCGAGGCAGCAGCAGCACTAAGCTTTGTGGGTTGGAATATCCTGGCGATTTTCTTAAGCAAATCAATCTCCACTCTGTTTTCCGTACTTATCATCATGTTCTTCAAAAATGACAAGTTGAATCCCTTTGGTGTGAATTTGGAAACAGCATACTTGAGCATCTGTTCAGTGACAAAGACATCCTTAACCTTGTACTTGGAAAGAGACAAGAAGAATGCGAGCGGGTTCTCAGCGAAATTGACTGGCGAGCTGAGATAGGTAGTTGTACCTAAGAAAACACCCAAGAGGCAGGCCTGGACGAAACCGATACCACCGGAATGACGAACACATCCGACAATAGATGACTTTGAAGTTAAGTTGCAGGTTTCTTTGAACACTTTACAGATGCTGACAATGTTCTTATGACTCAAACATGCACCGACTCTGTAATGGTCGGAAGTGAAATGTAACCAGACAAGACTAGTAGTTGATTCGTCACGGAACCTAGAGTCGGACTGGTATTTGGCAATCTTAGAATTCAAAGATGCAGTGTTGGAGACCTTGGTAATCTTAGATGTACTCTTAATCTTCAATGCCTTCTGTCTTCTATGGTTCATTTTCTTGATAGCGTCAGCAACGGGCCCATTCTTCATATACTTTTCCACATCCTCATTAACAAACACCTCTTGAATATCAAAATCCTTGACGACACCCACGAACGCAGGGAAGTCTTCACCAATTCTGTTTGAGTCAAATGGAAGCATAGAAACAGGAATAATGCCAAGCATGAAACAAGCATAGACCGCAACGATAAAGTCTTCGGACAACGAGTACATCAATATAACATGTTCACCACTTTTGAGGGTTGTCTTGGTCATGATATGATTGCAAAGTGCATAAACTCGAAGCTCAAATTTCTTCCATGTCAAAGGCTTCAGACTGCTCTTTCCACTTGGATCGATGTTCTGGAAAGCAATACTATCACCAGAGTGAGCGACACGAAATTTCAAGATATCAACAATGGATTTGAAATCTGTGAGCGGAGCACCAGTCCTATCATCGACAGACTTTTGCCTGTAGTCAATATTAGAGAGCTGTGGCATGAACTTAGACAACGAAGCACTCCTAAGCTCAGAGGCGTAAGGAGACCAAATACCGCCAAGTACGTCCTCACCGTGTGGAACCATACTGATAGATTGTCTGACAAAAAATTTAACGAACTCAGCTCTCAAAGTGCCTTCGAAGAAACGCTTCTTACACAACATGTTAGCAATTTCCAAACCACCACTTCTCATGATCTTAGGAAGGGTATCACAATCGACCACAACGACACAGAAAAGCCGAAGAAAGTGATGCTTATTAAGGGTATCAAAACACTTCTGGGCGATGGCGTTTAAAACAGGCTCGTTAAGTGGAGCTGCTGTGTAGTCGATCTTATCTCTGTTTTTCGTGCCAGAGGTGGAAGAAGCATCAGAATCGTCAATGACCCGTCGTATCACTTCAGCCTCGACAATAGCGACTGGCAAGTACTCGTTTCCAATGAACACATCGAAGATTGTACAATCGTACACTTCTCTGACCTCACTGGCCAAGGTCGCTAATAAATGTGAAACGTAATGATAGCGTGTTCCATTTTCAATGGAAAGGTTACGTTTGAGCCTCTTATGCATTTTTTGGTCAATCCAGCTGACTCTTTGTCTGATTCTGTCTTCATAAAGTCCCAAAACATAAACCTTGCCGTTATGAGTGAAACCTAAAAGACCAGTCCTAAGAAACTCGGGCTCCATAATGCCATTGGCGTTTCTGCATTTAGCATGAAAAATTTGTCTGGATTCCTTTTTAAGGCCATAAAATCCACCAGATAAACAAGGACTATCAACCCAAATTTCACCCAATTCACCTTTTTGAACAACAGTAGATGACTCTGGATTGACCACGGCCAAAGTAGCATCTGGCAAGGGGTATCCGAAAGCGTCAATTCTGAGAGAGTCACCTGTACGCTCTTCCATTTCGGAAATATCAGTCTCTATTATCTTGACCTTGTTCCTGGAAAGAGCCTCCTTCTCAATTATCACGGACGAATTCTCGTCAGTAGGTTTAAAGCTTGTTCCCAAGCCTAATTTTTCTCCATTTCCAATCCAATCACGCATGGAAATCACCATTCCACCGTACTCGCTTAGCGTGAGCATAGGAATAATGGCATTTCGTGGTTGCTGACAGCCCAACGGTTTAAGATAACGCTCGGCAAGGACTTCTATAAGCTCACCATCAACAGACAACGCATTAATCAACACCCATTTGATGGTAGAGAAATCCACACGTTGGGTTTTGGAGTAGTAACGAGTGGTATTTGGAGACAGCTGATAGTCATAAGTGACTCTCTTGAGACCTAAAAAGTCAGCAAGCAACAAATTGGCCCTTGTCTTGGATATAATATGTGCATAAAGACCCTGGACTTCCATTACTTTGGGAGGAGCCCAAACAAGCATGTTGCCCGAATAGATGGTGAACATGATACCAACAATGAGACCAATGGAAATACGAAGGTCCACTGTAGCCAAAAACACTCTCTTGTTCTTCCTAGGTGAGCTGAGCGACTGCCTGAGAGAGCCGCCAGAATCCGGTAGACTCAGCAAAGACATATCCAAGCAGTTCATTTGATGCAAAATAGTACTATGACTCAACTCGATACCCCTAAGTTCACCGACAGGCGATCTTGAGAACTCTAGGTAAGCCAAATCATTCTGGGCGCTCAAATGCTCATCCCTCTTGGAGGATTTGCCAAACACATTCTCGATATCTGAGCGTTTAGCCGACCCGAGATCAGTTGTTCTCAAGCGCAGCACCTTAGGAGGCCACAGGATTTTCTGATTCGTAGTTGAAATACGCTCAATCTCCTTCAGAACCGAGTCGGACATGAGCACGAACTGCGTAGATGTCAAGTTGATCACGTCGAACATTTCCTGGAGCGCAATGTCCTGATGAATAGGAATGGCAGACACACGAGCCATAAAGCAGCCAAAAAGAGCCACCACGAACTCACAAACCTCTCCATCTTTATAAAGCAACACCGCAGTATCATTAGGTTTTAATTGGTGCCTATGCTTGAGATCAGCAGCCACTTTCGTAGCCTTCAAGTAGAGTTTCTCCCACAGAATGCTCAGCAGCTCTTTGCCCTTAGCATCAAGAACCTGAAACGCCACCTCTTGTTTCTGTAGCGATGCCCGTTCCTTCAAGATCCTAGCCAAAGAGTATTTGAAGAAACCCTCGCCCTCAGGCCGTTTTCGAGGCATCAACACCTTCTCTAGCAGACTGGCGTCCAAAGGCACAGCCTTCTGTTGCTGCTGGTGAAGCTTATTCACCTGTTTCATGATCTCCTCACGACGGTTAATATACGTCCATTGGTCAATCGTCTTATTGACAAAGAAGTCTTCCTCTAGCTTCTGAAGAAGCATCATCATGTCAAGCGGGAGGTCTCTCAGACCCATAAATTGGGGCCCGCTGGCCACCCTTTCGTGGTCGTCCATTACTAACGTCAACGATAAGCTTAAAGGATAAACCTAAAGAAACAGTGTGCGTGGACGCCTGGGCGTTGTCGTGGAGATGTGTAGTAAGGTATTGATGGTACCTCGTTTTTGCTTCGCGGTTGTATGGCTGCAAAGATGCAAGGTCTAAAAAAAAAAATTGAAAATTACATATATTATTTATGGATGAAACAGAAAAAAAGGTTGGATGAAAAATGACAGTTTTGGCGAAAAAGGAGGAATTGGGAGACCTTTATATATGGTTGGGCTGGGGAATATGGGGCGTGCTTGGAAGCAGAGAATGGTGGAAAACAGCCGGCAAGTGTCTGCGCAGTTGTGCCGATACCGAGGCCCAAAGAAGTGGATGATTCTGGCAAGAATCTTATTTAGAGGAAAGATGTTTCGTCTTCTAGAAATATACCTATTTAAGGTATATTGTGTCATTGGTTTTGGTGGCTGGTCATGGTTGGAAGGTAGAGTTAGGTGGGACCAGTTGAGGCTACTGCGAGGGTTTAAAGGGTAGTATGGGTAGTTTGGATTGGAGAGAAAAGAGGTGGTTTTAGAAGTGGTTGAAAAGGGACGAGGGAGTTGAGTGGATGAAGTGGGGAGCGTTGTGGAGAGTGTTGTTCAAGGAAGATATCAATTCACACTGTGTTTCAAATGATGATGTAACCAATGTGAATCCATGATCTACGAATTGAAAGGACAAATTTCAATTGAGCGTCGTTTATTTTTGGTTGATTGGAAGTTGAGGGTTTTAAAGAATACCTGTTTATATTATTGTATGTTTCGCTGCCGTTGATTTACTGGACTGGCGTCCATTCATGTAGTTGTCACCACCAGTTGTTGATCAAATACCCCCAGAAAGGTTTTTGTAAGCATAATAATGACGAAATAAAGATAGGAATACTGGAATCGAAGAGCACAACCATTGATCAGAAAGGTCCGCTTTCCACCTTCCAGCCGGTAACCATTTCCTAGTCCTAACAACCCATTTCAACACATCATCCACTCCAAACCGCCGTTCTCCCCTACAAACACCTTTCCTAAACATTTATTAATCCAACCGTGGACTTAGCCTGTGCAAATACCACAGCCCAGTCTTTTCCTATACCACAGCGCTGCTGCACTTCACTCGTGGGCAATACCAGGGCCCTTATATATTAGCTCGTCAGGAACAGGGATGCCCTTAAGGCGACATAACTCCAACAATTGCTTATTTTCGTCCTTCAATTGGTCAATGTAATCGGCCGACTTGCTCAAGATGCTGAGCTCTGACCGGTTTTCCTGTTCTGTCAAAGTCGGCGTAAGGTGAACGATGCGATCAAATTCTGCACGGATATTTTCTCGTCTCTTCTGTTCAGAAGCAATGTGGTGGGCCTGAAATAGTTAGTATTTGTTCAATCGAGACTGAGTTACCTTTTTGTGGGGTAGAGTGATTGTAAAGACATACCTTCTTCTGCTCCTCGGTCAAATTTGGCGACTTCTTCTTGTCAATATCACTGGTAGGACTTTCTTGCTTGATAGTGTTTTCCATGGTTAATTAGATATTAGGTGTTTCTGGACGTTCAACACTGACAATGTGGGTTCTTAGGCCAAGGCAGCCATTGTAGAAGTGCGGTGCGCACACGACCAATCGGAGTCAGTAGCCCGCAACCTTGTGGGACCTTTTTCAGCCGTACTTTTCTTGATGAAAAAAAGTATACACAGCGTTGAAGAGTAGAATACACGTTCTGAAGTAGCAAAAAGCAAAAAAGAATCTCCCGGGGGTGAGTCGAACACCCGATCTCAAGATTACAATCACATTACAGTCTCGCGCCTTAGCCAGCTTGGCCACCGAGAGGAATTCTGATGAGAAAAAATGTGGGTAAGATATATCGTGTAGGTAAATATGGCAAAATCTGGTCAAAATGGGCCCAAGAAAACAAAAATAGTTTCAAATGTTGACCCATGCTGCAAACGATGCTCAAAAGGAGTTAGGGAATTTTTGGGGCCGATTTGAAGGAGTTGTGGCCCATTTTAGTTCATTTACCACAGTGAAGTATCGTTGACAGGTCAAAGGTGACAGAGAGGGCAGCAAAATGCCACTTGAGAAGGAACCACTGTCGCAAGAAGGGATTTTGTTCTGATTATGGCTCTCCTAATGTAAACCCAAATGGTGAAGGAAGGTTGTTGATACCCAGTCCAAAGTGGTTCTTATCTACTATAGCCATAGCAGGTATCTTAGCGTCACTTTCGTAGTTACTTACAACTGTGTCTTTAACAAAGAGTGTTCATCTAATGGTAGAGTGGTATTGAACCTTTGGGCACCCGGATGGTAATGTTCGTGATAAAGCTTGATTTTATGCCCGTTTTGGATTACCTTCGTTAGACTGACAGAGCACCATTAGGAGACAATACCAGAGTATATTTTGAAGAAAGCCAGCCTACATTATATTAAAAGCGAGGGCGGCAAGGGCGAGATGTGACCTACTTTTCTTGGGTCCTAAAAGTCATCATGTACTGTAGCCTTGGTTGTTCTGGTGCCAAACATACAAAAGCGAATACTGAAGTCCCATTCAGCTACGTATACATTTCATCAATAAAGCAAATTCATTAAAGCTTTAGATTAGCTAATTTATGCAGAATGACTCTCTATTCCCCCAAGTTCCTTCCTCTTGTCCTCTTGTACATCAGTTCATCTAGAGAACTTCCTGTCACCTCTTTGTCTCTTCACAGTCCAGCTTCGTGACAAGGACGCAAAGCAGCTTGTCGCTTGCAGTAACATTTGGTACCTTCTTTCGGCCGCTTTGAGCTTGAACGGGATAAGCCCAGCTTTGTTAAACTTCTTGGGTGTTCTGCCAGTAGGGCGAATAGGCTGAAAGAGCTCAGCAGTCCCTTTAACATGGGAAAAGGGCCATAATTTCAATTCGGCGCTATGTAACTCATTTTCATACAGCGTTATAGGCCCGATAAACTTATTTGTGGTCAGGATCATGGTAGGTGGTATATGTCTTCAAAAAGGTGTAAAAGTGTAGTGGTACAAAGAAGACAGTGAGAAAGAAACATAGCGAAGTAGGAAATCCAGGCATAAAGAGCGATACGAAAGGCTCAATTTTAACTAATCTTCTTCACACTGTAACAAATTAGGGTCAGTAATACAAGCAGTGGACGCTATGAATGTGAACTTATTCTCTTCACCATCACACAGTTCCCAGTCTTCGACTTCAAACTGTTGAAGTGGTCTTTTCCAAAAAGGAGCAATGGAAAACTTTCTTTGTCTTATATTACTGACGGTTATTTCATCATGTTTCAGGAATAGTTGCATCACTTCACCTGGTGGAACGTCACAGCTGAGCTTCAGCAGGAGAATGTGCCCAGAACTCAACCTTGGATCAATACCGACATCAACTCCTAAAAGAGAGACAGTAACAGAAGGTCCCATGCTGTTCAGAATCTTTCCTTCAATGGCTCTACTGAAAGTGGTAGTAGTGCTTGAATAGCTGTTGTCGACACAACCTTCTATTGGAACCCATGATGTTTCAGTAGTCTCAGTAATCAAGTCTTTGAAACATGTTTGGATAAATCTTCTCTGACCAGGCGATTTCTCAAGAAGGGGAGCATCGTAAGGGAAACTTTCTTGTAAGTTTTTTTGGGACATGAGCTCAGTTAAGAACTCCGAGATGATCACCGAATTATCATCCTTCACTTTGACCGTACCATGGTTGGTAAGCATTTCAATAGTAACATCATTGAAGGTTTCGACTTCTGGTGCTGTCAGAAGCATTTGCATGTACACTTCATAGTACAGGGATGCTGTAACAAAGGCGAAGAAAATGAAGAAGAGGAACATGATGAAGATGGGGAAGCGAGAGGACGTAAAAGCTGGATTTTCATAAACGTATTTAAATATGACTAGGATACACGAGTTGCCTTGGGAATTAGTCTGGCGGCATTCGTCAAATCGGAAACAATACCAAAATAGGGAAGTTACACCCAGCCGAAAAATACTAAACCGCTAGACACGTTACCAATCAATCTTACTCATTGCCGATTTTGGTCAAGAGCTTGCCACGAGGTTTGTCAGTAAACAACTTGTGCCAGGTTACAGGAACGCTTTTTAAGGGTTGTTCTTCGCCAGTCAAGTCCACCACCGAGATAGCTTCATCTGCCTTAAGTGAACCTTCTTTTATGGCCTTAGCCAAGATGGCGATGGCATCCTGGAATTGGTCCTTAAAGTCAATGACAATGAAGCCTTGGACGGTCAACCTGTTTGAAGTGATTTCTCTCCATGTCGTGACCTTAGCAAGAGTGGGATCATTGTAGCCGGCAATTGCTCCGCAGGCAATGACACGTCCAAATCTGGTAACTTTAGTCAATGCCCAACTCAAGGTCTCACCTCCGACGTTATCAAAGTACACGTCCACGGTTTCGAACTCCTTGGCAAGCTCTTCCTTCCACCCTGGATTCTTGTAGTTGACACACTTGTCTGCACCAAGCAGCTCGACCCAGCGAGCCTTTTCGTCGCTACCTGCTATACCGTAGACCTTGCTAGCTCCAAAAAGGTGTTTAGCCAATTGAACAGCAGTAGAACCCGTAGCACCACTAGCAGCCGAAATAAGCACAGATTGGCCCTTTTGAAGCTTTCCAACCTCTTTCAAGCCAAAGTAAGCCGTCAACCCAATGCTTCCCAATGTTGCAAGGTAAGTAGGCAAAGGAAGACCAGCGTTAGGGTCAAGCTTCAACGTCAATGTCAGGTCTGGCACCACCTGTTCGTCAGCCCAGCCAAACAGGCCCAGCACATAGTCACCAGCAGCGTACTTGGCCAGCTTCGACTCCAAGATCTTACCAATTCCACGGGCCTGGATGATCTCCCCCTTCTCAATTGGCTTGAAGTAAGTTCTCAGGGCATCCTGATTGGCAGCTATCCAGCCTCTCTGAGTTGGATCATTGGACAAGTAGAGCACCTTGACACGAACATCGCCATCGTTCAACGTTGGCAAATCGTTCTCGGTAAGTTTAAAGGTCGAGTCACCCTGGCCCCAGGCCAAGTTGACTTCTCCAGTAGGAGGTGTTTCAAGGATAATTTTCGAGGGCATAGCGAATTGAGTAGGAATAGATGAAAAAAGTCTTAATAAACGTCAATTAAAGGTGAAGGATGGGAATAGGATTGTGGCGTTAGAAAGACGGCTGCGGTTACATTGTGCCCCAGAGTTAACTACTGTGCATTATCTAATCAAGGGTAGGCACATCTTATTGGGGGGTGAAGCATTGTTGGGAGAATGAAGGGGCGGAAAAATGTGGAAAGATGAGAAGGTGTGCTTTTGCTGGATTTCATATTTGGAGGTGCTTTGGAGGACGAAATGGTTTGGTTTGTTTGATGTAGTGGTTACTGTAATGGTTGCAAAATGTCCCCTCGCAGCAGCCAATGTGGGGGAGCCGTGGGACAACAGGCCACTTGATTGACGAACATTGAAGAGAAGAAATATGGTTTTCAGTGAATGGTATTGATAACAGTTGACTTTCGAAAAATAGAAAATGTAAAAAAAGCTTTGGGAGAGGTGGATTAATAGTAAGTGGTGTTTGTCACAGTAATGTGTATCTTGTACAATGAAAGGAACGCAACTCTCTGCTTTTTATCCCTTCAAGTTACAAAAACAACACTTACATTCTAGGCAAAAGCTATGTATCCGAGAAATCCAGAACACTGCCTTTTATAGTGTTCTCCTTGCTTGAGTTATGTTCTTTGGAGACATACAGTGTGCTAAACTCTGGAAACTGGCTCATCCTAAGAAAGTGGAAAGCTTATATCCATCTTTGGAGCAGCTGGAAGTCCATTATAGATCTCCCATTTTAGGTGAATTCTAGAAAAGACAGTGTTGTTGCATTGAAGCTTGGGACTAGTTAATGGTTGCAAAATACGGTACCCAGTGCGCTCCAAGACATATGCATCCAATAGAGCTATACCGATAGAAATACCTAAAAAGGTCAATGTATGGACTTAATTAAGTCAAAAGAAACCATAAACTACCCTTTTCTTACCAAATCCATCAAAACTGGACCCAAAACTGGTGAATATTCCCAGCCAACTCCACTGTCACTATGGGGTGTACAGGTGTGCAGCTCAGGGTCGCTCCACCATCAACGAAAAAAACTACTTCACTAGAAATCTCCAGTAAGCGTCAGCCATGGTGTTCAGGTTCCCCGTTAAGTTTGAGCTTCCAAAGCACGTGTACCTTAATGGCCGTGTCATCAAAGATGCCTTTAAAAGAACCCAGGTCGCCGAACACGAGGTGACTAGAAACGCCCTCAGATACATCGCCAGAAACACCACTCTTCCGGCAAAAGCCCGTTTGGAGGCCCAATTACAACTTGCTTCCATGCCAAAGTATACTTCCCCTGCTCAAATCACGAAACGTTGTATTGCATCGGGAAACTCGAGATCTGTCATTACTGACTTTAAGTTGAACAGAACTGAGTTCAGAAACAGAGCCAGAAGAGGCCAGATCCCAGGTGTTGCCGTGGGTTCTTGGTAAGGGACTAATATCATGTACATAGGAATATTATAAGGATTAGAAGGATGGATGTAGAGCTTGATAGGTGTGTTTAGATGCGGTTGATGAATATTGATTAGTTGATAGGTTAGATGGGATGAAGGAAGTAGCAGGAGCAACACATGAAATTTTCTGGGAGATATTTTAGAAATGTAAGAAAAGGTAAAGACAGTCTTGGTTGCCAGCTAGATGTTTGGAGATGTTTTCTAGGTGCTACTTCAATGACTCGAAGTATCAACTCTGTTGAACATACAGTGGTGGATATTCAGCTCTGTGACATATGTACTAGAAAAAATAATAATATTTGAAGCTTTACTGGCAATACCAGCTCTATTTCGATACCTTTTGGGGCAGATCAAGTGATTGTATTAAGATCTACGAGACTCAGACAAACCACTACAAAAGAGGCCACTACATGAACAATAAGAAAATACACTAATGGCCCATAACAACAGCAGCATACCAAAAAGAAAGTTTTCTAATTCTCTCCTTTTCGGTTACCGGTACGTCCCCAGTCCCTTAACTGTGAAGCACATCAACAAACACCCAGAACGAGCCACCATCCAGCCATTCCACCGTCAACAGCTCCCCACAATCCACGAAGAGCTCCCCACAATCTACGAAGAACTCCCCACAATTCATTTGCAACCACCTTGCTTCCTATCTTAGCTACCCTTAATCCCTCTTCATCGTCCTCTGACCCTCGGCTCGATGTAACATTTCTACTCCAAGTGCAACATTGGTGAGCCCAGCTTATGGCACAATGGGCACCAAAGTAACAATACGATGCCAATACGCCACAATAAACAGCGAGCTCGAGGGATTTTCGAGGCCAGGAGATAAGAAAACAAAGGTTAGACTACTTGGGTTAGGGTTGAGGTTGTATTTTGCAACCCTGATAGAACCACCAGAGACAGACAGTAGTAGAGCCGCCAGAGACAGCATAAGCACACAAACACGCCCAAATACTTGGGCCACTGAGTAACGGTCTTTCCAAACACGCCCAGCCAAGGCGATTCACCGTGGCGCAATAGATAAACGCTTCCGGTCCGTGGCCCAGTGGTAGTCTTGGCTACTGGGTAGGCCAGTAGCCTGGCCAGCCAGCTAGGCTACCAACGAACTCATCACCAACTTGACCACCACCATTCCGGATTTGCATTTCCACTCCCCTAGATGTCCACTCCCTACATTCCCCCTCCTGTCATTGTACGCTGGGGTCCTCCCTTACTACATCCCTCACTTCGTCTACGGAGTATGGGGAACACCGAAGATGGCCGAAGGTGGAGCAAAAAGACGTTGCCCGCAGCGACCGCCCCACCTTGATCTTGGGCCTACGTAATCTCGCCTTTGACTCTGACCAGGAACAGACAACAGAAAACAGAGGACAGAGTAGAGAGTAGAGTAGAGGGCGCCACAGGGCAGATCAAACACAAAGCAGTAGTGAGCGATAAGAATCTATGGATCGTCATAATCTGACACAAAACGAGAACCAGTAGAAAGCGATGGAAAGGCAGTTTTTGCCTTGCTTTTTTCACTCGGCCCAACACGCCAAGCAGCCGGTGGGGCAGCCTCTGCCAGTGTGGAGAGTGGCACGGCAAACGACGAAAAAAATAGGGCGAAAAAACGTAAATGAGGGCCAAAAAAGTCCCCCAAGCAGCTGGGGCGCGCAGGCGCGCAGTGACCGCAAGAAAGCGAAGAAACAGACAGGAAATTGCTTTGGCGGTCACGACGAGCGAAAAAGAAAGAACACCAGTGGGTGCTGTTTTGGAGGGAAACTACTAAGAGAAAGTTAGAAACGTGGAGGGAAAGAGGGAAGGGGGAAGAAAGGTGGGGATGTCTGGGTTTTTATAGCGGCTTTGGCATTTGCCAAAGCCTTAGTTCTGGATGCCTCAGTTTCTGATTAATTACTGTGGGTGCAAAATGCCGCGAGGTGATTTTTCGTGGGCCCACCAGTGGCTGGAGCCAACCAGAGCCAACCAGAAGGGCCAACATAAAAGTGGAGAGAACATTAAAGGAACGTTTAGATAAAAGGATGCGTAAAATGTAACCATGTAACATTCCTTCACTGGTTCTTCTCTGCCGGGACGATTATCGGGAGGCTTCCTTGAAGCTTATCGGTGGATCGTGCTCATAGATTAAAAGCTAATTGCAGCCGTTATCTCGCTATCTGCGCCATGTGGCCGCCAGAAGACCAGACCAGGCTTCCATGTCCACTGTGGCCACAGAGACAAATTTCTTCCCTCTATCTACGTTTGCAAAACGCCTTTTACTTCCACCAGTAATGTTATTGTTTTTATCAATTTTTTTTTCTGGTTTTTTTCATTCTACGCTTTTTCTTGTGTCTCTGTTTATTCTAACTTCCCCCAGCCTCCCCTATTCCTGGCTCCCCTCCACCCATTATTTGGACTTTTTCCGCGCTATGAGTGGCTCCATCGCTAATACTTTTTTTTTTTTTTTTTTCCCACTGTGCGCTCGGCCCCAGTCCTGCCCCATCACCGGCCCATATAACCTCCGGTGCCCCAACGTTCCCCCAACCTTATCTTTATTTTCCACCAACTCCAATACCTATCTTTGTGTTTTTTTTTTTAAAAAAAGCCTTAAGGCTCTATTCTTCGTATTTTGCTCAGTCCCCCACAAAGCCTAAGCCTTGACGCTGGCTGATTCTAGTATATTAATTCTGCTTATCCTACTGCTGCTACTGCTATCACTCCCCCAGCAATGCTCGTCCACAGAAAACAGCTGGGCCCGAAACTCGATAAGCCCAACCGATTTAATCTAGGTGGACTTATCAAGAGAAAGATCTCATGGCGCCGCTCTATAGACGGGTCTATGGGTGACTCCATTGACGACAAACCGCTGCTGCTTCCACTGGCTGCTGCTCAGGCCAATCACCAGTATACTGTGGATTGCCACCAACTGGCCTCCCAGGCTCCCCACTACCTGCTTACCGCTGCTGATGCTCATTACACTCACCTTTCGCCGCCTCAGGATTCGTACTGTTCGGCTGCTGCCGAGTGTATTTCGCTTCAGAATAGCGAAATGACCGCTCACGATAATGACGAAATTGACCCTCTTTGCTGCTGTGAAGACTTTAACTACGTGGCTGCCTCGCCATACGATGACCTGCCTTCGTTCGATACGAAAAACGAAGAGAATATCGCCGAATACAAGACTGGCGGCTACTGTCCTGTCAAGATCGGCGACCAGTTCTGTTCTGATCTGTGCCGTTACAAGGTGCTTAGAAAACTTGGATGGGGCCACTTTTCGACCGTTTGGTTGGCTCTTACGCTGACTGGTTCGTTTGTGGCTTTGAAAGTGGTCAAATCCGGCAAAAACTACTCGGATGCTGCTTTCGACGAAATCAAAATCCTTAAAGATATCCAAAGCTCTAAGGGCTCTTGTGGTCCTTGTAAGGACAAGGTTGTGTCTTTGCTTGACTCGTTTGATATCAATACCCCACTGGGCTCTCACGTAGCAATGGTGTTTGAGCTCATGGGTGAAAACATGTTACATTTGATTTATAAGCAGAAGGCAGAACGCTACTCCATGAAGGTTCTTCAGCAGCCTTTACCACCTCCAGTTGTATCTATGGATATGGCTAAATCGATCATCTTGCAACTTCTACACTCGGTCGACCACATGCACCGCAAGGGAGTTATCCACACTGATATCAAGCCTGAAAATGTGCTCATGACATACGAGGGTTCTATTCCAGACTCGGTTCGTGCTGCTAAGCCCACTCCTACTTTCAGAATTCTTCCTTCGAGACCGTTGGGTATGACGCTAGATGAAATCTGCTCATGCCCAATGCGTGTCAAGGTTGCTGATTTGGGAAATGCAACATACGCTCACGACCACGTTTCTGACCACATTCAAACTCGTCAATACCGTGCTCCTGAAGTCTTGCTAAAGTACAAGAGCTGGGGCGCTTCAGCAGACGTATGGCTGATTGGCTGTTTGATTTTTGAGCTCATAACAGGCGACTTCCTTTTCGACCCACACGACGGTGCCACATTTACCAAAGACGAAGACCACATGGCTCAGATCATTGAGTTACTTGGTGAATTCCCTTCGGCGAAATACTTGAGCGAATGCCTGAAAGCATCTGAGATCTTCGACACTCCAAAGTCTTTACGCAACATCCGCACGCTAAAGTTCTGGAGTCTTGAAGACGTCTTGGCTGAAAAGTACAAGTTCTCCCGTAACGATGTGAATGTCTTGTTGATGTGTGATTTGATCCGTAAGTGCTTGAAGTATAACTTGAATGAGCGTTACGACTGTGCGTCGCTTACGAACCATCCATGGTTCTCTGCTAACCCACAATATGACCCGGCAGCCCTTGAGGCCTTGCCAAACAAAAATAATGAGATTCTGGGCTTCACTCGTGAAGAGTGAGCCCATATGGTTGTGCAATAATAGTGCACTGATTAACGTGGCTGCGTTTGGTAGCCTAACTTTTACTTCTCTCTGGTGTTGTGTTTTATACAAATTTGGGATTTATAAACGGATATATTTACTTACAACTAATGTATTGTAATTTAACAGACAAACTTATGCTTGCAAAGCTGCTCGTATTCAATTGTATCGTCCGGAAGGTCAAGATCAGAATCGTAAGGTGGATCGATCTCAGGGTCTCGTTCTGGCTTTGCCGGCGGTACTCCAGACTCTGATTTCTTCGATGCAAGTTCGATGTTTACGATATCCAGTTTTGGCGAGTCCGATTTGCGGGACTCTTCCATTGGTGGTTTCTGTAGTTCGGGTGCATCGCCAGAATCTCCATTCTCTCCTTCCTGGTTCTCTGGCGTTCCTTCCTCCTTCTTCTCTGTATCCTCGTTCTCCTCTTCCCTCCGGCTTTCTTCCTTCTTTCCCTTTCCCAACCGCTTATCGTCCAATGTCTCATGAGCAGACCGCATCTTGAACCCCAGATCCTCCTCATCTTCACCATCCTCGTCATAATCAAGCTTCACAGCCTTCCGTTTCTTCTTCTTAGGCTCGACGGCCTCGGGCTCCGTGGATGCCTCTAGATCATCAAAGTACTTCTCTATAACTCTGGTTTCCTCAATCACCACCGGATGCATCGGCGTTTCGCCGTCTTCCTTCAACTCGTTTTGTGATAGTTTAATCACATTATATATCGAGTCGCCAATGACTCTCCCGATCATCACAAAATGCTCATTGAGCTCGGGGGCTTCCTTAGAAGTGATGAAAAACCCATCCACTGAAGCACTCTTGGTATCTTCAGAGTTCACCAACCCCACACATCCCTTCATGCTAAACTTGAGTCTCAGATGGTACCTCTTCTTGTACTTGGTTCCCTGGCCCGTGCCGTCTGTTTGCACTAGGTACGGAAGCACCTTGTTGAAAGCAATGCCCTTATACTTGTTATCTAGACAGTTCTGTAGAAAAGGTTTCGAGAAGGTTGCCGTTTCTTTGGCAAACACTTCCATGTGGATTTCTCCCCTGGTGGTTTGTATCACCAACTTGGCCGTAGGCTCCAACGACATTGTCTCTGGGGAAATGGAAGGAAGTAGTTGGTGGTTTGTGGTGGATGGTTTGAAGCTTTATGGTAGGATCATTTCGCAGCAATTATTTCTATGGGGATTGCTGGACCTGGTGGGAGGCATGGAGGGGGAATATTGGGAAAAGTGATATTTTTCGGGGAGCCATCTACGGATGACTTAAGTAAATAAAAGGACATTTTTCATAATTTTCTATATAAAAGGTGTTTTATATCATCAATGGATTGGACTCTGGTTAAATACTAGTATGCTGCGGTGTGCATGCAAAGTCCCACCTAAGACACCAAGGGATAGAGAATTTTTCAATATTAAAGGTTTAAATGGATTGCTAGTGTCAACTTCTATCATTCCATATCCCCCAAACCTTCATTTTCTGACTGTTTGGTGGAATTAATTGGGACCAGTATAAGGCTTAACATTCACACCCGTGCACCACGGTATCAACCAAAATACCAAGTTTTCAGAAACCACAACCTCAAACCAAGTGAACGACCGCCAGCTTCGCCTACCATGGGATCGTTGAAACTGTTCATTAAGGCCGTCCGTAAGGCTAAGACCATCGCAGACGAGCGAACCGTCGTGCGCAAGGAGTCGGCCAGTATAAGAACTTCCTTCAGAGACCCAAACTTGGACCAAACCACTAGACGCATAAACATCTCCAAGTTACTTTACCTTTATATTTTGGGCGAAAAGACCCATTTCGGTCAAGTGGAATGTCTCAAGTTGTTGGCTTCACCGCGTTTCGCCGATAAGAGACTGGGCTACTTGGCAGTAATGCTACTTTTGGACGAGAATCAGGAAGTGTTGACACTTTTGACCAACTCATTGGATAACGATATGCAACACCCCAATACATTTATAGTTGGGTTGGCTCTTACGTGTCTTGGAAACGTGGCATCGCCAGAATTGGCTCGTGATTTGTATAATGACGTGGAGAAAATCATCAAAACCACCAACTCAGGCTACTTGAAGAAGAAAGCCAGCATAGTCGCTGCCAAATTGATCAACAAGGAACCTGATTTGGGTGAAGTTTTCTTGCCTTTGGTCCAACACATGCTGAACGATAAACTGCCCCAGCTTTTGCTCGGTGTGTGCCGCATGATTCAAGAAATGTACGAGCACTGCCCTGAACAAAGGGAAGCTGTCATCAAGTTGGTGCCTCGTTTGATTGCACACTTAAAGAGAATTATCACCTCGGGGTACATGCCTGACTTCGATGTTGCTGGTGTTACTGATCCTTTCTTGCAAGTTACCTTGCTTCATACCTTGCGTATCTTGTCTATTGACGAGTCTTGTCCTGCTGGATACTTGGAGCAGATGAACGATATTTTGACTCAGGTTGCGCTGAATTTAGACAGTGTCAAGAACGCTGCACACGCCATCTTGTATGAGTGTATCAAGACCATTTTCGCCATCAAGTCAGATCAGTCTCTCCGTGTCCTCGGTATCAACTTGCTTGGTAAGTTCTTGCTGACAAAAGATAACAATATCCGCTATGTGGCTCTCGAGATGCTTCTCACCGTAATAGACTACGAGCCCTTGGCTGTTCAAAGACACCGTTCTACAATCGTCAGCTGTCTCCTGGATGGAGATATCTCCATTCGCCGCAGAGCCTTGGAACTTGCATTTGCCATTCTCAATGAACAGAACATCCGTGTCTTGATCCGTGAAATCTTAACTTTCTTGGAACAATGCCCAGATAATGAATTGAAGCCTTATATTACCTCGCAGATCACCATCGCATCGTCTAAATTCTCGCCTAACGAGAAGTGGCACTTCGACACGTTAATCCGTATGCTCAAGGTCTCGGGCAATTACATCACTTCAGACATTATCTCGAATATCTTAGCGCTCATGATGAGATGCAGCTCGGCAGACTTGAGAAAACACCTTGTTTCTCGTCTTTTCCTGGCAAGCGTTGAAGATCCACTGCAATACGCCTTGGGCGTCGTCACAGTATGGTGCTTGGGAGAGTATGCCGACTCGATCCTTGGAACTGAAGTTGAGATCAATGGAAAGCAAACGGTGGCATCAGAGCTGGCCATATTAAAGCTCCTTGACGGCTACATCAACAACTCGAACTTTAGCGATAGTGAAACGACGCAGCTCGTGACATATATCCTAACTGCTGTCATCAAGCTCTCGGTTAAGTTCCAAGATTCAGCTTCCCTTGAACAGTTGCGTCTTATCCTCAACTCACGCAGTTACGACACAAACCTTGAGATCCAAACTCGTGCCATTGAATACCAACAGATTTTTGGTGAAAACCAAAAATTGAAGCAGGGACTTTTGGCCCACATGCCTGCTCCTCCTATTAAGGACAGACAGTCATTGAGTTTACATGGTGGAAACATCCAAACGAAGGTTCCCAAACCCTTTCTCTGGGCTCGTCTTCTGAGAAGACAGAGGATTTACTAGACTTGTTAGATGATGTACCAGCAACGTCCAATGAGACTTCTGCGGAGCAGGCTACCGATAATGACCTCTTGCTGGATATCTTTGGTCTGACTCCAGCGGCCCCCTCGGCTCCAAAATCTACGGCCTCGAACGGTCTCCTTGATTTATACGATTCACCACAATCACGCGCTCCACAAGCTAATTCTGCTGCATCTTCTGCTCCAGCACCTTCTGCTACCGAGGTTGAAGCATTTGCTGACGGCCATTTGAAGATTGCATTTGATAATCCATCGTTCCAGGATGGTCAAGCTAGCATTGATGCCAACATCACTTCTACAAGCCCAAGCAAAGTGGATCAGGTTCAATTGCTCTTTGCTGTGCCTAAGACGCAAAAATTGAACATTACAACTACTGCTGGCAGCGATTCTCTTGTCACAAGCAATATCATCCGCCAGTCGTTGAAAATTACCGGTAAAGCCGGATCGAAGGTGAAGTTGAGAGTCAAGGTGAAGTACAGACTCGACGGACAAACTAGAGACGACCAGTTTGACTTTGCCGGATTTGAGGGGACTTTGTAGATACAAAAAGATAAAAAATAAATGAGTACGGAGCATATATTGTATGAAGTGAGCCTCAGTTCAACCTCCATATATATAAAGGCCATCAGGCTTACAAGTTAACGGAAGTGGACACACCCTCAGCAGCGTCGTTGACAGAGGATCTGAGAGCACCGTTGCTAACCACGTACTTTCTGGAGATAGGCTGGATGACGGAGGTGTAGATAAGCTTAGCACCACCGAAAGCTGGGACACCAATGTAAAGCAAGAAGATGGTCTTGAGGAAGAAGTAGAATGGAACCCAGTACAAGATAGCTCTGGACCAGAACTCAATGACATTGAAGAAGGCAAAGACAACCCAGTAGGTCAACAACTCAGTGTCGTCATCCTTACCTCTGGTCTCCAAGGCAATCAAGGAAAAGTAACCTGGAACAACAAAACCAGCAACGTTAGACAACAATTGGCCAACACCACCAACGTTCAAGAAGATGATGATAAAGTAGACCACACCGAAACCCAAGACAGCGTAAGATCTTGGCAAGCCGGTTTGCTGCTCAAACACTTGCAAGGGGTGGATACCTGCGGTAGCCTGGGAGTTAGAAAAGTCGATGAAGAAAAGCAATTAAATCACATACCTTGTCGATTTTGGCCAAAACGCCTTTAACTTGATCTGGAGCGGACATTATAAAGAAAAGTAGTAGTTGTATAAGGAAATCAGCAATGGTTGAAGTGGGAAATGTTGCCGAGGGCTGTGCAGGCCGGTTTGGTCACGTGACAAATTTCGTTTTATTTACGTTTCACCTCTTTTTCGTCGCCACAGGGATGGAAAGAATTATCAATGGGTACATTGAGTTGGGGAGATATTAGTGACCGTTTTCAGCCCCTCTAGGGCCTCCATCAACCCTACAAGTCCACCTTTGGTGGACGTCAAGTGGGTGTTCTTAAACGGAGGGGAGCCATTCTGCAGGACACCACTTGACGACAGGGCCTCACTGAATGTATGGAAGAGTGGCTCTGGCAGGAATCAGGGGTACACTGTGGGAGGCAGGGTGAAAATTCAAGAATGTGGGATAAAGAGGGTTTCTGGAGAGTTTAGATGGTGTAGAGGTTTTAGGTTAACTTTGTATTATTGGTGAAATTCTTCAGCGGCCACAGCGCTGGCTGGTGTTTTTTTTTCATATGTGGCTTGGCCAGATACGCCGCTGGGCATACGCAAACGGGTAATTTTGCAGCCATTAGGAATGAGCCTTAGACCAAATGGGCGAGTGCCAGTGGGGGACAGATTGGGGTTGAAAAAAAAAAAAAGAAGTCGAAGAGTTCTGGGATTGGAGATTGGGTTACAGAGGGTATTTTTCTTTATTTTGTTATGGTGGCTTGGGGAACTTGGCTGGAGTGGGTGTCTATTGAGGCTGTTCAGAAGGCCCAGTAGTGAATGGGGAGGGTAGCTATTTTCTGGGTATGGCTAAACACTATAAAAGATTATCAAGAACCATCCTTGCTGAATAGTTTGATAAGAAAGTCATTGCCTTGATTTATGGCTTCTAAAAACCATACAACCATCTCTCTGTCTTCATCAGCTACATCCCATTTTCGCTTTTTGTCTATTGAAACTCCGTATTTACACCATGTCATACCAACCATTAGAACTATGCGGGGCCTGAGGTCCGTTTACTTTTTGCCCTTGGACTTAGCACTTCCCTCGAAACCAGGGCGCTTCTTACCATCCTTGGGCTTACCTCCCTTCTTCAAAACACCAGAAAACTTCTTTAAACGAGGCTGGTTCTTGCCCTTCTTGCCCTTGTTGTCCTTACGGGCCTTCAAGTTGGCTTCTCTCTTCTTGGCTCTGGCGGCAATGGTATCCTTGACATTCTGCTTTCTCTCCTTCCATTCAGTCTCGGAACGGAGCTTCTGCTTCTCTTTTCTCTTTAATGCTTTTCTTAAGAGCTTCTCGTCGTCCTTCACCTTCACACCTTCAGCTTGTGACATTAGATTCTTCCACTGGTCGCTTTCTTTCAACGAGGCCTGCTCTTCTGGGGTCATCAGGGCCAACTTGCGCTTCTTGTTCTCAAGTTTCACCAAATGTGCCTTGATATCGTTGTTGGCCGGACCCTTCTTCTTCTTCTGGGCAATACCGTTTCTGAGCTTCGACAAGTCTGACGTCACACGCGATCCGTCCTCGAAGACAATGTTACCGAAAAGCATATCATCGTTCTCATCGTCAGACTTATCTTCTCCTTCAGATTTATCCTCGTCGCCATTACCGCCTTCCACAAACTCCGCCTCATCCTCTTCTCTCTTTCTTTTGAGCTTCTCCTGTCTCTTTAACTCTTGCTTGTTCTTCCTCTCTGCTAGTATCTGTTCTCTGCTCTTGAGAGGGGCAGCACCTTTCGTACCAGGAGCTCTTCTCTTTTCTCTTAACGTCTGGATCTTGCTTGCGAGCTTTTCCTTTAATTCAAGCCTGCGCTTTTCTTTTTGTTGCTTCTCCTCTTCGCTAAGCTGCTTCTTTTGTGGTTTCAGTTTTTGCTGTAGTTTCTGAGACTTTAGTTTCTCCTCCTGTTTGGCATCATTCTCATCACCCTCATCGTCAAATACGAGCTCTGTGGTTCCATTAAGAGGCTCCTCATCACTGTGATCAGAAGGAGGTGCCACTGGCTTCGGGAGGTTCACCTTCTTTGCGTTCTTTGCATTATTGTCCATCACGTCTTTGGCACTGGCTCCTCCGTTGTTGTAAGAGTCAGCCAGGGAAGCGTTCTCGGGGTCCAACTTGGCCCTCTTATCTTCTGCTGCTTCCTTTTTGCTTTTCTTCTTCTGCTGCCACTGATCTTGAGTGGCATCATCGTAGTAGTATTTAGCGGGTATCAAGGATAACAACCCGTCGAAAGCCGTGGAGTGGGTTTTCAAACGTTCCTGCAAGGTTAGTGACTGAATGTTATAGTTTCAATATAAAGTTACATACCTCTAGAGAGTTGGTCATTATGGTAGGGTTTAATGGTACAGATGTAGATAGTATGAAAAACTTGTAAGGCATCGCAGAGGATTCTAGCGATGCAGGACCCAGGGCTGGTAGTAGGAACGATGGCAGTGATAAATGGAGATTTCAGGATGTTTTCGAGAAAAAAGGTAGGTGAATAGATTCTGGGTGTTTCTAATGTATCTTGAGTTCTTTCTTTTTGGGTTTTTTGATGTTGGTTGCATGTCAATAAGTACTACTGTGGTACCACAAATGGTTGCGAAAAGCATTACATCTGGATGAAGAAGAAGGTTTCATTCCAGTAAAGATAGTCTTTAAATAATGTTTCCCTACTTTTAGTTTATCTACTTAATCCCTATTGTATTGTCTTTTTTGAGTTCTAACGACCCATTTGTGGATTAGCTTATGGTGGTTGGCAGTCCACAATGCAGATACCAGCTCCAATAGGTCCCCAGCTATAAGTCTCTACCAATGCCTAGAATAAGCAAGAAAAAGTAAAGAACAAAATACACTGCTTATTTTAGGCCTCTAGAGATTTCAAGAGGTTCTTATAAGGGTTTTCTGATTTTTGGGGACTAGTTTATGTTTCCAGTATCTGCCTTTCCTTACCAATTCGCAGCAATATACTAAACTATACGTGAAGGTTCTGAATACCAAATGATTTCGAAACACAAGTTTTCAAGTATACTTCAAAATTTCGATGGAACAAAATGTAATTCAACAAAAAAAAAAATCTTAACCCCCTCTTTAGAATCCTCCTTCGTCCAAATCACCACCCCACGCTCTTCAGTTAATTACCAGTAATGGTTGCGAAATCGGATTCCCACCGCTCCATCCACCACACATCAACCAACCATCCGAACAAGAACAGACAGAACAAATAACTCAAAACTTCACATTTTACACTCCAATGAAAAAGAATCCCTCTTCCAACGACTTCTCCCACTTCGTTCCACTCTGTTACTGGGCCTCTGGGCCTGATAGCATGTGCACCCGTGCACCAAGGCTCCGATTATCAAGAACACCTCCACCATTACCAACGCAACTCCCTTCTTCGACCCACAATGGACTCGACTCCTCATTATCTACTTGTGTCGTTGCCACAGTCGGCAAATTCACGTACCACATTGAATCTGCAGCCTGGTGGCGGCTCTCAGGTGCTTTCTGAATTCAAGTTACCTGACTTTCAGATTAGGACGTTGGACCTGTTGGTGCAGATCTCTGAAGAATTGGCAAAGATTGACAGCACTTTGGGCGCATCTGTGGCGAAGGTGGTTGATGTTATTGCCAACGTGGAGCCAAACAGACTGTTTGCCGAGACCAGACAGGTGAACAAGAGACCAGCTACCAACTATGTCGAGAACTTCTCCTGGAATACGTCAAAGTACAGATTGGATAAGCCTATCAAGGAGCTTGTGGATCTTATTTCCCAGGAAGCTTTGCTGTTGGATAATGATGTCAGACTGTCGTATCAACAGTATCAAACTGCCAAGTCTAATTTTGCTGCTGCTGACAGAAAACGTAATGGTGACTTATCCATTCGTTCGTTACACGATATTGTGAAGCCTGAGCAATTTGTTTTAGACTCAGAATATTTGACCACTGTCGTCATTGCCGTTCCAAAAGCTTCTGTCGGTGATTTCAAGAAGACTTACGAGAAATTGACCGACTTTGTCATTCCAAGAAGCGCCCAGAACATTGCTCAAGACTCTGAATACACCTTGTTCACTGTAACATTATTCAAAAAGTACCAGAATGAGTTTATTACCGCTGCTAGAGAACAGAAATGGCACCCAAGAACCGATTTCGTCTACTCTGAGGAGAACTTGAACGAGTTGAGAAAAGAGTTTGACTTGACCAGAGCCACCGAAGCAAAGACCAAGAATGATGTGATTAGATTGGCCAAGACGGCGTACTCGGAGATTTTCTCCTCGTGGTTCCACATCAAAGCCATCCGCATATACGTTGAAAGTGTGTTGAGGTACGGGTTGCCTCCTCAGTTCGACTCTTTTTCCATCAGGTTCGTGAGCGGCAGCCCAGAGCAACAGTTGCAGAAGGCCAAGAAGGAGTTGATCAACAAGTTTGGCTACTTGGGAGGCGACGGCTTCTCTGAATCGAACAATTTGCATGAGTATGCTTCATTGGTGGACTCTGAATACGAGCCATTTGTCTTGTATTCGGTCGAGATTGTATAGTGCTAGAATAAAGGGATAATGAAGAAACAGAGTAGACTAAGAATATAAAAATTAAGGTACTTTTGGTTTAGAAAAGTGTGAATCCAAAAAACAAAGCTCGCACTCAGGTTCGAACTAAGGACCAACAGATTTGCAATCTGCTGCGCTACCACTGCGCCATACGAGCAATGTGAGTAAAATTGGGTTAAGAATGTATATGTAAAGTGGTTGGACGTATATACAGGAGTGCATAACTGACTATATACAGGAAAAAGTGAAAACAGGTTTTACGCCAACGACTGAATTTTGAGCTACCCTGACCACCAAAAATCGTATTAATAAAGAGGGGATCGGTGTATTGTAACTAGTTAGTGTTGAATCAGCTTGGTGCAATTTGAAGTGTAAATTCAGCAGAAACAGTCGAATACATAGATAGCATAGTTTATATGGCTGCAAAAAGCCACTAGGAAGCTTGAAAAGATGATGGGCATTTGTCTTCCTGTTAAGAATTTCCCAGCACCATGACAGACCATCTTTTGTAGTCATTGAAATTTGAAAAATGTAAAAATAATGGTGCTCAGGTGACCACCACGGAGTTTAGCACTCTCTTGACTTCGATACGTCTTGACTTCGAGAGGTTCAGCAATGCCCAGCTTCTTACAACGAGAAGCAATTGGTATCTCTCAAGAGGAAAATAAAAAAGAAAGCTTTCTTTTGCTAGGGCTTTGTTCTTTACCGTTTACAGCGAAGAAACATAGGTCGCAGTAGGAGTAGCCTCAGATATACATACCTATTCTCAGTGTCAGAACTTCAGCAGTGAAAAGCATGCAGTGGTTGAAAGTCGACAAGACTTATCGGGATATCTCACAATATCGGAAAGACTTCCACAATACACTTCTCTGACACCGCCACGGTAGGAATATCACAGGAAGTAAATCATACGCTTGTTACAGTGCTTCAAATGCTGGAAGAGGCTCCTCCAAACCAGCATCCCCTTTACCCTTGTTCCCCTTTATTTACACCATAGTATAGAAAATCCCATCTAGATCAGGAAACTATTGATCCCAAAAGGTAAAGTGGTACCTTAACTGTCAATTATTCATCCCTCTTGTCTGTGCCAAGTCATATAATGGCTGCGAAAAAGACAATGATGCGGAAACTCGAAGTACTGGCAAACCATAACCAAAAGAGATGCTGGTCGAAAAAGCGAAAATATATAATCATAAAAAGTCAATTAGCATTCCATATAAATCTTCCATTACCTTATCATTCCCGTCCACTGTGCCCGTTTTGGTGATGTTGAAAACATACAGCGTTAGTGGCTTTGACAGCCAGCATGCAATGGAAGTGGCTTATCAGTGAGCCAGCAACAATAGTAGTTACCGAACCGGTTCTTTCAAGGAACATTGGTATATAAATTAATTCGTTTCTTTGATTTTCTTCTTCATTACCTTTTCTCCATGCTTCTTTCGCTCGCTACGCTTGCAACAGCGGCTGCTTTACCTTTTGCAGCCATTAAACAGGACCCCAAACCGCTCGCTCTTGACTTTAGTGTCTTTAGAGACTTTGGTCCAGAATCGAAATTCTGGAACTTCGCCTTTTTTCGTAACCTAGGCCTGGATTTAACTAAACGGTACGAGTCTACACAGCTTGCTAACCACAATAACGTTAACTACTGGCTTGACATCTACTTGGGTGCTGAGAGTGAGAAAATTACGGTATCTTTGGATACTGGCCTGTCTGACTTATGGGTTTATGGCCCAAATATATCTAATTCAGAGGGAGGTACGTTCGATACTGATCAGTCTGGAAGTAAGCCAGTGAATGAGTCTTTTAAGATAGGATACTTGGACGGCTCAGGTGCTCTGGGTGACTACTATACTGATGACTTTTCTTTACTGAAATTGCAACCACTTTTGAAGGATTTCCAGTTTGCTGTTGTTGACGAGGCCAAGTTCAGTGGGCCAGGCATTCTTGGTGTTTCAAGCAAGGCCGTGGAGACCACGCCTAATAAGTATGATAACTTACCTTTCGCTTTGCAGGAAGCTGGAATTACACCAAAGGCCAGCTACTCTTTGTTTTTGGGATCTGAGAATGGAGACAAGGGAACTATTATTTTTGGAGGTATTGATAAAAATAAGTACGAAGGTGAGTTGAAGAAATATCTGATTCCAGATAACGATGATGCCTTATCATTAAACGTGGTATCCCAGTCAATTGATGGTAAGGACTACAATGAAACAACAAAGTACCTTTTGGATCTGGGTACTTCCTGGAACTTATGGCCTGAAGAGGTGTATAACAATACTGTCACTGCTTTGAATGCTACAAAGAAAGACGATTCTCATGTTGCAGACTGCAACCAGCCAACCGATAAATTCTTGGAGTTTAACTTTGGCGAAAATCTGATTCAAGTCTCTTACAAGGATTTGTTGGTGGAATGGAATGGTGAATGTCTCCTTGGAGCCCAGCCAGGGCAGAAGACGTTCATTCTTGGTGATGTTTTCTTGAGGAAAGCGTATGTGTACTATGATCTCAGCAACAAGGAAATCTCTGTTGCCCAGTTTAAGGACTCGTTGACGTCGAACATTGTTCCCGCTTGAAGTTAAAAGAAACAGAAAATAATTAGTGAAATAGTCATTGAGGAATAAAAGTATATGGGTAACTTTAAGTACCGCAGTCAGTGATGCTTCTAAGACCAGTAGCTCAAAGAGATATACAATTGAAGAGGCTGTGGCTTTTCAAAGTTTCAAAGAATGCTTCAATTTTTTAAATCACTTTTCCTGATATTTTTCAACCATATCTTGCCTCTGCTTATCCTCTACATATTGAGAGGCTTCATTTGCAGCCATTAGGCGCAACCGAGAAGCCCAACCAGTACCAACAAAAAACAACAAAAACCCAAAGTAAAGTAAAGAATACACCAATTAAACAACTTAGAGCTCGGCTATAAATCCATGGACAAATTCTTTCACCATATATCCGTCCCCATTCATCCCTGCCAAGGCTTGCTTCCAGTGGGATGTGTCTCCTACACACAAGGAACCAGATATCAACGCTGAGCACACTCCTTCACCAAACCTCCAACCTAGGAATGTCTGATGCAGACGATTTTTTGTCTGAAGAAAGCTACGAGTTTGAGTTTGAGGATGAGGATGATGACGTTATACAGAATGAAGCCCCAGATCAGGATTCAGTGGAGAACAAATACTACTATGCCAAGTCATTGAAGGAAGACTCATTGGATGCTGCCAGTGAGCAGATGAGAGCATTGATTGGTTCAGCTGACGCCAATGAGGACGTTGAGTGGACTTTTAAAGCACATAAGCAATTGGCAAAGATGGCGTACCACCAGGGCCGTTTGGAGGAAGTGCTAGACCATATTGGAAGCTTGATCCGTCTTCTACCTAAGCTCAATGGCAACTATGCCGAGGATTCGATCTCCAAGTTGCTCCATAGATACTCGGCATGCAACGACCAGCAGTTTGTGCTTCGAATGTATGACGTGATTGTGTCTCACTTGCAAGATTCCATGGCTCTGGGTGTCTCTGGACAGAGACTCTGGATCAGGATCAACATGAACAGATTAAGAAACTTCTTGGATAACGGACCTCTTGATGAATGCTCGCTGCTAATAGCTGCTATCAATTCGAAACTAGAGTCGGTTTCTGAGCTGACGCAGAATTCATATTTACTCGATATCGTCGCTGCCGAGATAGAGTACACATTCAAGACGGATATGAATCTACTGCGTTTGAGCCATTTGCATAGAAAAGCATCCAAGGTGTCTTCGGCCATCACTCATCCACGTGTAATGGGTGTGATCAGAGAATGCAGCGCTACCATTCATTTTTATAGAAAGAACTTCGAAACAGCCCGAGTGGAGTTCTACGAGTGCTTCAAGAACTATGACGAGGCAGGCTCAGATTCAAAGAAGAAGATCTTGAAGTACCTCAGCTTGTGTCTGCTTCTAACAGAAAACGAGGTCAATCCATTTGAGTCTCAAGAAACGCAATCTTATGCTTCGCTTCCCGAGTACAGAAACTTGATCCAGCTTGTCAACTGCTGTGAAAGTCTTGACCTCAAAGGGTACCTTGATGTTTTGCAAAAAATGAAAACAGAAAACGACGGGCTCATTCACGACAGCATTTTCAACAACGCCTCCAGCCATATTTTGCATAACCTTAAGGTGAGACTTTTACTCAACCTTCTTAAAGCATACCGCACGATACGTTTTGATTCAGTGATCAGAAAGCTTCAGCTAGAAAGTGAAGCCCATCTAGAAGATTTACTTATCAAAATGGCAAATTCTGGAAACTGTCACAGCATAAAAGTGGATTTCACCAATAAATTCATCGAGACGGAACCCAACAAAGATAGTTTCTTCCCAAGCACGCTTGACGCTTCAGACGTGGAAAACAATTTGCACGTGTTGTCGGCTATCGGGTTCAACGGTCTCTGGACAAGCGACAATGCAGATCCAGCCAATGCTATGGACGTTGATTTTTCCCCACATAATGAAGGGTTAGGAGTTGCTGAGACGAAGAGTGCCGAACTCTCCGTAATTAATTCTGTCATTTTTCCGACGAAGCTCAATGTTCGTGCTTTGGGCTGGACGCTGGTGCCCGGACTTGTGGAAGAGTGGTTCGGATACATGAAGAACACCTTCCCAGAGTTGGTGCATACCACGATTACACACAAGGAAAGAGTTTACTCAGAACAGCAAGAAGACGCCGCGTCACAGGCCAAAGAAGCGTTTGCTGTTCCAGACAATGAAACTAGTGCTGGGAATGGAAATGACGAAGAGGAGCATATCGACAAAGTGGAGTGGCTTCAGCGTTGGGCCAAGAAGATCGAGCGTGGCTTGAAGCAAGATAAGCGGGTGTAGAAACCCGAAGTTGGCTGCAAAATTACATACTCACAAGGAGAAGTCAATTGAAAACCAAAGCGACTTTGCTTTGACACAATGCCAAGATGTGGGGTGACTTGAAAGATACTGAAATACGATAACCCCCATTCTCCTTTCAACAATAGCGAGCAAAACGGCCAATAAGGCCCAAAGATCTTGGGTGCGAAGCGAACCACGACAAGTGTTGATACTGCAGATTCTTTTTGGGAGTTTCTCGATGAGCGGAAAAAGATTTCCCATCCACCTCCATCACCATCTGTTTTTTTCCTACCAGGAAAAATTCCCCCCTCCTTCAAAACGTACGTATACTTCCATCAGGACTGTGATTATTCAAATTTGCGTTATCGTCATGACGTCCGTGCAATTGCACGGCTCGCTTGAAATCAACCAACACCCGTATGAGTCCATGAAAAGAAAAAAGAAAAGAATTCAATACTAACTATAGAAGTCTAATGGTTGCAAAAATGAGGCGATAATTTGACTTTGTGGTCTGGAGAAAGGGCAATTTCTCACCATTTCTCAGACCCTCGTCCCTCGTCCCCCTCCCTCAGTAATCCTCGTTTCGGGGCCCCTCAAAGCCCATTTCTGGCGCAGGACAACCACTACGGGGCCCCTCAATTAGCAAGGAAAAAAGCAGCAAAAAAGAAAAATAACAGCAAAAAACAGGAAAAAATAATCAAACAGGAAACAACCAACAGCAGCCTCCAAAAGAAATGGAATGCCCCCAGTTTCCTCCCTCCCCTAGCGCAGAGCCTTAACCTTCTTTTGTCCAGGCGCGGGGAGCTTCGAACGGCTGACAGATCCCGAAATCTGTGTGGGGGTACCTTAGTTTAGGTCGATGGGACCCAGCGCCAGCGATAGATTTCGTGCCGGAATGCGGCACTTTGGCCCACATTTCAGGCCTCCTCATTGGGCTTGGGGCGCCGGAATCACCAGAGAGTTTCGTTTCAGTGGCAACGGCGGCGGGGGTTAAGCTCCATTTTGCCTTGGACGGGTGGGTTTTGGATTTCGCCTGGAGCGCTTTTTTGCCTTGGTTTGCGGTGGGTTGTGCCTGGATGGAATCTTTTTCCCCCCAGGTTTGGTTTCCTCCCCCAGATTCCACTCTGTGCGTACAGGAAGGATTCGGTGGATGGGAGAGGATTTTGCAACCATATAAAGCAGGCGGGCGCCGCAAGCGGAAAGGTTTTTTGCTGATAAGATAATCAAAGAAAAAACCCAGAATGGCTGCAAATCCTGATAGGGAAGAGAGTGCTCTGTTTGAAAAGAATGGCGTTAACGTTGTTGCCTCGCCTTATGAAGGCACCGATGCTTCGGTTGCATCTGCCAAGGCTGACATGAACCTTTTTGATCGCTTTGTGGATAGTTTTCGTCGTTTTGACGAGACTGAGTTGGACTTGGATCCAAATTTGACTGATATCGAAAAGGCTGCCATTATCACTGCCCAGTCGCCTTTGTCCCGTTCGCTTAAATCCCGTCACTTGCAAATGATTGCTATTGGCGGTGCTATCGGTACAGGTTTGTTTATTGGTTCAGGTAAGGTTTTGGCCAACGGTGGCCCTGCCTCGGTTTTAATCGCTTACGCCTTGATTGGTGTGATGATTTTTTGCATGGTCCACGCTTTGGGAGAGTTGGCTATTTGTTTCCCAGTGTCTGGTGCCTTTGTTACTTATAATGTTCGTTTCATTGATCCTTCTTGGGGTTTCGCTATGGCCTGGAATTACGCTATGCAATGGTTGGTCATTCTTCCCCTTGAATTGGTCGCTGCCGCTATCACGATTCAGTTTTGGGACGATAGAACCAATCCAGCTGCTTTCTGTGCGGCATTTTACGTTTTGATTATTGCTATTAATTTATTTGGTGTGAAGGGTTACGGTGAGGCAGAATTTATTTTCTCTGCTCTCAAAATTTTGGCTGTCATTGGGTTTATTATCCTTGGTATTGTTTTGGTTTGTGGTGGTGGCCCCAGGGGTGGCTACATTGGTGGAAAGTACTGGAGCAATCCAGGTGCTTTCAACAACGGCTTCAAAGGTCTCTGTGCCGTGTTCGTTACTGCTGCATTTGCTTTCTTGGGTACTGAATTAGCTGGTTTGGCTGCTGCTGAAACTAAGAACCCAAGAAAGTCTCTTCCAAGAGCCACCAAACAGGTCTTCTGGAGAATTACCTTGTTCTACATTGTGTCTCTTGTCGTGGTTGGCTTGTTGGTTCCATACAACAATGAGGACTTGAAGAAGTCCGACGGTACCGCCAGATACTCTCCATTTGTCATTGCTATTGAGGCTGCTGGTATTGGTGGCTTGCCATCTGTCATGAATGCCGTCATTATCATTGCTGTCTTGTCTGTCGGTAACTCTTCTGTGTTTGGCTCTTCCAGAACCTTGTGTGCTTTGGCTGCTGCCGATATGGCACCAAAGATTTTCGGATACATTGACAAGAAGGGTAGACCTATTTTTGGTATTGCATTGCTGGCTGTTTTCGGCTTGCTTTGTTTCATTTCTGCTTCTGACAAGCAAGGTGAAGCATTCGACTGGATGTTGGCTATTTCCGCCTTGTCTGCTGTTTTCACTTGGGCTTCCATTTGTCTCTGTCACCTTCGTTTCAGATATGCCTTGAGATACAATGGTAGAGGTACCGACGAATTGGCTTTCACTTCATTGGCTGGTGTCACTGGATCCGTCTTTGGTTTGACCTTGAATATCTTGGTTCTTGCTGCTCAGTTCTGGATCGCTCTTTTCCCTCTTGGAGAAAAGCCAAGTGCCGAGGGCTTCTTCAAGGCTTACTTGTCCTTCCCTATTGTCATCATTTTCTACGTTTTCCACAAGATCTGGAAGAGAAACTGGAGATTGTACATCCCCATTGATGAAGTGGATATCGACACTGGACGTAGAGAGATGGACTTGGAGGCTTTGAAGCAAGAAATTGCCGAAGAGAAGGCATGGCTTGCATCGAAACCATTATACTACAGAGTTTATAACATCTTCTGCTGATCGAATTGGCAGGTTCAATTCTCAGGGCACCTGGTTGTGCCGACATATTCAATATACTTTTACGACTTAAACCGATGTAGAAAAAAATGAAACAGATGAAAATAGAAAGAAAAAAAAAACATTTGCTAATTGCATTCATTTAAAAAGCAAAAAAGAATGATTCCGCCCAGGATCGAACTGGGGACGTTCTGCGTGTTAAGCAGATGCCATAACCTACTAGACCACGGAACCGTTCTTGTATGATACTGGTTTATGCATTAATATGAACAGCATCTGACATGCCACCAATAAAATGTATATTTGAGTATTTGAGTACCTCAAAAGTGCTACCATTAACTTCCTAGAGAAATCTGAGCAAAATTGGGCGAAATTTGAGCGAGTTATGGCCAATTTTGTTATTTTCCATCAAGAAGAAGCCTTTCGGTCCATTAAAGCCTGATCATACTTTACAAGCCTCTTCATTGAAGTATTATGAAGAAGCCATTATAAAGTTTGTTCTGTGACCTTAGGGAATGCCCCAAAGCCTCCAAAGCCAAAAGATCACAAGAAGGTTCATCACCAAGAATAGGCATTTTCAAGTCAGGATGGCCTTCATAGGGATTTAAAATTCTTCCTTTGCCATTCTTGAAAATACTTTGAAGCTTCTGATTTAATTCCACTTCAATAAGCGACACCATGGAGAGCCAATCGTCTCAATTGACCAATAGCACATCGTATCGTCCTCTCCTCAGAAGCCCTCTAGAACAACTTCCATTGAATTTCTAAATTCAATGCTGCAATATGACGAATTGACCAAACCTTGAATAAATTCGAGGCTCCCGTTGGTCTGAGAAAGGTAACTTGAGCTAAACAGATCAGTCACGGAAACCTCCGAACGCGTCAGACAATCACAAGCACGGCAGAAGGATTAGCATACCGAAGCCAAAATTAGAATTTCCATAATAGCCAACGCAGGTACTGCTGGAGCTGGTGCATTGCTGCAAGTGGTCCCAGGAGGCTTCCAGAGGGCCATGAGACGAGCCACAGGGAGAAGTGGATGTTAGAAAGAACGTATAAGTACTTTGGGATCTGGAAATTCAATATAAAAATTAGCAAGAATGTCTGATTGATTAAGTAGCTCCTCATTGTCCCATGGCCTCCGCCTTCTTGCTAGACTTGCCCAATAAAACAGCATACCCCAAACGTAAACCACGACAAACACCAGCAGGCTTAGTTTCCTTATACCAACAAGGCCAATTGTAAAACATGCATGAGTTTCCTTTGTTAGATCCCGCAAAGCGGCGGCGGTTGGAGAAAGCGTTATAGTTTCTGTATTTCACTCCAGGTGCATTGAGGCCAGTTTCTGGCATGTCCAGCAAGAAGTGTCCAAAGAATTCTTTCCAGGTAGCTAGGAACGCCATCCAAAACAGATTCTATTTATTGAAGGCAATAACTTGTCTGGAAAGAAGACGTGTATTGATAGCCTCAGTCTAACCATACAAAAGCACCAAACTGGAACTAACCCGAGCTTCTTACGCCTTGGCCACCTTCCTACGCCTTCTGGCCACCTTTCCAGCCCCTAGCCGATGGCCAGGGGCTTCCAAGGGGCCATTCAGGGGCCTATTCTTTCCAGAACCATCACCGTTCTTTGTGCCCGTTTGGCTCGACTTTCCCATGATGCACCCGATCTGCCTCGCACCCTCTATCCCACCTACCACCTACTCTTTCCTGATGAACCCACTGTATTTCTACACACATGTGCCGCTCGACACCCGTGACGGTCTTGTTGTTTTTGACCAATCGGGGTACGTCGTTTACATTGCCGTTGGCCGCTGGCACACCGTTGTGGCGGCCATGACACGGGAGTTCTATAAATTGGGCGCCTCCCCCAGACCTCTTGACAAAAACAATATTTCACTACGCGCGCCAGTGGACCTGATCCAGGCATTTCTCAGGAACCCAGGGGACCAAACAACCAGGGACAAAATCAAGTATAAGTATATTTTTGGAACCGAGCTTCAACGTAAAGTATGGAAACATCTTGAAAACGTGCCTTTTGGCAAAACATCCACTTACTCGGCGGTGGCGGCTGCTTTGGGCATGAAGCCTTCGCTGGTGCGAGTGGTTGCAAATGCGGTGGGTGCAAATCGACTTGCCGTGCTAGTGCCTTGTCATCGAGTGCTAGGACGCGATGGGCTGGTGACGGGGTACCGGTGGGGCATTGACATGAAGAAGGAGTTGCTTGAGGCTGAAAGGAAGGGGTGGGGGAAGACTGAGAGGGAGAGTAAGGGGAAGAAGGCAGTGGCGGTGGAGGTGGATGGTAGTGTTGGCGCGGCAGCGTAAGACGATGCTACTGGGGATGCAACGAAGGTGGGGGCAACGAAGGCGGGGAGTGAAAAGACATATCTTTGAATGATCTCAACGGAATAATGGGAAATACGTTTATTCCGTTGGACGTGCATGGAAGTGGCGGTTGGTTGACGTGGTTGTTGGTTGGCGTGATGGGTTATGGTGTCTCAGGTTGGGGGTACTCTTTTTCGCAGCCACTGGTGCCGCCGCAGGCCAATGCGTTTGGGTGAGGAAGGTGAGGAGGCAACGAAGAGAAAGAACTACAAGTAAAAGAAAACCTTCTATGCATTTTTTATGCGTTGATCTTCTTGGCTTCAGAGACGTTTGCTTGCTTTTTTGTTTGTTGTTTGAGGGCCTGCCAAGAATGGATTGTTACTGTTGATGCACTTGCCTTGTGGCTGCGAAATGGCTGCGAAATGGCTGCGAAAGATGGTGGTAAGTTCTTGTTGAGCTGGTTTCATCAAGACACCCCCCGATGGTGGCCATGAGGCATTTCAAGTTGGAGGATTGATACTCATAAACGTTCAAATGTTTGATCTGATTTTTCAAAAAACCACAGAATATTGTTGATTTGCTGCTGCTACCATTCCACCACCTCCACTACCACAACTGGATACGAATAACTCCAGCCACTCGTGTCACATCAAAACCCTCTTTCCAAACTCCATGGACTCTATTACCTCCTTTATCTCCATGACCTTCAAGAACATTACAACGGTCACCCACTACTGATTTAGGGTCAAACCTTCCTCCACTCCACCAAAACTACCCTACCAGCCATTAACAAACCAATTAAAACCTATAAACCTTGAACCTGTCTAAACTTTTGCCGGCATCCTGTCCGTTTTGGGTCCTGACATGCCTGGACCCCATCCTGTGGGGTCCAAACACACCATCCCTATTAATTTCATTACTTATTATGCATTAGTCGATTCGGTTTCCTTCCCTTGTCCTGTTCACCGATAGCGGTACATGTACTCAAACTGGTACTCTTGTTCGAACTGTTGTGCTTGGGCCTGTTCCTGGGCCTGGATCTGTGCCTGTTGTTGTCTAGCATGGGCGTTTGCCTGAAGAGCTTCAAATTGTGCCTGGGTGAAATAAGCAGCCAGCTCTTGGGGTTGTTCTTGAGGAGCTTGAACAAGCTCTGGGGCAACTGGGATCGGTTCTTGGGCCACTGGGGCCACTGGAGGAGCAAAGTGAGGCTGATAAATCTCTGGAGTAGCCTGAATGAACCTTGTTCCAATTGGCTGGGCCGGCCTCGACGGTTGACGTCTGGCTTTCTTTCTATTTGGCCCTCTGGTCCATGCTTTAGGAATTCTCATGTTGATCTTACCGAAGCACAGGCTCTCAGGAACAAGTTCCTGGTAATCTGAACGATCAAAGAAGTCTGGTTTACAGTCCACATAAGTCTTGTAAACCAGCTCCGGACGCCACTCACAGCCACTACCTTGCAGCTTTCTTCTCTTATTGAGACGAGTCTGGTCGACGTATTCTTCATCGCTAGGACGACGTCTTCTGCCTCTGGAGAATTGGCTGCGAAAAGCGTCCTCAGCAGCAAACTCCTTCTTAACAGTAGCCACTGTTTGGCGATGAGTGGTACGAGCTGAATCAGAAGCAGCATATTCTTCCATGATGCCACGATCAAGTGTACCAGCACACACTGGCTTGTCGTTTTGCACGGAATCAGCGTTGGTATATAACCAGATGGTGCCTGGAGCACCTTCGCCATAAGGCGCTGTACGCTGAGACCTAGTACGTGAAATACTAGCACTTAGGCGGTGTCTAGGACGCGAGCCAGCCACGGGAGGACGGCCTCTTCTTGGAAGTTGGGGCGACATGGCACCCAGGCGGCCCTCACTGCTGGTGATCAGAATGTCTGAGAGCGTCCTGCTGTGACCATGCAAGTAGTTATCTTCAACAAGCCCAAGCGCCTGGAGCGTCAAACTATCTGAAGTCAGGGCTCGAGACAGGCTGGGAGAAGTTGTGGGAAGATGTGTAAACTGAGTGAGCGTCAGCACCAGCTCTTCCTGAGGCAGCACCGGCACCACAGGACGAGGACGAGGCACCCGACGAGTGGGCACGTTGGGAGGAGCATCACCGTGGTCTAAGAACTGAAGAGATTCCCAGTCAAAAGGCTCAGACATAACAGCCATGGTATGGATAGAGATGGATAGTGGAGGTAAGCGTTTTGGAGGTCTGAGGTGGTTCATTATATGGGCGGCCGTTTGATTCAAGAAGGGAAAGTATAGCAAACGCGGTTGCAGGTGAGCTGTGGGTAAGGTATGATGATAGAGGCTGATGGAGGCCTGAAAAGCAAAGAAAAGTGGTAGATGGTGGGAGAAATGCTGTTTGTGTTCTCGCGGCGTGGTTATGTTGGAGGGTTGAGAGAAGAGTCTACTGAGGGAACGCTGTGAGGCTGGAATTGAGGGAAGAAATGGTCTAAATGGAGCTTCTGTAAGTCTCATCTAGCCTTCTTTCCTATGTTGTGCTGTCATCTTTAGCTGTCTACATCGTTCCAAGGCAAGTATACGGTTGGTTGGTGCCGGTGTGGATTCTCTATATTATCACTTCGCCTGGCCATAGTAATTGCCCAACTGGACCAGTCTGGCATGGCGGGCCCACGTATCGTCAGGCGGCGCCGTCGGCACTTCGTAACGGGCGTGGAATTGGTCAAAGCTTTCGTTATCGCTTTCCCTGACTAGCTCTAGCTCTGCCTCTTCGTTGGCATTAAACTTGTTCTTAAGAATGGGCTGTGGCTGCAATGACGAAGAAAGCTGGCCTGACCGCCGCCAAAAGGAAACTCGTAGCCGGCTTTTCCCAGGCTTTTCCACCCGGAAGGTGTTTCTGGATGACGGGCACAGTGTTGATATCATGGTAGGCAGGTCGACAAAGGCGACTTTCCCAAAGGAGAAGGTGGTAGCGGCGGATTCAGCAGTACCAGCGCCGGCGTCGTCTAAGGCGCTTTGAGAGAGATGGCAATCTAGCCAAAGTTCCCACGAAATTAACGCAGACATAGCAAGGTGGTGGGAAAAGAAGGTGTTGGTGAAAGGTGTAAAAAATGGTTGCAAATTCTGGCATACGGTCGCGGGACCATGCATGAAGCCTAAGGAAGCCAGAGAAGGTGAAGATATGTTAAGGGATTGCGATGGTTGAGAGAGAGAGGTGAGATGGATGGGGTGAAGAGGCGGATGAAGGTTTGGATGGTCGAGTTTTGGCGGTTCTCTTACGGCTCTGGGCGTTTTTGGTGGGTTCTTTGGCTGTTGAGGTTTGCCGTAAGTGAAGGCTACAGAGTGGATTGAATGCCTCAGTGAATGGATGGAAAGGCGAAGGAATTGGGCCTAGAAGTCAGTGAAGGGAGAAACTGGAGGGAAGCTATGAAGTGAATGGCGTCTTGATCTACGGCAGATTGTTGTTGGCGACCACTGAGGTGGGACAACAGGTGTATCTGGGCCTATGGACGTCAATGATGGCAGTGACAGACCTCGAGACATTTCCCTTCTTTTATTACTTTGCGTATGGCTCCTATGTTAGCACGAGTTCTCAGTTTGAACGGAATTGCAAAGACGGTACTGGGTGTATGCTTACACTGGCTTTTCAAACCTCAGCGTTACCTACCAACCCAACCTTCTTCTAAGCGGATAGACTCTGGTCAGTCTCTGTAAATAACAGTATTTAACACGTATTAAGCATCAAATTATCCAGCGACAATGTCTAACCATGTTATCTATATGGCTGGTCATGAAAACTTTATTAATCTCACCATTTAGGAAACTTCTAAGTTCTGAGTGACTAGCCATAGTTTCGCCGTAAGCAAGAAAAATTCCAAGAAACGCCATGAAATAATTCCTAGCTGGTGTTCTAGCCTACCATACATAGCCCACTCCTTATCATTTGACGTGCACTGCTTCCCGATTGACATGTATTTACGATAAAGATCGACGGTTTAAACCTAAAAGGTACTCATCAATGTAAACGTCAACCCGGAGCACCCGAACACACCCAAATCACTTCCAGCAAGCCAAAGTACCGCCTTTTGGCGCAACCCAACGCGTGTAACCATACCAGTAATCCTATCTCACCAGCACTGCCCCAGCGCCCGATAACAAAACACCACAAAACCGTATTTTCTTATCCATAGCCTTTTAAGAGTATTTCAAAGGCAATAAGAAAGCCACTAGAATTACCCATTCCAGAAACCATAGTCCACAGAGTCAGCTCCACCCACCTAGGCCGGACTCCCGCCATCACGGACTTCCTAGCGATAAGCGCCAGGCTGATGCCCACCCGCCTTCGCCTTCCGCCTTCGCCTCCCACCTTGCCTTATCTGACATATTGCGCTGTCTCTACGTGTCTCAGGTTTGTGTACTTGAGCATTTGCGCTGGAGATATCAAGAGGCGTTTGACTGTTTTTCGCAGCCACCGGGAAAACCAGGCCCGGGGTCCGAAGTAAATAAACAAAGGGTCACGAAACAGGCATGTGGCGATGTGGGGCGGTATGAGCGATGTTTCAGGTGAACCAGCAAGCGAAGCAGACGTGAATAGACTAAGAAAAATCCAAGAAAAAAGGTCATTTTCTGGAATACTGGACACTCTATGTCTCTAGTCCATCCAGAATAGTCTAAATTGTAGGACAGGACTAGCAGAGGCGGTAGTCGCGGCAATTTGCCTCACCAGAGACAACCCAGTCAGAAGAAAAGGCTCCAGTCCTTCCACCACCAGCAACCTCCAACCAATCAAAAACTCGATATTCCAACCCAGCAACCCCCAAACATCCATAAACTCTAATCTTCCTTTCCCTGCAACTCCTCCCCATCCCAATACCTGGCCCCTTCTAAGTCGTGAGGCGAGTGTGTCGCAGCTATGACGACGCAAACGTCCACAAAAGTAGACCCACAGAAAAAAGCTTCACATCGCACATATGCACGGTTTGATCCAGCAAAAAGGCCCAGTAGTTGCGGGTCACAGAGATGGTTTTGGGGTGGAAAGGGGATGAAGGGGAAGAGAAAGCAGCGGGAAAATAAGGAAAAACGACTTTTCAGGTGCCCACCCCCGGAAAACCCGGGAATTGAATGGGCCCTTTTGGTATGCGAATGGGATTGCATTTTTTTCACTTTTTGCACCCACCAGCGCGAGCAAGCGTCGGGCCGCAGAAGCTGGGTTTCCAGGGAGACAGAGAGAAGGGAAGGGAGGTTGAGGTTAAGGGATAAACGGGAGAAAGGGATGGAGACTAAGGATCAACAGAGATATCTGGCTTTTCCTCGTTTACTCCAAATATGTGAATTGTCGAAAAAGCAGGCATCACCCACAATCCGTCAAGTCCAGACCTCGTTCTGGAGCCTGGCGGCCCTAGAGAAAAGTCTAACTCGTCCACAAACGCAGACCCATGTAACTAAAAAAAGCAAATCAGACAGAAAACCCTAGTGAAAGTCGTCTTACCAAGATTTTTTTTTACATCATCTTGCTTGGGGATTCTGTGAATTTCCCTGTTTCACCTTGAAACTTAAAAAAACCTGAAACCTGGAACCTGAAACGTTTAGGAGGTTTGTTTTTCCACATTTCTTTTCATTAATTAATTCATCTTCCCTGGCCACATTTTCTTTTTTCCTTTTTTTTTATTTTTTTTATCCCAACCTGCGCAACCGCCTCAGGCCCCCTGCGAGAAATTGCAGCCAGAGCTCTCCTTCCATCATCCACCCATCTATCTTTCAGGTCCATAAAATGTCTCTTCCCCTCCTTTTTGTCTATAAATACGGCCCATTTCCTCGTCTTTTTTTCTCTCCAAATTTTTCCACCCCTCCTAATTTCCCCTGCTTCTTCCTCTTTGCTTCCTCCCTTCGCCTTCCCTCCTTCGTCCACTGCCTCAATTTTTGCTTGGTGCGGCACCGTTCCAGCCCGCGCTACCTTTAGTACCTCCAAGCCTCCTCGCTTCGCTTCGGCTCCATATATATACCGATCGCGACCGCCTATCTTTCCTGGTTTCACCTCCATTTTCCTCCCCCACCATGTCTTCTGATGTGCTTCCGCTGTCGGACCGTAGGAGTCCTTTCTACATTAATACGCCTTCCTACGACGCCAAACCCGTGGACCACTTGGTGTCCTACTTTAAGCTCTGGAAACACTTTATCGCTGCGTTGATCGCTTACCTTAAGGATTTGGCCAATGCAAAGGAGTTTGAGCTGAACTTGAACCTCCAGCTTGTGGGGTCCGTGCAGTTCCCTGGGTTTAGAGATTTGGCTTATAAGACCATTCTGGCGGTTCAGCAGGCTCAGGCATCGCCCCTGTCGCCCCAGGGCCAGCCCCAGAAGGAGTTGGGTAAGTCGCTGAATGCTAGCACTACAAACTTGGCGGCAAGACCGGGTTTGCCTAAACAAAAGTCTCAGCTGTCGATTTTTAAGAACCAGTCGTTTGCTCATCGCAAATCGCCTTCGTCGTCAAGCTTGATGGACCAACCGGCTCCAAACGGCAAATCGAAGAAGAGTGATCTGCCTTCTGGCGGCTTGCAGCATACTTCGACTCTGAGCTCTCTACTGTCGTCTGTGACGGCAGCAAAGTATGCTCCAAAGTCGGATGTGGCTGTGGATCCAACCTACTTCCCAGCAAACTCCATGTTTTCCAACATGCCCAACGCATTGGTCAACCACCACTACCAGACATACGTTGCCCAGACGAAATTGACCAAGGACCTTCAGCAGAAGCTCATTCCAAAGCTTGAAAGCTTGCACCGTAACTTGGGCCTCAAGATCAAGGAGATAAAGTCTTCTTTGAAGAATGATTCGTTCGCTAACCCATCCTTGGCAAGAGAGGTGTCCAAGACTGGTGCCGTCATCAATACCTTCGTTTCTAGCATTCGCCGTTACTCTGGCAACCGTCCTGTTCTTTCTAAGGATTTGGATGATGATGACGATGAGGACTCCTTGTCTGATCCATTCCTCGTCAAGTTGCGTGTGGACTACCAGCTCAAGAACCAGTTGATTCACGAGAATTACGTTTATGCATCGTACTTGAACTTGCAGAACATTTCCAAGGACCTTCTCAATTACGTAATCAAGGACTTGAACTTTATCACTGAGAGATTGGGCAGACTTGGTAATGGTGAGGTTTACGCAACTTCGGCAGAGAATGCCCTTTTCAATCTTTCATGGACTATGAAGAACTATATCAACAACGCTAACAACGACTGGGAGTACTTCATTTCCCACAACCCTAACTTCTTGAACGTTTTTCACTCCACAGAGAAGTCCCCCAAGCGTGACGTGAGATCTGCTCAGGATGTCATTGTTCCATATGCTGACTCTTTGCATTCCAAGTGCTTGCGCTGTGGTATCATGTACAAGAAGCAAAGACTTATCAAGTCTTATACATCCTACTTTTACTTGTTGACATGTAACTACTTGCACGAGTTCAAGCTTGACACCATGAGTGACAAAATCCAAGATGCTACCAGCAAGAATGACAAGAAGACTGGCGAAAAGCAAAGCCAAAAGAAAAAGAAAGGTAAGATTGGAGGCGTTGTTGGCCCAGGTGATACCCCTGTCAAGTCTTACAACTTGAATAACTATTCGTTCCAGTTGAAGAGTGAAAAGGATTTCAAGTTTATCTTGACCAAGGTTTCCAGCAGCTCTCAAAAGTTCACCTTCAAGTGTGCCAGCCAGGAGGATTTTAATCACTGGGCGAACGATTTGCATGACTTGCTCAAGTTCTCTTCCCAGCATTTGAAGAGATTTGACTACATTGAAGCCAAGTTGAACGTGCGTGATAAGAATCCTGAGCCTGTTAAGGGTAAGCCTGCTCGTGACATGTCTTTGAACCTCAACAAGTACTTGGGCAAGGACCAGATCTCCGCCGACAAGATCCAAGGAGAGAGTCTCAGTGGTATCTTTACTCCACGCGTGCAGCTGCCTTCCGAGACTGTCAAGACGGAAAAGAACCCATTCGAAAACACTTTCGATCTTCCAACCACGCCAAACTTGTCTCAGTCTCAGTCGCCTGAAGCCCTTTCTGCTGGTCAGTCTCCGGTTGTATCTCCATTGCATAGTGGAGTTGAGAAGCCATCTACACCTGCTTCTCAAGACATTGTTTCTCCAGGATCAATTAGATCGCCTACTGGTTCGAGCGGTTCACAGACACCAGGCGGCACTCACCAGAAGGAACACGAGGACTACCTCAAGCTCCAAGACGAGATTTTGAAGCAGCAGCAACAATTGATGGAATTGAAGATTTTGCATAGCCCCAAGAACAACTCCAGCAACAAGCTTTCGTTGTCCAGACAGTCATCAGGCGAGTCTATTGTGTCGATGATGGAACAGAACAACCACGACTTGTCGGCCCTTTTGAACCAGGGCAAGGAGCAGCTCATTGACCAACCGCCAGCGGCTGAGTCACTCTACAATAATCACGAGGCCAACTCGCTGGTGCCTACAGTTTTCGTGCTGAACCACGAGAACCATTCATGATTATAGACGACCCTGCAACTACTTAGAATCGCCGTCCAGGCAATTTACTTAGATGAATGAAGTTTAGATGACCAGATAGATGTAGGTTAATGCAAGATTTTGCAACCATTAAAGGCCCAGAACACGACATTCCCTCGTCACACAAAACATCTACTTTTCTATAAATATCCCGTTTGAGTTTGGTCTTGGCAAGCAAAGGCGTCTAGCATAGCCACGAGACATAAGCAAGATGATCAAGGCGGGTTGACTAGCCCAGGCACTGTGCCATGCATATAGAGACAGAATGGTTGCAAATGCCCATACATCATCAACCAACGAGAGGATGTTCTTTGGTAAGGCAGAGTCAATTAAAAGCCAGCTAACTTTCTGATTGCTGAAGCCCACCGTAGGTGCTTACCGTCGAACCGCCTCAACCTGCCCTCAACCTGCCCTCGCCAAATAAGCTTCATATCTATGGAGCACCGCCAGATCGTCGATAAGCGGCCATACATAGCATCAAGAAAAGTGTAAGGCAAGCGAAGAAAGACACAAAAGGCAAGAGAAACCAAATTAGACTAGCCCTAACTTTCGCTTGGTCTCGACTTGGTCCCATCTTCTACGTGCCCTTGGCTTGCCTCGGTTTAACCAGAAGAGGCTGGAAAATCTTATCGCTTTTTTCACCCTCCCTGTCAACCTGCCTGACCGAGCCACTCCCCTCAGAAAACCAGCAACCAACAGCCAGACCAGAGAAAGAGACGTGGATACGATTTCACCAAGCATACAAAAAACAAAACCAGTGGTAAAAAAGTGGAAATCGTCTTCCTTTTATACCTCGACGTCTTCCCCTCTTTTGCCCTCCCCCTCCAACTCTTAATTCTCTTTCTTCCTTGGTCTCTTCATCTCCAGGGCTGGCCAGGAACCATACAGGAGGCAGCAGCCTGGCGGTTCACTGGCAGCACAGCGCCCCAACAAGAAGCGTGGGAAGAAAGATATTAAACGAAAATACAACAGAGCCTTTTTGACCAATCAGAACGGCCAAAATAAGGTTCATCCTTTCCATTTTTAGAACCTTCTAAGTCCATCCCTTAATTTCCCTGCGTTTCTCCCATTTCGTGTTGTCCTCTACTGCCTGGCAGCCTGGGTCGCGGCATCGCTGCGCAATAAAGCTCATTCATTTTAAATCAACGTTCTCTCGCCTCCCCTTACTTCTTCCCTTTCTTCACCTTAACCAATTTTCACAATTACTCAATTGCTCAATTCTCCATAATGTCGTATACGTCCGGATTCAAGAAAAACGAGTCTGCTGTGGCTTCTGATATTGATAGCGACTCGGGTATTGATATTCATGCTCCAGAAGGCGCCCATCCTCCAATCAGACGGTCTCTGTCGTTGTTTTCGTTGCTGTCGAACCAGGAACCGCTTCCTAGGCCGGAGCCAGAGGAGTATAAGAACTTCTTGCACGACACGAGACACTTTTCGTTGGTTAGGAATTTGCACATGGCCGACTTTATCACCTTGCTCAATGGCTTTTCGGGTTTCTACTCCATCATTTCTTGCTTGAGGTACGCCTTGACGGGTAAGTCCCATTACGTGCAAAGAGCCCACTTTTTTATCTGCTTGGGCTTGTTCTTTGACTTTTTCGATGGCCGTGTGGCTCGTTTGCGGAACAAGTCGTCGCTCATGGGCCAGGAACTCGACTCTTTGGCTGATTTGATTTCCTTTTCCGTGTCGCCAGCTATAATAGCGTTTGCCATTGGCTTCCGCTCCACTGTTGATGTGCTTTTCTTGTCGTTTTGGGTGCTTTGTGGCTTGACGAGATTGGCTCGTTTCAACGTTTCCACCAACAACATCCCTAAGGATGCCACTGGCAAGTCCCAGTACTTCGAGGGTTTGCCTGTGCCTTCCAATTTGGTCTGGGTCGTGTTTATGGCTATTTTGGTGTACACTGACCGTATTTTGGATGACCTCCCGTTGGGAGTGGTTTTGGAAGGCACTTTTGCCGAGTTCCATATCATCTCCCTTGGTTTCATTATCCAGGGCTGCGGTGAGATCTCCAAGAGTCTCCATATTCCAAAGCCATAAGCACATGTTTTTATTATGATAACGCCAGTCTATTTTGCCAGCCTCTACCACGCTGGCCGTCGTCTATTACCGACAAAGTTATGTCAAGGGATGAATCTATGTCCAAGAAATCCTCTAAGGCGTCACCACCCAACCGCCAAAGATACAGCCGGCCCACAACGGGGCCCTATTTCGCTATGAATCGCTTGCCGAGGACTTCAACGTCCCGAAAGTCTACGTCCCGAAACTTCCCCAGCTGTAGTTCCTCGTAATGCTCCTTGTAGAGAACGGGGTCCAACACTCCGATCTTCTCGGGCAGGAACCCGAGCCAATGGTTCCGTTCAGAAATACCTTCTTGTTGGCACAGGTCCCAGAAGGTGTTATGCATTCGAGCCAACCTCGTCAAGTATGCCATTCTATATTTCCACTTCAACCCCAGATTTGGATCATGATGAGCTGAAGACGGCGTTATGCCTATTTGGGCCAATTCTCCGTGGAACATCGAAAGAAGCATTAGAAGCTCTTTCCGGTTTTCAATGCCCTTTATAAGTTTATTTGCCAACTGCTGCTCTGGAGTCTCTTTGGCGATCTTCTCCTGGAAGCTGTCTACGTCCTTCACGTACTTAAGGGCGCTTAGCACAATATTACCCTTTTTGTTGAAACGTGGCAAGTCAGACTGGAGTCTTACAGACCTTAGAAACGCCACTCCTCTATAATTCATTGGATTTTTCAGGCTTCTCTGGGGTTCTCTTGGAATAGTGGGTCTGGGGCCTGATGGTGATGGCGGGAGGTACGGGTGTGTGCTCATTGACCATAATAGCGATTTTCACCTTTTCAAGATTTTACCTCAAAGAAGCACATCTTTCTCCACGACCCCCAGATGCTTGCAAGATCGCTTTTGCGGGCCACCATGCCCCGTGGCCAGCTAGCCGTCCGTGCGGTTCCAGCAGTGCAAAAACCACGTTTTTTCTCCCATTCTTCGCTAAGCTACAATGAAAAGAAGAAGGACGAAAAGCCAAAGTCTATCTTGGACGACGACATGTTGGCCAAGGCTGGCTTTGAGGAGGAGCCTTCTGCTGAAGAGAAGAAGGAAGAAACCACCGACAAGTCTTCTCGCAGAAAGCGTAGAACTCAGACTACCAAAGACCGTCAAAGAGAAAAATGGGCCAATATCTTCTATGGATCCATGCTTGTTGGAGGCATTGGTGCTTTGGGCTACATGTCGAGAGACTGGGACTCTGCTGAGGAGCAGAAGGAGCTCGAGGCGCTTGATATCGAAAACGGTTACACTCCAGGCTTGATGTATGAGCGTTTGTCTAAGAGATGGTCCAAGGCCTTCTCTTTCTTCTCTGAGCCTGTGTTTGAAAACTTGTTGCCTCCACCTCCTCCAGAGGCCTACCGTCGTCCCTTGACCTTGGTTTTGGCCTTGGACGACTTGTTGATCCACTCTCTGTGGGACACTAAGCACGGTTGGAGAACCGCCAAGAGACCTGGCTTGGACTACTTCTTGGGCTACTTGTCTCAGTACTACGAGATTGTGATCTTCTCCACCAACTACCAGATGTCTTCTGAGAGAACTGTCATGAAGATGGACCCATTGAGAGCATACATCCAGTACGCCCTTTACAGAGAGGCTTGTAGATACAAGGACGGTAAGCTCATCAAGGACTTGTCTCTTTTGAACCGTGACTTGGCCAAGACCGTCGCTGTTGAGGTTGACCCTGATACTGTTTCCATGCAAAAGGACAACGCCGTTGTGTTGAAGCCTTGGAACGGAGAGTCCGACACTGCCTTGGTTGACTTGATTCCCCTTTTGGAGTACTTGGCTACCCAGCCCATCAAGGATGTTAGACCAGTCATTAAGTCCTTCAGCGAGTCTGATGATGTTATTACTGAGTACAAGAAGAGAGAGGCTCGTTTGAGAGAGAAGTGGAAGGAAGAGAACAAGCATCTCTTTGAGCGTGCTGGCAAGCCTAACATTGGTACTTTCCTTGGTTCCATGGTCGGCATGTCTCCAAGCGCTTTGAGCAAAGAGCCAAAGATGCCATTGGATTTGATCAGAGAGCACGGTCAGGCTCAGTACGAGAACTTGCAGAAGTTCTTGCGTGAAAACGCCCCTAAGTTCATGGAGGAGGAGCAGAAGATGAAGGATGAGTTCGGTAAGATGACTTTGAACAAGTTGATGACCGAGGGCATGCCTACTCCTGAAGATATTGCCAAGCAACAGGCTGAAAAGGCTGAGGCCGAGAAGTTGCAAGCTTGAACATAGAAAAATCACTCTTGTATAGGCCGAATAAAACGGCGTTGTAATGAAAAGAAGAACTAACATTAGAGAGAAGAGTAAGCTTCACAATGCCCATTGTCAGGGCCAGCGATGTCCCATTGTCTTGAGCATAAATGGTTGATGACGTTTGACCTTTTGACGGTACAAGAACATCATAACTACATTCAAACAGCAATGCCTACTCTACAAGGTAAATGTTTCTAATATGGCGTTTTATTGATGTTATTTAGTTCCTAAGTACTCATGGAGTTCAATTTCTTGACTCTCAACATTTGTTCCAAGGAAATACGAATATAGAGCTTTTCGTGAAGCTCGGTAGAAGCGTCAGTACGCTTGGGCTGATTTGATGGGATGGTGGTTGGCGGGAGAGGCTTGTTTTTCTCCCTTTTGCTCTTGCTTCTCTTCAGAAGGCGGAATCTAAGATAGAGCTTTGGCTCTTTCTGTTGGAGGGCGGTTTCTTTTTGTTTCTTAGTGTAAACGAGGTTCTTCTTTGTGAGCCTGGGCAGTCTTCTGCAAGTGGCTTTGGTGTTCTGGGTCATTGTAGTTTGAGTGGCAGACATTGTATAGTTATTATGAGTGTGTGGCTGGCGTTTGGGTAGAATTTGAAGAAGATAGTGGTAGTAGAAGAAAAAATTGGTGGGGGCTGGGAGAATGGGTATTTGTAAAATATGGGTGCAAAGTTTCCCTCCTGGAGAGATCGAGCGAGGAAAGTCCAATTCCCAGTTAGGACAACGAAGAGATTTCACGAGGGGAGAGATAGAAGGGACTAGAGAAGTAGGAGGCTACACTGGTGGCTTTATAAATTTGTTAAGTTATGTTTTTGGTTGTTGGAGTGGGTTGTGTGATTGTACTGTAAAAAATGGGTCTCCATAGTGAACAACCAAAGGAAGAAGGCTGTTGCGGTGTAAGGAAATAATAGGATAGACACTGTGTCTATATCTCCGTTTTTGCTCTTTATGGTTGTATTTCAGCTCTGTTCTCTTTATTTTGTGTAGCCTTCGTTATCTGTTGATGAGTACTGTTTAGGTATATCATCACCAGTCACCTACCACCCATTCTGTTTCTAATCTTCTGAAGGCTTACCATGCTAAAGAAACGCTCGCAAAAATAACATCTAGAACGTTATAATACAATTAAGAAGAAATAGAATCACCAGAGATCAGTGGTCCAAGCCTGGTTGAGATAAAGCAGCTCATTAAGCTTTTGGCTTTGGAAGGTGAACACTGCGGAGGGGAAGGACCTTCTGAGCGGTAGCGAAGAGAAGTATAAGCTTTTGGAGTAGTCTCTCGATCCTATGAACATGAAGTTTTCTTTGGAGATGTTGAAGTAGGTTGTTGAACATACGGTAAGTACATTCATTCTTCCCAACTACCAACCCAAGAAGAACCTTAATACCAGCTTTTCAAGGCCATTCTTACACCTACATTGCACAGGTCAATCCAGAAACAACAAGTACCACCATCTTAATCCCCTCCACTCCACACAACCCATTCACGGTTCGATCACCAAACCGACCGTACATAAGACAAGACAACAAAAAGACCACTACAATTGACAAATCCAAATCCATCCCAACCATTGACCCGTTGGGCCATTGTTAAAGCATTAAAACCACCTCTAACACAAGACTGTCCTCTACTATAAGTCTACTCCAAAGGTACCACCCAAAAAGGACGTTTGGGACCACCGACTCCGTTTTTTGACAGGTTTGTAGCCAATCAGGACCAGGTTGACGTACGATTTCACACAAGGACCAAAACGCAAAACCAGACATAACCCGAAATTATCACATTCTCAGAGTCTCACCCAGTAGTGAATTTTTCACCCAGCCCAGACCACCAGAAGTGGCAGTATCTCTACGAAAAGACCCCCAAAAGAGGCAATCTTCATATGTATATAACCAGAAAAAGACGGAGATTTCAGATTTTCAAGTACTTTCTCCACTTCACAATTCTCCGGCTCCTCCACTGCTGGTCCCGTTTTTACGCCTTTTCGCTGCCCCAGAAAGCCGACTTCGGCCCGCGCCCATTGGCTGCGAAAAAAGACAAAAAAAAAGAAAGACGTTGCTCCACCAGGAAGAAAAAGGACTGACTTTGGCAGAACAAGACCACGAAACGGACAATTATATAGAGAAAAAAAAGTGGGAAAATCCTCTGCTATTTATATTAGTCTGCTCTTTTTCACATGCTTCTTTTAAAGTCCCCGCTTCTCTTTAACTTCTCTCCATTCCATCGTTTAGGCGCCTTTTTTTTTTTTTTTTTTTTTTTTTTCTCCCTCCTTTTTTTATCTAAACCATCAGTGCCAATCACCTCCCGCGGCTGTATTTTCTCACCAAACCCACTACTTTCTTCTACGTCTTGTTTTCCATTTCCACAGTCACACTTCCAGCCGGCAACATCAGGAGACTTTTTCATTGCCACATTTGAAGAAAGCTGATTTTCTTCTACTCCAGCCTGCCCAGACCCGTACACCGGGCCCGTTTTTCCACTGAACCCTAAAACCCACCGTCGCTTCTTAGCTAAACGACACCCTTTTCCAAACATATATATTCCTTTAACGTTTTCCTTTCGAAAAAGCATCCGCCATGTCCACGAGAGGACCCCAGATCGCCCCTCGCACGTCCATGGCGCCTTCGCCTTCAGCAGCGTCTAACATGTCCATGAACGCTTCTTCGCCAGAATCAGCCTCTCCAGGCTCCTCCATAGCGCCAGCTCCTAACCTGGTTACATCTATAGTCACTTCCAGAGAATGGGTGCTTCCTCCTCGGCCCAAGCCGGGTCGCAAGCCTAGTGTTGATACGCCAGCACTGAAGAGAAAGGCTCAGAATAGAGCTGCCCAAAGAGCCTTTAGAGAAAGAAGAGCCACGCGAGTGCAAGAGCTCGAGCAGAAGTTGCTAGAGGTCGAGAAGGAGAAGGAGGTGAAGGAAATGGGGCTTGTCAACACCATCAACAAGTTGAAGTTTGAGAACCAGTTCCTTATTAAGAGCATCGAGCAGCTTAAGCTGGAGTTCTCTTCCTTACGGTCCTCTGTTGCTGGCTCCCCAGCTTCTCCTCATCATTCTCAAAGCAACGGACCTTCTCCTAAACCATATGGCCACCACCAGTCCCAGAACCAGTATCACATGTCTCAAGGCTCTTCGGTCCCTAGACAACAACAGTCGGCCTACCACCGTGGTTCCCAGAGCTCCCAGAGCTCTCAGGGCTCGCTGGCGATGCTCCATGCTAATCCTAATGCCCAGTCGAGGCCTTCTGCTTATAATCTTGATGTCAACCAGAGCGCACAGCATTTACTTAACTTTGCCAAATCGCTGCCTGCCAACCACTCTACGGGCTCGCCAGCCTCTCTGCTGTACTCTGTGCAACAGATACTGCCCGCTCCTAGCGCTGACTCTCCACCAACAGCCCTGTTGTTCCGCCATGTGCCTTCTAACAAGTCCACGCTCATTAGTCCTACGTCCCAAAACGCTACGCCCAACAAAGAGGGTAAATCTAGCAACCACCATAATACCACCGACGACGTTGACTGTGGCGTGTGCATGAAGGACCTGTGCCTCTGTGAGGACATTGGAATCAAGGAGAAGCCTGTTGTGGAAGAAGAATTTAATTCATTTACTCCTATGGCAGCTGTGCTGCTTAAGGGCAGTAAGAAGAGATCTCGCGGTAACAGCTCGCTGCTTTCCAACAGCAGTACTGGCAAAGAGATCGACTTCACTGCTGAATTTGCCGTTAAGAAAATGCCTGATTTGAAGCGTTTAAAGAAATCGCCTGATGCTGACAAGAAGGTGACCATCAAGAAGGAACAAGAAACTTTCCTTCCAAGCAATCCTGCCTTCAATGAAGAATCTCCAGTCGAGAACTGTGGTTTCTGTTCGGACGACACTCCTTGCGTTTGCAGAGAAGCAGCCAAGGAAGCAGCTCGAATTAACGAATCGTTAACACAGAAACAGGACGAGCCTGAGCAGACTGAAGAGGCCTCTACATCGCTTCCGCCTCTTCTTAATTCATCTGCCATGCGTAAAGCCTCCTTGCCTGTGATGCACCCTGGTCCAACTCTCGAAATCCGTGAGTTCACTAACTTGACTCCAGGTGCTGTGCCTACTGTCGTCGCTAAGGAAGATAAGCAAGAAGAAGAGGAGCCAGAATCGAAGTCTGGATGTACCGGTAACCCTGGTACTTGTGCACAGTGTCAAACTGACCCAATGTCGACTCTCTTCTGTACTACTGTTGCCAGCAGAGCTGCCACCACTTCAAAAGAACCAAGTGTTGCTCCTGAACAAACGCGACCAACGCTAAACAGACTGGGCCCAGAGAAGAAGCTACCCATCGAGGCCAGTCCCTCCAAGAGCTCAGATCCTCTCGAAGACAGCAAAGCCTTGGAGGCTGCTGATTCTCAAAACAGCTCTAACAGCTCTCGTCCTAACAGCTTTGCTCCACAGACCACTCCATCCACGCCACTTCCGACCACGCCTGGTGGATCCACCACCGGTATATTTATTCCTTGTGCTGACGCGTATAAGACGCTTTCTCGTCACAAGCGCTTCAACAGTGTTGACTTTACTTCGCTTGTGGGTAAGCTTACGACGCGAGGAATGCAAGTGGAGGTTCAGTCTGTGGCCAACGTGATCAGAGAACTCGACAGGAAGGTCTACGATTAGGTGAAGATAGAAACAATAAAAAATAGATAATGGTTACGATTTCTACATGGATTAATGAAGGAAATGTAAGTGGAAGTAACACTGTGGTACAATTTGCAACCTTGACTTGTAATTCCAGACAGGCCAAGCAATGCCTGGCATACCTTGAAGACCTACTAAGATAGAATACAAATTCTAGATTGTTAGTGGCTCTTGAGCTTATAGGCCTATTTGCTTCTCTAGTATACTACCATTATGCTAATATAATCAGCCTTAATTTGCTTTAAACCCCAACCAAGCAAAAGGAAAGTGTAATAAATGAATTCTCTGACAAATGGAATATCCCGTATCTCTTCCTTTGCTTCTATTCCCTCTGAAACTCTCCACTTCCGCCTTCTAAGGCCTATTTTGCACCCAAAAAGCAACCCTCATGTCATTTCTCACCCACCCCACCAAAACTCAAAATATCACCATCCCAGAGACCCTCATTCCCAAATTTATCCCTCCCATCCCTTTTTCCCCCAAATTCCTAACTGCCCACCCCAATAACAGACCATCTCTCCATTCCATCTACTACTCTTTATGTCTGTCCTGCACACATTGCACCGTTAGAGAAGAGCATCGATAAGATCCAAACCTGACCTACTCCACATTATCCAAAACATCACATATGCTACGAGCAAAATTATGCTATCCATCGAGCCGAGCCGTCTTTAACTCGTTCCAGAGTAGACCGCTTGGGATGGCTCGAACGACCCGTACGGCGCCGGGAACACCCGCAGAAACACTCAAATCGGCAGCAAAACAGGCCAAGGGGCCTGGAAAAGCAGCCAAATCAGGTACTAAGTCTTCAAAAGCGTCACAGAAGCTGTTAAAGGGACATTCAGGTTCGGGTAAACGGAACCTGGCGAAAGGACCGCCTGAACTTTCACTTAAAAGTCTTATGTCTGGACCGTCTACAGGTAAGCCCCATGGGTCTCCATATAGGTCTTCCAAGGGTAAGGACGGATCGAAGGGACTGTCAAAGACTTCTAAGCGTTCTGGGCTGCCTGGAAAAAAGCATGTTTCTTCAGGATCTAAGGGCAAGAGCACTTTTGAAAGGGCTGCAAGTCTAACTGAACTGACACTGAAATATGGAGGGAAGTTTAAATTGAAGAAACCGTTTCTGAAGGCAGCTGGAGAACCGCCGTTGGATCACATAAACACTTATGGTGCTTCAGAACCCGAGACTTTCCGTTGTGTTAAGTCACCTATTAGAGATAACATTCTGCGTCTTAACCATGGACTCGAGAAGGTGCTCTTTTCGCCTGGTGTGCATTTCTTTCAGGATCCTAGAACTCGAAGGTACAACTTTACGCCTTACTTGTCTAATATCGTGAAGTACGAAGAGTTTGACTTTGATAAGGTGCCTGGGTTCATCTCTGCATCCGAAGATAAGAACCTTTTGGCGATGGCATCCAAAGAAGGTGCAAAGTACTTGTCTTCGACGTCTTCAATGACGCAGACACTTTCAAAATTCTACCTCTTTCTTAATGGGTATGATCCAGACCCAGAGGCTGAAAACTGTGAAAAGAGGTTCCCATTCCCCAGGTTCACCAAAACCTTCAGAACGCTTCCAGCGTCACTTATCGTGCTGCCCAAGGACATGAGATCGAAATCAGAGGATGCAATTTATTCAGTTACGCCAGATAAGTCTTCTGATATTGAGCATTTGCTTAGTGCCATGGGTCATTGCTTAGAGACATTGCTCACCACCGACGAAGAGGGCTTCAAAAACTATCTTGTAAATAATCCAGGAGTCCCTAACGAGTCAGCAGAGCAGGAGTATAATTACAGTTCCTATGGCAAGTTCATCATGCGTTCGCAGCTCGACTGTTACAACCCAAACCTTCCCAATGGCGGATCATTTGATTTGAAAACTCGTGCTGTTTGTGCAATTCGCCATGATTCGTACCCGCCAGCACCTAGCAACTACCAGATTTGGCGTAAGGAAGGCGAATACGAATCGTTTTCCAGGGAATACGACGATTTAATCAGAACAGGAGCGCTTTTGAAGTACTGTTTCCAAGCTAGGATTGGCCAGATGGACGGTATCTTTTTGGCATACCATAACATCAAGACCTTCTTTGGGTTCGAGTACCTCCCCCTAGAAGAAATCGACCGTGTGTTCTTCAGCAACATACGAGTGGAACGCAGATCTCGTCAGGACAGAATCGAAGAAGGCCGCAATACACCACCCGACGATAAGCTTCCAAGCCATGTTGCCCAAGTCCAATTTAAAGCTTCTTTGGATATATGGGCAGCTTTGATGGATAAGGTTATCAACGACTTGAAGCGGAAGGGATACAATAAATGCCCCTTTAGACTTAACGTCACGGTGAAAGACTCGAGTCTCTTTGTCTACGCCGTGCCACTCACGCCCGAGTTGGAAAGAGAAGTGCAAAAGTTCCTGAGAAACTTTAAAACGTCGTTCCGCCATGACCTCACGCCAGACGAAAGGAGGCAGAACATTATCCATTTTCTGGAAGAGTTGGATAAGCTCGACGAAAAGCTCGTTACCGATGTTCCCCTTCTCGCCTACCAAGTCCGTGCCCGTCACTCTTTCGACAACTCCGACGTTGTAGGACGTCATCCATACCCTCAATCCTCCCAGCAACCATGGAAGATTGGTTACAGCATAACACCATACCGTCTGGCCCAAGACGCCTACGTTGACTACAGTAAGACCATGAAGAAGGTGACAGATCTACTCCGGCTCAGGGCAGAACCTGACGAGGTGGATGAATCACCTCTGTTTATTGACGTTCTTCGTTACTTTGGCGAAGTGGGACAACAACGTCAGGACCAGTGGAAACAGCACGAGAAGAAGTTTACGAAGAATCATGCCGAATCTGGAGCACCACGAGACTCTGGTGCACTTGGTGAGGGAAAAAAGTGAAAAATGTGAGTGGGGAGATTGATCCGGTGGAAGGGGAAGGAGTGACTAATCACAGCCAGTGTGTTGGAAAAGAGGCATGTACAGGGTTTTGGTTACCTGGCGGGGGATGCAAAGTGATGTTATGTTGGTTGTTGCCATGAGATCCCTACGCCCGGGACCAAATTGTCCACTTTTCTTTTCCCTCCTTTGCTCCTATTTGACTCACTGCCGGTTATCCGAGCAGCACTGTTATCTCATATCCTGCATACCTGACGTCACATGGAGTAACTCATCTCAGTGTAACAATGCCATCACAAGGTGTGTACTGCAGGTAGGTCGCCTCCGCTAGCCCATTTCGGCAGATTCACGCCAAATGTCCACAGTTAATCCGAGCAGAAGCCTTTTTTTTTTTTTTTTTTTTTTTTTTTTTAATTTCGCAGCCAGTCCGCATCGCCGAACTGGCCACCCATAAAACCACCAGTGTTGCCAGATCAGAAAAAAAAATCAATATCGTCCCATCTTCTTTTTTCCAAGCAAAACAACATCCTTTATTATGGAACTTTCGTTCTCCCAAATACGACCTGAGTTGAGCATGAAGCCCTCTCTCAGCCCCAACACTTCCAACACCTCCCTTAACCTGCTTTTCTCCAAGATTGAAAACTCGCCGCTAACTTCCCTTACTTCGTTTACCTCGTCTACAACTCCAGCAACGTCTCCAGTTTATGATGTTCCGCGTGCTGAGGATGTTTCGTCGCTTTTACGTAAAAGAGTCGAGTCCAAGACGTTGGTGATGCTTGTGGGTTTGCCTGCTTCTGGTAAATCTACTGTTTGCAAGCAGTTGTCGTCGTTTTTGCAATCCAACGACTACAAGTGCCTGATCTACAACGCTGGTAACGTGAGGAGACTGCTTCGCAGAACCTTCTCTGATGCTGACTTCTTCAACCCAGATAACGCTGCTGCCCAAGAACAAAGGGAGCAGTTTGCCGCTATCGCTATGGAACAAATGCTTGAGGACTTCAGAAACAACAGAATCAACGTTGGGTTCTTGGATGCCACGAATACTACGCGCAGACGTAGAGACAAGATGCTTGATATCGTTAGAAACTGTGATGTTTCTTTCTCCAACGTGATTGTCTTGGACATCTCGTGCACTGACGAGCGTCTTTTGGCGTACAATGTCAACGGCAAGACTGCCAATGGCGACTACTCTGGTCGTTCTGTGGCAGAGGCTATTGCTGACTTTAAGCAAAGGTCTTCTCATTACTACAAGGTGTACGAGGCCATTAGTCCACAAGAGTTGGATCAAGCTAGCGACGTGATCTCCACGTATATCAGCATCCAGAACGCCAAAAACACAAACAGCTACAGCATCGTTTCCAAGAAACTGAGTGACGAGGTTGAAGATTTGTTTACGTCATTCGCTGGTAACTACTACAAAATGCATGGCGAGAGGTATCACGCCGCCGTGGACTCGTTCTACAAAATATCACAACAAGCATAAGATGCCCTGGAATGGGCGAGGGAAGGTTAAGGTTTTACAATTATTTTGGTTTTATTGGTTATTGGTTTATAGATTCATAGATAAGGTCCCATAGGCAGAATTCCTAGAGTTCAAGGTTGGGAAAAAAAAAATATTTTATCATTAAACTATAATGTAGATTGGAAGAGCCCTTGAAGCATCTGATGTAATGCAAAGGTCACAGTTTTGATGTATTTTATCGGCACCGGCTGTTATGTGACTCTGGGTTTCTGATGGCTAATCATTCATCGGTCTATGGTAGTTTTCCATGCATTCCTGTCTTTTTTTGTTCAAACGAATGGCGTGCTGGGTAGTGAGCGGCTGTGGATTTGGTTGGCTGTCCTTCAATGGCAACGGCTCACCGTTTTATGACTCCCCAAGTCCTGGAATGCTCGAAGTCAAGTTCCTCAAACCAGGCACAACGTCGGAGTCACGCAGGTATTTCCCTCCAATAGAGGCTGCTGGCGTGTCTTCCAAAACGGCATTCACGTTGTTGTTAACACTGTAGTACCACGCACCGTTCTTATCGTTGGTGTATGGTGGATCCTTGAATGCTCTTGGATCGTTTGGTCTTGCTCTGGACCAGAAACGAGCAGATCTGTCGTTACCGGCAGAACACAAGATATGGCCCAAAGGATGGTACTCCAAGGCGTGAATGGCTTTCTCGTGAGCATATGGAATTCTGTGAACAGCGTCAATGCCCTTTCCACGAGCATCTTGATCGGTAGAAATGTACTTATCCAAAATGTAATGGGCCATAGAACCGTCGTAGGCACCCGTGGTGAGGAGACCAGCGTGAACAGGGTGCCATTCAACACTGGAAAGGTCAGCCTCCGCATCACGAATCACCACAAAGTCAGACATGGTACGTAGATCGAAAACACGGCACGAGCGGTCTCTGGAGACGGACGCTAGGAGTCTATTTGTACCGACTTTCTGGAACTTCGTTTTCATGACGGTATTCTTGAATCCGTGTAAGGTAGTAACGCACTCGGCAGACCTAGGGTCCCAGAGCTTAATAAGGTTATCTTTAGACCCTGTAACGACCAAGCCCAAGTTTGGATGCCAATCAGCACACTTGATATCCCAGTGGTGGCCTGTAAGTGTTCTTTCCTCCTGGCCATTATTAAAATTCCATATCTTGGCCAGAGAATCGTCCGAGCACGTAAGAAACTTTGTATCGTTTGGCGAAAACGCTATATCTCGAATAGCATCTGTATGTGCCTTGACAATATTGACGTTATTAAAATTGGGCTGCCAGTACTTAACCAACCCCTCCTGGTCTCCAGATAGAAGCCATTCATCGTCGTGTGAGTACTTCAACGCAAGCACCGCCAGATCGTGTGCTTGCATGATAGTTTCGAAATTAAACGTCATACCGTTCCAAACAGTAAACTCTCCCGAATGCGAAGCCACCACGAGTCTTCTTCCCTCAGGCGTCCATTTCACCGTATTGATCGAATGTTTAGCCTTATTCGAAGACAAATGCACAAACTTCAGCTGCACGTCAAGCACCGCCGGGTTCGTCCTCATCCTATCGCCCTTATACGCCAAAGCAGGAAGCAAGTCTATAAGGTACGACGACTCAGGACGCACCTCACCGATAGAGTACTCGGTATCGCCCATCGACTTTCGAAGGTAATACCGGCCCATCGAGTTACCATGGTCAAGCGCACGTCTATGGATGCCCTTCTTTTCCTGCAGCTGGAGCTGCTGGTCTATGTTTTGTTGGTACCGCAGCGCCATGGTTGGAGATGGAGGTTGGTGGTGGTTGGAGTTGGAGTTGGTAGTTGGAAAGTGTTGATGATGAGTGCGCACTATGTAGGGAAGAAGAGGTGGAGAGGTGATGGAGAGAAAGAGGATGGGAGGAGGTGGGAAAAGGGGGTTATTTGGAATTGGGTGTTTACGATGTTGGTTTTGGATTTTTTGGTTCCTGGAGGAAAGGTTGGTTTTGGTGGGGGCTGGTGGAATGGAGGTGGAGGAAGTAATGGCTGCGAAATGGACTAAGTAGAGGTGGTGGATGGACAGGAAGATGACAGGGTATGTAGGGAGGGAAGGGGCATTTCTTGGCTGCTTTTGAAGGGCTTTCGTTGATTTGAGTGGCTTTTTCTGGTCGTTTGGAGTGGAAAGGTTGGGTATTCTTGGGCACTGGACCTATGAAGGTAGTAACACGGGAGGTCTTGATAGAGGGAAGGCTTTTTGGGTAAATGGGCTGTGGTTTACGGTAAACAATATTGGCTGGGTTTAGTGGTAGTGGATTGAAGTGTTCTTAGGCTGGGTACTCTGTAGTTTTTGGGATATATGACCTAAGAGGTACACTGGCACCATTTGTGGACAACTTCAATCGCAATTTGCATATCAGCATTCAAAGTCATTGACTCCCTTTTATTTTGTTTATTTCCTGTTTCTTGAGCTGTGAATTTGATAAATTACGCTTCCATTAGGAGGGACATCAGGTTACTTTATGCTTCGATTGGTTAAGCTTATGGATTGGCCATGCGATGCTTCCCTCAACACTTGACTCTGCGCCAAATAGCAAACATCTTTCAAAACAAGGATTTTCTTATAAATAAGAGATGCACATTTGGCTACTCTACCCTTCCGTCCATTTATAGCACCTGCTTCAGAGACTGGTTTGTGTCACTTTCGACCTTTTTCGCAGCCAAACTGATGTCCAACCTAAAGCTACACTACAGCACACGAGGCATAAAATGGTTGATTTGAGACTGTCGTCTTGTCCCTGGGCCCTCTAAGGATGACTAGAAAAATAGAATATGGCGAATTACCCTTCTTGAAAATGTAATAACTATACATATGTGCTTGTAGACCCCACAAGAGGCGCATCAGAAAAGTGAAAGTTAACCCCCAACAAGTAACACTTTGGCCTTACGTCTTCCCAGTCTATTTTCTGAATAGACTAGAACAATTCCCCTTGATGCTAGACAGGTAGAAACTGTGGGCCCACGGTGCAACTGTGGATTCTGGGCACGTGACTTAATCAAAACTAAAGGTCCAATTCTCCCAGCCAAATGTCCAAAACCATCAAATTAAAGAACATAAATAGACTTCCGTGATCTTTAGCTTCCTTCCTGACCCCCTTTTCTCCCTTAATTCTACGTGGCTGGGCTGGTTATCCGACTTTTTCAAATCTCTTCACGTGATCCATCCCACGTGCGCCACCGTTATGCGGGGCCTATTACGGCTCCAATTACCGATTGCTTATTCCAAACCAACCTTCTTTTCAAATATGGTCGCTATCTACTATCACGATAACCTAGACACTCCTGAAAACTTCACCGAGGACCACGACTCCGGCGTGCCGGTCCCTGAAGACAGATTGGCCGAAATCGGCGTCTTCTACAGGTACATTGATAACTTGGAAGACTTGGAGCAAGTTGCTAAGGACAGAGACTACAAGAACAGAGACCAGGTTTTGCTCAACTTGGATACTTTCAAAGGTGACCAGAGTGCGTTTGACGCCAAGATGGCCCAATTCTACAAGGAGCACTACCATGAGGATGAAGAGATCAGATACATCTTAGATGGAGAGGGTTTCTTTGATGTCAGAGACCCTGAGGACAGATGGATCCGTGCTAAGCTCAACAAGGGCGACTTGTTGGTATTGCCTGCTGGTATTTACCACCGTTTTACTTTATCGAAGAGACACCAGAATGTGAAGGCCATGAGACTCTTCAAGGATGAGCCTAAATGGGAGGCTATCAACAGAGACGAGGGTCGCCAGACGGAGGCCCGCTTGGACTACTCTAGGTCTGTTAGCAGTGCTGCGTAAGCGGCCTGGTGCTGTTTTATGTGTAATATAAGGGAAGGAATAAGAGTACGACGATGTAGTTAACGCAAGAAGCTGCCGCCAAGAGGCAGCTTCGTTTGGCCTTTCCAGCACTAATTCTTTAACCCTGAATTTATGCTCCACTGTCCATCTTCAATTTCTATTTTTCACTCCACCTCTTAATCTACATCTCTTCATGCTACACCGTCTCATGCTACCCTTTCATTAACGTCTATAAGCGAAGTTTCTGGGACACTCACTGTCTCACAACCTTGACCTTGTTTTTCTTGACCCACTCGTCCATCTTCTTTTTCGTCTCCACGAGCTCTTTCTCAAGTGCTTCCTTGGACGCCTCGAGCTCTTTCTTCTCCTCGTCTAGAAGCTTGATCACATCGTCCACGGTTTTTTCAACCAAAACTCCTCCAATCATCTTGAAGCATTTACGGTCACCTCTTTTTTCAGGTGGAATGCTGGAGAGTGTATTGTCCACGATACCGTGTTCTTGGGCCTGGGACGTTATGGACGAAAGCTGTGTTTGCAATTCTGTGAGGGCTTCTTGGAAATTGTTGTATTGGAGCTGGAGAGCTTGCGTTTTCTGCTCTTCTGATATTTTGTCCTTTTGTTCAGCCATGGTTTGGGGTTTCTGGTGATCTTTTGGATGCTTCTCGTTGATACTACTTAGTACTTTTCACTGGCGGTGAGGTCACGTGCGCACAGTTCGAATTTTCGATCTTGTCTTTACTCCCCATGAATTTTGTATCTATGTAGTTACTTCTTTTCGGTGGTCTCTTCCTTCTTGGTCGCTGGCTCAACCTTGGCCTTCAGCGAAGTCTCGGGTCTCTTTTCGCCAATGTACAAGAAGTTCATCACGAACAAGAACCAGGCCACAACCACAGTAGCGAAACTGACCATGTACATCCACGAGTTAGGAATGTCCCAGGAACGCTGGTACTCGTCGTTGGCCAAGTGTCTGACAGTAACGACACGGCTGTCCTCAATGAAGGTCAAGCCTGGACGCTTGTAGTCCAACTCGAAAGTGAACATACCATGGTGGTCTGGAGTAGTGAAGTTGACGAAGAAAACGGTCAAGTCATTCTGGCCATTTTCAGTAGAAGAGCCAGGACCCAAGGCAGTCATGTTCAAGCGCTGGTATGGGTCCAACATCTTGAAAGACAATTGCACGACATCTTCTTCGGAAGCAGGAGTATAAGGAATCCACTTACCGCGCTTCCATTCAGAAATACCAGCAGTGTAGACAACGTCGTTCTTGATTCTGTACTGGGTACGGTTAGACTGGCCAGGCTCGTCGGCCTTGTAGTGCTCGACGAACTGCAACTTCAACACGCCCTTCTCCTGGAAAGTCCATCTAACCAATTCCTCGTTGAGCAATTGTTCAGAGCCAACCCAGGCAATACGGGCACTGTTCAAACCCTGGAAAGAGGCAGCCAAAAAGCCCTGCTCACCCAAAGTCCAAGTTTTCTCGGCGATCAACGCAGCATCCTTAGTGCTAGCAGTGTAAGAGGTCTTAGGGGCCTTCACAAGAGGAAGAGCAAAGGCATTGTTGCCGACCAAAGCGGCAGTGCCCTTGTATTCGTCAACCTTGACCTCGTCAATGATTCTTGGTTCCAAGACATTGTCTGAGCCCACAGAAAGCTTGTTGAAGTGGTCGCCCACCACGAAACCCTTAGGAGCAGGGTAAATGTCAGCCTCGTTCAAGAACAAACGGACGTTTTCAGGCAACCCGTTTTCAGCCGACAGCACAGCCAAAACATTGCCGCCCTTATTGAAAAACTCAAGCAACTTGAACTTATCCACGATTCCAGTAGCAGCAGCGCTTCTCTTGGAAGAAGGCAACAACACCAAATGGTGGTAAATGGCGTCCTCGCCCAAAAACAACTGGGCAGCGTCATCGGCATAATCCACAAAACTCACCTTAAAGTGCTCTTGCAGCTCCAAAAGCTGGCCCACACTGACATCTTCAGGCAGCGTCAACGAAGCGTCGTACATCACCAAAACCTGCCTGTCGGACCAGGAAGCCGAGGAAAGAGCCAATGCAGACGAAAGTAGTAAGAATAGCGCGGTTAGCGAGAACCGGGCCTGGAAGAACATGGTAATTGTTGGTTTTATGTGGGATTGGGGTTGGGAAGAGTCTGGATGGGTTTTCAGGTAATCTGGAGGTTTTCAAGGTTGACGTGTGCGGACTATGTGCAGGAACGTGTTTGAGAGGCGTTGACAGGGAGGAAGTGGGAGGCCCTGAATGGGTGGGGAGATGAGTGAAGGAGGTTGTTTTATGGGTATGTATTGGAGGAGTGGTTTTGATGATTCTGAGGTTCTTTTTTTGGCTCTTTTTGGGCTGTTGGGGAGTTTTTAGTGGACTGTGGTGCTGCGAATTGCAGCCAAAGTATAGAGAAAGAGGAAGGATAGTTTTGGGGCCACAGGAAGGTAAAACAGTGAAGGTAATTATGTATAAGTGGATTGTTTTTTCTCTTTTGTTAATTAAGAGAATTTTGGCTAGCTAGGGAGGGTTTTGGTGGAGATAACAGTGGGTGTAGTGGAACTGGAGTGGCTGCGAAAAGAGGGAACACGGTTGAGTAAGTGCTATGGATAAGGATAATGAACGGGAAGGTTATGCAAAGTAGACTCTTATATTTTATGAGTCCTTTGCCAGGAAGTAGCGTATTTCTCTGAGGAGGGTGCTGTTCTTGGAAACCAGGCTGTACTCTTATTTGGTAGGTCATATCCAACTCTGCCAACGCCAGACCATCATACCATTTTGCTGTAAATAGCATTTTTTCTTTTCTTAGCAAGGGAACTGAAATATCTACTTTTTGAAGACTTACCCTCTTTCATATTTCTTTCTTTCTCGTGAAATTCTTATCCTTTGTGTATTCATCTATTTATTCTGAGTATTTAAGTCAGATTCACAGTGACACCACAAATGTCAAAACTCACGGGCCTCCCAAAAATCAGAAAAGCATAAGAACAGTCTCAGATGTGTTAAATAGCCCCGGGAGAAACCCCTTCTTGAACGACGACTTCAGAATCATGCTTTTAAACGGCGTACGGGCCCACCGTGATATCGCTGAAAAGACCTTCATTGCTTAATGAAAGGAAGGTAATCTTAAGGTATGAATATCATGGTGAGCTTACTCCTAATTCTCTACCAAAATATGAAATACTCTTTTGAAGGGCTCCATCGTGGGTGGAAACAAAGCACTACCAGTTGAAGTAAGCTGAAACCTGAAACCACGTCAAGTGACCAGAAACGCCCAACAAATGACCCCTAACGTGCCAAAAGAAACTTCAATATACTACCGTTACGCCAGTAAACACAACAAGGCCACGAGGAGTAGCCAGAGAATGTGTGGAATGTACCAGAATATGCAACAATGCACGATAAACACGCTTCTCGAAGCACCTGGAAACAAGCGGAGAAGGGGAGAACAAAGAGCAGGCTTTGAAGGTGATTTCACTTCTTCTTCGGGATGCCTAAGGAAGGAAGGGTTGGATGTAGCTGAAGATATTGGCTCTTTTCGCAGCCATCCATATAGACCAGGATGAGTACTCCAGTAGAGAACAGAGTGTTGTTAAAAAGAAAAAATAGACCAACAAAGAAGTTATCAACCCTAGAACACCTCTTAGTTGTCCAATCCTTGACCTTCCTTAAAATTCACCAACTCTCTAAGACCACTCCAGACCAACTGCTTAAGTATGGGGACTTCGCACCCATTTTTCACCTCATCAACCTCCACTCTTTCTTCAAACCACAAAACGCCATGATCAAAATCAAAGTCGAGTTTCTCGGCGGCCTCGATATCATCTCCAACAAAGTCAGAGAACACCGCGTGTCGTTGCCCTTGGAAGAAGGCGAGGCGACAATGAAAGATGTCATTGAGCACATCACCAAGACCATCATTGCAGATGAGAAGGATATCCCTGTGTTTCTTGAGGAGGGGACGGTGAGACCGGGGATATTGGTTTTGATTAACGATACGGACTGGGAGCTTGAGGAGAAGGAGGAGTATGTGGTGGAGTCTGGCGATGTGTTTACGTTTACGTCGACGCTTCATGGGGGATAGCCGGCCGAGTAACGATAGCCGAGTGATGGCCGAGTGAAACGAGGCTATCGACGAGGCTATCGACGAGGCACGATGCTATAGAACGCCTATTACGATACCTCATAGTTCAGAAGACGAGGAGAGCTACTAACAGCCTCTCAGGCATGAATCCTCCTGATGCAACATCCCCCCAGTCTCCAGGTCCTACATTTTGAGGAGAACCGTCCCAGATTAATCTATAAACCATAAAAGCCTAGCACGACGCCTAGTAAGGCACGATATGACATCCCAAAAGGCCCTGGCCGGGCCAGTCGGACGTGGGGACCAAAATAAGCGTTTCCTTATTCTGTCCACGGAGCACATCCACCACAATCTCCTTCCCCACGCTATTTTTCACTTTATTTCCCACAGCACTCAACTTGTTGTGGTTGCCAGCATGCACATCGCCTCCAAATAAAACAATCTTATCATTCTCCTTCAACCCAGACTTTTCAGCTGGACTGCTGCCAGCTACACTCTTCACCAACGCAAATGGAATAATGCTCGATGGTGGAGCCCGTGTGGTTTCATTTCCAGCACTTTCAGCACCTGGAGCTCTTTGTAGCTGCTTGACCAACTGCTCCTCAAGAAGACCCAAAATGCACTTATGGTCGTTTCGTAGACGAATGATCTTGGTACGGATGAGTCTGACGGTCATCACGTCAACGTCGCTTCGTGGGAAACCATCCACCACAAGCGGCAGCTCCATATCACAATTGCAACGGTGCTTCAATGTATCAAAGAGGGAAGAGAGTTGGAACTCTACTTCTTGTTTGACCTCGGCTAAACGCTTATAGTCCAACCTGGCGAGCTCTGTGTGGTTGTAATCACTAACATCGATATTGAGACTCTTCATGAGGCCTGAGAAGGCGTCATCTTTGTTTTCAATGGTCATTTGGAGGAGTAATGGCGTTGGAGGGTTGATGGCGGCGGCAAATCAGCTTGTATAGGGTGGGTTGTAAACCCGTACACCAGCTTACCCCAGGTCGTAAAGCCCTCCGTCAATTCCCCTAATTTTGGATGGTTTGGGGTTCTGGAAGTTTTGGTGGATTTCTAGTATGGTTAAGGTTATGGGTGACGCTTTTGAAGCTCGCTGAGAGCTTGTGTGTGGCGTTTTCTGCCCATTTCAGCTTAACTATGGCCCATCGCTCAGAACATATGCTTTTGGGCTCCACCGGCAGAAAAGCCTTGAAAAAGCCGATTTGCCGGTTTCCAGGGGCCCTCTTTGCTTGATCTGGTCCTTTTTGGTACCCCCTTCACCTTCCCTTCATCGGTGATGTTCAGTTACTTCTAGGTTTGGCTGCGAAAGGACCGTCTACGACAAGAAACGACAATACAACCTATCCTGCTTGGTTTCTTACCCTTTACGAGCCCCCATTGACCCACCACTTCAAACAGTACGGCTTACGAGGTTTGTATTACCCACGGAGCCACCAAGAAACGGCGTTTTTCCGTCTTTTCGTATATCAGCACCCATTAGGAAAGTACTCCGTCAACCAGTGGAGAAGAACAAAAAACGGTGAATGAATTCCGTCCAACGGCACTCTTACATCATGAAAAGGTGCTTCCACGGAAAAGGAAGATCCCTATAGTACAAATACCCTTTAAACTTAAGGTTTAGCCTAGGCTCAGGAACAACATCTTAGGACATCCAAACGTCATCGTTCTCAAAGCGGAATACCCATTCGGCACTGAATCCGGGGCATTCAGGATACACTTTAGCCTTGTAAGGGAATAATGGCCCTGGGTTGTCCTGATCAGGGAATTAGCGGTGGAAAAGAGCACATCCTTGAAGGATCCACATTCAAAGGACCGTATCCACAAACCAGCACCAGCCAAGAAGCCCAAAAGCATCCAATGATGTCTAGAAAAATACAATAGACAAGGTTAGTCAAATCAAGGAAAATGCAAATGGGAACCCAGAACAAGAGAAAAAGAAAAAAGGCCGTGTCGGCTCATACAATAGATATCTACCGATAAGGCGGTAGGTGAAACCCTGGTAGTTAAAGGCCCGTCTTGGCCCCTCTCTCCATCGAACCAGTGTGTGGCTCTCTTCCTGTCACGGCTTGATTCTCGGGTGCTTTCACTTTAGGCATGGCATCATGTGGCTTTTCACTCGTACTTGAAATAAGCACAGCCGGTAAAAGCCACTGGATCACCAAGCCCCGGTTGAAAATTCTTCTTCCCAGCCTCGTTTCAGATAGAGCAGAAATTGAAAGAAAACGAAGAAAACAAAGAGGAAGAACCATCAATTGTCTACCACCGCCTCGTCATGGCCTACACCTCTCCAGTATATCATGTGTATCACTATCGCTATAAAAACCAGCCCGCTGGCGTACCGTTCCCAATACTTCCCAACACTTTCCCATCTTTCTCCTTTCTCTACCTCCCGTATTGACCACACAGAACTGCTCTGGAGTGGTCCACTTGTCGCTGGACTGCCTGTTCCAATTCGTATAAATACCGCTTGAACGCTTCGAGCGCCTGCTCGTCGATTGCCGACTCAGAGCATCTCGGCTGGGTCATTTTTGTATTTTGGGGTTTTTGGGGGAGAATAGGAAAGTGGGATTTGCTGTGTTTATATACTTTTCGGGTTTGGCATTTTGCAACCATTTACGAGACCCCGGAACAAGACGTCATAGAGGTGCAGTGAACGTCTTGCGTGCAGGAAATATGCCAGGCTTAGCCAGGGGGATTGCTACTACTTAACTTTTTTTCTACTATTTCACATTCCCCTCGGTACTGCATACTATTTACGAACTTTCCTAACCTCGTAATAGAATAGGGGAGGTTTCACGGGCTGATCATTCAGGCCTGGGTGATCGGCAGGGGCAGAGGGACGAGTTTGATTTGGGGTATTTGACTGGGAAGGCTTCGGGGACGAGGAATTGAGAGCGCTTGAGGAGTTGGGGAAGTTGGAATTTTTTTGAATATTGGTCACGTGACTCGTCACCCTCATCACATGACGTCCCACGTGCCGATCCATCTTCAAGACATTGCGGCACCGATTGCAAAACCACACGTGACCTGCCACTGCCAAAAGCTCCAGAACCTATCCAATGGCCTGGATTAGTCAAGGCTCTTCTCCCACCTATTCCCCATGATCTCGCTTTCCCAGGAACATATAGACCATTTGAACCAGACCTTGGTCCATCTCTCGCCCCAGGAGGTGCTCCAGTGGGCCGCCGTCACCTTCCCTAACTTATACCAAACCACAGCGTTTGGCCTTACTGGCTTAGTAATCCTTGATATGATCTCCAAGACGAAACCAGTGGATCTTATCTTTATTGACACCTTGCATCATTTCCCACAAACCTACGAGCTTGTGGAGAAGGTCCAGAAAAAGTACCTGCCCAAGCTTCATATCTACAAACCACTGGAAGTGGGAAACGAAGAAGAGTTTGCCAAAAAGCATGGAGACTCGCTCTGGGAGTCCAACGACGATTTGTACGATTTCTTGGTCAAGGTGGAGCCTTCCCAGAGAGCATACAGAGAGTTGGGGGTGAATGCAGTGCTTACTGGACGTAGAAAGTCCCAGGGCGGCTCCAGAGCAACGTTACCAGTGATTGAGGTGGAGCAGCTGAGCGGAATCATTAAGATTAATCCATTGTGGAACTGGGATTTTGCCCAGGTGAAGGCGTACATCACGGAAAATGCCGTTCCATATAACGAGTTGCTCGATTTGGGGTACAAGTCCATTGGCGACTGGCACCTGACGGTGGCTGTGGCTGATGGAGAGGACGAGAGGTCGGGCAGATGGAAGGGCAAGACCAAGACCGAGTGTGGAATCCATGAAACGTCCCGTTTTGCTCAATATCTTGCCAGCTCGGGCTCTGCCTAGAGTTAGAGCTAGAGGTGGTAGAGAACAGGAAAGAGCTGTATTGTGGGCTTTTTGTTAATGGAAAACGGAAACAGAGCAGTTGCAGTTGCTTATGGGCGGTTTTTTGGGTGTCTTTGTGGCGGTTTATGCATCTTCTCCTCCTGGTGCCATTTCTTAGTTCTCCACTGCTAGACATTACTGGAGGCAAAGAAAGGCGTACTGGCCGCTAGTAGCGGGCCGGTAGAACCACGCCAGGTATAATAGCATGATTATAGAAGACAGATTATATTTAAGATATGGTATGGAGTGTAGAAGCAGTTAGATTGGTAATTGGAGCTGCCATGGCAGTTACAACATAATAATACCTCTTATCATTTGTCTCCTCTACGCAAATCTAAAACAACGTTGATTTGCCTGGCGTTGGATTGCTGTTGGTTGCTTCATCTATAAGTACCGTTTGCAGCCATAGTTAAGCGAATTCCGCGTCACAAAACCCCAGATTTCCGCCACCCCCGGCCCCCAATTCCTCCCAATTCCTCAACTACCATCTACTTCTCCTAACCATGAACCCCCAGCCACCCCCTTCTATTTAAATAACCCATCTGGTCTCCCACCACTCCATTCTTCCCCAGGACGTACCTAATCAGGCTTAGATTCCGCGCATAGATAAGACGCATGGAAAAGGTGTCAAACACATCACGGAATTGTCCTCTCATACCAAACGTGAGAGACCAGCAAATCCCAAAATTCCATTGAATCCTGTTATTCCGTTGCATTGTTCTTATCTTACATTTAGTAAGTAGCCTGGCTGGCCCAGGGCCCTGGCCCCAGACGGAATCATACCCTATCGCGGTAATGCGGAATGTATGTGTCAAACTGATTCATCTTTTCCATCTATAAAAGCGCCTTCTTTTCCTCCAAACCGTTTCTGTTTCCAGCACATGCTTAAGGAAGCGCTACTTTATATATACGAGTTTGTGGCTGGCCGCCAAACAGCCATCTTGGCGGTTCTTCTAGGGTGGTTTTTGGCCCACACCTTCATTTTGCACCCATTTCTCATATCTCCACTTAAAAACGTCCCTGGGCCGTATTGGAACAGGGTATCTAGAATTCCATTTTTGAAGGCTTCCTGGGGCGCCAGCCTTGTGGCTAATACACACAAATGGCATGCTCAGTATGGGAACGTGGTGGTTTTGGCGCCCCATATGGTTTCATGCAATGGAGACCCAAAGTTCTTAACTGACATATACACCAAGAACATGCCGAAACTGACGTTTTACGAGAACTTTCTGAACCACGGGAACAGGAAGAACGTGTTCAGTACCTTGACAAACCCAGAGCATCTTCGGTTAAAGAAGATCATCCAGAACTTGTACCTGAAAGGATCAGTACTTAAAAACGTAAACCGCCAGAACTTGATAGAAAAGGTTTCGTTTTTGATGGACGATCTTCATAAGAACTCCAGCACGGCCGTGGACGTGTTTACCCTTTTTGCAGCGTTGGCAATGGATGCCGTGAGTGGATTCGAAGTAGGGTTGCAGAACAGTACAGATCTCTTGGAAAAGCCAGAGAAACGACCCATTGTGGCTTCTTTCCGGAACATCTCGTCCATGGGGTTCTGGACGACCCGTATGCCGTTTTTCTGGCAATTTGCAGCTTCAAAACAGATCTTGCAAGACGTGGAAACTTGCGATACCTTCGAAATGGACTTGTATAACCGTGCCGAAGCCAATGTTCCTGAAAAACAGCCCAACGTCAACTTGACAACGTTGGAAGCGTTGAAAAAGAGCGGGATCCGTGGCAAGAACGCCTACTCGCTTCTTACAGATAACCTTTTTGCAGGCCACGAAACGACTGCCGTGCTGATGACTTACTTGTGTTTCCAGCTTTCCAGAAGCATCAACAAGCACAGACAGCAACGGCTCAAGAACGAAGTCAGACAAGCGTTTGGCGCTCCAGCGTCGTCTTACATTGTCGACGATATAGAAACCGTCGACAGACTCCCATACCTCGAAGCTGTACTTAAAGAAACCATGCGTGTCCATTCAGCTATTCCTGGAGCCGAGCCTCGAGTCTGTGATAAACCATACGAAGTTGCCATTAACGGAAAACTGGTGATTATCCCGCCAGGCACAGAGATCTCGTGCCAGCCTTATTCGATGCACAGAGTAGAACTGGTGTTCCCAGACCCAGACGAATGGGTTCCTGAACGGTGGCTCCAGGCCCCAAACGAAGACTACCACGAGTACCAGGCCAGGCTTCTGCAGATGAACAAGTACATGTTTGCGTTTGGCAAGGGTATTCGTATGTGTCTTGGTATGAACTTGGCAGTGACCGAAATGAAGCTTGCGTGTGCCAACATGTACTGGAAGTTCCTGTCGTCAATTGACCACAAGTGGTGTTCTGGCAGGCCCACGGCTACCACTACACAGATTCCATTGGGCCACCAGCACTATAGTAAGGGCTCAGAGAGGGGCATCATGACCATGGCGGATGCGTATACCACCAGACCAGAGGGAGAAGAGTGCTGGCTTGTTTGGACCAAGGACGGTGACCAGGAATAGCTTTTATTGTCTGTGCAAGTCGTCTAAACAGGGATAGTCAATCACCACTTTGTGCCATTCAGTGGCAAAACTTGGCTTTCAGAGGTACTCAATCACTCAAAAGCGGAATTGCTTCAATGCCTTCAATTCCTACCATGGGCGATATTATGAGTACAGCCATCCCAACGACTTTCCTTGTAGCGTGTGGGCTACAATTGGTTGCCCTGAGCTTGGAGGATATCGCTGTAAGGTATACGGTTCCTCAATCAGTCTATGATAGATTCTGCCTGAAGAGCTGATGTATAACGAAGTAATTAGACATCAGCACGAGATGATGCCTGGCCTCAACGAAGAGTAACGTTTGGCGCTGGCACCGGTTCACTTCATAAATAGCTTCAAAATGTACTTGTTTTATCGAATGCAACGCCTTGTGATTGGTTTTTTTGTACCTGAGTGCCAAGTAGGTGGCGGCATATATATAAGCGCCGCCGCCGCCACGGTCATTTGACATTTCAAACCGTTTTTGGATTCTCCAACATGCCCTTGTATAAAGCCATTCCGTTGCTTATCGTGTCGCCATTCTTGATAATAACAACGACATTCAATGGCTACTTAGTTGGCAAAAGCATCTCTCCTGAAGGCCGCCAGCAGTATCACCGTGATTTGAGGAAGACCTATAAGGTCCTTTTTGACTATTATGTGTATGGCGACGAAGGGAAGGCCATTGAGAACAGCTAGGAAGTCGAAGCTGATTCCTTTTGAGGTTACCTCTTCTTTGGTACTGGGCACGTCGAGGAATGATGCAGAATACTTGAACATTCCGTGCATTTTACATGGCTTCCATACCTCGTCGTATAGGCCTGATTTGAGCTGGGTCCCGGTACCGTCTGCTGTATATATGAAGTCTGGTAAGGCATTCCAAAGTAGGGCTGGCCAGGAACCTGGTAGTTTGGTTGGGCCCCTTGAGGAACCATACCTGGGTAAGAAGGAAACGTATGCACTTGTGTGATTGTTTGAACACGTCCCTGGCAACATGCTTTTTGGCAAGGACCAAGCGTAGACGCACCACTGTTGGCTGGATAGTTCAATGGCACCTGACCTGTTCCTGGAGTCCACTGGGGGTTCAGAATAGCTGTTGGCACTTGGGGAAAATTGGCCATTCTTTGGGGAGCTGTAGTGCCAGTCAGTTGAGGCCTGGAGTTGTTGACAGTGGTCTTTGCATGTATGTTCAGGTTCGAGCTGTGAGGTGTTCCAGATGTTGATGTGCTGTTAGAAGCTTGTGTGGCTCTTGGTGAACTTGTGGGTTGGGCCAGTTGCTGAGTGATTGGCACTTCTTTACTAGCCGTCTTTTGCCTCTTTGGTCTGGGAGAAGATGCCTCATCTTCCGAGCTCAGTGATTCAAACAGAATTAAGCGAAGCTCTTTCTGTTCCAATTCAGAAAATGCTTCTGGAACTGGCAGAGGTAACCACGGTACGCTCGGCGGCTTCGTCTTGACATGCTCAAGTGAACGCAAATGTTCAGGCTTCCATTCTGGGTTGGAGTACTCTGGGTCTATGATCCAGAAGGGATGTATCAAATGAAGTGGGAACGGTTTTTTCTTCTCGAGGTAAGGCACTATAACATGGACACAAGGAAGTCCTGTAGTTGGCATGAACCAGTGTTGGCATGGCTCAAGTGGTGACCTATGAGACTTGCAAACTTGTTTGTGGATCATCAGAAGTCCTTCCAGGGAGACTCTCTTATACAAGTTTTGGTAAAACTCCCTATGGCAATCATTGTCACGAGGTCGAAACAACTTTGCTCGATCTTCCAGCAACTTACATGAGGTTTTCATCTCTTCCAATTCAATGTACTTTTCAAGTCTGCGGAAAACTCGAAAAATGTCTCCAGTTGAGCGCCCAATGAACGTGGCCAAGTCCCGCTGGATTGACTCTAGCCGTTCCTTCTTCATGTTATCGAAATGAAGAATTTTCCGTGTCCAACCATCCACGTACTTTTTCTTCTCATTGAGCCACGTGTTTTGAAGGTATTTCATGAATGAGGCACGATACCTCTTCACCTCGGGTGTTATAACGCTTATAGATGACTGAAAAGATCTTTCATTCTTCGACTTGAGCAAGGCACTCCATGAGCACATAATATCTTTATGTCTTCCATTGCAGAATATTCTCAAAATGCGTAACTCAACGTCTTTATAAACCAGCGACACGTCCCAAAGGTGGGAGCTATCTGGGAAACACTCCTCGGTCACCTTCAGCAATGTCGAGGCTGGGTCGGTGTATATAACCGAATTTTCGAAGCTCATATCAAGAAATGACTTGAACGACTCGAGCGCCCACTTGAAGCTTTCACGTTCGTCATTCTTCATAAAACAAAACGCAACTGGATTTGTCTTGTTGAATGGAGTCAAACACGACATGTGCACGAGCATCATATCGTGGCGGTTGGTATCTGGGACAGTACCTATAAAGAAAACCCGGTTGTATTTTTTGGCTGTTTCTATCATTTTGGGGTTTGTAAACAGGAAGAAGTCGAGACTATTCTCGTCTTCGCCTTGCTTCTTGTCAAACTTCCACTTCCCTACAACCATAGCAAGAAGAAGCTGCTTAATGGGCGAATATATGCCAGTCTGTTTTGCACGGAACAGGTCGATAACACCCTGAACCTCATTCATAGTGGCCATGGAACGTGGATACTTTTGCTGGAACTTAGCTATTGTAGAACGAGAAGACAGACTCAAATCTGTCCACGCTTCAATGTCAGAAACCTGGGATGATTGAAGTACAGGTGGTGGTCCAGGTCTGATCACGCGATGGTTGTGGTCATCCACTGAGCGTTCGATTTCCCAACCGTAGCGGGTTTTCCTTCCGCGTTCCATGAATGGACAGTCTTGTGTTCCACATTGAAGGAGGACAATTTTTGGAGTTTTATCTTTTGCGCAAACGGTGTAGCCTTCCTCAATGGCATAAGCAGAGGTGTATTTGATCAACTTCGGCTTGGTTCCAAAGACCATCACACGAGGCTCTCTGAGGCCAAGCATGGTGTGGGAGAGTTGTTATACGCGTGAAGTTGATGTTTGTAGTATGGTTGGTGATATTTTGCGTACGCGTACTCTTGAGCCTCACAGATGCACGCCAAACCAAACACCGGCTGTATGTAGTATGGATTGATTGTATGATGATCGCGAACTGCACAATGGACACTACTTACATAACTCGTGAAACACTTATATAAACCGCCTAGGGACGACGAGAGGCATTGAGGACCTATCTAAGATGCCTACGCTATCGCTTCACCTTGAGAACAAGTCCATCAGCCAAACTTAGTCCGTGCATAATTGTACGTCACCTTGCATGAACCTTGCAGATGGTGAAAATAATATATGCGCGTGGTGGTGCCAGCGCTCCTAACCTTTGCAACCATTAAATTTTTAACCTTGACTTGCCAGTCAAGGCCTTTTACCTATAAACCTATATACTCAGCCCCAAAGGAAAAAAAAAAAAAAGAAAAGAAAAGAAAAAAAAACCACGTAGCCTTACGTGGAAGGAAACCAATGGTGTTTCCTTTTTGAAGGCCACAGGCCAGCGACGAACCGCTCAGACCATAACCTTCAATCACTGTCAATGTTGGAGCCACCCCAGCTCCTAAGGAAGCTCGGCCTCGAACAGCTCCAAAGCCAGCTCCCCACTTTCCCAAAAGTCCAACAAGCCATAAACTCATTGTCCTTTGCAGAATCATGTCCCTGGCGCTCTGGCAGCTGACTCCTGCCAAAAACACCCATTTTCCCCAGCTGTCATGATTCAAACAGACTGAGGCCCCCATAGAATCCCCCAGACCCGGTACCTGGGTCTATCAACATTTTGGACATAAGCGACCCAAAGCCATCTCTCAAGGAAGACAACTCAGTACAACGTTCTGTCATGGCCACCAGAACGAGGAGACCAACCACAAGCACCTTTCGACTCAACTGCATTGATCCACAACAGAAAAGCCCACCAAACCCACCAAAACAAGAATAAAACCGACAACCCTCCTTCTGCTCTAACAGAAGGGACCACTTGTGCTTCCTTGAAAGCACTACGACCCGGCCATAGTGATCTTTTGCAGCCAGGAAGTACCCTCCACCCTCCTCTAAACCACCAGAAGCAAGCTCCGTGAGGTTTATGTAAAAAACCGACAACCCTCCTTCCATTTTCATGGAAGGGGCCACTTGTGTCCCGAAGAACACTACTACCTGACCAGCGTGGCCTTGTTCGACCAGGAAGTACCCTCCACCCGTCCCTATATAAAAGCCCCCGAACCCGAAATCCCCAAATTTTTGGGAAAGATCACTGACACCTTTCGATGCCTTGCATCCCAGCCAACGTGATCCAAAACTGGCCAGGACAAAACCCACCGAAGTGGAATGGGCTTTGCTGAAACAACAAGACCCAAAAGAACTATATATGAGAAGCACCGGGTACCACAGCAACTTCTCCCCGTATATAACCAGCAGCAGCCAGAGTCAGTGGCCGCCACTGGTCTTCCTTGGATGCCCAGAACCATCCCAAGTGCAGCTCTTGAAGCATTACCAGCACCAACCTTCAACACCAGCAAATCCTCCGTCAACAGCTTCAAGCAGCGGCTCCAAAGAACAAACCACCGCCAGCGGCATTTGGCGACTACGAGTAGCCAAAAGATCTTCGATTCAAACCAATCACAGCGTCAAATTCGAGCTCAACTTCCCTGAAGAGTCAGTGGAAGCGTTGCCTTGGCTTCTGCGTCGCCAGATCCCGGGATCCAGCAACGACGCCTCCTGAGCAGCAGCTCCCCAGCCAGAAACACGGGCCAGGCGTCCAGCAGGGGAGATACTAGAACAGGAGGAGAAACCAACGTACCATCTTAAGCTGGTCTTAGTCTAACCAGAATCACCTTCGGCAGCTCGCCTACCCGAACAACCGACAGCAGTAGGCCATTCCAGGGCACCTGAGAGGGCTAAGAACAAACAAGGGCCAACAATTGACAAGACAGAAAGCTACTGTTCATGCCAGAGCAACAAGGGTACTGTTATAAAGAGGGCGTTCTTGATTTCCTGGATTTGCAGCCATAAGACACACCAACAAACCAATCCCACGACGAACGAAAGCTTAAACCCAGAAAAATAAAGAGAAATCCCAAACAGTACATCGACAAGTGTAGTCTTGTACTCGCCTTGCTGGTTGACGACCCGCCCAGGCTGAAAAACCACGAAAGTGGCCATTCCAGCACCGTAAAAGAGCAGTAATCAGAACCAGCAGCGTCCCGCCGTCCCGCCGTCGCCAGGCCATTCCAAAACGTGCACGCCGAAGCAGAAACAAACCAAAAAGAACGTCTTTAGGCCTTTTGACAGCTGGAAACGGACTACTGGGCCGTGAAGGTTCCAGCAGCCAGACAACGAGAACAAGAAACACAGAAAACAAAAGAAGGGGCGTTTTTTGTAAAACACTGACGGTGAGTAAGGCGAAGCCATCAAACGGCCCCGCCAAACCGACGAAACTCCTCCAAAGAAGCCTCCCGTCGGTCAAAAAGTGAAAACACACGAAAAGAACAAATGAAGTGGAATCACGAGAAAAGAAAGGTAGATCTTCAGAAATCAAGCGTCGCCAAAGCAGGCGAATGGTGAACGACGAGCTAAGGAAAGAGTTTGGTGCCGTTCACACCGATTTGGGTTTCTGAAGAAGAAGAAAAAGTGGTATTCTGGGGAAAAGATATGGGGAACCCGCGGGCTTTATATATTGACGGTTTGTGCGGTTCAGTATGGGGAAGCGGGAGGGTGGGTTTGGAGAGGGAAGAAGGATGGTAGAGGGCAATTGAGTGGTAGGGGTGGATTCTAGGGGAGATTTGGAGTCGAACGGTATAAATTTTATGGAATTTGGGTGGTTATTGAGTGAAAGGAATGGGGGTTTCTGGAGGGTTACTGGAGGTGAGAGCTGAAGGGCAGAAAGGGAGAGAGGGTGGATCAAGGGTGGTAGTAGGATGCCTCTAGATAGTTTTTAGTGACTTTTTTATTGCAATTGAGTGGCTTTGGGGCTTTTTAGAGTAGTTTTGCCTTGGTAGTTGGGGATTGTAGGTCAGGATCAACAATGTGATCGACGGGGCCAACAACTGGGGAAGGGCCTTACGGAATGGTAGTTTATAGAAATAAAGTAATCCTTCTTTTTCTGAAGTCTCTTTTTGGGTGTTTGCTCAGTGGATTTTGGGTTGTCTATTGGTTCTGGATGACCATTATCATTCTCATAAGTCTACCAATTAACTGGTCCACTCCGGTCAGGAACTGAATAAAAGGACAGTTGTTTACAAGAAAGAGAATAACTAAAGTCTTTAATTTACCCCAAAATGGCCAACTTTCATGGGAAAGGTCCTCTTTGGAAGGTATCATGGCAGTACGTGAAAGTTGGTTCACCACCAGGAAGACTCCTCCTGAGCTCTCCAAAGTACCTCCTACAAAGCCCAAAGAGCCAAATTCTGCTTAAAAAGTGTTCCGAAGAGCTCCCAAAGTATCTACCATTCATAGTGACGCTTAAAACTGTCCAAGTTCTACCTCCCACCCAAAACGAGTTCAACTCACGAAGTCCCCAATCAAATACCTACCACAGCTTAAAACACAGCCAAAACCAGCTTCTTTCCACTAAATTAGCACCATTCTGCTCGCTGGAGATTCCCTTCCAACACTTTTCCTTTAAAAAAATCCCCAAATCACTCACTTCAGGCCAAAACTGACTTTCCAGAACCTAAGCATCCTATACTCCCTAACATCCTCCATTTCCCACCACAATTCCCAAACTCCTTCTCTCGCACCCCACCTGGCTCCTCCCAGGCTTATCCGGCTCCAGTTACTTCACCTACCACTTCCTCGAGCCCAGGCTTCGCTACCACCAAGGTGCTCACAGAACACCCCTCCTCCTCCCTTTCCTACCACCCAAACAGCTCCCAACCCCACCAAAACACATCTTTTCACCACTTACCCACCCTACGTTCCCTCCTCCTTCCTCCTTCCTCCTCCACCTACGCTGGCACCTCCCTTTCCATCTTCCAGTACAGCGGTAAACCCCACAAGCCACGATCCATGCTAGTGGCTGAACTCCACTACGTCTTCCCCACCCTTGAAGAAGAAATAGTCTACAGCACCACTGAAACTGCTAAGGAACTCCCACCAGCAGATATACACCCACCCACTCATTAGCTTACCCAAAGCAGTAAAACACAGAAGCCAAGCCTTAGAAACATCCACCACCAGTGTCCACAAAAACGAAGTTTTCTAGGGATAAGGAGGTTTGCAGAAACTGTGGGGCCAGGCATTTCCTGGCCTTTCCAGGCCATCCCAGTCCTGCCACTTTGTCGTGTCACAATGACAACTGAGAGCAACCTTCCTGAAAAAGCAATACTATAAGGTTTAAAATTTCTTCAACCCACCTGATCTGAAGATCTCAAAGTAACACAAGCCCTCACTTGGTGATCACTTCCTGATGTTTATCGTACCCAGGTGGTTCCACTGGTTGTACCAGTACGAGTATACTCAATAAAGTCCCACCAAAACCGCCCAAAACTGCCTTTTTTGCCCCAAAAAAAAGCCCACCCATACTTCCAGCCCCCCTGATTCCAACCCTACCATCCATTTTCCTCCAAAGTCTCTCCCTCCCGAAATACCACTCCCTCTGTGACATCTGCAAGGACCCTGAACTCGTGCGGCGCCGTGCATCACCACACAGAAACGGTTTCGCAGCCAAAAAAAGCGCCGCGAGAAATGACCCCAGGCGAAGCGCAAAAGCGGAACCCACGAGGGCGCCAGGAGTGTTGGACGAGAGCTGGGAGTGGTGGAATGGCAGCGTAGCACGGTGGCGGGAACAGGGGCTGTTTTTTGGCGTACTCAACGCTGCAAAATATTTTTTAGTGGTTCCGGAAAAACAGCGCCTTTTTCCAGGCCCAGAAGCCGAGGACAACGAGGACAAGAAGACAAGAAGACAACAAGAGAAGGACAAGGAAGGACAAGGAAGGATAGGAAGAAAAGAAGGAAAGACAAATGGACTGGCTTTGGAACCTGGATCCCCTTCGGGAATCCAGCTTCAACCTTTTCTCACGTGACCCGGCAGCTCGGTTACACCGGCCCCCTCTTTGTCCACTGGATACTACCACTTTCCAACTACTTCTTCTTCCACTCTTCCCAATCCCTTAACCTTAGATGCTTCCCTTTGCTATCCCTTACCCTCCCGAACAGGCCGAGGGCTTCTGGGGAATCCCCACGTCGACCATCGACTGGTGCGAGGAGAACTATGTGGTGCTGCCTTTCATAGCCGAGGCCTTGAACACCACCACCAACGCTGTATTTATTGCCCTTGCTGGGTTTGCCATTTTCCATGCTCACATCAACCACTTGGAGCTTCGTTTCCAGTTGCTGGCGTTGGGCTTTATGCTTGTGGGCGTTGGGTCATGGTGCTTTCACATGACGCTTAAATATGAGTACCAGCTCTTGGATGAACTTCCTATGATCTATGCCACGTGTATCCCGTTCTGGAGTGTTTTCTCTGAGTTTAAGGATAGACGGGGGCTGATTTTGGTGGGCGTGGGCATTTTCTCGGCGGCAAACTTGTTGACGGTGATTTACTTGTACTTCAAGAACCCCACAATTCACCAGACAGCGTATGGCTTGTTGAATGCGGGCATCATCTTCAAGTCGTACTCGTTGGCGAAGGACCACGTTCGTGACGAAAAGGCTGCCAAGCAGCTCAATAGAACCATGCTTTTGGGCGTGGCGCTTTTCCTTTTTGGCTATATCTTGTGGAACTGCGATATCCACCTTTGTGCCCATGTCAGAGCTACGAGAAGAGACTGGGGCATGCCTTATGGGTTCGTGCTCGAGGGCCACGGCTGGTGGCACATTTTCACCGGCACAGGCGTGTACTTCTACCTCGTGTACGAGGAGTACCTCAGATGCTTCTTGACCAAGACTGAAAAGTTTTATGAATTCAGATGGATCTTTGGTTTGCCTGTGGTGCAGCTCGTGGATCCAGAGGGATTGGTGGCATTCAAGGCGGCTGAAAAGGAGAAGAAAGCTATATAGATGGCATTACAGTATCGTCCCTTGCTATATATACTTACAACATCGTAAGCACCTCTTGTATGAACTTATCGTTCTTCAGCTCGTCGCCGTACTTGCCGTCAACGAGCTGTTTCAATGAAGCCACGGCCTCTTCGGAAGAAACCTTGCACTTTTTCGTTTCTGGATCGATGCACTCGTCTTTCCACGAAAGAAGGATCTTTTTAAGTTTCTCCACGCCAACGCTGATCTCGTCATTGGAGCATTTCGTTCTCTTGCTGCTCACATACGGATCGGCATCAGAACCAGCATTCAAGTTCTGAAGCTCTGACGCCTTTCTCTTGGCCATATTGATGATCTTCGTAGGGAACTTCACAAGCTCTGCAACGTGAATACCAAACGACTTATCTGAAATACCTGGCTCAACCTTGTACATCAACGTGATATCGTCATCAACGACTTCCTCTTCGCCTCCTTTCTTTTCAATATGGGCCACAACATGGAGGTTCTGGACCTTACCTTCGTACTTTTCACATAACTTTGTGAGTTCATGGAAATGCGTAGCAAAAAGAGTGAAACACTTCTTCTGGCTGATGAGATGTTCGGAAATCGACCACGCCAATCCGAATCCATCGTATGTGCTTGTACCTCTGCCCAATTCGTCAATGATAATGAGAGAGTTATGTGTAGCAGTAGCAAGAATCGACGATGTCTCCAACATCTCAATCATAAATGTAGACAACCCCTTGAGCTGGGAGTCACCTGCTCCCACACGAGACAAGATAGCGTCAAAGATAGGCACTTCAGGCGAAGAGCCATCTTCAGAAGCAGGAACGTAGGAACCAACCTGACTCATAAGTGCAATCACGCCGACTTGACGGATATATGTAGATTTACCGCCCATGTTAGGACCAGTGATAATGACAAACGATTTACCGTCGTCGCCGTTGCCCATGTTGACGTCGTTGGAGATGAAATTGACATCTTCTTGAAGCTCCAAAACGGGATGTCTAGCATCCTTAAGGTTGACGGTTCTGGCCTTGAATTCCTCAGAATCAGCAGATTCGGCAACAGGATGCAACTTTGGTTTCGTGAATGGCGTAGGAGCGAAAATGGCGACGTTGGCAAACGAAGAGATCACATCAATGTGGCTTATGACAAGAGACAAACGTAAGAAGACTGTCTGGTATGTCAATGTGATCGACAAGATCTCCTTAATCAACTCCTTCTGTTTCGAGTTGTACTCGTCAGAGTACTCGTTATACTTCTCAGACAATTTACGAAGGTTCTTGGTGGTGAAGAAAACACCAGCCTTGACGGTCTGAAGCTCAATGTAACGGTCGCCAGTGTTTCTCAAAATGGCCGAATCAATACGGGTCACTCTGAAACACCAGCCGTGCTGTTGGTGCTTTTCTAGCTTGAGTTTCTTCTCGATATCAATGCTGAGGTCGTCTGCAACTTCTTCGTGGATCTGCTTGATCTTCTTTATAGTGTCCTGGAGGTTGTCGTTGATAGTAATAAGCAGCTCATCGAACTCTGGCTTGATGTTGAAGTCGGTATGGAGAAGGTCATGGGAAGATGACGATTCAAGAGGCGAGAGGTCAATAGTGGTCTCGACCAATTCCTGGAACTTCACCAAAGAAGTATGGTTCTTTGTAAGTGGGTCCAACCATTCGTCCTTCAAGAGCTTCCTAAGTGTATCCGTCTTGGCATCGTCCGTAGCCATCTGCAACATGTTGATGAGCTCTGGCAAGACGGTAACGAGCTGGTAAAGTCTCACCACATCCTCCAACTTCTTATTTTCAGCGCCAGTGACTTTCTTCACACCATTGGCAATCTTCTTAAGCAAACGCTTCACATCTGGGACTTGTGAAAGCCATTCTTGCGAGACAAACACGCGTAGGTTGGTATCGTTGATGAAATGGCCCACCAAAGCGTGACGGTCTGCAATGGCGTTTATATCAGTGAGTGGCTGTTTGAGCCACTGAGAAAGCAATCTTGTACCTGATGCCGTCTTACACTTGTTCAAAAGATCAAAAATCGAAGCCACAGTGGACGGTTTGGGCCCTGCAACAGGAAGCGCCAGGGCAGCAGGGAAGATATTGAGTGCTCTCATGGTAGACGAGTCAAGCTTCATGAAAGTGTTAAGATTATACTTGTCAATGGTAAACGAGGCCAGATCGTCGCCGAGCAAGTTGAGGTAATGGATCAAGGAGTTGCAGCAGCCAAGGGAAAGCGAATATTCAGCCAGGTTGATACCCTTAGACGCAAGAATGAGTTCCACGTTGTTTGTAGCGTCGGCATCGATATTTTCAGCCGTGACGATCTTGGACAAATCCTGGTCAATATCCTTAGCCGTATATGTAGACAGCTTCACTGGCGAAACCACCAAAGAGCCAATCTTGTTAAGAACCTGGAAGAGCTTAATCACATCCGCAGACCCCTCCTGGTCCGAATACGAGCTCGGCACAAGCACCTCCTTCACGTTCACCTGCAAGAACAACGACTCCAAGTTCGAAAAAAGATCGTTATCGTCAAACTCCAGCACCTTCAACGCCTTATTCAGCAAATCAGCCATACACACGCCGACCTTCTTCGATCCAGCGCCAGCCGTAAACTTCACCAGCGCCACCATCGGCGTCAGGCCGTCCCGAAGCATGCTCTCCAAGTCAATGCCATACTCCAAAGCCAAGCCCTCCAAGTTACCTGGCGTGGCCGTCACCACCAACGCAAACTGCTTCAGGTACACCTCCACCTTATGGCTGTTTTCCACCACGCAAAACCGTAAAACCAGGCTAAACACCTGCGGCAGAATCGTCACGTACCGTTTCCCATTCGACGTCTTCACCACCAGCTGTGTTTTATAGATGGCATCAGCAATAAGCTCCGCGTCCTCCTCCAAGGCTGAAAAATAGTCCTTATGGTCCACGATCCTCACCACGTTCGGCTCCTTGGGCGGCAAATTGGCAAACCGCCGGTAGAACAGCCGCTCGTCCACGGTGTCTGTGAACTTCAAGTCGGGTCTTGTACTGGACATGTTGTGGAAAGGAAGTGGTAGGTTTGGGATGGTTTGGGATGGTTGTGGTACGCGGTCGCGTCTGGGGATGTAGTGGTATTTATGCCTGATCTTGGTTACCAGTTACTGGTTTCTTACTTTTCCAGTTTAACTTAGTTTCTTAGTTTTGGATTTTTTTAGTTTTGGGTTCCTTAGTTTCTGAATTCCTGGATTTCTGCTTTTTCTACGTTCTGGTTTCTGTGTATTCGGTGTCTTATAGGTTTCTCGGTTACCTACTTTCTGTGTATCCAGTTACTCTGCGCTTTCTTACAACTCTCAATTCCAAGTTAACTAGGTATATGGTGTCTGGGCACTAACAGAGAACGTGTTTGGACGTAGTTGGACGTGTTTGGACGTGTTTTGGGGAGCTGTGGTGGACTCTTGGTGGACCGTTCTTGGGCTGTCTGGAAGTGCGTGGTAGGAAGAAGTAGATGCAAAAGAGCTAAGGAAGGGTGGAGTGAAAAGAACTTGTTTAGACTTGGAGGGAGTTAAAGGCTGGTTTGGAGTTGATTTGGAATTGATTTGGAGTTGTCTTGGGTTGCTTTTGCTGGTGTTGTCGTGGTATCTGGAACCTTGTTAGAGGTACTGCCATAGCCATATCTACCTATATCTACCCGTGTCTACCTATATCTACCTATATGTATATATATATATATATGTATAAGTCCTTACCTACGCCTCTAGAACCTAAATTGAGTTGGTTTGGAATCCACTGGAGTCTGGGTTATGGTGGTGGTGGGCCTTGTTGGAAGTACTATGAGAGCCATATCTAACTCTACGCCTATATCTATGTCTTCTTGGGTTACTTTGGGTTGACTCTAAACTGGCCTTCATGGCTTCTTAATGGGGTTATGAGCTTCAATGGACATCCTTTGGCTTGGATCAAATGCCACTGAGTTGAGACTGACCTCTGGTGGTCCACTGTCTAATTGTCTCTACTGGCTTTATAGATCCACAAGAAAGAGTGAAGACCATTGTTGAACTTACCACTAAATCTACTCCTGGAAATAATGTGAATAGTACTTTCATCAAGCTACTTGGTCTGCCATGGTCAATTGACCTTGGCGTGTCTCTTTTTCTTGATTTATAGATGGCATCAAGGCGATCTAGGTTTACCAACACTTACTCTGGGTACTTTTTAAGCCTTACAGCTCCAGTATTCCCGTTACTTTGGCTTCTTTACGTTCTTCCACTGTACATTGTCACTGCTACTTCCACTACAGTACCTCCATAGCTCCTGTTCTGCCAGTACCATCCCTAACTCTAGTCTTCACTCATATCTCTTCTTTACCCCCAGATCTCCCTCCTCCCAGTCAATTCCTTTCCACCCTTCTTTTAAACTCTCCTTAACTCACCTCCACCTGTCCCCCAAAAACCACCCTACGTCACCAACTCCTGGGAATCCTGGCTGACCCCCAAATCCATTCCCATCCAAAAACCACCACTGGCAGTTCCAACCAGGGACCCTAAACCTTCCCAGTTAATAAATCAAAAATACTTTTCCTCTATCCAAGCTAACCACTTAATAATTGCACCTGCTGTTTTTGTACTTATAACCCTATACTTTCTGTATTCGCAACTACTCCACCATTCCTAGGATCCTATACCTTCCATAAAACACTGGAAAACTCTCTCGAAGGCACGCTCTGGGGTATAAATATCCGTCGCTTTTCCCTCTGTCTTGGTTTTCCTTTTCTTCTTCTTTTTCTTTACCAACCTACTCAATCAACCAAAATGTGTCTTACTAAGTGCTACAACATCTACAACATTTGTCTTCCATTGGACGTCACCGACGCCCGTATCCTGATCCACGACGGTCAGATTAAAAGCTTTCATGAAGACACCGGCCTGGCATACTTGCCATGGGGCCCAGGTGAATTCAGAGAGTTTCTTAACTGCTTTGTTCACGCCAGAACCAACTGGCACCTGAAGCTCGAAGCTCAAGTAATTTATACTAAGAAGATTATGACTCTTACTAAAATTTATGGAGCTGAGGATGCTTACAATTTGGCTAAGCTGCAGCTTCGTAGGGCCTATAAGGTCCTTAAGGGCACTTCTCTTAAACAAAAGACGGTTCCTCAGTCTGAGGAATCTAAACAGGCAATGAAGGAGACTCTTGGTGCCAATTTCGCTAAAGCTGTTGCTGAAGCAAAGAAAAAGGCTCAAATTAAGAAAAAAATGAAGGCTGCTTCTTCCCCCAAGGAGCCTTCCAGTATCTACTGGCCTTCTGACTTCTACAAGTACAAAGAGATCACCAACGAGAAGAACTCTCCTATCTTCTTGCCTGGTGATTTCCATAACTTTAGAAAGCTCTTTAAAGAGAAAAATGACTCCTTCTTGCCTGCCGACTTCCCCTTGTTCAGGAAAACCATGAACAAGAAGACCATCCCTCAGTACTTACCTTGCGACTTCTTCAAGTTCAAGGACTACTTCAAGGAACCTGAAAGTACCAGCTACTTGCCAGGCGCCTTTCTCTTCTTCAAACACTTGTTTGTTAAGAAAATCCTCAGGCACTTCTTGCCTAACAGCTTTGTCCATTACAAGGCTTTACATTCTCCACCAGAAACCTACCTTCCAGGCGACTTCCCTCAGTTCTACGATACTTGGGTCCGTGACGAGTTCTCAGGTAAAAGAAGAAAGACCAAGAAGGGTTTCAAGAAGTCGAACAAGATGGTTTCCAGGAAAAGCTCCAAGAAACAGAGATTGAACGCTCCTTCTGCTGCTGCTCGTCAGAAGGCCCACCAGATGTTCAATCCTAAACCAGTTAACCCTGAACCAATTCGCTTGAAGAAGAATAAGCCTACTTGTTCCAGTTTGAATCCCCATTTTGGGCGTTTGATTAGAAGGACACAACTTGTCTCTGTCGTTTGAGACTAGTGGAGGTCAAGCCTCTACTATTAAGATACTATATAAGAATAGAAAGATATATTAAAGAGTTTCGTAGTGTTTTTTGGAGCAATAAAGGTAGAAAGTGTTTAAAGAGTTGAGATTATTGTCTTTGTCTCTTGTTGACTTGGCTGTTGTCTGTTGGTTGAACTGTAGAGCTTCTACTGAGGCCTAAGTAACATAGTAGCATAAATGATTAAATAATAATTAGATAATACTTGGTTTAGTGAATGAATATTTTCAATGACCATATAATAAGTCTCTCGTGATATGGAGCAATCGTTAGGTCTAATTGACGCAAGCTTGAGCTGATACCACCTAGGTAGACATGCTAGTCAACGCCCTATTATAACCCTGAGAGGCAGTAACTGACTAGCATATGGCTTTAACCCAAATATTTAATTCCAAATATACCTCTTTAAAAAACGTCTTCGATTATGTCCTAGTCGTTGGTTTTCTTCCCACCTGAGATATCAACATCTGCTACACTCATATGGTTTCTCATACTCGTTCACAATCACTGTTACAGAGCAATAAACAAGATCTTATCCCTTCCTCAACAAATAACCCCCCTTAGTGTCCTACTACTCTACCAATACTTAACTGATCAAATTCAACATTACATACTGAACCACCAACATTACCCCTACCTCTCCTCAATATCAGAGACAGTCAGTAAATACCATCGAGTCCTTCACGGAGCTGGTCTCTTGGAACTTTCCCTGGTACTCACCATCCGTCTGAGTAGAATCAGCAACGTTCTTAGTAGCAGCATTCTCGGCTCTTCTTCTCAGAGGATCATTAACCAAAGTCTCGTCAGAAACACTTTCTGGAGTCTTTGCAGGTGGACGGATCCTGGTAGCAGTGTACTTGTTGGACACTGGAGGTGAGACTGGAGGTGAAACTGGAGCTCTTTCAATTGGAGTTCCTTGGATCGATTCTTCGTCTTCCTCTTCCTTGGCTTCTTCAGCTTCTTCAGCTTCTTCTTCAACTTCCTCCTCCTCAGCTTCCTTCACATCTTTGATCTCCTTCACCTCCTTCTCTTCCTCTTCGTCCTTCAATTCATCTTCCTTCTTTTCCTCAACTTCTTCTACCACCTCCTCCTTCTCCTCGTTTTCTGCTTCTTCCTTTACTTCTTCCTCCTTGGCCTCCTTCTTGGCCTCCTTCTTGGCCTCCTTCTTGAGCTTAAAGACCTTCTTGAGCTTCCTGGTCTTCTTCACTGTAGAATCCTCCTTGACCTCCTCAAACTCCTCTTCCTTCTCCTCTCCCTTCTCCTCTCCCTCCTTAGAAACTTCATCCTTCTCAGCCTTTCTTGCCCCAAAGAACCTGCTCTTCAACTTCGCCAACTTCGCCAACCTCGAACTGTTCAGTACGTTCTTTGCTTCCTTTTCCTCTACCTTCAACTCCTCAACCTCATCCTTCAAGTTATTGATCTCGCTTGTTTTATCCAGCTTAGTCATTTTGTCCTTGCCCTCTTTTCTTGAAGATATCCTGTTCTTCTTTAAATCCTCAGTCTCGGGCCCTGGACTTTCCTTCTCCAGATCATCCAGAATCTCTGGAGTTTCCGTTCTCTTTCGACTTGCCGTATTCGACAGAGTTTCCACATTGGCGTTTGAATTCTCCAAACTCGTCCTTGAATCGCCAACTTCGGCCTCTGGGTCATGGTTCACCATAATAATCTTATTCTCCTCCTTAGGCTTAACTTCAGCAGGCAAAACCGGTTCGGGACCGTAGAAAATAGGTAAATCATCCACAAACTCCACAACCTTGCCATGGCCAATTCTGATCCTCACAGACATGGAAAGAGTAAAGTCCACTCCATAGTTGCATGCCTTTACTGACTTCCCAGACAGACAAAGTAACCACCTTAACTCTTGCTCTGGAATGTCAAAAACAGCCTTTCCATTTTCCTTGTCAAATTCAGGCAGCAAGTGGGCATTAAGGTACCTTTGTCCCACAATCTTCTGCTCGTCATAGGTTCTGCGTTGCTTTCTATACTGGATATCTTCAGGACCATCAAGTTCAGCATAAACACCCCCAATAACTGTATTCTTCCTCTTCAATCCAATATTCACTTGGAGAAGAGTAACTTTTCTGTTCATCACCTTCCGTTTAATAACTGAAAGTGGTAACTCTAACGAAACCTTCAACTGGTCACTCAACCTTCTCCCCAGGAAAAGCAACCTCTTTGTAGACCCAAAAGGCGTTTCAAGCTCTGTGTCTCCCTTAAACGTACACACCATTTTTGCCTTACTGTCTCCAGGAGGAAGTGGCTCGTCAAGGTTCAACTCCACCACCTTCTTTTGCTGGTCCAGCAAAAGGTAGTCTTTGCCCTTTCTGGACTTAACCAAATGGTTCCAGTTTCTGGGAATTCTGTCAAAGCTTTGCTTGTAGTTTAATGGCGGTGAAACAACATTGAACAATTTGAATTCCTCCCCTACCTGGATAGTCACTGTTGCTTCAATCCTATGGGAAAGCTCAAGCACTGTCTGGTCGCTGACCCGAATACTCCCGTTTGGCGGAAGCCACCTGTCCTCTGGGTCCTTGTCAAATAATGTATTACGAAATGGAAAGGTGTGCTTGTCACAGCTCTCATACTTATACAGAGAGTCAGGGACTTCAACCTCAATCTCGTGTTCCCAGTAGTTATTAGGCTCGAGGTCTAAATGGCCCTTGAAGATTTCTCTTTCTGAATTCACCAAAAAATGCTCTTCAATGCCATGGATGGGTGTGTCTGGGTCAGCAGGCTGTGAACTAAGATGGATATCGTTAGGTAACAAGGTGGAAATGGACTTACATAAGTATCCAGCCAGAACATGTTTCAACAGAAGATGCCCTTTTGCTCTGATGTATAGGTTGACTTTGACTGTTCCACCAGGCTTGATTTGTTTCTGGGGAGTAAGAATCAGGACCTTACCGTAAAAGGGTTGTTTGTTGCCTCTATTCATGTTGTGTTGGTGAAGAGAAGAGTGAAGTGGTTTGTTAATTTATATATCACTAGGCTAAGCGGGTTTGGAAAGGTTGGGCGTTTGGCATTTCTACGAGTTTCCAGTAGGGGAAAAGGCTTGTTTGTGGATAGGTGGCCAGAAGTGGTTGTATCTACGGAAAGTCGAGTAGTTGAAGTTGCCAGCGAGGCAAAAGACACGCTGGACGGTTCAAAACGCCAGTGGGGTTTGGTAAGGAACGGGAGAGCCGTTTGGGATGACTTTTGGTGGTTTTGGGGTGGTTTTCGATTTTTGATGACGTTTTTGGATTTTTGGAAATTTGCAGTGGTTGGGAATATCACCAAAAAGATAGGAACTCAGGTAAGTTGTGAATGTGGGTGGAGAAGGTAAAAAAAGAAAACTACCTAGAAAAATGGATAAATAGAAGAAATAGTAGGTAAGTTTTCAGGATAAAAGCTTAAAAGAAGGCGTAAATGCACTGGACAAGGCAGCTGGTTAGGCTACTGGCAGTGGTTTTTCGCAGCCATTACCAGCCACTATGGTCAGTTGGAAAGGCCCGTCAAAAGAACAAAAAACACTTAGTAAACAAAAATTAAGAATGTAGTTCAACTTAAAAATCAGCTAGAAATTTCCTGAAAGACCTTTTTCCAGCTTCCACCTTCGCTGGTCCAAAAAACTAGGCATACTTCTCACTTTACGCTTCTCCATACTTAACATCTCTACAGCCACAGCACCTCCAGCTTTCTCCCAGCCAAGAACATTCCAAGAGAAAGCTAAGTAAAAGACGCTTATTTTGACCATTTCATGCCCAAAACATACCCTCTATATTCTCTCTTTACCCACTAAAGGCCAATGACTGACTACCTCTACTTGGTCCAGTGCTCACTGCTAATTACTATAACCGACCTACACCTATTGACCCATTACTATACTAAAACCAAAAAAAGAGAACATCCATTCCACTCACTAGACCAAAGAAGACCCCTCTCCCCAACCACTCCTTCCAACACCTTCCCATCCCCAATTGCCTTACCCTTCATTCCCTGGCCTACCCTCTATGTCCTGGCGACCCCCACTATGGGCCGCGCACTACCGACAAACTCTTCATCTCAGCCTGATATATTTCACTCCAACCGTCCAACACCGTCGCCGTCCACCATGCTTTACGAGTTGTTTGCCATCGCTCGTATCTCTGACCCGCTCAACATGAACAAGGAAGCGGCTAAGATTGCCCACACTGTCGGCAAGCTTATCATCAATAACAGAGGAGTCATCCGTAGCATAACGAGTTTGGGCCCCAAGGCACTTCCCAGGGTGATCTCCAAAGACCAGGAAAGACATTTCCAGGGATACCAGTTTGTGATGAGTTTCGATGCTTCTTCGGCAGTGCAGGGAGAGCTTTTAAGAACGATGAGAAGAGATCCACGTATTTTGCGTACTTCCATGGTGAAGAACGACTTGAGCCGTAAGTTGAATGTGGGCACTTCTTTCGACAGAGCCTTCGACAAGGTTTCTTATTAAAACATGTACATATTTTGGGAAAAATTGATAATACGGATATATCTAGATTACTGATGCATTACTGTGTAGGTCCTATTAAGTAAACGAACGGTCCCGCCAGACCCAGCCGGGAGCGTTCTGAATTAATGCAAGAAAATTAGCATCCTCTAACGCAACAAGGACTTCTTCTGTGTTGACGTAGAGGGGAGTGACATGTCGTTAAGCGAGGTGTTGGAAGTGGCCTGACTGATGTGTGTTCCAGCCTCGAATCGCTCGTCGTCAAAGATCGACGAGTTGGTGCTCTTGTCGGTGTCTCCATCTTCAACAGTCTGTTCGACTTCAGGAGATAATGCGAGTTGTGAACGAGACAGGCTGTTGGAGGTTTCTCTGGAGCGTGGGATGGTGGACATTTCAAATTCGGTGCTGCCAATATACTGTGGGTTCAAGTATTCATATGGCGACAGACCAACGGCGCTTTCAGGGTCAGCTGGAACAGATGCATAGGCGCCCAATGGGTCGTTCATCTTCACGTCGTAATATTCAATGGCAGTGTATGACCATCTGCAGAACTTGGAGTAGTCAATAGCAGGCAAGGTGGTGTACTTGACGTAAGCAAACATCATCACCGACATGACAGCACCCATGATGAGATCAATAAAGTAATGATGGGTCAAGTACATGGTAGACCACCACAAGATAGACGCGTAGCCCCACCAGACGTACTTATACTTAGGGAAGAGCCACGAGAGGAACAAAACATCCATGACAGCGGAGCCCGAGTGCAAAGAAGGAATAGCACCGAAAACCAAGGGCGAGTTCTGGAACGTAGTAGTATACATATCCAAATGGAAGAGCTGGTCGACTCTGCCCAAGCCACCGGGAGAACCGTCCATAGCATAGTTGGCAGGCTCCAAGCCGTGCAAGTTCTTATACCAAGGAGGAGCAGCCGGGAACAGGAGCTGGAACAAGACGCCCAAAAGGTTCATGTAGCCAAATGCAAAGCCAAAAGAACGTAACGAGGTTGGAGGAGCAAAGAGGAACACAAACAAGGCGACAAAGAAGGGCGAGGCGAAATGGATAATGCCATAAGGCAACCAGGCCAACACGTCCAAAATAGGATGATTAATCTCAGCCAAAACGTTCGACAAGTTATCGCCATAAAGAATGGTCTCCATGGCCGGAAGAAACTTCACCGAAATGGCCGGTTTCCACGTATGAGGAATCTTGGAAGCACTGAAAAACAAGGCCAACCAGGCGAATATCGGCAAGGCGTGAATGAAAAATGGCAGTGTCACCGGCACCAACACAGCAGTCAAAAGCGCCAACAAGATGGGTGTTTTGAGAAAGAAGGATGCCGGGAAGATGACATAGACAAAAAGAAACACCAGCGTCAAAAACGAGTAGTTGACAATCTCGTAAACGGTCCAGCGGCGCAGGGTTGCTTTTTTAAGCGTCCGTTTGATATCTGTGCTGAAATCAAGGTTGGCCAAAGTGTTGCCAGGCTGCTGTTCCAGCAAGAAATGATAATTGAAGAGGCGAACGGCTTTTTGGAACGGCCGCGAGCGAAGAACCGCAGACATGGCGGGGTGTTGATGAAGATGGGAAAAAAAGGGGGTGTTTTGGTGAATTTGAAGTGCTCTAGCGTGGGCTGGGGGAACTGGCTGGGTTGCTTTGTGTTTGGGGGAAGATGTGAAATAGGAGAGGGAAGTAGGAAGATTTAAGGTGCGCGAAGGTGAGACTTGCACGTGATGAATAGTCACGTGACACTAACAAAAAAGTAACAAAAAAAAAGTTTTTTCTTTTGGTCAGGCGCGCGAAAATTGCTTTTTTCCTTCCCCTAAGCAGCGTGGCTGGACTGGAGGCTGGCAGCGGTGGACGAGCTGGAAGAAGGTGAAACAGGGATGGCAGCGGTGGAGGGAAAAGGCGTGGTATTTCAACGTGGTCAGGCGTCCCGATTGGGCAGTATTCCCGGTGAATTCCTCGGCGGTATTTCCCAATTGGGAAACCCACCTTCTTAAAGTGAAAGATGGAAATTTCATGGAAGGTTGCTCTGGCGCAACGTTGCTCGTGGGGAGATGGCGTGGGATAAGAAAAAAAAAATGTCGTAGAAAAAGCTGACTTTGGAAAAAGAGGCTGGAGAAGAAAAGGGGGGGGTTGTAGAAATAGGGGTTCTGGCGAAGTTGGTGGTTCTTGGGGACGATGTATGGAGTGTCTCAGGTGGATGAGAAATGGCTGCAAATGGGACGAAGGGGGTATCCTTTGAAGGTAGAAGTGTAGGAAAGAGAAAAAGAACAGTGGATTCGGAATCAGGAGACTTTTCTGATTCTCCTGGTTCTTCCCTCTTCTCGTTATCATCTCTTTTCATGAAGTTAGCTGTGCCTCTGTCTCGTTCTGGATCGATCGATACACCGTTGGCTAACGCAGAACGGGTAATCTTACGAAAAGTGCCGAAACGGGCGCAGCGGTGATTTGAGGACGCCTGCTGTTTTGTGGAAGCTTACAGGGTCCAAGAAACCAACGGTGTGGGTTTTGTGGGGTCATTAGGTTTTGTGAGTTAGTGGGTTTTGTGAAATATGAGAAGTGAAGGGGAGGACTTTTGAAGGGATATGAATTGAATGGCGTATATTCGGCGGATTGGAGGGCAGTTGGTAGGTGGCAGTGCCGGTGGGAAACCGTTTATGTTGGCCTATTCAGGTAAGCCTTTCCTACTACTGTTCTTGGGTACTATAATACATATCCCATCTATACTCTCCAATTCCAATCCCAATCCCCTTCATTTCTCCTGGCTTTGACTACTTTTATTCTTTTCTCCATCCCTCCCCTTCCATTTCGGCTTGGGCCAAATTTCCAGGCCATTTCTAATGCCCTGGGGGCCTGGTTGACCCTGAAAAACCGTTCACACCGTTATTCATTCCCTGAACGGCTCAAAAAAACCAACCCTTCTATGATCTTCTACGTTTTTTGCTTAACTATGGGGCCTCGTTGCTAAACCTTCCCTGGAGCCATGGAAGCTTTTTGTCTTCCACGCTCACCGTTGTACCTTCCTGTTGATGTCTTCCAACACACTCCTGGCAAATACCACTTTGTGTAAAACGCCTTAAAGAAAATTAAACTTACCTTTTATCGTCATTCTATGGTTCCATGGACTTCGAATTCTCAGTAGAACGTAGAAGACCTTCCATGTTGTAGTTTCCTGCTAAACAGGGCCAGCCCCCCAGAAAACTATAAGTAGCCGTGGTTTTCCCCTTGGATTTTGACTTTTTTTTTTCTTCTTCTTCATCACCAACAATCAAAATGCCAATGCCACAGTTTCACAGCGCTAACAACTTGCCAATTATCAACAACCTACTCAGAGGACTCGGCTACCAGTTCTCCAACAAATGGTATGATGAACCCCAAGGATGCTTCCCAGGATGGAACAAGCCTCTCTTCAAGCAATTGAGGGCACAAGAGGATGGACCACTGGATGGGTACACCTTGGCTGACTTCCCTTGGTACATGCAATTGACCACTGAGGAACCCAGTAACCAAGTTACTGAATCATACTTACCAGGAGACTTTTACTGTTTCCAAAAAGCATTGAAGGGAGGGCCTCGTAGAACTTACTTACCCACAGACTTCTACAAGTATAAGGAAATGGTTAAGGAAGAGCCTCAGACTTACCTTCCAGGAGCCTTTTACAAGTATAAGGAGTTGACTAACCAGAAGAAGCAGCCAGAGTACTTGCCTGGCGACTTTTTCGATTTATGGAAGCCAGCTAAAAACGAAAAAGTGTTTTTGCCAGGCGATTTCCATTTCTATAGGGTTCTTTGTAAGGAAGAGACCTCCAGTTTCCTTCCAGGCGACTTTTTTAAGTACGACAAGGTGAAGACCAAGTCTTTGTCGTATTTGCCTGGAAGTTTTTATTTCTATGGGCAGCTTCAGAAGGCTGATCCGTGGAAGGTTTATTGTCCAGCCCATTTTGAGGATTTCTTTACCATTTGGGTGGAAGAGGAGGAAAAGAAGGAGGAGGCAGAAGAAGAGGTGTATTTGCCTGGCGACTTTGAAGGTTTATATGCCCTTTGGGGGCAGTCTGAGGAAGAGGAGAAGAAGGAAGGTGAAGGTGTCCTTGGAGTCTGGGGAGAGTTCTACGAGGGAAGAGGTAGAGTAGAAGAAGTAGTAGTAGAGGAGGAAGTAGACGGTACTGGTTTCGGTATCTGGGGAGACTACTATGAAGGGGAGGAAGAAGAGGAGGTCTACTTACCTGGAGACTTCGAAGGATTCTATGATATCTGGGGAGAAGAAGAGAATGAAGAAGCCTACTTGCCAGGTGATTTCCAGGACTTCTATGAACTTTGGGGTGAAGGTGAAGAGGAAGAAGAAGTCAATGAGGAAGTCAATGAGGAAGCTTTCTTGCCTGGAGACTTTGAAGGCTTTTACGATATCTGGGGAGAAGAGGAAGAAGAAGGTAACAGTGAAGCCTATTTACCTGGAGACTTCGAGGGCTTCTTTGGTGTTTGGGGAGAAGAAGAGGAAGAAGTCAATGAAGAAGTGTTTTTGCCTGGTGACTTCGAAGGCTTTTTTAATATCTGGGAAGATGCTGAAGTCAATGAAGAAGCCTATTTACCAGGAGACTTTGAAGGTTTCTTTGGTACTTGGAGAGAAGAGAAAGAGAATGAAGAAGAAGAAGAAGAAGAAGAAGAAGAAGCTTACTTGCCTGGTGACTTTGAAGGTTTCTTCGGTTCCTGGAGAGAGGAAGAGAATGAAGAAGAAGTATATTTGCCAGGTGATTTTGAAGGGTTCTATTCCATTTGGGGAGACACTGAAGCAGTTGATGAAGAGGTCTACTTACCAGGTGACTTTGAGGACTTCTACAATATCTGGGGAGAAGAGGAAACCAACGAGGAAGTCTATTTACCTGGAGATTTCGAAGACTTCTATTCCATTTGGGGAGAAGAAGCAAGTGAAGAAGTCAAAGAAGAAGCAAGCGAGGTTGAAGAGAATGAAGAAGCCTTCTTGCCTGGCGACTTTGAAGGGTTTTACTCCATCTGGGGAGACTCAGTCAATGAAGAGGAAGCCAATGAAGTTAATCAAGAAACCGAAACCTTCTTGCCAGGCGACTTCTCTGGGTTCTACGAAGACTGGACCGAAACCAGCAAGGAACCTCAGCACTCTTCCAAGAAGCCCTCTCCAACCTTCTTACCCAAGGACTTCTTCTTCTGGCAAAACGTCCAAAAAGAAGACTCCCACGAACCACAGTTCCCCAACAAGTTCCATTTCTGGGACAATATCACCAGAGAAACAGAGGCTGCTGCTTATACTCCTCTGGACTTCTACTTCTGGAAGGAACTGGTGAGAGAGTCTTGCCTGGAGACTTTCTACCCAAAGGACTTCTTCTTCTGGGAAGGTTTATTGAAGGAGAAGAACCAGGACTACTTGCCCAAGGACTTCCTCTTCTGGCAACAGTCAGTTAAGGAAGAAAAGGTTTCCTACTTGCCCAAGGACTTCTTCTTCTGGGAACAGCTGCTTAAGGAAAAGACCTCCTCCTTCTGGCCTTCAGACTTTGCTGGCTGTTTCAGCAACGACGCAACCATCCAGGTTTATGCTGTTCGGTCGTCCAAGAAGGTGGAGGAAGCAGAAGATGAACAGCCCAAGCCATACACTTTCCAGTTGATTATCCACGATACGAACTCAGACTCGTCGAGTGACTCCAATGAAGAATTGAGCTTCTTTGAGAAGTGGGGGTTCCATGAATCGGACGTGAGTGACACTGAACTCAATGAGTATCTTGATAAGGTGGACTGAGTGTGGAAGAGAAGTGGGCTTGTAGTATGTAGATTATGTAGATTATGTAGATTGTGTAGGTATATAGTAATAAATGAATAAAGAAAAGAGGGAGTAGAAGGGAAGTTGGTATAGGCAGTGGAGCTTCAATTAATAAGGCTTCTTCATAAGGCATCTTTTAATACTGGAGGAAACCAGACTCAATGTCAGTTGGTAATCTCCTTGTCTTATGGCCAACCAGCCCACCTACATTCCTTCATTCAAACGTCAATTGCACAGCTACTAATTAAGACACACCCGTTTATGCCTCGTAGATGTTCGTCTGCACGGTGATTTCGCCAGAAGGCGTCATCTTCTGGTGGGCCGACCACTTCTCGCCCTTCTCCAACTTGATAAACGACGCCACATGGCCGGGCTCCACGCACAACATCTTCAAGTACCCATCTTTAGGCAAAAAGTCAGCCATACCTTCAGCCTTCTTGATCCATGGGTTCCAAACCACCGCATCCGGCAAGTTGTGTCTTTCCAACGTCAACAAAACGTTGCCTCTATCCACCAACTGGATCACCTTGTGCATATCGACGTTCTTATAAATACGGTCGAACTCTTCCTGGAAACTAAGCATAGGCAGCTTCTCCACGTAATGCTCCCCCAACAACTGGTCAAAGCACCGGGAGTCCATCAAGTTCGTGGCCAACGTGTCTGTAACGTCGTCCAAGTTATAGTACGTGTGGAACAACCAGTTAAAGTCAAAAGCGTTGTTTCCAGTGTTTTCCACCTCTATGCCTGTAGTCAAGCTATCTTCCGCCAACGTGATGGTCAAAATCAACGTAAAATCGTTCCTTCCTTCGTCCCACAACCCGTAAAGGTCCTTATCGACATTCTCTGGGCCCAAGCCAAACTGCACCGCCACGGGTTCTTCAGTAGTAGCACCCAAAAACTCCCAGGTCGAGTTTCTGGCGAACCCATGCTGTGGCAACTTAAAAGTAGGGTGACTCTCGTCCTTCTGTTTACCGAAAACAGGGAAAACAAGCGGAATTCCACCTCTCACTGGACGCAGCCCGTCAAGCTTAGCACCTTCCGAAAGCCAGAGCTGTTCCTGGCCATTTTCCTTCCAGGAAATGACGGTGGCGCCGTATTTCAAGATGGTGGCCGTGGTGTTTGGGTTTTTGGGGTGAACTATAGTCACTCTATCGTCGAGATCTTCCACGGGCATTGCAATTGGGGAGGAAAAAGGTGGGTTTTGGGAATTGGGGTTGGAGTTGGAGTTTGGTGATACTGATTAGGCGTGGTGTACGGGTGTGTCAGTGGTTAGTCCACATGGTCTGGAGACGTCAAGCGAAGGAGGGGTGGTGGCATTTTTTTAAGGGTATGGTTGTGTTTGGGAGAAGTAGGGGATTATGATGGTGTGCTTAGTTTTTGTTTATATTTAGTGGTGGTGCCTTTTGGTGGGGGTTTAAGTGCGGTGGAGTCAGATGAGCACTGGTTGTGGAGGAATGTAAAGAAAAGGGGGAAATTTTGGGGTTGGAGGTTTTTGGAGAGCTGGTTTGGGGTTTAAAGGGTTAGAAGGTTCTGGTGGTGGTGGAAAAATGGCGAGTTTTGGGCGAAGGGATGGAATATGGTGGACAGTAAGTGAGGTTATGGAGGTGGAATAAGTATGGAAGAAGGGGATGTAAATGGGAAGGAAATGGGGACTCAGCAGCGTCTGGTTGGTACTTATTTGGCTATTTAGGGTTGCAACAGTCGTCTTAGTGTGTTTTGGGTTTCTGGAGTTGTTTTTATTTGGGGCTATTAATGGCTGCAAATTGCCCATATAAGGTACTACTATTAGAGGAAGTAGGTGTGTATTTCCTTCAATTTTGACAGATAGAAGTTTAAGAAGGTTCCAAGTCATGCTATGGAGGTTAATGTAGGCTTTTGGTTACCTTTCAAGCTTTTTTTGACCACTTGGGGCTATTTGGCTGGGAGTCTAACCAGTATACTTCTACTTCTCACTTAAGCATATATCCATCTCCAAGTACCAAGCCAAAGACAACTCTAAATGCCTAGAAACTACCACTTAGCCTCTTTTGACACCCCCTTTCCTTATCTTGGCCCACAAAACACCAACTGCTTAGCATTGAGTACATCAACTACACTTCCTCTCATTCATCATTTGTATTGTTTCTATAACATTAGGTGACTATGCAACGTCTTGGTATCATTTAAAAAAAGTCGGTTCTGTGTCTACTGGCCAGCCAGCGAATCACGAAAACCTGCTCTTGAACTTCTGGAACTTGCTGAGCGACCGTTGGCTCACTTCCGAGTTCATGCTGTTAAGGGAAATATGGCTGGGCGATCTGGACGCCTGTTCTTTGGCCAAAGACTTCTGGGAAGACAGAACGGTGGGTCTATCGTATAAAGAGAAGGGCTGGGGAATGGTAAAGTTACGGGTTCCCGAAGGAGACTGGTTGAGGTTGGAAGCTGAAGGTTTCTTGTGGAGACTGGGCACCGACGGCTTTTTATAAAGGGTTGTAGGTTTTTGGAGGTTGGAGCCTGACGGTTTTTTTTGAAGGGCCGCTGGGGCTGCCGGTGCTGCTGGTTTCTGGAAATGGGTAGATGGTTTCTGGAAATGAGTAGATGGTTTCTGGAGGTCAGGAACTGACTGTTTCGGTTGAAGACTGGGGATCAGTGATTTAAAGGAGGGTGATTTCTGGAGACTGGGAATTGACAGTTTTTTTTGAAGATTAGGAATTGACAGTTTCTTCTGAAGATTAGGAATTGACAGCTTCTTTTGAAGATTAGGAACCGACAGTTTCTTTTGGAGACTGGGAACCGACGGTTTCTTCTGGAGACTTGGAATCGACAGTCTCAGCTGGTTTGGCGCCGCCAGTTTATATAGACTCGACGACGACGGAGCCACGCCGGCCATTTGCAACGACAGCTGGCGCTGTTTCGGGAACGGTTTGGCGAATACCTTATCGTTTGAATCGCTTGCACGAGGAGACTCGTCCAAAGCAGGAGAATCACCTTCCGTGTCCATATCGTGGTCAAGCAACGAATTCAAGTTCATGTGGCCCTTTGAAGGGGAGATTCTGGTGAATCTAGAAGGTGAACCTTCCTTCCTCTCTGGAGACTCCATCCTCTCTGGAGACTCCATCCTCCTGGTTCTTTGTGGACTCCACGAGGTCTGCGTCCCCCTCGGCGGCGCCAAGGTCGGTTTCTCCCCAAACCCCACCCTCTCTCTCCGTTCAGGGTCCTTCCTCCTCAACGGCAGCTCGTTTTCCTTATCCACATCGCCAAACATCTCTTCCGGCCCATTAAGCGTTCTCCTCTTCTTCGTAGCACTCGAATTGACCTCCTTCGCCGGCGAAACCCGTTCCCGCTGCCTCTGCATCTGTCTCGAAGCAGCATAGTGGGAACTGATACTCTCCATCTTCTGAAACATCGGTTTATGGCCCCCAGGTACCGTTTGCGTCTCTGTTTCTGTTCAGGCAGCGGCTCCAAGTGTCCAGATATCTGCTGGGCCCTTAGATCAAGCTCCTGGAGGACACTGTTACTGAATGTCTGGGAGTAACCCTTATCCACCATGTTCTCAAACATATGGTCTTTTGGACTGGAACCAGGCAAGTCACTCATGGACGGGTAGCGTACTGGAGAGCCAGGCAGTCGAGGCGACAGAAGGTTTAGTGCCCGTATTTTCTTGATTGGCGTGTTTAGCATGGGATGGAGGGGAGGTTGGGTATTGGGATGTGGTTGGTTTGGAAGGGAAGGTGTAGTGATGGATGTTTATGTATTGGCCCAAAGGGGAAGGAGAGACAAGGTTGGTGGATTTTGGGAAGGAGTGATGGGGAGGAGGTGAGATGAAGGTGGGGGAAAGAGAGGTGGTTGAAGAGGGTGGAGGGTGAGTTTTAGGGGTTTTGGAGGTGTTTTGGGGGTTTTGTGGTGGGTTGTTGGCGGTGGTTGGTGGACGTTGAGGGAGGTGAGAAAGTGGATATGGGTTTGGTGGAGGAGGTGGTGGGAGGAGGGAAAGGAGTGTAAATGGGGGTGGTTTGGGGTGGCAGGGTGGCGGTAAGTTGTTTTTTATTTTTTGAAAGGGGTGTTTTGGGTGTTTGGCGGTGGCTGCAAATTGGGGAGTTCTGGGAGGGAAGGTTGGTGGAAAAACTGGGCTGGGGACGGGAAGGGGGGTCAGGGGGAGCAGAAAAGAGGCGTTTTGGTGGTATTAAGGGGTGAAGAAAACGTAGATGGGGCTGGTTTTTTGGTTTTGACGTTGGTGGTAGAAATAAATGGGACTTGTAGATGTGGTATATGGGTGAGAAGAGAGGGTATGGTGCTCAGTGAGGTTGTGGTTGGAAGTGAGGTGTTTGCAAGAAAAGGAGTATTTGGGGAGGAAGAGAGGACCAGGAAGAGCAGGAGGGAGGTTCAGTTTGGTTGTTTTTCTGTTTACTTGTCTGAAAGTGTTGTCCTTAGACGGACTGCTAAGTGAGTATACATACTATGTGTATGTGAACATACAAAAGCCACCAAAAACATGATTTTGGGTAAAAAACCAGTAAAAGTGAACTTTAGAAACTGGTCAGTTATTGTTGTTTTTGTTTTCTTTTTTGGAGGCCACGTTTCTGGCGCTTCTGGTATTGAAAGGCTTGAGTTCAATAAGACTGGAGCTTCCCTATAAAGAAAGCACACTCAGCCTAAGAAATTGCCTTGATTTCACTTACCTGTTATTCTTCCACTCCCCAAATGGCCATTTGAAGCTTTCAGAGGCGAAGCTGCTAATCAAGTTAAAAGATGCCTCTTCCCGTCAATTAACGGTAACTATAGTGTCCACCAGCTTCTCCAAACCACTAAAAGCCCTAAATGGAGCACCGCCTGGATTCAAACCTTCCTTCCTGGTTCCCTAAACTTTTATAATTCCAACCTTAATGCCTTTCTTGACGGCAACTCCAGGACTCTTCCCCCTCCTTAACGTATATTTAAACCACCAGTAAACACTCTTCCTTTTCTTCTTCTATACCCCAAAAGATACCCAAAAGATGTCCAGGGACCGCCTTGAAACCTTCTATGTCTTTGAGTACTTTGGTTCCAGCGAGTTTAGCTTCTCCAAAGTGACTTCCCAGGCATTCAAGGCTATTAAAGATACTCCTTTCAAGTACCACTCTCATACAACCAGAGTATGCCGTTACCAGGACTTGGTTTTGGCTGTTACGAAGTTTCAGATGAAGTTTACCAGAAGGTATGAGCAGATCGAGCTTCAGTTCACAAAGACATTAAAATCCAGAGTCCTTGAATGCCCAAATAAGCTTGAATGTGTGGTTGTGGCTCCAGGACAGTTAAAGGGATATACTGGGGAAGGTTTTGGCCCCCTGGCCTGCTTTGTGGCTCAGTTTGAAGGCCAGAAGTACTATATGGAAGGAGTTGGGTCTACTTTAAGTGAAACATTGGTTTGTCCATATGAAACACAGAGGAGAGCTGAAATAATCGGTTACGGCTATTCCAGAGAAGGCCATGTACACTTGAAAACCAGTCTTTGTCCTCCAAACTGGCTCAACCAGGATACTTCTACTCCTACAGTTTATCCAGACATGAAGGTGGAAGAAGCACTTACACTTGAGGTTACTTGTAGTCCAAAGACGGAAATAGACAGTTTCTGTTCATTGGCAATTCTTTCTGTGACCGTTGAGCTTTTGGAGCTTACCTGTGTTAACCAGAAAGGCTTTAAAAGCACGAAAACGCTTCGCTTCCAGAAGTTATCATACAAAAACTACTTCCAGTGCCTTAAAAGTCCATGTAAGTTTGCTCTTCCACGGGAAGTATACGAGTCGTCCATTCCAGACGTGGGACCAACGTTTTATTCTTCCACAGAGACTCGAAACTATGCTATTAAAGTGAGAGTAGGGTTGATAGACTTGGAAAGGGTCGTTCCGCTTATGGTAGAGCGGTTGGTGGATATAAATGTTGCCAGAATGGACGAAAAGACGCTTAGAAGTCTTATTTTAAAGAAGCAGGCCAAGGGAAGCTTACCAAGCGGACCAACGTACAACCGCTTGTTTATTGAAGCCCACAGACCTTCTAAATTTATTCCTGACGGCCCCAAAGCGTCGTTTGACGTTTTGGACCAATGTGAAACAGTGCCTGAGCTGCAAAAGACACTTCTAGTCCATGGCTTCAACAAAGTCATTACCATAACCAACATTCAATCAAAGAATAGCGAAATCAAGACCCTAGGACCCTCCAAAGACTTCTGGACCTCAGAGAAAGCCAGCCTGGACTTATACTGTTCCATGGAATACAGACTCTTCAAGGTACAGAAAGCAAACACCCAGTATCTCTGGATCGGGCCCACAATCACCAATAACGGGATGTTCTTTACAAAAAACCTTCCTTTGGATCTCTGGGACATTCTGAACCGAGAGCTTCGTCATTTGGACTACGCTGAAGGTCCAATGGTTGTATTTTTCCAAACCAGCACCAGAAAAACCACCAAACCCATGTACTTGCGTCCAATTACAACCCCAAAACTCCATCCAAACCTCAAAGGCCAAGGAGTGGTGGTCGCCAACGGAATGAAGGTTTCTGAGTTTCTTACAGTCAGAATAGTATGTCCATTTTCATGGGAAGTTACGCCAGACACTTCTATAGACCTTAAATTGGACCTTGTGGTTGCCAGAATCAAAGAAGAAGCTGATCCAGAAAAAGAAGAGTTCTGCTTTGTTCTGGCTTCAAAAGAAGTGTTTCACTGGGACGACTTCACCTTATCTGAAACAGGCAATGAATGGTATATGGACGTTTCACCCAAATGGCTCAATGGCGATCTAAAAGGCATTCTTCCCACTTTCCACACCAACAATGTATTCAAAAGAACCACTTTGGACGTGAGTTTCACGTTTCGGTCCATGGGCTCCAGCCAGACTTGTCTGGTTCAGGTTCCTCTAGCTGTGTGTTTAGACTGTGTGGATGTTACTGGGTATGAAGTTATTCCGCCAGAATATGCTGTTTTGGCGGATCCAGAGGAGGTGGAGAGGTTTGGCGAGTTTAGGGATATGCTGGAGGTTGAGGATATTTGTGGAGTGGGTTTGGCTGAGTTGAGTGATGAAGAGTGGCCTGAGGTGGAGTAGGAGAAGTTGAAGTAATGATTTGAAGGATTTATGTGTTTAGGTTTGGGTTGGTTAAGGTTAGGGAATTGTGGTGGTGCTTGGTGTTGTTTGGTGTTTAGGATATGCTACTGGGTAAGTATAAGAAAAGACGGCGTTTTTGGAGTAAGAAAAGAACAGGTGTCTTTGAGTTCCCAGGACTCACGTATTCTGTGCTTTTATCAAGAAGAGGGAACTCTACTTGTGCTAGTAATGGAATGTGATTCAAGAGAGTCTTCAATATACCTACTTTAGCTTTCAATGAAAGATGTAAAATGAATTTGATATAAAACTTTCAAATAATTGGTAAAGGTGATAAAAAAAACATGCTTTCATACGGACGCTTATGTCCTTTTTCATTTACTCTTCCTATGTTCGATTCTTTTCATTCTGGAGTGTCGTTGTTTACCAGTAGTCAGTCAAGCATTCTACACACATTTGAAGTACTCCTGGAAACAGCAGATTCTTGCTTTAAAACTCATAAAATATACTTATATTGACCTTTTAAAGAAGACTTAATTGCAAAATGTGCTTTACCAGGATTCTGTGAGTTGGTGGAAGACTTCCAGTAGACTTATTAGTACTCAGAAGAGATAATCCATCAAGAATCAAAATGTTTATAATTTGAAATCAGAAACCTTTGGTTCCTTCAGAATACCTAATTCTTTTTTATCTTCATAGGTTTCTTCAAAAACAAATAAGTGCTCTCTTAAGAATACTCTATGGATACATTCACTTGAAGCTGTTTTCTCGTAATACCAAAAGAGAGACCTTCCAGAAAGCGAACTCTTCAACTGTAATAGCCTATTTTATTCTAGAACACTAAAACTTCATCTGATATCCTTTTCTTTTACATTCCTTACTGCAAACACATGCGCTTTGTATGTGGTGTTTCAGAAACCAGCCCTCGTTTCAGAATATGGATTCAACCTATTTCCACCAATTTCACCCCAAAAGACCCCAAAACACTTCAATGCCCCTAAAATGGCCAGATAATTATTCCAAGGGGCCCTCGTGTTCCTCTAATCAAAAACAGCCGGGTCATGTTGGATTATGCTTGAGGAAGTGCCGCAAAGCTTCAAGAGATACACAATAAACGGAACGTGGGATCTACGACGAAGACGAAGCGCCCCTGTAAATTCCAGGACCCCCCAAAACACAGACTAAAGCTTCCTCGATGAAATAGAAAAAAAAATAGATGTAATTGAGTTCTCTGTAGTGAACACTGGCTGGTGAATACCCAAACCCAGTACCAACCCAAGCACCAACCCAAACCAGAAAACACCTGTTTGCTTCAACCTACATCAACCCACATCATCTCCAAAAGCAGTATCTCCTGCGGGGACACCCCTTCAGCTAAAGTACATATAAACCCATCAACCTCCTCTTCTTCTCTTCTTCTCTCTCACCAAAATGGACGAACACCGCCTTGAAACCTTCTACGTATTTGAACACTTCAAAGCAGCCGAGTTTAGTCTCTCGAAAGTGGCCGTCCTGGCCTTCAAGGCCCTTTCCAAGCACCCTCTAACCTATAATTCCCACTCCACCAGGGTTTGTCCGTATGAAGAGTCTGTTTTAGCCATCACCAAGTTTGAAGTCAAGTTTGAGGACGATCCAGAGTCACTTGAAGTGCTTTCAGACAAAGTGCTGGTGAATCTGATAAACCTGACGGAACTGGTGGACCTGGCAGAACTGGTGGAGCTCGTGGACCACCCAGAGAAGCTTGAATGTGGGATATTTCTTCCTAAACAGTTGACGTGCTACAGTGGAACCACCAAACCGCTGGATTTGCCTTTGGGCTGTATTTCTGCTTCTGTGGATGGCAAACAGTACGAATTTGAACATGCCAGCTCCAGTTTGAGTGAAACTTTGTACACTGCCAAAGACATGGAACGTAAAGGTGAATGCAGAGGGTTTGGGAAAGATACCGCTGGATATGTCCGGTTGAAAGCAACCTTTGAAGGCCCCAATTGGATAAAACACAGCTCTGGCTGCCACATTGTCTACCCAGGCTTGGAAGTGTCTGAATGTGTGAGGATCCAGCTTTTCAGTAAGGTTTTATCTGACCGTCCGTCGTTGGCCATAACTTGTGTCAGTACAGAACTCTTGGAGCTAAGCAGTACGCCAGTGCCGCTGTCTGAGGCCAAAAAGACGTTGAATGTTGTGAAACTTCTGCGCCAGACATGTTTTGTGGAGTGTGGAAACCTGGCGTACTTTAACGTTCCCGTGAAACTCTTGAAAGGATGTATTCCCCAAGTGGGGCCTTCATTCTACTCTTCGTCTAAAACTCAAACGTATGCAATTAAAGTTTCTGTGGAGTTGAAGGATTTACATGACGGGCTGGAGCTTTTTTTGGAACGCTTGGTTGACGTGGACGTTGCACAGGCTGACTACCATGCTCTCAAGCGTCTCTTTGTTGCCAAAAACCCTGCTTCTTATATCAAAAAGGTTCCCAGACAGAGAAGAATGTTTATGGAGGTTTTTGACCGGTCTCTGTTTGACCTTAAGATTGGAAGCATGGCGTTTCATATCCTGGATCGCTGCAAAGGCGTTATTGAGATGCAACAGACCAGTTTGGTCCATGGCAAAGACCATGTGGTAGCTGTAACTTTCATAACATGCATTAATGGGAATATAGATGAGGTGTTCCCCAGCAAAGCGTTTTATGCGCTTCACAAGGATAAGATTTACCGAGACTCAAGATGCTACATGAAGCAGCAGCAGTTGAAGGTTTCCAAAGAGGGAATCTCTTATAAATGGATCTCTCCAGTGATATCGTACAATGAAGGCACCATTTCTGCCGACATTCCAAGGTCCCTTTGGAGCTTGTTGAGGTGTGAAGAGCCACCGATTATAACAAAGGACTTGATTAATTACTGGGGGAATTATTCTTCAATGAGAGTAGAATTTCTATACTTGAGCCTGCTTAAGCTACCACTGGGGGAAGAAGGGCTACTTGTAACAGAAGAAATGAGTTTAGATGATTTGATTAAGCTCAGAATGGTCTGGCCATACAAAGTCAAAGAATCCGAAGCAGCTCGTTCAATAAGCTTCAAAGTTGACTCTGAAGATCAAACATGGTACGCTTATGACTCCTACAGGAACTCCACGAGCATTTTAAAAGAATCAGACTGTGGAAACTTTTGGTACAGAGACGTAATCTTTGAGGAGGAGCTTCCGAAAGTTGTGCTGAACATGAAAGCATGTTTCAGTTCAAACTTTGTGGGAAAATCGTCTTCCTTAGATTTAAACTTGGAGAGAGATAAATATTCAAGTGATATTCTGCTTCAATTAGTACTTGCTGGAAAAGGAATCGACCTTACAGGTGAGAATGTTGTTCCTCCAGAAGATGCAGATGTTTCAGAGAAGGAATGTGATTATAGAAAGCTTGTGGGGACTGAAACCATTAATGGCTTTCAAGATGAAGATTCAGGTGTAATAAAACAGAAATTGGACGAGTTTTCAATTGAGAAGCATTGCGTTGGTTGAATATCGTTTGTCAAAGAGGAACAGTAGAAGAAATATGAAAAATGGTATGATGATTTGTTTTTTTTATGGACAGGTTTGCTCTTTTATTTGGTCAATGTTTTTGGTAATTCGTTTTCTTCATGTTTTATTCATGAAGAAACAAAGAGAACATAGAAAATTGTAAGCCTTAGCAAGGAATAAATTGATCTAGAAAGTAAACCTTTCTGGTTATAATTAGATGTAATTTTTTGGTGATTTCTCTACACATTTATTTATTTGTAGATATTTACTGCTTTTTTTAGTATTCATTTTGAACTAAGAAAATCCTTGAAACCACTTTATTTATTTAATGCTCTTCCAATTGTAGTATATTTTGAATGTTTCGTACTTTGATTTAATAAACACTTTCTGTTTTAGAAAAACGACAAATTCAATAACTTAAGATGAAAGTCAAATGCATTTTAATACATACAATTATTCACCGCGTGGATGCTTTTTGTCCACTGATGAAGTTGATTAAAAATTTCTATAAAAAAAACGGTTTAATCAACAAATTGTATTTCTGACTTTAATATAAAAAAAAAAGTATGATGGTAAAATAACAAACCATTTTGGGAATTCTACTAAAAGAGTATTGGTCAATTAAATAAGTAAATCACTTTCACAATCATCTATAAATTTTTTTTTGTGTTTACCATTTCTTTGTAGGTGACCAATTTTAATTTAAAAAAAAAAAAAATTAAAAAAAAAGACCCTTAAGAAAGATAAACGTAAAAGAGACACATTTGGGTGGATCAAATCGATCAAAGTGGTTATATTCATCCAGATAAATAATGAAGGAGAATAGAAGCTCGTAAAAGAACTAGGGAGTCAACTAAATGTAAAGTGCTACAAATCAAAAAATAACAGCAATGTTTTAACGTAATTTGAGGACAAAAGGAGGACTATTTGAACTGTTTAGGCTTCCTTTAGTTCCTTAGAATAAGCTTAAAATGGTTTTACTCATAACTCCACGAAAAATCGGAATTTCTGGCTCAGATTTCTACAGAACAACGTTTTAGCCACAAAAAATGTTTAAAAATAACAAAACTTAGTAAATATTAGGGTTTTCCCAATTTGTGGGTATTATCAAACCAGTAAAACTTATCAAATATTAGCCCGCCTGCGTGGCGTAATGGTTAGCGCATTTGACTTCTAATCAAAAGATTCCGGGTTCGAGTCCCGGCGTGGGTTCTAATTCTTTTTTGTTTTTGGAAATTGTGGACCTTAAAGAGTTTAGCTTTTAAGGTTTAACAGGGTATTTTTGTATTTTTGTGGTGTGTGGAATGTCACAGTGGCTTTTGGAAGTCTATTTTCGCATTTGGCTGAAACCATATAAACACGAGAGCACACGAAAAGGGAGAACAAACGGTACAGGAACAGAAAATGTATCAAAAACCGAATTTAGGGATGAAGGAGGTCAGTGTGGCTTTTTTTCGGCTCGAAAAGGCAACTTTTTCGGTTGTTTAGGTGGATATATTAGAACCTCCAAGAAAAAACATATCCAGACAGACAGAAGTCCAGTTTTTACGGTATTTAGATGGTTTGGAAGGTGAGTTTTGCGTGAAATTAATTACTGGGTGTTGTTGCTGGAGTTTTGGATCACTTTCTTGAGGATCTGGCCAGTATAGGAAAGTTAACACTGGAACTGAAGACCTATAAAGAAGAGAAGAGTATGGAAACCAGCTTAAAGGGGTCTAGAAATCCCAGAAAGAAGAAGAAACAGATAAAATTGTAGTTTTATTTTTAGTTGGATGTAGAGAGATCTCTTTGTAGTCCAGAGATAGTTCATGAGATGACCTCTTCCTGGTTGAGTTCCAAGAAGCTCCTTTGACAGAAAGAGGACTTAATTACTCCAGAGAATTCAGCAGAAATGGACGATTTATCTGGTTTATTTAAAACTGGAGGTCTGCAAAGGGCAAGGATCAGGAAATTTCTTTCTATTTAGGCTTTGAAGAAAGACATAATGACATGTTTCAGGACATGAAAGCTTCAATTAACACCAGGAAAATCACGCTTAAGAGCTTTTGATATGCCATTCACCAATGACCTTATATTATAACATCTAGAGTCATATATAGATAGAATACCATAATTACTTACTGTACAATATATACTTAGTGTACCATGTATACTTAGAGTACCATGATTGCTTAAACACCGAAACACTAAACTACCGTTACTACAAATAACTACATATACAAGTTAAAAATACCAGAAGTACGTTCTTTGCAAGCCAGAGTGCTACAGGCCTCGTTCTAGGATACCATTTGTTCTAAGTAGTTACCAGATACTCAGAAGACCATGTATACTTAGTATACCATGTAAATGAAATACCATATACTTAGAATGTCATATACTAATGCCAGATTCACTTAGACTTAGTATACCATACACTTAGTGTTCCGTATGTACTTAGGATATTATGTATACTTAGAATACCATGTATACTCACAATACCAATACTCAAACTACTACTAAGTGAACATGAAAATCAAGAGTACGAGAGATACGTTCCAGGTAAGTCAGAGTGGTCTAGACGTCGTTTCATTGAGATACCATATACTCAAAATACCACATATATTTAGAAAACCAGATATACTGAAAATGCCAGAGACTCAGAATACCACAAGTAAATAGAAGACCATATTTACTTAGTTGTTTTTTAGGATGCCACAAACTCGGAATACCACATATACTTACTCTATAATATACTTAGTGTACCAAATACTTAGAATGCCATATTCACTAGTGTACCATATTTACTAAGTAGTTTCCTTAGAATGCCATATAAGTAGTATACCATGTAATTGGAATACCATTTTTACTTAGTAGTTTTCTTTGATTGTCATATACTCAGAAAATTTAGGATACCACCTATACTCTGAATATTGAAATAGGATACCACTTATACTCAGAATACCATAGAATTAGAATACCAAATATACTTAGAATACCCATTACTTAGTAGTTTCCTTAGCATACCATGTACTTTGTATACCACTTAACCTAAGAATACCCATGTACTTAGTATAACATGGACTTACTCTATCTTGAATCCCACAAACGCCCTGAAGACCCACGTACTTATATACTTGAAATACCACTTATATACTTGGAATACCATAGACCTAGAATGCCTTACACTCAGAGTACTACTTATACTTAGAAAACCACAAAGACTCAGAATACCGTTATCCAGAAATACATGACATGTACTTGAAATGGCATATACTTGGAAGACCTCTCAATGTAGATACAAGTCAAGTATACTAGATATAACCTCTATGCAAACAAGGAACTTTTCTATCAATAGACCTCCTTTTCAGAAACCCGGTATACTCTGAAAGTTAAATAAATGCCTTTCGAAGGGGCCATGAATAAACATTTAAAAGTTCTTAGATTACCATATATGCTTGAAATATCTTATATGCTTGGAATGCCATATACACTTAAGATACCATATACACTTAGATTACCATATTTGCTTAGAGTACGGTAAACTTTTAAAAATACCACAAACACTTAGAATGCCATATATCCTAATAATATCATAGTTTACAGAAGTAAGTGAAAAGTGTATACGTTCAAGACATTCGAAGAAACATGTGTTTCCAATAAACACTGAATGTTTAAGAATACAATAAGTTGAATCTCTAAGAAGCTGTAAAAATACTTGTTCTATCCAAAAGACGATTATGAATCTCCTAATGCCCTTCTTCTGGTCCCCAGCTCTTCCTTTGACTTCGGTCATTACTCTTCCTTTACATATAAACCTTTTCGTTAATTCCCTTAACCTAACTCTTCCAGCGCCAATCAGGCTACCAGAAAACCTCTAGAAATTGAAAAAAATCGTCATTTTAAGCCTCCAGAAGATCCTGAATGTCCACTATTACTATTGATATTTGACGTTGTACATGCATTTCCTGGCACTCACTGGCTTCTCCAAAACCCCCAGAAGACCACCCAAAGAAGCCAAAAAGACACTTTCCAAGAGTTCTGGGTATTCCTGAAACTCAGGGAAGTCCCTAAATATCATTTACAGCTTGTACGCTTCTTCTTTGGGAGTTCCAGCCAGAAACGTAAATGGACAGTTTCTTTTCCAAAAACCAACCAAACGAACTGTTTTCTTTGAAAACAATCAAATCCATCCCAAACAACAAAAAAGGAGCCTTCTTTTCCCAAAAACCATCAAAATTCGTCAACTACCATTGCCTCTCCACAAGTAGCCGAGGAACGTCTCAGCAGACCAAAATGCACGGAAGGGTAATTTCAAGAGATGGATAACACAAAGGGAAGGCACCGGAAACGGCCAGCGACGGGGGACTCAACGAAACTACGCCGTTTGGTGGATGTTTGAATATGTATATAAATGGGTTGTGAGAGGATATAGAGATGACGGATTTTCGCCCAAAAAGGACCAATTTTGAGCTAAACGGGTTGGCTACGACCTCGTGGAGGTTTCTACGGGCCTGGAAAGTCCGAAAAAGGTGTTTTCTAAGAAAATCATGGAAAAATTATGGAAAACCATTGACTTCTTTAAATCACCTACTGCTTCCTCCCACCTGCAATTTCTCTGTGAATTAAACTTTCCAGGGGCATTGGAGTCCGAAAATACATGCATTTTCATGGAAACCAGACCTTAAAAACGAAATTTGAAAAAGAGTAGGAATCTTTAAAACCTTCAAAAAACGTGAAAAATAGGCCTTTTTCTGACCACCATAAACCAGCCAAAAGTTGCCCAAAAACGATCCAAATTTCTCCAAAATCACCGTCTACACCGCCATTTCCTCATGGATGGTCAGTGACTACATTACGTTTTTTCAAATGCACCAGCGGCTACTTGGGTTGGAAAAACACCGGATGGTCCGGGGCCGCTAAAGGGCCAAGGCAAAAAAGCCCGAAAAGTGGGCGAAAAATGGTCAAAAAACGGCCAGAAAAAGACCTGCTAGGGTAAAATGACCTGTAGATTTGAATTCCGCCACTTTCCGTGGCCCCAGAGACTTTTTTCTGGACTTTTTTGGACCCTTTTTGACTACCCTTTGCAACTTTCCCTGTGAAGGTGCTCCTCGGCACGAGGAATTTTTCATCTTCCATTGTTCGCCTGGTTTTTTCCTTATCGGACTGCAGGAAACGCACCCTCCCCAGGCCACCAATACCCCAGTTATTTCGTGAAGGGTTGGTCAGAATTAGCTGAAATTTGGATACATGATAGAAAAACAGCTTTTCTATGGACCTGCCAATTTTCATAAACTTTGAAGAAGTATTGGTGGAGATAAATGCTATCCTTTAAAACCACATCCTGCATACAGTCACGGAACGACGTTTTCATGTGGCTGCGAAAAAAAAAAACCAGCCTCTCCCCGAGTTAAGATAAATGACAATGAAGGAAACAAAAAAACGCTTTTTACGGAGCAGCGGAGCCGCCCCTTGACGACGTGGGGAAATTTAAATCACCTTCCGAGGCATCGAGGAAGGTGGAAATGCTGAAATGGGAAAGGAGTTTTTATTTGGTTTTAAGAGATCTTTAAAATTAGAGGATTTTCCATGACCAGGTTTGGTACTTTCTTTTTGGTTTTTTTGGTTTTTTCTGACTCTGATTCTTTTTTTTTTTGTTAGCGGTTTTTTGTACGATTTCCGAGGGTCACGTGAAGACCCTTTTGTCGGGGTCCGAGGGTGGGGGAGACAGTCCCCCTCGGAAGTCAATCCACTTTACCGGAAGCGACCATCGGACTTCATATTCACGCCCGCGAGGGGTTCTTTTTTTGACTCAAGACCGAGGCGCGAAGAATATTTAATCCCATTGAGTCAGCGTCCTGCAGGTAAGACGGGTGGCTCCATCATCGTTCGGATCAATGGATGTACTGCAGGTAAAGAAGTTCCCGCCCTCCGCCCTGATTTCCCAGTTTTTTTTAAACCCCCCTAGTTAGCTGGCCACAACCCTTCAGGGTTGTGGTAAGCTATAAATTAAATAGCTTTGCTTTCCGCCGACCCGCTATCCCAATCCCTGCCCTTTTCACATGCCCGTGAGAGGCGTCGGAAGAACTCCGGAAAAAGCAGATGGCCGTTCCTGTACACAACCTCTCATGGATTCCCCATATGCCCTCGTCGGGCATCGCCTTCACCCGGTTTTCTCCATGTCGCGTGCAACCCCGGATAAAAAGTCCAGTGAGCGAAGACGTAATCATCAAAAAGAGTGGTGAGTGAGTTCCGAGGGCACTATATACAGGAAGTGGGGTGTATGGCGCCGGCGAAGCGCTCAAGTCCGAGGCCTAACATTCCTAACAAATTTCCAAGGTCCGAGGGGGGAAACTTCCGACTTCCGAGGGTAGGCAGGACCCGCCAGGAATGGCACATGTAAATCGGACTTTCGGTGATGGGGCCAAATCGTATATATATATACCGAAAAACCCCCAAGCAAATTCTCCTACTTTCTTCTTTTTTTCCCTATATTTCCAAATCTTCAACTTTCCACCGGCAGGACCAGGGAAACATCCAACCACTTACAAAACCTTTTAATTTACTTCATTCCAGACGTTATCTGACTCCAGATCTATACCTGGTGACTCGAACCGACTTTTACCTATAACTCCCTGAAACGGCCTAATTTCGTCAATCCAAGACCACCATCGTGTTCGTCTCGTCCGTCTGATTCGATTGGTACCACTTCTATTAATTTTCGTCGAGCCCCCATCGAAATAACTACCTAAAACATGCTATCCAACGACCTTCTTTCCTACTCCATCATGAGAAACGGCGACAGAGCCGTGACCCACTCGTGCTCCCACTACGCCCCTGCCGTGCAGTATGTGGACTCTGCCAGGGTCTCCCTTCCGCCAATCACGAGCGTGAACGGTCTAACGGAAGATAACTTGACTTCTCTCAATAACTTCACCACCACCAGAAGTCTCCTGGGCCTCCAAAGCTACGGATTCAACCAGAACCAGCCCACGTACCGTTCGGCCTCGGAACTGTCGCAAGGCGGTTCCCCTAGACTCTCTTCTTCAAGTGAGTACCTGAATAATCCAGTCCAAGCCTCCTCGCCAGTGTCTGGAAGTGCTTCTCCACAACTTGCCAGTGCTGATTTCAGTGAAAAGAAGCGTCGCCAGAGACTTGGGCCCAGTTGTGATTCTTGTAGAGCAAGAAAAGTCAAGTGTAACGCTGAAGTTATACTTTTAAGCAGAAACGTCGAAGAAGAAGAGGCTGAAGAGATGCAGCTGCTTGGAGAAGCTTCCAGAGGGAAGCTTTTAGCTGGAGAAGCTGTTTTGCTTGAAGAGTCGTTTTCTTTGGTCATTTCTAATGGCAAATTGGTGAAATTTAGACCTTGTTCGTCTTGTGCTACTAGAGAACTCGATTGCTGTTTTTCTAAAGGTTTTACTAAAGAAGATATCGTTCACAGCAAAAGATCAAGTTCTTTGAGTGCCGTTGGGTCAGTTTCCGTGCTTTCTCTGCCCAAGGCGCCTCTGAGAGTGAAGAAGCGTCTGGACGTGGCTGCACTGGCTAGAAAGAGCTCTTGTGCGGCTTGTAGGAAGAGAAAGGTGAAGTGTGTGATGAATGTGAAGTTGAATAAGTGTGTGGGGTGTGTGAAGAAGGATAGTGAGTGCAGCTTCACCTAGAGAGCGACGAAGGAGCGATCTAGGTGCTTACATTTAACCTAGCGAACGACGAAGGAGTGAGCTAGACAATGCCGACCCCTAGGGAGCTCCAAAGGAGCGACCTAGGCATCAAAATTTGACCTAGCGAGCGACGAAGGAGCGAGCTAGACGATGCTTATTCCCAGATTTAATCTAGATCGCTCTCTGGAGCTCTCTAGACAACCCAGAGGTCAAAATTGACCCTCCTGGCACTCCAGAAACCATCATTTCCATCTAAAGAAGCCCTGGAAACTGCTTTCCCACGAATTCACTCATTTAACTCCCCACACCATTCCATTTCCAGCATTGCATCACCAAAACATCCCCAACACAACAAAAATAAGAAGGCAGCTGCCTGCAACTTCGTTCATTTCATGGGTTTCAAAAATCCCCTCAAACAAAAAAACAGTCATTTTCAACAAGGACTATAAAGAAAAAGTTTACAGCATTTTATACATAGTAGTATTGGTACGGGTACTAATAGAATTTTTAACAGTTTAAAGAGAGCGTAGTTGAAGTATAGTTATAGCATGGGGTTCTTACTTCCGAATTGGAATCAGTACTTATTACTCATTAGTTAGTACTTATTACTTGTTACTCGTAAGTTAGTACTTATTACTACTTGTAACTCATTACTTTATAATCATTGGTTAATACTTATTACTTATTAGTTAGTACTTGTTACTTGCTACTTATTACTACTTACTACTTATTAGTACTTCTACTTATTACTTATTACAACTTGTAACTCGTAACTCTATTATCCTTAGTTACTTGTTGCTTAACACTCACTACTGATTACTTTATGTTAACTACATATCACTTACTACTTACTACTTAGTACTTACTCACTACTCACTACTTACTACTTATCACTTACTACTTATTACTTAGCACCACTTGTAACTCATAGCTCTATAATCATTAGTTACTTGTAAGTCATTACTTAATGATAACTTATGATTACTCTATGTTAACTAATTTTACTATCAATCACTTCTCGACAACTACTTCTACTTGTCACTGATTACTCTATAACCACTAGTAATTATTACTTATTGCTTCATGACAGTCAATGTACTTATTACTTATTACTTATTACTTACTACTTACTACTAATTTCTCACTATTTACTACTAATTCCTATTTGATGATACTACTTATTACTGATTCTTGATAATCACTAGTCACAAATTGGTACTCAGTACTTGACAGTTATTAGTTACTTGTTACTCATTACTTGATGATAACTGCTCAATATGTGGTACTCAGTATTTGATTATCACTTACTGATTACTTGATGATCATCAGATACTTACTCGTTGGTTAATGTTACTACTTACTACTTAATGCTTGATGATATCTAGTTATACTTGACTACTTATTACTCATGACTTAGTGACAACAACTTATTACTTGTACTTGATGTTAACTACTTAAGTCTTACTACTTATTACTTGTATTAAATTAATAAAAACTACTTGATGTTTGGTCCTTAATTCTTATGATTAAGTACTTGTACTCGTTACTTGTTACTCTGTAATCATTAGTTACGTAGTACTTGGCTACTTATTACTTAATGATAACTACTTATTACTTACTACTTAATGGTAATCACTATTCACTTAACATTGGTTAGGTGCTAGTCAATACTTATTGATAACCTCTTAATAATTAGTAGTTGACGATACCTTCTACTTATACTACTTGTTAATTATAAGTTTATTAATACTTAATGATACTGTTACTTAGCTACTTGGTTTATTAATATTAATTGATTACTTTTGACTTGTACTTATACTGATAAATAGTTATACTTGGTTACTCGGTTACTAATTGTTCTTAATTAATACACTTGTGTTACTCATTACTTGTTACTTACTAATTGTTACTTACTATCATTGATACTCATTAGCCACCTATTTTCAAGTAAGTATACATACTTGATACCCAAAACTTAATTACTAGTACTTTTTCATTACCTGCTACTTCCCAGCAACTTTTGCTTGATAGAAGTCACTCATTGGTCATCTTATACTTATAAGATTACTTATAACTGATTGCTTGTTACCCAAAAAATAACATTGTAACTATATTCTATTGTTATTTAGGTAAAATATTCTAGCTAATGGTCAGGAAAGGATATACGATGATTTCGTTAATAACTGACAAAGAACACTCTTCTGGGGCATTTGATAGAAAGAGTACTTCTCTAGGATAAATAGTATAAAGAGTACTCTTTTTGGATTACCAACGCAGATATCTTTAGATAACCAATATAGAAAGTACTCTTCCTGGGTAACTAACATAGATAGTACTCTCCTTGGATAAGTAGTAGGAGGTTCTCTTACTTAGTGAAATGATATAGATATAAAGAGTACTCTTCTTGAAGAACTCACATAGTTAGCACTTTTTAGTCAATTATCCTAGAAAGTACTCTTCTTAGTCAAATAATTCAGACGGTACTCTTCTTGATTCAATAAAATGAAGAGTACTCTTCTTAGACAACTGGTATAGAAAGTACTTTTTTTTGAATAACTCACACAAATAGTTCTCTTCTTAGTCAAATATCATAGGAAGTACTCTTCTTGACCAAATGATATAGAAAAAACTCTTCTTGACTAAATATCATAGGAAGTACTCTTCTTAGTGCAATGTTATAGAGAGTCCTCTTTAGATAAAGATGGTACAACACCACTTCCAGCCACTGACCTGATTGAATCATGCAACTCACTTTCCATATCAGCATTTAATAACCTTTGACTTAATAAACTTTGATTACAAAAACCCAGAGTCCCCAAATACCTCTTTTCCGTACTTTCCTCTAAGTAACCTCATCTTTAACTGCTTTCATTGCTTTCACTTCCTTTCACTTCCATTCACTGCCCTTAACTTCCTTTCAGTGCCCTTCAGTGTCCTTCACTTTCATCCACTTTCTTTCACTTTCTTTCAGTGCCCTTCAGTGTCCTTCAGCTTCCATTCAGTGCCTTCACTTACGATAAGTACCATTGAGAGCCTTTCACCCTCATCTGATACAACGCATAAAACGCCTCAATCTCTTCAGTCCCCACCCATTCATCCATCTCCAACATCTCCAATATCGTAAACCGCTTATCTGGCTCTTCGCTCCCGTCAAACGGCTGGAACCCTACTTCTTCGTTTTCCTTATACGGCGGAAGCCCAGCTGGCTCTTCATGATACTCCAGGTACGCCGAATACACTCCAGAAGACGACCCAGTCAGCACTTCCAGCTCACTTTCCGAATACGGAGGCGGTTGTTCGATATTCAGGTAATCTGGATACACCCAGAGCTCAGGCGGCAGTTGTTGGATAACAGCAGTTATTATACAGTTATAGGCTGCTGTAACTTCACAAATGTGTCTTCTGTGGGCCATAGAAGTGTTGTTTTCTTGGATTATAAGGATTGTAGCATTGTTGGTTTCAAGGTGGTGTTTGAGGTCGTTTCGGCTGATTATTTGGATGCTTTGCGTGGGTTCCGGGAGGGTTAGGTTGGATTCCCGTTCGTAGATGTAACAGATAACGAATTTCATGGGGAGTGGTGGGGGAGGAGGAGGAGGTGGAAGGTGGAGGTGGAGGTGAGATGGAGGTGAAGGGAGTTGGAGTTGGAGGTTTCCAAAGAGGGTAAGAATAAGAAGGGAGGAAGGAAGGAGAGGGAGAAGAAGAAGAGATACTAATTATTTGAATTTATTGGGTAAGTATTGGAAGGAATAGGGAAGTACAGTTGCCTGGAAAGAAGAGTAGATCAGGTGCTTCGATGGAGATATCAAAAAGCGAGATTGGTTAATAAAAGATGTGTATTTTATGATTTTGGTTGGAATATGGATGTATGTTAAGGTATTGGAAGGTATTGGAGTTGGAATTGGACACTATCCACATCTTTATCTGAAGGCATTTCGTTCCTCTCTTCAGAGTCTTTAAGTGACTTCTCTCTGACCCATCTTCTTCTATTCCTTCTTCAATTTGGCTTGATTTTCCCTTCTTCTGGTTACAACCTTCACTAAGGCTACTGCTAGTATAACCAAAGAAGCCATCCAGTACAAGGCCATTTCGTCTCGTTGCCCTTTAAGCAAAGCACCAAAGTAACAAACCAAACTGTAGCAAATTACACCAACATATGCAAATAATACAGAAGAGTAGAACCTGTTGAAAGGAACACACCGAGTCATGCCCCACTGCAAAAGAACCTGGAAAAACATTCCCCAAAACATGTACTGACTTCTTTTATCCATTGGAAGGCATTTATTGATTTCGTGTTGAATTTGAGTCACATCACCTGCCAAACACGAAAGGTCTGGAGACCTTTTACAGTCTTCTCTAGCTTTATCGCTGCATGTTTCAGAATAAGCCATTTTGGCTAAAAATGATTCATCACATATTTGGTTTGCTGCTTTTAAACAACTGCTGTAGCTTTTGTTTAGACATATTCTTTCGTCTTGGGTCAATCCAGTCCTGTCAAGAACTTCAGACGGAGTAGCCAGAAACGTCAAATATGTCATAAGAAGCAAGTGAACCGAAAAAAGTGTCAAGCCCAAAAAGAAGGCACATCCTGGGTAAACCTGAAAAAGGGTCTTCTTTGTAGGTTTTGAGTTTCTGGTTTTCATGCTTTGGAGTATAAGCCCATGTGGACTCTACCAGCCTTAAGTAGTCCAGGATCTGAAGAAATGGTTTGAAATTGGTTACAAGTAAGTAACAGAGAGTGTTTGGAGACCTATTTTGGTCAATAAGTGCACCTACTTTATACTCTGAAACATGGCCCAAACAGGATCTACAACTTGAAACACATGTACTGATCATTTCTGGAATATTATCCATGCTTTCCCCACTCCACCTGGAATTACCTCTAACCCTTGGGCTATCTATAGTACATGGAAAGGCAGTACCAGGCGGCCTTTAGAATACCTTAACTGGCACTTTCCCACAGACATGTTTCAGATTGAGTAAGCATGTTTCACTAGAACGTCATCCTCATCGGATTCATTTGCCTTTGCCTTTTCTGCGTCTGCCAAGACTATAGGCTCCTTTTCACAGAGTCTTCCTCAAGCTGCTGCAAGTTCTCGACCTCACCGTCATCCCATTCATAGAACAACATAAATGTGCCCTGAGAGTTCAAAAGAAGAAGAAGAAGAAGAAGAAGAGTTTTTGGTGTCTGGGAATTCTGGAATGAACTATATTGTTACTTTGGCTTTAGAGAATGGAGAGGTGTGCCGTAAAAGAATAAGGTTGAATGAGTTTTAATGTACTATTTTGGGGATTTAATGGAGGATTTGTGGTACTTTGTTTGGTGGAACGTGCCAGTAACTGTAGATAACCTACTCCAAGAGGTATAATGAGAAAGGAGAGTTTTGGCTGTTTATGGAGATCAAAAGGGACTTACTTGAAGAAGCTTCCGTTTCAATGGACAGAAATGACAGTTATCAGAATAAAAAACGTAGAAGATTTCTGAAGAGCCTGGGCTTAAGACCAAACTGTAGTAAAAGTGAAGAGTTAGTATACGGCAGCTGATGAAATTGGTAAAACTGGGCTTCTTCCGAGTATCAATCTTTAAAACATGTTCGGTTTCTTTTCAACTGTTGCTTAGAATCCATCTAGCCTTCACTTTTGGGGGCACTGGTAGAGACAATGTTGGCTGAATGCAATTGAAGATTAGTACGATTTGGTGAAATGAAATATGGGATAGATAGAACTTGGCAAATAGCTAGAACAGGTTTTACACGGGATCGCTGGATGAGCGTTGAGAAGAGTTTAACTTGAAGAGTATGTGAATGTCTTGTGGTAAAGAGAGGTCTGAAGAAGGCTGAAGGTGGATGTTTATTTGACCTTTTTAGCAATTATTAAAGGATATCTACATCAGTTAAACAGAAAAACATCATGAGTTCAATTATACTTTGTCATGTTGGGTGAGTCAATGGTGCTCTCCTTCTGTCCAGCTTTCAGGAGCCAGAGACATAATCTGAAGAAAAGAAGAAAAGCATGATGTTTAGATAAGAAATTCATGCTGGGTAGGAGTGTATTTTAAATGTAGTATAGTGCTACTTTGGACTATTTAGGTGGAGGGAAGAAAGAAGTAGGTGGTAGAAGAGGCTTGTTGAATGGATAAAAACTGAATATAACTTGAAGACGAAAGTGGACAACTTTAGAGGTTTAGTAAATTGTATAATGTTGTTTTGGAGCCTTTTGATTGTTTTTGGATGGTTTTGAGGTGATAAGTGGAGATATCTATATAGGGTTATGCTTGGAGACACAGAAGAGGCCAGTAACTGCAATTGAATTACATAAGAAGTCTTTGGATAACCAGAAAAAGCTACAATCGGGTTTTTGTAGAGACTTTAAAAGAAAGAGAGCTATTTCAGAGAAAAATAACTCCATTTGTGGTGGTTTAACTGGACAGTTCCATAGACAACATATAAAAGTGAACATGGTGAGGTATCCGACTCCAGAGAGAGCTTTAGAGTCCCAAAAAGACACCAAACTTCTCTTCTTGATGCACTTTCAAAAATCCAATTAACCCACGGGCCTCGTTTTACCCACCTGGCGTTTTGTCTTGTGAGTGTATTCCTCTTTGGTCGAGAAAGAAGGGAGATAAGGAAAGTCCACGAAAAGTGACCGCTTTTTTCTGAAAAAAGGATAAGATAGTTAGGGACACCGTGGAAGTTCAAAAACGGAAATTACAAGCTTCCATTTGGTCTTTCCTCTTTGGGTATCTCCTCGTCTGACCTTCAGCTGTCTTTCCATTAACTGAGTGAATTCAGGGAATTCTTAATTTGACGGACTCTAAAGATATTCAAGAGTTATAAGGGAACTCAAGGTTTCTAATAATCCAATTTTCAGCGAAATCGGTTCACTGGTTAGGGAGAAAAGTCAAGTAAAGTGACCATATGGAGCCCAAAATGAGATATCTCCAAGTGACGTCCTTTTCACCAATCAAAGACTTCTGAAAACCATGAAGAACGTAATTTCCAATTTAATTCTAGCCAATTGACCCAAACAGCTTCCCAAAAAGTCCACTTCCACGACCATTACTTACCCCCATTCCATTAACCAACTACCACCACTAAACACTCAAGTATCTCCACACGCACCCAACCAATCCCCTTCAAACTCCTCGTCCATAAACTTCACTTCCCTTTTCACCCAAAAATCCAAAATCCAACGCAATCTACAAACCCCAGCCCAAAATCCATATCCACCACTTTTACCCCCAAAATTCATAAAAACAGCCATAACTCGCCCAAAAATCGCCGCAGCACGCTCAGATTTCTACATAAACAACCCATAACAAATATCAACCAACCCACACCTCTCAAATTAACCTTTCCTTCATCCCCCCATTCCACCCCATCTATACCCTCCAAACCGGTTTCCCTCCATACAATCGTTACAGTGGCCGAGTGGTTAAGGCGACACCCTGCTACTTTCCTTAGCAGCCTAGGTGTTGGGCATTGCCTGCGCAGGTTCGAATCCTGTCTGTGACGTTATTTTTTTTCAAAGTCTTATCGTTTGTTGAGAAACGTCACATGACCACAACTCCCTATTCCCCAAGTTCCACAATTTTTTCCAATATCTACAACTACTCCAAAACAAATACAATTCGATGGACCCCACAAACGACCCAAACTTCACGCCGCCCTCTCTCAACAGAGATATAGAGCCCCCCGCAAACTCAGACAAAATCCCCCAAAACATGCCCATCCAGCCGCTTGTTTTGGCTGATTTGGGCGGCGACGTCGATGCTCCAACGCCCCATCCGTCCGTGGCGGCCAGCGGGAAGCCTGAAAAGGAGCCCACGCTGCAATTCCACCTGAAAATCCCCAGAAAACATACGGATTTGATGAACTCGCTGAGTGACGAGGAGCTCCAGGAACAGCTCCAGCAACCTCCAAAAGCTGTACAGAAACAGAGCGTGGACGATGAAGAATTGCCCAGGATTCTTCCTCCTACGATCAAGGTGAAGCTGCTGCAGATTGCTGATCTTGAGGAGGTGCCTCATGGCGTGCAAAGACAGGCGAAGACGCTTGACGAGTATGAGTTTCCGTCTCACCGGTTGGCGACGACGCTTCTGGACGATTCCAAGTATCCTTTGGTGATTGTGGCGTGTGGGTCATTTTCGCCAATCACGTATTTGCACTTGAGAATGTTTGAAATGGCGCTTGACGCTATCACTGAACAGACACGGTTTGAAGTGGTGGGTGGATACTATTCGCCAGTTTCTGATAATTATAAGAAACAAGGGTTGGCGCCAGCGCATCACCGCGTGAGAATGTGTGAGTTGGCATGCGAAAGAACGTCGCTGTGGCTTATGGTGGACGCCTGGGAGTCGTTGCAGTTGAAATATACGCGTACAGCGTTGGTTTTGGACCATTTCAACGAGGAAATCAATGTCAAGCGAGGCGGTATCCGTACGCAGCTGGGCGAGAGACGAGGCGTGAAAATCATGCTTTTGGCCGGCGGCGACTTGATAGAATCCATGGGTGAGCCAGATGTATGGGCCGACCAGGACTTGCACCATATTTTGGGCAAGTACGGGTGTCTTATCGTGGAACGGACCGGTTCCGACGTTAGAAGCTTCTTGTTGAGTCACGATATCATGTACGAGCACCGGCGCAACGTGCTAGTGATCAAACAGCTCATTTACAATGACATTTCGTCAACCAAGATCCGCTTGTTCGTGCGCCGTGGCATGTCTGTACAATATCTCTTGCCCAACTCCGTCATCAGGTATATTCAGGAGCACAAGCTATATATCAACGACACCGAGCCTGTGAAACAGGTGATGAGCGATAAGGCTGATTAGGTGGCCCCGTCTAGAAGGGGGGCCGCCTAGATGGCCTCCTTCCAGAGCGCCTTCAACATTTCATACCGCGCCGGAAGCCTAAGGTAATGAAATTTCATAGAGATGGTGTCTCTCACACGGATATGACGGCCTTGTGCAAAGTTTAGAAATAGACGTTCGACTTTTCCCTCGTTTTTGAAAACGTGCCAAAAGTTGACAAAGATCTCGTCCTGAGTGAGCGCCTTGTTGCTCATATGGAGCCAATTGGTCGATTGCACGCCTCCTCGGGACTCAAATACAATGCCTCCTTGCAAACGCCGGGAGTTCTTGAGCTTCAAGAGAAGCACAAATATCGGGTACATGTTGAGCACCACCAACAACTTATTGGTCCATTTTTCTGCCGTCAAGATGATGGCTTTGGCAACATAAAAAAGCAAATAGAAGGCAAACGTTGTGGGAAGCAAATACACTAATATGGTGAACAAGAGCGTTCCCAAAAGCAACCTATCCACACGAAACTGCTCCTCGTCAAGGTTATCAATACGTTGACGCAAAACATTGTATTTTTTACCTCGAAACAACTGCCACAACGATTTCAACGCTTCCACTTGCCGATGGTACACTTTGGTGGTCACCACGGTGAAAAAATGGATATGGAGCGTCACCACGGTGATATAGTCCATGAGCGCTGCCAACAGGAACAGGATTCCCATGAAACAGATGCATTTAAAGATGGTTTTGATGGCGCCAAACACCGGTTCGGCCAGAGCGTACTTGATGGTTATTTGGAGAATTGCACTCCACGCATTTAACGTCCACATGAACATCAGGCCCATGAACTGGCCAAGTTCGTCGTTTAATTTGAACCCGTACGGGTGTTCTGCCGAAACCCATTGGATCAACGAACCAAGATACTGAAGGGCCCAGTCGTTAAGCACCTTTTCGTTGAGGATCGCCAATATGGGTTCCTGTTCTCTGGTGAAAAGTCTGTACATAGTCACGCCAATTAAAACGTCGTTGACAATGAGCCAGATGGAGTTATAAAGGTTGATGTAGTTGGAGTTGTTGATGTTGTACTTTTCGTTGTACAGTGGAAGCTGCAAGAGTCTGGGCCAGTCTGACTTTGGATCGGTAAGAATCGCCAGGTTTCGATAAAACAAGAACTGCGCCGGGAAGTATGCAATTTGGCGAAGGCGTAGGTCGAGTTGTTTAAAAAAAGCTGATTTTTCCACCAACGATCCATTGAAAAAGTCCGAATTTAGACCTCCAATGAACCATATAAGCACGGAAAGAATGCAAGAAACAACAAAACAAAGCAAACGAGCTGCCCAGGACGGAAACCAGTATGCTGGCTTCGAAGGAAGACGCCATGCTTGCTTATTAAGCTTGTTTAGTAGAGCTCTATCACTCTGACAAAAGTTGATTTTCTCAAGCACCTCTTCCCCAAACACGTCTGACGTGACCCTGGAGCCCAAACCTTCCACGTGGACCTTCTGAGACACTCTTTGGCCCGTGCTTTGAAGCAAAATGGCGTCCACAGAGAAGTATTCCAAGTTTCGTAGGTTTGGCGGGTCAAACGTCACCAAAGTGTACGAATTTCCGTCTTCTTTCGCCACCAAGCGGTCCACAGAACCGTTATACACCAACGTAGGGCCTTTTCCTTCTCTGTTAAGCCCTCCCACGACTTCCATACCGCCTAAATCACCTGGAACGACCTGGTAAGCCTGAACCACCACTATCGCCAGCGCCAACCTGTGCCCAACCAAAACAGCCTCTCCACGTCTTTTCCGTGCCACATCCACAGGCAAATACACGTGCACGTGCATCCCAACACCTATAATTCAGCCCCAAAACTGTCCCTTCGTAGGTACCGAGAACTGTTATTCAAGTGCTGGTAAAAGCCCTCTTTCCGTTTAAGCGGCAGCGATTCCGGGCTTGTAGATACAGAGTAAGCTTCTGAGAAACTCACACGAGGCAGCAAATGCGGTTTTCCAGCTTTTCCAGCCCAATCTGGCTTTTCCACTGTTTCTTTGACTTTGTACCGTGGGAAGACCAAACGGTTACAGACGGCGACGAAAATGAAATATAGGCAAGTTAGGGCGGCGGAGACGATGGTGAGTCTGAAAAATACGCCTTTCTGGTGCAATTCGGTGAATACAGCCAGGGCAGTGGATTCCATGAAAAGGTGGTATCGTGAGGTGGTTTTTGGTGAGAATCAGGTATATAAGGGCCTGGGAGGGGGTTTGGGAATTGGGAGGTTTTGGGTGATTTTGATGGGAATTTCGGGTTCTGGGGGTTTCTGAGGCGGAGATTTCGATGGTGGTGGTCTTTTTTTGGGGAAATTTGGACGTAGGGCGGGTTTTGGTGGATGTGTGGTGGAACAGGATTGGCTGCGAAAAGAGGGTGAGTGGAGTGTGGTTTGGGATGAGGGGGCGGAGGAGTAGGGAGAGTGTATTGGGTGGATTGCTGGGGTGAAGGGGAGTAGAATGGTGGTTTTGGCTGTCGGAAATGTTGAAAAATGGCCGAAATAGGTCATCTATTGGGGAATGGAACTTGGAGGTACTAGGAAGTCAGCCCAAACAGGTGATTTAGAATTGGAAATGGCAGTAAAGGAAGCCTGAAATGGATTTTGGTTGGTATAGACATCTTAGGAGTCAAAGAATAGGGAAGACTGTGGCACCTTAATATCTCGACCTTCAAGAGAATAACCTATAGTATATATAAAGCAGTCGAATCCGTTGAAAATGATTCAAAATGCTGGAAACGTGGTTCATAGGAGTGCCTAGGGTCACAGGAATATAGTGTATTAGTTTTGGAACACCTTTATAACTGTAACTTCGAGAAATGGTGTTTTAAGTTTTGGACAGAAACGATGAACAACTTGTGTATTAGAAATGGGTCCAATTAGAAGGAAGAGACACCTGGGTGACTTTATTGATGTTAGAAATTACTTGGAAAATGTGATGTGTTTGAATTCCGGAAATTCTACAACTTATGTTCCGTAACTCATATAGTGTATCCATATAGTAGGACAATAAACAATGGTATTAAAGACTGTAGCAAAGTCTCCAAGAGACATTTTTTTAATTTATTATTTGTGAACATTATAGAATGGAGAAGTAGTTTAAGCGTTTTTGTTCTTTTGTAGCTACTTGGGCATGTATTGATGGTGCTTCATGTACCTCTACTATACATATATGAGTGTTCAGAGAAGTCCATGAAAGGAATGTGAAAAAGACATATAAGTATTTTTTCGAATTGCCTTGAAAGAAAACAGTGCCAGAGAACCTACTTTGACCATTTTCGGTTCCCTGTTGAAGATATGGACACTTTTCACTGAAGTGTTTCATAAACTAAGACATATTCATATAGACATATACAAATCAACAGTAATACACTCAAAAGTATACCACAATAGTCTTAACATCCTCTTTAGCTTCCCTTTATGTCTTTTGAACTGATGAAAGCCGAAATGGTTGAAATTTCTCAAATTACACTTAAGGGCATATACTCACTCGTAGACTATAGATATGTATACCAATACGTTACAAAAAGCAGAAAAAGACACATCCTATCTCTAATTCGCCTTCCTGGTTCCTGAATGGTCTCTTAGTAACCAATAATGTATAGTATTTTTCATAGTCTATATACATAGAGCATCTATTTTTCAATACCCAACCTTGTAGTATTGAAGCAAGCATACCAGTATCTTCAAGGTAAACTACCCAGTAGTTCCTTCTAATCCTTCCAGTGGACTTCTGGTCAACAGCATTACCTGTAACATTCTGTCTTTACTCGTTGCTTTCACTCATTGTAGTCATTTTGTGCATACCCTAACTTAAACAGAAAAGCTGGCGTTTCTTGAAGGTTTGGGCGACAGAGGTCTCTTTGACGTGCTATCCTTTCTCGCTGGAGGAGTTCCTGGAGCTGGAGGCTGGATATTGGCTCCAGAATCAGTGTCTGAATTAACAGGAACGCCTATAAGCGAAGACGCAGACGAAGTAGGTGTAAGAGAGCCTCCAGACAACGCCAAGTACTTGTGTTCCTTATAAAGAACCCATTTCACGTAGCAAACGGCAATCAAAAACAACGAAAAACAGCCTGCCATGAACAAAAACACAACTTGTGGGAACAGCCATGATTTCAACGCAAACTTATAAAGCGCCAATAACGAAAGAGGCATGATAATGGATAAAGTGTTCTTGATAAGGGCCATGCCGCCGAAAACTTCACCAATTCGCAGTTCTGGGTAGAACTTGACAATGGACGAGTTCATGGCTGGGCCAGCCAACGTCGCCAAAGACGAAAACACCAAACACACCAAGAAAAGCACGCCAGAATTGGCCATAGAAAGCAACACCATGGCAACAATCTCAATGATAAACGCCAGCGCAATCATGCCAAAATCAACATCGTCAAGGTACTTATGGTGGACTTTGAGTTTAAGGAACCCTTCAAAGAACTTGTGGTGGATAATTGGCGAAAGAACAATAAGCGTGAATGCTCTGGACGAACTGGACGCTGCAAGAAGATGGCCAATATTTGCAGCGCCCCATTTGAACCGCCAAATACCATAAAGAATGTAGATTTCGCCAAGGGGAATAACCAACGAAACCAAGATACATTCCACAAACACAAGCGTGATAACTGCAGTTCTGTATGCTCTGATCGACTGGTGTCTTGAAGCCGGCACGGAATCTTTAGGGTAAAAAATGAGCCTGATGGGACGCAAGAAGTTAAGGTGTCTAAGCAAATTAGAGCTTTTCGTAGTCAACAGAATGTCTTCAGTCATCTGGTCCGCCAGCAGAGACCTAGAAAGCGAACGAGACTTCTGGCGGGCCTTTTCTGACCTGGATTCCGGTAAAACAAACGCCAAAAGCACAATCAAAAGAGCATAAAGACACAATTCACCTTTTAAAGGGAGAAATTCACCTGGAGTGATGGTATTGGCAGCCTCAGCAGGGTTAGCAGACCCGTCAGACTCGTTTTTCCCCAAACGAAGCAAAGCGTTACCAAACAAAGGCCCTGTAGAAAAACCCAAGAAAAGAGCAGCCATATTCACCCCCAAAAAGTACGTTCTCTGGTGAGTTTCAGCGATATCTGAAACGTAACATGACGCCAACGTCACATAACACACAACACCGCCGCCAATGTTCTGCAAAACCTCCGTAAGCACCATCAGCGTAAACTGCAACTCGGAAAAACTCTCCATGACAATAAACTTCAGCAATTTACCACTGAACATGGCCACCACCACAGTTAACATAAATAATTTCCGCCCATACTGGTCCAGAAGCGGCCCCACTTTGCCCAGCGCAAACATAGTGATCACCCCCAGGCACACAGCATAGAACTGTTGAAGTTTCGACACCAACAACTGTGTTTCGGTCGAATCACAAGTCCCTGAACCTTCACTTATAGTGTTACAGGCCAACTTAAACGTCAATGCCTGGCGAGTTCCTTCGCCACAAGTATGAGCCGCAGCAACAAGCCAAATGCAAACGCCCAACATCACCACCGAAGGCCGTTTGAGCCAATGCAAACTTTTATTGTTGGCTCTCTGTTCTCTGAGCCAGGCAGCATCTTCATCCATATGTTCAGCGTCGTTGTCAAGTGCAGTGTAGGTATCGTCAGCGGCGTGCTCCAACACCGTCGAGCCGTCTGGGCCGTCACGGCCTTGGAAACGAGACATGAAGATGAAAAATTGGAAGAAAGAAGGGTTGTGGTGGAAGTGGAGGTTTGTGGAAAAGTGATGAAATAGATAAAGACTGCATATAAGGCACCTTACCTTTTTTCCATAAATTTCGCTAGGCCCAGTGAACCCAGGTGCCGCACGCAGGACAAGCCGTACCAAAGGCCTTTTTAGAAGGTCAGTAAATTAAAGAAAGTGCAAAAAAAGGCTTTTCCAGAGCTTTCTGAATTGTAAGAGGTTTCCCTTTTTTTTTTTACTCGTCCAATCAGAACTCCCGAAGTTTCGGAACGAGCTCGGAAATACGTACACTCCGTGGATTCCCTCCGCTGTGTGTGGCTAGCCAAGAATTCCTCACCAGGGCTTTTGTACTGGATCTGCGTTGAAGCGAGCAAGATGGAGCCGTGGAACAGCTGGCTGTTGTTGGGAGTGTTAGTGTTGTGAATTGACGTGGTCGCCGCTGCCAAATCGGGTAAGACCTGGCGGCGGCTAATTTGGGATCTCTACTTTTTAAGAGTTTTCATTGAGAGATTGAGAGATTGAGAGGTATTCGTTTTCGTTTATGGTTTTTTGTTCAAATTGAGCCGCACAGGTGGGACTGGTGGGTACTGGGAACCACAAAACGAAGGAAAATGACGAACGGGGTTCCACAAAGAGAGGAAGGCTGTTTACCGGGGAAGGACGACTTTGCTTATTTTTTCTGTTTCCTGATTGGCCAGTTGGGGCTGGTTTTGGGTGGGTCTTCTTTTGGGCCTTTTTGGGTGCAAATTGGCGATCTGCATGGCCTTACAGGTACTGGCTCATTGTATGGTGATTTTGCAGCCAGAGAGAGGAAGGCATGGTTTTGGGATTTTGAGAGTGGGAGGGAGTAGAGGGGGTCAAGGGGACCGTTTTGGTGAAATTTGGGCAAATTTTGGACGATTTTGGGTCATTTAGGTGGTACTTGGAGTACGTTCAGAGAGTACTATCCATGTTCTGGAAACAAAGACACCAGTGGCTTAGGTGATGGGAAAACGGTGAATTCCACGGAGTGGGTGGGTGGATAAACGGGATGGAGAGGGCGGGATGGAGAACAATAGGCATCAAGTTGGAAGGGATGGAAGTATGGGAAGTGTGGATTGGAGGACTAGAAGGGAACGGGAAAAGGAGAAAAGGAGGAAGGGAAGGAAGGTTTACGATGTTCTGGGTGGTCTGGGTGGTCTGGGTGGTCTGGATGGTTCGTTTACGAGAAAATAGGCGTTATAGAGTGATTTTTTGGGAATGAATATGATCTAGATACCAATGGAGGTACGTTTCTATGGAGATACAATGAACCATTAAAGGTTCTATAGAGCTCTTTCTTTTGGTATAAAGAGTCCAAAGATGTCTTTCTAAGGCATCTGTAGTACCCATCGACGTCTTTTTACCCTCCCAGATACTTTCTTATACCAGAAACTTCCAGCTTTCTTTCTCTGTATCCACTCATTACCCAGACCTCTCACATCAACTCTATCTCTCTTTATCTGCTCCTTGACTTCTCTCGAAGCATGCAAAGCCACCAACCTACACCCCCTCTCTATCATTATATCATTTACTACCAAAAGCAACCATTAAACGACTCTTCGAGCCAAGTCGTACCAATAAATAACAGCCTGGAATTTACCCAGACCAGAAGTGAAATAACATTAAAGGGAAGTCTCAAACTGTAGGCGAACCAGAGCGCCTTTCCCTTACAAAATAACGAGCCAAGACAACACAGCTAAAACAGATTATCAAGGTCAGCGAAGTGAACACATACGATAAGCCAGGGAACCCTTTCTTCACGCCTGTAGTGAATAATTTAGTAACAATCATAGGAGCAACTAGATTGATGATTCCTTGAGCGAGTGCAATGGCACCGTAGAACTCACCAATCTTTGAACCAGGAAAGAACTTCACTGGTGCTGCTGCTGCCACTGGACCAACAACGCCAGCCAAAGAGCCAGCCATGGCCAAACCAACGAAAACAGACCCATTTGAGGAAACAGCTTTACCTATATGGCAAAAGGCATAGAGCAAAAGGCCTCCAGCCATGACCAAAGCATCTGCAGAGTCAAAAGTGTTTGCAACAGGACGTAACAGCTTGAAACGAGGGAAGATGTGTTTATAAAGAAGCGGCAAGAACACCGCCAAGCTGAATATGACAGAACACGATCTGGCAATGGAAAAGTTGGATATGGTTACTGAGTCCCATTTAAACTTGTAAATACAGTATTGGGGTTCCACGATCATGGACAGAACCATGATGACTCCGAAAAGAAGCTCAGTAACGGCAAGAAGCAAAACACACTTTCTGATGTTCTTGAATTTGGAAGCGTTTTCTTCTGTGCGTAGTTCTGAGGGAAACGTAAGAAGACGAAGCGGTTCGATGAAACTGGTGAAACTGTGGAAGATTCTGGACCATACGGTGGGTAAGTGAGGTCTAGGAGCTTGGAGCAGCACCACAGACGCTGATCTAGACTTCATTCTTGACTTGTGGGATCTCAGTTCGAGCAAAAGCACAAAACAGAAGATTGACGCCAAAGTGAATGCAAACAAACTGGCTTTAAGCGGGATAAGCTCAGATTTGGGAACCAAGTTGGCTGGATCAAGCAGAGCCAAGATGCCAGGGTCAGAAACTCGAGGGATCTTGGGAATAGGTGATTCCTTCTTTCTGGCATGGGTAAGTAAAAGCGAAGATAACAACGGCCCGCCGATCTGGCCCACGGAAAACGATACAAGGCAGTAACTGATGGCATTGACACGTTCCAGGGCCACAGTTATATCGGTAATGTACGCTTTAAACAAGGCCATGAAAGCCACCATACCTCCAGAACTCGAACCCACGGCAGTAGCTGTCCATAACCCCCACATGGGGAACCCTGAAGACGACGACATGAAAAAGTAACGCATATAATAAGTCACTGTGGTCAACACAATAAACAACGTAAGAAACGGTTTCCTGCCGTGGATATCAGAAAGCGTACTGACTTTGGTACAAACAGTTAAAGCCACCGCCAGGTCAATGATGTTATCCCACATGACATACGTCGATACAATCTGTTGGGTTTGTACGGGGTCACAGCGAAGGTCAGCAGGAGGAGCATGGCTATTTTTGATAAGCGACTGGCATGCCAATTTATAGTATATCACTTCCATTGAAGGTTGAGATACGGTTACGCCCAAACCAACGACAAACAATAAAATGCATAATCTGACAAGCGGCGATGCCCAGAGGGGTAACCCACTCACATGAGAAAGCCAGTCTTTATCTGAATGAGAAGAATTAATAGACGCCACATCCACATCTGGAGAAGCCTTCAGGTTATCAGTAGAGGCATGGTTGGTTTGAGGTACTGCCGGATTTAACGCCCTCGTCTCGGAGATAGTGGGTGCCTGGGAGATAAGCGGGCTAAACTCCGAAGCCGTCCTCTCTCTCTCACCACTCTCTCTCCCATCACTTCCATCTCTCTCAACCATCTCTGGTTGCAAAGTGTCTGACTCGCTAACGCTGGTGACGTGCTTATCTGCACTCCCCACAGCCATAGTACACTGCTTTTTTCGTCCAAATCCCCCCAGTGCGGTTTCGCCTGGTTTTATACTTTTCTGTGGTGGGAGCCGTTCGGTGCCGCACCATCCCTTATTTAAGCAAGGAACAGTTTTTGTGGTTGCTCTGGCGGGAAAGATAAGGGGTGGTGGGGGAAAATAGAGAGAGTTTTGAGAGGGTTTTAAGAGGTTTAAGGGGTTTAAGAGGGTTTTATGGAGAGACGGAATTGGCTGGAAAGCCGGTTTCGGGATGAAGAAGTGGACAAAAGATGGACAGAAATGGGTGGACCAAAGGAGGTTTGTAGGTTTGGAATTGGCCAAATCCTTAAGGCTTTTTAGACCATTGGGGTCAAAAGGAGGCCAAAAAGACGTTTTTTTTTTAAGGTAGTTGCTTGCCTTTTTTAGTAGTACTGTTTAAGGTTCCTTATCTATACGGAATTTCACGTTTGCAGAAAACAAGCAATCCAGGGACTTCCTCCTTTTTAAGCTAATAACTCTTCAAACTACGTCTGGATCCCGGGTAGTGTTTTTTGTTCCACACTTCCGTCCATCTCTTGCTGTGGGTCCAAATAAGCCCTGGCGCAGGTTATAGAATCTGCGTTTGCCGCTTTGGGCCAACACAAAACAGTTTAATTAGTGGAAGGGGGAAGGTTGGGTTGGTGTGGAGGAGGTTGGAAAGAGTGGGATTTAAAGAATTAGGGAGATATGTATAGATTGAGTGAGCTGGAGAGATGAAGAATTGGTGGTTAGGGATATCCAAGGGAGGTATGTTTTTGAAGGTGGATGCTCAGGAGGCTTGGATTCGTCGAAACTGGGGTTCTTTGTCTCTGTGTCTCTGTCTTTGAGGTCTAATTTGGAAGTAGTTGATTAGGGTCTCTCTAAGGTAAGTGTATCGTTGTAAATGGGAGTGGATTTGGTTGTTGATGGCTTGAATATGCTTTTGGTATGGAAACCAGGCTGATCTACTAAATTCACTTGAATGACCATTACTTGGTGGTAAGTGGTGGTACCACTCTTTGGATACTGTTTGGTTAGTCAATTGTCTTAGACACATACAATGAATTTCCAGATAGAAAGCTTGCAGATTGAATCTATTTATTCAATTGACATACACAATGGATAACCAACAATTAACTACGTTTTCTGTTTGTTTTCTGTTGACGGAAAGACCTGGAAAGTGGTATATTTTCAACCGGTGGACCGTTTTGAGGGTACCATTTGAAGGTTAATCAATACCCAAAGCCACCAACACAAAGACAATTGTGGTGATTTAAGTGGAGACTTTATTGATAAGACAAGGCAATTGAAGCCAAAGGAGGGTTAAAAAGTGTCAGCTACTCGTACAATGTATACCCTTCTGGTACTACTGAGAGACACTGAAAGGTCCACCAAACCAGCACCACAACCTCTGGAGAGGTCTCAAGAAGGGTCTAAGCATTTCTTCATTTCTAAACTACCAATTCCAACATTCAATTCACCATATAAAGTGCTCTTTATTCTCCTTTCTTGGCTGTCTTACAGTGGCTGCAAATCCACCGAAACAGCACCACTTCTCCACCAATCACCCCACTTAACTAACTCCAAACCCATCAATTGAACTTATTTCTTCCTCCTTTATGTCACCACCAACCCCGTCTCACCACCGGCACTCTCCTTGGACAGATCTACTACCCTTCAACTGATGCCCACTTCTAGGGCTCTAGCCCTAAACTCTCCACCTTAACTATACCATCCGCACACGTGCATCTCACACTTACCCTCCACATCACGTGCGCCCATACTAAACCTCATCTCACTTCCATCCCACTCCCACCCGTACACCAGCTTTTCCCCCATACTAAAAAGTCTCATACAACCAAAACCTATCTCAAAGAAACCCGTGCACCACATACCTTCCCTCAGTGAGCGCTTCCCGCATGCACACCAGCGAGAAATTTTCATACCAATTTTTTCCACCTCTTTTACAAAAAAAGATTCCCTTCTCCCCATATTCCCAGAAACGGTACCGGTATCATGTCTTTGCCTGAATCTTTTAACTTGACCGCTGAGGACGCCAAGTTGTTGTTGGCTGCCAACGTTCACTTGGGTTCCAAGAACGTCCAGGTATGTGAAAACTTGAAATGAGGGAAACAAGAATCGAGACGAGCCAGAGATGGTAGGGGTAGAGCCACAACGCGAGCAGATGGAGCCTTGAAAGTGGCATCAATGGAAAGCTCGAGGCTGGATGGCCCCAACTACCAATTTTCAGCTCAAACGGAGCCCTACTCGATGATTTGACCCAACCTCTTTTATATCTTTTACTAACAATTAGGTCCACAACAAGCCATACGTCTACAAGACCAGACCAGACGGTGTCAACGTCATCGACATCTCCAAGACCTGGGAGAAGATCGTGTTGGCTGCCAGAATCATTGCTGCCATTCCAAACGCTTCTGACGTTGTTGTCTGTTCTTCCAGAACCTTTGGCCAGAGAGCTGTGTTGAAGTTCGCTGCCCACACCGGTGCCACCCCAATTGCCGGTAGATTCACCCCAGGTAACTTCACCAACTACATCACCCGTTCTTTCAAGGAGCCAAGATTGGTGATTGTCACTGACCCAAGAACCGACTCCCAGGCCATCAAGGAGTCCTCTTACGTGAACATCCCCGTCATTGCCTTGTCCGACGTTGACTCTCCATCTGAGTACGTTGACGTTGCCATCCCATGTAACAACAAGGGTAAGCACTCTATCGGTTTGATCTGGTGGTTGATTGCCAGAGAAGTCTTGAGATTGAGAGGTATCATCCCAGACAGACAGCAGGAGTGGTCTGTCATGCCTGACTTGTACTTCTACAGAGACCCAGAGGAGATTGAGCAGAACGCTGCCGAGGAGGCTCGTGCTGCTGCTGCCCCAGAAGAGACTGAGGAGGCTCCTCAGCAACCAGAGACCGAGTGGAACGCTGAGACCAATGTTGAGGACTGGGCTGACTCCGGTGTCACCGCTGCCGGCGAGGAGGCTGCTGCTTCTCAGTGGTAAGTAGTCGGTGCTGCATTGCTGCTTTGGCTGTATATTGTACCTTATAAACATCGTTAATGGACTGATCTGTAGATTGTAGGAGGACTAAGAGGGGAGATAATTTAAGGAGAGGATAATTAAAAGACTAGCAAGTTGGTGATTTGGAAGAGAAGAGCGGAAGAGAACGTACTATGATGTCTGATTGGAAGGATGTACAAAATGATAACTTACTGAAAAACTTGATATGCAGCTGAGGCCGTTAAATCAAAGTAAAGATCACAAAATACAGAGAATGAAGAAGTCCAAAGACAGAATTTGTCAATGTAATATGTCGGTTTATTGAATTACTGGTTATTCTAATACAGTTGATTGGATACTAAGAACCATAAGATAAGTATATCAAAAGAAGTACTTCGGTAACAATACTTTATTCAATACAAAGTAATCAATTTCCAATTTAGAAAGACTTAAATGCCATTAGGTAGGAATAGGAAATGGTGAAAGATCTCCGAATCTTATCATACACTCATAAACCATCCCAGCTATCCATCACAACACTCAATCTGAAGCCCAGTAGTGTCTTTCCTTGCCTTCTGAGTCTCCCATATTTTCCTAAATCACAGTATCGTCTGAAAATCCATCTCGTTCTGAACATGAATACTTCTTCTTCCTCTACAACATATATAGTAGTACCACTCCACCAACTCAATACAAACTGACCTTCTAAACCTCACTTAACCCCCAAACCACCAGAAACCTTTTAATACCATCATTTTAATAAACACAAAAAGCAAAACCACCCCAAAAAGTCCCCTGCCCAGCCTTTCCCCATTCTCTCCATTCCTCACTCCACATGGCTACCATACATCCAGAAGTGTCCATTCAATTCGGCCAAAAACGACAAAAATCAAAAACCAAAAAACCAATAACCTCTTCAGACCCAAAATACCCAAACTAAGTTAAATTTTTCCCACAAACCATCAAACCCTCCAAAACACTAGACCTTCCATTTACTCCATACTGAGCATTCCCAGTGGCTGCGAAATGCCAATACAAGTCCCCACCAAACCACCAAACCTTCACTGAAATCCAGCCATTTTCAGTACATTTGTTCCTTTCCACCAACCCTTCCTCCTAAACCCCCAAATTCCCCCAAACTCGCCCTCCACCCACTTTTTCACTGGCCCTGTCGCCTACCACATCAACAGTCACTAGCCCTCTTTTGTGCCCCACACGACCCTCACCACCACTTAATCTCCAATTGATTTCCCTCCATTTCCTCCTACTTCCCTGGAGTCTCCCTTCTTTTCAAATACCCCTGGATCAATGAATTACGACCCGATCCACGATACTTACTCGGCCCCGGAACAGCCTTCCCAGCCGGCTTCCGGCGCCTCTCCCCAGCAGCACGAAGATAAGCCAGAATCAGGTGCTCAAGGCCAGGAACAGAACCCAGAGCCAGCGAAAGATCTGGATAGTGGAAACGCTGCTAAGGCGCCTGCTCAGACACCAGCGCAGACTCTGGAATCTGAAAATCAGCATAGTTCGCCTCCTCAGACTCGTGGAGCTTGGAACCCAGAACCTCTGGCGCGTCATGAACAGCATCCTCCTCAGCCTGCCGTGGCTCCTTATAAACCGTTTTCAATTGATAGTCTTATGGGCGGCTCGGAACCGGCAGAACCTCCACAGTTCCAGAGAACTGAGCTTCCGAAGATAGATTTCCAGAGAACTGAGCCTCCTAGACCTGAGTTCCAGAGGACTGAACCTCCCAGACCTGAAATTCATAGGAACGATCCTCCCAGACCTGATTTCCAAAGAACTGAGCCTCCTAGAGAGGTCCAGAGCCATGAATTGCCTAGACCCGAGCCTGTTCAGAGACCTGAAGTGCCTGCTCAGCATACGCTGGTGAATTACCCGCCAGTGCACCAAAACGTCCAGCCACAGGCTTCTGAAGGTAAATATGACCCTGCAAGACCGCTTCCGCCTATCGATGGACGTTTAGGTGGGGACCAGGCGCCACCTCCAGAGCATAAATCGGCTCCTGAGCATAAACCGGCTCCTGAGCCTGTAAAGGAAGAATCTGCTGGTCTGCCGACCGAAACGGCTCCAGCATACTCTCCAGAACAAGGCCAGCTTCCGTCTGATTTCCGTGAAATTTCTCGTGGCTATAAGTACCTTAAAAAAGCCGATGGTGAGCCATTCTGGAGAAAAGATATTCAGTATGACTTCCTTCATGAGTTATTCACCGACGAGACGAGGTGCTTCACGAACTACTTTCCTTACTGTGAGGTTACCAACGCTGCCAATGGACCAAAACTCACCTTTTCAGAACTCTACGTGCGTACTTTGGCAGAATCTAATAAACTGTCGAAGATTCTTCGTGAACGTTTAATCAAAGAAAAAGACATGGGCGTTGCAGTCAGCAAAGTCTGTCTTTTGGTTAACGCAGGCAGAATGAACACCACTGTCAATTTCGTTCCAGATATGCGTTCTGCTCTTCGAACGTACCATCTGATTCCTTCGCTTCAAACTTCTGGTTCGGGTGATTCACGGCCTTTGCAAGATACTCCTCGTTTGAAAACTATCCTTAAAGCCGTATGTGATGACCAGAAACACCTACTTACCTTGCTTGATCTTTTCAAGAACCGCAACACGAAAAGACCAAACACTAACGTTATCAAATTGATTTTCCTAATGTCGACATTCTTTCAAAATATCCCTTTCCATTACGACGACTCTTACGAGCATGATTCCTTCCTGGAGAAGTTCCGTTTCATCAAGGCCTCCCCTGGCCCTCAAAATAAGTTTATGGAGTTCTTTTTGAATGACGAAATCCACCCCAAGTGCCGTTCTCGCAGGTTCCTCTGGCTCATGTATACCTACTTGGAAACCAACTTTACGCCTGAAGAAGTGGCAGAGAACCCTTTCAACCCGCATGCTATCCCACCTTTGGAGTACATTCCAGAAGCTGAGTTGCCTAATTACGACGTTGATGCTGACTTCGAAGTGGAATATGCCATAAAGATGTACCACACGCGAATGATGCACTTGAGCGCAGATGCACACAACCCACTTCCAAAGAAAGGCAACAAGAGCAGGCGAGAACGTCAAAAGATTCAGCATCAGTTGAATGACGGATCTAGTACTACTCCAGCGCCTTACGCGGAAGAGCAAGACGATCTGATGAACGTTGATGATACCACAATTGTTCATCAAGAAGAACCGGTCGAACCTGTCAAGCAGGTTAAACCAGAACCTCCAGCAGCACCAGAAGTTCCAGAGCCTCCTGTTCAGCAACCCGTGGTAGCTGAATCTTCCAGCACCTCGTCTGGCTCGCAAGGAAACGATAAAGCTCCTGCTGAAAAAGTCCACAAACGTAAGAGACCTGCTCCCTCTGTTGGGTCTCTTGTTGAAGACACTAGAAAGCCAGTTCTTGCGGAAGAGAGACAAAGGCTCACTACTCCTGAATTCCCAATTGAAGGGCTCCAGGAATTACGTGAACGTTATGCCATTACCACTCCGGCTAATCTTTATAAGCCACTTTCCAAAGAGGGCCCACTTTCTGCCGCTGGTAGGAAGGAAGTTGCCAGTAAGCTGAAGCCTACGGTCGACCTAGTGTCTAAGACGCTTCCACGGAAGTTTGAATCTACAAAAGAAAAAATGCTACGCTGGCTCCATGACTACTTCGAGTATAGAAGAGCAACTGGCAGTGGATTGGTTGGTATCGAGTGGGAAGACATCAGAAGTGATGTTTCCAATGGTATTGAAGCGTATGTGTATCAGCAGGAGGGCAAGCAGCACCTCATACAAAAGTATGAAAAGGTCAGGGACGATGATGAATTCGACGTGGAGATAAAACGTGAGACCTTTTCCAATGGTCCCAACCTTGGCGACAGCGCCCCAGTTGACATTGGTGCTGTTGAGAATTATGGTGCTGGCTATGAGCCAGACAGAGACTTTAACAAGGTCAACGAACGCAGGGTTTTCGAGCTCGGCTTGTTGGAACTTCTTCATGAAGCGATTGCCAAGAAGAAGTCCAAGAGACCAAAGTTCAGCCGTATTTCGTTTGACTTGGACAATGGTACTCTTTCATTTTAAATAGCCACATTAAAAGATGTTGCTCACCATCAACTCAAATGATTTGCAAACGCCGTACTCCGGTACAAGATTAAGGAACGCAGCGCTAGCACCATCAAGTACTGTCTGATTATTCTTCTGAATCGTAGCAAACTCTAATTCAGAGTCAACCTGGCCCATAGAGTGTTCGTTAAGTACCAAATGCCAATATAATCTAACCAGGTACGGTTCAGATGTTTTAGAATGGACAAATTCAAACTCAATATATGGCAAAGCCAGTAAAGAATCAAATGGGTCCGTATCCCAGTCGGCTCCAGGCCGAACACGGTTGGTGGGATACTGATGCAAAAGGTTCAGTAGTATAGATACCCTCTTCTCTTGCATTGACGCTAGAGAGTGGTATCCATACACCAAAAGGTCTACTTTCCCCTGTGGAAGGTAGTTCAATGCTAAGGTTTGGCCAAAAGAAGGACTTATCTTGTGGAGGACAATGGAAGCCTTCTTCGACTGCAAAATGTCCAACTTCACGACCTTCTCATCACGTACATATAGAAGAACGTGCAATGTCGGTAGACCATGCGCCAGAAGCCTGAATTGGATCTCTGTGATTAGTTGATCTTGCTCGTTATGAACATTCTTCAGCATAGTATGATGAATCCGTACGTGTGGGTAAAACCTCCCCACGAGATCCATTCTTTTGGACCAATCTGATGATGGCAACACATGCATGTTATCTAGCACAAACGACGCAACTTCATCCTCTGCAGCTAGCCGTTTCTCCTGTTCATGGTCGTTCTGATGAAGGTAGTATTCAAGTTTCTTCTTTGTTTCGTATTGTCTGCTTTGAGTTTGGTAACTATCCCACGTCAGCTGAAGACGCTCAATTGCAGCAGAAAGGTCAGATTTCTTCGCTAGCAATGTATCTCTTTGTTGGACTAGTTCTGCCTTGGCTGTTTGAAGAGATAAGAGCGTGTCGTTTTCGGTTTCTGGGTTCGGTAGGTTTGTCTGAGGAGGAGATCCTGAGGTAGAGGCAGGAGTTTCATCTGCCATTATGCAAGAATTAAGGAAAGACTGGGGTTGGACGGTTGGGGGTTGGAGATGGTTTATGTAAACAAGAGAGTAGTGCAGACTGGTGATGCAAAATAGAGAGTTGGTCACGTGATCAGATCGGGTTTCAAAGGTTTGGACGGTAAACCGGGCAATAAATTTGTGTTATAAGGCTTTAGTCATGTTGAGAAATCAAGAACGAGTATATTGAGAGATTTTTATATTCGTTTCATTAGTGTGTATCTACTTATGTTGGGTATTTAGGCTATTACCAGTAGATGATGGACCATATACAATTCTCCATAATTTGGTATCTTCTGACAAATTGAACAGTTTGGATGTAATCAATATCCCAGTTCATACCCAATTAGACTCTTTAATTTTGGCTGAGAGCCCTTGGGGTAGAAAGTGGTGGCTCTGGAAGGCCTTAACTCTATCTGTCCTGCACACCACTCATGAGTTGCAGCTACTATCAACACACTGTTTCGATGAGAACCAGAAGTCTACTATGGTTTCTGCTCCTGAATTGAAGAACGTATGTTTCTGTTCATTTTATTAGAATAATTCATGGAGGGTGATATACACTTGGCTTTTTTGTCGAAAGAATGTGGAAACTTTGAAATGAAAGGTCAAAGCACGGACACTTTCAGTTCAAACGAGAACGCCAAACAATCCAAGATGATGCCAATCAAGGTCCAAAAGGATGCTTTTCATGAAACCTTTAAGCTAAAGTCTTCACGTTGAAAACTTCATTTATTGCTACCTTCTATCCCAAATGCCAGTCTGCCCAGGTCCATCATCCTCCCACTCATCCCATCAACTACTAACCACCAGTATTTAGACAAGTCTGTGTCTGTACAGCTTAACGGCAGCCGTAGCGTGAGCGGTGTGCTTCGAGGCTACGACGTGTTTATGAACGTGACATTGGCAGAAGCCATCGAACACAGCCAGAGCGAGAAGCTTTCGCTAGGAACCGTTGTGATACGAGGCAACTCGATCGTGTCGCTAGAAGTAAGTGATTGAAAGAAACACCACCTAACCCTACATCAAATACTAACCACAGGCGCTTGACTTATAAATAACGTAAATAGTGAAATACCGCTAGCCTGAAAAAGTGGAAAATGGATTAAAAATAAAGCATGCAAAAAAGAGGTCTATAGGTAGCGAGTGACAAGGCAGCAACTGGCGGCTCCCGGCCGGCAGAAACAAATAGCCAAACAAGACTGGCGGGGTTGGCCTAATCAAAACGGTGGCCCATTTCAATGCCCACAGGCAGGTAGCCACACTTTTCGTAAAAACCAACGTTTTCAGGCGAACAGTCCAAAATGACCTTATAACAACCAGCGTCCTTGGCGATTTCTGTCAACAGAGAAATCAAATAGTCGCCCAACCGGTTGCCCTGCTGAGACTTGGCCACAGCAATGTCTTCAATATGGCCCACTTTGCCGCAAGTATGGATGATTTTCTGCTCCACCACCAACATCCCCGTGGCGACAACCGTATCGTTTTCATCCACAATGACCCTAGGGTGGTAAATGTCTGAGTACTTTTCCCAGTTGTAAATCACGTCCTGGAACTGTTCGGGCGAGATGTCTCCCACCTTGGTGAGCACCTTAAGAGTTTCTGTGTATTGGGCATGGTCCTTGGCCGAGGGCGCTCTGAAGCTGTAACCTTTAGGAAGAGGCATGATGTGGAAGAAAAGTTGTGAAGTGCTAAGGAAGAAGCAAAAGGGTAAGGTAAGCTGCTGGCGCGAGTAATTCTCCAGAAAGGGAAGGTTGATCTCAGGCGCGAGGAAGGGACGGGCGGGAAAGAAACTTCTATTTTTGGAACGCCAGAAAGGAAGTTGGAAGAAAGTGGGTTTTGTTGTTGGTTAAAAAATCAAAGATATCTTTATGTTGGTTTTGAAAATGGCAGGGAGATGGCAGGGGCGTGGCAGGGGTGGCTATTTAAAGGCTTTTTTTAGCCCTGGCCCGAGCGCTCGCCCTTTTTCGCAGCAAAGCAAAACACTTCGCTTGCAGCCCTGTGAAGCCGAGGACCCAGATGATGACTGTACTTTTGACAGGCACAGTAGTTAGAGAAAGCTATTTTATGACGTTTTGTTGATGTATTTACGTTGACTTTTATTTGTTTTTCTTTTTCTTCCTCTTGTTTTATCTTTTTTCTGTTTGTACTTTTCTTGGGAAACGTCAGTTGGGCTGGAAAATAGAGATAAGTAGCCGTGCGAGAAGTCAGATCAAGCGGATGCCACAAAAGTGGAAATGGAAAACACCACGGGAAAATTCAGAATGGGCCCATTGTGGGGGAACGATGATCACAGGAGAATCCCGGAGCCAAACTGGTCATTCAGGTGCCTGTGAAATGACTATAGATGCAGAAATGAATGGTTAGTATGGGCCTTTACGGTTCCCAGCCAGCACTCTGTTTGTGTTGCGAACACCACCCCCACGAAGTGGGGCAGAGGGCCAGGTGGGGCAGAGGGCCAAGTGGGGCCAAGTGGAGGTAGTATAGGGAAAAGAAGGGATGGTTTGATACGTCATAGGGAGGGGTGGCGGTGGTTTTTGGGGGTTCAGTAGTGGTAGGTAGATGGACTGTTGGTTGAGGGTGGTGGGAGTTTGCAGCCATTGAGGGGAGGGCATTAGAGGGGGATTTTTGGGGAGTTTTTGGTATGAGTGGGTTCCTAGAGAGTGGTAGATTACGGTGGTTTAGGTAGTTTTTTTGTAAGGTGATCTTTGGTGGTTTTGGTGGAGGGTAGGTGGTGGTGGGGTGAGACGCATGGAAGTATGTGTTTTGCAGCCACTCAGCCGCGGATCATAGAAGGCAATGGGTGGTGTAGGTTGGGGGTAAATCAGAGCATATGAAAGGCAGTAGGGATTTTCTTCTTTTTGTTGCTGGTAAGTTTTGGGTGGTGTGGGTGGTGAGAGGACGGATGGGTTACCAATGGGAGCCAGGTTGGCAGTTGCCAGACAGTGGCGGTGTGTCTGTGATGACCGTTTTAAGCTGTTCATAGCACTTGATCATTGAAATTCGTGGTTCGTTGTTCCTAGTAGGTCCAGTTCATCTATTGGCTCTAAGCGGTGGATCAATTGGAGAACTTGGAGTATGCTCATAGGAATGAGAGACTCCATGGAATAACCACGATAAGATAGAAAGAATGGCATGAATAGAACGATTTGGGGTCTAATATCGATTACAAATTAAAAGAGGTTATAAACTCCGTCTTCCTTTTAGATCAACTGATGGTATTCTCAAACCTTATCGGCCACTTCAGGTTATCCATGTACGGCGCGTACCATCACCGTCACTTTCCAGGCACAGATCGATAAGAACCTTAAAAACGCAGGGAAAGAGATCAGGTTATTTGAAGATACAAAATAAGTATAAAAAAAATGGTCCCACAACCTCCAAAAGCTACTGGCGTGTGGCCCTCATCGTGTATGCGCTAAGGTTACCCCAGATTTGGCAGTGGTCCACTTGAACCCAAAACACCTTCCATTCCTTCTATTAATTCGAATCTGGACAATTAGACCACTATCCAGAACCTTAGAAACCATAGTTCCCACTTTCTACGTCATTATGCTATTGGGGTTGCCCCACCACTACAATCTCATCTCATATCATATGTCATTTCATTGAAATAGCTAAGCTGTGATAAAAAGACCACTTAACTCGCGGTCTGGTATTCTCAAAGAACTATAAATACTCTGTAAACAACTCATCCAGTGTAATCTGTGTTCGTCTGTGGTGACGATGGATGTGTGTAAGCTTCCTGAGAGTCATCGCTTAGTGCTTGGAGCACTGGCAGCCAGACTCAGAGGAGCAGGTGCAAGAAGCACAGGTGCAAGAAGAACATGGGCAGTTAGAAGTTGGAGCCATTGTGAATATTTGTTTGATGATGGAAAGAAAAAAAAAAAAAGGTCGAATTGATGGGGAAATTCAATGGTTTATATACCTCTGCGTTCTTTTTGCGACCAGGCCTGCGTTGTTTTTGCAGCGGACTGTATATAAGCACATTTCAGTAAATGACATTGAGACTTGAGTGGTTTTTGCGACTGGTCATCACTGCATATAGGGCAAAAAAGCATGCCCAAGAGTCATGGCCCACTGGGATTCTGAGTGGTTTGTGCCATGCAGGACAGCCTGACCAGTTACTCTCTTTACATCTCTTCGAAAGGCACAGAAAGGGGAAGAAAGTGATAGAAGGTGTGGACTGGGATTGGTGAGTGGATGGATGTTATGGGAGTGCAGGTAAGACAAAAAAAGTGACCAGGTGTGGAAAGTGTAGGGGAGATGTGTATTATAGAAGGCGCGTTAACTATGGAGAGGCTGTTAAGTATGCTCTTTTGCAGCCATGAGGCAAGGAAGGTAGACAGTGTACGTCAAGCCAACATTACCTGCTTTCAGAGATATAAGTAGCACTATTTCATCTTCTTGGTATAACCGTCTGATGACTGTGTTTTTCAAGTCAATTTTCATCGTACCATCGTAACGCAATTGCTTAATCTTGCTGTCTTGTAGCGCTTTAGACGTGAGATCAAAAGTACCAGTGAAGTGAGAGAACACAACCTTCTTTTTTTTTTTTTTTTTTTTTTTTTTGTTTATTTTTTCCAGGTAATTCAACTAATTAGATTCAGCTTATTGAAGCAGATGTTAAAGAAGACTATTAGTAGTCGACAAGAGTGGTTTGCTGGCTACTTAGATGGGTGCTATCTAAGCTAGGCTAGCTTCCATGATGGAAGTTCCACTCTACTACAGTCTTGACATAAATTGCGTCTTTTGGTGCTACTTAGGCCTGGAATGTCCGGTGAAACCGGTTTCACGAAAAACTATTGAATTCTGATAACTACGAGTGTGACTTCTATGACTCTAGCTGCTATAGATCCAGTGACGACAGTAGTACAGCTCCTACAGTCACATCATGGACCACCCTTGTTTGAACGAATTCCGCCAGTATAGTATTATATTATCTTTCAGTCTGTTTACTTGCCAACAAATTACAATTGGAGCCAAGATAGGCACTTCCTTTGGAATTGACAATTGCCTGACTGCTTGAAGGACAACAGGACATATGTATCGTAAACCAACTACATATGTCATAGTTCGTCGCTTAAACTCCATCGTCCATATAGAACCACGCCAACCCATTGACGGAAATCAAAGATCTACCGCTTCTGTACGTTAAAGCTTATCACTAAACCAAGCCACTCGGCATCCTCTCAGCTTGCTCTCACAACCATCTAAACTTCATTTACAGAAGTTCCATGTTTTGCTTGAATAATGGCAAACCAAATAATCTCTACTTATGGATCTATCGCCAAAGACTCTACCTTCTCTTTCACGCAGCAAGCATATGTTGTACAACTCTTAGCATGCATTCACAGAAGGCAGCAGCCAGTAGCCTATCAGGCCATACTCCAAATAGCCTTTTACCGTAAAGCTTAAAATTAGAAATACCATTCTCCGTTCTGACAATCTCCATTCCTCTACTTCTACGTCAATTGCACGCCAATTGAGCCATCACCCTAGCTACCCCAGTAGCCGTACCCATACAATCTCCCAACAGAAGCCGGTCTACGAAACTCACTCTCTCCTCTTTCCCTCCTCTTCCCTCCTCATCTCTCAGCCTCTTTTGCCCCCCGTTTCTCACCTGAACCTTCCCTGACGACGCCATATGCGCTGAAACCTAATTGACCTCGGTACGTCAAATCCACCAACCGCCACCAACGGCCATCCACGGCTGAAACCGCCACTCGAAACCGACCCACAAAAATTGACACTTTCCACCAACAATGCCCAGGATATGCAAGGGGCTGCTGAAACTGGTCTGTCCCTGAAGACCCTGAAACTGCCAAACCTGTCCCACCTTCTCATCCCGGCTCCGAAGCACTCCGAGATCTATCCACCAACGCCACTACCTACACCAACACAGCAACCAAACCACCCCTTCACATGAAACAGCCACCACTCCTTCCTTGCTTGTCTTACAAATCAAAGTACCTTCTGGTGGCTTCTATTATCCAGCTGACAAAGCCATTTTCCCGGCATCTTTCCGCGCCCGATTCTTCACACGCCAGTGGCAACTAAACCACCAAAAGTGAAAAATCACCAAAAAAATCAACCCTAAACCAATATGGACGCCCATAGTGAAGCCAATTTCACCTTCCCTAACCCTTTCCTCGGTTGCTCACCAGCCACATCTCATCTGTGCCTCCATACTTAAAATGACGTCTGCTTGCGCACCCTCTGCTAAGAAGCTTCTCAAGATGCATCTTGCTCCTGCCGTGCGTCTTCCAGCAAGCAGGGCTATATAAGGCGTGGAAATATCCACACTTTTTTGGCCGTAACCACCTTTTTCTAAACATGGCTCCTTTCACTTACAAAGCTCTTAGATACAAAAACAACACTACGCCTATCACGTACAAGGAGACACAGTTCTCGGACGTGGAGGAATCGCCTTCTGGGTTTAAAGTGCCAGAGAAGAAGGTGTTGGTGAAGGTTCACTATGCTGCTTTGAACCCAATTGACTTTTTGTTGAAGAATGCTGCTTCGGCTTGGATTTTCCGTGGCGAGAGAGGCTTTGCTTCGGACTATTCTGGTGAAGTTGTGGCTGTTGGTGCCGAGGCTGCCAAGAAGACGGGCCTTAAGGTTGGCGATAGGGTCAATGGTTTGAACCAGACTCCTTTTGGTAACGGTACCGCTGGCCAGTACACGTTGGTTGACCCATTTGCTGAGTCTGGCGAGTCGATCAGAAAGACCCCTGACAGTCTTCCTTTGGACCAGGCTGCGTCGTACCCGCTTGTGCTTGGTACTGCTCAGACCTTCTTTAACGAGGTGAACCCAAAGAACCCATTGAAGAAGGTTTTGGTGCTTGGTGCTGGTACTTCTGTCGGAAGATACACTGTCCAGGTTGCCAAGAAGGCTTACAATGTCGGTGAGGTGGTGGTTACTTGTTCTGGCAAGTCTGCTGACCTCATCACCAGCTTTGGCGCCGATAAGATTATTGACTACACTCAGCACAAGTCTATCTTGCAGCCTGTTTTGGAGCTGGTCAAGGAATCTGGTAAGTTCGATGCCATTTTCGACTGTGCCGGTAATGCCGACTTGTTCCCTGAGATCACCAACATTGTCCAGAACAAGGCCAACTTTGGCTTCTACGGCTCAATTGCTGGTGACTCCAAGCTTAAGTACGGCAGTGACTCTTTGCTCAGTTTGGTTGTCAAGAACCTCAACGGTGGTCTCAGAATCTTGGGCTCCCGTGTTGGATACTACGACTACTACTACAGCCTTGTCAAGCTTAACCCAGGTAACAAGTGGGCCGATAAGGCTATCAAGTACCAGAGCGAATTGCAGTTTGTCAACTCCATTGACAGCGTTACGCCAGTCGAGGACTACCAGACGGCTTTGGACAAACTTGCTTCTAACCATGCCAGCGGTAAGGTTTTGATTCAGTTTTCTGATTAAGAATTATGTCGATTTTTAGTGATGATTATATGTGCGTTTCCTGCTGTTTCGTAAATCATTGTTCGTATCGCATGCCTCGTTACGAAAGGCCCTACACCTGGGCCTGTTCGAGCTGGTTCTCGTGCACCTTAAGCTCCTCAAACATCATAAAGAGATCCCATCTCTTGGTGATATCACGTTCAAGACATCCTTCAACCATATTGTAGACCCACTCAAACTCATCTCTATCGTTTTGTTCCCAGACTTGCTTGATTTCGGCAATCTCTTTTTGACGAGCAGCGTCAACAAACGAATTATTCTTGACACCTTCTTCGTCGTCGTCATAAATCCAGGCCATGAGGCAAGCTTGCTTGAGCTCCTTCTTATCGAATTTGCCGGCACTAATGATGGCACGCAAACGTGGCTCGAAGGGATGCTGGAATGGAAGCTTACCAACCACCATGGTGAATAAAACAACACCCAATGCCCATATATCAGCAGAGGGGCCCAATGGTGGAGGCTGAGGCTCAAGCAATTCAGGCGAAGCGTATGGCAACAGGCCAATATGAGAATGAGGTAATTCTGACTCAATATTCGACATTATGTGCTGGTCTCTGACCTTGAACTCGTGGAAGTCAGCCAATGATGTTTTAGAATTAGTAGGAGTCAAGTCAAGAGACTGGAGTGATGGACCGTGGGATCTATGGAAGTGCAGAATGCCGATTTTGCTGTCGTCAGAGAAGAGATTCTTCAAGCTTGGCGAATCACCTCCATGGAAAGGTTTCCTGATTTGTGTAGCAGAGCTCTTGGATCTAAGCATCGAGGTGCTATCGTCGACATCGCGTCTTGACAGTTTTCTGCTGAGTCTTGGGGCAAAGACTCTAGACATACCAAAGTCACAGAGCACCACATGGACATTATCGGTGTCCAGGTCGTCCACGAGAACATTCTCTAATTTCAAGTCGCCGTGAACGATACCCAATTCCTGGTGCATGTAGAGTAATGCTTCCACAATCTGTCTAATGAACTGCGCAGCATCAAAAGACGTCTTTTCTGGCGCAGGATCAGGAAGCCCACAGGGCCGGAGGTATTGGAAATGCCGTCGTTAAAAACGCCCCAGCGAGAGACAACCTCAAAAAGAGTGCCTCCCGAAATCCGATTAGTAAGACAAAAGATGGTATCTTCGGTTTCTGTATGGTCAAGAAGTGGCAATAAGGAAGGATGTTGTAGCTGGCGCCAAATCTCGATCTCTTTTCTGAACACCAGAAGAACTTTGGGGTTGTGAACAGGCTTGCCTTTGCTTTTAGGAGAATTGTTACCATTATCGTACTCGCGAATGGACTTGACGGTCTTGATGGCCTTGACTTCGCCGTCTTTGGAGAAACATTCACGGATCGTGCCCCAGGCACCAAAACCAATGACTCTACCCAATTCGTAGCCCAACACCATTGCGCCTTTCTCGTCCACATTAACTTTAGGTGGTTTGTCGAGTTTACGTAAATCTGCAGACAGCGAAAGGGCCAACAAGCGTCCAGCGACGGTGTTATTGTTGGTGGTACTGTTTCGCCTTGATCTCCGAAGACTGCCTCCGCTAGAACCAATAACAGGAGTACCGTAAGAACGGTGAGTCCTGCTCAGGGTCAGACAAGAGCGTTCGCCGCCGAGTTGATTCTTAACGTAAAGCAGAAACTGGGAGTAGTCTATAGATTCGGAAAACAGTTTCACCACCTTCTTCCTCTGGGAGTAAGGAAGTTCAGTAAAGTTGTTAGGCAAAGATGCAAGGATGGATTCGTAGTTGATTTCGTGAGGCTCTTCTTTGATGGAGTCCTGGGAGATCCCTGAAGTGGGACTAGGCGAGCTTTTGTGTTTTTTAGGAGGTTTAGCAATGGAATCATCATCTTGGTGCTTCCCAAGCGCCAGAGGGTTTCTGAACTGGATCGGTTGCGGCGCCACCTGGGCGTGCAACTTCCTCAAGTCCAAATACGAATGCTCACGAGACGCCTGGGCAGAGCTATCTCTGGTTGTAGGATTCCAGGACCTCACCACATCGGCAAAGTCCAAACCGGGGATGTATTCATCTTCAAGGCCACCAAGAGAGCCCAGATCAGTATCCACATTCTGTTCGTAAGACCGAGAGTATAATTTCGGAGCACTTCCGTCATGCCGCTGGGGAGAGCCCGCTTTGGACGGTCTCAGACGGAAGATACCATCGTCATACAATCTATGGCCGGTTTCACTATCAAAATTGTTAAATTCCGTTTCCGAGTACGTTCTGGCCAACCTATAGTTTCTCTCGTGTTTGTCGCCCTCAGTATCAGCCAATTGAGGCAGTTTCAGTGTAAACATCTGAGCCTGGACGTTTCTGGAAGACGAATTGGGCAGCAGCCCCAGCTCCTGGCCGAGGTGAGTGTCACGCCTGGAGCGTCTTGATTCTGGCACATCTTCATGGGTTTCTTTAGGGAAAGCGTGGTCTAGCGTAGAGATGGATACTCTGGGCAGCGATTTGAGCGGGATATCCATGTCCCGAAGCTGTGGTGGGTGGGAAACTAAGTGGTCACGTGAGGAGCAGACAACTGTAGTAACCTGAAAACAGTGAAAGCAATTGGAAAAAGACTGGAGGAGGAGAAGATGATGGAGTGGTGTTTTCAGTGGGAGGCTCGTGGTGGTGATGAAAGAGAAGAAGAAGGGCAGATTTAGTGCGAGAGGTGTTTTTGGTGGTCTTATGTGCAAGAAACCATGAAATTAGCTGTATAATTCATAAAAAAAAGCTATCCCCAGGTTTTTCGCAGTATGTGCGAGGAAAGTATGGGGAAAAAGCAGGCTTGGACAGTTACCACGAAGCGAGAGGAGAAGGATAAGGAAAGGTCACGAAGAGAAGGGAGGTGGAGGGGAGGCAAAAAAGAAGGTGCATGGGTTTTTGTGACGTCATAAGGGGGAAGGAAAAAGAGAGAAGAGAAGGTGATTTGAAGGTTTTGGGTTGGCTGATGAAAAACGTGGCTGGCAGAAATGGCAAGAAAAAAAGGTGGAGTGACTGGGGCAGTGGTTGAGGCGAGGGAAAGGCGAGGGAGGAAGAGGGAGGAATTGGCGGCAGGGGAATGGAGGAAATGGGACAAAATGGCTGCGAAAAAAAGGGCCAGGGGGGCACTTGGGATGAGGAATTGAGGGTTAGAGATTGTTTCTGAGAGGTGTATCTTAGGAATAGAGAGATGGGTTAACGGAATAACAGGTTTTTGCATTGTCTCAACGGAATAACAGGATTTTTGGATGCAGCGTTGGTGTATTGTGTGTTCTGTGGGTGGTGAGGGCAGCTGGGGTCTGGTGAGGAAGGCCCCCCAGTGGGCTAACTGTAGGTGTAGTATTTTTATCGGGGGAGGTGAATTGGGGGAATCGGGAATCGGGTGGAGCGATTTGGATTAAAAAGATTGTTGTTTTTTGTTGTTTTCAATGGCAGGTTCTGGTGAAGTGGATGGTGGTTTTTGGCTGGTCTCGGTGAGTAGAGGTTAGACAGTTGGCGAGGGAGGCCAGTGGAAGTGTAAACATAGAGCTTCTTTTTTTTATCTTTCTCTTTTGAAGAAAGCTCTTTCATGGCTTCTGTCTTCGCTTTGTAAATGGACATTTTTAGGTTTTGGAGTTCTCTAGCTGCCGTTACATGGATCAGTGGTGAATGTGGTGTCTGGGTACTCTTTGATGGCCAGCGTGAAGTTACAGTATTAAAGTTAGTAATGACAGTAAGCCTGTAAGAATTTAGTAGTTGGAAGACGTGAATTTTGATCGCTTGAATTGTTGTCTTAAGGTATCGTTGATGGTCATTGAACCATAGACCACCACTACAAACCACCATCATCATGACTTGATACCATACTATTTACCTAACCACTATGAAATCAACTTATTTCAGCTTCGAATCTTCCCAGGTTCGTATACTTGCTGTGGCTAGTTTAGGGTTAACTGGAATACCTAGCTATGTCTCAAAGCGAACCTCCAAAACCATGAAGAATGATAAAACCATAAATTATCTCTTCTTGGCTCTAAAATATCAAATATCCCTAAATTTCCAACGCAATAACTTCCTACAAAAGGTTCATCTCTCATATAATACACGCTACTCATAATACACTATATCAATCGCTTGGGCCCAGGTGTGATAAAATCAACGGGCTCAAGAAAGCCTCTCCCAATAGCTGCGTTGCAGTGGGTCGCTTGTCGTAATCTATCTCGAACGTTCTGGTTAAAAAGTCTTTTCCCTCGGCAGTACACCATTCGGGCACTTGAGGTTGGGTATGAGTACCAATCTTAAAGATGGCTTGCATTTGACTGAAGCTGGGGAACGGATGCTTTCCGGTAAACATCTCTACTACCAAACAGCCAACCGACCAAATGTCAGCTTTCTTTGTGTAAGCAGTCTGCTTGACCACTTCTGGAGCCATCCAGTAGACAGAGCCTTGTAAGGAAGCCCTACGGGCTTGTTTGTTACCTTCTCTATCTTCAGATGAGTCCACTTTTTTGGAAATACCAAAATCACTGATTTTGACGGTTCCTTTAATGTCAATAAGAATATTTGCACCTTTGATGTCTCTGTGGATGATGTCCACGCTGTGAAGGTATGTGAGTCCGACAAGCACTTGTCTGACGAAGTTACGAATCAAAGGTTCTTCGAACGGTCCATACAGCTGTAACATCAGCTGTACACTTCCTCCTGGCACGTATTCCAAGAAGATATTGAGGAAACTGCCTTCGGACGATGAGCCAAAGTAACGAACAATATTTTCATGGTTGAGTTCCTTTAGCAAGGCCATTTCGTGGTGCAACGCTTCTATCATCGACCTTTGCAGGTCATTGTGTCTTGCAGCACCTGTCGGTATAGGCACTTGTTTGACAGCCATGAGTTCACCGGTAACAGGATCCATGCCCAATACAACAGTACCAAAGGATCCAGCACCGATACGAGCACCCTGGACCCATTTTCTACCAGGAATAAATGGTTGAATATCCTCACCATCCGCACTCAACTCGCCATAATAGTCTAGACAATCATCGGCATTATCGTCATCTGAATCAATACTAAAGAGCTCAATTCTCGAGTACCGGTTGTTATTGGTGGTATACAGCGCAGCCACAGAAAAGCGGTGTTTGCTCATCTCCGTCCGGTGAGACACCTCCAGCTGGCCATCGTCCACAGAGGCCAGCTCTGGTTTACTGACTAGGGAAATTGTATCTTGAGGGTTTGTAGCTTCGTCAATGACACTGACGTTGTGCACCATCATGTCGCCTATCGTTTTGTGGTTACGAGGTCTGCGTTCAGAAGATGCCATTGAAACACCGCCCAGCTTCCCCAGGAAGATCAGCAGCGTTGTGGGAACACGAAACCTTCTCAGTAGACGCATACTGTAACGTACCGAGTTACGAACTGTAGTTTCCAACTCTTGCTGAGGCGCTTGTGGGAAGTACTCGCCCAAATTGGACGAAATCAACTCAGAAGGAGGACGCTGGCCAAAGAAGTTACGCATCTGAGGCGTCTGGGGTTTCCTACCGGCCATTCTTTGTAGAATTCGAAGCGACTGTTCTGCCGCCGTAGGCGAAGGCTGCTCGCCCTTCGGCGTAAGCATAATCCGATGCTTTTCCATTCTATCTGGAGCAAAACAGATTGTCACGAACTCCACATCGTACAAACTCGATATCTTAGCACCTCCAGGCCCCGTCGTGTGAATATACGTATCGTAATCGGTATCTCTGCCCTTGACGCCGAGTTTTTTAAGCGCCTTCCGCTTGATCAGCTGGGTATTGAAGCATCCCTCGATGTTCACCTTCTTCATGGACCCGTCTGGCAAGATGAACGTAACTGTCCTAGCAGAAGCGTCCCGATCCGAGCCCGACCGCAGTCTCTGAAGCGACCTGCTCCCGTTAGCCACAAACGTCGAATCGTCACTTTCAGCAGGCACCACGCCATTAAACGTCTTTCCAGCACCACCAGTAGCCCCAGCACCGCCAGTCTGCGCCCACTGCAGCGAAAGCTCCAGCTGAACCTGTCTTTGCACGTCTTCAATGCCCACACTCGTCTTCAACCTCTGCATGTTGAGCGCCAGAATGGCCACCTCAAGTCGTAGTCTATCGCCAACCTTGTGGATGCCCATTTCCTTCAAGGCAGCGGTGTCTAGTTCAGGCACCAAGTCTAGAGTAACGCCGTTTTCAATGAACTTGCCCAAGTGCTGCAGGCACTTGTTCTTTAGGAGCCACAGCTGGAGATCGGTATACTCCATTGGGAACGAAATATGGAAGGTTTTTGTTTAAGAAAAAAGAAGGTGGGTGGAAGGGTGAGTAGTTAAAAAGGTGAAGAATTGGTGTAGATATCTTTACGCGCCTAGGCGCCTAGGGCGCAGGCAGAGACCATAACAAAGGAAGATGGAGAGGTGAAGATTCAGGGGGAAAGGGGGGACACAAAAATAATGCACAGATTTTTGGATTTCTGGGTAAGTGATGAATAGGTGATGGAAAGTGGGGGATGTTTGGGGGTTTTGGGGGAAGATTGGGGGAAGTGATGGGGGTTGGTTGTGGCTGGTGCCTGATAGATCAATGGCTGCGAAAGTGAGAAACACGAAGAGGGCTGGATGGTGGTTTCCACATTGAAGTCTTCGGTTGGGAGTTTTGATTTTGTAGGACACCAGCTGGGGGCCGCCTTCGTTTACTGCCTGGTCACTCCTTGGTCACTTTCCACTTCGTGAACTGTCTGTCTGTCTAGACCAGCTGGTGCCTGGCGCCCTGCAGAAATGGGTGCAAAACGTCCTCAGCCAAAGACAGAAGTGACGACAGATCTAGCCAGACCGAAGGGCTCTGGCAGTAAAAGCAATAGAAAAAGCCGAGGACAACTAAAAGGGAAAGCCGAGGATTGCAAGTATCAACGTATAGCCCCTGCTGCTGAGTTCCTCCAACGCAGGTCTCGACCAACGTCCAGCCCCAACGTCCAGCCTCAACGTTCAGCCTCGGCGTCCCAATCTGGCTATTCTAGATCATGGGCCCTGGCCACCGCCAATCTCTGTCAATGTCTTCCTGGCCCGCTCGCCTAGCGTAAACCTTCGCTTATTGTTCGGCAAGCCTGTCCCGAGAATGTCCTTGGTATGTAGCTTGCCATAACCAGGCAAAAGGGCTATCCTGCCGATCAATATTGGGCCTTCCTGACATTGACCTGGGCCCATTAATGTCTCATTCTAAGCCAAGACAAACCCGTGCCTTTGTGTTTCGGTTTCTTGTTTGACTTTGGAATGTAGCCGCATGGAGGATTTTGCAACCATTCTATTTTTTTCGCGAGTTATCAACTCCAAACCTTAGTTCAGAACAACCCCGTTATTCACCATCCGATGCTTGTCAAAGACCTTGTTGGGGTCGTTCTCCGCTCTCTTCCACAGCCTGATACTGCCCTTGTCTTCGTCCAACTCGTACACTCTCAACCGTCTGATGTACCCACCGTAACCGCCATATCCACCTTCTCCAACACCTCCTCCGTAGCAGAGCCACATCTTTGACTCGTAGTCCTCTTCGCCACGGTTCTCTATATCTAATAAACAGTAGTCGTTGCAGTGGTCGTGTCCAACTGCTGCCACTTGCACGTTGGCATTGGCAAAATGTGTCCTCATGCCGCTGTTGTACCTGGGCGCTGCAATGCCTTCAAGCTTTTTACCAACGGTGTCTGAGGAATCAATGTTCTTGAATTCGGGGATGGGGATATGGAAAAACGCCATAGAAAGCCGGTTTTCTTTAACCATTTGCTCAGCCATGCCACCGGCTTCTTGTTCAAGCCACCACATCTGGGAATCCTTAAACCAGTCGTATCCTGGATTAGTCTTGGGCTTCTTGGAGTATGCATGAGAATCGAGAAAGTATAAAGCGGCAGCTACCTTCTTCAGCATCTTGTGTGACGTCACAGAAATACCATAGTTACCGTAACCTTCTACTTCCTTTGGGCCAGGGGTGGCCATCGAATAAGGGAAAGCTGCGGCTGCATACATCAACGACTCTCTGTCGTAAGTCAGTTGGTCGTCATGGTTACCCAATACAAGTCCATATGGGATTTTACGTTTCTCGAAAGGAGCCACAGCTTTGAAAAGGGCCGTCATTGGATCTGGCGCATCGTCTCCAAAAATCTGGTCACCTGTAAGAGCGACAAAATCAGGTTTTTCAAGATCAAGCACTCTGTTGATGAATCTGATAGTACGTGGGTCAGCTTCACAGTCCTCGGCAGACTCTTCTGGGAATGGATCACGACATTTACCCACACCTGTTGAGAAATGAAGGTCGGCCACTTGAAGGATCTTGAACTTACCGTTCTTTTTGAAACGCAACTCGGGAAGTGGTGTCTTCTTGATCATACCTTCTCTGCGGATAGCAATTCTAGGCTCAAGGCCTGGAGCTGCACCAGTATCCAAAAGAGGCTGCTTAATAAGGACAGCGTCTTCAAATGGGACAACGGCATCAGGACCAAAAACAACGTTGATCCATGTAACAGCTTTTTTACCCTGAGGACCATATTTAAGCCAAATACCATTAGAAGATTTCCTCCATTTGGCCTCCTCGAGTTGTTTAGCATTCGGGATCAGGTAAAACCCATCCAATTCATGGTAAGAAGATTTCTTCTCCCTGGTTTCAAGATCCCGTTTAGGTTTCGTACTATCTTTCTCTGATTTGGCCTTGTCAGCCTCTGGATCTTGAGGTTTTTCTTCAGGGCCTTCAACCTTAGCTTCCTTCTCCTTCTCCTGCTCCTTCCCTTGCTCCTTTTCTTGCTTTTCCTTCTCAGTAGACGCCCGAAGGTCTTCAGCCTGGCTCTCCTGTTCCTGCTTCAACTTGGTAATTTCATCAGCATCGACCTTGCCGTCCAAAACCTCATCCTTATTGGCCTCCTCCAACTGTTTCTGGTTCTCTTCATCGAAAACCCTCGATTTGTGAATATCCTTAAGCACTTTTTCAGGTATAAGCGCCTTTTCGTTATGCTTGATCTTCCCATCCTCAACTGGATCACTCACTGCAACGTCCACCACAACGTCGTACTTGGGCTGTTCGCCATTATTGAAAACCGCCAACTTCAACCCCAAATGCTGCTTGTAAAGTAAAGACTTCCCAAGCGAAAGGTCCTTATCCACCACAGACCAGCCTCCATGACCCCGCAAGTCGCCCTGGTACCCTTTGGACTCGTCCTTCACCACACAATCCCTGTTCTTCAAGTTCACTCGAAGACAGTTCTCCACAGACACGTCGATCACGTATGATTGCATGCGAGCCACGCTTTCTTCGCCAAACCTGAAGAGCTGAGGCACCGTCAAGGCAGGTATAGAGATGAGCTTATTCTCCTGGGCCACCAATAGCAAAAGGACAATAACCGACATGAACGACGTCACGTAGATGAGGTTCCTTATCCATCGTTTTGGCAAGGCAACCATGACTGGAAGGGGAATAGCAGAGCTGTTGTCGTTTCTTAAGCGTTGGTGAAATTCCTCAACTGTATTATATGTATATGGCGCGCTCGGTAAGACAAACAGAAACGCCGATAAGCAAGTGGAAGGAAGTAGTATGGAAGAGGAAAGTTGGATTGTCGATTTTCTTGATTTTTTTTATGAACGTTTTTTGCTTTGTACCGTTTTTCCACACCACTTCCAGAGGCGAGGTGCTTTTTGTGTTATCATCTATACCTCGTCTTGGACCCTTGGCAGTACCCTGTGCATGCCCAGATGTCTCAGTGGGGGAGAAGTGAAATTGTGAGGTAAAGGTAAGGAAGTTTAAGGGAGGGCTGTTTTTTAGTAATTCTGAGAATTACTCGGGGAGGTCTCTCAATGAAGTAAAGATGTTTTTCGGTACTTTTGGGTTTCTGGGGTTTAAAGTGGGTTGGTTGCTGCGATGGGCCTCGGCTGGCTGGCTCCAAACTTGTCCGACGCGCCTAACCAACAGCGTCACCAGGGGTACACAAAGCAAGGAAGAGGTGGGAAGAAGTGGAAAGAAGGAAATAGAGTTTGGGAGAGGGTGGGGAGTTTGGCAAATGACGTGGATTCAAAAACAGCTTATTTTGTACTGTTTGGGTAAGATAGGTTGTCTGGAAAGTGGCTGCGAAAAACAGTGCATAGAATACGAGCAGATGAGCCACCGTCAAGTCAGCAGATGGTTGAAAGGAGTAATTAGAGAGCTTGGTGGAATTGGAATTTGAAGGATTTTCAGGTGTTTGGTGGTTTGGTTGGCTAGGAGACGCGTCTTTTGGTGGGGTTTGGAAGTGGAACTGGTACTGGTGGTGGGTAGTAGGAGGAAGGAAGAGGAGATGGAGAATGGTGGTTGAAGGTGGTGTCTGAATTAATTAGAAGCTTTGAGAGAGTAAGGTAGCTTGGCTGGTTGAGATGGAGTGAAAATTATGGAATGATGATAATTAGATAGTGCATTCGTCTGGGTAGTTTATAACTGCTATAGCTGATACTGAGATGGTTCAATGTAGACTATGTTCTAAACAATAAGCATGAATCTTGTTCTTTATTCCCTCTTTTCTTTCTCTTTTCTAATGATTCCTCGCAATGAAATTCCATACAAGTTGGACCCAGGTTGTGAATCAATGTACTTGAAATAGTAGACTGGTAAGAGAAGAACATTCACATACACTCTTTTCTATAAACGTACTTAAACTTCCAAATTCCTAAAACTAGTCCTTTTGAAAACATGGTGAAAATCGTTTTATCCAACATGACCAGTCAAAGTAAACTGAGAAGTGATGGTGTTTTGTTACCATCATTACTCTGCTCTGTGTATTACTCTGTCTATCACTCCGTGTTTATGGGGATATGAATACCTAATTTATATCAACTAGATTTGGAACTTCTATTTTCCACAAGACATCTCCTGTTTCAGTTTCTTCATTTAAGCCACCACCTTTAATAGTACTGTTACATGTCTCCTATATACTCTAATGTCCCCACCAGTGAGACAGACCATTCACATAAAGCCATACTTCAAAACACCCCAAAAGCTTTTTCAGACCCAAAATGGCCTCTAATTCAGCCAAATTCAATATAAAGGAAAAAAAAGAAAGTACTTTTTCGATTCCCCTAAGTATACATGAAACATCACGATATACCACTCATTCCTCGTCTCTCCCCTACACTATAAGCATCCCCAACCACCCAAACACCCCCAAAATCCTCCAAATAAACCCCAAATCACATAAAGATCATCCCAGACTACCAAATCCAATTAACATATAATCCACCCCCTCCAGTCCACTCTCCATTCCATCCACTTGTGGGGCTCGCCTGCATTTACTAACCTGCCATATAGAAAGACAACCCCATTCGCAGCCACATCACCTTTTCCTCAACTAACCATGTCTTTACCTTCCCCATCATATAACGACGATCCAAAGTCTTTTGCTCATCCTACAGTTCACAAAAGATGGCCTGCTATCATTACTTCAGGCATTGAGGATCTTGAAAAGCACGCTAAGCTGAACCCAGACGCTAAGGGCTGCACTGAATTCGTGATTGGTAACCTCCAGGCACTTTTGGAGGATTTCAAGGCCGATAAGCCTGTGAAGGCGTTTAGTGATGAGGACATTAAGCTTAAGCCGGAGCTTGAGGTGTACAATCGTGGTTTGCAGAAGTTTAACGACGAGAAGTTGGTCACATGGCTCACTGGACCATGGTTATACTTGGAGTGTTACTTGTACCAGTTGATCAATGTGTGGTTTCTTAACACCAAGAAGCTTCAGAAATTTGATATTTTTGAGCTGGCCAAGGTTGACGCTTTCAAGCAGTCAGGGTTTGGTGTGATTGAGCTTTGCCAGAGAGTCAAGTTGCTTTCTCAGCAATTGAACGAGAAGGAGGCAGAAGAACAGGCATTGGAGTTGCTTTTCACTGAGTTTATTGATATTTCGCTCTGGGGTAACGCTACAGACTTGTCTTTGCTTGCTGGAAACGTCAGCTTGCAAGATATCAAGAGTCTTCAGGGCGCTGAGGTTCGTAAGAAGAACGAGGAGAAGATCATTGTTAACGATACCCAGAAAGCCTGGAAGCACTATTTAAGCAGCAGTCGTGAAAGAATCGATATTGTTTTGGATAACTCCGGTTTTGAGCTTTTCGCTGACCTTTGTTTGACCTTGTTCTTGCTTGAAGCCAAGTTGGTGAAGAATGTTGTTCTTCACTGCAAGCAGATTCCATGGTTTGTCAGTGACACCATGCCAAAGGATTTCGATCTTCTTCTTGCTCAGCTTGGAGATGAACAGTTCTTTGACGACTTGCGCAGAGACGATTCTGCTAAGGAAGCTGTTACCTTCCTTCTTGAAAAATTGAAGTTCTACGCTGGCAAGAAGCAAATCACGACCCAAGCACACGAGTTCTGGACCTCTTGTGAGAACTACTGGGTCATTCCTCACCAGAAGGACCTCTACGAAGAACTCAAGAAGTCCAACCTTATTATCTTTAAGGGTGACTTGAACTACAGAAAGTTGACCGGAGATTTGCATTGGGACACTACTACCCCTTTCACTAAGGCCATCCAAGACTTGGCCTCTTCTGGTCTCCCAATTTTGCTGTTGCGTACATGTAAGGCAGACGTTGTTGTCGGATTGCCTGCTGGTTTGAACGAGAAGCTTATTGAGGAGTACAAGAGCCAAGGTAACGAGATTGGAGAGTTCTGGACCGCTTCAGGTAAATGGGCCGTGATCAGTTTCAATCAGAGTTAAGGTGTAGCTGGCTAGTCCTGAGATGAGATGTCTCATATTGGTGAAGCAGGTGCCACGATGAATGCTTGAAAATAAGCTGAATAGAGACTGATACAAGAATTATACAAGAATGATACAAGACTTTGGAATGTAGGAGAGGCTCTGGAAAGTGCCAGTGTGGACTTGGAGGTAGTAAACCATGAACTGTCAGTGACATATAGAAGACGCTTCGCTACCCCACAATTCAGCACGTCCAACAACTGCCCTTTACCTCTTCAAAACCGTCAAGAACCGCCTCCACAATTCGAGTCACATCATTAAAAGACATCTCCATTTTCCCTGGACCAATTGCGGTACCTTCCCATGACCTTCCCCTATGTCTCATTTGCCACCATTTGCCACAACAAACACCATCCCGAGCCTCCAGCAACTCCAACGCGTCCTCCCCCAGCTCAATTGCCTCCCCGTAGTCTCCCCAGCCTTCAACCCCTCTCCTAAACCTCCATATCATAAATCATATATTGCCTATATAGCGCAGTTGATCTCGATCTGGATCTTGATCCAGATCACTTCCCAAGGGATCACTCCTGCTTCGAACCCTCAGCAGCAGCAGCTGCTGCCTTTTGCCTCTCCTCAGCCAACTTGGCTTCCCTCTCCTTGGCCTCAGGCTCCACGTCAGGGAACGTTTTAGGGTCAGGCACTGGTTTCTGGTTATGGTCAAGAACCCGATGGTGAGGCTTGTTGATTTTCGACAAAGGCACTTGTTTTCCGCCAAGGTCAATAAGAATATCGTCAGGGTGTTGTTCAGCCATTATAGTTAGGAAAAAATAGATAGATACACAAAGAAGAAGTAGGTGGTATGGAGAGATCATTTTAAACAGGAAACGGGAAATCTGGGGCTAGGAGCGCCTTCCAGGCTTGCTGGGGCTAGAGAAGGTTGCGGTGGCGTGTGCAGGAGGCTAAGGGTAGAAAGGGGCCACCAAAAGGGACAAAAAGGGGCCAAAAGGGGGGAAGGTGAACTGGAAAAGGTATAAATAGGAGTGGATTCCCGCCTGATTTTCAGGGTAATTTTTGTTTTTTATTTCCGTTTGTGGTGGTGGAAATGGCGGGGGGTTTGGTGGAGCTGGTGTGGGCTGGGGAGATCGAGACCTGGGGATGTATTTGGCTGCGAAAAAAACAGCGAGGCAGGGAAGGCAGTGAGCCACTCGCCACAGAATGACCAAACCAAAGGAAAGAATCTCGAGGAAGTGAGATTTGGGGTTTGGAGAAGTGGAATGTATTTTTTAGGTTTTTTGGGTTTTTTTTTGGGTGTTTTTTTCTGGAAATTTGAGTGAGTTTGTGGAGGGCTGTTTCTATGGCTTATGGTCTCTGGCTCTCTCAGTAGCATTGTAGGCATGTCTGGAAGTGCCAATGCTGATGATTCTATTTCTTTTTTTTTTTTTTTAAGTCGTTTTTTCTTATCTAATTACGATTCTCTTAATACCACCACTTTTCTTGGTTTTCTTGGTGGTTCATTAATTGCGTTACCTGATTCAGTATAGGTCTTTGTCTTGGGCCTCGACTTGACACAATGAATGAGTTCAGGATCAGCGCTGGATTGTTTAAATCAAGTGTCAATTACGCTTCCTCTTTGTATAAATAGAAGGGGGTTATGGCTGAAAGGAAGATGCGTTTTGGTTAATGGAAGGGGGGGATTATATGTGAAGCTTCGCTAATTAATGCCATCTGGGGAAGGGGAGTCATCAGAAGAATGGCTGGCTATTTTTAAAGGAGGTGTTAAAATGAAGGCTAAGTCTAGATTAATGGGTTTTGGTCGTTTTAGAACGACAAGATGAATAAGGTTTTGCTGATCATACTGAGAAGTGAAACCAACGGTGGATCATGAGGGTAATTATCTGACTTCTATTAATACCTACTAATAATGCTAAAGGAGGCAAATGAAAGAAGTAAAATGGTCAAGACATACTTTAATTGTACTTCCATACTTTACCTGCAACTCAAAATCTACATCTTTCCAGGATTACATGTCTTCTACTTCCAGCTTATACTAGCCCAGTACCGTCAACCAGCTCCATCATTCAACACCTACTCCCGACAATTCACAGAAACGTGAAACGTCTTGATTACACTGTCTTTTAAAAACAAATAGATAATACGTTTATAACAACCTCCCATAATGCCACCCTTAGATCACACCTGCCAATACCTCTCCCACCGAAACCACTAGTCCCATTGTGTAACCCATCCCACCCAGTCCCCTTCACTCTCGTAAACTCCCACAAATCAAGCCAACAATGAACCACCGTAACAAATAGATTCCCAAAAAGACACCGCCTCTACACACCCACATCAATCCAATCACTGACCCACTCCACGGTTGCACCTTACTGTCTGAACTAATGGCTGCGAAAAACCGTTAGACCACTGTTCAACCCAACAACCACCACTTTCTTAACGACCCTCCAATCCCAAAACTGACATACTATAAATCTCAATAGATTTGCCTCCGGACGTTCCTTCAGAACGTCCCCAAAAATAACCTTTTCACTGACCACCGCCTGGTCTTGGCCAGTCCAGTCCAGCCATCCACCAACCACCCTCTTTTACCCCAAATCTCTTCAATTTCCATTTCTATAAATATACCTAGTCAGCCTCCAGCCTCAGTCCAACCTCAGGCTAGCCTCCATCTGGCCTCCTTCTAAAAACCTTATCTTTCACCGTCCCCCAGAGTCTAGTCTGTCCCAGGCCTGTATGTATCAGGACGGTATGTATCAGAAGCACGAAACTTAGGACAAGTGATCCAGATCCAAGAGTTCGTTGAAGCTATAAAACTGGTGTAAACACAGCCAGGGAAGATAAGTCAGAGGTTTCTGTGGCTGCAAACTACACAATTAACAGGTGGTGGTTTTTAGAGTGTTCTTTATTTTCTTGGTCAGCACCACGCGTCAGATCAACAGTCCCATTCCACATTCCACACCAGCTGCTGCTTTTTAGCCTGGAAACTACCTGACCAAATTACCTTTACTGGATCGTGATGGAATCGTTTCTCCAGTGGGACCCGGCCCAGGTGCTGTCTTACCTTAAGGGCCATATTGGCCATGATGTGAGTGCTACGTTTATTGATAACAACATAGATGGACTGCTTCTTCCGTATATCACCAGTGAACATCTACGTGAATTGGGCATTGAGCCGCTTGCAACGAGACTACGTGTAAAGAGAGCCATTTACGCTCTTATTTCGGGCACAGCGAATGGCAATAGTAGTTCCAGTGGCTCCATTGCTCCTCCTAGTGGCTCATCTAAACCTGGAACTCCAGGTATAACTTCGAATGCTAATACGCCAGGAGCAGCTTCTGGCTCTACCAGCTTCAGTTCTACTCCAACAACGTGCAATTTCGGCCATGCAGCGCTTGTCAATAACCAGGTTTCCTTGGAAGCACTATCGCTCTGCCAGATTCTCGTGCAAGACATCTTTAAACGGACGTCTCAGGCAATGGCGTCAGCGGGGCCACCTGCGCTGACCACTCCAGGTTCAGCAATTCTGAATCCGGGCTCGTACCTTGGCCTGGCCTCGGCTCTGGCTTCTTCTGATGATATCCGTAAACTTAACGAGAACTTTATCAAGCTTAAAGCGGACTTGAACCCGGTGATACGTTACATCAAGGACTCAAAACCGCTTCCTACGCCTACGCTAGACCCTGGGGTCGCTGCTCAACTGCCTACGCTGCTGGTGAATTCAAAGGATCATGAAAACGGCGCCAACACGTCAAATCCTGGTACGGTGGGGCCTAACCATGGGGAATCTCTTACTCCAGATATTATTGCCCCTCCTCATGCTCCAGGCGAAGGTATAACGCATTCTACATCAACCAATTCGGTAAATTCACACCTTCACGATTCTGTCTATGGCCAAAACCCTACCAGTCCTACTCAATCAAGACGTCTTTCGTCAGGATCTATTCTTTCCATGGGAGTGGGCAAAATCACCGATCTTGGAAAACTGTCGCTGTCGCATCGTCTTTTCAGCAAACCACGTTTGGTTGATTCTCGTCTGGCCGCTGGAAGCCCCGCCGACGAAAGACCGCTGCCTCGAGACCTTGACGAACTCAAACGCAACGAATCTGTACTCAAATCCAGAAGAAGCTCCTCGTCAGTCCTCAGCCCCACTAACCATTATTTCCACGGCAACGGCCCCACGCAGTCAGCTAATCACTCCAAAACTCTGCAGCTCAGTCTGCTGAACTTGCTGACATCGGCCCAAGCGCATGGAACACAGCCCCTCAAGCAGCTCAAGGCGTCTTCAGACGATACATGTCTAAAAGTACTCCAGCAGGCGATGAAGAGGCACCACATTCCGAGAAACCACTGGAGCAAGTACGTGTTGGTGATCTGCTACGGCGACAAGGAGAGAATCCTAAAGCTTACTGAGAAACCGGTCATCGTCTTTAAAGAACTCCAGGAACACGGCAAGAACCCTGCCATTATGCTTAGAGAATTGGCCCCTGCAGCGCCCGACGGAAGCGACAAGTACCAGGACTCGCGCATTGGAGACGATATCCCAGGAGGAACCCTCTAGCTGTCCCAAAGAAGCATCACGGCACGGACTGTTTCTTGAAGGCATAAACGCCGACCCCAACCTACTATGTATGATACCCACCAATCCCCCTCGTTTATTTTTGAACCATTGTCATATTAACATAACCAGGCTTATCTCCAGTGCCCCTGCACTGACTATTTGGCTTTACGTGTATGTTGCCTTTTTACTTCTTCCTGCTCTGTGTAAAGGAGGTCACCAGCGGTATGTTCCTTATGGATATTAACTACCGTTGGGGTCCAATGGTTGGTGACATCAGCCGCACCCATTGATCAAAAGCTACCCCAATTCCAGATGAACCAAACTAGAAAATACGAACCTCAGGTCGTCCGTATTCGGCTCCGTGGCCACGGGAAATGCCCGTATAATTGCATGTGGAGTATTTTCGTTTTTCGTTTGATACGGCTTTTTTTCGTTGACTAACCAGATTCCACTAGTGGCTTTGAAGTACCCTTTATTCGGCCTACTTTCCCCGTACCAACAAAGATAAGCCGAATCGTTTTTGCCGTGGGCTCCAATATCCATTTAACTTTTCCAGTGATCTGATTGGCCAGATTGACAATTTTTACCTGTCATCAAATTGTCTGTTTTCCATCTTCCATCTTCCTTTCCCATCCAGTCAGATCTGACTCTTTCTCGCTTTCTGACGCATTACTTGCATAAGCCGTACGTTACCGATAAGCCTCTCCAACCAGGTACCCCTTATGAGGAGCCACACAGATTACGAGATCCAGAATACGTGAAACGCTTCCATTTTTGGCTACAAGTCATTAGGTTTGGCTGGGAAATCTTGTATTTTGGCCCTTCTGTGCCGTTGGTGAATGTCCCTTTTTCGCAGCCACGTTGGGTCGGGCCGCACGGCTGACACTGACTATAAAAGATGGAAAATGCCTTGAATTGGAGCAGTATAGGCAAGAAAATGAAGTTTTTGTTCTGGATTGCGCCTGTTCTGGCAATCCTACTGCTTGATTTTACTGTCCAGCGTGGCAATTCGTTTGGCGATAAGAGCATCGACAAAAAGCCTTATGTGAAGAGAGATGGCTTCGAGATGACCGTGGAGAACGAACGGATGTTCTATGTGGCTCAATTGGAGATTGGCTCGCTGAAGGATAAAGTGGAGGTTTTGGTTGATACGGGTTCTTCTGATCTTTGGGTTCCTTCGAACAACTGCAGTGCAGATTCGCCTTATTCGTATAAGAAGAGAGCGAACAATAAGAGAAGAGTGTTGGATTACCTTCCTGCTACTGTAGGTGGGAAACCGGAGTCTGGAGCAAAGGGTGTGCTTCCTCACGGTCCAGGGAAAGTCAAGTCGGTGGTCAATAAAGTGGCTGTTCCTACGCAAACTGAAAGCGTATCGACAATGACAGAGAACGTCGATGGAGTGAATAAGTACTACTACACAACGTACTACTACACGTTGAATTATTACTCCTACTATACCAACTACTATACTTACGACTACTATTCGGATTATTACTCCGACTATTACTCGAGTTACGACGCCTACTACTCGGATTACTACTCCCGTTCGTACCGCCAGTACACCCTGTTGTTGTCTGACTATTACCTGAACTACTACCAGTCCTACTCGGATTATTACCTGTCTTACTATGGTCACTACTACCCATCGAGAAGTTATGCTGGTCGCTCGAGCGATATCTCGGCATGTACCCTGTACGGTACTTACAATACTGGCAAGTCCGATTCGTTCAAGAGAAACGACACTTTGGGTGAATTCGCTATCAACTATGGTGATGGTTCATATGCTTTTGGTGAGTACGTTGTTGACGATGTTTCTGTTGGAGGCCAGAAGGTCAAGGGTCTCAATTTCGCCGTTTGTGACGATACAGACTCTGAAGTTGGGGTTCTTGGTATTGGGCTTCCTGCCTTGGAAGCATCGTACTACTTGGGTGCCAAGGATAAATCTTACTCAAACCAGTATGAGAACCTTCCCATGCTCCTTAAGCTGCAAGGAGTGATCAAGAAGAACATGTACTCTGTTTCCTTGGGTAAGAACAATGCCCTGGAGGGAAGTGTGCTTTTTGGTGCTGTGGACCATTCAAAGTATACTGGATCTCTCCAGAAAGTGAAGTTTCTTAATCGTTACGAGAAGGTGGGCGAGAAGAACCCTGTCTACCTTGAAATTGCCATGGATTCCATTAGTGGTAAGAACCTTGCAGTGAACTACAGGACATCGGTTTTGCTTGATACTGGTGCTTCCAATAACTACTTGCCTCATGAGTATGTGAGCCGTATTGGTAAACTCTTGGGAGGCTCCGAATCTTCAAGCTACGGCTACTGGGAGGTCCCATGCAAGCACTTGGACCTGGACGAAGAGCTTACTTTCGATTTTAGTGGAATCAAGATCAAGATTCCTATCAAGAGTCTTATCATGGAGTCCACCTCTTCGTCTTACTGCTACTTGGGTATTTTCGAAGACGAAAAGACGCCTACTTTGGGTGACAGTTTCCTTCGTAATGTCTATGCCGTCTATGATTTGGAGAACTACGAAGTTGCCTTGGCACAGGCTGCTGATGGTTCTGATGATCTGGATATTGAAGAAGTGTCGAGTGATATTCCAAGTGCTCTGACTGCTCTGCGTTACGACTTCACGTCTATCAGTGCGATGTTTGAGTACACAGATTTGGGTTCAAGGTCCCGTTTGACGCTCTACACTGAGCTGTTCAACAACATCGCTCCTACAGCCACCCCTGAAAGTACTGACGACTCGTTCTCGCTTTTGACGAATTCAGACTTGTACACTTATTCTACCAGATCAAGACGTACCTACACTCCGCTTGCCTCACGAAACGCAACGTCTCTCTTCAATACCGCCGACCATGGTCCAACTGGAAGCATGTCTTCTGCCACCTTCACTCGTGGAGCTGACTCCACGCTGGAAAAAGGTGACGCCGCAATGCCTGGTGCTACGGGTCTACTTTATACGCTTCTTGCTATTCTTTCCGCCCTCCTGATTATTTGATTTTTTGCAAAAGATCTAGTTCGGTTTCTAATTAAAAATTGTTGTCTAGAAATATACTAATAGGCCAAGGTGGTGTAGTAAAGTAGGAATAATAGGAAATTAGTAGCACACATCCTCATCATGGTACTTATGCGTCCTCAATTACAAAGAGTGACTCTGTAAATACAAAATTTACAATGTGTCTATCTAAGGGCTTTTAAGTATTCAGCTTGAAATTTGTTAGTGTTTTAATGTTTAAGTGGCTCTATCATTTGGTGTTTGTAGGTTCATTTAATAAAGAATACTTCAGTAGAAGGCACTAAACAATTCCTTACTTCCAATATATAAAAGCTACACAAAATTTGTCAACAATGAATATTTGTGAAGAAAATTTAAGTTTCTTTGAATAAAGAATTTAATAACTAATACCTTCAATTCATCAGAGGTGTACTGCTTAAATGGTGATCTACAGACAGAAGAAGCATGAACAGTGCCAACTACACCAGCCCAAAACAACCAGCACACCAAAAAAACCACCGTCAAGTACCAAAAAGAATTCAATTTTTAACTACCATTTTCCATCAGCACTAGTTCATTACCCTCTACTTTCATTGGGTCCACCTCTATACCTACTTATACTACATACCACAGCTGCACCACATACCCCATCAATACAACCACCATACACCAATGACCCTCAATTACATGCAATATTAAACGCTTTCGCCACAACCTCTATAATTCTCCCTTCACTGCTAATTTTTCCCAGGCTGGAGCCTGGGATGGGAAGTGTTGGGTGGTGGTTATAGGGCTCCAGCCCTATCCACGTGACCCATCCCACCTAACAAACACACTGCACACTGAGAACCAGTCCGCGCATCTCTACCGCCCATCTACGCATCCCCCATAGTTAACAATCCAAAGACAGTGGAAAGTTTTTGTGGGTCACGTGCGTCACCGTTCCAGCGCTGTCGCTACGCTGCCTAAAATTTTTTGCAAAAAAAAAAAGTCCTCCCATTTCTCTCTCTCCCATATCTTCAAGACTCAGAGACAATGCCTCCAAAATTCGACCCTAGTGAAGTTAAGTTCTTGTACTTGAGAGCCGTCGGTGGTGAAATCGGTGCTTCCTCCGCTCTTGCCCCAAAGATCGGTCCTCTTGGTTTGTCCCCAAAGAAGGTTGGTGAGGACATTGCTAAGGCCACCAAGGACTTCAAGGGTATCAAGGTTACCGTTCAGTTGAGAATCCAGAACAGACAGGCCACCGCCTCTGTTGTTCCATCTGCCTCTTCTCTTGTCATTACTGCCTTGAAGGAGCCACCAAGAGACAGAAAGAAGGAGAAGAACGTTAAGCACAGTGGTAACATTCCTCTTGACCAGATCTTCGAGATTGCCAGACAGATGAGAGAGAAGTCTTTCGGTAAGACTTTGGCTTCTGTCACCAAGGAGATCTTGGGTACTGCCCAGTCTGTCGGCTGCCGTGTCGAGTACAAGAACCCCCACGACATCATTGAGGCCATTGACAATGGTGAGATCGATGTTCCAGAAAACTAGGTGTAATACATAGGGTAATATATTTTACGTCAAAGAATGACTGAAACGGCATCGATGCCGCTAGGCATCGGCCGTCTGGCGTCAGCCATCTGGCTTCGGGGCCGTCATTGAACCTTTCGGGTCCCGATGACCTGCTCTGGCTGATGTCCTAATGTAGTGAAAGATCTAATCAATGTATGAATAGCTAGATGAGTGAGCGTTAGGCTGATTAGGTGAGCTCAGGCTTTCCTTGTTTATCTTTCCAGATCAGGGCTTCATGTATACACTTAAAGAGTGTGGGTTGAAGTAAAACGACTCCAATGGGCTTAAGAGTGGTCTATCGACGTCCAAAGCTTTTCTTTTGGGCGTCTCGTGGCCGATGGAATCGTAAATAACGTAGTTTGGGTATTTAGCTTGCCTAGATCAAAGCCTGGAGGCTTGTTATGGTACATGAATGGTCCAGTGGGCATCAATATTGAGCGATGAAAGCTTCCTTCGATCAATACATTTAGAGGGCATTTAAAGAAAAAAAAAAAATAGCAAGCCTTTCCATAGTTAATATTATATTTGGAGCTCTTTGGCGGTGGTAACAGGGGCTGTCAATAAAAAAGGCTCCAAAGCATCAAATAACGTCATTCCCTAACTATACTGCTCAGTTTCCAGGTAAATTTACCTCCTTTCCTTCTAGAATGGTCAAAATTACAATGTGAAAAAATTTTACATTCAATCCATCTCTTTACTGGCCTCACTGCTCAGCACCAAGACAATAATAGTACCCACAGATGTCCAACCATCCAACAACCACACCTTCCTGAGACCTCCCAAGCTCTATAAAAGTCTACCTTGTGTCCGTTTGCAACCAAAATAAACCCCAAATTGCCTATACCATCTTATTTCTCTCCCTTGTCCATCCCATCCACTCAGTACCACCATACTTACCCATCCTCACCACCACATCCAGCCATTTCCACCCACCACGCTCCAAATCCACCTCCACTAACCCCAGACCTTCTTCATACCCTTCCCAATTCATTCCATAACTTTTCAGCCAATTCCCACCATCCAATCCCACTCTCCACCACCTTTCCTCACATTTTGCAACCATTTCAGTACCCGCATAAACCTGCCGTGGTAACCCTCCACCAAATCCACACCTTACCCCCAAAAACCCCAAAAAAAATACCAAAACCACGCCAAACCAACCCAAATACGTCCACCTACACCTTCCTCTAATTTCCCCCGGCCCTCCAAAACCTTCTTTACTTTACACTTCCTCGGCACCCCCAATTCCCCACAGTCTCTAGAGGGTCCCGCCTCACGTGCACGCCAAACCGTCCCGTCCCGCACCCATACTATTTACTGTTTACTCCAGATTAACAACTACACTTTCATTCGACATTGTCATATATCCAGACTGTTTGGTAGATTTTTCGATTTCTCGTTTCCATAGTTACCATTTGCCATGTCTGACCCAATCGGTATGTTTTTTGCTTTTGATATCTTATCCAGTCACTAACTCCAGATCGTGTGTTTGTCAAGGCAATTACCACCATCAGAGCTCTATCTTCACGTTCCAACTATGGCACGTTGCCCAGGCCGCCAGCAGAGAACCGTGTGAAGCTTTATGGGCTTTATAAGCAGGCCACAGAGGGTAATGTGGTGGGAATTATGGCCAGACCGCAGGGCCATACGCTTGAAGACGAGGGCGCCAAAAAGAAGTGGGACGCCTGGAAGAGAGAGGAAGGGCTTTCACGTACAGAGGCCAAGAGGCAGTATATTCTGTACCTTATTGAAACGATGAGAGTTTATGCGAGCGGCACTTCGGAGGCCAGAGAGTTGCTAGGTGAATTGGAGTACCTCTGGGACCAAATCAAGGATGTGGAGTTTTCCGACGAGGAGGACCCGGCTGCTGCCCGTCGTTTCCAGAGCCCGTTTGCTTCTCAGCCAGGGTACGAGCCGGTGAATAGGTTTGTTTCGAAACTGCCGGATTTGGATCAGTCAGAAAGGCTCTCCACGGGAACCCCGTGGCCTATTGGCAGCACATACCTGGCGCTGGTATCGAACCAGCAGTACCGTAATAACTTGGAGCAGATTTACTCCCATCTGACACGAAACACACAGCTCCTGTTGAACGAGTACGTGCAGCAACAACGTAATAAAGGTGCTCAATCCGTATACCTGATGTCGGGCCGCCGAGGTCTCACCAATGCAGGCTCAGTGGCTGGTACCAGTCGACCCGATGGAGGCAAAGTGCCAGAAGCAACGCTTGAAGACTTCCGCAACTGGCAAGGCGAGATCAACAGTATTGTGAATAAACTCTCAAAAGAGTTCATAGGCCGCAAGAATAGCGGCAGAAGTGCCTACTCTCTGTCGGAGCTGGAGCTGGCTCTGGAGCTGGAACTCGATCCAAGGGAAAGACTCAAGAAGAGAGTAAAGCATGTGCTTCGGATCGTCGGTATCCAGGCGTTGCATTTCTTGAAGAACCTCTCTATCAGCGTGGTGGCGCTTCTCTTCCTTGTGTGGTGTATCAAGCGTAACGTGAAGGTTGAGCTGACGTTAGTGAAGCAGCAGCTTGACTCTACGCGTCGTAAGAAGGAGCTTGTGGTGAACATGATCGTCAACACTGACGAGAACAAATGGTTTGTACGCATGCTCTCGTTCATCAACAGCTTTGTGGGCTTCGTCTAGCCATCCCGTCCCGTCCCTGTTGTGCTGTCCATAGACTATATAAAGCATTATGAGCAATGAAGAAACCAGAAGACTGTTGTAAGTCTAGGCAGGCGAGATGTTGGTGAGCCTTCAGAGGGACCAAGGCTGTTCCAAACAAGTGACCATTCCAACGACCTCAATTGCGAAACTTAGCAAGTCTATCATTTCCTGAATGTTTTTTCTCGACACATAGCCATCAGTATCAAAATATGGGACATGACAGTATGGGCCATATGGGCAGCTCTACACGCGGAATCCAAGGGAACCATCACTACCCGCCATTCGAAGAAGCGTAATTTTCCAATATAATTTCAAAACCCTTTCAGCTTCATAAAATTGAAATCTCCCTTTTTTATATCAATTTCCATGAATTACACTTCAAACCACTCCTCTCCATCTATTCCATAGTGCACCCAAAGCGTACCGCTCCATAGTTAAGCGCGATGAGACCACCACCCCAAACGTTTCCACCATCTGCCCAAAGCTCCACCCAAAACAACCAAACACTAGATTCTCTATCAAATTCCAACCTTCAAAATTAACTCACCCTTCCCTTACAGTCCAAAACTGCTTGGATTTACGGTCCCTCCAAATCTGTCCACGTGACCTGGGTGCAAAAATTCGTAGATGGCATCGAGCACTCATGCACACCCATCACCTAGATTTCATACCAAAACCACCTACGCCCTTTCATCACCACTTCATCATGGATATCCACAGGTGCCGATTTGTGGATTACACGCCTCACAGTGTCACGGCACTTGCGTTTTCCCATGCCCTGGCTGCAACTGCACACCCTCCCAAGGGCCTTCGTATGGCTCTAGGAAGAGCCAATGGTGATATTGAAATATGGTCTCCAAGAGCCAACTGGACCCATGAGTTGACGCTACCGGGCGCACGTGGCCGTACAGTTGAGGGACTCGTTTGGGCATCTCCAAAAGGCTCGGGCCAGCCTCCTAGACTTTTTTCGATTGGTGGTAGTACTTACATCACTGAATGGGACCTTCGTACGCTTCGGCCCAAGACCAACTACGACTGCAATGCCGGTGTGATTTGGTGTATTGATGCTAACGAGACTGGCGATAAGTTGGCAGTTGGCTGTGACGACGGAAGCGTTGTTCTTGTTGATATCTCTGGAGGCCCTGGTGTGATGGAGCACTCTATGATATGCCAGAGACAGGATCAGAGAGTTTTGGGACTTGCGTTTTACGGGAAGAATATGGTAGTTGCAGGCTGTGCTGATGCTCTGGTTCGTTGTTGGCAGGTTGCTCTGGATAACGACGAGTCTAGTGACAAGAATGGCCGTATTGTGGGTACCATGAAGGTAGACCGCAGTAAGACTGAATCTACGCTTGTGTGGACCGTCTTGGCTTTCCCTGAGCGTGGCCAATTTGTTACTGGTGACAGTACCGGTTCTATCAAGGTATGGGATGCAAAGAACTTTACCATGGTGCTGAATTTCAATGCTCACGAGGCCGATGTGCTTTGTTTGACCAGAAACGCTGTTGGTGATAAGTTCTTTTCTGCTGGTATCGACAGAAAGATCCACCATTTCACCTGTCTCAGACCACGCGCCGGTCCTGGCGAAGCCAAGAAGCAAAAGGCTCGTTGGATCGATAACGGCAGTAGACTTATGCATACCAACGATGTCAGAGCGATGGCCATTTACGAAAGTAAGAGCTTTGGTGTGATCGTCAGTGGAGGTGTTGAGCGTTCATTCATCGTTCAAGAGACCGAACTGTTCGAAACTGGTCCCTTCAAAAAGATCCTCATGGACCAACAAGTATCCAACATCCATGTCCATCCTCAGAGCCGTCTTGTGGCCCTCTTCCAAGACCAAACCGTCAAGGTCTGGGGATTGGCTGATCACAGACACAAGCTTTTGGCCAAGCTCACGTTGGCTGATGACGATAACATTACCAGTATTAGCATAGGCGAGGAGTTCGAGGCTGGCAAGCAGTACTTGGCTGTGGCCACCATTAACTCTGTCAAATTGTTCGTTCTAGAGCACCAGAACTCGAAAATGGCAGTGGCAAAGATTCGTGACGACGAGTTCGAGGAAGCTGTTGCCGGCGGTAAGAAATTATGGGTTTACAAAGGCAACAAGCTTCTCGTGTTGACGCCAGAAAACGAGTTCTACAAGTTTAACATTACAGATAAAAAAATCAGTCTTGTCGATGAAGTCGACAGCATCGACGACGGAACCGAAACCGCCGTCCAAAAGAGCGGTATCGACTACTACAACAGTGTTCGCTGTGTTTCCATTGCCCCAGACCACTCCAAGATTGTCGTGGCCAGATTTAATGACGCTGTGGAGGTTCTTCCTCTTCAAGGTAAGCAAAAGGCTTTCCTTTTAACCAAACCATCTACATCTGTTCATCTCATGGACGTTACCGCAGACAATACGGTAGTTGTGATGACGCAAGAAAATAGAATCTACGAATTCCTTCTCAAACTGGGCGGCAGACTTTTGACCGAATGGTCTGAGAAGAATTCAGAGAATGTGCCACTGGCTCTTCTCAAACAAGCACAAAAGCCCATGGGTCTTTTCGTCAGCGATAAGAGAGTATGGGTTTACGGCAGCACATGGATGGCTTTTGTTGATATGTCAAAGAACATGAGCCACTCGCGTGCTTCCCGTGGGTCCCTCAAGAGAGGTCGTAACGGTCTCAGTATCAATGATGAAGAGGATGTCAGTGAACAAATAGTCAAGGAGTTCGTGAAGAACGACGAGGAGGAAGATGACCAGATGGTCGATGGAGACGAAGACAGCAAGGACAAACCTGCTTTCTGGATAACACAAAAGTATAGACCCATTCTCAAGGTCGCTGCTGTGCAGCAGGACTTGTTGGTGGTGGAGAGAGACGCATTTGCATTGCCCCAGGCGCTGGCCTTCGATGTGCCTGTGTACCGTGTGTAATAGATAGGAAAACTAGCATAGAGTATACTACACGGGAATGATGTAGACATGAGTTTCTTGGTCGTAGATAGTACACATTTATTCGTCGTAATTGATTTCAGGGACGATTCTGGCAGCCTGGAAGAAAACACGAGCAGCGGCACCGAGACCCATTAAACATTTCTGGGGCTTACCGTTATCGGAGTCCTCGCCCTTAAGACTCACATCCTTCTTGCCGCCAAACTCTTCCTGGTAGAGTTCTGCCTTTTCAGGGTAAGTTCTATTTGGCTCGAAACTCTGGATGTACAATCCATCTTCAGGGTCCTTGGCGTACTTGTAGTACATCAAGATGTTACGAAGCACCTCGTCGTGAATTTGCTTTGGCAAGCCTTCAGGAGCATCACTACCGACGTACAACAAGTAGTCGGCAAGACCCTCAATCAACAATTGCGTCCAGTAGTTAGGATCACGCCAGTAACGGAGCTCGTTGGGGTAATCTCTGTCATAGAAAGGCACGTTAGGGTTGATAGCAGCCTTAGCCAAGTCATCGGCAATGGTCTTCCATTTCTCATCCTTGGTAATATGCCACAAGTGGGCAGCACAGGACAAGGTAGTACCGGTGTTATAGGTAAGTTTACCGTTTTCAAACTTCATGCCATCTGGCTGGACACCATCGATAATACACTTATCGCCCTTATCCTGAAGGGTATCAATCTGCCACTGCGTGCATTTGGCTGCAAAATCCACATACGTCTTGGCCTCATCAGGAATAAACTTGGAAATCTGAAGACAAGCCTTAGCCACTTCAGCGGTAGTACAAGCATTGACATATGTCTTTGAAACGTGCCATTTCACGCCTCCAATCTTTGGATGCCAGCCTCCCATAAGGAACCTGGTCAATTCACGTCCCTGGTCCAAGAAACGTTTATCGCCAGTAACCTCATAGGCAGTAAGCATTGCACTGGCAACCTGAGCGTCATCATCATAGTACACATCGTTATCGTTACCACTATTCTCAGCAGCAGAGTAGCCCTTGGTATGGTGGTTCTTGTAACGCTGGAAAGTGTCAATGGCAGGCCCGATAAGAGGCGTCAACTCAGGGTAGATTCTTGCACCGTCCACAATAGCCTGAGCAGCGACAGAAACCGCCCAAACCACAAAAGTGTCATTATTATAACACCCCAGGCACTTCTTAGGAGCCTTAAACTTCCTCTCGTTAGGGTTATAGAAGTAAAGCCACATGCCTCTGGCAATAGCGTAACCCTCCAAATTAGGATTTGTGAGCGTCATGATAGTAAGTACACAAAAGACGTGAGGATGTAGCGAAGATCGAAAGTTCTCTACGTCAGATTGATCTGGTTATCTGGGCAGGCGGCTCTTATATAGTTGCTGCGGGAGGTTGCTATCATGAGAAGGGCCCATTGTGCAGGGAGCATAGCCGGGAACGACGAAAGGACGGTTATTGGGGACTTGGAGGTTTGGGAAATGGCTGGTAATTTGGGTGGATGGTGTGGGCGTGGTTGTTTATGGTTTGGCTTTTTTTGTTTTCGATTATCGTTGAAACCTGATTTTTGGTGATGGTGTTGGAGAAGTGTCAGATCGCACTAATGGCTGCAAAACGGCACATTGGAGTATTATTAGGAACAATCTGGGAAGATGGATGGTAGAGAATTTGGATAAATGGGGAAGAAGGAGGAAGAAGGAGGTGGTGGTTTAGAGAGTGTTTGGGGATTTGGGAAGTGAAAAAATCAACCAAATATGTTAAGTTTTGGTTGTTCTGGATGGGTAGAAGCACCAAATGGTACTACTATAGCCAATGGAAGTGGCCATACAAAAGAGCGGTTTACGAAAGGAGGTTTTTTAAACCCAATTGACTCCTTTTACTGGTGGAATTGGATCATCTCTAATATAAATAGGAGGCGAAGACCACGGCGTTTTGTCCCTTCCACTCTCTTGGCAAATGCACCAACCCAACGTGGGCCATAGAATTCAATATGCTTTCATCAACCAATGGCTTATGCCATTGAGTGACACATCTAATTGATATAGAAGATTCATTGTCTCTACCTCATTTTGGGCCGTTTTGTGTCACACTTCTATCAGCACGACAAATCTGTCAATTGCTGTAAGGTTAGCAATGGTGCAGAAGAACAGGAAGAACTCTACTAAACAGCAAGAGAAGACGAAATTAGGCTTTTCAGACGTTTCCTTGACATCCTCGAAAATGGTCCAAATGTATCTTCGTATCTTTACGTCACTGGTATCAATGTGCATGCTTTATTGTTCAGACAATGCCTGGTCTACCCATACTGCAAAAGATCTATGTTGTATTATTTCTTGAGTTTATCGAATTATTAATTACTATGCAAACGATACGGACTCGACGTTTACTTAGAGTCCAATGGCTTTCTCACAACGTACAACATCATTGGAGTAAACAACTTCTGCTCACCACCCTTAACCAAGTTAATGGCAGCATCCTCCAAGGCACCAGTGACCTGTCTGGAGCCCTTTGGAGCGATACCAAGCTTTTCCATCAAGCCAACGAGCTCGGTGGTGACGCTTCTACCGAAACGAGAGGTTCTGAAAATGGTAAAGTAGTCACCCAAGCTCTGGGCATACTTGAACTGACCAGCCAATGGGTAGTACCATGGGATCTCGTCATCAACGTCAGAGCAGTCTCTCTGGTACTCAACCTCGAAACCAACGTTCTTAAGGGCCTGCTCGGCAACATCTCTCTTGTACATCTTTGGGATACCGTCACCAACCTCGATACCGTAGGCAATCTTACGGTGCTCCTCGTTGGTCTCGTCGTAGTTGTCGGTCATGACCCACTCGTAGACACCGAAAACTCCGCCTGGCTTCAAGACCTTGTAGATTTCAGAGTAGACACCCTCCAAGACTGGAGCGTGGACAGTGGCCTCAATGGCGTACACAGCGTCGAAAGACTCTGGCTCAAAGTCCATCTGCATGAAGTCACCCTTGACGTAAGACAACTTGTGGTCCATCTTGTACTTCTTGGCGTAGTGGTTGGCTCTCTCAATCTGGTAGTCGTTGTTGTTCAAACCAACAATGGTACAGTCAGTGAATCTGCAGATTTCTCTACCTGGACCACCGACACCACAGCCGACATCCAAAACCTTCATGTTCTCATCAAGGTTCATCTTGTGGGCCAAGTAGTGCTCGTGTCTGGCAGTGGCCTGTCTGAAAGCTTCACCCTTGTAGTAACGAGAGAAGTGGAACGACGAACCCCAACCGTACTCGTAGAAGTCAGTGACCAAGTTGTAGTAGTGGGAAGTCAACTGGGAGTAGTCACCCAATCTCTTCTTCTCGTCGTCCTCGGTGACACCACCGTCCCAGTGCTTGAAGTAACCGTTGTTGGCCACATCCGAGGCATCCTTAGACTTGGACATAAGAGCACCCAAACCAGTCTTCTGGTAAGAAGTACCGTGCAAAGCCTTAGCAAACTCCTGGTCTCTCTCGTGGTTCTTTTCAGCCAATGGAACAGACATTTTTGTTAATGGGTTATTAGTGTTGAAACTGTAGTGAAGCAAAAATGCTGGAGTGTGAAATTCTCTCGACTGGCTGGTGCGTTTATATAAACGCGCATGGTAGCTTTTTTTTTTTTTTCTTTCTTTTGGCGTCGCGAAAAAATAACGAACTGTCTCGTACAACTCGTTTAGACGCATCTCGTATACTATGCGACACATTCCAGTACCGCCTTGCCACGAGTGTCTTTGAGACACTTTTAGGGTTTCTGTTTCTGGACAATTTTCTGGCTTTTCCGATAAGATCTGAACAGCAGTAGCTAGAGTCCTGCAGCGTGGCACATGATCGACGTGGCCCTCTTCTGGACCAGCACTTTGGTGTTTCTGGGGAAACACTAAGTAGGTCCACTTAATATTTTGCACCCAAATCTGCCAATTTTCCATCCAGTAACATCATCTCTTATTCTCTGATTTCATAATCCACGTTATCTTCTTCGTCGAGCAACTGATCAATTTCAGCAAGCTCTTTTTCTTGGGCCTTGGTTTTTTCAGCCTCACCTTCGTTGTCCTCTTCTTCCTCGTTGTCGTCACTTGCAGATGCTCGCTCTCGTTCATCTGGACCTTGGTCTCGTTTATCGGCATTATCATCAGTTTCACCTTCGGCTGCCGGGACCTCCCTGGAACCGGTATTTTCTTGATAATAAGCTTCGTGGGATACTGAAGGGCTGCGTGATTTCGTGATTGGCGCCCTAGCCCTTTCCTCAGCCTCGTCTGCTTCAGCTCCTTCTACGAGCTCATCAACGGTAGCCCGGAATTTTTCAAAGGCTCTCTCTGTAGGTGCGTCAAGAACAAATTCTGGATCGTTCTTATTGGCTTCGAGTTTGTCTTTAGTATCGCTGATAGCCTCTTTTAAGCCTCTAAGAAGTGGAGCACCGATCTCCTTATGCAAACACAATTTCGACAAGTTGCTGATAATAAGCTTCTTGATGGCCTTGGGCGAGTCCTGCTCCACAATCTCCAAGAACTTCATCAGTTGCCAGAGATGTGCGGCGCTCTTCTTGTAGTCGTCGTCGCTGATGTTCACGATTTCTCGTGGATCACTCCAGTAGATGTATTGTTGGAGAACTGTGCTAGGAGTCATTCCTTTCTCGAACGTGTTGAACTTGCTGTTGATGCTGAACATTTCGTAGAAACAGTCTCCACTTACACTGCTCACCTTAGCTTGATGCTTTGGATGACTGAACGAGTACACTGGCACGCAAAAAGCCAAAATCTGCTTGAGCTCTTCGTTCTGTGAATTGAGAGGATGAAAGTAGGCAATGAGAAGAGCACGCAAAAGTGATCCTTCGTAGTCCATTTCCTCTTCGTCTTCAGCAACCTCGTCCTTTCCAAAATCTTCCATCAAGTCTGCAAGGAAAAGTTTACACAATCCTTCTGCAACTACGGCCTGGACTCTTGGATGGTCAAACTCTCTCAACATTGTGTGGAAAAGTCTGGCAAGTGAAAGCGAATCGACTGCAAATTCGGAATCTCCACCAAGAATTCCGGCGCCGTGCGTAGAAAGAAGGTCAAACACAACTTGAATAGCCAAGATTCTCAATTCTTCATCAGCACTCTTTGAAGCATACTGACCGAATATTCTCAAGTTCTTCAAGGTAAGATAGTTGTCAAGCAACGATACCAAGCCCAAGCACCTAACACCAAATCTCTTGACTTCCCAGTTGGCGCTACACATTGCTGGACGGATCAATGTCTCAATAAGCGAGTCAAACTGATGGGTACTCGAGACAGAGTCTTCCAAAAGCTCGAGGTAATGTTGAAGAACCATCAAACATTGAATAAGTAGATCTTCTGAGGGAAGCGAGGGTGCCACTTTTCTTCTTTTGTTTGGTTCCTCTGTAGACTGCAGTTCGCTCTCGTATTCTTCCTCTTCTGCTGCACCATCGTCCTCGCCAAAAAGTGAAGCTGCAGAAACGAACGTCTGGTCATTTTCTTCCATTCCAGAGTCACGGATGTCTGTAATAATCTCAATGCACAAGTTGGAGAAATAACTTTCATCATTGGAAAGTTGGCGAAGAATCTGAACACTCAATACGATAAGTTTATCTGGAAGATTATCATTAGCCAAAGTTTGCGAGATCAATGGCTGCAATTTTCTGGTACCGGCAATATCAGCAAAATCACTCCGCTTAATGACGAGAAGCAATTGCTCTATAATAAATTCCAAATGCTTCATCTGTTCACCAAAAGATCTGTATTTTCTTGGAATGTCGCTTGCTGCTTCATAGTAGGTCTCTCTTTCGTCCTCAAGATATTGCATGGCTTTGGCGTTCTTTTTGAAAGTATCTTCGTCCTTTGTGAGGTATTCTTGTACCTTTACGAGACGTTTTTTGAGATCTTCAAGTTCCTGGGTGGACTCCTTTACCGTCGCTTTATATTCGGTGATCTTCTCATTGATCGAGGTTGTTGTTGCGCCGGCCTTCTGGAGGTCCGCCTTCTTGGATGCTAAATGCGTCAAGTCCAGTTTTCTTTTCTTGATAGTCTCGGTCAAAGTCTCAATGTGACTTTGTCCCTGGGACATAGCTTTTTCATTTTTTGATATTCTGCGCTGAAGGTCAAGATGATCTGCTTCCTTCTCTAGAATATGCTGATTGAAGCGAGCCATTTTTTTGGTGAAATTAGTGTACTCGTCAAGAAGCTCTCTGTCACTTTCGATAAGTCTCATGCGTAGCTTTAAGTAGTCGCTTAAATAAGAAGCTAAGACAGTCAATTCTGGTAGACTCTTGTCGAGCTTATTATGGAGATTATGGGCGTGGCAGTAGTCGAGGAAAGTCCTGATATAGAAGGCCCTTTCAGAGTCGAGCTCTCGCCATTGCTGTTCTGTGAACTCGACCTTATCTAATGAGTCCAGATGCTTGTCAAAGTATTCTATCATAGCTGGCTCGGCCGCATCGCTATCGACCACATTAAGTCGTTCAAGAAGTCCCAATATCTTCTCGTCGGCCATATTGAGCCATGTCTTAGTGAACATGTTCACAGCCGCCTGTTTGACAGAAACTTCACGATCGTGAAGACCCCATTTAAGAAGACTCTGGCGCAATTCCACGTCAACTTCCTTTAAACTGCCAATTTCCAGAAACACGCGTCCGTAGACGAGACGTCTATTAATGGCATTCGTATCTCTAGCTCTTCGAAGCACTTCTGGGATGGTGTACCTATTTTTCGTTACTGTAAGCATAGCAGCACGACGCACTTCAGGAGATTCATCATGGTTCATGGCGGCAACAATGGCTCTAACCGCATGGTTTGGTTTCTGGTCGCCATTCTGATCGTGTAGCTGGAACATAGACATCGCCACGACCGCCTGGAGCCTCACAATGTGCTCCTTATCACGAAGACCACGGCGTAGCGTATACTCAAGCGCCTTATAAAGATCCTCGTCTATCTCAGGCACCGTATGGACCAAGTAGGCCAAGAACTGGGTAATTCTATACCTGACGTCCTTAAACTTCGACTCCGTACCTCGAAGCAAGTGCCGTAATAGAAACTCAACGAAAACCGTAGGCACTCCATCTTCATCATCAGCAGACCTCGAAGGCGTCTCCCCCTCGTCCTCAATCATCTTCTTAACAAACACAGTAACGAACTTGGCAATACGGTCTGCCGCCGGCACGCCCTTCCGTACCTTCAACACCTTCAGAACAAGCTTTGTGAAATGAAAGTTAAAGCTCTCCTCATAGTCAAGCGCAATGGCTCTGGTCTGGATGTTCCTAAGCACCACTGCAAGTTTCCTATGACCAGAAAGGGTCATCTGGGCATCCTGGAAAACATGAGACATGGACGTTTCGATTTCCGTCAACGACTTCATCTGCGTGACGCTTTTAAGCGTCGGCCTTGCTTTGTCCATGGAAAAAGAAGCAAGTAGGTGTGAAGCTTCAACTGGTGTGTTTTGATGAGATCAAGTATGCGTAAACACAGCGCGCCTTGATGCGTAGAGTCGAGGAAGACGTGAGAGGGAGAGGAAGAGGAAGAGAAAGAGGATGGAAGGGAGGGAGGCAAGGGAAAATAATAAATATTGATTGATAATTGGTTTTGGTTTCTTGTTTTCGTTTCGGTTCTTCATGTATTACTTCGTTGGTTTTTTGTGGAAATTGGTGGTTCTTGGGGATAGTATGGCTAGAGGAATGGCTGCGAAAAATGGACTAACTATGGGGAAGACTGGCAAGTGGTGGTCTTCAGTCAAAAGTGGTGGTATTCAGTCAAAACTGCTCAGTATAGGGCTAAGTCGTTAAGTTATGATTCTAGATATTGGATGAGGCTTGAAAACTGTTCCTTTGGTCATGAAGCTTGCATGACTTGATTGACTTCTAAGTACTGGTTATAGTAAGGCTCAGTGGACATGTATAGCAGAGCAATGCCAATGGTAATCAGAGTAAGAATTAGGCTAAGTTGATTTCTTGAAAGTATGATGATATTATTCTTAATTTATTTGAACCCGGAGATATTAAGATTGGAAGAGGAACTGGCTGTTCTCATGGAGTACTAACTGGTATACTGGTAGATGGTCAAAGGATGTATAGTACAACTCTTCTTAGACATTTTGAGCTTCTTTTGAAACAAACCTTTTATTTTAAGTATCCGTAATTGCTGCTAACACTTCAAGCTTAATAAGTTTACAATTTAATGGGAACTGTAATACCAGCTCCACATAGATCTCTTTGATGGTTGCAAAAAGCGTGAAAACCAGTGCTTCAAGAAACGCCCATTACTCCAACTCCAAAAAAATAAAGCCCTTTCATAAAACACCCAAAATCCTTCAATTTCAATGGTTTATTTCCTCCTGGGATGCAAAAAAATGAGTGGTACGGGAATCGAACCCATGTCTGCTGCTTGGAAGGCAGCAATGCTAACCATTACACCAACCACCCTATTACATTTAATTTCAAAATAGCGTTTAACATAACACCTTTTTTGCACTTTCCTCAGATATTTATATTTTCAAATCCACCATATTTTACCGTATACTTTAATTAGTATTCATGAGGAATATCAGCAAAAAATAACGAAATTTGAGCCCAAAAACGCCGTTTTAAGTTTTCTTACATCGCGCACTTATAAAAATTTCAGACCAAAGTTACTTATCAGCTATGGATCTCCCCACAGGTATGTGAAAACCCACCTTAAACCACTTCTTTCCTTGAATCCTCCAACTAACAACCAGACTCGATCTACGTGGATGTCACTGACAAGTTCTTCCGGGCTGTGGACGCAATGGCGCCCGGAAACGTCGTCGCTTCTCCATACTTCGATATGCTAGAAGGGTCCAGAGCCATTGAGATGGGCAACCGCCGTCTAGATACGGGACTCATTGCGTTGGATACTGACGATATCATGTTTGATGCTTCGGCTGCTCAGACGGTGGCTGAGGTGGCAGGGTCGATGAACCATATCACCCGACTGCTCATGCTGTGGTTCCTGGGTCTGTCGTTACCGGTTACATTGCTTAGTAACCGCTATGTTTTGGACTTGTTGCAGAGCTACCAGCGTAATAACGGCCAATTTGTTAAAACGAGTTTGGTCAATCATAGACTTCATAAGGAATCTCTTCCTGAAGAGACTCTGTACCACGCATTGTTGGTGAACAAGGTGCTTAGAGCGTTTGTGGCTGGTATTTGCAAGTTTTCCGGCCAGGTTAGAGAAGTGGCGTTGAATGTTTTGTATGATGAAGAGGACTTGACCACGAGGAATATGGATCTCGATTTGCTTTCTGCTACAGAATCAAAGGTGATATTGGGAACCATCAATGAAGCTAAGGAATGGCTTGAAAACCAAGAGGAAGAAACCCCAGAGATACTTATAGACTTCCTCTCTTTGGCTGCATCCTTGGTGTCCATGTGTGACATTGTTCGCTCTTCTATAACCTTGTTTAAGCCCAAGGAGCCACTTTCATACCCATGCCTCGACGAGATCAAGACTCTCGCTTTAAAGTTCCAGAAAAAGGATCTTGGTTTGGGCCCAGAAAATTCTGTTTCCAAGTTCGTGCAAGCAGACTGTAACAATAAGCATATTCCTTATGAGAACTTCCTTCTCGAGAGAGAACAAGCCTATGGCGATTTGCATAATATGGTGGCTGAAATCGAAGCATTCGTTACTGCTTTTTCAAAATTCGAAAACGTAAGACAGCTTGAATCTTACCTTCGCTACACGATGGCTCCACGCATGACCGCTGACTACAGTGCTGTGTCCCGTGGTTTCTACCAATTGTTCTTTATTAGAGACGACAAGTCAATTGCAGGCCTGGAAGAGTCTGTCGGTTCTATTGCTATCAGACTCATGGAGAGCTTGTGCTGCGCCGGTACTTCTGTTCTAGATACCGTGTCGTGGAATATTCCTGAGGAAGATCCAGTCAGGAAAGAAACCATGCATAGAGATGCTCTCAGTAAAGTTGGAGCTCTCCTCGATGACATAGAAAACGCCATGTATAAGTTCTTGTCGAATTACGGCAACAATAAGTGCAGACAAAGGCAGTTTGATAGTCAGACTATAGTGTTATGGGACACATTACAGTTTAATGCTGAGAACATTGAGTTCCATCTTTACTCAAAGTACTCTATTGGCGATAAAATGGCACCGGACTCTCTGGATCCAGCACTTCCCATTACTGCATTTGCATTTCACACCAAGCTTCACATCATGCTTCAGGCTGTCTTGAGTGGTTTTGAACTTAACTTGTACAAGCCTTTCGAGGCATCGCAGATGTACTGGTACGCATCGTACTTGGCAGAGAATGACCATGCCAATGTGTCTATCAGAGTGAAGCAAATTAATAAAGGTAAGCTAGCATCTGCTCTCAGCTTAGCTAAAAAGGTGAAAAAGGCAAAGGCTGGTCCTAAGAAAGAAGAGTTGAAAAGGTTGCATAGAGCCTTAAACGAAACTGCCGTTCCTCAAGTGCAAAAGAACTTGCAATACATTGAGCAGTACTTGGAGCCATCCATCTTGGCTACGCAGAACCTTTGTCTTTCCATTTCCCAAATCATGCTCTTGTACCAGCTGTTGGGAGCCGATTTGAGCAAGCCGCCCGCTATAGTGGACGACGAGCACTTGTATAATCTCAGAATGAAGCCCTGGAGGTCGGTAGAAGTTCCGCCTTGTCCCAGCTTCAAAGAGTTTCAGGATGCCACGGAGTTTTATGCCAACTTCTCGAAGCTTGGTCTAGAATTGAGAAAGAAAAAGTTTACTGACATTATCGGCACGCTTAAACAGAAGCTTACTGAAGCGCTGCAGATCTTTGGTGGTATTACAGACAGCTTCAAGAATGAAGAACAGCTGGGAGCATTCTTTAAAGGAGGAGAGGCCAATGCAAAGCAGTGGTTTGAGAAACTCAAGAAGACGGCTGTAGCTTACCAAGTGGAGCTCGGCACGTTGTTACGAATTGTACAACAGGACGGAAAGGGAGAAAACTATAAAGTGGAGGTATCTTCCACGTACCATGCGTTCTTCCCTATTTATTCGTTAAAAGAGAAGAAGCAGAAATAAGGCTAGAGAATGTTTGCCGAGAAGTGGAGTATTCGAAGCGGGCTACAACGGACATTACCAGGGTAAGAAGCGATACCGAGACCGCTGCAGGGGCCATCAAATCAGATAAGAAGCCCGAGTGAAAACAAAGACGAGGTAGTGGGTCGATTTTGCCGTTAGCCCCATTTGTACATGTCTGCGAGAAGCCAATGGAGGCTGGCGGTAGCACTATTCATTGTGTATTCCAAGCCTCACCGGCAAGTCCGAGTCCGACCACCGAAGGAGGGAGGGAGAGGAGGAAGTTGAAGGGAGAAGAAGAGTATAAAGCATCTTATTGATATACTTCTTTTCATCCACTTATTTTTTTTTTTTTATGAAAAAAAAAAAAAAGCCAAACTCCCTGGCCCATCCCTGTCAATCCTCGTACATTGACAGGCAGCTGCGTCTCCCCAAATAACCCACAGTCAATTGTGAGTCATTTTCCCCCCCTTGTCATTTTTTTTCGCCTCCCGTTCCTCAGCCTTCCATGTCTTCCATATCTAAGACCTGGCCTGCACCGCATCCAGCTCCCATTGCAGCCGTCCCCAGCCCCATTCTGGAGCGGTCTATAGTAGTCCTGGTGGATTTGTCAGCAGTTGCAACTGTCCGAGCGCGGGAAAACATGCACCAAGCAGTTCGGTAAAAAAAAGGCTCAAACGAGGGGTGGTTAGGAATTGAGGGATAAAAAAATATGAGAGGCAAACGATATTGGCCAATCAGGTCGAGGCTTTGGCGACTTCTTGGCCTAGGCTTTTCTTTTGGTCCCTAAAGTTTATAGTGTTGTTTGGCTGCGGTAATTCTTTTAGTGGTGGTGTCTGGGAGTGCACAGCGCCAACGGCCGGCCCCCACGAAAAGGTGAATGGAAGAGAGGGAGAAAAAAAAGCAATTACCTCATGGTGCCACTACTTAAAGCCCGTGACATCCGCATTTCAAGACATTCCTAGCCGTGCCATACTAGTACCCTTTTCTGTAAAGACGGTCAAACCTTGGAGTGGCCGTGATTCCCATTTTTTAACCAGTTTAGCCACTTTTCACTTATTTGCTTCCTGTTCCACTTTTTGCCTCCCACGTTTACCCCTATACTTTTGCAATGACCGATTCTAAAAGAGAACATCCAGATTTCGCCGACCCCCCGGCTCTTGCTCATGACGACAAGAAAGCCCATGTCAAGCCAGGTAGAAAGTTTTCCAACACAGAACCAAAGTCCAAGAGAACCGCTCAGAATAGAGCCGCCCAGAGAGCCTACAGAGAGAGAAAGGAGAAGAAAATGAAGGACTTGGAGGATAAGGTCGCCGACTTGGAAGACAGAAACATCAAGGCTGCTACAGAACAGGACTTGTTGAAGGCCCAGATTGACTTGTTGAAGCGTGAGCTTGCTCGTCACAGAGGTCACCTGGACTTTTCGGACCTTCAGTTGCCCACTTCCGTTGGAAAATTGACCAATCCTAACCCAGATCGTAAGGAAAACAAGCCCAAGGCTAGTCCCGGCAAATCCGGTAGCGCCGAGTTCCCATGGGCTGAGCAAAACTTACATTCTGTTCCTTCCGGTTACTCCGATAGCTCCAACCAGCACTTGCCAGACTTGGTCAGCGGCTCCTCACTGTCTACGTCACCAAACGAGAACAATTTCGTCTCTCCAGACTCACAGAACAGCGAATCTCTACCTGCCCTGCTGATACACATGAACCTCAGTCCTCTGAACCAGTTCAATATCTCGCCCAGGTACGAGGAGCAGCTTGATCCTTTCTGTGTGAAGCTCAACGAAGCTTGTGGTACCAAGCAGAAGCCTGTGCCAAAGTATCGTCGTGAGGGCGGTAACATCCCACCGGTCAGAGATGAGGACTTGCCTCAGCCTGTTACCCAAGATAACGATTTCCAAACACTTTTCACGCCGGCAGAGAACATAAACGATCCTTTCTTCACTGATTCTTCCAACTACAACTTCGAATTTCCTTCTAACGACGAACAAAACGACCTTCTATCGTTCTATAACGACAACAACTTTGACGTGTCGCTAGCTTTCGGTAACCCTACCAACGAGCTAGAGAACAGACAGGATAAATCAGGTCTAATCGATGGTCTCGTCACAGAAGAGTCTGCCTACGATCCACTTGGCAGTGTCAACACAGATTTCAACTTTAACGAGTTTGTCAAGAGCAGCTTGCCTTCTGACGCCAGTTCGAGAACGAATTCCGTTAGCGGTGCACACAGATCCACGCTGTCGGTGACAAGCTATAACTCCAACAGTCCTGCTATCAAGGAAGAGGCCAAGGACGAAGAGTTTGTGCCAGCTTCAGAAAAGACAATTAAGTGTTCTGAGATCTGGGACCGTATCACTTCTCATCCAAGGTACACTGAGTTGGACATTGATGGTTTGTGTAACGAGTTGAAGAGCAAGGCCAAGTGTTCCGAAAAGGGAGTGGTCTTGGACCTGAAGGATGTGAACAAGCTTATTGAAAAGTCCGTCAGGACATAAATCAGTAAGCCTTGCAAAGGTGATGCGCACCTTGCTTCTGTATGACAAGCTTTTGGATATTTATATGGGCGTATACTCACGAAATTTACGACTGGCGTTATGACGAAAAGTAGCCGTAGTACACTTTAAAGTTTATGCAAGGGGCCTGTCTTAGCATTGAAAAGCAATTCTGGGGCATCCTCTTACGTCATGGTTTTGTGACCAGTCAGTATACGAGAGAAGGGCACGGCTGATATTGATAACACAAGGAGTCAGGGTTCAAAATGGACAGAGTCAGAGAAGTACAAGTAACTCTTCATTCGAGTCCATAGAAGAGGTCTATGCTGATGATTCATTCCCAGCTGTTAAGCGATGTACAGTCAGAGTCTCCATATACCCCCACTCATCCTTATTCCGCCCTTCCCGTCCATCCTTATCCTTCCTTGTATCCAAGCGTCCAAGCATTCCAGTAGTTTTCTTGACCTCCATTCACCGTAAGTTCCTTTTCTCCCTTTTCACCTTAGCGGGTCTACAGCGCCATGTCCTCCACTCTCCAGCCCTGAACCCAACAAAAACCCAACCTCCTAAGCCTACCAGGCTCCAACCAAAACGTTAACAAAGTAAAGGATTACAAATCTACCCCCCAACGTGCCCTCGCTAAAGCAACTATCCATTGCACAATCTCCAGGATCTCCATATACGGAGCGAAACAAGGTTTTGCAGCCAAAAAAAGGACTCCTACGGTTACTGTTTCCCCACAAACCAACCGCTCCAGCCGTTTCCGTTTGTCTATTGAAAAATTTTGGCCTCCTTCCCCGCCACTCCCTATAAATACGAAACGATTTTCCACGGAAGGACTTGCTGTTCCGAAAAGAAGCAGTCCGCCTTTTAATTTAATTTTCTCCTTCTTCTTACAGCCTTGCCATTTTGTGCTTCTTTTTTCTTGACGCTCCCCTCTCGGAGCGCACCCCAGTGACGCCGAAATTCCACCACCCAAGGGTCCTCCCTTGGGTTTTGATGGTCTCTTTAGAACGTAAAGATGTCTACTCTCTCTCGTTATATCCGGGCTAACTCCCTTGCCTCGTTAACGCCGTAGATTGTCTTTTTTCCCGGATATAAGCTGACACAGACAAACAAGGCGCATTGGATGGTTGGCTGGGGCGCCCCTCCCCAGGTTTTTTCCTTCCTTCTCCACGTCAGATTCCGCGTTTTGCAACCATTTAGCAAGCAAGGCATGAATGGTCACCAAAGATAAGGCAGGATAAAAAATGCTAGATTGGGAAACCCGAAAGGGCCGAAGTCAAGGAGGGTTGGTTAGCAAAAAAAAAAAAGCGAAAAAGACAGTGAAAAAGCAAAAAGAAAGAAAAAGTTGTCTTCCACACAATGGGTATTTGTATGAGGCTGACAAATGAGGCCTAAACGTCCACCATTTCCACGGACCAAATCCCAAAAAACCTTCTTTTTCTATTGTAGTCGCCACCAAACAACCCAAAACATCCCCTTGAGGCTTTTCATGACTTCGTAAATCGGACTTGTCCCTTTCACAAAAAGGACCCCACCTGCGGTGGGGCACATGGTGTGTCGCTTATATTGTTTGTGGGGGCAGATCTGGAGGATGGGAACTATAAAAGGCATGTTTTTCTGATAATTTTTTTGTAGACAAATTTCGCTGCTTGTTATGGGTGCTAAGGATAAGCTGCTTGTGGCGATTGAAGAAAGACCTTCTCCAACGGTTTCTTTGGATAAACCGTCTGTGGAGTGGGTGGAAGAGCTGAAGGATGAGGAAACTGGGGTGGTTGATATTGACCAGTACTCAGATATTGACGAGAAGAAGTTGCTTTGGAAAATCGATTTACATCTTATTCCGCTTTTCACGGTGTTGTACTTGCTTAGTTTCTTGGATAGAGGTAACATTGGAAACGCCAAAATCGAAGGTCTTGCTGAGGACTTGAACCTCGAGGGAAACCAATACAATTTGTGTTTGACGATTTTCTTTATTTTTATGCTTCATTTGAAATACCGTCTAACATTATTTTGCACCACGTCAAGCCCAGGTTGTACATTCCAACCACCATGGTCTTGTGGTCTATCGTGATGACGTTGATGGGTACAGTGCAAAACTTTGACCAGCTCATGGCAACAAGAGCTCTTTTGGGATTGTTTGAAGCTTCGCTTTTCCCAGGTATTTCTTACATTTTGTCGATGTACTATAAGAAATCGGAGATTCTCGTGAGAGAAGCCATTTTCTTTAGTGCTGCTTCCATTGCCGGTGCTTTCTCGGGTCTTTTGGCTGCTGCTATTTCCCAGATGGACGGTATTGGTGGTTATGAAGGCTGGAGATGGATTTTCATCTTGGAAGGTTTGCTTACGTTTGTGGCTGCTGCTGGTTCCTACTTCTGTTTCCCCTTATACCCTAAGGATAGTACTTTCCTTACTCCTCGTGAACGTGAGTTTGTGGTGAACAGAGTGAAGTTTTCCTCCAACGCTGAAAACCAAAAGATGACTGGCGCTGGCGCTCCTCCATCCATGAACTTGGGTGAGGATAACTCTGGCAACATCTCTAATGTCTGGGCAGTGTTCAAGGACTGGCAATCTTGGTGTCAGCTTATGACCTACTACGGTATTTGCGTACCTCTTTACGGTGTTTCGCTTTTCACCCCCACCATTGTGAAGAACTTGGGTTACACTTCTACCAAGGCACAGTTGATGTCGGCTCCAGTTTACATTGTTGCAGCCATCTTCTGTATCTTCCAAGCATGGGTATCTGATAGAGTCGGTCTTAGAACGCCATTCATGATATTCAATCTTATCTGTATTGCTGTCGGGTACAGTATATGTTTGGCGCTATCTCCTACTACACTGCCTGGAGCAGTGTATGCTGGAGTATACATTATGGCTCTTGGAATCTACTCAGCGTTCCCACTTGTGGTTATTTGGTTCTCGAACAACTTGGCTGGTTCTTACAAGCGTGCCGTTGGTATGGCGTTCCAGATTGGTATTGGTAACTTTGCTGGTGCCTTTTCATCCAACTTCTACAGAGAACAAGATGCACCAGAGTATACGCTTGGGCATGCGTTAGAGCTTGGATTCTCCCTCATGGGTCTCCTCTTCACCTTCATCACCATCGCTGGGTATGTTGCCAGTAACAGAAAGAAGAAGAGAAACCTTGCTGCTGGTAAGTATGACGGTATTCCACCAGAAGAGCTCGTCAAGATGGGCGACAAGAGTCCGCATTTCGTCTACCGTTTGTAGACGCTGGATATTACGTATTATGAATTACAACGAGAGAAACGGTGAAACTGTAGATTTGCATCAGCCACGTTTAGTTTTGTCCTCCTCTGGCTTTGTCCTCTCTGGTTTTGTGTTAAGATGTGGTCAAGTGAGTGTACAGCAGGAGAAGTCAACGCGTGGAAGGCCACTATTTAGGCAGTCGACTGGGGGTCTTAGCAGCCTAAACGTCTTCCTTTTAGTACTTGTTTGTCATTTTTCGCTTCCCTTGTTTGAAACCACTGGTTTCTAAGACTGCCCTGGTACTAAACAGAGCCGCACGAATGGCTGCGAAATAGGTACCCCAAGCAAGACGATGCCGAGTAAACTGGGCAGAAATGATCAGGCGAGGATGAAGCTTACTTTGGAGAAGTCTAAAGTTTCTTCTGGTGCCTCGTTACCTCTGAAGAGAGAATTTCATCCCAAACTGGGTCCACAGAGATACGTCTCGTCACATGCCAGCCATCTCTAGGCATAAGCACAGAAGCTACACTTTCACACCGTAAGCCTCCAAAAGAACAAGAAAAAGAAAAAAAAAGGTTACAACCCATCTAAAGAAGAAAAGTACCCTAAAGAAGTCCCTAACTGCAACATAGCTTCTCCAAAGACCTCCTTCCTGGCCCAGCATCCAGTGCATTGCCTACCTCATCTCTACCAGTCTACCTCTTCCACTCACCACTTAACCACCAATTCCACTTCACCACTTCACCAATTCCACTTCACCACCCTAAGCGAGCTAAGCCCCAGCATCCAACCTTCTTTAACTTAAACTTCCACTTGGCCATAAAACTCGTATCCTCTCTGTCTTCTCTGTCCAACGCAGCCGGTGCTGGTTGATCTTACCAATGAAGGTGAGCCGCAAACAGCCACAGCCAAAGATCAACCACCGAGCCTGAAGCAGTAAAAAACCAAAGAGTAATATTGAGAGAGGTGTATTCCCAAAGAAGCAATAAAGCCGAAGAAAAAGAAAGCCCCAGTGCCATGATTTGTGACGGTCTTTGCCAGCGCCTCGCTGCCTCGCTGGGGCCCAGAATTCACACTTGCTGTGGTGCCGTTTGCTGCTTAGGTTATGCCGAGGCACTTTGCGCGAGCCGTTTTTTCGTGATTTTTTTTTTTTTTTTTTTCTTTTGCCCTCTTCATCGCCTAGAAAAAGAAACCTTTCGGACCGGTCTGGCTGCCTCACGAAGATCTCGAATTTTGGCTCGTTTGGCGTTGTGGTGCACGGGTCTTTTCCCAACCATCCATCCCCAGTCTTCCAATACCCAGTCAAAAAGTAAAAGTAGAAGACATCTCTCTAGTTAGTTCCTCCTCCCTCCTCTTTGTTCTCTTTAGACGTCTGGCTGTTCTTTCTGGGTGCCCAAAACTGGTAATCGTCGTCCAAATTAACCTCTTTGTGGTACTGCACAGCGCCGCAGAACACCACCCATTCTTTAAACCTCAAAAACATCTCTATACCCCCAAACTAGTGCTAGTTGTTCTTTATTTTCCTGTTTTTTATTTTATCGTCAGCGTAACTTCCACTCCCACTCAGACACTCCTTCCTTTGTTGTTACCTTTAAGCCTCCTAGCAGATACACCCTCCTGCTCCACGGCCTCCGCGAAAAACATACACTAGTGAAACCTTTCTAAGTAAACAACCCCAGTTTACCACCCCATAACATCCACCGTTTCCCTTTGCCCCAACCCGCAATCAAACAACAGGTCTTTCCAATATGACCCTGGGCCTTCTTCTATGCATTAAACAGTTTAATGCTCGTCTTGGTGACGAGTTGAACCTTGCTGTGGGCGAGAAAATCGAGGTTCTTGCTGATGACTCTGAGTATAACGATGGCTGGTACATGGGCAAGTCTGTTTCCAGTGGAAAAGTCGGTCTTTTCCCTAAACTGTTTACCAAGCCGGTGGCTGAACAGCCTCTGGAACCTACCTTGTTGCGTTCGAGGTCTCGTAGAGTACCCCTGGGACCTAAAGCGGGCGATAAGCCGGGCTCCAATAGCTCCAGAATTGCATCCCTGGAAACTCCTCAGCAACAGCAGCCACAACAAGCTCAACAACAACCTTCCAATGATGTCCACTCCACGATGAACGAAATCGATAAGGCGTTGGAGGAGCTTCAGACGTCTACGCGTGAATCTTCCAAGGAGGACGTGAAGACTCAGCAAAAGGAACCTGAGCCTGCTCCTGCTCCTGCCCCTGCCCCTGCTGAAGAACCAAAGAAGGGACACCAGCGTAACGTCTCAACGCAATCGCTCACTACTGACTTGAACCCATTGCAGGCCACTGAGTGGACTGCGAAGCAGGTGCTGTCGTATTTTGCCATTGTCTTGGGTTTCGACATGAGCGTCGCTGGCAAATTTGCCCGCCACAAGATCACAGGTGAAATCTTATTCCAGCTTGATTTGGCTCACCTTAAAGAATTGGATATCGACTCTTTCGGTACCCGTTTCGAGGTCTATAAGGAGATTGAGAAGCTTAGGGAAATGGCAACTAGAGCCAAGGGTTCTTCTCTGTCGGGCGCCGCTGGTAGTCGCTCTGCTTCTGCCCAGTCCCAAAAGCCTGCAGAACACGAATCCAGAGAAACTTCTCCTCCATTTAACAACTCTGATGTTGACTCGGTCGAAAAACCTCAGGAGAGGCCATCAGGCTACGACCGCGAACCCAAGAGTGCTTCCACACTTCTTCCAGCCCCATCATTCAATCCTTACGCGAAGGAAAATGGCAAGTCCAGAGCTGCTTCTGCCAAAAACCCATATGGCCACTCCAGGACGAGATCCCAGTCAATGGAAAACTTGCTGGCTTTGAACACTCCAAGAACCGACAACTCCTTTATGTCCCCTAGGAAGGCTCCTGAACCTCCTGCTTTAAGTCCCGTCAACAAGAACTTCAAGTTTGGTGGTAGTCCAGCCGTTCCTCAAGGCAATGATTCCCCAGCCAGCCACAGTTTCTACATGACTAGAACAAACGCTTCCTCCGGAATGGTCAACAGTCCAGGCGGTCAATCAAGACCTGCTTCTTCCATTTACGACGCTGGCGCTCAAGGGCACCACAGACGTACGTCATCGAATAAGAATGAGTTAGCTCACAGAAGACACTCTTCGCTCTTTTCGTTCATGTCGGGTAACGGTAACGATGAGGCTGCCGGTCCACAGAAGGAGAAGTTGCATAGTCAGAACTTGACAAAGGGTGTCGCCAGTCCTACAAAGAACAAGCGTGCCTCTAGGTTGTTCGACAACAAACCAGCTGAGTCTTCAGAGTTCGAAGATACCTTGCCTGATATTGACGATGTCAACCTTTCACCTAAGAAGGACAGAGTCGCTTCTGGAGCTTCTTCCAAGAGTGACGAGAAGCGTAATACTGGTAGATTGAAGAGTTTACGCTCGGTGTCCACTTCTAACTTCAGAAACCTCACAGTATCCAGAAAGCTGAAGACTTCTGCGTTCCAGGAAGGAATCAGAGACATCACTCCAGACGAAGCTATCAAGACATCCACTTTCAGTGGTTGGATGTCCAAGAAGTCTGGTAGTACGTTAGGTTGGAGATCTCGTTACTTCACACTTCACGGTACTAGATTGTCCTACTTCACGAATTTGCGTGATAAGCGTGAGAAGGGTTTGATTGATATCACCGCTCACAAGGTTATTCCAATCAGTACAGATGGTGAGAGTGCAAGCAGTAACGATAAGTACATTGCACTTTATGCTGCCCTGACGGGTCTTGGAAGATACTGTTTCAAGATTGTTCCACCAGCTCCTGGTTTCAAGAAGGGTTTGACATTCACGCAACCCAAGACTCACTTCTTCGCTGTTGAAACTCAAGAGGAGATGAAGGGATGGTTGAAGGCACTCATGACCGCCACCATTGACATCGATGACAGTGTTCCTGTTGTCAGCAGTTGTAATACCCCAACCGTGTCCTTGGCGAAGGCTCAGGAACTCCTTGCAAAAGCCAGAGAAGAGAACAAATTGAGAGATGAAGAACTCAGAGCCAAGGGATTCATAAGGGATGGAGAAACCCTCGAGGATATCGCAAACTCGACGACGTTGTATAATGACAGTGCAACTTCCGAAGAGGCGTCCCCTGTCGTCGGCTACATGGACGAAACCACCATCTCTTCGAGCAATACCAGCAATGCACCACCCAAGCTCACTGTTGACACATCTGCTACCAAGCCCAAGCGCGGCCCCACCACTCCACAATTACAATCTTCACAAGGATTCGCTTCTCCATACCTCTTAGCATCCGGTATTCTTTCACCAAAGGGAGGCGCTTCCTCCGGTGGCAGCACGCCTAACACTGCCAAGTCTGGAAAAAAGGAGTACTTCCCTGAAATGGGTACTCCTGACGGCACCAAACTGGAAAGCTCGTTTGAGCAGCCCGTTTTCAGCAACAGCAATGGCAGAGTTTTGAGCGGAAGCAAGAAAAAGGACAAGTCTGAAAAGCTTATGGCCTATACCAGCGACGGATCGTTCGTGATCAAGTCGAAAAAATAACGTTGTAACTAATCTGTAATTAATAATGAATGAACAATTTGAAGGTGAAAATTACGATATTATATAGAGTAAGTGATATTAATACTGAAGTGCCGTTGTATGTTCTTTCAAGGTAGGTTGTCGTAGTGGGAGTTTGCAAACCGGAAGCCTTGGTCCAGAAACCCCACCAGTCTGCTTCAACTCGTTCTTCTTTAGTTTCTACCTTGTTCTCTCTAGCCAGTTTCTTATAGTTACGGTTAGTTCTTATACTTTTTAATTTTTCATACCGTTGGTATTTAGTGTTTCGTGGTTATTGACAAAATGGCTGCGAAAAGTGTAAATGTAAATATTATGGAGACGTGCTGAAAAGTCAACAAAATTAAAATCAATCTAAAAAATCGAAAATCAATTCTTTCCTTTCAAAACTAGTATGAGAAGATAATTTAGGATGAATTCTTCCACCAGTAGGCATTCAGGCCTCTTCTGACTACTTGAGAGGTGGAAGTAGGCTAATACCTTGCACCGCCTTTGACAATACCGTGAATTCCCATCAAAAAGACAACTTTAGAACCAAATATAGCCTTGTTCATACAAAATGCAGCACTTTATAACTAAGGACATGATCAGTCTAACTAATCCTTCTTTTTTGCACCATTAGAATTATTCACTTCTGTATCTCTTCAACAGCACAAGCAAACACACCTGCTAACCCAAATAAAACCTTTTGAAAACAATTTACCTGCCTTCAAAAGCACTTCCGTATCCTCTACAAACATAAATCCTTCAATTCTTCACTTCCCATACTCCATTACCGTACATTCTTGATCTTCTCCTACTCCGCGATCTGGGGAAGCTTCGCGGTCCAAACATCAACTGTAACCATCAACTGAGACGCCAACCCATACAAACCCACCACATCGCACATGGACGACCCAAACGTCACGCAACAGCTTCGGCTGGTTATCGTCCATTCCTTAGATACTTTCAACTATAAGAATGCTGAGTTTGCTGCTGAACACTTGGTGGCTCTCAACCCACAAGACCCAGAGCTGCTCTTCCTTTATGCCTTGGTGCTTTACCGTCAGAGCAAGTATAAACTGGCGTTCAACAGAACTTCATCTGAACTAGCTCATGGCCACTTGGGCTGCTCATACATTTATGCTCGTCTGTGTCTTCATTTGGGTAAATATAAGGAAGGTATCTATACGTTAGTTGGTGTGCTGCCGTTGTATAACGAGACTGCCAATGCTGAAACCAAACCACAAGGTCTGCCGTGGAATCAGCTGCCTGAACCAGAATCCTCGGCGGCGTATTTTGCCCTGCTGAGACAAAGACATGCCTACGAGGCCCATAGACACCTTTATCCTGATCTGTCAGCTGTGTATCACTTGCTAGGGGACTTATACAAAGCAGAGGGAGATACTACAAAGAGCGCATTGAATTATTCTACAGCACTCAAGTATAATGTGTTTGATTTTGAGGCTTTCCAGGAATTGGCCAGACTGGGTGCTGATGTACGCGTGAAGGCCATTTATAAGCCTAACCAGCGTCGCTCACTGCCTCTGCCAGTGCTTGAGCCAAAGAGTACCAATACAAACGATTCTGCAGGTATATCGAACCCATTTGCAACGCCACGCTTGGCCAAAAATGTTGATGTTTCTACTCCCAGAATCCTCAGTGCATCAATACCAGATGCCCCATTACGAAAGCCTCAAAATGACGAATTCACTAAACCTCCAGCACCAATACTGGCGTCATCATTACAACAGGTCCCACAGATACAGGTACCTCCTTCACAAGGGCCCAAGAAACATCACTTCCCGAAGAGACTGTCTTTGGCACCTCCATCAGCTCAGACTCGTCAAGGCCTCAAAAGAACATCCTCTCAAGGCTTCATGACAGAGTCTCGTCTGCCATCACAAAGTGATGTAGATGCTGCAGATATCACACTTCGAAAACTCTTTTCTACATTGGCAAAGGCTTACAAGTGTTTCTGCAAGTATGATTGTTACAAGGCCATTCGTCTTCTTGAATCATTACCCGAAAACATCAAGGATACACCATGGGCGCTTAGCAAGCTTGGCCGCCTCCATTACGAGATTGTCAACTACAAGCAATCGCGTCGCTTTTTCATCAGATTACGACAACTGGATAGAACCAGACTTGAAGATATGGAATATTACTCTACGTTGCTTTGGCATTTACAGAAGAACGTCGAGCTCACATACTTGGCAAATGAAGTTCATGATATTGATTCTCTGCTGCCGATTACCTGGTGTGTCATGGGTAATTTATTCTCTTTGACCAGAGAACCAGACGAAGCCATCAAGTGTTTTGACAAGGCTATCAAGATCGACCCGCAATTCACATACGCCCATACACTTAAGGGCCACGAATACTATTCCAACGATAATTACGAGAAAGCTCTTGATTGTTTCAGATTGAGTCTTCTCATGGATTCTAGACATTATAATGCACTCTACGGCATTGGTATGGTCTACATCAACTTGGGAGAGCTACAAAAAGCGGCTTTCCACTTCAAAAAGCCGTGGCCATCAACCCTATTAATGTGATTTTGATTTGTTGTGTTGGAATGGTATTGGAGAAACTAGGCAAGAAATCATTGGCTTTGAAACAGTACGATTTGGCAAGCAAGCTTCAACCACTCAGCGCCTTGCCCATCTTCAAGAAAGCATCCCTCCTTTTCTCCCTTCAACAATTTGACAAGGCATTGGAGCAGTTTGAACTCGTCAAGGAGCTTGCTCCAAATGAAGCTTCAGTGCACTTCCTTCTTGCACAGCTCTACAATATCCAGAATGATAAGTACCTGGCCATCAGAGAGTTCACGATTGCATTAAACCTCGATCCTAAAGGAAACTACTTGATTCGTGAGGCGATGGAGATGCTCAAGGAAACATAAAGCAAATGCACAGATTATAGATTGTGAAACACTGTAGACCATCATATACGAAGCAAACCGGCAGGGTTCAATACGATTCGCACATCGAAGGCTGCAAAGAAAAGAAGGTTTGGCGCCGTTCTCGGCCAAGTAGACACCAAAGCACATTCACTCGCAAACGTGTTTCAAACCTTAAAAAACACGTTCATACGTTTTCTTCCATAAATGGCCATTTCCCCTTTTCCTCATTCTGCCACACCTCATTGTGGACCTAACTACATGCTTCGCTCAGCATCGACATGCGTCCTGGACTTCATATAATACGCTCACATTGGCCCCATTAACGGTTTAGTGTTTCTTTCACCAACTAGCCTTACTGTTGATTAGGGACAGCTGTTGAACCCTTGCAAGAATCCTCCAAAATGCTTCTCCACTTGGCCCTAATATACCTCTGGGCCTGCTGCACAGCGCTAGATTTGGGTCAGACGAAACACATCTACCGTAAAGGTGAAAGTGTTGATCTTCTTCTAAACAAGATCGAGAGCGACCACACCCAATTACCGTATAGGTACCATGATTTGCCATTTGTATGTCACGATAAGAGCAAAAAAGCCAAGGCACCTTCGTTGGGAGAGGTGTTGAAGGGCGACCGGTTCTGGGAGTCCAACTATCAGCTTCGATTTGGCGAGGATGTGCCCTGTGCCCGTCTCTGTGACATGTCTGCCACTACAAACGCTATGTCGTGGGCTGATTCGCTTATCAGAAAGGGATATGTTGTTCACTGGGTGCTTGACGGGTTGCCAGGTGCAACTACCTTTCAGAGTACTAGCTCCAACTCGAAGTATTATGCCTCCGGCTTCCCTCTTGGTTTTGTTCAGAATGGCGTCTCTTACTACTATAACCATGTTGTGCTCGTGGTGAGGTACCATACCGAGTCAAATGGACAATATTCGATCGTGGGCTTCGAGGTTTACCCGAAGAGTGTCAGCGATGAGACATGTCCTGGATCCTCGAAGGACTATAAGAATTTCGCTATTAATCTCAAGGATGAGGCTGGAAAGCCTAAGGAGGGAAGAACAATCATTCCATACACCTATGCTGTCTACTGGAGAGAAGATATATCCGTATCTCATGAAAACAGATGGGACTTGTATTATGAGAACGACAACTCAACCACTTCCAGAAATATCCATTGGATTTCTTTGGTGAATTCAATTGTACTTGTGTGTCTTGTCTCGCTTATTGTGGCAATTGTCTTGGTTCGGTTCCTCAAGACCGATCTCAAGAATGGTCCAGTGATCCCAACCACTGACCTCAAGGTTGATCTGGATCAAAATCTGTGGAAAGGCTTGTCAGACCTGGCTGTTCAAGGACCCATTGCTGCTCTCTTACTTACCAGCTTGTGTGCTGCTGGTGTGCAAACGCTAGTAGCCATGATTGGAGTGGTGGTGATTTTTGTTTTGAACTCCAAGCTTAGTTTGAGCCTGGGTGCTACTTCCAACGCATTCTTTGAGAATCACCAAAGTTCTGTCTTTTCATTTTCGATCTTTTTCATTTTGGCTTCTGGATATGCCTCTTCATACACGGGTGTTATATTGCACAAACTCTTGGGCAATTACCACCCCAATACCACCTTTTCGTTCGCTACTGTTTGCAAACTAGGAGCTCTCTTTGCCGGGCTTCTTCCATTTACTGCTTTGGCTGCTTCGCTCATCATTAACTTCTTCGTGTGGGCCAAGGAATCCTCGAACGCTTTGCCGTTCGGAACAATTGTGTCACTCATTTTGATGTTCGCTCTCATTCAAATCCCATTGGGAGTTGCCGGTGGATTTCACGGCAATAAATTCAAGTTCCTGAACAAATCCTGTTTCATTAACTCGTATGTTCCACCAGAAAAAGGAGACAAGAAGCAGAGCTCCAAGAAGCAACAATTCCTTGGGCCAGTCATTAACACTTTGGCCTTTGGCCTCATTCCTTTCGGTATTGTCTACGTTGATCTTTTGTTCATTTTCAACTCCGTTTGGCTCGAGAAGACTACATTCTATTATATGTACGGCTTCTTGCTACTCACCACAGTTCTATTACTTATCGTTGTGGCAGAGCTGTCCATAGTGGCCACCTACATTACATTGACTGTATTCAAAAACCCCAATTGGCAATGGCTTTGCTTCCAACTGGGCTCTAGCATTGGGTGGTATATTTACGGATACACCACTTACTACTTCATAAGGTACTTGCAAATGAGTGATATCGTGAGCGTCCTTATTTATTTTGCCTACATGGCATTAGTGTCAGCTGCCATTGGTATCGCTGGCGGAGCTGTGGGAGTTATCACGGCCACTATATTTATCAGGAAGATCTATGGAGCAATCAAAATGGATTGAACATTTAACAATTTATAGACTACAACCAAACAATGCATCAACGTATATTCGTTCGTTTATAAGAAATAATTTCTAGAATTTTTGTTCTCGAAATGGAGGAGTGGGAAAGAAAGTAGTGAATAGATCAAACTGCTTAGTCCAAAGAAGAAGCACCAGTAATGATATCCACCAATTCGTTGGTAATAACAGCCTGTCTGGTTCTGTTGTACAAAATAGAGTAGGAGTTAATCATGTCACCAGCGTTCTTGGAGGCATTGTCCATAGCGTTTCTTCTAGCAGAAATCTCGGAAGCGTAACCCTCAGCCTGAGCGGTCAAAAGAGAGTTAGCCAAAGAGAATTCAGACAAGTCCTCAGTAGTGTTTTCAGATTCCAACTCGTACTTGCTCAAGCCAGGAGCCTTTTCGATAGCGTCGGCGGTGAAAACGGAGAAGGTGGATGGCTCGAAAGAGACACCGGAAACGAACTTGTTGTACAAGATCTCAGTGTTCTCGTACTTGCCCAAGGTGGAGATCTCGTCAACAATGGCGGAAACCTCGTGGAAGTTTGGCTCCTCCTTACCAACGTTGGAGAAAGCCAAAGCCATGTTGTTGGCGTGAGTTCTGGACAACTGGGCCTTAACCTTGTCACCAATGGTGACAATGTCGATGTTACCGTTCAAAGCCTCGACTCTCTTTCTAGCGGCCTTGGCGATTTGGGAGTGGATGGAACCACACAAACCCTTGTCAGAGGAGACAACAATCAACAAGGTCTTGTCCTCCTTGTTAGTCTCTGGTTCAGCGTTGTCAAAGAACTCCTTGTCGGACTCGTGGAAAACTCTAGAGGCCTGCATGGCTCTCTGGGCCTTGTTCAATCTGGTGGAGGCAACAATCTTCATGGTGTTGGTGATCTTTTCAATGTTCTTAATGGACTTGAGACGCATTTCGATATCTCTCAAAGTAGCATAGTTTCTGACTGTTAGTATGACTGAAAATGATAAGGATCCATCGAATTAGACCCATTTCCCCATCAATTGAGTGGACACTGGGGTACTTTTCACAGTGGTACCTCAGAGATGGAAATGACACCTAAAACAGGCTATAGTGGTGCCAAAACGTTCGTTTTTTCACCAATGGCAACGGGAAACATACCTCACCCCAGAACGGGCGACCTGAGAAGCGCCTAAACGGAACATTATGTGGAACTGATACGGATTAGCACGGACAAGTAGAGGAAGGTGTATTGTAGGTGGTTTTTTTTCTGAGGTCGTTCGGCACCCGGACTGGAGCGAGAGACAGTTTTTGATTGGCCGAGGGTGGGTACAACGAGCGAGCGCGGTCTGCCAGAGGAGGTCACGTGGGGAATTCACCAAGGTCGTGGTATTTCAAGGAGGGACTCAGAATTTGGAAGATTTAGAGGTGGAAGTAGGTTTATTGAGGGCGATTGAGTATGGTTCGGGGTTTTCCGAGTGAAAATAGGACAGGTTTTGGTGTTTTGGCGGAGGGTTGGTGTTCCGTAGTATCCATGGTAATGGCTGCGAAACTCGCATTGTATAAGTGTATTAGGAGACAAGTAGTGTTTCCAGGTAGTGGTTGGTAAGGGCAGTTTGGAGGTAGTTTTTATGATTAAGAAGCATTTATTGGCAAAGCGGAACAGTAATTCAATGAAAATGTCGTTAGAAGAGTCAAAGGTCGTTCTTTTGGTGGATGCTTGTTTCCTAGTTGGGAGATTTGCGTAATGGCTGCAAAACAGTGAGTGCAGCAAGAGAGTTACCCATGAAGAACGAAATAAACGATGCTGGTAGCTAAAATAGGTAGCAAGGCGATATAAAGTGTAGATGAACTGATAAGTGGCGCTGGAATCGTCCAGTTAATGTCTACATCGCCTATTGTGAATGTCTTTGTATGAAGCAGTCTACAGTAGTGTACTAAAATGTAAGTTGTAACTCTACATGGGAAAGTTTAACGAATTGTGAATGGATTAATCTAATAAATGCTTCAGTATTGAAACGTGTCTTAGGGTAACTCGATTTAACGAATGCCAAGACTAGGCAGCAACAGTATATGCGGTCCATCAACCTCAACACTTGCAGCCACTGATATGGATGTCCTCCAAAGCCATTAAAGGTAGTTTGTTCAGCTCCTTTGCGACCCCTACCACTTGGCCCCAATCCTTTTTCCTGGCTCACCAGCTCGACCCGCCCAGACCTACAATGTCATTTCCAAATCTTAATTCATGCTATGTTATGCTGTGGGGCAGGTAAATATACAATAGTCACCCGTCGTAAGGACCTCGAGCCGAAAATCGAGCCGCTTACTGCGATGGGTCGTTCTTCTGGTACCCCAAGTAGCCCTGCAAGGGGTAGTTCTCAATCATCTTCATGTACTTCAAAATCAAAGGTCTGCAGTTTCTCTGGGCATCGATGCCGTGGTACTGCTTGCACTGTCTCAAGGCCTCGTGGGTGATTCTGAGCTCCTCGTTTCTGATCCACTGTTCTCTCATCATAGAAGTTCTGGCCTTCTGGACCTCAGCGTAGTTCTCATAATTGATGTCGTCAAACGACGTCAACTGTGGTCTCGTGTGGTTATCGTACGTGGCTGGACATGTTAGTATATTTGGTTTAGCAGGTTGTGTGGTGGTTTTTACATACCCATGGTTGGAGGTGACAGTAAGGTTTACGAAAAGATTGATTTTAACTGGCGGGTGCGTTCCGGTGCGCGCACTACCATAGATGAGACTTCTCCAGTATATGGAGTAGAGGGTATGGTCAGAGGAGGTGGAGAAAATGACATTTTAGTAAATTTAAGATATTGGTAGATTTTAAGAAGTTGAAGCGAGGCATCCCAAAAGGTTTTGTGGGCATGATAATGCGAATAAGGAAGGTACTCTGGAGACTACCAGGTAGTAATCAGTGTTACTTCTGGGATGGGAGTATTTTTTCAAGATTCAAAGATAAGGGACGTTTTATCGGCATCAAGTTTTTATGCCTAAATTAACTAAGAGGGTCCTGGCTTTTGGAAAAATACAACGTTGCAGTTCGTTTCCACTACTTATAGCACTGAATGGCTGCGAAAACACAAATGCGAAAGAGCCCATACTCTCCCACACCAAACACCAGAAAAGACAGAAAAAAGTGAATGAAACTGACCGGTGCGCCGATTATTCAACATAAAAGTACTTATTTGTTCGAAAACACTTCATGTCTTTCAGGCCACCAACCAGCGCCGACTCGGACTCAGCAGCCTTACCCATACTTAAGTCACACTCCCCAGTAATGAGAACACAGATATTCTAAGACTGTTAATAGAGATCTCTCAAGCAAATAATTCACATACTTAGACCTTTCCAACCTCTTTATCCTCATAAATCAACCAGCAATACCTCATCCCACTTAACCAGTTCCAGTCAGTGGCTGCGAAAAAAGTGCTGTCAAAAGCCAAGGAAATCACCAGACAAGAGACCCGTGCACCACGCTAGTTCCATAACCCCAGAGTCCACCTACTCCATCACCAGTCTCCAACCAGTGCCTAACGAGTATGGGAAGCGAAATAGCTAAAAACGCTGGGGACGTTTCCAAAACCCCTGAAACTCCATACCTTAGGCTCAATGCTAAGTGGGTCGCCGTGGCCCATGGTGTTTTCGCCATGACGGCTTTTCTTGGTGCTCTAGTTGTTGGCTGTTATCTCCACTATGAAAAAATCGTCCAGAATGCTAGTTATGGGTACCCAGACGAGTGGTTTCCTTCTGTGTCGGCTACGATCGGTGACAGGTACCCAGAAAGATCTGTTTTCCAGGTTTTCATTGCGGTTACTTCTGGACCTCGGTTCTTACTTATCTTCGCTAACTTCTTTGTCTTGTATAACGAGGGACATAAGAAAGCTTGGACGATGTTGATTTCGGGCCTTATTAGAACTTTTACATGTGGTGGCTGGGTTTATATTACTTCTACTGATGATCACGATGCCCACGATGTGTTTATGATCAGTTACATTGTTCTTACTATTCCATGGACTATTTGCATGTCTTCGTTATCTCCTAAGGGATCTTTAGCCAAAAAGGGTCGTATTCTTACTGCCTTGTCGTTCTTTGGCCAGCTTGTGCCTTTGGTGTACTTCTTTATCCAGCATAAGGTCCATGTCGTTGCTGGTGCTTACTCCTACTACGCATACATTGAATGGTCCTTGATCTTCCTTGACGTCGCTTTCGACACTTGGTCTTACCTTGATTTCTCCAACATTGAACTTAGAGTTTACGGAACGTCTGTCGAGTTTGCTACTCCTGACCTCGTGAAGGACACCAAGGAGAAGATCACCCAGGAAGATACTGAGATCAGCTGCACTTCTTTCCTTATCAACACTATCAACTCCTTCACTTTGATGACTGGTATTACTGGTATGTTCGCATGTGTTTGGTACTTCCCATTGTGGCACATGGGTGTTTCTGGTTACGAAGCTGTCATTATCGTCATGTTTGTTGCTCCACCTCTCGTGCTTCCAATTCGTCGTCTCCTTTCAGCCTACCCATTCATTCCTCGTGTTTTGGCTGTTGCTGCTACAATCGGTGCCTGGAAGGTTCCTGACCCTGCCAACCGTCTTATGACCATCAGTGCTGGTGTTGGGTTCTCGACCATCGGTTTGACTGCTGATTTATTCAACTTGCAGAACAACCCTAAGAGATACTCCTCCTACTTTGTTTCCTTGTTGTTGGGTGTCTTGACTTCCTCAGCTGTGAAGTACCTTTGGTCTTCTAACAACCCAGCATGGCCAATCATGCATAAGGAGAACGGTGGCTACAACGAGATTTTCTTTTTCATCACTATCGTCGCTGCTTTGTTCACCCGTGCTCCAAGAACCTTGCCTGAAGCTGAATCCTTGAAGCTTCAAGGTGGTTCTTTCTTGCTTGCTGCTTTGGGTTTGGCTGGATACTTCTTTTCGCTTACCCTTTTCTTGTCAGACTCCTCCATCTTCGTCATCTGGTCGTGGACTGGCTTCCCTGTCAAGGGACCTACTCCAGTCATTGGTGGATTGATTCACTTTGCTGCTGCATTCGCTGGTGTGGTTGCTTCTATCAAGATTCACCCTAACTTTTTCACGCAGCCAATTTACCCACTCGTTGGAGCTGTTGGAGCTGGCGCTGTCCTTCTGATCTTCCCTGATTGGATTGGATTTGCTGGTGCAACTGTCTACACTTTCTTCATTGCTACCATCACTCCAGCTATCGCTCAGTCTGTGGTCGGATACTGTCCAATTAAGTTATTGACAGTGGCATTCTTCGTTCACATCTGTCTTTGCTTGGCTTCTGTTTGGATCGTCGCTTACGCTTTCGTTCCAGGTGGACCATTATTGAGAGAGCGCACTGACTTGATGGTTGGTTTCACCGTTGGAAGTGTTGTTCTTGGTGTTGCCAACTACATTCTTCGTAAGTCTGCTTCGAAGATTACACGTATTGAAGTCATTGGCTCCAAGCTTTTGCGCCAGGCCTTGTTTGTTATCACTGTCTTGGTTGCCATTACTTCAACTGGTTTCACTGCCAGATACCAGTCTAACGCTCCTAAGCCATACAATTCTGAAACTAGATCCTTCACTGCCGGTATTTGGTGTGTTCACTTTGGCTTGGACAACGACCTTTGGGCCAGTGAGATCCGTATGAGCAATTTGCTCAGAGAGGCTGAGGTTGACATCATTGGTTTGTTGGAGACGGACACTGAACGTCTTATTGGCGGTAACAGAGACTTTGCCCAAAGAATGGGTGAGGAATTGGGCATGTATGTCGACTACGGTCCAGGTCCCAACAAGCACACTTGGGGAGCTGCTTTGCTCTCCAAATTCCCAATCTTGCACTCTGAACACCACTTGTTGCCTTCGCCAGTTGGTGAATTGGCCCCAGCTATCAAGGCTACATTAGACATTTACGGCGAGCACATTGACGTTGTTGTCTTCCACTCTGGACAAGAAGAAGACCCCGAGGACCGTCGTTTGCAGAGTTTGTACCTCCAGGACGTCATGGCCGAATCTACAAATCCATTGGTTCTCCTCAGTTACTTGGTGACCAAGCCATTGGAGGGTAACTACTATACCTACTCCAGTGAGAAGTCTAGAATGTACGACATTGACTCCACTGACTGGGACAGATGGTGCGAGTACATCATGTTCCGTGAGCTCAAGAAGGTTGCCTACGCTAGAATTTCCAGATCCACCATCACCGACACCGAGCTTCAAATTGCCAAGTTCAAGTTCCTCAACAACGAACAGAAGCAACTCGGAACCGATTTCCTCTATGGAAACCACTTCATCCACGAGGATCAGGTGCACCCTAACCTCAGAATGCCATCTTTGTTCAGAGGTGATGGTGTTAGAGGACACAGATACCATGTGTTTGACGAACCACGCTACTTCGCCGAAAGCGGTGACCAAGTCAGATTCTTCGAAGAGTAAAATACGTTTACATTAACCTAATTAGAGATTATCATGTCTTACGAGATTCCATTTCTTCAGTACCCTCCCAGTAGATGGTAGTGTGTGAACCGCGCACACTAAGTAGTTGCAAGATTTTCTATAGATCTACTTATCACCAACACCGTACTTGGTACAGAACAGGCTCTAATGAACTTTTTGAACTCAGCAAAGAGCCTTATATTCGGCCAAAGGCCGGTGCTCAACACCTTGATCCAAACCAGAACGAAAATGAAGTCCCACAAGTCTGCAGCCAAGAGATTCATCAAAACCGCCAACGGCTACAAGAGAAAGTGTGATGGCAGAAAGCATGGTAACGGTGGATTCACTCCTCTGAGTTATAGCCATTTGGATAAGTGGCAGATGGTGCCAAAGAAGGGCGGCCACTTGAAGAAACTACAGAAGTACCTTGAAGTGTAAGGGTACATTGAAAAACTACATTACACTATACAATCGGCATGTAAATAGCAAATGCAAAGGGATTCTATTGATCTATTTGGTTTTATGTTCGACCTCCTTCCACTCGCCTGTTTGGACGTCTTTTCTGATTTCTTGTGTAGGGAAGTAGTGGTAGTTGGTCTTGATGGAGACCGCACCAGGGACATGGTCAAACGAGACAAGACGCAACTTGACGTAGGTATTGTCTGGGATGGCAGTGACGTGCTGGATGAAAGACTCCAAGTCGGTGGTTTCTTGGTCGTTGACATGCGTGATGAACACACTCGTCAGGATGCCATACTGTGCCATAGGTCCACCAGCATGCTTCCTAGCGACGTAGATCTTGGAAGGAATGGTCTCCATGAGCTGGCGAACAGCGTGATGGGGTTCTTGGATGACGGCTCCGCACCAGAAGAACACTCTGGTGGTGTTGATGGCTGATGTGTCGACAGTAGGAGCAGTTATGTCCAACACCTTTTTCTGACGCACAACCTTGAAATTGAGAAATTCATTGGTGTACATGTCACTGAGGTCTCTAGCACTCTTAACGAGTTTGTCGTTGACTGTAAGAATGATGTCAGATGTCTCGAGAGGACATGGACGGCTGTCGTCAGAAGGAGCACTCACTCTGTAGACAGACAAGAACTTGACTTCGTCTTCACACTCCTCTTCGAAACGAGTGATCCATTCTTGTGGAACACCACGAGTACGGCCCAGGAAGACCGTGAGAGGCGTAAGCTCAGCATCCAAGATACGCAAGCTTTGAGGAATCTTGTTGTTTTTCAACCCCTCAAGAATTGGAGCCACATCAGAGACATCCAATGCCATACGGAACATGACATCAGACATGCCTTCGGTTTGTTCACCCAAGTAGGTCAACCAGAATGCACGGAGAGTACCATTGTCGTCAATAAGAGCACCGGTATCGCACTCTTGAGCGATCTTGCTATCAAGCAAAATACACTCAAGGTTAGTTCCTCTGTAACGAGGACTGTTGGCGTTAGCACAAATGTTGAGCGATGAGATGGAGCTGACAGTGACATCATCAGTTACCATACGGAAATGGTAGTTGTAGCCAACGAACAAGGACTTGTCACCTCTCTTAAGTGGAGTGTTTGAGAACTTAGGCGTTTTGACGTCAGCAAGAACCTTTGAAGCATCGTACTTCACCAAGGCATAATTGAGGTTTGGATGCAAGAAAACCACCTTACCTGGAACATCAACAGATTCAGCAAAGATAAGGTAGACGTCAAGTACATCATTGGGGACAAACTTTCTAGACACCAAAACATAACCATTCTCGGCATCCACAACCACACCATAACCAGCGTCCTTTCTCAAGGAAGTACCATCGATAGAAATAGGGGAAATGGTTCTTAACTGAACAAAAGACCTAGTCATCTGAGCACATCCTTGTCTTCTGTCATCAGAAAACGGAATATCAACGAACTTGGCATTCTGTGGCTCAATTTCTTGAGGCGGGAGAGGCTCCTTCTGCAATGATTGGAAATCCCAGAGACCAGTCTTGTCGTTTCTGGTGGCCAATCTGAAATCAGTTTGCCAATGTCTTTCAACATAGACGACATGAACGTTCTTAGTATGCAAATCAGACATGTGACGGTAAGCGATAGTGACCTTCTGGCGATCAGGAATCTCCTTCATAACCTTTATGAAAGTGTCCAAGTCAGGCGTTGGTCTTTCGTCAATCTTGTCCAAAATCCAACCAGTCTTTTCACTAGGAGAAACATCAAAAGTACCAGAAGCGTCACTGATGAATACACCCTTCACAGGAATGCAGTAGCACCTGGCCATCTGGTACGAGAGATCATTGAAAGATGCACCAGCAACCTCGACATATCTGCTTGGGGTAATCTTATGCAAATCACCAATCTTGATGTTCTGCTTGAACTCGTTTCCGCCTCTCTGGTAGACAAATTCAAGCTCCTTGTCAACATTGGCATCCAAGATCTCGTCGACCTTGATGAAACTGTCAATGAACTCGCCATTGATGGAAATAAGCGTGTCACCCTCCTTGATAATGTTATCAGCTGGTCCCTCAGGGAGAACAATCTCAGCAACCAAGAGACCCAGCTTGTCTGGGAAACGCTCTCTAGCCTGAGCCTCAGCGTCTGGGGTCAAACCCAATCTGCGACACTCTTCAAAAGGACGCAAAACCCATTCAACCTGGATGTCACCTCTGGTAATTGTCTGATCTTGCTGAATACATTGCAATGCACGCAATGGACGGTAAACTGGAAGGAAGAAATCCGTAGAAGCTTCAGTGGAACCACCTGCCTGCAACGCCACAGCTTGGCCATTTTCGTTCACCACAGGAGAACCAGAAGATCCACCCGATGCAGAAGCAGCAGCTTGTATATATTCTGTGTTGAAGTCATTGTATGTCAAGGCACCGTAGTAAGGAGCGTTTCTGTCCAAACGGGAGATGAATCCGGCCAAGATAGACAACTTTTCACCAGCATCGTTACCGACAACTCTGATTTCAGTACCAACCTTTGCCAAGTCTGGTCTAAGCTCCAATTCATGGATTTTCATGTGCATAACCGCCTTTGGATCAAACTGCAAGAAGCCAAAGTCGTGGATGGGATCTCTATAGAGTGGTCTGACCACAGCTTCTTCATGGTTGTCAAAAACAGCATAACCAGAGAATGGACCAGGTCCCACAACGTGACGGTTGGTAAGAATGATGCCCCTTGTGGAATCAACAACAAAACCTGTGGCTTCACTCGTGAGACAGAGCTCAGTGTCGAAGTTTGTAATGTTAGTGAAATGGATCGAAACCACAGACTTGATGACTTCTGTGATTGTACCCTGCCATTGGTTATTGTTAAGCGAACCAGCTGCACCCATAGCAGCAGCGTGGGCCGTGTATGCGTCCTCTATGCTTTCGTCAGAGTAAGACTCTGATTCCAGCTCCATTTCTGAGGTATCTCTTGGGTCTCTTGCGAGACGCTTTGGTGATTGAACCACGCCATTAGAAGCCAGCCTTTTTATAGGAGCCATTATTTTGCAAGTGGGAAATGGATCGAAAAAAATGGAATAATATGGAACCGGTAGTTCTGAAAAGAGGTGTTGGTAATGGTTGACGGTACTGCAGAGATAGTGTGATGGGAGGCAGCATCTCGAACTGAGGAAGTGCTTTTTTCAGACGCAGCTGCGACACACCCGTGCACCGCATAGTTAGCGCCGGTCCAAAGTTGCAACCGTAGTGGTGACGGGTATAATGCAAAAGAACAAGACGCCGGGCATATTCTTGTATCTTGTGACATGTGGCGTAATGAGACCGAGATGATTGGTCAGAATGTGCTGATGGATGGTAAGTTAACAAGATTTCAAGCATATTGTAAATGGCTGCAAATTATCATAACCTAATAAGGTGAGGCTGTGTGCCATTGTAGGGATGAGTTTTGCTTCTCAAATATCCATATTTTTGCCAAATTATTTCTCGAGTTGCTCTAGAACTCTACTGGTCCAACGGTTGTAGTACTCAACCTGTGAAGGCTTGTCAAACATCACTGAAGGGTTTATCATCGATCCAAACAGCTCAAGAAGCTCGTAGCCTTTTCCTAGCTTTCCTTCCACCTCACGGGCCTTCGAGTTATCTTCGGATGACCAGTTATTGTGCACATACTTCAACTCCAAATCCACAATCCAAGGTTCAGATTTGACAGACTCTTCGATAATGTTGATCCACATAATCATATTCATCTTCATAAGTCCTCCCTTTTGGTACTGGAAAAGCTGATCCTGAAGCTCCGTCTTCTTTCCAATAGTCCTTTCCAAAAGTTTACTGTTGATTCTTATGTATGCAGCGTGAACAAGCCCACACGCTAGAAGCCATTCGTTCTTCTTTAAAAATTTGTGTCTTTGGGCCATAAAACTCTCCACAAGCTGAGGAGTAACTTGGGCAGGAATGTAAAAGTTGTTTGCAAAAGATACAATATCTGCAACAGTAAGCTGGCGAATGTAACGCGGTGTTCCTGGAGAAGCAGCTGCAGATTTCTGCGTTTTTGGAGTTCTAGGAGTCTTTGGCAGTTTCGGGGTTCCACTAGCCTCTTCGAGTTTACGTTTCGTAGGAGTATTAAATGGAGATTCTTCGTTTGAAAGCTTTTTGCTCGGGTTAAATGGAGACTCCATCTCAAAAGCATTATTACCCTTCGGAGACTTATCTTCCTTCAACGACTGCAATTTCTTCAAAGGACTAGAAATTTTAGGTACACTGTTCTTCTTAGATGGCAGCGGCAGCATTGCCGGACTCATGACACGTTTCTTCGTAGGTGTACTGCTAGGAGAACGTGTTGCAGCTACCACCTTATCCTCTATATCGTCCAATAGCTTTTCCAACAACTTTGGCTGTACGGGAATCCTCTGAGGCAGAGGCTCAGGAAGTGAAAACCTCTGCTGACAACGCAAAGCGCCAAGGTAAGCACATAAATGGTACCGTGCTACATCTGCCCTATATGGAAGTGAGGGAATCTTCTGTATACTTAGACTGTAGAGGGAGTCGACATATGAAACCAATTGGGAAGGAAAGGGCCCTGAATGGGTAGGTAGTACATCTTTAAGGCACTGAGTGATCTGTGGATTGCTCATGGGAAGAAGGAATGGAGACTGAGTGGGAATGAGTAGATGTAGATCTAAGCGCCCTTACTTAGTAGTAGTAAGGAAGTTGTTGATGTGTACTGCAGGTAAGACCACCATCCCAGGCCCTAAATGATGAACACTTCCATTCCAGGAGCATCAAGCGATGTAGTCTTCTGATACTATTTGCTTAGTTATTGGTCTTTACTTGAATTTTCGTTTCTTGGGGGATTCCTGGTATGTGGTGGGCCCACGGCGGAGGGACATCTTATGAGTCGCACACGACGCGCGCTAGCCAACCAGAGTAAAAGAAAAGTAAAAGTATTATAGCTTTATCTTACAACACCTTCTACAACCCCCACACATACCAAGAATGTTGTCAAGAGGTTTCGCCAGGACGCAGATCCGTCAGTTCTCGCGTACTGTGCACAGTTTGCAAAAACCAGTTCTTCTGGACGCTTCCACTGTGAAGCCTAATGAGATTGTCTCTGGAGCACCAGAGGAATTGACCACATCCAGAACCGTTAGAATCTTTAAAGAGGCCAAGCCAGCCACACAGTCCGGACGTCACAACGGAAAGTTCTGGAAGTTGGACTGGGACGTTTTGGGTAAAGAAAACAGATGGGAGAACGACTTGATCGGTTACCAGTCCAGTGGTGACTACATGCAAGGCACCATCATGAAGTTTGACACTAAGGAGGCTGCTATTAGATTTGCCGAGGGCCAGGGCTGGTCATACTATGTCAAGGAGCCAAAGGAGAGACATTTCCGTAAGAAGGAGTACGCCATGAACTTCTTCCACTCTCCTGGACCTTTGAAGCACATCAGAACGAAGTGATGTGATGCATCTGTACTATAATCGCATATTATTTGAAGAAGAGGGAGCGTTGGGCTATGATGCTCGTGTAGAGATTGGGTGTAGGTACGGTGATGAGGAGGGCAGAGATGATATGAGGAGGAAAGTGGCAGCCAGAACAGCAATGAAAGGTGAGGTGAAGAGGCGTTCAAAAGGCAGAAAGATGGGAGTGAAACGATTGCAACGAAAGCTGATTGATGCATCCGGCATTCTTTGATGAGTTTGGCTAACGTTGATGGCTTTGGTGATGGAGGTCTTTGAGGGAAGAGCTAGATGAAAGATTGGGTCCATGAATGCAAAGGAAGTTGTTTGAGGACTTACAGAGACTTGATTCGTTTTGAAGGCTTCCTAGTCTTCAAAGAAGGTGAATGGTTGGTTTATCTATCAGTAAGGGCTGATCGACTTGTCGTGTGACCACATTGCGTCTGTCAACCCACAGTCTTGATTTTCAAAACCTGAAAGTCTGAAATGGAAAAAGCCTGTCAAAACCAAAATAAACCCCTTCTCTTCTATTTCGAAGAAACTTGAGTACCTATTAAACCTGTTTCTGTCTTCCTAGCTCACCTTAAAAGCATGAACTAAGCACTTCCACCGTTCACTACCTCCCTGAATCCCACCAAATCACCAAAGCCAACCAAACCCCACCATCCACTTTCACCACCTCTACCACCTCTTCCACCCCAAAATCCACGTCTTTCACGTCTTTATGGTCTGTTCACGGTTCTGGCGTGGCTGCGAAAAGCCGCTCCATAGTTAAGCGAAAACCTATCAAGTCCCCAGTCATTTCACCACCCACACATCGAAAAACAATAAAAAGTATACCACTGAAACCACAAACTGTCCAGTATTCGTCCCCTCTTTTTTCTCCCATTTACCTCTTCAAACCATCGTTTTTGCTGGACCTTCTGGAAAACCGGTAGCCCCAGACCAGTCTCCTATATACACTCCACTCACTACTACGCGCAAGATGTGCATACTTCTTCAACAGTAAACTACACAAGATAGACTGGTATACCACCACACTTGGCCTGGCAGATATCATAGGGCTGTTTATAACTGGGTTCCACGTGTTTCTTTAACTGGACACTTGTGATTAGCATACAAGAGAGCAGCAGAAACCTGTACATCTCTTCCCCCTAAGTCTCGGAACCTCCCATACACATATATGTCTTTCAACCGCCAGAGACATAGACACCGGTACGGCTCCTCAGGCGGATCATCGAGCCTCGGTGGGCCTTCAGGCGGCAAGTATCCTCTGCTGAGGCTGCCGCATTACGATCGTAATCGAAAACCACGGGCTTCTGGGTACCTGGACTCGAGGAATGATTCCTTGAGAAAACCAGTCTCCGATGGGAATCCTACTCCAGATCTGTCTGTGCAAACGCTGCCTACGGAGAGTCGTTATAGAAACGGGTATTCGTCGAAAAGTCATAAATACGCAAACGGTAACAGCCATTCTGGCTCCAGACTGTCTTATACTAACGATGATGGCTCTGCGGTGTCTACACCTCCCCATAGCGCTTCGGACCCGACTTCGAGGCATGAAAAATTCAAGCTTTCGGGCACTAATACAGCCACGGGCGAAAACCCGGTGGATTCCAAGTTTGAGCAGTGTCTCCATCACATATCCCACCTAAACCTGCGACCCTTCCTGACCCCAGTCGATATCCTGAAAAACTACCGTGTAACATATGATCCAGAACTAGACCTGGCACTTCCGAAAGCCGAAAGAAAGCATAATACCAAAAAATTCCGTTTCCAGACCGAGCACCACGATAGTCTGCCTTCTGACCCTCGTGTGAAGATGGGTGTCCACAACTACTTCTCCAAACCCAACAAAGCATCCAAGAAATTGCAATTCAAGCATCTACCCCAGCCCAGGTTTATATACGACAAGGACTCTTTGGGCCTGCCTCCACTTACCGAGTTGATAGTATGGGATCTTCCGAACTCCACTACAGAAGTGTACTTTGTCAACTTCTTCGAGTCTTTAGGAGATAAGATCAAGGATGTGAAGTTCTTGAACGATTCTGCCAATGCTGTTCCACTCGGTGTTGCTACTTTCTCCTTTCAAGGCAGCGCAGAGAAGTCTTCTCGCACAGCCAAAGCACTTATAAAGCGCGTCAGACTCGAGGCTCCCAAACTAGATGGTGAAGAATTGAAGATTGGACTCAATGACAGCGAGGGCCGTCTTCTAGATACGAAGATCAAAGTCGCCAAGGGCAGACTTCAAGTCGAAAGACTCAAACGTGAGAAAGCAGAGAAGAAGCTTCTGGAGATCAAAAGAAAGAAAGAAGCAAGGGAAGCAAAGAAAGAGCAGGCTGCTGGAAACGCACCTGATACAGATAAGTCAAAGTCACCATACGAGGGACAGCTTCCTAGCAACAATACCACCACAAAGTCCAAGGTTCACAGAAACAGGCTCATTGAAGGGTGTGAAATCCCTGACGAACTCATAAAGTACGTCAAAGACAGACCATTCGTTTTTATTGCAGATGAGTTTGTTCCGGTGAACAAGATCTCGTCACAGGACGTGAAGAAGGTCTTGATGAAGTACGACTGGACAAGAGTGCTAGTCGACAAGAAAGGCTACTACGTTGTTTTCAACTCGCTCAAGGAGTGCTACCGCTGTTATAAGTACGAGGACGGACTACGGTTTTTCGAATACCGTATGTTCATGGAAATGTGCGTTCCAAAAGATTTCGATCCCGAGAAGATTGCATCCAGAGTGGCTCAAAGCCATAGCACTGGTCACGATATCGTTGACGAAGCTACCAACATGCTTATTAAAGAATTCCAAACTTTCTTGAGTAAGGATATTAGAGAGAGAGTTATTGCTCCTACCGTGCTAGACCTACTTTCACCAACAAACTACCCTGAGCTCATGGCCGATTTGAAGAAGAAGAAGGAAGAAGAGGAGGCATTGGCCAACAAAAAGAAGCAAGAAGAGGAAGCCAAACCTGCTGGCTCTTACTCGTTCTTACAGGATAGGCGTAAGGATACCAAGAAGGGCGACCCTAATAATGATCGTGTCTTGATGCTTCCCAGCTTTACCAAGAAGCTTGGTGCTTCTCCTAAGGGTAAGACCAAGAAGATGAAGAGTATGCTTCCAATGCAGCACGCTTTGAACTATGCTGATCAAGATTCTGACGCGTCAGATGAAGAAGAGTCGAGCCGGTCTGTGACTCCTGCCCCATCCATGAAGAGAGAGTTGTCTCTGACAATCACCTCACAAGAAGAAGAGGCGCCATCGAAGAGACAAAAGTCTTCTAAGCTTCGTGAGACTTTCATGTACGACGAGACTTCCGAAGAAGAGGAGGAAACTGCCGAACCCGCTGATGAGATGGAAGTTGAGGAGGAGAAACCAGAAGAAGAGGCTGCACCAATCGACGAACTCTATGCTCCTACAGAAACCACCGCTCCCGTTCCCGTTCTTGAAGAAGTCGAACAACAAGCTGGCAGTCTATTTGACTTACACAGATTGGAGAATGTTGTTAGGGACGACGAGGATATGGAGTTGGCGCGTAAAGTACTTGCCAATGTCGAACCTGCCAAGGTCAAGCATCCTGAGTACTGGGCTTGGAAGCAGAAGGAGCTGTCGAAAGCCATCATTTCTGAAGAAGAGTCTATTGGAGTTCTTAGTGACCGTTTGGAATGCTCTACAGGCTCCTTTAAGAGCGAAGGGTACAGAAAGATTGCAGATGCTGATAAGATTGAGTACTTGCCATACAGAAGGAAGATCCATAAGCCTCTCAAGACCGTTCAGCATGACGAGGAAGAGCACGCTTCTGGTGGAGCTGCCAATAGTGGTGTTCAAAGCTCTCGTGTGAACCGTGCCAACAACAGAAGATTTGCAGCCGATATCAGTGCCCAGAAACAGATTTTGAGTACCGAGTCAGATATTCTCAACTTGAACGCTTTGAACAAGCGTAAGAAGCCTGTTTCGTTCGCCAGATCTGCCATTCACAACTGGGGTCTTTTCGCTCTTGAGCCTATTGCAGCCAAGGAAATGATCATTGAGTATGTTGGAGAGAGTATCAGACAGCAGGTTGCCGAGCACAGAGAAAAAAGTTACCTCAGAACAGGTATTGGTTCATCCTATCTTTTCAGAATCGATGAAAATGTTGTCATTGACGCTACCAAAAAAGGTGGTATTGCAAGATTCATCAACCACTGCTGTAACCCCAGCTGCACAGCTAAAATCATCAAGGTTGACGGTAAAAAGAGAATCGTCATCTATGCATTGCGTGATATTGACGCAAACGAAGAGCTCACGTACGATTACAAGTTCGAACGTGAAACCAACGACGCAGAAAGAATCCGCTGTTTGTGTGGTGCTCCAGGATGTAAGGGCTACTTGAACTAAGTTTTGCACCCATTCTTAATGTATATAGAAGAGCGCACAAGACGCGATGTGGATAGTGGTGCAGACAAGAGACATCAGAGGTGGAAATTTAGTTAAGCGAGATCGACTGATAGTCCTTACCCAGAGTGATATATCCTCCCGTTAATATATTAATAGTGATCTATATGATATAAGATATTGGTATCGACGCGTTTTAATTATAGTTTTCTGCAAGTTCCATGTACCGACCCAATGTTCTACGATCCTGTTTGAGCTCTTTCTGGAAGCGATCCAGAGACCTACAACGACCAATATGGGGAAGTTCCTATCCTAAGCATATAATTAAGACTGGAATTGTACCTTTAAGTCGAACTTACGCTTCAAAGGCCTCCAAAAAAGACACTGCCACGAAACCAAGGCCTCCGCCAGAAGACTGGGATAGAGGTGGACAGACCAAGGACGTGGCTCTTACACCGCTACTTCTGTCAATGAGACGCCTTATGGATGCTAATAAAGGATGCGTTTGCCTTATACAAGTGGGCAGTTTCTATGAGCTTTACTTTGAGCAAGCGACGCTTGTGGCGCCCAAATTGGGAATAAAAGTGGCAGTGAAACGAACAAACAATCATAGTGTGCCTATGGCTGGATTCCCAGTGGCACATTTACGTAAATTCGTGAAGATGCTAGTGCACGATTTGCAAGTTAACGTTGCTGTGATTGACCAATACGAGTCAAGCACAGAATCCATTATGCATAGAAAAGTCTCCAGAATCGTGTCCCCAGGAACATTGGTTGACGAGAGTTTCATTAATTTTTCAAAGAACAATTATTTGGTTGCTATTTATATTCCTCCACAGGCGTCACAAGGGCCCAATCCTGATATACCCGTGGGCATTCTGTGGATAGATATATCAGTGGGAGAGTTCCATGTGCAAGAGACAACCATGGCTGATTTGGCATCAGATCTTAATAGAATCAGTCCAAGTGAAGTTATCTTGCTGAAAGAATGGCAGGACCAGGATGAGCTGTTGGATTGGATTTCTGAAATGGCTAATTTACGAAAGTACTTTGTGCGTTACCATAAAACAACGTACCGTGACTATAAGGTTCAATTGAAATCCAGTCTTCAGACTACCAGAAAAAAGCTTGAAGATTTCACGGTCCGCGAGGAAGCTGCTATGAATATGGTGCTTTCCTACGTAAATGTTAACCTACCTGATAGACCACTACTGCTTGATGTTCCCGACCAATACTATAGCAGCAAATATTTGCATATGGATTCCAGAACAAGAGATGCGTTGGAGCTTACTGAACGTCTGAGCAGTGGCCTGAACTCTGCTGTTGGCTCTCTTCTCAATACTATCAAGGAAACAGTGACTCCATCAGGCACGAGACTCTTGACTCAGTGGATAAAGCTGCCTATTTTGGACATTGAGGAGCTCAAAACACGCCAGCGGTTTGTTCAACTCTTTCATGATGCCAATCCTTTTTGCATGAGACTTAGACATCAGCTTACCAGGCTTGGAGACCCCGTAAGGTCCCTTCAAAAGCTAGCACTTAAAGCAGGACCACCTGTATCGCATCTTCTAGCAATTGGCGAGGGCCTTGGAGAGCTACAAAAGCTTAAAACGCTACTCGAAGAGTTCAGGCAAGAAAATGAAGATGAGAAACTTCTGAAATTTATTGAAGACTTTGATGTACCTATTGGAATTGCTAATGAAATTCTTGACACTCTCTATACTGATCCCGTGTTAGTAAATGCCAGAGAGCTTGTTGAAGAAGGAGATTCAGGTCTGTTGAGCGATCTGTTGGGCTCGTCTCAAACCGCTATTAGCGACTATAAAAACGAAGACAGCACCAAAGAAGGTGAACCCATCTTTGTGTTTAACGTTAAAAGAGACCATGATCCAGATTTAAGCAAACTTCATAACGAGCTAGAAGAGATACAAAGAAAAGAAATTGAGATGTTACAGAGTGTCAGGGAAAATGTGGCCACAGTTGATCCCAGAGCGACTGTTATAAAGAAGGATCAAGTTGGAAGATACTTTGACGTGATACACATCTCTTGTCGTCAGAAAATGTCTGGCGAAATAGCAAAACATCTTGATGAAAACGGGGAAATCAGGGAGAAGAAAAAGACTACATTAATCTACAAGCCATTTAAATGGACTAGGCTTCAGGAGCAGCGCAGCAGCATAGTTCACAAGATCGAGGAAATGGAGAAGATAATCATTGAAAACCTCAAAAAAGCTATCCTCGAACAAACCTTGCAGATCAGAAAAGTCAGCAAAATGGCAGACTTCATAGACATTACTTCATCTTTTGCGATTCTTGCCAGAGAGAATAACCTTGTTTGTCCCAAGTTTGTGAAATCAAACTACTTGAATGTTGTTCAAGGAAGGCATCCTGTGGTTGAATCTGGCCTCAAGACGAACGGTGAGATGTTCACTCCAAACGATACGAAGCTCGGACCAGACGGAAACCTTTGGATCATCTCTGGGCCCAATATGGGAGGAAAAAGTACGTTTCTTCGTCAAAACGCTTTAATAGTGATAATGGCACAGATTGGTTCTTTTGTGCCCGCATCAAAAGCTAATATCGGCATTGTGGATCGAATCTTTACTAGAATTGGAGCATCAGACGATATCTTCAGCGATTTGAGTACATTCATGGTGGAGATGATCGAAACCAGCAACATCTTAAGTAACGCTACTTCCAAATCTTTGGCTATAGTTGACGAAATTGGAAGAGGAACAAGTGGAAGAGAAGGGTTGGCAATTTCGTATGCTGCACTTGTCAGCTTGCTTCAAAAGAACAAATGCCGTACTCTTTTTGCTACACACTTTGGAACTGAGCTCAAGAAGTTATTAGATGCTGATGAGATTTCTCAGGCCAATGTACGTTTCTATCGTACTAAAGTCCACAAGGCAGATGGAGCCGAGAACATCAGCTTTGATCATACGCTAGAGCCTGGTATAAGTGAACGATCCTACGCGTTTGAAGTTGCTAAACTTGCTGGATTTCCCGATTATTCATTAGATCATGCTAAACGAGCTTTGCGGCTTCTTAATGAAGCTTAACTATAGTACACTCTATTGAGGGGGGCCCTGCGGCGGATGCTGGGCATGCTGGTTTTGATCTTGCTGATTGAGCTGATTAGCCACAAGAGCTTGGAGTTGATATAATGCATTGTTTTGTTGAGGAGGTTGCTGCTGAGGCTGAGGATGCTGGGGCTGGTAGCCATGTGGATACTGCTGAGGTGGCTGCTGTTGCATTGGCTGCTGGTATGGGTTCTGAGGTTGTTGGTACATTTGAGGAGCAGCTTGAGGCATAGCCTGGGGCATTTGTCCTCCTTGAGGCCAATAGGGCTGTCCATAACCATAAGGATTTTGAGGCTGCTGGTACTGAGGTACCTGTTGAGGCATTCCTTGTTGAGGCTGATATGGGTTCTGCTGGTAGACGTTTGGTTGCATTCCACCCTGGTACTGCTGTTGAACGGTGTTCAAAGGCACGCCATATGGGTTAGGCGACAGGTATGCTTGGTTTTGCTGGACCGGAACCGGAGCTGGAGCCTGATTCTGGACTGGCGGAGTCTGGCTGGAACGGTCTTGCTGATTGTTTCTGTGAGGGATTCTAGGAAGGCCAGCGTAAGTGGTTTGGCTAGGAGCGAAACCATAAGAAGTGAACTTTGTCAGTTCAGGCTTTGTATTTTGCTTCTTCAACTGAGGTCCATCCTTGGAGTCCTTGGCCTTCTTCTTTTTCTTCTTGCGCTCTTGCTTGGCTGCAAGTTCTTGTTCGTCATCAGAGAACTCTTGCTCATCTTCTGGAAGCTCCTCGTCGTGACAGTTACTTGCATCTGTACCTTTGAGTTTCTTAATAGAATCTGTATAGATGAATTGAGACTCGGGAACGACATAGAAGACCTTCTCGCCCTTCTTGGGCTTCATCTGAAGGAATTCTTCTTCAGTGTTGAACTTGACTCTGTAGTGTGGCGCTTGCAACTTACCAAAAGTCTCAAAAAGAGGCCCCAAAATCAGTCTATCTTCAAAACACAAAACAGATTGATCCTTGAGAACACGGAACTCACCTGATATATTAGCCTTGACGATAGCATTGCATTCAAATAAACTTGTAAGGTTACCCACATATTCAAGTGGAGCATTCTCCGGAACCTTATAATCTTCAGGAAGACTGAATGCCTTCTCGTCCATCTCATTCTTAGAGAGAATTGGTCCACTGGGAGATTCATCTTCCTCATCAAGCTCGTCCACGGCCACATTGTCATCCTCGCCCTCCAGTTCAGAATCACTGGAATCCGAGGAGCTAGAGGAGTCTGAACTGGAAGAAGAATCCGAATCACTCGAGGAACCGTCAATGCTGATTTCCTCATCTGAGAATTGCTTGACTTCTTCGTCATTCAGCATGAACTGTTTGATCTTAGACTCGTGATCCACTTCGGCTTCTTCTGCCGTTGGCTCTTCCGACTCCTTCGGAGCTTCACTGACATTTTCAGCGGAAGTTTGAGCATCCTCAGTAGTATTGGCAGTCTCGGGTTCATTCAGTGGTTCAGCCTTCTCAATCAGACCCTCTTGGGCTTCTTCTTGTGGTTCAGTGGTGCTAGAAGTCTCAGTGTTTAGAGCAGATTCAGCCTCTTCTTGCACTGGAGTAGTTTCAGGAACCTCTTGTTTCACTTCTTCATTGGCTGCATCTTCTGGTTTAGTCTCTGTGGATTCTTCAGCTGGGGCATCAGCTTGAGCGGTCTCTTGCACAACCTCGTCTTTCAGAGTATCTTGCACAACGTCATCTTCCGCAGAGCCTTCCACTTCATGAGACTCGGGGGCAATGGTCTCACCAGATTGGGCGGCTTCCAGTACATTGGAATCCAAAACTGGCTCTTTCACACCTTCAGGATCAGCACTCATTGCAGTTGTAGATGTTAGGCAGTTATCAGTATGCGATGAGCTCGATGAGTCTGGGGAATATAGCTGGTGCACGGGTGTAAACACCGTTATCCGGGTCTATCCAAGAAGGAGAAAGTAGACATGGTGGGAGAAAAGAAAATAAATACTAAAAAAAAAAAAAATAAGCTGAAATTGAAAAATGACGAGAATTAGAAAGTGCCTTTAATTGAGGTCTTGATGCTCTTACGTGCGTCCAGAACTGACTGTTAGTGACAGTAACGACTTTTCGCAGCCATTAGAGTATAGTAGTGGTCAGAAGTACCATCTTCCTAGGCCAAATAGAGTCTAGACGACATAAGAAAACATAAAAAGTCGTTTACTTGACAGGCTACTCTCTGGCATGTAATTTCCCAATACCTACTTTTCCCCAATGCTTCTGTTGCCCACTGGCTACTCACCTGTTGACTGCCCTACACTCACCCACCTGACACCCAAAGCAGCACTGCTTTTCCCTGATCCTATGCCCCCCTAACCACCCAAGACCTTCCCCTTCCACAGCAAACCACCAGCAGGGCAACATTATATCCTCCCCCAAACCATCACCACGTCAGATCGTCACCAGGGAATGTGTGAGCCAAGACCCATGCGGGACCGGAATGTTGTTCTTCTTCATTCCCCCCTCCAGTAACCAAATGACCTACATGTGCGAGCAATGGAAGAAGAAGAATGGAGCAGCATGAGCGCTTTTTAAGCCAACTTTCTACGCCCCAATAGTACGATGCTGGTTGTCAGGTGGTGGAAGCCCAGGGATATCTAGTGACCAAGAGAAGTGCTGTTTAAAACGAATTGATGCTTCATCACAAGAAATATCAATGCTTGCTGTTGAAGGGGTGTTTTTATTTATTCCTGTTATTTATGTTTACCTTTGGAAAGACCCATTTTTGTGTTTCTGCATTGGCTGCGAAAAAACCGTTGCTCGCTGGTTATGGCTGCGAAAAAGGTACAACCAGCACTTGGAAGGGACCGAGGGTACCACGCAAAACGGAGTAAGGAGAATGAAAAGGGGTGTTCGGGAGGGTTTTTTTGTGATGAAGAAGATGAAATTAGGCGTTTTGGGGGGGTTTAGGGGGCCTCGTTTTGCCAGTACATGGCCCTTGTTGATGGACTAGCTAGTTAAGGCATTCTAGGAGATACCAGTAGATAAGGCTTCCTTTCCATGTGGTTTCGAGGGGACATTTAGGGATTGGTAGGCCGCCATAGCGCAAATTCCAATTAGCCACTGAAGCCCACTTTTGTACAATATGTGATGCTTAGGTTACATGCCTTCTATCTACTGGATGGCCAGCAAAGTACTTCATATCACTGCTTTAGCCACAAAAGACGGAACCCTAGCCTCACATAAACAATACTTTTACTGTTTTAGTAACCACCAATGCATTGTCGTTATCTTGCTTCTTCTTTGTGAATCTCATATATGGATGGTGACATCATGGCCGCACCGACCAGCATTTTGCAGCCACTGAATGTTGCGATCAGGTAAGCCTCAAAGACAATCAGAGAGAAGCCTTACCAGCCTCGTAGTAGCCAGCTTTGACGTGGACCCAGGCTTAGAAGGTGAAGAGCCCGGAATGACGTATCCACTCAAGTTGGAAGTGGTACGGAAAGTGGAATGTCATTACCGTTAACAAAGGCCAGGGATTGGATAGACCAGCAATTGAACTCTAATTAAAAGATAGTTCAATCTATATGACTTTCATAGTAGAAGAGGTTCATACCTGGCTATAGATGGTGGAGACCACCACACAACACGCCATGTAATGCCCAACACCCCGCAGAGCACACCAAACTTAAATCAGCCGAAGCGAAGTACAAAAGAAACAAGTTTCACCTCGTTTAAGGTTAGCGGTAAGAAGGTTCCGTCGAAGGAAAGCTTATTTTCCACCGCACAAGCGACCCAATGGCCGTAGCATACTCATCCCCAACAAGCTCATCCCAGCCGTCGTCACACAAAACCTCCAACGTTACAATCCTTTAGTCATCGTAAACTTTAAATAAACATGTGTCCTTTGACCAACCACTCAGGCCATATATAGACACTGCAGACCATAGTAAACAGACGAAGCCAGACGAGCCAGACGAGCCGCACCCACATGGAACTCCAGAGAACAAACGGCATATCCCAAACAGAACTTGTTTACAAGCCCTACCCAACCAAAATCCAACAGATGACAGTGCCCACCCACATCTAACCACTACAATGTAACCAACCAGTGGTTTTTGCAACCATATGCCCAAGCTAAAAAGCCAGACCTGCACGCCCATTATCACTTGCAGGCGCCGCAAAAACCATAGCATGGCTTTTCGCGCGCTTCCCAATGCAACTCGCAACCCAGCATACTTAGTGGGGCTGCGGACCCACATATATATATAGTAGACGCTCGCTCGCAGTTCTTGATTCTCTCTTTTTTCTGTTTCCCCATCGTCCCGGTTTAACCTGTCATTCCTTAACAAACAGCGATCACTTCCTGCTTCGGCAATTACGTTCCTTACTAAACGGTATGTATTTATGAGATATGAGTTGATGGAAGTCTCCAGAAACGAGAGACGAGAGAGACAAGATGTGAAGACATTTAGAGGTAAAAAGGAGATCTGAGAAAAGAGGGTACTTGAAATGGATGGCATGTCTACCGGCCAAGCAGTAGGCTTATACGATGGGAGAATCGAAATGAAAAAGACCAGAAATGATTTTGAGTGTTGTGGTTGGTAGTGTTGTCTGGTGGGACAAGTACGTGTGGTGGGACAAGTACGTGTGGTGGGAGATGACATATTCCTTATAGCTTCGTGATTGAAGTACGAGGGAGAAGGAGTCTGGCATCAAAGGATTTAGCATTTGCCATTTGTCGTTTGATATTTGTCATTTGCTTCTGTTGATGCTGTGGCCTTCGTTGCTCTATCCCACTACCACCACCAATTCCACTACGGAAACCACATCAAGAGAAAAGAGCCCGAAGGGGGCATCACCAAGGATTTATGAAACAATGGGACCGTCGGTTGGTGCCGAGGAATGAACACAAATGTATTGAAACATCGGCTATGGTCCTGGTCTAGGTCCAGCCAGGGGGGAAGCCAGGCACTGCCATGGCCAAGGCTCCGTTTCAGAAGCTCATCAGAAGCCGTTGTTTGTGTTCTAGCCGGCACTCATTGTGCTAGGAGTTTCTCGGGTTTGTGCTACACCCCCTCCTTTGTTTCATAACATCCCTTCATGAGCCCTTGGCATACTCTCTCTTGGCGCCAACCAACAACCATGCAAACTACAATTGGCTGCAACGGCAAGACCAGAAAACCTACAAACCATAGTGACAGCAAACTCAAAAGCTTAGTTTTTTGTGCTTTTTTGATTCGATTCCTTCTTTCCCCGTTGAACTAAGGCCATTTGGGCGGCAACCAGCCTTTTCGCAACCGTTTCCAAATCTGTCCAAGCCACCAGCTCGACAGCGCGTTGCAGGTGCAAAGAACCTCGCGACCAAGACGAGTGTGCAGGAAATATGACCACCTGCACTCCAGGTAGCGCTGGTGGCTCACTGTTTTGGGCAGGGCTTTGCCATTTTTACGCCAGTCGTGCGTCAAGGCGCATCGAAAGGTGCGTGTTTTGTTTACCTTCGCGAAATGTAACAGCTCCTTTTTGGCTGCGAAAAATCCCTCCTACTGTTCCTCCTGCCATAAGCCAAATCTTGTCTTGTCCCTTCCCCCACCAAAACGCAAACCTGCTTGTCTCACTGTTGTCTTACCCTCGTGCCCGCGTTGCTTCGCGGCGTTGGCATTGATGGTTGGCGTTTTTCGTTTACGCACCTCCCTCGTGTTTTGGTGATAAGCCAACTTCCTTACATAGACTCTGTTTCGCCTCTACCAGTCTTTTACTAACGTATAGCTATGAGATTCGCTAAAGCTTCGATCGCCTCTTTGGCTTTCGCTTCCGTCGCCTCTGCCCTTCCGGCTTACAACAAGAGAGACGAAGACTGTTCCTCCACTCAGGTGCATGTTCACCACAAACACAAGAGAGAAGTCGTCTATGAGTACGCCTACGTCACTGTGACTGTTAACGGCGCTGGCTCTATCCAAGGCTCTCCATCTACTGCTGTTGAGGAGCCAACCTCCTCTACTGAGGCCGAGACCACTTCCTCCTCCGTTATTACTTCCTCTTCCTTCTCCACCGAGACTCCTTCCTCCAGCCCAGCCTCCTCCACAGGTGCTTCCACTCTGTCGTCTGGCTCCACTCCAACTGGTGGTGACCACGGTATCTGGGGTGACCTTGGTGACTACCAAGGCCCATACAACGAATTCCAGGATGGTGTCCATTCCTGTGACCTGTTCCCAGTTGGTGATGGTGTCATTTCCCTCAGCCACTTGGGCTTCGGTGGCTGGTCTGGTATCTACAACAGTGATACTTCTACTGGCGGTAAGTGTCAGGAGGGTTCTTACTGTTCCTACGCTTGTCAGTCTGGTATGTCCAAGACTCAATGGCCTTCTAACCAGCCTTCTAACGGTGTTTCCGTTGGTGGTTTGTTGTGTAAGAACGGCAAGTTGTACCGTACCAACAAGGACACCCAGTACTTGTGTGAATGGGGAAAAGACACTGCCATTGTTGAGAACAAGTTGGGCCAGGTTGTTTCTGTTTGCAGAACCGACTACCCAGGTACTGAGAACATGGTTATTCCTACTGTCGCTAACCCAGGCAAGTCTATTGCTTTGACCACTGTCGACTCCGACACTTACTACACCTGGAAGGGCTTGCCTACCTCTGCTCAATACTACGTCAACGACGCTGGTGTTGGCTACCAGGATGGTTGTTTGTGGGGAAGTGCCGGCTCTGGTGTCGGTAACTGGGCTCCATTGAACTTCGGTGCTGGTTGGACGAATGGTATTGCTTACCTTTCGTTGATTCCAAACCCTAACAATAGAGATGCTACAAACTACAGAGTCAAGATCGTCGCCGACGGCAACTCCGTTGTCAACGGTGAGTGTGTCTACGAGAACGGTAAATACAACGGTAACGGCCACGATGGTTGTACTGTTGCTGTCACTTCCGGCCGTGCCAAGTTTGTATTCTACTGATCATTATTACCCAAACTTATGTTGTTTTGATATTAAATGAAAAATAGTTAGCATTCGATGTAGACCACGCCATATTTCATGCTTACACGAGCTTCACGAGCCCTGAGATCTTGAACTAAGCCTAGCTTTCATCTTACTTAAATTACATACATAGTGGCTGCAAAATGAGCCTCTTCCATCAATAGAAAAAAGTTTGATGCCCTCAGTACACCAAGGATTATTATAAAGATATTTATGATTTAGGAAAAGGTTTTAGAGGTTTTCAGAGGTCGTGGGCATTCTTGTTTGCACCTTGAATATTTTGGAGAAGTTCCGTATACCTCTGTTAAGTTGAAGTCGTAGACTAATAAATCGTCTAGTTGTTTTAATAAACAACGGACCGAAGAAACTTTCGTGAGACAAAATGACCCCTTCAGCGTCTTATATGTTGATTTTGCTCCTCTTGGTCGTCCCTTCTGTCTATTCAGTGCTGTTGTAGCTCCTCTGATGATATTAGTCATCACAGTTCCAAATCGGCATATCAACGCTTTAATGGGCATTTCGTCGCTTTAAAATAGTATAATGAAAGTATTGAAGTGGATCATAAGAAGCCATTTGTTCAATTGGAATCAGTCTTATGGAATTAAGCTGGTGCATGTGCATTTAGGTTTCTCTGTATGGGCTTTCTTGTAGTCCTCAAATGAAAGCATCAGGTTTTCTCAAGGAAATTGTTGTTAATTTTTAGGTTAGTTTAAAGCAATTCTAAGGATTTTGGTAAGCGGCTTAGTGTTCATTGGTCGATTCGTATTGAGAGAACCTCAATTTAGCTTATACGATAACCATATTCTCTTTGCACCATTCAAACCTTCCAATTGAACAGAAAAATGTCAAGATTCACCATCTCAAGAATCTAAGAAATCCAATTAAATCCTCATGTCCCACCAGACCATAGGTATCCGTTTCTATTAAGCTCTCTGGCTACAACTGAGTCCCTATTTCCCCCCCCCCCCCAATCTACCCATTAAAACACGTCCAACACTCAACCTCCACTTCCTCCAGCAACCAACCAATCTCCCCTTCACCCTACGCTGTCAACTACCTTCCACGAACAACCCACCAAATTAACCTTTTTAGCCATCCGAAGCGGCTCCCGAACCCACCCAGCGCTAACCAGAAACGACTATTGTGAAACCCCCAGATCTAAAAAAATAAACAATCATCAAAAGCCTCCAGTGACTCCAGAAGAAGTAGCAGCCGAGACTCCTTCAGTTTAAAGGAATGTATTTTCCAGTGAATCCCACTCCCTCTTCCGTCTCGCTCTCTCCTCCCCTCAGCCAGCGCGGAATGGGTGAACCCTGAGGAAGTCAAAACCAAAGCCAGGAAGCAACCAGGGAAGTGGAAGGAGGTTGTTTGGGAAAGAGAAGGAGAGGGAAAGGAGGGAAAGAAAGAGCGAAGTATTGAAAAGTCTACGTGAATGGAAGGTGTTGATGGTGGAGGAGTTTTGGTGGATAGAGTGCTGCGGGTGCAAATGCCTAGTATGGGGCGGAGGCCAGGTGAAACAGGGTCTTTTGACAGCTTTCTACATGGATAAGAAAAAGGAAGGTTGGAGCGGAACTGAGTCAGGAAGGTGCCAGAGAAAGGAATAAGGTTGGTTTAGCGGCCTGGGGGGTTTGTGGAAATGGGCATTTAGACTGTCATGCCGTGAAGCTTGTACTTCTAGTGTACCATGTAGCCCAATTCCTGGATCTATTGTACCACAAAGTCGTTGACCACAGACCAAAATTAGAGGACAGTATGGCCACCTGGCCAATCCAAACCCTTTAGTGGCACTCTTTCTCCTATGAGTAACTGTGGCTTCACAAGTAAGAGTCTTTGCGCCTATCTTGCGCTTCTGTGTATTCTACTCTAGTCCACTCCAGAAACTTTAGACGAGGTCAATTAGGCCACGTCATTCATAGACGACGGGGCCGGGGTTCCATTGTAGAGGAAGGGCTTGATTTCTGGGATATCCCGTTTAAAGTTGTTGTTGGTGATGTACCTGGTTGTTGTACCAGGCTTGGAATTGCGCTCACCACCATAACCAAGACTGGATGGTAGTACTAAAGCGGTTATTTCAACCCCTTGAAGCTCTCCACCACCCCTACCCTCTAAACAACCTCCTTAAGCTTGACCCGAATCTATCACCAGACGTGGTCATGGACTTTCCCCTGGCTGCGACATTTTTGCAACCATTTCTCGCATGCTAGCACTGAGGAGAACCAAATAACGGGGGAGTCTCCTCTTTAAGCCAGAACAAGCTAAGACATTTTCCGGTGATTCCATTCCTCCAACCAATAAACCAACTCTTATTACCCTTTTGGATGCTAGTTTGTTTCAGGCCTCCTCCCGCTAAATACCATTTCCCGTAATCCATCACACGAGAAACCCACTCCCTCTATATCTCTAGGCTGCCACAGATTGGTCTTTGTGGCTCTGATAGCACTGGGCCCATGCAGTGAGGTATTGCGCTTCCAACCAATCACCATTGAACAGCAGTACCAAAAAGTCCATAATGGAATAACCCAAGGGAATCAACAAAACAGGATAGTCTATTAAGGTTCGCCAAGGCGAGTCCCCGCTGGTCTAACTGCGATAAGGCTTTGTCGGTCTTGGGGCTTTGGGGGCCTTGGGCACTGGAGGGGGAAATTAGTGCGATGAGGCCGGTGACACAAAAGCAGGACCAGGATAACACGAGAAACAGATAAACCGAGAGGCGCCAAAAGAAACAGGGGATAATAAAAAAAAGGATGAAACTACGATGATGGTGGGAATTAAAAGATTTCTTTTATCCACACGGCGGGTGTTTTGGACAGTGTTTAGTATTTTTTCTTGTTGTTTTTGCAACCCATGGATTTTGTAGATTCTGTGTGGAAATTGCAAACAGTAGGTCGGTACTGGGTCGCAGCCCAGTACCAGAACAGAGTAGTCAAGAAACCTCTTGATAATAAAAAACCAAATCTAATCTAATTATCTCGTGCTAATTAAACAACTAATATTCTTGTTTGGTTGGACGAACGGTGGCCCGGCGTTTTTCTGCGGTACCCTTGGCAGTCCAATTGCCGTGAGGATGCCTGTACTGGCAGCGCTGGGGCTCCCTCAATCAACCATCAACCACTGACCCCAACAGATGTCCAAAACAAGGGGGATCTTCTGCGCCCCCGCTTATCTAAACCTGGGGAAAGATAGATAACACGCTAGATCCTTTTTTTGAAACCCCTTACTCTTCCTTATTCCTAACGGCAGCCCAGGTCGAACCGTTTGCAGGCGCTGGCGATGGAAGTTCGTGGGCGGCAGGCGAGCGCTGAGGTAGGGCAGGTTGGGCAGGTTGGCATAGGGCGTTTCGCGAAAAAAAAGGAAGAAAAAAGGCGATTTGGCGGTGCGAAATGCACGGCGAACTGGCGAGGGCCTTGGAAAAGAAAGGAAAAAAAACTGAGCGGCGTTTTGTGCATCTTGATAAGCAGCGAAGAAGGGTAAAAAAATTGAATGAAGCGAAATGTCAGATTACGGCAGCGGCTGGGTTACCGTGCAGGCGACATTTACCCTGTACTCATTGCCCTCACTTTCCATCCGCTTATAAAACCTGGTGTATTTTCCTGTTCCCTTGTTACCTTTGTTTTTCTGGTTCTTGATTTTCATCAATCATGTCCGACGTTGAAAAGACTATCGGTTCTTCGGAAAAGAACGTCGACTACCTTAGGGATGACTCCCTGGAACTCGTACCTCAACATGAGGTGAAGAGAAACTTGAAGGCCAGGCACATTTCTATGATTGCCTTGGGTGGTACTATCGGTACTGGTCTTTTCATTTCCTCCAAGAATGCCCTTTCGGCTGGCCCAGTGTTGGCACTCATTTCCTACATTTTCATTACGACCTTGGCCTGGTCCGTTACTCAGAGTTTGGGTGAAATGGCTACCTACATTCCTTGTTCGGGTTCTTTCACTCAGTTCTGTACCAGATTCTGTTCCCCTGCGTTGGGTGTGGCCAATGGCTGGAACTATTGGTTCTCCTGGGCCATTACTTTTGCTCTTGAGCTTTCTGTGGTTGGTCAGATTATCCAGTTCTGGACCGACGCTGTGCCCTTGGCTGCATGGATTTCCATCTTCTTCGTGCTCATCACCGTCTTCAACATGTTCCCTGTGAAGTACTACGGTGAGTTCGAGTTTTGGATCGCTTCCCTTAAGATCATTGCCGTTGTCGGATGGCTCATTTACGCTCTTTGCATGGTCTGCGGTGCCGGCCAAACCGGCCCTGTGGGCTTCAGATACTGGCGTAACCCTGGTCCTTGGGGTAGCGGCCAGGGCTTGGTCGACAATCTCGACACTGACAGATTCTTGGCCTGGTTGTCTTCCCTCATCTCCGCTCTCTTCACCTTCCAGGGTGTCGAGTTGGTTGGTATCTCTTGTGGTGAGTCTCACAACCCAAGAAAGGCTGTGCCTTCTGCCATCCGTAAGGTTATCTGGCGTATTATCATCTTTTACATCTTGTCGATGTTCTTCATGGGTTTGTTGATTCCATACAACGATCCAAAGTTGCAGTCTGACGAATACTTCGCTGCTTCTTCTCCATTCATTGTCGCTATGCACAACTCCGGTACCGACATTTTGCCCAGCATCTTCAACGCCGTCATTTTGGTGGCCATCATCTCGGCTGGTAACTCCAACGTCTACTGTGGCTCCAGAATCTTGTACGGGTTGGCCCATGTTGGTGCTGCTCCAAAGTGGTTTAAGCTCGCTACTCCACTGGGTATCCCATACGTGGCTGTTCTTTTCACTGCAGCTTTCGGTGCCTTGGGTTACCTTGTTCTTGACAACAGTGGTAACGAGGTCTTCGACTGGTTGTTGAACATTACCGCTGTCGCTGGTCTTATTGCCTGGGTCAACATCTCCTTCTCTCACATGAGATTTATGTGGATCCTCAAGAAGAGAAACATGTCCAGAGACATGTTGCCATACAAGGCCTGGGGTATGCCATACGTTGCTTACTACGCCTTCATCTTGGGCTTCCTCCTTGTCTTTGTGCAAGGTTACGAGTCTTTCTTTAGCATCACTGCTAGCAAGTTCTTCACTGCCTACATCTCAGTCATTCTTTTCTTTGCTGTGTGGCTTGTTGCTCACTTCTACTTCAACGGTTTCACTAAACATGCTTTCACACTCCGTGCTTGGCTCATACCATTGGACGAGTGTGATATTGACACTGGTGTTAGAGAGATCGAGGAGATGGTGTGGGACGACGCTCCACCACAGAACCTCTGGGAGAAGTTCTGGGACATTTTGTCTTAGAGCGGTGGCATTTGCATGAATTATGAACTAGACTTAATAGGATTAATGGATATTCAACGAATATATCTTGTAGATTATAGTAATGACTGATAATATGGTACACTGGGGTCTATAGAATGGAGACTGAAAACCCCTCTAACTAAGATTCCTCGAAGTACTGGTCAAACCAACAGTGTCAATCTCCTGGGGCCCATATTTGACTATTATGACTATTATCGTGGCCACTGGTTCACATTCCCCAGATCCATCTTTTTTTCACTGCTAGGGTGCGCTTTTTCAACCAAGTACATCATCATGTCTTCAGAGAACGGTGCTCAACATGTACACCAAAAGGACCCTCTGAAGTCGCTGTCCGAGGCTCTGGCACTGTCCGACCCATCCAAAATCGACTGGAAGCTTTTGGACCAGCAGAATGCCGAGCTTGACGGTGACCTGGACTATGACTCTGACTCAGACGACCACAACCACGGATGTGGATGCTGCACTGGTCGTGAAGTGGGCACCATTCAATAGGTAATATAAAACGAGGGTAACCTTTTGGCTAAGTTGTTGTAGTTTACTTTCTTCTTGTCGAACGACGGACGGCTGTACGAGTTCTCTTACCTTTAGGCTCTTCAGCCTTGTCTTCCTTTTCGGCGTCCTTTTCCTTCTTTGGAGTGTCCTTCTCTTTTTCTTTCTTTTCCTCCTCCTTCTTCTCTTCTTCTTTCTTTTCTTCCTCCTTCTTCTCCTTCTCAGCCTCTTCCTTCTCCTTCTCTTCGTTCTTATCATCCTCTTCTTCTTTACCAGAACGCATTCGTCTCTTCACTGGCGGCGTACCAGCTCTAGACCGCCTCTTTGGAGCAGGAGCGTCGTCTATCTTAGCATTGGATCTCGTACGTTTCCTCAGTGGAGCCTCTTCTTCCTTCTTTGCTTCCTTTGGTTCTTCTCTCTTAGGCGTACGTTTCCTGGTAGCTCTAGCCTTTGTCTTAACCTTAAGTATATCATCATCCTCAGGCATCTCAGCCTCAACGTCACTGAGCTCGGAAGAGTATATACCAGGGTCATTGCTCTCTTTAGTCTCCAGTTCTTTCCCTCTGGTTCGCGTACGTCTTTCAGGTTTGCTGGACTTTTCAGGCTCTTCAAGCTCCTTCTGGTCTTCAGTATCTTCACTCTTATCATCTTCGTTTTCTATCGACTCCACTTGCTCGAGATTGTAGAAACTACCTAGCTTTTCCCATACCTCTTCTGGCTTGTAATGGCTATCTTCAGGAACGTCCTTGTTGATAAGGGCCACGATCTGGGCCATATTCTCATCCTTCTTCTCTCCAGCAGGTTTATAATCGCATACTAGACTGAAGAGACGAACCTCGATTTCCACAGGCCACGCTTTGGACATTTGGTGGTGGTCTGTTGATGTAGTATTGACTTTTCGCACCCAGTTTGTAAGTGCACTGTAACATGGGGATCAGTGTAGTGGGAAACATTGCTTTTTCTACTACGATTTATGAAAACATTGCTTGAATAACAACAAAGAGACGATTTCATTAATGTATAAGAATTTGATTTTCTTTCAGCAGGGTGTTTAAAGTTCAGTACCAACTGCTTGCCATAGTGCGCTCCATGTTCAATGTATCAAGAGAGGATCGACCTACAAGTCTCTTCCAACTTAAGAAAACATGCTCAAGGAAAAAGAAAAAGCCACTTTTCTAGAATGAAAAAGCATCCTCCCTCTCAATGCCCATCAATGGCGTATAGTTCGTCACCTACAAATCTCCCCATTCACTATTCATCTTATGTGCCGCACACGTCTTTTTCTATAACTTTTTCAGATCTTCAGAATCTGCCTCTCTCTAACTTTCCACAGCACCATGCCTAGAAGAGCGAACAACCTCCTCTCGTTAACGAGGGGCCGTGTTCGTGCGTCCATGAACAAGCTGAATTTGTTCAACTTGTTCAAAAAAAGTTCCCCCAAATACAACACCCAGACTCTATACCAACAGAAGTGGAAAGCTAAGCAGGATACCAGAGCATACCATGGAGAGCACTTGGGTGAGAAGAGATGGAAGGCTGTTTTTAAGCCCAACCTTAACTCGGTGGCCCAGTTGGACGCTTCTTTGCAAGGTAAGCAAGTCAGCTTCACGCCTAATGCCATGCAGACATATGCTACATTGGAGAAAAGACTTGAAATGGCCCTTTTTAGAGCCATGTTTGCATCTTCCGTGAGACAAGCCCGCGAATTTATTAAAGGCGGTCATGTCAAGGTTAACGGTGTCGTGGTTAAGCATTCTTCTTTCCCTTTGAAGAGTGGTGATGTCTTCAGCGTGAACCCGGAGAAGGTTCTTCTAGCCATGGGCAGAGTTAAGCCAAGCTTGGAACAGTCTATCAAGGTTGACAAGAAGCAGATCGGTGCATGGAACAACTACGTCAAGACTGCTAAGCAGCACCCTAGAGATGTATGGGAATTGAAGCAGAACAAGCCTGAGTCCTTGAACACCTTGAAGGAAGACAAGGAGACCAAGACCATCAGCACAAAGACATACAACAGCGACTTGGAGAAGGCTATGCTTGCTGAACAGAAAAACACTACCAGAGGTTCTATCTTGGCCAAGATCTTGCTGGCAGCTGAAAACAAGCCAGTTGAGGAACTCCTGGCTGATGTCTTCAAGAAGGTTGTTCCAAATGGTGATGACTCTACCAAGGCTCTCAATGCATACAAGATCTTGAAGGAAGCCAATGTTCCTGTTGTGAGCAACTCCTCTGTGGAAGAATGTAAGAAGTACATCGCCACGAAGTCTCCTGATTTCAAGAACAAGGACGAGGCTAAGACTGCTTCTCACGTCAGAAAGATCTTGCTGGAGGTTCACAACTCTCATTTGGAGTTCCTCCGCATCCAGTGTGAGAACTCCAAGTTGCCAGAAGGCTCTATCCCAGTTCCATACTCTTCTGACTTTGCTAAGAAGTTGAAGACACACGCCAAGTTGGACAAGGATGCTATTCTTGAAGATGAAGAGACAGCCAAGGTCAACTTGCCATGGCAAAAGGGCCTCTTTGGCCGCCAGGACCCTTCCAAGCCATACTTCTCCCCATGGACTCCTAGACAATTCATCAGTGCATTCGCTGTCTTGCCCCACCATCTCGAGATCTCCTTCGAGACATGTCATGCTGTCTACTTGGCTGACCCAGTGGCCAGACCAGGTCACTCTGAAGTCATTTCCCCACACGGACTTCCAACACACGAGAGAGCTTTCTTGTACTACGCCAGAAAGGGTATGTAAGCTCTCAAACCTTGGTGATAGGTGCCTAGCCGGCACAGGTTACTTGTATATATAATGCTTAGGCTTAGATAATACACCTAGCGGAACGTAATAGTCAGTGTCACTGTAGAAGCCAGTACCAATGGATATCACCATTTTGCAGCCAATCCTACCAGAACGAGAGAACAAGCACCACATACTTAGCAACTCTAAGTAAACTTTAAGAATAAAAAGCGAAGTTGTCAAAATTCCACATCCTTGTCCAACTATTTTATTTAATCTTTTCTCTACTTTATTTCCCATATATATCTGCCTCCCCAGAACCCCACTAGCGCGAGCATCGCATCTCATTATCAGTAGGTAGATGATGCCTCGAGTCAGTTTCAGCCAGGTCAGGAAAACATACGCCAACAGGCTTCTAGCGCCTCTCCTTAATGCTACCAAAAGTCTAAACCAAGCAGAAAATGAACTACGATGGATAAAACAGGAATTGCCTGAACCCCAGTGGAGAAGTGCTGTGGCTCGAAGAGGCCGTCTTGAACCACTTCAGTATATCTTAGGAAGCCAGCCATTTGGACCACTAGATATAAAGTGCAGCAAGAATGTTCTTATACCAAGATGGGAGACTGAAGATTGGGTGCTGAAGTTGGCAGAGAGGGCTAAATCATGGGGTTCTTTGAGAGTGTTGGATGTGTGCACTGGCTCTGGATGTGTAGCACTCCTACTAAAGAAGCAGCTACCGAATGCTAAGGTCGAGGCAATTGATATTTCTGAAGATGCTGTTGCTTTGGCTGAAGAGAATAAGGTGAATTTGGGCTTGGAAGTGGAAGTTCGTAATGGTGATGTGCTACAACATGACATGTACAGCCAGTTATGGGGAGATACGAAGTTTGACATTGTGGTTTCTAATCCACCTTACATTCCTCGAAAAGACTATGAAGCTCCAGTATTAGCAAACGGGACTGAATTGTCGGTGAAACTATACGAACCAGAGTTGGCGTTGGTCGGACATTTGGAGTTCTACAAAGCTCTAGTCCACAATGTAGTGGAGCCGCTGCAGTGTAATGCTTTCGTATTTGAATTGGGCTACGAAGACCAGGCTGAGTATACAAAGCTGCTTCTCCAGCCAGGATGGGAAACAGCAACGTTGAAGGACTCCGCAGGGAACCTTCGATGCATTTATGGGTGGAGGAAACCGTTCAGTTTCGATCCACCATTATAGTTGTCTTTGTGAGTTACATTATGCCTCCTCCATCACCAGGTCGGTAACTTCTTCTTCCTTTTGGGCCCCATTCTTGGTTTCTGGTTCGGTTGGTTCTGACTTGGCCTTCTTTCTAGATCCCTTTCCGACAGCTTGGATGTGGCCACCAGCAGGAATGACCCTTGTGGCCCAAAGAACATAACCTCCGTAACCTCTGGAGGTCATGAGCGGATGCAAACGACCCTGAATAGTCTGATAAATTCTAGCACGGGTTTCGAAAATAGAAGGCGCCAAAACTCGCTTATCCTTTGTGAGCTCGTGCTGTGTTTCTAGAAGCATTTCTTTGAATGTGCTGTAGAAGACCAATGGTCTGGAGCCACCTACTCTTTCAATGACGTGAGGCAAAAATGATGGAATGTTTAACGTGGAACAGGAAACCAAGGCATCGAAGTTGCCCTTAATAACAGAATCAAGAGCTTTGTTAATTTCTCCCGCTCTCTTCAGTCTTCTATGGTATTGTAATCTTTTGTTTGGCTTCAAGCTGTCGATTTCTTCCTGCGGAAGGGGTTCCCATTCGATCTTCTCATCCTCGGGCTCTAGGAACTGGAGCCAACTGAGTGGTGTAATCATCTGTTCTTGAAGTTCCTCTGGATAGTCCAGGTACCGCAAAGCAGCCAAGTTGGCGTGTTCATTCTCATGCACAAGCATAATCTGGCCCTTTCCTTGCATTCTCTCCATCATGGCATAAACAACCACACCAGAAGTATCATCCAACACCAAGTAGCGGCCTCCAGGACGAACATTGGCATAACTGAGCAAAAGCCCAAGTGTCTCTTCACTCATATCCAAAACCTTTTGCATATCCTTTTCAATAAAATACTGAAGAAGCTGGGAGCTTCCTAGGTACTCAACCTGGAAACGACGCAAGAACTTCATCTGCTTTCTTCTCAAGTACTTCTGCTGAGAGAACACCGTCTTCTTATCGAAAGCCGCATGGCCAGCAATAATCTGTTCAATGATCTTCTGGCCGATTTCCGAAGAAGCACCCAGTTTCTTCAAATCGTCAATCTGCTTGTTATCGAGTTTCTGGATCTTCAGGCCCACATTGATGATGTCCTGGTTATTCTCAGCAGACTTCTCAAAGTACTTGATCAAGGCCTCCTTCTCTGAGATTTCGTCCTCTTCATTTTCCACCTCCACTTTATCCTCCTGATGAGTCAAAGACTTGATTGGAACAGCCTCCTGCTCATCTCTAACTTCAAAAGTAGTGCCAAATGGGTGTCCCAAGATAGAGCTCACCTTGAACGAGCCAAACTTTCCCAAAGAAATTGTGCCCTCTTCACGCAAAAGAATGATTCTAAGGCCCTCAGAAGGTAACCTAATCAAGGCATGCTGCCCAGGCAAAATGGTAGTTCTGCTTTTCATGAATTGGTGGTGTTCAGTAATGGTTCTGGTGAAGGCTATCTTTTGTGGAGGAGCGATGCAATTTTTCGCATCGCATCGAGGGCATCTCAAAAGTAGTCCATCAGAGATATACCATCTTTTCAGTACTGAGCCATGGGAAGAAGAGCGAAAAATAAGCAGGGCATGCCGCCCACGTTCGAGGAGCTCTATGGTGACAAGAGTGAGGCCAAGCCAGTGCAGCAGCAGAAGAGAAAGCGTCAAGAGAGGGAGCCTCCTAAGAAGAAGGTGAAGAAGGGTAAGAAGCAGCAGGAGGAAGAAGAGATTGAAGAAGGTGCCGATGAGCTTCCTGGGGTTGATCTTGAACAGTTGAGTTCTGCTAAGAAACTGCTTTTTGACGATGACGAGGAGGATGAGGAGCTTCCTAATGATGAGTTTGATGAAGAGGACATGGAGGATGAGTTTGTGGACTCTGATGAGGAGGGTAGAGAAAGACCTCGTTTCTCTGACGATGAAGAGGACTTGGAAGACTTGAATGCTGCTAACATGGAGGCTTTGTCTAGAAAGCTTGACGAGGAAGATGAGGCTGAGGCTGAAGAAGCTGAGCTTGAGTTGGTTCAAGGTGCTCCTCAACCTCGTGCTAAGGTTTTGCCTACCGCTGCCGAGGAGGAAGAATTGGCCAAACAGCCTACTGATGTGACTACTGTCAGAACCAGAATGCTTGAGATTGTTAAGGTTTTGGAGAACTTCAAGGAGTTGGCTGAGGAGGGTAAGTCTCGTGCTGAGTACACTGCTCGTTTCCTTAGAGATATCAGTGAATACTTTGGCTACTCTGAGTTTTTGGCTGAGAAGCTTTTCGACTTGTTCTCGCCTGCTGAAGCTATGGAGTTCTTTGAGGCTAACGAGGTCGCTAGACCAATTACCATCAGAACTAACACCTTGAAGGCTAGAAGAAGAGACTTGGCTCAGACTTTGGTCAACCGTGGTGTCAACTTACAGCCTATTGGTAAATGGACTAAGGTTGGTTTGCAGATCTTTGACTCTCAGGTTCCAATCGGTGCTACTCCAGAATACTTGGCTGGTCAGTACATTTTACAAGCTGCATCCTCTTTCTTGCCTGTCATGGCCTTGGACCCACAAGAAAACGAACGTGTTCTTGATATGGCCGCTGCTCCAGGTGGTAAGACTACCTACATCTCTGCGTTGATGAAAAACACTGGTTGTGTCTTCGCCAACGATGCCAACAAGGCTAGAACCAAGTCATTGGTCGCCAACATTCAAAGATTGGGATGTAAGAATACCATTGTGTGTCACTACGATGCTCGTGAGTTCCCTAAGGTCATTGGTGGTTTCGACAGAATCTTGTTGGACGCTCCTTGTTCTGGTACTGGTGTTATCGCCAAGGATGAGTCTGTCAAGGTTAACAGAAACGAAAAGGACTTTATTCAAATCCCACACTTGCAGAAACAGTTGTTGTTGAGTGCTATTGACTCTGTTGATGCCCACTCTAAGACTGGTGGTGTTATCGTCTACTCTACATGTTCTGTTGCAGTTGACGAGAACGAGGCTGTTGTGGACTATGCATTGAGAAAGAGACCAAACGTCAAGTTGGTTGAGACCGGTTTGCAGATCGGTAAGAACGGTTTCACCTCTTTCAGAGGAAAGCACTTCAACTCTTCGCTTTCCATGACCAGACGTTACTACCCTCACACGTATAACGTTGACGGTTTCTTCGTCGCCAAGTTCAAGAAGATCGCTGCTTCTCCTCACGATGTCTCGAAGGCTGGTGCCAAGGAGAAGGAGTCTTTGGCCAGAGCCGAGGCTGAAGAGGAAGGTATCATTCACGATGACTTCGCTGAGTTCAACGACGATGAGGACAAGGAGTTGGTGGAAAAGACCATCAAGAGAAGCATGAAGAGAAAGGGATTGAACCCTAACACGAAAAAATAGAAGCATAGGCCCACTTCATTTTGAAGTTATGTATCATAGAACGTCAATACAAATTTAAATCAGAATGCTGCTTATTGTATTTTGCTGTCTCTATTTAGAAGTTCCGGAGACTCATATTACCGAGACCGTGCTCTTTGATGTACTCGGCTCCGAATTCTTCGTATTCCAGTTTGCTGACATAGCTGGACTGTGATTCGGGCGATGATGCCCATTTTTGCATACCTCTCCATGAATCGCCAATAGGATCTCTGGCATGAGTAATGTTGAATGAAGTACCTACTGGAAGGAAGCTCTGTACCTCTGCCTTGAGTCTTTCGTTGAAATTAGGAACCAACGAACCACCACCAGTGACAAAGATGTTATCGACGAGGGCTCTCAGTTGTCCGCCTTGCCCAAAGTTACCATCAAAGTTTCTGTAAAGCAAGTTCTGGACAACTTCAGGGATACCCGCCAGATCTAGGCCAGCAATATGAGGCTGGAAGTATATTTCGGGAACTCTTATACGCTCCACATTGATGTGAAGCTGGTGGTTGCGCCGTATGATTTCTGGATGGTTTGCAAGCTCTTGTGGATCATGGCCTTCTGCTTGCATTGCCAATGTGAGACTTTGACGTGGGCCATGGATGAATTTATGGAGCGTTGAGTTACGCCAGTCGAAGGTTTCCGATGCTGCTAACGTATCTTCGTAATGGAAGTTAGGATCGTGTTTCATCAAATCTTCTTCTAAACGAGTGATTGCAGCATTAGCTTCTTCCTGTTCTTCTTCAATGTTGGCATTACTGATGTCTCTGTATGCGTTCCAGTCATCATCATTAGCACCGAAAGTGTCGTTAGGGTCATTATCAATAGTAGCAGAAGCAGTGTTCTTCCGGCGCTTTCTACCGCCAGCCGCACTGTCGTTGGCCAAGTCAGCAATATTCTTCATTCTCTGTTGGGCAGCCATAGACTTTCTGTCCTTCATAGCCTCCATGAGCTTGATTCTCTTCTTGTAACCTGCTATAAGTTGAGCCAACTCAAGTCTTTTAGCATTACACCATCCATCCAAATCACGTTCTCTCCATTCCTGTTGCTCTTTCTCAAACTGTGCTTTTTCTTCCTCTTCCCTCTTCTTCTCCTCTTTGGCACGCATTCTTGCGTCATAATTGGCCTTCAAAAGTTTTTGACGTCTCTTATCCTTGATCTGCTCTTCTGAAAGTTCTTCGTCAGGGATTAGGACAAGTGGCCAGGCCAATTCTGGGTTTGGCTCATCATCCTCAGTGCCATCATCAACATCTTGTGATCTGGCCTTTCTTAAGGCTTTCTCCAAGCCATCAACATATTTGTTGAAATCATTGAAGTCTCTGAATTCTTCACTTTGAGCTCTTCTGTCAGCTTCTGTCTTACTCAACAGAGCGAGGGTTTCCCTGAGCTGTCCATAATATTCAAACTCCTGTTCTTTCTGTATGAGCTTCTCCAATCTCTTCTTTCTAGCTTGCTCCTGAAGTCTTCTACCCTGTTCTCTTCTTCTCTCTGCCTGCTTGGCCAACTCTTCCTCAGACTTTTTAGACTTGTCCACGGCAACTTCCACGGGAACTTGAATGACAACATCCTTGTTTTCCAAAACGTCCATGTCCAAGTATGTAGACAACTCCTTAGGGTAATCTTTCAGAACATAGGCATGATCGAATAAAATATGGTTAGTGTGATGGTTCGAAAGACGTGTAGGAAAGTATGGATATTTCAATGCAAGAAGTCTTTGAAGGAACAGCAGTGCCAGATTGCCGCCCCAGTCGATTCTCTTGCATTGCAGTAGCACACCCTTACCCTGTAACATAGGAATAATATGTGTCAGCTCGCTCCCCACATCAATAACAAGGCCATCCGGCTTAGAAGAATTAGCATGGAAAGAAAAAAGCGAGTCAATTCCAAACGCCACCTTGGGTGCACTGTACGTCTCAAACATAAGCTCATACATGCTTCTTCTCTGGGTCAAAGGACATGCCACTGGCTCAGACAACACCACTGGGTTCTCCAAAGAGCCTGTCAGCGACTGAACACCCAAATGCTCAAAAGAATAATCCATGATGTTTTCAATAAGGTCCCAGTTGGTGATGAGCGGACCATCATATGGAGACTTGGCGTTGGTTCTTATACCACTATGATTGTTGACTTCACGGAAGATATCGTTACCCACAAGAGTCAAATTAAGACCCAGCTTTTTATCCTTATACCTAGAAACCAAGTTGGGAAACACATTATGTGGGTCAGGTGTGTCCACAAGGCCTACTCTGACGTTCGATGCACCAAAGTCAATGGCTATAGGAGTGTCTTGCTTGTAAGAAGCGTAAAAAGGCTCGAAGGAGTTTTGGACCTGAGGTTCACGGAGGTAGTGAAGCTTCTGTGGCGGAAGCTGTTCCTCTGGCGTAACAGTCATGGGCGTATGGGTTTGTTGAAGAATCGAGATTGGAACGATATACTTCACGGTAGGTGTCTGTACAGGACACACTGGTGAAGAAGATCAAGAGACAGATACCAACGGGCCCTAGGAAAGGAAAATGATGAATAATTATTATATTTTAAAGTAAAGGGCTTGGAATATTTGTCTGGATGGTTTTGGTTAGCTTTTGTTGGCGGAAGTTTGATATCTATGTGGAAATAATGGGTGCAAATAGTAGATGGGCAGGAGACGAAGTGGACTCCAAAAGTTAAATTTGGAACTGTCTTGTTAATAGTTCTTCTGAGAAGCTATTTTACGGACAGTGAAGAATGCATCTAGCTTTTCTGTTTCCTTATGAAAGTAGGTTGTTGGTGTCCATCATCTTGAGGCACTGTATACTCTTAACTAACATCAGCAGTACTTCAACCATCAACAAGGTAGCCAAAAGCATGCAAAATGCCAAGGTTTCTTTCGTTGGACTCTTCATTGTATTGCTTAGCTGTTACCATCCCTCGTTGTGTATCTTATGGTGATAGACTACTGGACCTCTCTCTTCCTACTGTCACTGGAATAGCACCAACCAAACAGTTATATGCCCACTTTGAACACCAAAACCCATAGAAATGAGTTATATACCATAATTAGACCTCGAACACCCATTTTCACCAGCTTCTCCCATTCTGTTGTCCAACTCAATGTACTACCCATTTGACAGTAGAGCACATATAGCACCAGCTTTTCGCAGCCATTAACAAGAACACCACCAACCACCAACTACCAACCACCAACACTGCCATTCAGAAAAGTACCAAACTAAAAAATAAAACAAACAATGAATCCCTTCATATTATTTCCAAAAAAAATCAAAACCTCCCACTTCTACCCTCCCCTCCCGTCCCACTGTCTTCTCCCAGTGTAGTCCTATTTCGGACCGAGATCTGTGCACCAACAAGGCCAGATCAGACATTCGCAACCGCCCTATAGATTACAACAAACCTTACCTTCTAAACCATGCCACCACAAGGACCTGCTGAAGAAAACCAGCTCAATGTACAGGGCTACAACATTGTCACCATTTTGAAGCGTTTGGAGGCTGCCACGTGCCGTTTGGAGGATATCACCATCTTCCAGGAGGAAGCCAACAAGGCCCAGCCATTAACCCGTGACTCTGTTTCAGAGGCCTTGTCGGCACCTTCTCTGAGTGACGTGTCTGAGGTTTCTAAAAGTGCTGTCACTTCGACTGAACCACACCCGGTTAAGACTCCAGCTGATGCTGCCCCTGCCAAGTTTGTCACTGCGTTTGACGAGTTCATCAAGTCTCACATTGTCCCATTCGTGACGCTTTCCAAGGCAATTGACCAGGCTGTGGGTGCTGCTGCTGCGGAACTCTGCGCAGCTTTTGTTGAAGAGGGTAAGTTCTTGGGTCTTGTCGCCCAGACAAAGAAACCTGGTATGGATGACGCCAGCTTGCAGAAGGCTTTGGAGCCTATCAACCTTCACATTTTCAACATCTCCCTTTTGAAGGACCTGAAACGTGGCACCAAAACTTTCAACCATTTGAACACTATCAGCGAAGGTGCTCCTGTGTTGGGCTGGATCGTGTCTGGCACTCCACTTTCTTTCGTTCCAGAGTACAAGGACAGTGCTAGATTCTGGTCTGACCGTATCATGAAGGAATACAGAGACAAGAACGAGACGCAAGTCGAGTGGGTGAAGGCTTTCTTGTCGATTTTCGACGACTTGCGTCTTTATGTCAAGGAACACCACTTTTCTGGTGTTGCATGGAACCCTCAAGGATCTAGTTTGGAGGAATCTTTGGCTGCTGCTGTGGCTGGAGCCACTAACAAGAGCAGTCCTGCCAGCAGCGGTTCTGCTCCTCCACCTCCTCCTCCACCTGCTCCACCTGCAAACATCTACGAAGACTCCTCTTCCAAGCCTAAAGACACTTCCTCTTCAGGCGGTATGAAGGCTGTCTTTAGCGACTTGAACAAGGGTGAAAACGTCACTTCTGGCCTTAAGAAGGTTGAAAAGTCTCAGATGACACACAAGAATCCAGCATTGAGACAGGAGGGTGTCACCAAGAAGCCTGCTCCACCTAAGAAGCCAACCAACTTGTCTTCATCTTCAAGCGGCACCATCAAGAAGAACAAGCCTCCTCGTGTTGAATTGGTTGACGGTGCCAAGTGGATCATTGAGAACTTGAACTCTGAGAACACCAAGGAACCAGTTGTCATTGACGCTGAAATGCAGCACTCTGTTTTCATTGGTAACACCGACGGCGTCACCGTGCAGATCAACGGTAAGGGTAACGCTGTGTCGTTGTCTGAAACAAGAAACACTGGTGTTGTTGTTCATTCTTTGATTTCTGGTGTGGATGTGATCAAGTCTGTGAAGTTTGGTTTACAGGTGACTGGTCTTGTGCCTCTTATCACCATCGACAAATCTGACGAGGGTAACATTTACCTTTCAAAGGATTCTGTTGAAAATGACAGCTCTGTTGTTACCAGTAACACCACGGCACTCAATATCAACGTGCCTACCGAAGAGGACTACGAGGAGTTGGCGGTGCCTGAGCAGTTGCAACACTTTGTGAGAAACGGTAAGCTCGTGAGTGAAGTGGTTGAACACGCTGGATAGACCGATATGTTAGAAAAGCAAGCAATAAAGAACAGTACTATAACGCATAGGATGTAATTAAGCTGTTATGGTGGACCTCCAGAAACAGTGTCTCACCACTCACTGCAACACATATTCACATGAACACACCCATAAGTAAACCATCCATCAATAAAAGAAACAAAAAAAAAACCTATGCACCTCCGAAGAGCCTTCTATAAATCCAAAACTACATTATACTGTTGTCCCCTTAACATTCCTTCTTAAGCCAGTGCCCTCCCTCCTTCCCTTGGTTGCAAATCCAGATCCTCGTGGTGTATAAAAGCGCAAAGGGTACCACATGCCCCTAATAGCCGTCCTCCTCGAACCCAAAAATGACCATTAATCAATAAGTCCACTTTCTCTACCTTAATCCTAGTCCAACTAAGAACATCCAACCTAGAACATCCATCGTCCCCAAGGACTGTACCACTACATAGCCTTTCTAAGTGTCCACACGTAATGGCTGCAAAATCCGCCGCACTGGACCAAATGTAGGAGAGAAACGATAGACGAAAAGGTACCAGCACATTGAGCCACACAGACAGTGAGGGGTCAAAAAAAGTACATAGAGCAAACAATAAATGCCGTATTTTCTACGTGGGAAGCTTTTTTTAGGTAAATATTCGCCGTGGGTGGCGATTCGTCTATGGTGTTCCAAAAAGGAAACCCAAATCACGTGCGCGAAGACCATAGAAGGCAAAAGAAACTGTTCTTTAAAGTGACAAAACGTTATGGCTGCGAGTTTTTAGTAAGGCAGGGCGAAAAAAAAAAAAAAAAAAAATCACCGACTCGATCTCATCGATAAAAGCCGAGACATATATATATAACGCCTTCATTTTTCTTTCTTCTTTCCCCACAGAAAAAGTAAAACACCCCAGGGCATCACATATTTATTGCTTCCAAAAGCGTAATCACATATTAAAAGACACACACAGCACAGGATGGTGAAGGAAACCAAGTTCTACGACCTTTTGGGGGTCGCTCCAGGCGCCAGCGACAACGAGTTGAAGAAAGCTTACAGAAAATCTGCATTGAAATATCACCCAGATAAGAACCCTCTGCCTGAAGCAGCAGAAAAGTTTAAGGAGCTCTCGAGAGCTTACGAGGTTCTCTCGGACGACCAGAAGAGAGAGGTGTACGACTCCTATGGTGAAGAGGGCTTGAACGGTGGTGGCCCAGGTGGTATGGGCGGTATGGGAGCCGATGACATCTTCAGCCAGTTCTTTGGTGGTGGATTCGGTGGTATGGGCGGCATGGGTGGCCAGTCCAGAGGTCCTTCCAGAGGTAAAGATATCAAGCACTCCATCAGCTGTACCTTGGAGGAGTTGTTCAAGGGCAGACTGGCCAAGTTGGCTTTGAACAAGACTGTTCTTTGTAAGACATGTGACGGCCGTGGTGGTAAAGAGGGCAAGGTTAAGCAGTGTAGCTCTTGTCACGGTCAGGGTATGAAGTTTGTCACTAGACAGATGGGCCCAATGATTCAGAGATTCCAGACCGTGTGTGACGTCTGTCAGGGTACTGGTGATGTTTGCGATCCAAAGGACAGATGTACCGCCTGTAAGGGTAAGAAGACCGCTGCTGAGCGTAAGATCTTGCAGGTCCACATTGATCCAGGTATGAAGGACGGCCAGAGAATCGTCTTCTCCGGTGAAGGTGACCAGGAGCCAGGTGTTACCCCAGGTGACGTTGTTTTCGTTGTTGACGAACAGCCACACGCCAAGTTCCAGAGAAAGGATGCTGACTTGTACTACGAGTGTGAGATTGACTTGTTGACTGCCTTGGCTGGTGGTGACGTCTCTTTCAAGCACGTTTCCGGTGACTACATCAAGTTCTCTATCATCCCAGGTGAGGTGATTGCCCCAGGTGCTTCCCGTGTCATTGAGAAGCAGGGTATGCCAATCTTCAGATCTTCTGACAGAGGTAACTTGTTCATCAAGTTCAACGTTAAGTTCCCAGATGCCCACTTCGCTACCGAAGACAAGTTGAAGGAGTTGGAGAGCATCTTGCCTCCAAGAAACAAGTACACCATCCCTAAGGGTGCCGAAGTTGACGAGTGTGACTTGTCCATCGTCGACCCATACAAGCACAGCAACAGCGGTAGAAGAGATGCATACGACTCCGACGAGGAGGAGGGCGCCGGCGCCGGTCCTGGTGTCCAGTGTGCCTCTCAGTAAGCACATTAATGTATATTAGATGCTTACTGGAATTATTTGGTTTGTGCCTAAGCAAAAGCACAGGAAAGATGAAGCGAGCTTCTTCAGCTTATGCCAATCAAACCCTTAAAGCACGTCGTATCAGCCGACTTACATACATAGCTACTATCATGATTAATCATTTGAAATTCTCGTGGGTTTTTAATTGAAAATGTAGTGTTTTATGAATGTTTATTATTAAGGTCTACTTGACTTTTTGGAACGCCATGAAGTAATTACCTGTGCCAGGATGGTCTGAGAAGCTCCATCCACATGAAGGCAAGTAGAAGCTGCCTTTGCTTTTAACATGTCTAAAGGTCTGAGCATGCTTGCTTTTGGAAAACCAATCTCTGATTTCCTCTTCGTTAATGTACTTTTCAAGTGTGTGGGTTCCCTTTGGCACGATGCCGAGAGCACTTTCTGCCATAAAGATGGTGGTAAACCAACTGACAAAGTCTCTGTTGATCGTAGAAACGAACACCCATCCGCCATCCTCGACCCTTTGGAAGAGCTCGTTTAGAATCTCCGAGGGATATGGAACATGCTCGAGCATTTCAAAGGCAGTAACGACATCATACTTTTCTTTTTTAGGAACGTCGCCGACTGCTTGAAGCTGGTATGTGAGTTTACCCTCTAATGCTGGGTCCTGCTTTCTATGCCATTCTGCTGCCGTGATCACATCTGGTGACAAATCTATACCTTTGACCAGCTCCACGTAAGGAAGTCTTGCCAATGATTCAGAGAAGATGCCACCTCCACAGCCAACATCCAAAGCACGCAATCTTCTCGCGTTAAGCATCTCATCTCTTCTGGCTTCTTGCTCTTGTAGTATACGAGCTCTTACCGGTTTAGGAAGCAAGTTGACATTGAACGGTGGCATGTAGACCTGCTCCTCGGGGTCATCGATTCCTTGGTTAAGCTTAAGATGCAGACGTATCATATCATTAACAAAGTCCATTCTAAGAAGGTTCATCTTATGAAGAATCCTCTGGGGACCTTCAACGTCCCACCACGACGATGCCAAAGCATTGAAGTGAGAAACTTCCTCTTCAGATGCACGAGTATTATAAGTAGTTCCAGATGACGATAACTGCCTCAAAGCAGTCCGTGGAAGGGTTCTTGCAAGGCTTGGTCTGAATCTTCCAAGCATGAGATTATGGAGTTTTTGATGAAAATGCTGGTTGAGATGAATTAAATGAGATGGGCGGATCTAGCAATATAACAAAGCAAACAGGGGAAACTAAATGTCTTGATGTCTCTAATGCTTCAGGTTTCTTGGTGGATACTCGAGTTGTCGATTTTTGCTGGTGGTTTTAACTTTTGCCGAGAGAAGGATTTCGCAACATTCATGGAGATAGTGGAAAAGTGCCGCGGTGGTAAGAAATAGGGCTAAACTACAGTGTTCTACAGGTGCCACAATAAATGTAAATAAGGGGTTGGACAAATGAAAAAGGTGGTTTCTGGAAGAAGAAAACATCTACTTTCTCGGGATGCCTTTATTATTGCACTGTTCACGGGAAAGCTGTCTTCGGCTGGATGTGCTTTTCGCAGCCATTTACAAGCTGAACCAGCTCGGTTATCCAAAGACAAAGGACAATAAAAGTCAGACAATGAGCAAATAATCAAGATCTGGTGGAAGAAATGGTATGAAGATTGGACCAAAAGAAGTGTTGTTTAGATGTTCGTGGTTGTGGTTGGCATACTGTTGGCTGGCGGATACCTTAAAATCTAAGTCTGTACTGAGTAAGTGTATACTACTGGTTGAAGGTTTGTCAGTTGCCTAACTGGTGATGGAGTGCTTGTTGTGATGGAAAGTCTGGTACGCAAAATCTACCAGACTCACGTTTAAACTGGTGGTAGAGCTTTTCAGGATGAAGATCTGGCAATTAAGGTTGATACTAAGGGAAGTGTAGTGCTATGTATGCTTTGCTCGTCCTTATAGCTTTTCGCAGCCATTAGACGACCCATAACACATTGCTTTCTATTTGCCATACCTCGAGAAACAGAGAAAAAGATTAAATATCATTATAGAAAAGTTAGTCAATATATTGATTCATCATTTCCTTTTTTTTTTTTTTTTTTCTCTTTTCTTCCCTCTCTCTGACCCTTTACTGTCCATCACGTCTTCCTACTACTACGCTACTGCATTCGCGAAATATCAACTCTCAGTAACCAGTGTTTCTTTATTATGGATCCAAACGACGGCCTTGCCACCACAAGGAGGCGTAGAGCCAATGCAGGTTCGCGGTTGAAGCAACTTATAGAACTTGAAGAAGCTGCTTCTGGTGTCCAGCAAACGTTTCTTACCGAAGAGGATGAGGATGTTCATCTACTATTCCAAGAGGATGAGAACGATGCTGAGTTTGAGGAAGAAGAAGACGAGGAGGAGGAAGGTGAAGGAGATGACGAAGAGGAAGGTGAAGAAGGCGAAGAAGGAGAAGAAAGACAAGATGATGACGTTGCAGATGACCCACAGAAAGAAGCTGCCCAGCTACTAGGTGAGGATGTATCTGAAGCAGAGGCCAATCCGGATGAAATGCTTTCCGATTCTGATTTGTCCGTTTCCGAAGATGACGAGAGTGAAGGTGAACGAGAGCTTCAGAAGGAGGAAAGAACCAAGAAGAGAAAGAAGAAGCAGACTATCATTCCTGCCATCAAGAAGCGTGCTACAGAAACACCCAAGCCTAAGAAGACGCATAAGCCAATTTCAACTGCTCTAGTTAACGGTGAGCGTAGAGTATCTTCAAGAAAGTCAGCAGTCAAGAACAAAGAAGACTTGCTACAAAAGCTTAAGGCTGACGAAACAAGAAGAGCTGCCCTTACGCCAATTGTACGTGTCAAAGAAAGGGAGCCTACGCAAGAAGAGCGTCTTGCTCAAGCTCAGGAAACCGAGAAAGAGAATATTTTATCTTTGAACGCTTTCTTGGAACAGGAAATCGTCAAGAAAGAACGCCAAAAGATGATGTTTCAACAAAAAAGACCAAAACTTCGAAACGTCATTCGTCTTGTATCAAAGGCTTCTTTTGTTACGCCACTTGAAGAGATTGAGGATGCTAGACACGTCCAGGATATGTTTGAAAAGAAGCGTCGTGGCCGCAGAAGAAAGAACGTTCCTGAAGAGCCTGATGTTAAGCGTCCTGGTGATGTCGATACAGAGCTCCCTTACTACAAGCAAGAAATGGCCGAAAAAGAACGTCTTGAAGCTATCAGACAAGAAGAGAAGCGTAAACTCGAGGAAGCTCGTGCTGAACGGAGAAAGAAGCTTGAGGAAGAACGCGCAGAGAGAAAACGCAAGCTAGAAGAGGAGAGAGAGGCCCGCAGAAAGCTAAAGGAAGAACGTCTTAAAGAGTTTGAAAATATTGATGCTACTGATCCGAATTTCTCTGCCGAATCGTTGCGTCTCAAGGGTGAAATCAGTTCGTTAGAGGAACAGGAGAAAGAGGCAGAGGAAAGACATAGGGCAGAAAAGGAAGAATCCGAAAAGGAAGATGCGCAGGACGCTCAGGATGAAGCAAGCGGTGAAAATGAAGACTCTGTGGCTGATTCTGAAACTAAAGCATCTTCGCCTGGTGAAGCCGTATCCGATAAGGAAATCAAAATAGAAACCTTGGATGAAGTTCAGAAGCCTGAAGAACAGGAAGAGACCAGTGTTGAGGCTGAAACGATAGCTGAAAAGCCTGTGGATTCAGAGGAGCCTGTTCCCGAGAAAGAAGATGTGGAGATGAAGGATGCAGATGAACCCGAACAGGAGGATAATGTTGAAGGAGGTTCTTCTGAACCAAACACTGACGCTAATGCTGAACAGAAGGATGGCACTCCAGTGAACGATGAAACCAAGTCTGCTTCCTTGGCTGAAGGTGACAAGAAAGAGGATCAAACACCAGGTGCTGAGACGGAAACAGTCGGTACACCGGTAGATGGTGAAGCAGACTCTGAAAAGGTCAAGATAGAAAAGAAGGTCACTTTTTCAGAAGATGTTGGTAAAGTTGAAGAGGAAGAAACCGCTGTCAAGAAGGAAAGTGAATCCGAAGCAGAATCAAAACCAAAGGAAGATTCTCCAGATTCCAAGAAGAGTCTTACTCCCGTTTACAAAGCTAGATCTGATGGAAAGGTTTTTGAAGGACCCGTGCAATATGTTTCTCGGAACTTGGTTTACTTAGTGAACTTCGACGAAGAGGATAGATACTGGAAGCTTCCTGAGACGAAAATTAAGATAGCACTTTTCGGTGAAGAGAGTGTATTGAGTGCATCAAGAAGATTCAGAGATGTCAAGACGATTCTTCGAAGCACGTCGAGAAATGAAAATCCATATGCCACTCCAAAGGATGATAGAGAGGACGAGCTCTTCCAGCTGGTGGCTGACATCACTGAAGAAAGCCCCATGTTTGATGACCTCAAGAAGCTCCGCAGACTTGGCGTCCGTGTGGAGGACGAAGAAGAAGAGGAAGAAGAGACCAGAGAGGAAGAGAATGTTGTCCAGATCACAACCGATGCACCAACAGGTCTCTACCTTCCCAACGGCAACAAGAAGATCTGTCTTATCTCAGGAAAAGAAGTGCGGTACTTCGACCCAGGCACTGGAGTTCCTTACGACAGTGTGGACGACTACAAAGTTATCAAGACAATCGAAACTGGTACTATTCCGTGGTACAGTATTCCAAAAGATCAGAATACGTACGGGGCTGTTGAGATATATTTAAATAACCGAGAGGGCAGCAGGCACGCCAGAGGAGTGCCTGAAGGGTTTGACGGCTGTTGAGCTCGGAGATTTCTAATGTGTATAATGCAATTAATGACCTGAGGAGTGTTGGACGTCCTTCTCGTGGGCGCCAATCAAATCGCCCTGGAACTTGACGAGTTTAGCTTTCACCAAAGGAACCAAGTGTTTCTTGATATGAGCGGTGTCGTCGCCTTCCACCACAAAAACGTACTCGTCGTCGTCTTGGTCGTGGAAGAACTCGTCCAAAGCGATGGTGCCGGTGAAGGAGCTGTCCTCCTCGTCCTTCTTGGAACCCAGCACGGCAAATCGAAGCTTCATATCGTAAATACACAAAGTCTTGCCCTTTCTCTGGGTGACATCACAGTCGCCAGAAACAGTAGTGATTTCAGTGACAACAAGCTTCAATGCATCGTCTTCGTAGGTAGTGTCGACGACGTTGTTACCAAGATATTCCTTCGTCCAAGGAAGACAGTTTCTGTCGACCCAGTGCCTGGAGTTAGCTTTTTGCTGAAGGTGAAACGATCAGTTTTCAGGAAACATACCAGTTGTTAGGATTGTGGACCACCATTGCAGTGTAGAGTGAAGCGAATCTGGATTGATAATTTTTCGCAGCAGCTTATATGGTAACGAGCCGCGGGAAGCTGGGGAAAAGAGGAACATTCTAGAGCCAGGCAGGACAGGACAATAAACGATACTACCATAAACAGTAAACTGAAGAGTTGGAGGAAGTGAAGAGGAAGTGAAGAGGATGGTAAGGTTAGTTTTTAGGAAACAAACGGAACTTTCAAGAAAGGCGGGGAAGAAAAAAAGGTAGTATACTCTCTGAAGGTCTCTTTCTTTCTTTATATTTTTGTTCACTTTATTCGTCTTGCTTCATCAAGCCACTCTTTCTGCTTCCATTATTGGTCCCTTGGTGTCTGATCTGTTTGTGTGAGTGTAAGTGTACTGAAGATCGCATGTCTCTTTTTGCACCCAAATGTCTCACAGCCCTGGGAAAGAGGGCCATGGAAGAGGGTCAGACCAGGTATGTTTATATTAAACAGAATTTAATAAAACAGTATCTTAGTTATATTTGATAACTGTATCTCTTTGTTCGTTTATTTTGCTTTTTTGGTTGGCCTTCGTGGTTCAATGAGATATGGGCATTGGAGGCTGTGAATAGTACAGTCTCCATCGACCGCCAGAGGCCATGTGAAGTTGCCATACACCTTTCTCTTACAATTCCACATTTCTAGCATCATAAATACTACCCTTCTTCTTTTACCAAGAACACCCATTTATCACACTTCTTTGGGTCCTCCTGTTGTCAGGCGTTGCAGGGGAGGTGCCTCTACGTCTGGTTAAGCCATACTGCCAGAATAGGATGCACAATCACCGCTTATCAGACAAGATACCAAGCCACCCCACGTTGAAGATCTGTCAACGGGATGCAATTTAAACACCACTATTTTTTCAGTCCCACTATCTCTTCTTCAATTACACGGCCACGTCAAGGACCGTTTTTGTGACACTTTTCGTGGAACCTCACAGCCTCTGTAGCTCCATGGGCGCAGTAATGGCTGCGAAACCAGTGGATAAGTAGCCATGAAAGGCCACACCATGATGTCAAGTTATACAGAACTTTCACCATAGGTGAATTTCCAGTCACTGAATGCCCGATGCATTTGATTCCTGTTTTACTTTCTTCTACTCCTCCATAAATAGGCGCCTTGGCGTTCAACCTCCAATGAGGTCCACTACCATAAACCTACCTCTGCCCACTCAGTCATCTTAACAAATTCACCAGTCCAATATAACCAAAACCTACCTTCATCCTTTCTTGTCCTTTTTTCACCCTTATCTAATCATCCCCATTTGCTAGCCGGGCCGTGTCTGTGTGACTTAGACTGTGCATGCGCGATTTGTTGATACCGCTGCTTTATATACATATAGGTTTTTTTTTTTCCAACACCATACTCCATATCGTCTGTCTCTATCCAGCCGTGGTTCATGCCCGAAAGTATAGAGCTTTCAGACTTGAAGCACAAACCATTCTTTGAATATGAAAAGCCCGAAGGCTCTGCTCGCTTAACGCCAGCAGCTAAACGCAAAATATGGATCCATATTGCTCTAGAGGTCCTTGCATCCATCATCATATATTCCAGCTACACTCGCCTTGTGCTGCTATACCTGTTTTTGGCGCCAACTTTGCTTGGTGCCTCGACGGCTGCCTTGGCCCAGTCGTTGAACCAGCTTCACAAGGGCAGGCTCTCACTCAATAAGCTCTTCAAGTTTATGATCTGGGGCTGCATCAACGGCTGTTTTACAGCATTATGGATCGACACTCTTGTGGCCCGTGTCGATTCGGTGTTCTACAGAATATTAATAGACCAGTTGGTCGGTGCTCCATCTTTCCAGTTGACGTTCCATTTATTAGGCAAGGTTTGGGACGTTGCCGAGCCGGGCCATCCCTCACCGAGCTTCTCTACTTTCCTTACAGCCTTGAGCATTTCATACTGTTACTGGCCATTCGTTTCGATCGCTATGTTTGTGTTCATCCCTCCGCTGTTGATGTTCATTAGCAATTGCGTTGCAAACTTGATATGGAACATGATCCTCAGCAGAATAGCATAATACACACGACACAGCCACGTTTACCTAATTCTCTTCAACGGGTCAGATTTGCGACCTCCCTTCTTCTTGCTGTTCTTTCTGACTTTGCTCTTTTTCGTGAAAGGAATGAACCCAAGATCTTTCTTTGTTCCAGCCCTGGCAGCGGCTGGAAGCAAGTATTCAGGCACTCTCTTCAATTGTGTCTGAACTCTGCTTGGATGCAATTCCTTGTCGTGTCTCAAAGAAGCCAAGTCTTGTGGGTTCTCCTCGAAAAATCTTTTAAGCTTGTCGGAGTTCATCAATTCGTTCTTCAACTCGGCGATACGAGCTTCACGGATCGCAACACCAGTGACAGCTCTGAATGCATCCTCAGATCTGTATCTGAAACCTTCGACCTGCTTCATGTCGAATTGGTATGGGTTGATTTCGAGACCGTTCTTCAGTTGCTGCTTGACGATCTTCCTAAGCACCTTCTCGTCCTTCTTGGCAGTAGGCAAGGTTGCAACTCTATGCTTTCCAACCTCCTTCTCAGGAATGACGAAAGATAAAGCCATACCAGCTTTTCCAGCTCTGGCAGTTCTTCCTATACGGTGCACATAAGCTCTGGCCGTCGTTGGCAAGTCAAAGTTAAGTACACATGCAACGTTTCTGAAATCGACTCCTCGAGAGACACCATACTCCTTATCCTTCTTTGCCTTGGATTTCTTAGAAGATTTTTCCTTCTTGGTGTCTTGTTCTTCTTCCTGTTCCTCCTCTTCTTCATCCTTTTCAACGGTGAAATCACTGGTCTCGTCCGTTGCAATAAGCAAAGAATAGACGTTCTTGTTGAACTCATCAACAATATGCAAACGAGAGTTGACAGGTAACTCACTGTTCAAAATGCAACAACGGATACCAAACTGCTCCAAAAACAATTTCAATCTGTAACCACGCTCGATGGAGTTGACAAACACAAGAGACTTACCCTTGATCAAGTTCAACTTGTAAATCACATATGCTAGCAAAAACTTGTCAAACTCGGTGGTACGAGCGTAATACTGAACAAGTTTATCGTTTGTGGCGTTATCTTCGTTGAGTTTGAGTACAGCTGGCTTGGAGCAAAACCGGCTTTTAAGTTCATTAAGGTCATCGTTAATCGTGGCAGACATCAAGAACGTCTGCAAATTCGTCTTGACTGGCAAGAATGTCTCTAGCTGTTCCAAATCCTCCATATATCCGTAAGAAAGCACCAAGTCGACTTCATCAATCACCAAGTTTCTGGTCTTGGAGAGATCTATAAGGTTGGAGTTGACGTTCTCCTGAAGCACCTGGATAAGTTTGGCAGGGGTAGCGACCAAAATGTCTGGTTTGTTGGTAAGCAATGATCTAAGCACTTGGTCAGAAATGTTGCTTGAAAGGTTCACAACGCTAATCTTCTGGTTACTGTAAACCAAAAGCTTCTCTGTGAACTGAGCCACCTGGTTAGCAAGCTCTCTGGTTGGAACAAGCACAATGCTCTTGACACACTTTTCCTGTTCAGACGTGAGGATGTTCTGCAAAACTGGGATCATATAAGCGGCAGTTTTACCAGAGCCAGTGCTGGCTTTGGCGATGATATCTCTTTTCTCTTCGAGAGCCAAAGGAATGGCACTTGATTGGATAAGGGTGGGGTTTTTGAAACCCAAGTGGTCCACAGCCTGGATGATCCGAGGATCAAGGTTGAGCGAGTCCCACTGACACTCGTCGTCGACGTATGCGGCGTCAGCTGCTTTGTTCATTTGGTCTTGGAGTTGTGAGATGAGTATCTAAAAATTCAACCGATGCTCATCCTGAAGTATGTGTAGGTACTGCATGTAAAATCACAAAAACCGGGCTTAATTCCAAAATCTGGCACTGAATTCGTTATGCTCAACATAAAAGAAAGAGTAATTTTGATATAAATTTATCAGTGTAAAATGATTTATCATTTAAGCTGTAATAACAAAGCGGTGTTTTTACATATTCCAAATTAGGGCGTGTGGCGTAGTTGGTAGCGCGTCTGCCTTGCAAGCAGAAGGTCACTGGTTCGAATCCTGTCTCGTCCATTTTTTTGTTGTTTTTGCAGCGGATATCTATTTTATGTTTATTATAGGCTTTATTTTTCTACTCTCTGGTCATTGTACCGATTAAGGAAATCTATCATGCTATAAAATGCTAACTTGAGTCGGGTTCGCGCCTTCGACCTAGAGTGGGATCGTATGGCTGCACTGTTCCAACAGAAGTAGGGGTGCTTGAACGGTCCTCTTCAGGAACAGATGTGGGTCCCACAGTGGAAGTGGAGCGGGTCATCATCATAGGCTGGGCACGGTCACGGCCAATAAAGTCTGAAGTACCGGCGGCCTCGTTCGCAGCATTGGCTGCTCTTTCTGTGATACCAGCCTTGTTGAAACGGGAATTAAGATCATCAAGGTCATGCCTATTAGCCCTGCGATTGCTGAAGGAGAACTTTCTTAGTTGTCCTGGGATATTAACGGTGGACACGGATTGTCTTCTGTCAGGTGAGGATTGGTTCAGTGACTGAGCTTCGAGGTCTTTATCCTTAGACCTTTTAGATGTCTGGCGTGAGAGGGTACGCCGGAGTTGATCTCCGAGATAATCTGCACCATCATCATCTTCAGCATTAGGCGCATCGAAGAACCGGTCGGAGCTAGGTCTTCCGGAGGCAATGGACATTTCACGTTCACGTGGATGATCCATACCGTAAACAGGGAAGACGTTAGCAGGAGATCTGTAAGACTTCATTCTGCGTATAGATCTTGTAGATCTTCCAGTAGAAGGTCTGTACAACGCAGTGACAGGCGCATTCAGCTCGGCGCCCAACCTGGAACTATCAAGAGAATCCAGGTCGCCTTCACGAACCGCTTCTTTCTTTTCCTCTTCGAGTTCGTTCTCTCTTTCAGCCTCCTCTTCATCTCTTGGGTCAACACGAACAACTCTGGAGTCCTGGTTCAATTCTGGCTGTTCATCTCTCATCTCGTACAGAGGCAAGTGGAGTCTGCGCTGATCTCTTTCAACAACAAACAAGTGAAGATACCATGGCACCACAAGGCCAAAGAAAGAGCCACCAATTATATTACCAAGAGTTGAAGGTAGAAGCACTTTCCACGCGACAGTACCCACAGATACTGGACTGTGGTTGATCAAACCAACAATGACCATATACATATCAGCAATGGAATGACTGAACCCCATAGAAACAAAGGTGAAAACAGGTAGAAGCATCATGAGGAACTTAACATGCAAAGGCTTAGCCATGAGCTGCAAGTATATGCCCAAGCACACAAAAAAGTTACCAGCCATGCCTCGTATTAGGGTCTGATGGAAAGCAAGTTCAGCCTTCTCCTGTAAAATGAGCTTGGAGCCTTCGATCATAAGCGGCGTAGCAGTAACCTTCGAATAGTGACACACAATGTAGCACACGAAAATGTTACCCACCAAATTAAACCACCAGCTCACAAACCACGATATTAGTAGGTCCAATACACTCACAGCTCTGCGAGCTACACCCACCAGGAAGAACAAAATATTGGAGTTGAAAAGGTCCACACCCATAATGACAACGTAAAAAAGCCCAATCGGGTACACGAGACCCTGCAACAACATCACAAACCCTGGGTTTGAACTGAGTGTCTCTGGGCAATGAGACGTGATCATCCCATGAAGCATACCGCCCGAAGTAAATAGCAAACCGCCCATAAACAGGTTGATCACTAGCGTATCTAGAGAAAGTCTTGCTTTCTTCATCGAAGTGGCCACCACCGCTAGAGCGGTTTCGTGCGTAGTCAAGTACGACGACTCATCGATCATGACTTTCAGCAAAAGATGAGGTCTAAAGCAGGTCTAATATAGGCAGCACTGTAATTCTTTTTTTTTAAAAATAACAGGAGTAAATGACGAAAAGGAGGGGTGTTTGGAATGGAGGGGACTTTTGCAGGGGGTTTGTATGCAAAAAAACAAAAGAAAAAATAATAGGCACTGTCTCAAGATGAGTAGTAGGATCAAACTGGTGTGTTGAAATGCAGTGGGGTGAGCATACTCAGGAAGTCGCGGATCGGTTATCCCAAACTGGTGCGATGGCTGCAAAATGGGTAGTTTAGTGAGCTGACAGACTAAACGCATGGGAATGTGGTTAAAAAAGTGAAACGTCATTTGTTGGAATGAATATGACGGTTGGCGTGGATGCATGAAACCGTTTGGTGAGGTTTTGTTGGGAGTTGCTGGCGTGGGTGGGATCGTCAGATAGTGCAATGAGGGATTTGGGTGTGTCTGAGACTGGAATATCCATGGAAAAGGCAACCACGTAAAATGGTTTGATGGGGGGATTACTGATTTTGCACAAAAAGGGTGCTTTGTGAAAAGTCAAACTCAGGTTCCTCGGGGCCCTCCTTAGGGCCCTCCTGGGGGCTTGGTTCCTTGGCTTTTTCAGGCGTGGCTTCAGCCGTACATTCTTGGACTACTTCCACATCTCCATTTGCCTGACCATTAGGACTCTTGCTATCGTCATCTGCCGCCTTCCCCTTCTTCTCGTGGCTCGATCTGGCTGCACGGATCAACCGTTTGTAAGCTTTCTTGTACTTCTCAAGCCAAAGACCCACTGGGAAGTCCTTATCGGTGATAGACTTGTGGCTCAACGAATCGGCAAAGAGTCCGTTGGAAGATGCACTTGCTGTGAATGCGGCGTGTGATTTCTCCCATTGTAGAAGCTTCTGACGAAGGGCCAAGTCGTTTACCGGATGGTTACTATCCAGATTGGAATTATGCAAAACGTAGTAGTGATTATACCGAAGTTCAAGCTGGTGCCTCGTGCCAGAAGTGGGAAGTTTAAGCTGGCTCAACTTCTCCTTGATTTTCGGCGTGGCAAGCGATGCAAAGTCGATTTTAGGGATCTTCTTGATCTCATGGCGATGCTTCTCTGGCTGGGAGAAGTAGAATGACGAATGATTCACATCCTGACGCTTCCGAGGCTGGAAAAACGAAGAGATCCCTTTTGGTCTCTTTTGAGGAGTTGGAGCAGCGCGTGGAGGTGGAACCTTTGGGCTCTTACCGTTGAGACAGTCGTCCAAATGGCTTCTTTGAAGGAACTCAGCAGTCATGCTCTGAGCACACACGGGACACTGGACAAGGTTATCGGCAGCGGGCGCCAGCGCCACAGGTTTTGATTTTGGAGCTTCTTCATCTGAAACCTCTATAACTTCAGGCTCTGGCTCTTTAGGAGCCTCAGAAGGCGTGGACTCTTGAGGCACCTGTAGTTGCTCCAAAAGCTCTGGTCGTAGCCGCTCATAACACGAAACGATCTCCTCGAGAAGAATGTTCCGCTTGAGATTACTCTCAAACTGCTCTGTTTTACACAAAGGACACAGACTTTCAGACATAAGGTGTTGTCTTATACACTGGGAACAGAAAGTGTGGTTGCAAGACGTGATCACGGGTGCTTTAAGGAAGTCTTTACATATCAAGCATCGCTGGAGCGAGTCCAACTGGCTAAGTCTCGGTAGTCTAGAGGACTTCCAGTCGGACGGATCCGAATGTTTGTGACTCATAAGGAGCAGATCTATTTATATGGAGTTTCTGGCTGGGGTTTCTAGCGGTTTTTCACATCGCGTATCGCGGTGCCATCTTAGTAACTCATATCGATGATGCGCCAATGCAGGAGATAACCTGCCATAATGCTGATATGGGTATTTTTTTTGCAACCTCACAGCCGACAGTTCTATGTATTAATTATGCTTGGATGTTTAGAGCTCATCATGGGGGTTGGCTGCTTTGGTAGCAGATGAATCGATGCTGCTAACCTCGGATGAGAGTTTGGATAAGACCTCACTGAGCACCTCGGTGGATGCAATGGTAGTGGCGGAAGAATCGGAAGAAACTTCTTCAACTGGTGGTGGTACGTCCTTGTCTGCTGCTACACTCGATGAGGCAGCTGGTGCAGAAGACGCAGCGGACACTGGGGTATTTTCTTCTGGTGAAGCTTTGGCAGATTCGCTGCTCTGAACTGTTTGTGGGGTAGCAGTGGAGGCAGTTTCGTCACTGGATTCAACAGCTGATTCAGACGCCTTCTCGATCACCGATGAAGCGGAAGAGACAATGTCCTCGCTTTCCAGTGGGGTGACCGTTTCGGCGGCTGGGGTCTCTGGGGTTTCAATAGGAGCCACAGTAGAAGTAGTAACAGATTCTTTCCTTTGTGCCTTGTCAATAACCTCAGTTGCCTTGTCCTTAACAGCTTCTGCGGCCTCCTTTACGGATTTCACAGGCTGAACAGGTTCGCTGGCAGGTTCATCAGAAACCTGTACCGGTTCTTCGGCAGCTTTGACAGGCTCCTCGACAGGCTCCTCGGCAGACTTGATAGGCTCGGCAGCAGACTCCGTAGTAGGCTCGATGACTGGTTCAACAACTGATTCAACAACTGATTCAACAACCGGCTCGACAACGGATTCGACAACTGGTTCAGCTACTGATTCAATAACAGGCTCAGCAGCAGACTCGACTGATTCAACAACAGGTTCAACAACAGAATCAATAGGCTGGCTAGCAGCTTCAGTAGCAGACTCAATAGACTCACTAACAGCCTCGGTAATAGAATTGATAGACTCACTAGCAGCTTCAGTCACAGAGTCAAAAGACTCGCCAGCAGCTTCAGTAACGGGCTTAACGACGTTTTCAACGACAGGCTCAACAACAGACTCCTCAACCTTTTCTATGACGGAGCTTACAGGAGTCTCGATGGACTTCAAAATGTCGTCAGATTCAGAAGATGGCTCAGGAGTTTGTTCTGTTTCCTCCAAGGATGATGACAATTCTTCTGTTTCCTCAGGGACACTATTGACCTCAGATTCGGCAATAGGTTCTTCAATTGGCTCCAGGACGACGACTTCAGAAGACACTGGAACAACACTGTCAGTTTCAGAGGCAACTTGACTGGATTCAGCCGTCTCAGAATTGACTTCACCGTTCACTGAATCAGTGGATTCTTCCACAATATCTTCTTCCTGAACGCTGGCCTCAGGAATAACTGTTTCAGTTTCGCTACCGATGGATGATTCTTCGGCAGACCCGGTCTCGAGAGCAACCTCAGGTTGTTGAATTTCAGGCTCTGTTGGCTCAGGGCCAGCTTCACTGTCGACGATAGAGCCATCAGCTTGTTGCTCCGATTGCTCCACAACAGATGCTTCAGGTGTGACTTCTTCCTCAATGACAACTTCAGGATCCACCTTCTCAAACTCGGCACTTTCTGGGGTGGGCAAGTCTTCTGCCTCGCCATCAACTGGAACATCAGTTGGCTCTTCTACCTCGCCAACATCCTCCAAGACAGTTCCTGCGAAAGACTCTGGTTCTTCTGATGAGGCTTCGGAGGGTTCAATGGATTCTTCAATAGGAGGGGTTTCCAGGATTGGAGTTTCAGCAGCAGGTGTCTGAATGCTAGATTCTTCAGTTAAAGCTGATTCAGGCTCTTGGACAGCTTCGGGAGTCTCCTCGGCCTGTTCTTCCCGTGGCACGACTGGTTCAGCTACCGGCTCTTGACTAGTAGAAGCAGCTTCAGGAGTAGCTTGGGGAGCTTCACTCGATACTTCTTTCTTCAATTCTTCGGCATGGGAAACATCGGCCAGACTTGATACAGGCTCGTTCAAGGTGTTAGTATCAAGTTTGACGGCTTCACGGATTATAGACTCGGTATCAATCTCACCTTCGGCGTAAGTGAGGTCATCGACTGCTTTGGTCACTTCAGACACAAAATCATTAAGGGTATCATCGGGCTTTTGTGCTGTGGTTTCCGTTTCAGTTTGCACCTCTGGCTTATCGGCCCAGTCAGTCATAGTAAAAAACTGTTTAGTGTCTTCCTGATCATCGAGTTTGTCCTGATTTAACTTTTCCTTAATGAGATCAAGGCCATACGCCGACTTCTCTTTGAGTACCTCGTATCCAATTTTGCCATAGACTTGTGCTTTCTCATAGTAAACACTGCCATATTTCTGTGATAAGTCAACGGCAACCTTGCCGTATACTTGTGCTTTATTGTAGAGCTCACCCCCGTGTCTCTTGGAAAGGTCCACATAATGATCGAGAGGACCAACATGTTGTTCAAGCAAGTCGATATATTGATCAAGCTGGCCAGCTTGAAGAGCTTGTTGAACAAAAATTCCCGCTCCAATGACGAAGAAGAACATCAAGAGCTTGAAGATGAAGCCAAAGATAGAAGTGCCAGATGCGTAGTTAGGAGGAATAGGCATGACATTCAAGGTTTGGTCTGCACTTCCGGAGGCCAATTTCGTGCCGCTAGGCGAAAAGCTCAAACTGGTAATAGCGAACTTATGCAATTTTGGAATGCTGGAGATGAGTTTGAGATCGGACAATCTAAGGATATGGACGTAAAGGTCATTTCCTGCTACCGCAATGAGATTCTGAGTCTGTGAGACGTCCATTGCCACTATCAAACCACTCTTTTTCGTGAATTTGGACTCCTTGACCACCTTGTGGTTCACAACGTCATATAATATTATGCCAATGCCTTTGCCGGATTTCAATGCACCAACGATCACGACATTAGAGTCCGAAACAAAACGCAATTTCGACAAGTTGTACTTGGCCAATATTTTAAGCGATTTGTTGTCACCATTGCCAGAAGAAACCGTTTCAGTAACACCATTCTGAGTGTTTATAACTTCGACAGTGGAAGTAGTCACGAGACACACAGACTTACCACCATCGTGTTGGCTCACCTGTAGGTCCTTGATCTCCCCAGAAGTAGAAGCCTTGGTCTTGGCCACCAACTCAAGGTTTTCAGGTCTGAAAATGTACACTTCAGACGGCGTCTGCGATGTCATTAGAGCACCCACCTCGCTTTCACGAGACAAGCTGATGATTTTAGGATACTCGCCCGCTGACTCGGCCAGAACCGTGTTATCAAACTGTACAGCGTCCAAAAACTTCAAGTGCTCCTCATCGGTAAAACCATACTTCCTCAAGTTATTATTCACGTTCATGTTCTTGATCAATGCAGACGACTGGTTGCAACCAACAAAGATAGAGTTCTTGTTACCATCGTCACCCACAACCCCAGCAGCGTCCACACACATAGGAGAGTCTTCATTGGACGGTAATGTGATCTCCCTATATTTCTGTAATCTTCTCTCCTTGTCTTTAACTTTCAAACTGCACTTCACAGCGGTGATCTTATTAGGAATGCCATTATTGCCTTCGCCACCGCCACCCACGGCCAAAACGGTCTTGTTATCGATAAATTTGATGCCAAATATCGGGTAGCCAGTGTTCAATGCGGCTGATTTTTTGGCTGACATTGGATAGCTGTAGTGTTTTGGGTATTGACTAGTTGGTGATGTACAAGAGAGCGACGTTGCAGAGTTGGCGTATACACCCGTACACCACACCTATTTTCCAAAATTCAAGAAAGTATAACAAAAACGGCTACTTGGGGTAGGTGCTAATTTTTATTAAATATATTTTACCGTTTCTAAACTGTCCTAACGGTCTGGCTACTGGTAGGTGGTGGGTTTTCTAGGGTAGACAGTCACGTGCGTTTCATACGCCGCCGCTGCCTAATTCTCCATCGAGCATTGGTCCTCCTCTATGGAACTCTCCATGGAGATCATAGACACCAAACGGCTCCTATCGGTGTCGTCCCACGTGGCCCATGGATATGTGGGTAACAGAAGTGTTGTTTTTCCACTTCAGTTCTTGGGCTGGGATGTGGACGCTATAAATACCACAGACTTCCTGAACCATCCAGGATATGGCACATTTGGAGGAAGAAAGTCTGATCCAGAGACGATTGAGAAACTTTTTAATGGACTAGAGACAATCCAGGATCCCAATGATCCGTATAAGTTGTCGTTGGTCGGCTACTGTCCCAGTGCAGGCATGTTGGAGGTAGTATATGACCATATAGAGAAGCTCAAGAAGGCCAATCCGGATATGTTGGTGGTTGTGGATCCTGTTTTGGGCGATAACGGGAGGTTATACGTTCCCGAAGAAGTCGTGCCAGTGCATAAGGCTTTCTTTGAGAAGGGACTTGTTTCTTTGGTTACTCCTAACCAGTTTGAGTTAGAGCTTCTTACAGGTATAAAGATTGATAGTTGGGATGCTGCCAAGAAGGCGTTGCTTGAGTTTAACAAACTATACAAAGTGCCTTCTGTGGTGCTTCTGTCGCTTGTTGTGGATGGTGAAATGGCGTCGATTGGCTTATCGAAGAACGACCAGGCTGTGGATATCTTCAAGGTCAATATCGACGAGATCGGGTGCTCTTTCAACGGCTGTGGAGATGTCTTTGCAGCGCTTCTCACCCACGAGTTCCATCAAAACGGGTATGTTCTTTCGTCTACCGTTCTAGGCTCAGTTGTGGCTAAAATGAACAAGATCCTTCGTGTCAGCTACGCTGTGGAGCAACAGAAAACCGGCAAACAACCCCAAACTGTCAAGGACATAGCGCTAGTAGTGCTGAGGCATATTTTCACCAGCAACGAGGCTCCTGGGGCCCAAGTGCTGAAGCTCACATAGACAATTTAGGCATTTCGCAGCCATTTCAAGCAGCACTGCACCAGACCTAAGATGAAGACCATACAATACACATAGACCAATCAGCTAACTTAGCAATTCCAGGTGATACTGAATGCCAGGATCGACATTCTATTGATTTGCTGTTTCTACCTGTTCTTTTCGTTTTTTTTTTTTTATTTTATTTTTTTCTAAACTCCCCCCCTGTCATCCCTATTCCCCAGCTTACAACGTGTTGGGCTGCGTGCACTCCGATAAGATCCACCCAACTTAGCGTCCACCTCTGTTATCTTATCTACCTACCATGCTTTCAGAAAAACAACCACTACGCCAGCGAAGAAGATCTTCTTTCCTGATCCTTAGCATTATTGCCCACGTGGCCCTCTCAGTGGCACTATTTATCTCCATCTACACCTTCTGGCCCAGTCGGCACAGCCCGGAACCAGACCAGCTACATCAACTAGAAGAAGCTCCAAGTTTGGAGAGGTCAACGCTGTTTCAGCTCAAGCACGTTTTCCACCACGGCACAGGGAAATATAACCGTGTTCATAAGCGTTTGGACGTGACGCCTGAGTTCTTGGAGAGACACGAGAATACGTTAGCTGAGCTTACAGAGAGCTTATACGCTGAGAACGAGCCAGTGGATCCTAACAATGCTGATTCAGTACTTCGTTCAGAAGGATGGTCTCGTGCTTTGGGTGATAAAGACCCTTGGACCATGGACTTGACGATTAGACCGTCACTGAAGCCTGCTAGGCTTAGAAGACTCAAGGAACGCCACACGCCCCATTTCCTAGACTCGTACCTTCAGTATGCCATGGAGGTCAAGGGGGACCCAAAGAAACTCGACAGAATCGGATTGGAATGGGAACCTGAGCAGGACGTGTTGTTGCCAGACATCCAGGATAAAGACTCTGTGGTGGCGCTCGCTCTCATATCTTCAAATGCATATGTTAAGTTACCTTTGGACGATGATGAGAAGAAGAAGCTGGACTGGATTGATGTTGGCGACCCTTGGGACGTTGACGAGGAAAATCCAGATGTCAATTTTGGCTGGCTCGACGATGGTCTTCGAGGACATGTCTTCGTGAGTAACGATTCCAAAACCGTGGTCATTGGTATTAAAGGCACCTCAGGAGCAGGTCTCCCAGGTGGAGGCTCTGATGAAACTTCAGGTAACGACAAGACTAACGATAATCTCTTGTTCCTGTGCTGTTGTGCCAGAGTTGGTTACATGTGGACTACGGTTTGCGACTGTTACGAAAAGACGTATACTTGTAACCAGGACTGTCTTGAGAAGGAGCTTCTTCGTCAGGATAGATACTACCAGGCTGCGTTAGACTTGTATCGAAACGTGACGAAGATTTACGACCCAGAGACCACTGACATTTGGGTTACCGGCCATTCCCTAGGCGGTGCACTCGCATCCCTCTTGGGTAGGACATACGGGCTACCAGTAGTTGCATTCGAGGCACCAGGAGAAATGTTGGCCACAAAGCGGCTTCACCTTCCTCAGGCGCCAGGCATTCCAAAGCATATGGAGCATATTTGGCATTTTGGTAACACAGCGGACCCAATCTTCATGGGCGTGTGCAATGGTGCGTCGTCGTCGTGCTCAGTTGGAGGATACGCCATGGAAACAGCTTGCCATACGGGAAAGCTTTGTGTTTACGATGTGGTGACAGACCATGGCTGGCACGTCAGTTTGTTAAACCACCGTATCCATACAGTGATTGACGAAATCATTCTCAAATACAACACTACGGCTACTTGTGTGGATCAACCACCTTGCAGAGACTGTTTCAATTGGCGGTTCGTTAGCAAAGACGATCTTGAGCCCGATGAGCCTAAGCTTCCTCACCCGCTTAAGCCTAAGCCTAAGCCTACCGAAACTTCCAGTAGTGCGTCTACAAGCACGTCATCGTCGTTGCCGTCAGAAAGCGACAAGCCGAAGAAGTGTCTAGAAAGGACGTGGTACGGATGGTGCAAGAAATGGGAGGGAGAAGAGTAGAGAGGCTAGGCCAAAGACGGGGCCCAACCCCGTCCCAACAAGTCATACATTAGCCACAAACCCGGTACGGCTGGACCAACAGGCGCAGGCCAAGGCTAGCACGAGCGTAATTGGAACTTGCCTCGGATGCGCAAGCATAGAAGTGATCAGGAAGCGCTAGCGGGACGAAGTACACAAGATATGGTTGCGAATAGATGCAAGCCGCCAGGGAAATGCGTTTTTGAGTAAGGAAGGAAGCTTTTCGCAACCGCGCAAGTGACGTAACGGGCAATGTCCAAACAAAGAAAGTATAACGGGATCTGGAAAAAGCGACAGAGCATCCGATCACAAGCTACTCAGAGGAAACAGAAATCACGTTGTTGTAAGGTTTCTCGGTATCGGTCAATAGACTTTATCGTCGGTAGTCTAGTTGGAGGGGTTATTTTTTCTGCCAAGTGGAACACCTCAGGTTCAGGCGCAGGCAGCATGCGTGAATGAAAGGCTGCAAGATAGTTTGCTAGCAACCCAAAACAGTGGGAGAAGAAAAAAAAGACCCCATGTTTAAGAGGAAGGCAGTAAAAATTTCTTCCAACGGTGAAGGCACGCAGGCGGTGATGACGTTGTGCAAAAACAAAAACCCAAGGCAAGAATGGGCGAGGTTTCGTTGCGGTTGGACTCAAGTGGATTTCCTAAAAAGTTGCAAATGACGCTCGGCATGATTACACAGAAGCCCAGAGCAAGGCTTCCAAGAGCCCCAGGCGTGCGCGCACAGAAGCCTCTGGGGGCCTTAGCAGAAGATAAAAAAAAAAAAATCGGTGACCTGCCTCATCCGGCGTCAGATGTTTTGACGCATTGAGAAAAATTTCAGCCCCATTGGGCTAATTGCTAAACATTCTTCCTGCAGAATTCCACAGACCTTGCTAAGGGTCGGGAGAAAGATGAAAGAATTTCAGGGGGAAAGAGCCTAAATTATGGTAGGGCAAGTTGGAAGGTACTACTAAACACCGCCTACAATTCTCCTACCGCCCAGCTTTCGTCCCAGCAAAAATATCTCGCCGGTTGTGTCCTTAGCCTTGCGGTCACTTTTAGCAACAAAATGCATTGCGAACAAATAACCGCAGGATCCGCACTGGGCACAGGGTTGGGAGACTGCTGGGGCTGGGCCTCGCTGCAGGACAACGCTTGTCAAGTCATTCCCATACTGCTTCCTTTGCCGGGCCTTAAATACTTTCTCACTTCTCCCATTCGCAGCTCTTTTGCTTTTTTAGGGAAATCACCTTTTCTTCTTTTTGTTCTTCCGCTTCCTGACACTTAAAGGTCCAGTCAATTGACCCTTCAATTCTTACAGGTCCTTGTCCCAAATCCTATTCCTCCTGGCTATTGTTTTTCTTTTTGAAGAGCAACCTATCCACTCCCCATTTCCAAAAAAAAAAAATAACAGAAAGCGTACTCCCTACCTTTCGTTTTTCTAATACAAGAAGCCAACTTATTCAATTTCCATAATGCTCAGAATCCTCGGCACTTTCGCCAACCTCATCTTGTTGGCTGGTACCACCCTTTTGTTGATCTTTATTGTTTTGGGTGGTGCTGTTAACCACTTCCCTTTCCACAAGTTTGACTGGCTTCACGCTGACACCTCCAGCATTGACGGTGCTTACTCCCAGTCCAAGTGGTACTTCTGGGGTGTTTGTGACGCTGACGACCGTAGCCAGTGTCACCTTGGTCCAGCTTACGCCCTTTCTCCTTACAGAAACTTTGAAACTGAGCTGGGTGTCCCACAGGACTTCATCAGTGACGACTCCACCTACTTCTACTTGTCAAGATTTGCTTTCGCTTTCTTCATTATTGGTTTCGTTTTCACTGCCCTTGCTTTCTTGATTGACGTTCTTGGTTTCTGCTTTGACTTTGCTGAGAGACTCATCATTGCTTTGGTTACCTTGGGTCTCTTCTTCGTTGCTGGTTTCGCTGCTTTCCAGACTGCCGTTGCTGTCTTGGCTAGAAACGCTTTCAGAGATGAAGGTTACTCTGCTGACATTGGTGTCCAGGGTTTCGCCATTATGTGGACTTCTGTCGCATGTTTGCTTATTGTTTGGATCATCTCTTGTGCCAACAACATTGCTACATCTTACAAGAAGCACCTTAGCAATGTCCAGGGCAACGAGGGCTACTACCACCAGCAGCAGCAGCAGGGTCAGGACGGTGAGCTCGGCGACGACTCTTCCTTTACCAGATCCGTTCCAGTTGAGAAGGACGCCAACGCTGGCAGCGGTGGTATTCGTTTCTTCAGAATTAAGAGAAACCAGAAGCCATCTGACGAAGAGAGCGTCTAATTTGGCAATGCAAATTGCCGCACCATTTGGGCTGTTTCATCGCATTCCCCTGCTCCTTCATGTTCGGGTGGCCTGTTAAAGCCATAGTCGAGCTACCCGGCTGCTAAATATGTGATTTTTGTTGATTTTTCTGATACCGTTAGTGTAATATACAAGTAATCGACATGAGTTGTAGCTACTGTTGTAGGTTGCTCCGTGGATGCGAAAAAAAGAAAGTGGCTCTCCACAAGCCATGAAAGTTTCCGCAAGCCATTGTTCAAGCCGACGAACTAAGCCAGAATTTCAAGCCCACGATCATGTCGGTGATTTAGCTATAAAAGGTTATATTGCTTGCTTATAGCAAATTACACTTTCCCTGATTTTATAGACCCATATTAGGGTTTTCGCAGCCAATAGCATGGGCCTTATTTATATAAATCAGGCAATCCCACCACCCAGGTTCAGAAAAAGGGAGATATAGAATTTACATAAACTTAAAAAACTAAAGTAGGGAAAACAACAAGGCAGTAAAAAAGTAGCTGGGAAAAAGAAGCTAGGAAACTCACCAGCCTAATGGCAATGGAAGGTCAACTGGCAACCCCAGGGAATCGCCGCCAAGGGAATTCCACCACTAGCAAACCAGATTCCCACTGACGTAGTTGGCTTCTCTTTTATTCCCCAAAAAGCCTGGCATGACGCGGTGCCCAATTCGAACGTCCAATGGCTTTATCCACACTAGCAAAGCTTCTTTATGGTTGCTAAGTGAATGGCTGCGAAAGCTCCCACCGCTTTGTGTAACCTAGCTGAGACACGAAAGTGAAGTGGTGGGGGAGGGAAGAAGAAGTAGGGTTGAGGAGGTTTATGAGGCTAAAGAGAAGAAGGTGGAAATTGTTGGTGGACAGAGGGAGTGGAATTGAGCGGATATAGAGGTGAGTGGAGATACAGTGGGTGGAAGTGGAGCTAGTGGAGGTGGACCTAAGACAGGGAAGTAAGTGGTAGCATTGTAGAGTACGAATTAGGGTAAAGTAGTTAATAGGTTAAATGTGGCATTTCTGAATGCCATGGGCTACTAGGCCAACCGTAGAACAAGACCAGTGGGTTGGATCCCTGGCTTGGGTGAGCTAACTCTAAGTGTTGCCATACCAGGCAGCCCACACAATCTATAAATGTCAGTGCCTACCCTTCCCAGCTACCTTTTAACCAAAATCCTAATAAACGTCATCCCCAAAACCCACCCACAATAGCATTCTCATACAATGAAGCGGCAAAGCTTCCTTCCTTCGCTCCTTGCCTTCCCTACACAACAATGTCCCAGTCTCGTCTCTTTGCACCCATTCTAACCAACCCGACCCGCACTCCCAAGGCAGCCACCAACCACCAGCCAATACCCTTCGTTTTCGACTAAGAATTCCACTCATTTCTCGCCACTCAAACGTCTTCCCTTCCGCCGCCAACCTCCTTCCCTCCTTTCCTCCTTCCTTTCCTCCCCTTCACCTTCCCCTTCCTCAGCCACACTGATCGACCCCAGAGCGAATCACAAACGAGCCGGCAAACACTCACAATGAACGGCTGCGAAAAAAAAGACAAAGCACCAACGTGGGTTTCCAGAAACTACAAGCCGAGCCAGGGAGGAAGGGAAGGGAGAGAAGGGAGGAAAGGGAAGAAAAAACGAAAAACACTCGAATCCAAATCCCAATCCAATTCCAATGCCAATGCCAATTCCAATGCCAATGTCTGGTTCCCCTGTGTACCTGGTGCCCCTGGCATAGACATGCTCATTCCCTCATTCCTTCCTTCTGCCTAAGGGAGGCCCAAAATTCGTTGCGAAAAGCAAGGAAGCCAAAAAAAGACACACTGGTACGTCACTGGCATGCGAAAAAAAGAACCAACCGACACTGGCAATGGCCACTGGGCCAGTCGACTGGGCCAGTGGACCTCCACCATCCCCCAACCAGTCCACCGACCAGTCCACAAAAATACAAAGTACCAGTAATGCCAAATCCAGGGTACCCAAACTTCCTTATTCCTTGTGGACCGGCCACAAAAGGCTCTGTTAACTACTGTGGCCAGTAACCCTTCTGTCTATTGATTACCCTCCTCTGTCTCCCAGTACCCTCAGTATTCCCAGTACCCTCAGTATTCCCAGTGCTCAATATTCCCCAGCGTCCCCAGTGTCCCCAGTGCTCACTCAGCACCTCATACCCTCAATACCCAGTATATTCAAGGTCCTTCCCTTCCTTCCCAACATCTTGTCCCACGGAATCTTCCCTCCTCGAATACCTGCCAAGCCGGACTTGCCTCCTCCGCAGCCTTGTTTTTTTTAGCCTTAGCCTTTCCGCCCTGCCATACCCCAGGTGCTCTCCTTGCCTGTCCTGTACTGGTGCTGCTTAATTCTTTTTTTTTTTTTTTTTCTTTTCTTTTTGCTCGCAATAAACCTTCCTGGCCTCACACCTCATTTCGGCTCCCCCACCACCTTTCTTCTTCACTTTCCACTGTTGTGTGGCCATGACTGAAAAACACCACTTGAAGAATCTCTTCCATAGAGATAAGAAGTCTGAACGACAAGACGGCGGGCACCATGGTATCTCCAAGCTCTTCCACCACGACAAGAAGAAGGACCACTCGCCTGAACCTTCCGATAAGACCTCAGTGTCTTCGGACGTGTCCAAGTTTTCCAGAACCCCATCGGCACTTTCCTTGAAGAGGTCTGACTCGAATGCTATGCGTGAAAAGCAACAACACAAGCAAGACCTCCCGCCCCACAATCGCCCGGTGAAACGTGCTGAGACCTTTGCCCACGCTCCGCTGCCTAAGTTTGGCTTGAGCAAGAAGAACTCCTTCCATGGCCTGAATAATCATGGTTCTTGCAACCACCACGAGAAAATCAAGTATAATCCGTACGGAATGATCAAGAACCCGCTGGACCAGGTGCCCCACTCGGCTTCTTTCTACTTGAAGGGTGGTCCGGATAGCGGTGCTCGGGTGCCGGCTAACCCGGTGGCTAATCCGAACGACTACTTGCCTGAGGAATTGCACGAAAATCATATCAATTTCTTGGACGATTTTGAATTCGAGGCGGATGTCAATAAACTAGGCGATGGTGGTTCGGCTGATGTCCGTACCGTTCAGCTCGCCGGTAACAAGAAGAAGCTCTATGCTTTGAAGAAGCTAACGATGTTTCCAAAGGAAACAGACGAAGAGTTTTATAAACGTGCTGCTAAAGAGTATATCATTTCCCGCCATATTGCCGAGCTGAGGCATGTCGTCAACACCATCGCCATCCTTAGACTACAGTCCCAAGGCAATATCACTAGAGGTTGGGGTATCATTATGGAGTACTGCCAAGGTGGCGATCTTTTCAACCAGATCGTCAAGCCTGGTTGGAAACGCTCCCTGATCAATGAGAAATACTGTCTATTCAAACAAATTGCATTCGGGCTTAAATTTTTACATGACAGAGATATTGTCCACCGTGACTTGAAGCCCGAGAACATCTTATTAGACTCTCACGGCGTGGCAAAGCTTTGTGATTTCGGTGTTAGTGACTGGGGCCACGAAGAGCCCATGAACTTTGATTCTCCAATCAAGAAATCCACCGCCTATGTTGGCTCCCCTCCATATTCGTCCCCTGAGGTCATGAAGCTTAAGGACGCCAGCTCATCCGAAAAGCATTCTCTCGCATATGATCCTTTCAAGATGGATGCATGGGGTCTCGGAATGCTCTTATTCTGTATGGTCTACGCTGGTGTACCTTTCCAACAGTCTTCCCTTAATGATCACCAATTCAGAGACTATAAATTCAACAGAGACAGATTCACCTCGGACCATCCACTGTTCAAGAACAACAATGAATTTGCCAGAGGTCCTGGCTCTGAATTCAAGTGGGCCGTTAAATTCGAAAGTAATGGTGCTGCAAGAGCCGCCTGGAAGCTTTGTGACCCAGAGGTAAAGTCCAGATATGACCTCGATTTGTTGCTCAAAGATCCATGGTTCTCTGGTCTCGAGATGTGTATCTACGAACATCCCGACCAGCACGTCAACCCATTTATCAACGGTGCAGGTGCTCCATCATCCTCTAACTCGTCTGTGCATGCTCCTTCTGCTACAACCTCAAGAAAGAATACCTCATATGGTAACCTAGAAGAGGAAAATGCTAGCTTACATACCCCTATCAGAAGCATGTTGGATATGGCTGGATTCCAGGCAGCAGACGATAATGTCTCGGTTAAGTCCAGCTCCCTGTTGCAGCATTCCAAGCCAGCAGAGGAAAGGCTTGTAAAGAACAGAGGCAGCAGTGATGCTTCGCTCCATTCTGTCTCGTCAACTGGATCAAGCACAAAATTGAAATCCATGTGTGATATTGGCGCTAGTGACAAGAACACATTGCCTAGGGTCGCCGAAGCAGAACACGAGGACTCGAAACCAACCTTACCAGCAGTTCATGAGAATGATGGTCCATCGTCTGCTGAACAGGATGGAAACGTCTCAAACGGTAAGATTGAAGAGGGCGGAGAGGCTGAATTCCAGGATTGTCTCAACGCTGCAGAACAGCTCAATCTTGAAGATGGTGAAGAACAGCTTAAGGTCCCTAATGATGGGGAAAGTGTTGCAGAGAGTACCGCCGAACTGAAACCACCATCATCGGCATCTCAAACGACAGGAGAGGAGAATGAGAAAGCAAACTTCTTTAGAGATAAGATTCTCCATGACAGTGACGACTTGAAGCTTGATAACACTGGATGTTGTGAATTAGGTTACAAGATCAAGAAACACCACCACCTTGACATCAGCTCCGCTAAAGCGAAGCGATAATTTACGGAAGGATAGGTTACGAAATACGAACTAAATAGACTAGGCTAATGAACCATGCCTACTAATGGAAAAGGAATAATTGGCGGTGGGAAAACGAACACAGATTTCTCAGCTCTACACTTGAACGAAAATTTTCAATGATTATTGTATTTGTATTTCGTTACGTCAACCCAGATTATACAGAAACATTTAGGCCTCCAAAGCAACTCTACCCTTAGGGTTGGTGACCTTGACACCCAAAGACTTGGCCTTGGTAACAATGTCGACTCTGTTCTTAGAAGAAACGTTGTGGGCAATCTCAGCAGCGTGGGTCTTGGTGTGCATCAACAAAGCGTCCAAGTCCTGAACGTTTCTAACGAGGTAGACCTTGTAACCAGATGGGTTCATGAACTTGGTCTTCTTGTTGGAACCGTAACCGATGTTTGGCTGACGGATGGTGCCTCTGAATCTTCTTCTGACACAAGAGTCAATACCCTTCTGCTTTCTCCAGTTCTCGGCAACTCTGTCATATCTGTCAGAGTGATGTCTCTTGAACTTCTTGGTGTACTTCTTAACAATCTTGACGGACACTGTTGGGTTAGTATTTGTACATTTGATGGGTTGATGCCGTTGATTTGGCTTGATGAGCCGGATGGTGAAAAATTATGGAAAAGTGGTCTTGAATGGACTCGAGGAAACTGGGGGACAATTTGGAAATGGATTTTAATTTAATCGTTCGGCTTCATTGATTGTATTTCTGATGGGATTCGTCGTTACATACTTTTGGCAGTGTTTGTCAGTAAGCTGTAGAAAAGGAAATCCAAAGTCGGTAGGTTATTAAAATTTTTCCCTGGGCATCCAGCGCGAGAGGCAGGCTGGGTGGAGGAACCGCACACTGAGAGAGAGGAAACCGCTTGGGTGCAGGAATCTTCTCTACTATGGTGAGGTGCGACCTTTAGGTCTGAGCCCTATGTGGTGGCACGTGATACAGAAAAGGCAGTCTAGGTGGTCCTCTACGTCGTAGACATGGATAATGGGGGAAGAGAAGATGTGGATTGGTTTGATATGGAATAAATGGGGTGTATAAGAAGGGGAATTGAGGGGGTGGTAGGGCTGGTTGGGTGGGTTGTAGTGGTAGAATGAGAGTTTGCAATGGCTGCGAAATAGGTAGACATAAGGGAGGGTTCAGTATGAAGAAGGCAGAAACGATAAGGTAGAAAGAGGAAGTGATTTGTCATATTCTTTTCTGAGTTACCTTTTTGAACGTTTTCTACTTTTACGAGGCTTCTCTGGTTGCTATGGTTAAAGGTTCTTGCACTTGACCAATGACATCTGGACTATACGGGTGCCAGTTCTCTCAGGTCAGGGTCTCTAGAACGTTCCAAGCATACTCAGTGACATGGCATACTTTCTCTATCAGTTTTTACCTTCAATGGGAGCTATGTTTCTCTACGGCCCTGGTCAAACAACGGTCCTTTCTCGAGATGGTCTCGTTCACCGAAACCTTCCAAATGGGTGCAAAAAAGCGTTGATTGAGATCTATCAAGCCGTGAAGCGTCAGAAAAGTCAATGGCACTGTTCTTAGTTTGAATGTCATCTAATCCTTTCCTAGGGACCTTCTTGGGCACCGTCAATGCTCCAAAACATACCTGAAGCCCAGCACTACCCCCATAACATGGCCATCCTTTCACGACGAACCCCCAACGCCATTGGTGCTTCACCTGGTCCACCTATATACTCCATTCCTCATCCCTATGTGGAAAAAATCCTGCCGCATTCGAGTACGATACCACCAAACCCCATCGTGGCTTATCTCTACCTCCTCACTTAGACCAATACCTTATCCACACCATGTAAAGGCATCAAGTGTCACACGACTCCCATCGAGCCACCACATTCGTAGCCCTTCCTCCTTATCTAATCGATATCTCGTCCCATTGACCTTTTCCAAAATAGCTCCAAATCGCTTAACGCATGCTATCTACTTTGTGTCCGATCCTTCCATTGACATATATCTTTGAGACACCGAGCAAGCAACCACCCATCAATTGCCCTTCCCTGGCCTAATCCACACCCAAATAACCCCCCATTCCTCCTACACGGGCACCCCAAATTCCCTAACCTCCACTTTTCCCTCCCAAATCCTATTTACCTCCCCCGTAACTATATTCCATCTTACCCTTCTCGGACTATTGTAGCCTAAGCCTCCCATAACTCTCGCTTAAATAGACACTTTTGGCGCCGCCCTGCCACTTGCAACGCGCCCAACATCCATCGCTGAAGAGGGGCATCCCCAGGCTTTTCCCATATGGGCGTGTTCTTCACCGTTTCCGGGAGTGTTTAGCATTTATAGAAGTTTAAATACCCCAGGATCGCTCGCTGCGCAAGCCGCTCATCTAACTATGCACGAATACTTGTTAGCGAGACAGACCACCACAGGGCAACTGTGCCGGGCCAATTCCGGGCACATATAAAAGAAGAAAAATATCCCTCTTTTAATTATCTGGTTCCTTTAATTTACCGTCTTTGTGTCTCTTCTTGGTTTGGGCTTCTTTTGCTGTGCTGCTTCCCAATCTGCTGGATGGTAAACACTAACCTCTCTGCACACTCCAAGCATAATATACCTCAAAGAAGCAAAGCCTCTATTCACCCTACTACAACAAGACCCACATTTTTCATCTAAGAATCCACTTCAGTTCGACCAATCTATTCCAGTCCCTAGCTACTCCTTTCTCCATGCACCCAGTACTCTTTTGGGCTGCTGTTGTTGTAGGCTGCTGGGTTGCTGTTTGGCTCCTAGTATACAAGCTTACCGGAGGCTGGTTGGGCTACGTTTCGATCAATAATGGTATTTCCTTGAACTATCTTTACTTTGAACTGAAGCATGTTAATGTGTATGCCACCTCCGTTCGTTTGCGCCTTTGGGGCAACTCCAAACGAATTATAGTCACTGACTTACGGGTTGAAATCCTCCCGAGCAAAGGTCCAAAGACACTGTCTCCGAGAAAACCGAAAGATTCCAGCGATTCCACATGTGACGCTCCAGAACCTATATCCATCCTTCCTAGCCGCCTAAGGTGGCTTTTCCGTTTCATCCTTTGGCACCTTCCTACTATAATACTCGAGCTCAAGTCATCGAAGTTGATCCTTTCTCGAGATGTGGTGGATCTTGAAAACATTATCTTGACGCTGAAGAAAGAGAAGGCCGCCCACAGAAAGGACTACCTTAATCTTCTTTTTGATATGGCTGGCTATGGCATTGAGTCTCTGCCGAAGCTGGCCTCCTCCAAAGTGCCTCCATTATCCATTGGAACATTCAACATCATGACCAAGACCATTGTCGACACTTCCAGCGGAATCATTAATAACACCATTGTTCAATTATACTTGGATAACCTGGAAATTGGTGCTTTCCAAATCCTAAGACACTTATTCCAAGAACAAGACGATCATGACACCCCTTCATCCTCATCCAACAAAGAGGACACCAGATCCAGGGAAGAAAAGCTTCAAAGGCTTCTTGACAAACTTACCCTTACCCATCAAAGAGTTTCCCTGACGATAAAGGAAATCTCCCTCAACATCTGTAACTCCCGTATATTGGGAATACCTTGCATACCTACTTCGTCTACATGCGATTTGGACGAGTACTTCTCCCATATTGACCCTCCATCATCATTTTCCGTGTCTGTCAAGTCAATGGCTATTCAAGCTTCTCACCTTACTGACAAAGCGGCCGGCTTTATGGCTTTGTTTAATAGCAAGCGTGATCGCCCCTTGCACTTGACAGCTTCCATTGTATTATTCCAGCTGTACTTTGTTACTCGCAGGTTTGATGAAGTTTCAAAGCTTTGGCATTCTGATGTTGATGAATTTCTTAATGTTCCTAATCTCAGTTTTACATTCAAATCAAACTTCCTCGATCATTTGGCCAGAGGTTTGGGCTTCAGGGACTGCTCTATGGAATTCTATTCATCCATTAGTAACCCTATTCTTGACCTTAGCGTCGATCAGATTGCATTACTTTCTTACAACCGTGTGTTAGCGAAGAAGGTGTTGATTCTTCGAAAGTTGAAAAGGGACAGAGCGCACCTGGCCTCCAAAGCACTGTCTTCTCAATCACCATCTTCCCAGTCGCCTACAGCGTCCAACACTGATGGTGAAGATTCCAACGGGGAATTTTCAAGCCATCGCCCAGAATCATCTCCTGATACTCCTGTCGCTCATAAGTTTGATGGCCCTTATAAGACGTCTGACGCTCCACCAACAACTCTTCTTGATAAAGCTGTGAGCTTGCTTAATGAGTACTATCCTCAAATTGGTGTCAAATGTGCTGTGGAGCAGCCGCAATATGTGATTCGCTTGGATGAAACAGAAGTCAAGCTTATTGACATCTCTTATTCCCTTATGTACTTCCACTTGCTCACAACGGCCAACAACGATTACGATGCAAGATGCCATGTCCTCCATCCATGTCTCAAGTATTCACGAAAGATTGATGTCCCTGATGGTGATGAAAACCCAAGGTTGAGTGAAGAGGTCGTTGGTTGCAATAATGCGGAGCTTCAATTTCATGTTCTTAAGAATCTTCGTTTCAAGGTTTCTGCCTTGGCTGAAAATGCTTTTGTTAACTTGGCCAAGCCTGATGTTTTGAATGGCATAAACGAAATTGCCTCAAGCATGACCAAGAAGAGTTTCGATACTTTACGCAATGGTTCGGTGAATCAGTTCTTCAATAAGCGTTTAGTTGAAGATTTCGGTAGTGAACCTTCAGATATTCACCATCATGGCCCAGCAGAAAAGTCATCATCGATGGACAAGCTTTATCGAACTTTGCCGTCGTGGTTTGTCTCTGCTGATGTTGAGCTCAAAGGACTTAAGGCTACTCTTGGTTCAACTTCGCCCCTCTTGCCACCTGAGTTGATTGCCGAACTCTCCCAAAAGTCCGAAACATTAATGTCTGACACGGATCAAGTCATCGAGCTCAAGATCGAACATCATTGCGTTAGCATTAGCAATAATGACCACGCCCCAGACATCAATACCATTCAGGAAAACAGCAGCTCTGACTCTCTGGAAACTTTGGCGTTTGAAGAACAAAACCTGTTGTATTGGAAGATACTGTCATGTCTTAAAAATTTCCAATTGAATGCAAAGAAGAGGAATGCTAAGGACGTTCCATTACTTCTACTTGATAATGTTGAGGCCTCGCTATCGGCGGTGAGGAAAGAAGATGGGAATGAGATGGTAGTTGATACAAACTTGAACGAAATTACGGGTACCATTGACAGAAGGAAGGTATTTACCATTCTCGGTCTGATCCATTTGATCTTGCAGACTGTTATCATACCTGTGAAGAACATGAGATCTGAAATCAACAAGGATTTGGAGAAGTTCGAAAGACATGAACGGCGCGGAAGCGTCGCTGAAGGAGCAAAGGCAATAACCTTCCAATTGAATCTCAAAAAGATGAACTATATTGCCAAGCTTTCTGATGAATTCAAGTTACGTTTACAGGCCTTCGACTTTAGTGTCATCAGCAGGCAGAACGTTTTGAATATCAACATATACTTCTTGCGACTCTTGGCTGATTCTCCTCAATTCAAAGGCATGTGGAGTAGGCTTGGTTGTGTTGATTCGATAAATGTGAAGCTCAATGATCCTCAGGAGTCAGAGAAAATCTCCATTTTCTCTTCACATGTACGCTTCTTCCAGCCCCATGGATTTGTTGTCTACAAGCTTTTCGACAATATATCTATTTTTGTCAAGATCATCAAGCACCTTGTGAAATGTCTCAAGTCATCAGAAAAGTCTACTGTGGTCTTCCCTAATGAATCTTTACCGCTCAAGGTACCTAACATTCGTTTCAAGTCAACCAACTTAAGTTACTTGATGGAGGACGACCCATTTGAAGCTGATCTAGGAATGCACTTCCAGTTGGGTTTGGTGGAGCAAAGGAAACGAATGGATATGCTCTCAGCATTTGAAGAAAAGGTCAAGCAGGAAAACTTAAGCGAAGCTGAGTTCGATGTTCGTCTTGATCAAATGCGTGTTGCAATTTCCGATCTGTGGATAAGAAAGGTCAACGCTTATAAGGCAGCTATGGCATCTGAATTGACAGAACATGGTAGGTACATTGTTGGTAATGAGCTTGATCTCCCGGCGCTGGATAATCATAAGGTTCTCGGGTATTTCATAGCCCCACCTTTGTTGAAGATTGTTATGGCTGACTTTGATATTCTCATAACATCTCCAGAGTTCCCGTTGGAAGAGCTTCCACAGTACATTTACAATGTTGGCCAAGGAGTACCTACTGATACTCGCTACAATCTTATGGTCCCTACGCATATCGACATGTGTGTCAACGAGCTTAGAATTCACTTGAGAGATTATCCATTGCCCTTGCTTCATTTGCCAAGAGCTAAAGATGAAGTTGGCAGGGGAAGAGCTCTTATGATGAAGGGTCACTTGGTTATTGGAGAGGCTCTCTGTCTAGAGAAGGAGCATTTGAGACAAATGGAGGTCCAGTTGCGTGAACCGTCGGAGAATCCTGATGATGATCTTCACAAGTACGACCATCTCACTATAAACAAATCGCTCACCACAGTGAAGGTGTTCACCGATTTGGATGTGAAGTTTGATTCTAATGGTCCTTGTCGTTTTGTTTGGGGTCAGGCATACCAATTTGGTATCCAACAAGCTATGCTTAATTTTGATTCATTCTCCAAGCCTCCTGTCGATCCATCCAACAAACTTGGTTTCTGGGATAAGATGAGAATGCTTCTCCATGGTAAATTCTCAATTCGTGCTGAAGGTTCTACCCAAGTTGAGGTCGCTTTTAAGGGAGGAAGGGATCCATATGATCTTTTCCCTAAATCATCTGGTTTTATTTTGTCCTTCCAGGACCATGTCATTTGGAGAATTAACCATGAAGACAACTCACTCAAGTTCTTCGACATTCTGGCACAAAGAGTGTCTTGGTACATTCCAAACTATCTTGCTGCTCCACTTATGGCATGGACGAGAGACAGTTCCGATTCCGTGTTCCTCCCTGACTTCCATAAGATGACAAACACTGTTCATGCTTATTATTTGATCAGAACACCTCCTCATTCTACTGCTGAGAATGCCACTAACCCTGATATCAACATCAAAGAAAAGATGGCAATTGAATTAAGTGGTGGAATCAGATATGTGGTGGGTTTCCTTTTACAACGTCAGGCTGTTGATGGTGGTGTCACCGAAGATTGTATTCCTCATTATGACATTGTGCCATTTAATCCGGAGTTTACTTCAGAGAATCATGATACTTACAAAGGATTCAGAAGCACGAAGCTCCATATGTCGATGTCTTTAGCTGCGCATACCGAAGACAGTTATAACACGATTCATTTGAGTCCTGGAGGCTTTGATATATTCTTCAAGTGGTGGAAAATGTTCCAAGGTAACATGATGCTTCCTATTAGAAAGGGTATTGTTTTTGGAGAAAAGAAGGCCAGTCCTAAGTTCTCACAGCATCTTTTCACTAATAAGTTTTTGTTCCAGATCAGAAATCTTTTCATCAGTCATATCTACAGAGAGGAGTATTTTGGACAGGATGACGACTATATTGATTGTTTTGGTTTGAGAGCTAGAGTCAAAGATTTTGTTGTCGACTTGCATCAGCAAAAGGAAGAACGTATTTCATTGCACAGGCCTTCAGGCAAAGAGATCAAGACACTTAAGATGATCATGAAACTTGGTGAAGTTAGTCTTTCAGAAATCGATATGCGAGTGGTTCTTGCAAAGATCTATAGAGACACGTACTCAGTTGGCGAGAAGCTGTCGAGGGAAAAGTGCAAGCTTAAGATTTTTGACGACAATAAGCAGTGGTTTGACCCTAGAGATTTCCATGAAGCATTCAAGTCCAATAGTCATGAGGCATTCAAACTGGTTGAGGTTACCCCAATGGCTTATTCGGAGAGGTTCGCTTATATCAGGGACACTACGGACATGACTGGTGGAAACAATGATAGCGCTGAGAAGTCACACGATTGCAAATTAAACACTGGGGATATTCACAGCGCCCAAATCAGTGTTGCGAAGCGAAGGCAAGCAGACCTTGAAGAAATCTACCTCCGCCAGGGCGGTGTGGATCTCGAAAGAAGAATCAACTCCTTGAAGCTTTACGTGAGAAAGTTTGAAGACGAGAGAGAAAGAAGTTCAAGAAGAGAAAGTACCCAGAGTGTGCCTAAGTTGAAGGAGCATTTCCATAATCGGTTCTTGATTACTTCGATGTTGTTCAAGTGGAACGTCAAAGTGCGTGATATCTTCACCAAATATTTGCTTTTTGCCGAGATCAATTCAAAAGCCCGCAAGTTCCTATCCTATGAGTTTGTCAGTATGCTTGAAGGACTTGTCAATAAGCAGGATAATCAGTCGGATCGTTTATCTGTGGCATCATCATCGATTTATGATACTCATTCAAGAGGCAGAAAGCTCAGTCATACTCTGATGAAGGTAGGAAGTTCCCAGGAACGTCTTAACAATTTTGATGCTATATTGAGGGAGATAACTGGCGATGAGCGTATTGCTGAAGACTTTAAGATCGAGGTGATCGGCGTTCAAATACAGTTCCACACCGAGCAAGTTATTGATACCGTTTCCATCGTTTCTGCTCCATTATTGGAGCTGAAGATAGTGTCTGTTCTTCCAAAGAGTGATAACCCCTTAATTATTAATACTACCGTTCCTGAGAAGAGATATGGTGTGTTACTTCATGATGCTAGCGTCACCGTTCTTGAGAAGAAGGATGTCGATCATTGGAATCCAATTCTTGATGTGAAACCATGGGGAAGCAAATCAAACTGGCCTCCATGGTTGGGTATTGAAACATGCAGAGACAACGCTCATATTGATCCAACGCTTATGCCGATTGAACGTATGTCAGTGATGGTCACTTACGACAAAGTGAACGCCCTGGCGAGTGAAATGGAACATCAAGATAATGATGATGATAACCGCTCGCAGATTGAGACGCTTGGTGAGCTGGCTTCTTCAGCAAAGAATAAGCTCCGGGTGGACATACCAAGGGTCAGTATCACTTCGACTTCAAAGCAGTATCTCGCCCTTTATGCCACTGCCCTCAACTTGTTCCATTATTCTGATCCAATCACTAGCCAGTTGAAAGATAAGCTACTGAAGCTTAATTTCCAGACTGAATTCCTGGATTACAAAGCCATGCATGATAGGTTGACAAAGCTTCACAGCTATATGTTAACCCTTAAGGTGTTACTGAAGGGATACGGCTACAGGCATGAACATCTTGATAATGAGGAATTAAACCTGTTCTTATTCCTTAATTCAGAGATTGATGATACAAACTTTGAGATTCTATTCACCGTGGAGGCACTCCTAATGCGAGACGCATTTTCCGACTCATCCAAACTGACCGTCGCTGACTGGATCATTGGAACGGATGAGGTGGTGCTTCATATGTTGCAAGATGACCGCAAGCCTATTTTGGACTTGGCTATTGAAGGTGGTACATGCAAACGAGTCATAATGGAAGATGGCTCGAACGATAATAGAATTCAGATCAAGAATATTCAAGGTAATAATTTGGTGAAGGGTGCTCCTTACAAGAGGTTCGTCGAGTCGGTGTACGCACCTGGCGACGAGAACCTTATACTTGTTGACTGGTCGATGCAAAAACCTGTTGGAGGTATCAAAATCATTGAGAACTTCGAAATCAATTCCAAGCCCTTGAAGATCAGATTTGATGAAATCACTGGAGTCCAGTTGATGCAATTTATATTCCAAACTGACAAGGAGGACGAAATTGAGAACAGTGTGCTTATCAGAATGAACGATGGTTTGAAGGATATCGATGAGGCTGACAAGCCTGGTAACGGTGAAAAGTCTAAGAAGAACAAGAAAAAGAAGAAGAAGAAGAATTCTGCGGACGGTTCTGGAGAAGATGAAGATGATGGCGATTTATCAGACAGTGGTTCGCTAGCAAGCACTACTGTTATTTCGAATCGAGAGCTGAAGACATTTGATTCTCGTACACAAAATAAGACGGTTAAAAAGAAGGGCTCGTTGAAGGAGTCCTCTTTCTCAAGTGGTGACGACGGAGATTTTGGAGAAGATGTGGCGAGAATGATTGAAAGGTCCAAGAAGTATTTCAGTGTCACCAATATGAACTTTAGGCCTTTCGACGTGATGATATCGTTGAAGCTTAAGTCAGGATTGTGGAGGTTGTTGAATGTCACCGACTTTATGCTCGAGCTTCCAGGGTTCCACGTTGAAAAGGAGCTCGTGTCGATGCTCGACATCGGGGACTTAATGAAGAAGATGTTGATTAAGTCACTTTTATCGCATAGCGGCCGGCTTTTGAAGAATATGTTGAAGACTAGCGGCCGCAACCGGAAGAAGGATACATACTATGTTGTCAAGGAGAGTTCCAATCAACATACACAGATTCCGTCCAGCCATTAAATAATTTATTAAACATTACGAAAGATCCTAGACATGTTGTCTCTTAGCCTCATTGGTAGCCTGCTTCTTCTTTCTCTTTCTCTTTGTCTCATCGTTCTCACTCATATCGTCACCTCTCATTAAAGTCAGCTGGTCGCTGATAGCCAAGTCAGAGGGATTAAACCCTGGAATACCATTTACAGGCGTTTTCTCGAACTTCAAGGCGTGATTCAACAATTCGGCGTCGAGTTCACGGATAAGGTCTGGCTGCTGGCTCAAGTTAGGGTCCAAAAGCGCTGCTGGAACAGCCTTTGCTGGAGGGATCTGATGCTTTCCTGGAAGGTCTTGGATATGATTCTTATAAGACTTGCGTAGCTTCACGCCCTTTGAACCATCTGATTTCGTACGTTCAAGCGATTTCGCTATAGGTTCTAGCCCGTATAACTTGAGAAGGTTATCTAGAGGCGAAGGACTCGGCAGGGTATATTTCGCTGGATGTTAGTAAAAGCTGATGTTTAAGAAAAGCTGAATTCACGTACCATTGTTGTCTATAAGGTAGTAGCTGTCCAAGCCATCTGGTTTGGGCTCGGTCATCTTTGGGATAAGTAGTAGTAGTTGAGATTGTTAGAGGTTGTACAAAGGTGCGAGAAAGCTAAGTAAGCCACCCAGAGACGGAATGTGAAGGGTATGTGTTTTGGAAAGAGATGAATTTGAATAAGAGTCTTTTGGGTTCAAAGAATTTGGTTATATGATTAATGGCTTTCTAGTGTTCGTCTGTAGAGTGAAGACTTGTTACTTATAGATTGTAGTGCTAGTTAATGGCTGCGAAATGTATAAGGAGAGCAGTAGTATATAGCCAATTGAGTGAAAATCTATAATTGGATGGTTGCAAGAGACTTTTTGCTTAACTGGTTTCTAAAGACGTTTGTTGGGCCAATTGGAGGGGAAGGAAGTCAACTTTTCAGTGTTTCTCTGGCTGAGAATGGTACACTCTCGTAGAAGCAATCAGCATTCCCACTCCAACTAATCCAAATCATCCCTACTTTCTTTTCCAGATATGTATTGTATTGTTAAACAAGGTGGTCTATAGCTCCCCATGTAAAGCAGTCATAATATACAGTGTGGCCGTGTTCCAGCTCTTTTCATTACTTGCCCACAACGTTCCAAGCGCCGCCTTCCTTCTGCTCGGTCTTGTCTTCGGTCAACTTCACGTCGGCAACCTTCTGCTCGAGTCCCGTTTCCTGGGTCTTCTCCTCCTCTTCGTCATCCTCGTCATCGTCCAAAGACAAAACGTCGTACAAAGACTTCTGAGGACCGGATGGCTGTTCGTCGGTCTTCTTCTTGTTTGGAGCGGCGGTCTCCTTCTTACGTGGCTCCAACTTCTGGCCTCTCTTCCAGTCAAACTCCTTCTCTTCCTTCTTCTGCAGCTGCAATCCGCTGCCTCTGGCAGAGCTCCAGTCGAAGTTGTCCTCCTTTGGCTTTCTGTTCAGTCTTTCACGTGGAGGCAATGGGCCGGAACCGGCACGAGCAGAACCCCAGTCCAAGTCTGGCTCCTCTCTTCTTGGCTTTCTCTCTCTTGGAGGCAATGGACCACCAGCGTTTCTGGCGCTACCCCAATCCAAATCTGGCTCATCTGGTCTTGGTCTTCTCTCTCTTGGCTCTCTTGGAGGCAAGCCACCAGAGGCAGATCTGGCGGCACCCCAGTCCAAATCTGGGTCTTCTCTTCTTGGGCCTCTTGGACCTCTGTCTCTACCGGCACCTGGTGGTGGACCAGAAGATCTGGCAGAACCCCAGTCCAACTCGACCTCCTCTCCTCTTTCTCTGTCTCTTCTACCGCCGGCTTGGCCAGATCCTCTGGCAGATCTCCAGTCCAAGTCAAACACATCGGTCTTCTGCGGAGCGGCAACGTTGACGTACATCTTTCTACCGTTGAACTCAGACATGGTCAAGTTCAAAGCTTCCTCCAAAGCAGCTCTCTCGGTGAAAGTCACGAAAGCGAAACCCTTAGGCTTGCCGGTCATGTTATCCATTGGCAACTTCACTTCGGTAACAATATCTCTGGCCTGCAATCTGTCCTCGAAGAAACGGGTCAAAGCACCCTCAGTGGCATCGTAAGGCAAGTTACCAACACGAGCCTTGTAAGGAGGAGCATCTGGGATAGGGACCTCCTCTCTATCTCTTCTGGCATACTGCTCAGAGAAATCGGTGCTTCTCTGGACTGGGGCAGCACCGGAGCCGCCCACATTGACACCGATAGAGGACATGTCGACCTCAGCGTCAGCCCAGGAGCCGCCTCCAACGGACTCGTCGTTTAAAAAGGACCCAAGGTCCATCTTCCTAACATTCTTCTTTGGTGCTTGTTTGTTAGTAATTTGAGGTATCTGAGGGTGTGGAGCTTCCAGCTAAGGGGTAAATCGAGCTGTAGAATTGAATGGGCCGCTTTAAATGCCCTATTTGGAGCTCCCTGGACGGTTTGTACGTACGCATGATGGTTAGTTGTATCTGATTACCTGAAAAATTCAGAAAATTTTTTACTAAAATGTGAACTTTTTTCGCGCAGTAGCTACACTTCTTAGAGATGGAGGCCTGGTGATGGAGGCAAGTATCCGAAGATAAAGGGTTCGTAGATGCGATATTAATTCATAATTACAAGATATCTCTTTCACTGTCGATGAGTTTTAACGTTTTGATGTTTCGCCACAGGAATAGGATTTTCATGTGTGGGTAGCAGTGGCACACCCGCAGTCAGATCACCGAGATCAACTCCCGATGCGGTAACACTTCCGTCAACCGATGGCATCGCTAGGTCAGTTTCTTCACACTCTCCTTTCCACTACTTCTCGTGTTGCCTCGGCAAGATCTTCTGCATTTGCATTGTCTTCATCAGCATTGTGGTAGATGCTAGGTCCACTCTCCAGGGAACTGCGTCTGGGTGTAACATCAGTGGTAGCTTCAGGGGCCAGAACAGAATTCACTTGTTCCATTTGTGGTTCTTCTGGTGCTGTTTCTTGTTGAGCCCTCGAATCCACATGGGGTAAATGCTGTACACGAAAATCCTCTGTGACGTCGTCTCTGCCTTCTTCAGCCTGCTGGGCCTGTTCTCTTGAATAAAGAGAGATGACGGCCCAGTTAAACATATCCTCTTTGCTGATACCCATAAGCCTCCAGAATACACGCTTCCAGCAGCGCAGGTATTTCTTATTGGCAGTGTTACGGGCGGCAGATTCGAGATCGAGCGTTTCTTGTCCCAGCAAGATAGCGTTGGCTCGTTCGGAGAGCGGAATAAGCTCATTGAGAAGAGCCCTAAGATTAGGATCGTTTCGAAGTAAATCATAGTTGATGGCAAAGTCATCGTCAAGATGACTGTTGTTGGTGGTTGTTTCATTGTCTTGGTTGTTAGTCGTTGTAGGAGTCTCGGCTAAATCAACTTCTTGTGGCTGCGAAGGATCTTCCAGTCTGTGTTCATCACTGGCGCCAACCTCTGTGGGTTCTTGACCAGTACTAGATCCTCTTCTAGCAACCTGATCAGTTTCAGCTGGCGGCAGCTCAGTGATATTATTATGGGCGGTATTTCTGGAATTCTCCTTGTAATAATCCCTTTTGCAGATTGGGCAGCAGGCTCTGCGTCTTGTTAGCCAAGGGTCCACACACTCTGCGTGGAAGACGTGCCCACATATTAGACCTCTGACGACGTCGTCGTGCTCGTATGTCTCGAGACAAATGGCGCAACTTCCAGAGTCAAAATGGAGCTCACCTTTGGCATTTGAAGTAGCCGCCAGCGAAGTAGCGTCTATGTCTGGGTGAGCTGGTTCCACAGGGGAAGCTGAAGATAATCTCCGAAGCTCAATCACCTCAAAGTCACCTTGTTCAGACTCAAGCGTAGTTGCAGCTACTTTCTCAGGCTCACCATCTGCGTCCATACGAACAGACGTAATGTCGTCTTCCGTATCGCCAGCATGAAGCCACTCCGCATACGAGGTCTTAGGGAAAAGACGGTCGACTTGAGCCACTGTGAGTTTCTTCATCTTAGAGTACCGACCTCTTCTGCGGCGCCGTCTACGACGACTGGCAGCCATAGCGTCTAGCCCCTCTACTGCCGAGAGGTAGCGGCGCTCAAAGAAGTCGTCCCTAAAGAAGTGGTTGTTTCGTAGGTAATTTAAGTACCAGTCAAGCTCTCTATCGGAAGGAGAATGAGATAAGTCCACACGATCGGGACCCACGTTGGCAGTGAACATCATGCCATGATGTGCCACAGGGTAAATGTGAAGCCCGTAACGGGACCGTACGAAGTAACGCATGGTGAAAAACACAAACACAAATGCTATAGCCACACCAACTGACATGGCCAAAAAGAAAAGCACTGTAGACGGCGTATTGCCCACAAACGACGAGGACGTATTGGGACCACCCTCGGTAGGTTCAGCAGTTGTCAGGGCGGTAGCCATGGACGAGACGTGGGAGGCAAAGTCCGAGCTATGGATCAGGTTAGACATGATTTAAGCGGAAAGTGGATATTTCACGAAGTAAAAGGCCGTGGGTGATTCAGGCACCCCGGCACGACGTAGGATTGAAAAGACTGGATGGCGGCAAAAAGGGCCAAAGGAAAATGATCTTTAAGGCCAGAAACGAGCCAAAACAAAGTTCAAAACAGGTTGGATTTCGACTTGTTGAAGAACTGAAAAAAAAAAATGGGATGGCTCTCAAAAAGCGAAAGCTAGGGATGGCCTCTTCTTTTAAATAATGGTGACGTGAAGATCAGGAAAGGAAGATTAAACCAACACAGGCCTGAAGCAGTCGTAAACGAAAAAGATCAAGGCAAAAACAGCTCCTTTCCACACTAAACAGGCTAGAAAAACGGTTTTCTGTGGGGAAAGAAAGAGTAGGTCCTGAACAGTTTCCCGGGTTTCGCACGGCGTGATGGTTTGATGAAGGTGGATTGGTGCGGCCCCTGGATAGTAAATTGAGGTAGATAGATAAGGAGGGAAAGAGGGTTGGTGATTTGGAATGAGGGCAAGGAGGTGGGTTTTAGGGAAGATTCGGAAAAGAAGAGGCAGAAGATGAAGTACGAGAAATCAGGATAATTATATATATATTATTTAGAAAATTCTTGGTTTGGCGTGGTGGGGGAGGTGCTGGAAATAGGAGGGTAGGGTATTATCTGAGACACATGGCAGGCGCGACAATGTCGTGGCTGCCTCAGCAACCCTCGAGTGAAACGGACTTGGAGGGGGGTTTGAAGGATAAAAGTTGTACCGTTGGAGAGAGGTGGTCTGGGAGATCACAGTGGTACTCTTAAAATTTGTCTATCTTGTCGTTTAGGTCCAACTGTGTGGGCCTTTGGTAGGTGACCAAGGGACGACATTTTTGCAATCGCGCGACATTTGTCGCGCCAGTTACCCCAGATCCCAGCAAGTAATTTAAGTCTTCAGCCTCAGGCAGCTCAGGTTAACTAGTCAGGGAATAAGTGGTCTCCAGAACGACATTTCCAAATCGAAAACTGCCGTTGCAGCCGTTGATTCATCAAATTGTGGGGCAAACTTCTCCATCACGGCAATACCCGAACCCCAGGAAAACCCGAAAATAGCTTGGTGGGGTGCTTACTGCCGCTAGGGGAATGGCTGCGAAAAGCCTCATGGCGAAGTGCCAAAAGGAACTGGAGATTCCGCAAGCTGAGCAAAGAAAAGGGGCTGGTAAACGGTGAATGGGGGTTTTGATGGGTTGGTGTGTAGGTGTTCGTTTAGGTTGCTTTGGAGTTGCTTTTTGTTGCTTTGGGGTTGCTTTTATTTGTTCTCTGGTGCTTTTACCTCCCTCTGGTTTGACACATTGTCGAGGTTTTCGACTAAGCGCGGGGTGGAAGAGTCCGAAGTGGCAGGCAGGGTGGACTGGGAGGGATACATTGGAAGGTGAAGGTAAGGAGTAATTGGCTGGAGGTGAGTGGAGGTTTAGGGAATGGTTGGATGAGATACGTAGTGATATGGTGTTGGTTTATGGGAGGAGGTGGTAGTACAATTGGATGTGTAGAGATGTTGGTGGTCCACTCAGTCAGTGGATACAAGTATGGTTCAGAAAAGAAGGAGAAGGATATTAGGTAATTGGGGTAAGTCGAGGTGACTGAAAGGGTTCATTTGCTGGTCACTTTGGGGCACAGAGTGGTGGCATCGTTGAAAGGCTGGTGGCATTGGAGGTGTGGGTATCTTTAGTAGTCCTCTTGTGCACAGTTACCTACTCAGGTTAAAAGACTCCTAGTTGCTTCAATCTAAAGAGCTTTCAAACGATGTTAGTGTATCCAATAGTATACTTGTCAATGGGAAACCTCTGACCTGAAGCTAGTAAGAATTAGCTGCCTCTAGCCGTTGTAGCCTTTGTAGACCGCCTTCAAGGCATTGTACTGGTTAGGAGACTTTCCGTACTATTCAAACAGATCCAAAGAGCCGAATGGGTCAAAAAAGACGTTCTTTTTATCGATAGTACTCGGCTGTAGACGCCGTGGGCATCTTCCGTCCTCGGTGTTTTCCATCGTAGGTTCGTTTACAGCTATGTGGCTCATCGTTCAAAGCCATCAAACGAAGCTAAAGAATCCAAGAAAGCTTCAGATACCCCAGCACCCTTCCTTCTGTCAACTGCTGTTGTACCTCTTCCATCACACCCAGTGTTGATTGCTCCAGGCGCGTCTTCGTCAACACCATGGGCCCATCCTCACCGCTACACTTCTACACATCAAACTTGGCTTGCTAATTTGCAAATTTATATATTTGTCTGTACACTTAAGCGCCCTTTGGAGCCTCCTTGTGGGAGATGGCAGCCTCCTCACCCATGGCGGAGATGACAGAGATGATCAAGTCCTTACCATCGTCGAAGTCAGACTGGATCTTGTCACCAATCTCACCCTCTGGGACCTTGACGTCATCCTTGGTGTCACCGTCGGTGGTCATCAAAGACAAGAAACCGTCGTCAATGTCCAACAACTGGAAGTCTTGTCTGCTGACGTTTGGAACCTCCATGTTGTGGGTAGATGGAGACAAGTCCTCCAACTTCTTACCAGTGAAAATGTCAATGGCGACCAAGTGGACCTTGGCGTGACCGTGCTTACCGGTCTTGGAGGTGGACATGTCGACAATCTTACAAGGTCTACCCTTGATGACGACGTGACCGTTCTTTCTCAAAGCAGAACACTGCATTGGGAAGGTCAAAGCGGCACCAGCATCAGCGGTCTCAAAGACGTGCTGTTTATGTTAGTATAATGTTTGCAAAAGCGTTGTTTCTTCGCTGGCTTATGTCTCCACCAGTCTCATTGGCTCTTCTTGATTGATTTGGTGTCCCCCAGGTTTTCCACCGAATCGACGTTCCGAAACTCGGGTTTCCCGTTTCATTTAGGTGGATCTGAAACGTCCAAAGTTGCCAATGCGTTAATTTGCTTTTTTACATACTTCTTCGTCAGCCATTTTTTATTTCTGAATATGTGATGGAAAAGAGAAAGAAGAAGAAATTCTAATGGGATGTATTTTTTTTTTTTTTCCGCAGTCGTTGGATGCCCACCGAAAAAAGGGAACCCTGGGTGCGAAAGCTTGCCTATTCTGTGGATGGATAATTTCAAGGATCCTTTAGACTTGCAAGGAATTGAGAGGTCGTTAAAAATATCGTCTTTTGGCTCTTAAAGTATTGAGATGTCTTTGCTTTTGTTTGTCTTCTTTTCGCTGCTCAATTGTGATTAATGGCAAATTTCGTTTCCCCTGTTACCCGGCCATCGAATCTGAGCGACTCATAGACAGCGTTCGCGAACCACTAATTCCTGTACTTTTCTGGGGCAGATGAGAAAAACGCCAATAGCGTGGCTTGCCTGCAGTACCGTATACGCTACACTGCCAATTACCTTGATCGTAAGCGTCAGCACCATGCCGAAACTGCGGCAGTTTAGGGTTTGGGTATGAAGCCGCTGGAAGGCCGAAGACGATGAGGCGGTGGGTGGCGGCTGGTCACGTGCAGGAATTTCAGTTGACTCGGAACACGACGACGGCCTGTCTGCCATGCAGTTCAGCCTTACGCTTGGGGCTGTTGGTGCAGTTAGTTGGTTTGGCTGCAAAATATAGTAGTGAAGCACATTTTCTTTTTTTTTTTTTGTTATACATTATAGGTCGATACATTGGCCTGTTGCTTTTGTCGGTGATCATTAGGGGCAAGCGCTGCCATGGCCAAAGGCATCTTGCATGTTATTTAAGTCGTGGCGATGTGGAGCTTTTTTTGGGGGTTTCCTTCTGGACTTGACTTTGATAGGATTCTATCCAACATGCCACAATATAGTACATTTGGGAGAAGAAAAAAAAGGCTTCTTGAGAACTGAAGTAGACAAGTTTTGGGAATGCGAGGTTGAATCTAATGGCGTGTGCTCGTCGGTTAGGTTTACAACTTTTCGGCACTTTCACCCTTGAGCAATTTCTTGCTGGTCTCGGGATCTTCTGGCGCCTGGCTGCTCAAGCGGGATTCGTATTTTGCCTGTTTCTCAAGCTTGAGACTTTCAATCATGTCTGCCCATTTATCCAAGAGCTCATTACACTTTTCATGTAACTTGAAACTTTCGTCGTATGCCAAATCTTCGTCCTTAAGGATGCACTTGAGCACCTTATGGATCTTGGTCTCACGCAAAAGCTCCACATTCAATGGAAAGTCGGCAAGACGATGCAATATCAACCTAGCAACCAGCAATTCCTCAACAGTAGGTGGTGGGAACAGCTTGGGATCCTTGGGAGTGGCGGGTTGATTTCTTTGAATAAGAGATCGTTGTAGTTTGATCCGGCACAACCACAACTGATGCTGTCTATCTTTTTCAGCGATAGGTTTGGGTGACGCTGAACGGCCCTTGCCATTCCCGCTCCCGTTTGTCTCCTCGTTAACAGATGAATTGGATACAACACGTTTCTTGGTGGCAGAAGCAGAGCCACGGCGTGTTCTTTTTCGAGATCGTGAGCTATCAGACTCGTCCTCAATCTCATCCTCATTCCCGTCCTCTTCCAGAGTACTTTGAGCGACGCCATTGCCGTTACGCGAGTTGTTACTGGCGTTTCTCAACCCTCCTCTTCTGCGGGTTTTTGGTAATGGCTTGGATTTTGCCTCTGAATCGGACTCTTCATTTTCTATCTCAGCACCTTCTTCATTCGCATTTGCATCGTTGGTATCGTTAGCATCGTCTCCATTTTCATCCACTTCTTCCTCTTCTTCGTCTTCATCTTCGTCATTTTCGCCTGCAACGCCCTTATTCACGGCAGCAAGCTCTTCCATGAATTCATCAAACTGTAAGCCTTTCGCCGCAATGTACGCCTCAGCAACGTTATTCGTGCGGCCTGTTTTCTTCTTGGATTTGTTCTTAAGCTTATCCTTGGGCACTTTCGACAAGTAGGTTTCAAGTTTGGCAGGTGTTAGCACCTCTAAGCCCTTCTCATTCATCCAGTTGAAGTCACCATCAGGTATAAAGATAACACACGTGTTTGTTGTCTTCTTTTTGGCCTTCATGATAGCAGCTGGGATCATATCGGGAGGCATAACGAAGGAAGGCCAGGCTGGGAAGCCTGTCATCTTTGACAAAACCATCGACTTCGGTTCAAACTCGGTCTTGGCAGCTTTCCGAGGAGGCATGATTGCAAGATCTTGGTTTGGATAGTATTGGGACGGTGATCAACAACCGTGTTCTAAGAATGGGACGTATGGTCGTAATGTGGCAGGGAGCTGGTCAATTGAGGACAATGAAAATAATCAATGACGCCAGCCGCAGGATATATTTGTCTCCAGAAGTTTCTGTGATGGCAGAGCTGAGCTTTCCCCTGTGGATCTTAAATTGACAAGGTCAGACAAGATTTAAAAACTGAACTTTGGAAGCCGGAAGAAAGCGAGGTGTGGCAAATCAACGACACAAACGCGCTTTATCAGTATATTCCAGAGCTTATTTGACTAAGCGGCGATGGGTTTGTCCACAAAATAGGGGTCTTGATGATAGTTTGTGTTGCACTTTGTGTTTTGTATAAGGATAACAGAACGATGTAGCGGCGCCAGACACCGGAGATGAGTCGGGCACGACACTTTCTTACTTAGGCAAAATGCCACCCCAGGCGTGGAAATATGGGTGAAAAAATGGTGGATTTTTATTTGGAGCTACTATAAAGTTCAACTAAGTAATTTAGGTTATTTTACTCTTCCTGGAGGTACTTCTTTGTGGACGTAGTGAAACATACCGCGAGTGGAGACATTGCTATGAGACCGAGGCGTACTGGAGTATACATGGCAAAGCAACAGAGCCAGTAGAATGCTGGCTTAAAATTGGCGGGTTGTGACTTATTGGGTGAAAGTATCCTTTGGGACTATGATTGATGCTGGAAATTGTATCATCTGATGTTTACTAGGGGGATTGTAGTGAAACGGCTCTTTTCGCAGCCATTTAGCGCACTTGAGCCAGTAAGGAGCCGTCTACGGCAATTTGAAGAGAGGGATTTGGTGGGTAGGTTTTGTAATTTAAATGGGTGGGAGGTTTTCTTCAGTTTTAAAATTTGAGATTCGAATAAGGCTTTTTGATGGTGTTTTCAGATGTGCCCTTGGTGACCAGTATTGGCCGGGACAACCCTTAACGGTCGCCTTGGTTGAACAAAATGAGTTAAATTTCATTTTAATTACTCTATAATGTGTTACTTGAAGGACTTGTAAGACTGTTCTAGGTTTCAATACTCACTTTAGAAGTTGAGTACCACATATTGTATCTGTGTGGAAGTAATACTTCAGGATAACCACGTTTAATAGCTAGTAACAATGGAACGCTTCATATAATCTGAACTGTTCGAATTTTCAATTACATCCAAAAATACTTTTCCTGGGATGAAACTTAAAATCAACGCCTACTTATATTGAAAACGTATATCATCCATCAGTTGCAACTAAACCACACATTCACCCCAACCTTATATTCATTTCGGTAATTTTTCTACTTCTCTTTTTTTTTTAATTTATGTTCAGTAACCTCCGTATTTCTATAACACAAACACTTCATCCCAATAATAACACCTCCCAGAACATAATAAAAAACTTCCCATCTCGTCTAACCGGCCTTCCTCGGATGGCATCCATTTTGCAACCAAATGTCGCGATGACAGGATCATCTCTACCACTTGCTTACCACCAACCACTTCACCCCTATTCCCAAAAAGAACCCTTATTTTCACCTCCATACCTTCTCTTTACCCCGTTAGTTCAATTCCACTCATCTTTTTTTCTTTCCACAACTCTCCCCATTTTCTACCTCTTCCTCTGTTTCCACATTCTCCAGCCACTCCACTAAGTGCACACATTTTTAACATGCCTGCGCCGCAACCGATTAGTTGCAAAATATAAATACCCAGCCATAAATTCGGGAACTCCCAAAAATGAAAAACAATTAACAAAAACCTTATACCAATTACTGTATCAACCTACTACCCTCTTTATTTTGCCTCCTTCGGCGCCGCCCAGCACTTACTTACTGCCCACCAGCCTTCAACCATCCAACGGTCCATCCAGTCTACTGCATCTTTTTTCTCGCACTTTTTGTCCACCTCCAACTCTTTTTGCACCCACCACCACCGCACTGTAACCACCAACCAAGGGCTTGGTTTATCCATAAGATCAAGTAACGGCAATTTTTTTAGGTTCTTCCTGCCATGTCGTCCCTTAAGAGGCCTCTTCCAGAACAGTTGCCTACGCCCGAGGAATTGGCCCGGGTGTTTAAAAGGCCTGCTCTAGAGCTGCCTGACCAGCCTGAACAGCAGCCAAAGTCAATGGCTCCACTTCCACCGCCACAAGTCAACCTAGAAAAAGCACTAGATGCTCCGCTTAGACATGGCGTTCCGGCTACGATAATGCCTGTTTTATATCCTCCTTACGGTCCTCATGATTTTTTTTCAGACCTCCACAGCTACTCGGATGAGGAAGCCGTGCAGAGAAAAGCACAGATTAATCAAATAATGCATAGGTTTCCACCTCCAGCACAGCCATTAATACCGAATGAGCTGCCTGCTAATGATGGTGGCATTGCTGTGCCTTTTATATTTCCTCCAGTGCCACTCCTTCGACCAGACTTCTACTTGAATGATACACTCTTGAGACCGGTACCAAACCAGACAACTGCTTCTGTGTCTCCACCTACGCCTTATGCACCTCAATCAGCAGATAATAAGAGACTTGGAATGGAACATCAGACGATCTGGCCTGTTATTCCTCCTCTACCGTTTCCACCGCCTAATTACATGCCATATCCATTAATAGCACATAAGGCGCCACTAACGCCTGGGGAGGTTTTCGAGGAATGGATAGCAGCACTGGAACACTTACCAAGAGTAGATATGGTAGTGGCTAGTGCTGCTGGCTCGATGGTGGATATAAGAAGTCAGTCCGAGGCTTTGGGCTTCGATATCGAGAAGCTAGATAAATGGATGAAACAGAGACAACAGGAATCGGATCCCGAGGCTGAAGAAGGTGTCAAGAGTGAAAATGAGCTGGACGAAGACCAGGATGACTACTTGGCGTATGTTAATCAGGTGGATACCACAGATGTCTTTGACATCTATGGTAAGGATAGGGAGAATATTGTTGTTGTTAATTCAGACCTACGCAATGAGTATTTGAATGTTGCACATGAAACCACAGAAGGAACTGAGGTTCAGCATCCAAAGACACATGAATGGTCTAAGGAAGATGTTCCAGAAGGTGCTTCTGATGTCACCCCACGTCAGAACTTCTTGAAGTATGGTAAAGATGTTGTTCATGCCACTGGTGGCACAAAAGATAAGAGAAGAAAAGATCTTTTAGAGTCAACTAACGCCTTAAACAGATTCACCGAACGGAATAGGCGCCAGTTATATTTTGCTCGCAAGCTTCAACTTCTAAACCGTTTGCGTACACTTCAAAACGCAAGAGTTTCTCTCGATGATGAAAATATGTCAGTTGATGACGATGAGTTCGAAGATTACTTTAGAAAAAGAAAAATGAGCGTGATCATGAATTGCTTCGTTTGAAAATTTACCATAACCATGAAAAACTCAAGGCAGCTCTTTTGTTTTACCAATCATCCAACAGCACATATAAAGGGCTCAACAGAATCGTCATCAACAAACTACGCAAGCTCAAATACTTTCTTGAACATCAGCAGCTGGTCTTTGCTGGTATCGTGTCGAATGGACTGGACCCAGAGATCTTGAACTTGCGAAGCAAAGAAAGTGCCAACTTGATGAACTCATTTGTCGACCAAGACTTCTCCAGCGACGTCAAGCAGGTGTTCAGAAATGCTACAATGAACGAAGACAGAGGATTGCCAACGGTATCAAATCCACCTGACGTGAACGTCTCCAGCTTCAATAAGGTTTACACCAATAGAGAGCACTCGCCTCTGGTGAATGATTACATGCCATTGGCTACAGAGGAAGAGTTCAAGCTTGTTACTGGCGATGCACCATCTAAATTGAATACCAAAGATCAAGCTCTCAAGGGCAAAGTCGCAAGACACCAAATCTTCCAGAGTCCATTATATGAAAGGCTTACTTCTGGTTCTGATTCGAATGCTTCCGACAGTACAGCCTCCACAACGAAAAGAAGACCTGGCAGAAGGGCAGCACCCAAGCCAATGCTTGGAGAAGAGCCTAGCAAGGAACGTAGTGAGGCTGCTCTCGTTGCTAAGATCATGAAGCAGTTCGTTGGACCAGCAGCAGCTAATCCAGACGAACTTACAGAGGATCTTGATTTGATGAAGGTCGACACGAGGTGGCCTGTCAGGTAACTGATTACTACAGGGATAGGGAAATAGGAAATAATAATGGCGTATTATAGGACAACGTAAAAAATCAAAGGTTGACAGTGGGGATAAACTATAAAAAAGTTTGCTCGAAACAAACAGTCAGTATACTTGAAAGATAGGACAAACACAATGTGAGAAGTGAAGAGGTGAGGAGCTAAGCAGATTAGAAGTCCTCAAATTGCGAGTAAAGTCCAATGGCCACATTGGCAAGACCAATGACAATAGGGAAGTTACCCAAGCCAGTGATGAAGTGGTGGTAAAGACCCAATTGGATGGCAGCGTGGTTCTTCAAGAAGTGGAAGAAGTTCGAGTAAGATTCGAGCGACGACAAGGCACCATTCTTAAGAATGAAGTAGTAGACCAACACCTTCGACAAGGCGAAGATGAATGGGTCGTACCTGTAAAGTCTAACAACAAACGAGATATCCTCCTCCTCGTCATCTTCATCCAGGATCACAACAACTCTTCTGGAGAAGTTGACGTAGAAAGAGATGATCAAAGGAACCACCACGGCGTAGATGACCCAATTGCCGAAAGTGGACAAAACGGAGAACTCAAACAAAGCGGACACATCAGGAGAAGGCAAAGAGCACGAGTCCAAGATAGGAATGTTATCTCTAAAGACCTGGTGGATCGAAGGGTTGCTCTTGACAGAAACAACTGGAACGTTGGTGTAGAGGAAGAAAGAAGCCTCAGCAATCAACTCCAAATAGTTCAAAGCAACAACTCTAGACAAGTACTCTCTCAAGTCGTCGTTGACGTCCAAAGTGGTGAGGCCAATTGAGTCGGTGAAGTCCAAAACCTTGGCTCTGGCGTTCTCAAAAACATCAATTGCTGGGTCAACAACCCACTCTCTAAAGGAAATTGGGGCAGGAGCATTGTAGTCCTTGTCTTCGTCCTCGTCCTCCTGGACCTCAACGGCAACAGAGACCTCCTCGTCCTCCTCTTCGTCATCATCATCCTCAATCAAGGTAGCAACCTCATCTTCGACACCGGCAGACTCGATCAACTCCTTTGCTCTCTCAGGCTGCTCGTCGATAAAAGACTCAATTTTTTCGAGCAACGACTGCTTGGTGTCCTTAGAGCGGACGGTGATGCCAACTTTCCTGGCGACCTTGGACAAATCGGCCTTCTTAAACGATTTAAATTCAGACATTGGTGGGTAGGCGGCTAAAAAAACAGTGTGTTGTGTAGGGGCACAGATGTTTGGCGCAGTGTGTGGATGTAGTTGTTGATACCCGTGACACAATTACCAAAAGAGAAAAAAAATAAGAACAAGACAAAAAAAAAAAAAAAATCCTTTTGCTGAGGCAAGCGAACGACGTAAAAGAGAAGAAAATTCAGTACTGATGGGACGCCGCCCTTTGGGTTGTTTACACCTTGCTCTGTTTACCTTCTTCCTGTTTAGGTCGCGCCTGGTTGGGAAACAACGAGTCTTTGCCAGTGCTCAAAAGGCAAAAAAAAAAAAAAAAAATATGGCAAAATAGCCAATGTGGCGTCTCCTTTGGCTTGTCTATGTGCACCGACAAAGCGGTTCGAGAAGGCCATAATGGGGGTGTGGAAAGAGGACATAATGGGAAGGGAAGGGAACTTTCGCGTCGAAGAAGCGAGACCCAGGCCAGGCCATGTGGGGGGACATGGAGGGTGGACCGTGAAAGTGTGGATTCAGTTAGAGAGAGGGCACTGGGAAGATTTGTAGTGGATGTTTTTTGGGTAGCAGTATGGGCTGGGCGTTTTGTGGTTCCAGGTAGGTTGGTGCCTTATGCACAGTGTTTGCTTGTTTTGCAACCATTATGCGGGAGTCCCCCAACGTGCCCTGGATGTTTTGGGAGAAAGTAGAGGAAGAGGGAGGGGGGCGAAGGTTGAGAAGATGTAAAAGGGTATAAAAGTGCCATGGTTATATGGCATTTGAAGGGTTTAAGTATGTATTGGTGGGTGTCTCTGTTAGGTCTGTTGATTGGTAGTGGGCCTGAGGTGCGTTGACAGCGAGCAGGTGTCATTTTGCAGCCATTGGAGAGGTGTCAACGAGAGTGGTCGTGGGCAGTATGATTTGGTGGTTTGGGGAATGGGAGGTTGGAGTTTCGGGTTTGAAGGGGTTTGGGTTGAAAAGGAGGGGTTTTGTTTGGTGAACGGGAAGGAGGAAGGTGACATGGGTAGAGTAGCTAGTAGAGTGGTTTAAATGGACACCAAACCAGGCTTACGGTTTACGGTTTATGGAGGTTGTAATTTCAATATTTTGGCTTCAAGTTGCATAACGTTGAACTAATGTCTGGGATATTGTAGCCCTTGAATAAGCTCTTCTTGATGTAGACTAACTCTGTGACCGTAGATCACCTATAGGCTTCATGTTTAAGATCTAGTGAAAGTCTAGCCTTCAAGAATAGCTCCAATCCGTGACAGTCACGCCTTAATGTACACTTTTGATAAGCCTCTGGATTGCAACTACCCCGAATCTGGTTCACTTGCTGTTTACTACTCTGGAACAGTCTAGGCTGAAACTCCAGATTTCGCAACCATTACAACAAGTAGCACTCAAAACAACCAACAACAACGTAGCTATATTTTAATTGCCATTAAACCACCCTAAATCCAAAAATCAACTCTTCTTCACCTAAAAACTCTAAACTCTGGCCACAGCCAGCCACCTTTATTGTGTTTATGTTTGGGCACATGATCGCGCACATGACCCAGTTTATTTACCTTTTCAACTTTTATGTCGAATCTCATTGTTCTCATCCTTCCAGATTGAGGATTCTAATGACTATCATTTAAACCGTGATAGACTACATTTACTTCCCTACTCCACTAAATTACTTGCTTACCGCTCAACGGAGCTTTACATTCTACCATGACATTAAGGGCCACGCCGCTTCTAAGGCGTTGTTCCCGACATATTCACTGTACTATACCACCTCGGGAAGCTTCCAAGGGCAAAGAGCTACCTAGAGTGAATCCTTTGGGCATTCAATACTTGTCTAATGAAATCCATAAAAAAGTGTTTCCCAAAAACCCTCCCAATGCATATAAGAAATCAGAGAACCCTGAGCTTCTCGAATTGACGAAGAAGCACCTAGATCATAACCATCTCCTCGGCAAGAAGACCAACATCACGGACCCTATCACGATACCCAATTTGCCCGATCTTGTGGGCAAAAACTCCCTTGATGAGCATTTTACCAGAATTGGCTTTGAGGCTGCCCTGCCGTACCTTCAAATGGCAGAGACTTTCTTCAAAGATGACATGAACCTACCGAAGCAACCTAAAGAATGGGAGTTCAAAGCAGGCTGGACCCGCTATGCTCCTGGAAAGAAACCTGAAAGCGTGGATTACCCTTTGGAAAAGGAATTGGTCTTCGACGTGGAAGTCATGTATAAGAAGTCGCCTTATGCTGTTCTATGTACGGCTGTATCGCCAAAGGCGTGGTACGCCTGGGTCTCTCCAGTCCTCACAAGTAAAACGACAAACTGGAATCATCTAATACCTTTTAATACCCAAGATGAGGAAAAACTTTTGGTCGGATACAACGTGAGTTACGATAGAGCTCGTATTCTTGAAGAGTACAACATCAAGGAGTCCAAAGCCTTTTTCTTAGACGGCATGGCGCTTCATATTGCATTGAGCGGGATCTGCTCCCAACAGCGACCCGCCTGGGTGAAACACAAAAAACATAAGGTTGCATTAGAGGAATTGGAAACGTCAGAGGGTGCAGACGCTGAGGTAGCCGACTTTGAAACTCCTGAGTCCGAGACCAGCATCTCCATGGATGACATTGCCAAGGAGTTGACTGAAGACCCATGGCTTGATAAGGGAGCAACAAATTCCTTAGCTAATGTTGCCGAATTTCACTGTGGAATAAAGCTAAAGAAGGACATAAGAGACACTTTCAGTACTGAAGACAAATCACTCATTGTCGACCAGTTTCAATCATTGATGGACTACTGTGCACTGGATGTTATAGCCACTTACGAAGTTACGAAGAAGTTGTTCCCACAATTCAGAGAGAGGAATCCACATCCTGTTTCTTTCGCTGCTCTCAAACAGCTAGGCAAACTCTTTTTGCCCACGACTCGCAAATGGGATCAATACCTTGAAAGTGCGGAGGGGGTATACGAAAAGAACCGTGACGAAGTCAGCACAATCCTTCAAGAACGTGCAAATGAACTCGTTCGCTACATCACCGAGGAAGACGAATCTCTTAAGCCGGACATTGAGAATGATCCCTGGCTTAGACAGCTCAACTGGACACTAAAAGAACCACGTTACAGGAAAGACGGATCTCCTGTAGCCAATCAGGCTTACTTAACGGGTTACCCTGAATGGTACAGAGAATTGTTCAAGTCGTCCCAGTCTGATAACGGGGAAAAGGAACGTGTTATGAATATTACAGTTCGTTCGCGTGTAACACCTTTACTTTTGCGCCTCAAATGGGAAGGCTATCCTTTGTTATGGACTGATACCAGTGGTTGGTGCTTCAAGGTTCCTTATGATGAAGAGATTATTGATTCCATGCTCGCAAAGAACTATACTAAAGCTCGCTTGTCACCTAAAGAGTTTGAGGAGATGCTTCCAGAGTTGCGTGATAATGGTGTTTATGAATTGTTCAAGGTTCCTCATCCCGAAGGAGCTAGAAAGCGCTGTACGATCATCATGTCGAAAAGCTACTTGAGATACTTTGAGAGTGGAGTTCTCACATCAGAGTACGACTATGCTACAAAGATTCTCAGCTTGAATGCTACTGCGTCATATTGGATCGGTAACAGGGCACGTATCTCGGAACAATTTGTGGTTTATGCTGATCCCAAGGGAAAAGAGAATAACTTCTTTAAGAATAAGAAGGACTGCAAGGCGCATTCAGACATGGGCATTATCATTCCTAAGCTTTGTACCATGGGAACAATCACGAGACGTGCAACAGAGAATACATGGCTCACAGCGTCTAACAGTAAGGCTAACAGAATTGGATCGGAACTTAAAGCTATGATCGAGGCCCCTGATGGATACGCGTTTGTTGGTGCAGATGTTGACTCTGAAGAACTTTGGATTGCTTCATTGATTGGTGACTCTATGTTCCGCATTCACGGTGGTACCTCTCTTGGATGGATGTGCTTGGAGGGTGATAAGTCTGAGAAGACAGACTTACATTCAAGAACAGCCGACATTATGGGAATCCTGAGAAATGATGCCAAGGTCTTTAACTACGGAAGAATTTATGGTGCTGGTGTAAAGTTTGCAACTCGTCTACTCAAACAGTGCAATGTGAACTTGTCAGACAAGGAAGCTGAAAAGCTTGCCACTGCTTTATACGAGCAGACCAAAGGACAGACCAGTTATTCCAAGATCTTTGAAAGGAGAATGTACCATGGTGGAACCGAATCAGTGATGTTTAACGCATTGGAAGCTATTGCTTATCAAGAACGGCCAAAGACTCCAGTTTTGGGTGCTTCCATTACTGATGCCTTGACGCAGAAGTACCTCAACAAGAACAACTATTTGACTTCAAGAATTAACTGGACAATTCAAAGCAGTGGTGTTGACTACTTACATCTTCTCGTGATTTCGATGGAGTATCTCCTCAAGAGATACAAGGTCGACGCCAGATTAATGATTACAGTCCATGATGAAGTCAGATATATGGCAAAGGAAGAGGATAAGTTGAAATGTGCTCTTCTCCTTCAAATCTCGAATCTCTGGACGCGAGCTATGTTTTGCGAACAGTTGAGGATTCTCGAGCTTCCACAGTCTTGTGCGTTCTTCTCTGAGGTTGATATCGATCATGTCTTGAGAAAAGAAGTTCTGCTTGATTGCGTTACTCCCTCACACCCCGAGGCAATTCCTCCCGGAAAGTCATATGATATGAATGCCCTTTTGGAGGAAGTTAATGCTGAAGAGGCTTTGAAAGCAAAATCGAGTGCGCTCAAGTACGACAAGCTTTTGAATTATTCGCCTCGACCACCAGTGATCAGTTCTCTCCAGGCCACCGGTTCAAAGGATCTTCAGGCTGCCAAGCTTAGACTTCAGAACTCTGTTGACAAGGATGATTGGAAGTGCCACGTCTTGATTCACAACAAGATCGAGCGCGACGAGGAGAGACGTTTGGCCAAACCTTCTTATCAGAAACCTGCCACGAGGACTTCCCGCAAAAGAAAGATCGAGGAGGAGCCAGATTTGGGCAAGGATGGAAATGCCACATTAATGGAAGAGATCAGTAGCTCACCCGCTACGACCACTACTAAGCGTTCCACAAAACCTGCAACTGCGAGGACGTCAACCAGACCAACTCGGAAAACCTACACCAAAACGTCGCTGAATCAACGCAACCTGAAGCTGTTCAAGCACGCCGAACCAGAACTGGCATTGCCGGTTTTCAACACAGCTAAGACCGGTAGAGCCAGATTTGCCGCAGCATCCCAGTATGTGACCTCGTCGAGTTTCTCCACCTTTAACGGTGCCTGGGGAGGAACCACTTCAACCAAGAAATCGCAAGCGAAGAAAGCTGGAGTGAACTACGTTAAGCCAGTCAAGACGGCGCCTCTAGTTCATAAAGCAAAGGTAGCTACTTCTCATAGAAGCCTCCATACCAAGATTTCCTGGCCCACGGTTGATGATCATAACTTCGAACGACCGAGGAAGCTTCGACATGAAATTGAACTTAAGTTCAGACCGAAGAAAGAGAAGGAAATATTTCGACGACATTAACACTGAACACGACGCTGCTGCATGTCTGTTTTGGCAATTTTCATGATCTTCACACCCCCATTCCGCTGGATCAAGCGACCTTTGGCTGCGAAAAAGCGAGCGCCTGTGAACAACCGGCACCCATCCATATAATTGATTTGTTTTTATCGAGGCATTTCTCCGGCCTTTATCGGCTGTCGAGTCCCCAATTTGCTTCTACTTACGAGTCATTGATAAAATGTGCTGATACGAGTTTGTGGGAGACGTCCCGCCCAGAGCCTACTTGAGCTCCTCTACTTTCCACAGGATGACCGAAAAAGCTCCTCTATCCTATGGCCCAAATTTACGAACGTTACGAACGAAAGATTCCAGTTGAATCACTTTATTATGCTCTGCCTGAGCACTTTGCATAGAACATGGCAACTGCCAAAATGTACATTACCAAGATGAAGACTGTATAAATGTAGTAGTAGTAAAAGCGAGGCATCTATCAACTACCAATCTACATCTACCATAGGTTGAACAAAACATATCCTTTTCTTCACAAATCCACCTTCACTATGCTAGATCACATTGTTTCCCTAGACATTCCCTTCGAGACCGAAACCCAGGCTGAAATCGCCATGAAAACCATGTCTGTGGATCCTATCTTGAAGAAAGACGAGATCACCGTTGACTACACCATCCAAAGCAACCTCCTTACCTGTAGATTCGCTGGTATCAGTGACAGGGTCATTAGAGTTGCTGTGAGTAGTGCTATAGATAACATCAAGACGATCATTGAGTGCATGGAAGAGTTTGACGGGAAGGAGAAGACCATCTTCAAGAACGAAGAGTAGATGAAGACGTGTGGAGATTGAGGGATGAAGGGGCTCGAGGAGGCCGTTAGGACGTTCATGGAAGCTGGAGGAATTTATCCTTTATTGATTTATGGTGTTCACGGGCCAGATGTTAAATGGTACTATTCAATGGCTAGCACTGATCCCCAGTGAAAATGACTTAAGTGAGCAGCTGAGTACCAAAATTCTGATACTTAAACGCCACTTGTCTTAAATGTCGATTTTCAGATGTTTCAGATGCCCAATTGGATCACCCTGGCCTGAGCAATGACAAATCTAGAAGACACTGCCCAAGGCCCAAGACAGTCCACTTTAAACGAGAGAAGGCAACCGGACGACAACATCATTTACTTAGGTTTATCAACAACGCCTTGATATCAGCCCCACTTCTCTTGTCTTCAACTAAAGTTTACCTGGTCCAGGGTAGTTGGAGGCTGACAGTTACCTCCGTTCACTCTACAGCCAAACGAGAAAACGTGAAAAATTGTATAATAACATTTCAAACAAGTAAAAGTAACCACTACATCTCCAGTTTCTCTCAAAATTCTTCCCTGGCCCACATTCTCCCTCACCTTATCTTCCCCAGCCTGTAGCCTTCTCGCAGCCAGACATCGCGAAGTATCGACACATTCTTAGCTCTTTCATACCACTCCCATAGTCTACCACTCTCGATGCCATGAAGGTCTATGGCTCAGTGGGAGGAATCACCAGAACCAGCAAAAGGCTGATATTCCAAAACTTCAAGAAATTGCCGTTCAAAGAGGAAGACAGTGGGAAACACCATGAGTACTCCATCAGACCAGATACTTTTGCATTCAAGGTCCAGGGCTCACGAGACACGGCGAAGGGTAAAGACGGTCCAATTGGTACGGCCCATCCGCTTCAGAAAGGCCAGGGAAGTGAATCTTCGTTTAATGTGCTAGAGTACATTTACAAGAACGCTACGAACTATCCGTTCAAGGACCATAGCCCACAGGATGTGTTCAATAAGTTTCCACTTACGAATGCTGCTAAGATGGGGAGAGTGAAGACGAGACCTCGTAAGGCAAAGATGCTTGCGTCTGATTTTATTGACGATTCGCTTTATAATCCACATTATGGGTATTTTTCACAAGAAGTGGAGATCTTCCATAAGGAGAAACCGTTTGACTATAACGAGATTGAGGACGTGGACGAGTTTATGGATGCGTGGAAGAAGGCTTATTCAAAGTATGACGAGCTAAATCCGGACGTCAATCGAGTGAAAACGGAGAGAACTGATCCAGATGGCGCAGAGCCAGCTACAAAGCAGAAGGAAAGCTCCAGCACGGCTGTCATCTCTGCTAAAGATATGCCGAGAGCATCTCCAACCTCAAAGTTCGCTAGAGCAGCTCAAACTGTGCATAGACAAGACTTGGTGGCCAGTGGTGGATTCCCTGAGACCAAGAAGTCTCATCAGCTTTGGCATACCCCTACGGAGCTCTTCTCGCCGTACTATGGAGAGGCGTTGGCTAGGTTTATCGTTGTCAACTATAAGCTTAACGGCTACTATCCTTATGATGACCTTATAATCTACGAGATGGGTGGTGGTAACGGTACGCTTATGTGTAACATCTTGAACTTTATCAAGCAGAACGAACCTGATATCTATGCCAGGACACAGTACAAGATCATTGAGATATCTGATCAGTTAGCTCTCAAACAGTACTCTCAGGCGCTCGGCCAGAAGCTTGTGTCTCAGGGTCTTGACCAGAATAAGGTGCAGATTGTCAACAAGTCTATCTTCAAATGGGATAAGGTGATCCATGATCCATGCTTCTTTATTGCTTTGGAGGTTTTTGACAACTTTGCCCATGACGTGATTCGTTACGACGTCACAACTGGCGAACCACACCAGGGTCATGTCCTAGTAGACGAAGCTGGTGATTTCTACGAGTTCTTCACTCCAGAATTGACCCACTACGCTGAAGCGTACTTGAACTTGAGAGAAAACGGTAATTTCCCAATTTTACCCCAGACAAAGAGCATGATGGGAAAGATGCTTCTGTTGAAGTCAGCCATTCCTTTCACTAACCACGATAGTATCCATCCATTGTTCCATTCTTCGCTTAAATTGTCTCTCAAAGACAAACTTCTCCCATTCAAAGACCATCTCACGCCTGGTGAGTTCATTCCCACCAGACTTTTACAATTCTTCCAGATCTTAAAGCATAGATTCCCCAACCACACACTTATAAGCTCAGACTTCAACTACTTGCCAAACACCATGCCTGGCTACTACAATGCACCAGTGGTGCAAACAGTCATCAAGGACAGAATGGTTGATGTCTCCACCTACATGTGCCACCAGGGCTACTTTGATATCATGTTCCCCACAGACTTTGCCTTAGCTAGTGACATGTACAAACAAGTTACTGGAAAGTTGGCAAGAGTTGAGCTGCACAAGGATTTCTTGCAGCAGTGGTCAGATGTGGAGGCTACCACCACAAAGAAAGGAGAAAACCCCATGCTAGATTTCTACAAAAACGTGAGCTTCATGGTGAGCTAGCATATTCAAACTTGTATATATTAAACTGACATTACCATTAACAAACCAAGGCACGCAATGCCAATCAAAGTACTTTGTCAACGCCAACCTTCAAGAACTGTACCTGCCAAGGAATGTAGACTGCAAACAACACAATCCTAACATAGATATTTGTCTTGAGGATAAGAAGGTATGGAAGAAAACTCAAAGAGCCCACACCGAGGAAGAGAAACACGTCACCTTGAGCCATACTTAAAAAGATAGAAAAATTGTGGGTTTTCTTTCCTTTGTCGCAAGTTATTGAACCTTATATACGCAGAAGCAGGATCCAATTAGGCGAGACTGCAGTGCATAACCGAGTGGCGTAACACGTAGACAAACACGTAATGATAAGACACGGCTAACTTTTTTAGCTTTTGTTCTGACAGGTCAAGTAGATTTCATGTTACTATATGGTAACGATTCTCCCGTAAAAGTATGGACTGCTAGATGGCCGTTTCTGTCACGATAGGGACGGAGAATTCAGATTACCAGTGGCAAAGAGGCCACAAACCAATAACCAGCTGACATCAATGGGTATCTCACATGTTTCAGACTTCGGGCAGTATATTAAAGAGCAATTTCGGAATTCATGGCATGACGTTAGAGACGCTCGAGAAAAGCTTTATGGTCTTTTCTAGTCCGTTATGCGCCGCCATCAAGGCAAACGAACTGAGCGACTTGACGTTCTGAACGTGCGTGTTGAGCCATGCCAACATATCAGTGAAAAATTTCGTGTTTGTCAAATTCATTGTTGCATCCACAACATCATGAGACCAGCTCACAATGTTATCAGTAATGACGTTTGATACTTCGGCTATCTTATCTAAAGATCGCGAGCTGATATCGGAAACGACATTTTCTTGCATCTGTGAAGATGTAAGCCTTGCAACGACCTTCTCGCAAGCAACAGAGGAGTAAGCCCGGGCCGATTCAAAAAAGTACACGGCGAACATTGTAGCTGCACCACTTGCAACTGTCACACCAACACCAAGACCCATGGAAAAGCTGCAAATAAGCCAAACATTCCTTGTAGGAACCAAAGACCAGATCCACGATATAACATTTCTCAGACCGCCCATACGTTGAAGCTGTAACTCACTGTCAGAAGGAGAGGTTGCCTGAAGACCTAAAAGAGTCTTTGCAATACGGTACATGTGAGCAAAATTGTGCAAGTCAGAAGAGAGTCGTAAAGGATCGGTGTTGCTGAAGCTCTGGGACATTTGCAATTCGGAACGAATCTGTCGTTCGATTCCCTTGTAGTCTGGCTTCCGAGGCCGAACCAAGCTGTCGTACATGGAGTTAGAGGCGTTCAACGCATCTGCATCCGTAACATCATCAGAACCAAGAGGTGGGGACTTGGATCTTTGGAACTTGCGCTTCTTCGCCTCGAACTCTTCCGCGTACCTGCCGCCAGAAGTGTCGAGAAGCTCATCTTCCACGAAGCTCTTGATACGCAGCCGGAAGGGCTCGCTGCCCAAAGAAGGCGACTTCCAGATCTGGAAAGGTCTCCAAGCGCTGATCATGTCGACAAGATTAATGAAGTAGTTGGTGGTGATGATGTTAATGATGGTAAGCTTTGGAAGGTCGGTATGGTCGGTGGACAGGGCTGCAGAAAGGAGAACTTGTGGGATGGTCATGGTACCATCGTTAACGACAAACACCAAATTAGAAGATTTGAGCAAGGAGAGGTCAAGCTTCAGAGGGGTGTTGGAGACGACCAAGTGAGTGATTTGAATGCGTTGCATGACCGAACCAAAAGAGTTCTGGAAGAACTCAATAAGCTGTGAAGACTCAATCTTCATGCTGCTGCTTGCAGAAGTGACCACAGTGACGCGATACCGACTCTGTGTATCCGACAAGGAGATTTTAGGCATGATAAACGACAGGTGCAGAGGAAGGCCAACTTTTTTACCAGCATGTTCGTCATTAGCAGTCAACGTAGAAGTATCGTCGCCAAAAGCAGCAAGCGGACAAGAACCATACTTGTGAGGCATTTCCGGAAGATCCTCGCCCTCAGACTCCTCGTCTGTTTCAAACACCATCACTGAACCCTTAGCCAGGGGCACAAGTACCAAGGACTCGTCTTCCTCGGAAGACAAGATAGACGACAGCGGGCGATTGACTGAATTAGGCGAAGCACCCGTAGAACGAGCAGCAAACAACAGACGAGCCACAGAATCAGGAAGGTGGAGGTTCTGCCACAGCAGAAAGCTCGAAGTGAGCCTCAGGTCCATAGGACCAGGCGAATACGTATCCAAAGGAGGCAGCGTAGGGATATTGACATCAAGGTCAGGATTTGTAAGGGCATTATACACTGACGAGTGCAGCTCCAAGAGTTTCCCCAAGGAAGACTCTTCTGAGGAGTTCTTAGCCAGTACCAGTAGAGCCTGCTCCATGGTTAGATAGTGGCGATAAGGCGGCTGGGACGAATAGACGGATATAAAAGAAGGCGATAAGGACAATCCAAAAGATGAAATCAAACACCAATAAGCTTAACTACCACCTGGAGATGTGTTTTCTTATAAAGTGTGTTTAGTAGAAAAGTGGCAGGTGTTGCTAACAGTGGGGTTCACGATAAGGAGCACGCGCGGGACCGGTATGCGCTTTGAGGGGTGTCCGAGCCCCGAGGGAGGCCAGGGGCCAGCACCCCTTAGTTATATGGACCAGAAGACGTGGAAGCAAAAAATTTACTATAAATACGAGCGATTCCCACTTTTCTGGATGCTTTAGATTTTTCTCTTTTTCAAAATACCCCGTGGCAGTGGTAATACTTGGACCCTTTCTTCCTCGCTGCACCGCACTATCAAGTGGTCTGGTCACAGTGTGGCTGAACCACACAGAACCCTGAGACACCAGAAGAAGGTAAGAGGGGTACGGAGAAGAAGAGGAGGGAAGAGAAGAAGGTTAAATTGGGGAAGGAAGGGGAAGAAAATGTCGTGAATATTTTATATTTTTATTTTTTTTCTGCTTGTTTTGGTCCGTTTTAGTGGGGTGCTTTAGTGTGGTGGAATGGGCCCTGTAGATCTTCAAATGTTCGTTATCTTTTCGCAGCCATAGGGAAGGAACTGATATGGGTGAGGTGAAGAGATGGGGTTGTTTTCAAGATATGATTGGCTAGCTACGGCTGATTGGGGGTTTTAAGGTGGTTTAAATCAACAAAATCGTGGGCAACGTGGGTTTATGGTAGTTGTGGTGTTGCGGCTGGATGGCTGGTTTTTGACACTTATGCGGCTGATAAGACAGTGTGCTTGAAAGTGAGTTAAAAGGGATGGGGTTCACGAAATTGGATATTGGAATTAGAAGTAAGGGTTCTTGGAGGAGGCGTATTAGTAGGTGGAGTCTTGTGGTATCTGTTTTGTTTTTAGTCTTTGGTTGCATGGTGGTGGTGGGACAGGCTGGAGAGAATGGATTGTGGGGAGACTGGGGCGCTATTGGCTGATAACGTTAAGACAGGGAAGTTTAGAGTTTTTCGCTTAGACGTGAGTGTGGGCCAAGGGAGGGTGCTTTGGTGATGGAATGTTTACTATGGTGGACAGTGGGCGTGGAGGACTAGGGAAGAGGGTAACAGAAGGAGACCAATGTCTTTAAGGGACAGAAGAGATCAGGTGGGTGGTTTAGGCGGCTTAAGCAGGTGCTTTACATGATTATGGGTCTTTTGTGGTCTAACTGGATGCGTTTGAGAGAGATGGTTAGACAGTTAAGTAGCAGTTGATGCAGTTACGATGATAAGACAACTAGTGGCATCCAGTTGGGGGCTTTTGGAAAGCTAATTTTCAAGGCAAAGGGGTAAAGATAAGCTGAAGAAAGGTTTTACTTGTTTTGCTGCATCTTTCAGTGACTCGGTTACCTGTGGACTACCTTCCGTCTAAACATAGTAACCGGCCCATGGCAGCTGCGTACTTCCATAGTTCAACCCAGACCATAAGCCAGACAATCCCTCTAAACCCTAGAAAACGAAGAGAAACTAAAACCAGCTCAATCAGTTCAACACTTCTATTATTTTCCATCCACCCTCTTTCTATCCAACTGGTAGACTTATACGAACGTGAATTTCGCAGCCATTACCAGTCCTAGCTCTATCAACCAACCAACCACCCCTAGTAAACCTTACTAGCAAAACCCCTAAAACCACCAAATCTCATTTCCTTACAACCCTCGTTTCTTCACTTCTACCACCACCTTCTTCCAACCACCACCAGTCACTTCGTTCCTGACGGATTTACACGCACCATATGCTGCCCAAGCCATCTTCACGCCTGGACATCTAGACGTCCAACAAGGCACCGCCAACTGTCCACCCATCCGTCGAAAAATGGAAAAAAAACCTGAAAAATCCCAATTTCCACCATACTCTCCACATTCTAACTGTCTTGTCTAAAAATACCCTCCCTTCCCCCAAATACACCCCCTTTGTCTCCCCTGGTAGCACTTTTTCCATTCCCAGGCAGTGCAATATCAACGCGCACAAACATTATATCTTGGCTTTCTCCTCAAACCATCTTCCATCCTCCAACCAAAACAACCCCATGGTCGACGATAAATATATAGGCCTTGCGCTTGCCATGTCGTCGTCGTTGGCGATCGGCACGTCGTTTATCATCACGAAAAAGGGCCTTATGGATACTTCTTCCAAGTCAGGAACAGACAACTCCCAGAGCCACCAGTACTTGCAGAACCCGATCTGGTGGGCGGGTATCATCACGATGGCGGTGGGAGAAATAGCGAATTTCGCTGCTTATACGTTTGCACCAGCCATTTTGGTCACGCCGTTGGGTGCTCTTTCCGTGATTATAGGTGCCGTGTTGGCAGCCATCTTCTTGAAGGAGGAGTTGGGCGTGTTGGGCAGAATGGGCTGTGCTATTTGTCTTATGGGCTCGGTGATTATCGTGTTGCATGCTCCTCCGGATAAGGAGATTGAAACCGTGGACGAGATCTTGAACTATGCTACCCTGGCGGGCTTTTTGTTCTACTCGTTCCTTGTCACGGTTTACTCTTTGTTCACCATTTACAAGATTGTGCCTAAATATGGTCACACCAACCCAATGATTTACATTTCGATCTGTTCGAGTGTGGGTTCGATTTCCGTCATGTCAATTAAGGCCTTTGGTATTGCTCTTAAGTTGACTTTTGCAGGCAACAACCAGTTCACCCACATGTCCACGTACGTTTTCATTACCGTCGTGGTCGTTTGCATTCTCACCCAGATGAACTATTTCAACAAGGCCCTCGACCAGTTCGACACCTCCATTGTCAACCCTCTCTACTATGTGACGTTCACCACGTGCACGCTTGTGGCTTCTTTCATCTTGTTCAAGGGCTTCAACACTACATCTGCCGTGAATGTAATCTCGCTCTTGATTGGATTCTTGGTCATTTTCTCGGGTGTCTACTTGCTCAATATCGCTAGAAAAGAAGATAATGGCTTCGACAAGGAGATCTTTGGCGTGCACAACGGCAAGGACATTGGACCTATGGACAACGGCGTGGGCGGATTCTCGTCCATGCGTAGGTCAATGCAAATGAACCGTGGCGAATACGATACCGAAGAGACCCTTGGCTTACGTCGTTTCGACTCGTTTGAGTTGGGCTCAGACGAAGACATTGACGCTCACCAAAGACGCTAGGCGCCATCCCACATCGCTCATACATTATACCTAGACAGTCGCTACCCCCTTATTACTTTTGGAACAACCATCACAGCCAAAGTGGGCCTGGAAACACCTTCCTTGTCCAGACTGGTGCCGTCCCTCCTGTGCAGTCTATCAGCACCATACATAGTTATGTAGGATCAGGTAAATACTCAACCCAACTAACAATTGATCATCAACCACAATGGGTGTAAGCTTATCCCTATTGGCTCCACAGGCACATACCGTGGCCCTCAGAGCCTATGTGGATGTTTTACCCGGATTCGTTTTCCTCGATGTTATGAACGACAGTCGTTTCCTCAAGACCATCAGAGCTTATGACACCACCACCCAAACGCTTGTAGTGGTTAAGGTGTTTATCAAGCCGCCAGCTGTTGGAATCAAGCTTCAAGACACAGCAGAGTTATTGGGTAAAGAGGCTCTGCTTCTAGCTGCACATCCAAACGTTCAACCATGGCATAAAATCATCGAGACTGACCTGGCAGGATACATGGCCAGACAGCTTGTCAAATCCAACTTATACGACCGTTTATCGCTACGACCATTCCTTACGCTGGTGGAGAAACTGTGGCTTACTTTTCAGCTCCTTAATACGTTGCAATTGCTCCATGACCATCTACATATTTGCCACGGTGATATCAAAACAGAGAACTTACTAGTATCTTCGTCCAATTGGCTCGTTCTTACGGATTTTTCCCGTCACATCAAACCAGTGTATTTGCCTGGGGATAATCCTAGTGAATTTGTCTTTTATTTTGATAGTTCTAATAGAAGAACATGCTACTTGGCTCCGGAACGGTTCTTTCTGAAGGAAAGCCCACCTGCTACTGGCGAATCAGAGCTTTCAAGCACAATGGACCTCTTTTCCACTGGATGTGTTATTGCAGAGCTTTATAATGATGGAGAGCCTACATTCACCCTCTCTGACTTGTACAAGTATAAGAAGGGAGAGTTGGAGCCTAATATCACGGGCATTCCAGATTTGCATGTTCGCCAGTTGGTGAAAAACTTAATCAGCATAGACCCTTCTAATCGTTCCCTGGCTCATGATCTTTTATACGAGTATCGTGGGACGTTGTTTCCGGAATACTTTTACGAGTACCTCTACAACTTCATGTGTGACATCAATAACCCTACGCTTTATGAAATCCCAGAAAATGATGACTCAGTATCTCCCAGTGACTTGAGATTAGAAAAGATACATGACTCCTTTGATGAAATTACGAAAGCACTTCTGTTCTCATATAACGAGGAGTCTCCTCCTGTGAGGTCCACTGGTGCACTTATAAGGCTCAACTTGAAAGGTCTTCCCAAAGATTACACTATTAGAAGAGTCAAAGCAGACGAGAAGGGCCAGGAGGAGGGTGCTCTTATTCTTTTGAATACGGTGTGTTCTCTCTTAAACACACTCAAAAGACCAGCTAACAAGATTAAGGCATGCGAGATCATATTGGCACTCTCTGAGAGGATAAGTGACGATGCAAAGCTTGATAGATCTCTTCCATATCTTTGCAGCTTTATAGATGACTACTTGGAAGACACGTCCTTTTTTCAGGCAACTTCAGTCATGAATGACGGCAACAACTTTCCTCCGCATACACATCTTTCTACAAGAGTGCCTTGCGTTGCGCTAGTCGGGGTTACAAACTTACTTGAGACTTGTAATTCTGTCAATGCTATTAATGCACAGCTTTTCACAGAATACTTGTCTCCGCTTTTGAAAAGTATAGCATTTTTGAGCTCCCCTCACAAGGAAGAAGTACGCTACTTGCGCTTGACATTGGCAATTTGCTTACCTTATTTGGCTTCTGTATCAGAGAGGTTCAGTCTCAACTCTCGCCAATACAGAAACAGTACCTCATCATTCCCTCCAGAAGATGGTAATGATGGCGCCATACTTGAACAAGATTCACTAAAAGCAAGGTCGCTTACAGACTTCAAGGATTTAACTGAAGCATTACTCACAGACTCAGACGTCTCTGTTCGTATTGGATTGGTCAATGAGATCTTGCCTCTTTGTGAGTACTTTGGTGCTGATAAAACTAACGATTTGATTCTTCCGCATTTGATCACATACTTGAATGACCCAAGTTATCAGCTCAGACTTGCATTTTTATCATCGATAATCAAAATCGGTCCTTTCATTGGAGCTTTGGCCTTCGAGCAGTATTTGCTTCCCCTTCTATTCCAAACCTTGGGCGACCATGAACAATTCGTGGTTCTAAAGATACTCGAGATCTTTCATCACTTTTTGAAAGATAAGTTAATTAACCCTGCTTCTGAGTTTAATGCCTTGTCAATTTATAAGGAGATTCTTACGAATTGCACCACTCTCTTGTTGCAGCCTAACGAATGGATCCGTCAGTCAGTGGTGAACATCATACTAGTCGTTAGTGATAATCTTCTGAATGCAGACCGGTTCTGCTTCTTGTACCCTATCATCAAGAGTTATCTTTCCTATGACATTTCCGTCCTTAACTGGCAGACATTGTACCCTTGCGTTACAAAGCCGCTTCTGAAGCAAGTTTATGAGACAGCTCTCATTTGGTCTTCGAATGCCACAAGCAAGTCTCTTTTCTGGAAGCAGACTAACTTTTCCGCTATCCATCAAATGAACGGAAGAAAGAAGTTGGTTTCCTACTCCAAGGATATGGGAAAGTCGGTTTATGTTCCACATTCAACCACCAGTTCGATAGGCGAGAACAACAAGATGTCTGACATAACCTTGTCATCAGAAGATAAGCAATGGATTCTTAAGCTTAAGAGTGTGGGTATGGAAGAGAAAGATCTTTGGAAGGTATTTGCGTTGAAGGAACACTTTTTAAGTTTCAACCGGTCCAAACTCCATGCATCTGGAAACAGTCAAGAAGAATACAATATGGCATCCAAAGTTAATGTTCCGCCCATCAACGTGTTCTTTGATATTTGCTACAAAACAGAACCCATTGACAGCAACGCAAAGACGATAGAAACTACTACATCGCCAACCATGAAAGAGACAGGCTCCATTCGTTCTACCAACGAAGGAAGAGGATTGTTCTTCTCCAGTGCCCAGAAAGCTAAGGCATCTTCACAGACTGTGGCAGCTAATGTACATGGAGAATTGGAGATCAGCCATGTGGACGGTAGCGTACCGCCCAAATCCCGCCATCACCACCATATTCATTCAAGTACTCGTGACGCAAATCTGATTCATAAGGTATTCGGCGCTGGTGCATCCAATGTGATCTCTGCCACCATGAGACATAGCTATCAAGATGCAAACCCTCATATCAAGGATTATCTTCAGAATCTATCATTTGGGCCTACGCTTGATGACTTCCCAGAGTTTGGCTCAATCATCAAGAGCGGTAATGATGCGTCGCAAGCAGTACCAGAATTCAACTTGCAGGGCGTCTTGGTTACACTGATAAATGCTAAGAGTGATCCCAGCTCGCATGAAATCATAACTATAATCGTTTCTTCTCCTACTTCCGAATTTTTTGTTACTGGCTCCGAAGATGGGAAAGTAAAGGTTTGGGATACAACGAAGTTAGAGAAGAACATCATGTCAAAAAGCGCTAGTCTTACCGTGGACTTGAAAAGCCCAGTGACTGATGTGGTATTCCTTCCCCATCGTTTTGTGTTTGCCGTTGCAACCGCCGATGGAAAGATCCGCTTGTTTCGTGTCCTAGTCGCCAGGAACAAGGCCAAGAAGATCACCAAATATTCGAAACTTCACAAGATCCGTGGCATGGCATTGAAGCATGGATTTGCAACGACTTTGGAATTTGCCAGCACCAACGATAAGGCCCTTTGCGTTGCGGTGACGAGCGACTGTAAGATCACTGCCCTTGACATCATCACACTGGAGGTATACTTTGAGGTGCAAAACCCCCTTGTCCATGGCGTTCCTTCTTCATTCCTTTTTTCCAAGAACGGGACTTGGGTACTTGTGGGTACGAGCGATGGAATTTTGTGTCTTTGGGATCTTCGTTTCCATATTTTAGTGAAGTCATGGAAGGTCACTATCGACAACTCCACCGTGCAAAAATCAGCCATTAGAAAGCTTATGATGGTACCTCATAGTGGTAGGTTGACTGAGAAGATGACTAGCAACAACTACTTTGCAATGATTGGAGGACTGAGGGAGGCTGATATAACAGTCTGGGAAGTCCCCAGTTTCGAATGTCGTGAGATATACACTGCCAACACTGAGAATCCTCAAATTAAGAAGTACGCTTTGCAAGAAATTAAGCTGCAGAAGGACGTCAATTTGGATGACTTGTTTGCTGAATTCACTCTTGATCTCGACAAGCCTCAAGATGATAGTCCTACGTCGTTAGATTTGACGCAAAGAGGAGGCGTAAACCCACATGAAGATGGCTACTTCGTTCTGACCACAAGTGACAGTCGAATCATTGTATGGGATCTCCACGATATCAAGAAGTCAGGACTGGTATTTGGAGAAAAGAGTACATTTGGCAAAACCCAAGTCAGTTCAAGACTAAGCGTTGCTTACGAACAAAGTGCTCCAAATGGCAAGACAAGAAGAAGTAACATCCCTCGTTACGATGCCATTACTGGATTAGCGGTTGTACAGAGGACCCAGCCGATGATAGCCGCTGTCGAACGAAACGGTACAATCAACATTTACCGATAAGCTTGTCAAAAGATGATGGAGCCGAAACTGCTGAAAAAATTCCGTTTTTAATATCGAACACTTTTAGTTCGTTTTGCAGCCAATAGTGCACAAAAACGAAAAAAAGCCGTTAACACCAGTGTTCGGTGCGCGAAAATCTCGGGGTAAATGTTCCATTCCCTCCGATAATAGGACGATCATACTGCATCAAGAGCCAACCTAAATCTTGCGAAAGCAGCTCATCGTTTTCCATTATCAACTTCAGTTTTTTAAGATGGCTTTTGACGACGCTTTAGGTATTAAGATTGCTTTCGAAGAAGCCCAAAAGAGTATGTATTCGAGATGACTTGCATGGATGTGCAGCGGTTGCTAACAGCAAGGTTTTGACAACGGAGGTATCCCTATTGGAGGAGCTCTTATTCACGAAGACGGCACGGTTCTTGGTCGTGGCCATAACCTGAGATTCCAGAAAGACTCGGCTACTTTGCATGGTGAGATTGATACTTTGGAGAAGGCAGGCCGTTTGAAGGGCAGCGTCTATAAGAAGTGTACCATGTACACGACGTTATCTCCTTGTGACATGTGCTCTGGTGCTTGTATTTTGTATGGCGTCAAGAGAGTTGTTATTGGAGAGAATGAGAACTTTGTTGGAGCCGAGGAGTTGCTTCGTTCCAAGGGTGTTGAAGTTGTGAACTTGAACGACTCCAAGTGCAAAGAGTTGATGTCTCGTTTCATCAAGGAACGTCCACACGACTGGAACGAAGACATTGGCGAGTAATTCTCAGTTAATTACTCGCTTACAGCATTAGCATAATACTAGTTTTGCGTTTCGGTTGAAGAAATGGGGGATATATGTGGTTTGTGCTCTAACCAGAGCCAATATACAGTTTGGGGATAACAATCACAAGAGAATAAAGCATTAAGTGGGAGTAATTTAGCAACATCTTGGTACTCTCCTCCTTCTACGTTCTCTTTCTATAGTAACTGTAGTGGCTGCAAATCAAGCCGTTGTGTGGTGTACGGGTGCACCTCATGAGCAGCCTAAGACTCTCTACCTTCACCAACCTTCAACTACCTCATACTTACTCCACATGGACAGCATCGCTGACAGTATCTATACAGATGTTCCTGCTCCAGAGGAACTCAACGACAATCCATCGCTTCTAACGGTCATTTTCGAGCTCACGCCGAGAAGTTGGTATGCCCTTCGCAACCAAGTGACAATCCAAGAAACAGTGAAAACCCTCTTGGTATTCTTGAACGCCCATCTTTCCTTGAATAACAGTAATCAGGTATGCTTTATTTTGTCGCTGCCGTTTGGATCAGACATTTTGCACCCCAATGTGGAAAGTCTGCTTGAAGAGCAGCATGAAGATGGAGCCAGTGATAAACCTACATTGGTGAACAAAGGCATGTACCGTAACTTTCGTCTTGTGGACGAGATTGTTATGCAAAAGATAAACAGTGCTCTTGAGAAGATGTCACTGCAGCTCGACCTGGAAGCTAACCAGAGGTCAACGGTGGCAGGTGCTTTGCTGCGAGCCTTGACATATACAAATAGACTTTTGCACGTCGACCAGTCTATTTCGACTACTACAGGGTCTGCTATTAATTCTACTGCATCTACAATGGGCTCTCTGGGCACAACCAGCACATCTGGCAACCCACTGACGACCTCAATGCATGCTCGTGTGCTTATTGTCACTCCTAATGATACATACGAGTCTAACTATATTGCCATCATGAACTCGATTTTTGCCGCTCAGAAAATGAAGGTACCTTTGGATGTGGCAAAGCTTGGTGGCCACCAGGCGCCTTATCTACAACAGGCAGCTGATGCTACCAATGGTGTTTATTTGCATATCAAGGAACCACAAGGGTTGATGCAAGTTCTTTCTACAGCATACTTTCTTGAACCATCGCTTCGGTCGATCGTTATTCTTCCGACTAATTCGAATGTCAATTATAAGGCCAGTTGTTTCATTACTGGAAAGCCCGTCGATATTGGCTTTGTCTGTTCAGTGTGTCTATGCATCATGAGTGTAGTCCCTAAACTGGGACACTGCCCTACCTGTCAGTCCAAGTTCGATGAAAGGTTTTTGGAAAGACTAATAAGGGGTCCTGTCATTGCTAGGAAGAAGAGAAAGGTCGAGAATGGTTCGGGTACTCCGGCTGCAAACGGCGATACCAGTAAAACCCCAGAAGTGGGTACACCTGCTCCAAAGGATCAAGAATAAAAGAACAAGAAAAATTATGTTTTGGAGACCCCCACGTCTTTATGAATTTTGATGACATTCACGTGTTTTATCACGTGCAGAAATCGACTTTTCGGCTGGAGCTGGCTCAGAAACATACCAGCCATGACATCCGACAGAAAACGCCAAAAGGTCGAAGAACCTCGATATACGCAAGGGCCTCTAGATGAAGATTTCGGTCAGCATCGTGCATTTCCCTTGGATGCTGCTCCAGATGACGGTGAAGATTCCCAAGTGTACCAATACTTAAGCTCAGTAAGGAAAGAAGCAGAAGCAGACCAAGGGTTTCATTACGTGGAAAGATCCAAAACAGTAAAGAAGGAGTCAGAAGCATCTGATGAGTCAATTGTGCCTCAGGAAGTGATTGATGAGATTATGAAAAGCTTTGATGCTCTGAAGAAGGCAAGAGATGAACGTCTAGAAGAGCAGGAGGAGGAGGATACAGAAGAAGCTGAATTCGCTGTTCCTGAATCAGCGGCAGAGTGGAGAAAGAAGATCTTTTCTGAACAACCAGATGCTCAGTTCTTGGAGTTCCTTGAGCATACCACAATCATCAAGCTTATCGTATACTACACGAAATGGCTTCTGATCAACATGCCTGAGCAATTAGGCAAATGGATCTTCACAACTTTCCTTCGTCTAGATCGAGATCTAGATCACAAGGAGACTGCTATAGTCCGTGACTTGGGCAAGAAAGCCGTCAAACTACGAGCCAAGGTTGAAGAAGCCGAGGACGTCTCACCAATTCCAAAGCACATAATTGATATGACTCTAGTGATTGTCGGCATTCACTTTCGCCAACGGGATCTTCTCAAGAAAGACTTCTCCTTGTGAGAAGTTGTGGAGAAAGATGTCTCCTCGTGAGGTCATGAATGGCTCAATGGCTTCAACACAAAATGAGATCTCCCCAATACAAAACAAAAGGAAATACTGGAAACCCAATGGAAACAAAAAAGAAGTTAAACCATCATATTAATCAATACCATCACATCGTATCTAGTAGTTTCACCATCCAACTACCCTGGAAAGTTCTGTACATGTCGCGGCCACATAAATTGCGAATATCAAAAGTTCAACGACTCCAACTGCCCAATTCACCATGTCCAGAAAGAGAGAAGATTTGGTAGTACCGTATGTAAAGCACCAATAATATCAAATCCTGTGATTCCTACTAACACACAGATACCACCACGTTCCAGCTAAGGCCAGAAACGATGCTGGTAGCATGATCTCCCAGACACTTCCAATGGCAGCCATGTTCATGAGAAACAAGCTTATGTCGTGGTGTGCTGTGTTTTTGGCTCTCCAGGCCTACTTGACTGAGCCAATTAACAAGCCAGAGGATGATGCCCAGGCCGGTTCTCAGCCTCCATTGTTGAGATTTGTGTTTGCCTTGGTCTCCTTGCTGACCTGTTACCTTGACCTTTTCTTCCCAAGCACCAACCCAGCTATCAAGAAGAGTGCTCTTTCCAAGGCTACTGAGACTGTGTCTTCGATTGTGTCGGAGGCTACCAGCTGATCCAGTTGTGTCTCTGTTTGTCGATTTTATTTCGCCGCTATAAATACATAATATTACAAATTACAGGTCTTTTTCCGATCACTCATCGTACCCGTTCCACTTAAGCACCACACTCTCGCTACCTTTGTAGCATACTGTGAGTAGTTCATTTTTGCTGTCCCACGCTATGTCGCATATGCCCACATCTTTGGCGTCCTCCTGCTCCTTGAACTCGAAGAACCCAAGACACCTTAGACTGGTAGTTGTACCTCTGTAACGTTTCGTGGCAACATCCCATATCGTCACATTTCCAGTATCATCACCAATGGCCAAAAAGCGAGCGTCATGAGATAAGGCGCTGGCGAAGATTAATGGGTTACTGGTGTCAATGGAGTTTTCCTCGCCAAAGTGGTAGCTGTCGGGACTCTTGAATATATTAGTGCTTCTGATGGCTTCTCCTGTGAAAGCATCCCACACATTAACAACACCGTCCATGGATACAGAGAGAAGCTCGTTGCCTTGAACGTCGCTGGGTCCTGTGAGCCAATGAAGTCCCACAATAGGAGATGTGTGGTAGCTGATGTCAGTCTCGTTTTCGGTAGAAACATTGAGCTCCAAAGCATCACGCGATGACAGACTGTTCCATACCTTGATGGCATAGTCAACATCTGAAGCGGAAGCCAAAAGCTTGGAAACAGGACTGAATGTGAGATTAGTTATTGGATTAAGGTGACCAGCAACAAGACCAACAGTAACGACTGACTCTGCAGACCCGAATGGAGCCTGGGGATTAACTGAATTTATCTTGATAGCATTCTTGGATGTGGCTAATGCAAACTTGTTTTCGCTGACCCAGCATGCCTCGAGACAGGTTGAACTTGGACTGTCCTGGCTTCGGAGCTCTTGAATAGGTGTAAGGTTATCTCCTTCCCATATACGCACAGTGGCTGAAGTATCGATAGTAAGCACGAATTGGCCTCTCGGACTCCACAGAACGGTGTGGAGGGGAGCTGCAACTTTAGTGGAGTCCACTGGGGTATTTACAATATTCTTTAGTTTGCCATCAGGAGTCCATGCTCTTATTTCTCCGTTAATGCCAGCCGTAAGGACCATGGTCCCCAGAGGAGACCACGAGACGGTGGTTATTTCGTTTGGTAATGGAGTCTGGTCATTGCCGTTTATAAGTGGTGGATAATTTAGCGTAACGTTTTCTGCGATGGTGCCATTTTCCAAGGCTAGGATCTTCGCTGTCGAGTCATCACAGCCATACGCTAGCACGGAAGTACTTGGGTGGTATTGAGCAGCTAGAGAGCTGGAAAACTTTGTGGATGGCGCTAAAAGCTTTGTCGAGAAGTTGACGACCTCGGGAACTTCTTCCTCTGGTTCTTCGGCCTCTGCGTCGTTCTTGCCATTGCTCAAAGCCGTAGCCGAATCAGCATCCATATCAACATCGTTGGAGCCGTTTTCAACAGCAGAATCTTTCTTTAGCGTGAATCGCAGAGCGTCCTTCTCCAGCCCACTATCCACACGGTTTTGGTTATCTTTTAGAATAGCATTCACAAGCGAAATCCGCTCGTTTTTCCCCTCTGCAGCATCCTCGACGAACGTATAAAGAATGCCTTTCTGAACTAAGTTGACCAAGCAGCCTGGTTCTATCGAGTCTATTAATTTGTTCTTCTCATGTTCGTATTCAAGACAGTGGGAACCTTGCTGTAGGGCATAAGCAGCTAGCTCAAACCCGCTTTCCTGGAGATACCTCCAGATAAGGTAGTTGAGTTCTAAACTCGTGAGGGACATTAGCACGTTGGATAAAAAAGCAGGTTGTAGTTGAAGATGAAAGTTTGACTTGGGTGCTGGTTAGTGCAGGAGCCAGCCATATTACCAGTAACGAAAAGGCAACCAGAGGAAGAAAGAAACGGACAAAGGGGGATTTTGAAAGTGATTTTTTTCTACTGCCACTTTTTTTTGAAAAGCACTACCATTTTCAACTTTTTTATGATTTATCTTCAACCGTCTTTCCCAGATGGTACCACTATTTGATACTTTTGTTCGCACTCTCCGAATGTAGCGAAAGTCTGTGTTTTCTGCTATTTTTTTCGGGTGCTAAACATGCTAACTGGGAATAGAACAACTCTGAAAAATCCACTTTTTGGTAAAAATTAAGGAAAACCGGATAATCCATCTCAAATCCCTCACTGCTTGGCCCTACCATCCTTTTCATATAAAAAACACCCAAAACTTGCCCTTTCTGTACTTCCTGTGCTGGACACGCCTCGAGCCAACCTCCACACTATCTACACAACTGACCTGGTAAGTGTCTTTATTCAATATGGACACTAGGCTGAACAGGAAAAGCAGGGCGCCATGGCACTCTGGCGGGGCTGCCAAACAGGCCCAGGCGAACCCATACGCCAATGTCAATGTTCAACAAGGAGTGCCTGAAAACGATCCATATGGCAATTCGTTACAGGTGCCCAAGACGGCAGCGTCAAGCAGAAGACACAACAGAAGAATGTCGATCCAGGCATCTGCAGCGAATCAGTTTGACCCTTCGTCGATGCCTCCATTGCCCAACCAACCGATGTACCGAACAGCAACGAACAATTCCGACGTGGGGCTGGTTCGAAGCTTCGCTACCCACCGCAGAAAGTCCAACGAGGACGATATAGTACAGATCATCAAGACTGAGCTTCACGATAAGGATGTCACTGTGATTGACGATTTCTATAAGTCTTTGCTTGTTCAGAAATCTAATTTGGATAACGATATCAAGAATAGAATCAACACCAACCAGAAGAATATCTTGCAATTGACGGATGATCTTAGGGTGACTCAGGAAGAATTGGTTACGCTTCGTGTTCTGACAAAGGAGCTTTATCAGATTTTGGCTGAATTTGCCGAATCTGCTGAGAGACGACTTGCTATTGAACAGGAGACGCCTAAGAATGGTTCCCAAAGCTTCAATGGTGCTTCGCTTGATATTCCAAACAAGAGAAAGGATAGACTGTCAGTGTTAGTGCTCCAGAAAATGTGGGCCACGGAATTGCAGTCTCTTTTTAAGCATGTTGACGGTGCTCAGAAGTACATCCAGGCTATTCCAGGTAGACACGTCTTGGCAGAGAGTGGCCGTTGGCATGAGATCAATATCGGTACGTGGAAGCCTAGCCGTCCAATCCACTTGTTTTTGCTCAATGATTTGGTTATGATCGCTACACGTAAACTGCCCCAGGAAGGCAGCTCGAAACGTCTACAGGCCATTTACTGTTGGCCGCTACAGAATGTCGACATATCGGAGATAAACGCTCCTAGCCAGATCTCAAGCCGAGACGGTAGTAAGGTTCATGTTATCAATCTCCGAGCTCCATCTTTCAGCTATGTCTACCAAACTGATAGATATGACCACTTCACTCGCGTGTTAAACGCCTACCAGAAAGGAAAAGCCGAGCTCGCTCAGAAGAACAAACAATTCGAAGAAGAAGAACAAAGAAACCCAAGGGTCAGCGGAGAATATGGCTACGGCTTCAATAGCAGCACAGCCAGTCTACATGATGATAAGCTGGAGCTGCGTCACTTGCGTGAATCGCTTCGTTCTTCTGGTCTTCAAGGCCACTCACGTAGTGGCTCTACTGAAGAGGTTGGGTTCAACCGCCGCACAAGCGGACAAAGACACAGCAATGATGTCATTCTTCAGGACATTTCTGCCAGGGTTCACTCCAGAAATAGATCTCATGACTATAACAAGGAAGCCGGTATCAAGAAGCCTGGTAGCGACAAGCTGCCCCACAGATTATTCTTGGAACTTAAGAATGCCGAAGATAAGCTCGACGAGGTTGATGTCGATTTAGCTCACAACAATTACTCCCAGGCTACTCAACTCATGACGATCATTGACCAGAAGGTAGCTAACATTGTTATGCGGGTGGCTGGATTCAAATCAAAAGAGACCGATGAGTCACTAGAAGAACTTAGGATCCTTGTGGATGTTGTGAAGCTTAAGTTGAGCAACAGACGTTTTAAGATTCAGCAGAACCTCCAATTTGACCTACAACACAATATTCTGACTTACACGAATGAGACTATTCTGGAGCTTCTTAGCTACTACTCACAATTTGACATGCAAAGCGAAGGTATTGCAGCGATCTTGGAAGCATTGTCCTCACATCTTTCAAAAACAGTTGGCAAGCTTATATCAAATGCTCACGGTTCCACAAAAGTTGACATCATCAACTATCTTGCTAACTTGACCATTATCTACGTTCTGATAATACGTCGTGCATTGCAAATTTATGGAGAATGTATCGAAGGTTTGCTTCACGACTCACGCCATGGTAATCTCGATTCCAGTGGGTTCATTACTTGGTGTATATCTGAAATGTCTCAATTGGTCGGAATCATCAAGAAACATGCCGAGGAGACGTTGTTGTTCAAGGAAGATAAAATATGGTTTATCAAGGATGAACAACACTACAGAGAGCTAGTTGCGATTATCTTACCCCAACTATCGTTCTTGAAAAAGGAAGGGCTCAATGTGGATTACCTCTTTGAGGATATCCTTCATTGCCAGAAAAAATTATAGGGACATTAGATGTATTAATGCAATAAATAGGTTTAATGGATATGTCTAGGTTAGAGACGTTCATAATAATCCATTATATCATAACGCTCACGAAGTTTAGCTCCCAGGCGCTTAAGGAAGTACAACGAGATGCCAAACACGGAAATAACGCCGGTAATGATGGAGAATAGAACACCAGTTCCAAGGGCGTTAATTAAAGGAACGGTGACAAAGGTTGCAATTGCTGCAAGGATTTGACGAACCAAGTTATTAAGGGCAACACCGGTTGCACCCTTACCAGGCAAAACGTCAATAAGGTACGTGACAGTGACACCAATAATAAGCATAGAAGCGAATCCAAAAAGGGACGTTCCAATCAATGGAGTGACCCAATGTTCACCATACTTGAGGCACCAACCGAAGATCAAACATGCTGGGGGATAAAGGCACATGGCGGTGATAACGTTCCAAGAAATACGAGCTTCTGGTTTCATATCACCATTGTTTAGCTTAGCATGGCGTCTGATCAAACGGTCATTCCATTTACCACCAAAGATGGATGCCAAAATGTATGTCACGGAGTTGGGGATATACATAAGACCAACAATAACAGAACTGAAGTTGTAAGGTTCCTTGGCGTACACTTCTGTGATGGTGATGTTGAAAAAATAAATAACACAGAAACATATGGATGAGTAGCAGATTGTGAGTGCCACAGGAGGGTAAGTGAGAAGAATGACGGCATGAGTTGGGCGAATAAAGTAGTCATAAAGGATATGAGACCATTTGGTATGGTCGATGGGTTTCTTCTTCTCTGCTTGAATCATCTCTTGTTCCTTGATTCGTTTAGTGTACGCCGATTGGTTAGTGGTGAGCCTTGATAATGTAGGCATGACAGGATCACAGGCTGTTTCATCATTGAGGATCTCGCGACGCAAGGACGAGTTCTGCGAGAGATTAGTTGCAAAGCGTGTAAGTTCAGCTTCAGTGGGGCCGTTAGGGTCTCCCTCGTTAGCTGAACCGAGCTCTTGTCTGAGCCTATCACGCACAGCAGCCATGGAGTCCTCCTTACGCAATGTTTCTGGTAGAAGGAATACAATGGTAAGCACGTTGATTCCACAAAAGATCACCATAACCCACATGGTGGCTCTCCAGCCCCAAGCTTGAGCCACAGCACCACCAATAATGGGCGACAAGAATGGACCCAAGAGCGGACCCAAGTAGAAAAGACCCAAAGCGTAACCACGCTCTTCTTGGATATATAGATCAGAAACGGTGGCAGCACCACAGGCTTGCACGGCTGAAGCACCCACACCGGCTAGAAGACGTAGCACGATAAGAGCACCAATTGAAGGGGCCAAACAACAGCCAATGGAAAATGCAAAGAACCAGATGAACGATATAACGTAAACACTTCGTCTGCCGTGTTTCTCTGAAAAGTTAGACCACCAGATCGGGAAAACACCCAAGGAGATCAAGTAGATACCCACTGAAACATTGACCACCGAGGACGAAGTATCTAGGTCGTCCGACACGTCTCCCACGGCCGGCAAGATGATGGAAGTTCCCATAGGACCAGTAATACCCGCAAAAGCCACAATGATAACAATTAGAAACTTGATATTGGGCGTGTAGTTTCTAGCGTCGTCTAGTTCAGGAACGATGGAAAGTTGCGCTAGAAGACCTCTTCTTGCAGAGCGAGCCACAGCATGAGTTTTCATCTCCTTGATGGACATCTTCTCCAGCACAGCATGCAGCCTTGTCAGGCCCTGCTCCAAGTCAGGGAGCGGTTCTTCACGACTGGGCGATGAAGAGGCCGGAGTTACGCTGGACTTATGGCTATAATGATAAGTTTGTGGTGCCTGGGCCAGTCCTTCAGTATTGGAGTCTAGAGACGCCACGGAGCTAGCTAGCGAGGCAGCCGAAGCCGAACGAGAATGGGGCATGGCGTGTTTCTTGGTTATAGTGTGTGGGTGTTAAGTGTAGCGTGAGTGGAAGCAGTCTTGTGGAAAGTGGAAATTAACGGCGGCTAGTACCCAAATCAGGAAATGAAAAACACGGTATAGTCACGATGGAGAAGCAAAAGATCACCAGAAATAACCGTTGGAAGCAAAAGAACAAGTGGGATGTGGAAGAAAAAAAGGATGGTGCAAACAAAGGGTGGAGCCTCGGCCGGTAGGAACTTGAGACCGATCCAGCGCAGGTGAAGCGCAGGTGACAAAGACGAGCAAAAGTGGAGCTCCCACAGAGCCAAAGGTAGTGAAAAAAAGAGACAACGGTGAGGAAGAAAAAGGGGAAGAAGGAAAAGAAGGTGGGAATTGGTCTCTATTTATACTTGTTGCCCGTGTTTGAACCCCTTATCCTTTTTGGTGGTTTTTGGTGATTGGTTGGACTTGGGGTTGGCGGTGGGGGATCGGGCCAAAAGTGGTGTACAGCCGTTGTGCGGCAGTTAGCCAAAGCGCTAGTGTGATAGTTAGATGGAGATTAAGAGAGGGGGAAGTGTTAAGTAAGGAGGGGCTGGAAAATTGATTTTTCCGTGACTAATGGATAGATGTGGATGATGGTAAGGAGGGAATTTAGATAGCTCTTCTGGTGGGTCACTTTCGTGTTTATAGGTGCTAACAGGTTAATGCAAGGTTTCACAAAAGCGAGCAGCCGCTGTCATCGGGACATTGACAGGTGCAGCCGACAGAGCCGTACATGAAAAAAACACAGGAAACGACAGGAAATGACAGAAAAAAAAAAATAGACAGAAAACGGTGGGTAAAGTAAAAGGGATGAAATTGAATTGAACTAGTGGCTTGACTTGTCATTGGCATTGTTGTCTCTTTCACAAGCTCTGTGGTGATTTTCGCAACCAAGCGCAAACGGATCAACTCAACAAAGACCGAACCGATGAAATGTGTCAATGTCCGGTGGCTTGGAGGACCAAGGGTTTCGGAGAATCACGGAACACGGGAGCGTACGTACCGTGAGGTTACGGTATTTCATGTGTTGCTGACAGATAAGCGCTGTGATTTGCGCCCTTGCTGAGACTGAGAAGATGTGATTCGCAGCCACAGAAGAGGTGGAGGGAGGTAGTGGAGGTATGGTTAGAACGTGGGACAAGGAGTGGATGGAGTTTGGATGAGAGTTGGCAGAGGGTCTTTGGGAAGTAGCAGTATGGATGTGGAAGGTATGGCTGTGTACTTAGTATGGCTGTGGAATAGTGTGGTGGTTACTGTTAAAGAAACAGTGATACAGCTCATCTGTTTCTATAGTCCCAGGTGAATGAAAGTTTAGATAGGTAACCAGACACCTAGGAAACAATTACATACTTTTTAAAAGGAGTCGTTATCGACTTGACCATTCCATTTGGTAGCGGTTCTGGGTGGTTCCTCCGCCCGGATATAAGAATGGCTGCGAAATGGATCTGTTTCACATCTAGGGGGAATGGAAGAGGAGAAGCCACAGGAGGGATTCACTGCCTGAAAAGATGAAGGGAATATGGATGATTTAAGTAAGGAGGGTGTTGAATTAGTGGCAATACGTTGAACAAGGGAGTCCTTAGTGGTCTTTTGTATGGACTGGCTTATGCTCATATGCTTATACATGTAGGGACCAGAGCCAATGCCATTCCAATAAAATACCTCTCTTTCTCAACATCAAGCCACCCAGAGATGTCTATGCCTTTTCAAATAAGTCCAAGAGTCGCTTCTTGCCTAACTTTACAGCTTCAAAGCACTTTGTATACCAACTGCTTCTTCTTGCTGGTTACAAGCACCGCCCGGATAAGACAATCCACTTATCGCAAACAGGAACTAATCGACCCAACAAGTTGGCCAAATCAAGAGGAGAAGATAGATAATACCTTAACTGACTTACATTCCCTGGGATCGTCCCAGATAAAAACCTTGTTCTCTCCCTTCCAAAGCTTAAATGCCCTAGCTAAGCCGTACACAGAGATAGACCCTGAAGGTATGCGCCTACCCGGAAGGCAGCAAAGACCCCATAGATTTCGTAACCTCCACAAACAACCCCACCACCAACCTTAACCTGGAACCACCAACCACTCCCACCCATACACCTTCTTACCCAAAAACCGTTATTGTGTCTCTTTCTTCTCCTTCGATACGTCACTGGACCGAGGAGCTTCGGTAGAGGAATGGCTGCGAAAAACAGAATGACCCAACAGCCACTGGTCAGTAGAACCCCCATGTATTTGGCCTGATTTTGGTCCAAATCGACCAGGAGTTTCGGAATAGCCTGGCAGTACCTACCTACCACGATTTATGACATAAAAGATCCAAAAACACCCAAGAACCACCTTTGCTGCGCAACTATATGCTACCATTGCCAAGGCCACTGGCCAGCTGAAACGACCACACAAAACTACCTAAACACAGCAAAGAAGGTTTTTCTGTTTGTGATTCAACAGGGGCACCGTTTCTCCAAACACCCTAGTTGCTGTTTTGCTACCAAACGTAAACGTACATCTCTTCACTACCACTCTCTGCTCCACAGTAGCTCAGCTCAGCTCGGCTCAGCCATAACGGTCGGGCCCTCATTACACCAGACCAACACTGAATTTTCCAACCCCACAAACAAGTATAAATACCACCCCAATCCCCTTCCCTTTCTTTGAGTTCTTACTCTTTTCTTTCTCCTCCTCTCCTCATTCCAGCGCATCCATTCTCTGGCCCGAGGGAAGGCCCAACTTTCGGCCAGTTTCGCACCCTCACTCTTGTCTACTTTTGCCCTTATAGGCCTCAAGTGATCCATAACCAACACCACTGTTCTTCTTCGGTACCTGACGCCACAACAGCGAAAAACCGTCAATTGTCATGTTGTCTCGCCACTCTTGGCCAGTGATCGTGGTGCGTTCGGTTTTTGCCGTGCTAACCTTCATTTTCGGTTGCTTGTCTCTACGGTTCACTCAGCAAGTGGCCTGGGCGCTTCTTAGGAAACATAAGAAGGCGTACCATGCTATGATCAACTTGACCAAACTTCACTTCTTGCAGCTTCTAAGCTTCCTCACGGCCTTGATCAACCCGCTGAAAATCACCGTTACTTTCGATAAGACGACGCTTCCTGATCTGACCTCGTTTAGGGTCGATTCCCTGGGCAACTTGATCTCCAGTCTCCTGCCAAACTCGGTGTGGATTTCAAACCATCAGATTTACACAGATTGGTTGTTTCTTTGGTGGTTGTGCTATACGGGCCGTTTTGGTGACTCTGTCTATATCGTGCTTAAGGCTGCATTGGCTAAGATTCCAGTCTTGGGCCCGGGAATGGAGAACTATAAGTTCTTGTTTTTGCTGAGAAAATGGGATTTGGATAAGGTCAATCTTACCAACAGCTTATTAGAAATCGATGCCGATGCTCGTGGTCTTGGCCCGGCCTCTGGTGTTTCTCATGTCACTTCTACTTCCCAGTCTACTACGCTACCGGGCGTCCTGATCTGGCCAAAGGGTAAGGTGCCAGAAGCTGCTAAGGATTCTACAGTGATTTGGCCTTACCAGATGATTATCTTCCCTGAAGGTACTGTCATGTCTCCACACACTAGAGAACGCCTGGACAAATTTGCAAAGAAATTGGGCCGCCCGGTTTTGAAGCATACTTTGCTTCCGCGTGTCCGTGGGTTGTTCCTTATGTTGCGTTCGTTGAGAGATACCGTTGAATATGTCTACGATGTTACCTGTGCCTACACTGGTCTTACTGCAGATGACTACGGTGAAGAGGTGTTCACCCTTAAGGCTTACTACCTCAAGGGCTACGGCCCCACTGCAATCAACTACCACATTCGTGCGTTTGCGCTTAAGGATATTCCTTTGGGCGACGACGATCTGGCCGATGTGGACAATGTGCCACCTGAAACCTTAGAAGCATTCGAAAAATGGTTGTTAGACATCTGGTATGAAAAGGATGAACTCATGAAGGAGTTCTTTGAAAATGGTCTGTTCACCAAGGCACCTTCTCTCTCTCCTGACACCACCACGGTGGAAGCAGATTTTAAGTTACGTTCCAGTTATGAAATTCTCGGCCCATTCATGGTCACCGTTGTGGCGGTGGTATTGGTCCGCCTTGCCTGGGTTTTGTTCTGGAAGTTTTTCTAGACGGGTCTTTTGCCTTTAAAATACACATATTCTATTGTCTGCGGCGCCTTCAAAATGGCTGCGAAAAACCCTTCCTCACGCATTTGTGGATACCTTGAAACACCTTCCACACATCCAACTTTACTATATAAAATGTGTCTTCCCTTACTCTGTTTGCCCAACATCATGTTTTGCATCTCCCTTATTACCAAGACCTTTACTGTGGTCTCACTCATTATCGCCTTGTTCCTCTTGGGGTTCCTTCTTATTGGCAATGTCTCTGCTGCTCCAGCATACTCGTCTGTGTTCATGGTAAACTTTAAGTTCAATACCACTGCTGATGCTTTTCTGGAGGTGATATCGACCAACACTTCGCTGATTGCAAAGCGGTCCATCACTGCCAACTATATGGGCATTTGTGCTCGCCTTGAGGATGGAAAGAAGGTGTGTTCTGCGGCAGGCAACTACACTGCTTTAGACAAATACCTTTCAGTTGGAGCTCAGGGAACGAAGATCAGTCTCGCCGAGATAGCTTCCAAGTTTACTGAAGCTTGCCACCCTCGGTTACTCATTGTCAGTCTAATGCTCGTGGTGCTTCTTCTTCTTACGGTCCTTTGGTGCACCATTCCATTATTACCATCTAAGCCGCTTATTAGAAAGATTTCTGTGGGCTTGTGCCTTCTTTGTATTCTTATTTGGGGCCTTGGACTGATGCTTCAACATCAGACTGTTGCGTCTACTGTGAAGCTTGTGGGTCCTAGCTCAATGGGTATGGTTATCGCTACTAAAGGCGGGCGTGCTGAGGCCATGACATGGACGGCGTTTGCGTTTTTGTTAGTTGTTTTGGGTATGTTGGCGAAGCTGGTGTTTCAAGATATGAGGCAGGCCAAGCCCAAGGCTGAACCAGAGCCACCCAGAGACCCATACCCCATGCAACAGGAACGGTACTACTATGCGGAGCCCAAGAAGTATGGGTATGCTTGAGGTGGGTAGGTGTTATTTGATGGAGTCGAGAAGTCTTTCGGTGTCTACAGGGTGGTTAGGTTGGTCAGTTTATACCCATAGTAAGTTATGCACATTCAATATACTAGAGGATGAAAGTTAGGGGATTTGAATGTAGGTCAATGAGAGGCTGGATATGCGTATCTGAAGAACGAAATCAATGCCTATTCAGGGAGGTAATGCCCCTTTGTTCTTCGGTAGAACCGGTAAGCCTCTGTATGGCTAAAATGGCTGCGAAAAGACCACTACCAGGGAGTAGTAGCTATACTATAAGCATCAAGTATTCAAAAGAAGGTATAATGGTCTTACATAAACCACTGTTTACTACTTAATTAATCAATTTGAATCTGTGCTTTACTCTGTGACTTTTTCCACCTTTTAAGTGAATATGGTGAACCCTACAATGTACATAGTTAACTGATGAGTATTGACATCCATCACGTACCAAATATAGTCACTTTTCAAAACTGCCAAGCCCAGAAAGGACTATAAAGAAGAAATTGACCACATCCTGTGAAACAAGAAATACTTTGGTTGGGTCACCTCTTTAGGGCTAGGTCTCTTCTGGCTCCTTTCTAGACCTGTCCCAGCCACCATTCTGAAACACGTCCACCACAAATCTGAAACACACAAACACCCAACTTTTTCATTTGAAACGTCCAGATCTTTTTCCAAATTTCCAACCTATAATCCCTTCTTTCCCCAGGCTTCCAAACCCAATTGCCTTTTTCCATATACCAGTGCATGTACTTACTGGTTTTTGCAGCAATTCCCCAGTCGCGGTTGCACCCACAAAATGGCCACCCACGCTAAAGGAGTGTTAATCATCAGTTGCTTCTTTCATAATAATGAACACCAACAAATCACTCCTTTAAATGCCCACTTCTTCACCTTTTTGTTGGATTCACTTGGGGGAGGTGCCTGTGATGGGACCGTTTTGGGAAGGTCTCCTACATACAAGACATACACATGACTTTGTTCACGCGCATCTCACGTGCCTCAACAGACACCGAGCGAACCTCATTCCCACTTTTTTCACCGCGACCATACTAAAGCACCTTGTTTATACACTAGTACTACCGGTTCCTTCGTCCCTTAACTATCCCAGTCCATAATGAAATACACGGAGCAGCTCGACATCTTTGTCCAGCGCCTTAAAGACTCCGGCCAGGACTACAAGGAGGCCCAGTCCGTGCTCCTGGAGCTCTTGGACATGATTGAGGCCTTCAATGGAGCTGCCGAGTACGAGTACTTCTTGAAGAACATGGTACCTATTTTCCTTAAAATCCTCGACGAGGTGCCAATTGCCTTTGATAGCAGCAGCCCAGAACATAAACTTCGTAACCTGGTGCTCGAAATCATCCACAGATCCATCATGACAGACACGTTCCAGCCGTTTTCCAAGCTGATTTTGGAGACTCTTACACGAAGCTTGGAGAATGAAAACGAGGATAACGGTGTTTTGTGTATGAAGATTATCACCAGTTTGCACAAGGCGTACAAGACCACTTTGGCTGATAGAGTGGAGCCTTTTGTGGAGATTATTGGTAAGGTGTATGATAACATGGAACAGACCGTCAAGGAGGTGTTCAGCGAGAACCAGCCTTCTATAGATAAGACAGACGAGACTGATCTTTCCAAGGAAATGTCTCCCTCGGCTTCGTTGGGCGAGGAGAATCCTAAACCGCTACGCAAGGCCATGTATTCGTTCAAGACATTGGCTGAATGCCCCATCACCATGGTTTCGCTTTTTTCTTCATATAGCACGTTGATCCAGTCGTCGCTTCCAGTGTTCTTGCCTAAGATCATTAATATCCTATTGCTCCAGGTCGAGCAGCAGAAGGAGTTCAGAGAGGAACACCTCAAGACAGCGTCAACCGTTACGGCCATCCTGCCTGAAATCACTAATAGACAAGCCTATTCCGAATACATCTTGGGCCAGGTCAAGGCGGCCTCTTTCCTCGCTTACGTCTTTATCAGAGGCTACGCTAACCAGTACCTTTCCCAGAACCAGGCCAAGGTTGTACCAGATGTGATTCTTAGGCTCTTGCAAGACTGTCCTGCTGAACTTTCAGTTGCAAGAAAAGAGCTTCTCCATGCCACCCGTCATATTTTGTCCACTTCGTTCCGTACACAGTTTATTCCTAAGATCGAGCTTTTGTTCGACGAGAAAGTGCTTATTGGTCATGGCTTAACTTCCTTCGAGACTCTCCGACCTTTGGCTTATTCTACCGTGGCTGATTTCATCCACAATGTCCGTAATGAATTGACTCCGAAGCAAATTTGGTCTACCGTTCAGATATACTGTGACCTTTTGAAGGATGATTCTTTGGCCTTGACAGTCCAAATCATGAGTGCTAAGTTGCTTTTGAACTTGGTCGAGAGAATCATGAAGTTGCCTAATAAGCTTGAAGGAAGACAGCTATTTATGATCATTATAGATTCCTACGCCAAACGTTTCCACAGCCTCAACAACAAATACGCTTACATCTTGAGACGCCACAACAAATTCGAAGAAAGAAGAAAGCTCAAGGAGGTGGAGACAAAGAAGGCTGTGGAGAGATACTGTTCCAAAAAAGACAATCCAGAAGGTGTTACCAACGAAGAGCCCAAGGCTGAAAATGGAACTGCTCATGCATCTGAAGGAGACGACGCAAAAATGGACATTGACGTTGTTGACGGACCCACAGAAGCAGAGGAAGTAGAGGAAACCGAATTGGGAGACATGTTCAGCGTTGAAGAACTTTCTCCAATCTCCCTTACATCGCCCAACCAGAGTTCAGACCTTCTCAAAGACGCTCGTTATTTGTTTAGAACACTCATGACTTTCCTCAAGTCTGTCATCTTCGGTTTGAAGAACTGCAACCCTCCTGTTCCTCCTCAGCCAACACAGCAAGATCCTAACAAGCCTGGCCAGGTTGTCAATTACGACAAATGGAATGAATCTGCCAAGTTGACCTCCAACGAGGAAATCAATATTCTCAGAAGCTTGTTCCGTGGCGGTATCAGCTGTCTCCGTTTCTTCTCTGTGACCAAGCCCAAGACGGCTAACCAGCCCCAAGCATTCGACTTCTCCACTGGTGGACCAAATCTTCCAATCACATCTTCGAAAGAAGAAAAGGATTTGATGGAAATCTTCGCTACGATCTTCATTCACATTGATCCGGCATCATTTAATGAGATCGTGAGTGCTGAGTTGCCTTTCATGTTTGATTCCATGCTTCAAAATGCTGCTTTACTTCATCTTCCACAGTTTTTCCTTTGCAGTGAGATCACTTCAGCCAACTTTTCGGGTATTCTTATTTCGTTCCTTCGCTCGAAACTCGATCAGCTTGATAAAGTTGACTATGTCAAATCTAATATTCTCATTAGACTTTTCAAGCTCTGCTTCATGTCAGTCAATCTTTTCCCAACAGCCAACGAAAGCGTCATTCTCCCGCATTTGAATCACTTGATTTTGGAATCATTGAGGTTAGCTACCAGAACCGATGAGCCTATCTTATACTCTTATTTGATCAGGACATTGTTCAGAAGTATCAACGGTGGAAGATTCGAAAACTTATACAAGGAAATCATGCCAATCTTGCCAGTATTGCTTGAGAGTCTCAACAAGTTGATTGTCAACTCCAGAAGACCATTTGAAAGAGATATCTACGTCGAGTTATGTTTGAATGTTCCAGTCAGAGTGTCTGTTTTGTTTCCACATTTGAATTACTTGACGACTCCTTTGGTCTACGCTCTTAATGGTAACCAGGAGCTCATTGGTCAAGGTTTAAGGACATTTGAGCTTTGCGTTGATAACTTGACAGCTGAGTATTTCGATCCAATGATTGCTCCAGTTATTGATGACATCATGACCGCTTTATGGAAGCATCTTGAACCAGTTCCATATCATCACCAGCATTCGCATACTGCTATCCGTATCCTTGGTAAGTTGGGTGGCAGAAACCACAAGCATTTGAAGCCATGCAACTCTTTGAAGCCACAGTCCGATCTTGATCAGGAAGTCAAGGCATTGTTTACCATTCACGGTTTCAACGGTAAAGTCCCTGTATCCGTCACTCCTGGTGTCGAATCTGCCATTAAGTTGCTTGAAGATACCAGACTTAAAGTTCATTACAGGGTCAGTGCATTCAGCTACCTTTCCAGCATTCTCAAGCTTTTCATTGATACCACTCCAATTCCAAAGGATTATGGTTCTTACATTCAGGAGCTGGTTGAACTTTTGAAGCAGGAGGAGCTTTCAGAATACCCAGAACTTGACCCATCTGACATCAAGGACGCTGGAAAGTTGGACAGGCAGCAGAAGCTCTTTTCAAGACTTTTAGAGACTTTGTTCTTCTCCCTTTCTATTCCAGAGCTCAAGGACGAAGCTAGCCAGCTTATTGATGACATAACCACGCATTTCTCCCTTATTCATCTCGGAACTACTATAATATCCAAGATCAAGAAGGACAGACCATTTTCGGTGAACGACCAAGAGGGTAAGGCATACATCAGCGAAACCGTTTTCTTCAACGCCTTGAACTATGCATTGAGCTTCTGGGACAAGGAAGTCAGAGAGAAAGGTATTGAGATCATCAAGAGTCTTTACTCCACCACTGTGACTTTGTTTGGTTCTGACGAAGATGCTCTTCACTCTCCATTGTTCCGTACTATGTTCTACAAGTTCACCCATTGCTGCTACAGTGAGTTCTACTTTAGCAAGCTTGGCGGTGTCTTGGGTTTGAAGACTATGTTTGAAGATTTGAACATTCCACCAAAATGGTTCTTCAAGCGCCAGTTTGAGCTTGTTAGGTCCGTCTTTTTCATTTTGAGAGATACCCCAGAAACTGCTCCTTACGAGGTAAGACACTTGGCCAAGTCGCTTGTGTTGAACATTTTGAAAGAATGCAATGCTGACTTGTCGAAGGAAACTATCCAGGAGAAGCCATTCCAGACTTTGGTTGGTGCTTTGGTTTACGATCTTGCCAGTGCTATTCCTATGGTGAGAGAAGTGTCTCAGGAATCTTTGAATGTTTTGTCAGAAGCTACTGGTGTCCCTGTGGCTACTATTATGGGTCCTTGCAAGCATCTTTTGTTGACCCCTATCTTTGGTAAGCCATTGAGGGCTCTTCCATTCCCAATGCAGATTGGTAACATCGATGCCATCACCTTCTGTTTGAATTTGGACAATAGCTTCTTGAGCTTTAATGATGAACTCAACAGACTTCTTTTGGAAGCTTTGGCCTTGGTTGACGCTGAGGATGAAAGTCTTGCGAACGTTCACCGTCTTTACGAGCACAGAACTTCGAAGCAACTTGTGGAGCTTCGTGTCGTCTGTATTAAGTTGCTTTCATTGGCTTTGACTAAACCTGGCTTTTCCTTGGGATCCTTATCTGAGGCAAGAATCAGAATCCTTGGTGTCTTTTTTAAGGCTCTTTGCAACAAGTCAACTGAAATCATCAACGCTGCACACCTTGGCCTTAAGGCAAGTCTTGATGAAAGCGCTAAGCTTCCTAAGGAGTTGTTGCAAAATGGTCTTCGTCCAATGCTTATGAACTTGTCTGACCACAAGAAATTGACTGTTTCTGGTCTCGAAGCTTTGGCGCGCTTGCTTGAGCTTTTGATTTCTTACTTCCGTGTTGAAATTGGTCGTAAGTTGCTCGACCATTTGATGGCTTGGGCTCAGATCAACACTTTGCGTCAAATTGCTGGCCAAGATTTGAAGAACAACCATACCGTGCAAATAGTGATGGCTATCTTGAACATCTTCCATCTTTTGCCTGCGAAGGCCTATACTTTTATGGAGGAGATCATCAACACTTTGCAGTACTTGGAAGGCCATTTGGACCGTCACCAGGATTCTCCATTCAGATTGCCTGTGCTTAAGTTTTTGAACAGGTTTGCTGACAACTGTTTGGAATACTACTTGAACAACTTCAAGAACAGAAAGCTCGGAAACATGTTAGCCTACTTTGCTGGCTGTGAAGATGGACCAAAGATTCGTGAGGTTGCGATTACCAAGATGGATGGTATTATTGAGGACCTCAAGAATGAGCAATCTGAAGAAATCAAGGTGATCAAGTTTGCAAACACCGTTGATCTTGTGGCTTCTATCGCCAAGTATGATAAGGAATGGTTCAAGGAGCAAGCCCCATTGTTGGACACTTTATCTTCTTTGATGGAAGAGATCATCTCAAACAAGGGCCTGTTGCCGCTCGTTTCGAATAACCACTTCCAAGCAGACCAGGCTATCAGCAAGTTGCAAATCACGATTGTTGATTTCATGCAGCACAAACCAGAGGAGACTAGTTTGGTCTTCTACACGGTGAACAGACTTTGCAACTTGGAGCTCAAGGTTCACGAGCAGCTCGAATTGTTCTTCTTTGAAACGGTTGTGAGATCAGAGGATGTTGAACAGAAGAAGACCTATATGTTGAGAGCTGTTGAGTTCTTGGCTGAAGACGTGAACTTGAAGGCGAAGATCTTTTTCATGAAGAAGGTGTTTGACAGTACTCTTCTCTACGAAATCAGCAAGTCTGAGAACGCTGACAGCTTATTCGACGACGAGACCCAGTGGTTGGATAAGCTCAATGAAATTGTCTGGAAGTCTACTCATGATATCACGACCGACAGAACCTCTGGTAAGATTGACAGCTACAGATTTGCCCTTCTTGAGAGCACATCTATCTTGCTTAAGTGGGCCCCAGAGAAGTTGAGTCAGTACAGAAAGGACATTGTGAAGTTTAGTTGGAACTACATCAAACTCGAGGACAATATCACCAAGCAGGTCGCTTACGTGACTACTTCTTACTTCATTGCAGCTTACGAGACTCCTGCTAAGTTGGCTACTCAGGTGTTTGTTGCCTTGTTGAGAGCTCACCAGAACGACTCGAGACACTTGGTCAGACAAGCCCTTGATATTCTCGCTCCAGTCATGTCTTTGCGTATCGTTGATAATGATCATCCAAACAGTTGGTTGAAATGGCCTAGACGTGTTCTTTCCGAGGACGGTTTCAATGTCACCCAAGTCTTGAACGTGTACCAATTCATTGTACAGCATCCTGACTTGTTCTTCGTTGCAAGAGAGCATTTCATCTCCAACATCATCACTGCAATGGGTAAGTTGACCATCTTGGCCAATGCTGCTTTAGAGAACCAGGTTCTTGCCATTGACTTGGCTGAACTTATCTTGAACTGGGAACACAAGGCTGATGAGTTGAAACTGCAAGGAAAGCTTACCGATGGTCTGGAGATGGACACTGAAGAGAACATGGATAAGGACAATGAAACTGATTTCACAACATCGCCTGACTACCAGATTCCATTCGGCCAGAGAGAGGCTTGCGTTACCTTTTTGATCAGATATGTCTGTATCAGTCCTCAAAGAGCTTCTGAGAGTGAACTTGGCCAGAGAGCTTTGGGTATCTTGTACGACCTTTTGAGTCCTAACCATTGGCCAGAAGTGTCTGTGAAGACCACCTTCTTCGAGAAGTTCCTTCTTTCCAACGACCTCAACTCTTCGAACCTTTTGGGTTACTGTTTGAATGCCTTGGAGGTTTTAGGTGTCGTTTTGGAATGGAAGAAGCCAGACTGGATTGTCTCAAACCTCGGTTATTTGCACAAATTGCTTGAGAAGTGTATCAAGTCTGATAACCACGACATCCAAGAAGTGCTTCAGAGAGTTTTGCGTATCATTCTTCAGGCGATCAACAGCGAAGTCCAGACAGAGCCTGCTGAGGATGAAGATTCTGAAGTTAAAACATTCATCAATGATTTGGTTACCACTGTTTCTGATGATTTGGGAGACACCACTTCTCTTGCTGCTGGTGTTACTTTGTCTTGGACGTTGGCCAACTACAAGCCTTCGACGCTTGATTCGTTGTTGCCCGGTATTATGAGAACCTTCAACAAGCTTTGCAAAGATCATATTACTATTACGCATCAGGGTGCCCAGTCGTCATCCAAGGAGGCCAATAACTCTGCTGATGAGGCTAAGATGACAACCAAGTTGTTGGACAAGATTTTGAACTTGTGTTCTATGCGTATCTCCAACTTGGGTGACCAGAGACGTATCTTCTTGTCGTTGTTAGCGCAGCTTATTGAAAGATCTTTGGACAAAGATACTTTGGAGAAGATCATCAAGATTGTGAAGTCTTGGGTATTCTCCAGGACCGATCTCTTCCCTACCACCAAGGAAAAGGCTGCTATATTGGCAAAGATGATGGTATTCGAGATCCGTGGTGAACCAGTGTTGTCTAAGGAGTTCTACCAGATTATCGTGGATATCTTTGAGGACGATACTTTTAGCTGCACTGAATTGACAGTCAGAATGGAACAGCCATTCTTGGTGGGTACCCGTTCTTCAGAGGTTTCTATTCGTCGGAAGCTTATGTCTATTTTGAATCACAGTTTGGAGAAGGACATCAGCAAGCGTCTTTATTATGTTATTCGTGAACAGAATTGGGAATACCTCGCCGACTACACTTGGCTCAACCAGGCCTTGCAATTGCTCTTTGGCGCTTTTGACTTCAACGATAAGCTCGAGTTGATCTCCGAGGAGAATAAGTTACCACCTTTGACTGCATTCCCATACAAGGAGAAGGATGATGATAAGGATATGGAGGTTGATGGACGCAGCAACTTGGACGAATTGTTTGAAAAGCACAACAAGTTCTTGGAGGGAATCTCTGATATTCGTTCCGGTGCTATCCTTGAGCCAATGATTGATTTGTTCTACCAGAGCAGTGAAACTGTCCACCAGGTTTGGTCTACCATCTTCCCAATTGCTTTCTCGTCGATCCCTCGTTCTGATCACTTGGACTTCACGAGATCATTGGTCATTTTGTTGTCTAAGGACTACCATACTCGTCAAGTTGATGTCAGACCAAATGTTATCCAGTCTTTGTTGGAAGGTGTTGCTAGATGCGAGTCTCTTCAATTGCCTCCATTTGCTGTTGAGTGTCTTGCTTCGAACTTCAATGCTTGGTCCCAGGGTATTCACATCCTTGAAAATATTGAACACCAGTCCGTCAATGGTAATGCCGATGTCCGTGAAGTGACCCAGGATGCTCTTGCCAAACTTTACTCTACCCTTAAGGAAGACGACATGTTCTACGGGTTGTGGAGAAGAAGAGCCAAGTACTCTGAGACAATCTCTGCCTTATCATATGAACAGATTGGTCTTTGGGACAAGGCTCAGCAGCTTTACGAGACAGCTCAGATTAGAGCCCGCAGTGGTGCTTTGCCCTATGGACAATCAGAATACTCTCTTTGGGAAGACCACTGGATTTTGTGCGCTGAGAAGTTGCAACACTGGGATATTCTTACAGAGTTGGCCAAGCACGAGGGCTTCAGTGACCTTCTTTTGGAGTGTGGTTGGAGAGTTGCCGATTGGAATGCTGATAGAGATACCTTGGAACAGACAGTTAAGAGTGTGATGGACGTTCCTACGCCTAGAAGACAAGTCTTTGAAACTTTCCTTTGCTTGCAAGGATATGGTCAAGAAAAGGCTACATTGCCAGAACTTTCCAAGTTGTGCGATGAAGGTATCCAATTGGCTTTGAGAAAATGGCACGGTTTACCACAGAGATTCATGGGAGCTCACATTCCTTTGCTCCATACTTTCCAACAATATGTGGAGTTCATGGAGGCCAGTCAGGTGTACTCGAGTCTTGTGTCTACTAATGCTCAGAACTTGGACGTCAAGTCCCAGGAGCTTAAGCGTGTTTTGCAAGTGTGGAGAGAAAGACTTCCAAACATTTGGGACGATATCAACATTTGGAACGATTTGGTTACCTGGCGTCAACACGCCTTCCAGGTGATCAACAAGGTGTACATGCCATTCATTCCTATCTTGCAGCAGAACAATTCTGATGGTAATGCCAATTCTTACGCTTACAGAGGATTCCATGAAATCGCTTGGGTTATTAACCGTTTCGCTCATGTTGCTAGAAAGCACAATATGTCTGAGGTTTGTATCAACCAGTTGACCAAGATCTACCAGCTTCCTAACATTGAAATTCAAGAGGCTTTCTTGAAGTTGAAGGAGCAAGTCAAGTGTCACTACCAGAACCCTAACGAGCTCAATACCGGTCTTGATGTGATCAGAAACACCAACTTGGTCTACTTTGCTACCCAGCAGAAGGCTGAATTCTTCACTTTGAAGGGTATGTTCTTGAGCAAGCTTAACCATAAGGATGAGGCCAACAAGGCGTTCGCTACTTCGGTTCAAATCGATCTCAACTTACCTAAGGCCTGGTCTGAATGGGGTGTTTTCAATGACAAGAGATTTAAGGAGAACCCAACTGACTTGGTTTACGCTAACAATGCCATCAGTTGTTACTTGCAAGCTGCTGGTCTTTACAAGAACGGTAAGACAAGAAAGTTGCTTGCCAGAATCCTTTGGCTCATTAGTTTGGATGATAGTTCTGGCACTTTGGCACAGGCATTTGAGAACTTCAGAGGAGAAGTCCCAGTTTGGTACTGGATTACCTTTATTCCTCAACTCCTTTCGTCTTTGTCATACAAGGAAGCCAAGTTGGTGCGCCAGATTCTCATTCGTATTGCAAAGAGTTTCCCACAAGCCTTACACTTCCAGCTCAGGACCACCAAGGAGGACTTTGCCGCCAAACAACGCCAATTTGTTGAGCTTCACCGCCAGAAGAGTGCCAACTCGGCGTCGCCTTCTAATGCAACTGGTGATCCACCATCTGACGAAAAGGAGAAGCTGGTTGAAGACAGTAAGGATGCAGAGGAGAAGAATGACGCTGATAAAGAGAAGAAGAAGGATGAAAGCGCTGATGTCAAGGACGAGAAGAATGATGATACTGCTGTCAAATCTGAAGATGCCATGCAAGAAGACAATGCAAACGGTGAAGAGCAAGGCTCTCCAAAGAACAATGGTGGCTCGCCAGATGCCTCCTCGAAGTTGCCTCCAGCAGCTGGTGCTCTCAGACGTTCCTGGGAATATGTGGAAGAGATCATGGGTATTTTGAAGACAGCTTACCCATTGTTGGCTCTTTCATTGGAGTCTTTGGTTGACCAGATTAACCAGCGCTTCAAGTGTACTGCTGACGAGGACGCTTATAGACTTGGAGTTGCTTTGCTTAACGATGGTGTTCAGTACCTTAACCGTCTTGGTAACCCAAGAGAAGACGCCAAGTTGCCGCCAGTCACTGAAGTCAATATTACGAGATTCGCTGAGACGGTTCTTCCTAAACAGATCCGTGCTGAATTTGAAAAGGACTTGGTTATTGGTAAGCCAAACTTGGAGACTTACATCATCAAGTTGAGAAGATGGAGAGACCGTTTGGAGGACAAGTTGGACAGAAGATTCACCGAGGTCAACCTTGAAAACTTGTGCCCACACTTGAGTGAGTTCCATCACCAGAAATTCGAGGACATTGAGGTTCCAGGCCAGTACTTATTGAACAAGGACAACAACAGCCACTTCGTTAAGATTGAAAGGTTCTTGCCTACCATCGATTTGGCTCGTGGAACGAATGCCTGCTACAAGAGATTGAAGATTCGTGGTCACGATGGAAGTCTCCATGCTTTCGCTGTGCAATTCCCTGCTGCTAGACACTGTCGCCGTGAAGAATGCTTGTTCCAGCTTTTCAGAATCTTTGACGACTCTTTGTCCAAGAAGGTGGAAACCAGACGTCGTAACATTCTGTTCACGCTTCCTATTGCCGTGCCCCTTTCTCCTCATATCCGTATTATCAATGATGATTCGAGAGATATCAGCATGCAAAAGGTTTATGAAGATTTCTGCTTCAAGGAGGGCAAGAACCGTGACGAGCCATTCATTTACACTATTGAGAAGTTGCGTGCCGCTTTCGACCCAAGGTTGCCTAAGCCAGATATCATGAGCATTAGAGTTGAGATCTTGAGTGCTATCCAGTCTCTCTTGGTTCCATCTACCGTGTTGAAGAACTACTTCTTGAACCTTTATCCTAACTTTGAGGACTTCTGGTTATTCAGAAAGCAGTTCACATCGCAGTATGCTTCGTTTATCTTCACCACTTACATGATGTGTGTTAACACCAGACAACCACAGAAGATTCACGTTAACCGTGGCTCTGGTAGCGTCTGGACCTCGGATATGTTGCCATGCAAGATCGCCAGCAAGAATGCTTCATTGGACTCTTCCAACGGCAGCCGCCCAACGCCTTTGTTCTACAATGCTGAAATGGTGCCGTTCAGATTGACGCCAAACATCCAGAAGTTGATTGGAAAGTCTGGCCTCGAAGGTATTCTTTCCGTGTATGTGCTTGTTATTGCCAGGGCTCTTACAGAACCTAAGTCTGATTTGGACCAGTACTTGACCTTGTTCGTTCGTGATGAAGTCATCTCCTGGTGCACTCAGCAAGACCCACCTAGAGCAGTTCCTCAAGACAACCAGCTTCGTGAGATCGTCATGCTCAACGTCGAGCTCATCATCAAGAGAGTCTTATCGATGGCCCACGGCTCTTCGGCCTCTAACGTGAGCACTCAAAGCGTCTTGGAGCTTATTGCCCAAGCCGTGAACCCACATAACCTTGCCGCTGCCGACACTTTGTGGATGGCATACTTCTAGGCAAGCCATGTACTATAGATATTTGTTTATATTAAAAATTAAAGATGTATATTATGATATCACCGTAAGTAGGCCTTTTCAAGGCGCTGGAGTGGGACGACATCTTGACCAAGCTCGAGACGGTTCACTTCCTTGTTGGTGGTAATACGGTTGTTTGAACACCGAAGACAGAGTAATATGTCATACAAGCGAAGCAGAACAAGGAGCCAAATCACTACCGCCATGACAAGACGCGCAATGTAAATCGCTCTAAACGAATCAGTCACATTCTGCAATATTACTTCTCCATCGAGATACTTCTTTTCCACGAATGGGCCTTCAGCACGTTGACTTGCAACGACACTGACAACTTGCAACACCCAAGCCACTAAAGCCAAGAGCCAATTTAAACACTGGATTCTATAGGTAAGAATGGTAGGCACCCAGAGCAGTATTTCATTGATACCGAAGGAGAACATCGTTATTCCCTAGTGTTAGTCATGCCAGGTAAGGCCAACAATAGTAAAACACGTACGTAGAAGTAACCAAAGAAAGATACAGTTCGGCAGATATCAGGGACACCAGCAACCCTATTGATAGTAAGTATCAGCATAAATACTGAGGCGACGTGAATGAAAGGCATTATAGCTGATAAACGACGACTCCAGAACTTACCACAAGTAGAGCTGGAAACGACAGGAGGGGGCTGGGCGCCTTGATAATTATCAACGAGTTCTTCTAAAGTGAGTGGATGTTCTGAAGATTGGAAAGCTTGTTCGGCAGACATGGTGGTGTAGTTGGGATTGTACCAAATGGCTGCAAAAGACGAACCGAGGAGGTGCGAGCGTTTGGAAGGGAGGTCAGGGCCACTGAAATTTGTGGAGTGTCTGGTGATAGGAAAAAGTGAGTTGGAGCAAGGATTTGTGGCAATGGAAAGCTGTAAAAGCGCCAGTTGGCGTTGTGGAGGCATCTTTTGAAGGCTTCAAGGCTTCATGGAACGTAATGTGAAGCACTGAAGACTCAAAAGCTTTGAAGGCATCTCCACCTGAACCTAGCAATTAATATGGTAGTTTATTGAAGACTTCTCTAGCATCCAATGTCCAATGGACGACGTCCTGGTCTGTAACATGTGAGCTGATACCACACCATCATTCCAACACTCATCCTGAAGTTCTCCCCAACTACCGATAGACAACAGCAACAGAATAATCTAGTAAATTCAAGTGTCCTCTAAGCTGAATCTCAGAAACACACTTCTCGTAAGCCCAATTGTAACACTTCTAAAGCTTCGTTTCAGACTCCTCAGTCTCACCTGGAGTAGGAGCCTTCACAGGAGTTTCCCTAGAAACAACCAACCGATCATACAACCCTCTCTCCATTTTACACCATACCTTATTAGAAAGCTCCACACCTTCACTGAGCCAGATACCCCAGGCTCCCATCATATTAGCCATAAGCATATCTGTGAACAAACGGTCACCAATAACCACAATCTCGCTAGCTTTGGTGATCCCATGCTCTGCAAAGTAAGCCATGATCTCCTCATGACAGCCAGGCTTCTTAGTAGGATGTCTCAACACAGTAACACCAGTATCACGCTCTAGCTTCTCTGCTTGTTGATAGTTGGTATCATCGTTAGTACCAGCAGAATTAGATACAATAAGCAAGTGTTCTTTAGGGTAGTTCTTCTGAAGCTGTGCCCAAATGTCACTATACGCTGGCCAGACCTTATCGTCCTTGTCTTTGGCGAAACAGTTGTCTTTATCTAACACTACGCCTTTGATAGTGGCATTTTCATGTCCTGGAATTTTGAATGGAATTGGGAGCTTATCGAAGGAAGCAACTGTCAAGTGGGGTAAACAGAGACTGGGGTTGTACGTGAGACGGCCCACGTTGAGTATGGCACTGGCGTTGAAGATTTGCATGGGTGTTGATAGTTGGTGAAGATAAGCACTGGAAAAGTACTAGTATGGAGGTCATGTGATCTTGGACAGAATTCGATGAAATATGGTAGAAGAAGCTGGAAAGAGGTGTTTGGAGGGTGAAACAAAGGCTTATTTGTTACTTGGTAGCTGTTTGAGTGGAGCTTGTGGTATTTGTGTAGCTGGTGTGGGAGATGATAGGATATATACTGTGCGATGTAACTAGGTCAGTAGAGGAAGAGAGACTGAAGATACACACATTTGCCTGGCATGGTTTCCTCTCTTTGGTAAACAAAAAAGCATGAATTCAAGCTAAAAAGTATTAGATTGGGTGAAGTTCGAATTTTCAGGTACTTCTTTGAGCAGAGCAGTCTTCTATCAGTTGGTTACACTTCACTAAATGCAACCTCCAAAGTCTGGTTCGTCTCATTTCTACTGTTCCTATAAAAAGGACAACATTATCGAAGTAACAAACAGATAGAGCTTAGATTTTGGATGGACCTCTTTCAATTGGAAAGTTGGTACTTGATGGATGCGGTTCATAGAAGTAATGCCCTGTGGGGGAACTCAATATATGTATATGTTTAAGTAGAAAACGGCCTCTTAGTCGAGTTCTAAGATCTGGGTATAAAAGAAATTAGTATTTTAGGAATGGGACTTAGGCGATTGCAATAGAGAATTGGTTTCTGTTCAATGAATACTCGCTTTTGAATGTACAACAGCATTACAGTAATCACACATCAAAGGCAGTCAACATGTCCAAAGAACAGTAAAAGCATTATCCAAATATACTCACTAAATTTGATAGTATATCAGAAAATGATCGTTTTCATCTCTTTTAGTACACTTCAGTTTACCATGTACCATCTGACTCACCAAGACTCACCAACTCCTTTCAATTCCCAATCCCCTTCCCAAATTGGACAAAAACAGATACCAAATCTCCGTCCCCCAATTACTCTCTCCTTCTATCACCAAAAAAGCCACATCCTCTAAAAACCACCACTTCTGCCCACTACCTTAGTTCCCTGCCTGGTGAGCAAACCTACATGCCATTTTGCACCCATCAGAAGGAACCAAAAGGGTCCATCAATTTCCACTCACACCCAAAAATCCCCAAAACAAACAATACCATTGAAACCAGCCGCCCAAATTACCCCCAATTTCATCCCCCTTTTGCCACTTTTCATTTCCACAGTCCAATTCACCAACCCACGTTGTATGCGTGGAAACCCCATACTAAAATTTTTCTCACCATTCTTCACCAAACTACTACTACACCTTTTTCAGACACCGTCCATGTCTGCCGAAACAGCACCTAAAAGCCGGTCCAGGGTCAGCAAACCGAAACCTGGCAAGCTGAACAAAAATACCAATGTGCTGCCGCCACCGGAAAACTCGTGTATCATTTGTGCCGAGGCTATCTTGTATTCTGCTGTTTCTCCATGCAACAACGTCACCTGCCATCTCTGTTGTTTCAGACAAAGAGCTCTCTACGAGAGGAACACATGCTTGGTGTGTCGAACAGAACACCCAGAGGTGGTTTTTACAGACCAGGTGTTGGAGCCTGAGGCTAGATATACCCACTTTGAGGATGTGAGTAAGGAGCTCATCAATGATAAGTATGGGATCAGGTTCACGTCGCAGGATGCCCAGGACGCTACTTTGCTGCTTCTAGACCAGAAATGTGGGGTTTGTGGGGACAGTTTCCCTACGTTTAATAAACTAGCAGAACATACGAAGAATACTCATAATAAGGAGTACTGTGGGATCTGTGCTAGCCATAGGAAAGCGTTTGTCAGCGAACTCAAGCTTTACACGAGGAAACAGCTTAATAAGCATTTGAACGAAGGTGACGTTGAAGGGTTCAAGGGCCATCCAAAATGCAAGTTCTGCCGAAACAAGCAGTTCTACTCAGAGGATGAGTTGAATATTCATATTAGAGACCACCACGAAAGATGCTACATCTGTGATCAGGACTCGCCTCATCTGGCAGGCTACTACCGTAACTACGACCATCTTTATGAGCATTTCAGAGACGCCCATTATGTCTGTTCGGTTCCATCTTGCGTGGAGAAGCGTTTTGTCGTCTTTAGAGAAGACTTGGACTTGACTGCTCACATGTTAAAGGAACACGGCGGGCTCACCGGCCACAACGGCAGAGTTGTCATTGGTTCCGGCTACCAATCCCTGTTGTCCACCTTCCCTCAAAACCACCGTTCTAGACCACAACCCCAGCAGGACTCCATGGAAACGAAAAGACGTCGTTTGGAGGAAAGAGCAAAGCATTACCTCAACAACAACGAAGAAGATATGGCCCGGTTTGCCGATATCAACCACGCATACAGATTAAAACGCATCGACGCCCAGCGTCTCATTAGTGACTACGAATCCTTATTTAAGGTGCCCGAGCTGGATCTCTCACTCTTGATTTACGAATTGGCAGAGTTATACCCACAAAGCTCTGACCAGAGACAGCAGCTCCACTCGGTTTATTTATCCAAGTACCCAGCATCTCCATCTGCATCGAACGCCGCTTCTCCTGGTTTGACTGAAAGCTTCCCTGTTCTTGGAAACGGTTCTCTGAGCTCGGTCTCGCTTCTGTCGTGGGCTCCAGGCACCAGCCATAAAAAGACCCAGAACGAGCTTTTCCCAAGATTACCTAAACCAACAAAACCTACTGTTGTTAAAAACGATCAGCCTGTCAGGTACGTCAAAATGAAGAAACCTCAACCTAAGCCTTCTGTGACGGTTAACAACTTCCAAGGGAACCTGAGCTTCAGACCTACATACTTGGAGAACACCCATAAAACGCCATCCACGTCGTCGTTTCCTTCATTAAACGGCTCTGCAGCCAATTCCAATGCCAGCAGCGCCCAAAACCTGCGCAGCCAGTCTCCATTGGTTGCAAGTGCCAGTCCTAAGATTTCAGATAAGAACTTCCCAGCTTTAGCGAAGAAGACTACCAAGAAAGAAATCCCAAGGGTAAATGCAGTGAACACCAGCTCCGGGTCATGGGGAGGAGGCCTTTCCCAGCCGTCTCCGAAACCTAGCCCTACAAACGACTTTGGTATCCCAATTATAGATAAAAAGGCAGAGAAGCTTAAGCGGAAGCAGGAGAAAGCGCAGCGGAAGTGGTAGGTGTTATGAGCCGCGCACGACCATCGAAGACCATCGATTTCACTCGAAAGGCAAGATGCATCTAAGTGGTATATCGACGAACTCGACCTTTTTTTCCCACAATGCTTCGCTCTTTGGCCCGTTTGAATATCCATAGGTCGCTAAGACTAGCCCCAAGATCCAGAGTTGGCCCAGCTTTGGCCACAGCCAGACTCCCCTTTCAATCCACCGTTCCAGTGCTGAGACAGATTAGATACCACTCCACAGACAACAGCGACAACAAAACGGCCACTTTGAAAGGAGATGCTCCACAGCTCATGATCGCCTTCACATGTACCAAGTGTGACACCAGATCCTCGCATACTTTCTCCAAACAGTCATACACCAAGGGAACGGTCTTGATCCAGTGCCCTGGTTGCAAAGGTCGTCATTTGATCGCCGATAACCTTAAGATCTTCCGTGATAACAACGTCAATTTGGAAGATATTCTTCAGGCCAAGGGAGAACTGGTGGCAACCACTACGGATGACCTTGCTTTTGAAGATATTCCTGAATCCTTGAGGAAGACCATTGGCCATCATGCCAAGGACGCTCCAGAGGAGTACCAGAAGAAATATGACAATCAGGACAACGGTTTGCCTCCAACCAAGGACTAGATGCCCATAGATGCCTTCAGATAGATATAGCGGTACAGGTAAGGCGGCCGGGGTGGCTGCCGAAGGATAGGCATTTTTTTCACATAATATACGGGGAATGATACAAGAACAGAATAGAATGCTGTAGATTTGTAGATTTTGTAGATACTTCAAGTGCCCGTTCTTTACTGTGGAGCTCGGCTGGTGCGCTTTAGGACCGAAAAATGAAAAATCACTTGCAACCACCTCCACCAACATCATGTCGAGACATCTCTTAACAACGGCAAGGCTAGTGCCTAAATTGGCCTACCCACGTGCTTCCCTACTCCGCAGCTTTGCAACGAAGCCAGAAACTCCCTTGGAAAAGTACAAACACAAGCTTGAACAGAAGGCTAAGGAAGTGGGTGCCCTGGATGTGAACGAGCTAAAAGAGAAGCTCAAGGACGAGATCGAGGCGAAAAAGAAGGAGTTCAATGCTGTTGATCCTTTGAAGGAGCTCGAAGAGTACGAACTCAAACAGGCTGAGGAGCTCAAGAAGAAGAAGAGGGTGGAAGAGACCAACCCAGCCATCAGAGCTGCCATCGACAAAGACACACCTAAAGAACCATATAAGACGCTTGCGTCGTTCATTGACGTTGAAAAGGTGAGGGAATTGCCTAGGAAGGAGTTGGAGTTTATCTGGAGAGCTAGATTCCAGAATAAGGAAAGAACCCTTCAGGCGGTCTTGGAAGCCCAGCAGTTTGCAACCATATTCGCCAATGCCTTCAAAAACCCCAACTTCGTGTTGCCGCTTCCTAGAGGTGAAGACGGGTACGAGATCCATTTTGTTCAATGGGGATTCCCTGGACCAAACACCACCCATTGCATGTTGACTACCTTGGCTGAGTACCAGCTTCATAAGGAGTACGCCAAACCACACACAACGTTGATGTTCCATCAGGAATTGATTGAAGATAAGGAGGTCGTCTTGATGAATGGCCAGGTCGAATCAGACGTTTCTCTTACCTTGGACGAGGCTCAGCTTTTGGTGCTTAACGTGCAAAGATTCTATGGCGGTTTGAAGGAGTCTGAAGGAACCAAGAGAAAGGTCGCTTTGCTTAGAGACTTCACTGCTGGCAACCCCAACTTTGACATGAAGAAGCTTGTCGAAGAAGCAGCCTCTTTCGATTAAACTTGTATATATGTGAAGAATAGATTTCACGGATCGACTTTTAACTGCCCAAACTGATGATATCATCTAGTACAGAGCTTTCTTTGGACAGACGAGCACGAGATTTAGCAGCTGGAGCTTTTCTCTGTCTTGGAGCTGGCTTGGTGACCTTCTTGGCTCGGGATTTGGGCTCTGGCTGGTACTCTCCTTCAGATTCGTCCGATATGACTTGAGGTTCCTCATCAGACTCGTCAGAAACGATGACTTCTTTGCTTTTCACGTTTCGACGAGGGGCGGTCTTGGGCTTTGCTGATGCTCTTCCACGTTTAGGCTTGGGTTCTGGCAGCTCTTTGGGGGTATCGAAACGCATTGTTTCATCAGCAACAGCCTGACTCACTGGAACGTCCTTAACAGGTTCCCTTTTATTTTTCATCCGCAACTGGTTAAGAAGCTGGCCAAAAGATCTCTTAAGAGTCATATCATCACCAGCATGGAAATCGTCCTCATCGATGTTGATATCAAGAAGCAGCTTGGAAGCTTGGTCTATTGACTGCTCGACGTAGTCTGTAAATATCTGTTTATCATCTTGCTCAATGAACTTTTTCGTAACGTCGTACATGCCGTTCTCGGGCATCAAGAAGAGACTAGACTCGTCAAGGAACTGCCTAAGGATCTGCTGAATAGATACTCTGGATGTATCACTGGCATCTGCGGCCGGTATATCCATATCTTGGGGTGCTTTTTTGCCTGTAGCGTATTTTGGTGCCTTTTTCTTATAGTACATGAGGATATCGTTGACGTTGGCAACCTTACCGACGAACTTATTGGAGAATCTTCGTGAATTTTCAATCTCGTAGTCGCCAGTGTGGTCAACTCGAAGCCGAATCAAAGGTAAAGGAATCTCTTGGTCACTATCTTCCTCAATTCCATTTCTGTCTCTGTATTGAGCGTTGGCTTCCTCAATCATTGTCTCCACCTGGTCCACCAAAAACGCCAGGATATCTGCTTTTGACGCGGGGCCCTCAACAAAGTTCTCTTCACGAAGCGAAACATCCCGTGTAATGAACGGTCTCACAGACAGTAGAAGAATAGGTTCAATCAGGTACTGCTTATCTTTGATGTCTATCATGAACACATGTTTTGGCTGACTCTCACCTTCAGTCAAAGACGTAGCCACCGAAGAGCCAGCTTGTAATGTATCGAACCCAGTGGTAGGGTTATACTGTGGAAGAGGTATGCAATCGTGTTCATGGCCCCAAAACACGAAATCAAGAAACGGAGGAAGAAAGTCTTCAGGAACGTACGACGTCAACGAGTGTCTGGCGTGATTCTGGTGGATGCAAAGTAAACTAAAGAAATCGTCGCCGTTCTTGGGTCTTTGGAAAGTGACGTCTCCGTTTCTCATGATCCTCTGGAGTCTTTCGTCTCTGACATTATTAATACCATAAAGAGCGAACTTGGTAGTACCTTTCTGGAACACCAAAGGCGAAACCGTGATCTTATCGGCCTGAGGAACCTGGCCAAAGTAGTTTATAAGCCCTGTAGCAGAAAGCACATCCAATGGAGACAAAAGACCTTCTCCAGTAGCATCATCGTGGTTTCCAGATATAGCGAACACCGGCACGGCCACGTTTATATTAGGATCCTCATAGTTAACCGTATCATTACCCGAATGAAGTGCCAACGAAGGGTCACTAAGCAATTCAAGCTCACACGGTCTATCACCCAAGCAGTTGGTTCGTAGCGCCTGGACCACATGAAACAACGATTTCTTCGACGGTTTCGAAACGTGAAAAAGGTCACCCCCTGAACCACCATATCAACATCATGCTGCTTAGCCAAACACGCTATTTCCTGGAACGTCTTCCACGAGTCGTCACCTCGTATGGGATCATTCTCCAAGTACCCTACATGGTTATCAGTAGTGAGAAGGATCCGTATTGTATCCGGCCCAGGCTCGATTTTGTCCACTGGCGGCATAAAGAAGGCAATAGCAATCAAGTAATCGAGAGATACTATAAAGACGTATTCAAGTATCAATCAGTGTAGTAGGATCTATCAACTGCGATATCAGAATGCACAATGGCTTCTTCGCAGCCAGACATCATCACCAGCTTCTAACCAAGTCACTACTCCTGCTTATTCCATATACAGAGAGAGGGCCATGAACGAGGCCAGGCAGCAGGACGAGATCGAGCTGCTCCAGTCTATATATGGTGACATATTCACAGATTTGACGTCCAAGGCAAAAGTATGGAACCAGACTCCGAGCCCGCATTTCCAGGTCCATCTTCTGTCCCATATCAATCCAGACCGGCCGGTGGTGTCTTTGGTGTTGGATATTCAGTTTACGCCTACGTATCCTACGCTGTCGCCATTGGTGAAGGTGGTGGAGCCGAAGAACTTGTTGAAGGCTCGGATTGCTCTTATCGAGGGTAAGGTGCAAGAGGTGATCAAAGAGTACCAGGGCGAAGAGATCTGCTTCACGGTGATTATGGATGTCAAGGAGATGCTTGATGATTTCCAGCAGACTACCGAGGAGGTGCTTTCTTTGGAAGAAGAGCGTACGAGGCGTATGGAGCAGCAGAGGAAGCAGTTGGAGAAGGTTGAACAAGAACAGCTCCAGCGTGAACAACTGGCACAGAGAAAGAGAGAGCATGAAGTCACACAGCAGCTTCAGAAACTACGAGGTGATTACCCAGAATCTCGTGATAACAGTACGATGGGTTCGTTTTCCCAGTCTGGGAAGGATCTGGATGATGATCTAGAGGACGAAAAACGGTCCTTGATTCCGGTTTCTGTGGATAACACTTTTATTTTCGATAACACACTTCATGGGTACTGTGAACAGACTCGAACGAAGTTCCTGTTTAGGGCTGTTCAAGGGTTTGTTCCGTATAACGCAAAGAACTTGCTTCTGAGCATCAGCTCCCAGTACATTGTCACTCCATACGTGCCGCAGGCGGTAGTCAAGGGAGCGGGAAGTAAGCTTGATGTGTGCTACTTGCTCCATGTTATACAACTTGACGATACTTACTGGCTGACGAACCGTGGTAAAAAGGATATCCGTGAACTAGAACACCAGCTTGAACAGGCCATGAACGTCAATGTCAATGAGATTTTGAACGTACATGGTTTCCAGATTGACCAGGATCCAGATAATCACTCCAAATGGACCATTAGAGTGCTTACTGAGTTCTCCCCTAGCATGCAAACGTTGGATGAAGTGCTCCAAACAGCTGACGCTGTCAATTGGACGCTAGCTCGTTCTTGGCTCATCCAACTTTTGCCCACATTAGAGCTTCTTCATGATGTTTCGCTCCCACACTGCCTCCTTTGCCCATTAAGCGTCATGCTTGCACAAGCTAATCCAAGTGAAGACTCGACTCTGCGCAAATACCTCAAGTTGTGCCATCCCAGATACGGCTTAACTGCATTGCAAATGTTCCACAGATCATCATCGTCATCATTTCTAGAACACTTCATTCCCAAAAACTGGCTAGATCCAGATACATCTGCAGGGTTGATCAAAACCGATATCTGGGATCTTGGTGTGCTATTTGCTAGGGTAATGCTTGGCTACAACGTACTTACAACTGAGTTTAAAACGCCTGACCTGTTCCTTCGAGATTTCGATGTTGACGAATATGCTGGGTATGAAGAATACGCCGAGCGTGTTCACGATATGCTCAGCAAAATGCTTCAACCAAAGGCTTCCAAAAGACTAAGTCTTATGGAGTTGAATGCCGTGAAGTTCTTCCGTGCGGGCATTGACATGAATGTTCCGTCGACATCTTTTGCATTTGCTAACCACGACGATGATAATGGAAATGATAATGATGGAGCAGAACCTTCTCAATACCGCAGTGTCTTCTTTGATACATCAAGACGTAACACAACTGCTCACAGCACACGCAGAAGGTACTCCAATAACAATCCAACGATGATGAATGCAAACCATGAATCAATTGCTCTGGTGAATCGTGACTCGAGATACGAAACTGAATTTGAAGAGGTTGGTAAACTTGGAAAAGGTGGATTTGGTGAAGTCGTCAAGGCTCGAAACAGAATGGAGGGTACATTTTATGCAATCAAAAAGATCAGACACAGGGCAGATAAACTAGAGGGTCTTTTAAGTGAAGTTCTTTCGTTAGCAAGACTCAACCATCAATACATTGTTAGATACTATGGATGTTGGGTTGAGGAAGATCTTGACCAGGATACTGCCATCGATGACGACGATGATAGTCTCGATAGAGGTACAGAAAGCAGTTCGTTGTTTACTGACGATGTAAATGTCAGGTCATCTTCGTTCTTGAGTCGAGAGAATTCCTTTCAGGTTGACTACTTCACCAATTCTCTTGACCCGCTGTTGGAGTACAATGATGATGACTTTGATGATAGAATTGTGTTTGCTAATAGCTCAGACGAGGAAGAAAGATCAGATAATGACAACGCTGTTGAAGATACTTCAGGCGAAGAGAGCGATTCTACGGTCGACGAGTTATCTGTACAGAAACCACCACCTTCAAAGCCAACTCCATCAAAGGCCCAACCAAAGTCTATCCTTTACATTCAAATGGAGTTCTGTGAGAATAATACCCTTCTGGATATCATTGAACGTGGTCTTCCTGCAAATCCAAATGAATACTGGCGTCTTTTTAGACAGATTCTTGAGGCAGTTTCCTACATTCACAGCTCAGGGTTCATTCACAGAGACTTGAAGCCCACAAATATCTTTATTGATAAATCCAACAACGTCAAAGTTGGTGACTTCGGACTTGCAAAGAATTCGAGATTGTATTCCATGATCCTGGACAACAACCAAGTTGCACAAACTAGCAATAAGGATCTTTCTACAGTTGTTGGTACGTTCTTCTACACCGCCAACGAAGTTGCTTCTGGAGACTATAACGAAAAAGTCGATATGTATTCGTTGGGTGTCATCTTCTTCGAGATGTGCTATAAACTTGGTACCGGTATGGAAAGAGCCATGGCGTTGAACAACCTTAGGCTTGAGAACGTCCAGTTCCCATCCAACTTCCACGGAGGTAATCGTTCCACTGAGCGAACTATTGTTCGTCAGCTCTTGGATCATGACCCTAACAAACGTCCAGGTGCAGCCAAACTTCTACAAAGTGGTTTATTGCCCGTTGAGCATCAAGATGAAGTTATTAAGGAAGCATTGAAGTCTTTGGCTGATCCAGCGTCTCCATGGCAACAGCAAGTTAGAGAAACACTTTTCAATCAACCATACCTGTTGGCAAGAGACATGATGTTTGATAAGCTTGGAAAGAGCTCTCATAGTAAGGCTTTGGACCATTCGGAGAACGACTACCTTGTCTTTAACGCTACACTTGACGAGTTATTCAGAATTTTCCGTAACCACGGAGCCATTAGAGATTTTGATGGAAGTTACCTTCTCCCAAAACTGTCGGTCGATACAAAAGATCAAGTTTATGAGATTCTCGATAGAAGTGGATCTGTACTTACACTTGCCTACGATCTTTTATTGCCTATGGCAAGATTCTTAAGCAGAAATGATCTCGCCATTACAAAGCTTTGCAGACATGAGTTTGTTTACAGACCGAACGTTCGTGGTATCGGTGTTCCTGATAAGTATAGTGCAGTCGCTTTTGATGTTTTCAGTCAAGACAAGCGGACTCTTACAACCGATTCGGCTGAGTGTGTCAAGGTCGTGGACGAAATCCTCGACAGCTTCCCTTGTTTCAAAACGAAGAACGCCCAAACCATCATTTTAATCAACCACTCGAATATCCTTAATGCTTGTCTTGATTTTGCTTTTGGTGGTACAAACACCCCTACTCGTGCAAGACGGAACGAAATCATGGGAGTTCTCTCTTCGCTATTAGTGGAAAGAGGATCAGAAGATGTCAAGACGTACCTCAGAAACGAATTCAAGATTCAGCACACCGTAGTTAAAGACCTTATTGATCATTTCGACTTCACAGTGGAACCCGAGACAGCTCGAAAGAAGTTACGGAAAGTCTTTATGGACTCTCCAATGCTCAATAAAGTTGAAAGAGCAATGCAAGAGGTATTGGATATCTTGGCGGTGTTGAAGAGGTTTGGTGTCAAGACATCAGTGATGCTTTGCCCTTTGAGTAACTACAATGCCAGATACTTTGAAGGCGGTATAATGTTCCAGGCTATTCACAGAATCGATAAGCTGAGAAAGTTCTCGAGAGTAATTACTGGTGGAAGGTACGATAGGTTGATTGACTCAATGCTGAGTGAAGGAATAGCTACTGCTAGAACTGCCCATGCGGTTGGTTTCCAGTTGACATCGACTCTTTTATTCTTGTTGATGAAGAATTCATTAAAACGAAGTAAGGCATCTGCTGCGGTGGGTAAATCCAGGTTAAGATGGAGAAAGGCTCGTTGTGATGTCTTGATTACATCCTCCCAGGAAGCCATAATGAAGGATTCAGGCTATTCCCTTCTTCGCCTTCTTTGGTCTCATGACATAAGCTGTGATCTGTTTACTAGCTCTTTCCAGGATGAGATCTTGCAGAAGGCTACCGATGATGGATGTAACTGGATTGTTGTTTTGAAACAATCACATCTGAATAAGAAGACCAAGAAATCTCAATTCAAGCCGATCAGAGTGAAGAACTTGACTGACAAGAAAGACCATGATTTGGATTACGACGAACTCTTAGACTTCTTGCAAAACGAAATCGAAGAGAGAAGAAGTGAAATCTTCAACACTGAATCGTCAAAGCCACAAAGCGAACCTCAAGACGAACAAGGGTCTTCTAGAGTTGGACAGCCACTTTTCAGTATTGATCTTGACCAGAAAGTCAATATTGTTCCTAATGATGCCCCCAGAGGAAGAAAAAATAACAAGAGAGAGAAATGGGAGTTGGATAACGATGCCAAAGTTGCAGCAGCATCTATGATGAAGGATTTAGCAGATGCCTCTATCATTACAGTGGAATCCAACGATACGACTTTGGACATGATTCTGTCTACATCTTTGCTGCTCCCGTTTGAAGAATGGTTCAAAAAGCTTTTCTTCACCAACAAAAGTTTACCCAAGAACTACGCCAGCAACATTTACGATTGCTTGTGGAAGGATAGAGCTAAAGGTGTGCAATGGGCGGTGTTGTATAACCCCAAGAGCGACAAGACAACCATTGTTGATTTACAACGTTAATATCACATTTATCCCATACCATTATTATATAGAAATGCTTACGCCGAATTCCTTCTTCTGAGGTAATTAGTTTTCCATGACCAGTACTCTTCGAGTCGAAGACCACTGTATTCAGCATAGTTGAAGTCGATAGTGGAGAGTTCACTCTGGATCATGGACCAAATACCCCAATAGAATCCTGGCATACCGTAGTAATATGCTATTTCGTTTATAAGGCCATTAATCTCCTCTTCGGAGGCATCGGCATTGTTAAGGTAACCCTTACACCATTTGACAAGAACAGGGTTCTCTGGCGTAGGTTCAGGAATGGCAGAACGATCACAGTCGAAACCTTGCCATTCAGCAAAGTGGTTGGCAATATCGAAAGCACGAGGAGCAGGAAGCATATACTCGTAATCGATGAACTGGATTGGATTCTCCAGCAAGGGGCCAAGATCGAATTCAGACGAGGCTTTGAGCTTGTCTTCGAACTCGGCTGTGCTTGGAATGATGATGTTTCCAGAAAGCAAATCGCAATGGGAAACAACAACAGGCGACTTGGTGGAGTTGCTTAGCGTTGACTTCATCCATCTGAACTCTCTGTGGATGACGTCACGCACATTATCAATATTCACATCCTGGTCAGGTAAGTTATCTTTAAAGATCTTAACGAGAGCGTCGTTGGCTGGGACCACCAGGATCCAGTCGTCAATGAGATCCCAGATGTTCAAGATGGCCTTCTTGATGCTTTTCTCACGTTTTTGTTTGGAGTTAACGGGCGTAATTGGGCGAAGAGCAGGCAGAAGCTGGTTCTTGATGCGAGCGGTGTATTTTCGTAGTTTTTCAATGCCATCTTCGATATTATCACAGTCCACCTTGCTGTGCCAGTTGCCAAGCTGCTGAGCGATCAACGGATACAAGTAAGGGTTTGCAAGCTCCTTGGGGTCTAAAGAGCGACCTTCCAAGAAGCCATAGATAAGACCGTTGGCAAACCTGGCATGGACAGGCGGAGCCAAATGCAAAGAATTAAGAACCAAGTGAGACACAAACTCACGATGACGGTCAATGATTAAGTTGGTGCCCTGACCGTAGACACGCATAAGGAGGGTTTCCTGGGAAGGCTCGTGAGTACACGACAAGAGCATGTTGGTGATACCACCTGTCAACCGCTTGATAAAGATAGCATCGTCAGCGGACCATGACGGGAAGATTTTCGCCAAGAGCAGCCTTATCTGCGTGTAATCACTGTCTAGGTTATTACGAATATCAACGGAAAACTGGGGGAGGTACACTGCATGGGTCTTGTAGTCGTCAAGTAAAGACTCTAGATTCTGGGGCACCTCGTCGTCGTTATCTGGCACCGGCGTTTCGATATTAAGCTGGAGCGTCGGCCTTGCATTCCCATTCTTATGAAGGTCGTCGCCATCGTTAAACGACGGTAACAGCACTGGAATCTTGGGCCGAGGAAGCACAATAGCAGGAGACAGGTGCTCGTCGTCAGAAGACAGCGCATTGGAGTTTCTGCGGTCTGAAGTATTGCAGTTCTCCGACTCGAGGTCCGAAAGCGAAGGATTGTTCAACGTAAAGAGCAAGTTTCGGCTCTTGATGTTCAAGGCCGCCGGGCTCAAGGAATTCTGGGGAACAGGCGTGTCTTTATGAAGGTCGACTTCTGGATTTCTGGCCAATTTCTCTGGCTCCTTCGAACTGAACGCGTCAACCGACACACAGTGGACAGCTCCACCGGAGAGAATGCAATACACCGGAGTAGCCATTAAAGGAAACTGGGAGCAGAAGGAGTAGTAGTGGTGGTAGTGAAAAAAAAAAAAATGTGGTTCAACTGAAGAAATAAGTGAGGTTGGAGCGAGAAAAATACCTGCTTTTTAGGTGTAGATGCAGAACCACCGCACCAGTTCTCGAGGCTCGGATAGCGCTTAAGAGGAAACGGCGGGGAAGCTAGTGGAAGATAACGAAAGGGGGGGACAACATTCAGGGAGAGTTAAAATAAGGGGTACACCGGGAGAAAGGAAAAATGTGGGATTTTTAGGCTTTTTTGGCGGTGAATGTAGGTAGATGGAGTAAGTTTGGATGGTCATGAGCTGTGGGAAAGGTTTTCCCATTTTGCAGCATTTTATCGGGGAACCCGGTTCAGCCGCGCCTTGATAAGAATGGTTGCAAAACATGTGAGTTGTCAGAACAATAAGGAGGACAAAAGCCCCAGAGGGTTGGTGTTGGGATGTGGAGGGAGAAAGGCAGCAGAAGGAGGCATCCCGAGGGCCAGAAAGCAAAGCAGACACAGGTAAACAGGGAAGAAAGAATATGAATGGTTTATTCGGTGATTTAGAACCGCAGCAGATGCCAAGTAACTGAGGGCTTGGGGATGAGTGTTCAGGGGGTGTAGAGGGTCCCCAGGGTCCCCAGAAGGCGAGTTCATGGCATTTCAACAGTTGGAAAATACATCTCGACTGGGGGCAGTCGAGTAAGCGAAGGTTGGGGCTGCCCCTAGACAACCAGTGTCAGCACCTCTAGAGCTTAAACAGGGCTGTACTGGTGGGAGTCGGCCTCCTCGTCAATAATAACCCTAGGCTCGTAGCTCTTCTCGTGGTTGATCAAGGGGAAGAGTCTCAAGTACAGCCACACAGCGATCAAGATACCGAGAATCAGACCCACCGTTATGTCGATAAAATGGTGTCTGTAGTCCTCGGTTCTGCTCAAAGCAATAAGCAGAGCTCCCACGGTGGGCACAGCAGCAACAGCCCATCTCCAAGCGCCTGAGTATGGTCTCGTCACAGCAAGCTGGCCTGCAATCCAAAGACTGAGGAAAAGAAGCCCTGCAAACGAGATACTCAGGTGGCCCGACGGCGTCGTTCTGAACCCGTCCAAAAGCCTGCCGACGTCTTTCGTCGTACACACGTCCTTAGCAAACACAAGCACTCCCTTGGGAGTATCTGGCTTGGGCACACAGCGAGCCAAAAAGTCTGGTCTGTGTCTTCCAAACGCATTCTTCAAGATATCAGTAATCACGCTAGCGCTAAACACCGAAAGCAAAAGCCCAAGAATAGACACATACGTCACGTACACCTTATGCTGAGGTTTCGTGATGATGATGGAAATGACGCCAATGGCAGCCACAGGCACCACCGAAGCATAGAAGAAAAGCTCACCGGCAGTGACTCTCTCGTGTTCAGCGAAAGGATGAGAAATCGTCAAGTCGTCCACGTAAAACTGTCTTTGGAACGGTTCAATGCGGTACACTATAGGGTATAACACAAAGAGCAATATCAACGCTATCAAGTCCGAGCCTCTCCAGCGAAGAAACGCCAGACCACCACGAACGCGGTCCACGCCGAGTGTAGACCTATTTATGGTGTCGTCTTTATGGAAGTAGTTTATGAAGTTATAGAGTTTGTCCATGGTAGAAAGAACGTGGGTGGAAAAGGTCAGGTAAAATTGAGGTTATACAGAGTGCGCGGCCCCCAAGGTGTACTTATATAGTGTTCTGGTTTGGAGACCCACGCCAAGGATATATATTTTATAAGATATTTTATATTTTATGAAGAGTAAGATTAAGGTGGTTTTGAGTATTTATTGAGTTTGGTTATTGGAATTTTGAAAAAAATGATGTTTGTTGGGGATGGTTGGTTGGTTGGTTTGGTGAGCCACTGCCTGAAACTGCCACACTTGGATGCGCTGAGCTGCTTATATTTGTGGGGAGGAAGGGAGGAAGGGAGGCCTAGGGAGGGTGTGAATTTGGAGATATGGGTAAAGGAAAGACTCATTTAATTGGGAGATACTTGATAGTTAAGTGGTGGTTGGAGGTTTGGTGGATATAATATGGAAGGTAGATGGCTTTGGCTGTCTCAGTTGGAGGTTGCATTACCATACACGAAGAGGGCTACGTTTTATTCCGATTTGGTACTTTTAGTGTCTATTTGTGTCCTATTGGCTCCTTGAAGAACTATTATGGCTGCTTCATGTGTTTCCTGGTTCCTCGACGGTGCCTGGTTGGGGACCCTGTCTTTCTGTGGTACCATTGAAAGTAGCAAGCAGATTGGCTGGAATATACCTCGTTTTTTAAAAAAAAAAAAAAAATCAAAGATGAAAAATAGAGGGACTTTTTTTGGCTGAAGAACTAAGCTTGGTGTTTCTGAATTGTAGTTGTCAATATGAATTAGTATGTCTAGATACTGATGTATTGGAATGGAGGAAGTGGGTACTCTTGAATAAGGGAACACGTCTATTGGCCAATGCTTGTTCGAAGTAGCACTTTAACCTAGTAAATAGCAACAAGAAAAGACTTGAAAAAGGGGAACTCTTTCGGACTTCCCCTAGCGTCTATATAGTTGCACTGGAAGAACCACTAGCTAGCCAGAGGTATAACCATTAATGTATATGTAATCACTCTAAAAGTAAGCAAATGCCTTTGAAAACCTGAGACCAAGCTATTCATTGAAATACAATTTCCTTAAGAATTATTTCTTGTATACCTCCCTAATCATGGTATGTCCACTTCTACCACTCAATTGGTCCAGCAACGCCCCATCCAATAATGTCTGCCCAAAGACCTCCCAACTAAGTCCAAAACCACCCTCCAAAAAACCTCCACCATTCAAACCACCCAACTACAAAGCCCACCAGCCCATTCCCTAAGCCAACTCAGACCACCCACTAAGAAAGATCTGGCCCATTATGGACTTCCTCGTCTAGTCATGTATTCGCAGCCATTATTGGCTCCACCAGGCAACGCCATTCCGGCCACCATCAAAGAAATGATCAATCTGAACATACAGATATAATCTCCAGCCTCCACTAACTCCCCTATCTCCTTTAAATCCACTTAAACCCAAAAAAGTCGGGTTCTTCGTGTCATTCTGTCTATCCATTATGGTCCAACCTGCATACACCGCCCTATCTATATCTACCAACCCAGGAACTACATTCTTGATCTCGTTCTCCACCTACCAATAACAAACACTGCTGACCTGCCATAATGAGTTCTGGATTTGGGTCGGATGACCTCTTTGAAAATGGATGGGCCTCTTCTGAGCCCACGCGTCAAGATCACGGGTTTGGTTCTACTGCTTATGGAGGCTCCACTTACTTAACTTCGTCTCAGTTGCTTGGAACTGATAGCTCTACTGCTTCGCCTGCTGCCGACATTGACTTGTCAGATAAGATTCCTGAGTCGTATAGGGAGATATGGGCTCATTTGCAGCCGAAATTGCGGTCGGTTAACGACTTGGAGTCGGAGATATTCCTTCCGTTGGTGAATGAACAGCACCTTTCCGATTACCAGACATCAAGGATCATTGACGTCTTGTATGACCATAGTTTGTTGCCTCCTTCGAAAGAGTCTAATTTCTTCCAGTTGTTGGGCCTCGTGGCTTTGGAATTGGACCTTGCTGGTACTGGCGATTACGTCACTCTTCAGTTTAAACTCAATTCGGGTCTTCCTGACTTTACACCCGAGGTGACGGATTTGCTTCTTGGCAAAGCTCCTCCACTGCAACAAAGCTCCGGAAAGAAACCTGGCGTGCTGGTGCCTGCCGAATCCGATCCGTTGTCTTCCCACTTGGCTTCCACGTCGCTTGACCAGAATACGGAGAATATGCTTGCAGACCATTCCAATATCCTGATTGACCCAGATACAACAGCACCAGAGGTATCGCATGTGAATGATTTCCCATTTATCACAAAATATGTCACGGATCTTCGGGATAAGTTCAAGCCATTGATTGGCGCTGGCGACTCGGTCAGTATCAAAGAAGTCCCTGAGAAAGAGGGTCTTGTTTTTAAGCATATCAACTATTCCATCACCCACAGCTTGAAGCTCGGCATGCACAGCCCTGCTGGCCAAAAAAGAGTTACCAGAAGATACTCAGATTTTGCATGGCTCCTTGAATTCCTTTTGAAAAAATACCCCTTCCGTGTGATTCCGGGCCTTCCGCCCAAAAAGTTTACCGGTACGTAATTTCCTGTGGTTTTCCTAACCCAATCATTTACTAACCATTCTAGTAGGCGCCTCACCCGATTCTCAATTCTTACAAAGAAGGCGCCGAGGCTTGCATCGCTTCTTGAACCAGCTCGTAAAGCATCCTGTCTTGGTTCAAGAGCCCATGGTAATCACGTTCCTTAGTGTCCCTACTGACTTAGCCTCTTGGAGAAAACAAGCTCGTGTGGACTATTCTCTTGAGTTCAAGGGCCAGAAGATTGAAACCGAGTTTGTTAACTCCATTTGGCCTACCATTAGTGAAGAGTTCCTCAATAGCTGGAAGACTGCTGAAGCAAACATGCCCAGGATAATCGAAACTTGGACTAAGATGGTTCTTCTTGTTGAGAGATACGAAAAGAGACAACAACAGATTGCATTTGATAACGGAAAGTTTGTTGAAATGATAAATCGCTTCACCGAGCTTGACCATGTCATTTACCCACACAGGGATCCTGAAAACAAGGTCCTCAACACCCTCAACAAGGACGATACGACTTCCATCAACGACTCTTTGAGTTCAATCTCGGCATTCTTCAACAAGTCTTCTACATATTTGATTGACGAGAGCTACCTCATCAACACGACGGTTTTGGAGAAGTTCAAGAACTTCTTGGACTACTTATATTCTTTACAAGAACTATTTGACAGAGCAAAGAAACAGTCCGTCAACTCGATCCCACAGCTTCAAAGAAAGATCGAGGAGAGTCAAGCCAAGTTCGACAGACTCAATGAAAACGGTACTGACATGAAGGGAAGCGATATCGCTAAGCTCAAGCAAGCTATTATCAATGACAAGCAGGAAATGTTCCAGCAGCTCAACAAAGACTGGCTTATCAAGAGCTGTTGCTTCCATGAGTTTGCCATGTTCCAAGAGACGCAGTTTCTCATCTCGGAAGCCTGGGCAGATTGGTGCAAGGGACGCTTTAAGTTCCAAGACAAGTTCACCAATCTCTATGACAGTTTGATCAACGAGGTTGTACCAGATATGCCTCTTGGGCATTAAGCAGGACGTACGAAGGCTTCCCACTTTTCTACGAGAGCATGGGAGTCCTGATTAAGGGAAGCATCAAAATGGTCCTTACTAAGCACCGAGCCAACATTCAACTCCTTCTTGGCCTGGTCAAACTCTGGTTTCCCGTGAAGAAGAGCAAGTACACGGCCAACTCGGCACCCTAATGCAGCACCGTGTGGGAACCCTTCGTCGAAGCCCTTTTGCAAACCGGCTTCTTGTGCTTGAGTGATGCCATCTATGTAACCTTGAGTCACATGAGCTCTCTGCAAATCAGCGTAGGTATCTATTTCGTCGTCGCTGGCCCAGATATCGTCATCATCAGCGGCATGCGGTGGTTTTTTCGATGCCAGCGTCAAGTTCTTGGGGACTTTGCATTCGCCAGTACAAGACATGTAGAAGAAGATGAAGTGGGGGAAGAGAGACACTAAAAGTTGCACACGAGGCGATGTACAGGACAATCCCAGGGCACTAGAGAGCAAAGAAGATGGAAATGGAGAAAATGAAGGTAAATGGGTGAAATTCGATTTTGTGATGAATCAACGTCTGGGCATGTTCCACCTTCAAGCAACGTATATTAATGCCGTTTTTGTCATCCTAATGGTCTCGGCGATTGGACTCCGGGCCCGAACGCGGTATGGGAGAACGCCCGTACACCTCACCCGGCGATTTTTCCACTGAAATAACCGTGAATTATCGATAAAGGAGAGAAAATAAATCGATCAAGAAACTTTGCCAAAACAGCGTTTGACCTTTTTTTTTTTTTATCTTACTTTCCCTTCCACCCCAACTCGAATTACCTACTGGTATTGGACAGTGCGAAATCAAGGTTCGTGGACTGCACACAGTGCCCCAAGCTGGCGCCTTTCGAAACTGAGATTATCTTTGACTATCTTGCTCATACTACTCATTTGCCCAAAGTACAAATTCATCAAATACACCCTAATTGTGGCCACGAAAGGTGTTATCCAGCAAAGTCTAACCAAGCATACTTCCAATTTGGTGTTTTCTGCACAATCGTTATTCTCCAATAAGTCATAAGAACACAACGGTGCTGGGAACCTTGTGTGTTTCGTTTTCCCCCATTTTTTTTTTTTTTTCCTCCACGCATTTGTGACTCTTCCAAGAGAACAAATCATTGATTCATTTCATCGATTAAACCAGCTTATCACTTATCATGGCGGATAATATCATCACCCAAGTTAGCCAGGACTCGACTGCATCCGTCCCTATGGTCGACGAGAGTAATGGCAACATTGACTACAACTCCAAGATACATCTTAATATCCGTGGCAAGGCATTCGAAATCACCAGAGACGAGCTTATGAGCTTGCCAGAGAGCATATTATTGAGTCTTTTCCCGAATGGTGTGTTTTTGGATATGAATGGTCAAGTTATCACCAACTTGACGGAGGACGACGTAGTGTTTGTCAACTTCGATCCTGATTGTTTTGAATACATCTTTAACGTGTTTGGTGATGCCCAGAGAAGTTATAACGAAGGCACGTTATCTCCACAAGTTTCCGGAACAAGCCGGCTTGACTCTGCTGCGTCCATATTGCAAACGAAACCCGCCATTATCGTGTTACGTGAGGACCTAGATTACTACGTGATTCCACCAGTCGCCGGCTGCACGCATGCCGACTTTGCCCATCTTAAGTTGAAGGTGGGAGATAGCATCTTGACGAATAATTCCGTTTTTTCAGGATTAGGGTATAATCCCGAGTTGCCTCCAGCAATTAACCAGACCCTCGGCCCAGCCGAGCAGCACTTATTCGAGATGTTATGCTCGTCCGGATTTGATAGAACAGAGCTCTGGGGAAGCCGCTCAATGGAACCACACAAGTGTGTTCTCTCGTCATTGCTGTTGGTGCGTCTTGTCACACAACCACCTACCCCACCACAGCTGCCGCTGTTACAACCCGTACAATCCAATGCATCCACCCGGTCGAGATCTAGGTCTCGAATCGCAACGTTGGCCTCCAGCGCCAGCAGAGCTGCATCTCGTTCCTTATCGCGGGCCAGAAAGAACAACGATACGAATTACACAAAGCTCTTATTGTTTTGGAGAAAACCAGCAAGAAAGTGTTGGTGGGCAAACAGTGAGGTGACAGTACCCACTGCGGGTAGTGACACGCTCACCAAGCTAGGGTCCGAGGTGACCGTGAAGGTACACACTCGAAGGGTGTGGACATTGGAGCTTTCTGTGGTAGGCGTTCAATAAGTCAGGAAAAGAAAGAAAAAAAATCACCAGCATATCATAGAGCGCCGTCTGCATCAATCAGCAAAGGAATTTCATCCAATTGGCGGAATCAACAGCCCAAATAGAAGTCATAGCACGCAAACCGGGAGCCAGCTCATCCGTCAGCAATAATTTAATTCTCAACTAAATAATTCAATATTTGAAATCGCTTCGTGTTGGTGTAGGAGATCTCTGGTGGGTAACTAGTAGGTTGGTTAAGGGAAGTGTAGAGATGATAGTATGGTTGGACGCCAGCCAGTTTTGAACGTATTTTCAACAAACCTTCCATTTCATAGACATCTTTGGATGTTTCTCATGAAGGCTTTCGCGTCATTGAAGAATAAAAGCTTTTGATTGAGAATTCTTTGTTTTCCTGGAGTATGGGTATATTCTTGGATACTGCTAATAAAGGGCACATAAAGAGATATATCAAAAACACATTCAACCCACAAAAATCAGCCCAATAGAAATCACCATTTATAAGGACAAGTAAAGCAAGCAAAGTACCCTGACATTTGTCTAAGGAGGTTAGTGAACCAGTTGTTTGCCTTACAGTCTCATATGTCTAGATACTCATTAATACCAGTACGCAGACTACCCAAGACACCAATTTCACACTATTTTCTTCCACCCAAGTCATCACCTCCATTCCACCACTCGAATATATATTTGACTTATTTTTCGTTTCATCCAATTACGTATGTTAACTTACATACCATCTAGCTCATCTTCGTCCTTCCAGTTACTGCTTAACAGACCATCCATCAGTCAACGCATCCACCCAAATTCACCTATCATAAAACACGAAAGCAAAGAAATCCTAAATCCCAAATTACTTAATCCAACATCTATTTTTTCTTTTTTTTTTTTTCTTTTTTGTTCTCCTTCCTCTTCTTCTTCCTTCCTCTCTTCTTCAGTTATCTCTCTTCACTGGCAATTTTGCACCCACTCGCGAAAACGCGTACTTCTTCAATTTCCAACTACCACATCCACCAAAACTATGGCTACTTACGAAGAAGAACGAATCGGGCACACGCCGTGGGTTGAAAAATATAGACCTAAAAAGTTGGACGACGTGGCGTCCCAAAGCCATGCAGTGAAAGTTTTAAAGAAAACGTTGGAGCTGGCCAACTTACCTCATATGCTCTTTTATGGGCCTCCAGGAACAGGTAAAACGTCTACGATGCTTGCGTTGGCGAAACAGTTGTACGGGCCCAGGTTGTATAAGCTGAGAGTTTTGGAGCTCAATGCTTCGGATGAACGTGGTATTTCGATTGTGAGACAAAAGATCAAGAACTTTGCTAGGTTGACGGTTTCCAACCCGTCTGCGGACGACTTGAGGGACTATCCGTGTCCACCGTATAAGATTATCATTTTGGATGAAGCAGACTCGATGACGAACGATGCCCAGTCGGCGTTGAGAAGAACCATGGAGAACTACTCGCTGGTGACGCGGTTTTGTCTTATTTGTAACTATATCACCAGGATCATTGATCCATTGGCATCGAGATGCTCCAAGTTCCGTTTCCGTTCGTTGGATAACGAGAACGCGTTGCAGAGGTTGCAGTATATTGTCAACGAGGAGAACGTGCCGTTGAGCGGAGAGTCCGTGCTTGAAGAGATTATCAATGTGTCTGGAGGTGATTTACGTAAAGCCATCACATACCTACAATCGGCAGCTCGACTTTCGGCGTCTTTGGATAATAAGGAACCTATTACGGGGGCTAGAATAAGGGAAATCGCTGGTGTCATTGATGAGCAGCTTATTGAGAAGATCATCCTGGCAATCCGTACGAAGGACCATCGTACCATTGCTGCTCAGATTGAAGAGGTTGTATTTGAAGGATGGAGCGCCCAACAAGTGGCCGACCAATTGCACGATAAATTGGTCATAGACGATAACTTATCGTCACAGGAGAAAAATAACATTGCTCGTGTTTTGTTCGAATCAGATAGACGCTTGAATCACGGCACGGAAGAGCACATCCAGCTCTTGAATTTGGCTCTACAGATTAGCCAGGTTTTGCATTAATACACGGATGAGGAGAAACAGTGTAGTTCATTTATTCACGTAGCACTACTGTTTAGGTTGTGGCTGCTGTGGTTGTTGTGGTTGTTGTTGCTGCTGCTGCTGCTGCTGTTGCTGATGAGGTGGTGGTGGAGGCATACCTGGTCCCATGCCTGGAGGGAACCCAAAGAAGCCTGGTGGAGGCATCTGGCCACGTGGAATACCTTGTTGGTTTGGTTGTCCGTCCTGTGACTGGCCAGGTCTTCCTTGCATGCCGGGATAGCCCTGTGGAGGCATGCCTTGTGGAGGAGCCATTCCAGGAGGAAACATGCCTGGTGGTGGAGGTCCTTGGAATTGGTACATGTGCTGAGGGTGTTGAGGTCCACCTGGGAAGCCTGGTGGTGGGCCCATACCTGGGTTAGTCATCCAAGGAGGAATACCTTGTGGACCACCTGGACCGCCTGGACCGCCTGGGCCTGTTGGGGCTCCCTGGCCAGGAATGACAGGACTAGGCTTACCCTCTGGCTTGGATCCACGTTGCTGTGGTTGAGAAGCTTGGCGTGGTTTATCTTCCTTAGGGATTCCTGGAGAGCCAGCGCTTTGGTCTTGCTCCCTCTTGTTCAATAAGGAGAGGAAGAAGGAATCTTGGTTCTTGCTGTCACCACCCAAGTTCATTGGCCCAAGGCCTGGAGGACCTCCGGAGAGCGGGATCCCCTGGCCAGCCATTGGGGATAGCCCTTGAGGAGGTAATGGCGGTTGCTGATGGCTTTGAAGACTTGCTGGTTCTTTCTTGGGGGTCAAATTCTGTTGAGCAGGAGAACCATGAGCCAATCCAAAGAAACGCAGGCCCGAGGCTTCAGCTGGTCTTCCTGCTGGTGCTCTTGATGTGAGACCTGGTGGTGGGCCAGAGCGTTTTGGAGACTCTTCAGGACCAGGGCCCCCAAAGAAGGAAGAGAAACGGGAGCTTTTACCTTCGGAACTAGCGGCAGTGGCGGCTTCTGGAGCTGGACCGCTTGACTTAGGATTGACGAAGGAAAAGAAATTGTCAACTTCATTGCCCTTTGGTGCTTCTGGTTCAGAAGGCGTTTCAACCTCACCATACTGTTTGCGTTCGTTGTCACGCATACGTTGCTTCCAACGTTCGAAATCTTCAACGGTGGATCCCATATCCATCTGCAAGTCGGATCCACCAGGATTGTCCCATTCGGGAGCACCTTCTTCAGGGTTTTCACCCAACAATTGCGAGATCTTTTCGGCAGACATTCTATCGAGTTCTGAACTCTTAGCAAACCCAGTAGGTTTACGTTCCCATCTGCCTGAAGAGTCGCCTTGCTGGTTCTGGTTCTGGTTTCTGCGGTCTCTTCTTCTACCGGCACCGTTCTTCTCGTTCGTGGTCTTTGGAGGTCTCGTTGGTCTAATAACCCAGAAAGCATTATCTGGAAGCACAGACGTATCAAAGTTAGCGATTTCCGGTTCTGATCGTAACGTAAGCAACTCTTCAATCGAGTACATGTATGCTTTAGACGATGGAAGCGGTTTAAAGTCCAGCATCGACGAGCGGCGAGGAGATGCAAGCAGAGTAGACGATTTGGCAGTCTCAGGCTCAGGCGTCAGCTCCTTTGCAGCATTGGCCATTGCACTATCAAGCAACTTCGACAAGGCACTGCCAGGTTCTAGCGAGCCTGAAGTGGAAGTTGCACCGTTGGAAGCGCTAGCACCTCTTGAGCTCAGCGAGTTTTCTTGAGCTGTCGAGTACAGCGTCAGCGTCGACGACGTGCCAGTCTTTGCACTGGACTTTGAAGATTCTGACATCGATATGATTGACGAATCAATGATGGCTGGATCGTTTTGCGACATTATATGTTCAGTTGGAGGCCAAGAAGGGGATGATAAAAAAGTGATATGTACCTGGAGCTTAATTAAGGAGGATTATTAGAATGCTAAGAAGTGAATGTAGACGATCGTATAAGTAATAGATGGAGCCCAAGGCTCAATGGAAAGATCAATTGGGTGGTTTGGTGAAAAGGTGGGTTATGTGGATGAGTGATAATAAGGATGGATTGTTCGCTTAGTCGAGCTTTAGGGTCGTGCCGAGACCATAACGGGTGGGCCCAGCAAGCCTGCCATGGGAAAGAAGTAGAAGAAGTGGTGGAAAAAAAAGTTGGTTTATTAAGAGTAGGTTGATTAGAGAGGTGCTTGTTTTTACTGGTTGTTGGTGGTTTTTCTGTTTTTGATGGATTTTGGGAACAGTGGTTGGGACTTGCAGAGGTGAGACACTCAGTAGAGTGAAACCACACTGATACATGAAAAATAGTGGATCCAATGAAAATTCCTGAATTGAAGAATTTAAATAAAAGAGGTCTTTGTGAGATCTCTTCTTTCATCTTCACTTTCACTTGCATTGGCCATTAATGGCATTTTTCTGGGACTATGGATCCACACAATGCACAGATTCGTCTAAAGTCTTCACAATGCCACCAACTGACGTGATACCAAACTTCTACTATCTCTCTCCAAATCAACTTTTATTATCCATATTTAATTGTTGCCCTTCAAAAGGTTAGACAAGACGTTGGAGCCAGCGCCAGCGCCAGCCTTGCTAGTGGTAGCGGCACCTGGAGCTTCTGGAGCAGCACTGCCAATACCTGGGATCTCGCTCACAGCAGCACTTGGAGCAGCAGTGGTGGTTGGGGTGCCAGTCTTGGTGATATCAATACCAGTCTTGGCTGGAGCACTGCCAGCAGGGGCAGAGCCAGTTGGAGCAGAACCGCCAGCACCAGAAGATGGAGAGTCCTTGTTGAAGTAGTTAGACAAGAACTTCTTGAACAAGTTGAAAATCTTGGAGATAAACTCCTTCTGGCCTTCGGTGATTTCAAATCTCTTGTGCAAATCCTCCTCAGAAGCACCGTTCATCAACTCACGAACAACGTTTTCAACAAAGTCGTTGTCGAGAGCGTCCAACTCTCTCTTGGAAAGAGCAAGACCGCCAGCCATCTCATCGACTGGAGCAGCGCCAACAAAGGCAGAGGAGGTCAAAAAGGCAAGGGTAGCGACAGATGTGAATTTCATGGTGGAACGATGGGTATAAGATATAGAGGTGATGGATAAGAAGAAACTGGAGGGAAGAGCAGCCCTCTTTATATACTTTTCGTTGGGTATAGCAAGGTCTGGCCCTCGAGCTCAGCCTGGTGCCTTTTCCTTGAGTATACTATGGCTGCAAAAAAGAAACAGAGTAGTATGCTGCAACCCCAGATGCTCTTTACCCAAGTAGGTAATTCGCAACCCTACCATCTCCTGTGTCGGCCTTTGACAGGCGTGCTAGTGCATACACAAGGCTGCCAAGTTACCAATCAGGGAAGGTTAGAGAAACTCGGGAAGCCCCAGAACAAAGGTGGAAAGGGGGTGGGAGGCTTCCATTCCACGGGGAGCTGCAAATCATGAACAGCCTGATCTGGAATGTGTCAGTATCATTGGATGGGTTTGCTGGGGGATCTGCCCAGCCGCATGCATCGGCATTTGAAAAAAAGTTGACAGCTTCGAGAAGGCACTTGATAACGAAGGGGTTGTAAGGGGAGAGTATGGATGATGAGTAGTTGGCGGGTCACAGGGCGTGGAAAGCCGTTTTTTTTCTGTTTCCCCACTGTGGTTTTACGAGAACATGTACTCCAGGTCCAGAGGCAGTGAGGCGGCTAAAAAACGTTGATTGTACTTATCTTTTGCAGCCATTATTGCTAAATGGCGGTTCTAGGTGCAAATGTCCGCCTCCATGTTTTCTTCCCCATCTTCTAGCTATCTGGCCATATTTGTCTCTAACAGATCTACAGACAAGAGGCTAAAAAGCCCACGACATCATTACGCATCTCGGCTGTGCAAAGGGTGGCTTCGACGGTTAATGTCGAGGAAACCTGAAAAGGGGGGTGGGGTGGCTGGAGCTTTCGACTTTGCCTAACAGAGCAGGTGGGAAGCTGTGGTGGCTTCTACAAGTAAAAAGAAAGGGTAATGAAGAACTGAAAATGCAAAACTTTTAACTAAAAACGTTAAAGCGCTCAGAAACGCCTCATGTAGATTATCATCTAGACAACAGCATGGACTTTGGCGTGGGTATCAACGAGAGCGTGAGTGTCAGCAATGTGGAATGGCTTACTGGCCTCGGCATGGGAGTTGGCGTGGGCTTCAGCTTGAACAGAGCCAGATTCACCAGTGAACTCGTCAAAGTCAAAGTCTTCAAAGTTGAAGTCGTCACCACCCAAGTCGTTGCCGCCGCTGCCTCCATTGCCGCCAGAGTTACCGCCATTTCCACCGTTGTTTCCACCGTTTCCACCAGTGTTACCGCCAGTAGGAGCTGGGAAGGAACCACCCTGGGATGGGTTGGCGCCTGGGTATGTCCAGTCAGTAGGAGCAGCATCAGTACCTGGAGCACCGCCAGCAGTAGTCTTGGAGCTTGGAGAGCCACCGTTAGTCTTGGTTGGAGAAGAACCACCAGTGTTTCCAGAAGGAAGAGGAACAGCACCAGAGGTTGGAGCAGAACCACCAGTGTTGGAGCTGGTGCTGTTGGATGGAGATGGGTCGCTGCCAGAGTCGTCACCACCAGAGCCACCGCTGTTCTGGGACTGGGCAAGAGAGATCTCCTGGGCGTCAAGGTCATAGTAGACATAGGCGTTTCTCAAGAAAGCGTCACCCAAAATGTAACGGTCCTGGTAGTCGGTGAAACCCAACATACACTTGCCTTCCTCGAACTTCATGGTAACGTCCTTGTAGGAAGCCTTAATCTTGTTCTTGCCAAAGTCAAACTCGATAAACTTGTCGGTTGGCTGGTCACAGTCAATGTAACGCTCAACAAGACCGTTGGATGGAGTGACCTTGTTTGGCTTGAAGATCTGGTCAAAGTAGTCCATGATTTCGGTTGGAAGAATACCACCAGTGGTACCCGAGTCCAAAAGCACAGGCTTACCAACATCGAAGCTCTTACCGTCGATGCTCATAGAGCCCAAGGTAATGGCCAAACCAGATCCGCCTTTATCAATAGGGTAGGTAGTCAACTCACCCTTGTACTTGGAGTCGTCCTTACCGCCAAACAAGATAGTACCCTGGTTCAGGCCACCACCGTTCAACCACAAGGAGTAGGAAGCCAGTTTAATGACACCAGCCTTCTTCAAAGCCCATGGCAAGTTGTCGTACTCAGAGCCACCGTTGCTGGTCGAAGCCTCCTGGTTTCTGTCGGCAATACCCAAAATACCGTAGCCGTTATCGTTGGACAGGGAAACCACACCAAACTGGAAGTCCTTCAACAAGTTCTCGCCGTTGAAACCAAACGAATCAGTGTAGTAGTCACCAGAAGAAGAAGTCGAGTCCAAGTACGAAATTTCAAACTTCTGGCCCGTGTTCTTGCCGCCGCTAGGGTCGTAGTGTCCACCTTCACCTTTACCGTCAGAGCCCAGACCCACAAGTCCAGGGAACCGGTGTCCAAGGAAACAGTACACTTGGAGTTACCCACATTCACGTCAATGTGGTAAATCACGTCTTGCCAGTTGGTCAAAGAGACTTCCTTGTCTCTTTTGAAATGACGCTTTTCCACGCCCTCCACCATCTTGGGCCAGAAGTCGCCAGCAGCTCTGTCTCTCTTGGTGACATCAAAAGTCAAAGACACAGCAGTGGCTTCTACTGAATCGGAACCGCTGTTCTTAGCAGAACCAGCGTTCTTCGAGCCAGAAGAACCGTTGTTGGGGATGTACAAGCCATGGGCAAGTGAGCAAGCGAGGGTAAGAAGAGTAAGGAAGGAAAGCATGTTTTGGATGATGGGGAAAAAAAGGAAAGGAAGGGAAAAGCTTGTTGTATTTATACAAAAGAAGAAGAGATCATTTCAGGTATTTCTCGGGACATACCAGGGTCCTACTGGCGGATGGAGGCTTTGTCGGAAAAAAAAAAACACATCTAGAGTTTCTAGACGTATATTGGCTGCGAAAAACGACAAGAAAAAAACAGGAGAAAATACACGCTTATTTGTGCAGATGCATGCATAATCTCAGGCAGACAGCGTCAGGAACCAGGAACCACCAGAAAGTGACAGATAGAGGTGCTGGTTATTTGAAGTATATGCTTATTTTGGGTTTCCTTTGACGCTTCTGGAAACAAGCTATTTCGTCCATTCTCTCATTCTCGTTTCTTCGCATTTTTCCGAGTCGACACGGTAAGGTGGCTTGGACGCTGGAAAAAGCCATACAGGAGACCAAAAGGGAACCATACTGAACCTTCCGGGGAGCTTTCGGATCCACCAGGTGTTTATTTGAAGATGCGGCGGGAGACTCGGCAGTGCTTCCATTTGCAGCAACCTAATGGTATTCTTTGACTTTGTTTTTTCTTGTCGTTGTTGGTTGCTGGAGTTCAGTGTGTGCCTTGGATGGGCGTTTCGCAGTGGTATTTTTCACATTGGCGGCTGTGCAAGTGGATTTTGTGGTTTCACACTTCTGGCGTGATTCATGGGGTCGGAGGGTTCCCTAAGTTCCCATTCTCTTTCTCAACGTCTTCTGTTTATTGTTATATGCGTTCGCTTTGTTGCCGCATCACATACCTTCTTCTGACGTCAGCGGTAGCCTTGTTTGGGCTACTTTCAGATCTCTTTCGGTCACGGACTACTTCACCGGCTGTTCAAGTACGGAAGGTTCAACTTCTCGATCTCCCGGCACATCATGAACCAGTCGATCTTTCGAATCACCGCTCCTCGTTCGGCCTTCTTGGCTTCTTCTTCTTCTTCCCACTTGAACAATTCATACATGAACCGTAGGTTAGGCTGGATCACAATATTCAATCTCCTAACACGCACGTACAAGTACGCTTGGGCTAAGCTGAGTCTAAGGCGCCTCATCACCTCGGCAATAACCACCGTGGCTGATCTCGACACCCCAACTCGGCAATGCACCAAGATCTTCGTATCTCCATGGCTTCGCTTGAATTCTTCATCAATAGCCTTTAACATCGACGGCAACGCATTGCTGAGCTCATCAATTCCATCATCTTGTAGATTGTTCACCTTCATCACCAGCTGTACTGAGCAACGGACCTTGCTGCGGTTGAGGCCAGCCTCCTTTGGCTCGATCGTATACTGCTCAATGTTGCCGTTGTCTAGCTCATCGATGACGATGTCATTATTGTGCTGGAATTTGTGACCATGGAGCCAATCTAGGTTCTCGCCAACGCTAATCACACACTTAATTCCTAGCCGAGACAAGAGTGCCAAACTGTTTGCATGTTTTAGCGAACCCAAATATAGATACGGAAGGATTCTCGAAGGAAACGACCCCTCCACATCTTCTACCCAATCTTTATCAAGGTACGACGAGGTGTCGTTAAGCTCCTCGTCGTCCTCTGTATCTGAGGAGTCACTGTCAGAGTCGTTTCGGATGTAGCCTAACCGAAACTTAGATGGAATGTGCCTTGCGGGTTGTGCCCTGATGGGGCCTAGAAGAACCTCGTTGAGTTCCTTGCTGGTGATCACTTCCAGCTCATTCCATTGCACTTTCTTCATAGGATTCTTTGGACTAAACTTCCGCATGAGGATTTCAAGTTTCCGCAAAATCACCACGTCACTGCTGAAGATGTAAAATGGTCTTCCGTAATTCAGGTGGACTTGAATCATGGCATCGCTCAAAGAAACGTTCTCAGCGTACATGATATAACAGAAAATGAGCAACGACAGCTCAGTATACCCGTCTGAGCAATAAATAAGGGAAGATAAACTTCCTGGTGTGGTTGAAGATGAATAAAGGTATAACAACTTGCAGGTATTGACGATACACATCAAGTTTTCTTGCTTGCAATCACCTATACCGATGGAGCCAGACGAGGGAAAGTCAAGGTGGTGGATATCGTCAACTTCTGCAGCGTTATGTGTGGTGATAGTGTACTTGAAAAGTAACTGTGAAAGCAAATCAATGTCAGGGAACTTTGCATCGTTATGACAGTGGACAAAAAGCTTCCAATGGGCTCTTGGCTTTGGTAATGACTCTCCAAAGTTTTGCGGCGTGAGCTCATCATGGAATACTGTCGAACGAGATGGCTCACAGTATGGTGGCACGCTTGGATAATCTTTGGAATCTTCTTTAATAGCTTCCGGATAATCCTCCAGACGCAATAAATGAACCATAGCTTCATGATCCCATGCGTTTCCCAGCCAAACGTTTTGATGCAACCTTGAAGCAGCAGACATGACGGTAGTTTCTAGCTTCTCCTTGAGCTGCAAATTTGAATCCCAAAGTGGGAAGTAATGGTTCTTCATATGGTTGAAACAGTGGTGGAAGAGTTCAGTCCATTTGTCATAACTGAGGATTTCTCTGGCCTTCGCTGTGGGCCGGGGAGTATAAATATCAAAAGCGTTTTCAACGGCCTCTGAAGCTTCCTGTGGCTGGAGCAAAAAGACACTGTACTTCTTGGGGTTGGTTCTCTCGTCGACAACCTGTGCAAGTCGAAGGAGTCTGGCAACACTTGCAGCCTTGGACCTACCCTCAGCTTGGGCTTTAGGAGAAGCATAAACCACAAAGTCGGCACACCGAGCCAGCTTGGCGACCTGAATGTGGAAGTTTCTCAAAGAGATGCCCCTGTCTGGATCAAGGTTAAGAAACTCAGGCATGAAACCTGTGATGAAGCAGTCGCTAGTGATCGTGGTTGCAAGTGACTCTAGGGTTTTTGCGGAGAAAGAGTCGCCGAATATCTGCAAAACAAAAGACAAGATAGTCTTCTCCACTTCCCTTCTAGAGAACTCAATTTTCTTAAGCACCTCATCCAACCCAATGGAATTATGAATGACATGTTTCTCTGGGCAAGTGTCCATGTCAGCGTCAATGGATATAAGGAATCTAGCATTTTCGGGTCTTGCAAAATGCATATTGAAGTCAATATTAGACGTAGCTTCAGCGTCTTGGGTATGTGCCATTTGCTGGAAAACGAAAAACGACCGTTGGGTAAAATTTTCAGGGTGGAGGCCGTGAAGCCATGGGAACATCTCGTTGGTAGGCGGTAGCGGTTTATTGAAATACCACTGGAAGACTGTTGAAAGCCGCGTAGGGGAGATTGTTCTAACGTCTATTTCACGAGCAGCGTTGACGGAATCCAGCACAGGCGGTAGGAAGGTGGAAAAGTATTCAGAAGCTGGGTCTAGCGGGGAAAGCAGCTCCAGGTATGAGTATATTGACGAAGGAGAGTCAGCCTCCACGTTTAGTTTCTTTGTTTTAGAACTGATACCGTAGCAGACCTCACATTCAGACTCAGTAGACTTCTCTTCGTCAATAGGATTATCAGCCGCAGCAGTGTTCATGGTATGAAACCTAGCTCTAAATCTGTCTCTTTCATGGACCAGGTCGTTGGACGCCGAAGACAGGCGTTTGCTCTTCACTCCCGAGAGACGAGGAATGCCATCTTCGAAATCGTGCCCCAACAAGCCCGGATCCGACTTGAGGCTTCCCAGCAAGACCTTCTCATCAATCGAAGGAGCAAGCGAGTACGGTTCAGAGCAATGGTCAGCCAAGCCCAGGCGGTCATTGGAGCGGTCTCTTAGTGATTCTTCATGGAGCATGGTCAACTTGTTCAACGACACCACGCGAGGCACCAGGTCATTCGTCGAGGCGGTAATAGGAGGGCTAGTAGGAGCAGGCAGCACCAGCATTGCCGAATGTTCAGTAGCAGTCATAACTTTTGGTGGTTTGTCAATGGAACATAGATAAGATAAGGAACAAACGGAATGTGGGACGTTATACAAAAAGTTGCAAGCGACGTAAAAAAACACCAGTTGAATGGCACACGCTAGCAAAAATTCGTTCAGGAAAGTCGAAGAAACCTAAAAGTTTAATGTGGCCCTTTCTTATCACTAAAGGGTGGCTTGAAGGTGGTGTTGTTCTGAAAAAAAAAAAAAAAAAAGGATACAACCACTGACAATGATTGAAAGATACGGAGTGCGAATCAGGCGAGCACCGAGCCCTGACTACCAGGGCCCACCAAGTGAGGGAAAGGCCAGTAGTTAGAGGATATTAAAGGGGGAGAGAATAGAAAGAGAATTGAGTGGTAGAAAGTTGTCTTTTCCTTTCTTTCTTTTTTTTTCTATATATATATCTCTTACCATCTTTCATCTTCTTGGTTCCTTGTTTGACTTCCCCAGGGTTCTGACTTCTCGGAAACCGCCCGGACCCGATAAGGTAAGTCGACTGTGGAGACCCCAAAAAAGCGCCAGCCGCCACGCAGACGTGGGAAATTTATGTAGAAAAAAACGGTGGGGGTCTTGGGGGTTTATATACGTGTTTAATTGAGGGATGGTAATTTTGGGCTCGGACTTTTACCCCAGTTTCGTGGTTCCATGCTTCTTCTCGTAATTTTGCGCCAGCCGTGCTTCTGTTGCGCTACCGTTTTTCGCAGCCATGCGACGAGGGAAGGTTGAAGAGAAAGACTGGAGAGGAAGGGGAGGAAGCAAAGGGTGATTGGGTGATTGGATGTTTTAGGTTCAGTATGGCTAGGTAGGTATTGTTTTTGGCTGTTTTTGGGGCTTTGGTGGACGTGATGGCTAGGTGGATCGCGTGTTGGAAGTGCTTTTTGTGGTGGTTATGGTGGTTACCGGTATGTACTGTGGTAGTGAGGTAGGAAAGTGAAGAGAGTGGATGGTGGGGGACTTTTAGGAAATTCAGAGGTGGATCGGTAGGTTTTGGTGAGTTTATATTTGTGCTAAGTGTTTCTAGAGGTCTCTTGTGGTATGGTTTGACGGTGGGTTGGAGTTATGGAGACGATATGATTCGCATGATGAATCCACACACTTAAGTACCTTCGTTCTCTTTTTAACCTTTAAAAAGCTGTCTAATTATGCTCCTGATGATCAGTTTGTGTCTTTATTGGTGCTTTCGGGGAGAGTTGTTCAGCAAGTTCGGTCGTTTAGTATGTCAATTCCTTAGTCGCTAAACTTGACTAAGTGAAGAATGGTCATAATTCGTTAAATGCAAGTCACTCATGTTTTGACCAATTTTGGTTACCCTACTAAGCTGTTTCTTGTTTTTCTTCGTAGTGTCGTTGGATGACTGGGCTTGGTGCTTACAAGCCTCTTTACATTATGAGCCAATTAACAGTTACTAAAAGCACTTTAGTTGCCCAAAAAGAAGACCACTAAAAGTCCAATTCACCAATTTATGGAAATATTACCTTCATTTAATCCCTTTAACCATTGTATCACATTTGCCTTCCATTGTAGTCCGAAGTGGTTTCGCAGCCAAGGCTGGACCCACGAGGCAACGATAGGCCTGATCCAGAACACCAAGAACAAGAATACCATAAAGAAATGGTAACCACTATATTAATAGACATATTATCGATCCTTTAATAAGATACTTCCACCTTGTTCCGGGTCTTCCATTGACATCTACATTGAACTGCTCACTACTACCTCTCTTAGTATACCTCCACGCAAAACAACCACCCGCCAACGAAACCTATGATACCCTGACTCTGGTGACCTCCTTCCCCATTTCCCATCTCTTTACTGTCATCATCACAGCCAAATCCGTCGCTTTGGTGCCATTACAATACTACCAATATTTGCACGTGACCCAATACACGTGCGTCTACACCTACTTTTCCAGTCTTCACCGTCAACATCACAATCCTCAGATACCTTCATTTACATCCACAATGGCAGACGAGGCCGCAGCCATTCTTACTCAGTTGGATCAAGCTCGCGAGCTTGCATTCTCCAACTCCGACATGTTCCCCCAGGTCGTCAAGCAGATCCTCAATTTGGTCAACCATCCATCTCTAGACATCCAGAGATGGTGTGCCCTCTTCCTTAAGAAAGCATTTAGCGCTGGACCTGAAATTGTGTCTGCTGGTGTTAAAATTGATTTGGCCATAGATGCTTTGGTACCTGTAAAGACATTGGCCCAGACCAAAGATCTTGAAGTGTTCAAGGCAGTGATAGACTTGAGTATCACCTTATACAAGCTTGTGTTCCGCTATGTTGCCGACAACGACGGCAGCCATAATATCTGGGATAATCTTCGAAACCTCAAGAATGACCTTATTTACAAGTTTGATCTGCAATTTCCTTTTGAGCCTTCCTTCGATAAAGAACACGACCAGGTGAGAAACTTAGACTCGAAGTTAGAGCTTCTTAAGTTGATATTTACTGTTATTGATTACCAGCTGCGTTCGGTTTCTACGAGATACTACTCCTTGGCTCGTGTCAACCCAAGCCATACGCTTATCAAGACTGGTCCAATGGAATCAGAAGCACACTCTCTCTTGGAGAAGGTTTTGGCTCCACTTCAAGATGATATCTTGGTTACTCCAGTTATAACAGCTGTTCTTAATCATTTGGCTGTTATTGTGCGTAGAAAGCGTCAGTTCATCGACCGTGTGATTCCAGTCCTTGAGTCTTTTGAGTCTAACCAGAAGCTTCAGTCTAATTACGAATCCTTGGAATCGTTCAAATTGTCTAAGAAATACTGTGACAGAGCTTTGAGAGTCTTACTTAATTACATGACCAAATGCCAGGTTGTGCCACCAAACTTCCAGAATGCCGTTAACAGGAAAATATCTACACTTACAGCAAGAGGTGATGACATCAGAAAGAAGAATATCTTGGAATCGTCTCCAGATGACCAGAATATCAAGAAGCGCAAGTATGAAGGCTTTGAGAATCCGCTGAAGAAGATCAAGACGCTAGACTACAAGCATTTGTATGGTTTGACTGATGTGAGCAGTGACCTTAATAACTTCGACTTATCCACTCTCCCGCAGAACATATTAGTGTCTATGGCACTCACTGCTTTGCTGCGTGCAGATGTGAAGAAGCTTACAAAGGCTTTGGAAATTGTTAGTGAGAGGTACAGCGATACAGTGAAGGATTTGGCCAATGTCAAGACCGAGCAGTCCAACCAAGTGGGTGGTGATGATGATGAGGAGGATGACGATGATGCTGCTGAAAACTTCACTTCCGAGACCACATATACGGTTCCTCCACCTAAAGCGCTTTCATTCCAGGAAAAGAAGGACCACGTCAAGATGATCGTGGACAACTTCTTCCAGCTTTCGCAAAAGGGTGGAAACAGTACTGATCTAATTGAAAGTGCCGATGGAAATGTCAACAAGGAACTCACGAAGGTTGCCATCAAAACATGGAACCAAGATTCGTGGCTTATTCTACTCACCAGATTGGCTGCTAGAGGTATGCATACGATAGAAGGAGATGAAGAGAAGCTGCCGGACGTGGCTCAAAACGAAGAATTGAGCGATATCATCAGGCAAGCCCTTTTCGATTATTTCTTAGGAAACATCCACGAGAGAGTGGATACCACCATTGAGTGGCTTAACGAAGAATGGTACAGTGAAAGGGTGAGCAACGAAGAGAAGCTCCGTCAGGAGATTGAGGAGAAGTGGCAGAAGAAGTACGAAGAGGACCCCAATGGCGTGAGCGATATCCAGGAGAAAATCGACCAGGAGGTGGAGAACATCGAGGTGCAAACACCGCGTTACAACAAGTGGTGCCAGAAAGTGTTAGATGCCATGATCCCATTTTTGGAGCCTACAGATAGAAAGATCTTCTTGAGAATGGTAAGCGACTTGCCGTACCTCAATGAGAGCATGCTTGGAGGCATCAAGTCGTTATGTGCTGATCCAGCCCGGTCCAAGCTTGGATTTTTGTCTCTACAATTTTTGGTCATGTACAGACCGCCCGTCAAAGAAGCCTGTTTTAACGTTTTACGCCAACTCAAAGACAGTGACCAGGAAGACTTAAAGGAGGAGGCGCTGAAACTTCTCACCAAGTATGGACAATAGGCAGTCAAGAAGCAGACGAGTCGCGACTAAAAAGGGAAAAATCTACGATCCAAAGGAAAAACCAGGCCAAAGCACCCAGCCCAATAAGAATCCCTCATTCGTCTAAGAACCCAAAATTCTCCGGCGTTTTCTTATCGCTGGCTCGGCTCTCTTTGTGTTTCTCGGCTCGACACGATCAAAAGGCACGCATCATTATTTTCTTCCCTGTTTAACGTTTCAGAAAATTGCTGGATGTCGTCCTCGTCTCCCAAAAATAGCGCGCGCGCCCCTCCTCTGCTGCTGCTGCCTGGCGCCTGCCTGGCACTGGCGAGACTGCGGTCTAACAGCCCTGCGACACTAAAATTGTACATATGAGGGCGACGAAATTCTCCAACCGGCGTTCTTTTTGGCAATTTTCCGTTTTACATTCTTTTTGGTTCCTTCAAGGCATTTGTGTGTTGCCAGGTTGTGCCTGATCTTTTGTTACTACCACGTCTGTCAATTGGCACCATTTCGGATCAAGAGCTAGCCTTCATGGCCCATCATGCCGTTCAACACTCAGAAACAGCTCAAGGATGTTGATGCTTCGACGTTTGATATCGTCAAGGTTGAGGCGTTCCATAACACCAGGGCAGGCACCGTGTTCACGTACATTTGGCAATGGTTCCAGCTAATACTTATGCTAGCCATCCTTGCTGTTGATACGTATACATGCGTGAATATTTTGGTGTTCAACCGCTGGTCGAGTGGGGAGTACCAGGTTTACGAGTATAAGGTGGCGAAATGGATCTTTACAGGGTGTATTTTGTTTCGCTACGCCTTGATGCTTTACCACTTGGCCTGGGGCATCCATATCTACAGAACAAAGAACATCGCCTTGGCTTACCTTAATAATGTGGCCAAACTCATGTATCGTCTTCGCCACTACGACTACCACTGCTTGTTCCATGAAATTGAGCAGGAAGGGTTCTTTGACTGGGCGTGTTTCTTGGTCTACGAAGAGCTCGATAACGCTTTGGAGGTTCTCGTGGCTGATACGCCCAGACAAGTGATTAATATCCTTACGTTGAGGTATTATGCCACAGGCGGCGACCAGAATAATGATATTTTGGAGAATATCAGGTCCATTGCCAACTCCAATGTCCGACTTTCGGTGATTTTGTCGCTCCAATTGGCCTCTGTGGCTCTTTTTGCATTCTTCTTCTTCAAGTTCTTGTTGGGTATGTTATTGTATATCCCAATCAGAGTCAAGGTCTCGCATCGTGGCTTCAGGCTGTTGAAGCTGTACTGTTACGATGTTGTCAACGACAAGGTGCGTCTTCTCGTGACAAAGAACCACAAGTCCAAGAAACAGATTCTCGAAGAAGGTATTCTCGACTTGGAGGCGATCCGCGAGAACCCGTTGCTTGGTTCCGAGTCGCTGTTGGATTTGGTGCCTCAAGAAGTACAGATGAGCCACCCTCTTTTCGCTCGTCACCACACCGCCGAGTCCATGGCCAGTCTACGAAAGCCAGCCCCTCTTGCTCATACGACAACGTCGTTGGCATCTGCAAGAGAGAGTCCTTACAGGGATGTGCAGCGGAATCCGTTTGCGGACTCGTTCGCCAGTCTTCACAACAAGCTGTCGGTCAGAACGTTCGCTACAGATCAACAGTTCACCAATCCGTTTGCTGATTCCAACGTTGCAGTGCCGCTCCAACCAATGCATCCTATCAAACGGACAGGTTCGGCGTCGTCGTTGACTGAATTCACAGCACCTGGAATTCCTCGCAACGACTCTGCCAACTCACTCGACGCAGACTCGCCGCTTCTTCCCAAGAGCGACAGTTTCCAAGACTCTATTGACTCGCACCAGTCCAGCGTATCTGCCTCATCTTCATCTAATGACGACCAAGACACTGCCGCCGTTCCGTACCCCGTACGTGGAGTTTCCATGTACGGCGCCGAGGATTTCAAGTAACGACCACCCACTACATAGCATAGCATCTAAATCAATAGATTCATATAAACCTCCTTAACTATGTACATATTTTATTCTTCGTACGCAGACGCTTCGCTTATTTCTGCTCGTACTCCTTCTTCAACTTGGCCAACTCCTCATCCGAGATAGGTGGGATAGGAATGTCAGCAAAGTCGTCTTGGTTAAGCACCTTCCATGTGTAAGCATAAACGCCCAAAGGAATAGCTCCCACAATACAGAACCCAGCAAAGTTTCTCCAAAAGTATGGTTTACGAACCCTATAAAGAGCAGGAGTCATCTGGTGAGTGACCGGGTCTCTGTAACGGTCATGACCTTTTCTGAATGTTAGTATTGGTTAGGCAGGTTGGGTTTCTTGTAGACATACGGTGCACCGATAACTGGCATTTTTGAAGATGAGGATGTAGTTGGAGTTGATAATCAGATCACTTTCGCGGTTAACTATACAGAGAGAGAAGAGGGTTGAAGGGGAGGTACTTTTGGGAGAAAAAGGGAGAAAAGGGAGGAAAGGGCATAAAATGAGACGGTTAGCTGGGGTGATTGTTTTTCCAATCCAGTTTATTGGAAAGTGGGGGTTCTGGATTTTTCGTTCCATGATGGGTTTTTGAAGGATGGGTAAAGTCGCCAAATGGCTGCGAAAAGAGACAGTAGTACGAGAGTTATTGGCTGAGGAAGAAAAGTGTGAATATTTAGAAATATATAAATAAATGAAAAGAAAGAAAGACATATGAAGATTAAGTAGGGAATGAATAGAGAAGCTGCTTTGAGGGGAGCCCTCTGTCGAAGGTTCGATTCACGGTAGGTTATCTATGGCAGGTCTGATTGGTTCTCAATGGACTGCTAGAGGCTGGTCTGCCCCAAAGATGGACAGATCCTTATTTAACAAGTACTGGGGTAATTCGAGAATGGGGTCTTTGAAGAATCCGAAAAGATGTTATTTTGGACATTATGCTTGTCGTGGATGAAGCCTAATATATCTTAGTCTGTCTCTATATCTCAATCGTGCTAAGACGTTCCTTGCTGAAAACCATCTCTTACATTTCCTACATTCTTCTTACACTGTTATCGTCTATGCTTGTATGTGCTATGTATATGCTAGTAGTGGTCCAAACGCCAAAGGGTGATTTTACCGGTATCATTGGCAATGGCCAACATCTGACTATTTGGCGAGAATTGCACACATGTAACACGGCCCAACGGCGTGTTGCTCGTAGGCCAGTTGGCGAAAACTGTTCCCAGGGGCAAGTGTACAAGTTTGAGGGCATCCTTCTTCTGTTTCGATGCCACACATAAGATCTGGCCGTCTGGAGAGAACTTGGCCTCGAATACCTGCGTCACCAAGTTACCCACGCTCTTGAAAGGTTTAGGATTTTGTCCTTGTGAAAGTGTGGCAAACATTGTACGGTCGAACAAGTTAATGACACCACTCTTTGTACCGATAGCTAACCAACGGTCGGTTGGACCGCCCAAGGCGATCTTGGTGACAGCCACGGCACTAGTATCAGTCCAACGACGAACCACATCAATGTCTGGAGACTGAAGGTTAAACTCCCAGACGTCACCTGCAAAGTTAGCGACGATAAGAAGCTTTTCGTCTTTTGTGAACTCAAAGTCTGCAACGTAGCCATCGACCTTGTATGCTCTGAAAAGTTGTGTAGTTTTGCTGTTTAGAAGGTTGACGTAACCGTTGGAACCAAGCAAAGCAACGTAGTTGCCTTTAGGACTCATTTTGAAGTATTCAAACGATCTCTGGCTCTCTTCCTGACCGTACATTCTCAGCACCTTATCCACAGCCTCGGTAGTAGTATCCCATCTACTCATGTATCGTCTTCTACCAGACGAGTAGACTAGACTGGAATTTGGGTCTGGGGAAAACTGACAGCTTCTGATGGGCACGTCCTTGAAGAAGACAGAAGATACAAGCTTGTTGGATCTACCGTCGATATTAAAAATGCGGAGTGTCTTGTCCATGCCACCAGTAAGCAAAAGTGGATGCAGAGGATGAAAGCTCATGGCCAAAATAGGGCCCTGGCCACGGCGGGTGATGTTGGCGTCCTTGAGTCTCAGGATCAGGATCTTAGTAGGTGAAAGAAGTGCAGATTTCAGCTTCACGTATTTGCTGTTGGAACTTAGAAGCTGCGTCAAGCCCTTGATATTCTTACCCAAATCGGGTTCGGATTCTTCATCTTCGTCTCCCAAGACTTCAGCATCGCTGTCGTCGTTCTCCTTTTCTGGCACCTCATCTGCCCAGCTTGGTCTAGGGAAGATCTTCTCGAACTGGGACCTGAGTCTGGCCACATAAGCTGGAGCCAGGAGCGCCGTCTCTTCGTACAGCTGCCTGAGCTTCTTCAGTCTGTCAGAAATGACCGAAATAGTGTGTTTTTCATCGTCAGAGTCGTGCCATACTGCTTCATCTTCATCTTCATCCACATCCATGCCATCATCGTCCTTGACTTCGACTTCGTGAATGTTATCAGCATCACCGCCTTCGTCAAGGAAGAACATATCTTCATCGCCTTCTTCTTCCTCACTTTCTTCTCCTTCTGACAAGCTATCTAAAGCTTCTTGTTCATCGTCTGAAGATTCATAGAGGTTCTCGATTTTTCGAAGGTTGGCCTCAAAACCGGCATTGTCACCAAAAACGAGTTTTTCAAGCTCCAACTCTTCTTCGTCCTTCGGTCTGGCCCCGTCTAGAGTATCTGGCATATTAAGGATATGTGGGTTTGACGTTGATTTGGGTAACTTGAGTATTTGCGATGGTGATGCGATGGGCCTTTTTTAGTGATGAGATAAGATCCGTACACCAGCCATGGTCTGGTAGTACTAGGGACTTCTCCAAAATATATCTTTAGTATTTGATGAGTGTATTAAATATTTCTATAATTCATTCGTATCGTATGCTTCTGCCTCTGCCATCTATATACATCGATGCTATTTCTTGAGCTCGCTCAAAAATGTCACGTAGTATTTCTTGAACAGCTTTGCATCCATATCCACCAACTTCTGGCCAAAGTCGTTTGTGAGGTCTTGCGATAAGCCGACATTCACCAAGTAGTTCACGAGGAAGTTGACAAATTCGCCTTGGGACAGACGGTTCTGGTATGTCTTGAGAAGCAACGAGAGGTCCTGTGCCAAGTTACGGAGCAGGGCTTCGCTCAAGTCGAAAGCTGCGTTCGAAAATGGCAACTCAAAACATAACTTCACCGTGCTCTCCATCAAATACTCGTCAATTCCTTCGATAGGCGCCAAGGTGGTGCTGAGCTTATCTTTAGCATCGGTAATCTTACCGTTGTTGCATCCAAGAACTGCAATGACATTGCCAAATTGAACGATGGCCAGCTTGGCGGTGGGGAGGTCGTTCAAATCCTGCGAGTATTCTATTATGGAAGACACAACCTGAGGGAAGATAGGCTTGTTTGTCTCCGTCAACAACAAGGAAAATTGGTTGTTGATAACCACTATGCTGATGAAGTTGAGGAACGATTTCTTCAATTGATACTTATCTCTTGTGACATGAGGGTTATTCTCCTCATCGGCTGAAAGAAGCTCGAAGATCTTACGTATCATTGGCGTGATCAAATCATTCAAGAGATGGAACATACCATCGTTGTCCTTGAACTGATGGACAATCTGGCCAACAAAACTCAAGAAGTCCCCAAGCTCGTTGATCTTCAACTTAGGAGATGCCAAGATCAAAGAGATAAGTTTGCTCAAGTGAGAGCTGCTCTGCACGTCCAAGATTGGCATCAAACGAGCAAATGCAAAACGAGCGGCATCTCTGACGTTCTCAGACTTGTTGAGGTTTTCGAGGGTGATCAAAACAACCTGTGCTGCATCGCCGACCTTTCCGACAACCTTTGCGTCATGCTTAGCTGCGGTGGACTTACCAGGAGCCTGAGTGTCAAGACCTCTAGTGACCGTAGCAAGAGCCATCAACAGATGGTTGGCTTGCAAAGGAATGAGAGGATTCACATCCTTGTCCTCACGAGAGATACAGGTTTCCAAGCTGCTGAAGAGGGGATTGAAGAGAATGTCAATGGATCTGGCAGTGGCATCAGGCGAGTCAGCCATTGAAATAAGGATTCCAAGCGCTTCAAACAAGTACAACTGACTGCTGAAGTTACCATTCTCAACAATATCATCATCTTCATCCCTGGTTGGAAGCTCAGCCTTGATAACGAGCAATGGCTGGAATTTGATCAATAGATTCTCCAAGAAATAGTCGTTTAACTTTGGCTTCGTGATGTTGACAAAACGGAAGAAGAGGTACCAAGTTCTCAAGCGAACACTTTCAAGAGAGTTGAACAAGCCATACTCAGAGAAAAGTTCTAGGATCTTGATCACGAGTTCATCAATGCTGGTGTTTGTTGTGTTGTTAAAACTTTTAGTGGAAAAATGACGAATGATTAATTCGAAAAATGCTAGGTGATTCTTAGGATGATTGATCGAGGTAAAGTTGTTTATAATCTTGATCAAAAAGCTTTGCACTTCTTGGTATGGTTTAGAAGTTGTGATCTCAGTTTTAGGGAAGTTGACGAGATTATTCTTCAAGGAGTCGCCGAAGTTACTCAACTCGTAGAGACCTAACTCAACAGAAGGCCAATCATCAGATGAAGCATTGAAGATGGAGTTTTCAATAATCATTGGCATCATCTCAAGGTACATTTGAGGGTTCAAGATGGCAATGGTGTCTTGGAAGGTCTTCAACTTGGAGCGAACATCCGCAAACTGTTCATCGTCATCGAATGCATCGGCATCCTCATCGTACTTCATCTTGATGATGATCTTCTTGAGCAAAGCAGAGAGAAGGTCCACCGAGTTGAGGTCATTATACTTCTTGGCTAGAAGCAAGTAAGCCTGGATAAATGGGAAGATCTGCTGAGAGACATCATCATACTCATGGCCCAAGAATTCTAGGATGGTAGGCCATAACTTGAGGAAATGGACATTGATATCATTAAGCAAAGAGCCATCGTTTTCAAGAACAATAGCCAACTCGATACCGATCTGGTTAGCCAACTTGGCCAAGTTCTCGATGAAGTCCAAATCGTCATCCTTAAGAGAACCAATGACAGAAGTCAAATCAAGCAAGTTGATCAATTCTAGCTTGCTGGCAGGCTTCATCTTCTTGGAGATGATCTCGACCAAAGTGACACAGCTCTGGTTGCGTAGCTGCGGCAGCAGCTTCAAAAACTCGTAAATGATGCCAATAAAGCCGTTCTGGATAAACATGCTGATTTCCATCCAGTTGACGTAAGAACCCACAACCTTCAATGCGTTATCTAGAAGAGTGGTATCCTTCACAGTGGTCAAGATAGTCTTCCACGACTCAACCAACTGGGGCATGTCACGTTCACGGATCAAGTCCTTGAGCACGTTAGAACGGTTCTGGGCCTCCTTCGAACGGGAAATGAGTTTATCGCCAATATGGAAATGGATGGAAATGAGGATTCTTAAATAGTAGTCTATGCTTAGAAGGTTGGAAGACTGGATAAGCATCAAGAGCGACTTGATGAATTCTGTGTTGATCTGGGAGTAGGCCAAACAAAATAGACTGCCAAACAAGTCACTAAGCTTATTCTTCAAGTGCACCTGGTCATGGTGGTCAGCCGCCACCAACAGATCCAAGTACTTAAACAAGCGAGTATTCAAGTCATACAACTGCTGCTCGCCAAGCTTCTCGGTATTCTCTTCAATCACTTGTAGAATGAAAAACTTAAGCCCATCGTTCAAGTGGATCCCCTTCAGAGGATCAGCCAACAATAGATCAAAGCATGTCTGGTACCCTTGTTCTGTGGATTTGATTTCGTTGATAAATGTGAACGCCTGGCTCTTTAGGCTTGGATCTGCTGTGCCGCTTAGCGCAATGTCAACCGCCTGTTGAATTTGCTGGTCCATTGAAAGGCGCTTTCAGTGGGTGTGGGTTTCGGGTTGAATCGCTGACGGGAGGAAGGGTTCGTTTGGACTAGAGCGATGTGTTACTTTCCTAGATTACTAATGAGGTTTGGAAGGAATACTAGGGTTATTTTTATACAAGACAGGTGGGGAGTACTAGGCTTGTTAAGGTTGATTTGGAGGGTTATGTATGGAGGTTTAGATTTGAAAGAGTTGGTAGGGAAAAAATTTAGCGAGAGAGGGTTGGCTTTTTTTCAGTGATGTGGTCACGTGACGTGTCTTTGTCTCACCCTGTGGTGGCGGATCCAGGCACTGTGGAGAGGTGTGGAGAGGGTCAAGGGGTTAGTTGGGCCTGGGGAAACGGCCAGGATGAGTAGAAGACTTGAAAAATGGAAGGATGGTGGTGGGAAGGGGTGGTTTTTGTTGAAGTCACGTGACCCACATAGTTATCTGTGAGGTGTGCGATTTGATTTTTTTGCTGTCGAACGAGTAAACAAAAAGGTGGGGCGCAAAGAGAAAAAAAAAAATATAAAAAATAATAAAACGATCTCTAAGCGTTACGTTCACAAGACTGGTAGTATATGCAGGAAAGTTGGAAGTAGTATGGGTGCAAATGAAGAACCTTCGAAGAAGGGAAGGATGAAGAGGAAATCAATTTTTTAAGGGTTGGGTCGTTTTGGAGGAATTGAAGTTGAAGGATGGGAGGTTCAATTTTCTTGGATTGCATGTGATTGGTGGGTTTTGGATGGTCCAATCTCAGCGTCCAGAAGAGCATAGAGTAGGTGGATTTCCAGCAATTTCGTGAAGAAAAGTAAAGGTCGAGATTATTGATTGGGGGAAAGGCTGCTTTGGATTTCTCCCAAATGGCTGGGATGGTTTTTGGGGCATGGAAAAGTCAAAAAGTTGGAATGTGCTGGTGGAAGAGTCGCCTATTGAAGACCAGAGAAGCACTGAACGGACGTGGTTGGATGGTAAGTTCTTCGTTGAACCTTCGTTGGGGTAGTAGGACATAATGGGAATTTTTTGCAACCACTTTGGTTCCAACAGGGATGGTAGTGTTGGCATAGCAACCCATGAAGGGCCATCTGAATGAAAGAAACCACTGGCTGTATCGTATGAAGCTTAGTTTGCCTTCCAATTCCGTTGGATCTGTTGGTACTGGCTCCCAGGAGTGCCACTGTGTATGGTAACACGTTCATTGGGTGATTGGTGATTTTTTTCAAAGGTCTATGTTGGACAACATGGACATCTAGAGGGTCCAGTCCAGGACTTCTCCAAGATAGATCCTCCCAATAGCACCATTTCGATCCCAAACACCTCTTTTAGTGTACCAACGTAGCTGCTCTTTCACATGGGATATTGCTGGCAGACCTGTTGGACGAAATTGAGCAATGTCAAGGCAACCAGTATTTTTCATGCTGGCTCATGAAAAGAGAACCCTGCTATCTTCATCAATGCCCACGAGGCTCGTCCAAGTAGACAAAACAGCTGTTCTTAGGCAAATAAAAAACTTCATTTTTGAGTGATTTTACAACGCTGGTGTAGGAAAAGACTGGCCACCTAATAGTGAATCCTGCGCCATGCTTCCTGGCTAAACTTCAAAACCGCTTTAAGAGCTCTGACGACTTTCCAGTCTGGGTAAAGACGAATGTTTTTGGGTCCTGGAATCCTCTTTTGCTCTTCAGGGGTTGGCTTAGTGGAGTTGGTGTAGCTTTTTGCAGCTGATATTGATCTGTGGTTCATGAGATAGGATGTTTTGCTGGACCTCCTTGGATCAACCAACCAATTGCTTCCGACAGCAATGCTAAGAAATGTTAAGCAAATTTGAGAGAAAACTAGGGTTGGTTTTCTAACTTTGCTTTGAGCACGGCAATCCACGCCGCAAATTTTCGAGACCAATTTTTGCTGCTTATACCCCGAAGAATGCTGCACTTCAGAGCACGTTTTTCCATGAAAAACCAATAGAAAGGCTTTTCCAAGCAGAAAGAATTGACGAAGACATGGCTTTTGGTGCTGTTGGTGGAATGTGTGATTTGGCAGTACTCCTGGAGTGATGAAGGGTTATAAATGATAGGGTTGAACAAGAATTCCGCTGTTAAAAGACGCCCAAAGACGACCAAGGGGACACAGCTCCATTAGACGGCCAGCTGAAGTTGGAAAAATACACTGGAGCTATTGGGAGTGTTCTATAAATGGAGGTTTCTTGAAAGCAAGTAAACCGTTCTTTGTTTCCAAAGAATGGTCTTCTTCAAAGAGACCTTCCAAGCAGACTCACTTCCAGGCGTCGGTAAAGTCAGTTAACTCATTCCTACGACACTTCCATGGTCTCCCATTCCTTGTCCCGCTAATTAACATTTTCCAAGCTTCCTATTACTCCACCATTCAGTATTCGTGAACCACATGGCTAGACGATTTCCTTAGTCTAGTCGAAAGGTCAGCTCGTCGTCTAGAACGACGTAATTTCAGTTTCAAGTATCCAAGCTTGGTTCTGTGTCTCTTCGGTTGCAAGAGAACCTTACACAAACGTGAAAGTCATCCAAATAGGAACTTGGAAGCGGCATACGCTTTTCTCATGGGACTGGTTTGTTGGTTTCTTTAAGCCCAACCCTTTTGTAGCACTCTTCATCGAAGCTTTCACCTGCTTTATTTCTGGTAACAAGCATAGTACTCTTTTCGGCAAAGCAGGTACCGAACAAGGTAAGGTAAGGAAAAAGACACAAAGAAAATAAGGTATTGGTACTGATGACACAAGCAAAGAAGTATGAAGAGGATAAGAAATGGAAGAAAAAAAAAAAAATCAAAAAAACAGAGAACAACAAAGAAAGGTAGAGTAAGGTGACCTCTGAATCCTTAAAGCACCAGCTGTACAACTTCAAAGCATCCCTAAACCACCACCTGACGGTTTATGGACCTTCTCAAAGCTTCCTTTTGGTCTGTAACAGCACACAAAGTTGTAAAAAACATCAAAGCTTCAATTTAAGCATCTCGAAACCAACCAAAACCATAAAAACCACCAAAAGAACCCATTTCCAATAAATCACCTCTAATCTCTAGATTCTCTCAAAAACCATATCTTCTCGCAAACCAGCGAGGTCCACTTGCGCCTCCATTGACTTTTGCTCTACGGATCCTCCAACCAACCAGCATATGATATGTACAAGCTAATAAAAAACCAATTCATGCCATTCACTTGAAATGGGTTTTCGACTGTTTATGGAGAATCCAAAACACCCCCAAAAAAAAAGCTGAACAGAAAAAAAAAAAAAAAAAAAAAAAAAAAAGAAAAAAAAAAAAATCCCGCCGTACAGAAAGTGCTTTCACCTTGTGCAATGATTTTTTATATCTTACATTGCGGAGGGCAAATGCCGATAAACTTAAGCTTCTGGTTACTCCTTATGCCAGGTTAATGACGAAATGGCCGTGGGCCTGAAATAGGAATGACCAGAGTCAAAAAAAACCCCATACTCATAACTTGCCCGAGCAGCAAGTGAAGGTTATACTCCCCCAAATGGACCCAAACCCTAGCGAAAGCCTCGAAAGCAAAAGAAGGAACCGCCGGGCATGGCTTCAGGAGTAAAAAAAAAAAGAATTCAGGGTTTTTAGGCCTCTTTGCCTGTTAGCGGCAGCAAGCCTTATTAGTGAACATTCTCTAGATACCACCTCTAATTCCAAGACATGAAACGTAAAACATGATCCAGCAAGGCCCACAAAGTAAGCCTTGTTGCGCAGCCATACATGGACAACAGGCTGTGCCTGAGGGCATTGAATGAATAAAGTTATTGACACAAACGTACAACGGCTGAATAGACACGGGCAGCGAAGGCAGTGGATACATAGGAGGATGTGCAGAAGTGGGACTTGTGTCCGACGAGAGATGATGATGGCTATGACAAGAAGATGGGGGGAGGTAATGGGGAGAGGAGACGACGAGGCAGAGTCGTAGATGTAGTGTAGGTTCTGTGTTATTCATGTACAAGTGCCAGAATCGTAGATGTATGTCAAAGGTCATGGGTTGATGCTGGATATCGACTTGTAAGCCTCTTTTCATGATCTGTGAAGTTCCGTTATCACCAGATGTCTCGTATTTGATTTAGATATACAGATTACGAGAAATAGTAAAGAGGTGGTGGAGGGGAACCCATAGAATCCAATGACGGTGAACTTTTCAAGGTTTGTGGATTATCCTCGACAACAAATATAAGGCCATTTTTCACAGATGTACCAGTTCAACTGCAAGTACAGCTTCAAGGCAGAGCACAAAGACACAAAAAGCATTTCACAGGCATTAGAGATGTTCTATGGCTTTTTCGATCCCCTTTTGATCAAGTAATGGCTCCTCCACGTTTCCCCCACGAATGGTGGAGCCATTTCCTGGAACACATTCAGTGGTTTGAAGAATTCCAACTGCAAAGACTAAAAATTAGGTAGAGGTTTTAGCCAAAACGGGGGAGTCCACGTCTGGTGATTGCAAACAAAAAATAGAGCAAGAGGATTTATTGAGCAAGCTGCTTAATTGGGAAATTAGGAGAAGCTCATCGTGGTTTTTTTTTTTTTTTTTATAACTTGTTGGTTAACTATAGGAATAGGATTTATTCATAGTGAGTGGGGCATAAGTGTTATGCTGCTGGTGCTGCTGCAAGATATGCTTTCCGGTAGGAAGACAATCACCGTTGCTGTGGACACGCAGCGGCACGCATGATGCACAGTCGGTTAGCGCTGCAGGCCGCGCATGAAACAAAGCACACTCAAGGGTTTGTTCGGTGCAGGCTGCCATGAAATTTCTCTTTCGATCCACCCATGTATAGAGAAGAAGAAGAAGAAAAAAAAAGTGCCCCCATGTACCAGCCACCGTAACTGTCCCTTAATCAAAAAAGCCAAGTCATTTAGTGCCCCGTATAAGCATACAAGGTTGTGTGTGTGGAATTTGAATGACGTTCAGCTTGAGCCTCGGCAAGCTCGGAGCCTTGCTTCGTGCATACCTCCTATACCACTCTCAGCTTTTTTTATTTTTATTTTTTCGAGACTCTCAAGCACCAGGCTTGTCTCTCATGTCAGAAACACGTCAGAAAGGAGCCAAAATGGACACCACACGACCCAACCAGCATGCGGAGTGGCAGAACATGTTTCCGCGAATGCACCACGTATGAGTTATAATACGATGCTTACAAAGATGAAGGTGGAAGGCCACGCAGGAAACCCTGCGCTGGCGGTGCAGCCGCTCTGGAGGGGTCGCAGCTGCAGGTTCATGCGGGTGCACGCTGCAGGCGGTGCATAAAAGAAGACACTATATACACTCCACACATGAGTCTTACCAGGCTGCGCTTCTTCATTGAGAATGAGTTATTACTTCATTAAATCTATGGAAGAACAGCGTACTTTTGCAACTCTTGAGGAATGGCGTCCCACAAGTTCTTGCTCTTGAGCCATTCCTGCAGGAAGACCCGGTCAGAATACTTATGGCAACTGTCACACAAAACAGTCACCACGTTAGAGCCCTCTGGCAACGTCTGGGCCACCTCCATGGCTGCAACAACATTCAACGCAGACGTACCGCCCACATAAATTCCCTCCTCGTCAAGCAACCTGTAAAGCATGGCAATAGACTTTTCGTCAGAAATCTGAATAGCTTCATCCAAAAGATCAATCTCTGGCTTCAAGTTCTCGGTAACTCTACCTTGACCAATACCTTCAGTGAACGAAGAACCACCTCTGATAATCTCCTTACCGTTGCTCTTAATATAAGAGTACAAAACAGATCCTGGAGGGTCCGCCAAAACACACTTGACCTTCTCGTCCATCAGCTTCAAGTACCTGGTCACACCAGCAAACGTACCGCCAGTACCTGTAGAACAAGTCCATGCATCGACTTTGCCATCCAACTGGGCCCAAATCTCCGGGCCCGTGCCATCAATATGAGCCTGTCTGTTGGCAATATTATCGAACTGGTTAGTCCAAACAGCATTCTCAAGTCTCTCTGCGTGTCTCTTTGCTTGATGGTTATAGTTCTCTGGATTGTCGTACGCAACCGCAGGCACGGGGTAAACCTCAGCACCCAAAAGACGTAACGTCTCAATCTTATTCTTAGATTGAGTGTTTGGCATGTAAATCACACAATTGTACCCACGCAGACGGCAAACATGGGCCAAACCAATACCGGTATTTCCAGCAGTGCCTTCGACAATTGTCCCGCCAGGCTGGACCAAGCCTTTGGCCTCAGCTTCATCGAGAATAAACTTAGCAGCACGATCTTTAATGGAACCGCCAGGGTTCATGAACTCAGCTTTTCCATAGACGTTTCTGCCGATGGAGTCAGAAATCCGGGGTAACCGAATGAGCGGCGTGTTGCCGATTGCCTGCAGGAACCCGTTAGCCACAAGGGGAACAAAGGGCGCCTTGAAGGAGTCCTGGTTGGTCGTGATACGAAGAGTTCTGACCGCCGTAAGGCCTGTTCTGGCAGTTCTAATCATGATTAGAGTGGTATCAAGGAAGATTGAAGAATTGAAGATATCGCGTAGAGGCACGTGAGACTGGTCAGGTGCTAAATACCACGTGACTTTTCCAACCAGAACCCAACATCAAGCCCAACCCACCGCCATCGATTTGCCTGTGAAAAGTAGCCTCTAAACTCCTTAGACGTCTCTTTTCAACCAATTCTCCATCCCTCCCCTGTCAGGCCACTTTTCGTCGTCAAACGCAGCAACGTGGATGCCTCCACGCTTAAATCTCGCAGAACTGTACGGCGTTGTCTGGGGAAAATGCATTTCACCTCGAGAGACGATGATGATTCTGCATTCGCTAAGGCGGAATATCGCCGGTTGCAACGTGCTGCTTCATTCCCAGTTTCTTCTGTTTCGCTGGCTTCTTTGTTCGTTTTGTTCTCTCAAAGTAAGCGATTTCCAGAACATCTCTAGACTATCTTTCCAGGAAGATACCGTCACTTATTGATTTTAAATTAGGGCACTTTGAAAGTTGATTTTTCCGGACCCCGCTTTACCTAACGTTTACGGTTCCCGTCTAGGCAACACCAAAAAACAGTGTATGCAAAAATATACCACAAAACCAGCCAAAGTGATATCTCCAAGCGACGACAAGTCCGAACGTCCAGGGCCTCTGTCGCTGGGTGCTACCTGGCCAAGCCACCGTGGAAGAGAAATAATATTGGGATATTAATCGAATAATTAATATCCAACCAACGACATGTGCAGAAAGGGTCCTAGGTGTCTGTTTCTCTTCTGTTAATTGCAAGAAGAGAGAAACTCAAGAAAGGTTTCTTTAATTACAGCGTCGTCTGCAACTGCAAAAGCGCAATCTTCAAGTTCTCTTGTCTGCAAAGAGTTGCGTTGAAATTCTGCAAACTTCCACATTTCCACCCGGATTTATCGACGCTTTTCGCTGGCAAGTACTTATTTCATAATTTTTCGTTGATTAGGAGGCGGTGTTGGGAAGGCTGGTTGTGTTTACGCCGCAAATTCGATGCACATTTGCGAAAGGGTTGAAAAAGGGAAGGAATGAAAAGAAAAGAAGAAGTAACAGTAGATGTAGTTGCAGCCGCAGGCAGAGCTGTTTCAGGTGAGAGAGAGAGATGGAAAGGAGGTAGTTTTTGCTATTGTTGGAGAGGGAGAAATGCCGGAGAAATGGCACGTTTGGCCGTGTTCGTGTTTTAGTGGATGCTTTTTTTGGGGAAGATTGTTTCTTTTCGTTTTTAGAAGCTCTTACAGGTACGTGGGGAAAAAGGTCGGAAAAACTGTGCCGCAGGTGACACTAGAGGAATGATCTTGGAATAGCCGCCTGGCGTGATGGATCTGACACGTGAAGGAGAGGGAGAGACTCTTGTTGGGCTTGGAGATGTAAATAATATTTCCACTTGAAATGCCCTTACAGGTCGGCTTCCAGAGTAGTCTTAGCCGTTAGGTGCTGTGGAATGAGGGTTTGGTTTTTTTTTTTTTCGCTTCAAATGGGGCTTATTGTTTTGGGTCGTGCTGATTTTTTTACTACATTGTTAGACTGCATATAAGAAAGGTGCATATTCCCAAAGAACAAAAAAAAAAAAAATGAGAGAGTATACTCACCCTGTGTGTCTGGCTATGCGGCAAGCATTTGCATGCCAGCGGTATCTTCCGAAACATCCCCGGAGCATAGACCCTAGTTGCCTAGCCTCAAGCCAAACGTGTCACAAAAACCCAGGGGTTAATCCTGGTAACCACTAAAACCTCCTCCTTCTCTCAGGATACTCTCGCTTACGCCCCGATGCGGTGCAGTGCGAGGTGGATCCCTTAGAGGTCATGCTATGCTATGCTCTTAGACAGCTCGGGGGTATGGCCCAATTTAGCCATAGGACCCTCTTTTCCCAATTACTTTCGGTCGGATTTACCACTCTAATTCCGGGGCACCGAAGAGGGGGTGCCTATTTTCCCTAGGTGTAATGCATGCCAATGCCAATGCCAATGCCCAGCCTAAACCTCTCACTTGATGCTACGCACTCACGTCTACTTTTTACACGTAATTCATTTGTTGGTGCAAGCCCTAATGCGGGTGCTACAGCGTGCATTTGCTATCCCCCATTGTTCGTGAAACTGCCCAAAACCTTGCTATTCCTTCTCCCCGTAAATAACCCCCTAGAAAGAAGACGTCATCAACAGTTATAGTATATAACCTCACTACTCCATGTTCTTCTGTTTCATCGTGGGTCTTTTCTGCAATGCACCGCGGCTAACGTCCAGGCCAATGCCAATAAAATCTTAGCAGGTCGTAAATGTCAACTGTCGTCAGGTCAGCGTAAATGTTGGCCCATGCGGCTTCAGAGGCTTCCTACTTCTCGGCTTTTTATTCGTTTTTGGTTCTTGTCGGTGGACGTTTCGACTAAAACACGCAATCTTGTCATATGATAACCGTTGGGGTCCCCAGAAAAAAAAAATGGATGGAAAAATGCATGTTTTATGAAGAATAGGCAGGTCGAAGAAGGACATAACCGGAAGGGAATGAATAAATTAGGAAAGACGTCGGTTCCGTAAACGTGGAGAGAAACTTGAGTTTTTTTGGGGGACATTGAGCAAATATTGATGCCGAAGGAAGAATAATAGAAGAAAAACGATGGAAACAATGGTCTAGAATTTAAGCGAATAAACCGTAGCATGACTTTCACAATGAAACAACAATGCTGCCTCTCGAGACTTTTCTATTTCGTTAAACTTGCTATTATTTGGAGCTCCAGCTTCTCCACGTTTTTCCTAACGTCACTTTGTTCAAATTAGGCAAGCTTTACGCTTTGCGGTTTACCTCACCGAGTCTCCGTTGACGTAAACCTTTCCAGACGTAGCACCACTTGAATAATCAACGCTACGTCGTTGCCTCCGCATAGAAGCACGATTGGTTTTTTTTTGTAGCTTGGTCCAGTGTGGAGTATTTTTCGATTTTGGGGGATGACGACAGAGACACAGTTCGTAAATAGACTGCTGCCTCCATCCTCCACCCTCCACCTTCAACCTTCTCTTCCCAGCCTCCTATTTCTCGCTTACGTGGCTCCAGTTGGTCTGCTTGACTGACCTCATGGCCTTTGCGTCTTGATGCTTTACCGGTGATTGACGAAACCGACTCTACGTTTTCTGGTCTTTTCGGGGATCTTAGGGGCATCACCGGTGGTGCATTTTTATCGAACGATTTTTGAAGAGCTTTTTCTAACAAGCCACAGACGTAGATTAGAGAGAAGATAGCTTTTGGGGATAAGCTGTCGTGCTGGATCGGAGTCAGGGAAGTCAGCAGGATGCAGCATACCCCAAAGGTTGACTCTGGTGGCAGTTTCACGTTGTACATACAAGCAGAGAGAACTATACAGCCTCGTAATTGACGTAGAGAAAGAAAACGGGAAAGTAGAAGGTTCTTTGGAGGGCGTTTGGATAAGTGTTTGGAATTGCTTAGACGAGTTAGTAGGTATGGTGGTGTAAAGGTTTATATGGGGAGGGAGGCGATGCTATTCTTCGGAAAAACGTTTCCCCGAAATTTCCCCTGCAGTACGTAGGAGGTAACCGAAACTCTCTCATAGTAGTGACGTGAGAGATGAAAAAAAAAAGACTTTTCAAGAAAAAAAGGGTATAACGTAGCGAGAAGAGTTAGGAGGCCCAGACGTTTTGGTTTATTTAGAGAAGCGGGACGCACAGCCTGCACTAAGGCAAGCGCAATATCGGGCGAAACAAGAAGACCGAAGCAAGGGCAGGTGCAGCAGCATCGTGCGTGATGCGAACATATGCATATGTGCATACAAGACCCGAAAAAAAACAGAAACCAAAAAAGACGAACAGTAAAAAAAAAAAAAAGAAGCTCATCCATCCCAATGTATGCACACGCAGTGCACGCTGCACCTCCCACGCATCCTGACGCACGGCGGGTCCTACGCAGCACAGCGGGTCCTTTTTCCTAAAGGCCACCCAAGTAAAAAAGAAACATCCTTCCCTCCCCCCTCACCATAATAAATCGTCCCAGCCGCCAGACTCCTGCGGTTCATCCAAAGCTGCAGCTTCCCATCTGGCTGAGAAATTCACATATATAGCTCAGGGTCCCCCGTCTACCTACTCAATTAAACAATTATATATATCAGCGTTTCCCCTTCGCTCATTTTTTTTTTTTAATTTATCATCCTTCCCTTCTGCTGCACTGCAAATCGTCTCTCCACGTCGCAGCCCCATTGTCCCCTGCTCTCCAGCGTCGCTCCTACTGCCATATTCCCTTTGTTCCTTCTGGCCTGCGCTGTGTGGTGCAACCTTTTTTACCCAGATAATATCAGCACCTTCCATTACCAAACAAAAAATTAATTATTTGCCCCTACCCTTGTTTGAAGCAGTAATAAATAATTATTATTATTTCCCTCCATTTATTATTACCTGCCTTTTGAACTGTACAAACCCTCCCTTATATTTACCCCCCAGAGGCAGCAGCAGAAGCACCACTTGATATTATTTTTTGGTCAACCCTCCCCGGTTTCCCCTGCCTTTATATTACTGTTTCAATTCCTTCCGAAAAGCCATAAAAAAAAAATCAACCTCCTTCTTCTTTATCGTTGTTTTGTTGTTTTTGGTCCTGCTTTTTATTTGTCACAGTACTATATTAGTTTCCTTTTGGTTGCCTGATTTCCATTTAGACTGAACCTTTTTTTCCCATCTCCACTGTCAATTCACAAACAGAAAGGAATTATCCTGTTCAACTACTTCAACCAATTGCTTTCAGCATATCACAAGTCCATTTGCTAGTACCTCTCTAGCACATCCATTAAACAACGACTTCGTCTCGTCCAAAGCATCCGCGTTGACTCCCAAAAAGCCAATGTTCGTGACGAGGATCAACCAGGGCCCTAGGCTCCCTTCCTTCTCCGAACTCGTCTCGTCGCTAGCGTACGAGCAAGACCAAAGAGACGCCCAGCATCTGCTCCATCAGCATCATCATTCCCTGCTCCACCACCATCATATGCCTCAGGCTTTGCATCCACATCCCGCCATGGCTCCAGTGCCTTCGATGCCCCAAAGACCTCTTAGCATGCCTGGCCCAGCTATACTATCGCTGCTACCAATGGACCGTCAACAACAACCACCACAACCTCCACATCAACAACAGCATCACATGGACTCCCGCCAGGACCTGCCGCTGGGGTCGCCTTTGGGCAGCTCATCTAGTGCCTCAATGGCGCCTCAATCACAGCCAATGTTCCCTCCCCAGCAGCTTCTAGCGTCGCCGGGCTCGGTGACACCAGTGACGCCAGCCAGTTCCATAACGCCAGCCACGTCGGTGAGCTCATACAACTCCAGCTCCAGCAGTTTTAGTAAGCAAGAGGATCTGCAACGTGGACCTGGGCCTCGTTTATCAAGCAAGAGAAAGCACGCTTGTAAGACTTGCGGCAGGCTGTTCACTACACTGGGCCACTTGGCACGCCACTTCAGAACCCACACTGGCGAACGGAAACACGTTTGCCCATGGGCAGACTGTGGGGCCCGTTTTGCCCGCCAGGATAATTGCATGCAACATTACAAGACACATTTGAATGGGAAGAACAAGAGACGCTAGGCTGTGCCTGCGCTGTGTACCATGAAAAGACACGAGTGACATGATTTCAATTGTAGAACCAGTAGAACCTTTGGTATTGTAGAAGCTGCATTTTGTGCTACGTTCCAGGTAAGTCTTGCTTTCGGTAGCAAGCGGGAAGTCTAACTGCCCTGGCCCAACCAACAACAGCCCACCATATAAACTATACCATTTTTTAGCCCCACCGCTTACACTTAGTAATCACTGGCGACCCCTTAACCTTAAAATCTACCTTTAAACCTTAATTGTTTTCCTAGGCACGGCAAAAGTCCAGTCCAAACTGTAACCGACCAAGCAGCAAAAAAAAAAACCACCACCCAAACGTTTACCACGCCCAGCATATCGGGATGGTGGACTAAAGCAGGCCCCAGGGCCACCACGTCCATTTCCGGATCACGCTGTTTTCTTTGTCCCAGAACGCTGCCTGTGCTAAAGCTTACTGAAAGCAATTGCTGGCGAGTCGGCTGGGCCCTGAATTGAGATGTTCTGCCATTTTTCATGTTCATCTAACATATGCCCAAATGTTCCTGTAGCGTTTAAAAAATGCTTCTACGTTTCCAAGCCACAAGCTACTTCAGCAAGAGAATTTGTCCATAAAGTGTTCCACTTTCAAGACCCCGGCCCAATTGGCAACTTCCCCGAACCAACCCTCTTCCCAACCTTGCTTGCGTCGGTTCGGAACCCAAACCCTAATCTTAACCAACCCTACGCCGAGAAGCTTGAGCACGTTAGCCTGCGGTACGTGAGTAGTAGCTCACCTTGAGTAACAGCCATGTCGTCAGTACGCAAAGCGGCCAGTATTTAGCCCTTGTGGAGGCTGCAAAAACGGCTAGTGGGAAAGGGCCCTTGTAAGACGGACCAAAAGCAAGCAAACCCAAAACTTTGGCGGCGCATGGCGGTTAAGCTGGGCAAAACTGAAAAAAAGTTGCCAGGGCCAGGGCCCAGGGTCCCAGGGTTCGTGATCGCGACAACATGTAGAGGAACAGTTTGGAGCAACGCTCAAAGACATACATGGTGATCTCAAGCAGGATACATGGGAACGACTTGAAAAGAAAATCTACCGCCAAAAGTGCCTCTTCTGTAGAACCCTTCGAGACCAGGGCCCTCCAGGGTAAACAGCCGAGGTGCACCCGCCCATGCTTGCGCCAGGAGGTTGGGCGCCAAAGCCGCGGCAGGGAGAGAATGGCAAATGAAGAAGACGGGCAGGCAAGAGGAAAAGAAGAGGGAGGAGATGGAGGCGATGTAGGCTATGGAGGAGGAGGGAAGGAGAGAAGGAGATTTTGTGAAGAGGTGGAGGTATGTTAGGTAGTCACCGATGTAAGGTAGTAGTGCTGGTAGCTCCAATTCGCAGCCGAGGGATGTTAAGCGGTGGCACAAAATGTAGTGGTTCAGGCAGACACAGTGGAAGCAGAACCAAAGCTGGAAACGTCGTTTTGTCACAAAGTGAAGTAACCACCAGGAAACGCCGTGGCTGGTAGAAGTAGTCCCAGGTTTGGTGGTGTACTGCCACTGCCACTGCCGCTGCCTCTGTGTCGTCCAGGGTCCACTGCCGCCTCGTCGGGTTTAGTAGCGTGGAGGAGGGTGGAGGATGGGTGGAGGAAGGGTGGAGGAGCCGATTATAAGCCCAGGGAGGCAGTTGGATGGTTGTGCAGTGGAGCATGGAAGGGGTGGGAAGGCGGCTGATAACACATCTTTCCATGAACTTTCCAGAGTCACAAAAGCGCAGGGCAGGTAAGAAAAAAAAGAAGGGTCCCCCAAGAAAGGCTATTTCTGGGTGTTCCAGAGATGCTGCGAGAGGGAAGGGGGAGGGAGAGTGAGAGGGATGTAAGAGAGAGAGAGATGGTAAGAGAGGTCTTTTAAAATAGAGAGAATTTTGTTTTCTCTGATGGAATCTCTCAAAACCTCTCGAGACCTGGCGGTCTCTCGAGGTGTTTCGAGATTAGTTAATGGCTCAGCTCTTCAGCCACTGGCGAAACTTTTTCACCGCCAGCGGCCCGCCTGCCGCGCAGATCCGATTAACCTGGGCTTACTTTATTTTTAAGAAACCCACAGTCACCTTCTCTTTCCATCGTTTTCTTCCTTTCTGGACCCTTGACGAACCTGAGGCTGCAGCAAGGCAAAAAAAAGTAAATAAAAATACCTGCTTAATTAAACCAAAGTATCACAAAGTGGCTGCGAAAAAAGAACCCTTTCTGCGGCTGCACTATCACCAAAGAGAATGGGCTAATCCCAGAAAAACAGGTAAAAAAAAAAAAAAAAAAAAAAAAAAAAAAAAAAAGAGAAGAGAAGCAGCAGCAGAAGCAGAAGCAGAAGCATAAGCAGAAGAAGTAATAGCGGGCCGCCGGTCCGTTGCACAAGAAGGCTATTCTCACCTCAAACCTTGAAAGCAAAGTAAGAAGAACATCGTCAAGAGAAATCAGCTGACGGATATCTTCCCAAAGGGTTCTCGATCCGGCCTTGGTTACGACGGGAGCGCCTAAAACGCCCTGCCGAAAGAGCCACAAACCATCACTTTCCTGGTTATGGTCCCTAGCCTTTTCTGGAACTTTAGACGAGACTAGCTCAGGGTCCTGCCAGATCTGGGGCATGGGTAACCTGGAGGCCATAAAAGTTCAGAAAAGTAGTCTTTTCATAAACTGTACCCTTTGTATTGCAAAACCACCTGTATCACAATACCTCAACTTCTTGTTCCCTTCTTTTACCTGAAACAAGCCTTCGTCTCTTTGCACCTTCCCTGCGTCAGCCCGCCCAGGTTTCTGTGCTTGCTTCTGCTGGCAACAGCCTCGGAAGGGCGATTCCTTGAAATGGGAAGGGTTACGGCTCGTGGGTTGCTGCAAACGTTGCGAGCCTTCCTTCTCTCCATGGCCAATTAACCATGCGGTTCGAACCCTGACGTCCCTGACGTCCCTGGCGTTCGGTTGGCTGCGCCGTCACCATAGGCGATCTTTCTCTTTCGGTTAGGAGCTTACTTCATTATGAGCCCTCTTCTTTGTTCGCTTGTATCGCTATATGGGTTTAACCTCGGCTTGATTCGGTACTATCACCGCTGCGGGCCCTGGAGGCCGTGATCCGAACACAATGTGGATTGTTCCCGGTTAGTTCTTTGTGGAACAAGGAAGATGTGATTGTCTTTGTCTTTGTCTTTCTCGAGATATGCCGCATCAATGGTATCTGAGATGGATCATCTTTGATTATCAATAATGGGGTCTCGAGGCTAGTGGAAAATCCATAACTAGTCTTGAAGATCACCAGTATTACGATCAGACATCCGGGCCGCTCAGGCAACATACTGTGGATATGTTCGGGCATTTTCGGGGACTCTGACTACCACTGCGCCGTGGAATTGTGTTTTGTGATTGTTCATTACTTGGAATGCTTCCAAATGGAAGCGGCTCACAAAACCCTCTCTTCAGCACATGTACTGTTTTGTGGAAGAGGTCGACTTGGAATTTCACGATCCACTGTTCTTCACTTTGCAACGTATTTTCAGCGAGGATTATGAGCTCCTTCCATGGTCTCCAGGGACTTGATCTCAGGCAAGCCGCAAAGAACGCCTTCGTCTAGAGTTGCCTGAGAATGTAAGCAAGACGCCTGGAAGGTGGGAACTTGAGGTTGGATGGTGACGTAAACGATGAGGCTTCCAAGTATCGAACGATGTTTGCAGAAGTGTAATTATTTGGTTGCACTGGTCAACCAGGTAACAAAACTGGTTTGCTGCTGTATATGTAAAGGGCCTCGGAAGGACTTCAGAAGAGGTTCTTGCTGGTAACAAGATATTCGTTGTGATGGCGTGGGTGAATGTACTGGTTCCACGGTGAGTGGGAGCCAAATCGGGACCATCATGGAGTACCAAGAGACTGGCTATTAAAGAGACTTGCTATTTTGCTGGTTGAGATTGTAAGTCGCCAAGCGAGGAGCTGGTTTCGTGAAAAGTAGTCTCCAGACTCTCCAGCCAAGTCTGAGCTGCCTTAAGATCCAGATCTATGGGATCAGCAACCCTAAATTCGACTTGCAATGGAGCGACCGTATGAAGAGGACCAATGCTGGTACCCTGGAAGGTGAGCTTTTTAGAGACCCTCAACAAGGCTAGTCTTTGGATGCTCTTGTTGCTAGCCGAAGTATATTTCGATGTTGGGCATTGAGTCCATCAAAGGTCAACGAACCATCTACCAAACCAACCCAAATGACCCAGCCCAACATGTTTTCCGTGTCTACAACACGTCTAGACCGATTCTAAACCAATCATTGACCAACAAACCAGCTTCCTAAGTATCACATGTCTGACCCCATTTCCAGGAAACTTGAAGATCTGCCAATGCCCAAAACAAGACCCTCAAGCACCCCAGACCCTGAACCCTTGCCAGAAAAACGTACAGCAGTACACCCTCGCTTAGGTTACTTACAGAGAGTATGTACGAAAAATGGCAGAGGCAACTAACCATAGACCAATGGTGGAGGCCAGTTTCGAGCAATTTGCAGCCATTCCAAGCGAAAGAAGTCGAAGCAACCAGACAAGCCAACCTTCGAAACCCAAAATACAATTCCATTCATTTTTAGAGTTCCTCCCCCATTCTTGGACCCTTCGAGGCCCATTGAGAACCCCAGAAATCGGAAAACTACAAAAAGACACAGCGGTTAAAGCGCAAAAAAAGGAATACCAGAAAAGCGTCCAAAGACAGAGATGAGCAAAACGGTGAAAAAGTTGGGCCCACTTGAAAATGACGTTTCCAATTGACATAGCCACGTTGCAGAAATTCCGCCAGAGCTTTGTCGTACCCCGAGTTTTAGTCTACTTTTGTTTTTCTTGGATATACGAGGAGAGGAGATATCTCGAGGTATCTCAGGAACATTAAGTAGTCAAGCGAAAAAAAAGCTGAAATTCCGTTGCCCTCTTTGTTAACTGTAGTGGTTGCTGCAACGGAATTTTGTTTCTTAGGCGCGCCTCCTAGTTAATGAGAGGCAGAAAAAGAAAAAGTATAGTCAGAGCAGCGAAAAAACGTCACAAAAGAGGCATAGAAGGCCAAGGAGGCAATTCGTGGATGTGACTCAAAAACAGGCCCAAAAATGCGTTTAAACGGAAATTTTTACAGCCATTTGTCTATGGCTGCCACAGGGAACGTGGGGACACGTTGCTTTTTTCGCTTTAGTCTGGAAGATGCAAAATCGATAAAAACGTCTTTTTTTCGCAGCCACAGTGGTACGAAACTGGAGCCCACAAGGGTCCAAGCGCAATTGGCAAGGGATTTGCAACCCCTTCAATTTCCTCAATTACAGTAGAAGTTGAAGAATCTTCGCCTTTTGGACGCCTCAACGCCTTGAATTTGGTTTTGTGGAACTTACAGCCTCTTCCATTACTGGCTTCCTTTTTTTTTTTTTTTTTTTTTTTCTGCTTCTCATGCCGTGCCATGCCAGCCCATCGGAACGGAATTCTGCGCAGGCTCGCTTGTGGCAGTCATTCTGTGAAAAAAACCACACTAGTATAAATTTATATACCCCTGCTTTCCATTCGTTTGTTTCGTTCTTTTTTCTGTTATCAACTCTTATCAAAATTTTATTTTTCACTTCAAGTGCAGGTCTTATTCCACTTTTCATTGCATCAAATATCAAGCTACTGAAGGAACTATATGTCTGAGATTGCTGGATCACAGACACTCTTCGTACCAGAAAACGAAAGAGTCTCTTTGGACGTGAATAACCTTCAGGTTAACGTCAAGTCCAAGGATGTCGAGTCGGGCCTGGTGCCTATTCTCGACAGGGTCTCGTTTGAGCTTCCCACCAACAATATCATGGCCATCATGGGTGGTTCTGGTGCTGGTAAGACGACGCTTCTTAATGTTCTTGCCCAGCGTTTGAACGTTAACCATGCTACGATGAGCTTTTCTGGTTCGGTCGATTACGAAACTTCCAGTAAGAAGAAGATTACTACTGCTTACATGCAGCAGGAAGATGTCTTCTTGCCAGGTCTTACGCTTCGTGAAACTTTGTTGTACCAGGCTGAACTTAGAATGCCTGGCATTACCCAGTTTGAAAGAAAAGAACTCGTGGACTCTCTTTTGCTGCTTTTGCAATTGAACCACAGATCCGATGAAATCGTCAAGTCCTTCACCAACCACATCAACCTTTCTGGTGGTGAACAAAGAAGAACTTCTTTGGCTATCCAGCTTCTTAACAAGCCTGCATTGCTTTTCCTTGACGAACCAACCACCGGTCTTGACACCACTTCTGCATTGACGCTTGTCCGTATTTTGAGGACTTTGGCGTCTCCACAAATCGGTATCACCATTGTGCTTTCCATCCACCAGCCTAGACCAGAGATTGCCGCTCTTTTCGATAAGCTTTGTGTTCTTGCTCGTGGTGGTCGTTTGATCTACTGTGACTCTTTGAACGATGCCAGCACTTACTTCAACCACTTACATGAAAAGAAACTCGTTGAACAGATTGAGACTGATGCCGACTCCTTCGCTATGTTTAATACGCTCATGACCATGTCTGTGAAACTGACTCGTTCTGCTGCTGAAGAAGCCAGAACTTCCAGAATCGTCGATAGCCTTGTGGAGCTGTGGCGTATCGAACACTCCAGGGACTACTCATTGACCCTTGATGAAGAACAGAGCAAGTTCAAGAGCAACATGAAGGTTTTTAGCTCCACTCAGCCTTTGCCTCTTTGGAAAGAGGTGTACGTGCTTACAAGAAGAACCTTTAAGCTTTCCTACAGAGACTATTTCTCCTTGTTTGCACTTAACGGTATGTCCCTTGCATTGGCCATTGTCCTCGGCTGGATGTTCTACAAGCCTCCTGCTGACTTGGCCGGTATTAGATCGATCACATCTGCCCTTTACGTTGTGATTGAAGTTCTTGGTTTTGCTCCATTGCTTATGGAGCTTGAGAGACTTTGGGCTCACGATGGTGTTTTCTTCTTTAAAGAGTACAAAGAACGGTGTGTCAGTATTCCTGGTTTTGTCATTTCGAGAAGATTGGGCAAGCTTTTGCTTGAGGATATCCCCGTTTCTTTCTTGTTTGCTGTTGTTACTTACTTTATGTGGGGCTTAAGATTGGGTCAGACCGCCGAAGGTCCAAACGATGACTCTACCCACTTTGGTATATTCTTTGCTATCAGTTTCCTTGTCACTGCTATTGCATTTTCTACCGGTTTCTTGTGTTTCACTTTGGGTTCAGACTTTTCCATTTCCGCTTTGATCTCGAATGCTTTCTACCAGCTTCAGAACTCTGGTTGTGGTTACTTCGTTAACGCTGCAACCATGCCTGTCTACGTTCGTTGGGTGAAGTACTGTGCTTACTTCTGGTATGCTTTCGGTGCTCTTACTGCTAACCAATACACTGACTGGATGGGTGAATGTCCTTACCCAGCAGATGACGAAAGATGTTTGGAATACTCTGGTAACTACCAGCTCAACATGTTGGGTTTCCCTAAGGGCTGGATTGGTGAGCCAATTGGTATTCTTGTTGCTTGGTGGATCGGATTCAACATCATTTCTGGTGTTTGTCTTTGCTTCAGAAACTACGACATGGCTGTGGCCAAGAAGAAGAAGAACAAAATTGGTGGAGACGAAGAAGATGAGAGAAAGCTTCTCGACTTGTCCAGTGAGTGCACTGAGGAGAAGGACCGTGTTGCCAGAGAGAGTGTTGCCATCAACGTTAAGAAGATAACATTGTCTGTCAAGGTTAGAGAGACTAGATCTCTTCTTGCCAAGAAAGTTAACAGAGTCTTGCTTGACAATGTTACTGCCAACTTCAAGGCCAATGCCGTGAACGTCATCATGGGTCCTTCTGGTGGTGGTAAGACTACCTTCCTCAACTTCTTGGCTGACCGTTTGCCAAAGACTTCTAGCTTCTCTAGAAGTGGTAACATTTTCTTGAATGACTCCACTGAGGTATCTCCTTCTGAGTTCTCTAAGATTGCCGCTTACGTTACTCAACACGACAACTTGTTGATTCCTCAGTTGACTGTTCGTGAGACACTCTTCTACCAGGGTAAGTTGCGTTTGCCAGTGGAGGAGCACTCTAGAATTCCTTCCATTGTTGCATTGCTTTTGAGACAAACCGGTTTGATCGACTGTGCTGACACTCCTATTGGTTCTGCCACCGTGAAGGGTATTTCGGGTGGTGAAAAGAGAAGAGTTTCTATTGCTATCCAGCTTTTGGGCAGACCAAAAATTTTGTTCCTTGACGAGCCTACCTCTGGTTTGGATGTTGCTACCTCGAAGTCTATCCTTACTCTTTTGCATGAATTGGCTGAGCAGGGTACTACTATCATCCTGACAATTCACCAGCCCAGCAAGGAGATGTTCTGGCAATTCGACTCAATGGTTTTGCTTGCACGTGGTGGTTTCGTTGTTTACAATGGTGACATCGATGCCATGCCTCAATACTTCAAGAAGCTTGGCCATCCATGTCCACAGGAAGTCAACTTTGCTGACCATGTTTTGGATACCGTTTCTAAGAGAAGCACTGAGTCTAAGGAAGAGTCTTTGGCTAGAGTCAACTACATGATCCAGACTTGGAAGGAGGAAGAGATTGACAACGAAAAAGATGCTTTGGTTCCAAGCGAGATGGATCTTAGCAAATATAAGCCTATTGGTGCTCCAGCTTGGGTGGCATTCAAGACTGTGCTTCACAGAACCTTTATTGTCTCCTTGAGATCCACCGATGTTATGTTTGCTCGTGTCTTCCAGGTCTGTGCACTTGGTGCCATTTACGCTCTTTTCTTCGCTCCATTGAAGGGCAACGTCCAAGGTATTAGTGACAGATTGGGTCTTACTCAGAGTGTTATCAACTTGTACTTCTGTGGTTTGATCAACAACTTGAGTATCTACCCACACCAGAGAGACCTTTTCCACCAGGAATACAAGGATTCTGCTTACAACACTTTGGTCTTCCACGCTGCATACTTGCTTGTGGAGCTTCCATTTGAGTTTGTTCCTTGTTTGTTCTTCTCTGTGTTGGTCGTCTTTGGCATTGGTCTTCCAAGAACTGCTGGTATGTTTTTCGCCATGCTTCTTACTTCTACGCTTATCACCAACTGTGGTGACTCCTTGGGTATCATTTGCACAAGTGTCTTTGAGCACTTGGGCTTGGCCGTTAACCTCTTGACCAACATTGTTATGGTTGGCGTTTTCATGGCTGGTACCATGTCGTTGCACATGCCTCCATTCTTCGAGGGCTGGAACTACATCAACCCTGCCAAGTACGCTGTTGAGATCACCACCAACATGGCCTTCCCAGGCGAGACATTCGACTGTGGTGGTGATGCCACTGACTGTGCCCTTAACACGGGTGACGCTGTTCTTGAGTACTACGGTCTTGATGCCCGGGTTGGCAACTCCATCGGTGCTTTCATCGGCTGCGTGATCATCTACCGTATCGTTGCCGTTGGCGCCACTTACACCAGAGCTAAGTGGTTCGTATAGATTAATTCTTTGGGTATATATAAAAAACTAATAATGGATAATATGGGTTAACATGCTTTGTCGAGCTTCACAACCTCGAACTGTACTGGCACACACTGATCGTGGATGGCCACATCGTAGGTTTTATGGAACTCCCCAGCCAGGCACTGGTAGAAGGTGGTTTTGCTGCCCAAGCTCAAAAGGCTATCTCTGGTAACCAGCCAGCCAGCGGCATAGATTGCTCCATACTGAGGCGTAGGCCCGTCAAACTGGAACTGGTGGTTGCCGACAATACACCCAATACGTTCCTCTGGATCCCTAAGAATGCCCTTATCCAAATACATCACGAGAGTATCTTCCTCAGTGCAACTGGAGTACTTGATAGGATGTTGCAAGTAATCTCTACTTTCAAACACCCGTTTCTCTCTCTTTGCCCTGATGAACTTATACTCTGGGACGATATTGACTGGGCCTCCCACAACGCTTCCATCGTCAATGACTTCTTCATACTCTGGAACCTCCCACTCTTCACAGTCCTCTTCTTCAGGCCCTTCCCATGGCACTTCTGGGGCATGCCAGTCTTCAGACTCTTCTTCACAGCTTTCGTCACTATCGTCGCCAAAATCCTCCCTCAAAGGATCATCAGAATCCACCCAGTCTCCTTCACAATCCAGGTCCAGGTCGTCTGGTCTCAATACCTGCCCAATCTCCATCTGCTGGATGTCAGCCCATTTAGTAGGGAAAGACTGGCGATGCTTCTTGGACTCCTGGTGGTCCGTTTCATGATCCAGCCTTGAAGGAGCCTCCCATTTGCCGTTGACATACAAGAATGGTTGGGTAACTATACCCACTGGGAAAGGAAGAGACGAAACAGCACCTTTGGGGCGTGGAGAGGCTGGTTTAAGGAGAGACCAATCGGCGCCGGTGCTTGGGTCGTAGATGGCCAAAGAAGAGGCGAAGAGGAAGGCCGGGATGAGTTTTTTGAAAATCATGGTTTTTGGTGGAAGTGTAAGTAGTTAGAGCTTTTTGCAACCATTTCGCAGGACCCCAGTGGAAGCAGAGATTAGGGAGAGATAAATCTTTGGACATAATTAGAAGAAGAAAATTTAAAGGGAGGAATAAAGGAGAGCTAAATGAAGTTTTAAGGCTCGAGGAGGCTTGAGGTTTGCTTAAGTAGGTGTTGTGATGAATGTCTGGTTACTATGGTACTGAGGGCTTCATGGATGGTTCAACTGTCTCAGTGCTTTTCATGGAAACAACCACTATGTAAGCACTTTTTTTACCTTGACTGTTTCTTTGAAGAGCAAAGTAACCAGATACTCCCTCCTTTAATGTCGGCTTTCATCAACGGCATGGTACACATAATAGGTTGTAGGCACAGTATGGGCCATAGTAGGTATAGACAAAATGCTAGTTGAGATGGTGGATAGTAAATCGAAGATCAAGTCAATATATGGCATACTGGGGCTCTAAAAGTACTTATAAGAGTCTTGATAACATGTATAGCCTATTATGCCTTCCTCAGCAACAACTACAGACTACCCAGACTACTGTGGCTACATTCCTCTATAGCCCGTCTACTTTTACCCCAGTGAAACTTTCCGTGCATCAGAAACCCACCCAGATCAAATTCCGAGATCGGAAACGACCCAACAACTGGCCGCAAACCCAAATCAAATTCAGGTTCGAAGCTCCTTCTCTTACCTTGACAGGGTTCGGAATGTATGGCTTAGCATTCCTGGTCGATGCACCGTACCTTCTGATAAGGAGATTCAAATCGACATGAACGAAAGCAATGTCATGACGAAGTGAAACAGAAACCATACAGCAACATTTCATTAGAAAACGGTCCACTCATCGGGCCGAAACTACCATGATGACGACCCAAGCCAAACTGAAACCTTAACCTTAATGAGGGTCACTGCATTGGGGCGTCGTCTAGGCGACGGACTTCGGAGCGCAAGACGGTCATATTCAGAGACACCCCAACATGACCAGGCTATTAAACAGGGAAACTTTAACCGTTATAGCTTTGGTCCCGTAGAACCCGAAATGACTAGTAGATGGGCTTTTCGCAGCCAGTGGTAGCCATACCATATCTCCAGCTATATCCGCCCAAAACCACTAAAACTAGATTAAATTTCATGTGCATGTCTTAAATAAGCCGGTTTCGTTTATAGATCCCCTCCAGGATAACAATACTATGAGTTTAACGCCTCTGGAGGCTTCGGTGGATGGGGGTCCACCATGAAATATCCTGCATACAACACTAGATGCCTCAAACGAATTAGATCTTGCTTATTAAACCTTCCTCCAACTTCTTTCCACAACAATGTTTAGATCTATATTCCACACCGCCAGGCTCAGTGCTAAGAGGCCTTTCCCTTCTGCCGGAGCCCTTGCAAACCCCCGTTTTGCCAGATTTATCTCCACAGAAATCAAGGATGCCATCGACAAGGCCGTGCAAAGTTCTCCAGTGGTACTTTTCATGAAGGGAACTCCTGAGTTCCCCCAGTGTGGCTTTTCCAGAGCTACGATCCAGATCTTGGGCCAGCAAGGCGTGGACCCCCACAAGTTTGCCGCTTACAACGTTTTGGAGGACCCAGAGTTGAGAGACGGTATCAAAGAGTACAGCCAGTGGCCTACGATCCCACAGCTATATGTGAACAAGGAGTTCGTTGGCGGCTGTGACATTGTCATGTCGATGGCACAGAGTGGCGAATTGGCAGACTTATTGGAACAGAACCAGTGTTTGGTTCCAGAAGAGGAAGAGGAGCCACTGGAGGCTAACGTGAAGCCATCCGAGAGATCATAGAGAAAGAAGTCATTTGTACATATGAAACCTGGTTTCGTTAAATGAGATATAATGCTAATGCCGACCCAAAACCCACAATAAACATCGTGTAACCGATGGGTGTCTTCCACAAGGAATTCACCAGAAGGAAATATCGTAAAAAAATCAACGTAAACACCCGTGACGTACCGGGCTTTATGCCTGTCCACTCTTGACTGAGGACCGTCTTCTAAGTAAATTCAGATCATTCAAATTCAATGTGAACTTGTAATCGCCATTCACACCACTTATAACCGACGACGACCTCGTGGCACAGTCATCATCGTTTTGCAGAAGCTTGGACGAGTCCGTGGATGAAGTAGACAGAATCGAGAGAAGCTTCAAGTTCGTGAGCTTGTCTTTCAACTCGCCAACGCCCTCTTGATCCTCTCCTTCAGCTTCTTCTTCTTCTTCATCGTCGACATCTTCGTCGCCAACTTCTTCTTCCTCTTCTTCTTCGTCTGAATCAAAGTCAGCGACATCTGAAGATAACTCGTCAGAGTCAGAGTCGCCGCCCTTTTCAAACACATCCTTAAAGTTTACATTCTCCATAGGGTTAGGAGTCTTGGGTAAACTAGATTTTCTGTGCTGCCCTTTGCCAGATTCCGCGTTGAATTTCACGTCTCTAGGGTCAACGCCTTCCTTAGGATCTAGATGGCGCTGGTGGTGTGCTAACAGTTTCAAGTTAACATGAGACATGGCAGGATTGTTGAACACGGATCTGATGGCAGCACCAGGCGTAAGGATTCCACCAGGGGACTTGAGACCACCGTTTGAGTGCGTATCGCTCTTGGCAGCGTTGTCAACGGTCAAGGTATCGTTGTTGCTATCACTTGGAGTAGACTCAGGGAAGTAACTAGAGCCTTCGAGCGACACGGCATCTGCAAGCCATGGATGTTCGTAGATCTCATCAAGGGTGATACGAGCCTCTGGGTCGACCACAAGCATCTTGGAGATCAAATCTTTGGCATCTTCGCTCACCTCATCCCACCATGGCTCCAAGAACACATAGTCAGCGGTGATGATTTTGTGAGTAAGAACATCATGGTTGTCATCGTAGAAAGGTGGGAAGCCACAGAGAACGGTGTAAAGGAAGCAGCCAAGAGACCAGATGTCCACAGCTTTGGAATAGAAGTTGCTCTTTGAGGTTGAGCTCTTGAATCTTCTCTTTCTCTCCACACCGCAATGTATAACTTCAGGAGCGGTGTAACCGGCGGTTCCGCAAGGCGTTTTCAAGTTACTCTGCTTCTTGCCAGGGGCAGCAATATCGTATCTCAACTGCTTAGCTAAGCCGAAATCGGCAAGCTTGATGGTACCAATACCGCCACCACCAACACCTGGCTTGAAAACACCTTCATCCTTCTTAGATTCATCATCAGAAGCACGGAGGGCCTTCTTGATTTCCAACTCCGTACGTGGAACATGAGGGATTCTATTGAAAAGAAGGTTTTCTGGTTTGATGTCTCTGTGAACGACGTTGTTTTGGTGCAAAAAGCGGATGGCGTTAAGCAACTGGAAGAAGACGTGCTTGGCCAAGTTTTCAGAGAAGTAGGTGTATTCGATAATCTTGTTGAAGATCTCGCCACCATCGGAGTACTCCAAAACAAGGAAACAGTTCTCTTCCAGCTCAAAGGATTCGATCAAACGGAGGATATTCACGTGGCCACCAGCGTTTGTAAGCTTATTCATGATGTTGATTTCATTCTGGATGTTGTTTAGTTGTTTCAGCGTGAGGTTTGTTTTGTTGATGATCTTGATGGCTACTTGCTCTTTCAGGTCAGTCTTGACACCCTTGTACACGGAAGAAAAAGCACCTTCGCCTAAGAGCTGGCGTAACTGGTACTTTGAAGGCAAGTCGGGATACGTGGACAAGTTAAACATGGCCTCGCCAGGGCTGGATACATCGGGCATCTTTGTTTGAGGCACTGAGAATGTATTGTGAGACAGTAGCACAGGGTCTAACGGCTGTGTCGGAGCGGGAGCGGTTAAACCAGCTGAGGTGTTATTGAAAGAAACCGAAGAATTTTGTTGTTTATTCGGCAAGGATTCAGGAGGAGGGTTCTTGTCGAAGCGTTTTCTAATGCTCTGGGGGTGTTAGTTTGCCGTATGACGTAACTGGGGAAGACAAAAATAAGTGACGAACAAGCGGGATAGGCAAGACCGAAAGTTTGTTCGATTGATTTAAAAAAGTGGAGTAAGGAATGGATTTGGGTGAATTTTTTGGTTGGGGGGAATAAAAGTGGATCTTTTGGAAGGAGTGGGAAGGATAAGGTTCTTTTAAGAAAAAGAAGGTTTGAGAAACCGAAAAAAGATCCGTTGCACAGGCTAACCGGGAAAAAAAAAAAAAAAAAAAAAAATAATAGTAAGCAGCAGCAGCGCAGCGGGAGCAAAAAAAAAGCCTTGTGCAGAAAGTGGAGTGCGAAAAAAAAATACCAAAAAAGCCAGTAAAAAATGGCAAAAGCGAGATCATTCAAGGAGGGAGGGGTGGGAGCATCGGGGAGGGAAAATGACGAAAAAAAAAGTGGCCACCGACAGTGGCCAAGGGGAACAGACACACAGTGTGGGCTTCTAAAAATTGATTCTGGGAAAGTGGAGTGGATAAACAAACACAACTAAAAAAACGGGATGGGATTATTTTTAAAACATGAATTTTATTTTTCTGCTGTTTCTTTGTTTTGATTTGGATGGTTCGTAAATTTGATGGAGGTCTTCTGCCTTTTCCAACGCTGTTTCACTTGAATCTCGTATTTGCCTGGAGACGCTCTCTTTTTTTTTTTCTGCCTGGTTTTTTCTGCCTGGGTTGGATGGCACTGGCTGCTGCTTTTTTTCCTCTGTTTGGCATGAGATGCTGCGAAAAACCCACCACCAGAAAACGGAACACACATTCTGTTCCACCTTCTCCAAGTGGTCCATTCCTCCAACATTCCAATTGAAACATTCACTAGAGCCAGGTTGCGATTTTTCTTCTTTTTCTCTCATTTCTATCTTCTCTCTCTCTATCCTTTCTTCTATCGTTTTGTTCATCTATCTTGTCTTGGGACTTCGGATTCGGCGGGAGCCTCATCCGAGCTTATTCAAGCTCATCTACGTACCAGAAATAAAGTCATCAAGTGCTAGGAAAGCCAGAAATCGGTTTCCATCAAAAAAAGGGGGGCGGCGGATAGGCCGGTATTTATGTTAAAAAAAACCACGCCAGCAGCACAAAAAAGATCAGTGGCCCTGTCGCGCTGGAGCATGCGGGGCGCCAACACGGGACACATAAGAAAGGATGCAATAAGGGCAGACGAAGACGAAACAAAGAATCCAGAAAGGGGACTTGCAGTGGCTGAGAGAGGTTCCACGAAGAAGAAACGAGAGGGAAGATGTTGATCAAAAGACGATATTCCTGGCTGGTCGGACACTTGGATCACTTGTTGGTGGGGTGGACCACGATGGTGCAGATACATGAAATGCCAGGCTATAAACCCCCTATCTCTGCCATGCCCAAGGCATGGGAAGTCTATTTTAGATCTCCTGCTGGTGCCTCTGGGCGCATGTTGTTTACACTGGGGGCCTTTCTTTTTTTCTCTTTTCTTTGCCTGGTGTTTTTCCCCAGGGTGGCTATTTTTTTGTTTTCTGACTTTCTGCCCCACGCCTGTCTGACGTCACGGTGCGGCCCCCTCAGACCAAAGGTATCTCCAGGGCTTTCTTCAGGAATGTGGCTGAAGATCAAAACGCTGGGAGGGGTGGAATATCTGACAAAAGCTTCCCTATTTCTGGCGATACTTTGCTGACAAAGTATGCTTTTCTCATGGAGTATAGGGGCTGGGTTTCTTGGGGGCTGTTTGTTCCCCTGCAGTGGAGGTACTTCGGGTTCGCGCGGTCTTACTCGGAGTCGGAAGAGTCAGACGGATCCACAGCCAACCACAGCCAACCAGTGGCTCCACAGCCCTCTTTTGGTTTTGAGCTTGATGATGGGTATCTGTAATGTGTCATGAGTTTTGCTTGACCGTCCAAGCCAGGCTCAAGCCATGATATGGAAGCCTGTGTGAGTTTCTGATGGTCGGTCGGTTCCTGCCGTGCCGGTTTTTCGCAGCCACTTTGTCTCTGGCTGGTTGTGGAAGATACTGAGTTTGGGTTATAGGGGTTGCCAGGCGGAATGGAGGGGAACGAAGGTGAAGGGAAGGTGAAGGTGACGGTGACGGTGACGGTAAACGCTGACGTTGACTGAGTGCTTGATTTCTGGAGACCTCAAGTGGAGTGCTTGTTTGACACCAGCCGTCAGATCTCCATGAACACGCTCAATGTCATCTACACCCGAACCCCGACCAAGCGTCACTTTCACCGCCACTTTAAGCTTCAGATCATACTTCAGATCAAACTTCAGATCATACTTCAACCTTCTACCTTTACAGAACACCCAAACCAAGCCCCCAACCGTGCCCTCACAACCACTACATGCTACGTCTACTCCTCCCAGTACCGTATGCTTATACCTTCCTGTTTTTCCCATGAAACCCATCTGTTTTTTTCACGGCTGTCCTGTCGTTTGGACGCTGGGAGTGGCTCCCGATGTGGCTTTGGTCCGCCAGTCCCATAACCACCATTGCTCAATGGCCTGTCTGCCAATCCACAACAGCCACCACTCCAGGTCACTCCATCCTCTGATTTCCACCCACCAAGTAGTTCTTCACCCTTATTCAAATCCCCATTATCTATCCTTCTTCACTGCTTGGCCACCACCCACACTTGCTACCCAACACCTGCTTCCTGCCTTCCTGGGCTCGTTTGCAGCCATTTCAGGAAACCGGTCCACGGGCCACACTGACCTCCGAGAAACCCACCTCCGTATGGCCAGAAGGAGAAACCTTTTGATTTTCCGCCCCTCGGTGCTTGCTGTTTCATTATCTGCCGCTATGCCTCCTATTTTTTGGTCTTTTTTTCAGTGTTTTACTTCTCACTTTTAAGTGTTTCTGCTTGAGGGGGCTACTTTTGCTCGCTGTGCTGCAAGTAGCAATCCTACACTTACCCATATTATGGGTTCTTTTTTTTGGTCCAAGTGTGGGACATGTTCAGTCTTGTCTTTATTTTGTCCTCCCTAATTTGGCATATCCTTCATCCCTTAACTTATTGCGTTTTTTGGGGGTACCAAGCATTTTTTTTTTTCTTCTTTGCTTTGCTACTTCTCTTGCACCAAGGTTTATCTCTGTTTACCTTATTTGGCAGTTACGTCATTGCTTATTGTTTTTATGCTTCGTATTTTACGCTGTCTGTCGAGGCACAGTATAGGCTTTGGCGAGGTTTCCATTGTTCTCTGCGGGGTACCAGTCACGACGGAGCGTGTTATCGGTCAAGGCACGTGAAGAGGCACGTGATTGCTATCACGTGTCAAAAACGACAACACGTGCCAGATCATGTGCCCAAATCGATGCCATCTCTCACTATCTGTTTTCTTCACTTCAACCCTTCCACGTCCTAAACGCCCCAGAATCCCACCTTATGAGCAGCAAGTCCAAAAAGTCCGTTTATTCAACGGCAAATATCGATTCGGCCCTGCTTGCTGAATTGGAGGTCGTCTCGGAGTTGGGTGTTTACGATGATCTCGCTCCTTTGGTGTCTTTCGTACATAAGGGTCTTTTGATGAAGACTCTCCAGAACTTTGGCCATTTCACATCCGCTACTGATATTTCAAAGATTGCACAGACAATGTTACGGTTGGCTGGAATTCTCGAAGTCATCAATTTCATCTTACACGAAGCTTCTCCCACTGATGCAACTGCTACTCAGTCAAGAGCCAAACTTGAGTTCCTAGAACAGAGGGAACGCCTTACAGAGTTTTATACGGAAATTCTTCAGAACCATTTAAAGCATTTTTATAAGATCTTTTCATTGAGAAAGCCTTCGGCGATCAATCCAAGTCTTCGTGTGCTTAGTGCTCTTGTGGGTTATAATAGCCATGCACTTTTCTCAAACTTTACTGATTCGTTTGATTTCAACCATTCTTCGCTTATGAAGCTTCTTATCCCTACAAAAGACGATTTCGAGAGGAAATTGATCACAGAGAAGTCTATGCGTTTGCATTTCATGAACTTATACATGGCAGTGGCTGCAAAATCGTCTCCTGTTCTCAGGAAAGCACTCTTGACGAACTTCAAAATCATGAACAACTTCTGGAAATATATGGAAATGGACCGCTACGAAGTGCTTATTGCCGTCATTGGATTCATCGATAAGAGCGTTTTATCTGAACCTCTCCTTCGACGCATCTCCAAATGTCAAATCTTGAATGAGAACTTTATATTTAAATTCAGCTCTCTTTTCTCGTTTGTCAAGCCTGAAAATGATCGTGCTGGAGACGAGGATGAAGATGAATTCAACAGATTTAAGTCTTCCTTCACTGACCTCATGAACACCTTGGTGACTGACCAAGAGAAGGGTATTACGTTCCCATTGAATGAGTTTGGATCTCCTATAACCGTCCATAACAAAACCTTCAAGATCAACAACAAGCTCATTTATACCCTTTTGACGGCCCTTCGACCATGGGAGTCATACACTCAATTGCAATATGTCATGACAATCATCAACCACAATACCGAATTGGTCCCACCTTACATGAACTGGATTGTGTCAAGTTCTGGTGGTTACCATGACCCTTCTCTTTCTGCTTACTGGGTTGGTCATACGTTGTTGTACAGTGAAATCCTTAAGTCCGACTCGCTTCCTGCCAAGTTTGATTTCATTTCCTTACCACCATTGTCTCCAGCGTCACTTGTTGCATGTCTTTCGTTCAATAACGACTTGGTCAAGCAGTTTGGCTTGCAGCTTATCCTTCTTACGCTCAACAAGTTGGCCAGAAACAAAGCTTCCCAATCGCTCATAGACTCCGTTTTGAGTACCCTTCCTCCACAGGCATCATACATTCCTTTACTTTCGCATGAAAATGATCTTATAAAGTTCACCACCACTGCCATTGTTAAGAGTTACGAGCAGTTGGCACCATCTTCTTCTTCGTCTGCTGTTGTGAGTGCTGTTAAGGAAAACTTAGCGAAATTGGACTTGGATAACTGCAGCAACCGTGATTTGGTCTTGCTTGATAACTATCTTTCTATTCAGTCAAACAACGACTTGAAGTGGTGGAGCAAGCTGCCAAAAGGAAATTCGTTCTTTACTTCCTTGCTCAAGCTTTCCAACATCGAGTTCCTCAAACCAAAGACACTTGCCATTCTTTCCAAACTCACGTCCACCTCCATTGTTTTCAACCTGAGCAACTTGATTGACTCGCCTTTATATGCTTTGATTGAAGCGTGCTCTACTATCATCAACTCTTCTTCAGCTGACAAGCTTTGGAACTGTTTGGACGAAACTATCTCAAGAGCGGTTAAGACGCCATACAAGTACTTGGATAAGTCTCATTTGGAGTATTCCGATTTGAGTATCTTTTTCGTGGTTCTCTTCGAACAGTTCAAGTTCATACCCAACTACGAGAAGGAAAAAGACTTGCTCGCCTGGTTAGCCAAGTTTGTAACTGATTCCGTGGTATTGGGTGAATCCTTGGAAGCCGTTCAGAACCTTTCAAAATCTAGTGGTATTCCATTAACTCTTAACTTGAAACTGATCAAACCTAAGGAGAACTTAACCAAGAAGTTTGATTTCGCTCAACAGCTCTATGTATTCAACAGGGACGTCAACAACGGTGTTGGTGACTCAAAGGTGTTCGATCATGTTTCGAAACTTGGAAACTTCCTTATCAGTTTGGGAAGTACAGATAAGGCTCTTGTGGAATTCATCAGTAACCCTGACCATTGGTTCTTTGGTAAGGTATTCACTTCTGCTACCATCACTGAAACACAGACATTGGCTATTTCTTTACTTGCAGAACTCTTCAAGCAGATGGAGGTTGACTTTTCGAGCACTAGCCTTAACACCTTCTTTTTTGATGCTGCAAATAAGCAACTTCCACCATCTAGCCAGAAGCTTCTCAGCAAGTTCTTGTGGGCATTCACTGACGAGCAACTTACTGATTTGGCAGCTAAGGTTGAGAATGAATACCTTGTGGTCGAGGTGCTCAAGGCAATTGACGAAAGAAAGATTGACTTTAGCCCTGATTTGGTAAGCTTGGACAAACTTGGTCATCCAGAGATCAAGTCTGTTTTGGTTCAATTCCAGCCTTCTGCTAGTCAGCTTGAAGCCATTATTGAAGATCCTCAGCTTCACTATCTTCTCGATAAGACCAATGATGCTCTTATAAGTCACATTCTTACTAAGGATAATGTTGATGATGAGCTTCTCTATAGACTCTCCTCAACTTCAAGGGCGGTTATTGAGAAGCATCAGACTCGTGCAACTGAACTTGCTTTGAGCATGAAGAACTGGGCCTGGTCCATCAAGATCTTTGCATTGTCTCCAGAATCTTTCGATCTCGCTAATGTTTCTGAGCTTCTTCTCACAGGTTTTGAGAACGATACTAAGGTTGGCTTTTCCAACGACTTTGTCAAAGCTGTTGATGCCATTGCCAGAACCAACTACTCTTCAATCAAGAGTTACCAGGAAAGATTCAATGTTTGGTTCCACAAATGCATGCTTTACATCACCAAGAAGTTTGCAGAGTCTAAGGAATTGTCTAATTCGTTCAATGGGTTCTTGGTATCTATGGAGAGTTTGTTAGAGGTGTTGGAGAATCCATGGAGGATGTGTCCTGGTTCAATCCTCAATGCTCAACTAGAGGTGTTCCTTGGTCACGCTCAATGGGTTAATTCTGAGGATTGCAGTCGCTACGCCAATAAACTTGTGTTTTCTTCAAACTCCAAGGGTGTTGCTGGCGACAAGTTGCTTCAAATATATCTTAACAATCAACTGCTTCCACTTAAGAAGCTTCCACAAGAAGGCGATGCTGCTTTGCGTTTCCAGAGTGGTTTGTTGATTCACAAGCTTTTCAACGTTCAATCAAGTAAAACGTCATTGAACCTTCTTAATCAGTTGATTATGCTTTACCTTGGTTCTACTAGAGCTGAAGACTTGCTTTTGAAAGATACATTAAAGGTGGTTGAAAGCAAGATAAACAAGAGTTGGGTTGATCAGGTTACCAGTTGGGACTTCCTGGAACAGCTTACCCAAAACGAAGTTGAGTTAGTTGGTGAAGAACGCTTGATCATCAAGGATAAGAACACAATGGTTGTTGCGCTCAAGAAGGCATTTGTTATGAACAGCATTGCTGCTCCAATGAGAAGTGTGGACGTTCCTGTGCTGCAGAAGTATGGTGACTACGTGAACCTTTACGATAACTGCCTCAAAGCGCCTTACAAACAAACAGAATATGACCCAGAGTTCCTTCTTTTGGTTATCTTGAACAACGACGAGTTGGTTTCAGAAAAGGAAGGTATTGTCACATTCAGCATAAGAAGACTCATTGAGTCCCTGATTTTCCAGGTTATTGTTCTGAACCTCGCTCACGATAAAACCAGAGAAGTTTCTAAGATCTTGTTGCACGGAATGTGCAAGTTTATCCAAAACCAGGAGAACTCTTACAAAGACAAGACTATCCTTTTGGTGTACTTGTCTTCCATTTTGCATACTTTGAGAGTGGCAGATCACCAAACGCCTCTTGTGTGGAACATTATTGGATCGCTCGCAGAAGTGATTATCAACCCAGGCCATTTCCTCTATGACCGTGTTTGTCGCTACATTTTGACTAACCCGATTTTCAAGGCCTATGAGATTCCACTTTACTATGGTATCGCAAACGGATCCTCCAACGATGATCTTGAAGAAGACACTTACTACAAGCAGGTTGCTTGGATGATCGAGCAGCTTATTGCTGGAACCAAGAATGGTGAAGATTTGAATGCCCTCAGACTCAAAGGTGTTGTGGAATGGGCCCTCAATTTGTCCAACGTTGACTACGTCACTGGCCATTTGCGCCACAAGCTTTTCCACTTGATCTACCAAATCCAAAGTATCGGTGGAGAAGGTGGAGATATGTTGGTGACGAAATTTGCAGGTCTTTCGTCCATGGAAGCTGCTAAGCTTGTGGTTCCTCAAACCTTCTCTGGAGAACAGTTAGCACTTAACATAGACCAAATCGGCGCCAGATTCGGTTTGCTTTCGCAAACCAAGCGTCTCAGGGAATGGACTTCAGAAGATGTCGGCCGTGCCGTCAAGAGAATTCACTCCTCTACTTAGCATACTAGCATTAATATTAGCATAGATGAATCATTAATGGTCGTGGTGTAGAACAAAAGCTTGCAAGACTTGCTTTATTAAGGCAAGCAAAGCTAGATAAAATAATACAAAATGAATAGAAGTAGTAAATGTCAAAAACGTCAGAAACGTCAAAAATGTCAAAAATGTCAAATTATCACAGCCTTATAGGTTTCTCTGCATTTGGTCCAGTACTGCCCTGATGCTCATCAAGCATAGTCACCACAAAAGACAACATCTTTTGAAAATAAAAGTCAAATAATTTCCATATTCACGCTGAATCTTTAACAAGTCTAATTCGTCTAAGAATCATATTTATATATACATTTCTGACCACTTTCTTCACCTTCTCTGCTTTGACGTATCTAGCGTAGTGCATATTACTAGCACGGCTTATCGGGAGTCTCAACAACTTCTTTTCATACTACCTTTCTTCACTTCCATCCTCCATCATGTCGGTATGTACGAATCCTTAACCCATTCTCCTTTCCCTAATCACCTTCTAACATCAGCTTGGTAAACTTACCCACTACGGTGTGGACTTGGTGCTCATATCCATCATTTTGGCCGGTATCCATCGCAACACTGGTCTTGTGTTTGACACTTCCCACTTCAGCTCTGTGGATGTTCGTAACTGGTTTGGCAAGTACTTGGCCTTTGGCGAAATGTGTTACGACAGAACTGTGTCTCTTTTGAGAGTTAGCGGTTACTTTAGACAGAGAAACTTGGTCATGGACAACATTCTTGACAAGGGCAAGAGCTACTTGAAGAAGCAGACGGGCAGTGACCTCGACGACTTCACCAGAAAGTAATTGAACAAGTGCTAACGGGTCGTTTAATGCTGTTTTTGGTATCTGTTTTTGTTTACTATTTTGTCACGTGACCGTAATCACGCTTCGCCAGCCAAAGTTCCCGCTCAGGCTACTACACTATCATGTTCCTTCTATAGTTCATCTGTATGTATAGATCTTTCATTGGGTATTGCCCTCCTGTCCTATGGCAAATATCCGATCAGTGAGATCACAAATCGAAATGCCTATTTATTGCAAAGTATCAAGATGCGTTGATCACATTACCCATTTTGCAATATGCTGATCATGAAAAACTGGTACTGACATCAAATGTAGAACATGCTTACTCAGGAGAAACTCGCCCAGGAGTTTGTGAATGCAATTAACCTTGAATTGCAGTGTGACAACATCCTCACAGACTCCTACCTTTCGAAATACTCTCCCAAGAAGCTTGCCTCTTTTGGGCTTGCTATAGTGAACTTGACCATGACCAACATGAGATCAGGCATTGGCGGAAAATCGCTTATTGAACTCAGTTTGGATCCTGCTGTGTCTCAGCCAGATGAAGAGATCAAGTCTGGTTCGCTTAGAGTGGGTGATATTGTTCAATTGGATAAGATGAAGAGTGCCACTGCTAAGGACTCAGATAAGGAATCTACGTCATTGGAGGGTGTTGTTACGAGACTTTCCTCTTCGGCCGTTACGGTATCTGTAGAAGAAGACACTTCAGACGATAACTTGCTCAATTTGTATAACAACACTGGAAATGACCATTCCAGGATGTGGATTGTCAAGTTGACTAACTATATTACTTATAAGCGTATGCTTCAGGCGATGAAGAGACTTGAGACGCTTAGTGAAGGTAACAAGAACGATGTGTTGAGGATATTGTTAGGTGAAGCTTCGTTTGTTCCAAGAAAGGCTCCCAAGACCAGAACTCTGTTCTTTGATAAGCTGCTTAATGATTCCCAAAAGAAGGCTATCGATTTTGCTATTCATACTTCACCTGTGACCATTGTTCATGGACCTCCAGGAACCGGTAAAACATATACACTAATTGAGTTGATCAAACAGTTGACGTTCAATCATGGTGAACGAGTGTTGGTCTGCGGTGCATCAAATATATCAGTGGATAATATTCTTGAGAGGTTATCGCCTGTTTTTACTACTGAAGAGGATACTAGCGGCAAAAAAAGTCGCCGAAAGGCTTCCAAAACATCCCTTAACAATGAGCATCTTATTCGTATAGGTCATCCAGCAAGACTTCTAGAGGCAAACCATAAGCATTCTTTGGATGTTCTTTCCAAATCCCTGGCGCTGTCGGGAAGTGAAGCTGGAGAGCAAAGAGCAATCTTACGTGATGTTGAAAAGGATATCTCTTCAACCCTTTCCCAAATCAAAAAGTCTAAGAGGTATGGTGAACGCAAAGCTCTTTGGGGAGAAGTGAAAAGTTTACGTAAAGAGCTCAGGACAAGAGAACAGAAAATTGTCCTGGACTTGCTTCGAAATGCTAGAGTCATCCTTTCTACATTACATGGTGCTGGATCTAACGAACTCTTCCATATATACAAAAGCGGCGAATTCAATATGGAAAATCCGTTCTTTGATACTATAGTGATTGACGAGGTTTCTCAATCTCTCGAGCCACAATGTTGGATCGCTTTGGCTACACATCTTGGCTTCAAACGACTTGTGATTGCAGGTGACAACTTACAGCTTCCAGCTACTGTAAAGTCCAAAGAGGAAGCAGAAAAACTCAGAAAATCCAAGAAGGAAGAGCCCTTAGCGGATCTAGAATTCACCCTCTTCGACCGTTTAATGGAGTATCATGGCGGTGCAGACTACAAGAAGTTACTCGATGTTCAGTACAGAATGAACACAGAAATCATGGAGTTCCCCTCAGAAACGCTTTACGACGGGCAGCTCAAAGCAGCTGACTCTGTCAAAGACATTATTCTCTGCGACCTTGATGACGTTGAAGAAACAGAAGACACTCAAATCCCATGCATATGGTACGATACGCAAGGTGGGGACTTCCCTGAAAGAGTGGAGGACGACGATGGTAAAAGCGTATTGGCAAGTACAGGCTCCAAGTACAACGATATGGAGGCCAGTGTTGCAGTGCAGCACATAGCCAAGTTGATCGAGGCAGGAGTCAAGCCAGAAGAGATAGGAGTGATTTCGCCGTACAGTGCCCAAGTGGCAGTGTTGAAAAAGGCTATACAGAAGGAGCTACAGTCGCCAGGAGTAGAAGTCTCGACCATTGACGGATTTCAAGGCCGAGAGAAGGAGGCTATAGTGGTTTCACTAGTGAGATCCAACGACGAGCGAGAGATCGGCTTTCTCAGCGATAGGAGAAGGCTTAATGTGGCGATGACAAGACCTAAAAGGCAGCTCTGCGTTATAGGAGACATGGAAACTCTAGAACGCAGCAAAGACAAGTTCCTCTGTGCATGGGTGAAGTACGTTGAAGAGAAGTACGAAGTTAGGTACATCGATGCCGTGGGGCTCTAGACCGACCCCCCTTTGTGTTCAAGCCAAGTCCGATGTAAGGTTTGTCCAATGACAGAAAACCGTGCCTTATTCTGAACAACGGCTGGATCTAAGCGACGACGAAAGGGGTTATATGGTGTGCAGCGAATGTTGATGAGAATCAGGTGGTGGTTGGAGAAACGCAGTTTAATTGGTCGCAGCGAGCCGCCTCAATGAGCCACCGACGTTTCTAGACTTGAGAGGTTTTATGCAAACAAACAAAACGTCCAATAAGGAAACACAAGAGACCGGAAAAAAAGAAAAACCAAGAAAGAAAATGAAATAGGGGAATCGGGCTCGATCTCATCCTCATCTGGACCTGATTGTCCTTGCTCGCATTGAGATCTGGTCTAGTTCCAACTTGAACGCTTTTTTTCATGCTTTGTCGGCTTTGGGTTGTTTTGAAAATCTCTCACCTGGCTCTTGACTTTTTTCACAGTTATGGCTTAACCTGTAAGCTATAAACATCCCCGAAAAAATCACTCCATTGGCTGTTCCCAAGAGCAAACATCACTTGGCTGCGAAAAGGCTAGAAAAGCTTGTTCCCATCTCGGCACCAAACCCAATTCCAGACTGCCCTAATTAGGCCCACATTGGCCTCCTTCCATGCCAAATGGCTCCTTTTTCTGGCGCGACTCGGCTTCCAGGCGCGCCTTGTCTGCATGCCTTGTTGACACTTTTGCATGGGCTTGTGCGCTGTGCAGATTCGCGTTTGCAGCCAATTTGGAGGCAGAGCATTCTTTCGCCAGACTTTGGGAAAAGAAAGAGGGCCTTTTTGAAGATCGGGTGGTTTTGGGTTTCGGGGCTTGGGTCGACTAAGAGTAGGTCTTGGGGGGTCCAGAACGAAGAGCAAGAAAAAAAGTGGGATTTCTGGAGATTATAAAGGGATCGCATTCCGCCCAGATATCTCGTTTCCATTCTTCTTTCTATACCAAGCACAAAGCCAAAACACGATCGTGTATATCTGCCGTCGCTCTTGTCGTACTTTTGCTTGATAAACAGTCGATTTTTCGCTCCTTCTATCGTCTACTACTTTTATTTTTATTTCTACGTGATACCATGAAGTTTTCCATCGCTGTGGCTGCCACTTTTGCTGCCGCCGTTTCGGCAAGAACCTTCTTCGAGACCAACACTCATTACGTTACCGTTGACCATAATGGCAACATCGTTGGCGGCAGTCTGGCTACTGCTGCTGCTGCCGTGAACGACTCCGGTGACGACAACAACAACGACCAAGGCAATGACGACAACCAGCACGAGGTCCAGGAATTCGTTACTCAGGGCTTCCAGCAGTCCAGCCTTGACTCTTCTGCTGAGGTCTCCTCCGAGCCTCCAGCTCAGACTGTCACTCCTTCCTCCCCAGCTGCTTCTCCAAGCGCCAGCCCTAGCAGTGACGTTTCTGGCTTCGAAAAGGACATCTTGGATGCCCACAACTCCAGAAGATCCAAGCACTCTGCTAAAGCTTTGACCTGGTCCGACGAGCTTGCTGACTACGCTCAGAACATGGCCGACAAGTACACTTGTGGCTCTGGCTTGCAGCACTCTGGTGGTAAGTACGGTGAGAACTTGGCTGTTGGCTACGCTGACGCCGAGAAGACCGTCAAGGCCTGGTACGACGAAGGCTCCAGCTACGACTACTCTAGCGCCAGCACCTTCAACCACTTCACTCAAGTTATCTGGAAGGGCTCTAAGCAATTGGGCTGTGCCAAGAAGGACTGTGGAGGCAGCCCATACGTTGTGTGTGAGTACTTCCCAGCTGGTAACATGATTGGTCTGGGCAAGCAGAATCTCGCGTCAAACTAAATAGGAAAGGATAAATAAAAGAATTACGGAATGAACTGATATGGTTGTAGGTCTAGCCATTTGACGATACTCTCGTACGGTTGGAATGCTAGACGATTTACCGGCTGCCCGTCAATTACGGGATGGTCTTCCTGAGATGAAAGGAAAGAAGCCGTGGAAACATTGTAGGAGAATTGCAGATCTGTATTGACATTGTATATCCTTGTTGATCATCGAAGACAAGGCCCAAAGCGGCAGTTTCCATCCTTAAAGTAGCTTTCTGGGTTAGTGGAGAACTCGAGGCCAGAGTAACCGTAGTTGGTTGGCAAGGCAAAGGTTAGTGGTTTGAGAGATACGAAACCCACTTGGGAGATACGAAACCTATTTTGGAGTACCGTTTGCAGCCATTACATGTCCCGAACGGGTGTGGCTAAGTCCACAAGGGCTTCAAAAAGTATAAATCTGCCCTCCCTAGTCATCCCATATCTAGCCTCCACTTTCCCCTTCTTAGTTACAATTTTTACCAAAAAATCATAAAAAGGAAAAAGTCCCGTATTTATACTATTTGGCACCAAAGTGCGTGTTTACGAGAAACCATTGTTTCTGAGTGCACAATCGATGGAAAAGTAGCTAAAAGTCACAAATTTCGCAGCCATTATCCACCAACGTGGGCCAAACAAGAACCCACTGAATATCCTACGTATTTATATAAGTACCTATAAAAATCCATAAAAATCCCTCTTTTTCCTTAATTTTTTCTACCCCAAATTCCTTTGTGGCTCGGCAAGCGTTGCCTTATTGAGCCGTGTCTTGGCCAGTCGCATACTGACTCATGTCATATTCTTAGCTGTCACATATTGAAAGCCAGCCACAACGGAGTAGAAAGGGGATACCCAACAATCATAGCTGGCAGAATAAAAAGAAATAAAAAACAGCCATATATAAAGAGCCCGATTCCCCCAAATTTTCCATATAAGTACTCTTGTTTTTCCACCACTTCATCCTCTCCTCCCCTCCCCTTCTTCCTCTTCTTCCCCTATGTCTGTCTCATCCCAACATGGACAATTTCGCAGCCACAAACGGCTTTCTCAGCACGCCAGACCGCGAGTGCCTATGACTCAGCCTTGGCCAGGGGACCTCTAAACGCCTTGATTTGATGGAAAAAAAACTTCATTTTCATACTTTAACAATCAAGAAACTCAATTTTCCTCGTTTCCACTTGTTCTACACCTTCCAAAGGCCTGACTCTCCTATTGTGTTACGAGATCGTACTGCACACAAGCACCCTACCGGTCTTCTCTCTATCTCAGGACCTCTATTAACCGCCCCGACAAGCTTTCCCAACATCTTCCATACCATTTGCACCTACTTAACCTCCCTTCCCTTTGGGCTCCCATGAACAACGAGCTACCGAACAAGCTACCTCTGCAGTATCTGCTGCCTGTGGCGCTGCCTGGCCATCCGGGTAACGGGAACGGGAACGTCATCTCAAGAGGCCCAACTCCGGGTCCGGGCGTCAAGGAAGAAGAACACGAAGTACAAGAGGAGACTGATCCTGATGTGGAAACAGACTCTAAAGAACCAAAGAAGAGAACAGCCAGGGCATGTATTCGGTGCCGTTTTCGCCATACAAGGTGCCCTGGTGGCCAGCCATGTCTGAAGTGTCAAATGGCCAAAACCAAGTGTGAGTACGTGGAGTACGAGAAGAGACTCGTGGTTTCACGGAAATACTTGTATAAGCTTCAGGACGACATCGCCAGACTAAAGAAGGAGAATGCTGCATTGAGAAATTCCGTCAAGGAGGCTCCTCGTAAAGTTTCCCCGACTTCTTCAGAGACGGCTGTTCCTCAAGTCCAACCTGCCGAGCCAGGTACGAGCCAGTTTGGCGGTCGTTTTGGTTCTAACATCCCTCCTGCTCCTCCAGAGACGTCTCCAGAGTTTCATCCTGCTGCTAAAAGTGACCCTACTGGCCAGGAAGTCATCAACCCATCCCTAGACAAGTATGGAAGACTCATTCAATCCAGAACAGGTGAAAAGCTTTACGTTGGTTCGTCCTCTATGACGCTTTTTGGTCTTGAAATCCAGAACATGGCTCCATCCTTCGACCAGCATTCGCTTCTTCATCCCAACTCTGTCCACACTACGCCGGTTGACTCACCGCAGAGCCAGTTCGTCAGTCAAAGCAGCTTCCAAGATACAGCTACCAGTGAAGTCAGAAGACAAACGAAGATCTTGGAGAAGGAGGGCAATGCATACAACATCACGTTGGCCAAAACCAACACCCGACCCGGTCTCTCCGTCAATTTCACCTTACCGTCATATTCATACGCCATTCTTCTTGTGGATACTTTCATCAGCTATAACGATGGTTGCTTCTATTTCTTTAACGAAGGCCTCGTTAAGCGCTTCCTTATGAACTTGTACCTGGGCAACACTACCGAGAACAAGAAGATCATCAAGAGGAACATGCCTTTAAGGGTTGGTCCGTCCGATGATGAAAACACCATCAAGAAAGATACTGACAACGAAACCATTCTTGAGACTATCTGGTTCTGTAAGATCTTATTGATCTTCGCTGTGGGTGAAATGTACTTGGGTACCGACTCTGATACACATCTCGAGCGCTCCAAGCAAGAGAGAATCCACATGTTTGGTCAGAAGAAGAGCAAAAAGAAGGATTCTAGTAAAAGAAACACTCTACCCGGATCTGGTTTCTTCTACCAAGCATCTGAGCTCTTCACAGGTCTTTTTGCATCCGGTGCTATCGACAACATAACCAAAGATGGTGGTATCGAAGTCATCCTCTTGTACGCCTTTTACCTTCAGGTAGCCGATTGTACCATCGCATCATACTTCTACTTTGGATTGGCGCTTAGATCGACCTTAATTTTGGGATGGCATGTTGATGCGGATATGGAGAACTTGAACAGATTCGAATTAGAACATCGCAGAAGAATCTGGTGGACCGTTTATATGTACGAGCGTATGCTTTCGTCGAAAGCAGGTCTTCCATTGAGTTTTGCTGATGACAGTGTCTCCACTGAATTACCATACGACTTCAAGATAGATCTTGAAGATTTCCCTCAGGACGAGAATGATGTGAGAGGATACTACATCTTTCCTTCGGCCGAATACATCAACAACTGTGTGACCATTACGCAGATCAACGCCATCATTTTATCCTCCTTATACACCAAGCAACCGACTGCTAACATTTTGCCCGTTGTTTCCGATTTGGTTCAGCGTCTTTTCAACTGGAAGATCGCCCTTCCTGACTTCTTGCAAGTTGACTTCTCGAAGGATGATGTCAAAATTAACCGTTTGATTGTGAACTTGATGACTGAATACTTCCAGGGTATGAACTTAGCAGTCCGTCCTTTGCTTTTCCACTTTGCGACTAAGAAGCTCCGCGAGCTTCAAGTCCAGAACTATTCAAACAGATATGTGGATTTGACGAAGTATTCCAAGAACGTCCTCACATTGTTGAATGCTTCTTTCCAGGCATCCATCAATACCATCAAATCGATCTGGGCGCTTATGCCACAAAACATGGTTGCGCTTTTCGGATGGATGGACCGTGAATACCTCTTCACGTCAGCGTCCACATTAATCCTATTCAATGCGTCTTTTGGTGTCCACGACGCTACAAGAGAACATCTAGACCATGCTCTCACCCTCTTCACCAAGATGAAGAAACTTGGTAACTACCCTGCCGCGCTTAGAAGAGCCCAATTACTTAAACTTATTAGAGTGCTTGATTTCAACGGAGTTATGCAAGATCTAGTCACCAAACATGATGATGGCCAGCCAACCCCTTCGGCGAGCGAGGCCGTTAAAATGGACGTCGAGAGTAATGCTTTTGGCGATACCATGTCGTTCATTAATCTTGGAAATGCTGCTGCTCTCCATAACAACCAGCAGAATGTCATGAAACCTCAACCTATGTCCCAGATGCCCGAGCCCATTCGTGCAAGTTTAGATTTCCTCCAGTTCAATGGGCCTAATCCATCCGGTGCACAAGCCGCTTCCCATAGACATACACCTACAATTCCAGCATCTGCGAACTTGACGACAGAAAGTGCGTTTGACTTTAAGGAACAGAATCCTAATGCCACTGGTTTTGGAGGCGATGTGTATCCGAATGCGGACTTAGCAGGTATTGAGGGATTGACATATGTGGACGAAGAACAGAAGTTATGGAACGAAATTACCAATGAAGCCGTATGGTTGCAGACCTCTAATGGTCTTCAAGGTAACCCCAAGCCCGAGAGCTCTGCAGCTTTGAATGAAGATTTTATGAACTCTATCCGTGATGCACGCCTACACAAGGAGATGGAGAATGCTATGAGCAATGCTCCACCTTCGAATTCGAATAATGGTTATGGTGGTGGCTACAGCGACATCATCAACCTGGAGTTCCTGCGAGACTTGTTTTAACGGCGACGAATTGTATGACTATTGCATATATATATAGTATTGTATGAATGAATTACATTATATACTTGTACAAACGATACAGAGAACATCTTTGTCAACCGTGGTTCGGTTGAACATTTAACATGGGTAATATAAATAGTACAGAAGAGCTGGACCTACCAGCTTCATAAAGGCCGTGTTACGGGATCAATAGAAGTCCATCAGGAAATCATTGCCTCCGCCGCCGCCGCCGTTTTGTTGTTGTTGAAGAATCTGCTGAGGCAGGATCGACAGCATGTTCATTGGCATGCCGTCAGGGTTTTCGTTACCAGCGAAACCACCAGCGAAGGAGCCACCACCAATGCCGTTATTGTTGTTAGGGTTGTTGTTGAACGCAAGGAAGTCTTGGTCCTTTGGAGGGCCCATGAAAGAATTAGATTGTGACATATCCATAGGTTTGTGAGCTTGCTGCTGCACTTGTGGTTTTTGGGCCTGAGCCCTGCTCCTCTGGTTCATATCGGAGTTTGGAGGCATGGCAAACTGGTCAAAGGGGCTTTGGTTTTGTGGAGGCTGCTGTTGATGTTGTTGATGTTGTTGATGTTGTTGTTGCTGAGGTTGCTGCTGCTGCTGGAGATGAGCTCCAGGCATAGGCCGCTGTGTATGCTGTTGGGACTGTGGAATAGGCTGCTGCAGAGGTTGTTGGACCATACCGGGCCGTTGCATTTCCTGCTGCTGCTTCATCTGTTGCAATTTCACCTTCAAGAATTGCAACGCCTCGGGATATAGGTCTTGGAGACGCTTATATAGGGAGCGTAACTCAGGTAGTTCAGCTGGTGCCGAGAGTATCACAGGGAACTGCAACCGGTTGGGCTGCTGAGCAGCAGCCTTGTTATGATACGTATCGTTGATGTACAGCAACACAGATAGATTGCACTGAAGGCGACGATTCAAATTCGAGTACTGTTCCAACACCTGCTGTCTGCCCTGAGGCGCCAACAGCTGGAGCGCTGGAGGATTGCTGAGAAACGACACATACATCTGGTATGCCTTCTTTATGAGATGTGTGTTGATCAAAAGGAGCACCGTTGCTCTATCCTTATCGATGTCGATCTGTCTTCTTCCAGACATGGCAGGCTGAGACATGACTAAAGCAGCTGGATGGGGCTCTCTGGAAACCTTAACCTGGTGAAGACTTTACTGTTTATTGTGCGAGAAAATGTGCGCTGCATATGACGTGAATCTCCAGGGCCCGAGCCTGAAAAGGGCTTGACAGGTTCCAAAGAGAGGGGCACGGCGGGGTGGGCTGCAGAAAAATAAGATTTCCAAAAATTACGTGGCTGCAAAAGAAGCGGGAATTCACGGTATTTATATACTTTTCGAAGTTGGCCGTTGTTCGGTGGCAGATTGGAGGGTCCCACGGCTGTGCCGTGTTGGTTTTTCGCAGCCAAAATTCGGTCCGCACCCAATTCGGCAATAGTGAACGGCGCCAGAGCCACGCAGAAACTGTTGATTGGAGGGTGGGATTATTCTATTGGTGGAGAAAATAAAAGAGTGGAAGTTGGTGGCGGTTTGGGTATTTTGTGGATTTTTTAAGTGGTTTTTTCTATTGGTTTTGCCTGGTTTTGAAGAGGGGGAACGTTCTCGGAGAAACGTGTGAGGCACCGAGTACATATGAGACACGGTTCAGTGAAATTGATGAAGTAGAAGTGGAATGGAGTGGAAGAAAGGGGATGGATTGTGGATGAGGGTATTAATGTGAAAAGAGAGGTTGTTTGGGAAGTTTGGGAGAATCTTGGATTGTTCATGTATGGCAGATCTAGAAGATCTGGTTAATGTCCAATAACCGTTACACCACTTATCAACCTTAGACATCAATTTAGTTGATAGTGAAAAAAAAAGAAGTCTGAATTCATGGATTGTCAAGTAATCAATGACAAGACAAACTTGAAGACGACGAATCATCAAAATTTCGCTAGCTCCACCTATCTCCACCTAAGTCCACCTTCCAGCTACTCTACAACCATTTCTTAATTCTTATCTATTCATATCTACCCAATTACAATTTTGACACCAACTCAGGTACAGTCTCATTAAGGTCACCAACCAAGCCAATATCAGCAACATTGAAGATTGGGGCCTCTGGATCCTTGTTGATAGCCACAACGGTCTTAGAGTCCTTCATACCAGCAAGATGCTGGATGGCACCGGAAACACCAACAGCAACGTACAATTCTGGAGCAACGATCTTACCGGTTTGACCAACCTGCAAAGAGTTGTCACAGTAGCCAGCGTCCACAGCAGCTCTGGAAGCACCAATAGCAGCATTGAGCTTCTCGGCCAATGGGTTCATGATAGAGTCGAAAGTCTCCTTATTCTTCAAACCACGGCCACCGGCAACAACTCTAGTAGCAGAGCCAAGCTCTGGTCTTTCTGAGGTAACGAGTTCTTCACCAACGAACTCAGTTCTGTTGCCAGACTCAACCGACTCAGACACTTCCTCGACAGATGCACCGCCAGTCAACTCGGCCTGTGGGAAAGCAGAAGCTCTCACAGATGTAAGAACAATGCTATCCTTGGTCTTGACGGTAGCCAAAGCGTTACCAGCGTAGATAGGTCTCACAAAAGTGTCCTCACCCAAGACCTTGGTGATATCAGAAATAGGCTGAGCGTCAAGCAAAGCACCTAAACGAGGCAAGAACGATTTGCCTACAGCAGAAGCTGGTGTGACAAAATGAGTGAAGTTCTGCTTGGTGACAACCTCTTTGAACAAAGGAGCCACTTCCTCAGCAAGGTAGTGGTCGTACTTGGCATCCTTAGCAACAAGCAATTTCGACAAACCGTCAATCTTAGCAGCACTCTCGGCAGCCTTCTCTCCCTCTGGGCCAAGCACAATACCAGAAATGGGTTTTCCAATGGCTTTGGCAGCACTGACGGCCGACAAAGAAGCAGCAGAAACCTTGCCGTTGGCAACCTCAATAAAAGCTAAAGTGTCTCTTCTCACTATAGACGACGAGAAGAGTCTTTTGGAAGCAATTGAACGCAACATGGGAACGGGTAGTTTGGAGTCAAGTTGGTGGTTGAAGAAGATTCACCTCTGTGCGCTATTATGATTCATGCAGTCGAGTCAGCGTAGCACCAGTGGTTGCAAAATTGACTGGTGGGTGAAAGACAAGGGAGTTGGGGAATTGGGTGGTTGATTCGTTTTGAGTGAAATTTTTGGTGTTTCTGGGGTTTCTGGATTTTTGAGTTTCTAGGATTTGTGGGCTTTGTTGGTATTGTGTTGATGTTGGTTGAGAAGCCATAGGGCCGGTTTCGGAGGTGAGCGTTAGAGAGCGTTGAATAAAATATTAATACTTGTAAGCACAAGGAAGAGAAAAATAAAGGATGTCTCAAGGGTAATAGGGTTTTGGTGATTGAAGATTTTTATCGATTTTGAGGTCAGAATTGACGTGGATTTTGTTAGAGGCTGGTACGGTGATGGACGGGGCGTTCGGTTAACCCACTTGTGTCTTTATTGTTTACGGAACGTCATATTAAGACATGGTCACTCTAAATTAATGTGCTTTATAATATAGAGCTTAAACTAAAGTACTAAATAAAAAGACGCCAAGGGGGTTCTGAGAAGGGTATGTGGCCCACTGTGCATGGATTATTCAGTGCTTACTGGATTGTTTTAAACGGGACCTTTCATTCAAAGACATCCAAGATCAAGAATACGCTTAATAAATTACTCAGGCATTAGAAGTATTCAAACTAAAGACCTTTCCATGGCCAGAGCTATGGTAATACTAGGAAGCCATAGTCTTAACTAAATCTGAACTATTAAACAAGCGGCCCCATATATACTCACATAGAAGTCCCAAAAACTAAACGGAGTTCTCAAATTGCTTTCCCTTCTATATAATTCAGAGAGGGGACATAAATTGGCATGAACGCCTGTAACATACTGTAGCCCACGGGGCACACTAAGCCCTCATATATTACCTCACCAAACCATCCCAGGGCACTAGCCGTTGAAAGGGATTTCCGGTAAGAACGTATATGTCTCTCTAAATGAATTTTATCAACAGAAAACTCTCAACCTCTCTTGTTCTGCCCAGCTCCCACCTCTGGCCCACCGCACTGAAGGCATTTTGCAACCAAAAGCCACACTGCAGAGTCCATTAGCGATGCCCTCCTGAGAACAAGGCGCCTTAATTCTCCAAATACCCCAATAAACCGATTATCGATGACTTTAAAAAACCTTTTCTTGGAACGTCACTCTTCCCCACCGGAACTGCCCTCTGATGACTTTCACTATTCCTCTGATTGGACAATGACCAGGTACTACAAGTCTTAGAGACATCGTAGAACCAACACTGCCATATTAACAGAAACACAGGCCCCTCAGAAGACCTTCCTAGCCAAACCAATCTCCACAATTCCAGCCGACTCTTCTGGCTTCTCCAGCCTTGTGCGGCTACTTTCGCAACCATTCCATTGGACATTTGCAACCAACCAGTAGTCCACCAAACCCTCACAAACAGCCATAAACAAGTGGATCAAAAACAACAAGTTCTTTCTTCCTCCCCCTAAAACCTCTCCAAACAGCTTTTCCCTCTTTCACAACCTCCTTGCCCTCCTTTTGTGTAATATCTCTGGCAAACAGTGTTCCCATAATGCACGATAATGCGACTGACTCCACTACGCATGTATGATCTACTACTACTTCTTACCTAGCCATATCCACATTCACTACCACTATTCAACATGAAGAGCCCTACACCGCGTGGCAGAGGCCAGCTTAAGGACAAAGACGACCTTGACCGTATTGCGTCTCCTAACGCTAGGCTTGTTTCTGGAAGAAGAGTCAACAGAGAGAAGGAACCTTTGCTCCAGCGCCTGAGTGATATGGAGCAGGGCAACTCGTCGTCGCTGCACCTCAAGGCTGCTAGGAGACCTATTGACGCTGAATTACTCAGTCTTAGATCTCATCCTGGCGAAACATCAACTCTGATGGACCAGTCGTATAGTATTGACGTCCCGCCTAGACGTGGGGAGAGAGTCCTACAACACCAGGGGTCGCTGATATCTGAGTACACGCCAGCATTGAGACACAACCAGCCCAAGTTTTCCGTTTTGCTTCCTTACTACCTTCCCATTTTGTCGTGGATCCACGAGTACTCGTTCTCTCACTTTGTGGGGGACCTTATAGGTGGTGTCTCGTTAGCGCTGTTCCAGATCCCGCTTGCTATTTCATATTCTATCTCGTTGGCTAAACTGCCGATCACTACGGGTTTGTACTCGTTGGGTATTTCCCCGTTGATATACTGTATCTTTGGCTCTGTTCCCCAGATGATTGTGGGTCCAGAAGCTCCCATTTCGTTGATCGTGGGCCAGGCAGTGGAACCGCTCTTGCACCACGCTAAGAAGAAGAACATCGACCCAGTTATTTATATCTGTGCTATCACTTTTGTCAGTGGTGCTACTTTGCTTGGTTTTGGGATTGCCAGGTTTGGGTTCCTTGATAATGTGCTTTGTGAGAGTCTCTTGAAGGGATTCATTTGTGGTGTGGGTATTGTCATGATTATCAACTCCTCCATTTCAATGCTTGGCCTTAATGGTATCTTGGACGACGTAATAAACGATCTGGACGACATGGACATTCACTCGCCTTTTGACAAGGTGCGTTTCTTGATGTACCACTATAAGGATTCTCATGCCTTGACGATGAAGGTTAGTTTCGTTGCCTTCTTTGGCGTCATGGCTATTCGTATCTTCAAGTCTCGTGCCTCAAAGTCCCAGTCCCCTAGATGGAGGCTCGCTATCTACATCCCGGAGATTTTGATAGTTGTGCTTGTATCTACTATCTTGTGTATGAAGTTCCGCTGGAACCGCATGGGTCTTGATATAGTTGGAGCTCTTGAAGATGTTACCAACGATATCCATCTTTATCATCCATTCTCTGAAAAGATGTGGCCTTTGATGCGCCAATTAAGTTCGTCTGGCTTCACCTGTGCCATGCTTGGTTTCTTCGAATCAACTACAGCTTCAAAGTCCTTGGGCTCAAGATACGACTTGCCAATTTCTTCAAACCGTGAGCTTGTTGCTTTGGGTGCAATCAATATTGCAGGTTCATTCTTGGGTGCGTTACCAGCCTTTGGAGGCTACGGCAGATCAAAGGTAAATGCCATTTCAGCAAAGACGACTGTTTCTGGAGCAATCATGGGTTTAATATCATTGGCAACCCTCAGCTCTGTGCTTGAGTACTTGCATTATATCCCCAAGAGCACCCTTAGCGTTATCACAGCCGTTATTGGTATTTCTCTTATCACTGAGGTTCCAAAAGAGCTCTACTTCCACTGGATCAGTAAAGGATATGATGAGCTAATAACCTTCTTTATAACCGTCTTGACGACGCTCTTTTTTTCAATGGAAGCTGGTATAGCAGTCGGTTTGATCTATTCATTACTCAGAGTTATTCGCAATTCGGCGGAATCTAGAATTCAAATCTTGGGTCGGGTTCCCGGTACCAATACCTTCCTCGATGCTGACCTTCATCTGCAAGCTTTTGACGATGGCTTCGAGGACTATATTCCACCAAAGAATGATGACGAGAACCCTGGAATCCCTCAGCTCAACTTATTCACAGATAACTTCAGACCGCTTAATTTTCAAGCACTTGAAGAGATTGAAGGATGCTTGATTATTCGAATCCCCGAGCCCTTAACATTCACTAATGCCAGTGATTTACGAGCTCGACTCAAACGTGTGGAGATGTATGGTTCCGTCAAGGCGCATCCTGCTCTGAAAAGAAGCAGAGACAAATCCATGACCAAGTATATGATCTTTGATTTAGAGGATATGATTTACTTGGACTCGTCCGCCGCCAATATTCTCAAGACTTGGCTTGCTGCGCATCAAGATAAAGGCATTCGCTCATTCTTTGTGAGGGTGACGAAGACACCAAAGTTGAGAAAGAGACTCAAGAACACGGGCATCAAAGACATTCTTACACATAATCTCAACTCAATGAGGTATAAAGAAATCCAAGACCGGTCCTCGCTTTCTCATAACCCTAGTCTGGAGACCAATGTTGACGATTTTTCCATGAGCGAGTCCGAAGCTGATGAAATAAGACCGATTACGGAAAAGCCAGGCTCGCCATACTTTGAACACATTCGTTCAGCACTCAAACTCATTGACGCATATGAGCAACTCGAACTTTCAGGCTTTTCTGAAGTTGTTTAGTCCACCTTTTGGCCTGGTGGCTGCAAATCAGTACACGTGATGAAAGTGTTGATATTCCTCTACATCGTGTTGGAGCGCGTTTCAAGAAACATCTCGAACCGCCTTAGTATTTATTCATAATGACAGAAAATCCTAATCAGCAGCAGCTCGATATCAAAGACGAGTATGAGCTCTGGAGAAAGAACTGTAAATACATGTATGAGTTCATCAACGAGACTGCTCTTACATGGCCTTCCCTCACAGTGCAATGGTTACCTAAGCTGGAAACATCAGACGTGATTAACGCCAAGTTGTTGCTTGGAACCCATACATCTGGCGAAGCCCAGGACCACTTGAAAGTTGCTTCCACACAATTGCCAATCAAAGGCTCCGATAAAAAGATCTCCTCGAAGATCAAGATTACACAGAAGGTTGAGTGTTCAAGTGAGGTCAACAGAGCCCGTTACAAGCCACAGAACCCTGATGTAATTGCTACAATTAATGGTGGAGGCGAACTTGACTTTTACAACTTGGCTAACAATGAAAAGTTTGGCCATGTTTCTCCTCACACCGAGAACGGTTATGGTTTGTCATGGAACAGCTTCAAGGACAATTATTTGCTTTCCTCTTCGGATGACCATTCCGTGGCGTTGACTAACGTTGGCGATCTCGATAAGAACGGCGGTCTCGTGCACAAATTCCAGAACCATAGCGATATTGTGAATGATGTCAAGTGGCACCACTTCGATGAGAACTTATTCGGATCTGTATCTGATGATAAGCTGTTGCTACTATTCGATATTCGTACTCCAGAAAAGGCCGTGCATACCTTCCACAACGAGGATTCCAAGGGTATTAACTCGCTTTCGTTCTCGCCCTTTTCTCGTAACTTGCTTGCGCTTGGTAATACCAACTCCAATATCAACCTTTTGGATTTGAGAAAAATCTCCAAGTCTAGCACTCCACTTCACACAATGATGGGCCATGGCGACGCCATCACAAGTCTTGAGTTCTCTCCACACAAAGACGGTATTATTGCCTCGGGTTCCCAGGACAGAAGAGTTATTCTTTGGGATTTGGCCAAGATTGGAGAGGAACAGACACAAGAAGATGCCGAAGATGGATGTCCAGAGATCTTTATGATGCACGCAGGTCACACTGGCGGTGTCACTGACCTCAGTTGGTGTCCATTTGACGACTGGACGCTTGCCTCCGTTGCTGATGATAACATTGTACACTTATGGGAAGTCAGTCTGTCCTTGGTGAAAGACACACCAGCTGCTCCTAAAGACAACGAGCTCGAGTAAATAAGCAGCAGCTCAAAGCACTTTGTTGCTACAAGAACTACGAAAAATTGTCGTTTCAAAAAATCGACATTTTTTTTTTCTTATCTTCACAGAGCAAGTGTCATTGACCAGACTTACTGCATCATGGTGCGTCAGCCTGTTGTGGCTCTGGTGAGTACTCACTACGGACAGAAATATCTCATCCCATCCGATATATGCTTTCTAAAAGCCTCCCTGTCATAGTCAATGGTAAACAAATACCAAAGCTAATTCCATCTACCTTTATTAAAATTCTCTAAATTCAGAGCTCCCCTACATTGCTTCCATCTTGTGACCCGTACCAGTACGGCTCCGTGATAGATTTTCAGCCTCGCACTACCCAGTGTTAGATCTCAGTGAGTACTCGTCAATTCCCAGTTTGCCTCTCTAAAGCCCATCCTACTTCCGCCGAAAGCTAGCTTTATTATGTCCGATTTCCCGCCGAACTTGTCCATTCGTCCTTTGACGGTGGAGGACCTCGATAAATGTGTTCTGCTCGAGAACAAGGGCTTTCCCGAAGATGAGAGAGCTGACAGAGAAAAGTTGCAATACAGACTAATTGCTTGCCCTGAACTATGTTCCGGCTTGTTTATCAGGGAGTATGGTGTCAAGTACAATGCCATCAACTTGCCTGAAGTTGCAGAGAAATTGAACGCTGAGAATGCTTCCAAGAAGGATTCTGACGATAAGGTTGAAGCCAACAACAAGGCTCTGAAAGACCTGGACCAGGAGAACGATGAGGAGGACTACCAGAGCTTGCCTGTTAAGCTGTCTGTGGTTAAGGAGGTGTTGATTGGTCACATTACCGCTACCAAGACCCCCACCGAGAAGTTGACCGAGGGAGCCATGGAATTGCCAAGCGAAGAGGACAAGGACGCTGGCCATGTCGAATACGCTCGTAACGTTGCCATTCACGGCTTGGTGATTGACCCAGAGTGGAGAGGTAAGAACTTGGGTACTTTGTTGATGCATGACTATATCCAGAAGTTGTCCAACCAGGACTTGGGCAGCAAGGTTATTATTGTGGCACACAAGGAGTTGATCCCATTCTACGAGAAGATTGGTTTTGAGTACCACGGTGCTAGCGACATTAAGCACGGCAGCGAGACGTGGTACGACTTGTCTATTGACTTGGTCCCACAGGAGGAGGAGTAATCGACACTAGGAACTCAAGAGACGTGTTCCAATTTTTTATCATAACACATTTGCAACACTGGGCTTCCGCCGGTCCCCAGCCTCCGGCCCTATCTAGAAATACTGATATGTATCACGACTGACTCTCTCTTCCAACCTACGTAAGTGCGCGCAATGGCATAACTGAAAGTATTGATAGTACATCACCAACTCATAATGTTCCAGGTACCGGGGCCTATAAAGACTCTTTTCGATACATTTCCACTAAAATCGTACCCTCCTATATTCAGTGAACAAAGTGATGAAGGTTTTGTTTACTTTGGCCTAAAAGAACCTTCCAAATCGGATTCTTCAAAGTTCACTTTAGGCGTTCATGGATTGGCCCAGATAGAAGGCAAAACGCTCCCGACAGATCCCTTTTCATTGGCTGACTGTCTTATTCTTTGTCATCGCCATGGTCTTTTTATTCCCAAAGACGAGAAGAAGTCTCCTTACGGCATGGTAACGTTATCATACGAAGCATCACCAACCAACGAATTGCCCATTTTGGTTGAACAAACGAAAGATACTGCCAATGTGGTGAAATCACATGAGATTCAGGATTCTATTACGAAGAAAAACTTCAGTGGCAGTGTCATTGAGCTTCTTATCAATCTGTTTCTAGATGATCTCAATGACTTGTGGATACTTATACTTCTTTCGGATGTTGCCAATTCTAATAGAACAAGGTTAACTAAGATTTTTGGCTTTTTAAAGGAAGCAGATGGCAATGAGTACCTTGAAAGTCTTCTTATAAGTCGTCTTCTAAACGATATTCCAGGGTGGAATTCCTTTAAGGCCAAGTACCCACTGCTTTTCCACAGAAATAGATTCCATGCTGCAGCCAGAAGCAAAGATATCAAGGACGCTTACTACAAGTCCAGTTCTGATGCTTTGCAGAAACTTCTTTTCGAGAAAATGTGCCAGTTTGAAAGAAACTTGCCTTTAATTTGGAACTACGTTAAGGAAAGCGAAAAGAGTGAGTCAGTGACCATTCTTGAGCTTAAAACCGCTGCATTTGTGTTCATCATTGACCAATTCGTTAGCGAAGGGACTCATATTGGAAGAATGATTGCAAAGGATGCCTATGTGGACATAGTTAAGGAGAGTCGAAGCGTGGTCCTCGAACGTTTCTCGTAAACATCAATGGGTATTCTACATTAATCCTGTTCTCATTATATCATTGTAAATAGAATGAATGACTACTGGATGGCAAGAGAATTGACGTTGCTCGTCAACAAAGAGGAGACGTTCTCCTCGATCACCTTCTCTGACGTTTCCGACAAATGCTTCTTTGGATCTTGCTTACCGACATAGCGCGTCTTTAGCTGTTCTTCCAGCAACTCTTTTTCTTCAGCAACACGTTCGTTGTATAATTTGGCAATCTTCACCAAACTCTGGATATTCTCTAGGTTCTCATGGTCAGCATGGTTGTAGTCAGCCATCTCCAAGCCGCTTTGCCACGACTTCTTGTGCAAGTTCATAAGCATGTTCGTTTCGTACAGCGTCTTGTGGTAGTCGATGTTCAACGAGTAGTAGTGCCTGTTCAAGCCGTGAATAAGAGCCTGAATCGATGGTTTGTTTAAGTGACCGACGTTAGAAGTAGATTGACGTGGTTCCTGGCCTCTCATCAATGTAGTGGCGTCAATGGTACGGAAAGCATCAATCACGACCTTACCCTTGACAGACTGGATAGGATCCACAACCACAGCAACAGCTCTCTTGTTCAACTGCTCAAAACTCTGCTGTGTGTTAACATCAACGGACGAAAGCCAGCATCCGAAACCAGGATGGGAATGGTACCATCCCACGACCATCTGGTCTCTGCCTGTCTGTCTCAACATATCCATCATCTTAGTCTGGAAAACATCGTCCACAGCCTCCACAGACACACCAGTTCCCGACTGGGGCATGGCAAACACATCTATAACGTGAATAGTGAAGTCATCCACGAACTCACCAAGCATTAAACCCATCACTTCCATGGGCACACCGGCACGGCCATGTTTAAGCATCTTCAACAATGCCAATGAAGAAATGTAGACTGTTTCGGCATTATCGATTGCAGGTGCATCGTTCATTGCTGCCCCTCCTTGCACGAGGCCATTGCTACCTCCGAGCAATCTTTGTAATCTTTCCATGGTGTAGTTGATTTAGTTGATGTTGGTGGCTCACTGTTCGCATTGATAGTGGCAAGCCGGTGTGTGCACTACTGGAGTTGTACCAGATCTAGGAAGATGGAAGAAATGGAGCTAGGAAGAGTGAAAAATGGATTTTGAGTGAGTGTTGGGGGATGATTGTCTTTGGTGGAAGTGAAGAAGCTTGAGGAAATACAAGTTGGGAGTGTTTGGGCGGGAAAGAGAGGGTATATGTGGAAAGGTTGAGCTCAATGTGTGGATCTAGGGAGGTTCAGATTGGCTATAAAAATAGGTCTGTTTTAAGGGAGTCTTGGTCTAAACTTACTCTTTTGAATTGTTCAAGTCCATTTATAGGAAATTCCTTTTGATGCTTAATGTTAAGTGGTGTGAGTGCTGGAAGTGCTTCTTAGTCAGATTTCGCAACCATAAAAAGTGGTAGTACTAATGGTAGTACAAGGACAACAGTCTTTGGCAAAGTGGAAGGAAAAATAAGGCAAAAAAGGATGAAGTTTTCTATTAAAGACTTTTATCTTTATACTATAAAAGAGCATATTAACTTTCAAAAAATTGTATAATTCGTCATTTTGTATCTACACTGGTAGTACTCGAAATGGCTGCAAACTAGATCTGGAAGTATGCTAAGGAAGTAACACTTTGAGGAACTCTTGGTGATTATATACTGTGAGTAGGCTCTTCAACCTCGAGACTCGTCAACATAGGAAATTCAAGGAATTTATTGAAAAGAGTACTTGTTTTGTTTCATCTCCATAGCCTTTCATGCCTAGAGTAAATGGGCCTTCCACAGTTCACACTCTGTGTCCTCCGCCAGCACAAGTACCCAAACAAGCACCATCTTCCATGTACTTCTCTTTAAAACCACCAGAATTCGTATACGCCGTCATAAACTTACCAAATACCAAATTACAGACAACTACATGTTCTTCAGCGAATACATCCATGAAGCCTCAGCTTAGTCCATACAGAGCACCAGTAGCTGAGGAAGACATCCACCAATGTCCCGACACCTCCCCTACTTCCAACCCCCCACCACTATCCACCAAACCCAACCAACCCAACCATCTTCCATCTTCAACTCCCCCATAATTTCCCTTAATATCCCATGCCTCCATTTCTTAGCCTTCCTTCTTCTTCTCCAAAATGCCCTGGCATTCGCAGCCAGTGCCATTCACCACAAAAACCTGCCTTACCAAAAAACCATCTCAAATCCCCAGATCTCCCCCATCTCCTTCTCCTGCCCCCAAAAAATCACCCCTAAACTATAACGGCTTCCCCTGCCCCACAAAATCTGCCTTTAAATTGTACCAGTGCCGTGCACCAAGACAAGAAAAAGTGCCGTACAACAAAAATCTGCCATATATAGTGCGGCACTCTTGCCAGTTGCAAAATCTCCATCTATAACCAACTATGAGCACCGAAGGACCAGCTAGTTTGAAGGGCCACAAGTACCCGGCCAGAGAGCATAATGCTCGTGTTTTGAAACACTTTAAACAGAAGAAGCAGCTTAAGCTGGCTGAAAAGCTTGCGTTTTTTATGAGCGGTGAGGACTTGGAGCTTTGGCAGTACTCCGACCAGACAAAGCCTATTCGTCAGAACAGATACTTTTTCTACTTGTCTGGAGTGGAGATTCCTGGTTCCCATGTGTTGTATGACGCTGCCAACGATAAGTTGACGTTGATCCTTCCAGACATTGACTACGACGATGTGATGTGGTCTGGCTTGCCATTACTGCCTGAAGATGCCTTGAAGAAGTTTGATGTGGATGAAGTCAAGTACGCTACTGACCTTGAAAAGATCGTGGGTGGTCTTAAAGGATACACCATTCACACCACTGACCACAACAAGTACAATGCTCGTGTGCATCTGTTCTTGACTGAACAGGACCCAGACTTCTTCCATGCCTTGGACGAGTCCAGACTCATCAAGGACTGGTACGAGATTGAATTGATGAGACACGCTTCTTTCATCACCGACAAGTGCCACCTTGCTGTTATGTCTGCTACGCCAATTGAAACTAACGAGACCCATATCCATGCTGAGTTCATGTACCATGCTCTTAGACAAGGCTCCAAGTACCAGTCCTACGACCCTATCTGTTGCTCTGGTCCAAACTGTTCCACCTTGCACTATGTCAAGAACGATGACGAAATTGAGAACAAGAGATCTGTGCTCATAGACGCTGGTGCTGAATGGAGCTGCTACGCTTCTGACGTTACCAGATGTTTCCCTATCAACGGTGACTGGACCGAGGAGCACCTTACCATCTATAACCTTGTCTTGGACATGCAGCGCAAGACCATGGACATGATCAAGCCTGGTGCTCGTTGGGACGATATCCATTTGACTGCCCACAGAGTCATGATCAAGGAGTTCATCAGATTGGGTATTTTCAAGGACTACCCAGAGCAAGAGATCTTCGATTCGAGCATCTCTGCTCGTTTCTTCCCACACGGTCTTGGTCACGTCTTGGGTATGGACACTCACGATGTCGGTGGACGTCCTAACTACGACGACCCAGATCCAAAGTTGAGATACTTGAGATTGCGTCGTACTCTTAAGGAAGGTATGGTGCTTACCGATGAGCCAGGTGTGTACTTCTCTCCATTCTTGTTGAAGGATGTGCTTGAGGACCCAGAGAAGGTGAAATACATCAACACTGATGTTCTCGACAAGTACTACTCTATTGGTGGTGTCAGAATTGAGGATGACTTGCTTATCACCAAGGACGGTTTCGAGAACTTCACCAAGATCACTTCTGACCCACACGAGATCTCTAAGATCATCAAGGAGAGCACCGCTCAGGGTAAGGACAGATTCCACAATGTGATTTAAGGGATATGGACGGCAAAAGGCCGTATGTGAATAGTAAGACGATACGTTGGAGACTCTGATTGTAGGTACCGAATGGCTGCGAAATTGAAGATCTGGAATGATAACCAGCTCTGGGCTCATCCAATGGCATTTCCAACCAGTAAATGTCTGGAGGGCAATGTTTAAGAACACATACAACTATATATGAGCTTGACATTGTGAACTCTTCCCATTTCGTAGAACCCCGACTGGTCCGTATTTTGGGGAACTGCGATTCCATGTTTCACTATATGCGACAAGCAAGGACCATTTTTCCCCACACAAACACCCTAAAACCATTAAGTAAAGAACTATTAAGGCCCTTACAACTTCATTTTAGACAACTAACAAAACCACACCTTCCTTCTTGCCTTCCCTTCACCGATTCAGCTATCTACCCTTGTGTGGTGTACGGATGTGCCTGCAACCTACACCTCCCAGGTAACCCTTATATCCATTGCTCCCCCAGTTTGTGCTTTCAGCGAGACAACAACACAAAACATGGACGAAAACTACGACGTCATTGTCCTCGGCACTGGTCTTACCGAGTGTGTTCTTTCTGGTCTTTTGTCTGTGGATGGCAAGAAAGTGCTCCACATTGACAAGCAGGACTTCTATGGTGGTGAACTGGCTTCATTGAACTTGCTGCAATTGTACAGTAAGTTCAAGCCTTCTGCCCAGAAACCAGAGACTATTACCGGTAGAGACAGAGACTGGTGTGTCGATTTGATTCCCAAGTTTTTGATGGCCAATGGTGAGTTGGCCAACATTCTTGTACACACAGATGTGACCAAGTACATGGAGTTCAAGCAGATTGGCGGCAGTTACGTGTACAGATCTGGCAGAATCAGTAAGGTTCCATCTAACGAAGTCGAGGCATTGAAGTCGTCTTTGATGGGTATCTTTGAGAAGAGAAGAATGAAGAGATTCCTTGAGTTCGTCGCCAACTACGACGATAACGTGGCCTCCACCCACCAGGGTTTGGACTTGGACAAGAACACCATGAACGAGGTGTTTACCCACTTCGGGTTAGAAAGAGGTACTAAGGACTTCATTGGCCATGCAATGGCTTTGTGGGCTAACGACGACTACCTTAATGAGGTTGCCAGACCTTCTTATGAGAGAATCCTTCTCTACGTCCAGTCCGTCGCCAAGTACGGTAAGTCGCCATACATTTACCCATTGTACGGTTTGGGCGAATTGCCACAGGGTTTCGCCAGATTATCTGCCATTTACGGTGGTACTTACATGTTGGACACGCCTATTGACGAGGTGTTGTACGACGATGACAAGAAATTCGCCGGTGTGAAGACCAAGGAGGGTGTCGCTAAGGCTCCAATCGTCATTGCCGACCCTACTTACTTCCCTGAGCGTGTCAAGAAGACTGGCCAGAAGGTTATCAGAGCCATGTGCATTATGGATCACCCAGTTCCTAATACTCACGACTTGGACTCTGTTCAAATCATCATCCCACAGAACCAGGTCGGCAGACAAAACGACATTTACATAGCCGTCTTGTCTGATGTCCACTGTGTTGTTCCAAAGGGCTACTACTTGGCCATTGTTTCCACAATTGTGGAGACCGCTACCCCACACGTTGAGTTGGAGCCTGCCTTCAAGCTTTTGGGCTCCCGTCTTGACACCTTGATGGGCCTTGCAGAGTTGTATGAGCCACAAGATGACGGCAGCGAGAACAGCATCTACCTTTCCAAGAGTTACGACGCTTCCTCCCATTTCGAGTCTGCCACCGACGACATCAAGGATCTCTACTTCCGTGTCACTGGTAAGCCATTGGTTTTGGAGAACCGTGCTGCCGACCGTGACTTCGAACACGACGAGTAAACCATTAAGAGTACATTATATACGTTCATGCTACAGAATTTAGATGAGATAACCTTGCTATTGTAGAATCATAGTGTCTATCTATCCATAGGCTTGATGTGCTTTTCGATCTCCAGCTCACTCAAGAACTGTGTTTCGATGTCGCCTATAACCAATGCATTCTTGCTCAAGTCAATGCTGCACTTATGTCTTTTAAGCATATCCAAGCCGAAAAGGCAGTCGACATTGCAATCCAAAACAGTAAACGAGCAAGGAATATCGGCGTTCGAGTCACCAATACTCACTGGGGCACTGTGGATTCTACCCTTGGATGTCTGCTTACCCACACCTCTAGCTTCAGTGATATACCTCGTATCAATCAAGTTAGACAACCCACACTTTTCAGCGATCTCAGAAGAAATAATCGTATGAGCAGCTCCAGAATCCACCAAAGCATAAATACTCGTACCCTTAATCCTAAGCTTAATGTACAACATGCTAACAGGAACAAACGATTCTGGTGATATGTCAGCAGCCAATTGCAAGTTCTCGTCTATCTGCTGCTGTCTGATAATCTCCATGATTCTTGCCTGGTTTGCTGGATCATCTGGATCAGCTTCAAGTCTTCGAAGCTCGTCTTCGTTTCTTCTGGTGGGATTCTGCATGGCCTGGGCTGTTTGAAGAAACGCCTCTCTGAACTGAGTAGGGTTGTTAATTGAAGAGTGCAATCCTGGATTGATTGATCTCATCTGTTCCAAAGCCATAGGGTTCAGAAGTGCTTGTAATCTCATACCTTCAATTGTAGAATCAAGTTGTGGGTTCTGGTCAAACGAGGTTGGCTGGTTCGTGTTTTGAGTGTTTGGAGAAGAAGAAGCCTGTTGGGGCATTGGAGTCTGTGAGCTCTGAGACCTTTGGGATAAAGCTATCAAGTCATCATCTTGAATTCCACTTTCTTCGAGGGTTTTTTTCGAATCCACAAGGGCTTTGGAGTTATGGATCAAGGTTTGTGAGCTGGGAGGTATATTGGTCTCCACTTCAAGGTAGGCTTTCAAATCTTCGATAGTAAGACTGCTGGGGAAGTCTATGGCCAAAATATCGCCATTATTGGAGTTGGAGATGGTGAGTTTCATTCTACAAGGACGTATCAGGTGGAGTAGGTAAAGTCCGGGGTGTTGATATTAGTGATACATAGGGCACTGCGAAATTGCCACTGCCGCACGACTAAGCAGCAAGGCAAAGCTAACGGCAAGGAAGCTTCTGGAAGCATTTTCGTATCTTTTGAAGATGTTTCAGACGATTTGTTTGGGTATTCCCCAGGGATACGGTCGAGTGCTTTGGGGTACTTGAAGCTAAGCCTTGGTTCTGCTGGCGTTGTTTCCCCTCGATGAACACGTCTCCAATGGCATCTTACAAGATCCTGAAAACTTCATTCATGGAGCGTCTGGAGAAGCCAAAGGCTGGCCTCGGCCGTCCATGCCTCTAAATTAAAATACACGTCAAGCTTATAACGATGGGCTCAACATGGCGATCTGGGAGCCGTTCAACAACATACGCTTAATCTTCTTACCCTGGTTACCGTCGCCATCGATTTCAGTGGCCTCTTCCAACACGACGTTGACGAAATCGTCAAAGCCAACGAGCTTACCGGTAAACTCCTTGTTGTTGGTGAGGAGAATCTTGATGTCAGTGCCAATGGCGCGATCAATGACCTCCAAAGGCAAAACAGTGTCCTTCTTGGTGGAGTCTTCCGTGGAAATGTCGGTGGAGGTTTGAGTATTTTCTTCTGACATCTTCTTTCTGTAAGGGCCTTGTGGGTGTAGCTCTTTCAACTAGTCAAGCTTTAATTTTTTCCTCGCTGAAGTGAAAAAGCTCACCAGTACACCACACATGTTGGTAACACTAGGAGACCTAGGAAGCAGTCAATGGCTTCTCCAATTCTTTGGTATTTCCAGGGGCTTTCTTGACGGCAACCTTCGCTGGCTCACCCTTCGAAGATCTCTTCACCTTCCAGCCGTCGTAATCAATAAGCGCTTGCATACAACCCCACTCTGTGATCTTATTTTGCAACCAAACCAAGTTGACGGGCTTGGTCAAGAAGTCATTGCAGCCTGCTGTCAAAGCATTCTTTCTATCGACCGAGGAGTTGGAAGAGGCTGTAAGAGCCACGATAATAACTGGAGAACGGAAGACGCTGAGGTCTAGTTTCTCGTCTTCCTTCAAACTTTGGCCATTCAGCTTGGAGAGTTCATGCTGGGCAAATACACCGATTCTGTTTACCTTCTCTAAGTAACGAATCTCTTTTGTAGCTTCAATTCCAGACTTTACCGGAAGCTGGATATCCATTAGAACAAGATGGAATCCACCTTTTCTCCATTTATCGATGGCCTCTTGACCATTCTTAGCAATCTGGTATCTAATCTTGTGTTTTCTCAAGAAAGCGCCCAAAATGGCCTGATTAATGGCGTTATCTTCCACCACCAAAACGAGAAGGGACGGAAGAACTCTTTCGAATGTGGAGGTTGGTTTGGCATCTCTTACGTCTGCTGGAGCTAGCCCGTCACGGCCATTTGAAGATTTAGACGGCGTACCTGGAGCGCTCTTGCCGCTATCAGATCTTTTTGGCTTGACTTCTGTTGGAAGCTCATGAGCGCCGCTAGCTGAACGAGAAAGCTCCTGGCTTGTCTTGCGGGAAGTGGCATTAGCTCTTTCTTCCAAATCTGAAGACGAGTCACCAGCTTCCTTATTGACTCCAATACTGGTGACGTTCGTAGAATCAGACAACGACTTGCCGTGGCCCGACGCTGGGAAATTCTTGTTGACCATATTCTCATCCAAAGAATAACGTTTGAGATGACTTTGCTCTCCCAAGGTAAAGTTTTTCGGTAGAAGCAACACCGCTTGGCCATTGTTCTTCGTCATATGGTTAACGTTGGCCATAGAAGGCAGTTGTGGAGGATTAGAGTGCGATCTCTTATGGACGTTGACAGCTCCATTAACAGGAGATAGACGATGGTGTGAAAGAGATGGAGACACGGACGTGTTCTTAGTGATGGTATTAGCATTCACTTGGAATGCGTGCTGCGGTTTAGGATGATGGTAGTTGTTCATAAGAACATTCGTTGGCGAAGTACCACGAGCAGGAGGGATAATGCCTCCTTCCATGGAGCTAGATATCCTGTGGCCCTGGGGGAAATCAAGAGGCCGCAGATTAAATCTATCGGGAACATCCACAAACCCATATGGCATTGACGGTTGTCTTTGAGCAGCAACAATATTGAGTGCCTCTCCCATGTGCATGGATCCTCCAAAGTACTCATCTAAGATATCCCATATGTTCTGGTCAGGCTCCAACACCACAATCGACCCGCCAAATGTGGAGGCTGCTGGTAACGAAGGCAGCCGACTGGTTGCAATACCACTTCCACTATTCAGACTATTGGACTCTTCTTGTTCCAGCACGATTCTATTAAGCGAACTCTGTTTAGGTTTATGTTTCTTCACTGGCTCGTCGGGCACCTTGAGATGAATCTGAAGGTCAGCAGGGTCAAACTGACGCGCTAGCGTTGTAGGATATTTGTATGTGATGGCAAGTTTGAGGTCATCCACCAAGTCTTGAGGCCCCATCATGAGCGTTGTAGGGGGACCGTCTTCCTTCTTCACCCATACTCTCTTGGTTGCGGGTGATTGGGTTGGGGGATTTCCCCAACTGCGCTGTCGTGAATGTGACGTATTAGGACTGTGGCCCTGGTGGTATTGAGTATACGTTTTAGGCATAGGAGTATTAAGGGGAGGGTGGTTGTAGAGTAAGGACTGGGGGAAAGAGCTTATTTCTACGCCAGGGACCGGGATTGAAGGTTGATAGTAGTATGCAGGCCAGTTAGGGTCCCCGTAGAGATGCCGTAGTTTTGGCCGTCTTATTTAACGATGGACGCTGCTGAAGACATTTGAAAGTGGGTTGGGGCATTGGTGCTTGGTGAATGGAGATATCATGGTTGTCGTGTGAATGACTAGGCTCGTAAAAGTCCTCTTACAGACACCATTTTCGCAATCACGGAAGTCCACCCGAGACCCCGAATTTACTTTTTGAGGAAAAGAAGCCGATAATCTCGAGCATTTGGTCTCTGGTATCGATATTCCGTTTTCCGATGGCCGAGGGAAGCCGTGAAAGTAAACGAAAGCGACGAGAACCGAGGATGAACCTTATCTCGCACCAAATGGCAGCCTAACGATAGCAAAAACATGTCGAACGGCCACTTCCAAAAGCGAGTGAAGAAAGTTACCTTGCGTGATTACTGCTTATCGTCTTGGACTCTTTCCACCTTCACGACGTCGTCATCCTCATCATCTTCATCATCCCAAGTAAACTCCTCGTCATCGTCATCATCATCCTCGCCAGCCTCTTCAGTGGTTTTCTCCTTCTTGGTAAGAAGTTCCTTTCTCTTCTGCTCGCTGGCTCTGATGTCGTCTTCTAATTTAAAGTATCTGTACCAGAAGGTATCGTACGAGAGCTCGACGGGCACGAGCTTATGCATAAGCTTCTCCAAGGTATCAGGGTATTGCTTGAGCAAATCAGCAATCTCAGTAGTTTTAGCCTCAACGTCAAACTTCTCCTTTTCTGATGCATCGTCCTTGGAATCGTCCAAGAGAAGCGATTCAGTGGTGTGCAATTTGAAGAGCTCACTGTCGAACCTAGTAGACCCGTAGTTTCCGCCAGGAAATTTAGGATTGGTGAAAAGAGTTTCTGGCTCTTTAGATTCCTGTGGTGGAGTTTCCTCCTTGGGCTCCACAGAAACAATGCTGGAGAAGAAGGACGAGAACTGGCTCACGTACTTACCCGCTGCTTTTTCCACGTACTCCAAACCAGAGTCCAAAGAATCCAAAGCCGAGTTCGCCTGAGTTGATAAGCTGCCGAAATCAATCTTCTTCTCGAGTCCCCTGACCTGTTCTCCTATCTCTTTGAGCTGGGCATCCACAGACTGGACATTGTCCTGGACGATTTTGCTGTTATTGATGTTTTCCTTGGCTGTGTTAAGCTGAGCGACCAACGACGCTTTCTTCTCGTCAAGCTTAAGCTTCTCCTGGATGTCCAGAGCATTTTTAGATGCATTGGTCCACAAGGACTGGAACTTAGCCTCAACCGTAGAATATGCCTGGTCAATCTCACCTTCAAGACGGTGAATCACCTCTTCGGTCTTTTCGTTGGAAGGCACGGGTTTCTCTGTATCGGTCTGGCCCTCCTGGGTAACAATAGGGTCTGCTAAGTCCATTGTGGATGCTATAGTGTTCTTCTGTTAGGAAGTGTAGGGGGCCTATTCCCCAGGTTCAGGTTCAGGGTAGTGGTGCGAGTGAGCGCGCGTGACTCTGCGCACGTGCAAAATAAACAGTATATGCTGGAAATCTATCTAAGCACAGTTGAAGCTACTTACCAGTGCTTTCACTTTTTCCCCCACGGCATGTCGTTACTTAAGATACGGAATGCTCTTTTCGTGGCGGAAACAAGATACTTGGCGGCGCAAAAGTATGTTTTCCAAAACCCAATTCCGAAATTCGACATTGAGGCCCCCGGTACCGGCGCCGGTAAAGCTTTCTATGCTATCACTGGACCGCAAAAGCTGAACTTCTTGAATGTAGTGGCTGCAAAATACATTCCAGAACCGCCGCTTGGCAGAGTGTACCCACAGTTTAATGATCTACACCGCAGTGACCAGATCCAGCATCTTAACTTTAAGGAGAACTCTGGTCTTGATAAGGTCCATATGGCTGCAAGATATGAGTCATATTCATACAAGGGCAAGCTAGAGATGTCAGACGATGTCAATTCGGTGATCAACTACGTAACTGGAGCCAACAATTACAACAGTAACACTGTGGTTTCCAAGAACGACGGATATGTGGATAAACTTTGTGAATATTTCAACCTCAACCACTTGCGCAATAAGTGGATCAACAGCCTCAGCAATGGGCAAATGAGAAGGGCCAGAATCAGCAAAGCGCTCATCAACAAACCCCGTCTTATTGTGATAGACGACCCTTTCCTTGGCCTCGACCCGAAAGCAACGGAAAAGGTGTCGGAGCTGCTAAGGCGCATTGCGTTGGAGCTCAATGCTGGAGTGGTTTTGGGGCTCCGGATCCAGGACAGTGTGCCCGAATGGGTCGATAATTTAGGCTACGCCGATGAATCCGGTTTGACAGTTTGCGGGCCCAAGACCACCGCTAGTCAGGCTATTGTTGAAAAGCACAAAGACGTTCTCGAGTTACACAAAACGAAGCAAGCTGAAAGTGCCAAAATTGCGTTTAGGGAAGTTGCGCCTGAAACGTTGAACACCACCACGGTGGATCCCATAGTAGAGTTCAAGAATGCTTTCGTAAGATACCGGGGCTTGGACGTATTAAAAGATTTTACGTGGGGCATTGAGCGAGGCTCACGTTGGCGCATTTTGGGAGAGAACGGGCTGGGGAAAACCACCATTCTCTCCCTCATCACCGCCGACCATCCACAGCTGTGGAGGTCTGTGATTTCAATTGATGGCACGTTGCGCAAAACAGGGCAAGGTGTAAGTTACTTTGATGTGAATAACCGGATCGGCATCTCATCTCCCGAGCTCCATGCCACAGTTCCGCCTCGAGCAATAGCCCACGACGTGGTGTACAATGGGTTAGTGAGGGATATAGGGAATCTGAACTTCAAGTTCATTTACAAGCATCAGCAGGAACTCCCTAAGGAAGCGCAAAAGTTGGTGGAAACGTTTGCGCCAGAGTTGGCCCAGGTTGAAAATAAGCGATTCTACGAATTGACTGTATCCCAGCAGAAGCTTGTGCTTTTCCTCCGAGCCGCCATCAAGAACCCAGACATTTTAATTCTTGATGAGGCCTTCTCATGTATGGACGATGAAGCCGTTATGAACAAATGCCATGATTACATTGCCCAAGAGATGCCCCAGACAACTGTCTTAGCCATTGGGCATATTGACTGGGAAGTACCTGCGCACGAGCATGTAATTAAGCTTCATGGAGACCAGCAGAGAGGATACAGTTTTGCTACCAGGGTAGCGGCAGCGGAAGCGGGCTAAACAGCACCCCCAGCAGAAGCGAAAAATCGAAAAATATACGCAATGCCAACGGCTAAAACTAATTCTGCCGGATCCCTTGTCCTTGTCCCTTTTCCTTTTCCTATTTCGTTTTTTTTTTTCGCTTACGAATGCCATTCTTTGTTTTGCGCAAAAATCACCCATGCTTCTACTTTCTCATGAGCATATGTTGAGGATTCATTTTTTCGCAGCCACTGTTACTCACAACCACCATGAGGCACAGTGAAGTTCAAAGAACGGAAGCAATAAACGCAATTTTTCTTTTCACGTTTTCCGGGCCCATTTCCCACAACCCCTGTGGCCATCTGCCCCTTGGCCTTCCCCCCAATTCTGTGGTATATAAAGATGGCCATTTCCCACCCTTCTGGCTTCTTTCTTCTTCTTTTTTCTCTACCCTCCAGAACAGACCTTCACGAAGAAACCTTCTTCCTCCCCAAGAACCCCTATTTTTTTTGTGTTTCGGTACAAAAAATTTACTAGTCTGTCCCGCGAGCGTCTAAGAAAAAGTGCACCTAAAGCGTGCCCGAATTGCACCTAACCCAAAAGTCGCACCAAAATTTTACTCGCAATACTGTCTACTTTAAGCCTTTGCTTGTTGTGCTTCTTCTTTTCTTTTTTCTCCTACAATTGCTCACCACAGCTCACCAGATCTTCAAGAATCATCATCAACAACGCCTTGAGGAAGCTTACCAAGCCTACTAGGTAGAGAAATAAAGAACGAAGAACGCCAGCATTCAAATCCCCCTCAGGCTTTCCACTTTCCCTATTTCACTGTTTGGCTCTCGGTCCTATTGGAAACAACCGCAGCCTTCAAGTGAAACTACGCGGCCTCCGTGTCTCCCCTTTTCCAATTAAAACAACCCTGTTGTGATGTCGGAAAATATCCCGGATGCTCCTATCGACAATAGGTCCGATGAGGTTAAAGCTGACCTTGAGTTTGGCAGATTGACCTCCAAGGACCACTTGTTTGTCTCAAAACATCCCATCGGTGAACCGCTTCCGACTCCTATCGATGACGAGCCTCCTTTGGTCATCCACTTGGCTACGTTCGTCAGTTACTTGATATTGATCTTGATTGGCCATATCCGTGACTTTTTCGGTAAAATCTTCAAGCCTGAAGACTATGCTGACTTGGTTGAGAAGGATGGCTATGCCCCATGGTACGACGGCTTTGAGAACTTCTACGTGCGTCGTTTGAAGTTAAGAATCGATGATTGTTTTGCTAGACCCGTTCATGGTGTTCCAGGTAGATATATCAAGTGTTTCGAACGTGAGAAGAAGGGTAAGACATACACCTACTCTGGCGAGTCCAGAGAGTGTTTGAACTTGTCTTCTTACAACTACTTGGGTTTTGCCCAGTCTAAAGGTGTCTGCACTGACTACGCTACCAACATTCTTGAAAAATACGGTGCTTCTTCTTGTGGTCCTAGAAATGCCATCGGTACCACTGACTTACACAGAGAGTGTGAGCTGGTGGTTGCTGAGTTCGTTGGCAAGGAAGATGCCATTGTTGTTTCCCAAGGTTACGGTACCAACGCCAGTTTGTTCGCTTCTTTGGTTGACGCTTCTTGTCTTGTCATCAGTGACTCGCTTAACCACGCATCCATCAGATTCGGTATCCGTATTTCTGGTGCTTCCGTGAAAGTCTTTGAGCACAACGACATGGCTGACTTGGAGAAGTTGATCAGAAACCAGATTGCCCAGGGCCAGCCTAGAACTCACCGGCCATGGAAGAAGATTATCATTGCAGTTGAAGGTCTTTACTCTATGGAAGGTAACATGGTTAACTTGCCTCGCGTTGTTGAATTGAAGAACAAGTACAAGTGTTACCTCTTCGTTGACGAAGCCCACTCCATCGGTGCCCTTGGCCCTCACGGTAGAGGTGTTTGTGACTACTTTTCTGTTTCTCCTTCGCAGGTTGATATCTTGATGGGTACTTTGACCAAGTCCTTCGGTGCTACCGGTGGTTACGTTGCTGCCGACAAGTGGGTCATTGACAAAATGAGATTAAGCTACTTCAACTCTTCCTTCGGTGAGGCTGTGCCACCACCAGTGTTGGGCCAAATTGTCTCTTCTTTGCAAATCATCAACGGTACATTGAACCCTGGTGAAGGTGAAGAGCGTTTGAAGAGAATTGCTTTCAACTCTCGTTACCTCAGACTCGGATTGAAGAAGCTTGGTTTTATTGTTTACGGTGCTGATGACTCTCCAGTGATTCCATTGTTGTTGTACTTGCCAGCCAAGATGCCTGCTCTTTCTAGATTGCTTTACAATGAGAAGATCGCTGTCGTTGTTGTGGGTTACCCAGCTACCCCAATTGCTACCGCCAGAGCTAGATTGTGTGTTAGTTCAGCATTGACCAAAGAAGACTTGGATTACGTTTTAGACAAGTTCAGTGATGTGGGTGACATTTTGCAGTTGAAGTACAGTAGTGGCATTGCCGGTGGTTCTCGCGAACCCGGTGTCGCTCCTCGCTTGGACATCAAGGAAGTACTTGACACTAATGTGGAAGACAGCAAACTTCCAAGATTATTCTAGAGACTTTTGCTCCATCCTTCACATCGCCTATTGTCATTTAATATTCTACGTTTTCCATTCCACTTTGGTGCTTAACGTTCATGCCATGCAGTCTAATAATCGTTTAACCCTTCTCGCTGGCCCTGCATCAAAAACCTACTCATTTTATATATGAACCATGTAATTTTCAATCGACATTCACTTCGTTTTTTCATTATGCAATGGTTGAACCCGACCCACTCGTACCTCCTTTGAGATTCAGCACCGTCCAGCCACAGTTACACCGTGGCGGTTACCCTCGGCAAATCAATTTCCCCTTTTTGCTGAGTTTAAACCTCAAAACAATCATATCATTAACTCCTGAGGCGATAACTGAAGATACTGATAAAGCTCTATTCGAGTTTGCACAGCAAAGAAATATCCAGCTTGTACACCTAGAATGTGCCCAATCCGGTAAGGGTAAGAAACGTGGGGTGCCCATGGGTTATTCCACGGTTCTAGAAGCGTTGGATTACATGATCCACCTGGAGAATGCTCCCGTATATGTCCATTGCCTCAATGGAGGTCAAGTCACCAGTCTTGTCATTGCCTGTCTTCGAAAATTGCAATTCTGGTCGTCCATTGCCATATTCAACGAGTTTATCAACTTTACCACCAGCATAACATTAAATGATAGAAGCTTTGTGGATGGCTTCAGGGGCGAGATCAGCGTGCGATCCAAAAACAAGTGTGATTGGCTCTGGGAAGGCTTGAGTAAAGGCATTGTGGGCAGCCATCCTAATATCAAGGTCACCGAAACAGAGCCCGCAGGTTCATCAACCTAGACGTTTAGATTCTCTGGAAGAATAAACAGTACGCACTCTTGTTCATCACTTGGTCCACCTTGCAATCGTACAGTATTTTGGCATCGTCAAAGTAACACCATTCTTTCCTTTGTTTCAGGTCACTGGCTTTTTTAACGTATGCTGTATAGTGGCCTGTTGTTAAATTACCGTAATGGTTGACCACACCATAAAGTTTATACTTGAAAGGAGGGTCTTGATGACGCTGTGGAAATGTGGAAAGTATCTGCTGTTCCTTTGCGGTATCCATACTATGGTCTTTGCTGACATAAGTGCCGACCTGCGGCCAGTAAGATGTCAAATCGAGGGTCTCGTTCACAGGGTACTTGACAAAAGTTTCAAGCTTGTTGAAGTGTCCTGACATCAGAATCTGGAACCTCTTAAAGTTGATAATAAGAACACGAGGGAGTCTTGTGATGGAGATCTTCTTCGTCAGCTTCGTGAATCTCTTACATCTTGGACAATGCCATTTGTTATCATCGTCAAGAAGTTCCGTATCTGTGAAAAGATCCAAGCACTGTGCGAGGGTAACCACCTTGTCCCTATTGAGCCTTTCTGGAATAGGCAAAGAAAGTATAGAAAATGCATTGTATGTTGTTGATGTCATACCACATTCGAGACACTTCAACTGTGATAAGTATTGCCCTTGAAAGTAGTCCACAATCACCGAAAAGTTCAACTTAAGATATCTTTCCCATTCAATGGTCGATGCAAGTCTGACAGGAAGCATCTCCCTGGTTTTCTCTTGTTCTGTAGAAAGCTCCATGATTGCGCTCCTCTCTTCTCCATTCTCAACAGCACGTTGGTTGAGATCCTCATGCAATGAATCAAGCACAAAGTTAAGAAATTCGATACAATCCTGTTGGTCAAATGATGCAAATTGACGACCAGAGGGAACAGTGCCAATCACCTTCTTGAACTCATGTGGAGCAAAATATTTACCCACGTTGTTGAACATACTTGCCAAAAGCTTGACAAAGTTTGTGGTCAAAACTCCGCTTGTTCCCAATCTGTTTTTAGCGTTGATATGCTGACGGTAAGATTGTAGTGTCTGGTTACCGCCTTTGGTGACGTTTGGAAAGAAAAATGACGTAAGTTGTGGCGTTGCTCCTAAACATTGAAGCACGCAGTTCATGTAACAAGAGTTACCAAGGTTGGTCAAGCCAGTTGCAAAGTTTTCAAGGAATGGATTTGTTTCGGAACTACCTGTCTTCTGTACTTGTAGTTCTTGATTAGATGGCGATGTAACTTGCTTCTCCACTTTAGTCTGTGATTGTTTTGACACTGAAGGCACTGGCGATGAGGGTTTAATGCTAGGAGGAGCTTTGCGCTCTATTGGGACCGGAGCAGTGTTAGGTTTCAAAGACTCGTAACTTGGAGGCTGTCTTGGCCGTGATGACGAAAAATCTATGTCGGTCTTCCGTTGTCTATCAAGTGATGTTCGTGAGGACGTCAATGGAGGTGTCTTAGACTTGGCACTTGCGAGATAATCGCCGAAGTTCCTCACATACGCCGAATCAGACGCCTTTGCACTTCCATTGGTTGATGAGTTGCCATTGGCCTTGGGCTTTTCCAGAGAAGTGTCTGAGCTTCTTGTCAACGATCCTTCTCCAAAAGTTGAGTACCACCTTTCGAGGCCTCCGTTCAAATAAACAGGGTATTGTTGTGGCCTCGAACTCAAGTATTCTGTTTTGTACATCAAGATGTCAAAAAGGTCTTTGAAGGGGTTCTTTGATGGGATGCCCTTGGAATCTGAGTTCAAGAGCAGGAACTCTAATGCTTGGAACTTGTCATTCCCAATCCCTCCAAACCGGAGGTTGTAGGCAACTATAAGACCAAATTTCTGTCTATTCTGGAAAAGCTGAAGACTTTCTGAGTCTAAAGACAATGCCTTTTCTAAATCTTTATCGGTAGCTTGTGGCTTATCTTTAAGTAATGCTGTAACCTTGGATGGCTCGATGTTCACGACGTTCAGGAAATTGATATGACTATAGGAGTGCTCCTTCTTGCTTCTGAAGTCCAAGAGAAGAACATCATCAGCTCTCGATCGTATTAGGTGGTTAAGCTCATAGACCGATAAAGAATCCGAATACAAGAAGCCTTCAAAGGAAGACGCCACTGGAGCCTCCAGGACACCAGTTTTGAGATTGGCAAACCGCATAAGAAGTGGATCGGCAGCATCTGAATTAACCTGTTGCAGGACCGAAAGACGTTCGAGTTTCTGCTCAATTGCCGCAAACTTGGTCTTGTTGTTCTGTAGTTGTTCTGTGATCTGCTTAAGGATAGGCTTTACCTCCTGAGAAGCAGAAGTTGATAATGATGTAGCAAGGTAGACATTAGCAGCATGAGCTACAAAGGCCATGGAAACGTCACAATAACCCAAAGCATCAAACCTCTTGCTTTCATACTTGAAGATCTCAAGTAAGGTGATCTGGAATCCCAATAGATCTTTGATCTTGGAGGCACTTTTTAGGAGATTAGTTGAAAGACCCTTCAGAATCAGCCGCAGCTCCAGTAAGGAGTACGTTGTTTGAGCATCAGGTTTGCTCATCATGTGCAAAGGGGCCTCTTGTCTTAGTAATGGTTATCGATACTGATATAGGTAACGATAATGTGGTGCATGTGCACCCGTACACCCACGATATTAGGCCTCCCATGGTAGTACGTAAAGGGATGCCACTGGGTGGTAATTTGGTGAAAAAGGGTTTGAATAGGTTTCTGTGGGTCCATTAATTGGTAAACTACTTGTTATTTCTTCTTTGAAAGATGTGGGAAGCAGTTTGGCGTACCTAAGCCGTGTATGACTATTTCGCAGCCAAACAGTATAGAGAGCCATAGTTTGGACAATTGATATGTACATACATATATAAGCGTTTGTAAAGTATGTTAAGAAGAATATCAAGAGGTAATTTTCCGTTAGTTAATGCCTTTGCGTATTGAGAAACGTTGTCAATATAAGCAATAACAGATATGTGATTACAGGCTATTTATGGGTCGTACCATGCACTGTGTAGCCATAAGTTAGAGACCCAGAAAGCTGTTAATAGCCATTTATTATTTTCTTCCTTTTGTTCTAAGTTTTTCACAATCACTCTTTTACACTTTCTGGTGCTCCTCCCTACCATTGTTAAACTTGACAGGTGCTAGTCCAGTATGACACTTTTCGCAGCCATTACTGTCCTTCACTACCCATCAGCCTATCTTCCTTTGAACACCCAAAAGTCTAAATAATACAAGTATTGTAAATTAGAAGTCACTCTTAAACGTCATTATTGAATCCATTAGCTCCCAAACCCTTCACATACCACTCTTGCGTCTCTTCTGTCCACCGGCTGTCTGTCTCTCTACTGCTACATCTCGCGCTTTTTTTCCATCTCATATCTACATCTTCACCAACCATGGCGAATCCTGATTTCGACATCAAACAGACATACCTCAAGTTCTTGGAGGATGATAGAGACATGACTATGCCTATAGCGGCCATCGAGTCGCTTGTGACGATGCTTCGAGTGAAACAACCCTCGACGTCATCGGAATTGATCAACCTTGTCAAGTCCAACATTGACATCTTGAAACTGTCCATCTCCAACGCCATTTCTCTTTCAGCAGGCTGTGACTTGTTTATGCGTTTTGTTTTGCGTAACACCAACTTGTACTCCGACTGGGAGTCTTGTAAGAAGAACTTGGTGGAAAACGGTGAATTGTTCGTCCAGAGAGCCAAGGAGTCAAGAGCTAAGCTGGCTGACTTTGGTGTGCCTTTTATTAAGGACGACGATACCATTCTTGTGCATTCTTTTTCTCGTGTGGTGCTTCAGCTTTTACAGAAGGCCAGATCTCAGAAGTTGTTGCGTTTCAAGGTGATTGTCACTGAAGCTCGTCCTTCTGGAAAGGGTTACCATATGGCTAAGCTACTCAGAGAGGCTGATATTCCAGTTGAGGTTATTGTTGACAATGCTGTTGGATATGTGCTTCATAAGATCGATAAGGTTCTCGTGGGAGCTGAAGGTGTAGCCGAGAGTGGAGGTATCATTAACCATATCGGTTCCTACCAAATTGGATGTTTGGCAAAGGCCAACAACAAACCATTCTACGTGGTTACTGAGTCGCATAAGTTCGTTAGATTGTTCCCTTTGGCACCAAACGATTTACCAAGGGGAATTTCATCTATACTAGATGAACAAGGATATACGGAAACGGAAACGGAAGAAGGTACGCTTAAAACACAGACCATTGATTTCACTCCGCATGAATTTATCACTGCCCTTATTACGGATTTGGGAGTGTTGACGCCGTCAGCTGTTTCTGAGGAGTTGATTAAGATGTGGTATGATTAAGATGCTGCAATCTTATTGAGCATTTCTTGAAGATGGTCGGTATCATACCTGTCTTCTCCATCGGCACTTCTTTTTATTTTGATGCATTTAATGTTCTTCTTCTCAAGAAGTTCCTCGTCCACAGCGATTCTTGGGTTCTCCATGTAAACAAGATGTGTGACGAAGTTACACCATTTGAGGTGGTCATGGTCTTGATGGGACATCTCGAGCGAGTAGTGGGCCAGCTTGATGATAGTATCGATATAGTCGATTGCCGCCAAGCCGAAGGTCTCTCTGTCCTCGCATCCGTTTAATAGAAGTATGCGTTTCTTATCAGGGGCATAATCATGGGCGATAGCTTTGCCGATACCTTTCAAAACCAAAATAGGAACAATACTAGTCATGAGCGAACCAATAGAGTAAATGAGTGTGTTAGCGTTCGTGATGCTGTTGATGACTCTCGTCAGCGCAACAGGACAGATCTCCTGTCCATGAGGCGAAATGTAGAAGATTCTCTCGATTGGAGACAAAAGCGGCTCGATGCCATCGGTCTTCTGGAAATGCAATTGAGACTTTTTAAGCTCTGGATGAGTATACTGTGGGATGTTACCCAACTCCTCGTCGTCAGAGGAAAGAGCAGAGCCAATGGAATGAATGTCATCGCCACGAGTATCAACATGACTAAAGTACTCCTGGTTCTCGTGTGTTGGCGTTGGTGGTCTTGTCTTGTTGATCGGAGGAGGATAGACCTCCACAGGCGAAGGATGGGAAATCTGAGACTGGCCAGTAATGATAAGACCATTAATCAAAAGAGCACCGATATGATAACTGAAATTGGTACTGATACAAGGCATCACCTGGATCGAATTGTCAATCCCCGTCAACTTCTTGAACAACTCGATGGCCGAGTCCAAAGAGCCTATAAATAGCCGAATGCCTGTAAGGAACAAGTTACCCACATTGGCCAACTCGAACCTGAACTTCTTATTTGTATTGCTTGTAGCAGTCAACTTGGACCGTTTCAAAAGCTCCACGTGGACATGGATCAAAAATGCTCGAAGAATCTCCTTCGTAGCACTATCAATGTCTTTCCATAGAGGGTGAGTTCCCTCAACGATCTCGTTCCACTGGGCTTTTGCCACAACCGGGTCTGGCTCCAAACGGAAGCTCAAAAGACGCTTCAACGGCTCGTTCTCAGAAGGAATAAGTCTCGTAAGTCTCGAACGAATGTCTCCAATGGCAGGGCCTCCGATCACACGAATGATTTCTGACGTGGAGCCTCCATTATCCAGGATAGGCAAGACGTAACTGACGTCAGCAGAAAGCGAGTTGAACACATGGACGATTTCGTTAGTGGCCGTGCCGCCACTGAAGACAACGACTGAGTTTGACATGAAAAGAAGAGTAAGGAACACGCCACCTCAACTCCGATGTTGATGTACTGTATGAGGGTTGGAGAGAATATGCCCACAGCCACCAGAAAGACCGACCAGGTGTGTTTTACGGGTTGTTTTGATTGTCAAAAAGTGGATGTCTAAGAGATTTGAGGAAAGAGGGGTTTGTTTGAGAGACGGTTGGTGTTTGGCTGGGGTGGTGGATGAAGAGGTGGACCTCATTCTGGCAGTGGTGTTTGTGGGGTAAATGGAGAGAACTGATGGACTGAGACGAGTCGAGAGAAAAAGGATAGAGATTTTCCGTTTGGATCTTCTTTTTGTGAGTTCGTGAATTCCGTTAAAATACGTTTATTCCGTTTAACAAGTATACTCTTCATCTGGGTACCTGGAAGAGGCTTCGACCAGAAGGAAATGGCTGCGAAAAACAGCCATTGTATTGTTTATGTCTCAGCCTTGTCATCTGTAGATTTTAAGGCACACCAGTAGAAGTGTGATGATGGGGTTGTTTGTTATCGATTTGATCTTATTCTGTAGCTAATAAGTGAGTTTATTGATTTCTCTTGAATTTAAGTAGGGTGTGAGATGATGGAAGAGGGGGCCTCCTCGAGACGTGTTCTGGCAAAGCGGTACCTTCCAAGGGAAGAAGAAGAAGCACCACGCTGTATGGTGTTGATATACTTAATGAGGTACCAATTGCTTTATGTCAATAATTATGTCACTATTAATGGATACCATGCCGTGTCATGTCTGTCTCATGTCAAATGAGAAAGCTTCTCAGGTACTAACTATGGCTGCGAAAAGGTCTGTCATAGTAGAAGAGGCAGTTGGGAAGGACACAATTGACATTTGACATCCTTGATATTTAATAACTGGATATGAGAAGTGAAATGCTAGAGAAAAGAAAGGCTTTTCTTTTCATAATTTATCTTTGACGGATTTGTTTTTTCGTTCTATGTATCCATGCTGGCTATGTCAGTCAGAAGACGCTGATAGACCAATAGCCCATTTCATGTCAATTCCACCAATTCCCAAAGAAATTAGTTTCTACCTTAACAGCTCGTTTTCACGATCTCATAAGTTTTCATTCAACTCTAATTCCTCGACTCCCAGACCTAATTGAGCCGAATCGTCCTAGCCTCTTTCACTCCCATTTCGCAGCCATTTACATACATAAGAGACTCAGAAGAACACCACCGTAATCACCTTAATTTACTCCTTTTTAAAATTGAAACTCAAAAATATCATATTATACCTTCACAATTTCCCCTACTTTATTAATTTCTTCCTTATCATATCTCTATGCCAACTTATTCTTCACCCTTCTCGTCTCCCATACTTTCGGCAAAAGCAGTCACTGCGTGAATGTGTAGTTCCGAGCACGCTAGAGGCGTACATTCCAGAACGAAAACGAGTTCAGGCTTCCCAATTTGGTCACGTGATCCATCAAATTTTTTTTTTTCCTCACCCATTTTGCACCCAATTTTTTTCAATCCTATTCTCCCATCCTACAACCACAAATTAATTAGTTATGTCTGATCAGGAAGTTTTGGTTTTGAGAGGCACCCTTGAGGGCCACAACGGCTGGGTCACTTCGTTGGCCACCACCCAATCCAAGCCCGACTTGCTCTTGTCTGGTTCCAGAGACAAGACCTTGATCGCTTGGAAGTTGACCGGTGACGAGGCCCAGTACGGTGTGCCAAAGAAGTCCTTCATTGGCCACTCTCACATCGTCCAGGATGTTACCATCTCCGTTGACGGTGCCTACGCTTTGTCTGGTTCTTGGGACAAGACCTTGAGATTGTGGGACTTGGAGACCGGTGAGTCTACCAAGAGATTCGACGGCCACACCGGTGACGTCTTGTCTGTTTCCATTGCCTCTAACTTGAGACAGATTGTGTCTGCCTCCCGTGACAAGACCGTCAAGGTCTGGAACACCATTGGTGAGTGCATGCACACCTTGTCTTCCCACAAGGACTGGGTCTCTGCTGTCAGATTCTCTCCAGACAACAAGTCTAACACTGTTATCTCTGCTTCTTGGGATAAGACTGTTAAGGTATGTTTTGATTTTATCGCTCTAGGGCGACTTTTATTTTAACCATTTGTGAGATGATGTTTCCATATTTGCTACTTCAGACGGGTTCGCTCGAATGAGACTTCAATTATCACCAAGATCTCTGATCCTCACATCTCTCTTTATTTCAACTTTTGCAATTTACTAACCATTTTTAGTCCTGGGACTTGAACAACTACGAGCTCAACGCCGACTTCATTGGCCACACCGGCTACATCTCCTGCATCACCATCTCCCCAGACGGATCCTTGAACGCTTCCGCTGGTAAGGACGGTGTCATCATCTTGTGGGACTTGAACTCCAACGACACCTTGTACACCTTGAACGCTGCTTCTGAGGTTCACGCTTTGGCTTTCTCTCCAAACAGATACTGGTTGGCTGCTGCCACCGCTTCTGGTATCAAGATCTTCAACTTGCAGGAGAGAACCTTGTTGGACGAGTTGAAGCCAGAGTTCGCTGTCTCTGCTAAGGCTAAGGACCCAGAGGCCATCTCTTTGGCTTGGTCTGCTGACGGTCAGAACTTGTTCGCCGGTTACACCGACAACAAGATCAGAGTCTGGCAGGTCATGACCTCTTCCGCTTAAGCGTGTTAGAGGTTAGATTCTTGTAATTTTTAGCGTCAATTAAAAACATTATACTTTGGTTTACTTTGTAGTTTTAAGCGAAGAGATTGAGCTTGCCGCTTGAGGTACCACCAACAACCCAGTTTTGGGATGGGTGGAAAGCGACTGATGCTGGAACGGCCGTCATTTCTTCGTCATTAAGGTGTGCAATCATGTTTCCACTTTCGTCGTAAACGTCTATGCTTCGGTTCATGTTTGCAATTGCAAACTTTTGGTACTTGTCAGCGGGTGTTTTCTGCCATTTGGCTTTGAGGATGGATACCCATCTACCGGTTTGACAGTTATGGGCGATCGAATTGAAAGGTTTGATATTATCAGGGACGAGATCATCATCCTTCTTGCTTACTTCTGGTCTGTATGTCTTTGACCATTCTTCAACAAAGCTGTATGGTTTTCTGTTTCCACTGAAATCAAAGATCTTGATCCTGTCATCGTAACCATTGCAGACCAAATGGTTATTACTATTCCAGTCCACTGTAGAAACAGATAGACGACTGGTGTAAGATCCATATAAATGGGGAGTTCTGGCATTCTCGATTTCCGATAAAGAATTTGATTTTGAAACATTTCGTAAATCCCAGACGCGTAAAGAACGATCCAAGGATGCTGTGGCTATCTGGTAGGCCAAGTTAGGATTCACAGTGAATCCACCGATCTTTTTATCGTGCAAACGAAGAAAGTCGTTGGCTTTCATCTTCTTAAAAGGCTGTCTTAAATCATGCAGATAATAGCGTCCTTCCAAGGTGGTCAATTGCAACAAGTTTGGTTCAGCAGGCAGAATGTTGATATCTGACACTCCAATAAGATCGTCCGAGATGTCGATGTTCAACACTTCTGTCGATTTGAGCTGCTTAATATCCAAAAGCCTGACAGATCCATCATACGAACTAGTCAAGAGCTCTGCTGCATTGACAGGATTGTGTGTAATTTTCGAAATTGATCTTCCGTGTGGTTTGAGAATGGTGATCTGAGCCTCTCCATCTGCTGTAGTTTCATCAACTGACCAGAGACCAAGACTACCGTTAGTATCACCAGCCGAAACCAACCGATCCGTTTCGGAAGGATGAAAGTGCATCGTTGTGATACGATTATAGGAAGCCTTGATCGAGGATGGAGGCACTTTTCTATAAAGCTCGACTTTCTCAAAGTCCTCTCTCACCTTCTTCAAATCCAGACTCTGTCCTTGTTCCCTCTGTTTAATCTGTTCAAAGAAGTCGCCTGCCGAATACTTATCGCCAAGGTTGAGAAGGAAGTCTAAGTTCTCATTATCCATATCCTGATCTTCATCCTCCTGTTTGACTTCCGTCACGTCTCCATCTTCCTCCTCCTTCTTTACAGCAGGTTCATCTTCTAATTTATCAGCCAAAACGCGTCCTTCATGCTTGAGATGCCCCAGTTGGCGATCGAGGATCAAGTCGCCTAGCGTGAAGTCGCCTGTGAGCTTCAACAGCCTTAGTGTTTTGAGTTTCTCTTGTCTTTCACGAGCACGTTCTTCCTCAAGATTGATCTTTTGTTCCTCTTCAGTCCATTCAGATGGAGCAGCTAGTCTTCTGGATCTTCTAGTGGGTAAGGAAGGTTCTTTGGGAGTAGCCTTTGGTTTCCTCTTGGGCCTGCCTTGTTCTTTCTTCACACGCACATCGTCAGCAATTGACTTGTTTAACGCGTCAAGATTAAGTTTTTTAAGTAACCCTTGGTTTCTCTTGATATTCTCCCTTCGAAGCTGCTCCAAGTCCGTCATTGCTACGGTTTAAGCGTGTGGGTCTGATGGTACGCATTGCTATTTTTCGCGGATCACTATATGGTAGGAGCGTAGTCAATGGCTCGTAGTATATCAGCACAAAGATAAAGACTACCGCAAACGACAATTTTGCGGTCATCGCCTTGTTGTTTGAGCAGCTGTAAATGTGCAAAAAGGTCTTGGGGGTTTGCGATATCGGTTGCACCTAAATTGGCATACTTCTTTGCTTCCTGGGCCAAGTACTCAGTATCGTAGCACTTCACCCAGGGCATGTCTTCTGGCGGCAGAAACTCAGTGGGGATAATTGTATCTTTATCAGCCTTGACGATATGCTTGAGGAGGTTTTCCACGGACTTGCCTTTCGTGAGTGCAACCACAAATATGATACCCTTGTCTCCATCACGGTAGCTTTCGAGGAAAGCTGCTAACTCAATGGCAGCACTTTCGTTATGGGCGCCATCAATTAGTACTTCGATGCCCGTCTTGGGATCCTTAACAGTTTGTAGTCTGCCTGGCCAGCTAGTCTTGGTGATACCTCTCTTTATAGCTTCATCTGATATCTTGAATGAATGCTTCTCTTTGAGGAGCGATACAATTTCTAGCGCCACTGCTAAGTTCTGCTCTTGGTATTTGCCCTTCAAGGGCGAGAGTTCTATGAGCTTTCTTGTCAACGGTGACGAACTCACTTCATGCAATGGGCTTCCTTCATGGCTAGCCTTTTCTCTAATTGCCTGCAACGCTTCCTTATTATTTGTCAGGTCAACCACACAGTCTACCCCTTTCTTTATAATGCCTGCCTTCTCTTTGGCGATTTGCGAGATAGTATCTCCAAGGAAAGACTCATGGTCAATGCCAACTTTCGTGATGGCACTCACAAGTACTTCATCTTCATTGAGTATATTTGTAGCGTCTAGTCTTCCCCCAAGCCCAACTTCTATAAGGGACAATTCCAAATGCTCCATTGCAAATATCATGTAGACCGCACAGGTCAAGATCTCAAACTCAGTGCATCCAATGCCATTATCATCATTATGCTCTTGAACCTCTTTCTTCGCCTTCTTAAAGGAGTCCATAGGTAATACCTGCCTATTAATCGTAACGCAATCGTTCACCAGCATAGTATGTGGAGAAGTGAAACGGCCATGGCGTATGTTAGCCTCGTTCAAAATGGAAGAAACGTAAGCCAATGTAGATCCCTTGCCATTAGTGCCAGCCACATGAACACACTTAAGTTTGCCTGCTTTTGGAAGAAGCTTGAGAAGCTTCCTGACACGAGATAGCCCAAGCTCAATTGACATTACAGTAGTACTAGTAGTGCGAAAGTGTTGATATCTGATATAGAAACAACCTACTCTTTCACTATGGCTCTGGAAGACAAGAAAGGGTTCATCCAGACGCGATTGGATTCGCTAAATGAAATAGACAATAACATTGTCAAGTTGCTTGATAACATAGGCTCTGTGTTTAGCACGTATGTTGAGCCCAGTACCCTGGACCTGCAAGACCTCAGTCGAACCAAGGAAAAGTTTGTTGCGGGTACCAAGCTGATATATTCGCTTCTAGGCAGTATTGCCATTGGGCTACGGAAGGAGGTGAAGATTATGGATGAGAATATTGGTGTTTACGATAAAAATGATGAGAATGTCATGATCTTGCCTATTAGTGTGGACCAGAAACATACTTCCTTGGGAAGAGACAGACTAGATAAGGAGGTGAAAAATATGGAGCAGCTTGTTAATGCTGAGAAGGTTGGAAGTGATGATGAAGTTCATCCAAAAGTCGAAGACCAGGATGCCATGGATATAGTTGAGCCTCAAGAGCTGGAAAGTGTCCAAGTGGAACCCACCGAACCTGAAGCTACCCAGCCAGAGCCTGAAGTTGCCCAGCCAGAGCCTGAAAAGAAGGAGCAATCTGAGCCAAAGATGGACAGTGTACAAGAAGAAAAGACTGATTAGCCGCTTCGTTTATTACCTATCTAGATTTGCTCCAAGTACCCTTGTTGGATCAAGCGGTCAACATCTGATTTACGCACATAGAACTGAGAGTCCTTAATGAGATTGAACACACCGTATTCAGTCTGGACTTCTCCTCCGTCTTTAAGAACACGAACGTCAATGAATATATCTGTAGGGGGCTCTAGATCTCCGGATAGCTCAATGTCTGCAAAAGACGATTTGAAGTCTAGCATTAGATCCTGGTACTGTCTGAAGTATTCTTGTTCTGGGTTCGATAGGTTCTCCAAAGCTAGCTTTGTCGTACCTGATGAGTGAAGTAGCGATTCGTTCTTCGTCGCTGCTGTTGTGGTATCAGCTGTAGCCACTGGATCTATGTTAAGCCACAGAAACTCGTTCATCTTATCAGCTCGTAGTTTCTGGTGTGCAAGAAGAGCTCTCTTATTCCGTCTCATAAATAACAGTCGAACGAAGATCTGGCACTGTGCAACTCTTCTCTCTTCTTCAGAAGCGTCTGCAGTGAAGAGTTCTTGTTCACTGAGATAGTCGACATCACCTTTTAGGTCTGAAATCTCCAGAACAATATCCTTGACCAACTCTAGCTGGTACAATGGCACTTCTGCAAGATTCGACGTTCTTTTGGCGTCTAGAAGAAGTTTGTGGCCCAGATCGCCGTACATGTTTGGGGAAGTGTTGTAGTTGAAGAACGCGCCATGAAGCTTTCTGAGGATGCGCTCTGATATGCTAAGGAAACAGCAAAGGTCGGTTGGACGCGTGGATATCAGGTGAAAGTGGTTGAAAAGGTGAAATTAAGGGTGTTCTTGAATGAAGAGCGATATTCTATTGAACTTTGTTTGTTTTCGTAATTTTATGAAATTATCAGTGCTGTTTTACATTTGTTGAAATGGTTGCAAAATCGCACCACGCTTATAAACTCTATGTATGGTTGAGAGTTTCGGGATTAAAATGAAACTTAATATGAAAAATAAAAAGATCAAAAAAGAAATTATACAAGAAGGGAACAAGAATATTCAGAAAGTGAAAGAAGTACCTAAATATCCTAAGATTCCTATATGATTCGTTTAGCACATATTCCCTTCGTGTGTAAGAAGAAGCGCCAGCCTTGAGCTACTCCTATGTACCCCACCAAAGAATTACAAATTTACGTCAAAGCTAATTTCCTACTACCAAATAAGCCATTTTAAACAATATACTGTTCTGCTTCACCTCAACAGTATAATATCCAATTTGAAATTGCCTCTATGTGGCTTGATTCTGCTGCACCTGTACATCGCTATTGCCCCAGATCTTACCATCTACAACAACCTTCAAGTGCCTTGCCATGTCCTTCGACATAAACTGGGACAAGCTCGTGGAAGACAATTCTATAAATGAGTCTATAAGAGAGTTCCTTGATAGACAACTTAACCAGCTACTGCTACCGTCGTACATCGACAACCTTACAGTCACTGAGTTCTCACTAGGCTCGAAGGCACCAGAGCTAACCATACGACATGTGGGGGATCCGTTTGACGAATTCTATGAGGAAGATGACGAAAATGAAGAAGAGAAGAATCAGATGTCTCCTACCATGAGTGATCTGGATAGCGACTCTGAAGACGAAGATAGTGAATATGGATATGATGGTCATACCACTCTTAATGAGACCGGCTTGAAGGATACGCTTCGTGATATGCCACCATCACCACCGTTGATCCCTCACGATCCTCGTGATATCTTGAGGAACTTCCATGCATACTCAATGAACAATGTGGGACTAGGCCATCACATATCACTGGTGAACGAGTCAGAGACACCTACAAACATTTTTGCACAGAATCCACTACGCCCGGCAATTACTCCAGGCCAAAAAGCAGTGAAAAGAGATAGCAGTGATCTACAAACAATAATAGAAATCGACTATGAGGGTGATCTGACAATGGAAGTTACTGTGAACTTGCTAGTGAATTACCCATCCGCTCAATTCATCACCCTTCCTATTAAACTATACATTACAGATCTAGTCATACACTCGTTGGCAGCAGTGGCATACATGAAAAAAAGCATCTTCGTATCCTTCCTTTGTGATCTCAATGATGCTCAATCAGAATATTTCATGAAATCGAGAGGTCTCAGCGGCACGAACGAGAGATCTCCGAATACACCTTCCACAGGCGGCAATTTTGTCGACTATTCCTCACCAACAAACCACGAAAGAATTGACGTCATCAAGTCTGTCAAGATTGAATCTGAAATCGGTGAGTTAGGAAACAATGTGTTGCGGAACGTTGGAAAGGTAGAACGTTTCTTGATAGATCAATTGAGAAGAATCATTCGTGACGAAATTGCATGGCCCAGCTGGGTATGCTTCGATCTCAACGAAGACGATGACGAAGAAAACAGCGAAGAAGAACAAGAAGAGGAGGGCGACAACGTTAACGGAGCAGCCGAAGAGAAACCTCTTGATTCTGATACCTTACGCTCTCTATAATTTAAATAATGCATGATTAGAAAAGTTTAGATACTTATAGTTACATGAGTGTAGTACGGCCGCCAACTTCGTTACTGGCGCTACCGTCAGGCATCGTACCGTCCCTTCCAGTCAAGAATTGCGTGTAAACACGCTGGAGCTTGGTCTTCTCAGAGGCAGAAATGGAGGGCTTCGTTTCCTTCAAACTCTCCAAGAAATGTTCTTGAGTGAGGATTACCTTTGAGTTTTCCTTACCTTGAGACTTCTTGTCCACCTTCTTCTCGTCCTTCTCGTCCTCGAATAACTTTTCGATTTGTTGGAGGACCTTCACTTTTTCTGCGGGTCTGATCTTTTGACTCTTGAGCTTTTCAGAGCTGACTTGGAAAAAGTCATAAGACTTATCATCCTTTGATGTATCAACAGTGAGAGCTTCAGTAGCTGCCAACTTCTCATGCACAGCCTTCAAATAGGCATTGTAGCCCAATCCTTGCATATCAGCACCGCTGAATCCGCCAGTATTCTGGGCAATGTCTTCCAAGTTAACATCGTCACTCAAGTCCATTTTGGCACTGATACACTTCAAAATGTCAAGTCTATCGTCATAATTTGGCATATCGCAAATGATACTCTTATCGAGACGACCAGGACGCAACAAAGCAGAATCGATCAAATCTGGTCTACTTGTAGCAGCCAAAACGTAGACACCATCAAGACCTTCCGCACCGTCCATTTGGGTCAACATCTGGTTAACCACTCTGTCAGTGACACCAGTGGAATCATGACCTCTCTTGGGGGCAATGGAATCGAACTCATCGAAGAAAAGAATGCATGGTTTTGCCGATTGGGCACGTTCGAAAAGTTCTCTGACCGATTGCTCAGAAGCACCGATATACTTGTTCAAGATTTCAGGACCTTTAATGGAGATGAAATTGAGACCACACTGACCAGCAATGGCACTTGCGAGTAATGTTTTACCACAACCGGGATATCCATAGAGCAAGATACCAGATCTTAAACGCAAAGGACAGTTGGCGAAAATAGGAGCATATTTGGTAGGCCACTCCAAAGTTTCTAAAAGAACTCTCTTTGCTTCTGTCAAACCACCGATGTCTGCCCAACTGGTGGAGGACTTCTGCAACTTGACTCCTCTCAAGTTGGAAGGCATGAATCCCAGGAGTGCTTTCTCGAATGAAGCTTTATCAACAATGTACTGATCCTTCTGCTCAGAAGAAGCAGCATTGAACAAGCTCTCATGGAAAATACGATCACTCAACAATTTCAAGTCATTAGGTAGGTAGCCCTCGGTCTCGGAAACAATGTCCATGAGATCGAAGTTGACCTTGCAGCCAAGCTTCTTAATCAAATACTCATCCAAAATTGTAGCACGAGCATTCTTCTGAGGAGGACTCAAGTGGTAATAGGACTCAACAAGATGCATCATACCCAAAAGCTTGTTGAATGCCTCCTTGGAAATTCCTGAGACGATTAAGGAAAGATTGGTGTTGTTTTGTGAATGGATTTTTTGAATTTGTGAGATGAGGAACTCAGACAACTGGTTGGATAAGGTAGAGTCACCTTGTTCCACCTCAGCGGATAAAACCTTGTCTAGATTATCTAAAATCAAAACAGAAGGATCATTCCATGAGCAATCTTGAATCCACTTAGTGAAGTTTGCGCTTAGTTGGTCATAATTTTCGTTCATGAACGACTCACAAGAGACGACCTTTGTGTGAACGCCATGTTCTTGTCCAAGCTTGCGTGCAATCCACTTGAGAAGCAAAGTTTTACCGCTACCTGAAGTTCCGTGAAGCATGATACCAGAGTTAGGGAACGTTGTGACATAGTCAACGATCTCTTCGATCACATCATTCGACCCGTAGACTTCATCAAGGGTCTCTGGCTCATCTGTCTCAAGGAAAGAAGCGCTTCTCAAGACATCATCACCGATTTCTATCTTAGGTGGGTTCTTGGATCCTGTGAGTTCATATGGCTTGATCCATGCATGTGTGTCGCTGTTCTTCTTGAATTCTAGAATAGCTCCAAGAGGGAGAATAGCAGGGATAGGCGGTATCTTCACAAGGTTCGTAATTGGAGATTTCGTTATGGAGACTTCAGGATCGAAGAGCACCTTTGAGATGTTTTGGGCCAAATTTTGGTTTTTCTGTGCCTTGGTGGACGAGTTGAGCTGGATTGACTCAGTCTTTTTGGTTTGGGTAATGTATGGATGCACGATCAAGGTAGACGGACGCTTGGAGACATGTTTAGGTGCTTGTCTGACAGCAACTTTGAAGCCAACCTTATGTTCCACATTAAGAGCGTTGGCTAATTTTTGACTGAGACCGACAGTGTTTGCAGGGCATTTAGGAGAATTCACTATTCTAGCGACAATTGTCTTATTTTCCGTCACTGCCTTACTGCTATTCTTGTCTTTCTTTTTATCGTCCTGGCCCTGGTTCTGGTCAGGCGTATCGCTTGGAGCAGCGTTGATTTTAGTATCGGGACCAGGAAGTACCGAGACCGTCACAAACTCAGCACGGTTGAAAACATGCAAAACCTCTTCAAAGTTGACGTGAAGCGTGTAGCCATCCGTGTTTTCCGTCGTAAACAATTTATTCGGAAGAGCGATACCTCTCTTCAACACCGATGGACCCAAGGAAGCCTCATCCACGGTCGATCTGGATGATCTACCCGATTTGACGGACTGGGACGATGATCTCTTTTTCTCACGAAGTTTTGGAGCAATGCTTATTTCAGCAAAAGGATCAATAATGGCGTAACTATGTTCCTGGGAGCCAATATCCTTAACCTGGAGTTTGACAGACGAGGTCTTAGTAGGGTAGACGACCAATACCTGACCGACGGCCACACAACGGGACTGTTCAATCAATTTGGACTCAATGTATGCCGCATGAAGCTCCACGAGTTCCCAATCGGAAGAATGTTCAGGTTCCAAAAAGATACTGGAGGCCTTGAAATTTCTAATTTTCACATTCACCGTGACGAGCTGTTTCTCGGCCAAACGCAACGACTGGGCCAAAATCGAGTCGATACCCAAGTTCCTGGCGCCGCCAGCACTCATACCTGACCAGCCCACATAACACTTATTCTGGGCCTGAGTCACAAGCTCAACCACCACTTCCTGGGGAGAGACATTGGCATTATAAAGCAACGACGACAAGTTTGCAGGCAAATCCACCAAATTATTCCACGACTGGCGGAACACGATGTTCGCAGCTGAACCTTCCATGGCGAGTAGACAGTAGTGGTTCTGTTGGAAAAAGCTGGAGTAGGTGTTGGATTCGATGAAAACTGGGGAAGTGGTCGACCTTCACATACGGCGGTTGTGCCAGAGGCAGGACCGAGGCATGAGGTCTCGCGGGGCACGTTTAGTGGGGCACGAAAGACGGGAAAAATGGGGGAAACCTGGGGGTATTTATATGAATAAGAGATACTTTGGAGAGGGAAGAGGGAATAGGGGTGAATGGTGGTTTTTTATTTTAGGTTTCTTTGGTGGGTGTGGAAAAGAGTGGGGGTTGGTGGTGGTTGGTGGAGCATGCTCTGGCTGCGAAATGCGTCTGTGATGCAGTGAAGAGGAAGAGGAAGAGGAAGAGACGAAAAGGTGGAAGTGTTAAGGGTAGGTGAAGGCGATGGAAAAGTGTTTGTGAGAGGTGGTAAGAGGAAAGATTTGCGTTTGCATTTTTCTTTTTTCCTTTCTTTTTGGAGCTCCTTTTTGGTGTCTCTGACACTAGTACTGGTAAGGTCCAGTGAAGACTTCCCAAGGCATGTGTATGAGCCATATAGGTAAACTAAATAGAACGGAAAGAGACTGGCATTAGAAAGCGAAACATCACTTCCCCTTGGTTGCTTGTTCTCCACCCACCCCATTCCTTCGCCTTTTTCTTTGAGTATCATTTTGACGTCATGAATTGTCTATGTACATCGGTGGTATGCAACTCAGATGGTTTGACAAAAAGATGGCAACTGTGACGCCACCCTTGAAATTCTTCCAAACCATCTCTAATGTTTTCCCTAGCCTCATCTTCTCTGGGTCTCGTTGAACTTCTCCAACGCATCGTCGTTCTCTTGTCTATCGTCAATCTTGCCTTGCATTCTGGCCTGGTTAGCTTGCTTGGCTTTCTCCACGTTCTGGAAAGACCTTCTTCGTATAGAACGGCACTGCTCAAATCCAACAACAGAGCCTAAGAAGAAACCTCCAATACCGATATTCACAGATCTGCTAGGGTTCTTGTGGACTAAAAGCGTCACCACACCCAAAACACCCATGGCAGAAAAACCAGTAAGCATAGCTTCTCTGAAGCATGGCATTGTAACGTAATTGGATAATGTGAAGTCGCTGATGCTGACTTTGTTGAGGGCTGCTAGATAGGTAGCCTCATCGTGATGGTTTGATTCCTTGTCTTCGAACTTTGGAGGTAGATCTTCAAGGAACACTGGTTCTTTCTTTTCGGGAACTTCACTTACTGAAGACACTTTTGAGGGTGAGCCACCGAACCAGCCCATTTTGTGGATGTTTGTTAGCGAAGGGAGGGATTGTAGGTGTAATGCGCTCAACAGAATAGCTGTAAGAGAAGTAGTAGGGAAAGCACGTGATAACAAAACACTAAACAGCCGCCAACAACCGTTAACTATAGTTATGGAAGGTTTGAATGGTTTAGGGGAATTAGGGGATGTTTAAAAAGTATAGAGACAAGGATAGGTGGTTCGGGTGGACGTGTTTCAACACGTACTAGTATGGAAAAAAAAAACTAGCGCAGCCAGGTTTCGATCCTGGGACATCAGGGTTATGAGCCCTGCGCGCTTCCACTGCGCCACTGCGCTTGCTAGTTGGAAATAAGAAATGCTGGTTAAACTACTAATGCAAAATGGTCAGCCAAAAATAAATGCTAAATATGGTTATTTAAGGATGTAGAATCCAATGTTCAAAATACACATGAGAAATTTGAATGGTCATTTCAAAAAATTGACAGAGTTAAGGACGATTTAAGTTTAGACTATCTAGAATATGTACATTTCATCAAAATCTGCCAAAGTTTCCCCATAGAACCTCCCAAGCTATAAAAGAAGAGCCAAAGAAGTTAAAGCTGTCAATTTCGATCAACAGTGAGTGTTATGTCACTCTACAACTAACTTCCATGTAGCTCATAGTCCAGATAAGTCGACCCAAAAATCATCAAATTACCTGCAAAGGACATTCTCTACATTACGAGAAGTCTTTCCCTCACATTCCTACCCACATTTTATTAATAAACCAACTGGATAGTTGGTGGATTGGTTTCATATTTTGCACCCAATCTGTCAGACCTGCATAATCCTTCTTTACGTTGAGTCCTCAGAATCAGTCTAATACTATAACTACATCAACCACAGCTTGACCAAGAAACACTAATACAATGATAGATGACCTTCTACTTGACCCACAGCTTAAGTACTGGATGTTGCTTCCTATTACTGCAACAATGGTGCTCGTAGGCTTGCTAAGAGCGAACATCACCTACCTTCTTACGCCACGTCCAAAGGTTGAGCCAGTGAAGAACGCCAGAGAGAAGTATGTTACAGAAGAGGAAATCATGAATTATTAAGTACTAACAACAGATCATTTCTTAAGCGTACAGCTGCATTTAGGCATAACTATAAGGTTTTGACTGCAGAGGAGTTCAAGACCAGGAAAGCATACTACTTGGAGAAGCTCAAGAGTGATGACTTTTTGGCCAAGAAAGAAGGTGAAGAGGATGTTAGAAATCCATTAGCTGATGGCTCCTTCAATGACGCTTTGATGAATATGGCCAAGGGAAACATGATGAACTTCATTCCTCAGACATTGATTATGGCGTGGGTGAACTTCTTCTTTGCCGGGTCCGTGGTTATGAAGCTTCCATTCCCACTTACAGAAGGATTCAAGAGTATGTTGCAAAGTGGTGTTAACACCCCAGACTTGAGTGTCAGATACGTGTCTGCCATCTCTTGGTACTTTGTCAATTTGCTCGGTCTCAGACCAGTCTACTCTTTGCTCATGAACGATCCTGAGTCAGCACAAGCTTTGGTAAACCAGCAGCAACAACAATCGTCAATGCCTAATTTAGGTGCCCCTGGCGGTCCTAAACCAGAACAAGTGTTCCAGGCCGAAAGTGAAAATATTCAGCTTTTGCAGCACGAGTCCATCTACGACGGCATTGCCGCAAGAATTTTGAACAAGTATTAGAAGATCATAAAATTGACAGGATGAGGGAGCTACAAGAGATTTCAACCACTTTTAGTTTTTATTTTCTTGGTGATTTGATTATCGGTCCGGTTGCAAAGGTTAAGTATGGGGGTACGGGTGCACTTTGAAGCTCGCATCTACACTTCATCGAAATACATCCCATCGCAATCTCTTATCCACTTACTAATCATCCACCAAAGACATGCTGAACACAGAAAAGAAGCCTGCCACTATTATTTGCATCGGTATGGCCGGGTCTGGTAAGACCACGTTCATGCAGAGACTAAATGCTCACCTCCATGAAAAGAAGAACCCACCATATGTTCTTAACCTAGATCCAGCCGTTCTTAAAACTCCATATAGCCCAAACATCGATATCCGTGACTCTGTCAATTACAAGAAGGTTATGCAAGAGTATGGATTGGGTCCAAACGGTGCTATTGTCACATCTCTTAACTTGTTTTCCACCAAGGTTGATCAGGTCATTAAGCTCGTGGATTCCAAGGGCGAGAAGATTAAGAATGTCATTGTCGATACGCCTGGCCAGATCGAGTGTTTCGTGTGGTCCGCTTCTGGTGCTATCATCACGGAATCTTTTGCATCTACATTCCCAACTGTGATTGCTTACATTGTGGATACTCCTAGAAATACATCTCCAACTACATTCATGTCCAACATGTTGTATGCTTGTTCCATTCTTTACAAGACCAAGTTGCCAATGATTGTGGTCTTCAACAAGACTGATGTGCAAAAGGCAGATTTCGCTGTCGAATGGATGCAAGACTTTGAGGCTTTCCAAATGTCCATGATGAAAGATAAGGAATTGAATGGTGATGATGGCACATCTTCTGGGTACATGGGTAGCTTGGTCAATTCTATGTCTCTCATGTTGGAGGAGTTTTATTCTCAATTGGATGTCCTGTCGTGCAGTGCATACACCGGCGAAGGCTTCGATGATTTCATGGAAGCTGTTGACAGAAAGGTTGACGAATACCACGAATTCTACGAAGCTGAGAGGGATAGAATCTTGAAGGAAAAAGAAGAGAAGGAGAAGAACAGAAAGACCGAGTCATTAAACAAGCTCATGAAAGATATGGATATCAAAAAGGATGGCCAACCTAAGGATTCGGAAGTTCTTTCAGACTATGAAGAAGAGGAGGATGACAACAATGGTGAAGTGGACAGAGATTCTGAGGACGAGGCCGAGAGACAATATACCTTCCCAGAAGACAGAAACGCAGAAGTCAACGAGAACACTGATGCTGACTTACAGGCTCGCTACCAAGCGGCTTTCGAGGATACAGCCAAGGATGCATCCTCGAAGACGGCGGAAAGTATTGCCAACTACATAAGGCAGTAGATGGTTGTTTCTATTATGTATTTTAGTCATTTCAATGCTCATGAAGAATGAAGATGTATCACGTTTACGCAAAGACACTTTCAAGGCTGTAAGGAGTGGAGGCGAACTCTTCTTTGAAAATCAAGTGAGGCTTGTGCTTAGCCAAATGCAAGATGGTCTTGCCAAACTCGGAATTACACCAGGCGAACCAAGGTCTTGTATAAGACAAACCCTTCATCGAGTTAACCTTGACACTTTCATGCATCAAGCCCAAACCAGCTGTTGTACCCATGACATATTTCAAGCTTTTAATAATCTCATTGTCATCATCAGTTGTCCTAATTCTCATCAAAAGAGACATTGGCCAAGCGTTCTCGATACCAATATGTGGGCCACCAATACCTTCGAAATGGCGTCCAGTAAGATAGTATGGATTGCCTGACTTGGAAAGAATCATCTTTCTAGTTCTTTGATACGTTTCATCGTTCACATCAAGGTAACCTAAATCAGGCAAGGCAAGCAAGGATGGGATGTTGGCATCATCCATAAATACGTTGCTTCCATAACCGTCAGTCTCGAACGCATAGACCTTACCCCATTTAGGATGATCAACAACAGCATTCTCTTTGAGACCACGCTCAATGCCTTCGATAAACGTATCTGTGTGCTCCTTGTGAATAGTTAAGTCCACATTAAGTTTCACGTCGTTCTCAAACAAGTGCTTGCGTGTTCTCTTCAATTCAGTGAGCATGTGAGCGTTACCAGGAACAAAGAATTGTAAGATAGTACTGTCGTCTGAAGGTCTAAAAGCCGAACGAATAAGGCCAGTATTGAAGTTAACTGGATTACCAACTCCATCGAGCGGCAAGGTCTCGGATCCGATGTTTGTGTCCCTCTTGAATGAGTAGTAAAATGGCAAAACGTCGCCATTACCAGGGTCGAATGATGGCTGGGACTCTCTCTTCAACACGATAAGGATCTTTTCATATGCTTTAATCCAACTCTTAGTAAAGACGGAAGTATCCCCAGTATTATCAATGTACTCATTGGTTAATGTAAGGAATGATGCCAATGAGTCGATTTCGTACTTGCATTCAAAAACTTGATTCCAGTCAGGCTTAGGATAAACAGCATCTTTAGCAGTGTTACCCTTTTCCACACCAGAACCTGGTGGTGGATGGAACGCATTGCAGTATGGGGAGTTCATTATGTACTGCTCTTGAGTGTGGATAGCGCCCTTGATCAATTGTTTAAGTTTTTCATCATACTTGACCAAAGGCTGATAGACAGACAATTGACGGGCCGAGTCTCTCAACCATTCCGCGTGGATATCACCAGTCACCACGAACAGTTCTGGATACTTCGAAAGCTTACCAGAGCTCGCCAAGCCATCTTTGTGCCACAAAATCGTTGTGTCCAACGTATTTGGCAAACAATTTTCCACCAATCTTGCAAGGTCTGGATTCTTGATTTTGGACTTCAAATCAGTAATTAACTTTTCAACGGCTTCAGAAGCAAACGTACGACACTTCAACGGTGGACGCATGAAGGGATATCTAAACTTTCCCTTCGAATAAGGCGCATGAGCCTTCTTGGAGTAGTCAACGTAGTTGATACATTTGTCGGTCTTCTGGTCCAATTCTGAGAGGAACTCTGGGGTAATATCGTCTACCCATTTGCCACTAGACGCGATTTCACTGTTTCCATTCTGAACAACTGAGTCTTCAGCATCAACATAGCCCAGGTCCTCGTCCGCAAGTATAGAGCTACTATATAGCTTCTCTCTGGAGTATGTATCATCAGCTCGCTGAAAGCGCCATAAGTAGAAAAGCACCACTGCGCCAACAATGATAATAAGCTGGATAGGCTTCCAGCCACGTACGCTCATAGTTTTAAGAGCCATTATGAGTGACGGTGAGTAGCCAAGAAAGGGTTCACATAGACCCTTGAAGAGGACGCATCAGAGTGCAGGAAACACTAACTATGGGGATGCTTCATAATGTTGATCGTGTTCTTTGCAGAGCCGTCTTCAACGTAAACGAGACCAAGACGGCCTAGTCTTTCAAAGAAATTACTCATGAAGTTCTTGTTGTCCTTTTGCGCTTCTTCATGACGCGTTTCTTGGGCCATCTTAAGCAATTCATCATAGTTCATATTTTGGCTGCGAATTCCCTTACGTACAGAAGACTTACGTGAAGCATCGAGTAAGCTGTTAGTGATATCCGGGAAGTATAACATCAAGCGAGCTGCAATGATCTCCATATCTTGATTCTGTTCTAAAACGTCAAGGAGCTTTTCGTGGTCTTCTTGAAGGATAGGTTCCTCGATCGTGAGAATGTATAGATCAGAGTAATGAACGTCGTAAGGGAATAGACTTCGAAGTTCTGGGGTCTCTTCTTGGCGCAAAATCTTTTTCTGTAGTTCAGGAAGAGGGTAAGATCGTGGAATGCTCTTATCATTTAAGGCCAATTCGGGCTTGGTTTTGTCGTAGCCGATAATATGCGGTTTCTGGGTATCCATGAGTTCATCACTAAGAGGATCTGACTTTTGCAAGTTGAGCCAGAAGTTTTTATCGTTCCACTTTGCTGATTTTATATCCTGTGAAAGAGATGCAAGACGGAATAGGTCCGGTGTTGCCAAATTTGTAAAGTAGTAGTTTCTTATCTTTTGATTTGATAATGAAGAATTCCTATACTGGTGCGTTAACGAATCCAAGTCTTTTCGAAGCTTTTCATAGGGTAGATTTTGTTGCAGGATTGTGGTTTCAGCGAATAGACGTTGCTTTTGTCTGAGGAATATAATGATCGGAGTGGATGCTAGTAGCTTTCTGTACCAAAAGAACGAGTTCATGGCGCCTTTATTGGGAGGTAGAGCCTGTAAAGGAGAACAGGTAGATGCAAATGATGATAGTATGTTAGCTAGGAAGTTTGAGGTATTCCTTACGCTTTTGGGTTTCTGGCTGATAAGAGGTTCCAGGGGACGCATTTCAAAGCCAGCCTGGGCCATTATCTCTTCCACTGAAAGCGCCTCGATACCTTGTAGACGGATGGGGTCTTTGATTAGTGGCGCTAGAACTTTAGCAACCATTGGGTTGAAGTCCTCTGCGTTTATACTGCTCTCTTCAGGCCCTAGTAGCTTGTTCCTATGGAAGTACCTATAACTGTCAGATGACTTTTTCACGAAGTTATGGACCAATGTATCGGGGTATGGTATTTGCCGTTGACATGTAGTCTGGTATATGTGAACAGCATGTTCCAAGGCCGTGGGGATCCTTTCCCACGTATATTTAGACATGTAGGTGAAACTATACTGGTGAAGAGCATCTCCATATATACATGTTGACACCCGTACCTCTCCACCAGATCAAAGCCAGAAATCCACCAAATCCAAGGGAAAGGAATAATTTTAGATTTATTTCTTCTAAATTCGCTTTAAGCTATTCAAGCAGATAGTTTAGACAGTTTTTTCTTGTTTTGTTGAAAGTTCACAATGCTGTATTTGAAAGTTTCACTATGGCTGCGAAAAGTCATGGGAGTACCACTTGGGCAGAGAAGCTTCAGAAACTACGCTTACAAGACCCAATAATTAAAATAAGATGTAGAAAATCCTCTTAATAAGATGAGCCTCTTAGGTAGAGTATCCCTTTTTGTTTGGATCTTCAAGAGTGGTTTGTTTCTGGGGTACTGGTGTGGGCCATCGCTAGCATCGCTAGCATCGCTAACATTGAACGACCTAAGACATACTCAACTATTCCTCGAAAGCAGCGCTTCACGCAATGTCGGACACAGAAATTGATACTGCTCTTTTTGAAGAACCATCTGACTTCAGACCACCACCTCCTGAATCCCATTTCGTCGAATATGAAAGAGTGTCTGGTAAAACAGACCCAAGCAAGATTAAGCTCAAGCTTGTAGGTAAATCGCCATTGTGGGGCCATTTGCTTTGGAACGCTGGTAAATACACCGCCAACTACCTTGATGCTAATGCAGATGAGTTGATCAAGGGTAAGAAAGTGTTGGAGTTGGGAGCTGCTGCTGCCTTACCTTCGTTGGTCTGTGGAGTCAATGGAGCCAGTAAAGTTATCAGTACTGACTACCCAGATCCAGATTTGATGAGCCATATCCAATACAACATCGACCACTGTGAGGGAATCCCTAAGGATACTATCGTTAAGGTCAAGGGATACATTTGGGGCAAGGACGTCAATGCTCTCTGCTACGATGAAGTGGAAGACGAGGACGAAGCGCCCAAGGAAATCAAAGAAGAGGATAAGTTCGACTTGATCATCTTGTCTGATCTTATTTTCAACCACACAGAGCACTTGAAGCTTCTTAAAGCTTGCAGAGACTCTCTTAAAGCTACAGGCACAGGGTTGGTCGTCTTCAGTCCTCACAGACCACACCTACTAGACAAAGACTTAGAGTTCTTCACGACATGTGAGCAGTTCGACTTCAAGGCAGAGAAAATTGCTTGTGAGAACTGGAGCCCAATGTTCGAGGAGGACGATGCTACAGCTGAGATACGTTCCAGAGTGTACTGCTTCAAGATCCACCCACAGTGGTAAATAGATAACATATAGCAGCACATTCAATCACAGAGTAGTACATTAAGCAACGCAAAACGTTTTCAAGTTGAATCTGTATTAGATATACATAGCCTTAGCGGCAATCGTAAATAGAAAAGCGTGCAAAAGGGAAACTTAGGCAGAGTTGGAGTTAGCCTTTCTCTTACCGTTGACCAAGGTGACGTTAACAAATCTCTTGGTGTACAACAATCTCATGTAAGCTCTTCCCTTAGGCTGCTTTGGCTTTTCCTGCTTGTCAACCTTTGGAGTCTGAGACTTAACCTTACCGGCACGAGCCAAGGAACCGTGGACTTTACCCTGATATGTTAGTATAACTGACGTGTGGATGGAGACTGGTGAATCTGTGAAAAAGACAGCAAAACTTGAATAAGTCGATGGGTCACCTTGTTGGTGATGGGTGGAAAATTCATGGTGGAGTTGAAGGAAAGGGATCAGGTCGGACAACCTGGTTTTAGCAAGTTCAGCATTTGGGCTTGTCTTCTTGACGATTCACGATATCTTTGGTTATGTTTAGACATACCATTTTGTTTGATTATAAGTTTATACGGTAGATGAAAGATCAACTGTAATTTTTTTTCTTCCATATTGAAGGAAGGGTGCGGAGGCAAAGGATCGTGCGCAGGCAAAACGATGATGCGATGCACGTGTGTGCACTTAGGGCTCGCGCCCTACCGACACCTCCAACAAAGATACCCCAATAGAGGCAGCAGGCGGTGGAGAACTTGCCAAAGGGGCTACAATTAATTGGAGGAGGCTTTAGATGTCGCTTTTAGTTGTTAGGCAAGTTTCAAGGGGTAGTTAATGTGATGGGATAGTAACAGGGTGGGCCCATAAAGCACCACCTTCAAACTCTAGAACCAATTTAATCATTTATAGATTTTCCTAAGCAAGAAAAGCAAAACAGATATGCAAACACCGTAAACATGCACCTACCATCGGTCATTTCATTGTATGATGCTGTGTTTCATGGCAACAAGTGCATCACGTAATGGCTGCGAAAACTCCTTTGGGAGACTACTTATGCATCAAACATGAGCTCACGGCTGCAACACACATTGCCATGCGTTGTATATTCAATTATGGTGTAGTTTAACAAGCCTAAGGGGTATCTCGTAAGTCTTGGTTTTTGAACAGCATCGCCTACCGTGGTCTGTGGTCAATATTAGTTGAGAGGAAGACAGCGCCCTGCGCTTTCCCGATCTTCACTCTCAGTAACTCACAAATCAATGCTTCAAAAGGCTTATTGAGTAAAAACGACTACCAGGGTAGCAAAGACCAAGACAAAGACAGCTGCAACCAACAGCAGCACCGAGAAATACGAGATAGGGTACTTCTGGTTCAAGAGTAAAGCTTGCACGTTAAAGAAACGATAGCAGCCAAACAAGAGGCACGAAATGCCTAGGATAAAGAAACCAGCACCAATGGGTTTACCGAACTTAGCCAACTCGTCGTACTCGCCTTTAAGCTGAAGTTTAAAGAGTTGCACTATGCCAATACCAATGGTAGTGAGCGATAGCGATGTTCGAAGCCATGCGAGGAAGGTTCTCTCGTTCGCCATCTGTATGTTAGTAAGTGTTTTTATGAACTTAGAAGACGAGGGATGGTGTGGATGAAAAAGAAGTTTATGGGTCTGGTGGAGCCTCAATTGGTGGATACCAGATGGTAGGTAATGGTAAAGCAGATGGGAACATTGAACGCTGCATGGTACGGCTGAACCGTCAGTGACACAAAACGGTGATTCAAACCCAAGTGAAATGCCAATTGGTGCTTACAGCACGTTATTGGTTCCACTTAGTCTTCATAGTATCCTTCGAAGATACTGGCGTAGCAGGCTAGGGCTAGGGAATAATGGCTGCGAAATCACTGATAAGGACATAGGCAGGCAGGGTAAGGGCCAGATCTGGGGTCCCAAAGACACATCATGAGCGTACCATAGAACCACCCAAACCCAGAAATCCATGTCTTTGTCCCCAGCTCTTCACATCTTCATCCACCCATCCTTGCACCTCCCAGAGGACCGACTTCACCCACACTGCCTATTGTTCAGTCCCATGGCCCCAAGTGGTACATTCCCACAGGCCAATCCCACTCGGAATGTCCTTCCCAAGTACCTCCCCGTGGCGCCGTATCCCACCCATTCCAGGCATCCACTTCCTGATCACCCCATTCTTCACTGATTGTCCCAAGACAACCAGTAATCAATTGAGAGATCCAGCCGCCCTGATGCCCAAAAGTACCAACTCAAAGTCCTGGTCTGGTGCCTCCACTGGCTTTCCTCAATCATTCCTGTCATTGCCAGCCACTGCCACTTCCCCTGCTCTGCCACTGGTTCTCCATTTATCTACTGCCTGGGCGTCCCAGTCCCTCCTTCCCAATGTCTCCTTGTCTCTCCTCTCCTCTCCTTTCTCAATACGTACATGGTCTCGGGCGACGGCGCCCTCGTTCGCAATCAAGATCAGCGACCAGGCCTGGGTGTTGTCTTTGTGCGAGCCTGCGTTGAGCAACGGCTGAGTTTCTGTCATTTTTACTGCTTGTGCGAAATAGTAGTAGGAAGTGGAACTTTTCTCTCGCAACAAAGCTTCTCGTGATATTTGACTTTGAGTGGGATTGAGCCACAGTGCGCAAGCCTGGAGGGCAGCCGAAGGCTCGCCTGGAAGGCTTTCCTGGAAGGCTTGATACCTGGAAGGTATGATAAGTAGTAAATTATATATTTGAGATAGAATCAAATGGGATTGTTTTACTTGGACTCAATTAAAATAGGTCTTCTATTTGGCTCTTTGGTTGTTTGTTCAGTGCTGGATGGTACCGCTTACCTTCATGTGGTATGTCCTGGAGGGGGTTCCAAGAATAACACAGGTGAAGTCAAGAAATCCATAGCAACATCGGCCAAGCCAGGAGCAAGCCAGGGGCTTGTCTACATTATACAACTGTATTTCTTTATCTTGTCTATTTTTCTATAAGTGTATGGGCGACTCGGCGCCTTGCGAATCCTAAGCACCAGGCTTAGGCGGGTAGCCGAGGCCACGCCCTTCTCTGGCTTCTCGGGCCGCTACACATCGAATGAAAATGAATGAACCCTGCGAGAAAGTAATGATTATAACCGAAAACGTATGTATGCTAAGATGAGGAGCAGAACCTCGGGCTCTGCCCATGAAAATGACATGAGGAGTGTTGTAGCTTCCCTAAATTAAGGCTACGCCGAGCACGAATGTAACCACCGCGGCCACAGTCATCCACGGCATGCTGGACCGGAAGGGGGCTGGGACTGATCCATGCGCAAATGAGCCTCCTGCTGAGATGGTGACTCTAGAATACGACTGAACCTTACCCACTTCGCCAGAAATAGATCCCATGCCCATGCTTCCTGATGGCACTGGCGTGGTGTCTGTATTTTCAACAAACATTGACTGGGAAAATGGACTCTCTGTAGTGGTCAACTGGCCTTGGGGGTTTGTGCCAGTGACCCAGATCATCGTAGGTTTGGTGGAAGATGATGACGACGACGACGAGGATGATGTGGAAGTGGTGGTGGCGGCAAGAGCACCAGCGATGAAGGCCATAAGCCAGATGAAACGAAGGAATACCATGACGGAGTGGATTTTGTTAAAAATGGAAAAGTATGAAGATGATAGGGAAGATGCAAAAAGTCCAAACGCTCCAAGTGAAATGGGACCCTCCTGTTATTTATGATCCAGATGTGCCATGCAATTTTTTTTTTTTTCTTTCCTTTTCTAATCTGCACCTTCCTGGTTTGCAGCAGCTCAATGCACCATGATCCCACTGACGTTTGCCGAGGTAACAGCGTACATCTGCTAATACGCGGGCTTGTAGCCCATAGTAAACCACGGCAAAACTTGGAAAGTTCATGCAACCCTGCAAAGAAGGAGCTGCGCATCGGAACAACCTGCTCGAGCCCTTAAAAAAAAAGAATGAGACTGAAGGGGGGTGTGCGACACAGGAGTCGCCTGAGATAAGATAGGAAACCGACAGACCCCGGGGGGGTGCCTTTGGTTTTGTGGAAGCTGTGATATCTGAAACGGGTTTTTGTAAACCCTATTTGAGTTCTTCCTTGGTCCTCTGTAACCACTGTGACCCAACTTGCCATGGTTGCAAATTCAAGGTTAAAAAAATTCACCGCGACACAAGCAACTGTCCCAGACAAGAATAGCAGCTTTTCTTGTCGCTTGCAATCAGGTAGGCACACACACAATGAGGTAAGCTATTTCGAGGGGAACACCCGCCGGCTTCTCTGTACATGAAAAGCTTGGTTTGTTTGGTTTGTTGCCATGGAGACTTTTCACTAATTCCGTTCGTTTTCGCTTAGTAAACCCTCCTGTGTGTCTAACGAGCTGTGGGCCCTCTGAGCCTCTGTCTGAGCCACCGCAACCGCTGCGCTTTTTGTCTCGGTGTTGCCGCAGAAGTTTGTTCTTTTTGCGTATACAGCAAGCTAGCGCAAGCAATTTTTTTTTTTTTTTTTCTTCACCTCCGACTTCTCGGCCCGCGAATGCCACAAACTCGATGCTCAACCTTAAGCCTTGTTTCTGAAATGTTTCACATTTGTAGATCCCCATGCCAATATAAGCTTCTCTCTAAGACTTTTTTTTTCCACGTTTTCTTTTCTTCTCCAAGCACGGCCTCCCTCCATCGTTTCACTTATCTTAATTCCACATTGTTTTCCGTTTCTTTCTTGCAGCAATCCCACATTTCGCGTAGCTCTGCAAAATGCACCTTTGGGAGCATGTTCACAGTGCTAACTTTTTTTTTGGCTCGCCATGTTTATTTTCTCGCGTCGTCCACTCACCGTGGGTACGCTTGTGAGCGTGGGAGCGCGGCTCAGGTCTCAGCCTCTGTTTGTGTCTGCTGTCAAGGAAAAGGCTCTGCTGTTCCAGTAATAGAATAAAAAAAATAAAAAGAACAGCTCTCTCTTTAATGACGCATTGTTTCATGTCCTTCTCTTTTTTCCTCTTTGGCTTATTTTTCAAACGTTGGCACATCGTCTGATCGCCCTCAGATCCAACCTTGTGCCGATCCGGCCCCTAGCACCATTCCCTGCCTGCCTACTTGCCTGCCTCGTCTAGCCTCTGCGCTAAGCGCCTGTTCTCGAGGCACCTAGATGAAATAGTCCACCACCGGCTTTTTCAGTGGCATCATGTTGGTGTCCTTGTTGACAGCATCAAATACCTTGTATTCTCGTTCCAAGTTATCGTTGATGCTTAAAATACTGGCAATGTTCCCACACCGGTAACAGTAGTTAGGCGCAGACCATACCGTCACCAAACTGCCCGAGAACATCTCTTTGTAACCTTCCATCACAAGCTGATGCGCCCGCGCGATAAGCAGAATGTCGTTCTTGTGGCAGAATTTATTAACTTCATTCTCTCCAAAAAGATACCCGGCGCCTCGAGGCAGCACCGCCCATTTGGGTACGTCTTCAGGGTCCGACCAGAGTAAGTCGCACATGGCCCCTTCGTGGGGCACTTCTTGTTTCCTGTCAAGCCTCCTTATCTCGTCCACATCACTGATCTCTGGACTGAGCCCGCCGTGGACGCAGAAAACACCTCCTTGCCCTCCGACAATGGCTCCAAGCGAGAAATAGTCAAACACCTCGCAGCAGTAACGCCACACGTTCACGCTGCCATACTTCCGAAGGCATTCGTCGTAAAACCCGTAGACAGTAGTGATTTGTCGAGACTCGTGGTTGCCTCGAATTAAGGTTAGTCGGTCTGGGTACCTTATTTTAAGTGCAAGAAGAAGCAATAGGCTCTCTAAAGAGTAGAAGCCTCGGTCAACGAAGTCCCCGAGAAATAGATATTGGGTTTGCGGGCATTCTCCCCCGGTCTCAAATAAATTAAGGAGGTCTTGGAACTGGCCGTGTATATCTCCACATATCGTAACTGGTGTATATATCTGTTGGATGTTGGCCTCCTCCACTAGTACTTCAATCACCTTCAGACAGATCTCCTCCACGTCTTTCTCGGGCACATCCTTGCACTGCTTGATATCCTCAATCGTTCTATGCGTTAGTATTCATACCTAAAGCCGTCAAACTCGATTAACATACTTATCTAGGTCTAGCATTACTGGTATTGGAGTAAGAATGTATGGCTGATACTTAACGCGTTGATATCGGGTCACGTGCTGGAAACTAAAAATGGCTATATCTCCGCAACGGCGGCGAGTTTTCAAGTTTTGAAACTTAAATCACATTGGGCAAGTTTTCTGGTACCTTCCCAATTAATCAAATTTTGTGAAAATTGTTGTTTCATCAAATTGTATGTTACAGAAAACCACTTTTTGTTCAGTGCCATAAGTTGGTCTTATAGTGTAGTGGTATCACCTCGGATTCTGATTCCGGTAACCTGGGTTCGAACCCCAGTAGGACCTATTTTTTTGCTTTAAACACCTTTGACATACTCAGTTATCGTATTTAGCCTGTTTTCTGGCCTCTTACTACCCCATCAACTTTATATCTTTTCATTTTTATTATTTTCCGATATTCAATTAAGCCTAAAACCCGTAGTTAATACAAACAAGAAACTAATCATCATCCCACCTAACGCCAGCTTGGCAAGGTATACTTCATGAATGATTTCTGGAGCTGCCTCTTCACTGTGATCTTCTGTGCTCCCACAAAACTATCAATGCTGACCTTGATGGCTCTGTTCAAGTCGCTCTGACTGACGAAGTCACTGAGTCTCATTCTTGCGAATGCTTCAGCAATTCTGATAATACTTTCCAAGTGACGAACAGTAATCGGGAAGGAGCCCGTGGAGATCGACTCTCTTCTCAAGTCGGCATACACCAATGCAACCTTGTCCATATCCATCTGGTGCAATTTAGGTGAAACCTTAGCTCTTGCGTAGCTGATGTATTTGGCCAACGTTTCTTGTGGAATTGGCGAGATCTCGCTCTCTCTCTGTTCATTACTTTGGGTAATTTTCTCGCGACGGCTCTTGCCTTCGTCCATATTGTCATCATCATCCTTAAAAACGTCTTCATCGTTAGAAGGATGAGAACGCATATGCGAATCAACCACGAAAGAAGCAAGACGCTCGTCCAGCTCAGGATTGACCAAATCTCTCACAACACACAAGATATCAAATCTAGACAAAATTGGTTCGGTTAAGTTAACATTCTGAGCGAGTGGAATGGTGGAATTATATCTGCCACCAGTAGGGTTAGCGGCTGCAATGATAGAACAACGCGCTTGCAAAGTGGTAACAATACCTGCTTTGGAGACGGAAATGGATTGCTGTTCCATGGCTTCGTGAATAGAAGTACGGTCCTGGTCATTCATTTTATCGAACTCATCAATAAGACAGGTACCTTTATCAGCAAGCACGAGAGCACCACCTTCCAAGGTCCACTCTCTTGTGATGGGGTCTTTTCTGACAGAAGCAGTCAAACCAACAGCGGAAGCACCCTGACCTGTAGCGAAAACGGCTCTGTTAGCAGTCTTCTCCGCATACTTCAAGATCTGAGACTTGGCGGTACCTGGGTCACCTAGCAAGAGGACATTGATATCACCACGAATAGAATGCTTACCATCAATGTTCTTGGCAACACCACCAAACAACGAACAAGCGAGCGCAGTCTTGATATCACGGTGGCCGTAGATAGAAGGAGCCATGGAGCCAATGATCTTATCAATAACACCTCTCTCTCTTGAAAGTCTGCGGAATTCTCTCTCATCTTCTTCAACCCATGAAGACACGCCAGTGTCACTATTAAACATTGAAGATGTTTCCTTTCTCTTGACAGAATTGGCTTCTACCACTGTTGCAAAGACAGGGAAACCGTTCTTCGCGTTGAGACCGCCATCATAGTTATTCTTGTAGACACCAACAACTTCAACTTCCTCACCAGGCTTGGCGATATCCACCAAGTCTGAAAGCAAGATGATTTCTCTGTGACGAGGTAAACGACCAGCTGGAACCGTTCCTGGAGCCTCTTGTAAAGTGATACGCTGGTAGTTTCTGTAAAGAGTTCTCTCTGAGTTCATCTTGAATGGACCCTTACTTGCACAGTTGGTACAGTAGGTCATTTTGACTTCAGTGTTGGAGTCTTGGATGAAAGGTCCAAGAACAGCGTGACATTTGAGACAGTCAAACTTAACGTACTTGAGTTGAGGGAAGACACCTGTTCTTCTGGTCACAACACCCGAGACCTTCACGAGCTGATTCAAGTTCTTTTCTCTGAGGTCTCTCAAAGACAAAGCATTAGGAAAGTTGGAAATACGGACATGAATTTCCAGGTGAATCTGGGAGTAGTTAGGGTAGTGCAATTCCGTGGCTTCCATGGCGACGATATCGAAAATCTTCAACATTTCAGTAGGAGAGGTGGCCAAGAACAAGGCCAAAATGGCCTTGGAATCAGCCAAGTGGTTATAAGAAACGTCCAAAGACTCGGCGTTGATTTCACCCAAAGTACGAATACGCGCACCGTAGACGGAACGACCACGTTCGTCAGTGTATTCTAGAAGGAAGGACTTCAATTCTCTGCCGATAGAACGAGAGACTGATGGCTGCAAGATCCACTCAGTAATGGAAGGAGCCTTGACATCGGCCAAGGATTCCAACGACAATTCCTCATGGAATGGGTCAATTTCCACATCGTTCAAAAAGTCGTCCTGGTCATCGTATTGTCTTCTGAGTCTTCTTCTCTGAATAGGAAGACCATATTCGTTGACATCGTCATCGCCTTCTTCATCATCATCAAGAAACGCCTGGCTTCTTGCACGTGTATCCTTCGACATTCCAAGTAATTCGTCACGACGGTCCAACTGCTCATCGATTCTTCTTCTTTCAGCAGCATCCAACTCGTCGTACTCTTCGTCGTCGATGTTTCCATCGCCCAAATTATAGTGGTCCTGGTTGTCGTTACGACGGTAATCGTTATGCATGTTATCCATCAAATCTTCACCTTCTTCCTCGTCTGAAGGGTTCAAGTCGGTGACATCGTTATGGATCTCTTCTTCCTCGTCCTCGAAGGGAATGGCGGGGGAGGAAGGAGGCAATTGAGGCGACGATGCCAACGAGGGCGTCGACCTCTCGGAGCCGGAGTCGTCGTCGTCGGCTTGTCTTTTTCTTGGACTGGACATGAAAAGAAGAGTTGGTTGTAGTAGGAAAAAAGAGACTCTTGATTGACGCGCGTAATTAGCTTTTTTGGGAAGAACGCGTTGGAAGGGGCGCCATAAACGCAGGCAGGAACGTTACTGGATGGATGAGAAATATACCAAAAAAGAAAATACATGGAAAGGAAAAAAAAGAGAATGCACAACTAAAAGTTAAAACCCCACGACTACTCTCTATTTAATAGTATTCTTTTCTTGTTTTGAAGGTTCTGGCCATTTGGCTTGGGGCTGACGCGATGGTCTTCTGAGACTCTAAAAGGAAGGTTCCTGCCGCGTTACGCTTTGTTAATGGCTGCGAAAAAACCGGTAAAATGTGAGATCCTCCAGGCGTTGATCTGACCGAATATGGGAATATTGAAAGAAAAGAAAGACGGAACATTAAATTCTGGTAATGTGGACTGAACTGCTAGACTAACTGTCGAGTCGTCTATTTCTGTAGAAAATGGGTTCGTCTTTATATTTGAGAGGGAAGGGTTGGAGGTGGTCAGTAGGCTTCCTTATGAGACCCTGCTCTGCTAAATGAGTGAGTGTTTTGACCTCTGTTCCTCATTAATGAAGATTTAAAATCAACAGTCTCTTCTCGTTTCGTCTGAGCGATATCCTTTTCGGTACTCTCTGGCCCGTTACACTTCCATTACGGAGGGTTGGTCAGTGGGCATGGAAGGTGCAAGGCACAAACCATCCCTTTTTACCAGTAGACACTTAAAAATAAGTAAAATAGGTGAAATGAATCTAACCAGGCTCTTCTTTTACACTTTTCCCTTCGTTAATATGCCAGAATTGTCATGGCTTATAAATATGGAGCAACCATTTATTCGGAACTCCATGGTGTACTTGCAAAATGGCTGCGAAATTCAACCAGTGGGTAATTCTGAGAATACGAAACAAGGTTTCTAAAATAGAAAGAACAGAAAAGAGGATTTCTTGGTTGATAAAATAAGCGCAATCGACTAGATCAAAGAGGCCATCGCCTTGTTTTGAAAGAAAAAGCGCCCATTGGGGATTTGGGCTCGTCGAAGGTGCCTTTGGTAATGGCTGCGAACAAAGATATCAGAAATATAGTGATATCATATAACACTTTTTCTTATAAATTTGAATTCAATGAAGAGAGATGTTAAAGAAGTTACTTAGAAGTTTCAGGATTCATAGTAACTTGGATTTCGGAAATTCACCTTTGAAAATCCCTTCTTCTTGATCTGAAATACTGTCTTGATAGGCTATTATGTTTACATATAGTGGATGATATATCCATCTTGATCCTCGACAGATGACGCTCAGACCAATTAACTAACCCCTCTTTATCTCATAATCCACCCAAAAAGCCCACCTCTTAGCAAAAAGAACCGTTATCTCACTGCCTCGGTAAAGGGTCTTCTTCAGCGTTTCGCAGCCATTAACCAGATCCACATAACCCCCACAAAACTCGACAAACCACAACTTTAAAAGCAATAGAAACGTAAAAGAGACATCACAGAACCTTCAAATACACATAAACCGCCGCAAAAACCAACTTTACCTTCCCCTTCCACACTTTCGTCACGGGCCATGTCACCTATATTACCGCCCTACATGCACTTCTCTGCACACCGCAAGCAATATCTGGGACAAGGTACTTCTTCTTCAGCAGATCCAGACGTCGCCGTCCAAAACAGCTAAGCATCTCTTCATGCCTCCTGTCACAGCGATAGATTTCCTTGAAAACCAGCTAAAGCTAGAAAAAGAGGCTAGAGAAACCCTTCCTTATGAACCTGACAAGTGCACTTACCCCCAGCCCCTCAGACAACTTGTCTTTACATGTCTCACTTGTCTGAGAGCCAACAACAATACACCTATTGGTGTTTGTTACCTGTGTCTGATTCAGTGCCACAGCACCCATGAGTTGGTCGAGTTACTCCCGAAACGGTCGTTTGTGTGTGACTGTGGAACGACCAGAATGAAGAACGGCCATGCCTGTGAGTTGAGAATGAGACAGGCTAAGGAGGATGCAAAGAATCACAATCCTGGCGTTCTGGGCAATCAAGGACCAAGTGCTGGTCAGCATAGTCACCAGAGTAATCAGAATAGTGACAGACCTCCGAGCAGGCCACATCAGCTGCTGAGTCAGGGGATCCCCAAACTACGAGCTGGTCTCTCGCCTGCTCATTTCCATAGCTTATCTTCACTGCAACTTCCCGCTGAAGATGTGCCTAGTTCGAGTAACACGTATAACCACAACTACAAGGGACGTTTTTGCTCATGTAACGAGTTATATAACCCCATGAGAGAAACAAGAACAATGCATCAATGCTACTTTGGGGAGTTCTGCGGCGAGGACTGGTTCCATCAAGATTGCATCATGGGATACAAGCCAGGCATGTTTAGTCACGACCAACCAGAACCTAGTGAGAATAAGCTAGCCCTGCTTCCATCCCCAGGCTTGGATGCTGAACACGACAGAACCAATCTGGACCCTGGCTATCTTGGAGCCAAAAGCAATGGTTCGGATAAGCCCAGCACTTCAAATGAAGCCGAGAATGAGGTAAGGGAGAATCAGCATGACGTGCCTCAAAGTTCACTTCCTGACCATGCGGACTCTGATTCGGAAGAAGCCGACGTGATACCATACTTCCCTGCTTTGGATTCTTTTTCTGAGTTTATCTGTTGGGGTTGTATCGACGCTTTCAAAGAGGCCTTTGACGAGCTTTCCACCAACTCTAAGATTGTGGCTGCAAAACTTCCTCATTTCGAAGGCATTTGTTCTGCTCACGAATGGAAAACCCGCTATGACCAATATGTTGATGGTGAACCACAATCGAAAAAGACAAAGAATGGTAAGGAGAACAGGCAACTCTACACACTTTTTCTTCGTGATGGTTTCAAAGAGGAACTCATCAAAACAAAGGAATCTGCTCCTACCGACTCCCCAGTGGGAGCTTTGCTCAGAACATTTGATTTCTTGTCCGGAGACGATGTCGTCTATTCACCAAAGGAAGACACAGACGTAAGCTCATCTACAGGCTCGCTTTACGATATGGGCACTGAAGCCCTCCAAGCATTACCCGGGCAACAAGCTATCGAGGGGTTACATGCATATGGTTTGATGAAATCTCGACTTCGAGACTTCTTCCAAGGTTTCGTTGACAAGAAAAAGGTCGTAACCGAGGACGAAGTTCGGGACTTTTTTGATAATCTCAAAAACTCTAACTAGGAAGACAAATCTTAAATGACACGATCTTTCGTTATTCACGATGTACAAACGAATATATACAAATAAGTTCATCATCTGTTCTCACAAACTTTGAACGTTGCCACAAGGGGCAAACTTGCGTATGCTAATCGTGAGATGTCATTAACACGTAACACGTTAACTTAGTCGCTCTTCTTCTTCTTTTTCTCATCCAACTTTGCAAACTCCTCCTTCCAGACATTGCTGAACTCTTCCTTGTTAGCATCAGGGAAAATAGCTTCGAAAACTTCAGAGTACCACAGAACAGGAATGAACTTGACACCGCTCTTGACCTCATCTGGAATCTCTTCAAGCTCGTTCTCGATATCCTTAGGGAAAATGATAGTATCGCAACCATATCTCTTAGCACCAAGGATCTTCTCTCTGAGACCTCCAACAGGCAAGACCTTTCCTGTAAGAGTGATTTCACCAGTCATGGCTGTCGTAGGAGGCAAAGCTTTGTTAAGAGCCAACGAGACCAAAGAGGACGTAAAGGAAATACCAGCAGAAGGACCATCCTTTGGAATAGCACCATCTGGACAATGCACATGGATGTCGGCAGCCTCGAAGAATCTGTTTTCAGGATATTCTTTCACGAGGAACAGCTTGGCAAAGGAATAAGCAATGGAAGCCGATTCCTTCATCACATCCTTCAAGTGACCAGTAACATGCATACCAGCATGACCCGAACCAGATCCAATGGCATGCGTCAAAATGGACTCAATGTAAAGAGCATCACCGTTACCGGATGTACTGTAAGAAAGACCGGTAGCGACACCAGGAGGTGGGACATCGTACACACGAGCTCTAGTGTAGATCTCAGGACCGACATAGTCCTTCAAGACGTCTGGTGTGATTTCCAACTTCACGTCAGCAGGAATGTCCAATGGCTTGATTTCTTCCTGTTCTTCGTTGGCGTTGAGCGTGACATTGTCGGAGAACTGCTTACTGTCCTCTGGCTTAGGAACTTCGGCAGCTTCAGCTTTAACTGTGGAGTTCTCTGCAGCAGAAGCCTCCTTTGCTGGTACATCCTTCTCTTCAAGCTGCTCAACGATCTTGAACGAAGCTTTACTGAAGATTCTTGTGATTAACTTCTTGACATTTCTCAATCCACTCTCACGACAGTATTTTTCTATCAACCTTATAATCGCTGGTGGAGAGATAGTGACATGTTCTTCGCCGAGGCCGGCCTTCTTAGCAGCTTGAGGGATCAAATGCCTCGTGGCAATCTCAAGTTTCTCATTGTTAGTGTAACCAGAAACATCGATGATTTCCATTCTGTCTCTCAAAGGAGCTGGAATATTGCCCAAGTAGTTAGCGGTACAAACGAACAACACCTTGGAAAGATCCACCTTGACATCAATATAATTATCAACGAAGGCATTGTTCTGCTCAGGATCTAAAATCTCCAAAAACGCGGAAGCGGCACCACCGCTTCTCGTTAAGTCGAGTTTATCAATCTCATCAATCAACATCAAGGGATTAGAAGTCTTAGCCAGCTTCAAGGCCGATATTATACGACCTGGAATGGAGCCGATGTATGTTCTTCTATGACCCTTGACTTCGTGAACATCTTGAATACCACCCATTGCAATTCTGACATAACGACGGTCCAAAGCTTCGGCAATAGATTTGGCGATCGAAGTTTTACCAGTACCTGGAGGACCAGTTAAACACAAGATCTTACCGTCAACCTTACCAGAGACCTTACCCATGGAGATGAATTCCAAGATACGTTCCTTGACTTCCTTTAAACCATAATGATCACGGTCCAAGATAGCCTTGGCAAGAGAAACCTTGAAACGGTCCTTGGAGTACACACCCCAAGGAATAGAAGTTAACCAGTCCAAGTATCTTTCACTCACAGCGAGTTCACTAGAGTGCTCATTTTGACTTTCCATCTTAGCTTTCTCACTGTTGTATGCTTCCATAGCTTCGTCACTCAACTTCAAGTGCTTCAAACGTTCATCAAACTTGCGAGTCTTGGAGTTCTCTTGTTCAACAAGACCAGCGTTCTTCTGTAAGCCTTTGATGTATTCTTTAACGATTTGCTTCGTTTGAGCTTCATCAGCACGAGATGACAATTCCTTCATGGTTTTTTCTGCAATCGTGTAAGCTTCAAGTTCGTTCTTGAACAAGTCAAGAGCCTTCTGTAATCTAGCTTCGATATTAAGCTCTTCCAACATTTCCTGGACCTTCTTAGGGGTAGCACTAGTAGTAGAACCGATAAAGTCAGCAAGTTTATGAGGAGAGGTCAACAAGTTGCTGGCGTCTCTCACGGTGTCTTTCTTGTTCGGTATCACGCGTGCCATCTTTGATAACAGGTTCTTGACGTCTTCAATGAGAGCTTTAAACTCGACGCTATTTGGGTCATATGGCTCATCTTTGCAGTGAGAAACCTTTGCGTAAGAAACACCCAAAGACTTCAAGTAAGAAGTTGGGAAATCTTCATCCTCCTCCACAGGCTCTGGAGCGGTGGAGCCATCAGTAGCGACAGCAGTGGCAGGAGCTTCTTCTGAAGGAACAGTAAGCTTTTCCAAACTGCATCTTTCCATTGGATAACCAAGAATACGCAAGTAAGGTCCATCCTCGTAGTAGCGCTGCACGTAGCAGTGCACACCGATGTTGTAGATGGAGTTTCTATTGTGGATAATATCGGTATCTGGCTCCTCAGGGTCCTTCATGTGGAACAAGACAAAGTGAGGTTCTCTTCTGTCGCAAATCTCAATGATGGTCTTCTTGACAGCTGGATCAGAGATATTGATCGAGAATGGACGACCCGGAAGTGGTGGTTTGTCTTTCATGGCGATAGCCAATAGAGGGGGGTAAGAGCCAGGCGCGTACGTCATCACCGAAGGCATGTTCTTGTTATCGTCATCGTCGTCATTATTATTATTGTTGTTGTTATTGTTATTGTTGTTATTGCCGTTGCCGTTGCTGCTGCCCACAGAAGTACCTCCCGTCAGAGAGGCCTCCACAACCAGTCCACCAGATTCTCTGGGTCTTTCCGGCTCCACGTCTTTCGCTGGTTCTGGCTCCTTCTTCTTCTCCTTAGCAGGCTCTTCAGTGTCAGACTTCTTGCTTTCACCATCCTTCTTCTTCATCTGAAGCACAGATCCCTCGGGGGTTACCTTGGAACCGTCGGTGGCGAAAACAGCCTGGGCACGAGACTCCTGAGGCAAATCAAAGTTCGAAGCAGGCAACCTCGAGACGTTAAGATCGAGGATTGTTGGATTCTGGGTGGCGTAAGTGGCATTTCTGACCTGACAAAGACGAACTTCCTTGGAAGCAGTAGAAAGAGTACGAAGTCCAATCAGGCCCTTGCGAACCGGGCCCTTGAGCACCAAGTTCCTTCGAGCCGCTTCACGAAGTAGGGACTTGCTTGATAACATGAAGCTTATGCTGGATGTGGGTGTTCTAGACAAGGAATAAACAGGTGCCTGGAGGTGGATTTGTCAGAAATGTGCAGTGTTCTGGGAGAATCGGTGGAAGAAGTGCTCAGAAGCGCACGTGACCAAACCGAAAATGACTGGTCCCAACTGGGGCTGATAAGTCGCGATAGTATCGCGAGATCGGCCTGGGGTAGAGTCAGACAGTGGTGAAGATGTACGGGAAAGAAGGGGGAGTTGGAAATAGGTAAATTTATCTGAAATAGAGGTTCGTAATGTGGTTGTTTTGTTGTACATCAGTGTTTCGTTTTGTGTGTCTGTGTGTCTGTGGGTTGTGGGTCATTTGCAGCCATTGTCTCAAAAGATGTATGTCAGAATAATCGTTAAAAGTAGTGTGCCAGTACAGCGCAAGAGTCCGTATCTTTTCTTTTCCAGACTGAAGCTAGATTTTAAAACATGCTTCTTTCTTGGGGTTTCTTCGGGCTCCTCGGACTCCTCGCGAGGACGTTTGGCGGGCCGTAATGGAGACGAATGGTTATCTTCAGCAAAGTTATCGTCGTTGTAGAAATCGAGCGAGTTGATTTCCTCGTCTTCAGCCAACAAGCCTTTCCCATGGTCCAGGGCTACTCGCGTGGCGTCAGTAGATAATAGTCTGATTTTCGATTTCTTGCTTTTGCCAGGAATGGCGATCTGACGGTTCAGCAAATCAGCACTGGCGCTTCGGAAACTGTCATTCTCATCCACACTCGTATTATGGTTCACTGTAGTCAGATTAGCCTCGATTTCTGCATCATCCTCTTGGGGGCGTTTCTTTATAGGCGTTGCATCTGCAGATGTACCAGGAGACGAGAAAACGTTCGGTTGTGGCTCCATGACAGGCTCCAGTTGCGATTTCTGAGTATCTTCCTTCAGCAGCGACGCTAGACTCTCCTTTAGCGATTTAGCTTTAGATCCCAATGGAGGAGCCCTAGCGCCTACCAGACTTGGCCTGGACAAAACAGGCGAGAACAACAGTTTGCTGAATACAGATTTCGTTTCTCCAGGAGAGAAAAAGCTATGGTCAGTGAATTGAGGCATGGATCTATGGTGAGCTGCTGTGCTTGGTGGAGAAAGGAACGTACTTCTCTTCCCAGGTCCTGGCGCTGGTGCTTGTCTAGAAGTCTGTTCGAGCTGTTTGCTCAATTCAGCCACTTTGGTCTTGAGATCCTCCACCACAGCGTCATGCACTTTCTCTTTGGTAGACAACTGCTGCTTCAACACAGAAACTCGTCTTTCGTAGTCGTGCACTTTTCAGTGAGAACATTGGATGTAGCTGGATCCTCCTTGGCAACCACAGTGCCCTTAGATAGAGCTAACACTTTGTATGCGCATAGTTGTACGAGGGTTTTACGTAAATGCTCTTCATGGTCCAATTCCTTAAGCTTCCCTCTTAGCCTGTAATGTTCTTCTGTGAGAAAGTTCATAGCTGTGTACTGTAGTTGGTTGTTTGATAAGTAGTAGTGTTTGTGTTTTGGATTCGCGCTTATCAACACTTGAAGAGATGCTCTTCTCATATGTATACCAAAGCCATGAAGAGGTCAAATCCAAACTTCAGGAAGCTTTGGTACGCCAACGTCTTTGATGCTGCCAATGACGAATATGTGAAGGATGCTCAGATAAATACGGACGCTTTGCTACGATCGAAGTTCCATTCAGCTTCGTTCACTAAGAATAAGCAACGGAAGGTTATTCTAGATCCAGAGGCTCCAGATTATGAAGATATTTTGAAGAAAAGGGCACTCCTATGGGTGCTGACGATATTATAGAGGCTGTGAAACCGCTGGCTTTGAAGGTACCCGTTCCTCTGAGGGAAGAAGTACCGAATCTACCGCTGAGTGATTTGCTTAAAGCTTTGCATTATTATAGCAGCCATAGTGGGTTGCAAGAACATTCATGTGATGAAACTGCGTTGCTAAGTTTAGGTATGCTTGTGGAACAGTGGGCTGACGAGCTCGTTACCGATGATTTTGCTAAGATGTTTGCGGAGCCAGAGAAACTGCTAGATGGAAAGATGCTTCCCAAAGAGGATATACACTGGGAGAAACTCGAGCCACACGGCGAGGTTTCTGAGTCTGAAGAGTCTGACTTGATTTCTTTGAATTTGGGCTCTGATGAAGAGGTGGTTGCTTCGAATGATGCTGGTAATACTTTAGCTAAAGCATCATCACTGTCACATACTGAAAGCTACACAGGTAGTTCGATGGGGACACCGTCTCTACCTGCTACGCGACAAGTTGAAGCAAGTGAATCTTCACATGAGGCAGAAGGCACAGACAGTGAGTCCAGCTCCGACGACGAAGACTCTTCAGATTCAGATTCAGATTCAGATTCAGATTCAGATTCAGATTCAGATTCAGATTCAGATTCAGATTCAGATTCGGATTCAGAGCTAGCGAGCTCTGATTCTCTTAATGACTTCATATCGCAAGACGAAGAGGACACGCAACGAAAACCCAGGCCAGTTATAAGCCCAGAATCTGACTCATCTGGTTCTGATCAAAACGCCAAAGACTCAAGTTCCGATTCTGACCCAGTGGAGAGCTCCTCCGATTAATCTACATTTAACGACCCAATGACAACGACCATGCAAGTATTGAACGATAGAAAATATACACTTTTAGACCTCGGCCTCCTTGGTCTCCTCCTGCTTCACCTCCTTGTCTTCAGGCTGCTCAGAGTCTCTCTTGGACTCGACCTTCTGCTGATGCTTCTTCTCTTTACCCTCGTCCTTAGCGGAAGTAGCAATATCGAAGAGTCTCATGAGCAATTCCTGAGTGTCATGCTTGTTAACCATCAAGTTGACGTTAGCTCTACCCTTCCACAATGGGAAAAGACAGTCCTCCTTACCCTCTCTCTTAACAGTCAAGAAGACACAGCCTTCGCTGATTTCCTCAAGCTTATCGCAGAACTGGGCATCAAGTCCAGTCTCTCTAAGGTTATCAATTTTAAGGAAAGCCTCTCGGAGAAGAACCTTCAAAATCTCTGTGTTACACGTCAAGTGTCTGGCATCGCTCAAGTAGTTCTTGAGTGTGTGCAAAGATTCACTCTGGGCTCTCCATGGACAGTTACTGCTGTCGTTTCTTTGAATAGTGAACATTTTGATACCGGCGTGAACGAGTTTCAATTTCTGTTCTTCAATTCTCAAAATGTTGGCAATAGTTGGGCTCACGTAGTAAATGACACGGCATGGCTCACCCATTGCGTTTCTAACCAAAGCAGTGTTCTTAGGGAAACCATCGTTGATTCCATAGAATTCCCAGCACTGCTTCAATTGTTCGTTGGATGGATCCAAAAAGACGAAAGGCTCTTCATTAGCGGTTCTTGGAGCCTTTTGCTTCTTAACTGGAGCAGCAGCTTCGGTAGTAGTAGTATTTTCAACCTTGGCCTTCTTCTCCTCGGATTCGTTTTCGTTAGCAGCTCTCTTACGGTTCTGCTTGGTGTCTGGCTGCTTCTCAAAGACAGTGATAAAGAAACCACCAGTGTTCTGCAAATGAGGGTAAACCCTAATACAACGGTCCAAGTTGAACAGCTTAGCTTCCTCCTCAGAAGGTGGGAAGGCAGTGGCTGGGACAGACTCGTCTCCTCTTTCACGAACGTTCATGTCCTTACCGAAAACCTCCCAGTTGCTAACACCAGTACGTCTCTTAAGACCTGGCAACTCGTCAGAGCAATCCTTCAAGCTGACAGAGGAGCCCCACTTTCTCAAGGCCTCAGCAACAACAGCTTCGTTCTCAATAGGCGACATGGAACAGGTGGAGTACACAAGACGTCCGCCTGGCTTCAACAACTGCAAACCTCTGTTCAAAATGTTAACCTGCAAAGAGTGCAAGCCCAAACCGTTGCCCACGGTAAAGTCCTTCCAGACATTGACGTTCTTTCTCATGGTACCGTCACCAGAGCAAGGCACATCACACAAGATTCTATCGAACTTGACGATTTCACCGTCCAAGTTGATTCTAGGGAACATGGCGGCGTCGTGGTTGACAACCAAGAAGTTTGGCGAGTTCAATCTCTTAACCTGGTGAACCAACATATGAGATCTCTTGTAATCGGAGTCGTTGGCGATAACAAAACCCGAGGCCAACTCCTTCTCGTCGTTAGCATGCAAAGCTTCCACAATCTGCGCCGTCTTCGAGCCTGGAGCAGCACACATATCCAAAACAGCATGGTGTGGTTGCACGTCCATGAGAAGAGGTGGAATCATAGACACAGCTTCTTGTCTGGAGATGTTACCCACGGTAGTTTCAAGCACCAAAAATCTCTGGGTTTCAGAAAACTGAGCGTTCTTTCTAATCACAGACTTAGGCACATCAATCTGCCAGCCCAACTGTTCAGGGTAGAACTGGATGTTCTTTGGAGCGAGCTTCTGGCCCTCAAACTCCTCGTCCTGAAGCTTCGAAACATGATCGTCCACAAACTTCTGGTTCACCTCCAAAGCATGGCTTCTCGAGCCAGTGACTCTAAAAGTCAAAGGCAAGTCTCTCTGGCAGTGTTCCTTGAAAGTGTCCCATTCGTCCTCTGGGATGAGGCCTGTAGCCTTATAGTACTTCTCCCACTTTTCGTTCTCTCTCTTGACATCGGTCCACTGGCCATTACCGTTTGTCACTTTCTTGTCTCTCTTAGCAAAGCCCTTGCCGGACCTGAAGTTTCTTTTACCCATGATAGCAGAGATCAAGTGTAGAGCTCTTCGCATACAGCGGTTGAAAAATCGCAATTTTTTGTGGACAGGCTGCGAAGAGCATCGGGACCAGAAGTGGTGGATTAAAAGGAAGCGATGACAGAAGGGTAGAGAAAAGACGAACAAGTGAAGGTTGGAAAGTCATTTCTATGGTTTTGGTTTAATGAATTTCTTTATTGTGAGTGGAAAGTGTATGGCTGTCTGGGCTGAGTATACGCTGGTGATGGCCTGTAGGAGATCTCCATAGATAAGAATGGGGTATTTGAAGAGAGCGATTTTGGGGATAGTGAAGAATATAGTAAAAGTGAAAAGGAACAGAACAGTTTTATTTATTTAGTTTAGTTAAGGTTTGGTGATGATGGAATTGTACTGGTAGGGCGTAGGTAAATGGTTGCAAATTGGTGCGGCTAGCACAGACCAAGGGAAGACGACTTGAGCAAAAGAAGACAAATTGACTGTAGAGTATTAAAAGTTATTCCTTTAGGGGACATTAGGGTATGTCGAGAGATTATAAGAGTTTAAGGTCTTCCAGTTTTACTTTTACTCCACTAACAATGAAGCAGTGGCCTATTTAAACTGGCAGAAGCATGAACACCCTTTTGAAGAAAGTAGTTCTGACTTATGATTTAAATTCTTGAGAGAGATGGGAACATATTGTGCCTTGGATCTCATCGTGGAAGTGAACAATACTGACTCAATTGGAGTACATTCTCTGGATATATACATGCCACTGCCAAGATTGAAAAGGGACTCAGCCATTCTTATCGAACCAATAAAGATGGTATCAACAATGAACCATTCCCTCAAATGCCTGTTGAGGTGCTTTGACGATTTCAGTAGTATCTAGATGCTCAGAAGACCACCAGCCTTATCTATGGTCCTTCCTATCAATACCTGTAAGAAGCAGCTCACATTACCTTTACCAAAACTAACTTCCTTTACTCTTATTTCACATTCTAAAACTACAAATGCCCAAAAACCATCCCAACCAACCACAATGCCTTCCACTAGATTTCTTACACTAACCCAAGCAGAAGAGGTTAACTGTATTGTGCACTTTGGCTGCGAAACCTCTGACGTCAAACAGACCAGGGGAACCCCAGAACCACCCAAACAGCCAGAAAGATAGAAAAAAAAGCAAAAGTATCAAGATTCGGCTGTTCCCAAGGAAAACCCCCAAAACATCAAATACCAAAACCCACCACCTTCTCTCAATGCCCATAACTACTCGCTTACGGGAAGCGCCGCAAGCAGACGCATGGAAGCTTTCCAGAGCTGGGCATTGTAAATGGCTGCGAAAAGCCCAGAAAGTGGATAAATCGGACTTTCACCCAGCTACCTAAAAGCAACCAGTCCATTGACTAAAAAGACAAAAGCCTCCATATTTATACCCCTTCTCTGGAGATACACCCGTCGGTTATACCCGTGCGGCGGTAACAAACTTCTTCCTCGGTATCTCCCTGACCTCTCCTTACTACCATATATAACCACCAACTTTCCCAAAAAAAAACTACAGATTCTGGACCCCACAACTCTATACATCCAAACAACTTCCCTTCCTCATACATGACACTTCAAAACACGCAAATTGACCACCCTGCCACGGCTTATTCTCGCTTCCAACTGATAGGCGCAAAAGTCGCGGCCAGACAAAGCCATCTATCTACACTTAGTACTGTGCCTCTTCTGCCCCCACAAACCACCACCCACCTTCTTCCCAAACCTTACTCATATCTGAAGTCATTGCATGTCTTTAGACAGATGCCTAATATCAACCCTTCCCGCAAAACTGTGTTGGGGACTGTCGGCGCAGCTTTAGCGTTTTACCATAAGAACTACGGCGATGCCCATGGCCTAGGAGGACGAGTGACTGATATGGTGAATGTTGCGTACTCGTTCAAGTTCAAGTTCACTCACTTTATCGTGCTAGCGGCGTTTGTGTTTGCCAACTTTGTCAAATGGGCGATTTTCGGTAAGTTGACCGATAACGAGGTGAGGATTCTTAAGAATAAGGCCGGCTATACCGCTTGGGAGTTTGTATTTGGACTTTTGGTGTTTTATAATACCACTCCAAGCTTTTTTGATATCCAGAGAGAGGTGCTTAAGTATGGTTGCCTCTTCTTTTGCGTGTTGCTCGTGAAATACTTCCATTACTTGACCGCTGATAGGGTCCACACATTGTACTGTTCGCCACAAGTGATACAGGCTGCTTTTGCAGGTAAGCATATTCATCTACGACTTGCTCTGGGGCTTTTGCTTATTCTCCTCGTGGAGGGCCTTCTTATATTTCAATACTTCCAGGATATCATCATGAAGAACCATCTGAGTGAAAACGTCTTGGTGACAGTGTTTGGGTTCGAAATCATGAACCAGTCGCCATTGACAGTGATTACCCTTTTACAGTTCATCCTCGACCTGATAGAGTCGAAAAGAGGGTACTCAGACTCGGAATACTTCAAAAAGCGCAAACTACGACTCATGTTCGTGGCTGACTTTATCTTAAACGTGCTTCGTTTCGTCATGTCTTGCATCTTCACTTTAATTTTCATGTATTATTACACTTTTCCCGTCCATACGATCCCTTCATCTTATGATAGCTTGAAGGTAGCGGTTCTCAAAACGAGAAATCTCGTCAACTTCCGCAAAAAAGAACTTATGATACAAAGACTCCAAAATCCGACAAAGGAAACCCTCGAGCAGAAGTGTATCATCTGCTATGAAGAGCTCTCGGTGCCAACTTCTGACAGCATTAAAAGGGTACAGCCATGCGGCCACGGTTTCCACCTCGGCTGTTTAATTCAGTGGCTCGAGTTTTCCCCGTCTTGCCCTGTCTGTCGTAAAAAAATTTAATATTAAAATACCAATCAATAATAGTCCCGATCAGCCATCGAAAGATTAATATCGTCGTGTCCAGCTAGTTTGCTCAAGTCTTCACTGCCGCTGTCGGTACGACCGTGGGTCTTCCCATTTTCTTTGGAATCGTCATGTAAGCCATCTTCCTGACCGTTGATGAAGCCATCATACCTTTCATCTCCTATGTCAATTTCGGGACCGTGATCTAGGTTGACGTCAACTTCTAGACCGTCTTTTAAGTTCATGTCATTATGTTCGTCGGGCTGGCCGTTTTCGCCAGCATTGTATTGATGGAAATAATCCGGAGAATGTCCATTTTTGTCTTGGCCGTCGTATTCGAGTGGCGGTAAGCTTGAAGGATCCTGTTCGTGATCATGGTTATCGCCATTTTTCACCTCGTCTTCATTATTGATATGCTCACCATGTTCGACTTGTTGCTGTTCACCACCGTCGTGCTCCGCTTTCAAGAAAACATCCTCCTCTTGTAGCAGTGCTTCCTTCTTCTTTGCCTGCTTTTTCGAAACCTTGGTCTCACCTCGTTCTTGTTTGAGCGCCTGCTGCTCTCTGTACTTGGCCAAGTAGATCTTGAGTACTTCGGCATAATTTTCAAATCCCAAATCGTGCATCGAATAGAGAATATCTTCACCATTGATGGTCTTTCTTTTATCCCTAAGACACTTGTCGCTGGCTTCACTTGTTATGAATGAAATAAACTCAGAAACACACTCTTGCATACATTCTTTGGCGTCTTTACTGACCTTGGCTGTTGCAGGTAATGTGTATTTCATAAGTCTGGCCACATTGGCTATAGGAAGCCAACGATCTTGTTCTCTTAGTTCGATATCAGGGCTGTTGGCGGCGGCAGCCTCGGCCTCTTCTTTGGTAACGCTAAAGCTCATGAAAATTGTCTGCGAAGCGAGTCTTGGTCTTATCACCTAATAGGGGGTTCTTATCACGTTGAACTAGCCTTGCAAAAAGTTTCTATGTTTCCCGAACGTGGTTCTGCCGTACTATGATATCACCTGTTTGGCGTGTTGAGGTATGACGATTAGCAAAGCTCTGAGTGGCTTATTGTGGGACTACCGAGGGAGTCAACGATGTGGAGGATAAACTTTGGATATTTTGAGTCGCGCACGTCCCTCTTCCCCCATAGTTTTTCAATCACACAACACCCGCATCTGTCAAAATCGCTTGATACACACAGTACCTGCCATTTGATACAACACCCCCATACTACACTTATAGATAACAGTTATGCTGCTGCAAACGGGCACTCCAGGCGCTGCTGGGGCCACGTTCCTTATCCTTGCACAGCTATTCACTAAGCTTTTCACGTTTGTTTCCAACCAATTGCTTGTGGGCAGTATATCGCCAGAGGTTATGGGCGTCGTGGCAGTGATGGAGTTTTACGTGTCGTTTGTGTTATTTTTCAGCCGTGAGTCTGAACGGTTGACGATCCAGCGTGCTACTGGCCTGTCGAAGGGTACTGTGCAGCAGAAAATCGTTAATTTTGCTTACATTCCATTGTTGATCAGTGTGCCATTATGCATAGCTGGGTACTTGGCTGTGAAGGATACTGCCGTGTTGAACACGTCCTTTTTGTTGGAATATAGACCGCTTGCAATTGGGTTAGTGGTGGTGCTGATATTGTTGGAATTGGCGGTGGAGCCGTTGTATGCGTTGACTCAGTATGAGTTGAACTTCAAGGTGAGGTCGTCTATAGAGAGCACCGCTGTGTTTGCCAAATGCTTACTTACGTTTGTGGGAGTGACTTTGGGGAAATACTATTCCGTTCAAAATCCAAGTGGAATGGCGGTGTTATCGTTTCTTTCCGGTCAGTTAGGCTACGCTTTGGTGACTGTTGTTGGCTACTTACGTCACTTCCACTTCCGTGTACCTAAGTCTGGTAAAGTACGTGACAAGGAGAATAAATATTTTCTTGATCCGGCGTTGAAGAAGCTTTATTATACGCTCTTCTTTCAGATGCTATTCAAGCTTTTCTTGACGGAAGGAGATAAAATCATGATGGGTTACTTGTTTGACGTATCCCAGCAAGGCACTTATGCCGTTATCACCAACTACGGGTCAATCATAGCTCGTCTTGTGTTTTTACCTGTGGAAGAAATGCTTAGGAACCTGTTCACGAGAGTCTTTTCTGCCGAAAAGCCAGACACAAAAGCTGCGTATGCCACTATGGGCAACTTGTTGGCGTTCTATGTGTACTTCAGCATTCTTCTAGTCCTTGGTGGATACTTCAATGGAAGTTTCCTTCTCGGGACTTTGCTTGGTAGAAGTGCAGCATGGAGAAACTCAGACTTGTTCAGTTTATTCCCCAAGTATATCTTGTACCTTCCGTTCATGGCCTTCAATGGTATTTTAGAGGCCTTTCAGAGCAGCATTTTGAAGCAAAGCCAGATCAGCAAGTACTCCTATTTCATGCTATTCCTGACCATTGTTTCCTCTATCGTTCTGGTGGTGCTAGTGAACGAATGGAACTACGGACTCACAGGACTTATCATAGCCAATATCACCTCCATGACGCTTCGAATCGCTTACTGTTCAAGATCTTATTTGGTATTTGCCAAAGAAAAGGGAGTCAATTTAAGCGATGTTAACGTCTTAACAAGAACTTTCTGGCCTATAGCCTACTCCATTTTTGCATATATCCTTCAAGTCCAGGTAATTGGCCCCAGAAGCAGCACATTTAAAGATTTCCTTATCAGTGGAGCCATTTGCTTTTCGTGTCTTTTGGTGTTCCTCTTCAACGAAAAGAATGCCATTAAAGACCAAATTGTCACCACCATGAGACGCAGCAGGGGCTTCCAGGACAAAAAGACAACTAATATAGATAATTCACGAGTTACGAATACAAAGAATAAAAATATCAAAAAAAGAATGGAGTCTCAGCTCCCATACTTTACAATCGGAACCAAAGCCATAGAACGTGCCGTCCGCTTCGCCTCCACCACGGGTAGCCTACTGTGCTGAATTGCTTCCCTCCAGTGATAATGCTACTCATTGCTGAAGAACGGTGTGCTGATTACTCGAACAACCGTTTCCTCGACCGCAGGGATCGAACCGGACACCTTCCATGTAGAACAAACCGCAAAGTACAAAATCGGTGCGATTCTGCCAAATGCCATCACAGCAGAAAATTTGTCAAATTTGTGGACTATACGAGGTTTGACGAACAGCTCAAAATGGGGCTATAAAGATTGTTCTAGGTCTATTTGGGACCTTTAAACTCACTGAAATGCATTGTGGGGCTCAATTTAGCCTAGGAGTTCTAGATCACGAGATAGATGAATTACCCATTCTTATTGGGAATATTACATTCAAATTCAATTGAAAATGAAGAATAAAGCTTGAAGTATCTTGTATTAAAATTTGGGCCCCATAGTGATAAATGTGGTATCATGGTGTGGTGTTGACATACAAGAACCAGAAACATATAAAGTCGATGGGATGGAGCTGTGCAGGCTTAAATACTGGGTAAGAAATAAAGTACTCTGAATGGAAAAACGTTTAAGAATTTATAATTGCTAGAAAGAAATTAAATCTTCAGTATAGCTCATTTGGTGCCTAATTGGAGTCTGTGGAAGCTTGACGGGTGTCCTGGAGACCTCAGTAGACCCCAATTGAATGGTGATGGAGCGATAGAACATCAGTAATATGAATCCTTTGAAAAGTATGGAATAAGGCAACAGGAGGAACCTTAGGGACACTTTTGGTATCGATCACTTCTTTTCGATACCTTACCATAAGTAATGTGTCTGTCTGGCACTCCCACTTAATGTGTATTTTGCAGCCACTCCACCACAGACCTAGAAACCAAATATACATCAAATAGTCAAAGAGAACTATAAACTGAATAAGTCTCTAAAAGAAAGTAGTACTCATTTATTCAAAGCTATTTTAAACTGCATTCTTTGTGGGAATCTCTGGACCCTCCTGGAGTGGTGGTTGGTCTGGAGTGCATGGAGGGTATATGGAGAGAGATGCCCATCTACTTATCTCTCCAACTACATCAACACTCCTTCTTCCCTGAAATATGCTGGTTGTTGAAGTTCTGAAAACAGTGGGGCAGCTTGCGGCTGCTATAACTCAGAAATCCAAAGAGCTAGATCTTCTAAAAGCTGAGTACGAGTCGAAACTCAAGATCCTAGATGAATATATCACCAAGGTGGTTCCTCGAGAAGAACAAAGGAGGGAGAATGGTTCCAATGAAATTGATACTTGTGAATTACTTCAAAAAGAGCTCCGATGTCTGAAATGTCAAAATATTGTCTACAGCTTGAAGGAGGAAACAGACTATGTGCTTGTTCCTAGAAAAGTTGCCGAAAGAAAAGCCGCTGACATTCCTGACCTAATACAATCGCTAGAGAAGCTAGAAACGAGTGTGAAGAGCATAAATGCTGGTTCTAGCCGACCTCTTCAACAAACTCCCCAAGTAAATCAACCACAGAGACAGAATAAGAAACAGCACGGCAAGCTGAAGAGAACATGTTCATATTGCGACGAGCCTGGCCATACCAGAGCAAGATGCTTTGCCAGACTAAGCAAAGAGCCAGGATCAGAAGACACATCAAGAAACAGGCCAGCCAAAAGCAACCATTCAGCCTGATACGTAAAATACCCCAATTTTTTTGTATATTCAGATAGTACAGAACCTTATTGTACACGTGCATCGACTTGTATCGTGTCAGCACAACGGAAATTATTTGCCAGCTTGGACCATGGCCTCTGGTGGGTTAGTATTGCAAGTTGCCAGTATAGTATAAATTCAATCCACATACCTCTTCTGGATGCATCTTGTAGCAAAGTGCAATCGACTGCACTGGCGCTCATGTGGACGTAACGAACCGTAGAACCTCTAATAAACAAGGTCTTGACGGCCTTCAAGTGTGGGTATTTCGACTCGTTGACGGTCGAGACATTGTCCAACTTCAAGTTCAAGTACTGGTCCACCGAGCGCAACGTGCCTTTAATCTCGATATCATTTTTCAATTCCAAGATGATCTCCTGGTCCACGAGGGTCTTGAAGAAACTGAAGAAGAGCATTGTACGACCTTTAGTGTGGAGTGTGAGTTTGGTTAGGCTCTTGAGCTTTTGGCTGATTTTACCATTTCGGTTGCGGGACGACCCGACCATATGGAAGGAAGAACCACCAGCACCAAAACCAATAAAAAATAACAAAAAGGTATAAAATATGCTTTTTAACATTTTCTTATTCGCCTGGCCCTACCAGAGGGGCATATCGAACGAGGAAGTAGTGAAGTTGGTCAATGGTGACAGTGCGCCTGGTGAAGGTACCACAGGTACTATATCAGCCTTGATCCTGGAAAGCAGATCACGGAACCTTAGAAGACTGGAATCTGAGTGGTCTTCGAAAAACGACGTAGACTCCAGCTGAACCCCATGAGCTGGAATTATCCCATTATAGGTGTCGCTTGCGCCAGTTCTGGACGTTTTGCTCTTCCTTTTGCAGCCATGCTTGCATAATTTCTGAGGCTCACCCATAGAAGCTGGAGGCAGCCTGAAGAAAGTGTTATCTCTGGAAGATTTCGTTGTGTTTGAAGTTGAAGACATGGGCAACATGGCTAATGGGATAGGGAGGTCAAGATCGTGGTTTTGTGAAGGGTCAAGCTCATATAGTTCAGCTTGGGTCTTCTGGTACTCCGTCAAGGCTTTCAATATCAAGTCGCCTTGGTCCTGGATTTCTGGGTCAATACATGAGCGAGAAGGGCGATGAGAGTCGAGAATTCCAGAAAGGTCGTCGAGTGTTTCTCTTGGCGTGGTGGGCATGCTTGTCATGGCGCTGGCAGGAAGTTTAAGTGTAACGTTGAACGACCTGTGAGGCTTTGAAGGCTTTTCTTTCTGCTTTTTGAGCTTAAGTGTAACAAAGTACTGCTTTTGAGGTGTCAGACAGTCTACAGGCGACGACAACATTGAACTGATGTTCATCGCTGACTTGACGTTCATAGGCAGACTCTTTACTGGCAGAGGACGCTTCTTCTCCTGGGTCTTTACCCAAGAACCGGCGCTGATCTGTCCAATCTGGGGACAAATCGGGATCTTTTTCTGCTTCAATGCTTGCTTGGCGATGTTCATGTTCTCCTTATTAGCCAGTTTGACTTCCTCGTTGGTGTAATTCATGGGCGAACGGCCCCTGATATTCAATGGCGGTGTTTCCGAATATGCAAGGACCATACTACTACCATTCTCCAACTCACAAATCAACCGAATCACAAGTTTAAACATTCTGTGGCTGCCAAGCACAAACTTCTTGCTCACAGTCAGGAACTGGATCCGTTCGTACCGTGCAACACGAGCAATGGGTACATCTTCAGGGTAAGACGCCATGACGCCCATAGGAGAGCCATCGAAATTATACCGCTCATTTTGGCCTAGAAAAAACTGCCTATGACATTCATGGATTCTGCTCATGTTTCTGATATTTGCAATCAGCTTCATGAACCCATGCAGAGGAAGAGCTCCAGGCACAGCATTATAGATTGGCGGCACGAACTGTGGCCCCTTATCACGCTTAGATGTGTGTTGTAAGAGAAACTTCCCACATTCACCCGTATCAATGCTATAATCAAAAAGACCTAACTTGAAACATCTAACCTTATGTCTCTCACCAAGAGCATCAGCTACAAAGAACGATTCCAGGGCACAGAGATCAATGGACTGGTCAAGAAAACGAAAAGACGCCACCAATGCAAAGTAATTGCGTTTATATCCAATCCATTCGTTTCCCTCCATATCGAAGCCACGGTCACATCTGGCAGTTATGACTGGCTGGACAATTATGCCATGCAGAGTAGTAATAGGCGTAAGAGAAGTAGTAGGACCAAAAGGAGGGCCGATTCTGAACTGGGAAATGGACCGCGGCGCAGCACGTTTAGTTGTTTTTGAGTTTTCTGACGAAACTTGGAGTTTGGCTCCTTCCATGGTGAAAGAAACAAGTATGTAAGTGAAGTGTCAGAATGGCTGCAAAATGCGCAGTGAAGAGTAGCTCCAGGTTATACTGCCTGATGGAGGGTGCCACGGCCGCGATACACTTTATGAGCCGCGCACGACCGCTTGCAATGAGCATCGCAATATCATTACTGCAAAATTCAAGGTCCAGGAATCAAAAGCTCTATAGATAAAGATGGGAAAAAAGGCTATTGACTCCCGAATCCCGGCATTAATCAGAAATGGTGTCCAGGAGAAGCAGAGAAGTTTTATTATCATTGTCGGTGACAAGGCCAGAAACCAGCTTCCGAACTTGCACTACTTGATGATGAGTGCAGACTTGAAGATGAACAAGTCTGTCTTGTGGGCCTATAAGAAACAGTTGTTGGGCTTCACCTCTCACAGAAAGAAGAGAGAGAATAAGATCAAGAAGGAGATCAAGAGAGGTACTCGTGATATCAACGACCAGGACCCTTTTGAGGCGTTTATCTCTAACCAGAACATCAGATATGTCTATTATAAGGAGACCGAGAAGATCTTGGGTAACACATACGGTATGTGTATTTTGCAAGATTTCGAAGGTATTACGCCTAACTTGATGGCTCGTACTGTTGAGACTGTTGAAGGTGGTGGTGTGGTTGTTATGCTCTTGAAGTCTATGACTTCTCTTAAACAGCTTTACACTATGACTATGGATATCCATTCCAGATATAGAACTGAGGCCCACGACGACGTTGTGGCTCGTTTCAACGAGAGATTCCTCTTGTCATTGGGTCTGTGTGAAACCTGTTTGGTTGTGGATGATGAGTTGAACGTCTTGCCTATTTCTGGTGGTAAGCATGTCAAGCCTCTTCCTCCAGCTGATGACGATGAGCTCACGCCTAAGCAGCAAGAACTCAACGGTCTTAAAGAGTCCTTGGCTGGCGTGCAACCTGCTGGCTCTCTTGTTGCTCTCGCCAAGACTGTGAACCAGGCTCAGGCCATCTTGACTTTCGTGGATGTCATCTCTGAGAAGTCTTTGAGAAATACTGTTACTTTGACAGCTGGTAGAGGTCGTGGTAAGTCTGCAGCTCTTGGTATTGCCATCGCTGCTGCTGTGTCTCACGGCTACTCCAACATCTTCGTAACCTCTCCATCTCCAGAGAACTTGAAGACTCTTTTTGAGTTCATTTTCAAGGGTTTCGATGCTTTGGGTTACACTGAACACATGGACTACGATATCATCCAGCTGACTAACCCATCTTTCAACAAGGCCATTGTTAGAGTCGACATCAAGAGAGAGCACCGCCAGACCATCCAGTACATTTCTCCTAACGATAACCATGTGTTGGGTCAGGCTGAATTGGTCATTATTGATGAAGCCGCTGCTATCCCATTGCCAGTCGTGAAGCGTCTTATGGGTCCTTACCTTGTTTTTATGTCGTCTACCATCAACGGTTACGAAGGTACTGGTCGTTCTTTGTCACTCAAGTTGATCCAACAGTTGAGAGACCAATCCCGTTCTAACAACTCCAACAACGAAACCACGATAGTTTCTCGTGACAAGAAGGGTATTGACATTGATACCGCTTCCATGGCTAGAACTCTCCGTGAAGTTGTCTTGGATGAGCCTATTCGTTATGCTCCTGGTGATCCGGTCGAAAAATGGCTCAACAAGCTCTTGTGTTTGGACGCTACTCTCACCAAGAATGCCCGTTTTGCAACAAAGGGTACTCCACATCCATCTGAGTGTCAGCTTTTCTACGTCAACAGAGACACATTGTTCTCTTACCATCCAGTGTCTGAGGCTTTCTTGCAGAAGATGATGGCTTTGTATGTTGCATCCCACTACAAGAACTCTCCAAACGATTTGCAGTTGATGAGTGACGCTCCAGCTCACCAGTTGTATGTCCTTCTTCCACCAATCGATGCTGGTGATAACAGAATCCCAGACCCATTGTGTGTGGTCCAATTGGCTCTTGAGGGTGAGATTTCCAAGGAATCTGTTAGAAAGTCCTTGTCTCGTGGCCAGCGTGCTGGTGGTGACTTGATCCCATGGCTCGTTTCCCAGCAGTTCCAGGATGAAGAATTTGCATCTTTGAGTGGTGCTAGAGTTGTTCGTATTGCTACTAACCCTGTCTACGCTGGTATGGGTTACGGTTCCAAGGCTTTGGAATTGTTGCAGGACTACTTCGAAGGTAAATTCACTGATATCAGTGAATCGAACGTTCTCAATGACCACCAGCTTCAAAGAGTTTCCGACAGTGAGTTGGAAGGTGCTTCTCTTAAAGATGAGATCCGTCTTCGTGACGCCAAGGCCCTTCCTCCTTTGTTGTTGAAGTTGTCAGAGAAGGCTCCGTACTCGTTGGACTACATGGGTGTTTCTTACGGTATGACCACACAATTGCATAAGTTCTGGAAGCGTTCTGGATTCGTTCCAGTTTACTTGCGTCAAACTGCCAACGAGTTGACTGGTGAGCACACAAGTGTCATGATCAAGGTCTTGAGGAACAAGAACGACGCTTGGCTCCATGAGTTTGCCAAGGACTTCCACAAGAGAATCTTGAACTTGCTTTCTTACGAGTTTAGAAAGTTTACTGCTGTCCAGGCCCTCAGTATTATAGAATCTGCTAAGCAGGGAGAAGCCGCCGAGACGAGCACTAAGCTTTTCAACAGAGATGAACTTGATGCCATTCTTTCTCCTTTCGACTTGAAGAGATTGGAGTCATATGCAAACAACATGTTGGACTACCATGTCATCCTTGATATGCTTCCATTCATTGCATCTCTTTACTTCAGCAAGCGTACAGGCGACAGTGTCAGCTTGTCTTCTGTCCAGGCTGCTATCTTGTTGGCCATTGGTTTACAACACAAGAACATGGACGATGTTTCCAAGGAATTGAACTTGCCAGCCTCCCAGTCTATGGCTATGTTCTCCAAGATTGTTCGTAAGTTCTCTACATACTTCCGTGAGCTTTTGAGCAGAGATATCGAAAGAAGCATGCCTGCTCTTGAAGATGACGAGCTTCGCGAGATGAACGGCGAAGAGGCCACGAGATATGACGCTGAGGCTGTTGAAAGGGAACTTAATGAAGATTTGAACGAAGCCGGTAAAGAGGCTGTTTCTGAGTTGAGAACCAAGCAAAGAGAGCTTATCAACGCTCTTGACTTGGAGAAGTATTCCATCAATGACGACGTCAAGGAGTGGGACGATAAAGCTGCTGAGAAGGCTGCCAAGGGCGAAGGTGTGATGAGTGTGAAGAGTAAGAAGTCCAAGAGAAAGGGAGACACTGCTGATCTGATTCTCGAGAGCGAGATGAAGAGCAAATCCAAGAAGAGCAAAAAGAGCAAGAAATAATCTGCTCAACCATACCCTGTATATCTATAATTGCATGAATTCAAGTATCTAGATTGTCATTTTTTCCAATGCCCATTGGGTCAATTGGACGAGGTTGCTGGTCCCGTCGTTGGAGTAGTCAGCAATCCCGTGCTGCTTAGACTCATCATTAAGTTCGCCTTCAACGTCCCCGTTAATAAATAAATGGCTATGTGTCCTTCTATACTCAGGCCATACGATATTGTCAAAGTAATTAGGAGGATCCTCCCAGAACCCATCCACTGTCTGGTAACCTGGACGAGACTCCCTTCTCTCCTTCAAAACATCATGAGGACCATGAAAGAACAACTTCTTATCAAACAACAGCAGCACTTCTCTATCGTGGAAAAGCATAAAGCCCTCCACAAAGATCAATCGTTTCCCCTCTATCAGCTGGAGAAACGTATCCACCTCAGACTGAAGCTGTGCAACATCACCATCGTTCAACCTTAACGGCGTGTCCATCTCTAAACTCTTCACCGGAAGACTTGCCCCATCGTTCAGGCGAAGTTCCTTAATGTAAGCCTTGAACTTTTCCCAGTCAATGGCTTCAGGACAGTCCCAGTTCTCCACGTTCTTGGAAGAGTCCATTGGGATCTGATCATCTGGGTAATAAAAGTCGTCCAAGTGTATTAGCGTTGCTTTGGGCAACAACAGGTGAAGAGCTCTGGCCACAGTTGTCTTTCCAGAAGACGACGGGCCTCCAATGCCCACTATAACGAGAGACATGAGTAGTTGGTGGTGATGATATCATGGTGCGCGAAAGTTGCAAAATGGCAGTTGGTACTGGAGAGAAGTAGAGGTGGAAGACATGGAATGGGATTTATTTGGAAGTCGTTTCCAATGGGGTTTCCAATGGACATGTTGAAGATGAAACCTGGAATGAAAAATTGAACTACGTGTCTTTTGGAATGTCAGTTGTGGGGTGCCAAATTTAGGTACTTTAGACTACTGATCTACTCTGACTACGTACTTTAAACTGGGCAAGATTTCTTTTAATTTTTTTTTTTCTTTTTGTTTATCACCAAGATGTCGCTTCAGGAGTGAAGGCTTGCCTCTGCGGCTACTTTACGCTGGACCCTTCATTAACTTTGGTTCTAGAAAACGGCGTGGTCTTAAAGTCTAAAGCTTAAGTATCGCTTCTACGAAGAGGGAGACCCACCTGCGGCACAAACCGTGTTTTGATGTAACTCTCCGCCTTAAATTTGGAAGCTGTGTAGTCCTAACCAGGAAGCGCCAAATTGAAGGTAATTGGTTCTCCCAATTGGTGAATAACTCTAATGCACCGCAACCAAGAACCAGTTTATTACCCAAGACGGCTTGCCCAATCCTCTGAGTTCGTAATTTGATGTTTCGACGGGCAATTCCTGTTTCTGGCGTGTTGAAGTTTGATGTTTGTCGGCTGGTCAAAGCAAGTGGAGGCTGGAAAAGATGGGGAACGAGCTAATTTAATTCATTCTTCAAACTGGGGCAATTTCCAAAGCTTATCAGCAACACTTACAAACCATCAACAAAACTAAACTCTTCAGTAAATTAGCCCATGTGTATCAAATTGACCAGACGTTCGCTGATGCACTGAAACGAAGCAAATGTATAGTAAATCCATAGATCTGAATGGCCAGTAACGCTCATATGTGCGATCCCTCTGATCAGCTTCATTCACCCATTTGTTCATTGATGCCTGTCAATTTCATCACCAATTTGGGAATGCCGACACTATGAAACTTTGAAACGCATCCCTACGCCCTCTTTTTGAATGACCAGAATGCCCAGAACTCAATACTCATGATATACTCAAACAAAGCTTGATGACAAATTACGGGGCACCATCCCCCCCTTGAAAAGAAACTCAACAAGAGGCCCTCCATTCATCCTTGTCATCTGCAAGGAAACAAATTCCCAGATTGTGATCTACAAGTGTTGCATGGCCTTACGTTTCATGCCGCATAGGGAAGGAAACAGTGGGGAGATACAGCCATGGCAGCCGGGCTTAGACGGTTAAGTAAGTCTCTCATGAAGGTGTCAAGCCACCTGTAACAAGAAGCTGAGGAGATCAAGCGGTAGCCAAACAAGGGAAAAGTGAGAGAAGGCAGTAGTGGTGAAAGGGAAACTTTTCGAGTAGAGTTTGGGGGGAAGTAGTAGGAATTAGACTTCCGTGACAGCAAACACCTACAGCGACATTTGGACAAGAAAGGGGGGCCCGGAAGGAGTGGAAGTGAAATATTTTTCATTTGTTTCATTGGCCAAGCAGCGGTTTTACATCTACAGTTGTGGGTATACCCATAGAGCAAAGCGGAGTGAAAAAAAAGACCCAGTGGCCCAAAAAAAAAGAACTTCACACCCAAAAATAGGAGCTTGACACGGTTTCGGAGTAGCAGAACCCCGAACAATGTTTTGCAAGTGGAGCTTATGCGAGTGACTGTATTTGTATGGTTCTCCTATCTGGTGAGGCTGGTATGTCTGGAAGAAGAAATCGCAAGCGAACCAACAAAAGCTCCATTTAGAGGTAAAAGTTTGGAAAGGGCGGAATGTTCAAGGAGGCTTCACTTGCAAAAATGACACGATGGTAGCGGCATAAAACACATGGGAAACGAACGAGAATGAATGGCTGCAAAAACGACTAAAGTGACAGGGTGCCCCAGGGCCAGGGCAGGGCATCGCTAACGCAGAGAGCATGTGAAAAAAGAGGCTACCATTTGGTTTTGTGGTACATTGGTTGGATTGAAAGGTCACCCCTGGCAAACGTGAAGGATGGGAAATCTTTATTGCTTCACGCAGGTGGGCGGCAGGAACAGGGCAGATGGCGGTTTTCGGAAAGATGGGAAAGTTGAGTGAAGCAAGTAAAAAAATGGGAAAACAAGGTAAAAACGATGAGTGTGTGGGACGCGAGTGTTTCCTATTGCGGTAATGAGATTGCAAGTCATTTGCCATAGAAGGAAATAAGGTGTGGGTTGGGCCTGCACGCAAGCCTCCCCCAGCATGCGTACCTAAACATGAGGTGCAGCCGTTTCCACGGGAACACATTGGCTTCAACCACAGCAACATGTATTGTTTGTCGTATAACTGGGGCCCCATGCAAGCCATACTGATGCACTAAAGGAAAAGGCCCTGCAACTTGCTTGGGTTACACGCCCGACATTGCTCCCGACAAGCATACAATCACCACAAACGGTAAAAGTCACTTCGATTGCATTACCCGATCTGGTAACTACCCGTGCGTCTAGGTAGCTGCAACTCCAGCAGTATCCCATTTCTTTCTCCCGATTACTCTTTCACGTACCCTTGTGATTCCCTAATTTGTATGTGTCGAATGGAATGCATCTTTCCAAAACATTCGTCCTTTCTCACGCCATTAGAGTAAGGGTGCCTGTCTTGTCTGGGCGGTTTTGATCCCGTTATTTTTTTTTCTTATTTGTTAGTATTCTTTGCACAACTTCTTTTTTCCTTATCCCATTTTTCTGTTTGCAGCCGTCAATCGTTTTTTTCCCATTCCCATCCAGCCAACAGCATCAATTTAATTCTTCCTCCTGCCAGGGCATGCACTAGAACTTTGGGTTACCTTTTAGCATTTCATCACTGTCCCACTTATAGACCTGTCAAACAGACACCAAACAAAACAACCTTTTATTTTCCAAAGTGTTATCCTTAGTGAAACTTATGAATACGCCATCAGGCATGGCCACAGCTACCGTGGGTCAGGATCACAGGTCGGAAGACCATTCACAGAAGAAGGAACTGTCCCCCACAAGCTTTCTACCTAGCCTAAAGAGCTTTGATATTGATACTTCAAAGTATAAGCATTACGACCACCTGCAATCCACTGGGCCCACCCGTGCTGTTTCAGATACCAGTCCCCTGATTGACCGTCTTGTTCTCAACCACAAGCCTGAAAAGAACGCTTCCATGAGACAGTCGGCTCCTCAAACCACTGCCCATTCTAGACTGAGCCTGCTATCACTGGCGCCTGAACACCCGCTCAAGTCGCCTTTGGAACCTCCCCATGGCGATGTTTTACGTGCTCTTCTGCTTCCACTGGACAAGCCTTGGCCTTATTCGGAAGATACGCTTAATGAGCTTATCAGGCTTCGCATCGAACAGGAAAAGACCAAGCATACGCAAGTCAAGCATGAATTGGGCCAGGTGGTCTTGGAGCTTCTTCGTGAAGCCCAACAGCACGATATTTCCAGTGACGTGATTCGCCGGATCTTTTTGAACGACCTGCCCCACCAGTATGTCCACTACCTTCAGAGCCATCTTCCTATGGCTGGAGGACATCTTCAGCAGCCTCATTTGCAGCCACATCAACATCACCAACCACCTCCACAACCACATCACCAGCAGCAGCAGCAGCAGCAGCCAGGCCAGCCTCAGGCACCATCATTGGGTGCAAAAAGGAAGAACTCAACTGAAAGTGTCCACACTCCAGGCACAGAAAACGACTCCAAGCCTGATAGTCAGGCTCAAAGCAGAGCTCTGCCTCGTTCAGAGCCAAAGAGCGCTACTGCTCCTACTTCTGGAGCTGGAACAGCTGTTTCTGGCACTTCCCAGCTGCCTCAGGTTCCTGTGGTGCCCCAGCATCTCTATCCAGTATACTACACTGCTTACCCTGACCAAAGCCAAGTCCAGGGCCCTCAAGGTCCTCAGGCTCAACCTACGCTGAATCCCTCCAACCAGCAGGGTCCTCATAACCAGGCACAGGGTCAGAGCCAGGGCCAGGGCCAAAACCAGCCTCATCACCTGAAGCTGACTTCTCAGCTGGACGAATCTGAAAACTTGGGCCTGCCTTACTCCCACAAGTACCCTGTAGTGTTCCAGTCACTGCCACTTCAGTACCCACGTACTCCAGGCCTGGCCCAGCAGCCTCAGCGTCCTCCACCACCGCAAACGCAGCCTCCACAGCCGTACTACTATGTTAATTCGTCGCCTCAAGGTGTTCCTGGCCCGCTTATGCCTTCCCAGTTCCTCGTGCCTCCTCCCGTAGGAACGGTGTTTCCGTGGGGGCAGGCGCAGGCGCCAGCACCTGAACGGGAAGACAAGCCTAAACGGCACAAGTCGAATAAGAATGGCATCAACTTTATGATCACCACGCCTAAGAACCCGCCGGCCAAGAAGTATAACAAGCTGTGAGAGGTGCCAGTCTTTTGTACTGGTTAATTCTTAAGGACTGCCACTGGCAGCCATCGATCGTTACCTTTACTTCTCGCTTAGTATATACCCTTGTCAATACAGTTAAGTGCAATTAATAATGTTTGAATTTTGGTTATATCGGATGTTTAAAGTAGAGAAGAAGGCAGGAGAGTAGTATAAGCTACTTCTTATCTTATCTACACTCTTAAAGATCAGGGGTTGACACTTTCATAGGGTATCAACTTTCGAAAATTTTCTTAGCTATAAAGTAATAAATTTGTCTCAAATGCAAAGTCTTCTACTACTTTACCCACATTTTCTCCAAAGTACATCTGTCCTTGCCTTATCTGGCTAAGCGAAATTTTCACCTCCCCAACCAAACCTATAAATGCCAACCTCCATGGTCCAAAACCACAAAACTCCCAAACCCTCAAAACCAACAGCTCCCCTTAATCCAACAGATCGAATGCATTTTGTGTTCACTATGTTTCATACATTCATGGTGTTTTTGTGGTGCCGCTAAGATATGCGAGTTGGATCTCTTATCAGTCGCTTATCTCTTATCGCGACGGTTGCAAACCGCCAGGGCCAGCTGCCAATAAGAAGGGGAATCGCTGTTCCTTTATGGCGGGTGTTTTAGCAGATCGTGCTTTAAAGCACCTAGAATATGCTTGGTGTCAGCAAGTGGAAATTCCGTGGGCTAGGTGGTTTAGATACCTGGGGTTATAAGAAGGTAGGTGGTTCATCTTTGTCACAAAATATGCTTCATCCCGTACTTTCCGGCGAGGAGATCCTCGAGGCTGTTACTTCAGATAAACGGTTTTTTAATAATACTCATAACGTTGAACTGCCTTTCCCAGATGCTTTAAATGCTACTTCTGATAATGACCTTCTTGCTCAGATTGGCTACAAGCCAGAGCTCAAACGTCGGTTCAACACACTTCAGGTGTTTGGAGTAGCGTTTTCCATTATGGGTCTTTTACCTTCGGTGGCATCTATTTTAAGTCATGCTCTTTTGGCTGGTCCAGCGGGCGCAATCTGGGGATGGCTAATATCGTCCATCCTTATCTTCACTATTGGTTTAGCCATGAGTGAAAATGCTTCTTTCCAGCCAACTTCTGGTGGTCTTTACTACTGGACAAACTTTTATGCTCCGGCTAGATTTAAAACTATCATTTCGTATGTTGTTGGTAACACAAACTCTATTGCATTGGTGGGTGCTCTTTGTTCGGTGGACTATGGTTTCGCTCAAGAGCTTTTATCAGTCGTTGTGATTGCCACAGATGGCGATTTTGAAATCACTCCAGCAAAAACATACGGTGTTTTTGCTGCTTGTGTGGTTGCTCATATTGCCCTTACTTGTCTTTCTTCGAAGAACTGTGCTACTTTGCAAACAACCTCTGTGGTGTGGAATACAGGTTTGGTTTTCTTGTTCATTATTGCAATGCCAATTGGTGCATCTCGTGGCGAGTTTAAAAAAGCAAGCTGGGTGTTTGGAAGCTTTCAAAATCTTACAGACTTCCCTATGGGATGGAATCAGCTCTCACAAGCATGGCTTCCGGCTATTTGGACGATTGGTGCATTTGACTCTTGTGTTCACATGTCTGAAGAGTGTAACAATGCTACTAGAACTGTTCCTATTGGTATTTTAGGCTCCATCACAGCCTGTGGCGTTCTAGGCTTCGTCTTGTTGATTGTTACCTGCTTTTGCATCCAAAACGACGATATCGAGAACCATATCTTGGGAAGCAAGTTTGGTCAGCCTATGGCACAGATCATCTATGATGCATTTGAAACCGTTCCTGGCCAAGGCAAAAAAGTAGCTATCGCTATGATGGTTCTTATTGCTATTGGACAGTTCCTTATGGGAGCATCCATTTTGACAGCTATCTCAAGACAAATCTTTGCTTTTGCCAGAGACAATGGTCTTCCAATGTCTTGGTGGATCAAGAAAGTCAACCAGAAGTTATCTGTTCCAATCCACGCTGTGTTCACTGGCGGTGCTGCTGCAATCGTTATTGGATGTCTCTGTATTATTGGAGAAGCTGCTTCGTCTGCTTTATTCACCTTGTACGTTGCAGGTAACTACTTTGCATGGGGAATGCCGACGTTCTTACGTTTGCTTTCAATGAAAGAAAAATTCAGACCTGGTCCTTTCTTCCTTGGAGAGTTCTGGAGCAGAGTCAATGGATGGGTATCTACGTGCTTTATTGTCTTCACTATCGTCATGGTGATGTTCCCTACCAACACAAACCCAACGAAGGAAACCATGAACTATACATGCGTTATCACTCCAGGCGTGTGGATCTTGTCACTTATATACTACAAAGTGTATGCTCACAAGGTTTACCATGGTCCAGCCAAGACTGTTGATGTTCCTGGAGAAGGCAGCAGCGATGATAGTTTCGAAGTCGAGCAGATTAGACAAGAAGTCCTCGGGAAGGACTATGAGTAGTCAAAAAGAGTATTTATACAAAATGATAGACATTGTTAATTCCAAAATCCATGCAATAGCAAAGAAGCCATCTACATATTTCTTTTTCCTATTGTCGAGGAAAGCAATGTGTCGAAGTGGCTGCAAATGACGTGCGTCAGGAACACCTCCCGTCAGTCACAAGATCAGATTCCGAGAAAGGAGGGCATAATTACGAAAATACCAAAACCCTCGAAACCTTAATCAAAAGATAACGCACGGCTCACCTCCCAACTATTACTCATATCTATCCACAGCTTTGTGTGGCTCTTCGCGACCACTAGGGTTCACCAGAACAGTAGATATCCAATATGGAAAGTCGTAATAGAGACCTCTTCTGCTTAAAACAATCAGTATAATGCATTTATGGGCACCCCGGAAGCAAGCACCCCGGAGACACTGACTCACCGCTTTGTCTTGTCCAAAGCCCTGACTGGACCATTGAGCTCGGCGGTAGGCTCGGTGCTTCGGCACATTGTCCGAGCGCATACATATATAGGTCATTAGTACTCATTACTGCTTTTCTTCTTGATCCCAATAAACAAGCTTTACAAATGTCTCCAAGCCGGTCCAGTCTGAAACTGGAGCTACATATGGACCGAATACGGCATTCGCTGGACTCAGAGCAGTACAGGTTGCTGGAGGAGCTGAACCATGAATCCTCATCGCTGGATGCAAATGATAAGCACCTGGAGGTCCCACCATATACGATATTCACCCACTGGCGGCGGTACCTGTTGATGTTTTTGCTTTCTATTTCGGGCATATGGAGTGCCATTTCAAATTCTATTTATTTTCCTGCGTTGCCTACACTTACCAAAGAGTTTGGCGTATCTCTGGAAGCCATGAACCTTACCGTAGTGGCATACTTGGTGCTTCAGGGCATTACACCGACGTTTGCTGCTAATTTTGCAGATACCTATGGCCGCAGACCGATGTTCTTGTTGGCGTTTTGCATCTATATTGGTGCTAACATTGGTCTTGCAGTCTGTGACGCTTACTGGCTCTTGATCTTCCTTCGATGCGTTCAGGCAGCAGGAATCGCTCAGGTTATCGCCATTAATTCAGGTATTGCTGGTGACGTGTGTGTTCCAGCTAACCGTGGCTTTTTCGTGGGTGTTGTTTCTGGTATGCTCTTAGTGGGCCAGGCGTTTGGCTCGCTTATCGGATCTGCCCTTATCTCCCGATGGAGCTGGCGTGCAGTGTTTGTGTTCCTTTCAATTGGTGCTGTTGTTACCCTTATCTTCGTGTTTGTGCTTTTAACCGAGACTTGTCGAAGTATTGTCGGCAACGGGTCCATTAGACCTAAAAACCTTCTTTATGCGGCACCGGCTCTCTGTCTCCCAAGCTACAAGCAGTATCTTAATGACGACCGCACCACTTTAGCTCCTCGTGTCCCGTTGGACTTCCTAGCGCCTTGGAGAATCCTAATACAACCCACAAGTATTGCAGTTCTTCTTCCTAGTGGGCTTCAATTCACCGCTTGGACTATGTGTTTGACTTCTTTGTCCACAGCCCTAGAAGATGATCCATGGAACTATTCAGTGATGCACGTCGGCCTTATGTACTTGCCTCAGGGTATCTGCTGTCTTGTGGCATCGATCCTTTCGGGTAGGGTTCTCAACGACTACTATACCTGGCGCCGGAACAAGTATGAGGAAAAGTACAAGGACATTGACAAGAAAAGTCGGCCACCATTTAATAAAATCAGAGTTCGTCTCGACGTTGCCATCGTTCCAACCATTTGTACCCTCTTGGGTCTTCTACTCTTTGGATGGATGCTTGATAAGCAAGGCAGTATAGTTGGAGTGGTAATTGGACTGTGTTTTGCATCATTTGGAAGTTCATCTTTCATCGCCATTGTCACGACTATGTTGGTTGACTTGTACCCTGCCAGGGGTCTGGCCTCGACAGCCTGCGTTAATTTGGTGAGGTGTATTTTAGGAGCAGCTTTTGTTGCCGCTTTGGACCAAATGGAACAAACTATGGGTATTGGCGGGGTCTACACTTTGATGGCAGGCTTGTGTTTGGTAACTAACATTTTATTGGTGGGCGTGGTTATGCAATACCTGAAACGTTTGAAAAACGGAAACTTATAGACATACAATTTATAGAATGCAAACTTTATAGAAACGATAGATCATGATTTACCCCTAAATAAAAAGTAGCGATATGAGGATAATGAAAAGGTTAGGGCTTGCTCGAGGGGCGGCACTCCGGGAGAGAACGATCCCAATTCCTCTGTAACCACTTCCTCCGTAACCACTTCCTCTGTAACCACTTCCTAAATATCCACCTCTATAGCCTCCTCCATAAAACCCACCGGAGCTACCAAAGAACTTTCTTGACGGATCTGGAAATCCGCTTACATCCTCCTCTGGGTCAGCTTCAGCCTCGTAAGCCTCATTCTCGTCAGTGGCTTCCAGACCATAAACCGAAGACGTCGAGCTGACTTCTTCAACAGAAGAATTTGTCTCGTACGTTGATATTGGAGAAATAACCGTTGCATTTTGGAAAGTGGATGAAACTTGTGGCACACTAGTAGTATTGTTGATGGAAGAAGGCAATGATGTAGGTAACACAGTTGAATTTTGATATGGAGGCCTCATTGGACTTACCACAGGTGGTGAAGAACGAACGCTCGAGACATAGATAGTCTCAAAGGTAGTAGAAGGCAAGGGAGTGCCAATAGTAGACAATGCTTCGACGGTCTTCCTGGATGAACTGCCCGTTGGTAATTCGCCTGCGGTAGAAGCAGCGGTCTTTGTAACTGTCAGATTCAGAACAGAGAAACAATCCTTCTGGCAAATGATACTGGTCAAGGTAGACGTCTTCAGTGAATATACGCCTGAATCTATAGTTTTGTTCATGTGGACTTTTGCCTGACCATTGCCTGAGAAGCTGGTAGGTAAGACAGAATCGTCTTCGTCACAGTCGATACAGCTACCAAAGGATGAAAGATACAAGACTGTAAGATATTTTAAAGACTTCATTTTAGCACGGCTTCTAAGATGCCATAGTCGAAATATGGCAAACTTCCTCTATTTATGCCGTGCACGGCTATAAGGGCGGCCGTTAGTTCGGGTCACTTACCAGAACGGAAGGAATAATTCAACATGTAGCTGCAACACCACACCTATGACCTTGATATATGTCGTGAAAAAAGATTATCCTCGCGTCACCTTACGGTCCTTCGAAACCAGATAGGAAGAGGGCATCACCTCAGTTTGTATGACTTAAGCACGTTCATAACCTATAGGTATATTATTCCACGACACGTTTTCATTGCACTGCAAGAACATGTTAATATTGAGTTTCAACAAAATTGGTGAAGCAAGTCACGGCATAAATTCTGACACTGCCCGTAGAAGATGCGCCGAGCCGATATTTGATGACTCCAAGTAGGAAACAAAAACTGCGCAGCCGTAGCAGCGTTACATGAAATTGCAGTTAGGAAAGTAGGAAGCTGAAATGTGATAATGATATCATGACTAATTAGCAACCTTCTCGGCCTCTTCAGGCTCATCAATAAAAGCAGGCAACTTGTCGGGCGCTGGTTCGGCATCGTTCAAGTAACTAGGCACGCCCAATCCTGATTCGTTCATCTCAGACTCAAAGTCCATTTCCTCTCCCAAAGCATCGAGTTCAGCATCCAATTCCAGCTCGGATATGTCGTCAGGAACATCGTAACTTGTCAGAAGAGACTCCTGAAGCTCGTTCAGCTTCTCTATAAGATCCAACATTTCATCCTGCAACAGCTCTATCTTGTCAATATCGATCTTACCATAAGTCTTTTTCAATTGCTTGTTGGCAGTCTTCATAGCATCCACTGTGATCATGGTATTTTGGAGGTTATCGGTAGTCATCGAAGCAGAAGTCATATTCCACAGCTGATTCTCCAACTGCTCCTTCTGAGCCTCAATCTGCTTTCTCTGTCTCAAGAGTTTCAATGCTTTTTGTTTCAAAGCGTTCTTTCCTGGACCGTCTCTCATCCGGCTGATTTTTTGTTGGTACGTGGACAATTCCGAGTTGATCTTGGAAAGCTTCACGTCAAGCGATCCAACACGCTCGTCGATGTTCTTAACAGCATCGTTAAGTGACGGCTTGGGCGCAGTGTTCTTGGTTCCAAAGAGTCTGTTCATTGGGGTGGAGTAACTGATAAGTTGAAGGTGTATTATCAGTTTCGCACCTTGACATGGAGGCAACCCCAGAATGACCAATTTGGTGGGAAAAACTAAGGATGGGCTGGGGAAGGAATTGGGCTTGAGTAAGCTGTTTTGACAATATAGGTTATCGTTAATTTTGAAAAAATAGCTGGTAACGGTTTTTGGTGGGTATGGAAAACCAATATCCACTGTGGTGTTAGTCACTGTGTAGGGCGAGCCAGCAGCTGACGAGACGATACAACGATGTTTTATTAAGTGTCTCTTTGGAGTTCGATCAGCTCCTATAGTGACCTATAAAATTCTTTTACTCATTTCTTCTTCTCAGATATAAATGCTGTGGAACAGGAGGGACTGCTTCATCCATTTCGCAGCCATTGATTGAACTCCAGTAACAACTTCATCAAGATTTACTGGCAATACTATCTTGGCAAGGGGACCAGTTGGAGTTATGTAATACTGATGGCGTCATGGCTTTCGACGGAACAGAATCTTACTTAAAGGACCCGTTGTCATATTTGAGTCCAAACCAAAAGGTATTTGGAGGGTTAGAATTGCCATTTTTGGACTTATTCGGTGGGTTGTAGGCCCTAAAACAGTATAGGAACCATAACCCGCTTCAGGAGCAACCTATGAGGCAAAATTTATCAAAAAAAAGCTCATTTTTAGCCCATTCATTAACTTAATTTGGATTAGTACCTTCCGAGTTTCCGCCACGAAGAGCTTCACTAGCTCAGTAGGCAGAGCGTCAGTCTCATAAGCAAGCTTGTGTTATCTGAAGGTCGAGAGTTCGAACCTCCCGTGGAGCACTTCTTTTTTTTTTTTCCACTTAGCAACCGCGCCGTTATCTCTTCTTATCACTAATGCCTGAGGTAGCTGAAGTACGTGATTAAACATCAATTGGTGGAATTATGTCATTTTTTTAACTAACATTAAGGTTGCACATGTATGTGCTTTGCTTCGAAGAAACATTTTAGGCTTCACCATTAAAGAAGCCAAACTTAGTCTTGATACTTTGCTCTTCCCAGCACTCAAGACTGCCAAAGACCAGGAAGGTACTTTAGCAGGTTTCACGGATAAACTTAATGGAGCAGAGGTTTCTTCAATTGGCCGTCATGGCAAGTACTTCTGGATGAGACTTGCTAAGCCTGAGCTTGAACCGACTGTGATGTTGATGCACTTTGGTATGACAGGCATGGTGAAGCTTCGTGATATCGAGTCCCACTTGATCTTCATGGAAGGTGGTGGTGATAAGAAAGTGTTGGACAGAGCCATGCAGAAGGATTTGTCTGAAGGTACGACTGACGAGAATAATACCAATAAGAGATCGAATAAGCCGCCTATAGAGACAGACGCGGAAGCGGAATGGCCTCCAAGGTTCACGAAGTTTGAGTTGCTGCTTGAGAAGGCTGATTCTGTGGTGAAGAAAGAGGGAGGTGAAGCAGAGCAAGCTTTACGGACTCTTGATTTTGCTTTTACAGATCCTCGAAGGCTAGGTAGGGTGCGTATTCTTACTGGATCTGAGTATGCTACGGATGATCTTCTTTTACAGCAAGATCCTCTTAAAAGTCTTGGACCAGACTACCTGAAGGCTGCCGAAGGTGATGCTGTCATGAAGGAAGAGGACGGTGTTGATAGCTTCGAGTTTGGTGACCCGGATCCGCATCATCACGGTCGTCCTAGACTTACTAAGGAAGATTTCGCCCAACTTGTGCTCAGCAAAAAGAAGGCCATTAAATCTTTGCTCTTGGACCAGGAACATTTCGCTGGCGTTGGTAACTGGGTAAGTGACGAGATATTGTTTCATGCCAAAATCCATCCGAACGAGACTATTTCCAATAAGATTGAAAGCCCTGCTGATGAGATCCTTGAAAGTTTGTATAACGCATTGATCTATGTGATGGAGGAGAGTGTACGTGTGGAAGGCAACGTTCATAGGTTTCCAGATCATTGGCTTATGATTTACAGATGGGGCAAGGGTAGAAAAGTCAAGGCCAAAACCAAGGCTGGACACGCTGTGGATCATGTTACTGTTGGAGGCAGAACCAGCTGCTTCGTTCCAGAGATTCAAAAACCGTTAAAGAAACGGAAAGGCGGTGAGGTCGAAGAGCTGCAGAAAAAGAGACTTAAGAAGTTCAAGAACGAAGAGGAGGATTGATGTGTGGAGTGAATGAATGGAAACGAGTGGCGCCTGCTTTTCCATCCATGAAAAAATGACATGTTAACGAAAATTCTGTAATATAGAACAAAATAGTCTAAATTGAGTTTATGCGTATTTCACAATTCTTGACGTAAACCAGAAAATTCCATACAAATAGTAAATCCACACGTTCATCAAAAATATCCTAGTCTACAAAAACCTTACCTCTAAAATCAGCCACAACTCAAACCCCAATGACACTTGCTGATCCAGACTCCGTAAACGACCCTTGTTGCTGCATCACCTAACTGATCCACCTCATCCACCAGTTTTGTGTCATTCTAAGCACCCACCACAATTGTACAAAAACCCATCCTATAGCCTGCACCAAGTACCGGGCTTGCACCATCCCAACCGAAAGAAACTACCCCTCCTTTTGTAACCCCAAGCCGAATGCCCAATATCTCGCCGGCGTCGGACTTCGTCGAATGAAAAAAAACAGGCCCCACTGCTTAAAAGGCAACCGGAAAAACCCTCTTTTTGTGGTCCCGACTTTATCCGCGCATCGATGTGTCAAAACGCGCTGTTCAAGGCGACCACAGTTGCCCAACTGGACAACCTTGAGTTCTCTCAACGACGTTTGTCGAGAGGAGGAAAGACAGTCCATTCCAAAGTTTTCTACCGATCTTTAAAATTATCAATATCTTTTTTACTGTCCTCTCGTCTTCATCTCTTTTTGTGTTGGGTCTACGGCATTTCTTGGTGGGGCCCTCTGGCTGCGAAAAGTTTTGCAGGATCCCGTTGCGGAGTAGTTCTTCCCCGAGAGACTAAAACGTGAAGCCATAAGAATACGAGGAAACGGGAAAGCGAGGGGGATAAAAATTGTCAGTGAATTGGAAATTGTTGTTTCGGGATGACATAGGTGTCTTTTTGTTTGTCTTTTCTGGAGTTTTATTGATATTGGTGGAACCCTTCATCGCCTTAGTCTAAGCGGGGCGCTGCACGGCTGTTGGGTGCAACCGACTTCTTCCGCTGCCCAAGCGCACCCTCGAAACTCGTCAGGAGAGGCTGGGGGCGGGTCAAGTGGGTGGGATTTGATGGTAGAAGAAATTGATTAGCTTCGTTGTGTTGGCCGGAATTTTAGCTTCTCTCCAATGTAATTTTTATCCCAAATTTCCAACTCTAAAGTGCTGTTTTAGGACCTGCGTTCACCGTAGCGCTATCAATTCCGAGGGCGCTCGACCCCTCCCACTTTCGCTATATATTACCTCGTTTTCCACTTTCCTCTTTGCTTCACATTCACAGCGATGCCCTCCTTAACGTTGAAGTCTGGCCAGGCCATTCGTTCCAGCTTGACTAGATCCATCCGCTTGAGCTCCTCCTCAGCTGAATGTCTGTCTATTCACACACATACCATCAAGACGCCCGTGGGCATCAAGGCTGCCATTGCAGCTTTGAAACCTAAAACCACCCGTCTTTCAATTGAAGGTCCTATTGAATGTAACTTGTCTGGGTTCCAATTGCTCAATTCGCCACTTTTCAATAAAGGTTCCGCTTTCACCAGGGAAGAGAGAGAAGCGTTTGACCTTACGGGTTTGCTCCCGTGCCAGATCAACACTCTAGATGAGCAGGTGGAAAGAGCGTACGCCCAGTTCCAGTACTTGAAGAGTCCTCTTGCGAAGAATGATTTCTTGGTGTCGATGAGAATGCAGAATAAGGTCTTGTACTACGAGTTGGTCAGAAGACATATTAGGGAGATGATACCTATTATATATACCCCTACGGAAGGTGACGCTATTGCTGCGTACTCGCATAGATTCAGAAAGCCTGAGGGCTGTTTCTTGGATATTACGGATCCTGACTCGATAGATAACCGTTTGGCTCTATATGGTGAGGAAAAGGACATTGACTACATTGTGGTTTCTGATGGTGAAGGTATTTTGGGTATTGGTGATCAAGGTGTGGGTGGTATTCGTATTGCCATTGCCAAGTTGGGTCTTATGACTCTTTGCGCCGGTATTCATCCTGGAAGGGTGCTTCCTGTGGTTTTGGATGTGGGTACGAATAACAAGGAACTTCAACATGACGACTTGTACATGGGTAACAAGCACGATCGTGTGAGAGGTGAACAGTACTGGCTGTTTGTCGATAAGTTCATCCAGTCGGTGAAGAAGAGATTCCCATCTGCCGTGTTGCATTATGAAGATTTCGGTGTTTCCACTGGTCGTACCATGTTGCACAAGTATAGAGACGCATTGCCATCGTTTAATGACGATATCCAGGGTACAGGTGCCGTCGTGATGGCTTCTATCACTGCTGCTCTTCAATACAGTCAGCGTGAGCTTCTTGAAACTAAGGTGTTGATTTACGGTGCTGGTTCTGCTGGTTTGGGTGTTGCAGACCAGATCGTCAACCATATGGTTTCTCACGGTTCCACCGTTGAGGAAGCCTGCAACAGAATCACAATCATGGACCGTAGAGGTGTTGTTCTACAGTCTTACGATGACTCCAGTGAAGGTCAGGTTCGTTACGCTGACCCAGATGAACACTGGAAGGGCATCAACACCAGATCATTGAAGGATGTGGTTGCTGCTGTCAAGCCTACTGTCTTGGTTGGAAGTTCCACCCAGGCAGGCGCATTCACCGAAGAAGTCATCAAAGAGATGTACAAGCATAACCCACAGCCAATTGTGTTCCCACTTTCGAATCCTACTCGTTTGCACGAAGCTTTCCCAATTGACATCATGAAGTGGACGGATAACAATGCATTGATCGCCACAGGCTCCCCATTCAAGCCTGTTGACGGTTACGTGATTTCCGAAAACAACAACTGTTTCACATTCCCTGGTATCGGTTTGGGTGCCGTTCTTTCCAGATGTACCACCATCACGGATACCATGATCTCTGCTGGTGTCGACTGCTTAGCCCTGTTGTCGCCAAAGATGGAGAACCCAAAGAACGGTTTGCTTCCGCCTCTTGAGGAAATTGACGAAGTTTCTGCCCATGTTGCAACTGCCATCATTTTGCAGAGTCTTAAGGAAGGCACTGCTCGTGTCGAGAGTGAAGAGAAGCCAAGTGGAGGTCATGTTGAGGTCCCAAGAGACTTCAACAAGTGTTTGAAGTGGGTGCAATCCCAGATGTGGAAGCCTATCTACAGACCATTGGTCAAGGTGCAACATGTCCCAGAGGTCCACACCCACCAGCTTTAATGCAATTTAGTTCTACTACAACATTAATCATAAGGTATCACCGGTCTATTAATAAAAACCATATTAATCCACAAAACATCTAGTCTATCTGCAACCTAAAGTCTCTCATTAAGATATTTCACCAAACGGTAAACGCCAAAGTACTCCTTCTGATCAATCTCCTCCACAGTGATGGGCTTACCCTTCTTGAGACCAGCTCCGACTTGCTTGTGAACAGTATCTTCAAAGAACAAAATGGCATCATGAAGGCCCTGTGGCTCCACATGTAAGTTAACATTAGCCTTACCAGGCTGGTTACGACGCACGAAAGAGTATCTCTCCTCGGTATAACCCTTCTCAGTACCGTAAGAGTGGGTTCCGTGGAAAGGCACATCCAAGGCATACTTGGCCCATTCCAAAACATCATCACGGAAACTTTCGTCTTCGCCCACGAGAACGAAAACGTCATAATTAGGGTCAGAGTAACTTGGAATTGTTTCCCAGTCCAGTCTCTGGCGTGGGTTCTTACCCATAGGAGACCAAATGAGCGAGAATGGGTCCTTCTTACCGATAATCAATGCCAATTGAGAGATGTCGCCGAATTTGGAGTGGTGGATCAAGTCGTAGTCTTCACACTGCTTCCACGAAGACAGTTCTGTCATGTCATATGGAAGAGGGGCCAATTTCATCCACGGCGAGAACAAAATCAACTTGGATGGGTACTGAACAGGCTCCTCCTTGGCCTGGAAAAACTGTGTAAGACCCACAGCCATGTTACCACCAGCCGAGTCACCCATCAATACGATGTTCTTGTTGTTCTCTTGCACGAGTCTTTCGTATGTCTGGTCAAGCTGGAGCATCTGTGTTGGGAAAGTGTATCCCCTCGAGGCAAGCTTATAGTCCAAAAGCAAGATAGAAGTCTTCTTCTTCTTTTCTGGAGTAAGCAAGTGGTACGTAGACAAGATAAACTTGAGCTGCTGGGGCATTGTCTGGAGGAAGAATCCACCACCATGAAGATAAATAATCACTGGGTCGTCAGGGCTTCTGTTGGGCTGCTTGACAAGCCAGATGGAGTTAGCATCGTACCTTTCTCCGTAACCAGGCAAATCTTTAACGAGCAAAGGCGCCACGATCGGGAAAGCACGTTTCACCAAGAAATCATTAGAATATGGCGAAAGCCATTTTGTGTCTTGGATAGGCACCAGCAAGGCAAACCTATAAAGCGTAAGCTTGAGAAGCTTAGATAAGGACCTTCTGTACTTCCTCGCCTTGATACCACCAAATATGAAGTACCGAAGGATAACGATAAGAAAATCGGCAGGAAGCTTCAAAGCAAGTATAACGGTTGAAAGTTTCATTCTATGGCTTTTTTTCTACTGAAATTACACTGGGTGGGGGAACCCAATGGCTATATAGTGGTATGGGCTCGGAGGAAGCACGTGAAGTTTTCACTATCCGGGATTAGCGAGATCCCAGCCGTTGGAGAGGGGTGACTAAAAAAGACGAAAAACAAAAAAAAAAACATCAAATGGAGCCCATTCACGGAAAAAACAGAAAATGCCGAGGACGTGGGTTCATATGTCAACGAGGTTTCTTTTGCTATTGTCTAGCTTGTTCGTTGTTTTGCTTGGCCTGGGCTGCTCTTGACTACCCCAAGGTTGTTAATAAGAAACGGTGCTAATAGGTGCATATGCGCAGAAAGCGTTTGGGGCAGTGGACATAACGCTACATGAATTCGCTTTTTTTGTCCTGGGTTTGGGGGTCGTGCCACACTCATAAATACCACCGCCAATCAAAACGCGCTGTGAAAGACGTGAAATGGTCACGTGGGATGTGTCATGTGATAAAATACCATACCCTCCAAACAGCCTCCCCACTTCCAATTCCACCCATTGACCTTATTTGGTCGTCTTTAAGTTCCTAAGTAACCTTCTATGTTAACATCATATGATGGTCGGGTGCTGGCGTTGCAGTCCTGCACTGCGTCCCCCCACGTCCATTGGTGCGGGTGAATCGAAAATTTCACCCAAACTCAATTCACCCAACCAAACGTAACCTCCAATGTCCGTCGAAGACCTCAAATCCACCATCTCTAAGTTGCAAAACAGAATCCAGGCTTTGGAAGCTAAGGCTGGTATTATTCCAGATGTGCCAAAGTCCGTGAAGATGGTCTTGATCGGCCCTCCAGGTGCCGGTAAAGGTACTCAGGCTCCAAACTTGAAGGAGAAGTTCTGTGCTTGTCACTTGGCCACTGGTGACATGCTTCGTGCCCAGGTTGCTGCTAAGACCGCATTGGGTCAGGAGGCTAAGAAGATCATGGACCAGGGTGGTCTTGTTTCCGACGAGATCATGGTTAACATGATCAAGTCTGAGTTGGAGAACAACGGTGAGTGTAAGAACGGTTTCATCTTGGACGGTTTCCCAAGAACCATCCCTCAGGCCGAGAAGTTGGACGACATGTTGAACGAGAGAAAGACTCCTTTGGAGAACGCTGTCGAATTGAAGATTGACGACGAGTTGTTGGTGGCCAGAATCACCGGTAGATTGGTCCACCCAGCCTCTGGTAGATCTTACCACAAGTTGTTCAACCCTCCAAAGAAGGAGATGACCGACGATGTCTCTGGTGAGCCTTTGGTTCAGAGATCCGACGACAACGAGGACGCTTTGAAGAAGAGATTGGTCACTTACCACAAGCAGACCGAGCCAATTGTTGACTACTACAAGAAGACTGGTATCTGGACTGGTATTGATGCTTCTCAGAAGCCTAACAACGTCTGGGGCGACATCTTGAAGTGTTTGGGCCAGAAATAAGCATACATGCTGGCCTGGGCACAAACTTTTTAAAAAAAAAACAACAGCATAGCCTCTGTGAATAGACCCTTTGGTATGTAGAAATTACTTTTCTATAAAGAAAGAAAATAAAAAAGAAAACGTTACCCAAATGTCCATGCTATTTTTTTGTAATTCGTTATACTCGTTCCCGCTTTACTTTTCTGTCCTCCAGGCCATTGCTGCTTCTCTTCTTAGCGGTCTCTCTCCAACAGCTGGCGTGAACAATCTTTCGGCTTGCCTTACCACCAGCTGCATACACACATCCATCCCATATCCACTCACCGAGCTGCTCGTCGTATGTTGGTTTGATCTGTTCACGGCAGATTGTGCAAACGTTGTTAGTGATGTTTTCGTGGGCTGGGATGATAACGTAAACTCTCTCCTCTTCCTTCTGCTCAGGCTGCTTACTAGCTTCCTTGCTGCTTTCAGACTCGCCAAATTCAAGAAGGTCTTCGTCATTAAACTTGACCCATTCGAGATCGTCAAGGTACCAGTTTCTTGATTGAATATTAGTCTTGTAGTTGGCCAGTTTCTTGTTGATACGGAAATGCCAATCCAAGTGGATACGCTTTCTTTTGTTACCAGCCTCATCGTCTGTAAAACGCTTGCCACACTGAGCACACTTCAGTGCCTTAGCGTCGTAGAGAAGCAGTATCGTAGACACATCTAGTTTGTTGTGATTCACAAAACTTTGTAACGATTTACCGAAAGATTCGTCTTTTCTGAGCTTCTTAGAAATCTTCAAGAGTTCTTTGAATTCTGCCTGCTCATAGGCTGATCTGCCAGGATTATTTGCATCCATTAAGAGTTGTTCTAGAGCCGAGGTGGACATACCATCGTTGCCAGTAGATGGCTCGTACTTCTCCTTAGGCATAACGAGGTCATAAACAGGCTTTGAACCGGCCTTCAACGACTGCTCCATCTTAACAAGGCCAGACGCAAGAAGATCAGCAAAAAGCGCCTCAGCCTTACCTGGCATACCTGGCTCAGGAACGAATGGACCGGGCACTTGTTTAGGCAAGACTGGAGATTCGGCTACTTTTGGTGTGCTGCTAGCAGCATACACTTCCGCCTGTTTCATGGAAGAAAGCTTTTCTTTGATTCCTAGCAAATCGTTCTGTTTGAGAGCCTGGCTTTGTAGCAAGAGCTTAAGCTCCAGTAATGCATTGAACCTATCATTAAGCGACGTGTCTCTTGGGTTGTTGACGAGTTTATTCTTCATTATGGGCAAGAGCATGTCAATATCAGCTATAAGATCCGAAGCAGAAACAGCAGGCGTCTCTGGTTTCCTGTAGCCGGCTTGTTGCAAGAACTTGCCGATCTTTTCTAGTTCTTCAGGAGGGAAAAGCGGTCCCCCAGCGTTCTTCGTGCGTGTCACTTTCCAGAGCTCATACATCTTCACCAACTTCCCACGAGTGCTGTCACTGACCAACACGTACACATGAGAGAACAACTTGAAGATTTCAGGGCCAACAATAAGATTATACGGCTGGCCAACAATCTTACAGATGGAATCAAGCAAGTACATGGCGAAAAGCTTCTGTTCTGGAATGCACTTGTATATTCTGGACGTGATGACATTTAATATACCTTCAGCAGCATCAGTGTTTTCCTGGGCGATGGTGGTGAGTGTTTCAATTATAGGCCTGGAGTTGAACGTGAGCTCCTTGATCGAGGCCTCGTAGTCCTCGACTATGGCAGGGTCGTAGGACATTGGGGGAAAGAGTGTGGTAGCTGGTTTTGATGATATAGATGAGAAAGTGCAGGTAGGTGCACCAGAGGTCGGTTTGGAGGGCTCTGGGTTGGAGGCACCAAGGAGGGAAGGAGGGGATGGATATATGTTAGTTGGAATAAGTAAATGGAGAAGAATGGGATTTGATGGATTTTTGGTGAAAAATGTTGGTTTGGGTGGAATGTGATGGGTGGTGGTATGTATAGAGAGGTTGAGTAGTGGTAGACAGAGGGCCACTTACTGGCATAATAAAGGCACTGAAATTGAATAAAACGGTTTATTTGAGATTAAGATTGATCAATTTGTTTAACTAAGTGCCTTCTGTTTATGTCTGACTTCTGTGGAAGCTTTATCATTACTACTCTCACCGGGCCTGCTTGACTCATCTAGGGCTTGTACCACACATACCCACCTACTTATACACTCTCTGTCTCAAATGTACTATTTGTCAATCTTCAATCATTGAATCATCCACTTCATCACACATTCACCCACTTTTCACCCCTTACGTCCCTTTCTGTTCCCCATTCTACACTTCCTTTCCTCATGCTGCTCTTCCAGCGGCTGCGAAACCACCCATATGAAAAGTGCTCCAACCAGACACCACAACAAGATATAGACATTCCAAAAGCATTTTTGAATTCAGCCAAACGACTAGTATACCCCTTCTTCCTCTCATTTCTCTGGCTACCCCCTGACGTGGAAATAAATGGGCCCTGGTGACTGACCATGTCCTTCCTATTACAGTAACCCACTCCCTACCCGCGGTGTGGGAAAAAATTTTCGATTCTACCTCATACTTTCTTCCTACTTCAACTAGATCTATTCATCGTATGTCCCCACCTGCAACGTCCGACAAGAAGCAAAGCGGTTTGGCCAGAGTACTCGGCTCGGCCTCCGCCGGTATCTGTGAAATTGGTGTTTTCCACCCAGTCGACACCATCTCCAAGAGACTTATGTCCAACCAGACCAAGATCACTTCTGCATCTCAATTAAACTCTGTCATCTTCAGAGAGCATGCTAGCAAGGCTCTTGGATCCAGACTTTTCACCTTGTTCCCAGGTTTGGGTTACGCTGCTGTTTACAAGATCATGCAGAGAGTTTACAAGTACGGTGGCCAGCCATTTGCCAATGAGTTCTTGACCAAGAACTTCAGAGACTCTTACGACTCCTTGTTTGGTCCAAAGACCGGTAAGGCTTTGTTGTCTGCCACTGCTGGTTCTTTGATTGGTATTGGTGAGGTTGTGTTGTTGCCATTGGATGTGTTGAAGATTAAGAGACAGACAAATCCTGAATCGTTCAAGGGCAGAGGTTTCATTAAGATTATTACCGACGAAGGTTTCGGTTTGTACAGAGGTTGGGGCTGGACTGCTGCCAGAAACGCTCCTGGTTCGTTCGCTTTGTTCGGTGGTAACTCTTTCGCCAAGGAGTACATCTTCGGCTTGAAGGACTACTCTTCTGCTACCTGGACCCAGAACTTTGTCACCTCCATCTTTGGTGCTTCTGCTTCTTTGATTGTGTCTGCTCCATTGGATGTCATCAAGACCAGAATCCAGAACAGAAACTTCGAGAACCCAGAAGGCGGTTTCACTATTTTGAAGAAGATGGTCAAGAACGAAGGTATCACCTCTTTCTTTAAGGGTTTGACTCCTAAGTTGTTGACTACTGGTCCTAAGTTGGTCTTCTCCTTTGCCTTGGCTCAGTCCTTGATTCCAGCTTTCGACAAGCTTTTGAAATAGATTTGTATATAGTTAATCTAGAGGCGGCTGCCTCGACCACGTGTATGGTTATGTTGTGATAAATAGTCATTTGACAAAAAGTAGGCCGCTGATAGGGTTCTTCACTTTTGCAACCGTCTTATCAGCCATGCGCATCATCTGTATAGGAAATGTGATTGTGTAACAGCCGCACCACCTGTCATCCCTCAATTGACTGGTTCAAATAACGTAGGGATAATTCCAGGTAGCAGAAAATACAGCCCCTTTCTGAAAACACAAACAATAGGCTTAGGTCACCTTCAGCACGTGTCCTAAAGCTAATCGAGATTAGTAGACGGTTGCAAAACGTGCGTGCGGACTGCACCTGCGCCACCCAGTCTTAAGCAGTTCTAGGCTTGATGATCTGGTTACAAATACATCTTTTCAGTTGATGACTTGATGGATTTGCCAGAAACAACTTCCATGGACATGCAAAGATGAGGTTTTTCACTTACATCCTTCATGGCTTGAAGTTTAATATTATCAACGTCATTGTCCAGAACCTGCGATCCCATCTGATCGATCTTAAGTACTTGACCAGCCCGGCTGTTCACGATATGACGCCTTCAACGAACCATCCTGACGAATATGCTAATGAATGTTTTTCAAACAATTTCACTACCGTTCCACTATGATAATTGGTAGTTTCCAAGCGCGTAAGAGTGCTTTTTTTTTATAGGTAATAGATATCATGGGAAGAATCTCTGGAAGTACCAGAACTCCTTGTAGCTGGCTATATCGTCCTCCCACATTCCTGCGCCCATAATGCTATTGAGTTCGTCAAAATCGAGCTTGTTTTCCAAAACGCAGAGTCTGGAAATTGACTCGTATCGCCTCCGTTCTCTCTGGGCTTTTTCCACTGCCTTTTCACGAATACCACCTGTAGTCTTGCTCATGTTCATAGCGCTTTTCAAGAAGGCCTTAGCGTTGTTAAGAAGGACCGTACCGTTCTTTTGAGCAAGTTCGTGATCAAGCTGGCTTCTTTGTAGGTCAATGTCAGATCTGGCAATATAGACCTTACAAAGCTGTGCAATAAGTGCACCCAAACCAAGTTCTGTGTTCGTTGTGTTATTCTTCTTTGCATCCTGGTGCTTTGCACTGAGAAGATCCTGGGCTTTTTTGAAGTGATTGTTCATCTTTGTCAATGCTTGCCAGTATGTTTCAGCATCCACTGCCTGAGGGTTCGAATGGACATCATGACGATCAAGAACAGTGTCTATAATATCTGCAGCCAGCATGTAACGCTCTGGAATTTCAGGTAAGTCCTGCTCAAATGCATTGTAGACAGCTTCAAGCGAGTCAGCAGAGAGCGCTTGACATGATGCTTTAATGATAAGATACTCATTGAGCTGCTCTGAGTCAATGGATCCAACAATATCGCTCTGCTGGTTATTCGGCTCGCTGTACTTTTCCACGATCTCTGTGGCAACTTCCTCCATTGCTTGCACGAACGGCGTGACCAAGGTAATTGCCTGTTGCAACTCGCCTGGATCAGCACTTACGCTCTCCAAAATCGCATAAACAAGTCCATAGGCAGATACAATTGTATCAAGAATGTCTGGTGGCTGCATGGTTTTGCTACTGGAATATTTTTGATCTTCCAGCGGAATATCCAGACCCTGAGCCAGTGGTTGTTCTGGTTCAAGCATGAACTTAAGGAAGTCCTGGAACTCCAGCACCTGTCTTCGCAAAACCTCCTGGAACAAAGCCATTGCTTTGTAAACAATCTCTTCACTAACTGTCTCTGCGTCCTCAATGGCTTCCGTATAAACCAACGCAGCATTGAATTGTAGATCAAGTGGTGGATTCACCAATTCTATCTGGAGAGCACTTTCATGAGCATCCACAATGCTAGAAATACCCTGAACCACACTACTGTTATCACCAGTAAGCACTTCGCCCACATTAACCAACTTGTTCACATTGAAACCGTCAGTCTTGTTATACTGAATGAATACATGGAAAAGCAACCTAGCTGCATTATAATGGGCATCTAGCAATAGCGCTCTATCCTGAGTAGGAATCAGCAACGCCGTCTTATAACTCGTATATGCTCTTTGGTAGAATCTCAATGCTTTAGCCAAGTCAGAACCGAGCCAGCGGTCGCCTGACTCTTCCTCGATGGCTCCATCTTCCATAAAGTCTTCAGTGGACTCTGACCTCTTGGAGTTCCGATCATTATCGCTCTGGCCAAGCACGCCAAGTGCCTTCTTGCTGAGTTTGGGAGCTTTCTCTGTATGGTTAGTACTGCAGGGTTTGCATTCTTTCGTGGAATCACGTACTTTTCATGAAGACCGAGTTGGTGATGTATTATCAATACGCGAACTACATATTTCCTATAAAGTAGTAGCATCTACACCACCTCCCATGTCATCTACCGTGCTCAATTCCAGCAGCATATCGGAACTACCTCTGCCTGAGTTCTTTGGAACCAGCAACAAATTCACATATGTCAATTTGCCCGTGGTCTGTTTGGCGTTGCTTCGTCGTCCTGAGTGGAACTTTGGGTTTATGCTAGTTACTGACTTTACTGAGTACTTCCATAACCCTTATGCTGTGGGGAGGAGCCCGGAAAGTCTACCTGAATCTTTTAGCTTGGGTAACATCTTTGCCTTAGAACTGTCGAAAGTGTTTGCTATTACGGTTCCAAGAGATAAGATGGACCTCTACTGGAGAGACTTGTGTCTGTATTCTCCACGAATGAGGAACTACGATCCACAGGATGAAAAGAGATGTAATTTCGCTCAAGAGGGCATTATTGCTATGATCAATATGAGGGTGAAACTGTATTCGATGATGACAGAAGGCTGGCTTACACGGATCCAGATTTGCAACCGAACAGAGATGAAGAAAAGCGCGTTTAAAGCGCATTTGAAGAAGTTCCATTTCGGTGGTTTTATGACGAGGTTCTTGAAGCATGTGGATAAGACTTTGTACGACACCATCTTGCCGAGTTTCCCTATAGACTCGTACTTGAAGCCGGAGGATATCGCGTCCAATGGTGCTGGTGGAGTAAAGAGGCCCTACGATGAACTTATAACCCAGGCACCTAAATCCAGGTCTATCTCAGCTGCTCAAATTACTTTCAAGCAGCAGTTTACGCAGCGTCCAGCAGAAAGTCCCGAAGAGGAAGAGGAAGAGCTCCCCAGCTTTGGCTTAGACCATGCGAACGAAACCCAGAACACTAACCACGATAACGTCTCGTCACAGCGTCCTGCTGTGAGAAACAAATGGCTGAATTATTCTGTGAGCAGAGTGTCGTTTTCCACCATCAGCTCGATGTCAATGCATGATACACCTGAAGTGACTATGTTCGAGACAACTTGCGTTCTTGCCAATATCTTGCCTGAGATAGATTTGCTATTTGTCCGTCCTTATAAGCGGACCATGAAGATTCCTCCTATTAAACTTACACTTACTGGCTCGAAAAACGAAAGGATATTTGCTGAACTTCACACGGAAAGCGAGATCAACAAGTTCTTTGGAGTCCAAGAAGTCGAAGAAGTGATTCCAAATATCGAGAGGATTTCCAATAAGCTAAGACAATTGACAGGTCTGCAAATCAAGATAAGACTACAAAAAGCTTTGCTCAACCTCGACTTTGGCTACCAGAAGGAGTACTGGGCATGTCGTACACAACTCCAGGATCTCGGAGACGTCTGGAACTATAGCACGCAAAATTAAGGCTGCTTATTCGTTCTAAAAATATCAATAAGACACGGCTAGAGCAGAACAGTACCTGTCATTTCCCTTCAAGACTTCACAAGAAACGCATCAAATCCTAAAACATCAACTCCGCGCAGATAAGTTGATAGATCCGAGTAAAGCCGCTCTGGGTGAGGTCCGCAAACGGTGCAGCGTCAAAGACAAAATTAGAAGATGATAAGGATGAGATGGCGGTATAAAGGCAATATAGTTCCCTATTCCGTTGATTCCCCATCTTTTTCATTCGACCATACTAATGTACATCGCCAACGACCTTGCAAGTCTCATACCCAGAGAGGACGACGGCACGGAGACCGCTAGATCCTTCAGAAGCTGGGATACTTGCATGGACAATAATGTGTGCAGAATAACTGCTTGTGTTGGTATAACAGTGGCAATTCTTGTCGGTATAGCCATATTCGCTGCTTGTGTTAGAGGTTGCAGGCACCTGCTCAGTTTCTCAGAAGCCTTCTGCTGCTGTTGTCCCTGCGGCAGAAGAGTGAAATACGAAGAACCAGTGGAGCTAAAACCCATTCAAGATCCAGTCATGTACCCTCCAAAGCGCTACTTCAGTCAACCACCACCACCTCAAGCACCACCAGCATACCATGTTGCCGACGGCTACGAAGGCAACTCCAACGGGACCGTCAGCGGGTACTACGGCCCTGAGGTCCCAGATTATAGACAAGAAAAGAACTGGGGATAATTACTTATGAAGAAACAATAATGATACTCTTTGTGTACTAGTGCGTTTTCGCAGGCATTATATTTTGCAACCATTTCTACATACCCATAGATACATGCCCCAACGCCCATACCCTATCCTTCCATGTCGAAAAACTTGGTGCTTTGCTTTGAAGGCACTGCCCAAGGCTTCGGGATCCCTCCTCCTTCCAATGTAATCAAGCTCTTCTCCATGCTAGACCAGACCAGCCAAACATGCTACTACCAACCAGGCATAGGCACCACTTTTGGCGGAGCTGTTCCCGACATAGACTCTCGTGGTTTCTTCCAACGGTACTTTGATACCGTCAAGAATAGCGTGGATGCAGCGTTTGCCCTCTCGTTTGAAGCACACGTCCAGGCAGCCTACCTCTTTCTCATGCGGTTCTGGGAACCAGGCGCCAAAACGTATATATTTGGGTTTTCACGAGGCGGGTACACTGCTCGGGTGTTGATTGGGTTTCTAGAATGCTTTGGTTTGTTTCATCCTGGCCTGGAGATGTTGGTGCCTATGGCCTGGAAGGTGTATATGGAATGGGAGAAGGCAGGGCGTCCCAAACGGAACCCACGTTCGCTGTTTCTGCTTCAGCTTCGTAAGATGTTTGGAAGAAAAATTCAAATCGAGTTATTGGGTATTTGGGATACGGTCAATCTGGTTGGCTTCTTCACAGATCGCATCTTCCCGTTCACTACTTGTACTTCTATAGTGGACCATGTTAGACACGCCCAGAGCATAGACGAACGGAGGGCTAGATTCAAGCAGGTTTCGTTTCAGCAGGTTGAAGATAGTTCATCAAAGATAGAACCTACTCTTTGGTCAAAATTACGTCTGTGGCTGAACTCTTGGTGGTCTAACCAGATACTGGTGGACTGCTCAGACGATATACTTGAAGTATGGTTTTCTGGCTCCCATGGAGATCTAGGAGCCAGTTGGGGCGACGATGAAAACGATAGGCGTTTATCTGAAGTGCCTTTTCGCTGGATGTTAGCTGAAGCGTGTAAGTTTGGACTAAAGTTGGATAAGACCAGGCTTCTGGAGTATTGGAAGGTCTATCAACCAAAAGATTCCATTTTGCTGTACCATCACGACCATCTTTCATTTAAAGCACCTCTTTACAATGAAAAGAAGAGTCTAAATACAGCAGATGTACGGGTACGAAGGTTTAATGGCCGTGGCTCTTCTTCTATCTTTGCTACCTTGGGCTGGTGGTTAGTGGAACTCATACCATTCAGCACAAAGTTGCCTGATAAGGAAGGACGCTGGTCTACAAGGTTTCTGCCCAATCTTGGGAGGAGCAGGATCCTTCCAAACCATCCATCTATTCACTGGACTGTGTTTTTCAGGCTTGCAGTGGTAGCTGACTATAAGCCTAATAACCTTCCAAGAGAGCTAGGAAAGTTTCTTGTGGAGCTGTTGAAACAAGCAAAGGTGGCTCTTCTTGAGGAGGAAGTGAAGCGATTGGAGCTGCTTGATCTTGACGACATCAGACAAACAGACCTCCATCATATCTGGGAAAAAGTGCCAGACGACTTAGCCTGGCAGACCAAGGCTCCAGCGGCTACATCGGAATCATAATTCAATGCAATTTAGTATGTATTTTTGATCTAGGGGGATGGGCGAAAAGGAGACTGGAAATGAGTAAGTACATGCTCCCTCTATGAGATGCCCCGGGGTCAGAAGAAAAAGGGTTGTAGCAAGGCCGGCAACCAAACGGACAGGCCGGCAAGTTATTATAGTGTAACAAAGGCGGTTGCAAATGTTTCGCAAGGTGGGAAGGGGGGAGGCATGGAGTGTCAGGGGAAAAATGCAGCAGGCTTAACCAATGACCAAGGTGGACTCGTCAGAGAACTCGTACTGAGGAATCTCCAAGTTCAAAGGAGCAGGACCTCTTCTGATTCTACCAGAGATATCGTAGTGAGAACCGTGGCATGGACAGAACCAACCACCGAAGTCACCAGCCTCACCAATTGGGACACATCCCAAGTGGGTACAGATACCCAACATCACCAACCACTCAGGCTTTTTCACACGCTGGTCGTCAGTCTCTGGGTCTCTCAAGGCCTTGACGTCAATAGCCTCAGCCTCAGAGATCTCGTCAGCAGTTCTGTGTCTGATAAACACTGGCTTACCTTGCCACTTGACAATGACATTGTTACCCTCTGGGATAGCACCCAACTTCACCTCAACCTTGGCCATAGCCAAAACATCAGCAGAGGCAGACATCGAAGAAAGGAAAGCCTCGACGGTGGACTTGGCACCAGCGGCAGACAACAAACCCATAGAACCAACCATGAAGTAGGCAAAGTTCTTGTTCTTCAGCTCACTTCTGTCGTTGAGGTAGCTGGAGAAGTCTGGCTGCTTGTATGGGGTAAGAGCCGAGGAGGACGTAGACAACGTTCTGGCGGCACCTTTCAAGCCCAAGCCGCTTCTCAATGTTCTGAAGGCAAGCATGTTGTGGGAATATATAACTGTGAATGGGGGTGGGTTGAAGGTTTTCTTTTCGCTTGGATCTATAGCCTTAACTGTAGGTTACTTTTTTCGCGCTTAATTCGCACTTCATTCATTGGCTAGAGCCCGGCCGGGTAACCCTGTGATGGCTGGTGAGAAGGTGGGCCCCACGAAGTGGGACGGTAGAAAAATGACTGGTGGGGATATCTATAGGTAAAAATGGATTCTCTTGACATGTCCAGATCATTGGGGAGATGGTTTTGGTGGGTTTTCAGTTAAATGGTGGCACGTGACCTGCACCACGTGAATATCATGCCATCTTGGCCTCTCGCTATCCACTGATTACTGTCCACTTGCTACATACACTTTTCGCAGCCATTCCTATTACTCTATTTGATACCAAACCCTGCCGACATGTTCACGGCCTTGCCAAGCTTGTCGGCCAATTTGCTTTTGCTGCTGTAGTCATATAATGCTAATTCGTTGAAACACGTGTGCGCCACTGGAAGTCTGTCGCTGTCGCCGCCTGTCGTTCTGAGCCGGCTGATCTTAAGCGTAAGGTTCTGGATACCCGTTGCTGGCACACGATCTGATCCTGTAATGAAAAGAAGCAACTTCTTCTGCTGTTTGTATGTGAGCTCGCTAACATACTCCCAGAACCATTTAACTGTGTTGGAGTCGACGGCTTCTTGCTTGCTAGGCCATCCGCTGTAGTTGGTGACCGACTGAAGCACATCAACATCGAACTTACTTTCGTCACTGCCACATAAAAGAAGCTGGATTTCTTCAGGCAGGAATAAAGAGAAGGCATTGCCATCCACAACATTGGAGAATCCTCCTTTGAATGCACAGAGCTGTTTGTGCATCCCGTCCCAGAGGAAGAACCGGGCGTACTTGTCAATGTAGAGCTCACGATTATCTTTATCGACATTAACGTTTGAACCACCAGCAATAAGATCCTTGGTGTACTTTCTGCCGAATGGGTCCGAGTAGCAGACTTCAAACGTCAAGTCGAGGGCCTCGATCTCCTCGGCACTGTAGTCTCTCAATCTGAACAAGTTACGAGCCGACATTGGGTAAATCTCCTGGTAGTCGGCCAATCCAATAGGTAAGCCCAATAAGATCTTGTACATGGTGATTGGGAACTTCAAGTCGAGAATGGTCGAGTTGTAAATGGCCAAACCGAGAATTGCTCCGAAAAGATAGTACATCTCGAAATTATCAACCGGAACCACGTTAAACCAAAGAAGATTGGAGTCTTCCACATAGCTCAACATACCAGCATGAGGACTGAAAAGAGCTCTAGTAAGAAGCAAAAACCATTCCTTCTTAAGTCCACCAGCATCAACACCCGGCTCATTGATGAACTGTACCCTCAAACTCTTCTTCAAGTTATTTGGATTGAGCTGGATGCAACGAAGCGAATCTTGAACAATGTAGTCACGACGGACCTTCACTCTAAAATATACGTCCATTGTGACACGGCGATCGAGAGAGTTGATAAATGCCTCTTCGGCCTTTCTCTCCATCTGTCTCCTGGCTTCATATTCAAGAATGGCAATCTTACCTCCCAAGGTGATAAGGAAAGGATACTGGCAGAAGTAGAAAGTAGTTCCTGGCGCCTCGCTGAAAGGTGCATGGTTAGCGCCATGGATATAGTCAATCACAGTCTGAAGAGCCGGCTCTGCACCTGCTTCTTGACTACTCAGCTTTCTTCTGCTCAGCCAGGCATCATAGTCTAATTTGATGTTCACATAGTCAACCAAGGAGTTGTAAAAGGCATGCACTGGGACCTTATTCTCACCATATCTGATGTAGTTAGCCTTAACAAGGATGCTAAGGGCGCCTGAAGCTGTCCTCAAATGGTAGTTCAGAGAATACTGGTGAACCCTGACTTTCATATCCTGCTTCTTCTTCTTGGAGTTTCTTCTTGGACTGCCTGGGCCTGATACCGGCTGAGGATTCACCGGTGGGAACAAGGCGTCCATACCTTCAACCTCATCTTTGAGGTATGAGTACTGGAAGAACTCTTCATCATGGGCTTGAGGTAAACTCTTACTTCTCGATACTTTGACTGTTGGCTTGACGAGATGTGCATCACCATTCTGAGGAGGAGACGGAGTCTGTACGGTCGGTGGCACAGGAACCTCTGGAGCAATGCCCAGACTGCTCCTGCGATGATTTCTATCTGGAAACTCACCCAGGCTGCTTCTGCGATGGTGATTAGGGCCACCCAGACTTCCCCTACGTGCCAACTGAGGATTGTTGGCAAAGTAGAAGTACTTCTTCAAGTGGAAGGTAATGTATAAGTTGACGAGTTCGACCTTGGCCATGAACTCAACCTGGGAGCGTTTCAGAAACCACGAAGCAACGTAGTTTCCCGCAAGAGTGGTTTCAGCCTGGGAAATGATACCCAAGACGCGTTTAAGGATCTCGTAGCATAGGGCCTGGATCTCTGGAATGTCAACCATGGAGCCTATACGATGCTGAGACCGTTTATCATTATTAGTAAGCGCCTTGGATAAAAACGGGATCTCGAAAAGAACCAACACCCACAGAAGGTTGCGAGGATCATCACTCAAGTTGAGCGGTAGCCTTCTGAGACAATTGCATGCACCCAGAAGAGCATAATATAGTGGTCTTCTTGAAGGAAGGGAAGTAAGAAGTTCGAAAAGATGCCTTATTTCATCATAATTCAAATTTGCTGTGGAATAATGCGGTCTTCTGCTTTGCTTCTTTAACTTAAATGACTGGTTTAAGCATGCCATAGAGCCAAATGCTTGTAGAAGGTAATCCAGAACAGGTTTCAAGCGTTCATGAAGATCATGGCTATTCTCAATTGGCTTATCCAGATGCAATGCCGAGTCTATTAGCAGTTTCACGTACTTATAACTGATAAGATGCACAGGAGGCGATGCTCCAAGGTCAAGATGCAAAAGATTGGTTGTTTGACAATGAGGGCAGCTGAATTTATGGGCGCCTTCGGGAAACGTCAACACGGCACCACAGCACGAACATTTACACACGTTCTTTGTCTTTTCGGCCTGTGCTTTCAAGTCCAAGCTCGTATTCGAAGGACTCACCAGCTGTTTAGGCGACGACAGGATCTTAAGGATATCCAAGATCTTCCATGACGAAGACGACTTGGGCGCCTGGGTCGGCGATGCTGGATTCATGGGCAACAGCTAGGAAACGCCGGCACAAGAAAAAAAAGATGGAAAGGTAGATAAGACAAGTAGGCTGGATCAGGCTGGTGTCTAGGAAATTGAGGCTGGACAATGGGATAAAGGCAAGGCTTTGTAGATGGAGCCTTGAAAGCAGAAAAATGGCGAAAAACGGCCTGGGAAGCAAGAATGGGAAGAGCTGCACTGGGATGAGAAAGAACACCACTAATCCTTACATGAGCCCAGAACTAAACTCAGTTTGAGTATCATGGCTATGGCACAAATAGGGCCCTGCTCTGCACAGTAGGTTGCTTAGCAGGCTGAGCAGGGGTACAGATAACACGGTGATGGAGGATTCTGGGGGTCATAAAAAGTTGATTTCCAGAAACCTCGTTCTCCAATGCACGCAAAGACAAATTTTCTAATACCAATCCATTCTTTTAAGTCTTGCTTTTTGGGGTCCCTGGATGGCTGGTAAAGATAGGGACGTACTTTTTCGCACCCATTTGGCGATTCTGCGTCTGGAGATCTTGTGTGGTTGCTCGACAGGCCAGTGCATGGCAAACGTAGACACGGCGGTTGCTATGTGGGACAGGAGGCTGGTGGACGGACTATGTAGTGTAGTTTATGGGTTTCTGGGTTTGTGGTGGTTGGCTGCCGGTTTTAGTTGGGGAATGGCTGCCGGTTATGTCTGGGGTATGTCTGGATACTACTAGCTCTTCTTTTCGCAGCCATTTGTATGTGGCGCATGCGATGGAGGTTGGGCTGGGCATCCCAAGAAAAGAAGGGCCTAGGGAGGTTGGAGGATGAAGGTGGAAGTCAAGAAAAAGAGTGGTGTGAGAGTTGTAGGGGTATGGGTTACTTGGCGAGAAAGGGGAAGGTATGTCGTGGACCTTGGAAGGGCCTGGAGGACGGTAAGAAGCGAGATGAGACTCGGTGGAGAGGGAGTATCAAGAGGGCTACTTGGAGGTGGTTCTTCAAGGAGTGGTTCTTCAAAGGGAGCTGCTTTCTCTTTGGAGGGATTTGTGAGCCTGGGAATAAGAAAAGAGGACGGATGTGGTACTTGCTGTGATTGGTGGTGGTATGCTTTGTGGCTGTAGTCTATTTGACCAGAAGAGTCTAAGAGGCCAGCTACAGAGGCAGGCCATATTGCTAGTGGGCTCGAATTTGACTCTTGAGAAAGCATTAAGGCATATTTAATTCATATAACTCAAAAAAATACTCCCTACTTGGTGCTGCTGCTCTGTAGCTACCAATGCACTGTAGTACTGGTCTACCTTAACTGGGTGAGACAGAGCCAGGTATAAGGCCCCGCCAACTTCCACCCACACCTCGAAAAACTAAAAAAATGAACATCCCAATCGACTCAATTGATGGTAAATTACAGATTGCGCCTCTTTAAAAATCACATTTACCTCGTTTACCCACCCTTGACTGGCCCTTCGTCTCTCACTATGTAGCTACACGCTGTGCATTGGCTGCGAATATTCCATAACCTCTAGTCTTCACTAACTTTCTGGACAACGTCTGGACATCTGGGCCAATTATCAAAAGAAATAGAATCTTTGTCTGACGTTCCCGTTTCGTTCCCCACGTATAAACTTCCCTTCATCAACTTAATCTTCTTCTTGGTCTGCCCCAAGTGTCCACTCCCATACATTTCCTCTTCGCACTGGCTCGCTTATCATCATGGGTAAACTACTCCATACGGTCCAATGCCCTCAGGGAAGTGGCCTCGCTACGGCATTCAACGATGCTCAGGGCGATAGAACATTCAAGGTCGCTAAGGGCAATGTTGTCCAGGAATATGTGTTCACCCCGGACTTCAAGGGCTTCTTGCTGGAGGAGGTAAAACAGTCTTTCTCCGATACAGTGACTGCCTTGACCACGGTTCCTGGTATAGACAGTGATATCGTTTTGGGAATTTCCAACGGGACACTTTATGATTTGACTTACAGTACGTCTCCATTGGTTAATTTGGGAGATGGTTATGTGGGCCGGGCGACAGCTCTCGGCTTTGGCTTTTACCACTTAATCTCGTTTCAGAACGATGGAAGGCTCTATATTGCTATTATTATGGCCGACGCAAAGGTCTATGTGTGTCCATATGTTCACCAGGAGACGAATATTGTTAGTATTGGCTCGTTGGGTTGTGCTCTGGTGAAACAGGTGGCGCAATTGAAATGCAAGGATAACACCTTTGCTGTCTTGACCAGTGGGTACGACTTGTCTTATTCTTTGAGGTACTACCGGTTTAATGAGGGGTTGAATCCTGTGGCTGTGTGTCTGTTTGATCCATTTGTGGAGGCCCCGTCCCTTATCATTCCAATGGCTTATGGTGGTGTGATGGTATTGAGCAACTTCAGAATCTACCTTTTCCCTGGCTGGAAACAAACGTGCTCTATCTCTGATGATTTCGTGGATTCTGAAACCATCCCCGTCTCTCTCGCCAGAAATGTCATCACCATCGACATCAAACTGCTTCCTTACTTGAATTCCTTATTTACTGCATTCGCAAAGATTGATGACGAGAGGTACTTGGTTTCTACTGACACTGGACTTACGGCTGTTATCTACATACAGCTGTCAGTCGTCAACACTACTGTATCTTTGGAAGCCTTCAGTATTGTTGACCTTGGAAAGTCAACTATCGCCGAATCCTTGTGCCACATTCAAGATAATGTGTTCTTTGCAGCTTCCAGGTATTCACGCTCCATTTTGTTCAGAATTTTGCCTAACGAGCCTCATATCCAGATCCTCTCTTTCTTCCCCTCGTCCCCACCGGTAATAGACTTGGACTACAGTTTTAATACCGATTCATTGAGGTTTCTGCCTGATATATTCGTCTGCCAAGGAGGTTACCATAGCGGTGAGTTAAGGAAAGTACCTTATCTGAAATGGGAATCCACTCAGTTATCGTCCATTCAGCTTGATATTTTTCATGACATTGTCAGAATTCTGCCGCCTAACCTAACTGGATATCATTCAAGCATGCTGCTGGCTTATATAGCCGTTAAGCTGGGGCCAAAGTTTTGTGAGTTCTACGAGATTAACGATTCTCTCGGAAGTAAGAAGCTTGGCTCGTTCGAAAAGAAGGACTTTGATTTTCCTGTTGACAATACTAACTTCGTTAGTCTCATGATAAATGAAGCTGCTTTTGAAAGATATGAGGGAGAAATCTCGGGTAGAGACCTTATCGCACAGCTTGACGTTACGGGTAAAGTAAAGTTTGCAAAGTCCACGGTCAATAATACCCGTGTTCTCGTAAAGGAAGGCCAGTTCGTTTGCCATAGTGGGAATGGTCGCTTCCTGGCACCGTTGGAGGCTCCAGAGCACATGGTTTGCTCCATAGATGTCTTGTTCAATGGACCTCATTTATACGGCCTTGTTGCTTTTACCAACGGCTTGATTCAGTGTTTTAATGTTTACAAGACTAAAATTCACCAGGTGTGGGCTCTTACATGCGGGAGTAAAAGAGAGGGCCTTAAAGATGCACGGTTCTGTCTCAACAATAACCGGCGCATGTTGATTGTTGCCCTCGACGGACTTGGAAATGTCCACCAGTACTTGCTCGAAGCAGAAACGATATTGGCTTCTACAGTGTGGATTTGCAAAGTTTCACCTCCAAGACTGATGGACTCGGATGGTCTTTTGGTCATTTTGTTTGACGCTCACAAAGTTGTCGGGATGGTTGCAAAGGGTGGTCACTTCTTGGAGCTTTGTGATTTTTTCTATTCTCCCAAGCAAATTACGGGCTGCAATGTTCTCCTGTTGTATCACTACATGGTTGGCGTTCATCTTAATGATGGCAGTTACATTACTGTATCCCACAGAGACAACCAGGACTCTATCGATGCCCATTTCTCCGACAGACTTTGGACGAAAGTACTCAGCATCAAGGGCACTCCTTATCTCGTTTGTATCAAAACAGACGTTAGGCCCAACAGAGGTCATCAGAAGTACTCGACGCTTAATTTAATTGACGGAAGATCAATGAAGTTATTACATGCGCTCGATACCGACCTTCAGCAATATACGGATCTCTGTTTATTGCCTGAAGATGAAACCATTGGGGTTCCTTCGGGTCTGTTCGTGGCTGTTCGGAATAATGGGCAATGGAGCAAAAGATTCCCAATTTTTACTATACAAAATGGTAAGATAAAGGAGCTACCTGATGTCAAGACCGAGCTTAATCCAAGTAAAGTACTTACTTTTAGTGCTATTTCCTTCCATAACAAGGAACTACATGCGGTCGGTAACGAGCACGTCATTCTTTCACTTCTGCCAACTCAAGATGGCTACATATGGGCCCCTCGCGTGGATCCATCAGAACATCCTACTGGGACGTTCCAGCATGCCATAAGTGTATCGCATCTTGATCAAGGCAAATCAATCATCCTTGATTCATTTCACGGTGTCTTTACAAGGGTGGATTTACTGAGGCCTATCCCTTTCAAAAGATCTTATAAACTCGATGCTAGACCCACAGCTATTTGTGTTGTTCCCCGTCAAAATAAACAAGAACAGTTTGTTATAATTGGAGACAGCTTGGGTAATATCTACTACGGGGAGAATGTTCTCGGGGTCTCCTCGCAAATCAATGTGATCAAGTACGTGGAGGAAGACGGATCAGTGCTAATTGGCACGTTGGACGGCGGTATCTACAAATTGACGTGTAAAGAAGAAAAGAGAGGGCTTGAGCTGCTTTCTTTCCATATCTCCGCCAAGACAACCATACCATATTTCTCCCATATTGTGAGCGCACCTGAAGAAAGCAGAGTGTATCTCGCAGACATCGTCAGTGATGTCATTCGACAAGCAAACGGCACCGAGTTGCTGATAATCCTCGACGCTTGGCGAAGCTCTTCGGACAAGGGAATTCTTAAAAGGATGCCGGTACTTGACCCCAAAGATAACGCGATGGCCGAAATAATTGACGATATATAGACTATGTTACATAGAATAGCAGCCATCCCTCATCTGCAGTGCGCACCAGAAAAACATATGTTGGAAGACTCTGTTGATAATTGAATAGACACTACTACTACTACCAATGAATTTCGACGACATACAAATGCTAGATATCCCAGACGACGTGTCTGATGTATCGACGCATACAGAGTCATTGGAGTCTTCGGAAACGCCCAAAGGTGCCAGAGTCGACAAGGAATATCCTACGTTGTCTGAATGGCTTGAACTGGAAGAAGACTTGAAATTCCAATTCGACCGTCGTGGATACAAAGAGAGCTTGCTGCCGCCAGACTCCTTTCAAAAAGCCCAGTATGAGTATATCAGCTCGCTTTTCAAGGTGGTGGAAGAGTTGACCAGTCATGATGTCCAGATCCTTCCAGAGGACTCAGCGGAAACAGAGCCATTGGGTGTTGTTACTTCTCTGAGAGATATCCTGAAGAATGCCAAAATAGAGGCGAAAACTACAAGGATTAATGATGCGTTTGCTAAGATCTTGACGAATTACGGCCATTTCCTAGATTCTGTTAGGGACGACTTACAAGATGAAGATTTGGATGCATACATTGATCTCCAGTTCTTGCTAGAGTTCATTCAAGCCAACGAGTTTCCTGTTCAGGAGCGTCAAAAACCAGAATTGCTCGTCAAGTGGGTCAACGAATACTATCCTAAGCCAGAAGACAGCTTTGTTGATGAAGTCGTCTACAACACCCCAGAGCCATACTTGCATCCGGAATTCTGGACCACATACTTGGGTACTTTGCTTACGAGAGGCATGTTTAGTCATGCTGCTCAATCGATAGACTCGTCAAAGTATCAAAAATTGGGTGAAGGTTCACCTTTGTACACTATTATCAATGACTTCCACGTTTTGGTGGATAGCTACACCTCCATGGCATTGAAGGGCCAGTTCCCAGAATGGAAGCGTACCGCATGTGAAATGAGAGACAATTTCAAGAACTTCAGAGAAGGCATCGAGGACGAAGAGCATTTGGTTATTGCCAGGCACATACATGAGTTGCTCAGGGCCATTACTGGTCTACCCAAAACCTTGGCGGGCTTTACCGAAAAGTGGTACGAGCTTTATGCTGCGTTGTCTTTGTTCCAGGTTCGTGACGATGACACCGTTTACAGCGACTATTTCAAGATTGCCACTAATGAAAAGATTGGAGGTATCGACAACGATCTTGACGAAGCCATCACCCATGTTGCTCTGGGCAAAGCACTTCGTGTTGTCACTGACCTCGATAAGTACGACCCAGCAACGGCTGCTTATGTGAGTAAGCTCTACGAACTCAAGGGTCTTTTCTTCCCATACTACAGCGCTGCTTATAAAGATGCCATCTTCAACGAGAGCTCTATCCCCAAGAAAAACATATCTGACTACCTTCTCACAAGGCATGCATTTGAATGCTTTGAGATTCACCCACTCGCTAATGTTGGTATTGGTCTCTTCCTTCATCCAGTGATTACGCCGACGGCTGATCTTAATTGGAAGAACCGTCAAATAGTCGGTGAGTTCTTGCCATATTACAAGTGTTACACTAATGACGATATGGAATGGGCTCTTACAGTGTGTGCCAAGCTTAACCTTCCTGATGTGGCCAAGAAGCTTTACTTGCAGCAAGGTAAGCTGTCGCTTTCAGAGGGCCACTTGTATGAGGCACTCAACATGTTCGTCCATTGCTACGATGACACCTCCTCTTCTGAGGAATCTTCCTTGGCCATGGAAAAGATTCATCACATCGTTTGGGAGCTTCTCTTCCAAGATGCACTTTTGAACTGCTTGCCTGCTGAAGACGAGCTTTTAAACAACATCATCACTCGCAAAGTGGACCCATCGTTTGAAGTACACCCTGTTATCAGACAGTGTATTGCGCCCTACGCGGTGTTGGTGGAATACCTCAATGCTATTGATGACGAAAATGCATTCAAGAAGAACATCTCTCGTCTATTCCACTTGATCAGATTCAAGTTCATGCCCAAAAAGTTTGTGCCTCTTCTTTTTGCACAGCTACTTCCATACTTCTCACTGCCCAATCTCGTGTTATCAGATCTTATTGTCATGATAGAACTCTTAGACTCGTTCGAGGGTCTGCTAGAAGGCCAAGATGAAGAAGTTGAGAAACTATATGCATTTGCAGCTGAAAGCGCTGACGAAGTGTCTACCCAGTATGACTGGAGGAAAGTGTTGAAGGCAGAAGGTAAGCCAATTCCAGACACCATAAAAGATTTAATCTTGACGTTGCGTAATAACATTACCATGAAAATCGGAAAAGTCTACATCAGCCAATAAAAGTGGTGATTTATCTATATCGATAATATAATAGGGAAACTATTCATCGCCTCACCTACACTTTGTTTGGAGATAGAAATGAAAAGAAACAGAATGAGATGGTTGTAAATCAAGTAAATGACGGTAAATGTGAAGGCAGTTTATCAAGGAATTGCCTCGTATTTTATTCTTGAAAAATTGGGGTGAGCAGGAACCGTGCTAGCTTAGCAGGTGACATCCTGACTGGCTCTAGAGTTCAACAACAAGGCGACAATCAAGCCGTACAAACCCAAGACTTCAGCGAAAATCAAAATCAAAAGCATACCGACGAACAATCTAGGCTGTTGAGCAGTACCTCTGACACCAGCGTCACCGACGATACCAATGGCAAAACCAGCAGCCAAACCAGCCAAGCCGACAGACAAACCGGCACCCAACTGGATGAAACCAGAGTACAAGGCCATCTTCTGGGACAAGCCGTCGGTCAACAACACGGCAACAACCAAACCGTAAATAGCAATAATACCAGCCAAAATAACTGGCACAATGTTCTTAAACAACAAGTCTGGTCTCAAAACACAGGTGGCACACACACCAACACCAGACTTAGCAGTACCGTAAGCAGCACCGAAACAGGTGAACACGATAGCGGCAGTAGAGCCAATGGCGCCGAAAAATGGGGCGTATACTGGGCTAATGGGTTAGTATCAATAGGAATATCACAAAAAAGGGGTTTCCAATTTCAATCATATCATGCAATATCGCTTTCGTTCATTTCCACCATCATTGCGGTTCGTGGTGTTTTTGGACAGCGATAAGAACATGGGACGATCCAAGTCTGGAATTGATGGAAAAAAAGGGCACATTTGCACCCACCCCACACAATCAAAGTACATACCACAAGTCGGACATTATATGTGAATTAGTGACACTGATGGATGAGATGAATTGAGTATCGACAAGTCAACCAAAGAGATTACAGGTGGCTAAGATTGAAAGGTAATTTTTTCTCGGGGTTCCCGTGAGCGGTGAGAGCGGCAGTGTGCAGGTGTTCTGTGCTTGAGATTACGCACAGCTCAGTTTAATCTGGGCTGGCCTGGGCTAAATGGTGGTTATAGAGGGGTGGGAAAGATATAGAGAGTGATTTAGGGGTAATTGGTGGTTCAGGTATGCTGGGGATGGTTGTGGACGGTTTTTGGGGGCGTTTGGGGGAGTGTTGATCACATGACCTGGCAACGTGGTTGGACGGTTTAAACTGGGCCAGCAAAGTGGAAGATGGTGGCTGGTTTGGGTGTTTGGTTCTTCGAAGGATGTTTTATTAAAAATGGATGTTTATTCTGGGGATTGTTCTGGCTCTTCATTAATGGTGGTTTGTAGAAGTGCAGTGGAGGTGAGAAATGGCTGCGAAAAGATATATTCCGAGGAAGAATGTGAATAAGAGGTAGAACGTAGAATGGCAGTGAAAAATTGGATTTGTTGTGGAATGACGGGAAAACATGGAAAGAGTGTTAATGGCTGTGGTAGAAGAGGAAATAGACGGGATTTTTGGAAACGGAAAGGGAAACTGTGGATTGCGTAGTTCACTGTTATATGGACTGATTAGCTGGGTCTCTATGTATGGGAGCAAAAAGACACCAACGAATGGCAGTCCTTATCCTTCTGAAATTCTGATTCGAAGGTATGCTAGTCATCAGTATAGAGCAAGTTTTTCATCCCATACACTTTTATTGAATATGAAAGTGTGTCAATAGTGGATACCTATTAGACCTTCTTGTTAACTAGTAATTCGCAGCCAGAATCAAGTTCTCATGCTTCTGAGCCTAATGCACCAACTCAACAAAAACAATCATTGGATAAATATTGCTACCCCATGAATTCCTATTTTTCAACATTACCCCTTTAATTTTTATGCCTTTCATTTATCAACCATGGCAACTTCTACACCAGCCCCATCTGGATATCCCTATAGTAGAGAATTTTTCGCAGCCATATATACTAACTATACCCCACCGCCAACTCCACCACAAAAGTCAATTTTCCATAGAAGAATATCAACATCACCAATTTTGTATCTCCTGCTTCCCCTAAACCCTCCAAAACCAACTTCCCTTCTCCAATGTGTCCCCTTCTTGGAGGCTGCCATTTTACTGGCAACTCGCACACGTGACCCGACGGGCCATCCTCATCTCGCGCAGATAATTTTTGAAAACTTCTTCTTCTCTTTATCGGTGAGCTATTTTGCAAGGAGCCTATAACAACTAATATTCTATCATGTCTAACCCAAAAGCCTTCCCATTGGCCGACTCCGCCTTGACCCAGCAAATCTTGGACGTTGTTTCCCAGTCCCAGAACTTGAGACAGCTCAAGAAGGGTGCTAACGAAGCCACCAAGACCTTGAACAGAGGTATCTCTGAGTTTATCATCATGGCCGCTGACACCGAGCCAATTGAAATCTTGTTGCACTTGCCTTTGTTGTGTGAGGACAAGAACGTTCCTTACGTTTTCGTTCCTTCCAAGACTGCCTTGGGCAGAGCTTGTGGTGTGTCCAGAGCTGTCATTGCCGCCTCTGTCACCTCCAACGACGCTTCTTCGATCAAGAACCAGATCTACGGTATCAAGGACAAGATCGAGACCTTGTTAATTTAGAGTTGTACTATAGCATAACACGATGGGTTAATTAACGAACTGTAGGCATCACGTAGATAGATATTCCAAAACCAGTCCAACTAGACAGAAGGAAGTAGCCTCAGCTAGAAATAAACCAGAAGGTCATTTGCAATATAAATCATTTATATTTTCTTCCCTTTTATCCCCTTTGTTCACCTCCACTATGGCATCTCTAACCTCCATCTCTCTCATCGCGAAATTTTACTATATACGCATCTTCACCTTAAACCTCATCGAGCGAACATTATAGACATTGCCTAATGGTAGAACTCAAAACCGCTGAGGCAACTACCAAGTACCTCCGATCCAAGGATATTAAGCCTACGGAGGCAGTGAAGACGGCCGAGTCTCTCCTAGACGGGTCTCTTGATGTCTTCCTCATCAACAAGCATCACTTCGTGTTTGACCTAATATGCGATCGAATGAACGAGTTCACGGGAAAAGACTTTAAAGTATGGAAACTTGAAGCTTCTTTATGGCGTCTTTGGCAAAACGTCTGGCAGCTTATGGGCCAGCTGGCGCTAGATCTTGATTTAAGAAGCAGAAGCTTCCGTAGAGTCAAGTTGGTGTCCATTGTCACCAGTGTTATTGAACAGAGCATTGATTCCGATCGTGAAGAGCTTTTAGAAGCTATGTTTTCATGCGTTGGTGCTATTCTCGCTTCTGGATATATTGAAGTGGAGGAATACACTGTTACTGGACTTCTAGCAGCATATGCTGCTTGGCTTGAGAAGCTGCAACAAACTACCAGCTCTGTCAATGAATGGACTTCTGTTGTGATTCAGCTCTTTGAGCTTCCTAGACAATCTTCCAACTATAAGCCTACAAAGAAGAGCACAGCTCGATACTTCACCGAAGTGCTTCCACACTTATTGAACTTTCTTTCATCAGAGCCTGATTCGTCATTGAAACCAACCCATGATCTTCTTTCCCAACAGAATAGGACTTTCTTGTTTGAAGTCGAGACTGCTCGTACACTTACCTCGCATATGGACGATGTTATTGCATACGATGGCCTTACAGATGCTGCTGTCGAGTACCTTTTCCACGAAGTCATTAGTAGTTTAGCTGCCACTGATATCGCTTCGTGTGAGAGTGTTTTCGTGAGCATCACTAAGAGCTCTAAGTTTAGCCAGTTGTCAGAGACTCTTCTCCAATTCTTGGCTAAGGTCAACAGAACCCTTTCAACAGACTTCTTTGAACAATTGTACACTGCTGAGATGGCTAGAAAACCTATCAGATGGGGCCTTGTGGGGCACATTGTTTCATTGAATCCTGAACTTGCCCAGCTGAAGGCCGAACAGCTAGTCAAGGATAGCAAGGATCTAAAGAAAGAGGAAGTGACTATAATAGCTTCAAGCTTGGCTAAAGGATACATTCGTGCTAGAGACTTTGACAAATTTATTGGTGAGGTTTACTCTTCTGCATTACCTGTCAATAACGAATGGGCGTCTGAAGCCGTTGTGGACATTTTGTCTGCCCATTGTGGTGAACTTTCAAGTAATCAGATGTCTTCTTTGATTCAGACGTCCTTGGCCAATAAGGAGAAGGAGAAGACTGTACTTTTACTCCGTGGTCTTCTTATGAGCTCCACCGCCAAACAGGATGCTGCCGCTAAGGTCATTTCTGCTAACGATTTCATTCATCAGGGATGGTCTGAGATCGTATACTATCTATTATGCATTTACGATGATGAACTTTTGTCAGATGATCTCGTCAAGAAGGTTGTCCCTGGTTCACCCAAGTCCAAATTCGATCATTACTTGACGTTCAGAGTTGCTGAGTTGACTGGTGACATTAAAGACTTGAAAGAAAAGCATATTGAGAAGTTTGTGAAAAAGCTTTCTGTCTCTGACGCCTTTGCATTCGCTAAAAGATGGCTCGTTCTTATAGAGCTGTTTAAAACTGTCACTACTGCCCTTTTCCTGAAGATGCTTGAGTCGACGGAGGAAGACGAATTTGTTCGTTTCTTCGAAACAGAAGCCACTCTCGTTTACGAGCTTCCAGGCCTTCTTGAAGCTCTTTCCACCTTTATTTCAAAGAATTCGAAGTTTCCATACAAGAAAGAACTTTTTTGCATGATGCCACATACCATTTACAGGAGATTCTTTTCTTCGTTTACTGATGAGATCTGCAAGGATGCGTTGAAGAATGAAGACGCCAAGGTTATTCTTAAGCATATTCTTCGTGAGGCAAACGGTTCTTCTATGCTCGAGAAAGACTTTGATTTCTATAAGAAGTTCATCGGGTCTGACGATTCTCAGATCACAATTGATACAGCACAGCTTGCATGGAATGGCCATATAAACCGCTTCAAGGATCAAGCCTCGTCCGATTTTGTTCATAAGGTCTTGAAGCATCTCATAAAGACACTTAAAAAGAAGCCTTCTTCTTCTGACTTCAGACTTTGCCAGGTTGTTCTTAATGGAAAGAGGCCCAGTGATGCAGACTTTGAAAAGGCTTTCGATGAGATCTGCAACAGTTATGTCTCCCTTGTTGCCAAAGTCCCAGAACCATCGAATGAACAACTTTCTGTGCTTGCTAATCTTCCTTCACCTCTCAACGACAAGGTAAGGGAACAAATCAAGGCCTTGCTCAAATCTACCGGCAAGAAAACTTTGGACACAACCACTGAAACCAGCCTCTTTGTTATGGCTGCTAAGACGTCTACTCCAGGGCTCCAAGGCGCTCTCTTCCTCAGCAGCTTATACTTGGCTCTTCAAAGACGTATTGGTTCGAGCTCAGAAGAAGCTCTTTTAGAGAACCTCTCAGCATTCTTCAAAGGTTTACCCCGTGAAGACTTCCACCAACTTTATTTGCATTTGCTAGCATCTTGCGAAGATGCTGCTCCACCTTTCTTGGATCATCTTATCAGAATTCTTTCAGTGCTTGCCAAGCAGCTCAACAAAGATCACCAAAAGGAACACACTACATTGTTTGTGGGTACTATCCTGATAATCAGTCTTCGTCTTGAAGATATTCAGGCAGTTGAGACATTGACTGGCTTCCTTTCTACACTCACCACTATGCTGTCAGACCATGTATGGATCTTTTCACAGTACGCTGTTGAACTTACCTTGGCCACTGTGGGCGTGGTGCTTAAGAAGAGTCAGCATCGTAACCAGTCCATGGTTTTCAATGCAGCTGTCAATCTTCTTTCATACATTGTTTTGTTCCACCGTTTCAGGCTTACATCTCGTTACCACTTGTTAGTGAATGTTCTTGTTGAAGCTATGAAACATCTTACCAGAAAAGAGGTGACTGACGAGGATGGAACGATAGTGGGAAGAATCTTGGTCACGCTAAGTGAACCTCCTGTTCAGAGGTCTACGAAGGAAAATGATTCGCTCACATCACAGGCAGCTGTTTACAAAAGAGCCATTAGAAAACAGGCACACGTTTTATTGATTAATTATGTGCATATGCAAGTGTCTTCGCCGTTGAAGAGTTCGGTGACTGATGCGTTGACGCCCGGCATTTATAGCGTTTTTGGGCTTTTATCTAAGGTTGAATTACAGCTTGCCAATCAACTTCTAGACCTGCTGGGCAAGGTGTACTTCAAAAACTTGTACCAGAGTTACAAGGACCATGGTAAATGGAAGAACTGATCAATCAGTTAGTATTAGGGACCCTCTCGAAGCCAGCACGCGACGTGGCCGAGGATACATAGTTACCAAGCATCTGGAATCTGCTCCATACCACCGCATCTAAATTATCGTAGGTAGTAGGGTTATGCAATTCATGAGTAGTGTGTTCGTATCTGAGGATATCCTTACGTGTGATGCTGCCAACCAATAATCCATCTTTTTGAACAAGAATATGGCGAGGCCCAAGACGCACAAAGATATCCATAAGATACTCTAATGTACAATCAATGCTGACGACGAATGGGGCTGGGTTAATGATGCCAGACATGTCGACGCCAGTTGATTCGGGAGCAGGCGAAGACCTGAAGCTGCATTCGTTGTCTTTACTGTGAGTTCTGATAACATGGTCTAAATCTGACCTAGTCACGTAGCCAACGATTTCGGGTTGCTGCTCTGACATAACGACAGGATATCCTCTGTAGGGAGTTTTCTCGAGGATGGTGGAAATCTGAGCAACGGAGTAGTCTCTGTCTGCGGTGAAGATGACGGTGACAGTGGACATTGCTTCTGCGACCGTCGCGTCAAAGCGGAACTCTTCCTTTGGATCAATATAAGGAAGTCCGTTGAAAACGATCATTTGATCTGCAATACCACCTTGTCCGTATCTGTCATTAATTAATTTAGTAACAGTCACTGCTACCATAGTAGGAATAATGTAACGAACGGCACCCGTAAGCTCAAACATAATGATGGCAACGGTGACTGTAAGATGCGTAATACCACTCAAAGCGGCGCCAGCGCCAATGAAAGCATATGTTCCTGGGATAACACAAGGCTGATCAGGTGCACAAGTATTGAACGCTGACGAGTCAGGATCGTATTGGTACAATTTTTCGACAACGATACCGACAGCTCTACCAAAAGTGGCACCGGCAGCCATGGAGGGAACAAAAATACCTGCTGGAACCTTGCATCCGTAAGTGACGATGGTCAAAATTGTTCTTCCCACAGTAGCGAAAATCAACGAAAAGAAAAGCATAGCCAGACCTGAGTCAGGCTTGCACAAATCCAGGGACTCAGAAGAGCATTCGTAGAATAGCGATTGCATCACCTCTGTCATGTCGTACTTCAAGAACTGATTGAAGTAACAGAAAGCTGCACTCAAAATAGCGAGAGTGATCACCTCGTGTACAGCGTAGGGCACCAAGTACTTCTTTCTGAAACCAGCTACCCTCTTATTAAGTTTTGAGACAATGACTCCGTAGACACCACCGAATACACCCAAGAGGGCGTAGAATGGTAGGTCAAACCAGTGCCACGTGTTGTGGTAAGAAACCTCAAAAAGCACCAATTGGCCAGTACGGAAGGGATTGAGCGTAGAAAGAGTTGCAACAGCGATCAATGCACAAACATAGGACTTCCACAACGTCAGGAGCTGGAAAACAGACGCGATCTCTTCCATAGCGAAGAGCACACCGCCCATAGGAGAGCCAAAAGCAACAGCCACGCCAGCAGCAGACGTAGCAGTCAAAAACTCTCTAGATTTTGAAGCCGATTGACGGTATTTCTTAAAAAGCTTTGCAATGCAATTACCAACACACACAGCATAATGCACAGATGGACCTTCCTTACCCAAAGAGAGACCCAGCGCAATTGCCAAAGGCAAGCCCAAACCTTTGATGACCAACGTCCACCAGCCCAAGAAACCCTTCATGACAAACCCTGAAACAATACATTTGATCTCAGAAATACCCGAGCCAGCAGCTGCGGGAGCAAAGTGCTTCACTATAAGCGCACCAATGGCCAGAAACACCACCAGCCATAGAATGTACACGATATACCGTAGAATACCAAACAGCAGCCACGGTCTCCAATTGTCACATTCGTCCTCCTGGCCCCAGCAACAGAAGCCCTGGCTCAAGTAGAAGTTCAGTGAGCAGTACCCTAGCCTCATCAGCGCTAGCCATGCTGTGATGATATTAAGACACAGCGCTATCACGCCAATGATTATTCCCATTGCTGTAAGAACAAGCCACGTTCTGGCATTTTGTACTATCTGTTGTTTCCATGAAGTCGCTGGACGCTTGCGTGCTAGTCTTTCACGATGTTCCTCCAACTCATCGTCCATCCAGTCGATGGTGACGAAATCGTCATATCTTGCCACTGCACGCACTTTGTCTTGGTGGAGCCATTCGCCTGTTTGCTTGGATCGGAGCTGGGCGTGTTCGAAAGACTCCATAGTGAAGAGGTATTGAAAAGTTAATGGTGTCAATGTGTCTCCGACTTATCGCATACCGTACTTACTTGGCAGTGCCAGGCCCGTGCACCTTCGGCACCAGAAACAGAAAGCCGACCGGAAGAGGGGCAGTAGAGAATTTGGTTTTGTGAAATGTAGGGGTTCCTAGTTAGTAGAGGTAGTTTGTTTGGGTTTGTTGTCGTTCATGTTTCTGCCGTTGTTCTCGGGCCCTGGCTCGGTCGGTCTCGGTTATCAGATCAATCAGTGCGAAGAGGTTGAGACCAATGGGAGTGGCAGAATTTGAAACAACTGAAAAATGTACTTTTCGAGAAGCAAAGAAGGTTGAAGTCAGGAATGTGGTGGTTGACTGAGTTTATTCAGTTTTAGTAAAAGTTCAAGGCTCGGGTGTTGCTCTATGTTGCGTTCTAGCGTTCGCTAGAACTATTAGTGGCCTTGCTGATGTTCTAGATAACCGCCGACGTTTTAGATCGCGTCGACGTATTTTTGGAGATTGTGCTCGAGATCTCCATGGAGACTCTCCAAGTTCTCGTCCCCATCAAAGTATGTCAAAACGATGTTGAGTCCGCCTCTTGGGCACGACACAACGTTGAGAACAAACTCGGACGCGCCAGGAGCCATGTCCTGCGAGAACATGATATCGTCAATGGTCAATTCTTCATTGTTGGATTTGTAAACAGGGAAGTTGTATGCGCCGACGTTCGAGATCTTAATAGCATCGGCTTTGTTGGCACCGAGAACACTGGAAAAGAGAACCTCGTTCTCGTCATACTCGTCTGCAGCGTCAGAAAAGGCCTTCTGCGTGTTCAACAATCTCGTGTTTTTTACGGTCTGTTGTAATTCATTGCTCACTTTCCTGACAAGCTCCCAGGAGAATTCCTTAACAGGCTCAAACAAATTGGCAAGTCCCATATGTGCAAAGTTACCAAGCATCTTGTAGTTCTCCTTGGTTACGATTTGCCTGTAAGGTTCATCCACAGCATCTGCTGTAAGGAACCGCCGGAGCGTCACTGCAATCATTGCAGAAGTATGGTGCTTGTCACCGTAAACAGGGTTGAAACTCAATGCTTGAATGCATGCAAGGTAAGCAGTGAAAGTGACGCCATTCTTCTTACAAGTGGCTAACAACTTGCGGAAGTTCTCGGGTCCCACATGCACAAGTTTCATCACCTTCTTGGCGTCCATTGTAGCTGGGAAACGTCCAGGCCATTTCTGTGGGTAGTGTTCAGGTGCCTTGGTTGAGTAGTGATCGGAATCGCCGTAGGTATAGTCTAAATGTTTTGCGTCCATGATCATCTCGACTGGAGGAGGCAACGAGTGTCTTACGTATTGCATATCCACATCAGCATCGAAAATGACCGTTTCTGGGCTGATTTCAGCCGGAGCAACGCCGTAAAGCAGTTCATACTCGCTCTGGTTGGCTGGATCCTCACAGTAGCCCAAATTGTCAAGGAAGATAGCAAGGAATTGTGGCGCAACCACACCATCAGCAGGAGTATGTTCAAAAGAAGCACCAACAGTGCGTTCGCCTGCTAAAATCACGCAAAAGAGCGGCAGCTCTTCGTAAAGATTGAATAGTTTATCGCAGCACAAGCGATGGATGAACTGCTCGTACCATTCTTTTCCAGTAGGAGGAGCCTCTTTCCAGTACACATCACCAAAAGTAGCACGCTTAATTGGTCTAAGCTCAGACTTACGAGTCGTCTCGTCCCTGAAAACGTTGCAGGCAAGAATATGATAATCCAAAATCAGCTTCCTTAATGCGCAATACACAAGACGATCTTGCTTCGATAAGTCCAATGAAAAAGTGCTCACGGCGGCAAAGTTCTGGTAGAAGCCGACGGCATTTCTGCAGCGAAAGAAGTTTTCGTTATCGCCCAAGGGCCTTTTCCAAACGATATCGTTGGTCATACGGAAAAGCTTGAAAAAAATCGAAGATCCAATGAAAAAATAGGGGCAGTTTCAGGGCTTTTTATACCGCTAAGGGTCCCCCACAAAATGGGTAAATGGAAGCGCGGGATCTGTACATATCAACGGTTTGCAACCCATTGAGTCAAGTCTCTCCTGATAACGGCGCGCCGTATGACTCAACTTACCACAGCCAAAACCACCACGAGCACGACCACCATGAGAGCTACTAAGAGAATGCAACTCCATTTGCTCTTACGTTTTTGGTACTCGTGGGCTTTGTGAAGTTCACGTGAGGCCTGTTGGGTGTTGCCGTGTAGTTGTTGGACATTCTCTTCAATGGTGTCTAACTGTTCACCTTGCTGATTGACAAGAGTGCCTAGGTCTTTAAAGATGGAATTGACTTCACGAACGCTTTCTGTGACTTGGTCGATTTCACGGTTTCTTTCCTCGGTCAAAAGGAGATGGTATTGGAGTTCAGTCTGGTCAATCTCGTCTTGTTGAAGCTGCTGCTGCTGTTGCTGCTGCTGGGGTTGTGATTGCGACTCCTTGAGTAATGGAGTTTCTTCGGAAACTTGTCTAAGCGGCACAGTGAGCTTCTTTTCATTATACGAGTCCAGGGCTGAGCGGAAGTTCCGATGGAGGTCGTTATAGTCCAGAGAAAGCCTCTCTTTCTGCATAACCTGGCGCTCAGAAACCTCAAGGCTCAGTTCCATGGCTTTGTTGATATTCATGATAAGCACTGAAATGGCCGAATCCAAATCTGAAATCTTGGTCTGGAGCAAATCGAGCTTTTCTCGAAGCTGTGCCCCGTCTCTTTTGCTTCCCACTAGTCTTCGTTGGGAGTTGAACTGTGAGATCAAAGAACCGAATGTCTGGACTTGGGAGGATGTAGACGACACGATCTGGTCTATTTCAGAAGGAGGAGACCCATTTTTGGCTCCAGGAGCAGGCTTTTGAGCCTCGATATCGTAGTTGGCAAAAGACATGGATAGCTTATTGGGAAGGCGTAGTTACGGGATGAGATAGTGGTGAATATGAATGAAACCGGAATGTAATAGTATGAGGCTTTAGGAAGCTTTATCAGTCAAAAGGATATCTTTTTAAGGGGAAAGACGTTGGAAATAGGGAAGGTGTTAGACGGTAATGATAGTAGTAAGGTAGAGTTGTGAGGTTGTGGGAAATGCAGGTCTGGCTGGAAAGTGCCCAATACGGAAGGCCGCCTACTTTGGTTGGGTTCAAGGAAAGAAGGAAATTGATGGAATCTAGGAAGTACAAGAAAGGGGAATTTATATTGTGGTTTGGGATTTTGGTGGTTGGTGTTGTCTGTTTGGGCGGTGTTGTGGTACCGTGGAGGTTCTCGATAAGCATACCAAGGGAGGGATAAGGAAGTTGCTGAAATACATAAAGTGTTTCCAATTCTATACTTAAGTGGTTTTGATGAGTAAAATGAACAAAAGGGTTCCCTATTTACTGGCACTGTTGATTAAGCTTAGGGTGGTAACTGTGGCTACTCAGTAGCTGTATTTCGCAGCCATTATCTGGTGGAGAGGCCATGTAAAGCAAAGCACTTAAAGAGTGTAACGAGTGTTATTTTTGATATATAGCCATTCCAGTAATAGGTAATTAAGGATGTCTTCAATTGAAAGGTACTTCTGGTTCTCTTTTACCATCATGTTCAAGTAGAACCTGCCAGTGAACCTGCTCTCGTTGTTATCCTCATACTTAATACGTCGGAATAGATCAAAGAACGTAAATGATACCCATGATATCTATCTGCTATATTTCTATACCTATCTATATTTTAGCTCACGAATCGATGAACAGCATAGATTTCTTGTAGATAAGCCCATTGGTGTAGTCTCTATACCCAACCTATCTATATTGAACCCAACATAGCTAGTACCAATATCGCTAAATATACTGGATTAAGCACTTTTCTAGAACATTCACAAACCAGAAGGAACCGCTTTATATATTCACTTTATGTCCACGAGCAAGACATCTGTTAGTGAACTGTCCCTTCCACTACGTCTCACACCAATACCATACATCCAAAAGCTTCCACCAAAATCCTAGAAACACCAAATTTCCAATACATATTTCTACCCACTTTTACCTTCCATTAGCTAAACCAACGACCCTAAAACCCCACAATCATGTCCCTACACGAATCCACCAGGAATCAACCCACGAGTCTCCTGCAAGGTTTTTCGCAGCCATTTCTGGACAAAGAAAAGTCCCAGCAAAATGCACTCACAAGCAAAACTTCCAAAAACAAAGTATACCATGAAAACCACCGCAACTTCTACATTACAAAACTACCTTTAAACTCCCCAGAACCACCCTCCTTGTTGCTTTCTCCTGGTGCCATATTCGTCTGCCTAGTACACCCTGTGCAGGTTGTTGATACCGCGTTCCTCATTCGCGTACCGCGTTCTCCAACTACAACTACCCATCTCTTTTTACAGCAACCTAATACTACCCCAATGCTGTCGAGAGCCGCCAAAAGAGACAAGCTTAAGCGGCTCAGAGAGGCCCGTCGAACAGGCACGATTGCTGCTGTTTCGGACGAAGAAAACGAGTACATCTACGATGAGGTCGATGAAGATACTTATAGGCAACACAAGAGAGACCAGCTTATGAATGATGATTTCATTGTGGACGACAACGGTGAAGGATACGTGGATAATGGTGTGGACGAGTGGGATGATGCCACAAGGCCAAACTACTATTCTGACGAAGAGGAGGAGAAGGATACTGGCAGTAAGAAGAGGAAGAAGAAGCAGCAGAAACCTGTGAAGGTGGCTAAGACTGCTCAGATCAACAATTTCTTTACTCCAGCTTCTTCTGCCGTTAAGAAGGCCGAGCCAGCGAAGAATGCTGCCATTGACGATATTCTAGATGATTTTGACGTGAAGCCTAAGAAGTCCAATGTCTTTTCGCCTTTTGGCACCTCTGCTCCTAAAGCTAAGAAGAAGAACGCGTCTGGCTTTTCATTTGCTACGTCTACGCGTGAAAAGAAGAAGGTCAAGAAGGAGCCTGAACTTGATGGTTTCGAAGATACTACTGTTGACTCTGGTGATGACTTTGATTTGGCTAAGGAAAGCACTCCAGATACGCCTGTTGAGACGGGTGAGGAGATCGACGTGAAGTCTTCAAACCTGGACTCCCCTATCAAGCTGGAGAAACCCGATCCTGTGTCAGAGGATGACAGTGAGGATGACGATATCGTGGTGACCAGAAGACCGCGTGCTTCTGCCCCAGCAAGAAACACTGGCGCTACTATCTCTGCTGTGAAAGCTTCCAGTTTACTTTCTTCTTCCCCTTCGAGAGCTTACTCGGCTATTTCACATACTGAAAAGTTGGACCAGGAAACTGTCATTGAAGACGACTCCTTCAAGATGTTCTGGTTGGACTACGCTGAAGCTGACAATTCCCTTCTTTTATTCGGTAAGGTGCTTACCAAGGAAAACAAATTGGTGTCTGGTGTTGTTCAAGTCAATGACTTGTGCAGAGAGCTTTACATTTTGCCTAGGAAGTTCCGCCAGATTGATGGCCAAGAGTCTACTCAGCCAGTTAGCGCTATGGATGTCCATGAGGAGCTTGCTCCTATCCTTATGGAAAACTACGGTCTCGAGAGTCTCAGAGCTAAGCCAGAACATATGAAGTATGCTTTTGAGTTACCTGGTGTCCCTAAAGAAGCAGAATACTTAAAGGTCTTGCTTCCGTTTAAAACAAACAAGAACAGACACTTGGTGATGCCTTCTGAACTCGAGGGCGAAACTTTTACTAGAATCTTCGGTACCAACACAAATATCTTTGAATCATTTGTCATGCAGAGAAATATCATGGGTCCATGTTGGTTGGAGTTCAAGAAAGGTGATTTTAGCGCCATTCAAAACGCGTCTCATTGTCAGGTCGAAGTTGCTGTTCCAACTCCATCATGTGTCACTCCTATCGTTAATGCTACTATGCCCCCTCCAAACTTAACCATTACTTCCATTTCCGTTCAAACTCTCATGAACCCTAAGTTGAACAAGCAAGAAGTCGCGTGTGTTACGTTAGCTACCTACAGAGATATGCCTCAAGATGCACCAATTGATGAAAATATCCAACCTGATGAGCTTGTCACCTTGGTTCGTCCTATCGGAGCCGTTGGTTTCCCACCTGGTTTGCAACAACAAGCTCAGAAGCAGAAGATGAATCTCAAAACATTGCCCAACGAGGCTTCGATGTTGGGTTGCATGGCTGCGCTTATTAAGAATGCAGATCCAGATGTATTTATTGGTCACAGATTGGAGAACATCTCCTTGGATGTGTTGGTGCACAGAATGCATGATTTAAGAGTGGCTACTTGGTCGGCTATGGGAAGAAGAAACAGAAAGACTTGGCCAGACAAGTTCGGCAAAGGTAATGGTTTCAATAATAATTTACTCATTCGTGAAATCTTCCAGGGTCGTCTCTTGTGTGACATTGCCAACGAGTTGGGTCAATCTTTGACCACCAAGTGTCAATCTTGGGACTTGCCTGAGATGTACAGTGTCGTTTGTCAAAAGACATATAACGCTGTCGAGCTTAATTTCCAAAACCCTCGTTACGCTGAAGATGCTGCGTTCTTGATGATGTCTCTTAAGGAAAACATAACCCAGGTTCTGATTACTGCTAAGATTGCATTCGCTCTTCAAATCTTATCCCTTTCGAAGCAGTTGACTAACTTGGCCGGTAACGCTTGGTCTCATACTCTTAGTGGTACTCGTGCTGGTCGTAACGAGTACATTTTGTTGCATGAGTTCAAGAGAAACAACTACATTGTCCCTGACAAGGAAGACAAGTATCACAAGAACACCAGTCATCAACAGGAGGCTAAGCTTGAAGCCACTGAGGATGATGCTACCACCGTTACTCTGAACAAGAAGCCTAAGTTCCAGGGTGGTTTAGTTTTCGAGCCAGAGAAGGGTCTTCACAAGAACTACATCTTGGTTATGGATTTCAACTCTTTGTATCCTAGTATTATCCAAGAGTTCAACATCTGTTTCACAACAGTTGAACGTGATGCTTACAACATCTCTCACGATGAGGAAAGAGACTTACCTAATATTCCTGAGCGTGATTCTGATGCTGGTGTTTTGCCAAGGTTGTTGAACGCGTTGGTTTCCAGACGTCGTGAAGTCAAGAAGCTTTTGAAGAACCCTAAGAATACTGTCCATGAACGTGCCCAGTACGATATTAAGCAACAAGCGTTGAAGTTGACTGCCAACTCCATGTATGGTTGTTTGGGTTACGTGAACTCGAGATTCTACGCTAAGCCCTTGGCTATGTTGGTCACCAACAAGGGTAGAGAGATTTTGATGGATACCAGACAGTTGGCTGAGCTGATCGGTTTGAGAGTTGTCTACGGTGATACTGATTCCGTCATGATTGATACCGGTGTAAACACGTTACAAGAAGCGCTTAAGATTGGTGATGAGTTCAAGATCCAAGTTAATGACAGATACAAGCTCTTGGAAATTGACACTGATAACGTCTTCAAGAGATTGTTGTTACACGCCAAGAAGAAGTATGCTGCCATGACTGTCAGTTTGGACCGAAAGTCTGGCAAGGAGATTACTGCTTTGGAAGTCAAGGGTCTTGATATGAGACGTCGTGAATACTGTCCGTTGTCTAAGGAGATCTCTACATACGTGTTGGAGAATCTCTTGTCTGATATGGATCCTGAGGAGGCTCTTACATTGGTCTACAACTATTTGGAGGAGATGAAGAACAAGATCAGTAACAACGAAATCAGCATTGACAAGTACCTGATCAACACTCGTCTTTCCAAAGATCCTGCAAACTATCCTAATGGAAAGACTATGCCTCCAGTTCAAGTGGCTTTGCGTCTTAGAAAGCTGGGTAAGGTCATCAAAGCCGGTAGTGTGATCACATATGTGGTAACTGCTCCACAGTCTGAAGATGAAAGCACAAACCCCGCCGAAAGATCTAGAGCTATGCAAGAAGTGTTGGCCAACAAGGCTCTGTTCAAACCAGACAGCGATTACTACTTGGAGAAGCAGATCTACGCCCCAGTTGAGAGACTCGTTAACCGTATTGATGGTATTGACATGATGCGTATTGCAACCTCTCTTGGTATTGACACCAAGAAGTATGTCATGAGACTCAAGAACAGCGAAGAGGCTAGTAATGATATTGCACCTCTCGAGTCGAACATCACGGATATCGAGAGATTCAGACAGTCGAGTTTCTTGGTGCTCAATTGCAGATGTGGAGCCAAGTTCAGATTCGGTGGTATCCAGCCCTCGAAAGACTATCTGATTACGTTCAATGGAGTCTGCTGCTCGAAGTGTAACTACGTTTTCCCAACTTTGAAGTTGACCTCACAGCTTGAGAGCACGATCAGAAAGCATCTTGCTCTATACTATGCTGGCTGGGTGGTCTGTGATGACTCTGCTTGCGGGATCAAGACGAGGCAAATCTCAGTTTACGGAAAGAGGTGTATTGGAAGCTCTGGAACAGCACATGGTTGCAAAGGTGTCATGAGATACAACTACAGCGACAAGGCACTCTATAACCAGCTCTTGTACTTTGACGCTATCTTTGATATCACCAAAGCCAAGGAGAAGAAGTTGAGGCCTATCATTTACGACCAAGACGTGGTGGCGCCCGAGATGAGTACTGGGCAGTTGAACGCTCTTGCTGAGCAGAACAGAGCCATGTTCGAGCATTGCAGAGAAGTCGTTGACAAGTATTTGGTGGACTGTGGCCGCCGTTACGTGAACATGAGAAGCATCTTCGAGTTCATGGTTTAACATTGTATACTAGGGAATAAAGGAAAATTACATTAAAACCTATTTCACATTAATGCCGAAGGGACCAATGTTCCACGGAGCCGTTGCTGAGCCTCAATGGTCTCGAACAAACCCTTGAAGGTACCCTTGCCAAAGCCATTATGGTGACGGCGTTGGATGATTTCCAAGAACAAAGTTGGTCTATCGTGGAGTGGTTTAGTGAAGATTTGAAGAATATAATGGCACCGGGTCTTTCCGTCCCTAGACTTGTACTTCGTTGATGGATCGAAATCCACAAGGATATTGTACTTCCTCAATTCTTTAAACGACTCAAAGAGCTCAATGGAGTTCTTAGTCAAGCGCTCCATTAAATCGTTATAATAGGTATCAGAGATGGTGTTGAATTCAACGCCTCTAGAACGCATTCCCTTGACCAGCTGGACGATATCTCTGGACTTCAAGGCAATATGTTGAACGCCAGGACCATTGTAGAACTCGTAGAACTCTTCAATTTGGCCCTTCATTCTGCCCTTGGCTGGCTCGTTAATAGGCATCTTGACTTTTCCATTTGCCGAAGCCATGACAATGGACTTCAAGGCAGTGGCGCCAGTAGACACATCCTGTTCGTCAACAGACCAGAACTTGTGAAGACCAAAAGCCGAAGCGTAGAAAGTGGCATAGATGGTCATTTCGTTCCAGCTGAAGTTCTGAACGCAATGGTCAATTTCAGATATAGGCACTGGACCACCCTGGCACATTGGAAGCAGCCACGACAGCTTATAAAACGGCAAGTAGGGGCCCTTGTAATCCAACTTCTGGATGAGGGTATGGCGAAGATCAGAGTCTGGAACGCCCACCACTGCAAGCTTCACAGAACCGTGTTCATCTCCTATAACAGCAGGACGTCTAATGTTAGTAGCACCATAAAACACTGCCCTTTCGAAAGCTGCATCAACATCCACCACCTCAAAAGAGACATCTATAACGCCCATACCATGACAAGCCACAAACTCGTCTACCGCTGAAGAATCTTGAGCGTCTTGGCTCAACTGTGCAGCCGCCAGAGCTATATCATGGAGGGTGCTATCGCTGCCGCCTACTGGTAGAGTAACGGGCGCTTTCGCCAGTCTTGCCGTGCCTGGTCTGCTCGAACTCGTGTTTGGCCTAGATCTTTTAGAGCCAGGTCTTGAGTCACCTCTACCCAAAGTATTGATAAGCTCAAACACACAGTCGTTCTTCTTCACCACATGAGAGGCAAGCATGACAGAGCCCGTCTCCAAACCTCGGTAGGCAATCTCTTTACAGTCAAGAGAGTATTCAAGATAAGAAGCCATCTCCTTGGCGTTAGAAGTGGCGAAACGAATAGAGTGGAAGCCCACAATCCCGTCAAGAGGAAGCTTACACTTTTGGTGGCCGTCCATTAGAAGCTCGTGGATCTCCAGGCATTTATTGCACGAGTCACAGAGGTATGGGTAAAACGGAAGTTGTTCAAGGTAAAACATGGTGATTGGAAGAAGAAGAGGGAAAAGAAGGAAAAGAATGGAAAGGGGAAAACTGGCGGTATTTAAATGGCTGCAAAAAAACCACTGCGACTTAGGCCAGGGTCCCAATGGAGTGATCATCATAGAAAAGGAAAAGTGTGGAGAAAAAGAGAAAATGCCGAAAACTTTTGGTTTCCCGAAATGTCATTGTTTCGACTTTTTGTCTTTTCCAAGGATTTTTAGTCCATTTATGGAAGCAACATGGGCCTTGTGTGGTCTTCCTTGGCTGAGCATACAATGGCTGCGAAAGATAGATATGTGTATACTAGCCGAGTCAAAGGGCCATCTAGGGACAAGGCATGAATTAGTGGAATTGTGCATGTTTTGCTTTTAGAGCTAAAGAAGAAGAATATGCTGTTTATGGATTTAAAGAGATGCTCGTTGTTATGCCAAGTGTGTGTTGGTGGGTCTGGGCAGACAGCACTATGAGTATTCATATCTGGGCCTTTCGAGGAAAAGTTTTCAAAAAACCCAGAAATCAACTAGTTGTCATAAAAATAGATCAAATCTCTACTTTCATGCAAATACCTGTGTTTTGACGTGTTTTGGCTGTACTTGGACAGACCCTGGAACTGCCCTTATCTGGTAATACTATTCGCGGTTCCTAGCCAGCACTTACACTTGACACATCCAGTGAAATGCACCAAACCACAACAAAAAAGGGTGTTTTCTGGATGATTTAGTCTAGATTTCTCCTTAATCAATTCTTGTCCTTTCTGTATTTCTAGACGACGGTTTTGGCGGGTTTCTTTCAGGTCGTGCGCAGACCGCCATATCTAGAGTAGAAACCACGAAAAACACCAAAAGCATTCACTCTCTACTTACCCTCCACACGTTGCACCCGGTATGAACTTCAACAAGGGCGCTGGTAATCCTGGCCAAGGGTCAGCTCAGCAGTTTGCAGGTGGCCGTCAGAGGCTAAATCCCGCAATGCTTCCACCGCAATTCCAGCACCTTACTCCACAACAGTTGCAAGAGTTGGAAAACACTCCCCAGTTCCAGAACGCCATTCGCCAGTACTACCAAAAACAACAAATGTTTCAGCAACAGCAAGCTTTGCTTAGACAACAGCATGGCGGTATGGCTCAGGGCATGGGGCAACAGATGCCTGGTCAACCTAACCAGAATCTAGCACAACAAAACCCAAACCAGCGTATGGTAAACAGAAACATTCCACCTGGCTTTATTCCACAGAACCAACAGGCACAGCAGCAACTTCAGGCACAAAGAGCCAATCTTCAAGCTCAAGCCCAGGCTCAGGCCCAGGGACAGATGCCAAACCTGGGTCCTATGGGTGGTCCTCAAGGACAAGTGCAGATGCCAGGATCCATGCAAGGAGGAAATATGAATAATCCAGCTGCTGCCGCTGCCGCTGCTGCTGCGGCCGCTGCTTCTCTGCCCAACTATAGCAATGTTCAAAAGATGGGCGGGCAGTTCCCTCCACAAGGTGGAAACCCTCAGGCTCAGATCCCGATGGGAGGACAACCAGGACAAAGCCGAGGCAGTCTATACGGAGGTGTTGGAGGAATTCCAGACCCCTCTGGTGCTTCAGCTGCTGGGGCTCCTGGCGCGGCTGGCATGAACGGCATGCTGACCATTCCTGGTCCAATGACTGGCACTTTACCTGTGACTGCTAGACCAGGAGGTTCTGTAAGTCAAGCTCAGCAAAGCGGGAAGCCTTCGAAGTTTGGCAGCAATGAGGAACCTGAGTATCCTCCTGGATTTGGCCCCGAGTCTTTATCAAAGCTTCCATTGAAGCAGCTTTCGTCTCTTGATGAATGGTCGCAGAAACTCGCCGAAGAAGGCAAAGAAGTGCCTGTTGATCTTAAAGTCTATGAGGACATTATCCAAAAAGATAGCTCGTTCCTCAAGAACTCGCAGCTACAACTGAAGAAAAACAAGAACATGATAGAGAAGATGGGCCGTGACATCAAAACATACAACACCATCAAGCAGCTTCGTATGAACGCCATCAACGCATCTGACAAAAACCAATACAATAACAGCATCTGGGGTGAAGGCTACCTGGGCTACGGAAACGGCATAAGTAACACCTCGACCCAGGTGATCTTGCCTCAAAACAATAAGCCTTTTTCTAGAGTGCCTGACATTGGATACACGGAGAAGCAATTAAATGATTCGGTGTTAAGGAGTTTGAAGTCTGGCAAAAACAAGCCTTTGGTGCCTATCCGTCTAGACTTTGACCAGGAGAGAGACAGGTTCAAGCTTCGAGACACCTTTTTATGGGACTTGAGTGACGATACCTACAGAATTGAGAACTTCGTTCGTACTCTCATCGAGGATTACAAGTTTATCCCCGAACTGCATTTCCATTCGATCATTAATGCTGTCAATGAGCAGATTAAGGATTTCAAGCAAATAGTGGACAACCCAATGGGTGAGTTAAGAGTCCCAATCAAGATTGATCTTATAATCAACAACACACAGTTCACTGATCAATTTGAATGGGACATCTTAAGTCTTAGTGAAAATGACCCAGAGGAGTTCGCTTCCATTCTCTGTGATGAGATGAGTCTACCTGGTGAGTTCGTCACAGCCATTTCATTCAGCATTCGTGAACAGATGCAACTCTATCATAAGGCATTGTTCCTTGTTGGTTACGGTTTCGATGGGTCTCTTGTCCGTGAAGATGAGATCCGCTCGCACTTGCTTCCGCCCTTGCGTGTGATTAATAACAGCGAACCTGGTGAACCAGTGGAGGACTTCATCACCACATTACGTAACCCAGCATTGGTCGCCGACTACTCGCCAGCCTTATCGAAACTCACCCAGCTTGATGTTGAGAAGATTGATAAGGAAATGGAGAGAGAATCACGTCGTCGTAGACGCCACAACAACGATTTCAGCTATAACGAAAACGGACCTAGCATGGGTGTTAACAGGGGAACTGCTTCCAGAAGAAGCGGGCTTCATATTGGAAGAGGTGCCAAGACCACGCTACCCGATCTCACCGAGATACCCAAAACGTTCCGTACGCCCATGCCTTCGAGTATCTTGCCAGGAGGCATTGATCTTGGAGTTCCAGAGATTTATGGATACAATGAGCTCATTGTCAACAGAACTCAAGTCAGAAATCCCGACTACAAGCCTCCAAACGTTGAGCTTGTGACTACGTCTCGTGACAGTGGATCTTTCTTCGTGAAGATCAAACTCCCACGCAGATTTAATGCTTAGACATTCTACCATAGTGTATTTAGTTAGACCTTGTAATATTAAACGAGACAAAGTCTCTTATCTATATCATGTTTAGATTCCTTTAAGGGCTTGTTCAAAGTCCTCGATCAAGTCATCGACGTCCTCGAGACCAACACTAACACGAAGCAAGCTAGGCGAAACGGTGTGGTCAGACATGGCACGCCATTCAATCAAACTTTCAACGCCACCCAAAGAGGTAGCATGGTAGAAGTACTTCAAACGAGATGGAAGTATTCTGGCTTGGTCCTCTGACTGAAGCTCAAAAGCGAAAGTGGGAGAATGACCGCCCTTTAATTGACGAGCCACAAACTCATCCTTCTGTAAGGAAGAGTGATAGACGTTGGCAATAGCTGGGTACTTTTCTTTGTTTTCGTTCAAGAACTTAGCGATCTTTGTGGCGCTTTGACTCTGCTTCAATACACGCAATTCGAAAGTCTTCAAACTTCTAAGCAAAAGAGCAGACTCCAAGTTAGCAATGTTAGTACCCAAGTGGATACGATCGTCAATCAACAGACTCCAAACGTCCTTGCTTTTGGTCAACAAGACGCCAGCCAACAAGTCAGAATGTCCACCAAAGTATTTGGTAGCAGAGTGCATCACCAAGTCAGCACCGAACTCAAAAGCGTCCTGCAAAGGTGGTGGAGCAAAGGTCGAGTCAACAACCAAGTAAGCACCCTTGGCATGTGCCTTATCGGCAAAGTACTGAATGTCAAAACAGATGGAATCAGGGTTTACTGGCGTTTCCAAGTGGATGACGTCACCCTTGCCCAAATGCTCCAAGTCCTCGTCAGAAAGGCCATACTGCTTCAAGCCATGGTTTCTGGTCCAGATATCGGCAATTCCATGAACACCGTGGTAACCGTTACCAATGCACAACACCTTAGGGTTAAGGTGAGTGTAGGCAGCAAACACAGCACTCAAGCCTGAATTGTAGGCGACAGCATAAGAGTTGGTGATTTTTCCAATTGTCAGCTCGACAAGTTCACCCGAAGGGTGTCCCTCACGAGAGTAAACCGGTTTTCCAATCTCATAAGGGAATGGCCCTGGAGGCATCTTTTCCAACTTGTCAGGGTCGTTGGTATACTTGAACGTGGTGGAGATGTTAATTGGAGGAGTCACATCTGAGTGAGTGTGAAGGTGATCAGCACCATGAATTCCAGTAGTAGATAAGCGAGGCATTGTGAATAAACAATAATGGTAGGTTGCCAATAACAGGAGGTATCTCGATATTTATACTTTATCGGTAAAGTGTGGACAGTGAGGCGCATCAGTGCATAAACCGCTAAGGTTGCGTAATCCCATGATTGAGTCATTCCCGCCACTCTAAGGCGTTTTTGAAATTTTCCACACCGCATATACGGACATGACGGAGCCAGCAACACGAATATCAAATTTCCCTTCTTGGGCGAGAAAAATTTTATCGTTTTGTCGGGCGTCTATTCTCGAGTCCGGGTTCATAAGTAGTACGTCAAATATGCCCCTGTGCGCATCTTCACGCACATCTGTGCAGGTCAACAGGACTGCTACTAAGTAAGGCCCAATTCGATGAGCTTCGAGAACAAGATAAGGCACCATACAGTTGGTTTTATTTTGGGCATCCAGGAGTGATTTCTGGTCTGGAATTGGTAATTGGTCGAGATTTGGATCGGCAGTTTGGGTGGCGTCGCCTATGCGCTTATGCTTCTCCTTGGCCACAAAACTGAAATCCTGGAGCTTATACCACTGAGTAAATGAACGCACCGAGGAATTGCTCTGGCTGACAAGTTCGTTTGAATCCTTCATGGGTTCGATGACTTCCCTGGTGATATCACGGTACCTTGGTTCAAACTTGGGCTTTTTGGAAGGAGGTACATCGAAAAGAAGACTCTTGGTAGGGAATGCTGAGGATCCAGTGGTTGGAGTCTTGGGACGACTATGCAAGGGTTTGGCTAATGCCAGGAGTTGGCCAATGGACGGTTTTGGGAGGTTCAGGGTCAGTTTATGCTGTTTTGGTGGGTCCCTATGAATATGTTGTTTGGAAGCATCGTTGTTTTGATCTGGACCGGCTCGTCGCGTCTTGGGGTCCTTCAAACGCGGTTTGTTCACCTGGGACGAAATATCCCCTAATGGCCGCCTCTTGGCCTTTCGTAGATGGAATTTCTGAAAATCATCCATGTTTTTCTACCCTGGGAAAGGTCCACTATTTATACTACAGCGTCGCGAGAAGTGGTTTGTATAGGTTTTGTTGATGTTTATGAAGGACTATATCAGTCTTGCAGCCAAAGTTTCGCAGCCATTCTTCTACAACTTAGCAGTAACCTTTCTACCCACAGTAGACTTGATCAAACCGTTAGGGTCCGAGGATGGGTAGAACAAATCGTCGTTGCTGATACCCTTCCATTCCAAGTTGAACAAGATGAAGTGGTTGTTGGGCAACAGGTAGCTGACAGTGTCCACAGCTGGAGCAGCATCCAAGATCTCCTGGGACATGTTGTACATGGTGGCCTGGACGGAGGGGGAGTTTTCCAAGGCAAAACGGTCCAAGGTGATTCTTCTGGCGGCGTTGTAGACGTTGTCGAACAAACCGTCACGGGCTTTTTGCATGACATCGTCAAGAGAGCTCAACTGCAGCTCGTACTTCCACGAAGCGTCAACGTCAGTAGACAAGATACGGTCCTCAGTAGGCTTCAAGGTGGTGTAGTCGCACTCATTGTAGCCGTAGAACATCGAACCAGTCGACTTCAACACCTTCAAGTCCTTGATGCTTGAAATAATGGTGGTCTTGTTCGTAGGCTTATCGTAAGTCAAAAACGTTCTTCTGGTCTCTGGGCCCTCGTGCTTGAACGAGTGGTCGTGGAGCTTACCGTTGACTTCAAACTTGGACCATCTGTCTTGAACAATGGTCACTTCAACACCTGATACATGGCTGTACTTGGACGTGAAGTGCTTAGCCAAGTGAGCAGCAAAACGCTCAATAGGCCACACCTCGGTGTTCTTAGCCTCAATAAGCACAGTATTCTTCACCGTGTCGGTTGGAACAATTGGAGAGTTGTCGGCATCAGTATAAGACACATCAAAGTTACCTCTCAACAAGACCTGGCAGTTGGCCTGCAACACTTCCTGGATCTTTGGGTTCTTCTTGTCGCGTCTGACTTTCAAGAACTTGACGTTGGCTTTACCGTAGGAGGAATCGATTAAGGACATATTGAATTGGAGTAGCAGTGGCTGGTTGGTGATATGAAAAAAGTGGTTGGATAACGGCTCCTACTTATAGTAGGCTTATCGCGGGGGAGCTTGATGCCTCGGCGATCGCCGAGCGATAAGCACTGCCGCAGACGGTCCACCGACCAGTCATCCTAGTTTACTAGAACCAATGGGGAGGTACTAAAGAGTAGAAATGTAGATTAGACTATGGAAGGTAAAGTGGTTTATCTGGCCATTTCTGCTCATCTCTAGGCCAAGTGGTACCCTATGGGCTGAGCTGTGTTAGTGATGGCTGCGAAAAACCAGTACTTAAGCGGTGCACCGAAATGGCATAATTATAACTCACGCCACTTGTAGGTTAGTTTTTGTGTCAAGTGTTCCCCTCTGTTTAGTGAACGGCTGGCCTCTCGGTGATCTCCAGCAGGCGGGCCGGATGTTAAGTAGTAGTGTTTAGTTCGGGAATCTGCGGCAGTGGAATCGGGTGGGGGACAGGTGGGGGAGGTAAGATGGGTGGGTACTATACGGAAAGCCGGATCTTTAGATTGACTAGAAGTAGGTTATTGGATGAGGTGAGGTGGGAAGTGGTGTATGGTTAAGGTTACTGGTTGGAAAGCGCCGCTTTGAATGTAGTCAAATGGGTTATCTATGGTGGGAGAGAGATGGGTTAGAGGCTGGCTATGGATAAGTAGATCCAACTAAGAAGATGCTTTCTTTGTATTTGGCTTACTTAGACTTCATGTCTTCTTTTTATGGCCCCTTCTAAGTTACCTGTCGTTCCACTTACTTTGGTTACCTGGCTGGGGACAGGACTGGGTGGACCCTGACGTGGGGGAGCTGGTTGGTGGCAGATCTTTCGCAGCCATTTCCCAGTGGGGGATAGGATATGGGTAGTTGGAGAGGTAATAGGGTTGATAGGGAAATGAACTTGATTGAGAGCCTTGGGAGTAAGCTTTTTTGCTTTTGGTGGTTTTTGTATCTACATGTCTTCTACGTTTCGGTGAGTTCTTACTATGAGGGTTGACAACTTGATTCTGAGGTGGAGTTTCCGTTTCTACTGTTGATTTAGCTTTTTCTAGAAATATCGCAAACGTAAAATAGTCTCCAAAAATCCAATTTTTCTTCTATGAGAAATGTGTTTGGGGAATAGGAAAGGTTGTTGGGTGTTTTTTCTGGGGGTTTCATTTGACTGGAGTCTTTTCGCAGCCATTTGGTTTAGCCCAGATTCGATGAAATCAGGTTTACCCGAACAATTAACACCAGGAAAGAAAGCCAAATCAGCGAAAAACACTAATTGTTTTCTTTAGTTGTGATATAGTGGTGAATCCTCGTTGGAAGGTATCAACACTCACGGTATCTACTCAGGTCCAAACATACCTAGCTTACAGGTTTCTACCAGCTGCCGGGTATAAGTTCAATCAGCAAAGATTAGTTCATGTTCTGCCTATGTAAACTTCTTTTAGTCGTGTTCTTGGCTAGTGTAACTACTTCTCTTTTCATTAAGACAGTGTCTCACACCTGAGTGGCTGCAAATGGTCCCATCCATAGACATCGTCCAACCACCCATCTTCCCTCACGTCCAAACGAAATGTCAAAATTCCAGCAAACAACCCATATCTTATAAAACACATCTATTTAGTCTTTTCCCACCAAAAACTAAATCCACACATTCTTCACCACCTCCCACCTCTCTCCTACTCATTACATCCTCTTCGCATTACAGCACCAACCCACCTCCACCAACTCCCCACCACAAACCCCAAAAACATAAAATCCCTCTAAAATCTATATTCTCTCTCGCCCCTCTACCTCTCCAGCCAGTCCCCTATCTCCCATCCTTCCCCCTTCTGTCTTATCAAAAACGCTCACGTGCATTCTTCGCTACATACTCTTCGCTTCGCAGCCATCGCAGGCCATCGAGACTCCATCAACCCAACCCTACCCTACTACTACTGAACCTCCACTACATGTCTAGGGTCGTGCAATTCGTGCCACGACGGTTCAGGTCAGGTGGCAATGTCGGCAAATATAAGAAACCGTCTGCTGCTGAGTTGGACAATGAGGCACTTGCGGTGACTCGAGAGGTCGCTAAGCAACTGAAGAAGAAGTACTACGACCCGTCTAATGTTTCGCTTGACTTTTCGCTTCCGAACGCTGAACTCATCAGGAAAATTGAAGAGGACGCTAAGGACAGAATGCACAAGCGTATAAAGAAACCAGCGGAAGACTGGCAGGAGAACCATCCTATCGATATGGTATCTACCCGTAAGAGACTCAGGAACCTTATATGGGGAGCCCGTATCAGTTTGAATAAGAACTTTTCACCACTAGACGTGGGTGATGTGGTTCTTCTAGATCTTGAAAGCACAGAGCTTCATCTTGTGGTTGATAAGCCTAAGGATCTTAATACATCTACCTATACTTTGCTCAATCACGAGGGTGATATCAAATACATTGTGAGAGAACAGATCCGTCTTCGAGTGCCGAAGGTCGCCTCTAACAGGATATTGAACCCACTTAAGGTGGTTCAGCAGGAAAAGAAGTACCTCGGCGTGGCGCCTATTGGAATGCCCGATTCGAAGTTCTCCAGATCGGCTGAAGCATTGCCAGATGAGCTTAGAAAAGAAAAGGCTGGACTGGAAGCTTCGCCTAAGAGGTCAGACGGTGAGTTTCTGACGACCGGTGATGACTTTATTATGGCTCAAGCAGCTTCCCAGTTGCTCACCGATACAGATGTTAAGACGTATATTGTGCCGCTTCCAGTGAGACGCCTTCTTTCCAAAGCCCTCGTGGAGGCATCCATTACATGTTTCAGGAAAGTCAACTCTTATTCCAGAAACCTCGATTACATCCACAAGATCTTGCAGTACGATGAGAACAACAATGTCATCTCTTCTGCACGTTCCATTCCAATCTTTGAGCTTTTTGAAATCTTCTCCAAGTTCGAACACAGAGTCAGACATCTTGATCAAGCTCAAGGCGTGGATGAACTACGTGTTCTCAATTCCCAGATGACATACTTAGGACTTGACGGTCCAACCATTGTGGGCAAGAAGTATCCTGATCAGACAAAAGCCGGTTTCGACGAAGTGGAATACTCAGCTACATCATACATTGCATACCTCGTCGCTTTGGCGCAAAATCCTAGGAAATGGAAGATTAATTTCCAGCACTCTTCTAAAACGCCTTTAAGTGTTGATGTGCTCCCAATAAGTACGTCTGTTGATGCGTCTGATGCGCTAGGCTTCTTGAAAGCTGATGGTGGTAAAACTTTCACAAAGTTCTACACTGACTTTTACGCCAATAAGAAGGACATTAAACCTCCACATCACTTGAGACAAGTGATGAGCTTGCTCAAGGACTTTGTTGCTGGCAATATTGTCGAAGATAAGATGGTTGAAAGTGTGGTGGGCAACCTTTTGAGAAATATTGATCATTCGTTAGATGCAAATGGTCTCAGAAAGATGCCAGTGATACCTTACTCGTACGACTTTTCCAAAAGTCGAGCCCTCGAGATCATCTACTCCTTGGAGAATAACGAATGGTACAACCCAAGCAAATGGCAAGCTCCTATTCGTCTACCTGGAACAGGTCTTTCTCCAGAAGCAGATGTTGCCAAGGCTTACTACGACTTCATTGATAAGAAGTTTTCCTCGAAGGAAGATCTTGAAAAGGCTCTTAATGCCACCCCAGTTGAACCATCAGTGAAAGAAGCTGAATTGTTGGACTTTAATGACGGCTTAAGCACCCAAGACGAATCCTCAGTCTTTGATAGTTGGGTCGACTCCGACTTCAACAAGTCGGATCCTTGCGAAAAGGTTAGATATGATTTCGCTGATGTTCCTATCTACTGTATTGACGCTGCCACGGCACATGAGATTGATGATGGTATCTCCATTGAAGACAGAGGTAACGATTTCAGGTTTACTATCCATGTTGCTGACGCTTCTTCCTTCATCAAGCAGTCATCGATGCTAAGCCAGATCGCTCTTGGAAAGGGTGCCACTGTTTACATGCCAGAAGGTCCTTCGTTAATGCTTCCTCAGTTTGTGTCGAAAGTCTGTGGTTTAGATGCTACAAACAATAACAGAAGTTTTGCCATTGAGTTCACCATCTCCAAGTCATCCATCATAGATTACGAAGCGTCTCGCTCATCCATTGACGCAAAGTATATCATGAAACAGGTGTCAGATTCGTGCAGAGTTAGATTCCTTAACATTAAGAGCAACAGCCGTTGCATCACTTACGAGCAGGTGAACAATATTCTCAATGACGAGAGTAACATTGAGAAGTTCGCTAAGGGATCTTTCGAGAAAGGGGGTACGGAATGGGCCCTTTTCAATCTCTCTCGGGTTGCTACGATATTCGGCCAGATAAGAGCCAAACATATGGGTGCTTTGAATTTCCCAGGAGACTCCAGTAAGATTTCTGTCGATTACTTGTCGAGAGAAGAAGTAGGGGACAAGCATTTCGAGAGAACCAAGGAAGGATACAAGATGGCAATTGTCGGTAGGAACGCTGAACGTGTGCCTGTGGTTACCATTGAGAATAATGTCCATCAATCAGAGGACTCAAAATCACTGGAGCTCGTTCTGAACTTCATGGTGACTGCTAACCATGCAGCATCAGAGTTTGCTTTCAGAAAGAATGTTCCTATCATTCTTAGGACGCAGAAATTATCGTGGAGGAAACGTGTTGCCAAAGAAGTTAAAGAAATTCTTGCTGGAAACAAAGATTCCAGAGTTTCAGCGAAAGAAATGGTTGAGCTCGGAAAGTTCTTAACTGCGGCAAACTACCAAGTCAAACCTTGTGGTCATGAATCCCTTGGTCTTCCAAGATATGCCCATTTCACCTCTCCTTTGAGAAGATATGCTGATATGGTCAATCACTGGATCATGGCACACTACCTCATGAACCAAAAACATCCCAGATCAAAGGAAGTGATCTTCGATGATGATGCTATGAACAACTTGTCCTACGTGGCCAATCACTTGCAAATCTGTCAATTTGTGGTTAACCATGCCCAGAAAGACTCTGACCTGTTCTGGCAAGGAAGCTTCCTCAAGCAATACTTTGAATGTTTGCAAGCTGGAGAAATCGAAGACCCCATTGAGTTTGAGTTCTTGCTTCTAAGCGATCCGAAACGAGGAGATGTCAGTTGCAGGGTGACAAACTTCAGTGGTTTGAGAACCACAATTGTGGCCAACGATACCTTAAAGCAGCTTTTTGAAAGCGGTGAGTACGAGATTGGAAAAGCGGTGAAGCCAAAGTTCACCGTCAAGAAGATAGATTTGATAGAGCATGAGTTTACCGTTGAACTCGAAAGTACATAGTGCAACGGAAATCTGCAACGCAGATGACATAATCGGGAACCGCTGACTTGTAGAAACCATTCACTGACGCCTCGAGGCGGGATAAAGCATTACTGGAAATTAATGCATAGGCAACTCTAGGCGTTCTAAGACACCTGCGAAGGAGACGAAGGAGACGAGAAGCCTCGCTTATGAGCGAGGCATTGTGAAACAAAGTGCCTACTTCACCTTCCATAGGCAGTAACGGTTTCCTAGCCAGGCGATGGCTGAGCATCTCTACCAGCCCATACATCTGGCCCACCCCTTCTACTGCGCACCCCCATTGAGTTGGCCCGTAAGCTTCACAAAGTCCATTAAGCTTCTTCCATTCCAACCCATTAAGGTTCTTCCATTCCAGGGCTCCCGCTATTAAGGTTCTTCCAGGGCTCCTGTCATGGCTAGCGCCACGCCAGTCGTGATGCCGATCCGCTGATCCCACCACGCCAAACAACCTAATTCCCCAAAACAACATTCACACACATCCATTGTACCAGCTCCAAAGCATAGCCAGCCAGTAACAAAAGGCTGCTCCAAACGCACGTCTCCTTCCAGCATCGATGCCCAGCGCGAATAAACAAACCGATCGACTCCTCTTGGCCACAACAAACAACTACAAATACAGACGAGCGAAGGAAACGTGCAGCAATGGAAAAACCCCAAGTAGCCCCAAAACAACTGGGAATGCCCTCTATTTATACCCCAAGGCGGGCCCCATCCCTTCTGGTAACACACTGCTGCCTCGCGCCTCATGCCCTGCAGAATCTGTAGAGGAAAGTCTTGCACACGAAGGCTGTTCTTTTTCTTCTATGCCTTCACAGAGCTCTTGCTAGAGAAGGCATAGTGTTTTGATACCAACAACGCTTTTTGTTGTTTTTGTACTACATCCTTCTTCTTTCTTCCTAGGTACCGTTTTTTTTTTTACACTATCAAGATGGCCGAGGCTGACACGCAAAGTACGTCGACGTCGGCGGTGTTGGTGACGTTGGTGTCCAACTCGATTCTTCTAGGGAGTTTTGTTGCTGGTTTCTTGATTCTCAGGCTTAAGTTTAAGCGAATCTACTCGCCCAAGTCTTCCTTTGATCTTGTGCCTGAGGAGAAGAAGCCTGATCCGCTTCCCGCTGACCCTGTTCGGTGGATATTTGTTTTGCTTACGAAACCACATTCTTTTATTCTTCAGCAATGTGGAATGGATGGGTACTTCTTCTTGCGGTACCTCATCATGTGTGGGTTGATCTTCCTTTTTGGAATGTTGACATGGATCATTTTGCTTCCTGTAAACGCTACCAATGGCCATGGCCACGAAGGTTTGGACCAGTTGTCGTTTGCGAATGTGGCTAACCCAAGAAGGTACTATGCCCATGCGTTTATGTCGTGGTTCTTCTATGGCGGTGTTATTTACATGATCTACAGAGAGCTTTTCTTCTTCAATTCGCTCCGTGCTTCTGTGTTGTCTTCGCCTCGTTATGCCAACAAGTTGGCGTCTCGTACGGTGTTGTTCCAGTCGGTGCCTGACGCTTTCCTCGATGAAAAACAGTTCATGAAGCTCTTCAATGGTGTGAAGAGGATTTACGTCTCGAGAAATGTTCGTCTTTTGGCCCATAAGGTTAGACAGAGAGAGAACATGGCTATGCAATTGGAAGCTGCTACCACTAAGCTTTTGGTTACAGGTATGAAGGCCAAGAAGAAGGCCGACAAGAAGGGAATCCAGGTCGAGAACCCTGACGATATCTCTTCTTATGTTCCTGAGAAGAAGAGACCACGGGTCAAGGAAGGTGGTTTCTTCTCCAAGAAGATTGACAAGATCGAACACTGCCGTCAAAAGCTCCAGCTCCTCAATGCCGAGGTCAGAAAGCACCAGAAGCTTTACAGACATGCTCCACCCAAGAACTCTCTCTTCGTGGAGTTCGAGGACCAGTACAGTGCCCAACTCGCGTACCAGACTGTCATTCACCACAACCCAATGAGAATGTCGCCAGCTTACATTGGCCACAACCCAGAGGATATCGATTGGGACAACATGCGTCTTTTCTGGTGGGAGAGAATCACCAGAAAGCTTATTGCTCTGGCCATTATCATTGCTTTGATTATCTTCTGGGCCATTCCTGTGGCATTCGTCGGTGTTATTTCTAACGTTAACAACTTGACTGAGAAACTTCCATGGTTGGGTTTCATCCAAAACTTGCCTGATTGGTTGCTTGGTGTTGTGACTGGTTTGTTACCTACCATTATGTTGTCCTTGTTGATGACAATCTTGCCTATGTTCATCAGAGCTATGGCAAAGATTGCAGGCTGTGTCTCTTTCCAAACTACTGAGGACTTTACTCAAAACTGTTACTACGGCTTCTTGGTCGTGAACAGTTTCCTCGTTACTGCTTTGGCTTCCTCGGCCACTGCAGCTGTTGCTGAGATCATCAACAACCCAGCATCTGCCATGACACTTTTGGCTGCCAACTTACCAAGATCCTCGAACTTCTTCATCTCATACCTTATCTTGCAAGGCTTCACTATTGCAGGTGGTGCTTTGTTCCAGGTCGTGACTTTCTTCTTGTTCTACATTCTTGGTGCCGTTTTGGATAAGACGCTCAGAAAGAAGTGGGAGAGATTCTCCGGTTTGGGTTTGGTGATGTGGGGAACAACTTTCCCTCTTTTCACTAACTTGGCCACCATCACATTGGCTTTCGCCATCATCGCTCCAATGATCTTGCTCTTTGGATGCGTCGCCTTCCTTTTGGCATTCATCGCCTATGGCCACAACTTGACCTACTGTTTCATTGAAGCTCCTGATAACAGAGGTATGCACTACCCAAGAGCTTTGTTCCACACCTTCACTGGTCTCTACTTGGGCCAGGTCTGTTTGTTGGGTTTGTTCGTTGTCGGTAAGGGTTGGGGCTGTGTTGCATTGCAAGCCATTGGTATTGCGGCCACGGCTTTCTGCCACCACAACTTGCTTGAAGCTTTCGGTCGTTTGACCACTGTCCTTCCAATCGACTGTATGAAGCCATTGGACGGATTTTCCCAGACTGTTTCTTGTCTGACGGATTCTGACTTCAAGAGGAAGGTTTTGGACAAGAACAAGGCCAACGAGCCTAAGGTTCTTGAGGAAGATAAGATCGACCAAGCCAGAGTTGAAGAAGAGACAGGCCAGCTAGAAGGTGGCCACAACCTTGTGCCATTGTTGGCAGACAGAGACTTCAAGACCACCGAGTCTAAGAACTGGTTTGTCCGGTTCGTTCGTCCCGACGTATTCTTAAACTTCAGACACGCAAAGAGAATGATTCCAGCTACATACAACATGGAAGAAGAAGTTACGGACGACAAGCATGCATATGATCAGCCTGCTATTGCAGCACAAATGCCAAAGCTCTGGATCCCCAGAGACCCATACGGATGGTCGAGGAGAGAGATAGAGGATAACGAGAAGATTATTGAGGTGACCGACGAGAACTCTGGCTTCAGCGACAAATGCGTGCCTCAGTTCTTTGGCGAAGCACCTCTCTAAGCGAATAACGACAGATTTCGAGTGGCATTACGTCACAAAGTTAAAGCTTGATTTTCACAACGGTTAGAAATTTTTTGGAATTCCGGCTACAAAAGCCCGTCATTGAATTAATACGATAGCATTACCAAAACCCTCTGTAGGGCAAAACGGTGGTTTCTGTTGGCAGCCAAATGCAGTAAAGACAAGCAAGATGTGAAAAATTGGCGCTTTCACAGGTGAAAATGCGAGATGAAGGACAAAACTTAAAGGCCCCAACAAACCAGCACCCCGTATTAGTAACCGTAGTTAATTGCAAAGAAAACGTAGTCCCACCACCTTCTCTTCTCGATTTTCCATCTCCCCGTTTTTCCACATTTTTCCATCCAGTGGGGCTTCTCCATCGTCCATGTACCGCGGATATAACCATAAAAGTGGAGATAACAAGAGGAATTTCTCAAGCCATATATACTCACCCATGTACCCCAGGTTTGGCAAAAGCACCAGTCTTTTTAGTGCCATGACCGCCTCAGCGCCTTCCCGGGCCCTTTCCCGCCTCCAGCTTACCCAGAACCATCTCAGAGCCAATTCGTCGACTCCAGTTTTCGAAAGCGTAACTGTGGGTGCTAAGTATACCCAAGAGTATAAGAACTACGCTGTGGATCCTTTGACGAGCAAGGTGGTTTCGTATTTCCATGACATTCCTTTGCAGAAGAATAAGCAGGCTAGAACTGCCACTATGGTGGTGGAGGTGCCACGGTGGCTGAACGGGAAGTTCGAGATCGACCCTAAACAGCCTGGTAACCCGATTATCCAAGACGTCAAGAAGGATAAGGTCAGGTTTGTCCGTAACTTGTTTCCTTACCATGGGTACGTTCACAACTACGGTGCTCTTCCACAGACATGGGAGGACCCTACGCAGAAGAGCAATGTGGAAGATTTGTATGGAGATGGAGACCCGTTGGATGTGTGTGAAATAGGCTCCAGAGTGTTGCCTACGGGCACAGTTACCACGGTGAAGATTCTTGGCTCTTTGGCTTTGATTGACGATGGCGAGTTGGACTGGAAGGTTATTGCCATCAATACAGAGGACGAGTTGGCGTCTGAACTTAATGATATTTCAGATGTGGAAAAGAAGTGCCCTGGCCTTCTAGATGCTACCAGACAGTGGTTTAAGGATTATAAGAAACCAGACGGGAAGCCGGAAAACGTGTTTGCATTCAAAGGTGAATATAGGAACGCTGCAGAGACGTGGGAGACCGTTGAAGAGTGCTACGAGGCCTGGAAGAAGCTTGTGGAGGGAAAGACCGAGGCCGGCAAGTATGCCATTGAAAATGTCACTTTGGAGGGTACCCCAGGCAAGAAGAATGCTTTTGACTTTAACGATAGCGTTTTCGTCGAGGCTGCTGTGTCTGACGCTCTTATTCCTGACGAGGTGCACAAGAGCTTTTACTATTAAGGTAAAGAAGGGTGGGCCGCTTGACAGGACATTAGAGACGGCGGCGCCGAAATAGGTTTATTTATTATGAAACCAAAAATGCATTACTTATTAGCAAGCATGTGGTGGTAGGTGATTGGCTGTAGTGGTAGGTCAGTGGTGCTGGGCTGAAAAGAAAGTATTGATGATGTGAAAAGGTGAAGAAGTTGCTTGAAAAGTATGAGAAGATGATTTTGGAGTTCCGAATTAGAAAGCAAAAGGGATATTCTATAAGGAAGATGGCCTCCACCTTCTCCATAGTAGTGGTATCTTTCGCAGCCATATTGTCCAGACGGTACTACACCGTTCACCCCCAACTGCCTATTTATCTGAATTCATGCCTTTTAAGCTAACTTCCAACCTTCTTTTTGCTGACCCTTATTAACTCTCTACCTTTTCTTTCCCATCCCACCTCAATAACTCTACTCATACCTTCACTGGCTCATTTTGCAACCATTACCGCGATGACTCCTAGCCCCATCACTTCCACACATCAGCATCAAAATCAACCAACAAGTTCCAAATCCCAATTTCCTCTAAACACGAAACAACCTTATTCCTAACAAAAAACTCTCCACTACCAACCCTTCCCTCCCTCCATCTCTTCACCTTGCTGTGAGTGTGCGCACCAATATCAACAGCGTAGAAAAAATCCATAAGTTGCAACCATCATAAACAAACCAGATACCTGCATTCCCGGGACCAATGCCGTCGTCAAACTCCCTAATCCGCTCGCAGGGTCTTAGACCCATGGAGCAAACTGCCCTGTGGACGTTTGGTTCCGCATTGACCCTTATAAGAGAAGAACCTCTGCTCCATATTCTTGATGCTTTGGACGAGTTTCTCTTACACTCTGGGGAGTTGATCACCCTGGCGTTTCCATTTAGAGAGGAGACGCCTAAGGATTTGGAGAAGGTGAAGGAATTCACTTTAAGGGGTGTTTTGTTTTCAGATACGCAAGATAGTGTGGATATTGCCAATAAGCTAGCTCGTACGTTGAAGGTGAACCCTAAGGAAGCGTTGAGAGTGATCTCACAGACTCAGTCTCGGATTCCAGAGCTTGACGAGATTAAGAAACCTTCGAGCTTGCTCCACTCGCGTCTTCATGACGATAAAGATGAATGCAGAGAGAACGATAAGCTCAACTTGTATGCGTCTATGATCTTGAAGGAGAGAAGAACTGTGCTCCGTATAGCCAGGGAGTGTCTTGATAGAAGATTCAACGAGAAGGCGACTTCAACGGTCCGTAACTTGGGCAGATCACTTGTCTTGGACTCGAAATACGCTGAACTGGCTATAGAAGCTCTTAAAACTACCGCTTCCTCGATCATTACGGGTACTTATAAGACTGGCATTTCTGAAAGCTTAGACGAGATCATCTATACTGAGTCTCTCCTTTTCATGCTGGAGCTGTTATCCCTTCTATGTGAGATCTTCGTTTCATCCAATGCTGTCACGAGTGTAACCAAATGGTTCGAGTTTATGGACGAAACCAACTTCATGATCTCTTTGGGAACCTATGTTTCCAGCAGAGAATGCTTCGTGTTGCTTCAATCCTTGGCTACAGTCGTTTCACTCCAGGTTCTTGATTTGGAGAACTCCTTTGATCCAAGCGATCCTCTGTATGTGAACGACGGTAAGACTTTCAAGCTTGTCAACGATATTATATCAACCAGAAACGTCAACTCTATCGTGAACTACGCGTGGCTTATCGTATTGTACAAGAAGGCCATTGTCATTGAGGAGTTCTCAGACGACCTGTCAGCATTCACCAAGGAGATTTCCCTCTCTGAAATCAACACCAGCATAGCATTCTTCACCGAGACCCTTGAACAGGGAAACGTTTTCAAAGATATCATGAACATCAATTCTTTCCTTCATTTTGATGAGATCTACTCAATCGTTTTGGCTAATCTACTAATGGTCGCTTTACCGCTAATGCCAATGAACGTCGAAACTGCCACATGTGTGCAGCAAGTACTCAGTCAAGCGCCACCTCCAGTGGTTGAGAAATTCTACGAAAACAACGAAGTCATTAATGCCATTATCTTGTCTCGTGCAAAGTTCCCAGTCAGCATCCCTCCATACCTCAAATTGGCTTCTATCAACGGCAATTTTGCCTTCAATGAGTTCCGTGAACTTAAATCATACATGTCTGTTTTTGATAATGAAGAGTTTGGTAGGGTATGTGACATTGACTCTGAAAACACCGATCTCATGAAGCTTTCTGAAATGATAGACTTATATCCTCCCTACGAAGTCAACAACAAGTTGTCGCTTGTTCTCCGCCACGATACTAAAGCTAAGGTTATTCCTTCAAGTGAAGAAAACAAAGTGCTTGTTACTTTCTTGTACAAATATAGTGGTTGGGCATTCCTTGGAAGAGTGGTTCAGAATATTTCGAAGACATTTGATATCAACGATGCCCCGAAGACGCTTGTCTTGAACGACATGCTTCATTTGCTTGTGCAGACTAGCTCTCAAGTGACGACAGAAGACTTACAGATAGCTCTTGACGCCATGTCCGCTTATACTGATGACTCTGATATTTTGGAGATTCTCTTTAGGTTGCTTGAACAAGGATTGCATAACCGTGATACTGAAATCCTGACCAAGATCATCAAAATCTTTACGAACTTATTACCTTTGCATTCGGCCAGGATCTGGCCCTACCTTGCCAAATCTTCCTTGCTACCCAACGGGGGTAAGGAGCCTTTCATGTCAATTATGTTTGGCTCGATTGAGATGGTGAAGGGAAACTACGACTTTACTGTTGCTTTGACCAAATTCATTGGGGCCTTGGCAGACAATTGTCTCACGAATAAGCATGACTATCCTAACATTCTCAAGGGCGAGGTTCTTGGTGTTATGGTTGAGCATTCTATTGTGGTATTTGAGAGCTACATCAACTGCAATTTCAATGATGGCTTACAAAAGCTTGAATTGGGCATCTTACTTCTCGACATTTTCACGAGCATTTTGGTCACCGTCAAGGACACTAACTCGGGTAACTTCAAAGACAATGAACCTGCTAAGGAGTTTGTTGGTTCCGCTCAGAAGATTCTTGATGCCTTCTTGGCCTATGAAGATGGCGCTGCTCGTGCACCTATTCCAATCTACAAGATGATTAGTGCGGTTGCATCATCGATGAACTTCTACGACTTTAGGGATGTTACAGGATTTTACTCCAACCATTGGGTGAGCAGCGCTTTGGTCTTTTCGAGAGAGTTGATCAAAGCTAGAAGCCTCGTAACCAACAAGCCCTCGCAGTTCGAGAGACAAATGTTTACTCAGCTTCAAAATTTGGTGAGGATTTACTCTAGAGGCTCCTTTAGAAAGCCTATCTTAGACTTAATCGCAGCATTGACTAGTGGAACGTGGAGCGAGGAGCAAATGCCGTCAATGTTGTCTCACTTGGGACGCAAATACTCCCAAGTTTTCTTGCATTCCTTGGCAGCTGATTTGAATAACTCATTTGATGATTACAGTATCCGGATTTCAGTTTATGACTTGTTATGTTCGATTCTAGATGCTAGCCAAGAAGGCTTGTCTGTGTTGTTCATCAGTGGCCGGGATGTCTTTGGCGGCTCTACTAGTGAGGCTCCTCTCACAGTTTCCCTCTTAGCGGTACTCAAAAAGAACGTGAGTGAGATCAAGTATTACCCTCCATCTGTCACTGCGCACTTGCTTGATGCAATTGCTTTGGCATTTAACTCTTGGACTATTGCTAATGAGGATAATAGTGATGAGCATTTCGTCAAGGAAATGCTCAAGCTCCTTGAAGATGATATTGTGGATGGATCTTCCAAGAGTCCACAGGAGTTGGTTTCAGCATGTTACAAGAACAAGGTTCTTTCGAAAAGTGCTGAAATTTTGTCCCTCATTCTTTTCACTACTAAGAATGACAAGATCAAGAAACTCATTGTTGACGACCTTATCTATAAGGACTCATTTATCTCGAAAGTTTCAAGCCTTTTGCGTCCTGTCCTACTCAAGGGGCCCACCATTGAGTCCATCGCCCAAAAATTTGAAGAACGCTTTTCAAGCTACAAGTTATCGCAATTTGCTACTTCTGTGAGAACAAGAAACAGATTTAATGTAAATGCGATATATGACCTTAATATGATGGAAAGTCTCTTCAAAGCAGATTCAGAGTGGAAGACCATCAAAGCCTTGATTGAAAGCTGGAGTGCTCGTATCCAGAACTACTATTCTCAGGTTGCTATTGCAAAGTCTACCGGTGCATTGATTACAGCAGTATGCCGCAGACTGCCTAGCAAACAGCTTTCAAAGTACTTGAAACTTACTCCAGATATTCTTACTATGAACATCGTTGAAGAGGCTTACATTCTTGATACTGCTACTCAGCTTAGGTTGGAAAGAGTTGAGCTTTCCTTCCTCGTTGCACAGACCTACAGTGTTGTCGATGGTGCTGAAAAGGACTCCCAAGTTGCTCTTCGGATTGTGGAAAAGTCATCCACCATGCTTAATGGAACATCTAATCTGGATGCCATTACTTCAGTCACCCACAGAGCTTTGCTCAGATTGGCACATATTGCTCTTTCCACACTTAAGGATGATCATGAGCTTATAATCTCGCGTTTCAGTGTGCTTCGTGATTTTTTAACCGAGTTGTTTCGCAGGGTTCGAGACTCATTATTACCCAACTCCAGAACGATGTCTATCTTTCTCGTACTGATAAGAAGCACAAGTCACAGGATTTGGGTGAGCTTCTTAATGACTTGCGTTTGGTAATCTCGATCTTCAAGTGCTTTGTGTCTTTTAACATTCCAGAGTCTCTCCAGCGTGAGTTGGCTAGTTCATTGACGCAGAATAGAACAGTTGAAAATTTCCTTAGTCTTTACTCGTTCTCCCACTTGATTGTCGTTAACGAAGAGCCAATCTTCTCTCACTTGACGCTCATGTTCGTGCAACTCCTCCTTTCTGTTAGCATCTTTGCTGAGAAGTTCATCAACAGAAACATGTTTATGGTGATCAGGGAGAGTATGATTTCGCAGCCGCTTCGTGAAGGTGGAATCACCATCGAAAACTCTCCACAGCTCCACAGAAACTGGACAAACGGTATTCTCCCTATCCTTTCCGCTACCTTGCTTGGACCAGGCAACAAGTCGGAAGTTTTCAACACCATCAGGTCGTTTGGCAAGCAGATTGCCTTTTGCATAGAGAGTTGGGCCAAGGACTCGAGGTCGCTTAGAGTCTCGTCAGCTGTTACATGGGAAACCACGCAGATTTTACATTTGTATCAGATTTTGAGTGAAATCGCCAAGGCAGAAAAGATCTCAAGCGACTCCCCCACCGGCGTTGATATGGCTATTCTTCCAGGTCTTGAGACACCTCAAAAGAGAGAGGACTTGATAGACTACATCACGAACTTACTCAAGCATCCAAAGTTCTTGTCGTCGATAATTGTGCCCAGCACACCTGAAGAAGCCAAGATCCTCAAGAGCCACGGCACGGCCCACAATGAGTTCGTCAAGAGCCTCATTCTGGAAATATCAGAGCTCAAAGAGTTCTTCAATTAAGTATGGGTGCAAAATTGAAAAGTGCTGCACAGAAAAAAAGTGTTGATGTAACGCGACGTTGGATGACTTCAAAGTCGTAACGCATCTCGTAATAGATAATGAGCTCACCCTTCTATGTTTCCGCTCCTGGAAAAGTCATTCTTTTTGGTGAGCATTCTACCGTTTACGGTAAGCCTGCCATCGCTGCTGCTCTAAGTCTCAGAGCGTACCTCCTCGTCAACCCTAGCGAAGATCCAGATGAAATTTGTTTAGAATTTCCAGATATCTCTCTTAAGCACCTGTGGAAGAGACTGGATATCCCTTGGGAAGCTCTTGAACCTATCATTCAGAGGTATGAAGACGTTCCTATTGCCACAGACGAGCTAGTGCCAGAAATCTTGGACCAATTGTCTGACTTGTTGGATATGGAGGACCAACGTACCTACATCACTTGCAGATGTTTCTTGTACTTGTACTCGAACTTGTGTGGTCCTGAAACCCCTGGTTGTCATTTTATCATCCGTTCTACGTTGCCAATTGGCGCTGGTTTGGGTTCATCTGCATCTGTGTCTGTTTCCATCTCCACAGCTCTTGCACTCTTGGGAAAGCATGTCCAGGACCCAACTCTTACGGTTGATAGCAGGCAACACGGTAAGGGAACCAGGGATACTGATTTCATTGACTCGTGGTCTCTTATGGGTGAAAAGTGTTTCCATGGTAACCCTAGTGGTATTGATAATGCAGTCGCTACGCACGGTGGAGCCGTCTTGTACCAGCGTTTTGGTGGCCCAGGCAACGTTGCCGTGCGTACAAACTTGAGAAACTTTAGCGGAATCAAACTTTTACTTACAAACACAAAGATTCCAAGAAGTACGGCTGACTTGGTTGGCGGTGTCGCTTCATTGAAGGTCAAGTACCCAAAGACCGCAGAACACCTCTTACTGGCCATGGAAGAGGTTGCACAGGATGCATTGCAGGAAATGCTTCAACCTAAGGCAGACACTAAGGTTTTGAGTGAACTTTTCAATATTAATCATGGTTTATTGGTTTCCTTGGGTGTGTCTCATCCAGCTCTAGAAACAATCAAGGCCATTGGTGATACCCACAAAATTGGAGCTACGAAATTGACTGGTGCTGGCGGTGGTGGCTGTGCCATCACTTTGCTTTCGCCAGATGTTGATGAGAGTGCCTTATCGAAGGTGAAGGAGGAATTCGCTGAGAAAGGGTTTGAAACCTTCCAGGCTCAATTGGGTGGCAAAGGTGTTGGTGTGTTGCATCTTAAGGATAGTGAGGTCACCGATGTGTTCTCTGCTGAACAGTTTATGGAACACGAAACGAGAGAGCATATTGAGGAGGCCATTGGAGCATCTAAGCTCGCCGGATGGAGATACTGGTAATCAGCATGTAATAGCATATAAAAGCAAATTTAATAAATATATCTAGATACCTCTATTGAACTCCACTTGTTCGATCTTGTTTCCGGACTTGTCCTTCAAGTTGTGGAATTTCTCTTCTAATCTATCTGGCGAGATGATCTCACGTTGAGGGAAGATGGCAAGGGCAGGAGGCAATGCCACGAGCGCTGTAACAAAGATAAGACCAATGTTGACGGCAGTTTCAGTCAACTTGGACTTACCCTTGAGAAATCTAGTCTTCTGTAGTCTCACCAAAATCAATGGTGGAATGGCCATGACTGGTGTAGCGTTGATGACACGGCTGGCAGCAGTTTCACCGACAGCGTACAAGGCAGCCTTCTTGGAAGTGCCCAAGTCTTCGCCGTCCTTGTTGAACACGGAAATACCCTTCTTCAATTCTTCACTTCTCATCAAGAAAACATTAGCAATACCGGCCGAAACGACAGCAGCGAAAGGAACCAAACGGCCCAAAACCATCTTGGTGTTAGGCTTAAGACCCTTAAGCTTTGGAACCAAGGCATTGAGACCCAAAGCAACCGAACATGAAGCAGTCACAGCCATAGTATAATTAGTAGCAATCTGCTTCGTCGTCAATGGATGCAGCTTGTTGGCGTTCGAAATATTAATAGCTACATTCAAAGACTGGTTGGCCACCTGCCAAAACACAGTTCCAGCAGTTCCAAGGCCTGGCGTAAGCATACCAGCCGTGACAACCAAGTTAGAAAGCACACATGAACTCATTCTGAACGGCAAGAACACGGTCTCGCCAGTGTCAGGGTGCAAAGCAGAGTCCAAGATCTTCTTGGATTTCCAAAAGTCAGGCGTAAGCTTGCCGGTGACGCCGTTTCTATAGTCCCAGACAACTCGTTTAGCGTTTTCAATGTCAGACGAAGTGTTGAGAAGCATTGTAGGGTCTGAAATCTCAGCACAGTGCTTAACACGGCCCCAGTATGTGGAGAGGTCGAAGCGAGAGTCCGGAAGCGGCACCGGGCCGGTGATGGAGGAGGCCATTCTATGGATGAAAGAAGGTGTAGTTGAGGTTTTGGAGTAGAAGCTTTTCAGTGCGAAGAAGTAATGTGGGGCCGGAACCGGGCCGAAGGGAAAAGAGATGAAGAAATGGAAAAGAAGAAAGGGTAGTTAAGGGATTTGAGGAGAACCGATTGGTTTGTTTCCCGAGAGAAAAGTCGTAAGCTCGTATAAGAGGTTGCTCGGATGAACAGCAGCTGAGGCCACAAAGGTGAGGTACGAAGAGGTGGTAGAGGTATGGAGATATGGAGAGATAGCTTTTTTTTTGGATGGCATTTTGGTACTGATGATTATTTTAGGGATTTCGGGCTAAGAATGCTTTTCCTTGTTTTTGGAGGATGTGATGGTGTGGGTTTACATATGGTATGCTTGGTCTGAGCATGGGAAGGTCTAGGGCCTAAGACAGTGCAGCTAATGCCATTAAGAGAGGTCTCTTCAGGCATTTGTCCCGTAAACTGGCTAACTTCCGATCATAGTAAACCACTATCTGTCATAATTAGTATTTTTCAGGCCTGGGGTGGGCAGAAGGAATGGCTGCAAAATCCATGGTGCTCTATTGGCTGCAATGTACCGCAAGCCCAGATGCACAGCCGTGCCATGAAGAGAAGGATATGGTGTATCTTGGTGAGTTGGTCAAAGGTGCTCCAATTAAATTCTTTTTTGGTTGGATTTACCTCCAATGATAAACATGCGGAATTGTATTTCGAGGGCACTTATCTTGCTGGTGGAGAGTGTCCATTGAGGAAAACGTGGGCAGCTAAGGCCCTCAGGAAACGCAATATACTATAACAAGCGGATCCCCTATTTGATCTTATACAAAGTTAGCCCTATATAATTGCCTAACACTCCCTGAAATCTACCTTTCTGGTCATTTTTCATGGCAGCTTCCTAGTCCAGAGGTACATAGCACCTCTACATACCACTTCAGTGCCAGTAATGCCTGATTACCTAAAGAATATGTTCATCGTTTGAATCATATCCTTCCCTAAGCTCGCTTTTGAGCTTTCGAGCCCTAAATGCCCTTCCAGTGTCAATATCCTTCTCTCTGGCTGTTACCTACCAATTGGTTGCAAATCCACCACTGTTCCAACTACCAACCAACCATGAGCTCCATGAACCAGGAACAAGAAAGCATTATATTTACAAAATCAATTACTACTTATTAAACCAAATTAACCGCTCTATATCTTCCCTGGCAGTGTTTTTTCTATCCTTTCTACGTCCCACCACCCACCACATCCTGTCCATAATGGCCATCTCTTCCCATACTGTGCGACATCAACACTATGATACTAGGCCTAGGAGTTGATCTCGTCCACCTTCTGCGGTTCACAAGACTACTATCCAAGGGTGAACCGTTCGTGAAAAGACTATGTGGAAGGATACTTCACCCGAATGAGCTCAGCCAATTGCCGTCTCTAAATACCAGTGCAGCTACTAGGTACTTGGCAGGCAGCTGGGCAGCCAAAGAGGCAGTCTTCAAGACGCTAGACGAAAGGGACCAGCAGACGTTCCAATTCAATCAGTGGTACAAGTATAAAGTGGGCAATCGACCAGCCATAGCTTCAGATACCACCAAAGACTCATTCATGCTTAGCATCTCTCACGATAACGATATGCTTATAGCTACAGTGCTCCGGCAGAGCAAGACGACATAGTTACGACTTCATTATTACTAATACACATTCTTTTTTTATAGTGACATCTACACTGTCTATTCCCACTCGACGGTGGCAGGAGGCTTGGAGGTGATGTCGTAGGTGACACGAGCAACACCATCAACCTCGTTGACGATTCTGGAAGCAACTCTCTTGAGGAAAGAAGCCTCGAAAACAAACCAGTCAGCGGTCATGAAGTCCACGGTTTCAATGGCTCTCAAAGCAATAACCTGCTCGTAGGTTCTCTGGTCACCCATGACACCGACAGACTTGACTGGCAAGAGAGCAGCGAAAGCCTGCGAGATCTGCTTGTACAAACCAGCCTTCTTGATCTCCTCGATGAAGATAGCGTCAGCCTCTCTGGCAATGGTCACCTGCTCCTTGGTAACCTCACCCAAGACTCTGATAGCAAGACCTGGGCCTGGGAATGGGTGTCTCCACACAAGGTCGTGGGGAACGCCCAAGAGCTCACCCAAGTGACGGACTTCGTCCTTGAACAATTCTCTCAATGGCTCAATCAACTTGAGCTTCATGTCCTCCAAAAGACCACCGACGTTGTGGTGGGTCTTGATGGTCTGAGATGGGCCCTTGAAAGAGATGGACTCAATCACATCTGGGTACAAAGTACCCTGCAACAAGAACTCGATCTCCTGGCCAGAAGCAGGCTTGATCTTGGCAGCCTCGTCCTCGAAAACGTGGATGAAAGTGTTACCAATGATCTTTCTCTTCTTCTCTGGGTCAGTGACACCCTTCAATCTGCCCAAGAACAAGTCAGAAGCATCAACAACAGTCAAGTTGATACCCAAACCTTCGGTCAAGGTCTTGTAGACGGTCTCAGTCTCGTTCTTTCTCATGACACCGTTGTCAACGTAGATAGCGTGGAAACGGTCGCCAATAGCCTCCTTCATGATCTTGGCACCAACAGTGGAGTCAACGCCACCAGAAACAGCACCAATGACCTCAGCAGTTGGACCAACCAACTTCTGGATTCTGGCAATCTCGGTGTCCACGAAGTTCTCCATGGACCAGTTGGAGTTGGCCTTACAGATGTCCAAAGCGAAGTTCTTCAACAAGATCTTACCGTTGACAGAGTGGGTGACCTCTGGGTGGAACTGGATACCGTAGATAGGGTCCTTCTCGTGAGCAATGGCACAGAAAGGAGAGTTGTCGGAAGTAGCGACGGTCTTGAAGCCAGTGGGCAAAGCGTGCAACTTGTCACCGTGGGACATCCAGACCTGGGAGTGGTCAACACCGTTGAAGAGAGGACAAGACTGGTCCTCCACGTTCAAAGTAGCAGGACCGTACTCTCTCTTGTCACCTCTGCCAACGCCCTTACCGTTGATCCAAGCCAACTCTTGCATACCGTAACAGATACCCAAGATAGGAACGTCAAGCTTGAACACATCGTGGTCCACGTGTGGAGCATCCTCAGCGTACACAGAGTATGGGCCACCAGACAAGATGATACCCTTAGGCTTCCAGGAAAGCTCAGCGATCTTCTGGGTGCAAGGCAACATTTCAGCATACACATTGAACTCTCTCAATCTTCTGGTGATAAGATGAGAGTACTGGGAGCCAAAGTCAAGAACAAGGATGGTGTCGAACACCTTGGACACTTCCACGGGCACGTCAGGAACAGACATTGTTGTATATGGGTGGAACACTAGATGGTTAGAGGATGTAGTAGGATGTCTAAAATTTGTGCGATGTGTGCGATGGGGCGATGAGGTGCACTGGGTGGAGGAGTCAGAGTGAACAGAGGACAAAGGGGGTGGTATTGGATTTTTTGGGGGGATTTAGTGGAAGTGAAGGGGGTGGTTGGTTTTAATGGGGTTTGGACGTTTGGAGGTCTGGGATGGGCGTTGTTGGGGTTATTGGCCAGAGTCAGCGGTTAAAGTGAAAAATTGATAACAGTCCGCGGGCCGAGGTGGTATGAGGGAGAGAAGTAGGGAGGGGGGAAGGAGGGGGTCGAAGAGGTAAGAAAGAATTAAAGTATAGTGTCTTCTTTACAATTGACGTAGAGAAGGGGTCTTTTTGGCTCTGGAAGAGGTGGCTAGGGGGGCAATTGAGTGTATGGCTGTGTGACTCTTACTGGGTAGTTAATTAGCACGCTGTGATGAAGAAGTGGACTGGGGGAGGGTCGTTGTTTTTTGGTAACATTTCTAATGGATCAATAAAATGTAATACAGCTACAAACGGTCTTCTTTTAAGACTCTGGACGAAACAGCGTGGTGGTGTGGGACCCTTTACTGCCGCTGGCAGAGATTTCGCAGCCATTCTTATATACTACTGGTCCAGCCGTACCACCTCCAGGGTTGAACCTCGGGGGGTCGCTAAGAAGATGTTACTAGGATAGAAAGTATGTATTGAAGGTGTTGGATTTGGGCTTTCTTTATATGGTGTCTTTCTGGCTGACTAGCTATGGTTAGGATGGTATAGTGTTTGTGACAGAGATACCAGTGCTAGACACCAGTGCTGGACACGAACACACAAACAGTGGATATGTATTTGTCCTTCGTTGTCTTTAAGATCATTTGTCAAAACTTCTTCTCTCCTCATACACTTATTGCCTTATAGTCGTAACACCTCTCGCACCTTCGCTTTTGCACCCATCTACTACTCCACCATCATAACCCAAACAGCACCAAAGCTGACATCTACCGACCTCAACATTACAGAGTTTTAATTCATTAAAATTTCTCGACGTACTTCATATCTCGTCCACCGCTTGTACCCAGCCCTTATCACCCATGCGTTCACTTCCACCACCGAGAATCACCAGAAAACGACGCTGGAGACGTTTCAAAAGGTTCGTCAAGAGCATCTTCTGCCGCCAGTACTCATGGGATATCCATAGATTTGAAAAGTCAGACAGTATCAGCCACATTCGTGGTTCTCGAACACAGAGAACTGTTGGTGCTGGGTTCCGTACAGTTGGAGCCATTGGCCGCTGGCACTGGGGTGTCTGACGGCTAAAGTAGTTTATACGGATGTTATTTGCTAATGAATAAACTTATATGTGCTATTTGAGGATTAGTAGAATTTAATTTTCATGGTTTTCTGGAGATGTAAGTGGAAGGTTTCATTTTGCAGCCATTCTGTGAATCTGTCGCAACTCTGAAAAACTACACTTTCATCTATAAAATCAGGTTTATAGAAAAGTAGAAATAAAAGGATAGTTACAGAATCATTGGGACGAGTGGTTTCTGAAAATACCCAAACCAGGCTGATATCATGTCTTTTGGTGAAGTTAGCTCTACAGTTGGTTATCTTCTTAGAACACAGCCATAATGTAGCACCACCAGCATCCAAAATCAGCATTTCAGATTAAACTAAGTATAGAGTCCAATATAGTGCTCCAATAAACCACAAAAAACTATACATCTATTCTACTTCCCTTTCTGTTCCTCCCTTCCATCTGTTCACCCCAGGGACTAGTACCACCAGGCTGCATATGAGGCGAGCGTTAATTTTCCAGATGCTCATCTCATCTCCAACACCATCAAATAACCACAAATGGCTGAGGATCAGGTGAAAATCGCTCTTTTCACGAAAGAGGACGATGAGCTGCTTCACGTCTCGGATGCTCCATTGTTCGTGCCTGCCACTTTAAAGCGTTACGGTCTTTCTGAGATTGTCAACCATCTTTTGGCTAAGGAAGACGATGAGACCAAGCCTATTCCATTTGACTTCTTGATTGACGGTCAGCTTTTGAGAACTTCTCTTAGCGAGTACCTCGTGAAGAATGGTTTGTCCAGTGAAACGTTCTTGCACGTTGAATATACCCGTGCTGTGCTTCCGCCTTCGTTCTTGGCTTCCTTCAACAACGAGGACTGGGTTTCTTCTGTGGATACTATCAACAACGACTCTGCTGCTATCAAGTCGATCTCTGGCGCTTTTATCCCAGGCCCTCAGATCTTGTCTGGATCTTACGACGGTGTGGTCAGAACTTATAATATGTCTGGTCAGGTTGACAAGCAGTACGTGGGCCATCTGGCACCAGTGAGAGCTGTGAAGTGGATTTACGCTCATAGAGTTGTTTCTGCTGGTAATGATCGTCAGCTTCGGTTGTGGAAAACAGCTGCTGACCCTACGGCAGAGCTAGACGACGAGGAGCCAGAGTCTGCAAAGACCTTGGCCATTCTCGATGCCCACAAGGCCCCAGTGGTCTCTTTAGACGTTCACCAAAAGAGCCAGCGTATTCTTTCTGCTGGCCAGGACAACATTGTCGGCGTCTGGTCGACCAACCCCAAAGACATGACTTCTGTCGAGCCATATGCCTCGGCCACATCATTAGCATCCTCAGCATCGAAAAAGAGAAGAAAGATGGCGCTCAAGGACTCGAATGTCAACCACAAAGCACCATTGTCGCTTTTAGAAGGTCATCTGCAGCCAGTCGAAGGCGTGATCTTCGATGCTGCTGACCAGACGGTCGCCTACTCGGTTTCCCAGGACCATACCGTCAGAACCTGGGATTTGGTCACGTCAAAATGTGTCGACACAAGAAGCACGGGCTTTTCGTTACTTTCTATTGCACAGTTGCCGCTGGTGAATTTGCTAGCTACAGGCTCTTCAGCCAGACACATCAACCTCCATGATCCTAGAGCGCTGGAAGGAGCCACAGAGCTACAGACAACGAAGCTTTTGGGCCACACCAACTTTGTTGTTAGCTTGGCGCCTTGCCCCACCAATCCTAACATGTTTGCATCTGCCTCCCACGACGGTACCGTCAGAGTGTGGGACGTCAGGTCCAACCAGTCATTGTACAGTATTAAAAGAGAGTCTGGCACCCAAACCAAGGTGTTTGGCGTTGCTTGGGATAAGGAAATCGGCATTGTCAGCGGTGGTGAGGACAAGAAGGTCCAGATCAACAAGGGTAACGACATTGCCAAAAACTAAGCGTCAAATAGATGAAATTAAACGACTTAATCACCACGTCTTGCGTGAATTGGCGTGCTGGGCGCTGCTCCACATGGATAAACCGTAGAATCCTTGCCACATGCTTTCTCTATCAGTAATATAACCAGTGACAGGTTCTTTCTCGTTATTCAACGTGTTCACCACTTTCGTATCTTTCCACCCGATCTTCTTCCTCAACTGCTGGAGTTCCTCTGCAGTGAGCTCCACTTGTGCTGCAGTGCCATACTTCAATGGACCAACATTAATCCAGTAACCGTTCTTCACTGGATTGCGTTTGGATGGTGTAGTAAGCTGACCGATAACATCCAAGTAATCAATAAGATTCTCAGCAGTATCAACAAAGAACACAGAAACCACCACAATGTTCTTGTACTTCTCCCTGTTAGGGACAGTGAAGTAGCGGAAATCGTCAAGACAAATATGCAAATTAGACGGTTGTTGAGGCGTTGGCAAGCTCTTTTCACGGAACTGAGACAGAGTCTTGACAAAATTCAGACACGAATGAACATATGGGAAGATGCTGCTGTGGTTTTTATTAGCCTGGTAGACGTACTTGTTGCACGCATGCATTAATCCAGAGAACTCCACAGCATAAACAGCACCAAAGTCCATAAACGACGCCACTTCATGAGCCACACGACCAAGACCAGAGCCTGGAATCACCACACACGTTTCAGCAGCTTCGTTCTCAGGAATCACCTTTTTAAGCTCCGCTTTCACGAAATCCATCAAAGGTTCCCTCTCCACAGCACCATCAGGCGTCCAGTCCCTAACGAAATGCGTCAATGCCTCCACCACTCTATAATTCGTGCTTGAAGTGTTTGGCAAGTTCTTTTCAGCGTCAAGCAACGCAAAGTCTCTAAACGTCAAGCCATACTCCTGCTTCACACAACCAATCACATCATCCATAACATGCTGGTTCTTTTCGATATGGCCATCAATCAGCTTCAATTTCTGAAGGTACCCGATCTCCTCACACATCTTCTGTTGTCTCCACGAAAGCAACTTAAACAACTTGCTTCTCCTGGCGTTATAGCCCTTGCTATTCTTCAGGTACGCATCCAAAGCCTTGATAGCCGAAAGCAACTCCACCTGGGACGTACTAGCAAGCGCCTCAAACCGCTTATGTTCTTCAGGAGCGTTCTTATCGCCTCCACTGAACAAGCTGACCTTTCTTCGTTGCAGCCTTTGCACTGCCAGTCTCACAGCTCTCTGAAAAACACTGGTTCGTGATATCATATTGGAAGCAACAAACACCGCCGCCAAAAGCGGTACTTGCGATTTGACAAGCACTAGCGAAAGGCCTCCGTAGATTCCAAAGAACGACACAGCCGCTGCAAGCACAAGCTGGTAGTCTGGTAAAGAGTCCATGAGACTTAAGCTGGAGAGTTTTATCAGTGCAGAAGGCTGCGAAAGTCGAAACAGGAAGTGATAAGGAGGGAAGGTTGAGGAGGAGTGGAAGGGAAGGAAGGTAAGGGGAGGGTGTTGGAAGTAGATAAGGAAGAAAAAGGGTTGTTTGGTGTTTTTGGTTTTGTGATTTTGGATTTGTGCATTTTGGGCGTTTAGGTGGGTACTGGTAATGTATGGTAATGTATGGTGAGTACTGGTAGTTATAGGGTATGAGTTACTGGTAGGTGGAAGTGTTTCTATACTATAGAGCTTTGAAAGGCTTTCTTGGATTTTCTGGTTGGGCAATTAGACTATTTTTTGCTTCTTTATGGCTGGTGGTTTGGTGGATGGTGAATGGAAGTAGCTGGTTCTCTCTCCTCTGGTTGGGCTCCATAGTTAAGGCTTTTCGCAGCCAGTAGTGGAAGGTAGAGGACTGGGGGTTTCTAGAAAGACAAGTTCTGGATGGGAAGAATGTCATTCCCTGGAATGAAGAGTCGGTTTTAAGGTCTAATCATATCACATTATCTTTAATTTACTAAAGTGAGTTGCACTTACTGTCCACTAAACTGGTACTCTCTATGTCTACCAATGCTATACCTATACCTTTCATGGTAACTTCTTTTCCTTGTAACTTCTAGTGGGTCTACTCGAGAGCTTAACTCGTTGACTTTGGGCCTACAACTTGTGATGACCAACAAATGACAGTCACCTAAACTACTAACTAAGGACTTCCAATGCCTGAACAATTGGAAGAGGGTCGTAGTAGCGCCTGCAACTTCCGGTGGCCTGTCTCGTGAATGATATTCACCAGAGCTTACCAATTAGCCATCGATAGCCTAATAGAGGAATAACATCTAACATAGCTTAACCACTTGGACTGTAGCGCCCTAGCGTACTTGCTCTTTGGGTTCCTTACTAACGCCCAACTCCACAGAAGACCTCAGAAGCACTATTGACATGTTTTGGGCTTCTGGCGGAACCTGAAAATCTTCTGGCAACCCACCAATGACGTTACAATCCATTCGCTGAGCTCATCTTCTGTATACTATGGATAGAAATGGAGTAGCACTGACCTACTGGCTCTCTGGGCCTCTTTCGCAGCCATTTGCAACCATCCAAAAATGTCGTACCCACCATCTTAAACGCCCACACCATAAAAACAGCCAAACGACTCCAACAATATATCATCTAAGTCCCTCCTACTTTACTCTATCACCTTGGCTGCCTTACTGTCTTCTGTTTCCCTGCCCAGGATGGCTTCGCGACATTGTCGCTCGCAACTGATTGTAACGCTCTTTTTGGTAACCCATTGAAACACCTCCACAAGTATAAAAGGCCATCTAATTCCCACCCTAATCCTTCCAATCACCAAAAATGCTTTGTGATATTATGTACTCGGACGAGTACAAGGAGGTGATGTCCCAGCTACGCACTTTCCTTGAACAAAAGACATACAACGAGGAAGCTTTGGCATTGACTGAAACCGCATTGGACCTTCTTGCAGCCCATTACACTACATGGCAGTATAGGTTTACAATTGTGAAGGAGATCAAGAGGGACTTGTTTGAGGAGCTCGATTGGTGTGAGCTTGTGGCGTTGGAGAACGAAAAGAACTACCAGATATGGCACTACAGACAGTTGATCATCGAGGAGATCTTGAAGGATGAGAAAGCCGCTGAAAAGTTTAATTACCATAGGGAATACCCTATTCTCAGGGCTATGCTTGAGGAGGATAGCAAAAACCATCATGTTTGGTCGTATAGAAAGTGGTTTGTGGAGAGGTTCTCGTTGCATGAGACAGTTGAAGAGTTGCAGTTTGTGGAGAGCATGCTAGACACCGATTTGCGTAACAACAGCGCATGGACACACAGGTTTTATCTTAAGTTTGGCCATGTCGATTGGAAGAAGAACGTGGAGCCTGAGATCGAGTATGCTAAGCTGAAGATTGAAGTATGTCCTCAGAACCCGTCTAGTTGGAACTACTTGAGAGGTATCTACAGAAAAGCTGGGAGAGACGTCGAAGAATTGAGACTGTTCTGTGCTCCTTTGGCAGACACAAAGGCCAAGGAGATCAAAAGCTCTTTTGCGTTGGAGACGTTGGGGGACATTGAGAGGAGTGCTGGTGATAAGGACGCTGCGTCGGAGTGCTACCGCCTTTTGGCAGAAGTCTACGACCCAATCAGGAAGAACTACTGGGAGTATATCCAGAAGAAGCTTTAATGAGTAACGAATACACGAAAGATAAAAAAAAAAATTGGTTCTCTTGTAGAAAATAAAAAAGAATGGACGAGTCCGGATTCGAACCGGAGACCTTTCGCATGCTAAGCGAACGCGCTACCAACTACGCCACACGCCCAAAGAAGAAGTGGTCCCTAGCAGGATCGAACTGCTGATCTTGGCGTTATTAGCACCACGCCTTAACCAACTGGGCCAAGGGACCGACTATGAAGGAAGTTGAGCGCGGGAATTGATAAGTGCGGTAGAGAAATAGTCACGTGACGGGAGAAATATGCAGGTGAAACACATTTTTCAACAAGAATCGACTGGATTTTCATCTAAACCAGGCCCAAGACTCTCAGGCCCTTAATTAGTGTATTATAGCTGGAAAATGGCACCGGGGGCCTTCAAAATCGTCCTCGTAGCTTCAAAATACCTCAATTGGTTCGTTTTAATGTACCAAATAGCTAAGAAGGTTCCCTGAGGCCTACGATAGACATGTTGTAATATCCAATCCATTTAAGCAACTATGGCTTATAGGGAGCAGGTTGGTTGTTGATTGTTGTAGTTGGGAAAGCTCTATTCGTGTTTTTAGCTAAGTCTCCAGAGAACTGTGAATCTGGGAACGAAGGTTAAGAGCTCGTTTAATGGATTTACTTCTACCCCAATACTTCTAAGAACAATTCCTACTGATAAATCTAGTATGAAGAGTCTTCAACGCTTAAAGATTACAAGAAAGGCCAAAGAAGCTGTTATGGAGGAAAACAGATGAATATGGCTACCAATGGCTATGGAATGGTATACATCGAATGCTTTTGTAGACCCAATGTTCCACTCAGCATGTGCCTTCGCCGTCTTGAAACGACGCATTTTTGTAACGGGATCCACAAGAACCGTTACAAAACTTACTCATCATGAAGTAGCTTATACGGCTCAAGAACGAACACATAAACACGTTTCACGTTACCAACACCAAACTCTCTTTTAAAACCACCCCATTTTTCACCAGTCCATCCAGCACAGACAGCTTAAGAGGTGATACAAAAGACCTCATTAGGTTTAGTGTATTTTCACTTGCCTCGAGGACACCCAAAAAAGCACCGTTCTGATGAATAGGGAGAAAACGGGTGGAAAAAAAGATTATCCTTAATCTTAATTATCGATCAAACCACAGCATACCTTTTGTGTACTTTTCTTATCCCTGAGTGTCTCTTTGTGGGACAGTTCTCTCGACCGAGAGCTTCGGTGAACAAAACCGAACGACTTTGGTTGCTTCTACCGAAACCTTATCTTTCAAGAACAGAGGGGTTCTGGTTCTTGTGTTAAAGTTTATTCAATAAGAGCTTTTCGGCACCAGCCTATTGTATAAAGCTTATTCATCGTGGTTTGAAGCGACAGTATCAACAGAGCACATAATGCAAATGGAGTCGCCAAAGCACTACGGTTGCTCTGGTTAGCGCTAAGCGCCCCAATGCTTTGTTTCCTCGTAGCTTATTTACATTTAGAGTAGCAATTGAGTGAAAAATTATCCTCTAGCGGGTCCTGTCGCAAGGTAACGCCAGTGTTTGAAAAACCACAAAAGGTAAAGCCGAAACGCGTTTACCACCACCCACCGTGCCTCCAAAACGGTACCTCGTCGACCACTTTCCAGAAGAAGCGAGCTGCATTGGAAGCCTGAGTGTGTTCTATTGGTGCTCACTGGTGGAAGGACTAAAGGCGGAACCACCAGGCGAACCAGGGCGGAAAACACTCAAAAAGGGATCCTTAAATACCTGCAATCGTTCCAAAACGCTATCTACAAATCGTGTGGCTAAAAGAGGCTTTGGCTGGTGACATCGGTGGGGGACATGATAGGGTTGGGGCAGTAAGCTGTGCGACGAGCTAAAGTCTTTTTAGAGCACAAGAAAAAGGCATCTTTAAGAGGTTCCGCCGTTCAGGGATGCCTCGAAGCACCGGGTGGAAAAGCACAAGTAGCCACACTCTGTTTAGCTCCGAGTACAGAAGTGACAACTCTCAGCGAGAGCAGGTTGGGGCGTGGGAATGGTTAGATGGTGCTTCTAGATTAGGAAGCCCTCATAATGGAAGCTTGAATGGAAGCAAGGCGCTTTTTGTGATACTTGGAGATGTGGGTTTTCGAATTAACCATACGTGTTACGAGAGCTCCGAGGTTTGAAGCTCGGCATCGGAACAAGCAGGGAAGTCTGGCGGTTAAAGTAGGTTTTGTCTTCCACGGCCGCACAGCAAAGAAAAGGTTGGGCCAGAAGAGGCCAAAGGAGGCCCCAAGAGGTAAGCAAATTGCGTTTGGACGTTTCCAGGCATGGAACGAAGACCCTGTGGCGAGTAAAGCTTGTTTGGTGAATGGCTGCAAATAGTATGTATATGAAGAAGCTACCAGATCAACTACAAATACCGTTTCAGGAAACCATCGACGGTTCTTCAACCATCCATATTTTTAGGACTCTGGACCAATTGTGGAGTTCCTGGAGTGTGCTTTTTTAACCCACGCAAGCAACCAACGGCACCAGTGCGGCGAAGGAGTCCAGCATCAACAAGCATAGCGATAGCGAGAAGCAGGGACTGGTAAGAGGCAGGTCTTCGGTAGATTTTGCCATCTTCAGTAAACTAAGTGCCATGGAAAGTGCACAGCCTCAGGTCAGAGTAGAAGATGAATAGGTAGTACCTGGCTGGGTAGTAGTACAAAGAGGATGTTCTGGGGAAGGCCTAAGAAGATGGGAATTTTCAGAGAGCTATATTTGGCAGTTCGCTGAGAGATACCGATTCTGGAGACTGTTTTGTGGATGGTAGTTGAATGAGTATAGCAAAGGCTAGAATGGCTGCAAATGTCCACCGTAAATGCCCAAGGAGAAGGTGGATCAAAGAGGGTTGTCCTGAAATGAGCCAGGCCGAGTTGGGAAGATTAGGGTAGTTTTTGGAGAAAAGCAGTGCCCTATGAAATGGGATACCAAGTAATTGGACACTTTAATAAGAGGTTGATCTAGAAGGCCAAGTTTTACAATAGATTCGTCCAGTGGAAGTTAAAAATCACATAAATTTACCCTAAACCACCCAACTCACCTGAACCACCATCCAATGACGTTCCACCAATTCTCCATTTCTTTCCCTACGTCTTTGCCTCGCTTCAGCAATCGGGCTTCACCGAAGAGACATACATCCACCGCCGCAGAAGGGACCCTCCTCCACATCTCCCCCAAACAAACAAGCCCTTGTACTGGCACAAACATAAGAAATGTCAAGAGGTGTCTAGAACTGAAAAAGACCAACAGACAAAGACCAACAGGCCACTTTGTAGGGTGTTTTCTTGTGTGGTGAGAAGAATGGCAGATGCCCAGAGATGAGGTTGGACGAGGAGTTGGACGAGGAGTTGGCCGTCTTTCCCATTTAAACTGACTATGTCTGGTGTTGCAATTTGATGTCTCATGAGTGTGGCTAGTAGGTGGCTCAGTAGGAAGAGGATCTAGGCTAGGGCTAGGCCGAGGCGGTTAGAGTAGGTGCATATGTGCCAATGCATGTGCTACAGGTATTTTGTAGGGCAACAATGGGTGCGGCGTTGGCACAAAACCGGGAAGTTGCAGAAGTTGCAGAAGTGATGCAGTGCCGTGCAGGGCTGTGCGGCACCAATGCGCAGGCGACAATGCGGGTAGGCACAAACTAGCCAGTGACATGCGTTGAAAGAGCGCTGTATACACACCGTGCTTGCCCCTCCAGTAGGCTAAAAGTTTAAATCTCGTGTGAGCGAAACCGCCAAAATAGGAGTGAACCAATAAAGGGGTCGATTAGTATAGGGGTTGACGGAGGGCTGGTTATGGACGGTGCTGGGGCCCAGTGGCGCCACCTGCATGGCTACTGTTTCATCTGCATGGGAGAAATGCAGACCAAGCAGCTGCGAAAAAAGCTGAAAAAAAAAAAAAAAAAGTGAAAAAAAAGGTATCTTGGGCGGGCCCTAACAGAATCTCCAAAAGAGCCCCAGCCTAGACAGGAAAACTAGACCAAACGGAAAAACGGGCTAAAAAAAGGCTGAAAAAAAAAGGGGGATCTTCAATATGAAACGGTGTAGAAAAAGGCTTATGATTTTGCTCGCTCTGTACGGATCCTTGCCTTCTTTTTAACCTTATCACTGATTTCTGCGCAGCCGCTGGGCCAAACGGCACTGGGCGTTCAGGATACCGTTGGAGGGATGAGAAGGAGGTAGAATCGGGGATGGAGAAGGGTGGGGATGGAAAGAGGCGGTGATTTGGAGCCTAACGGTGGTTTTTACACCTCTGAGAGGTCAAAAATGGCTGTTTTGCAGCCAGTCTAAGACAAGGTTGCAAAGAAGAATGGTACGATTCGTATAATTTTAAGTTTTTCGTCGTTGCAACAGCAAAGGCAAGATCTGATAAGGGCAGATACGGTGGGGTGGGTTTGAAGATCTGGAGGTTTATGGTTTGGGAGTAGAGTGGGCCTTAATGGGAAGGTGGGCTGGAGAAAACGGCCTGGGGAAGGATGGTGAGGTAACGTAAGAGGTTAAGAAGGAGTAGGGTTCTGTTTTGGGATGATGCAGGGGTGGTGTAGGTTGTTAAGAGGTGTTGTGGAGATATGGATGATTTTTCTGGAGAAGATTGGTCTATTTGACAGGAGAGAGTGAGTGTAGTGAAGGATGGACGGGGACAGGAGTAGGATTAGAGGACAAGGGTAAAGGGAAATGGAATTTAAAGGGGAAGGTTTCCTAAGGTAGAGAGGACAGATCTACTTGTTCTGTGTTGATTCCAGAAGACCTACCAGGGAAGTTTTGGGTATTACAAAACCTTGGGTAATGTCGTAGCTAGACGATTCGTCTTACCACCAACAGTAATTGTCTCGAGATCTACAGACTACAAAATAGGAGAATAGATCACTGCTTGATCTACGAAGAGCCAGGCTTTGACAATACCAAAATCGGAAGGACAACAAAGAAGTATGTTCTTTTAGCCAAATCCACATCCCAACTTTTCCCACGAGAAAGA